CATGCAGAGTGCTTATGATCTCTGGTGTCAAAATCTCTTTCATGAGCTGCATGGTCTAATCACGAAAGCTCGGCCGAGATAGGTTTGCGCAACTTACATGGTACCACAGTACACTGAGAATTAAGTCGCGTGCCAACTCTCTTTGGCAATGCGAAGCCTAAGTACTATGAGAAAACTAATGTCGAATCAAGGAAAGCACCATTCGGCTTGGCAGCACTGGGATCCAAGTACAGCTGTTGGAGCATGACACCGATGATGGAATATCGTATCGCATCTCGATGTGTTTGTTGATTGTGGACTACCAAGCTGAGAATTAACTTTGGAAGTGCGTCATCCTGCAGCCACAATTGCCAGATGCGGTTCTTTCGCTACGTAGTGAGATTCAACCATTGTTGAAATGCAGTCATTGGGAATTGTAAGCCCTGAGCGGCATTATGGAGGCCCAGAAAGCTGAAAGGTCACGGCAGGGATTTCAACAAAACGGTCCAATGGTATTACGTCGACCCATGCTGACAATTTTTGCAATTCCAGGCAATTGTACCTGAGAGTTGCCGGCAACAGGGGTTTGCCGATAACAACTCCCGAGATGATATGATCATTTGGATCGAAGACCATACAAAGCACCGGGATCGCGAACAGGCCAAGAGCATTGTCATGGTTGCTTTAGTGGTCGAGGCTCTTGATGCAGTATGTGTAGTGTGTTGGACCGGATCCGAAGTGGATGTATACCAGGTCGGAGCCGGCTGCTTCGCAGCCCTGTAGTTGCCCAAATTTAAGTTTGCCGTACTCGGTCGTCTAATGAGTTTTCCTATATTACCAAGATTGTCGGTCGTCGTTTAGAACAAGACGGTACCGATCGCACAAACGGGACTCTGCCGGCGGGTAGCAAGGTTCCGTTGTTTCGTCACCGGTTCCATCATTCTTCGAAAATATGTACCGTCGGGCGACTCTCCGATAGCCCGACAAAGCCCCTGAGCAGATCCCAGTCCCGAGCGCACTGCAAGGGCTGCAATGACTGCCGAACCTTGTCACGATGGATCCGCTTCTTTCATGACAGGGCCGGCTCTCGCTATCTCTGCAAGGCGATGGCCGGCGACAGAGAATTATATCGGCAGATTTACTTTGTATTTAGAGTGAAATGTTCAGAACCTGCGGTCGATTCGATCCGATAGACAGAAATCATGACAGTCCTGATGGAGGGTACTGATGATGGATGATGATGATGATGATGATGATCACCCCAAAGCAAACAAGTCTTCACACAGACCTCTTTTCAACTTATGGTTTCTAGAAGGATTCTAGTCGCTGTGTTAGCCTTGAGCACGAGCCATGAGAGGAGAGCCAATCGATAGACGTTGAACCCAGAGCCATTCATGCCGGCACCGATTGCCTATAACGGACAAAGCTTGCCATCATGTCGAAGGAATTGGAATCAAGGATCTTTGCGCAATTATTGCTGGGAGGACAGTTGCCTCGAACATCGCGTTTGAACCTTTCTCTCGTACCAAATAATCCTTGAGATAGAATTTAGGTAGCCCGTACATATGTGCTTCGTGCCAGCGAAGCATAGGCGAACGATCTTTGAATTGTGGGAAAACATGGTGTCTTCGTTTTACGCCATCCAAGATCGCGTCGGAATGTGGTGCGAAAATCGGGAACAGTCCGACTGGGCGGTGGACGGGCTACCGGGGAAAGGAGGGGGGGGGAGGGCCGGATGTGCGTAAACCGGACGCCTTGTCCAGGTATTTGCAGCCTTTTCTCTAACTACATAGTACTATTTACCAAAGTATTCCTTGCATAGTACTAAAAGCCTACGTCAAACTTCAAACTCATTATGAGGAGGTTGAAAAGCCAATGCTTGGCTTCAACCGGTAGATGAGGATGGTTTGGACCCGTTGATATGCCGTACCACAACTCTATGTATATCGAAATCGGGGCTTGAAACTTGCGAGTGGCAATCATAATGACGCAAGCAAATAATCAAAAACTAGCAATTCGAGCGTCGTTTTTCGCCATGTCCGAGTGCATGTCGATGTTAGGACATTAAGACGCGAGAGCTGTGGCGGTTGACTGCTTTAAGAGGCAATCACTAGAGCACATGTACATTATCTTTTCCTCCAATCGCATCTATTCCGCGTTTGCCCATCAGCTCAGGGGTATGCGTTCAGAAGTCTGTCGTTGCCACGTGCGCAACGTCGTGCTTTAGTTTTAGACGATTCGAACGAATAGTTATTGCTGCTGGCAATATGGTAGTCTGCTTGATGACACTTCGTCGTCTGGATGCAAGCCTTCAACAGTGAGACTGGGTGCGCAGTGCGCCGGCAAACTCATTCTCACGTGAATCAAGCCATATATGTAGGTTGGATTGACGGAGAAAGGACGGCGTCCTGGTGATCACAACAAGTCGCCATATCTTGAGCTCACAACTTGTAATGGGTGTATCATTCCAGCCGTCGACGCATAGCAAGTATGCAGAGTACATACTCTAGAGAAAGTGCTTGAAAGCATGCCTCCACATGCCCTGCTTTCCTGATCTACAGGATAGAGATGAGGGTTGCATACAACAGCCTCACTTCCAACCAAGTGGAAGAATATATGATGAATGATGGAGATCAGCATAACAACGACTGTGAAGGGAAATTTCATGGAAGTCAAACAAGAATCAGCACCAACAATGGCCAATGCAAGCGCTGCAACTCCGTTGCTATACTTACCCCATGGTAGCCCAGACACTTGATACTACGGCAAGGATGATTGGCTCTATCGACATTTGGCGTTATCGGAGGCTCAGAGGCCAATGGCTCAAGTTAGTACTTAAAAGAAGCTGGTATTGCAGGACTAGAGCTGTCGAACAGGCCGACACTCTTACCAGGATTGGGCATTACTCGAAATACAATACTCGGCAAGGGATAATGCATAGCTATATCCCAAGAAAAGCCTTTCTAGATTAGATATCGCAGGCGGACAGGGAAGAGGGCATGGTTCAATACATCGTCATCGTTCACTGCCTGGAAGACGATCTAGCGGAGAACTATTGAAGATCTTGCGCGTACTCCTGAAGTTGGAGGCCACCACAATGGCAGCTGTCAACTTGTGCGATTAGACTTCTATCGGCTTCTGAGCGTCCCGTCAGATGAACTCAAATCTCCCATCAACTTTCCCCAATCGGAGCAGGCGTCAGGGGACACAATCACTGACGAATAGTCGTCCAGGGTTAATTTTAAGGTGTAAGACAGCGCGTTCGCACATACGGATCTGTAGATTAAACAGAAGTACGACTCTGCGAATGGAGACCACCGTTAGGTGTGAGGAGAACGAGCAACTGCACCATTACCATGTTTAATGTGATTCATTGGTCACTTCAAACCCTTGGGTACCATTTCCCAGACCAGCCTGGAAATACCTCGTCAGGTCAGTGCAGTGATGCGCAACATGGGTAAACATGAAGGTCCAAACGCTAGAGCCTTAGCTAGCATTCCTCAATCCCCGGAAGCTTTGCCAGAGCACAGGCGAAAAGATCGAGCTGAGATCTGTGCTGCGACTTTGCAATGCTAATGGTGGGCGCAGAGACCAATTACACCGGTAATAGAAAGAGAAAATTTTGTCTTGGTCTCTCTCTCGCCTGGTGCAATTCCTCCGGCCTGTTTGATCTAATGCGCTTATGTCGGTCTTGTTATCACAGAGACAGTCGTGGCGCCGTGGACAGAGATCCTGCAGCAACAAGATGGAGCCTCGAAGGAATAGCGGAGCCCTCGAGACGCGGTAAGCAGCCAATGTAAAACATTTCATGACTACGGCACTACATTAGGTAGCAGAGCTAGTGTTTGTTGGCCTCGCTCACAGGGCTTAATGAGCAGGGAGCCTGACAAAGCTATCCTGATCACGACCGCCCGTCAACATGCAGGGACCTTTGTTAGAACAGGTTGGTGTTTCAACGGTGTAGAGTCCAGGTTATCCCCTCGCTCTTCTCAAGAGTCTCGGTCGGATAAACCGGCTCGCGAGCGGGGCGGTGTCTAAAAAGATCGTCTCAAGCCGGGTGTTAGCGGTCATGCCCAGTTTCTCTGGCGACTCCATCGTGAGAGAGGGGCTGGCAAAGACCCAGTCTGGTGCGGTATGCCGTGGCCTCGACCATAGCGGATCTAGGTGTGATCGCGTCGTTATTCTTCTGCTGTATGCAGAGCCGCGATGCTTATCGCTGGTAAGGTTGGGCAGAGCTTTAGACCGTGTTCCATCTCGTCAGCCTCAGAAAATGGTCTCGGGTTAGTTAGATGGAAAGGACCGAGTTTGCATACGTTCCTGAGACAATGAAAGTCCGGAACCTCGACATGATGGGAAGCTGTAATGATGTGGATACGTACCGTGGACACATAGCTACGGTAATTCTATTGCACAGATCAAGTCTTCGAATCATCATCTGAGCTTTCCCCAGATTTCCATCATAGACATGGATCGTGATATTCCATATACCGCAGGTGATAGGTGCCAAATTTTTCAGTGGAGAGAGTGTGGGCTTGATGAGGGGGGCCCATATGCAGAGTTAATATTTGTGCTTCAGTTGGATCTCCGTCTTGGCAGGTCGTCACATCGTATGCTGACAATGAATAAAGTTATCTGTCATCCACACACAAAGTTACAGTGAATAGATTCATTGAAATCTAATCGGTGACACTGGCCCTGTGTTTTTCATGTAGAAAGGATTCTATAGTTCCGTTTGTTTCCTATATGAACTCCGTGTAATGATATGCTATAATGCGAGGGCAACGCCGTACATCCCGTAAACAAATGTCCTTCAGAATGTTGATATATCTCCAGCGCCTGTTGTAAGGCTATGCCCAATGCCAACTCCATGTGTCCGTGGTATAATGCCGTCGGTATGCGCCATTCCAAATCCCTTCCCTAATCAAACAGTTGATAATGCCGATGATGCCGAATATGATGATAATGATGATAATGATGATGTCTCCTGTTTGAATCCAACGCCGACGAACGTCATCATGTCTTCAAGTATTGAGTCTAACCATGGGTAATGAACCCCCAAACTCAGGATAACGCCGAAAGAACCGCTCCTCCAATGCCCAGTTGCCGATATTGAGTACATGGTTGACGAAAGCTTGCGTGAGATATATCGTTCCAGAAGAATAATCAGGGACTAGTGCCTGCAATGGTCCACCTGCCCAATTGAGTAACCGGAGACTTGTGTTGTACAAGTGTCGAAACTCGGAACTGGCATAAACCTCTGGTCGTTGAATGACGACGTCTCGTAACTGTGGCCATAGAAGAAATTCCATCCACTGGCCGTGTGGGACAGACTGCTGCACAGGACTGGGAGCAAAGTTGTTACCTAACCCGGAAATGGTCTCGTGTGTTGGGTAAATCAACCAGGATAGGATTCGCTGGAAGAGAATGAAACTACCAACACGTTCCAGTGTCATGACCAAGTTGTCATTGTCGAACAAAGTTGCTGCAAGTTCAACAAGTGGATGTGCTGGTGGAGATGGTGGTAACGTTGATTGCTGAACGATTGAAGCGAGATTCCAGTGCGTCTCAATGAGGCGGCGAATATTGGGGACTGAGGGTCCGTAGATAACTTCTGGGTGAGACCTCACTCCTTCCATTGTGACTAAGCGACGGCAGTCCTGAATATATCCAGTTAAAAGAGCGTCGGCTTGGGTAAGCGGTGAAGTAATCAAGCCCGGTGTCTCCCAGTAAGCTGCCAGAGCTTGGCCCCTCATAGAGTTGGCGAGGCCTGGTAGTACATCGGGTACATGTTCCACGGCTGAGGATGGTGGTATGCTTGTGGGATTGAGAGCATGCTGAGCGGCGGGCATCCGATGTCTAGCCTCTTTATTAGAACCTCAGCCCTGATGTCAAATACAAAACGACGAAATTGGTCTTACCTGGCTTGATGTCGTCGTAGCCGGATTTTCCACTGATACAGGAGACGGTGGGTGAGCCCATGTTTGAGGCCATCCCAGGTCTGTCCATGATTGATGGCACACTCGTGGGGTAGTAGCTGCCAATCTCATCTGCCCCAGACGAAGAAGGGCTGGAGACAGTTGATGGAATTGTCGATGGAACGGCAGAGGGCCAAGCGTCACCAGGGCTGGACAGAGTATCATATGCTCCCATCTCCATGCCGGTGTACTCGGCTACTTGGCCGGGGGCAGAAGTTCGCGCGGTTGGGCTATTATAAGCTGCAGTCGAGTCAGCGAATTGTTATCACGGAGGGAATGTGTATCATAGAACATACAAGGCTGGTAATAGCTGCGAGGCCCATTTGTCGGAATGCCCATGCTTTCTTTTAACCTGTGTAGTTCGTCCTCCAGAGCCCTATTTTTCCTGAGCAGGTCTTGTACAGTGTCATCTCGGCTCGATGCGCTGCGGAGATCCTCAAGTTCACGCTCCAGGTTCTCGATGTGCTCCTTTGTGCGAGCGCGAATGGCGCGTTGGGCCTCACGGTCGTTCGCCCGCTTGCGAGCGAGTTGCGCTGGAGTCAGGGTCGAGACGCTTCTCGTGCCTGGCGTTATACGAGTCAATATCGTGTGGATCTCTTGACATGTCCCAGCACCACTACTCACCCTTGCGTTTGCTTGACTTGGAGTTGTCTGAAGTTGGCCTGGTCATGTTGTCTGATGTTTGAATGCTTGATGCTGGAGAGGTGCTTCTCGACTTGGAGTGTGTGAAATCGGCCATTGCTTCTCGTGATATACCAGGTGGAAGATACAGGTGGGATGGTCTAAACTATCAAGGGTCCTTCTGGCGTCATGCCTGAGCATATATATGGCAATACCACTCTCCATGAGCAAGCTAGTCTAGATGTGTGGCTTACACGCAGGGGTTGCTTGCAACCATGGAGGTCGGTACCCACACCATGATGCAGATTGCCAACTCTAGGAAAGTACACCCTGGCCAAGTACAACACATGAAGAATGTCGCAGTTGGTACTAAAAGGCGACACCGCGAAAGATGTCTCGGAATGGTGGTGTGAAGACAGCCTTCAACTAACCTAGCGTTCTTCTAGAACCTCGAACACAACTCGAACCGCGAATATCGAGGGAGAGAGAGGGAGACGGAGAGTTAAACCAGCCTAGCGACGTTTCCCAAGCCACGAGGCGTGCCCACCTCGCATGAGATGTAGGTTGCAAAGTCTGTACAGTAGACTAGAGGGGTACTAAAGGTACATACGAACATTTGCTGCTAAGCATGCCGGCACCGAGTCTATCGCAGGGGCATTACTTTGCAGCCACCAAAGTGGTACCGTCAAACCCATGCGCCCATGTGCGGAAGTATCTACCTGGGAGGGCTCAAGGTCGAGATACTCTTCTGCACAAAATTTTGATTCTTTGCAGCAGATGGACAAGGGGGGGTGTGTGGGAGGTCTCCTTGCCAGCCTTGGGTGGATCGCCTAAATAGAGTTCACACTAATGTCTCTAGGTCCAAATTGAGGAGCCCGATGGCCGGCAACGACTTGGAGGAGACTGGAAAGTCCCGGCGAGGGCTTTGGCGGCTTGCGGGCATCGTTGGTTGGGAAAGCCGTCTAATGATTGTACAAAAGTAATGCAAAAATAATTCTGAAATCATTGGAAACACAGTATCATCACAGGTTTCGAACCAGTCCTTGAACGCTTCGACACGCAATGTGTCATAGGGCCGAAAAGACAGCCAGAGAGTACTCTAGGGCACCTGAACTTGTGGGGACCGTAGAATGGGCTGAAGCTGGTCGACATTGGCAGACAAGCAAAGGAAAACAACTCCACTGTGTGCTATTGTTACGCTGATGGATGGATAAAATGGTCAACAATCCCTGGGCCATTATCCCAAGCGAGTCCAGCAGTTTGAGAAATGAGTGGCGCCGTGTCTTGCTCAGCGTAACATAGGCCCGAACGAAGGCAACTGGGGAGTGACGGCACGGTCGGTTCGGCCGACGTGCAAAGCCACCTCAAAAAGTGGTTATGGAAATTTGTGCAAAGGTATGTACATGGTATTTTGCGGAGAGGATGAAATGAATACCCCAGCCATGATTGGGTGATGGCCTTGTCGGGCAAACGGTCAAAGGCCCGAGTGTAGTGGGTGATTTGCGGCGATATTTCCGTCTTGTACGGGAACAGCACAGGCTGGAGAACCTTCATAGCGGAAAATGTGATCCCATGGTTTTTTGGTGTGCGGTACGATTTGTCGCGCCCCCGAGTATACTTTGGCCTTGAAATCACGCTTCTAATGGTGAGCTTATTGGCAAATTCAGTCCGCTAACTCGATACGAGTAAAACTTTTGTGCTGCATGGGGCTCATTCGTCTGAAAGATAGTAGTATGAATCTAACTCTTTAGTCCGTATCAAGATTGCAACACAGACCCGAAGCAGAGTGCAGCAAAATCGCGGTAGCCTTCTCAGATTGGTAGATTCGTGTAAAAGTCGCCATCGTGACTAAATTCCCACGTGGCAATCCTGCGGTTTTGCCATCGTGACGCATCATCTAGGCGGACAAGCGGAGTTGGAATGAGCATAGAATGTCCCGTTTCCTTCTTCGCGCGTTCTTTTGCTGCAAAAATGAACTCTGTTTGAAAATGGCCCTGGTAATTATTGGTGGCTCACCGGCGTCTTGGAAGGCTCTCTGCCCGGCTAATAACCGAGCACACGATGCTAGGGCAGATCACGATATCGCCGGCCTCATAACTATCAAAGCTGCTTATAGTATGCATTAGGACCCGCTGGCGCAAGCAATTGATCACCTTATATTCAGATGGCTGTTTTTCGTGTGTCTTACTTGTTTCACCTTAGTAGCATCACCAGCAATGGCCATGGCCGGGACCTATCGCTCCCACAATGCTGGGGATAGCCTTTCTGAGAACAGTTGTTGCAAATTTTGGATGATATATTCTTGGGTTGCTTAGGCAATCTCGGGGTTGATATCCTTCACCGCCTCTACCAGGGCGTCCAAGCTGCCAACTGCCGTTGGGCCAGACATACCTGAAGGAGGAACTGCCCATTTGGGAAGTGGACTCTTGTAGCTCCAAGCGCCACCAGCGTCTTCATAACGAAGACTATGCAAGTAAAGAGACAGCTCATGATCTCCTGGGTCGGTGTAAAGTGGCGTGTCACAGACCTCGCAGAACTCGCCGGACATCTTCTCAGCCTTCTTCTGGTGATATTTGTCCACCATCTGATCGTAGTATGCTACCGCATCCGCAACATCGTCCTTGCCCATTCGGTTCAGTCGTGTAATGATGTCCTCGTCAGTGTTCTCGGTAGCTGCCACATCACCACGTCCTAGGTTGATGCCCCAGACCTTCTGGTTGGCATATATTGGGTCATTCTGAATTGGATGACCGAGATGCTGTAAGTGAACCCGAATCTGGTGGGTTCTACCAGTGACTGGCAAACATCGTACAATCGAATAGCCTTCCTTGTTGGCCCAAGGTTTGTCTTGGCTGTCTTGTCCAGCTTCGGCCTGTTCGGTAGACCTTGAAAGGCTGTCTGCGGACGCGTGACCAGGTTCTTGTGCAGCGGAATAGTAGGCAAGCTTCTTGAAAACAGTGCGCGCTTCCTTGCCATCTGCTCGAACTCGATTCAACCCCAACTTTGGTGATATTGTAAGAATCGGTTGATCGCAAACAACTTCGCCATCAGGAAACTCCCCGGTGACTCTTGCAATGTATTCTTTGCGCACACTTCGTGCAGCTATTTGAGCACTGAGCTCCTCAGCAGACTTTGGATCTTTGGCAATGAACATGATGCCGCTTGTGAGTCTGTCCAAGCGATTGCAAGGATACGCGGTCCATTCGCGTCCACGGTTTTCTTTCATCATCTCAACGACAGAATTGAAATTGTACCTGCCTGCTGGATGAACCGGTATACCAGCCGGCTTGTTGATGACAATCATTTTCTCATCTTCATGTATAACCAAAACGTCATCTGCCGTTACTGGAGGTTCATGTCGGTGAATTTTATGAGAGACAAGATCGCCATTCTTGACAACATATTCGGGTCTTGCTGGCTTGCTGTTGATAAGGATCTTGCCCGATTCCATAGCTCCTTTGTAGTATGTCACGGGCCGATCCCTGAATTCGCTTTCAAATATGTCAAGAAGAGTTCGACCCCTCCAACGCTCTTTACACCAGGTGTTATAGGTGTAATGATAGGGCTCAACACGTCGTAGGCCACCCTCGATGACATACGGGCGCGGCCAAACTTCGTCTCCCACAGATGCTGCAAGTAAGGCTTTATGCTTTCCTCCAGCTTTCACGACTCTTGATCTCTTCTCGGCCGGCTTTTCATGCACCGTTTTCATTGGTGTTGGAGGCGAGGAGCCAGTTGTAAGGAGCTCCATCACGGGGCTAAAAATTTGCTTGCCCCTAGCAAGCAAAGCATTCAACCTTTGGTAAACAGCCACAATGTAACACGTTTCGGCTTCTTGTGAAGTAGTTGATACTATTCGAATCGATAGGTCTTAATCTTGGTGTTTTCTTTTGTCTTCCATAAAGGTTGACTTCTCACCATAAATCGCTATTCTGGCGAAGATTGGGCAGTAGGTCGAAGTGGGTCACACCGAAATTGTTCAACAGTGGGAATTGCCTTTACCCCCAGCTGCAGCCAGCTGCCGCTATGTCACGGGGTCTGGGAAAGTTACCTCGGCAGGAGAACGAATTCGCTTCGTTCCGTACATTGGACATTTGGATTCTCACGTTATAATACATGTGCCCAACAGACCTTCAATTTTTCGCAAGACCTTGGGACTGTACGGACTTTTCGGACATTGCTTCTTCTGTTTCAGTATTGTGCACTTTCCCAACAATGGTCATGGGTATTGCGGCCATGAATTCTACTACACAACTAAAGCAACGTCAAAGGAAAGATTATCCTTACATCCTAGAATATCGGACACGGTGGTAAGACTGTCAGACCAGATCGTACTGAAACATGCTTCCGATTTGACGTAGACCAGGGCAGACAATGACATGTATGACCACATGAACAACTCTGTCTATAATTTCCTGTAAGTTTTGTCTGCCACCGCGGTCTATTCAGGAAAGCTGAGACATGACTATAGCTTCGACTCGGTGATCAACACTTATCTTATGGAACACTGCGGATTAAAACCACCGACTTCTGCACAGCATCCACTTATGGCCCACACCCATTGCGACTACTTCTCAGCAATTTCTTTCCCTCAAGTGGCTGAATTATGCCTCAGAGTGAACAGGCTGGGGAAGTCTAGTGTCACATACGAGGTTGGCCTCTTTGAGAAAGGTGTTGAGAACGTCAAGGCTGTTGGAGCATTTGTTCATGTATTCGTTGAACGATCAACCTTGCGACCGCATGCCAATGGAATGAACACCCAGCTGAGAAATGGACTTGAAAGACTAGCCACGGGGAAACAGTCTAGCAACCTCTAGCTCAGTTCAGCCCTGATCTAAGTGATTGGATTGCGGCCCGCTGTTTGTGTTCGGCCTAATTCATATCTCTCGGCTGCCTGGAGCTCAGATGAAGTGTGCCTGGGCTGTGGATATCGCGCTACAATACATTCTTCTCCTCAGCGTCACATAGCTACTGCCAGCATCTAGCTGTCAATGGCTATCACTAGATGGGCTTTGGGTTGATTTCAAGTAATGATACCTGGTCCAGGCCAAGTCCTACAATATGATTCGGCCCGTGGCAGATGGGTCCTTTACCCCAGACTATCTGAGAAACGAAGAAAGCGGCGAGTAATATACCAAAAATTGACACAGAACAGTCTCGACCGAGCGTGTGGAAGGCTTCGTTTAGCTAAGACGACCCCTCAATGTCTCCTGCGACATTATGGGCCCATGAACCATGTTCAATCGGTAGCAAAATTGCCAGACACGAATTTACTTGGTTATGAGGATTCCCCGGTATTTTATTTCAATGAAAGTCTTTGTTGCAATAAGTCAGTCGAGCTGCCTGGCTTCACAACATTAGCCTCAGTCTACAACAAAATCAATTGACAGTTTATGTTCCACAGCCGGTTGTTTTGAAAATCCAATATTCCATACTTGAACTATCATTGTACAGACAACCTTGAATCTCTGGCACATACCTTGCACGGGATCGAAGCCGAGCAATCCTCGTCCCACTAGCTTGTCGGCAGCTTGGAAAACGAAATGGATTGTGGATTGTGGATTGTGGATTAATCCACATCAACAGTGGAATAGATTGTGCGGGACTGCATTGTTGCCCATGTATTACTAGTAACTGGGGAGCTAAATTGGTAAGCAATAGTGTGACACTAAAGATCAAGGAACAGCAAACAGCAATTCGTTCTTGGAAGCATACATCCTTTCGGTTGCGCATGGTCTTTACACAAGTTTCACAACACCGGTAGAAGGCGCTCTTGAAGCTATGATGTGCATTTGTCGTGTAGAGTCTGAATTACTTCCAGCATGTCGACACATATATGATACCCATCTGTGTTTTAAAACCACCGGGTTCTGCCTTACAATACAGTGGCATCCCTGAGGTTTGTTCTGTGCGAACCTAGAACTCGCTGATAAGCCTAGATTCGCATGCCAAGATTATTCCCTTGAGTATACAACCTAGTTCAATGTAAGTAAGCGCTAGCTACATCAACAGCCCTATTGACTAGCATATACCGCTAAATAGTCGCTACTAGTAGCTAGATAGTATACCATAGTAGCGGCAATGATGAGTTGTACTGGTTGACTGGCTAGGGAGGACAAACTGCTCCTGCTGGCGTTCATGGTGTCTCTAACATGCTCTTAGTTATCACGGTGCTCACAAATTTGGTACCTTCCAAGTCCACGCTTTGACGGCTTGGGGTATGCTTCAGCTTGACCCTGAGTTTCTCATCGTAACCCCCCCCCCGGGACATAATGCTAGACATTGTTCATACTGGGCTTACAACTTGTGACCGCAGCGTTGCCTCTGAGCCTTGTTGATCCGGGGGAGATCAGTTCAGTAGTGCCAGACCCCTCTTTTGATCTGCAGGGGGTGGTCGGTGTATTTACGTATCCTTTCACATGACATTCATCGCTCTACTTGAACAGAGAACACAAGAATTCGCGCACCTTCGGGCTCTAGCTCATGACCTTCCTTTTGGTATTCTGGAGGATTTGCAAATGCAAATGCAAAAAACCCCCCCCCCCCCCCCATTTCTGGCATTTCGTCAGTAACGAAATTTTTTTGATGGAAATAATCAATAGATTAATACATGATAATTATCAGTCTTAGATATGTAAATGACAGTAAGTGTGCGACAGCGCACACTTTTTTGTCCGCCCTTTGCGATTATCAATCTTGCTGCCGATCGTCATGTGTCGCCGTTTTGATCCTCGGTATGTCACTAAAGTACTTGAGCTGAACGATTCCGTTATCCTCTTTCATTATGCACGAAATCGGAAGGACAAGTAAGCAACCGTGCGTTGCACGATAAACTTTGATGCCCGAAACCATATTTCGTTTCCCAGGAATATCGCCTACGTACGTATCAGACAATAAAACGCTGCAAATATGCTCGAATTGTGACATGATTACATGGTGTCATGAAATCAGAGTTTGCTTTCTTTTATGTCTTGCGCCTCGTTCCATCGTTTCGTTATGCAGGTATGATAAACAAACTTATTTGGCTTCGAAACAGCACTCTGTAGCTTGCAATGCTAACGTAATAACTTGGCTCTAATACATAGACGTCACACTACTAAGGAAAAATTGAGTCAGGTGTTGAGACAGAGAGCGATTGTAAATATAAAGTGCCTTCAAAATCGTAGTCCTTTTCTAATTGAGCCTATGCTAGATAAGTCACCACATATCAGTTTTGGCGTCTGTAAAAAAAAAAAAACACGAAAAAGCCATTGTTTGATGACGTACTTTGGTCCAGTCATCGTAGCTAAAGTCTGTGATTACTAGCAAAAGTACAATTATTACTCTTCAAACTCAAGAAATGGTTGAAAGTCGAAGATTTGACAGTCTATAAGATATACCTATTATGGGACGAAGGGGTTGGGAAATATACCGTAATGCGGTTATCATATTTATTTGTATAGCTGTAGGCATAAGAAAGAAGATAAAAGGATACCCACCGATGGTTCATGTTGATGTGTACAAGTTGTGATTTTTTGAATATATGGGTCTGTGCCGTGCGGCAGTTTTCTTGAATGCTCTGTCATCACCGTTTCTTTTCTGATTTCTGATTTCTTTTTAAAAGTCTAATCAAGACAAGGGCGTGTAGGCAACAGGAAATAGTGCAACTCTGTACGAAACAGGTGCATGTACAGAGAGAATTGACCATAAGAGTAATCTTCAATATCCGTTAGCACATTATGTTGAGCTTGTATTTAAGCTATTATTGGATTGGCATGAGAAGTGCATTACTGCTATCTTGCGAAGATTGGCATTCCTAAACATATTTTGATCACCATATCCCTATTCCAGGCTTGATATCTTTTAAGGTCCACCGTCCTAACGTAGATATCACAGCTTCCAAACCCAATCTCGCGAAGCCCGAAGAATATTGACGCATATAGTCTTCATACTCCTAATCGCCTCCAATGCCAAACTTTTGACACCATACTTGTCGATGTGTGCTATAAGAATCTTAAAATCTTTCAGGGCAGTGCTACTACTGAGGCATCAGTTAGAGGCATTGCGTGTGCCGCGTCTCTGATGATAGTAGCCAACGAACAACCCCCCACACCACCGGAAGTGGCCAGGCGGTCATAATGTTCAGCCCGGCTGTTTGGAAATTGTCTCGATGCTTAGAGGTTTAGCGAATATCGTTGCCTCAATTCTTTGTCAGATCGAGTATAACTCCATTTACTAACTCTGCGTCGAATTTGCTCCTCGTCAAACTACGAAGGACTTGAAGACTGGGCTGTAAGAACCCAGTTTACGTATCTGAGAGAATGATTTATCCTGTTCATCCACATCCAATTCCCTTGATCCAGCAAATTTTCTCATGAAACATGAACATATGTGATTTGATGTAAGCGTCTAACTTTCGTGAAAACTTGAATGCCATTCCGGCCAAGATTTCCAGACGACTTCTTAAGCACTGGCGTCAGGGGGGCGTCCTTCCGTAGAATATGCGGCTTTCGGTGTCAAGCACAACTTTTGAGGGACGAGCTGTTTGGCCACATGAGAATTCTTGCCCTCGGCTCTTATAAGAAGATTTCCGCATTCCGGGGTTCTGCTCGTAGAACAGGCGACAGCAGCCTAGTGGTCAATCTTGTATCGATTGAATATTTTCCCAGACGTGACACTGTCTACAATATGCGTCATAAGAGCATCACGCAGGAGAGTTCTGTCAATCGCACTAAGCGTCAATTTCGCCCATATTGCGTCTTGCTTCGCCATCCAGTGAGCTTCGTAGCAACTCACTTGTGATAGCATTTCACTTGCTTACCACCTGAGGATTTAATGTGCATTGTTCTCAAGAAGTCTGACAATGTTTATGGGAGTCAGCTTCTGAATGGCATCAGTTTTTTCTGCGAGGCGAATACGGTAACCCTGACAACGAAGATTGGTGTTCGGATCTCTTTCAAGACCTTGAGGTCAAACTCGAGCTTTACCAGAGTCGATCTAAACACAAACCTGATATACCGCCGCCAATAACGAGTACCAATGCCATTGTGTTAAGAAATATGTTGACCATGTATAAACAGATATGTATCTTGGCATGCAAGTTAATGATATGACAGACTGGTTTGTATTCGATAAACTCAGGTAACTGCTGTCGCTCTAGTCACTGTTAATAGGCCACCAAATCGAGCTCCGTATCTTGGAATCTCTTCGATAGTCATTAGTGAGGGAAAGTCTTGAATTTATGTTAATTACGTATCTCGTTCTCATGTCACAGATGGCCAACAATCTCACTGTCACTTCTGACACGAAGCAGTCAATATATTCATGGTCTCAAATTCAGGGCCAAATGTTCGGTCGGTTCGGATCAACAAAACGCTCCGCAGTGATGTTAACGTTGACAGACTCCTCGCTGTCAGTTTTGTTCCGAAATACTTCCGCGGCAGAAACACAAGCTGATGTAAACGTGACTGTTTATTAGTTATTGATTTTATTAACTTCCCTTACACGATGCCTATGAAACTTGCCAGGGTGTTAATGAGACTAGTCTCGTAGGATTTTCGCACAGTAAACTGTACCAAAAGAGTTGTACATCGACTGGCTTACATGGTATCAATGGAGTATTTGAAAGCCTGCTGAATTGTCTACAACCCGTCTGGTTGGTCGGACTGGTATTACAGTGTGTAACTCTATATCAGGCATATTCGCATCAGCATGATTAGCCACTCCCCGCCACCACCCCCGCCCCCCTCTTGAGAAAAAGATTCGCCAGGGAAGTCACTCTGTATTCCTTTATCACGGTACATTATACGAACGTGAATCTCAACTCAAGGGGTCTCTAGTTGCCTCCATTTATTCTAGCTACAACAGAAATACGCTTACAATGCGGTCTCGCTTCGTAGAAGCTGATACATCATATTCAGTTTGAACACGGTTGGTGATTAGCTGGACTATGACGCCACGCCGTCGGGACTGAGTGCAGGGAAGGTGCTAAATTGCGAAAGATGAATCAGGCCAAGCACCCTGGGATCGTCTAAGAGAAAAACACTTCATCCAGGCACTTACAGCAAACGGGACGGTGATTTCCCCGTTTCGGATCTGCTTGCCAATCGGCAACGAGATTTCCTGACCCGCTCGCGTGTGGGGGATTGCACTGATGATGCCCGCGCAAATGTGTCCGGAGGCGGCACGACAAGGGTCGTATTGACAAACCTTATGTGAACAATCATGCAGACTCCGCTCCGCTTACCTGGGGCTTGGCATTAGGCTCAACCATGGTCGTCTTGGTTTTGTTCAATGTTGTCACTCGGAAGAGCCGGTTGGTTCTCACCCTATGCTGGTGGGATTGGTCTAGAATCTTGAGACATGTTGCAGGAAGAATCTGGTGGGCACTGGATATTAAGTTTTGGTGCCAAAAAAAAAAGTGGATTGGGCTCTTGCGGATATTCTCTGACGCAGCGGCAGCCTCGCTGATTGTTTGAAACGCACTATCACACACAATGAGCAGAAGCAGAAGCAGAAGCTGTACATAAACAGGAAGTTCCTCGAGTACATTGCGACGAAGTACTCACCAGGGATTTCTGGATCACCTGAAGGCTTGTAAAACAGTCTGAGATGATGAGAGAAAAGAAGATACCACGAAAAGACGTGTTTGCATTTGGGGTATCTTTATACTTCCCGCCAGTCACTTAGTCGCTAGTTGCATGTCGTGTAGGTAAGCGAGACACGACGAAACCGACGGGAAAACGCGAGGAAAAAGACACCCCAGCGGACAGGCATATAATGTAAAAGACACGCAACATTGACGGAGGATGTGTATAGACGCGCATGAAATGTGTAGGAGAATACAGCTAGATATTCAAAGGTACAGGAAATATAACTGTTTTTGAATCGATTCGGGAGAAGCCCACAAAGGTATAGTAGAATAGAACACGTTGATAGTGTCTTGCTTTTCACCCTTCATCCGACTCGTACTTCTTATCATATCAATATCCAAATCTTCGTACTGAAAGCACCTACACCGTTCTGGACCATTCTGTACTGTATCACACAAGCGATCAAGACTGTGAGTGAGCTGGGCCTACTAAAGCCACGGAGGTACGCCGGTATTATCCATGCTCCTACAAGTTATACCGACATGGTCTGCGACGTCAGTTCTCGATTACTTTGCAACCAAGGTACGTATGGTCTCTTTGGTGGGTGAAGAGACTAACGTAAGCCGCCGTAGCTTAGAAGAACTTGACCCCTGAGCTCATGCAGGAGTAGACTCGGTATGCTTTTCCCTTCGTCAATGTCGACCTAGTCTATTTGATACAATCTGGCACGAGGAGTAGCTAGCAACGTGTAACTAACTGTCTATAGATAGCAAAGCGTTTCAGGCTAGTAACTAAGAATGGACTGGAGCAACCACGAAAATTTTCGGGGGAGGATTCTTGAGCATATGCTCAATATCTTCATGCCAGGTCCACAATATGTATTTCGCAGCATAACTGGTCAAGGCGCTATAAGCGGCGTGCAAGGGTATCATGCACTGTTGTTACGATGGTATATACACCTGTATCTTCAACGTTCGGCAAAGTCTAAGAAATTTCATTTGCTCCGCATTACCGGGAACAGGCCACAGCATACACCAGAATACAGGAGGAAGCCTATTAGTAAGAAGAAACCAAGGAAACTATAATGACCGATATCATACAGTTTAACCTGCTCAATATCAAACCTTAATAAGATAGGTATAAGCATGGAAGCAGAAACCCTAACACGCGCAAACTTTATATGCCTGAAGAAACCCGACCAGATTGATGGTAAACACAGGGCGATGAAGATTCGCGCATTTATTCGAGCTTTTGGTGGCTCCAGTACTCCTGGCATCGCAACGCAGATTCTGGCCGGATACATGTCGATGATGCAGATCTTCTGAGACCTTTCATGGCATTTCAGAAAATCAGGCCCACTTCATGGTATGTTGTGAAACTCGATCACTTGGGAGGCATGTGGATACTATGTAACATGCAGCTCGCATGCTAAAGTAGCAAATAATTAAATTCCTAAAGTAAGTCATACCTTAGGGAAATCATTTAAAATCGGGTCAGTTACGGGGACCAGACTTAACAGGAGCCTCGCGCAGGAGGAAAAAACCGGCCGTATGCCACTTTATTTCCCCCTAAAAGGCTCTGGTCTTGGCTTACCCAAAATCATATAATAATTCCAGAAGTCAGTACAAAATTAGAGTGCCATTACGACGGTTGACAGATAAACGTGATAGTACCTTTAATTTTCTTAAAAGTTGTTATTGTGTTGTTCTATTTTGCACGGCATGAAAGAGTATTGTAAAATGATGTGCCCGGTTTTTTTTTTTTCTTTTTGTCCTGCGCGAGGAGCGTGGTTCAAGAAACGACAGATTTTGATCTCTGAAATACTCTTTAGAAGAAGAGCAGTATTCTATATCGCGCCTTGCACCCCTCCTTCTTATGTACTGAGTTAATGTCCTTCTAGGTAGTGTCATATGCCTTTGATCTGCGTTGTTACTGATGTTGTAAATTACCAAACTACTTACCCAGCGCTCGGCGTAGTGCCACACAGCGGGAGCCTTATGTACCCCACACGACTTCTGTTGACGGCTTATCTGCCGGTAATGTCCAAAATTCCTCCGACTTACTCATGGGCTAAAGAATAAAATTATGATTCCGTTGATTGATGCAGGCAGATAGCAGCTTGTGATACTCAGTCATGGAGGAGCCTCCGCGAAAATATGTTTTGTAGCAGGAATGGAGTGTGTGGTAGATGGTGGTAGACAACATAAGCTATGTACTTGTGGTGACAGGCACAATATCGAGTTTCGTCTATTCACTCAACTGGGGACATTGATGGTGGCACTTGTTTATGCCGCGGCGGCGAGTTACTAGGATTGCACAAGCGTTGACACGAAAATTACTTGCTTACACATATCGATCAAGGCTCACAAGCCCGTGTTTTCAAGGGGTGAAGATAAGTGCCCCCACACGCTGTACACGAAATGACAGGCTTCAGATTCGATGAGACTGACAGGAACACCTTAAATTGAGTGAGCGGTCATCCATCTCACAACAACTCATTTCCACCGCTGCAATGTCATTTTCATCCGAAACAGCGCTCTACTATCTCCAGAAACCGTGAGTATCTGTGCTAAAACCGACGACTTTCGCGACAACACATACCCTGAAAATAAATTGGCCGGTGAACTCAGCATTAAAACGTCTCAATCTGAGCTGTAGCGTACAATGAAATCGATCAACCTAGGGATTCGCAGATCGAGTCATCAATTTACTGCTGACTTGAGTCTCAGCTTACACCCATGCCCAAAATAGCAATGTATCGGGTGGTTCGGCCCCCTTTCGATGTTGGTGACTTACTCCTTCCACTCCTAATAATACAGCATTTCAATGCGCTGGTCACGGAAACTCAGCTGGAATCTGTGCGTCGAATGGAACGTGGAAGCCTGACAATGTAACATCAAGAATTTTCTGTCGATCGCCAAAGCTAACGAAATCGACAGGGCGAGAAGGTCCAGAGCGAACAATTGATGTGTTGTACCCCTGACATGCCCGGTGAAACCAAGGCTTTCCAATCTCCCTTGTCCCAGATGCCTCTCCACAGTCGCGTACATTTTGTGGGGGGAAGTGAATCCGGGGAAGTCGGAGAGCGGACAGGTGCTTCCCTTGCAAAAGTTTCATAACAATAACTACCTTTGCTGGGGGCACGAAAAACATTCGATGATTCGGTGAGCTTATTGATTTGAAATGTTAAGTAGTGAGCGAATTTGTATCTGCCGTTTAGTAAACGTTGTGTCTTGCAGGCAATTGCAGCACGCACATTTTACCCCGGACTGACACTCTTCCATTTGGGAACCGAATAGAGGAAGGACAGATGCAAGCCGTCTGCAGGTACTTGGTCCTCCTAATAGAGTCGCAATGGGCCCAATATTTGTCCGCCCTATCATTATAGCTTAATCGTCAAGTGGTAGTCACTTCAGCCCCAAATTTACCAAAAAAAGAATTAAAAAATGTAAAGGGCTAACTAGAACCAAAATCACGTAACTGGTTTGTGGCTGATGGCAGCTCTGTCTGTCAATCATTGATTGGGTCGCAAACAACATGCCACATCAAATCGGCAAGCAATAGATTGCGCCTGGAATCCCGTCATCTCATCCGTGACCCGAGAAAATGCGTGGCACAACCCCCATTCGTGACCCCAGCTTTGGCCCAGCTTCCAGCTTTCCACAAACCCCCAAACTAGATCAAATCAAATCTGGGGCAAAGCCGGACAGGCATGTCGACGGGGACGTGGCTGTTCTTGTGTCTAACATTGTCATCCCCAGGCATACGTGTTTTATGCCCTCTTCCGACTTATAAGTACCAATAGTATCCCTTTGTTGGCTTGCCTCTGCGAATTAAATAGATGGTGCACCCAGGCCAACTCGTTCCGCTCACATCCTGCCACTTCTACAGTCTGCCTTGGCTTGCTCAATAGTGCCCCGAACTCTAATTGTCTACTGCATCGTTTGAGCCCACCCAATCGACAGTTTAAAAAAGCTTCTGTTTATTCGGGTTCCGCAACTGAGTTGCCATCGTATTCATTGCCAGAGACACTTGGTGCATGATCGGATCAAAACTCAGACACGGGTTTTCCTCTTTCCACGACAGAACACGCCCACCGCTCTTTCCCAAGTCGCCTCAACGGCCAACTCGACGAGCACATAAACCTATCAACGTCACTTCTACACCACTTTCTATTCTATTTGTCCTTCCCCCAAAGGGAACTTCACAATATTTTGCACAGCCTGCCAACAACTCTGAGCATACAAAGGTCGCCCACTTGCCTCGGCCTCTCAACATAGACTACTTGCCGTCTCTTCAAGCTGGCCTTTGCAGTTTAATTCTGTACCATTTGTCTAGCCCAGGTATTGGAGCACTCCAGCCTCGACTCCAAAACAGTAAGCCCGAATATACCTGATCCTCGCTCGGTGCTGAGATGTCCAGCAATATCATGTCAGAATGCACTCGCTCATAGTTTGATTTTTGCTAGAAACAAACTGTTCAAGATGCCTGGTCAAATCACAGCCCCGGTGCCCATCACACCACCCCGCAAGGGGATGCGCCTTGTCACATCTGAAGCTCTCTTTGCCAGTCTGAACGAGACCCTGGCATCGAATGGCAGCAACAGTCAAGCTTCCGTGCGCACTATCAAAGAGCGAGATTGGGACGTCCCAGCTCCCCCACCACCGAGTCCCGTCAGTTTTCAGCAACCCGATCAGTGGAGAAGTTCGCTACGTCACTGAACCACATCATTCAATTGTGATCACTGGTGCTCGATTCTTGAGGGAGGGTGGTTTTTGATTGGTCGCATTTCATCGCGGATCATTTGCAATGGCATTGCGTACTTGTGTATTGGTATTGGAGCAAAAGCGTAAGACAGGGACAGGTCAACTGGGAGTCTGGGTGTACAAAAAAGTGAGCATGGTGCCCGGTATTGGCTTTGGCACAGGAGGCTACACATAATAGATGCAGGTCATTGTTCTGGGAGGTGGCATAGGTTCATATTCCATTTGGCTGAGGAACAAGTCAGCACTGACGATAGTACACATAGCTCAAGTGCAGTCCAGTTTGGGCTCTCGAAAAATGCAAGCTCTACCACGTGTTGATCCCGAGAGTACTTAGATAAGCCCAAATATTCGCCGCCTATTTGAAGCTCATAATTCGACAATATTGCGCAACTAGAAGTTGAAGGCCGCACAGTTATATATGTCACCGGCATTGTCAATCTTCTAGACTAGATGCTCAGTACTAGCTCGACTTTGTACGATCTGACTGAGAGTTTTAAAACTAGTCTAGCTTAAACCCTATGGGAATCCATTTCGATTGGAATGCCACGTTCAGCATACAACTTCTCTGACCATTTCCACTTGTTCGCCGGAACATTCGATCTAATGTTTTAGCAATAGATGTGAGCTCGATCTCAACCACTGTAGATAGTGTTTTAGACAAGACAAGACTCGTGCTATGTCACTACTGATCTTGTGAATAGGCGAAGACTTAGTTGAGCTATGGATTCAAGGCGATGAAAAGTTGAAGTGACAATCTGGAAAACAAACCACTTTATATCATGCTATTTGTAGGAATGTCACTGCTGTTTTCGTGATGCGATTGACCTATATCCTGGAGATCGACCTGTCGCTCCTATACTATGACCACAGTGAGTAAATACTCTGCTTCTCTTGGCTGCCATACTGGTTACACCTCCCAGTCCTCTGACCGGGTTCAGGTCTGAATCTGTTGTATGAAATCTCACGCAACCAACCCTCTCATAGATATTGCTCTCGGTCGAACCTACTTTCTCCACAAGTAAACAGTCTGAGTTTGTTCCGGGCAACGTAAAAAGCACTAAATATGAAGCTGGTCTGTATAGTCCAGTGTCGATACTTCAATCCCTTTTTATTCCGCGTGCATTCATTGCCGAAACCAGGTGTGTCCCATTGTCACCGTGCACACAGAAGACATGCTCAGAGAACTGGCTCAGGCTCTCGCTATCGGCTTGAGTAACAGTGCCGCTCGATATAAAGGACGAATCATCACCTTCGTCGCTATAAATCGCGCCAAAGATGTTCTTGCTAGACCATGAGGAAATGGTCTGCGAGCTCCGGACGAGGGGCTCCGCCAATGCCCTGAGAACAAGAGCGCCATAACAGACTTCTCTGTAGGGGTTTGTTTTGCTCTTTAAGACTATCTCGTGTGACAGTAACTGTATGTCCAGGGCCCCATAATGACCACTGTCCCTGGGCGAGTATGGGTAAAAATAGACCGGTTGATCGGTAACAGCCTATGACCTTTGCGACAAAACATCAGTAATAATTATTTCAGGGAGTAATATAATTAGGCTTTGCGCCAATCTGAAGAAAAGCGAACAAGCTATTGTTGGTTGGTAGAAGATGCACTTCCTTACCACGATGGGGCTCGATACCGCTCAAGATGTTCAGCTGCACTTCTCTCTCTACACTACTTCAGACCAGGGGCAATATCGTAGCTCCAGATTCCGGCGAGGTAGTCGCCAAAAATTCGTGAATGGAGACGCCGAGTAAATCCAGAAAAGGCAGGCAACTTGTCCGACGCAAATGTCAGTTGTTTGTAGGAGTAATCCTGCACCAACTTGTAATATTCTCCGACCATAGCTTTGGTGTCGAACACCTTAAGCGGTCTGTATGGTGGGGGTACTCTGGAAGATAGGAAAGACCATAAGCCTTCGTATCCCATCTTTGGGAATCTCAAGCCGGAGGAAAGGCCATTTGCGGCCACATATCTCAATGAGCACCTCCAACAATACATTCGATGTTCTCCGTAAAATAAGCATCGTTGGGACAGCAGCAATTCTTGGAATGTCCAGCATCGACTTGAAAGTGGACTGTGTATATCCGGTAGATTCAAGTCCTCTTCCAGTTGATCAGGCTTTCGTATGCTCACAACTGTATAAGCAGTGGATTACGGACCCAGTGCCAATGTTGTACAAATGGGTAAAGGACTCGATGGTGAGGATTTCAGAACGCATTGAGTACTTCCTCCCTATGCCATTGCGAAAATTTTCACCATAGCGTTGAGACGGTTGAGAAGTTTTTGGGAGTGATGTGTAGCCTTGAGTAAGGTTAACCCATTCTTTATGAGCAGTTCACGTTCTAATGGTATGCTGGGAAAGATTTGCAATGGCGCAAAGTCTTCTTACTACTGCTGGATTCGTGCTGCCAGTCCTGCTTCGAGTCTTGTAGGATACATATAGAGTCAATGGCCCTAGTAGGAAGCGCGGAGGGCCCATATGAATGGCAACAGGCATGCTCCTGACAGCACACCCTGATTCATTCACGGGCAATAGATACGTTAGTATTCAAGCCGAGATAGCTGATACTGCCCGATATGAAAGTGCCCTATCTGGCAATTGTGTTCTTTCGATCCTCATCCGTAAGGCCATTTGTCTAGAATAGCCAAGTGTTAGGTGTAGGGCATCTTACCTCGGGGTACATCAATTTTGAGACTGAGATAGGGAAATTCCCAGTCGTCCATGCCCGACTCACTGCTGTCGTACGGGGCCGCTGTTGGTACAATTTGCACCAGAAGAGCGTCGAAGACGAAGACTTTATCTATAGTGTCTGATACGTATGCATGACTGTTGCTGACGCAAAGACGGACATAAGAGTTCGGCAACCTCATGGCGGCAGCGCACATTGAGGTTTGAACATCGCATTTTGGTCCAAGCCATGTCGTTGGCCATAGCACAGGTTATTCATCCTCATGCGGGGACTCCTTGAAACAAGCGATGATGAGTTGACAAAATTCACAGCCATGTTCTGCAGCTCGTTCTAGATCCTGAAAACAATTGACGGTGCTGGTAAAAAGCCTCGACTGGGAAAGAGTGACCCGCGAATTCATGCTGGGCGAGTTGGACGAGTTCGCTAATCGACAAATTGCTGCAATACTGACAAGGGGCCATTGCAGATGCTCACTATTAAGCATGTAGTGTTTTGATAGCAAAATGTGTCAATAGAAATTCGCAAAACGTAGCGCAAGAGTCTACAAGACTTATTGCTATGAGCAGACTTAGTTGTCCCGTGCTATGATATACTTGGGGCGCTTGTAGCTTTTGTCGATTTGGTTTATTTGCAAGTCAGTCGCTAAAAGTGAAGGAGAAGCGTTTGGGAGCCGATATGAAAGGTACATTCGCGCTGAGGGGAGCAGTAGATTTCAATAAAAATGTCACAGTGTACTCGGGATTATGATACGCAGAGCTCACGAGGGTGATTTGATGTTGTCAAATAAATGAAAGATTGTCCTGGAGTTTACGACGGTCGCTTTTGAGGCCTACATATTTTCCGCCTGATAGGCATCTTCGAGCCACCGCTTGGGACTTCGCCACGCACAATGTTATGTGTCAGATAACGCTTTGCATCCAACAGGATCAGCCCCATGCGGTGTGCGGGTGCGAGAATCTCAAAATTGAAAGCAACGACTAATTATGGCAGAGGAACTATTCAGACACGACGCAGCAGGTCCAGTCCTAGCGCAGAACCGTTTGATAGGCCCTTCAACCTCAGAGCACTCACGATTGTCCGTTGAGAGTAAATACATTCTGTAGGCAGATGGTTGGACACTAACCAATAGTCCGGGCCGCCCCTAGCGCATTGGTTGGTCGCGCAATTGCCAGCCACTTTAACTTACTCCCCGGATGCGTAACTAACTAATCCTTACACGGTCGCGAACGCGTCTTTGGCTTCGAGACGCGCTCTATCGTGAATGAGAGTGGGCCCCGTCGCGAAATATGAGATGGACTTAATCTGCCCAGGCGGTTTTCCTTTTCTACCAAGACAAGGCCCCTCTACCTTATCCCTACCCACTACTCCGAACTTCAATCTCAATGCAACCGCAAACCACCCTCTTGCACTTTTTACACGTATTTTCTTTGGATTGCTAGCAACTGCAATAATTGTTCCAGAGCCACATCGATTTGTTTCAGGCTGTGCCTTCTTAGCTGCTTCTTGTAATTGTCAAACACGATGCCACCTGCCGTCAAGCGCCAGAGGCCTACAGTCAAGTCCAGCATCGCTCCTCCCAAAGAACAAGCTACAACGAGCATCAGCAAGTTCACACATGTCTCCAAGAGTATTGGAAGCAATGGCTTGGAAAAAGACGTCCATTCCAGGACCACATGTGCAACAAACACAAAGGCTTCTGCGCTTGCGCCGTCGACCCGGAAACGCAAGGCAGTTGCAACTGTCCAAGAAGAGAGCGACTCTTCTGCCGATGAGGCCGTCAATTTATCGCCTCCCACACCCAAGCAAAGCAGCGAGAGAGATATTCTACCTGCCAAGCGCGGCCGTGGCCGTCCTTCCAAGAAGTCACGCGCAACTCCCGCTTCTCTGAAACGTGGCAGAAGTCCCAGTGTATCCGTCTCCGAATCCGACGAATCAACCATCAATACTGACAAGCTTTTCAAGAGGCTGCGACTGGAGTCCTCACCATCACGAGCATCTTCCCCCCTTACGGCATACACTTCCACCACTGAATCGGATGCTGATTTCGAGCTCGGGATTCCTTCTCCACCCTCGTTGCCCAGCGAAATCCTCGACCTAGTGCATCTTCACGCGGCGTTTCTGAAGACACTTACATTGCATTACGCACACAATGGCTCTCACGTCCCGGCCGACCTTCGTGTCTTGCGCCCCAACGTCGCAAGAGCATGGGGAAAGAAGGCAGTCTGTGAAATGGATATCAGGACTTGCCTCGGCGTTCTCAACATGAAGACAATGCAGCCGCGGTTCTTCCTATCAAATTATGGCCGTGGAAAGGTTTGCATTGAGATTGATGAGACTCAATCTTGCGGCCCACTCGCTGAGAAAGAACTCAACGATATCTTTCGTAGTAATATCGAGACTCTCTGGTCTCACTTTCACCAGCAAAGTTCCACCTCGAAGATTGATAGCTTCGTCGACAGCCTACCGAAAGCCAGCATCACCATTTGCGACTCAGTTGCCAAGGCGTCTACGGTGATTGCAAAGGGCCAGCAGCGTCTCGCCGAGTTAAAGCAAGGAATGGCCGCTAAAAAACTAGAGAAGGATACCAGAGTCACAACCGCACCTGCATCTACACCTGCACAGTCGCCTCTCACCAACCCGGATGGCTCCAAGATGAGTCTGTTGGACCGAATCCGGTTTAAGCAATTGCAGAAAGCCTCGCTTCCCGCCGGACTCTCTGCTGCTGAGATGGAGCGCCGTGCAGCATTACAACGTGTTGACGAGGTCGCCGCTCTCATTGGTATGCTTAGCCGAGCAAGCTCTACGGGAATGGGACGCGTCTCGTTCCCAATGCCAGTCATGCTGCAGAAGCTCAAGGATTCATTCCGCATGGGTATATCCAAAGAAGAGGGTGCTACCTGCGTCAGGCTGATCGCAAAAGAAATAGCCCCTGAATGGGTAGTGGTTGTCACCATCAATGGAAAGGAGAACGTGGTCGTGGAGACGGATCGACAGTTGAGTAAGGTGGATGTAGCAAAACGAGTGCAGAGTATCACTGCTAGCAACTAGGATTAGAGTTGCGTTGTACGTATAGCGGTGCGAAAGCCAGCTAGAGTGGCTTTAGCCGTCAGGACTTGGAAACAAGCTTCACATGTGGATTGGCGTTCTGGAGTTGGACTATCACAAGGATAGAAGGCATAGCGTTCATTGTTCTGAATTTGCAAGATACCATAGTTGGGTCGACTCTCCAGGAGTAGGGATGTTTTGGATGCTCAACGCAGACGAGTAGGTTTGAATATACTGGATGTTCTATGCAATTAATCCTGATTATCGTGAACCAATAACTGGCAACCAGTACGTACAGCCATGATAGCTTCCACTTCATGTCTAATAGACATGTACAACACATTGAAAACTTCTTTCAGAATCGAGTTGTTCACAATGAAATCAATCATTCTCGACAGCCCATGCGGACGTACTCAGGAACGCGCATTGTCTTTGATGCTCAGCGTAGTAACAGTAATGCCTTTGTTTCATTCGATGCGTCACTGTAAGGTACTCCGAAGTAACTACTAGCAATTCAGAGATATACCAGCGCAAACTGCTGTTCTCCTGTACCACTACCATGTGCCCAAGGACTGAATCAAGACTCAACATCACTGTCCAACAACAAGCTGGAAGTCCATCACCGACTTTGCAGCCGCCGTATCGCCTACAGCCATGTCCTCGTTACAGGTAGACCATCTAAGACTTTTTCGCAAATCTCGGCTGGCCAATGTCCTTTCCTCGAAGCTTGACGTTGAGGACACGTTCCAACGAAGCAAGCACCTTTTGGTCAGGTGCCGACGAACCGTCCTCCATGGCCTTGACGATAGAGAGACTCGCATTGGCCTTCGTGGCTAGTTGTTGCTGGGTCATCGTAGGCTCAAACTTTTTCCGTGCAGCTTCGATTGCATCTCCGACCGCCCTGCCCACAGTCTGGGGCTTGATTATGTCGTCGGAGCGGTCGACCTTGGTCAGACGTTGACCTCCGGTTCCAGCAGCAGCCTGCGCGATCGTTCTTTAGCATTTGTAGCCGAGTGGTAGGATCGGATAGATGGACCAAATTATCTTGTCACGCATAGGCAGGGGGTCGTGGGGAACTTGGTTTGCGGATATGACGCAAAGGCATTCTCTTGCACTGCAAGTGCCTCAAAACCTTCGACTAGGAAGCAAACGGGGCACGACTTACAGTTTGAGCCGTAGCATACTTCTTCTCGGTAGAGATGGGACCTCCGCTGCGTCGCGCGGCGTTGAGGGCAGCCTGACTACGCACCACCGTCTCGCGCGGACCACCACTGCCACCCTGGGTTCGGCTACCAATCTTGGTGACAGTATCCCAATCAGCCATCTTTGCGGTAAGTATGTGGGTGAATTTGGAAATGTTTATAACAAAGAGATGATTCAATGGATGCTGTGGGGCTGGATGAAGCGATATCAGATGAAGCGACCTGTGTGCTCTGTGTAGGTTGTAGGGGCAGATTGGCGTGCAAAAGGTTTGTGAGTGAGATAGTTTTCAGGTGAAGCCATGTCACGCTCGTGGAAAGCGATCGAAATATGACGGTGTGAGTGGCCTCAAGCGCTGTCGGCTGGAGGGGCTCAGAACCGGACACCCCGCAGGACCTTGCCATTGACTCAATCGGTGAGGCAATCAATCTTTGAAAGGGGCACACAGACCACTTTGAGATCTTCCGTCTCACGTCGTTGCATCTTAACTCCGATGAGGCGCTGACGAGCTTGAGGATCCACCCGTACGGATCCGTAGTGCTGGGGCGTTGAGTTGAACCTTTGCGCCAGGCGCCTGTGGCGTACGGAGTACCGTAGGTTAGTAACATACAAATTACTGTGGATGACTGCATTTGTTACCAGACGCGCGCGTTGAGGAAACCGGACACTTCCCTCCAACATTCTTTTAATACTCTCCGTCTCTCGGAAGTAGATTCGGCTACAAATTGCAATACATGGCAACCTATTCGTCGTACGTAGTATTTAGAATCATCAAATGAACCGATGTCCCTAAGTGTAACGAATCGGGTTGTTGTCGTATATGCGACGAGGAGAATCTTTAGGTGAGCCAATCGGTTTTATTTTGTCGTGCGCAACTGTTTAAATTCTGTAGGCTCTTCTTTTTCTTTCTTCCCCTTATCTGATATCATGTTGTATTTGCACGTTCATTCGGAGAAAATTTGGCTAACGAGTGCGCAGCTTGGTTCCGTTGCAATGAGTTCTGCATCCCTCCGATTGACGGATATCACTCATGCACCGGTATGGCGAACAGGAGCCACGGGCATTTTGGCAGTGTCTTATTATGCATTGTTCGGAACTGCCACTGATGCTTATCTACTCATCCTCTTCACGTTGTGCAAAAAATGGCAAAGAGGCCAGCAGCTTTCTCTTCCTGGCTATGTAATACACAGCGTGCTCGTGGTTTCAGTTGTTGTAATCTCCATTTCCCATACTATCTGGCATCGACCAGAACGTATGCAAGAAAGAAGACGCCCAGCACATGCAGCTGAAATTTATTTTGAATCGATATTCAGGCGATATCTCCGCCATTTGGTGAGCCAGACACCCGCTCAATTGGTGGTTCACTATATTCCCATCGGAGTTGCAGATGCAAAAACAGAAACCATAAGATCACGCTCTACACAAGAGAAAGGTGATATTGCAGAGGTTCTAGAGTTCAAGATCCTGGCCCCCGTCTTCTACACGAGATTTGTTTGTTATGCCCACGACCTAGAAGCGTTGTTTTGCGAACTCATCGAGAGTTGCACAATTTGGGTTTCCAGGCCCGAGTTACTGCCAAAGTTGGTCTTCAAGAAGCCATCGCCTATTCTCAACACTCATAACCCTGTTGAGTTTGCGGCTTTTAAGCTCATACAAAAACTTCGAAAAAGACCTGAGCGGATTGAGCAGCCATTGACCTCAAGTCAGCCTCCCAACCACACCTCTGCAACACATACCAAGACAGACATTCGAAACTTCAGGCTCTCTTCAATGGATGGTTACGTCCTAAACCACGAGTCTACTAAGGCAAGGAGGCAGTACCGGTCGATGTTGCTAAAGTTGTTCGTCGCAGACAGAATAGCTCTAGGAAACCCGACATTGCTTTTGTTAGAGCAATTGACCCTGGCGGCGATGATCGCATGGTTTGTAGCATGTTAACTATTCATATTTGAATGAGTTCTTTGAGATTAGTCAACTTCGTAATAAGCCAACGAGCTGTCGTGCTTGCATGCAAGCACATGCTGGCTCAACCCAATACCAACTCGACGTGGAGTACAAGCCAAATTGCTTGGGAATATGCAGAAGGTTGAGAACGGACCGAAAGTCGCCCGAAAAGACGCGTCTCCACGCCATCCGCTCGAAGTCACACATTTCGCTTGTTGTGGACTTACTAGGAAGCCTTTTACGGTTGCATTTCTACTTCTGGTTCAGGAGTCAGTACTGTGCATATGCCAAGAGGACACCCATGCGAACCTCCATGGCGTCAAGAGAGCGAGGATTATATGCATCCTACCATTCCATCAATGTCACTCCGGATCCCACTCGTTGGAATGTGGGGGTCATCAACGAGTACTAAAGTATGTGCTGTAACCGCGCAGCACGGTTCATGAGTTCGCATTACAATGCCAACTGAGACTTCACTCAGGAAGTAGGATAACCAGTGTAAGGACAACCTTGGCCTATTGCCGTTGTCCGAATCATATCTGAGTCGAAGTCTGGCCATGCAGCTTTCAATAGTCTAAGCTCTTATCCTGCTTAGCATCAATGAACTACCAGGACCCGTGATATTTCACATGCTGGCAGTCGTGGGAAACGCCCAGTGCGAGTCTATTTAATAGACCTTCTTTGCGTTTCTATACTTAGTTCTTCGTTGCAACCTGGTACACAATACCCACCATTCTCGCCACTAGCTACTGCTGGGAAGCCGCGCAATAAGTGCACATAGGTAAACCGCTTTGTCGACTTGGAGCGCCTGCACTTACTTTGCTGACATGCCGTAACCCATGTGTCTGCAATTGCAACCCACGTTCGCTAATGAAGGCAAACGGATTTGTGGCTAATTCCGAAAAATACACAACCAGGGATGGAATGCAACTTTACATAGTGCCAATCGTATGGCCAAGAGATTACCATAGCCTCCTGTTAAAGCACGGCCTATCGGAAGCGAAAGCAGTCAATAGTTGTTTGCAGGCTGGACAAGGTTCATTGCGAGAACGCCGATGCTGACCTGTCTATGGAATGCAGCTCTCTGTTGTTCTCTACTTTGATATCTTGGATTTTTATGCAACCGCGGGTCTTCCGATGCATGTGCTAGCCACTTTTCGGTCACCATACAAATTTGGATCTGTTCTTGTCGCCATAGTTTGCTGCAACTAGGCCTTCATTCTCGCAAAACTTTCGTCGCCTTTCCCCATGTCATTGATATGACAGGGTTAATTTTGGAACCGTCCCTATTCGAGAAGGTAACTAATTCTACCGGAGGCAACCGGGCTCCTCATTCGCTAAAGATTCTAATTTCGGAATTCGAGAGCGCCAAAAACGCTGACTTACTTCACAAAACACTTGCTGTGTGTATGGAAAAGGCAGGTTTTGTAAACACTAAAAAAAATCCCGATCAAGCGACTGTCACCTCGGCACGTGCTGCAGTATCAGTGTTCGTGCTTTTTCAGGCCCCTGAGGACCTTCTTCACATTCGCCACTCACAGATATGAATCGATGTGAAAGTTCATTTATGACAATGGAGGGTTTCTGCCTAAGTGACCGTAGCGTTGCAGGAATCTCACTAAGCCTGGGCACAGCGGACCTCGTAAGTGCCAGTCAAATCCCACCGTTGTAGATTGCTCGACAACCTGCAGCCACATCGGTGATTCGCAATGTCAGAGTCAGCCTCGAATTCAGAAAGGTGTAAGTGTGTAAGCTCGGAGTGTAGGCCCGCTTGTCTGATAGTCTGCATCGGAGGTGCGCTGCGAGCGTACGGGAGCTTTAACCGGACGAAGGAGCTGGAATATTCAAGTCATGCAGGAACAGGGCACCTGGTCCAACTAGCCACTTAGACTCGATCTAAGAGTATAGGGCTCGAAGCTGAAAGCCATCCAAAGTTGATAGCGAGGCTAGGCATGATCAATTGGATGCCTTGATCAGTATCAGTTGGTCGGTTCACTTTGGCCAGGGGAGTTTTGATGCTGGCAAATCTCGCTCGGTGGCATTCGCAGTAAAACATTATCAGCAAAATCTTTTTTATCATCAAGTTGCTTTGATGCGCTTGCCCGGATATCAATACTACCCCTGCGGTCCGAGCCGAGCAAGATTCTCTTCCAGACCCACGACTATCCACCAGAATTACATACTCGCATATCCACCCACGCCGAGGCGAGGGTGAGATGACCCATAAGCTTATTGCGCGCCGCCACCTCGTCATCTAGCTGTGGCTTCACTGGTCGCTTATGCTGTCTTGGGCCAATAAGGTATACTATCGTTCAATATTAGATGCACCTCGTCAATGACTAGGCTATAATACACGACTTCCGCGCTTGGCCTTGACGCCGACGCACTCGCCTCGTGATGCATACCGCTTTGAAGTTACGCGACCACGAACGTATCTGCATGTGCATGTGCATGTGCCTACAAGTGTTCGAGACCGAATTAGCCGGCGTCGGGTCGTTCAGGTGGAGCGAATCTTGGCTTCGATCGTGATCGAGTGCATGATGCGCATAAGTTGGTGCTATACTCGCAGTAGAGCTCTCGGTGAGCCTACCTGAATGTGCCAAGCGGAATTCTGTCGCGGTGTTCATCCACGGATATTCTCCAGACATGGGATGGTATGCTCGGAATGCCAGGAGTGGTTGTGATATCACCTGTCCAAGACGTAGCACAGTCAACATGACCATATTTATATAAAGCTTGCTCGATCGTCGTCTAGGTGGGTTCCGGATCAAGAAGTTGTTTTGTAGCTCACGTTCGCTTCAGGCTTTCCTATAGCTTAGTCCTTCTTTGCTCACCGCTACCGTTTTTGCACAATGCTGTTCAGTAGTTGGGCCTTGGCCCTCTTCTTGCCTCTCGTTTCATCCCAGCAGACCTGGGATTGGGCCAAGCCCATCTCGCGTACGGGATGGGTCGTTACTGCAGATAGTTTCAACACGGGAAACGAGGCAGCCAAGGCTATAGATGGCAACAAAAGCACCTACTGGCACACACAATACAGCCCGTCTGACGCTCCGCTGCCTCACTATATACAGGTGGACTTGCTCAAGTCTTACGTAGTGAATGGTATCGGGTATCAGCCGCGACAGGACGGGAAACGTAACGGCGACATCGGCCAGCACACCATCACAGTTAGTGCCGATGGCACGACATGGTCCTCACCTGTTGCTTACGGCAACTGGTTGAGTGACGCTACGACCAAGTACTCGTTCTGGTCAAATAGCAGTGCCAGGTACGTCCGCCTTACAGCCTCCTCCGAGGCCCAGGGTACCGGAAACCAATGGTCAAGCATTGCCGAGTTGTATTTCTACAGTCCAGACACGACGCTGGACGGAAGTACCTACGTGCCCCCATCCAAGGCTACGAAGGGTAGCTGGGATGTTACTCTAGACCTGCCTATCGTCCCTGCTGCGGGCGCCATCTCTGGAGACAATGTTGTGGTGTTCTGGTCTGCTTTCCGTCCTGATCTGTTCTCGGGCGGCACTGGCCTTACAGATACAGCGCTATGGACTCCCTCAGCACAGGCTGTGACGCCAAAGGTTGTCTCAAACACGGCCCACGATATGTTCTGCCCGGGCATATCGATGGATGCCAATGGGTTGATAGTTGTCACGGGCGGCAACGATGCGAAGAAGACAAGCAACTACGACCCAACGACCGGCGGCTGGTCGACTGGTGCTCAGATGGCTTTGGGTCGTGGCTATCAATCACAGACCACTATTGGCGATGGTCGTATCTTCACGATTGGTGGTTCATGGAGCGGTGGATACGGTGGCAAGAATGGTGAAATCTACAACTCAACCTCGAATGCCTGGAATAGTCTCAGTGGCTGTTCGGTCACACCCATTCTGACAGCTGATGCTCAAGGAGCTTTCAGAACGGACAATCATGCTTGGTTGTTTGCATGGAAGGCAAACTCGATTTTCCAAGCTGGTCCTAGTAAAGCAAGTAAGCATTGCCCGTTTTATTTGTTGAAATTATGATTTCAGGTGTTGTGCTTTCAGTATACCAGTTCTCGACAGACATGTGAAACAAGATACTAATAGACACACAGTGAACTGGTTTAATGTTACCGGCTCTGGGTCTTACAAAGCAGCTGGAACGCGAGCATCTGATACAGACTCAATGTGCGGAACAGCTACCTTATATGATGCGGTCAACGGCTACATCCTCACAGCGGGCGGCTCTCCAAGCTACCAAGATTCAAGTGCCACCACGAACACCCACAGAATCAAGCTGGGTGATGCTGCTGCCACTCCCACAGTCACAAAAGTGGCCAGCATGTCGTATGCACGGGCATTTGCCAACGCGGTCGTGCTGCCAGACGGCAAGACACTTGTTTTCGGAGGACAGTCCTACGCTGTCCCTTTCACTGATACTACATCGTCGCTGCCATCTGAGCTATTCGACCCGTCGACCCTCAGGTGGACTGTCGTTGCACCCATCGCGGAGCCACGTAACTATCATTCGATCGGTCTGCTGCTCCCCGACGCCACAGTGCTAAGCGGCGGGGGCGGTCTATGTGGAACCGGTTGCATCCAGAACCATTTCACCGCGCAGGTCTACAGCCCTCCGTACTTGTTCAACTCCGATGGTAGCCGGGCGACGAGGCCAACCATCAAGACGGTCTCCGCGACATCGCTGAAGCCGGGTGCTACATTCACTGTCTCGACGGACGTTGCAGCGACATTCGCCCTCATCAGACACGGATCCTCCACGCATACTGTGAACACTGACCAGCGCCGCGTGCCGTTGACCACTACGAGTGCCGGGACACTCACTTACAGTATTACACTTCCCTCCGACCCAGGTGTGCTTCTTCCGGGCTACTGGATGTTGTTTGCGCTGAATGGGGCAGGCGTGCCCAGTGTAGCGACGCAGTTCAAGATTTTGTTGCCCTAGATATATTGTGGGGGTGCGGTCTGAACTCAGGTCAGGCACACGCGAGATCTGAAGTTCGTATAACGGACAGTTGTGAATAAGTAATAGTTTGATTCTAATAAGCGGTGTTTGTTGCAGTCCTCGTGAGTTTGTAATGCAACGAATGTTGACTTGGGGTGGTATTAATTGAGATTTTCTGTTTACAAAACAAGCCACCCATAGAGTGATATCTATAAACATTGTATGGCACACACCAACGAGATGCATGTTTTCTTAGTTGGATTTGTCGACCAATGATTGTAAATGTGCCGAGTCGCCTAATGATGTGTCCATGACTGATCGTGAGGACCCGGATGAACAGTTTTATGGCTCTGCTATACCTCTGGTGCCTGCCAAGCTTACAGGGGTTTGGCTAGTAGCATTGCCCAGTACATCCACCACGTGAATAAGCTTAAAGACTGCCGTGGGTCAATGTTGCCAAGCAAAGACACCCTAAACGTTTCCTCTCATTCAAGGAGTATGACAAAGAAAAGGAGAAAAGGAGAAAAAAAGCAGAGAAAAGGAAAAAGGTCATTGGAGATTGCCTGTCTGACTCAATGGGTGTAACTGTACTGTGACCCAGGACGAAGCAATCAGGTATCAAAGGTCGTCGGCTCTTGCTCGGACCATCGGTGATGACTATCCATCTCCTACGCCGCATTGCAGCATGATGCCATCACGAAATTGGTTAGGCACGAGACCATGTATTGCTTTGCATCGGATCTCACAACTCAATTCGGTTCAGCAAGCTGACAGGGCCCCTGGACATCGTGGGACTTTGCGTTCAGGCAGCCTTTTAAGGAGACGGCTAAATACCCCATGGTTCGTGTGACAGCTCATTTTCTTGCTCGCGCCAGTTTGTATGATTCCTTTAATGAAGCATTGACTTGCCAAATCTGAGTTGTTGGCGCCCGTTTCTTGTCCATCAGCTATTCAAGAAGCAGTCAGTACGATGAAGACCACAGCAACACTTCCAGCGGCCTTGACGCTACTCGTAGCAGGCCTATCGACCGCTCAAGCTGACAACTCCGACTACCTAGACTCCGTCTGCTCACCCGAGGGGGATTTCACGTCCGGTCCCATCCCACCATGCATTGACATTATCAGCATTGAAGCCACCTGTGCGCCCAACGGAACCGACGCTCTAGCCCTTGAGGCCCACGCGCAGTGTATGTGCAAGGGTTCATACTTTGCGGAGTGGCTCGGATGCCGACAATGCCTCTTCGATCACGGCGGGATGAGCGAGCGAAACCTGACATACTACAAGTCGGTCATCGCCACGGCCTCGAACCTGTTGTGTACCGGCACGCCCACGGCACCATTCCAGACGCTTTTCAGCAGCGCAGGCGCCGAGGTGCCGATACCCACAGTTGGCGGCGCTGCGTTCAGCGATGTTGCGTCAGGGAACACAGCGGTCAGCGTGTATTATACCGCGAGCGGAAGTCAGGGCCCGGGGCAGATCACCGGAAGTGCGACAGCGGCGACCGCTACGGTGTCAGTGACAACTGATGCTGCCGCAACAACGACAACTGGCGTGGAGCCAAGTACAACCACTGGAGAGAGTGCTGGGACTAACACTAGGGGAACATCCGCCAGCACCTCCGCTACTTCGAGCTCGAGCAACGTTGCCGCGGCGACGGGGGTCGCCGGCGGCATCAAGAACTTGTTGTTCGCTATGGCCGGTGGGGCACTGGTGGTTGCATTATGATGATGCCCGGAGAGTGACATGTGTCGCGGATAATGTGCATAAGAGAACGAAAGGCTTAACAGATGGGTAATGTTTACGGTAGAAAATGTTGTATGAAAGTAATGAAAGCGCATTGAGATGAGTATGGACACTGTAAGCTTGGCAGTACCTTGTTCACATCAACTCAACGTTTCCCGCCTCACCATGTCCAGTCATATAGCACATGCTCTATCAGTCAACAGCCAGGCCGGTTTGATAAGTATTCATTTGTTTGCTACAGCCAAGGTGCTTGAGCGGTATGCAGCACTTGCATAAACCACAGCCAAATATCAATCCACCTTAACTCCCAGCATTTCAATTTGAATAGGCTGGTATCGTGCCGCCAAGCCAATTCGGTGTCCGAAAGTAACACTTATTCAGGCATATGCTTGAAAGGCTTAGCCAAATTTTCCTGGCAGAAGGGCAGCTTGCCGACAGTCCAAATTTCGGTGTCCTGCGGATGACCGATGTGTTAGTCCCGACTACGTATAGCAGCCACATTATGTTTCAGGTGACGTCATGCATGAACTTACAGGCTTCAACTTCTGCTTATCCTCGTTACTGAGCGTACCGCCCTTGAGAGCAATGATCTCTGGAGCGGCATCTGGGTCGTGGGCGATGGGTGAGCCACAGTCACCGCAAAAGATGCGATGCACCTGCTGGCCGGAAGAACCTTTGCTTGAGTACTTCTTGGGGTTACCGGTGATTGTGAGCTTGTCCTTGGGGACTACGACAACGAGCGCTGTTTTAAGGAGTTGCATGTTAGCCAATTGGGTTCGAGTGGTTATGATTGGCTCGTAGAATTATGAATCCATGGTGGTGGCTTACAATATGTCGAGCCGCTCTGACGTTGGCAATCGTCGCAGTGGTCGTATCCGACGATAAGAGGATCAGCATCGACCTTGTACTTGATGCTACCGCAAAGGCAGTGACCGCTGAGAACCATGGTGACGTGGTTATATGACAACTTGATTAAATTTTTCGGTTTAATATATGGTTTCCTGTAGAGTTGTTTGTAATATGGAACGAAGAATACATGTCATGGGCAGATAAAGCTGAGGATAATGGTGTTTATATAGTTACGAGAAACCCCCAATTCGAGTGGTTCTGCAGGACTAATGCAAGTTCTGCGGTGAAGGCTCAATCCGTGCATAGTCTTCCAAATCATTTAGATCAACACAGGATCATTAATTGAAACATGACAATAACCGAATCTCAAATTGTGGCACGTAGTACCCTCACCTGCACGGATCTGCCTGACCTGCATGTCACATCCCCCATTCAACGAGCCTATGACGATAGCGGGGCTGCTACAGACAAAACGGATGCCCGCCGATAGAGCCATGGCGGGGTAGCTTCGAGCTATAGAAGGCCCCGCTGGCCTGAAGGTTTACAAAGTCCAGCCATTCAATTTCGAAGACTAAATTCAGATTGGAGTTCATGTTTCTCTACAAGATATGGATTTGTGCCAAATGGTAAATCAACATTATTGTCATTGCGTTGATTGAAATCTAGCATATCTCAGGAAATGAAGCCGACGCCATTAAGGAACGGGATATGGAAGCTACGAAGGATTTCACAGTATTTGTCATTATATCATAGCTGAATCTCCAACGAACGAAAATGAGCTTTTACTGGGTTCTTGTGTCCCGATAAAAGTAATTATGGGGTACATTAAAGGGGGGCGAGCCAGATTCATATTTATCTACGAGGGTAGGCATGTAGATAGTATTTGGAATTTGGAATAGTTGGCTGACGCGCATGCGGGCTGCTGACTGTTTATGGAGCTTCGCTTGATAGCGAAGGAGTCTGGAGTCCAATGTTTTCTCACCACATAGCATCCACTACGGCACTGCTCATGGTTTTAGTACGGCTGGGTGCAGTGTCCCTCGATCTACGCTTGGCATCACGAGCAGGGGCACAGCAAGATACCCGGCATCCAGCTATTGCACAATTGCCATGTTACATGCATAACACAGTTCGCGATGGTATCATTTACAACTTCCAATTTAGGAACTACAATAGTTAAATATCTACTCAAAGCCTGTACGCTATCCTCCATTACGTCATACCCCTAGAAGCTCATACGAACGCAGTCCTGTCTTTTGTCCTTAGATTGACGCCTTTGTCGTAGCTCCTAGAGCAGCACCCGATGCCGGGATCAGGAAGTCACTCTTGGGCACAGAGCCATCTGCACCCCTCGCGCCTTTCAGGGTGGTCGGACTGACACTCACAAAAGAGCTGTTGGACCACGTCGTCGATGAGTCCCATGAGTTTCCTGAAGACTTGACCGTGCTGACCAGGCTCACCTGGGCGCTTCCACTGTTGACTGCTGCGATGTTGCCGGTCATGGTGGAAGATGAGCTGCGCATGACATAGCCGGTATCTCCATTGTTCCAAGCGGTGTTCCGGGTGAATGTCAGGGATCCTGGGTTCCCGTTGTCAATGAAGCCCTTCTTGGCATTTGAGAAGGCAATGCTGTTCTTGACAATGTGGCCAGCAGGCGGGTTGTCGGTAATGCCAAGCTTGAAGCCGTTGCCGTCGCCCTCAAAGTCGGTAAAGCCCCATCGATTGAAACCGTTGCCCCAAGAGTATACCTGCGATAGCCAAGGTTAGCGACTGGAATTTCCCAAATGATTCGACAAATTCTCGTCAATGCTGCAGATCATCCCCAGAGCCCATGGCCTCAAGTAGGCCATGATTGCTCCGGAAGATAAGCCGAGAGAGAAAAGGGGAAGGACTGCAGAAATAGCTTACTTGGTCGATGGTTACAGGAGATGCGAACATGTAAAGGTCCAGTCCGTCATCAACGTTATCCCAAAGCCTGGCGTTGCGCAAGACGTTGCCCTCGCCGGATCCTTCTTTGCAGGCGAAACCATCGGCGCTCTCTCCGTTCTTCCGCGGGTCTCGATTACGGTATGAGTCTAAGTAGATGACTGTGTTGTTCGAGGACTCTCCTTGTAGTTGGAATCCTGACTCATAGTTGTCGTGCGTCGAGAGCAGCTCGTAGTAGTTGTTAGAGGCGTCTCGGGCATAGACGCCATATGGTCCGTTAATCAGCCTAATAATATATTAGCAATCTTTGAATAACCTACCAGGTGATCGATGACTTACTCCAAGTTATAGAACTTCCAGTAATCTGCACCTTCGATGTGCAGAATGCCTCTTTCCTTATTGGGGAGAGATACATCGAGACCATATGGCGTACTGTTATATTCTTGGTCAGCTCGACGAAGTCTTCATGCACCACGCCAGGACTTACCCAGGAAGACCCTCTCCATCAATAATGACCTTTTCAGTTCCGTATGGTCGCAGTGTTATCGGCGAGTTCGCGCTACCACTTTTGGTGATCTGAATGTTGGTTGTGGGGGAGTAGGTTCCGGCGCGCAGATAGATGGTGTCACCAGCAACCGCAGCATTTACAGCAGACTGTATAGATCCATATGGCGCGGTGGAAGTACCCGTGCCAGTCCCAGTAGGGGAAACATAGATATCCGTAGCATAGGCAGTACCGCTCACGGCAGCCAACAGCGCGGCGATCTGTGAGGCTCGAATATATGACATGACTACAGTTTAAGGGGATTGAAGATGTGCTTGTCTTCTGAAGTGTCTCAAAAGCCGTTCGAATAACTACTATATACATCTCTTTATCATAACACATCCTATTAAGAACGGTGCTCTGCCTCCCCTATTACCCTTCTTGGATCAGCGTGTGCCATGCTCACACTGAAATGAAGGTGCATTACAACTCTTGGCAGTCCACACAATACTCCTTAATCCCACCAATGAAGTTCAATTTTACGAGACTACTGTATCCGATTCAGGGAAAATGGATATGTGCAAAATCAGGATGCTTGACAGTTCTCATTGATGTAATATGTCAAAATTAACCTTAAGTGCTGGCTGTCGTTGGCCGAAACCAATACGATTTACTGGTAAGATATTATAAATGCCAAGAATCATCTCATATCTTCCTGAAACGGTTCGCCAAGCCTTCCGTAATGGAACAATTCCAGAACATTGCCTGCCCGTAGCCGGATCGTCCTCATGGCGTCAGGGTCGTCGGGACAATTCAAAGCCCAATCAATAGACGCCAGTCACAAGAACTCATTGTACCTGGGTAGCACGCTATTGTTTCGCCGCCTGCTATTGTTTCGCCGCCTGCTCGCCCCGTCGCTCAATCGAGGGCTGTCGGTGTATATTTGGCACACACCGCATGATTCTACAGTGATATGAGAAGTCGTCTTGACCGGCGACCTGAAGCAATGCCCAGCGCGGGAGCAATTTCAATTGCCACCTCGCGAGATTTAGGTTTTCAGCGCCGCATGGCAGGGCTGTTCATGCTTGGCATCGTGGACGGGGATTTTCCCTGCTCATTCGCCTCGGACCGATTCGCGCATTCCGGATTCTTGGTTGTAACAATTTGGGCCGCAAACAGCGTGGGCATGAGGAAAGGCGGCTGGGGAGCACATAAGTCTACGGGTGGTGCTGCAGACTTCTTGTGTCACTGTGCTGGTCATTGAAGAAGCAGAGATAAGGTCATTTTCAGTTTTTCGGACTCACTAGAGTGAACAGTGCCTTTGAGTGGAGGGTCTGGCGAAGAAGAGTATTCACGGCTTGGTCCCGACTTGCTCTCAGAGGTAGGAAAAAGGCAAGAGATAGCTGTGGGTGCCTTGTCGCCTCATTCCCCATGGCAATGGTTGATATATGAAGCGTTTCGACCGCATTGATAGATACAAAGTGGCAGTATTACCCATAATAGATCACATTTGATTATCCTTGAGGATATACGCTAAGTAATACTTCCTAGCTGGCTTATGACCAGATGAGAAACATAGAAGGCCCTAGGCGTTAAAATCACTGGCATTCTTTACGTTGGACAAGTTTGGGTAGTTCTTTGAATTATCGAATGATGAGAGTTCGTAACTTATCGGACACTCATCTCAAATTTCATTAGATAAACTGTAAAATAAGTGATTGGGTGGAGGGATCCGGGCCCTGCGCTCATGAGATACATTGTGGGTAAGTTATCGAGATATTTAAAACCTTTCATTCAAGTTTCACTTCTCCTTGCCCAACGAGCAGACTCAATCCAAGCGAATCAAAACAGTATGGCAAAGGACGATGCCTGCAAACACCGTTATCAGCATGTCGGATCCCGACGTTCATGCCGACGAGCCAAGATCCAAGATCCGGCCCAGAGATATCCCGACTTGATAGATGGCTTCAACAGACCTGACGTAGACAAGTATCATATGACGTCTAGCAAGGAATGAGGATCTGTTCTAGAATTGAGCTCGTGCGGGTCGAGTCTCGGCTGATACTGGCATTCGTCTTCCGGTGTCCTGGGGTGACTGTATCCGAAGATTTGAAGACACCTGATGATGAAATAATATCCTACTACGAAAGCGTTAGACCAAATTCTTCAAATTGTGTGCATTGTCTGTCTGTGGAAGTCAAACAAGTCTCTTGACATGTAGGTGGTACAGAGCAGGAGGCATAACAACCACGGAATACTCTGTAAAAATTTTTTAACAGTCTGTATTAGTTCAGCAGTGCAGTTAACTATTGTTTCCAGAGGAATGCTCCGCCTGGAACTATTTATAGCCGGCAGATCTAGAGCTTACTTGTCTTCAAGACATCTCTCGCACCTCCTTTCTCGCCAAACATTGCCCGCAAATCACCAATGATAGCTTCTGGATTCTCCCAAGCCGGAAAGTGCCCGCCCTTGGGATGTTGCTTTTCATGCACGACGTTCCCCATCTGGCGACTCCATACTGCGGGCAAGGCGATCACGTCCTTTGGGAAATGGCCCAAGCCCATCTTGACATTTTGATACTTGGCCATTTCATTCCACAAGTTCTGTCCTCCGCCAATGGCGCTACCTCCGGCCGCCGACGTGTTTTCATGCATGTTCTCATAATAAAGCCTCACACTAGCTGCGGGACCAGCCGTACTGAACCAGTAGATGCTCATCCAGGTACAAACCTCGTCATCCGTCCAGGGGTACGAGTCCGTCCAGTCGTGCAGCTTCTCATATATCCAACTGAGCAGCGCGACGGGGCTATCTGCAAGAGCGTACCCGATCGTCTGGGGCCTGGTGCTCTGGACCTGATTGTACCCACGGCCCTCCTGCCGAAACCACTTGCTTCTGGCGAGACCCTCCTTCTCGCGCTGCGTCCAGGGCTTGACCATGCTCTCAACGGCCAGTAGCGGGTGCCTCAGGAGCGAGGGCGGGCTTCCCATACCCAGGTTGACGTGCTGCGCCCGCGCGTGCGCCGGATAGAAGTAGGACATGGCGCGCGTGATGGCCCAGCCCCAGTCGCCGCCCTGGGTCACGTACTGATCGTATCCGAGCTTGAGCATGAGCTTGTTCATAACCTCGGCGTGCTGGGCGATGGAGAAACCGCGCTTCTTGGTCCCCTCTGAGAAGCCGAAGCTGGGCAGCGAGGGCACCACCACGTGGAACGCGGGGGCTCCGCCCTCACCGGTTCCCTCGGCCAGCGGCTCGACGATCTTGGTGCCCTCGTAGAAGCTGCCGGGCCATCCGTGCACGAAGATGAGAGGTATGGCGTCCGGGCGGGGACTTCGCCGGTGGATGAAGTGCACATTGAGCGTTTCGAAACCCTCGACGGAGATAGGTGTCGTGAAGTGCGGAAGCTCGTTCAGCCGAGCCTCTGCGCGCCGCCAGTCGAAGTTCACGGCCCAGTGTTGGGCCAGGCGTTTGACGTCCGCCAGAGGCGTGCCAAGATCCCACTCGGCTCCGTCGAGCTCGTCTGGCAATCGAGCTCCAGAGAGGCGGCTCTTCAGGTCTGACAAGCCTGCATCGGAAATGGCAATGCGGTAAGGCTGTATGTCAGACATGGTCAAGGAACTCAGTATCTCGACGTCCGTACGTTATGTACGGTTTGTTTGGCTCCAAATTGTAGGTTCTCATAGGTTTTCTTTAAGAAACTGACCATTTACCGGCAGGCGGAAAATTTGAAAACGTAAGAAGCATCCCTAATCGAGGCTATAATATATGTTAAAGTTGGAAGACACGAGTGATAGGACGTGCAATTATTAACCCCGCATCACAAGACTTATTGCTCCAAGCAAGAGTACGCTTTTGGGACGGAGTCCAAGCATTCGGTATTGCGGCGTATGGTACGACTGTGCCGTCAGACTGTATAGTCTACTGCGGGGCCATTTATACCTCGTCGCGCCATCAATGTTCCAAAGTAAGATCTACGGCTTTCATACTTGTTCACTCGGTCCTGCATCGTAACCTCCTCGTATGTTTCAATTTTCGGGCTCATTCCTCACTCCGGTGCCTTCTATTCCTCCACAGTTCTTCTGCATATCAGGTTACAAAGGAACAAGGGGTCGTACTATGCCAACGTCCCATAAATATATCTGCAGAGTGGGTCTATGAAGCTTAAAAGGTCCCAGTTGAGTGGTATACCACGTCTGATGTGTTTATCTCACATGAGTGTCCACGACTAAAGAAACTCTTTTCTTATATCCTAAACCGTCCAAACCTTGGCGGCAAAAGCGTCTGGATTATCTGTGTATAACGGCAAGAGGTTCATCCGAGATTCTTCATAAATTAAGAATGACCGGAAAAAGAAAGAAGAAGCAACAAAACATTAAAAAAGCCCATTCTGAACAGGAGCAGCGATACGATGATGCAAGGTGCACACATCAGTAGTAGTAGTGGTGGTGGTGGTGGTGGAATGTCAAAACTGAGCTCCCGAATAAATTACTCAGAGCAGAGGGTATCAACCACAAACTAAACTCCATAGCCAAGCCAAGCCGGGCCGCATATTTCCAAATTTCATCTTTCATACATAAATCGGATGCATATCCCGTTGTTCCAGAGTTTCTTTGCATGTTTTCCACGAGTGGGCATGGCAGTGCTAGCACGCCTCTGTGTTGTCTTCAACGATTCGGAGTTGGAGTGCATAACCATTGAATCAGACCCGGAGAGTTGAGACATCGCTTCGTGCAAGCTGGTATTGTTCGGGTGCCAAGGTTGTCACTTTGTCGCACGAACCACTAATCCTCGTCGTTTTCGTCCTCCTCGTCGCTTGTTGCCTCAATGTTTGCCTTTGTTGGCTTCTTCTTCTCTTTGGTTGTGCTTTTCTGGACGCCCGACGACAAAGCGGGGCCCGAGGGGATCTCTGCAACGTCGTGGCCTTGTGCGGAGAGCTCGGCATTGATGGCGGGAATCGCCTTCAGGAGAGCGTTGTATTGCTCGACGGTCAGGGAAATGCCCTACGAGACTTCGTTAGTGGGGGCATGGAAGAGTCAAGGAACGAGAGGGTTGGCCACCTTCTTGCCAGGCTTCATGACTCCTGCAGCCTCATAGTATTCGCGGATATTGACATAGGGCTTCTTCTTGAACTCGGATAGTCCGACGCGGCGAGTGTGAGAAAGCTATAAAGAAGAAGAAAAGGTGATGGTGTCAGCATGGGATCGAAGCTCTGACTGCAGGAAGAGGCCTTACACCCCACCAGGAATTTCCCTGGTCATCCTTGCCCGAATCAAGATCAGCTCCTCCGGTCTTGACCTTCTTGGTGGTCTTGGTAGGTTTGGTGTCAACCTCCATGTCACTGTCGTCGTCGCCGTCATCACGGGCGCGTTTTTTGCTTTTGTAAGCCATGTCTGGGATGGCTCCGCTGAGGGTGAATATCAAGGCTACAGTCTGTCTTGTGTGTGAAGTGTTGATGAAACCAGCCTGTTTTCATACCAGGCAGGTTGGAAGGTGGGGTTTGATAAGGCAGATGATCTACAGTTATGTCGGACTGACTGGGAACGCGTTGGCATTTGGGCCGGGACGCGTTACCGTTCCAGGGGTCCTTTTTGGCTTAATTGACTTTTAGTTGGCGACTTCATCGGCCTGGGGGGGGTGGTTTCTTCTCTTCTTCTAAGGTTACCAGATAAGGTTCCTTTCAGGCCTTTCAGGGGGTTTCCGTGAGCTGAGCGGCTACTCCCCAAAGTTCACTCGCCACGTATCTCAATCTAGTCTTGCTAATCCATGTGTTACTTGTTGTGCTGTGATAATAGAACCTCATGGGGATCCCATGGGTTTTAGAATGCGATGTGCAAGCAACATGGTGAGTGCTGGAGCCTTGCTGGCCTGTGCTGTGCCAGTGTTAATTTAATGGCCATGTCGAAAATATGCGCCGCCTTGCAGCAATTGAATGACTTGTGGAGACTCGACAACGGTCCCTAGCTGAAAATAGTACATACTCGGCAAGCCTTCCACAGGGGCAGAAGGGGCTCCTGCTTTTTTCTACTGTGGTATAACTTACACAGGACAAGGGCTTGAAGGGCAGGCACCCCGGCAAGCTGTCTTTTAGAACCACTGGTACCGCTGGAACCACTAGGTTAACCTAAGGTTAGCCCACCCCAAAGGTCGAGCCGCTTCTGATTGTGGAGGGCAGTGGCTCAGATGTCGAATGTCACAAAAGGTCGAAACACCCGGGGAATCAAACAAGTTCCAGTCTCACTCGCGCCTGTTATTTGTTTGCCCTTCTGCCTTTTGGTGTTTTCCAAGCCCTTGGGTTTCCTGTCCTGTCCTGTCTTCACCGTAATAGTAGAACGTTTTGACTTGTCTAAACCAGCCTTTCCTGTACTGTCAGACCAATCAATCCTTTATTGCGATACATCCTGGGGCATGACGACATCTGTGCCTTCATATCATTCTCGCTCCTTCCAAGTCCACAACACCAAAGAATCACGACCCTCATGAACTCCGAGAAAGATGCGCACCATGGCGCAACTACCGACAGCCCTGCCAGCATGGAATCCCCCAACTTGGTTGACGCTATAGCCACGGAACAGCTCCCGAAATCAGAGACTCCTACCGTCCCGGCGCGCCCTGCGGCTTCCGCTGCTCAAGAGGAAGATCTGCCAACCAAGGCATTCCAATTCCTGTCGACCGCGACCCCAGGGACTCTGGGGGCTATCGCCGTGGGACTCGCAGCCGCCACCTACTTCGTGTTAGGCCAGGTTGGCCTGATTCTCATCGGCGCATTTGGTGGCGTAACTCTCTTTGTGTCCTACGAGGCCAAACACCCCGAGGTCTCGCGTGCCGTGCGCGGAGAAAGAGGCTATGACTTCCTGGACCGACTGCTTGACGCGAAACCACAAGCATCTGCTATCAAGGCAGAGCAGGACGAGGAAGCTGACGAGCAGGCCCTATCCCGAAGCTTCGACGACTTCCAGCCCGAGACACGCCAGGCCCTCAACAGCCTCGTCGATGCTGTCATCCGAGACTACGTCGACTGGTGGTATGGACCTATTGTGCCATCTGACAGGGCCTTCCCGCTATCCTGTCGCAAAGTCCTGACATCCTTCCTCCTGTCTGTCTCGAACCGACTGAGCCGCAAACGCCCCGCCGATGCCTTCGTCGACTTCCTCACAAACACCTGTTCCATCATAATAGTCTTCTTCTCGGAAATGACGGCTGCCTATGCTTCAGTGTCTGCGGATGGCGCTACCAATGCTGCAGACGCCATATATAGCTACCTGTCCACCAACACCGATTCCGCTCTCTCCAATCTGCTCGACCAGAGGCAGCAAGCAGGAAAATTCAAGTTGATCGCTGAGGATTTGCTGAGTTTCTTAGACCGGTCGGCATATGACTGTGATCCTGCCCGTATTTTCCTGAGACAGATTCTCGCCACAACAATTCTTGAGGGGACTCTGCAGTCGTGTTCCAAGGCAGAGTGGATCAATGGCTGGATTGTGTACTTGTTGGAGTCGGGCGAAACCGATCTGTCTCAGGCCATCGATGAGGCTATTCAAGACCAGAAGGCTTTCGCCGACGTTGACGGGAATTTCGGGAACATCAGCTTGGTCAAAGGCAACCGCAACAGCTACGAAATGGATGGCGCTAGGAAGAAGGAGGCAACCCACAAAAAGCAGTTGTCCAGGGCGGATGAAGAGATGGAACGTGCCATGGAAGAGATGAAAAAGATGAACACCATGATCGCCGAGGCTGATAAGGCTAAGAACTCGTCTGCCAGCGAGGAATTGCAGCCCTCACTATTCCCAGATAGCGCATTGCACGAATTCCCAAGCCACCAGGTCTTAGATAGCGACTTGTCGCCCAGAGCTGCCGATGCGCTGTCTCTTGAGGCCAAGGATAAAGTCAGCGACCTGCCCACCGAGAAGAACGCAAGCAAGGAAGAGTTTGTCAGGTCACCCGTCACCCCCAAGTCGATCGCAGATATTTCGAGCCAATCGCCCTCACCAAACTCGGGACATGACGCTGGAACCACTTCTCGCTTTACCAACTTCGATCAGATTGTGCCACCTGCCCGGGAAGAATCAGAAGAGGAGCCACGTCAGGTGCCACCGCTGACTTTGCACAACGCCATCGTCACTATTCTCGATGACCCGGGTACTGAGAAGGGGCGGTTGCGCACAAGACCCAATTGGGAGTATCTGGTCCAGGTAGAGCCAGCATCGTCTCATCATCCTGGGTGGATGATAATGAAGAGTTACGCACAATTTGAGGCACTTCACGAGAGTCTGCGACGCATCGCAGCTATCTCTGGCGCTGCCGCTTTCCTCGAGGTCCACACTACGTTCGCAGTCTGGAAGTTGCATACTCGAGAGTCTTTGCGGGGGGAGATTGAACGATACATGCGCGCTGCGTGCTCAGAGAAGCCTTTGGCAGAATCAGAAGCTATGAAGCGCTTCCTGGAAAAGGGGCAGGAAAGTAGGATGACCGCCCAAAGAGGCTTCTCCTTTGATTCGTTGAGCAAGGGAATGCTTGATGCTGTTCAGAACACCCCGAAAGGGCTATTCGACACCAGCAAAGTAGTAGTTGGAGGTGTCACAGGAGTTTTCGGCAATATTGGTCTTGGCCAGCGTAAATCGACGGTCTCTTCCGTTCAGGAGGCCGTAGCTCCCAAGACAAATGGTTCCGCTGCAAATCGTCCACTGTCACTTTCTGCACTCCCACGCATGGAGGCGGCCTCTGACGTGAAACCCAGGGATAGTATGGAAAGTACTCGATCGTCGATCATCTCCACACAACCTGGCAAGATGCCCCTAATGGACCGAAGGCCTAGTTATCAGCTCGACTTCGAGCAGGAGGCATTGCAGCCAAGTCGCGCCGATCGATGGGAGCGCAACAAGTCGATCAGCGCAACAAGTAGCCGAGGCAACAGTCGTGCGTCCAGTATGGCTGCGTTGCGCTCGCCCCTAAGGTCTCCATCAGACATAAATCTTGCAACCATGAAGCTTCCGCCACCCCCTACCGAGATACCGGATGACTACGACTCTCCAGTGAATACACGTCCTAGCAGCGACGCATATTCCAGGACAGACAATGGTCTTCTGTCGCCACAGACATCCTTCTCTTCGCCCTCAAGATCCCTAACATCTCAACATCAGGAGAGATCGTCCATTAGCGAGCCTCCGGCGCAACGCCGGAGGAAACAGTTTCCACCATTGTCCGAGCAGGAGACCCGTGTTGCTGTGGAGCTACTCTTCGCGGTCATCAATGAGCTCTATACTCTATCGTCGGCGTGGAACATCCGACGTACCCTGCTCACAGCGGCAAAATCTTTCCTCGTTCGTCCTGGAAACCCATCACTCACATCTTTAAAAACGGTGATCCAAGACAATGTCTTGGAAGCCAACACGTCCGATGCGGGTATTGCGTCACATCTGCGTAAATTACGCGAGAACTCTCTTCCTACAGAAGAGGAGCAGAAAGCCTGGCCGGCCGAGCTTACTGCTGACGAAAAAGAAGAACTGAGGATCAAAGCGCGCAAGCTTTTCATCCAATCTAGTGTTCCCGCGGCGCTCATGGGTATCATGGGAGCATCAGCAACCAGCGAGGCGCTGGGAAGACTTTTTGACTGCTTACAGATCGAGGAAGTTGCACGTGGTTTGTTCTTTGGCATCATGTTACAGGCCGTCCGTGTCATTACGCACTAGATGATTTCGAGACGACATGCACGATGGAGTTTTGTGGGAATAATTATTTTTCCCTTTTCGATTAGATGATCGATCCATCGCCACGATAACAGGGCTTGTATTATTACTATAATCGGGGACGAATGTACGACTATATGGCGCTTTCGCCTCTAGAACCACGCCGGGACACGCAGGAGTTTGCGGACTACAGGGATGTGGGATGACGAGAACATAGATAATAAACAGAGGTCGCATATTTGACACGTTGAGATGTCCTTGCATGCCACTGCATGCTCAGGCGCTGCGGTGGCATCAGATGACTCAGATGCTGTGCAGCCTGAGAGAGCTTCCTTTCTTTAGCTGATATCCGTATAAAAACTTACAGGTCGACTTACACTCAGCATGTTACACTAAACAGAACCTATCTTTAGCCATTGTATAACACTCAGCCCCAGCCCCCAACGTTGTACTACCTGATATCGACGTAATTTGCTACAATTAGCAACAAGGCTTTACCTTTTGGCAGTGATCAACTCTACCGATAAAGTCGACCACTTTTGCGATTGCAACACGAACATTTTTTCCTCGGAATACCATGATCACTATTTTCAAGCTTCATTATAAGCATGCCTTCTCTAAAATTGTGGTATTGGGAGGCTATCTCGATGTGCTCATCAGGACTTTGTCTCCTGGGCCTGGTGTTTATCTTGGCAAAGTACCACGGACATCCAATCTTCTCCTGGCACGGCGTCAACCTTTAGACCGTCATTTCCATCATATCCACAGCCGGAAAAGGTCTGTTGCTGCGCGCGGTCGACGAGGCAGTTGGCCAGTGGAAATGGGTTCTCTTCCCGCGCAAACGCTGCATTCTAGGGAGTCTACAGCTATTGTGGTGGCTCAAGGGGCCGTAAGTGCAAAGCAGTGGTCGAAAGGATACGTTCACGTACTAACGAGGCCATCTGACTAAAGTGCTTTGGTCCATCTCGGCTCTATCACGAGACTGCTTTCGCTCGCCATTGACCCTTTCTCGCAACAGCTTATACAACTTCATCGAGGCGTTGTCCACACAGAGGATGCTTCTCTCATGTTGAAACGAGCTGAGCGATACTCGAAGGGCAATCAGTTTCGCGGGCCTGGCCCAGTACCAAAGCCTTATGCGACAGTCTTCGCCGACGCCGATTATGCAATGTAGTCTGCGATATTCTACGCGCTGTCCCATTTGGAGTCAGACATTGTTCAGCAGCTCGAATACACATGCTCCACGGGAAACTGTACGTGGGAAAAGCCTATCGAGTCCCCATCAGTGTGTAGTAGATATGCGAACTTGAGCTCTGTCCTAGAGCAGCACGAAGACATGGGTGGGCCGTGGGTCGATCTCATGAGAGATGACGGTGCCGTAATGATACAGTTGAATTCGTGAGCTTGCCGTCTACCGAACGCCCTCATCATCGACAACTTGAGAGGGTGGACTTTTCGGCGTGGGCAACTCGATGACTGGAATCCTGGGACAATGATGATGGTTTTTGGTACTGGTGATCCATCTCAAAGCAATAATATGCAGGATGTAGATACGCTGATATGGGCAATGAGTATGCTGGAAGTGTAGCGTCTTGGTAGCCCGCTGATAACATCACTTACTACAACGTGACGACTGCGCAGGCCGAAGGCTTGTTCTTCGACAGCCGCATCTCCTCGCTGGCTCGCGGCGAACTGCGGCTTCGGTCGGGCAATGGCTATTGCGACATCTCCCAGAATGCGGCTGACTCCATTTCGTCGTTCTTCCAAACCACACTCGCCCGGCAGGCACCCATTCACAGTCATACCTCCAACGACAGTATCCGCATCATCCATGGTCACCTGAACGGGTTTTACTGAAGAACACCCACGAGCAGTACGAGCCTAGCGTCATGCAGGTGCTACGGCACCAGGACGACACACCGGCACTCTTCATGTCCAGCGGGACTGGATCGTGATGCACGTGGCTGTCTTCTCACTAGGGCTGAGCTTTCTCCTCGCTACGATCACCAGAAGCCGTGATGGCTCTCCGGGCGGTTTGCCGGTCTGGAGGAAGGGCGCCCTGGCTTCCTTGAACTATGGGGCTCAGTTGGGACGTATCTTCGGGTTGTCGGATGGGCTGAAAGAGATGCGCGGCGCGGCGGAGATCACCATGGCGACCATGTTGCTAAGATCTGAGCACCTCGACGGACACAGGTCGAATGACTGTTCGGAAAAGTTGTTCTGAATATTTCGAGCATCACTCCAACTTCAGTCCTGCCATACGAAGCAATACAGCCAGACAGAACTGATAGGAGAGGTGGGCAAAAATCGTATATTTCAAACCCAGGCCTTGATCACAGGGGACGAGGAAATCCTTTGTTCCCGCTTCCTCGGCCTGTGCGCGTTGCTGTTGTAAATTCCCCTGGCAAAGGCGTGGCTCTTAAAATAAAGAAAATGGAGAAAAGGGAAAGAAAAGAAAGAAAGAGGAAGGAAAAGAGGGGGTGGGGGAACAGAGAAAAGCAGAAACTGGTACGAGCTCTGATCAAAAGAGTCTGACACGGTCGAGTCAATTCGCACGCAACATGAGGCACAACACTGGGTTCTCGCCCTTCTTGTTTCAGGTACGACGCAGAGTAGACAGAAGAAAGCACGATTACTGCGATATTGTGGACTACGCCCGGGCTCCCATTTCCTCTGTTACACTAACATGCTGGCCTCAAATATCCAAATTAACATTCCATGGCCCTGAGAAATGGATTGCATGGGAGCATTTGGTGCATAATAGACCAGCGCAAGCTTCCAAGGCCTTACAATGAGCTTAGATACACACCAAATCGGGAATAATGGTCTTTATTAGATATCATGGACTTTTCGCATTAATAGTCTACATGGTAAGGTAATGGCATATATCACACGCTTCCATGATCCTCGCTTTTAGGGTTCCCCCGCCGCATGCATCGCATCCAGCGCCTAAACATAATCATGAAGACATCGTAAAACATACCCCAGGAAAGGCCCCTTTCAGAAGATGATAAGAGCTTTCCATTTCCTTCTCTTTACCATGCTTTTGTTTTGAAACTGTCGTCAGTTCCCATGGCTTAGTCAGCCACCTTTTCTTTTACCAACCTCGCTTCGAATATCCAGCGACGTAGCCCCCTAGACTCTCTGGTAGAATAATAGGTAGGCGACCTTGTTGTCTGCCTTGTTGTCCTTGATGGGCTTAGGTGGAGTTATTGCTGGGTTGGCACCGCCGTTGACGATGCTGCTCCACTTCTTCGCACCCGCTGCAGGGGCGCTCACCTTGTTCCAGCCCTCGTCATCGGCAGTTTCGTCACCGATACCTTCAAATCTGTTGCCAGAGCCACCCACGGCAGGTTCCTTCTTAGGATCGGACCAGTTCTTCTCCTCCTCTGCACCACCCTCTGCGACATCCTCGCTGCGCACACGTCGAATAAAGGTGTCATCAATGCGGATCCATTCTCGGCCATCTTGACGACGAACATCGACGGTGTAATGCCCCCCACTGGCGTTCTTGCCATGGTGGTAAACAACAGCAATCAGCTTGTACTTGGGAGCACCACCGAGCTCTTGGTTCACTCTCTTCAGTCGAGGGATGACCTCAGAGGGAATCTCAAGCTCCAAGGGGTATCCGACCTTCTTCCAGATCTTCATGGTACCGCCTTTAGCATCGAAGGTGAAACGTTTGAGATGTAAAATAAGAACTGGCGGAAGTGACTCAATGAAGACTTGTTTGTAGGCAACAGCATCACGGCCTCTAGGTGACCCAAAGTCCCCGGTCAGCTTTTCTGTTCGAGTGATGTTCTTAAGCGCGTCGACGATATTGCGGACTTGTGGCGAGTCGATATCTAATTGTAGGGGTTGATAAGGCTCGAGCGTGACGGAGTCCTTGAGGCCTGTTACTCGGAGCTCGGATCGAAGTTGACCACCGAAGATCTTAGTGATCGGAGAGGAGGTAACAGGGTTCCCGGAAGAGCGTGTGATAGCCGACCGCTGCTTTCTGCCCACCTCAAGCCATGCACTACTGTCATTTTCTGTGGGCGTAGTTGCGGTAGGGCTTGTAGCGGACGAGTTCGCGGCTGTAGTGGCAGCCGATGTCTCAGGAAGGTGACGCAACACGCTCGCACATTCATCATGGAGGGCTTCCAACAAGAAACCAAGGAACTCCTCGGCGTCCTGCTGGTGACCGCGCTGAAGTGGAGTTAGTCACTGGTTCAATATTTTGTTTTGGGACAAGACACTAACCCTCATGCTTGCAAATCGTGGCAGCTTCCTAATAGCCTCATACACGAACTCTGGAGTGAAGGGCTCACCGTACTGCTCCAACTCCTCGTTCTTCAGTCGTCGCCGCAATTGATCTACAGATGTAGCAGAGTCAATGACCTTATACTCGCGCATAAAGTTAATCCTAGGAACTAGTTAGAATGGAAGTTTATGGCGACAGGTTGGGTATGAGATATCTGCTTACATGGCATCGATTAAAGGTGTTTCACTGTTGAAACTATGGGCCACCTTTTTACCAACCTGGTCCAAAAAGTCATAGAATGGTATACAGAAGATCAGAACTTGAAGGACCTGGACATTCTAGTCAGCTCCTCAGTTCAAACAGAACCTCCGAGAAGAAATTAACTCACAGAATTCATATAACACATATTGCCAGTATTTATCAGACCTCTAGGTTCAAGGAAGGGAAACTTTGAACCGCTGTTCACCCGGAAGTTGTGAAGAGCCTCAGCCTGAGAGCTAGCGTTTGACTTTGCAAACCCCGGTACAGCAGCAGCTTCGTTGACGCTTACATCGACTGCGTTGTTGCCGTTGACAGTCGAGTTTGTAACAGCATGGCGCACTGCATTGGGGGTGGCACCTGACGCAACCAGACTTGCCCAAGACTTGGGGGCCGCTTTAGCAGGAGCGGATGCCGACTCAGGCTTGGCCTCGTCCGCCTCAGCAGCTGTGGTTTGATCCGCGCTGTTTGTTGCAACCTCAGCAGCTGCCTCTAGCTCCTGCTTCTGCTCTGCCGCCGGCTTATCTGTGCTAGCTGTGGTTCTCGTATCCTTAGGACTGTTCTTAGGTAGGACAGGGACAGCCGGAACCGCTGGCACAGCAGTCTTAGAAGCTGATCTGGTAGGTTTGATAGGGGTCACACTTGCTGCAGTCGATAATTGTGTAGTATGGGCAGAAGCAGGCGAGGTCGGAGATGTGGATTGTGTGCTTTCAGAAGGCATTTCCTGAGTCGAAGGAGTTTCTGGCCGCTCAGTAGACGCCGTGGCAGGTTCAGGAGCAGCGACAGCTGATTGTAGCAGGGTTACTGCGTCCTCTGGTTTGGTTGCGGCCTTAGGGGCTGAAAGCTCAGGCAGGGTCTCGGTGGCGGGTTCCTGTTTGGTTGGCAACTCAATACCACCGTTCGTAGAACTCAAGCTTCTCCTCCTTCGGCGAGATTTCGCGGCTCTTGTGGGGAATGGTGAGTCGGGATCGGAGTACCACGGCAGCTATCCACGAGAGCAGTCAGTCTATGTGGCCGAAGAAACTCTAGGCGGAACAACGATTACTTACAGGGTATTTGAAGGGGGCTTTAGCTGGCAGAACCTCAGGTGCAGACTGCGGTGCAACGGGTGGGGGAATCTCCTGAGTCTGTGATGTCGGAGGGGTCAACGGAGGTTGAACAGCCTGTGACGAGTTTGTGGAAGATGGCGTGTGAGGAACGGGCGCAGAAGGCGGTGGTTGCGTCATGTGGTAGGGGGGAGGAGGAGTCGATATGGCGGGCGATGGCTGTTGCGGGGGCGGCCGCGAGTATGGTTGAGGTGTATGTGCCATGCTGGATGAGACGACGGGAGCGTACTGCTGGTGAATGACTGGAGGCGACCGTACGGCATACGGGTTGTACGGCATACCGTATGGGCCGGGCATGCCAGTGGCGGGATAGTGAGGCGGGGCTTGCGGATAGTAGGCACTGGCATACGGGTTCATGTGACTGCTCTGGTAGTATATGGGCTGGTTGTGGTTGTGGTGGCCATACGAGTGCTGCTGATGCGGATACTGCGGTCGCCTCCTAGGTCCATTTCCCGTGTGTGGTCCCGGTCCCGGTCCCGGTCCCATGTCTACCGGTGCTCTTCCTCCTGGCCCCATTCCTCCGACACCGCCAGGCATGGGCTGCCCAGCCGGCAGATGATGGTTCATCTTGCCGGCTTGGGGGTAAGAAGCAGCGGCAATCTCGACCACTGCTCCGGGAAATCAATCACTGAACAGTGACGCGCTTTTGAGGGCCTTGATTGCTCAAGATGGCGTAGCACGAGGCGCTGGTGGGCGGCAGTTTGCGCAGACTCGTTCTCTGTAGGAGGGTCGCCTCAGTCCAGATGAGTAGAGTGGGCGCGGTGGGCGCGTTGTTGTCGTGGTTTGGAGCACCCAACGGGGCCAGCTGTAGCCTCCGAATGCGCTTGTTTCCTTTGCCTGGGAAGGCGAGACAGAAAGAAAGCACGAGCTGAGCTAGCGGAGGAACGGCCCTGAGGATATACGGGAACCAAGAAAAGGATTCACACTAAACAGAAGAAGGAGTGGTAAGAAATAAAATAATAATAGTAATAATTCTTCAACCCTCCACTGATGCAATCGCGTGTCGCCGGCAGCTCGTCGAGTAGATTGACGAGCGCGTTCGCTGGGCGAGAATGATGGAGTCAGAGGTCCAGAGATGTCAATTCACCTTTCCTGGATTTTCTAAAGTTTTCGGCTGTTACCAACAATCTCGCCAAGACAAGGCCTTATTTAGTCAGTTAGGCCTTAGGCTTACTCGCTCTCTGTCTCTTCCCTCTCGGCTTGCCGGTAAACATCAAGTTAGTCTAGGTTAGCAAACCAAAAGGCGCCCGGATCACATACCGGTATCTACGTAGCCTGCGAAGGTCGGGTGGGGATTCTGTGGCTTGGCGAACTTCAAAGCTCCGGCAATCAATCTAACCTTGGATGACCGGCACAGATCCGTAGATAGCTTCAGATCTGACGTTAAAGCCTATCTTCCTGCTCAACGACTGCATTTCCAACCCGGTCTTCTATCAGTCTTGAGTCCCGGGAGCCGATCATAGCAGTAAGCTCCTCCATAAGAATCATCATAAACAACACCCAAACAGAGTTTTTCCCGAAAGCTGATCAGCGTTCGTCATATCTATGGATTTGTTTGGCTTTCTTGGTTCCACCATTTCTCCGCTGCTTCTATGTATATTACTAACATGGGTATCTTCTGTCAAACGGCGTGTTCCTTGGCATCACTCCGCACACTTTATATATTTCCCACCAACGCCCGGGAATGAGAGCCATCACAACATCTACCAGTCCCAAACCATCCCCCCAGGAACAAAATTCTCTATGGGTCTATGGGTCTATGGGTCTTCGTCCATAAACAGGTATCTGCCTTTTTTCAAAGCCTCGCTCCGTCTGAACGCAATTTCCTCCGACTCGATTCGCTTGGCTGCCTCTCTGTACTCCAGTTCTTCTTGCGTGCTGGGCATACCTATGTCAGTCCATCCTGGTGGCTCTTGCATGGCACTGTAGCGTTCGCGGTGCCTGCCATGCTTTTGAGAGTACTCCTTGATCTTGGCATCTAGCCAGATCTTCTCTTTCTCCTCCTTACCCATCGAGCCTAGCCTACCGGCATCCTCCCCTAAATAGTGCTCCAAGAAACTCGTAAACGCAATGTAACTAGTATTGCCGAGATCGTGCTCTGCCAAGGGACGATACAACTTACCGCAACACTCCTCCCTGCTACAGCCGGGTAACAGCGCACGGTCTTTCCCACGAACAACATCAGCGTAGGCGAAATCTAAGCCGTCATTGCATTTGGGGTTGATCTTGAAGTCTGCGCGTTTGAGGCTCCATGCAGGACGCCGGCGCAGGGGAACATCCTTTTTCGACTTTGTCTTTTCAGTTGCGTTCAACGGGGTCTTTTTAGGCTTGATAGCCGACACTGTTCTCTTAGCGTTGCTAGCTGCTGGGGTGCTTGGCGCCCTCAGAGCCTCCCCAACTGTATTCTCTGCTTGCTGCCAAGGAAGCACACGCTTCTCTGGCAACTTGAAGACATGATCATGTCTAGTGGATGTCTTCTTGGCACTCCTCGTGGAGGGACGGATGATAGCCTCTCGTTCTAGTGTAGCAGTGTTGTTAAGAAGATCTGCGAGCCGACCGGCTTTAGTGGTGTGTCGGCCAGCTGAAGTGGGCGTGGGCATTATGCTATTCCCGTCTTCCGCTAAACTTGCTATGCCTTCGCGAAGAGGAACGGGTACAACCGCCTTGAACTTTGGCTCTCGAGCGATAAGCTTTGGTGTTGTGGCTATTGTAGGTTCCAAAGCTGATGACCGATCATTGGGTGTGCCGCATTCCATTGCCTCTGTACACTTGTCGGCTTGGATGTTCCGTCTCCATGGAACTGCCGCTTGGTCACCTTGAATATTGGCGTGAAGCTCGTCAGCCGGTTCGCCATAGTCCATCGCTTCTGTATACTCATTATCCTGAATTGTCTCCCGCCACTGTGCCGCTGCCCGGTCGCGTTCCTGAACATGGGCGCTCATAGAGCCATGTGCAGCAAATGCACTTGGTGAAGAGTCTCTCGCAGAGGAAGAGGATCTGCCGTGAGAGTGCGACCGACCCCTCACAACGGTTTCTGGTGCTTCTCGAGACGCCGACCGGGTCGTTCTTGTCTTCCTCGGCGTCACAATCCTTGCCCCGGCATTATCGAAGTCAAAGCTACTCTCGTGGACAATGAAACGACGCTGTTCGCTAGTCATGATCGGATCAGAGCCCTCCTCCTCCCGTTTGATTCTTGTAGCCGCTGGTGCTTGAGCTGGGGCGTCATCTCGTCTTCTTTTCCGTACAGCTCGTTCAGACACGATGACAGGTGAATCTGATGAAGGCTCCTTAATTGCGTTATGGTAGGTAGCAGCAGCCCACACTGTCGGCAAGGGAGGCAGCGACGGTGCTCGTCCCGTCTCGTCTGTGCCATCTAGTACTGAGGAGTCGCGACTGGCATCGCGCAAAAGCGGTGGCCAAGAGGTAATAACGTCTGTGGCATTTCTCTCGTTCTGCGCCGGAAGATCTTCGGTTTGAAGAGGCCCGTCACCTGTGATCAAGTGGCTTTCTGAGACGAAAGAAGCGTCGACAGTCGCATCATCTTGCGTCACAGCATTTAGCCGCGCTCTGAGCTTCTCAATCTTCTGTTTTCGTGAATTACTCTGCACCTCCAGAACCTTCGAATGTTCTACCCACTTCTCACAGGCTTGAATCTTGTCACGGAGTTGCTTTTTGAGCAGCTCATTTGCACCCAGCACGTCAGAAAACTGACCACGAAGCTTGCCATATTTGCCATTGAGCTTGTTGTACTCCGCAATAAGCTCATCGCGGTTCAGGCTCTCGGTATCAAGGTGATCACCATGCTTGACAGATGCCCCAAGACTTCGCGCCCTGTTCGCGGAGAGGGGGCCCAAAGGCGTCCTAACCTCCGTCCGACTTGCGACTGAGCTCTGTCTCTCGTTTTGATGTTGCTTATGATTGGATGTCTTGAGCTGACCCAGCTCATCCTTCAGATTCTTGTTTTGTTGCTCGAGCCAGCCTACTTTGGCAGCTTGTACTTTCAAGACTTGTATCTGACCGTTGAGTTCCGCCACTTTGATATTCTCGGCGTGATACGCTGCATCATGATGAACATCCACCATCCGAGCCGGGGCTCCGGGTCAAACTCACCATTCTGGTAGTCATTTTCTACGCGATGCAATGCTTCATCCAACGCCTCAAGGAGCGCTGGCTTCGCATTCTCCCTCAGCCAGTTCTCCATGTCGCGTGCTCTGCATGGCACTTTGGGATGTCAAAACCGTTTATTATGGTTGGAAGACGTCACAGACTCGAAACTCGGAACGCGTTCGAGGGCTGTATGCGGGCGCGACTGGAAGTGGGGCTCTTTGACCAGCTACTGCCTATTACTGCCTGCGCTCGAGGCCGCTGTATTAAAGGTGCGGCCTAGTTCGTGGGCAAGCCGCCCCCTGAGCTGAGCGCCCAAGAAACACTAAGCCTACTGTCGCAAGCCTAGCAAGTGCCGCATACCGAAGTTCACAGATGCTACATTTCATTCCTAAAACCTTCTATTCAAATAGGTATGACAGCAACCTCGAAAGTTACTATGTCCAATGACTGCTTTGCACCGAAAGTGAGTAGAATGCTGTAGAATATTACGCCTTACTAATTTTAGTCTGATAATCGTACGAGTTCATGCGACTTCCTGGACTTTGCGTCGATAGCTTGCTTAGCTTGTGCCTATATAGAGGATTTGGACAAACACTAGACCATGATGGCTTCTCTTTAGGGAAGCTGGCGAGCTGACGTGTAGTATAAAGAAACTCTAGGTTAGGATATTCTACTAAGAGAAGATAAGGCAGTAATTGTGTCAGAATTTGTTTCTCAATCTGCGCATTGAACTTTGTGACATGACATACGTACACCATGCTCAGGATGCATTTGAAATTCAAGTCCTCTACGGCAACATCATTTCTCCGTCGTGCTCACTTGAGTAACAGAAAACTAGATCCGCCATCGTTCCGCATCTCATGAATCTATGGACCGCTACGAGACCCATTTGAAGATGCAAAGTGTTCACAGAATTCACAAAACGTCATCCCTACAAGACTTGGGCTTGCGGAGAGATGCGTTCCGTATGGACGAGAGCAGCGACCCACTGAGAACGATACTTTGATTTCTACTTTGGGTTATTGAATCTGAGAATGAGAGATAGCTGTTCCAAAGTAGAAACCATGCATAAGCAAGCTCGAGATTTGCTGCTCGGTCTAATAATAGGGTTGCCGAGAGAAGTGATCGGTGCTGCTAGACGCAGGAAAATACACATTAGCAAACACTGAACGCAGGCAAATGCATCGATTCTGGCCACGACTGAAATATAATGATGAGGTCGAAGAATTATGACGATGCTGGTCAGGGGACGTTTTCATTCTGTTGCCAGTCGATAGATATATGTGTGACGATTCATGTCTATCAAGTTGTGATGTGCGTCGCGTGGCAGGTTCCCTCCTGTGGATTGTTGAGATGCCATTCCCACCCATGAAGGCAGTTGAACAGGCTGGAATTGTTCATGTCCACTCAGAAAATGCCTAACTATCTGATATGCATCAAATAGGGCTCGGGCGTGAGTGAACCACAAGACGGGAAAGTTGGACCGGAGCCAAACAATCACGGGCAGTCATAACAGTGGCGCACTTGCCAGCTTTTCGGTCCATGGCCGTTGTTAGCGCGAACTCAATGCCCCTAGATCTAGGTAGTTTGTCATAGCCAGACTTGCCAGCAGCTCCAGGCAGGCCACAATGATGGTGGCAAGACTGGATATCAGGGGGTTCCGGAAGACCTCAGTGAGAGATTCAAAGGAACCTCCTCATCTGATGGAGAAAATGACGGTTATTTGCCCCCCTAAGAACAAACGTCACGTTTCTGTAATGATCCCAGGTATCTGTCTGCTGTTTGATTCGGGTGCCTGTATCCATAAAGCGAGTAAAGAGCAGGGCTGAAATGCACGTGCCATGCAGGGGGCACGGGAAAATTTAGTGAATCCTGACCTCAACGATCATTCGGCAATGAAGTAGCCCCCGAGTTGATGAGATGCCCACAAATTGATCTCTGCCACCCCAATCAATCTCAAATCCAGCTGTGGCTTGAATTCGGGCACTGGCACTGGCACTGCACCATCCGGCATCAGAAAGGAAAAAAAAATTCCACTGCCACTGGGCATTCGGCTAGGACCAGCAGAAAAAATAAACCCCATACCGCTTCTTTTGCAAACCCAAAAATCTTGTTGTGGGACGCGTTGGCAATTCTTTCACACTCACTCCCATCATACCAGACTTGGATTTATTCACTCGAATTCATCCAACCTTAAGTACTTTTCGACCAACAACCTTTGCGGCAACCCTGAGGAATACTTTCTCAGTAACACTCAAGAATCTCCTTCAGTAAGTCCACAGCCCGCGCTCCCTTCACCCCTCCAAACCCCACATCCCACGGCGCATGTACTGCGGTAACCCCACCATCGTCGAGGACCTCAAACGGTCACTGGGCCATCTTATCGATGGTACCTCTTGCGTGCTCGAGATGGTCTTGTTCGCTACACCATCACTTGATGGCGCCTACGCACAGCAAACGCGCTGGCTCCTTTTGTGTGCTCATAGCTTAAGTAATGAGTTACTAACTGCATCTAAGACCAACCACATCATCAAGCTCATCCGCCAAGATGGACTCTTACCAACCCCAGCCCCAAGGTGGCCGTGCCTGCTTCACCTGTAAGTTGTTACCAAAGTCCAAGAAACCGCGTTCTGGTCGAGTGTTAACTTTGTGATAGGCGGCCAGACCACCCATCTGTCACGTGACTGCCCCCAGCGTGGTGCCTCCAAGTGGTAAGTTGATTCGATCTGAAAGGCCTGTCATGACTTTTATCTGATCCCACTCAGCTACAACTGCGGTAACGAGGGTCACATGTCTCGTGACTGCCCCGAGGGCCCCAAGGACCCCTCGAGCAAGGCTTGCTACCGATGCGGTCAACCCGGTCACATCAGCCGTGACTGCCCCAACGGTGGTGCTGGTGACAACCAGGGTCGCCAAGGCGGTTCATCCGAGTGCTACAAGGTAAGCCGCATGCTTCTGCAAACGGCCGGACAGACCATGCTAACTTGTTTTCCTAGTGCGGTAAGGTCGGACACATCGCTCGCAACTGCCCCGACGCTGGTGCTTACGGCCAGGGTGGCCAGGGTGGCGGCCAGGGCGGCTACGGCGGTGGCGGCTACGGTCAAGGTGGCCAGGGTGGCCAGGGTGGTCAGGGCCGCACCTGCTACTCTTGCGGCGGCTACGGCCACATGTCCCGTGACTGCATCCAGGGCTCCAAGTGCTACAACTGTGGCCAGACCGGTCACTTCTCCCGTGACTGCCCCAAGGAGTCCACCGGTGGCGAGAAGATGTGCTACAAGTGCCAGCAGACCGGCCACATCCAGAGCCAGTGCCCCAACAGCAACTAGGAGTAAGGCGGTTGTCACTTGACAGTTCAGGAGGTCGTCGTTTTTCCAGGAATTCGTCCTTTCTTGCTCGCAAACTTGTTTCCCTTTGTTTATCGGAATGACCCATACGATTGCATGGCGTTGTCGCACAAAAATATTTACCGGAAAAGCTCTTGGAGTTCAGGGTTCTTCGGCTGGCTTTTGCATGGATACATCCAGACGGTTTCTCATGGCATTGTCTGGATCCCTAGGAATGAGACATGAATGATGCAGGCAATATGCTGCTGCTGTTGACACTCTAGATAGAGTAGGGTCTGTAGTTACTATTGGTAACTAATGTACGCTGAGAATGTGACCTGAAACTATATCTGTCGTTTCTGCAAGTGTAATGTCCTGTGACGCCTTTTAGTAATGCTGCTCGCTTCGCTGTCTACGCCAAAACCCCGCCCCAAAACTTAACCTGTCTTCTCACGGTTAAATATCAAAACAACAAGTGACACCGATAATCACCTGGCCCCGACCGCCAATCGTGAGTCTCACAGTCCCACATTCCGCCTTGACTAACCTGTTACTTCTCTGCTTTCTTCGACCTCGAAAGTAGCTGCGACAAAATGAAATGGCTGACGTCCTCGTCCTGCCAATACGCCATATGCGACGCGATCGTGTTGATCGGGTTGAAGTCGAGTACGCTCCTAGAACAATTTTAGTCAGCATCGAGACACTAATTCGGGTAGGGGAAGCTTTTCTTCTTCTTCTTTCTCCCCTGCCCCTTCCCTAGAAACGGATTCCTTACTCCTGAATGCTGTAGTCGACGCGGCCGTTGCGGTTTAACGCGCGAACCTTCATCTCCTCCCTGCGCAGCTTCTGGGCCTTGGCCTCCTCGGCGGCCCACTCGTCCCCGAGAGCCTTGCCTTCCTCGGCGCGGCTCATGGCCTCGACGCGCTTCTTCTGGAACTGGCTGAAGAGCGTCTCCATGTCCTCGTCGATCAGCGTGGCGCCCGTGTCGCTCTTTTCCCTGTTGGGCCCAGGAACCTTTGTCGACAAGGCAGAGGTGCGCCGAGCGAGGGCCTTCTTACGAGCTTCGTTCAGCTTCTGTTCTGCAGAGGTATCGGAAAGCACACCAGGCGTGGCAGCCGGGCCGTTATCCACCGGATTCTTCCCTTTGGTTGTCTGAGATGTGTTCGGCCCGTTCACGTTCGCCTGCTGCGCCTGCTGCGCCTGATAATTCGCCACATCCTCGTTAGTCAGTCCCAGGGAGCGGTTGAGAAGCGAGGATGTGATACTGCCGGATATGTTCGACCAGAGACTGGATACCGATTGACCGACTTTAGAACCGATGCCTGCTAGACCCTGAGGTGCCATTGCATCGAAAATACCTCTCTTCGTATAGGGCAGAAGTTGAGGTTTCAGCGCCGACATGGCAGGTGATATCAACGGCTCGATACGATACGCTATTGGATCGGATGGGTGAAATATGTTGAAGAGTTGGGCTGTCTTTGGTGAGGAAACAGAGAAGGGATGGCCCGTTACCGCCGAAACTCGTCCGCTGAAGTCCGCATCGTTGAATGGATCATCCATATATTCGGGGTTCAGGGGGCTCTCCGACGGCCTTGCATTGGCAGAGTGCCTGGCTGCTACAGTACGCCCCTTGAGCATCTGAAACAAGCCGATTGGAGATCCAAGACAATAGAAGTCACCTGCATCGAAGTCAAAAGCCAGAGGACTGTCACGGGATTCTTCGGACCTGCCACCAGAGGATGGCCATATACGTAGAGGGTTGCGCAGCTTTTCGAGTTTCGGTTTCTCTTTCTGACGACACAGAATGTCGAACATGATAGCACTTCCGAGCGAGTGACCCATGATATGGACCTTGCCCTTGAACTCCGGGTTGCGCTCCATGAACAGTTTGTAGATGCGGTTCGACTCCTTGGATACGATATCGGTAATCTGCTCTCTGTACGCGGACTGATACAAAAGCACGTCAAGTGCCAGGTCACTGATGAGTGAGCGAGCGAACGCTATCCCCTCGATAGTGATGTCCTCCAATGCTGGGTATTCATCCTCGTCATCAATTTCTGCCGTGCCCAGGTCGTGCTCGCCTTTCTTCTCGCGGCGCTTTGGAAAATCAAGTAAATGCCGCCAGCACACTGGTAGTACTTGCACCCTACAATTGCCAGGACCAGGGCCAGTACCATTTTCTGCATTCATGGCGCGAAGATCGTCGGAATGAGAGTATACCCCCTTCAAAGTCTTGCGCAGAACGTTGACATCGTGGACGAAGTTGATGCTTTCCATCCGCAAACTCAATAGCTGACCAATTCCATGGGTCACAAGGATCAGATGCTCAATCTCGCGTCCTTGGGTTTCGCCAGCTTGAGCGTTATAGTCATCTTGAATCTCCTGCTCCTCTCGCTTCCTGATCTGTTCCTGTTGCGCATCAGGATCCTCGGCGGTTTCCATAAAGTTGGAGAACTGTCTTTCAAGCTGACTTTCACGACTTGGTCGACCAACATTGTCTTCTTCGTGAACATCAACAGCTCCCTCAGCTCGAGTAAGAGGAGGCGCGGATCTTCGTTTAAGAGCCTTCAACTTCTTCTCGTCTTCGGGTTGTTGCGGCAAGGTGGCAGTGGTAGGCGTTGTTGGTCGCTTCTCAACGGTCTTTCCAGGTTCCGTGTAACCACGAACGAGCTTCACTCCACTCAGGTATCCGCCACCAGCAAATCTTTGGTAAACTGACGAGGTCACCCATGAGAAAACAGTGTCGGTTGAAAGCCATGCTGTTGTGGAGTCTTGGTAGGTTGCCACGGAATTCATATAAGCACCAAATAATCTGTATGTCTCTGGCTGATGCTGGGGATTTGCTTGACCGGGTAAGGGTTTCAGGGCACCTTCCGCTTGTGCCGCAGCTGCTGCTCTGAGATCTTGACGGGATGCCTTGGGTGTGATGCTCGTTTTGGCTCCAGAGTTGCTCCGGCTTCTTGTCTCTGGATACGTCCAGGGCTTGATCTTCAGATACCCCTCCTCAAGCTGGGCGGCAAGGTTCTCCTCACACGGTCGCAATGTGGCTCCCTCCTGATAGAACCAACTACCTCTCTGAACGTCGTATATCGGGCCAAGCCAGTATACTGGAGCGAGTTCGCGTTGCTCGATGTCAACATCAAACAGAAAATCCTCATTCACAGGAACCCGGACGCCTTGTCCCTGATCTCCGCCCTCGGAGTCAATGCTCGTGTTCGGACGATCCTCGTTGGACGCGCCGCGCCTCCGGAGTGAGCTCGAGCGCTTGTGTCGGATCATTGCGCCTCTGCCGCGGTTCTCTTCCCACTCCTCTAGCAGCTTTTGATAACTATTTTCGATGGCTCGAGAATCATTGATGGAGAATGGAACAAACTTTTTCGGCGCTGGTGGGGGCTTTGGGTCTGGTTTCGGGTCCAGCTTCTCTTTCTTGCCTGACTTCAAGTACTCTGGTTTCCTTTTGGGGACATCCACGGCATGAAACCACTTGACGTTCAAGGGTGGACTTTCGGGAGGATATCTCTTGAAACTTTGGCCATATAATGTGGTGATGGCATGATCGTCGGCCTTCTTCGACGGCGCTGCCTTTTTGGGCGGGGGTGGCATGTCCTTCTCCTTGGGTGCCGGAGTGGTGCTGCGGCTAGTCCACGGATTCATGGACTCGACTGCTGATGCGAAATACGACTTCTCTTGCTTCTTCTCTGTCTTGTCACCTTCGGTCCCAACAGCGTCCTTGTCTTTACCTGGAGGCGCAGACATGTTGCTCCTATCGGACCGGCCAAGCGGCCAGCCGAATAAAGCTCGTGGCGCGTTCCAGATTCGGCGGGCGTAGGCAGGGGCTAAGGTGTGTCGGCTGTGCTTGAAGGTATGCAGTGCGAGTTTTCCCGTGTACAGCGCCAACGTGTTCAGTTGAAACTGATCAAATGGTAACTATTGAGAAACGCGACTCTGATGTCGGTTCCACCTATCTTTCTCAGAGAGCGGAGTGGCTTGTTTCCAATAAATCAACCGCTTGCGTCAGCGGGTTGCTGCGCGTGGGCCCGCGGGTTTATGCTGAGCAGGACGGTCTGATTTCTCAAGCTGGTCAACGATCCCCGACCATTTGGTAATGCCTTCTGGTAGAAGCGAGGAGTTCCCACACGTGCTGGTGATGAGGAGTTTAAAGATATAAAGAAAGAAAAAATTGGGAAAGCCGTGTTGACAGCCTGCCAGCGGAAACAAAGACCGGAAGCTCTTGTCACGATCACAAGGTTGCCGAGTTACTGTAGCAGTTCACATGCCTGCCTACTGTACAGGAGCTTGCCAGAGCTCCAGTGGGAACTATGACGATCTTGCATACGCTAGCGATGCCCAAAGGCGGTCTGACAGGGGACTTACCGCGGGGTTCAGGGTCAAGGTCAAGGCCAAGGTCCCAGTATTTAGGGTTGATACCGACCCCTTAACGGTGAAGGACTTCGCCGATATTAGTATGATATCCTTGTTAACATCCGAATCTCGTCCTGCCTGATCTGTTCAGTTGGCACAAGCCTCAAGTTTTGCCGGCAATGGAGTTGGGAGGAGAAAGAATGTCTGGCTGCCCTCAAGCAGATGTGCAAGAGCCTTCATCTGTGTCTTTTTTGACCCCGCAGTTGCATATTGAACACAAGGAGCTTAGCGCCGTTTCCATGGCGCTCACGTCAATAAGATATCACCGTTAGGTATTTGAACCTGGGCAGTCCATCCGAATCCAGGATTTTGCAAAGAGCTTTCCGAACCAGGACATAAACAGGGAATCAATTCTCTGGGATCTGTGCCGATAACGCAAAAACGGACACTTTCGTGTTATATCCGCAAGAGAACCTCTCGTCGCTTTTCCGTATATCTACATCTTCTCATTGCAACCCGCGAACAGTGGTTCCAAGGAATATCCTTATACTTGTTTGTAAGCGGAGCTCGGGGCTGTTATGCTCTTCTGGAAACATCATCTGCTCCTGTGAAGATGTTGGGTTACCGCTGGAATTCGCTGCTCTTGGTCACCTACAGGACTTGAGAGATAAACGGGCACGACCGACCAAGGACTGGATGTATTCAGGATGACATACGAAGGCTTGCTCCCATTGTCTCAAGCCTGCCTAAAACTGTTCCAAGTGGAAGTACGGACTGAAGGTAAACTGTAGGAGAATGGTGTCATCTTCATTATGGGATTTTTCTCTTGTTGGTAATAACTAGACTAGTATGAATCATGTAGGAATTACTCAGATGTTCGTGATTATACGTACTTCAAGTTGTGGCAGATCTGAAAGATTAAATATCTGATCAGAACTTGATGTCTCAACCACCGTGACATACCCTCCCGCCATCTTCATGGGTTCAGGGGAGTCGTCCCCTCGACGGAGAAAGTTATAGCTACGAGCGGTTCGCCTTAGACGAGACATTAAGGAGTAACTCTCGGACCGTAGATCATCACAACACAACAACGGCAGGGAATAATATCATGGTACCTAGGAGCCAACCGCATACATATTAGTCCACCACTCAGCTCAGCACATCATAACCTCAACCCCCTCAACTACATCAAGCCTAATGCTGTTGACCAGCGTGTCAGTCCATCCAGGGTCTTACTCTCCCGGTGGGCTCCATCCTCTCCACGTCCCCAGCATGTGGTGTGCCAACAGCCTCCGATCACCCTCCTTGCCCTCGAAATATGCCACCTCATCCACCGTCGGCGCCCTGAACGCCGTGATGGGCAAGACCAGCACATCCCCAACGAGCTTCGGCTCAAACAGCCGTCCCAGATCCGCCTTCCCCCTCACCCCGGCCTCCTCCCCGACGTCGTAGAGATGCTCCCAGATGACGTCCGTCCACTGTATCGGGCCGGTAGTGTTGAGCACCCCGATGTTGTCCGGGTGCACCTTATCCAGCGTCGTCCCCTCCTCCTCCGCCAGGGCGTGCAGCTTGGCCAGACAGCGCGAGACCATGCGCGTCAGGACGGGGTGCCCGGGCGCCGCGGCGATGGCCCACTGTCCGAACTGCAACAGCCCCCCGTCGCCTCTCCCCCTATGCCCCGACTGCTGGTCCAGGAAGCCGTCGGCTTCGGGCGCGATGATCAGTCTCGCCCTGGCCCTGAGCCCGGGCGGCGCGACCCAATCCTCGAGCGGGACCAGGGGCTGCGTGTCGACGTCGCCGTAGTAGCCGCCCTCGGCGGCCAGGATGAGGTACCTCAGGAGGTCTGACTTGAGGGCCGGGTTGGTGAGCTGCTCGAAGACGCGCAGCTCGTCGGACGCGGCCCCGTAGTGGTGGCGGACGAGGGCGGTGCCCCCGCCGGCGCCCAGCAGCGTGTACGTGTAGCCCGGGGCGGACTTGACCCAGTCTCCGAGGAAGGAGACCTGCTGGTCGGTCACGGCGCCGTTGTTGGGGAAGAGAATGTGCCAGATCTTGCGGGGTATTATCGCAGGTTCGAGTGATGTATCTTTCTCCTGCTCCTCAGATGTTGTCGATTCAGAGGCAGAGGACGAGATGTGCGTGTAGTACGAATGTTTGAGTGCACTGGTAGTCGTAGCCACTACATCGTGAACAGCTCCGGACTGGTGGGCCAGTGAAATGACCCAGATAAGCGTGAGCGTCAGAGCAGCGTAGGCTAGCCAACGATTCTTGAAGCATTTGCTGATCATAGGAACTGTACGCCTGTCGTGGGTGTCCATTTTGTCCGTGGATTGAAAGAACTGTAGAAGTGTATCATGCGTCGACCCATCACTTTTAGGGCAAATGTATTTGTGCTATCTCGGAAGGGATGCGTGATCAATAATAGGGGCCATTGCGTGCCCCCATAGCTTTTCTCTCATCCCTTGATGATGTGAATGTGGCTTCTATGGCTTGTGAGTTAATGTCTCACTCCCTCGAACACGCCATGCGGGTCATGAAGTGTTTGAAGGAGAATTGCGCATCTCACCTCAAGTTTGTACGGCTTGAACGGCGCTCCTTAGGTAAGAGGGTTGGTTCATGTTGTATCTTTGTTCAAAGTGGACCATTTATTTCTAGCACGGTACCCGCCGAGTGTGATTGGTGTTGGATCTATTATATTACCATGACCACGCCCTGTTTCCATGATTACAACCACCATGCAGGTCTTCCAGTTGCACAATATGAAGAAACAAGGGTTGAGTAGGAATGGTACCCACCGATACGGTTTCTCTATTTGCCTTGCGCCTTGTCCCGGTGAATCTCAAAAGATGTTGTCCACACCTTGGAACCCTCGTTCTCTACTCTCCCAATAGCTCTCCTTGCCATGCTTGATCCTCCAAACTTCCTCTCCGCCACCATCTTCGTCGCCGCCAGCAACCTTGACGAACCACTTCGCCTTCCACTGCTCACCACGCTCCTCCAGCTCGCGCCTCCTGGCTCTCTGCGCCTCCTCTAGACGCACCTTCTCCTCCTCTGCCTCGTCTAGCTTACCAGCCTCGGCGAGTCGTTGATCTGGTCTCAACCGAGCATCCGTGGGTGGCAGCCGTCCCTTCTCGATGACCGTGATCTCGTTGAGAGCGGCAGCGAAGGCAGTCATACCGTACGTATTGGCCGCATTAGGGACAAGCTCGCCAACCTTCCAGATTTCATCGCCCTTCCTGGCCTTTCCGTTCTCCACGACCTTGAGGGAGTTCGTCCACGTACCATTGAGCGCCAGTCCGGTCTGCGAGCCGTCAGGATTGTATATGTCAACCTGAACATCCTCACCGCGACCGCCAAACATCCCCTTGGTTTTGAACTCGATCTGGGCCTTGGCGCCCGTGGAGTCGTTGTTCACGGCCATGGATCCTACGGGCTCAACGTACTTCTCGCCCATCACCACATTCCTCAAGAACATGGTCGCGTGCGTCCAGGAGTAGAGTTCATCGGTGCCGTCTGGCAACCTAAGTGCCACCCTGACCTTGCCTTCCGTGGTGATCTCGGCGCTCTTGCCCCAAAATTTCTGTCCTGGGGCGGGACTTTGGGCAAAGGACCATAAAGCGGCGTCTGCATGCATAGCTAGCCTGACGGGGCGGTGGCAGACCTTCTCGACGATGCACCTGAAGCCGCCTGGGACCTCGCTATCTGTTCTGAGCATTTCGAAAGTCTCGCCTAGAAGTGGGTTGAAAGGCTTGCGGATCGCGCGTTCCTTGGCTCTGTTGACGCTGAATTGCGAAACGGCGAAAGCAGTGACGTACAACATGCGCTCATTAGCCGTTTTCTGCGTTGCCGCCGCATCAAGGAGTTGTGCGTACTCGAGTTGTTCTGCTGTGCGTTGGAGCATGGAGATGGGCTCGTTTGCAGATACAGGCATGCTAATGGTGCTAAGATCCTTACCCACATTCTTCCTTACAAAAGCTATTAGAGAAGGTGGAAGGACGGTGGCAGGTGGAATGGTGCGACGACGCTCGACACCAATATCGATGGGGAGTGGATGCAAAGATTTTGGTTTTGAAGGGAATAGAGCTGCTACGCCCTTTGCATCTAATGGGACATCTTCCTCTTCCGCCGAAGATACAGACGATGAAGAATGTATCGAAGCATCGTCCGCCTCAGATTCCTGCGAGTCCTCCCCATCTTGGCGATCAATGATCATGACTTGGTTTGCCCCCGCTGAGTCGCCAGCTTCGGCATCAAAAAACTCGTCCGTGGATGCCGTAGACTCGAAACTCATTCGTGAAGCTGTTGCAGACGTTGGCATTGGCGTCCGTCTGCGTTTACTCTTAGCTACTAGTGAAGTGAACTCTGAGACTACCGAGTCCAGGTCATTGAGTAGCGACGTGCAGTGATCGTGAATGCTCCCCTCCTGCTGATCTGGCCCCTTTGACATCCTCTTCGAATTGCTGCCATTAGCGGCAATGGCTGCCGCGACAGAGCCGGGCGATGGGACGGCAAGCGCGGATGATTGCATAGCTTGGAAGACCTGCGGGCTCATGGGCGGTGCGCTCGACTTGCGCCGCCAGAATGATCGCTTCTGTTCTTGCTGCTGATGTGGCGTGGGAGGGAAATAATCACTATCCTCGGCTCCATTGGGAGTCGCTGGAGAAAGGTACGAGCTCGACGGACGAGTATACTGCCTCTGAACGGCCATGTCCTTAACCAGGCGTCTTAGGGCGTCTCTCGAGCCGACCACACGGCTGACCAGGCTCTCGACCTGCTGCCACTCCCGCTCCTCTTCCTGTGCATTTGCGAAGCGCGGTGCGGCATGCGTGTTGACCTTCAGCGTGTCTTTGGGAACAAGCACACCCTCTGGGGCTGGTTCCGGTTCCAGGCCACGAGCGATTCTGCTGGCTCTCTCCAGCGCCTGCGCCCAATCGGCGAAATCCTTGGCATTTGAAGCTCTGAGGTGCCAAATTTCGGCACCGGAGTCAATGCTTATTTCCCTTCGTCGCTCATCTGCGGCGATAGCTGCCAAGCTTAGAGGTATGGCACCTCTGAGTGCTGATGAATTGCGGTTGTAGTAGTACGACAGGGTACACGACGAGTAGTCAAGCGAAAAGAAGCGACGTGCGTACCCCTGACCCTTCTTTCTCCGCCTCTTGAGTAGGGTACCTGTATGATATGTGCTCGAAGCTCCGCCACCTTCGCTACGGCCTGCGATGGATTGCGCCCTGTTCTTGCCGTGACTATGCAGGCTATCCACCGAATCTGAAGCCCCGGTCGGGCTCCTCCCAACAGGTTTGATGTTTGCCACGCTCGGTCCTCCTGCAACAAGATTTGGGATGTGATGGGCAACCTGGGGTGGTTGGCCGGTAGGGAAGGTCAAGAGCACAAAGGTGGCCGTCTTGCCGGTTGTCTTGGAGAATGTGTTGTCGAAGATCAGACCGAACATGCCGCCCTGGCCGGATAGCACGTCGTATGTACCCATGGAAACCTTGTCGGCCTCGCATTTGCCATGCCAATTCATGAGCATGAAGCCCTTACTGCTCAGCTGCTCCTGGGCCGTGCTTGAATCCTTCTTAGAGATGCCTCCGCGGCCAGACTTTGCGCTCTTGTTGACTCCGCCATCCTTGCTAGCCTCGAGGTTCTCGGAGGAGTTGTTCAGCTCGTCGATGCCGGCGGCCCCGGTGGCGGTCAAGTTGGTGGCGCCGGAGCCCGGGTGCTTCACGATGCCGAAGTTGATGGATTTTTTATGTGGCTGTAGACTCCAGGATATCGTGTGGCCATCTTCCACCTTGACCCAGCGCACAATGTACGACTATTGGCATGAAGGTCAACATTGTTTCAAGGCAGTGGGTTCCTCAGAGGACGCCATGGGCCCTCCTTGTGGGTGAGCGCACGTCGCAGAAAAGGCAAGGGAATTGTGCTGAAAGCAACGGGATCCCGGGGACGCCAACGACCCTATTTGTTTGTGCATCACGTCACACATACCTTGCTGTGAATCTCGAGTTGTTCGATTCCGGCCATGTTGCAATGGCTTGTCTCATGGGCGCATGTATCTCAGGGTTGTGTTGTTCTAAATTTGTGCAGCGTGTTCGCATGTGAACGCGCTTCACAGACGAGTTGGACTTGCGATGATTGATTGAAGGATTGACTCAAAGAATGACCGCGACTCAGTTGTCGTCGCAATGGAGGATGTGCAAGTAACAACAATAATGATGATAATAATAATCACAACATAATAATCAATCAGCTTACTTACTGCTTGATTAATCCCAGCTCCGTAATCCTACCCAACCTCTACTCACAACTTTTAATGCACTTTCGGATTTCGGTGGTTGGAACGTCAATCCTCGTTTCGCTTAGACCAGGCTGATCGACAAGTCCCTGGCAGCTTCAAATAGTTCGCATGTTCGGCACCATAGGCTGACCATGGCACTCTTTGGACCCTGAGAATTTGGGGCGATGTGGCCTGTCTCAGTGCTTCTGGCCATTCCTAGCGCTGCTAATAGCTGCTGTCACGACGTCAGTGTTAGGTCTGCCCAGTCCCTCAAAACGTGACCGGGGATATTCGCCTTGACGCACTTGTCGACTTGTACTCAAAAGCAAGAAAACAATACGAACTAACCTTACCTCTTAGACGGGCTACCTATACGCAAGTACGACGACCTGGCAAATCCCGCCAGTTATTTAGTCTAGGTTAGACTAGTCTAGCTGAACCCCATGTTGGGAAATTTCGCTTTGCTACAGGAATGGGAGTACCCATGGGATACGCCATTATTGTACTAACTTGGGGACGGTGCAACCCGCGATTTCATGGACGATTGTGCGCTCAACCAATCAATTTCTGTAAACAATGCATCCCCTGAAATGCAATTTGTCTGATATTGGGCATACTTCTATTTTACAACTCGGATCTTTTAGCCCGCCTGCCCAAAGCAGGAGAATTGCTTTTGGTCTCCTGATAATAGCACACTAATCACGGAAGATTGCTCCTCGCAATGCTTTCAAATATCATCGCCGCCCCCTTGCACCTAATGAAAACAAGCCACCCTCAAACGTGGGAAACAGAATTGTCTGTCTGGAAAGGGGCTTTCCTATGACCAGCTGTCATGCTGTGGTCTACCTTCTTCCAGCTCCTGACTTGTTGAGCTCGCTCTGGTATCGTAGTTTAAAGCCGTTGGTCAGCGCCCTCATGTCTGGATATTGATTTCCAAGCATCTCGTAAGCGTTTGGCAAAACCTTGACCGACCACTTAAATATCTTAGATTGCTTGTTGGTCTTAAATGTCAGCCAGAAGAATCCAGGGTGCTTCGTATCGATACAGAAGGTGTATACAGCAGCCTTTGGGTTGGCGTCTGTATAGGCTGTGAGCCATTTCTCTGTGTCCAAGTCAGTTATCTGTAAGGCGCATGCAATTAATAGCTCAGGTGACGACATACCAATTTCGGACATACTGCCCTTACGGAATTTGTCATGCCCAGTGAGTTGGTCCACCTTGCGAGCCGTTGCTTTGACGTGTTCCACGATCAACTCGTCAAGATCGGTGTAGTTGTACTTGTTCTCAACGCGGAGAATCTTGCCGACGGAAAATTCGCTCTCCTTCTGCAGCTCAAGGACATCGATGTGCTTGAAGACACCATCTGCAACCTTCCATGTGATTGTCAGATGATCATTACCCTTGGAGGACGGCCTTATGATCAAGTCGCCAACAGCCTGAGATCCAAGATACTGTTCAGCTTCGATTGAGCTGAAAGGCTTAAACATGGGGTGTTTTATGACTCTCTGCACCCGACCAGTGACCTTGTCTTTCTCCCGGAGCTCTTCCTTGTCATTGGCCTCGCCCTTGAAGTCCCACATGCGTGGGTCGTGGTCATGATGCTTGTTAAGTGGCCGTCTGACAGCATCCTCGCGTACGGATACCTTGGCGAGGAAGTCTTTTCGGTTCAGCTCAAGTATCTTGGCCTGCGCGATTTGACCGGGACGAATTATCTCCTTGATAGAGACGTTGGCTCTATGGCTGACCTCGTGTGCGTCAACGCGACCTTCGATGCCGCAATCAAGTTTCACGATGGCGAAGTCATCCTTTACCACACGCACGTTGACTGGCAAGACCATGCCCTCATATAGGGAATCCTCAGTTTCTCCGGTGAACATGGTAAATATCCGATCGCTGGCCAGCGCAACCAGAGCTCGTCGGAGCTCTTCGTAAGGAGCTTGCAATTCTGCACGGATCGTCTCCAGGGTTGCCCGCTTCCTTTGAGCGTAATTAGTCTCCAGCTGCTCAGCGTACTCTTCCAGAATAAGCTCGTTGACTTTGTCCTGTTCGTCTTCTTTGAACAGCTTTCGAACGATGGCGCCCTGCCCATTCTCGACGGTTTCGGCCTGGACATCCTCCTCGTCAAGTTCGAGGGCATCAGCAGCCATCTTTCGACCGAGCTCGTAGTCTTCCGGATGAACACGAGTGTTATCGAGAGGCTCTGAAGCTGGATTTGCCGGATCGTACTCTAAGAACAAAAAGCTGGCGCAGTTCATCCAGACGAGTGGGCCAACCACGGGGAGTTTGTTATTATCAGGATCTCCGACGAGTTCGTCCCTGGAATTGACGGCTCCTCCATTGACGTTGATTGCCTTGATCACCGCGGTAGCTTTACGAGGGCCGAGACCAGCAACGTAGGGAAGCAAGTTGGCCACGTAGGGATCGCTGACGGCCTCATTGATGTCCACACCGCAGAGATTGACCATGTCAACCATTGATGTTTCGAGGTACTTGAGTAATTTGTCTTGAGGCAGTAAGCTCTGACAAGGGTGGAATAGGAGGGACGCAATGTCTTTGCCCAGCGTAGCGTACTCCTTCATCGGGTTCTGAAGATACCTGGCAAGGCCTACGCAGTAACGTGTGACGGAATGCAAGCCCGGGTGCTCTGCAATGGCTCGTGGACTATCCTTGTATAGTCTGGCCACCTCATCGTTGACCACAAATACGTCGAGTAAATCACTGCGGTAGTCACCGGTGTCCGGATCCTCAAAGTCAGGTCCCATGAGGCGCTTTTCGCTGACAAGGCCCTCAACATCCCGTACGAGCTTTTGGCTGTCGGCGGAGAAACCGCTGATAGCGATGACATCGGGTTTCCTGCGTTCAACAACTTCAACGAAAGCATCTCTCTGCGCATCGTTACGTGCCAGGTTCTCGAAGCGGCCCTGCTCAATGACGCGACCATCTTCCTCTACCCATGCCCAAAAGACGGGATCTCTTTGCACATCACCCATGCCGTTGGAAAGGGCAAGGACGCGAGGGGTCGTTCCTAGAACCATGCCCTTGGGTTTGTATGGTGCTTGATCTAGCCTCTTTGAATACTCCTCGCGGCAGATCTTCAACAGCTCTTCTTGGCAAGCTGTCCTCAATGTCTCTTTGACGCTCTTGGAGATGATCTTTTCAAGCTTGAAGAATGCGTTATCGAGCACCTTCCGGCGTTGTTCGTTCCAGGCATCAGCAGCTGAGCTGTAATTGTCGGACTTGAACTCGGCATCCAGCTGCTGGCGAAATGGACGTTCATTCGACAGGCGTAATCTGACCTCGACTAAACCTTCCTCTTCAGCTTTCATCATCTTGAGGAACAGTTCAGGCCGACGTGCGAGGTCAGGAATGGTTTGGTTGATGATATATTTGATCTCGTAGAATGGATGTGCCTCATCGATACGTCGAAGACCCTTGTCCGTTCGCCGACAACTGATCTCGCCATTCATGAAGAAATGAACCCGAAAGTGTTTTCGCATTCTGGGGTTTGCGAAGAGCTCCTCAGCATACATTGAACGTGCTTGGGAGATGACGGCCTCGGATGTTAGAGCGTCAGAGTCAGTCAATGAGTCAGCCAGATCCTCGGGTGATTTATCGTCATCGTCTACGAGAGATCTCTTGCCATCCCGCTGAAGATTCTGGGCCAGACGGTCGGGTGTGATACCATATGCCTTGACGAACCTGTAAACGTTGCTGTTCCGGATCCGCTCCCAAGCAGACGACTTGGTGCCGGGGCGCTTGGTTTCCTTCGCAATTCCATCCATGGCCGCAAGATCCTTGAGTTGTGCAGAGTACTGGAAGTTGACGTAGTCTTGTAAGTCCTGTAGCTCCTCCATGCTCTCAGCAACAGGGATCAGCTCCTCCAAACTCTCATCTTGAACCCCGGTTTTCTCTCGCAAATTGTCGAATGTTCTTTCTAGCGCATTCCGCCTCTCGATAAAGGCACGGAACTTAATATCCAGCTCCAGTACCCTCCAGAGATCGTCTTGTGTAAGTAGTTTTTCGGCGCTCACAATGGTCTCGGGAGCATCTGGGTCGTTTCTGTGCTCGGGGTTCTCTTTCTTCTCGGCGTGAATGAGGTAATCTTTGCGGTGCTGAAAGACGTAGGGGACTTCAAGCTGATCAACGACAAAGTATTCGAGTACTTTACCGATAGCTTTTTGAAAGGGTTCGAGGAGTCTCCCAGATAGTCCCTTCTTGGGCCAAATAAGATTTGTGATCCACTTGGCCTCCTCCTTGAATTGATCGTTGGTGATGTTAAGAGACTTGAAAGGCTTGCGATCCAGCTGGAAACGCTCAGGCTCATCAGTGTTCCTAATGACGTTATCTTCTTCGGTGAGCAGCTTCTCTTGCAGTTGCGAAGGCTCAAAGACATCCTTGAGTTCAAGGTTCTGGTCTTCATATCGGCGTTCCTCCTCCTCCTCTTCTAATTGGAGGGCCCAGTCGTAGTCTTCGCCGTTACCGAAAATTGCTTCCATATCCTCAAGGACTTCCTGGTCGAGGCCACTGGTGTCGAGAAGAGTTCCGGCTAGACCCCGGTCTCGGGGCCTGGCGACTTCGGCATCCTCGATCTGGCGGAAACGTTCTTCTTCGTTCACGGGGTCATCGTCCTCGATGAAGTCGTCCATCTCATCATCTAGGCGGCCCGGTCGCGTAGGACGCGCGTAAGCTCGATCGTCGACCTCATCTTCGTCGGAGAACATGTCGTCAAGCCCGCGTCTTTCGGTCCTTCGGTCGTCTGACTCACGATGGCCTATCCGCAGACGCTTCATTTTCTTCTGTGGTTGTAGCATTGTAAGTAAGGGTCCCGGGGCTCTCTCTATGTGATGTAGGTCGGAGTTTCCTCACCTTCTCTGGCGGCTGGGCCTCGCCTATCGTCTCACCGATCAGGTCAAGATCCTCCTCGTCGAGCTGGGCTTCCTCTTCTCGTTCTTGTCGTCGCTTGCGCTTTCGACGCTTTCGCTCCTCGTCTGAATCTATGGCATCCTCTTCTTCCTCATCCTCATCGACAATGAAGCCCTCGCGGATCTGGTGATGTCATTAGCTGTGTTCGGGGGAGGGGGAAGCCATGATATCATGGCATGTTTCCTGTAGCTATACCTTTGCGGCCTCTTCCTCATCGTCGTCGTCATCCTCTTCCTCGCTAGAATCATCGCCGTCGCCATTTTGTTTGCGCTGCCGCTGGCGAGCTTCACCAGTCTCCTCGTCGTATGACTCGTCATCGGAGCTGGCCTCATCGGCTTCGCCCATGACCAAGTCTCTCATCGCATTAGACATTGTCGCGAATTCCAGGGAGCAGAAAAGCAGTGCAGTGGTTGGTGGTTGCTGTTTCTGCAGGGGCCGGTGGTTTTAATGGTAGAATTCCAGCCCGGCAGGCAAGGCAAAAACCTGGCTCAGAGGGAAGGATGCAGATTAAGTAGAAGCTACGCCAAGCTTGAGAAGGAAAGAAAAAGAAGAAGGGGCAAGGAAAACGGGTTGTGATGGGGTGGTTTGCTGCGGTTGTGAAGGTAGAGTGAAGGGAGCCTCTCTCATGGAGTGCTGCGCCGGAGCTGGAAAAATGTATCGCGTTGTTCTGGGCAGCCTCGCGGGTGAGTGCTCACATTTGCAAAGGCAAACGCAAGCGCAAGAGCCAAGGGATGGGGGGATTGGTACCGTAACAATCGAATTGCATTTGAATTGCAACGACCAGCTCGGAGGCTTGAATTTGAATGGCCCAAGCGCCGCTGCAGACAGACAGACAGACGGACAGAGGCACAAGCGCGACAGACGTGTAGCACTGAATGTACATGATAAAATAAGTGGGAACCGATAACGATAACGATGGTGGACTGCTGCAGCTGCTCTTGCTGTAAGTTATACCGTTCAGGGTCTTTGACACAGGTGGATGGGATGATCGATCAAACGAGGTGCTTGGAAGTGATCCTACTGTAGAACGAGAACATTGCATGTCGACGTCACAACTCCTCCAGTGTATATGCTAAGGTTACTGCAATGTCAGAGGGCATCTTGCAGTGTTGGCAATAATGGCAACACACTCGAGACGTGGGCCGTTGAACTTGTAGCGTAGCTCTGCATCGATATCAATTATACAGCCTTGCTGAGGAAATGCGCAGTGCAACCAATAAACCAACAGCGTGGATTGCCCCTAATCCTGCCATATACGCGACTCATCTACCATTCCAAGACTGAACCTCTTTCTTACCAAACATTTGCATATCAGATTTCATGATGCTACATGCTAGTGGCGCCACCGTGCAATGGCACAAAGGGATTGGGGATTCTACTCCTACTGCAGGCCAATCAGGTGTAAGTGCTTGGCATGAGACACAAGACTCGTTAGCAATCCACACCAGTGCTTCGAAACAGAGGGATCCCAAAAGTGCCTGCTAATGTGAAACCCTGCTCAAAGAGGTCATGACTGCGTAAATCCTGAGCCACATGTATTCACACATGGCAGTGCTCCATCGAGGTGAAATCCAAGCAGGTGCGAGGAATGCATTAGCTTCCGTGAGATTGACAGCTTCACTGGTCTGTATGGTTGGCCGGCCCCCTGAACAAAACGAGCATATAGTACACAGCATGGACCATGTTGGGTATGAAGAACAGGGCTCTGCACCATCTTGACTTTGCCAAATGTACACGGCATCAATAGGGATCAAACATGCCCACGGTTCAGTTCGCATTGAACGACTTCAAATAGCTGCATTGCCTCCTAAATGATATGTGCAGCCGGGACGTTTGTTTTGGGCTCCCAGATCTCATCCTCAATCCTTGTCTTTGGGCGCTTCCCATTCTCCCCCGCCCTTTGTTTAGTTTCGTTGGCATCCCGTGGGCCCATCAGGTCACGGCTGTAGACGCTTCGACTTCACAAGTTTCACATATCTTCAAGTGTTGTAACAAGTGGGACATGCTTTCTTTGTTGCTCTGTGCAGTCCTTCTCGTTGAGCTTAAGGAGCTACCACCTGCTACGATTCTCAGTTCTCGCAGCAGCAGCAAATCCATACAGATTGCATGGCTAGCTACATAGTCTCAATAGTCAGAACCACCATCTCCGTACCGTCGACTGTCAGGACCCATACGATCGGATAGGTTAACTCAACCTGCGTATTAGGCCGCCACCACAAAGAGCGACCGCATTTCTGACGAGTCAAATCGGATTACTGGCGATTGACAGCTCGTTGGATCCACGGGAAGGCTGATAGCCCTGAAAAAGAAGAAAAAGAAAAAAAGAGAGACCCAGCACTATTGCCTCCTTTGAGCAGTCCCATGAGATAACGACAATCTTCTTGTCGCCGCCAACATTTTATTACTGCTACTTCATCCCACTTTTAGCCCCTCATCAATCGCATGGATTTCCGACAGCACTTGCAGCAATCACAGCATCGTCCCGTGTAAAGGCCGTATTACAGAACTCGCAGCCGTACTGGCCCGGGGCTTGAAAAGTTTGGGGGCTCACTCGGATTCGGTATGCTCAATCCCAACTGTCGACGCTGGGCCAGAGCCTAACTAACTAACCTAGGTTAACCTAAAGCATATGCAGTCAAGAGTGCGATTCGATTGTACATGAACTGAAAAGAAAACCAGCAGCGGGTCGGGCGAGTCTAGCGAATCCAGACCCTTTCCTCTCCCTGTCGTTTTAAGGTTCCACCCCACGGCGGGCTTCCACAGCGGCCTGTCCAGCCAAGTCGAGCCGAGTCGAGTCCAGTCGAGTCGTGCTCACTTACAGCATCTCAACCATTGGCGTGTTCCCAGAGCAGTGTGATACAACAGCAGCTACACCACTTGCCCAGCCATCCCCACAGGCGAGACATCATCGGGCTGCAAGACGCAGGAGCAGGAGCAGGAACAGGAGCTGCCACTGTATCTCGATTAAAGATACCGACCCTGCAGCTGACGATTTCTTAGTCGCGAGGGGCAGTTTCGCCGTGTCAAGGTCAAGGTCAAGGTCAAGGTCGTATTGAACCGCAAGGGCCGCGCCCAACCCACCTGATCGCCGTGCGCTTGCAACTGGGATTCAAAGCTACCCCTTACTGCTCATATCTGAAAAAGTCCTGCATTGGCTTGGATTAATTGAACTATTCCATCGCTTCTGCCATTCTACGGTACAAATCCGGGTCCAGTGGCTTTCGACGGCTTTTGCTTTTCCCTTCGACCCTGTCACATCGACGCCCGCGACCATGGCCGAATTTGCCCCGCGCTCCATGAAGCGCAAGAATGTCAAGGGTCTTGCGCTCACGCCCGCGGCGCCGAAGGCACCGCCGACATCGAACGCTCCCCTCCAAGTAGGCGGCTGGGGGACCGGCGGCTCAAAACACGAAGAAGGGGGCGACGAAAAGCTTGAGATTGGCATCGAGTTCAACCTGAGTCTGAAGCAAGAAGATATCGAGATCATAAAAGAGCTGGGGTCGGGCAATGGAGGCACCGTGAGCAAGATCAAGCATCTCCCAACGGGAACAACTATGGCGCGCAAGGTACGAACAAACCTCTACGGAGCTTGATTCCGAGTTACTAAGTCAGCGGCTAGGTCATTCATGTCGAGGCCAAGAAGGAGATGAGGAGACGTATCGTCCGTGAGCTCCAGATCATGCACAACTGTCACTCCAACTACATCGTGACGTTTTACGGTGCCTTTCTCAACTCCCACAACGATGTTATCATGTGCATGGAATATATGGACGTCGGGTAAGTTATGCCAAAGAAGTTCTGTACTTTTGCAACTCAGTCTGACCCAATGGCCACAGGGCCCTCGACCGAGTCTCCCGAGTCTTCGGGCCCGTTCGAGTCGACGTTTTGGGCAAGATCGCAGAAGCCACATTAGGTGGACTGACATACCTATACGAGAAACATCACATCATGCATCGAGACATTAAACCGTCAAATATCCTGGTCAACTCTCGAGGCCACATCAAGCTTTGCGACTTTGGTGTCTCAGGAGAACTGATCAACTCCGTTGCCGATACCTTTGTGGGCACGTCTACATACATGGCGCCGGAGCGAATCCAAGGAGAGAAGTACACGGTAAAGTCGGATGTGTGGAGTTTTGGTCTAACTATAATGGAGTTGGCTATTGGAAAGTTCCCCTTTGCTGCAAGCGAACAGCTCTCGGACGGAGACGGCGCACCCGCTGGTATTCTAGATCTGCTACAGCAGATCGTCCATGAGCCTGCGCCAAGACTGCCCAAGAGTGATGCGTTCCCATCGATTTTGGAGGATATGATCCAGAAATGCTTATACAAGGGTCCCGACGAGCGGCCAACACCGCAGGAACTTTTTGTAAGCTGCCCCTCACGGGGTACCCATCAATATCATGTGCCTTGAACTAACAAAATGCAGGAACGTGACCCGTTCGTACAGGCAGCCAAGCGGACACCTGTCGACCTCAGAGCTTGGGCAGTGAGCTTGATGGAAAGAGACAACCGTAAATCACATCTGGCGCCTCAGCTCTCGCCTGCAACACAGGAGCTTCTGAGGTCAGGTGATTCGCCGACATATCAGGGCAGCGCCGCTGATCACGATCCCGCGTTTACACCTACTTCAGGCGAGATCCCTATCGCGAGCATGAGTGGCATGACCATCTCGTCCCCACGAGAACAACTACACAACCGGTCACCCACTCGGAACGGACTCGGAAGTTTCGGACGCGCGGCTGGCTCGAACGCACACCCTGGCCTGGGACAAAGGTCGGCAACATCAGGCACGATACCCAAAGCTGGTACTCCTGACTTGTCTCATCCCGCAAGCGCGAGCGCTGGCCAAGCCACTTTCGCCCTTCCGGGCCGACCCGCACCACCTGGTGGTCCACTCCCTCCACCTCCTCCAAGAAAGGAGACTCCTGATGAATTGAGGGGCAGCCGCCGTCAAGCAACATTTGGACCGCCATCTAATGGATATGGTGGGCCGCCATCCAACGGGTACGGGAATATTGGCTACCAGTGAGATGCCGATATATGACCAACTTGTTTATCGTTGTTGTCGGCGTGCTTGCTCTTCTCACCTCATTAGTGTTAAATGCGTTCTCGAGCCTTTTCCAAACACAGCATTGTCCGGCGTATATGCTTCATGTAGCGGCTCCGGCCTTTTCGGCTCTCATACTGAGTCGCAAAAACACAGGTCGATCAACCTACCCAACTCTTGGCATCTGAATGAATATACGAGACGATCTGCGTGCACACTATAAAAAGGAGGCATGGTGCCGCGAGGCTTGAAGATTGAGCAAGGATTTATAGCACCATAGGCTTAGGGAATCGCTTGTGAGTACCTGATCAACTAGATTAGGCTAGGGTAACTTCATGGAGGCCGAAAGTGAGGTACAAATGCAAACTCATGCTTTGTATCCACTCAAGAAAGTTGACTCGTATCTCATGTATATCGCGCTTAGGTTGATAAATTTATGCCATGAAGTTCTCCTGTTCGGGCGCCTGTAGGGCCTTTTCGTGTCTACCGCATTTCTTGAAAGCAGTCTTGGATGATGACTGCTACTCTGTCCCGGAGTAGGTTATCATGAGATCACACGTCCAACGAACCCGTCCTCCAAGATGTCTACCAGCTCATCCAGGCTCCTGATCACCAAATCCGTATCCTCGTGCTCGGCCAGATGCTCATTCGCGGAGTTGACGAGCAACACCGTCGCCGCGCCCGCTCTGCGGCCCGCCGCCATGTCGTCGATACTATCTCCCACCATGATCAACCCTCTCGCGTCACCGATCTCCTCCCCGTCCCCATGGTCGTTGCCACCTTCCTCGGGCTCCGCGAGCGCGCCCCGCCTGACGCCCGCCCCCTCGTCGCTCGCCCTGACCAAGCCCTTGAGCTCCTCGGCCCGCCCCCGGCTCATGTCGGACAGCGGGCGGCTCAGCCCCCAGCTCCGCGCGATGAACAGGATGCCCGCCGGGTCCGGCTTGGGCGGCCGGAAGTCCCGCGTGATGATGGGCTCGAAGACCGACGACGGCAGGAACTTGCCCAGCAGGTGCGTCACGGGCCCGTCGAAGTTCCGCGTGCAGATCCCCTTGCGGACCGAGCGCGAGTCGAGGTAGGCCATGAGGGCCGCGAGGCCCGGTTGGGCTATCTGTCTGTGGGAGGGCAGGGGGTTTAGTCAAAGTTGGCAGATGAAATTGAAGTTTGGCAAGGTGATCGATCGGGTGGCCCGCTTGAACTTGACGTGACGCCCAGCCGGTTCTTCTTCGCGATGTTACGTCGAATTGGTAACGAGGGCGATCTGGACTTACTCGGACATGTTTCTTCTCTCGATAGCCCGGATGGACTCCATTGCCTCTTCCTGTTTGGAGGCCGGTGAGAGGGAGTAGATGTGATCCAGGATGTCGATCGACTTCGGTATCCCCAGAACGTCACGCATTTCCACAAACATGTGGTTTTGAGGTTTGCTAACAACAAGTAATGTTAGCCATGTCACGAAAACAATTAGATGATGAGTTTAATGCGACTCGGGCCATTGCCAGCGGCCTCCCCTCTACATTATCCTTGATTCCGATGTCATCACCACGCCATCAGGTTAGATACCATATAGAGTCAACATGAAAGCGTACACAGCATGATAATACACTTCCGTCTACAGACACGGCAAAGAAACCAAGACTTTTGTATCCATTTGTATACATACCCACCCCTCCTACCTCGAGAAGTTTGCATGGCTTCACGTGGACGGGGGTGCATATTTGCCAGTGCATGAGCATGACCTCAAAGAAAGTTCAGACTGACCATAGCGTACCGTCGACGTCGAAGACGACCCCTTTGAGTTTGGGCAGATTCCTTGTCTGGCCTGCTCCTTGCTTCAAGGGAGCAAACCGCCTCGGGCCTGGTTGCGTCATTGCAGAAAGGAATCTGCGCATGGAGAATTGGATGGACGGTGGGTTGGGACTGCCTGGAGGGGTATGGGAGAAATCGATATTGTACGGTGGTTTATACAGATCTGCATGCGCCCTTGTATATAGATATGACTCTTTCAGCTTTAGACTAGTCTAGTCTAAGTGGGCATGCGGCTGTCAATGATGCTATGCACCTAACCTAGGGCTGGGGTCCGTGCATTCGATCAACCCAACCTAGTGCTAGGCGCCCTGTGCAGCCTGTGCTAAGGTCAGAATAAGCTACTTGGGGTTGAGCGCTGTACTCGCTATGGTGAAGTAAAGCAACTAAGTAAAGTCCCTGGAGGGGCTGCTCAAGAGCGCTGGGGTTCGAAATAACATGTGGACAAACTGTCATCCAGAGCTCCCTCACCTGCATCACACCTGAAGCTCCTGGATCCTGACATTCAACTATCATTTACCCATAGCCTTCCCATATTACCACACCCACAAAGATCCTCAAACCTCGGTGCAGCTCGCCCCCTCGATCATATCATTGCTACGAACCTAGCTATCTATTGGGTTTACCTGCCATCGTGCAATCGCCAGCTATAATCCGCACAATGGCCGACGAGGAAAGGGCAAAGGCTGAGAAGCTGGCTGCAGCCAAGAAGAGGGTAAGCATAAAATAACGGCCATGTCGAGAGGTCAGGACGCCCGCCACTAACAGACGCGTGTCCAGGTCGAAGAGATGAAGAAGAAGAAGAAGAAGGCAGGCGCCGCCGCAAAGAAGGAAAAGGACGCGAGCGCCACAAAAGAAGACGACAACAACAATGAGCCCACGACCGAGGCTCCCGAGCCGGAAACAGAGACAGAGCCGGCTGCCGCAGCTGCCGACCGAGATGATGAGGCTGTTGAAGAACCCAGCTCCCCGAGACAGACCGCTTCGCAGCAGTCCAAGATGCGCTCGGCCTCGTTCCGCGCCGCTTCCATCTCTGGAAGTCCTGCACATCCTGGTCCCTTGTCGCCGCCGGCTGATGGGGAGACTGCCGCCGACATCTATCGCAAGCAGGTGGCGCGTATTGAGGATCTTGAGAAAGAGAACAAGAGGCTCGCCAACGAGGCTGCCGGCTCTGAGAAGAGGTGGCAGAAAGCCGAGGAGGAATTGACCGAGTTGAAGGAGTCTGATGGCAAGACAGGCAGCAGTGACGGCGCCGAGCTTGAGAGATTAGTAAGTTCTGATCCCTGACTTATGGCCGACTACCCATCATGTGCAGCCAAAGCTGACCCGGCATGTCCTCTGCAGCAAGCAGAGCTCACGGCACTCCAGCGCCAAAACGCACAGCTTCAATCGGCTGCTGCAAAGAGCCGCGGTCACGGTCCATCGCCCTCTGTTTCCACAGCCTCGCCGCCCTCTGCCGAGCTTCAAGCTCAACTCGCTTCAAAATCCGCCACCATCGAAACCATGGAGCTCGAGCTTTCGAGGCTGCGCGCACAGGCTGAACGTCGCGCGAGCGAAGGTGGAACCGACAAGGAGCAGATCGCCGCGCTCGAGGAGAAGCTCGCTCGCGCCGAAGAAGCCGCTTCCAAAGCCTCTCGCGAGCTCCAAGATCTGAAGCGTAACCTGGAGAGGACCAGCGAGAAGGCCATCAAGGAGAGCAGCAGTCGCACCAGCGCCGAGACCAAGGTCAGGACTCTGGAGCAGGAGAACGAAACCCTTACAGCAGAGAAAGAGGAGCTGCAAAAGAAGCACGATGCACTCGACAAGAAAGTCGCCGCACTCGGTAACCTGCACAAGGAGAACGATTCACGGACGCAGGCTCTGAGAAAGGAGAAAGAGGCTGCGGAAAAGGAAGTCTTGGACCTCAAGAATAAAGTCGAACACCTTGAGGCAGACAACGCGCGACTGCGGAAGAAGGACGCTGCCGATGGGGGTGGTGACGATGACGGTGTCGATGAGCTCGAGGACGAGGGACGCCAGAGGCTGGAGAAGAAAATCCGCGGCCTCGAGTCCGAGATCTACGACCTGCGCCGTGGCATCTGGCACCAGAAGCGCAGGGACATGGAGACCGGCGCCGAGGACTTGGCGTCGCCCGGAGGCGATTTTACGAACATCGACCTCTCTGGCCCCGTATCACCCAACGCGCGCAAGCAGTCGCAGCAGAAGGGCTTTGGCGACTTCTTCGCTTCGGGCCTCAATGCGCTCACCGGCGGCACCACGCCAGGAGGCGGAGATGCGGGCGATGACGAGGGCTTCCTCGAAGACGACGATATGGAGTTTGACGAGGATGCTTTCAGGAAGGCACAGGAGGAAGATTTCAAGAGGAGGATCGAGAGAATCAAGGAGATCAAGCGCGGCTTGAAGAATTGGGAGGGCTGGAGGCTGGACCTCGTAGACTCCAGGCGCGGCGGAGGCTACGGCATCGGCGAGGTCTTTGAGATATAAGTTCCGCAGCGAGGTAGCCGCTCCTGTATAAATGTATTCAATGAAGTGCATGAATAGACTTGAAGCGTGTGTTTCTGTTTCATTTTTTTTTATATCTTTATTTTTGATGTACATGAACCCAGCTTGAAGAAAGCGCTTCACAAATTTTTTTTCCAGCTTTCTGATGAAGGTTACAATTTCGGAGGCCAGGCCGGCTGAGCAATGCTTCTCATGAAAATAGAACAAACGGCTGATACGAGGCACTATGGAGAGTGTATATCTGGCACCGACACGATTGCGATGAAACGTCGAGGTGAAGAATAAATACTAGAACAAACAAGCGCCTTGTCTCCTTCCAGAAGAGCGGATCAAGTTGTATGCTTGTGCGAGGGAAGAATATAGAGATTACGAAAAAGAAATGTTGAAAAAGAAGGAGAAGAAAGGAATCATGTGGTAGTATCGCTATCTATATATACATGAGTTTGCCTTTTCGAACCCAAATGATCTTGCCTCAAGTTTTTATCAAGGCGTCAGAGAGAAAAATATGTCTATACACAAAATAAAGGATGTTTTGCCGGCTTATGCAGGTTTGACGCCGTTCAATACCGATTCTATGAGCTTCCATTGTCCCAACTCCTCGTGGATGCAAAGTCGAGAAGTAAGGTAGTTACGGGTTCGCGAGTGAGTTGGTGTTGCGTTGACAGAGATAGTAAGGAATAGAATTTATATGAACCATATTGTGAGAAGGGAAAGTTCGGGCGGCAAGGCTTGAGTTGAAAGGGGTTTTTAGTTGCTATGATGTATTAGCACTGTAATTTTGCTTTACCGTTGCGATTTCTGTGGATATAGGAAAACTTACTAAATCTCCTTTGGAGCCATCATATCCGGTTGGAAGAGCCAGTGGTTTCCTTCCTCCTCAACCTCAAGCCAATGATACGGGAATTGCACAACGTGGCCCTGAATCATGTTGCAGAGGTCTTCGGCCATCTCGCGACTCACTATGTCGTAGGGAAAGACGGGGCCACGCTTGCTGCTCTTAGTAGTGGCACGGCGACGGCGACGCACTGACCCCTGCTGCTGCCCGTTATTGCCGGGTGCAGTGTAGATGCTTGAGCCGCCGCCCTGAGACGAAGTCGGCTTCTCGAGAGACGAAAACGTTGTCCTGCGATCACGCGTCTTCTGTGCCTGCAGGTTGTTGTTGGCGGTTTGTGGCTCGAGGTGGCCCTGCGTTGAGGGTTCGAAGGCAGGGAACGGTGTAAGCGGAGATGGCGCATCAGCCTGGTCATTAGTCCTCTCATGATCTGTATCGAGACTAAGATTTGGTTTTTCAGACTTTTCGTGATTGCTGAACTCCGACATAGGTGTCTTCTCATTGTATTCAGTGTCGCCATTGGATACCTTGATCTCTGGGTTTTTGTCAGGTGTGATCTTGTCTATCGCCTTCTCTGCCATCTTCTCTGGAACGTTGAGGGCATCTTGGGGAGTTGGAGGTGCTGGCATACCAGCACCTGCACCACCACCAGATTGGCTGGTCTTGGTCTTGGCATCGTTCTCTTCATCAGCCTTCTTTTGACCTGTCTGCATCTCATTGAAGCGCTCTGCGTAGCTTTCATATTGCTCATATTCCTTCCAGGTAGGTACTTCATTATCTGGCATACAACGGAAGACACGACGGTAAATCTTTGTGTTGTTCTCCGCAATTCTGCACCATACATCATCCCAGAATGCTGGATTGAGTGGGTCACGCATGATGTCTTGGTCAAACACAGCAGGCTGAATGTCGGACGCCAGTGGGTTAAGCTGCTCATAGGTCGGGTTTCCGCCAGCATCGTGATGAACTGGGGGGCCTCCGATGTCCGTATCGTCAGTTACCGGTAGTGTTGGTAGTTGAGTGTGACGGGTAAGTCCAAGCTCAGCAGTGGTCCGACGTATCATGTCTGGAGGCGGCGGTAGCTTTTCATTGCTCCTCTTTGGTCTATCTTGAGTAGATGAGCCAGATCTCTCGCGGTTTGAAAGACTTCTCGACACGTCGCTGGTGGCCCTGGCACGTCGTTCAGGAGACTTCCCCTTAGGGGACTCAGATGATGATGGGGTGTCGGTCTCATGGATGTAGCTATTTTGGAAAGGCGCAGGCGGCAGCCCTGACGTGGATGCGTTTGGGGCATTACTGTCGGACTCTTGGTAAATTTGGCTCATCTCTGCCTCATACTCTGCATCCGTTCCAAGAGACTCTGCATTGCGCTCCTGCTCAGTAATTGCATCCACATCTAGACCAAGATGTTCCCGCATCAGCCGCAGGCGCAACGCATGAGCAAAGGCGCCAGCTCGGTACGGCACGCCGGCCATTGTAATCCACTCGTCCTTGGTATCGCGGACAAGGGCAGCGACCTCAGAGTCTCGACTTCCCAACATTGAACGCTCGTTGATGTTTGCTGATCCGATTATGACAGCACGATCATCCACAATCATTGTCTTGGCATGAATGTAAAGCTGCTCGGTCACAATGTGCCCGTTCTTCATGGTGCCCCATTGTCTCAGACTGAAAAAAGAAATGTATTCCTCGGGGTCGATGCCACGAGCCTTCAAGCGACCAAATATGGAGGTTTCTCCTCTGCAGATGCTGCGATATTGGAATTGCATGATCAATCGAACGCTGCTGCCGTTGTCCTGCTTGACAGTGTTTTGGAAGCCTGGCATCAACGGAATCATGACGCAGCAGCGCCAGTCTTCGTCGTTCTCATGAGCTCTGATAATGCGCTCCACAAGTGCGTCGCCGATGCCGTTCACGACTTTCGTGCCTAGCGTTTCACAGCTCGTGATGAAGAACTGGTTTTCCATATACACAAAATGGTCCGACTGTTTAATAAGACTGATGTATGCTGTGAGAATGCTATGCTCGGGCGAATCTCGAGGGAGTCCTAAAGACCAATCACCGGCAGATCTCAAGATCTGAACCTCACAGGTTCCTGTGAGACCCAAGTGCTTGAGATCATCAACCTTAGCGTCTGGTGGAGGTAATAAAAACGGCATAGGCCGGGTCGGGTTTCGTTCTCTTCGCAAGTAATTCCATCTTTGAACGAAATGGCGTGTGAGATCTCGTGCGGGTTGGCCCACTACCTGCATAGAGACATCATGCCATGGCATTCGTGGCACCTTGCTCCTATCATACATCTCCTCATATGGTTGCGTGAGCCTAAAGAAATCAAGCACACGCGGGTTGGAATAATCTTTGCCAGGCCAGAGTTGGCAATGATCAGCGTCTTTTGGAGTGTCTTCGTTCTGCTCATAGCCTGTGGGCCGGTCGTCGGTCAGACTGTGCTGAGGGGTATCCCAACGACCGAAGCAAAGATCGATACCACCGAGGAAAGCTATATCGTGGTCGACAATGCATATCTTCTCGTGGTGGGCATAGAAGAATTGGTTCTTCTTGAACTGATTGGGTGATCTTTGAACCAGAATGTTGGGGTGTAAGCTGTGTAAGGCGAACTTCGTGTGCTCGGAGTCGATGGGAATAGCCTGCTCGACGTTCCGATATACAATAACAAAGACTTTAACACCCTCACGAGCCTTCCTTTGCAGAAGCCGGTCCAAGCGCCACTTCTCGCTTATCACCGCGGGCCGTCGCATATACAGCTCAGGACTCAACCACCAATCATGGATGTAGATGACATCCTGAGCCATACTAATGGCACGAGACACCATCCACATATAATCACGCCCATCCACCAAAAACTGTGCAAACACATTGTTTCTGACGGGAGCGAAACTGGCGAAGCGATGTGGGTCGGCCCACTGGGTCTGCTTTAACATGTTCTGAACAGAAAGATCGAATTGTTGCATAATCCTCTCTTTACGAGAGTAGAGCTTGATTTTTCGTTCAGCCGTGTAAATTTTCAGCGTATGATGCTTACCAGACGACGCGGTGCCATCCATCATGTCGTCATTGGCCACTCCTTTTCCTTTGCGCTTGTTCTTACTTGCGTCCGAGTCACCCAGAGCTTTGTTCCCGAGTTGCTTAAGCTTGTTGGTCTTGTTGACAACACGGAAGCTTGGGTCTACAAGATAAACATCGTACACCTCCATGGCCGATGGAGACTCTGCCACAACGATATAGCTCTCTCGGACCAGAAACCATTTGCGGGAATGTCGGGCAGCGATCTTAGAAGGCGTGAATGCACGCCTAAAATCTACACCTTTAGATGACTGTATGTGCAGGAAACACTCTTTGCCGTGATAGGAACCATCTGCAGCGAGACGCACGCCCAAGGCGGAGAGCTCAAGGAATCGACATAGACGGTTGGCGTCGGCTCGAAACATCAACCAATGTATCATCTCTGACATGTATTTCTCGAGTTTCTGCCGCTGTTTCTTCACGAACAACTGCCTTTGTTGTTCCGCTTTACGGGGATTCAAGTTGGAGCCCTCAAGTTCGACAAGTCCGGACGACTGTCTCCTAATACCAAGGAGGTCCATTCGGGATCTCTTCCTCCGAGCTGTTCCCGGCCGGTCCAACTCGCTCGCTGTCCCTTCTGCGGCCGTCAACTCGCCTGCCGTGCCCTCAGCGACTTCGTCAATCCGATTCACATTTAGTCTGCTCCCTGCTGCTTTCTCTTCCTCGTCCGACTCTATCATGCCCAGCCCCCTGATGCTTCTCAAGTAAGGAAAAGCCGATCTAGGAAAATGAGGCTGCTTGGGCTTGTGCTTTGGGTGAGACGAGGTTTGCAACGGGTTTTTGTCCCCTAAGGAGATTCTGTAGCGTGTATGGAGTTCAAGAATCTCGTATACAGAACGTTCAATGGTCCATTTCATTTGGCTCGGTCCGCTCCCATACTCTAACTGGAAAGTGAAGAGCGAGTGCCTCTCGCTGTGGCCCTTTTCCTTTTCGCCTTTGTCCGCCTGGCTGTCGATGATTCTGATCTTGAGTTGCTCAAGAAGAACTGGAATGCGCTTATATCCGTGTTCGTCTCTTTGCAGCATACTGGCAAGTATGACGACTGCTGGTGTGACAGCCCTCAGTTCGGCCATGAGCTCAGCAGATTTATTGAAGTCGAACGTCGCATCAGCTTTCCGGCCACCGCCAAGTGCCCTGATCGTACTTTGGAATTTTTTCCATGTCTGCGCACCGAAAGTGGTAGCCCGATCCGAGCCGAAGAGTGGTCGTCGGGGATTAGCCAAACCCTCTCCATCAGATACTCCGCCTCCAAACATGTCAGAGACCCGGCGTTTATGGCCTGGTATCTGCGCTTGAGAGCTGTCGCCTTCCTCTTGCGATCTTCCCAGCCATGAGCTCCCGCGCCGCATACGAGCCATGTGATCGCGACCCTCACCCTCAGATAGCCCTCCTCGCTGTTCGGAAGCGTCTGGCATGGTGGAGCGGCGAATCATGGTGCGGAAGCGACCTTCTGAAGGCGAATCCAAGCCGTCGCCGTCAATTTTGGGTGTGGTCTGAGAAGATCGCATGTCTAGAGTCTTCAAGCGACGCTTCATGCGCTTTCTTCGAGAGGGCTTGGCTTGGTCCCTCGCGAGATCGTCGTCGTCGCTTTCCTCCACATCAGCATCGCTGCCTTCTTCGTGGGTAACGGTTGGTATGCGGTGAGATCGATTCATGACCGGAGAGGTACTTGCTGACGGCAGGGGCGTCTCGTAAGATCCAGGCGCTCTAGGTGTCTGTTGTGGTCCTGCAACTGCTAAAGACTTGAGTTTAGACACGAGCCTTTCACTACGAGATCGCCCATCAGCATCCAGGGAGTCCTGCCGTACATGTGTGGTCTTCGGCGGTGGTTCCAGGACGGCATCTGCCCTTGCGAATTGCACGCTACGACGCCCAGGAGACGTTGCCTCGGGAGGGGTTACATATTCACTATTTCCTGAACCCTTTGCAAACAGACTTCTCCGCGGCGAAGTTGAATTTACCGGCGCAGCTGGATCTTGGGAAGTACTAACGGCTCCAGAGACCGGCGATGGATCCGCGTGAGGTATTCCACCATGAAAATAGTCCGAGGCCTCTGGCGGCGTATTGCTCTGCGGCGGACGAGAGGCACTGGGATTGGGACTGAGTAGTTCGCTCGAGCGAGACGTTATAGGGGCCGCGGGGCCACTAGAGGAACGTAATACGGTCGGCCGGTCGTACTGTGGTGGTGGTGGTGGAATTGTCAGGTCTTGTTGAGCTCGAGTCGCCGGCGATATCGAGTCGCTCCTTGTTGGCCACGACATGGTTACTTATTCGCTGTCCAGCGCTGGCCTATCCTGCACTCGGACTTCGCAGATGGGACACCGTCTTAGACCTTGGCTGCGAATTGCAGACGCATGTTGACTGGGCAAGTTTCAACTATACTTTGTGCGGATTGCTCGAATGGAGGCTGCAGTACAAACTGGTGGACCCCAATGCGGTTCTGCGTGACGGGTTCGTGCGTCTACAATGCAATCAGGTGTCGTCGGACTTGCTCTGTATATCCAAGGACTACGCCAAGTTTCGCGTACGCAATGGTAGGGAAGTTTGAAACCCAATGCTGCCGAGAAGCACTTTCCTGCTCCAGGACCGATACGGGTTAGATCAATTAAATATATGAGCGAGGCTGTCGACTCGGCGAATTGGTCAAGTGCACTGAGACGGGTCTCCAGATATTGGTGTGCAGATGGTGGTTAGTTGACGTCAAGATGGGATTCGCATGTACAATTCAATTGACGGCATTCTCCCCTTTCCAGAAATTCCAGGTTACCTACGCTATGTTAGAGCCACGGTTGGTACCGCGTCGTGAGTGCTAGTAACATTAGGTAGGCCATGAGATCGGCGGTCCAGCCCACTCTCTAACCTAGGAGCTCAGCGGCCAATGAGCACTGCTTAACTCAGCTACTTAGCTCCGCTGGAGCAAGGCTGAACAAGGACAGCCGCGTGATTCATGCTGATTCACGCTGCATGGGCGCGGACGAGGATGATGATGATGTTAAATCTGAGCAACACGTAGCGCAGCAGTCCGTAAAATCCGCACAGAACACTCGAGCTGCCAAACAGCTTTGACCTCCCAATTTCAAGCCGCTTCACCCACCTACACCGCACCAGTGCAGCACCTCGTGGAAGTCTGCTGACATGTTCCAACACCAACGCCTTCTTGAGGAGACTGCCGTAGTGAAAATAACTTCAATACACTTTGTACCATACTTGTGCCAAACTTGTCAGACTGGAACTGGAACTGCATGTTGTAACAGCTCGCCCATGGTTTGTCGTTGCCAAACTTGCCATTGACAGCGCTCGTTCTTGGAAAACCGGACAACTCGAGTGGTAAGTCGTAGACATGTTTGAAAAGAGGCATGCGTCCGTGTTCTGAGATTATATCGCGGAACGACGCGAACTGATACAATTTCTAGCACTACCGAAAGCCCTCCGATATTGCATTGACTTTTTTATTTTAGTTCTCCGTTAGGTGCCCGCTGTTGGTGTTTCGTATCATTTTAGTTAGTCACAAAACCCATCGCGCACGTGTCAACGCTGCCAACCGTGGGTATGGAACGAGACCGACCTAAGTCTGTCATCCAGTAACTTATAGTAATAACAATAAGTCCCTGAAAATCAGGTACGCGATCTAGAATTATGGACAAGACCCCTACTAGTATACGATATATGGAATATTGCAACGGGTGTGTTTCTGGTTACGCCGGCGATGGTAAATTTCGAGCCGACTGCGCCGATTCTCTCCCGCAGTGCATGCCTAACTATGTTCTTTACACATGTAGAGAAATATGTGTGCTAAAGTATGTAGTTAATGGCTGGCGAGCAGTTTCCACTCACTGTAAATACGCATTGTAAGTTGAGTATTATTCGTTGCAGGCCGTACTCGGCCTTCTCAGGCAAGAACCTGTGGTTTTACTTTGGATGATCCCGAGGTCCCTATTGCTTTATTAACTCAGGTGCATTCCCCATTCTTTTCCCAGATGGGTCTCGGATCGAGTGTGATCGGAACATCTACACTGCATAATTGGCTCCCTGTACAAATGCCACCCCAAAGCCACTGCTAGGCGAGGTTGTACGGAATGGTCAAGTCCACTCCTGATTAACCTAACCTAGCCACGCAACGCTTGACATTTTGGGAAATTCAACGGCATTTCTCCATTAGCGCGACCTAGAACTACAGATCCCGCAGGATTTAACTTACGTCTTCAACAAGTTTGCTCTGAATTTCCTTGCAGGCCGTTCCTGTCTAGCATTCTCAGAAACATCAGTCCTGACTTCAAGGAACAAGCTTGTGATCAGCATCCCGGCTGGACGCGATGTGCTGGTTTGCAGACAGGATCCAATTGGAGATCGGTACTTATGAAGCACTGCAGGTGCACAGAATCCCGATTGACGCGCAGATTGACTACCGCAGCCCCTGTCCGCGCTAGGGTTCAGCTTCTACTGCAACTCACTCATCCTTGTCACGGACCATGCGAACCAACTGGGCGGATACCTGACCTGCACAGCCTGATAGTCACTTGACTTTCAGGATCAGCAATGCAGAGACATCCTTGCTCTTTCTGACTATTCAATTCCGCAGAGTCGTATTAGCTATGAGACTGGATCCAATTCTGCATGTTCTGCGGCTCTCGGCTTGTCGATGGCCATCACGCCTCACTCACATCTACATGCGGCTTTTGACAGAATCCTTGGGCCCTGAAATCCTGCCTGTCAGGGAGAGGTGGTCTGCTAGCCAAGCATCCGGGAGCCGAGCGATTCAAGATACGGTTTCTAGAGCCGGATCTAGTCCTTAGTTCACGCATCACGTACGACATCCATGCCATCGTGGGAACCGGCAGGCCCAAAGCGCACGGGGGTGCCGTCAAGCTGGTAGCAAAAATTGCAATTTGGCTGGAAAAGGCTTCTCGCCAGCCTCGGTGGCATAATACTATCATCATCAGCAAGGAATATAGATAGCGGTGGGGCTCGTGCAATTTTGAGCGTGTCAGACAGAGCAATGCATGTGGACCGAACCAGGGATAGGACTTGCTACACCATATCGAGTATGGACTTCCTTACAACTTGGGGGAATCTGACTATGTTTCCACCCGGTCTAATCTTAAAAGAATTGTCATTTCCGGTACTATGACTTGCAGCCATGGGAGGGGTGTTTCCAGCTCATATACGCCCGACACGCTCAAAGCGTTCTGCTTCATGAAACATTACATCCTTCATTATATTATCTAAAGTCACTGCCGCACACTGGAATTGCCGTCACATGGCAAGACTCACATGACCTACGAAAGAGACGAACTCATGTCATTGGACGACGCATGATCCCCAGGAAGACCCAAACTTCCAACAATCTTTATGGACTCGGACGCATTGCGGAGGATGGTATCAACCTCCTCCAGGTCCGGTCCCTCTATTACCAGCACGACGTCAAGAAGCCGAGGGGGAACGGATACTAGCAGTACAAGCATAGTGTCTAGTAGAGTTTCTGTGGCAGATAGCACCTGGTCTTTGAACAGCACCAACCAACCGGAGTCGAGCACCGAAAGCGAGTCAGGCCTTAATGATGCACCGAGAAGCCTGTGGTTTGAGACGCGAAACCCGTATTCTCCAGTAACGGTTGTGATGTTACATTTGTTGTTCTCTTCACATCTTGAATGGGCGCATGTCTGGCCCAAGTTGACCGAGTATCACCTTCTCATACCCGATCTGCCTCATCACTCACGATCACGCCATATCAAACCGTTCTCATTCGCCCTGTCGATCGATCTCATAGCCGAAATGATTCGGAAACATGCGCATGGTGGTCGCGCCCATATAGTTGGAATATCCACAGGTGGCTTTATTGCTCAGGAGCTTGTACGCAAACACCCAGACATTGTGATCAGCGTCTTTGCTTCAGGTTGCAGTCCTCTGCGCGATTTCTGGCTCAAAACGGCCCAGCGCCCAAAACTAATACAATACGGATTGCTCGCCATGCTACATTCGCCAAACAGTTTCTTTTTCAAAATCTCGGGATGGAGCCCGGAATTTCAGAACGATGCATTGTTGAAGGAGGTCAAACGTAATGCGACGTCGCGGCTTTCTGAAAATGGAACCACGGATACCGCTGCTTTTCAGTCGGACCAAGTCAACGAAATCGCGACGAAGGGCATTCGCATCGCCTTGATCGCAGCAGGAAAGCAGGACGACTTGGAAGGCATAAGAGACACGGCTCGGATATACAGTGGAGACACAAACTTTGGTGAGGGATTGCAGTCGCGGGCTTATGTTGTTCGGAACATGATTCATGCTTGGAACTTACAACATCCCGTGCTCTTTGCTAAAGGCGTACAAGCATGGATAGAGGGCTGGCCGATGCCACCCGAGTTCGAGCTCATGGTCTAATCATCGGCCCGAAATGGATTGAAGCGTAATAGGTAATGAGTGATGGTAAAAACGTATTTCTTGTAATATGGCAAGGTCTCGGACGCACGGCATTATGGTGGAGGATATACCCAAAGGGTCTTTGGCGCAAGCCCGGCGTTATATGGTATTAATTTTAGCTCAAGGGCATTTTTATGCGGAAGCACGAGTCTCTGATAGACACAACACCTGCATTTTGTTATTGAAGCGAGTAGTTGGTTTTTCCTTTGCGGAGATTCTTATAAACACAATTCAGATGGAAAATGACGGCTCACATTTCCCCAGAAGTCATGACCGGGAAGGCCCACACAAGCCAGATCCCTGATAGATCTGGTTCTTTGCCGCCTCATAACCCTGTTTGTACCTGTCAAACTCAGCCCACTTTTATGCGAAATAGGCATCCAGTTTTCCAAATAGTCCTAGGAGTAGTCCAGACAAAGATAACTTCTATTCAAGAATAACACCTGATTATATCATTGATATTAGCTACCGTAACATCATACTTTACAACTAATTATATTGCACCTAAACTGCAACGAACAAGCTTGATCTGATACTAAATATAAAGTTGATAGAGAAAAAAATATAACCTCCTTCTCATCTTCTTCCCTTATATTAGCACAGACAAATGTCATGCTGCAATTGGATCACTTCTACCAGGATCATTCTAGATATGTATACAACGGCAACTGGTGTATCCTGTTGTCCTATTCGCAACATGACTTGGTCAAGTCTTTCCAATGTCTCCCATTTTTGTCTCCAGGCCGGTGCCGAGACCAGTAAGCATCATTCGTGGAGCGTGCCCTGTAGAAAACGAACCAGTCACCTCAAGCGTTGTTATACCTTTTTCTCTATCTGTTGCAAGAAATGCAATAGCAGTAGCAATAGCTCGCTAGAGCGCATTGGACCTTGTCATTGCACTCATCTATTACAGTCTTTCCTTCCGTTGCAGAGGCATGCCTGATCCCTTATTGAAATCATAAAGTGCAGCTATCAGGTGTGTTTGTGTGTGGGTTTTTGTAAAGAAGAAAAAAAACAGCGAGCACAGGGAGATACCTGAATTGGAAACAGCCACCAGATTGTCGTCTGAGTAAAAGCAGGTCTATGTCAAGTAGCTGTCGGGTTGTTCACGCGAAGCGCACCAGCAATCGCTTGAGACGTCCATATTATAAATGCACTTTACTCGAATGTTCTAAAGCTCCACCAGACAAGCGTCACTGAATTAAAGTTGGTTATTTCTCTCAAATAATGTCATGTTGTAGTCAATAAAGCCTGTTTGTCGGCCATATATTCCAGTAGATCAGCAAATGACTTAAAGAAATGCCAATATGTGAGCAGGTCAATGTCCTGAATTTTAAATTACGCAACCAAAAGCTTGTCTAATAGCTGTCTAGGTTTGTAGATGATAACGATCACATAAAGATCGCAGTTGGGGGTGCTGCACTGCCACAAAAAGGAATGTAGCCAAAATCGTTGTACTTCGAAACAATCAAAGTAGAGAGCAAACCACCAACCCTCTATTCGAATGCATGGATCAGATTTCATTGTCATTCTGCGAACTCCCAATACCTAGGGCATCGTGGTTTGACTCTTGTCAATGACGATTGGTGACCTCTCAGAAGGAGACACTGCCTCTCATCCATAGTCGTCTACTTGAAGTTCGATATAACTAGATTGAAGGTGTTCTTCCAACACCTGAAATCACTACACAGAAGACTCAAGGAATTAACAGCTGCTTACGCACTGTTTCTATGCTTGTAACCGAGGTCCAAACCTGCAGTAGTCCGTTATTCGCCGAAGAATTTAGCTGCGAGTGCACGCCAACGGTTGGAGGGGATGTCAAATTCGAGATGTATTTAGGTGCTCATGGGTTGAGGATGCTCGAGAAGGGGACGTCCCAGTACCAAGCAGTGCCTACCATAGCTCCAACGCTCATGGTAAACGCCATCAGGAAGTTGACATCGTTGTTGTCCAACAGGTCCCACCCACTCTCAGCAATTCGTGTAGGTTTGTGGTCTCCAAAGTTCGAAGTTCGGTGCTTGTCACTGGGGTCGTACGGGTTTTGCCCTGCGTCTTGAGCCCCGACTGTAGATGCGTCTGTCTTCTCCACGGCGTCCTTGCCCTCTCCTCTTAATATGCCTGCCTTGACATCTGCTGTCATCTTGAAATGCTCTATGGAGTTGGGGTTCCCAACCGTTGACGTGAGCACACGAATGCCACCTTCGCCTTCGACGATCTTACCAGACCTGACATCACGTACGCTGCGCTGGAACCAACCACCCAATAAGCTGTCCAGGACAGAGCCAAGTGCACCCCAGAGGGCTAAACCCCAAGCAAATGTGATCTTTTCACTTGCCACCCAGGCCTTACCACCTGCCAATGAGCCCATCGATTTCCCGCTGCAGAAGGGGAGGAAGCTCAAAGATGCTGTGACGACAATCATGCTGCCTAGAAGACCAGCTGCGAGACCCCACAACGTGACACCACCGTTCGTTCCTCTAGGCACCTTCCTCAGGTTCCAAGATGTGATAAGACGTGGACTAGTCCTCGAAAGAATACCCAGCTCAGAGCTGAATGTGTCTGCACAGACAGCCGCATAGTTTGCGATGATACCAATCACGAGGATGTCTCCCTTTCCCCAAGAGTAGCAGAAAGTACCCTGAGGGATTTCACCAGAGATGATAGCTTTCTTGCGCTGGTCGATCTGGTACGCATGCAGGAGCGTGAGGATGGAGGCAACCAAGGAATTCGCCAAGACCTGCACGTGAGTTCGTGGGCCTTCGCCCCCGGAGGTGCCTTGAGCGTTCAAAGTCATGGAGGCCTTAGCATCCTTCTTGATTTTGGTAACACGTGTGCCGGCCAGGAAGAACACGCAAAGGAGCACGAATGGCAAGTTCCAAGGATGAAATGCGTGCACAGCGGCCGTCAAAGCTGCAATGACGATACCGAAGGAGGTCAGAGAGTTGTGGGAATATGCGCGCAAGCATAGCGCAAGAGTTGCCGGAATTGCAATGATGGCTTTCATTTTGAGCTTGCTGTCTGTCTATCAACAAGTTGCAGTGTGGTTGTCGAGTAACCTCGAATTTGCTGCAATCAAGTTCTGCTGACATCATCTCAAGGCAGCATCCCAGCAGCAGGCACTTGAGCTGATAGCACCTGGTGTCAGCTGACGGCCAAGGTATCACGTTTGTTGCATCTGGACCGTGGTATTTCACCCACCACCGTACTCATACGTGTCCGCAATGCCGCCCACCAAAATAGTCATAACTCATGAGCATCTACATTCGAGTGTGCATATAATTTTACGGGCGGAATGACATCTCCTAGTCATGTAATATGTCCGAGAGGTTGGTTCCTCTGACTCGCACTGCCGGCTTTCGCATGCAATGCAAAGTTCAACCGATATGCTGCTATCCTCCAATAGTTATATGCGCTCTACCACTGCGCATGATGCATCCTTGACCAAATGCGGATACTTTGATGCCCACAAAGCTTGGCGTTAATGATCCGAGCTTATTTAGAGAACTGGTCGCGTTTCCTGCCTTTTGCTACTTGAATGTCTCACCCAGCCAATCCATATGTCAAATTCTTCATCCAATCGCTATGGCAACAATAAGTTTGAAGCTCCAGCCCATTTAGCTGGAGCTGTGTAACTGCATGATCATCAATGCGAGAAAGACATGGCATGTTTAAGGGTTACTTTATATATACAAAAAAATAAATGAAGCTGTAGCAAACCCGCGTGCACCCAGCAAGCAGATTTTACATAGCACCGCATTGCAGCCATGCCTACGCATCTAGAAAGTTCAACATCTCGATATGTGCCTCCGTCTACACCAGCCCCGTTGGTGATCGTGAGCTGGACTGTCCTGATACCGGCTTCTTCTTAGTGAGCGCTGAGGTAGTGATTGCCTCATGTTCTCATCATTATTGGACAATTGTGTCGGTGAGACTTGCATTGCAGCGTCCAGCGAAAACCATAAAACCAAGAGGACGTGCAGTCCAGTGAAATATGCCCCGGACAACACAGCTTTAGGCCGGGTGTCATAATCTCTTCGACGAGCATCCTTGCAGACGATGCCTGCGGACAATCGAATGTTTTGTTGCAGATCTGGATATACACTTTGGCTCAATACCAATATCGCCAACCTCGACAGCTTCAATATAGTTTAGCTTGCTCAAATAAAAAGGCCTGGTCTATGGCATGTCGGAAGCCGAGATACCGACTTCGATTTCACCCAAGGTAGATAGTCGAGCTAATGATGTCAGGGCCGTGTTCAAGAACCATGATTAACCTGATACAGCATCGTAAACATCTATTACCAAGTCATATCTCTATTGTTTCCAGCTTCATTCAGCCGGGATGACCGTTGGGGTGCTGTGCACTTATTGACTTCCTTTAGCTTTTGCCCTGTAAGCTAGCTTCAAATATCCAAAAAAGCGCTGTGCAGTTTTGAGACATTTACTCTCGGGGCTTGAATAATGGTCAGGTTCGACAGGGTGCTAAGAATCTGATTGGTCATATCGGTGTAACAGTATTCGATTTTGGCTGTTTACCCATTGGTAAAGAGCCTATCGACACTAGCTTGAGGCTTGGCATCCAATCTGGCGGGCATAACCGCCTCTGTACTACATCCTTAGCCCGTGCTATTCAGCAGCTTCCGATTATGTCAAATCATGACGCTAACATATGTCAAGACTTTGGCGAGCCGCGTGAACTTGACCGTTTTGCAATGATATGATAATGGCGGATTAAATGATCAGGGCCTCCCTCAGTCATGTTGAACGAAGTGGATGACTTCTCATGTGTCGGAACCGAATGTGAGCCTCCTTGCTGTTGCGACTCGGCGTTCGACCTCATCTATCCGTATATATAAGCTTTCCGCCTGCAGAACACCGAAAGCTTGGCAGCCCGTGTCCCACATAGTAGAATGGACCCTGCGAAATGTTGTTCCTTGAGTCTGATCTGGACTTGAGAATCTCATCTTCTGCGACTATCTCGTAGGTGCTCTTCAGGCAACAATGCTGGCGAGATCTTCGCATCATCACTAAAGTTGCGGCTAGCATGAAGATTCTGCGAGTTATCCCGATTCCACCTTGGAGGTCACAAGAGATACGATATTGGGGAAACAATACGTCCCCACGGCTAACGTGAGGATGCCGCGAATTTTACCGCTTGTTTACATCTTTGAAGTCTAATTTCACGCACCCTGGCTTGCCGCGTTTCCTGCCTCAAGTCACCCCTGTGCAGAGCGAGGGCTAAATGGAATGTTCTTTTTAGCTCACAACCACTCCCCGTTGTTTACAACTTTCTACAACGAGGCTGGTTGGAGCTTGACCACCGTTTGACGGTCGCTTGCCAAGCCTGCAGATTGGCGACAATGAATCTTCATCTCTAAAATAGAACGCAAGCAAAATGCATGGCTGCGTAAGATACAATGTAAAATTGATTCGTCTTTACGCTGCTGAGTTTAATTTGATTTATGATGGAGTATTGCAACAAAGACACCTCAGTATTATTGATTTGATTGAATGCAGATTCCGCCTGCACAACCCCAGTCACCTATATTGTTAGATGGCATGACTAAAACAGCTCCCTACGGACTTCCGAAAGACTCGCCTGACATAACCACACAATCGGCAGAGGAGCATCATGACCACTGGTCAAGGGCGAGTCGTCCATCAGCCTATTTCCCACAAACTTTCCTGATTTGGAAGATCGCAGTTTGCAAAGCTGAAATAAGTTTTCGCAAGTCTGATGGGCCACATGGACGCCGCAGCACGCACTGCATACCAGTGATCGCATGGTACATGTGGAAGCATCTCTCAGGTGGCTGTGATCTGCACATTATAAACCCTGATGCATCCCTTCCCTTTCTCATCAATCGTCCGCCAATCTCGCCTCTAGATCGTCGTTCTGCAGCTGTCCGTCTTGCCTCTAAGTTTTCTTGGCACTACTCTTTTCCTGGTAGACCCTCTCGATCACTGGAGATATGTGGAGAGGCAGATTTATCTCCACGGCAGTGTTGGCTCAAGCCATAGGTACATGGGCGGCCACAGTAACCTATGATTGGGAAGTCACTTGGGTCCATGCTGCCCCAGATGGCTTCTCCAGGCCTATTATCGGCATCAATGGCCACTGGCCGTGTCCACGAATTGAGGCCAATGTTGGCGATACGGTGGTGGTTAACTTGAAGAATAACCTGGGCAACGAAACAACGGGCCTTCACTTCCATGGTATCGATCAGATCAACAGCAACTTCTACGACGGAGCATCCATGGTCAACTCGTGCCCAGTCATACCGGGCAGCTCCACCTCTTATACATTCCTGGCCAATGCTCCTGGGACATATTGGTACCATTCGCACAATATGGGCCAGTATCCTGATGGCCTGCGTGGTGCCTTGATCATTCGCGACCCGCAAGACCCATACGCCGGCGACTATGATGAGGAAGTTATCCTTGAGGTGTCTGACTGGTACCACAACCAGACTATCTCCATGGTTCAGGCCATGCTGTCTCCGAACAACACCCAATGGCGTCCTCCAATTCCTGACAGCATGATTGTCAACGAAGGTGGAAACCCAAACATTGCCTTTGACGTCGGAAAGACTTACCGCGTCCGACTCATCAATTATGCTGCATTGACAGCCTTCATGCTCCAGTTCAGCAAGCACACTATGCAGGTCATTATGACGGACGGATCATATGTTCAGCAGCAGGCCACAGATCAAATACGCATCGCCCCTGCCCAGCGCTATGACGTCCTGATCACCGCCAGTGGAGGTAACAAGGGCCGGAACTTCCCGTACTTGTTCAGCATGGATTTGAACAGAGACTTTACGGAGAGTGCTGTATGGGACTTCAACACGACCGGATACCTCATTACAGACGCAGACTTGCCATATACTGGAGAGGTTATCGTAGATTCATGGCAACCATTCTTTGAAGGATACTTTTCCCCGCTCGACAATCAAGCTGCATTCGGCCCGGTGACCAAGACCTGGCAATTAGACTTTGGTCTTTGCTTGGATACAAGTGGAATTCCTCGGTATGTGCTGGTCTTGCTTAATTGTAGAACGGCGTTAACTAATACGTAGTATTTAGCATGTGTTTCAACAACCAGACATACATCACCCAGAAGACACCTACCCTGTATACTGCCGCTACAGTCGGTGATGACAACACGGAACCCGACGTATATGGCGCCGTCTTGCCCTTCATTGTTGAATATGGGGACGTTGTCGACCTGATTGTGAACAACCTCGATCCAGCGATTCACCCCTTCCATCTACACGGCCACCAGTTCCAAATAGTTGACCATCCTCTCAGCGGCGCCGGTGTCTTCAGCGGCGGTCAGGGGAAAAAGTATCCACCAAGGCGTGATGTCATCGCTATCAATGGTGATTCTCATGCTAGGCTACGGTTTGTGGCCAATAACCCAGGCATCTTTTTATTCCACTGCCATATTGAGTGGCATGTTGAGATGGGTCTGACGGCCACACTGATCGAGGCCCCCGAGAAGCTCCGCGACTATCCTATTCCGCAGGATATGATCGACTCATGTCAGGAACAGGGCATCCCGACTGAGGGTAATGCTGCTGGCAACATTGATGATCCACTGGACTTTTCGGGGTTTAACATAGTGCCGTCTTCGCAGTACTATGGTGCCCTGTGGCCGTACCCTGGTGGCCCTAATAGTAGGCGCGTCAAGCGAAATCCTATGAGGAGTACCAAGAGAAATACGAATGGCCGGGGTCGTATCACATGGTGACTGATGAACAGCTTGAATGGTTTGTGTGTTCCATTTAGTCGTCTATTAACAAGGCATCTGGATTAAGTGCAATATTGTCGCTGTGTTGATGTGGTGCCAGACGGTGTTGCCAGGTTGTGATGGCATGTAAATAGTAAAGTTCGTTGTGATGATTGATGAGTTCAGAGTAGATACAGATGAGGATTCGAAGTACGGTCGCCGAGCATTTGAAGGGAAAACACTGCGCAACGCAAGCGAGCATTGAACATTAATACAACAGTACAATAATTATCAGCTTGCCCGAGAAGGGCCTTTGTTTGAACAGCTGGCTCCTAAACCACCCTGTAATATAGTACACATAGTCGGAGTAAATAATTGAGACAGCCCATTCTGAGAATACCGGAAAGTCAGGAATTGTCTACAAGGACTCTGCAGATGAGGCTTGTACAGTCTTCCGGAGGACCGTTCTTTGACGTAGTATTGGTGGCTATGAACGGTCGATATTCGGGTTGTAACACAAAGCATGGCTCGGTCGGACAACGTGATGAGGTGGGCTTATATGCATCAAATCAACGGGGAAAAAAGCAAACAGGTGGCGGACAGTAATCTCGTCTTCAATTGTGATTGATTGGGCCCCTGAACGAGGCAAACCTGGAATTGAGTGGCCAGACAACTGGCTGTATAGAGACATGGGATGGCACGTCCGGTAATCGAACCACTTCAGTTCTAGTAATAGGTCTCCTCTTTATTGGTACAAAAGAATAGATTAGGGCCAGCCACGGCGGTTCTCTGCCCGAGCGGTGCATGCTTATTTCACAATGTGACCATATATCGGCTTGAGCAACTTTCTCGTAGGGTTACTATGGTAGACGTGGGCGTAACTCTTTCGCGTGATATCTGCAGCAGCGGCCGGTCCCCCTACATCGGGTTCATGCTGTCAGACTTAAGCTTCTTTTTCGGCTCAGGAACAAGATTAGATCAGAGCGGGACGGTGCCCGTGTCACTTAGTCTCGTGGCAACTATTACTATAGGCGGGACTATTCATGAGAAAGAACAGTATCACTGGTACCCCCAACTAGGACTGGAATTTGGTTGTTCGCTCACTCGTGCTGCATCTATGACGATCTCAGAACTAACCTGACCTAGTAAAATCCCGACTTCATGCAATGAATGACCAGCGTAGCGACGGAGGCTGCTAACCGAATCATCGCTAATCAGAATCCCATGCGGAATAGTGCGAGCGCCTCATTAACCTGCCTGCATTCAAGCAATTACTGATTCAACAGACACATCATCAAGATAAGTACCAGGGCGGACACCCAATGATGATGCTACAAGGGGCAGTCCATGGGCAGAGCAAATGCTTGGCTGCATGTAGGACGCTATTGATTCCAATGTATTATTTTCAGTTTTAACCTAGAGGCATCATCTGAAAAATCCTCCTAGTTTGAAGCACTTGAACACCTCAGCTCGACTCATTGACCCTAGAGCGTAGGCACTACGCATCGGATGTCCGAGCTGCTACTTACTGCAGGCATGGATGGTCCAAGAATCAGCCAGATCATGTACAGATGCAGACTTCGTCAAATCACGAGATTGACTAATGATGAGGGTGGCCCTCCCTACAAGAATCAACCAAAACCCATGCGAGCAATTCATTGCAAACGTGACATACAGTAACCGTTGGTCTTGCTAAATTGGAATGGTCGCATTGGAGGTAGCACCGTCGCCAGAGTGCAACAACGGTTTTGAGCCACCGAAACCCAGACTTCATCTGCTTCAGCTGGTACGGGGTCTAGGCTTGACCGAGAAAACGTTGAAGTTCCTTACCGTAACAGAATTATGAGATACTACGTGTCTGTTTCACAAGATGGGCAGTGAAGGATTTGGAAATTGACTAGCAATAGCGGCTATTTGTGAATATAAGTGTGGGAGGTTTTGCTATAGACTAGGAGCCATCTAGGAGGAGTACTACTGTAGTATTAATAGCATGGCAGAAGATGACCTCGGGACCTGTGTAGACTCTGCAGCTAAGAAGTGGTTCATTGAAATGCGACGGATGGGTCCTGGATTGGCTGTGGCTTCTCGCGACAAATCTAAGTGACCTGTATGCTCGTTATCAATTCGCGGGCAGCTATCACCTTCTCTCAGCCTGCGGCGATAATTATGATAATCGGACTTCAGAACATCTACATCGACATTAAGCCGGCTGAAGGTGTAGCTGAACCATATCTTAACGGTGGCTTTAGTGATAATAAGCTTCAGGGGTTCAACACCCGGGGAAGAGTTTCTCCACTCCCGCCCCGACTTGAGGAGACCATGATCATCTTCAAACTTTCACCATGAGGCGTTGACACATGCCAAAATTCATCACTTTTTCATTTGGTCTCGATGAGCCTAAAACCCAAATTGTCATTGAATATCATGACATCAGTACGTATATTTGTGCGCCATCCAATATGGACTTGAGACAGCTTTGCAGTAGTGCCCTCGGGCTCGAGGCTCTGCTCAATTCGGCAGACCAAGCTTCCAACACGACAGAAAGAGGATGAGGTTCGAACGCAAGTGTCTCCCATCCGGTGCCCTGGCCGAGCTCGCATCTATGATCGAGTCTTGTCGCGCTCCTGTCATATGGCGTACGGGCTCATGCAAGTTGCCCGCAGTTTTCCAGCAAAGCAACAACAGCTTTTTAGTGTACACCGAACCAGTTGTGCGCTCGGCTCTCAATCTACGGGTTCGTTGACTTCATTGAACTTAGATTCCAAGATTATGCAACTGTCCGTCTTCACTAAGGGTGGCCCAGTTGCGGCACTGTTCCTGCATTGTAATCGAGCATATTTCACATGCTATGCCTGTAAGTCTAAGCTAGTGTTGACGTGAAAAGTCTACAGGTGTTGCTCAGCGCCTCGTATCTTGCCAGCGGCAAGCTGGCATTGGAGCGAGATTTCGAAATGACATCTTTTCTTGAAAAGAAGCACCGTGCTCACGCAGCAAGATCTAGCCGAGGTTTGCAATTTGGCCATGCGTGATTAACCAGGTTTAAAAGAGAAGAGAAGAAAAGAAAAGAAGAATATCATCCGAACTCGATCGACTTGTTCAAGGACAAAGAAGCCAATATCAAAAGCCTGAGCTGAGATCCACGTTAGGTGGCAGAAGTCTATTCAACCGCTCCCATCATGCGTGCAGCGTACGGGATCGCGTCGGCGAATCGAGTTCGGACTCGCAGCTAGCGAGGCCAGGTCCACTAATTTTGCGCAGAGTGCCAAAGTGTCAACTGAAATTGAGGCTAAGCACATCACCTTAATTCTTTCCCCCTTAAACGAGTTTCCTTGCGCACGGGGGGTGGGCCTCTAGTGAATCTCTCGTATCTCGTTATCGTTGTTTCGTTGTTTCGTTGTTTCGTGAGCGGAAACTCTGCGCTGCGGCCCTCACTTCGCGGAGTTCCCCAACGGCATAAGACCCACCACCGCCAACGCTTGATAGACACCAGAACAGGGTCAGCACGAAACAATGACAGTCCGGCCGTTTTCGAGTCTCCTGTCCTGTGCGCCGTTTCAGGTCACCTATGCTATTGGTGTCAGGCTCACGAATACGGGCTGTATAGCTGTGCTGTGGTATTGGATCTGGTACTAGATCTCAGGACAGTCATGGCTTTATTGTCTGGAGGTCGCTAGACACGTTTTACTGTCTGAATCCATAGGGTCAGATAGTCAGACACCGGACAGTGTTACGGAACACTAGGTTGCCGTGGGATTTGTGCATAACGTTAACACATTGCATCGCCGGACAACGCTTCGCACGGCATGGAAGCCACGCCTTAGCTTCAGGTGGTAGCCAAATCGTCGAGAGTCATCGTCCTAAAACGGAAATGAGATGGTTATCATCCAAGAGGCTTCGGTCACCGAGGGGTCGCAGGACCGGATCTGCCACCGGTACACAGGGATCGGTCACAGAGGGCGTGTCTATTCACCATTCCCGTTCGTACACCCCATAAGCTTTCTTGTCTACACGGACGACCAGAGTGATATGATGATACCGATATGGGGACGCGCTAGTGCATGTTATATTGGTGTCTGTCTCAGATCCGAGCTGCAACAGCTTGATATATAAGATGTTGACATTTCCTCCGTCGTCTTAGCTTTGACCATATCATATCACACAACTTCAGGATTCTGAGAGCCGCAACCTTAATAATGGCGGACCAGATGGCATATCTCCTCTTTGGAGATCAATCACTCGACACACATGGCTTCCTGGCCGACTTTTGCAGACAAGGGAATCCGAGTATTCTCGCAAAGACTTTCCTCCACCAAGCTGGCGACGCATTGAGGGAAGAGATCGACAGGCTGCCGCGATTGGAAAGACAGAAGATCCCTATTTTCAGGACACTGCAACAATTAAACGAGAAATATCACGCCCAAACGATCAAATGCCCAGGGATCGACAGTGCGCTGCTGTGTATAACGCAACTGGCCCATTATATCGAGTGAGTATTGGGTATTGCGACAATGCGATATTATTGGGAGAGTCAGGAGCTAATTCGCAAATAGTCGATCCGAGAAAGAATACGAGGATGCCACCACGGCCAATAATACATATCTTTCCGGTCTATGCACTGGTCTCTTCGCTGCGACAGCGATCGCTTCGAGCCCGTCGCTATCATCGCTTCTTCCGATCGCCGTTCAAGTGGTCTTGATGGCATACAGAGTTGGGTCCCACGTGGCCTCATTAGCAGATCGGTTAAGCCCTTCGGTTGAAAAGTCCGAGAGCTGGACATTTGTTGTCCCCGGAGCCAAAGAAACAGAGGCCAAGTCTATCCTCGCGGAGTTTCACGAGTCTGAGGTGAGAACAATTAATACTGGAGGAATAATAAGCATCATTCTAACTAGCTGCTAGGGAATTTCGCAGGCCGCCCAGGCCTATGTAAGTGCTGTGTCCGCCAGTAATATTGCGGTCTCAGGTCCTCCAACAACGTTGAAGTTTCTTTTCAGCAAAGACTTGTTCGACTCGAGGCCAACAGCCATTCCAGTGTATGGTCCATACCATGCCGCGCATCTTCACGCTTCTACAGATCTAGATAAGCTTCTGAAGCTAAATGACCCGGCTGTGACTGCTGCCCTAACAGAATCTAAGCCTCGCAGCCAGGTTATGTCCTGCGTTACAGGCAAAGCTTTCACCGAGACCAATACCAAGGCTCTATTGAAGGCAGTCGTTCATGAGATACTGAACGAGCCGCTTTTATTCCACAAAGCACTGGCGGGCAGTCTCCATAATGCTAGCGACTTCAAGGGATCCAGAGTGCTGGTGATTCCATATGGTCCCACTCAGGCCGCCAGCACGCTTGCGAATTTGTTGAAGGCAAAGACAAATTTGGAGGTCATCCTCCGATCACCACCACAGGTGTCACGTGATTCTCATGCTGCCTCCATTGGCAATCATGGTTCCACTGGCAAGTGCAAACTCGCCATTGTTGGAATGGCCGGTCGCTTCCCAGATGCCGCCAGTCACGAAAAGCTTTGGGAGCTCCTGGAAAAGGGAATTGACGCTCATCGCGTCGTACCCGCGGACAGATTCCCGGTTGACACTCACTTCGACCCCACAGGAAAGGCGATTAATACCAGTCACACTCCATATGGCTGCTTTATCGAGAACCCTGGTTTGTTCGACCCTAGGTTCTTCAACATGTCGCCTCGTGAGGCCTTCCAGACAGATCCCATGCAGCGCATGGCACTGACTACGGCATATGAGGCGCTGGAGATGTCGGGATACGTGCCTAACAGGACGCCATCCACTCGATTGGACCGAATTGGCACATTCTACGGTCAGACCTCAGATGACTGGCGTGAGATCAACGCCGCTCAAGAGGTGGACACCTACTACATCACTGGTGGTGTCCGGGCGTTCGGCCCTGGGCGTATCAACTATCATTTCGGCTTTAGCGGTCCAAGTCTGAACATTGATACTGCCTGTTCATCCAGTGCGGCTGCTCTGCAAGTTGCCTGCACATCACTGTATGCGAAAGAGTGCGATACTGCAATTGTCGGTGGTCTCTCATGCATGACCAACTCAGACATTTTCGCAGGTCTCAGTCGTGGCCAGTTCCTTTCCAAGAAGGGAAACTGTAACACATTTGACAACGATGCCGATGGCTACTGCCGAGCTGATGCTTGCGCCTCAGTCATTGTTAAGCGCCTCGATGATGCACTTGCGGATAAGGACCGAATCCTCGCCGTTGTCCTTGGCGCACAAACGAATCATTCGGCTGATGCCATTTCCATCACGCATCCCCACGGTCCTACTCAGTCTGTACTTTCCTCTGCCATTCTGGACGACGCTGGTGTTGATCCCCTAGATGTCGACTACGTTGAGATGCATGGTACTGGTACTCAGGCTGGTGACGGAACTGAGATGGTTTCTGTTACCAATGTTTTCGCCCCTGCCAACCGCCACAGAGCTGCTGACCGACCCTTGTACTTGGGTGCTATCAAATCAAACGTTGGCCATGGAGAGGCTGCTTCTGGCATCACGGCGCTTAGTAAGGTTCTCATGATGCTCCAGAAAAACTCTATCCCACCTCATATAGGAATCAAGGGAGAAATCAATAAAACTTTCCCCAAGGATCTTGGCGAACGGGGTGTTAATATTGCGTTCCACAAAACTCCTTTCCAGCGCAAGGATGGCAAGCCTCGCCGGGTCTTCGTCAACAATTTTAGCGCTGCTGGAGGTAACACCGGTCTTCTCTTGGAGGACGGCCCTCGCTACAAGCAAGCGGAGACTGATCCCCGCAGCGTCCATGTCATTACGGTCACAGCCAAATCAAAGTCAGCTATGATCCGCAATGCGGAGGGTCTGGTTCAGTGGATGGAAGCGAATACGTCAATCCCTGTTTGCGACGTAGCTTATACATCAACGGCCCGTAAGATTCAGCACTACTGGCGTATGAATGTTGCTGCTGGAAACCTATCAGAGGCAGCTCAAGCTATCAAAGACCGTCTCAAGTCCAACTTTGTCCCTGTGTCTCCAGAGCAACCAAAGGTCGCTTTCATGTTTACTGGCCAAGGCTCTCACTACGCTGGTCTCGGTAAAGAACTCTACGCACACTTTTCAGTCTTCCGCGCCGCCATAGATGAGTACAACCAATTGGCAAACATACATGGCTTTCCATCATTCCTGCCTCTCATTGACGGTAGTGAGACAGAGGTTGGCAAGCTTTCGCCTGTCGTTGTTCAGCTTGGCCTTTGCTCGTTTGAGATGGCGTTGGCTAAGCTTTGGGCGTCGTGGGGTATTCAGCCCGGTGCCGTTCTTGGTCACAGCTTGGGTGAGTATGCTGCTCTTAACGTTGCCGGCGTCTTGTCTGCGAGTGATACCATCTACCTCGTCGGCGCTCGCGCTCAGCTGCTAGTTGAGAAGTGTACGGCTGGGACCCATGCAATGCTGGCTGTTCAAGGCTCTGTCGATACTGTCAAGGAGGCCCTTGGTGCTCGTGCAGAGTCTACCAATGTAGCCTGCATCAACGGACCGCGTGAGACTGTATTGAGCGGAACCTCTAACGAGGTTGCCGAAATTGCCGAACAGCTTGGCGGTGCTGGTTTCAAATGCACCCAACTGAAGGTACCTTTTGCGTTCCATTCTGCTCAGGTTGAGCCCATTCTCGATGAGTTTGAGAGTCTTGCTCGATCTGTTAACTTTGAAACACCGAGGATACCTGTCATCTCCCCATTATTTGGAAAACTTGTGGACGATGAGCCAATTAACCCTACTTACTTGCGCAATCACGCCCGCGAAGCCGTCAACTTCTTGGGAGGTCTGGTTTCGGCTCAGCAATCTGGCATGATTGATGAAAAGACAGTCTGGCTCGAGGTTGGCCCTCATCCTGTCTGTGCCAACATGGTCAAGGCAGCCTTCGGGGCTACCACGATTGCTGTGCCCACTCTCCGTCGCAATGAGGCCACTTACAAGACCCTTAGCAGCACGCTTTGCACTCTTCACTCGGCTGGTCTCAATCTGGACTGGAACGAGTACCATCGCGATTTTGATGCATCTGTTCGCCTGCTTGACTTGCCTAGCTACTCCTTCGACTACAAGAACTATTGGCTTCAGTACACTGGCGACTGGAGTCTCACCAAGAACCGCGGCGTACTAGCGGCTCCAGCCAAGGCCATTGAAGCAGCTAAGCCCAAGCTTTCTACTACCACTGTCCAGAAGATCACCAAGGAAGAGATCAAGGGTGATGTTGTCATCATTGAGACTGAGTCAGACATGGCTCGTGAGGATTTGCGACAGGTCTGTTCTGGCCATCTTGTGAATGGCACAGCTCTTACGCCATCTTCGCTCTATGGCGACATGGCGATCACCATTTGCGAGTACGCATACAAGTTGCTTCGCCCTGACGCCACAAATATTGGATGTAATGTCAGTCACATGGAGGTGCCAAAAACTCTCATATTCGACACCAAGGCTAAGAGTCAAATTCTTCACATGTCTGCCAAAGCCAATGCCGCGGAAGGATTCGCTGATCTAACCTGGACTACCGGTGAAGGTGCCTCAAAGATTGAGCACGCCAGCGCCAAGGTCTTCTTCGGAGACAACGAGCAATGGCTCGGCGAGTTTGAACGTGTTAGTTACTTGATCAAATCTCGGGTTGAAGCGCTCAAGGCTGCAGAGCAGCGGGGCGATGCTTCCAAGATTGGTCGCGGTCTTGCATATAAGCTGTTTGCTGCTCTTGTCGACTATGACCGCCGCTACCGTGGCATGGAGTCGGTCGTCCTCGATAGTGAAACTTGTGAAGCCACTGCCAAGGTTGTTTTCCAAACAAGTCCCGAGGATGGTACTTTCCACACAGCCCCTTACTGGATTGATAGTGTCTGTCACATCTCAGGTTTCATTCTCAACGGTTCTGATGCCGTTGACTCGCGTGAGCAAGTCTTCATTTCTCATGGATGGGGTTCCATGAGGTTCGCAGAGCGCCTGTCAGCCGATAAAACCTACCAAACCTACATTCGCATGCAGAATGTCAAGGGCACCAAGATGATGTCAGGTGACGCCTACATTTTCGAAGGCGACAAGCTCATTGGTCTTGCTGGAGATGTCCGTTTCCAGGCCATCCCTCGCAAGGTCCTAAACATTGTGCTACCTCCTCAAGGTGCCGCTGCTGTCTCTGCCGCGCCAGCTCGCGCTGCTCCAGCATCTGCTAAAACCGCTGTTAAGCCTGCTACAAAGGAGAAGAAGCAGGTTACTTCATCCAACTTGCCAGCTGTGAACAAGAAGCTGACTAAGAACTCCGTGGTTGTCCAGGTTATGGAAATTATTGCCCAAGAGACTGGTGTTAGCCATGACGAGCTTGCTGACAACATTGCTTTCTCTGATCTTGGCGTCGATTCTCTCATGGGTCTCACCATTAGCGGTCGCCTGCGTGAGGATCTCGAACTTAACGTGGACTCTCATGCTTTCAACGATCACGCTACGATCGGTCTCTTCAAAACTTTTTTGGCTCAATTCGAGACATCAGAGACGATCGTTGTTGAAGAGTCGACTGTCTCTAGCGGATCTTCTGATACAGCTGACATGGAATCCGACTCTGACGTGACCACACCTCCAGATGATAGCGATAGAGGCTCTGTCAAGGGCGATGCTTCCGGTGAATCCAGTCTTGGCGAACTTCAAGATATTGTTCGCTCAACCATCAGCGATGAGATGGGTGTCGAAGTTGAAGAGATTATCGCTGCCCCTGATCTGGCTGCCCTCGGTATGGATTCTCTTATGAGCTTGTCCATCCTCGGCATTCTACGGGAGAAGACTGGTCTAAATATCCCTTCTGACCTTCTTGGCCATAACCCTTCGCTGAAGGATATCGAGAAAGCTTTGGGTATTGAAAACAAGCCTAAGCGTGCCGCGCCTGCCTCCAAGCCAGCAGCCAAGTCTGTCAAAACCGTGGTGAAAACTCAAACTGCTGTGAAGGTCCAAGAGGTCGTGGTTGACGCCTATCCCCACCGCAAGGCCACCTCAGTCCTGCTTCAAGGCAATCACCGTACCGCCACCAAGCAGCTGTTCATGATCCCTGATGGAAGCGGTAGCGCTACTTCATACACGGAGATTTCAGAGATTGGGTCAGAGGTCGCCGTTTGGGGCCTCTTCTCTCCATTCATGAAGACCCCGGAAGAGTACAAATGTGGTGTCTACGGAATGGCCACCAAGTTCATCCAAGAGATGAAACGTCGTCAGCCTGTGGGTCCTTATGCTGTGGCTGGCTGGAGCGCGGGCGGGGTCATTGCTTACGAGATTGTGAACCAGCTCACGAAAGCCAACGAGGAAGTTTCCAACTTAATCATCATTGACGCTCCTTGCCCTGTCACTATTGAGCCGCTTCCTGCTGGTCTGCATGCTTGGTTCGCATCTATCGGTCTGCTTGGCGAGGGTGATTCTGTTGCGGCCAAGAAGATCCCTGAGTGGCTACTCCCTCATTTCGCTGCTTCAGTCACGGCGCTGTCCAACTACACTGCCGATCCAATCCCAGCCGATAAATGCCCCAAGGTTACTGTCATTTGGTGTGAGGATGGTGTGTGCAAACTCCCAACCGACCCTCGACCTGACCCTTACCCGACAGGTCACGCCCTCTTCCTCCTGGACAACCGCGACGACTTTGGCCCTAACCGTTGGGACGAATACCTTGACACTGGCAAGATGTCCTTCCACCATATGCCGGGTAACCATTTCTCCATGATGCACGGCGACGCAGCCAAGCAGCTTGGAAGTTTCATGCGCAGCGGCATGTCTTCATGATCCTCGCTATCACTATATTCATTTCTCGGCTTTCTTAATCAAATCATGTATACCTTCGCAATACGCTCTTTGTACAAACATACTTTCATTATTACCAGATGGTGAATCTCCTCCCCCCCCGGTTTTTTTGTTTTTGTTTTTGGATCGTTGAGGATATCATTGACACCTGGCGTTCGTGTTTTCGATGTGGAGTTTGAGTATGAGTCATTACAATAGATCACCGCCACATACTGGCGAGCATGATAAACCGTAAATTCTATGATATTATTTAAATTATCGATATTTTCCTCGTAGTCTTCCAATTTTCGACTGGTTGCTTGAATTTAACTCAACGCCAACATAACAACTGTCCTTTTAGTCTTGTTGATCTACCACCGTACTATTCTTCTTGGGGCTGGCTTGTTGTCGTAGAGAACATATATATAATCATGGTAGATGGCACCCATACTGTACTTTTCCAACATATAATGAGGCCACTAGCGGATCGGGAGAATAAAAAATGGCCGTTGGCCTTCCTAGCAGAGCATATAGCGCCACGACAATGATTAATTAAAGCTTTAGACAGAAGTTTAGATCTTCCAATTGCATAACAATATTTGTTCATCCTTATATATCTACCAACTTCCTATGTCTTCCATACTTATTATCATTGTACTTAACTCTAGTGAAAATCAACTGTTTTTTTTTCTTGTCGAACCGAGGATCGTTTCTTGTGCGTACGTTGCTCAAAGTCTCATATCAGTCACTGGTGGTAAATGATACATTGAGAAGGCATCCTTCTTCCTCAGTTGGTGTTCGTGAATACTTTGTAGGCAAAGGTATGCCTATTTCTAGTACTCAATTAGTCTAGGAATGAACGTACTTTGTTATGTGAGCAATTGCGACCAAGCATGGCCAATGAGGGCTTCTCGAGTATCTCCATAAGCCAAAAACAAAGTCTGTGTAAGTAAGCCCACAATTCTGCCATGGAAACATAAATTGAAAGTTTTCGTCATGACTCAACACTCTGTAAACAGACGGACTATGAGTAGCCACATGGCTTCTAGAAGAAATACTCTGGTTCATGCAACCCGGCATCAAGATTGCAGTATCCGACTGCATCAATTATTAATCTCATGACCAAATCGATATTAGGGGGCACTTGTACTAGCTGACGGATCGTGCGACGATGCGCAGCGTACGAAGAAGGAATTCTACTGTTACACTGCATGTGTACTCTATCACAACGTGTTCACGTTTATCACAAGAGATCAAGGATCTGCTCGAAGAATATCCAAGCGACGGGTTCGCGCTGCTTGCCTTTACCACGGCGGAGTACTCGATTGGTGCAACTCCGGCGTCCACGGTATCAACTACCAAGGAATTCATAGACTGATGATTCTTAGCCCCCAAAGAGTTTATTGTATTGGTCATCGGACATGCCAGGCGACTACGGGTATCTTTCAGATGCTTGAAATGATCCTTGAGATCCTTGAGATCCGCCGTTCCGCTTGCTTAGGCGTATCGGATGAAGAGGTCCCACACCTGGCTCCGACCGCCAGGAGTCGAGGCAACCACCGCCGCTTTCCGCGTCAATGCTCATGAGGCGGCGACGTTACACGGCAGGCAGACGAGAGGTCACACTCTCGAATCCTACCACGACTAGTCTGTCTAATATGCGGCGATCGTGTCACCGTCACAACATAACGAGCGTTTATTCCGAGGATCTATGCCATAGGCTCTCGGGGACAAGATTCCGGCTTCCACACAGTCCACAAAGGGTTGGGACCATCTCCAGGATGAGAACGTGTGCTAGATGCATCGATATGCATACCATTGTATCTGTAAGGGTGGGCCCCTCATTTCTCCCGAGACCGGGGTCTTTCGTTGACGTGGATGACTATGCGAAAAGGAAAACTGGCTTTGAGAAAGGAGGCAGTTTTGAAGGTCCTTTTAGTGAAACGTCACAGTCCCATCATGACTATACCCATCTTGATGCCCCGGACTCATGTTCTGAACTTCGGCAATTCGCAGTACGATGAGATTCAGCGCCGTTTGGAAGACCGTTACACTTCTGGTGCTGGTGCCGATGCTATACCCAGTCCCCACATCCCAGATGCAATCGACACCCCCATAGTCACCGCGATCGAGGTTCGCCTGTTAAAGCTTATTTCTAAAAAAGAATTAAGAAGAAAAAGATAGTTGCAGCTTTGGACGCTATTCCTCTTCCAGATAATCCCTGCTGCGAACAAAAGCTTGCAGATCCATACTTAAGCGTGGACGTCATGGAGTTCTTTTCTTTGGTCGCATTTGATTGGAACGGCGTTCATGGCCGGCCTGCATTGTTGTTTATTATTTATCCTTGCTCACGTCCCCTGCGTTTTCTCATCTTTGCCCTAACTCCATGCAACATGTGGAGAACAACGTTTCTTGAAACTTGGCACACGAATGCCCTTTGCTTGCGAAGTGGCCGAATTCAGGATCGAAACGATTGCCTGATCGTAGCAAGAAATTAATTTGTCAGATTGTCAAGCCGGGGGAGTAGCATTCGAGCTTTCCGCGTCACATGTTCGTTTTCGAGAGAGCTCTCCATGGAGATACGCGCAGGCAGTGCGATGTGATCCCTGCCATCTCGTCTCAAAATAGACTGCAGCATAAAAATAATGGGCTGAAATCCAACCCCCAAGTGTATGACAGTTTCAAAAAATACTGAGTTTGGGTGGTTTGCGGCAACTAAGCTCTACAAGCTGTAGCTCAGGGTCAGGAGAGTACATGAACCCCAGCTAACGCGTACCAAGTACACAGTACGCTACGCTGCACGCTACGATGAAATACAGTTTTGCATTAAGCTCTGAACATCGAGGGCTGGTCATATACTTTAGAAAAAGCTGCCTAGGTTCTGGACTCGACGTTCCCTAGCCACTCCGGATCCTCAACAACGATGAGCCAAACCCCAACCGGACAAGCCGGACCTGAGATAGGAGCTTATTGTCCCTGCAACAACCATTGAGGAGGGCTCACTTCGACGCAAAGTAATATTATCTGATAGCCAACGAATCAGGTACGGCAGTGATAAACGCATATAACAGTCAGTATATAACGTTTCTATTAGCGGAACAGAATGTGGATGGCTCAGTTGAAGTAGGGGTGGAATATTTCCATTTTTAGTTTCAGCTTAGGTAGTCAATGACTACATTGACTGGGATAGTAGCTGCGCCACTAAGTGAGGAAAACGTGCAATTCAAGATGGTGGCACGTCAAACTTGCCAAATGGTTGACGGCGGAAGTGCCGCTCTCAAGCCGTGAGCAGTCCAGCGCTGAACTTGGGATAGAAGGAGAATCGGCACAAAGATATCTCCAGTAGTCATCGGCCCGGCCGGTGGTTAGCCAAGCCTGTAGATCGTGTGTCGGATGGATTGGGTACAATTACTATCAAATATATGGATGGTGGCTTCCGGGCTTGCCTAACGACCTAAGCATCGTATCCAAAACTTTACTCGGGCTCAGTTTTTTGTCTAGAAACTTAATCTCGTTGGTTTACTCTATTTGAAAGTCTAAGCCTGCACCATGCGCTAATCACAACAATATGCAGGAAGCAGAAGCGAGATCGATCTGGTAGGGCATGTATTTGGCACATTGTGTAGCATCGAGGCAAGGTGCCGCTGCAATGAAGGCGGAAGGCGCGGGACACGGGTATGGGACTTCAACCGAATCTCTGGAATACCACCCAGTAGTACTGGGTCTACTAAGGAAAAAAGAAAAAAAAAAACTTGGCCTGACGAACGACTATACAGAACCAATGATCTCCTGGGAGATCTAGCTAGTCAGGTGATAGCTATCTTCTGATCCCATCGAGTGTGGGTACGAACCCTGGCTAAGATCTGAGGGTAGCGGTTCAGCAACCCCACTCACTCATCTGATAGTTACCAGTCCGAATCTGGCAATATGCTTGGTCTGCGGAGTCCAACATCATCTCCAATTCCACGCTGTATGCACTCTGATAGGTGGCCTTCAACTGCAGACTCCACACCTCAATATTAGCTTTGATTCTTCGGACTCCCACGCAAGTATACTGGTGATGATTGCGTGTAATACTCGCTATGGGTACCCATAAGAACATTTGCAATGCCGACTGATGCAGTAAATCGCCCAGTGTTAGATGGACCTGGATCTTTCTAGGGAGGAAGATTTGTAGTTTGGGACGACCCTCCATCGACCTCCTTGTAATTGAGACCCCACGTCACGAGATACCGCGCAGGCTGTTTGCCACGTCATGGATTGGCAGGCCGTCTGACTTCAAGCCAGATTCAGCCTTCGATGGAAATCGAGGTACAATGCCACGGTGAGATTCTGGCACACGTCGGCTTTACTTGTCAGCAACCATGATTTGAAGGCACAGTTAGAGCCAAGAACTCCGGGGATGTATAGCATAAGGGCCTCAGCTTTCAATACCAAGTACATGCTGCTCTTCACCAATCGGAAGATAGCATAGACCAGCCTGCAAGCAGCTTCTGCCTCGTAGCTAATTACCTGCGTCACATACCATCTCAGTCTCGCGTGGTTCTTCAGCTCCTCAATGGCCTTCATCTCCAAACCAACAGTATTGACTCTTGTCCCAAGGCAATTACGAATGGGAGCGCGGCGAGTCTCCAATTGCCATGCGTTGAGCTGCATTAGCGCGCTGATAGTGCTCTGGGCTGAAGACATCCTTGAATAGGCGAGTCCTTCGAAGTACCACTGTGATGAGATTCAGACACTTTAGACATATTGTGCTTTACTGCTTCCAAGCTACAGACGACAGAACAAAATGCGCTTGTGTTCAATTCTATAGACCGTAGAGTTTTGTTTTTCATCCAACTACTTGACCGTCGGCAGTGACTTCCTAGTACTTCAAAACGTAGTCTACCGTAAATGGACGCTCTAAAAAGTGGGAAGTGTCACTTAGAAACGTGATCAGCACTCTTGGGTCAACGAATCAGACCACGAAAAAGCTCAGGCAGCCACCAAACGATGTTGCCGGCAACTGTAAGGGTTGCTGCTGGTAGTTACGGGTGGTTAATGGATATGCCAAAAGCCAACGAGACAAGCGCAGCGGATCCAGATTCACCCTACGGAGGTCCGTGTGGGACGAGGCTCAGGCTGACTATAGACTTGCTTGGACGTGTTACACGTGGGAATCTCGCCTTCAATGCGGTATTCTAGTGGTTGACCAACAGATAACGACCTTGAGCACAACTGTTGCTTTAGGCGCCACTTTACCTACCATGTACAAGAAAGATACCATCATTCTCAAGTACTGGATGTTGACTGAAGACTCCCGCGCAAGCGCCGTTTCCCGGTAATAAGCAAAGAATACCATAAACAAGTCAACTGGTGGTAGATGACCCCAAATCCTAATGCCGAATGACGGAAAGCTGAAGCTTGTAATGGCTTATCAGCCGAATGTAGTAGGGCTGACGACCGCCAAGCGCGCGGTTGTACTCAGAGATATGCGACCTCGATGGGAAGGCAGATGGCGCAGACCTTACTTGCTGCTTCGCAGAAAGTTAGAAACGATGTGCTGCATTCGGAAGCAACAGTAATCAGCATGCCTCTTATTCAGAACTGGTCTCGTGGTTTCATGAGATGGCAACTCTTATCATTCTGCCTGGTGAAGATTCACACAGTTCAGCTGCAGCACATGAACCCTTGCTACATTAAACATTACATAAACAATTCACATTGGACTATTCTCCAATCATAACCACTCGATTCCTCGCAAAATTGTAAAACCGGTGCCCGTTTTCGGAGTCAACCGGTGAAGCCATATAGAGTTGTCGTTACAAAAAGTGTTTGTCCGCATATACTATCGTCATGACTTTTGCAAAAGTCGTTCCAGGCCAAGAATCAGTACTCCACTTTCGGTTCCGAAGCATCCAGTGCCATGTTAAAAATATGAAGAGTGTCAAGCTTTCTGCAGCTGCCAGCCTGCTGCTTGTGGGCGATTACACGCTTACTGAATTGTGTTTCCACCATTTTCAAACTGTTGTTAAGGTATTCTAGTCAGCAGACTAGGCATGCAGCATTTCGTCTAGTCCAAGAGCCGCCGTTGCTCTAATGGAATGGGTACCGAAAGGATCAAATCAGACGCGATTTGTTCGGCACAACAACATCCCGAAAGGGTTTAACCCACCGAGGCTAGAAGATTCCCGTACCTTTGGCTCCAAGCCCGGTCCCTGGTCGCTACTTTAAAGTAAGTTCCGATTTCTTGGCTCTGGGCAAAACCTGCACTGGAACTGGGAGTTGTCGTCCCGTATCGAACATTGAAGTCGAACTCGAACTCGAACACCACCTGTCTGTTCCCTTCTCACTCCGTATCTGCAGCACACACATTTGTTTGCGCCAATAAGGGTATTTGTTCTAGCGGCATTTTCTCGTATGGCCCTCACGGCGATCAATCACGACATCTTTCCTACCTCTTTCGTCTCGTGTAACTTTGGAACCGAACTCAACAACACTGTTGAAGGGATAAGCCATCTGTCGTCTGGGTTGAGGCTGCCTTGTGGCCTGAGTCTCCAACACACTACCTTGATTGCTATCAATGCCCTTGATAGCCTCCTTTCTCGTCAAACCGAGTACTTCTACGGGCCCGATTGTCCCCGTCAGCACTTCCGTCGAACATCACTTGCTGACAGGCTCAACGGGCACTGGAGCAAGACACCGTCCCCATACACTAATGTCTTCGTGCCACTTACGCATGCTATTGGGCATATCATGCATCGCGAAGGCTTAGTGGCCTACCCGCTGATTACCCCAGCGGACTACATTCTGATAGCTCCGTGGCTTCTCCCCCCACAGGACCATACACCCTGGCGGTCGCATACAAAGATCAGATCTAGTTGAGGCGGCTCTCATAGCTTTGTAGCATGGGTCTTTTCTTTTCACATAACACCAAAGATCTCAACCAGGTACCCCCAGGCGTCTTCTCAGGCAGCCCTGGCTTGACAGTGACTATCACGTTTATAATTTTTCTTGTTCTGCGAGTCTTGCCCAGTGGCTTTGCTGCTTGGGCTAGCAATGATCCTGGTCTCTTGAAATATCCTAGTTGTCTCTGGATATGATTTGCATATCTCTCGCCTCCTCCAGTACTAGCGTATCATAACGTTCTGCCACCCGAGCAAGTGCTCATGCATTCTCTTACTTTCGTGGCCGGAGACGTCTTATCAAAAATGCCACATGCTCCAAGCCGACTTATCCCCCCTCTCTTATTCCTCAGTTTCTGACTTGTATTTAATTTTTATTCCTTTAGCTTTGGGGTCCATGGTCTGCCACGAAATCGTATTTAGATATACAGATCGCTCACCACCGCGTGGGCTCCCCAGTCTCTGCTATTCCCTATTCATTTGATTCTTTTTATTCTCTGGCATATTTGAAACGTCAGCCTTTTTCTTTCTTTTTATTTTCTCTCCTCAACAAGTAAACATAACTTCTCATGTCGTCCTCGAACAAGTCTCGACAGCCTCGTCTTAGGGCGTCTTGTGATGGATGCTTCTTGGCCAAGGTCAAGTGCTCCAAGGCCAGGCCTATTTGTTCTCGCTGTCTTGCTTGCGGGATCGAGTGCCGATATTCGCCTTCTAGTCGATCTGGGAAGCCCAAGGCAGAGAATTGTGGGAGCTCCCTCAACGCTCACAGCCAGGATATCCACGAACTTCAGCACTTAGTAGAGGACAAGAATATGGGTTTCGCGGCATCCATTCCTGCTCCTGAGCACTTGTTCAGGATCAATACGGGTTGGGCAACGCCCCCCAATAGCACCGACGGCGTAATGAGTCGAAATTCTTCGATCTCGGCCGGTTTAAGTATGATGGGGGTTGAGGACAGTCCTATGCATAATGGCAGCCCCATGTCAGCACCGCCAGAGACATATGCAAACACGATTCCGTGGACACCTCCTGCAGACTTCACTTGTGCACCTTTCCCTGAATCAGTGCAGAGCCTTTCAGGTCCTCATGTACGGTCACACTCAATCGATATGTCTATGCCATTGCCAATGGCTTGGTCGGACCCAAATGTGCCCGAGAATACCGTATATTCGCAGATGCAAACACCCACAAGCTTGACTTCAAACTATTTTCCTAGTCCTTCTACGACACCGACCATGCGACCAAACCACAACCGACACAAGTCATCGCCCCCTATTATTACTGGGAGTGGTGGCTCCTGTACGTGCTTCACTCTCTGCTTACAATCTTTGCAAGCTTTGCACAACGCATCCGCACCCGCCACTCCTCCGTTCGACCTGGTCCTGAATCTGAACCGAAAGGCTGTTGAGGGCTGTGCCACTATGCTTGCATGTCCTAAGTGTATGAGTAGATCAGGGACCCACACTGCGGCAATGCTCTTAGCAACAGTCATGGGCAAGATCACATCATTCTATCAGACCGCTTCTCACACACACTTTGAGAATGGTGTTATGGGCATGACCGCCACAAATCTCAATGGTCCTTTCGGAGTCAGCCTTGGTGCTTACCAGCTCAATGGTGAGGACGGAAGGTGGCTGGAGCTCGAGATACTTGCTAGAGAGCTACGAAAACTTGAAGAGCTTTATGCAAGGTTTCGTGAGGTCTGCGGGGAATTGTCTGACGATCCTGAGGTCAGCAGAGCAATGATAGGCTACCTTGGACATAACCTGGGATCGACATTGGAAGTACTGAGCCATAGGAAGGGCGGAGTCTCTTTTGCCTGAGAAATGTTTTCAACCCCATGGCTCATGCAAGGAGGCGCATCAATTTTATTGCTATTAGGAGGCCCGGATGAATTTTTTCGCACAAACAGCTTTCGAACCGCACATGATCATGATAATATCGTTACAGTAAATGATATTTTCTTTATCTATCCTGCGTGCAGTTGAACGAATATATGCAGAACCAATGGCTCGGGAGTTTGGCGTTTCAATCCACGGTTGCTACTTTGGGGGAGCTTAGGTGGATAAAGACATGGCAAAAGATCTTGTCACGGTTACACGACACGACGTTTACATGTTACAGGAACAGACAGCAACGTACTGTAAGGTCCTGAGAAATTGCACGACGCAAATGCTTTGTGTTGGGAATTGTAATATGTGGTTGAGAAGAGTTACCATATTCTTCCCCCTGCTTAGTTCTTTTTACTGTTGACGATTTACGACTGATTTCACATCCGTGGAAGAGTACAATCCTAAAGATAAATCAGTTAATTGATCGGCTGACACCCGACTTCAATGCATCATGGTTATCCTTTCAAGAAGTGTATACAATCTAAAACATATGATCTCACTCGGTAGCGAGCTCCGCAAATCACGCAGACCCTGAGTTGTCTCACGCACCCCACGGGATTCACCAACCCCTTGGATTCAGCAAACTTGTGCTGTTGTTTGACACATTTGTGCTAAGCTCCAACATAATGTTGACCACTAACGCGGGCTAGTCAATTCTAATATATGAACCCTGCTGAAAAATGGCTGGCTATTGCTAAATGTCAAACTTTTGATAAGATGATCGCGAGATAGTTCAGATACTACATATCTTTGGTCTCTTTTCATGAAAAACTTCTGATACGACGACATGGTTGAAAGGTCGACAGAGCTATCTCGGGTGTTTCGGGCGTTTGAGAGCTACCATGAACGGCGAGTCTTTGAAAGTTAACTACACTTAGAGTTTTTGTACGCATGGTATTCAAGACGATCAGACTATACCCAATAGCCCCAAAAAGGCCACGCAGATAATACAGTTCCATGCCGCAACTCTGCCGCTCTTGTGTTGAAATCTTTTTCCCCGAGGCATTGTCACATGGAGGAAACTGAGATGTCACCCAGTATTTCACTCAGTTGCAGAGAGAAATTGCCATACATGATATAGTGCTGCAATTCATTTACTGTTAGGTTAGTTTTCTTGTGAAGAGTACGGTCGTTGGCACCCGGCTCCTGCATTACGAGACCGGAGTATATCGTGTTTTATATCGCCACTCACTATCTATGGACATACATTGGCCAACAGTATGCTCCATATCACTTTCATTGTTACAATTAAAGATCCAGCTAACCTAGTACCAAACCAGTAAGCTAGGCTGACCGTTCGACAACACACGAATCGAAAAGCCTTGATGTATGGCTAAGCAGGCATGGCCTCCTGTGAATGGTGCGTGTAGAACCTGGTCGTCCCGGGAATCTGGATTCTAGCCTAGACAGTTCTGACTCGATCATTTTGGGGGCCATCCGGACCATGGACAAAATTCTCGTTGCTCTGTGGAAATTTGTTGCTCCAACAGGCCATGGCTAACACCCTTAGCTAGATTGAGATAGATTTTAGATACTTCGATACCTGTCTCGTGTCCCCTTATTCTTTCACGTTTAAACTCAATTCGACCGAAGTCTGAATAACGCCAGATTGTTTACACGTACCACTGCTTAGCAGAACCCTTGATTTATACTAATGATGGCTCCCTCCAAATCTGGAACTTATGTTCCAGCTTGCCACCTGAAAGTCTCACCACTTTATGTTCTCGATTTTCACTGCAATGGTATACCAATCAAGTGGCAGCGCTTACAAGGGTGATTAGTTGCCCCGGAGACAGTGAACCACCCAACTGCAACAGGTTAGCGATAGTGATACAAGTGACCAATGATGTCGGTCAGTCAAGAAGTATTGAATGAGATTTCGGTCTCGGGCTTGAGAAATATTCGCTACAACTTCACATGTCTACTTGTTTGGGCAATCGACGAGGCTATTTGAGTTTGTACTAACCTAGACTAGTCTAAGGCGAGAACCTGCAGGCTGTGACGATCCCACGTTCGGTTACACCGCCTAAGATAATCAAGATGATGGAGGTACACGAAGGCGGGATGAGTTCGTCACGGTAATCAGGCTAGCGAAATTTCAACAACGAAACACGTCTTCATCACATACTCATCGCAAAATCCGGGGTTAATGTTTTTCTTCTTCTTCATTTATTTTCAGAGCTCACCTATGTAGGCAAACCTTGGTTGTTAAATTTCAACGGTGCCACCAGTCTCACCATTCGATCGCTCAACGCGACAACCAAGGTCCCCTGTGATCAGGAACAGTCTTCCAGCCTATCACACTAAGTTGCTTTCGTGTGCACGCATAACCGCACCTAAATGGTAATGTGGTAAAACACCAAATTGGAAATTATACGTTCGACCATCACTTATGCTCGGAAGGCCTTAAATGTATCTATGAACAGACCAATAGTATGTCGTGTTTGTCACCAGCTCACATACTTATCAAGAATGGCGGCGGGCTGGGTTTGCCTTTGTGGACCGTCTTCCGCGGAAGCGATGGCGTAGCTAACAAAGTATGTGGCGCAATGCAAACTTTCGTCTTGAGTTTTGCGCTTTGGTTTATTGGAGCAATAATCCATCGGCCGGCAAATATGGTGTCTCTGAGCCTATCAAAATCAACCACTACCTTTCTTCCCATGGGATTCAGAACAGATGAAGGCAGCTGGGGGCAGGGCTGTTGCCAGAAAAAGTGCCACACCCCTACACACAACACTGACTACTGTTACTCTAGGGGTACGGCACTTTTTTGTTATCAACCCGTTGGGGGGTAAACTTGCGGCGACAAGTCTCCTGGCTAAGAACTCATGCAAGATCAAGTTTAGTTCAAGACCACATAAAGCTCGAGCTAAGCGATACGTATGTGATCTGGGTGGCTAGCTGTCTCTCATACGACTGATGTCGTGAACCTTCTTTTTCGAAAGCATTTTGCATGCATGATGCGCGTATTTAGTCATATTACCAGAAAAAGAAAAAGAAAAGAAGAAAGGAAAAGGGAAAAAAGAAACCACTCGGAGAATATACCCTCGGATGCATGCGTTATCTCCTTGGCACATCATCCACAAACCTCCTGGTCCATGCTCAGTTTTTCAAAGCCTGCGATGCGCACTTGAATGACACCGAGTATACATGTGATATGCACCTAAGTAGATACGATATTATGACAGCCGAATTGAGGGTTGCAGCGAGGAAGGTCATTAGATTGATCAGCAGCAGCATCAGCATCAGCATCATCCATTGTCATCCATGTGGTGTCAGCTACAAGGCTATGACTGCATCAGCCACTCGATGCCATCTCTTGGGTTTGTAGCAAAACTATGCACATAATGGTAGGAACGCGATGTCAAAGGATATCTCAAGGATCATATGATATGACCGCAGATCAATTAACCTGCCTCTGAGCCGGGACAGTAATAAACATGGCTGGATCTTGCGTGAATTCTGTCTGTGCGGTGCCAAAAGGGGTGCTTAGCCCTTCGCATGATATTATACAGCTAGTAAGCCGTTCAATATTCGTATAGCTATCATGCATTTCCAGATATTACCCCGAAATACGAGGTCCCACCCGTTGATCGTGTCACTAAGGGAATAATTAGTTCTGATTCTTCAGTATCATGTACCACATTGTGGTTGACAGCGGCTCGCGAGTGCACAACATTCCCCCATTCACATGACGAAATAATATATCAAGAAGTGAATCTGACGAACGGAAGTCGTAAAAGCACTTCCGGGCTAGTGGTCTCATGCAGTTTTATTCTTATGATTAGATTTGTAAATTCTTTCTCTAATTCATTGCTAAACATCTATATCAATTACGATGCCGCTTACTATGCTAAATAATGAAAGCCCTCTGCGGTTAACCTATTTGATCATAATCATATCTTTGATGCTCTACACATATTAAACACCACAACATTCTCATGTCCTCTACACACCACCACCGCCTTGATACGTGTTAGTGTCTGTTCAAAAAAGGGACGAGGAGATTATCAGACTTACTGCATCGCAGGACCTGACCGTTAATCCATTCACCCTCCTCACTGACCAACATGGATACAATTTTACCAATGTCGGCAGGAGTTCCCACTCTGTTGAGCGGGCACATCTTAGCAAGGCCGTCCTTGATGGTATCGATGGGCATACCCTGGTAGCCACCGGGAACATAGTGCCAGCTGTTCTCGTCGAACATGTCTGTGGCGATGCCGCCGGGAGCCAGGGCATTGCACGTGATTCTCTTCTTGCCGCAATCGACGGCGAAGGACCGAGTGAAGCCCTCAATGGCGGCCTTGGAGCCAGCGTACAGAGCGTGATTGGGGATGCCGGTCATCTGGGCGGCAATGGAAGATGTGAGGATGATGCGGCCGCCTTCGCTGCAGTGTTTTAAGCCGTTCTGCGCGACGAAGAACTGGCCGCGGGTGTTGAGGTTAAAGACCTGGTCGAAAAGCTCCGGGGTCACCTCGGTCTCCTCGCACCAAACCTCCATACCCGAGTTGGAGATGGCGAAGTCGATGTGGCCGAAGTGGCTTAGGGCCTTTTGAAAAAGCGCGGCGACTTCCTCGGGCTTGGAGACATCTGCTTGTACGGCGATGGACTTGGAACCCAACTTGCCGAGCTCGGCTACGACTGAATCAGCGGAGCTGGAGCTCTTTGCATAGTTGACAACGATTGATGCACCGCGCTTGCCCAGTTCCAAAGCAATGCCCCTGCCAATACCACGACCAGAACCTGTAATTAGAGCAACTTTGCCGGTCAATGGCCTGTATTGGCTAGTCTGAGAATCCGTTACGGATGTTGAGGAGGAAAGGTCTTGAAAAGCAACTGGAGACATTGTGTGGATATATTTATAAACAGAGATAGAAAACGGTATATTTTCTTCAGGGTTCAAAGCGTAGAAACTGAGTCTTAACGACGACTGTTAAATGAGGATGCAGGATATCGAAATGGTTCTTTCTCTTTTAACAGATTCATCTTTTATAAAATTTTATAAGTAGTTTTGGGGGTTCCGGCTAGTGGAACCAGGAGATTGGGGAAATTGCTCGGAGCCCTGGCGGAACGGACGCTGGTACGGACCGCCGCTGTCTAAGAGCACGACCGCTGTCTAAGAGCACGAGCCGCCTGTGCTTCAGGTTGCGCGTAGCGACGTGCGGTGGATGGAATTCGTAACATGTAGCGTCCAAGCAAACAGTTTTCTATGTGTGCGTAACGTGCATGTCATTGTGTGGATCACGTTGATTCAACAGTAACCAAAAACTGGTGATAATCTGTTCTAGGTTCTACTTTCTTAAGTTCACTGCGAGTATACAATCTGGTTTGGGAGGATACTTCAGAGTGGAGCTCAAATAGTCACTGAAGCCTCGGGTACTGTCTTGCCATTCCGCTGGTCCTAGGCTGTGACAGCAATTGCCCTTTTCGGTCATTTGTTTGATCTGATTGGCTTAGACACTCCACAAGGTGCTCAATAGAGCTGCCTACTGGCAGCATCTGCAAGAACCCCAACGGAGCTCCGCACCTGCTGGCTCAGTTCACTCTTGGGCCATGGTGGCATTGTCACACGTTTTCACAGTTTCAAAGATGTATCGAGAATGCAAGCATGAAGCACCCTGCTGGCTTTTGTGTCTACGCCCAAAAGAGCCTTTCGGGGGGTCCTATCTCCCCACGACGAACAATGCTCTTTCCGCTGAGACCTGAGTAATACTCATGAATGGCAGGCTAAAACTGGCATAATGTATTTTCATCGAGCCAATTTTCTTACGTGATTCCTGGTACTGGCTTGTACTTGTGCGACAGAAGCACTATGGGGCGTGTTGAAAGCAGAGCCTAGACTAGAGAGCTGAACCGTCAACTCACCAAAGTTTGCGCCGCCAGTTAAAGGAAGACCTAGGGGGGGGGGGGGGGGGGGGGGGGGCAATTCTGGTCTGGCAAGCATTTTGTTGGTCTCATGATGTAATGCAGATTCTAAATCTCGCTTGCATCCTCTTTAGAAAGTGAGGGCGATTAGCACAGGAACTGCCAGCTGCGAGGTGATGCTCTGCCCCCCACTCAGCTGCCACTGTTGTAATAAGAACCCTGCACTTATATCCAACAGGGTGCGTCTGCACTGCAACTTTCACCCGGACGCTCGCATATCACTGACTTCATCCCTAGGGTGTTAATACATGCAGGGAACGCTCTAGTCTAGAGCTCTTTCGCGTCATACATGATCATCAACTATTGGTGCCGAGTCTTGCATGTCAATATTTGCACTGAAAGTGAATCCTCCACGGCAATATCTTCTAGCAGTATACCACATGCAGTAAGTCGAAAGTACGCGGTCCCGATACACTGGGCGCGTAACGGGCCGATTTATTAGAAGACATACTGACCTTGCTGTGACAGCGCGAAGTCAAAATAGTTAGGCGGTTGTAGTGGATCGAAACCGACAAGACGTCCTAAATGATAGTGAGCCTGTATAAGACGTGACGGTCCCTACTCTGCAATGATAATAATTACTAAGAATAAAAAGTCAATTCAGGATTAGGTTTTGGTAGTGGTAGGATGATATCTGAGAGTGGCAAAGCTGGCCATCATTTGTACAGTACAAGCACTAAGAGCCTTGGCGTGCTAACTGGTTTCTTGGGGGAATCGACTTCACGTCCTGATAATGGGATATTTGATACCCCGGGGTGGGACCAAGGATCGGTAATCGAAATTTCAAGGCGCAGGCCGCTTTATATTCCCCATCTGTACCCGACCGTTAACATTAACAATCCAAGCCAGCCACACCTGCATGCCAAGCTTTCCTCGTAGACTCGTCTTACCAAACACTGAATGGTTAAGTACGAACAGAATCGACATACCATTGGCTTGTCTAAAATAAACTTGATCTGTTCATGCTGACTCAAATGTTGATCTTGGTGCACCCCCACACTTCCCACAACGTCTGGTTGAGACTAACCTCTGGTCTACTATCTATTTACGGTCCCGAGCTTATCTGGATCTCATCGTCATCAGTTTGTCGGCGGCGATACCTTAATCACTACTTATTTTCGAAACTGAGCTGGATCTGACTAAATTAATCGATTATCAAGTGGGCAGGCAAATAATGTATACTGCTTGTAGGAAACGCCCAGGATCTAATAAAAGCTTTGGGTTGTACTTCAAGGCGCCATTACAAATACTTTATTTCGGGTCACTCCTCATTACTGGCTGATGCCGGAGCTTCCTCCCGTGACCATGCGATATTTGATGTTCTCTTACTTCTTCACATGTCTCAAGGTTCAATGGATTGAAATCTTTGACCACAGCCTCGGATATGGCTCTTATGGTGTGATGATCCTTCAAACACTGCATGATATCGGTCCTATAAATGACCTCATCATAATCTTATGTATCTGGGTACATTGTTTTACCTACTTAGATACGAACAAGGCTAACCATAATGATACGCACGATATCAATAACATCATGGTAAATTACGATAAAAAAGAATTGGTCCACAAAGGCATATTACAAGTAAATGTAGGGATCTTGCGGTATACAGCCTTGACCAATTCGAGGATGTTTGGTGCGCAATGATCGGTACACATATTTTTGGAATCTAACAGATGAAAATTTACTATAACCTTACATCATGATTTCTTACTCAATAAGGTTATCTTTTATCAGCAAAATATGGCCACTTCAGTGATTCTAGTTGCTTCCATCCTCTGCGCTGAGGAGAAATAAAATGGGAGTCGGGCCAAGAGTTTGAACTGTCTTTTTATCAACAATTCTGAGATGTAGCCTGACGCTGATGCGCAAATGCGAGTTATTTGCACAGTGATTTAGAAGCTTGAAGCAAAATTGTTAGACCATGTTCAAGCGAATGCTTAGATAGCGACCATACGTCTTGTGTAGTTGATTAGTTCTATCTAAAAGAATTAATATTTATTCCATACGGCCTGTCGATACTGGCCATGCAGTAATTGTGACCCCCTTGATTCTTGGAGGTCTAAACCTATTAGATGATTGTATATGGAGACCAATATATTCTACGGCCCGTTGCAAATTATTTGCAGTGGCCCTAGAGAGTGCCCGCGAGAGTGCAATCCAAAACGCCGACCGGGATGCCCACTTGCAATGCATGGTCATTGACCAGCTGCGCCAATCAATTGACTTCAAATCCAAATCATAGTCTTCGTAATAAAATAACAAAACTACACGTCCTTTGAAAGTACTTAGACACTGGCAGCACCCAGGCCAACAACGTTCCAATTGTTGCATAGAGCAACCAGCTTTCGCTTAATTCCGTCACTTAGTCTGCAGCTCACGCCCTCTTCGACGGCTTTCACGGCATAGCCGAGAACATCGGAGGGATGCTCTAGACTGATGGTCGCACCATCAGAGCGTGTGAGGATTGGAATGCCATCAGTGTTCCATAGATAGGTGATGAGTGCTGGATCCTCGGGAGTGACCTGGTCAATGGCTACAGGAGCACCGGAGAGATCTGTCTTTGGGAAGTTTGGATCTAGTCGGGATACACTGTCTGTCCAGAGAATCAAAGTTGCACGGTAAATAGCCGTGCTCCACCAAGTTGGTCGGCGGTCTCCAGGCATGCTGCGGATCAGACGGAGGACCTGACCGCAGTGAAATATCGACTCCTCGCGCTGGTAGATGCAGCGCTTGTGACGGAGTGAAAGCTCCCAATAAGATCCATCAAAGCCTTCCCGTCGTGCTAGACGCTCAATCTCGGGGAAGTTTGTTACTGCATTCAGCGAGATCAAGTGATAGAGCACCAGGTTGGTCTTGCTGACAGGACAGGTGGGGTTGGCTTTGAAGTAGGCAATCGAGAGCTCGTACCACTTTTGGAGGAGCGCTTGTACCTCTTCGAGTCGCAGCATGGTGGATGCTTTGGTAACTGTTCGTGATGTTGTACGACGAGCGCTCAGAACATCGGAGAAGCATGTAAGCATCTGCCGGAGGTGGCAGAGCAGGTTCTGCAGGGGATGCAACAGAAGACGCAGTTGATGCGGAGTCAAGCTGCTTTGCCTCCGTGACAAGTTGTCGTGCAGGAAATCTTGGAAGAGGTCATATAATGACGGTGTTAAAGAAGGTGTGGTAGTAAGAAGTTGTGGGTTCACATTGGCTGTACATCCATAGATGGATTGCATAGCTGCGAGCCACTGTTCGGCATTGGCAGACATCCAAAGCAGCTCTGGGCCAGGGAGAGGTGCACAGAGCTCGCTGACGGAGAGCATTGGGGCAGTATCGTGGAACAGGCTAAGTTCCTGGTCGACCATAACCCAGTTGTAGACCAGTCTATAAAAATGAATGAGCACCATGTACTAGTAGACACGGAGTTGAGCGAGAGCATACCTATTCTGTGTTTCACGATGAAGCCATGCTCTCCACTGCAGTTCCGTATTCACTGGGCCCTGCAAGGACGGAATCATCGTTGGCTGAGAAGCAAGCATTCCAGAATGCTTCAACATCTGTTGGTGTGTTAGTCGCGTTGACCACAAGATATACGAGAGACCGAGCTTACAGAAAGATACATGCCGCGCTGTCCCATGGCGATGTCCATCAACCACTTATCTCCGCTCCATGCACCTAATAAGGTAAAGAGAAGGGCAGATCGGAGAGCAACAGGATCGGCACACATCTCAATATCTTTTTCGATTATATCAAAGAGTGAGATTCTGCAAGTCTCGATAAGCCCAGCAGATAGCGCCCGTGCCTCAGCTGTAGGCACCGCCGATGCGCCTTGAGCGACCATCAGAAGCACAAGCAGTGTCGAAGCTTGATTGTTTTGAAGCATCTCATTTGGATCAACGCATCCTGTTGCGACGAGTGAATAAAAGAATGTAAGGCTTCGGACATAGCTCCGTAAGAAGAACTCGAGAATTTTTGATGGAGGGAGCACCAAAAATGTGAGCATCCCTGAGTTGCCGTAAGCTGACTTTCCCAGACCATGTACACCCCCACGGTGGATTTCCAGAGCTTTATGTAGAAATGCTTGTGTGATTGCCAACATCCTGTCTCGGGAGCGAGAAGTCATTGGCACCACAGAAGCAAGATCTGAGCTATCCCAGTCGATCTGGGACAAGTATTGCTCTAAAGCACTCCACGTGCCTTCGTGCTGTGATTTCTGCTCAAGGCACTCCAAATGCACAAGTGCGGTGCGTGGACATGCGCCAGAGTAAATGGGTGGGTTGCATCGAGCCAGAGGCCAGGCAGCTTCAGCTGCGATGACCGCTTCAAATTCAGGAAACTCCGTCGGAGCACGGATACCGAGGTCGATAGGCTTGCTAGTCGGTTCAAACTCATTGCTGGAGACAATACTGGTGCTTCTGGTGTGTACTGACCCTCTTGTAGAGTTTGTGTGTTCTGAGTTTGAGGAAGACATATCACTCAATGCTGTAAATGTGGGCATTGACACATCTGGCCGCACCATAGGAACACTACCTGAATACATATCAAGATCTAATGGGTAATCTGACCAGACCAGCATATCCTGGTAGTTCGGTTCTTGTGTGATGAAGTCATTCCCAAGCATGAAGTCATCTAATCCTTCGGTGTTGTGTGGCGAAGGGAAGCCGTCAGGGCTTACATGACAGCTAGTAGGTGAGCTTTTCTTTGAGGTACTGTCCTGTTGGAGCACAGGATCAATATTGACACTAGCCGCAGGAGAAAGGGATGCTTTCGTGGGAGTATTCTGTCTTATGATGCTTGTGTCGATGTCCATCATGGCTGGGTTCATTGTGGCCGCGGGCATGCCCTCTGGATGCAAGGGCGGCGTTGGTAGTGGTGCCTCCAGAGATGTGCTTGTCTGAGCAGCCTGCGCAGCCTGCGCAGCCCGTAGAGCGGCCTTTGAAGACCTTCTTGCATACCGTGCTGCACAAGGCAGGCCCTTGTCTTTACATCGCGCACATGGAACTCCCTTATCGCATCCTGTCTTGGCCTGGGCACAGTTGAGGCAGGCAATAGGTGTCTTCCCGGCGACAGTTGGGACGCCTCCCGGTGGTGGCTCTATGGGGTGCGCTTCGTGGTATGTCGAATAGTGTCTCTGAAGGAGATCCCTATTAAACAAAGCATTAGCTGATGGTATTGTTGAGCAGCCAGAAGATACCTACCTTCGAGCAAATGACAGCTGACACGCACTGCATCTATGAGGTTTGACATTGGTATCTGAAGCATACTGTAAGCCGCTGTGCATGTCCATTTTCTCGGGTTACCTACGATGGGGAATATGTCTCTCCAAATGTTCCTTCCTGGTGAAGCTCCTCCCACAGTATGTACAGTAGATCATATTGTCAGGCACCTGTAGAGGCCCTGCTGGCGTGTTCGTGTAAGTGATTACTAGTGTCGACTGCTGTGCTGTTTTTCCTGGTCGGTAGGCACGCCTGCGTCCTCGATTCAATGGGTTGAAAGGTATTCGGCGGACCCAAAACTTCTAGAACCTAGAGGTCATGGATATAAGAGGGATTCAGGATGTTGAGTCGAAAGAAGTAAAAACAAATATTAATCAGATGCAGTTTGAGGTGAAAACTAAACAAGACAAGCCAGCTGAGAAGCATACCCGAAGACAGGGTATACGTTATACAGGTAAGACAACGAATATGCAGGAGTTGGTGATAACGCGGAACTCTGTCTAAATATGAAATGAACCTACTCATACCAGATTCATCACTCTGGTATGACGGTTGTAGAAGCCTTCACCTTGTGGGTCGAGGTGACCACCCTCATGCCAGTAACTTCCTCATCTCACCACTGTCGGCGCCAAGCATGGGGCTCGGGATAACTGGGATGACTGGGGGTCGAAGTAGCCATGGAGGTATTTCAAGACAAGGTCTGGTAGAATATGCCCGATTGATTCGGATAGTTCAGCCGCCAGAGCATACTTGCTCAGGTACCGGTGAACAGGCCGCACTGAGCTGGTGGGACCCATGCTCAGGACGGGGCGCGTCAAGAAAATCATGGCGCTAAAAGTTGATTCGATGAGCTTGTCAAAACATAGCCCACAGACAGTGAGGGAGTTGGAGGGTGGATAGGACTGGTCTCACGAAAGGATACCCCAGCTGGATTCTCCTCATCGTGCATAGTGTGGACACTGCCCTCGGAAACAGGGACGGGGGTGAGGGCCGGTGGGCTGCCATGGCTTGATTAGCTCCACCGAGCTATCTGTGAAGATTCGTCTAACGATCCAAGAAGATCATGAACTGGACCCCGAGAATGTATCAGGAGCCACTTTGAGGTGCAAACGATGATGCATACAACACACCTATACACGGTGACCGTCAAGTTCCAGTGTGCAGGACAGATACTATCCGAGTCACGAAAGGGAACCCATGAGGCTGATTACCGGCTTACAAGCAGTCGCAAATCGGGCGATATCCAGGCCCAGTAGGTTGTTATCCGCAACCTAGACTAGATGCTAGGAACCATATTTAGAGCCAGTGATCATGCGAGCTCCTTGCCTGTCTCTCAACAGACCGTTTTTGACTATGAAGTGGTTTTTGCTTGCAGTGAATTCTATCAGCATGTTGTTGTGCCCGAAAACCAAATAAGAACAGACCGACCTGCAATTTGACCAGTTGGCATAATAAGGGCCTTTGGCCGCAGGTTGAGGGCCGCTAACGATGCACGACTCGGTGATCCATTTTAAACGGTAAGCAATCTACTATGTACATAGTACCCTCCTAACCGTAGCCTAGTGCACCGCCTCGGGACTTTGGGTGACCGCAAGGGACTGTAGACTCGCCAGTCCTTTTCCAGCTTTGATTTTGGCCTTCTTCTGGCTTAAGCTTTAAATACTGACCTCGCTCCCGCGGCGCTGGAAACTTCAGCTAACCAAGGCGAGAATAAGTAAGCAAATGCAGTATCTACTAGACACAATGTTCTCCCAGCATAGAGTCACTAACCGCCCGAAAATATGAGGGGATCATCAGTGACCTGCATTGTAATTACTTGGCTGTCCGTCGTTTACAAAGCATCAAGACCCCTAGGTTAGTCTAAATGCGAATTTCAGGCGATGGAACACCTTGGCGATATCATTCAGGCTTGCATACTCTATCTGCGCTTAACCACAATAAACAGCCCTACTATCTTGTTACAGTGGAGAGTCTGCGCCCCCCACGATACTTTTCAGGGGCTTGACACCAACTATAGCACACAACCAGAATTGCTGAACTATCTGAGTACACAACGTGGTTTCATTTGGGCTGAAAGACCTGGTGAGTCAACCGCAGCCCGTCGTATCTGGCCCACCACGCACATCTGTGTAGCTTTGGGGCTACGTTGACTAGGCGATTACCGACCGAGATTTTCAGATCTTCAGTAGAATTTCTCCGACTTGAACTCTGCACTCATCCAAAAGCCGTGACAGCATTTCGCTGAATTATGCGCCCACTCTTACGCACGAGGTGGAGCAGTATAGATGGCAATGACGGGCGATTTTAGTGCACAATGGCTATGAACATGCTAAGTACAGGCCGGCGCTATTTTGGTTGTGTCAGGCACAAGACACCACCGCAAAAAAAAGGTCTTTGCGTTCTCGTATGCGCGTGTCAGTCAATTCATGCCAAATATTCAACAATTCAATAGGGTCGTGTGCAGAAGTGCATGAACCACAGCATGTTCTCGGATTGTTTTCCCTTAACAATTCTATTACTCGCCGCGGTGCTAATCGTGCCACGCCTGGGCATCGTCCCATTTCGCCTTTTTTTTTCTTTCTGGTTATAATCGGTTGGACACCGGGGGATCTGGAACCCAATCTACATTTCCAGTTGGCTGGGAAATGATAGTCGAATACTCGCTTTGGATGTTTCAGTGGCCAAAAGGTTTCGCGAATCACTGCCCCATTTTTAGCTATATACATAGTACGTGATCACACAATCAACACATTGAGGACTGTCAACCCCGGCTAGGAACCCCAGTTTGTCAACCCGCTTTGAAACTAAGTTGATCGACGCGCAAGGGCCATGATCGACTTACCCAAACTGCTCGAACGACAACTCGAAACAAAACATTGGCCTACTTGTAGTTGTTGGCAGATAAAATAATTCCCAGTGGACGCTAAGTAACAGGCTTGTCAAAAAGTAGAGGAAGATCATCATTGATCCCGCAAGGTGGGCAACTATAGCAGGGCTGCAAGGGTGTGGAATTGGATATTACCTGTTTCGGGAATGAGCATAGTAGACCTGACGAATACGGAATGACCCCGAAGTTTCGATTTCCCAACACTATTGGACAAGTTTGTACAAACGAAAGTGGAATTTTCGACGACTTGTACAGCTGGATTGCGTTTAGCTCTGTTACGTCAGCTTTGTTGACTTTCATACAAACCAGCCGCGTAAATGGCATGCCGTGTGCTGCGATCTCTCCAACTCATTATTATGAGGCTTATCACCAGATTGACCAAAGCAAAGTCATGACCGGGAATGGACAGCTTCGCAACCAACCCATATCGCCGACCCCGGACCTAGACACCTGCTTTGCAATCTATTTGTCTTTCGTCCTTATCGTCCATGACACTTCCATTGTGTGGCGCGGTGCATGTCGAGAGAGCTCTCTATCTATGCATACGCATATGCCCAACGGCAGCCCAGCTCGCCTGTAGCTAGCCACTAGGTACTGCACATCTCGCATTTGATCTTGGGTCAATGTGCGCTAGACCTGCCGACCATCCGCTGGATTTCGGGGGATAAGGACATGCCAATGGGAGATCGAGGCTGACCTCCTTCAGCCAAGCCACTCACAGGTTGTTCCATGGCCATGAATTATATCCGCGGCCTAATCCAAAAGGGTACGCTCTTGATTTAACCTTATTTCTCTTGTCTCACCCTGGTAGGTTGCCAAGAACGCCCTTCTCCATCCAATTTTCAACAGTGAAAACCTTGAGAATACCAACCATTTGATTTAAGCACGGTCGATCAGTGACGAAAGACTTCGCCAGAGTTGGCAAACGGATTGAGTTTTGGGAACAACCATTGTTCAGTGTAATGACATCTGGGACGCTCTGTCGGCCATGTCAGTTTCGTCTTGTCTAACTGAGGCTTCCATTGTACTCTAGGGCTTCATCCGATGTTTCGGAACAACTGTCTAGTACTTTGACCCTCTGCCAAGTTTTGTGCTCAAAAACAAAACAACGAAGATCGACTGGTCACGAAACAATTGGAAACGCATTGCTCAGATTAATGATATGAATTGTTTTCTATGAAAAGTACAATGTATCTTGTAGGTAATACGAGAAGATCTCCGGGGATCTAACTTCAAGCCAATCAAGCCAAGTGCTCAGCAAGTCCTCGACATTGCTCATGATTGTAGTTGCCCGACGTGCTTCTGTAGCTCAAAAGCAGTGCCCGGAAGATTCAGTCTATCTCGTGTTAGCTACACTCGAATCCGCGCGTGTGCTTCGGTGCACGTAGGCGCCGCTGTTCGCAGCTGCGTGACAAATCAATTCGAGCAGCAGATTCTGGGCAAGGAATAATTGAGCATGCAGGTATGTATGAGCTGGCCGTGCAAGGTGCATCAGTCGCGCGACTGAGACTGACGCTATTGAAACTTCATGAGAGCTCCAGTTGTAAGAACTCTTGCTTTTCAGCGTCATCTTGTGTAAACGGCCCATTGCCAGAAAAGCTTATTGTATGGAAATTACAGAAGTACAGCGCTTCCCTTCGGCTCGGCACAGTACTCCGTAACTTTGCTCGAAACTTCAAAACGTTAGTTCGTAGACTTACTCGACACTTTTACCCAAGCTCGTCGATGGCTGATTCGGATTTGCGTCCTACCTCAAAGTCCGGAAGATTGTGAGAGATGGTGCCGTAAGGGTCAGTTCCGGCTTGTTTCGCAAGACATAGCTGACGCCAATCCCGTCACCAGCCTTCAGTCAGCCCAGCCGCTGATCCTTATGCTGTCCTCGGCCCAAGCAGTGCACGCTAAACACCCCCGCCGAGATGGTCTCCTCCACGGTCGTGTAAATCTTTTTATCTTAAAAATAAATAATAAAAACCTTCCCTCTTTCGGAACTCTAGATAGTGCCCATGCGAAAAGGTAGATGTCGTGTAACTCTAGAATGCCGGTCAGCCTTGGGAATTGCTTCCACGTTGTCTTGCAGCAACGCCCATAGTATCACAACTCGGTCCCGAGTACGCAAAATAAGCTCGTCATACATTCTGAATGTCTGTAACATTCCTCTCGAGTGGTAAGAATCTTGTGAAGCTGACAAAGGTGAGCGGAGGTGTGGTTCCATCATGTCGAGGTACTGGAGCTGATATCGTGCCTATGCTGGATATTTTTGTGTAGCGACCAGCCGAATTATTGAAAGACTGAACATGGGACGCCGTGGCTTGGCCAGCTGCCAGCGGACCGTTGCTGAGTGCTGTCATGTAATTACACAAGTACGTTTAATCGCAGCAGTTCGAGACTTGTTGTCTGAGTTATCGTTCATATGCGTTATAACATATAGGATTATTGCTTCCAGTACTGAGGGTATCGTATATATCTGTAATGTGACCTCTGATAATGTGTTCCGCGATCACGGCTCTTCCTGTATCGTGCAATGCTCGTGCCAGCAAGTTCTAAGCTTAGAACTGTCCACTACTGATGAGTATGCCATGTTCTAGCCAATGATGTTGATTGTTGATATGCTGCCGTGTCGAGAAATGTAGTCTCAAGTTCTTCGTTTCGCGGCGACATGTCCGTTGCTTCTTTGCTTGAAGGGATACTTGACCGATGAGGACGGTACATGTTACCAAACTTATAAGACTACGAATCAGTAAATCGGCATCCCAAGTCCTTCTTTTAGGATAATTCCTATCAACTCACAGACATTCCACATGACCATCGTGATGGCTCTGATTTCATTTCCGGCTCCTCATCACAGGGGCTCGGACTTGACCGGATGCCCCTACGGACCCCCAAGTCCGCCAGACGGCTCAGTATCACGGCCCACAGCAATGAGGGACGTGGGTTGACAGAACAATTAAGTCAACAAACAGACGAGCGGCATGCAGAGATATCATGAAGAGCTCGAGGCAAATATAAAGAGGAACGACATCTGTCCCAGAGCTGGTTGGGGCGTCCGTCCGTGTAGCTCGATTGCCTGTACAGACCATTGATACAGCTCAAAGTTTATAATTTCTTCGTTGAAAGTACATTCAAGTGGTCCAATCATGTCCGAAACTAAGAGTTTGGGTTCCTCTGCAATGTTTCACGTTTCCTGGTGCCGAAACTTTGCTTCCGTATTTGGAATTTTCGTGATGATCATGTAAATAGAAGACGCAGTGTCGGCAAGTCGCAAATCAAACGTCCGTACTTCATTCCTTGTGCCGTATTATAGCAATCGGTTAAATAAAACCGGCAGTTCTCATTTGTGAATGTATGTCAGAATTTGCTGTATAACAGGTGAAGTAGTTGTCATCAAGTTCTTGAGTAAGAGTATAACAAACTTGGCTATCCTTCGTCTTTCAAGCTAGAGTACTGTGAACACCCAGCATCTCTCCAACATGAATGATATTGAACTTTGGAATACCTTGTCTGATCCAGTATTGAGCCGTTTGGTCATGCAGCGGTGTTCTTCGGTGACTGATATGTCCGCTGCTTGGGAAGTTGACAACCGAGCACCGACCGTTGAAGCTGTAGTCCCATTCTCTGCGCATTCGGCGCGGCGTTTTAAAACCCGCGATTCCGTGTTGATGTAGACCACTATCCGAATTTTAACTGATGTGGGAAAGATATTGTCCGTAGCGCTATTGTCTTGCGTTCCAAAGCATGGGCGTGTGTCATGTCTAGTTCGAAGTCCGTAGACTAACCAGGCTGGAAAGTGGAACGGACTTGCTTCTGTCCATGAGAAAGCGCTGGAAAATTCTGAGATGTACTATCAAGGCACGATAGGGTGGGTGTTGTGAATCAATACCAAGACTGACAAGTTATCAGTTGCCTCTTGTGGCTCGGCCGTCCTCAGGAGGTAACGGGACCGTTGGCTTTGCATGTTAATCGGGGAACATAACTCGCAAGGCCAAGAGAGCTGAAGACCACTTTGTGAAGCCCAAGATCCGGATAGTTTAAAAAAAAATGGTTTACGACTTTTTTGATGTCTGAAGATGTCGTCACGTTGAACCATCAGGTCGTAAGACTGCAGAGCGGGGGAAAGCTATCAGCCTACTTAGCCATTCATAGGCCCGGGCGAAGTCATGCAAGTTCGACTTTGAAACATCGACAGTAGCTCAGCAAGACATACGGCGTAGATCTTGACGAATAATAGTTCATCCTTGCACGTATTTTTCCGCTACGAACGGTCATCATCACGGACCTCTTACTTTGCGGTCACCGACTAACACTCTTTCTTATGCTGGAATGATGATGTACCTCATTAACAAGTGTAGCAGTAACAATAGTCAAGGTATGTTAGTAACTGACAAATACATCAGGCCGACCGATACTTCTTACACACCCCGACTTCGTAAAGGGGCCACGCAATGCCAAACATGTCAAATACCGGCATGGCGCTGGTGACGTGAGCTTAATTTAGGCTATCGTCTTTATATTGCTAGCATGCAGAGAGTTGGTGATGTCCGGACAAGACACTTACTACATTCATTTATATAAAGATCTCATCAATGTCTACATCTAAACAGGTAAACTATACGGGTACGCTTCGGATGAAGTACTACACATAGTAACGTCGCAGCCTTTATAATGTTTTTTTAAGAGTTATTGGGTTCCTATCCAATACACGAATTACGAATTCCACGATTGTAATCTAAAAGCCAGCTGGGAATGGAACTGGATCAACCTCGACATAGTCAAACAATCTTCTGCCGTCCTATCGAAACTATGACCAAAACCACTGTTATAACCATCGGTATACTGGACGAACCGGCGGACCGATTCCACGACCCCATTCGGCTTGACGGGATCGTTCGACCACCACAAAACAGTACGGGTGTTTGGTGGGCCAATTGTTGGAATGTCCAAAGAAAGAGTCATTGTGGCTTAAGCAAATCGTACCGAACGCGGCCGATATGTACGTGGATTTTACGCCATTAGAAGGGAAAAGATCAATTCTCAATATCACGGGACAAAATGACATTTACAAAGCCATACACCATCTCCAGCACATATGACAGGTTTGAGAGTCTCTTGGAAGGTATAACTGAAAGAATGAGCTGCCGCGACAATCTAATTGCGATCGAACCTGTGCGAACAGCGGTTCAGACTGTAATCCAATTCTCGTTGGTGAGCCGGCTAGAGCCTATTACCGACACATGATCGCGAAGACTCACATTATGGATGGCAACCATGACGCCATAGACATAACGGATTTGGTCTCATCTGTTCAATGTGCTTCCGTTTAAGTTTTTCTTGCTCGTAGATTCAGCATCCTACTCCTAGATTCAGCATCTTGCTCGTAGATTTAGCATCTTGCTTTAGTTCATATTGCTGTGGCCCATTTCACATTTGATCATCTATGTCTTCTGAGAAAATAGCCGTGCAAGATAAGTGAATAGAAGGTACGATAGAGGTTGAAATGTATGTCCATTATAAATATAACATGGGGAGATATAAAGGCGATATGATATAACAATTGGATATCTTCTCTTCGGTATCTTCATATCTAAGACCACTATGCTAATTGACCCATGCAAAAGAGAATGCAACGGAGGTTAACGGTTGACTGGCTATCGCTAACCATACTATCAGGGACACTCGTATTATGACATGCACGGATCTATAGTAATATATTTATTTATTTAATTATCTCAAACAATCACAGTAAATACGTATAATGACAACCTTAAAATGCTATGTTAAAATAATAATTTACTTCTAAAACCATTCGGTTATTGAAACTAATACGGTAACTTAAGGGGTTCACCGCGGCTATCGCCGTAACTAGACCACTATGGCTGCAATTATAGCCGTCTAAGGCACTTAGGTTAGATAATTATGTGCATTATATATCCACGAATTGATAGGTCCGTGGATAGCTTCCTTCCGAACCATATTTTGTACACAACACTTTACACCGCATACACTGCGTACCAGAAACTATCAAATAAAACTAGGAACAAAAGTAAAAAGTGGTGGGTTTATTATTACTTATTACTTATTTGGCAGCACGACGAAAATGGCATGTTTTGGGGTGGAATGTGACACTCCTCTAGTTGGTTCGGTGTTTGCTACAAGGGAACGAACTGCCACAATTCAGCCAGCTCAAGGTGCATATATATTCACACGTACGGACTATACAAACCAACGGCCTGCACTGCGCCAACCTGCCTATAAGCCAGTGGACTATTTTATTTAAGATTGCTTCACGTGCTTTATGATCGGCTTAGCGTCCAGTCCACAACACCGAATGTCAGGTAAGCTGTGAGTCACAGTCATCGCCTATCCTCGAACAACTTTTGAGCCTTCTTTAAACCGGAGTTTATCATGGAGAACTCATGCTTCATCTCATCTCTCGCCCTCTTGCTGTCGGATGGCTCGCGAATTCTGAACGACGAGAGTTCAGCTGAATGGACGGCCTCTATGGAGATGGTCGCAGTACGGTCTCAAGGTGCCGTCCGCCATCATTCAGCCAAGGAAGGAGATGGACTTCGTAACGGCTGCCAAGCATCTGATATCTGCCTCGAAACCTTTAGTCCCAGCTTCAGGTAATTACAGCCATTTTTCGACGGTCAGCATGGAGGGTGTGATCATTGAGCTGAGCCTGTTCACCGGTGTTGAGGTAAACGAAGTGAAAGAACTTGCCGTGATCAAGGGCAGCACTCTAATTAAAGAGCTCCAAAGTCCTTTCATGCCTATCAAAAGTGTGCAGGTACGTTGGTAGATGATATATATTTGGATGCTGCAGACATGTCTTAGACGAGCATAGCGGTTGGAAACGGCAACACAGCCGGAGTCGTTCGTTATTACATTGGGGGTGGCCTGAGCGCTTACACACCCCTTTATGGCTACAGTTCTGAGAATATCATCGAAACACAGGTAGTGAACGCTAGAGGTGATCTCTGAGACTGAGGATGCTGATCTTCACTGGGGTCTTTGGGACGCTGGGCAATTTTTCAGCCTGTTCGTCGAGCTAACCATCAGGGCTTCCCCATATACCCTGCTGGGCAATGACAAAGGCCAACGTACGATTGGTACTTACATATTCTCCATTGAAAAGCTGAATGCTGTAAGTGCAGCGATGGTGCCTTTTATGGAAAGCGAGGGACATACTTCGGCTGGTCTCTTCAGTATTACCCTAGCGCCGCCCGATTTCCAGCATCCAGTATGCTGGTTGTAAGCTTTCGCCACCACACACTTGAAATTTGTATCACGTTTGGCTCTGACCTAATTCGCTCCCAGAAACATATTCAGCTGGCAATTACCAGGGTTCTAAGAGCCATGAGTTCGTTGACAGTGTGGACAAGTAGGCAGAGGCGAGTTCACGTAAGGGGGACGAATGAGAATGTCATTGTCTCTTACGCCAATACAAATCGGGATGACCCTATTTCGTGGTGATACAAAGGTGAAGAGAGGGTCGCCAAACGCACGGTGCTGGAAAAGTAGTGCGATGCCACTGGCGTATTTACGAACGCATTTCTATAGATCTACTTCCTCGCAGCTCCACACTTTGTCGCTGAAACCCATATAATAAGATGTATAGTCACGACACTGTCACTAGGATCCTAGTAAATTGGCTTTCGTAAGTTCTTTCAAATCTTGCAACGCGAGTGGCAGAACTCTCAATAGATGTGCTTAATATCACGAACCAAGCTGACTCTGGGCTGGGAACTTCATTTGGTGCTGCAATCATGAGCCTTACTTTCCGAGAATCAAGGGTTTCCAATTATAAGTAACAATTTTGCCCATTATTATAAATGAATAAAATTCATTTTCGTCTTACATAGAACCATCAGTGAATGAAAGCACACGCGCCCGACTTCAGACCACAGCCTGATCTGAGGTATGAAATTCCAACCTTATTATTGGTTGTGTCTAGCAAGTCCTCAATTGATTTCCAATAAGATTTGCTTGTGGCAAGAAGACTCTGGCTTACTAAGAAGATATCGCAGGACTATGGATGCAATGAGGCACACAATTGCACTGAGTGCATGAACACAGCTTGTTTGTTCGATGGTCAGCATGAACGTATACAAAAAGAACAACGGGTTGACAAAATTCTACATCGGCTATACAGGGGCTTCGATGAGCAAAGCAGAAGAGCAAAAGCAGGAGATCGCCCTTTTATGACTGGCTGGATCCCTGCAGTATTCATGACCTGAACTCCTTATCGCAATGCAATCATAATTGATCATCCTCTTCATAGACCTGCTCCCGAAGCCTGAGCTCCTGCATGTCCCATTAATATCCCGCCGTTGCAGTCGCCTTCTTGGGCTTGAACTTCTTCTTCCCCTTCAAGTCCAAGTTCCAGGCATCCTCAAAAGCTGTTGGCAATTTCTGTAGGTGCTCATTACCTAGTCCCAACTTCCTCACGACCTGGAATGCACCCGTGCCGACTGTCATGGTCTGTCCCATGATGATCTTCTCAGAGACACCCTCGATCTTGTCACACTTCATGCCAGCGGCAGCTTCAAACAAGTGATCAGGCGTCTTTTCGAAAGAAGCAAGTTGCAAAACAGAGTCACGCATCTTTGATAGACCAAAACGTGTAATACCAAGAACTTCGCCCTTGTATGTCATGACATCAGCAAGCAGCTCCATATGACGAGGGTCGATGTCCATATCTCCCATGACGTCGCCAATTTCTTTGGCAATAGTTGTTCGTGCTGCTTCGATACCGAGGACCTGGTTGTTCTCCATGACGTTGTTGGAGACGACCTTCGTGCCGATGACACCTTCTGTGTTCATGCATTGACGAAGACCATAACCTTCAACGAGAACAGCGTGAGTGTATCCTGGTGTTTCGCCAGGTCGCGCGGCTTTTTCTTCCCCTGTCTGAATAATAGCACGAGTTGCGTCTGGGTAACCAGAAACAGGAACAGCTGGCAGGACGCGCTTTAGGTGACTAATGCGAGTAAGCATGTCGGCCGGCATCTCAGTCTTTGTACGGACACTTCGGCTCTTGCTTTCATCGGGAAGGGTAACAGCAATTTCAAGTGTGCCATCTATCGGATATACACGGACATCTCCATCCAAGATCTTGAGTTTCTTGGCTTTCACGATGGCATTCTTCACATCGTACAACCCAATACCAAGATTCATGGCCTCCAACGACTCCATGTCGATGGCAAGCGTAATGTATGCTCGGTGTGGCTCCCACTCGTCTTCAATGTGGCGTAGGATATCCTCGATATAGGTCTTCTCAATACGACCTCTGACAACTCGTGCTACTTCAATCTGCTTGTTGTTCTCCAAAGGACAGGTAATGACCGGTGTACTGATAGTCTTGGATGCATTGATAATCTCCTTAATACGAGGCACACCCTGAGTTATACTCATACCGGCGACACCAGCAAAATGGAAGGTCTTCAAAGTCATTTGAGTACCGGGCTCACCAATCGACTGTGCTCCGACGGCTCCGACGGCATGACCAGGCTCCACATGGGCCTTCTTAAACTTCTCCAAGCAAAGGGTTATAAAATATACCAGAGTACGCTTCGAAACTTTGGCGACCCTCTCGGTATGGCCTCTTGCAGGGCTGCCTTTTTCTCTCTTGTCGATAGTTGCGGTGCTCATACCAGACTTCTCGAGGTTTGCATCCAACCCGAACTCCTCTCGGACCTTGGCCAACTTGGTTGCTAGACCTGAGACATAAGCTTCGATGGTCCGGAGGAAGTGACGACTACTCTCATGCTCATCTATTCCATAATCAGTCTGGTCCTCGTAAGCAAGAGCTTCACCGTGGAGAAGTCCTTTTCGTTGATAACGCGCTCGTTCTTTATCGATCATGGAATCGCAAATTTCCAGAATTTCGAACGGCAAGAGCGCTCGCTCATTGTTGTCCCAAGTTTGGTTTTCAGCATGGGAGAAGGTGCGGTCGAAATGCACAGGCACGGCTGATCCCTCCATGTCTACGGGGTCGAGCTTATCCGCACCAAACTGGAACTGCACTACATGACCCCCAGAGGTACGAACTGTGTCATCGTATTGCGCGGACAGATCCTCGAGAGACTTCATGAGACGCCGAGACATGTAACCGGTCTCGGCAGTCTTGACGGCGGTATCGACCAGACCCTCACGTCCAGACATGGCATGCATCAAGAATTCTGTTGGAAGTAGACCAGTATAGAAACTGTTTGCCACGAAACCTTTGGCTGCGGGCTGGCGAGCAAGCTTATGGAAATGCGGCAATGTACGGTCTTGAAATCCATCGGCAACACGCGATCCTCCAATAATCTGCTGTCCTACTAGAGCGATCATCTGAGCGACGTTGATGTTCGAACCCTTTGAACCTGAAGTAGCCATGATCCACGGAGCGTTCTTTGTGCTGAGGGTTTCGATACAATAAGCACCTGCAGCTTGACGAACGTGACTGAGCGTTCCGGAAATGGAATTTTCCAAAGTCTCTTCCATAGAACAACCTGCTGCTTTTTGCAATGTCTTTGCATTGAAAGAAGCAATCAGCTCATCTGTCTTTCTCGCTGCGTTTTGAACAAGTACTTGCTTCTGCGCTGTTAGGGATGCACTCGGGAAGACATCACCAATACCGATGGAGAATCCCTGGTTAGTCAATGCTCGAGCACAAAGCTTAGCGAGACGGTTCATGGCGATGACAGCTTGGTCGGGGCCGAAATCTCTCATGATGACATAGAAAATCGAGTCTTTCTTTCCGGATCCTACCGTTGATTTGTCCATTCTACCGCACATGATCTCCGAGTTGCGCACTACAAGCCAACCGTCACTGGGGCACATATCTGGGGCACGTGTTCTTTCGCGGATGTTGTCCGATGACTTGTTCGGGGGTTGATATTCTCTGCACTTTGCATCCAGATTGACCATAACAGGCGATTGCTTGTTTGGTCTCATCAAGACACTGAACACCTGCTTGCCTGTCCACATGCGTTGAGGTTTCAAGATAGCAGGTGGTGGTAGATCAAGGTGGACGTTGCCATCCATCATGTGTTGGCACATGTACGCAAACGTCTTTCGGTCGTAAAACACATCTTTACCACTCAAGACGTAGGCGGCAGTGATGAAATCCTGCGTAGCAGCAATGACGGGCTCACCATTCTTGGGTGTTGCTAGATTGTTCTTGACACCCATCAGGTTGATAGCCTCCGCTCGTGCTTCTTCTGTCTGAGGAATGTGAAGGTTCATCTCATCGCCGTCGAAATCAGCATTGTATGGACCACATACACACTCATTTAGACGAAACGTTCTCCAAGGCCTCACTTTGACCAAATGACTCATGATACTGAGCTTATGAAGTGATGGTTGACGATTAAACAATGCAACATCGCCATCCTCCAAATGTCTCTCAACAACATCACCAAAGCGCAACTCTTTAGCGACTCTGGTTCTGTCACCAAACTTCAATGTTTGCTTGTAGACCAGGTCACCATCCTGCTTGATGATGCCTTGGGCACCAGGGTAGACACTGGGACCGTTGAGAATGCACTTTCGTAATTTCTCGATATTTTCGCGGTGGGCTCGTTCCGGGTATGTCAAGTTCATAGCGACAAGGATAGGTACAGCGACCTGGTCGATACCAAGATTGGGGTCAGGCGAAATGACAGTTCGGCCTGAGAAGTCGACACGTTTTCCAGACAGATTACCACGGAATCGACCCTGTTTGCCCTTGAGACGTTGGCAGAATCCTCTCATACTCTTGACAATACCAGTGTTGGTCAAACCAGGAACATCACTGTTGACGTAGACGGCAATGTGGAGTTGAAGGTAGTCCCATTGCTCCATGATAGTCTGCAAGCTGGCCCCCTTCTGCAATGCTCCTCTGATCAGACTGCAAATGAAGACGATTTGACTGAGAGTGGTTGTGAGATCATCTTCGTTACTTGCCCCCTCCTGTGCTACCGATGGCCGAATGCAGACAGGTGGTGCAGGGATGAATTGCCACAGGAACATCTCAGGTCTTCCTTCGGTGGGATCAAGACCCAGCAACTCGCAATCAGTTGAGCTGATCTGTTTGAAGAGCTTCAGGACACGAAGGGCGTTCAAATCTTCCATAGCCTTGCGTACATGCTTCTCCAGGTCGTTGTTGTGCTTCTTGGCTTCGATGAAAGAGTTGTCAAAGTCGATCTTGGACTGAGGTGGTACTTTCTTCTGGGAGGTGGACTTGTTGAAGGCCACAAACTTGTCGTGGACCAGCTTGAGCGGGCCAACCTTGCGAATCTGGCCATTGGTTGCACCGCAGTATGGGCAAGTCTTGGTCTTCCTACATGTTTCGTTGACGTTCTTGAGAATGGCCTGGCGGTTCATGTTATCGGGGGCCTTGCGGAGTCTCTTGAGAAAGCTGCGGCGCTCGGGCTCAGTAAGCAGAACGCGGGAACAATCTTTACAGATCTCCTGCAGAATCTTCATGGTGAATCGTAGGTAGCCGATGTGGAAGACAGGCAGAGGCAAGCGGACATGGCCGAAGTGGCCAGGACAATCTTGAAGCCTGAGATCGCAGGTCAGACAAGTAGCGACCTTGCTGGATATACCGAGGCGCTTGTCCAGAGGACCGTTCTTGATTGGTTCCCTTCCACGGTCGAGGTCGTACATGGTCCTGTCCGCGACCTCGACCACGGCCTGGTTGACGATATCCTGGTTCGACTGGATGCCGAACTTGATCTGCCTGAACCGCTTTGGCACCTTGTCGACAACCTGATGTTTCACAGGGGCAACAGCGCTTGAGCCCTTCAGGGCTGTCTCTGTGGTGGCGGCCATGTTATGAATTGTAGTCTACCGAGACAAGTTGGAAGGGGTCCTTGGTCTTTCCAATTTGCGAATCGGTAATCGGCGTTGTACTTCTTGAGTCAGGTGGTGTCGTCGTCGAAAGTCGTCGAAAGTCGTGCCCGTACACGTCTTGCTACCTGAGTTGCAATGTCGAAACAACCATCATCATATTCGCCTAGTCTCTGCGCAACGTCGTAGCAATGGCTGCCGATTTAGTTCGTTGTGTCCGTTGTTATGCGGCAAGCACTCTTCGTGATGCCTGTCGGCTGGCGCGAAAATAAAAAAGTCCAGCAGAATTGCCCCGCTTCAATCACCAAACCTCAATGCTCATCAGGTGGACCGGGAGATGCAGCAGCGTGGTGGGGCACGACTGAAGCTTGAAAGGTTGGAAAGAGCTCTAGACGTACGGATCCGTAGAGGGCGCTTGCTTCAATGCTGGAACCAACCGGTACAGTAGATGCGTACAGTATGCAAGTCTATCTGATAAAGCGGAGAACTATTCGTGCGGGCTTGACTAGATTTAGACTCGATCGATCTAAATGACTGTTACTCTGTTGCTGTGTTGAGTTCGAAGCGAAAGTGGCAGGTCCCAGCGCTCCTTATTTGATCTGATTTGATTTGACCATAGATGCGTCGCTGGGGGATGAGTCACTTATGCGAACTTCTACTGATGCTGCACTATATGGTATGTGCTGTAGGTACAGATCCGTAGTGACGAGGGACGCGGGGCACAGACTTTTGGGGAAATTGGGGAATTCAGTAGCACGTGATTCGGTGTAGGTCGCGCCTACCACTTTACTGAAGTGGGGGTTCGCAGACACGTCTTAGACTGCGTCAGTCCAAACTGAAAGACGCGCCGCCTAGACTAGATTGTGTTTTGTCATACCCAGTAGGCAGAAGCCGCCTCCCGAGTATCATCAACGACGATCGGATTTTCTTGATTTTGTTTGCGTGTAGCTCTTCTTTCCACGCCGACTGGTGTTTCTATTCTTACCGAACCTTTCCATGCTCCATACTTGATTGATCATTTGTCGCAATGCCTGTGTATGTGACCTCTAACCAAGACCCGCCGGCAAATGTGCTGACCATGTAAACAGTCCAGGCGATCAGCACAACGTGGTGGCCAATCCATTCGAAGAGGCCAAGCCGCGTATTTCAGAGTATACCGCCGCCGAGATTGCGACTCTGCAGTCGCGCTTGGAAAAGCAGCTGGGCCCAGAATACATATCGGCCAGAAGCGGTCCATCCGGTCAGAAAGTTCATTACATCGCCGCCGAAAAGTGCATCGCTCTGGCCAACGACGTCTTTGGCTTCAACGGATGGTCCTCGAGTATCCAGAACATCCAAGTCGACTTCGTCGATGAGCATCCCCAGACTCTCAAGATATCGTTGGGGTTGTCCGTTATTGTTCGAGTCACACTCCGAGATGGTACATTCCATGAGGATATCGGCTACGGCCACATTGAGAATTGCAAAGGCAAGGCTGCCGCTTTTGAGAAGGCCAAGAAAGAGGGAACAACGGATGGATTGAAGCGAGCTTTGAGAAATTTTGGGAATGTCCTGGGCAATTGCATTTACGACAAGGACTACCTAGCCAAGGTCACCAAGATGAAGGTGGCCCCTACCAAATTCCATGAGGTCGATTTACACCGACATGCAGATTATGCCCCGAAAGAGCCCCAAATCAAGTCAGAGACCCACGCTGGACGCGCAAAGAATGCTCCGACCTCCATGGTGCACAATGGTGGGTTGGATTCCGATGATTTTGACTGGGTGGACGCTGACCCTTTGGATGTGTAGATACCATCGACTCACTAGATGATGACTTTGGAGACTTTGATATGGCGGATTTCGGCGTCACTGAAGAAGGAAACCCTGACGAGGTGGTTTTGCCTGGATCCCATAGCCTAGGCGCGAAGGCAGGCAACAAGCCTCAGACCATGTCGTCAGGTTCGGGCAGTGACCCGAATAGAACCATCACGGGTAACACCGCCGGCCTTTCCAGGCCCATGCAGCCACCTCCCAGAGCTCCTATGACCAGAAGTAGTTCCAGTGGTCAACCAGGTCCTAGGCCACAGCCTCACACACCGCAGGCTGCGAATCGACCTGGAGCACCGAACCAAAGCCGACCTCAACCCCAGCAACATGGCAAACCAAATGGTCCTGCGCCTGCTCAGCTGTCAGCAGCACAAGCCGCGGCCAACGGACGGACTAGTACTCCGCCCCCAGCGAATGGTAATGATCAGATTCCCGATGGCCCAGTTGCCTTCTTTTCCGCTCGCTCGGTGAAGGCTCTACCTGAGGGGGCGCCACCCGGTTCACAGACCCTTCCTCCTAATGGTGGTAAATTGTTTGATCCTAAGCTTGAGAGTCCTTCGATCCGCAAAACGCCAGGTATCGATCATAATTCTACGAAGCCGGTAAGCAAGGAGAAGAAGCATGTGGAGGGGATCAAGCATGACGACGAGCCGGCTACATTGCCTGCTGGAGGTTTCAGTAATGCAAACACTCCCAGTCGGCCACCCCCGGGTAATGTAATCAACCCTTCACTCAATCAGGCACGAATGATAGGAGCACCTGGCAGTCATAGTCCCATGGGCAACAGGGGCGCCTATAAACCGCCAACTATGATGAAACGGCCGGCAGATGGAGGCGCACGGCCGCCGTTGAACGAAGTAACCACCAATAGCAACGTCGGGTCTGCTACCTCTGGTGCGGATGCAAAAAGGCAGAAAGTCGGCTGAGCGTGCAGTGGGCGAGCATGACGGCAAAGGTCGTTTATTTTTATTCTAGGTTTCTTTTTTCTTTTTTTTTTTTTTTTCTTTTTTTTTTTTTTTGTGAAAGCGAGACTGCACGGCGTTGGGAGTAGCTCGTTTTATGAACTCGGGCATAATTTGTGACCCATGATACTTAGAGTGTTGAAATCATGCCCAGGCGTTATGGTTCTGAGGCTTTGCAATCGCTTGCTAGAACCTGCTGGTATGCTGTCTAAAACGAATCTGATTAGGGACACTTAGGTTCCACTCAATCCGGTGGACTCACGATATTTTTCCTTGAGTTCTATAGGTCCTAAGCCGAAACAGCTATCTATACTGGATGACAATGTGTCTGTTCCCCGTATGCGCACCTTCTTCTCTTACATCTTTACTATCCGTTGTATCGTGCATTATTTGATGGGTATTTTGTTTGAGAGAGATACTCTTATCGCAAAAATTAACAAAGAATGATAATCATGTTTGAACCTAGGAGTTTTTGCCTATTGGGGTGTATATTCCCAATGATATTTAGGCAACTGTATTGCGGAAACTGAGGATTGGAGATAGCGAATTAATCAGCTTGAATTATTTTACCACCTCTTGATTGAGAACTGCCTTTGCTATTTAGAACCCGGATTAGGCAATACAGAAATGCACCAGATCCATATAGTCCCCCCATCGGCGAATGGTTTTCACAACATCGTGTTGAGCAGAAAATGTACAGATCACTCCAGCAATACACAGACACCCGAAATGAAACGATCATGCCCCAATTGGCATGATACATATACGGCTGGTGGTATATCTTTACTACTGAGAGCTGCCGATTCGCCAAGTCATGCAAGCGACTTGTTACAGGCTCTGATAAATTGCTGCATTGAGCTTTCCCAGCAATATAGGGAGATAAAGGGAACCGATATGTACCCAGAACGCCATATATATGTCTCAATAGTTCCGGTCGTAGCCGGAAATGACAATATCCACCCGAAAGACATTCTCAAACACCCAACACGCAAAGTTGTGGCTCAGCAGCAATGGTTCGCTGGAGACGGGATGAGAGCATCACGAGGAAGTCAGTGGCTGATAATCATTCCTTGGGAGAGACTGTATCGAGATGCGCGAGTATCAGTCTACTAGATTAACAAATTGTATGCATGCACAAAGCTCAAGTGTTGCGGAATGATTTAAGGAGATGTTTGCGCTACCTTTAGTCACCAATGGTTGAACGTCGAGAAGAGCAAGATCATACCTGACCACTGTAGCATGCTCAAGGGTTGAGGCAGCCTAAATCAAGCGAAATGCTTGCGTGAAAGACCATAGCAAACATCTGACGGAAGACAACAACTTGAGTATAGATTCTAAGGGTTTATTATCCGCCGCGCTTGCCGAGACATGATTGGCTTCGATTCTTATTTTGGCAATGTGATCTACGCTTTGAGCCGCTACCAGCCATGTCTTAAGTGAGATAAGTACATATTGTTCCACCAGCAAAGGCAGACCAGCCAATGCGACATGACGTGTGGCATTGAAGTTGAGACTCTTCAAATGTGTCAATCCAGGCCTTTTCAGGTCAGGTCTTTTTTGTTAGCGGTGAAATATTGGCCCTTTGTCTCGCCGATGTAGACCGTCGGGGGCGCTGTTCACACTATGTAGTAAGCGAACGTAGCCGTTCCGTACCGAATCGATCGTTCGAGTCATGGGCTAGGCGCCTTGGGCGGCAGCCGACAGGGCTGTCTTTTTTCCCCAGAATTTTGGCACCAAGGTTTGGGGCTGTTGTGATACTATGTATGTACTTTGTCGACTAACTTGCGACCCTGAGATCACTTCTTATTGCGCAATGCAAAGGATGAGATCATCTTGCGTATCCATTTCATGCTTGCGCAGACAGAGATTGACAAGCTGGCCAAGTGGGAGCTCTTCCATGTCCTTACATAATGATCTGCGTAGGGGAGTCAGAGGTTGCAAATCACTTTTTAGTGAGGGAGCACGTAATTCAGTACTTCTCTTGCGTGGCTTCAATACTAGGCGGTGCATAGCACATGGTGCAAGCCGTTTCGTGGGCTCGCCTGGGCGGAGCTCCTCTAAAAATCGAACCACTGACCTTGTCTAATGGCCTGTTAGTCGCATAGAACTTTCCTATTTCAAGCGTCGCAAGCGACAGGATGAGCCAAAAGGAACGAACATAATCAGAACTCGCTGGAAGCCCATTGGTCAGATGCCAAAACCACACCACATTTTCGGAACCCCGACCCATTAATCTGCCTGCCCGGCAGATCAGGCCACACCAGGCCTGCTTCTTTCCGTATCAGGGTTTCTAGGCTTTGTGTTATGCTTTTGTTCCCACCCTTGCGGCCATGTATTCTGGGTACGTGTATTCTTGCACTCAATTACTATGCGCGAAGGACCTGGAACCAGAATGATTGTCACGCCAGATCGCAGTCAACGAATCTGGTAGGTCTCACCGGGGGTTGGTGCCTGAATACGGGGTCCAGTGACTCGTAAGTGTGTTCAAAGAGACCGTTGAATAAAGTGCTTCTGTTCCCACACCCTGATGGCCGTCCTTTCTTTCGAGTCTTCTATTTTTATTACAAACCACAGTGGTGACCAAGCCTCTCTTATCCTTGATCCTAAGCTCAATACAAAAGACGTTGTTCTCCTTCCTCCTATATCTGATCTCTAAAACCACTCTATCACATATTTTAAGAACGCCGAGAGCATCTGCCGCGCACTCATTGTTGCAGCTTGACAAGATCCTCGTCACCCCACACCTGACTTACAAGAGTCAGCCCACCTCACGCGACATAACTCACTGCCGCCATAAGAATCAAAGAGCAACCAGTTTCCGTCACAACACAAGGAAATAAATTTCTCCGCACAATCAAAATGTCGCCCACACACACTATTTCTGCGCATCTCTGCAAGCAAATCTACACTTCCTGGAAGGAGACCCGCCAGCCGCAGACTGCTATGGACACCACCTACGTCTCGACGGCTCCGTACCCTGCCCGGAGATCCCCGTCGCCGGAAAAGCGTTCTATGGACAGCGACCGCAGCGATTCTTCCAGTCCGCCCATGAGCCGCTCGTCGAGCAGTAGTAGCTGGAAATGGGGCAGTCGCTAGAGCGATCAACTGCGGGCGACAGGTTTCAGAACAGAAAAATATGGGACGAGACCATTAAAACATGATCATACCGCCCTTCGCCAAGCACGCACCCACATGAGCACTGCGCGGCCTGTGGAGCTATGACGGAGCTGCATTTGCGAGCTACAGCATAAACATTATGGAGTCGGGGAGCATTTGTTACGATCACATGAAAACCAGCATCTATTGTCGTGGTGGCTGGTGCAAGGCTGCGCCGAGCGGGACAGAGTACGAGCATGAGGAAGGGCAATGCATGTCCAAGGACGCATGCCAAGTGCCGTCCGTGGTGCAACAGATTCGATGCTTCTCTCGTGGGATTTTGGGACTTTTTGATGCAGGAGTTTTGTCTATACCCAATTGCTTTTTAGGAACAAATTAAAACACCATCACTTCTATGCTAAAAACTTTGTATCGCATACCAACATCCCAATCGGGATAGTCGTGACATGTAATGGGCTTTGGGAAACTCGGACTTCATTGTGGTGTTTTACCTCAAAACGGTCAGTTTATTACACGATTCTTTACTAGCTGTTAACTCTGTCTACAACCAGGAACACAAAACTTGGCGGAAGGAAACATGTCCATTATGCTTTGCCCACTGAGTTGCTAGCTTTGAATAGCCATCGCGAGTTTTTCATGATTTGGGTTTCTACATCCACGGTTCGAGCCATGCCACTATCTCAAGAATTAAGCACACACCAAGACTACCTATAGAAGCCGCCATACCGAGCCTCGGCGTAGGTTTCCGAAGGATGTGAACAGATAGAAACTAGTGACACCTACAATCGGAACTTTGAAACTGGGGTTCGAACTATGCTTCCTCCTGCTTGTGAGGCCTCGAAATGTGTCGTTCCACAGGGCTAAGGCTTTCTTCTAATTCGACGAGATCGTAAGGGCCGATAGGCACTGACGGGTCAAGAATGGGATTCCGGGACCTGTGTGGCGTGTTGGAGAGAAGGACGAGGACAAGTAACTCTATTCAGTAGAAGTACTTGCTGGGCAAAAGCAGTTGGGGATTGGTTTGTAGGTTGCGTTCGCTATACACCTCAGTAACATACATTTAGACATCACGTGAGCGTCTGTCTCCGTAGGTTGGTACACCCAAATTTATCATATCTGTTGTCTGCAAGGGTCGAGAACCTACGAGAGAAAATGCATGGGGATATCCCGCTTGTATAGAAAAGGCACGCGTGTTTAGGGTTTTCCCTTCGAGCTTCCCTCATCTCCCTCGATATGTTCGTTCTCCACGTACGCGAGCAGACCCCGTTATCCTCTACTCTTCGCGTACCTCAGGACACGTGCTTCCCGTCGAGTGGTTCTGGAGAAGGGACCTTGTCAGCTGACGAACCACCGACTGTTCCGTCCTTTTCGATTTACTGTCTGAGTTCATCATCACTGAGTTCCGAACCCTGCAGACGCCCATTCCGCTGGCAAGCCTCTTGATTGTCTTCAGCACCATAATTGTGTCCTGTGTGATACCAAAACACTCGAGCGAGAAACAGCAGCACCATACCACCACGAACAGGTCATCGTTACCTGCGTTCTATCCCAGCCCCTAATATTTACTTCCCCAAGTGAGTTTTTGTTTATGAGTACCCACTTACTCCTGGACTCCGTGACGGAGAAATGACACCTCCGTATAGATATTTAGTGTGTCTTGTTCGAGGTTTGAATGTCCAGCCAATCCTGGCTCGGGATGACAACCATAGAGATGAACACGATCGCTGGGATAGCGAAAGACCACCACTCTCCACGTGGCAGTGATGTAGATGTCGATGAGTTGTCTTATTGTCTGCCGACAGATACTTAGTTGGACTTCACCGTGAGATATCACGAGCAAAGATCGACGGGGCATGGAATCTGAATGCCATCTTCCTCGAGTCTTTGGCTGAGTTCAGGGTATGCTTCTGAATGATTTTGGCTTCGGAAACGGTGAAGGCCGCCCGACACAGGTTTTTCAGCTTGGGGTAAAAAATATTTTTAATGAAAAAGGAACCCATACGGTGTAAGTATTGCGAGTAGTACATACTCGAGCATGGTCAATTGATGTTGCTGGTCCATTGTCAGGGTTGGAGCAGGCTAATCTTTTCAGGAGAAACTTCAACTTCAACGAACTGCCGCTCTTTCGTTATACCACGTAGGTGCTATTTGACAGCAGGGGGTTTCGATGACTCAGTTTGCCAGTTCCTGGAGAGATTGGTTTAGAAGAACCAGATGGATTGAATTATTTTCATTTACCACCAAACACCATGCGCCGTATTCAACACAAACCCAGTATCTATCTTCTATAGGTATCACGAACTAGTATCCACACACAACTGCTTGTCATAATAGGCAAGGCAAACCCGGCTATCTGTCGTTTGTTTTGGAACGCCTCTATGACACTTAAGCCAATGGACCACCGGTCATCTCAGTATTGAGACCGAGTACTCTCTTCACGGTCAAATACCACTCAAAGGCCTCCAATTTGAGCTCCACTCTCAAGTAGCCAATATAGGCTGCGGCCAGCCTCAGCGCGTTACCTGGCCACCAGAGGCCGCCCTCGCGCTTCTTGATGTCATCGACCTGTTCCCGGAAAACCGTACGTGCGCAATATCTCGCGAGAATCATGAAGCTTCGCATCGGTCCTTGTCGCGTGTGCAAGTTTTCGTCCAAGCTCCTCGTCAGATCGTTTGTCTTCAAGATCAGAAGGATGATTCGTGGAACTTGTCCCAGCAGTTGTACCAAGTCTGATAACAAACCCTCCTGTAGCGCGTCGCCCATTGTCTTCTTTTCATCGTCAGATTTGGTCTTCATGATCGAAGAGCTGACAACACTGTAATCACGACCGGTAATGGCTGAAGCGAACAGTGGGAACTGTTGTTCCGTGATGCCTGCCACTTCGTGCGAGTACTTCTTCATGCCTTCAATGTCGCCATCAATGATCGCAAGCCACATCTTGGCATAACTTCTTTGGAGATTCACCGGAATGTCGCGGTACAATCCGTGATCGTAAATGATGATCTCAAAGTTGGAAGCTCCAGGTCTCCTAGTCTGTCTCTTCCGAATTGCCAAATTTCCGCCGTGGGGATCGCAATGGAGAGGGGCATTCCTGCCGAAAATCATCTCGTTGAAAACCTTTGCGAGGGTTGCAGAAACTTCATCGCGGTCGATGTTGTTACTATCCAGATATTCCAGGTCGTCGAGACGGTGGCCAGCTTCATTAGCCATAACCAGGACGCGCTTTTTGGCCCAGATGACATCGGGGACAACCAGTGGTAGCTCAGGGATCTGGGCGAAATGCTGCTTGAGGCGGATGGCGTTGGCTGCTTCACATTGAAAGTCGAGCTCTTGTGGCAGCGACTCCTCCATTTCCAAGGATAGCCATTCGAGATCGTATTCGGGAAACCATTTCTTGAGTGTAGAGAAGGTGAACTTGGTGAGGGCGATATCCAGCGGCGCCCATTGCGCAAGGCTGGGATGTTGTACCTTGACTGCCACCTGCTGCCCGTTCTCCTTGATGGTTGCGGTGTGTACTTGGGCCAAAGAAGCGGCGCCTATGGGCTTCTCCGAAAACTCGGAGAAGTAATCCCTCAGCTCCTCGCCCGTGTCATCTCGGTACATTTGCTCGATCGACTCGAAGGAGGATACGGGGCACTTGTCCTGTAGCGGAATAAAAGTCTCGGTCCATTCCTCCGGCAGAAGGTAGGACATGGCGCTCTGTTTTTACTTGTCAGCTCAGCGTCTTGAGAGGTCCTCCGCCATGAATGCGCCTATACCAGATGCTGGCCCAGCTTGATGTATATGCCACCATTCTTCTCGAGGACCTTCAGTGTCCTCACGGCACATCGTTTGTGGCACTTTCGCAGGATTGAGTCTGACTCCTCGGCATCTTGGATCTTCTCGCGCTTTTTCAGAGTAGTACGATATCTGAGCTGACATTAGAACCCGGGCTGCTTCGAGTCAGTGACGGCGCGGACTCACTCGCTGATGTTAATGTACAGAGCGGAGGCGACTCGGCCGGCCCGTTCCGTGGCCTCATAGCCAAACTTGATGTCGTCGGTGAAGGCGAGTATGCCAGCTCCCGTGCCGGCAGTAGCAGCAGCGGTCAGGACTATCCTTCTCGACTTCGGGGTTGAAGGTGTCTGTCTCGACTGACGGCCAGATGAGGTACCGAACTGTCGATGTAAGGGCTTTGGCGGGTTCTTGCTGGCGCGGGTGACGATGTGGCTGCGGCAGCTCGAGCAGGTCCAGCGACCTGCGTTCTGGGTCGCAAATCGACTCAGGGGGTTGAGCCAAGGAGACTGCATGGCGCAGATTGTTATGCGGGCATTATCTTCTTGCCTAGACTATGTACCTCGGGCGATATTGGTATAAAAATAAAGACACAAAAAAAGAAGCAAGCCAGGGTATTACAATCTCTATACGATCATTGGGAAAAAGCGACGGCAGGTATGGATCATGCGTTCATACTCGGGATGAGAAGGTGGAACCACCTTGTCCTGAAGCTTTCCTTTCCGTTGGGGACGCCGCCAGAAAAGCGCAGGCGACTTTTTTTTTTCTTTCTTGGAGTCTGGAGGCGGCAACCCCCGAGGCCTCAGCGTCATACCGTAACTGTCATTTGCTCCCAATCGCCAGTGGAAGATCAGCAGGGGGAGGGTGCCCCACTACGCACCCTCACATGCTTTAGTGCACCACTGTATGTATACAGCAGTAGGTGGTAGCTAGCGTTAGTGGCTAACATTAGTGGCTACAGCACGTACGGAGGACTCTGCCCCATGTGTAATACTCTCTGCAATGTTGATTGAAGCAAGGGGGAAGGGCGTCTTTAGTGGCTGTGGCCCCGAACCGACCCTCTTTACGCGTCCACCTACCAAGTCACTTATTCTCGAGCGCGTCACTCCGCCGCAGAGTAGAGCGTGGGTTCGTTCCTCTTTGTTTAGCAGCACGTCAACGATCAACTCGCCAACGTGGGCATTTTGGCAGTACATGAGTCGTCTGTTTCCCTTTTTGAGCCCCATCTCATATCCGCATACTGGTTGTGATTCCTGGAGACGCCGATAATCTCGACCCTGCAAGATGCTGAGCACAATGGCACCCGCATCGCCACATCTCCCAATCTTCACCTACGACTTCACAGCCGCCGCATCCCACCGCCCCATCCACTCGTCGCCTCTCTCCAGCTCGCCCCTACGCCCCTCGCAGACGTCGCCGCTGCCTCTGTCGTCACGAGATCCTAACGCGTTGCCGCGACGCGACTTCAACTCTTCGCCGACAAAACCCGCGCCCCAGAGTTCGGAAAAGTCCAAATGGACAAAGTTTGACACGCGCGAGGCCAAGAAGAACCCCCTGAGGCAGAACCGCGAGAGCGCATCCGAGGGCAGGCGGAAGCTCTTCCTCAAGAACGTGAGGCAGAGGCAAGACGACAAAGCCTGGGAACGGAGAGGTGGAGATCAGGAGGTCCTCAAACTCGAGTGGTCAGCCCTGGACAGGAGGCGGCGGCAGCAGAAGGACACGGATATTGATGGACTAGTATTTGAGCAGGATTTGGAGGACATTCCCGAGTACCCCACAGCACAGCAACCTGCCCCCGACGAGGACGACACCATGGTTGACTCGCACGCAATGGAAGAAGAGGCAGAACTGGATGCAATGCTCTCAGCTTATGAGGCGCACAGCCCGCAACAGGCGCCTTTACAGAGACTAGATTCGCCATCGTTGTCCGACGACGAGTACGACAACCTGTTCATGGATTTGCTGTCGCTGCCGCCGAATCGGCAGCAAAGCCAAGAGAGTGGAGACTTGGCGTTGTCTGGCCAGATGGATCTTTCGTAATTCCATTCTTGGTTTTCTGCATTTCGAGTTTCGATACCAACCTGCAATTCAGGAGTTTTGGTCATGGTCAAGGTCTTGTCATTTCAGGTGTTGGTATGTCTATAAAGGTCGGGTTTCCTATGTTGGGCATAGGTATTGCAATGTATAAATCACATGGCATCTGGTATCAAGTCAAACAATCACCGTCGAATCTCGACGCCTTACAATGTGTCCCCCCTTGCCAATCTACTGAGGCGTGCAATTGTCCGGGTCTGGGCCATCCAGCACCTCTTTCGCCGAAGGCATGTCGCCAACTAGATCCGGAGGCGGCGAGCCTGCTGCTTGCATCTGTTGCATTGTCAGTAACCATTTGCCGCCCATGTGGGAATTCGACTCACCTTTTGCATACGTTCAACGACGTACTCCCGGTCCGCCGCGTTTCCATCCTTGTATGTCGGCTCCTCGAACTTGGCGACCATCTCCCCCACCAGTCGTTGCTGCTCCTCGTAGCGGTCCTTGTCCTCCTTCTTGAGCGTCTTGCCGTTCTTCTCCATCCATGCTGGGAACTTCTCGTTCAGCTCCCGCATTGGCTCGTACAAGATCTCCTTGTTCGTGAGCTGCTCCATCATGCCCATCAGCACTTTGCTAAAGTCCTCTTCAGAACCCTCGGCGCCAGGCATGTCTTTCATGGCCTTCATCATCTCTGCAAGGAAGTCATCTTCCGATCCCTGGGCTGCGGCTTCGGCCGTGGCTTGGTCGCCGGAGGCTTGCATGCGCTCCATAGTCCGGCGGATCGTCTCCTGAAAGTCCACATTCTCGCTCAGCTCGGCGGCGACTCTGTCTGGATCGTTCGTCGAGAGAGCAGCCTTCGTCTTGGAACTCTTCGGTACGCTAGGCTCGGCCTCGCTGCCTACCACAGCGGCGCCGCCGAGCTCCTTGAATATCGTCTCGAACTGTGCTTGCATCTCGGGCTGTCGCAGTTTGAGTACCTCATGTCACAATATGTTCGACTGCGTCACGTACGTTCTTGTCCAAGTCTCCCATGAGCTCCGCCATACCGGCCTGCAGCTGCCGTTGGAACTCTTCTTCCGAGAAGTCATCTGGGTCGGCAGCGGGGACGTCTCCGGCAAGCGTAGGTATCGTGGGGCCCTTCGGTGCCGACGGGGCAGGATGCGAAGGTTTTGAGAAAGCCGCCGCCTTGTGGTCTATCTTGACAGAGGAGAACTCGTCCAGCATGTCATCCAGGTCGTCGAGGTCGTCCTCGTCGGGATCGGGCGCGTCGTCGAGCTCTGGCTCTGGCTCTGGCTCTGGCGCCTTCACATGCTCGCTTGTCGCAGCGGCATCGGCCTTGTCACTCGTCGCAGCGGGGTTCGAGCTGCTCGCAGACATGGCGCCGGGGACGTCTGCACGTGTCGTGAGGGATGGGCTTGCAGAACAAGATAAAAATAAAAATAAATATAAAATGCAGGAAGCCGTGGAGAAGTGCTAGCGCAGAGGTGATTGATTGCCGAGAAACGCAAAAGCTGGGGTTTGGGTGAAATGGATTCTCCTGCTTCCATCGCGGGGTGCATAGCGACGTCCCGAGGTTTGTGTCGCTGTGGGGTTCGCTGTGGCGCGGCAGCTCTTTGCAGGTCTAAAGTGTGGCACTTACACAGCGACTATACCGTGAAGTTTATCCATCCGAGCATAGTCTGTCCTGCTCAAATTCGGGTTGGCGACTCTTGACAAGCGGCAAATAAGATCTGCAGCTTGGTTGTATGAGCTGCTACGCTTGGGTTAAAGTCTCCTCTCTCCTTTCTTTTTTCCCCTTGCCTCTCCTACCAGTTCCCGTTGCTTGCATCCTAGGGCTTCTGAAAAGACAAGTAGCAGGGCTTAAACATTCAGCAACTACGCCGCGAATTTTATGACATGTATTCTTTGATCGGTGCAGGTCATTCTCAAATCGGCAGTTCAATACGCCATGCTGCTTGTTGTTTTGTTTTGGTTTATTCTATTTTAAATAAAGGCTGGCTGAGATCCTTGAAGCTCAACGCTACTGTCAGACTGGATTGAATTCACCTACGATCTCGAGTGCTTCAGCCTCCACACCGAATCAATAAACTTCAATAGATTGAGCAACGATTCTTACTCGTATCACGGACCTCATCTTGGTTAATCGTTGCTACTCTGCACTATTTACACTCTCAAGTCATGCTCCTTCTCTCCTCTGACATCGCTTGTACTTCTTCATCCCGTGCGTATATCCTCATCCGTCATGCGGACTACCCTCTGAGCCCCAACAAGCACAAGTGGTGTATCGGAAACCTACTCTTCGATGGTAGGTTTGAATCCAAGGAGGATGCGTCCAAGAAAATAATGCGAAAGGACCTCCTTGAGCCATGAAAAGCGTAAATATGCTATCATAGGGACAAACTCAATGTCTCCAAGAAACCTGACTGGATGAGTGAAAACCGCGTTGCAGACGAAGTCAGGATCAGGATGGAAAATGGAGATGAGGAGAATGGCATCAAATCAGATGACCGTCAAGACCGCCCTGATTCTTCAAGCGTGCCAACAGCTGTTCATAAGCATGCACAAGTACTTAGAGGCGCGACTTTCGCCCAGGCCAAGAAAGAAGAGTTCAAGGTATCTACTGAGCACGTTCAAACGTTGTATTCTTCATTCTCACAACCCGGTCACTGATCCCGGGGGTAGATACAGAGATGGTGGAGGAGAGCATTGTCAGACATGACGAAGCTAGTTACTATCCAGCGCCGCTTTGTCCACATTCAACGAGGACGAGGAGTATATGATCCAGGCTAAATTGAATGAGGACGCTCAGGTCGCCCTTGCTAATAGCCTTCAAGGCGGCCTTTTCCATCGATTCAGGGCCGCTTCTCAGGTGCCAGAGATGCTGAAAAGTCTTTTTCGTCGAGCAATCGAGCATTTCAAAATGACTAGATGTCCGTTACTACCATTAAGTTCAGGAGAAATATAGACTTCTCAATATGTATTGCGTAGACTTTTGAGTGTTTCTTGTTTCTTGTCATACTACGTTACGTTACATTCATGAGTTTAGAACATCTTTTGTTAGATGTCCATCAGATTTAGATTAACTAGTTCAACAAAATAAACCTTAACAACCCGAGATCATGTCAAGTAGTGAGCACTATAATATGCATGAGTACGTGGAAATCTTGCATGCAATAGGCAAAATCAAAACAACCGATCTTATCCTGGGATATGTCAATGAGCTCAATTTGGGTAAATGTTGATAAACCAGTGGATTCCGGGCATTTCATTACTTAGTCATTGTTATGGCAATAAGAAACTTATGAATGAGAACTATCGACATACGAACTTTCGTGTTTACCATTTACTATTAGTCCCATATTACTCGCCCCAAGACCATCATAGTTCAACGTTGGCATAGTTTCAGCTAACATAATACCAGAACACCGTTAAAAACGTAGCAACTATTGTACTTTAGTTGTACCGATACTGCTGGATGATGCCAGCTCTTCTCGGCTTCGTATAAATATATTTGTTTCGTATATCGATAACCAGTAGTATAGTTGCTACTCAATCGCCAATAATTTTTGAGGGTCTGCATTTCACTAACCTTAGTCTAACATAAACCTCTAAACAACATAAATCTGGAAAGTAGACAGACGTGCCCTAACCTAGACAAATGTAATCGGCAGCGCACCCAGTGTGGCAGTTGCATTATCAGAGATAATGGTTTAAGGTTAAACTAGTCTAACCTTAGTACCATATATACTGAATCAGCGCACCGAAGGAACCTAAGCTCTGTTTGGGCCGGCACAACGAGTTCGAGCGGCACCAGCCTGACCGTAGATAATTCCAAGTAAGGCCTAAAAAGGCTTGATCAGCACGCTGAAGGCTTCAAGTTAGTGTCTGAAACGCGGTCGCGTCGCGTCAACTTTCCTGCATCCTGACATCAGCAACAAGGTACAAAAAAAAGAAAAGAAAAGCAGGCTGGCTGAGCTCCGTCCAGAGATCCGAAGTCAAATCAATATCTAGAATGCCTTTGTATCAAAGAGTTTAAAGCTCAATCCTTCTGACCTGGTAAAGTACGCCGTTAACAGGAAGGACCCGTGTTTTCTTCTTCTTATTTGTTCTTCTTTCTTCCTGGACGAAATTCTAGATAGAGGAAGTCTAGGGACTAAACACCTTGAGGTTGCGACATCAGAACCGGGCAGCGTCCATTGAGCTACAGTACCCTTGTTCGCTTATCCCCCGGACTTGTTTCCAGTGCTCATGCGACCAACTTGGGCATGTAACTTGCATCAATCCTGCATGGGAAACTTCGTTTGTGCTTGCCCTGTGAAAGTCCCACTACATGCAGGAGAACAATCAGCGCAATCGGCGAGAGTTGACTGACTGACTTCCAAGGCGCTCGTCTGGCTTTTGCATCGATATGGATCAATCACGCATTAAACGGCTGCCTCTGCAGGAGGTACCGCAGCGGCAAAATGCACACAATCCGAGCGGAGGTATTTTGCGCGCTGAATCTTGGATGTATGCCTTGGGCTAACATGAGGATTGTTCTTCAGCAGCGCATGTCAAACGCGAGACATCAGAGCCACCAGCCATTCCAGCGATACCTGAGAATGGTGGGCCTTCTACACAAAGCCCAACGTCATCGCGACAAGAACAGGCTCTGCAGGCGGCTAGTCAACGTCGACGCGAGCATTTACGCAAACAGTGGCAATTGGAGAGTCAGATACTTGAAGCACGACAAAGAGGAGAGTCGTCGTCAACAGAGCAGCCAGAATTTCTGCGGCAAATGGACAACCAAAAACAAACATCCGGCTCGCCGAATGGCAGCGCCGCGGCAGGACAGCGAGAGCCGGAGCGAGAGCGTACCGCATCACCGCGAACTCGACAGACTGCCAAGTCTGAAGGTTCGCCTTCGCAGGCAATTCGTGCTCTTCCCACGCCAACGACTGCGCCTCGACGTTCTTGCCTTGGATGCCAGGGTTCCTATATACGGGGCCCTTGCGCTGGATGCCGTAAAGCTTACTACTGTTCGGTAGAATGTCAAACCAGAGATTGGCGGCGACATCATGCCTACTGTTCCAAAGGTATCTCTGATCCTGGTCCTACGGCCACTCGCCAGGCTACTGTCGCTCCGCAACAAACACCACCACACAGCAGTGTACCATACAGAACGCAATACACTTCCGCCATCGTTCTCAGCGATAGTGACGATGATGATGATGAAGACGATGACGACACTGACAATGAAGATGGTCGTATCTATGAGGATGATGAACAAGATTTAGCGAATTTGCCAATCCGGGACAACGCTGATGAGGTGAGAGAGCTCATTGAGCTCTTCGCTGGTATACCTGACAAGGATGTTTCCCCGGAAGATCGCAAGAGAGCACCAAATGCGCTGGCGTGCTCTCTGATGGCACATCAGCAAGTTGGTTTCACTTGGCTGGCCGAGCAGGAAGAGAGCTTTCGCAGAGGCGCCGTACTAGCGGATCATATGGGACTTGGAAAAACAATCCAGGCGTTGGCCTTGATTCTGGCGCGTCCTTCTAAAGATTCAACCAACAAGACCACCTTGATCGTGGCTCCCTTGGCGCTTTTGAGGCAATGGGAGCGAGAAATTGAGGACAAGGTGAAGCCAGGCTACAAGCTGAAGACTATCATTGTCCACGGCGCGAAGAAGAAGTCCATGACAGTCGCCAAGTTGATGTCTTACGATGTAATACTGACAACTTACGGTACAATCGCCGCAGAGTACAAACCTCGAAGGAATACTACCACCAAGCAATTGCTTCTGCCCATCAGGTTTCATCGCATCATCCTCGACGAAGCTCATAAGATCAAGAATGACCGGTCACAGGCTGCTCAAGCAGTGTCATCACTTCGAGCCATGTACAGGCTCTGTATGACCGGTACCCCTCTGATGAACAATGTCGGCGAACTGTTTTCCCTAATCAAATTCCTTCGGATTGCCCCATATAATGAACGACTGAGATTCAGGGATGATTTGGAAAGGCCTCTGAAAAAAAGCGGTATCGCATATGATCGTGCAATGAAAACACTGCAGGCTTTGATGGGATCAATTCTACTACAACGGACCGCAACCAGTCAGCTTGATGGTAAACAGATTCTGAGTTTGCCGGAGCTAATCTCAGAGAATGCAACAACTGGATTCAATGACGCGCAGAGGGAATTCTATATTTCCGTGGAGCATCAGATGCAGCTCAAATTCAACAAATATCTCAAAGCAGGCACTGTTCTGAAGAACTACAGCTATATCTTGGTGCTCATTCTTCGACTACGGCAGTCTTGCTGTCATCCGTTTTTAATCACCAACCATGGTATACCGGAACGCGCACAACTGAAGCCCGAAGAGATGATCAAGCTTGCTTCTAAGCTTGACGATCACATCGTTGAGCGGATCAAAGCTCAGATTGAGTTCCAGTGCCCAATGTGTGACCAAATCTCACAAAATCCAGTCATTGTGTATCCATGTGGACACCATATCTGCGGAGAATGTTTTACGGGTTTAATGATTGTCAGAGATGGTGAACGTGGCGATGATGATGATGATGAACTGCCCTTTCCGGATTGTCCGTGGGATTACTGTGGCGAGGTAATTGATCCGCGCAAAGTTTTGTGCCATTGCTTCTTCGCCGAAGCGCATATGCCCGGAGACCTCGAAGCACTGAAGGACGATTTGGATGAGGAAGAGTACATATCTGAAGACACAGGTGCTGATGATGACGGCAACCTGAAAGGCTTTATTGTGCCAGATGATAGCCAAGGTCTTTCTGAGAGTGAGGAAGAGGACGAAGAAGGAGTAGACAACAACAAGCTTGAGAATTCTACCTTCAGACGAAGCCATCGCCGCCACCATCCAAATGCTCTGGAGAGTGACAGTGGATCAAGCTCCAGCAAGGAAGACGATGGTACGGAGAAAGATACCATGACCGACGATGGTAAAAAGACATCGTCTTTGGCAAACAAAGCGGCGGACTCAGACTCTGACGACGACTTCCCAGAACTGAATGTGGCCTGGCACCGTGTTAATAACCAAAAACAATCAGCAGGACCTGCTTCTTCACTTCGTAAAGGCGGCATTCCATTCAAGCGCACGTTGAAAAAGGGCCCAGACAACGCTCCAGTCCAGCCATCACAGCCAGAAGACAACTTCGATATGTTCAGACAGTCTGGAAACTTTTTCGAGCGTCAGGCCGAGCTAGCCTCTCAAAGTAGTCAGATGCGCACGGGATCCAAGCCAAAGCGAGCCCTGGAGGATGTAAGCGACTATGAGTCTGGTGACTACAGCTCCAAGCGTAGTCGTACATCTCGCCTCAAAATATCATCGCCTATCGATGGCTGCAACCGCAAAGGAGACATGACCGCTAACGACGACGATGCTGCCGCCGACCTCCAGAAGCGGAAGCAGGCGAAAGGCAAAGGTATCGCACGGCCGAAAAAGGCCGAGGAACAAGCGTCAAGTTATCAAAAAGACAACAAGAAGAAAACGAAGAATTTGACGATATTTTCCAATCTCAAGGCTGAAAGCAATAAGAATGTGGCAGCAAAGGCAAAATATCTTAAGCGACTGAGAAAGGACTACGAGCCCAGCGCCAAAATCGACAGAACCATGGAACTCCTGCGAGATATTCGTGAGAACAACCCACAAGAAAAAACCTTGATTTTCAGCGTCTTCACGTCTTTCTTGGACATTCTGGAAATTCCAATCCAGGACGAGGGTAACGTATACCGCCGTTACGATGGTGCTATGTGCCATAATGATCGAGAGCAGGCCGTTGACGATTTCATGAAAAAGCCTGAAGTAAAAATCATGTTGGTCAGTTTGCAAGCCGGCAATGCCGGTCTGAATTTGCAGGCTGCAACTCAAGTCATCATCCTCGACCCTTTCTGGAACCCGTCCATCGAGGATCAAGCTGTTGGTCGTGCGCATCGTCTCGGTCAGAAAAAACCTGTCACAGTACACAAGGTCTTGATTGAAGATACAATCGAAGACCGCATCGTAGAACTTCAGGAGAAGAAGAAAGCCCTTGTTGGCGAAGTGCTCAACCATGAAGCCGCGCGAAGCATGGGTCGTCTTTCCGTCAGCGAGCTCACGCGCTTATTCGGAATTGGTGTTGGCCCTCGCCGGCGGCGGAGATGAACGGCGTTGTGCGTACCTGCGACGTCAATTCTTGTACAGCTTCTTGAAGATATGAGCACACCGATCATCTTAGCTTGCAACAGCACTTCTATTCTTACGATTGGAAATCTTCTTTTAGGCACAGATGGCTGTTTTTATTAGGATTGTTCCCCAAATACCCTTTGTTTTACCACATTTCGAGGAAGGTGGAAAAAGATCAGCCACATGTGCTTTCGGCACGTTGCTCCTACTAGTCACGCATTGTTTTAGACACGATAAGTAGCGAGATTCGTATCTCACCTGGTCAATGACTGTTAGTCTTTATTTGATTCTTATAGCTCGTTTACAGCAGGATCACCGCAATGGTGGCTACGTATAATTCCACATGTAATAAAAACCAAGGAGATTCGTCTTTAGTATTTCATCTCGTAAGCTACTGCGCCCCCCTCTTTCTCATGCACCATGACCACTTCCAAGTCACTCAATCAACGACATACCCCTCGGTCCCTTCATCGCTTCTTTGGATCTCGATCTGGTCCCACTCGACACCCTCCAGCACGCGAACATTCAGGGGCTTGATGTTGAGCTTCCGCTTTACCATCTGCTGCCGTGCCTCGGGCCACGTCGCCACCACCTCCGCCGGCGGCCCCCACAGGTCGCTCCACAGCTGGACGCCGCAGTGCCTGCAGAAGCGCAATCCGCTGAACTTGGAGCCCCAGGCGTATGTCGCGGCCTCGGCGTCCGAGGTAGGCGGGATGGTGACTTGCGCTGGAGTCGGGTAGACGCCTATATATGCGTTCTGGGGAGCGACCGATCAGTAGTATTCCTGCGCTCGAAGAGAGGGGCTCAGTGGATAGGTGTGATGAGAGACTTACTCGCACGCAGATGCTGCAGTTGTCTTCTTTGATGTCGCCTTCGGATAGCTCTGGGAGCGGTCTGGTCTTGAAGTCAAAGGTGGCGGCACCGCAGATGCAACTGCCTTTGTAAGTCTTGAGGCCCTCCGCATCAACAGTGGAGTCGATGGTCTCGACCTTGGCCTCGGGGTGGCTTGATCTGGGAGGTCCTTTAGTTCTCGTGGCCTCATGAACGTTCACGATAGAATCCTCCGCAAGGAAGGACTACAAAACTATGGCTCTCGTCTTGTTCCACTCTAATCCACTAATAAACTGCAAAAGCTCCTAGAGAAGTACAAACGACTGGAAGTCGTGGACCAAGAGAAATCAAAAGCTTACTGTTCGATTTCGAGAGCAAACGGGTTCACGTCAAGTAGTGTTCGGACCTGAAACCATCTTCAGCCTGTTGCCTCTCGCAGTCTAGAACGGGAGAGCTTCACGTTGACACCAAATTTGCCCTTCAGCGGCCCGCTCAGATGCGTGCCGGCGACCGAGCTCGCGCAACTGGTACAGAACTACTCATAATCTCAATCATCTCACCCGTCACAATCACCCTCAAAGAGAATTTTGAGGCCCGAGGGTGCATACCTTGTGGTCAAGTGTATCGCCGTGTCGGGTGCTAGTGAGCGATCCGTCGTCGCGGATAATTCTGTAATCGCCGTTCGCCGGAAACGCCCAGAGAATGCCGTTCTTGTGACAAGCGACGCAATCACAGGAGGTCGCGGTCTTGAGCTCCGTCAGGTCGGCCTCGAACTTGAACTTCCCACAGTGGCAGTTGCCTCGATAAGTAATCTTCTCGCTCATTTCATTCCGGTCACGCGCCAATACGATCGGTTCAGTCACTGCCTAAGTATGTCGTGGAGTGGTAAATCGCCTTGGTATGTGGAGGGGGAAATAGTATTGTGCGGGCTGCCCGGCATATATACTGTCTGGCTGTCTTCGTCCAAGCACTCACAGACAAGATTATCGTAGTGCCCCACAGAAGGAATATAAATAGGCTGCATGTCATAAATAGTTAGTGGGTCTAGTGACTGATTCCCGCCTACCATAGTGCTGGGTCTGACCAACCCGGTAAGCACCAACGGTCCAGCGGTTATTCACCTTCCTCAATGGATATTAGCGAGCTTATGCATACATTATTACATAAGGTGCGATTGAGACCAACTATGGATTAAATCCAGTCATAAATTCTGTATGTATCCATTGCTTGCTCCAAAGCTTGACAATGGCCAGGTTTGTGGTGGTTCTTTCTAGAAAATGGTGTGAGTTTATGAAGTGACAATATGTTTTAGTAAATTGCTTCTAAGCAAACCGTGTTAAAAGAATATTGACGGCATCTTTCAAATCACGCTGAACAAGGCATATCAAAGCCATGAGTGTGCTATATGTTCATCCATGACTGCCATGTAAGACACCTTGCAATGTGCTAACAGCAGCGCTGCCCTCACGAGTTGATTTGGATTGACCCAGCTTTCACGGGAACCATTTTAAGAGGGGGGGAGTTTGGGTTGTGGTCACACTTGTGTTGCATTTAGCATCCTTTGAGCGCATGGCGACGGCACAGCATCAGATAACAACGATGTTGATTATGCCGTAAGCGCATGCAGGTCTCTCCAGTAAGGCCTTGCTTCTGAATTATATCATAATCTATCCTATGGCAATATATAAGACGAGCTAATGCCCTGAGATACACTGTTGGTGCACTGCGATCTAAGTTGACGAGTGTAATGATAGGTTACAAATGTATAAATAGACTATTAAGACTTTTACTTCATTCTTGAATGATGTCGTTACTGGAACATCTTTTGGTACAGGTATTATGTTAGAAAATTTGCATCAGTATCAACAACGATTTATATATTGAGTCTCGATACTACCACTGTGATTTCATGGTTTGAGTTTCTATCATCCACGATTCGGATTCGAGGCCTAAGTCTTCAAACGACAAGTTATTTATGAGGTGAGACAACATAGTGTACAACAAATCCTCAAGTTCATTACGAACATGAAGCTGAATTACTATGCTACAAGATAGTGTTGATGGACAAATAAGAGTGTTATCTGAGAGTAGCATGTGTATGTAATCACTGAAATATTTTCAACAGGCGTAGAGTGTATCTGAGATCACACGTAATCGTGGCGCCGGTAAAGCTGTTCTCATTCTAGTTATGCAGTGTAACGAAGACAATTCCCGAATTGTTTTCGCCAGCTCACCAAACTGAAGACTAAGGGGTTCCTTCCCACCTCTTCGAACGGCAGAACTACAAGGAGCCATGCATCCGGCAGCAAGATCACGTAAATTATTGGTTGGTGTGTAAATTGCACTGCCGGGTGCCAAGATCAGCCTTATGCTGTTTTCAGGGAGCGAACTGCAGTCCTTGTTGGGTTCCAACCTCGTGATTGGTTATAATTCTCCCAACTGGCTGTTTCTTCACGGCCCCCAACTAGACAGGCTCCTTAAATTTAGAGTCATTGAGACTCGGTTTATCAAGGTATGTTAATTATAAAATGAGACAAGGAGTGGAGAGCAGAAAATTCTTCGTAGGTCATCAACTCATGGACTTAAGAAGGGAGCACTGAGCCTCCCTCAGTATGGTGGTTCTTTAAGTATGACAGGCCTTATGCATATTATCTTCGTCATCTTCAACGAAAAAGAATCTGCGTAGTCGACGACGCCCCCTGATTACACCTGCATTACCGCAGCAGTAGTATGTCTAATACATACTGCCGTGTTGTCGGGCAAGAACGACTTATCAGTCCAACTGATTATTCACAACCTATACAAGCACTTACATCAAGGACAGTTCTACGGAGCCATTCAACGCCATCAATGCTTGTAGAACAGAGCGGACATGTTATTTCAGCTCCTCGGTCTGCAGATAACCAAAATTGCGAAACTGGACCCCTCGAAGGCGATCATTTGATGGATACACATGCCTTTTCAGGCTCGAACGATAATTTACTGTCTACACCCAAGAGCTGTCTTCGGACAATTCCAGACTATAAACCGCTGCCTTTGAGAGTATGGTATCTGGGAATCGTGGTTATCATTCTTGCAACTCTACTCAGCCTTACGGTATTTGCAGTACATATTTTACCGGACGGAACAATGGCAAGCAAGCCTCTGCTCGAGGTCGATCACATCAAGTCAAGAAGGCGAGAACCACTACAGCATTATACACAATTATCCAACCCCAACTTAAGATATGATCCTCCGAGATTGAACTTACCGACGGTCGATTCCAACAATATTGACCGCACAGTGTACGGTGTTGCCATGAGGGATACTGGTATAGTCAGTGAACTGACTTTACAAGGCACAAGCCAAAATCAGACTATGACAACGCATCAGTCAACTGTCATCAGCAACACTGGAAAGACATGCACGACCACAATCTCACAAATCACCACCTATCTAAGTACAACCACAATTTCTGTGGATGCGTCACTCATGCCGATAACCACTTCAAATAGTCTGTCGTTATCCGCAGATGAGTGTGCAATATGGGTTACGGTATACAAGGATAATCATTGTAAGGTCTGCGAGGATGACGCTGTCGACTATGTCATCGTTGGCCTGAATACTGTAACTGTTACAATCGATTCGAAAGCCACTACTACTGCAGACACCGCCCAGGGATCTGAAAGTCGAATGGACGCAAACCCCAGTCCCAATGCAGCACCTGCCACTATAAAGCTCACAACTGCCACTCTAACACCGACAGCTACACCAATAAGCATAGAAGATTCTAGTACTTCTTTGGGATTGGGATCTATACCTTTCGCAACTACGATATTGACATCTGCTCACACAACATCCCCCACCAAAATTGATGATTCAAGCATACTAGCACCTCATCCCGAAGTATATACGTCTAGTAGTCGTACAAATGATGATAATGCAATCGGAATTGACTCTCTCGAAACGATGGCAACTATACAAGAGGGCGCATCCCGGATTTACACGGACAGTAGCACCTACGATAGACCTGGTAGCCGCCCAGTAGATAGCGGCGCAATTGGAACAGAAATCGTCTTACCGATTGCCACCACCTTCACGGACGCACAAGGTCAGCCTGTAAGTACCAAAAGACTCGACGAACCGGCGACTCGTTCACTCGATAAGATTGCGGATGAAACCGGAGTTTCTGAAACAATGACCACGATACTCTTAGATGCAGAAGGGCATCCGACAGACACTAGGATGCTTGTTATACCCAATACTCGTCCACCCAATCAGAGCATGACTAGAACTGAAACGGCTATGGTCATCGTCACAACCCTTACAAACCCGCTAGGACATCCCACCGCCACCATGACGTTTTCGACGTCAACTGCTCATTCGTATTATACGAATAGAGACGAAGTAGAATTCCTCACGATGATGACCACGACCCTTACGGATAGCCAGGGGATTCCAACTGCTACTAGCACGTATTTGGCATATGCTTCAAAATTGACAGAAACATGGGCCGACATTAATGGCAAGCCAACGCGGACCGAGACACTGGCTGTTCTGCAGTCTGGTGTCACATCTGTTCTTTCTGATACAGAAGGCATTCCGACGCGAACCATGACGTATTTCTGGTTGCCATCAACAACTATCCTAACTGACAGTCAGGGGAAGCCAACCGGTACAAGGACCACGTTGGCGGCAGAGACTGTCTCGACGTCTGTGTTGGTCGACGTAAACGGAAACCCAACAGGGACCGTAACAGCGTTGAGTCCTGACAAGACTCCAGTGCCAACTTCTGCGGAGCCAAAAACCTCAGAACCATCCAGCACTGACAATGATAACGATACTGTCACTAAGGAGTTATTACAAGTTTACGGCATTACTAACGGCCAGTATTTCGTTGGACTCATCCTTCCTGCTCTGCTAGCGACTATCCTCGGAGTCCCGATCCGTGTGCTCGACTGCAATGCCAAACTATACCAACCGTTCCATGCTTTAGCCAGGGCGTCGTCCAATGGCGCTACCGCTCAGCAGTCACTATTATTCGAGACGAACGGCCTTAAGAGCACTATGAGAAGCTTCTTTACCTGCCAGCAAGGATATACCCTCTTGCGCTTGACAGGAGCTCTTACATTACTCAGTACCATTCTCGTGCCCGTGAGTGTCGAAGCAGTGCGTGTCATTATCCAGGGTGACGATTGTCGTGAGGGCCAAGGCAATGCGCAGAACTGTGCGATTACCCTGGGGTCTTTCCCTGTTCCAGCATATATTGTGGTCGCGTTGCTGTCAGCCATGGCTACTTTAGTCATCGCAGTAGCTGTTGTGCTACGGAAATGGGACACAGGTGTCAGTTCCAAGCCATGGAGTCTGTATATGGTAACCGAAATAGCTTCAGACGAAGAATTCCTGAAAATATTAAGTGAGCTTCGCAAGACAAAACGTACTATTGACGCCACCGCCGATCTGTCAGAGGTATTGGGCAGGCAGCGTTATGGTTTGAGGTTTTGGAAGGATGGTGGCGCCCCAAAGTTTGCTATCACCATTCAAGAATCATGCAGCCCGAAACTTCTGGACAAAGCAAGCGCAGCAGATACGTCAGACCACGATAGCAATATCTCGAACTCACAAAGAGGCCGGAAAACAATGCCTGTTTTTATGTTGACGATCACTGGGAGACTGCTCGCCTTATCACTCATCATGGGATTTATTACCCTAATCGTGACTTACTACAAACTCAGGAATACAGGCTCCAGGTTTGCTGAATTCATGGACAGTGAATCGGTAGGCGTGCGTATCCTGTTTTCCAGTCTAGGCATCATTGTAACCATGTTTTGGACGTCTTATTTCCAGTGTAAGTAACGCATTACCTGCTCTCATAATAACTAACATTTGGTAGATGTCGCTTTACTGAGCCCTTATAAGCTCGCCCGTGGGAGGGGACCTCACGCCCAGAAAGCCTTCCATCTTTGTCCACCGACAAATGCGATCAGCGGTTTGGTACGAGTTTTGACTGGCAAGCACCGTGACTTGTACCTTGGCATCGTCGCTAGTGTATCACTGTTATCTGAATTTCTACCAGCACTCTTGGCCAATGTGCCTTATCGAAGGATCGAGACATGGTTGGCGCACTCAGTGTGTATGTGGCTTGCTGTTGCGTTATTGTGTATAATGATGCTCACAATTATGGGATCTTTTTTTGTTGATTGGCCGCACATGCCCGTTGACCCAAGCACAATAGCAGGGGCAATGTACTGCGTGGTTGTGCCTGGTCTGTTAACAAATCCGATAGCATCAGAATCATCGCAAGAAGCACGCATGAGTATTGATGGATCTGTGTAAGCATATTAATGCAACCAGAAATTTGCACCGGCAAGTGGCCTATAAAAAGGTTCACGAAGGTGCAACAGAATCTCAGTGGTCTTCAACTAATATAATATGGACTAACCTTGAAAATTTCCGGATTTGGTACTGGGCCTAGATGAGAAGCCACGGGTATAATAAAGGATTAAAATCTTAATCATAGTTAAAGTAACAGATGTTCGAGTTCGTAAGCCTTCGTGAAGCTTTCTATCGGTAGTTTTCGCCAGATAACTCAAATCCTCTCAAGTTTATTTTGAATTAATTCCGGGACTCCCGTTGTCGTTGCCCGTTATGTCATCCCTTCGGCTGAGCCAAAAACAATGGCATTGAAGTATTGACTCCTGGACCCCACTTTCTGCAAATGAAATCCCTTTCCTAATTTTGACGAACTCCCTCAGGATAAAACAGTAGCTGACAAGGAAAATACGATGTTTTAGGCTGCGCAACACGTTTGCAGACTAGTAGAAGCTCACCAACGGCTTTTTCTAAGTCTTCTCTTTTGCCTTGGGTACCTTGAGGCCGCGGAATGACACCAATTGGTCTCCGCGCTTCGACGTCAGAGCATTCGTGATCGTCAACTATCCAAACAATTTTCTGTGCAATGAAACTATTCATTACACTTGACAAGATTGCCGTAACCATCATGTAGAAGCTGTTATCAAGTCCAAGCATACTCGATTTTCGATGAACACTCGCATTGGTTTGGCCACATTTGCTTATCGTCGTCGTTGTCTTGCAGGTAGAGAGAACAATTTCTTTGAAGTCCACTAGTTTACGCGGGTCAAGATTTTACCCTAGTCTGACTGTTGTACGATGATTTCTCTTGTCCTCAATATCCCTCCAAGATTATCCCGTGGCTTTGGCGGTGTCTGCGAAGGTAGTATTCTCTCCTCGCTTCCTGACTCAGTATCGGAGTGTCTGTAAAATGATGAAGAAGTCACAGCACTTTTGTTTTCCCCTTTCGTCATAGCCAGGCTGAGTTCACTAGATTTTTGGTCCACGGGGATGTGATCTGTCAGCTCGATAGAGCCTCGCCCTCTCTTGCTTCGTGATTCGTTTGTACCACCGATTGTCACAAGTCCATTGTTATTGCCAGTGTTATTGCGTCTCGAGCCGCTGTTGGTATAGTTTCGAGCTGTTGACATGCCGCGTGCACGGAAGAAAAGAGGACCTAGTGAAGGAGCACAGGCTGCGATTATACCGACTTGAAGTTGTAGAAAGCCCCAGAACTGTATACTTTGCTTACTATTTAGACAAGATCAGTCAACTGGCTGTGCCAATAGTCACTTCTCCCTGGTGTGGTTGCTCACAATGTATTGTCGTTCTTAGAGCTGTACGTTATCTGGTGAACCGACTTGATGATGCCCATGGTCACGGCACTGATGAAGAATTAGTATTTGACACTTTTCGAATACTAGCAAGGTCTGCACTCACGCATAGCCGAGACTGAAAATCGATATGATTGACAATCGTTTCCGAAGTTCCAAATTCAGGGACCAGATTACTGGAATGGGAACTGTCGCTAACAGGACGTCGGTGAATATGTTGATAGCTATGAGCAACACATGTCAGCGGAACAATACTACTCGAAGTCATGTTCGTAGTACCTGTGTTCACCAGGCCACCAATAACCAATACGTTGACTGATGCGCACTTCGCATTTATGCTCTTGTCCCAGTACCCAGCCATAGGTCGACAGAACAGGGTAAAAACGAACGTTCCACTGATAGCGTTTAGGACATTTAGAACTGGCATACTGTAAGCATTGAACGGTAACCTGTACTCTCATGCAATTATGCGGAGACTGACCTATTGTGCCCCAAAGGGAATAGATGTACCACTTCCTAGTTGAGCCCAGCCTCAATAAGGCGATTGCAATGGATATTTTGAGAAATGTGAGGGCCCAGCCGGCCGAAAATATCGACTGATACAACCCGGCTTGACTCATTATCCGTAGATCGGCAGCGGGTATCGTGTCCTGGTGGTGGCCGAGGCCGTGCCGAGACTGAATTATGAATATGGACCATCCTCCAATCGCGCACAGCTATGTATAACGTCAAAGACGATTAGCAAACATAGGCTCTGGTAGATTAGCGTCTGAAAGTCAACTTACAGCGCTACAAAATATCATAAGATCATCCCACCCAGGCGCATAGACTATCCATCCTCGTACGTATAGACGCAGGCCAGTGATGACCAGGGCGATAATGTGGAAAAGTGTGACGACTGCTACGATTTGAGTGGTGTTGCTTTCGGCTACATAGGTGGCATCGTGCGTGTTTGGTGAGTCCATCGTTTTGGAACCAATAACGAAAATGTAAAAGTAGCACACCACAATGTGCACGAGCGAGCCCAATGACTAAAGTACCGGCAGCGGCCAAGACGGCTCATACATATCATGTACACCCCAGCATATAGAACCACTGAAACTCCTGCTAAGCGATATGCGCCACTGCCACAACTAGACCGGTGTGCCATCAGATAGAGTTTACTGTCCTCTGCCTAGGATCATAGACCGGACTAACATTGCTTGCCATGTAGCAAGGGGGTTAGCTACCGTTACAAGTATTCCGTCACATTCTGGAAGTTCTCTGCACCAAATATGCTTGACTTGTTCGGGTATAGCTGTAGGATCTAAAGACATCCTTGGCCACATATCCATCCCAAGCGAACTGTTAGGTAGTCGGGAATAAATTTTCGCGCATCTCGTGGACTTTAACCACTATAATAGACGAGGCCGTAAACCCCCATCTTACGCAATAAAATCTAGTGTTTTCCTTCGTTATTTAAATTGTTGCCTAGTATTCCAATTTCAAAGACTTCACGACTTGACTGACAACCGTCAGATTGTTGTGATGTGCGTCCTGCTGCTGTTCAATAAACGTTCACGGACATCTCCACCAAGAATGGGGACTGGAACACGATTACCATCTGGACGGGAAGAACCTTAAGACAAAAGACTTGGCCTTGGCTGACAGGGTATGGCACCCATCTCGGCTATCGATGAACGTGTTTACGCATTGCTGTAGGTGATTAGCAAGAGTTCATTGGTCCAGGGCCAAAAGTGCACTAACCAGGTATAAAAACTAAGGTCCTGACAAAAGCCCAACAAGTATTTAAACCACAACCCAGAACATACGTTAGAAATAATGAGTATATCCTATATAACTTATAAACGAGTAAAATTTTGCATGCCATACATGAATAAGTGATAACTTATAAACTCGTATAACTTGTATATTTAACACATGTTCGCTGGCATGTTTTGATTACCCGCTGAACTTGTGCCAAGCAACTAGGTTTTTTGTACCTGGTTAGTGTTCTTTTATACCTGGTCAGTTCATAGTTATCCGAGCATCCCTGCCTAATACACATCTGCGTAGTGCTGTGTACGGCTCTGGTGATTCACTTGATTGGGCATACTTGCTGAACACGTTCTCGCTGAAAGTCGAGCCCATCCACTTGCTCCAAGTCGTTGATTCCAATAGCTTTCCCGGCCTGGAAATCCACAAACACAGAGATGCGAGATTAATACTGTATGTTCCATGCCTGGAAACCCGCGCCATATGCACTAATGCGCCCATATATTTCGGTTCATGGATCCTGCTGGGAAATGGCCGCTGATGAGGATCTCTGATTGGGTCGGCTACCAACAAGGAACAGCTCGCCTATGCGGTTCGACCCTTGCCGCAGAAAGCCGTCGCAACGTCCAATATACAAGGACAATTTCTTTCCACTCCTTCGCACCGGATGCTCAAGCTGTTTGAAGAGCGGCAGTCATCAACCAGTACCAAAGAACCTGGGAATTTGCTTGCCATTTCTTACGGGAGTGCATCCGGTCATTTATCCCTAACTTCCCGTAGCACTGGTTGTGGCTCTAAAATCATCATGACAAGCATTGATGATCTGATATCTGGCCAGCAAGTGAGTTCCGGGAACAGTTGCAGCGTGGTCAGCGATATTGCAGATCGTGTAACGATGAATGATCTGACACCCCCCTCCCCCCGGGCGGTGGCATAGAAGACCCTATCACACCCTACATAATATTACCTTCACAATCTGCGATATCGTTGATTAGAACTTATAACTCGCGTCTGTTTGAAGTTTAATCACTAGTCCTCTTCAAATACCAATCATTATGCATATTTCGGGTAGGTTAGTCGTGGTTGCCGTCGGTCTCGGCATATACTCTCAAACGGTACCTGCGACGAGAATCCCAGACACCGCGGCTAGCAGCATCATCGAAAAGGACGTGGTCATCGTTGGTGGTGGCGCATCAGGCGCACACGCAGCTGTCAGGCTCCGAGAGGATTACGGGAAGAGCATTGTGATCATCGAAAAGCAAGACAACCTTGTATGTCGCGTGGAAACTAAATTGGCTCATGCAGTGGTCTGTACTAATTTCAGTAGGGCGGTCATGTCGAAACTTATATCGACCCGGTCTCTGGCAAACCATACGATTATGGTGTCAACTCTTACACCGAATATGGCGCAGCCGAAGAGTTCTTCAGTCGTTTCAATATATCCCTCCAGACACCGACCAGGCTCACCTTGACGACAACGTACGCGGATTTCAATACCGGCAAAGTCCTGGACGGCTATGTGGCACCTCTCAATGCCAACGTGACTGCAGGCCTCCAGAAGTATCTTGAGATTTGTGAACAATACGAAGATTTGATTATTCCTTCATACGCCAACTTCCCCACCGAGGATATACCTGAAGATTTGCTGCTCAAATTCGGCGACTTCGTGACGAAATATGGCCTTGAAGCCATAGTCCCACGAGTTTTCCAAGTTACCGGTCTAGGATTAGGCAATGTCGTGGACGAGCTCACTCTGTACGTGATGCAAGCATTCGGTGCACCGATTGTACGAACTTTCTTGGGTCTTGCAAACTCGTGGGTCCCTACGACGAAGAGGAACCAAGATTTGTACGACAATATTGCTACTCTCTTGGGTGAAGACGTACTGTATTCCACGACTGTTATCCGGTCACACAGGTCTTCCAATGGCACACAACTGCTCGTTCAAGACAGTAACGGCAAGAAGACGTTGCTAAAGGCGAAGCGGCTGCTCGTGTCGCTCTCGCCGACAGCTGCAAACACGAGAACCTTGGACCTTGACCAGACTGAGCAGAGCATTTTCGCAGAATGGGGCATCGATGCAGTCTTTGCGGGTATTGCCAACCACCCTTCCCTGCCAGTCAATTACTCGATAGTAAATTACCCTGCTTCGGTCATCCCGAGTAACTGGCTCGAACTCCCCGAAACCCCTTTCGTCGGACGTTTCGAATATCTTGGTGACTCGAACTTCCGAGTGTTGGCTACTGGCACAGAAGACTACGACATCGCAAAAGCCCAGGCTCTAGCTCAGGACGCATTTGACAAGCTTGTCGCCTCCGGGACGATCGCTAATGCGACTCAAGGGCAGCCACTGAGCTTCCCAGCGTTCGCAGCCCACATTGGCATCCACCCTCACGTTTCAGTGGATGAGTTGCAGTCCGGCTTCTACCAGAGACTGTATGCTCTCCAAGGGCGACGATCGACATTCTTTACGGGCGGCGCTTGGGCAGCCGATTTCACCACGATCTTGTGGGAGTACAACAACCAGTATCTGCTCCCGAAGTTGTTGGGAAGCTTGTGAGTAGAGCTTGGTTGGGTATAGGTGTACAATAAACCATGAAAGGTCGTCGGTATGAGATGTACACCATGATACTGATGGTGTGGACCTTTGGGTCGTACTGAAAACGGCTGCTTGTTATCGGCTGTATTGGTGTTGCAACATGAATAGTTTACGTACCGATGAGCCCACAAACACTCTGGCAGATGTCACTGCATATCTGTGTGTGCCTAGCCTGAGTGATTGTGAGACGATGAGTCTGGGTTTAGCTGTGGGTTGTGGCAAACCGATTTGTGAAGCAGTGTCGTCGGCTGCAGCAAAAGATTTGGTGTTATAAAAGCAAATGCTTGTAGTGATGCTGGTAAAGGTCAGGCTAGACTGAAGGATGACAAGAAAGATGTAAGACCCAAGTTAGAAGCTCGGTGTGTGTCGAAGGCGCCCTGTCATGGGTCAGATAGTGGATAGTTAATGATTACCATTTTGGGTTCTGACCTTAGGCAGGTCCCCAAGTCCCGTGGTTCCGTGGTCCCCTGGTCCCCTACAGTAGCGCTGTTTCCCCAAGAAAGTGAAAGTGGGCGCTGGCGGCCGATCTTGCGAGCCTCATTTTTAGAGCCCGCCCACGATCGCTGTCAACGCCGTCGAAGAAAGTCGGTGCATCATGAATCTTCTTTCTTTCTGTCTGTCTGCCTTTTTGTTCAACCACGGGGCGCTGACCGTTGTGGCGACGGAATAGCCAGTCTTTGAGACCCGCTTGCACTATTCTCTAGCAAATTTCATCCTCGACGCCCCCTCGCTTGCACCAGTGGAGATTCCAACCAGTTCACTGAAGTAAGCTTGATCCCACTTTGCCTGTCCTTACCGGACCTTCCACCACCACTACTGCTACAAAAAACGGCAAACAACAGCCTCGCGATTCAGGTTCCTCTGACAGCCGGCATCTTCACACCTCGACCACATCCTTCGCTTTCAATACTACGAACCTATCAAAACCTTTGCGACAGCAAGACAAGCGGCAGCAACTATGGCGCTCTGCAACATGCGACTGGCTGAGGAGAGGTAGGGCTGCATCGCAACTTATTCGAGACTCTCGAGCTTGCGCTTTCCGACGTTAGGCCAGCCATAGCTGATTGTGTTATCATGCAGAAAACAGTGGCGAAAAGACCATCCTTTTGGTTTCTGGGCAAGACCTGCTAAGCGATCCGATGGAGTCATGGACCTCAAGACCTGGGAATGCGGCATTCCCGGCAAGGAGAAGACCATGTGGGAGGGTGGCGTCTTCAAGATGACCATGACCTTCCCAGATGGTGAGTCACGATGCGATTGTGAGCAGAGATCAGAGTCCGCGTGCTAACCCTCTTCTGAATTCAGAGTATCCCACGAAGCCCCCGAAGTGTATGTATATTCCCGGTCCTCGCGGCAATCTACTCCTGAGCTGTTTGGCTAACATGGCTTTCGCAGGCAAGTTCACGCCGCCGCTATTCCACCCCAACGTCTATCCCTCGGGCACCGTCTGCCTGTCAATTCTGAACGAGGAGGAAGGCTGGAAGCCCGCCATCACGGTCAAACAGATCGCGCTTGGTGTCCAAGATCTGCTCGACAACCCCAATCCCGAGTCGCCCGCACAAGCCGAAGCCTACAACCTCTTCAAGAAGGACAAGGTGGAGTACGAGCGACGAGTTCGCCGCGTGGTTCGGGAGAATGCACCCTAGACTAAAGGCAAAAAACACTTCACTTCTGGGCAGTAGCCTAACGTATTTGCCGTCGCAAAGCGCTGGGGCAGCATGCAAAACTTCGTAGGCATGGGAGATATGAGGCGAATTGATACAGGACGGCGTTCAGGGAGCGATACCATATGCCATGACTTCTCTGGTTTTCGTGATGGCATTTTGATGCTTCATATCTGGACAGACAAGCACTGGTTGTTTTCCGCGGTTACATTTGCAGTTATGAATGGAGTCTGGCATAGATGACATAATTCATAGGGATACCAGGGCAGGCTTTGATGACATGACATGACATGACAATTTCGATGGTTCAGTAAGGAATCGCCCCCCGACCGGCATGTCTATGCTCTCGTGACTATACACACAACAAGTACGCAAACGCAAACGCAGGCAAGCAAGCGAGCAAGCAGAAGCCACTCAACAACTGTGCAAAGGAAATACCCGACCTAGCCTGCATAAATAGATACCGCCCCCACAATACTGCCCCGCGGTCGTGTCGAGCATGTATGTATGTAGTATGTACGTGCTATGGTAATCCCAGCCTGCTGAATGGGTACATGCTTGGCCAGGCATGATGTCAATCTTTCCCGATAAGTTTAGGGGACGGTATTCGACAGCTCTCTGGACCTGCAGAAAACACGCGTGACAACCTCAGGCGGTCAACGTCACGAAAAGGAAATTCGAGTGTCACGGCAAAGCTCCTTATCAGTGTCGTTTACATAATGACAGGGTCCTCGTCCCAGGGCATCGGCACATCAAGAGTGTCGCCGGCCCAGTCATAGCTGCTATTCCGAGATCGGCCGGCAAACAAGCTCGACTCTGCCCTGCAACTAGGTTAGCACTTTCGACGGGCTCATTGAGTGGAAAATTCCTGAAAGGCCCTTCAAGACTCAGAGTCAGAGAAGGCGATTTGCTCCCCCGGCCCTATTCGAACTAGTTCCTACTTTTAGTAAAAGTTCAGGACCCGGTTGCCCTTTTGTGTTTCCTCCCATCTCATATTATTCCTCACGCTTGTGGTTCGTGGACAACTTCTTGCGCTCGCCTTATTCAACGCCCTCCCAGACCTTTTCCCTCCCTGCCTCGTACAAGCAAAAGCACCAGGAAATTTGCGGAACCGACACCAAAATGTGTGGCATTTTTTCATGTTCAGGGCGAGTACAACCCGTTTTCTTGGACCCCCCTGGAAAGCTGTAGAGTGTCTTGAATATCAATTCGTGACTTGGAGGGGCACTTTGGACCCCGCCAAACACTTTTACGCTCGTTCGCGGCCGGAAAGAAGCACAACCAACTAACATGTGCGTAGACACCCAGATGTGCAGAAGTTCAAGCCCACGGCCTTGAAACTTGCAAAGCAGTATGTGCTCTTTTTCTCCACCGTCTGCGACCTCAATTGACATGTTTTGAACAGGGTCCGACACAGAGGTCCCGATTGGAGTGAGTCACGAATCGACAATACATCCTTGGGGGGCGTATGTTAACCATGCTTAATAGGTGGAAGTGTGATCTGCAACGATACCAGTAAGACGAGTTCGCATCTGAGAGCAATAGAACAGGACAATGCTAACATGGTGCCTTCACAGTCCTCTGCCACGAACGTCTTAGCATTGTTGGTGTTGGTAAGTCGTAATCCTGCCCTATGCCTGGGCGCACATCTTTACACACAAGCCCGTGTTTGCTCACACAAATTTACAGAGTCCGGCGCTCAGCCCCTTACCAACGAAGATGACTCGATCATCCTTGCCGTCAACGGCGAAATCTACAACCACAGACTGATTCGAAAGAACTTGAAGACCCCCTACCACTTCAAGACACACTCCGACTGCGAGGTCATCATTCCTCTCTATATGGAATATGGTCTTGATGCGCCCAAATACTTGGACGGCATGTTCTCGTTCGTGCTGTACGACAAGAAGCTTGACCGCACGATCGCAGCTCGTGACCCTATCGGCATAACCACATTTTACCAGGGTTGGGACTCGAAATGTGAGAAGTCGACATATTTTGCCTCTGAGCTGAAGTGCTTGCACACAGTTTGCGACAAGATTCGGGCATTCCCTCCTGGTCATATTTTTGACTCCAAGACTGGTGAGACCCACAGGTATTTCCAACCATCGTGGTGGGATGGCTCGAAGGTCCCCGAAACACCTCTTGACTTGAAGGCCATCCGCAACTCATTGGAGAAGTCCGTCAGGAAACGGCTTATGGCCGAGGTGCCCTACGGTGTCTTGCTTTCCGGTGGCCTTGATTCGTCCCTTGTGGCTGCCATTGCCCAGCGGGAGACCCTGCGCATGAGAGCTGTGGCCGAAGCTGCCAACGCCGAGGCCGAGAACGCCGACGCCGACAAGGGTGAGGGTCTGGTTGGAATCGACGACGACAACAAGCTCTCGACCATGACATTCTTACCTCAACTCAACTCTTTCTCGATTGGTCTGCCTGGCTCGCCCGACAACGAGGCCGCCAAGAAGGTCGCCAAGTTCCTCGGCACCAAGCACCATGTCATGACCTTTACTATTGAGGACGGTCTTAACGCTCTGTCCGACGTCATCTACCACCTCGAGACCTACGATGTGACCACAATCCGTGCCTCGACGCCCATGTACCTGCTCTCGAGAAAGATCAAGGCTATGGGTATCAAGATGGTTCTCAGTGGCGAGGGAAGTGACGAGATCTTTGGTGGATACTTGTACTTCCACGCTGCTCCCGACAAGAAGGCTTTCCACGAGGAGACTGTCCGCCGTGTCAAGAACTTGCACCTTGCAGACTGCCTGCGTGCCAACAAGTCAACATCGGCGTGGGGTCTTGAGGCTCGCGTGCCTTTCCTCGACAAGGAGGTACGTACAAAGCACCGTAGCAATTATACCCCAGAATACTGACATTCTCTAGTTCCTCGAGACCTGCATGAACATCGACCCTGCGGAGAAGATGATCACCAAGGAGAAGATGGAGAAGTACATCCTGCGCAAGGCCTTCGATACTACGGACGAGCCGGAAACGGAGCCATACCTGCCCGATGAGATCCTCTGGAGACAGAAGGAGCAGTTCTCTGACGGTGTCGGATACGGTTGGATCGACGGCCTGAAGGACAACGCCGAGCTACACGTGACAGACGAGATGATGAAGAACCCCAAGCCAGAGTGGGGCAGCGATATTCCCGATACCAAGGAGGCTTACTGGTACCGCTGCATGTTCGACGAGCATTTCCCTCCCCACTGTGCATCGACGGTCGAGAGATGGACACCGACCTGGTCGAAGCAGTCCGACCCTAGTGGTAGAGCCATCTCGATCCACGCGCAAAAGTACGAGGACAGCGCATGAGCGACGCGTGCCAAGAGGTGGGGAGGCTTACATAGGGAGAGCAAGGTGCACGGCAAAATGAAAAAAAAAAAAAGTGTTGTTTAGCATAGAATCAGGTATACCACTTCAATATATAGGGGTTCGGGTTGAAGCATTCGTATACCCTCGGATTAGCACGGCTATGCTGGGGTCTTTTGTTTTGAAACGAACCAAAGCAGGTCAGGTACTCGGTACATGGTATAATAAAATGAGATGAAATGACCAGTTGTATTCTCAACATGGCATGCGCAAGCACCAATGTGACAAAGACTAATTCAATCTGTGCGGCACTGAAACTTGTGGACGTTGTGTTGCAAGCGGTGTTGTGGCATCGTCTTAAGCAGGGCATGAATAACGTCTGTCCTCCAGACACCCATATGAGGAACTAGTCCAAGGTTAGGTATTCGCAATCTCAGTCAATGTTGACGTTGATTGGTGCAATGACTGCACATGATGGGCGCAGGGGTCGCGATTCGTTCTGAGAAGTTCGCTCTCGCGGTTCAAGAGGAAGCAGAAGCGGAACCCTTGGAGGCAGCCCTGGACGGAACTAACCTTAGTCCAGAATAGTAGCTGAATCGTCACTTGACAGACTGGTTCCTGACACTGACAGTGACACTCGAGTGCAATTGGATGGGATTGGGTTGGGATTGCATTGCAGTGCCAATTGCATTGCATTGACCAGGCCGCTGGGCTGGGGGGTCTGCGGCTGGCTCATACCGCTACTGCGACTGCGACCGCTCCCGCTACCGCTGGCGGCCAAAGAAAACAAATTTCACCAGTAGAGGAAAACATCACCTTTTCCATACAATCATAATCTTCATAACCCAATCTTCTTCTCTCAACTCTATTTCCATCTCATCCTTCGACTCTTTGCCCAGCATGTCTGTCCCTGCCTTCTCTGACATTTCCAAGTCCGCCAACGACGTAAGTTTTCCGTTCCATAGCCCGCTGCGCCGTGCGCTGGAGCTATCCCCCAACATTTCGGCTCTGAAACTCCAACCCGAAATTTCCCGCATGAGGCTATCGCGAAGCTTTTTCCGCAATTGCACTCGGTCAGCGCTGACCATTACTCCATCGTCTAGTTGTTGAACAAGGACTTCTACCACCTGTCCGCCGGTACCATTGAGGTCAAGAGCAACACCCCCAACAATGTTGCTTTCAAGGTGACCGGAAAGAGCAGCCACGAGAAGGCCACCAGTGGAGCTGTAAGTTGACCTCTCCCACCCCAGACACTGCTTCTCAGAGCGCGTCAACCATTCAATCCCCAGTAACCTTCAAGTAAGGTCCAAGGGATGGGTGTGGCGTTGCTGGGACTGTCCTATCAACCTCTTCTGGGACCAATGGCTGACCATGGGATTTCTTGTGCTTGCAGTTGGAGGGAAAATACTCAGACAAGTCGCTCGGTAAATCATCCACCACAGAATCTTCATCTCGAACAGCATCAAGCAAGACGAAAAGCAGCGGGCAAAAGAGATCGAGAAAGAAACCAACCTCCCTCTCATGTTCGCTGTCAAGGATAACAGTGCCCGGCCCTCGCGCCTGGCCCTTGGAGTTTGCCATCATGCTGAACGATACTTACCCCTCAACACTGCTAACAATTTACCGCCGAACAGGCCTCACCCTCACCCAGACATGGAACACTGCCAACGCTCTGGAGTCCAAGGTTGAGCTCGCCGACAGCATCGCCAAGGGCCTCAAGGCTGAGGGTGTCTTCAGCTTCCTGCCCCAGAGCCAGGCTCGCGGCGCCAAGCTCAACCTGCACTTCAAGCAGAACATCTTCCACGGCCGTGCCTTCTTCGACCTCCTCAAGGGCCCCGTCGCCAACGTTGACGCCGTCGTTGGACACGAGGGTTTCCTCGCCGGTGCCTCTGCCGGTTTTGACGCCCAGAAGGGTGCCCTCACTGGCTACAGCGCCGCCCTCGGCTACGCTGGTCTCGGCTACAGCACCTCCATCACTGCCACCGACAACCTGAGCACCTTCGCTGCCTCTTACTACCACAAGGTCAACGGCCAGGTTGAGGCTGGTGCCAAGGCTACCTGGAACTCCAAGACCGGCAACACTGTCGGCCTCGAGGTCGCCAGCAAGTACCGCCTTGACCCCGTCTCTTTCGCCAAGGTACGTTCTTATCTCTGCATGTGTGACTCGCAATGTGCTCAGCAACTGACTGACAATCTGTAACAGGCCAAGATCAACGACCGTGGTGTCGCTGCCGTTGCCTACAACGTCCTCCTCCGCCCCGGTGTCACCCTGGGCCTTGGTGGTTCTTTCGATACCCAGAAGCTCGACCAGGCCACCCACAAGGTCGGTGTCAGCTTCACCTTCGAGGGTTAAGCAAATGGTTTGTGCAAGGAGTTTTCAGAGAGGGTTCTCTTGATGTCGAGGAAGCTGGACAGGTACCTGGACACATTATACCCCTTTCCTCGCATGTGTACTACAAACACCTCAAGATAGATCTGCATTCTAGCGAATTTCCTCTTGAATGTAGAATAGATTATTTGGGAAGCGCCCTTGATGTTTTCTTGACTCGTACTTTGTTCGCGTGAAAGCTATTCATGAGGTTATACACGATTCTCGTGATTATGTACGGTGCCTTTGCCCTATACTACACAACGGGAGCCAAGCTATGCGGCAATGCCAGCTTCCAATGTTCTCATGGTCTGGCTGGTGACCTATTCGTCTTCGTCTTGTTACTGTTCCAAGCCCGACTCCAGATCAAGGGGCCCAAGAAGCTCAACATGAGCACACCACTGATGACGAAGAACATACCCGTCGCCCCCCCGTCGCGCTCGACGTCGACGCGCTCGCCTCCACCACCCATCCTCGTGTGCCAGCTGCGAGTCCGGTGCTCCTCCGTCCTGCGGCCCGTCCTCTCGTGGCCCTCGCGGTCGAAGTGCGGCACATCCTCCCGGTGTCCAAAAGGGTCCTGCCCGGGCCCCATGCCCCCGGCCCCGAAGCCCGCCGCGTTGCCGCCCGCCCAGTGCCCGTCGTTGTGGTGGTCCCTCGTCCCCGCGCCCCCCGACGCCGCGCCCCCCGTGCTCTCGTCGTGTGCCGCGCCGCGCTTCGCCCCATGTGCCCCCCAGCCTCCCTGCCGGTAGAAGCTCGGCGGCGGCCCGCGGAACGCGCTGCGCCGCCGGGAGAGGCCCGTCGCCGCCCGCCCCCCCGCTGGGTTCGACGACGAATACGACCCCGGCGGGCTGCTGCTGCTGCCGCTGCGGCTGAGGCCCAGCACGTCCCGGTCGTATCGGCTGCGCTTCTCGGGCTTGGACAGCGTGTCGTAGGCTTCCGAGATGCGCATGAAGCGGGTCGAGGCCGAGGGGTCAGAGCGGTTGTGGTCGGGGTGGTGTGTTTTGGAGAGGTTGTAGAATGATCTGCGGTTCCATGGTTAGGAAGGCACTTTTGAGAGCTAGAAAGTGAAGGGGAGAGAGGGAGAGAGAGAAACGCACTTCTTGATCTCGGCTGGCGTGGAGCCGGGTGCGATCTTTAGAGTCTCGTAGTGGTTTGTAGCCCGGTCGATGTCGGCCTTGTCATCGCGGAGGGGCGAGGTGGTGTGGAAGGGCCGTCGGAGTCGGTGATCGCGTGCTGCTGCAAGATGCTGTTGCGAGGTCCGCGCGGCCGGCCATTGAGCTCGCGGGTTCTGGGCTAGGCGGATGCCCGTCAGGAGGGAGGCGCAGCGGAGTGGCATCCCTCATCCCGAATATCGCGTGCTAGGCTTCGGGTTGGAGGGAAGTCATTAACAAGAAATAGAAGAGAGTGCCCAAAAAAAAAAAAAAGGAGGCTTAGCCTGTAAGGATAAGGTGGTGACAGCGAGAGTTCGATATCGGATAGGCCCTTTGACAAGTAAATGACGACATGGACATAGCGGGCTGATCGCTAGTGCACTTCAATTTTGGGGCTAATAAGCAACATTAGATAGCAGGTCTCTAGTTATGTAGCACGACTGAGCTTTGAAGGTCCAATGGCTGCTATTACCACACGACATTGTTATGATGATCTTTTTGTAGTATCCTTTATGATAGCATTGTTTGGATCTTGCGTTTACCTAGTATGACGTCCAATCGTTGACCCCCCGGCAGCTTAGCTCTGCAGCATTAGACTCGTGGACTCCCGTTGCAGTCGTCATTTGTATACTTCGCATATCTAGGGGCACTCTACTATATCGTCAGACGAGATGGTCTCATATAGAACTGTCTTGAATTAAGGAACAACATGGTCATATAAGTTTTGTTCCGTTATTGACACATCGTTTGGCTCTAATATTACCAAGTTGAAGACCCGACAGAAGGAGAAACATCAAAATGATAGCAACATACTCGTAAACCAACTTTCTTCCACCCTCACATGATAAGGGGTCTGCACCCTTCTAGTAGTCAAACAGCAAGACCTCTGCTCCCGCAGCATTCAATTTTCGCGGCTCCGCCGCTGCCCAGACCTCTCCATGCTCATCTCGATCTCAAGTATCACATTGCCTTCGAGAAAGTGGCCTAATACCTTGCCATCGATGCTGATCTTGAAAAGCCGTTGATCTAGAAACGTGTCTGCCACCTCAAATTCCTGGTGTACTTGTGAAATAGCATCATAGTGAACGCCAATTCGTTTCATGTCAGAGGCCGGGACCTCTTTGACAGTGGCCAGGTGGTTGTCTTCGCGATGATCAACGACATTTCTTTGGCCATAGTATTTCATAGCAGAACTCCTGCCGTATGCTTAAATCGAGCGTGTTAATTTCTTCGCGAAACCATATCACATGGTCAAATTGGGATTTTATTGGCCAGTCAAGTTGTATGCACTGAAGCACATTCGTACCTTAGATACCCGTTGCTGAGTACTTCAATTGCGTTCACAGAATTGGCGAGGAAGTAGGTTAGAGGCATATCAGAGGAAGTTTCGACAAGACTCGAGATCTGCCGTGAGAATTTTTTTAATAAATTAAAAAGAAAAAGGCCCTTCCAAATACTCCAATTAACTATCCACCTCATCATAAAGTTCTTTCGGTGGAGTTACTGTATTCCCTGAGAGAACGGCTCTATACAGAGCTTTCTCCCATAAATCTGGTAGCTCGTCCCAGAATCTCTGGATGATTATTCTATACACCGTCATCATTGCTTGTTATGTCATACCATGTGCAAAGAATGTCTTTCCTAGGTGGTTGGAACGACGCCGAACGACTGTTTGCTCAACTACCAGTACAATTCCTTCCCAAACAAAGTGACTGTGTGCCTTGGTCTTCGATGATATCTCCATAGACATCTTCTTCCAGATACTCTTTGAGATGAACGATTTCCCACTTAGCCCGCTGGAATGGTGCATCACTGGCTGCAAATCTGGTGAGCATTGAGCCTTCAGAAAGCCGTGTCAGCAACGCCTCTTTCCGCTTCTCTGCTTCGCGATGGTGCTTTTGTCGTGAAGCTCTGATCTCTTCCCACGGCTTCTAGGAGGAGCGCAGTTGACGTGGCTGGGCAAGTCAATACTCTTTCTCCCTTTATAACCCAGCTGGATGCCTGATGTCTTGTCACGGATCTCTGATTCTTTCGATTTATTACGCTGGACTCTGGGAAAAGTGTCATCCGGCTTTTCTTTGCGGTCGTCTTTGTCCGAATCACTGCCACTATCCTGCCCACGCGACTTAGCTTTCTTGCCGCCCCTACTGTGCCCGGCTGCTTTCCGCAACGATGATGATGTCTGAGATGGGTTTGCTGGTGGCAGTAATCAAGCAACTGTTGAGTCCGTTCTCCTGCTAACGCCACTGGCAACATCGCGAACATGCCCGGTTGGAAATATTATGATTGGTGTCGTGAGCATCTGGCACGACTCATCATACGTGGTTCGCTAATAATGTGCTCAGGTCCGCTGCAGTCCTGATGGTCTTCCTGCAAGTAGGCGACCATTGATGGTCACGAGGGCAGGGTGGTGGCTAGGCCACCACATCACTTCATGTAGCACTACACTTAGTTGATACGAGATCCAAAATACTTCGCCAGCATTATCACTGGAGCCAGAATGACTGCCGAACGTGTGCGCTAGAGCTGCAATTATTAGGACTTCCCCAGATCGAGACTAACTGTAGAGCTAACTGACGTCACTGCTCCTAAGAGGGCACGTTTCTACTAGACTGGTCTAATTAATTGAGGCGCAATAGTTACCTCAAACCTGGCAGTCTATCCTGTGAGCTTTCAGAGTAGCCCGAAACAATATCCTGTGCGTTTAACCAAAATGGCCACCGTATACCCCGACGTCGTTCCAATCATCGAATCATGGCTATCTGCGAATCATCAGAAGATTGAGAGTTTCTGGGTCGGCGCGGATTGGAGATACTGGGCACGATATGAGCTTTTCATGGCTCTCGAAAAACTCATCCCGGACTGTCTGGTTACGCATGGCATGTCCGAGTTCTGGGATGAAGGGGACGAGGAAGTCGACATTCTAGTGGAGCCGCGGGATGGAGATCGAGGCACTATAGCACTTTTGCTAAGGTGCGAAAACGTTGGCGAGAACGAGGGCAGCTACGAGAGGTTTCGGGACCAGCTGGATGCCGATGTGGCAAAGGTTGAGAGCCTGGGACGGGTTGGTAGCTCATTCGATGACGCGAGGCTGTTGCTGGTCGGCTTTAGTGGTGAGCCGTCAGCAGAAGATGCAGAGTTCAGGACGCAGCCGCAACCAGAGCATTTCGTCAAAGGAGAGGTTCATTGTTGGATGGTGCGGCACGATGTCCTGTCAAGGGACCAGGATGATTCTCGTGGGACGAAACTCGGCATCATTGTCCCAAGACATGGCAATCCGTGATCTCATCAAAAGAAATAGTTAACTCGGATGTCCTCGAGGCGGTAACAGCCAATCTTCCAACTTCGTGCAAAGACATCGTGTTCTACCTCTTATTTGCCATAGCCGTCACATAGTTGACATGTTATAGAAAGTGTCAAAAGATGCCCTAACCTAGTAGTTCTGGATTGAGCGTAAGTAGTGATGGCCAATCATTGTCAACTTCACCCCAGCAATGGGCTAGTGCCATAGTTGTCTTATTCTCTAAGCCAGTATCGGTGCTATGAATGATGTCTTATCTGCTTAACGAACAACGATTGCAAATTCGGTGTTGTAGTATAGTGTAACGATAAGAACCCCCAGATATACTTGGTTGAACAGAGATCACTTGGTTAGCATCTTTACTAGTCTAAGTGTAACGTTTTTACAGCGTAAAAACCACATACGTTGCTAGGAACGCTAAGTACTGTGGGCTGAGTTCTACAGTGGAACGCACTAAAGTATGAAGTCATAGCATACTCCGCCCGACATGTGGAACGCGGTCCTAGATGAGCTAAGCTTTCTGGAAACCATAAACTCTTGTTATGTGAATTTGACCATTCCGTAGCTTACAGTTTATTCCCCGACTCAAAGAACAGCTTGTTGCTTATGGCTGTACTCATATAACCCGACTAAGTAAGTACTAGTATGTGCCGAAACGACCCCAAAGAGTCAGGCAAATCAACATTTGTATCCAGTATCTAAATCGCGGGGTGCCTTTGACAGGCACTCCTACGTGTATTCCCGGAGCTAGACACCACGATGGCTTCACTCGCGAGGCACGGACGCGCCTTTGCACGAGTCACTGGTCAGGCACGGACACAGATCTCGAATCCCACGAGAATCTTTCCCATACAGCGAACAGAGCAAAGGCTCCCTGTTTCGAGGATAACAACTTTCACACTTCGGCGCGCGCAGCCCACCCGACCTTTCTCGCAGACCTCCCGCCGACAATGGCAGGGCCACGACCCCGAAGAACAACTACGCAAGGCGAAGCCCATTTTCACGAACAACGGCTTTCGGCGCTTCGTCCGCTCCCCTTCGACGCACACCGTCATCGTCCTCTCAATGCTCGGCGCGGTAACATTCTACTTCATGAACCTACAAACCGTGCCAGTCAGCGGCCGGAAGCGATTCAACTGCTATAGCCCCGGCACTGTTGAGGCTGTGTCGGGAGAGCAGTACAAGCGCATCATCTACGACGTCGAGCGGCAGGGCGGGCGGTTCCTAAGCGACTGGGACCCGCGGACACAAATGGTGAAGAGAGTTATGCGCCGACTGATACCGGTGTCGGGCATGGAAGACAGTGCCTGGGAGGTGCGTGTTATCGACGACCCGAGCCAGGCGAATGCTTTTGTGTTGCCTGGCGGGAAGGTGTTCGTATTCAGCGGCATCATACCCATCGCAAAAACCGAAGACGGCCTGGCCGCAGTGCTGGGACACGAGATTGCGCACAATCTTGCGGAACACATTGGGGAGCGGATGAGTGGGCAAATCGGTGTGAATATCCTGCTCGGCAGCGTGGTGCTTCTCACCGCTCTGTGGGGAGGTGCGCTGTTGGGAACACAACTTTTCGGAGGAACGCTACTCGACCTCTTGTTCTCGAGGCCTATGGGGCGAAGGCAGGAATCCGAAGCAGATTATATTGGGCTTATGATGATGGCGGAGGCCTGCTACAATCCGGAAGCGGCGCTCTCGTTCTGGCAGAGAATGGAACATTATAGCCAGGGCTCGCCACCAGAGTGGATGAGTACACATCCTTCCGTAAGTGCAGATTGGATTCAAGCGAACTGCCCAGCATGCTAACCATGTACAGAATCACAATAGAATAGAGAAGATCAGAGAGTGGCTGCCGAAGGCCATGGAGAAGAGAAACGAAAGCGACTGTCAAGGCACTGCTAACTGGGCTGACATGTTTCGAATAGCTCTGAGCCAAGGCCATAGGATAGAGTAGGGTGTGCTCTCATGGCCTTTGGTAAATCATGCAAGGGGCAAAATACGAGGCAAACAAGCTCTTGTCAAGGAAGATCAAGTCACGAAGCGCTTTTCGTTGTGGCAATCCTTTGCATGCCTGGTTGGGGGCAATAAGTATTGTAGAGATATGGCGTAATCGTGCCGTGCTGGTGTAATATGAGATAATATGACATGTTTAATAATAACAATATGGAATGTGTGAACGGTCGAACCGCTCAAAATTAAACACAATATACCTATTCACAATATGCGATTTCCCAGATATCGCGAAGTAGCTTCCGCTGCGCACAGTCATAAAGCTTGCGGCAGCTTTCATCTCGGCGCTAATGTATGCGCCCGGAGGCCAATGACGCGGGGAAACCTGATCCCTGACATGAGCTGTGCCGAGGTTCTTCGAATCGCACGAGTCGCATTGTCATCCTCATTGCGAGCAAATGAACTGGTCAAATCAGCAACACATCTGAGTTCACAAGCCTTGCCACATTGCGAGAATTGCCCTTGCGAAATTATACTACAATCAAACAAAAGAACTGTCGGAACAAATACGGAGTCTTGACGTTGCCCATAATGTCTAAGTCATTTACCAAGAAGGAGGTTGCGGAGCACAAGACGGAGGATTCGGGCATCTATATTATCGTTGAAGACGGCGTCTACGATGTCACAAGTGAGTGCAGCCATCGCGCGATGTTCAGGTGCCTGCAACAGGCCTACATCATCCCGCAAGGGACAGCAAGGACGATTTGCTAACACGATATGTGTCTGCAGAGTTCATCGATGAACACCCCGGAGGCTCGAAAATCCTCAAGCGCATGGCCGGCAAGGACTCAACGAAACAATTCTGGAAGTATCATGGGAAGAATGTTCTGGAGAAGTATGGCCCTAAGTTGAAGATCGGTACGGTGAAGGAGGAGGCCAAGCTGTAAAGAGGTAGATTCGCAAAGCAAGCGTTTGACAGCATTCAAGGTTTCTGTATACAGGACAAGACGCATTTAGAAATTGAACTTCTGGGTATCCATATACGTCACGAATTTCAGCTGTAGCGGTGGGAACTTACTTTGCCAGGTGATCGCATACTGTACGCTGGATGGTGCTGCTGGATATGCGACAATGTTCAAGTAGCCTGTGCGAAGCGATGGTCCCCAGAGATTCCCCAAACTGAGTTTCGTGGGGGAGAGCATTAGGCCAGCCCAGCTGCAAGGCGCCAGGTCAGTACACAGTAGAACCTAGTATAAGCGAGAGTAAGTGCACCCAAGCAGAGTCTCCTGGACCAGTTATTGCCAGAGGATACTCAAAGCGAGTACGTCATGGATTCGTACATGCCGTGACACTTTGTTGAAAGACTTAAAAGACAGGAATGCCAAGACTGGGGATACCCTCCCAGAGTCTGGGGGCTCTGAGACCAGAAAGCTTAAGAGCGAATGACAAGACTTTGGAAGGTCAGGCGAGCCGTCCTCTCCCATTGGGCAATGGCGAAGCTCGGTCACGCACAGTAGTACTGCGTAGGAAATTGAGCCAACAGTCGGGCGGTCCTTGGGCAATGGTTGCTGAGGGAAATGGCAAGTGGAGTCGATCGGTGGCCTGTTCTTGGCTGCAGCGAGAGTGACGTCCTTGGCTTTGCATTATCGAACTGTCGCTGCTCACAAGGCTAAAATCCTCAAATCCCAAGGACTCGGTTGAACTTGGTATTCTAGGCTGCGACATTTAGGAATGAAAATGGCTCGACCGCTGCGTGTTCTGCCGAAGATTTCGAGCATTCTTAAACTACGCATATGCAAGCAATTGACTCGCAATTCGGCTTTTGTGCAGCTATCGTAAGAAAAATCTTAACGTTCGGAAGCTACGACTAGGTAGAACAGGGCTTCCAGATACATGGTGCAGACGCCGAAGACGTGTGGGGCAGCATGTACCGCAATACTAAGCTTGGACCTGCATGTTGCTTTAGCGTATCAACAAACAATGAAGACCTCGATGGATGCTCGGACATTCACCCATCCACAAGTGAGCTCCGCAATCTTTGGACGTCTTCTTGACCATTGGAATTGAATTCATCCTCATTGCATCGGTCCTACAACCTAGATAGAGACGTCTCTTTTCCACCGAATCCAAGACCCCTTTATTCCTATACAGATCGCGTTCCGCCAGCCTTGACCCATCCGACCTGAGCGCTTCGACGGTAGGTAAGCCTGACGTTTTCTTCTGCGCATGGCACTTATATCTCTCAAAAATCATCTCCAGATAATATCCGTCATTTCTCGTCCGTCCCCATCCTGGAGCATACCCACTCGGCGATCTAGCGAATCCTTGCGATTCGTTCGAGTGCACCTTGAAAATTCGCGCAGGCCGAAGAAGCGAAAGCGCCCTACCGCCTCCCGCAGTCCCATAGCCAAGCTTTTTTCGTCTCTTCATTGCTTGACTCGAGCTCCTGCTCTCCACTATTGTGGTCGGCTCGGTCTAGTACATATTGTTTCCTCACCTACAGAAACATTTACCTCTCTTTTCCTTCTTTTCCTCTCTAGCACGCCCGTCTTGAACTGAAGCCCATCTCTTCCCGCTCAATCCCCAAAGATCTTGTTCTCGGCGTGTGTTGTTCGACGACCAGAGTCTAATCACCCACAACAACAACAGAGCTAAGCTCCACTCAAACACGCGACAAGCTCTCAGTATCAGACGAACTCGACTTCTCAGTCTCACCTTTAAAAGGTATGCCGAACTCTCCCAAGTGTCCAGACACGAGATCAGTTGGTCGCAAGAATGCTTGGAATCACTTGGATCATCATCAGGATGGATTTCCACACCCATTGGTGTGCCAACCGGTGACTCCGAACCCAGCTCGCGATTGGCCGTAGTTGGTGTAATGCGGCTTTTAAAGTCAAAACTGTTGCTTCGCTGAAGTGCGATCATGGATTGAGCCCATGAACTGGCGTCTCATTGATGAACTCTCTCTGCTATTGTTACGTTCTTGTACTAAAACGTCCCCGTCTAGACCTCAAAATGCCTGCCATTAACACTGCCCTTGTCGCCCGCGAGGCCTTCGGCGCCATCGCCAAGCGTGAGCAGAGCTGGCCCGCCAGAGAGGCCGGTGTCATGGTCGTGTTCTGTATCGTTTTCGTCGTCGCTGTCGGTCTGATTGGTTTGTTCATCCACAAGAAGCTCGCTGCCCGCAAGGCCAGCAAGCAGGGTGCTTAAATCAAACAAGTCATGGAAACGGCCCGGGGTTGATCGTGGTGGTGGAGGATATACCAAGGAAGGAAAGAAGGGGTGTTATAGGAGAAATGCGATACCTACGTTCGACCTCGTCAGTCGAACGACTCTTTACGACAACTTGACCTGAGATACCTAATTGTACCTAATTGGGTTCTTGCGCGCCGACTTCACGATGGCAACCACTAAACCCTTGACTGGGATATTTGGTTACTCGTCGGTCCAATCTCAAAGGGTCTTCTGTGGAGGATAGTCGTCGGAAGGGGTTGCCTGACCCGATAGACACTGAAGCAGATTGTACTCTAATTCCCTAATACAATGCCATCGTTAATTAGTAACCCTGCAGTCTTCACATGGTGCTGTGACTGGATCATCTTGTAATGCAACTCCCAAGCCAGTCGCCGACCACAGTCTTATGTCAAGTCAGATGGTTCTTCGTAGTCTCAGCGCTGATGTCAAATTCCTCGAGTGCATTATAAGCTTTGCTTTCCAGACCGTGCTCCCACGTAGAGACTAGGTCCAGTGCACCGTATTGCAACACATTCACGTTTGGACGTGCTCACGTAGTACGTCTTGCTACCTAAGTTCGACCAACCATCCAAGAGCGCCAGTATCTGCTCGCTGCTCTGCTCGCTACTCTACTTGTCTTAATGCTGGTCCCAAAATGGCAGATAATAGTTCATCCCTGAATGACGTTCCTCCTAATACAACTCCATTTTCTCGAGATGTATCAATCCATTCGCTGGCTATAAAATTCAGTTAGATTAGCATAGATATCTCTCACAAAGATTGCAGCCGTCATTTGCCAAGCGCAAAACTTACCGGTATGAACTGTCTCAATCTTACTCCCGCGCTTCGAAAGATCTCTGCTGTATCCCCATCCATGCTGTATCCTTGACTGTACACAACCTCGCTGATGCCCACCTGCACAATCTTGATGCTACACGTCAGACATGGACACGTATTGCAGTATAGCGTACTGCCCTCCCTGATTCTTTCGCGGCCAGCTTCGAGTAGCGCGTTCTCCTCTGCGTGGAGACACAGACAAGTAGCTAATCCTACGCCCGAAGACTCGCCGGAGTTGCATCGCTTGCAACCACCCTCGCCGCAGTTGAGGACACCACGAGGTGTACCGTTGTAGCCTGTGCTGACGACACGTTTAGAAGGTCCCACCAGAACGCAGCCGACAGCCCGCTTCATGCAATTTGAACGCTGAGCAGCGAGGTTCGAAAGAGACATGAAATATGCGTCCCAGGAAGGACGCAGGCGGTCGGCATTGGTCAGGTCAAGTTTGCCCAGAGTTGCATAGAGGTGAGCCAGATCCGAAGAAGTGTTCAGGAGCCTGTTTATACATGTTAGAGGCTTATGTGAGTCGGCGTTGGGCTGTGAGTCCTAAAACCGAGGGGGCAGGTTTCACAACATGGTCTCTGTTCAAAGGTGCAGCAACCAAGCTTACCGGACGGCTGCCCGTGACATTAGGGTCATTGCGCCGTTGATGGGCGAGTACAGGTTTTCATCTGACTCTGTGACGAAGTCCTCCAAGGACGTAGGCTGCGTCGATCGGGATTGATGGCGGTGCCAGCGCACTGTCAGTGGCGCATCGACTGAGAGCAGGATGAAGAACGGCCTGCGAGAGAGCGCATCCAAGACTGCTTCTGAAGGAATAGAAGTAGTCACCCAACGAGACCGCCACGACTTCGTTACGTAGTCCAGAAGGGCTGTGACATTGCCAAAAGTTTGAACGGGTGGTGAGACCCTGGGTTGGTGGTAGGAGGGCTGGTTCTTTAGCCCTGGTGCGTTTGCTGAAGGCTCTGATGTTGCAACAAACCCGTCGGTATTCCCATTTATGCCGTTCTCAACGAGTCGGTCTTCAGTGGTATTCAGAGCGAGCTTCTTGAAGCCGTGGTGCTCTACTAAGTACTGAGCAACAGTGGTCTTGCCGGCGCATTTTGCTGTAAACGGGTGTTAGTGAGACGTTCAGATGAGTGAAAAGGGGGCCGCTTGGTTTACCGCCAACAATTCCGATAAGCATGTTTGTGACGACAGCCAATGGCTTCTTGAGGATATAGGCGTTTAGTCAATTGCCAGCAAGGTACCCAAAGTTTCCCTTTTGAGATATCTATACTTCTATCCACTGTTATGTATATAGCTGTGTTCCTCAAGCAATCCCTAAGGCCTGTAATTTATATTTTATTTTTGATCCGCAGGAGCGCGCTGAACAGGCCAGGGACGCGTCGCAACCACTACCGGCATTTAACCGCCGGGCCTTTCCGCTCGCCAGCAGCCGAAAATGGGTCTCCAGACAGCGGAATCAGGGCCCAATGCTGCCTGCCGCCCACCGCCCACCGCCCACCTGCTGCAGGCGGCCTAGTGGGATAAGATGGGGCTGTCAAGCTTCACTTGCATCATCTGGGAGGCTGATCAAGCTGATCTGACAGCTCACATATGACTCTACTGTTCACGAGGACAAGAAGGTATCTGCCTTGTGACATTCCTCGTCCATGTCTTGAACGCTCACTATAATCTGGACGTGTCTTATACCGTGAAGGTTCTCTCGAAACAGCCACCTTGTATTGAAATCAACTATCCACAGCCCTCATAACTTTCTGCCTTCCAACCGCCCAAGATTACTGCCCCGCATTGCTCACCCCGCGGTCGTGATTACCAAACACCGACGAGCTCGCTTCAACATCTGCGACTTTACATTGGGGTTCACCTCTGGAATCGAAACAGCCGCGTGATATATATATATAAATCTCACAATATCGAATCAGCGACTTGCAGGCATCGACGCCATCGCAACTGTATTGGAACGCTGCCACCGTTGCACCGACTCCACAAACATGGCCGAGTCCTCAGGGAAGCCGGCTGCGAAAGATGGCGTTGCCCTCAAGTTTGCGACTTTCTCCTCTGAGATTGAGTTGCCTTTCTACTCTGCGCTTTTCTCATCCAAGCTCGAACATGACAAGCTCAGCGACTCTGCGCGGCCCGTTCTGGGACTCTACGAGCCGCGACCAGGCGTGGCACCAGACGACTCCGTCAAGATGCAGGTTCTGGGTAGCGCTCTGACTAGTCACCAGTGAGTCGCCTCCCTCCAGTCGCCCGAATTCGATGTGTTGAGAGTCGAATATGGCGCGAGCGATCCAATGCTGACAAGTGCTGTACTCAGTGTCCCAGCGGGCGCAGTACGGGCTGAAGGAATAATTCGAAATCTTAATACTCTAGACGCGTTCAAGAGTGTAGACAAGAGCGAGGTCATACAAAATGCTGCAAGACAGGTTCGTCTCTGGAGCATTCCGAGGTTCCGATGTCCTTAACTAACAACTTGCAGATTTGGGATGCTATCAAGGATGGCACGATATATTCGGTACCTTCGTTACTTGCCTCATACGTCATTCTCTCGTACGCGGATTTGAAGAAATATCGGATGACATACTGGTTCTGTTTTCCAACTTTACCATCAGATCCTCTGTGGAAAAGAGTTGGTGATATCGGTCGCTTCTCGGCAGACGAGAGTACGGCTTTAGTTGAACGCATCGGCACTTGGCGTTATAGCGTCGACAACAGGGAATACGGCTTCTTCCTGGCAAAGAAGGTTCGAGGTCATGATGCCGAAGCATTGCGCTCCTCTCTTGACATGCCTGATGAGGCGAACCTGGGCTACAAGTGGGAGGTCGGGTCACTCCGCGACTTTGAAACGGGATTTTTCAACGGCATTCCCCAAGAAGATACATACGTGGCTTTCGTCGACTCGTCCAACTACGAAGAACATCCCGCCTGGCCACTACGGAACTTATTAGTCCTGATCCGGCAACGCTTCCACCTCACCAAAGTTCAAATACTCTGCTACCGTGATATACAATCACGTAGACACGAAGCACGCAGTTTGGTTCTTCCACTTGCCATGGATGCAGTGCAGACAATGGAAACTGCTGATATGCCAAAACCCACTGGCTGGGAACGTAACCCAGCTGGTAAAGTAGCCCCAAGATCAGTCAGTTTGGCAGAGTCGATGGATCCGACAAGGATTGCGGACCAATCTGTTGACTTGAATCTTAAACTGATGAAGTGGCGCATTTCACCTGAGCTTAATTTGGACATCATAAAGAACACCAAATGCTTGCTTTTGGGTGCCGGTACCCTTGGGAGTTATGTATCGAGAAACCTCATGGGATGGGGGGTGCGAAAGATCACCTTCGTGGATTACGGAGCGGTCTCATTCTCGAACCCCGTACGTCAGCCTCTTTTCAACTACAAAGACTGTCTAAATGGAGGTGCGCCGAAGGCTACCAGAGCGGCAGAATCAGTCAAGGAAATCTACCCTGGTGTCGAGAGCGAGGGCCACGTGTTGTCGGTACCCATGCTGGGACATCCTGTCACTGATAAGACGAAGCAAGATTTCGAAAAGTTGAAAGCACTCATCGATTCACACGACGCCATATTCTTACTCATGGACAGCCGAGAATCAAGATGGTTGCCCACGGTCATGGGCAAAGCCGCCGGCAAAATTGTCATGAATGCAGCGCTTGGGTTTGACACATATGTGGTCATGAGGCATGGCCCCGAAGCTAGGAATGAAGGCGAAAAGACTCTTGGTTGCTATTTCTGCAATGATGTAGTCGCACCTGGCGATTCACAGAAGGACTTGACGCTCGATCAACAGTGCACTGTCACCAGACCTGGAGTCGCGGCGATCGCATCTGCGCTCCTTGTCGAACTCTTGACCAGTATACTACAGCACCCTGAAGGTGCACATGCTCCGGCACCAGTTCCTGCAGACGGGGGTGGGAGATCCTTTCAGCGCGACCCACCAAACCATGCTCTCGGCCTTGTACCTCATCAAATTCGCGGCTTTTTGGCCGACTTCAACAATATGGTCATCAAGGGCGAGTCTTACCCTTCCTGTAGCGCTTGCAGCAAGCCGATACTCGATGCGTACAGGAATGATGGGTGGGACTTCCTGAAACGTGCACTCGAAGACAAAGAGTATGTCAGCGAACTCAGCGGCCTTGCTGAGGTTCAAAGACAGGCATCAGCAATCGAGAATGATCTTGATTGGGATGAGGAGGAAGATGGTAGTAAGGACGGTGAGGATGAAGCAGTACTTCTTTAGCAAATGCCTCTTCTCATCACTGACCTAGGGTCAACTGCACACATGAAAGTTCATGATTCTTTGGAAATTAATCGCGCCCATTTGGATGAAAGCTTTTCGTGAGCTGGAGTTTGGGGATTGGAAGTGAAAATGTGGATGGATTTATTTTATCACTGCATCGGATGGCGACGGGAATAGGCGTTGGGCGTGTTGAACGGGATCAGACTGTATTGTTACGTCGAACGAGGTCTTAACCATGAACCGTAATATTCGAAAGTCTTAAATTTTCAAGCATAAAATTCTCCTCCATTTCGCCAACTTGTGACCCTGGATTTCCCAGTCAGCAAGGCCCCATGATTTGGGGGGGACCATCGATGTGCGGTCAAGTGACTGGACAGCCTGCACAATCGGCCCGTGGGGGTTTATAGTGAATGACCCCATCATCCCCACAGATGCGATCGCCTGAGCAGCGCTGTGGAGGTGCTAGTTTGAGTCCGGCTGGCTGGGCGGCAGGCTGACACAGGGGCCGTGTTGTGCTACTTAGCCTAGGTTAGTGCCGACACGTTTTCATCCAACAGAATCCCCATTGCTGCCGTCGTTTCCCGTCGAAAGACTTCTCGCATCTCTTCAAAGTGAACGAGTACCTTTAATTCCACGGGCTCAGGGTTTCAGCAATCGGCCGTTGAGATAGAGAGGAGTTATAGACAGTCGCCTTTTCCTTGCTCATCCCGGCTTCCGCCCCGCAATCAAAGGCAACGCCCCCCCCCCCGGTCCGTTCCTCCGCCAGAAGGACAAAGAGAACCGGAGACAAAGGCTTGTCTCACATCCCCAATCCCATCACGTGGCTTGTCCTAGACATTGGTTTTACACCACCGGGTTCTTTTCTTCTTTTTTTTTCTCCCCCAATTTCCATCAGCAGCGGGCAAACGCAGTGGGTTTTCAGGCGTCATTTTGGGAAGAAGCAGAAGAAGAGGGAAACGAGTGCAGTATTCAAAGCCTGGGTGGGAGAAGGGTTGTGTGGTGGACGCATCATAGTTGAGGGCGCGGCTGTTTCGGACGGTGATGCCATTTTCTAACCTGTTTTCTTCGCGCCTGTTCGGTGGGCGCACCGAGTCGGTACACGACTACGTCGGGGTTCTGGTGTCGCTGGAAGAGGCGCACCTGCACTCTTACTCGGCGAGGATTGGCAGATGCGAGTTCGAAGAGGCACCGCGGGATGAGGAGAGCGAGGCGCTGGTCGATGGCGTTGAGGAAGGCGGCGGCGGTGGTGGTGGCAAGGACGCCGACGATGGCGTCGAAGGCGAGGGGATGCTGCAGATGAGCGCCGCCGAGTACACCATCCAGGGGCTCAGGCGGGAGGTCAGGAAAGGTGATCAGGGGAGGGCCGGGAGCGAGTATGAACGTGAGTCTTGCCCTTCTGGCACGCTGGAATGTTCCAAAGTTGAGAAATGGGGCTAACGATGACGACAGTAAAGTCGAAACTCATTAACAAGGCCATTCAGGATATTGGCATGGGAAAGTATAACTGGCAGTTGTTCGTGTTATGTGGGTTTGGATGGTTTGCGGATAAGTAAGTTGGCATGGTTCAGTTTGATGGAGAATATGTGGCTAACCACTTAGCAGTCTCTGGATGCAGGGAGTCTCACTGACACTCCCCTCTTTATCTCAAGAATTTGGCATATCTGAAAAAACTGTCAGATATACCACGAGCTCATTATATGTTGGTTTGTGTATTGGAAGTTTTGCCTGGGGCCTTGGTGCAGATATCCTTGGCCGCAGAGTAGCGTTCAACATGACTTTGTTAATCACAAGCGTCTTTGGCATATGGGCAGCCTATGCATCCAGCTGGGGATGGACGTGTTTCCTTTTCGCATGCATGGGGTCAGGAGTAGGAGGAAATCTGCCCGTCGACGGCGCCCTCTTTCTTGAATTCCTCCCCGACGCCTCGAGCGCTCTTTTAACATTGTTGTCTGTTTGGTGGCCTATCGGGCAACTGGCATCATCACTGGCGGCTTGGTATTTTATTACGACTAGACCTGTGGAGCAAGGGTGGAGATATTTTGTCTTGTGCATCGGAGTCGTCACGTTCATCATGTTTCTGATCCGGTTCTTCATCTTCCATCTCCTCGAATCGCCGAAATATCTGCTTTCCCAAGGACGACAGGCGGAAGCTGTGGCCGTCGTCCACGGCATTGCATATCGAAACGGGACGAAGACTTGGCTTACTGAGGAGGTACTCGATGCTGTCGCAGATGGTGACACCCTTGGTCAGCCAACAACTCGACTTTCCACTCGCAGTATTATCCAACAAAACTTCTCGGCGTTTTCTGGCGAGCATCTGCGCCCCCTTTTTAGCAGTCGCAAGCTTGGCACCGCCACTGGACTGGTATGGTTCTGTTGGGCGACTATCGGGATGGGCTACCCCTTATTCAACGCCTTCCTGCCCCAATATCTATCGCATGGTGGATCAACACCTCCTGATTCGGGCACTGCGGTTTCCAGTGCCGACACGGCAACAACGTACCGCAACTACGCCATCATTTCCATGGTCGGTGTGCCGGGATCGCTCCTCGCCGCCTACACCGTGGACCACAAATCGCCTTACCTCGGCCGCAAGGGCACGCTTGCGATCTCAACATTTGTCTCTGCCATATTTCTCTTCCTGTTTGTCGCGTTTGGCACCACGCCGAACAGTCAGCTTTTCTTCACGTGCGTCGAAGCGTTCACCCAGAATATAATGTACGGCGTTCTCTACGCCTTCACCCCCGAGATCTTCCCCGCGCCGGTAAGGGGTGCGGGAACAGGCGTCGCGAGTTTCCTGAACCGCATCACCGGGCTTGTGGCACCAGTGCTGGCGGCGCTGTTACCTGGAGACGGCACCAAGTTGCCGATATACCTCAGCGGGATATTGATCTTTGCTGCATTCGGAGGTATGTGTCTGATACCTATCGAGACGAGGGGTAGACAGAGGCTTTAGACAGGTTGGTGTTATCTCAAATAACGTCGGCGAAATATACATAGAGGTCTTGTTTCGTTCTTTTTTGGCATTTATCACCTTCACCGCCAGCTCTGCGCCAACCCTACTGCACTAATGTCGCATCTTGCTCTTCCTTTTTTGACTCGATTCTCTCGATGTGTATCTTTTGTGTTCTTCAAGCATGTGTCTTGATAACTTCAAAACCAAGGCTCTACCTTTACGAAATGAGGTGGAATATGCGTATAACGTATCTCGCCGGCAGTTCTTAGACCCTATTTCATGTGTAGATGCTCAGTGCATGGGGATCTGGCCTATCATAGCGATGGGGAGTTCCTTTCGCAAATTTCCTCACACAGCTAGGTATCTCCTCTTTATTGAGCCAGTAATAGCTCCAGTCGAGGTTCAGTCCATTTAGACATGGATAACGTAAACCTGATTTCATGTCGGGTTCTCCCTTGTTTGACTTACAGCGGTTTTTTTCTGCACACGAGAGGTCTATTACATTTATATTGTGCTGGTCATCTATCGAAACGCATGTCTGTAGACCATTTCAGATCATCTAGTTCCCCTTGCGCCAGCGGGTGCATCGGCCCTCCTCTTCTGAAAACTCCTGCCCAGCGCATCCCTGACCATCGGATCAGAGCGTATAGTGTTCTGCACCAGCCACTCCTTGAGCTTGCTCCTCATGCCATTGACCAGCTCCGGGTCTCCGGCATAGGGCGCCATCTCCAATTCCATCAGGCGTGCCGAGTCGCTATCGAGCATCCTGGCCGCCTGCTCGAGCCTGTCCAAGCCCTGACGCAACACCTTGTCCGAGGCCTCACCGGGTTTCACGCCCTGCTGTCCCGGCGGCTGCAACAACGGTCCGATCTGGCTGAAGGCAATGTAGAGGGTGACACTGCATTTTCTCGCGAGGCTGATGATCTGGAAGGGCAGGTACGGCGCATGGCCTGTCCACCCCACAAGCAGCGGGTTCACCAGCCCGTCCACGAACTTGGGAAACTCGGGCCTCGTGACGGTGTGCAGCTCGAACACGCACAGGATGACCAAGGTGAGCCAGCGCCAGTACTTCCCCCACTCCAGATACCCGAACAGGCCCAGCACATACATGATCGCAGCGGCGACGGCGTAGTACGGCAGCAGGGCCTGGCACCCACGCAGGACGAAGTCCTTGATGGTGACGCAGTGCTTCCAGGCGACGACCTCGGGGCCAAAGCGCTCGTAGGCGAAGCGCCGGGCCGGGTCGACGAGGACGTCGCTCGCGGTCTTGAGGTGCATGAAGACCTCGCCGTTGTCGCCGGGGGACGCCTTGTCCGGGTGGTGGAGGGCGGCGAGGCGGCGGAAGCGGGACTTGATCTCGCGCTCCGTGGCGCCGGGGGACACGCCGAGGTCGCCGTAGAAGGTTGGGGACCGCGCGAGCTCGTGGTCGGCCTCGTACAGTGTGTACAGCAGGTAGGCGGAGACGACGAGGATGTGGATGCGGCGGCGGTGCTCGAGGAACCGCGGGCTGTTGGGTGCGGGGCGCGGGTCGCCGGCGCGGATCGTCACGGAGTAGTAAATGGACTGGATCCAGGAGGTCGCGAGCTGTCGGCCGAGGCCAGGTCAGTTCATGATTGCTTGTGCGGCTGGGCAGCGGGCGAGATGAGTGCATACGTTGGGAAGGAAGGTCCACCCCAGCATGGACAGGGCATTGTTCGACATGGTCGCGAAGTCGGCGAGTTCAGGTTGCTAAGCTCGTATCATGTTATGCTGGATCTGTACGAGAGCGATGGCTAAAGGCAAAACAAAGAGGGAGTGGACGGACAGTCTTCGCCATTCAACGTGTTGCGCCGGGCGGGATTCAATGACAAGTGTCACCAACTAATTACACAGCACATGTGGTCCCTGAATTAATACCACATAGGCACGGGATCCGCACGGATTACACAGCACAGAAACAGGGGTCGCGGGCTGCAGCCGTTTTTTCGTTCAAGCTTCGACGCCGCTTATTAGCCGACCTCAGGCACTAAACTAACTACGGTACTCCATAGTGGGCTGATCTTGGGACAAACCAACAACATCTGACAAAGGAGTGGACATGTCAACTCAAAACGATCGTAAACGTAGCCGCAATCCATCATATATTTTCACGTCGTTCTAATTTCCTCACCCATCTGATACCCGGCTCTCATTATGGCTCCCCCCACCAGAGGTAACCTCACACCCAAGGTATGCCAGTGACTCTGTGCACCCGCGTAGATCAACTAATCCGCTAATGTATACAAGACCGTCATGGCGCCGATGGCAGCTTTCACAATGGCCTGTTTGTTGTTTACGTGAGTCCCCAAGTCGACATATTCCTGGCCATCGTTACTTATCCATTTGATTACAGGTATGTGCGCTCTTCCATCAAGGAAGCAAGACGGAATGCTGTGCGTATAGATCATGGACTGGCAACAAGGCTGCCTCTACTGACACTTTGATTTTACTCTAGCAATCTGAGCGTGAGCAACAACGGAACAACAGATACTCAGCCTATAAAAATGAAAATCATAATGGGAGGTGAATAATACCCGCACCTGACGCCGAATTGGCCGTCAACAACGCCACCTGGATACGCGCTGTTACGAACTGGTCGATGACTTTCATGGCTCCATACATCTATTGGGGAGGGAAACCTTGACTGTGGGCCAGTCAGGTGTCTGATAGAGCAGACTGCGCCCGACAGTGATGAGCATATCTGACGTACTGTACACGCCCTTGGATGTTGGTGCTGAGCCATGCTCACTCTACACATACTCCATGATTGCAGCCAAGAGCCGGGAATTGAGACATGCTTTCAAGACGAGGTAATTCGTACCGGAGGCATTATTCGGAGACCTTTGGTAGGGCATCCATACTCGACATAATCGCCATGAGATTTCAGAGAAACACCTTGGCAGCCCGGATTGAGTCCGAGGACGGACCACGAATGGAGGATATTTCGAGCCTTGAACAAAATTTGCGCTTGTTTACCTTTTCGATATTCGCACCTGCGCAAATCGTAGGGCGGCAATGCTCTGCAGGAACATTCAATCAGATATGTCGTGAGGACCTGCCGATACACCTGCCAATACATCACGTCTAGCTGGAGACTTTTGGGTCTTGATCACCCGATGACCTCAATCATGACCCTGATGGTCCCATTCAACTTGATATTCGGAGTCTACGTGAGTGTAACCGCGATATCGCGTTCTTCAGACCGGGGCCTAGAGAACCGAGCTTGGGTATCTCGACCAACGCTCTCTATCTCAGATCGTGATACTCTCTCCGTGTTCAGTGACAGTTCACCGCCTGAGTGGCGACAGCACAGCTGTGCTCTTCTCAGCTCATCGCATTGGCGCACGATTTTGTTTGACGAACCAGTCATACCTCCAAAAGCTGAACTCGTTTACTGATAGGTGGCGCATTGCCGCGGCCTGGAATTATCGTGACGTTGCTTTGGTGCCGGAGACTAGCAACCTTCGCTGCTTATGCGGAAGACACATCAGCCAGCCATAACTGGTGTAGCAAACCAGTGAAATGAAGCAAAACGACGTAAGCTCGGAAGTACGGAATATGAACAAGTGACTATTGTGCACCATTATTAGATACCGTTCAATCGAGCGGTTTGAGGCTTTTCAGTCGTTGAGCTGGGGGCGTAAAACGCAACGCTACTTGATTCGGCACTAATGAAATGCGGTGCCAAGGTAGAGGCAAATGAGTAAAATCTTGCTTGCCAAGGGGATAATCAGCTTGATAACACCCACCTTCGAAGGCTGTCTTTGACGAAGTCAAGGCTGTCATAATACACACGACATATTATTTCGTGACAGCTGACTCTCCGATATTTGGCGGCCGGCTTCGGCCCTTTTTCTTGCACTTTGTCATTGAACCATTGTTTATGAACTACACTTCGCATATTAGCACGTATTTTTGGGTTGCACCTCATTTCCGGCGCAGCTCAATAGAAGCCCAGTCATGACTTGTGAGTCCGCAACAGCTGTTCTCAGACCGCTTCACTATGATCCAGTGGGCTACATCGGGATTGTACAACCACACGTAATTTTTCATGGACAATAAGCTCTCAGCTAGGATGAACACAGGCCTTGTGCTTCATGCATCGATGTCCAACCCGAGCTGAAGTTTTGAGCCCGCATTGAGGTCGACTAGGTGCCATGTTAGCATTTTTCTCAGATGAGCTGGGTGGCTCGCACCAATTACATACCAGTGTCTGACCAACGTCGACCTGGAGCGTAGCGAAGACTGTACTGCTTGGTAACAAGTCGTTTCGTGGCTGGTACTGGGAACATTTCTCTTCTCATGTTATTGTATGGCCTTGAAACATCTCCGACGACGCCTTTCGAAGGCACTCGCGCAAATGTATGAAACTCGATAAACGAAAAAGCTAAGAATTAAAATAGAGCTTGGCCCAACCTAAGTATGTGGCTACGAACGTCATATTCTGGTGATTGTTATGTAATACAGCAAATATGACAAACATCCACGCCGTGTTCTGGAGGCTTCCCAAACGTAGGGGGCTGGAGCCGAACCCAACCCAACGTGTACAGTATCCTAACAGCCCTAGCTCATTGACGGCTCATAGTGTCGTTGCAAACGAGACACCCTGTGAACCAAGGCAATAGTACATGCACATTGCATATTACCTCAATATACGATTGGCATAGATTCAACTCCATTGAGACAATGAATGAAACACGTACGCCGCATGGGCCCAAGCCCCACACGAAGCCGCCTCATTCTCACCCAAGGTCCGCATTGTGATGAGCCATTGTGTGACCCGTTCTGCCCGTGACATGAAAAGAGACAATTTTTCTAGGTGTGCAGATGAGGCTCTGCTCAACCCACTCAAAGGCTAGACTAGTCTAACCAGAGGATTTTAGAAATTTGGCGCCCCCCGCGCTTTCCATCTCCACCTGCACTAACCTGCTGGAAGTGGAACCTGCATACATAACCTAGTAAGGCACTTCTGGTAAGTACTTGCCTATCTCGACAAGGAGCTACTCTCCCTCCCGCAGCTCCTCGTCACACCTCAATTTGACGTTTATGTTTCAGACGTGAAATGAGATGTAGTTTCGAGCAGACAGCATGGCCTCTAAAATTTATTTTTTGTCCCTCGCGGAAGCGTCGAACATGAGCGCAAGTACGACACGCTTAGCAGCAGCGATCGTTCAACAACTATCTTGCATGATCTTTTATGATGAGGCTTTAAGCCACAAGGCTCTCGGCTAGAATGGCATGCTTCATACGGATAAAACTATCTTACTCCGGCTGTGTTTTTGTCAAGCCTTGCCTCGAGCCGTATACATAGGTGCGTGGTTGCTCTCCATATGTCATGGCAAGCCTCACAGGTTGTTATCGTTGAGACTTTGGAGGAACAACTTTGTCTATGCAAATTTGCAGATGCTCCCCTGAGCGATCTGGTCTTCACTGTCAAACAGATGACAACACCTACCGTGGATGGCAGAAATTTGCACAAAGTCACACAACTTGGTACAAATGGCGAAGAATCACGGATCAACATTGATGTAATCACCAAATCTCAACCCCGCGGGATCGTTGAGAAACCTGTCAACAAGTTCTCAAGGGATGTTGGTTCAGGTCCTTCGGCAAAAGTTGAACGAGTTTGGCTTAAATACCTCCCTTACGAGATATTATCTTATATCGTGCAGGATTTATCTTTGGAAACAATATACGACCTGTCACTAAGTTGTCGCCATTTCCAATACTTGACGAGGGAGGAAAATTTGTGCAAAATGCTCTTGAAGGTGGGTGTAATTCAGCTAGAGGCTGCCCGTGAGGCGTGGACATGCTCGTACTAACCGCAGCACTAGGCTAAAGCCAACTATGCTACGGAAACTGAGGATGCATTGTTGGATGGAGACTACGCTCGGGCGTTCAGGAGAATTATAAAGCGACGGAGAGCAATTTCCCAAGCTTCGCCCTTCTCAGTCAGTATCCTCGGAATCGCTGATTCGTATGCGCTATTCGAGGGTAAGCTTTTATATATTGTTGGAGATCACTCAATGCGGGATCTTCGTATTCTCGACCTCCAAAAAGCAACAAATCAGGAAGTTGTCGTACATGTTCCAACTCTTATGACCCAAGCAGTGCCCGAATCTAAGGGTTGTCGAAAGTATATATTTCGAATCCTCAACCACGCTGTGGGTATTACGACTTGTCTGTATACATTTGCAAGACCAGCCACCCAAAATTGGCTCTTCATCTTCCAGGCTCAAGAGCACAGGTTAATCGACAAAATTCGGCTTGACTCAACAATTCGGCTTTTTGTGCGAAATAACAGTCACCATCTTATTTTCGGCACGCATTCGGAGTATGATGCTCAAGGAAATCGCAAATGGGTGTTTCGTTATTACAACATTCAGAGTCGAAGTTTGTGCGTCGACAAGATTCATATGCCCAACTTGGTCGGATATGAGATTGGAACTACAGTATGCTTCGAGATTTTCGACGCATATTTTTATGGCTGCTCGAATCAAACTTCGTTTGAATTGGAGGAGATCGATTGGACATCACACTATTATTGCTTTCGGTTTCCTCTCAATCAATTCGAACCTAGAATGAAGGAGGTTATGAATAAACGAGATGCCTTCCGCCGCCGACACACCGAGGGCCCGATAGATGACCGTTGGACTTTTCTGACCCTAAATCAAGATGAAGAGACAGGGTCAATAAAGATCATCGAATGCCGTCGAGAATGGCTTAATGGAACCAGCGAGAACAGACGAACATATTACAACAAGGAGGTCAAGTTCCCCAACAGGGGATTCGAGATCAATCCGGATAGTACCGCAGACGATGTTCAAGGTGGTAACGATCCGTTACCCGATGAGCAGCTGGCCAGGTTATTGGGAAGCAGTGACCGGCCCAACTACGTAAAAGCCCCCAAGCGATCATTTCAGGAGTACCATTCTGGGGATCCTGGACCCGTTATGTTTTCAAAGAACAAAACTTACTTGTCGACTTATTCGCTTGCTTGTGGGACTTTTATGGATTTGGTTGATGATCCTCTACCCAATGATCCGTGTACACAACGTCTTCGCATCAGAACTGGGTCAAAGGCTGGCCACGTGCATGCAGCACAACATGGCCCCCAAGAACGTCTATTGGGTCGAGACGAGGTCGTGGACGCAGCTCAGCGCAACGTGGTTTCGTGCTGGCCGCCGAGCCTCCCGTCGGGGAAGTCTGCACCGCATAAAGACCTCCTAGAGAGTCTTGGGAGAGCCATGAACCCCGCCGGACTTTGTGGAAGTGTCACAGCGGCATACGATGGTCGATCTATCGTATATTCCACAAGCGGTGGAGGAAGTACAGCCTCAAAGGTTTTGATCTGTGTTTCCTTCGACCCCGCTGTGAAACTGGCTGGCATGATCCGTGCGGGTTGCCTCCATGCAGAGATCGTGAACGATGACAACAGCGGGAAAGGGGCCATAAATGGCATACTTGGGCAGGAAAAAGTGTCGGAGATGATACATCATGCGAAACAATGGCCTTGCCGCAGGAATATTGCTACGCAGCCAGCAGATGCTGCATTGTCTCCACCTCAGCATGTTCAATGGTCTGAAAAGGAAAACCTTGAGGTCAGAACGAGACAGTCCTCAGAAAAAGGTCCGCTGTGGGTACGTATAGACAATGCTATGCACCAAGAGTTCTCCGCCAAGTATGCGTTTGGGTTTCATTAAGACCATAATGTCAGGTGTTATTTTACAATGCATCAAGAGACATTCAAACCTTAAAATTGTGGCTTGGATACAAACCAGCAGTTTTCATGACATATTGCTGCCTCATTATGTGTGGCGGAGGTCAAGGAGCACCAATTGTTTGTGACGCGGAGATGCGGATCAGCACAGGCGTGAACGGTATCAGATTGGGTTTGGTTCCGGGCAATAAGAAGCTACTGCATAGCCTTTTGATCCAGTCTCTATGCTTTTTTTCTCCCTCCAACCTGTGACTGCTAATCAAAACATTGCGAAGTGATATTACATGCATTTGACCCCTGCTTAGGCCCGCGCCCGGCTTTGCGGGTTGATACTACCTCGTTGGTCTTGTGCCTGTGTGATTTGACGAGCAGCCCCCGTTTGTTGAAAAGTCGTGATGATGGGATCTTGCACCTGAGACAACCATCGTCTGCAATCTAGGCCTTTTTTATTTATCAACTTGGCCATGTAGCGTGTTCGGCGTGAGACTCGCCCCGCTTATAAAGGCCACATGACCCTCTACTCGAGAGCACAGTACGCGAGGTAACGTTGGCAATTCCGTGCGTTGTTTGCATGTTGATCACTTTTCAGCAGATGCAAAATGGAGAGCCTCTACATATTCGGCGACGGCCGTCTAGCCGTTTTGCCCCGGGCTTAAGCCGGCTGGTAAGCCGACTGCGCAGGCCAAGCAGGGCGCTGACGAGGCCAGGCCGACAACATGCAGTCGGAAACACGCGTTTCCGCACACCATTCGACTGCCTGCTGAGGTTATCCCGAAAATGGTGGTCTCGATTATTGGCACCAACCCTGGGGGTATAAGCTGGAAATGCATGTGTCGCCAACAGGGTAGAATCTTCCGGAATTTATGAGACGTTGATCCATCCAGCCTGTGACAACCCGACCATGGCGTTTCGGTCACGAGCCAAATGATTACCTCGATGACAGGAAGAGATGGCGCTGCGTGTTTGCTGGCCTACTTAGCTTCTCTCGGCTTCAGTGAATATAGAGTGTCGAAATACGGAGTGAACGACAAAGTACGTTGGTTTAGTATTGTGCAGAATGGAAACCCCTTCAGCTATTAATAGATTCATTTACTATATACAGCAGCGAGTTACCCAGTGTATGGTAGAGATAATGACGGCATATTGCATGTCCAGCTCCGTAACAGAAGCCGTCTGGACTGAGCCGGTGTAAGTGTTGTTTTTAATGTCCACCCTCGTCGTGTTATGGGAACGAAGTAGTTGCAATATCATATCAAGATGAAATCACTGTCAGTGACTCAAGCTAAGGAAACCGCTGAGTTGACGGCAGAGGATCATCGAATACATAGCCCATCCACTGAGTGTCTGCAAGCTCGCTAAATATGTTGTCTCCCAGAAACGCTGCGAATGGGTCCAGCGCATTCTGGGGGTCGAAAGGGTCCTGGACTCCTGAAATCAGAGGTGCTCGATTTTGTATCTCGATAGGAGGCATGCTGAAAGTGTCTGAGTTGGCCAACGAATGTATTGAAGTAGGCACCGTCGTTGAAATATCGTCAGCTGCGCTATGGCCGGCCTGCTGATTCTTCACCCAACGAACCGTCGATCGTCCCAGCTCGTCGATGATTACTCTGCAACGTTTGGCGCCAGACCAATGTTCGCCAATTGCGCTGAGTAATATCTGACAGATGGAGATGTCGCTCATGAGCACGTCCAACGTCGTATTCTTCGCGATACTCGGCACTGCCCTTGTGCAATACATCATGGATATTGCGCTCAACGTAATTGCATGGAGTATCGTCGAACTAATCAATAAGTTATCCTGTTTTTGAAGTTGGTCGTATAGCCGAATGATGGTGGTAGCACTGTTGTAGCATTGTGTCAGGATCTCAGTCGAAGGCTTCGGTATCGCTGGACTAGGGCTTGTCGCGAGCATTCGTACAATGTGATACCGAATCTGACACAGAATTCGTACGTAATCTTTATCAAGTCCAAAATCAGGAATTCTGTTCACCCAGGAATCGAGACTTTCAAGAATACCATTCTGCCATTCGTGGATGTCGGCAACCACAGGAAGTGCATATGGAGGGGCCGCTCTGTTAATGCTGTTGGCCACGTATTTGATCTCCGAGTTGATCCTAGCAAGTGCAAATAGGTGTATAGAGACACTCATATGATTGATGTCGGTCGAAGGAGTCTGTTTTTCCTGGCCAGGTGCCATCAGAGCGATATCAGAGATATTTTGAGGAAGCTATAATCATTAGCAACATAATATAACTTGTACAAGAAAGCTCTACCTACCCGCAGCTCGCATGCTTCGTCTCTAAGACCAATTGGTCGTCCCATCGTAGTTGCAATGGTCCTGTCCAGGGTATATACTGACCAAAACAGTCTAGTCCTCATCTCTTGCTCATATAACGATATATTAGATGCTATGTCGATTTTCCTCTGTAGGCCCAAGTCCAACAGAGCCGCTATGCATTGATAATTGAGATACCAAATATTGAAGCGTGCAGAAGGGTTATGCATGGCATAAATAGACATGAGCAGTAAACACTGCAAGCCCTGTAACGAGTTTTGAACGTTGATCTGGTCGAAGTGTTTCATGGCTGTGATTCCATAAGAATCACCAAGAATACCCGGCCGCGAACGACGCGACGATGCAGAGGCGCCAATAGCCAAGACCATAAAGACTTGGAAAGCCACCACCGGATCCGGATCCATTGGCGTGTACATCTGATCAAGCATCACCATGAAAGTCGGCTGATGTAATATGGGGAACTGAATATGAATAAGGTCAAAATAGCTTGCTGAAAGGTACTTGGCGCTCTCTTTCGAAGGCATAGGAAGCGGCCCCAGCATTGATTCCACAAGTTCGCAGGGGAATGGCGACTTAGTGCTCTGGGTGAGATTTTCTCTAGTATCAGTATTACCGACTTGCTCCGACGACTGTAGCAGCACACGAGCAAGGAAGTAGCCACTTGAAGGGCCAATATAGCGAGGATCCTGACCACTGCCAAGCGCAATTAGCCCGATTTGATGTGTAGAAGTGGCCCATCCTTCAGTTTCCTGACCAAGATCACTTTGCCTTGATCCTGGGGCTGTTTGCTCAAGAGATATCACTCCAGAGGGATTCTGCCTTAGCAAAGGTCTTTCAGAGGTGTTTTCCCGGGAAGAATGTCCTCCTAAGGGTATTTCTGGTACACCTTGGCCATTGGCCAGATGAGGACTTAATGGCCTGGCAGAGACAGCCTCAGTTTCACACACTATATCTGGCGTATCTCGCGATAGATCAACGTCAGGACATCTCGACCTGATGATGGACTCTAGCCATGCCACTCGTTTCTGTAGACCCGTAATGTGCGCCCGAGGCAGTCCCCGGATACGAGCACTTGCGCCGTCTGTACAGGTAGCACCCGCACTCCTGCAGTTACTGCACACAGGAAGTGCTCCATCACACTAAGTACGAAATATTTAGCACGAACTAACGTAACTGCTACCAATAAAAATGCATACTCTGATTTTTCTCTTCTGACATCTCATGGAAAATGTTAGTCCATACATCTAATGAATTGGTCCCGAGTATTTTGACAGTAGTGATGCAGCCAATTACGAGAGGACTGGATTATATGAATACGAAGACAATGCGGAAACACTGCAAAATGTGACCACCTACCTGGAGCAAGCGAGACGAAGGCGTGGAGGTTCTTGTCTTGCACCTCTGGGTCGCATCATACCCGACGGGGATTCGGCCGATTCGGCCATTTCGGCTGGCTTGTAGGATATGGGTTCTTGGGAGACTTTACGGGTAAACAAAACCATCGTTACATTAGAACAAGCATCCATCTTGACGGCCGGGCAAAGTCCGTTTTGCGGAGGCAATTTTGTGGAGAGGTTCTGGGGCGTCGGACTCTGCCGTCGGGGTACTTCCACAAATGCATACTTAAGACAGACAATACTTGTTAGTTCAAAATACCAACACGGCCATAAACACAATTTCGTCTTATGTTACTTCACAGGCCACTGTTATATTAATTAAAATAAAAATGACTGAACAAAGCGAGGCCAAGGTCTACGTTGACGCGGCGGAAGCTACGCGATTTGTCAAGGGAGTCTTGCAGGGCAATGGCGTTCCAGAGGCCAGTGCTAGCATCGTCGCAAAGTGTCTAGTCGCTGCCGACCTTCGGGGTGTTGACACCCATGGCATCAACCGTATACCATCGTATATGGAACGGATTCGGCAAGGCGTCTTGGAAGCTAAGGCTGAGCCGGAGCTGAAATCAGTCACTCCAGTTGTTCACCATGTGGACGGTCACAATGGTTTCGGATTCTTGGCAGCGCATAAAGGCATGGCAGCGGCCATCGAATCCGCACGCACTTTCGGCATTGGCATGACTAGTATTGCACATTCAAATCACTATGGAATGAGCGCTTGGGTGGTGCAACAGGCTCTCGACGCCGACATGATGAGTTTGGTCTTTACAAATTCTAGTCCAGCGCTACCCGTGTGGGGTGGAAAGAGCAAGCTTATGGGCGTCTCTCCTATTGCCTGTGGTGCCCCCGGCAAGGACCAACCTTTCATCTTAGATATGGCGCCGTCAGTCGCCGCTCGTGGGAAAATTTACAAAGCCAAAAGGCGCGGCGAGAAGATACCGCTGGACTGGGCTTTGGATTCCGAGGGCCGACCCACAGATGACCCAGAGGCAGCTCTTGGAGGCGTCATGTTACCCATGGGAGGTCCAAAGGGATCGGCGTTGTCTATTATGATGGACGTCTTCTCGGGAGTTTTATCAGGGTCTGCTTATGCCGGCCACGTTACGGGCCCCTATGATTCGTCCAAACCGTCGGACGTAGGTCACTTTCTTGTTGCAATCAAGCCCGATCTTTTTCTTGACCTCAACGAATTTCGCGAAAGGATGGGTTACTTGTATCAGCGGGTCGTGGGGTCTGACAAGGCCGCCGGTGTGGATAGAATCTATTTCCCCGGCGAGCTCGAACAGATTGCGCAAAGTGAGAGAGAGAAGACTGGCATACCGTATGTCAAGGCGGAAATTGATGCTTTGAATGACGAAGCACGGAAGGTAGGAGTCGAACCTATCGTCACAAAATAATAGGTCCAGATAGAATAGAGCAACACAATGACGAAAAGTATAGTCATGGATTCAATGTTTCGCGAACTCGTAGTATTGAGTGAATGGTTTCGTGTCTTTCGCAATAATTGGCTCCCTAGAAACCACCAGTTCAGCAGCCAAATGGCATAAAGCTCCAACAATTTGTAGGGCACGTATCAAGCAGACTTACCCTCCACACCGGCGAGACAGTAAGTTTCGGCAGAGTATTCGTCCTACACATACATACTTAGTTGTGCCCCAAATCCAATATTCTCCTCATGAAAACTAGAATTGCAGTGAGTCTCATTCATACAAAGGTTTCCAGCTAACAACGGACGAAACCTAGTTTCTCAAGGTTTTTGTGGTTGATGCGGAGGGGCGACGTTGTAATGTGGCTACGCTTGTAGCTTGCGTACGTGCAATTCTAACCAAGAAACATGACATATCCAGCGTAAAATTTATATTTAGCGTATGCCTTTGAGCAATAGGCAATTAACAATCATGCCCTGCTATGGCTTGGCTCTGTAGTAGGACCGGCGGCGGTCAAAAAGTCAAAGTCCGCACCGTGTTCCGCTTGTAGAACTGAACGTTTATACAAGCCACGATAGCCTCGCTCGCCCACACCTAAATCGGAGAAGTCGTCAGTCTCTTTCCTGTTCCGTATACGTGCAGTGATTTCTTCATCAGAAACATCTACATGTAATGCACGCTTCTCTACGTCGCACGATATCCAGTCTCCGTCACGGATGATTCCCAGCACTGAATCCGGCTGCGCGGATTCTGGGGAGATATGGAGTACAATCGTGCCGCCCGCTGTCCCACTCATCCTCCCGTCTGAAAGTCTTAGCATATCCTGGACACCCTTAGCCGCGAGTTTCCTGGGGATTGGTATCAGACCAGCCTCCGGCATGCCAGGGTTGCCTTTTGGCCCAATGCTCTGAAGTACAAGGACGCTGTCAGCATCCACATCCAGGTTAGGGTCGTCAATTCTTTGAGCCAGGTCTGCCGAGTTAGCAAAGACAACTGCTTTTCCAGAGTGTTGCAGCAATCGTCTATCTTTCGATGCACTCGCTTTCATGACAGCCCCTCGAGGGGCCAAGTTGCCTCTTAGTACCACAAGAGACGACGCAGGATATAGTGGTTCATGGAATGGCTGGATACAACTCAGGTTACGTGGTATCTGAATGAATGTAGCCGCCACCATTTCTTGACCAAGAGTTCGACCTGTGAATGTCATAGCATCAAGGTGGAGTAGTGGTTTCAGCTCTTGGCATAGAGCTAGCATACCCCCAGAGTTGTGGAAATCGGTCATATAGTTCTCACCACTGGGTTTCAAATCAACAAGCAACGGCGTCTTGCGACCAATCTCGTCGATTGTATCGAGATCAATGGTGCCAGCAACCTCTGGGTGACGTCCGATGATAGCCAGTAAGTGCACCACAGCATTTGTTGAGCCACCAATCGCTTGCAGTACCGTGATAGCATTCAAGAAGGAATTGCGATTCAACAATGCCCTTGGCTTGAGTGCAGAACTTGTAGCCAGTGACACAGCGATGTGGCCTGTTTGCTCGGCAATACGCAACCGGGCGGAGGAGACGGCGGGTGCTGAAGCGCCAGCAAAAGGCATCAAGCCCAACGCAACAAGAATGCAAGCCATTGTGCTTGCCGTGCCCATGACTCCACACGTCCCTGAAGTGGGAGCGAGTTCGTCATTTATGGCCGAAATGTCTTCGATATCGATTGTTCCGGCTCTGAAAGCTGCCCAGTTGTTTCTGCAATCAGTGCAAGCACCAATACGTTGTCCGCGGTGACTACCAGGCATCATAGGCCCTGTAACAAGGTGCGCAACAGGCTTGTTTGCTGAGATAGCACCCATGAGTTGAGCTGGCGTAGTCTTGTCACAACCTTGGCAGAAATGTCAGAATTGCTCATTGTCCGAAATCTGTATCTGACTCACCACCAATGAGTACGACGGCATCACAGGGTTGGGCTTTTATCATTTCTTCTGTATCCATACTCATGAGGTTTCGTAGGAACATACTTGTTGGCGATGCGAACGATTCGTGGATACTAATTGTGGGGAAGTCTATAGCGAGACCTCCACTAAGTTGTACTCCTCGTTTTACAGCCTCTATGAGCTGTGGCACGTTGGCATGACACGGATTGAAGCTCGAGTATGTGTTCACCACACCAATTATTGGTCGCGACAATGCATCTTCGCTATATCCCAAAGCTTTGATGAAGACTTTCCGCAAGAACAATGAGAAGTGCGCATCGCCATACGATGTAAGGCCTTGCCGTAAGCCATGTTGAGCTGTGATGGGAGCCGAGATATCGTAGTCGGAAGGAGCCTGCTCTCGCTCAATAGACTTGCTTGCCTCATGGTCTGCCATTTCAATGTTTAGTAACTCATGAATGAGTGAAAAAAAAAGAAAAAAAAAAAAGGTTATTGCTTAATCAGTTTATCAGCGAACAATTCGAATCGGCAGATGACGTTTCCAAATGGTGTGATTGGCGTTCCGACAAATGGTACAGTACCGAGGGGAAATAGCGGGGCAAGTCGATCTATATTCCACCCGCGAGCACCTGCAGCATAGTCCGGTCGGAGCCCGTCCGCGAAGTTCATTGCCTTCGGCCACTTACCCACAGACCCTGGTCTCTTTTGGCCCCAAATATCAAGAAACAAACTCGGAACATTTTATTGTGTGCTTGTGTCGATGAGGTAAGATTACAATCTCTTGCTTTGTTCGTTACTTACTTCGATCTTTGCATTGCTCGGGTATATTAGGGACTGTGTCGAACCGCGCAGGCACATCTACACATTCGTGTAAATAAGGGAACATTTCAGCTTTCGTCAGACATGCACAACTTGCATGGAAAGGTGGCTCTTGTCGTTGGCCTTGGCCAGACTGGGGCTGGGGGATGGGGTATAGGCGCCGCTACTGCTGTTCTGCTCGCTCGGCAGGGAGCCATTATCTTCGGCGGCAACAGGACGCGCATTTCAACTACAAAAACTAAGGAAGCCATCGAGGAGGAAGGTGGGCAATGCGATGTAGTGGAAACCGATGCTACTTCCTCCTCGTCAGTGCAGAGTCTTATTGATGCTTGTATGGCCAAGCATGGACGAATAGACATCCTTGTTGCCAACGTTGGCCAGTCTCAGCCAGGATGTCCAGCCACCATGACGGAAGAGATCTGGGACTCTCAGATGGATATAAACCTCAAAAGTGTATATCTAGCATGCCATTATGTGCTTCCTGTCATGGAGAAACAATCGAATGGCGGTGCGATCGTCTGTATCTCAAGCATCGCGGGCATGCGCTACATCGGAAAGCCACAGATTGCGTATAATACAACGAAGGCCGCTATCATGCAGTTCGTCAAAGCGACAGCGGTCATATATGCGAAAAGAGGCGTGAGACTAAATACAGTAGTCCCCGGATTGATGGAAACACCATATACCAGAAGTCTTGCCGAGCGATTCCCCACAGAAGGAGGATATGAAGGTTTCAAGAAGATGAGAGAAGATCAGGTTCCGATGGGTCGCATGGGGGATGCGTGGGATGTTGCCAATGCTGTTTTGTTCCTGGTCTCAGATGAAGCGCGGTACATCACAGGGCAGAAGATAGTTGTAGACGGTGGGATTACAAGCTCGACGGGACGAACATAGATTTTCTTGAAGATACGCTGTTTCTCATAGAACGGGTCGTAGGATGAAAATGATATCTTCGTCCGATGTTAGTAGAGTTAAGACTGTAATGTGGCTGACGCTAGCATAACTGTTCATCTTATTGCCCTTTTGGTCATTGATATGAATGATTGCTCAGTCGACACAGTCTACCTTGTGACTGACCTCACATCCGTCCATAGCTGCCAAGATGGCATGATCGAAGGCAAGCACGGCACCTTCATCCTTCCTGGTCGTCAAGGTGTCAGCGAAAGGGATGAGCGCATCCATCATTGTCCGATCGCCCTCGCAGGCAGCCGTGGCTTTGTTTGATACTAGCTAATACAGCTTGGAGGGCATCGGCGATGCAATCGAAATCTGCCTTTCGACGCCGATTGAAATTACTGCAAATCGCCCACGCAAAAGCAGTGAAGAAAACACCGTAAAGCGCTCCAGAGGTACCACCCATACATTGCGAAAGGACTTCGCATAATGCCATGACACCTTAGAAGCGATTGGAAGTTTCAATATTTTCTTTCTTTACGGCTTCTACTATGCCATTCGAGCCGGCAAGTAGAGTGGTGCCACAGTCTCAACACCCATGATAAGATCCAAGCAGGTGATCTTGGGCTCGACCGCTACCAGAGACGCATATATGGAATTGATTACAAATTCAAATAGTGCAGGATCGCCTGGTTGTGTACTTAACTCTCCGTATAACCGTGGATAGACTAGCAGGCCAATCAAATGCATCCGTATGTAAATCTAGGAACTCAAGAATGTTCGAAGATAAGTGTTCAATATTTGGCAGATTCAAACTTTTATGCTGAAGCTTGGCCAATTGAGTGCGGACATAAAAGTTCCAGCATACATTTCTAGCAACTTGTGCTTCATATTTGTTGTCTAGCTGGGAATAGACTTCTCCCATAATCCCAGATATTTCCAGCGATGAGAGAACACTGAGGATGTTCTCCAACAGAAAAGCATCGCTTTGTGACGGACGAGCCTGACTGTTTAGATAATTCCTCCCCTAGTCGTTGATATCCAGGATCGTAGATAGCATGTCTGCCATCAAGGTATCGAGGGTTGGCTTAGGACTGGCGCGCTTGCTACCTGGCTCATTGTGTATATCAATGCCAAGCTCGATCTCATGCTAGACCTGTTTTCAATCTGTATAGCATTGGGCGAGGCGAAATTATCACGGCGGCATCGAGCATCGAGGAACCAACATAGTCCATACGGGCCGGTTCGTGGCCCGAACCACCTGTGGCAATGCATTAGTTTAAGAGTGGAATATAAACCACAGACGAGCCCTGATTCATCCACATATACATATCTCCCCTTAGTAGCGTGGCATGTTCCTCGCCTGCCACTGGTCTCCTATATATCAGTTAATGTAAACAACATGTTAGCGCATCTTGATTTTAGTATGGCGGTATTGCGGCTCACCTCTCTGCTTTTCGTGAATTATAACAGCCCTGGGTGCATACGAAGACGGCCACCTATAGAGCTCGCTAGAGCATCGTTTTGATGTGTGAAAAACGAACGAGAGTGTACTGTTGTCATGCCTTTCAATTTTAGAAGTGGCTTGTGGAAGTTCATCCAATAAAGAGGTGATTAATTCAGGTTTCAAAAAGCCTAGAAGTTTAAAGAGTTGGTCAATTTAAAAAAAAATAGAAAAAACGTCACGAAGCAATATTTGATGTAATATTTGTCTAGCCATACTATTGCACATTTGACCTAAGGTTAATGATTTTGTCGTTCCCAGCGGCAACCATTCCCTAAAAGTGGCACAAGGTTTCGCTAATTCGACCACGCCAGAACCTCACGATACAACCGTTGTTCCCACTTTCAGCAAACTGGCGCGCAGCTCCCCATCAGCCGTCTACATGGTATATTGGCACTTGGCCTGAATACCGACCATAGTTATCAAGAACCGGATTGCGAAATTTATTACCCCAACATGTGTGGAGAACCCCGGCAGCCCGGCTTGACCTTTTATGTATCTCCAAGTCCAGATGTGGCAAAGTGCGCTTTTTCTTAGTCCTAAGCATCGGATTCTTCCCGTTGAAATGATTGAGCGGCATGGCGCCGTGGCTTGGCATGCGGTCAACCCCGTAACACAAGATAGGTAATGAACTCATGGCCTCAAAACAGGGACCTCGGCGATCGGGGAAGATTCCAAGCCAGCACGAGAAGCACCAACCGACATACCAAAAGTTCTTTGATTGAAAAGTCTGCCTCTACTAATTGGTACAATACAACGCAGTACTTCAAGATGACGATCGTCCACGTAGGTAAGCCTGCTTCGAACCCCTACTACTATCATTTCGGCCCCGTCATGTCCTCACACTTGGAACAGTGCTCTTCAAATTTCTACCGACAGTTACTCAAGAACATAAAGATACATTCGTACGAGAGCTGAAGAAGCTAAAGACTCTCTCCTGCGTCAAGGATGGTCGACTTATCGTAGGCGGGCCGTCCGTCACAGATCCTATAGAGAGAAGCAAGGGTTTTGAGTACTGTCTTGTCAGTTATCATCAGAACAGAGCAGCTCTCGATGCTTATCAAGCCAGTAAAGAGCACCACTGGTGAGAGCACACCTATAAGACAATTGAATCGTACAAATGTTAATTCGTTTGGTTTTGTTTCTAGGGTAACATCGACATATATGTTTCCTTTCAAGGAGGACCTTTGCCGATTCGATTTTGACGTTGCGCCTGAAGACGAATATATATGCGACTTCGGCTCTTTGATTTCGAAAACGACTGGTATCGTCAATAGCGCATCCGATGGTGTTAGTTAGTCTACGCAGTCGAGCTGGCCGTGGCGATTTGTTGCTGCAGAAGGCGTTGGCTTGACTGAAACGCCTACTTTGGTTGTGGTCTTCGCTCAACGTTTGAATCATGATACAAATAATATACATATAGTAATCCCGCTTGAATGCGAATATACAATAATGATAGAATGATACATGCTTCAAGGTTTTCAAACGACCTGATCCATACAAATGGCTCTATTATCGTGTTGATAACTTCGGTTATAATGGAGGACCCAAAGTTTACCGCACTATGGGAAGATATCATTGGGAAGTTCTATTCGCCTGAGCTCATATAATGTCCTGGCGGAGTCGAGGATGTGGCGTAAAAGCATTGCGTAGTCCCAGCCCAACCCATTGGCGGCGATAGCTGTGAGACTGGCTTGATCCTCTCGCCCCGGTCTTCCTGGACCCGTCATATTCTAGACCACGTCAGTTATCAATACAAAGTTGGAGACAAAGGTAGAACAACTATGCTTACCGGCTTCATATTCACGTCGAACAAGGCAAATTCGGAGGCATCCTTAAACCTGCGAATATCGATGCGAATAGGGGCTGTGCATCTAAGTAATCGTGCAACCTGTACGCACTGCTCTGCAACAGTTTCGAAGGTCGAGTCTTGTGCTGCTTCCTCGTCTGTCACAGTTCTTGAATTGGCGGTGACAGCGACATTGCCATTGTATGGCGCTATACCGTTGACGTGGTTGTATCTTACAACGACAGGCATGGCCCAATAGTCGGGACGCTCTCTAGAAGGTGGCATGACTGTAACGGTGCCTTCCTGGCCTGACAAATACTCCTCAAGTATGATCGATAGTGACTCTTCAAGCAAATCTCCGGCGTGTCTTTCGAGGGCTTCTGGCGTCTGACAGACGGCGACGCCATGACTACCACGGCCACGCACTGGCTTGCCTACAATTGGGAACGATAGAGGTCCTTTCGGGGCAACCGCTTCGCGAAGTGCAGACAAATTTCCAACTAGGGCTGCTTTGGGTAGTTTGAGATTTTTCGACGCTCGTAAGATTTCGTTTACCAGGTTCTTGTCGTCATAGACCTGTACAAACCGTGGCGGCTGGCCAACTACTCGAATATCCTTCTCAGATCTGTTCAACCGGATAGATGTTTGCAGCGGGTGATCAGCGAACAAGATAGTGTTGGCCCAGAAATGCGTTACGCCCTTATCGACAGCTTCAAGTATTCCATCTTCGGTATCCGGGAAACACCATCCCTCGTGTGATCCAGGGTCCGGTTTGGCCGCGGGAGTGACCACGTTTGTTCCAGCATTTCTCAGTGTCCAGGCAATATCTGCGCCGGAATCTTGGTAGCCGCCTGGCTTCTTGGGCTTTCGCACGCCATTCACGACTGGCGGCTCCAAAGCTTGGTATAAAACTGCGACGCGAGAATTTTGATTCGTGTGAGCTTGTGAGTAAAGATGGCGTGCTAGAGGTACGGCCGGACGAGTAGATACCACCCGGCAGCGAGTAGAAGTAAGATTTAGAGAGAGCATCACGAAGGTTTGGCATTTGTTACGTGTGTAACATACAAGGAAATCGACGTTCGGTTGAGTGCAAGGTACCCGTACAACTACCACTGCTAGGCAACACGGAACTAATGACGAACTTGTGTCTAGTCTAACCCCACTAACCTTAGTGGATTAACATGAACTCACGAGAAGTTGGAACTAGTAAACAGATCCCGTCCTCTGCTGGGAGTTCGCCGTCTGAGCCGTATGTCATAAGGTATTGAAGGATTTTGTGACCGTTCTCCTACTACAAATGGCGCAGAACAGACGAAGAACCGAATCACGAAACACTTTCTCATTTTCGGCGAATAATAAGGCACTAACCTAGATTAGCGCGTTTCTAGAATCGCCAAGACTTTTTAGTCGTAGACGTTCGGGGTTACCCCGAGTTTGGCATCACGTCGGCGAAATCCCTTGCCATTTAACAACCTAAGGCATCGGACAGACTCAACTATATTCGCCTTCACCATCGCATTATCGCCGATAGTTTCGATGGAACTCGACGCCGATCAGCTAACGGAGGCAGGTAGACCACGTCGACGTATTCCTGCATGTCGAAGGTGTCGAGTGAGGAAAGTCAAGTGCGACAACAAGCTTCCAGTCTGCTCTACATGTGAAAAAGCCGGAGTAGAATGTGACCAGGCTAGTTCCGACAAACTGTGAGTATTATTATCCTTTCGAATTTGTTTGTATAACCAGCTTAGGATTGGTTCATTGGCCTCTGAAGACCAAGATGTGTCTTAAACCCCAAAGCCAGAGCCCTAGCTTTTGATTGGATGCCTTCTATCAGGCCGTGCCATTTCATCTTCAATGGCTCAACGTACGTTTGTCGTTTTAACGATGAATGACAGATATGACCATTGGCGCATCGCTCAGAGCCTAGTTTCTCTGTCATGGGTATACCAAGTGGTGTTCATCTTATCATCTAGTATAACACGAAGCTTGAGTCTCGTGATCCCTTTTCATCTTAGTATACTAAAAGACAAATTTCAATTGCGCGAGAGAGGGTACGGTCTACTTGTTAGTGATTTTTAAGCAGCTGGTAGCTTATTATACGTCGTCTAACATCGTAACCATACAACCGAGCTCCATTGACACGGCTATAGGCTTGTTAGGCAGCTAGAGACCCGTGTCAAGGACCTTGAGGCTCTTATAAGCATACATGCCCCGCAGCTATCACTTGATGGGCGTGTCCCTGGGCCTCTGGATACGGCTTCGCGCACTGAGCCCCAACCGTCAGCCAACAGGCAGCTCGACACTCAGGAGGTTGGGGCTTCTACCACCCATACAGACCGACACTCACCCAGACCCAGAGCAGTAACTAGCACTTTTAATACACCAAGCCCATCTGTTCAGAGCAGCCAAATCGGTCCTGAGCAGCCTCTTGCACATGAGGTTGGCTTGTTATCATTGGGCAATGCAGCTAGCGAGCCAAAGTATCTGGGACCATCATCAGGCTTCACCCTAGCTCGATTGACGTACGCAGCCATTTCACAAAGTCAAGGCTTACCCAGCACAGCTCATCAATCCCAAAGCTATGGTGGAACGAATTTACTATGTCAGCAATCTGAATGCGTACCACTGCCATCATTGGCTGAGATGCGCCGCTTTGTTGGGGCCTATCTTGAAGTATTACACCCTCTTTACCCCTTCCTCCAAGACGGCAAGATCGAACAAATGCTAGAGGCAAGGCTTCAGGTGTCTGGGAATCCAACAGAGAGAGCCTCGCTTGATGATGCAATGCTGTTTCTAGTCGCCGCCCTTGGCGCACGCCTACTTGAACAAGGTCGCAATGTCAACTTGAAAAGTGCGAATTACTTTGCCTCCGCCATGGCTCATGTTGTTACAATCCAGTTACAAGATTCCATTCAAGGAGTACAAATCATGCTACTTCTGGTTCTAGCTAGTTTCACCTTCCCAGGTGGCCTTGTAAGTAAAACCGGCCTTTGCATACCATGGCGTACAAGAGAGACTTTCTTCAATCATATCACAACCGCAATATTGGGACATGAATATGCGTTAGAAATGCGCATCCATAAGTACAGAACTGATGAGCTAATTTATTCCCTAGAATGCTTGGTTTCTTTCGTCCACAATCATTGCTAGCTGCGTAGATTTAGGATTGCAGCGCAGAAAGGTTCCTCTTCGCCACGACTACCAAACTGACCCGGGTGCGGAAATTAACGAAAACATAAGGTGTGCCACTTTCTGGTCCGCCTATTCAATTGACCGTACGCTATGTACAATTCTTGGTCGACCACTAAATCTGCGAGACGAAGCTATCGATATAGATTTTCCGGGAGAGATTTCGACTGAATCAACTAGTGAAAATGCTGTTTCATCCCATCCTAACCATAGCGCACGTATTCAATCGACGATGCAATCATTCGATGGATGTAATGATGGGCCAGTGAAGAGGCGGCGCATCGATAGTCCAACTCATCTAAACTATGCTGCTTCAACATTCTTCTTCCGGTTTGATAGAATCACAGCAGAGATCAAGCTCAGTAAGCGATCCCACCTAGAGTGTCTTTTCGCGCCTCTTAGCCTTTCCACGTTCCGTTTATTCCCTAAGATTTCATAGAATCCCTGGATAGGCATTTCACTAAGACCGAACACCGCAGTGCTATATAGGGTTGCGCAGGCTCCTTGGAGGTTTCCATGGCCGACAGATCACCTGCGGTGGCAAACTGAGGCACTGAAGGCTTGTGATGAACTGCTTGAGTCCGCGCGCGAGACATTGTCATCCCACCTATTGATGCCGAGCTACTTCCGGCGACTTCTCCCAAATTTGGAGATCAAGTATCATCAGTGTATATTACTACTATGTCGCCCGACACCTGCTATACCTCAACCATCACCAGAAGCTTGCAGGCGATGCTATCAGTCAGCATCGGAAATACTCAGGCTTCATGCCGAGCAATCGAAATTTGGGGAACTATTCAACAGCTGGCTTACAGCACACCTCGTATTTGTTAGTGGGATCACCTTTATACATTGTGTCATGAAACTCCCTGACCTGGGCAGAGAGGTTGTCGAGGGTGCTTCCTCAGCGACGGGTCAGCAAAGCTTTGATGAAAGTGTCACAGACTGCTCGGAAGTTTTGTCATGCCTTGGGAAGACGTGGTCAGTCGCCAGCGATGCAAAGGAGAGATTTGAAAAACTCGCGGCCCTGACTAAAAGCACGCTTATTACCGCGCTCGGGAACAGCAATACTAAAATTGGAGACGCTCTGGCTGCTGTTGGATCAATTATCAACAAGCGTGGAGGAGTCACACAAGAGCCCGCTGATCCACTCATGGCCAGTGGAGGTAATGCGGATCTCGATACATTCCTCGGAAGCGAGTTCATATGGGAAGAGCTAGGAGATATGTCAACTTGGTTCGATTTGACCTGGGTGGGCGATAATCAGAACTCTTCAAACGACGCGAGGTGACATATTGAGAGTATCCCGGACACTAAAGTGTATTAATGCTTTACCATACTGTCTCTCAGCGCAATATTGGGCCTTTAGACCTGCGCATTGCAATTTCACATCTTCCAGAATCTGTCTTGTATTTTCGTATTACTCCATCCAGCACTTCCGAATAATACCCGTCAAGGGAGTTCCTTCCAGAGACGGAGTCTCCTCGCAGTGGTATCTCATCTCAATTATCTTGAACTGTTCCCCCTGCAGATCTGCATACGGCTTTTCCCAAGCAGTAATATCGTACATCACACCATCAAATATGAAGCATCCTCTTCTAATCAATGGGATATCAAGCCGTATGCGTTAATTCGTAGTCATTGTGCCACTTGTACTCATATTCTCAGATCTTGCACAATCTCGATGTCTCCGAACATGATTATTTATGTAATATCTTGAGTACTTGCTGTACGCACTAGAATTAGTAATTTCAAAGCAAACCGGTATTCAATGATTATGATATGAACGTATCTCAGGTCCAGTATCATCGGCGAAGTCGCAACCTTCTACCGAGGGGCCCCCAAAATGGCCAGGTTTAACTCGAAGGCCTGGGGAAAGCATCAAATTGTTTGGATTCAAGTCACACAAGATTACCGCGCGTGGATGCATGAAAGTCGCGTCTTCGACAACTTCCAAGGTCACTTGAAGACGTGCGGCCAGGGAGGGTGAAACATCGTCATATTTCTCGATTATCCGCCAACGCTGCCCAGCGGCGCCAGTTCGAGCCTCAGAGAATAGATACCTAGGCTTAGCTTTTCGGGGCCAATATATTTTAGAACCTTGTCGTGATCTCTAAGTCACTTGCACATGGCGTGCTCGTGGTGTGAATTGAGTGTATAAGTGACTGAATCGACTAATAGCATATTATGAATTAAACCTGAAGTCTCAGGCGATGCGATCTTCACAAGACTGTCGACGCCATGTCGTGCCTTCCCGCATCCAATCCTTACCGTGATGCCATATCTGATAGCCTTTGAGGACAGTGATGTTGTCGGTGGTGGAAATATAGCAACGGTTGCCATGATTCAATACTTTCACATGGCTGATGTCGAAATACTCTCTCTAATTGCGATATCAGAAACTTATTGAGCGCTTGGTTGAGAACTACACCGGGGAGGAACATCGATACGACAAGCAAAGAATTTCGTATACGTGCTTAGGCTGTGTCAAAAAGAATAGTAATAAGTGTAGATGTAGGTTGGTTTGAAACGGCCGTCAAGTATCCACGTCTAACGCTTATCAAATTGTTGGCCGCCAGAACCTGACCCCAGCCAGCTTGGGGTTTTACCACCATTCAATATTCCATGTTGCTAGTGCGTTAAATTTTCTAGACATGTGGTTGTAATGTACGTAGTATTGGGCATAAATTTCATTCATGTCTACCCTGGCAATAGTGCCACAGGTCTAGAGTTGCCAAACTGATGTCCTTTAAGACTCAGAGTGACACGAGGGAGAATAAACACAACATTACAAGCCATCTGGAACCAAGCAAGGGATTGTTGATATTATTATAGTGAACAGACCGATGAAATTGAGAACGCCGAACAAAGCCAAAGATAGAGAAAAGTGTAATCAGCCCCCATCGACGGCATTTTCTTATAGTTTGAGTGACATCAGTGTTGCTTAAGTACCCTTGACAAGTTAACTCCGCTGCCAGCGTATGAGAACACGAAACTGCGGGATTACAGCAAATGAGGGCGACCGGAAATCATTCATTGCAATCAAAACCTGAGATGGAACGCATAACTAGTTGTATAGTTATGATGCTTCTTTGATACGTAGATGGAAGTTAGTCGCAAAGATGCCTCACAACCAAAAAAGGAGCCGTGAAAGAAAGAAAGAAGGGAAGAAAAAAAAAAAGTATGGCTTCGTATATGGTGTGCGGTTGGAAACTAACGTTAGTCCAAGTTAATTTACATACTGTAGGTGGGGGCCGAGAATCAGGTCCTGTAATACCACGGCGAGGGCCATGACCGCGACCATGACCACGACCCTGGATCTCTCTGATCTTTGTTGATGGAGCCCCCCTTGGGCCCCTGAACGCCAGCAGGGATACGGCCCCCGCAGCGGTCTCGGTTGATTGGCTTGGAAATTCCAATTGATAGATGGCCTGGATGGCTCGTTTGACAGCCCACATCGAACCAACTAACCTAACTCACTCTCCACACTGCAATCGCCACCGATCAACCTATTCTCCTCACCGCAGGTGAAAGATTTCGGATTGAGGTGCAGGAAACCTCCTTTCACTCCTTACCTATATGAGTGTTTCCTCCTTTCTCTCGTCATTGACCAGTTTCGGTCATTCAGATACCTAAGATGGCCCCTTCAAAGACATCCTCCTCGACCGTCACTGCTGCTTCCACTGGCAAAGAACAGCCCGCAGTTCTCAAGCACAACGCTCGGGGCGTGGACAGCAAGACCGACAATGGCGAGCAGACTCTACGAGATCCCACAGAGGAGAAGAAGTATCGCGACTTCTTCTGGACGTACACAGAGGAGCCGCACAGGACGAGGCGTCTGGCGATCATCAAGGCACACCCCGAAGTCACGAAACTCTGCGGCCCGGAACCCTTGACGAAATACGTCGTCACGGCCGTGGTGGCTCTCCAGATCTTCTGTGCATATCTTCTGCGCAACAAGCCCTTCTTCTCTCTGCCCTTCTGGGCCCTCGCCTACGTCGTCGGCGCGACCGCAAACCAGAACCTCTTCCTAGCCATCCACGAGATCTCGCACAACCTGGCCTTCCGCTCGCCCACCGCGAACCGCCTGTTCGCCATCGCCGCCAACCTGCCCATCGGCATCCCCTACAGCGCATCCTTCCGACCGTACCACCTGACGCACCACAAGTCCTTGGGGGTCGACGGGCTGGACACGGATCTGCCCACTGCGCTCGAGGCCGTGTTCCTCGACTCGATCCTGGGCAAGGCCTTTTTCTGCACGTTCCAGATCCTCTTCTACGCCGTGCGGCCCATGTGCGTGTACGCGGTGCCGTTCACGTGGGTGTCGGCGACCAACGTGCTGGTGCAGGCCGCGTTCGACTACGCCGTCCTGCAAACGCTGGGGGCGCAGTCGCTGCTGTACCTGCTGCTGTCGTCGTTCCTGGCGGGGTCGCTGCACCCGCTGGCGGGCCACTTCATCGCGGAGCACTACGTGTACACGACGGTGGCGCCGGCAGCGTCGGACCCGGGCAACAAGATCCCGATCCCGGAGACGTACAGCTACTACGGCATCGGCAACCTGTTCACGTACAACGTGGGGCTGCACAACGAGCACCACGACTTCCCCGCGGTACCCTGGACGCGGCTCCCCAAGCTGTACGAGATCGCCCGCGAGTTCTACGAGGACCTGCCCCAGCACCGCAGCTGGAGCTACGTGCTGTGGCAGTTCATCTTTGACGAGAACGTCGGCATCCGGTGCCGCGTCAAGAGGAAGGAGGGCGGCCGCCTGGTCGGCGTCAACGGGACCAAGAAGACCGAGGATTGGAAGGAGACTGAGATTGAGGCTTAAGATATTTCTCGGAGAGGAGGGATTAATGGTGTTTGACGACTAATCTGATGTACTTTTTTTTTTTCCTTCTCCTCATTGTCCATAAACGGTCTGCGGGCCACAGCTTACGAGAGAGCTCGCCTCTGCCTCAACGATAGATCATAGAGAACATGTATACATGTAATGAGATGTACATACTTACGTACATACACCGAAAAATCGCGCACAAATGTACAGAATGGCCCAACGAGGAAATCAAAGCATCCCACGAGACCCAGTAAGCCTGTAGCTGGAACCTCAGGCAGGGTGCAATGACCTGTAGCTCGGATGGCCCTTAGACTGGCAGCAGAATTATTATAGAAGAGACGAGGTGCGGAGAGACGAATCACGTCGCATGTTGGTCGAGTTCAAGAACGCCTCAATGGATTCCCGACTCGGACTCATACTCTCAGGAGCTCGTAGTGCAGCTACGTGAAAATCACAGGTTTATCATAGGCTGAAAAGGCAACCTCCGTAAAGCATGATCTTAAAATCAATTCCATGAAAGCTAGACAAATGAAACGGTACAGACTAGAGTACAAGTAAGTGTAGTCTCCTGATTCGTAACCAGCAGTAAATCAAGACGATGCTTGGCTGCTGTCATTATCTACGCCAATACCCATTTAAACCTTTAGCAGTATTTCGCTTCCCGGTAATCACCCACACAAGCGATATGATTATTGCCTTTCAGGTCTCCAGTACATCAAGCAATGAGTTTGTCCTTGACTTGCGTCAAAAGTTGATGTAGAGCCCAAAGAAACCTTGACAGACGTACATCTGTCCACTAGAAGAAAAGGTAAGCCAGCAAGAAGCTCACAAGACAGAGGATGGCCGTGATCTTCACAGGCACGCCCTCAGTCCCTTGCCGCGCCTGTTGGGCCAGTTGGCCGGCGGGCTGTGATGTGGTAGAGGCCGAGTCTCCGGCCACGGGCTTTCGCTGTCTCAAACCAGCAGCTGAGTCGTTGGTCAACTGTGTAATGGTCTGCTGGGCCTGTGCGAGTTGCGCCTTCAGCTCCTCGTACGTCTCGGAAGCTTTGGTGGACACAGTGGCAGCTACGCTACCCAGAGCGGAGGTCGAAGCTGGCTCCTCCTCCTCCTGCTTGAACGACTCGGGCTTCGGAGAGGAGTGCGCGTAGTCGTTCGGTGATTGGTATGCTGGTGGCGCATGATCGGGGGTATCTTCGTGCTGGAACAAGAGTTTGTCAGAGGCAGGACAGTCTGACTGCAAGAAGGGTGTCACTCACGCCATTAGCCAAAGAGGCTCTTTGGGGGGTGGCCAGTTGGGGTTCAGCGGTTGTAGCGCGAGATGCTCCGCCACCAGGAGGCAGGAAGACGACACGGATCTTCTTCTCTTGAACCTGAGACTTGTCGACACCATCCCACTATTGTAATGTGAGCTGCAGGTACGGAGTCTCGGGGTGGTTGCACGGCATGTCTGGATGTCTTACGATGGCTGCCAGATTACTAAATTCCTTGTCGGCAGCAATGGCAACTGCCTGGACCAAAAACTTGTCTCTGCATTTTGTGTCGGGCGGAGGCTCCTGCTTCATGGCCTGGAGGATAACTGTGATAGGTCAGTCATGGTAGTAGGCACCGCGGCCACGTGTTATGGTACACACCTTGCACCTCCACCTCCTTGCCGGGTTCGATTCGACCCGAGTTTGGTCGGACACAGTATCTGTGACTGGGTGAGTATCACTGGGCAGGCAAAACATCATGGCCAGAGGCTCATATAACATACTGCTTGGGCGCGGTGGTTTTGACCTGGTTTCTGTTAGCTGTAATGTCCCACGTGGCCGCCTGCTCAGATGCCCGACCATGTCGCAAAGGGGAGTCCGGGTCATACCTTGAAAGCGACAGGGGCGGAGTTGGGATTCCTGATTCTCAGCACCTCCGAAACCTCGGTAGTAAAGGGTCCTGTGGGATATTGTAAGCCTTATATGCGCTCTTTTCTGTGTCGTGGATCATGGGATGCCACAGGCAATGACGTACGGTGAAAGCCGAGCTCCTGGGGATCAATTTCGACCGACATGTTGGCAACTGAAGCGCGGGAGTACTTGTTGTGAAGCGGAACGGCGAGGTATTTTCCTGGTGATTCGTTGTCGTGTTTCTAGTACGAACTTGACATGACACAGTCGCAGGGAATCTGGGAGAGTAATGCCGTCTCTGGGGGTGTCGGTCGTAGGAATCCGGTATGGTTGGTGTTGGGGGTGGGTTTTGTCAGATGTACTCGGTAGTGCTGGCTGGTGTGGGCGGAGGCAAAACCGAGGGCGTGATTTGCGAGTGTGATTATTGTTCTTGTTCTTTCTTGTATAGTGATGCGAAAAAGGAGCAGGCTTAGGGGCAGGTTCAGCTGTGATGGAATTTGGCTGAAAGACTTCTATGTATGCCTGCTGGTGCACTCTCAGCGATGGGCCGGGAATCGTAACTTGATTTCTGATACTCCAGGTCCTAGTCTACGAGGAGCAAGTTGACTTAGGAGCTGACGTGGGTGAATTGGGATTTGTGCCAGCGCAGAGTTAGTTGGCTACGCCATAGCACACGTAACTTAGGCCAGGTAACAAGTAATTTGCTTGCATCACCCCCCTGCCGGGGGTCCGTCAGTGCACCCAGAAGACCGATTCCATGGCTGGCTTTGCTTGCCAGCGCTGCCAGCCTGCTGGAGGTCGAGGTGTCTCCCAGTCTCCCCCATCTGCCACAGCCCCAGCGGCAAGATTGAGATCATTTTCTTCCGTCCGGTTTCCAAGCTTTCCAAGCTACAGTAGAGTCATTTACGGCCTACATAACTAACCTAAGGTTGGTCTAGTCCAAGCCTGATGGTGCTTAAAGGTGTGCATAAAGGGCCGGTGCACAGACCATCCGATGGTAGAGCCACAATGGCCAGGACCCTTCTTCGAGGCAACTGCAGCAATGACGCCAGCTAGTAATGATACATAACGAAGAGGCAACGTACTGTAATGTAGCACAACGAATCATTTATTTCACTTTCACCACTTGCTCCTTTCGGCCTGCTTCACTCTTTTCTATCAATCTTCGAGGCATTCACTTTAGTTTCTATTTCTCTGACCTGCATCTGATACTGAAACGTCCAGCCACCAGGACAACTCACATTTCACCCCCACCAAGATGGCTTCAGATCTCGAAACACTCTTGGAGATGGGCTTCGACAAGTCACGTGCCGAGCTGGCCGTCAAGAAGGGTAACCGTAAGTCTTGATGTATTTTATTTATGTTAGTTTTCGTCTGCTTGAATTATCTTGAGTCGCTAAACCCTTTTTTTAGTCGAAGCTGCCATGAACTGGCTGGAGAAGACTCAAGATACCCCACTCGATGAGCTTCTCGAAGAGGACAACGCAGGACCAAGCACCGCCGAACTAGGAGCTGATCAGGTTGCAAACTCCATCGTCTGCAATGATTGCGGCAAGAAGTTCAGAAGTCAGGCTGTTGCCGGACTCCACGCAGAGAAGACGTAGGTTGGCATGCCTCGCCAGCACAATGACATCCACTTACAAGAAGACACAGTGGTCACGATGACTTCGCAGAATCAACAGAAGCGATTGCCCCGTTGACGGAAGAAGAGAAGGCCAACCGCCTCACCGAGATGCGTTCCAAGCTTGCAGAAAAGAGAGCTGCCCAGGCTATCAAGGACAAGGAGGACGCCAAGGCTAATGAGGTACTCTCCGACCTTCATGTGTCGTGCCGTATTCGTTGTCATTCATGCTAACATTCAAAATAGAAAATCCGCCAAAAGGCTACCAAAGAGACACAAGACGTCAAGGAGGAACTTCAGAAAAAAGAACAGATCAAAGAAGCAGAAAAAAAGCGTCAGGAAAAGATTGCCGATGCAGAGGCTAAGAAGCGCATCAAGGCCAAGATCGAGGCTGACAAGGAGGAGAGACGCCGGAAAGCAGAGGAGGCCAAGGCCATTCGCGAGGGCAGAACGGTGCCTTCTGCTTCAAGTGCACCTGCACCTGCTGCTGCGCCAGTCGCTGCTAAATCTGCTGTCAACCACAACGAAACTCGTTTGAGACTGCAAACCCCAGCAGGCAGCATTGCTCTGAAGCTGCCTGCAGAGACCACGCTCTACGAGTTACGGCACCGACTGGAAAGCGAGCATCAAGTCAAAGTTGGAGAATTCCAGATGAACTTCCCACGAAAGACGTTTGGGGAAGTGGATTTTGGCATGACGCTGAAGGAAGCAGGCTTAGTTCCCAGTGGTGTGCTGATAGTAAAGAACTAGGAGTCGCAGACAGACAGATCAAGCCGGAAGCCAAAAGCGGCAGAGGATCATCCAGAAAAAGGTGGCGACTTGCCATCCTAGCATCTTGAAGAGTGGTGCCCTGTGGAGGGTCCTGGAGGTAACCCGGTTTGGAACGGATCGCTTCCTCCTCCGGCTTTAGGGATATCATCTACTCAGGGCAGAGGCACTATTATTACCAGTCCATCGCCGCAAGCTTCACCATCACAGGATGCAAAACACTTTGGTTCCACGAACATTTGGCCACGGGCTGCTATCATCAATAGAGTGTTGTTAGTCATTGCGGCGCTGTGCAACCGTAATATGAGAAGCAAATTTATTGCTGCAGCATTGATTAGGATACCTGGTTGATGACAGTAACCATCTCTAGTAGCTCCTTAGTTGGAGTATGCGCTAGGTAATGGCTGGGCACTTCCATGAGAGATACTAGAACGCTTTTTCACGTGGACCATAGTAAATATCAAACAGCCTGAATGCAGCGCGCAATTCTTTTACACAGAATGTTCCGTTCATTTTCCAGGTCGCATAGGTCTGGAAGTAGCATGATATTGGCACCCACCTGATCCCAGACATAGTATGGTTAAGATCCTCTAGGAATCAGTTCTGATGTCCGTTGATTATCGTTATCCAATAATTGAATGCGGCCTGGAACAATCGAAAGGGGCATCGGGTGTTTTATGACGTTAGTGATAAGAACAGTATCCAGAATGTGGGCTGCCTGCTTGCGACAGTTTGTCTCATCTCATTTAGTAATAGCAGCACGGCTGCATGCCACCTTTCGACGTGGACCAGGACATGCCGACAGTCTGTAGACATAGGACCCCATTTTCGAAAGGGAGATGTTGCACATGTGTTCAGGCCTAAGAAGTCGGCTCGAGTGGGATGGACCAAACCATGATTCTCAGGTATCAGTGGGCAGGGGAACCGAAACGCTAATAACCGCCCCCAGTCCACCAAAAGAGCGATATCAACGAGCACAAGGACCAATTAAGCACGGCACAGCCGAGAAACACGCAAGAGCAAAGATGGGTTTTGTCATCTCGAGAGCGCATCATATTACTCTATATGGTGAGCGATCTCATGTAGGTCCCAAGGCATCCGAATCGTTTTGCATAGCCTTTCACGCCACACCGGTGAATACGGTGTTTAAGTAAACCCCAAAGCCCATGCAGTGCGAGTACAAAGGGAAAAGTGGCGACGGAGAGGTTCGTCGAAAGAGTTGTTTTTCGTATGAGGCGGTTGTAGTCTTCGTGGAGATCGTAAAGCGGAAAATTTGGCGGAAGGTTGGTGAACCGCTTAGTCGAACAGACCGAAACCCATATCCTCGTCGGACTCCTCCTTGTCCTCCTCCTTCTCCTCCTCGGCGGCCTCCTCGGCGGCACCGCCGGCAGCGGCGCCACCGGCAGCAGGGCCACCAGCAGCGGCAGCACCACCGGAGCCAACGTTGGACAGAAGGTCCTTCACGTCCTTGCCCTCGAGAGCCTGCGCGGTGAGTTTTGAGTTAGTCCAATGTGGCCTCGCCCATACGTAGGGGGTTTGTTTCAGTTCAGAATGGCTCTTTTGCGAAAAGTCGTACCTTGGCGAAGAGAGAGGTCCAGATGGGCTCGACATCGGCAATCTTGGCAGCCTTGATCAAGGTCTGGAGCTTGTCGGACTGTTCAGGTAAATCATCCGTCAGTAAATCCCCGGTGCCACTAAATTTGTCTGCGTCGCGGGGCCGGCAGAGTAGAAACATACGGTGATCTCGACACCGTCATCGGCGAGGATGAGAGCGGCGTAAGAGGCAGCGAGCTCAGAGTTCGACATTGTGAATTGATGGTTTGCGGTGAAGCAGAAATTGGGTTGAGTGGTTCTGCGTTGGCTGTGGTCGACTTGGATCTCGAAATGACTTGACTGGATGTGTCGCAATGCGATTTTGCTGGAGTCGATGCTGGAGCCCACCAAGCTGGAAATTTCGAGGGTTTGAGGGCCCTAAGCGATTCCAGCGGAAATTCATTTGACCGGGGTAGAAGCCAGAGGCAGGCACATTGGCTGCCCAGGGCTGTGATTGGCCATGTCTGTGAGCTATCCTCCAACCAATGATAGAAGACCAGTCGTCGGTTGGAGCCCCACTTGCATCCAATCGCAAGCTCGCGCTAGGATCCCCCCTTGTCTGCGTGCCTGCCTGGCCTGCCCCGCGCTGCTTCTTCCTTATCGATTGCAGGTGCATCATCATTCCAGTGGAAGTCAATATGTGTTAGGGGGAGGGGAGGGGCCACGCCGTAGCTACATATGTACATACTTCTTATTATTACAAATGCCCCATACAATCTGTACCTACCGTACAGTGCATGCGCTGTGCTTTCGTCATTGCCCCCCACCTCTGGCCGACTTGTCCGCGTTCGCAGCAGCAGAAACAGAAGCAGAAGCAGAAGCTAGACTGGAAGAAAAGCCTTGGGAAGACAAGACACCGGGCTCTCAGACTTGCTGGTGACCGAACTTGCATTCTATAGAACAACTAATCCTGACGAGATTCCCTTGTCGGACTTAACAATTATATTCAGCTGGCAGAACCACAAGTCACACATAACAATACCACCTCTCTCTCTCACTCGTCTCATCCTGCTAAACTCAACAAAGATATATTCAGCCACGGTATTTGTTTCAATGAAACCCTGACGGCGTACTGCTTCATATCAATCATACGATAGCTCCCTTCCCAACCGAACATCGCGACCAAAACTTCATTGGACGTCCAGCCCACCTCCCAAACCCTCCAACGGTTGCTGCACATCCGCTCGAACGTTTCTTATTGGACCAGTCAAGCTCTTGGAGTCACTTGAAGGCTAGCTTGCATTCTTCCTCTACAACTGTTTTCCCCCAGACAAAAGCACTTGCGCGCGTGAGGGGTCCCCAAACCTTCTTTTCCTCGGAAGATCTTCAGACTCGAATCGCATATCTTGCACGTCAAACGATCCCCGAGGACAAAATGGACACCCCAAAGTTCCCGCCCCCCAGCAATGAGGCCGAGCAGCAGGTCCTCCAGGAACTTGACCTTATCCTGTCGCAGTTGCAGATCCGGAGGGCCGACCGTGCCAACTATGTTCGTTCCGAGGATGTTGAAACTCTTTATAACCAGACTATCGAGCAAGTCGCCCGCCTCAACGAGACGAGGCAAGGGAAGAAGACACAGGAGAACCGAGGTGGGCTCTCCTTCCCAAGCACTACGCAATACCCAATACTGATTCTTCTCCTGCCAAAGTCGACAGAGTCGTTGACAGCTGCTTCCAACTACTGTCCCTATTCTTCATGACCATTGGCCGAACCAATGAAGCACCAACCGCGTACGCCCTGACCTCCACCATCAAGCGATTACTCGACCACCTTGCCGAGGCCGACCTATTCTCCGAGAAAGACATCGCAAGTCTGGACCACACCCTCGAGCGTTTAACAGATAACATGCGCAAGAAGCCCACCGACCAATACCTCGAGACTCTCCTATCCAACCGGATCGAACGATGTCGTGAATCCTTGGAGAGCTTGCATAAGAGACTGAAGGACTATGCCCAGCCTCTGCTCGCTACCCACGAGAGACTCGTCTCCATACTACGGCAGATGGCGGCAATTAACACCAAGTCCAAGGTATATTACACTTGTCGATTGAAGTTGAGTGAGTGCAAGCTAACACCATATCTCCTAGTTCAAACCAGAGGAAATTCACAGAATGCAGAAGCAGTTGCGGGAAATCGACGGCAAAAGAGTGGAAGGGCGATTTGTTGATAACGACGGCAACGTTCTCGCCGGTAGCGACCAAGTCTCGTCCTTGCTTGAAAGATGCCAGAATTACTCGGAAATAGTAGTCGAGAGGTATGTCTTGCTAACATGTCACGATAATCCTTTGCTTACGGTTCTCGGCAGGGCGGGTAGCTTCCCAGAAGAGTGGAGATCCTTGTACAGCACATTGGTTGGCATTCGAAACGAGCTTGACAAGCTATCATTGACTCAAGCTTGGTCCTTGCGAGAGACCGATCTGTATGACTTCCAGCGCCAACTAGACAAAATCGACGAGAGCAGAGTTGATGGCAACTGGATCGATGAGAAGGGCCGACCTGCCGAACTTTATGTACAACGGGCAAGTCCTGGCAAGTCCAACTGGTACAGGGAACCGCATAGCTAACAATTACCAGACGTTGCTTTACCTTGTTAGACGAAGCTATGGCTACATCTACCATCTCATGATCTCATCTGAGCCCGTATCAGAAGCATTGCTGCCAATATACAACCAGCTGCAGACCCTGAAGCGATGCTTGGTTGAAGTTGAAGCCAGTGGTGGCGTTTCGTCTGCTAGAGAGCTCTTCCCCTATAGTATGAAGGTATGTTTCCCGTTGATGGTGGTTTCCGAGAGCATCTCTAACACCCCTCTCTTCAGCTTAATTCGATCGACAATCTGCAGAAAGATGGCAAGTTCATGGTGGGTGGGGATATTCCAGAAGGCCAAGGAAGTGTCAAAGACCTCCTTGATGAATGCTTCGATCGCTGTTACAAGCTTAGAGTGCAAGCAGCAGCTGCTGAAGAGGCTGGCGACGAGGACAGTGCAGCCTAGAAGCAGCGCTCCTTCAGTCTACCCACCCGGGGGGGATCTGGAAGTTTCAGCGCGGACGATTTCTATTGAGCGACCTTGGCGCCCGGCGCATTGTATCACATTGGAGTTTGCATTTGTTAGCATCACTTGAATGGCAATCACTGATTGAGAGAAGTGTTCTGCGCAATTCAACGGTCTTGGTATGCGTATGGCAGCGGAGTATTCCAAACAATGGCGGGACATTGATGAGCGATTTGGAGGATAGGATGTATTCTTATACAAGGCATTCATGCTTCTTCTTCTCGTTCCTGCATCTAAGGGTATCTGAAAGCAAGCTTGACCTAATTGAAAATATTAGTAACCCATCACATTGGCCCTCCATTGACAACATGCTTCAGAATGAGTATATAACTTACCGGCCAAATCTGGGCATTGTCAACATCCCAGACACCGCTAGTGGTGTAAATATCCTTCCTCAGGACCTCCAGGACCTCATCCTTGGACGCAGCCACCATGACCACCGTGCTGCCATGGAAGTCCCACTTGGCAGGATCATTGCCCTCGGGTATATCATTCAGTGTAGCACCTATAGGTAAGCGTTAGAAGTCCAGAAATCTCCTCCGTTCCGCACCGCAACAAAGAGTTGGGGGTGGGGGTTTAACAATCAAGTAAAACAGAAATAATCAAGGAGAAAATATTTTAATAAAAAAATATATAAAAAAAAGCCTCACCTCCCACTTTGTACGTCCCGGCCTCGACGTGTGCTTTGATGCCCTCAAAGTGCTTCGCTCTCACCTCGAGCCGCTTCTGCTGCACGCCCGCCTTGTCCGGCACCACCACCAGGAACTCATACTTGCCTGCCGGCGGCGTCGTGATGGCCGGTCTCGAGACCTCTGAGGGTGAGGAGGAGGACATGTTGCGGCGCGTGGCGGCGGTGGTGGAGATGATGGGATGATGAGATAGGGGACGCAATGCCAAGCCGCCGGATGCTGCTGCTCTGATGAGTTTATGTGAGGAGGAGGCCAGGAGGTACCGGGAGGCCATTGGGAAAGTAAGGTGAGCGAAAAGGCGAACAAGATAAAACCGGACGAGGTTATATGGGATGTCCCCAGGTGCGAAAGGGGGGAGGGGAAGTCGCACGCCCTTCCAGAGATCGAAAGGACATATTGAGGGCCCCCCCCGCAATGTTCGGCTGTTAGAGTGGGGCCGGCCGCCGAAAGGAATAAGAGTCCGAGGCAACTATCGCGCGAGCGTATAGTCCGTCACCGGGCCCTCCTATAGCGTAGACCCCAAGCTATAGACTACATAGGGTGGGAATATCATCACTGAGTATGGTGAGTATTGCCAAGGACGGTCTTGGAAGCTCTACGCGTGTTGTGCGACTGTCGCGCCATCATTCGTGCTCTTGACTGGCTCCAGTCGAACCGCTATGACGCGTTAGGCCCCCGCGCCGTTGAGTATGGATTTGCTTTCTACAGCAGGAATGTTTTGCCGGGGCAAAGAAGAAAAGGTTTTCAACCGAAACAAGCAACGCATTATTCATTGCGTGGTATGGCATCGTCCACAGCCTTGCGCGTTAACGTATGACTTGACAAATGAAGGAAAAAGAAAATATATGCTGTATATTTAGGTTGAAGATAAATAGAAGCTAATCAAACTCATGGGCTCGCCGCGTATCTGACAGGTCTGGGACCGTTGGCCCGCCTGGGATAATATGGGAAGATTGGAAGTCCAAGGCGCAGCAGGCCGCTCTGCGAAACTCTCCACGCGAATCGACATTCATTTTCTTTTCTTTTCCTTTTTTTTTCCTCCCCAATTTCTTGACAAAGTTCGTGTGGCGTTCCAACGATAACGGCACGGTTACCTTAGGCCATAGGGTCTGCAGAAACCATGGTTGAAGGATTCTGTTTATGTTTACTTCAGATGGTGACCTTGAAAGTAATCATTGGCGCCCACAATCTCCCACGTCATACGGCCCGGTATTATGGCATATCATGTTCAGATCACGTGGGCGGCGGTTCGAGTTGGCGGCGGGCTTTACTATGAAGAGCCAGTAACCCAATTCTTTTGTTCAATGAAAACTTGCTGTTTGTTATCAGTGAAAGCAATGCTCCTTGGTCGTTCAATTAGTCGCCAGCAATTAACTACCACAATACCCGAGGCATACTACACTACGCGTATTTCTGGAAGTGGCCCCCCTTTCATATCATCCTAATGCTGTGTGAAACAGGTCGAGCGGGAGGATGCGATAGAGCGATCTACGGCACGGCAGAGCGGCAGAGAGGCAGAGGGCCCTCCAAAACGGCAAGTCTTGAGAATATATGGAGAGAGAGCTTATTTGCGCTTCCTTGCCAGTTTTAAGTTCGCGACCATCGACAGATCAATGTCTGGATTTTCTCGGAATTGCCACGCACATAGAATCGCCCATCAAAGCTGTGTGCCGGTACGGTGATGGCGGCTCCTACACGAGAGCGGGATTGGCACTTTGAACACCACTAAGGTTAGGTTAGTAGATTACACCATCACTGTGAGCACACAGCCAGCGCAACAAATCGCATCCTTCGAAGGGTTGTGCGTGTTTTATCCATGAACGCAAAAGTGTGAAAGGGAAAGTGGCCAGGGGAAACCGAAAGTATTCAAGTGCGAGAAATAACGAAGAAAAAAAAAACTATGATCTTGAGGTACTTCAGCTCGAGCTCTTTCTTTTTCTTTCATTCGATCGCCATTGTCTGAAGTAACCTGAACCCGTTGGACTTAGAGTTAATTCGTAATCAAGAAACGAGGCATTCCGCCACCAAACCGCCCGTCTTGCGGGTAAGTTAAAGGTAGTAAGTAGATACTACGATTCTTGCTATGTATATCTGGCTGATTTTAGACTTGAGAAAGATCCCGCTATCATGGTTCGGGTACTCCTAGAGAACCATCCTTTGCATGGCCAACCCGAGGCATCGATTGCAGAAAAAGGCCGTCAGAAGAGGAAATTACGTTTCGTAGATATCTGAGTTTTATGAGCATAAGGACCTTCATGCTCTCATTACTCGGTACTTTCTCTTTGCTTCGCCATTTCCAGTGCTTGCGATAATCCCACGCCATCCGAGGTTCTCGCAATACTGAGTACTTAGAAAGTCTCACGCTTTCATCTACTCAACCAATAGTATCTGGAGTGGTTAATTTGGATATATTGCGTCAATTCATAAGCAAGCTCAAGATGGATGCGTCTACGTCTAAGCGACTTTTGGAATACTCAAGTACCAGTTTGGCTGAAGGTCCAGTACGGAAGACCAATAATACATTACAGAAGATCATACGAAAACTTCGGCCTCGCGCTCGCAACATATCCAGGACTGAAAGCGACTGCTGGGATGCTCAAATAATCTACCGAACTCAAGTCGCTCATTCCGAGCCACCGAGCTACGATCGGCTGCTCGTTCTAGACGGCTATAAATGGCCGCTCCCGGAACCCATCGAACTGCTGATGATGCGCGACGACGTTTGGGCCGGCACAAATTTCAGTTGCGAGAGAACCGGGGCGGATTGCGAGGCCACAAAGCAGGATGAGGGCGATCAGATCACGTTGCCATGCGGCCATGCTTTTCACCCACGTTGTATCCATCAGCAGCTCAGACAATACTTCTACGCCCGCTGCCCAACTTGCCAACATACACTACACTACCGGCTCTGTCACCACCGGCTCCATATTCCATACCTCGCCTCGGGAACCGTCATGCACCCGGACGCGCTCGACGGCGCCTGCGGCACCTGCGCGCCGCTGCCCTTCATGCAGGAGCAGCTGGCGCGCCACGGGCCGAGCAGGAGACTGCCCAAGAGCGACAAGCACGCGTCCGGGCGGGACTTCGGGTGGCACTGGTGGATCCTGAGCGTGTTCGAGGGGGGGCGGGAGCGGTACCTGGCGGAGCGGTCGGCGCTGTGGGGGCGGCTGTACCGGGCGTGCGCGGGCGGGGACGAGCGCGAGCGCGAGTTCGCCCTCGTCGTCTTCGACACGCTTCGCCTGCTCTACGTCCACCTCCGTTCCTACGGTGGGCTCGACTGGGTCCACGCCCTCTGCCTCGTCGGGCCCATCGCCTACGCCGAGGCGTCCCTCTCCAATGGCAAGGAGCCCGAGAGGAGGGGCGTGGATATCTGGAGTTGTCTCATGGACATGATGGTGGAGAGGCTCCATCAGTTCCATCTCCGAGGTGCCGGGTTGTGGCAACCGCAGGTCAGTACTCAAAATCTTTTTCTCTTCTCCTCTGTTTAGGTTTCTCTGGCGTGCTGAAGATGTCCCTGTTCGGCGAGATATGGTCACAAGACCGGATAGATAGTCCAAACTATCCCCCCAAACACTCTGACTAAAGACATTACTGATTCGTGTTGGAACAAAAAGGAACTCCTTCCGTTTCAACCTTATTATCCCATGGTTGAAGACTTGACAGATGGTGCGGTATAACCCAGCAAGCAGTCATGATCAGATTCGTCCCGGGCGCATGGTAATGATGCGTTTTGTTGCGCCTGTTTTGTTTCTTGACCCCGGTTGCAACAGTCGGCCGCGGCCATTGTCTGGCGTGGCCGAGTAGTCATGTTGGAAGACGGATTGAGTCTCTTCGAAAAAGCGTAGATACCCTAACTAGTGTAGACAGAATCACACAAAAAGATAAAAACATACAACACCGGGGATTCCCCAGTGGTCACCCACCTGAGTACTAATCCAGCGCTTCCCAGTTTATCTAGGGCAGAGCGGACGGGATGCCGAGTTCTCTAGGAGCTATGGTCGTATGTGCTGGACGTGGTCTGTAGTAGAGTTAAATTAAGTTAATTCACGAGGAAGGATAAAAGAAAGTAAAATATGGAAAGCAAAAAACATACAACACCAGGGATTCCCCAGTGGTCACCCACCTGAGTACTAATCCGGCGCTTCTCAGTTTATCTATGGCAGAGCGGACGGGATGCCGAATTTTCTAGGAGCTATGGTCGTACGTACTGATTACATGCCGTAGCAAGGTAAACAAAGGTAAATCTTTAGGAAAGGATAGAAGAGTGTAAAATATAGAAAAACCCTGCCCGCCCCCCTTTGCCCCCTCACCCCTCCCCCAATACAATACCAGAGATTCCCCAGTGGTCACCCACCTGGGTCCTAATCGGGCGCTTTTAGGATGTATATACCTGGCGAGAAGGGAACGGTTGCCCCGCATCCTGTTATACAGAAACGTTTATCTTACGTAGGGTAAGATCGACCTGGCTTTGATAAGTTGGTAGGGATTGGCAATGCTTCTCAGTGAAAGGCCTAATCGTCACAGACGACCAGGAGCACTAGGACTGTAAATATATTGTCAGGAATGGAGAGAATGGGGACTGGAAGAACAATATATCTTCTTTTGTTAACTTGAAGATGTCTAGCCCACCAATTGAATATTTGCTCAATATTGATACATTAATTATTGATACACTTCCAACATTTCACGCTTCGCTTAAGGTCTAGGTTAACAACTAATGACAAGTGCTGTTTGAAATTAGAAACGGACAACCTATATTTAGCTTCATTATAGCGTATTACATAATTAGTTATAGCATAATACGTGCGGGCCAAACTTCGTTTATATACATCAGTCTAGGTGTCATATATATATTAATGAGAAACCTAGTACTAGAACCATCTCCAGGAGCTATCGCAATGAAATCTGTACATATACAATGAGTTCCCTACCTAAAAGACAGGAGGGACAAGTTTCAGTCTTGCAATACTACTTCTTCTATCATGACTATCTGATCGTACCTAGCTTTGGTCTAATGCTGATAATAATGCGTCCTCACTTTCGTTAAGGAGTTTGTCAACGTTCTTATAATGGCTCATAAGGTTTATTCAACGAGCTTGTTCCCATTCTATACAAATATTTTAAACTATCGAAAGGAAGGAAGAAAACATTGTACATTATCTGATCGAACTATAGAAAAGGGGAAGTGCTTGTGACCTATGCTCTTATCGATAGTACGGCACGGCTAATAAGGGTCGCTAAGGCCTAGTACCGGGCCATAGCCTGTGACATCAAGCCAGCATTGCCCATTTATGTAACTAGGTTATATAATACGGTCAAGACACCTACGTAACCTCGATCGTGCCACTTAATTGACTCGTGTTGACAGTCCTCTTGCATAGACTTTCGATCCCTATACCAGCGCTTCTGAAGTTCCGTTATGGTAAACCCGAGCATCAGGTCACCTTTTAGACGGTAGCTGTAAGCATTGGTACCCAGGTAGGTGTTTAAGTGGTAGGGTGATAGTGGCCTATCCACTGGTGGCTTCGGTTGCCAGCTGCAGTGGCCTCCAACACACGGGTGAAGATAGAAAGCCCACCGCCAAGTGGCTGAGCTCTGCACGAACGCGCCGCCCACCGCTGGACCCAGAACGGTGCCGATGGCCCACCAGAAGACGGCGAGGGAGAGGTACCTTGGCCGCTCCTTGTCGCTGGTGTTGATTGATAGAATGATCAAGACACCCATATACATGCCAACACCCCCAACACCCGCTATCGCTCTGCCAACAATGAACGCATTGATGGTTGGAGCGCCGCCGCAAAGGGCCGAGGCGCCCATGAACATAACAGTCGCCCCGATAAAGAGCTTCTTGAATGAATAGGTGCCATATGCTTTAGACCACGGGAGGGTGCAGGCAGCGGAAGCGAGAGCGTAAGAAACACTCAGCCAAGGGACGAGGTCGACTCTGCCAAACGTGCTGGCAATGGCTGGCTGGATCGTGGCCACGATAGTGGTGTCCAGTGAGAAGAGTAGGAAGATGGCCAGCAGGCCAACGACGATTATAACCCATTATGGCGACAGATGGTACGCGTTAATTATTGTCTAGAGCGACATAATGCATGATACGACCACTCACTTTGCATCCGTGCACTGGCCATGGTGAATCCGAAGCCTTTTCCGATGTGTTCAGATCTTTCTCCACGTCGCCATGTCGGATCTGGTCGTGCCCTTCCCCTGTTTGGCTGCTTCGCATAATGCCCTGATCGCTGTCCTGCATCATGTTCGAAATTTCCATAGGCTTTTCTTCAATGGTAGAAGCCTTGGTGAAAGAGGAAATGTAGACGTAGCCTTTAAAATGATGTATGTTTCTCCTCGGCTCGGAGACGTAGATCGTGCTGAATCGTATACTTGGACTCCGATGCTGAAAATTTATGGCGCCTGCTTGACCTGAGTTGGTTCCGTATCAAAATGGGGGCTGGCTACATACTCGGATGCGGAGGAACTTGGCTTGGTGTTTGAAATCTGCCACTCAAATTGCTGTCTCGGTAAGGTCTTAGTAGTTTCGCAGAAACGAATGAAATGTGAAGCCGAATGAAATTCATGGCTTTGGGCGATCTTGCATGGGCCAATTATATTGGGATATCCCGCCTCTGTTCAGTTCTGACTCGAAGGGGAAGTTCCCAAGGGGGTAGTACCCAAAGCAGAATGCTTAGAAAGGTTTGGCCAAGCCTAGAAGGCCAGTTCCTGGTCGCGGCCAGGTGAAGAATTCCCAGCAAAGGGTGCTTGCATTTACTGGAAATCCACAACTCTGCAATCCGTCATTCTTTCCAATCGGCTGTGACTATCTTGTTACGGTCATGGTCACATTACGATGGTTCATAATTGTATCTGTTGCATTTTCGCTTTTGGGATTAGACTAACCTTAGTGCCTTATTGGATCAACCCTACCTACTTTAGAAAGTTTACCACGACCAAGTAATAATTTTCGGTTTTCTGACTCCTCTAACTTCTTCCTAACCTAATTTGTGAAATCCGATTAATCGTTTTATCGAAAAGAACAACCTGACTATTGAACCAGGACCACTGTCTTGTCCCTTGGTTATGGGCCTCACGATGAGCTCGCAGGCTCTTTCGTGGACTGATCAATAACTAAAGACGGGGAAAGGATGAGTTCAACAACCAAAATATTATTAATTAGTGACAACGAGCCATTCTCGTTGTCTTCAGAATGCACTGCTGCAAAAACCAACGACTAAATGTGCAAAAGTGTGAAATGCATGCAAGAGAGATCTATTTGTGAATGCCATCTCTTAGACCTTATAATGATCAGGCCGAGAACAGCTCCGACAAAGGCCGACATGATCCACTTAGCCTTCCCGCTGCAATAGTACAGCCAACACTCACTACTTCACTATAACGATTAACTACCCTATATGGAGGTAGCCGTCAAAAGTCATGAGTTGTCCCACTTATATCTTGGCATTAGACTAGCGGCAGCTATGGCACTCTTAGGCTAGCTAAAACTGGACTGGATAGAACTAGTTACAACTATATTAAGACTCCCTTAGCCATTAACAGCTATATCTCACGCTAAGGTATAAGTGGGGCGACTTATAATTTTTGATCTTATACTAGTCATCAGCGGTAAAAAGTAACAGTGGGTCAAGTATCTCTTTAGCCAGTGCTGTTCGGATTTACATCTCGCTATAGCCTGTACATTTAACACTCTGCTCGTAGGTCATCCGGCATCAAACCAGAGCGTACGCTCGCGGTACTATTCCTCTTCACGGAGCTGGCGCGCCATCTTTGCCGTTATTTGTAAATCCAGGCTGTTAAACAGCTGGATTCGTGACTGTATCAAATCTTGTGCGTTGCTTGTACGGCTTTTCCGTAATAGGAGATAGTGCGGTACTTGCCCCACTGTTGTTTTCAAGGCCTGATACCACAGTAGTAACTACTAAGCCTAAATCGAAATTGCAACAGATACAGCTGTGAACCGTGGTATCATGCGACCCCACAATTGGTAGCTTAACGCCGGAGATTCCTCCCCCAGCGCAATAACGAAGTAGATTGTTGAAATTGCCCTTACATATCTGTCGTAATAGCGTTTAGGTTCATCAGAGCTTCTCTCTGGTCTTCCAACTCAAGATCGGCCGATCTGATAAACATTTCTACGAGGTCGCTATTCCCGCTGGTATAGTAGTACCCATAAAGAAGGAAGAAAAGGCTGCACCTGCATCGCCCAGGAGCTTCCTAGTAAAAAGCCAGCAGTAGAGTATACCAACGTGTGACTCATGCGTAATGCATTTCGACTCCGCACATGGGGGGTTTCTCATGTGGCCGCTGTTTTCATTATACTCAGCCATGTGAGCATCATTTTCTTCATCACGCAAGTAGAGAAACATAACAGAAGATGTAGCTAGTGTCGAGAATTGGAGCTGTCCGCTCTTCGCATAGCGAAATCATTATATGCACGAAAGTGGTGAGTGGTTGTCCCTGTTTTCAAGCCGTACCATGGCAAAAACATCTTGCACATGTCCTAAATTCAGCGCCCATTCACGATGGTCGTTGAGACGGCGCTAGTGAACTACCTATCCTGGGGTCCCATAACTCTTACAAGGTTCAGGAACATGAACTTTTCTCCGGCCAGCTAGTTCTCCTGTGTGCCCTAACATAACTATTCAATGGCCGAATGACCAGGAACTCAGGGTCGTACTGCATAGTTTCCTTGCTGGCGTCGACGAACCGGTATCGATAGACCAGGTTGGCTAAAACGAGCTTTGCCTCTATTGTGGCCACTTTGAACCCGACACATCCACGGGGCCCGGTTGCAAAAGACGTAAACGCAGTACGATGTCTCTTCTTATTGGCATCTTCGTCGGCTCAGCGGTCGGTATCAAACCTGTCGAAGTTATCCCAGTGGTCCTTGTTCTTGTGGATAGACGGAAATGTTAGGATGACGATTGCACCACCGGGGATGCGCCAGCCTCCAGGGACTAGGGGTTGTGCATGTGATGAGTCTCCCTGACGAGGTGGCCAAGAATTAGGAGTGCGTGGATCTCATCGTAGGACCAGACCTTGTCGAATGAGGCTCCGTGGTTGACGAGCTCTTGAACCAGCCGCTCCTTGTTTCCAGGGTACTGTGTGAGAGCATAGATCATCCAAGATAGCGGCGAGGCGCTAGTAACAAAACCAGCTGCTAAGAGCGTGATAATGTTTGTCAACCTGTATTCTTTGGGAAGCTTATTCCCTTCATCATCTACAGCACGTTTAAAATAGTCGACAATGCATGTAGAAACGAGCGCTGCTTCTGCAATCGGGAAGTCTTGTCCCGCCCCGCCCCGTCCGCGCAGCATCATCGATTACTTCATCCACCAGCGCGAAAACTCGCTTTTTCACCTCTGCTAAAATACTGTATTTATACCATTACTGGCTAAGCGATGTCCTTTTCATCAAAACCATATATTCCCCTAGTAAGCGGATACTCTTATGTAGAGGTGTGTCGATGGTCTGGAAATGACCGACATCCAAGCCGAGGACGAGTTAATAGATAATCTGGCCGGCCAGTTTGAACATATACTGGTATATATTGAAAGCCTTGCTTTGTTTATCCACTTCGTCAAAAACCCTGATGGACTGTCCAATAGCTCGCTGTATACTTCCAGTGTATTTTCGGACGACTCTAGGTGACATACCCGGGGGGACAAACCTGTGTACAAGTTCGAATGTAGGATCGTTCGTATCGCATATGAATAGCGTCGTTTCGTCTCTCACGAAATATAGAGGATGCGAGGCATCTGATCTTTTCTTGTTAAAGAATTCGCTCTCGGCCAAAACGACTTCTGAGACTCTTGGGGTCATTTGTAACATCGATAGTGGTTCCCATGTTTTTTGTCTTAATCGCAATGCCGTACTGGGCAAGATTTCGGTCATGATTGCCTATGTGATCTGGGTAAATTTCGAAATGATTCTTACAAAGTGGAAGTTCTCTTGGCCGAACAGGATCCTGAATCCGCTGTTGGTCAACTTTAATAGCTATTCTGCCTTAATAACCAATCACGCTGTCCGTACTGTCGAGGGGAGCATCCAACGCATGAATTAATATATCTATGCGAAAAATCGCTAAACCAGATCTCCGGATAAGTTGATTGTAAGAGACTTGGAATCTTACCGGCCGCATTACTAATTCCAAAGATATCTACAATACCAAACTCAAGGTCCACTACATCCTCAGATGACGAAATATCTAATGCGACGGTCGTGCCCTCTTTACCAGCGAGGAAGAATTCCTTTACTGCCATTTTCAACACAGCTCATACTGAATAAATTTGTAGTACGAAGTGTTGTCTAACCGAGAGATATACGATCAACCTCATATAGTGGGGGCTGGTAATAGTGAGGCTATGACTGCCAACACAGTTTCATGGTTCTTTGGCCTTAGCGGGCCGAGCTTGGCGATAGACACGGTGTGTTCATCGAGCTTATATGCTTTGCATCTGGCTTGCCAGTCCCTGCGTTTGCGAGAAAAGAACATGGTACTTTTCCTACATCCCAATATGTTTTTTTTTCCTTACTAACAACTACTAATACCAGACCTTGGTAGCTAGTGTCAATATAATTATCCACCCTAACATTATGCATCAATTAGCAGCCATACATATAATTAGCCCAGACGGCATTTCGCACACTTTTAATAACAGAGCTAATGGGTACAGCCGCGGTGAGGGCATCGGAAGCCTAATCGTGAAGAGTCTGTCTAATGCCATCCGTGATGGAGACACTATCAGAGCTGTAATCAAAGGTTCTAGGGTGAATTTGGGCGGCAAAACGCCGAGTGTCGCAATGCCTAGCCCGGAGGCTCAAGCGACCTGATTCGGGATGTCTATAGAGAAGCCGGGCTTCCGCTCGACAAAACGGACTACGTCGAGCTTCACGGCACAAGTACTCCTGTTGGCGTACGTTTCACCTCTTATTAGAAAATCAATGCGACTAACGCCTAGGAATTCTTTAGGACCCTCTCGAGCTATCAGCAATCGCTGCCACCTTCGGATCCAGCCGAACGCCTAGTCAGCCGCTCTACGTGGGCAGCATCAAACAAGCCGTCGGCCATACTAAGGGCTGCGCTAGCCTCGCGGGTCTTTTCAAATCCATGCTATGCCTGGAAAAGGGTATTGTATTACCCACTGCAGAGGTTGATCAGGTGAATCCGAAACGCAAGCTTGTAGATTGGAATCTTGCGTTACCCGAACGTGCTATGGATTGGCCATCGTCGGGATGCCGCCGCATCAGCGTGAACTCATTCGGTTTCGGAGGTGCCAATGCTCATGTCATCCTCGATGATGCGCATCATTACACGCAAGCACATGCATTGAAAGGAAAGCACTCAACCACTTCGACCAAAACCAGCCTGTGGTACAGAAGAACGGACTCAGTACTGGACATAACGATGTATACACCAATGGGTGCACTCATGGTAATGCCCATAGCAACGTACACGGAAATGACGATCTGAAACTAGGCAATATCTCTTCAGCATCCCCACCAAGAAAATAGCTTTTCGTGCTTAGTTCCAAGGATGAATCAATCATCCAAAGACTGGCAAGGTCGCTTGAGTTGCACTGGAGTGGTGGTCAACACGGCAGTAGTGGCGACGAAAACACCAAATATATAAGAAGCGTGGCATTCACACAGGTGACACGTCGATCATGGTTAGATCATCGGTCGTTCGTAGTTGCTGACTCCGTCGAAAGTCTCATCTAACAGCTCAGCGGGCCACTCCCTCGATTTAAACGTTCCACAAAGCCAAGCGGAATACCATTTGTGTTTACTGGGCAAGGTGCCCAGTGGGCCGGTATGGGAAGAGAGCTAATTGCATTTCCCATCTTCTAATCGAGTCTAGCCCGAAGTAAGGCCTATCTAGACACCTTAAGCTATCCGTATAATATCCAGGTCGAGTTGGTCAAGATTAAAAATAGCAAAATTGATACTTCCGAATATAGCCAACTGCTATGCATAGCATTGCAGATCGCACTAGTTGACTTGTTAGCTGAATATTCCATTAGGCCAAAGGCAGTCGTTGGACACTCGAGCGGAAAGATCGGTAACTTCGCTCTAAGCCCTATTCCCCTTCACGAGGACTGCGATTTCTAACTTGACAAAACCTAGCCGCTACGTACGCCGCTGGTATTCCAACACATGAGGACGCAATCAAGGTCGCCTATCTCCGAGGGGTGTACTCAGAAAGGGTTTCACAGGGACCGAGGAGTGGTCGCATGCTAGCTGCCGGCATCTCAGAACAAGAAACCCATATCTACCCGAAAGCGATGCCCTCAGAATGCGTTGTTATAGCGTGTGTAAACAGCCCAAAAAGTGTCACCCTCTCTAGTGATGTGGAATACATTGACCAGCTAGAGATCGATATATTGAAAGACTCCAAGTTTGCCCGAAAGCTTCGGGTCGCGACTGTCTATCACTCCCCGTTGATGAGGATGGTTGCTGAGGACTGCATGAGTGCCATGATCGATGCTGACAATGGGGAACCTCAGGACACCGCGACAGTGCCCATGTTCTCTTCGGTAACGGGTGAGATGATTGATTTTTCTGCAATTGGGAAAATCCTATTGGATTTGGAACATGTGTGGTACTGTGCGGTTTTCAGATGCTGTCTATAACATGCTGACTCATGTCGGGCGCCCGCGAGCTTCACGAAAATCAGCCAGATGGGATGGGACTCAATCATTGAGGTAGGACTGCACTCGGCGTTAAAAGCGCCATTGGTTCAGATCATGGAGCTCGTCGACAAAAAACTACCATCAGAGCTCCCCTATACTTCCATCTTGGTCAGCGGGGAGGACGCTGTCACAACTTATTTGAAGGCTGCTGGACATGTTTGGGCTCTCGGAATGCCGGTTTCCCTTGATAACGCCAACCAAAACAAACCATCTCAAGCTGTTCAAGTTGCAGTAGACCTTCCTTCATACCCCTGGAACCATGAAAAGGTGTATTGGCACGAGTCGGCGGCCACGAAAGAGCAGCGACTTGGTCAAAAGGCCCGTACTGATCTCCTCGGCATCGCCGTTGAACACCAAAATCCACTTGAACCCCAGTGGAGAAACTACCTGCGCGTTCGAGAGAATCCCTGGATAGAGGATCACAAGATCACTGGGGCAACCTTATACCCCGGTGCCGGGATGCTGATCATGGTCTTAGAGGCTGTTCGCGAGATAACCGGTGGAGAAAAATCTGCAAAGGGCATAGAGTTTGTAGATGTTCACTTCGATCGGGGGTTGGTCATTCCGAGCGAAGGTTCCGCTAAGACTCTCTTGCGGATACAGACGCCTCACGATGCTGAATCATCGCATTACAACTCCGCGATCTTCTCGAGGATTGGTGAGGGCTCATGGACCAAGCATTGCTTTGTTAATTCCTCAATCGTATCTGAAGGTACTAATGTTGATGGGGGCTCGGATCTGGCATCGTTCGAGTGGGAGACACAAATCTCGGCATTCGACGCGATAAAGAGGCTACCGTCCCGGGAGGTGGACGTGAAGAAGTTTTACGAGAGCCTCGATAATGTTGGCATGAATTATGGGCCTAGCTTTCGAAATCTTGCATCTCTGACCGTGTCGCCTGAAAATGGCTGCTCTCACGGCACCGTCAAGATCCCGGACACCAGGAGCGTCATGCCCTACGAATACGAGTTCCCGCACATTATTGACCCGGCAACCCTGGACGCAATCTTCCATCTGCTGGTGGCCACTATCGCAGGGCAAAATCTGGCAATGACCTAGGCTGCTGTACCGTATCTGTTGGAAAGGCTCTTCATCTCTTTCAAGCAGCCCCAAGGCGCCGGCTCGGTTTTCACAGGATTCGGCCAGAAGGCCAATCGCAGTGACAAGCAACTTGCTGCCGATTTGGTAGTTTCAGATGAATGCTGGAGCGAGCCTAAAGTCATTGTCAAGGGGCTCATCATGCGTCAAGTGTCTTCCGATTTGTCCAATATTTTCAGCGATAGTGCAATGACGAGTGAGAAGAAAACAACCAACATCGTCTGGAAAGCCGATCCAGAAAGCTTACTGAGAAGAAGCGAAGCAGCAGTGCCCAGCTACATAGAAATTGCCGGACTCCAGGGATGGCTAGAACTCGAATGCCACAAGTCAAATGGCCTTCGTGTACTGCTCGTTGGGAACACCCTGGATGGTGACGTGCTGAGTTAAGTAGCCCCTTATATCACAGCAAGTTCAGATTCTCCATATCGCGGTTTTGCGCAATGCACCATCACCGATGCGTCCGAAGACGCTCTGCAACGATGGAAGATGGAGTCGACAGACAGTACGACAACACTAAGTTTCAAAGTGTGGGATGGCATCTCATGAACCGAAGACGGTCCTTACTATCTCATTATTTCTGGTCGTACTTCTGGTCCAACCAAAACGCCTTGGAGCTCAATGATGCAAAGCGGAGGATGACTGCTTGTTCTAAGTGATCGTGCAATGGGGAAGAATGAAATACAGGGCTTCACGGCGCCGTTGTCTGCTGAGCTAAAACAGACTACGCTGCACATCGAGCATGGTGGATCCATTGACATTTACACACGCCAGCGCGGCGACAGCAAACATTTGAGCGAGGTGTATATGCTTGTGCCACATGACGAAGAGACAGTGGCAGCCTGTCGTACCTTAACCCACGAGATCCAAGACACATTGAACTGCAAAGGCAATTCTACCCACGAAGCATTTCTCGAGGACACACTGCCACTCAAAGGCCAACATGCCATCTCCCTTCTGAGGGATGAGTTCGTTACTATTTGGAGCCCGAGCGAATTTCAGCAATTCCAACACCTCGTCACTTCTGCTGCGCACTTTTTTTTTTTTTTTTTTTTGAATAACCACCGGCGCTCAAATGTTGGAACCGTCGGAGGGTGGCCTAGACGGCGCTCCCGTGCCCGGCCTATTTCGAGTGCTGCGGAATGAGTTCTTTCAAATCACCTTGGCCCTTCTGGATCTTTCGCCCACTTTCGACGCAAGAATTCCAGGCAGTGCCGACCTAGGAATCGATGCTTGGATCACTTCAATCGATATCTCGGTGGTCAGTAAAGACCTTGAGCTGGCAGAAGTTCAAGGGGATATTTTGCTGCCTCGTTTCATTTCTTCGTCTTCCATGGATACCGAGATAGCGCTTACAGCAGGTCGAGCAAGGCCGACGCTTAAAGAGCTTTCATCATCGGGGCATTTGCCTCTTGTTGCAGGTCAGAAAAACGTCCAAAATACGGCTTGGAAGACTGACGAGAAGGCCTATGGTGCTCTAGATCCGGACAGAGTAGAGGTCCAAGTGGCAGATGTTTCGCTCACCCTGAGCGGATCTCCCGTATCTGAGCTTGACGTGAGCCATGTTACAGGCCACATCACACGATGCGGATCAGAGGTCACCGAATTCTTAGAAGGTGATCGCGTGGTGGCACTGAACGGACTGCATTTCAAACCCCATGTGCGCCAGCATCGGTCAATGGTACTCCGGATTCCTCAAAGCGCTCCCATATGCTGGTACAGCTGCCACTGTATGGTCTTTTGTCCTAGCGAATCACGTACTGAGCACCGTTACTGGTCTCTCAATCGTTCAGCGTATTCTCATCCGAGATAGTACTACAAGTCTAGGGCAGGCCCTTGTGCACGTAGCACGTCAAACTGGTGGTGTTGAAATCTTCGTGGCTATACGAACGCCAGATGAGAAGGCGCTTCTAGTTAACAAACTGAACCTTTCAAGACAGTCAGTTGTAATTGTCAATGGCTTACAAGACATGAGCCGTCTGGCTTCCTACTTTTCACACATGACTCATGGTCAAGGTCTGGATGCGATAATAAACGCTACCCCAAAGATTGGGATTAGAAAAGAGCTTGTTTTGTGTCTGTCCGACTTTACACACATTGCTGTCGTCCTGAATGACGCTGGGTGCCTAGAGTAACCACCAGACCTTGAGAAGAATATCGGCTTTTCATATATCGATCCCGCACATGTCCTGCAGAAAGAGCCAGAGAGGATCATTAAGTTTCTTCCGGAGGTCCTAAAACTTATCCAAAGCGCTGGCGGATTACCCGAAATCGTTCCAACCACCAAGTTTGAGGTCACGAACCTACGTGAAGCCTTGGTATGGGCGCAGGATACCAGAAAAAGTGGCATAGTCTCGATAGGTTTGCAGCCCGCGTCTAGGGATGTGCTTGTACCGGTCATATCTGCTACTCCCGCACTACTGAGACTTGATCCTGATGCTACTTACGTTCTTGCCGGTGGGCTCGGGTCCCTTGGCTTAAGAATTGCAGAGACGATGGCCCAACACGGTGCCACCTGTCTGGTCTTCCTTTCGCGCTCTGGGGGTAATCGATACGCAGATAGGCTCCGTAATCTGAACAGCCGAGGTTGTAATAAAATGGTACTGAAAATGCGACATTACTTCTCCAGAAGATACGCGGCATACTATTCGTGAGGTAGAAAAGGTCGGGCGGCCGATCAAAGGCGTCGTCCTGTGCGCCATGGTTCTTCAGGTACGCAGGACCCCCCATTTTTAAGCCCAAAACAAGGTGTGTTTATTGCTAACGATGTTCTTCTCCATGTAGGACAATCTGTTCGAGAACACGGAACACAACCAATGGTCCACTGCATTCAAGCCCAAAGTTCGAGGGACCTGGAATTTGCTCGACTTACTACCCCAGGACATGGAATTATTCATCATGCTGTCATCTGTCGTCTCCATCATCGGAAATGTGTCGCAGGCCAATTAAGCCGCAGGAAATTCATACATGGATGCGCTGGCGCACTATCGTCGCTTCCAGGGCCTAGCGGCAACTTCAATCAACGTCGGCCTTGTCACCGACTCAGACCACACAATTGACGGTATAGATATGGAAAACTACCTTGATCGTTCCAAGCATATGGCGAGCGTCAGTACAACACTTGAGAAGCTAGATATCGCCATCATTGCCTCGATGAGAGGCACAGTGGGAGATGGGGAGCATGTTCAGGTTCAGTTTGTCTACTGCATGACAGACTCTTTACACCCGGAAGGCGTAGATGGATGGGCCCGGGACCGGAAGTTCATCCATCGCACCGCTATAGCTGATAACCGCGTTTCAATGCCAGTGGGCGAGTCGTCGGCTCCTAGCACCGGCGAGCAGCTTGGTGCGGCTAAGTCGAGGGGAGGCTATATCGGTCGTACAAGACGCGCTGACGGACTTGGTTGCTCCTAGACTTAGTATTCAGCCCACAGAAATCGACGAAGATCGGCCACTATACGACGCTGGCGGTAAGTCTCCATCTCTCTCCTTACAAGTTTGGGTGTGACAATGGAAACCATTGAACGGGAGCTTGGTTTGAGTCCAGAACTGACGTAAACTGTTACAGTTACTCATTCAAAGCCGTCGAGATCCGTAGCCACGTCTTCCGAGAGTTGAAGAGTGATATCTCTATATTTGAGATCCTGAGCCCAGGCTCACTAGCTCAGTTATCTAGTCAAATCGTGTCGCGCAGCCAGCTGGTCCCTAGCATGGTCCGAGAATTAGATGGCTGATCTATACCCTTCAGCTTAGGTAGAGATGAGGTAGACACGAGTTAGATGTCGGCTGAGATTAATCCTGAGGTTCTGTTTCATCTATCAAAGACGAAGCTGCGGACTTCACGTGTGAGCAGTCTCAGAGTTAAAGGTTGGTGGGAATAGAGTATTGTCGCCTAGAGGTTATATACCTCGAAAAGCAACAAGCGCCAGATTCTCTAGGCTCGCCATGCCTGCGCCCACATCTTCTGGCGGGTTCTTCTTTTGTATCATAGTCTCGTGAGATCGAAATATGAAAGGATCGGACAAGGTTTCTTGGCACTGTCGGTCTTGATTGGGTGAAATTCGTTAAGAGTACTCTCCAGTCCGACAATAAGCTCCTTTAACAATTAGGTGTTCCCAATGTACGTGATTTGTCGCAGTCGCATCTTCGCCCCTCCTATTTGAGCCAGGCAGTCTCGGCGCTCGATCCTTGGTCGAAGAAAGACCTCGAAGCTATTCATAAGATGGAGACGAAGTGGCCTCAAGATCTAATCACGTTGTATCACTTCTATGCTTCTCGAATGCAAAAGACTTGTGGCCACATCAAAAGCGGCTAAGCAGCCCATACGTACGTAAAGGAGCTAGCTTTGGTGATTCCCGTTGTTCGCCTCGAATTTTTACACTTGCCATCCATTCCATAGCCATCGACTTGTGAAACGAAAAGTAAAAATGTACATACAACACCGGGGATTCCCCAGTGGTCACCCACCTGAGTACTAATCCAGCGCTTCCCAGTTTATCTAGGGCAGAGCGGACGGGATGCCGAGTTTTCTAGGAGCTGTGGTCGTATGTGTTCAACATATGCTGCAAAAAAGTACAAATAAATAAATTCTCGAGGAAGGATAAAAGAAGATAAAATACAGAAAGGACAAAAACATACAACATCAGGGATTCCCCAATGATGACCCACTTGAGTACTAATCCGGCAGTTCAAGGGATTGTCTCCTAGGTGAGTATACACCGCTATTAAACAATTAATGCTCCAAAAAAAGTGAGTCTATGCAACCCCTCGCACCCTAACCCGAAGGATCACTCGGCGAAACCAGACGGAGTCAAAACGGTTGTTTTGACCATGTATTTGGCTACGCCTTAATTTTTCACGTTTTGAATTCCGTGCAACATTTCTACTTGTGGCGCTAGATCTTCCGGGCTTCCAGGAGGACCAGAAGTAGAAGCTACATCAATGCAAAACTGCGTTCGATTGCCCAATTATTTAACAGTTCATGATATGTCAGTTGTAGATCTAAAACAGCCACCACAGCCTTGCGATGACTTGTATCATAGATATCCCTTCATCTCCTCTGTCTATTTCCAAAAATAATTTCCGAGTCTTTCTCTTCTTATCCGTCCATCTTCAATCCCTAATATCTATTCCTACATGAATTCCAAAGTAGCATAGTAGCTGCAGATATATTCCCGTATTGTTACAGCTTACCTAAACGGACTTGCCCAATCACGGAACCCGGGTATCACCTTTTATGAATACAGGCGCTCGGTGGATCGTTAAGTTAGAAGAGCCTCAGATAATGATCAAAATAGATCATACAAAATCCAAATTGTTCAGTCAATATACCAAACTTGGTTTCGGAGACATCTAACCTATAAGAGTACTTCGGCAATCAAAATCAGCAAGGAGGAACACCCATGGTTCAAATCAATTTCAGCCTTAGGGCGATTCGCGGCAACATGCACCTCTGTGCCTTCCTATGTGGGAAGATCCTAGGTGCTATCAACCTCGCTATAAAGTCGTTCTGGAAGAATGCTAGCTCTAAGTCACTCAATACACAACCTGAAAATTCTTTGGTTATGTGTGTAGAGTCCAGAACATCGAGGGTTGAAAGTTACAAGCAGCCCGAGCTCTATAGGTCCTCACGATTAGGCCTTGTCGATGAATCTTTAGACGACATAATTGCCCCGATGAGAATTGCCACGACTCGCGAATCTGTTTCGGAGCCAGTCTTCCAGGCCCAACACAGCGTCGTCCGCCTCAAGTGTTTCATTGCAACGTTGTGCCAGAGAAGCTCGCCGCAGTGGATGTTGGCAATACTGTAAAGGCTTGGCACGATCAATGCTCTAAGAACTATATGAGTTGCTCTATAGTAGGCGACAAGATAATTCCTGGCCGAGTTTTGGACGTGGGAACTATTGATGCGCCACATTTTAGATTGCTCGAGAACTTCAACAGTCGAGAAGGAGATTATATCGCGCTTGGTTACTATTGGGGAACTAAGAACTAACCTCGGACACTCCGAAAGAACTTTGAGGTTCTCAAGAATAAGAGAGACGAACCAGCCTTACCCGCCACAATCAAAGACGCGATCATGATCACGCTGGCCCTTCAGGTCTCCTTTTTGTGGATTGATTCGCTTTGCATTTTTCAAGATGACGAAAGGGACTGGGATATTCAGAGTGCGAAAATGCAAGAAGTGTACAGCAAGTCGTATTTGACCCGATGTGCATTTAACGCTACCGGCGTGTATGGTGGCATCTTTCATTCTCGCTCGAATACCACCCAGGAAGTTGACACAGCCTTCGAGGATGGGGGTCAACGGTCGGTGTATATCCTCACAGAGGCGGACATGCCTTTGTCTGTTCGACTCATCGCGGACCATACTCCGCTTGGGGTCGGTGGTTAATGTCCTCAGGAGCGACTGCTGCCATAGAAAAGTATATTTTCATAACCGATGACTGGTTTGGCAACTTTCTGTATGCTTCTTCTTTGAGCCTGGCGTCAAGAAAGGACTTTTAAATAGTATATCAATGAAGATACCAGTAACCAGAAGGAGAATAATTCATGAAATCAACCTGAATGAGTGGGAAGGAATTGTAGGGTCATATACAGCCTGCCAGCTATCGCCGGGATTGCCAGCCATTTCGTGAAGAGCTCAGAAGCTCGTGAGGTATCACTTGCTAGCAAAGAAGCAGAATCTATCAATAAACCAGATAAAGAGGATTTGGGTTCTTTTTCGGCTTTGCCGAGATGGCAATGAAAGAGAAGGTGGGCAGTGCTGAATATATTGCTGGTCATTGGAAGGAAAAGCTTATCCCAAGCCTGCTCTAGAGAGTGGATGGCTCTAGGCAACTTGTCTTCATCAAAACACTGGTCCCCCTCGTAGTCTTGGGAATCTGCATCTGGTCAAGTCAAGTTTCAGGCGTAACTTAATCCACACGACAACCTTCAACGGTGGTCCGATCTGGAATACCATTTTGAGTTGAGCGGAGCCGACCCCGGGGTTTCTGTTAAAGAGGGTTGTATCTCCATCAACGCACCTTTACGCGAAGTCAAGTACGAAAGAGCGACTTCGGAACAAACTTCCCTCGTCAGTATGCTTGATGGTGAGCACCACCTGGTCTCAGCTCGTGGCCACCCGGTGCTTGACAGCGGATATATCGGGATGGGGAAGACGTTCCCAGTAGAATGTATGCTCTAATTCTCTACACGAGTCGCAAACCACAATCTTATGAGATAGGAAATATTGGGTGGGTGGGATAGACTCCCAGTCAGCGTGTGAGATAATTTCACGTGCAAAAGGCTAAGTGTGTTTTGGCGGTGCTGATTTCAGCCGAGCACTCCTGGATTACAACCAGAAGACGTTCATTTTTCCATAAGAATAGATTGATAAACCTCATCTGAACACTTCCAAAAAAAAATGAAATTATGAACAACTAAATTTCAATCTTTGAATACAATATGCTGATATGGTTAACTCGTTCGATATTCTCGACCTGGGCCTAAAATATAAAGACTTATTAATTAAGTTATATAAACTATTGCTTATAAAGGCATTCGGATTAAAATAATACTATTAAAGAGACTTAGTCTAACAACTTATTTTATAAATATAATTTCAATATATAAACACTAGGTTATTCTTGTTAGATAATTTATTTAGAGGATCCGCTCTTAAGTAAATGATGGCTAATAATATCCTGTAATATCCTGGCGATCGCCACGTGCCCTTCAGTTAAAGCGGCTTGTAGCACGTTGCCGTACCTCCCGCCCTGCGCGTTAACGTTTGCCCCTTGGTCGACTAGTATCCTGACGGTCGCCTCGTCCCCTGTAGCTGAAGCGGCCTGTAATGCATTGCCGTAATACCCGCCCTGCGCGTTGACGTCTGCCCCTTGGTCGACTAGTATCTTGACAATCGCCTCGTCTCCTTCAGCTGAAGCGGCTTGTAGCGCGTTGCCGTACATCCCGCCCCGCGCGTTAACGTCTGCCCCTTGGTCGACCAGTATCTTGACGATCGCCTCGTTCCCTTTAAATGAAGCGGCTTGTAATGCGTTGCCGTAATCCCCGCCCTGCGCGTTGACGTCTGCCCCTTGGTCGACTAGTATCCTGACGATCGCCTTGTGCCCTTTAGCTGAAGCGGCCTGTAGCGCGTTGCCATAATACCCATCTCGCGCGTTGACGTCTGCGCCATCGTCGATAAGCGCTTGTGTAGAATATATTAGTCCAGTAAGTGATGCATAGTATAGAGAGTTGGGAGACTTCTTTGGTCTCAATCCGATTCTTTCCAAGGGCTCATCGTGGTTATAAATTCGATTGCAAAAGTTCATAGTTGATTTTGACGAGAAGTACTCTCTAATAAGAGGTAGATGCATTCTTGCTGACTGCTCAGCAATCGCAGCATACTTTGGCCAATACTTTGCAGAGTATTGTGCCAGGGGATAGTTCTCTCTGGCCTCCTTTGGCTGGTGCGAATGATCTAGGCTGAGCAGATAGGAGAGGCAGACTGCCGAGAGAGCAGCGCTCGCATTCGATCGGCTTAGTTCACTGGCTATATGCCCTTTCACTCGGCCGGAAATGAGGTATTCCTGGACGGAGAAGTGCGCAAGCTGGATTTCCACGATTTCTGATCCGTCTCTCTTGTCTCTTCTTCTCACCAGAACAGCTAGGCTCGAGCAGTATCGGACGACTTCCTGTGGGCATGGCATTCGGTAGTTTGGATCAAACCTGAGCTCATTCGAAATATCTACTGCAACTGCATCCACTGCTTCTTCAAGTCTTAGCGGCCGATCTGAGTAAGTCAAGAATTGCAGAAGGCGTACTGCAGAATCCCATTGGCTTGGATCCACGTTTTGCAATATCCGCATGTATGTCTCATCCAACGTCCGTGGAAGGTTTGCCAATTCTGTGCGTACGGACTTTGGGTCGAGACAGTTATATAAAACATCGAATTGGCATGCAACCCAGCGAAACCTGCGTTTTTGTCAGTGCCTAAGCCCTTGCAGAAATGGCTTCTATCAACATACATTCCATTTGCCTTACCTGACAGGACAGTTTCGATTTCGTTCTGGATATCTGGTCGTCCTTTCCATCTGCCCAGTTGCCTTGTTTTGGCCTTGATATATGAGTTGATATCATTCTCTACTCGGGTGCTTTGAAGAGGGATGATCTCGCTAACATGCGCCCAACTCTCGATGGCTGACTGGAGGTCATGCTCGGGCCGGCTCGTGACCAGAAGATGGACATTTGCGGTACAGTCTCGAAGGCTCTTGATGTACGACATTAAGCCGGAGGCTGCACCTTCGTTTCGTGCGTGACATTCGTCGAGCGCGTCCAGAACAATCCAGACTTCGCTATCGTGCTGGCGTTGCAGCATGTTTCGCAAGAGCGCAAGTAACGATGTCTGGTCTGGCTGGCGACGTCCATTGTTACAAGACGAATAGAGAGCATCAGTCTCTTTGCGGGCATCCTTTCGTTTGAAGTATAGCTGAGTAATGAGTGATCGAACAGCTTTGTTGAGAGACTGTTTATCGACGTCATTGAAATCGAAATAGAAGTATAGCAGAGTCCGAGCGGATCCTGCGCTCTGTTCTAGATCCGCAACGACGGAAGAGCTCAATATCGTCTTGCCGCATCCTGGTATGCCATAAAGCCACAGGAACGAATTCTGCTCCATCTTCCACTTTGTGTATACTTCACTATTAAGAAGCCAATGGCCAGTGCCTTCATGGTACTGTTCTCGTGCTTTGTTGAAATTTGTGGATGGATCAGGCGGTGCGAGCCAGTTTCTGACTTTCTCAAGGTGACCATCTACTCGCAGCTCTTCGACGTGAGTCTTGATCTCACTTGTCTGACCTCGGATCGTAGAGATATCCATGTGCACTAGCTAAGGGTTAGCTCCAAAAATGCGAAGAGAAGAGATTTAAATAATTCAATATCCGATAATTCTAGGCTAGACATTGTAGAAAACTACTGACTCTCGTGATGTAATTCGCTTAATTTCTTCTCGGCTTCCACTTTATTTGGGGGAATCCTGTTGAGAATGTCTTTGGCATAAGCAGCCGCGGCCATCGCCGCATAGCCCTGCCACTGTTTGTTTTTATGGGTATCGGAATAGTCGCAGATCCCGCGAATCACTAGGCACGGAAAATGATTCATCAGCCCGGCAGCTTCCATCTCGAAGCAGAGAACGTCTTTCTCCTGCGCGAGCTTGTCTCGTATGACCGCATCCTTCATTAACTGGTTCGCAGAAGCGATCAGGCCATAATGTATCATGGGGTTATCTTCAACCTCATCTCGTGCGCGGCGTGCCACTAACACGGAGGCATCACTGTCACAAGATATCAGGCATGCTGCTCCAGCTTCGGTCGGGTGGACGACATCGGCGCGGTAGAGCCTGTCTGTAATCGGGTCTGGCTGGTTATAATTCCGTCGCAGTCTCGGCTTCTTCACAAGAGCAGCTTGGATGGCTTCCTGGATCTGGTGGCCGTCGGCCTCGTATTGCGCCTTCAATCCACTGACAGCCGTACGTAGCACAGTCGGCGGTTGATCTAGGAACCTTGTGGCTTGAAACTTCTGACACTGGATTGTCTTGCCAAAGTCATACTGGAAAACGCCGCCGTAGCCACCTCGAGGAGTACTAACGACGATATCGCCTAGGCGGATGTCATGCTTCACAGTCGGTGCAGCACCGCCGATCCCAACCATGAGACCTATCCTGATGTTCGGAAAGCTGTGAAGCATGTCGCGAGCGACGCCGGCAGCAGAGGCTGTGCCGTAGTCGCCGTCCGGTAAAACCGCAATCACCACATTATGTTCTCCGATCCGGCCTAGTGTGTAGTTATTATCGTCGTGTTGCGCGACGTGCTTCGGGCCCTTATGTTCTTCGTCGAGGAAAGCTCGCGCAGCAACGGATTCCGTAGTGATCGCGCAGATCCAACCGACTGCATATTCCTCGTTGCTGATGGACATCTCAGCGATCGAATTTTCCGTGCCTAGGCTGTTATCGGCTTAGATAGATTCAACGGTATCGAAGAACGACGTCGGCCTATCCCACAGTCGGGGCATTTGATGGACCGAATCTCTCTACAAGTCTGAAGGCCCTCGTCCAAGAACGTGGTTTACGATGGAAGGCTGTGGCAGAGCGCAGGTCAACCCGGACGCGAGAGCCAGCTGAAGTGAAGCGAGGGAACCATGGCAGCCTGGTCAAGGTCCGCCAGCTCGCCCAGCTACGCCTATGCGCCCATGCAAGGCCATGTCTTCAGCGATTGGCCATGCGCTCATGCGGGCAAGAAGCACATTGGCCGGGAATCCTATAAAGGCTGAGACTCTGGTGCTGGCGGCAAAGTATGACCCGTGACATGATCCTCATAGTGAGGAGATATTGAGGAAAGATCGGGATATATCCTCGATGTTCGCGAGATGACAGAAATTATGTATTAGGTAACACAATATACGCAGCGAAAGTGCCTTGACAGTCTAGTGCATCCAAGATTAATTAGGTTAGACCTTTATGTTAAGACTAGGCCTGTTGTAATTACCTACGCTAACGCTAGTTTCGTGTCCGTGCTCGAAGCCAGCCAAATAACGTTAAGGTGCGCCTGCTCTTAACTTCTATTAACTACGTAGCATATATTGAAAGGTTTGTCACGAGGCGCAGTACAAGTAGTATAGGCAATCTGCAAGTTAGTATATTTGGTACAATTCTAGCAGGCTACAGGTAATTGCGCTGCAAATCCTTATAGACAGCAACAAATAATGCCTGTAAACGAATGAAGTATCGCCACTACGTGTCACAGGACCAGTCCTCTGAGTCTCAGGCTGTACCGTGGGGAACGTGCCCATGGCACAGGGCGTTAGAAAAAAAACCCTTTCGTAGAAGCCAGCGTAGCGTAATTCTCTTCCTTTCTTTAGCTTTGATATAGACTGCAATAGAACATGCAACGTTTGCCTGCAAGCGACGTGATCCGTTCACACTATGCACCTCTGTGCTGCATACCCCAACCCCTATCTCAATTTCGTCAGCGAGCTCATCGGCGTTATAACTAAAAGGCATTGCACGTTGACTCGTGGATCTATTGCGACGGCAAACAACTTAGCGATACAGCAATAGCATACCAGTGAGCTGTGCAAGTCTGTGACAATATATACTATATATAAAGTTAAAAAAACGCCCTGGGTCAGCATTGCCTAACTTATATAACCATAGGATCCGGGCAAAAAACACACGTTACCTCGCTCGTACCACCTAGCTCGCGTTCACCACCTTACTTTGAGTAATCTGGCCTCATACTAACACTTCTGGAGTAATATTATAGTGAGCCCGAGCGTTAGGTGCTTTTTACTACTAAGATAACAACTTATTTAAAGGACGTATACGACCGTTGCCTTCCGAGTGGAAGAAGCTACACGAGCCAGGACGAATGCTTTGCGCTATAACCGTTTTGAAGCGAGCTTTGCCGCAAGGCGCAGTAATAAGTTAACCACACAAAGGCTTTGTTCAGGCGCGGTGTATCAGGCATTATAAGTGAATGATATGAAAAGACTGGAAACCCAAACACCCGCGATTGGCCTGTATTGCATACACGATGGAACTAGTCACTCATAAATTCATAGGCTTGAAATAGAATACTACAGCCCCAAGCCCTTTGTGTTTCTTCTCCTGCCGCGTTCAGTTGATCCAGTCTTTTATGCACTCTCCGCGACTACTTGTCTATAACCGACACCATCCGACTGGAAAGACGACAAGAATGCTGAGAGAATAAAGGTGAGCCAACTTCCGGATACCGTCAGGAATCGCTCATTATTTGTTGCCCTTACCAACAGTGGTTGGTATCTATATCTCTCCCATTCCTTGTGCAGTAATAGGGCGGGCTGACGCGGCACCGCGGATGTGGAATACCGTGGATAGGCAAACGTTTGGATGAAACATCATGTTCAAGTCGGTAGGCTGGAGGACATGATAAGCAACATGTCTCCCCTAAATCGTCGAACACAGCGAGGAGGTATGCGACACAATTACACGCGCGGCAAATCAAAAGTTTAACCCAAAAAGAATATGCTATTCCCATATGTGACCGTGGACCGGGGCACTACTGTCTATACGTACAAAAAAAAGGGTATCGTATCTGGATTGGATCTTATACCATTTCAACCACCGATTTCACTCCCCATTCAGATGCATGACCCCAGAGCTAAACTTGCTCGAAATTACAACTATATGCCGTATTCAACGTCCTGGTCTTCCACTTTGCGCCTTGCTCTTCTGATATGTGTACGCTAACACCTTGTATATTCGTCAAAGTTCAGCTTGAATTTGCAGTCTTGACTGCCGATATAACTTTAGGGCTCGGGAATCTCTGGTGTCGAACTGGCTCGACCCATGACCTGGAGTGCCGCCGCCTTCTCCTCGTGTAATGTCTTCATCACATATTCGTAGGTCATCATAGTGACGGTAGCGGCCGGCACGGCTCGGGCCATGTTGACGCCCATGCCCGCATAAAAAGCCCTCCAACCCTCCTCTCTTAATATTGTTCGGAATGTCATCATAACACCTTTGTACTTGGGTTCATGAACAGCTTTTCCTGCTCCATTGACGCCTTTTTCGCTAGGGGGATTAACCCCAAGTCCTTGGAGGTATTCGGACCCAGCTGCCGGTCTTCTCTGCGTCTGCAACCTTGTCCTAATGACCTCATGGGGATACGTTGCCGAGCTTGCCAGGATCTTAGATAATATCGAAGCCGAGAGCACACCGACCCATTGTCTTTGCGAATTGTCTTCTCCCATATGGCCCATTCGCTGACCGGTAAACTTTTGTCTCAAGAATTCGTAAGCAGGGAACTGTACGGCAACATGGCTCAAGCCGAGCAATGCTGGTGTGAGCCCCGAGTAGAATGATAGAATGCCCTCTGACGAGTACATCTTCCTCGCGGCATCGAGCGTCGAGTTATAGTGCCAGGATGAGCTGACACTTGGCCTCGATGTCGGCGTGCTGCCCGTCCTCGGAAAATCGGACACATGCCGTGAGGACTGTGACATGAGCCGGGTCTTGATGACCCAGATAGGATTCGTGACTACGGTACTGCTGGCGCCTGCGACGATTGAGGACCAGAAATTAATGACGAATTGGTTTCGCACTAGACGGGGCACAAGTCAGCTTCCAGGGTTTTCAAGCTCTGTGGTGTGCTACAGGTAGCAGGTGCTCGTGCTCTCAAGGAAAGAAGACTTACCATCACGCTCCGCGAAGAACTCCTTGCTCTTTGTATACACAGTAAACCAAACGGCCCATGTTGGTAGATATCCAAGGATAATAGGTCCTAGTCCTCGATACATGCCACGAAGACCCTCTTCCTTCCATATGACTCTTGCTGTGCCCAGAAGTCCCTCATAAACCTTGTGGTGGCCTACATGCCTGCCCTTGTTCACGGGCACGAAGCCTCCCTGTGCCTGAAGTTTTGTCTTGATAACATCGAGGGGGCAGGTAATGATGCCGGAAGTGAAACCTCCTATGGCTCCTGATAGAGCATTGAACTGGGATTCAGACGCTCTTGTCGTCCACTTTTGCAGCAGCGTCAATTGGTCGCCGCTGTGAAACGCCATGGCTACCGCCGATGCTGGTGAAGCTGGTTCGTCCTTGTCCTGGCCGCCGGTCGATCCAAAGGAATTCGACGGCGTTGTTGTTCGGTGTGAGAAAACCCCATAGTCTGCCGAGGTGGGAGGCGATCGCCCTGTCGGATCGCTCTGGGCTTGTTCGTGAGACATTCCCTAGCGACAAGTCCAACTGACAGGATATCGCAACCAGATTTGAAGAAATGGGATTTTGCGTTTGGGGATCTCTGGGCCGCACCGAGAGCCTCCGGCCAAGGCCGCGTCAAGGCTCGATTTCGTTTTGTTGTGAATAAGTGAGATTTGGTACGTGTGTCACGAATATTTGGTGCGCCAACGTGAGCCGGGTACGCCGTTGTGTTACGGTCGGGAATCGTGTAACGAATCCAAGGTGAAGGTATCGTGTGCGGTGTGCGGGGAAGAGATCCCACGCAAGTTCACCGTCGACACTACACTTTTTGGAGCTATGGGTTGTGTCGTGCCATTGATGTGATTCGGGATGTCGTGGGCGGGATTCGGATTGAAGGAACAGGCCTCAAACAGTGAGGTGAGGGGTGCAGGCTAAGAAGAAACAAGTTCGCGAAGTTGGTGGTTCGTCCCCAAGACACAACGCTGGACTCGAGCACGAATTATCGGAGTCACGACACTACACTAACCTAGGCTGTTAAGTGGTTGGAGCGGGTCGGTGACTTTGGTTTCTTTTCTTTTCTTTTCCGTTGCGTGATAAGAGCTCCGCCGGTGAGCGCCGAAACTGTTGTTGCTATCGTAATTTTGGAATCTTACGGTTTACTTCACTTCATCGAAGGAGTGAAGAATGGCTGCAAGGAAAGGCATCTACAGTATCCATGGGTTCAAAGGAATAGCATTGGATATCTTGGAAACGAGGACCAAATGATTACATATGGACCCGTTCGACTTTGGGCCGACTAGAACCCAGTTGAATTGCTCTTTTGTCTGTGCAACTGATCGGAGCTAGCTGTGACCTCATAGGTGACAAGCATGCATGCGTTTTGTACGGATCCGTATTGCGCTTCTTGCCTCATGCAGACGATGGTCGGGATTGACCAGAGATACGGACGGGTCCTTTGCAAGAACTTTCGGTTCCCGAATTCTTCCCGACTGTATGGATCAGCATTTGATACTGCTGCTGCTACATATCATCTCGCAAGCTCGAACTTCAAAGCAGTTTACCAATGTACAAAGTATAGACAAGATGGATGATAAACTGTCTCCGCCATATGGAGAATGATAGCGACACTCATGAATACGAATGCCCTTGGGTCATTCCCACGGTTCAATTCATTCGACGTTCTAACTCGGCACAGGTGCTGTTTCCAAGAGGGCTTCTGCGGTAAGTAATACTATGTAACTTGTCTAGCCTAGACGCAGTTTTGTTATCGCATCGAATTTGAACACATACATACCGTACAGCATGTAACTAGTAACTGTAGTGAGCACTTCAGCACTTTCAGCACTTCAAGACTCAAAGTCCCACGTGACCCCTGACCCGTCGAGAAAAAAGCTCGGGCCCGCTCGGGCGAAATGGACGACCAGTCAACTGGCAGCAATTATCACTCACATCACGACCCGACTTTCTCTGCTGCCGAGAGCTATCGTTCGATATCCGTAAGAGCAACCACCCTCATACAATCAGCCGAACCGCAACCATGTCCGCCTACCCGTCGCTCGCACCCTTCGTCATGAAGCGCCCTTGGCTGCGCAACATGCTCAAGCCCGTCGCCAGCTGGTACGCCAATGCCGCAGGATACCGCCAGCTCGGTCTTCGGTACGTCCTTCTCTCCCTCCAGCCTACCTCGAGTAGGGTCTACACCGCCGCGATTGGGGGCAAAAGAGAGAGCACAATCAGAGACTCGTGACGACGAGGCACTCCGGAACTGCATTGGGGGACTTGAGCCTACAGAAAGCAGCGGCTAACCGACTCAAACAGTGCCGATGACCTGATCATCGAGGAGAGCGAGGAGGCAGTCAAGGCCCTCAAGCGCCTTTCTCCCCAAGAGTCCTACGACCGTGCCTACCGTATTCGCCGCGCCATGCAATGCTCCTTGTCCCACCAGCTGCTGGCCAAGAAGGACTGGACAAAGCCCGAAGAGGTAAGACTTTCTCCCGCGGCATTGCACAGTTGCCTTTTCGAACGACGACTATACAAAGTCCCAACCGGATGATCGAGCACGCGAGCGAACGAGTCGTCAACGGCGAGGAACGAATTGCTAACCAAAACTGTAGGACCTCCCATACCTCATCCCTATCATTGAGCAGATCCGCGCCGAGGAGAAGGAGAAGGCTGCCCTCGACTCCTTAACCATCGTCAAGAACCACTAAACGTTCAAGACGGAACCCATACGGGAGAACGAAACCGGCAGTTCAGGAGTCATACTAGAAATCCAGGGAGAGGCTCGTGGTCGGGCCGCTTGTATAAATAAAGATACCTGAATAGACGAGAGGAAATACACGCATCAAATTCGTTACTCAGCGACCAAAAGGACCCTCGATTTTGCGAACGGAGGCATGGTACATCACGATGAGGATTATGTATATGTGTATAGAAGAATCATTGCATATGCTTTGACAACGCGGCCCACCAAAATTCTCATCCACCTCAGCATGTCGTCGTCAATTGCGCGCATCTCTGACACGAGGTGTCCGGGCTTACAGCCGGGGCTGACTTGTGGCAACAAGGTTTCAGAAGCACTAAGCTTTTCCCCGTCGATGAGAATCATATCCGTGATGTTCGCTATCTCCATACCCAACATCTTAAGGGATGCCTAAGATTCGTTTCTGTTCTGTTCGATTAAAGCCATTGGTCTAACGTATTTCGTGCGGTTGCTCGAGTCGTTGCCCGCGTCCATGCTCCTCTTTGTCTCCGGTGACTTCGATTCCTTGTTTGTCCTAACCCTGGTGGCTCCCTGTTGAAACAAAACATGTATCCACGGTTATATCGTTTTGTATAAGTGCAGTTAGTTATCTTGCGTGGGAGTGGTGCAGGCAGATACGACGTTTCCCTAATGTGGGCAGCTACTGCCTCTCATCACTTCATGCTCCATCGCCGCCCATGGTTGAAAGCAAATTGTTCAAAGTCACCAGAGAAGAAGCTGCTTCAAGGGTATTCCCCATCCCCGAAAAAGAAAAAGAAAATTTCGCCAGCCAATTCACTCATCCACCTAGGATTTCACGACAAGACAACCTCGAAAACGTGCCAGAGACTTTGAAAATCAGTAAGTTGCAAATCTAGTGATGCTTCTCCTGACGGCAATAAATAAAACTTATCAAATATACACAACTTCCAATGAGCAGTAAGGGGTATTGCGCACGAAGATCCTGAAGTTGCGCCTCCTTTATCATATCCCTTCCACCGCCCGTTCGACGCATACCCCTCCCTGATGAGTAGCCAAATTCTATTACACACCGGGGTCATCAATTCGACCCAATAATACCGACCGGAGCCGACCATGCAGAAAAATTTGCGCTCAAATGCTATCTTGACAGCGTGTACACAAAACAATTTGACCACCCGGGCTCTACCCAAGAACGGAAAACAGATTGTCGGAAGTGACCACAGAGCGGATTGGCTCCAGCGTTTTGTGGCCCAAACCATCCACGCCTTTCCTGGCCCATGCTTTCCACAGGGAAAACATAGGTTGGTCCGACAAGGTGAGCAGAGTGGTTCCTTCGCAGGTACTCTGGGCCGAGAGTCTTTGCAATGAATCGCACAGATTCTTGTTGTGGGGGTTGCGTGTATCATGATGTTCGTACAATAATTACGTGTCCTGTCCATGTTCGAGTATCAAAAGTCCGAGACCGGTAGACAAAGCCGGTGCTCAGAGGATATGAGGATAAGGAAGAGAGGATGTAGATCAGGAAACGATCTACGCATTGCCAGGTTTCTCGTCAGTATCGATATGCCAGACAACGTAGTTGGGCAGACCGATAACCTCAAATCCTGCGCGCTTCGCCATCTTTGCGAAACCCTCTGTTTCGGCCTGGTTCTCGAAAGGATAGCAAGGGAAGTTGATACCTGGCGGATATGTGAGCGTTTTGTCCAGAAACACAAATCCTTGGGAGGAAAAATAACGTACCGGCACGATGGACGTGAGCCTTGACTAAAATGTTGACACCACCAATACCATCAAGCTCAATCTCCTCGTCCTTGTCGTTTCTCCAATCACCCATGCGGGCCATATGTTGTCTTCCGGTGTCGTACTGCTTGTAGCCTGTGTAATACCCTCATGTTAGACGCGGGACACTCTGGAGACGCAGACGCTCCCATCGAGCTTGTCTTACCTTCGGCGAGTACAGTGTCCTTGCTCAGACTAGATGCAAGCTTCAAGCCCTTCTCGGATTCAACCCAGGAGTTGTAGTCAACTAAAGAAACAGTCGTGGTTAGTACACGTTATTCTGCTTGAGCTGATGAGGTTTGAAGCTTACATCGACCCTCAACATCGCGGCCGTCTCTGTAGCGGTGGAACCAGATGTTGGGCACAAGGATGTCTCGGTCATGCGCAATGAAATCCTCCAGGATCTTCTTGGGGCTGTCCACAATATCGACGTCGCGCCAGTAAACCCAAGAGTGGTCAGGCTTGAGAGCAGTGGACAAAAGGTAGTTGCGAGCCATGCCCATAGCCTTGCGTCGGGGGCCTTGAGCCTCAAAGCCATGCCTTTCCTCGACGCTCTGGGCAAGCTTGAAATCGAAGTCCTTTTCGACGACCATGGCGCTATGGAAGGGAATCTTGTCGGGACGCTTCTGAATGCGCTCCAGCTCCATGGCCAAAACTCCGAGAGTGTCATCAGTAGAGTCGCCGACCAGGAAGGCAAGATCAATCAGGTTGTGGGGATATGTGAGCTCGGCAATGAGTTCAAAGTACTTGGACAAGTAGGGAGCAGCGTCCTTTAGGGGGGTGACGATAAGAACCCGCTCTTCGTTCTGGGCGGCCTGGCGCGTAGACTTGATGGGGTTCAGCTTGACGTTGATAATGGTGGATTCGTTGACTTCTATCGGGGTGTGGTGGTTGAAAATGACTGGTGTTTGCAGGTGGGAATTCCATGCTTGTTGCTCGTTCAGTGTCATTTCCATTGGCGGTTTCGAGGGACCCCAGCAGTAGAAACTGTAGTAGTAGGGATTGCGGGTTAGCCAGTCTGTTCTGCCGTCTCGTGCGAGACCATCGCAGGCATGCGCAGGTTCTAATGATGCGGTTAGGAGAGACGGGCATACCTTTGCATCTCGGCCGCCGACCCTCTGATGCCGCGCCATAGTAGCAGAATGATGCCGGCAACGGCGAGGGACAAGAGAAATCGCGTCCTTGTGAGGAAGACCCATATCGCTCTCGTAGGGGGTAATTGTGCCTTGGCGGACTTCCAGGAAACACCGCCCTTGGGAAGAAGCATGTTGGAGCCTTCGGGGTGCTCTTTGCACCACCCCAAGTTGTGTCGCGAAAGCACGAGGGAATATCGCAGGGCGATGCGAAAGGACTCGATCACCGTCGTGGTGTGACGTGTCGGGTTTTGTTGGTCGCTCCCGAGGTGGTGTGCAGTACCGCCCGACCTTTCACGTTACGCCAAAAGGTCGAAAAGAGAAGCGAGTACAGGCAGCGCTCGGTAGGATGGGAAAGGGAGAGCAGAGCAGTGCTTGTCAAAGTATAGCTAAAATGTGACAAAAAGCAGGTAGTCTATGGTTGCAGAATTAATGAGCGACGAGCTGATCCAGCGTTCGGCTCTCGATAAGGTTAATAATCGTCGATTGTCGTTCCGTCGAACTTCCCTCGCGTATGCTTTCTGTGCTGACTGGGGAAGACTAGAGGTAGAGAGGTAGTTACTACTGTCCACGTAGAGTAAGAAAAGTTTCCAGGGCCTGGATGGATAAAATCAAGGAGCTGGATTGGCGCGGACCAATCGAGATGGTACCGCAAGCTGGATACTCTGCCAGTCTAAATAAGCTTGGCTGTGCTGGGCTAGGTGCCTCACCAGGAGGATGGGATGGATGGAGTAGATAGAGAGAATGCTTGGGTCTGTATCCGTAGCGTATGTAGGGTGAGAAACAGCCGGCAAACTCGACGCAAACATGCATGCATACACGTACATACGTACATAAGCTGACTATCAATTGACTACCTGCTCGTTCTGATAAGTAAAAGCTACATAAAAGCAGGGAAAGCCAAAGAGCCCGAATCCAACTGAATCCGACTGCACCAAGCAGCCATGTGCTTAGAACAACAAGCCGCGAAGACAGTTACAGGCAGCTAGGTTAAACAAAAGGCAACTGGGAAAACCGGTAGGATTGAACTGGGAGCGTTTCCGTTTAGGAGAAGCTGATGCATGGGAAATACGAAAGTGACTTGGATGGCTCAACAACGCTGGGGGGCGCTTCATGCAGCCCAGGCACCCTGTAGTTAGTGTAATACTTGAGCGATTGAGGCCGAGAGTCGCTGGCGCCTTCATTTTAGATGCATCTTCGCGGCCATTTGGCGCCCTAGCTTTGTTAGCTTCTAGCGCTTCCGTGTATCCCCTTTTCTCCTCTCATCTTGAGCTCGTATGTACCTGCTTACACGTCCCTGCAATTTTTGGGAGCTCGCCAAGACTTTCACTATCACAGATTTCTCCTGACAAGCCCATTCAAGCCATTTTTTAAACGAGTCGACGCAGGGGAAGCACAACGCCATTTCCTTCGCCGTCTGATGGAACCCCCCCGGGTTGCACATTGCGTATGGCAAATGTCGAGATCTTGCGAAAGACGGGCTTGACAATACAGTACCGCATCAATGTACTCCGCATTCAACTTGACAACACGATGACAGCCGAATGATTTTACGCTTGCCGTTAACTCTCCTCTACTCTACGGTTACTCTGCTCTACCATAAAATCCAATCTCTCTCTACAAGTTGGACACCGTGGTCTGGAAGCTCAGCGCTCCACTGAAATACTGGAGACATGAGACGGAGATCATCCCAACCTCCAGCTCCTCCATTTCCTCCGTTTCTTTACCCCAATGCTACCTACCTATCTATGGCCGCTACTTATCCTGCCAAGCTTTCTGAACGGCAGCATTGGGCCTTCGTTGAGAGAATTTCAAGTTAAAATTGCTCTGTTTTCATGTGTTCTGCATGACATCGAACATTGACCGTATGCATTTTCATTCACGCTGTAATCAATTGCAACAGTTTGGCAACCACTTGACAGGGGCGAGGTTGTGGTCCTGTGGCGAGGCTCATCTCGGGCCTGCGCGGCGCAGTACACAAGGAAGAAATGCCTTCAGGTTCAACATCGATGTGGTGTTATTTGTGGGCATCCTTCTTACTCAAACCGAGTCTATTAGATGGCATTTCCCACCCTCGATTTCACAGATGGTCTCTCCCAGATTTTAGTTTTTTTTTTTTGGTGTGAAGACGCGCCTAATTGCTGCAGGGTGAATGCTTTTGTTTACTTTCGTCCATATGTGATACCTCGGGATCTTCCAATCAAATACTTGGCGCATGGTCGCCTGAGCTGACAATTGGCGTCATCCGGACCGACGGGCTTGTAAGGGGCGCCAAGCTAAATGACAAAGCTAGGGCGTATGTAGCTGCAACTATCAGAACATCATGAAATTCACTATACAACGACAAGATACAGCATTTCTATAGTCAATGCAAAACCTTTGTGCGCCGGTTTCAAATCGACTTTTTTCTGCTACAACCATACTCGTTGCTTCGGTTTCTTCCTCGGAGACTGTTTGACATTCAAATCGGGTTAGTTCAGACATGAATGTCATCAATGAGTGTCATCAAGTTCACAATTAACGTCAACGTAAGAGTTTCAAAGCGCCCTCAGACTTGGGCCAGGACGGTTTTGTCAACCAAGCCCTTTCTGTTCTTCGGAAGGCCAGAGCGCTTCTCTGAAGTCCGCAGTTTGCCAGTCGGAAATAGTCGAAGTCCAACACATTTCGCGACATCAGGGTCGGTGCTCGGATCGCTTACATATTCACCTTTCCATCACGGGAAAGGCACTCTGTTCTCAGGCATCGGGTTACTACAAAAAAACATGTCCACACGCAGGTCCGCCCGGCTGAGTGCTGCTGCCGAGGCCAAGCCATCGCTAGAAGTGATGCCACCTCCGCCCAAACCAGCTGCAAAATCCAGAAAGCGGAAGGAGGCTGCAGAATCGGAGATTGATGCATCGCCAAAGAACGAAGCACCATCAACGCCTAACAAGAGGCGCGTGGTTTCGAAGCCCACGGCGCCACCTCCAGCGACTCCCACCCCCAGCAACGCAAAGCTCATTGGCGAGCCTGTAACCAACGGCATTTCGCCCACAACGCCTAAGCCCAAGCCAGCGGCGGTGAGAAGACTAGCAGATCCTAACGCCAGTAACGCGACTCTTCTATCACCGGAATCATCTAGGGTTGTCGCATCCAAGTCTCTGGACGCCGTCTCGCCTTCCAAGGTTTCTGCCTTTGAGACTACAACGGAGAACATCCTTCAAGTGGCATGTGACCACCTCATCAAGGTTGACCCACGTATGAAGCCGCTGATCGACAAGACCTACTGCCAAATCTTCTCTCCCGAAGGCCTCGCTGAAAAAGTCGACCCATTTGAGTCACTGTGCTCCGGCATCATCAGCCAACAGGTTTCTGGCGCCGCCGCCAAGGCAATCAAGAATCGTTTCGTCGATCTTTTCGGGCCTGAAAGGGAGGGCAGATTTCCCCATCCGAGCGAGGTTGTCAAGATGACGATCGAGACCTTACGCACAGCAGGACTCAGTCAGAGGAAAGCGGAGTACGTGCAAGGGCTGGCAGAAAAGTTCACGTCCGGTGAGCTCTCGACGCAGCTTCTGCACGACGCTTCGTATGAGGAGGTTCTCAAGAAGCTCATAGCGGTTCGTGGCCTGGGGCAGTGGAGCGTTGAGATGTTTGCATGCTTCGGGCTTAAGCGCATGGACATCTTCTCGTTAGGTGACCTGGGTGTGCAAAGAGGTATGGCTGCTTTCGTCGGGAGAGACGTGAGTAAGCTGCGTGGCAAGGGTGGCAAGTGGAAGTATATGAGTGAGAAGGAGATGCAGGAGATGGCGGACCGCTTCAAACCATACCGGAGCGTCTTCATGTGGTATATGTGGAGAGTGGAAGAGACGGACATTAGTACACTCGAGTGAGCTTCGATCATGAATATATACGCGGCTTGTTTTATGAGCCGCTGGTCATTAAGCCATCTACTATAGATTGCTGGCGAGTAATACGGAGTATGCTATAAAAAGAATCAAAATCAGATAACCTCGGGATCTGACTTGGATGTAGCCGCTGGCCAGGGTTTCTTCTGGCTCAGACTTCCATGGGCGCCCCAGGAGGTACTGGTTGCTCTATATTGGTCCCTGATCAGTAGTCGTACTTTATTGTGTCATGTGCCACTCCTAATGAGGGTCAAGAATCTAGCAGCCGCGCTCAGTGTGTGATGAAAGATAACTACTAGCAGGGTTGTAATTTTGTGGCACATGAAGAATTAAAGTAAAAACAATAATTGGGTAGTACTTGTCCATCAACGCAAAGATTGCGGGTGTAACAAGTATGCTGTGGCCGTCGTTACGAATATATCGTTACATACAACAACTACTGGGCGATTATTTCAGCCCGTCTTGCGGCACATGAATATTGTCGTACATTCCACGACCATCAAAGTTGTTTGCCTGTCGGTCGACGTCGATATGAGAGCAAACATGGTCATATTGCCGTCTCGAGGGCCGTTATCACGGAGGTGAAAACATCACAGTGCCGCCTCAGCCTCGGGAATACCGAACCCGTAATCCGGCACACTTGGCTCCGCTTAATATCAAGATCACCGGGATGGTTGGCAATACCCGAAAACACACTTCTATTTGTCATTTTCTAGCAATATACAACATGGTACTTATACATAATAGTTCACCACTGGTCTTATGGTGTATCCAAGGAAGACGACCGCACAACCCGATCATGTTCGGTATCCTTTTCTCTTTTATATCGAATGGCACAAAAATACAGAGGACGAGAGGCTTTGCACAACCTTGGGGAACTGCAGGACTCTGCATATTCGCTTGCACAATATTTAATGAAGCACAAATGTGCGCGATGCTTCTGAGGCCTAAAGTATCGTTCAAAACATGGGGTTTGCTTCTCCCTCTCAAAGGTCAGCTAGTCTCGATCGTCATCTTCTTCCGTAGTTGATGGTCACCCAGACGCGTCGCCAAACAGTGTTATATTCTAGAGAGGTTCTCACTGACGAAGGTCATCTAACGCACATTACACTATCGTCTTCACGTTGTTTACCGGACCGAGCACATATAGGATGAACACGCAGGAGCACGATTCTGGCGTCAACGAAGTTGTGGGCAAGCGTAAAGTTGATGTCAAGGCGCCTGAATGTGAGATTCGCCGCAAGGTGGTGAAATTCATTCAAGATCCAGCCAGGCAAGTTAGAACTGCTGTTGTAGGAGTAGCCTCTAACCTTAATTCTGGCTTTTGCGCTCATTTCAAAACGTGTAACCGGATTTTAGTCGTTCCTGGCCTGGCTCGGCCGTTAACAAGGTGGACAAGTATGGGTTGGAAAACGCAGGTCTTCGAGCTGTCGATACTAATAACTCTACCGAGTCGTTAACGGAATTCTGAGATGTCGAACTTATGCCACGCAAGGATTCGCCTAGCCACGAAAGTAGACTCAGGGTTCTAGGTGAGGACTGGATTGACTTGGAACTCGTCCGCGACTGGATTATGCGTTGTGGATAGGAACAGGATTTAGAATGTTATGCGATGCCACTCCCTCAAATGGTACCGAATCAGCCAGAGTGGTTCATAGATGTCGTGCAAGGGTGTATTGTTGTTTCAAGGAAAAGAGCAAACAGATATGTCACACTCGTACACGTCGGGTCAAACTAGAATTTCCGGGTCCTCAGGAGCAATTTATCGCAGATGAAGATGTCTGGTATTCTAATGGCAGACAGCATTGCAAACCGAATTCCACAAACCATTCGAGATGCTATATCGCTTGTCAAAGCTCTTGGAGAAAGATATCTGCGGGTTGATAGCTTGTGTATTGTGCAAGACGACCGAGCGCCGCTTCGCAGGGGACTCAGTCAAATGCACCGGATATATGCAAGCTCATCTACGAATTTTATCGCCGAAGATGGCAGAAACGCGGACCATGGTCTTCAAGGTCTCAAGGACATGTCAGCTCCAAGATGCCATCGCCAACATATCACTAAACTTGCGGAGGGGGAAAAGATAGATTGCAATGTCAGTTCCAGAAGAGACAATACCGGACATTCATGGATACAACCAGTGTATGTAGACATTCCAGGAGGAACTATTCACGAAACGTTGCTTAGCATTCAGACCAGGACCCGTTAGTTAGCGGTATCAGTGCTCTAGATTGGTCGAACACCTCAACTACCACCAAGAATTTAGCAACGCATTCAACACCATGCTTCCGGCTGGTAGTTGGATGGAAACGCGGGTTCAGATCTACGTAACCTTGCTGGCGTGGTTACCAGATTTAAACGCAGAATGACCACTTATCCTGAGGACGTCATGGACGAATTTTCCGGCATTCAGACCTTACTCACTGGCATATATCCAAGCGGTCTCCTATTCGGTCATCCTGATATCTTCTTCGATGTGTCGCTTCTCTGGGTACTACATGATTTGTACAGGAGGGTGGTATCGCGAAATTTTACAGGAAATCCACTCCTCAAGAAATTGCCGAGTTGGTCATGGACGGGATGGGTAGGTGAGATCGAATTTTTAGAGGATGCCGAATTGCTCAAAGGTTTTGGTTATAGTGGATTCAACGACTCCATTACGACTGGGTGTGGGTAGATCTGTTGCATACCAGCTCAGACTTACCCAATCAACTGTCAATGGCACACTTACAGATCGTCAGCTGAACAAGAACCTCCAGATGATTGGAGCCAGGAGCCCTACGACGCTATAGAGGGAGGTAGGCGAGCTTGTTGAATTGGGAGTAACGGTGTTTTCTCTCGAGGGCCATTCACTAAAAGTACACCGACTCATGTATACACGCACAATACAACACCCCAAGAAGAGTGCTGGTATCCTGTCCCGACCTTACTGATCACGTGTTTATCGCAAATGCGACGCCAATGCCAGTATATATCATGTACGAGAGCTAGGACATTTCTTTTACTGAGCCTCCCCACAGTCCCAATCACATTGCCATTCTTCCCTCCAGTCCAAGTCATGCAGGATGAAATGGGGCAAGCCATCGGAGTTTTATTCATGCACCATTAACAGGAGCGTACGCTCTTCAAAGCTATCAAACGGGTCGAGCTTGTGTCAATCGTCAAAGGTTGGATAAGCCTGCTTTCAGACTGTCTGAAACCAGCGTATAGCCCACTCTCAGGCAGCAAATCGCTCAGTGAATCCTCACACTGCGAATTTACAGACGACATAGTCATAGATTGGTAAGAAAGCAACAAGGACGAAAGCAAGACTGTTACTATATATTGTGGATTGAGTGGAAAGATAGTATTGCATACAGGCGAGCACCTGGCCTTGTTCTTGTGGACAAATGGGAAGAGCACAGAAAAGCCGAAGAGGTTGATCTAATCTTAGGGTAGTGCTGTTTGGACAGCAACCACCCTCCCGATTACCACGTTCTACATGTAGTGAGCCATCGATGCCATTTCACGTGACGCGATGAATTGACAGATGAAATCTGATTCAAGCCAGCTAGTAACGGATACCAGCATTGTCCATGAAAACAGCGAGCCTCCACTGGACACCTTGACTGTTCAGTGAGCGTTCTTGCAAACTTACTATACCCTGCTTGCTGTAGGATAGTACTCCGTAAGTGCAAGCAGATGTTACAGTTCATAAAATTGGGCCATGAAGCAAATTGTCTCAGATGATCCCAGCCCAGAGTCAATTTCAAACATATAAAACATGATGGAAAACGCACGAGGATGATATATAATCTCACAACTAGACGTAGGTCAGTACATGATCGTGAGGAAGGCATGATGAGATTGACGCAATATTGGATAAAGAGCAACGACCGAGCGGCCTCCATCAAGCACTGCCCGAAGACCCTAGCCTCGGAGGTAACAGCGCTAATAGCCTCATTTCTCAGCTATAGTAATGCCGAGCTTACGAGTGATTATGGCGGGTATATACCCGATGCCAAACGAATCATTGTCGACAGTGGCGAAGGACAAACAAGGCTTTTCTCCTCTATTTTTCAAGCTTCAGTGTTTTACGTTACAGTCATTACTACTAAATGCTTGTCTAACCTAGCACAGCCCTACTGTAAGTAGTCTTTCGTATACGAGTAGTTGCTTCCAGCGGAGTGACGAAACATTTGTAGATTGAGTCGTCGAGCCACTCGGCCCACTTCCCATGTACCGAGACGCGTATGCAACATATGGCCCTCCGTACGGGTAAACGACGGTTTCTGCAGTGGCTCAGACGGACGGCAAAAACCTGGCATATAGTATTTTGACGTAAACAGAAAATATTTTTAGGCGTTCCTCTTGGGGGAGGGTCTGAAGACGGGCTTGGCAGGAGCTTAGAACTCTTCTTTGGGGAATTTGGTAGCTGGATATGAACAAGTTCGTCCCCCGATTGGGCCATGACGTCGACGTTTGAAGTTTGGTGCTTTTGAACCCACCGGGAGAAAGATCTTGAAACAAAGGGGGCTGCTAGTCATCCGCGACATGGCGTCTGAACATCTTACTTACGTACGCGTGATAGGGCTCCTGGCATTCCAGAAACAGAAGCTAGGACGACAGAGATGAAACATAAAGTGGTGAGCATGGATTTGTTTCTACATGTGATGCAAAGTTGCGACGGCGATCAATGGGGGGGTACCATAACAAGGTATGCCCTGAAATACATACATTTCAGGCTGAAATCTTCGCACGACGAATGATCGCATAAGACGCGATACCAACCTCGTAATGATACGAAGTATAGAGGATGAAAATGATTAAAAAAGCGATCGGATGTCGGCAACCAATCCGAGATCTGTCAAATCTGCAGGCGATGCTGTGGGAAGCTTCGTGTTTGGGCCACACCATTTTTCATGTGCAGCTGACTGCTTTAGTAGTGGCACCAGCCGTTAAAGAAAAATCCATCGAGAAGCTACAGTGTACGGGTAAGCGGGTAGCCATTAAACGAATATTTCCCAGAAAACAAATATTATTTTTTGGACGAAAATATGTTCCGCATGCAGATTCAATAGAAAGTCGCATAATACAATGACAGTATTTCACATCCAAAATATCCATTTTCAGGGTCTGAGATTTAAGTGGCAATCTTGAATTTCAACAGGATTCATGGATTAAGTTATTATGTAGCTATTTCCGGCTTGCCAGCCAATATCGGACTCTCTTATCATAGCCAATCAGACAATGACATAAGCACTGCCACTTCTTGACTAGGCCCGTGCCCGACCCAGATAGCGAATATTTCTCAGAAGACGAATATTCAAACGTTCAACGTCCCATATCCATTTACTAGGCCTTACACTGCGACGGATTTGCGGGTTGTGACAACATACTTTTGCCGGAGGTACGTTAGCTGCGAGCTGTGATAACTTTGGTAACACTCTTGTTCTTGACCAGTGAAATTATAGAAATAGTTCAGCCCTGAATGGGATTGAATAGGACCTCATCTGAAGTATGTAGTATAATTGGAGCTATCTCTTAATCGAAGCAAGGGCATCCCACGGTCGCTTCAAGACGGAGCCTGTGCTAATATAATCTGTACAATTTGGGGACGAACAGGTGGTCGCGTCACGTTGCCAAGCAATAAAACCTGGACTCTCTCCGATCGATGATTTTCGACAATTGCCGCCCGCCCAGACTAGGATTTGAGAGATATCCAAGATGAAGGAACCACTTGGTAAATCATAATAACCCAATAAAGCGGCTCGCATCGAACTTGGTCAGTCCCATTGATCGTCACGCTGGGGGAAATGCGTCGCAGGTTCTTCCATGCGGAAGATCACCAGTCAAAGAATTATGCAATTACTTTTGTAGCCGATTGAGAAGCACTAACTTCGATAGACTTTACTGTAATATAGAGATCGTTATGGTGCTGAATGAAGTCTTGTGAAAGACTCGGGTTTGAATATGTACATCTCTTGGCGGCCAGAAGTACTGCTAGATTTCCATCGCCGAGATGCACCCACCACTGGACGATCGTGCACATCAGTTGTTGCGCCAGCAATGATTCTGACAGACTTGCAAGCACTCTGCTATAGTCACCCCAGGCGGACCCAAAACAATTTGGACGAGACCGGCTGATTAGTGGTTAGACTTGCGATAGACGGCGGGATGGCGCCAGAATTGTTGGCGAAGCAATCAATGTCCTGCATTGAGGGAAAGCAGAAAGGGGGTGGGCCTTGTCGGCGTAGCGCAGAGGCCACTGGCCAGCCTGAAAATTATTCCATAATTGTCGTCATCATTTGCAGCTCGTCTTGCTCGTCGGGGTGCTCAGTGGGGATGCGGGAGCTCCGAGGCAGTCAACGTAGAAGATATAGTGCAGAGATTATGATGCTCTTGTTTTTGTGACGTACCTGTAGAGCGACCATGTGAAACAGAAATCCCCGTGGGATCCACGAGATCAACACCTGTCAGCAACAGCAAAGGTTTACCTACAATGTTGATAATTCAAAAGCTCCCATCCCACGCATGTGAGGACTTGAAAGGATATGATTAAATGACGACCGAATGGGGGAGAGGGGGCCTGTTGATGGAGCAGGGAATTTGCATTCGCTGTGGCTTTAATTGGTTCGTGAGCAGCCAGCCAATGCAACGGAGATTGATACCGTCCGTGAATCTGCAGATGCGGCCAGGCACGCGGTGGATACTAGAGCTATTGGCCCTTGAGCTACAAGCTTCCGCCACGGGGACTGAGTTTTCAGACTTCCCCAGCCATTGTGCTCGCAGTCTGGGCGCAGTTCATTTTCAAGATTGATATGCCGATGGAAGAAACATTCGGCAGCATGAAGACGCATTTGTATCCATCCGGCTGTGCCCAGTGACAAACCTGCTCCGGACAGATACCCGGCGGATTCTACGCGCAATCTCGTCCACACCATGGAGATTAGGGAAAGTATCGACAGGGGGTGAGCAGAGAAGTGTATGTCGCACTTGCTATGTGGTATTGCCCAACTAGGTGCAGCAGCTTGCATGTGGTACCCTGCTCTGCCGAACTAGGACACAGCAAGCAATCTCGCCAATTGAATGATCAATTTTGGATATGAGGGCGCGCCCACTAACCACCGTGTACCTTCGCACACGAGTTGACTCGACTTTCTTTGGATTGGGGTGGCGCCGTTGCGGGCACCGTTGCGGGCATGATTGTTGTGATCTTTAAGATGTGCTGTGTTATCCAGGGATTTCACGGAGTGTGCCACGGCCCAGCATGCGTGTCATGTTTCCCTTGCTTGTTGAACTCTGACTATCGACACAGCAGAGAAATGGACAGTGCGTATGAGATGAGTCTAACGCACTCGCATGGCGCACATTGATTGGCACAAGATTAGGATCTGTGATGAGAGCTCTGCCCAAGAGAGCCGTGAGAGCCCGAAAGCCCTTGCAAAGCCCTTTGGAAGCTTGCGAAGCTCGCCGGTGCCCTGCTTTGGATGAAATGGGATGCTGGCATGGTATCATTTCAGTTCCACCCTGGTTCCCCTGGACCATCAGTAGCGACCTGGTCTAGCACCAGAACGAGACCCCGTCCTGTGTATGGGTCCCCTAGCCCCCTAGCCGGCTCCTCTTTTGCGGTTGGGATTCGTCCTCGTACCTTTTGAGTCTCACGCCCCCCCCTAAAGCATGAGCCACGCCGTGTCCAAGTCTGAATCTAAATTCCAAAACGTCTCGGCTTTTCTGGTCTCCATTGAAGAACACTTTTCTCCCTCTTTTCCCATCTTCTTTCCCAGTCTCCCATTCGGATCATTCGTTTGTCGATATTTTTCATCGTTACAGAGGAAAAGCACTCGCTTAATAGCTTCCTCGATTTAATACCTCCTTCGTTCGACTAGACATTTTCTCGCGTCAAGGAGTGACCAGTCAAAACAAAACAAAACAACAACAACAACAATACCACTTTTCAGACCGACCCGACGACATTCCACTTCGCGTCGAAACAATCACAAGACGGTCATAATCTCAATAGTTGGACACTCGGCTATTAAGATTAAGAGGAAGACCAATTTCTATCTATCAAATCCCAGTATTTGCTCATAAAAGGTACGTTCTAGTGACGAGTCTGATATTGTTTGTCAATGAATGTTCCTCCCGACGACTCGATGCAACAAACCAAGGTGTGCAGCAGATGTTGGACGTCTGCCTCTACGACCGTAACACGATCTGGCTACACGAGCCTTTCCACTCGGGTGAATCGAGGTACAATGCAGCTGGCGTCTCTATCGTCCTCTCACACTGCCGGATCCGCCCCAGTCTAGCACCTTGGACCTCCGGATGGTGTGGTGTCTTGCCAATGCGAATCTTGCAATGGAAGCCAGCAACCGCCAAAGACTACCCCCAAAATATGCAGGCTACTGTACTCCAGAGGCGTTAGTGCAATTGGCTGGAGGTGTGCTCTGGATGGTTGGTTTCTACCCACTCAACCGCAATGGGACAACGCTAGGGGTTGGGTAGAGCTGCCATTGGAGAAAAGGTCTTTTGGGTCCCTGTCGACTGCTATTCGCCATTGGATATTTCCAATGCAGCGCTCACTTAGCATCTGCGTCTGCCTCGCATAGCGCGTACACCTTAGGGTAGCGGCTTCTCAAAGGTCAATCTCTGAGGGCGTATCTCGCCATGCGAAACTGCAATCACCATCTGGCCCGGTCAACCACCCCACGCGTCCTCGACCATGTCCCTGCCAAAAAGCACATGTATTTTGTCGTCCCACTTGCCTTCAGCAGCCATGTTTCGTGACGAGTTGAGCTTTCCAGCGGTTTCAAACGTCACTGACTGGCAACTGGCTGTTCTGTCGGGTTAACCGGACCTGTCTGCCATGCGTTGGAGGCAACACAAACCATCGCATTCATCTTGGCTCTACAGCATAACATGACTTTTTGGAACTGCAGAACCAATTCCTCCATGATACAGCTATCCACGCGTTTTTTGACACCCATTGTCCACCTGTATTAGGAAGGCATTCTGCAACGTTCTAATTATTGTTTTCTACAAGCTCCATGAGCTGCCATCAAACATTGATCCCCGCTGACAGCCCATTCTATCACATAGTCCATCAAAATGTTCAGCAAGACCTTCGTCTCCGCCGTTGCGGCCCTCAGCCTGGCAACCAGTAAGTTGACCAGTACCAATATACTAGAAGCGGCTCAACCATTTGCTAACCACCTTCATCAGGTGCTGTCGCTGTCAGCTGTGACGACACAACTGCCACCATTGCCTCGGCTGCCGATGCCACCACCATCGCCTCTTGCGATACCGTCGAGGGTGACCTTGTCATTCTGCCTGGTGCTGGTGACACTGTCGATATCTCCGGTCCTACGGAGATCAAGGGTGATTTGACTGCCCAGAACAACGGTGGACTGATCTCCCTGACCTCCACCACCCTGGAGACCATCGGTGGTGCTTTCACCCTCAAGAACGTCACTCTGCTTTCGACTCTGTCTTTCACCAAGCTGAGCACCGTTGACTCGATCAACTGGGCCTCTTTGAACGCTCTGGGTCAACTCACCTTCGGCACACCTGGTGTCACCAAGGCCAAGAGTGTTGCCATTGCCGATACCTTCTTGAGCAGCTTGGATGGAATCAACATCCACTCTCTGGACACCATGGACATCAACAACAACCACCGTCTCACCGACTTCACCACCGAGCTGTACAACCTGTCCACTCTGCTCAACATCAACGCCAATGGCCAGAACCTCAACGTTCAGATGCCCAACTTGATCTGGGCCGCTAACCTGACCATCTCTAACGTTACTACCTTCTCTGCTCAGTCTTTGGAGTCTGTCAACGGCTCCATCCGCTTCGACTCCAACTACTTCACCGAGGCCAGCTTCCCCAACTTGACCGCCGTTCAGACCGGTGACTTCTCTTTCATCAACAACGCCAAGGTCACCAACATCACCGCCCCTCTCCTCAAGTCCGTTGGTGGTGGTTTCACCATTGCCAACAACACTGCTATTGAGGAGCTCAACGGTTTCCCCCTCTTGGAGATGGTTGGTGGTGCCGTTCTCCTTCGTGGTGACTTCTCCGAGGTTGCTCTGCCTGCTCTCGACGACGTCCGTGGCGCCTTCGATGCTTCTTCCACTGGCGATATCACCGACTCTTGCGAGGTCTTCGACAAGCTGGGCCCCAAGTCCGGTGGTCAGATCCAGGGCGAGTACTCTTGCACCAGCAAGAACGCCAACGCCAACAACGACACCGACTCTACCGGTGGCACCTCTTCGGGCTCTAGCAACAGCTCCAGCAGCGCTGTCGTCGGTGCTCCTGGCATGAGCATGTCGTGGATTGTCAGCTTGGTTTCCATTGCTGGCTTCGTCGTCGCTTTCTTGTAAGATGGATAGGTGGATTGGTTTCGGAGGCGTTTCTCAGATTTGTCATTTTCCGAATGTCATCAAAAACTCTTTGTCATTGTCATTTCACCTCGGTTGCATGGTATCGCAACGGGCTACGTACAAGGATCCGCTAGACTAATACCGACGCATTTTACTGAAACGACATCCCTCTCTACGTGACATCTTCAATCCTCTCCCTCCCGCGTGTCGAGTCACGGAATCATCCACTCGACCGATTTGTCACTAGCGACGTGCCGAACAGAATGTCGACGACTGCTACAATAGAGATGGCCGCATCAACACGCGATCACGCCGTTGAATCGTCGGAAAGCGGTTAGGTTTTCAGGGGAGACTTTGATTGCATGGCTCTGTTTTACGGGCGTACTGAGGGGTTTAGATATGTGACAGGCGAACAGAAGATTGAGGGTCTCATTTGTTGCAATGGACTGCAGCTCTAATATTTCATTCCGTGGTCATAGCAAGGTAACAGCAAATGACATACATGATATACACAAACTTCACCCGATCGCCTTGCTTGTGGTCAATATGGCTTCTTTATATTCACCTTGAAATCTCTAGCAGTGTAAACCATGTTGCAACTGCTCCGTGAAATTACGCTAGTCATGGCCTTTTTCATCTTTCACATTTCATACCCCACGACTTCTATATCCTTGTCATGATGATTTCTCTGCCAGGGAGCTATTCCCTTGGGTTACTCTAGCCACTGTTACAACTGTGCCACGTAGAGCAAAACACTTCGATGTTGTACCATTGGATCAAAGGGATCAGCTGAACTTGGGTGACTCAAACTCATGGCATATGAGACCTTCGTGTGTCCGTGTGACAGGATGATCGTGTTGCGGGATCACAGGGGAAGTTTACGTCGCTATTCAGGTAGTCGGGTTTGCAGGCACGGCGTTGTGGGTTCCTTTCGTGTTGATTGTTTGGTCATAAATGCATAGACGACTGCTCGTTATTTTCTGGCGCTGTTCTCCGCATGTCAATTGTTGTCTCGAGGCATTACATATAGTCATCACTTGAACTGCAGATCACTCACTTGTATAATATTGATAATGCATGAGGGGGGGTATCACTGTTGTTTGTTTGTTTGTGTCATTTTCTTAAGCCCAAGTAGCTTATAGTTTGATCTCGGGGTCATTCATACACGCCCTTCTCGAACTGCTCCACGTCGTAGAAACGCGGCTCAATGTTGCTCCCAGCGAACACACGGCCGTCGAGCGCATTGACAGCCCGCAAGGCGCTCACTGTCTCCACGAACTTGATGTACACGTTCCGCGTGCCGCCGGCGACGTCGATGTACAGCCGCTCAACGCGCCCGTACTTGTCTCCGCACTCCTCGCCGATCTCTTGGCCCAGCCCTTCCTCCATCTCCTGCCGCAGGTCCTCGATGTTGTCCAGCATGCGCCGGAGCACGATGACGTTGGACATGGGCCCAAACTTGCCGCCCTGATCCCCCGAAGTCGAGGTCGAGGTTGCTGCTGCGTTCGCATTCGTCTTGGGCTGTACGATCTTTCCCAGTCCGGCGGGCTGGCGCCAGCCGCCGCCTTCGGCATCGGATTTCTTCTTGCGTTTCTCAACTTGCACCCGCAAGGGGGCGAGCATGCCGGTCCCTTCTGCGCCGAGACCTTGGCCCTTGGACCATCCGTACTTGGACATGAGGCGGGCTGCGAAGCCTTTCTGACCGGGACGGCTTGATCGCGGGGTGTCTTCATCCTCGTCTTCGTCTTCGAGTTGAGCATCGGGGGCGTCCACGTCCATGGCATCTGGCTCGGTAGTCGCGGGGGGCGGCGAGGGCTGCGCATAGCGGACTGGAGCCCTGGAGATAGTTGAGGCGTCCGGTTCTGGAGGTGGTGGAGGCGACGCCGATACTGGTGTTGGAAGTTCTGCATGAGCTGGCTCGGGTGGTGGTGGCGGTGGCGGTGGTATGCCTTGGGACATGGCTAAGCGGCGAGCATAAGCATCGTCGCCTGTTCGATCGTCTAAGAGAGGTGCTGCCGCCGCATGAGGTGGTGAGGGAGGTGGCGGTGCAAAGGAGTAGGAAGGTGGAGGAGCAAACTGGTCTGTGGGAAAGGAGTATATGTTAGAATCTGTAACCGCACTTTGTTGAACCATAATTGTGAAAGCAGACGTACTGTTCACCGGCCTGTCCTCGTCGTCCTCGCTATCCCAGCTTGATTGTCTCTTCCTCTCCTCCGGTCGTCTGTGCCTGTATAAAAGTGCTTTCCACTCCCTGACCTCTTGTATGCGCTCATCACTGCGCAGATACTCGTCCACATTCGTCGGCCGCGAAGGATCATAAATCTCGTTCCAGTCCGTCTCGACGGGCGCGCCAGTCTTCTTCTTCTTCTTTTTGTTGCCGCGAGGCCGCTTCTCACCTGCATACATCCACTCGTCGTCGTCTTCCGTATTCGCCCAGTCCGCTAGCGTGCTCTTCATAGGCGCGGGCGCGCTCCCTACTCCTGCTGATGCCGGCGCATTGCCCGTCGCGCCAGCAGGAGCAGCGGGACCAACGGCCTTTGGAAATGTACCTTTCGGTTTCTGCGTCTTCTGCAGGGGCCGCCTTATATTGGGTATCGGATTGAATCGGAGTGCGGCATCTGGCTTCTTTGCTGCCGCTTCTTGCTCCTTGACCGCGTCAAGCGCCTGCTTGGAGACTTGAGGTGCTCGTGATATCGAGGCTGAGGAGTCGCCGGTAGGGTCAAGGAGGTCGGCGTAGAGAGACAGGCCAGCTCCGGGCTTGGGAGGCGGCGGTCCCGACATTATGTAGATGTTGAAGCCTGCCGAAGCGGTATTACACTGTGCAACAGGGGCCTGGCGTAGAGCTTCTTCTCCGGGATCACGGGCAGGAATTGAGGTGTTCGTCAGCCGGCTCAGACGAGGCGGGATGTTGGAAAGTCCACAGGCCTTGCAGCTGGAGCTTCGGGCCATCGGTGCTCGCCGATTGGGTTCCTACAGGGATCTTGGTCTGCTAAAACAAGCTCCCCACGCTGCAAAGCTCCAGATGCCAGGCACCCCCCCAGCCCCCCAGGCTTTAGACAAAAGATTCCGGCACACTTGCCCCTTGCAGTGTCCCAAATATACCTAGTAGTCTGAATGTTCCCATTGACGTATCATGTCATATCACATCGTATCATATCGGGAGTAACAAGAACTTCAACATGACGACTCGAGGCCGTGGAAGCTAACAGAGTGCTACAATGATATATGATGTACTATTAAACACGGTAGGCGGGTGGAGTATGTTTCTGTCAGACAGAACGCAGGTTAGCCAATATCTCCCTCATCCTCGCTCCATTTATCCTTTTCGGACACTTCGCATACCCGCCCGATAGCGCGCCGTCTCAGTGTCACAATCCATGGTTTGAGACCACGCCGGAGATGTTGATCTGACGTGCTATCGTAGTTCGTTTCCATGCAAATATCTTTTCAGATCTCCTTGGAAGCATACGTGAACATTTCTATCTGACCAGTTTCCTTTCTTCCTTTCTTTCTTTCTTCGATCTGTAGATACTATTCGCATAGATTCTAGACCGTAGCACCCAATTGGTCTCCAATTTGCTCTTTTATTCTTACACCGACACCATCTCAGCGGATAGGACCATCCGGACTCAACCTCGGAAGATAACGGACCCATTCGTACAGCCATCTTCAGTCATATCATGGCAACGCTCCAAACCGCAATTCGGGGAAACCCCAATTCGACGGCTGTCATCATCCCTTCGAAGCCCAACGCTCTCACAGTCACATACAAAGACTTGGCGAATGATTGTGTCTCCTTTCAGCGCAAGCTGGCTGCCATCGGTATCGGCCATGCTTCCCCCGTCTCCATAGCTGTGGTGAACTCGTACGAGTTCATCGTGTCCTTTGAGGCGACCGCTTGGCAACGCGGCATCGCCGCTCCTCTGAACCCTGCTTACAAGCAGGACGAGTTTGAATTCTATATCGACGATATCAAATCTGCACTTGTTCTAGTTCCGAGAGGCGCGTTTAAGGCGGATGCACCCGCTGTCAGGGCTGCGAGAAAGTTCAATGCTGCCATTGCGGAGTGCTACTGGGATGAGACCAAGAAGGAGGTCGCTCTGGATGTCAAAGACCCGGGCCAGTTGAAGGGGAAGGCCAAGCAGGACGTGTTGAAGGCGCAGAGTGATGATGTTGCGCTGGTGTTGCACACGAGGTAAGAGCTCACGAGGCCACGGTGGCGCGGCCTGGAGATGGCATTGCTAACACCACTAATGTAGCGGAACGACTTCAAGACCCAAAGTTGTAAGTATTCCTCCAGAGGATGGTCAAGTTTATATACTAATCCTTGGTGTAGGTGCCCCTGACGCATCGCAACCTTGTCCGCACCATGGGTATGTGATGCCAAGTCCTGCAATGCGAGCTTCGTGCAGCTCTTGGCTTGCCTATATTGGTAACACAAGACTAATAGACTCCCAGGGAACATCCAGAACACCTACGAGCTCACCTCTGACGATCGTACCATGCTGGTCATGCCACTCTTCCATGTCCACGGCCTCTTGTGTGCTCTGCTGGCACCATTTTACGCTGGAGGCTCGATAATTGTCCCCAACAAATTCTCGGCCTCGGAGTTCTGGCAGGATTTCCAGACCCACAAGGCGAATTGGTACACAGCGGTTCCTACCATTCACCAGATTCTTCTCAAGTCGCCTATCCCAAACCCTCTGCCCAAGATCCGCTTCATCCGCTCATGCTCTTCTCCTCTCTCGCCTGCAGTATTTGAGAAGCTCGAGGCCGCCTTCAAAGCTCCTGTCCTGGAGGCATACGCCATGACGGAGGCAGCACATCAAATGACATCCAACCCACTCCCTCCTTTGAAGCGCAAGCCCGGCACAGTCGGACTAGGTCAGGGTGTTGACGTCAGAATCCTAAACGATGCCGGTGAGGAGGTGGCTCAAGGCACGGAAGGCGAAATTTGTATCCAAGGTGAAAATGTCACCAAAGGCTACCTCAACAATCCCAAGGCTAATGCAGAGGGCTACCACAAGAACGGATTCTTCAGGACTGGCGACCAGGGCAAGAAGGACGAGGATGGCTACATCATCATCACCGGCCGCATCAAGGAATTGATCAACAAAGGTGGTGAGAAGATCAGCCCTATCGAGCTTGATAATGTCATGGCGCGCCACCCTGCGGTGAGTGAAGCAGTCAGCTTTGCGGTCCCGGATGAGATGTACGGACAAGATGTTGGAGCTGCGATTGTGCTGAAGGCTGGCGAGAAACTGGGCGCGGATGAGCTGAGAAGTTGGATGGCAGAAAAGGTTTCAAAGTTCAAGCTGCCTAGAAAGGTGAGTCTGGTCCATACCAGAAAAGTGGAATAGCCAGAACGCTAACTAGTCGCAGATTTACTTTTCCGAGGTCATGCCAAAGACAGCTACTGGCAAGATCCAGAGACGTATCGTTGCAGAGACGATGATGAAGCAGGACAAGCCGAAGGCGAAGCTATAGATGTTTCGCATATTAGTGGTTTATGTGGGAATCTAGACAATACAGATGCCATGAGTAGATTTTATAGATGTGAGAAGGTCGAAATGTTGTGGGTATAATCACTGTAGAGAAAAAGAAGGCTAAAAAGGTAGACATACACCGAGAAATCAAGTTCAGATAAATGCATTTCTGTTTTGGGTATCTTTGCGCTAAGTGTCCAACTATGTCGTCCATGTCAAACGCCAAACCCCAATTTCGAGGTGTGAAAGATAATTCCATAACTCCGTCAAAAACCGCCTTTCAAACATTTCCCGGGATTCATAAGATCCATTGCAGTGCAGAACGCCGATCGCTCATAAATCAAACCGATGCCGTGAATACATGGATACCCCGCGTTGCGCGTAGTCGTGAACAAGGTCTCAGCCCATGGAAAAGTACGCATCCTCGTCATCGTCCATGTCCTCCCCGCCGTACCCCGCGCCCACCATTGCGGCGTCCAGGGAGGTGGAGGTGGCTGCGACATCCTCGAGCGCGCGAGGCGAGGTCAGGAGCGGCGCATAGGCAAACTGCCTGGCTTCCTCCTCCGCCCGGCGCTCCTGCTCCGCCCGCAGGAGACTGTGCCGTACTGCCTGCTCCAGGGACGAGTAGACCGTGATGATCTCGCCCGAGGCGTCCCGGACGGTGAACGGTGCGTCCTCATCCTCGGGTGCGCTCGAGGTGGAGGACAGAACGCTGCGAGAGTCCGAGAAGAGCGAGGCGGCGTCTTCCTCCGAGGCAACGGAGGACGCAGGCGCTCGGCAGTGGGTGTTGTACGCTGGCGAGGAGATGGCCTTGAGGTTCTCCAGTGTGAGGGGTGCTGGCTGGCTGATCTCGCCCATTGTGACAAGGTTTTGTTTGTACAACTTAAATACGAGTGCAGAAGATGGGCTTGCTCTGTGGCTCGATAGTACTTCTAGAGTACCTATTCACACAAGGTTGTTATATAGTTGTTCTGGATGGAAGTTACGGGTGTAGGTAGTAAATGTAAGGCCGAAGAAGGTCAGTTGGAGTTGTCCCTCGGTCGAAGGATGGGTAGGAAGAGCGAGCGAGTATTATGTATTCTATTGTTCCAACGGAAACCTCACACCGCCAAGGCAGGCAGGGCAATAGCTGCAATCTTATCACCTTGACTCATGGCGCAGGGCCAAGCCTTTCATCATTGCCCATTCCCATGCATCCCGAACTCGGTCATACAATTGGATCACAAGATCGGGCCCCCCCAGACTTCCAGGGTTCCCCTTCAGCTTGGTTTGGGGAAAGACACAAATATCAACGGATCCGTAGATGACGCACTGATAAGGTAAGCTCACTTAGCCGATGATCACCGCCAATAGCCAGCATAGCCAAGCCGCGGAAGCACTAACCGGTTAGTTTCTCGTCGCAAGCTTGCCAGCTGCCGGGGCAAAGGGTCGCTTTGTGCTACAACTCTCTTGTGTAATTGGCCAATGGGATACCTCGGCGAATTTGGGGGTCACGGGGACCGGTCGTCGGATGGGCTCGCTTCTTCGCCCCAACTCGCGACGACGAGGTGAGGCATGTGCAGCGATTTGAGACGTCGCGCGGAAAAATTCAAATCATTCTACGTCGGCGACATCGGTTTTCCTGTGGCGTCACGTACTCTGCATGTCAGAAGAATTTGAATCGTGAACATAGTCGCAATCACAAGTCCTCCTGCAAGGTATGCCGGCGCGATATCACACTTCCGGGATGGCGGCGATCGCGACGATCCCCAAGCACCAATATTTGCTTGGCAGTTCTTGACCGTTTCGAAATGGAATGAAACTTCATTTCTGCCACAAACACGATTCTTCTTGGCTTTCAATAGAAACGAAGATCTCGAACGACACACAAACATGCCAAGCCGTCTCAATCTTAGGAACATGAGGTACCTTTTCAAACTTGGGATAGAGCCTAAGCGCTCAAGTGCCGCGACGATCCGCGACTTCAGCACTTGGCACTGCTTGTGTTGCGAGCACGAGCAAGTATAGACCAAATGAGGCACTATGGCTGCTCGACATTAGGACGACGACGGTTTATTTTCGTCAGAAACAGCTGATAAATTTGCTGTCATGCGCGTGCTCACGATGACAAGGCCCATTTCGTTTTCAACCGGGTCGCTATCTCAATTTCCATGCTTTAGTATTGGCTAATACGGAGCACCATGTTTTTGAAAATTTCTGCTACTCATTCTCCACGGTACCGCCGTCGCGGGGGTCACGGCCAAGATTGACTACCAAGGGAGCCTCCGAGCAGAGCTCGCATGTCCCTACAAATGGGCGCAGCCTGGGCTCGCAGAAAAGCGAGGCGCCACTCCACAACATTCTTGTGAGAAGAAACATGTGTAGTAAAGGTTGTTGTATGTTACACTGATTGGGTGTGTGCCAACTGAGGAATTCTGAAGACGGCCTATTAGATGGTATTCGGTCACTGTACAAGAGCTATGCGACGTAAAAATTAAAAATAAAACTCATCGGAAGACTAACATATCAAGAACTATCATGATAAGTTATGCAAGGTCCAGGGCTACGAAAATAAACTTGGGCCCACGAGTTCATTGAGATATATACCGCTCCTGTTGTCTATCTCTCAGGCAACTCAGTGCCATAACAGCTCGCAATGGAGATAAAATCCTAGTGCACGGACGACCTCTCTGTCATGGCAGCACAGATTCGTGGCGACGATCTGACCCGTCGCATACTGGACCGGCGCGTGATTGTCAACGGAGTTCACCAGGTAGGCCTCGTAGGTGAGTAGTGGGTTCTCTCGATAATCAACATCCGACTCTGACCTGGTTCAGTAGAGAACTCAGAGAACTGATTGCTGTTTCTGCGGATTCGTGCTCTACGTCTGGAGACGAACCAGATCCTAAGACCAGGCAGCCCGCCCGACTCTACAGCCCGCCCGACTCTACAGCCCGCCCGACTCTACAGCCCGCCCGACTCTACAGCGCCAACTCGCTCGTCTTCTTTCGCCCTGAGTCAGCATCAGTCCTACTCAAGAAAGATCTCGTCAAGAATAGGCGGGTGTGTCTTGAGTGAAAGCACTCTGCCGGTGTCGATCTGCGCGAGGACTTGGTGTTCATTTACGCCTCTTGGCAGGCTGGTGAGGAACAAGGCACATTGATCCTCATCTTAGATCCAGTGCTCAGGCTCGTTGGCAGTCTCTCTCCCCGGTAGTTGCCTCGCCGCATGAATAGATCGCGATCCGTCGGTGCCATCGTTGTCACAAATTGCTGATCAAAGCGCCGTACTAAATATTGTTAGTACCGTGATCTGCGGTAATGATATTCGTGTCGCGATGAACTGGGATACGGAGCGGTATTGATTACCTTCAGGGACATGTTTACGAATGATCGGATCCATGCCGTTGAACTGCATTGTCAGATTCGCCGTGGTAGACATGTCGGCTGTAACAGCACTATTACGACAAACTGCGTCGATTCACTGAAACGGCTCACTTCTGCCCTCTGAGACGGGAAGCCTGTCGATGCGCATGGCATCGCACTGCTACGGGTGGGTGTTTGTGACCATCCTTCAGACTCTCCGCCAGAAGGAAGCTGGCCCCTGTCTTTGGTGCGGAATAAGCAATCTGTGCGAAAGCTAAGGTCTGGAATACATAACCGTGACATTGTGAGTGAAGAAGAACTGAGAGCCCTGTATACCTGGGCAGGACTGCCGTATCCTCCACCAGGTCTGAAGGCATCACTATGGGCCTAGTCAGATTCGGGAGTCGGACAGGATAACTCCTAACTGACTCAGCATGATCAGCCCAGGTTTTGACTCGAATATTGAGGGCAGTGCGGTTTTACACCTCCAGACAATGACCGACTAGCATTTTAAAGTTGAAAAATTTAGTTGGTTCATATCGAAACATCGGTTCCCAATGGTTCGCGCGGTCTGTATCCCGTAAAACACCCGAATTCCTTGTCACAGAAGACGACTGTTCAGTCGGTATAAAGAATAAAGACGGTGGCGACTATGACATCCCGATATCCATGCAATCGGTCGGGGTTTGAGTGATGCTAATGGGCTACTACCAATACGAAAAACCAATCCTGCTGCAAAACAAAGACCAACAGTGATATACTGAAGATTTATATCTACTTTTAATCCTCTCCTATAATATTTTGACGTGCTAAAATACGCTAGCAAGATATTTGCTCTTGTGGTGAATTACAAGCTTCGTATTCCGGGTCAACATGCTGGGGATTTCTGAAGCGGTTACGCATTACACGAAGGCTAAAGCACTTGGGCTAGAAGGCGAGATGTAAGTTACACAATGCAGGTGTAGAAAGCTCAGAGCAATTTCTAAATTGTGTTGAAATCATGGCCAGTTTTAGATCTTTCGCTGGAAACAGGACATGTTTCAAACGAAAGTGTGCATATTGATTCACTTATTGCATGGTATGCAAATGATCACGACAAGTCTAGTACTTTGAAAACATGAGACTAAAACACAAGCATCTATGATTATATCCCTTTGATTCCAGACATCCTACTTCTTGCGTGATAGCATCTCAACCAGGTGTACAATCTCATCAGCGACAACGTCGGGTCGATCAGATTGAATGAAATGATCAGCGTCAGACGCCACGACAGGTCCTCTTCTCTTCTCCTCGGTGACCGACAGCAACAACTTCTTATTGTAGTCTTGCCAGTAGGGTTCGACGTATTGACGCGCGTATTTAGTACTTATACCCATCTATAACACCAAGTAAGTCAACCGAGGTCCGCTTGGCCTAGAGAGGTCAATACAACTCACCTTCTCAGCCGCCTCGCCAAAAGCAACCGTTGGGTCGTGTGCCACGACTGTGAGATACGGATCACCGCCGAGCGCTGGCTTCTCGGCGTACGGCAGGAGCTTCAGGAAAGTCAGGCGGTTGAACCTTTCCGGATTCGGCGAAGCTGGGTGAAAGATCCTCCGTGTCGCCTCGCGCGTTTTGGTAAGCTCTTCGGGTTCGTCATCCTGCGGCGCCGGGAACAGCGACACAAAATCCGAATTCACTATGCTGGGGTCTAAGAATAGAGCTGCCTTGATGGCTGGGACGTCGTGGTTAATCAGGAGGAGCCGAGCAATGGCTACACCTATGCTATGTGCGACAAGAATGATATTCGTGGTGGACGAGGAGAGATCTGGGAGCTGTCCCTGTTTTGTGAGCTCCTGGATGAGCTCGTAGAGATCCTGGGCAGCTGCCGCACCATCGCGAAGGTCATCGGGAACATCTTCTGGAAGAGGAGAGGTACTGCCCTGCCCGAAGCGGTCGTAGTCGAGAAGGGTGTACTGCTTTGGCAGGAGCTTCCAGGTCTCTGACCATGATAGTCTAGCCTTACCTAGCCCGTTAACGAAGATGATGATCGGTGCTGATAGTTTGTCTCCTGCGGGCTCACTTGGACGCAGCCCAACCGTCAGCGGGGCATTTCGCCAAGGAATCAATACGGCATTGACGGAAGCTGGGTCGGCCATTTGGATGCAGTGAAAACCAGGACTTCAATAAAAAGTCTTTTGAAACGGGACGAGGTGTTGATTGAGTAGCAATGACACGAGAGCAGTCACTGCGATTGAAGTAGGTACCACCTAAGTAAGCACAACTCGCACATGGTGCCCTTGAAGCCAATAGCGCCTTTCAGAAGGCGTAAGATTTCCTCACTGATGTAAGCGAAAACGGATACAAACAACTAGTACGAATGTACCGATCCGTAGGTACACTGGGCAGAGGGTATGAGTGTCAAGAATATTGTACTTGCAGCTTTGCTGCAGAAACCGACTTGTGTTTCTCATCATTCGTTATGGAACCGAGATGCCTTATCTTTCGCAACTTTCCGTTTGACCCTTGCAGTTGGGCTTTTACAAAAACTCAAACACCCATTATAAATTCTTAAAAAATAAAAATAAAAACACCCCCCAAAAAACTGGCCAAACCGTTCCAGAACCGCCTGACCCAATGTCATGATTGACAACCTTGAGAAACTCCATTGAAACCCAACAATCCTTTGGCCGTCGGAATTGTACTTAAGCCAGGGCAAGTCACTCTTAAGCCATTGCCTAGACAGCAAGTTTGCCTTTACTGGCACCTCCAAAAACGTCGTCGACGAGACCTTTCCAAAGATCCTTGAGCATGCCTTGCTCCGGTTCTTGCTTTTCGTTTTCATGTGCCCATTTGAGTTCAACACCATCCAAGGTCATACCCTCTACCTCGGTCAAAGCTGCAACAGAAACGTTCTCAGGGTTTGCGGCAATGACGTTGATCTGTCCCTGAAGAACAGGCTCCGAGACAACTTCGGGGGTAGCGTGATGCACGAGGTAGTTATCTGGCAGGATAGGAACGCGAAGACCGGCGGTAGAGTCCGAATGTGCCTCCTGCAAGCCGGGAAGAACCATGAAATCAATCGAGCTGGGATCCGATGGAGCCGGCCGGGAAGCTGAGGACGTGAACGTTTGCATCAGACGCATGCGCCGGGGTGCAGGATGCGGGCGGTTAGCCGAGCGAGTATAGATGTGACGAGAGTGCTGTGAGTAAGCTCGTGTTAGTGGGCTAAGCTCGAGGGGTTATCCACCACTGAAGGGTGGCGGGAAACTGTTTACATACATCACCCTCGTGATGCCTCTCCTTCAGGAGCTCTGCATATTTATGTGATAGAGGCGCCGCGGCTCTTGATGAAGTGATGAGGGTTGTCGCTTGAGGCACTACACCCGAATGTGTAGTTGTGATTGAACGGGCGAGCCTCTTGACAGGACCAGTGAGGCGGGGACCAGTAAGTCGGGGGCCGGCCATATTGAGAGCTGTAAGCAGGATTTACCGGAGTTTGCAGCTGTAGGTGATTGATTGTTCACGACTTATGTGTCCAAGGAGATGTTGACTTCGTAGATGGATGGAGTCAACGGCAGATCACGATGATTGAGATATAGGTCTTGTTTTATTATATGATACTTGGTGGGCAAAAGGGATAGGAAGAACAAAGGAGGTTCAGTGGACGGCGGTTGGGGAAGGGAGTGAGGGACGTTTTGTCTTATGAGAAGAAGGGTGGAGAGTCCGGCCCCAGGCTACCAGATGAAGCTCTAAGACCTCTAAATGCAGCAATAAGTTGGGGGGAAGGTATGAGAAGACGGTGAAGCGACTCCAACCAAGGCCCCCCCCCCCCTATGATCGACGGCCTGACATGGCAATTAAGTTTCCCGCCAAAAACTAAAGGTTGCATAACCGTGCTACGTATGCATTAAAGGATTGGTTAACCGAACCGTGTCCAACGCAGCTTACTTGTAGTTGCGGCAGCGCATAATCCATTCATCTAACGCAGTTTCAATCTCAACCTTGTTGTAAAAGCATGTCTGATTGGTAGACGGCTCAGCCAGGAAGCTTATGTCGGGCATGTTCGGTTGTTCGGTAGTGAGGTAGCCAAGAGACTCGGACGTTGCATCTTCATCGGACGTGTATCCTCTCCCTATCTCTTTCTCGAACTTGGTGGCTCGAAACGCCGCAGTGTCCGTATGCCCTGTTGACGACGCTTCGGATACTTTGGCCTTGCGATGCAGCTGTTGTGGATTCGCATATAGATGGCATCATTCTCGTGCTACGCGGTCTGATGAGCTCGTACTATTATCTTTCTCTCACCCGTTGAGAAACAATAGAAGGGAGCTATGGCCACTGGATGACCCCGCTACCGTTCAACCCGGGGTCATCCCCTGATGATCCAATTTGTTGCGCTGTGAATGGCTGGCTCTAATCAGCCCTGTTGTTCCGAAAGAGTTTAGCGTTCGGTCAACAAAATGCAAGAACCAAGGTTAGTCTAGCAAGGACTGACCGCCGGGCTATGCTTCCGCTGCTCACCCACGTTATCATTGTCTGGGCAGGCACAAGGAATCCGGTCATCTCGGCCCCCTTGTTGAATGTCTAGATGTTCTAGAAAGGCAGAGAAAGGCCGATAGTGCCACGCGTCAGCCGGGTTACTAGGACTAGCAAGGCCGATCTAGCTGAGAGCCATCTATTATCTGTGCATTCCCAAATGGTATGTGACAATTGCCCATGACTTTGAGCCGTCAACACGTTGATTACCAAGCTTAAGACAACTGGCTGCTGGATCTCAACAAAGCACCAACAACAACATGCCGCCACTCCTGAAGTCTTCACGCACCGTTATCTAAGGTTTTCGGTGTGGTTCGCTTATCTGATGGGCTTCTGGTGGTGTGCTTGACACTGAATCATGGTGAGTCAGACCACGCGTCGATGCCAAACTGTTCTTATGTTTTTATACATTCCTAAGATATTGCTTTAATAACTGCGTCAATCAACAAAACTTACGTTGTCAAATACAATACTCAAGCTTGCTGACCCGTCCATCGTCGCATTTTAAATCTTGCAAAGCATACCTTTCATATAGGATCGCACTATACGTCAAAGTACAGGCATTTGGCTTTAACAGCCACAGCCATCCTTACCACGAACATTATTAATATTACTCCCATACGCTGCCAATGAGATATGTATGGCATTTTGTTCTCGCTGGTACACTAGTATCGCTGCACGTGATTGGGCCACGGAAATGCGATATTTGTATCATTCTATTCCTGCCTGTTCTGTTCTTAAACTTGTCTAACTACTGTTCTGAATGATTGCCTATCTACGACTGCCGTACTGTGTAGCGGGCACTATCTCCAGACTCTCTAGATTATCTTTGCGCAGTACATATATGGAATCGTAGGAAGTCACGAACAAAGACTCGGGCAATCCCTTGGCACCGACCATGATACTGAAATTTTGTCCGACACCCCCACAAACCCATCCTGTCCATATAAAGCCCGTAGTGGATATTTGATTCCACGGTGTCAGGTTTATTGCCTCTACGGATACACGATAACCCCCATACGATTTCCAGCATCGTTAAACAGGACTTAGTCCTCAATACATATTTCGAATGTGATGGAACGTTTGAAGCGAGCCGAACCCTTGCTTGACTAGTATGCAAATGACTCCTTTTGATAATGTTCTGGTCCGTTCTTAGATGTCCGCCATGCCAGCAATGTGGTCGTCTACGCGAAGAATTTGGAAACCTGGCCCATTCTTCGGTCCATTTCAAGATGGAAAACGGTAGTATTACATCTCAGAGCGATCTCATGCTATACTGGCTTCTATAATCTTGAAAAGCGTTGGTCAAGACCATCCTATAACTTCTCAAAATCAGTTAATCGCGCTTGCTTTAATTTATTAGCTGGTAGACAGAAATCATATTATTGTTGCATATGCATACCTCCATCCGACTGCGGTTTTCTAGTTTCCCGCTCATCGTCATGTAGCCCATGTCCTCCCGCCGGGTTCAGAACCCTCCGTTGCTAAACCTTGCCCGCAAATATAGTCATGGGAAGGACCGGAAGCACATATTCGCAAGTACAATTGGTGACAGCTTCATCTTCCATGTGGCTGCTTCACCGACTTACAGCGTAGAGAACCTGTACTACAACTGCTGCGGGAGAATGGCATTTTTTGTTCTGCGATATCTTGGTACAGATGCTGGCGGAAGTCCATCTACTATGTTTATCCTATCGTATGCGGGGGGTTCTAGCATATCTCAGCAGACCTACGAGTAGTAAGCCCGCAAGCACATTGCTGTAGCGAATCCTGCTATCGAGCTTGACCCCCTTATACAGGCGACCATGTTGTGGTAGATGAGTAAGCTGAAGCCTGGTGGTATAATGGCGAGTAAACTGCCCACTGAACTTTTGTCCAGGAAGACAACGCGTGTCACAATTACGTCTGTTCAATTTTGATCCACCATCCATGGTTGGTTCGACAACAATATAGCCAGATACCCCAGTTATTTGACTAGTTTGATCGGCCCTCGGGACTGATTGCCTGTTACAACTCTTAAGACTATAAGATGGTCTAATGCATAGACAAGTTGGGAAGCTCAGTACGGGATGTCAGCGATCTAATGACTGAGGTCGCCTCTGGTTTGGGTGAAAGCACGACTTCTTGTGGCGTAAAGACCTGGCCGTGCCAGAATCATCGCCCGTGACTTTGTGCAGAACTGACAAAGCCGACATGACCTACTAGGCTTTGAGCTTCGCCGGACTTAACACAGTCACAGTCTTTAAACCACAGGATGTGATGCTCCTTTTCGGATCGAAACTTTGTTTACCATCGGGCCTGGTACCACAGAGGTTTGCGTGTTCATTCAGGTCCCGAAACTTAACGGCTGACCGTAAACCGCAGTGATGCTGCACAAGCATCTTGATATCCGCCCGCTGTTTTGCGGCATATCAAGCGGCCGACCATAACGAAATTACACCAGATAATTGCTCATGAAGAGATCGGCGAGTGCTAGAAGTTTAGGCAAAGGATGGCACTGTACTCACCTTCTGTGCTACGAAAAACGAACTACTATTAAAGACAGAGTGCAATCAAACTGGCGCCCAGCCATATGGGGGACGAACCCAAACAAGCTAAAATTCTCTCCAGGTCTGTATCGTTTGACCCAATATACCGCTTCGGAGGCGATGGTTGTGAAGCAAATCGGTGCGCCACCGGTGGCTCCTTTCGAAGGTTGGCGCGATCACTGGCAATAAACAAATTACAAGTACGGACAGCTCCTTTGCCAATCACACTAACTCGCTTGGTCCGGGCTACGCAATCCACAGCTACTGCATCGACCGTGTGATCAATGATAGACCAAGCGAAGGCCTTGGCAATCAGAGGTCGGTGCCTGCTACAGACATGTCACGTTTCTGTAGACCTGGCCCAGTGGTGAGGTACATTTCGAAGATGGCAAGACGAAGACAATGGTCTCGTAGGAAACGTGATAAGCTTAGAAAGTGAAAGATTAATTACGTGAAGAGGTCAGGGGATCTCTATGATTGGTGATATTGATGCGAAACGCACAGAGTATAGCAGCAACGTAAATCACCGACAATTACCGCTGTGGGACAGATCTATGGCGTCGATGAAACACAGACTCGCACAGCCGATATGGCTGAGATGTTCTCATGCGTATTCCAACAAGCATTTAGGCAGAACGCATTAGCGCACATTTGCCTAGACTAGGGTCTACTATTATTCTGGCTTACTACGACGATGTCATGATTGAGACCTTGAGACTAGTCTAGAGAGTTTCAGCTTCTGAGCCAATGGTATCCGGCAGCGAACTGCCGGTGGTTTGCAGATTCAACCTTTATATTCAACCGGCACGGCTGTCGGTATGCACAACTTTAGAATCAGAGACTTCATCTTTGGTGGTCAAAGCAAAACCCAAGCGGCTGGCATTTCCGATTCCAATGCTGGAGGCGGCTCGAATATTGCTCCAGAAGTCTTGAATTGCGGAGGAGGTATGATCATCGTGGACTAAGCTCTACTACCGTGGTACTAGTTGCAAATCTCAAGAAACGCACGAGCATTAGGATATCATATCTGGCGTACATCTACTGTGTGACAACTCAGAGCGATCGCGCCAACTCAAAATGATTGATGTCAAAACGCGCCTATACCGTATGCAGCATGTCATTCGTTTTTAAACGTGTCGAAAGCAGGAACTTATTGCATGGAAAACAGCGTTTCGTTGGCCATCGTCGCTGGCTCCTTTAGAAGCGATCCAAATAAGGTCCAGACGGCTCATCCGCTACGATCCGCGGCTTGGCTTGGGCTGGTTTTGGCGCGTCAGACGATGATTTAGTGGGGGAGATCACCAACGCTCGGTTGCAACATGAAGCATGTCAGTGGTGGTTATGAGCTCCAAGCTCCTGCTGGATTTTGTTCTAAAGTTCCAGAAGTCGGGTTTGCCATCGATCTTTGCAGCGCTAGTTCTGCATTCTTATGTGCTTGTAGTGCTTGAAGGTGGGTGTGGTTCATGAAGTAGTAAGGAAAAGCTCGAGCCCACCTGCACGCGCTTGGTGTGTTGTCAATAGTAGGTTGTCAATGCGTACATGCTGCAGACAAAGAGTGGCATTTACGACAAGCTACTACCTCAAGCTGAAATGATCAGGTATTTGGAAAAAGGACGTCCGGCTGCCTTCACCGGCCGTTGTCTCTCTTGCAGCTTGCAGGCCATTTGCATCGAAGGAACAGTAAAAACAAGAATAAACCCTGGCTTTGATCATTTCTTTACTCCGGAGTGCGCGCATCCTGAACGGTTGGCATTGCAGATCTACCTACTGTTTCGGCACACATACCCTGAACAAAGGTTCTGGGGCAATATTTGAATGCTAAATTGGTCCGTCCGAGGGCCCCCCTGAATCAGACTAGGGTCCGTGCCCGTGAGAGACCTTGCTCGCGCTAACACGAGTATAGTATGGGCTATCCAGGTCGCTATACTAAATGGGAACAGCTTGAGATGCATCCGGACCTGCAGATGGGTTCATTTCAGAAAGATCAGAAAACGTGCTGACCGTACATGGGGCTAACGCATCCCGATCCTCTTGCCCCCGGTCAAGCGCGAGAGAGAAAAGGCAATGCAATCCTCATCTATCTACGGGCAGGTTGTCTGCTGGTACTGTTTGACGCACCTTTTACCATCGTTTCTTTTAAGTCCTAGGAGAAACGGCGAGACTGTTACCTAGTTACAATCTTTGTCGTAGATGTTGAGATCTATGGCATCAACAATCGCATCGATGAAGCGACACCGCGCGGAACAACGAAGAACCTAGTATACAAACATTCACCTGTCTCTTTGAGGTCTTATCCTCTTCGGCGTTAGTTGAACCATGTCGGACGCGAATGGCAGATGGATCTATTCGGCCGTCAACCTCAACGACCCCGAACCACTTGCGAACAGGAAAGAAACCATACTGGGCTGCGTGATAACGTTTCTGATCGTATCGTGGATATGCGTGAGCCTACGCTTGTATGTGCGGTTTAAGATCGTGCGCGCCCCTGGTTGGGATGATTTATTTGTTGGACTTTATCTTGTAAGTTGTCCGCTATCTGATTGTTGTACGATGGCCAACTGATTTTGTGGTAGATAACAATGACAGCTGGCTGTATTTCGATATGTGTTGGTGAGTGCAGACGATTCTACAAGGGAGGAATTTGAGGCTCATATGGATACAGCTACGAACTACGGATTAGGAAAGCATGTACTTCTCCTGTCGGTGCCGACGATCCAAGGTTTTCTCAAGGCATTCTATGTGCAGAATGCGACGTATTGCTCCTCGACAGCTTTCATCAAGCTGGCACTACTTCTTCAATACCTGCGAGTCTTTGAGCGCGGCACCACGATTTACAAGATTACATTCGGTCTCGTGGTTTTCACATCACTCTGGGGCTTCGCATACTCGTTTATTGCATGGGTTCCTTGTGTGCCTGTATCAACATACTGGGATATGTCCAGCGACGGCAAGAACTGTTATGGTTACGGATCGCACTACCCGGCTTCCTTTGTTGGCACATACGAAAGCCACACGGCCACGAACATGATCCTCGATGCCATCATCTTGATTGTTCCACTACCGCTACTCTTCAAAAACGGCGCCACAACTGCTGCCCGGGCCAGACTTATCGCTTTACTCTCCATGGGCTGCATTGTCCTCGCCCTCGCGGCTTGGCGTCTACAAACCATCGTTGAGACCCAGGTGGCCACCTACCCGACGCGGGACCCGACGTGGTATGGACCCATCAGCATCCTGCTCGCAGCGCTGGAGATCAACGCTGCCAGTATATGCGCCTCGGTGCCGATATTCTGGCCTGTCCTCTCCAGCGGCTGGAGCGGCATCTTCGTGACCCAGGAAGTGAAGATCACGCACGAGTCGCGTTATATCGACGATGAGGATCGCGACTCGCTTACCCGCAGTGGATCGATGCATAGCCGCAACGGCAGCGAGTCGCAGATCAGCATCGTCGAGAGTGGTGGGGCTAGAGGGAACAAGGACGGTAAGAAGCATTACCGAGATTCTTTTATCCTACGGCAGGTTGACCCTTTGCGGCTTAAAGATGACCGCGAGCAGCCTAGTGCGATACGAGGAGATTCCATTGGTGACGAGCCGAGAAAATGGACAAAATTTTAAGCTTTGAAATATCTTTTTGCACTGTTTATTGCGAGTAGGGTCATGGAAAACAGAACATACCCCCGGCGTTGGCGGCCTGATCTGGATTTGAACATGCTGCTTGGAATACAAGATGCATCATACGAGACACATCAATATACCCGCGTCTATCTATATTATATCATGGCTACTAGGAGAGCATCTAGCTTGCAATTTGTTGTGGAAAGAAATGCTCAGTGGCGACAAACCGCCTTATATGTACCTATTGCGCGACCGGCGCTCAGGTCGCCCTGGTCTTCACCCAACATCCAGCTAATGCTCTTGATGTATGATGCGTAATGATTGCCGCTTACCAAAGAAGCTCATGCCTCATGATCGTGACTTCGTTAAAAAAAAAAACTCTGGGTTTCCACGCTGAAAAGCAGTTAAGTGAAGCAAAGAAATAAACAACCTTGACTGCTCTTCCGCGTTCAAAGTCACCTCAATTCTTCTTGCCCTTATAACCTGGAAGGTAACTCCGCAGGAACGCCAGCACCGAAGGTTCCACGAGGAGAAACGCGATCAGACTGACTGGAAGTGCAACCACGAAATATATCCAGATGGTGGTCGTGAGTTCCCCTAGTTCGGGAGCCATGCTGAAGAAACTGCTGATGAAGCTCAATGGCGCAAAGATGACTGCCAGGTAGGTCAAGCGACCCAATGCGCGGTTCTGGTCCATGGCACGTCGGGCCTCCTCGATCGACGTCACAGCTGTGGCAACAGTGGCGATACGTTCTGTGCGCTCGTACAACTCGACCAGGCCAGCAGCGACTGTTTTGAAGTCCTTCCTCATTTGGGCGAAACAATCGTGTTGTCCTTTCTTGATGTCGTGGAATAGTTTCTCCTGGGTTTCTCTGACCATGACCTTGTAGAGAGGCAGGCGTCGACGCCACGTGTGTAGTTTGCCAAGAGATGCATCGATCTTGGTCGAGTCAGGACGGAAATCAGGCCGTTCTAGTTCCCACTCGATCATGTTCAGCCGAGCCAGGATGTACCGAATCATGATATTCCAATCGGAGCAGACCAGTTGAGCCATTCGGAAGATCATAACTTTTGGGTTAGAATAGACAGCTTTGACATCAACAGGTTCCATATGTTGGATCCAGAAGATAAGGTCTTCGAAAAGTTTACTTTTTTCAGGCACCGGGTATGCGCTCTTGCTCTCGCTGAATTTCGGAGACCTCCAGAATGAGCGATAACCTTTCCAAAGAGCAGAGCCTTCCGTGATGGAGGGGTCTACCAACAGCACACCTAGAAAAAAGAAAAAAGGTAAATTAATTCAACCCAGTGGAGCCATCCTAAAAACGGATATCTTACCAGTGAAGTTGCCCTTTTGGGTTTTGGGATGCGGTTTGACCCACAAGGACGTTTTGCTCCTGACAAGCGCCACGATGGCACTGTCAGAGTCAAAGAGGGCTTTATGTGCTCTGTCGTCATCGAGTCTGCGAAGCACATTGAAGTTTCCTGTTTGCGTTTTTGCCCTTAGAAAGCTGTTGTCGTCTTCAAAATATCGCGGTTGTACATAGCTAAGCCGGAAGAAATCGCGGTCTTTCGACACCACATCTAAGTCTGGTAGCTCAACCCATGGATCGTTTACATTGTACCACCAATAGTCGTTGAGGTGATCTCGAAAGAACAGCGGATCAATGTCCAAGTACCGGCCCAAGTACTCGATTGTGTCTCGCGAAAGGTCCTCGACGATGTACAAACGACTCACACCCGCTGGCTGATTTTCTTGGAGTTGTGTACACAGTATTTGGCTGTTGTCGATTCTACTCACAAGCTTAGCTGTTCCGTCCTCGTTGAAGTCCATAACGGCAACATTCGTGCGAGATGCCCTTTCCCTAAGAATGCTATCTCTTTTGGGCGCTGACATCTTTTTGAATTGCGTCCATTTGATGGGCGATGTTGTGACTTCCATCCATTGAGCAAGAAAGCGAAGGTGCGGCCAGCCTTGGGATAGTATTTTGACATGCTGCAGGTATGGATAATCTCTCGCTCTTTTCTGGTCAGATTGTCATTCCAATATAGCTACCGCGATCAAGCCAACTTACGCATTAGGGACCTCCCACTCTTGTTCACTAGGCCACTCATTTGCATATGCGTCACCCGTGTGAACGAGGTTCTCTTTTCCGAAGCCAGCCTCCTTACTATGGGGCATCATCGAATTTAGATACTCTGGTCTGACATCTTCTCCGCCGTGAGCGTCTTTCCCTATCGGACGGCCCCATGCTAACAGAAACGCAAGTCAGCTCTGGCTTCATCATGAGCTAATATCATATATGCCCGCCCTCGACTTGACTCAACAAAACGAGTGGTACTCCTTCGAGGACACTTACTTTGCGCTTGTGAGAATGTACGATGCCAGAATGGCCTCGGCGTCGGATGCTTTCCACTCATAATCACCGATCCTATGCAGCAGCAAAATCGACGCAAAATTCGGGAATCATTTTCAGAAAGAATCTGAGAAAATCAAAGAAGGCTGGCGACGTAGTCGTCTGACTGGGATTATATCCGCGGCTGGAACCGCTTGCCCCACGGGCGCAGCTGGCCTTGCATACACTGGCCGCGCCAGTAGGCTGTCCCTCCATATGCAAAATCAGCGCAGCTGAGACCAACATTGTCTCGACAAAAGCCTGTCGAGAAAACGTGGTTCAAGGGCTGTGCAGAACTCGCCCAAGCGGGCGTCTATGATCATCCAAGTCAATCAAAGCATACAACGATGAGTGCTATATTCAAAGGAAAGGACGAAAACTTTCCAGAGTGAAATCGACAAGCAACTGCGGTGGAAGCCCAGCGGAGAGCAGGGGTGTAACCGATCAGCCACTGCAGTTTCTACAGAATTGGAGCTCAATCGGCGAAGCGATGCTCGAAAGAGCCATGAGCTGCATGTGTAGCGTGAGTTGTGGTTCTCAACTTTGCAGATTGTGCACCTTGACGCGCAGGGAAGCTCGTACTCTTGTTCAAGAAACGCAAGGCATTTCTGTCTTGCCAGCGCAGCAATGCAACGATGCAAACTGACAAATCCAAAGCGGGTATATACACAGAGCCTCTCGGTGAAAGCTTTTATTTACCCTTAGGCGCTTGGATTGAATTGATGTGCCTGAAAGACATGAACCGACCAAGTCTGCCTTGATCACTTGGGAGCGGGGTATGCTCTGTGCAGCTACAAACGTGATCGAGCGCGAATAGGAGTTATCCTGGGTTATGTATGCCTACATTATAAAACAGCCATGTCGTGTTCGCCCGATCTAAGAATGACTTGATGTTGTGTCCTACATATGTGACGAAGCGTCAAGAAAACAATTTGATTGTGTCCTCGAGATGCAGGATTGGTTGGGTGGTCAGCCTGCAACGGCCAACCGCCGTAGTGTTAGGCACGTCCACCGGCATGTTTCAAGCCCGGGACTCTCGGTTCCTTGCTCGCATTGACATTTTGAAGTATATATATACGGATCCGTACAGTAGTTATTATACTTCCCGTAAGCATAACCATTTAATGATCTGTGGAACTGTGGATCATTACAGGTTGGCGGATAGTTCCGTACTATCACTAAACTTAGTCTAGTGTGAGCTGTCCCGCCGCCGCTGATTGATGAGCAGCAGAGAGTATTACTTATACGTTCTACTAGTACAGCACAACCAATACTATGTACCGAAGATTACGCAAAAATGATGGAAACACATCTGGCAAGGGCGATGGTGCCTAGTCTGACTACTTAGTATTATGCCGGGCGAAGAATAGTTGTCGACAGACAGGGGATGGAGAGGTTTGATGGGGGCCACACGATTGCGCCATGGTGGGACAACTTCACACCAGAGCTGCTTGGCGTAGGCTGGAATGGTGGTTGTCAGGGCCCTGCAGATACAGTGACAATACGTAGTTATGCACCAAGGAATGATGAGCAGCTGTGAGAGTATATTCAAGACACGAGGGCTCCCCATCACTTCCACTTAGTAAATAAGGTTGGGTTTTCAAGCACCGTTTGGCCAATGGTTAGGTCTTGGGCCATGAACTGTGCCTGTCATCCAATCTCTCATAGGAACGAAATCATGTGTTGAATGTTGCGGTGAGAGATGGGCGGCAGAATTCCAAGCTGCAGGGACGCTTCGAGGACTAGCCTGCTAGCTGCCAACTACGGATCCGCATCATTGTGGCTAGAACAGCAGACTAACGTTCAGGAGGCGCACGCGACTCTGATTTTCACATGCATGTATATTCTGGCCATGAAAATGTCCTCATTCCTCACCACAAGGTTCACGATGTTATTGACTGCCACCAATGAGATGGGCACCAGGCAGACCTAGTACAAAATGTCCTGATCACGTTATGAGCCATCAAGACACCAACAACACCGAGGTACCACCAGTTCATCAGTCCATTGCTTGGGTCAATCTCGCATGCGCGTACATAGTACGCATACGCACACGTGTAGATAAGCGATAACGCACAAACCCCTGCCATCACAAACAGGAACAAGGGCCAGCAACTTTAAAGCAATTACAGCACGGATCCGTCCAGTTGAAGCCACCTCAGTTGGAACTTGGAAGCCGCGGGCCTGCCCACCGCCTGCCTAACACAAAATAATTAATGAACACTTTTGCAAGTAACCCCTCAGAACAGGAAGCAATCGAGGCACCCGACGAGAAAAGAAAGCCAACTCACCACACCGACCCTTGGCCCTTCTACGAGCTTTCGCCGAGCTCCATGTGTCCTTGTTTCTAAAGCTCGAAAGCTGCCTCGACACGTGCTGTGCTTCTTCCGCTGCCCTGTCCTGTACTCCAAGGCTCAGGCCCAGCCTAGACAACGCGATCGATAACCGCTCCCGTGGTCGTCAAGAGAGATTGACCGAGGGATACTACACCCCACCGATATATACAATCGAGCTGAGTCGGCCATACGCTTCGCCCATTCGGCGCGGCAACAGCCACCCACAACGCGCCGATGTGGTGGTTCTTTCGCATCCTGTTCAGCTTCGTCTTCCTGCTCACCGTCGTTCTCTCGATACCGATCTCCTTCGATGTGGGCGGTCGCGACAGTGGGCTGGCCTACAGCCTGTCGCTGTTCACCTTCTACCTAGTCTACAGCGCTTTCAGATTAGCCACACCCGACACCTCGCGCGTCCGGTGGACCATCACGAGGCTTGTTCAGTCCGCACAGTGGGTCGTCATTCCCGCCCTCTTGATATGGTCGTTACATCGCTTCGCCGTGGATGCGAACAGCTCAGACTGGGTATCGAGGACAGTGGCTGGCTTTACAGGGCAGAAACACAATACCTGGACCGATTACTTCTTCGGCGATGGAGGTCTGGTTGAGAGCATGACACTCGGCGGCTGGGACAAGACCCTGCGGTACTCGAGCCCAGTGTTCCAGCTGTTGGAAGGCTTCTGTACCTTGTTGGTCATACAAGCAGCTGGGCAGATCACGAAATGGCTCGTCAACAGAGGGCGTAGTGACACATGGGTGGTAAGTATCCCTGCCTTTCCAACCACTCTGGTGTCAAGTACTGATGGTTCAACAGCTTATTCTACTCATCTTCTCCGCCTCCGTCATTGCAAGTGCCATATACTTCTTGTGGCGCGTTGCACTCTTCCCTTCAATCAGCAATGTTGACGCAACACTCATTGGCGTCACGGTGACATCAGCTGTCTTCCTGTGTGCGATCGGAATTGGATCAGGAAGAGGCAATCCGGTCGAATCCTCACTCCTCTTTGCATACGTCGTGCTCTGCATATATCAGATCTTCACCGATTACGTCCAGTCGCCAGAAGCGACCGCGGCCGCCGCAGAGCAAGCCTCAAGTCAGCCCGATTTTCCGCCTTTGCCCCCAATCATCATGGCTAGCTATTCGACAGTATTGCATCTGTTGGGGTCGCTGCCGTCGGCCGTCTATTCCTCACTCAGCTTCCTCCATGCTGCATTCCAGACCATAGCGCCTTCCGTCATGATTTCTCTCACCTACCGTATTATTGTCTTCTACTGTGCAGTGCGCATTATACCAGCAGTGAGAGAGTCTGGGGCTAGAGCACTTCTCGAAGAACCCTCGCTAGATGACTCGGACAGCGCCAACCGCATACTTGGCTTCCTGTCTTGGTTTTCTCCATCCATCTTGATTGCTGTATATACCAGCCTCTTGCTGCAGCATTTCTCCACAAACGGCGAGGAAGGCTGGACTATGCGCGATGGAGACGCAGGTGGGAACGCCTGGCGATGGTTCAATGTGGCCATGACCATGGGCTTGTACACCATTGAGCTTTATCTTGGCAACGACGACGCAGACAGTGGAATGACGCATTGGAAGGTCGATTGAGCTGTTTATCGATCACCTAGAAGCTCTAGAAGCTCACGAAGCAGTCCAACGTGGATGGAGCGATTAGAACTAGGATGAGAACAATTGAGGATACTTCCTCAAGGGGAGAAGTAATCCTTGTGTGCCGAGAAGAGAGTACTCCAGGAGGAGCGACAGCATATGAGGTTTTTTTTTTGTCTTAGTAAACACCTGTTGTTGCGTGCATAAGTTATAGCACGTCTGGGAAAGCAGAGGTTTCGGGAGAAATGGGTAGCACAGCACTCGGCGTTTAGGGAAAGGCAGAATACCACTGAATCTGAATTTGATTTGTTGTCATTCATATAGAGTCACTGCCTCGGAGCTCCCAATGGTTTGGCCGCCTCTTTCCTCGATATCGAGCATCGCCTTCCCTGGCGCTAAATGATTCTGCACTATCCGCAATGACCCTGGCGTGTTGAGCAAGGCTGTGCAGTGCAAGGCTTGGAGTTGCCATTTGCTAATTGCGCAGAAACTGGAACGGCAGAAAGTTCCGGCTCTGGACGGCGCCGGAAGCCCTCCAACCGTACACTCTCGATGGCGTAGGAGCGTCATCATTTCTGACTGTTGATCATGTCATAGGCCTCCTGGATGCGCGATAATATGTCCTGCTTGCTTGTCAGCTCAACAATCTCCGAGAACTCATGCATTGATTTGCCTTTCTCGAGCTTCTTCCTTCAGTCCACGCGTTTGTCCGTTGGTTAATCACTAGACCGGCGAAAAGAAACCTACATCGTAGTTGTCGGACATCTTCCGCACTTCCGTGGCGACGCGGGTCTTTTGGGTCTCGATGACACACGCGAGGATTTCCCGCGTCACCGTGAGGAAGTGAACACGGTTGGAGAATTCGAGGCACACTTCCGCCTTCTTCCCAGCTTATCGAGCAGCCTGCCTATCCTCTCCGCGGGCAGTCAGAAGAAGGAGTAGACGGACCAGCAGGTGGTTGTGGATGGATTCTGCCTTGCAGTGTCAGAAGACGACAGCCATACAGAGCTGGTGGAGGTCCGTGGCCATGTGGACCAGGATGCGGGTTATGGGACGCTCGCTGGAAGGCGATGATGGCTTGATACGCCGGATCCGTATTCCATGTTGTTTGGAGCCGCTAGATATCATTTACATTCTCGCGATAGCGTACGGCCGCCCTTGCAAGCAAATGAATGAAAGCGTTGTGATCAACAGGAGTTATGACACATGTTGTCACTATCAACGGCGGTATCTCCGCAACAATACCAGATGAGTCGGCTGGCAGTGACACCAAAACACCTTGTCTACTTCAAGGAGGCGAGCCAATGTTGTCGTCATGTTCATATTTCTTACTCCCACTGGAAGCTATCCAGCTGACTCAGAAATTGATTCAAAGGGTAGTGCCATGAATTCTGTGAATAAAACGGTTCTAAGCCGCGTCTTGGGAATGGGCTGCCAGTTATGGTACTATACACGCATGGGGCTACAAACTTCGGCGTAACCCATTAGAGCCTAGCCTAGCCTGTTTCTGTTCATCGAGTCGAGAGCTCCCATGGAGCTTACAAATGCCACCACTGATCATGAATGATTATGGAATTAACAGTAACCCTCAATCGAACTTTGTCAAAGAACTCAGAGTCTGGTGCTGTTATCACTGCGCACATGCGAACCTCGCCTTCTCTCTGCAGTCGATCCGACCTAGTCGATCCGACCTGGTCGGATAATTCCCAAGTCTCGTCGGTGAGTGTTTGATGCTGAAGCCTGAAGTTTGTTTATGCGAACGCTTCGCACCAGCGCGAGGCTCTTGATGCTCTTGAACCGAGGTCCATGCTGCGCTTCATTTAAAATGACCCATGATCTTGGAGTACAAGCACTCATATCTCAGCGCCGCCTGAGAAAGTCACGGACAGGATGTACGAGTTGTCGCGTCAGGAAAGTGAAGTGTGATGAGCAGCGCCCAATCTGTGGTCACTGTGCCAAGCGCTACATGGAGCCGCAGCCCTGCGAATATGGCGAGATACCAAATCGCCAGCCACCCCGGCGAGTGGAAGTTGCAAGAGACACTCATCATTCTAGTTCCGCTGCTAAAGGCAGCGAGACGGTTAGAAGGAGCTTGACATTCGAGCCCATTTCTATGCAGCCAAACAACCAGTGGCGGTCCCTTGAGCTGCGGCTTATGCACCACTATACCTCTGTAGTGTGCGGGACGATGCCAGACTGCAACGGCGAAATTGCCAGAGACATGTGGTCGCGCATCATCCCACAGATCGCATTTGATTCGGAAGTTGTGCTGAACCCAATGCTTGCGCTTTCAGCACTTCATCTGCACGCTCACTCACCTGGGAATGCGCCCATGTCACTGGCTATATCGCGCTACCTAGACCGCACCCTAGTCAACCACCGAGAAGCCCTACAAAGCTTTGATGGGAAGCTAACAGAGCAGGTCTGGCTCTCCGCTATTTTGCTTTCGAATATATACTGGCTTCTGGCGCACCAGCAGCGGCCGGATGAGCCATATGAACTGCCTTTTCATGGCTGGAGAATGATGCATGGTGTGACAACACTGTTCTTGAGAAGATACAGCCTTCTCACAGAGCTGGGCTATGAATGGTACGGTCACGTCTCCGCAAGCGCTATGGAAACCCATTACAAACTCTCATTCGACTCCGCAGAACACTTGGAGACACTGAAAGACGACCTAGCCGACCTGATGCAGAGATTTGAACATCAATCACGCACGAACGAGGAAAAAATTGCGTATTCCGAAGCACAAGCTTATGTGATTGCATTTTACCGCGCGTACTTGCGCGGAACTGATACGAGAGTATTGCGGATGTTTATCGGTACAATGCCAATCAAATGTCCGCCCACATATTTGAAGTTGCTGGAGAGACATGACCCTCTAGCCATGGCAATCATGGCGCGGTTACTGGTATTGCTTGTGCCTCTCGAGTCAGCTTGGTGGATAAATGGCATAGGCGACTATGAGGTCGTAGCGCGAGACATTCGGGGCATCTATGAGCTGATACCCGAACACCTTCGCTGGTGTATGGATTGGCCTCGCAAAGTACTATCAGGCGAAATAGATCTGAATCGACAATCCACGAAAGCACAAGCAAAAGCTTCACGGCCATCATCTCAGGAGAAATTCACTTAACTAATTGCCACGATGACGCTACGCAACCTTAAATATTGCCATCTATTACAGCTCCTCGCTGTTGACCCCAAAGCGCAGCGCAAATTACTGATCCATCGGAATACCTATAGCTGCAACTATATTGCACTTTCATCCTCTGAGGAGGTGAATACCTCAACTTCTTTGTTATCGAGCCCCAAGAGCGCCAGACGGCCCTCCATCAGATTGGTCTGCAGTTCCACGACCTCTCGAACCAGGACCTGGGTGACAGCATCCCTGACATCTTTCGCTATGAACGTCGGTTCGTACGTTGGCTTGGTGCCCGGCTCATAAACCCCACTCTCCACAAGGATGCTCTTCCATTCAGCCCCTATGCGCGATTTGAAGGTGTTCGCGCCTCGAACATCACTCTCCGGGTTGTCGCCAATCATATACACCGTCTTGATCCTGCGAGCCATTCCAGACTTCTCGCTGAGGCTATTGTTGTACGCGTAGAGAGTCTTCTCGCCATATTCATATGCAGCCTCGGTAGGCTTGCCGATGACTATGTACTCCAACTTCGCCTTGCCGTTGGTCGCATATTGCCAGATCCCCTTGAGGGCCTCTCGGAACGCACCCTGGGCAAAGCGAGGATGCTCGTGTTGAGTGGCCCACTCGAAGTCCTGGTTGCAAAAATACAACTTTGGCTGTCCATCCTGGAGGTATCCGTTGTTCGGAAGGTGGATGGTGTCGTTGCGGACCGACTTCTTGCCCAACTTCCCACCGCTCGAGAGCAAGAGGTCGCTGATGACCTGGAGGTCAAGGCACCAGTCTCGGGGGGTTGACCAAACGAGGATGGCGGCGATCTCAACACTCTGATGGTGCTCCATACGGCGACCGTGCTCGGCGTGATGTGCCTGCGTCAGTTCCGGGAACGGATGGATGTGCTCCCATTCAGCCATCAGGTCTGACGAAGTCACGACCTTGTTGAAACCATAAGCGCGTGCCAGTTCGCGGATTGAATTACCGTGCCCGCCCAGGGCGAGAATCCACTTATCCTTGTAATCGGGAACCAAGTCGCGGAAGGGAGTGTGGCTCTGTACGAACTGGTTTTCGTCCAATGTTACGTTTAGTCGCTGGGCGAGCTTGGCGACATGGTCTTTCTCGGTGTATCCACCGCCGTTGGTCAAGAATATGAACGGAATGTTGTTCTCTTGCAACATCTTGATAGACTCGCGCGCGCCCGGAAGTGGCTCTCTACCTTTGACTAGCACTCCATCGATGTCGAATGCGAAGGCGATTGTGTTGACCTCTCCCGGAAAGTCGTCGACATCAGCAAAGAACTCTTCGTTTGCGCGGTGGAGCGTTTCGCTTGTGACGGCCCTAACCCAGCCAGGTCTCTGCTCCTGGGTCGTGACTGAACTCTCAATAGGCGACTGCAGAGCAATGGGAGTTAGAAGTCTGTCTGTCCCGGTCGTGATACCTGTTGCGTTCACGCTGGGGGTGGGACTTCCAGGTCGGGGTGAAAAGTAATCCATTGCGCGTTGGTGATCCGCTGGTGGAGTCGTGCAACAAAGGCCGTTCTGTTATCGTTCAATAGTGTAGTAACTTCAGAATAACGAAAAAATGGTGTTATGATTGTTGATCGTGTAACTCTTATTGGGGGTGGTGGGTGGTGGTTGGTTGGGTTGGCTTAAATAAGGAAATCCCGAGGAACTTCCAGTTGGTTGTTTCCCAACTTGTTCTGAACATAGTCAAGATATTCGCTGGAAAGAGTGATTTGGTAGTATCATATGACCCGAAGAGCTCTGTGAAGCCTTTTTTCATGTAGTTTGGGAATAACAAATTGTGAAGGCAATGAATGATGGTGGGTGCCCTTGCTAATGTTTGGTGCGCCCTCTTGAGCTGCGATTACAAAGAGATTGTTGTGAATTCATTATCAGTGTCCGTCAAAACAAATCAGGCATAGCCTTAAATATTCATATCACGTCGCTCTTTGTCCCGGTGTCTCATGCTTTGCCCTTAAGATAGCCCTATGTTAAATACCAAAGGCCAACCAGCTTCACTGGGATACAACCATGCACCAATAGTGCAAAGGAGCTTCCGTGCAGTTGTGCATTGTGTTAGGAAGGGACGGGGTCCCAAGGATCTTCTTACCTGATTAGCTTAGCAAGGGGCAGAATAGATGGAACCTCAAAATGGCAGTCAGGTCTGTACTTGGTCAATCAGAAGTTGAGGTTGGTCAATACTTAGGAAAAGCTATGTCGGTATACCGAATTGCTTGAGATCATACCAAGTCGTAACGGAAACAGTCGACGCAGCGGCCGTTCCATAAGAAGGAAAAGCAAAAAGAAAAAAAGAAGGCGCATGGGTCTGTCCCACAACACGCTTCATTAGAGCAGTAATGAAAAAGGCAATCATACTTGGTTAAACACGAATGACCACGAAGATGGAAGGAAAATGTCGAATAGGTTGGTTGAGAAACTGCAACTGTGCGAAACAACTATTGGTCCTATAATATGTATGGCATGGAACACGATGCATAAAGACTCCTTGTTATCCAATCGGAGTTCTAGTCTTCTAGAGTAGAGATTGTCACCAGTGGATTAAACATTCAGAACCAAAAGAAAATGCACATGATCACATCTTTGTTGTTCCCCTGTCAAGATGTTACAGACATTAATTACATGCCAAGAAAGCGGCAATTTATGAAAGAGGGTCAATTATCGAATAAGAGATACGTATATAGGGGGGTCTACCCTATGGCTGAAAGGACAAGTAAGAAATCCATCGCATTCATTCTCCATTCTCTCATATGTTGTGTGAGGTATTATCCCATTCGTGCCATAGGTCCCACACCCTCTGCTGCCGCCCATGAGCAAATGCACCATCCCAAATAATCAACCTAACAACCGTGTAAACAATGACCAGTCTGATCCTCCAGGGATGGAACCGAGTCGAATGGGGTATTCCGTTCTTTTTGTCTTGTCCCGAACACCAGCGCGATGATGTGACACACCATTACCATCGTCAGTGCATACCGGCAACCATTGACCATGTGTGTGTTGACTCTGTCCAGCCAACTAAAGTCAATGACGCCGAAACAAATGCAAATGGAAAAAGAATCAACGCAATAGAGAGTATCTTTATCCTCGCAGCCCGTCAAGCCCGTTGCTGACTTGATCATTTTCCTTTTCGGGGTTGTCCCTTCGTTGATGGGCCAAGCCACGCTCTAGATGTAATTCCGGGCAACTCGAGAAAGTGGTGTAAAGGAGGGGATTATGAGTTGTCGCCGTGATTTAGCAGTAGCAATTCATGATAATTATGAGAGAAAGGAAATTCTAATGCGACGTGTGCAAAGTAGAGATGAGCAGATATGGCTATCCCAGTCCTCCGGAGACGACTTGTTTAGCGGCGCTCGCGGAAAAGAGCCTTAGCCTGATCAGTCTCCTGAATACGCTGTGTCTCTGATGCGAGAGTGTACGAAGGATTGTACGAGTACTGACGGCGATGCTGGGAATGCTGCCCGTCAAACCGACCAGGAGAGCCATTCAGAGACCCGTACGTCTCTTCGGATGGTCCCATACGGGGGACCGCTTGAGGGACGGCTGACGTGCTTTGGTGGCGGCCGTGGCGAGGCATGGCATAGGGTGAAGGAGTAGCACCGGCCGGAGTGGACCACATGTGCTGAGCAGTATAAGATCGGTTCATGGCGACATCATCGTAGTAGCCAGGCGGACCGCCAGTACTGCCATAGGTAGGAGCCTGGCATGTCTCGTAAGGCAAAGGTTCTTGTGCATAGGCCTGGGGTGCACCTGTATATGCCATAGAAGTCGAACGAAAGGTGAAGTTCGGGTCGTGATTGAACATTCCCATCTCGGAGTGGGCCCGCTGGTGCATAGGGCGTCTGACCTCGAAATAACTTTGCGATGCAGTATTGGTCTCGAGTTGAGTAGCGATGGATTGCCCAAGTCTCTGTGGAGTCGGTACAGGTAAGGGTCCGCCGTATGTGTACTGTGGGTTTCTAGCAATGGCGTGGTCGTAGTACGCCTCTTCAATCGGATTCTCACGGATGTTGCTGTAATTGTATGATGCAGGGCGGTGTGGCAGAACAGTGTGCTGGACCGAGCCCATCATTGGAACACCACGTTCCGGCACCTGAGTCAAACTACCCCGTTGGTTCTGACGATCGACCATACCATACTGCGAGATCGTATGAATTCTTTGACGCTTCTCGATAGGTGACCAGTCCCCAGTGAATCCTGGCTGGCTCACGCGTCTCATCATGGGTGTAAGATCATGATGAAGACCCTGTGTAAAACCAACTGACTGCGATCGCTTATGGATACCGCTGCCAGCACTCGTCTTTCGCTTGATCGCGACCTTGCTCTTGCCATCTTCCGACGAATCAGTGCTGATGTTGGGAAGAATCTCAATATCCGGAATCTGCGCCAGCTTCCCCTCATCCATCTCAAGCTTAAGCTGTGCAACAATCTCTTCGATTTGGGCTGTGCTGTAGCCACTGTTGCACTTGGTGAGAAGCCAGTTCGGCACAGCCGTACCATTCAAGACCGCGTTATCGGCATCTTCCTCTTCGCTCTCATCTCGGAAGCGTCTCTTTTTGCCGGAAGAAGTCTGATCGTCGATCCTCTTTTGTTCCCGCTTCCGGACTGACAAGGACCAGTCCTGGACAACCCCAGATCGGCCAGCCTGTTTATTTGAGTCGCTCCAAGCCTGTACCCGCTGAATCTGCTTCTGGACAAGTTCGCACTGAAGTTTAGAGTACTCCTGAGCGTTCCTGTAACGACTACGCTGATAATGCTTACGGCAGAAGTGAACCCAGACGTGGGAAGGAATCATTCGTGTGCAGAGCTTGTTTCGACCGAAGATGTGGGAGATAGCCTTACGAGGTTGCGAGCCAGTATCGCAATTATCGACATACATACACTTGATGCTCTCCTCAACCGTGCCCGAGTTGGGAGCAGTGGGCGATGCCGAAAGAGCTTCCATCATGTAGCTTGCCCGTCGATCTCCTTGATGTGAAGGCGGTGGGGTGGGCTGAAGGGTCTGAGGAATAGCTGAATAGGATTGGTTAATTACGCCGATAGCAGCAAAATCTGGCGCCGAAATTGCACGTTTGTGTGACTTAGATAGATCAGGAAGAGCAAGGAAACCCGAACCAGCTTTCGAGTCAGGACTAGCAAACAATTAGTATCTTGTACTGAATCACCCTTCCTGTGGGAGGTTTAATGCTGATTGCGAAGAAGAGCAATAAAGGGGGTTGGTCTAAGTGATAGACGGGCTGCGGGGGTGTCATAATGATCAGACGACTGGAAGCTTTGGGCCCATTGTTCATATTTCCTGAAGATTTGACGACTTCAATATAAATGGCAGACTTGCAATATCTGACTGCTGCTACTGGCAGCTGACCACCATGCTGTGTAAAGGGGGTTGGGTCGGATACATCTTAGTAATCAGGATCATACCCAGAGCGTCTGGATTAACTTTACGCCCATGTCTTTATTTTCAAGGGATAGTGGCTGAGGAATTTTCAAAGGGGCAAGAAAAATACCTGATTGGTGATGGAGGAGCTAGATTGGCTGTAGTCGCTCGGTAACTGGAAGAATGTTGGTATTGCGCACTCTGAGAAGCAGCAGCAGTATTTCATCGATGTTTAGGTTCAGGGAAGGGTACGGAGGAGAAAAATATCAGGTTCGGGAAAGGGTGTGTCGTCGCTAATAGGTTGTGATGCAATTAGGTGAACAGACAGGCAAAGACAACGTGATTTAGGGATAGGTGCGTCACAGGTTACCGCTTGGCAAGAAACAGGAAGGCACGTAGCTTTGCTCGGGTGAAATGCAGCGCCTTGCGATTCCCCATGTCAAAGGTGATTCGAGGCATCTCATGTCGAACGTGCGAGTGTGCAAGGACGAATTCGAGGGTTGTGAAGTGAAAGATTCTGCCCTGGAATATCCCAGTGTTGTAGCAGTAAAGAACCAGTAAACGGCCAAGTGCGATAACAAATCAAGAACAATCCCAATGGGATCTCAGACGACGAGATTTACTCACTTTACGAAGTCTTGTGGGCTCATCCTCTCTGAGCTCACACTTCCCCTGATCAACATCGCATCAGAAGGCGAGCCCGGTCGCCGGGCACCCTCCATGAAAGGCTCCTCTGCAATTGTTGTCGGAGATCCTCCTCCATCTTTCCTCAACCTCTTTCCGAAATAATCCGCGGCCGACGACCTGCTGATTGCTGAGTCCAAGGTGTCGCATGCCCTCGAGTCCAGAGGTGGCATATCAGTAATAAGTGGCGGGACGGATTGAAACCCGCTGACAGTTGACAATGACGAGAACCTGGAATGAGATACACTGTGCAAAGACGATGTGTACGATGACAGACTGCTGTAACTGTCCGAAAATCTGTGTTTCGGTGACTTCGGACTAGCCGAATCAATTGGCGACTCGCTGTAATATGACGGCTTGGAAAGTGGTTGGATAGCCGTCTTGGTGTCCAATGTTAAAGGTAGAGAATAGCCACCGGCATCCCAAGGCGTTCTTGCGCGGTTAGGAGTCCTTGAAGAGTCACTCGTCCTCCTGGATGGTGTCTGTTCGGGGGATGGAGTCTGCACAGCGGACGAACAGACTGTTGTGCTATCCACCACAGAAGGCGTTGGTGTGAGATCGGAAGACCCTTCAGCTTCTCTCCTTGCCGCTGCGGCACCCTGATTCAACATCGAAGTCACGTCCATACTCGACGTTGCTGATTTCTACTATAGTTGCCTTCTTGATTCTGCCAACTCTAGCCGATTTGATGCAGGTCGTATATGCGATGTCCGTCGCTGGGACGAACCCTACGAAGCTCGTACTGAAACGATAATGGACAGTTCGACGGAAGTGACGACTCGCGCCTTACTCCATCTACCCTATTCGTAAATACCTCGCCGCGTTTGCTGGTGATTGAGCTTTCTGTGCCAAGCTCGGCCTTCGTCCTTTGCGCCCCAACAACCTGTCGAGCCGACTGATCTTCAAGCCCTGCTGCTCCTGAGCACCCCTAGATAGCTGGTATTATGTTGAGGAAGTTTCTGAATGTGATCCCAGATCGAAGTTTCAAAAAGACAACCTGCTCACCAGCACAGGAATTGCCATAAAATTAGAGAACTCTTTTATCCAAAAGAGAAACTGGGGAAAGCAACCTCAGAGGACAAATGCTATACACGGAGGAGCCTCAAGGTTTTCTGTCCAGGTCAAGGCTTCAGAGATATGATTATCAGATCTGTCTACGGGATCGACGTTAGTATACCGCACTGACAGGCATCAAGAGATTGAAACAGCCGAAACAGGGACTAACCGGGAAGTACAGATGGTCCAGTCATCCGAGTACCGCAAGCAGTACCTGATCTTTCGAGGTCAGATCACGGTGAATCGGCTCCTTGGACGGACGGAATAAACAAAGCCCTTTGCTGTTCTGTTTAACGAACCTTTCTTGAGACGAAGCTTAGTATTGAAACCGCCCTGGATTCGCACGGTTACGGAAGGTGATCAGATGGGATAGCTTGCGAGATGTTGCAGGTTATTCGCTTGCTCTTCGAATCAGAAGAATATGAAACCAAGTGTGGTGGCTGATGGTCAGGTTTTACCCCGTGTTCTCACAGCGGTAGATGAAGAAGTTGCTGATGATAGCAGGCTAGTATGTTCACCAAATGAAAGGGCTGCTCAGTCCAGGTGAGTTCAATGGAGTACAGCAGAGAGCTAGGACGGTGGATACATGAGGAATGGGTTGGTGTTTCCTAGTCTGTATAGGTGGGGAGGCTGTGCTGATGGTGCATGAATATAGGGCAACGTCTGAAGACAGTAGCTGTTTGGGAGTTCGTTCTAAAATCCCGACTGGGGTATCAGAGAAGAAGAAACAGATCGAACTGATGGGCCCGAGCCGCTAGTTCTCACCAGAAGTTTGTTCAAGTTCACACAACTCGGGTCGGACCAAGACTTATCGGAAGCGTGAACAGACATTAGCTCGTGCCAGCAAGTCCATACACTATGGCCAAGGACAGAATCATGGTGGGATCGATAGAAAGGTTGAGGATGCAGAATGCCTGCACCTGTGGCTACATATCAACTATGGGTACTTCGCATTATGCATTGCGTTGACGGTGGGCAGAGATGTTTAGTCTTCCCCACACTAGGTTTGGACTCCGGGCCAGGTCATCCCCGACTGGCTCGTCCATTACAGGATCCCTGAACCCTGGGATTCAACTGCCTGATAGCATGTATTCGACGTGCCAGGCGTTGTCTCTTCTTTGCTCATCTGCCGTTTCTGCTGACTAGCTCTTTAGGTGGGAGCAACCGCTACAAGAGTGGTAATCTCATGCGACCGAGAGGCCAGCGGTAGATCATGGCGTTGGGCGCTCGTCTGAACCGCGATCTTCACAAGGGTACAGACAGGCCAGGGGTTCGTATTCCCTTAAGGGGTGCGTTAGTCATGCTGGGGGTGGACCTGATGTTGAATTGCGAGATATTCCAGAAGACAGCAATCTTTGCGCGTGTACACTTTGGACAGACCTCCTCGTGCGGGTTCGATAGTGGGACAAGTGTGATAGTGACAAAGCATCAAGGCGCAGCACACAAAGATGATCCGCAAGCTGAGACCCGGCATCGGGCTTGAAACCTTTCTTAACAGACCTGTCGTTTGATACCAGGTGCGCAAGGACCTCGGAAACACACCTGGAGCTGATCCTGAGGTTGCGCGATCTGTGACCGGATTAGAACCTGACCGGTAAAGACCCACGGACTCTTGCGCACTCTTGCAGTCGAACCAATTGAGACTCGTTCGGGAGATTCCGAGGCTGCTAGAAGGCCGCCTTATTTTGCTGTTAATGCACCTCCATATAGGGCAGGGGGTCAGAATGGTGCGCGAAGCTCCCCAAATAGGCTTAAGGTTGCCCGAAAACGTCCAAGCAAGACCTGAGTCTAATTATCACTCTCTCTTAGGCCAATGTCATAGCAGACACTTGAGGCTCCCCAACGGCTAACTGCCGATGCCATCACAGCATTCCGCTGTGTGTACTTTCCAAGGCATCTGTAGCCATGTGACCGCTGTCTGGTCATTTTGAGTTTTGTGAGTCGGGGACAGAAATGGGCATTTGTGACTCGCAGCGTGCTCTCCACGAGGTATTTCGTATTCTGTAACACCCGCGTCTGTCCGTCCACCACGCGATAATAACCCAAAGACACGCTAGGCCCAGCAAGTAAATGAGAGCGAGTCCCAACTGCAGAACAGCAGTAAATCATGGCCACAATTTGCATGGGTCAAGGAATGATGTAATGCTCTGGTCTGGCATCGCTGGCATTTGACAATGGTCATTGCGCAATGTTCGTGGGATCTGCCAAGCAACAATATCGAAAGTACTAAACGCCATACAAAGCAGTCGTGGACACTATCAGATGCTTGGAGGGCTGGTCTGGTCTGGTCCTTTTGTCCTTCATTCAGCATAGTGCCGATATAGTCTAAAACAACACATGAGCCCGAAGAAACTCGTACTCTTCCTGATAGGAATACAGCACATGTTCAAACATGTGAGCGAACAAAGGCTCAGCCACTAGCCATGAAAGCAGCTTCCATCATACCCGGGACGCATCAGGAAGATGAGAGTGTCGCGATTGGTCCATCATATGAGCTTCAGCCTCAAAACTATGGATGGTATATACAGACGACTCGGAGATACATCTGAAAGTGAATGTCTAAACAATGATCTGGCACATCAATGGAGACATTGCTAGGGCTTAGACTGCCTGTCTGCCTGTCTGCCTGTCAATCATCGACTCAACAAGGATTCCATTTCAATGTAACGCCAGTTTGGCTTCGAGAATTTGATGCCTGTAGTGACTTGTCGCGCTCGACGACAACTATAAGGAAGGTTGTAATTCGGTTCCGAGTTCGAGATGAGACGGCGGCTCGTCGTGTTTCAGCATAGGTGATGTACTGGTTGAAGTTTATGCGTTACGGCTTAGCGACCGCGACGAGCCCTGGAATTGTGGGGTGCCATCATATATCCTGGTCAGCTGTGTTCGACATAGCATCAAACCCTGCTTACATGAGGCTCAGCGGTGTCTAAGATATATTCCAGGGCTGTATAGGCAAGGGTACAAACATATGCGAAAACATGTGAGCGAGCTGACCGTTTTCCAATAGTCAAACTAGTCAACAAATTCAAAGCCCTCTATGGCTGGCGATTAACTAATTTGGATGGGGAAAATCGGGGCTTAACCAATTGAAACCAAAAACGTATTCTACAGATGAAGAGCTTACTTGCTCACAAGTAAGCCCATTTAAATTGATGCAAAGGCGCGATCAATTCATATCGGCGAGGATGTGTCTAGATCTCGCAAGCCACGTCTGGCCAAAGATCGAATATGCAATTGATGCATCAGAAATTGCCTCCTGCAGTCCTAGATTGTTAGTCTCTGGCACAGGCAATCAATCGCTTCGCTAAATTGGTGTCTGACATTTTACCTGTGATTGCGCCTATATCAGATTTGTCATTGGGACCAGACTGCTGTCATCCTTTCGCATGTTGCTGCGAAGATAAGCTTTTATTTTGCGCCTCGCCCATTTTTTGGGGTTGTCTCCTGCATTCGTCGGACCCCGGAACGCATTACCGCCAGGTTTTCTTGACACCCTTGCACGCTCAACCACCTCGTTACTCGGTTGCAACCGAACGGAGAGAACCTCTTTTGCATTCTTGATGAGCCAGAGCAAAGGGTTCTGCGGCTACCATCTCATGTATTCGGCAGGTCGGCAAAAACTGTCACGACGATCTAAGGTCTCCGACAGGCATGATACGTCAGGGTTCGTCCCCTAACCGGACCCCTGCGCAGATCCCGGACGTCTGGTTGGAGTTTGGCATCACAAGTCAACCTTCTGACGGGATGTAGGTTTCATCTCATAATAAGGTGTGATTTGACCTGACGGTCTCTACTGAACGATCACCAACTACCAGACTGTCCATCTCATACCAAATATGCAATTCCATCACATTCGCATTAGTGCCATACCAACGGGATTGTGCTTCGCGAATTAATTTGGTGAGCTGGCCAAGACCGTTTCCCAGCACCCAGCCCTGTTCCGCCTAGTGGCTCTTTGCGCAGTGCAAACTTGATATGTAGGTGCATTTTCTGAAGAACGATGTCAAAGCGGCATCAACTGTTTGGTCCAAGTAAAATTCGGTTATGCTTTCACGACAAGTCAATCTCCCTGAGAAGGTGCAGCTTGATCCAATTTTACCGCTTCCAGTGACGTATACCGCTCCGGTGCAGCAGTATGTTACTATCTCTCGAATAATAATTTTTTTTCATAGCATCATCGTAAGCCATAGTACTTGGTATTAACTAAGAGTGGTATACTCGAATGTACCGCAATGTGCATGTTCGCATATTGTTTGTGAACAGGTCTATCAGGACCCGTGAGCTTGCAACCAATTAGGCTCGCTACAAGCACTCCAGGCCCTCGATTGGCGTGATAATATCAGAACTCGGTGCAAATCCTGCGCGGCGCAGAGCTTATTCACTCGACCATTCCTAATCGTGTCAAATCGGCGGCGTGGATCTCATATGGGATCCAAGCAACGGTTCGGCGAAATTAAGTCATACGAGCTGCCATACCAAATCTGGCGATTTCCATGGGCGGGGAAATTTGAAAAGAATGGTGATACATACTTAGGTTAGTGATCACTGTTATCGGGGTGGTTCTTTTGTAAAAACAGACCTGATTGATGGCGGTAGACAATGTGCATTATGGGCAGTCTTCATCCACTCCAGCATTCCTGTAATTACACTGGTACGATCCGTTGAAGTTTAAAATGCGTAGAACCCTTCGCTATGATAGCGTCAAATATGCCCCGGCTTGGCAGGGCGTAGATGGATGCATGATTGTCATGGACTGGTCGCTAGTAGTTGGCCGTCGGAAGTTTGGAGGGCACACTACGGGAAGAGTGGTGAGTTACATTATGTAGTATCATTGCAACGTTCGAGCCGTTGATGTGTGGCTGGTTCAAGGTCCTCGTCTTCACTACAGACTGTAGGTAAAGGTGATGTAGAATGGCGGACAGCCGTTTTGATCTCGAGTAGCTTGAATGTATTTTTCTTAATCCAATCTTTCATTGGAAGACTCTAGACGATCTATGGGAAAACAGCAGACACAGCAATCCCCTCTTATCGATTTGATTATTCACCAGATCCCGGATGCTTCCTATCATCATTAATACGTACCGTAATAGTAGATTCTTTGTGTCCAAAGATTACCATGCAACTAGATCATTTATACGAACTTGATCCTTACGTGATCGAAGCCGTACATTAGTTAAATGAGGACATTCATGTAAGGGCAAACATCCTGCATATGCTAACACGTCATCATATCCTGGCCCTAGATTCAGAGGTTTCAGAGCTAAAGTTCTGCTAAACGCAATAATATGATGTGAATGTTCTCTTGTATTCTAGCTACTCCCCATGGCGCGAGATCCTCTCCATCAGACAACGTTGAGTTGTACCTGCAGCCCGGAAGCTGTAACAAAAGTCTACGATGAACAGAAGAAATTTGCTCTCCACGACACACAATGAGACATGTCCTCAAATGATTTCAAACCCTGTTTGAGCTAGGCTATCCGCAATCAGCAGTATCTACTACATCGGTCTACAATACGAATTAGATACATTGTCGAAGTAGGGTTATCCAGGGGGTCAGAAGCCAACGCCTAAATGTCATACATGCCAAAGATTGAGGTGGCATAAAGGGCTCTACAAAGGCAAACTTGACGGCGGTAGATCGCATGAGAACAATACAATGGTCGCTATGCAGCTTTTAGAATTTCACGCCAACCCATATCCCCTTTCAGCTTCATGCATACTGCAAAATATCACCGCAGTATTTCGGTGAAAGGCTTGCTCATCATGTTACGGAGTGCTACATGTTACATGCTACATGCTATTTGCGACGACAGACCAACGTCGCCACCCGAATATGCATCATTTTCAGGCATGGGAGTTTTCGGTACCTTAACTCACTTCCCAAATCGCCTTGTCTGTGTAGTTTGTTGCCCAGACCGCCGAGCCTAGAAATCAGCCGAGCATAGAAGTGCTGTAAAGATGGAACTTCTCACCGATTCTGTCATGACTTGCGAGATCTTAATGGTGAGTTGGAGATATCGTATTCTTCGCTTGTTGGGTAGGGGCACTGAGACCCCAATCAAGTGAAATACATGCTCACTGGCCGTCATGTCTAAGTTGTGAGTTACAAGAGTGTACCATGAGAGCATTGATACTGATGGCGACTCACTCCGAGTCGACATGATGCCATACGAACCAGCGAACTCGCAATGTAGTGTCCACGACTCAAACTGTTCATTGTCATGAGACAAACACGTAGTATAAAAAACCCGGCGAGCAGACTTTTGGGCGGTCTTTGCTAGGAACCACGATCTCATTTGAAGAGGCAGCGCTCCGCTTTCCAATTCTAGGGCTCTCATGGTTACACCCGCTGTCCGCTAGCAAAAGAAATTCCCCGACTCGTGCTCAACAAGCAAAGCGCTTGCCATGCGACGATGGGGTGCACGACATGCACCCGTTCGCAACAAACTCAACCGCTTGTCCTTAACCACGTCATCCGAAGTCTTGGACCCTGTGCCTTGGCCCAGAGCCAACGAGTGGCTCGTCGAGCATGTTTGGGCGGCTGCTGCTGCCCCCATTTTGGGACGGCATCGTACGTTGAAGGACATCGAAAGGTGTCTTGCTTAACACGCCGAGCGACGATTGGTCAAGAAAAGTTCAATGACAGAAGATGAAGGCCGTTGTGATCGGGCGAACGTGTTTTTGCATGAAGTATGTGTCACGGAAGAATACGGCCACGGCGACACAAAATCCGATGTGAAGCTGCAACGAGCCTTTCCGGAGATTTCGTGGGTCCCTCCTGCATACGTGCAGGAAGCATGTAATGTTCCGCTGAGCTGGATTCATGTAGGACACTCACATGTGCTGGTTGGTCGTTTACGACCTGTCAGCTTCCCGATCATGCCTGGTTGCATGAGGAGGGTCAGAAATGATTGTGATATGGATTGCAGTCTTCCGCCATCGGAAGGTTGTCTATTCATTAGAATTTTCCAGGTGAGAGTGATATCGCAGGTTGCACGAATCGAAAAAAAGGTCACCAAAATATCAATCTTCATATCACCAACATTCAAGGATGAACACTACGTTGAGGTAACAAGTGGCTTGGCGTCAAATGAATTAAATTCCAATTGCAGGCCCAACGTTTCACAATATGATGGATATCGTGACAAAGTATCGGCTGTCTCACCAATGTACACACCAGAAGCCAAGCTGGTAAAGGGCGGTGAAACTTTCGACCTCGATTTTTTAAGTCTCTAGTGTTAACATTTCTTTCAACCCGTGGACAGTATGACACCAGATATAAATAAGATGAAGCACTGTGACACGTTGCATGTTTCCAAGATCTTTGTTTTTCTAGCCTTGGAATAACAACAAATAGCCGTGCGATATATATGTTTTTACATTCCCTTTAGTCTGTAAGCTCGACCCCTCTCTTGGCTGCGGCGGTAGTCAACTTGAGTAACCTCTGTGCTGCGTACTCTGAGGCAGTAACAATCATAGCTGAAGGGTTGCCCGTCATCATGCCTGGGAAGATGGATGCATCTACCACAAAAATGTTGTCAGTACCGTACACCTTAGTGTTGAGATCGACGACAGCCGTTCCGCTCTTACGGCCATCATCGAGGCCAATCTTAGCAGTGCCTGAATCAAGTCAGTATGTACGCAACACTTAGGTAGATGGAGAAAACTTACCCAGCCAGTGGTTTGACCTTCGAGCGGCAGCACTCACGACAAGAGAATCTACGTAATCGGCAGTAGTTTGGTTTGCCAATGGCACAGCCCAAGTCAAATCCTTGACATTCGTGGGCGTCAAGGCAGCGCGAAGATTGTCCAGACTCTTCAGAACGGCCTCCTTGTCACCTGCGGTGCGTAGGTATGGGTGTTGTGCAACAACAGTGCTGAGTCCAGCAGTAATGGTCATACGGCCCCGCGAGGTCGATCCTCTACCCAAGTATTGACTCATAATCAAGGTTTCTATACGTTATTAGCCAATCTGGGTTCTCGTAAAACGCATTTCTTTGGAGTAACCTACTGTTAGTTCCGGTCTTGTCCTCACCCTCAACACGGGACGTGTATTGTAGTTGTCGGACAACGCCATCTGAAGATTTGATTTGATCCCAGAACTGCAATCAAATGAGTATTTAATTTTATAGATTAATAATGGTTTGGTATGTTATGCTCACCATTGGACCGATATTTGGTGCCGATTGTGTAAAGATACCCGTTCGGTTGCCTATTCAGATGTGAGCAGCATTTCGCAACTCAAACGTGAAGCCGTGACGTACTTAGATATTTCTCCTTGTCTGAAGCAATCGGATCTGTCCATGCTGCGTAAAAGTCATAGAACTCGACGCTGGGATGAGTTACATAGACGTCGGTCTACCACATTGTTAGCGTTTGTGTCAAAAGCTGTGTTGCTTCCCTGAAAGCACCCACGTTTAGATGATCAACCAAGTTTGAGCCAACTGGAAGATTGATCCATGAGTTCTTGGCGATCATGGTTGGGCCATCTGTCGAATTGGCCACGATCGCTAGCTGATCAGCAGGGCCGATACCACCTGAAGACGAGTTTAGTAAGAACATGTCCAAGAGACGGCTAGAGGCATGGGTATACTTCGTAGTAGTAGCTTAGCCGATCCGAACGTTCCTGCCGATAGGATAACTCGTCCTGTTTTTGGGGTGAGATTAATTGTGCCAGCGAAGCCACCGTCACCATTGCATTCTAACTCAACACCACTAGCGTGGGCCCCATCTCGAACAACTCTCTTCACCGCAGTATTCAAGTAAAGTTTGAAGTGAGGTCTCCTAAGAGCAGTCTGAAGATATGTTGACATAGGGCCACCACGCTCACCATGGTCGAACATGTATTGGGTGCGTCCGTAGGTATGGTTCTTTTCTGTCGGTTGTTGGTTAGGTTTAACCTCTTTCCAGCCGGCCTTTGCGAAGCCGCTTTCGAGGACATCGAAACCCTCATGCTGGTAAAGCACTCCGTCCGACGATGGGTTGTCTGTTCCTGGGATACGTGCAAATGCACGCTGTTCGGCTACAGAGACATCCTTTGAACGCCATCCTGCGGGGAAATTCTCGTCCCAGTCGAGTGGATTTGACTATAATTGTTAGGCAGTCCGTTACTAGTCTCCGTGTTGACTTACTTTCCACCAAAGTCCTGCATTGACAGCGGTTCCGCCTCCCAGGACGCAACCGGCCATTTGGTCCGTATCAGTACAGGCAATACCTGCGGAATCCACCCAGATCTGGTTACATAGTCCTGGAACATCGAACCGGGTCAGGTTAGTTCCCTGTAGCCAATCCGGCTTCAGTGTGCCATTATATCGTCCAGATGATGGGGGGCCCTTTTCAATAAGCAACACACTGTGTCCAGCCTCACTTAAGCGATCAGCAATCGGAATACCACCCGCCCCGGCTCCAACCACAACATAATCATACGTGTCTTTTGGTGGAGCCGCGCAATTTGCGGTAGGAGTAGGGACAGCGGTTGTCGTTGTTGGTCCCGTAGTTGGTGCGGTGGTTGTTGTAGAGCAGGCACCATTTGTGATCTTGGTAGCGAGTGCTGCCCATTGAGAGTAATTAGTGTTGACAGAGTTGTTTAGCTGAGCGCCATATTGCCCAAATGCATCGTGCTGTCTAAAGGTAGTGTCTGGGCAACTAGGGGTTGCCACTGCAGCTTGTGCCTGAGCCCATCCAAGAACTAAGAAACCGCTGCTAGTTGAAACCGATCCTGCTTGACCGTCTTGGTTCCATGTGTAGCAATTTTGACATCGATAGATGACCTCAAAGGTAGAGCCGTTGACCGAAGATGAGATTTGTGTCAATTTCGCATCGCCTGAATAGACCCCAGGTAGGTTGTATCCAGTCGCGTAACGGAATGAGGTGACGACCTGGTCTTGATAGGGCCATGCTATCAGCAGTAGACTCTGGGTCATTTGGCCAGACTCGCCGTGGCTAAGACCGCACCAGCCCGCTGTACATCTCTACCTCACTGTGAGCTGGAAGGATTCTGGTGTGTAACTAAAACAAAACTGGTTCACGCACCAGAAGTCCAATATACTCCGTTGAGTCTTTTGTCAAGGCATCTCCTGGGAGAGCAACACCGTAAGTGTACCCGCTACCTTCTGTCCATGTCGAGAACTGAATTCCCGTCTTTGGATCGGTATATGGCGTTTGGGCGAGGCATGTCTGGATACCTGCTAACTATTAGCATCATCCAAGCACTTCAATTAAGGTACTTACACACGGCAGCCGCGACAAGCGCAGATGCAAGATGCTTGATACCCATCATCCTGGAGAAACAAAAGAACAGAGTAGGATTGTAACAGACCTGAGCAAGGAAAGTTTTCCTAAATCAAGTGCCTGAGGGATAGACTCCTGAAATACCTATCGTAGACATCAACCCGCGCCGCAAAGGCTCATATGACGAGAGACCTCCGCATCGATGGTCTATATCGCATATAGGGCCTGGCACATGACCATGCAGGGCGAATTGTCGCTTAGTCGCTTGAAAGCATTAACCGGTGATTCGTTTGGTCACCGACAAGCAGCAACTGCTCTTGAAAAGAAGAATACGTTAGCCATTTCGGGTGCGGCTATTGTAAATCAGTTGTTCCAGACTGGACCCTCGTGCGGAATAACGGCGAGGATTCCTGCTGGGTGCCAATTTGGGACGGAAGACCACGGTTATAGCCAGATTCTGCCCGAAACGATGTAGGACAAACACGGTCGCGGGATATCTAATTGCTGACTCTTGGCTGACAGATCCGCAACGCCACATTGAAGCATAGCGGAGACAAAGCTTGGCAGGTGAGCGCGATATTCAAATTTCATGGTTGCTTCTTGGGTACCTCCAGTATGCTTGCCGTTGTGCACATGAGGATGGATGACTCGCGAATCTGTGTGGCGCCACAATACCCGCGACAGGTCAAAGAGTTGGCTCGAAGCTGATCGTAGGTACTGTCACATGTGCCAAGATTACAGTAGCGCTTGTGATTGTTATAACGAGCAGTCGTCTTAATGCTCGAAAGACTGCAGTCAATGACCTTTTTCCGCATATGACGTCGAAGAGTTGAAGAAATCTCATTTGAACCAGGAGCTTGCTCATACGGCGTCTAATTCATTTCTCCACAAACGCGCTGGCATACCGCCCAGTAGCCGGTTATCAAGCTGTCTAGAGACGCGCGAAGCCGCTGCAAACCCCGAGTTCTGGGGACTGTCAGCGTTGAGACCTATAGCCACACGCCATGGAGAACGGCTGTTTCGGACCTTGGAGTATTCGACCTTGGCGCACAGGAGATCTTCAGGGGTCGGGTGAAGCCAAGGTTCATTTGGTCAATTCGTTCTGGTTAAATCCCATTCACCCCCTGATGCAAATCAACAATCTGCATAGAACTCCGCATATAGCCCATCAGCCTATATCAATGCCATGCCATCTCCAACAAAACGCCCCGACTTGTTATGAATATTTAAACTGTATCGCTTATAAGGAAGATGCAATGCGAACGAACTTGACTACTACACGAATATGATCCCTATCTCGTATTTAGGCGACCGACCGCAACATTTGAACTATGTTGAAATCCAGTGTTTATCACGTTTCATCCTGAGTAGAAAGAGGAATAGCCGCCTGTAAAACTCGGAAGCTCGACCGCCGGTCAGCTCCCGCCTTCTTGTCATCTGGCCATGCATTGTGAGACCGTGGAACTCCCATGAAGAAGACAACCCGATCAAATATGCGGAGCCACAATTATTGCCCAATGCTGATCGTTTTCTGTTGCCGGAGGTCGCAAGACAGATGCCAAATGGCCGATTCCAGATCCCACCCGCACCGCTGCAAACTATCGTTTAGATACATCACGACAACACACCCAAGTCTGTGTACATAGATTCTCACTCTGGTCGGTGCTCTCAGACACCTAGCCGGCTATATCTTCATCTTGTGTGCGAGTGGAAAAGATGTCTCTGGTAATAAAATGAATTATCTCAGATAGACGCCTCTGACAAACATGGTACGAATCCATGACCAACTCCCTAAATCCTATGAAAGAAAGAAAAAATACACCATCTCTATGAGATCTTTCTTAATCCTTAGAAGACTGTTAGCATGGCTCTGAGCTCTAATCAATGATAACTTCAACTTGGCAGGCCAACGTATCTGCTGTCTTCACCCACCAACTGTAGCGCTGATGAACGGAAAGGATACCGATTCGTCGAACGGCTTTGTAACGAGGCCAGATCCCTGATTTCGGCCCAACCTAGATAATTAAGCTTATTCTGTGCATGGGTATACACCAAATGCGGAACCTCACCTACCGAGTACTACTCCTTATTCTAAGCAATCACCCGTATAAGCGCTTGGCATAGAATACCTGGCTCGCGGCGTGACCACTTGATGGGTATGATATTGCATTAGTTACACGTTCACCTATCCTATATAATTTTATGCTGGCCAATAGTTCATTGCCCTTGAACTGACCTTTGCCTATTGTAGAACTCAATATGCACGTTGATGCCCGCCAACAACCTCGTTGGGGTGCCAGAAAGGGCCGTTTCATGCATAGACCAAGCGGGATCCCAACTACGTCACTCTCAGACTACCAAGTGCCGCGGTTGCCAAGAATGGCAAGTAAAGATTCGTGTATTTGAGCTGCTCGGAGCCACCTAGAGGCCCTTAAATGAGCTGAAGATTTTGAATCGGCCAAGCAAAGATCGGAACACCTCGCCAGTCCCCCTCCCCCAGCAAGATGAAGACCTTCACCAGCGTCCTCGCCGCCGCTCTGGCGGCTCAATGCGCTTCGGCGCACTACATCTTCACGACCTTCTCTCCGGGAACGTCCAAGGCCGCCGCCTTCCAGTACGTCCGCAAAAACACGAACAACAACTCCCCCGTGACGGGTAAGTTCGCCCACCTTCCTGAGTGCTACTTATGCCCCCTCAACTCACACTTCCGACAGACCTGGCCTCCAACGACCTCCGATGCAATGTCGGCGGGGCCACTGGTGGCAGCGCCTCTACCATCGAGGTTGCAGCCGGCTCGCCCTTCACATTCAATCTTGACCAGGCCGTCTATCACCAAGGTCCTATCTCAGTCTACATGTCCAAGGCGCCGAGCACAGCCGCCGAGTACGACGGCAGCGGCGCCTGGTTCAAGACCTTCGACTGGGGCCCGACGTTCTCCAGCGGTCAGGCGACCTGGAACATGGCGAGTACGTGCCAAAGAAGCAGAGATTCTCCAGACCCGGTTCAGAACTAGGCAGAAAGGTCCGCTAACACGCACCCAGGCTCGTATTCCAGCACGATCCCCAAGTGCATCCCTGCGGGCGAGTACCTCGTGCGCATCCAGTCGCTCGCGATCCACAACCCGGGCGGCACGCCTCAGTTCTACATCTCCTGCGCGCAGGTCAAGGTGACGGGCGGGGGCTCGACCACCCCCTCGGCGACGGCCAAGATCCCCGGCTTCGTCAAGGCCACCGACCCGGGCTACACCGCCAACATCTACGACCCCAACTTCAAGTCCTACACGGTCCCCGGACCGGCGGTCGTGAGTACACTCGTGCGTGTCCAAGATGAAATGTGCTGGCGCTGACAGATTTGTTTTTAATTCTAGTTCACTTGCTAAATTACACAACGATGCGCAAGACGATCACCAGCGTGACGTGATATTAGAGGAGGAGAGAGCGAGCAGTGGTTATGTGCCAAATACCAGCCATATCCCATAGCATGATGGTTAGGCATTGTAGCAAGCCTCTTTTTCGTATTTCTTTCGACTTCTCAATCGAGGATATAGCCTTTTCTCCAGCATGCTTCAATACAATATAACAGATCAGAGTTCTAAAAAAGCTCCGCAGATTGATTGCTCGCCACTAAGTTGCTGTCGATGAAACGTGCCGAGCGCGACTTTAGCCGGACGGAGATTTTGGCAGCGCGGCCGGCGGCTATATCCAAGGGTGTCGATCTCAGAATCCACCCTGTCCCGCATAACGACCCCATTTGGTAAGACCAAGATGGAATGCTTACATGGGTAACTTCCTGTTTCGTTATGGGTTGATAACGATGTTCGAGACGTGATGAGTTGCCGAGTAGTGCGGGGCGGTATCGTGCCCTCGAGAACAGCCAGTAACGTTGTGTCTGTAGATCGTCAAGTTGCTCGAACCATCAGTCTTGTGAGCGAGCGGCACGTTGCGCGAGCTAGATGCTCTATTACGGTCTCATGACGCTGGCTTTGTTGTCATTAATCAACCGGAGGAATACAATCTTGAGCCTGAATCCATATAGCAGCTCGGTACTCCTGATGAACGCCTATGCTACAGTGATCGTAACTCGTATTGCCCATGTCTGTTCTCATCATGCACTATTGCCAAAGAACTTGGTGATCTTCTGAGCTCCAGGTTGTTTCGACTTCGGCGGTGCCTTCGTACCATTACTAGTGGCACTGATTTTGGACCTTCCTCCTTTCTGCGGCGATGGCGATTTGACCGGTCCGGATGACCTTGTCACTTTCTTGGGCGGCTCTTCCTCTTCCTCGAGGGATTCTGCTTCTCGCTTGACACCGCCCATCTTTGCTAGGCTTGCACCGACATCCGCCACGATGTTCGCCTTAGAATCCTCAGGGCGCTCCTCCACGAACCCAGCTTCTTTCTTCACTTCGATCTCGGGTTGTTTCTTCGGAGTCTCCTTCTTTGACGCCTGCTTAGAGCTACCCTTGGCGAAGAAATTGGCAATATTTGACTTGTTCTCCTTGCTGTCCAGCGGCACGATGAAAGTGGGTGAATTATTGCCCACCTTGCCAACCTCTTTGCTCACCGGATACACCTCCAGTTCCCCATCGAAGGGTTTGAGCAGCGACTGTAGTTCCCTCGACCACTCGTGTCTCTTCGGGTCCAACCACGTCCTCAAATATTCCGAACCGTTCTCTAGAATGACGGGCATACGATCGTGCAGGAACTTCAACTGCCTGTTCGAATCCGTCGTGATAATAGTATACGTATAATGTACGGTCTCGTCCCCCTCGTACTGCACAGCGTCCCAGAGTCCGGCGAGGCACATCAGGCTCCCGTCCTTCCGCCTGACGAAGTGCGGCGTCTTTTCCTTGCTACCGTCCTTCTTCAGCCACTCGTAGAACCCCTGCGCGACGACTACGCAGCGCTTGCGCGCCTTCATCGTGCTCCACATGCCGCCGCTCTGTGCCAGTGAATCATCGCGGCAGTTGATCGTCTTCATCATGCTGCCATAGTCCGGGTTGCGCTTGGTCCAGAACGGGATGAGCCCCCACTTCATCGACTGGAGCTTGTAATGGGGTTCCTTCGAGCTGTCTCCGCCCTGCGATGCCGAGGGCGCTGCTGCTTCCTTGCCTGCGGGTTCCGTATCATTTGGGGGAGCTGCCTGTCTGCCTTGATGGCGGGGTCCAGCACCCCAATGCGGTACATCAGCACGGTAGACGACGCCGTGGTAGCCAGGTGCGAAGTTGTACGACTGGCGCGGAGCCCCTTCTCCCTCGTCGTCTGGAGCTTCATCAACCTGCATGTTCTGGTCTTGTAGCATCTGGCGAATTTGCGCCGGGCGCTGTAAGAGTAGTTAGTGCTAATTCTTGGTATCAAAAACAAAGACGAACCAGTGCTAAAACGTATCGACCACACATGGTAGCGACCAGAATAAAACTGCATAAGGCAGTGCTCAGAGGCGCAAGAGAAGCTTTTGCCACTCTTAGGAATACTTGCAATGAGCTGTAGAGCAAATAGAAGTGTCAATCAGTAACTATGACGACATTGAAGGCGGCAGACGCGAGGCGACGCCAAAACACGTGACATCTATTAAGCAACTCAGCTTGCTTCAAAGTTCCGTTAGCCACATATTGTGTCTTAATTTACATGAGCTCTATCCAGGCTAAACGACCAAAGCCGACAGGAGTCCAGTTGGTGCATTGTGTTTCATAATCGAGTGTCTTTTAGAAATTCGCCGAAAACTGTGATTGGACAGAACATCCAATACATTGGGCCATGGTAGTTCGTTAAAAGGTAGTCTCGACAATTCGGGGTCACACATCTCTTGGCTGGATTCACTGGATGTGACGAATGGCAGATGTTAACCTCTTTTGAAGTAGACATTGATCTTATCCAGGGAGCCAAGGTTGCTGGATGGCTGTGCAGTACAAGGACACAAACAGGCAGTACATTACAGTAGACATAACACATGGAATTGGGCATCAGAACGGTGGTTGATTTGTTTGTCAATGCTTTCGTCATTCCCTTATAGAATCCATTTTGTGAAACCAAACCACGCCAAACCATGCTCAAATGACGCCTGATGAAAACCCTTCCAGCCGGATACTGCGTGCGTGGTATATCGGAAGAGACGTAGCACATTCCCGTTCGTGAACCATTCCCCCAAGGTCTGCTGTGTGTTAAACAGCTTAGACCTTGAAACCACGGGATCGTCTGCGACCACGAGCCTTCTCGAACTTGCGGCCCTTGGACTGAACGTAGGGCTTCTTGTTCTTGTGAGGGCCCATGCCGAAGTGCTTGACGGCCTCACGAGAGTTCTTGGGTCCACGGAGGAGCAGGGTGTTGCTGCCAGTGGGGGCACGCAGAGCAAGCTGATCGAGAGTAAGAGCCTCACCGCCGGCAGCAATGATGCGAGCACGGGCAGTGGCGGTGAACTTCAGAGCAGCAATGCTCAGCTTGGGGACTGTGAGAAGACGGTTGTCATCGGTGATGGTACCAACGACAACGACGGTCTTGTCAGCCTGACCCTTGCTCTGTCCGACAATGCGGGAGACGGAGACGGGGGGTCGGTTGGTGCGGGACATAAAAAGACGGCGCAGGACGACCTTGTTGAAGGAAGAGTCGGTACGGCGGGCCAAGAAGCGGTAAAGCTTCACACTGTTCGACCGTATTAGCTCACCAATTTCCACGTCCGCATCTTAAACCAACGTGCGTTGTACTCACAGGAGCTTGAGGTAGACATTGTCGCTCTTGGGTGCCGTGCGGTGAGTGTTGCGCACGTGGTGCTTTACTAGATCCACGCCTGGAAGAAGAACCATATGTTAGTTTTCTATTCTGTATGCTCTCAAATTGGGACATCGTCATCCAGCGAAGACGAGGTTCAGAACATGCGACGGAGCGAGGGCACGAGCAGCAAAGACAGAACAGTCCAAGCTAGATCCATGCCACCGCAGTCGTCGCAGATGTTCGTGAAGCCTCGCTCAACGCAGGAGAGATTCGCCCAGGTCGCAAACGGTGCGAGATTCGCAAAAGCTCTGAGGGGTTGGATATGGTGAAATATCCCCCGTGCTCAGCGCAATTGCCTCTCAAACACCGTCCACTTGCACACGAAAATTCCAAGTAAAAGACGTACCCATCTTGACGGTGACTCTGTCGAGGTTGCTGAGTCGATGGGAAGAGTTGCTGGCTGTCGGGTTAGTTGTCGAGACAAGAGTAGAGAAAAAAAAGTTCTATCTTGTGAGGCCCGCATCAAAAGGTGGAAAGTTCGATTGCCAGCAGGTGGGTGAATTTGTGCGTGTGGGCGGTCAAAATTGGCAGTTAGGCTAAAACTTCGCCAGAAGATGCTGGTCTAGTCTGCATCTAGTTAGCATGTGCACCCCTGGCACCATGGCGACCATCTTGGGACAAGTCCAGAGGCTCGCAGCTGAGAGTCGGCCCCCGCCAGCTGCCACTCGCTGCCTGCCTCTTTCTGTCTGTCATGGAAATATGATCTAAAGATTCCCCAGTGCTAGGGCACATGTGAATATAAGCCACCTCTCGCCAAGATTCCCCCGCCGATCCTTTGCCAGGTATGCTTGTGTTGTAGGGGAGCTTCGAGAACATAATTAGTCTTTACAAGAAGAGCTGCGCTCCTCTAGCGCTTCTTAGGCCACACTCACCCACTCCGACTGTGTAATGTAATTGCTTGTATTTGAGCTATCGGGTAAGTTCCCGCGTAGAACTGTGTAGAACTCGTTCTCTAATAAGCCCTGTCTTTGTCTAACCCCCCCTTGATAATGCCACATGATTCCAAACACAATCCCCTTCGTGTATGCAGGCTTTCAAGCCTATGGGCCCGGCTTGACTGAAGCAGCACTTATCCAGTAATGTCTCCTGCGTCTTCCATTGCAGCCAAGTTGCTGCTCTATTATAATCGGTACAGTGCTGAGAAAAGCATATTGCAACATCCAACAAAGGACTAGAATAACCCACGCCCTATATCGGGACGGGTTGAGCGTTCAGGCCGACCAGGAAGTCCCTGGTCATCTCGAAACTGAGCCAATTCGCTGCCATACTCGGGGCAACTTTGAGTAGGTTGGGGACAAGGCCTTTGTACATGCCGCGGATACCTTCCTGGCTAACGATGACTCTTACAGCATCGAATATGGACTTGTATTGGTAACCCATGCCCGACATGGTGTTGATCTGGAATCTCCGGCGTAACACGTCGCTGCAATGGTATCAGTACGAGGCATGGCCGGAACACGGGGTTCTTAGCAGCTTACAATGGATATGTGCATGTTTGCGCAACTGCTCCAGAAACGCCGCCAGCCAAGAGTTTTCGCCACGCGCTCGGGTTCTCGTCTCCCTCAGGAGTCAGGACTTTCCGTACATACTCGTATGTCATGAAATTCAATCCGACCTATCAACCTTGTCAGCCAGCAATCTCTGGAGCATGCGGACATACTGTATACATCTCAGCACAAACAAAAACTCACATAAGGTGCTACCCCAGCGACGGTAGGAACGATGCCCCGGTACAGAGCCATGACACCACCTTCCTGCTTGTACATGCCTACCAAAGTTGGCCACATCCCCGGCAGCTTTCCTCCTTTAGGCCGGTTGCCCAGTGCGGCAAAGGAGGCAGATTGGATAGACAATCGCGTGCGGACGATGTCAAGGGGATATGTGAAGAAGACTGATGTAATGCCTGCTATACCACCACACAAAAGTCTTTGAAGCGGGCTGAGGGCGGCTCCAGGCGTGCTCTCGAAAAGGTGCTACACGGCGCACTGTCAGCTCTCTAATATCCCGGTTTTTATGGCGGAGGCTCCCCTCCAAGGACATCGCAAGGCGTACCTTTTTGTAGAGGTTGTAGCTGCCGAATTGGACAGCTGAGTACGGAACAATCCGTATGCAATTCGTGCCGTTTCCCGCCATGAAGCCTCTCCAACCTTCTTCACGCCACATCTTTGCCAGCGCCTTGCCAACAGGCAGCTTGTATTCATTGTGACCGGCGCCCTGGATCTGGTACAAAATCTTCAATCGTTCGAGAGGGGAGACGACAGTTCGTGAAACTGCACCGGCAACACCACCGCCACAGAAGGCAGCGGTTACCGGCTGGGAAATGAAATCCCGAAAGGGTGCTGACTTGTCGGCGCTTGGGGCGGCCTTGATCGCCACATCAGGGGTCTGCAATATCAGTACATTAGCCGCTGCTCAGCAAGGCCCTGAAGGTCAATCTGTATACGGTGGAATTGGCAGCCTCTTTCCTGGGTTCGGGGGAGGGGGGTCGTACCGTTGCCATGTTGACGTTGCAGACAGCGAGAACCGTGAGGAGAGCTTGCGACGTGTGGGCCAAGAGAGAGAGAGCGTCTACGTCGCACGCACGCACGAATGATCAGGTGTTGAATCTGCTCAGCCGGGGCACGAGGATGTGTGGCTATCGTAGTAAGGATAATCGTTTGCGGGATCAAAAGAAAGGTGGTCACGTTTTGCCAGAGGCTCTCATTGGAAAGTGCTCGGTGGATCGCAAGACATATCTAACTTCAACGTGGGCGGACTGGGGTTGCGCAAATGCTTCCCATCGGTGACGAATCTCGGCGGGCAGTATCGCGATGGTTTCGTTAGGTCAAGCCATATACCTGCGGGAATGAAATCTGAGATCGATCTATTTATTAAGAGAAAACGAGCGTAAACGAGTTGTTACAGAAACATGACTGTGAGTGAGTACAATGGTGCACGAGAACAGAAGGATGTCTAGGAGGAGTCAGCCTTTTGGTCGGCGGCGCACGCGGTTATTAGACACACTTCTTCCCACGACTGGGGCTGGATTGCATTGCATTTGGGATTGGAAAGCCCATCTTGAATAAGCTCCTACCAGCTTTAATTAACTGGCTGCCGAGCTGCTCCAGCTATCAAACTTTTTCCGGGCTGTCAAGCGACCCCCGCCCAAATCGCCTATCCCCCGTCCCCCCGACAGAAAGAAAACGTGGGGTCGCATGAGCCTCCTCAAAACGTCACCAGATACTGTAATTCATTCTCCATCGTGTTTGCCAAGTCATGTCTCGTCGTTCTACTAATCGGCAGGTAAAGTCGCATGCATATCTTCAGCCAACTCTTACACGTTACCAATCATCCGAAGGCTGACTTGGACAAATGACCGCCTGAGCAAATAACGTCTTGCGCCTGATACCGATGCTGTGGTAGGAGCTAGGTACGTACGGCAGCCGCCTGCATTGAACCATAGGCGCGCATCAGTTCGCTTCTGCAGGGCAATCAAACTGCACATCAATCAACCATACGCTCGCTGTTTATTTGTTTGTTTGTTTGTTTGTTTGTTTTACCTGGCAAGCCCAGCCTTACTGACGAACCAGTTGTTTTCGTAATACCGTAGATTTCAAGGCTTTAACATGTCCTCTTATCTTACGACTCAACGTTTCGTGTTGAAGCTGGACTACCACGATATTGGTTATTGTCCCCCGTAAAACAACCTAGCAGTACTTGCTGCTCACGAATGCGTCTTCTCTGCTTGGCGTTTCCTTTAGTGCAGTGGACCTTCAGATCCTGAAGAAGCCGACGATCACATAGCCGAGGACTGCCGTTTTGTCGTGTGTGGATATCCTGCACCAGTACTGTACTCCGTATAAATGGGGATCACCGGGACGGACCGGAATGCGGGACTCTCGCCCATCTGTTCCACGGCAAGCTCGACTTGGTTGGCACGCGGGCATGAGACATTGCCAGGTCCTGTTGTCAAGAGACACGACAATCATGTTGCGTACTATTTGTCAAGAAGCCACCTCCATAATCAACTATCGCCATCACTATCGCCATCGCTACTTGATGAAGAACTGTCGTGGTCCTTGCGTTCGTCATTCTCAATCTTTTCCGCGTCTGCCACAAATGACCAGCCACCTTCCGGGCCCCCCTGTAGGTATCTGATAAGATCTCTCAAAACGTCTTTGTCGATACGTCTGCCGACCTCGTGACGTCCTCCATCTTGGGTCCAGTCATCTATTGTGGCTAATCACGAGGGGTTTAGTGAACGGACCGCCGAGTAATGCAGCCATCTAGGTTGAGAGCAACTCACATGCGAATACAGAGGCTAGATATGAGAACTCTATTTGTAAAAACCGCTTCAGTACTGGGTAGTCGTCATTCTCATCCTCGGGAGAGAGGACTTTTGGAGAGATCAAGGCTTCGAACAGTAGCTCTAGACCACGGCAGTGCTGTTCGAAGGAATCACGCTCTTGAGGTAACACGAAAGTGATATAGAGTAGAATGGTCCATTCTCGTCCCGCAGCTTGGCTGAGTTCCTGGGTACCTAAAGAGCAGCAATTTTAGCCAACATAGTAAAACAAAGTCGACAGAATACATACTCCTTCTAAAGTCGCTAAGGGCAAAATTTCTGGAAACGGAGACTCCGGGGACGATCTTGCCGGGCATCCCTGTGTCGTCCCAGAACTTCGTAGCAAAAGGCACCAGTTGCTCAACATCTGAGTCTTGAGGCTGGTCTGGCAAGAGATTCTTCACGGCTTCGGAGAATTCACCTGCGAGCTGGCTGACTCTAGTCGGCGCGCTGTCCATTTCCTTGATACCCTCACGGAGTGCTCTCCCGTAAGCCTCAGAGTGATTCCCGTCCCAGGTTTCACGCTCGCAAAGTAGCAGCCTAGAGAGCCAGTCCAACCATTCCTTGAGGTTCAGCCTTGTGCGTAAGGCCCCGTTGGCCTCGTGTTTCTCGTTGTTTTTGTCTTCTTCGAGCACATTGGGCCACCCCTCAGTAGGCATTAGGGGTTGTAGATACCTGAAGACGTCGGGTGCAGCTGCGGTCATCCAATTGCTGATCGTGAGATGTAAGGGCTCGAATTCTTTATTCCGCCGCTCAAACTCAGACCCCGACTTTTGGTATGGGTGTCTTGAGAACTTTAGAGCCCAGATACAAGCCCAACCGGCATATTTCATCTCTTCCAGGTATCCTTCTTTGTGAAGCGCGGCATAGAGGGCTTGAGTGAGGTAGAACTTTACACTGCTGTCAAAGGCCTTGTGTGCGTCATCCCACTGCCAGGGCTCTGTATCTAAACCATAAATCTGTTTAACATAACACTACCCATGGTGAACTCTCAGGAGGAAAGGGTGAACTCACAATCAAGACGATATGATTCGTTCCAATGCGTCTCTGCGACTTCTTCGAGGCCAGTTGAAAGACTAAATTCAATGTTCAATCTTTTATCTGTCCCATGGCCTCCAGTTCTCCAACTGGCTTGGCTCCGGATTTCCCTGATCAGCAAAACAAGGTCTTTGGCAACTGTGTCGTCTGCAAAAATGACGTAAGCATCGTCTATGGATAAGTCTCGAGTAGTGCCGGCTGTATCGTCTACGGGCTTCTCGTAAGCGGTAGCATTATCAGTGCAGACTTCGAAGATTGCTGTCCAGAATTGATATAAGGTGTTCTTAGCCTCCTCACCACCTGCCGCAATTGAGCGTTAGAAAACAGCCCACACTTTTCTTTTTTCTTCTTTTCTTTTTTTCTGAACAGAGCTGCTGCTTTTTAATGACTAACTGTTACGTTCGCAATGCTCGTGGGCAGTATCGAGTATGGCAGTGGCCGTTGTTGCAGTTTCACCGCCATTAAGCTTGCCTATGATGCCGTCACGGACATGGCGCTTGACTGCGTCTTCAAAGCTCTCCTGTGAGGTAGACGACATGATTTTTGCTGCAGATCGCGGTCGATTTAACTTCAATACAACTTGGTCTTGCTGATTATCATGTGTGTTTAGCATCCAGGAATAAGATGCGGCTGGTCAACCAGCTTAAATAATTCAAACTCGAGAGTTAATCATTCTGCTTTGGCCATATGACGAGCAACTTGGTCCCCTGGCATGCAGCGGCACATGTGATTCGCATCGTGTAGCGTAACAACCAGCGTTTCTAGGTGCCGTGTCGAAATATCCGCCAACGGGTGTTCCTAACGACATGAATTTCCTTGTCCATTGTCATCGTTGTTCGTCACTGTACGTACGGCCAGGAGGTCTTGACCGACAAAAATTGAATTGCCGATGCTGGTCGGCTCCAATGAGTCAGGCTGGTTGCGACATCATATCCCAAGCGAGTGACATTGATTGAACGAACTTGCCAGTGAGATCTTTGAGTGAAAAGTTGGAAATGAAAATCAAAGACGTGTGAAATCCTCACATCGCATAGAAATATCATGAGAGTTGGGCCGGCGTTCTTTGTCCTCGAAAGTACGAACTTGGGTAGGTGGGAAATGAAGCCAAGCGAGTATCACAGGGGCCAACCAGCATGTATTTTGACGACTCAATCCATTCCTAAAGCTCTGAAGACGACCCTAAACAGCAAGTACAAGACGCTTGCGCGATCTGATAAGCAAAGGACCCGAACCTATAAATAGAATCGGGTCCCTACGGTGGCTTGGCTTATGGTACATGCCCTTTCACCCACTCCATGAGTTAGATCCTGAAGGGCCTGTCTGTGATATGGCGAATGACTGCTGGGCGTAATAGACTACAGCAGAGGCCGATGATGTTGAATCGGAGGCAGACACAGAATGGTCCGAGATGCTACCCATGAATCACTTTCTTTGACACCCACTCCTTCATTTTCATGCAAGCCTGCGGGATTTGGTGCCCACTAAAACCTACCGGAATCTAAGTTGATGATAGTCTGTGCTACCACCATCAGCAACGGCTGCGAACATTGTATCATATGTAGGCATGAACTCAGGGGTCAATAAATTGGTTCGTCGGAGTCAGATTGTATAGTACTGGGCTATTCCAAGTTGTTGAGCGCGGGTAGTTCTCTCTCGCATGCCTTGTCTTATTTCTGCGAGCCAAATCTGTTTAGATTGTACGATGAAAGAAATGGCACGTTGGCTTTGCCGTTCAAGTATGGTAATATCGCAATTCGGGGTTACCCTAAGTCAACAAGCAGCAATTATCGACGCTAAAATTAAGTACCGTTGACACTGATAACTGAACAGGCATTCTTGACCTGGCAAAGCCCCCAGGAATAACAGTTGATAGGCGATTGCGACGGGGGAAAAACATCATAAATTTTTTATTACCTATGTAAGCCGAATACGCGTCTGAATCTGAGAACTAAAGCGCAAGCCCCCAAGCAGATCGGTTGGCTGTGAGCTGCCAATCTGTGCTCTGGGGCAGTTCATTCTATGGTACTGAGTCGCAGGGAATTTTGACTATCGACAAAACTAGAAGATAAGTGAGACCCGAAGAAAAGAAAACAAGTACCCGCCGTTACAGGGTAAGAAACGCGGTTACTTGGCGCCCTTTCCTGCGAAAATACCTGCAATCCAGTCTACATCTATTCGGCGGCATCGAGGTCGTCAAGCTCACGGGGCGGAGGAGAATCGACAGCTACGGCGCGTGAGTAAGCTTGCCGGGGTTGGGTGGGGGATTCGGACTCACGCTTTCGGTCATCACCATTGGTACCGTTCTCGCGACGATCGCGGTCGTCACGCTCCTCCTTGACGTCTCTGTCGCGAGCATCAGGGCTTCGAGAACGGTCTCGGGTGTCGCGTCGAGATTCTCTGTCGTAGTCCCGGTCGCGATCACGGCGATCATCCTTTCTAGGCGAGTAGTCTCTGGTGCTGCGCCTGGGGGATGGAGAACGACCGCGACGAGGCGACCGAGGAGCGCGTCGAGAATCCCGCCCACTGTCGCGGCCACTGTCACGGCCACTGTCACGGCCACCATCGCGGTCACGGCCCGAGTCGAAGCGCCAGGAGGCAGAGGGAGGAGTGCGAGCCCACTTAGTTTCAAGTTAGCCCAGATATCTACCATTGACACGGAACGGCCAACCGGGCTCACCTCGATCTTCAGGATTTCATCACGAGCGAGTCGCTTGTTATGCATCTCGTAGTAGGCATCATCAGCATCACGACGATCTTCATACTCGACGAAGGCGAATCTGCAAGCCATGTGTAAGCCAACGTCGCGACAAGTGCAAGGGGGATCAGACTTACAGTCTACTGCTGGCGCTACGAGGAGCGGGAATATCACATCGCACAAGGCGACCATAGCTAAAGTGATGCAAGTCAGCAATCATACCTCAGTTGGACTTTCCGTATTGGCTCGCATCGGGTGCGCTGTGGTTCGATATCCCGCCATGGGGTCGGGCGGGCGGACTCGGGATGCAGGTAAACGATGGTTTCCGACCGCTCGATCGAAAGGAGAACGCTGGCTAGAAAGATATGATATATGGAAGGCTGGCGATAAATGGAGGGGGCGATGACGATGGGAGGGGAGGACGACTCGATGACACGGCATGCGCGGACGTTGGGGGCGAAGGCTCGTGGCCAACGACGAGGAAGCACGACAGACAGGAGCATCGAGGCCGAGAACAGGACGAGCGGTCGATCGAGACGAGGAATAGCGACGAGACGAGACGAGACGAGACGAGACGAGACGATGGACGATGGACGATGGACGATGATTTTCAGTTGACATACCGTTCGAATTCGTACGCGAGGTCGCGAGCGCGGGTACCGTGGCTGAAACCAGTCACGTAGAGGGTGGTGCCTCCTCGGGAAGACATGGCTGCTGCGTATTGTGTAACAATTGGGTGGGATGAAGAAAGAAGACAGGTGTGAAAGAGGTAAGCAGAAGCACACAGCACACAGGGACCAGTCCTGACGCTCAAATAGTGGCTTCTCAACGTTAGTCCAGTCTAGACTCGATGGAATTGACAGTGGCTGGTTCGGCTTTTGCTTTGGGAATGCAAAGCTGTTTCGGAGTGAAAGGTTGAAGTTGACCAAAGGCTGATTTGTGGTGCAGGTTCAGGTCCAACCAGCTGCTGCCATTGCCCCCAAGGCCACTCACCTATTGAACCGTCTGGAAAAACTCTGATTCCGAGGCGGCTGGTCTCAGCTCTAACGTGCTTCGTGCTTGGTGCAATCTATCACTATCTGGGCCTAGTGCCATGTACAGAGCAAGTACATGCAGAACGTGAAGCGGGGCAATGACGTTCGTTCCTGCCAAGGCTGCCGCTAGTCATGCTAAGTCGGCAATAATGGGAATAGCTTTCATTGTCGAGCCTATAGTACAAGCCTATCATGATGATAATAGCAACCGCTCTTGTCGTCTGTCTATCGCCCGCATCCTCGCAGAGGAAAAACGAAAGAAGAAGAAGAAAGAAGCCAAACATGCTCACAATGTTCCTGCACTCTCTTTAGTTTTGTGACATGTATTCAGGGTATCTTGACCGTTTTCTAGTTAGTCACTCAAAGCACTATCTACACCCATTGAACGTCCATAACCAAAACCACAGGCCCTGAATCAAATAAACTCCGTGGCTTCTTTCCCAGAGATACCGATTCCTCTTCGCATACGCATACCTGCCATTGCGATGGTTCCTGCCTCAAACGGCCACCCCGACCCAACAAGGAGCAATACAAATTGCCGCAAGAAGGAATTGCAAAACCAAAGCCGAGTAAGGAAAAGGGGAAACAAACCCACAAGCAGATATAGTACAACACCAATGGTCTCTTGCACACAAAAGGATTGTGCATTACATGTATTCATTTCTCATCCGCAGTCATCAATCCTCCCCGGCTCTTACGGTACCTAGTATCCGCCATGCCGCCTTGATCGTCCGGAGCCGATGTCAATGCGGCTCATCTCATCCATGAGAGCCCACTCTCCGCCCCCTCCGCCGCTGGACGGTCCGAGACCCCCACTCATTAGAGGCACTTTTGCGGGTATAGGAGGGCCGCTACCGTATGCCCCGCGAGGCGTCCCGTACGGTGGGCCGTAGTTCTCGTAATCAAAAGTACCAGCCCTCACCAGCGCCATGGGTGGTGTGCTGTTGCGTTGTTGCGACGAGGCAGGTGCAAGAGGACCTGGGATAGGTGCCGGCGCTGGCAGTGCTGCCATGCGCTGGTTTTTCTTCTGTAAGCGGTTGCGACCTGAGCTGGGCGCAGACAATGGCTCAACATCTGGAGCAGTGTACGCAGATGGTACGACAGCCATGGACTGTGGTCTTGCTGTAATCCTGATCTGTCTGCGACCAGAAGGTGGCATCGGTTGTGCTCCGGAAGGCATCGGTCGGGTGCTTGGCGCCGCCTCAATCTGTTTCGGCCCTTTTGGTTCTGGCTCTGGAGCCCAAGTGTCCATGGGCAGATGGTCCGAAGGATCAACCTCCCGTCCATCAACAGTCACGATCTTGCCATAGGCATTCGTGTACTCGCCATTCTTGGTTTCATCCTTGACCGCGGCGACTGAAGGGTTCAAATCATCGTACGAGTCGGGACCGAAAGGAACTCCCGATAACCTTCTACCGTCTTGCGGAGGGGCAGGGCTAACGGACTTCCGCTTGATAGTATGATTAGGATTTGGACCTGGCGAATGGCCCCGCATCGAGGTATACGGTGCGGGCGCAGGTGAGCGATCGCGCATGGTATAAGGTGCTGGTGCGGGTGAGCGATCGCGCATGGCATAAGGCGCTGGCGCAGGCGAGCGGTCTCGTACGGCGTGAGGTGCCGCTCCAGGCGAATGCCCACGCATGGCGGCGTTAGGTCCATTTGAATATGCTGCACCATACCCGTTCGACTCTTGGTAGTAGTGGTTCTGCGGCGAAGGCTGTCCATAGCCAGCGGGTGGCTCACTGTGCTGCCTTCCCCTGGTCGGTGTAACGGCAGCAGCTGGCTGGGTATAGCGACGCTCATATCTCCTGTCTTCATTGATGCGATTGGCGATCTCCTGCGATAGGGTAGGGTCAACGCCGGGTATCAATGTGGGCGGCACAGGCGGCACTCCATAATCAGTGGAGCGGTGAACCAATGTACCTTCTGGCACATTGCCGTTGGACAAGTAAGGATCCATATTCGCCTCGTAGGATTGCCCATATGAACGCCCAGCGCGGTCATCGTAGTGATCCCTTGAGGCGACAGGGGATGGAGAAGCAGTAAAAGTGTTTGTGCCGTAGTGTCGCTCTACGGGTGAAGGAGTAGTGTAGTGACCGGAAACAGCACTACTACGCCCGCTCAGGTTTAGTGGAGCCGGGCTTGGAACCGAGCCATATCCGCCTTCTTCGTAATGATCTTGTTGAAAGCTGGCGCCTCTCACCCGAGCGGTGGGAGGTGTCCAGGATTCTGGCACGTCTTCAACTGTTGGCTGCATCGATCGCGGGTGAGGATCAACAGCTGCGTCATAAGAGTGATGTCGTGGCGGAGATTGATGACTGGCATCCTCATAGGTTAATTGCTTTGGCATCTCAGGCGCTGAATCATATGGGCGATATGTTGGTCGGCCCGGATAAGTGGATGTAGAAGAAGGCGAAGGTACGGCTTGTACCGAGTGCCTGTGCGCCTCATTGCGTAGTACATCATGTCTCATAGACAAAGGCGGTGTTGCCTTGTGTTGTGCGGGCACGCTCATCTCATGCGGCGGCGCAGTGTTGTTTCTCACTCTGTGAGCTGGCGGCGGTGGCGGACGTTCGCCATCTTGTTGAGGTCCACCTAGTTGTCGGGGTCCAATCACAGCTGGAGAGGGTGCGTCAAAATCTGGTTGACTTGCAGGAAGAGAGCTTCGATGATCGTGCTCAACTGCGCGCGGGTATGGCTCTTGGGTGTACCGACGATCCTCCTCAAGAGCGATGAACTTGTCTCCCCTGTCGACTGATTGACGGTATTGGGCGTCTCTGTGTGAAGGTGGCATCGCGTAGCGACTGCCATGTTCTTCGGCTTGGCTAAAGCGTGCGGCTGGTGGTGTTCCATACTCAACAGCCTGGAGAGGAGACTGGTTTGGGATGAAGCTGCCATGAGCATGTGGCTGCTGCCTTGGGGGCGTCTGTACAGGCGCCGCTCTGGGCTTTGCGGCAGGAGAAGGCTCGGTAGAACCAGGGTTGCCAGGGTTGGTGGGCAACGGACGCCTTTTAACAGGAGTCCTAGACGCAGCATTGCCTCCGTCTAGCTCAGGCGCAGAAGCAACCGGCTTCGGTTTTGCTGCAGGCTTCTCTGGTTTGGGCCTGGTGTCGTAGTATGTGGTTTCAATTCTGATTTCTCCGGCGTATTTCCCTTTGCAGCTGAGGGTATGCCAGTGGTCACTCTGACCACCACCGGGCAATATAATATCCCTCAAATCTATCCATGTTTCTCCAATGAGCTCTGTCCTCTTGTCGTCATTGAAAACAGATAACTTCAGCTGGTAGTAATCTGGCGAATCATGCACAGGAAATCGAAGTTCTTGGTCCCTGTGGTCGCAGATGCGTTAGTTGAACACGCACTATCATGCGCTGGATCGATCAACTTACCACTTGGGTGTTTGGCCGCCTCGTACGTCGGTAGTCGTCTTCCGTGCTTCCTTGCCCAGACGGGCAGCGCAATATGGGTCTTGCTTGCCAATCGTCTTCCGGTTCGGCAGGTTCTTGGCTCTGTCAACAATGAGAACCAAAGTACCAATGACGGGTCCGTCAACACTCATGTCCGAAAAGATGCCCGCTGTGTGCATCCCATTCATTGGGTTCACCTTGGTTTTGGCGGCCATCTCTGCGACTGGATATTCTGCCTATCATCTAATTGCGTGGTGTAGTCTCTCGCCTGGAGCAAGCTGATGGTCTCCAGGCCGTCCAGACTATGTCGATTTGCGTGCTTGATACTGCCTCTGGTAGTGAGCTGGTTTGTTGGCCAGTCCGCGAGATAATGGTTTATTTAATCCTGCCAAGCTTGATGCGGCAAGCCAAAGCCAAAGCCGAAGCCAAAAAAGAGTGAGTGGGTGATTGAAAGAACTGCTACAGTCGAAGGTGTAGTGTAGATAAAGGAATGCAAAAAAAATACAATTGACCAAATACAAGCTGCCAGGCCAGTCTCACTCATTCAGCGTATGAGATGTGCAGACGGGAAGAAGAAGAGGAAGGGGAGGAGAAGGTGACATGCAATTGGCGACAATGAAATCGAATCGACCTTCAAGAGCTTGCAGACGTAGTGTATGAAATGTTCCCGGTGGCTGGTCGCGCCGGGGCTCCAAGGCTCGGATTGCATGCGAAGTGGGAGGCTGGGTGCGGGCAGTGGAACATTGGACGCCTGTTAAGCCCACACAAGCCCGCTGAACCAGGTCTCCGCCAGGGATCATGCGCCTAGCCACCCTCAGCTGCAGGGGCCTTGTTTAGTGGGGAGATGGAGACCGATTGCCAATAGAACCGCTTTTTCAGGGGTCGTGTCTTTGGTCCTTGGCAGTTATCTTCGAGGTGGACCTGCCACTGTCGGGGTGTTTTCGTTCAAAACAAAGAGATTTATCGTTGGGAATCGAGAAATCGTACGGCATTTGTCCCTTGACACATGTCTAAACTCTAGCCGCGCAACGGGGCCTTGCATGGCCCAATTCCGTCGACATGATCTGATTTCGGTATCCGCACTCAATTATCCATCTCTCCATTTTGCTCCAGCTTTAGGCTCGTCCTCTAAGCTGGGTGCCTGACGCGTCCCGCTGAGGCGCAATCCCGAAGTCTGAGGAACGCAGATGACGTCCAGGTTAGTCGGTACCCTCTCCAGCAACACCCTTGACACACAAAATCCCCCCATCACGCTCTTGATGACAGGCTTCGGCCATGATTTCCAAAGTCACCCCGCAGACGCTTCAACCGTTTGCAGAACTTTAAATGCCGATGTTTCTGGAGCCCGGGCACAATACACACATATACATAGTCATGGCGATGAGATCAAACAACAAACCTACCACCGTTGGTAACGAGGCTTGGCAACCTCGTACTCGATGACTAGACTAGAGCCAAGTCCTGGTCCGCGTCAGCTCTTTTGTATACTACTGCACAGCTACGATCGTTTCAGATTTGAGTATATGTATGCAAGAAACTGAGTTAACAACCCACACGGATATATCGGATGGCACGTGGCGCAGGATTCCAACACCCACGTCACTGATATCCTACCTTGAGAAATACGAAATACTCAAATGTTGACGTGTTGTAATTGTCGTCAGTTGGTTTCAGGACACTAGCTACCATACATACCTCGTCTTTGTTAGCTGAACTAGCAAATGACCAACGCCGATTAGCTCGAGTATAGCAATTTCTTTTAATAAATTTTCTTTTAGCTCGATCCGATGCCAAAACGGTAGCGCCAGAACCTTAGCGGGAAACGCTTGATGCAGCTGTCATGGCAACCACGGATTATTAGCACTTGTCTCAGCCATGTCAGGTCCATGTGGCTTGTCGTTTGCTATCTACTACTGCACAGAGAATTGGTTGGAGAAGCCCCCATCACGGAGACCGAGTCAAGATCTCATACCATATCAACATTAGATTTCGGGTCTAGAGGGTGAAAAGGCAAAACCTCAATCTGGGTCGTTGCGTCGAAGCAACCCTCCGCAACGCTTAGCAAACCCCGTTTTGTGTCGCAACCACCTTTTCATACGAATTACTGAGACTTTCTGCTGTCTTTATTAGATGCAGAGCCCGACGCCAAAGGCCTCACCATCCCTGTAACCCCCGATGGCAGTCATTGATCTTGCGATCACCGTCCTCATCACAAGGCGGGTGCGCGCAGTCGTTGGCCCCCATGGCCTTTGCACTTGACACGGGTGACGGGAGCGGGTCGGCTCTTAATATACCTAGCCCAACAGGAAGTTCATGACGTTGGACGGCAACGCGACCCTTGCCGAGCACGATGCCGTTGCCATTGCCGGCCCGCAAAGCACGATCACTTCTCTCTTTTGAAATAGCCTTTCCATGCCCGGCAGGGTGCATGGCAAGTCGAGCCGTGCTACAGCCACGTCAAAGGCGGATGCATACTGAGCATGACTGTGATGGTAAGAAACAGCTTGGTGACCGAAGCCGCCTTCATCTTGATTGTGCGAAAACGAAAAAAAAAAATTTGGTATCATTCATTGGCAAGGTTTCCACATAATGATTATGATGACTTCGGCATTATTACAGGGCAATCGGCCGCCAAGTTGCACGTTCCCTTGCCAAACACGACATCACAACGGTATAAAGCTCAGTGATTGACCAATAAGACATCGCAGACGGGTTCGACATCAATGCTTGGCAGCTTTTGCGCGATGTTGACATTTTTTACTAAATCGACTCCACAGCATTAGGCATCGAGATAAAACCATCGAGATTTCGTTATAATACGAACCAATGGGAAGCGAAAGATCTCTCTATTCCTGGAAGTGTGGGGAGCGGATGGTGTGTGCAGCTCAAGTCCGCCAAGCCTACCCCACGCACACCGACCCATGTTCATGGCTATGCACTCAAAAGTGAAAGTCAATCGGGGAGGTCATTGAGAGTAGGATATTGATTCGCCGTCGAAATCAGATGCTTGCGTTTAAAGCACACCAGAGACCTGACCTTTGGGAGATTGTTGTTCGGTGAGATATGGCCCTCATAGATGTGACATGCATTCGGCGATTATTAGAGGTTGGCAACAATCCTACGCTGCAAGGTTTGTCCGAACCAAGGTTGAATTGGGCCCGCCCATGTTTATAGCAGCATTGATAACTATATCTCATGGAACCAGGCCACAAGGTTCCATACAGTCTCACCTGCAACAGATACATTGCCCGTTGCACACAAATACAATTTCGGTGAACACGTACTCGTTAGGCCTAACTGCGCATATTTATTTCGAACTTAGAACCCTAATCTCCCACGTCGCAACAGGCCATCGTGCACGTCCGCGAAGTTGACGACCAAGTTCTCCGTCTCCTCCGGGCAAGGATTCCACGGGTCGCAGTCTGACGGGCAACTCGTCCCGCTCTCCGGCACCTTTCCGTGCTCCAGATACTCCTGCACGATGTTGCTGATGCACTTGCTCGGCGCCCCGAGCGTGCAGTGGCCAGTGGTTTCCTGCACGACCCAGGCGGCACCGGGGTGCTTGGACGCCATGTTGACGGCGTTTCTCAGCGGCGTGACGGGGTCCAGTCTCGTGGAGAGGAAGAGCAGCGGGGCGGCGGGTTTGCCCTCGACCAGTGCCGCGTCGTGCGCGGGCGTCGTGAAGGGGCCTGTGAACCGCCACTTGGGCCGGATGGTCCAGCCGGAGCACGCGAAGCGGATGGTCGTCCAGTACGCGCCTAGGGTGTGGGACTGCGACCTGAGGTCTTCCATGTAGGACTTGAAGTAGCCGAGACCGTGCTTTGTTTCGTCCTCGCCGTCGGCGCACTTGATGGCGTGCTGCGCATCCTGGCTGAGAAGGGCCGTGGCGGAGCTGTTGAGCAGAACGCAGCTGTCGTGCAGTCTGGGGGCTTTTGCTTCCAGTTCTGAGAGCAGCAGGGTATAGTTTCCCTCTAGAGTGCCACTGAGAAGTTCTGCGAGGGGCCTGAAAAGTTTGAATGGTCCATCTACGCGCCAACTTTGTCAGTTGATAAAAGACATAGTGCCTGGAGTGGAGGATGTAGAGATCATTAGGGATCCCATGAGATGCCAGGGCCGATGCAAGACATCATCAAGATCTTTTCACTTACAGACAGGCTTAATAAATGCATTGTTCACTTCTGTGCCAGTGATGACGACAATTTTCTTGTCCGTCAGCACTGAGATGGGGTTCTCGTCCGTCTGGGAGATGAAGTCGTCGACTCTCTGCTTCAGATCTTGCCATTTGGTATCAGGCGAGCGCTTGAGCGGACATTTGTCGCCCTGTTCGAAGCAGGACTTGTAGAAATAATCCACAATGGCCTCCGTGTCTTGGAGATTGGTCAGCCATGTCTGCAGCACTCAGTTAGCTACACATAAGTTATAGGAGGCGGAATCTCGCAGAACTCACTCCGCGCATGTAATCGTCGGCATCAGCGATTCCATCGACAATCAGTCTTCCTACACGGCCAGGATACATGGAGGCAAACGTGTTGCCCAGGATGGAACCATACGAGAAACCCCAGTACTGAATTCTGGGCACATCAGCCTCTCTCTTCTTGAGCTCGATCCTCCTCTCTCGGACATCCTCGTCCATATGGGCCACTGCGGCCGCGTCCCTCCCAGCATGGATCTGATGCAGAATGGCCACCATATCCCGAACCACACTGGGCGTGGTCAGGTGAGGCAAGATGGACGACGCATTCTTCGCTGCGAGTTCGCAAAGCTGACCGTACGCCTGCGCGCGCGCCCACTGCCTCCTGAGCGCGTTCTCGCTGGCGTCGAGGCCCCCGATGGTCCGGAGCTGGAGCTCGGCGAGATCACGTGCCGCGGTGTCGCCCTGGAAGCAGTCGGCGTTGGGGCTCGTGAAGGCGATGCCGCGGGGGTCCCAGGAGAGAATCTCGTAGTTCCTGTTGCCGCGCGTCGCGTTTTGGAGCTTCTCGCCAGCCCTCAGCACGAAATCTACCCCGGAGCCTCCGGGGCCGCCCGGGTTCGTGAATATGGTGCCGCCGAAGGTGGGGTCGTGGTCTGAGACCGTGGCGGGCAGCTTGGCGATGGCGAGGGCGACGGTGTGTGGGTTGCTCTCGTCCTGCCAGTCAAGGGGGACGAGCAGGCGTGCGCATTGGAACTTCTCATAGCACGGTGCATACGTCAAGTTGTGGCTGGGGGTAATGCTGTCCCAGTCGAAGTCTGCATCGCCCGCCGATGATAGGTGTAGCAAGGCCGGCAAGACTGCCAGCCAGGACCGCATGTTGCACGGAACCATTGGAATGGATATGCTGGATGGCAAAACAGGCGAGGCTTCATATAAGAACACAAGGTTATGAATAAAGTATGAAGTAGGCCCAGATATCGAGTTGATGGGAATATAAGGAATAATGTGAGATTTGGTCTAGTGGTGCAGCATCCGTGAATGTCCACGGAGTTCGGAATAGTGCTGTAAGCTATGCCGACCCGCCAGAACCATGCTGCATGTCGCTTCTAGCTGTACAAAACAGGAAGGTGAAAGTTACCATATGGTAATCATGGCCGTAGTTTGGATCTAAATAGTGACGGGAACAGACTAAACCGGTCTTTTTAAACACCCAATGGTAAAGGGAGAAGCCATTGCTTTATCCTATATTATCCCATGAAATTACCCGTCGCAATCCAGCTGCCAAAGATTTTTGGGCCGTGGCACCCGAGGAAAGTGGCGACGGCAGATCAGTACTCAACTTTTACAGTAAAGATTTGAAGCAATAGAGACATTGAATAACCAACGTTCGTGGTCAGTCCATGGTAAATATAAATCAATTGTATGAAAATCGCAGCAGAACCTTGTGGTCCAACCTTAAGACGCCTATATACAGGATGTGGATTTTTTGGGTATTCCCGACGCTCAATTAATCCAGACAACAAAGAATCAATCAATCAATCGTGGCTATCCTAAACACCAGAATGCATATCGTCGTGTCGTCATAAGCTCTTCGAATCGTCGTAACTCCGTGCACCTCCCTCTCATTCCCCTCGTCCCCTAAAATTGCCCATCTTCTCAATCGACGACATGATGCCACTTCTCGCGCCCATCATGCCAGGTCTAGGGAGACCCCCTTGAGGTCCGCCGCTCTTTGTGCGCTCGTGAGACATGCCGCCAATTCGGCTTTCGGTGCTCGACTTCTTTAGAGAGCCAGGAGCACGAAGTCCTGAAGCGGCTGGTCTAGAGATGCTGCTTCTGAAGCTCTTGGAAGGCGTGGGAGCTCTAGGTGTGGCAGTAGGCCGAGCAGGAGTTTCATCCGGTTGTTGGACGAAACTGTGCTGCATTGCCATCATCTCCTCTGCAAGCGAAACGAGCTCGCCCTTTTCGACACGCTCTTTCTCGAGCATTACGATCAATTCCTTGTTGTCCTGCTTGACGCTCTCGACAATAGCTCCAAGCTTCTGAACCTCGGCATTCAACTCGGTTATGTGGGCTGAGTCCTTCATGGCTCGTGTCTTGAGCTCTTGATTCTCGGCAGTTTGAGCGGGATCGAGCTTGGTCATTGTAGCGTCGCGACCAATCCTGTGCTTGTCGTTCTCGTCAACAAGCTCCTCAATCTTGGCCTCCAGTCCCCGAACCTTCTTCTCCCAGCGGTTCTCGTAACTCTTCTTCAGCGCTGTGACCTTGTTCTCATGCTTAGTCTTATACAGAGCATGCAGTTCACGCGCAACCCTCTCGACGGCGATCTCGACCTCGCGTGACCCAGGGCTTCTGGCCTCCTTCTCCGGCGACCTGTTCTCCGTGTCAGCATCCGAGCCAGACCTGCCGGCCCGCATGCCGGCCACCTTGGAAAGAGCTTCTTGTGCCATAATCTCAGCGGCTTCTCGACGCTTTTCGCTCTCTTCGAGCTTGGATTCAAGCTCTTGACGTTCGCGCTGGCCATGGTGGATCTCTGCCTTGACTCTACGAAGAACAGTTTCCATCTCTTGAGAGCGCTTGTCCCATGCCTCCTTCTCTTCCACCAAAGCTTCCTTGACGCATTGAAGTTCGCGGAGGTGCTCCGATGTCTCACCAACACGCTTTTCAGCATCTGTCACGGCTGTCTTCAAGGAGTTTACTTCAGCCTCCTTGCCTAGTAGCGATGCCTTCAGACTGCTGATCTCGGAAAGGAACTGAGACTTTAGAGTCTCGACTTCACGTGCCGTCACAGTAGGGACACTGCGAGGTGTGGGTAGAGGCCCGACATCAAGGTCGAGTAGGTTTGACTGACGACGCAGTGGGGTCGCGTTGGGCATATGGCCTGACGTTTTGGCGGGCGAGAGGCGGGCTCTTTTGGAAGCCGAAGTCGGTCCATATCTATTGGTTGAATACTGATCGGAAAAATCCATGAGGTTGGTCAACGTGTTACCACCATCTTGCGCGGGAGGACCTCTGGGGGTACGGCCAGGGGACGGGTCGAGGCGGGCACGAGCGGAAGCGGGGGTCATTCCCATGTTGGCAAACCTGGTGGGACTGTGACCAATCTTGGCGAACATGGTCATGTTGGGAACGGCGGAGAAGGTGCTAAATGTGCTGACCATGGATGTATCAGGACCGGCTGTCTCGTCGCCCACTCCCTGGTGCTCGACTGTCATGGCCGAAGCGTCGGCATCATGGTCGTTCTCTAGCATTGTAGATTCGTCCTCGAAGATCTGAATGGCTTTCTTCAAGCCTTCGTTTGCCAACAGAGCCTGCTCGAAGGTCATGTCCTGTTCTGTGACGACCTCCTTGACCGGCTCTTTTTCCTTCTCGGGCGATGCTGGCCGGGGCTTCTCGGGTGACGCGGCGGTCACAGGCTTGATAGGAAAGCGTCGTTCCGGCGAGCGGGTCTTTCGCGGGCTGGTAGGAGGGGCATCTTGTCTCGAGGAGGACCGCGAGAGGTTCTCGCTGTTGTCGTTTCTTGGGCTTAGTATCTTCAGCGGGGCAATCTCATTTCCGGACAGTATTCTAGAGTGTCGGATCTTGGATGGGGAGACGTTCTCTTTCACGGAGCTTCTGAAGTCCATGTTGTGAACGTCGGACAGGAAGGGGGAGCTTTGGTCGGCGCTGTCCTGGAGTATGCCAGCGATCTGGTGACTTGCACTTGGGGAAGCGATTTCCTCATGGAACTCGAGGTCGTTGTCGCTGTCGCTGTCGACGTCGATGTCTTCAGCCTCGAAGCGACGGGAGGCAACGGGGGTCGCGATGTTTAGCATCGCGCTAGGCGTGGGTGACAACGGTGATGGCGATGCCATGATCACTCTTATAGTGTTTGTGTTGTTTTGCAGACGCAAGCCGGAGACTATTGCTGCTGAAATGGGGATTCGCTTGTGAGTGTTTCGTTTCCATGCAAACTTGGCGGGATAAAGTGTGGTGAATTAACTTTGGATTTGAAGTGCTGGAGATGGAACTAAAACGCGGCATGATTTGTTTTGGCGGTCACTGGGACAACAGCTCGGGACCCCACTCATCATGCGTTCGGCGGGCGCCCTGCAGTTCCAGAGCCCCTGCAGAGAGCCCCCCTGCAGAGCCCTTGTAAAGGCCTCTCGTTGTTGTGGTCGGCCCCCCGGACTCGGACAGGACCAGGCAGCACGTCATATTTGGTTGGCTATCATTGCAGCACGCCTGTGGCATCGAGAATCTCTCCCCAGCCAACATGGAATCCCGTCCTGAATCTAGTCTAGCTAGTCCCAACTATCCTCATAGACTCATCAAAGCCTATAACCAGGGCGAACTTGTCGTCGTTGCCATGGTTTGGTGAGTAATGACAGGTGCGAAAGCGACGCAACCCCTCGTCCGGGTCCCCGTTCAAAACCCAATCGCAATGCGAACCAAACAATTCCTCCAAATGCTGCGATGACGACGATAGCGGTGAGTAACTCCTCTATCGCTGGTGAGGCCTTCAGTTCATCCAGTGACTCGACAGCAGACCCCCGCCCTTTGATTTCCGCTTTCCTTTCCACCTTCTTTCCATCTTCTCTGGTAGGGCTGTAATCTTGGGTTGTGAGTGCTTGCATTGCATGAGCTTACCCCACAAGACATTCTGTGGTTCAATCTTCTTCAACTACATTCGCACTTGCATGGCCCTCAAACTCTACCGCAGTACTTCCCATGTCTCAGAAACCCCGAATAGCCGACCATTCTAGAGTCCGAATTTAGAAATCCATCTGACAAGGCAAACCCCTCAATGCTTGGTTTGAGAAACCAAGATCATTCAGAACCTAGGTTGTCACCGCCCGCGACTTTCGTCACAGGAATGTTGAGCACAAAGAACGGACCCAACAATTGGCACCAGCACACATTCAGGATCCAATGCCTGCAGGAATAAATAAAACTACTGATTCTGTATAGGATGGTTTTTTTCTTCTTGTTCTTTCCTTTCTGTGGCTCAGTTTCTTGAACTTACCTCAGGCCTAGTCACGTCAAAACACACAAACGATGGCATTGTGAATTTCCTTTGATTGAATACCCATAGAAAGACGACACAGATAAAGGGTTCATGCGCTGCCTTCTAAACTATGGCTGCTCGGTTTAGGCCACCTGCTCAACGGTAACGACTTTCCTGTAGTATAGACGCAATGCCGAAGGGTCTCGAAAAACTTCAGAGATCTCGCGGAAGCCGCTTTCACAAGCCGTGTGTTCCACCAAGCTGAGGTAAATCTATCCTTGGTGGGATCCGTCAGCACGACAGAATTAGGACATGCGACCTAGTCTAGAAAAAGGAACTACTTTTGCATGATGTAGAAGGCCTCCCGACATTATCTCTCCCATCATTGATGCGTAGTTGCACTATGCAGAATCAACATTTAATGGGCATTACTATGATCTATTGTCCACGGCAAGCTTGCAGTTTTCTCATGAACTATCCCCCCGATTCACTTTTAGATCTACAGGCACTATCACGCTTACATATCGAGCCGCTGATTTATCCCACGGTAATGTCTCAAGTGGCTAATTATAGACTGATCACGCCGAATGTCGTCAGGCCGAACCGGGTCCGGATCAGTGCGGGGCTGTGGTCGGCTGTTGAAACCAAGCACTCTAACTTGCCATATGGTTAACAGACTCAACTTATATGAGTAAATGCTATTCTGATAACACTAGCCTCCCCGAATCAATCGCAAGTATAGCTTATTAATTGATCCAAGTCAAGATGATTGAGATTCGGTGCTCAGGGTCGCCACGTGAAGTATGTTTCAACTACGGCCATCTTTCTATAAACTCCTAACGTGCCGTGGACATAGATAGGTCAAACACACGGCCGACAGGCTGCATCACAGATTCGCGGCTCAGTCGCTTTCTATGCCAAACTCTTTCAGAAATCATGTTCCATGGATTGGCCCGACGTGCTCCAAGAAGCTGAGCAATACGTCGAACCACTGCAATCCATCGCGCCTCGATATCTCGAGGAGATTCGTGGAATATCTGATGGGGCAGGTTTAGGATTCCTGGATGTCCTGGCTCTCAACGTCCGGACCGAGATCATGTTCGGCTTGTTCACTGGCGATTCAAGGACAAAGACAAACGTGGATGATATCCCCAGCGACGGCTGCACAGCGCTCGCCTGGCTGGCGGCGGAAGGGCCAGGCCAGGAGAGGAAGTCCTGGTTGTGTCAGAACTGGGACTGGATGGTTGAACAAGGACAGAACCTAATCATCTGCCACATTTCACAGCCCGGAACCGGCATCCCGGATATCGCCACGGTGACGGAGGCCGGCATCATTGGGAAGATTGGGCTGAACTCAAGCGGAGTTGGGTGCACTCTAAACGCCATCAAATGCCGTGGAGTTGACAGGAAAAAGTTGCCGATTCACTTTGCCCTGCGGACGGTACTTGAGTCTCGATCCCGCGACGAGGCCGTCAAAAGAATCAAAAACGTCGGGGTCGCAGGCAGTGGACATATTCTTGTCGCAGATCCATCCGGCTCCGTGGGACTGGAATGCACGAGTAAATGGGTCAAAGAGCTACTTATGTCATCTGATGGGAAGATCTGCCACACGAACCACCTGCTTCTGCCGCACGATGATGTAGAGGAACCAGCATGGCTGGAGGATTCACCGAAACGTCTGGCGAGGATCCGCGAGCTGGTTGCCGACATTGAGAAGCCTACCACTAGTGCCATCTCTGACATCTTTAAAGATGTAGAAGGATACCCATCCTCGATCAACAGGAAAGAGGTCGGTGGAACACTTACGCAGACTCTGTTCAACATTGTCATGGATCTTGGTAACAAGACTGCGAGGGTCACGTTTGGCAGACCCACGGAGAACACGGGCTTGGCTGTCCTCTCGTTGTGATATAATAACATACCGATGAAAACAATCCTGAATTTATTTTATCCTCCACGAACACATGAGTGTTAGATACAGTTTTGTTTTCCAGCGCGTACTCTTCTATTAGGTGGCATCAAGAGACTTGGAGTAAATGAACGAGCCTTTATTGCCCATCAATCAGCAATTACCAGGCTTGCGAGTAATTCTTGGTCCCCTCGGCTGTCCCCTTTTCCTTCTCAAATAAACTCACCCTCATCGTACGGTATTTCTGATTGTTAATACGCTGAGACACAGTGAGCGATTACTGTGCTGTGGAAGGATTCACAGGAGAACGGGCCCAATAATGTCAAGGTTTATCTTCCAAGAAGTTTATTCTCCAATCCAAAATGGTCAAGAATACACAAGCTATAGATCTACTTGTGACTATTATTCGCCGGAGTACTTACTCCCGTAGGTTCATAATTCAGTCCTCAGAAGTAATCTAGACAATCAATCTTTTGTACCTCCAAGACGGATGCTAAACCATCTCTTGAAACCAGTACGCACGACTCAAAAAATACCACTAAGCCAATCAAAGATCTCTCCAGCTAGCTGAGGCTCCGCGCCAAGTTGACAATGCTCACCAGCTCCCAAATCTGTGGGAAAGAGATGATACCTGGTGTCGTGTACCTGCGTCGAGCTATTGTAGAGCCCAACAAGTTCAAGCGGCTGTCCGGGCGCGAGTCTATCATCCTGGCCCTCGCCAACAAACAAGTGCACGGTGGTTATGTCGTCGACGAGCTCCTGGGACACCTTGAAAGTGCCGAGTTGGGTCAGCCAGTCAAAGTAAGACTCGGTGTTGAATGACCACAGGCCCTGGCCGGTAACCCACACGAACTGTGTGTTTCGCGGCGGCTGAGCAAGGGCATACGAAAAGACCTCGTCGAAGTACGTCGCATTCCCAGAGTTGAAGGCCTCGACAAGTGCCTCCGGGAGTTGAGATAGAATTGCATCTTGCATATCAGCAAGCCCGTCAACAGACAGAATGGCCTTGAAACGATGCTCGTAAGCAGCGACACGTGGTGCGAGTTGACCTCCAAACGAGAGGCCTATGTAGGCTAGATTGTCTGAATCGACATCGGCGCGCCTGCTGATCTCATCGACGACAGGGGATACCACTTCGGACCAGTTTGCGATAAAGCCGGCCTGGTCATGTCTTCGAACGGTAGGCTGCCCTGGCCCTTCGTACGTAACAAAGTTGTATCCGCGGTCAAGGGCTTCTTGGCCGAGCTGATGCCACAGTTCCTGCTGCGGCCCATCGTACCCAGTTCCAACGACGAGAGTTGGACGTTTCTCCTGGCCCGTGCTAGCCTTGAAGAAGTAGTAGGGTATATCATACTGGGAGCCAGCAATGGTGTGGTTTTCACCGGGCACTGGCAGCAAAGAAATAGCTTCATTGAAAGCATCGAGCCCAAGGTCCCATTTCTCGTAAAGTCGAGGGTCGCTCGAGTTGCCGGTCAGGAAAAAGCTGGAAAGGCGCCAGTAAGATGCTGCCCGGAACAGGGCGCCACGCCTTGTGATCGAGGTCTTGGCTTTCTGAGCAAGGCCATATATCTGATCTCCCATCCAGTCATACTCTTCGAACCAGCTATCAAAGTCGCCAGGCACTATTTGGCTGGCTAGGCGAAGGACCTCGCTGGTGGCGGTGCCACCACCATTCGCAAGAGCGAGTGTTTCCGTCAAGACAAAGTCGAAATAGCCGTCGGAGCTCAACGGATAGATTGGAACTGTGCTATTTTCTGTGCCATTGTAGGTCGAGACACGTGCCTATAATCTTATTAATAAGGGAAATCTCTACAAGCAGTACCGCATGAGAAGGACATTGGAAGTCGTACCTCTACTAGCGTGACACCTAATTGAGCAAGAAGTAGTAAACTCTGAGATGCTTTCATTTTTAGAAATGCTCAACGGCGTGTAAGGGACTTGAAAAATTTGGCTTCTATCGATGAGTGACTTATCACTAACACTCCAGGATAGCCAGATTACCCAAGGAAGTCTCGGGATATAAATACTGGAATGACTATGACTGCGCCATCTTGAATCTCACCATGCCATCGCTAGACCGAGTCCTATTCACTCATTTACAGTTGTCTCGCATTCGGACCTATCGATTCCGTAAGAAATACACATGCTGCCTAATGACGTTGTCACTAAATTTGAGCTGCGGTCACTATGATAGTTGGGACTCTCTGAATATAATAGTGGAGCATCGCGGATTGAAGCCAGAATGGGTTTAACTCCTCCGTCACCAAAGAGGTCGCATTCGCTTCGTCCTCAGAGCAGAGCGTAATCCTTAAAAACATCGCCGCGAACTATAGTACATGCCATGTTCTAAAACTCACTATGTTGCTAAGGCTTAGTGAAGTCCGTTGAATTTGACTACCGGCGGAGAACTGACCGCCACCAAGCATGGTACGAATAGGACATAGTGAACTGATCACTAAATTAGCAGGTTTAAAGCGCCCCTTTGTAAGAGGGCCTGATTAATTGTCCAAAACATTTATAATGTCGGAACTACGGAGTAAAAAACAGCTTCGTCGGGACATCTAAGATCATTTCATTGCCTGTCAACAGTAGAAAGCAGCTATCAGAATTTAGCTTGTCTTTCGTGTTTGTTGACCTCTTACTGAATTAGCACCTAGTCTAGCATGAATGCAATCTCACAAGGGGCTTATCGTCTGCGGCACAGCAGTACATGAAATCGACGGGGAATTTTTCTGACAAGACCAGCTCCTCCTGGCCAAATCAAGTACTGATTGTCAAGTTATTGCCGAGTTTCGACCTTGGTAGCCGCAAGAATGGTCCATCACCAAGTCTTTTTCTCCCTGCTCTCCGCCGCCCTTGTCTCAGCACAATCCACCAGCATCGTCTCCCTTTTTCTTGGATCCTCTGTGGCCGGCGTCTCCACCGGCGCAACGGGCTATGTTGTCGACGCCAGCCCCACCGCCACGACCTATGTTCTCGACTGCGTGAAAGCGTTGTGCGTCGGCTCCAAGCGCGCCGAGTACGCGCGCGTCACCGCCGCCCCCGGAGTCCAGGAATACAACAAAGACAACGACGGGACGGCCGTCCACCAGGAATGTAGCTTCGTCGGTTCGACGGAGGCGACGTGCGTCGAGACAACAACCGTCACTGGTGAAGCCATGTATATTGCGACTGTGACATACGTGCCTGCGTCTCGGGTCCCGAGCCATCGGGGACAGGAGAACATTTTTACCTACCCGGGACTGCAGGCCGTCTTGATTACTTCTGCGGCGACAACGGCAACAGCAACAACGACGCCATCAACGACAGCCTCAACGACTGGTGATTCAACCACTGCTACTTCTCAGTCGAGCAGCGGGACAGGAAACGCGACGAATGACGCTGCGTCTTCAACAGGAGCTGGGAAATTCGTGTACGGTGTCGCAGCCTTAGCTGCGCTAGCCATGGGAGTGTAGTTGGCTGCATCTTACGAGTGACTTCTAAATGAGTTAGAGTTAGTTCGAAATAGGGTGTGACTTGCATGAGCGGTGATGTACAAATAATGAATAGACATCAGTGATTTCTGTTAGATAAAGATAGGGCATATCCCAATCATTGTCAAGCATGAAGTAGTCAGAATAAAAAGTCAGATCACACAATTTTGCTGGCATTTACGTTGTTCCTTACCAGGGCTTTCTGAATAATATTATGGGGTAATATGCTACACAAGTCACTGCACTCACTTCGGTTGAGTGGTGGTTATCTCTCCCAATGGCACCGCTTGTCCTTCTTCGGGCCGCGCAGAGTAAGGTGGCGGCACTGTCTTCACACTCCTTTCATCAGCTTCCCCTGATTGTGCCCAGTCGCTGCTGGGTAATGGTTCAGATCTGGTCGCTGGTGGTCTAGCTCTTGGCCTAGCACAGCAACAATCAACACAACCCCAAATGGCCATCAGGGGCCTACAAATCCTGCACGAGATCAGCTCCCTTAGTCTTCCACGCAATGCCTGTGCGCCACCTACAGAGCAGCAGTGGTCACCACTAGCGTTCGATGGTCTGCCTGTCGCCAAGGCCTAGGATAATCACTGGGTGCATCTCTCAGACGATAGTCGCTGAACAGGATGAAGACGATAGATGGCCCCAAAAGGCAGGCGACAATAATGTCTTCACAGACCAAGCAGCCAGGGTGAACGCGCTTGATCTTTCGTGTGGAGTCTAGGAGGCTGACCACCTCAATTCCGTCAACAATCAAAGCAACGATGGCCTAGATATATGTCTGGTGAGCGCTATGATTCAAGACACATGGCCGCTATTTCGGCTGTGACGTACCGCAGCATAGGACATGCCATAGGTCTTGTGGTCACCGTCCCAGTTGACAGTTTCGTAAATGCAACTCGCCAGCAAGATGACAGACAGCGTGATGGCGATTATGCGAAACGTAAGGATTACGAAGCCAGCGAACTGGGGTGCTCGAGGGCGCGCCATGTTGGTCAGGAAGAGCTGCGAATTGCGTGGGAAAAGCTGGGAGATCGTGGTTACTGACATTCTTGGGGGCGCGAAATGCGTCTTTTTATTTTGCCTTCTTCGCCTTTTCTTGGCGACGAGTGTTTGCTCTTGGCGATAAGTGTCTTGCTCTTGGCGATGAGGGTTGGCTGTGCCGTAGAGTGACATGATTCTTGATGACAGCGAGCAAGTGCCGAAAAATGGGGCACGATACGGACCTATATTTGTCGCTCACATTTGTACTAGTATACGTACACTTACTGGATTTCGTCTTCATGATCGTCTTCGATCTGATTGATTTGCCATGCTCGAGGAGGAAAACAATTCTGTAAACCGTTGTAACATAACTCAGCCGTGTCCCTCTTGGCCTGCCTATGCAGTCTGAACCAATCGCGAATGTCCAAAAAGTTGGGAAACCACCTGACGATTGGACGAGTACCGTGATAGGATGCAATCGGAACATGCCAAGGTTCTGTGGATCAACGCACCTGGCGGTTACTGGAAGACCGTCTTCAGTGCACGGATGATATAGCACTCCAAAACGCGGAATGGTGTTAGTCTGGAGTTTTTTTTTCTTCTTTGCGGACTATGAATACAGAGCAGATCCGTTCGTTGGCATTGGATCCTGGATGTCACAAACGACATGACAAAAATTATGATGTTTTTACTAATTACCGATTCCGAGGTTGTCGATAAACTCAAATTTAAGCTCGACAGTGAACTGATAGATGAGATCGACGAAAACTACATCGAGTCGGCCATGGCCTCAGTAAGGGACTTGGTTCCTAGGACGTTACACCTCTTCATCTATCGATCACAGCGGATCCGTTTACAGCAAATAGCGTTCTAACGTCCTTTAATGAATCATTGTAAAACAATATTCTTGCTAGGGCTTGTCTGTATTATTTAGGTATCCCAAACTTGTGGAATGATGGGCAGTACCGCGGAAACGGCTTGTTAACTTAGAATGGAGCTTTCGGAACTATGCCGTGGATTCTTAGAATAAATATGACAAATGTGACGGTTCCAATTGTACCGTAACATTCAAGCTTACAATCTCATTTCTCTCCTCAGCGAATAAGTGGGAGGTTTGGAGAAGATATTACGATGCTACGCAATCCCAGTCAACGACATTACAATACCCAGTCAATATTACATCGGCCAGTAAGTAAGTTATTTAATGCTTCACTTGTTGGATTCCAAGAAGTAGTCCTGGGGCTAATTGACCATGTCGGTCACGACGCGAGTGGAATTGATGAGCCTGGCCGGACGGCGCTTCTTGCTACCGTACATGGCGGATGAGATGTCGCAGTACAGTACTTATTAGGAAGGAATGCAGACGTCAACGAATCTAGTAGCAAATGATGTACGCCGCTGTACTTAGCTTCTGGCAATGGACATGGTGGAAGTATTGATTGGGGACGGAGCTGACGTGACTGCTCCATGTAATGGATAGTCCGGAACAGGGCCACAAGCGGCAACAGATGCAGCCCATCTGGAAATCTTACGAAGTTTAGCAAAACAGTATCACGACATGTAAAACTCCGCCAAGATAGACAATCTACAATGAAAGTCCTGTTTTCGTAGGATCTCGAAGCCGCAAGAGTAGGAACATTAGGTCGGAAAATATTGCGCAAGAGACCCAAACGCTTCAAGAGCATTATCGAACTACTTGGAAGCTATGAGTTCTTAAAAACTGTGATCATTACTATCAGATACAGTTTATTTACCCGATCTTCATTATCCTGGTGTTGCCGTAAACCGCTTCGAATATCTATAGCATGCAACACCATTCCGTTCTGTAATAATGCCACGCTCACATCCGTTTCCGTCCTATTGCATTTCTCTACCGTTTCAGCGTCAACTCAAGAATTCTGTCTTCAAGTAAGGCTCCAGATAAAATGTGAGCAGGTGGGTCCATACCGGCCTACGAGCCGAGTTGTTCGCAGATTGCGGTTCTGCGGCGTATCTGCAGTGTATCACGATTAGCATGCAAGCTGGGTGTGCTCGTCCCTCCTGCAGAATCGGGTGCATGCTTCTTTCAATATATAAGTACCCCCATATCTGAGCAAGTCTTGTGGTATAGTGCGGCGTTGGTAAAAGTCAAGGAACGTTTCCTACTGTGGGCGAATCCGACTACGGCCATAAGCAACCATTCCATATAACTCAGGCGCGAGGCGCACATGAACGCCGTGTGGTTGGTTCCAGACCAGATGTCATGTATACAGGCGCCGAGAGTTGGTGGAGTGCCAAATGGGCGATTTTCTTTTTGTCGGCATCCGCACCTGTGGAAAAATCAGGCGAGGGCCACTCTTTAGCCTTGCCCGTGTGAGGTTCCCAAGACTGTGGCATGCATAAACTCCGGACATTCGTCCCACAAACGAAAATATCCCGTTGGGGGTTCAGGAACAGCGTGCCGCTTGTCTTGAAGAATACCGCGGCGGCTCCTATGTATACCCGTGCCGCCTTCTTGATATTTCCGACATATGCATAAGTGTATGACTGGAGGTCGCCGAGGGAAGGGCTGTCACATGGACTTTCCAAACAAGCCAAGTCAAGCCTGGGCTTGGGAACGGCGTAGAGGGCGAGACTCAAGGTATAAAACTTCAGGGCTTCACATCGGCTTTCCGAGTTGACTGTCAGAAATGGTGAGACGAGGCCCTTGTGTGGAAGGACTTGACATTTATTTTCATCAAGGAGTGGCACCAGGCGGCATGCTGATTCCTTATGCAGAGCATATATCCATATTACCATGCGAAGCTCGGCAGGAAGATCAGGGAATTGAGGGAAACCAGGGGCATATACCGTGTCTGATTCCGGAGTCGTCAGAGTAGAGACAGTGTCGATGACAGCTTGCTCATGGACGGAAGCGTGGTGTCGGGACATGTTGTGAGATTTCGTTCCTAGAAAATCAGTAGGGAAGAACATATCCAAGAATATTAGTTCGTCTTCATCTTCTAGATGATGTATTCAGTAGGGTGGTGTTGGAACACGCAATGTTTCTAGGTATCTTGGTATTCTGCTTGGGTGGAATGATTGGTAAAAAATGGTACGTGGTTGCGGATTGGTGGGCAAAGTTGAAGATCAGTGCGGGAGATTTATGCTGCAACAAACTTCTCATTCATGCTTAAAATTTACGATTCCGACGTCGACCCTGTCACGATCATGGCCATTGTTGTCTGTGGTGGCAGATATCATCGAGGCGTGACCGGCAAGCAGTATCGGTTTATCAACATGGTGTGTGCATTCGCCGACTCACGGCTGTCATGTCCATCCTGATGACAGGATAAGTGTATTGGCCGCGATCATTGCATGACTGCTGCCAAGATATGTTATCATTTTTGCTCGTGATGGGATACTGCTGCGGTGTTGCATGACCAGCAGCACACGAATAGAATAACCCGTCCCCACTTGGCCGCGTCGAGGTCCCTCCCCCCCCATTCAACCGCTATCCGGGAGTTAGCAGCCAATCAGATACTCCCAATCCGGACCCTGAACCAGGGGGATGCGCACGCTGATTTGGCCGTTGGTTGCAAGCTGTCCTCTATGCTAACCTTAGCAAAAAGTCGAGTTTACTTTCTTGTTGCAAGTCCTGGCCAATTCGAGAGATCTGACCTACCGAAGAGCCGCCTCGTACACGCAGGATATGGTTTAACATAGGGATCCATTCGACCACAACCGGACGTCGCATTGCTTTTTTTTCTTCTCCGCATCACCGCCGACGAGAAGGGCCGCATAGCGAATTCACTTCCATCGCTTTCAATGCGGTAGCTGGCCACGCGGCTTATCTGCTCGGGAGCCCCCAGTGCCATTGGGAAGCTGAGGTTGGCCAACAGCCTCCACCAACATTCTCACCACAAGCGTCGACCGCTCCCCGTTTGCTGCACACACGTCCGTCATGATGAACGGATACGACGAGAAGCGCGCCTTCAACGGCTACGAAGAGAAGCACACCTTCGACGACGACGACTCGGAACCTAGCAGCTTCGTCAAGGCCTTTGACGCCTTCCGTAAGACCCACCCCCCTCTTGCCCCCCGCGAGGCGGCTGTCGCATTCGCATTCTCACGCACTTGCTGACCTGCCTTGCTCTTGCAGCTAAATCGAAGCCCCAATATGTTGAGCATACCTCTGGAGGCGGGAAATGGACAGTTGCTATGATGCTCGTCTCCCTCATCCTCATCTGGTCCGAGATAGGGAACTGGTGGGCCGGCACCGAAAACCACACCTTTGCCGTCGAAAAGGGCGTCGGCCATAACATGCAGATCAACCTGGACATTGTCATGCGCATGAAGTGCAAGGACGTGCACGTCAACGTACAAGACGCCGCCGGCGACCGTATCCTCGCCGCCTCCAAGTTGCAGGAAGACTCCACGAACTGGTCGCAATGGGTCGACGCCAAGGGCGTACACAAGCTGGGCACAGACTCCCACGGAAAGGTCATCACTGGTGCCGGGTTTCACGAGGAGGGATTCGGCGAGGAGCACGTCCACGACATTGTTGCCCTGGGCAAGAAGAAGCCGAAATGGAGCAAGACGCCGAGGATGTGGGGGCGCGCCGGTGGTGACAGTTGCCGCATCTACGGCAGCCTCGACCTGAACAAGGTCCAGGGCGATTTCCACATCACTGCCAGAGGGCATGGCTACTCCGAGTTTGGTGAACATCTGGATCACAGCGGTATGTCCACACATGATTCTGGTCCATCGAGGGCTCACAGGCCGCTAACTTGATTCTAGCCTTCAACTTTTCTCACATCATCAACGAGTTCTCCTTCGGTCCCTTTTACCCATCGCTCATCAACCCGCTCGATCGGACTGTGAACTTGGCGGCCGGCAACTTCCACAAGTTCCAATACTTCATGTCTGTCGTGCCAACTGTCTACACAGTTGGCCACTCGCATTCCGCATCGAAAACAATCTTCACCAACCAATACGCCGTGACGGAGCAAAGTCACGAGGTCAGTGAGCGCATGGTCCCCGGCATCTTCTTCAAGTACGACATTGAGCCCATACTGCTGACTGTCGAGGAGAGCCGCGACGGCTACCTTATCTTTCTGATCAAGGTTGTCAACATCCTGTCTGGTGTTCTTGTTGCTGGACACTGGGGCTTTACGATAAGCGATTGGGTCAGGGAGGTTATCGGTCGTCGGAGAAAACAGCATAGCATGGGTGTGATCGGCAACGAGAAGGGCGGATACCATGACTGAGAAGTTAGAGGGTCCACAAGATAAAGTAGTCATCAGCGGTTTCCTTGATCATTGACGATTTCTGGGTCATTGGGAGTTGAGGTTTGCATGTGCTATATAAAGTGTTACAATATTGTTTTTTTTTAAAATCATTCTTATACATGTCGGCCGTGATATAGAGGAATCTAACTCAACCGTAAGAGACTATTTTTGTCAGGTGGTGTATCAGGAATATTAACCAAATCCACGAAAGCACGCCGGGAGAAGCACAACAGACCGAGTTGATACTGTCGAATCTAGACCGACACACCCCAAACCAAAGCAAAAACCTACGTATATACTATAGTCAAACGACCTGCTTTACAGGTAATCATGCCACGAAATTTCAATACATTCATCATTACCTACGTGATGGAGGGACCGGGCCTACCATGTCGTCTGGCCGTAAGGTGCTTATTGAAAAGGGTCTTTTCACCATTCAGATGAAGTATGTGCTCTGCCTCGAGACTATATAGCATACCCTCGGGGCAAAATAGTCGGTGCGGGAAAACCGGGCCAGCACAAGTGTACGAAGCAGACGGAAACCATGCTGGAGACGGGCGCTTCCAAAAGCACGGCAACTGCTTGCACGGCCAGGGACGGAGTATACAGAACAGTGGGTTTACTTACGGCGCCGGCGCCCGCACAGCGGGCGCCGCGCCAGTCGCCTCCTTCCTCGTTACTAAGCGAGGCGCTCTGCCGACGAGCTACGCGGGACCGTTGGCTGGTGTCGGAACGGAGGTCTAAATGCCAAAGAGTCTTGCTTCCATCACTGTGGCACGTTATCATGTCTTGGAGATTTGCGCCTACGAGCACAAGCGACTAGGGAGGTCAACTCCCTTACACAAGCCTGGAGACGGGCCCTGCCAGCACCACCCTAGCCATGACTTCTCGTGTCCAACCGCGCTGGTGACGACAGGAGTATATTCAGCGTTGAAACGACCGTTCGCCAACAGCAGCCAACGGGCCTGCTTAGCTCATCGGTAGAGCGCCTCACTAGTAATGAGGAGGTAACTGGTTCAACTCCAGTAGTAGGCAATAAACATCCTGCGAGGTGGATGCATCGAAGGACTTCGCTTTTTGCCATTTCCTTCTAAATTTTGCATGTGGAAAATGCTTGCACATTACATTACATGTTATGTAGCTCCTACTACCGTGGTTCAGTTTCTTGTTACCAATGGTGCATTGCCGAAGAAAGCAAAGCATCAGACCGACCGACACGGTGTAAGTCAATTAACAACTTCACAGATTCTTACTAAGAACGATAACGAAGGGATGTTAAGAATAAAATGTTCTTCTAAGAATAACTTTATTATAGGAATGATCCTGTGTGTAGCGAAGAAGACCAGATATGGAGAATATATTCGAAACAGTTTGAGAGAGACTAATAGGAAGAACTATTTTCAAGAATTATAGGGTTTCCGAGAACCATTAGGATAATGGACATTGATAACAAACCTCAAAATAGTCGCTGGTGCAAGCCGTAGTACTAGACATATTGCTGAGGATTCCACACCGCTTTTGATCACTGGAGGCAGGATGGGAGCAGTGAGGCCTGCCTATGGTGATCACACGATATATTCGAATGGAACCTTTCATGGGGTGACTTCTGGCCGTTTGTTCGATAGCCACATTTGACTGCGACCGTCTGGTCCAATGCGAGCTGGGGGAAAAGTTACAAGGACTGTGCAAAATGATGGTGCAGATAAACCAGAACGGTGGCCAATTGAGTTTCGGCAACACATCACCAATCCAATGTTGGCAACGCATTACGAGCATTTTATTTACAAACCAAATCATGAATTCAGTTACCTGAACTACCTTACAACGCAGCCGATAGTACCCGTTACAAATCAATCTGAGGGCGTTTCGTCGAGGGAGCGAATCAGGAAGGCATCGTGTCGGAGACTTGGTGGCCTCAACGGCCGGGATGCAACCCGAATTACAGGAAAAGAAGAAAAGAAAAACTCCCATCACTCCGCAAGCAGAAGAAATAGGAACAAATAATAACACACATCGCAAGATATTTGCTGTTGACCAGCACTCCAATCTCAAAGACGAAGTGTTACCGAAAATGCAGTCATCCAGGATAGAAGTCCCTACTTCTTGGAGACGATTTTCTGTTGGTCGAAAAGATACTCCTCATCAGATGCATCGAGGATGTCGTACTCCTCGTCTGTCATGAAACCACCATCAGACTCGGCCCAGTCATCATCTTCGGCGCAGTCTTCATACTCTTCGTCGTCGGCACGAGTCGAAAGAGCCAAGGTGTCGGTCTCGGTGGCAACCTCAAACTCACTCTCATCCTTGGGAACCAAAACGCTGGCAGAGGGAGATTCGTGATCAAGCTTAGGAATGATCATTCTGGATCTGGCCATTTCAGGAACCTCAGTGTCGAGAAGAGATTGCTCCTCCTCGACCTCCTTAATCGGGGCCTCGACTGTGACATCGCACCACAGCTTGTGGCCAAATTTGACACCGTCACAACTGGTGAGACGCCAGTACGAGATGACCTTGCCCTCACGGTCAGGTGTCCTCATCAGCACAGTGAAAGGGAACTCCTGACCGGGCTGCAGCTGGTTGTAGCAGATAGTGGATTCAGAGGCAGAGATCAGCTCCCGAACCCCGGTAGGACGAGTGGGATCAACGGCACCCATGTAGTCACCGCCGACAAACTTGACAGAGCAGCCAGCAGGCCAGGCGGCCTTGCCTTCGTTACGCAGAACCCAAGTCTGCTCAAAAGTGTGATTAGGGGGCATGGCAGTACCATCTTCAATGGTATCACGCTTGAAGACGGCGATTAAATCCGGCTCAGAAACGGCCTCTTCCGTCTTCTCCACAGTAACGGTTTGTTCAGGCTCGATGACGTCCTTCTCGACGACCTTCTCGACTACCTTCTCAATGATTGGCTCAACAGGAGCCTCAGTTGGCTTCACATCGATGACTGTTTGCACAGGATTCACGGCGATGTTCTCGCTAGGCGAAGGGACAGTCTCGGTAGAGCGATTGCTGGTGTGTCGTGAGGGAACCACGGACATCTGGCGGTCTCCCATGGGCGGGAGACGCTCTCCGTCCTGGTGTTCACCAGTAGTGGTTACGCTGACATGACGCACAGCAGTCCTGAACTTGATCAAGGGGTGCGTCTTGTTGTGGGTATTAGCAGGGCTAGCTTCGCAACCAGCGCAAAAGTCGGTGTCGTGGCACACGGCACACTTATAACGGACGCCAACAATGTACCTCGAGCCAGTGCGGGAAGAGGTGCAAAGGGGACCGTCACAGCAGATGCCGTTGTGGATTGATCGGGACATGACGCGAGCGGGTTCTGCGAGAGGCTCAAAGATGGGAGCGAACCTGTGGTTCGGGTGGATAAATCCGGCGTTCTGGGCGCAATCGGAGCAGTAATCCCAGTCAGGGCAGTCCAGGCACTTGTGGCGAATGCCACGGATGTAGTGGTTGCATCCGTCGCAGATCGCATTGTGGCGGACATTACGGCCGGCGTTCAATCGTGCCATGATAGATGCATCGAACATAGTACCGTTGACTGCAGGAGCAAAACTGTGCTTGGGGTGGTGGCCATGTTGATCCTTGTTGAAGCAGGCCTTGCACAAATCGAAGTCATCACAGACGTTGCAATGCAGAAACTCCTTTTCGGGGAACTCCTGAACACAGCTGTTACAGGTGCGAGCCATGAACAGGGGGGCTGCCCATGGGCTAAGCTCGCCTGCGTTAGATCTCACGACGGGCTCAATAGGGCGGATGGGGAGGTTGAGCCGGGGCTGAAGACAAGCGCTTGCCGGCTCTTGGGCAGGCTTGTCCTGAGAAGTGCGATTTATCTTGGGTGCAACATGGGTGGTACTGTAAGTGATTTGACCATCCGCAATAGTTCGCTTGATCAACCAGTGCTGGTCATTGTAACAAGAGATACCTTGGTTGACGCAGTCCTGGCAAAGATCGAAGTCCCCGTCATCACATGCAGAGCAGTGGAAATGGGCGTCGGGCACTGCTCGGTCACAGCTGTTGCAGCAGACGGTGAAAGGCCGTCGGAGGCGGCTGGCCAAGGCTGGGCATTCCGGGATTACAGGCTGTTCGCTGGTTGTGGTCGGGACCTGTGCTTGTTCTTCGCTTTCTTTGGGCTCGGCGGAGGCCATGCTCGAAAGGTAACGACAGAGAATGTCCGACGGAAGAGCGCTGGCAGTCTGCGAGAACTGGTATTGGCGGGAATCAACTGGGAGCGACTTGTCCAGTGATGCGGACTGCTCGACTAGGGCTTCTGTGACGACGGGCTCCGCCTCAGCGGCCTGAGCAAGGAAGTCAATGACCTCGTTTCCACCAATATCACGTCGCAAGTGAATTCGGGGCATTCCGCGAGTGCGCCATTCCTTGAGGAATTCAGGGAACTCCTCAGCAGACTGAGGTGCACTGATGGTAGATGCAGATGCGGACTCGGCAGGAGTGGAAGTGGGAGCCTCGGGAGCGGGAGACTCCTCCTTGACGATAGGCGCGTCTGGGTTCACATCATTCGTCTCCAGTTCGTCCTCCACGGTAACAGGTTTAGGACGGGCGACGTCTTCAAGTTGAGGTGGTACAACGACTGAAACTCGCAACTTCAGCTTCTGCTTTGCCTTAGCAGCACGGAAGAGCTGCTTATAGATGGATGGGTTCGCGGAATCGAGGACAACATAGGCAGCCGCAGAATCAGAGTATCGCTCAACGACAGTCTTGACTCCATGGGCAATGTGTAGAAAACCTCGAAGCTGTGAATATCAAGTCAGTATCCATCCATGTGCCACGAAAATGGGAGGAGATGACGTCTGAAGCAGTGGCCATCGAATGCCATTTGTTTTGAGATGAGATAATAATACAGGCGTGAGAGGATGTGTTAGGCAAACTGTCACTCACCTTGTCCTCGAGAGTAGCTACTCCAAGTTCACGTAGGGGCAGCTTGAAGCGGCGAGTGGCGCCGTCAAAGTTGATCTTCAGAGCGATCGGAGTGTCGGGAGTGGCAGCCGACGACGACGCCATGATGCGGGTAGGGATACTTTGATAGGTAGTCAGTACGCAGTGGGTCTAGACTGATGATGATGCATGCACGTGTGGTTGATGTCAGAAAGTGTGGGTGATCAGGTGGAAGAGGCCCGCGATGGAAGGAACAAAAGATGAACGTAGGGAAAGAAGAAGAAGTAAAGTCAATGGATGCAATGAGTCGAGGATGTGATCGAGGCTGTCTAAGCATCAAGGTAGCAGTAGCGGTGGCGGTATCCGTAGCGGTAGCGGTAGCAGTCGCTGTAGCAATAGCTGCAGCAGTAGCAGTAGCAGTAGGGGTAGCTGTAGGGGTAGGACCAAACCAACTGACGGCTTGTCAAGTCAGGTGGGTCGTCATTGCTGCTGCAGGCGGTGAAATGGGGATGCAGTACGGAGTAGGAGTAGGAGTAGGTGATGAGAGCTTATCGCAAACCCACTCTCATTCTGGGGGAAGGACTCGGGGCTCGGGGCTCGGGTTCGCTGCGACAAACTCACCAAGATAAGATGTGGACTGAGGATTTGATGGTGTCTTGTCAGATGGTCCACGAGCAGGCGTCGGGGTGTAGGGAAGAAGTCAAGTTCCTACGGGCGCTGCAATGGTGATTGACGAGTGAGAGTTAAAGTTGAGAAAGGGAGGGGGAAAGGAGCAGCCAGCGGTCACAACCTCGATCAAGTTCCAGGACTTGTCACGTTTTGGTTTTGGTTTTGGTCCGAAGCTTCCTCAGGATGGAAGAGCAGGGCGAGACGGACATGTACGTACCTTTATGTACAGAGTATATGCGCCTCCATGCAGGCAGACGTTTGAACCTCGCAATTGAACCCTGGCTGGAGCACGAGCACGAGCTTGCACAAGCTCACGGCCACCCAGCCAGTCAGTGGCGGGTGGGACCAACAGTGAGACGGCGAAGCGGGGCAATTGCGTTACCTTGGATTAGTTCGGCGTTAAGGCTCTATCACCCAGCTGAGGCCTCGGGCTATCAACAGGGCATCCACCACTAACATGCCCGTCAAAGTCCACTAACCTAGCAGCTGCCCTTAGAAAGCGAAAGCTCAGTAATCAACTTCTGGTCTACGTAGGCCTCATTCTGACCTCGACTCATAATAATGGCCACCATGGCAAAGAAGACGATAGAACGTATTTCTGTTCGTTTCCTTCGTCTTCGAAATCAACCACTGATCTTAGCAAGCACATGCATGGTGCCCGACCTGGAATTCCATGTTTATTCAACCATGTACTATGCTTGGCACAATGACAGTGCACCGAGGGGGAGGGAGTAAAGGTTGTTTTAGTTGCCTGAACAAGCGGTTCTGGTTTACACATTCCAATGCTCAGTATGATTTGGTCTCTCGGCTGCTGGACAACACTAGCTAGCTAGGTTAATGAGTTTGTCCCTGACAATCCGGGCGTCTAATTATTAAACAACTCTAGGTCTGCCATGACAGCCCTTGACGTTACGCATTAGCTGGCAACGCGATCCCCAGAGTCGGGGGTTATCTGAAAGTAATTGCCTGTTCAACTCAACTCCTAAGCTAAGCACTGATGCCGCGCATGTACGAGCGAATAGAGCTCGGAGTGGTTCACGGCCACTGTTGGACTCATCTTCACTGTCTGATGTCTGTCAAGCAGGTCCTATGGTTGAGGGTCTTCCACAGCTAGGTTTGCTACCACGTATTAGAAATGGGAAATGACAGCCGAAGCCTCGTGTAACAAACACTGTACTCCATGGTTGCCAAGATTCCTGCAAGCCCCTCATGCCATATGAGATCATCAAGCGTGTTTGCGGGTCGAAAGATCTCAATGATCATAACCTCAAAGCTTCATTGACTACTGAACATCTGAACGGAACCCGGGTATCAGAATAGCTATAACACTACGTGGGAATAAAGACATAGTCTGCAGGGCTGCAAATAGCCGTGTCGTCTCCGGGTTTAGGCTCTGCTGCTATACCAGTGGTCCTTGGAATGTAGTTTGCTATAACTCGGACAGTGAACTTTGGGGGGCGTCTTCCCGCGGCTCCACTCGGAAAATGATGCATTGGGAGCTTGCAATGGTAGATAAGCTTGCGCGTGTTCAGCGTGGATGGCAGAAATGCCCGTTGTACATAGATGGTTATACTTTTTACTGCCAATACATATAAACAAAATTGCGCTTGTGCTTTTTTTCAAGCTTACGCAATGTTCATACAGAGCGAAATGTCTAGAGGTGAAAGATAGTGGACTGAAAGCATCTATAGCGATTACGACCACGAAAGTCATACGACCGTAAACTCGTACCAAACCGTGTATGAGAATGCGGGGGATTGTGGCCGGCGATTTGCCTCCACGCTTCCCCGGATTGCTAAAGGCGATTAAGAACGGTCTAAAACTCGCTAGGTTAGTCTAGTGCCGAGATGCGAGCTGGTGTGGGCATGATAAGAGGAAAGCCATACATCATCTGTACTTGATAATGGAACATCATCCTTCCTAGGCACTCACTTTCTAATGATGGCCGTGTTTTTGATTCCATTGCGGTTTGCGTATAGGTCACCAGTCACAATGCTCTGCTTTGCGTTGGATTGACTTGGAGCTAGAGAAACCACACAAGCATAACAGTTCTTCGAGGACGAATAGTTGGCTGTCAGGATGCTCACGGGCACATATTCGACGGCACCGGTACAAACACAAAGGGCATTGTAGGCGGGGGCCAGATTAAATGCTGTCTTCAGGAAGTCAAGTCAAGTCATGTCGCGAAGTGTCGACGATTCATTGTCGTTGAAACGCGACGTGCTCCGCCTGTCCAAGTATCACAGACCTCTAGCGCATGTGCCGCCATTGGCTTTGTTTTGATTCAACGTTTGCATGCCTGATGCAATGCTTTGCATCGGTGGTAGTAGAATCAATGCGCGTCCGTGGCAGCGATCGGTTCCGCCAGACTGCTCAATGTCGACACAACTGCCCGTTTAAGCCAGTGCCAGCGAGGACCATGAATTTTCGGGGACATGGCCTCCCCCATGAATATAGACAATGGTAAGATCTTTGTTTTTGTTTATTGATTTTGGAAATGTTTCTTTTACTTTTCTCATGGTAGCAACCAAAGCGCACTGAAGGACGCTTTGCTGGACCAATGACAAGTCAGCGCAAGACACCCTTGATAGGAAAGCTTCGACTCGTCAGGGATCTGGCCAACGTGGTGGACAAATGACGGGTACATAATGGGTTCGCCGACCAGGCTGTAGGATGTTACCTACACACAGTACAGTCGGCATGCGGAGTGAGGAGCGATCTGGGACTTGGGGCAAAAGCGGGCACTCTCTTGGCATTCTCATTTTGGTTTTGGCTCCCTGGCTCTGGCTTCTACCCAAAGGCCCGAGGCAGCTCATAACTAGCTGGAGCTTTTCGTTTTACGGGGTCTCACTGGTATGCACACACACTGGAGCACAGTATGGATGCTGCCCATATGTGCTGGGAAGGACTAGCCTGAAGTCGCCCAGTTTTGCCCGGTGGCCAGTGGCGCGGCTGCGATTTACACTTCGCGTCCGTTGCATGCAGCGCAGTATCCGTAATTAATCACAGCGCAGTGCGGGATTGAGTGACAGCTGGAGCTTTTGGCTGCTGGCTCACTTACATACAGCACCTGCACCCTTTTTCTTTCGCATCTCCCATTCAGTCATTTCGATTCTGGACCGGGCCTAAAGTTGTTTGACTCCGCTTCCGCCTGATGATTTTCAACCCTTCTGAACTTGACTCCAGCTTCAGATCATCAGATCCATCTCCCCCCCATCACCTAATACAGCCAGCCTGCCGCATACAACTCCTGTCGGCAAGGGTCCAGCTTGTTATAATCGAGCCCGGAGATATTTCTAAAAAGTTGTCCTGGTTTTTGTTTTTTTACTGCCCAGAGCGAAAGCGAAACCCCCTCCCCTGCTTTGCTACGGTAGTTGGGGCCATAATTCAGTCTGTTCTTCTCTTTTCTAATTTTTCGGTAATTGAGATTGCTTGAGTTGAGACTCCTCCCTCTGCTATCCTTCCCTTCCCTCATATAGCTCAGTCGCCGCGGGCGGTCGAACGCCTCCAGCCGTCTTATCTGCCTATCGAGGCCCTCTGGACACTCAGTCACCCGGCATCCCGCAGAAACAATACTCACTCTGCATGAACTCCCTCTCTTCATCCATTACCACGCACCGCGTGCAGAAGCACCATCATCTGACTGTAACTGCCCGACACCGCGACATCAGATCTCCTCTGCCCGCATTTGGCTTGCTCGGGCTCGACATCACAACATCGGTTGCCTAAAGTCTCACAAGGAAGGAGTCATGGCCGCTCCCCGTCGTAGAAAGATCGTCTCCCGCCGCAGGGCTGATGACGAGGGCGAAGAAGACTACGACATCGATGATGACTCCCTGACCGAAGGCTCGCTGGCATCCGACGATCATGACCTGGCCGACGATAGTGACACTAGCAACGTCGACGAAACGTCACCGACATCCCAAGCCGCGCGAAAGTCACACACTCGGGCTGCCAATGGCCATGCAAAGACCAAGGCAAAGTCAAAGGCATCCAAGACCAATGGCAGCTCTGCCGCTCAGTCAGAACCCAAATCAACCAACCCAGGTCAGAGTACTGTTTCGGACACGGAGTTCATGCTGAATGGGCTATCCATCTCAGACAAGGCCGAGCCAGTTCAGGAGCTGAGCTTCGAAGGTGGGAACGAGGCACAATCACCGTCAAAGGCACCTCCTGTGGTCGTGAGCTCGAGCTCCGCAGCCATGGACCAGCCGCAAGATGCTCCTCACGATCGACGAAGAAGAGAACATGATGAATATAGACGGAAGCGAGATGAGGACCCGGCCTTCGTGCCGAATCGAGGGGCTTTCTTTATGCACGATCACAGACACGCCGGTCCATCTGCCAATGGCTTTCGCCCTTTTGGAAGAGGTGCTCGCGGTCGAGGTCGTGGTATTGGAGGTCCCTTTGCGCCTGCAAGGTATGTCAAGCATTCGAGCTCATCTGCGACTTCTGCTAACGTATCTATAGTGATCGTCAACTCTACACGCCTGCAGACCCGATAGTTAGTAACCCATGGGCTCACGATATGCACGAGGCTGTTGCAGAACCTGTCCGTCCGGTGCGGCAATCCATGCACAATACACAGGCCCCCATGGACAACGGTCCTCCCAACGGTGATGGCTATATTCCCACCTGTGATATGAGCGCCACCCCCATCAACAGGACGCTATCTACCGAAAAGCACATTGGCAACGTCCAAGTGCGAGTTTACATACCGAATCTGAAACAGCCGATTGTATTTTCAGCAATGCCTGTCAGGCAATACACAAAGCTCCCCGACCACCGCCCACCCTTACGCCGTGACAAGCCAGTGCGTATCTCACTTCCCAACTTTCCACCTCGCTACATTTTTCCGGCTACCGATCGTTCGTTCATCTTCATCCCGCGCGCCCTACGTCCAAACAACCAACAGCGCTTGCGTGGCAAGCCCAGGTCGGGATTCGGCTCTGTCGGTGGCTTTTCAAGGAGAACGAGTGTCTATGGTGGGAGCTACTACAATGGCAGCCAATACTCACCTAGTGTTGCGCCCAGTCGGCGTTCGTCCATCGCCCCGGATATGGGAAGAGACTGCATTGTGTCGCCAACTGGCTCGACAATATCACGACCACCCATGCCACCGATGGTGATGGATCCTTCGCGGCCTGTGGTTAGACTGCCCCCAAGAGCAGAGCAGTATATGCCAGTCGGTGATGGTAGCTTCGCACAGTTTGCGCCGGCAGTCGGTCAAACCACTATCAGCGAGCTGCCTCAGCCACAGACGTACCCACTGCCTGAGAAGCCAATTCAGGAGAACCAGCAAGCTCATATTCCCATGTACCAGCCTCGACCACAGAAGACTGTATCGCTCGAGAACATCGAATTGCCGACAATGCAACAGAATTCACAGTCCTACCAACAAGCATTCCACCATCAGGTGCCTGTGCAGGTGTCTAATGGCTTGGGCCATGATTCTCATACGCGCCACCCCTCGTACCCTCGACACACCACAGGCACTCCGTTGTCCCAGATCCCAGAACGGGCGATCCATGCGCAACCGTTCCACCCGACACACTACTCACAGCCCGGGTTCTACCCGCCTTATCAGGCCATGCAACCGCCAAACTATTATTATCCCTCTGCAGCCCCTTATTCAGCAGCAGCACCTACTTTTGTTCCCGGAACTCAACCGCCCCAGGGCCCGGTTGATCCCTCGCAAGCAGGATCTGGCTCTAACCTCGTTGCGCAAGAGGTCAATGGCATGGTTTATTATTACGATGCATCACAGCTACCACAAATGCCCAACTACCCTGCACCCTATCCGACAGCTCAGGGCTACCCCGCAAGCAATGCGGCAATGAACATGAATGGAATGGTCACGCCTAGTCAAGATGGCTTCTACTACTCACAACCAGGTGCTGTGTTCTATCCCTAGTAAAGAGATGTTCGGCCATGTTGGTGTTATGCAAAGGCACGAGTTTTATGCTTGTTCGCTTACTTGCGATGTCCTATCTCCCTATCAACTTGTCCTCGCAGTCTTGGAGACTCACAAATAAAATACGGCAGGACTCAATACCTATCGCTTGCTATCCCAAATCTCCTGGCTCAGCTCTTGCGCAAGGCTTCTGGATTACCGTGAGCCCGTCGTGCCTTGCTGAATGATTCGGGCTAGGCCATTGCACAGGCGTTGAGAGGAGTCTTGCTTATAACTGTTTTTCAGTCATAATTGGGGGAGCGCTGGTGCGACTATCGTCGTATATTTCGTTGCGGAGAAGTTATTGGACAGTTTTAAGTGGTGCAGTGGGTGGACTTATCATCGATTTGCATGCGCGCAGAAGGGGGTGAAGCAGTATTGAAGTATTAGACGAGATCGGAAGTGGCTGGCCAGCTGGGCATAGTTTTGGGCGAAATAGGCAACCTCATATATCAACCTTCCGAGCTCATCACTACTTATCATCGCGTTATCGTGCCGTTCCCCATTATGCTGATTGGCATTGGCCAGCACATAAATCAACTGTGCTTGCCTGCGTGCATGAATGATTTTGCTCTAGACCGTATTTCTGGTGGGTCCTTCTTCATGCCTATACCGCTGGGATGGACATGGTCTGCGTACAGCAGTCCATCAACAGCACACTGCCAACCCAAGAGGTCGTGCTGTATGTTTGTGTTACGTTGACCGGGCAGGCGAGCGTCGTTGCTATGACGCCATGGCAACCCATTTGTACATCTTATCGTGAACCACTTCTCGGGTTCTGGGAACTTTCCGTCAACTCAACCACAGTAGACGTACCGGTCTGAAATACGACGCAAACAGGGCCGTTGCGCATTTTCAATCCCCAAACTTGGCACAGCTTGAAGCACCCAATGACGTTCAGTCACAGGCCCGATTGGGCAAGCAGGGGTTTCGGAAACAAACTCCAGATCAGAGACACGCAACACGATTGCGGCATAGGCTCATGTGCCAAGGCGACGTCACACATATCTATGTCAGGCACTGTTCTCCTTATCGGGACCTGTGATTCTGAAGTCAACGCAGATCTTGATTCCCCCATGGCTAGCTGATAGGCAGTAGCCGCTTGCCGGTGCTTTTTTTGGTCGAAAGTCCAACCAGTTCCAGCTTCATGCATAGCGCTTCCCGCCCCACTGCCAAATGCTAAGGTTGATCAGTGATTCTTCCTCCAACTACCGGCAATCGTTGATATCCACTACAGACCCCCAATCGTCAATAGATCCCCTGTCTTCAGGTCCCGGTATGCGGCAAGTGGGAGACCTCCTCCCTGCTGTCTGCGTGATTATCAACAAACTATTGGCTGGCTGTCGCATTTCTCTAGATCTGTTTGAGGCCAGATGACGAAACTTGAACCAAGCAAGCGCTGGGGACCTCGTACTATTTGTATGCGCATCTGTCGTCATTCCCGCTCTTAGAACCGTGAATCCCACACGGCCCGCTTTGCATGTGGTCAGTCTATGTGATCAAGTAAAACACCATTGTGTTGAATGATAGCTGGCTCAAACTCACTCAGGTTACACATTCGAGCATATTTGTGGCACATGGTAATGGTCTTGTGAGGCTTGTCTGTCTTGCAGTACACAAAACTCTCTCGTTCTTGATCAACATACGAACAAGACTTGGCTTCAAACTTTGTGGTCCCCCACAGATGTATACTAACGCCTTTAGCTCTTGGCAATCAAATTGAAAGTACGCTTTCGTCGCCTACACAGCCCAGTGGCATCCATGATCATCAACCTAGTTTTAAGTTATTTGACTTATCATATGGCTTGACGAGTTGTCAAGTGGCCACCAATGTACCGGTTTCTGGCAGCCTTGTTGCAGGTCCTATCATGCTTGCCACTTCTTCGAAACAGGTTCATCATGGGTCGACTACACGAACAGGTTGTCATACCCTGGTTGTGGGACATGGTGCCTTCCTACACTGCCGTTATGCGCAGCGTGGACCAGGCTGGTACCTTGTACTCCAGCAGCAGTTTATGGTCTTGAAAAGGACGCCTGTCGCCCTTCTTGGCACATCTCTTGTTCTTCAGTCCTCTCGATACCCAAGCCACCACCTATCTGTACACCGCTTCCATACCATTTCTTAGCCTTCTACTCTAGAAGACACTATCTCCCAACCCAATACTTGACCCAAAACTTCCCCACCGAAACCCACCATAATGGAGCCCATCTTTTCCGCTCAGAACAAGATTCGCCAGAATCTTGGACTGAAGAAGGTCAAGGCGATCCGCAACACCAACTACAAAGCTTCAGGCACCAAGTCTTACGTCTACCTTCTCAACCGTTTTGGTTTTCAGCCCACACAACCTGGGCCATATGTTCATCACAAAAAGGTTGTTCAGAGGGGTCTTGCTCCGGAAGGTTTCAAGAAGCCTGTTGGTGGCCGTCTCCGCCATGAACGCGTCCTCGTCAAGAAGATAGGCGATGGCGACCAGATTGGGGATGTGACGGCCGAAGACCAGCAGAACGACTCCATGTAAGTGGACACAGTTCCTTTCTTCACATCACAGAGTAGATGAACGCTTATGCCGTGATAGGTACTTATGCGAAGTTCAAATCGGCACACCAGCTCAGACAGTCAAGCTAGATTTTGATACCGGCTCGGCTGATCTCTGGGTCTTTTCCACTGAGCAGAGCAAGTCAACCCAGAAGGGACACGAAGTTTTCGACCCTACCAAATCCTCGACCTGGAAGGAGCTCTCAGGAAAGGCATGGAAGATCTCTTACGGTGACGGATCCAGCGCATCTGGTGATGTTGGTACCGATACCGTGTCCATTGGTGGCCTGAAAGTTGAAAACCAGGCCGTTGAGCTGGCAAAGACCATGTCGGCGCAGTTCTCTCAAGGTACCGGCGATGGTCTTCTTGGATTAGCTTTTGGCACAATCAACACCGTCACATCTGGTGGCCAGTCCGACCCTCAACCTACTCCTGTTGAGAATATGATCACCCAGCAGGATATCCCAAAGGCAGCCGAACTCTTCACCTCTGCGTTCTATAGTGAACGTGACCAGAAAAACGAGTCGTTTTACACTTTCGGCTACATCGATCAAGACCTCGTTGCTGCGTCTGGCGAGGAAATTCACTGGACAGATATCGATAATTCGCAAGGCTTCTGGCAATTCTCTTCTGCATCATACTCTGTCAACGGCAAGTCAACAACCTTGAGTGGCAACACCGCCATTGCCGACACAGGCACCACGCTCGCTCTGGTCTCGGATGATGTTTGCACTGCTCTCTACAAGCAGATCAAGGGCGCCAAATACGATGATCAACAGCAGGGATGGACCTTCCCGTCCAACCTCAAGGCCGATGATCTTCCAGATTTCAGTGTCGCTGTTGGCGACAAGGAGTTTGTCATTCAGAAGGAGGATCTCGCCTTTGCACCAGTCGATGAGAACACTTGGTATGGTGGCGTCCAGAGCCGAGGTGATCTTGGCTTTGACATCCTTGGTGACAGCTTCTTGAAGAGCATCTATGCCATCTGGGACCAGGGCAACAAGCGCTTTGGTGTTGTACCCAAAATTGAGAAGACCCAGAACTTGACACCTCCTACTACATCGTCGTAGGTACTGGCCGTTCACAAGATGATGCTATGATTGACGATTGCTTATTATGCGTGCTCGTCTGGAATCTATAGCTGTACACACTGAAAGTTAGAAATCTTAATACATGAGGGTATCGAAACTATAACACAAATAATTTCTTTGCCTAGTGCTTCACTCCCTGATATTTATGTATAACATGTTATGAGCATGAGAGGCTTAACAAATAGGGACTAGTGAAAGTAGAATATGACGATATCAAAATATCTCCCCCCACAGCTTCGTGGCCCAGCTCGAAGTAATATTCTGGAAGTTACTACCATTGTTTTACGGGTTGCGTGTGATGTAGATAGGGCTACTCTGTTCCATCTCTCTGCACTTATTTAAATCACCAACGCATCTCAAACAAGCAGCATTAGGGGAGAGAGGTAAGCACACGAGTCTGAATTAAAATAGTATTTCAGGTAAACAACACTTATAATCACTACCAATTGTTTTGCAAAAGAATTACACTAGTCACCTCTACTACAAGTCATGTTACTGTGTATTACGGTCGTCAACCAAGTCCTATTACTAGCGGCTCGTCCTACCATTCAGAAGAGCCTTTCTGCCCTCGCGATCTTCAAGACAACTGATAGTGACTTTCTTGAAGATCGGCAGTGATGCCCCCTAGGTTATTTTCAATTGGCAGCTTCCCGGATATCCCCCGCTGGTCGAGAGCTTCAGCGTCCTGCAGCTGAAGAACGAGGGTATCAATCACCTTCACTACGATCACGACCATCTCGTATACCGCATGATCTAGGGGAGAGGTCTATATCACGATACCCACGCCAAGCGTCCACGCGCTGCTGAGCCCGCCTCGAGCACTCGATTACTACAGTGCGACCGAGAGACACGTTGCCTAGGCCAAGTTGCTTGGCTAACTGCTCCACGTGCTTTGGTTGAGTTGAGGCGACGAGGGTGGGTCTTTCGTATGTCGTGATACATCTGAATATTGTGGTCGCATATGAGTGGCTCGTGGCTAAGCGCTAACAAGTTCGACTTTTGCCGAGTGCCCAGAGGCATAACACCAGATGAAGGCGCCATCATTCTGGACGTGTTGGTCGAGGAGCTTTACGATCGCTCTGTTGGATTCCACCGGAGCAAAAGCGTGGTTGTAAGGCTCGTCAATGGAAATCCGGACGATAACTGGGTAGCTTTCTACTGGTTTCGCCAACCGTTGGACTTGCTTGATGTGGTCCAAACCGGTTGGTAGAAGGATGCCAGGCAAGTGGAGATGAGGTAGGGTGGACAGGCCGTTCGCTCGTCGTGTATACATCAGCCTAGTATCGAGCATGAGAGATGCAAATGCATTCTTCACTCGGTATCTTGCTTGGTCATCATATCTAGTACATAACACTTAGTACACATATCTTCCATCCTAAGATGGAATAATATAGCTTGATATGAAATAATTGTAATTACATACGTAACTTTAACTTGAATGCTTATGTTTCAATTGATAGCACAACAGACTGGCTTTGAGAAATACTTATTCTTATGGGTACCATAGTTGCACCTGTTAGTTTACTTATTAAACATGATCAAATGAGCACTTTGTCTTGGTGATTCGTGAATGAGCGGCAGGGTTGAATGTGTCCCGTATCATAATTTGTGCTCGATACTAAACTGCACTACAATTGACATGGCGAGGAAAGGCACTACTGACATAGTAATGAGTTTATAACACATATTACCATGTATTGGTTCATTAGTTCAACAACTACGATAATCACGTCCGGGTTTGTTCAAATGTCCACAGACTATCTGATAACGCAAGAGACGTTAGTTACCCCACAATACCAAAAAGGGATTGAGGGCCTATCTATTGGCCCTATGACCCCCATACCACAAAACGACAAACCGGCAAAAATACTACGAAAAAGTTACCATAGAGGTAATTTCCCTCGAGCCGGATTTGAACCGGCGACCTGTGGATATTCTGATATGATTCAGGAGTAGCAATTACAGTCCATCGCTCTGCCAACTGAGCTATCAAGGGGTATGCATTTCCGCACAGAGGCTTGTAACTTCTGGCTGGATGAAACACTATGCATGTATTACTACCTATAAAATACAAGTACAAGTCAGATTGCGGGATGCACCTAGTTCCCATCGAATTTTTGAGGGATTTGCTTAATTAAAATTCAGTATTATGTTGGTTCTTGTCGTGTACATGGAAAAATGTTCATGCGGGTTACGTAGTGGTATAGTTGCATTTGGGACCTATTATCAAAGGGGGGTGTGTAGAATTTTAGTGAGGCCATCGTGGTTCGCAGAATATTGCGTGCATGCAGAATTAATGAGTGACCCGCTCGTAATCATCGTGCATTTCGAAAAAAAAAACCCCCCGGTCGGTCACGCATGTACGTAATCAAGCACTACATTGTATTTATGTCATGCCATAACCGCAGCGAAAAAGTGCACATCGTTCTGACTCGATGTGAACCTTCGAATTCCAAGTTACAGCTCTACGAAAACAGTTATATGAGTTGAGACCACAATTATAAACTTGCAATGCTTATTGTATTCCCGCTGACATTCTAAGTACTGGTACAATATCGAAGACAAGGTATATTACGAAGAAACCTCAGGAGTGCTCGGCTTCGACCAAGCCTTAGGTCCGAACCAGGTACCCTTGATGAAGCTGTTCCAATACACAAAGGGGAAGAAGTCCTTCTTCAAGTGGTAGAATGCCCGTCTCGGCTTCTCCTGGCCGCCGAACACAGCCGAGAACGTCTCCTTGGGCACACCGCCATACTTGAACTCACACAGCATGAGCTCGTTGTGGCCGGTCAGGAGCGGGCAGCTGGCATAGCCGTCGTACGCAGCCTTGCCCTGACGGCCGTTGATGGCCGCAATCAGGTTGTTGACCAACACAGGTGCCTGAGACGAAATGGCGGCAGCCGTCTTACTGTTAGGCAGGCTGGACGCGTCGCCGATGGAGAAGACGTTGGAGAACTTGTTGTGCTGCGTCGTGGCCTTGTCAACATCGACCCAGCCTGCGGCGTCGGCAAGCGGCGACTTCGCGACCCAGTCCCATGGCTTCTGCGGCGGCACGGCGTGCAGAAACTTGTACTCGCGCTGGACTTCCTTGCCCTCTGCCGCGAGGTTCTTGAAGGTGGCAACCTTGTTCTTGGCGTCGACGCTGACGAGATTGTGCTGGAACAACCCCTCGACGCCGCGCTCCCTGCGCAGATCCTCCAGCGCCTGGGAGTACTTGGGCACAGCGAACATGGAGGCGCCGCCGGTGGCGAATGTGGGAGAGATCTTCTCGCGGACACCATCGTTCTTCCATTGGCTCAGAGCCATCCATAAGATTTTCTGCGGTGCGCCGGCGCACTTGATGATGCCTGCGGGTTGAGTGAAAATGGCCTCGCCCTCCTTGAAGCCCTTGATGTTCTGCCATACCTGCTCGACCGTCTTATCGGAATAGATGGACGAGACGAGGCTGGTAGGATCTTGCAGCGCATCTTGTAGACCAGAGATGCCCGCGAAGTTGGTCTCTAGGCCAGGAGCCACTACCAGGTAATCGTACGTGATATCTACACCATCTGTGGTTTTGACAGTGTTATTCTCAGGGTCAAATCCCGACACACGAAGAGGATAGTGTTGCGTTCCTGCCGGAATGACAGCATCCATAGGCTTAGACATCCCCGACAGAGGCTTCAGACCGGAGCCAACAAGTGTCCATCCAGCCTGATCTCGATTAGTATAGCTCATTCAGATTGATCTGAGTAGAAACATACCTGATAGTGGTGAGCTGCAGCAGGATCCAAGATGGCAATGTCAGTCTTCTCAGATCCCCTTGCACGCTTCAGCTGTGCAGCGACTGTGACACCTGCGGTACCACCACCCACGACGAGGACCTGGTGGTGCGCTCTTGCTGGTATCGAGGTGGCATAGCCCCTAATGGAAGAGGCAGCAGCCAAGTGGCTGGCCTTGCTGAGTGCTGAACCACGCATTGCGATCGCTCCAAATTCGAATAAATAAATAATAACCGGGTATCGGGCGGAATGAGCCGGTATCTACCAAGTCACCTCCTTAAATGCAACTTCAGGGAATGCGAGATGAAAGACATGGATCTTTGTTCTACCGGTGGCATGGTACGTTATTTGAGAGGATTTCCAATTTTGGTGGGGCTGTTTCGGCGCTAAGAATGACGTGATTACTATATCGTGCTAAGTTCGTACTTTGACCGCAACAACTCCATAGTATTTACATCATGTCACTGGTCATTTATGTATCAATATGGTGTACAAATGTCAAGTCCGGGTTGCTGGCGTCTTAAGTATCAGCTATGGTCTACAGTGCATTTTGGTCATGCTCCTCTTAACATCTGGCTTTGTACTGACTGATGCGAGATTTTTATAAGCAATGAATGGTCGCCCAACACATATGGCAACAAATATAGCAGTCTAGGTACGCTTGGTCCTACAACGTGCTTGCTTGAAACTTGGTGATACCACAGCTACTTCTTCCATCAATTAACCCCCTAGTCCTTAACTCCCGCAACAAGTTCAGCCTGCTTATGATCATGCAGATCTCCTCCAGACTAATCGCAAACCCATGCCTTGCACCATCGTAAATCATGATTTCATAGTTCTGATCATCTTCCTTGCTCTCTAAGATACTTTTCAAAGCCCAACATTTCGTCTCTGTAGGATAAAAGCAAAAACAAAGCATAGCAATGCCAAAAGATTTTACAACACCAGGAATTCGCTGGCCGTCACCGATTCAACTGCTAATCCAGCGCTTTAGAGATAACCTACGTGGTGAGAGAGGACTACTTTCCTTATAGCTTGTAACACCGTAACGTGTAACTTGCTTATTACGCTAGAGTATACATCCCGCTCTTTGTTCTAGACGCTTTACGACTAAGAATAATTATAAATACATATTATAACATGTTAGTTTCTTTAATTTAACAGTTAATCATTAAGTTATTGTATCAACTAAATTAAAATTTAAAGCGTAACACTAGTAATGTTACTTTTGATATCCAAGGGTAGGGGGTTCACACCACTATCCGGGCAAGTCAGTGTGGTCGCCCTACCATTTACAGTATAGCAGTTAGCAAGCACGAGTGTAAAAATGTCTACAACTATATGAGCCTTGTTGTTACGAACGAGGTCATTACATGGGCCGCAGGCGAACCCCAGGAAGCACCTATTAGAGAAAGGCTTGGCAACCAGCATTGTGATTGGACAGGAACACAATGAGGTCACGGGACCGATCAGAAGTGATCAGTGGTGATCAGTGCAGCGACACTGAGCAAAGGACTATGTGGCTCAGCAGTGATCAGTATACCTCTACTGATCACCAGTGAGCAAAACAAGATGAGTGAAGGAATGAATGGATATAATAAGGATTGGGTTTCCTACTCGACATAGACAGTCATTACTTCAGTGATCAATCTAAGCATCTATCTTACCCATAGGTGAAGCTCAAGCTTTGACGACTACACTTGTGAATCTCTATTACTCAGTATACTCTGAAGGTCTATCTCTATAGTCTTCTCTTTACGGCTAGTATATCTTGTTAGCATAAACCCCTACCCTTATATTATTTGTGGTTTTGCAACCCGATAGTATAATCGTCACAAGGAGTAGCTAATAGGGTATTACTTATGACTTTATATACGGTACATTATATAGTCTCCCCCTTAAATTCTTGGACCTCGCACTGCTTTAGTAACTAGCGGTAAAGAAAGGTGCTCGCCTCCGTAAACGGAAGTTCGTAAACAAAGACTTACGGCCGTTAAAAAGTAGGCACTAATTACCTAGTTAATTATAAGCTACTTAGAAAGCCGTATACGAGGGGGAGAGGATTTACATTAGTAAAATAAGATTCGAAGCTCTTTTTAGCCTAGTCTTAAATCATTTACAAGAATACAAGGTAAAAGAGTTCTTAAAATCGACCGAGAATGCCGAGGAGCAAGTTAAGCCGTTATTACATTAGTATAGATTCGTTACATTAGACATAGTTTTACAACCTCCGTAACATGTGTCCCCGGCTAAGTTGTTATTATCATCTTGGTTAATCTCCCAAATGCTACGCCGACTAACTACGAAATTAGCGTCGGCGGACAGCCCGTCGGACAGGCTGAGTTCTGAAATATATAAGGAGCTCGAGCTAGTAAACAGGACAGGGCTAGGACTAGCTAGTGACTCGGTCAACTTGTTACAAGACTGGCTTAAAACTCACCCGAAGCCATTCGACGATAAGATTCTTAACGTAAGCGACCTGCCCCTAGACGCTATAACAGGTCTCGACGAGCGTTACTTGATTTCCTGGACATTGACGGCAAAGTTTCGTCTTAGAAACAAGACATTACGCTCAAAGACCATATTCGAATACTCGGTAACTGGAAACCTATTACCGAAGCAACAACATTAGATTCACGAAATAGAGATACTCGATATACGATCCTTCATTATAAGCCGGGTTATTTACACGATGCTACAAAAGTAATTCAATCATTTAAGTATTATAATTTCATCGTCATTTCTAAAGCTCGATACTTTAGTAACGAAGAAAGACTTTACGCCGAGCAGGATTATCCGCTATATAATGTAATGATGGTAGTTCGGGGCATGGGCGCCGTCCACTAAAATCCGTCTCGATAAATGTTGCGGCTCTCGGCTCAAAACAAGCCAACTCGAAACGAAATGCCGGAATGAAGGGACGAAAGCGGGAACTAAAAAGGCTGCCGTCATGATTATGCTAGCAGCAATTCAGAGTGATTCCCTAACTTTAGTCATTTGAAGAATTTCTCATCAATTTCTCATCAGTTCCACTGCGCACCTCAATGCGCGGTCCCTTTGTAATTTTAGGTGTTCCATGCACCTGAGCCCGCCCCATCTGCCATGGCATGGAGCACCCGGCTTGGCGTGCAGAAATTAAAGTGAAAGCATGGAGCTTAAAAGAAGGACCGCAGGGTTGCTTACTAGATCGCCTTTGGCAGCGCAGGCGAAGTGCCGAAAATGATGTAATGAGAGAGTCAGGGAAAGATGCATTAACTTTTTCGAAAGAGTCTTACACATAAAAACAGCCTACGAGAGGAAAAGCATAACTCCGGTGGCCAGGCCCCGTTGGAGCGGCACCACAAAAAGATTGCTGGAGGGGTAGGATAGACCTGCCCTCGGTATAGCGAGAAGTAAGTCGTTCACTCAGTGATGGAGTTTGAAATGAAAACCGGGCAACCCGGTGTTCCACTACCATCACAATTGGTGAAACGTTTTTCAGGCTTATGTAAACGGATCATTTTGAATTTGACAATATGTTAGTAGGGATGCATGACTCGTCTGCGGCCACTTGATGTGTATATACTGGGCACCGCGCACATGACAGTAGCTTTTTACAGTAGGCACTTGCAGGTACTCAGACATCGACCATGAGACGCTCATTACTAAGGAACTTCACGGCGCTAGGATTCGTCCTAGGCACGGCGGCTTCTAGCCAGCCAGAGCAACTCTACGACTATATTGTCGTGGGCGGTGGCCCTTCCGGTATCATTACTGCCGAAAGACTCGCCGAGGCCCAGAAGAATGTCCTATTGCTCGAACGAGGATATGGGCCGACAGTTGCAACTGGTTCAAATCATACCCTTAGTTGGAACGACACACTAACTGAGATCGATATTCCTGGTCTGTCGGCTGATGTGGGTGCTCTTGAAGTGTGGAATGAGTATATCTGCCAGGACACCCCAAGCTATGCAGCCTGTGTGCTTGGTGGTGGCGTCACCATCAACTATATGGTCTTTGTGCACCCCCCGCAGCGAGATTTTGAAAAGTGGCCCCAGGGATGGCAGTGGAACGATGTTGCGTCTGCCGCCGCAAGACTGTATGAAAGAAATCCAGGAACGACTTTGCCGTCAGCTGATGGTAAGAGATACGACCAAGGATTATATCAGGTTCTATCTACATTCTTCAACAATCTTGGCTGGAAGTCTGTGGATATGATTGAGCAACCGGATGAGAAGTTCGAGGTATACAGCTACCCCTCATGGAACATCAAGGACGAGAAGCGCGCTGGGCCTGTTCGCACATATCTGCCTCTGGCGCAACAGCTTGAGAACTTCACTCTACAGCTTGGCGCCAAGGTAATCCGGCTGGTACGATCAGGGTCCGAGGTCACTGGCGTTGAGGTCGAGACTGCGAATGGGGACCGCGAGACCATCGGACTTGCCCCCAATGGCAGAGTCATCCTGTCCGCCGGTGCCTTGTCTACACCTCGCATCTTGTTCAACTCCGGCATTGGACCTCGCTCCCAGATTCTGACTGCTCAAGAAACAAACGTCACACTGCCAGCTGAAGACGAGTGGCTCGACTTACCAGTAGGCTTGAATCTGAAGGATCACCCCATCTTCTCTATTGTGGTCAAGACCAACGGGACATGGGGACTCCCCGACTTTGAAGCCATACTCAATGGCACCGATTCTTCGATTGGCCCGTACGAGAGCCAAAGCTCCGGACTTCTTACCGAGGGAAAACACCGCGCCATCTTCTTCACTTCCAATGTTGCCAGTGATGGTGTCACCCGGTACTACCAGGGATCTTGCGCTCCTACCGGCGAGGGTGTTTTCACCATCAGTGCATACATGACCCACGGACTTACCTCAACGGGTGTTTTGGGCCTGGACACTGACGGCAATACCCGCTTCGAGCAGTCGCCTTACCTTCAAACCTCTGGTGATAAGGAAGCTGCTGAGACCTTCATCCAACAGATGGTTGATGCCATCACGGCGCCCTCCACGGGTCTTAAGCTGCAGACCTACACAAACACGAGTGCGATTCTTCGTTCTCTGACTAGCGGTATCCACTATACCGGTACGGCCAAGATGGGCATGGATGATGGCCGGAAGAACGGCACGTCCGTGGTTGACACCAACACCAAGGTGTATGGAGTGGATAATCTGGTAAGTACAGCCCGCTCTTACGTGGCCTTAAGTCGTATTGGTTTTGAGGCAGCGCTGACAATCCCGCAGTTCATTACTGATGCTAGTATTCATCCTGATCTGCCGACTGGCAATATCCAAGCTCTGGTCATGATCGCGGCAGAGGCTGCTGTAGAAAAGATCTTGGCTTGTGAGTAAATGGTTCGGTCTTAAATAATCATCATGAGCCCCTGGGCAGGACCGATTCAGTAGCTTTATCTGATTTGTTGTATTCTTATCTTCCCACTGGATTGTCGTTTCATAGCTCAATATTCCCTCTTTAAATCCTATTAGAAATTCATCGAAAGCGCCAATGTCTGACAGAATGGCGCCACAATTGAATAGCCGGATAATATGATATCGCTTCGCCGGTTTTTGGGATGAATATTTCGATACCCAGTCAGTTCCTTGTGCCCAAACATCGAATGTCGTAAGTTGAGACAATCGTTCTGATGAGTAGTGCCCATCCCAGATTAGGCAGGCTTCGCGCAAAGGCAAGTTTAACTCTGGCCACTTTAGCTGTGTGCCTTGCCATTGTATAAGGTCCGGTGGATTGGGTGCAAGTATGAGAATGGTCGAGAAATCCTGGTGAACACGAATAATTGTTGGTGTTGTGGCATTCTGAAGGAGGCAGACGATGTCCCCTTTCTTGAGCGGCGTTGCTGAGGTATGTAGTGTCCAAGACGTAAATTGCATTGCTAGGACTGTTGAGAGCCCTGACATATCTTTCCAATAGACTGCAGTTTTTAGGACCAAAATATACGCTCTGGGAACTATTTAGTCGAGGATGATCTGACCACTGACAGGCAGCGCGTTTCAATCTCTTTGCCGCCCTGAGTTTCTACAGGTATTCTTCCGGGCAGTGTGAATTGAATGAGTCGTTTAAACAACTCGTCAAAAGGTACTGCATAGTCAGGTAATAGCTTCGATTTGCTCATATTGTTAGAGCACATGCCGAGTAATGCGTATACCTTATCGTGGCGTTGAGTTGCCTCATGGTTGTGGAACATGTCTATTAATTCGTGAAATGGGCGGCTGCCTCTTGGTGTTCCATCTCGAAATATAGCTCTCCTTAGCAGGTATGTAATTGATCGGATGCAGAGTTCAGTCTGTATTTTATCTATCCTGTACCTATTGCCTATCTTGTGACCTTTCACTCTGCTGCTAACCCCGATCTGACACCAGCAGACACCCACCAGGCGTCATTTACCTGTTGTCAATGCCTTTATATTTAACCCATTATCAATCTGCTTATATTCAAACAACCACTACGATTTCGTAGTTTGTGACTGTTTGTTACTCGCCTCGGATACTTCCAGCATGATTAAAGGTGAAGAACAAAGGCGTATAGGTGTCACGGTCATTGACCCTTCGGTGCGTGCACTAGTGATCAGTGCTGGCTGCCACAGTAGTGTCCCCACATACGTAGCATTAGATAGAAGGCTCCTGGCGCGGGTGAAGGAAGGCCTTTCCTCCCCAGCGCAACGACTGCTTAATATATAAGCCCTTATAGTAGGACTAGCCATAGTGCTCATGTTGTATGAGGTCCGAATCATTAAACTAAACAACATACAAGGTGGTGACTTGTTATGAAGGGAAGCTTCGAGGCGAGACGCTCTAAACTAACGACCGATAAAGTGCTACCAAATGTTCTTGAGTATTCGATCTAAATATACTACCATTGGGAGGATGGAATATAATTTTGTCAGATAAGTAGTGTACCAGGCTCTCAGTTATACACTGCTGTATTCCGAACCCCGGCCCACATGCCCCCGCCGCGGCAAACACACCATAAGCAAATGACCCCGTACGAATTAAACAACATCTTGGTCCATTGAACCTATTATGATTACGGGTGTATATTTAAGTACCCCTGTCAGGTAACGAAATCTAGGTCGATACTTATATACTATACTCATCATAGTATAGCGTGATATCAAGGAAATCTTTATCCTTTATGCAAGCTTTGATACGAAATCAACGATACTGATGGCGGGCATACAAAATGGTAGCTTTGCATAATATTACGCTATACTTAATATGGTTTCGATGATGTGAAGGTACTTCTTGGCGTGTAAAACTTACCCCTACCACCATAGTATGCAGAGGGCATACTACTCATATCATGTTTTCTTCTCGCTGAATCCACGGTAATGTTCTGCACAGCTTCAAGATTTTCGGATGTTGGAATTCATTTAGAATGTATCTAACAGTATATGGATATTAGACGCCCTAGAGATCCCAGTGACGCAGAAAGACTAAATATATAACAGTTCCACCAGAGATTAACGAAAAAGTTCAAGCGAGGCTATAACATCAGTAATAAGTAGGTATACGACCCACAGCATGATTTAGTCAAGGTAATCTGTTTCGCCTCTTCCAGATGTAGAAGCAACCAGCCAAAAGTAGATAAACGCCTCAACGAGAGTGCAAAAAACATACAACACCAGGGATTCCCCAGTGGTCACCCACCTGAGTACTAATCCGGCGCTTCCCAGTTTATCTAGGGCAGAGCGGACGGGATGCCGAGTTTTCTAGGAGCTATGGTCGTATGTGAAAGGTTATCTCGTCAAAATGGTTATATTGTTATGAATGTAATGTGCCAGTTGACCAGAAGGCCTGTTCTCCTTAACCAGGAATTGATCATCCTTGCCATTTCGACACAAACCGGGAGCCTGATTCCCTCGATATTCTTGAGGACGGTCAAGAACGACGAGTGAGCTGTAACCTCGCTGGCCACAAGCGGCAGTCACTCATCAGAGCCCGGCGATGCGACACGGGTTTCAGGCACGTCTCGACAAAGGTAAACGGTGTAGTAGCCGCCCCCGCAGAAGCCTGCGACGTACGCGACGCACGCGACCTGAGATCTTGGAAGAACTTGGTGGTGAGAGGCTTGAAATGGCTCCTCCATTCCAGAAGAACCAGATGATCGAGCCGGCGACGAGCTTCACTGCAAAATGAAGGTTTGTGACATGAGTGGTATACCAGCAGTCAGACGGCGCCATGACCCAGTCACCAGTCTCCAGGAGGGATACATCAGGTGTATGGCCGATGCATGATGGATAGGGTGAAAAGTGAATGTATTCCTGAGGCGCACGAGATCAAACGCACCGTTCATGAAAGTCTGTGAGGTATGCAAGGACCTCAGCACGCTTGGACAGTTGTCTGCCAAAGCTCTGGTGTCTGGCGTGGCGACATAGGTTGGGATGTTGTGGATCATCTCGACCATACCAGTAGGCACGGCGTCCCTGCGTGGGGGGTGCCTGTGAAACAATCTCGACGACAGAGCCCTCCCGACATGGCCGGGCATCGTTGATATCGCGATGATCACTTGCGGCTCGGTTCACTAGAGATGACTTACTGTGCCATCCAATCCAAACGCAATGTATCAAGTCTACCTGATCTCGACGCTGAATCGCGCAACTATGTATGGTCGGTTGACCAATCATCGCCAAAGTACGCTGCTGCGCATCTCGGGTGGTCGCTACAGATACCGCCGGCGGCGAAGCAAATCTGACAAATGCGGCAGGGCTATTAGCGGCCTTTATTGGGTGTGTTTGATTACGAATGGCGTGCTTTCCACATTTCGTAGTGGATTTCCCTGCTTATTGGTCCACTCAGCTTCTGGCGCACAAGTCGGTCAAAAGTATATACCTTTTTCTTTGAACGTATGGAACGACAAATATAATCCGCGCTTGACCTGGTTTCGACATCTAAACGTCTTATAGCTCCAGCCGCTCAGTGTCGATCAACATAGTGCTCCACTAGAATAAGTTGTTTTGCATCATGGTCTGTCTTGGTTTCCGGCAGTATTGCCAGCCGGCTGAAAAAATTGTTATTATCTAACCCCATCCTAGGTCCACGCAGACGCGTCCAACTTCGTCGAAGGCGTTACCAAGGAGCAAGCGTACGAGCAGGTCCTCACTCAAGTCGAGGGCTTGTTCTACGATCAGAGGAATTGGGTAGGTGTCTAACCTGAAATACTCACATGATTACGTTCTAACGTGCCGTTCTTTTCAAGGTCTGGTACGTTCGCGTGTCTCACACGGCCCGTTAATATGGAATGATACTGAATCGTCAAGCAACCTCTCAAACGCGGCGTCATTACTGTGGCATGCCTACAAGTCGTTACCGGCACCTAGTAGCCAGGTTAACTGGGCAGGTGTGTCTGTCCCCTGATCTCATCATCGGAGACACATGAAACTCATTTCTTCACCAGGCTTCTACACACTAGACCCCAAGCTATCCTTGAAGCCACAACTCATCCTGGGCCCGTTCCAAGGCAAGGTTGCTTGTCAGCAGATTGCATTTGGCCGGGGAGTATGTGGAACGGCAGCAGCAGATAGAACAACGCAGCTGGTACCGGATGTAGAGGCATTTCCTGGGCATATCGCCTGTGATGGAGACAGCAAGAGCGAGATCGTCGTTCCTATCGTCGTGGGTTCCAAGCTGGTGGCAATCATCGATATTGACTGCGCGGAGCTGAACGGATTCGACGAAATCGACAAAAAGTACCTGGAACAACTAGCAGAAATGATTGGTAAAAGTTGCGATTGGTCAGCTTGAGGGGAAATCGGAGTTCTTGGGCGGATTCATAGGTGGCTGTGTATATTCAACTATACCCGTGGCGTTCGGTAGATCATAGAGTTCTCAACACTGAGTATGTTTTTTTTCAGTTCTTGAATGGTCTGAGTAGGATGTCAAGTTAAGCATGGCACTTGTGTGCCTGTAGAATGACCATGGCTGACTTTCTGATACTGACGATTATTGGGTCTAACCACTTCTCCTGCTTCAGGGCACATTTCCTACCACAGCTTTCACAGAAATGTATTTCATTACAAATCTAGATTACTCTTTCGGCACATCCAACTCATCCAACTGCACCTTTCCAGCGCTGATGTCTGGATATACATCAAACCTTCTCTGTGTGGAGAGTGGGATGTTTCTTCTCGTCTCTTCAATCTTTTTCGGATCAATTTCCCAGCTTACGATGCTCTCCTTCTCATCCGTCTCGACCACGATCTTGGCCATGGGATCCGCAATCAGACTGTGGCCCCACGCGTGATAGGTTGCGGTCGTGTCGCGAGCAGGACTGCACAGAGCGACGTAAATCTGATTGTCCATGGCCCGGGCTTGTGCCTGCAGGCTCCAGTGTAGCGGCCCTGTTGTTGTGTTGAACGCGCCGGGGTATACAAGGGCAAAACAGCCCTTTCGCGCGGCAATGGTTGCGAGCTCCGGGAAGCGAATATCGTAGCAGATCGCAATCGCAATCTTGCCATAGTCTGGAAGGTCGACAATGGTTACCTTGTTACCAGGAGACAGGACATCGCTCTCGCGGAACGTGATCCCACCGGGGATGTCGATGTCGAACAAGTGCACCTTACGGTGGCTAGCAAGCAGCTTGCCGTCCGGGGCGAACGTCAACGAGGTGTTGTAATATTTCTTGGACTCGGGATCAGGATCGGCCTCTGGGATCGAGCCACCCACGAGGTACGTCTTGCTCTCGGCGGCCAGGGCAGACAGCGCGTGGTACGAGGGCGACTGGTCCTTGGACGGTGGGCTCGGGAGGAGCGTTTCGGCATACGATGGAAAGTAGTCGCAGCCGTAGGGAGAGTTGAAGCATTCAGGCAGCACGATGATCTTGGCGCCGCCCTGGGCGGCCTCGAGGACCTTTTCACGAGCATGCTCGAGGTTTGCAGCTTTGTCAGGACCGCTGGCGAGTTGGACGCAGGCCAGCTTCACGGGCTGTCGCAGCACGGCGGAAGGGGATGTCGCCATTGTACGGGCTATGGGCCTGAGTGTTGGACTTGGTGATGTAGATGATAAAGATCGGGCGAAGAGACTCAAACTCCTAAGAAGTGGCCTCATGGTGGCTGCCGCATACTGCCGGGCATTAGTTGCGACATCAGATGCGAGCACAGCGAGATCGGGTTTGGGGCTGTAGGAGGGGCGGATAGATAGATAGTAGTTAGTTGGCGGGGTAGTTGCAATGATGCAATTAGCCGTGGTGCTTTTCAATCATCATTTTCCAGAACAGCTAGAGACGATTATTCGATCAGGTCAGCACGCGCCATTTCAACTCAACTCAACCCAACTTGTACCAAAGCTCAGCCTCAACGTAATTGTTGCTTCATCAGCGTTTAGTGAATACATGTCACCGCTGCGCAAGGTCGCAGACCGCTCGCATACAACTCGAACATGAAGAAATGCAAGCTGCTCTGGTCTTTTGACATCAATTCAACAACAAACGTAAATGCTCTATATTCTTACTCGACTTTTTGTATACCACATACTTCACCTAAGACTGTGGCTTCGAGGAGCGTTCCCAAGTATTTATCCTTTTTTCCCCACCCAGACGTTGTCCCAATGTTGATCGTCAATTCATCTCATCCTTTTATTCTGAAACCCCAGATCCTTACTCTTCCTTGAGAGCCTGAGCGGCAAAGTTGGGCAGGATGAAAGCAGCCTCGTGAATTCTAGAGTTGTAGTACTTGCACTTCTCGAGCTCCTCCTCAGGTGTCCACTTGCGGAGGGGCTTGGTAACATCACGGCTAGCGTCCTTGCAGCAAACCATGAAGCCGATCTGGCCCGAAGGGTAGGTGGGAATAGTGGTGTAACCGTACTCAGCAACGGGGAAGACAGAGCGGCAGTCCTTCTTGACCTGCTTGATCAATGGCAAGTGAAGCCACTGGCTCTCTCCCTGGGTGGTGATGACGCCGCCATCACGGAGGGCGTCGTGCAGAAGCTGGAAGTAAGGCTTCTGGAACAAGCTCTCGGCGGGACCCTCGGGATCGGAGGAGTCGGTAATGATGACATCAAAGCAGTTCTTGTAGTCGTCCAAGAACTTGAATCCATCACCAATGTGCACCTTCACCTTGGGGTGCTTGTAGCTCTCAGACATGCCAGGGAGGTATTCCTTGGAGAGACGGATGACAGCCTTTGCTTGAAATTAGCAACATACTCATAGCATAGAAAGGCGGCTTCCATATACCTCGTCAATGTCGCAGAGGATAGCCTCCTCAACGGAGTCATGCTTGATAACCTCACGGAGGACACCACCATCACCGCCACCAATGACCAGAACCTTCTTGGGGTCGGGGTGGGAGAACATAGCCAAGTTGGTGATCATCTCCTGGTAGGAGAACTCATCGTACTCAGTGCACTGGATAACATTGTCGAGCACCAGCACGTTGCCGTGCTTCTCGGACTCGAAGATCAAGACATCCTGGTACTTGCTCTTCTCGTGGTGCAAGACCTTCTTGACCTTCAAAGTCATGGCCTGGCCTGTATGCCTAATCAGTCATCAGTCATCATATTGAGACTGTTCCCCCGACTTACCTGCCCACATTTCAGAGATCTCCCTGAACCAGCCATCTGTCATGTACCTGTTAGCTTAACGTTCCTGTCTTTAGTACCATCAGATGACGCCGTCCAAAACCAACACCATAAGTAGCCAGAACGGCTCTCGAGTGCTTGTGACGAGGCGGGCCATGAGCACCATGCATATGATGTTAATTGTGCTCGCAATGGAGGGGTATCGCGGGGCAAACATGTGACAGGGTCGATAAAATGCAGACATGTTGTCATTAGGGACATGACAACAACTTACCCTTGATAGTTGGGTGTGTAATTTCGGACATTTTGATAGATTCTTGAGCGACAGAGGAATATGTGAATCTGGTTCTAGGAATACTTTCAACGGAAGAGGTGATGTTGATGAGGGGACGGCAAATGTTACTTGATGTTCGACTACTGTGGATACTTTTCTGCTGCCCGATTAACCAAATTTTTGAAAAAAATTTGCTGGTGAGCAAATTGGCGCACACAGCGGGTGCCCGATGCAGTAGCTTCAGAGAGCGCTGCATGAATGAGGCTCTTTCTCAAAGTACAGTGGCCACTAATAAGATACTCTTAGTACAAACCCCATATTCTTCTCTTTTCATCGTACAGATTTGGAATAGAATCTTTTGGCTTCCGTGACCCGCACGGCACGGCGCACGGCGTGTAGCAACCTCCGACATTTCGGTCGGAAATGTGTTGGCCTCATTGCTCACATACAACTTCGTGCAACAGTAGTTAATTAGAACTTAAAACCGACTAGCTTTTGTTGAAGAATGGTTATCATCTAAGGACATGCGGTTATGTAATTAAGGCTCAGGGACCAGATTGATTTAAAGCCCTAATCAAAGATTCGCCTCAACTATAAGAGCAATTTTGAGCTTTTATATACCGATTCTTAGCTGATATGTGAGTGGTATGTACGAATATGATGGGAATCGTACGAATCTTGGTTGATACACAGAACATTTATAGCTTGTGATGTAATATTCGCAATCGCGCGGGATGCGCTACAAAGTATCGTTTAAAAGCGTAAGACTGCGATTATGAAACACCCATGATGCTTTGCTCCTACTCTTTTCGGTCGGATGTGAGCTCGGTAATCGCGTGGATGAAGCGAGATTCAACCACCCAGGCTCCTCCAATCTTAGATGCGATCCCAAAGTAGTAGAAAGCAATGTTGATGTTCGAACATACGTACATATGTAACCTTTAGTACACATACAGCACGTGGTTTCCTCAGCGCCCTACGGCACTAAAACTTGGGCAAGCTAGCGGATATCAGATATATGTTACGGCCATATGCACGCCCCTGGTCGAGAACCCATTGGTGACGAGACTCATCCAGTTGCCTTCTAGAAGACGTATCAGACGATTCGATTGTTGCAGAAGAGGAAGGATGCACCTCAGTACCGTATCTCGTCAGCATGGGGGATTGTTGTTGTACTATGTATGTACATATATATGTATTACTCATATCTCGTGCAACACTCCAACGTCGTCGATATTCACTTGTTAATCCCCTCGCTGGCAAACCGGTCAAACGCTTGGCCCCACCCACTTGGCTTGAGACTGGGTACTCCCAGTTTTTCTTCCGAGTGCTGAACAAATGGAGAGCGAGATCCATGGACAACGGCAAGCAGCAAGCCGTTTCGTGAACTCTTTGACTCGTGCAGGGCTTTTCTTGTGCTACCGAATTTCGAGGGACCGATCAACTATAATGAATGCTTCTTCCGGAAATGGTTTCCACCGCCACAAGGCTTCCGGAGTCCACGTAAAAACGATGAGTCGAAATGCGGCAAGATCCTTTTCGCCCTTCAGTGGCATGTTTGCTCTCCTTTTCGCCCTCGCGACATCCAACACCCATGGTCGAGAAGCTCTTGCTCAGCCAGGGTCAATGGGGTGGGCCGGATCCATCCCGGCGAAGGAACAGCGACATGAGCTGTGAAATCATGCCAATCCCTTCCACACCCGGGGGGGCTGATTTTACAGTCAAGATGCATGGCTGCATGGGGCAGTCAAGCTGCATGGATCGAAGGGCGCTAATGTGCGAGCCAGGGTGATCCCATACGGGAATTATATGATTTTATCCAGATGACTTCACCACTAGAAACGTCAACAAGAGTCAAAACTTGCACAATCTTGCAGACGACACCCGCCCTGAAAAGTTACACGTGGGGATTGGGACGCGCAAGTGCTTATCGGGTCGTCCACGATCAAAGTTCGCATGTTGTGATATTTTCATGGAGGCAGCAAGGCTGTCTTATTGTTCATCTCGCTGTAACCCACACAGAGCCGTCGCTTCCACCACATTAGCTATTTCAAGCATGGTTGCAAAGCTTGCTTGGCTAGTACCCCGGCTACTCTGGCTTTACATAGCACGTATGGAGGTGTGCCTGGGTACTGGAGTACAGCTGCAGCTTATGGATCAGCTTGGGGGGGTTCGCGCCCACTTTCGAAGTCAATGACAACTTTTGATTTGATTGTCTTGCTTTGATGGAGTCAGCGCTGCCGTCTCACATTTTCAACGGCTTCCATGAATCGCATCTCCGATGATTATACGGCACAGTTTCCGCCAATTTTTCCATGTTATTCATACGATTCAGATATGCATTTCTTCATGGTTGCATAACCAGTTCAAGAGGCTGTAGCTTATGCAATACATATGTAGTAGGATGACGCTGATCCCTTGCTCAAAGCAGCCAAGCTGCCCATGGCTCGATGTGCTGAGAAAGTAACCACTTCATATGCCTGCAGCACAAGTAGCATGCACATTTGTGTCGCTAGTTACCTGAGAGATACATACATGTCTACTCGAGGGCCTGCCTCGCCTGCTTCTTTAGAGCGAGTTCCCCTTGATACTACAGTAGCCTGACCTTGCAGCATACGGTCAAGGCAGGATTGAATGTTGCTGTTACTTTGTCAGATCCTATTTTCTTCCTTTCTCTTCTCGACGACGGGGCCAACATCTATCAATCACTTTTCTCTTTTGTTCCCAAGCGGAGTCAGCAGCAAGCAGGCTAACTTGACCTGAATCGCTCAATCTCTTTTTAAATTTTATGCCATTACAGCGACTAGCAACAAGCTCCATCTTAGCCTGTATCTTCCGTCGGTCTGTTGTCTGATCTCTGGAGAATGCGAAACACTACAAGTGCAGTGACAAGTCGCTAACTAGACGCGAAAGGGGCCGCCAGGCTTATTTGCAATTGACCTAAGCACCCTTCGAAACCACCTCGTTGAAGCTCAGCTGCGAGCTCTCCATCATCTCATCATCATCGTCGCTTTGGTACATTACCTTACGGTCCACCGTCGTTCCAGTCGCGCATAAGGCGTCTCTTCCCTAGACTAGCTTACCCGTGCCGTACGCGGTGACTTTTCACTACCGGGGACTGAGAGAAGCTCCAGCTCCTGCAGAAAATATTCCGTCTGTTTCGGGAATACAACAATAATACCCCACCCACAAAACCCGTGCACCAACAGTCTCGTCGACGCTCATTGTCCTCGTCCTGAGTCAACTCGGCCAAAATGTGTTTCGGGAGCAGGAAGACAGACGAGGAGGGCCAGAACCGGTCGCGTGAGCTCGACAAAATCATTCGACAAGATGAGAAGCGCCTGGCAAGAGAAGTCAAGCTTCTCCTATTGGGTACGTAATTCTGGTCGAGTCGCAACTCGTTTCTTCTTTCTGCAGCTGCTAGAACATGTCTCACAACGATGGTGCGCGTGCAACAATTCGCTAACGGGCGGGATGCCGTGCAGGTGCCGGAGAGTCGGGAAAATCGACAGTATTGAAGCAGATGAAGTTAATATACGCGCAAGGGTTCAGCAAAAACGAAAGACTGGAGTGGAAACCGGTAGTGTTCAACAACGTAGTCCAGTCGATGAGACTTATTTTCGATGTAATGAACGACCAGTCAATCGAGTTTGAGAACAAGGAGAACGAGGTAAGAAAACACTTGTTTTGCAAACAATTTAACACTCGGTCATATGCACAAGCAGCTATTTCTTTTTCCTGGCCTGGACTACTGGTGCGGAACTGACCAATTGTTGCAAACAGAAAAACCAGGCTCTTATTCTTGTCGACCACGAGATATCACTCAACGACAACCTACCCGAGGATTACCTCGAGCCAGTCAAGGCACTATGGGCCGATGCCGGTGTCCAGAAGGCCGTCCTCAAAGGAAATGAATACGCTCTCCATGACAACCTGTCATAGTACGTCTACTTCAGGCATCCCACTAGGTCCCCTGTTTGCCCACGCTAATGTTTGTGTATAGTTTCTGCGACGACCTCGACCGTATTTGGACCAAGGGCTACATACCAAATGATCAAGATTTGCTGCGCTCGAGGCTGAGGACGACGGGCATTACGGAAACGATTTTCGACCTGGGCCAGCTGACTTACCGAATGTTTGATGTTGGTGGTCAGCGATCAGAACGGAAGAAGTGGATACACTGTTTCGAAAACGTCAACTGTCTTCTCTTCCTCGTTGCTATTAGCGGTTATGATCAGTGTCTGGTTGAGGACAAGGATGGCGTAAGTTGAATCATGACGTCGAACTACAACTGCTGACCATGGGTATGCAGAACCAAATGAATGAGGCATTGATGTTGTGGGAATCAATAGCCAACTCGCATTGGTTTACCAAGTCTGCTTTGATCCTCTTTCTTAACAAGATGGATTTGTTCAAGGAGAAGCTGGTCTCCAGCCCCATCACGAGTCACGGCTTTGTCGACTACCAGGGCCCCCAAGACGACTGGAAGCAAGCGAGCAAATATTTTATGGACAAGTTCCGAGCCCTCAACAGGAATCCGGAGAAAGAAATCTATGGCCACTTCACCAACGCCACCGACACAAACTTGCTGAAGATCACCATGGGCTCAGTGCAGGATATGATCATCCAGCGCAACCTGAAGCAGCTCATCTTGTGAGTCTTCCGCTCTCAACTTGGGTTTCGACCTACTCTCCACAGCGCACACTTTTGCAAGCGCAACCCAAACAGATACCTCCTGCGTCTCACTTGAGAACTGCCGAATATGCATTTCTTGGTTCTGGATTAGCCATTCAGAGCCAGCCAAGAAAGACAAATTCAGAGACAAGGAGATTGCAATTGGAGGAAGAGCCACGGCTGAGACATTCCTAAGAATCTAGCACATGAGCCGCACTGCAGAGTGCCCTCCTCGCATTCACGATCAGTTCCCTCGAACTCAAAACACTCAAAACATCGTATCGAGAAGCTTATACCAATTCGTTTCTACCAGGCCCAGCCTATGATGTATCATAAACCTCCCCCAACCGACGTGCAACCTCATCTGCGATTAGCGATATGCGGTACCAACAACTGCGCACACACACGCCTGTAGCCTAACGAGGCTATTGATGCCAACCTTGACATTCTTACGACGGATGTTTCGACCGACCTCGTATATACGATCCATTTGATTGCTCCCCGCGGGGAAATTTTGTCTGTACAACTGCGTGCATACGGTGGAAGCGACTCTTTCTTGGCTTCTCTTTTGCGGATCTCTTTTCTACACGATACCTCAGTTTTTTTTTTGGGTCAAAAATTTTTTTTTAAACGCATCAGCACATAACGATGAATGACGTTAGGGGTCAGTGGATGATAAATAGAGCTATAGGTGGCATAATTAGGAAATAATTCTCCGTCTTTACACTAGATGCTGGCACATGCGGCTGGATTTGTGGGCGACCTTACGCCTACATGAAAGATATCTATTGCATGCTCAGTCCTCATGAACTCGCTAATACCTTGATCTGCCACTATATGCATACCATGGCAATACTATCGTACATGTACGAAGACTATCATGAACTGCACTTGTTGTCTAGGCCAGCATGTACAATTTGTGAGTTCCCAGTTTCACTGAGACGTTTGCGCGTCGCTGGTGGAGCTTCATCCCCACAAGTCCGGCTGCCATGCGAGCTGGAGTTTTGAGGTGGGGGTGACAAGATCTACCGTCGGGTGCTTAGGAAACCCCTAATAATAAAGACCGACATGACCAACGAGTAATCACTGCCGCAGTTGCTAGTAAGAAATAAGGTTAGAGGCACTGTTTTCCCCCGACCTAATGGTCTGCGAACTAATTAGTACTAAAGATTTGGAGATTTAGCGCATTCTCCAGGGCATGCCAAGAACTGCGCTCGCTATTGGATGGGGAATCGGCAGGGAGGAAGCTTGGTTTAAGCAAAGCTACTGTAGAACAACGTTAGAGGGATCGATTAGCCGGGCCAACAGGGCGGGATAAACAACTTCGACATCCATTGGATATGTTGTTGATATTAGAGCAAAAGCGATGTGACTTCGTATCAGCTGTTTTCGAAAGACACACTTCATGAGCGTCAAGAGTCGACATTTGCATGCTCATAGTGTATTATTCATACACGCAATCTCGCTCCAGTCGTTCTTCAACCACTATTCTTGTTGTTAGTTGGCATGCCAGCGTTGCGACACCCTTGGAATATTTAACCCGGCCATCTCAAGCAGTCCACCGGCGGCAGAAATTCAAAACCTCCATCTCACACCATTAGCGGGAATCAAGATAGATGGAGAAGTATCGCCTTGTTAAAGGGCAAGAGCCAGCCGGCACAGCAGATAATACTGGCTGCGATTTACAACCTTACACAACCACAGCTATGAAAAGGAATCCTGACGCGACCCATCAACATACTGGCTGGTTCGCCGGTTTGAAGCAACGTCATCCCTTCCTTACGAAGAAGCGCGGCAAGGCGCTCATTGTCCTTCTATGTCTTCTCCCTCTGCTTGGTTTGCTGGGCCTGCTTGCTTTGCGCAACCGAGGCGGAAATGGAGCGAATGGGACAGGTGGAGGAAGCGGGAGCCCCCAGGGTGCAATCACTGATGACACGTTCTTTTATGGCCAGTCTGAACCGGTTTACCCTTCACGTCAGTAGATACCCTCAGCAGGGCTTAGGTTCAAGAAACTGACTCTAGTGCAGCTTCAATGACAGGCACCGGTACATGGGCGGACTCGTACAGCAAAGCTTCAGCACTTGTATCGAACATGTCGACAGAGGAGAAGGTTAGCTTAACAACAGGAGCAGGCGCAAATACAGGCTGCGCCGGTAATATACCAGCAATATCGCGGCTCAACTTCCCTGGTCTTTGTCTGATGGATGCTGGCCAAGGCCTCCGCGGCACAGACTTCGTTTCTGGCTGGCCCAGCGGCATCAGTGTTGGAGCAAGCTGGAACAAGAACTTGACCAGATATCGCGGTATGGGCATGGGAGGCGAATACAAGACTAAAGGTGTCAACGTTGCCCTGGGTCCTGTTGTCGGGCCTGTGGGCAGGGTTGTCACTGGTGGCAGAAACTGGGAAGGCTTTTCAGTTGACCCTTATCTATGCGGTGTGCTCGCTTCTGAGACTGTGTCTGGTATACAGTCAGTTGGTGTCATCACAAGCACCAAACACTTTATTGGAAATGAGCAGGAAACTCATCGTGTGCCGGCTCACAACATTGAGGCCGTCTCGTCGAACATCGATGACAAGACGATGCATGAGGTTTATCTTTGGCCTTTCCAAGATGCAGTCAAGGCTGGTTCTGGCAACATCATGTGCAGTTATAATCGCGTGAACAACTCATATGGTTGCGCAAACAGCAAAACGCAAAATGGATTGCTAAAGACAGAGCTGGGCTTTCAAGGTTTCGTTGTTTCTGACTGGGGCGCGCTTCACGCGGGTGTTGCTTCAGCCAATGCTGGTATGGACATGGTTCAGCCCAATGCAGCAGACCTGTGGGGAGACAAATTACTGGAGTCAGTTAACAACGGTTCCGTGTCTGAAGCAAGGTTAGACGACATGGCTACGAGGATAGTGGCTGCTTGGTACCAAATGGGCCAAGATCAGGATTTCCCTGCTCCGGGGATTGGCATGCCAGCTGATCTAACAAAACCTCATACCATCATTGATGCCAGGAATTCGTCCTTCAAGCAGGTACTGTGGGACGGTGCAGTTGAAGGACACGTGCTTGTCAAAAACATAAACTCAGCACTCCCGCTACAGAAGCCCAAAATGTTATCCTTGTATGGATACTCTGCGAGGAATCCCGACCAATGGAACTATGATGCAGCTGGGGGCGTTACACCATGGATGTTTGGCGGCGAATCGGCTTTCCTTGGTCGGTATGTCTCTGGTGCATTTGCCCTTGATTCGTTGGAGGACATCCCACAGATTGCGCCCAACGGCACAATTGTCAGTGGTGGAGGTAGTGGTGCTGTGACACCATCCCATATCAGTTCGCCTTTTGACGCGATGAATTCCCGGGCGTATGACGACAACACGGCCTTGTTCTGGGATTTCATACGCCCTGACCCATATGTTGACGCGGCATCAGATGCGTGCATCGTAGTTGTCAATGCTTTTGCATCGGAAGGTTACGATCGACCAGGCACGCACGATGATTACACAGACGGCCTCATCAAACATGTCGCCGAACGCTGTAACAACACAATCGTTGTCTTTCACAACGCCGGAGTACGCCTGGTAGATCAGTTTATTGATCATACCAACGTCACAGCAGTTATATTTGCCCATCTGCCAGGTCAGGAATCAGGCCATGCTCTAGTGTCATTGCTTTATGGAGACTCCAACCCATCTGGCAAACTTCCATATACAATTGCCCGTAACGAATCAGATTACGAGACATTACTGAATGCTTCCCAAGCTGCAGGAATATTTGAGAATTATCCTCAATCAAACTTCACAGAGGGGGTTTATATTGATTACCGACATTTCGATGCCAAGAACATTACGCCGCGGTATGAGTTCGGATTCGGGTTGTCGTACACCTCGTTCAACTACTCAGGTTTAAATGTTCAGAAGAACGAAACTGCAAACATGGCAAACTACCCAATGGGAGACATCGTAGAGGGAGGACAGTCCGATTTATGGGATCTGCTGGCCACCGTGTCTGCAAAGGTTCAGAACACAGGCGGAGTCAGTGGCGCAGAGGCTGCTCAGCTCTATGTCGGCATCCCAGGGGCACCATCGAAGCAACTTCGCGGCTTCGACAAGCCCTTCATCAATGCTTCGCAATCAGCAACGGTTGCATTTGACTTGACGAGACGCGACTTGAGTATCTGGGACGTAGCCGCACAAAAGTGGCTTTTGCAGAATGGGACATACAATATTTACGTTGGAGCAAGCAGCCGAGACATCCTGTTGGAAGGTAGTTTTGTCATCTGATTAACTGCACTCCTCTTCTTATGCAGAAAAAAAAAAGGGGGGGGGGGGATAAGTCTCTAAACGCCATCGATTGCCTCGAACCCAAAGCAAGTGAACAAGACACATTAGCGGCACATCATCAACGGATTGTCCCGTTGTCTTTGGCCCCAGGTTCGGTGTCAAGCATATACGACTGAAAAGACGTTGAAGTATGAATTATCGTAACCTGTGCCGCGAGACATGCAGAAGCGTCGCAACACGTTATTGCTAGATCTTCCTAAAGACGTTCGACTTTAGACAACGATTTCCGAAACTAGATTTGGGTTTCGGGAGAGGGTGGTAGAAGCAACGTGAGACTGGGCTGCTAGGTGTAGGCGGCTTTGTGGCTGCACAGCGCTGGGCGTCTTAGCGCCATGTAATACCTCGCAACTGTCTCGAGCTGAGTATGTAATAATGTAAGGGACTGAGCAGACCGGTACCGATGGGCTTTAAAAGCAATATGTGTATGAGGAAGGATGAGCGTTTCCACGGCCTTTTGGCCCCATCGCGATTTTAATGTTACAGGAACCGTCGATGAGTATTCAAGGGAGCGAGCTAAAAATGGCACTGTGATGGTACTGTCAGGCGAAGCTGCGCAGCAAATTTCGCCTTATATAATAGCGAACAAGATGTACTTAGGGGTACAAACAGAAGACTTACACTTATAAAAAAAAATCAGAGCTATATATTGCTCAAGAGCCATAATTCATATCGAAGTTGTTACATCCCCCATTTCGCTAATGGTGACATCGAAAGCTCGCATATGCATTATTTGTAATATTCGGCTTGCGCCGGCGCTCAACTAAACTGTTAGCAGCTAGCGATCCGGAGAGAGAGAACTTTAATTGGCAGCTATGGAAAAATAGATAGATTCTGGAGGCGTGCATGCCTGTTAGCCGAAGGAAGAAAAGAAACGCTTCCAATGAGCCATCTACTCTGTATTGTACAAAAAAGTCTAGATTCCATGGTTTGGGTGCCTTAACGCCGAAGTGTTCAAAATACGTGAACTAGTAGGCCAGACCCCCAATGACCCCTACAGCACCGCAATACTGCCGACTTGGTGGAACACGAAAGGACTCCGTTGTTCTGTCTCGATTATGTATTATTTAAGCATTTCCGGAATCCTACAAGCTGAACAGATTCGTGCAAGTGGCGCATACAAGAGTTTATCAAGGGATGCAATTAATTCTTGACAGCCTTCCACCGATATGATATAAAATAACCTCAAAATTTACCAGATCTAGTATGCCCTTTCAAGAAAGAGCCATTATTACTGGATGGGATAAAGATGGATAACTGCAGTGAGGTCAGTGAGAGCATGAGTCTATGTCTTTGTGAGATCTTGTATCGACGGGCAAGTCGTGATAGGTTTCGTGCTGTGCTGAACGATAAAAACACAAGTTTGGGGGCAAAAGTTCCCTTTGGCCACAGGGCTATTAACTGATAGGGCAAATACACTGTTAATACCCCCATCCCGACTTTTTGCCAGTGTGAAGGGGTCGTTTGGCTGTGACTTGTGCAATGACTAAGCATGTACACTTTGCAATGAAGGAAACGTCATTTTCTGAATGCTTGAGGTAGGCACCCAATCTGTCCGCCAATCAGCGAGAGACTTGGGTGCGTATTTGGGGGCTTTCCGAGGCCCTCTCCCTCCCTGCCTACATGAACTTAAGGGAACTCAAATCATGTCAACCACACCCATGACCCGCTATTGAAGCGTTCCACGACTGTGCCACCCGAGTCAATTTGAGGTGAGGCTCTGGTTTATATGTCGGGTGGCTCATTCCTCCCGCTTCATGCCTTCCCCACATGCAAGTCACCTTTCGTCGGAACTGTCAGTCATTGTAACCCTCGAACAAAGCGACTTGATCGAGCCTTCAAGGGGCGTTGGGCACGGCCCGGCCATCCAATTGTAACTGGACAGAATTTCCGATCATCAGCTGAGGGTCTCAGCTTTGAATAAGATCGAGTGAGACAAAACGTCGATGTCCAACGGGCCTAGAACGGGGACGCACCCCAACAGGAGCATACAAGTAAGTGTTCATGCTACGGTCACTGTAGTTACTTGTATGTACTCTGTGATGAGTCGGGGTAACCGGCATTGGCTCACCTATTGCCTGTTAGCGTCAAGCCTAACTCTTCGCTCGATGCACGGCCATCGAGAACAAGTCAGCGAGCCAGGAGAAGATTCCTGCCCCCCCAGCCGAAAGCCAGTCCATGATCTAAGGTTGGTGCCATTCGCCAGCCCTTAGTTCTGGGCGTCTGAACCTCCATTAGACTCGCATTACAATAAGCAAGCCTGTTTTAGAAGCCCAAGCGCTACCCGCGACCAAACAACGTCAACTGATCGTCTTCCCATTAACTTCGCACCAGCCCTCCGTCGACCGGATACAGACCACGGACATAAACTGTGCCTGTTTCTATCACATGTATCACCACAGCCTCTGCCCATCGCACCTGGCTGCAGAATTTCGTCAATGAACAGCGCAAAGACAGCGATGATGCCCGTGGCGATAGGTCTTTCGCCAGTGTCGGATGCCTCCTCTAATGGGCAGCAGTCGCCACATAATCGAGAAAGGATGGAGGCCTCGTTTGGAAATGACCAAATCAACAATGGCGATTTTGCCCACCGCGCCTGCGAAAAATGTCGCGCATCCAAGAGGAAATGCGACAAGACCTTGCCGCACTGCACGAGGTGCACCAGGTATGTTTCGCGCCTGCAAATCTCATGTTTCCTGCTTGCGCCGCCTATATGGTCATGAGCCGCAGCAACTGAGATGGATGACAATGCGCAGACTACTGATCGTTTCTGACTAGACTCAACGCGAAATGCATCTATCTGGCTGACTCAATAGGCTCCAATCAAGGAGTCAATGGCGCACCCGTGGTGATTTTTCAACCTCGGCTATCGTCAAACGACATGCTTCTGAGGAGTGACAATCCGCTCCAGGAGATCAATCCCTCACAGATTCTTTCTCTCATTTCGAAAGATGCTCAAGCTGGTGAGACGTTGCATTGGACAGACGGTGTGCGGTCTTACTACGATTACATCCACAATTGGTTTGCCGTCGTTCAACGTGCCCTGTTCGAGCAAAGGATAACAGCAGCATGCAGCGCTGCGGATTCGCCCGACCTCCAAGCTACCCAGGTTTACTCACCACCACTTACGAGCTCCTCTCCATCAGAGAAATCTGTTTCCTTGTCGGCGAGTCAAGCCATGACAATGTTGAGCTCCACCGCCGAGCCGCAGCTGAGCCGAGAGTTCGCTCTTTTGATCGTCACCATGTACTTGAGCACGCGGCACCGGTTCACCAAAGCTGGAGAGCGGCCCATGTATGATGAGATTTACCAGTTTGTCAAGCGCATCGTCGCACTGTCGCTACTCGAGAGTCCGCTCCCAAAGATAGAGCTGGTCCAATGTGGCGCACTATTGGCCATGTATGAGTATGGCCACGGTGATTCCTTGTTGGCATACAGGACTCTGAGCGACACGGTTGGCGCTGCAAGGGTGATTCAGGTCAAGCCGGGTACCCAACTCGAGGGAGTCCAAGGTCTGCATGGACAGATCAGCAACCTGGAAGAAGATCAGAAGAGCAGCCTCTGGTGGAGTTTGTTCGTCCTTGACCAGTAAGTTTCATATGTGTGCCCTGTAATCCCCGCCAAGAGCATGCTCCATTGCATAGATGCCCCTACTGCCCCAGATTTACATCGAGGCGTTTCTAATTTCAATATTAGGTTTATTCATCGGGACAAGGCAGCGGAGGGCCTTCCCTTCATTTTGGACAGTCCAGACCCAAATACCTTACTACCACCAGCCACGCGATCGCCGCCGTCCTCGACTCAGCCTGGGCCGTTCGACGTTAGATATCTTTGTGAACAACCTGCAATATCACGTAAACGTTTACCTATTACCGTTGCTGTTGACATGAAACAGCTCGAGCCATTCCAGCTTTCTGCAAAAGTCGCTTGCTTGCTACATCGAGCTCTGCGGCATGAGCATTCTGTTCGGTCGCGTCCCTGGGATTTACCGCCAGTGACTTCATTCTCTAGCCTGGACTCCGAAATTCGGGCGGCAACACAAAAGCTTCTACAAGACGATGTAGCCAACTGGCAGGTGACGCTCGACAGTTTTGCTATGGCCGTTTCGTAAGTGGTCTTTGCGCCTACTTGCTCTCTTTAGTTCTCAGTTTACGGACTGTATTTTGCTTGCTTATCACCAATGCTGACAAACCATCACAGTGCCCTTTTTAGCCTCTATCTGCCATATCTTCCATTATTAGAAACGAAAACAGCTGCGGAGATACATAACAGCCATGACTGGAGCACTGCCATGGCTGCCCTTCGCTTCGCAGCTCAGATCTCGGTAGACATTAGTTGTAAAGCCAATGTAGACGTGGCGAAAACAATGTCCCAAGATATGACAGCTCTGAAGTTTGTCGTGGCTCCTGCAGCACCGACATGTTATCTTGTCGTGAAGACATTGAACAGTGTACGCAAAATATTTCCCGAAGAATGGGCGCGTTGCCAGGAGGACATGCGGGCCAAGTACGATAGTCTCAAGGTATTTGCGCATCGTTGGGGAATCGCTGGTAAGACACTGTCCGTATTTGAGGAAGGTGGTTCGATCAATACTGATGCAATGTTATTTGCAGAGAAGATGATGCGCCAACTACAAGAAGTGGCTGGCCTGGACCGGAACGATTTCATCGAGGCCGAGCCGTGTAATCCGATTTCGCCGCCCGATCCGATCAACGGCAGCGGACCCATGGAAATCTGTGGCTGATCCTATCACGCCCGCTATCGAGAGCAAAAACGCGAAATAATGATTTACCACGAGACATGTATATACGGGTCAAGGCTTAAAACAGCCCAAACAATCGAAGCAGCACGCGACGCCTACATTGTCGCCGCTGTATTCATATGAAAACAGAAGCAGCATAGCAAGAGTGCGGAAGCTCGAGAGACTGTAGGACCAACCTTATCGGGTCCTGCGCTCACTGACATATTTAATTGTTTTGCACAAACACGTCAAGCGCAGTAATTTGGGGGCAACTACAGGCTTCGACTTGCGGCTGTAGCCGGAACGGCGTTTGGGATATTATCATAGCTCTCGCAAGCCGACGAGTTGCGGCATGAGTAGTGGAGTTTTGTGTAATCATAGATACGGGCTACTCTTCAGGGCACGTGGGGACTGGGATTGGACCCTTCTGTTTTATATTCAGCATTTGGGAACCACAGGAGAAAAAAGGAGAAGGCATGTGTGCGCATATTGGGCTGATCGGCGCCCCTGGATACCCAACGTCAACTAATGACCAATCATTTAGGTTTTAGGTTTTTTGAGAACGTATCTACTTCTATGTTGTATCTCTTTTGAGTTATATATACTCTAATCATGTAAAACCTATCAAGCAGCAACTTTTTGGTGCTGTCTCTCTCTATCTCTTTGAATGACCCGAAAAACTCCGGATATGAGTCTGTTACTTGTTATCTCTGATCCACGAATATTCCAAGAGGGGTGAAGGGCGAGGGTGCAAGTATAGACATCCTTAAAATCGCTAGATAGTCAGAACCACATGCCCGCGGTATCCTGAGGTGTATCGGTGCGGCTCGCATGAGACCGCCTAGCGGTTCGCTTGGTGTTCGCTACAACTGGTCGGTACGTTGTTCGTAGTGCGGACATACCTGCTGCTGCAGGAGCAGCAGCCGTCTTTTTGATTTCCGGCAAAACGTCACGCGCAGACCTGTCCGGTATCGCCAGCTGCACCTTTGGGGTGTGGAATGGTCCGGCTCCGACGGGAACTTCTCGACCTTAATCCGTGTTGCGTGACAAGGTTGGATGCCAACATTGCCTTTCTTTCTTTCTTTCTTTCTCTGTTTCGGGGGATCGGGCGGATGCCATTCGTGATTCGATAATATTGTCTCTCCATATGCTGCTGTTTGCTGTAGGGTAAGATAGGCACGCTTCGGTCCGGAATCGACGTTCACTCGCTACCATGTTGTTGAGTCGTGTTCGGGAAGGGCCGCTGTGTCAAGTGTCGATGTAAGCTCGCAAAGCGTGGCAGAAATTGGGGCTGTAGATCAACCAGAAAAGGGCAGGGAAAAGTCAAGCCAGGCACATCATCTTACATCTAATATGCAGCAACCACGTGTGGGCCCTGTGGGCAGATCGTATCGTGATGTTTATGAATATCATATGAACATGGGCAAGAAAGTGCAAAATCTTGTCAAATTTCACCAGTCTGGGCACGAATGGGGCTTGTGTTGTTGTTATTGTGTGTATTCTCTGGTAACTTAAGTGATATCTAAACGCTATTGCCTCCGAGGCTATAAAATCTTGTACCCCGTTTCCTCTGAGAGGTTGGCAAGCTCATACAGTCTGGTCACCTAGATACTGGACTGCTCGTTCGCTAGAAACATGAACTCCAGGGAAAAGATGCATGACTGTTCCCTTCCCCAAAACGAAACTCTGACTGCCCAATGCTTCAAGAGATTAGGAAAGTCGTAACATATACTAACATGACCGATCTATGCATCAACGCGCATGTCTTCAAAGCCCTAGAAGGCAACCAAAAGCGCGCCATGACCAACAATGCTGGCTCGTGTGAAAACACCTGCGCCGTAAACTCCAGTCGTAATTTTAGGAAGATGCAGATGCATCAGATCCCGTTGCTGCCAACGACCAGCACCAGCAACATGCCGTTCAACAAACATATGGCAGTGAAGGTGACCCAGACGGCAGCCTTGTACATAATCCCAAGTCGGTCCTCGCGGTAGAGCATAGCGCCAAGACCCATTATGCCAGCGAACAGGCTTACAACAACAGCCAGGATGACACCTGCATCGACCTCGAGACGCAGTTTGTGTCTGCCAGTAGCGACCAAAACGCCGGCTATAAAGGTGAGAATGACGGCAACGAAGTACGACAGCACAATGCTCCGATGCAGGATCTTTTCCCTGAACCTCTCCATCCTCTGCTCCTCCAGACTGGGCAAGGCCGCATAGTGTGCTGCGTAGCCATATGCAGGATATTCCGTCGAGGAAGCATCATCGTTGTCGCTCGCTTCTGTATCCGTAGCAGCCGTTGACGGGCCGTGGCGGACACTGAAGTAGTCAATGCCGCCTTGGTCACCATTCAATAGGGATTGGCGCTCGCCATCTTTGTCCGCAGAGCGGAAGAACAGTCCGCGGATAGACCGCACGGGGGCCTTGAACACGTTCTTGACTTTATCCATACCAGGAAACAAGCTCGATTCGTCGTTGGGGTCAACTTCAAGGTAGAAAGCCGCTTCGTCGCCAGCCTCGCTTCCATTGTCGTACTCATTCCAGCCCCTCACGGCTGGCTCTGGCAGCTGCAGTACGGGTGTCGCGGGGGGCCGCGACGACTGTCGACTGCTCGTTTGAGAGGCGCGGGGATTACGGGCGTCGGGACTCGTCTGTGAGATGGATGGAGGACTGTCAGGAGAGGCGGCCTGCAGAGTCCCTAGGACCTCTCTGTATTGTATTTCGAGTGGGGCGAAGTCGCGCTTGGTAAAGCTCTTGTAGTTGCCAAGAACGTTGTCGGTAAACCTGGTTGTTAGAGTCGTGGATTTAGTCCATTTCTGAAGGCCACAGAGGGTTAGCTTGAGCTCTTTTTTCTGTACTTGAGGCTATGGTGTGAGAAGTGACCGACTTTGTATTTCTTAAGTATCTTTCTGAATGCCTCGTTCTGTGCACGCACGAAGCGTTGCAAGTCCCTGATGTCATCGCCGCACTCCACCACCTGACGTTGATATCGGCCAAATTTCCGTTGCCTCTTGTCTGTGATGCCGCTCTTGCCGACGTGGCAGCGGATGATGAGGGCATTGATCAGACCTGCGAGGTGCCTCAACCGCCTCGATATCTCATCGGCCTTGCTGGCGACGAACAGGTCGACACGGTCATGTTGCAAGTGTAGCTCATGGTAGAAGTCGTTCTCGAAGCGCTTGAGCTGGGCGTCCGTCTGTCCGGGGATGGCAATGGCGCGGGCACCTTGGCCCTTCTTGGTGTGCAGTTTGATCTGTTGCTTCAGAGAGTTGTAGTCGACATTGTGTAGACTCCATCGAGGGACCGAAGCGGCCTCGAAGTATTCGCCGTACTTCATGTTTGTGCTGTGCTTATATGCCGGGTGACTTTTGAACTGGGTCGTGTTATTGGTGCATTACCGTTTTCTGGACGTAATGCTGATGTAATTCCTAACCGCTGCCGTGGGGCATTGGGAGATGCAGTCGCAATCGCTGAATAGGATTCAATGGGGGCCGGGATGGCTGGCAACGTTCCTGGATCGTGGATCCTCCCGCGAGTGTTCCGGAGGAAAGTGGTGTGAAGACTCGACCCCTCGTGTAGCCAATGGCTGATGCGGAAGATGGGATTGCCTGTTCTTTCTTTTTGGCCGTCCTTTGTTCGTGATATCTGCGCAAAAGGGACTTTCGAATCGTGCGTCGCCAGAGATTGGCGGGTTTTGGAAAGGAACCAGAGGTCTTGCCGTTGGGCTATTTAGTAGCGTATGATAGCGCCGGGGGGGGTTCCTTGCGCGTGGGGAAAGTGAGGCCTGCGACGATGACGATGACGTCCGAATATGGGGCACAGGGGCCCTATCTTAATCGGCTTGAGGCAACCAGGAGGCGCAAGTAATCAATTGCGGGCGGTCTTGGATCAATTGGCCGTTGTAGGTATATACTGAACTCCTTCACCAGAGCAGATCAAGAGTCTGTTCGAGTGCCGAGACCCCAAGGATCAGAGATACGCCTTCTATTGGCTGAATGGCGGGCATGAACTCTATCCTGAACTTGCGGCGATAGTAAAGATAGCCAAGATAGCGAGGCGATGACAGCGATACCCGTGCCACCAACAGAAGAAATAGCCAAAGCGTTGCTTATGAAAATTGTTACCCCGGCCGCCAGCTCGAATCCAAACTTCTGCCTCTTGTCTACACGACTTGATAGAGACGCAATCGTCTAGTCTCAGGACCCTGCTCTGTCTGTTGCCAATGTGAGATAGACAGGAATCTGGAGGGGAGGGGGGTTAGATTAAAAACAAGCTCCGTTCGTAGGTCAAGGTTTTTTTCTTGGTTTTTTCTTTTACGCCGAGTGGTGTTTGGGCAAGTAACGGTTCCAAGTCTAATCTAATTTGTTCGGGGCGATGACTGTCCTTTAAAAAGAACAGGCTTGGCCGGCCATGAGATGCACCGACTCGGCAGCGATTCCTAAGATGAAGGCAGTTGGTCAACTCGACCTGTATCTTGTAGCTAACATGGTAGTATCCGTATAACAAGCCTTTCTCGCTTTGCGCTGCAGCTGCAAAACACGACTTCGGTCTATGCAATGCATGCATGTGAGGAGACTCCGTTCTGACTTTAAGATTGGCCGAATATCCACAGGGCTGCTGTTGCGACGGCCGTATTTGCAGGTCTGGCCCCTTGTCTCTTTGCCATACCGGATGAATGCGACAGCGAATCCCCTCGTTTGCAAGCCGACCTTCTGGGGGTGTTGCCAGGGTGCTACCCCAAGACAATGGAAGAAAGAGATTTGGTGGGGACCCAAGGTGAACTTATCCAGATCAACTTGATTGATAGTGGGTTCTTGATTGTTATGTTAGGCTTGTGGCCCTCGTCTCGAGGCGACATCGTCCTTTCAACCAAGTCCACACATGGCGATACTCCTTATGGTGGGACCAGTTGGCGTGGAGGACGCAAACAATTGTGCTATGGAGACGCTCCAATGGTGATTGTCAGATCCAGCAGACACATGGATGGAAAAGGAAGGCAATGCGCAATTCTAGCGACATTTCGAATCATATCAGCGTTATCAGTTTGCGGCATGCAAAAGCATGCACTACGACCTTGGCGCCCACCCCTAGGTCAGTTAGCCTTGTGATCTTCAGAGTAGAGTTCCAGAGGAGGCTCAAACAAAGAATATAGAGCACGCAATCACCCATATTTCTCTACGCATGCATCTCCACGCGCTCGTGCTTCATTGCCGCAATGAGCAGAGTCCATGTCGGGATGTAACCCAATTGTGGAATTAGTTAGGAACTCGATGCAATGGAAGACCTATACTATGTAATGCGCGGCTGAAATGCTGCGACCGCGGCTCACCATCCCTGGTTCCCCGACGTTCATCTAAGCGGATTTCGCATACTGTTCGGCCTAATCTAACTCTATGCAGCCCAATCATACGGTATTTGCTCACAGTGTCGTCCCGAGGATACGGGTGTCCAGAGATGCCACATGCGGCGGGAAATTAATAAAACAAAAAGACCTTTATAGCCAAAGCTTTCCGCCCCGATCGGTCTTTTGACAACCAGTTGAGCCAGGAAGCATGCCTGGATTTCTTCCACAAAGACTGCTCTCTCGATTGTTTTATTGAGCGAGTTCAGTTGGTTTCGAGGGCACCCGGAAATTTACCAACAGCTCCATCTACCCACGTTTCGGGCCTTTTGCCGACACGCACAGCAATGGCTAACATGGTACAGGAGGATATCATCTCTCAGTCTGGGTTAACGGGGCCCCAAGCACCACTGGAGACATTTATGGGTCGGCATTGCTGCGATTCTGGACATCCTTTGTCATCGCAAACTACTTGGTCGGTCACATACCCAAACGGTCCAGATGCTGCAGCGTATGGATCAGTTTGCACGCCAGCACGCCTACTCCCAATGTGCGGGTCCTATAGTCATGGAAACAACCTCATCGGTACATCGTCTAATAACCGAGGTCTAAGCACCCAACCGCAGGAGGGATATGCCCGTTTCACCGACAACCGTCTCCCAAAGCTTGATCTGTTACGGGTTTCATCAGCTCAAAGAGATTTACCTGTAGTAGCTTTTTCGACGTTCCCTTCATCACTTATCGGAGTCACAGCATCGCTCTGCATATCATTACTTCCCCAGACACTTTCTACCAAAACCTGTTGACTAGTATTATAACACTTTGACCACGATCAAGCTCATTTTGAATTATGAACACCATTGAGCTTACACGGATGCATGATTGTCTTCCGCTCCCGCTATCCGTCATCCGAACACAGGAAACTCTTATGTAAGTTGAAAACAGTAATGGGTCACGAGGACATATTCCAGCTTAGGCCTGGTGGTAATTGTAGAAGAAGTCACTTCCGCAGTACCCTGCATCTTGTCATATCCAACATCAAAAGTGGACAGTTCCAGAGTCTTCCGTCTCGTTGATGTTGACACGAACTAGTTAATCGAGGACATGTACGCAGCGCCCAGACTTCTGTAACCGGATCCTGACACCGATACCAACCATTATAACTGGATCTCAGCCCAGCAGTGCCACTTACACGGTTATGGACGGTTCTGCGTAGTCGCTGAAAGTCGTGTTCATAACCTAATCACTCATCTCCTGCTATGATGTGTTAGCAAGGTTCCAGATGAAAATTCTATATCACCATCTAGGAATCAAGAGGTTTGAGGTTCTTCTTCGGTGTGAACATGGTCCCAAGATCACAGAGAGCAAGTTTGAGGGACCGAAAACTATTTTGTTTTCCGTTTGCCACCCGCGGGAAACGTATGTTCACAGATGGATCTCAGCCTTAAAAAGCTTAGCCATCCAGTAGCTCATCAAGGGTATCGATGGGTCAAGCAGTTGGCAGCAAGTCTTTTCCATCTGGAGATATCAGGATATACTGGAGGCTCTCGTGGAGATCTCCAGCATCAAGGCTTGGTGGCTATGGAGACATTGATTTACAATTGGTGACTAAGTTCCTATTAGCAAATACAGTAAAAATACAACCAATCAAGCTCGTGGATGCGTTCGAGGAGGTTGTGTCGGCGAGGTTGCAATGTCCTACTATGATACATACAGCAGCAGCGTTCCAGTGCCCCGTTTGCGGGTAAATAGTAAGCGGAGACTGCTGCACGACGGAGACACTCATACGCACAACGAGAAAAAATTCTTAACCAATCATGAGAGGGTCGTGGCAGTTTGCCAACCAATAACAACCGGGACTTGACAGATGGTTGGAGTCGTAGCTGACGAGACTCAAGGGGTTCGGAACACTCAGAATTCCCGGCGGCCGTTGCGTTTATCGTCATGCTTGACACCAAACCGCACGGTGTTTTGTTACTCATTTGTTTAAGCGCAGATTAGTTTGCACTAAATTTTGACTAGGTATCGGTATGTAATGCACCGGCATTTCGCTGCTCCCTGGGGAGTCAAGACAACCCACGAGCTTTCGTAAAAACAGGGTGTTCCGATAAGTGCGAGCTGCTTGTAGCATAGAACGACTGCTGAGGGTAGGTACTGCACCACATATTTGGTCTGACGACAATCTACGTCAAATTCATCTTCTGCAGCTTCACATTCAATCCATTGGCTTGTAGCTTTTGGCTACAGTCAATGATACCCAGAACATGGAACTGCTGCGATATGCGAAACTCGTCTCCAGCGGAAACGTTCTCTATGGTCTGACTTTGCTCAGAACGCGTGTCTGAGTCTTCGTCCCGAGCTCGCCGCAAAGAACGTCATGGACTGAACACGCCTGTCCAGTCGTGCAATGTACAAACATACTTGGAAGCGGCTTTGATTTGAACAGTATGTGATCAAATAGAGAGTACCTTCTTTGTGACACGTTCTGTGGTCAGTCCATGCTTAAGAAGTGTTCAGCTCGTCCCAAAATAATCGAAGGATTTAATCCGGAGTTAGTGAAGCTTGGGAGGAACCGAGATACTCTAAAAATAACTCTAGGAAGTTTAGTGCGAACTCCGCTCCAGCCTTGAATAGAGTATAATCTGGCGAAAACAATAAGTATCCCGGTTTTGCGGTGCCCTTTGCTTTGCTAAGCCGCAAAGGATTTATTCCTGTTCCAACATGCTGGCGGTGTAATCTCCTGAAACAATGCAAGGGACAGCCAATACCTGTATTGCTGAAGCTCGGCAAAAGCCCTGCTGAGAGCCCCACCTTCTCAGTTCGTTGTCACAGATAGGTATGAAGAACTTGACCCGACGTCATGGAGATTACGGATCTGCCAAGCAAATCCTGACGAGATAAAGATTCCATAAGATATAGAGTGCTGACAGCGTCTTCTCTTGCGCCCGTTTTGAAGCAGGTGTGATTTGGTGCTTCAATGCACTTGACAGGACCGACGATGCATTTTCTGATCTACGTCGCGCTTGTGCTCACCGCGACCGCTCCAGTACACGCTGTGAGCTTCGAGTCTGATGATAGCCTCTTGCAAAACGGTCCCAGTGCTCGACGAACTTGCGCAGGTCCGGTGGCCGGTATCCCAACGACATGGTGGCGCGCGGCTATCGATCACAATGGCACAACACCAACTGCCGAGGATACGACGTACGAGTATTACCGCACAGCAACACAGTATGGTGCAGATAACACTGGGGTTGAAGACTCGTCCGGCGCTTTCATTACCGCTATTAATGGTCAGTCTTTCCCCATACGTCACGGGAAGAATATAACATCAACTCCAATCAGCATGGAATCGAACTGGTAATACAGTGACAACAATGCCCGCATATGTATATGTTCCTCCGGGAAAGTACCGTATAAAATCATCTATACAGATGCTAGTTTCGACGTACTTGATAGGTGACGCCATCAATCCGTAAGTGGCAGCATCCATGATCTGTTTGATTATGATTAATCAAATATCAGTCCTACACTCATCGCGGACCCTGAGTTAAATACAGCTCCGGTAATTCATGGTTATGATAAATATCAAGGCGATGGATCCGCGACCAAAAACTTCTACATGGCTGTTCGCAATCTTATTGTTGACACGAGTGAAATTGACGCAAGTACCCGAGCTGTTGGGGTCGAGTGGTCAGTATCGCAAGGTTGCTCCCTGAATAATATAGAGGTTATCATGCCCGACTCTTCAAACCATATCGGTATAACCATGGACGAGGGTGGTTCTGGTGTCATCATCGCAGACTGCGTGAGTACAGTTTGCTCCAGGCTAGTTCGATATACTAATCGCGGCCGACCAGACTTTCCGTGGTGGCGCTATCGGCATCCAATTGAAAAATCAGCAATACAATTTCAAGAGCTTGGCCTTTGACGGCTGTGGGATTGGTATTAACATCACATCTGTCTTTGTTGCCACATTCCAAAATATAACCTTTGCCAATTGTAACTACGGTATCAACACAAGCACATCAGTTGGTACGATATCGCTTGTAGACTCGTCCGTCAGCAATTGTAATGCTGGGGTTAATGCTTATGTCTCTGGTTCTGGTCAGGGCTCTCTTACACTCGATCATTTTCGGACTGATGCCGAGACTGTAGCGGTGAAGTCGTTCAATGGAGATGTACTACTCCAGGACTCGGTCCCTGTGGGGAAAACCTGGATCTTAGGCAATATAGATCCTGGAGGGCACTCCAACGGCAAGCTTTTTGACACTAACCGCCCGCCAGCATTGATTTCCGACAATAGATATTTCACAGCTGTAGCACCGCAGTATGAGCAATACGATGTCAGCGAGGTGATCAGCTTAACCAGCGATCCTGAGAATCCCGTGTACGGAGATAGTAAGAGAATCCTGGATGAATTTCATGGGAATGAAGCGCAAATAACATGTAACAGATGTTCACAACGACGGTCCAAGTATCAATGCCATACTACAGAAATACGCCGACTGCAAGATCATATTTGTGCCCCAGGGGATTTATGTCACGGAGGAGACCATCTATATTCCTCCAGGCACACGTCTTGTGGGCGAACAACTCAGCATCTTCGCAGGTAATGGCACCGCATTTTCGGATGCTGATAACGCAATACCAGTTTTTCGAGTTGGTAACTCAGGTGAAAAGGGTATTGCTCAGATCTCGGACATCTTAGTAGAAGTATCAAACGTCTTGCCCGGAAGCATTCTGATGGAGGTCAACATGGCAGGCAATGAACCAGGGGACGTCGGCGTTTGGAACACGGTGCTTCGCGTCGGCGGTTCCCGGCATTCACTGGTAAATACCGGATGTACCAGCTCGGACACGTCCAACTGTCGGGCAGCATTTGCACTTCTGCACGTCACCAGTACAGCGTCTCTGTATGCCGAGAATCTGTGGGGCTGGGTAGCAGATCACAGTCTAGATGGCGACAAAGCGCAGAATATCGCTGTAGGTCGCGGTGCGCTAATTGAGAGCACCCAGCCTACCTGGCTTGTCGGTTCGTCGTTCGAGCACTGCGCGTTATATCAGTACTCGTTGAGCAAGGCTTCAAACGTCTATATCGGGTTGCAACAGACGGAAGCACCGTATTGGCAGGGTGCGGACCAGCCAAACTATGCTCCTGCGCCATGGACACCGAATGCAATTTACGGAGACCCCGACTTTTCGAATTGCCATGGTCAAAACGCCGCTGAGAATGGGCAGTGTTACCGCGCTTGGGGACACTATGCTGTTAACAGCAGCAATGTTGTTATTCATGGGTCCGCTCTCTGGGTCTTCTTCAACGGAATGAACGACAACATGTGGCAAGATGCCAATTGCGAAAAGTATGGCTGGACATGCGAGCTTAACATGATATACCTCGATGGGGCCAATTCGACTTATATGTACTCGTTGAGTACCAAGTCGACCACCAATATAATCTACGACACTGCAGATGGTGTTAAGTTAGCCACCCAGGACGATTACGGGGGTGGCTGGGGCACGGTTATAGCGGCCTATCTGCGAAACACAGGTACTGCAGAAAATGCGTGAGTTTGTAATTCTCATTCAACTTGTAGTAACAAGCTAACAGGATGATAGCGCTGATGAATCTACGGCTGTGTTGATTCGAGCACCTTACTATGCCCTAATTGTAGCATTTGTATGCTCTTTGGTCAATCTATTAGACTACCTCTAAAATATGGATTGTGTGGCCTGCCGACTACAAAAGCAATCCCGTAAACACCCCACGGTGGTTTAAGCATGTTGAGCGGCAACACCTCTTTCCGTGCAAAACTTTTGGACCTCCTTACGAAGAGTATCTCTCTGACGGTGAACCAACTCCATGATGTCCTGGCACTCGTTACCCAAGTTACCAGCATTGCCACCAACCGCATCGTGGAATTCAGCCATGTCATCCATCACCGCAGACAGTTGGTTTGGTAACCATGTCACAATGGGGGAGCCTCCTGTCGCTGTTGGGTGTGATGTCTTTCGCGAGTCAGCCTGATGATGTCGCCCTGTTGTCACAGAAGACCACTTACCTGCTTAAGGATGTACTCCCTGGCAAAACACCAATGCCTCCATCGGAAGTCTCGAACTTGATTCAAGATCTTAACCCAGAGCTGTCTGCTTTCTATGACGGACTCTTTATCAAGGATGGGAGAGTTCAGACCCAAAGCGAATTCCCGCACGTTTCTGTCCAAACTCTCCTCACGGACCCACTCCAGGAACTGTCTGTGATCACCAGGGCGATACGACCGGAAGTCCTTCAGGATTGCTGTCAATGGAGTGTTTGGCATGGCAATCTGACAGAAGTTGTCCATGAGGGGGATCATGGAGTCGTTTGCCCCGCTCTCGCCGCGGAACTCCTGGCGCTTGGAGTCGTCAACCCCTTCGTAGATGACGCCATCAGGGAACATGGACTGTGAGGTGATGCCGAATATGAAGGTACGGAATGAGGTATAGCTTCGCGGCTTGGAGACCGACCACATCGTCTCCATGACAGCGTTGACGCGACGGAGGGCCGAGAGGGTCTGCTGTAGGCCAGCATTGAACTTGGTGCGGTCGGGAGAAGGGGAGGAAGACAGAGTGCGTAGACAGGTCATGACTCCGGAGATGAGGGGTCCGGAGTGCCGGACCATGGCCACGTGCGTCAACACGAAGCCTGCTTCGGAGGAGGAAGGGTCCAGACCATGCTCAAAGGCCCGGATGAGGCGTAGATTAGAGTACTCAAGGCCTTGAGATGGATCGACGAGACGATAATTGAAAAGGGCGTAGGAGCCAGCATATTCCATGAACGGCTTAAATCCACAGCTATAGTACAACTTAGCTTCTGGTTGCGGGCCATGGGCAGTAGAAAGGTAGTGATTAACGTTGGAACAACATGTAGAAGAAATATACTACCGTCACCGGTTGCCCAGAAACAACACCGTCGACGTTTTGGAAGGGGGCCAAGGACGAACATAGGATCAAGTGAAGGTGAAAAGCAATACGACAGAAGAAAATAATCAAACTTACATTTCGGCAGATCTTGCGATGGGCCTAGCCAGCTGTACGGGTAAGACGTCCCTTCCAAGCCCATAGCCCTCCCCCTTGATAAACCTCATGTGGCAAGGCTCAAGCAGATACGCCGACGCCAAGAAAGAGTAGTCCCGGTACAGGGCGTTGACCAGAGGAAGGTTGTCCTTGTGCTTCTCGACCTCGTCCGTCAGGTCCGATAGCTCGTCGAGGACAGCATCGCCAAAACTGCCATCGGCCAACAGGCCTGGGCCACCGGAGAGGGTCTTGACTGGCATCCTGGTAAGGAGGGACTCTACGGTGTCAAACTCAGGGGGTAGGGAAACGATGGGCTCCATGCGCGGGAGGAAACCCCGCGTTGTTGACACCATGAAGGCGGGCAGAGACGTGTCCGCGGGTCTGGTGTCGTCGAGGACCATGAAGTCCTGCTTGGGGCTGGAAGACTCGTGGGACGTCATGTTGATGGAATGGATGAGTATATAAGGCTCTTGTGTTGGGTCAAAGTACTTTAACGGAATGATTGCGTCCGGCCAAATGTGTAGTGGTGTTGCACTCGCACACACAAATCTCCACGGTCAGCTTGGTAGTCTTGTTTGCTTAGAAGTCAGAATTCACTCCTCCAAGGCCGGCCACAGTTTTCTGCTAATATACATCGTGGCCGGAATCGTTCCGGCCACAGCACCCCAACCGGCGTCGGTCCCCCCTCGTGACGTGGCTTCTTGCGCCCTGATAAGCGAACTCACCGTTTCTCTTTGTCAACACACAAACCCTCGCGAATTTGGTTTGGTGCTATCCCATATCTGTGCAGTAAGCCGCACATCCATAAACTTCACCATCATTGCATTGACAGTCGCCACCAGCGCCAACAACTAAGTGCGAGAAGGCTTCATGAACGTATACCCATCGAAAAAGATATAAATGTTTGAACAAACAGAAATAAGCCTATTTCACATCATCTCAGCCCATGAACCAAAAATAGCGCCAAGAGCTCAACAATCACTGTGATGCAGCCCAAAGCTCAGATGATGAAAAGCCCCCGGCGCTATTTGCCGAGGGCTGGCTGAGTGATGGATTCCAGCTTCTCCACCTCGATCCGGCCGCGGCCGATCGTGGCCGGAACAAATTCCGGCCACTCACTTATCTACGACAGGCCGTCCTACTGGGGCACGTTGGGCTTTGCCAAATTTGGGGTTCGAATTGTAGGCGTGCGCGCAAGACTGCCAAGAATCGTTATCTCCCAGGGGCGCTCCTCAAACCCGCCGCACTCGACGACATGGGAAGAGCGAAATATTCACCGGGTTCCGGCGCGCTTTCGGTTGCCGCTCTCATACGGGACGGCGGACCTCATTGAGAGGGGTGAGATAACGCCAGCCCCGTCTTCGATCGATGGTCTTGGGTCAAACCACACGCAGGCAGCGGGCGACCTTATCATGCGAAATCGCAATGCCGGATTGCCACTTATGCCGTGAATGCCTGCAGTCTATCTGGTCCCTCCGCCGTCTGAACGCATCGACAATGACCCTGGTGCGCTACGAGGCGAGATGAGCGGCAACCGTCAATGCTATGCAAAGTAAAGACGTCAAAAAAACACATTCGCCAACCGTTGATCGTGACGCCGCACGAGCCTTGCAAGCCGTGTGTAGACGGAACCTCGTTGCATGGAAATTGTCTGACAAGACATCACTCGACTGGTCCGCTGGCGGTAAGCCAACGCCTCAACTTTGTATTGGATTACTGAGCAGATGGATTTTCGGAAATTGGCAGAGGGGTTTGAGGTGACCCTACTGAGGTGGTGGGCAAAAGAGTTCACTGGTCCAGGAAAGCGGTTTGCTAGTGGGTTTGTAATGATGCAGCATGAATGATCACGACAGATGTCACAACCTGGTAAGCACTTATAGTAGTAGTATGGGCGGAATAAGAAATGTAACCAGATTGAATAGGATCATCTTTATTAGATTCACGCCGGTATATGACCGTGTTCTGCAATTATGTGAAGTTTTGTGTCTGAGGCTTGCCTGTACCAGAAAGCGACCTTGTTGAGGTTCCTAACGCTTGGTGAATATTGCATGTGACCAGTCGAACCACAACATCTTCACCATGAGCTTCGAACAGATTACAGACCACCTGTTTCCGCCGCTCGCCCAAGCAGAGATTGGCGATGTCTCTTCCTTGCGGACAACCTCGTCATGCTCATCGACACCCTCTGGGGAATTGATATTAATGCCGTACAGAAAATCGCCACACTTCGGTATAACGTGGGTCGCTACCATACCGCCAGTGCAAGTCTAGCAATAATCTCTTGAGGCCGGCTAGCTTGAGCAAGTGTTTCAGACCAGGGATATTCTTCGGCCACTGCTGGGTTATGATATATACTGTATCTCTGCCCCAAATTTGAACTGCCATGTTTTGAATCTTCGTGAACAAGGCGTTGGAGCGAATACAGAGTCCTTCTTGTATGCATAAATACATGGGATCGGCGAAAAAGTCGGCCTCGGTTCTGGGGAGATCACCGAAGAAAAGGATATCGCGCTTGAAACTGACGTAAATGAGGAATGAATTCAACTGCGTGTACACTCTTATTGAAATGTATGCCGGGGTCCGACCTTTCTTGCGATCTGATGTATAATGACTCGTCGATCTTTAAAAATACTTCGCTAGGCCCCGTTCCACATCTCTTGATTGAAGGGAAGGGACTGGAGTTACATCGAGGATCAACAACGACCCGAATATTTGTTCGCGTATCACTAGCAGTGGGATCCACAGCTGTAATTATATCTGCATCGTTCTCTGGAGTTTGTCAACACGAGCTTCAGAACCAGCGAAAGACCCAGAAGAGTGTCTAACATCGTCGACCTTGTTGTTTGCTCTAATGTGGTTTACATTGTCTGCGATCGGCAAGTAAAAATAATCACGCCCACCAAATGTTCGAAAATAGCGGTAATCGATCGTGGCGCAATAGGGAAGATGTACCCTAAGACTATACCTTGGTTCCGACACAAGTCCCACATGAGGAGCTGTATACCTCGAGGAAGTTGTTTGACCAGGTGGAATTTTTTGAGTGGTTGTTCCATGTTCAAAAAGTACTCGAGTGGTGTTGCTGGACGATGGTGCGTAAATTGACGAGAGTATTTATAAAGTGTCGAGCTGGAACAACATGGAAATAACTTATAATCGTCAATAAGGATGCTTGGAGTAAGGAAATGTGCCATTTACCTAATGGCAGGGTTCGATTTGCTGCGCTGTGGGATCGATCCAAGGGAACGCAAGCAGTCCCCAGTAGGTGGCCTCTCAGTTGTTGAGCGAGATATAACGAGATGCAATTATAAACTATTGCAATCACGCATAACGCGATCTTGTAGCTTATGTGAGGGGGCCTTTAGCCTTGTACGGAAAGCAGCCTGTTGTCATTTGGTGGCTTGATCATTTAGGCAAGCGTTTAGGTATTATCGGCCTGGAAAAAAGATTGGAGAGAACGTCCACCAGCCGACAAGGAACAGGTGGAAGCGTTGAATATGTGGGACACGAGGAACTTTGATGAGACAATATCTCTAAGTGCTTCCAAAAGACCCGTGGTTTGCCGCCATATCCTCACAGGCTTTCCGCTCGAGCATGGTCGCATACAGAAGAAGAGTGTCACAGGTCGAACGAATCCGTACTGGGTTGTGGCAAGGCCTTAAAACTCAAAGACTGACCGAGAGCTGCTCGCCCATGTCGACAAAGAACCTGGATTAGAAGCACTGGTGTCGTTATCCTGCGGAGCCGGATCAGCGGAAAATTATTGAGCATTTGCAGCACACCCGCAGTTTAGGGCCTTCAACTTACGAGGTCGTTAATCAGTCCATCAATGAATTGATTCTCAGACATCCAGAAACTCTCCGGGGCCAGTACGGGAGGATATGGAGTGAATTCCGGATGTCCCTGGTAGTGATTAATTGCTTTCTCTGCAATGGATTCCAAGTTCTCCAGAACGCTCATAATTTGAATGACATCGTCGTCCTGATGCGTGTTAACAAGTTGCAGCAAGAGCTTCGCGCCGTCTTTAGCCAACTTGTGGTCTTCTCTCGCCTGCTCGTCTGTTGGGTAATACTGGCAGTTGGCCAGCAGAACAATGATGCCTGAAAAGTACGAACCCATATTGAGCCTTGAGGGTGGTTAGCCTAGGTCGAATCAAGAACAAGATGAGTTGGAAACGCACCACAGACTACAGGTATGCTGAGGCTCGAAGAGAAAAAGCCGTATGCTTCCCCGACTAGCCCTCACGCATTTCGCCCAAGCGGATGGCATCGGAGGCTGCATCTTTCGCATACATATATCTGTGTTATTATCCATATTTGCCAGTACTGCTTGGCCGTAAGCTCCGATTGCCTGGATCCATCCGGATTCAAGGGAATAGAGACCATGCACAAAGACCAAACACATGAGATGAAGATGGTGCAGGATAGCCATGTGCGAATGGTTCATTCGATGGAGCGAGCGTTGCATGTTTTCGAGTTGGAAAGGCACTGGGATGGTTTGGTGCCACTTTTCCAGCATAATGTCAAGTTGCGTGACATGCTTTCTACGGTCTTCAGGGCTCAACCTTTTGGAACGAACGCTATACAGCGTATCGAAGATCTTGCCCTGAAGGTGGGCTAACTGGATTCTTGCGCGGAAGAAGTTAAACTTGACCAGACCGTCTTCACTGACAATAAGACCATCGCCATCTTCCGCTGGTAAGTCGACGTCTAGATCGTCATCACGTTGAAGAGATGTCGTCTTAGTGCGGATGCTAACATACTGTTCATTGTTAGACTACACCTCTAGGGGCTGGGAACCTGCCTACCTTCTCTAGAATGTAGCACATCCAAAATATATTGTCTCTCTGCCGGCTTTCCTCTGCGGAGAAGCTTGCATGGGAAGATCTCGTATGCAATTGCAGCCGGTGAACTAGTCCAACAGCTGCGCCCATGCGCATAAAAGCAGACCTGCTGTCAGGTCTGGCTTGATATAGGATGACTAGAGCGAGTATGCCCTGGATACCAAGCGTGTCTTTATCTCGTGTCATGAAGTCATCAAGACACTTTTGCGCATTCGCCTCAAAGTCGCAATTCGGCCTTTCAGAAGGCGAGAGACGCGCTTCAAAAGGACAAGAGTCAGCTTTCCTCATAGAATGCCAACTCGAGAGCACGCACCAGTTCCTTGCTCAATAGCAAGGGCTTTCGATCCTAGTGCAAGGACACAGTTGATGACTCCCCAGCTGGTCCTCGACCTCCTGATTGGAAAGGCATAAAAGTCTCGCAACAGTTTCATAAAAGAGCTTTGGTCGAATAAAGGTAATAGATTATTAAAGCCCTGAAAATATGCATCAACGAGAGGGAGAGTATCTTGTAGTGGAGGGAGGTCTTCAACAATTGAGGTACTGAAGCTTCCCAGCGTGGGCATCCCTGGACCGCTCCCATTTGACTCTGGCGAACTCCGAGAGGCCGACTCAGTAGCTGAGTGATGTGTTCCCAGCAGTGCTGCTAACGATACGGAATTTGGCCCGTCCAGAGAACTAAGCTTCGATTCGATCCTTGCGAGACGCGCCTCGAGGCTCTCCTGCCCTGTTCTGGGGATGGTCTCAGCATTGAAAGAGGCCAAACTATGCACCCGATACTCACGCATTGGATTGTGGCGGCGGATTCGCAGTCTTTTGCTTCGGCGGCATTGCCCTTCGCCTGATGACAGTGGTGGTGCATTTTACCTTGTATAATTGGCAGTTGGAGCAGACCGGCACTACCTGGTCACATTTTATCTTCTTGGAATAGCACGTATCACCTGGTTCGGTGTTACTGGATCTCCTTTTTTAACAATAGTGATTTTCTTACATGCCTGGCAGTTTTATTAGACATCAAGCAGATAGAGGGTTACCCAGAGCCAAACATACTTTGCGACGCGAACTGGTCTCCATCTTGTAATCTGGTTTGGGCACCGTCTAAAATAAGCGTCTGGTGCAGAAGCTCCACAGGAATAAGCCGGCAGGTATTCGTGATGGTAGGACGCCAATCATCAAAGCACGGCTAGGGTTCACTGAGCAAACTTCCAGGCACAAGATGGACGAGCTTTCATAAGAGGTAAGACTGAATCAGTATCTGCCGTTAGTGGTCTGGTGGGTGATCAGGGATTGGCATGAAGACAAATGGCGATGCTGAATGCATCCTAAACCCGCCGCTCGCTTACTCATCCGCTCGCGCTTATGCGCCAGCCGGTACCAGCCGGTCATGCGTCGGGATTGTGATATTAAGAGCACTGTTACAAGGGTAAGATATATTTCATGACTTGAAATTGAAGCATAAGTATTCAGGCGCACAGTAGGGCGGGGAGAGAGAGAATGATTACTTTTAAGCAAGTTGTGATACATTGAAGAAGAGTAGTTTCCTCTTACATATACCTCTAAGGAGGCATGTTCCGAGTGCTGTATACAGTATAGTACATGCAAGGTTTTCTCTCTCTCTCTGGCTTTTATACCTTCTCACTTATCCAAATGGCACCCCTACACCCTGCTCTTATGACACCGGTCAACAACCAATGCGGCTCGGCCTTCTGTGCGTCATGTTGAACAGCATGGTCGAGGTGTTCTAGCTCTTCATCTCTGATGCGGCGCAAGGTCTTGACCAATTGTTGGAGCTCCTCGCCAGCTTCATAGCCCTCGGCCTGCCACTGGTCGAACATTTCTAGCAGGGTGCGTATTTGCTCGTTGTAGTGTGTGCCGATCTCGGTCTCGACTGCTTCGGTACAAGCCATGGCGGCCTCTCGTCCCATGACTGCGGTACCCCAGCCAAGACCTGTGGCCATGATGCTCCAGAGGGGGTAGAGAGCAGTGGGGCGGACTCGGTGCTTGGCTATCATTTGGTTGAAAGTCTGGAGGTGGGCAGCTTCTTGGTCGTACATGTGCGCCATGAGGGGACGCAAGTGCGGGTGCGCATTTACGATTGGAGGGGTCTGCGCAGTGTAGATGAGGGTCGCGGCCAGCTCTCCGGCTTGGTTGACGCGAAGCTGTGACGGGGGGAGGTCATGTCAGCCACGGGCGAGCTCATAGACATAGACTCATAGACGTGAAAGTGGTTATCATACGGCGGAAGAAAGAAAGTCGCGCTGCTCCTGGGTGAGGGGCTTGCGCGGCTTGGGTTTCTGGCTGGGTGCACTCGTAGACGCATGGCGAGTTGGTGTGGCGGCGCCGGGGTTTGACGTTGCAGCAGTGGAAGTGGAAAGACAGCGCCGGCTGGGTGCGAAAAGAGCAGGGGCTAGGAAATCATGGACAGGCAGTTGACCATTGTTGCGCATGATGCGCAGGAGGGCACGACAAGAAGACATGGTCACAGGCTGCTGAGACGGGTGTTTGCACAAACAGACGATGGAAGCACGGGACAGAGCACGGAGTAGCTAGCGACTACTGCAGTAAGGAAGGCAATGCGCGGGCGACGCTCTGGCTGGTCTGGAGCGATCAGCCCATTAATAAAATTCGGGGACTCTGCGGGCAGGGGGGGCGGTCGATGATGTAGCCATGTATGCGTGCATGTGGAAGGGCAGAAGGGATAAGACGATGCTAACCTTATGTAGGTTGATCGATAAGAGCTCGCGGCACTAGAACACACATGGATGCCTCGGCCGGACAAACAGCGACGCCGCTCCGCGAGTCGCACCCCTGCATATGAGATTGGGTCGCTACAGCCAATGGCAGCAAACGTGCGCGACGATGCATGAGGCTGCGGTCTCCTTCCAAGTCGCCCGACTCCAGGAATTTGCTCTGAATCCTCAACTGACTTACTCGTTTGTTGCGCACACTCGCACCCCTATTCCTATTCCTCTTCCTGTCCCTGTCCCTCTTCCTGCTCCTTCTACAAGCCCGGCCTGCGTGCTTGATGACTGCAGGATCTCCTACTACATTTCGCCTCGAGCAATTGTACATGTGCACAGAGGCGACGTCATCTGTTCGTTGAAAAAAGAATACGGACAATCCTCTGCGTGCTCAACACGACGCGACACGACATCTCGTATACTCATTCTCGCCGACTATTCTTTGTTTGACGACTGATTGTAGCACCCAATCGTCATGGCTGATCTCGACGATGCCTTCTTGGACCTGGTGGGTGGAGACGACTCTGAGGATGAAGGCTCCGAGCAGGAAATGAACATGTCAGCATCCGACTCAGAATCCGAATCCAAGCAAAAGTCCAAAAATGGTGCGACGGCGAAGAAGACCAAGAAGAGGAGGCAAGACTCCGACGAGGAAGAGGGCGAAGCGTAAGTGCTTTCCTGCTTTCCTCCTGAGGTTTACCCTCGGCTTCACTGTCCAGCTTCAATGTCCAGCTTCACCTTCACCCCCTCAATTCACGTCCCATGTGTTGCGTGTAGATGCGTTTATTTTTTCTGTTGCCTCTCGAATAAATCTCGTCCCCGAGCTTGAACACAGCTTGCGCAACGACCGCTACATAACACAGACACCTCACATTCCCACCTGCTACAATACACTGCTTACAATCACTCCTCTACTTTCTTCTTCTTCTTCTTTTTTCTTTTTTTTTGTCCACAAGCACGCGCCTCTCAATCACTTGTTGCACGCCTTTCGACTACACGTTTTCGAACCACCAGCACCTGGCTAATCATGTCTCACAAATACAGTTCAGACGCTGAATCGGCAGCATCGCAAGAATCCGTACCGATGGACGAAAGCGATTCTGAGGCCGGCACCCCCGCGCCCAAGGCCAATGGAGCAGTCGTCGATGAGGACGACAAATATCCTTATGAGGGCATGTTCGAAAGCGCACACGAGAAGGCCGAGATTATGAGCATGCGCGAGGTTGAGCGAGAGCAGATATTAGCCGATCGTGCTCAAGAGATCGACCGACAACGACAGACTCGCCTGCTTCGCCAATTGGTTAGCGGCGACAAGAAGCGCAAGGCAAGCGACGCAGACCCTGACGGAGAGCAGCGCAAGACTTCGCGACAACGCACCAAGCTTGGCGGTTCAAAGGTGGGCGAGACAAGCGCCGGTATCGAATCACTGCGACGCGCCAGAGCTGAGAAGAGTGAACGACAACGTCGTCTAGCCGACGACCGCGAGCGCAACAAGAAGTCGGTCGCCATCTCTCAGGACAGCCCAGATCGCGGCTACGACGACGGAAGCGATGTCGAATGGGGCGATTCCAAGAGACGCCGGTCCAGGACTCGCACGCCTGAGATCAAGGAAATCCCGCTTGCAGATCTGCATGATATCAAGCGGGTGAGGCTCGGTCGGAGTCGCTTTGCCCAGATATGCTTCTTTCCAGGCTTTGGAGATGCCATCACCGGCTGCTTCACTCGAATTTCCATTGGTCCTGATCCACGAGCCGAAAACGGACACAATCAGTACCGCATGGCAGTCATCAAGCGTACGATGAACCCCTAAGCGACACCTAGTAAGGATTTTACTGACAGTTCCTAGGCTTTGCGACTGGCAAGCCATATGCCATGGAGAAAGCCAATGGACAGACTTTCGTGACGGACCAATATGTCGTGGCTGCTCACGGTAAGGCGGAACGAGAATGGCCTTTCATCGCTTGCTCCGACAGTGATTTCACAGAGGTGGGTGGTTTTCTTCTTTCCTATTCGTCATTGCTCTCTCACACATGTACCAGGGCGAATTTCACCGCTACAAAGCAACACTTCAACATGAAGGGTTGAGCCTCCCTAAGCGGCCGAGTTTGGTTGCGAAAATTGATGACATCAACAATCTCATCAACCGCAAATGGAGCGACCATGAGTTGAACGAGAAGCTTCAGCGTGAGCGTGAAATGCGTAAGAAGTATGCGCCGGACGAGCGCGATCGCCTTGCAAAGGCCTTGGACGACGCTCGGGCACGTGGCGACGATGCCAAAGCGACCGAACTACAAGATCAACTCGACTCCTTAGAAACACCACGACTCGCCTGGAAGACTAGCTTATCATCATCATCATCCGCCAAGAAGTCCTCGACGCCGAACGCCAACTTGTCACAGCAGGAGCGTCTTGCTCAATTGAATATTGAGAACAGACGTCGCAATGCCGAGGCTGTTCGAAAAGCACAACTCAAGGAGAGATCGAAGACGCGTGACATCGAAGCTCGTCTAGCCCGTGGCGAGCAAGTCGATGAGGACACTTCCAGGAGGTTACGGACTCAACCCAAGTTCCTCCGAGATGAGAATGCCCCAGCAAATAGCCCTAAGAGCACACCGAAAGGCAGCGGGGCTGCAACGCCCACCAATGGCACGCCAGCTGCCGTCCCTCCTCATATCGCCAAGCTGCAACAGCAGAGTTCTACGGGGGCTGATAAAAATGGCATCCCGCAGATCCACCGGCCGCTGATGGACGATGATATCATAGGGTCGCTGGATTTGGACATTGATGTTGATATTGACTAACTCTTTAAACTCCGACGTTTGGAATTACAGGCCGGCGAAACAGGGGTCGGTCTTTCCGACGGCGTTGCATTTCATGTATCATCTTATAATGCTGCCTGTCAAGGATATTAGCACATCTGGCAGATAAAACATGGTAGGCTAGGCCTACCCATCTGGATGTGGATGGCGTTGACACAATCAAAACATGAAAAGCTGACATGATATTCAACTGATCCCTGACAATTGAAGTGAATTGTTCTTGGAACAGACTATGATAACCCACTTATCACCCCTGAAACATTCGCGGGTCAAGTTACTGGAATTCGCTCGTTGGCCGCAGTCCTAGCCCGCTTTTCTTGTAGGCCATATCAACCATCTTCATCTGGTCGATAGAGTCCTCTCCAGAGATCCAGTACTGCGTCTTCCGGCCTTTGACCCGATTCACAAACGCCTCAAGCTGGAAACGATAGGACATCCACCACGGCTCGCCAGCAATGTCAGCAAACTCGCCACCGGCCTCCTTGAAAGTGTAGGCCTTGTGCGAGGAAGACTCGACCCAGCTCTTGATGGGACGGCGGTCAGCTTTGTCGCGGATCACATACGAATCGCTGACGTCGATGCGGTGCCATACGATGGCGTGCATGAAACCGTGCATCGTGACCACACGCGTCCGCACCTTTTCCTGGCCAGCGGCAGGTATCTTGTCATTATCGTCGTCGTCGTCGTCGTCGGAGACCACGACCTCCCTGTGCGTGACGCGGGCCTCGCTCGGCTTCCACAACAGCGGGCCCCGCAGCGTCGACGTCGCCTCGCCGACCCCACCGTTCGGGAACCGGAACGACGCCCGGAAGTCCGCGTCGCACCGGTCGTGCACGCCGTCGCCCAGCACCCCGACCGAGCACCCCACACACTCGTCCGCCTCGCCCCCGAAGATCATCCGCAGCATCGCCACGTTGTACGTCCCCAGCTGCATCAGGCTGCCCCCGCCCATCGCGTAGTTGAACTCGATGTTGTCCGGCGCCGTCAGCCACCACGGCACCATCGTGTCCGTGTGCGCGTGCACCACGTCCGCCGGGCTGACGAACGACAGGAACTTGTGCACCGCCGGGTGGAACCGGCTGTGGAAGGCCTCCAGTATCACGGGGGCTCTGCTGGGCCGCGAAAGCTCCGGCAGATTGAAGAGGACCGAGGCTTCGGCCTCATTGTTGACCGACGGCTTCTCGAGCAGCACGTGCTTGCCGGCGCGGATCGACCGTACGGCCCACTCGTAGTGCAGGCTGTTCGGCAGCGGGATGAAGATGGCGTCGATGTTGGGGTCGTCGATGATGTCTAGAACACATCAGTCAGGATAGGCGCTTCTCCAAGTTCTGGCTCAGGCGCCGGGAGTTATCAGAATTTACCCTGGTACGTGTCTCTCACGTCGGGAATCCCGTGCTTCTTCGCAAACTCCTCGGCACGGGCCCGGTCCCGAGCTGAGATGGCCTGAACAATGACCTCTGGATGTGATGCGGCTGCGGTGATAATAGCCAGGGGCCTGTTGAGTGTTAGTGGCGGGCACCTCCAAGAATGTCTCTCGGGACGAGAAGCCTAACGCAATCTTAGCAGCTCCCAACACGCCGAATCTGATGGCACCATCGGCCTTTTCTACTTTTGGCGGATTGAAGGCCGTGTAGATACGGCTCAGAAGTGCATACATCTTGAGAAATCTTTTAAATATATATTCTTCTCTTCAAGGTAAACGATTAGATAGTCATGGGTTCACCGCTAGCGGTTCTACCAGTCTCTGAAAACCAAAGCAGACCGAATTCTATATATTATATTAGTGCAGGATTGGACCACATCTTTGCCGAGAAACGAGAGGACGCGAGGACGAGAGGCTTAGATGGAAACACAAGAAACCGTTCGAGCGACAGGGGTAAAACAGCTTGGTCACTTGCATCTATCACGGCAACATACAAACAACCGAGCATAATAAGTCTCCGCCCACCCACCCGATTCGCAACAAAACTTACCAAGTATACTATATCATGACAACTTGAATCGAGTTGGCAAAGATATAAAGTTTAGATCATTTGAATATTCCTGTATTCATCTTTTTACTCAAAACGTATTTTGTTTTGTTCAATACGCTCTTCGGTGCGATGTACCTCCAGATAGAGATTATGCGGAATTCCGTTGTAAAAGCACCAAATCTTACAGGCGGAGACTTTTGCTCGATGCATGTATTATGAGGATTACAAATATAGGCGAGCGACCACCCCGACGGTCCAAATGATGCCCGCATGAGGCGCAGCGGGCTGCAGAATCCCCAAACAATACATCGATGCGTCTCAACTCGAAAAGATCGATGCTTCGTCTCGCAACCGTCGTGTTGGTGTTTGGCTATCTAATGGATGTCGATACCATCTAAGTGGAATTTGGAGCTAGACCTTTTACACTTTGATCATTGATGTACAAGCGGAAAGAACGAATACCTGAAAGGTTGTCTATAAGTGTGACGCCAATCGCCTCCTGACCTTGTCGGCTCACATATCATGTGAATCCTGAATCCACATCCATATCGACACACGCGAACCTACCGTTCCACTTCCCGGTCTGAATAGTCTGCATATCCTGTACTATGGAGGTTCTTCGAGAGTGTCACCGCCAGGTTGTGGAACAGGTTGAAGCCGCCATTGCTGGCAGTGAACTGGCCGCCCCAGCCATACACGCCCATGCTCGCCTCGTCTCTGGCGTTCGTTCTGGTGCCGTTGCCTGTTAATCTATATGCCACCGTGATGAAGTTAGCTGCCCAAGGTTGTTTGGCGGAGCCGTCCCATTTGGCCCATTCGTGTACGTGAATAGTGCAGATCTGAGGTGTCTGTGTTGGCGTCGGGTTCGTCGAAGAAGTGACATGAGACCACGCGCAGACTCTGTCTGTGCTACAAACTGTCGGCTTTTTATTGCTTTTGTCATTGGCGCAGTTTAAAACAAGATCCTTGCAGTCTGAATCGGAAGAGCACTTTGCTGATACTTGGGTGCTCAGCGTGCTACTAGTTGCATAGCTGATAGTGGCACTTGGTACGTTGGCAGTCGATGGCGAACCACCATCGCTCGTGGCCGGATCACCGTCGACAGAACAGGCAGCCCGCTCTACATCGGGTGGAAAGTCATCGCTGCGTCTGCTGTTGCTGCTCCGGCCGGCTGCAATTTTCTCGATCTCCACAATTTGGCCTTATCTGGTGTCCATTCTTGTGTCTGTCACCAAGCTCTAAAGATTGTTAGCAAACACCATTGTTGACGGCCATTGTTGTTGTCATAATTCTGGGTTTGTTACTTACCGCACCATTCAATCCAGACATGCCACATTGCTTTTGGCTGTTTGTTTGTCTGCTTCCTGCTTGAAATCAGGTCGAGACGCGGAAGACTGATATTGCACAAGATCTTGACGCGGTGCGTATTGAAACCTAGGTCCCCGTAGTCTTCACAGGGGTTTCCAGTGGGTGGATAAATCCGCACCTCGTTTGTTTCCTCGACCATGATAATTTTATCAGTTTGCCATATTGGGGCACAGTCGGTCGTCTCTACTTTGGTGTTCTTTCCGAACATGTTCTTGAGCTCCTCGGCTAGTCTTGGGATATACCTCGGATATAGGTGCGTCCCAACTTCAGGCGTCTTCGCCAAGACACTTCGATGTGTCTATCTTCCTGACCTGTGCGGATGTAGTTATGTTGTCGTGATTTCACAACCTGGCGCCTGGGTCAGCCATATCTGGCTCGGAACCTCTACTAGGAGCGACTCGCCGGTCTAAATGAACCGCTCACTTGTTAAAACAGGTAATATCACCGCGTCCACACTACACGCTGTTCAAAAGAATAAAAATAAAAACGTTCCTGGTAGTAGTTGTGGTTGTTATAGACCCTGCAACGGTATGGTATCACATGCTGTTGTCGTTTTGTAGGCCTGTGACAAACAATGCTTCAAATTTCTGCGAAGCAGCACCTACACCTGAGTACTGTGTTCATGTACCGTTTTTCGTAGTCACTGAGTAGAAGACACTTTCATAGGTTGCCGTAGCAGTCGGAGTACAGGAATTACTTGTGGCAGTGGTAGGGTCATTATTCGTGCTTGAGACATGTGATGGGTGTCGTTATTGTCTCTAATTTTTTTTTTTTCATTTGCCGTTATCTTTGTTTTTATCAGATGTGCAATTCCCAATCTTGAACCCAAAGACCCCAACACAAAAATATGGGAGGTTGATGCGAATGCTCGGGTTTGTGAAAGATGATATACATCCTCCAAGAAACCAGAGGGTGTTGCCGCTTGGCACAATCACAGGGGCTATGGTCGGACTGTCGTCACCAGAAGTACTTGTTGTGGTTAATGTACTCTCGGTGAAGCCTCCTGTGAGTGTTTTGATCTTAGCACCTGGAGAAAGTATTGTTCAAGTCGTGAGGGCTGCTCCTAAAAGTGTTGAGGAAAGAGATGTAGCAGTAAAGAACGACATAGCTCCATCCACATCTGGTTTGATCCTATAATCATCGCTTGAAACACCGCCAGTACCGTTATACTGTGAACCTCCCAGAATGTCGACCAGGTCACATGTGATAGTATGTATTTTCTCAACCAGTCCTTGCGCTTTCTGCTTCCCCAGAGAAGTGTTGTTCCAGTTTGGACAATCGCAAAGGTTTGAGCCGCGGGGAAGTTGGATCACAACTACACAAGAAATACTCCAGACCACGGTTAGACTTTCAGAATAGCCCACACCTATATACATTATAAATGTAAAAGAGGTACGAGTCTTGCAATCTTCCTACCCGCTTGAACTGCAGTGTAACAATTTAATCTTGAGCTTAACAGCTAACGGAACGTAGAATAAATGCTTAATTGTTGGTTTGTTCTTCGATATATGTGGGTGGAAGCACGTTGCATCATCACATCACCATGGAGATCCTTTGACCGAAAACATGAGGCAACAGGACCAACATATTCTCGGCGTCTTCCTGTAATGAGTTGTTACTATACTTATGAAAAGAAGAGAAAAAAAACCTCACGGTACACGATTGACATCATCATCAGGACAATTACGCCACAACAACGCCTTAACGATTAGTTGACACTGTCTTGAGCCATTAGACATAGATAGTTACCTCCAACCCTGTATTGAGCTTTGATGAAGACATATGTTATATCAGAGCTCGTTGAGATTCAAACCAGAGAATACGGTGCGCCTACATAACACTTTGTTAGCTTCCAATTGCAATGCAAAACGACGTACAACAGCATAGCGAATGCAAGGAAATAGAGCTGGTATCAAAACCAGTTCCCAAGCAACTAAAGAGTTGCTCTGCTGTATTAAGATACACTGGCAGATTACAAGGTCCTCAACTTACTTCTTAAATATGAAGCGGACCCAAACATTGGCCTGCGTGATCTGCATATATCACAACGACAAGAAACATGTCATCTGGGCCCGCCAGGCATCGAGGGAAGATCAGGTCAGACGCTCGAAATGGCGCTGGGTCAGGATATAAAGACCATTGATCTACTCATACCTTATCGGAAACGATTTGAATATGTTCATCCGCTACATATCATAGCTTCGAATGAGCAGAGGCGGGAGAATTAACTCAAAGGAGGAATTTCCCATGTGAGTGTTTGTCTGATCATTGCAAGTCTTCGCGAGCGTCTGAAGTGCCCTTGCTGATTTCTGCTCACATTCAAGTTCGGTGATAAGCTTATACCCGACTATGATGTATTCAAGACAACCCTCTCGCATGCGTATGGGTATCAAGACTAACCTAGTCTAGTGTGTCCTTAAATGGCTACTTAAACATGGTGCCCGACCCTGAATTGCACCACAGGAAAGCATATCATCCAGGCCTTGAAATGTATGGAATAGCTGATAAGGAATATATATTAGCAAGAAGAGAGAAGTCCTCACAGATAGTGGCTCGAGTGGAGCAAGAACAGCAAGAAAGGGGTAATGGCAATAATCATGTTGAACAACAATGCAATTGCTACCTATAAGCCGATGGAACCAGGACAAATAGTAGTCAATGCTCCAGAAGTACATTTACAAGAACTATTGTTATGCAAGAATTCAAATGCATAGACCATTTTAGTGATTTCTGACTCAATCTTCTAATTCCAAAGCCTCTACTGTGTATTTCCACAGCTTCTCTTCCTTCTCCTGATCAAAGGCGTAATCTGTGACACCCTTCACAGAAGGAATAAGAGGCTGTGATTTTGCGACCTCGCAGTCCTCGAGGTAGACACCTCCTCTGCCCTCCCACTCCTTGCCCAAGGCTGCTATCACCGTAGTTCCAGCCCCTTGCTCTGGACTCTTGAACCACTTCTGGAGGAACTCGCTCTCTGCCATCATCTTCTCAGTGATTGCAGCGGGAACGAAGCGAGTGATGCGCGTCTGGATGCCGCCAGGCATTAAGCTGTATGCATGGATGCCTTGTGAGCCGTACAATCTGTCGACCTGATTGGCCATATAGATCTGCGCCAGCTTGCTCTGACCGTAGGCATCCTTCGGCTTGTAAGCACCATCCTTGGTGAAATTGATATCATCAAAGTCAATCTCGATAACTTGGTGTGAAGCGCTAGCGACATGAACGAGGCGAGAGTTGAACTCTGGCCTAGACGACTTGAGCATCAAGTCTCGCAGCAACCAAAACAGCAGAAAATGTCCCAGATAGTTGGTCGCGAGATGCGTCTCGAACCCGTCGGGAGATTCTTCGCGCTTGGGTATGTACATCACACCTGCGTTGCACACAAGTACGTTCAATACGCCACCAGATTTCTCCCTAAACTCGGCGGCAGCAGATCGAACAGACGAAAGCGATGCGAGATCGCCTTCGATGAGCTCGACACGCCCCGGCTCAAGGAAGGCAGCACATGCCTCTTTGCCATTGTCCAAGTCGTTGACGAGCATAAAAACGCGTCCACCAGTCGCTGCCAAGGCACGCGCCGTCTCGACGCCAATCCCGGACGTACACCCGGTGACGAAAAACACCTAAGGGGTGATTCGTTAAAATGTGCGAAAACAGAGTCCCGCTGGTTCCTTACCTTATCTTTCATAGTGCCCTCTCTACCTTCATCTTGGACAATCTGCAATGCGGTTGGCCGAGCATCTCCTGGGCCGTTAGGGTTCTTGTGAGCTTCTGCGTATCGAGACATAGCAACATGCGAAGGAACAATTTAATTTCTAGCAAGATGATCTTCGTGTTGTTCTGTGTTGGACATAATGAAGACATCGTAGGATGTCGAGGAGACACACTTTATATTTGCGGCGTCGACTGCTTACCTGGCAATTCCGCCTTACAATCCCGACAAGTTTATGAGGATATACAATTTGTGCAATGTGAAGAAGTCACGGAGCGCGGTCCGTTAAATCGAGATCCAAGCACTGGATGCAGGATTGCACGGCATAGCAAACAACTTTTGAAGTCCGGTATACATGCTGAGCTGGTCCGCCACCGGCGAGCCAGATATGGTAAACACAAGACCTTGATAGTGGGCGGAATGTGCGAACTCCGGAGCTTGAAACCCGTCCGACGGACGGATCTCTTGCGGGGAGCCGTTTTCAGTTGACCACCATAAGCACTGTAAGTTCTGCTGCCTCACAATCTAGGCAGTAATCTTTTCGCTTATTATAATCTCATAGGAAGCATACTGTATGTTTCACAGTCTGGTGCCGTGGAATTCTGACTTGCTCGGCCGTCTTTGTGGATCTTTCCGGCAGTCTGTGCCCCACAAACCGGAAAGGAGCTTGAAGCAGTAACTCCAAACCAAGCGCCTGAGGAGATTTACCGTACGGAAAATGCTTGTCATTGTGTATGCCCAAGCGCTTGTCTGTGTCTTGCTATGAACCTCGCTGCTTCCGCGGGTGAAGCCCGCCTACATTTCACTAAGATACATAATCTCGCAAATCGAATTCAGTTGAGCTACATCACAAATTACGGATGGTGAAGGTTGGAATCGGAAAACCGAGGATCCAATCTTATGTTGGCAGTAACTAGCTACAGATACGAATCCATATACAGGTTGTGAAACTTCTGAATGTCCATCCAATGCTTGAGCATTTGACCGTACAGTTTTTGATTACAAAGATTGTACTTTGAGCATAAGCCGGTCGGAGCACTCGGACAGCAATTCCGCATGCACAGAAAACACAGTATATTATACCTCAAGATGCACTGTAATGCTTACGTCCCAAATGCTCACGACCATGGATCTATCATTGGTTGCCATCAACAATAGCACCTTAGCGAAGCTTAGAGGACCACTCACTTTAAGGTGTTGAATAAGTAAAGGACTATCATTCGTCCCAGCTTGTATTAAATCTTAAGCTACAATCCGAAGTCTTCCCTTGGATCGATTGCAGCAAATGTCACACGTGCAAGGCATCACCCAGATCGTCCGAGCCGTCCAGGTTGACGGAAATGACGGGGATGCTAACGACCCTATCACCGGCGGTCCTGGCCCCGAGATCAGGACCAGCGCGACTATAGCAAATACAAACACCTCGGCCGAACATCGTGATGGTCTTATAGCGGCAAACCAGCCACCAGATGCGCGAAGACCGTCTTCTACCGCCGTGGTCCTGCTGATGTCTCCGCTATGCCTATCGGTATTCCTCTCCTCGCTCGACCTGACGGTTGTGACACCGGCTATACCCTCTATTGCCAGCACTTTCCACGCGGTCGAAGGCTATGTATGGGTCGGGGGCGCATTCGTCCTTGCTAGCACCGCTATCACGCCCGTCTGGGGGTCGGTAGCAGACATATGGGGTCGTAAGCCCATTATGCTCACCTCGTTGGTCCTGTTCCTCGGAGGATCTCTTCTTTGCGCGTTGGCGCCGAAGCTCGGGGCTTTGATCGCCGGTCGTGCGATCCAAGGTCTAGGATCTTCGGGTATGAGCGCTATGGTGAATACCATCATTTGCGACACGTTTTCTATGAGAGATCGCGGGTTGTACCTCGCCATCACCTCAGGAGTTTGGGCTGTTGGCAGTGCTGTTGGGCCCATCATCGGTGGCGTCCTGACGTCGCGGTTAGAGTGAGTTATGGAGATCAAGAAACCAATGGAGAGCCATGTCGCTGACGATGAGCAGTTGGAGATGGTGCTTCTGGATCAACTGTGAGTAAGCGTAGCTGTTCATTAGTGTAATACTAACAAGTTGCTAGTACCAATTGGTGTTTTGGTTTTCATCGTTCTACTATTCTACCTCAACGTACCATCACCAAATACGCCTGTTCTCGTCGGCTTGAAAGCCATTGATTGGTCTGGAAGCTTGCTAATAGTTGGCAGCGCAACCATGGTCCTTTTGGGGTTGGAATTCGGAGATGTGGTATTTCCATGGTCTTCCACAACAGTAATATGTCTGATCGTCTTTGGTGTTGTCGTCATTGGTATTTTTGTCGCCAACGAGTGGAAGATAGCCATGAATCCCGTCATTCCCTTACGCCTGTTCTCGAGCAGGTCTACTGTGGCAGCGTATGTTGTGTATGCATGCACATTCTATGTGCTGATCGGTCTGTCTTACTACATTCCGCTGTATTCACAGTCGGTGCTGGGTGCCAATGCCTTGCAGTCTGGTGTCCAACTTCTTCCCCTTATTGTCTCATGCTCTCTAGCAGCTGCCGCCACCGGTGCCTTTATCCAGCGGACTGGCGTCTACTTGCCTGTGATGTACGCTGCCCAAGTAATGCTGACACTCGGAGTGGGTCTTCTGATCAATATTCATTACAACGAGAGTATTACCAAGATGGTCGTCTTCGAGATCATTATCGGCGTTGGAGTAGGCATGAACATCGAACCGCCCCTCCTCGCAGCTCAGGCGGCGGCCACAGTACTTGATACAGCAGCTGTCATTGCGACGATGAATTTCACTCGGTCTATCTCGACAGCCGTTGCAATTGTCGTGGGCGGCGTCATCTTCCAGAACCAGATGAGCGCCGCTAATGCTGACCTCGTGACAAGACTCGGCTCTCAATTGGCTAGTGCGTTCGACGGCGACCAAGCCACGGCTAACGTCGAGCTCATTTCTTCATTACCACCAGCCCAGGCAATCCAGGTGCGCCAAGCATATTTTGGAGCATTTAGAGGTGTCTGGATCATGGTGAGATGTCCACAATATGCGACCTTTTCGAACGGCGACATATTGCTAACTTGAAACTTTGCAGTTCGTCGTTGCCGCTGCGGTGGGTTTACTTGCCAACTTGTTCGTAAGCGCTCACCACTTGAGTGCCACAAACGAGGAAGTTGTGCTTGGGGCAGACAGGAAAACGGGCAACGAATCCCGACAGAACCCGACGAACCAGGGAAACGCGCTTGAGCTGGGCGAGCGAGATATTGTCGTGACGTGATCGCAGACGGTGTGGAATTGAAGGAAGAGTTTGAAAAGTAAAAAAGGAAGAGAGAAAAGTCGAAAGCATGGAACCTGCACGTTTCGAACTCGCAACCTGCAACGACCAGGACGTGGAGATTGTCAAAAAAAGAAAAAAAAAAAAAAAGAACCTGCCGTCCGAACTGGCAAAAGAGTTCGCCCGTGTGCCATGGTTACTTCTCTGCCTGCTGTTTGGCTCTGCTCTTTTTTTCGTTTTTTTTTTCGTTCTGGTTTATGGTTTTCTTTTTTGGCTTGCTGTTATGCTCTGCTCTTGTTGTGAGAGGTGGAAGGGAGGGATTTTTAGATAAAGTCTGTAACATGTTACCATTCCACCACATGGCCGCCCGTCACCCACTTGGGGACAAGAGAATCTCTTGGATTTAAACATATATGGCCATTGCAGGTTGGATTGTTCTGACGAAACCGAAACCGTAAATGAATGGCTATCTTGGCGAGACTGTGCTAAGGGTGAGGACTTTTGCGCAAGTATTTCGTTGGTAGCCTTTGACGTCTTCCAGGAAATTTCCTGGGCAGAGCCGGTCCTGGGGCAGACGATTCCATGCTGTTCTAGCCCGATAGAGATCTGTTGTGATGATGAGATGACAATCGACATGTCAGTTTCTGACGTGCCTGCAGTAGTGGCATCTACGGCTTGATGCTGAATTATTGCTACATGATTCATCAGGCAGCATGGAAACTGCAAGAGGTAGTGGTTGATGTGATGATCGGAAAGTCAAAGGTCTCCAATCAGTATAAGGCACAAATATGCTGTCCATTAACTTCCAACCGCTAGCGGGTTGTGGATATGAAAGTCAACGTAAGATCGGGCATTGAGATTATTAGGAAGGAATAATTTACAAGTCAGAATACGCAGTCGCTGCCACAGGGGCAGCGATTAGCTAAGCGCAGCCGCTGGATTCATGTAATACCTGGCTAGCCACTTAAGTAGGTGCACGTACTGCTTACTGTAAACGGTCTGCGAGAAGAAATACGTGCCCGAGAGACAAGTCTAAAGACAGTGTGATGTCTCATACAGATGCCAATAACATCGAGTAGAGTCAAGACACATGACAAGTGGTGACTTAACAATTTCCCATACAACAGTATGCGAGGATCATGATGATATCAAACGATGATAGTGGCGCAACATTTTTAACACGCCAAGCGATGGTCATAATTCCATAGTTTCAAAGCGGCGCGTGCCGTTTATAACAATAACTAAACAATCGCAAAACATATAGGTGAAATCCCTTTCCTGGACGCCTATTACTCATCAAGGGTAATGTGTTCTACACATAATGTACCGAATCATGATCCAGAACTACCACCTGAGCCCCATCATCCTGAATCGTAATGTCGTAACTCGTATTCAAACGGTATTAATGAGCTTCTAGTCAAATGCAATGTCTTTTGCATCGGTCCCCTAAACACCGACCTGGGACATGGAAGGACGGCTGCGAACGGAACCACCGGCACCACGGAAGGCACGGAAAGCGAAGAACATGGTGGCGATGTAGCAGGCGAATAGGAACCAGAAGAAGACATCACTGGCCTGAATCAGGCGGCATTGCTTCTGGTCGTTCCCTGTGCCGTATGCAATGTAGTTGCTGCCCTTATCACCCTGTAACGCACTAGTTAGTAAATGCAGCGTTGCGAAAGGGCATGGGAGTGCCTACGATGTGGGAGCAGTTGACAGCGCCGAGTTTGGCTGCCAAGACAACGGCAGCGATAAAGGTGAACAGCACCGAGAGTCCATCAAGCACGAGGACAGCGATGGGGATGGCGACAGAGGTAACGAAGCCGGCGATCAGACCATAAAGCAGTGTAATCCAGGACAGGACGGCAACAAAGATGGCGAAGTTGAGTGAAGCCTTGGCTTGGCCGGAAGCTCCATCGTAAGATGCGATAGCGCTACCAATAAGCGCGGTGATCAGGAGGGTCCAGAGGAACTGGAGAATGCGTAGGATGTTGTTCACCATCTGCATCTTGACGGTTGCAATGAGAAATGGCGATGACGATGACAATGAGATCAGTGGTGGGGTTTATTGATCTTATGTTAATCAAAATTGTTGTTGTTGTTGCTGTTGCTGGAGTGAAATGCGGGACTGGAGGATTGGCTTGTGTTTGTGAGGAGAGTGGATTGATATCTACAGCACAGAAGCCTTCAAGGTAGTATGAAGGCTTGCAGGGTCTTTGTACGGTTTCCGTGTCGACCCAATCGATGATGCAGTGCTGAGCCCTCACAGATCGGCAACAGCGGGCAGCGGCGGATTCTATGACGTTAAGTGGCGCGGTGCTGCGCTGCGAATAATGATGTGTCAGCTTCGAGTCTAAGTTTAAGCGCCGGAAGACGAGACAATACAATCATCGTGTCCCAATGTCGACCAGCTTGAACTTTCCTTGTCACAGCACCATGGATGCGCAGTTGCAACATCACGATATGCCCAGACCAGTCTAACAGCATTAAGAAAAGCTTCGAAATAACAGACGACACTCAAATATACACCAGGTCTGAGCTGACAACGCAGTGGGATTTTCACCACGCGTAAATGCATGTCTCTGCATTCCAGCATTTTCGGACACCGCGTGGACTAGCAGACGGCTCGAAACAACACGGCACAGTCTGGTGAAAAACGTAACTAATGTCGTCAAGGAAACAGGTGAGGCCTCTTTTCAGTTCTCTGACTTCTACCTAGTCCACGTCTATTCTAGTTCAGACAGCGAATTTGTATGGTTGCATTTGAGATTATTGACTTTCGAGTTGGACCCCCAAAGTCCTTGCTGCGCGGTTGTGCTTCACGGTTGACCGGCCAGGGCCAGTTGATGCTGTCATACCCTTGTCGACTGCGATCTGGGGGATTTGCGGGTTCCACACAGGCACCATTAGTGATTGGATAGCGCTGGCCTGGCAACCTCTATGGATCCGTAAAGGACCCTGCATCGACCTGTCGAGGTCTCCGGCACTTGCAGCCGTGACTGCACGCTTTGCATCATGAGACGCCCAGAGCAGAAATAAGCTTTCGCGTCATTCAATCATCTACCAGACCTCGGATGTTTTGCAACATGCGCCTTTATGCACAGCCGGACCCGCTGATGGTAAATTTCCCGAAACTGGATAGCTACTATGTAAGACAAAATATGTTATGGCGACTGAAGTCTTGTGAATTCCTACGTTGCCAGGTGCAGTGCAGTGATGGGACATGAAAACACTTGCCCGTCTACAGTCAATGCTGGGAATCGTCGGCACACGTTGCCTAATGCAATCTTACCACATTCTCGTTCGAGGCTCTAGGTTGACGATCCGATATGGAATTCCTGAGCACTGCTAACCCCCTGCCTGAGCTTATTCTTGATTGACGCAGAGAAAAGCCTAACTGACATTTTCCTCCGGTACACTACCGGCGCGCGGGATCACGTCAATAACGGAGTTAGCGGCGAGCGATTTGTTAATAGCGCTGTCAGTTTTTCCCTTCAACCACGCCAAAAAGATATCACTTGAAAACACCAAAACCGTGAGAAGCATCATCGGGATACTGCTCATCGGCGAGCATTTGCAATACGGCTGCTTCATATTCACAATTGTGTGGGCGGCCGCTCGTCAGTTACGACAAAATGCCCGGTCGCATTCCCGTGCCCGATCGCAAAGAGGCGGTCGAAATAGAATCGCCATGCAAATGTACAGTCGTGCAACATGTCGGGGATTACCTCACTTTGAAACGTCCAAAGCTGTAAAGTTCAGACAATTCTCGTGCAAGGTTTGTCAATTCAGCAGACAGTTGATGTCAACCATGCATGCATTACGATTACGATTGATCTACCATAATATTCTTAGAGATCTTTTCTTCCCTTTTCATCTTTCCCGTTCTCACAAACTCCATCGAAATCACCATACTGCTTCAAGCCTTCGAGCGTAAACTTCTGGAATTCGTGGAGCTCGCAGCTAGCTCCTGGTCCGCTTTGGCACTTGGGAATTGGACGAGGTGCGCTGTTCGCCAAGACCCTGATGAATTCCGACCCTCCTCTCGCTCCAGATTCAGGACCACATGTCATTTTTTCGATACCAATGTGGCCCAAGAAGGGGATGAGCTCTGCCATTTTCCAAGCGCGGGGAAAGTTTATCCTGTCCACTGGCATTACCTCGTCAATGCTAGCCGAGGAGTCAAATATGCCCAATGCCGTTGCAAGGAATGGTGGAACTTCTCGATGAGTAAATGCGACGAAGAAGCGCTGGCCGTCATCGTCCTTGTTTCTGGTCGATGCGCCGTCACTCTCATGGAGTTGAGAGAAGAGAGAGGCCGTGACATTCAACCACGGAAACCCAAGGTAAGGAGATAGCGGGTTTCCAGGCCCAACCATGTAGAAATATTTCAGATCCCAGAGGTACTCATAAGCCATCCACTCCATTGGCGTGAAAATGTCACACAGCGTGCTGGAATTGCCCGTGATGGCGCTCTCATATCCGCAGAGCTGCTGAAGCCCAACAATCATGTTCGCTGTCAGCTCGAAGGGCGCGTGCGGTTGCAATCGCTTGATCGTTCCCTTGGTGTACTCATGAGCGAAAATTTCTAGTTCCTTATCGCCAGCAGCTTTTGTGAATTTTTTACACGTTTTGTGCGGGACGACCTCGTGGAATTCGTGGTGCGCGGAGATCTGCTCCAATTTGACCTCCTGGGGGAAAGCCTCGATGAACGCCCTGGCCGTGTCACGAGTACGGTCTTTCTTGTCAGTGTAGACCTTGGTAGTCGTAGGCACTAGCTTTGGATACCGACGAAATAGATGTTCGGCGACTTTGGTTGAGTCTTCGGCGCCGGCGGGCGTCAGCTGCTCCATTTGCTCGTCGATGTTGGTGTATGGCGACTTCCACTCGTTCAGGACAGAGAGCGGACCAGTCCATTCCCTTTCAGCCTCCTCCCACTCCGACAAGAACGGCTCCATGAACAGCTCGTAGTCATTGTCGTTGGCGTAGATGGCTGCATGGCGCACGAGGTAACTTGCTGCTGTTACTTCGCAACCTAGTGGCGCTTGGTGCTCCAGCCCGAAACCAACAGCCTAAATTAATGGTAAGCCATACACTCGTACAAGATTGCTGGTTGAATAATTACATCGAAGTACGGACTGATTCCTGGCAAATGCAATAACGCATCGAAGGAGTAGTTCTGGGAATGAGTCTGAATATCCAAGACAGGCTCTACCTTTCTGAGAGGGATTTGAGCTGCCCACGAGAACGTGATGAACAGCGTTGCCGCTGCCTGTGTCCACATGACTGCTATTGATGTTAAGCAACGCACTTGAAGAAGATAGAGATTATGGAAACGGTACGTATCGTACAATTTTCTTCCCGAGTAGGTAACGCCAAGCCACTACTGTCGATGACGTCAGTGGAGCCAGATTCCGCGGTGGTCAGGTACGGATCGTCGATGATCTTCAGGCACAATCTCCATTTTAAGAATGTGGCCCGCGTCGCTACTCCATGAATGTAGACTCGTGCGCTTGGTGGTCTTCTTCGGTCTCAATTCCACGGACACGATATTGTACCAATATGAAGTATGTTCCGTAGCAGACATTCAGAACAGGCTGTTAATTATGTGTCGTCATTGAACTGGTAATAAATTCCGACTATGAGCAGCAGTAATATTACTACACGGACAGTCTAGACTGTGGTGTAATAGGCTTATCCAGGTAGCTTCGCGATTTCTACGCATCCTCCTCAGATTTGATCGATTCGTACATCATTCAACGACAGCCAAGCCGATACGCAACGGTAATCATTATAGGCATCGACGGGGTTCCCCTTCTATCAAGACTTCTAGAGAAACTAGGAGTAATGATTATGTCTGAATGTCCTGAGAACATGTAACCTTGCATATGGTTGATTGCGAATTCAAAATAATGTCTGTGTATGAGCCTGCGCGAAGCCATAGGAGTTTTGTTTGTACTTAAGTCATTGAATGCAAATCAAACTTCGATCTTGGGAAGCTGGCCGAAGAGCGCAGTCTTAAATAGACACTTTCGGTTACTGACAGCTTACGCTTTTGTGATGACCTGCACAAATTGTAATTCTGCGTGCCTCGCAAAGCTCCATCGAGCGCTATGATGATTCCGCAACTGGAAGGATCTCGTCTCAGCGGAATCGTCCTATAAGTACATAGCAAGTCAAGTTGGTGCATATACTCGAGGAACGAATTTTCTTTTCTGCTCTGAAGGCCCAACTATCACTTACAATCGATACGTTATCTCTTTCGCTCCAGGTCCATGGCATTAATATAGCTTACTAAGACTTTCGGGCTCAATGCAACACCTTCCGACATTTCTAGAGATCCTTGATCGGTTGTGTCTTCAATAACACGGCGTACTTTGATGGGGCTTATGGTTTCAATCCATTTCTTGGTTTGTGTAGACGAATCAGACCAATACGAGGATTGCAGCAGAACCAGGACGATCGCAGAGGATTCCCCCATGTGTGTAGAAGTACTAGGAGTTTATCCAGGCAGATCAGGCAAGTTCCCTCTAAGTTTCGTCCAGAGCGCCATCTGCATGTTTAATTCCGTATGTATATATGACACATAAGTATTGTTGAGTGTCCAATGACGGTTGTAAACATTCGTCGACTCACCTTGTTGGATGTGTTGGTGTGTCTGGAAGTGCAATATTGCTATTTCTTGCGTGGCACCACAATCAGAAGCAATTAACCTAGCGCATACGTTTCCTGCCAGCACGTTTTAGCAGTCGTAAATTAATAACTAATCTGCTGCATTTAATATCACATGCGATGCCTAAGAACAAAAGAAGCATAAAGGAGTTTCTCTTAGAAGCGCGGTGCCGTCGTACAAGAGATCCTTCATAAAGCAAGATTAGGCATAATCGGCTGATAATAAATCTCATAACACATTCTGCTCTCAGGGGCGAGAGTACACTTGGGCCGGATGTTGCAACAGATACCATTATTTTGCATTACTCAGTGTCTTAACCTCAGAAACGTAGAGCAACCGGCCGACGACATTGTATTGAGCGTTACAAGTCCGAACTTGTCGGGCAAGGTGCCTGGCGGGTCAGTAGTAAGCGGCTGGTCGTTGCGATCATTTCTAGCCTATTTGTGAGGTTCTCAAAGCCTCTTTATCGGAGCGATCATGTCCCGGTTAGATTCGATGAGGAAAGAGCATCACGCACACCATCAGAGAGAATCCCAACGTCAATGGTGCCCTGAAATCATTCTAGGTCGCTCTCATCGGTACACGTGCCAGTGAGATCGTGCCACGAAGCCGACGGTTCCTCCCGGACTGGCATAATACTGATCTTGACGACGAGCCAGCCTTTTATTTTTATTTTTAACTTTCCTTTCTCCTAGTGAAGCAGGTTGAGGAGAACGATTTAAGCCTCACAATCGCACTATACACTCAAATTCCTCACAGCTTGTCCTACTATGTCGACAAGAAAACATCAAGACCCGAAAAAGTTGCGGGCGTGTGTGTCTCAGTCCAATTTCCATCTAGTATAATCGCAAGTTTAGTATTCATAACATTTCTCAAGTTAATCGGTAATGTAACAGCCCTCTTTTACTATCCCCTCCTTCACCAACCCAGATATACCCGATTCAGATCTTGACGGAAGAAGCAGTCGTCTCGCTAGCTCTCCATAAGAGCAGAGTAGTAAGCGAGCTCCTATTCCGATTCTGTCACCGTTGCTAGGGTCTCAAGGGTTTTATCCTCAGCTGCTAAAGCGACCCAGTTGGCAAACCCATCCACGAGCTCATCAATCCTGGAAACTCTAGTCTGGATCGCCGAATTACCCAGCCCTCAATCAAATTATATGGACTCCATATGGTTGTCTGCATCTTGCCGCATCTGGACTTGGTGATTCGTCTGCGACACAATTATCAATCACCTCAAAGTTGAATATTTAAACGCTGATACACGACCGTGTCCATTTTTAGAACCCAAGCCAGTCAACAAGAGTCTCACCATTGTCAGGGAGCGTCGTCTCGATATTCGATATTCTCGGTAGACAGGATCAATGAGCCTGGGGGGGGGGTTGTTGGGCTCTCTAGTTCTCGAGAAGAACGTAGTATCAGCGCATCATTATTCACGGGCAGTAACAACTATCTTGAAGTCACCGTAGCCTTTAAAGGTACAGGTACGTCCGATCCAGCAAGCTATGGTGGTTGAGAGCCGTGTTACATTCGCGTACCTGACAAGGAAGTTCGTAATATCCGCATCGTTGATATTCAGCGAGCTCATATAGGGTGTGCGTTGCCAGTGTTCTACATAATCTTAGACTGGATATTGGTCGTTTCCAATTGATCTGACTATCGTAGTATCCAATCTGGAGCTGGTTCGTCATGTGCTACCACCTGGATTGGTGGTGTGACTGAGATTTTGTAGAAAGGAATCCGCGTTCCCGGCTTGCTAAATCATTATAGGTGTAGGAGTGTCCAGCTAAGGAGCCTTTAGCAGTTGCAGCTGGGGCCACATCTTACTTCTCCATTCGTCAACTACCTTCTGTTTATCACTTGTCCATAGACGCAGGGTATCTTTGTTGGGACCTCGTAGTTGTATGGAATCAATGAGGCGGCGAACGGCTCTAGACCAAGGTTTGTGATGATATATCGGCAAGAGCGATGGTCATAGGAGAACAGCGCGAGACTCATTAGTGGGAGGCCGACGAAAGAGAACGCTGGACCAAAAGTTCTAGCGAAGGTCGGTAACATGTATTAAAATCTAATTATACGTAAACCGCTGATTCAGTGAACCTGAGAAGAGAGGATGTTATTCTCTTGCCTCCAAATGTAGTTTTCTTCCGACATATCTGTTAGTATTTTCACAACAAACGAGACAGCTCAACCTATTTGAGTCTGGCCTTCGTCGGAACGGACGAATGACGGATAACAGGAACATACGCCTTCGATAGCTATAGTAGCTGGTCTGTGCGATGTTGCAATCTGTCGTCCTTTGAGCACATCCTTCTCATGTAAGAACATAAGTATGCCTTTCAGAAGGTGCTATCTTCAGTTTGGGATCTGGAAGCCGTGACAGAGCACTTCTAATGGTCATGTCCGGGTTTTGGAGCTTGACTCTGGTACGAGTTACGTTGTAAAGCGCCTCGGGATTCCAAAGGGCAGAAACATTTAGGGGAAGCCATGGAGACATCTTTTGAGATTTTGTAAGATATACACTGGCAAGCCAAGAAACACTCTCTGCTCATAGTGGTGGAGAATAAACCCCGGGTTAAGTCACGGTGAATGACGATATCTGATTTGGTAAATTCACTCACTATTTGGCCATTCACACTAAATCTCAGTTAAGAGATGATAAAAAAGCATAGATGGGAGCCGATGTGTGTCTTGTTCATCTATCCATCCTCTAAGTCTTGCGACATCGTGGCAGAAATCTCTAAAGATAACCTGGTTTCTAATGTACATCGAGGCAAATCGTCTATTGACTTCGTGCACACCTCTTCTATGAAAGTAGTCATATCGAATGAAGGTACAAATCCCTTACTGCATTCTACACCCATGAGCCAGACCAGACGATTTGACGGACTCGCAGTTTATGTCTCGATACCTACGAACCGCCCTCTATTTAGTCTACATAAATGGATTCTTGACAGAGTTTATGCATTGCAGTGCCTAGATATACGATGGATTTTCTCTATCCGAACGTTGTAAGTGATGGACACCGCAGATTTGATGCCCGAAGACCGCTTAGTCATGATGAAATGGTGGATATTATCGAAAGACTATTGGAAACAAGCATCCGGGCCTTCCGAATACAATGCTTTGATTGTCCCTACTTATCAATTTCCCGACTTCTAACGACTAGCATGGTTCCAGGGAGTCTGAGCCGAGGTTGAGGCCAAGTTGATGTAACGTAACAGGCTGGTGGACATCGTAAACGATAAGTCGGCCTCCAACGCGGTCCTGTAGGACATCCACCGAGGTGATGTATGCGACGAGGCTTCCGAGAGAGGCAAAAAGCCGCCGTCTTGTTCAAAACTCTCAGATCATAATAACGGTTATGTGCATCCAGCTCGTACAAGGACGCAGTTGCCCTGCATGAGCACATTAAGAATCGCTTTTTCTACCACAAGCAAAATTAGCCACTAAACACATCCAATACGACAGGTCAATCTCTGTGAAGAAACTTCGATGGTTTATTCGAAATGGAATCCATGATCCATCATTGCAGTGCAGAGCAAGTAACTACTGTTCCAGTTATCCTGGACAGCTACCCTACGGTGGTGCCAAATGCAGCACGAAATACAGTACTTGGGAACGAGATCGTGTACTCATTGTGACATCTATGACTCTACATTCGCCCCATCATATCTAGTAACGATACGACTAGACAATTATATTAGCAATAATGGATACTCGAGATACTGAGTTTGCGGCTATATAGAAGCAAGCTCACTTTGGTTCAATCTAAAGTTATTAATTGCTGCTATTGTCACCATGACCAATAGATTACGATCTAGTACTAGGACGAAGTCAATTATCTCATATCCACAATATCAAACTTGTGATCCAAGTAAGGTCAACGTGATGGTAATGAGTCTGTGAGGAACCTCAATCGCGTTGCGAGTTCCGTGATGAAAGAGAACAATTTGACCAGTGGCATTCACGGCTCTGTTAATAATACGGTACACCAGGGAGGCCAAAAACTTTTTATCATAGAGACTAATGCTTTGCAGGAATCCGCTGGTGAGGCGACCAATAGGACTGGTAACCAATTCACAGAGATGGTTCTCTTTTCATGCATGCTAGAGCAGATACCCTTCATTGATCATTCCTTTGGTCTGAGGGAGCCATCGACAGTATTGGCGGCTCGTTCAGTTGTAGGGGCACTATTGGCCGGGACTTCGCAGACAAAAGTGCCATTGGTGGTACAGTACAGAATTCATTGGGATACTTGAATAAATCATAGACATGAGTACCGTAGTGAAATTTGGTTAGTGAAATGACGGACACCTTGATTTGGTTGGATACAGATATCTTGTTTGTGTCACCTTCTATCAAACCTGCTTCGAGTTTTCGTTGTCAACCTCGATCAATCCCACAAGGACGTCACAATGCACTTGGACGTCATGATTCTTTCAAAGCAAGTAAAAAAAATGCCCGATCTGCTCGGATGTTGAACTTGAAGGGTCAGTAAACATGATCAATCAGTGGGGACGATCGGTCCCCTGGCCAGACCTGCTCCTTCCAACCCAGGCCTTCTATGTGCTTTAAAAAGCATCTCAACATATTTCGCAGTCTAGAATGTGTTGTATCTACTAAGGCCAACGTTTCAAGGCAATGGCCGGATCATTCCTTAGGCTCTCCCAAAGTCGCATTTAGAATAGGGCTGTGCGGTTGTAGCCTCCCTCGATCTCCAGTCTAAGATGTTTGATCATCAATCCAATCTCTCTGAATGGCGCCTTAGGTTTGGCGCCAGTCCACGGCTTGGTTTGTCCTACGGCAGGCATCTTTGTCATGTATGACTTTGAGTTATTGAATCCGCTTGGCGTCTAGATACGAAGTGGTCACAACCTCCAATGCGATCGAACCTCTTGAGTTCCTTTCATGGTTGGAGCATGGCTACAGCGCCTTGGTGTTCCAGCGTATCCTCCTGAGAACCCATAAGCTCTAAATGGTTGATCCACGGCATATTTTAATAGCGTCTCATACTTTGCGATCTATTCCAAACGCTACAGGAAGTACATGGTACCAGAGTACAGTCAAGGGCGTTGTTGCGGCATTGCATGACGCGGAAACACGCTTCCAAAATATTGATTCTAGTTCTGTACCCACACAGTTCCTAACGAGCCTACTAAACCTTGATGTCCAGGAACAATTACTCCCTTAGTTGTCGACTGACTCGCTTAAGCACCGGCGTCGTGGATCTGCCGCACTATCTATATCTAACTCTGCCCTATGCAGCCTGGAATGAAGTGTTCCTGTTCAAATGCTTCTAGAGGCTTTCTAGAAGAGGTGGAGCTTCGGTGATTGTGCTACATTGTAAAATATCCGGAACGCCAAGGTCCAAAAATTGAGGACATCAGGCGGTATCGTTGCGTCATGGCGATGAAGTAGAACGGTGCAAGTCCACTGGCATTTGCCCGGCCATCATCCAATGTTCATGGAAGAAACATGCATAACACGTTCCAGAACCTGACTCCATCACAGAAGTAACCTCCTTGCTGGACTTTCTCGTTGTGGCTAGGAGCGATGTCGTAATGAGGCCTGACTGAGTGTGACTGGAGACATGTAGCGATATCCGCAGTTCTCCTTCATTGTCGTGAGTTAACCGTTTGAGTTTCGCTCGATGTTACTCACATTTGTCGAATTGATGGCGCTGAAGACAGGGGATTGTTCTAATAATGATAGTCCCGAGTCTGACAAGTGGGCGGACTGACTCAGGTATCAAAACTAAGTTATGATCAAACCCCATCAAGAGTGAAGCTTAGGAATTATGGAGTCGTCGCAAATTTGATGTCATTGCGTTCTGCGGGACTGAATCATTTATTAGCTGTCCCGCCGTAAGTTGACAATCGCCATGGAACATCCTTTGGTGCCACTCCACTGTAGAGCAATCCTGGCGACCCATAGATAGGTACCGTGACTATTGTGCAGTACGTAGCATCGAGCTTTAGCGGAGGACTAATGAGGCGAATAGGCGAAGGCCTAGACGAAACGTCTAATTAAGGTTTGACTATGTGAGAGCCGCCAGAACTCTGAGCGGCTACACGGCAAGTATCGCTCTATTGCGATTGCACACCGCATTTTCGATAAAGCAGGCAGTCTGGTGTTTAGGTGTGTCAAGTACCTTGTAGCACCTGTCTATTACCACAAATATGGCGTCGACTTGATTTATGCTGGCTGCACATCATATGGGACCGAGGAGCACGACGGTTGCTGGCTGTTCACCACAAGGATTACGGAAACCGAGCTGTACAGGTTCGTCAAGAAAGGGTGATTAGCGCATCCCTTTTGACTACGTTGGAACGCCAGTTGCTGGAGACTCAGAAATCATGATTGAGAAGTACCACTTTGCCCACGAAGCCGGACCACACCGTAGCACCCTCTCTCACCGTTATTGGGTGGTTTGGAAGTGTCTCGTAGGGAAGAGATCTCCCGGCGGTCACTAACTATCCTGGCGCATGTGACTAAAGGTACGGGGAACACCCACAAGCCGACGAGAAGTCCCTTATTGTGCCAATGTGGTCAAGAGGTAAGCAGGTAAAGCCAGCAAGTGAACTCGAGTCAACTGGTGACTTAGGTAACTCATCCGTTTGGTAACAAAGCCGAGCACGGAGCGCCTAGCACGCAGAAACCTATTTCCCGCTAAACCCGGAGCGTCTGCCAGTCCTCTGGGATTACGTCGCTGCAGCGTGCTGGCGAAAAGTCAAGGGTCCAGAGAGCCCAGACGCGCAGCGCACTTCATGGACGCGAACCAATTAGCTGTGATCGGCACGGGCAACTGCATCACCGTGCAGCTCCACCAGAGCTTCCAAATTTTGCCCCGACTGAGCATCCCATCGAGCAACGGCAATGAGGTGCTTCGCCGCGTAAGAGGACGACCACATCTACAATCGCCATAACGACCCAACTCACGACCATATCTCGTCTTTTCTCCGCTCATCCACCAGCTGCAAGGATTCTATCTAGCTTGTAGCACCTGCTACAGCCCGCGTCGTGCGGACCCTTCCGGCTGCATCAGCCCGGACCTGCTTATTCTACGTGTGGCGTCATCACCTCGCATGCCGCCTGGCCGCTTTGTGACGATATAAACCACAATTGCAATGCTCAGAAATGCGTTCAGAGCTTATGTAGCCCTCCCCGGGGCTGCCGGCAGCCCGAGAGCCTGGCAAGGCGCAAGTCAGGCTGGTCGAGGGATGTGGGCAAGGAGCCTCAGCACGCCTTCCCAGTCCTTCCTCGGAGCACCCACAACAGGACGATATACACTGAGGTCATCAAACATCACAAACGCGTTACCAAGGTTTCGATCCACCCCGCTGCGATCTACGCGACGCAACTTTCATAATACCTCTCGACGACGTGATCCCAAGAACACTACGCGAGAAGCGCCTGGGCCGCGTGCAGCTGGCACAGAGGCTCAACCCTCAGGGCTCTCAGCTAGACTGAAGAAGCTCTCGAAAGAGTATGGCTGGACTGCGGTAGGGGTATACCTAGCATTAAGCATTGCGGACTTCCCATTCTGCTTTTTACTGGTTCGCATTGTTGGAACAGATAAAATAGGTTAGCATCCAAGCGTGCGCATTGCGGCAATACGGTGTACTGATGATCAGCAGGGGAACTCGAACACTGGGTTGTGTCCAACGTGAAGAAAATAATCCCCCAAAGTGTCCAAGATAAGTGGCACGAATGGCGCAGCACACTGAAGGAAGAGGAAAAGGAGGCTTTCGACAATAACAACCTCAGTGAGCATGTTGAAATGGCAGGTTGGGGTGTTGAGGAAGCTGAAGCCCGCAACAAAGCGGAGGCAAGTAAGTGTTGCAACCGCGTGTCTCGACAACACCCATGATCTTGATGGCTGACCGAATTCCTAGGCCTTGGAACGCAGTTAGCGCTGGCATACGCCATTCACAAGAGTTTCATTTTCATTCGCGTCCCATTGACGGCTGCTGTCCTGCCAAAGGTTGTCAGAGTACTACGATCTTGGGGCTATGATATCGGAAAGAAAAAGGTCAAACAGATCAAGCCATAGGTACCTCACAAGCGCTCTTTGGATATTTGGTATTGCTGTAAGGGGAAACAAGGCATTGTAGATATATTGGGACTGTAGACTGTTGTTTCAACACACATAGACACTCTGCTCATGCAGCCATAATAAAGTTTGCACATATGTAAATCATCACAGCCAATTTCCACGACTCGCTGTTTCGCGCATTCGCTCTGGGCTTTGGTACTTATGAACGTGTTTAGTTCAGGTGTTTGGAGGCTAGGTCGCATCACAACCGGTAGTACGCAGATCCCACAGGTCTGAGAGCACCGTGTGCATCGAGGCTTGTGAAGCTCGTCTGAACTAGATAGTAAGCCAGCGCCGATGGTAGAGTGAAGAATTCTGTAATGTCTCGTCCGGATATTGATTTTTCCAAAACTTTGCAAACCGTCTATCCGTGGCGGCCGCTGCCAACTCAGCCATGAACATAACAGGCCAATATTCAGGAACCGGATCAAGATGACCTAATGTGCTACGTAGCTTGGCATTAAGGCTTTATCCGTATGGCACGCCGATGTGGCCTCGTGTTAGTCAGCACCGGGGATGATTGATATCATCAAAACCTACAAGGGAACTCCGGGAATTACAGATGTGTGCATCGTGGATCGGCTTTGATGTCCAAATGCGCAAGTTGCGGATCCGTGTAAAAGGCCAAGTACGTATCACCCAGGCCTGGGGACAGTGTGCAATGTCATGTGCCACAATCCCGACCCTTATAATAGCTGTGCGGTGCGCATATGCGTGGAGTCTCGGGAAATTCCTCCTGGCCCACAAAGATCTCCTCTCAACCCCCACTATGGACCCCAATTTGCGGGCTGATCACGCAGCGTACATCGTACATCGTACATCGTACAGGCACAGGGTTCAGGTTACGGTTGGAAACGAGCTTCCTCCGAATCTTCGCACATGGGTTCTGCGGCAGGCACTCCTCGGACGTATAACCAAACTTGGAAGCGGGTTCCAACTTCAACCTTCAGGCTATGAAACTTTAAAACCCATTGCGACTTTTTTTGCTGTAAATCACAACCTCTTTCAAATATGAGAGCTCAAATTTAGAGTTTGGCCTCCTCCGCGTCTCATCATATCATGAGCATGAATTTTCATGCTGCCACATGCTACTCCACGGACGTTTGACAGCGGGCCTGGGCATGCCTCCGGAGGCATTCCTTGCGCTGGCTCACACCCCGAACGCGTGTTTGCGCGTCTTGCTAAGATTGCCACTGCCCTACTCGAAGATCGGATTTGCCTGTTTTATGCCGCTATACACAACGGTCAACCCAGCGGCCGCGCCACCCAATCTCTCACGAAACCTTCTGGCCATTTCCGGCCTGCCACCCAACCCTGGGTTTCGTGCGTCATAGTTCTTGGAAGGATTCCTCTTCCCACGTGAAACCGTCAGATCATTCCAGCCAACGTGTGGTACTACTACTTCTACTACTACTTCTAATACTACTACAAGTTATCCTGTCATGCCCCGTACGTCATGAGTCGAAATTACGTCGCTGTGAAATCTTTTCGCACATTGGGAGCCAGTCGCATTCGATGGTTCGGTGCCAATGGACACCGTGCAATGACACCCATTTTGGATAGTACCATGTACTACTATCGTGTTGAGCCAAAGGGAGCCATCTCATCTCGCGTTCCATGACTAGATGTGAAAGGCTTCTAGGGCTTCCAGTCCGTCGATGCACGTGCTGGTCTAGTGAGCGGACGCGTTTATCCCAGATGACCATGTGGGAGCCACTTTGTGATTAAAGTTTGACATGAAACCCCTGAGAAGATGGCTATAGCGAGCCGGTCCCTGGGGCTCTGGGTAAAATATACGGTATTGCATCCCGATGTAGGAAGCCGTCAGCCGCCTGCCTGTCAAAGGAAGAACCCGCTGCACTACACATGGCCTACATGGTGCAGAGGCTTTTTTTGCAGTGCAAATTTCTCCGATAGCTCGCGCCGCCGGAAGTAGGGCGACAGGCATATAATGTAATATTTACTGACCCGGGTTTCACTGGGACAATGTGTGACGTTGTCGTCATCCGTGGTGTCGTTCTTTAGTACCACTAGGTCGTGGGGCCTCTTTGGAAGGAGCGCTGCAGTTGACTGAATCACCTACGAAATTTATCAAACTCTTCCACGCACGTCTCCGCGTCAAGCGACTGACCACCTGAGACAGCACAATCGACGCTATCCCAAGGCTGATGGTGACGGGCAAACCTTAACGTCTTTAGTTGTCGCCCAGCCTTCGTAGGCTGGTGACCATCGCGCAATTTGTCAAGCCAGCCGAAAAGAACCCGGGTTATTCGGCGCTTAATCATCATCCTACCCATCTGATGCCTTGACCGCTGGAACATGCTGCCATGAAGCTTACTCGAGGCGGCCCGTATGTCGCACGTCTTTGTACACACCATGGGCGCTTTCCGCGTAAAAGCACTGTTCAATTCAGCCCAGCAGTGCCAATCATCGATTCCGTGGGTGTCCGTGTAGAGTGCCCGAGCTGTTAATGCCGGGTAGAACAGACTGATTGAATCGAATTGACGAAACGGGACAAAAGGTGAGCGGTGAAAGACGCAGGTAACCAATTAATTTGCCTCAAACTCTATACTGACTCGCTTATTGACTTTGCGTAGTCACGATCATGGTTTGAATAACGTTGGGCTCTACTGTGTGGAACTGACAGATTGTGACCAAGTCCACGGATCTGGGTTGCGAAAAACGAAGGTGACCCAACCAATCGCATTTCGACTCATGCTCATGACGATGCGGTCGTGAAGCGGGTGTAAAGTGAAATCCAAGAAGGAGTCAAGCGGTCAGCTAAAAATACAAGCAAGGTTTTATGTAAAGAACTGTGGAAAGCTTCTTGTGTGCTCTCGTGTGCAGCATGTGTTCGTAATCACAACTAGTCAAATCTTATACCAAACATAATTTTGACTAAGTAACGGGATGATCTTGCGGGACTGTGTGTGTAGGTCGGTGACACCTTTCCAAGGAGACTCCGACGATAACACCCGAAAGAACACTCGTCGACACGGGCACCGCGCCGACCAAAGTCTGAAGGACGTGGCTGTTTCGACTCTATTCTTGACCAGACGGACGGACGTACGGACAGACCATACCATCATTCTGATGTGGTGAGGTGATCAGCTCACCTGGCGGTCTTACCAAAAAGCTCATCAAGCCCGTTAGACGTTGTCAATGTGCTTGAATACCTACTAGGGTCATGGCTATGAGTGGAACCCTAACCATTCCACAGTCCAGACGTCTGGGCCGTGTACCGAAGACTTCTAGTCGGGACGCCAAAGCAACGTACGAATCAGGCAAAATGTCCGTTAGATTTGCCCCACAGGCCGGAATGACTAGCGCTACCTTGGGTATGCCACGCTAGGGGACCGCAATAGAAACTTTTCTGACCTGTCCTCAGATGTACTTCTCATATGGAAGCGGCGCAGAAATACTCTGCAGTAGTGGCGCGTTTGATAGACGGTAGGTACATCCCTCTCGGCTGTAGTGGTGATGATGCTTGTCCGGAAAAGAGCTCCGCCCATGTCTTGTCCCACGCCTGGGTGAGATTCTGCTAGACACCCTGCATATTGTATTAAAGGCTTGGTGATCCCGCCCATTAAGAATATATTTACCCTGTAATACCATCAGACCATATCCCACGTACACAAAGCAAACAAACAGTACGCTGCGTATCATTGGGAGGCGACTTTTATCTTGGTATTATTTCAATTACTATACCTTGTCCCTCAGATACCCCCGGACAAGCATTGCCCGACTCGCCTATCCCAGAACTCCTAGTTTGACCAATTTACATATAAGAGTCCTGAACAAGCCATTACAATGACGATGCTGCTTGTCAACAATCCTCAAGAAGTGCAATCCCACGCATACTACATGAGTTACCGAACACCATCAGCACCTACTGTCCTGAACATCCTCAGTATGCCGCCGCAACACAACCAGCACCACCACCAGCAAACGTCCATGAGCTCGCCGGCTTATGACAACGAGGTTGCACAAGCTTTGGAAATCGCGCGTGAGAGCCCTGACGGCGCAAAGGATCCAACTGTCAGCAACATTTTAGAAACAGCTCTGGCTCAAATCTGGGCGAAAGTACAAGCGAAGCCCAACTCATATGTCATGACGCGGGACGAATTTGCTGTCTTCAACTATTTCCAGCACCGCTTCCAGAGCAACGAGACTGCGGACTCTGCACGTAGAAGATACTGGGACAACACGAAGGGAGCCTAAGTCGTGGACAGGTAACCCGTCATTGGTGCTGATCTCTACTCTGAGATCATACCGCAGGATTGTCACAGCCCTATGAGGTTCTTTAACCGTATTCGGGTATGATCCTGCTTCTTCACTTGCTATAGTCGGAGTTTCGCAGTACTTGAGAGAGACGCTGGACGGTGGGAAAAGCTCATGCAGCCACGGCCAGCACTGTGCCCTGGCACCCCACCAACGCTCAACGAACAGTGCCGGCTACCCGACTCGACAAATAGAAACCAGAAGCAACTATTGGCAGTTTCCGAGGTGCTGCACCTCTAGTTGCGTTTCCGGATGTATTCAGCATATCGGCATTAAGCCTGATGCGCCAACGCACGGGAAGAAGCGATTATCCAGTACAGGTTGCAAATGTACTGACATGTCAAAATGACCTACTGTACATCCCTGGATTGCGTCCTGGTCTCCGCTTAGCTCCGCCCATGGCTGCCGCCTCGTACAGCGTCGCATGCTACTTTGTATTTACAAGCATCAACAACAGGAGTTCATTGGTACCGTTTTTGGTTTCTACTCGGCCGCCAGCATCTACTTTCCGGGTACGACGTCTTCTGAATCACCACCTCTCGATGGACGAAGCTGCCTGCCACTACCTCAGACTTATTTCTACAAACAACTATGGTCCCATGACCCGGCCATGCTCCCACAGTCATCCTGCAAGTCTCACTAGCTCCGCCGTTCAGGGTCTAGTCCCTGTCAACCCCCACGTAATGGCACCTACCGGTCCCGGGAGGTTGCCATCCGCTCCTGGAGGACCCAGTGGAAACCCAATTCCAGCTGTCGCGCTCGTCGCGGTCTGCACAAATCGTCATATTTATGGGGGTGCGACAGCGGATTTTTGTCACCTTCGTTATTGGTGCGATCTGCCTTGGGAGTGCGATCGGGCCTTGGAAACCAACAAGTTCTTAACCTACAGTAGGCACTGTCGAGGGCGTCTCCTGCACTCCTCTCATTGAGAGTAGTGCAATTAGGTCTTGAACTTCTAATGAAGGCGGGAGTTGGCGGACCGTCGGGTTCGACATTATGGCCGGGTGTGTTATACACAAGTCTCGCAGCATGTTTTTGTTTTCAGTTTACAGCAGTCAAGTTTATTTTGGGTAATGATGATACGGGGGGATCTTCCTGATAGACAACGATCTCTGCTTTACGATATGAACTTATACCCCAGCCTATTTACAATTCTAATTGAGCCACATGAACCTAAGGTTTTTTTTTCCTTTTTTTTTTCCAAATCTCGTCTTTGTGGCCCATGCCTTTCGTTGATATTAGAGTACGGCGCGATGTCGATGGTAGCGCCGGCGTTGCTGTATGGCGACTGCTTGTCTACGCGGAATGAGTACCCGCGTTGACCGTTATATGGATACCAACTTCTGTGTACCCAATATGCCCTGGCGAATCGCGTCAACGATTTGGTCACCGGTGATTTTAACACTGGTCCTGGCGTATCGTGATCGCCTTCCTTTTCCGCCAACACAAGGTTAGTACCAGTATGTAGCGTTAGAGATTACTAAACACTGCTTTTGTCCTTTAATAGCTAGCATGGGATACGTTGATGGATATGTAATGTAGTTGATGAAAAGATCCGCTTGTTGATCGAGTATAGCGCCGCGGTAAAGCACCGTGCTATCCTTCTGTGCTACTCAAGGCCGCCCAATGTGGTTGCCCCCGGTGGATACCTGAGGCATCCGTTATACGTTGCACCTTTTCTCAACAGGTGCGCAAGGGACTGGATGGACCAGGGAATAAGGTGTGTGGTCTGATGACGAAGAGTCATCTGATCAGTCACTTCAAGAACGTGGTAAGCACGCATTAGACTTGCAGCTAACACTGTTTGTGGGGAGAAAATCACTATTACACCGGTACAACGCAATTACAGCATTCAAAGATACCGAATCTGATAACTTCAATCTCCATGAGGTCGCACCTCATTCTCATGCGCGTCGGAACGACACGTACGCTTAGACTGGCGGCAACTTCTATGTATGGATACAAACCAGATCTACCATCAGGAGCCTGGTGGCTTTACCAGAAGCGCCGGGTTCGGAGGAATTTCCGTTCTAAATTTCTGAACCTGAATACCCATTGGGTACGTATGGCACGTCACCTATAATCTCAATGATATCGCGGCCAATCGGTAAGCATGAAATTCACTTACATAGAGCTAACGGAGAAAGCAAAATGCGGGGTCCTTTCCCTAAGAACTATTGGCGAAGCGTGGATGGTATCCGGAGCTTCGTTTTTGGTATGGGATTAAGCAATCAGAAAGTTGCACTTCAGGAGTTGGTCGATGGCTTGCAGCGCAATGCGCCTTTTGGTCGTACGTTTACAGCCGTTTGAACACGAGCCACGTTACTTAAGCAGAGATCTTTAATTTATTGATTACTGAACACTCAAACCCTTGTCCGAACATGTCGTCTAGCCCTAGATGAAAAAGGGAACATTCATAAAGGGCCTGTATATCAGATTTTATCAGTTCCATTGGCGGCTTGGCAGTCGATCAGATTAGGCAAGTCGCCATTGCAACCGCAGCATCACGATCACATGATATGTCGATAAAACGAAACGAAACTGATGTGCTACTGTTATACTTGGATTGTCGTATAAACACACAGATGATACGTAGGTACGGCACTGGATTGTCTCCATAGTCCCATAGTATGACTTTACTGTTGGTATGCGTTGCCCGGCGCAAACTCTGGTCCTTAAGCTCCAGGATGTTAGAATAGTGCCAGACTTTGCATTCTGCGGGAAGGGGGTGCACTGGCCAGTGATGAACATGGATTTTGCGGATCTTTGACGCGGCTGGGGATGGTACACAACATACCTGTCGCAAATCTGGAGGCATGTTCGTTTTTGAATCGGCTGTCCTCCCAGCGCACTTTTCCCCCATGCTTCATTTGAAAATCTCCGAGGAATTAGCTGCAGCCACAAACGACTGTACATATGTGCTAACCTCAACATTGTATTACTAGTCTGCAAGGTTGCTTTTCTCGTTGATAGACGAAGTCTTACGGCATCATAGGCTCGGCTCCTATGCACAACAGCAAAGTGTCTAATTTATGGCTGGAAGCATTGCCACGCAAACCATAGTCTGCTGGATCTGGGTTTTCGGGCGCCACAGCGATCCTAGTTTCGAGCTAAGACGCATTGCAACTGTGCACGTCCTGCGGGATGACCTACGTATGCCCTTGACAGTACAATACCACTCTGTGAGTTTTCAGGGTTGCCTTGAACACAAGACAGTCCCCCCATAATGCCTTCGGGATTTGCAGGTTGCTTGTACACCGACTACCGACAATTGTTTGGGCTCACCAAATCCCGGGCAGACTGGGGCATCTTCACAACCAGCTTACCGCCTATGCTTCAGTATCTTTGCCTTTACCCGTAATTCGATATCGCATCATTCGCAAAACCATATTGGAGCACGCTAAATAAACACTTGACGGCCTTGTGACAAGCTAACTTGATCACACGTGCTACTTAGGTAAACTTTCCTCACCGATGGGGGATGCTGGACTCGTCAGTTGACGCTAAGATACACAACCTCCTCCTTCAGCCTATCGAGTGAAGACTATGTTTGGCGCGTCCGAGATCAGAACTTGCGCGCTCGAACGGACTTCAACTTGAGGTCCTCAAGTCTGTTGCAGACCATCGCTCGAATGATTATGGAGAATGAGTTGCCCGTTTCGTCTCCGGAAATATCACGGCGGTAAAGGGGCAGGTTTAGTGAGATCATTCATCAGACGACCCACCAAAAGACCCTGTTGTACCTCCATGGAGCTGCCATCCTTGCTATCGTATCATTCAGTTCCCACAGCATGTACGCATCAAGTGGCGGCTGACTCGTCGTAACATGGAAAACGCAAGGGATATGATTCAGCTTGTAAAGTTTCCATGGGTCTTCGCAGTATGCGGCCAGGCGACCTAATTACTTGCTACGAGGAAATGCACTGAGCCGATTGAAACTTGCAGAGTGCCTCACTCTGGGTTGGATGTTTGACTGTCATTTTCAAGTGGAAATGTTAGCCTTGGCCACCTCTGCTTCGCATCCTCCTAACCCTAGACCAGGGAGGGTGTCGGAGCGCCGAAGTTTCCACTAACTCTTGTGACACGGAGTGATGGAGGCGCATAAGAGGCGAACCAACCTTCTTGACGTTTCAATAACTCCAATTATCCAGAATTCTTGAGTTTCATTCCATCGGAAAGGTACTTGCGATCCCAGGAAACTCTATATGCCAGCTACCAAAAGAGGACCCATCTTCATTTGGCATGGCCCAGCGTCGCTAAAACAGGTAACGAGGCATCCCATTTGTCGCACCGGCCCAAAGCTTCTTTGACAAGGACATGGGCCCATTGGCAAACATACGAGGAGAAATTGCCAGATAGGGCAATCGCGTATTGCGGCTCCTGAACTCTAATTTATTGAGTGTGCCCCGAGGCCCCCGGGCAGACAGATCCTCCCACCAGATGGGTGGGACGTGAGCTAAACTTAGATAGATGCCCTAGTCGAGAGGCAACGTCATCACTTGTGGATTGTTCGGGCACCTCTGAAACGGACGTTTGCCGGGTGGTGGTGGATATCAACGGTAAACTTTGTTGTCAAGCTATTATTATCAAGCGAAGGGCCCCAAACCTCTGGCCAGAAGAGAAACGAGACAACGAAAACGCGGTCGGAACTTACACACACACAGAGTTCCTCGCCTGCGATGGGTGTTTGAGAAATTCAAAGACAAAAGGGCGGCCACTTTTGACTTCGTAAGCGCGGCACATGAGAGAGCAATGGGGGACGATGAGACCCCGTTGTGTCTGCTTCTTTCCAAGCGGCTCGCATGGTCGCCGACCAACATTGATGACTTGCATCATTCTTGGCAACTCTAAATTGCCTCGAGTATAGACTTTTGACATTCCACCGCCATGTCAAAAGGCCGTGTCATCATCACATTGCTCTCCGGCCGAAATGCAAGAGATATCACATCAGCCCCGTTCCCAATCAAGGGACACCACGTAGTGGCTGCGAAGTGGGAATCGGGACGGTGGAGAGGCTGAGATTGGCCGAGGGATATATATAAAGTTAGGCATCTGACACTATCAGACTTTTTGTTTTGTTGCGTGTGACAAAAGCTTCCTCCGACCCTCGTATTGGGTCCCTGCTTCTGCTGCGTCGACGGATTAGGCACACAAGGCCGACAAAGTTCAGCTCATCCCGCGCCTATAAACTTTGGCCGCTGGAAACTCTCATCACAAGTTTCAGGGCGCGGCGGCAGTCAAAATTTTAGCCTTCCCAGCTGAGGTCATGCCGACTGCGTGTCATCATTGTTCCGCCTTTGAGATTCCTATCCGGAAGAAGTTCAGCTGAAGGTTCCCTTACTTTCGTGATCAACGTGGGCGGGTCGAACTTTATATTTGATGTTTTGAACCGAAAAGGGACCGCGATCGGTAGATAAAAACTTAGAAGACAGATGGAAGTACTGTGTACTTATCATCCAAAAGATGAGGGTGTATTGACTCGGGGTGTTCACAGAGTGTAAATTGAATTGGTTGGTGCACTCTTCGTGAGCATGTCGCTGTCATCGACGGGTTAATGATTCGATGAACAGTGTCTAGTCGCGCGCTGTGTTCGGCGGCGCATTCTCTATCTCTGGCTCTCTCTCTCTCTCCCCCTCTCTCTCTGCCTGTCTTTTGCGGCATTGATGAGTTTCTCATCACCACATCGCACCACCCAGCCGCTGACTCATCCCAAACACGTGGGTACGGGCCGTTTCGAATGGGTGACGTCTGGCTTTGGAGGGCGCTGTAGAGCACGTTTATGAGGCGACAAGGTGGTGCCCACGTTGAGGCGTGGCCGAAGACGTTATCCGTCACGGGAACTGTGTTGCCACGCATCGACCTAGCGTGCACCGCAATATCGTTTTTCTTTAAGAACCCAACGGTCGAAACCATGCACGAGCGCCGCACGTCAATATTATGATACTGATCATTCATTAGGTAGGTATATGAAAAGACATTAATGCTCTGACTCTTTTCGAGTCAACTGACCGGCTGCTCCGCAAACTCTCTTTTGGCATCGCGACTCATGCCCCCGTCTCGGCATCGGAGATACCCTTATGCATTCTCGGCAGTTTTCAGAAAATCTGCTTCGTTGGCCTGGCTAATAGCGGAATACCAGATATTGGCCATCTTTTGGTATCCTTGATCAAGCGGATGGGTACCGTCGGGGCCGAGGTCAGAAGCTAAGGGCCCGTTGCTCCCTTGCATGTCGGCCCAGATGATCGGCTTGCCCTGCCCTCTCAGCGATCCGACCAAGGCCTGATACTGAGAATTTATTTGAACGCCCCGGTCTTGCGCGTCACTATTCGTATTTCTTATCAGACTCGACAAGATGACGGTAGCCCGTGGGGATTGGGTATAGATGTCGTTTATGAGACTCTGCATCCGAGCCCCTGCGTTCGGAATATCTATATTTCGGAGTGCGTCATTAGTCCCGACGTTGATTAACACCAAATTTGGTCGCAATATCGCTGTGTCGTTGTTGGACTTGGTATGGACTTCATCGATAATCAATCCCGGCCAACCACTATTCTCATTATTCTCCATCGTGCCGTTGGGATTACCCCCGACGAATCTTACTTCGTTGCCAGCTGTTGCTGCGACTATATTCAGGAGATCCTGGCGATATCCGTTGCCGTCACTGGAGGCCACGCCATGTGTGATGGAGGCGCCGAGCGGCTCTATCCGTAACAATATATTGTTGGCAAATGGACCTCCGGGTCTTCTGGCTATTTTCACAGACCGGGCAAGGCTAATGCTCGCCGGCTCAGGAAGGACCAAGCCTGAGGTTGATCAGCATGATCCACCAGAGTTTACGGGAAATAGCAACCTACCATATGTGCTCATGTACATAGATTGCAGCGCACATAGCGCCAAGGATACCCTCGTGACCAACATCACCAACAGTACAAATATTGAGACCAGCGCAAGGCAATGCTCTGTTGCAGATAGGTATATATGGCAGGAGGTACCACTACAATGTACTGGCGTAAGAAATTGAGCGCTGACCAATTGTCGATAATAAAGTAATGTCAACAAACCCTAAAGTGCTCGTTTACGAAGCAAAGATAAGCTTCGCAGATCTGCAGGGCAGACGCTCGTGGTGATGAGATGCATCTCGTAATTATACACGGCGATTAGTAGGCGCGGAAGAGGTTATGGCCCATGTGACGCATCCCATGTTGGCAGGCATCTTCACACAATCATTGCGCCCTTTTCGTCTGTCTCGTAACCGACACGCGGTTTCCCATCTCATATGTCGGTGGGCCATCCGTCTCCTTACCTACCATCGCGTGCGCTCGGGGTAATACCGCATCAGCCCCCTCATTTCGAGCCAATCAGCCGGCTAATGTGAGGTGCAATCATGTATTGTTCTTTCTTCCAGGCCTCTGCAGGGTTACATTCGTCCTCTCTGTCATTTCCTCACCATGGCTTCAAGACTATCCGCGCTCTGGTTTGAAGATCATCGTCAAACCATGCGCAGTTTGACGTTCAGCCCCGTGCGCTATCCGCAGATCCTCCGCCCGATCGAGAATCCTTTTCAATAGTGCACGGCCGGACCTTGGCGCGATTGGATTCGTCGACTCATTAGAGTATCAGCAAGGGGCATGCATTTGATGATCGCGAACTCGAGAACATTTCAGATTCGCTCATGACGAAAGAAGCTATTGACGTAATAAAAATTGCGATGAGGTTGGAGCTCTTTTTTTTTACCGGGTGACACTCAACCGGTATGCATCAGCTGCAGTCGATATCTTCATGGGCAACACAACCCCGGCAGTTGGCTGCAGCAACCCCAACCAGGCCGTTGGTAAGTTGGGCGGGAAAGGGTGAGTTGCATATCGCACGCGTGATGGCTGGCAACATCTGACCCCCATTGTCCGTCTGGAGGAGCATGCTGTCCCTTACTTACTTATCAAACTCTACATATATTTTCCTCCAATGCAAGAACAGTCAAGACCAAGATCCATGCCTGTCACGTCGATGATTCCACTGCCACCTTGCCGATGGCCAACCACCAGAGTGCGGATAGGTCATCCATGCGCCAATTCCTCTGTGAATGAGTACCAGCTGGTCAGTACCCAGATAGGAGATATTTCGCGCCAACAAGGTGTTCCCAGCAAACGTAGCAACCCCGAGCGATTCCTCAGTGCAGTGGTCAAAACACTCTCCGAAGACTGTTCTTACCGAGGCTGCCTGTAGGGCCTTGTGATCGCGCGTTTCCCAGCTCGAAGACTTCGAAGGGTGCGCATGACGGAGCCGGAAATTCAGAGCATATCCCTCCAGGGAAAGGCTAACAGGTTCGAACGGGCAGCTTCGCTTTTGCAGGACGCAGCAAGCGGCCGCTCGAACTTTTTCCCCCGACAAGCGATGCAACTCTCCTAAAACTTTTGTGTTGCAGCAATAGGTAGCATCTGGCGCTACCATTTGCCGAAAGGAAAAAAGAAGATCGGTCAGCACGAACCCTCATTTTCAGTTGATACTAGACTAATATCAAGTTTCGCACATATGGCCAAATAATGAGCCAGGGCTATTTGTGTCGTAGTAAAAATGAAGAATGCCAAATATTGGGCAAACTCATTGCGACGTATACATCGCATGATACTATGACTTGGGCCGGTTCCCTCGAGGCTGCGCGACTGCATGATAGGAGGCTTTTGCGAATATGAGTATCTCTCGAGTGCAAAGTGCCCGACCACATACCTTGCTGGACACGTGTTGCGACGCGACGCATACATGACGCCGATGCTGGGGCAATATCACAATTAGCTCAACATCCGGCGGCAAGCGAGCAAAACGACCTGCGAACCAAGTTTCAAAGGCATTGCTGGGCCCTTGGATGAACATGAAGACTGGACGGTAGCGAGGCCACAGTACTGGTGGACAGCCCTCCTTCCGTAATCGCTCCATACACTCCATGATGGGGGCTTCAACCCAAATAGCAGCGGTCGTATGATTTGATCGCGGCGGGTATTATGAAGTATTAAGAAAGTAATATTTTGTCTGTTCACCCAAAGGAAAGCTCTCCAGCTTCAGGTCACCTCATTGTTGTTAAGTGATCTATAATTGACGAGCCGAGAAACGGGACTGCGGGCGTTGATAAGCCTCGATAACACTTGGAAAAATCTACGGCCCAGCGCTGAATTGCTACATGTGATAGTTTGTGCGCTTAGACGTTCTTTACTTTTACGAACTGCTTGAACTCAGTACATAGCCTACCATGGTACCAGAGCTCTAATCGACCCCGGTATATGTAGCTGGGAATAAGGCATGCAGAGACGTCTGTAGAACTAAACGCTATGATCCAATGCTGGACAATCCATGTGAAGCGTATGGAGATAATACGAAACGATAAAGCATAACAAGAGTCTGCCTATCAGAGTTTACCACCATAGTACCAAGACGGTTTGACTAAGGACTGAGCCTCACAAGTGAGGCCCAATTTCGAACATGGCGAGAACCACCACCGGCAGTGCCCACTCCTAACGTGTAATAGTGTACGCCCTCTCGCGATCTTATGGGGTGTCATCGATTGCGCCAAGTGGCAAATGCTCTCCTGTCCATTACTTGTGTCGCAGCCTCAAAAGGCCAGAGGCAGTATATCAAGTCCGGCACCAAATTAATGTTGAAGCGCTGGACGTGGCGGTCAGGTTGGCGTTCTTGCCTGAATGGAAGGGAAGCTCTACTCTAGCATCGAATTATGAAAGCATACATTCCCTGAGTGTCCACTTTGCCCGGATTCTGTGTTGGCATATCGGACGATTCCTCGAGATGGGAGAGGCGTCATGAGGTCGGAGGTCAACGTTGCCAATTTGGCTGCAATACTACAATAACCTTGCAAAGCATCAGCAGATGGCTTGTGCGGAAAGTTATCCCCTGTTATGTATCCTTCACGTTGAGGGAAGACAGACGTCGTCGCTGAGCGAGCCCTTTCCCGTGGACTGCTACGATTGCAGCTCCCTCTGTTACTTCTTACAACTATTTGAGATTCATTGTTTGAGGTAAGAATAAGTGTAGATCTCAAGAACTTTCGTCCGCCCTTTATGCAAACATCGCCAAATCTGTCTGCTGTCCCTCATGTGCTTAAACCTTGAGATCTGTCTATGGCGACCGTGGCAGAGATCAAATAGCTTCTTGGTTTAAGAAGTCATCTCTATAGTGCCCCTTGAACACCTAAACACCATGCCAGAATCATGCCCACAACGCCTGTATCAAAATGCTGAGTTCCGCCCGACCCATCCACGACCAGGGGGATAGTATCCTGCTCGTCTTCCAACCATCACTCTCCCCAAAGCTTTCCCCATCTCTTCCCTTTTCTTCTTCTTCTTCTTCTTCTTCTTACAAAGCAACAACGCTCCCCGGCACCCAGACGTCACCGATCCTCCTCATCTCCTCAGCAAACTTCCTACTCGTGATCCTCCTGACGCCTCCCTGGGCGCCGAGCTCATTCGCCTCGTCGGGGTCGTAGAAGGGATTCTGGAGCAGCCTGACGTAGGCGGTCTGCATGGCCCTGAAGACGACCTTGAGCTCGCCCTCCCTGAGACCGACGCCGGCGGCCGTGGCGGCGGCGGATGAGGAGGAGGAGGAGGAGGCCTTCTGCGACGCGGACGCGGAGGATGCGCCGGGGCCGGCCTTGCCGGGCAGGCTGTCCAAGCTCCGGCCGCGCATGTCGACGACGGCGACGAGCTTGACGCCCGTGTTGGTCTCCCAGCCGTAGGCGGCCAGGCGGTCGTCGACGGCGTGCAGCAGGCCGAAGTCGCCCGACAGCAGGGTGCCCGAGGCGGAGGCGTGGCGGGCGCGCGAGGCGAAGATGTCGAGGGTGCCCGAGAGCAGGAGGGAGAACTGGAGCGGGGTGCGCAGGGGTACGTGGTGGCCCGTCGAGGGGTCGAGGGTCGTCGGGAAGAGGGTCGTGTGGAGGGGGTTGTTCTTTTGTTTTGTTTCTTCTTGTCAGACCTAGGGTTTTCTTCTTCTCTTCTTCGTCTTTTTCTTTTCCTTTCCCAAGGGTCATGGAGACGCAGGATACGAGGGGGGGTTCAACCTACATTTCGGCCTATGACGCCTAGACAGGCTATGGCGGGTATTGACGTGGCCATTGCGGCGACTCTGTGCAGAATGGGATTGTGTTGGGAGTGAAGGTGTGAATAGTGAAGTTGTCGCGATGTCAGTGACACCAAAGGGTCACTCTACAGTAGGCATGGAATTGAGTTGGAGTTTCTGAGCTCCAGCAGATTTGCCCCACCATTAACCTAACCTTAGTCTAAGGTTAGTCTAGAGGCTGCGGTCTCTTCCCCCGGGATGGCAAATCTGGGGTAGCTGCTATTACATAGTTAGACCTTATAGTAAGTAGATCTTGCGCAGTAGATTTTGCATGGTAGACCTTGATTGGCAGGGCGCCCAAGCTCCTTTATTGGTATTACAGGCATCACGACTCAATTCATAATGTGATATAGTCACAAGAGCAAACGTCCGAATCACGCAATGTGCAAGCATTTTGTGTTGGCTTGTTTCTTTAGCAATACAAAACCTACCTAATGTTCTATAGCCTATGAATATACAGCTCAGCAATGACTCTGGGTTCGAGTCCTTATGTTGGGTGCAGACCATGTTGAGAGCCCACTCCACGCTCATCGAGACTTGCAGTTTTTTTTTAACTCTCATGCTCCCCTAGGTGTTCCGTCCTTTCCAGAGCCCTCAGGACGTCTTCGATATCATAAGGATCTGTTATAGCCCAGACGCCTCCCCCTTTCACCTTGTCCATGCCTCTCATGCCCACCTCTTTGCCGACAAGGTTTCGTCCCACCTTTCCGGGACCAATGCCGAGCCATCTCCTGACCCCTGCCTCCTGATCCAGATACTTGACGCTGTCCCACCAGTTCACCGTCTCGAGACATTGCCTCGCCAGTAGGTCTTTGACGTCCTCCTTACTAGTAAACGGCCTCGCACTGACGTTGCTGATACACATCAGCTCTCCCGGAAACGTAACCACATCCTCTTCCTCCCGGCCTTTGACTCTGCTCTTTCCCGACACAAGATCCTTCATGACAGACACGGCTGGTCGCATGATGGGGGAGTGGAAGGGCGAGTCGCTATTCAACCGGACAGCCCTTGGATCATGACCCAAGAACTGGCGCACATGGGCGATCAGCTCTTTGATCTTCTCCACATTGCCGCTCAGCACGATCTGGTTCTTGCTGTTCACGTTCGCGATCAGCACCTGATCAATGGGCGGGATGTCCTCGGCGTGGCCGCTCCTGGCACCGGCACTTCTGTACCCGACGAAGTCGTCTATCGCTGCAATGAGACCGGTCAGATACTCGGGCTCCGTGACCACGGCCACCATGCCGTACTCGCCTCCCCACTTGTCCCTCGCGCGTTTCGTGGCGTCGGCCATGGCTTCTGCACGTTTCCGTACCATGTACAAGGCGTCTTGGAAGGTGAGCACGCCGGCGGCCACGAGAGCCGCAAACTCTCCCAAGGAATGGCCCAGACTGACGTCGATGCGTTCGGACACCTTGAAGCCAAACTCTCGCTCCAGTATTCTAAGTATGAGTATGCTCGTGGCCATGATGGCAGGCTGCGCATTCGGGGTCGCCGTGAGGTCGTTCGACGGCCCGTTCTGGATGAGGTGAGAGAGCTTGTAGCCCATGAAGGAGTCGATCTCGTCCAGGACATCTTGTGCCGTGCGCGGAAAAGCCTCGACCCAGGGGTCTGTCATGCCAATCTTCTGAACGCCCTGCCCTGGAGATGCGCGAACACGTTAGTCATGTACTACATATACCGCCCCGGGAGAGGCATTGCTGGGTGTGCGGTCGTGCCACCAACCTGGAAAGAAGATGGCCGTCTTGGCCTTCTGTGGCGACTTGGCCGGACCCAGAGTCGAAGTGGTCGATCCATACTTGCGACTGCTCCTAGGGACCGAGACCTGCCACGGTATGGCGGATGCGCTACGTAGAGATCTCGAGATGGGTGGAACTCTGTGCCTCGGTAATTGAAAACAGCAAGCAGCTGCGCGGTGGCGCAAGGGGGTCGCTGTGACGCTCATCGCCTTGCGTCAGCAAATACTGAGCTGCGATGGTGCTGGTAGGGTATCATTGAGGTGATCGTATGACTCCGATCTGTATCGACAAGGCAAGATAGATATGCAAGGCAAGATTCAATTAGACTAACTGTAAGATCCTCTCTGACTCGGTGCTGGGGGCAGGGGCGGTAGTGGGTAGTTGTAGTGGCCGCGGCAGTGAACAGTGGGAGTATGTACTCCGCAATAGTGGTGTGGTGGTGGTACGTTAGGTAGTGGCCCGTTGGAACCCCACGCTTCTTCCCCAGAATAAACCGAGTCGGCCGCGGGGAACTCGTATGTATTTAGGGGGCCTGAGCCTTATTGGAGTAAGTACACACCCGTCGTCTTGGCGCCTTCGTCCTTCAGGAGCACAAAGTTAGCAGTCCAACTGTGAGGGACGTACTGTCCACTCTGCTGGGCCGATACATTGTTACATTAATGAACATGTCCAATCTCAAAACTCAACATTACCTACGCATTTCACGTGTTTGCTCCGTTCCATGGGCACTGGAACACCATCCGAACCACAATGGGCCCCTTAGCTCCATCGAACCTTCGTGTAGCAGGGTCACCACACTCACTTCGGGACATTATTTCCACCCGCGAGCGTATGTACGTAGTTTTGATAGCACCAATGCGGTAGTAGCCCTCCTACTTGTGCGTAAATGTATACTATTTTATTTCATGTTCGTGATGCATTGCCCGACAGCGGCAGCGCATCCATCATGTAGACACCTCGGCCAGGCCGAATCTAGCAACGCATCTCCACGCCTCCCTTACTGATGGTCAAATACTTGACACCCTTGTATGGCTTTACACCCTCACCCAGACCACGGCTTTTCTTGGTGTCCACAACAATCCCTTCGATCCGGATGCCACTAGGAACCCAGCCCTTGACCGAGAAGCTGATGGATGCAGAACTGGGCATCAGAATCTTGTTCTGCTCCAGCTTCTTGGTGTTCTTCTCGTCTTCGCCGACACTCTCCTTTTTCACTGCCGTTGGCGATGCAGTACTTTGATAAGGTTCGTCATACGAGTAGTCTTTCCCAAAACCAAAGCCTGTTGGATCATCCTGGGTATCCTCGACCGTCAGGGCTCCCAGCACTGTTGCCTTGAGGCTATAGTAAGACGTCCCCGACGAGAGTTCCTTCTGTGGTATGTGCCACTCCAAGAACTTGTCCCCGGGGTTATAGGTGGCGTCGCCTTTACTAGGCCGCACATCGGAGAGGTTCCTAACATCCGAGGGCAGCGGGATCGTTACGGCAACATCGTGTAGCGATGGGTCTGCTGCCGTGCCAGATTGCGGTCCTCCAAAGGTCCTAGCTCCAGAGGCACCGCCCCTGCCAGACGGGCCAGTGGGACCTCTCGCGCCGGGGATCCTGTTGATCTGAAGCCTGATATCGAAATCCGAACCTGTCGGCCCCAAGCCTGTCTTGACCTCCAGGCTGACGGGCAGTTGGAGACTATTTGAGCTGAGACTGCCGCTCTTGCCATTACTAAACGGTAGGAGGTCAACCTCATAACCCGCTAATATGAACCGCCCATCGGGAGGGATGAAGCTTAGTTCCCCAGGGCTCGTGTTCCATCGATTCAGCCGCACACAAGGGTGGAAGACAGGGAGCTCCATTACATTGGCCAAGTTGTGTTTTCCCTCGCGTCCTGTGAGGTTCATGGTAATATCAGGAACTCCCGAGACTTTGGAGGTAAAGGCGATGGTGCCGTTCGCAAAGGCAGCAATGGGTCGGCCAGAGGGAGCCAGAGTGACAGATAGGGTCTCAACGACGTCGGCGTACAGCTCGTTCGATGTATGCCTCACGTTGGCTCTTCTCCACGGCAGCGCGGGGCCATTCTGCGCGGCCAATGGGGAAAATGCAGGAGCGTTGAGGCCCGGGGCCAGGCCGGGCTTGTTGGGCAGACTCAGACCTCCCAGCAGTTTCCCCAGAAAACCTTCCACTTCGACAACATCTCGTAGCGCGTTGGGCTCCGTGGTGTTGACTATGCCGGCATCGCACATCTCGGTAAGAAGTTGGGCTACGACATCGTAGTTGGCCTCGATCTTGTGGGCCAAAACCGGCGCACCGAGGAATTCCTCCAGCACATCGACTATGCGGTGGAGAAACTCGAGGACGAGGAGAGGTTCTATTTCCGAGGATGAAGTGGCCAGATATAATATATCTGCGTGGGTCAAGCTGAAGACTAAGGTCGGGGGGTTGGTGTTTGGTAGATATATCAGGTTCGGACGCGGTGCTGGGTGGTCGAGGTAGAGGGGCAGCAGATGCGCTGCTGATAGCGGACGGGAGTGGTAGGTGTGGGAGAGGATGACGCGCCTGGAAAAGGGTCAGTATGTGATGGGATTTCCGACCCGGACGAGTTGAGATGCCTTACTTGTGCTCATCATAGATGTGCAGCGCTTCGATGACGCCAGTCATGGTGGTCGAGGTCTAAGCATGATCAGATCAAAGTGGGAGGAAACCGATTAATCAATCAATCAATCATCAATCAATGGAGGGGTCCCCCTACGGAAGCTTTCCACTTGCGGTCACGGAAGACGTCGATTCTTACTTGCTAACCTAGACTGGACCTGTGTAATAATGCCCACCAGGAGCCAGCTCTCTCTGCCAGGGGCTGGCACTCGCTCGTGTCACTGGCGTCGCTGGTTGTCATTATTAGTCTAGTAGCTTACTAACTTGACTACTTTGGACAGTGTCCTTGGTGGAACGACGCTAGCCACGAGTACCAGCCAATCAAGACTCAAGACTGTTTTTGGCGGGGTCCTGGAAACTTTTTTAGCTTATCGATCCAATCCAGACATTTTAGTTTTTTCCGCTTGGGACAACCAAGTAAAGTTTCGAGCGCCGTGGAAGAAAAAAAAACTAGATAGAGAAAAAGACTACGTCGGAATTATTTTGTAGGCTTGACTGCGTAGTCTGAGTCTCAAATATAGCCATGGCAGGAACTGCCGGCAGCATATCCTCTTCTTCATCTGCCACCCTCACTCACACCCCCGGCATGGCCTTCCTCTCCAACTTTACCGACTCTTCCAAACCTGGCGCCGCTTCCGACATGCTCGCTCTTTTCGAGGCCATCAAGTCGGGCAACCGCCACGGTTTCCTGCAGCCCACTGCCTCGGTCTCCAATGCCTCGCTGCAGCTGGCCAAGGCCACGCTCGACGCATACGCAGGCCAAGTAAGCGACGAGCAACAACAACGACAGAGAGAGGCCAACAAGAAGAGGAAGCGCGCCGATGGCCCCGCCGAGAAGGCCGATGTCCTCAAGATCCGGAAACTGCACATTGATGGCTTTGAGAACGGTCAGGTCTGGCAGCAGGCGAGGAGAATCATCTCGAGCGCACTCCAAGACTCTGAAGACATACTGGAAGACCTGGAGCTTAGCAGCGACACCAAAACCAACGGCGTCAATGGTCATGCTGAAGAGCTCGATTCCGACGCAGAAGACTCCGCGTCTGACTCCGACGAAGAGGACCTTAGCGGGGAAGACGAAGACTTCTCTGGCGAGGAGATGAGCGGCCTCCTCGACGGGGAGGTTGAAGAGGATGAAGAGTCTCTGGCCGAGGATGGTGAAGAGGACATTGAAGACGAAGACGACCTAGAAGAGGACCTCGATGGTGATTTCAGCAAATTCGACGACGAGGAAGCCGAAGGCGAAAGTGACGACGAAGAGGACGAGCTCGTTGAGGACCCCAACGGTCTCAATGATGGTTTCTTCAATATTGACGCCTTCAACAAGCAAAGTCAGTTCTTCGAAAACCAGGATGCCAGAGCCGATCCCAACACAGACGCCGCAAGCGACGATGACGAGCTTGACTGGCACACAGATCCTCTCGCAGCAAAACCTACAGCTAATGGGAAACGGTCAAAAGGTGGAGATGATGAGTCTGAGGATGACGGTCTTAATGTTGAAGAAGAGGAAGACGACGACGATGAAGAGGGTGGCCCTACTTTCGGCGACATGGACCTAGATGCGCCCGAGGGCGAAAGCGATGCGGAAGAGGACGACGAAGGGGAGGAGGACGTGGCAGGCGGTATGGAGTTCAATGCCAACGACGTCTTCTACAAGGACTTCTTTGCGCCACCCGCCAAAAAGGGGTCGAAGAACGGAAAACCGCGGAAACCTAGAGCACCCAAATATACGGCACCGGATGACAGGGACATTGGTCGCGCCATGGAAGACGTCAAGAGGGATCTTTTTGAAGACGAGTCCGACCACGAGAACTCGGATGACGCACTTTCAGACGTATCCGCCGGTGATGTCAGGTCTCGAAGGTCAGCGCACGAGAGGCGACAGGCCAAACTAGCTGAAGAGATCCGCAAGTTGGAGGCTGAAAACGTAGCGCAGAAGAAGTGGACTCTCAGTGGTGAGGCGTCTGCTACGGAGCGACCTATGCACTCGCTTTTGGAGGAAGACATGGACTTTGAGCACGTCGGCAAACCAGTTCCTGTCATCACACAGGCCGTCAGCGAAAGCATTGAGGATATGATCAAGAGACGAATTCTGGCGCAGGAGTTTGACGAGGTTCTGAGGAGGCGGCCGGACACTGACGGAGCAGCCCATACCCGACGTGGTCTCGTCGAACTTGACGATGCGAAGAATAAGCAAAGTCTTGCCGAGATGTACGAGGAGGAGCATGTCAAGAATGCCAACCCGGACGCATACGTCAGCAAGGCCGACGAAAAGCTCCAGAAGGAGGAGAAGGAAGTCGAACAGATGTGGAAGGAGCTCAGCGCCAGCCTTGATGCTCTCAGCAGCTGGCACTACAAGCCGAAGCCCGCGGCTCCATCTCTCACGGTCGTGGCCGACGTGGCGACGGTCAGCATGGAAGACGCCCAACCCGCTACAGCCCAAGGTGTCAGTGGCGGCGACAACACGCTCGCACCACAAGAGATCTACAAGGCTAGCAAGGACAGCGCAGAGAAGGGCGAAGTTGTCGGCAAGAGTGGCCTGCCAGTTGCCCGACAGGAGCTCAGTCGTGAAGACAAGACGAGAAGACGCAGAAGGACCAAGGAGAGAATCCGCAAGGCTGGTGGCATTGACGAGAAAAACCTCTCTGGCAAGGCGCAGGCACAGAAGCAGAACCTTGCCGACCTCAAGAAGGGAGGCGTCAAGGTCATCAACAAGAGGGGAGAAGTCCTCGATGTCGAGGGCAACAAGGCAAAGGCAGCCAAGGCTCTTCAGAGCAGCAACTTCAAGTTGTAGATATCAAAATTGTAGCATTGCATTTGCACGGAGCGAAGATAAACCCAAGGAGAATTCGTACCAACAGCCATTCCTCCCATCTGACTGTGATTATATTGAATTTCCCATAGTTTCCAGCCTGCAAAAGAAAAAGACCCTGACCGGGATTGCAGACCTCCCAGAGCTCCTTTGCAAAAGCTCCCCAAGAGCTTCCCCCAAAAGCTCCTTACTCTAAGGCGTTAGCGTCATTTGTGCAGCTTGCATGCAGGTCGACCCCCATTAACTTAAAAAAGTTCTGGTTCCTGCATTGAAATCCTCAACTTCGTCGGCATCATTTTGGCTTTGCGCCGGAACATCGCACCCCCGCCGCCATGATTGGAGATAAGGAATCGACATACAAGCTCGACAAGCCGGAGAAGCTCAACGAGCTCCTCAAAGCCGATGGCGGCGACGACTGCACAGGCTGCAAGGTCATAGGTACGTAGACTGATACTGCCCTCCGCGCCGCCTTGTGGACCTACTCTCCTCTCCTGTGCCGCCCTCCCACTCAGCCGCACCCCGGTCTCTTTGGTGTTAGAAGATCTCCGGGCTCTACTATATGTCATCCGTGGAAATACGAGGCTGACCATTTACGTTCGCAGGAGGCGGTGCCTTCCTCGGCCTCGGCGCATACAGTTACTTCTCCGGCATGTCGCAGATCGAACAGCAGCGCGCCAAGATAATAGCGAGCAGGAGCTTCTTGGGCGTCAGGAGCAGGAAGGCCGGTATCGCGGCCACGAGCCTCGGCCTGGCGTGGATGGGCATTTACAGGCTGCTCATGTAAAAGAGAAAGAGCTCGAGTGGGCGGTCTCTTGCGGAGGGAGGTGCTGCTACATACAAGCACGACTGCAGAGGTGAAGATGACTCCGGACCCCTGCCAATCCGATCTCAATGGGTATTTGCATTGATGGAGACAGACTATGATCCTGCACCCTTTTTTTCTTTCTTTCTCTTCTGGACCATCAGATGGAAAGTGATACATCTGGGAACAGGGGTGTGGTTTTTAGCCATCAACGATGTACTACAATTCGCTATGGGCTCGACTATGGCCCCTCAAATGTAATTAGAGCCGGATAAGTGTTTGTGGCAATGCCACTGCATACATTCCCAAGACTCTAGCGGCCCAACACTACTCTCGTTGGTTGCCATGTTGATTATAGCTTTAGTTGGTGATACGACTACAAGCTTGTTCATACTTTGAATTCACCTTCAATGCTATGTGGCTACTACTTATGCGAAATGAAGTCGATTCCAGTCCTGCATAATTATTGCGTAAACGTCTAGAGCAGTCGTCCTAGCGATGACCCCCCGAAGTCAACCATTACCCTGACCATCTGACCAAATCCACATGTCGAATGACAACGTAACTTACGTATGCCGTTTCTCCATTCCCAAATTATCTACATAGCTTCTAGCTTCAACAACAACGACAACAACAACATAGTGTCGTTGTTTGTTGGTAAAACAATCATAGACCTGATGGCCTTCGTTCAAATCATGTTCGGTCGCAGCGGAACCCATGGACACAATTCTTGGTAGTAGCTATGGTCCGCGAGTCAGATTGCCTATCAAGGGTCTGTGATCACGATATTTGATTATCTACTTCACCACTTCCGATATTCTGTACTTCTCGCACGTGTTCTGCGAGTCATCGAGGCTGATAGCTCGAAATATCAAAACGTCCTCTTTGCCAATCCCAAGACCGCAAATTCGTCTGCCGACAGAAAAGAAGGAGGATGCTATAAGACATATTGAAAGTGCCGAGCGGGACGCCAAAGCCGCGGATTTGGAATGGATGAGAAAAGACGGCAACGTCTCGTTGAAAATATCTCAGGTTAGTATTTGCACAGCTCTGGACCCGAAAAAAAGAAGATTCAGACCGAGCATGGTATGTTTAGTCTAACTTCCGACTTCGGCATCAGAGATAGTCTTCAAGCAGACGAGTTAAAAACGGAAGCCGACGAATTATCAACCATAGCGAAGTCGAAAAAAGATATGGCTCCTGAGTCGGAAAAAGGAGGCGAAGCAGTTTGAGCAAGCAGAAAGGACGTGGCCAAGTTGAATGCAGTGTTGAGGGCTGAGGACAACAATGCCTTAGAGACATCCTGGGCAAGTTCCGAGCGCCATTTATCCTACGTAGTAAGGTTTCGTTTTATTTGGCTCGTTTCTTCCTATTTCTTTCCCCTTCAAAAGTCTGAACGCGAAGCCTGGGCTTCCACTTTCATCAGCCTCGCTTGAGGCGTGACACTCTTTCGGTATAGTCACGGCCTGGATTTATGAGCCCTTGAAAATAATATCACCGGTAGGTAAACCCATTTACGTGTGAATTTAGCCACGGAGAGTGGCTACACAGGGCAGTGAAACGTACGGTGCGTGGAGCTTACTCGCCTTTGCTCATAAATATCAGCCAAGTCGACGTCATCGCGACGCTTATTACTCAACATCACCATACTTACCGCGACGCCTATTGCTTGGCATTGCCACACCTACCATGACCTCGTCGCTTGCCAACCAGAGACGTGTATTTGTGTGTCGATCAATTAAGCCTACATGAATATAGAGCCGGACGATGAAGCAACACTTCGATAGAACAAGCAAAACCACGCACTCCAGGCACGCTGATACGGGCTGCTCGAAGCGACGAAGGTGCCACAATTTAGGTCAGGCACAGTTTACCATTCTTTAGTCGTGCATCAGATATCTCATGATGTTGATGGAGCGGGAGAATTCCAACGTCCGCAAGCGTGACGACCATTTGAACCGACGGAGTCGTAATACGAAATAAATGGTGGTTTCACAGAAGAATGGCGGAGAATAGTTTGGCATTGACAGTGACCAGTGTTCATCACTCTGCGGTATGAAGACTAACTGATGAGCTTGGTTGTGATCCAAGTGTAGGAATGGATTTGTTTGAAAGGACTGGATAATGGCTGGTTAATATGTGGGTGCAATACAGAGTTTGTGCATTCGCAGCGTTTCATTTGTTTTACGGATTAACGTCTCTTATAGATTGTAGACTAGACTACCTCAAAAGCCAGCCAACAGAAAGTGATATAGATACAAGTCAAGGCTTGGTGGTTGTTACCCACCGTCATTGGATTCCAATGGCACGTGGACTTGATCACCCCATAATGGGTCTGGGAAGTGAGTAACATGCCGTTGCGGTCCTACCGTAGGTGATGGTATCTACAGTCCATAGAGAGTTCTTGGAAGTGAATAGCGTACCAAAAAACAGTATAAATTGCGCCGACTCTCGAGCTCAGGACTTGAACTTTCTTCTACGCCCAACAGAAAAGGCAAAGGCAAAGCAACACCACCAAATAAAGCCAAGAATCAACCAACGTATCTTAGAACCGACGACAAACATGGCCGAATCAGCATCGATATCCCCGCAATATGACTTCACATATAGCGACAGTATATCTGAAAGACTCAGGGTATCAATTAACAATTTCGAGATCGCCAACGCCGAGCAGAGGAGCATGATCTTTCCGACGATCAGAAACGATTGCGCCCTGCTGCAACACGAAATTGGCCTGTTGCAAGCACGAATCAACGCGCCTTCGGCGAACGACGATGTGCAGTGTTTCGCGAACCAGATCGGTACGTATCCCAGATCATGCCCCCTCCTGTTTGTGTGTCTGCGGAATAACTACTCATCACGAAGCAGCAAAATGCAATGGGTGGCTCCAGGAAGCGCAGCGAGCCTTGTACAGGGCTAATAACTGAGCGGGGTTGCACTTGAGCGACCAAAACTCGACTGCTGGGAGGAGAAACCGCACTGGTTGCGGCTGAATATTGATACGGTGGTCCTTCTGCCCTTTCCTTCCTGGTCATAGCAGTGGCCCGAGGACCATTTTCACTCTGATAATGGCGATGTAATGGCGATAGTTGTCTTGTGAGACTCTAGGTATACAGCAGCTGCTCACGTGAGAAATATCAAGCCTCATTACTTCTCGTCCTGCACAACAGTCCTGGCCATTTCACGTTCTACGGCATTCTGTCGTGTGTTATTGCTTGCCGATATGATTTGGCCTTGTCGTAAATAAGGCCCTACTGAACAGGAACCGCTTGTTACTTTTTACAATAGCCATCAAAATGACTTGCAGCCAGCATTCGTCTTGGAAAATGTTGACGATGCAGTGAAGTGACGCGGCCCATTCGTGTTTGTAGATGCTCGGTCAGCGATGGACTCTGGACAAGCTTGTCATCGACAGCTGTCAGATGTCCCAAGATGTACTGATTCAATTACCAAAAACCGAATTATAGGGGTTCGACACGCTCGATGTAATGATAAACTATAGCGTAAGTTTACAAGCTCGTTATGGCATTTACAAATTAGTAGGCCTCCACCGAATTGAGACACTCAAACATCATCCGCTTATCGCTTAACGATACGCGCGAATGTATACGTTGGTATTGTGTGGGCATATATCAAACATCTTACACTACTTTTAGGCACGTGGGAATTGATGTGGTTCAAGGTATATATTTTCCCGAACTGATAGTAGCACAATGTGGCACAGTCCGTGGTTAGTAATGGAGTCACGAGGTATGAGTTGCGATTGCGAGCGGCTGAACAGGACATATTCGTCTTCTCCATACGTAATATCACGGTCCACTGACGCTGTTTCAACACATACATTTCAAAATAAACAGCTGCCCAAACGATCATGCTTATCATTACATTCGAGTTGGTGCTATTAATCAGTACGCGGCCAAAGTTTGGCATTGTGTAACCTGAATGTTTAAATCACCAATACTACGATTACTTGTCAATAGCGCAGACCTTTTCAACGATATATGGTGATACCGACGTCTGGTAGTGATGTCGACCTCGGGCTCGCGAGGCTCGCAAGTTCGTCTCATGTGTGACAAGCATTGGGTGGGTGGCCCGGCTTATGCAAGGTTGGCAGTGTGGCGCCAAACGGCCCGCACCTCCTTTAGTGTACGCATGTTAGCGGAGTTCAGCCCGTCTCAGCGTGTGCATAAAAAGGGGAGGACCCTGCCGATCTTTGTTGATTCGGGCAGCACCGTTTTTTCTTCGTCTCGATATCTTGACACCGCAACTGCAAAACGTGTCAGGTCTGTGTGTGTGCGCGCGTGTTTTGATAGCGACTGGCGAGCGACGGGGGCGGGGAATGTCACCTGACCTGCTGCAGTAAAGACGAAGATTGTTATGGGAGACTCTGCGCCGCTGGTATTCCCCTCAGATTTCCGCCTATTTCCTAGTGCAGCGGGTGGTATCAATACCGTATCATGCATATGTATACAGGAACGCGACTATGTGATACTGCAGCTGGATAGATGCAAATCTTCCAGGGCTGTCGGTGACGATGGGGCTAGGTTCAGGGCTCACGAAAAGCATGAAGGCAGATATTAGCACAGATTAGCAAAGATGGTTTGGCAACTGGGAGACGCGCCTTGGAACGCGACTTTCTGACACTGACAACACGGGACAACGGCAATAATTCGAGCCGTTAAGAAAACAAAGTTTATTCTGAAGCGAAGCGAAATCTCCCCCGTTGGTAGGTGCGCACTGCAGTTGGTAGCCACTTCAAGGCACGGGAACCCCTTTCAGGACCCGGTCATTTCGCAAGTGGGATTGCGGCTTGGGAAACAATTGAGCAATGAGAACGAGGAGGGGGGAGGCTTTTTTATCTTTCCTTCTTTTGTTTCTTTGAAATCGTAGCGAATGAAAAATAGTGCTGTGGAGTTCCTATGCCGGTCAACGACGGCTGCAGATATGGCCACACTCTAACGTTCACATAGGGGCGTGCTGTAGCAAGCGTGATGCGGGTTTGGAGACAGACATGACCATGCCCGATCATGTTGAGTGATCTGAGCTGCTTGATTTATTAGTGGTAGGCAGATATGCTGAGCAGCTATATGCACGTGTTTCGCCTGGCCTTGTAGGAGATAAGCTTCAATGAATTGAGTGAGATAGACTTTTGGCAGGTTGGCCCCCGCCCCCCTGAAAGTAAGCTAGAGGGGTGTCATTTATTAGGTTGGACGAATTTGATCTGTGAGGCGTGCACGCGGGCCAGGCTCAAGGATCAAGCCACCCAGGAATTGTGATCACCATGGTTTGTCAAGTTGCTGAAAATGTCATCGTGCACAACCAAGCTCATGCAACAGGAGATCTTGGTCTTGACTGCCGGGCTTAGGGAGCATTGGCAGATACTTATGTAGTACATGTACATGTATATTGCGCAGGAATCAAGTTCAGAAGCAGACGACATTGAAAGTTGACGGGTATGGCGTCGAGTATGGCGTACTGTTCCATGGTAGACCCCTCTTGTCTGGACGGCTGTCAGGAAACGACCCGCATCGAAACAGCTGCCGAGGGATCGAACTGAAGATTAAACTCAAAGACAATAGGAGAAGTCATGTATGCACTTTATTATATGTGCTACTGTGGGTTAATATGTTTTTAAATACGTTGGTAAACTCCGGTGTTGCATAATTTTATTTGCTTATCAGAACAGCCGAGCCTGCATGGCAGCTGCAAGAACTTGAGCTTGAGGTATGTGGGAGCTTGAGTCGATTTTGACATGTGTAATGTGAAACCTGCAATCTGCAATCACTTTAAACGTTACTTATGATATATATATATAAATGTATATGTGTGCTGTTAGAAAGAATAACTAGACACATGAGAAGAAGGAAGGGAAAGGGTCGCCTGTTTTCCTCCCTCCCCTCTGATTGGTAAATTTGCGCCTAGCGACGGACGCCTGCAAGAAGCAACGGGGTTTCGGCCAGTTGCAGCACTGCAAATGGGGGGGAAAGTGGAGTGCACCCTCGAAACCTCTCCAAGGTTATTTTCATGTTCATGTTCCTGTCCCTGGACAAAAACATCCCAACCAACTTTGACTCCAGCTTCAGCAGCAGCAGCAGCCGCCGACGCATTCGGTCCAAGCCCACCACCTCAAAGGCCAAGGCTCAGGTCCAGGTCCTGTGACTCGTCTTGACGATACCTCCCAAACCAATTCACTTTGGCGCATCCATTCCCCCCCGAGATGCGATAGCCCACGCCGACAGAACTCAGCTCCTTGGCCGGACTGAGCTTTCCGTTCCTTTCCACCCACGGGGCAGATACTCAAGGTTAGACACTTCGCGACTCCATTCGCTACCTACCACAGCCAACACCCAAGTGTCGCCCGTCTTGGCTTGCCTTGCTTTGCTTGCTGAACCGGCTGTCGTGTCCATGATCCATCGTTCCATCGTCGCCAAATCAATTCCGCATCGACGTAGCCAGACCATCCAGGTCGGTGCTGGCTAATCGATCCTATGATTAGGGATCACAGAGTCCCTGCTGGCCCGAGACCAGCAAATGTTTCCCGCTCCCCGACAAGACCGTATGTGACCCACGATCTGGACGTCAGCACGACGACGACGATAGCAAGAACAACAATAGACCGTATATGTTTGCTGACTATATTTATTTTCATTTTCTTCTAGTGCCAAGGAAAACGTCAACCCCACAAGCAAGCCAGCTCTCGCGGCCACAAACAAGACGTCACTCGATCCAATGCTGAGCGCTTCCTCCTCCAACAACCACACGCTATTTTCTTTCGGCCGGCATGGACGAGACGGTCAAGTAGCCGACGACACCACCACGGCGTCTTTCGACTTTCTCCCTTCCGTCAACTTCGACGATCTACAGAGCAGCCTTGAGTCTGCCTCGACCGACTTCAAGCTCACCCAGTTTCCCTCACCTACCGGTCAAGGCTCCATACTCGACGAGAAGCCACTGCTCGACAAGATGGCGCCTCACCAATCGAACGCCACCCACACTGGGAACGGCACACGCGTGGCAACCCAGCCAAACTCCGCCCCCAGCGCCGTGCCGACTGGGGGGAGACCATTCAGGTCTGGCTCGATACTCAGGAGACCCAGCCAGTCTAACAGACAAACGAGCTTTGGGTCAAATGCTGGTGCCGCCGCCGCCATGGACATCGCAGATGCGCCCACTGCTCCCGCAGCCATGAGGAATAGACGTCAGAGTCACTACCCACCCGTCTCGAACACGAACACTCTAGGCAAGCCGCCGCGGAAGTCGGTTGGATCCGCGGCCAATGAGCCTGATTACGGATCCCGGTTGGCACAGAGGAGACGGACCAGTTTAATGTCGACTGCCTCGGACAAGGACATTGCCCCTCGAGCATCTACCGATACATTTGGGAATAACGTCAATGATGTTGCGAGGAACATTACAGCATCTCGTACCACCAAGACTAGATCTATTCAGCCTCCTCCAAGGATTTCTGCCACCAACTTCTCCTCTAGCACAGGGAGCAACGGTAGTCAGCTCACTCCAGACGGTAGCCGGAAATCCGTACTTTTCCCTAGATCGCCCAGAGTTGGTGCAGGGGCGACAAGCACGCCTGGTTCTGGTAGGAGAGCCTCCGTCATGCCCGGCCATGCTTCCGGGCTGGGTGCCCGAACGATATCCCCCACAGACGCCCAGCGAATGAGGCGCATGTCAATGCATCAGTCTCAGAATCTGTCTCAAGCCGCCACTTCGCAACCAGCCACTTCCGACCAAAGGCCACATTCCCGTTCGCCGTCCATGATTCCCCGGAAGACGTCCACCACACCCTCCTCCTTGCGCACCACACCCGACCCACCGAGGAAGTCATATAGTTCTGGCCTCTCTGTAGGCTCTACAATAAGCTTCAACACTAATAGGACATCAACCGGTTCGCTTCAACCCGGAGCAGCGCAGAGCTCTACGACATCCAGGCTACCGGCACCGAAAGCGACGAACAACAATAACCAACAAGGCGATGACGCGGAGGATGTGCCTCCAGTACCAGCTATTCCCAAGGCCTATGAGTCGCCGAAAGACTCCCCGGCTGAATTAGCATTCATGGAGAGGAAGAAGCAGGCTTTCGATGCTAGCAGTATACACAGCAACTCGACCGGTACTTTGTCCAATGCGCCATCATTTGAGCCCATATCACAAGTCCAGAGGAAGCCAAGCGCACGCAAACCCAGAGCCACAATGGGTGGTGCTATCTCAGATAACGAAAAGAAAATCATCTTTCCTAACCCCTCGAAGAGGAACCCCCCTGTGAGGTTGCCACCGATTAATCTGGGACCTCTCAGTACGCCAACCACGGCTAAAATCGCAGCTCTGAAGGATCAAGGCGCCGACAACAACGGCAAGAGGACGCCACCGGCCAGGATAGCCACCAAGACGCCAACGACCCCAATGACTGCTTCAAAGAGTAGCTTCTTCTCTCGGGGTCACAAGGATAGAGATCCCGAGAAGCCAGCTGTCAGGAGCAGCACTTCAGCGCATCAGGGACGCATGAACAGCGATAATGAGGCCGATCTTACCAGCCCATCTGACTCGATACCGGACCTTCCCAGCGATGCATTGACACAAAAGCCCACCATTTCACCATTTCTTTCCTCGTCGCTGCCCAAAAGCGAGAGCACATTTGGCGCAAACCTTGCAAAGGCTAAAGCTAATGGTGACCACCACAAGACAATGCCACCGAATCTAAACCACAACATGGAAGCCAGACAGCAACAGAAGCCATCAGGGCCCAGGGCTCCGAAGCTGGCCAAGCCGTCTGCAAAAGCAACCCCTCCCGCAGCAAGCCCCGATGACCCCCAAACGCCCTCATCTATGAGCAACCTAAGACGGAAGTTGAGTCTCTCTTGGAAGCGTAGCACCTCAAAAAGCAGCAATCATCCCTCCAATGTTTCGGCGGAAAATGGCGCTAGCCATGTGCGCCAAGAAAGCATGCCCCCTCCGCGAATACCTATTTCAGCAACTTTGGGTTCCATGAAAGCGGCCAGCCCAAGTCATGCATCAAAGCCCTCCACCGGCTCGTATCTCGACACGAGAAGACGTAAGAGCTCTGCATCTAGCCTAACAGCAATCGCAGCACAGGAGAAGAGCAAGAATGATGCGTGGACAAGTTCCAAGAAGTCCTCTCTTGACGTTGGTAACAGTTCCATGATCGAAACCTCTACATCATCCACTGCGAAGGGGTCATCCGTGCAGCGGCTATTGCGGCCAAGGCCATCTACGGCCTCCATTAAGCAGCATCAGGACGCCATGTACGTTGCCGATCTGGACAAGGATGATTTCTTCGCTGAAGAAGAGATGAAGAAGCTGGCCTCAAGGAGAAAAGAGACGGAGATGGCAGCCAAGACACTCGACGCACTGCGCAAGAGAGCTTCACCAAAGGAAAGAGTCGGCCCTCAGGAAGCCATCCGGATCGCCATGCTGAACATCTACGAACGAGGCGAGATTGTTGATTACAACGACGTCTATTTTTGTGGTACACAAAACGCCGCCAAGGTTATCGGTGATTTGAGCTCGAGTGCCCCAAACTTTGGATACGACGACGACCGCGGTGACTACTCCATAATAGTCGGCGACCATCTTGCCTACCGCTACGAGATTGTGGATATTTTAGGAAAGGGAAGCTTCGGCCAGGTCGTGCGATGCATCGATCACAAGACTGGTGTTCTTGTCGCCGTGAAGATCATTCGGAACAAGAAAAGGTTCCATCAACAGGCTCTGGTTGAAGTGAACATCTTGCAGAAGATTCGCGAATGGGATCCGAAGAACAAGCATAGTATGGTCAACTTCACCCACAGCTTCTACTTCCGAGGTCATCTCTGCATCTCAACTGAACTTCTCGACATGAACCTGTATGAGTTTATCAAGTCGAATAACTTTCGTGGCTTCTCGTTGAAGCTCATTCGAAGGTTCACTAAGCAGATGCTCAGCTCTCTCCACATGCTCAAGCAACACAAGGTCATACACTGCGATCTGAAGCCGGAGAATATCCTACTGAGGCATCCCATGCACTCGGAGATCAAGGTTATAGATTTTGGTTCTAGTTGTTTCGAGAACGAGAAAGTGTACACATACATCCAGTCTCGATTCTACCGCTCGCCAGAAGTCATACTTGGAATGACTTACGGCTTGCCTATTGACATGTGGAGTATTGGCTGCATTCTTGCCGAGCTGTACACAGGAGTGCCGATCTTCCCAGGTGAGAATGAACAGGAGCAACTGGCTTGCATCATGGAGGTGTTCGGGCCTCCTGAGAAGCACTTGATTGAGAAGAGCACCCGGAAGAAGTTGTTCTTCGATTCGATGGGTAAGCCACGCTTGACAGTGTCTAGCAAAGGCCGTCGTCGGCGACCCTCCTCGAAGACTCTGCAGCAGGTCTTGAAGTGCGACGATGAGCCGTTCCTCGACTTCTTGGCCAGGTGTCTGCGATGGGATCCAGACCGACGCATCAAGCCAGAAGAGGCTGTTAGACACGAGTTCATCACAGGACAAAAGGCTTCCGTGCCTGTGCCGCGCGCAGCAACAAGGGATCAATCCCCGATGAAGCGCCATAACACGATCTCCGTGCCTCGACCTTTGCCTGACCCTCCAGCAACAAACAAAGTGCTACCTCGAACGGGGCCATCGCCACACAAGCCGCCCATCGCTACCAGAAGAGCGTCTGGTATGACTGGACCGTTCACTTCAGGTGGTATCAAGAGGACAAGCACGGGCCAAGGTGGGATTTCAGCAACAGCAGCAGCAGCAGCAGCAGCACCTACTGCTCCCAGCAGCAATCTACCTCGAGTCGCAGGTCGCAGTGTTAGTGCTAAGCAAGACCTCGCATCAGCTGGCGCTACTGCTGCTATGAGTCGACGAGTTTGAGCAGTTCCTGCATGGACAGCTGAATGCGACGAAAACCGAGTGCGGACTTTATGCTAAATGCAAATTTGAAGTTCGGCTCCAGCTGCATGTACTGTGCATCACAGATGTTTTGGGTACAACATGCGGTTTATTCTTTCGAGGAAGCCTTGACACAAGTTACCTTTCAAATCTGGGATGGTGGAGGTTCGACTTGCTTGGGAACGACGAACACAGAGGTGCTGCATGAAACTGAAATATGAAATTGCGGATCATCGCAGCTAGGCATTTTCGAAGGGACCGTATGCGGTAAATTTTTTTTCCGAGCATGAGAAGAGCGTGCATGGCGTGATGAGCAGCTATACCACTTTTCTTTCTTTCTATTTTTCTACGATTCCCTTTTCCCGTTGCTATATATGGCGACCACAACACAATCATGATCACTTTGCGACGACATTGGCGTTTATGGTATAGAGGAATCAAGAACAAGCCGACACTCCTTCTAGATGGACATGAACGATGACCAATGATGTGAACGAAAGGGCATCGCGTGTTCAAAGAAACAAAACCAGCTGGGGGTTACTACTATATTAACAATTACCCATTACAATACGCTGCGACTGGAAAAAGTGTAGATATCATGTACTATACTATCCTATAATGAGTGAGGAAGAGAATAATGAAGGGGGACGCCCCTTTCTAAGATAGACTCAGTCTTGATCATGTTGCATAAGTGACTTATGAAACGTGTAGCGACATTGCAGTCCTCATAAGGATCAATGGCATATTGTGCCTCTGATCCTGAAATTGGCCAAACAAGATATGAAGCCGTGCCACATGGTATTTTGCGATGATAATTATGCTATCTTGCCCATCAAGGTTGTGCTCGCCGCCAATTGTTACATCATTTGCAGGGCGAGGCACTTGAATGATACCCGTATGTATACAACAGAACGAGGCAACCTAAAGAGGTCAATGCTGAGCATAGAGCCTGACATGCCATGATATCTCAGTGATCAACACTTACTAAACATAGAGATTAAGCACAGGCATATGAAGAATATATTTCAGTACCTGTGCAGCTGAGTCGAGACCAACCGTTCTGGCCTTCTTCCCCATCTTCTTTGCGTCAGCCGCGTTCGACTACAAGTATGTCCAGGTGCGCAAGCCCGCCGACAGCCGTACCGTGTACACGATGCAGTACCTGTCGTTCAACTCGCTGATGGTTCTCGTCTGGCCCGCCTGGTTCCCCGCCTGGGTCTACGAGTATCGGCGGGTGTGCGCGGAGCAAGCGGGGCCAAGGCGAGGTTGGATCGGGATGGCATGCGTTGGTGCTTGGGGGTTGGTGCGTGGATTATTGTACCGGAGTCTCCTTGTGATAGAGGTTGGGATGGCTCGCTACCGCATTTAGATCTCCGGTTGCCCACTTCAAGGGGTCTTGGGCTTTCCGAGGCGCTCCGTACTGAGCCTTGTGAGTCTAATCAGCATTCGGGCCTTAGAACGACCAGCGAGGTAATCAATTTTTTCTTGTTCTTTTCCTCTCTCGAAAAGGTGCAAACCGGCGAGGACTTGAGGCCGCAAAATCGGCGGTTAGGGACTTTACCAGCGAAGAGGAACTAAACACCCCAAAACCTGCGAATACAGCACTTTTGAGAGAAGGTAATACTGCTTGGTCCAAAATGACGGTATATATGAGATTCCAGGAGCTGGTGGTGGTCTGTAGATTATAGTGGAGAAAACTGAGACAACGGTGTAGTTTCAACACTCATTGGTTCATGGAGTATATACTACACTGTCTTGTCTATATGTTACTCCGCACCCCACATACAGACATTCGGCCTTGGCAAAGATTGGAGGAAAAATGAAACCATGTTGCGATCTGCATCTCAATTCCCCTTGGGTACAACATTTCTGTCGAACACGTTCCGTTACGACGGATCGGGTCACCTGTCCCTAAGGATGGCAGCCAACTATATAATTATCCGCCAAGCCAGTTCTACCACGATTCCCTGGCTACTTCAACTTTCTCTTAGTCTCTTCAAAGACAAGATCTCACAATATGTTTACAAACATCTGGATTCTGATAACCATCCTGACGGCATCCGCTGCACCGGGCGTACACGCACAGAATGCATTCTCAGGGGCTGTCGGATTTGGAGCCATCGCGACTGGCGGTAACAGTGGAACCACATATCATGTTACGAGCCTGAACGACTCAGGCACAGGATCATTCCGCGATGCCGTCAGTGCATCTGACCGGAATATAGTCTTCGATGTATCCGGTTATATCGTCTTGAGTTCTGCAGTCTCCCTCTCCAGTTCTATCACCATCAACGGTCAATCGGCACCTGGAAATGGTGTTGGCATCATGGGCGCAGAGGTTTCGGCTAGCGACAAGAGTAATATCATCATTCGCAACTTGCGCATGCGCCAGGGAAACCTTGATGACCAAACCGGCAAGAGCGCTTTCAATATGGGCGGTTCGGCAAACGTGATTTTGGACCACTGCTCTATCGAATATGGCCAATGGGACTCGGTCGACGCCGTGGGTGCTGTCAACATTACGGTATCCAACTCTATCATCGCCCTCCCCATCGGCCAACAGTTCGGCGCCCACGTGGAGACGGGCCCGTCGACCTTCTACCGCAACCTCTGGGTCTCGGCGCACAACCGCCAGCCCCTATCCAAGGACGACACGCAGTATATCAACAACGTCGTGTACAACTACCAGGCGGCCTACACGGCCGGCAACACGGGCGGGTACTTCTCGCACGACATCATCGGGAACTACTTCATCGCCGGGCCAAGCACGAGCACCACCAGCGATGACTACTACCAGATGAACGACAAGCAGAGTGTGTACGCCTCCGGTAACTATCTGGACGGCGACAAGGACGGCGCGCTCAGCGGCAACGCTGCCGATACGGTCGGAAGCGCCCTGGTGCTCGACTCGCCATGGGCCGGCGACTCCTGGAGTCTTGCTACCCTTTCCGCTGCCGATGCCGTCACGTACGTCCTTGCTAATGCGGGTGCTTCGCCGAGGGATGAGGTCGATACCTATGTCGTGAGCACGGTGAAGTCATACGGAACGAATGGAACCCTCATAAAAGACCAGGCGAGCACCGGGTTGAGCAACAACGGATATGGAACTCTCAGCTGACGAGACACCATATTTCGCTCTCGGGAACGTTCAAGATCCAGCATATGTGGCTTTAGTGATGAGCGAGAAGCGGTATAGATAGATATATATATATATATTCTTACAACCTCCGCATGAGATAAAGGACATGGTATTTAAAAGAGCACGACGTGGAACGAGACACTGCTCTTATAAAACACGATTTGCTACTCTCGGAACAAAGAAATGATACCGCGTGGAAGCTGTTCACCTAACCTGAATGTTGGCGCTGAGAGATTTCCTAATTAAGGACTATACCGTAATATATGAAGCCGACTATGGATTAGGCAGCGGCCGCTGCCTAATAATTACGGCACAGCTCAGCGGGCTAACCGCGAAACTGACGGATTTTTCCTGTAGACTAGCTATTATGAAACCTTGGCTCTATGATTATGCGAAGTATTAATCGAATCCATACAAATACCATCACATTCCCTGACACACACAGCGGGAAATGGTCTGATATTTTAGGCCGCATTGCTTTGCTGCCCAAGTTATTCCTGTTGCATTTGAAATCAAACCACTCTCATCCCTGCAGTAGGTATATCAGCAAAGCATGGCTGACAGCGCCCCGAGGATCGCGGCAAAAGAGCTCCATGAAGCAGTGGATGCAGTAGATCAAAAAGCCCAGATTCTGGCCGACCATATTAGAAATAGCAAACATTTCATCGCTTTTACCGGTGCGGGTATTTCTACCTCTGCTGGTCAGTTGAACCCTCTCCCTCCAACACAGACTGCCGTCCGTGGGTGGTGTTGATTCATGGCGGGCAGGCATTCCAGACTTTCGTGGCCCAGAGGGTGCGTGGACGCTGAGAGCCCAAGGCCGACAGCGCAATGGCCCGACCACGAGCACACTGCAAGCCATTCCCACGCCTGCCCACATGGCGCTTGTAGAATTGCAGAACAGAGGAATTCTGAAGTACTTGGTCAGCCAGAACTGCGATGGGCTACACAGGAAAAGCGGCATCTTACCAGTCAGTACGCCCATATGTGCGTTGGTTGACGAGGGCGACGTTTCTAATCGTGCCACCTCTGCTATAGGAGAGGATATCCGAGCTCCATGGCAACAGTAATCGCGAGTATTGTGAGGACTGTGGGAAAGACTATATTCGTGGTGTGTTTAAGAGTGTTCTAGATCCCCGGGACCATAAAACTGATGGTCTACAGACTTTCGGGCCGTCGCTACGTATGAGAAATCAATTCATGATCATCGTACGGGCCGCAAATGTGGGCGCTGTGGTGGGTCTCTGCACGACACCATCATAAATTTCGGCGAGGCCTTACCGGCGGAGGCTTTCCAGCGTGCCTCGGACAACGCCTACAAAGCCGACGTATGCCTGGTGCTCGGGTCATCGCTCACGGTGACCCCCGCCAACGAGATCCCAGAAACCGTGGGTCGACGACGAGGTTCGAAGCTGGCTATCTGCAATCTACAAGAGACGCCGTTGGATCGTCTTTCAGATCTGCGCGTACATACCAGCGCAGACGAGCTGATGACCCGCGCGATGGGTAAACTTGGCATACCCATTCCGGCATTCATCTTGCGGCGCCGTCTGCTCGTCGAACTAGAGCCCAACGTCGGCGACCGTGCACAAATGATGGTATGCGGCGTCGACGTTGACGACACTCCGGTCACGTTTCTCCACTCTGTGAAGCTCGAAGGTACTCGGCGCGCGGCCGTCGAGGAGCCCTTCATCATCAACTTCCGCGGTGCTTTGGAAACTGGCTTGCAATTGAAGTTGGTACTCAAGTTCATGGGACACTACGGCGAACCAGACCTGACGATCGTCCATGCGTATAACAAACTATCTGATGCACAGGTTTGGTACGACCTTGCATATGATCCTAGAAACCGACAGTGGGAGGTTCATGCGGAAGGCAAAACGTCAGATAGTGTGGACGAATAAAAATGCAAGCCGGCACGCTTTTGATGTACTGCTAGCCAGAGCTTGCCACTGCGTTTTAGTGAAACCAGATCCCTTGAGATGCTGACCATCTTGCGAAAAGTCTGTATTATATTTCACATATTTCTTACTCTGCAACAGATCGCATCTGCATTGTCACACTGGTGTATATCATTGACGGGGTGCAAATGCCCATGATGCCTTATTCCGCAAACCTGAATTATATAGTCGAGAATCACCTAGTCATGACGACAAAATGTGCACGGCTCTTACGATCTGACACATACTTATAGTCCCCGGCGCTAAAGCACTCTGCTGTCATACACGCCAGTGTCCTTGCCAAAGTGAGCACTGGACTGTCTAGGCCGCGTTGTACTTTCATCCAAAAGCTACGGAAGAACTTGAATAGATGCCCGATGCGGATCTGCTTCTCGCTTTATTTCCATCGCGGGCATAAGATTAGTACGCGATCGATATCACCGACAACAATTTGCATCGTCTTCGTCGAAATGATCTGGTTGGTGTAGAAAAGGGTATGGTGCGTTTCAACTGGCTTTGACTCATTCTGAGGGGACAGTGATGTTATAAAATCGAGGCAGCATCATTCGGTATCTGCCGAATTTCTTTTGCTTCTCCCCCTCACACGAGCAACTTGATTGCTCGGTAAGCGATTGCGATCATGCAGGTTTCGCAGCATCGATGCGCCGGCGCGAAGTTGACCGCGGAGTGGTGAATCCTCTCAGCATAATTCCCACCGATATCCTGGTCCACTAGTCTAGCCTAAACCAAACTCGAGGATGATCCCGAAGCCTTGGAGGCGAGAACCTCTGGTCATGTGCCGGCGCGGCGGGTGCTGCCGGCAAAGCAACAAGGTGTAAGGTCAGCTCGGTGAGGATGGCACAAGTCGGTGGTCCTGCGTTGGCTACTATGTGGTATTTTTCTAACCGCACCTCACCCCCTCCTTGTTTGAAGCCTGTGGCTATAACCCTTTGGGCGGACGGTTGGCCATCAATTTTCTAGAACAAGAATGGCTCTTGTAATCCTATGGCCGTTAATGGTGGCGCGGCAGCTGTTAAGACTTGTTTTTCTTCTGCTTCTTGTTCCCGGAACAATCTGCCTCGTTGACTATATGGAAGGATGGCCGCAAAATTCCTGGGGGTGCACCAAGGGGGCATGCTCTCGCGTCATACCTAAGGCGATCTGGGCCCCAGGCATCGGGCTATCGCTTTCAGGGCACGCATGGGATACCATCTTTGTCAATGGCTATGGTCCTTTCTTCCGGGGTCGAAAGCCTGGGGAAGGCTTACTACCCTCGGTACGGGCGTAAGATACCAGCGCGCTGTGGGATTTTGGGGGCCGAGACTTCGGGGGCCAGCCGCGGATGGACGGGAGGGAGGGTTGTGTTGGGTAGGCTTGGTACGGGTCTCGAATGCCAACACGGAAACGTATAGAGTAGGATACTACTATTCGACCTTGATGAGGACGTGCGTCATGCCCAATCACCATCTTAGATGGCGAAGATGGGAGTGTTATTATTCGTCAAAAGGGAGATGTATACGCCACAAATGAACTCTTGGGGAGGCTTTCCTAATTCGGAAGGATTGGGCATCTTGTTTTTGTCCAATTATGGATAGTAAAATGCGTCGCAAAACATGATAATTCGAGATATGAGGTACGTCAGTGTTCGGTGGGCACACATGCGTTTATCGCGATTGAGAATCTACAATTTTCCCTGTGGATGCAAAGCACTGCAAATGGGGCGATATGGGTGGCACTGAACATGTCTCGTAACGGTCCAGGATGGCGTGGGAATCCTTTGGAAACGACAGGGCATCCGCTCGTCTCTCGGCTGGGTTGGGTATACATAAAGAAATTGTTGGTCGGTTAATCTGCGTGCCTATGTTGGATTGCGCTACCGTTCGGCTGTGTTCTTCCTATGAAGGTCTATTGTTGCAGGGTCATTGTTCCATGCAATCTGATTGGTAGCATGCAATAGTCGGATGCTTCCTTGCGTTCTATACGTCAGGTAGTACAGGCACTAACAATTGCCAGAATCCTATCCGTGTTTACATAGAGAAGGCGAGGATATGAATATGATTGGCTTTCGTTCAGCGGCAGTGCCTGAGCCAGGAATGTTCAAATCCTTAAGGCCGAAAAGAACATACGGCAGTATATACGTCGGTCCAGGACGGTGTTCCGAAGGATGACAGGCTGACAGAATAATGCTAGATGCAAGCATCTAGGCAACAAACATTCGCTACACCATTCTTCCTATGCTTATTGAACCTAGTTGTCTTCATCCACGCACAGTGACTGATTTGTGCTCTTACTGGAAGAGTCAAGTGGTAGCCAAGCAGCTGTTCACCTGAAGCATGGGACTTTCCTGCATAATCGTCAACATATGGCTTGTACTGGTTGTTTCATGGTATCGACTCTTGGCTTCAAAACGGCCTGGCAACACCTTGAACAGCCTTCTAGGCATCAGAGCAACTGACCTCAAGCACTAGTGGTCCATGCCCCATGCTTGAAGAGATGCTGCGTCCTGCATGTACTGTAGATAAAAAGATATTGTCAGTATTCACTAGCGCAATTTGTCAGGACTAACTGCGTAGCATATTATCCATGGTAGGTGCGGCAACGAGGCGAAGCCAGAGCTATAGTTAGCATGAGAGATTCAACCATGTCTGCCTTTCCATTGACGCAGCAGGTGAGTCAAGGCCTAGCTCGGTGGACTGCGAAATTCTTTAGAAAAGCTTTTCTTCTTCTTTTTTTTCCTTTAATTCTTTTTGCAAAGGAAAGTTCAAAGGAGAGAAAAATGAAAATAAAAATCAAATCAACCATGACTGGTCTTGCATGCATCATACAAAGTTCAGCTTCGTATTCCAAAATCATCAGGTCCGCATGTTATGTGCCTCTCGACGGCATATACACTGCTCGGAATATGTCCTGAAAGCGTAGGTATATTTCATGGAGATAAACACCAAGACTCGATCCACTTGTGAGTATCAATGAAGTGGCGCTGCTCACCGATGCATGCATGGTACTTCAACAAGCGTAGCCTTTGCACTGCTGCAGTGTCACCATGGAGTGTAAACCTTGGACTGTGCTGGCAAGTCCTAGGGAATTTATTGTTTGCAGATATCGTAGAATAGGATCCGTGGCTGAAGTGGAGCCAGAGAGTGCCACGATCTCTAGTACAAGTCCGACAAACCTTCAGTGCGGCCCATCGTACGCAGAAGAGAATTGAGGGACTGTGGTTAACGAATGAAAGACGCCTAAGAGCCGTGCCGATTGCTCAGCTCCGAGCCAAGCTGAATGTCAGCACTGAGACGGGCCGGATTCAATTGCAAACTGTCATGAACAAGGCAGTTGAGGCAGCCATCTGACTGTGTTGATAGTTTTTGTTACTATCCCGAAAGTATACTTGAATTAAAGAACTAATTAGCGCAGCTGGCCCTGGTTCCTAACGATAGCAGACAGCGTGCGATACCAGATTCCACTTACTGCGACCCATCTTCATGTGGCATGAGTAGATTGAATACTATGCATGGGCCTTGGACCCCTTGTGCAGCTGACGAGAACCTGGAACAGTCAGACTTCAAAGAGTTGATGATGGGCCCACTGCAGATTAAGCGCTCGGTTATGGTTCGTGCCGCGGCCGTCTTCGAACTCCATCATGCAAGCAACAACGGTGACTCGTGAACCTGCCTGCAACAGAGTTTTTTTTGGGAGGGGTTTTTTTTATCAGCGGTGAGGGAGAAAAATCAACAAGTGATGACAGCTTACTGGACCTATTCCTGAGGCTGGTAATGCTTGTGTGGCTGAGCCAGCCCCCAACTATGTAGAAGCTAAAAGCGATGCGCACTAAACCTTAAGAAGGCATATTACTCTAATGGCCGAGTCAGAATGATTATGTTTACTGGTTTCTACTAACGATGGATGATAAGTTGCATAGATTTAGTAGCTGCGCCCACGTTGCTATTGTCATGTCGTGTGCTACAACGCCGAAATGAACACCTGCGAGAATGAGTAGCATGGTACTCACATCTGTCACGCGAATCCTGCAGAGACTGACTTCCACCTGACGGAGGCATAAGGTTCTGGACAGTTTGGCCTCGGAAATAGTAAGTCATGATGTCAAAATGGAGGTCATTGATTTGAAATAAATGTTCGTGCGATGTTGCTGCCTAGAATTCTGCTTAGTATTTCCCCGAGTTTGCCGTTATAGGGTGCGTTGATTATAATAGCTATAGGCTCCGACGGCGTCTCCGGTCGAGCCGGTGGGGGCAACCGGGGGCCTGCCGTGTTTGTAGAGATGTTGTCCGTCCAGTCCCGTTGATTCGGCTTGATTTCGCTGCCTTGTGACCTGAACAGTCACTGAACAAGCGACTTGGCTTGACGTAGTGAGCGTGCAAATTGGTAGAGTGGAAGACATACCACAATCGGGGCGCAGCACCATCATGTTTAGAATGTGGCCTTTGGCAGACAGGGGTTCAGGAATCGACTAGGTCACATTGACACAGGATTGGACAGCTACCGAGAGAGCGCACGCTAGACCCAGTACCCGCATCCAGTGCCGCTGAGCTGGACAAGAGAAAGGTGAACATAGTAGCAAACACTGACAAAAGCGTACGTTTCTTTAATGTAGACCAATCATAGAATCTCTGTATACTATCTATCACCTAGATGCGCAAGCACTCTGGATGAAACCCTTTGGAATAGATCTGATTGCGCAGAAGCTAGCATCCATATTCCTCGGTGAGGATGTACACCGAGACCTGTGGCATAAAAACCATCTAAAGCAGGCAGGATGAAGCATGAGAGCGAAAGCCTCTTATTTTCTTGGGATATTATATGGCAGTCGAAATTGCTCCGCAGAAAGTTTTATGGTGTGTTACGAGCGCTGTCTTAGGCTGCGATGGTAAATTGCTGGTGAAGTGGACACACTATAGGGGACAGCTCCTGCTTCAGACCCCAATGCACCGCGGGTTCGCATATGAGTACAATGTCTCGGTGAGCATGAAAGACATAATTGATTGAGCCTCTTCTTTGACTCACCAAAGGTTTTGGTGTCCAGCTCTGCTATTTTGGAGCTGTTTTCGTGTTCGCCTTTCTCCAAGTCGAACCGGCTGACCCCACGCGACTTGTGCTTGTGACTTGCGACTTGTTCTTGCCTTTTTCGTATCCGATTTTGGCTCACGGCCAGGCACACAGCGATTGGGGTTCGCTTCAATGGGATTGTCATCCCGGAGGTTGGCAAGGCAGAGTGTGTTACTACTGAGCCTGAGGATCTCGATAACGGGCTCGGTTATCTGCTCGGTGCCATCGTCAAAAAGCTTTCAAGGGTGGCGACCAGAACAAGGAAGCCGGACCCGGAGATCTGGGTGCGATGAATAGTAACGGCGATCAGAAAATCGGAATCTGAAACATGAAACCCCGTAAGGCAGAATAGTGCGGCCAAGAAGATTTCATCAAACATGCCTCAATAACATCAGATAGGTACCCGCAATGTTGCATAGACCATCATGCGGCCTCCATTGGGTGCGGTCCGAATTTTGGTGGGGTTACAACCTGCACTGTCGATCTGCCCAAAGAAACGCTCCGTCATTGGCGACCTGTCAAGTCTGGTAGGTATGTTATTTTAGTTTTATTTTATATAGTTTTCATTTTTAATGTCCGTCGTTGTTTAATGCGCAAGGTCTCCAAATTGATGTTTCGAGAGAACCAGGGCCCAACTAGAAACCTTGGAGCAGGGATGGGTCGCAGCTTTGTCTGTGTATACTGTATGCTGATGCACCGAGTCGCCCATTCACAGTACACCTCTTTTGTTCGCTTGGGATCTCTTCAGCGTGTAAAGGTTGCGAACACGTTATTTTCGCTTCAAGTATTTCAAATCGCACGTTGATTTGATAATACAAAAACCTGTGATTTCTAGACTCCGCCATGCTGGGCCAACTCTGATTGATGTTAGATGGTGCGGGTTGATATTTCTGGAGATCGCACAACAACCAATGATGCAACCATGAAGCAGTTGTCGCTTCCACAATCCCGGTATACACAGCCTTATGAGCCCCAACAGGATAAAATCGTCAGCACCAAATTAGCGCTACGTTTGTCCCAGTTCGGAAAGACAATGACCTAAACTCAGCACATGCGTATGCTTGGAAAATACATACCCTACGATATCAGCACCTCTTGATCATCAACAACTCCTCCACACCCAAGAGGTGCTAGGCTCAAAACAAACCAGCCTGTATTCAATCGCAGTGCCTGATGCAGTGCCTGACATGAGGTATCCGCATCGCGGTTGTTTCAAGTTATAGTCAACATGTACCTCAGCCAACGCTGACCACCCTCGTATGATCATAACTGAATATAATCTGGTTCCCAACTTGACGTGCTAGCGCTACCAGATACCGTGAGTACGTTCCCCGGGACTACTCATGTACCCTGGGACTTTTGAAACAAATGTGACTCTGAATCACCCAAGTAGCAGCGGCACGCCGTCATGGTAGGGTGAGCAGCAAGATAATTCATGCATTGCTGCTGCGACATGGCGCAACAAATTACAATCGCGGCTCTTGAAGGTCTATCTATGGCAGTCGACTTGTGGGTTCCTAATACGGTGATGACGGTTAAAGACGTTTGCCCGGCTGTTACAGTGACTAGCCCAGACTTTACTCTACCTGGCTAACCTTAGGGTTCATTTTTGTGATTAATGTTAACTCTCGCTTTTCTTAGCAGAACTTTCCCGAGTAGCTTTGAAGTCGAGTGCCATCAAGTGCTACTAAGTTCTGGAGATACCACTATGACTGTCTGTTAATTGGCGTTATCAGGGCTTAAAGTCCCAATAAAAACGACACGGTATTAATGTGTGAATGGCTCAATTCGTTCATGGGCATATCGTTTGTTTTGAGGAAACCAGTCCGGCACACTAACATAGGCCACCCGGTACTTACACTTTGAGAACACTATTCCCCTCTTAGTGCTAGTGCTGCCCCGTAGGTGTAGATCAATTCGCGCAGAGCCGGAGCTGTTTTGTTTCCTACACTTGGCCGGTAGCTGTGGAGGGCTTCACATTGGTGCGTTTCCGTCCGACACACCAGTACAGTGGATCTCCCTCCCAAGCCCTGCAGCACTAAGCTAACTGACCCCTGGCAGCCCTGGATCCCCTTGGAGGTCCAGTGATCACCTCGGCATATGTCCACTGCAAGGGCTGGTGAACTTGCATCAGCTTTTCTGCAGAAGGCGATCGATTTGGCCGTTGTCCGTGGTCAAGCACCACAACTCCAGCGGTATGACTCCCTCCCCCCAAAGCCCATGACACTCTCTCATCAAATCCATCCGGCCAATCCACAATGTCTGCATTGCATCTGCAATCCATCGTACAGAAAGCCATCGACGACGGACAGTCAGCCGTCACACCCACAAAAGCCACCCCACTCTGTCATCTTACCCTGAGTCTGAGTGTCCAAATTCGAACGGTTTCTTTCCACACACACTGGACGTTATTCTATACCACTTTGAACCCCCAAACCACTTCGCTGCGCCTTTACTCATCATGGCGAGGCACTTCTTCCCTGCGCCATCTTATTCCATGTACCATGTCCCTCATCTGCTAGACTGCATATGGATTGCATGCAAAGATGCAGCCTTAGTCAACTGCTTCTGGGGCCTGTAAGACTATTTCGTCACTGCTGCCTTCACGGGGCCCTCTACGTGACTACCATCCGCAGGCTTCCAGGCTATAAGGCTACGATGCCTTCTTCATCTCCAGTCGTGGATGGCACATGATACTCGCCATCAACCCTCTCGTCCCCTTTGTCCACTATAAACCGCATTTTCCTTTCGTCAACCCTTGCTAGATCTGTTTCTTGTCGCCTTAATACCTGTTGACAACATTTGATACACCCTAACAGTCTGCTTATTTCTCATTGTTTCCACATTCCATATCACCCATACCATATTTGTTCCACGAAAACAAATAACACCACCAAACAATCCCCTGGCAAGGCATTGAGTCACAGCAGAGTTACATTGTCACTACTCTTCCACAATACTTGGGAAAACACAACACGTACAACCCTGTCGCCCAAGATGTGCTACCAATTAGTTGAGCTCTATTCCGCGTGTCGGTGCCTCTATTATCAACATGCAGTTGACCGATGTCCATCGTATGGCCGGCCCGGACATGGGGTCACCAAAAGGACAATTCTAGTTGGCTATGCTTGTCAAGATCACGACCCTAATCGTCGTTACGGCTCGTACTCTGCATCCCAATACTCAGACTCCGGATACCACAGCAGCCGCTCGCATAAGAGCTCCCGGCATCACAGGTGAAATGTACTGTCTTCGATGACTGGTCGTCATCCCTGGCACGTTTCACCACTTCTGATGTTTGAATTCGGCAATTGGGTTTCCTATCTTTACTCTTTCAGATCGCGAGCTGTGCCCCCGCCACGTCAACCGTCCCAGCTGTCACTGCTCTTTGTGGGCCATGATCGCACTATGTCGACGTCTGCTCCATCTGCACCGTAACGATTCCCAATATTCCGGGTTCTTCAAGAATGTTGCACAGATCAGTCACCGGTTGTCGAAGAGGTGGGGTACCATCAACTACTCTGATCAAGACGCCGGAGGATAGATTCTGCATCCTGTCAGCTCACACATCACTCAGACGTCTTTACGGTTGATTTATGTGGTGAGACCTCGACTCTTGATCCTACTTGGATTTCTTCTGCTGTATATCCAGCATTGGTTAAAACGATCAGCATAGCGAAGGCGAAGGCAATTGCATTTGGATTTGGAGGTTTAATGATTTGAAGACGGGCAATGGAATTTCCTGCACTCTCTACGACACTTCGGACGCACGCAACGGGGAAAACGAGCCTAGGACGACGACATACAAGTGCTATTGTTTTCTTTTTACTTGAAAGCATTTTGTGGCATATGATGCATGGAGCATGAATGGGACTTATACCAGGCGTCTTGGATGGATAATGTGCATTTCTGGTTTCTTTGGTCGGAAGCAACGGTTTTACACACTCGGCTGGACCTTTCTCGTCATGTCTTGTTTCATTTTTTCCCCAGCGCTCTTCTCATTTGCTTACCCTTGGATTTTTCTTCATCATCCATACTGGATGTCATTTGTGTAACAACAACTGTCTCTAGCACTGCTCAGGAAGCAGTTCATGTACTTCTATATTCGTCTGTTGGAGGTTCTAGGCGCGAAGATGCTGGAAAGGGTCAGCAGGCTTTGCCTTGCGGGCCATTCATCTCGCTCGCCTTGGCCGACTCGGACGTTTTCTTTATTATGATCCCTAGAGTAGTTTCGTCTGGCCACGAAACTGGATTTCAAGCTAGCGGCTACATAGATTTGGCGCTCCCAAGAGCAAATTGAGGACGAGTTCGAATTAGTCAATGTCATTTGAAATAGCTATGATAACTTGAACACCCGTGATGTCTTGCAAGATGCTCGCTTCTTCTTATTACAGCCAAGGCTATGTTGAATTTATAACGATATCATGACTGCCAACTACTCCCTCACGACGACAAAGCTTGCAATGGAAGTTGAATTGCACTTGCATCAAGATGGTCATGTGACGCGCCGATCGAGCAACGACTTAGTTGAACTCTCTGGCAAGACAATAACAGTGCAGTCCATAAATGATAGTGGATTGCGATTGGACTATGATCCCGTTGACCAGAGTGGCCCCAAACTGCCCACATGCCACAGTTATGTCGTGCCCGTATATCGTCAGGACCAGAGGCGGGAATGTTGCCTCTTTCGGCCCCCAAATGAATGGGTCAGGTCGGTTCTGTCCTCGACGGTGACCTATTATACGACAGGAGTCAGCCTTGCCCCAGAATTTATAGCCTCCCGAGGAGGATGGAATTATGCCCGCAAGAAGGATCTGTTTGCTAAAGAAAGCCATGATGCAGAATCGAATTGCCAGTGTAGGGTGGTTTGACTGCGAGCCAGATCCTGTGCTACATGACCTGCTGCATGTATGTATGTGACGTCGGGGTCAATCTGATTGCACGCCCTACCATGCTGTAGATCGCCAAACGCAGGTCCCCAGGGCCGGGTCTGTACCACCAATGCCGCGGGCAGAGGATGTGGATGGGTTTGTGAGGGTTGGGTCCGTCCCTGGCAGACCTTGGTGGAGGGGTGTCTCTCCTGGGGTGTGTGGGCGTGTGGCCGGAGAGGTGCATTCAGAAGTTTCAGTGCAGGACCTTTGGCCTCTTAGCGTCAGCCGTGTGAGTATGCATGGCGGGGGGTTCCAGTTGTAGAGTCCCACCCACACGAACCAACCACACGGAGATGGTTTAGAGCATGGCTACCCTATTTTTGGACGACACTAAAACAAATATAGGCACCATTGCTCGATTAAGGAGATTTTAAACCCATATTCAGTGATCGGTCCGGCACTACGGAGTAGCTCATGCCAGGTCCCTCCCCTCTGGTGGACCAGAGGCCCTCACTTGGCGCGATAGGCGCATCTTCGCATCACTGCCGCGGTGCTGTTACTTTACAGGATGATGTATCCAGCCCGTGCTGACAAGAAAATGACTCTGTTCTGAATGGTACCAGCCACGAAGTCTCGAAGGTTGGGGTCCAAATTTGGATCTTACCTGCTTCCCCTTCATCAAGCTTACTTATCGCTTATAGGTGGGCGACCGCCCCAGTGTGACCCTCCAAACGTTCGACACCAAATGATGGCATCTCACACACCTTAGTTACATGGCGCCCACGAGCCCGAACCCCTTTTTAGCCACGTGTTTACTGGCACGATAGGTGTGCTGACTGCAGCAGATACATTTTGTGAAATGCAAATGTCCTCAAATACTAATCGCATGAGGCACAGCATATGGGTAAGACTGCGTGCAGTCCTCGTAGGGCTGAGGTGACCTCCCAACTTAGCCATGTCAGTACTACAGAAACAGAGTCAGAATACCCGCATGAAGAAGATGAGGATTACCTCCAAAAGGGCATATGCGGCACCCGGCTTTCAGTGTTGGAAGCCAAGCCCTGCTTCGCCGGATTATCAAGAGCGGCAGGATCAAATTGGGGTAGCTTGTGATTCGGGATAGCCAGAATTGCCGATCAGGGGGGCCTGGGCCTGATGTGCTTCTCATAGTAATCATCCTACGATATCTCCATTTTCCTTTTCTCTCATTCAATGCGCCTTGGCCAGTCGCTTTCATTCCAGTGACCAGCATCAGTAGTCCTCCATCCTTGGCAATGAGCACTCAGACAATGGTCGTTGGTCTCGGACCCTGGGCTTGCAAGAGACTCCGCCTGCAATAGAACCAGGCTATCGCTACTCAATGAATCCGCGATGCCTCAACGGGGGCTCCATTTTCGCCATGAACTTGTTGTCATCGGCCCTTATTCATGGCAGAGCAGTTCCTGATCAACCCACGGGAAGAGGCGCAAGCTCCCGCTGCGGGTCGCACGAGCAATGTGGCAAGCACCTCGCTATCGTCTAGACTAGACTAAGGTTAGTCCTACATAGGTGAGGTGTTTATGTTCGTAGTGGTCCACTGAATGCTTTCAACAATTATATACTTATTTATGCCTTCCAACGCCCTTTAAGGCATATCAAACATCGACCGCACGGTAAAATTACAGCGCAATTAGAAGGTCATCCCCCCTCGGACCCGACCGAAGACGCTTGTGCCGATAAACCGAGATTGACGTTCCCCCACCGAGTAAATACCATGCCTGGCATCACCCAAGCAGAAGGAGTTCTGAGTATTCAATGACCCCTTACCACATCTCGCGACCGAATACTCGTTTGCCGTCGACATCTCTACGGCCAACAGCGGGAAAGGATTCCCGTACGGCACATCCTGCTGCACCATCATCCATGCATTCCTTCCTAGGCCGTGCTACGCCTTGTAAAGCGCATTGGCGTCAGCCTCCATTACCATCCGTTCAGGGGCAAGAGTCATGGAACCCCACGCCAGAGCCAACGTCGAGAGAAAACAATTAAAAAATTTCGAAATCCCCCAATAGGCTTCGTGAGGGAATGTGATAAGGAAACACCCTAATTTTTTTTTTTCCTTCGCACAGGGCAACATTACAGTCTTCTCGTTCGGGGCTTTTTTGCGGCTGCTCGAAATTACGCCCGCATTTACGAGGTTCGAGGATTCGCTAACCGGGCCCGAAGAGGTACGTGGGGTGAGTAAGTTTAGTGGCATATCGGATGCTCGAAACAACCATGTCCAACAGGTCAGTACCACATGACGCGCATATGTATAGCAGAAATTGGCATTTTACATTAGATCAGCAAAAACGGGTAGAACTGAAAGTCTTGTTCCGCAGGGCTCAGAACCAGTGGGCGTGGGCTCGAGCGACAATGGCGGAGAAGAGGGAAAAGAATGATGCTACTGTGTACTGTTTGTCACGAACAGCACAACATCTATTATCTTTGCTCAAGTTACTATCCATACTAGCTGGCCTCTTATTTGCTATGTATCATGAATCAAAATTTAAGACCCCTTACCCAAGTTGAAGCTCGATCCGTTGCCGCATGCTTGCTCCGTAGCGTCCACGTTACTGCAAAATTGAGCATATTTGAGTGATTCAACTACTCTCCCAGAACATGTCCATCCCGCTTTTACCTGTACGACTTATACCACTACATACTTGACTTATCTACTCATGCGTTGTTTGGACCCAGGCAAGACCAACTGGTCTCTGCTACCTAAATGATCGGCAACATCTTCACCCGAGGCACAGCATTTCGTACGAGCTGTCATGAGCACAGTTTGCTCCCCGAAAAGGGATACAGGCCGTCACATTCCCGAGCGACACATTGTATGAGTTGAGGACAGTAAATAAAACGTTTCGGGATATTCGAGACGTTTTGCTAACTACAGCTTTGAAGATAGCCAATGACACGTTGTAGAGATATACGGCCTTGGGAGAGAGCAGTTTAGCCAGTACGGAGAAACGCCTCCTTCCGGATTTACCAACCCCGAAATAATTTTGTCTTAGTGCGCTGCGCTCTGTGGTATATCTACTCGATATCTGTATCAAGACAAGGTTTACCGGTTCTAGTGTTAAATCTTAAGACCAAGTTAACCTTATTCAAAATACCTAAGACTCTTGGTACCAGAGTGCGCTGAAGTGTGAGCTGGGCTCCAAACACTAATAATTATTATTGAAGGTGCCATTGGCACTTGTCTCATCTTCCTTGGATGACATTGCTTTTTAGTTTATTTGTAAAAGGTTTCTGATTGTTTTCGCCAAATAATCGGCCATTTGCACACACTTGTCCAATCACATATACCATCACCCCCAACTTACACCTTTCCTGCCACAGGAAACTATCATGAGCAATCGATACCGAAGCGACTTTTGGTTATATGCCTGAAAAGCTATCCACAATAGTGATTTTAAAGAAGGCAATGAAAATTAAAAAGGCGCCTCCAAGAACGAAGTGTAAAACCAGAGGCACACGTGTGAAGATCCTTGAGCATTTAGGGAGCTTTGCCAGGTATGCAAGCTGATTGACTGCGTGCTTCTATATCCGAGTTAGGCACCTATTTGAAACATCTTGTGTGCCATCTCAACATCTTTTTGTCCTTGTAAAAGGTGACTTACACTATAAGAACTATATCCAAGTGCGCAGAAGCTCCTTTCAGGGCGACTATGCCTGCCCTTTTAGATCCAGCTCAAGGAACTACATCACTGTCCTTAAAGAGGATTCATATTCGCATGCTTTGAGAAAGCGCAAAATACGACAAGCTAGATCCTCCTAGGGTTCTTAGGTGTAAATTCACGTTGGCCGATCGCGACGTAACGACATCTTTTTTCAACACATATTGAGAAAGGACGCCCAGATAAAATAGCATGTGTCTCAACAAAAAAAATTGTCTGCTAAGGCGAAGGCTTGGCATTCACCGTGGCTTGGGTCCGATGATATGATGACAAAGGTAAAAGAAGGTGCAAGTGAACGCGTTGGAAGCAGTGTACCCATAAGCCAGCTTCTTAGGCGCCTTGTTCTCACTTCAATTACTGAGTAGGCATGAGAATGACCCAAACCTTTCCGATATACTTGAAGATTCCGCACTAGGCATTCCAGGTGTAGTGCGACCTCGCCACCAAAGGCCATTGTGCCACGGCTCTACTCCAGCTCAGCTTTATACCGGATTTGGCATAACTTGGCGATTCCTATGGTTTACCAAATCTCTTTGATCATGACCTGGGGCGCAAAAGCTCTAGCCTTAGTACACTGCTGGCTCGACCTGAACCGATGTGGCTTTAGAGGCTCATTATGTATATTTCCTGTGACACAAACCTGCATGAAAGCTTGCCAATGGTATTCGATTATAGCTCAGGCGACCTCCCCAGGAGTTCAATTTAACATGCAGAAACAGGATCTTATGAAGCTGATACTACAAGTGTGCTAAACGGCTATCTTCTTTTTGCAAACGCTTGTCTAGGCAACATATGAGCCGTGAAATAAACAGATGTACCATTTCGACTCTGTGAAGTAGTATTACATATTTTCGGGACTCATCGAATATGCGCAGGTCTACGAAGTATCGGTGCTTGCCCAGGCAAAGTGACTCACATATAACTTAGACAACCGTCTATACATTTAAGACAAGCTTTTAAGGGACGCCGTCGGGACCCTTGGTGCAGCATCTCGCTAAAGCGCAAAGCGCGACCTGGCTCACAGGAAGACATTGCGTACACCTGCTGGTCTGATGGAGGTCGTCATAGAACATAACTGAATAATTCAAATTATTACGAATTTGGCTAACAGAACCGGCGATGAGAACGGGAGAGACAATACCTTCGAGACCAACTCCTGTTTTCTATTACACAGAAGTTGGCATTCGAGTATAGCGTCCGCATTGCAAAAAATGTACCAGGAGGTATACCAGACTGATCTGGGTGAGTTCGCTACGGTAAGTTTGCTACGCTAAGGATGCTCAAACGGTATATCCCAAACTCGGAACCGTGTAAACCCACGAGTGAAGACATTCCAAGTCAAAATGAAGATAAGGGATGCAATGCTCAAAATTTACATAAGGCTCGCTGGATCCATTGTCATCGCTGTCTTCTCCGTCTTGACCTGAACTGCGAAAAGCATTCCTCCCAACGTTCGTGGTGTATGCACTCTTACAATGGAAACTTGCTCGACAGTCCAGACATACAATAGTGCTCTGCATGTAGGCCGCAGCATCATTTCAACGCTCCTACTGGCGCCCGGTAAGTATTACATGCTGACACCATGGAAGGATTTCGAAGGCGCGCACTTGGAACGGTCTCCCTGGCAACCGGCATATCAAGTCCCGAGAAGTTGCGATACATAAAGTATTTAACGATGATGGGGACGAAACTACTAGTTGGAAAATGTATTGATGCATACGTGTGCTTAAGCAAAACTTGTAGTTTTGACTCGGTTCCTATCGCCTTATGTCCCTAAAGATTCGTGATGAAAGACTAAATCACGGCGGGTAGCAGCTGGTTGATACGACCATTTCTCCTCAACTCACTCTCATATGATGCGCTACCTAGTGAAGAAAATGTAAAGATCATTGTAGGGCGCCAGCGCTCTGATGCTTGATCTGGAAACGAGTTCATACACATGCTTGACTAGTTGTATTACAATGTGGTGACCGTTATTACTAGACCGGCACTTAACGACAGAGAACCTTGGAGAAGCTGGCAAGAGACCTCAATGAGTCGGCTTCGAATGGAGAATTCACACTGGTCAACGGCGCCGTCATTGATATCCTGGCCTTGTTGTGTCTTGCGACACGCTTCGTGGCATATTAAGGTGGATGGTTAAGCTAACGCCTGTCGCATTTTGTAAGCCAAGAAAAAGTAATTCCATCAGGTTTGATTAATGCCTTCCGACAGGGGGTATACAGTGAATTTGGTATAGTCCATTTCCTTTACTCGATCGTCCCGAACTTTGAAGGTTCTATCGTTCAAGGAAAGCCACCCCATAGCCTCACTATGTGCCGGAAAGATATGTGCAAAGACGTCTTAATGGTGAAGTAGGATACTACCTATCTCAATTCTTCCAACCACTACCGATACTTTTTAAATGCCACGTTCTTGTGACCTCCGTTTTGCGGCACACGATGCCTCCTTAAATCGACGGACTCATCTGGTTCACTTTCAATGTCACATAGTGCATTCGTTCCGGAGTTTTTGAATCCTTCACCCAAATCTATCAATCAAGTTTCTTGACTATCAAAAAGTTGCAGCTGATGCTACGCCGGACTATAGCACTACCTCTCCTAACTAGGGTGACTATTGTCTATTCCCAATGAACAATGACAAAAAGCGAGACCTATATGGTCAATGGAACTCTCGATCGGGGAATTGAACCCCGGTCTCCAGCGTATCGAATTCTTCATTCAATGACAAGCTGGCATACTGACCACTATACTAATCAAGATGACGGTGTTGTTGCGTTCGTAACGAACAGGTCGTACCCGGGCTCGAACCGGGGTCTCAGGAAGATTTCTAAGATAACTCTCAAAATCCCACGTGCTAACCTCTACACTATACAACCCTTAGGTATACTGGTGCAATGAGATTTCTCTCGTACCTTGGTGAGTGACGAAGAGCTATTTTAGTATAAGTTGCGGATCCTTGAAAGGGCCGACATCTCAATAGATCCATGATTGTCGTGTATTAGTGATCCGCCGTCTTCGACATGCTTCAATCATGCGAGTGGAAAGAGATTGGGAAAGGCTGTAAATCGGTTACAGATGTTAAACTCTTGGACGTTCCATGAACCGTCTACTTTTGATGTAACTCAACGACCCGGTTTTTCGTGTCCGACCGTTACTTTATAGTGGTGGCAAAGCCGCACGTAATCATAAGCTACGATATCGCAGCAACTTCCATCCAATGAACAATTCATGGGGGTGTAGCTCAGTGGTAGAGCGTTCGCTTTGCATCATAGCTTCTTGCGAAAGGCCCAGATTTCGATCATCTGCTCCTCCATATTTTTGCTGTTTTGGCATATGATCTTGGTACATGGATCATTTTGTGTGTAATGATCATTTTTTTATGAGTCTTCTCGACTATGTGCAAGGTCTGTTTACTCTATTGTCTTTATTAAGTGTACTTTTGTTGTTGTTGATATACATGCATCCCTAAGCAAGCCTGCGGTTTACGAGACTGTACGGATCCGTATGTATGGCGTTGGTTGTGCGTTTAGAGAAGTCTATTGTGGAATCGGATTGATGGGGGCTGCGACATCCCGCCATGCCGCTCTAGCGGCCCAGCTTGGAAAAGTTACCGTGCTGGCGCCTATGCTTAATGTCCTTCAACGTATCGAGTATCAGAAGAAAAACAATTTTCTAAGCTTCAAGACTACACTACACGACTTGTACCCACACTACAGGACTAAGACCCAAAGCAGCTCCGTGGCTTCAATTTCAAGGATATCGCGGCAGTGCTCGTTGCCGCAAAGAACAGGTCAAATCCATGCCATCCAATATTTCAAGGTCCAGCGTTAATATTGAAGAAGGCCAGTTTGGCAGGACTCACCCTGCCTATTGCCAGTTTCGCTCCCTTGGATAAACGGATGATAGATGGGTTAAGGGGGCGATAAAAATGTTGGAGCATGTCCTTGGAGCCATTCGTCTTGATCTATAGGCCGCCCAATCTAGAACCGGACCTTTTATACCCATCGATGTCTTCTAGGAGTAGTGCGAGGGGGACCATAGACTAAGCATGTCCGAACGCTGTCAATCCTGGCCAGTTTCATACTACCAAATTCGACTTAGGATTTTTGATCCGGACCCAACTCGCCCAAGGCCGTAGCCGTGACGCTGATTGCACACCTCCTCACGCTGCCAGCTCTCGTAGTGCATTGTTCAGCGTGCGATTATCGGCGTATGTATACACTCTTGTGGCCAAGGGTGTAGAAGATGGTAAGCTAGTCCGTCTCCAGCGCGAACACGGCCTGCACGACCGCATGTTACCTATCCAAGGAAATCATTGCAACCAAAATGAGCATGGCACTGGTCGGGCTGCACAAACTACGGATTTTACACAACGATTCCGAGCCACGAAAGACATTGTACGATGAAGCCAGTGGAAACATTATGCTTGTCGAGTTTGAACGGGCAGAAAGCAAGAGCCGAGAGTCATTTGGTCTATCAAGTCCTAACGACAGTAGCTAAAATTGTAAGGTAATGCAAATTGTATGAGATATGAAACACCAAGATGTAGCTGTTAACATTACATTATGCCACAACCTGTGTGCATAGGTAAGCGCCTCCTATAATAAAGCTCTCCTTCTAGCTTAAAAAACCATTACTTATGCCTTGTATATGGGCAGACCACAAGCATTTGTCCACAAGTACCCATTCATCCTATGCGATAATTATTGTCAACGTACATGATGCAACATTGTCAAGAAAGTGTAACCTAGCGTCGGTAGTCTCATTGTTTATAATCTCTAGACTAGCTGACTTTTTGATAAAGAACAAGTGACTGACAAGTCAAATCTTATAGAACTTAAGAACTAGTATAAAAGACGATACGTACAAGGACGGAAGCAATTATCGTAGATGCCAAGAAGAGGACGTGTAGGACTGTCGGCGTAATAATGCGCGTGGTGCTCTGTATTGACCGGGCCATGCACCGAACGTCTAGCAGGTATCATCCACTGAGGCGCAGTGATTTTTGATGTGTAACTGAGCAAGTTTCACTACTCTAGAGTTGACAGTTCCCCATTTTGGATCTTACATTTGTGAGATCGTCGCGAAACCGATCGTGAACACCTTTACACGTGGTGTTCTTACGGTTGTTTGCAATGACGGCAAAAAAAAAAAAGGGGGGGGGGGGGGGGGGGGGGGGGGGGCGAAGTTAAAGGTGTTATTATAAAATCAGTTTAAAAATAATGCTTATAAATTATCATTTAACATTATATATATAATAGTATGTTAGTTACTTAAGTTAAAAATGATAAAAATATAGTATTTTTATATTATCATGTTTAAAGCATTTATATTAATTGTTTTGTTGTTTATCCTTTTGTTCTAAGTGGGGTGCTTTACTTTGTCTCTCTCTTGCAAGTGTCTAGACCTCCTCTCCTTCACCAGGGTCCTCCTAAGTTCAGGGTTCAGTTGGCGGCTGGTTGAGACTCTTGGGTGAGGCGCTTCGTCCCGCTGTGCTACAATGCCGAGAGGGACGGCATCGTTTACCTCCGTTTCCACACCCATGGGCCGGTCCTTGAAGTTGGCGGCACGCGCCTGCAGTCGCCATTGGAGGCCTTCTTCCCATGGCCTTAGTCCTATTGGCCTCTCTTCAAAGTCAATTTCACGTAATTGATTACGCGACATATAGGCTTCGTTCCAAATCCGCCTCAAGCGCTTGAATTGTGGTGCTTGCGTGGGAGGCATTGCAGGTTTGGCGACCGGTTGATCACTTTCGATTAGAGGTTTGGCAGTCGCGGACCCTTCATGGCGCGCTCGAACCCGCCTTATGAAAGTGTCAACTTCTTGTTTGTACTTCACCAGCCTAATTACGTGACTTGTGTTGCGTGGGTGGACGGCTCCAAATGACTTTGTTGACTCGTAAACGGGAGGCGGAGGCGGCGGCGGTGGTGATGGTGGAAAGTCCTCTTCGGTATAGGACTCCATACCCTCCGCCAAGAGGTGGTCGCCTTCTTTGGTGAGGCGCTGCATTTCTGCCCAGACTTCGTCGTCCGACAACGGTGGAGCACTTTGGTCCCTTTGTTGTTGAGAAACCGGATCTCGACATGTATCAGTTCTTGGCAACGGGGCGGCTAATAACGGCGCAACGTCATCGTCTGCTGGAATCAACTTCTCTGCTGAATCTTCCATAAGGGACAAAGCCTTTTTTCTTGCTTCGGGATTCATAGAGCTGATTGCCTCGATAGTGTGCTTATCTGGTCTGAGGCCCGACTGTTCAAGATATTTTATGGCCCTAACAGCACCCTGCGCATCATTGACACGAGCAAATGCTGTGATCAGTGTGTTCCATGTAACCATGTTGGGCTTGATACCGCCTTCTTTGATCATCACCCTGACCATGGACGCAGCAATTCCTGGTTGGCGGTGGTTCTTGAAGCCATTGACAAGCATTGTCCATGTATGAACGGACGGGCGCGGGTATCGTCTATTCCCCCCAAATTTCATCTCCTCCTTCGAAGCCCTTTCTAGCATCGTTTTTACGAGCTCGACTGCGGGATGAAGAAGTTGTTGAAATTGTAGCATTCCTCGCAGAAACACGTCATAGATCAAGCTTCCATGCTTCTCAACAATGGCCACTGCGGTGGCGTCTCCAGAATCAAATAATTTGTTGAAGTGGTTAATTTGATCCAGCATTGCCACCACTCCAGACTGTGTGGACTTGTAAAATTTTGGAGCACCCCGGATGGCTGCGGACAACATCAGTGATAGTGTGATTGTGTCTGGTTGCATGAGCTTGCTTTGCGGCTGAGGTAGCAATGCCGCAGCCAGATCAGTGATCAGTGTCGATTTACCCGGCGCCGGTCCCTGCCATACGATATAATCCTCAAGAGGGAAACTGCAGAGCTTTTGCAAAGGTTCGAGATGGAAGAATTTGAAATACACGTGTAACATGTGTCGAAATGCGTTATTGCCCTTCTTCTGCCTGCGTCTCCTTTCCGTCTGCCCTTCACTTTCTATAAATATAACATCGAGGAAGTCATTAAGAATGGCAGGGTTCCAAGTATCATAAGAATGAATGGAACACATGACGCGCCGGATGGATTGGAAGTCAAGATCCCGCTTTGAAGCATGAAGCAAGGTGGAATAAACATGCTCGTCCGGCTCAATACCGTACTCGAGCAGCAAGTCAAACACTGTCCACGCGGTGTCAAGATGACCACGAACGCAAAAGTTCCTCATAAGTGCTGTGACGTTGAGAAGGTTCGGCCGAAGGCCAGACTCCAGTAGCTGGCGGAAAAGTTCATCAGGGGCAGCTGGTCCTGGTGGCAGCTCTTCATTGTCGGAAAGATGCAGTAAGGATGTACACACGCTGGAGGCGGCTGGCGAATTGATGTCAAATCCTTTGATGTCGGCCATGGAGCAGATGATTTCAGTTGCTAAAGCTTTGTGTTCGTTGCTTTTGGCGAATTTACTGGCAAACTGGAGTAACGTATGTTGTGTCATGGGGTTTACACCAGCATTCAGTGAATAAAAAAGGCCGACAGCTTCACTTAGAGAAGCCTGGGCGACGATGGTACCAATGATGTCGTTGCCCAGCTGAAGCTGGCCGGATTTATCATTTTCAAGGAGAAAGGCGACCAGCTCCACGAGATTCTCCCGCTCAGTCACGCTCGATGACTTTACGCGCAGAGCCAACTGGCGGGCCACATCCTCGACGACATAAAAAGGCGACCAAGCAGCATCGTAAGTAGCGTGTACAAAGGATGGCAGCAGCTCAGGATTGGTGGCCAGTATGGACTGTATCATCATAGGCCAAAGCTCTTGACGTTGAGTCTGATCCAGCTCATCCCAAGACGCTTTCATGGCGTCAATCGAAGGGTTCAGGCCGTCAGCGAATACCGCCCAGCCTGCCGCATCAGTTGCTGGCGGTGCCTCGGCGCCGGCGACGGACAGATGTCGCAAAGTCTTGGCATATTCGAATTTCCAAGCCTCAAAGTCGGCGTAGCTGTCAGCGATGTTGACTTGTCCCGCCGAGAGCAGACGCTCCAATTGATCCGCGGCTTGCAGGGCAGAAGTCTTCGGAAGGCCGTATACTGTAGCTATGCGCGGCCATATCCTTCTGAGGTTGGTACGAAGTCGCAGCACGGTACTGCGCAAGTCCGCGGGGGTCTGCGTCCTTGTCCTGCTCTTTAGATTGTTGGCTATCCGTCGTGCTTGGCCGGGGGCGCGGTCCGAATGTGGTTTTGTGGCATCTCCGAAGATCTCGATTTGCGCCGGGTCCTTCTGACTACGAGCGGTGCTGCCATATTGGTGGTCGAACCATTCTGGCACCTGGGGCGGGTCTTGGGCTGCTACGGTATGAAGTGCGGCGCAGAAACGCTGTGATGAAGGTCGCTGTAGGCGGGCCAGACAAGGTCGACAGACGTAGGGAACCCGCATACCGTCGGGGGTGTTGTCTCGTGGTGTTGAATCTGGGGAGGCAGTGAAGTCGACAGTTTTACATACAGGACAGCATCAGCATTGTGAAGGATAACAGAATAATAATAGTACAAATTACAGCGGCAATGATGTTTGTTGGGCAAGGGAGAGAAACATGTCAAGTCAAAAGGATGGATATGGTACAGAAAATGGCTGCTGGAGCTTGAGTAATGAGATGCAATACAGAACGGAGCTCATTCAAGGGTCCGGCCTGTCTTGTCCCGTCCTGTCCCGTCCTGTCCTGTCGCATTCAGGAAAAAAAGTCGACATGGGCGATGGAGCCGGGGGCTCGGGGCTAAAGAGTTTCTTATCGGGCTTATCGAGCCAGAAGCAGTAACCTGAGGTTAGTTCACCTTAACTTAACCTAGAGCTGTTGATTTGATGCAGGCATGCATACTCCAACTTGGTGTACGTATGTACCGTACTAAACTAAACTTACGGCAAGTTACACTTGAAGAGGTGGTTGACCCATTGAGTTGTCTTTTCTTTACCCAGTGCATCATTGATCAAAACACCTGCTTGCGCCTCACCCCCCTGCGCATCTGTTATCCGCCTTGCCTCGACAATTGCGCACCGCACTCTCGGGCCGCCCCCCGGAGACACAATGTCTAGCAACAACGCCTCGCTGGGCGCGGCGGTCGATGACCGCAAAGCGCGTCTCGCCAAGCTCAAGACTCTCAAGCGCAAGCAGCCAGGCGATGAGGTCGCCGCTCCCGAGTCCACACGGTCCCCGTCGCCCCCAGCGTCCACTGTTCCCGACGTCACCAGACTGCATCTGTCCGGACGTAACTTCGATGCCGAGACGAGGGGGCCGAAACTCGGCTTCGAACAGGCTCCGACACTGAATATGGAGGGCCCGACATTGGAGGAAAAGGCTGCACAGGTCGAGGCAGAGGCGAGGAGCAAGGCGCAGGAAGAAGCAGCAGAAGCGGAAAAGGGCATAGATCTGTTCAAGCTTCAACCCAAGAAGCCGAACTGGGATCTGAAGCGGGATCTTGACCAGAAACTGGAAATCCTCAACGTGCGGACAGATAACGCCATCGCAAAACTGGTGAGAGAACGGATAGCCAGCTCTAGGAAGGCAGAGAAGGAGAAGCAGAACCAGAAGCTGAACCAAAAGGGGTCGAGCAGCTCAACTGGCGACGGCGAGGCTGTTGGACTGGACGGTGTGGCATTGGTGGAGGCTATGAGGGTACGGGAACGAGAGGACGAAGAAGACGAGAGGAGGGAACGGGAAGATCAGGATCTCGCGTAGATGTCTGTTGTACCTAGCTCCCATCACCTCCCCACACACCTCTGTTTGAGAGACAAGGCACTGCGCACTGCATGGTTTGGCGTTCAGGATAGGGCTCCTTCGCCACTATATGCTCGGTACTGTGCTTGAGCAGCAGGCTGCCGCTCTAGCTCACTACTTGAGAACATTGATACCCACGAAATCAAAAATACCTTCACATAGGCATTTGTCCTGTGTATGTGGGGGACGTAGATGACAGGATGGTATGGGTGAACGGCCAGCCAGCCTTGATCCACGCCAGTATTACCTACATAGACTAGATACCCTTCCAACCACAACACCTGATAGCCGTAGCTTTGCGGCACAGTTATGCCATGCTAAGCTGCAGCTGACGATTATGGTGCTGCGCGATATTTATATGCGGGATGTTGTACTGGCTATCATACCTACAGGCAGTCATTGGCTTGTGCGCCTTAGCTGTGCTTATTAGAAGTTACGGGATACCTAATAACGTACAGTACGGCAGAAAATCCAAAAATATGCAGGTGGATTTGGGAGCAGTTCGTCCCGAGCCCCGCCTTGGACCTTTCTACCTACTGCACTGTACCCAAGGTTACTGGATTGACGACACCGAGGCAGCGAACACGCGCTTCTCGAGCTCCTCCTCCCATGATGTGCTGCGCTGCGCTGGGACTGGCAGGCTCGCTAAAGTTTATTGGCAGAAAACACAACCAAGTACGGATCCGTAACAGCACACGACCACACCACAATGAAGCGGTTCCTGCCGACAGTAGGGAAACGAAAGTCTCAAAGTGAAGCACACCCCCCCATCTTTTGGCAGCGAGGCGCTAGGTGATTTTCTCTTCTAGCGCCTGCCTAGTGCTAGGCCAAAAAAGCTGCCGATGAAAGACTTGATTGAGACAACTTCCGGACGAGGCTCGAGTTTGAAGATTTAGCAGTACTGTGATAATAAAAGTATTCCGTCGACAGCGGGAGAATTCTGGTCGGGTACGTAAGCCTCCCAAGTCGGACTTCATCACAATCTTCTGTATGTCAGCAACCCCAAGATAGTGTCAAGTGTCTTGCAGTACCTCTCTGCCTCTGCCGCCTAGTAGTGTTACGAATCCAAACCAGACCGACGTGCACTTTTGCCGATTGCAGGACAGGACAGGACAGGGCAAGGGACTGACTCTATCTGGCATCGCTGTCGCTGGTAGAACGGCCCTATTCCTATGCCTGTGCCTATGCCTATGCCTATGCCTATGCCTATGTCCATGCCCATGCATCATTCCCTAACCTAACCTAACCTTACCTAACCTAACCCATCTCCATCCTAATAATATCTGGTGAACATTCAACCTCTACCTACACCTCCTCTGCTCCGTACATTACACACGTTAGTACCCTTTCCGGCCAAAACACAATTCGACCCTTGATCTCCTCCCCTCAACCTCACGGGGCCCTTCCATTACCCCTTAATGGGCTTCTCATTTTCTTGCCCACCGTTGCGAAAAGGCGAAAAGGCGGAAAAAGCGAAAAAGCGAAAAAGCGCTGCGCGTGATCCGTTACTGAAATTGTCGCAGGTCTGAACACAGTCGGCGCATCAGAGAAGCAGGTACCTCTGCATCGTCGCCCGTGGACTGACCGAAGTCCTTTGTACGACCTCATCAACCCTCACCCTGCGACTACTTACTGCAGCCTCAGCCCTTTCTTGCTGACTGCAGCCCCGTTTTCACCCAATTTTGGGACCCGCGCCCGATTGGTATCACCCATACCATACCATTATCATCATACCATCGAATTGTCCTGATTCTATCAAGTCACCCAAGTCAAAAACCACATCACCCCTCTGCCACGGGAAACATTACGGCTACGAGTTACGACCACCCAGCACTGCGATACCCACACCCATAGCCATAGGATACCCTTGACGACCGACCATGATCAACTGTAATTTGCCTCAACACGCTGCGATGGTCCATTCTCTATTCTGATCTTTCTCACGTCCTCTGTGTCGTTGCAACTCTCTACTTTCCACTTGGAGGTCTCACTTGACGCAGTCACCCCAACAACTCCAGCGTCCAAACACCGGTCCTAGACGCAGCAGTTCACGCATACCTGTCGCTACCGATATTGGGATTGCCCAAGCACTACCTTCCCAGCAACAAGAGCTGCTTCACAATCCCGAGCAAACACCATGGCGACGGCACCTGCGCCTACGCCCGTCATACCCACAAGAATGTCTTTCGCCAAGGTGTGTACATTCTAGCAGCACTCGCCGCTGTAATCTCAGGTTGAGGCAAAACTAACATCTTCAGCAGGTTGCAGCCTCCGGCGCAAAAGATAACAGAGTTCCCCGTGTCGCGGTCCCTACGATGGATCACCGCCGAGCCCCACCCACCAACGTTACTTCTGCCCCCAAGAATGGCAACTCAACTTCCAAGAATCTCAGTCCTACAGCAACCGACAAGACACCTATCCAAGCTCCTTGCTCCGCGAGGACGACGAGCCAGTCAGGCCCCACTCTGCCGACAGATGACAAGATGGCCCAGAAGCTCAGGGACCTTAGTCTCTCCTCAGGGCCACCAACCCCAAGTCTCGTGGTGAATGGGTCCTCGGCATCCATCAACGGCTTGCAAAGTAAGAACGAGAACGGAAACCATCTATCAGATGATGCTTCGCAGAGGGCCGACTCCAGTTCGGACGTTGGCACTAAGGCTCCCAGCCTGGATGGAAAGAGCATCACCTCTGGCACGACGTTTGCGCTTGATGAGAAGGAATCACTTCGACCCGATGACAGCGCTAGTGTCAAGGCCGCAGCCGAGGATGATGAGTCCTTCTCGGTTCGGGGGTCGCAGATGACCAACTCCAGGATGGGCTCCGAGGTGGCCCGTATACACCGGTTGCGCATCGGCGATATGCCCGAGCGAAGGATTATTCAACTGCTCCCCGAATCGCACGACCAAGGCCTCGCGACTCCGCAAAGTGGAGACTCGGGAGTGCCCCCTCCTACAGACGCTTCCCAGACTTTGGGAACAGTAGCTGGCACTCCCGATGCCTTCAGCACCATGTATTCGCAAAACCCAGACGACAAGCTGCTCGAGGCCATGGCCTCCCCCAAGGACCGTATTTTCCTGCTGCGGCTCGAACAGGATGTCATCAACTTCGTCCAGTCATCAGAGTGAGATTGCCACGAGCCAGATGTTTGAGATGCATATTACTAATCATCACGCCAGGAAACCTTTTATGGATCTGCCTCCAAGTAACTCTTTCTGCAGAATGTTGACACATAAATTGGCCGACTACTACCACATGACGCATTCATTCGAGGCCGTTCAGGGTGCTGTGCGTATTTACAGGACACCCTTTTGTAGAGTACCGCCCTCTTTGGCCAGCATCGCTGGTAGTAAAGAGCCCGAGAGTAACACGAACGCGGCCCCACCCGTACTTCTGCCAAAGAAGATTATGCGGCGCGGCGAGGAAGGAGGATCTGGACCTGCCAGCACGAGCCCCTCCAAGGCCACTTCTGAGGTCGGAAGTGACGGCAAGGAGAAGAGCAATTCTAAGGAGAAGTATGGTTGTGCCAATCATGTCGACTAGGCTCTGCTAATCATCTCCAGGCTCACCCGTGAACAACGAGAAGAAGCCTATAACAAGGCCAGAGAGCGTATTTTTGGAGCGTCCGAGAAGACCGGAGAGTCTACGCCTGGTATGGCCCCAGCTCCGCCCGCTGTATCCGCATCCACTGACAGCGCACAGAAAATGAAGATGCAAACGGTACATCTCGGGCCAGCTCTGTCTCAGGCAAAGAGAAGTCAAACCTCGGTAAAAGGGGCAAGACTGGGAAGCAGCGTCGAGATGATTCGGAGAGCTTTGATTCTCGGTCACAGTACACTGCTTGGTACGGCGGACACCACTATGTCGGCCCCCAACCCGCCGGTGGCTGGCAGCCTCAGTATGCTGGTAGTGCGAATGGCCAATTTGGTGGTCAAATCCAACAACCATATCCACATGCCATGCAGCAGCCGTACCCTGCAGCACCACAGAACTATCCCCAGATGATGCAACAGGGTCAAGCGAATGGTTATCCTCAGTATAACCCTATGCCATCTGTGAGTTCTCCGGCGCCATTTAGCAAAACGCAATGCTGACTACTCTTCCTAAGTACCCACAACAGCCCTCTCAACCTGTCCCGCAGCGTTATCCTCCTGCAGGTGGCCCAGTACCCAGCTACGGGTCTCCCATTCCGAGCGCGCAGCCTCCGCAGCCCTGGTCACAGCCTGGCTATGCCCAGAGCCCGCCACCTGCTCCTACGCCCTACCAGCAACAGCCCAGTCGGCCCTCTCAGCCCACTAATCAGCATGGCATCCCCTACGCCTTTGGTCAACTTCCAGTCAATGTCAATCCAAACGACCCGAAGAGTCAGCACCCGATTCCTGGTAGCTATAACCGCCATGCTTTCAACCCTAAAACTCAATCATTCGTTCCTGGAACTGGCATGGGTCCTGCACAACCACAGCCTCCAATGCCTTACCATATGGGCGGTCCTCATGGCAGTCCGCAAGTTGGGTCCCCGCACCTGGCTTATCCTGCGTACGCTCACAACGGACCACCTCAGCCTTATATGGGAGGACCTAGCTATGGAATGAGCCGCCAGAGCTCCAACAACTCCTTGCCGGCCTACCATCATCAAGGTACTCCACCTCAACACTTGCCGCAACATCCAGGAACCCACTTACCCCAGATGCCTCAACTGGGAAGCCAAATACCACACCAGATAACGCATCCTCTACCGAATAAAGGCCCACAACCAATGAACAATACTCATCCCCACTTCACCTCTTTACCCAACTATGGCAACCCGGCCACACTTCCTCAAAAGCCTCCCACGGGCATGTAGGTATATTGCCAAACTATCGTCCAAACACATAATCAACAGGTGCAATGACATGGTGTTCTGGCAATTGTTTCGTGGACAACTGGCGTATAATTATGGCCACGCTGGCTTATAGGAGATGACATGAGATTGGCGTACAACAGGAAACTCATTCTACTCCACGGGCATCAACACGGCGTGAGGCGTTTACAGCGGGGTACGGGGATCCTCTTTCAAGGCGGGAGGTACTGCATCTGTGCATTGGTGGTCAAGGCAAGGGTATTAGAGATACATAGTATGCCATGCGGGGTCAGCTAGACACGCTTCCAACCTCTCGCTAGATTGCTTGGACTGGCGCCTAGGTTGAGCAGATGAACAATTTATAACTGGGTGGCCCAATCACGATGGAGTCGAAATTACATTTCTCTCGTATCCACAAGAAGTCGTGATAATCCCTAGTGAATTACATGATCGTTTGTACGTAGGTAGATGAAATTGCCAAGGATTTCAGCGCCCGCTGTATTTCGCGGATTCCTTTTAAGATACTGGCTTTGGTATCTGCGAAATTACGTGTGCCAAGTGGCAAACCAGATTTCAACATGTACTTCCTTGTCATTCAACAGCTGATATGGAATAAAATGCAATCTTTGAAGGATAAGACAGGATAATATGGCCGTGTCGAATGGACGCAAGTGGTACCACAAGCATTGACTGCATTCATATGAAAGATGCCATCGCCTGGCTTGTGTGCCACATCCCACCGACTGCCAAACACCCGGCCCGCCTTGAAGGGGCAGACACTGTGTGAAGCATCTGCCTAACTACGGGTTTCCCTTCTCAATGCCACCATGTCATAGGGTGCCTGAGTACAACGGCCTTCATGACGATGCGTCCCGACGTAAATTCGATGCATCAAACCGCTGTCTCCCGCCCCGTGCTCTAACTGACAGGAGATCGTACAACCATAAGAAATGAGTCAAGGGGTGACGAATTAGAGGTGTACGCCGACTTGCTTGCTCGCTCCGGCGTTTGTGGGCGACGTAGACGAACTCATTGGTAGCGATGCGCATCTCAGTCGACCAAGCGTCGCTGGTTTGGTGCTTTGAAGTCATCATCCAGTATTTTACCTCATTGTAGGACTTGTGATGACGCGAGACGAAGTACCTGACACATTCCGCTGCGGGTCCATCTGAATAAAACTCATAACCAACTTGTTTTCTAATAGCGCGCAATCGTTTTTGCTATCATGCAACTATAACGGTCAGCATAGATTTTAGGTAAAGATTTTGAAGGTCCCTTTTAGTGCCGGCTTTTGTGCAATGGTCGCAGATTGCTCAGGTTATTTGGGCTGGCGATCTTTGATTCCTAAGAATATTCCGTTACTTCTTTCCTGGGCCTCAGTTACATTAGAATTACACACTCCTATCCGACCTGTGCCAGTCTCATCTGATATACAGCGGCTCGAATCGAGTACCACCGAGATCATCAACTCGTGTAAGACCAGATCCATAGCTCCGGTGTGATTAGGGTAGTATCAAAACTCAACCTTTAACGATTCGGCGATATGAGAACTCAGCTCCCTCAAATCGTAGTCTGTGGGAGGGTTTCGCAGGCAAATGATCCTGTCCCTGTCCAGGCCTCGGCATAATCAAGTCGAACTTTTGGGGAGCATCTGACAAGTGGTAATGGTATATATACTGCGCAGCTTTGGTTATGTTGCGAACTTCTCTTCCTCACATCTTTTGAGACTCAGAAACTTGCTCGAAACTCATCTCCATTTCTTTTTCTGTCAATTCACTCACTCACTTCGTCTGCATTCCAACTCACACCCGTCACACGATCACATCCCATTTTGAAGATATATTAACACGACCTTAACGCCTTCGCTGACATTAGGCTCGCCAGCCTTTGCCTCGGTCTTTTCGCCTTTGGCAGCAATGCCACGCCATTGGCAGATCCTGGCCTGGTTGTAGAAGCATCGAGCAGAAGGGATTCTTCAGGTATGCCACCATATTTTTAGAGGCGGGCCGACTAAGATCAGTACCACAGACACACAGATTACTGTAGCGGAGCTAGAGAATTTTCAGCTGTATGCAATGTATGCCGGTGCAAGCTATTGTCCAGTTGGTAAAGCTGGCCGCCCTTTGTTCTGTACAGGTGATATCTGTCCCGATAACGCCACGACTTTTGCTACTTTCTCGTAAGTCAAACAACATACTTGTACTGTAACGTACTGAGTTTTTTACGCAGGGGCGCCATCTCAGACATCAGCGGCTACATCGCCATCAACGAGTACATGTCCAACATTGTGATCGCTGTGCGCGGCAGCTCGGACCTGCACAACTGGATAACAAACCTGCGGTTCCTGCAGACGGGCTGCTACTGGGGCAGCGACTGCCGGGTCCACGAAGGGTTCCAGCAGGCGTACCAAGACATCCTGAACGACAACTTCTACGAGTCGCTGCGGCAGGCGATCGAGGACTACCCGTCGTACAACATCACGGTGACGGGCCACTCGCTGGGCGGGGCCGTGGCGACGCTGCTGGGCGTCTACGCGCGCGAGGAGTTCCCCGACGTTGGCGCCATCGACATCTACACGTACGGCTCCCCTCGCGTCGGCAACCTGCCCCTCCTGACCTACGTGCACAACCAGCCCGGCGGCCGCGAGTACCGCCTCACGCACTTCGACGACGTCTTCCCCCGCCTACCGCCCATGTCATACCTGGGCTACGCCCACAGCAGCGCCGAGTACTGGCTCAAGTGGGGCCCCGCCGACCGCGTCGACTACGTCCCCGGGATGATCGCCAAGTGCTGGGGCTTCCTCAACGGCGACTGCAACGCCGCGGGCTGGTACCCGGGTCTCAGGTCCCACCTCTACTACCTCGTCGCCATCAGCCACTGCGGCGGGGCCCGCAGCCGGCTGTCGTTCGGGGGGCTGCCCATCGACGATGCTCCTACTTGGAACGCCACGGTCATGGATAAGGATACGATCGAAAGGCTGGAGATGTTCGCCGAGATGGACCAGCAGTACGCCGCTGCCATGTCGACTATCTCGGATCCTGAGTATGCGTGACTCGGCGGTTATCGCGCGTCTTGATACTTACTGCCTCTCCTTGGTTCGTGACTGTTTGTTTTGCTTCAGGGAATAATTTGTAGCGGACCCCCCGTGGTTCTCTGTTAACAACACCCGTTATTAGACATATTTTAATCAAAGCAGGAGAGACTCTTTTGACCCCTGAGCCAGAAAGAAAAGACAAACACCGTGACAGTAGAACCTGACAGTGCGAAACCCTCTCAAGCGGCGAGGAAATGAGCATAGATTTGTGTTTAAGAAGATATCTGCGGAAACAAAACACGCCTATATAACTTCTATTCTCCTCCTACGCGCAATGAAAGTAAAGAGAAAGCATGGCCAGGTCTATGGGTCGATCGTTCATAATCCCTGAATAGCGTTGGTGAAAGGTTGACTACCCGCGAACCATGCTATCACTACACCCACCTCACTTGTTCGTGAAAGCAAACCGATAAAACCAGGATCATGTTAAGATGCCGTATCATACCAACACAGATCCACAAACGCTTTTCGCAGTAGTCTCGGCTCCACCGCCGAGTTATTCAGCAGTAAATTCGTGCGAAGAACCAACGCTTATACGTGTCCTCTTCGAACCGTCCCGGACTTTGAGGTAAATATAACACCCTAACTCAAGCGCATCGCAAGATAAAGCAATATCAGGGTGCCATGGTAGTAGTTTCCCAATTTCGCATTCTTCCGCCTTCTCGCAGCGCTGTGCCAGTCATTAATAGCTCCAGAAAACCAAAACCGAACAAACTTGCGTATATATTTCTCACATATCTTTGGACAGGTGGAGTAAAGGATATTCTTGTCTTATGCTATTTGATATTCGTGCAGGGCAAATTTCTCTGTTGCTGGATGCAGCAAAACTACTAGACTGGTCTATAAATATGACAATAAATTTTGTCCATTTCCATAGCCACTGGATTGGATGTGAATAACGGGGCTTTCCATGAGGTCATGATGATCTGTGATGATTTAAGGGACCACTATTAACAACGAATTCAAATCTCTTGCCAATAGCGACATTGTAGCCGAAATAAGAAGATGCGACATGAGTCAATATCGGCACACGTAGTCCCATTGTGATGGCAGATGAGTTGCATTGCGCCAGCGCTATAACTTGTTCGCCTTTGTTGACATGACAGGGAAAACACACGTGCGGGAGGTTTAAGAAGCTATGACCCAAGTCGTGACAAGAGGATCTCGAACCGAAAAAATAGTTGTAATTAATGTATAGTAGCACAAGCATGTTCAATTTGACGTGGTTTCTGGAGTAGCAGTGGACAGAGCAGCTCAGCACTGTTACGTGGACGAACTATACACTTCTGGGAAATACCACGAGATATCAGTAAAGGCCATCCCACGTATCCGAAAGCTTTTACTTGATCTCAATAACGGTCTCAGTGACTTCCCAGTTCATCTCGACAATGATACCAAACTCTTTCAAGAACTCCGCGCCACCAGCTTGCATCGACTGGTCATATCTTCCGGCGGTGACCGTGGCGCTGTTACCAAAATTGGCCTGATTCCATCGGCTAGGTGCGCCGCTGAAGTTATTACTCCTGTCGAAGAGCTCTGTTTCACTGGTTCGATAGCTCAGTTGTACATGGCCTGATTGGAATTTGGAGTTACTGGATGCTTTCGACGACAATTTGTGCAGATACCTGCTTTTGGAAGTGCTGGAATCCCCCGCAGTCCGGGATGGCAGAGTGGCCAGAGAACGAGAGGGAAAGTGTCGACTGACGAGCAGGCGTATAGTTGCCAGACCAGCGGTGATGACGCCGGCGGCCAGCTCAGCGATATTGAAGCAGCTTTGCGCCACGAAGCCATTTGGTGGTGGATACCCAAGTGACCAGATACGACCGGCTGAGATGATTGGTACGCTGTTTGATCAATTTGATTAGCTGCGGCTAGATTAGTTCATCGGAAAAGAAACACGTACATTCCCCCTATACCAAAGACACCGAAAGCTGCCCACTTTTGTGAGCGACGCAGATTCAAACGCCAAAGAGCAGGTACTGGGAGAAGCAACACGATGACATCTGTTAGGACAGTACCACCAGCGTTCAAGTATGTCGGAATCCAGACAGGTAAGCATATGACATTGGAGCCCGCGACACGATCGAAACTGGCCAAGTCCCAATTGGCCGCGATTGGGAGACACGTCATCATTGTGATTAGTGTCTGCGAGACGCACCAGCTGGTTATGAGCACGATAGCCGCGATGTATACCATGCGCATGTAGTAGATATACCGAAATATGCGCCAGAATTGGATCAAAAAGGTCAGTTTGTAGAAGGTGACTCCCAAAGTATAAACAATTTCATTGGCGTAGAAGAGCTAAAAGGTCAATCAGTTCTCGTTGCTTTTGGAAACCTGCCCAGACAGTAATGACAAACCTTGGACGCCGTAGTCGTAGTCAGTATACCACTCGTATCATTGGGCAAGTATACAGCTGCATAAACACTTTGAATCACACATACGCCAATCGTCGCCGCCTTTACAGTCGTGTCAGTCTTATATAAGCCTATTGAGCTGAAAATGCACACACCAAAGACATTGTTGCCATGAAATCATCAAGTTCGACATGATTTGCAATAAAATACCGAGTGTAGAGGCGAGCGATCACCGATATTGTTGCGAGAAGAGTTAGGAATACACCAAACACGATAAGAAAATGTGCCTCAGTTTGGTTATACTCGAATGCGGGCAAAACGAATCCATCAGCTGGCCAAGTTGTGTTGGTAGTGTTTGACATTCCGGCTATGCAGCCGTGGAAACGGATCTATCGCTAAGGGAGATTGATGGGGTTCGACCTTGATCTTGGCGAGAAACGTCGCGATGGATATTCATGGACTGAAGTTCATGTCTCCAGATACCAGCATCGCTGATGGGTGTCGAACCTCACATATACATGTTGGAATTCGGTCCCTTGCTCGTTCGCGATGCAGGCAAAGACAGTTTGAGGCATTACTGCCGCAACTTCAAACATGAGCGAGGAAGCAGTCGTTATCAGGCGCGTAGAGGGGAACAAAGCACATGTTAAAATAAGTTGAGATGCCATGCACGAACGGACATCCTGGGTCAGAGCGTCGAGCATTTCATTGGCTGACCACCGAATGTTCAGTAAAGACTGGGGTCCAAAATGTGAGGTCAAAGCGCGAGAACGGATAGCGGACAGGGATCATAAACACGTGGGGATATTCGCAATATAGTAATAATGTAACGGTTATGTAATCGGGTTGTTGAGCATAATAAATACAATAGTTGAAGTTAATATTAACAAGACATATTTTGGTATGTATCATTAAATATTCAAAAGTAAAAGTTTGAAACGTCTTAAATTATACTCAAAGTACGTCAACCACTTCAGCTTTGCTATGATCTAGTGATGGTAACTAGCTAGTTGTCTTATTTACGGGTCAAGCCTTCGTGGCCGGTAAACTCGCCTTTGTCACAACCCTTGGTCGTTAGACTTGTGTCTCAAGCTCCTCAGCCACGACTCTATTGGCGTCCACTTTCTCACTTGGCAGCGTATCGGTCAGGCCCATAGAAGCGGCAATTTGATACAGCCTAGCCTTCTCCTCGTGTGCTGCCGTATCACCAAATACAACATCCATGTCTTCAAGGCTTTTATCTTTGGTCTCGGGAACGAAGAAGAACGTAAACACCAGAGCCAACAAGCAAAAAGCCGCGAAGAAGATGTATGTGCCCCAGCCAATCTTGTCGAGCATGTCCGGAGTGACGAGCCCGATGATGAAGTTGCACATCCAGGTCGTCGATGTGGTGATAGCCATGGCCTTGGATCGGTTACCCAGGTTGAATATCTCTGACGGCAAGACCCAGCCGATGGGAGCAAAGGAGTACGAGAAGTTGATGTCATAAATGTAGACGAAGGCGATACCGGCCCAGCCCGCAGATGAGTGCGATGCGAGGGTAGAGCCGTAGCCGCCGATGATACCGCCAACTATCACGAGGGAGACGAAGGTACCAGCAGCTCCACACATGAGCAAAGGTCGTCGTCCGATTTTATCGATGAGGAACAAGGCGGGGAGTGTAGAGAGCGTGTTGACGATACCGTAAACGCCGGTGGCTAAAAGCCCGGATGTCTTCCCGGAGAGGCCCAGTTGGGCAAACATAGTCGGTGCGTAGTAAATGATTGCATTGCAGCCCATGAATTGCTGAAAGAACATGATGCAGCACCCGATAGCCAGGCGTCTGAAGGCTGGCCACGTGTCAACAAGTGAGACGTATTGGGCCGCCCAAAGAGAGAGACCACTTTTGCCAGGAAACTTATCGCGTGCCATGGATTCGTCAAACAGGACCTCTGTCTTGATGGCAAGGTATTCCTGGCGCAGACTGTCCGAGTCAGGATGAACACGACGCAGTCTGGCCAGCGCCTTGAGTGCTTTCTCTTCGTTATGTCGCATCAAGAAGAACCGCGGAGACTCTGGGAAGAATATCATGCCGATGCCTAGAACCAGTGCAGGAACCATTTGTAGGGCAAATGGTACTCGCCACGCTGCATCAGACTGTCCAGTGCATCCGTTCGGGCCAACATCGGTGTTTGGATTGAATGACTCGCCAGCATATGGTATGTCAGGGGCGCATCGAGTGCCGCCAATGTACTGAGTACCGTACTCCAACCAATAACTTATCAGAATTCCCAGAGTGATGCTTACTGGTGTTCAAGTTAGTAAGCTGTTTTGACAGTGGAACATGAAGACTTACACTGCTGTAGAACCACGAGCGTGCCTCGAATCGCAGGAGTGGAGACCTCTGGGAAAGAAGTCAGCCAGATCGCTTAATCATATACCATGGGAAGAACCTACCTGACATATACATGGGAACGATCATAGTTAGCATTCCCACCGCCAAACCAGCAATGGCTCGACCTATGCCTTGGTCAGTTCTTAATTCATGACAAGATATGTCAAACTTACCGGCAAAAATGGTTGGGATAGTACTCGCCCCGGCCTGTAGCGCCGATCCCAAGAGAAAAACAACAACAGCCACAAGCATAGACCCTTTTCTACCTATACGATCGGCAAGTGGTCCGTTGATCAAGGATCCAAGCCATGCCAATAACAGAAGCGTTGAGACGAACCAGCCTTTGAAACTGCTATCAAGATACACCCTGGGGAACTTTGCAGCGAAGGACTCCATGGTCAGAACTCCTGAAATAACACCTTGGTCATAGCCAAAGAGGAAGCCTCCAAGCGATGCAAACTGCAAAGGGAGGAGAAACAGGTTAGCTGATATTTGTTTGAAGCATCGAGGTGCCATACAGTAGATAGACCAAGTATATAGGGATTTTCACGCAATTCACGCCAGACACCCTTTCCAGCTCTGGCAGGCACTTGGCCCTCGGTTGACTGTGGTTGAGCCATTGCGATCTGAGGAAACGCTAGTAGAAGAATGTGAGTTCCGAATTCACAGGATGGGAAGGAAGAAGATGTGTTCTCCAGCAATATGTAGATGTCCTGGCATCTAAAGTGTTGATCTATAATGTCCTTGTAAGTTGACCTGGGTTATATAGAGCCGCTCTGGTTATGGACACCCATGACCCCAACCCCATGGGGAAGCAACATCGAGCCATTGCCGGCCATGTCAGCTCCGTGGAGCTAACCCGGACTGCAGCCGTCCGCACCAATCAAATGTATATGGCTGAGTACCCTAGGGGTACGAGCCCCATAAACCTGATAGACGAAGCGGAGAAGCGGGCCCACTTAATTCATTATAGTCTGCCGATTTCGTGGTTCATCACGAACAAGTCTCCTGACGCCCGGATTGCATCGGCGGAAGACAGTGTCCCGGAAAGAACATGTCGCGCTTTCGTATTTTTACAAATTGATTTTATCACGGAGTAAGGATCAGAGATTTTGTGAAGGCATCATCGCTCTCGCTTAGAAACAGTGTCAGCTCACCAGCAAGGTGCTCGCCAGTAATTAGTAACGCGATATGGGGTCTATTCAAGAAATCGGGTTGGATGAAGCCGTCAATACTCTCTGCGTGAGGATTGAAAGTCTCCTTGCTAGGCAGAAGCTCTGTCCTAAACAACGACTGCTAGTAGCACTAGCAGGAGTTCCAGGATCTGGGAAGTCAACTGTCTCCGGAGCTTTGATGAGAGCCTTGATGCAACGTGGAATTCACAGCGGCGTTGTCGTTGTGCCGATGGTAAGTGCGGTGGATCTAGAAAAACCCTCGTCGCTGACCTTGTTAGGACGGATTTCACTACACAAAGGCTGCATTAAGCGCATTCGATGACCCTGCTCTAGCTTTTCGAAAGCGCGGGGCGCCATTCACATTCGATGCTTTCGGGCTTATACAACTGATCAAGACGTTAAAGACATTACCGGTCACGGGAAAAGAGGGACCTGAAAGCTGCGTTGCTGTACCAAGTTTCGATCATGCAGTCCAAGATCCGATACCCAATGACATTCAAGTCTCATCCCGAAATAGAATCGTAATAATCGAAGGCAACTATACGCTCCTTGATCTGGAACCATGGAACGAGATTGCAAGACTTGTGGATGAGAAGTATGATCTCCGCTCCGAACAGAGAAATTTACTAACGAACTTCAGGTGGTTCGTGAATGTCCCAGAAGAGATTGCGAGAGCACGTCTAGTGGAACGACACTTGGCTGCTGGTATTGAGACAAGTAAAGCGTCTGCGGCAATTCGGGCTGCGGATAATGATATCCCCAATGGCGACCTGATTAGAGCCCATCTCGTCGAGCCCGACATAGAAATCATGAATTAGTCAAACACCATGCTAGGCGCCTAAAAGACTCAAATCATGAGGCTTGACCAGATGGATCATGGTAGGCTAGTAGTGCAATAAGAGTTATTCGCGGCCACAGTTTAAGGTCCACCAATGTTGAACTCGTAGTAATGTCTCAAGTGATAAATCGGAGGCTTCATCTTGAAGAAAACAATTCGTCGAGATTGGGTTCGAATTGTGTCCTGTATGAAATTCTTGGTTATACTCCCGGCGGGGCACCTTTTGACTAATCTCGTACTCCCTTTTAAAAGAGCCTTTGTATTTTCGATACGGGATAATTCAAGCAAATTCATGATACAGATCTTGTTAGCACAACTAGTGTGGATGTGTGGAGGCTTGTGTGGTGCATTAGAAGGATCAAGAACGTGATCCTCGCTCAAGGATCCCCCATTGTACTCTTATCTAACCTATCTACAACGCGGGGCAGTTGCACGGATCCCTCGCCACCTTAGTTTAGGCCTCTTATTCTTTTGTGTGCAACAAAAACATACCTTTAGCAACGATACAGGACCTGAATATCGGCGGATTGTTCGCAAAATTTCTATATATTGGTCAGCAATGCTCAAACTGCCGCACCTGCCTTAGAAACATGGTCTACGATGGATGACGAACATGCGCCTGCTTTTTCGGCATGTATAGTTCACGGACACTCGCTTCTCAGGACTTGCATATTCGCTAATGACCCTGGCTATGCCGGAGCCAAACTCGCCTCTGAGAAAAGCCATGCGAGATTTTAATCGCAGTGGTCGTGACCATATCTTTCTGCGTAATATTCACACTACACTGTGCTGTCAAGAACGTCGCTTGGGCATTTCTGGACTTCCTTGTTGATAATATTGAACTACAATATGCTATGGAATCGTGTACATGCTGCATTGCTCGTGAATCAGTCGAACAGAGAACCCAACGACCCAGGCCTGATTGAGACCCCAACCTCACAGACTTGTATCCACCATACTCCTCAATCATGCCATCGATACTATGCACATGCAGGCTTGCAACAGCACTTCCTTCGGCGCTTGTACACAGACTCCTCCCAGACGCCGTCTTGTGCTTTGCCTCTTGGGTCGCCCGCACTGCCTCATTGTAGTGGCCGACTTCTTCGACCTGGCGCTTTCCTGTTGCAATTTCTGCTTCTTGCTCGCGCAACTAGACCTGAAGTTTCTCCAATTCCTGAAGATAGTTCCCTTCCGGGATGTCCTGCTCGTTGCTTTGCAGCGGTTTCTTCCTCCGTAGAGGCACGTAATTGCGCAAGAAGGTGGCCTCGCGAATTCTGGATGTTTTGGGATCATCATTGACCCATCCGACTTGTTTGTCAAATGGCTCGTCCTTCGATATGAGCACTGGTACTCAGGGAGGAATGCCGCGATAAATTGCCAGCATGGCCGGTGGACAGCGAACATTAGGTAAACACGTCAGGCCATGTTGTGTGAAAGGATTCTCTCAACGTAGCGGACTCGACGGCGTCGAAAATGTTCACATGCCGTCTCCGCCATCGTCCGCTCACGTCACTACATCATACATACAATCTCCCACTGCCAAGTATCTTATATGTAGGATGGCCAAGACGGCGTAGAATGGGAAATTGCCACGTAAAGGCCAAATCAACATAGGTAACCGTCACTCTGCCTATGAAGAATATAGGCAAAGTAGTACCGTATCTGTGGGAGCACGCAGTCAGCACAGCCAAAGACAAAGTCAAGAAGGCGCCGGATAGTCCATACTGTTCACAACGATCTCCCTGCCTATATGCTCGCACCCCGCCGAGTCTCAATCATCAACGCTAGGATCATATGTACGGACTATCAAATGCTTTGAGAATCTCCGCGCCATACGTGCTGATATCTTTAGTATCGGCTGTTCAAACTCTATGGTCTTTCTTACTCAAGTTGTCATTCCCCAAGTCCAAGGTCCTTGGCGAGCCTGTCGTGATGTTCAACAATCAGCTAAAGAGTGTGTATGTCCGTGTCCTCATTGAGCATACAATGCTCATCCAATCTCTGTAACTGGACACAACGAGTACATCGTGGAAGACTTCTGGATGATCCCGAGACGGACATCTGAGAGTCCAGTGTGAGGCTCAGAAAACTGTAGCAAAAGTTCTAGTTTGGACGCAACGGTGCTGAGAAGCATTTTGGTTCTGTGTTTATGATGCATAGCTATAATTCAGCAAGACTCCTCGAGGGGGGGGGGGAGGGGGTTTGATCGAGGAGCGGGAGCTAAAGGCACACCTCCAGTAATAGCTACCACCTCAGGAACTGGGACTAGTATATAGTGCATGTTATTGTGATCTCTGCAAGAGCCTCGTCGGACCTAGCTCTATAACCGGCATCTCAGGTTGATCATCGCTCGACTTTTGGGATAGGTCTTCAGCGTGTCCCTCTTGTCGTGAGGTATCTGATGTATGCGATGTATGTGAGGCAAGTGTGTTTTTAGCGGAATGCTTCTTGTTCGGCGGCTTCGTGATATGGTCTGGTTTCAAGCTTGTAGCGTGTATAGCAGATTCTTCATGTATCAGTGAATATTGGTGATTGCTGACAAGGTGGCCGCAAGGCCGTTTCCAAGATTTCTGATATTCTCAATAAAAGTAAAGGTAGGAGGAAAGCAGTCTGATGGAACAGAAAAATGAGGTGGGCTACCGATTCCTCGCGTGTAGGTTAATGTCTGAACAACGAAGGTTTGAGCGAATGCCTTCTGTTTCCTGTGTGGACTAAGCGGCCATCAAGTGACGGGGCCGGCCAGGAAGTTCCTAACTTCCTACGACATTGTCTTCGATGCCCTTGGTGCTCTTGGCAGTGTCGTAAGCCACGGCTTGAAATATGATCAATGTTCCAACCCAATTTTCTTTTCTTTTCTTGAAGAAAAAATGAACCTAATTTCATAGACGATGGAACTGGTATGATTTAATTGTCTCGATTGTTTTTAATATAGTGTTTATCAGATGACGACCAGGTGCTTACGGGACTGGTTCAGGAAACAGCGATCCAGTGGAACCAATAGTGAGGCCATTCTGGTGTTGAACTTGTAAATAACCACGGTTCCTGTTTGAATGCTTAAGTACTGTATTGTCGTGAGACATGTTGGGTTTATTATTGATATGTACAGATTACCCTGTATGCAATCGGACAGAAAAAACACCAGTATCTATGACTTGTACAGAGGCCTTTTGCAAAGAAATCTGGCAGAATGTACCTCAATAGTAATTGGGAAGCAACAATAAAATGCGGAGCTCAGTGCAGTAAAATGATATGAGAATGATGTCAAATTATAGAGGAGCTTTGCAGTGAAGGCGATCTGACGGAACAAAGGCTGGTATTGAAGTAGTTGCGAAGTGTAGTGAACGAGACTATGGGGAATATGAAGGCTAGGGGGATTGAAGTTGACAAGTGGGGAGTTTAATGAACAGCATGTTCAGGCCGAGTGGGTTCTTGCTTTAGTCTAATGGAAATATGGTTTGATCGGCCTCTGTATTCAATAATAGAGTTCAATGTTGATCCAGTAAGTACTAAAGGCCTGATCAATCGAGAGTTGTCGAGTTGAGGCAAACAACATTCGGGATGAAGTTAAATTTGGATGCTGGATACGTGATGAAATAAAGCACATCTGGGGTGAGCGTTCTGGGTAAGTCAGGGAACTTTGATGGCTGAATTTAACATGAAAAAGAGTCAAGCTTCTCGACGAACGGGCAACAGTTGCTTGCTTAGTCCAGTGTCACATTGATCCCCAAAGTGTTGTTTGTAGTTGTGATACGAGGCTGCACGTCATCAAGAATAACAGTAGAATTGGGAAGGTCATGCTTTTGCCTTATGATTCATAAATTCAGTTCTCTCTAATACCGGAGCCTTCCGGATGGGAACGCCTAGTATACTCTGCACGTGAAGATACCGCATGGTTTTAAATCCCCAGCTCCTCGCCATGCAATCCAATGTGACGCAGCTGGATGTTTTCAGAAGTCTGATTGCTGTCTGCGAGTTGTCCTTTTGAGTAAGGCACCTGTGGTGTGCCTTCTAGTGACTCCCTGATTGGATGTGCAGTGAAGTCCTGATTAATGTGATATGGTGGCCGAATGTTGATTGGATATTCGCTTTACTCGGCAGGCTCGCGCGGCTCCCTGGGCTCGCGTTGTTCTCTTCCACCGCGGCCGCCGCCACGGCCTCCTCGGCCGCCACGTCCGCCTCTCTTGTCACCACGGTCGCCCTTGTCCTTGCTGTCGTCCTTGTCGACCTTGGTCTCGTCAAGGGTAGCTGTTGCTAACCGCTGGCTCAGGTCAATCTGCGTGCGGATGCTGTTGGCCAGGTACGAAACCATGAGGACATCCTGGATGTGGTTGTTGAAGTCGTGCTCGATGCTGGCAGCGTCGACCTTGGGAGCAAGTGACAATGCCGACATGAGGTATTGGCCCAAGGCATTGTTGGGCTCGCGCTCCTCGTCGAGAATCTCGCCAATCCAGCCGGACACGCGGTCGAGGAGGTCGATGGTAGACTCCATGGAGCGGGCCAGACCCTCAACATCTGAGGGGATGGTGGCAGTCTGCGACTCGTTGTCCTTGGCGGAGGAGATGAGCTCGAGGGCGGACCGCTCAGCATCGTTGTATGTGACCTTGTGGGGGACTTGGATGAAGAGGCAGCTCTCGGCAGCGCGCTCCGCGTTGACTGCTACGGGGGCGGAGATGTAGGACTTGAGCTGCACATCGGCGCCGGGGTCGGTGGAGACGGTCAAGTGCACGGCCGGGTGGGGGAAGGTGCCTGTCTCGGGGCTGGCGAAGAAGTTCTGGATGAGAGCGCTGAAGCTGTTAAGTTCGTGCGACGTCGTGTACCACCCGAGCAGCGTCTCGCGGGGCGATGCCTTGAGGTGGAGGCTGAGCATGTTCTTCTGGTACTCGACGTCGACCTCGACCTGGTCCTCGTTCTCGGTGTGGGGGATGGCGAAGGTGGAGGACACGGACACCTCGCTGCCATCCTCGTTGCGGGATCCTATCAGGGCACCGATGACGCGCGAGGATGTGGTCGGGGTGGCGGGGATGTCGCGGCGGACAGCATGGTCGAGGATGGAGAGGATGGCGTGAGGCTGGATGTTGACGGAGAGCGGGGCAATGCTGCTCTGCAGGTTCACTGTGGGCGCCAAAGGCCGCGACAGGTGCAAGAAGGTCTCTGTGTCCACAGCCATGTTGGGTGGTATGACGCCAGAGATATTGTAGATATGGCTGTTCCTGGGGCGTCTCGGGAGGGCTCTGGTGTTTTGGCTGGCGAGAGTGTGGTCTTCCCTGGTGATGGTTCGTCTGCTGCCGCGGGGACCCGTTTTTTTCCCAGCGTCCTGCTCTTTGCAGTTCGAAATTTCCGTGAATTTTCGACGCAGCTGTTGCGCTTTGCAAAAGCCGATCGAGGGGTTGTGCGCGCTAAGATAAGATAGCACAGACTGGAATTGCAGGTGGAACGCATCCGTCAGCCGTCCATATGTTCGAGTGGGGGCAATTGGTAGGTGCAAGGCTGTGCTGTATTGTAATGGTATGGCCGAACGGTGATAATTTCTGCAAGGCTGACTTACTTTTTTTTCTTCTTTCTTCTTCTTTCGTTCCTTTCGCTCCAGAACAGAAATCGTTATAGCAAAGACACAGGCTTGAGAATTGGGTGTGTCTCGTTCTCCCACTCCAGCATAGCTCTTCGGATTCACAATGCCACCAAAAGGCAAGCTCTCTGGAGGCGTCAAAAGGCGAGCACCAGCTGGGAAACGTGGCAAGCAGCCCGTCAAGAAGCGCACTTATGGGCCCAAATTTCATGATGCGAGACTTGCAGACATAGAGTGAGTGGGTCGGCAGTTGGTGAGGTCTATGTATTATACTAATGCATCTGCAGAGACTCGGAGAGTGAAGACTCAGAGCACGTGCCACCGTCAGATGAAGAATCTGATTCAGAAGATGACGAATCGGATGACGGAGAAGAACAAGGCGCATCAAGTAAGCCCTATCTGGCTCTGATGCAAAGTTTCGCCAAAGACAAAGCTCCCCAGTCAAAACGCAGGAAGCTCGACCAGTCTTCCAAGCCTGAGATCCTGCATCGTCAAGATTCCGAAGATGGCGAGGATGAGGAAGTTGTCGAGGATGAGGACGACGTCGAGGAGCCCGAAGAGGATCCGGCAGAGGAAGTGGCCGATCTGGACGACGATTCAGATGACGAACTTCCTGATGACTCGGACCCCTTTGAGTCGCATTTTGCTAGTCCTGACGACGCGGAGGTCTCCAAACGGTTGAAGGCCATCCAAGCCAAGGAATCCTCGACGAACCAGGCCGAGTTGAATAAGTGGCGGTTGACGCGGGTCTTGCCTGGCACAGATTCGACTCAATCAGCAAGGCCACTGTCCACATTATCCACGAGTACGGAACTCAAACTGAAGCAGCGGGTTGGAGAGGCTGCATCGAAACGGCCAAACCTGGACAGGCTCGAGCAGGTTCTATATCCCTTGACGTTTGGTTACAATGACCTGCTTTTCTGTGGGCGGACACCGAGGAACGCTGAGAGTATACGCCAAATGGCTTGCATGCATGCCATCAACCACGTCTTCAAGACTCGAGATAGAGTCATCAAAAACAACGCCAAGCTCGCCAAGGAAGGCGAAGATACCGAGTTTGAACCAAGAGATCAAGGATTCACAAGACCCAAGGTTCTGATGATCCTACCCACCAGGGAGTCAGCCGTGAAGGCAGTCAAGGCTATCACCCGGATATGCCAGCCGGATCAGCAAGAGAACAGGAAACGGTTCGACGAGTCCTTTCAAGACAAGGACAGCAAGTTCACCACTGACCGTCCTGAGGATTTCCGCGAGCTCTTCGAGGGCAATGACGATGACATGTTCCGGCTAGGCGTCAAGTTTACCCGCAAGACGGTCAAGTACTTTTCGCAGTTCTACAACTCTGATATCCTGATCGCCAGTCCACTAGGTCTACGCATGGCTATTGGCTCGGACGAGAACAAGGAGAAGGACAAGAAGCTTGACTACGACTACCTCTCATCCATCGAGGTTGTCATCATGGACCAAGCCGACGCCCTTTTGATGCAGAACTGGGAGCACATCGAGTTCATCTTTGAGCACCTCAACTTGCAGCCCCGCGAAGCGCACGGCTGCGACTTTAGCAGAGTCCGGGAATGGTACCTCGAGAAGCAAGCCGCCAACTACCGCCAAACCCTCATCTTCTCGGCCTTCAACACGCCCGAGCTGTCAGAACTGCACCGCTCGTGCCAGAACTGGGCCGGCCGCGTCAGGGTGCAGCCGGAATACCAAGGCACGATCCAGGACCTGGGCCTCAAGGCCAAGCAGACCTTCTCCCGCTTCGAGGCGCCCTCCGTGTCCACCGAGCCGGACGCGCGGTTCGAGTACTTCACGTCGGCCATCGTGCCGACCCTGGTCAAGCGCGCCAAGGACGTGCACGGCACGCTGCTGTTCATCCCGTCGTACCTCGACTTCGTGAGGGTGCGCAACTACTTCGCCACCAGCGACGCCGTGTCGAGCCTGACCTTTGGCCACATCTCCGAGTACGCCGACATCAAGGAGGCGTCGCGGGCGCGGTCGCACTTCCTGAACGGACGGCACAAGGTCCTCTTGTACACGGAGCGCGCGCACCACTTCAGGAGATACATGCTCAACGGCGTGCGCAAGGTCATCTTCTACAGCCTGCCGGACAACCCCATCTTTTACAGGGAGATCGCGGGCGGCTATCTGGGCAAGAGCGAGCAGGATGCCAAGCTCGAGGCGGGCACCGGCGCGATCAGGGTCATGTTCAGCAAGTATGATCTCCTGAAGCTGGAGAGGGTGGTTGGAAGCAAGAGAGTGGGCAAGATGATCCGGGAGCGTGGTGATACGTTTGACTTTGTCTAGATAGGTGCATGTTTCTTTTTACAGGGCCGACCGAACCTTTTAGATGACATGGGTTTTGGTGACTTTGTGGTGCAATTGTACATATTTCTCGTACATCTCAGCCCGACCTCGTTGATGATTTGAGGCCTAATATGTCCATATAATACAGTTCCTTCTACACAGCCCGAATTCAAGCGGGTTTTCTCGGCTCCGGGCTTGATCTCCCATTTATCTGTTTTCTTTTTACCTCAGGACGCTCACATTCTTCTTCCCAGCCTTCTCGGCCGTCTCGCCCAGGGGGGCGTCGGTGTCGACCTGCGGCCTACTCCTGGCGGCCTTGCCGTTCTTCTTGTCCTCCTTCAGCATCTCGAGCCTGGCCTCGTGCCTGGCCCTCTTCTCCTCGGGGCTCTCGCCGAATCCCATGCCGCGCATCTTGGCGACCATGGAGTCGAACTCGCCCTTGCCGCCCTCGCGGAACTGGGTGGCCTTCTTGCGGTTCAGGCGGGTGAGGTTGGTGGTGGGCAGGCCGAGGGCCTGGTTGCGGGCGTAGGTGGCGGCGGCCATGTGGAAGCGCATGTCCTTGGGCCCGTCGACGAACTCGAGGATGGCCGTGGGGGCCTGGTCGTAGGTGGACTTGGGCTCGGTGCGCAGGACGCGCGTGTAGCCGCCGGGGCGCTCGAGGTAGCGCTGGCGGAGGGTGGTGAAGAGCTTGGGCATGAGCTCGGAGGGCGTCTGCTTGGTCAGTTCCGTCTGTCTGGTCTTGGGGTCTTGGGGTCTTGGGGTCTTGGGGGAGTCAGGCGGAGGGTGGTAGGGACACACGTACGAATAGAATGCTGGTGGCTTTCCTCCTCGCGGTTTCAGTGTCCCGCTTCGACAGTGTGATGAGCTTGTCGGCCAGGCGCTGGGCCTCCTTCGCTTTGGCCCATGTCGTCCGTATGCTCTCGTGCTTGACGAGGGATGTGACGAGGTTTCGCAGCAGTGCTTGTCGATGTGCTGAGTTGCGGCTCAGATGCCTATATTTGACCAATCCTCCCGCCATTTTGTTTTGTTTTGTTGTGCTTTTGCTTTGGGGGGGTTTTTATTTTTTATTTTTTATTTTTTACTGCGGTTGAAAGCGACAGTCAAGTGATCTAAAATTGGCAGTGGCTATTGGGATCCCGTGTGGAACTCATTCGAGTCGTTGAACTACCAACTGCAATATTCAATGGAACTGGAGATGGAAACGGAGCTCCCCTGGCGCGAAGTATCTCTCTTTCTCTGTCTCTATCTCTCCCAATCACAATCACGCTCAAAATCCCAATGCGATTGATTGCACTGACAGATGATGGCCCGAGCTGAGCTGGGAATTTTTTGGCTTCTGGGCAGGCTTCTGGGCCGCTAATTCCCGGGGGGGTGCCGGCTGCTAACCTAGAATAAACTTATCGCTACTACAATGAATGTATGGGCAGACGTAGGGGCGTTTGGGGGGGTGGAATTTGGATTTTCTTTTTCTTTTTTGGGTTGGCAGCTACAGTAGTCACCGCTACCGCTATCACCACCACCACTACCCACTAACACTACCCAGCGCGACTTTCGTCATTTCTCGGACGGCAAGCTCCAACGTCAAATTATATCACGTTCCTGGTAACGAGAGAGAAACATATTGACATGTCCAATTGATTGCCGGGCGTCTCTCCAGTCTCTCTATTCTCAAGTCACAAAACCTCGTAATACCCCTAATTGAGCTTTCATTCTCGCCCAGCGCCATTGTGCGCGAAACTCGGTCTATTTCTACTTCAACTCTACCATGGGCTTCACCACCGGCTTCGTAAGTAACCGCACTCGGACCCTGTTCTCAGAGCGCCACGCCGATCCAACCTGGGGATCCACGCCTCTCCATGCTAACCCCCAGATGACAGACAGGAGGAGTCACCTTGACCCTTGGTGTCGCCTACCTGACCGTCCTCGCCCACCAGCGCAACCGTGAGCGTCAGTCCGCCGTCCTGCGCGCAAACAACTACGTAGTCTCGGGCATCACCGACCCTCTGCCGCCAGTATACCCTCCTACACGAGCTGAGCTGGCTGCCAAGGAGCGAGATAGTTTTGTCGAGACGGCCAAGGACAAGTGGAACCTCGAGGTCGAACGCGAGATACGATGGATTCAAAACACCGACTGGGATGAGGTCCGTGAGGGCGTCGAGACCGCCGTCGGACGTCTGTGGGCCAGGGCACTCGGAAGGGCCATCGACGAGACCGAAAAGGGCGAGCAGAAGGCCGGTGCTGTTGCATCCGCCCTCAAGAGCGACGCCGAGAGGAGAGCAAAGGCAACTGCCGACAGCGCAAAGTTCACTGCCAACGAGAAGGCCGGAGGCGTCGCAGCCGCTGCCCAGAGTGCATTTGCCAACGCCAAGGCTCATGGTTCAGAAGCCACCAGCACAGCCCAAAAGGAAGCCGAGCACGTCAAGGGCTCCATAGTCGATGCTGTGGGCCGAGGAATTGCGGCTGGCAAGGAGGCTCTGGGAGTCGCCCAACAGAAGTTGGTCGGCGCTGAGCAGATTGTAGAAGGCAAGATTGACGAGGCAATCTCCCCTGTCGAGCGAACACTGCGACAAAGATACGAGAAACCGAGTGGCATAAATCAGACGGTGGAGGAAGCTCTGGCTGAGCGATACACGCCCATCGACCAGAGGAAATATGTCGAGCTCAGGGGTGTATAGTATATTTTCGTGAGTATTCCCCGAGGAAACAAGTCAGAACTCCCCTTGAGCAGATCAGAAGATGCTGACTACGAGACAGGGAACCCCATAGACCTTGTTTGTACTATATCATCACCCATAGAAAGGAGGTTGCACATGTCTCAACGCAGCAATCTGAATCATGACTCAACTTTTCGGCTTCGTTATGCGACAATTTTGCTGTTTTGTATAACTTGAACGTTTGCCTAGGGCTTCTTCAGGTCCATTTCTTTGATTTCTTATCTAGCTTGACAATATTTACAATCACAGCAAACATTATAGCAACACGTTTCGTACTCATAGCCCTTATAAGGTCGAAATTTACACCGTACTTGGTTTAGGGGCACTTTTACCAATACTAAGCAGTCCATCACCATCTCTGATGTATTCTATATTGCGGAAAACGGCTAGGCTATTCTCCGGACGGCCTCGACGTGCTGAGAATGAGGTTCATGATCGCAGATTGAGTCTGCCAGTCTCGGAGCGGGCTTCACTAGAACGTGGACGTGGCCGTTCTCGTCGGCGGCGTCGTCGCAAGACTAGTCACCAAAAGCCAGCGTCTTGTAATATCCTCAATTCCGCTTCTCAGAGTCCTAGGGCACCACGTGCAGCCTCTCTTCGGCCGCACGACAACCATGGAGCTCTGGACTTGGGTCACATCGTGCCAAGAGATAGGCGCGATCCGAAAGGCCGCCGTGTCTATGATAAAGTCCTCATCTGGGCTTATAAAGATGCTAACAGTTGCACAACTGATGAGGCTATCAAAGCACTCTTGGACCAAAAGAAAATCGACCCACCTCCTCCACCAACGTATAAGATCAAATGGTCCGCAACGAACAACGTGAAAGCGCAGATGAACAAAGGGAAGGGTGGTAGTAAGAAGTTGTGGGAAATTACAGCTGGTCCTAGTGGTATACGACGGTGGAAGGTGTCTCCTGGAGCATCCTGGGCAGGGATAGGCATGCCATGGAACACCAAGCGAACATTGAGTAGGAGAAGTTCTGTCAACTCGGATAGTCGTCATCCTAAAAGAGCTCGTGGCTCGAAACGAGGCCGGAGCAAGACACGGCATGTAACAGATCGGCAGAAGCCGCCAGATGCTATGGCTCGATATCTACCACACAAGGGTGATTGTGCAATGCTTAGTGGAAGATGTTCAGGCGATCCTCAATTGCAAGCCCAGGGAAGAATGACGCTAACAAGAGGAGCCGATAGAAACGCTGCAGAGAGGAGACATTATCCGACTCCTTTGCCCGCAGATCCAATCGCCGTGGTTACAAAATCTACCAAGTCGACTGCGCGAACGTCTGCGAGGAAACCAACAGGTCGTCACAATCGCAAGGCTGACTCAGCTGATACATCAGATTTAATTGTCTCCAGCCCTACTCCAGACTCACAGCTACCTCCTGAGCCTACTCCTCCTGAACGAGCGATTTTAGCGATCAGATCGGATGCCGTACAAAATAAGACTCGGTCTTCAACCAACACCCAAGCGCGTTCGGCGGTAGCAGTCGCCGCATCCGCTCGCAAACGTTCTCCGGTCCATTGGGGTGACACAAGACGTACATATGTCCCCTATGAAAGCCAGCCCTCGTCTAGTTCTTTGCAACTCTTACTAGCACCGCGGCGTCCACCCTCACCTATAGCCTGGGGGATGTGGCACGGACCTATGAGCCTTGTGGCAGTCAGCCTGCGGCTATCATCATGTCATTGGTAAAACTTGCTAGTCTAGAAGTTATTGCCTCTCCTGTTCCACTGGCTCCACCGTCACCCATTGCTTGGGGTGATAATACCCGAACTATAATGCCCGCGAGATATGGAACACCACCCCCTTGGGTTTGAGCATAGTTACATTATAAGTAGGATAATCAAACATAACACCCCAGTCTAGTCAATAAAGAGCTACTCGCAATAGCGTGCTCCTATCATAATGGACTATCTTAGAGCTTTTTTTTTTTTTTTTTTAAATCTCGACCATTCACATGGCTCCATCCCTGCGTCAGTGTACACGTGCAAGAAGCGTGTGCTAATATTATAGTAGGATGTGTTCCGCTGTCTTCTACCCGTCGTCATAGACCAAAACCTCGCAGACAACGAAAATGGTTCACTAAACTCTTATCGCGATTCCATCAGTTCGTGGCACCCGAAAGACGGCATGCACGTCAAGCATCTACACTGACCAAAAGAGCTACCCAGTCAGGGAGGGCAGCTTGATTAGCTGGCAGCAGCGCTGTCAGCAAGCCATCGGGCCAAGCTGCATTTGCCCTTGGCTCCTCTTATGGGAATACGATTCGTCGATCTCCGGGTGTGAGAGGCCCGGGTATCGCATACCGCGGTAGAGTTTTCGTTGGGGATATGCCTGCTTCTCGGCTGAAACGAGGTGGTGCCTGGCTTAAAACCAACTCACCGGACCCGACCCTAACGGCACAACGGAGACGACGCCACGGTTGGAGTGACCTCAATGCTCCAGTGCGTCCGGTCGGGTTATCTTCGCAGCGTCGTGCCATTCAACGACCATCGCCACAAGCACGAAAGGTCGCCCGGAGACAACCTCCGCCTCCTTCTCCGCCGCCGCCACCGCCACCGCCACTACCATCACCACCACATGCGCACAGGGCAACTCAGCGACATCGATGCCATCATTTGACACCACTCAGCTCGATTTCAAACGGGTCGTCCAGTAACGGAGATTACCTGGACCAGCCAGTCTCCGATAGCGACGAGAGCAGCAGCACCGGCACCGAGACGGCCACAAAGAGCACGCCCACCAGCCAGCGCCGCACCTCCTCGTCGCGGGCCACAACATCCGGGATCTCCTACACCGCGCGCTTCGCATTTCGGCACTGGCACGGCATCGCCGGCCTTGAGGTGAGGCCGCTGAAAACGCCGGACCTGCAAACCATCCGCAGGGGGCTCAGGAGCTTCTAGCTCAGCCGGAAGGGCCTCCACCGGCTGCGCCGCGACATCAGAAGCGGGATCCCGGGCCCCGCCGTATCTGAAGTACCGCGCTAGTGGAAACTGGGGCGGCTGGGCGGCTCCGTTGAGGGATCCGTATGGATCGGGTGGGAGCCTGGAGACGCGGACGAGTAGTGTTGAGGAGCAGGAGGCGAGGGAGCAGGACGTCGGGATTAGGAGTACGAGTGCGAGGAGGAGTGGGAGCGTGGGGGCGAGGTTTGAAGAGCGGGATCGTAAGGATAGGCGCGAGAGAGGCGGGCTGGGTTGGGAGTGGGCTGTTGCGGGGAGGAAGTATTACGATGATGGGCCCGGCAGGAGGGAGAAGGTGATTTTGAGGAGTGCGGATCGGCTTAGTGGGGGGTCGAAGAGGAGCAGGAGTGTGGTGAGTGTGTCGGATACACCTGCGAATAGTGTCGTGTGGTCACCGCCATCGACCAGCGCATGATGGGACGCGGAGTAGGTTAGAGAATCATGCAATTTGCGACTATCGTGGTTGTTGTACCGCAGAGTTTCAGTCTCGGCTTATTTTTCATGGACCTTCCATCACGCCACAACCAATGCGACTTCCCAACCCTTCATCGGTAGCTTTCGTAAGCATATGATACGATACCATAATATTGCCTGAAACATACCTTAAGTGTCATGATTTTGTTCGGCCTGGAGAGGTTGGCAATGTTTTAACCGAAACCGTAGTTATATGCTGCCAGCATAAAGGCCGCGAAGACGACGGAGAATACCTAATAGTGAATGCTGTCAATGCTAGACGCTTCGACTTCTACCTAGACAGCCTACTTGATCTATTTTTGGAACCAAAACCAATCAGGGTCTGCCATGCACCAGTTCTTAGCAGCTCGTAGGATATATAAATAGGTGTAATCACATGTGGCAAAGTGAATTTACAGCAGACGCGAAACTGGTCCAATCATCCCATCCAAGTCCAGCCTTAGAATTCATTCGGGACAACAGACTCGTAACAACAACGGCCGGTACATTGACCAGGAAGATAATGCATGGTGAGCGAAGTGGGCCTGCAGCTGCCCTGCTGGTGAAGGCGGTTTCGACATCAGGGTCCAAATTCCTCGAGATCAATGAGCAACAATAAACCAGGATGCTGAGGTATATACGGATCCGCACATGATTGATTATCCTCCGATACCTAGTGAAGTAGAGTGTCCGAAGCGGTTTACCCGAATGTGTACCTCATAAAATTAGAAACGTACATTAAAGTAACGGGCAAATGGATCCAATATAACAAACCGGGTTTTAAATGGAAGTTTGCTTTCACGGAAACTGTCCGCAAAAGACTTATGGCTCAGGATAACTATGCTTCAAAATCGTCTTTCATTCGATTCTATCAAGTTGTTACACAATCATCTATCTACGGAAGCCTACCTTCTGATAGATTTTTGATAATATCAATCTCATCAACTGTTAGAATAAGCACTTTTGCGACATCGATAAAGGCATGGAGCTCCCTGTTATAAGTGTGCTCGAATCCGATTGCTAATCAGTACATATACGAGCCGCACGACAATTAGAGCTGCTGTTAGAGCTGAATGGTACCTAAGTTGTTCTAGCTTAGCACCATAGTTTTATGACAGTGTTTTTTGTATACACCTTAATATGTTCTCCCATCTAGCCGGCTCTCTAATGTTTTAAAGTGCCAGCGCCTTTGAGGTTAATCGTGAATGAGTAGGCAAAACGTAACTCACACTATTATTGTGGAGCCCGGGGCCTCTCGAGGATCTTGAGGAGTATCCTCAGCATTATAGCGTTAATCAGACTCCTGAGTTCATGGTGGAATCAAAGAGCAATATTGAAGTAGTCCTGTCAGAGCATTACTGCTGGAACATTGCCACCCTGCTGTGGCTCATGTGTTTGACATTCCATATGATGACTTCGCGTATACCATGATTGAACAAAATGCAATTATTTTTGATATGACATAGTAGAATTATAGGCATGACAAAGTTTCGGTAAAGATGACTCACTCTCATGAAAATGACAATTCCGGCCGCTCCAATGAAGGCGTGGTGGTCATGTTGTGGTGGTTAACGCTTGAGGACGCCATGTTGCTGTCACTGAAAGGCAGCCAACGCTTTCCCCACTTCGATCTTCCAGTTGACCGAAATTTCAACGATGGGAGCTTATGGCCTTTATCGTATCTGATATGTAATCTGTCTGGGCATGCGCTTGGATTTGTAGATTCCTGATGTTGGTATTTCACTGCTTGGCAATGAGATCCACAATGATTACATGCCCCATCGCAGCATTATTACTCTAGCTGTTTGAAAATTGTACAATGACCAACCAGTGTCCCGACAGTATGAATCCACGCACCAGCCTGGCACCTGCAGTGGGAAATTTACGATAGACATAAGCAATGTAGGTCCAACCTCTGGGCTGGAGTAGCATGTTGCGTACTGTGCCTGCGCTTTTCAAATGCAACGTCCTTTCGGCACCCCTAATGTAGCCAAGAGGAGGGGGGATTTTAGCACTAGAAGCGCTGTAGTGTGGGTTCGATCTCAGTGGGCGACCACAAGCATGCGACCTGATTGGTACACCTCCAAGCCCGAGTCTCCGCCGTTGGACGGCATGGTCGTGACAGCTTTTCTCGATTGCTATATAAGGACTTCTGCCTCTGACCCTCGGGCTCCTGCCCTCTGGATTCTAAGCCTTGGCACACCCTGACTTTTCTCCAATTACTTTCGTTGTCACTTCTCTATACACAATGGATTGGGACGACCGTGTCTTGCTGGACAACAATGTGTCATTCTTCTTATGGATTAGGAAGTACGACGAAGCACGCGGAGAACGGCTGACGGACTGGGTGTCGACACTTCATAAAGGTCGTCTGCCTTGCAGACTAGCCACACATAAGCTCGAAGATCGCCGTGGCGCTTATAACATAAATTGCAAAGTAGTATTCGACAATGGGGAGAAGTGGATGGTCCGCTTCCCTATGGTGGGAAAGGTCATGCATGCCGACGAGAAAGTCGAGATCGAAGTGGCTACTATGAAACTCATCCGTCAGCAGACTAGTATACCTATACCCGATATTAAAGCCTGGGGTTTGGCTGTCGACAATCCACTTGGATTGGGTCCCTTTATTATGATGGAGTTTATCGAAGGCATAGGTGTCGATGAAATTATGCAAAACACTGATGCTAGGATTATGCGAGAGGATATTAACCAAGATGTAGTTGAAAAAATCTTCAGACAAACGGTTAGATTTCAATTACAGCTCCGAAAGCTTGACTTCCCACATATCGGCAGCGTAATCTCGAACTCCACGAGTAGCGAGCCTGGCTTTGCTACAACTATTAGCTCACGGCCGTTCACGAAAAAGGCTCACGATTTCCTTGCTGATGGCGGAGTCGATGTTCTCGGTTCGTGGCCTCTATCGCATGTTACTTGATTTATTCTTTATCGCATATTTCTTAATTGATTTGTATGCCCTAACGCTTTGCAGGGCCTCGGGACAAAATTTACTCATCAGCAACTGAGTATTTTCACCACATTGTCGATCGGGACTTGAAACAACTTCATAAACAGCTCAATTCAGTGGACAATGCTAAGGATGCAAGGGACAAGTTCATTTACTGGAATGTCATGAAATCTTTAATAGCGCGTCAGGTCTTGCCCGGCCGAGACAACGGCCCGTTCAAATTCATGTGCGACGATTTCCAGCCGACGAATATGATCGTTAACAATGAGAAAGACTTAAAAATCATTGCAGTGATTGACTGGGAGTGGTCTTATACGGGACCAGCTCAGATGGCGGATTCCACGCCGTTTTGGCTTCTAATAGAGTCACCCAATGCTTGGACTTCTATAGATAAGAGGTTTGCCAGGTTTCAAGAGAACTTAGAGTTATTCACTCGGATTCTCAAGGAGGAGGAAGAAAATGTGCTAGGTGCTGTCCCCGAGAACGAGAAACCCTCCGCACTACTGGGGGAATGTCAGAAGCACGGGCGCCAGTGGTTCCACTTCCTCTTGCGACGCGGCTTTAACGGACCAAACTGTGTGCCTTTCGTCAAACTCCGAGAAGAGACGGAGGATTGGGACAAGCTAGTTTCTGCTATCTCGAAGGAGGAAATTGAGGCTTTCGTTCAGAAAAAAGTCGCAGACCTGCAGACATACGAGAAACAGCTGGCTGAAACGCAGGAGAGATACCAGGCGGCGCTGAAAGGGGAGTCGGAGGATCTGGCCGCCTTCCTCGACAAAAATGTAGAGATACTTCACATCGATACACAACGCCATCAATGGCGATCGTGGAGCTGTTTTGACGGGTAACGCTGGAATTGGCGTTGCATGAGATGTGGTCACTTGTGGGGGCAGTTACTATGTTGGTCTTGGCATCAGCCTCTTTGGTCTCAAGAAACAATTCCTATCTTGGCGATTGACGTTCAGAATTATGCAGTTCACCGAGAATGGGCAGTTCCCTATGGTCAGTTCCGTTTTCATCAACTATGCCGTGTCCCCTTTTCGTTGGCCATAGAATAGAAATCCTCAGTCCCGGCGCTTCTCTGATATGGTTCTGGAAACAACGCCGGTGAAGGTTGTGAACCGAAACAACTTTAAAATTCCTCATCATATAAATCCCGACTGGGGTGCAAAAAATGCGCATGATTCGTCAATCTCTGCAATGGTGCCGAAGAATTGGCCTGTCTTCGACGACAAGCAAGGAGCTTTGCTGTTACCATAAATCCGTAAGGTACGTAGCTCAGGGTCCATAGGGAGTCTTCAATCAACATCAAGAAAGCATGGTCCGTCCCGGATGACACACCTTCTCCCAAAAGGCCAGAGACTGAGCATATCTCGGTCCTACCACTATAAGTCAATTGTTGACGATCACTGCCTATAAATACTCCCTTTCCAGTAATTTCGTTTCTTCTCTCAAAGCTACCTTCGCTTATTGAACACATCAAATAACTGCCAGCCACACTTTTGTATATAATGCTTGTAAGAATTGCGTTGTCTTCTACTCTGGGCATCCGTTCAACCCACGAAAGGGCCATAGTAAGCGGTAGAATTAAGAAAAGGACTTTCATATGCATGTTAGACGTTTCCTGGCTCTTAAAGTTCTATTATAATTTCAAGTATTCCAGATTAAACCTTTATCAATTATATAAATCTACTCCTGACTTAGGACGAAGGACGGATATAAACAAGGCCAGAAGCTGTAATAATGTTTTGTGTCTGTTCAAACAGCCAGACGCCATATTGGACGGGGTAGAGAAGCACCGTTTCTTTTTGAAATCCCATTTCTTTACATAGCTATACATAAATACCTCATAACATCCGGCAGCTCTGACAGCTTAGGGCATATGACTGTTAACTGCTTGAGCCGGGCCGGGGTAAAACAGGCAAATCCGCTAGAGTAGACTAAACCCCACCTGGTGAAAACAGATTTCTATAGACCCTTAACTACCACTTCGCTTCCGTCGGCCCTTTGCCCGCCCTCCCTGTGTTCATGGCGTGTATTGCAGCCACATCGCAGGTAATTGCTATTGATAATATGAAAATGGCTAACCCGGAATAAATGTTGGGTTTTAGTCTTTTGGCAGTACGCGGCGATCCGGTCAGTGGCCCAAAAGACAGAACGAAGCTTGGTGTATTTGAATTCAAGATCATGTATAACAGTCTACATTCCTATCACGAAAGAGTTATTGGCCCGCAGCCCAGCTGGACAGATCTACGGGAGGTCTCATGGAAACAAAAGCAGAGCTCGACTCGCTACGCGTCAAATTTGGGAGGTTAGTTTTTTTAGGCCTGTCAACGATGATATTATTGGCAATTGTCATGTGTTTCGTCAAGTGACCAAATTTTTTTTCTTCCCCCATTGAATGGCTGATGTGGAACTGCATGCATAATTACGCTGCGGCCCGGAGGCACAGCAAAAAGAGTGTGGAGCAATACCGAGAAATTGGAAATGCCTCTGTGCAATGGACGTCAAACATGCAAAACCGCGTTACGTTGCAGCATTCGGCATACTGTGAGTTGGGACATTAGAAGCGTTAAGGTAGTTAGACTTAACTCACGCGTGCAAATGGCTTGAAGATTGGGATCAGGACCAAAGCTTAAACAAACCCATAGCACGCTCTCAATTGCTGAAAAATGCATAGTACTGTAGCGTGCGACCAAGCCGGTGGACTGGCTAGGGTCGGAGATGAGCTACTCTCGTTAAAGCAGGGCACAATGACCATGCAACATAATTGATCTCGCCTGAGCTGCTTATGTATTGCAATGCGATGTTTTTCCCCCTCCTCCTCGTTTTCGCTCAATCCAAGGACATTTGCTTGCACTGAATACCGAGGCAAAGGGCAAAAGCTAGCCAACACTGAGTATCTTGTGCAGCAGATGTGACCAACCCAGCCTCAACGAGAGAGACACAAACATTTCTTGCTGCACCCCAATTTGTTGCATGCCTTGATATCCTTCTCTCCACTCATTGCCGGGATGAAGACCGTATTTTCGCTTGCCGGTGCGGCCTCGGCGCTGCTCTTCGGGGTGGCTGGTGACGCCCTGGCTCAATCCGATCCGGATCCCGCTGGCACCATCTATGACGGTCCTGTACCGGACAGCCTCTACGGGTCTAACTTCATATATCCCTGGCCTGTAAAGCAGTTGAACTTTTACAATCAGCACCAAAACTTGTCGATGGCGTTTATGGACATCCCATCAACATCCTCGTGCGGGGCAGACAACAAAATAGCCGTTCTACTCCATGGCGGCAACTTCTGCGGTGTCACCTGGTCGGAGACCGCGCGCAATCTTTCTGCCGCAGGTTTTCGTGTAATCCTACCAGATGACATCGGCTTCTGCAAGTCCAGCAAACCCCAAGGTTACTCATACAGCGTCGACCAGCAGGCTATGAACATAAAGAGCCTGCTTACAGCACTCAACATCATCAATCCTGTCACTGTGATGGGTCACTCTATGGGTGGAATGATCGCCGCTCGCTATGGCCTCATGTACCCTGACACTGTACACCAACTCATCTTGGTCGATCCGCTCGGCCTTGAAGACTGGGTTGCCAAAGGCGTGCCTTTCTTGTCGATAGATCAGACATACGAGAGTCAAGTTGTGCAGACCTTTGATACCTTGAAGGCCTATGAGAAGGCTAATTACTTCTACAACGCCACATGGGAGCCTTCGTATGACGTTTGGGTGCAGATGCTTGCAGATATCTACGCTAGTGATTACGGCAGCGAGTACGCCTACGTTATGGCCCTCGTCACCGATGCTTTGTTGAGCCAGCCCGTCGTCTATCAACTGCCGTTACTGAAGACACGAACCTACCTCATGGTTGGTGAGAACGACATCACAGCTCTCGGTAAAGCCTGGTCCTCCACCGCAGTTGCTGCTACACTGGGACACTACGACGTGATTGGTCCGGTCGCTGCTGCTGCCATCCCAAACAGTACTTTTCATATATTTTCAGGGTTGGGTCATGCGCCCTTCTTACAGGACCCTGAGGCCTTCCACCGGGTTCTTTTCTCATGGCTTGACTAAAAGAGGGAGTTGTCATGATAACAGAGCAGATATTCTATTCTTATTGAGAAGAACTGTAAATGACTGTAACATAAATACTTAATTAACCAAATTAAACAGAAGATAGTCTCGCACCAATTTTGCAACCCAGAGGCTGAAACTGCGAGGTATCACCAGTTTTCCACCAAGGTTGAGTCTTAGTGCCTATATCTGCACATTCATCATAGTAATGTGGCCAAGCAGCACGAGTATTTCTGAAACATAAAGTCTATAAAAATACGCAGCATCGTCAACATCTACAGGATCTAGCACTGTCATTATGAAAAGTAGTCGATGAGTTCCAAAGATCATAGGAAGCTAGGTGCTCTAATAAGAGTAATCTAAGAAATAAAACCTCTTGACAAGGAATAATATCCTACACTGGTTATACGGTGTAAATAAAAGCCACATCTTGACGCGCTTGTGAAGGCGATCTTGATGGCACAATCCAAGTTTCACATCCCTGGTAGTTTGGCGAGCCCTATTAAGAAATTAGTATGTATCTAGTGGCTGGGAACCTCGTAACATACACCCTAGTGTGTCCTCACCAATCGCATCTTTGACAGTGCATTGACTGGCTGTTTGCATGGCCTGTTTTGTGATGGAGCCACAACCATCGTAAAAGCACTCAGACTTGTTCATGGCACGCTGCAGAGCATCACCTTTCCAGCCAAACATATAGTCGGCGTGTGTGCCGGCTCCTGTACCCTCGAAACTCCATACATATGGGTTGGGAGCCCCCGAGGTCCACATGCTGTTGAACTTGCTCGTGTCCCAAACAGTCTCAAAAGCCACCTGTGACGTGAGTTTAGCGACACCAACTTCATTTCCTGAGATGAGTTTATAGAGTAGCTTAATGGCGTTTACCTGTGGCACCCGAACGGGGTGAGATGATGGGCATGCCGGGGCATTTGTGAAACCATCCAAAGATATAGTGTTGTACACATGTGATTGATGGTCTGGACTATCAAGGTTCTTACCATCCCAGCATCTAAATCCATTTAGTACCAGTATGCCATGGTTCGGTATGAAAATGCGAATACTCACGCAGGGAAGTGTTGAGTAACGAAGATACCGCCTGGACATGCTTGTTTAGGGAAGTCGGTTATCTCTGGGCCTCTGTTCCCGTTGGCTTGCAAACACTGATAACGCAGGCCGACGTGTTGGTTTGAGGTTACGCTGGGGCTACCCACTGTCATACGGAAACCCTGTACGATGTTAGTATTGAGATTAGTAGTCATATAACGGGCATAGTAATTACCGGCGGGAAGGTCTTGACAGGTTGTTGTTTTATGTTATCCCTGGATAGATCATATTGCGTGTAATAGACAGTGAGTCCACCCTGGGTACCAGAGTAGCCATCCAGATTCCCAGGGTTAACAGGAATAACTGGCACTCGATGGTAAGAGCCGTTTGAATGCTTGAAATACAAGACAGCGGTCCAGTAATTTGAAAAGTCTTCTGCCATCTCACAAGTGGTACAAGTAGCCCTGCTGGCAACATCACCCTCCATAGTAGCGTTGAAAGCATTTCCGCCGACAATATGATGAACATGAGAGGATGGGTTTGAGCCTGGCTGAACAACTGGATCAAGACGTTCGATTATCAAAGTCGAGCACTGAAATCGAAGCCCAGCGTGAACAGGCGCGATTAAAGCAATACTTGCTGCCGTAAACCACTTCATCTTGGCGGTATAACTTTTGTAGTTTTGGCAGTAAGAGTTGATAACTTGGAGAAACGGTTCAAGTTGGTGGCATGAAGCTGTCTCCCTCAATTCTTATAAGTCCTTGTGCATATTGTCTTGTTCCTTTGGCGGGCTGATTTGCTGCTCGTTCATTGGTCATTTGACACTCACAGACTGAAGATGTTCCAATGATTGGAAGAAGTATGGTTGTCGGTGCCATGTGTGTTCTCGGCAGATCGCGTACGAATCAGATTGGACTTTTATTATCCGGCTCATTATCCAGTGATATGACAATGCATTCACAAATGTAGTGCCTCTATATTGACCTGCGGGGTACCTAGGCGACAATCAAATTCCATGCAAATGCCGCTGCCATGTGCTTCTCATAATTCTAACCTGTGAGTTGGCTCACAAATTGCCGAGAACAATTGAATTGCCGGTCAAAAAAACCCCTAATCTGGGTGGCTATCGGCGGAACCAAGCAAATCTGCAAACAAAGCATTATCTACCATAACGCAGTATATGACAGGTCAAAGACATGATGTCAGACTTTCCCAAAGTATCTCGGATGGTAATGTAGCGTCTTGTTCTGAGATCTACCAGTGACTGAGTGCACAAAGTATGTTACAATTTGAAACCAATCGACAAATCTTGTACCGGGCTAGCAAATAACGACAACATGATATCGAGAAAGATAAGCACTTTTTAACGAACAATGTTGGTAGAGGATTTCGATATTTGGATCTTAATATATATATTATTGAATGTCATTCAGTAGCATAATATTGATACATGTAGAAGTTGTGCTCTACCATTTCCACCATTCGTGATCGTTATTGAATGAATAACAACAATCACTTATAACCCGTGAAATCGGGAACCGCCATCGCTGTATTACTAAAGCACTAGGCTAATAAAATTACTTGCCACTAAAAAGCAATAATAATTTCTGTATAGGGTGATATATCCTTTTAGTAACTTCATAATACGTCTTAGATAGACGTGCCTTTCTCCTGAAATCTATCAGCATTTTAGTTCACGCCAACCTCTAAGATACGGCTGAGTTTGGGCCAAAGTCAAGATTCACACACCACACTCTGGAAGGCAAGTTCATGTGACTAGTGCTTAGATGATTTTGAAGCTCTGCTTGGCCTCAAATTCCGAAGTACCTTCGCCGGCCTGACCTGACGTGATTCCGACCAGTCAGAACATTCCTTGTCAAAATTTGGAGTGATGCCTCAAAGTACAGCCCAACCTGGCTCCTATTTCCAGGCCGCGGTCATTCTTTTCAATGCTTTTCTCTAGATTCATGTAATCTGTCATTGCATTCACATTTGCTAATGACAACGCCACCAGGGTGGGTTGGGCAGGGACAGCATTCTTTTCAATCATTTACCCGGAAAGTTACTGCTGTTATAAGGAAATGATAAGAAAAATAATGATCGAATTTAGAAATTTTGACAACGAGGCCTAGAGAACTACACAAGTCACCAGAATACAGGTGGACACGTTTGGTACATTTTTATGTAGCCCCGATTCTAATAATAAAATGGGGATTGAGCTTGTTAAAGATCCTGTGAAGAAGCTAAGGAAGACCTGTGGTTGGACATACAAGGCATTTGAATGATTAGCCACATCTTGGCCAGGTCTTTGGTTTATCAGTCTGGAAGCATGACTCACGTTGACCATTGTTTCTCAACCGAATTCGTGGAAATAGTGGATGAGTTGGCCAGTCTTGGTATTTTAGCTTCCTTGAATAAGCAAAACAAGACGGCCATGTCCTGGTCTAATTTCCGGCTAATAGCTTAAAATCAATAGAACGGACCATACCAGTTGTTCATGAGTACTAAGTATCTCGTACAATACTTGCACACGACTCCTTAGTTTCTTAATTAGATATCATTTTATGAGAGACGTTAGCAATTCCGCAAGGCGTTGTTAACGGCCAGATCCACTTGGCTATACCGGCCCGAGCCTCTTTTTATCACAATGTCTTATTGCTTACGGAAGCGAATAGCAACGTGAGTAAAGATTATCGAGCATAATATTTGTAGTTCTGCAAGTTATTTCATTGTACTCGTATCAGTCAAAGTGCGGTTTCCGTAGTCGTTTACTTTAGGCGGCTGTGATCTAGCAAAAGGTGAGGCACGTGTTCTGACATATGAAATGAGGCGGTTCAATACGTTAAATATAGATTGAGTGAGCCCGAGGCTCTAGGACTCATTGATTGAAACAAAAGTAAATGAGTGTGGAGCGGGTAGTTACCCTACAGCCCTGGTTCTTCAGTAGTTCACAACTACAACTCCACAATGGCGGAGCCCACAGTGAATGTTCCCGTACCTCCCAAGCCTCCTTCATAATGAATAGCAAAATTGAATGCTCCAGCCTAACGTTAGTCTAGTCCAAGATGATACACATATTCGAACCTATACAACCAACTTACTTAGCCCAGCAAGCGGAGTCCCTCTGCGGCTGCTGTCTAAGAGGAGATCACCACAATATGCATACTAATTGAAAACCTCCATATAGTAGATGTGTGTTCGGTTCCCTATTTGTTCTTGGTCTTGTTCTTTGTTGTGTTTATTGTTTACCCGAGATTATGAGGTCCTATATATGCAAGGACTGATGACCTCTCGGCTTTACTTTGACACACAGCGATGAAATTGTCACATGAGTGGCATTGACAGTTGGAAGGATTTGCAAGATTGGCTACTTGTATGCTCCGCACTATCATGAACAGGATGAGAAAGCGGGTATTGGTCCATGGCAAGTGAATTTATGTAAGGCCGTATCTTCCTACGGTCCATTTAGTCTCCACCGGAAAGGAGTGCATAGTAACAAACTAGCGCTCAGCCGCTGAATAAGCGATAATTTTCGGCGCAATGGCGGGGGCAAGACACTATGCTCGGCTATGTTCAAGTTATCATCAGGGTTTGTGCAACACTAGTTTCGTGGAAATAGAATCGTGGATCCTCAACAAATCTCACGTGGCTGCCTGTTCTATGTAGTCGGCTTGTCTGCAAATCATTCTCGATGCGATGAATTCGAGCTGAGATAGGTCACGTGACAGTCAACAGTACAACTGGTCTCCTGCATTCGCAGTTCACCATAAAAACTTGTATAGGGTAATGCTAGCCACACTTGCATGAGGTTGGATGTCAAAGGAATACACGATAGGACCGCGAAGTTTAGTATTGCTTTTAATAGAGTTTGGCTAACCTCAGTTACGAATTCTTGGGAAGCGGGCCTCGGCCGCAGCGCTAGCGTGCCCTATAAGCCCTGTAAGCCCTGTAGGCCTAAGGGACAGGTGACAGGGATGATCGTTCCTTCCTGACGTATGCCCCATGCCAGGTCCTACTTTGTAGGAGAAGGATCGCTGGCTGTGCCAGTGTGGAGAATTTGATCAACTCTAATTGACACTTACTTACTTATTTTAAGTACAATGACGTCGGAAATCCTCTTTAATGATTGGCGAGTTGGGGTCGCTATAGAATGTTCCCAATTTTGGCATTAATTATAGCTTCTATTGCTTGGCGAACACGGCCCCCAGATCCATCACTCAGCTGGTTACCTAATCTCTGGTGCAGTGTTACACCAAATTGGGCCGATTCTCATTTTGAGGCTCATCGGAGCATTATATCGAGCTATTGCATCCGAAAGTAGATCCTAGGCCATTTAGGGATGAAGGATGTGTGGTCGTGCACGGTCTGGCTATGGGCACTGGTGTTGATCAGATCTTCCTACAGGTTCCTGATGATCTGCCAACGAGCCCATGACATCAAGACTATACAAGCATTGAAAATCTTGGCATATCTGTTAGTATCATTATATAAGAACAAGAAGATTCACTTCCTCATTATGCCCTTTCTTCATATTCAACTTCCCACATCATCCCGCATTTACATGCTTGTTCCCTGTTGATTTTCTCGAACTAGTGCACTAAACTGTCGCATATCACTGGTTGAAGTCGTGAAACACAGCAACGAAAGAGCATACCACAGACATATTCATCATCATGAAGTTCTCGGCATTCACAACCATCCTCGCCACCGCGGGCTCTGTTTCAGCAGCAGCAATCAAAGGCCGAGACGACAAGAGCGATGCACAACGCGACTACGACCTGCAAACAGAGGACCTCAAGCAGAGCGGACTCTGCCGCTTCTACAAAGGCGACCAGCCAGAGTACTCCAAGTACCAGGACTTGTGCGAGCCCAAGTGTGGTGAGGCGAGGAAGCTCGCCATTGATGACGGCAAGACGTTTAGCGTCAGCTGTTCCGCCAGCCAGGCCACGGCGGTTCCGTGGTTTCAAGATCCCCAGGGAAACGGAGAGTTCACGCTAGGTCAGTGTTTATGTAACCTGCCGATCGTCAACTTCGTCGGCGAGACCTTTGTCGCTTCACTGCCTGCGCTGGGCCAGGTCGTTTGCTCCGTTTGGAAGCTGGCTACCGTGGACGCTGCTAAGCTTCTTGCCGGGACGCTTAGCACTGGGGGTGCCGGCACGGCCACGCAGACATTATTGAAGGTCGCCAAGATGTTGGCGAAGCAGGGCAAAGGTGCCTCTGAGTATGAGGAATATGTTAAAAAGCACTTAGCAGCGGGCGATTCTTGCAGTTTCAACATTAAACAGATGTTCGAGGACGCGCTGAAGATCTCCGACGAAGATCTTGCCAATGTCGGCGGTGCTTAGAGTCTGTAAAGTTGTATTTAAGCCTTGTTTGGATACGGGTCAAATTGTGTTATGAGTACGAGTAGATGTACACTACGTTATAGACAATGGGAAGCGGATATGGTCCCGTGGGCCGGTCTGCGCAGGACAGCCGAAGGTCGTGTAAGATATTGTCTTAGCAGACTTTTGGCTTCGTTGATTAATCATGATATCACCTCTTGCACCAGTATTTGAACCAGTATCATGTGTGAGATACATTATTTCTGCTCCCTTTCCAACGCATCTAATAGTTTATTCCACGATCGTCTCATCTTTGCCAGCTAGTCCCTATCAAATACATACATCTGATTACTTAAGATTATGTGACAAGATGGCTGTTATGTTGATTGCCAGAGTTGATATTACCAACGAAGAATCCCTTTATCCGCCGCCTTGACATTGCCTCGTGAACTGTTCCATGAAATATACAAGCCGTCTGCCAGCACAATATCAATTTAGTGAATAAAAAATTGAGGTTCGGTCGTGAGTGATCCGTAACCTTTTTATGATATTCCATGCCGCCCCAAATATTTCCCCCTGACCGACCCATTTTTCAATATCACCTTACAGTAGAATTAAAATCGGGTGTGGGAAATGTTGTTCTCTTCACAAGCTAACAGATTTCATGCGCCGTTCCTGCTATAAGGCCATTGGTAGGCGCGCAATGACCAGGTGCCTCATCTTCTATTTTCAATGAATTTATCGAAAGTCTCGGGTATGTCGTTGGAGGTCTCGATTGTACATGAAGTACAAGATGGTCTGAGATGAAGAGCAGCTTGTTTGAAATTGGATCATCTCTAGCACGGATTGCATACTTCGCGTCGACGAGCGAGCATACTATTCCACGAAATCAAGACTGTAGTGATGGCCGAAGTTGGCACATTCGTCTTGTAGCTGAAAAGAAATGAAACAACATTTTGCTTACAGGTGATCAGGTCCTGAAATACTTCAGCTGCTCAGCTGCGCAGACCAACCAGAGAGACTCGACGTCTTGTGCCAAATTTGGCAGGATGCGGGTCTACCAATATCCACTACATGCATAGGGTATACCTCATAGCTGAGCTGAAGTTTCATGCTTGTTAAAGATAGGTTCAATTTGATTATTTTTGACCTAGATGGAATAGCTCAACTCGTAGGCTCTTATGGTCATCGTAGTTACGGCGACGAACTCTGAAAGAAGGAAACAGCACTTCTACGCAATTGTACAGTTGATCCAACTAAACCGTACTTATCATCTTGATCGCCGAATTTACCTTCCTCCCCCTGCTGCTCAGATCCGAACAAAAGCCATCGACTTACCTAAGCGAAATCAACCAGCGAGAAGATTCACGAAGCCAATCTAATCTTGCGGATTGCTAATCGTGTGATTATAGTGGTCCATTATGTTGCGAGTATCTGATTGTCTTTCATAGTAATGCATAAAGATAAGCGGCAGAAAGGAAAGCAACATATTTACATTGGATGGCGACGTGCTGTATATAATTTGGCCCCTTCTTTACACAATTAAGCCATCAAATTAACATCAGAATTTAGTCAGGATCTTCACCAATAGGAAAGATGTTTGGCTCCCAAATTGTTCTCATCAAATGTGCGAAGAGATCTAGTTCCAGTTGTGAAGGAAGGACGTCCATTTGTCTTGTGTATCCTGAACATCAAGAGAGGTGATTTGTAACGCCAGAACCACTCGCTTTGTGGAGGAGGCAAGCCAATCTTCGCTATGACCTTTATGCTAGCAAGTGTATTGAAACAGCCTTCATCCACTAAATCTCACGTCAGCAATAGGTTTCACCAATTGAAATAAATGAAGCACTTGACTGGTCTTATATCTAGATTTCGAAATGGATTACGATAGTCACGGTGGCTGTTTTCTAACGCTTGAGCCGCATAGAGACATATGGTGTTCTGCCATTGTATCAAGAAATTATCAAAAGGTCACAAGCGCGTGGGCGGGTGCTTGATAATCAGTGGGCGGCTTTTTAATATTTGAGGTTAGTTTATAATATCCCGTTGTAGTTCTATTGTTTGATCTGCTAGGGGTCCCAAGCTATGCTAAGAAATGACGCTAATGTTGAGCTCTCTTGAAAACCACCAGTGGCCGGCAGTCTTTTGCCATTGGCTGATACGCCTTAGGGAAAGGTCCGAATCAGATAGGTCAGCGATGCGTTCAACGAGGAGCTTTTATTCACTTATCTTAGCTCCGTTTTCTTTGGACCGAAGCACTTTAGTGATTTCTAGCCTCTAGTCTACTTGTGGAAACACAGAGCTACCTGGATTGAGACCTCCAAGAACTGCGCCTCCTCATTGAAAATTCCAATCGACTCAATATCACCGTTTCTGTAGTCATCATCTCCAGGATACGCCGCCAGGTTTCCATTTACATTTGTGACCGTCGGGGTAAGTACTTCAGAGCAGTTCGGATTCTTGTTAAGACAGCGCCTCTTCGTCCAAGTTGTGTGGCAATCTTTGCTATAGGGAAGATTCATTTTCTAAATGACTTCTCAAATTTGACTGAAGTTATGCGCAATTTCAAGGGGTCAGTTCTTTTGGTATCTTGGCATTTTGACCAGACCGCTGCGGCGCTTGTAAACGCAGATAAGAACCTCCATAGTGAAAATCGTTATGATGGATGTACACTGGCTTGTGTTACATAAGTAGCTGTTGGTCATCATGATAACTTGTGTCTTGTTGAGATCGGATCAGGATGGGTTGCTGGTTACCAACTGAACATGCGTGATTTATTTTCGAAGAATTAAGGCTTTGGAGCTGGCATGACTCGTTAGGGATACAGAGAAGGATAACAGGGTGTGTATCTATTTGCGTGACGTCGTTTAGGAACACCAACTCGTGGCTTGAAGCTCGTCTCGCGACACCTAAAAACCATTAAGGTTGTCCGGCGCCGTTGCACCTGGTGAAGGAGCAAACGATCAATAGTACAGATGGCTGTAAGCATAACTCAGAATAATAGACTCTAGTCTAATGCCTAGGACTGTTGTAAGAGTTTTAAGATTATATTGGGATATCATCGTTGGCATCGACGTGATATTACAAGATAATGCTCATGTCGAGCCTTATGACATGGTGCTTTGTCGCTACTTGACTCGCCACTGGACCTGCGTCCTTGATCTGTTCCAGCACGTCCAGAATAGTGTCCAGCGTGATTGGATCTTCAGTCCTGACGTATCCCTTCTCGAAGGGCAACCTCTCTTGCTCTACATCGATCAGTTTGGCTATTCCGATGAACTACTAGGATCGTCACTTACCGAGGCAGTTTCTTACTCAATTCGTAGGTGGATTGCCGGTTACTCTATCCCAAGAAGGATTTGGTAGAATGATATCTCTGCCAAGCCTGCTAATGAATTGTTCAAGAAATAAAAGTTCATATTTGTGGAACTGGCAATCACAATTCTGTCTGCGCGTGCTTTTGCTGCTACCTCAATGCTAATTGTGTCTTCCGTGAAGTGCGATACTGTTTGCGCCCAGACTTCAGGGCTAAAATGTAAATTGTCGCCGTGGGCTATGTCATCCCTCGACAACGACCCGTCGTGTTCTATGACATTATGTACGGCTGTATCGTCCAGGTTGAACGTAGAGCTGTTGCCGGTTGTTGATGTTGAAAGCGCATTCTCTACGACGTCTGAGAATGCGGAAGGGTCGAAATCAAGTCCTGCTGATAATGCTGCATTGAGGGTGGGAGCGTCAATATTGCGGCCACCGTGTGGTAAATATCCATGGTTAGCAAGCGAGTTGAGAATTGGGCACGGAGAGCGCACTGCCTCAAGTTGGTCAGCATAAGGCCGATAACAAACCACGGGGTTGAATATACGCACAGTCAAATGGTCCAGATGGTTGCCATTGGTAGCCATTGGGATCCGCTTGGCCGTGGCCCCAAAAGCCAAGCATTATACTAAGATAAGCGCATTCTTGGGACCATTTCAAAGAATATTACGTCGATCAAATCACCGTTTCTACAACAATGGGCGCATCCGTCGTCTTATAGGTCATACCACCCTGGTCAGTCAACCAATAGAACTGTTAGGTGTTGTTAGTGCCGATTGCAAAAGTCCTGAACTGATGCGGACGCCGCCAAGCGCATTCATCTCGAGTCATTTCATTAGCCTCGATCTGTTGTTGATCGTGTCTCAATGAATCTTAGAATATAGATTAGCGTGATGCCACTATTTGCTAACCTTAGAGTCTATATAGATCTGTACGGAGTAGTAGACTGCTGGGGTTTCGATAGCGGACGTAATAGCGCTAATACGCGGCGGCTAACTGAGATTAGTGAGGTTAGTGAGATTCCCCTACATTTGCCCACGCCTGGTTTGCACAGGAATTATCCGCAAGAAGTATAACATAAGAAATTCATATGGAGTATCTGGGCAAGTAAGATACTCATAATTATTCAATATGTGAAGTGCCTCTTAGTCTATTTCATAAGATATTCGACATGGAACCATGATATCTTATGCCCTTAATTATCAAATTTCAAACCTGGGTACATTCTCGGTGATATTCTGTATACATAGTAAGTCAGGCAGCCTTCAAGCATGGGTGGTCCGGCCTCGATGCGCACCTTGTATGCGGGGAAAATTCGACTATCTATATGCGGCTCCCAATACCGATAGTACAGCGGTAAAGTATCAAAGCGTTGTTGAGTTGCTTCGCGAACGAAATCAGGCGGAATTAGCGCAAGTCTTGCAAGTGATCCGGGACTTAGATGGTATCGAGGCTACCGCCAGCTACATCGCGGAAGCATGGCTACTCCTACAGGCTGTCCCAGCAATCAGCGCCGTCCCAATATCTAGTACCATCTCAACCATTTGTAACGATACTATATAAGGACCACCGATTCCCGGGCCTTCAAGTTGTGGCAATCGGCACTTGACCTCACCTTTGGGTTGCTGTAAACAAAAACTCGTCAAAAATCATGCTGATTGCGGTCACAGCTACGACGATTTTGACTTCAAGCTCGAGAAGCGATCCATAGTCGGTTCACGAGGCCAATACGTCGACGGCCACGTATTTGTGGATTTTTCTAATTAGAACATGCTAATATCACGATGGATGGAGTTGTCTAACAACGACGAACTCATAGACCACCTACTCAAGAGGTTTCGGAAGTGGGACAATATAGTAAAGAGAACTCTGTATCGACTTGAATTCAAAGGGGATTTGCTGCAATGAATGTGTGACTGGATGCTCCTAACAACCTAGGAATGTTCTGTTCGAAATTCCTAGTTATCGCTCTGCTTGCGCTCAGCTGTATATGTTGGCATTTCTATAAAATCAATGTGCGGAATTCTCATCAGTTCTTTAGCTATATACGATAGATGCCACGACGTTGAAAGATTCCGGAGATTTTGCGTTGAAGGGTCGATCGAGCGAAAATTGACTAGCCTTCCGTTCCTTTGCTCAAGGCCTATTAGCTCTTTTTCGAAGTGAAGGGAACCTAGGCTCGGGTTACTGCGGCTATTTCACAGTATTTCCTGCGGGCGATGCATATCTACAAAATGCTCAACGAACTGGACTTCTCGCCACACAATGCAAGTGTGAATGAGGCCTAGAGTTAACGGCAAAGGCAAGCTACGTCATGGTGTATATGAGGGATCTACTGCTGCGAGTGTTGAGTCTCGTATGTCCTAATTCATGCCTTTCCAACAATATACAGGCGGGGAATTCAGGCACTTGGCATTATAAAAGTGACTCGTACGCCGAGGGCTCCTCGAGCGTGGCGGGAGCTAGACATTCCTCTCTCAAAGTCGAACTCAAGCGGTTACTGGTGGTTTCCATGCCCGATATCCTTCAAGTTCAACGATTAGTGAAGGTCGAGATCAGGGTAGTAGACGCTAAGTTTTCTGAAATAGTCAAGAAAGCTTTGGACTTCATCTATCTCGAAGAAGGAGAAATGCTACCGTTAGCCAACTCTTAGCGATCAATGGACCTTTATGATGCCATTATTCATGTGAAGTTTTCCTTACCTAGACATCTCAGAAGTGCAGATTAAACAACTTCTGAATGGGTGGATGACCTGGTGGTCGATTGAGACCGGTCAGACTTCGCTGCTGACTTACTGAGTGGGAATTTACTAGAAGCGCATATGTTAAGACTTGGCGTCTGTTTCGATTTTAGAGGTATCTATTGTATGCGTGTTGGACTGTATGGTAGGTCAAAGCAGATTCGATGCTGGCTAGGCTAGTATATGCGTGCTGGTAATACACCCCGCTGGTAGCACGTCCCATGTCCGACCAATCCAGCCATCAGCGCTGGTAGCGATTTCACACTTCTCACAAGTCGCATTTAATGCTTAGTTAACATTGCCATTTCAGTCCGTAGCTGTAGCGGCGCCAACTGGAATTAGCATAGACTTTCTATGAATAGATAAAGTGTCTCGGGACCGAGCCAATACAGAAACGGACTCGATAAGATCAGGTAACACAGTCAGGAAAACAAGGGTCCGTTTTTAGACTTGGCCGAAACCCTTGTTTACATGAATTTGAAGGCAAAGGCGAGAATTGTTCGGCGATGGAATGCCGTAAGGCAATGTTACATTTTATTTGTCTCGTTATTGGGGCTACTAGGCCAATTACTCCATCATAAAAAACGGGACAGAAGTAATGTCAATTTGGGCTAGAGATGACAAAAGTTAGTAAAGACTGAGTACGAGTTTCAGGTCAGCTAAAAAGCAAAAGTTTGCATCTCGATATCAGTGCTACTAAAAGGCGAATGATTTATATTTCGATCCAGTGAAGACGTCAAACCTCTAATAAATAGGCGCTGCTAGCCTGTGTTTAAGTTGGAACTGTGATCAGGTGGCAAGACCAGGTGGTTCGAGGATATGAGGTTATGAAGTGCTGAACATTGAACAATTTGGGAACTGCAATGTCACATGCGATGCTGGATTCTGTACTGGATCAATTGGTCGCATTCAGAGACTGAGTCCTCGCATTCGGTCAGAATATGACACATGTATAATCTCCACTTCAAGTCACGCTCCTCGGAGTGGCTGAAGGTATCTTGAATCTAGGGCTATGCTAAATCTACACCCTCCATATATGCAGCGCTAGAACAAAGATTAGTCAAGCTCGCTTTCCTGTAACCCTCCCTCTTTGCTTTGAAAGACACAACTGAAGTAAGCTATGTACTCGAGTATGAAACCAAAATGAGAACTTGGCCTTAATCAGGGCTACGAATGCGCTCAACCTTACGACTTTTTCTACATTTCTTCCCGGGCTATAATTCGATGACAAACTTAGGAGATTTTATTTCTAGTATTAGCGACAATAGGTGACTAGGTAATATGAAGGTGCGTTTATGGGACACTCGAGTACGTACTCACCACGAGGTATCGGATTTCACATGGACCACACAGAACTGATGTGGGTTTCAATTATGGGCTCTCTCTCCGCTTTGTCTCTACCAACGGATGAGTTCTAAGAATGGCAGTTCGTCGACGTGGTACTGGTCACCAAACCAGCTTTAGCAGCTAGCTACCCTGTTAGTAGCATTTTGCAGCCTTGCCTATCGCTCATTTCTTAATTTAGGGAACGCACTGGTGCTCTTATATAAATTTCCGTATGTATATGGAGTATTTAATGATAAAGAAACTATTTCGATTCAAGACAGCGTTATAGCGAAATATCGAGCTCTTCGGGAAGCATTTCCGACAGCTGTGCGTAGCAAGAAACAATGTGTTGTTTGTGTTGAAATTGGGTCCTAGCTACCTACATTTCGGGCTTCCAAGCTACCTACTACGTATATACCAAGTGTGCTACCGCACACATAGCTACCCCTTGATACTCAACCTACTAATCAATTAATATACTCCTCATAAATTCGTCCTATTTTGACAAGTTGGGTATAATTGTGGAGCCACCAGACTAGTGAAGGAAATAGAGCGTTGGTTTGACCTGTCCCATTAAGCAGAGAGTATTCGGATGCTCGTGCGTAACATTCAGAAAACTGAATGCTACGCATTTTTAATTATGTTATTATCTTATTATAAAAGAGTATTTTATTATAACTTGAAATTCTCTGAACATTTCTACTCAAGGTTCAGTAATAATATGCCTTGTCTTATTGGAGTCATTTGAGGAGATGAGTACTCAGCCACAATAGTTCCGAACAACCATATTAGATTCGAGACATGACAGCCATACCTAGGCATAGTTCGAAGGGCTTTGGAGGGCTACACTGCGGTAATTTTGCTTCAAATAAAATAATGAATGTCTAATAACGGTTTCACCCCCGAACCTATCATATTACGACACAGAGTCGCTTGGCTGTTGCGGCCTCAGGATGGCAACACGCTTTGTCATAGATATATCTAATATATTAATAATTATTGCTCTCAGTCGATCGAAGAAATTATTTCAAGTTCAATCACCGCCCATAGTTCGTGAAAAGCCATGCATAAGCTTGTTTCTTTTGCACTTTGTGCGCTGCCCTTGGTAATAGGAGCGCCGCAGCAAAGCCCAAACTACCATGGAGCTGCCCAGGTGCTCAAACCTCGAGCAGATACCGCGAAACAGTGTTATATGCGAACAATCACGTATTTGACGACCTACGAACCAACTTACACCGCGACTGCTACGGATGGTTCTGATAACCATGCAGCCACGACTGAAGAACCTCACGAAATTGGTGAGATAGTCCTTATGCCTGCGTGAAATGTGCTGTAATTGATGGATCTCAGGTAACTCTAATGGATATGGTACATCACCTTTCCAGACTTGGGACTCAGACGGATACCGTGGGATCACTCAGACAGGAGCTGCTGACTATCCTGCAAACCCTCCTTACAGCACTGGAGGTGACGATGGTAATGGTGTTGATCCCACTAACGGAAACAGTGGTGGAGAGGTAGTGACCTCAATGACCAGTGAGAGTTTGTCATTCCTGACGGAAACCACGACATTTACTAGCTCTGTTCCCGTCACTCTGACAACCACATTCACTTTCACCACGGCTATACCTACAACAATCATCAGTGATAGGGTATCAAATGTGACTTCACTCTCTGTTTCTACCTTTACGAGCGTGTCGACATTTACTACCGATTCGTTGGTAACCCTAAGTGCGACTGTCACATCGACTGCAACCACAGAATCTGTCTTCACAACAACTGCCACGCCGCCCACTCAATCTGTCTCTCTGACAAATACGATATCGTCATTGGCTACTTTGACTGTGACATCTTCTGCGACAGGCGTGGCTCCGGTAGTCACTTCTAATGTCCTTAGCATTCAAGCAGCTGTCGCCAGTGTGGGTGCCGCTTCTGCAAGCTCGTCGTCAACCGTCGTTGCGAAGCGACAAGATACCACGGGCCCAGGCGGTTATGTTGGTTCACTCACTGATCCGACCGCTAGCCTGAATCCGGATGTTTGTACTTTAGCAGTACGCGTGGAGTTCACAGGGGGCCAACTCATCGCCGAAGGAGTCGTTCTCTCTGTAGATCTGGACGTTCCATTCATAAGCCTGGCTAATGCGAGAAATGGTACCATCTCCACAGCATTTTCCATTCAGAACAATCTGCTGGTCTGGGCCAACCCGAATTTCTTTGGTGGATTCGCCAGATTTTGTCAGGTTGGAAATGAGATCCCGATTGCGTTGTTCACCGATGCAGATCCACCAGCAGACTGCACCCTGATTGAGCTAGTTGTATTCGCCTGTAAGTCATGCTACATCTGGTGGTGCTGGACGATTGTTTCTTACATATCTTATAGCTAGCGCATGTGACAATGGTGAACTTCCCGGCGGAACTTCGTCAGCGACAATTAGCCTCAGCTCCGCCGGTTCCACAATTCGGACTCCTTCTAGCGCTGGAACTTCGACAACTGTTCTACAAACCTCAAATACATCTTCTACGACAGGAAGCGCAACCAATTCACAGAGTGGGATATCCAGTAGCAGCGGTACCAGAACAGGCACTGGTAATAGCACAGATACTATTTCAGTGTCTACTATTGGCTCTTCTTCCGCCGTAACGCCAAGTGTAACTTCCGCTACATCTCAGATTGCAGGGTCTTCCAGCAGCCCTGTCTTCGCAACTAACACCAGTAGTAGCTCGCAGGCTATCACGAGTACTGCAGTCACGTCGTTCACAACCCGCAGGATCAGTTCGAGCACCACAAGCAACGCCGCCACCGCATCTGCATCTGCGTCTGCAGTCCCAACATTCCCAGTGTTCGCCACTGATAGTGGCACTATTGCTGATGGTCTTTCATTGCAGCCTCAATCTAGCAATACCAATGGCGCGCCCGCTATCTTCAGCCAATCCCTCACTTCTTCACTCGAGTTTACTATAAATTTAACGACCGGAGTGCTTCTGGTGGTATCGGATAACAATGGCAACCAGGATGTCTGTTGTACATATGTCAGCGACGGTGTTACATTGGATCCAGCGCCTTGTTCTATTTCGGCTTGCGAATCAGGTGGTGACTCTATTGCCCCACTGGAGTGTGGTTCTCCCTCTAGCGCCGGTATTCTGGACTGCTTCATTCATGCTACATCGATCAATCAAATATATACAGAAGTCCAGCTCGCCCCACTGGCTGATGGCACTTATCAGCTGGAAATAGGACTAACTTTGGCAACTAGTAATTCTCTAGTCACATTAGTCACTTTTCAACCAGCATCAACCACCAGCAGTTCTACGTCGGGCCGCACAAACACGGGCTCTATTTCCACCATAGCTCCTTTCTCCAACACCACAACCTTTATCTCTAGCACTGGCCCTCTTTCTACTACAGCTTCTATCTCTAGGACGAACTCTATCTCTAGCACGGATTCTTCCACCACGGGATTTTCCAACACGGGCTCTATCTCTAGCATAGGCTCTTCTACCACAGGCTCTATCTCTATTACGGGCTCTTCCACCACGGGATCTTCCACCACTGGATCTTCCACCACTGGATCTTCCACCACTGGATCTTCCACCACCGGATTTTCCACCACGGGCTCTTCAACTACGGGATCTATCTCTAGTGCAGACTCTTCCACAACGGACTCTATCTCCAGTACGGGCTCTTCCACTACAGGATCTTCCACCACTGGATCTTCCACCACCGGATTTTCCACCACGGGCTCTATCTCTAGCATAGGCTCTTCTACCACAGACTCTATCTCTAGCACGGATTCTTCCACCACGGGATCTTCCACCACGGGCTCTATTTCTAGCATAGGCTCTTCTGCCACAGACTCTATCTCTAGCACGGATTCTTCCGCCACGGGATCTTCAACTACGGGAGCTATCTCTAGTATAGGATCTTCCGCCACGGGATCTATCTCTAGCATAGGCTCTTCTACCACAGACTCTATCTCTAGCACGGATTCTTCCGCCACGGGATCTTCAACTACGGGAGCTATCTCTAGTATAGGATCTTCCACCACGGGCTCTATTTCTAGCATAGGCTCTTCTGCCACAGACTCTATCTCTAGCACGGATTCTTCCGCCACGGGATCTTCAACTACGGGAGCTATCTCTAGTATAGGATCTTCCACCACGGGCTCTATTTCTAGCATAGGCTCTTCTGCCACAGACTCTATCTCTAGCACGGATTCTTCCGCCACGGGATCTTCAACTACGGGAGCTATCTCTAGTATAGGATCTTCCGCCACGGGATCTATCTCTAGTGCAGACTCTTCCACAACGGACTCTATCTCCAGTACGGGCTCTTCCACTACAGGATCTTCCACCACTGGATCTTCCACCACCGGATTTTCCACCACGGGCTCTATCTCTAGCATAGGCTCTTCTACCACAGACTCTATCTCTAGCACGGATTCTTCCACCACGGGATCTTCCACCACGGGCTCTATTTCTAGCATAGGCTCTTCTGCCACAGACTCTATCTCTAGCACGGATTCTTCCGCCACGGGATCTTCAACTACGGGAGCTATCTCTAGTATAGGATCTTCCGCCACGGGATCTATCTCTAGTGCAGACTCTTCCACAACGGACTCTATCTCCAGTACGGGCTCTTCTACTACAGGATCTTCCACCATAGGATCTATCTCTAGTACGGGCTCGATCTCTAGTATAGGCTCTATCTCTAGCACGGATTCTTCCACTACGGGATCTATCCTTAGTACGGGCTCTATTTCTAGCATAGGCTCTTCCACCACGGGATCTATTTCTAGTACAGACTCTTCTACAACAAATTCTATCACTAGTACGGGCTCTATCTCTGGCACGGATTCTTCCACTACGGGCTCTATTTCCACAACGGACTCTATCTCTAGTACGGGCTCTATTTCTAGCATAGGCTCTTCTACCACGGGATCTATTTCCACAACGGACTCTATCTCTAGTACGGGCTCTATTTCTAGCATAGGCTCTTCTACCACGGGATCTATTTCCACAACGGACTCTATTTCTAGCATAGGCTCTTCCACCACGGAATCTATCTCTAGTACAGACTCTTCTACAACAAATTCTTTCACTAGTACGGGCTCGATCTCTAGTATAGGCTCTACCTCTAGCACGGATTCTTCCACCACGGGCTCTGTCTCTAGCACCAGCTCTATTTTAACCACTAGTTCTATCCCTAATACAGGCTCAACTTCTGTTTCCGACACAGGCTCAGCTTCTCTTTCCGACATAAGCTTAACTTTTAGCACTACCTCTACTGAAACCCCTCCCTCAAGTTCGCTCTCTTCTGAGCCATCCGGCATCTCGAGCCAAATTAGTTCAATCATCCCTAGTAGCACAGTCCTCCCAACTAGCGTTCTCTCTAGCGTTGAGAGTGAGATCTCTAGTGATTTATCCAGTCTTACAAGTGGACTTACGTCGTTCATCCCTACAGTCACCAACTTGCCGACTAGTGTATTATCGAGCACCGAGAGCGAGCTATCCAGCCTCTCTACCCTCACCACTGGAACAGCACTTCCAACAGATCTACCTACAAGTGCTCTGTCTAGCATTTTGTCCAGTATCCAGAGCGGCTTCTCGAGCGAGCTGTCTAGCCTCTCTACCCTCACCACTGGAACAGCGCTTCCAACAGATCTACCTACAAGTGCTCTGTCTAGTATTTTGTCCAGTATCCAGAGCGGCTTCTCGAGCGAGCTATCCAGCCTCTCTACCCTCACCACTGGAACAGCACTTCCAACAGATCTACCTACAAGTGCTCTGTCTAGCATTTTGTCCAGTATTCAGAGCGGCTTCTCGAGCGAGCTGTCTAGCCTCTCTACCCTCACCACTGGAACAGCGCTTCCAACAGATCTACCTACAAGTGCTCTGTCTAGTATTTTGTCCAGTATCCAGAGCGGCTTCTCGAGCGAGCTGTCTAGCCTCTCTACCCTCACCACTGGAACAGCGCTTCCAACAGATCTACCTACAAGTGCTCTGTCTAGTATTTTGTCCAGTATCCAGAGCGGCTTCTCGAGCGAGCTGTCTAGCCTCTCTACCCTCACCACTGGAACAGCGCTTCCAACAGATCTACCTACAAGTGCTCTGTCTAGTATTTTGTCCAGTATCCAGAGCGGCTTCTCGAGCGAGCTGTCTAGCCTCTCTACCCTCATCACTGGAACAGCGCTTCCAACAGGTCTACCTACAAGTGCTTTATCTAGCATTTTGTCCAGTATTCAGAGTGAACTCTCGAGTCAGTCGTCCAGCATCGGCAGTGGAACTACGTCACTCATTTCGTCCCTCACCAACCTGCCGACCAGCGTATTGTCCAGCACCCAGAGCGGAATCTCGAGCGAGCAATCCGTCATTTCTTCTCAGATTACCGGGACAACAAGCTCCCTTCTTACAACTACCGATCTCCCACCGACTAGCATCTCGGTTTCACAGACTAGCATTTCGTCATCTGTCATCGTATCAACTGAATCGACTATCATACCGTCTGCTTCGTCGTCCATCATTTCTTCGGTCCCTTCCGCATCGGTAAGCATATCGATCGGGCCTAGTACCACAGTACTAGGCACGTCTATAGGTACTATAGCTACGACATCGACATCTATCTTCACGTCAAGCTCAAATATCATCTCTACTCCTACTTCTTCGTTGATCGTGCCGACTACATCGTCAACTGCTTTCATATCAAGCTCAGTGGTTGTTTCTAGTGCCACTTCTACAATCCTTATTCCCACGACTTCATCGTCTATCATTATATCTACATCACAAATCATATCTTCCGCGATCTCAACATCTTTGAGTACATCTGTCGGACCTGGTACCACAGTTATAAGTAGCTCCACGTCAGCCTTCGTGACAACTTCATCGTCTGTGATCACATCAACAACAGCGATTGCCAGTATAATAACGACATCATCCAGTATCAGTTCCATCAATTCGGCCGTCGCGGCCTGCGGTACTAATGCCCCTGCCTATTATATCCGCGACAATGTGCTCGTGCGTCAGGACTTCATTTTGAGCGTCCTAGGGATAATCACTGGCGCTACTTCATCGATCATTAATGGCAATGTCGGGAATGGCGGTTCGATCAACGCCGTAGGTTATAACGTGAGGGACGGGTTCCTTTATGCTGCTATGGGGGCAGCCCCGTCACGATTGATCCGTATCTCGACCACGACAGGCGCCTATACGGATTTGAGGTCGCTAAACCTGACCTCTACGCCGGTCGCCGGCGTAGTCGATGAAAACTCACAATACTGGCTTACCAATGCTGCAAACACAGCCTGGACCCAGGTCGACCTATTGCCGGGCTCAGCTACGTTTGGGCGAATCGTAGCATCTGGTACATCACCTGCCCCAGCTTATACAGTTTCCGACTGGGCATGGATTCCCGGTACGGCAGGCGGCAACTACCTCTGGGGTGTTTCTTACGAAGCTGGATTATTAGGGTTAACAGGTACCTCACGCTTAATGGCATGGAATCGATCTACCAAGATTTGGACAACGTCAACAGCGATCACAGGTGTTCTAAGTGGCAGTTTGATAAACTACCAGTCAGTCTTCGCGGGTGGAACAGACACGCTGTACGCTGCCGATTCGTCGACTGGACAATTATACACATTCCCTCTTCCTGGATCAGGCCTCGCTACCGCACAGGTTGCTTTAGGTAATAGTTTTGGCCTCGCAACAATAGCCGATGGTGCTAGGTGTGCTGCCGCTAATTAAGCAGCTCTTTAAACCTATTTATTTCGTTTACCTCGTATATCTGTAGTTTATTACTCGGTTTCCTTTATTAATAGTTTTCTTTCAAAGAGATCTTGACGTATCTGCTTCCCGATCGTTCAGCATCTTCTAAAAACAGCCCAAGCCAACCAAGGTCTTCAATCTACAATGATATTTGGATGCGGGTGGAACAAGGACTTCGCGGCACACATACCCGCAGGCCACACATGAAGAATTGGAATGTTGAATGATCCACCGGATGTGTATCAGCTTTTTCTCGTTGCTATTATGCGTGCTTATTGGCATCGGTGGCCGGATGGCGTGTGACAGTCCAGCGATGGATATCATATAGCGATGTGGTGGTCAGCTGGCGGGTAAAGAACCGCGATGGTCTAATGCAGTTTGCCTGGAGCAGAACCGGGCTAGAACAGATCACACCAATGGCACGTACTAATACGCCTAGAACGTCCGGCTGGGCTTCATGTTGAATATTCTTACACTGATCTTCGCTGGACTGCTACCAGTCACAAGTAGCTACAATTCCGCAAGTTCAGTTCGCTGGATCTGGGAAATAGTTCTATTCAAATCTGTTTAGTATAATTTCATGCGGAATTCGCCATTGTGGCATCTCCAATATTGTGGTGACCTCTCTGCGGCTTGTCTGTTTGGGGGATAGGATAAGTGTTCAACACGAGTGGTAACTCGCTACGCCTATGGAGTCGAACACGCCGGGCAGACCTTCTAAAAGGGACAACTAGTACATCATTGCTAATCAGCCTATGTCAGATTTCTGGTGGCCATGGTTGAAATATAAAACTATGGTCTAATTCTATACACTATTTACGACTTTGATGTCGATCTTATATTCATTCATGGCTCCATTCATTGCATCATAGCGATACTTGTGAGAGGGGTTGAATTGTTCTAAGGGTATCATCTCACGTTGACTTTATCAGAAAGGCGTAATCTATACTAAGATTAGGTCAAACATTTCCATCGTTATTTCTACCCTAACCTGGATAGCTAATCCTGGGTCTAAGGACGAGTAATCACGAGTCATTTTTGACTTTGCATATCATGTTATAATATGTTGAAACATCTGTTTAAATAATTTATGTTCAAGTTTAAAATTATTATACATTTTGTTATATTATTAATATTTTCCTTAATCATTATCTTTTTATCAACTTGCGTATGGAAACCACACTTCTCACGATCATTTGGAGTGGTTGCGTTTTGGCATATCACGCGCCAAGTCGGCCGAAAACTTGGCTTCACTGAGTAGAACCTGGTATTTTCAGGGCGTTTTTCATCCTCACCTTGCTTTCACTTATTCCCTTTCGCCTACCTTGCCTACCCGATGCATGTAGAGATAGTTCCATGCAGATCTCAACTGCGTAACGCCTGACAGAACGACAACTTGAAAGTTCCTTCGTAAGTTAAACAATCGAGTGACTTCAACAATATCTTACAAGCCGAATGGATGACCATCTTTGTCAATGCCAAACCCAGCTAGAAGCTGATCATTGTCTCGGTCAGCGGCACGCACGCCTATACTTTGATCGGATTGATGGATAGGCCCATACTTTTGCCAAGTTGGCTGACGATGCGCCTCTCCAAGCTTCGAGCCAATAGACAGTGAAATAACATTCATCGAGAATGCTTTAAATCCACGGCCAACCTCACACAATCACCGCAGAACTTGTACGACACGAGCACCGATTCTCATGCGCATAGACACCCACAGAGAAATCATAGAAATCATAGAAATCATAGAAATAACAACCAGTCTCATTCTTTCTTCTCAATTCCAACAAGGTTCGGGCTCAGTTCACTAAGGTTCGGGCTGAGCCTGTGGGCTGAAAGCTGACATTTTGTGACTGAACTTCTGTTGGTTGCTGAATCTGTGCATAATAGCCTTTCAGGCTGAGCCGCAGCGTAGCGCCGTAGGAACAGTCAGGCTAGGCAGGATTGTCGACCCATAGCTCGGACAGCTACGGACAGGGGGCCTGTCAGTTGTGTATGTATGTATGTATGTATGTATGTATGTGTATACAAATATTAATCCCAGACAGTATCAGGGCTGTGCTATTAAGCTAGATGTTGTGGAAACGCGCGTGCCACCGGCTTTCTTCACACTTTTTTATGACTCTCTTCTCAAATCTTCACTATTTCTGCACCTCTATTCATGCTGCGGTGTGTCTGTTTCATCAAATACCTCACATACGGGCCTGTGAGAATACTGCCCTTTGGCTAGTAGTCCTCCCATTCACTCTAGCCATCGACTGCACAACATCCAGTGCAATCCCGTGGCCCACATCCAGCGGATCTTCCGATAATGGTTCCGGATCCGGATCCGGTTCTTCTTCAAACGATCCCTGTTCTTGGCTATGCGGAAACCGAATCGACTGTCTCCAACTCTGTTACGGAGACCCCAATCCGATAGGAAGGAAGATGACAGCCCGCGCGACTCTGAGCTGTACGAGTAGCGAAAGCTGTTTTACTTATGTGGATGGCTCGCTATTTTGCATGAATGCCGATACTGGTATGCAGATATCTAAATTGTTCTGATAATCCCTCCCTTTCCATGTTAGTCACAGAAGAAATTAAATAAATCATGGAAGAGGCTGAATTAGTTCTTCTTGTCTCATAGGCTCCTATCATGATGACACTGGTGGGAGTGGGAATGTTGAGACAGGTGAATACACAGCGGCGGACGGGCAGAAGACGACTGCTCCAGCGGAGCAGACCGCTTCGCCCACTACCAGCACTACTGAAAGCACTGCTAAATCTGGTTCTTCATCTGGTTCTTCATCTGGTTCGCCATCGCATTTATCAACATCGTCTGATTTATATACGTGGACTAGAAGCATCACTTCTACACTTGGCGCTTCTCCCACAACTGCGTCTGTCGCGAGTACGTCTGCAACTCATGCTTCGACATCTAGAGTAGAAAGGCTGAGCGGACGTAGTGCTATTTTGGGAGCTTTAGGGTTATTTGTAGGTATGCTTTATGTAATGGCTAGATAAAGAGCATTTGTGGGCGGGATAGGAAAGTTGAGTTGATAAGGAAAGGCGATAATTGTTTGAATTGACATCTTCGCACTCCCATCCTTCAATGCTTAGCGAATCCGAGTGACTAAAACCGGTGAATTATGTAAAGAAGATATTCTAAGATCTAAATCAGACGTATTTCGTAATCTTGAAAAGACAACAATCCAAAATCACCAGTTTAAGCGGGGGTGCATCATGCATCATATATTAGAAGGAGAACGAAGGCTAAAGCGCTTGATGTCACCAGGATAGTTGAGCTTTAGAGCCGGCCAGGCGTTCTCCCAAACAGTGGCTGAGGGAGACACCACCTAATTGTGTGGACCACCAGGTTGAGAAAGCTAGCCTTCAAGCTGTAGATGGTCATTCGAAGGTTTCAAAGTATGTTATTTTCATATTAAAAATACTTTTGTTCACAAGATAAGAGAGCGGTGACGACAGGACCGTGGTAAACTTGCGTGACCCGACTTAGAAAGGGTGTCAATCGATTCATCAAAGTTGCTATTTTTTGAGAATATTAGAATGAATCGTTGTGTTTCCCAGCAGCACAATTAAAAGATGGAAGACCATGACTAACACGAACCTTAGCCATATCATGGACCCCTAGACTTATCTCCGTAGCAAAGCTCGAGAATCTAACCCTAAGCACATTGTGAATGGAATCATCGGAAGCGAATACGGCGGCCTTAGTCAGGATCAGGTTAGTCCCATACGAGGTTCATTTGGTTAGCTAGGAGCACGATGACGAGAAAGTGACCGGGATGAGTACGGTCGGGGGCCTTAGACTTGCAAAGCACGCAATGATAATTCCAGTCCATCTTCTGGAGGGTTGTGGAGCATTAGCGACTGCCAGAATAATCACGGGTAACAGATTCCTTGTTGTTTCACTTAATGTACTCCTTCAAAACATCAGTTCGGTTTTTTGCGTATTCAATAGTACTCTGTGTGCTAAGCGCCCTAGGGATTGCTTGTGTGAGGCATTTGTGTGAGGCGTATTGTCTGGATAGCGTATGCACAGGATGTCTGATATTTTCCTCCAAATTTAGGCAGTTTCGTTTAGATATTCAGAAGATAGAAATTTATCTTCAAGAAGAAATGTCAGTAAAGCTTACTGAAGCGTCTGTGGAACAGTGATCGGTAGTTGTGGGTGTCGAGAAACCAGAATCAAATCGGTCAAACCGCGTGGTGTTGGTGACTATTCACACCTTTGATCATTGCAAGCCTCTCGTAATCACTTGGTGGTGTCCATGCCTCTGTTCATTGCAGACTCATAGCATGACTTACATCCCTTTGATTTCTGGTTTCTTCATCCCTTTGATTTCTGGTTTCTTCATCCTTCCTGATACTCAACTTGAGCTTTTCGGCATTTGACCATCAACATCTTTCTTGCCCCCGAAGCCTGAGACGTGCAGCGTGAACTGCATTCTATTGCATGTCTAACCCCTTTATTCTTTCTTATCCTCAAACCTGAATTCTTCAGCGTCCCTCCACCAACCTCTATCATACCTCCAAAGACACAACCCTGTCACCGACCCCTTACTCCCATGCCAAACCTCCGTCAACTCCCGATAACACTGTTCCTTCCTGTCTTTATCATCCTCCTTATTCATAACCGTATAATGGCCCTTCCAGCACTTCCTAGCATCCTGCTCACTCAACCATCCAATCTCCCGTCGTCTCTCCTCACTCTTAGTACTACCAAGTCCCACAACATGTCTTTCACCATCCTGGCCCTGCCACCCTGCTCTCAACCCCTCCCTAATACCCCTCGCCCTGTCCAATGCCCCCCGATCAACTTCTACCCCAACGCCCCTCCCCATCTTAAACACGCCACCTCGATCAGCCCTGACCTCAAACCCGCGCACCCCCCGCGCCATCTCGCCGAGATCCGCCCTGATCGCCGTCAGCCTGGATCCCGGGAGGGCGTGAAAGAGAGTAATGTGCGCGTCGACCTTCAGGAGCCTTTCGGGAACCACTTCCGCCTCAGGGCGGACATCTCACGCTGGTGAGCGGGCGTCAGGAGGAGGGTGAGGACGTAGACGTCTTGGCCATGGTCGCTGGGGCCGCGCGGGCGGTAGTGTTCGTTGCGTTGGTGGTTGGCGGCGGGTGCCGCGGAAGACGTGAAGTGTACTGTTGGGCCGGCAGGGTTGTGGTGGTGTTGCTTTGAGACGGTTGTACTGGTGGTGGTGGTCTGGTGAGTAGATGTCCTGGCTGCCGGGGTAGATGCTCTTGCTGCTGCTGGTTGGCTAGAGGTCTGGGCTACGGAGGCCCAGGTGCGAGTGGACATGGTGAAGGTAGTATTGGGAACGCTATACGTCTTCGAAAGCCTCGGGATCATGCTGCTAGACTGGGAAGTCGTCATGTGAAAAACAAGGTCTACTTGAACTGGAGGTTTTGATGTAAGTTAAGCTACTAGCACTGATGACGTCAACGATGCTGGATTTACTAAATCGATGGCGCTTGAGATAAGCGTATCCATCAACGCCCTCTGAAATCATGGTCGTCACGGTCCTACGGTAGTGGTTCTATCTTCCATAAGCGGGTTCATCACTAAAACGAAAATATCGGGAATTTCAAATATCGATTTATTTTTCTGGATGCATTTGGCTTCCTGTGATCCTACTACAGTACATGATCAGCATCTCGTCCCCGACAGCTAACTGAACATTCCCTAGACCAATACAAATACCAGGTCTATGTAATGATGCGTATCCTCAACTCCATGGCAATGCTTTCATCTTGAACATGTTGTGATCTGTTGTTACATCTGGATGCTCCCCCCCTTGGGTGAAAATGCTGACATACCTCATTCCTGGTATATCTGCCATGACATGGCAGACTTAACAAAAGAAAATATATATTCTACAGTTAATCCCCGGTGCAGCCGATGTCCTTGGCCATCCAACCCCGGAGATAGAAATGACCAGGGACTGCTGTTGCTACTGACTTAAAGCTAAAACACGAAAAGCTACAGCGTCGGTTCTGCAGTAGATAGCAAGACGGAACGATGGCGCAGGAATCTACTTGAGATCGGCGGCATCGTGACGGAAGGTGCATTGCTCACCCTTTGCACACTTGCCCTGGGCCCAAAAGGTGCAAGGCTTAGTGCCAATAAGTGAGCGGTTGATGCCCTTGCCATCGAATGCCTTGCCACGGAAGTTGTCCTTGTTGTCCTTACGACCACGAACTCCTTTTTCGTGCGAATCTGACTCGGATGGACCATAGTCGAGTATTCCGTCTCCACTACCGTAATTGTCGCGGGTGCTTCGGTCGCGGTCGCGGTGCTGGTATACTCGCTTCTGTGCCTGCGACTGTTGTTGTGAGACAGGTTGTTGTGAAACAGGTTGTTGTGAGACAGGTTGTTGTGGCTGGCCTTGGTTGAGCGAGGCGTAGTAGGCAGCCCAAGCAGCTGCGTTAGCAACGTTAGGATCCTGCTGAGCAGGCTGGGTGGTAGTGACTGCAGCGGGTTGGGCCTGGATAGATTGACCCCCGAGAGCAGCGAGAAGGGCACCAATGCTATTGGCATCCTCCTGTGCGGGCTGCTGTTGAGAGTACTGGGGCATCTGAACCTGGGCACCATGGCCAGCATGCTGAGCTTGCAGCGCCTGAGTCTGCTCAAGTATTGCCGTGTATTGATCGTAGGTCAAATTTTGGCCCTGGGCAGGCTGAGCTTGAGCGTGCGACTGGAGCTGCACTTGTGGTTGAGCCTGTGCCTGATTCATCTGTGCAAAGTAGGCTGCCCATGCAGCAGCGTTAGGATCCTGCGCGGACTGGGTAACTGCAGCCTGGGGTACTGGTTGTGCGGGTGCAGCGAGACTCTTGCGGGCAAACTCCTCTGCAAGCTTCTTTGCGCGGTCGGTAGCGTCTGAGGTCGCCTTGGCTGCTAAATCCTTTTCGACACCCATCTGCCACTCCTTGACATGGGCCGGGTTTGATCTCAAGTGCTCGGGCGGCTCAATGGCTGGGAAAGGCTTGCCAGCAAAGGCAGCAGCGACGTCCTCAATTGCATCAATGTCGGCCTGAATCTTCGGATCACCACAGTTAAATAGACGCTTGGTTCTTGGATGATCGGACTCGAAAGGGTTGGCGTTACTCCAAGTGCGAACCCTTTCTGATTTCAGAAGTCGAAGACATTCGGCGTCTCGTTCATCCTGCGACATGATTGGCGCAAGTATTAAAGTTTGTTGCCCAGAGACCATCTGCGCTGAGCTTGGGGCAAACGCGTATGGCTGCTGACGGTCGTGGCTTGACATCGACCCGCGTTGCATGTCAAGCAGCAGTCGATCATATTTAGCTGCAACCTCCGGACTAGATTTATTGCGTAAACGTTGCAACATGTGCTCTGTCGCTTCACCTGTGCCCAGTTGCGCAATCTCACGCCAGCGAGTTTGAGTTTCTTGCAGATTGGGCGTGTTGGTGGGGAGCTGGGAAATGTGTGGAAGAACAGTAGCCCTTTCAGCCTCCTTACGAATTGGCGACTTAGGTGTCTCGGGAATATCGGCAGGCGACGTGTAAATAGCAATCAGCTGTGTTTGCTCATACTTCTCCATGACCTTTTGCTCCTCAGTATGGATGGTTTGATTTCCACCACGAGTGATGAAATTCTTCAAACGCTGTCCCGGGTTGACTTGATCAACATGACTGAAATCAATCGCACACGGCTCTGTCCACGTCTGAAGTGCAAGTTCCTTGGGCTTACCCTCTTCAGAATTATCATCCTCGTCATCCTTATCGACATCGGCATCTTGCCCCTCAGACTCATTGGCGCGTTTTGCCCTCTTCAGAGCTTGACCTTCAGAACGGTTGTCTCGAGCATCACGGACCATATTGGTGGCGCGACCCTCGTCCTCGTTCGCATCATGTTGGAAGATCCGCACTTCCTCCAGTTCATAATCAGGCTTCCACATGACTCTAAGGCCTCGTCGAGCTTCTTTGCGGAGACGTCGTGTTTTCTCTTCCTCCGTTTCGGGCGCTTTGACCGGCTCATCCTTCTGCCGAGGTGGCGACTTGGGCTTTGCAATCTCTGCCAACAGACCACTAATCGTCGACAGGCTAGATGACGTGGAGGACGAGGGTTCGGATTTCTTGACTGCGGGCTTGGCAGTAGGTCGTGCTCGACCAGGGAGGATTGAGCCGCTGGACTTGGGACGAGGCTGCACAACTGTAGTCGTTTTGGGCACAGCACCGGGCTTTGACGCTTGTGTCCCACTTGAAGAGCCATCCACTGCGACCTTCTTCGTGATGCGTGAATCGACATCATCATCCCTGGGTCTTTTCGAAGGCAAAATTCCTGGCGTTTTCGTAACAATTCCGCTGGCTCTCTTAGCGTCAAGGACGGTTGGACCGGCTGGTAAGACTTTCTTTGAATCGGTGGAAGCTGACTTCTTCGATGCAGACACTAAATCTTTTGCAGTGAATATTGGCGTCTTTCTAACCACAGGAGCAGGCTCCTTCGTCCCGTTCACTGGTGCGGTGTCTTTGACCTTTTTGTCGTCATCATCGTCTTTAGCCTTAGACTGTATCTGATCTAAGTAGCCGTTGCAGATATCGTCAAAGTCCTTCTGGTATTTCTTCTGGTACTCTTGAACCTTGAAAACTCCGGTCACCAGGTGCTTCTGCAAGGTTGTGAAATGTGACATGAGATGGAGAATGGCTTTGGGCAGTGGGCCGTTGAAATCTTTAGTAGCAATTGCACCTCTAAGTGCATTCCACAGCATGACGGCCAACTTCGAATTGCCTCCCATATTGTCGAGAACCGAGGATTCAGCATACTTGATGGCGGTCTGAACGGCAACGTGAATGAGATTTAGTTGCGCCGTGAGTTCGGATTCCAAAGAGTCCAACCTCTTGCTTTTCTTCTCCTTGGCAGTTTTGATGTCCTTCCTGAGATCTTTGGCCTTGTTCCAGAGCTTCTCAAACTGGACACCAAAGGCCTGGATAGCGGCAGCAGTGGCATTAACCGGTAATGTATCGTCTGGAGCTCGCCAGACCGTTTGTATCACGTCGTACTCGACAGCTTTCACCGGATCACTGGGTCTTCCAGCCATTTTGATCTAAGGACGGACATACATGTCAGCAAAGTAACTCACGCAAGAGAATTGTTCGGGCAAGAGAAAGGAAGAAGAAAAAAAACCTGGCACTAACCTTGCGTGCTTCTTGATCTTCCTGGGTTTCCTCGTACTCAGAGTCACTCTCGTATTCCGAACTGTCATCTGAAGACTCGCTGCCAGGCACGCGTATTGAGCCAGTCCTGCTCTCGCGCTTGGTTACGGATCTCGTGGTCCCAGTTTTGGTGGCAGATTCGACTGAAGGTGGAGCGAATGTCAGTAATTGAATAACATCCAAATTAAATGCAAACAAATCATCGGTTGCTCGGTAGGGTCCAAAAAAAACCAAAGGCAGGAAACTTACCACTCTCGCCAATAAGGTGCATCATCTCACGGTTCAGTCTATCTTTCTCCAGGCGAATAGCTCGACGTTTGGCATCATTGACGTCAGCGGATTTCTCTTGTTTACGTAACCACTTAAAATCACGTCGAATCTCACAAGGCAACCGGCCAGGATGTCCGGGAGTGAGGGGTCCATCCTTCGCGTTAAAATGGGCTGAGAACGAGAACGAATCGTCTGTAATCAGGTCCATACTGCTCCCATCGATTGGTGTGCCAGAGATGAAAAGATTAGAGAACCCGGCAAGCTGAGTGTAGTCGCCGTGAGCGACAGGGTCAAAGGCCGGGCGAGCTGGAATCACTGTTAACATGGGTGCCGGACTGGGCTGCATGTACCCAGTGAAAGGTACTTGTCCGGGCATCTGCTGATTGTTGGCATAGGAAGCGCCGGGTGCTGAAGCAGTGGCCGACGCATTGAATTGGCCAAGTTCGTTTGTTCGGGCATCAGAGGCTTGACTTGTCGATGCAGTGCCCTTTACCGGGACCGATGCTTGTTGCAAGCCAGGTTGAGGCGGCGATACCGGGAAATGGCCATGAGCGCCTGCCTGACTAGGTGGAGCATAATGAAGTTGTCCCTGGAATGCTGCAGCTGGCTGAGCTACGGACACGGCTGGGTTCTGGTATGAACTATTTCCGGCCGGCCCCGGAATGACTTGGAACTGATACCGTGGCGCTGTTGGATTGGCAGTCTGCACGTTCGGATGGCTTTGTATATTAGCCATCGACGAGTGGTTCATGACTGGCTTTGCACTGGTCTGGTTTGCGTTGTTGGCTTGAAACCGAGATATAGTCCTCTGAGCAGGCGGTGGTGTCGGCGTCGAGGTATGTGCATGAGCATGAGACGATGGTTGTATGTGCTGCTGATACATGTTCTGAGCATTTTCATAGCCCATTGGTTGAGAATATTGGTTCTGTGGAGCAGTGCTCGACCATGAGCCCTCTACAAAACTTCCAGGAACCTGTGGATCATGCTGATTCAAGTCGGTAGCACTGAAGTGCTGGTATGTATGTTGGTGAGCATGCTGCTGTGGTTGACTCTGTGGTCGTTGAAAGGCCGAGTCTTGAAACATGCCATTACCATAAGCTGCTGCAGGAGAAGCCGTGGTGGTCCTCTGGCCGACAGATGCATTGCCATTACTAAAAGCGTTGTGAGCTTGATAATAGGTCTGCGGTTGGTAGAACTGGTGGTCGGCAGGGTCAGCATTTGGGGCAGGGTAGTTACTGGTGCTCTGGTTCATACTGTCCCAGTTGGACATGTACAGCATGTTATCATCAGCATTAATACCATTACCGTACTCCAGACCTCCCGAGTTGGGCTGATTGACACTATTCTGGTCTACACCACTGGCATGATACTGCCCACCAGGCCAACCATGGCCGCCTTGTGCCATGGTGACTCCGACTGTGACTGCTGGGGCGCAATGATCTGAAAGAGGCAAGCGTCAGTAAGAGAGCTTCGCGTAGATGAGTTGCAGACGCTAGCGCAACGATCGATCCAATGGAAAGAGCTATATCCTTAGTGTAGACGCTAGCACATACGCTAGAGTCCTAATAGGTTGTGGTGCGCTTTCCGTATACTCAACCTATTGCCAAATTCTGAAGACATACCTATGATGATTTGCAAAAATCAACCAAGTGGTGATTTGTAGTGAGATTGCAGATTACCACGATGGATGTGTGAATATCAGTCCTTCAGCAGGGTCGAACTGAAAAAGCCTTTGAGATGACAATGAGGTAATCGTTGCCGTAGCGTTTAGAGGTTGATGCTGACGAAAAGGAACGCTAGCTGCAAAGAGACTAGATTAACAATCTAAACCAAAATGGTGCATCAGCATGTGTGGTGGAGTGTCTTGTGAGATGAAAACAACAAAGACAAAAGTTGGTGAAGGGGCTGTGGAAGAACGTGGAAATGGCAAGGGTTGTTGTTTGATTTCGAAAGGTTGATGTATTTTCGTGGGTAGATCTGGAGCTTGTGCCGCCCAAGACTGCCCATTAAGCATCAGGTGTAAGTCGACGAAATAGTTCCCAATCTCCAGTACGGGGGGGTTTTTTTTTTTCTGTGTACTGTAATTGAGCGCAATGTCGGAGGGGTTTGTGACGATAGGGGCCGGTCTGGCTGCTTTGCTTAGACCTCTGCAAGATTTGTACCTTCCATCGCACCTCGTCTTAAATGACTTTATGGAAGTTACTGCTTAACAACACGCAGTGAACGTTCTTTTATCATGAATGGTTTCCGAGTGCTGAACCGGCCACATCCCTTGGCGCTGTGATATGTAGCTTCAGTCTGATTGAACAGTGCAAGTTTCCAGAGGTACGCCAAGAACACAACAAAACTGAGGAATTTTGAGGCGGCTGGATTTCCGCAGTGATTGAAGTTGATGTTTTTCTTTGCCCAGTATCACTCTCCAGCCATTAAGGTAGGAATTCAGAGGAGTTACTTGTAGAGGCCTGCTTGATGGCTGTCTGCCTGTGCTGCTGCTTGGACACGAAATCGGCTTAGGATCGGCGATAGTGGACACCGACACTGCAGGCTGAAAACGTATGCAGCATGTCGGTGTCGGTCGCTACTCACCAGCTGCGAAGGCCAAAACCCCTGCCAATCAAGCAATTCATTGCTGCAAGATTTGGAGGTTTGGCAGTGGTGAGTCGCAACAGCCTGACGCACAGCACATACATGTAGAAGATTTGACAACTGGTATAAATGCAGACTGGTGCAGTGCAATGATGGGGGAAGGGGAGGGAGAAGGTTCAGTTATTCATACCCTTTCTAAAGTCCTGACCCGCCCGTGGTTCTTAGCGCTTAGTGTTGACTTCTGCAGTCGTTGATGATGATGATGCCGCTGCTGCTTTATTTCGTGCGAAGGCCTGCGACCATATGGTGCCTCAGATCCTCTCTTAGTTGAGAGATGCGCGACAATTATAATGATCTATGCAGGCGATTCAAGCCTTTAAGCTGAGTATCATGCGACAGTCTAGAAGTTCAAGTGATAAAGGGGCCAATTCAATCGGGCGTTGCGAGATGTCTGCCCGAACCCAGCGCCCAGTGGCAAATGATGACAATTTAGCTGTCCTGCAGAATGCACAGAGTATAGAGAGATGGTCTAGTTCGGAATTATGAGAATTATTAAAGACCGCCCTGATTAAGCCTCCTGTCGATGGCGATTGGGGTTGAGATTGACGATAGTCGGCGATGGCTGTTGTATGTTGCGCGACGATGAAGAAGGGGAAAAGAGAATGAGAGGGAATGGCTGGGTCGAGAGGGGAGAAAACCTAGGCTAGGCCATGTTGTTAGGGAGTGGTTGATTGGAGTGCAATTCAAAGCGGCCCTTATTTAGCGGCTGGCGGCTGGTTTTTTCTGCTTGGTCTTGGTTTGCAGCCGTCCATGGTCTAACGTTGCAGCTTCGGAGCCTGTTAACCAGCCCCTGCCCCCCCCTGACATCCCTCGTGCCACACTGTTGACATGTGTACTCTACGTACATACATAAACAGCAGCGCTGCCTGCCGATGCTGAAGAACACGATGGGCAAATCAATCAAGGCTGCTCTTTGTTCAGTACAAGTGGTCTCACGGATGGGATCTTTCATCGAGACATTCGCCTTACGTGTCCGGATATAGAATAGTCAGATTCGAGCGAAGCACGACAAGACTCGTGTGACACATGCCGTGTTCAACGTGACGTATTGCTAACTTATGTATTCTCTTTCATCGTTCTCGTACCTGGCATAGAAATCCGCCCGGATTATCCATGGTCCCGACGGCAATTCAATCTCAATTCCCAGCTCAGGAACCGCTGTAGGCCGTTGAGTTGCAACCCAGATCGTACCCCCAGGCCATGATTGGAACCCACATGCAGTTGGCAGCCCAGAAAGAAGGTTGAGCATGCAGATCTCCTTCACGTAATCACTCCAACAGAGTGCCAAGCCAACAGTAACGAAACAACTGCACTGCACATTCATGTTTCCCATATCGTCGTGGACATCTTGCCATTTGGTTGCCTGCGCCACCTGCAGATAGACACTCCCACCTCCGACTCCCACTCCCAATCCGAATCCCAAACCCGTTCCCCTTACTACGGGCGCGTCATCTCATCTCGGCTGCCCCACTACATCCGGGTCCAGCTCCTTCGCCAGTGATCCGTACTCCGTACCGAGTACATACCACGTAGCATAGACAGACATCGCATCTAAAAAGCACGGGTGCCGCAACGCTTCCCCAGTAACTTCGCTCTACGCCTAACCTCCTCTATCGTCCAAGCATCTGGCGCTTGGAAAGCCGCAAGTATGGCTTCCAAAGCGCTGTCTTTACGGGATCGGCAAATCACCTCGCTCAAGAAGATCCTCAACTTGAACGAGGACCAGAAAGAGGACGAAGAACCACATACAAATGGCGCTCCCACTGTCGCTGCGCCTTTATTGTCGTCTAACGGAGAGCCCATATGGAAAGTTCTTGTGTTCGACGATCTTGGGCGCGATGTCATCAGCAGTGTGTTGAGAGTGAGCGACCTTCGGTCGCTGGGCGTCACCATGCACATGTAGGTTTCCACGCCACGCGCACCAGCACCTGTATCGTTGTCCTCGTGATCTTGCTTACGCCGTGTGACTAGGCACATCTCAGGCTCAAGACATCCTATACCAGACGTACCAGCCATATACCTACTCGAGCCCACCCCCAAAAACCTCGAATCCATAACGAATGACCTGCAGAAAGGACTCTACTCACCGGCCTACGTCAACTTCACTTCGTCCATACCGAGACCCTTGTTAGAGGACTTTGCCTCCCAGACAGCAACAGCGGGCACTTCGGAACACATTGCGCAGCTCTACGACCAATACCTCAACTTCATTGTAGCCGAGCCAGACCTGTTTAGTCTGGGTATGCAGAAAGAGAACACGTACTGGGCATTGAATAGCGCAAAAACACAGGACGAGGAACTGGATCATGTCGTCGATAAGATTGTTAGTGGACTGTTCAGTGTAGTCGTGACCATGGGCGTAATTCCCATCATCAGATGCCCCAAGGGCGCAGCTGCCGAGATGATCGCTGCAAAGCTAGACAGGAAGCTGCGCGACCATATCCTTAACTCGAAAGATAACCTCTTCTCCGCGAGTGCGCGTCCTGCGTCCTCGGCAGGCACGCCAGCCTCACGTCCCGTGCTGATCATCCTCGATCGAAACGTGGATCTCAACCCCATGCTTTCTCATTCTTGGACATACCAGTCGTTAGTACACGATGTCCTCGACATGAAACTCAACCGTATCACAATCGAGACTCCGGTAGACGAGCAAAACCCTGCAAAGGGTGTTACGAAGAAGGCCTACGATCTTACGGCAACCGACTTTTTCTGGGAAAAGAATGCTGCGTTACCATTCCCACAGGTCGCCGAGGACATTGATGCCGAATTGACGCGGTACAAGGACGATGCAGCAGACATTACCAAGAAGACGGGCGCCTCGTCCATAGAAGACCTTCAGAACGATACAAGCGCCAGTGCCCACCATCTGAAAGCGGCCATTACGCTTCTCCCAGAGTTACGCGAGAGAAAAGCTGTCCTCGATATGCACATGAACATCCTGGCAGCTCTATTGACAGGCATCAAAAATCGACAACTAGACGGCTACTTTGAGATGGAAGAAAACGTTATGAAGCAAACGAAAACACAAGTATTAGAGACAATTAAGGACGAAGCCAGAGGAAATCAGCCCCTAGACAAGCTTCGTCTGTTCATCATATGGTTTTTGAGTACGGAGCAAGAAGTAAGTCGGGCAGATTGGACACAGTTCGAGGAAGCTCTGAAGGCCGCAGGCGCGGACACGACGTCGCTCGCATATATCAGACAGTAAGTCGCACCTCATGATGCACAATAGGCGAAACTAATCGTGTGTACAGAGTTCGTGCGACGACAAAGATGACGCAACTTACAACGATCAACAACCCGTCACAGCCAGCAACACAGGCCGGCTCCGACCTTTTTGGTCGTTTCTCAACCCTTTCTACCCGCTTGACCGACCGAGTCAAGGATGCGGGTGTGACATTACCGGGTGGTTTCAACCTCGATTCATTGAGTGGCGCATTGAAGAATCTTATTCCCGTGAATCGTGACTTAACCATCACCAAGATCGTCGAGTCCGTTATGGACCCACAAGCGGCATCAAGTTCGGCACTGGCGAAGACAGAGGGTTATATGTTTTTCGATCCTAGAAGCGCAAATGCGCGAGGCACAATGCCGGCACCCAGTGCTGTAAGAGCAGGCACAGCAAGCACGCCAGGAGGTTTACCTGGTACGCAGGGTCCTGGCATGGGCGCATCGTTCGGGCAGAGACGCCAGGGTTACTCCGACTCAATTGTATTCGTTGTAGGTGGTGGCAGCATGGATGAATATGGAAACCTGCAAGAGTGGATCAACAGGACTAGTGGGGACAAAGGAATCAAGAAGAGAGCTATATATGGTGCTACGGAGATCATGAACGCTACAGAGTTTGTGCAAGGGCCACTCGAAAGCTTAGGTAGAGAGGTAGCGAGCTAATCAGCCCGAATATTCTGGACAGTAGAATCAACACACCAATAAATTATCTTCAAGGACGTTCGCCGGAACTTTTGTTTTCTACTCATGCCTTTTTGTCGATGAGAAGTTCTCAACAGTACACTGTCACTACTATTAAAATCTTGGTTATGATCATTTTGACATTTAACGACAAGTGCAACTGTAATGTGTATACAATCTCCATAAGAGTGCCGCAGACATTTTCCTTCCACATCAAGTCCACATCGCCACGCTGCTCAATGCTCAGCTACTTCACACTTTGGTCTAAAAATAAATGCAATTTTTGCTTAGTATTGCTGCCGTATACTGCATACGGTGGTCTGGTCTGGCAACTAGTCTTGAATATTTGGAATTGTGGTGCGGAAGTTATACCTGAGGTCGTGATCGACTCTTTTGATTATGATCGTGAAGTTCACCTCGTAGTGTCTGGCGCCAATCATACCTCCCTCTACGGTTATCAACGGCTCGATCGATTGTGTCAGACCCTGCTCTCTAAGGTAGGCGAGTTACACGTGAAGAACCTCGAAGGATAACTGATTAGAATAAGAAGGAAACTAAGCACTCAGAAACCTAAGCTTAGATGAACTCAATGCGAGCTAAGTATTTACTCAGAACAAAAACCTGTTCGAAACGGGAAAGGACTAGCAACTACTCTATCGTAACCGTGCCACAGCAATCACCGAAGACAAGTCCAGCATGTTTGCAAAATTGCAGCATGAGGGAACGATCTCCATGAATTAATAGCTTTTTGTAAGACTAGGAAATATATCAGAGAGTCTGAAATGTACAGATTAGTTCCGAACTACAACAACATACAGCGAGAAATATTTTTTATACAAGGGGAATGATTTCCGACGCCTGCTCTTCATTGATGCTTATCGAAATTCTGCTTGCAGACTAAACCTAGTCAAGAAATTAACTAGAAATCTAAAGCACTTGAGAATGAGCACGTCCTCGCTTGTTTATCGGTATTGAGAATTGGAGCCGATCAGAGTGCTTTTGGGCACTCGAGGGTGTACTTTTGAAATCGAGTCTGATTGTTCAGAGCTGCTAGTTAATTCCCCGTCCCTAATTCATTCGCAGCGACAGCAGCTAAGGAATAACGATAGGTAGTTTCAACATAATTTAGCAAATTGAAGAACCAACGGTGTTGTAGATAAGCTCATTGGAGGACATCGTTTTGAACTAGCGTACATATCATTAACTCCACAGGAAGATATCACCTTTAACATGATTACCGAACGGGGTAACGATGTTGTCTAAGAGGTTTTGTTATTCCATCATCCTGCTTTCGGCCTCCTGTACCCGAGACCACCTGACAAGGCAGCAAGGCGCCTACCGTGAGAAACCGAGGCTGACCAGGCGCTTGTAGAATTCTTCGAGGACACCTTTCAATGCGCTCTTGGACTTACGGTAAGTCTTTTCTCATAACAGAAGTCCTATCGGGGCAGTTACATTCATCCTTGCTATTGTTTCAACCAGGAAGTCATGGCCAGGAAAGATAATCCACGCAACAGTCTTATGCTCCACTCCGAAAACGAATGGGACATGGCAGTGATAGGGTTCTATTAGTAACAAATTGGTCAAGGGTACTTTTTCCTTCTATTTCTTTTTCTTTCTGTCCTGCAGTGTCCAGAACATCGTCGGCAGGCTAGAGCAGTAAACAATGTACAAGGGCAGTGCAGGAAGAGCCTTTGCTTAGACAACGGACTTTAAACAACGACCCTGTAGGACTTCATCTAGTCGTAAATGCTATGATGTCGGTTTGACGTCTCTAAAATTAGAAATTATGGCTTCGAAGCGTGCGCACAGACTCTCAAGCTATGTATTTGCGTAAAGAGCACAAAGTGACACTTGTGATGGAGACTTAATTTTTCTGATTCAGATGGATATGATATTGAGCCCTTAAGACCACCGAACAAATATTAACCTTTGTAGAGTATCTTCACTCAAAAGTCACAGCAACAGATCTGTCTTGCAGTTGTGATCATCCTCTGAATCAACTGGAACTATTTTCCTCTTAATGGGCGCAACGACCAAAATCTCCTAAGAGCACAGAGATCCACATCGTGTAGCAGAGCCACCAGCGGCAATGCACCTGGAAATACAGCTTTCCTGTAGAAACTATTAGCCAGTTTGTTCAGCTATACCCAAGATAGGTGCCAACTCACTCTCTTGAGAACAGGTTCTGCCTCGGGCTCAGCAGCTGGAGAGGCAACGACGACGGCGGCAAAGGCCAAAGCAAATAGAGCAGCGAAACGCATATTGGGTGTAATAAGTTGAGTTGAGTTGTTGGGATGTGAGAGCTTTTTGGTGTTAGAGAGAACTCGAAGGGATGTGGTAATGAGCAATGTCTCATTGCTTTATACCCGACAGCGTAACACAACGGCAGGGTATGAGGGTACTTGGTCGCGAAGCCTCCGTGAATGCTGATGCAGATTACAACAAGGGTCATGATCCTTCTTGGTCAAGATAAGCTTTCTTGGCCTTAGCTTAGGCGATATGATGGTCCAATTTGAGCACCTGGCTTTCAAGTGGAATCAAAGGATTGTAACTTACGCCCGATTTAGCAGCTGTGGGATTATGGCCAGGATATGACCCAGGGGTGTCATTGAGCTATCCTTCAGTGGGGTAGCTTGTCTAGTCATCTTCATTCACCATTCAACTGTTGACTGAGAGTTGTTCAGATGAACTTCTGGCCCAGCTTGTGGGGTGGTGCGAGCTATTGGAACCAAGGAAGAGCTATGCAGTCGAACTACGGAATCTTGGGTAGGTCTTCGGCCAATGTCGAAATCTTCTATTGAATCGACCCTCAGATTTTCGTTCCAGTCTCACCGCTCATCCATTCGCTGGATCTGCGAGAACACGCAGGGAGTTTGCATGAACAATCAGTGTGAGCGCTGCTCGCTTCCGGCTGGTGGATAATAACCTCCGCCAAATTCTAAGCTGGCGGCTGCAAACTTATCCTCCCGTATCAACTGCCAAGGGCCGAACCAACCGCTTTCATAGAGCTTCACCTCAAACGTGGCCTGAAAGCTCTGGCCCAGGAAGTTTTCTCGATGGCCGTCTGGAAACGGCGAGCTCAGTGAGAAGAAAGTGCCCTTTGGTGCGGAGGCCTTCACTGTGAGCTTCTGACGGAAGCTTTGCACACTGAGCTCGAATGTCCGATTCTCCCAGTCTGTCTTGTATGACATGAACGGACTGAGTCCTGCAAGACGAACTGCAAACGGAGGTCGAAAGTCGACGTTGAGATTTTTGCTTCGATAACCGAGGAGGAAAGCTTCCATACCCAGAATCTGGCCTCCAACGCAGCAGAAGCCCCTGTCTCCATTGCGCGCTTGAAGCCACATGTGCGCAGATGGGAAACTGTTAGCCCAATTCTTTTCTTCGTGGAGCATGGCCGTTCCTGATCTGTCTACGGAAGGAAGATCGTATTCCGGTATTTGCAAATCGAGAGCGCATTTAGAAGCCAAAGATTGCACATGCCAGTGCAGAGGTAAAGGAAGGTAGACAAGCAGACTCTCTGGTGTGTACGTCCGAGGCGACCACGGGGTTCCGGGGTTGGCTTTGGCTTTTATTGTGAAATCTGGATGCTTCAACCTATATTCTGTCGAGCCGTCTTCGCTCCATCTAGCGAAGCCCATACCCGGAACGTTCAGATTGAAACTATGACCATTTGCATCGCGCTTCATGTCTATCTTATCAACCCACACTTCCTTCTGGTATATCTCCGATGTGGCAGAGTCTTGCGGCACGTAGGTAAAAGATACCATATATGGCCTTCTTTTCGCACCACGCACTTCGCATATTATTAACGCCAAGTGTGCTCCGGATGGCAGGTCGAACTTGCTATAGTGACCTTCAAACGCCGCCGATGGATGGGGTGCATGATGTTCCATGGCGCTCGATGTCTGTATCTGAGGTGATGGGCTCTTAAGGGTCACTCAATTCGTAAATCAAATTTGTTATGCGAGATTGAGTCCCTAAATCACAATGACGACATTGATGTTGGTGCCGCGTGGTCACTACGCGCAACCACTGACGGCCTAGATTTAACACCACTGAATTGCAGCTGCATCACTACCTAGACTAGCCCATATGTAGAGTCTTCTCGGATTTCTCGAGCGCATTGCGGCGGCTCGAATTCGTGGCTGATCATCTGGCATTTGCTTCAACATCCAGAGCTGATCGTGAGAGAAATACTCAGCATGCGGTGATATTAGTATGTCGAGTCCTTTTCAGCGAGGGTCACCTTTGGCACCTCTGAAGCCCCTACACAAGCTCTGACGGGAGATTTAAACCTCACGCCCCTCTTCCAGCTCGGTCACAAACAATAATACAATTCATTGCTCTATTCCTATTACCTCTTCGCTCACGTATTTTACATGCTTCTAGTGACAGGTTGCACCTCACTTTATACTTTGCTTACTGCTACTGTGGCAACGAATGTATACCCTGAGATTACCATCGTTCTATTGACGGTGGGCCCACTGTTTTTGAATGTCACAGCTACAGCTTAGGCGATGGGGCAATCAATATTTAGCGACGCTGGCACTGCGACAGCAAAACTCGGCGTGTTTGACACTCAAGCTTTTTAACAAATCCATATTCATTGGTTGCGCACATAAGGCATATAATTATGAATGAATGTTTGTGAGTGGCTTATATGATGTCGTAAGGAGGCTGCAGATCCAATAAATTATCAAGCCAGGCAAGTCGCAATCCGCACGACTCTGAACGGACGAACTGATGGCTTATGAGCGCGACATCCTGTCCGGCCAAAGAGCTCCCAATCAATCGAACGTAGATATGCCTGGTCAGAGCTCTGCATCCAGCAAGATCCGGGCATGGCGGGCGAAAGTGAAGGAAGTCGTTAGCGAAACCAAGCCAATATCCAGCTGGCGAAGTCATTTCTTACACTCGAGAATCACATTACCAAAGACATTTCCGATGTTAGTCTGTTTCTTTGAAGTCGCGCATGTAACCAAAGTGCGCCGCGGTCCGCAGTTATGCTCAGAGGAGCAGAAGTATCTCATAGCTAAGAAGCTATATGTGCGTGAACCATTTTGCAAGATACATAGGTGTAGAGCCTAGTGATGTTCACCCAGACGACGTGCCAGTGGTTGGGTTTGGCGGTTCTGGTGGTGGGTATAGAGCGATGCTGGGATTCTTAGACTACGCACAGGCATTGCAACAGATTGGACTATGGAACCTTGTGACGTACATCGCTGGCGTATCTGGATCGTGTTGGACATCGGGGTCTTTGTATACCTTTGCCGAGGCAAGCGTAGAGAGACTGATCGAGCATTGTAAGAAGCGATTGTCACCACACCATCCTCTGTCTCCGGACGGCATTCAGCTGCTCCTCAGCACTTTCCGCGGGGACTTCCAAACGTTGGGTCCATTTTTACAGAACACAGAAGTGGCTTGCATACTGTGGCGATGGACTATATTCCGTGTTTACAACGGGCTACCTCTTCATGCAAAACGACCCAATATTGGAATCAGGAAGGCCTGGACATGATGAAGTTTCGGATTACCGTAAAAGTTGGTGGAAGTGGTCTCATGCCCGAAAGCATTTAGCAAATGGAGCAGCACCGCTTCCTTTGCTGACATCCATTCGATATGAGAGGCCGTAGAGTGATCTTGAGCACTCATTTCGGGAAGCAGACCACAATGACAAAGAAAATCGAGAAGCAGGTGATGCATGGTTCCAATGGTTCGAGATGAGTCCATATGAGGTCGAATTTGAGGAGATCGAAGTGATAAGACGTATTCGCATACATGAGAATTGATATGAACCCATTACTAATGTTCTTTGCGTTACAGTGGTGCCCGACCTGCGGATTCGGACGACCATTTGAAGCAGGACAATCTAAGAACAGCTGCCAGAGCAGTCATTGGCCTTGTTGCTGGGTTTGTGCACAAATGCCCCAGCTGGGCCGTTATCAACCTATCTTGCAACCATACAGCGAAATCTGCCGAGTGGTTTTCTTGTTGATTCTGTAAAAAGAAAAATCTTCTGGCGTTGTAAAGCTGTACGGAGAACATCAAATATTAGTCTTCCAAAATTCCCATCCTCTACATGCCTGTAACGAACACAACTTTTTGTACCATTACACACCTGTGGCGAAAGGGACCGTCAGGTCAACTGGAATCAAAAGCTCTTCTAGGGCACATCTCATCGACTCTGGGATGGATAATAACTGTCCGACTATGTCCCTTCTCAATCCCGCACGGAGTGTCGACATCATTCTCAACATAGATGCATCTTCCGACGTTCAGAAAGATAGTTTCCAACAACGTGTTTCCCAGATTGGTTTTCGCAGGCGTTTAGATCTCTGGAGGCGAAAAGATATCAGAGCAGGAAACGACTTAGCAGACCCTGATCGTTTCAAAGGATTGTACACACAGATATATGACTGCGTACTGATAGAGCGGCCGGAGACTGTGGTTGATTCTTACAAGCGACTCATCCGAAACCCACCAGCAGCTATTACGAATCAGGAGTGCACTATGAATACCTACCACTATTACCCAATAAGCATGCAGCTCCGGGCTATGATCCCAGCACCGCTGAGTTCTCTGGCTCTTACAACCTTGTCTGAACTCCGGAGCAAATAGAGACAATCATCAAGACTTGTCGCCATCTTCCTTGACGGCGAGGAGACGATAAAGGAATCGTTGTTTGATGCGTGGCAGAGGAAAGCGTCGCTGGGACAGCAGCGGCATGCCAAGGGAATGCAGCGCCGCATGGCTTATATGGGGATTTAATCCGTTGTAAGCGTACCAGGCTCACTGCAATAGGGTCGTCTGACGTGAGTTCACATAGAGAAGCAGGTTCTTTCGGGGAATTTATTATAATTCTATCAACCAATGGATCATGGAATATAAAATGGTTACATCCCCCATTTGAAGCTTGATTTTCCGTTTGGTCCAATCATCGCCTCTATGCGAACCCAGGCAACTGCAGCAGTAGCAGCGAAAAGGAGTACACTAACTAAAACAGCCATGCGAACATACGCTTGGGGTCCAGTCTCTATCATCGAGCCGCTGCGTATCAGAGCACCTCCAATGGGTGTACCAACCAATGTGGCCAAGCCACATACCATGTAAAGCACCCCATTTACAGAAGCAAAATTTTGGATACCGAATATCTCGATCAAGCTGGCAGGGAATAATGACACATATACGCTAGCAAATAGGCCATAGGTGACGGCGAAGGCGATGAATAGGCTCCACGAGTCGCCTGTATCACCATAATAAGTGGAAGGAATCCAGAACGCAACAGTAATGCACGCGCTCATCAGCGTCGTTAACAAGAGACTGTTGAGTCGGCCCAATCGATCAGCAAAGTAACCAATCACGATCTTCCCAATCGCATTGCAGGCGTTGCTGAGCGCTGTGAAATTGGCCCCTGCCGTGCTACTGTAGCCAAGAGTACTGGCATACGAGGGGAAGAAGAAGACGGGCGTATAATAGGCAGCAGCTTGGAACATCGTACCGAGACCTTGTGCAGCGAATTTGCGTGTCCCGGCTACACGCCAGTCAACCAGCGGAACCTGAAGAATCCCATCGAGCCTCCCAGTACGTGATGCGTTCTCGGCCTGAATGCGAAGGTGCGATTTTGGATCCCAATCCATTGTAGCACTCGCTGCACTGACGAAAACGAAGGATACAACACCGGATATTCTGAGCGCGTTACGGAAACCAACGGCGTCGAGGAGAGCCCTGACTACCGGCGCCCACACAACACCTCCCACGCCAGTCCCGGCCAGAATGACCCCCATCGCGAGGCCTCGGCGTGCCGTGAACCATGCCGGCGCGACTGTCACGGCGACCATGTAAGGCATGCAAGTGCCTATGCCTAACGTTCAACCCTTACTCAAAATGAAGTGCCAAAGAACAGTGCCAAAACTCGCCAAAACAAGCGAAAGCCCGAAAATGCTACCGCCAATGAACGAGATCCAGCATGGTGAGAAGCGCTTGGCCCAACTGACTGAGAACAGTGCGCCGATCGTCATCAATGAAATTGAGATGGTGCCGATGAGGTCGATCTGGGCAGGAGATGCTCCGGTGAACGGTGTGTGCGGCTGCTTTGCCATTTCGTCGTACAGCGCCTGGAAGATACCGAAGGCGAAATTGAGGCCGCAGCAGGTAAACACCATGGCAAATGACGATGCCACAATCAAGATAGACTTCCTATATCGGGCTAAGAGGATTGCCAAGGCTCTACAGTTCGATGATGGTCTAAGCAAGCAATATTTTGCAATGGAAGAACAGCACATACCAGTTCGACGCCTGCAAGTCAGCGGATTGCTGCGAAGCAACCAGGTAAGTCGCGAATCTCGAACCTGGGCTTGCCATCTCAATCTCTGGATTGTTTCCTGCAGGACTTGGGCTTCGAGGTTCCATGATACCTGACATATTGCGAGTGAAGTTCCACCTGACAGTGCTATTGATGCATCATCAGCAACTGAGATGTTTACAATATTGAGAAATAAGGTGATCCCAAGCGCTCCGGCGCCGTCAGAGTTGTCTCTGGCTTCAGACGACTGGCCATTATCGGTACTAGATGACACATTCTGTGCTATCTGACTATATTCCGGGTATACCGGTATGGTCGGAAATGGTTGCAAACATTCAAGTTTCCCTCAGTTGGTATCTCCTATGATGGTGGGGGAACAATACTGACGTTCTCTGTGGTTTGAGAACCTCATACTGGCGGCATCTGGCGCTGAGAGCCGGGCGCGGGCGTTCACATTCAATGTGTGAAAGCGCGTTTCGTTCCCACTTCTACGGTGTCGACACGGTGCCCGTTAAATGCAAGCGACGGTTTTTCAACCAATGCAGCCTTTTATCGGAGCAATTGTGCATGTAGGTCAATTCAAGTATCGGCAGTCATTCTGGGCTTAGAAGTTTCGACATGAGCTTGGTTCCTTACCCGCCGTTGCAGAATTACCACTGACCATCGACAACAAGGACCGCTAAAGACCGCGCTGGAACAGTCACTGCCAGACTGGTCCCTTCGATCTCGACCAGTGTCGCGTCCTCTGCCAGATCATAATCGTTGTTGACTAAATATGCGGTTGCGCTATTGATTTGCATGATGGTGTCAACCACTACAGGTACCGCTGCTGTCTCGTCCGCATTGTTAATGATCTGCAAAGCCAGATTACCGCCTGCCGCGAAACCTTCCGCGGCAGTAAAAGCGGCAACAGTTACGTTCGATACTGTAGAGCTGGCATGTACTCTCTCAGACCCCGGACGCGCATAACGACCGAAGGCAGCATAAGCGTAGTAGCGCTTGGAGACGATATTTGTGTCGTTAATCGTCCGAATCAACGGCGTTGCAGCGCTTCTCAGTGTTAGCACATGTGAAAGACAGTTTGGTCTGTGAGCTCTTATGTCTACTTACTTTGATGGCTGTGCGCCCATCCAGTTGATGAAGGCAGAGACATTAGCGACCGTGAAGCCCTGTAGAATCCGGTTCGCCCAAGTCAAACCTTCACCTCCACCATAAGTACCACGAGCTGTGGCACATGCAAGTCAGCAATCATAGAATGGCAGTTGGGGTTTTCCAGAAGAACAGAAAGCGGTGATTACTTACTATCTCCCTCGACCGAATACCACGGTTGGTCGAAGTAAGACGATAATTCAGCCCACTCTGTTTGCCAGACCTCCTTCTCGGTATCAAACGGGTCTCCGAGAGGTTGACCATAGCCATGTGAGGAAATCACATCTGTAAAGGCCTCACCTCCGGCCTCTTGCATCTCAGCAAGAATGCCTCGTCCGTTCTCCCATCCTGCCCAGTCACAGCATGTAATCTTGACACTGGTCAAACCGGCCTCTTCCACTGCGGGCTTCAGGACAGCCAACATATCACTAGTCTGATAGCCATCCGCTTGCATTGAAGCATATGGCACAGAGATGTCAGGCTCATTCAGTGGCCCTAGATGCGTGATATTGATGCCCTCTTCAGCATAGTATTTGACCCACTGTACCAGCTTATCAGCGTATTGCTGCCTCCAGTCTCCAGTTACGCAATCAGTGCCATTCACACCACAGAGATGGCCACCATTGTCTGTGCTATTATTGTCCTTCATGTAATAATCTGCACCCCACGAGTTACCATAGAAGAGATTAACGCCACGCTTCTGTACCTCCTTTGCCCACCAGACCTGGCTACTGTCGTTGCGATCCCAAACATATGACGCAGAATTTTCAGGCAGACCTGGTGAAACTGGCTCAATTGAGGTCATATGGTCGCCTGTATTGTTGGGTGATGAGCCGATGCCGATACGCAGGATGGAGAGTCCCGCTCCAGTGACTGGGTCATGAAGTAAGTCGAACATCTCCTGCTGGCGCACAGACGACATGGTGTTGTAGACCCATTGCGCTCGCTGAAATGCCTCTGAATAGCCAAGGCCTCTGATAGTTTGAAACGTTTGACTCACGTCGACAGTGATATTGGACGATGAGAGTAACAACGACGACAGCAATGCTGACGATGCGCCCTGTGCCAGACCGGCAAGAACAGAGGTAAAGAGCGAAAGCCTCATCGTGATGTATCAAGTTTGTAACAACTGGATCGAATTACAACCGTTTACTGTGACTGCAGAGGTTATTGTACCTTCTTAACCTTTGAGGTGTGGGAGCTGGTCCCGCTGCCGACACAGCCATCCTGGTCATATCTCCGAGCATGGTGGAGAGCCTTGAAATGAAGAAGCTATCAACCTTCCTGCAGGCCACTGTCGAATTGCGTGCAAGGTAATGTAACTGAAGAGAGTGGGAACACTGTGTGTGCCTATGTTCATGAGTCGCCAGTGTCTCCACGCGAAAGCATCCTAGGCGCCTTATAGTTACTGGCCTCCTCGCATAGACTTAGGACGGAAATCACTGAAAGCATTCGCACTACCTGGAAACACTGACTTTCATCCACCGCGGGGATTGCTGGGGAAATTGGGATGCACTGACGCACTACGATGTATCAGGTAGTCACTGGATCATGGGCAAGGTCGCCGGGAGTTGGTGGGGAAAGTTGAAGTGGGATCGGCTCACATGCTTTGTCCTAACTAAACTTTAATTTATTCCCATTCAATCTACGGAGTAGCCTCGACTAGACCGGTTTCTAATATAGATTGAGCATTAGCCAATCACGACTTTCGTGTCTACATATAAGATCGGTGCCTCTGCCAACTCAAATCTGGCATGTAAGCGCACTAAAGCACCATGCGCCAGTCTACACAAGATACGTTATTAGTGCTCGTTGAACAGCATGCCGTTTTGAGCATACGCCTGAGAAACCTTTTCGAGAATATTGTTGTAGTGATATTGATGAAATTTCTTGTTTGCGGTTCTGCTTGCTCTTCTTTCCTGGGGAAAGAAAATCTTAATTCGTGGTGCCATAAGACGGGAATATAAGGTGCAAAGTTCAAATCTAGTTACGCTCATTCGTCATTTATATATAGGACTTCCACGCACCGAATAGTCCCAGTATAGAGACCGCGACGATATAACTGCACGGACATAGACAATACAGAGATGTCCCGAATGAGGCGTCTCTATCCACTCTTGCATCTATGTATGGACCATCATCCAGTCTGTTTATCTTGGTACACCAGTCTGCGCAGCTGAGTGGGCGTTGGACGATAATGCCGTTGCCGGTCATCGTGCTGGCCGGCGCCTCCGACTTGCACGTCGCCTGATGTGATCAGGCTTGGGCCAAGACCGGGCATATCTACGTAATCAATTTTAGATAGTTTTGCGCAATGAACACGACTATAAATAGCAAGCGACCTGGTTTAGATCAACTCAGCTTCGAAACGAATATGCAAGTCGGATATTCCCATCCTGCCCGTCCCTGGATCCACGATGGCGAAGTATCTGAGCATAGTCTCTCCACAGCCGTCCTCGTGCATGTTTCCCTTTGGTCTAGGTTGGTGGGCTGATGCGGGAAATGGTACAACATACCCATGTAGATAATGGCCACACCAGGGAGAAATGCCATGAGTAGGTAAGCCGTAGAATTTACTTTAACGGCTTTCCATGTCCTGTCCCCAGTGATCTGGTATATAAGCGGGTGCGCGGTGCGTATCGCCAACAGCGGTAGGCATACGGCAACGCTAATGATGCTCAGCCTTTCGTCGCGGTGGGAACCTATTCCTGGTACAAGAGAAATACCAGAATATATACACGAAAATAAAGTATAGACTAACGAAGAGAGCCGAAACTGGGCTGAGTATATTTAGTGGGAGCGAGACCATGCTCACTCTTTGACGCAGCAACGGTTTCTGCTCGCTGTTCCTATACTCGGACTAGGGTATCGCGGTTGGTCATTACGCCATCATGTCACTCTCAATAATATTTCACTGCCGCCCGCCCTATATTTCTAGTTGATTGGCTGAAACTCTCATCATACTCAAATTTACGGGCCAAATAAGTATTCTGATTTCAAGAAGCTACTTTCGCATCTCCAAGCGGCAGGAAAAATCCTATGGTGGCCGAAAAAGCAATTGGCAAAAATTGAACATAGTGCCCAAGCACAGTAATGCAAGTAGCAAGTTGATCCTTCCGAGAATCTCGCAAACCTGATCTACTCAGTCTTACAGTGAAGCATCCCTTGAACAAAGTGACACAGATGGTAGTATCATTATCCACAAGAGTTCAACAATGCTCCAGTTCTGTCAGGCCCAACTCGAAGCATGAATTGATCCTAGAGCCGCCCCGTAAAAGAGTTCTCCGGAACTTGGCTTTGTATAGGAACAACTGTTTTGTAATAGAAACAAATGCCCATGTTGGTCTCATCAGAATTTAGAACCACATGCCTCTCAACTTGCGCACACACCACCGACAAATACTGCAACAGCTGCACGTTTGAACAGCCACGATATGTCACAACACATTTAAGCCCAACCCGTCCCCTGACCCTAAGATGACACGACACTACACTCCACAACCGCTCAAGCATACACTTGAAATCGAGCTGTCCCAGTCCCCTAAGCCTCCACTGCACGCCCCGCCAAAAGGGGTGCCGGGACGCCCGCGTATTCGAGCAGCACATCCTCTCCGAAGCATACATTTGACGACTTGAGAACCCAGACGCCGGACAGTTCATCTGCGAATCCTCCCACCGGTTTCAGTCTGAGTCTCTGATGCGACTGCGTCTCCCTTCTCCTCGTCCTCGTCGTCTTCTTTCCCAGCAGCAGCAGCCCGGGCGTGGGCCTTCCGAACCTCCTTCATCTTCCCATCCACCTCCCCGGCCGCCGCCAACCTCTTGCCGTGCGCCCCGGATCCGTCCGCGTGTGTCATGTACAGGCCGTCCCCCCAATCCTAGACACGGCACAGACCCTGTCCTCCCAGCCAGCGGACGAACCCCGCCAGCGAGCCCCAGTGTGTTGCGCTCATCGGCACGTGGTGCGGGCCGGCGCTGTATGTCTGGAAACAGCGGTTGGCACTGACCCGCTCCCCTGGTGGCACAGGTATGAGTCCAGCCCCCTCGGACTGTCGCGGAAGCGTCGCGCTCACTCTGAGCTCGAAGCCGTGGGCGGACCACGAGGCGGGAAGGGGGGCGGCTGATTGGGCCACGTGTTTAAACGAAACAAGGCAAACGTCAAGGAGCGACAAAAGAGATCCGAACTGCCCCCTTGAAGGGAACAGGGAAGCCAAGCGGAGATAGGGGTATGAAGTAGATATCACAGCGCCTGGGAGTGCCTTGACGTGGTCGCCGGTTTAGGCCCGGGAAAAGCGGCGTTGTGAACGGCGGCACAAACGAGCGCAGTGCTTCCGGATCAAGCCAACAGGCGTGATGGCAGCTGAGGGCCACTGGCCCAAGATTCGTAACGACTTTCGTGGGATTCGCCTCCGCAGCGTCATTATGTACTCAAAGGACACGAGGGCGGGGAATGAAGCACGTTGAAATAAGATGGAACCTAGTTTCGCGTCACGAACCATCGGCGAGTTTCAAGGCGATAGAGAATAAACGAACAGAACGAGACAATGCTTCTCAACCAACAATATCGCATAAAACGTCTTGCTACCGATTAGAACATAAACGAACGCTGTGAACCAGAATTAGAGTCTGTAGGCAATAGAGGCCCCTTGAGTGCTAATGTAACGTTCCAAAGAAACATCTTTTTATGTGTTAGCCCAGTGATTAACGTCAATATTCCAAATATAAGCCCAGAAGGAAATTAAATAATTGAAATCATAATGAGAAATTCTCTCGAAGGTTTCCAGCCATCAAGGATGGAATGAACTGCTACACGAACTACATAAGCGTCGTCGTCTAATCCGACACGTATCGAATCATCTATACTTTTCTTTACAATCGTGATGACATGAAATCTGGGTATATGAACACATACGCCGTAAAACAAAATAGCTGATACACAGCTTCCTCCTCTACACACCCCTGAACATGCGGACAATCAGGAACCACAGAGCGCCAATGAACTTGAAGCCACTCAATATGGCCACACTCCAGAGGACAACCGTCATGTAGGTCGAAGCCCTAGCATCGGCATCGTCTTCAGCGTTAGTCGTCAAGTTCTCGAGACCCGCCGTACTGAGAACAACAGCACACAGGCCGAAGTTGGAGATCATCCAGATGAGGACGACTAGTGACCGAATCCATCTGTAGTAATCCAGCTGTGCCTCGGCAATTTGAGTTTCGGTGGGTGCTTTCTTGGCGACAACATGCTTCTTGCCAAAGACAGCAAGCTCACGCTCGTAGGCTGCGTTCAAGTCACCCTCATCCGGCAAGTCGGTCTTACCCTTGCCATCCTTGGTATCAACAGTCGGCAGCGATTCGGGCTTATCGTCACCCTTTGTACCCCATGAGATATCATGCGTATTGCAAAAGGCATAGACATTGAGGACGTTGGTATAAGTTGGTGTTAAAAGCAGGTACTGCAAAAAGGAGGTGATCATGTGCCACGGGTCAAACATCATCAACGACGCGATCAGCCATAATCCGTACGTCGACAGCGTGGATACGATGAGCGAAGAAAACACCTTGTTCTTAAACAGGTCGCTGATATTGAAGCCGGTTGCGATCTGTGCCTGCACTGCTTTTACGGCAATGAAGACAGCCGCGAAAGTAAGGTATCTAGGACTTGTTAGCACGGGACCGTCGGGCAGGGACAAGTAAAATGAGGTGCCTACATCATGATCACACACCAGAAGAGCACCATGGCTGTGTAAAGCTTGCCAGAACCAGCGGGCCGGTTGCCGAGCGAGAGGACGAAGCAGGAAATCAAAGAGATACCGTAGAACCACTCGAAGACAACACCAAGAATGTCGCCCACGTTTCCAAGCAAATCATCGCCGCCCAGACTGGTCGTTAAAATCTTGAACACCAGGAAGAAGTTGCCAATAGCGAACCAGGCGAAAACCATGTTGACGGTCTGGAAGATGAATTCGATGAAGAACATGATCTTGCGCATAAATGAGTGGTCGGATCGGAAGAACTCGTAAAAGTGTGCAATGGCATAGATAGCAGCGAAGAAGGAACCGTTCAGCCAACGACGACGCTGGAGAACCAATTCGGTCACAGTATCGGGCACATCAGTCTCACCAGTCGCAGACTTGACGTACTGCAAGATCCAATGGCAGTTGCGCTTCGTAACCAACTCGAAACAAAGGATACGATCCTCGGCCAGATACATGTTGGAAGTGAAGACACCAGCGCCAGTGCCGTGGAGCGTTTCACCCAAGAAGTACTTCTGCAGTGGTCCTTGACCATTCTTGTCGTTCTGGAGGGCGACATATCTGTAGGCCGAGAAAGCACCAGGCAAGACGGAAATGAAGCCGAATGCTGACTCGAGAGGTTTATCAAGAATGTTACTCATCTTGTACTCGAAGTTCTGCGTGGCGACCAGGGGGTTCAAGAGGTGCCTGCCTCCAGTTCCCAACATAGCTTTGATCTCACCACAAGCTCCAGCACACATTGGCTCCAGGTCGAAAGCCTTCCAAAGGTGGTAAATAGAATTGCCTCCGGGCCGTGTACCGGCGTCGATGAGGACACAGATGTTGGGGTTCAGGACTTTCCCGAAAGCCTGGAAGAACCATCTGTGGGAGTTGATCTTCTTCTGATTCTTTTCCTTCAAGCAGAAGAGCATCTGAACGGGCTGCTTCTTAGGAATGAGCTGGACAACGTCGTTCTTGATGGTCATGCCAACTTGTGTAGTATACTCATATATGTGCGCCGTCACGTCCTTTCCGTTAACCTGTTGCTTGGCGATGCCGTCCTGATAGACGCCCATACCGGCCAGAAGAGCTCTCGTCCGGGGGTTAATCTTAGCACGACCGTCGCTAACAACACAAACAACGATCTTTTTCCAGGCATCAGGGCCCCAGGTTTTGCTTTCCTTCCGGCTGCACATGTACTCAACATTCTTGAGCACGCCGATCATGGTTCGCGCAAAGAGGATGTCGTCCTCGTTGTACATGGTGACGACAATGAAAAGCTCGGTATGGCGGGGTTTACTAAAGAGCTTTTGGCGCAATGTGAAATTCTCTTCAAAGAAATAATCGGGGTCGCAGGTGGCAGCTGTGTATCGCATATGCGTGAACTCGTCCCTCTCACCGTGCGGTAGTTGGTTCAAGAGCCTCGGAGGGATGGGACAGTCGAGCACCAAGTTGCCTCTGTACAGCAGCACCTGCTTGACGGTTTTCCACCTCTTGAGCGCAGCAGGATTCTGTGGCTGCGGGGCATCTTGGTATGGATCTTGCGGCTGGGCTGAAGCGTAAGAGTCATTCTGTTGAAGCATGGGGCGCGAGTCGTCCAGCTGGTAGCCCTGATGCTCTTCGTAGGGTGTTATGCCCGTGGGCGCCGGTTCGTAGGGCTGGTTATAGTAGGCATCGTGATGTTGCTCTGGGTTGAGACCATACTCTGCACCTCCTTGGGGTGCTGGGGTGCTGTAGGGACTCTGTGAGGTGTCGAACGAGTGGGCAGCGTTCAGCGGCAAGCGATCGCCAGGCGTAGATCTTCCGTAGTCAGCGGCATATCCGCCGGGAATATCTAGGTTCGAATACGAAGCTCCAGCATATGAGGCACCGACGTGGCCAGCACTTGGCATGTCGAGATTTGAATGCGACTGAACGGGGTGCTGGCCATATGGGACGTCGTCAAGCTGGTAGCCATGCTGTAGGGGGTGGCCGGGCGAGGGCGTTCGGCGCGGGGCGCCAGTTCTATGGTTGTCCATGGTTGGATCGTAGTAGTCGTCGTCTGTATGAGGATTGTTAGATTTGGATGACCAGTGGGATGATACGATGCAGATATAAGGCTGCCAGCGCCACTAGACTATTGTAGCTTTATGTGCCTGATGTTGGAAGGAAGGACGAGCACAACTGAGGACCAAGGCTACTACGAGAGGGATATTGATAAATAGGGAAGTGTGATGCGCTGAACAAGTAGCAAATAGCAAGCAGGACGACTTCAGGCCACCTAGTGTGGCAGTGACTTGCCGGACATGGAATGGGAGGAGGACGAAAGGGTTGAAACTTGCCTATCCGATTATACGCCATGGTTTCTGGTACTGCTACCCACACAAGGGGGTGAGGGGCAGAGAGAGGTGCGAGGGTGGATGGATGGGACGAGTGCTGGTGTTGGATAGAGTTGTTGGGCTGGGCGCTATATTCTGAGACCTCTAGTGCCGAAATGCGGAAGAGCGATGATCAGTCGTTGGAATGTGAGTGTGATGTGGGTGTGGAAGACACGGCAATGGGTGGAATGAAGGCCGGCTGTTACCCCTAGGAGGGATGGTTACGAGTGAGGATGAGACGATTCGCCTGTGTAGGGAGACAGTATATGGGCAGTGAACTATAGCCTTGGTTGGAGCTTTGACGCTTTTGTTGACAGATGCGCCAAGACAGGATAAGACCAGGCAAGTCAACAACCGGCGACTGCGAGCTAAGCTACAATAATTGGACAGGATGGGGGAATGGTCGTCGTCCGTTGTTGACGCTCTGTGCCGGCGCAAATACAATCACAGGATCAGCCTGGCGACTCTCGGTGGGCGGGGGAGGGCTTGGGCTTTGGCTTTGGCTTTGGCTTTGGCTTTGGCTTAGACTTTGGCTCTCACTCTGGCTCTGGCTTCGGGGTGAGGCAGCAGCAGAAGCGAGATTGGATTGAATTGGCAGAAATGGGAATGCGGCAAGAAAGTCCAAGCCGACTCGACGTTGGCGGTTTCACGCTGATCAAGTCCGGCGCAGGATCAAGCAGGGATCGCCTCGCAAAGACGGACGCAGCATGGCTATGTAAATCACAGGACTGCAAGCACAAGACGTCGTGTTTCAGATCAACAAAGCGGGCGCAGCAACCAAAGTGGGACACCCGTGGCACGCCTGTGGGACGCTGCAGGTCTTCCGAAAGATGCCACTAAACTCTCCATAGATTAGCGGGCACCCGCGCTGGGCAACTGGAGACCAACTGGAGGGCAACTGAGTCTCTAGTGCCCTGGTCCAGCATAGCAACACCCGATGCTGTACCTCTGTAACCTAGGTTAGTGGAAAACGGATAAATGGACCCTCAACTTGCGACCAGCCAACCTTGAATTTCGCCCATTTCAAAGCCCGCTGACGTCGTCATCCTCCTGCATCTGCAGCAAGACAACAACCCTCATTGGCTCCCCCCATCGTGTCCATCTTGTTTAAGCTTACCATTGACTGCGCAATCATCATGCACACTTCCTTGACCTAAAAGTTAGTTTAAGGTATTTGGCTTGTGCAAGCAAGCGCGGCATCATCATTCCTGCCAGCTTCAATCGATGTGCCAAGCAAAGAAAGCAGCTTGCTTACTGTGCCCTCAGCCTGATTGATGATGCGGCATCTTGTAGTACTGTGTAGTATACGGAGTAGCTCGATTGAAATTCTCCGAGACAGTCTGACGCTAAGCAATTACCAAGCACACATTCTGCCATTCATTCCAGCGATGCAGCCTATGCCGAGTCAGGTATTTCCCATGGAACAATATATCGAAACACTTTCCGTGGCCTACCAACTCGTCTTACCTGGACCAGTCACGAAGACAAGAGAAGCGCGTCAGGATTGTTCATGTATTTGCCGTCCTTTCCGAATGCAGATCTGCCTCGGGATGCTAGCACCGGCAGCCAAGACAAAGACCCCTCCCATGCCAGCTCCGAAAATAGAAACAGTCAAAACCTTGTGGCTGCCACGCAATACACTTGCCACAGAACTGCCGCTCAGCCACACACCCCACGCCATCGATGGCGGATAAACAGGACCTGTTCGAGCTGAAAGCAGCACTATGCTCGTATAGTCGAAGAAATGCCACTTGCACACGCGCTGCTATGATCCGTTTTTCTCTTGTTAGCCCATGCCAGGACATGCAGCCATAAATGTCCTTTGGAGTGCCGGCCTTCAATGAGCCTTCGTGGATGCGTCCATCTACCCACCACCGTCACTTGTGGTGGCATATACTGAAGTCTGAGGGGAGACCAATCTATACACCAGAAAGAGCTCCACGTGACGCTGTCTAATCATGCAAGCGAGTAAGTTTAGAATGAGTTATTTACTTATTTTTCAATTCCCTTGGACCAGGAGAAGCCTGGGAGTAATATAGTCTGTTAGACAGAGTGTAAGGATCCGAAGATGTCCGTGGATTAGTTGATGTAGGGGTCTTATCCAGCCAGATGACATTAACGCCGTGACCTCCCCACCATAATGTATTAGTTGCAATTCAGTATTTTAACGTCATTCACAAAATATCACTGTTACATATAAATATTAACACGTTGGAATTACAATGTGGAATGCCTTCGAATTGAAGATACGGTCAGCAAGATGCCCAGTCGACATAACGCGATCACTCCCTTTTTTTCTTCTTCTCCCACTTCTTGCTTTCATTGGCTCCATTTCGCTATCATTATCGAATATTCCCCTTTTACCCAGACAAGCTCATGTTAATCTTGCTGCGACATATTCTTCCCAGGATAGACAACCCCCGCCCCTCCCTTAAGTAATGTAACGCTTTTGAATGAGACAGCAAGTTCCTGAACAATCCAGATTCTTGAAACGTATCGGCGCTGTTCGCAATTGAATGAAAACCCCAAACAAGTGAAATTGTTGATAAACTTGCTGTATGCTTGGATGCCCCAAAATACGACGACCAAGATCACGCAAGGAAACATCAAGCTAATCAACGAATCAAATATCGGCCGGAATCAGATGGTTGTGTCTTTAACGGTCCAACTCCAAAACGGCAGCGGCTCGTCTGCTGTTACGCTCCAGCTTCCGAAAAGACCTCAGCAGGCGAATATGTTGGAAACAGTCATTCTTGCTGAAATGGATGCCACTCATCGCCATGTTCTCAAAGTGGTGAGCAGGCTATCGAAGGAAGTTTCGTAATTGCTTTGTGTTGAAGTATGGCAACAGCGATAGCAACAAGGAGAAATCAATTAGGTACGACATGATGCTGGCCATGAATAGCGCCGTCGCAGGTGTCATCGAAGAGGACTCCCGGTTTGCGGTAGCGATCACTGCATTCAGTGGAAATTACCTGGCGGAGACGCCTTGGCTTCTGTTCGTAAGACACCTTCCGCATAATCTGGTCCCAGGAGATTTACCCGAGTATATTAGAGTAATTTGATTCCGCGCGGGGGTGTGGGGTGGCTTAAGAAGAGCCGCAGGGTGTTCAACCGCGGATTGAGAAATGGCTTGAAGTTCACCGATTTACCGACAACCAAAATTCTGTCCTACATAAGTAGTGGTTGAACAGATGGCTTTTCTGTTCATGCCGACGATGTACGGAAATCTACGCATTACCATCCGCTGCGAGTGTTAATGATGATGGGATAATGTAATGTAGTCTCTTCTCCGGAAATGAAAGTTGCCAATCTATCAGGTTGCTGGTTGACCTGTGTCGGGCTGACTAATACGACGGCATACCGCGTTAGATATCTATTACGCCTAATTGTCTGGTATGCAAACATTCCTTCGGTTGCTGGAGCCTAGTCGTGCACCGCCGGAGGTCCAAAGCGACAGCAGGTAGATGGAAGATTGGAAGTTCCCGCCCCATGAAAAGATAAGAGACTCGCAGCTTAAGTCTGAACAAAACCTCTAGCTGTATGCGTTCAATGAGCGGTGGAATCTGGCTGAGAAGTATAGTGTTACTTAGTTCACGGATACTATCCGTCGCATTCACGATTTGATCAAGGCGATCTTGATGTCTGGCATCAGTGCTGGAGTGCTTAACTCTATGCTTTTTAAAGGCTACTTCGGCGAATTATTGACTAAGGTGTGAGGGCAAGTACGCGGCGAATAAAACTCGTCCTCTAATTCTCTTTTGCCAAGTTCACTGTTGTTCCAAACGCACGGATCGCCTAGCCACATGGATTATCCAGAATAGCTGCAGCAGAGGGTTGAAAGTGCTCGAGACCTATTCAACTTGGCAAGAAACACAAAGAATTGAAATTCCAATATGATGAACACATGTTTATTCAGATGTCCTAAACGCAAATAGCGAGAGCGATGTGACAGACTTGCAGCAATAGGGAATCGAATGGGATATGGTCTAACCACCTGAAGAATGGTTACAAGGAAATGCAGTGTCCACAGACATAGTCGCAAAGTCATGGTCTTGGCCAGTGTACGATGATTTCCCGCATCATAATATAGACCCTCGTCAATAAACCTGTTTCAGTCAAGATGGCATGCTGATTGGTTCAATCGATAATGCCGACGGTTACTTATCGAACAGTAATATAGCTCAGCCTGCTATCGGTAGTCAAGCAATCGTTTTCTTAGCGCTATATGGTTATTTTGACCTTGGGTCGTCCCATTCTTTGTCAGCTCCAACGAGCTGCCATTTGCAGAGCGAAGACCACTTCCATGGCGTTTGCTAGTCTCCTGACTTATTTCTATATGTCTTAATGTATGATGGGGAGTAGATTGATAAAGTTGAACGAGCTCGCCGCTCTCATTGGTGTGTATCGAGAAAGAGATATCGTATCTCAACCCACCGTTCCGTTTGCTCCTTTGATGAACAAGCCATTTATTTCCCTACTAGGTACTGAATTTGGTTGTTAGATAGGTAGGAAGCAATCACTCAGCCCATATCGTTGTCTGGTTTCTGAGAGATAATGTCTGTAAAATAGCATGAGATCCTGATTGAAAATAAGTTGTTCGATATCGTGAAGGACAAAGCCTTGAGATGCGTCGAGGATAACGTTGGTGAACCCGAAATTGACAGGCTGATCAGGTCGGCTGGTGACGAAAATACGCACACAAACTTTTTCCACTGCTGTTGTGGCGTAAGACAACGAACGAGAAGCCGGATCTGATCTTCATCGTCGCATTCACCTAGTGCATCAATAACAAGTATAATAGGGGATGGATATAGCCGCTTCTCCAACCCTGATAATGGCTCGAGAACTAATTTCTTCCACTGATGAAAGAGACCGAAGCTGAGGAAGTTGCTAAAGGCCGCCGCTTTTTCGATGGCTGTCTTGGCAGCCTGCGAAGTATCGGTGAGCTGGGCCGCAGTTGTCGGTGCAAATCTCTTCACTAAGGCGAGGTCACGGCTACCTCGGGAAAATCTAGACGGCCTGAGTCGTGATACATGCGGGCAACAGTTCGGGCGATCGTGAATTCTCTAGTAACAGCCATGCCCTTCGGCCAGAATATATGTTTATTATTGTCGTCGTCGGCCCATTTCTCGACTCGACCGATGATATCTTGTTGCGTCTTTTCGAGACACGAGGGCAGGTACTGCTTACTCGAGGCATGGAACGCAGCGTCTGGCTGAGCGTCAAGTTCCAGGGTATCAGGCGTGCCTATTGACTGATAGAGTCATTGCTGAGGAGCCATGTGTTTGGGTACGGCAGCCAGCGACATTTTTTCTCCTGCTACCAGCCATCGCTGGCAGTGCCTTTTTTTTTTTTTTTTTGGCTTATCGCCGCTGATGTTTTGCCAAAGGCATTGAGACCAGTGGCGCGGAGATCGTTAATTGTTTCATTACTAGTCATTGTCGAGAGTCTGGTGCGGTTTGCCTCTCTCCATAATTAGGACTGGATTACCGCTATGATGGGCTATTGCGGTTCCTCGGTGAAAGTACTGCGGAACTTCACTTGGAGCGCTCCTGCAGGGGTCAGTGAGTCACAGAGAAAGCAGTGAATGGGCAGGACTGAGAAACATTCGATTGTGGCTCGAGCTATAGTACGACAACGAAGTATCTATTATCCTACGCCATGGCTCACGACGTTCTCTTCGAAGTATCTATTATCCTACGCCATGGCTCACGACGTTCTCTTCGAAGTCGATCGGCCTCATTCTTATTGGCAAAGGATATACTCCACCCTTGATTGTTAACCGCGAGTCAGAGATCAAGGTTTTCATTGATTGCCCAATAAGAGATTGGCGATACCAATGCATCATATGACGTCGGAAATGAAGGATCTTCGATTGATTTGTACTCGTAGAACTTATTTTGCGGCGTACAAGAACACAGACCGCAGTATCGTAGCGACGACTCATCTGATTGCACCTTTACAGCCGGCGCTTGGCTGCCCTGTTAAAATTCTCGTTCGAGCGGTCTCTCTTCGTGCACAACGCTTTCTCTATTGCTGCTGGCTGATTCACTGAGGCTGGGTTGAGATTCACTGCCATAGGCTAAATATTCCACATGAGAGAACTCCTAATATGTGATGAGATGGCCGTCACTCGTTAGAAGCCGTTTTCAGCTTCACGTTGTCTGTTTCCAGATCTCTGTTGGTCTACCGGGTTTCGAAACGCTTGATTGGAGGTTGAGATAGGTCACAGGGGCATGCGCGCAACACTCCATGCTTTACATATTTCTGCTTCATGTTGTGGTGTACTTCATTTCTGATTTCTGGTTCCTGTTGTCCCTTTCCAGTCCTGGGTCTGACTCCACGGTAGCAGCTTTGAACATCACGTTTGGTAAGATGAGCGACTAAAAATAGTATGAAGAGTATCTTTTAGCGCAAGCGCCCAAATACGCAAAGTACGCATAGGAAAGGGCGAAAAGAAAACCCTGTCCTGCAGTACCGAGAGTGGCTTGCCAAGGATAATTCACCCCACCTGCCTTGGAACCTCCACCCAGTGGTTCCGCTATGTCTCAAATGGCACAAAGAACCCCTCGTCCTGCAGTGTATAATGCATGCCAAAGTCACTTATCTCGCAAATTATATCACCTTTTCTAGTTTTGGATGGCCTGACTAACCACCTTATAAATGTGATTTCATGGTATATATATGCTAATATGGCTCTGATATTCACCGATGCCATCCATTCCACCTCAGCATTTTTCTCAGTCGCCTGCTCCTTCTCATAAGATATACACCAAAATGGTACACACTGCTGCACTCATCGCACCAAACGGCAATGTTGGTTCCGCTACTCTCCGTCACCTTCTCCTTGCTCATAAGGAAGGGAAGCTGAACTTGATCGTTCTGCATCGCCCTGGAGGTCCACCTAAGGAACTTCCCTCCGATTCGGGCGTGGAAGTTCGCGAGATCAATCTTGACGGCTCCCTTGAAAAGATCCAGGAGGCGGTCCACGGTGTGAATGTCGCAATGTAAGTCAAATCTCTTTCATATAATGCTCAACTATGAGAAATATAACCATGCTGATATCCTAAAGCTCTGCTCTTCCAATGACGACCATCCACTTGCAAATTAACCTTGTGCGGGCTCTATCCAGGACACCTGGATTCGTTACTTTGATTCCCGCGAGGTTCAGTATTCCCTTAACTGATGATGATTATCCTTACCTTCCAATCATGAAGCCTGTTTTGGACACCGAGAAACTTGCCACGGAGCTTGGTGTAGGCATTACGCATGTGTGGACTGGCGCCTTTATTATGTCCTTTAAGTTTCGGTGAGTATTTTATGACCCCTGAAGAAATTGTAAAAAATTTGCCGAGTCATCTTCTCCACTTGGACCCTGCTACCTCCAGACTACGTCCAAGCCATTAGATAGCTAAATTTGCTCGCAGGTGGTTAGAATCCAGCTTAGAAGAGAATAAGGTCGTGGCAAATGCCAACCAGTTGAAGAACTGGACTCCCATCACGTAAGCTACTACAATGTCACTTCGTTCCTATCTTTCGGTCAACTCCGGCTATTAGAACCTCATTAACCCACTGCGTCTGGCCGTATAGCACAATGGATCACCTCGGCGCGGTACTTACAGATCTGTTGACGCAAGACCCGACAAATATTGTGGGCAAGAGCTTCTCGGTGGTGACGTTCCGCCCTTCAGGTCAAGACCTGCTCAATGTCTTCACAAGGGTGAATGAAAACACGCCTGCGACGCTGGTGGCGCACACACCAGAGGATCTGAAGAGGCTGTTACAGGACACCCAGGGCATTGGCGCGTTTATGGGTGTGTATATGCGGCACTGGGATCGGGGAGATCTTGAGTTTCCTAGAACAGTACCCACATCCAATGAAATATCATTAGAGGCCGAGCTTAGAAAGATACACAGCTTACATTAGAATACTGAGCCTAGAAACTTAGGAGCAAAATAAACAAGTTAGTAAGGTTTTATCTAGTGGTCTCTGAGGAATATAAATTCGGATTCTTTGAGACTGGTTGGCCTTGATGGCACGTCGCGAAGTCGTGACGAAGTACTAAAAGCTTTATTGAGATCCCGCTAGAAAAAAGGTAGAATAAATTGGCAAATAGCTTTATTGCACCGCCCTCCCTTTTCTGCCTGGTATAGAACCTCAATATTATATTAAACCTGCCAGAATAGACTCCTTCTGGAACCGGTGCGTGTATGACTGGCGCTCAACCTCTTTTTCTCGGAGTATATCTTCGTCTGATATATCGAACTTACCGACCGACACTTCGTACGTCTGCCACTGACTGCTACGAGTCAAAGCTACAATAGGTGGGTAAAATCCATACCGAAGGAGCTGCTACTATCGACAAAGGTAGATTACGTTTTATCACCAGCCAAAATAATTGGTGGGGCAATAGGCAGTGGCATAATGCGGTGTTCTCCATTTACAGTACTTGACTAGCGGTTCGTCGTCGCAAATGAGATGGGTACCGGGTCCAGAGAATTGACAAGCTCGTGTGGCACATTGCTACTAGCAGTCATTATGGATGGTGCTGTCCAAGATGCCAGCGCGTGGGTAAAGGCGAATGCGTTACCATCGCCATGGTCAGTTTTAGCTCGGTTTTTTCAAATATATCTGATATGGCCCACAATACAGTGTTGTCAGGAGACAGGATCTCGATCCTCAAGGATCGTTGAGGAGCAAGGTTAAATAATACAAGATTGGGAAGTATCTTACATTATGAAGACACATCTTTAAGCCTGGTACCCTCCTCTTTGGGGAGGCTCATCGTCGAAGGCATGCTGTACAAAGACATATTTCTTCCCGATTACTCTACTCGAAAGCTTCCAAAATGATATTTCATGGGCTGCATATTCACACCGGTGCTCAATTGGGAGCTTGCACCTCTCTGGTTTTCCCTTTGTACACCGCGTACATACTTTTCTAAATGGTGGTTTCCAACTGACATGAAACCCATATTTGCAGACCTCGCACCTAAATGAGTAGACACGGTCCGTTTCCGCGATCTCTATTTTCACATTTTTGAAATGTTCTGCTTCTTTGAAAGTTTCCTAACTTTGCTGTTGTGACTAACTCTTGAGGGTTTAGGCTCTTCGCTTGTGTCATAGGTTGGCACTGCGTCCGGCCGAAATCAGCCGTTTTTCTTTTCTTTGCCATGACTAATTCGTTTTCGGAACATAATGTGGTTCGCTCCAACGGAAGAAACTAGTGTGCTTCTATACCAGTATCAATTCGTTCTATTTAACACGGTGAATATCAGATACTGTTGAATTGTGTGGTGGTATGGATGGAATAGTAAGCAACGATCGTATATGTTTACTCGTCACTGCGCCCTTCTCAGCTGGCTTGCTGGCTTGAAGAGATTATATTACGCATAGTTCGCGTGAGGAACAGAGCGTAGGATAAGGCGCTGAAGATAGTGTGTATAAATGACGGGGTTCAGTTAGGTATGATGGAGTAATTAGATTTATATTGCTACGCTTTGTATTCTTAAACTATGACCTCCGTTGTTATTCTTATTAAATCAAATGTATTTCCTATCATCAGCCAAGTCAGACTCATATTATTGGGTGTTTTATGTGGTTGGACTTTTATAATCACGTGTTTACCTCACATACCAATTACAAAATGAATAAAGAAGTCAAATACACCGATTGCAGCCAGATATTCGAACATAATGAATTCTTTTTGTTCTACGTCACCTCGTGACCAAATTCCGGCGAAAAACTCCTAATTAGACATCATCCCTCCTGTCTCTTGAAGCTAGTGGCATATTTGTTCTTTGAAATATCTACATTTATGAAGTAAGGCTGGATTCAATACTCATAAATGAAAGCCCTACTATTAGGATAGGGAGCTGTCGAAATGGGAATAATACACTAATCAAGTGAGTACTCCCAGGCTAAATATTAGTGGTGACATTGATGGTTTTCAATATGCTTATGGTAGTCTATTCACTACTTAAATTCAGTTCTTTGTCCTTGATTTGGTATTGCTTCAGTAAAGTTCGATCGAATGTTAATAGTTGCTTGGCGTACCTATCCAATCATTATAACTTCTTTGCCCAAAGGATCGAATATCTCCATTGAACATGGAGCCCTGGAACCATGTCTGAATAGCGGGTTGGGTTGACTGCACTGCAAGTAGGCAATCTCCATCATATGGCATAGGTCGGTAACAGTGGCCTTGATAGTTAAGTGGAAAATTGTCTGCATCCTGAAGTTTATCATTGGCAGGCGGATCCATGTAGTAAGCCTCTGATATTTCGATGGCAGAGATTTAATAAGCCGGGACAAATGTAGAATGATCTTCTGGGGTTATCTTCCAGGAAATACCAAGTTTTTTCAATGTTACAGCTTTTCTTAAGCCCGATTTCGTCTTGGGGTTACCCTCTTCACCGTCCGCACTTTCAAAAGTGTTTAGGCACAGCCCAAAACTTGGCCTCTACATGTTCTTTACTATCGTCCAAACCTGTCTCTAATCAAGAGCGTGGAATGCCTGGCAGTATACAATTTGATACCTCTGTCTGCAAATATATTTGCAAGCTCTCCTGGTTTGGCGGCAATGCCACTGAATGATGAAGAATTTCCGGTCGCGTCGGAAGAGCTTACTTGTCCCCCCAACTTTGGCTATCTTCGATGACTCTTTGGTGTAAAATAGACCTAACCTTTTTATTATTTTTCAGAAACATTCAACTGGCCGTAAGCGATAATGCAGAGACAGAGCATTACAACCTACGAAATTAGTTACATCATCGGGCAGAAACATCTAGGTTTCTTCAGGGATAAAATTTCTTGAAGACGCAACATTATGACCGGCTATGTCATTCTCGTCGCTGGTGGCAGTCTACAGTCTGCCTCATATCGCATGAAACAACTGATCGCAGGTCGTATTAACGCTCACTTGAGAAATATTGCCACCCCCATTTGGTATTCCAAGACTACCGGAGCCGAAAGCCGTGGCAAGCCGTGGCAAGCCTATCATTTATTAGGTTGCCATCGATATCATTATTATTTCCGTCGTAAATATGGGTTTCAGACTTTCTGGTTTGGTACAAGGAATGTGCATACATAATTAAGTGCCAATCAAGCCTTCTCCCTTGTTGCTATCAGCCTGTGATCTAGTGATAATGGCAATTTGGATCAAGCCATGTCTATCGTTAACTGATTTATTCTCATTCATATACTATGTCTTGCTATGGCGTGTCGGCTTTATCCATCTTCTACATTTATTTTGATGAGATAAAATTGCAGAAGATTAGAGATATAGGTGCTTCTATTATAACGGCAGTGAACTGGTTATCCATGTTTAAGCTCGTCGTCATTACACCAACAACAATTGAGAACCTTATACCATCTCTAAGTTCTGCCTTTTCTCTATCATTTGAAAGGGATAAATATAGACTATATACTCATCTGTCGAACAGGTGGACCATCTGTTCAAGATCCAATCCAAGGATTGAAAGCAATGAGCTGAAAGGAAACTACCAACCCTCCCCGGCACGTATTTTTCTGTAATTCAAAGTCGTTCCATGTTTTAGTTTCTCGTCTAGAAATTGCTTTGATACCGCCAATAAGACTTCTAGAGGCTGTTATTCACAGCATTGACAATTCATTGAGGCTTCTATCCTGAGATGGACAATCCATCACGGCCACAAGATCCTGACACATGTCTCGCCTCCAACATACTTCCTACAATTCATGTTCAGTTGTGAGGGTCCATTGAGCAACTTCGGGAAATTACAGGTGTCATTGGCAGAGAAATAATGTTCGGATCCCCGCCTGTCTTGATGCTGAAGGACTACTTCAAGAATCCAGGGCTCCTATTATAGGGCCGGCAACCTGGCGCGCGCAAAACTCCTGCTCCAAAATTAGGAGTCTAGGAGAGATTGGATTCATTGATAACCAAAGTGAAATATGCCAAGCAAAGTTCAAGCATTTGTAATAATCACAGATGAGTGACTAACGTTCCCGGCTTCAACCATCCGAGAACTACGGGTTTCACCACGCAATCTGGTGTTCCATTTGGCATTATGCCATTGGTAATATCGGCACTGTCACGTGATTGATCACCTAGCGTTCAGTCTGGATTGAAACAACCACCATTATTGCACCATGTGACGAACTTTCGTATATCGCCTTGTTGTGATGATGAAGGCTTGCATGCTGCAGGATGATCCAAAGTCTAGTATTGTACCTCGAATCTTGTAAGTCTCCATGTGACGGTCGCGGCAGCAAAAGGTTTCCAGGCGCATGGCACGCATGCGGTTCACGTCTTTCATGTCTGATCCGCGTGGTCAGGCTCGTGATAACGGCAAACTGTCTTTTCGAGGATCAGAAAACGAATAGGATCTTGTATTACGGTGGAGAACAGAAACGAGCTGCAACCGAGCCGGGATTTGGATCTAGGTGTACCTGAGATATCGGACATGTTGAAGCTTCTACTGCGACTTTCCAATAAAGCGTTCAAATTGGCATGTGTTGAAACCAACATTATCACATGGATCGTAATGAATGTATGAATGGCTCTACTTAAGGTAGTATATCAAATTAATGCAACAATGTAAAACCGATTCTTGTGTTATTAGGACAAGCTCTTAGCATACGAGGTATAAACTTCGACAGCGGTGATCATTCGAACATATAGCATGTACTTAGCAAGTCTCCAGGCGATGTTTGCCACCATTCTTATTTTACGGGATCACCCGTTCTACCACGAGCCTGGAGTTAGACGGAAATAAGTTGCGACTAATACAAGTTTAGCTTTACCATGTAGGTAAAATGCAGGGTCCCTTCACCAATTACGTAACTTACAGTAAGCCACCAATAAGAGGCCCTGCCTTAACTTTTCAGCCGAGAGAGGTGTCGATTGATGACTTGCCAAATGTCCGTGCTCTGAATATACAATATCAAGTTCAATGTGAATAGCATGAAGCAAGGTGGAAGATTAAGTGTTGCACTGTGAAAATTAATAGAGTCACAACGATCCAAAGCCATGCGAGGACCTGTATGACAACTCTCTTCTCGCCCAGTTCTAAATTAAAGTGTGTAGATACCCATATGCCCCAAGTGGCGATTCTCTGATATGTCGAATAGCCTTTGAAGTGTTGAAGAGTGAAAACTTGGTGACATGCCATTATTAGTGTGCATGTCCAATCTTCTTGAGACTTCCATCATCACCAGAGTCTACGTATCAAATCTGAAGGAAGGATTCCGAGTCTAATCAATAAGTACCGTACGTCGGCCTCCAGGATTGCTGCTTGCAACCGTGCTCGCCGTGGCGATGAACCCTGTTGCCAATCTTTGCAAGCGTTGTGAATCTCGCCATGCTAGCTTGTGAATTGCCACAGTGCTAGCTCTGCCAGATTTAGCTCTTTAGGTTCCTTCTAGGTTAGAGTGTTACAAACTCTACACAAGACATATTTTGAAATAGGACTACTGAGCAAATGATGCTTAGTGTCGTTTTAAGGCTGCGATTTGAGGGCCTGGAATTTTTTTTTCTATGGAATTGAAGGTGCCTTGCAGATTTCTATAGCGCAAGGCATTGGCGCTCATGCTCTCTGAAACCGATGGATGGGATTCACCGCTTGTTTGAAGACCAAAGTCCCTGGTATGACAGAGAACCTCGACCGCAAAGCTCGTATTGTGGGATGATCCTAATTCTCTAGGCGCATATGCGCGGTTCTCGGCTGTAGGCGGCGAAACGCCGTGGAAAGGTACCATCGTGAAGCTACGAGTAGTACCTAGCTGACGAGCGATATTAACGTCAGCATCCTGCAGCCGCTACTGAAGAACAGCCTAAAAAGGGAGGTCATAAGATGGACCCATCTGTGAAAGTCTTGTTGCACGGCCAAGTGTGGCGCCTCTGATGAACTAATTACTCGCACGTCCTCGGTTAGAGCAAGATTCTAGCGCCTTTAAAAAAGAATTATGGAAATTACTGGCCCGCTCATACAACTACAGTCGACGACCTATTTCAGGTATCTAAATACCAAGTAGACCATTTTTGAGAAGCAGACGAATTTCCTGGGTCCTTTCGCGAACGGAATCTGGTATGCTCTAGACTAGTCTGTGGGACGCTGACAGATGTCCACTTCAAAGCGTGGTAGTCGGTAGCGGCTTATTGTGCCGCCACGATGCGGGTGAAGCCTCCACCCTTACTAGGTTAGGTATGGGTCTAAAGGGATAAGGTTGCAGCACTTGGCAGGCCTCGAAATCTGCGTATGTGTGTAGAAATTGCTGGTTAGCGCCGAACAATGCCTGTGAAGCTCGTTGTTTGTCATCCACAAACTGTGCTGGTTTTAATCCAATCAAGCGCATTTGACAGCTTCACGCACAGATTTGAGCTTGTTGTGGAGATCGGGTACCCAATTTGACCATTCAAAGACGTGCTTGTGCTTACGAAAGCTTACACAAGCTTCTGCCTGTGATTATAAGTGGGACATCCATATCCACCGCCGCTGCTGTGAGCCCCGTATGACTTGCAAAGATGTTTCCAAGACCGGTAAAAGGATTTAGGATTTAGTCTAGCGTTCGCTACCTTACTTCGGCCCTGTCGCCTTCAGGACAGGCCTCTGTGCAGTTGGACACTATTCCCATTCAGATCATGGACATTCAAAGCCAATACAGAGTACCTGTCCATGCGGAACGAAGGACTTGGGTGTCCATTTACAGTTTGACGCTACTCTCAGTCAGGATATAGACACCGGACCATTCACTTAATCTGCTGCCCCAACCCTACCGCCCCGGCGCAGGCCGAAATATGTACCAGGAACAATCAGAACCATGGCAGCAAACATTGTCCAGAACGCAGCGTGATAGCCATCCATCAGTCCCTCGTCACCATTATTCCTCGATTGTGTGACAGAAGAAGCGATTGCTGAGGTAACGGCCAATCCAACGGAATTGCCGATCTGTGAAACAGCATTGAACACGGCTCCAGCGAGGGACTGAGATTTGCCAGGATAGGCCTTCGCTATAATGAGGTTGGATACAGTGAAAAGCACTACCATTTTGTTAGCGCAGTGAAACACTTTGCAGAGAAATATGGGCGTCTAACCATCGGGGTGTAAAGGCGACAAGAGCATGGCAAAGAAATCGCCCCTCCAATATCCCCGATCGGGGGTACTCAGCGCCATAAGCAGGGGAGGTACGACGTTAATAGCTGCCGTAATACTGACCATAAGACCTACTTCGACCTTATCCACAAGATAGCCTGTAACCTTTTTATTTTTAAGAAAAGCTAGTTAGTGGCAATCGAGATCTGGGAGAATAAAGGACTTACGATGTTTGTGGCCGCGCCGACGAATACCATTGGAAGAAAGCGAATCGAAGCTTGGAGCGCCGTTGTATGTACAACTCGTTCGAAGTATAAAGCGCCATAATATTGGAATGCATTGAATATTGCCCAGGTGACAAAGACTGTTACGCATGTTGTCGAGAATACAGCATTCTTCCACATGCTATTTGGGACAAGAGCTGGTAGATGCTTATGTTCTCGATACTCCATCCACATTACGAAGGCTGGTAGGAGGAGAACACCCAGGACAAGTAAGGCAATGTTGTATGAAGTGGAGATCTGGTGGTAATCTCTGCTTATGGCACTTTCGGGGACACCTCTGTTAGTTGAATGGCCAGTAGTGAAAAGACGCATGACTTACGAGAGGACGTAGGACAACAGGCCAAGTGATGCGCTGACGATGATTGCGCCGACCCAATCAACATCGTGTCCCAGTCTAGCAAAAGTGTTGCGGCTGCCCTCATGCGATCGGCTTGGCAGCACAAAGTAGGCACAGATGACAAGGATAACGTTGATGATGAGCGAGATATAGTAGCCCCACCTCCAGCCAATGGTATCGGTGAAAACACCTCCCAATATGAGACCCAGTGAGTATCCGAGAGGCTGACCCATGCCCTGGCATGCAAAAGCCATGTTCCTCCAGCGGCCTGGAAGAAAGCTCTGAGTAGTAAGGCTTACTGCAGCCGGGAGGCACATGGCAATGGATAGACCGAGCAGGGTGCGAAAGGTGATGAGCTGGGCTGCTGTGTTGCAGAGGCCGACACCTAGAGTAAATGCACTATACAGCGCAGCACCAGTAAGCCACATTGGTCGAGGGCCGAGAACGTCGCTAACCGCACCGAAAATGAGAAGTGAACAGCCGGCGGCTAGAGCGTAGACGCTGGGAGGCCAAAGGAGGAGGGCTTCATCGAGGTCTATGTCTTGCGCCATCGCAGGAAGAGCGATGGTGAGGATACCGGAACCCAGCGTATTCAATGAGCTGATACCTGTCAGTGCCGTAACGATCAAAGCTGCTTGCCATCTCGTCATGTCGCGACGGCCATGGCTTGTTGCAGCATTTGACTCGGGCTGCTTCTCTTGTGTCGCGGGTACGGAAGTTGTGCTAGCCATTGTTAGAGCCACTGACAACGCTACTGTGGTTAGAAACGTGCTTGATTGATCGTGGATCTAGTACCTCCCAGAATCATCTGGGACTCGTGTTGTGTTATCTTGAACGCAAGGGCGAGCTAAAGCTAAAGACAGCAAATGTGTCCTCAAAGGAATGAAGTCGTTGCAAAATCTCACGAAAGCGGTCATTCCCTCCGACGTGCTTGTCCTGTATTGTGGAGTTTGCTGCGAGAATACTCCGACAAGATGGCCGCAAGTGCTTACTTAGTCTGCTGTTCAGGACTTTACTTTGGGTCAAAGAGGTATCTGCTGTGCCGCAACAATATCGATCGTGAACTAAAAATGGCTGAAAACACTTCTGAATGTTTAATTGGACGTCTGGCAGGGCTCAGCTAGGCCCTAGCTAGACCGTTCGCTTTACTTCGGGTGTGACGGGGTTCATTTCCGTGCCACTAGACTAGTACTATGGACCGGGATATCATGACAGGGGTGTCCTAAAAGGCTTCTTCTATGTTGCTCTTGCATCCAGGGTGAAGATCCTCACGATAAATGTGTACGCTGGATTATCCGAATCTGCCCCGCCGGTATCTGATGGTTCAAATGATGTGATTTGACGCCATATAGCTTCAACCTATGCAGTAGATCATGCGAAGAGCCATGATACATTTGTGAGAGCAGGGGCTTCACCAAAGACAGGGTTGTGCGCAAGATTCTGGGAATAGTGTCTAGCGTTAGAGTTACTATGTGTTGGTCTGGAACGCGGTGCGAGGAAATTAATATTCCTATCTGACGAAAGGAATATTCCCCTGGTCTGCTATACGCTCGCGCCGTGCATACCCCATTGGATATACAACGTTTTAATGTTGCTTGATCGTTCGAGACATTTGCCAGAGGATGCGTCTGTCGCCATGGGCTCCATTGCGAAGTACTGTTTTAACCCAGGGTTAACTGGAAAAGCTTAGACGTTATCATATCATGCAGTCAGGCTTACGGCTCAACCGAGTCCTACACATGAAGAATTCACCTTTGAAGAACATGACTTTACTCGTTTGGTTCTTAGATCAACAATTCAAACAAACAGTTACGGACGACTATGGAGCTGGTCCCTAGCTATTATTCCCATATTTTGTCAGACGTGGCCCTGATTGTATTTATACGTACACTTCTCCCCATTTCGAGCAGTAAACCACCTCTGCTTACTGTTTGCATATCTTTTCTACCTCGTTGTCTCTATCTTCTATTTACAAAGCATATCTGCTAACCCGATGAAGGTCGTTATCTGTGGCGCCGGACCAGTAGGTGCCCTTGCAGCTCTTTATGCTGCTAGAAATGGCTACGAAGTCGAGCTCATAGAGATGAGGGGAGGTACGTACGCATATGTAATACAACTTTGGTTCTTGGTAGGCTAACGAGTGGTACGCACCATTAGATGTAAGAAGTATAGATAAAGAATCCGCAAAACAAATCGGAAAATCCATCAACATCACGATGTCCGACCGCGGTTTCGAGGCTGTAAAGGACAGCGGCGATGAAAACTTGGTACAAGAAATATTGCGTTGCACAGTTCCTGTGCAAGCTCGAGAGGTTCACGAAAGGACTGTCCTAGGGACCGTAAAGGTCACAGAGGTGCCTTACAGCGCAGATGGCAAGGTACTTGCTCTACTATGCTAGCCCGTTCACACATATACAGTTATATACTGACAGTTTCTGGAAGGTACTGAGAGTCGTCAGTCGGGAATATCTCCGAAATCTTCTCTTAGACCGAGTCTTGCACATGCCCAATGTCAAGGTAACGTTTGGTCGCAAGCTTATTCATGCCGATCTGGAAAACAAAGTCGCTGTTTTTGCCGATGCGAACCTGAGCGACGCCTATAGTGGCGGCAGCAAGTTTGACCGTATATCTTTTGATTTACTCATTGGCGCTGACGGCGCTCACTCCGCTGTTCGCCATCATCTTGCTAGGTACCGCAACATCGACATCGACCAACGGTGGCTCGATAACTGCTGGTGCGAATTCCAAATCAATCAAGCTGACGAAGGTCGACCACGAATCAATCTCGATAAGCTTCACGTATGGCCCAAAGCTGAAACCATGTTCTTGGCGCTCCCAAACCCTGTAAGTACATCAATCTCCACATACTCAGTCAATTTGCTCACAGGTTGGTTGACAGGATGGTACATTCACATGCAATCTCTTTGCTACTGCCAGTACTTTTGAGACACTGAGGAGTGAGAAATCAAACATCATCAACTTCTTTGAAGAGAACTTCCCTGGCATTATCCCTGATCTCATGACGCCCGAAGAGCTTAAGACCCAGTTCCACAGCACAAAGACTGCCATCCTTCATGAGATGCGGGTGTCACCTATTAACTACAAGAACTGCTGCGTCCTCGTCGGTGATGCTGCTCACACGATGGTTCCTTTCTATGGCCAGGGATTGAACACCGGACTTGAAGATGTTCGGGTCCTCTTCCGAAACTTCCTCAGCCGGGCGCCTGAGAAAGAGGTTTTGGCCAAGCTACCCGCCCTTCTAGACTCTTACAGCGAGTACCGACAACCTGACGTGTCTGTAATGACATCGCTGGCTTTGAAAAACTACACAGAGATGAGGCTGTCTCAAAAGTCGACGCTGAAATACTTGCGCAGGAAAGTTGAGGAGACACTACAAGCCAGGTTACCCAGTGCTGGCTGGGCTACACTCTATTCACGCGTCGCATTTTCGTCTGAAAGGTTTACCGCGATCCAGGACAAAGACACTCGGCAGAGCAAAATACTGGCGTGGCTGCTTTACGGATCGACAGCTTTGATATGCGGTCTAGTCGCACCAACCGCCATGTTCAACTGGCAGTCTTAGATTAAGCAAAATGAATAATTTATATATTTAAAAACTCCTGTAAAACGCTTTAGATCATTCATTAATTTTTTATGATTACGTAGTCCACTATAAACAGATCTCATACTAGTAAAGAACGGATGTTTCTAGGTAAAAATAACGGTTAGTACTTTCATAAATTTAAAACTAGTAGATAGTCGAATTGTATAAGAAAGATCATTAAGTAGTTTATTTATTAACATAAAAAGAAAATAATCATTATAAATGTTACATAATCCAAGCTCGACTTGAACTGGGGCTTGGACGTCTTGCAGAGGGTCGGGACGGTCCGACCTGCCGATTCCTAGGCGATCATAAGAAAAGGTTAAATATCTACCTTTAGCGGAGGCATTGATTTAGCTCTATTCTAGAAGTAAGGTTCTATAGTTATGGTCGACGGTGCCGCCGTGGGTCAAGAACTGAACTGTCTGGATGGGTGCAGTGGCGCGTTCTTTGGCACACATATTTTGCCCCAAATCCGGTGGGTTTCGGTTCCCAATTCATTACCTGCACAGACTGAGGTATAGACAGTAAAGTTATTGCTCTTCCCTGTGCGAGTAATGCTGCAAGTCTCGCGAATGTTCCAGAGCCGCAAGGCGAGCGGTCAATCTGCCCGTTGGCAAAGATGGTGGCGTTTCTCTGTCGGACTATGCCCGGCTCGTTCCCTTCGTCGAATAATATGACCCGTAGCAGTCATAGTCGCCGTAGCGGGTCCTCTCACATAGTGAGCTCAACTTCCCTCCCCAAGCTGATGAACCGGTTCACGTTGCTGGGCTCCACCTTGAGCCCCAACTGAGCTGCGTCCACCGAGGCATTGGCTGCACCCGCGAAGCTCAAACCAACTATGACGTCTTTGTCATGAGAGTTGACTCGAACAGGTAAGGATTTTGCGAATTGGAAACTGGAGACGTTGACGAAAGATGGCCTGTACCAGCTTTCCGCCCTCGACCACTATTTTCACTACCACGCGACCAGAAGGTATGTCAATAACTACGCCAACCACACCGCCGCCTTCAGGAGCTTTCAATAGGCCCCTGGAAACTTCCCAGTATCCAAGTGCTGCGGTCCCATGGCCGCAGGCAGTCAAGAAGTCGTCTTTGTGCCAGAAAAGTACGCCAAAATGCGTACCGGAATCATTCGGTGGTGTTATGAACCCGCCGTACATGTCTGCGTGTCCCCTGGGCTCGTGACAAAGTGACTGGCGCAGCTGATGGAGCGGATAGCCTGGAGTCTTGATAATCTTCAGTCGGCATTGGGCCACTGTCAATGCTTCAGGGAGATACCCCGCCGGGACATCTTCGACAATCCGGAAAGGCTCACCGACTGTGCCAGTCTTCTGTTAGTATCCAAAAGGGAGGTTGTGCCATTATTCTCTCGATGCATTTTCACTTGTATAATGTTTTAGTGCAATACATAGATCGCGTTCAGTTTATCAGGCGTCACGGATCCTTCTTTTGTGGACATTGGAGCATCCCGGTCCACAGCGGTGCCCGACTCGTCGCCGGATGGAAGACAGAAATACTTCTCTGACAGACACTGCACTTGTTATATTTTGAGTATTGTGACGACGACAAAACTAGACCAAACTATTTGCATGTGCTTAGTAGTTGCCACAGCGACCATCGCGGTTTTGTGCCAATCCCGCGTTCGATGGGTTTGCCTGCTCAATCAGTCGTAGCATTTATCGATTGGAGTCTGTTCCGTGTCGAATCTTCTCAATATAATTCTCATCCGTCTTGTTGTGGGCGGCATCTTGCTGGCCGGAATGAGTAGAGGAATGGAAACGCATGGCTGCTTTCCCCTCGAAAACTTTTCTTGCTGAAAAAACTTTCTTGATTCGGAATGCAGATCGCTTAATTTGCGACAAAATGACCAGGATTATTTGCTGATAGCGACAACTCCATTATGTATGTTCTTTTGTAATCCAAGTTTGGCAATGATCAGAAGTCGACGGTTGGTATGTTTTCATAATATAATCATTCACTTCGAATCGATTGTTATATAAGGGCTTAGCGTTCACGCATTCACTTCGAATCGAATGCTATCTAAGGGTGATATTAAGGGTCCAAGGTTTGTACTATCATTGGCACAGCTTGTTTGCTATGATACGTGCTCAATGCTCTCTTGGGGGAAATATTGGTAAACAATGTACTCCGCATTTCCTTCTCCAAAATGCCAAGTTCCCCAGATTCACAGCCTCCACTGACCTAGCAGGCCTATATAGAAAAGGAGCCCAGTCTGCCGGTAGGTCCACCACCAGCAACACTGCCGGAAGTTGACTAGAATAGGAAGTATGATGTGATATGTGATATACCTATTTTTACTATAGATGTACTCACGTGCAAGTAATGTGAACTGATGAGTCTCTAAAGGCCCTCTGAGGCCGAGTTCGTGCCAAGATTTCTTTTTCAGTCAGTTGGGGTAATATGTTTTGTCAGCTAAACGAGACCAACGATATGCTTGGCGGCTCTGTCTGGATGCGGGGTTATGGGGTAGCCTCAGGTTTTGTGACGCAATTATAGTAAAAGGGATTTCCTTCCCTTGTTCAACTCTGCATAAGCCATTGATTCAACGTCTCGGGATTTTCTTTCCTCACTCAGAACTCAACAGATCCCCACTGTTGCGTGCCAATTAGCTTTCGTCTTTATTGAGTTGTCACGGGCTTGTCGTGTGCATGTCAGGAATGGAAAAGCAGATACAAAGACCTGAAAGCTATGGAATTGCGGCGCTATAGTTCTGTGAGCGTCCCAGCTCGGACTTTGCCATGTCTGTTATCTCCCAATTCATCTCGAGTCGAGGAAGATAGGTGCGACAAGGCCAGCTATCTTGTCTGGTAAATATTAACAGATCCCAGCCAGCTAGTCTCCACGTCAGCCCGGCAGCAGAACCCGCTAATTGAGAGTCCACTCAACTTATTATCTAACACAGCTCTTGGTAACACCTGCATCAGGACACGAGACGAGGCTAAGTTCTTTATTCATTACGTTCGGATTCTGTCTCGTTGGGTAAATATATCACGATCAAGTTCGATCGCCTCGATCACTCACACCATATGCAGGTAGATGTTTGCGATAGACGGGCTCATTTCGCGAACGAGGTTCCACGTCTCGCTCTCCACATACCACTTCTGGCATATTCGATGATTGCTGTCGCCTCCCGACAGCTCAGCCTGGTTTCTTCGATTGGGGATGTGGACCCGGCAGCTTACTATAGTAATGCACTTGGCATCCTGATACAGAAACTCGGCGGTCCGGTGGAAGATTTGGACGAAAATATCTTAGCCGCTCTTGTCCTTCTTCGTACCTATGAAGAGCTCACAGGCAGGCTTGGGAGCATGTCAGTCCGAGATGCCATGACGTTTGAACAGCAGCCAGACGACGACACAGGGACACACTTATCCGGGGTCACTCTATTGCTCAACTCGGTCTCTAACTTCATGGGAAAAGGCGGACTCGGAGAAGCTGCAAGCTGGATAGTATTGCGACAAGACATGTTCTTTTCTATGACTAAGTCACATCCACTGCGCATACACCTGGAAAGCTATACCATGTCTAGCGCGTTCACAGACAACTCAGCCGAGTCTTTTGCCAATCGAATCGTCTTCCTATGTGCCCGAATCCAAGCCCATGTGTTTGGTCCCGACAGCAGGGCAACTGCGCATCAGTGGACAGAACTCAAAACCGACGTCGATAACTGGTTTCAAGCGAAGCCCTGGAACTTCCGGCCGATGTGGATGGACAAGGCGGAGGCAGGACATGCTTTCCCCTGCGCTTGGATGCATCACCCTGCATATGGTAGGTCTTCGTGATTGGAATCAGTATAGTAATTCACTAATTGGCTAATTTGTAGTCGTCGCCTATCAAAACTATTGTCTGGCACGAATGCTTCTCGCCATTTTCGACCCATGGCTTTGGGAACCAGGCTTTGATAGTTTCCACAAGAGGCGTTATGCTAATGTACGTGCTACTCTCAGCACAAGGTGCACTATTTACTGACGATACTGGCAGGATTTTGTACTGGAGAATCTTCGCCTCATCGTTGGTCTGTCTATCAGTAACCCCTCGGTGGTTCCAGGAAGGTTCCTCGCGTCGCATACACTTCAAGCATGTAAGTTTCCATCTAGCTCTATTTCGTATAACCGCAAACTGATAGCATGCAGGCGGTACGTATCTGACCGATTTTGATGAACAACAGGCGGCACTGGCCTTTTTGCAAGACTTAGAAACACAGTGTGGTTGGCGTTCCAGACCGGTGATCGACAAGCTAATAGCTTCATGGTCAATGGATAAGTGATTATGGTGATTCCAGTTGTTAATACACCATGATTGTGTAGCGCAGTAATGAGAGCAATTCGATCAGCATTTTCTGACCCGGATGACATGCGCATAGAGTATGGAACTTGGATCAAGAGCCGCGGCCAATCTAGCGGATCCTGCTGCTACAGCTACATCCTCTGGATATTGATTTTCTGCGGCCGGAAACTGTTGCCATTTTCTTGAAGTTCCAATCTAACCTAGTTAGGTCAATTCCCTGTACGACGATTCACAGCTGTATCTATGCAACAGATACAGTTGTGAACCGTCGGACCCTTGTGACATTTGGCTGAGAGGCGCTGTCATAGACTTACAAGGGTCTCCGCATTCAGGCCTACCACTAGTGCTAGGTCACCGACCACCCCAACTCAGTTGGGGGATTCTGCATGTGAATTTCTATGTCACGGAATGCAGTCGAAGCCATTGACTTCTGAGTCCGTACCTCCAGAAAATTGCAACTAGGATCATTCATAATCACCTTCCATCTGGTTCTTTTCTCTGTGGATTTCCATGAGGTAGCCATCACGACTCATTATCCTACTACCCAAACTTGCACCATGTCATCTCTCAACGCAGGACTCGAACGATTGCCTCAAATGTCTAGTGATGTTCTAGACTTCATAAAACCAGCAACTTACGGAGATGCGGCTACGCTGTTATTTATTGCCGTAGCTCCAGCTACTTAAACATTGCAACAATACACCTGGGACAAGCCTGACCCTTACCAGCACATCTGGTATGAGAGGCCGCAAGCCGACGACGCTAAGGGCAGTACATCGAGGACGACAAGAAACATCGCCGAGAGATTAGGTGAACTGGTTAGGTCGACTGAGACTTTCGTGGGAACTAGCCTAGATATAATGTAATAGCAGAATAGAGAAGTGGTTATCTTCTGGAGTTCACAGTCAGGAACAGCGGAGGGCTTCGCAAACCGCTTAGCGCGGGAACTCCACCAAAGGTTTCGTCTCGAGGCCCTGTCAGCGGATCTCTCAGATTTCGATCCTGAGACCATAGCGCAGATAGCAAAGGACAAGACGACTCAGTTCTTTCTGTCGACACACGGAGAGGGAGGCCCCAGCGACAACGCCTGTTCCTTTTGGAAATAGACCTCAAGATTGCGTGAAACCTCGCTCTCAACCCTTCGTTATGCCGTTTTTTATCTCGGCAACAGCGACTACAAGTACTACAATCGCGTGGCAGATGTGATCGACCAAGCCCTGCGGGAGACCGGAGCCGAGCAGCTCCTACCTATGTACACGGCTGACGATGCGCACGGCACCACTGAGGAAGACTTCGTCGCTTGGCAAGATCAACTCTTAGTGTTTTTAGGAAAGCATCTTGGGCTCGAGGCCCGCGGACTTGAGTACGAACCAGTTTTCAAAGTGGTCGAGGACGAATCATTCGAACCTCAAGACCTAAATATGGGCAAGTATGTTGAATCAAGACACGACCTTGGCAAATCCGCGGCCGGCAACAGCCCCATCCGACCGCTGAAGGTGAAGGCAACCCGAGAACTATTCACCAACTCAACCCGTGATTGCTTGCATTTTGACGTCGAAATCACAAACCAGCCTAAAATGGATTATAAGACGGGCGACCACATGGCCGTCTGGCCCATGAACCCCAAGGACGAGGTGAAGCGCTTCCTTCTCGTATTGGGGTTGTCTGCACGTCGACATGTGCCGATCAGTATATTGTCCCTCGACAAAGGCAGAAAGGTTCAGGTACCATCGCCGACTACCATCGAGACACTTTTCACACACTACCTCAAAATTAGCGCCCGTGTCAAGAACCACAGCCCGCAGTCTTGCCGATTTTGTCCCGATAGGTGCGGCGAAATCATTTCTGCTTGAAGTGAGCAAAAACCGTGACATTTTCGCACAATTCATCGCATCGGCCCATATCAACCTTGGAAGACTACTGGAAGTGGCTTTGGCCCAGGGAGACTCGGCCGCCTGCTCGTCAGTTCCGATATCATTCTTGATTGAGGTCATCCCACGAATGCAGCCCAGACTCTATTCCATCTCATCGTCTAGCATCGTTGCCCCACGCGCACCTTCGATCACTGTGGGCGTGAGCAGCACGGAGATGACCCCGGGGATATCGATTCCAAGCCTCGCTTCGAACTACCTCCACAAGCTCTCGCAATTATCTGCCGCGAGCGAAGCGTCGACACACCCTGCGGGTCTAACGTACAGCCTGTCCAAGCCCGGGGACACCCTGAAGAACAGCCACCTCTTCGCGCACATAATACGGTCGAAGTTCAAGCTTCCGGCGCAAGGCTCTTGTCCGATCATCATGGTATCAGCAGGCACAGGCATCGCACCATTCCGGGGCTTTATCTCCGAACGATCCCGGCTGCATGCCATGGGCAGGCCCGTGGGCGATATGGTGCTGTTCCACGGCTGTCGTCATCCCGTGGAGGATAATATCTACGAGCCGGAGCTTGAGGGGCTCCGGACGAGCCTGCAGGGTAGACTGCGCATTATCAGGGCATTCTCGCGGCCTGTTGGCAGCAAGAAGGTTTACGTGCAGGATAGGGTGCAGGAGGAGAGTGATGAAGTTAGAAGGTTGTTGGCGGACGATGCATCCGTATGTGTCTGTGGTTGGGTGAGCATGGCACGGGAGGTCGAGAGGACGGTTACCGAAATGTGGCGGAAAGAGAAGGACATAGACAACAGTACAACGAAGGGGTGGAGCAATAGGATGAAGCGCAATCGGAAGTGGCAGGAAGACGTGTGGGTTTGATCCTGGGATCCGGAGACAGTTAGAAACGTACTGCGCGGATGTTTAGCAATAGCTTATTGCTTGAGTGGTACTATTACGCCGACTTTGCTATCTACTCAGGAGCGCGTGATATTCCTCAGTAAGGATCCGCCACGACAAACGGTTCTATACATCTACAAAATAACGTCCACCATGATTTATTTTCAGCAGATATATATTCAGCGTCATGCAATAGAATAGGCCTCCTGAAATATGCCACTGATGTGATAACCTCGGCCCCGAAGATTCAGCGAATTTAATATACGTAGAGTAGTTCGCTGTTTCTCGACGGGAACTAGTTTACATGGCTTCATCCGATCAGCTACCTGGTCGGCCGGCAACTGGATTGTTGGCGTCGGTGTTCATAGTTCCCAGGCATTTTTCAAATGCGATTGTCTATTGCGCTTAGCTTCAGATAGAACGGATCTGTTCACGTGGTGACTCACATTGACGAAGTCGGCCAGCCAAGAGTCTTCTCTGTCTTCACTAGAATGGCAATTAGGGCTCTTTGTTCCATGTCTGGAGTAAAGAGGTGCCCGGTGAGCGAAATTGCCATGCATGCCGGCCTCAATCAGGTCAGTGATGACTTCAGACTTCATAAAAACACGGCGTAGAAAATTTTACATACAGGTGGGCAGCATCGATCTGTCCGATTGAGTTGGCAATGCCACAAATCGCAATAGTGTCGTTCTTCAGCGAGTTCTTGAAAACCAATAATTAGTTTAGAATTTATACGTTTTGGCTGAATACAAAGAACTCACATCAACTGACCGTCTGTCCACGGCGCCACCCAGACCAAGCAGCGGCCTACTGGGATCATGGGCAACCAGCAAAATCCGGTAAAGGTGATACAGTTGCCAACCAAGCGCAGCCGCATCATTTAAAACGAATATGCCTGGGAACTCGCTGCTACTGTCATCGGCTGGAATGAGGATAGGGTCGAATGACGCTGGCTTCGAGGCTACCCATTCCTGAGAATACTCCACGAGGACTTGGTAAGCAGCAATGTTCTTCTCAGGTCCAAAACAATAATTAACGACATTATGCAGGTGCAAGATCATTCGTCGAGCCCAGTAGTGGTCATCACGTTTCACGATGAATGGGTCGTCAGTAGTATTATTGACGTTCAAGGAAACGGCATCGGGCTCGTGGTTTAACACCGCGAAGTAAAGTCTGAGGCGCAATGACGCCCATATCATATCCTGTCGTAGGTCGTTGCCAAGAGTGATATCACCCATCTGCATCTCTCGCTGATCTCTTGATTGTGGGTTGTTCGTACTTGGCGCATTACTGAAGTCCAAATACCGATCCAAGTCGTCAAAAATGTTCAGGAAGATCGTGGTGAAGAACTGATCGTCGCCTATCTCATTAACCGGCTGACATTCGTTGAGCCCGAGGTGTTGATAGCTTTCCCAGTACAGCTGTTTTTCACTTGCTGTCGATGGCTTGCCCATGATCTTGAGGCTTATAGCCCCAATAGCTGACATTACTTGGAGTAGCGGACGGTATTGAGCGGCTCGCTCCGGAAAGCTCGTGGCAAATCGTCTTTGGAAACCACCACAATCGAAAAGCTGTGCGAGGTTTTCCACAAAATGACGCAGAAGTTCTGTAAGTCGCTTATCGCACCAGTACAATAGAGGCGTCTGTTGGTGCAGGAGGGAATGCACTTCGGCAAGTAGAGGCGGAGCTGTAGGATTGTCTTGAGCTACAGAATATGCTGAGTTCAACACCGAACGGCTTTCATGCACTGTAGATGGTAGATTCAACCCCGAGTCAATCGCCGAGTGTGACCTCTGAGTAGTATCCGAATTTAGGACACGACGAGCGCCATCAATTGTTGGCCGCAAATTCGTGGCTTGGGGACTTTTGTTTGGAGATTCTTGGTAAGGTGATCTCAAGGTACCCGAAGAATCTTCGCCTTCTTCCCATGATGGATTTGCAATAAGGCTTATCCTTCCATCGTACAATGTAGTGATATCATATGTCTCGTCAATAAATCGTATTTTTCTCTGTGTGATTTTACACCATTTTTGATTCTTCGAGAAGCCCAGTTCCCCATTTTGGAGACTGTGAAGATGTTAGCAAACCCTCAGTTGCACATATGATGATCGCGTACGAATCGTCCTGGGCATGTCGAAATCGAGTTTTCGAGACGCGGCTGCAAATTTGCCCCCTTTTGGCACAATTGGAACACGTTTGTTTTCTGTCACCTAAACCATATAATAAGCACTGTAAGCAGGGTTGCGGGCTCTATTGGTATCACCCACATTTCAGATGCCTGAAAAAGCAGAAAAGTTAGCAAGTTGCGAATATGCAAGAATCCTAGAGGCTGCTCGGCAAGTCTCGCGCACCTTTCACGGCAACTCTTCATCAGTGGTCAGCACTGCTTCGGCGCAAATGTGTGTAAAGTGGGCCAGAACCTACGTCGCATCCCCGTTTCCTAGTTGCCTCCGGCATCAATGACGTCGATATCGAATTTCACGGACCCTACAGTTGGTTCAGTCATGCCACCAGGGGAAATTTTTCGAGTTTAATTGTAGAGAAGTATGAATGCGTGGATTCATATCCTTTTCTGAATACATGGGGAAGGTGGTGGCAATTACAGAGCACACGGAGACGATAAGAAATGGCAACAAATTCCGGGGGACCTGTAGTTCTTGTTTGGGGCCTGTGCAGGGTCCACAGTGCAGTAAAGGCCACTGAATGGTTGAACCCCGCGTCACTATGATCAGCCCCCGTCTGCCTCTCACAGCAAATGCGGGGTTCACTACAGGGGCATCAAGTAAAATATTGGAGAGAAGCAAAGAGCCCGTGTGTGGGAAGATGCCTTGGCCTGCATCTAACCTAGGGTAGCCTCCACTTTACAGGCGAAACTTTGATAATGTTCCTATTTGGACGAGACAGGAAATTCTAGTCCGAGATAGTACTCAAAATCAAAGTACAACATGTCGGCATAGTGGGGCAAGTAGACATTTCTATAGTGTGTAACACTAGCAATTACTGAAGTCCGAAATCCAGCATACTTAAGAGGCACTCAACCTCAGCCCGGATCATAAAAACGTAAAGATATATTTCAGCCAATTTATCCCCATAATCCATTTATAAATTTCGACCTCAAAGAAATTACTCATTTTCTTTCCACGTTTGACACACAATTTCAATGATTTGAACGTTCGCCATGGATTGGCCGACAGCACGGCGGGAAACTTTGCCTTATGGCGCAGCATTATTGATATTTTCTGTAGGGTTCTTTGTTATATACCCTTTGGTGGCCTACTTCAGAGATCCCAAAGGTACGAAATAACTTGCATTCTTTACTTTATTGACAGATTGAACATTCGCTTACATCAAATCTAGGATTACGGCGATTCTCCAACTTTAGCCCATTTGCTGGAATCACGACTATTCCGTTCATGATACTTGCTCACGGCGGCGCGCGGTCCGCACATCTTGCAAAACTACACAAGAAGGAACCTGTCCTGCGCACCGGACCTAATACCCTGTCGTTCGGAAGCGTTCGCGCAATCAAGGATATATACGGACATGGCACACATTGCACCAAGGACGAATCCTACATACTCACCGCCAGCAGCCACTATCATCTTGCCGACGTTGTCGATAAGGGCGAGCATGCTAGAAAGCGAAAGGTGCTTTCCTCGGCGTATGCTCTGAAGAACCTCGAATCCTGGGAGTACAAAGTCGCCGACAAAGTGGAGCGAATGGTTGCGCAGTTTGATCAGCGCTGCACGGCTCCTCTCCTGGCTGGAATGCATCCATTACCCGAAGAATTGAATATCGACTTCCGCATGTGGTCCAACTTCTTCTCGCTAGATGCCATTGCGGACATTGGTGTTTCCGAGAGACTCAATCTTCTCGACAATGGCCACGACCAGGTGGTGGCCCAGGGCAAAGATGGTTCGCTTTTCAAAGCCAACATCCGCGAGAGCCTGTATCCTATCGCCCGCAAGCAGTCGCTGCTTATATGGAGTTACGACTACTACAAGTTAATCGACAAGATCTCTAACATCATCCCATATTATCGTCAAATGTCCAAGGCCAACCACAGCTGGGAAGGCATCGTACTCCGACGTGGACATCAGAGGTTAGAGCGTTACAGGGCTGGAGAGAAGTTGGACGACTTCTTCCAGGCACTGATGGAGGACAAGAACGGCTCCCCCAACAACCTCGAGTGGGGCGAAATTATCGCCGAAATTAACATCATGATGAATGCAGGCAGTGTCACCACGGCAATCGCACTAACAAATGTGTTGTACCAGCTTCTCCGAAACCCAAAGATCATGGCGCGTCTCCATGAAGAGGTCGACGCGGTCCTGGACCCCGAAGAAGTCGTCGCCCCATATGACAAGATCAAGCATCTGCCATATCTCAAGGCCTGCCTGGACGAGTCGTTGCGTCTGTTCCCGCCTACTCCACAAGGTCTGCCGCGAAAGACACCGGCCGAAGGTGCTTCAATAATGGGCCACTTCATTCCCGGAAACACCACTGTAAGCGTGTCAGCATTCGTTGCCCATCGTGACGAGTCGGTATTCCACGATGCCGACTCGTTCATCCCGGAGCGATTCCTCGGTGAGGGGGGCAAGAACATGCAAGCATCATTCATCGCCTTCTCGGCAGGTGCCCGAGGTTGCATTGGTCGCAACATCTCCTATTTGGAGCAGGCTGTGCTGTTAGCCTCTGTGATCCACCGGTATGATTTTTCCCTAGGTAGAGGCTTTGAACTACAACGAGAGGAGACGATGAATCACATTCTCGGTGAGATGCCAGTGAAGGTGTGGCGGAGAGATCTGGGAAAGGAATGAAGTCATCACCATAAAGATAGCAAAATGCCATTATGGCCCCATGGTCACAAAGGTATCACATGAAATACCGTGAATGACTTACAACGGATTGTAATAACTGAGTCTCACCTTCCTATAGGAACCTATTGGCACTAAGGGGGCTTCTCCGCCTCAGGCTTGCCTCTCATTACAGAAACACCATGATCTACAAGAGTTCGATGACAATTGAGCGGCGCGCATACTCGTCAGGGACTTTTTATTGCTTCAAGTATATTCAGTCCAGCCTCTTCGATAATCACAGTTTACCTACCGTTGATATGTTCCTGTAAGCCAGGGTTTACCAACGTTACCATATTGTTCTGGGTCGCTCTTTAAGTCGCACCCTTCTCGGAGGACCGTCTCATCCAGTTGATCACCAATATCTCAGCCAAGACAGTCTTGATATTGCACATAATCTCGACACGCCTGTTATGAGTCCAGTCGTGCAAAATGTTACGGAGACAGTAAATGCCTGTACCTAAAAGCTAGAACTCAATGTTAGCCGGTGATTCTCACATGTCGACAGGAAAACGTATAATTTTGCCTTCGATTGGTCCACTCGTGAAGAGGTCATAGCACTCTGCCTCATCTTATCAAAACTTGGAAAGGAGTTGGCGTTGCCTTACTCCACGATTGCTGGCAAACCTTGGAGGATAAATCGGGAAGAATATTGAGGTATCATCCCTGAATTCGATGGCTTGAGCATCCATATCATCACCAACCTCTTTGAATAGGCCTGTAGTATTCCTGGTCTCCTCAGCAAGGTGATTTCTCGACGTCTACGACGTCGAAGAATGTCGGTCAACGTTCTAGCTGGGTACTCATGTACCACATCAAGAGCTGCTAAGTACATCAATTATGGTCCATCCATTTGGACAGCTCTATTTCCAGCTAGTGACACCGCTGTTGTTTTGGTTCTTGTTCTCTTGCAGGAAATCGATATTTCATGGGTGCAGGCACGAGACCTTATAACTTGAAGGACATTGTTTTTCCAATCAGACGAGCGGAAAGTAATATCTTTAAAAAGCGAATGGTTGTAACATTTGCTGTTCACGATTTCGATTTTACCATGAGGGTGGAGTTATTGGATTGGGAGCAAAGAATAGTACTAATATAATTATGTTCATGGTTATTTCCATACTAGTGCTAGTTCCATATGTGCCTCTGGGGCAAATGATTGATACGCTTTGAAGTGCAGAATTTGGAAACGAACATTCCTGGCATACTTGTCATTATCTATTATTTTCTGTTTGGCAGCAAGTCTTCCTGAGTACCTAAATAGGTAGAGCAGCAATCTAGGCGGTCTTCAGGCTCTTCATATTTTATCATGGCGTCCATCAACGCCCGAAAGGGGATGTTAGATGGTCTGTAGATTCAGGATAATCTTATTACTAGCGACTAAGAAGAAAGTGACAGAGATGAAAATTTCTAGGCAGCTAGCAATTGATAACGGTGCTGTCCCGAAGAACGCGGTACGGAACGAGTAATTGTCGACGAGAGGAACACAAAATGCATCTAAATGAGAGAAGAAAAGCGATAAGGTCAAAAGAGAAGGACTGGCAAATGTAGAGGTAACAAGGACTATAATAAGAGAGTTGAACATAGGAGCCTTTAATTGCATAAGCGGGAGCGTTTATTGCAATATAAACAGATCAAGCCGATTGGTATTGTAAGACCTATTGGAATGGGGCTTGAGGAATGGGGCTATAACCAGTTCTCGCCTCTTAAATTACATGAGTTGGCGGCGCAGAGTTGACGCCCTAAAATAGTGCAGCTATTTCATATGTACTGGGTGGTGATTGATTGTTATCGAGGCGGATGTAAACGCTGCAAGTAACACAAAGTTTTGGGCATCGTCTTAAATATATAGTTTTGTCCCAGAGAGTCTTGGTCAATAAATCCCCAGAGGCCGATCTTACATCTTCCCCTCAGTCTTCCCTGGAGAAGAGGGCTTGAGGCTGTGTGGGTCGGACTATATCATTAGGTACATCACTATTGAAGTCGACATGGTTGACTAGCTCGATAAGTTCAACCCTGCACGAAGGATGTATATAAGGCGTTGGATTCAAAAGCTTGGCGTCTTTCTGTTCTTTCTTCTTTCTTCTTTCTTTTCACTCTGCAACAAGTCATATATCTATGGTTCGTAGAAAGTATCACAGCCAGAAACTCGCGAGGGCAACAATGACAATGCGAACTCAAGTATGAAAAGAATCACAATTTGACGAACTTCAAGGTAGTATATATCTAGCTAAGCTGCGAATGGGGCGCCAAGCGCAGCATTCTACCAGGGGATAATGGTACCATCATGGTTACGGAAAGATCCAGTAAGCTCTTCAGGCTTGATGTCAAATGTCGTTTTAACCATATTGGATACGCTCGTCTCCACCGAAATGGCGCCCAAAGTTTTCAGGTCCATCCCGCTACCAGCCGCAAGATCCGTCTCCACCAACCCAGGGTGGAATACGAAGCTTGTCAGCCAAGGTTCCTCGAAAGAGATGAGACGGATAAACCAGTTCAGAGCCGCTTTGGAGGCGCCGTACGGGCTCGATGCCCCAGTAAATTTGACATAGAGTTCCTGCGAGCCAATAGAGCCTATGAAGCTGGAAATGGCAATGAACTTAGGGGTTCCTGTCTTGCTGGCCTTGAGTAAGTCTGCTGTGGCTTGGAAAAGGGTCAAAGGACCGAAAACATTGGTGTTAAAGTGCTTGAGTGTGTTGGCGACTGAGGTGTTACGGACACTGGTGCCGTCCTGGCCGATTCCGGCGTTGGCAATGACAATGTCCAGGAAAGTGATGCCTTGGTCGCGGAGTTGAGCCACTGCTCTGATAGCGTCTTCCTCCACAGCAGAGTCCAGCTTGACGATAATAAGCTTCGTGCCGGCTCCCTTCGGCAAATCGGCGAGGGCTTTAGACGTTGGGTGCAAGGGGTCGCGGACAGCGGCGACAACTGTGGTTGAGTCCTTCTGCAATATGCGTTGGACAAAGCCCTTACCGATGCCGCGGTTGGCACCGGTGATGAGGTAGTTTGAAGGAGCGCTCATTTTCGGTGGTTTTATGTTGGAGAAATCGAGCTTGAAATCGGAACTTAAGACTGAAGTTGATGAATGAAGACTTTGGTCCAACTCAACCACACTTTTATACTGCATCAATTCGGCAAGGAACATACTGGAATTATGTCTACACGCTATAATGCTTTGAAATAGAACATCAGTCAAGGCGTGATCGTTGGCCCGTTCCCGCAGCTGTTACTAGCATGGGCCGCGGCTTGCGTCTCGGAAGGTCACACGTTAGGTTAGTGGGATCACTTATAATACCGATTTCTCTGCACAGCCGTATTACGAAGTGATGTTGGGTTTGCTCAAGCCATCCCTGCAACTTGCGACTGACGCCATATGGGTTTCGTGAAAGGGCTAGCTTTGTTATGTCAGTGAGAGCACTCGTTGACTAGAGTTGGGTAGACGTATGTGATTAATGATAGGTGTGGAGCAGCCCATTTCTTAGCTCCGAGGTCCAACCATGTTGATTAGTATTCATGTGCGTCTGCTCTAGTACACAAGCCTCAGGCCAAGAATGCCGAAGAATTAGATTAGGTTACACCTAAATAAAAGCTAATGGATAATTTATGATACGCTTAATAAAGATGGAAAAAAAAAAAAAGCACTTGAAAGAACTTGTTATCATATTTAAATATTACAAAACTTTACAAATTTTATGTCCTTTTGTGTAGTCGCGCTTGGGAAGTCCAGTTTGGCGTCGTGTGAGGTTTTTCGTTTCTGTGCCACAGGACGGCAAGGGTCATTATTTATGGTATAATACCATCACCGAGGATTGGAATGGTATCTTGGCACAAGGTGCCTACCCAAGTGATTCTCGATTTGGTCTCATACAACGAGGTAGTAAAGTAGGGCTCCCTAGAACGGCCGAGCAAGAGAAAGCATGATACAAGTAAAGCGACACTTTCTGCTCGGGAACAAGAATTACGATTCCGAATAATGAATCACTATCAGGAAAGTTCGCCAAAATAAAGCGGCACTTTCTCAACGACTACCGCTGTCACAGATCTTATTCCTGTTCGTCAATTACGATATCCATGGAAAGAAGCGCCAGAGCAAAGAGGAATCGATGGCCTTGTGAACCAAGAAATTCTTCTACATTTTAAGTGGATCGCGCTATCGCCACGGCTAAAACACGATCGGGCTGTTCAGCCAAGACTCGAGGCCTTTTACCATCGTATCGAACTTCCACCGCGGCCCATCGCCCAGACAGACGCTACTTCTGATAATCGCGTCAACCAACCTACGGACTCTTAACAAGTCTGCTGATGTGCCTCACCATTGCAAACCTAGCCCAAATTTCTGATAAGTCCCTCCAAGTCTGTTCTTCAAAAAGATCCTCGACACCATCCGGCCGTAGAGAGGTTCCGAGTGGTATTCCATTAGCCGCATGTGCGAACCACCTTGCGCTTCATTTCCTTTTCACCCTCAGTTCGAAGCCGTGGTGGTCGGAAACGACATACCGCAACTTGCGAAAAGTCAAACTGGCAAGAGTGGCATGAAGTATTTACGGTTAGGCTTCGTCAGAGGAATCTCGCCGCACAACTTCTGGGCGGTGGCTGCAGCCTCACCGTTACCATCGAGGGCCGACCGGAGAAAATTGACACCCCATAACAGAACAGACCGGAAGACGAGGATGGCAAGCGTCGTCGGCGTCCCCAAGCAGGAATGATATCAACAGGAGGGTGAGTCAGCCTAGCAACCGGGTGCTCAAGCCAGAGACCGTAGCCGAAACGCGGCGACACTCGTCCGGACTGGTAACCCTGGTGTGGTGCATCTATTGCCCCGTCTCGGTGCTTGGCTGGCAGTACATTATCGACCCCACACGGCTCCGCTATATGGTAATTTCCAGTGGAGATGACGAGAGTAATTCGTTTCGAGGAGATGCCGACAGCCACACTCTTATAACCGTGTTTGATTTTCTAAAGGTATTAGATTCACAGGTTGCGGTACCAAGGCCTCGTCTGGTGTCCGGCCACCATCACAGTTCTCTACCTCTTCTGGAGCATTAATGCCAGCAGCTTGCCAGGCGTTACGCACGGCACCATCCATCTCTACATTCCAGATGCGACGCGTGTGAGAGACGCGATAGTGAGATACATCGCGTGGTTCTTTTCACGAAGTTCGTCAATTGCCGTAATCTGTTTCTTCCTAAATGCTCTCAAGGCATTACGGCCCGTTCTCCTCAAAGCTGATCAATATTAGCCTTTTTAAAACAATAAACAAGCAGTGTTACTATAATTATAAAATTAAGCATTGTAAGTTATAAGCTACCGTATTTATACCTTAACACTTAATGCAGTTATAGACATTTTAAAGAGCTTCCCGTAATAATTAGCATTAATCTTACCCAGTCCAGCTTTTAATTAGTATAAGAGGCTATTATTACTATTAACGCGAAGATATAATTGAAATGGCTTATGGCTCTCAACGGCTACCTCCGTACGCGTGAGACGATGTCAGCATAAAAAGATGGATTAATAAAAAATGGGCCAAGTGGTTAGTGCTAATTAGTGGGTTTCAAACCCATCTCTCTTACGACCCTCTAGCGGTGTCATCACGCCGACGCTAAAGGTAAGTATGTTTAGCTTATTACTACGTAAGAGGAACACCTTTACACACGATCGAACAGTGTCTAGTGATTCTAAGTTGAGCTCAAGAAGGGTCACCGGCGGGCTCTCAGCCAAGCCTCCAAGAGCGGTCTAAGGTTGCGCTACATAAGGAAAAGGGTTGGACCCGTTTTGTACAAAGCATGGGCAACACCAATACTGGATGAACAGCCTGTGATCAAGGCGACCTTATCTAGATACTAGCCTTGCAAACCCTTATCTTCGATGATTTGCAATGCAATAGGTCGAGCAAAACCAGGTCCTTTTATGGATTCGTGTACAACGGCATAGCGAGGAGTCATTGTGAAGAAGCAGTCCCTCGGGGCTTGGAAGTAAAACCGTATGAGTTGATAATTAACGACCGTTTCTTCTAACTAGCTGCCAGATACAGCGCGCAACTTTTAGACTATGCTGAAGAACGGCACTTTGAGAAGCGATATCCGAGATCACAGCTAGTGTACTAAAGCTGCTGCAGAGGGTCTGGCGGATACAATTAGAGTTTACAAGACTAGACTAGGTTAGACTAGATCCGGGTTTAAGCTAAGACCCGAGGTCTACCATAGTAGAGAGAAATGGCATCGGCGATAACAAAACTTATTTTCCGGATCCGTAGTTTGCAAGGAATTTGGTAACTGGGGATCTTTTTAGTCTAGACTGGTAACTTACTTAACGCATTTTGCTTTCCGTAAATCAGAACGCTTCGGACTCTTCATTCATCGATACCTGCGATTGTAACATGCGTTCCTGCTCGCTGTTTGTGTCTGCCCTTTTTCTAGGAGCATCGCTCTTTACTTTTGTTTTTGGGGCGCCTGTTTCTCCCATCAATTCGCCAGTCCTTGTCCAGCTTGTACCGCAAACAATCTCACTGGAGAACTTGGCGCTTCGTCGCAATGGAGATATCTTAACTACGTCAACCGCATCCTCCTCGCTCTTCCTCGTATCTTTAAATAGCAACTGGACATATCCCATCGTTGTCCATGATTTTCCAACTATCAATATTCTTCTAGGGATAGCTGAGTTGGACGAAGATGTCTTCTACGTCACCGGTGCTGTTTCCGCCAGTTCACCTAACCCTCTAAACGAGATTTGGGAAGTAGATATGCGTCCTCTGCGCATCTCTGCTAACGGAACCATCCTGCAACCAGCTGCTGTCACCTTGGTTTCGAGCGACACTTCGGGAGGTCTGTACAATGGAATGACCCGCCTGGCTACCAACGATACGAGTAACATACTATTGGCGGACACCTTTCTTGGGACAGTCACGCGCGTCAACGTTGCCACTGGCGAATCCGCTGTTGTCATCCAGGATCCTCTCCTGACTGTTCAGAACGAAACGAATCTGGCCATCGCTGTAAATGGGATCCACACACGCTATAATAAGCTCTACTTTACCAACTTGAACCAGGGGGTTTTTGGCAGCGTGCCTATCTCCTTGACAACTGGTGAGCAAACCGGTACAGCAGAAATCATCGCTTCAGGTCTCTTCGTGGTGGACGATTTCGTGCTTAAGACAGACGGCACCAAGGCCTGGGTTGCTATGAATGGACCCTACGACTTGGTCGAAGTTGACATTACGACAAAGACTAGTCGCGTGGCAGTGAACTCGAGCCTCTTGGGTGCTGAGTCTGCTGTTGCTTTCGGCCGTACTTGCCGAGATTCGAATTATCTCTACATCACAACATCTCAACCCGCTGGAAACTCTACGATTGGCAGTATTGTCAAAGTCGCTTTGGCTTAGGGTGTTGACATGGTTATTGATATCGTTGGAACGCAAAGTTTCATTTGCGGGACACCTTAAAATCTTTTTCATTGGCTCATAAATTTAGCTCTTAGATTCTATGTATCTACCTTTTTCTGCCACCAGGTCTGACAGCTACTATATAATAAAATCGCTTTGAGAAAGACTTGGCGTTTCAATTACACCCAATGTTTCAGATCGACCATTTGATTAACATGCATATCTGTGCCCTTTCACAGGGCTTCAGCACTAGCCACTTCGATATAATAGCCTACTGCTTGGTCTTTCATCGCCACATCTTTATCTATGCGTTCACGTCCTGGAGGCTACTGTCCCAGGTCATATTCACAGCCAACGGAAACCCAGTTGATCGTGCAGATATTAGAGCATGGCTCTTACTGCTCTCGGTTATCCGGCATGGGACTGCGGCTTCACCAATCAAACGTACCCCGGTACATCCGGCGTACCAATATTAACCATATTTCCCCTCGCTCTCCCAGTCGAACAACATTACCTTCCTCATCGACCACATCCTTGGGCGTCTCGAACGATTCGTAGACCAGATCTGGCTGAACAGAAAATGCCCCTTGCGATCAAATGTAAGTTTCAATTCGCTCTGGAATATCGCCTGTATTCACATTTATCAGGCTATCTCCACATACGGTATAGATTAAGGTGTGAATTTTTATTACGCTTTACTTGTAACTAAAGGTTATAAGAAGGTTGGGGTAACTCAGCTTGTCGGATTCACTCATAAAGGGAACAGCGAACAGCTGTGATTTCCAGCAGCAACTGACCCGAGTGCAATTGCATCTTTGTGCCTATTCAACCCATGGCAACATTTTCCGATCCCGTTGGCCTATGAATAGTAATTTGAATTGTTTTGAAGACTTGAGATCGATTTGTGGCCTTAGAGGTAACTGAGACAGGACTCAACAGAATGAATTGATCACGTGACAATGTCACGTGATAAACAGCAATGAAACAGTATTAGCACGGAAACGCGTACGGATGAAAAGAGGAGAAAGGAGAACATTGAAGAATGCAAACAATAGAACCAAGGATTTAACAAACTTAATTCTATAATACTATGTATTATGTATGCGACAAAGGCACGGGACACAAAACCAATGCACGCTTTCAGCAGCGCATCCTCGAATCCAGTTGGTTTTAAAACTCATCACGGCAATTGGTTGCTAGTCCGGATTTCTACCACGTTCTAGATCTGTAGTGCTTAGGTGGGAAGCTATTTTTGATACCATACATAGTACATCAATCCATAAGTCCCCTTTTGATGTCCAATCGAAAAGTTCGCTTGTTTGGACTAATATTGACAGTGCATTAGGCCACAATGGAGTGCGATATTGTGACCAGGGTAAGGCTCCTTCGTCGGGCATACGTGGTATCTCATTGGCTGACGATGGTACCGAGATGAGGAGCTGAAGACTAGGTGCATGATTGATACAACAAGGCTATGGACCCCAGCTTCATGGAAGTCTATTAAAGCAGTGAAATATCTTCACGGCGAAGAGTGTCTGGGTTCGTCATTGATGCTTGAGTGTTTGCATCGTCATCGTCATTCTGCGCGTCCATTTTTGAGGCCATGGCTCATTATGAAGTGCCGACATGGTCACCCCAGCCAACTGACGCCGCATCATCACAACAAGACATATCCGAACAATCGTTCGATCATCAGCATTGGCACGATCAACAGGTCCAGCATGGTCGTATGGCCGAAACTAGTGTCGAGAAGAGTATGGGAGTTGAAACGATGGCGGTAAACGACCAATCTGTGGCAGCAGCCTCGCCAAACCCCACAAAGCAAGTTGTGCACAAAAAATGGTGGCAACTGACGAAGACCGCGGAGGAGAAGCTGTTCAATAATTTGAATGATCAGTTTAGTGGCAAGCGAGGCTGGAACGGCCATTTCTATTACAAACCACGCAAGCCTGACGAGGAGCACCAGGATCACGCCGCCCTTGCCGAACTTCACTATGGAGGGTCGTTGAGGAAGGACGAGGAAGGCAAATTTGAATATCGAAATCAATTCGGACAGAAAAGCGCCAAATATAGCGACGTAGCGGTATATCTATCCCCAACCAACTACGTCCCTAAACGGCTCATCGTTCAGGCGACCGATTACGTATTACAACACAATCTTGCAGTGGGAGATTGGAGACGACGAAAGATGACTGGTGATGTCCCAATTGCGTTACGTCTTGCAGAATGGGCTTTGGACCCGGTGGAGAAGAAGGGTTGGTGGAGGAGGATTGATGGCACTTTGCGGGTCCTTGTTGTTTGTGTACCTTTGCAGATATGCCTGTCATTGCCTTTGACAAACTCATGGGAGAATGAGGACACTTTCGATACCTATACCGACTTTCCAGGCTATCACTGGCAGTGGCCAAAACATGCGATCAACCCATTGGATCAGAAACCCCTCCCCAACAATACCATCATCGCACCCGAGCGTCTTTCCAGCCGGCGACGACTTATTCGACCACGCCAACTAGTTGTGCAACAACGCGATGGGAGCTGGCAAGTCGAAGCATCAGCTCCTGCAGGTCTACAATATGTGTTCATCAGCTTCGCTGATAAGGCTTTTAGTTCAGAAAGTGGCCGGTTACTGATACAGCGCATGGCAGCATGTGCTGCACTCGAAGCTGGCTGCACAGCTTACTGGCTTGACTTCCTGTGTAGAGCTGAGTATGCGGGCGACCTTTTGGACTCAGATGTTTATCGCATGTGTGATGTCATTCGTGGTAGCAGTCGCGTCGTAGTGATGCTCCCGGATGCTCATATTGCAAGCAAGAAGAATTGGGGCTCTCGCATGTGGACATTACCAGAGGCACTCCTAGCCCCTGAGAACCGATGCTATTTCTCCCATCCTGATGGCGAAGGTCAAATGACACACTCTATGACCTTGGTTGAAATGACAGCCGAAGTTTGGGAAGACCCTGTTGATTCAGAGGAGGACGGAGGTCCGACCCGCCTGCTGGCCGAACATTATACCAACTTACTCACTTTGAGCCGTTTGGAGCTCTTCTCTACAGCCCTTGACGCCTTGTGGCGTCGCGCCGAGGTGAATTACAACTTCTTCACGCCAAATGATGTTACATATGCTCTGATGGGTCTTTTGCATTACCGTATCAATCGCGACGACACTGATACGGAGTTTCAATCAATCGCCCAATTATCCTTGGGTAATGACAGCGACAGAATTGTTGAGCGTATGGTGTCATTGTATCCTAAGCCGGATGTTAGCATCTCCAATCCGTTCCGGAATCTTGCAACCAAGGATCTTTTTAAAACCCACCTCTGGGATATCGAGCCAACATGTCAGGTCGTTGGTGTCGCACATGAGAACAATACAGTTCTGTTAGACTCGTGTCGCGCAATGCACATCCGCTGGAAAGGCTTTCCGCGGCCTGTGGTGGCTCGGGATATGGGTTTTCGCCGATTCCTTGCGACAGTTTTCGTCACAGCTAGTACATGGTGGTTGATCCAAGGCATTGGCCTGGCTATCTACTATGCACCGTTTTATTCCAGCAGTCGTGACGATGATATCAAACTTGTCATCAAATGGATGGTCGCGGGCTTTGTATTCGTCGCTATTGCGCTAAGCGCATTTGGGCCGTTTTCTGTGCGGCGGCTATACGGTGGACAGGTGCTGCAAAGCGCCAGCAATCTGGTTGCCTTTGAAGGTGTGATGCCCATCGCCAAGCTCGAACGGCTGATATTTGGCAACGACAACTCGCGGCTTTCATACGAAGCATCATCTACGCCCTTCAGCGAACACTTCCGCCACCCAAGCCGTCGTGTCGGCTTCGAGCCCAATTGGATCCGCAACGAAACACCAGAACTCACGAAACCCAACCTGCCTAAAGGCCATAAATTGTTCACCCTTGTCGATACTGGAGAGTTGACTGTTAGCATCTTCAGTGCCGAGCGACCTCCCACAGTCGCGCTTCTTTGCGGCAGGGAAGGTGGCATGCTTCGGGCTGTTCTCTGTAGCTGGCAGTTCGAAAATGACTGCCTCTATAAAGAGACCGTCGTTCGTATGCCCACCAATGTGTGGGAGTCGGCTACACCGAAAGGTTGGCTGAAAGTCTGCCTCGGATCGCTGGACCAGGAAAGAGAGGGTGAGCGAGTAGAGCGATTGAAACGGGAACGGGATGCAAATGGAGCAGGCAAGTGAGTGCTTTTCTACATAATGATAATAGAAACTTTAATCCATCTTCTCTTTTGACCTTGATGGTTATTTTTTTCTTGTGATCTGCTGAATAGTGACTCGACGTATATGCCAATCTTGCATTACTAGATGCCTAGATGCCTAGACCTTTTTGTATAGCATGTAACTCATGCAGCCCTTGTCAATTATGACCTGAGATACATTATTGGGAGAGACTATCCGGGCAGTGTGGAAGAAGATCAAAACGTCCAATTAGTCCTTACTGTTAGTGCTTACGGTCGGTCATCTGCCGGCTGAAGACAGAGTTATTAACGCGCTAACTCATAGTGGCTCTTTCTAGTACGGTCTCGCTTGTTGTCGGTCCAATCACGGAACTAATAGAGACCCAGCCAAGAATGAGATTAGGCGCGAGAATGCTGAATTTGGGTATATCATGAAAATAAGAATAGGGGACGGTTTATGATGGCTTTAATCTGTAATATAAATCGTGCACCTACATGACCTCAGCGATAAACGATACGTATAAACAAGCTACTCTTCGTCAACCAGTGGCAATCAATCTCATGACATAAAATCAACATACTTGCTCACGAAGTCGACGAGTATAGTGTTGTGGACGAACAGATTGTCCAGATTTTTGAATGGCAAAGCAACTCGTCCACAGCTCAATAGTACTTCTCAGGGCTTCGGGGAATAGAGCCCTCAAATTTACGTCGTACAAGGCTCAACGGATACGGATATTGAAGGGTGGTGCTAATTCGGAAGGATACAGAACGTAGCAGAATCGTGGAGCACACGAGACCATGACATCGTCACCGTTGCGGCGATAACAAGGATATCCGCACCGATCTTGCGCGATCAAGGAGAGAGAAAGTCACCAAGGTAAGGTCCAGAACTTGGGGAATTGATGACTTGAGACTAATCTACCGGGCACGAATAGTAATCTATGGCTCGTATTCGCCGAACAAAAATGGTAGCTTCCCATCGAATGTACGTTTAGTTGAGCCCTAAACGAACACTGTGCGGCCGCGCTCATCTTGTGCGTTTTCAGCTTGGGAGGTCACGCTAGACGAGGATTAGTCCAACGAAGGTCTGCCTATTTACGAAAAGTGAACTTACTATGGTCCCAAGTTCCTCTCTGTCAAATTGAGATACAACACTAGATTAGGTGAAGGCTATGATGTTTTAAAAATTCCGACCGTAGAGGACCCCTGGTGGAAATAGTCTGGTTAGGCGAGGTTGTGTCCGGCACAGCTTACCAAATAGGTAGTTGACATGTGTTTCCGTCTTTTACGAGTCAATAGAACTTAGATATTCTCATTATTGGGCCGACAGAGGTTGACGTCAACTCCCAAGTCAGTAAAATCATACGGTAGACCATGACATAAAGTCGCGTGAGGCAACTAAGAGACAATATCGTCTGAATCCTGCTTGTTAATTGTCTTGGGCTGCTTTTGTTGTGGCAGACCGTTCTAATCTGAGACAACTGAGCACGGGTGCAGTTTGATGCCCGGCCCTGATGGCAACGGTATTCATTCATGAGCACTCCAAATTTAAGCTTTGTAACAAACTTGATTGCGCCGACTAATCGGCGTCTAGACTAGTATATTGTCATAAAACTCACATTTGTAGACCACATTATGGGCGGAAATGTGAACAGAGACAAGCTTCAGATGGAGAAGTGGACAATTTGTTGCATTAAGGTTGCGGAATTTTCAGGCACATTTGATAGACATTGATACTCTCTCAGAAAACTAATATACGGTAAACGAAAGAGACAACAGCTCAGCAGGAATCATCGCAACAGATTAACTACTGCTCATATAATCTGCTAATATACTCAAGCCTAATATTTGAACACGATCATCATGCAACTTCCAAAATGTTATCGCTGCTGCCGCCTCGACTCAGCCTATATCGCCTTCACTCGGATTCCCGCCCACTAGCCTTACCAGCAAATGGACTACGACCTCCATCAAACGAATTGCTTGTGAGTTTGACAAGTACCTTGCTCGATGATTCAACCGAAAGTACCACTAGAAGCGCCACTGTGGCATTGGACGGATGGATGAGCTTTCTTACCGGGCAGATCACCTCACTCAACTTACTCACAATTGCCGAGTTGTGCCCTTACCTGCATTAATACGTCAACCAAGGAGCTTCTCTCTGGCTCCGTTGTCGTTCACCAGATTGGGAGTGCTGGAGGCTTTACTACGTTACGAGATTGGAAATTCTTGAGCTATTGACTCTGCATAGCCACTTAATGATGATAAATACTTACCACGATAATACTAAGAAAACTGCAATATTATTAAAGATGGCTAATGACATTGCTTTTTTAAAGATGATTTGAGTTCATGACAACGCCGTCATATTTCCTTATTCCAATGACTCACAAAAGTTGACTTGTACTGTTGACTGCTTCCCAACCAATGTTTGAGTCGCATGTATGATATTATGTGTAGGACTGCTTCGACTGCAGGCAACCTAGTGCACTTAGTCAGCATTAAATTTCTTCGAACATCTCCCTAGAACTTAACGGCAGTACGAACATGTACATCTATCTCGACTCGTTAGTAAGTCTCGTCATGTAGACCCATGCTTGATGCACACACGCAGGGAGCATCTAGTAGCGAAACTTGTGAAAATTAACCAGTTTGGTGTGATCCAATAGCAATATTAATAATTCGTGTGGAAATATATCGATACAACGAAATGTCGTCAATTGATGCAGTATTGGAAAAAGAAATTTTTGTGATAGTATCTAATGCCTGGAGCAATACCATTGAAATGAAGTGTAGATCGAAAGTACTAGTGCACTGACATGCTGTGATGTAGGGCCATGAGATGAAAGTCACCCAGATGGAGATTATGGTTAGTATGCATGTTTACAGACACTGCGTGAGCTGTACGTTAAAGGAAATCATTGACAGCGGTACTTAGCACATACGCCAAGCTTGCACTGTTTGGTTCAGAGCGCACCAGCCATAGCTGTCATTGTAGATATACATAGCCCTCTCGAAGAAAGGACGACTTGTTCGCATTATGTTAAGTATCAGTCAATTGAAGTTAGATGGGGTCTTAAGAGTTTTGACAGTGGAATACACAACTCGCTATGCCTCATTCGCTGCCTGGGGAGATGCTGGGTTACACAAATAGAAAGCTTTTCCCAGCCCAGGCTTAAATCTACATCTTCAGGCTTGGCCTGCCACTACTCTCAACCTACTGTAGAGGTGTGGCCTGTTATTTCTAAGAACGATGTGTTCACAAGTATCAAGTCACAACATGTGGTGTGGTCGAGGGCTAAAACCTTTAGGCAACTGCGGCTCCGTCCTTCCTCCAAAGGCCAAGTTCGTCTTGCTTTATTCATACGACCGCTCCGATTTCAGCAGAGCAATATCACATACATTTAGACTTTGTCAACGGCGGCACGTGCCACGCAGCGATATCCGCTTAGTGACGTCACTCTTTCCATCTCCATTGTACCCCAACGTGCTGTTCAACGACCGAAGATCACGTACCTTACACACTACGCTGCAGTCATCACAAAAGGACTGCCGAAATCACTTGGCTGGAATTGTTCAGATACAACGTCCCACGCCAAATTTCATCAAATCTTGAGGCCACTGCAGAACCGTCCACGGTCCCACCATTTCTCCACTAAGCTGCGGAACAAAGAACGAGGGCCAGTCCCAATCGTCGCCCTAATCACCACCATGACCAGCGACAGGGAACCCAAAACAATGCGAGCATGGCTTTACAGCACCGCTTCTGGGGGATTGGAGAAGAACTTGAAACTGTCTGAAGCTACGGTCCAACCCGTTGCCAAAGACCAAGTGCTGGTCAAGGTCCACAGCACTTCACTCAACCCCGCAGACTACAAAGTGCCTGAATTGGGCATGGTCGCGCGTCTCGCCATCTCTACTCCAGCTGCCCCTTGTATGGACTTTTCTGGCACTGTCGAGGAGGTCGGCGACGACGTCAAGTCTGCTGATGCTTTCCGCGTTGGGGAGAAAGTATTCGGAAGAGTTGCGCCTCAGCAGTATGGCGGGTTGAGTGAGTTTGTATCTGCAAAGCCAGAGTGCCTTGCCAAATTGCCTGAAGGGGTCAGCGAGGAACACGCCAGCTGTATCGGCACTGCGGGCATGACCGCATATCAATGCATTGCTCCGCATGTCAAGGCTGGTGATAAGGTCTTTATCAACGGCGGAAGCGGCGGTGTGGGCACATTCGGCATCCAAATTGCCAAAGCATTAGGCTGTCAAGTCACCACAAGCTGCTCTGGTAAGAATGCAGAGCTGGTCAAGAGTCTAGGCGCCGATGAGGTGATCGATTACACGAAGGAGAACGTGAGTGAGGTGTTGAAGTCAAAGGGCCAGGTCTTCAAGCTTGCGGTGGATAACGTAGGTCATCCGGCAGACCTTTACAAGGCAGGAGATGCATACCTCGTTCCCGAGGGCAAATTCGTCCAGGTTGGTGGAGACATGTCACTTGGAGCGATGTCATCACTTGCCACAAGAGCTCTGCAACCATCATTCTTGGGAGGAGGCAAGCGCAGTTGGCAGTTCTTGGTCACTGCATCAAAGCACGATGACCTGGTCCAAGTCGGCAAGCTTATGCAGGAAGGCAAAGTCAAGGCTGTCATTGATGAAACTTTTGAATTCAAGGATGCACCGAAGGCATTTGAGAAGCTCAAGACTGGTCGGTCAAGAGGCAAAATTGTGGTTCAAGGGTCAAAGTAACTGTTTATTCGAATTTGAGGATGGACCTTGTGTGTAGGGCCAACCAGTGCTTGTAGGTATGCTCGGAAAAAGGGGAAGAAGAGGGAACGAGAACCCCCCCCCAAAAAGGGAAGAAAAAGAAGAAGAAAAGGAACACCACCAGGCTAAAAGCCCGTGATAATTGAGAGGGATTATGATTACCGTAGGAGTTTACGCAGAGTAGTGAAACATTCGAGAGGATATCCAAGGACGCCAAAGAATGCCAGCGCCTTGAAATCTCAATCAAACATCCCATGTCCGTACATTGACAATGCACATGCCAAATAACACACGTGAGAAGTTACTACGCAAAACAAAAGAAACGTAACCAAACCCTTTGTATTTGGTTCACTCCTTCATTTAGGTCGTGAAAACGTGAAAGTTTCTGGTCGCCCATTCCGCTTTCTATGGAAACGTTGCAAGCGTCATTCTTAGAGCAGGTCAATTGCAAGGGCCCGTGCGGCGGAGTGCCAGCTGCCAATCTGTCATCAGCTGGGAGTCAGGTGCAGCAGCTCATCTTCTTCAAGACACTTTTCTTAACAGCCGCCCATGCTTAGGAAAACTTCAAACCTGTTTGCAACACCAAATGGACCCTCACCAGAAAATTCTTTGCATGCGTCTAGGTGGATTCGTCCTCGGCGCTTGAGCTCGGCGCGAAGCTAGAACACAACTTCATGGCTGATGGGTACAAAGTCCTCCGCGGCAGATCGACTTGCGAGATGACGCTTTACTCCATTTGGCAATGCCACACGAAGCAAAGGGTGGGTCGGAGAAAAAGGTTTTTTTGCCGTTGCGACTCAGAAGAGATCGAGGGCACCATCAAGATCGCTTTCCGGCTTGGGACACTGCTGTCACGGCCCGCCTATACATACACGTTAGATTGATCAAAGTCGATCTCACAAATGTGGTACAGTACAACCAAGTTCAGAGGACCTGTCGACATTTCAGGAACAGATCCGCGGAGAAGCTCGAGAGGCTGGCATGTCGTGTCACCAGACCAGCATATGGCCCTTCTAAGGAGAACGTGATCGGGGCGTCCTCTAGGAATGCCGTGCCGCCATTTCAGCATGAGCTTTCGAAGCCCAGACACCATTGCGACACTTGTGACTGGGCATTGCGAGATCATGTCCCAACTGCTTGACAGCCAATTAGCACTGTCATGCTCACCAACCATTGGACCGCAGCTGAGCCTGTACCTGCAGCAAGATGCACCACACCGTGTAAAGGATGAATCCATTATAAATATTACCCCCTGAAAATTGGCTATTGGATGTTGTTATGGCCTCATGATCTGTGCTCCAAACGCAATTTGTTCGGCATAGTCCTTTTTACATAATAGCGACGGGAAAGTAGCCACATCGATCCATCACGCGCTACCCCAGGTTTTACTACGTTGCCGTTAACTGCAAAGCGCCTTACGAGGTCCGGATTTGCCAAGGATTGCAAATTTTCAGTCCGAAGCAACAAAGGTTTTCGAGCTAGAGATGCTGTCATTGACTGATCTGCTAACCCCAAAAGGCATTTCCATGCCGGAAAACACTCAGCCGGCATGCAAAGCTTTCATGCTTCCCCGGATTTTTCTGTCGGAGCTCTCCTAAACCGCCTGTTCCCGCCCAATGCCCTACGTTCCACTTGGCCGGTTCACAATGTTTTTGAGGCAAAGCAAATTTTAATTGGCGTCATCTGTTACTATTCTTGCAAGAGATACGTAGCTACGTACCTGCCCGCAAGGTTTCACTAACTCTACCCATCGGACATCTGCCCAGCCTGTTAGTCATGCCAGTTTAGAGCTTTCTAGTAAGCCAAGTGGCAGTGTATTACCATGACACATCGTAACAAAGCGGTGGCCCTTGTTGTCACGATGCTTATAATAAGCCCTCCCGCACTACAACTACTCGATCCGAGTAAATTTCCAATCTCATAAACCACAGACATATTTGACTACAACAACAAAAGTTTGGCAGTGCCAACCAGAACATTCAAACTAAAGACACCAAGAACATACACACCTCACAGTCATCACACGAGAAGCATGTCTTCCTTCACAGTGACTGAGCCTCACCCAACCGTTCCTCAGGGATCGTACACTCGTGCTGGTCGCGGCGGTGCTGGTAACTTCTTCCGCGCCCCCGCCACCACACCAGCTTCCGGAGTTCCGACAATTGCCAAGCCTTTGCCGCCAAGCAGCTCTCGATTCTACTCGGGCCGCGGTGGTGCGGGAAACGCACACGCCGCTAAGGACCGCAACGCTGTTTCTTTTGATGAGCAATTCAAGTTGCAGAGCCACATCGAGGCACGACCAACTGGTTACGTTGGCCGAGGCGGCGCTGGCAACCATTACAGCGACAGTTCTGCTACACCAGCCCACCGCAAGGACAGTGATGCTGCTAGCCACCGCAGCAACAGCAGCTCGGGCAGTGTCAGGTCGGGCTTTCTGCGACGTCTGAGCAGCATCAGCTCTAAGGGCCCGCACGCATAAGTGATACCGTCAACAATCAAACCTTTTCACTTTTATTATTCCATCTTCACTCATCAGCAACGGCGCAATTGGAGTTTTCGGAACCTTGGCAGAAGGGCAGAAGGCACAGAGGGGGCAAAATGGTTATGGGGCCTCAGAGCAATCAACGGGGTCAAATGATTTAAAAGGGACTATACCCACGGCACGATCCGACCACAGCGACATCATTGGCTATCTCTTCCTGTGTTTTACAGCGAGCGATGTAATGATTTTATGGTACGGGCGTGCCGCTCCTGGCTGGCAGACTCCAGGAGATATTACTAAATGGGCATCACACCAAAGCATTTGACAACAGCAGGCGTTGCTTCTGGTGATTTCGGTTACGGCGATGATGCGGATATACCCCCCAACAGCATGCGATTCATTTATTTTTTGAGATTTTGTAATTATGAAAGGGCTGAGATGAATCGTAAATTAGATAGTTACCAGTACCAATTTACTATCAATATTGATAACAGAAACTACTTTCATAATCTTGACCATACTAGTGTCTTCTCCTTGTCTGCCACAATTATATCCTATTTCCTAACATCCGTCTCACATTGCCTTCTAGCAGAACCATAACTCCGGCAACCTTCTCTAAAAGGTTCACCAGGACCCTAGCGCCGGTTGTCCTTCGTGGCTGAGCCGAGCATAGTAAGTGCTTTAGCACACACCTTGCTTAGCAAGCGAGTGAACTCTATAAACGCCAACCACATCCTGCCACATTAACTAGTCCAACTTGGCGGCTCGCATCTCGCCATTAGAGCAGTAGTGGTTGAGAGCTCAATGCACATAGATCAACGATCGCCAAGTCAGTGCAGCTTTATGATTCTTGGATGATAATCTTGGAGCGCAAATGGCCCAACGCCTCACTGATAGTTAGTGAAGCCTGGGAATTGTCCTCACCAAGATACAACACTCATGTTGTGAATTTTAGGCTGCCAAGTGAAACTTGGAACCATTTCTACATGCAACGTTGTACAAAGCGTAAATTAGGTCAGCAACTGAATCTCACTCCTCTATATGTACACCCCTGGAATAATTAAAACCTCTGCGTACATCCTGGCCAAAGGAGATTCTGACCTCCATCACGCAAACAGATACATGGTGTAATACGTAAGAACTAATTTTCCACCATCCACGCTGCTCCAATCTGCACATGTTGCTAAATAGAGCTAGTGCCATTGGCTGACTCTCGTGTGCTCATAAGCCTTCTTGAGTAATCAGACCACGCCTCTCGAGGACTACTAAGAATATTGGAGATCCTTCGTTCCTGTGAAGGTCACTCCTCGACCCACGCAGAGAAGTGTGGCCTTTGCCATAAAGCTGGCCATGCTGTTGTCTTCGAATTTGATACTCCCTCCTTCCTCGGTTTGTATCACGTACTCCCCAGTCTTGCGATATCATGACCTGAGCTTGTATGTGCGAGGCTGAGGAGTTCCCACCTTGGAGATTCTTAGCGGGCAGTCTTAGCTCCGGGGAGGCTCAGCTTTTCTCTTCTCTTCGAGCCTGTTGTAGGATTCATGTCGTTCGATATCACGTCGTCCTCTTCCTCTTCGTCGTCCCGATCGCACTCGTCAGCCATGAATTCGGTATCGGCATCTTGATCTAGCTGCAAACGATACTGTTGAGAAACCACTAGTATTCTGTGTGTAGCGCAAAGAGGAAAGGGACTTAGTACCTTGGGATGATGGGCTAGAGGTTCACCTCTACGCATTACTATGGGAATAGGGGTTTAATTCTTGAGGCGTATAACGTGCGAATGGCGAAACGTAAAACGTTTACTTACAGTAGAGAGGACCGCGCCTTGATTATCATGAATCACACTGGTCAGGCATTTCAAGAAGGTTCCCTTGAAGAATATCATTACATCATTCACGTCGAAGCTGCAGTTGGTCATGCGCCTCCGAGATATTTATCAGATCTCTTCCAACTGATGAAACCAATCCTCCCAAGTTTGGCCGCTTGTTGTTTAACGTGCTCTTCGATTCTCGATCATCCATCCACATCACCCCAATCGCTTCAGCATTGCGCCTCTCTGCATCACTAAGATTGCTTTCGTTTAAAAGCTCCAGCACTTCGTCCATTCGCACTTTCCAGTCTGACACATAGAAATCAATACTCGAAGTAAGATCGTTTGTCACCATCATCCCACATTGAACCTGAAACTCCACCACAAGCTCTTTATGTAGCTCGACCATGAATCTGTCCCTTTCTTCTACTCCATAACAGCTATCAAGATCCCAAGTATAATTACAATAGATATTCATCATTCCCAGTGACTTAAAAGGCTAGGGAAACGGATAGCCGCGTTGTGTTTTGCCATGCTCCTGACCATGTCATAATTTCCGAGGCGTATGGGAAACAACAAAGTCCCATGAACGGACCTTTGGAGCCATGAGGAAGATCACTTGAGCATAGAAATGAGATGGCTACATCCGGTAGGTGAGCACCTGCAATGACATTAGTCAGTCAGGTCATCCTAAAGCATTTGGCCGTACGCCCATATATAATATGTTCGTCTTTGTTTCTCTGTAGATCTCAAAACCCAGTATATCACCTATATTCTGAATATGAAATAGGCGATGAATGTGATGCTGGCATTTCTTTCCATTTTCTAAATTATCAGCGCCATTTTCAGTAAGCCATTGCAAACATCCCAAAGAAGTTCCAAAAAAGGCATAAATGACCATTTAGGCAAATCTTGAGATGGTTGTGAATCGGTATCGTGAAACCCGAGGTCGTTTAAGTGGTTAGCACCGTCAAGGCCCCAGTCTCTTCCGTAGATCGCGGATTTATAGAGATATATTGCACCTGATAGAGCTAGAAGAATATAAACTCCTCGATCTCGCAATAGCCGAATGACCTGAGGTCGTGAAAATCCAAAATTCAGCGACCTTGTAAATTTGGGTCAGTAACGATGAAGACGGGGAACTTATCAACAGCATGCTCTTTAGACATTTCGCGTCGTTACCACATATGTCGGATGACCCTGCTCTTACATCGCACTGAATAATGTCTCAGAAACTGTATTGGATTATTGTAGATATGGTAATCAGCTTGAGCAGCATAACAACACAGTCCGCGCCGCTGCATCGAGAGCACCTGCTCTTTGAGCTGCCAGTCCGGCATTGCTTGATACTAAACATAGCATCACATATTCAAGGGCAGACGAAGAGCTACAGTCCAGAGAACTGAGCAATAACGTGTTGTTGGTCTCGAGTAGTAGATTTAGACAGAGGCTTGCCTATAGCAAGATATAAGGGGCTTTGGACAACCAGGTTCCGTTCTGCAAGATAAGGCGATTCTAATAATGGGGCTGATAGATTTTGACCCATCGATGATAAAATAGACGTTTGGACCATGGTACATGGTCGTAGGTCTCTTGTCGAATATATTTTTCAGATCGCAATAGAGTACCATCCATTGTTGTCTTATAAGCCTGATAACCAATGACCATCCTTATCGAAGATAGGATGTGGAAAGCTGGACTGGGTTCTGAATCAATAGTAGGAATGCAAGTAAATCATTGGCTGATACGTGGACTACCTGCCGCTGAGCTCAGCGTGGGTGAAATTTTGATCGCGAATCCCACGATCTTACAAAGACCGATAAATTTAACTTCCATCTCACGAAAACTGTCATTCACTCGGTGGTTAACCATTGGATAACTTGACAAGTCTGTGGTGAACTTCGTCGCTTTGTAGAAGCCCAATGATCCTCACCAAGTACCCTGGTGTCTCAGCCGTCGATGTGCACTTGCGTACCGAAACTCGCAGAAACTTTCCGCCTGTCGGCTCCCACTCATACCAGGTCCAGAAACAACTCGCTCATTCAAGAGCTGAATGATTTGGTCAAGCTTCTGGTTTGCACCTGCTTTATGATTTCTATTGGAAACGGATGAAGTTTCTAGTTCACTGTATATTGATCCAGGCTTGCGATGACTAGCACTATTGTGGATACAGAAGATTCTCGCAGGCTTATGATATTTTGATGTAAGGCATCATTGGATTGGACGATTTCCGCCGAAAGGCCCTGGGTATGTGATTCTGACCACATGCCTAAGGAGTCGATTGAAGTTCGAATCTGACGTATACCATCACGGATACCTGAAATAGATGTGCTGAGAAAAGTCTTATCATCTTGCATATAGATGACGGTTTTTGGCATGGCGATGTCCAAGATTGGAGGTTTTGGGATCAGAAAATGGCAGACCTCATGCTGAATTAAGCGCCAAATTAGTCTTAGCGTATGATGATGGCCCCATATATTTCTGTCAAAAACGGTGCGCACTAGAAATAACACTTTGCCCGTTTTTGGAACGGATTTCTAAACCATGCCCGTGACTACTTTTTGATCAATTCGTTCAACACCATCTACTACAAGTATCTGATGCCGTGAATGGAACTTCATATCGTAAAGCATGTATCACATTACATTCCAAAAGTATAAAGAACTTATCGGAATCTATCACCTACACGATACCAAATTTTCAATGAAGCAAAGTTGCATAAGCAGCTACGAGCTTTTCGTTACTGGAAGTTGTCTAAGAGGCAGAGCAACACGGAACCATTCATGCTATTGTTGTCGTCGTAAAAATGTCACTGGTCTCATCAAGACATAGTTCTAATCGCAGGTGTTGCAGGACGTGTTCTAACTTCCGTAGTTGTGAAGTTGTTTCTTGATCATACCGCTTGCCGTCTTATCAGCTGGGCCTGTCAAAGGGTTCCAGCTAGGGGTGGTGTCTGTTTACATTGTTGTCTTCTCTGCTCTTGTCGCTGTCCTGTTGAAGGTTTCAAACTATGAAATAATAGTAGTGTCAGCAGCATATACTGCCATACTTTCGGTGTTTGTCTAATGATGCCGGATCATAGTTTAGACCAGGGTCGACGCTGAGCCCACAACCAGTTTTAGCTTAGACGTTGGATAGCCGACCTTGAAGATGAATATTGACACCAGAATTCTAATTAGCGAAACAGTGATATCAATTTTGAACCTGTTGCCGTGAAAAAGTTAAGCGCAAATAACGATACTTGATCAAAGGGATGCCTCAAGCCGCGACTATGGAGACGCGCTTCGATGGATTAGTGCTCACTTACTTTCGTCTCAGATGGTGAGGAAGGCTGACGACAAAGCTGTCCGCATTAGTCTCTTTGTGATACTGTCCCGTCGAGCGAGGAGCGCAGCTCAGATTAGCCGGAGTCGGACGAATCAGTGGCTCTGGCATATGTCTAGGTGCTGGAGCCTCCAACCAAGAGCCCCACGACGGACAGTTTTCTGACAGTTTAGTGGGCCGTTTCAGCCGCAAGAGTCCCCATTTCAGTCGCAAGGGGTCCCCATTTCAGCCTCTTTTATGCTGAACTTCGTACTCCTGAAGCATCCATCCGCTGGTAAACCATCCATTACTTTTGCTTCCAAATAAGAGGTTCACACCGAAAACCTGTGGTAAAGCCTTGTCCATGCGCTTGTCCTTGTCAAATCCACTCGATCAGTGGCGTCCAATCTAGCGGCAGAGTTGCAGCGACAACCACCATATAGCTTCGACTTGCCACGGTGCTGGTGGTCGGAAGTTGCATTGTGCTGCATACGCGGGACTTTTAGACTCTATTAGGGTCTGACGACAGTGGTCGGGCAAAAATGGCAGTAAGGCACATTAAGATTCTCGGATTGGGCTGCGTTATGTTTACAAGCAAATCTAAATATATACTGTAGCTAAAACCTTGCCGGCTGGTTACTTTGGGCTCATCGCACATGTGCCATTGTTTCTCATTCAATGGCAACGTCGGTAGAAGCATTACCTAACCCGATTCATTTCAATTCCTGAAGATCCTCGAAAACGGTCAGGCTGTGAACACCCCGCATCTCCTTAACTTCGCGAAAGCGCGTTACCAGACTATGAATACCAAGCTGTTGGATGATATGGTACTGTTAAGCTAGAAACCATAACGAAGAGCTTTTGAACCCTTACGGAACTCTTCAAACTATCCACTCCCTACGCATCGATTATGGACGACTTAAAGGATTCGCTCACGCAAATAATCAAAAGAGAACGCGAGTCTCTAATCTCCCTCTTACTCGAAATTCAAAAACGAAAAGTTAAACGAAAAGTTGAACGAGCCGATTTCCTCTTAAATTTTCTTAACAAGCTTGAGTGTTTCCACTTCGGTCGGTGCGATAATGGAGGACCTATACTGCTTAGGAGATGGATCAATGCCTTGGAGAATGGAGATTATGTTGCGTTATCCTACACATGGAGTCCATCGGATGATGAGGGCAATACAAGCGGTCGCTACTACGTTGAGAATAGGTCCAAGAAAGTAGCCTTTCCATCCCCAGTTAGAGATTCTATCTTCCAACGGATCGCCAAATACATGCGCCACGAAAAAGTGGATCTGCTTTGGATAGATCGACACAGTATTCCCCAGAAGCCTCAGGAAGGGCATGCGTCCTACAGACAAAAAACGGCAGGCATTCAGTCCATGGACTGGGTCTACAGACTCAGTAATCACCCAGTCGCGCTTCTTGGGCGATCCCTAAGCACAAAACACGAAATGTGTTTGTTACATGGCGTCCTCACTGGAAAGTACATTCGCCTTATCGAACAAGAAGCTTCTTTCGAGCTTTCAGTAAATTGTCACTTAGAAGCAAGTCAAGCTTTAAAACTACTATACGACATAACGAATGATCTTTGGTGGCAGCGTGCTTGGACATTTCAGGAGAACTACAAGGGCGGCGAAGCGATGAAACTATTGATCTCGCACTTGCGCTCTTGGGAACCATTGAAACGACAATACGTTGTCTTCGGCGATATCCCTGGCGAATTGTGTATCGAGTCATCGAATTTTTCTCGTCAGATCACACGATTTTGTCTTGCATTTCGACGTAATGGTCTGTCCACAAGCAAAAGAAGAAGAATCAACTCTATTCTGAGCAGAGCTGGAAGATACACCATACTTCTTGATGAGACACAAACTTTGACCGCTGCGATTGTCGCTGATGTCTTAGCGCGAGATGTCAAAGAGCCCTGTGATCGGCTGCCTATAATTGCCAATTGCTGCGAGTACCCCGTCCGCTTAGACACGCAGAAGTTGTTACAAAACAAGCATAGTCTGAGTCTATCTATACTGACAACTTGCCTGCTAAATGGGGAAATCCTGCGCAACGGCCCACTCGAAGAATATTCGTCTGACACAACGATTTCTGGGTTCTTGAAACGTCATTTGCTGAGCAGAAGCTGCCCGACCCAAATCGGACGAACCCTTGCATTTAATCAAGGTTCTAGATTCAATACAGTGAAGCTCACAGAGGCGGGCATCACAACTATGGGGCACTTATGGGAAGTTGACAGTGCAATACAGACGGCCGGACTTGGTCCAGAAGCCCCAACGCGAACCCACAATCGCGGAGATATAGGACTGAATGAGTATCGGTGCCTCACTCAGCTATGTGACGAATTGCAAGCTCGCTCTGAAAATGCAATTGCAAAAGAGCTAAGACGCTACCTACAGTTGGACTCGAAAGGCAAAAGGCCTTTCCAGATCGGCGAGGATTACATGATTCTGATGGCGGCGGAGGTAGCTGCCGCCATTGGCGACGGAAAGGCAATCAGGCTGGGAAGGATCTGGGATCCCAAGGGGCACTCCTACCCCTGCACAGCATTGTTTGTATGGGATGAAGATGATCTCAAGCCTCAACAGCATGAGTCAGCTTTTGTCTTCACGTCTTTACAACCAAAATTTTTGAGTTTTAACAACTATGATGCCAGCGATGTTCATCGCCATGTTTCACTTGAAGTGAATATACGACAGGAACAGGAAAGCACAGGCACAACAGTAAATACTCCGCATTTGTACGTTCAACGGGCAGTTTTTGGGATGTGTTTTTTTTCAGGCGTACCCAAGGTGGAAGTTATGTTCCCATGGCCGTCAAATTTCAAGCACATAGGTCAGTGAACACAACGCTGTGATATAAAGTTCGCAGCGCTTGTGGCCTAGTGCGATTTCACGTTTTCTAATTGTCAACCGTCCTTGCTGATTCAACTTGCCTTAAATTGAGCGTGGCCTCACCGAATCCATGGCAGAGAAGATATGTCGCAATTCACTTGGTTTATTAGCGACCCAGATGTGCAACTTTCAGTTTCTGGAGAAGAGATTATATGAGATTATCCTATTGTCTCCAGGTATCTGCTAAGGAAGATATCGCCTTTTTTTTTCGAGTGTTTATTCAAGTACTTTTGACTTTTAGAATTTTATATTACCAAGCTTAGTTCTTCCCTTTCTTTCCAATAGTTGGCTCTGGTATTGTTCCTTTCCGAACGCTTCATGACTGCGTAACGAGCTGCGCGACGAGAGTGTGCATGGATCAGCTGTTTTAGACTCAGAGGTACACAGCAATGAAAGCACCCCGGGCATCCAAACAATTCTGGTCAGCCTTCGTGGGCGTCATTGACGAACATGCAGAGCGAGAATAAGAGCAGGTATATAACGTGTATTTAGGGCACATTTTGGCAGGGATAGAAACTATGGCGGACTAATTAAGCGTATATTATGTCAAGAAGCTAAGGCTGAAGATCGCTTGCAATTGAATGCGGTGGATTTTTGTTATGCACCAATGCGCGCGGCTAAGTCTTGCCTGTAATATTATCCCGTTCTGAATTGCGCCTCTGAATTGCACATTGTTCTACCGCTTGGTTTATTCCTAAACGAAACGATTTAAGTAAAGTTCAACAACACGATTGCTCAGGACAACCTACGGTTAGAGCGCTATATCGGCGCTAGAAAGTCAACTCAACTTCACTAACCTACCCCACATTAACGGCTCTCCGCCTGCCCCACCGAACTCACATCATACCTCGGCACAAAGCGGATTCATTCATGGCGGTGACCTCTGACAGTCCCTCCTTAATCTCATTGGAACCAAAGACGCGAGTCATAACAGACAATTAGTGGATAGCACAAAGCCAAACGGAAGAGAAGCGCCCATAACTTCGTGATATCCGTCCATGATCGGAAATAATGTTTACTATCTCAATTCAAGTCCGAATCGATGATGCTTGACACCTTACGTATACATCTATGTCTTACTTCGCTGCTCGTCACTATCCGTTGTTTTGATAAGAAGGCCTAGAGCACATGTATCTAATATCATTTAACACTCAAGTCAAAATGCTGCCTCAATTACACACTCGAAAGCTTGGGAAGAACGGCCCTGAAGTTAGTACAGTTGGCCTCGGTTCGATGGGTCTGAGTGCTTTTTACGGTGCTCCCCAAGATGACGAGCAACGATTCAAGGTCCTGGATCTTGCATACGAGCTGGGAGAGACCTTCTGGACAGTGCCGATACGTATTTCACGGAATGCCGGGGGGTGACCACTGGTCACTTCAAGGGTGCCTTACAAGCCAAGCTGGGAGTGTGTTTTTAAAGGCCAATCAACGTCGAGTATTAAGGAGATTAAGCATAGTTCTGGCGTGGCTGTGGTGGCTTATGGTGGCTATCCGTACTCTGTACGGGTTTTTAATGAGTAGTCACCCCTTGGCATTCCATCGGATAAGTTTTATATTCACAATCGGACCTCTGGTTATCGAGTTTTGAAATTAAGCCTGTCGATACTTTATATGTAGCTTATAGATGGTAAGCTTTCTGCATAAATTTGATATTTACACTTTGTTATATCTCAATTTAAAAGAAACTCTATATGCGATCCTTTTCAAGTTATTCAGAAGGTTGGCCGCAAAAGTTCCCGTAAACAATACAAAACTAGACCTTAAATGAAAAGATTGAAAGTGCTCGGTTTATTACGTAAAGATGGCATAGGTATTAGGAGTAGTAACTCGAGGCATTTAGCTTTGTATGATACTCAGAAGACACGCACTAACCCCAGTCTGGCACCTAGTGCTGGTTATTTACTAACGTTCGAACGGCGTTCGCGCAGACGAACTCCGTGCGAAAGCCGGAATCTGCGTCGTACTTTGGTTTCATATCACAGGTACTACGGGTGGCCTGCATTAATGGACAATACTAGTACGGGGTACGACTCCTGATACGCCGTAGAAGCCGGTATATATAAATAGTTTGAAGAAAGCCAAGATAATATACAGTAATGTTCTCATACTCTCTTGAAAGCACTTGAGAAGCGGTACAAAAGCAACCCCTTACATCAATATGGCTCGAGTCATTGGTACAGATGTGCCTAAGTATGGACGACGAGTCCTTCTCAAGATTATCGACGACAAAGCAGCGGACGAGCCGGACGCAGAATGGATATCCACCCCTCGAAGCTCAGATCCCAAAGACGGTTGGGAGAAGGTTACTTATAGGCAACTAGCAAATGCTATCACCTTCGCTGCACACAAGATCCTTGCAGAAGCCGGCCAACCCAGTCAGACCAAATTCCCGACTATTGCGTATATCGGACCTAGTGACTGTCGCTATCTCATTTTTGCATTCGCAGCGATTAGAGTTGGCTACAAGGTAGCAATCCGTCCTCACAGGATCCAACACGGGCAAAACTGACTGTGGCAGTCACTTTTCATCTCCCCAAGAAACTCCTTGGAGGGTCAGATCCGACTATTCGAAAATACAGACTGCGAGTACATTGCGCACACACCTGAATTTAGTGATCATGTCGATCTCTGGTTACAACGTCGCAAGATGAAGAGCTATGTTGTATCGCCGGTGCAAGAGTGGTACGCCGACCTTGGATTACCTCTGATCCCTTACGAGAGAGATTTTGAGCAGGCACAATGGGAACCCCTTGCCGTGCTGCATACGAGTGGCAGTACTGGATTCCCTAAGCCGATTGTAGTCAAACAAGGCTCACTTGCTATTGCCGACGCTCAGCGACTGCTCCCAAAGAGACATGGTGGGCACCCGTGGCTGGCAGAAATGGAGAAGACGGGCAGAATTTTTCTACCTAGTAAGTATTTCCTATCGCTACATGAATGATAGTGTTTTTTTTTTGTTTTTTTTTGTTTTGGCTTTTTTGACCGCTTCACTTAGTGCCATTTTTCCACATGGCTGGCCTCTTCTTGGCTACAATATACATTTTTCTCGATACGCCAGCGTCAATTGGTATAGCCTCAAGGCCTCTTACTGCGGATCTGGCCTTTAAATCCATCAAGCATTCTGGAGCCGAATCTACGATGCTCCCACCTTCAGTTCTGGAAGAAATGAGTCAAGAATCATCACATGTCGACTGTTTGAGCAAGCTGAAGATGGTTATGTTCGGCGGTGGTAAGCTCCAATTCTCCACACATACTACCCGTTCCAGAGATCCTATCGCTGACTGATTGTCTAGGAAACTTATCTCATGGAGCAGGGTCAAAGCTTGTGGACCATGGAACTAAGCTTGGTAATTTCATTTCTTCAACAGAGTATGTCTATGTTCTTCTACACCAATTCTCGCGAAGCACTTCAGTTGTAGTTGGCTGACCATTCCAGATTCGCCCCATACCCTATCTATTCCCAACCAGATCCGAAACTTTGGCAGTATTTTCATTTTGCCTCTGAAATGGGTGGGTTCGATTGGCGTAAACAACCTGGAGATGAGAATATTTACCAGCTGTTCGTCAAGCGCAAGGACCGACATCCTGGACTTCAAGGTGTCTTTTACACATTTCCGGAGTTGGACGAGTGGGATACAAAAGATCTCTACCGTCCGCATCCTACACTTGAAGACCGATGGTCATACTATGGACGAGCTGACGATGTTATTGTGTTCTCGAACGGCGAGAAACTTAACCCTGTTAGCCTCGAAACGATCGTGACTTCTCACCCACAAATTAAGGGCGTCTTGGTTGTGGGTGCCAACAGATTTGAACCTGCAATGATTCTCGAGCCTTTCAAGCACCCCGAGACTGAACAAGAGGCGAGAGACCTGATCGAAAGCGTCTGGCCTCTGGTTAAGGAGGCAAACGGAGATACTGTCGCTCATGGTCAGATCGACCAGAATCTCATCACGCTCTCCAACCCAGAAAAGCCCTTTTTACGAGCTAGTAAGGGGACTATTCAGCGAGCGCTCACAGTCCAGTCGTATCAAGAAGAAATTGATCAGATATACGGGAAGTCGGAACAGAATCAACATAATAGCGCCCCTCTGTTGGACATCGCCTCAGAAGAACGTTTGATGGAGTCGCTGCAACAGCTGTTTACAGACAGATTTGGGACTCCGAAGCTGGCCCCAGAAACTGATTTTTTCAGTGCTGGCATTGACTCGTTGCAGGTGATGAATGCTTGTCGTCTCATCTCTGTTGGGTTGAAAGCCTCCGGTGCTGAATTGAGTTCCCTTCTTGTTCCGCGAGAAATTTACTCTCATCCGACATTTAGGAGTCTTGCAGCGCACCTGTATAAACTGAGCAAGAATAGAGGACTTCAGGGAGACTTCGAGGACGAAGAGATGAGTGAGATGAAAATGCAGCTAGAGAGATACACCGAGGATCTTCCAGTGTCGGACCTTACCAAGCCTGCCCCAAATGATCAAGACCAAACAATCATCCTTACTGGAAGTACTGGAGCATTGGGTTCATACATATTGGTATCGTTATGTCAAAACAGTAACGTCAAGAAGATAATCTGTCTCAACCGTTCGGAAGAGGGGTGCAAGCGGCAGACACAGGTCTGTGGGTCACGTGGCTTGAGCAGGGACTTCGACAAATGTGAATTCCTACAAGCTGACATGTCAAAGCCATATCTCGGCTTGACAGTCGAAGACTACGACAGTATCTTGTCTACAGCAGATCGCGTTATCCACAACCAGTGGCCCGTCAACTTCAACATGTCGACCGCGTCCTTCGAACCGCATGTTCGAGGTGTTCGCCATCTGGTGGACTTCAGTACTCAAGCAGTAAAGCGGGTGCCCATTGCATTTATATCGAGTATCGGCACACTGGAAAGATGGGGCAAGGAGTCGGCTGTCCCTGAGGAGAGAATCCCCGATCTGAACCTAAGTATGGGTGGCTACGGACGGTCAAAGCAAGTCGCTAGCTTGATCCTCGATGAAGCCGCCACGACTTCTGGGATACCAGTAGCTATCATTCGTGTGGGGCAAATCGCTGGTCCTCGCCAAGAGAAGGGAGCATGGAATCGACAGGAGTGGCTGCCGTCACTCATTGCGTCATCCCTTTATCTTGGGATGCTTCCAGCGACGTTGGCGAATATGAATGCTATTGACTGGGTGCCTATCGAGGATGTGGCACATATTATCCTCGAAATTACAGGTGTTGAGTCTCGTGTTCCCATCGAAGATTTTGCCGGTTACTTCCATTGCGTCAACCCAGATGTGACCACCTGGGAAACTCTAGTGCCCGCTATCAAAGAGTTTTACGGAGAACGGCTAGAGAAGATTGTTAGCTTTGACGTATGGTTGAATGCTTTGCAGAAGAGCCAGGGAGCAATAGAGGACCCGAATGAAAACCCTGCCATCAAGTTGCTCGACATGTACCAGGGTCTTCAACAGGCAAGCATGGCGGGAATGCCACAGATGAGGTTTGCAATGGACAGAACCAAGGCATACAGCAAGATTGCTACAGACCTCAGAGCTGTTACGCCTGACCTAATGACACTCTGGTGCAAGCAATGGGGCTTTTGATTTCTTTATTTTTTTCTATGAAATACTTTAATTGATTGATTTGGTAACGGAGCGGCTAACCTTTATTAATGTAAACCGTGCTTTTTAAAGGCGTATGTCGTAAACCTTTATAGAGAACAATATTTCCATTTAAACTTTCATCATCATAACGAAGTCTGCCGAAAACTTATGTTGTGCAGTCAATTTTAGAGTGTCCCTTCCATTCACAAGGCTCTCCCTTAATGCTACATTTGATATGATATGATTGATTGTATTTAACGTGGGGACCGTCCCTTTTTGGGGCAAACCACGCCTCCCAGAGCCATACATCCCAGGGTTCGGGAGGTATCAGTATCTATATACGGTCCGGCCTGCGCACGTGCCGATCCACACTAGTGCAGGACCCGAGTTAGAACACTCAGTCTCTATCTGTTCAAACGGCTCTTCATTTCGGGCATGTCCTTTTGAGGAAGTTACTCCTCTTTACAAACGCGCTTATTACGCACTCTTCTCCCCCGAATATTGTGTATAAGACGCCCTTGGCTTGTGCCTCGGGAGCAGTCTGTGTCTTTGTAATTTCCTACAGAAGAAAATATGCTCTGGTGTCTTTCTCTCTCCGCAACTGCAGTGGTTATTCGAGTCCGTATGCCCGAATCGTTCGTGATATGCTGCAAAGTCGCCATGGCCAGATCTTGCCGCCAGGAGCCTGTGCAGCGTAGCCCTTTTGAATGAGACGAGGTTCTTTGACACCGCCGTATATGAATGCACATCTCTATATCGGGCTTCATCTTGGCCCTCCTACTAGCGGGCAAATTCGTATTTTCTCTTTCCTTGAGATGTCAACGTACCTATGCAGCCGTGGGCAGACTGTCTATCCTTGTCTCGAGCATTGCGCCTTTCCTTGCCGAGTTTATCTGCAGCTTCATTTCCTTCGATGTCTTGATGTCCCCGGATCTATTTGATTACCATTCCAGGCCCGTGCGCCGCAACAAGTTTCTGGAACCGCATGAATGTGCTTTATAACGATTCCGGTGGTGATCTATTTAGCCCATCCACCACGGATGCGTTGTCCAGACAGACAAACTGTCGTTTATTCGGCCCGATCGTCCTCGCCGCTGCGAGCCCTTGCAACGCTCCGTGCACTTCGGCGTCGAAGACCACTGCCTAGTGCAACCCGCCTCGGTATCGGTATACTTCTTGGGTGGTACCGCCTTTCCTGATGGTGAACCCCCAGCCTGTGCGCTTGTGTCCCTTTTCCTGTTACTGCGAGCCGTCTGAGTACCCGATCAGCTCTTCTTCCTCATTTCTCTCGTGGGGCCATTCTTTGAACAGCTGAGCTTCTCCATCCTTGCCTCCCCGATGTAGTGGTTTCTTGAAAGATGGCCGGACCAATTCTGGCCTCGGAAATATAGGGACTAGCTGATGGCATCTCTGGAGTCCTGTGGGGTCTTTTCTCGCCTGTAGTGGCAACCGCCGCACTAGTGGATGCTCTTTGACGACCCGCCCCAGCTGGAAACCGTGGCGTTGGCGGATGGCTCTGCCAGTATCTCAGCCGGCGGATGTGGTTCGCCACTCGGCCTGCCTTGCCCGTCCAGTGCTTGACATGTTCTCTAAAGGCCAGTTTCCTGTCGAGAAAAACTCCAATCCAGCGTATCGAAGGCTCCGCCCGCTTCGGCGTATTGCCATGGGTGACAATAGGATTTTCGGTGTTTCATTTTTTGGAAAAGTGCATGACTTCGGTTTTAGCGGGGTCAAATTCCATGCCATTTTTTTGTCCTCAGTTAATAAGCTCTCTCAGTTGTTCTGTCGCCTTGGCGGCTGTTTCTTGGAGTGTCGTTCCGACGTTGAGCATCCTAATGTCGTCTGCATATCCAAATCGCCGCCGCCTTGTACCCAGTTCTCCGTAGATCGGTTCCGTGTAGAGCATGCACTGTATTGGAGTCGTTGGTGAGCCTTATGGCAAACCGCAGTGGAGCGGTTCGACCTCGGTCAAGACGCCTCACTTTGGATGTATTGTCGAGTGATTTAATGCCGGCGGTAGCCCCTGGGATCTAGGTAACCCACTCACCATGGAGGGGATATGATAGCGTCATATCTACACCTGGCCTCGATCTGATTTTCGAAGCTAATATACCGCTATACGCCGAGCAGAGTATGTTGAATCTGACCTCCCCTTACAACTGAGAATAAGGGCAGTTAAGGTCAACGAGGTGTTTTGCTCAATATTAGGTCATGGCCAGTTTTGTATTTGAGATGGAAGTTGGGACTGTCATAAGTAAGGTGCTAATTACTACAATTGATAAGGAGAATGCAAAGGATCGTGATTCAGCTATGAGCCAGCACTCTAGCATCAGGTTTCCAATTGCTACTTAACAGATCCCTGCGAAGCTCGTTTCTCATAGTGTAGTCGATGAGTGACAGTATGGATATCCTATGGTGGAACTAGCAAGTGAGTTTCTAAGTGGCTCCAGACTGTTGTGTTCTACTGTACATAGGAGGCGCAGGACAGATTCGTTATTCTTTTGTAGCAACATCATGTATTACTAACTATATAATCGACTAAGGCACGGAAATATTATCCATACCTTTTTGCAGGCAATCCAGACAATTTCTTTTGGAGGGTTTGGTGAGGCCGTAACGCTGTACAAACTGTGTGCCACGTCTAGCTATAAACCTCGACAACCGGTTGCGCTCTAACTATCTAGGTATGCTACGGTAACAACCACATCATCTTCCGAAGGAAAAGCCTTATCTCCAAATGCTAGAGCTATCTCTTCGAGGGTATGGTGTGCTGTCTTGACGTAATACAAATAAGTCGAACCGGCCGAAAAGAGGCAGAACTAAATAATAATATCGACTGTGCCCACATGCCCCGCCTCAGGCTACAGGGGGCAACTCCGCTGTTCGCTCTACCTTGCACCACGCAAACATGGTTTCCGAATCGGTTGTACAACGCCATCTTGTGGTGTATGGCACCGTTGTCTATAGTTATCGCAAAGACCAGAAAATCCGAGATAGCTCAAATAAAGAATGGATAGGCTGTGCAGAGCTTATGGTGACAGCGATGGCCAATTTGATATCCTGACCGTGTCACTTCCATGTCTCCCTTAGCAAAAGATTGACCAGCGGTTATTAACATATAAGTACGAGGAGTGCCGGCCAACGAAAATTAACATGTGAGAGTGAGGTAACGGTTTCGGAACTACCGAGCGGGGCCCCGATCTTCAAGGGAAGCATGTAGAATACTGCGGTAGATGTCGATGACAGTGATAGCCACGTTTAATGATTGGAAGCACTTGCAGGCACTTTGTTCGTCACAGGAACGTAAATCCTGACGACATAATCAGCCTCGGATGCAGATGACCCGTTCGCTCCACTATATCCGCCTGTTAATGTCGCCAGGCACAATCCATTATTCACTTAATGCTCCAGTTCGACATCAGAACACTCCCACCATCCCCACCATCCCCTACCATGAACGACAACTCAACGTAATTATCATGCTTGCTGATCCCACCATCACGGCGCTAGGGTTTGACCCAGATCACCGGTCCTGCATCCTAAATGGTACAGCTTTTCAACAGGACGCTATTACGACTTTTGGTGGCTGGCAGTATGCTTGCTACTATGCATCCTTGTCTCATGTGTCGGCCGACCCGCTGTACGTTCATCTGGCACGCAGGAGATTGCCAATAGGGACCTGGGAAACACTGATCTTCAGAGATTACGAGCAAATCGTGGATGATGGGCACAACACGGTTCAGGTAAGGAACCTTATGGTACGATGAGAGGGGAATTGTCGAATTTGCAGATGAAAGGTGAAAGCAAGCGACTAAGTATTTGGTCTTCAGCTAGGAATATGTCCCGGAGATGGCACAATCCACATCTCCTACGATCATCATTGCGACAGGTGGGTCTCACCATCCATTTATCGATAGATCTGTTGATTGTTTATGCATATGTAATGCAGACTAAGATATCGATACTCATTGGTAAAAATCGCAATATGCCCTGAGGAATTCGAATGGGATGCGAAGTACTTCTCGTCCACTGTCGATTCTCTCCCCGGCTTGTCAGAACCGCATGGCCTACTCGAATACATTAGCTACCCGCGTTTTGGCCCGTTGGAACGAGACCTTTGGTTTTCCTTCCGGACTGGTAAGGCTGGTCTAGGCGATGAACTTCTCTGTGTCTACACAGCAGTGGCAGGTACTTGGACTCTTCGGGGCACGGTCCTCAAGGGAATACAAAATAGCCCGTATGTTCATGGTCTAGAATACAGAAATTCCCGCCTATTCGTCACGTGGGTATACCGTGCTTTCGTATGGTATGAGGGATGGGACGACATCTACGATGTCAAGCATAAGCAGCAGCGAGGGCCGAATGCTGCGACTAACAATCATGATATATGCTTCGCGTACTCAGATGACGATGGCATCATGTGGAAGAATGGGGGGAATGAGCAGATAGCAGATTTATCGTGGGGGGAGAGTATCAGCCCTGCATCGCCTGGTATAGTCGCCTTCAATATCCCTAAGAACTCGGGTCTCTCGAATCAGGAGTCGCAAGCTGTTGACCACCGCGGCGGTATACATGTGTTGAACAGGGATCAGATGGATGGAGCACAAAAGTGGAAGCACTACTACCGCTCACCGGATGGACAGTGGGCGCAGCGTGCGCTTCCGCACGTCAGTGGCGTTTATGGAGGTAAGCGTGGGTGCCTCGCAGTTAGTAAAGACGACGATCTGTATCTCATCCTTCCAGATAATGATGCGTTACAATTGACCATACTAAGGGCATCAAGGGCGAGTGGCTATGCTTCATATGACATTATCTGGAAAGGGGAGAAGTTTCCGCCTACTGAACCATTGGTTGATAGAGCCAGACTTGATTATGATAATATTTTGTCCGTCTTCACGCGGGCAAGCGTGGATGAAAATAGCGACCTGAAGAGTGTGGTAGTGCTCGACTTTCATTTGTGAGGCAACGGTCTAGGGACTACATATTGAATTCAGGACTTTTATCTGCAGCTAGATCGAGTTTCAAAGTTGAATCAAGGCAACGACAACTTTATGAAGGGTGAAGGCGACCTGGCATCATGTTCTGTCTCAATATCGAGCTCGATGTACGGCCCCGCGATGATAACACCGATGCGCTTGATTGGGTACCCGTTGTATGAGCACAGCATGTATGAGCACAGCATGTATGAGCACAGCATGTATGAGCACAGCATGTATGAGCACAGCATGTATGAGCACAGCACGTATGAGCACAGCATGTATGAGCACGGCATGGGTGCTACATTCACAGCAGAAATGAAGAATCAAATCAGAATGGCGGAAGGGCATGGGAAAATTGAATGCCCGCACAAAACGTTTTAACATTCATGTGCGAACTAGAATTATAGTTGCTCGGAAGCTGCTGAACGATCACGCATAAGAAGCTTCTTGTGTGCAGTATGAATAGATCCTCTTCTTCTTCTTCTTCTTCTTCTTCTTCTTCTTCTTCTTCTTCTTCTTCTTCTTCTTCTTCTTCTTCTTCTTCTTCTTCTTCTTCTCCTTCTCCTTCTCCTTCTCCCAGGTCTACTTCTCTTCCGTCAACACGATTAACGTCAAATTCACCAGTCATGAACAGTGCCTAATCGTGCCCAAAGAAACACACCAGTAACAAGAACGATACGCCATTGTGTCAAGAGCCGAAAGGTTCCTGGTGTGCAAACTTTGCATTGTCAACATGATGTTCTTCCCCCTCGTTGGCTTGACAGGAACGGCACTCTTCTTCACCGACTATCTTTTTCAAGGCGCTGAAGGGGTATGGGTTCCCATATTACTCAGCGTACCAAGTATGTTGTTGTTAGGCCTCATCCCTTTGCTCGTTACCTGGTACTTCCCCAAGCCGGAAGAGCATGGTCATTTGTTCGAATGGCTGATTTATACTGGACAAGCTGCTCGAGTTCAGTTGGGTTACTGGCTGGCATACAGCTGGTGGGCGGTCCAGTATCTTCGTTGGTACATGCGCCAGTTGCTTAAGCGCGGGACTGCAAGGGTCCCGGCGGCTAGAGTATGGAGAAGGCCGGCATCGACGCTGGGGGAAGAAGAACAGCATTACAGTGCTCAGAATCAAAGTGAAATGGTCGAGTACAGGAGCTACAAAACAACAGTATAGCGATCTTGTGACGCGGTTAGATAGTTGACATTTGAGTAATCAATTAGATCATCACCCTAAGGAGTAGGTCTTTTCGGATGTTTATTCTTTCAGCTCGCCTTGATGATAATGAGTGGGAGTAGGTCTATCCCGCACAATTCTACCCACTTATATACTCAACAAGATCCATTAGAGCTACCTAACACCACATAGCACGCACAATAATCAATGTTCCAATCCTTTGTCCTGATACCCGAAATATACCTACCAGGTCCAACAACTCTAGGCTTTAGGGAACAAACGGGACGCTGGAATAGTAGGTAGTCGAATTCTTCTCCGTGTTAGGTCATACCTGATACGTAATCGAGAATTGAAACATTAATCCTTACAAATTCACCTGTGCGTGGAACGCGATGATTACTTCCGAGGGTATCTTGACCTCGACAATAAGACGGTAGCGCCTTTGCTCTCTTTCGCATTTATTCCCTAGTACCTATGTCTGATGGAATCGCCTGCCCTGGGCGCTTTGTTACCCGATGGAGGCTTATTTCTCAAGGTCTTTGATATGGCCCATCGTTAAGTAGGCATACGGTACGTCGTAGAAGGCTGTCGGGACCTGTATCTGGGGCACCGGGGACTTCTTTGTAAGCATAACCAATGCATTTACTTGCGGGATTGCCGACAAGATATGTTTGTCAAGCGCGGTCCAGCCCTTCGTAGTGCAGATACGTGCCATCGATGCGCCTAGACCCACTCTCAAGATTTTACACAATGTTCAACGGACTACAAGTATCCAATGCAATGTAACACATCAGACATTATATATTTATGCCCCATTTGTGGTGGATTTATGGTTTGGGGCACCATGATCTGACTAAACTCTATGGCCATGACCCGAAGCGTGTAAATACTCGAAAAACATTTCAAATGCGGAGATTCGAAGTTCGTGGAGCAGAGAATATGCACTGTTGGGCAACTCTCAAAATAGTCAATTCGACTGCTGACTTGTTGCGAGACGGTGTGATTAGTTGACAGACAAACTCCATAGAACTGAGGTTTGGGCCTGAAATATGTTCTCCGTAATGGCCCCACAACAGCTCAAAGCCCACTGTTCACTTCGAGATTTTCGCGACACCAACGACATCAACGTCACCTGTAAGCTTTCAAACCATCGAAGGCATCAAAACCCGAAGTCTATGAGAATTGACCGAGCCCGGCATCATGGATCCGTTGAGAACACTCCCTGCGGAGATTGTCCTGCGAATTCTGGATTTCGCAAGCCTGGACAGCCTAGCGAAATCAAGCCGGCTCAATCGGGCATGGCACGAGTTCATCGATGCGACTCATCCAGATGCCATATTCGCCGCGAAGCTGCCCAATGTCGCGAGCTTGCGCGAACCACGAGATTATTTCCAGGACCTGACGTCATTTGCAAAGTACGGTGAAGGGGCCGAGACGTGGAAGGAGGTTTGCCGGCGGTGGACGTTGCTCGCGCGGAACTGGAGCGATAAGCTCCCCACCACGAGCGAGTCCATCGTCAGACTCGAGTCTGCCAGCCACTTCGTCTGGCGGTTCAAACCAGACTTTAAGCGGAGGCTGTTCATCTCGACAAGTCAGTCGGGTGGTGTTTACGTGACGGATATGGACACGGGAAGCACGTTATGGTCCTTACAAGGCGAAGGCGACGTGCGCGGATACGCGCATCTCGAGTATCAAGACGGCACGGCTGTTTGGGATAGGTTCGGAAACACATTGGAAGTTTGGAAGACGGATTTGCCGGGTTTGCCAAGGGGCCACTTCCGTAACGTTGCCCTCCTCCATCACGACGCCGAGACGCGAGGATTTCAGTTATCTTATAACACGCTCTGTGTGGTGTCGACTGATGGGTGTGGGTTCGTGTACGACGTACCCTCTGATGACGCATCCCCTGTTTTGCGCATGCGTATCGACATTCCGCAGGGCGCAATCGGACACCTCGATCAGAATGAGCAAGCGGTCATGTATTCAATGGGCTCTGAGGGGTACCATTTCTACGATAAAACCTCGGGCGACTCGTTAGGGTACATCTGCCCGCACCTTGTAGACCCGTTCAGAGTGTACCACATCAACCATCCAGCCCAGCCCCCGACAGACTTTGATCGTGGTAAGTTCATGAATGCCCTTGCTCCCATCACATGACTCACACGGAGCAGTGCGCCGCGAGATAATGGCCAGTTTTCCAACAAACGACCCCATCCATGCTCCATTCCCGCCAAAGAACCCCCAAAAAGACCGTCTGGTAACTTGCCGCATCCTTCCTGGCCCACTCAGGTCCAGTCTTCCCATACCCGTAGCGGTCAACGGCCCAGCACTCGACGACGACGACTGGGGCGCGGGCATGTTGCATGGCAAGACCATGGCCGGGGTTTCCCGCGGAGGTAGAATTCTTGTGTGCACCGACTGGGAGCGTGCGTTGCGCAGTGAGAGCGACTTCACTGCTGTGACGTCTATGATAGAGTGTGAGCCCACAACCGGGGCTGACTTTGACCTCGGCGGCTGGCTGTCGATACACGAGACGCCTGGGGGGAAGCGGATTATCTTCGAGGTTAAGAACAGGATCTACATACTCTCCCTGGACGCGATGGGAGAATTCAGCACGGTGATGCCGGTGCTGGTTGCGACTACGAGTTTACCCGCGTTGGGTGTACCGGTCAGCTTCATGGGCGTCTACGACGATTGCGTCATGAGCACGTTCACCATGATCAGGCCGGAGACGGAGGCGGTGGACGATGCGGATGACGAGGATACTCCGGCGTGGCGCATTGTTCCCACCAAGATCATCAGGGTGTTGAGCTTTGCGCCAGAACTCTACGAGCGAGACGCCTCGGACGAGGCGCAGTAAAGGTGTGCTGGTTTCCAAAAACGCGCTTGTAAGTAGCTGACGTGTGTAACGCCTTAGGAGGAGTCCATGGAGCATTTTCTACGGACTCAGGATGTTTGCCGTTGTATGTCAAGCCGACGCCACTGTAAATTACTGAGAGTGGTGGAGATTCCCGGCCACGGAGAAATAAGTTCTTCAGGCTATCCGCGACTCTGACAGTACCACCTTGAGTACAAATAAGAGTGCGGATCATCAAACAAATGCATGTACACCCGTCTCAAACTAGAATGACCAGCAATATTAGAGTCACCATAATGAGTGCTTCGTGCAAGGCATACTTTGCGCACTGCAGGGTAGTGCAGTGTAATGAATATGTACGTCAATATGTATTCAGATCAAGGGTCCGAGCTTCCCCATTGAAAATGAATCCCCCACAACTATTAACCTAGGTTAGTCTAGGTATGTACTTCAGTACTCAGTGTGTATGTACAGCGGCTCTTCTCGTCCCTAACCTCAATTAGTTTAGTGGCTACAACAACGCGCCCCTGCATGAGCATTAGCAGGAGCAGGAGCAGGCATGAATGAGCTGGGCAGCTCCTGAACGATTGAATTGAAGGCCAAATCCAACGCCAACGCCAACGCCAACGCCAACGCGTCGGTCGTGCATCCAATTCCAGAGTGTACAGCACACACTAATAGGCAATTCTGGCGACAAGACGTCAAGTATCTGCTGACAACGACCCAAGCATTCCCTCTGGATCTGCAACTCGACGAGCCGGACCACTCCGAACAGATTACGGCCCTGGCAGTCGACTTCAGCGCCTCGCCTCATTGTATTTGTCTTGGGGGGTTGCCGAGGACAGTCCGAACGAGTAAACCAAAAGGAAAGAGTTGACTTGCGGCAGCATTGCGACCTTTGAAGGCGCCCGAGCGACACCTGGACTTGTCCTGAAGACGTGGACATCTCAAAATGACCGACTCACTACACAATGCGCCCATAGTGCTAGACAATGGGTCGGGCACCATCAGAGCCGGTTTCGCCGGCGACGATTTGCCCAAGTGCTATTTCCCCTCCTTTGTTGGCCGACCGAAGCATCTCAGAGTACTAGCCGGCGCCTTGGAGGGCGAGGTGTTCATCGGCCAGAAGGCTGCCTCAGAACTGAGAGGCCTGCTCAAAATCAAATATCCCCTCGAACACGGCATCGTGACAGACTGGGACGACATGGAGAAGATATGGGAGTATGTCTACAGTGAGGGACTAAAGACTATGAGCGAGGAGGTATGCTGCGCCTAACACCCCATCCTCGTTCGACGGCCGGTGTGGCTAACTTGTCCCTTCCCCCCTCTCTCAGCACCCAGTTCTGCTGACCGAGCCACCGCTGAATCCACGAGCAAACCGAGATACCGCTGCCCAGATCCTCTTCGAGACGTTCAACGTCCCTGCCCTCTACACATCTATACAAGCTGTTCTATCACTATATGCCTCCGGCCGGACGACGGGCTGTGTGTTAGACTCTGGCGACGGAGTTTCTCACGCTGTGCCCGTCTACGAAGGCTTCGCCATCCCCTCGTCCATGCGCCGTATCGATGTCGCCGGTCGAGACGTCACCGAGTACATGCAAACACTGTTACGGAAGAGCGGCTACGTTTTCCACACATCAGCCGAGAAGGAAGTAGTGCGTAACATCAAGGAGACTTTGTCATATGTCGCTCTGAACCCCAAGCAAGAGGAGAAAGACTGGGCATCCTCCAAGCTCGAGCAGGGCAAGGCCGCCGAGTACACCTTGCCGGACGGAAACAAACTGAAGATTGGCCAAGAACGATTCCGCGCCCCGGAAATCCTCTTTGATCCCGAAATTATCGGCTTGGAATACCCTGGTGTCCAGCAGATCGTGACAGACTCAATCAACCGAACCGACTTGGACCTGCGGAAAGCGCTCTTCAGCAACATTGTGCTGAGCGGGGGAAGCACGCTTACGAAAGGATTTGGTGACCGGCTGCTGAGCGAGATCAGGAAGCTGGCAGTCAAGGATATGAGGATCAAGATATTTGCACCACCCGAGAGAAAGTACTCGACATGGATAGGAGGTAGTATCTTGGCTGGTCTGAGCACGTTCAGAAAGGTGAGTCGCCGCACGTGCAGGAATCGCCTTCACCAACATACTAACCCCGGGATAGATGTGGGTCAGTATTGATGACTGGCATGAGAACCCGGACATCATTCACACCAAGCTGACATAATCCTATTAAACTAATGCCAACTAATTGCTATGTATACGGACCAATTGGAAGTCATTGGGGGCCGGGAACCTGACAGTACCCTTGCCAACTGGTCAACGCGCTGTCTCTATGCGAAACGCAAGGTTTGTCTGTGTTACCCAAGGAGTTAAGGAAGCTGGATGGCATTGCCAGCAAACTAGGGACCGCTTGTGGGTTTCTGTGGCATTTCGGGCAAAGCGATCAAAGCATAGTCATCTAAGTAGAGGAAATGATACCCTGGAGTTGCCATTTGTCGGGACTTCTTGTACTTGCGATGTGCCAAACCCAAAGAGTACTAGTGGTCAGTCTGTACTCAAAAGACTCGTGAACCAAAAATAACCAAATGCCAGGGCCGCCATTCCGCATCTGATATTTGTTTCAAAATGGTAGACAAATAGACGAAGGAACTTGTTTCAGACAAGCAGCCCATCACGTTGTGGGCAGCACTTTCTCTGCGCTTTGAGACCGAATGCAATGCCCTTCTCCCACTTTCCGGAAAGAGTCTGTGCTGAGCCTCCTTGATCGTGAACAAACTTTCGGAAAACTCACAATCCACATTCCACGTAAGCGTGTTCACCCCTCACTGTGGCCCGTCGTCGGAAACCGAGTTTAAGACCGAGCAGGAACTTGTTTTGAAGAACAGGGAGCCAATAAGAGATTGGGTTGCTTTAATATTGAAAGCACAATTCACTGTAGTTAAGTGAGTCTTGCGGCTCTGCGTGTTGTTGTTTAAGCATTCTCTGGCCTGTCGTGGCATGTCTCTAAGAGAAGTCCTAAAAAAGACAATCTGGTGACATCTGCTACAAACGTTGGAGTACATACCCTCCAAAACGAGCTCAGGTTAACCTTTTCAATTGACCTCTAGCTCGGAGATATGCGGCCACAGGTCTAACGCCGAGTCACGGCAAGGCAAATGCAATTAACCTTACGACGACATTTCTCCACACAATTACCATGCATTCACCATTTTCAGCACTCTAGCAGGGGGGATCGACGGTGTCTACCGGCGCTACTCTATAGAGCAAGCGCCATTGCCTGAAGTCGTGGGGAGACTCGTCAGCTCTACGCCTCATCTGCACCCTTAATCAGCCTGACATGTGTCGTGCTGCGGGAGGGCTTCTGTATACCGCAAACGTAGCTTTATGAACTACTCATCGAAGATCTGACAGGTTGCTGCACATTGCTTTGCGGGCCACTATGTTTAGCGTATGTCCGTTTACCGAGCCAGGGCTTCTTGAGCCTATTCAGTGCAACGCCAAGACTGTGTCGTATGCCTTGGGGACATCCAAATTCGCGATGACATCTCCAAGCCTGCATGGGGTTACGTACGCGGAAGACCATCGAAGATCGAGCGAGATCGCATCTCCCACGGCTGTGCGGGCGCCGAGAGACTATATATCAGAGGAGCCCTCATGTTGGTGATAAGGTTAGTAGATCAATCGGCATCTGCTCTGATCGGTACCTCTACCCTCGTTATTGCACCTCACAGGGCTATTCTGTCTTCTTCAGTCGTTACTTAAGTGTGAATCTGTTTAAACCTTGACCATGCGGTCCTTCCTTTCCATTTCGCTGCTTTCCACAGCGGCACTGGCTACTTGCCAGAATGCTCAGCGTGCCGAGAACTCGAGCGCCACCACAACTACATCAGGCGATCTCCCTACTGTCACTTTAGATTATAGTACCATCCAAGCTGTTGGAGGTAACACCACTGTCGGCTACTACAAATATCAGAATATCCGCTTCGCTGCGGTGCCTACCGGTGATCTTCGTTGGGCCGCCCCCCAATGGCCTCCCCAGGAGACCGAGGTCAACACCGGCAACCTTGCTGATGCCAGTGTCGCATGCTCGTCGTCCGAGGACTGCCTGTACTTGGATGTCTGGGCGCCTGCCGACGCTGTTGGCCGCGACTTGCCTGTCGTTGTTTGGACTTACGGTGGCGGCTTCACCGGTGGTTCCAAGGCCGAAAACACCCCCGAAGGTCTTTTCGATCTCAGCACCGACTTCATTTTCGTGTCATACAACTACCGACTGGGTTTGACTGGTCTTGCCAACGGCCCTAGCTTCAACCATCAGGGTGGCATTGCCAACACCGCCATTTATGATGTTACTCATGCTTTTGAGTGGGTCAGGAAATACATCAGCAACTTCGGCGGAAACCCCGAGGATGTCACCGCCGTAGGTTTCTCCGCCGGTGGCTCCCAGGTCCTTTTCCAGATGACCCGTTTCGCCGGCCGCGCGGAGCAGCTCTTCCAGAAGGCCTATGTCATGTCGCCCGGTTTCGTCCCTGGTGCCGGCCACCAACATGCAGAGGCCTTTTGGCAAAACGTTTCTTCTTCCGTCGGCTGCGATGGTGGTGATTTGACTTGCATGCGCGCCGTCGATTTCGACACGCTGACCGATGCCGCTAGCACCGTTACAAGTGACTACACTTACCAGTTCCAGCCCCGCGTCGATGGTCTGATCATCGCCGACACCTACGAGGCACAGTTCTACCAGAAGCGCTTCAACTTCTCCGGCCCCGTCGTCATCTCGCACGAGCAGCACGAGGCTAACTCTCAGGCCTACTCTGGCGTCGACACCCAGGATGATGTCGCCACCGAGCTCCGCGTCTTCTTCCCTGCCATCGAGGATTCTGTCGTGGACCAGATCCTGGCCTACTACCCCGAGGAGGATTATACGAGCGCCGGTCTCCGCTTCGCCGACATGAAGCAGCACCTCGACTTGACGGCACACAACCTCGCCCTCACCAACGCCCTTAACAACCAAACCTGGAACGCCATGGTCGCCCTTGACCAAGCTACGCACGGCACTGACCAGAGCTACTACTGGTACTCCACATACACCCTTGATACCTCTTCCACCTCGGACGAGACCACGACCACTTCATCCGCCGCCGCGGCTGCAACTAGCACCGCCTCCACCGGCAACTCCACCACGGGCGGTCCCGGAGGTTCCGGAGGCGGCTTTGGAGGCAGCAGCAGCGTCGACGCGACCGTCGCCGTCACCATGCAAAAGTACCTGCTCTCGTTCATCCTGAACGGCAACCCGAACACGCAGTGGGCCGATGACAAGCTGTTCTGGCCTCTGTACAACGAGAGCACGGCCGGCACGGAGATCGTCTTCAACACCAGCATGTACCTCCAGGACGACGACCTCGCCCTGGAGAAGGTGGTTTACTGGAACAAGGCTCTGTGGTACTAGAGCAGTTTGAGAAGTCCATCGAGTGCCAGGTGAGCTAGATACCTGATCGAGTATCGGCATTGGGTGAAGAGTTTGAGTGAGGTGAAAGTCCGTGTACCATATAGAAGCCACTTGTACATAAAAAGAAATGCTATCTTAGCCATGGAAAAGTCAGACAAAATTTCTTGATGTCCTAATAATGTGCTCCCCCGACAAACATCAGGTTTTCTTCTACTGTGCTAGTTTTCTTTTATCAACAATAAGCTTAGCCTTTCATGTTGTTCTATGCTTCCCCACCTTGACTCAGAATAATCCACATGACACATGCCTACGACCAAGAAGCCAATGTTTGTCCCCACGCCCCTCCTCCCTTAGCCCTGACTCCGCAAGTACTGTTGTAGGTTGATAGGTTATCGTTCCATGAATGGCGGCACTTGCGTGTCCGAGAACCATTATTGATCAGCCCATGGGCAATAGGTTAGTGAGAAACGTGCAGAGCCTGCAGAGCCAGCTTTACCTCGAAGCGGCGCAGCAACCCCGAAGTCTCCGGGTATACATGTAATGCGATGGCAAAACCAATCGGAAACATCGCTGTTTGAATAAAGTCTTGGCTCTCTCGGTATTTCTAAGTGGATAGTTCGCGCTTATACCACCTATAAAGACTATACAGATTTCAAAGAAACCAACTTGATATATCCATTTAACAAAATTGTCCACTTATATCCTCTTTAAACCCGTGATATCCAGTTAACACAAATGTTTCCCCTCCTACTGACCAAAGTGCCTCATCGTTTTCTAGGCAGATTCAATCGCATCGATCCGTCTTGTTCGAGTTCGTTTGGACAAAGTCGCTTCGTCTGTTTATCACTTGGCGCGCGTTGATGCTGATGTAGCCTAGCCCTCGCACACCTGCAGCTCCAGTTTAGCTGATAGCGCTGTAACCCAACCGTAGTGACTGTTAATGGACGGCAAGGCATTCAAAAGATTTCCACCTAGCACCACGAAGAGTGGATCATTAGCCCCAGCCAGATCGCCTTCTATTGCAGCTATATTCCTCTGGTAGAACTAAGACGTGTCCGCCGATATTTGCTTACAACGACTAAAGTGGTCTTATCTATAGTCCATTTTGATCCCTGGATATGATTACCTCGTTAGGAAGATTTAGGCACACATTTCCCATTTCGATTTGACAACACACATTAGCGCATAGACGGGGTCCGCATCACTATAAACAGCGCCGTCTTTCGTATTCCGCCTCTGCCCCTCCCAGAATTCGAACTTGACATTTGAAAAGTTTCCTCTCGCAAAACCCGCTTGTCTACGTTTGTGTATCGACAGAGCAGAATGCCGTGCCATTGCCCAAAACCAGTCATCCTGGACGCTAAAACATGCCTTTCCGAGGCCTCTTCATCATTTCAAGAGGCATCCCGCGGCAACACCACATGGTCCACGTTGTTCTCATCGCCTCAGACGCCGACAAGCTCCATGAGCGCTGGTGTGGCGACATGCCCCTCGAACGGTTCGCTTGCGCTTCACAGGCATCAGCAGCCTGAAATCTACTATATCTTGTCAGGCTCGGGGATAGTGCAGGTCGATGGGGTTCGTCATCAGGTGTCAAAAGATACCGTAATCTGGATACCAGGGAACGCGGAACATGGGGTCTCGTGTGGTCCTGATAATAACCTTGTATGGTTCTACGTTTTTCCTGAGGGCAGTTTCGAGAGCGTGATATATCGCTTTTCAAATGAAGAGGGCGAGGCCTTTAAACAATCTATTTAGAGAGACTTTGATTAGGTTACTTATAAAAATAATTTTACCCAGACTATTTTGAAAAGGAAATATTGTTGTAAAGTTATGACATAATAATGATGTTAATACTAGTTAAATTTGAAATTATTTTATGTCCTCGGAGACTACCTCAGTCAAGAACTTAGTCTGCAACATAGTCGGTCAGAATGTGACGAAGACTGTCAGGTTCATTGACCCAGCGGTTAAAGGGGGCCCGTTAGTCCTGCTAACGCGTTTTGATAAACTTGTTTTTTTTTATTCTTTTTAAACAAGATAAAATAACGGTTATAATACATAAAAAACTTGATGTCCCTTTATATTAAAACTTAGCTAAGACATGTATATACCACTATAGCTAAGTTAACCAGTAAATACATGAGCCCCACACACAACTAAAGGTTCAAAAGGGGGTGGTGGGGGTGGGCTTGTAGTTTTGAATCCCCCCATAATCAGCTCGGGGCCGTTTTGCCACAACGCCAAGGATGAAAATGTTCGCAAACGCGCAAGTGCGCGTGTCAGCCTTTGAGCACGTTTCGCATGATAAATCAAGTCGCCTGCATCAAAAGACTGGCCCTTACTTGGTGACCCGGAGTGTCGTGATTCTCCAAACCTGAAACTCAAAGTTGTTGGGAAAACATTGAAGTGATGGAATTCCTTAAACACCACCAACCCATCCACACCGAAAGGAGTGGCAACTCGGCAACCCCACCGCAAGGTGATAAACCGCAGTCACAAGGCAACAAGCATATCAAGGATGCACAGTTTGACATCGTGCCCTCGTCCATTCCGGACGATGAGCTCGGACACACAACATCTCAAATCGCTGAGAGGGTGTTTGTGCCCTTGGAATCAATCCAACGGCAAAACGAGATCGGACATTCTGGGATGCAATCAACGGGCCAAATTGCGCCGCTTGGCATGAAACCGCGAGTGATGGAAACATTTTGGGAGGAGGAAGGAAGCGTATGTTTCCATGTTGAAGCCAGGGGAATCTGTGTCGCAAGGCGAAAGGACAACAACATGATTAATGGCACGAAGCTCCTAAATGTAGCTGGCATGACGCGCGGCAGGAGGGACGGCATGTTGAAAAGCGAGAAAATGAGACAAGTTGTCAAAGCAGGGCCATCGTGGTTGAAAGGCATATGGATTCCGTTTGAAAGAGCCCAGGATTTTGCAAACAAGGAAAGAATCACTGAGGTTTTATATCCTTTATTTGTGCATAACGTCGGTGATTTGGTATACCACCCGGCAAACCAGGCTAAGTCTAGCCAAGCAATAACTGCACCCATTCAGCGAAACGAAAACGCAAGGAACGAGAACCTGTTGAATGGCTATAATACGGCTCAGGGATTTCGGTCACTCCCCCAATCCGCGGCCGTCGGAGGCACAAGTGCGCAGGACGAAAAGTCGGTATCACCAAGTCTGAGGTTTCCACATAGCGACAGCGACGTCAGCACTAGCGATGAAGAACAAGACTTCTTCTCAAGAGCTAAGCAAGAAGATTTTGCTTGAGCGCCTGATGGACTACTTTCACTCGATTTTTCGCATTGTGCCGGGCGCCGCTCCCAACATATCGAACCGTACCGAACGGTGAATATGGTCACCGGAATGATGGTGCACCTTTCTCGATTAATGCGAACAAACAAACACGAGCCTCCAGCGATGGAAAGGTACCGTCGCGTAAGAGGGACCGAGACGATGGCGAAGATGGTGACGAGAATGATGGCGGGGAGCGTCGGAGTGAAAAGAAACAACGTATGAGGACGGGCGCTCCGAGTTCGCAGAAGAGACTAGCATGTCCATATTTCAAGAAAGACCCGAATCGTTTCCAGACCTGGAGATCTTGCCCCGGTCCGGGCTGGGAGACTGTGCACCGGCTCAAGTGGGTGGCCCACCCTTGCCCTCTGGTTCGTGGATTGAGGGATACTGATAAACACAATAGGGAACACCTTGACCGCAACCACGCACTGCCCATCAGATGCCTTCGCTGCTTTGCTCACTTTGACACGGAGAGGAATCGTGACGCTCACATGAGGTCCACTGAGCCATGTGAAATCAGAGAGCAGCCTCCTCACACCAATGGTTTTGATGCTAGTCAAAGGCTTGATCTAAAATCTCGCCCCAAAGGATACACCAAGATGAGCGAGCCTCAGAAATGGCGCCGAGTTTTCTTAATCCTATTCCCCAAGACTAACGAAACTGAAATACCCAGCCCGTACTATGAGTTCAAGATGCCGGCCGACCTCGGACATCCCCTAGATCCTTTGACGGAATACGAAAACTTCCTTCAACGTGAACTTCCGACTCGTGTGAGGCAGCAACTTGAGGGGCGGATCAAACAGGATATGGACCACATGGAAGAAGCTATGAGAGGCCAGCTCGTCGATATTGTGCGGGACATGCAACTTGAAATCTTCCGCACATTCATGGATTCTAAGGCGGAGGCTCCTGCTGTGAAAGAGCCAGATCATTCTTGCTCCCATACAACGTCACAAGCTGGGTCAGACAATAAACAACCTGGTGTGCGAACCGACGATGACCAGTCCATACGGAGCAAGACTGATATACCATGGAACTTGCAGAATCACTTAGGACCATGGCGCCCAGAACCTTACCTCGACGATTGGCTAATGCCAGATTTTGACGGCCAACTGTACGACTTTGGTGATTTTATGGGTGAGGAAACACTTCCTGACTCTGCTTACGGCACCCTGTCTATGACGAATGGCTCCGACCAAAAGAACGAGGACTCGGGCAGATAGACAGAGTGCGTCCCGAAGTCTATTTCGTGACATCCACATCTTGTGAGCCCTCCGCTCAAGCGAAGCCCAAGAATAGCGATACAGCAAGTCCGAACCAATGAAAATGATATCATTGCATCGTCCTAGACAGTCTTCACTACTGTAGGGTCAGGCACCCTCGCTGAGCGCGGAGAGAATTCGAGTCGGCCAATAACAGCGACGTGCCTCCAATGTGGGTCTGGTCTCAGGGGTAATGATCAAGCCCCTCTGTCGCACACAATTTTGGGGGGTGAGATTTAGGGGACCAGCATTTGTCCCTTCAATAAAACTTACCAGTCTTTCTGCAATTCTCACACCTGATCGAACAGCAAATCCCAATCGCATCGTACTTCTGCAATCAAACACCATGTCTGACAAGGAGAATACAACGGTTTACGTCGTCACTGGCGGCAATCGGGGTCTTGGAAACGGCCTGGTTCGGGCTCTCCTGAAACGTCCGGATACAACGGTCATTGCCACCGTTAGGAACGAGGAATCACGTCAGAAGATGGAATCCGAGGCCACAAACCTTGAGAAGGGGGAAAACAGCAAACTGCACATCGTGCCGCTCGACCTGTCTAGAGCCCCCGAGCCGCAGGACATACGCGAAGCCTTCAAGGCCGTTCACGTCGACCACATCGACGTCCTCATCAACAACGCGGGCTTCGCGCACCCAATGATCCCCATCGCGCAGACCACGGCCGCGGACCTGCGCGCCGCGTTCGAGATCAACGCCATCGCGCCGCTGATGGTGTTCCAGGCCCTCTGGCCCCTGCTGCAGAAGGCGGCGGCTGCGCCGCCCAAGCTCATCATGGTGACCTCGTCCGTCGGGAGTATCGCGGAGATGGAGCCCGTCCCGGGCGGTGCGTACGGGCCCAGCCGGGCGGCGCACAACTGGATCACCAAGGCCCTGCACCAGGAGAACCGCGATGAGAAGTTGATCGCCATCGCGCTTCATCCGGGCTGGGTGCAGACGCGCATGGGCCAGTATGCTGCGGATCAGTGGGGCTTCGGCAAGGCGCCGCCCGTGACTGTCGAGGAGAGCGTCCGGGGGATGCTCAAGGTGATCGACGAGGCCGACGAGCAGGCTTCGGGTAAGTTCATCACTCAGGAGGGCCAGATTGTGAATTGGTAGAGATGTTATCGCTTGGGGGTGGGAACAAACTTGAGAAGAGTGACGGCGCTCGTGACTCTGGGGCAGAATACCTGCATTCCTTCGAGTCTTGTTCCGTATGAATCAGCCAACTTTATGTATCACGAAGAGGAGCACAGTTTAGACCCCCGCAGTATTGCACAGATTATCTGACCGAAAATAATATTGAACACCCATTCTCACTTCCTTCCCACTCCGGTTGTCGTGAAGCCCAGAACGTAGTCCTGCCATCAATTAGCCACTGATGAAGTATATAACACCATCCAGACGTGACGAGCTTGCCTCGGGGCGCTAAGTAGTCTGCATCCACGCGTATTTCATCGCAACGATCGATCCGCAGTATGCTCAATCAGTATGGCTGCTTCGTGCACTGCAGTAAATGGATGAAAATGGTGTGTATTGATGTCTTATCGCCGGTCTAACCCCTCTCAAGCAATATCCTAACGTATCGTTCTGAGCTCTTGTCCGTACTCCGTGAGGATCTGCGTGCCTCTCTATACACCGCCGCCGAGAAAGTACCCATAAAGAGACCGGCAGCACTTGCCAGTGATCTATCGTGAGATCTAACAAATTGAAATAAACGCCGTTCTTGCAATGCCAAATCGAGCTCAGACGCCGAAGTAGTCAACGACCTTGTGCGCCGCGAGCGGCCATCCCAGGACGAGTGCGGCTAGAGGGAAGTATCTAGAGCATTCTTGAGTTAGCGTCTATATCGAGAGGATCTTTGTCTTTATCCTTAGAGGATCAAATCCCAGGCCGTGGTCATGTTTGTCTTCTAATAGTGATAGACCAACACTACTATCTTTTGTTCTCAAGTCTCAACTGAAAAAAAGAAACCCCCCCCCCCATTCGCCACTCCTCTTATCTACCCGTCAATCCGGTCCATTTATGACCAATATGATGAAATGGGCGACTTACACGACGGCGACGCTACCGGCTCTCTTGGCGATCCGACCGTAGTCGGTAGGTGCGTGGCCGCTTGCGTACCTCCGCGAGACGGTAGAGGCGAATCTAGGCTGGGCACGAAGCATGGCCCGGCGACTGGCGTTGAGGAGTTGCGAGTTCATCGTGATGTAGTGTTGTGTTATTGTTTCCGTCAATATAAGATGTCGGAGAGTTTGTTCTGATGGCGAGTCGTTTGGAACCACGAAGATGTCTACGTTTCGCGACGATTCTCAGGTAGTTGTGGTCTAGTTGTTTTCAGGTTAAAAGATGAGAGATGTCGCTGGTCGGAGGCGATGATTGATGGTTTTTTCTTTCTTTTTCAATACTTGAATATATGAGGTATCTACCGGAGCGAAAGGAACGCGAGACCTCGGTAAGAACGGGTATGGGCTGCTTTTATATGTTGTCACTTCTCAGATGCCGTAGCTGCCTTAGCCTCCTACCCCAGGACAGGAGGACCCTGGCCGTGGCCCTCACCATCGAGAGCGATCTTGCCAGATCGCAGGGCAACGAGATGCGATCATCGTGAGCCTGGTCATATTGTGCTCATTAATTGGTCAATTGGTCTCGTTAGTAGTTGCGATGGTACGATAATCCCAATTGCTCCTGCTCGAAGGATGACTCGGTGGTACGATGGTGGTATGATCAAGCCCCACAAGCCTATCCGGCGAGGCGGCGCGGCTTATTAAGATCCACATACTCATTGGCTCCGGCTTTCTAACATTAATGCATTACTCGTCAACATAAAAAAAATTGTTTATGATCCTATCCATATATTCATCAGAAATACAGTGACTAGAAGACGTCCCCATATGGCAGACTCATGCGTGGTGGAAGTCTCTGGAACTTCGGAAAACTAAGCTCAATATCTTTCTGAACGGTGGCATCATCGTTAATGCCGCGCGATACTGATTACTTAAGAATGCCAAAACCGCCCACCATGGCCTGAGCTTTGCGCGATCGCCTTAGAGGGAGTAAAGACAGTCGTCTTCCAGCCGTAATTTCCCATTCAACTACCAGGACATCGACGCCGACTGCGGATTGATATCGTTTGTAAGGCTAGTAAATAAGGGGGCTTCATTAATCATCAATCATTACCATCACCTGAAAATGCCTTTGATGCTTTTCTTTTATACTGCGCTGGCTTTGCGCTGGATTCGGCTGTCATGGCGTCCATGATTTGTAAAGCTTGCACCCAGTCCGAATTGTGGCGAACAAAATCAGGTAGTGCGACGTCCTCTTTCTGTTTCTTGTTCATATGCCCCTCTGATTGAGATAATTGGGCATGTTCTTGGTCATCTTCGTCCTTGTCCTCATACATCTGGAGGAACTGAAATCCTTGTTGTGGCTTGCTATAGCGTAGCTTAGATTTCCGACTGCCTCGGGCAGCCACTTCTTTCATCTTATTCTCATACCACTCTGGCGATTGGTCAAATGTCCAGTGTGTGAGCGGGTTGATGTAAGCCCAGCTCCCCCACGATTTCGATGACATTGATGACGTCAGGTCTGCAGTTTGGCCGTAAATTTGCGAACCTGGGCGATAGGCTTGATTGGCAGTACTGTTTATATGACTCTGCAACAGATGACTTGAGTCCTCACTGGTCTCGCTCTGTGGGTTGAAGCCTTCTATGTTGAAAACTTCGAAGGCGTATCCTTGTATATGATTGCTTCGAGACTTGTCGTATCTTTTGAGACGGAACCCATTTTTCTGACAACGACGAACTTCGTTCGATGCTGGCTCTACCTGATGCATGGAAGCTTTGTGAGGCCAGCCATTACACAGAGTCTGCGCACTCGAATTAGTGTTGCTTTGGGCGCTACTGTGCAGATCTTCTTTGGTATGCTCGTGAAGAGGCTTATCCAATGGTATAGCAGGATGCGTCGATGAAGGCGCATCGTTGTTTAAGCCCATCGTAAAGGCGGGCTGCGGATGTGGTGTGAGTGATGCCGTGTAATCTTGGTCCACGCTTGCTGATGATTGATCAGGACTGCTCTCAAAGTGTGGGCAATCAGAGGCGACTTCAGGTTGTTTCTTAGTTGGGGCACTAGAACCGAGCAAAATCGAGACTCGTGATTTGTGTTGCTTTTGCTCTGGCAAGCTACTAGCGAAATTGCGCGCCGAGAGTACCTCGCTGTACTTTGTGGGCGTTGTCCTTTTAACTTTAGCATTGGGTATGCTGAACTCTGATGGTGACAGCAATCGTCGTATCTCTTGAGAGACTGATTCATGTGAGGTGGGCTTCGTACCTCCCTTCGCCCTCCTGTCGAGTTCTGAGGCAGCTGGAAGCTCGTCATCGCTGTCTGAGATCACAATGGGTGTATCACTTTTCCCATGAGCGACCTGTTGTCGTGGCAACCCCAGATCTTGCACAGAGGTAGATCCATAGGTCCCTGCTCCAGAAGCTGGGCTGCCAGGCACATCACTTTGGACCCGTGCACACTTGTTTGACTGGGGAAACTGGCGGTTCTGGGTTGCCTGCCCCGTTCGCAACCACGGCGCCTTGTTAGTTCCTGCGTCGTCGTCACTCGGTATTGCTGTTGTTGAGATTGATCTATCTGCCGAGTCATCGCGAGCTTTTCCCAGTCCATGATTCTGATTAACGGAGTAATCATGATCATGTGATTTTCGGGTTACACCAACGTATTTCACAGGTGGTGTTAAATTTTGTGGTACCATCGTGCCTTGAGAATGGCTTCTGTGTATTACTGGCAGCTCGAAAGGGCTTCCACGAATATCTTTCTGGCCAAAGGAATGTTGCTGTAAATGCGTTGGATTTGTTGAGGGAAAGCTGGAAGGTGATGAGTTGCGTGAGACGCGCAATTGGCCGTGCGTTGTTTGTTGCAAATAGTGTTTGGCAGAATTTTCGACAGGCGACTGTTCGTCATTTAAAATAGTCTTCAAGCTTTGATTTTGGACTCCAAGATGAGTGTCCTCTCTGCCTAATCGCTGCATATCATTGACCGACGAGACTGTCTTGAAGACACCGCCGACTCTGCTTGGACTCGCTTTAGCACCGACATTCACTTTCTTGTTATTGTCCTGAATTGCGGCGTTTCGATGGTGCGCGTTTGATGATATGTTTGGTCGCAAAAGGAAGTTGCCGCCTTCGTCTTGCGTGGCGTTTAAGCCTATTGGATTGAACGGTGAACCACCACGTCCATCATTAGTCAATTGCAGATTGTGTGCAGGTTCAACTTGCGCCCTTTGCTCGCCATGCGGTAGAGCTGTGATGTTGGAGAAGCTGTTTGGTGGCCTCGCGTTGAAGTGGTTGGCAGCAGATGTGATGCTCGATTTTCGTTGGGCTTGCACGCCTTTCCTTGCAACTCTTTTCGCAGAAAGTTGTTTACCAGGCTTATCTGTAGGTTTTTGAGGATCAACATAACCCACTGATGAGTTTTGTGGGTAGTGCCATTGCTGAGATGTGAACGTTGACATGACCTGGCCAGCTCCAGTAGCCAGAGAATCGCTGAAACAATGGCCAGTAATCGCCTGGAATTCGCTAAGAGTCGGTACTCCATTGTTGTGCGTACTGTGACGTGAATCCGAGCTTGCCGGTTGGCCAAGTCTGCCAGGTGTTATACACACGTGGCCACCTTCTGTCACTGAACGACGGCAATCTTCATAGGAGCATTTCTGGCCTACAGAATTGCCAGTTATACGCACCGAAGACGATTGCGTATATTCCGCCGACGCTTCCGGTCGGACATCCTGCGAAAGTGCTCTGAGCGGTGACATATTGGCAGAGTCGCAATTTAACAAGGCAGTCCAGAAAAATTGCATGTGATGAATCAGTAGTGGCAGCTTCGTGAGGGAAAAAAGCTCAAGTCATCGCAAATGAATGATCAATGGCCTGTCTTAGGCGCCTCCCGATCTCAAACTACGAGGTTTAGCATCAGCAACTAGTTCAGGAGTTCATGAATTGCAAAGGAGCTCCGATAGTCGGAGATAGATGATATCGAGATGGGGGACGGAAGTGGAGGACGATTCCGGTTCTACCTACAGAAAAGAACTTGTAGCCGGAAGAGTTGAGAACGATCATTCTGAGAGCTAATCGCAAGCTATAGTTTGTTGCTGAGTGTGCCTTGAAGAGTAATTCGTGAGCAGTCGTTGATTTAAAACGTAAGAATGAGTCAATGATTGATGTGGCGAGCGAGCATCCTCCTACATCCGAAAACGCCAGTTAAGCAGGGGGGAGAAAGAGATCCCTTCGATATGCCTACAGTACAAAATCAGCAATCGCCTGCATATAGAAGCACCAGCTAGATTTGCAGAGTATGGCTTGTCTCAGATCTTTTCAGTTTTTTTTATCTTGATCGTCATCCTGCTCACCACAGCGGCTTCGTCATCTGTACCGCACTGGAGGTAGAGGTGGGATTTCCGCCGCAGCCTTTGGCGCGACCTCAGTTGAATGATGCGAGGTTGAGCTCCGTATAGCGGCAGGAATGTAATGAATACAATCCTTGTTTATCAGATGCCATTCACACCGACAACTATGAACGTGCATTGCAGCGTTGGTGTCGGTGTAGAGGTTTATGACAGATGAAGCGGCTCTGATGAGTCGCGGTTTCCGATTGGGTACAGAATCGGGAACCAGAAGTGGCACACGAGCAGTCCGACCTTTTACCATAGGGTCATCATAGACAGAGCAAGGTGATGTGCAAAAGCGTGAGACTTGGACTTACCCAGTGCTTAGACGAATCAATGCGGCATGAGACAGCACCCCCTAGCTATCCGAAAGTTGTGTTGATAGAGAGCGAGTACATCTACCTACCTCAGCCTGTGGGGTCGCCCACCCATAAGAGCAAGAGGATAGCTGCTAATGGCATAGACTTGCTCGACGCGACAAACAGCTCAGGTTGGGAGACCATGTGACATCAATAGCCTATGAAGCGGAAAGAATATCCATGCCAAGGTAGCTCGCTATAATTGTCTCAGACGACAAGAACTTTATGTGGCCGCAAAGCTGAAGAATGCACAAGATTCCCCCCGGGCGCGCGTAGTTGCAGCAGATTGCCCGAAATTGAGTTTGTTAAATCCGATAAAGTTTGGTCTGCGTTACCATGAATTTATGGACCGTGCAAGGGACTTGGAACGACGGCTAATTGTTTACCCGTTCCGGCCAACGGGCCTGATTTCAAATACCCAGTTCACTATCATGGAAGTAAAGCAGGTCTCGTACAACACAATTTGTTGAATTTGAATCAATTGACTGGCTTTTACAGGGTATATATATACATGTTGTAGGATCTATAACTCCGCTCATTCTCAAGTCTTACTCAACAGATTCAGCGCGCTTCCAGCCAGAATAAATCCAGCCTGGTCTTGACTGATCGCATGCTTGGTCCTGATGCGGACTTCCTCCCCGCCCTTCTGCTTCTTGACCACCAATGTTACTTCTCCCTTACCACCATTTTGTAGCATATCATAAAGACCCTCGGTAGAGACTTCGTCACAGGCGCTGATCTTATCGTAGTCAGCCTCCTCCGCAAATGTCAATGGCACCACACCTTGCTTCTTCAAGTTCGTCTCATGAATACGTGCGAAGCTCTTAGTAAGCACAATGCGGGCTCCAAGGTATCTAGGTTGCAGAGCGGCGTGCTCACGAGCGCTACCCTCTCCGTAGTTGTGCTCGGCAACAACCAGCCAGGGCTGGTTGGCTTCTTTCCACCGTTGACCGAGTTCGGGAATCGTGTGCTTCGACCCGTCCAAGTCGTATGCAGCGTTGACTTCACCAGTCTCGGCATTGGTGGCAGTGTTCAAGGTGTTGGTGCTAATGTTGGGTAAATGACCCTTGTACTTGAGCCATGGTCCAGCCGCTGAAATGGTGTCAGTTGTGCACTTTCCGGTAACCTTGACAAGCACTCGAAGACCAGACAGATCGGATGTTGGGAAAGGGTCGAAGGGGTCCAGTAGTGCAAGACGTTCCGATGTAGGCGAAACGGCGACAGGGACCGAAGAGTCAGGTGCTTGCGAAAGGGGTCGGAACTCGGGGCGGGCAGCGGCGAAAGGCTCCGAAGGAATTTCCAGACCCGCAGGAGGCGTGAAACGGAACTCCTTGCCAGACGGGGTGGGTATCGAATCGGTCATGGGGTTGAAGGTGGTGCTACCAGCGAAAGCCATGGCAGTGACGATCTCGGGAGAGGCCAAAAAGTTCATTGTGCCGGGGTTTCCATCGTTTCGGCCTTTGAAGTTTCGGTTGTACGACGTGAGAATGGCGTTCTTGGTGCCTTTCTCAAGGTTGTCCTGGCGCTTCCACTGGCCAATACAAGGACCGCAAGCATTTGAAAGAACGGTACCGCCGGCCTGCTTGAATGTTTCCAACGGACCATCTCGAGCCAGTGTTTCCCTAATCTGGTCGCTACCGGGTGTGATGTAAAAACTGGATACAGGCTTGAGACCGGCCTCCATGGCTTCTCGTACCATACCCTCAACTCGAGTCATATCCTCGTAAGAACTGTTGGTACAGCTGCCAATGAGACCAGACGACAAGATCTCGGGCCACTCCTGTTCCTGGACAGTTTCCTTGAACTTAGACAGGGGCGTGGATAGATCAGGCGTGAAGGGCCCGTTGATGTGAGGCTCTAGAGACGAGAGATCGATGGTGATAACTTCGTCGTACTTGGCGCCCTCGTCGGCCTTTAGTTGGACAATGTCGGAGTACTTTTTAGCTTCAGCAGCGATGTCGTGGCGGTGCGTCGCCTGCAGATATCGAATATGGGCTGAGTTGAAGGGGAAGATGGACGTTGTAGCGCCAACCTCGGCGCCCATGTTACAAATCTTACACCACAGACGTTAGAAACTCGTTATGCATGCCGGGAGTCGTGATTCTAATACTTACGGTAGCCATACCGGTGCAGCTGAGGGTATCGACGCCTGATCCAAAGTACTCGATGATGAAACCAGTGCCTCCTCTCACAGTAAGCTTGCCCGCGAGGTTGAGAATGACGTCCTTGGGCGAGGCCCAGCCGCTAAGCTTGCCCTTCAGCTCAACACCGAGAACACGAGGAGCCTTCAACTCCCAAGGAGCACCGACCAGCGCCTCAACAGCATCGGCGCCACCGACACCAATGGTGACGGTACACAGGCCTCCGGCATTTGGCGAATGGCTGTCCGTACCCAGCATCATCTGACCCGGGGCAGCGTAGTTCTCCAGAACACTCTGGTGAATGATGCCAGCGCCAGGTGGCCAGAAGTCAAGACCGTATTTCTTAGATGCCGACTCCAGGAAATCAAAGACCTCCTTGTTCGTGTTGATGCCAGCCTCCAAATCCTCCTTGGCGCCACGCTCGCCCACAATCAAGTGGTCGCAGTGAACGCTAGCCGGTATGGCCGTCGAGGGCAAGTTGCAGGCCATGAATTGCAGGATGGCCATTTGAGCCGAGGCGTCTTGCATGTTGACTCGGTCGGGGTTGAGCTTGAGGATGGCGTTGCCTCGCACATTGCGACCACCGTCGGTGTTGGTCAAGAGCGACTCTTCGACATTGTGCAAGTGGCTGTACACAACCTTCTCGGCGAGGGTCAGAGGGGTGGCCTTCCCCAGGACCTCCTTGACCTTGTCAAAGTTCTTCAGCAGCTTGAGGTAGGGGGGTGTTCTCGGGTTCGAGGCATCGAAAGCGGGCGTGGCGAATGATCGACTTTGCGACAGACGGCTTGTTGTGAGGCGCTGCAGAAGGACAAATCATAAATTTAGCTGAAGGGTTCCGAGAATGTGAGGATGCCGCACTCAGGCTCAAGGGGAAAGAAACGTACGCTGAAAGCCGGCCCACGGCGACAGGCAAGTTCAACTGCCCTCATGCTTGCCAATTGACCCCAGTAACCTAAGATGCAATCCCGCAGAAAGTGCAAGACGTATCAAAGTCAAGAAAATGATGCCTCCGAAAATTGATTTCGTTGATTGAAAACCGCCACGAAGTGATTGGCCCAAGACTTTAGCACTGGAGCCGGCATCGGCCCCAAAGTTTCAGCAAGGGATTTGGAGCCAAGGACGCGAAGATCTGGGGTAACACTTTTCAGATTTCAGATTTCAGAGTTCAAAATTCAGAATTCAGAATTCAGACAGTTCAGATGGCGCGCTGAAAAGCAACAAACAAACATGATCACTTTGCTGCTTACTGTAACTGCCATTTAGCCCCACTGCATGTCTTAAATCGGCCTGATGCCACGACTTTGTGAGCACCGGCATGTACCAAGCACGCCGCCGCTCAGGTCAATGTCAATGTTCTACATGTTCCCATAATGAGTGAAGCTGACAAACGATTATACGCACTTGTCCCCCAAGAAACACGGCCGCAATTTGCGGTCAGATCCGCTGAACGAAATAAGTGAGCGACTAACCACTATGTGTGTGTTTTTACAGATTATTCGCAGTCAGAAAGACAACAGTCAGTGGTGAGCGGGACTTGTCATCGGCCAATTGTTCGGCCACTGACGAATCCGCTCCGTTCTGGCCATGGACGGATCCGTACGGGACACGGAGTAACTGTATGCAATCCATCAATGATCACAGAGCAAGTCCCGCCTCGGCCACAACGCGCGCAACACAGTTTCACTGCACCACTTTCAAAGGCAGGTTGCAATATAGTACGCAACCTGACAAGCACGCAACTTTTACCGTTTCCCGACCGGCACCTCGTCAAGTCACCCATCGCATGTTAGTACCTGCGGGATTTGTGCCCTGCCTTACCATCACAAGTTTCCAGCGTTCCATCACAAAGATGCCGGCCGCACCGTCTCATCTGTTCACCGAAGATGTCCCAAAGCCTGAACTAGACAACCCGGAATCTGATGGGTTGCTGCACCCTCATCATTCGGGCCCCCATGCCAACTTTGCCGAGCGTGCAAATGCATTGGTCAACGCGACATTGGGACGCACCCCGGATGGCGCATCTGTAATCGACCCAGACTCGATTCTCGACGAGTCCGGAAGACTATATCACGGATACAAGGACGGGAAATATTTATTACCAAACGACGCTGTTGGCATCCCGGGTTCCGACGACTTTGCATGACATGTCGCTGATACTGTGGTAGGCAGAACAGGACCGTTTGGATGTCCAGCACAAGGTCTGCCTCCTTGCCTTGGACGGATGGCTCGCACTAGCTCCGTATTCCAGAACACCAAAGCACGTCTTGGATATCGCTACGGGTACCGGCATCTGGGCTCTCGACTATGGTACTGGCTCGAAGCGCAACTCGGCCAGTAATTCAGCTGACGATCATGGTAGCTGAACGATACCCCGACGCGGAAGTCATTGGTATAGACCTAAGTGCGATACAACCAGACAGGGGTTTCCCGAACTGCAGCTTCCAAAAAGATGATGCAGAAGCGGATTGGGTCTTTCGCGAAGCAGGAAAGCCCGATCCCATTCTCTTCGACTATGTCCATGCACGCTTAGTGATGTCTTGCTTCGACGACACGAGAAATGTCATGAGGCATGCTTTTAAGAACATGCAACCGGGTGGTTGGATTGAGTTTCAAGACATTGTTGTGGATACATGGGCACCCAATAACCTAGATTCACCTTTTGCTCGATGGTGGGACAGCATGAACCAAGGCGCATTCACGATAGGGCGGGATCTCAACAGGCCAAAAAGTTATAAGAAATGGTTGGAAGAAGTCGGCTGTATGAATCCATGAGTGCGATCATCCAAACTCCCCAGCTCAAACCAACTGACTAGTCGTCCAGTCGTCGATGTACGAGAGCGTAAAATCATAACTCCATGCAACCCTTGGCCAAAGGATAAGAAGTGGAAAGAGATTGGAGCATTCCAGCTGCTGAATCTGTTCGAGGGCATGAGACCAATCGCATGGAAGATGCTCAGGCTTGCGGGATGGGAACCCGAAGCAATTGACGCCTTGATCACTGAGGCCAAGGAATATCTCAGAAACATCAAAAATCATCCCACGGCAGACCTGTGAGTTGAACTGCATGGGCCGTTGAGAGCACTAGAGGCCACTAATACGAGATGCAGTCATGTCGTTTACGCACGGAAGCCTACGGATGATGAAACAAATGTATGCGGGCTTAATTAGCATAACATAATCGGCATGACCAGTACATGCCCGGGCTAGATATAGAAAAAGTTGCAATAGCCGCACCCAGTCGCGCGGGTAGCAGCCTGCACGTCTCGGAAAGAAGAAGAAAATGCCACGAGCAAGATCTGCGCCGATCTTCTTAGAGTTCTACCCACACACTTACCACGAAACAACGGTGTCAAATGTGGCTGATTTAGTTGGACATGGTGTAAAATCATTCACGTGTGCGCCGAATATTGTCTCTGCGGTAATCAATGATCGTCCATCGGCTACTCGTTCAGAAACCCAGATATCTTAATTGTTTGCTCAGTGATCTGCATGGAGAAAATTTTGCATGATGAGCAGCGTCGGGAGGTTTTTCTTGCATCACAGATCTGAATTCTGCTCCATAATGCAGATAAACCTGGAAGACGCGCTGATCATTCGGAATCAGCCGTCCACGCGAAAACCTGAGAGCGTCCCGGATTGGAGGGGAAATCCTCCGATAAGGCGAAGTAAAAAAAAAAAAAAAAACTGAAACTTGCCGTGCATTTTCAACAGCAATGTCTCAGTACTATTCTGAGGCTGGGTTAACTGCACCTAAAATTAACAGAAGTCAACGATCCCGTCACCGAGTCTTGGGTTAAGCGCGCGCCCTATCTGTCGTTGCAAATGTCGTCGCTGTGATTCCATGACTACATGTGAGGACTTTGACAGCGTTAGTGGATCCAATCTTGACAGCCCTAAACCGCCAAAGTCGTTTTCAGTGTCGCTATGTACTCTAGTACTTAGGCAGGGGTAGAGTACATAGGTGGTGTCAAATTCTTTGGTGCTCGACTATCTCCACCGTTTCCACCGGCAATATGTGTGGTATGGAGTGTCAGAGTGGGCAACAGGGCAAGTACCGGGTCGAATGCATGAGTCTTGTCCCGTGATGTTGCGCCCCGAACCGGCTTCCGGTTATACATACCCTGTGAAAGAACTGGCCCCACTGCCCTTTTTGAGGCCCTGACGCCATAGTTAGCCGCTGAACCGCCCGTTTGGGTCCAATTATAATCTTAAAATTCCGGTTGTAACGTCCGGCTCGCTTGTCCACTGCTGTCCAGACCGACGATGGACTCGGTTTTCTAGGGATTTCTTGGCATAGATGCTGCGGATTTCGTGCAATCCACTGTGGTCAACGGCTAGCTTGGCATTAGGACAAATACCAGACTCCTGATCGACGTCAACCCATAGGGAGTAGCCGATCAACATGAACCCATAAACAATAGGGCTTCACAATGGCTAAATACTTGAAGAAGAAATCTGCCTGTGCGGCTTTACATAACTTATCTCTCACTTTTCCTAGATTTTTTATTGAATGTTGACGTTTGGTAACGGTGCTCTTTACGCTTTTCGCTAATGCGAACCACATTCTTTACCTCGGACATCCGAATTACTAACACCAACCTCTCTTTGAATAAGACTGATTAATTACCATACACTCTTTCTGACCATACACTCTTTCTTTGGGCTTTAGATCCATACGACAATCCTTTCAGGCGCAATGTACTCACCAAAGTCTGCGCAACTATTTACGCTCCTTGGCTTTTTAGCCCTTTCACAGGGACTTCTCCTTGATCCCGCAACCCTACAACAAAATCTACTTGCTAGTTATGACTATGTAATAGTGGGTGCGGGGCCTGCTGGTCTTGTAGTCGCAAATCGCTTGACACAAGATGCGAACATCAACGTACTCGTTCTCGAAGCCGGCCCCATGGACTCCAGGGAGGCTAGCATCACCATTCCATCTAACATAGGAGTCGAGGTGGGAGGCCAGTACGACTGGAATCTAACAACAGTTGCTCAAACCTCACTTGATGGCACAACCCGACCCTTGTCACAAGGCCATGGTGTCGCCGGAGGCACGCTTCTGAACGGTATGATCTGGACGCGAGGCACTCAAGCTGACTACGATGCCTGGGTGACACTCGGTAACGACGGATGGGGCTGGGCCGACATGGTGCCCTATTTTAAGAGAGTCGAGGCATTCACCAACAACCTCATGAGCGGCGAAGGCCTTGAAGTCACCTTGTCACCTGATAGCTCCATCTATGGAACAAGTGGTCCAGTGCAAATCGGCTATTCCGAGTACTTGTACAGTCAATTCAACAATTTCATCGAAGGCAACGTGGCTCTTGGACTAGACTTGGCTAACGACACATCTGCTGGGGATACCAACATCGGTGCTACTATCCCACCGGCGAGCATATCAGCTACCAACCAGTCTCGTTGCGATGCGCGAGCTGCATATCTGGATGATGCCATCGGACGAACGAACTTGCACATCGCCCCTTTGCAAAGAGTCACCCAATTGATCCTCAACCAAGCCGATACCTCTTCAGACCCAATCGCCGAAGGTGTGCAGTTTGTTAGTGCCACCGATACATCCCAAGTCCGCAGCATCAATGCTACACGTGAAGTCATCCTGGCCTCTGGCGCCATCTGGACCCCGACTCTCCTCCAAGTCTCTGGCATTGGACCATCCGCCGTACTCGAAGGCCTTGGTATTGAGACTGTGGTTGATCTTCCTGGTGTGGGAAATAACCTGCAGGACCATGGGATGCTGCAGCCCCGCTATAACTGTTAGTCTACATGCCTATCATACTCGAATATGTGAGCTGATCCATTCTGTAGACGCGGATGCATTCACTGCGAAGAATCTTACAGGTGCGACCCTTCAAACCGCCACAGATGATTACTACAATAACCGCACCGGCCCTCTCACGGCAACTTTGATTCAGTCCATCGCTTACTTGCCCCTCTGGCTGCTCTCCCCTTCTTGGGAATCTCTCATCAGCGACCTTACTTCAGCAGACCCTAACACGTACCTCCCCGCTGACACTCCAGAGGCGGTTCGTACTGGCTATGCAGCCCAATATACAGCTCTTGTCCAGTCGTTGGGCAGCTCTACGGAGGGTGTCGTTGAGATCATGTCCAACTCGATTGGCACGATCCAAGTCACATCGCAACGCCCTCTTTCTCGGGGCTACGTTCGCCCCGTATCAGCCAGTATCCTGGACGGTGTTGAGCTCAATCCCAACTACGGCGCCAACCCATTCGACAAAGATCTCATCGTGATGGGTTTAGAGTGGAACGCCCGGCTCATCCAGACTGATGCCATGCAAGAGTTATCCCCCAGCCCCGATGCGTCCCTCACCTCCGGCGACCTGGCACAGCTCGAGGGTGTGGTGAACAGCGGGCTCGGCACTGAGTACCATCCGTGTGGCACGACTGCTATGTTGCCACTCGATAGTGGTGGTGTAGTTGATACCGAGCTGAAAGTCTATGGTGTGCAGCGCCTACGCTCCGTCAACTCTGGTATTATCCCTTTGATCCCAAGTGCCCATATTCAGGCTGTGACATATGCGCTCGCCGAGAAGGTTAGTCAGTTATTACACTGCTGAAAATCGATATCACTGACATATTCCGATAGGCTGCCGATATTATTATTGCCGCTCAGAGCAGCGCTGACACCGCCAGCGCGAGCCCTACAGCTACTGCCAATGTCACGCCAGCTGGAACAAGCACAATTGCTGATGATACCAATGTTGCTACCGATGCAGCGATCGACGATAGCTCTCTCGTTGATGATCTCGCAGATGTCGCCGTTACAACTGTTGCCGTTAGCACCACCGCCACAGAAGCAGTTATCCCAACAACCGTCATTGTCTTTGTCACAAGAACGATCACCGGCGCCACTTTCACTGGAACTGCCAAGTGAGAAGTCACAGCTGCCACGAAACACTAGATTTGGGAGATCCCTCCATGATCGTTTCATCTGAGCCGAGTTTCAAGATGGCTCCAAACCCGTTTGTGCATTTCGTCGAATGAGCTGCACTGCTTAGTGTCGGGGATTTCGACATGGAACAGGAACTAGAACTTATGATAACAGTCATGTCATGAATAACTTGCAGTCATGTACTACAAGTAGTAATTAGTCTAATGAATTTAATGATTATGTAGTATGAGAGAACTGTCCTTATCTGCCAAGACGACCCCCAAGAATTACCATCTCTATAGCCATGAACTGGTCGAGAAGATCGCGCTCTCCTTTCTCCTCAACTCCTGTGACAATAGCTCGGTTTGATACAACTCCTCTCGCGCGTGTAGACCGGAGCGCATGCTTGAATGGTTGTTTATGTACATTCAAATCGTCATCGCACGCCTTGAGAACATCGAAGAATTTCTCGCGGAAGGTTTCGGAACAATTCTCAATAATTGCACCGTAGAACACCATACGGCGGGACCCACGGATAGCGTGAAACTCCTTGAATCCATGCATCGCTACGTGCTCAAATGGCGTGAAATCACCATCGTTCCGTTCGATCTGGAAATGGTTGAAATCGGGAGTTTCAACGAGCCTCGATCTCTCGTTGACTGCAAGCCCTTTCTGTACGCAAATGTCAATCATGTCCAAGTGCCCATCAAGTACGGCCGCCTGAAAATGTCGCAGTCCCGGGCGGCAGCCTGCCATGACAAGATATTTACAAGACTTGCGAGACGAAAACCATCTGCTACCAAAGTCTTGCACGTTGTGGGCTCCATATACCTGGTTACTTGAAGTAAGAACGAGCCAGAGTAACTCAACTCCGACCTCGGCGGTTGTTTTATGGTCCTGGTCATTGAGGTATTCGATATGTTTGGGATATAAGACTTTCAAGGAATTCAGGACCCCATCTGCCCAGGGCCCGAGCGCTACCTTGATTAATTCATAACCGAAACAAGTCCAGCCACGTTCTGTTTGCGGAGGGGAGCGTGTCGGTACAGAGCATTGAAGAGACCACCGCCCCTGACGACTCGAAACATGGTTCTTCTCTGCCAGTCGTCACTTACGTCAATACCAGCCTCTAGTAGTACATCAAGTATCGCGAAGTTTGCCCCAAGTGTAGACTCCAGAAGATCAGGTCCGTCTAAAGTCTTGGAAAGTTGCTCTAGCTCCTTACCCAAGTATGTACCTGGACCAGGTTTGAATTTGTCTAGGAAGACCCGCAGCAGCCGCGAAGCACAGAGTCCGGCAGCCAGGTTGAGATGCTGGCGCGCGACACTTCAGCCTTGACGGACCAGATATATAGCGACGTCTCCGTGGTGTCGTGCAGTCACCGCCATCAGCGCATCAAATTCACAGTCCCAGGATATCGACCGCTGCAAATCCAGCTCGGCCATGTTGCTGCCTGCTTCTACCAGCATTCTCACGACTGCCAGCCTGCCCAGATCTGCAGCGTCGTATAGAATGGGCCGCTTGCCTATGCCTCTGGTGGGGCAACAGTCGCTCGTGATGGCGACCGAACACTTCTGCTTGTAACAGGCGATAACTGTTCTGATATGGCCAAGATCATCACAGTGGCGTACCAGACGAGACAAGATTTATCGAGAGTGCCCCGTGAGTATTGTGATCTATGATATGCGTCATTATAGTGCATTCTACTCCATATTCTAGTGCTGCTTCATTTCCCAACATGTCAAACTTTGCCGCAGCGATGAAGAGGTCTTTTACCTCTAGTTTACCGTAGATGTTCGTGTTAATTCTGGTCCAAAAATGGATCCTGTCGGTTTCTTCTTGAAAGCATTTCTGGATGATGCGCACGACATCAACCAGGAGCGATTTTATCTCTTTAATAAATCCCTGTGTAGAACAATACGACAGTTCTACAGATGATATAGAACACTGTGAAGGATAGGTCTGATGCACTGAAAGGAAGAGCCTGAATCTACACGAGCATAGGATAGCGAATACGGTGCTCGCATGAGCGTGGGATCGCAAGTGTAACACTCTAAGCGTGAAATGATAGTATAGGGACTGTCAAGTAGTATATAGAAGTCTAAGTCCACAAAAGAGAATATCGGTGTACAGAAAGTGGGCATATACCCACTGGCCAAGTCACGTGATCACCACTTCCCAAGTTAGGTGATCCGAGAGCTTGTCGTTTTAGTGTACGGAGTGCTCTCCGTACACTGTGGCCATCTATAGTCATCCATATTGCCACAAAGACATTTTGGGTTCTTACTGTGGTATGGTTTGGTGCTTTCTTACTATGAGTCAACTGTAATTGATGAAGTTCAATAACTGTGGATAAGTATATATAACCAAAAGTGCGATTATATTCTATGCATGGATTTCAACTACAATACGCCTTTCCTTGTTGAAGGTATAACAGAGGACCTGCAACAGGCTCTTTGTTCCATGAATTATGAGGCACACCACTAACTCCCTGGTAGGGCTTATGCAAGGCCATCATGATTGACATGGTGGGCAATACTAGTGCGTATTGGCACCTAGGTTGTTGATGGCAATAATTAGTCAACAAAGAGCATATAGCAAGCGCAAGTTCATATGTATGGTTTCAGGCTCCATGAGATAGCATACGGATAAGTAAGAACGTACTGAAGTTGATGATTCGCTAATGTACTGACCGAAAAAATAACACGCTTGTACATATTTGCAAACTTATCCTTCTTTGTTCAACGATAACTCGTATTTGATAAGGTAAACAAGCAAAAAGTAAACTTGGGTCTATATTCAATGTTTCATATTGTTGCATTTATTATACAAAATAACCATGTAGATTACCAGTGTGCTTCCTTGTGAGAGTAGTACCCAGTCACTATGAGCACCCTACCACACACACCCAGATATGAAAGCCACCGCCAACGTTCAAGACATCGTTTTGCATGGTGTCGCCGACTCTCGAGGTCAAGGTAACTTTTAACTAGGGCATTGGGTGGCTCATTTGAGTGTCTGGCGTCTCCTTCAATTCGCCACTCGCGACCTTGCTCTCCGGTCAGATGTTCACGGCACTTAGTCGTGGTCGTAATCAACTACTATATATAATGCCCACATGAGCCAATTTGAACTTTGACAAGCTGCTGTAACAATGGCACGGTAAGCCTCGCCGTCTATCTTCAGTGGCTCTAAATTTGCAAGAGAGATTAGGTTCAGAGGTGTCGCGGTAGGTGGTCAGTTTATCTACATCTGGTAGACAATTATGCCTGCATGGTTTACCACGATCACCGGCTTGCCTCACGCGTACTCAATGAAATCTTCGGTGGAGTTCGACGGTCTCTGCTCGTTAATATCAATATGTATTCCGTGAAAGGGCTCTTTAATGAACCGTCGTGTTTCGACTAAGTATTTGCTAGTGCTTCTTCTTCCCTTTCCACAGTTTGACTGCCTAACAACACCTGAAGATTGGGGGCTTGACTCAATAAATCAGTGATGGTCTCGTAACAGATGTCGCCATTGTACCGAAGAACCCCTTGAGATTTCAGTGATCGAAATTACAACGTGAGTCATATGGCAGTAACAAGAATGAAACCAGCTCATGCGTTTGGAATGTCCTGCACCGTCGAAGACTGTTCCCCATGCACCGCCACAACGAGCGCCTCCTGTGTGCTCGTAGTGTTTCTTCGGGTAGGCGAAGTGGTAAAATCGTATTGTCCTTATTTGTAAAGTTTGTCCAGAACGGGGGTCCGAATCTATGATAAAGGTTGCAGACTTTTTCACCTCATGAATAATCTTGTTCAAACCTGCACTGGTAAAAGTGTGTCCAATTTGGATAAGCTCGTCACGATTCAATCGATCACAGAAGTACTATTTTCAGAGACGCATGCTAGCCAAGTTGCTGGATGTAAGAAAAGAAAACCGGAAACCCGTTTGATTCTGTTTGTTCCCCTTGGCCCCCGCTTTGTTGAATATTTTACAAACGGTTGTACTTTGTCCGATGTCCGGCACTTCAGAGCCAATATGCACTTAGTGCGAAACTAACCAAACCTGGCGTCGATGGAGTAGCGGCGCTAGTGTAAGGAGCAGGAGACTTGCAGGGCGTACAGGGCGTATAGGGAGCCATGTCTCCACAAAAAGTGTTGAGATATGGTGAGACGAGATAGCAAGATTGAAGAGACTTGGAGGACGTGGAAGCGATTATTCAAACTCTTCTTTTAGCTTGTAAGTTAGCACTTATGCGCACTTAAAACACTGAGTCATGGGTTGAGTATATGAGAGCCAGTGGCTTGCAGTGGCTGTTGCTGCCTGCACATGTAGAAATAATCACGTATCACATCATATAATCCTTAAAATTTTAGATTTTTTTTTCAAGGCCACATGAATTCGAGCCAATGGCAATGGATTCATCTTCCACCGTCGAGACAGACATGCAAGGCGGAGTGCATCAAGGTATCGTCCGTCGTCAAGTCTTGCCCCACACTCCTGTTTCTCCACTCGAAATTCAGTCGGACTCTGAACTCGATCATGTGCTTGAGGCTTCGCGCATTGCCGACAACGAGGCACCCGACGGCGGGCGTGGCTGGGTAGTAGTTGCAGCCTGCGCAGTCGTCACCTGGTGGTTTGTCGGCACCAGCTACAGCTGGGGAGTGATGCAGAATGAGTTGGTGGCTGAGGGTGTCGGTTCTGCCGCCACATTAGCGTTCGTGGGCTCATTGTCTGCCGCTTTGATTAGTGCGCTGGCGATCGTGAACGCCCGTATCGTTCGACGCCTAGGCTCGCGCCGTACGGCCATGATTGGCATCTCGTTTGTCGGCCTTTCTGCGCTGACGAGCAGTTTTGCAGTCAAAAATATTGGTGGCCTGTTCTTTACCAGTGGAGTTCTTCTTGGACTTGGGCTTGGGTAAGTAATACTTCTATTCGCGGCGATTTCTTTAGTACTGATCATACAATCTTAAGCCTTTGCTTCATGGTAAATACTTCCATAATCTCATTGTTCGATTCAAGCTGACATCTGATGTAGACTGTTTCGATTACCCCAGCTCAGTACTTCAACCGTAAACGGGGACTCGCAAATGGAATCGTGTTCGCTGGAGGTGGTCTTGGCGGTGCTGTCACAAGTTATGCCTTGGACATCCTCATCCAAAAATTCGGCTTGGCTTGGACTTATCGGATCCTTGGCTTCGCAACTTTGATGACCGGCTTGCCAGCAGCATGGTTCATCCAAGAACGTGTGGCGATACGCACCGGGGTTCTTATCGAATGGTGTGTAATCTTCTCAGCTTGATGATGCTCGCTAACACCTGAAGGCGTCTGTTCCAAGATACAGGCTTTCTTCTGATATTCACAGCTGGTGCTCTTGGAACCTTTCCTCTCTTCGTTCCGCCGTTCTTCATACCGCTCTATGCCAGTTCCATGGGGCTCTCGTCAAGTACCGGGGCCGCACTCTTAGCAGCATTCAACTTCTCTTCTGCTATCGGACGAATCCTCTGTGGATACTGCTGCGATAAGCTGGGCGCGTTGAATACTCTTCTGGTCTCTCTCATGCTCACTGCAGCTAGTATGCTAGCATTGTGGCCCATTTCAACTACTCTGGCACCTTTGGCTGTATTCGTGATTTTGAACGGTGCCGCTAACGGCGGATTTTTTGCGACTATGCCCACTGTCGTTGGGAAAACCTTTGGATCCGCTCGCGTCTCCGTCGCAATGGGCATGGTTGTCACAGGATGGGTCGGGGGATATTTGATGGTAAGCACCGCCGAGACTCTTCATACCTATGCCGCATTTATACTCAATACACGCCCTTGATGCATCCTGCTAATATGCGTTAGGGGGCACCGATTGCTGGCTATCTGCTAGATGCCTATGGCGGAAGTGATTCTGGCTTGCAGCCGTATCGTCCGGCCATGTTCTACGCTGGATCTCTCGCACTCGGCGCGGCTGGTCTAGTTGCGTCTATGCGATTCCGCGTGACAAGGAAGATCTTTGCGCGCATTTGAATTAGCTTGAAGCTAGCATCTTTGACGCAGGAAAACTTAATGGTCCTGCTGACATGGAACTCATTGGGACACTTACGATGTTCATTCGCTAGAATTCAAAGATAGTACGATTAGGTTATAGATCTCTGTAGTTATGGACGGGAATAACAAAGCCTTAGCTGAAGACTAGAAGAGAATACTATGTAGAATCATGCCACAGCGCTACGCAAATACTTTTGCCTTGTAAATTGCGATCACATCTTTCTCTCTTAATCCATTCTCAGCCGCCTCTATAGAAGGAACTACAATCGGGCAGTGTGTGCGCGCCCTGCTCCATCCACCCTTCGAGTACGAGTAATTCAGCTCCCCTTCAATCGCTAAAAGTCGGCTCCAGCTTGGAACTCATCATAGCGCCGTACGTCTCCCCAGAAGTCAGGCAGCCGGGTCAGAAATGATATTTTCACAGTCTCTTGGGCTTTAGTGCTATACCATTAGGAGTCAATGCGCTTAAGACTTGTGTAGGACTTGTTTAATATGTCTATTTTGTGTTTGAAAACTGATCAAACTAATGAAAGACGTCCAGCTGTTCCTGCTATATTGCCACCATTACCATTGTCGATGTTTCAATATCCACATTCGAGCACTTCCCAGTCCCACCATAGCTCACCAATCAGATCGTCCAATAGATTACAACATCTACCAACTAGGACATGATATACGAATGCCAGTGCTGTTCCTTGTGAGATGTGCGCTAGAGAGTGTTTGCTAAAGCAACGGTCCAGCGTCATGATGCAAGGGCTGATGACAGGCCAACATCTTGTTTGAAGTGCTGCAACCAGCTAGGGTTATCGGCTGGTGTTTGATTCCACGGATCATCACTAGTAGTGTTAGGTGTGATCAGCCTTTTGAACGATTCGCCGACTCGGCCGGGCTTTACTTACTCATCATACATGATCCATCGAGCTTGGTATTGTAGTTCTTCGTCTGTTGGAACGTGACAGTTCGGGTTTCGAGGGGAGGTGGTGTGTGTCACAAATCGGGTGAGTTCTCTGGCCAGATACCTATAGCAATTGCTGTCGTTGAAAAAGCCTGGCGTCACAGAAATAGCAACAGGGCCTGTTCCAGTAGCGACTGGCAATGTTGGCTCTGCTAAAATATGAGATAACTGGTCATACGACGTAAGAAAAGGCTCAGTATCTGATATACATCGGTCGTTAACGTTGTGTGGTGAATTGGAAGCAATGACTGGGGCGCTGGCCATGTTGAGGCAGCCGTCTTTCACAGGGGCTAGATTCATGCGTTGGCGGAAAAGGTTCAGCCAGTGGGACGACCGATGAATTATTCGGAATAAAAATTCCGGAAACAGACGGGAAGGCTTAGGCTTCAATGCTTCCATGCGGCTGACGATGTTCCATGCCTCATCTTGAAGAGTCTCATTCTCAACATTGGTCACCACCGACCGAGAAGTTTCAACGAAGTCGAAAAGCTGAGCTTCCAGGATGCAACCTTCGAAAACAGTCCGCTTCCCATAAATCTTCAGCTGTGTAATCCGCGACCTTGCGGCGATTCTCATCGGCCGAATCCGTGCCTGCTTTGTGATGATGTCAGACGACATGAGTAAATCGCGAAGCCAGGATGATCCTGGAGTTGTTGTCTCGGAATCATGTGACAGCATCTCAGCTCCAAAAACAATGCAGCAACTTTCATACAGCAGCTCCTCGTCTGTAGGAGGCCGATCAGACGTGTTCATATAGTTTGTTGAGAAGTATTCGAGCTCTAGCCCAATCAGATCATAAGCGCTTGTTGGTGACTCCACAGGCCCTTGTGTCGTTGTGAAGGGCCAAGGGGAGTTTCGCTCGTAGTGAATAAGATCTGTGACCAATGATTAGTACGTCTCACCACAAGTTGTGTTCTGGCAAACCTACATGGGGGCATGGACTTCTCCACCATGTCGAGGACATTCGTCTCGAATCCCCAGTCACCCTGCCAATCAGCCATAGTTTTACCCTCCTTGAAGTGGTCTGCTAAATGGTCGATCCGGTCAGTCCAGGAAGTCATGGTCAGGCCGCAGAAGCCGCAGCGAGATCGTATGACATCGTTCTCGTACTTCCATTGCTCCATAGGGCTGGACTTGAACTTGGCGTCGTGCACCAACTTCAGATGTTGCTGCAGATGGTCTTTTCGATAGAAAGTTCTGTCCTCCGGATGGCGTTCTTGACAAACGCCGTAATTATGTGTTGCTAGGTGACTCTGAGAAGGCCCTGGTTCCGAACAATAAACGCAGGTATCTTTGCCATCGCTTGTCTGATATTTAACACCATGCGGGGAGCACCTCCATTGCTCCAATGACAGATGCAGAGACTTCTCGTGACGTTGCCAGTTATGTTTTGTTTTAAAGGTTTCGGTGCAAAATGTGCATTGAAAGGTGTAACGTGCTGGCCCAAGAGTGTCTTGAACACGGCCCAATGGCCGTTGAGTACGTCCCCTTCGCCGCCTTCGCCTAGTAGAGGTTTGAGGAGGCGCGATCGATTCTGGTGTTCCGTGAGAAAAAGCTGAAGCGGACGAATTCTTACTAGATTGCGATAGGCCTATACTGCTGGCAGATGAACATTCACTCAACGACCTGGCAGAACTTGAGTTCGTCGCATATACATCGTCGGTTAGTCGATAATCAGTTGGGAGCCCTGACACAGCCTGGGCAATTGCAGAGACACTGGCTGGCTCATACTCTGGCGGAGAGTTCCGCCATCGTTGGAGAGGATCCATTGATTCGGCAGGAGAGGACAGCTTAGTGAGCTGCGGGACATCCATCGCACCAAGGCGACTTGGCCCTACATATGGTGTCGACGGTCTAGTGACTGCCACTTTTCGTCGCTGGCGAGCATTCTCGAACCAATCAATGATATCAGCCTTGCTGAGAGTGGTTTGACGTCGTATGTTCTCAAAATCTCGTGTTGTTGGAAAAGTCCTCCTCGCAAAACAGCTTTCCAGGACCCTGGAAGATGCAGACGAGATTCGTCTTCGTGCCTTACCAGGGGCTACTGGCGCAGCATTCGTCGAGTGTTCTGGAGCAACATGGTCTTCAACCCTGGATGTCATCGGACCACTATTGGGTAACTGTCTTCGATTGTACGGCTCACCGGATAGCAGCTCGTGTAGGAGACTACCGGTAGTAACGTAGTCGGCGGGTGTACCAGTCTCGGCAATCTCATCCCCTGGTAGCCGGTTTACACCTTCAATGCTGCTTGCCTGATTCAACTCAGGCAAGCCTATGAAACTCTCATACTCAGACACCAGGTGTTGTGGTGAAAGAATGGATGAATCATCATGAGGTTGAGCGTTCTCGCTGCTGTGGTTCACATCAAGGTCAAAATCGATAGTCGACCAATCGACACTGAAATTTCCCGTTGACCAGTCCATTGCTCCTATGATGCAATAGGATTTAGAAAGACAGGCGCATCAGAGCCTACGGCGAACCCTTTAACCTTATCGACAAAGGCTACTCATAGCGTCTTTCTACGAAGTAGGATGCTTTGCAGTGGCCAAGCGTCATGGTTTGACGCAGTAAGATAACTAACTAGGTTAACCTAGTCTAGTTTGGGGAACAGCCGACTTTCGGAGAGTCCGGAGTTGCCGCCGCGCTATGTATCTAACGAAGATAGTGAGCCAATTGAAAAAGTGCACTTATTGACATAATGCAAGCTACTTCAAATACAGTGGATGACTTTACTGAACCAAGACTTCGATTTCTCCTGCTCATTCCCACACGCAACCGAAACATCTTTCTCGTGTCTCATTGCAGCGAACTCTGTCTCAAAGTCCATTTCTCGCAATGGAATTATCTTAGATCTCAGAGACAGCTTGAAAAAAATGTAAAGTGCTAGACGGCATCAGTGAGCAAAGTATTTGGATAGAGTTGAAAGAGGAGCCAGCATACCGGCGAAAATGAAGACATTCAGGTAAACGGTAATGAAACCTGACGCAGTAAAGTTCCCTTTCACGAACACGTCGAAGCCTATCATTGTGTCAGCATGCAGCCACATACCCGGTCTTGATAGCCTACCGGCGAAGAACACCACCAAGAACACCATCAGTAGCGTAGCCCACGAGACATAAGGCTGGCCGGGACCGCGATACGGAAGATCTACGGTTGAATAATTAATCAATTCGGCCTTCCACAGATAGAAACACATAATGCATACCGTGTCGAGAATATCCTTGGACCTTTAAGCCAGCATGAAACCGCAAATATGTCACCTCAATGACAATCCAACCAATTAAACCGGCAATAGTGGTGATGTTGACAAACCATCCAAAAACAACTGAGGTATTGTTACCTACGTTGAGATATACTAATGGCAATAAAAGACAAGTTAATCCCACAGCATAATGTGGGGTGCCGAATCTATTGCACCGTTGAAATATGGCTGGTGCATGGCCATCGCGACTTAGACCATAGAGGGTTCGCGACGCGATGAAAATGCACGCGGATCCGCTAGATATGGCCGATGTGCAAACGATGGCGTTGATTATTGACGGAACGACCGAGACACCCGCTCTCGAAAAAGCTATAACGAATGGTGATTGTTGTGCCGTGCCTGTAGAGATGCCTAGTTCGGCGTCGTCGAACGGCCTATGCCTACCAGTCAGATTTATTGACAATCTAGGGGGCAAAAGCGAAAGACCTACACGATCATTCCCACGATAAGAATACTGAGAACGTAAAAGAAGAATACACGAAAGAACGTCTTTCTTGTAGCAGCCGGTATGATCTTTCGTGGGTCGCGGGTCTCAGACCCCGAGATTGCCACCACTTGTATGTTACCGTAACTGAAAGCAGCAGATAATAGTACTTTCCAGAAGGCCAAAAACCCACCAGTGGCGCCGGCTTTGATATACGTATTGAAAGCTCCGGGGGTTTGCCAATAACGGAAACCAAGACGTTCGTGATTCGGGCCACCGCCGAGATCGATTACGAGACCGCCGATGATCAAGCCAATGATTAACATGATCTTCAATGAGGCGAACAAAACTTCCGACTATAGTTCACCTGTTAGCTTTACCCAACAGCGAACGAAATACGTATTAACGCATTTGATGCACAACTAGATCTCACCTCTCCGTACAACCTTACGCCGCAGAAATTGAGGACCACGATGAACAACAAGAAGACGGTAATCCATACGGCAGGGTTTACCCACCAGTTCCAGAATTGAACAATAGTCGCGGCAGCACTAATCTCAGCTGGTACCGATATAGCCATGGTATACCCTCCAACTCATTAGTTGTGCTTGAATTGTAATCCAATGGTTTTCGACTCACAAAAGTTCCATCCGGTCGCAGCACCAAGAGCGGGTTCCACAAACTTCGTGGCATGGCGAACGAAGGCACCCGTTGCGGGCATGAAAGCCGTAATCTCTCCAGTCGTGTAAGATACGCCGGCCGTGACAAAGCCCATTACTACGTAAGCTAGTAATGCACCCGCAGGCCCTGCCGTCGCAATCGCTGTGCCAGAGCTCAGGAACAAACCTGTGCCCTATAACCAGCATCAGTACATGTCACAACATGTCATAAACCGCGTGCGCAGACGTACAATCATTCCAGCTATTGCGATCATGTTGATATGCCGCGACCGGAGATCGCGCTTGATATTCTCTGACTCAGCGACAATCGGACTGCCATCGTCAGAACAACCCTCCATCTTTGGGGCTGCATCAAACGCCCCAGCATGCTTATCATCTTGCTCCATGGCTATGACAAGATGGGCTATGTTTTTTCGAAAAGTCGGCACATGGATTGAAAGGTCAGCGTGTTGTGTCTTGGTCCCCAAGTTGAACTTGGTTGTGTCTAAGTTCTTGTTTCTTCCTGTATTTTCGTACGGAAATAGTAGAGAGGTCCGACAGCTAAGTGATAAGCAGTTGGATCCGTCGGCTGTTACCGATAGCATGGTGGAGGCGGTAGACCCGCAGATAACATCTACATTGGGATCCAGAATGCTGGCGTGTAACACACCGAAGATAGCTGTCATGAGGCAGTAAGCAGGGTGAATGGAACGTCCTGATTTTAGTATATTCATAAATGAATATTTTGTGCTAATGATTTACAAAGACATCCGTGTTCAGTTAGGCTGGTTTAGTCAGAATTTACGGCATACAAAACTTTTAATAAAATAAATTATATGAAAAAAGTGTTTTAACTTTTATCTCAAGAACTTTCTAAAATATTTTTAATCGCTAGAACTCTTGTCTCCTGTTCGGTCGGTCATTCAGACAGCCGCTTAACTTTTGGATACATCCTTTTTGCTATCGAACGTTGTAATGAAGTAATAATGTAAGGTAAGAAACTCAGGTCGACATGTCTCACTTGTATCGCTTGCACAGCATAACTCAACTTTGCTCTTAAAAGAATTTGTTGCATTTGGAAACAAATAGCATTTGTTTCATCCCAAGTTGCCTAGTGGGCTCAGAATCCATATCAATCACAATAATTACATCCAGTGTAGCTCGACGGGGTCCCAGTCTCAGTCGTTGACCGATAACGTTCTTTGACTTGCTGCGAGAGGCTTTCTTCACGATGCTGACGACATTTTCACCTTGTCTTATACCAGTCATACGCTTCGCCACCATCTCAAAGACCAAGTATACCACGCGAATGTCCTTAGCGCTCAGTAATACTCAAAATATACCAGATGCAAGTCGACCATGCGCGATAGAGTCATCAATGAAGCTCATAATCGCTCACTTGACTCTGATTCTCTAGTGCTTTTAGTAGGTGGTACGTTCCCCGACGAGTTGTGGGCCTCTGTTATTGGTTACCCAGAGCATATTATATCTACCTCGCCTACAGAGAGACCCCCGCTGGCTAGTCAATTTGAAAATCCTGCAATGGGTTGTAGTAAGCGGTGTGAATTCACTAATGAAGAATTCATCGCCGTTGCCGCAATATCTCGACGTTTATAATTGCTTGAATATGCATGGCGCTATGGATTTTGTGGCAATGTATGGACATCTTGGAATCCTTCAAATTCTCGCTGACCATAGCTGCAAAATGAATCTCCAGCCAGATTACAACTGCCTGGCTCCCAAAACTCTCTTGGTATGTTACACAGCTCATATTGAAGAAACATTCTGATTTACCAAAGACTGCACTCAGAAATTGTTTTCGTGATGCGGTTAATGGCAATCCGCGCAACACCCGCATACTTAGATGGTTCATTGAGCATGACCTTGGCCGGGGTTTGTTACAGCAGTAAGACCTTGCCACCTCATTCGTCCACGATGAAGAAGACCAACCTGAACAATCAGTTTTGCACAGAGCCTTCACTTACAGAGGCACTCCAGTCGAAGTGTTCGAGTTGCTGCCCCAAAGTCAACTGGGTAGAAACAACCACCAAGACGGCAAGGTATGGACAGCTCTCTTACTATATAACATTAATTACATCATCCTTCAAGATGCAAAAGTCCACCTAATTGTAGAACATGGAGCAGATCCCAATACGGGACTGAATGCGAAGAGACGCGAGATCTTTTGCGCTATTAAAGAAGGCAATCAGGAGCAGTAGCTCAATGCTATCATAAAAATGTGGAACAAGACAATTCATAAGCAGAACCCACGAGAGAGAGGAACGAACTCATCAGAGATATCAAAGTCCTACGAAAAGCATCCAGAGACCAAGGGGGAAGAGATTGATTTCATTGTCGATAATGAATCAGCGAGCAATCGGCGAGCAGTACGTAGTGGGGCTACGTGAATTGAATCATTGGACAATATCTCACATTCTAGACATGGCCAAGGCCGAGAATGACCTGAATGAAGAGTGCCTTTATACGTTGAGGAGACCGAAGCCGATGAGAACAATGGCGAACAACCGGCGATGGACGCTCCAACCTGCAGAGGTATCGAAGGCCATTTGTAGAGGTAGCTTCAAATATCGAGAGCAATTGCGACGATTCAATGGTAATTCAACGAGCATTACAAGATAGAACATTCTACGAGAAATGGAGACATATATTTCTACTGTCCTTGTTACAAACCCTGGTTTAAAATTTCACTCACTTCATGAGTTTTAGTTTTACATCCATAAATGGCAAGCCATAATTGGTCAGGGCTATCTCAATCTTTAAATATTTCCCCCATTTTTACGAAAGTTTACATATTTTAATACACTGCTTACCAATTAAGCGAGGAGATAAAAACGTCGATCTTCCTCTAGATATGTAATCCGTTTCTTATTACTAGCGAATGAGTCGATCTTGCCATAAGCGTCGCTTTGCCCATTACCATCAATGGCGAACATGTCGAATCCAACGAAGATACAGAGCCTAGGATAGCCGCTCCATTATTGGGACCTATGCCAAGCAATAGTTGCAGGACGTGGCTTATCCTGCGTCTCAAGTACACTAAAGACTACATGGTTCCTGTACCGAACCTTGCCTCCTATCGACGAAGCGATATAGCTGTTCAAAACCAGCTGTGTGATGGCGAGAGGCCATAGCGACATTGAACAAATAGAATGATTGTCGATGATGCATCGAGAGAGTGTATCATCTGAAGTCATCGCGGAAGATCGATTGGGGATGCCGCAGTCATCCATGTCATTGTCTTCCCTGTGCAATAGTGGCAATCTTGTGTTAGACGGTATGTTTGAGGGAATTTGCCCATTAGATATGTGAATACATTGAAGAGCTCTAAATTATTTTGCAGCGTTTCGCAAATGTCAACTATTTGAACATTGAACGATCCTTGATTATTGGAATGACATATGTTGCGACGAGATTTCACCATCGGACGGCCATGACCCCTCATGCTCCTTGACAAGACTGCTGAGCCTGGTTTCCACAAGATTGGCTTCAACAGTTTCAATGATAGTCGCGGGCTAATCAGATTGAATTGACCCCATGAGGCGTGGCGGATGACTTTCGATAGCTTCTTTGCTAACATAATTGCTGAGCATAGCGATATCATCTTGCCCGAGCCTCTTTGCGTATGACTTGAGATGTCACGGAGGATATGTATTAGTGAGGGCCGTACTCATCGGGCCCTTTGACCGCCAGGGCTAGAGTTGCACGTGCTGTCATATGCCTTTCGCGGTTTTCCGTGGGTGACGGGTTAGTGTCCATGGCTAGGAAGATCATGGTTACCAGAGTGGAGATGAATAATGTCATTGTATCTCGCATATCGTAATTTAAAATTATTCGGTAAAACAACATTTTCTGTCAGTAATGGAACAGGAGATGCTGAAACTAGACGCGCAACCTCGAAATTGTATTGGTGATAATGTCCGTAGTTAGCTCTGGCGGTAAGAATGATTGTTCGGTGGAAAACATGGGAATGGAGAGATCATGTTCGAAGACACGCAGCTCACACATCGCTTTGATGTGGTAACCATGAGAAAATGGAAAGACATCGTCGCTTAGTCTAAGGTATATTTCATCCATACCACACCGCATCGACGGCGGATGGGAGTGCCATGGTCACGTGACCATCGGATATACGGGTCCACGTCAAGTGCCGGTGCGCCTAGGACTTGGCTAACTAGCCCGTAGCCAAAAGTGCGTTGGAGTTGTCCCCAGCGCAACAACAATTAAGATTGTGACCATCACAGGGAGGCTGCGGTGGGTGGAGGGACCCCAGGACCTTTTTAACCACAGCTGGAAGTCGGAATGGAAATGCGCCTCATAGACTGAAAAGAGCCTGAACGTTGATTTTCCAGGCCGTTTCAGGGACATTAGACTCAATGCTGCTCCTGAGAAAGAGCCCATGACGCATACTCTGTTGCGCTGGAACAAGTGGGGCGCGTTTACTAATTCCACGGCCTGTATGATGAACGGTTTCCCAATCTGACCCATGGCGAAATGATTATAAAACGTACTCAAAATGATTGCGACCTGGATATGGATCCGTGGTAGTGATTTGGCGTCGGTCAGCTCCCAACTCCCGTGGCTTCTTCTCCACGGCGAGGAATCGACAGCCAAGGGCGAAACAAAGTCAGCTCTGCCTAATCTTGCACGCCATAGCGTACTCACAGGCCTGTGCAAGAACCAAATTTACGAGCAGTCAAGAGCATAGGTTCCTTTTAGATTTTCTCGGTGTGGCAATAGCTTCCAGGATGGTATCCATCTGGAAGGCGGGGGAACTAGGGTGGATCGTCAACGATATAGTCCTGAAGAAGGGCCCGCAGAAACTGGCCATCTGAAAGTACTGAAGTCCATTTGGAAACCGAAACTGTAGCTTGAACGTGGGTTGATCACCGTGGCGGCATGATGTGGAGCTAGATACTGTGTTTTGGTAGGATTGCTATTGCCAGGCGATGGCAGTGCCGACTCATGGAACGTGGCACATCAAACTACAGAGTCAAGGTACGGGTTATCCGGCGCCGGAAGAGATGGTGGTATAGCCGGGATATGGGGAAAGCTGTGCCGACGTCGGGTTTCCGGTACCGAGGCCAGCTGAAGGAGGAGGTCACCCTCCTTGATCTGACTGACCAGGCTTTTCGCGTCAGTACCCATGCGAATTCTGAAGAGAATATGCTGGGCCTCGGCCTCGGACGCATTTCGGAGCAGCTGATAGAGAGTTTGGTATACCTGGCTGTCCTCAGCGAGGGTGTCGTACTTTCGTTTCAAGGCTTGGTGCGAAGTTTCATCGGCATTGGCTGTGGCATATACGCAATCGTGAACGTTTTTGGCGCAGGAATTGCAGACAGGTCGATGCCCGGAGCACTGTAGTCCCGGGTAAGGCGGTTGCACCACTAGTCTAGAGAGATATGGATGGATGATATGCCTCAGGTCATACCTTGATTTTCCTTTTCCGACACGTGTTGCAAGCCGTTCTTACTGGCTCCGGCCGGTTTAAGGCGAGTTGTGAGCTTTCCATTACGCCAGCGCTGTTTCCTGGAGGGGATGGTGAGTAGGCTGGTAGAAGCGGGCGTGGCGGACGTTGTTTTGTTTGTTTTGCAACATGTGCCATAAGGAACTCGTCGGGTACTAGGTGGCAGGAGCAGGTGGAAATTGGACAAGGGAAGAAACACTACTACAATGCTGGGGAATGAGGCATAGAGCAGACAAAAGTCGACAGTGTGCAGAAGCTTCAAGATCAATCTATCCACCATTGAGAGGAGGAGTGAACAACGGTGGAGACTGCGACAATGATGGATCGAAACCTAACAACATACAATTGCAACACAAGGTAGAAAAGCACCTCGCTACAACGGCCTGTACCTTGGGGGCTAGATGCGCACAGCCAGAGCCCAACTCTTCCCATCCCTACCCCGCACAAGTTCACGTGCACAGAAAAACAAACCGCAGCAAAAGGAGAACGATTGAGGCCTGTGTTCTCGGACCTTCGCTACGTTAAGGCTTTTGTTCTGCAAAACTTCTTGCGCCCATCTTGTTATTCCCTGCCGTAAACCTTGCTTGGTACAGTAGACAGACAACAACATTGTTCGTCTTCCGCCCTGCCTCAGTGGCCCGGTATTGCTTTACTTTGGCCGAACCGGAGTGGTCTGCATCAGGATCAAGTCGGTGCTGAAACATGGATAGGAAAAGCCGCGGCTTTTCCGAGGCATACCTTAGACACCCAGCATCTTGCCGCGATTATTCGTAACCCGTGCTGCAAGTTCCTCTGAGTCGAGCCTGGCGAGAAGCAATTCGTTGATCCGCCGAGTTGTACGAGTTCCTTATGATCGTAGTCGTCGTGGTTGAGAGGGTTGGGCGTTTGTGGACGTCATCTTGAATTTTGCTGTGATTTATTGGGATCGCGCACAATTAGACTCGAGCATTACAACGCGGTTCCTCACCGCTTTCGAATTTGCGCTGAATATACCAGTGACGAGCTCAAACAGGCATGTTGCGTACAGTATAGCATGTCTTTACAGAAACCGAGTCAACTCTTCTATACCACGCACTAAAACTATAAACCGTCAAAATGTTAACGACCTGGTGAGAACAAGTCCAATCGAGCAATGCGGAGTCCCACCGGCATGCTGCGCAACACACACACCCCGCTACTAGCGTTGGATATGTACTAATTAGCGTCAGAGCCTCCGGTCGACACTTGCAGGATTCTGTGTTTTGCTTCCATCGCGGGAACATCAACCCAAATAGACAGACATTGATTGGTAAAACCGGCTTGAGAGGCGGACAATCAACCAGCAAATTTGATATTGTGTGTTCTGCTATTATCGCTTCGGCAGACACAAATCCGCACTTCATCTTACGTCCGGATTACTCAGTAAGCACAAGACCATATTCATCCAAGCCCACCATCAGCGCACCTACCCCACTCGAGTGATAGGCTCGTAATGGAAACGAACAATGCGAGGCACAATCTACGAATCCTGAATGTGAGATTGGATGCTCTGTTATAACGGGGTCAACGAGAATCTCTTGAGCCTATGTGATCTGTGGAGATATCAACGTTTATCTCTACCGCACGCTAACAGCCGCAATATATTGACACCTTTGTTGAGCATGTTCGGATCCAAGTTTCTGCTGAGACTTGCCATGGATTCTCTCAAGATACTTGCATCCTCACAACTGACCTACGATCTGGCGGATTGGAACTTTTCTATATCCGAGGATATGAAACATTGTAGAGCAGGTTTCCGCTGCGTTTTATGTCAACACCGCTGGGAGCTCCTGCTTGCGATAGAGTGTGGCCCATTGTGCAGGTTGCGTCTACGACGACCGGATTAGGCTCGAGGGGGTTTTGATGGTTTCCACCAATGCTTGGATCAAATATCCACCAGCGGCACAGTAACCCGGTGGCGGCAAGCGTACGAGCCACAGGAAGCTGAATCAGACTGCGAAAGCCGACGGTCATGTAAATATTGTTCTTGTAGTCAATGTGTTGCTTCATCCAGCCCCGAGTCGCCAAGCGCGTCGTTTCTGTGAACCAGCTTTTGGAATTGTGATTGCGAAACCGATCGTTGCTCGAACTACTTCCTCCTTCGAGATTCGATGTCTAATTGTCGCCACCACCACGAGTCTTTCCGTCAAGGTACAAGGAAATGTTTCTCTGTCAGTCTTCGGTGTGCTGAAGCAGATCCTTACGACATGCGGCTCAATCACTAGCCTCGCATTACTCCATATCACCAAACTTTAGGGCTGTTGTGGCTATCCGGACTTGAGCTGGTTAACTATCGCCATTTTGCTATTGCTTCCACACGCATCCATTATGTGAACTTCCAACACCAACCCCTCAGACATGGTCGACCTATGCCGCGAATTTCGACACGGTGTGATCATCAAGGAATGGATTACAACTCATCTTTCTCAATGCTCTCCCGCGGCTTGACTCCAGGTCCACTGCCAGGCCCTTTCTTCACGATGGAGGTGATGATCTCGTAGACCACTTGAGCCGCAGCAAGTGCTGTTTCCTCGCCGGCATTCTGGTATGCAGGACTGACTTCAACAACATCAGCGCCGATAAGGTTGAGACCCTCGATACCTCTTAGGATTTTGATGAACTCCCTTGTCGTCCAACCACCAGGCTCTGGGGTGCCGGTACCGGGGGCAAAGGCCGGATCCAGGACGTCAATATCGACGCTTAGGTAGACTGGTTCATCCGTTCCGAGAGTGCTGAGTATGCTATCGATAACGCCTTTGGTTCCAATCTCGTCGATGTCGTCTGCGACAATGCGAACCCAGTTTTGGGAACTATCATCTTCCCAATCACCAAAATCATCGCCGGATAGACGCGTTCGCAGTCCTGCGTGCATCGAAGGGGCCGAGGTCGAGTTGCTTAGCAAACCCTCCTGGCCAGCAAGCCAAAACATGGAACCATGGGTAAAGCGTGACTGCTCACTAGACCATGCAGAAGGATACTTGTCGGGGTGCCAGGTATCCAGATGTGCATCGAAGTGAAGCACTCGAATGGGGCCATAGATTTCCTTCAGAGCTCGCAATGCTGGAAGAGCAAGCGAATGGTCACCACCCAATGTGATCAATTTAGGGTGGTCTAGTTGATCGTACTTTGTGGGATGCTGGTGCAGCTCCCGGAAAGCGGTTTCCATTTGCCGAACCGCCAGAGCGTTGTCAACTGGAGTCACAGGTACATCTCCGCAATCAATGATCTTTGCCCAGTTCTGGTAGGGATTAATGCCAGCCCGAGCATTGAAGCCCCGAAATGATGTCTGTCTGGCAGATGCAGCCCGAATCGCCCTGGGCCCGAAGCGAGCACCTTTGAAACTTTGTTAGTCTTGTCTCGTCGTTTCGGCAATGACAGGAGCTTTACCTGGGCGATAACTGACGGCTGTGTCAAAGGGTACACCAATAACAGCTATGTCGAAATCTTGCTCTGGGTGGGTGAGACATTTGGTATGTTGCAAATGCGCAAATGTGCTGATACCAGAGAAGCTCCACTGAACCGCCCAGGCACGTCAGCAATGAGTTTACTCCAAAGGCAAGGGGTGCGCAAACCACAACAAGCTGGTGTTTCAATACATGAAGCGAGCAGGGTGCGCAAAAGAAGCCTTACATCTGTTCCCCATTTTCTTTCCAATTCGTCCAACTCTTCTTGTGTGAACGTCTTGTGGTTTTTGTGGTCACCACACCCCCGCGCTAGAGCGGCGAGCTTGGCCAGCCCCAGGAAGAAATGAGCAGCGCGCATCTCGCAAACCTTGTCGTACTTAAGACGACTGCTCGGTATTTAGTTGGTAGTGAGTATAGAATTGGAATAAGAAACAAGATCTTCGATATTTTGCTCAGTCGGTCTACCCTCCTTGTTAACTGCGTGCGAGGCCGGAGCCTATTCGACTCCATCGTTGTGCTCAGGACGCCGTAGAGGTTAACATCAATCCACTATCATACCGATGCGCTATAGACCCTATTACTGTTTTGGGCAGCTCCTGCCGAGACCTGGTATCGAGGCGAGGTGCCGATTGCGTTCAGCTGGACAAGTCCAGATGTGAGACGAGCGAGAAGCGTGCGCCTATATTTCCTTATTGGGACACTCAACCTACCGGCTTCAGTGGATACGCCATTCCCCGCACCCCCCGCAGACATGCTCGGTTGTTCAATTAGGGCATCGATGTCAGTGCATTGCCGTCAAGGGCATGACGCTCTTAACCTAACAAATTGCACTAAGCTAGCACTTGCCTTAGCATTTGGAGGAACGGCACAAGTCTGGGGAAGGGGAGAGGATATAGACGAGGCTGGAGGTAACAATGTGCAGGCCGGGACTTTCCAACCTGGCTCTGGCCGTGTGGGGAAGATCAACATGGTAGGGTGGCTTGACTTACACGACGGTATTACACACCCACAGCCAAGCAATCAAGAGCTATCAATAATGCTCCTTCCGACACTGGCATTACACATATAGAGGGCAACCTGGTTGCACTGGGTAGCATTTGACTGTAAGTAGAAGCCTCTCATCATCTTCATTTCTGGTACACTTCAAAGTGTTACTCTGAAACTGCTATGGACTCCCCTAGATTAGAACCGGTCAAGTCCGGCGGAAACTTCAACTCGGACGCCATGGATCTCGCAGAAATGGGCCATACTGAAGTGCTGACCCGAAAATTCGGAACGTGGAGTATCTTGGCCATGTCGTTCTGCGTACTGGGAACTTGGGCAGTATTCGCACAAGATCTCGCAGACGGGCTTGTCAATGGTGGTCCAGTCAGCATTCTCTGGGGCTTATGCCTTGTGACGTTCTGCAATCTCTGCATTGCGTTGTCCCTATCCGAGTTCTGTAGCGGGATGCCAACAGCACTCGGTCAAGCTTATTGGGTGTATCGACTCCTAGATACCCCCGGCGGCCGTTTTGCTTCCTATATGACAGCTTGGATCAATGTATTTGGTTGGTGGACCTTGACTGCATCAGTCGTTGCTTTTATGACGGAGTTCCTCCTGGGTATGAAGATTATGTTTGATGAAGAATGGGCCGGGGCAAATGAAGGATGGCTATCATTCTTGGTGTATCTCGGCATCACATTTTGTTTTACACTTGTTAACCTATTTGGCTGTCGGAGCGACAAGTTTCTTCCGTGGTTCAACAACTTCATGGGCGTTGGCTTCGCCGCACTTTTCATCATCATCTCTCTCGTTCTCGTCATCACAGTCGGCACTAAGACCGAACTTTCTTTTCAACCACCCACATTCGTCTTCCAAACATGGATCAACGAGACAGGCTGGAACGATGGAGTCACCTGGTTTATGGGACTTCTTCAATCAGCCTACGGATTGACAGCCTTCGACTCAGTCATTCACATGGTTGAGGAAATCCCTCTTCCCAGAAAAAACGCACCTAAGGCCATGTACTTGTCTGTCATTTTCGGCGCTATCTCAGGTTTCATTTTCATGATGGTCTGCTTGTTCTCAATCCAGGACCTCGACGCCACTCTTGATCCCCCAACCGGTCTCCCCTTCATCGAGCTTCTTACGCAGACAATCGGAGTACAAGGTGCTGCAGTTCTGCTTGCACTCTTTATATTCAATAGCTTAGGTCAGGGAGTGAGCGTCATGACCTCTTCGTCTCGATTAACCTGGGGTTTTGCTCGCGATGGAGGACTTCCATGGTCTGGCTACTTCACACTAGTCGATGAGAAGTTGAAGATGCCCGCGAGGGCGCTATGGCTACAGAGCTTTGTTATCGCGCTCGTTGGCGTGCTGTACCTGTTCTCGAACACGGTCCTCGTGGCGATCCTAGGTGTCAGCACTATCGCACTCACCATTTCGTATGGTATTCCCATCTCGGTTCTCCTTTTCGTTGGCCGCGACAAGCTGCCGAAGGGCCCATTCGTACTCGGCCGCTTTGGGCCGTATCTGAACTGGGTTTCGGTCATCTACTGCGCAATCACCTCAGTGTTCTTCTTCTTCCCGGGCGAGCCAAATCCTGCATTGGAAGACATGAACTGGGCAATTGTAGTCTTTGGCATCATGCTTGTCATTGCTGTCGCATTCTGGTTCGTGAAGGGTAAAACATCTTATTTTGGAACTGATGGAATTGATGAGCGTATGATAATTGCGCGCCAGTTGGAAATGGATCCGTCCGTCAACGTGGCAATCGCCCACAAGAAGGACTGAATCAAGTCATTTTTACATGTTATATAGTTTGCAAAAATGTAAGCAGCTGTTCGTAACTCAGATTCTTCTACACACATCTCATTAGTTGGGTCCATTTTCTTGTATCAACTTTCGATCGCTCAAGCGCCTTTGAACGTGTCTGCTTACGACTTTCACAATAAGCCTGCGACCAACGCCGGAATGTACTGTACTCGCTGATTGTGATCTCACCGGAAAGCCCAATGAGCTCAAAACTAAATATGAATATGTGACAATCAAAAACAGTGGGCCCACCGTCCATAGAACGATGGCAATCTCAGGGTATATATTCGTTGCCACAGAATACTACTAATGATATAAACACATCTAAAGTGAAAGTAACGGGGCATTACATCGAAACCTTCACATTTTCGGTTTTATATTTACATGGACTGCCTTCACGGTCGAATAAGCGTCCAATCCAGCCTCCCCGAGCTCTCTCCCAATGCCGCTCTGTTTTACGCCCCCAAAGGGAATACGCCAATCACTATCATTACTGGAGTTAATCCACACCATACCGGCATGAATATCCCGAGCGATTCGATGCGCCTTTCCGATATTTTCGGTAAAGATAGCACTACCGAGGCCATAGACCGAGTCGTTCGCCAGCGCCACTGCTTCCTCTTCTGTGCTAAAGCGTGAGATGACGACAAAAGGGCCGAAGACCTCCTCCTGAAAGATGCGCATAGCTGGGAGGACTTCTGTGAACACGGTGGGCTCGACAAAGTATCCCTTTCCGTCCGCGTTGTGCTTGAAAGGCTCGCCCCCAAGGGCAAGCTTCGCACCCTCGCATTTTCCGATTGACACATACTCGAGGATCCTGGTCATCTGGGCCGAGGAGATCTGCGGACCCTGGAACGTCTCTGCATCAAACGGATCACCTATCTTTGAGATCTCCTTCACGTTTGCCAAGAAGGCGGCGAGAAATCTGTCGTAGACCCCGTCCTGCACGAGGATGCGCGACGTGGCGGTACATATCTGCCCCTGGTTATACATGACGCCGCCGTGGGCCCAGAAGGCGGCGAGCTCCACGTCGGCGTCGTCGAAGACGACGAGGGGGCTCTTGCCGCCGGTCTCCAGCGTGATGTTCTTCAGGTTCGCGCTCGCCATTCCCATGATGCGCCTCGCGGTGTCCGTCGAGCCGGTGAACGCGATCTTGTCGATGTCCATGTGCGACGCGAGCGCGGCGCCGGCGACCGATCCCAGCCCGTTGATGATATTCACCACACCCGGCGGGAAGCCGGCCTCCGCCGCCAGGGTCGCGAGGAACAGGATCGAGAGGGGCGTTTGCTCCGCGGCCTTGAGCACGACGGTGTTGCCGCACGCGAGAGCTGGTGCGAGCTTCCATGCGGCCATTGCCAAAGGAAAATTCCATCTTAACCTCGTTAATTAGCACATTCGTGTCCAAATCACGTTGCAAACTCTCAACTCACGGAATGATCTGACCACACACACCCACCGGTTCTCGAAGCGTATATGCGAACTTGTCCGAGTTGGTGCTGATCACCTGGCCAAAGACCTTGTCGGCAAATCCTGCATAGTAGCGAAACACCTCGGCAGTTTCGTACAAGTCGTCACTAAGGGCGATCGCGTATGGTTTGCCGTTATCCCACGTCTCAATCGTCGCCAGAGTCTCTCTGTTCTCTTCGATCAGTTGGCTCAAGCGCATGAGCAGTCGCCCTCGATCTGAAGGCGACATTTTTCGCCAGCTCGGGTTTTGGAGGGCATTCCGGGCAGCGACCACAGCCCTGTCGACGTCAGTCTTGGACGCTGCTGAAACAGAAACGATGGGTTCTTCATTTCTGCGGCCAAGAGTCAGCAGTGCGATCTAATCGTTGGTTACATGGTGTCCATTTACGTGGGATTGATGGATGTGATCTGTGCACCGTCGGCTGACGCTGTCCATTCGTTGTTAATGAACAGACCAGTCGGCTGTTGATACGTCCTTCCGTTCGGTGCGGTCAGCTGTACAATTAGATCTTGTGTCATGTTGTATGGATTATACTTCGTCTTAGAATAGTAGACTGTTTTGCTATGATTTGTTCTTTATGAAAGAGTCTTCTCAACCCATCAACGTGCTCCAACGCCGTAATAAGCTTGAGATTGAGCCCGGCCGCTGGGCTTGAGAGAAGATCCGATCCACCCGTGGACAACATGTGGAACTTGAGGCCCATTAGGTAACGAGCTCGATGATAATTGACACCTGTAGCATTATCCTCAATCGCTATGCAATGCGAGGAAGGCGATTTGGGTGATCTTGGATGTAGACTAGACAATTACTTCTAGGCTAGCCTTACAGTGCTTATCCTGGAATCGAGCTAAGATAAAACGTCGACTGCTAGCTCGCTTAGGCCAATCACTCCATGGCAATTGATGGCATTACCAAAGATAGCAAGTGTATGCGAGCGTATGCATCATATCTTCCAGACATGTGTTTTGCGTGGTTAAAATCACGAATTTGTTCGTTAAAGCGAGAAAGCCACACGAGACAATGGTCTGCGGATGACAGCTTTGGATTACAGATAGTTTTTGTTTGATGGAGAAGTGGGGACCTGATGACGGCTTATTTTTATCCAATCAAGTCCGGTCCACGATTCCGGATCAGGCAAAGAAGCCCAGTTTTGCGCTTATATGACTGCATTGGTATTAGTGTTTTCGAAGCTCAGTCAAATTGCGCTGCACTACGATTATGAGCGCTCGTGGCAGTCAAGCTCATGAATTCTTTACGCATCAACAATCCGGAAATGGCTCGACACCCCGATACCTGAGAGCATGGCCCTCATGACAAGGTGTCTTTGTTCTGAGATCATAGAGGAGAGGCGATGCCTGCCTCCTAAGCTCGAGTGGTGGGGTCTCCAGATTGCCGTGTAAGAGTCTGTCGCAATGGATTCGAGAAATGATTTACACCCCATTAGACAATATTCTTCGGCTAACGACCAGCTCCTCAATTCGGATTGATGTGACTATATTGCCTTGACCGAAGCTTGAAAGGTTACTGAACATGATTGGGATTGAATACGACATTATTGAAGGGGCACTTGTATATAGCATCAGGAAAGCAATTTGACTATTGTATACAACTGGCTAACTAATTAAACCAAAAATAAAAAAAAATACTTCTCAATCACAATTTTGCACTAAGAGAATTTGCATTGCCTTCACAGCAATTTGGCGTCGACGTAGAGAAAGCGTTCTTAGAAGTCTGGTCCTTTGTAATGGACGACGCCGGTACCCACAAGGCGGGGTTCTTCTCGAAAAAGCTCGACGCACGCATCATGATGCTAACGGGCTCCGCGGGCATGATCGGGAAGTCCTCGGTGCGCGGGAAGTGGGTAAGTCCGAACTGCATGTAGCATACAATATCTGTGTTCTCAATGGACCCGCCCCGCGATACCCAATCGACAATGGTCGGATTGTGCTGGTGGCCGTGTTTGCCCGTGGACTGGCAGACAAAGTCACCGGCAGGGTATAGTTCATAGTCCCTGTACGGAACAACCCAAAGAGCTTTCCGGGCGAAGGCGGCGCGCTCGCTGACCATGCTACCTGGCTGGGCCAGGAGTCGTGGACAGTTGTTGTTCAGAATTTTGTAGCCAATCGGCTTTTTGGTGCTGGGATTGAGCTTGTTGGGGTTAATGATATCCCAGGACCGGCTCGTCTCATGGCAGTAGTCAGCGGCACCCTCCTTTGCGGTCCGCAGAGGTGTCTTTTGGCTATAAAAGCCATTGCCGTAATAATTCTGTGGTGATCCAACCGGCTCCTCTGAAGGAACGGCATCGCTCTGCACGACAGAGTTGTTCGGTCCGTCTATAGCGGGATCGACACGTAGGGAAAATATATGCTGGTGGTTATGGGCAGTGATCTTGGGCGCCACCTCCGTTCCAAACGGAGAAGCCGTCTCCGAAGGATGCATGCAGTACGTGTTCAGCATTCCGGTTAGCTTCATCTCCAACTTGTAAGTACCATCCAAGGAAAAGATGTGATAGAATGCGTAGTCGTAGTTTGCGGCTGTGATGATTTGCGATATGATCAACCGGCGGTCACGAGCCGAGATGACCCCTCCATCACGGAAGTCGGTGTGCTTGTAAAGAAGACCATTGTCTTCTTCATGGATGCAAATAGCATTCTTGATTACCGTCGCTTCCCCCTTTGCGGTTGAGAGCACACCATCGAGGTAATGGATAGCGCCCTTGCAGTCACAGCCCAGCTCAAGAGAGTTGCTCATTAATCCACTACCATACTCGCCGACGTCAAAGGCGTGCTTCTTGTGGTGCGGTGGGTTTGGGTTGCCGTAAGGTACGACCATCTCTGCAACACTAATACGGTTGAAGAGCGATCTTTGGCGTTGTTGGTAGTGGTCATATATACTGACGTCGGAGAGAACAATGCCCTCACGATAGTTGAAACCGATGTGCATCTTGTAACCAGCCCAAGAGATCTCGTTTCCGCGTATTTCAAATGAAACACCTTGAGGTTGTGTGATGTCGATAGGCTTCAAAACGTTCATCTGATACTTATTTCCGATATATTCGGGCAGGTAGTTGTGCTCGGCCAACGGCACCTGTGTCCGCTCGCCATTTACCCGTCGAATGTCAACGCTCAGGATTTCAGCAGTCTCTGTGTCTGCCACCAGCGTGAAATCTAGCGGGTGTGCATATTGATTGTCGGAAGCAGAGCTGCGGTAGTAAACCAATCCCTGTTGTAACCGCCGCTCAAATCCCCATCGGTCATCGAATCCGATCGCCCAGGCATCGATATAGATTTTTGACATGTCAGTGACGCCAATTTCTCGGCATGCTTCAATAACCCGAGGATCCTTCCTGGCATTGTACTCCAGATGATCGAGGTCGTCCAAAGTGAGGGTTGGCGCCACCTCATCCACATCAATCCATTCCTCCACCTTGAGATTTGAAATGTTGACGATGACCGTCGCGCACAACGCGGAACCCCCTTTCAGGACGATGGCATATGCTCGCCGATCGGGCTGTGGCGCCTTATTTGACTTCCATGCAGCGTACTCATTCTTCTTAGGCTCTCGTAGAGTGACACAGTTGAACTTTAGCTTAGATGTGCCCGCATACTCCCTAATCAGCCTGGAAGATGTAGCGATCTCATCGACCGATAAGGGGTCTGGAGACTGTTAGTGCTGGTACTGGGGGTATGGCGCAGTCCAATTTTGTGGAACCTACCCAAAGGATGAAAAGTCTTGGCAATGCCTTGCATGATCTCTGATGGAATTGAGGTTTGTTTCTCAAGATTGTTGTCTCGTAAAGGAACATACAATATGACTTCACTATACCTACCCTTATGAATCAATGTTAAAGGCAGGATGGACTTGCCTAGTAGAGCAATGTGTAAGAAATATTCCAAAATACCGATGCTTTGGCGGGCGGATAACAATGTTGTGGGGAAATCGTCCGAGGCGCTGGAGAACCACGCTTTACCTAGATTGGGGAACTATCCGCCATAGTTATCCTTATGTTTGCATCGCGTATGTCCACCATTGCTCAAAGTCAATATGTCTGTGTACCCGCAGCGAATCATCCCCCAGCTGGTCGAGTAGCAAAAGCATGTTCAGAATGTACAGACCAAGCCCATGCATTCATTCCGATCGTGTATTTGGGGCTTGATTCATGCTGGAGGTGCACCCATTTTGGCCACACACTAACTAGTGTGAGAAGTGGGCGGGGAAGGGAGCCGCGAGAGTTCAACTTTACAGCGGGCGTGATGTGTTCGACGGCCGCACAAATATCTGGCAGCCAAACGGATCAAGTGCTTGAGATCCATCGACTAGAATTACTAGATGGCAGCTCTGCTCAATTATGTCTCGAGGGGTAAAGGTGCAATTAAAGCTCTGAAAATAGCGACTTTTTGTTCATGAACGGCTGAAATAAGTATAAACTACAACGCGCAAACTTTGTGCTTCCGGCCGTGCTTGATCTTGCGAGCACGGGCGACTGAGTAAATGGCCTTTTAAGCGATGTTATGGGCAGCATCGCGAGCCAGATCTCTTGACAAGTCCGCCTCAGTCATACCACCGGTAGTCCTAGGGCCCTCGTAGCCTTTTCGAGCTCCGACAAACCACCAAATCAATAGAAATATCGACAACCCTCCCCATAGCAAAGATGCGTAGTTCATGGTTGACGCATCAACGGGTAGTGAGAAAGGAAAGCAATAGATGACGAACCAAATCATCATGTAGGCGCATGCGATGGCGTTGAGAATGAAGCCTAGGGGTCCTTTGTTCAAATGAAATGTTCCGTAGGTGATGTTCTTGCGCCCGGTCAAGAGATGTGGAAGGATAGCTGCAATGTACGAAGATGACGACATGCAGATGTAGCTACCCGCAAAAGCGTTGAAGGCGGTTGTACTGCCCACGTAGATGCACCCAAGGATTGTCACAAAGACAGCACTGACTATAGTTGCGTTGACGGGCACGTGGAGTGTGGGGTGGACCTTGGAAAACGGCCCCGAAAACGGTGTGGCGTTGTCTCTCGCCAAAGTCCAGAGTGTTCTTCCACATGTGATGAAGAGTCCCACGAGGCAGATCGAAACGCAAATCAGGACGAGGAACAGAAGCCCAATCGCTCCTGCTGCTGAGCCTGTGCCCTGGCGGTAAATCTCGGCGATCGGGTACGCGACTTCGAAGAGGGCATCGAAATCGTTGATTGCGTACATGATGCTGATCAAGTATGCAAAACCTGTGATGAAACCTATGCCCATTTGTAGGCCAATAGCAATCGGGACGTTTCTGGCCGGGTTTGGGATCTCCTCCGCAAGATGCGACACTACATCCGGTACACCAACGGAGAAAGCGCCATTGAGCATACCACCCACAAATACGAAGCCTGATGGGTAGCCAATATCTGCTGACCATTCGGTCCACACGAAGGAACTAGTCGCGTGGGATGTACCATTGCGACTGGGCATGACCGCAAGGACAACAATGGTGATCAGGAAACCGGATAGGATGAAGAATATGCCCACATTGTTAAGGTATGGCATGGCGCGGTTGAAGAAGCAGACAGAAAGACAAGCCATCCAGGTGACGATTATGTAGACGACGAAAACATGCCAACTTTCAGCCACAAAGTCGGGATGGTTCAACGCGTACATCTGGACGACAGTGTTGCCAATGATGGCAGCCATGGAAGCTGCGCCAAACACCCATGCAAGGTAGTTCCACCATCCTGCGAAGTAGCCGACGATCCTGCCCCATCGCTTCCCAGGTGTGACGGTGGCCCAGTGATAGACGCCGGCGGAAGATGGAATGGCCGAAGCCAGTTCGGCAATGCAAAGAGCAACGATCCAATAAAAGAAAGACACTGTTATGAACTCGAACAATACGCCTAACTTCGTTAGACAACAGCCAGTCTCGCAGACTAACACGATTGCTTACCTGGGGGGCCGCCATTGTATAGGGCGACCAGAATGCTGCCTCCTACAGCTGGCCACACATTACCAACTACAAGTCCCACGCCAGCCAATGATACCAAACTGAAATTGCGCTCGAGTTCTTGAGTATGCCCGGAAGCGTTCACTGTGTCGTGAGCCTCTGCTGTGGACGCTCTCCCAGCGCTAGGCGTTGCTGCCAGTGGCTTCCCGTCTTTGAAATCCATAACTGTTGCGCGCAAACCTCTGTGCTTCGAATTATGAACATGGACCTCAAGATAAGAACGCGTAGTAGTGAATATGTAGCCAAAAGGTCAATCCTTGGGCAAATGGGGAGTGAACCTGATATAGATACCAGCGGTCAGCCAGCAAGCAAATGAAGAGATATTGCGTAGTCGGGATGATCACGATGAGAGATTCGGGGAAAACGTGACTAACAAGTGCTTGTCTGTTTTAGCGATTGGAGCAAGATAGCAGTGGATTCTAGAGTGCGGGGGAGGGGACACTAGACTAAGTAAGCTTATGAACGGCCAAGATAACCAGCCTCAATTTCGGACGGGCACTTCTCCCAAGGGTCAATTCGTAAATGTTCTCTTGGCGAACACTGTATGTTTCGCAGCTTAGATTCTCTGTACAGATGTTCTTCCGGAGGAATGCAATTGTCTGAAATTACATGTAAACCCAAACCTCGACAATTCTCAAGGATCTATTACTACATCAGAGCTTCCGCACCATTGGCTTTACCCCGTGCTGAACTTATCATCAATATCCACATTCGCCCCAGCAGATGATCCAAATATTACCGGGGCCCAGACTGCCTGCCGCTCTCACACCACTCACAATGCCCATACGCAACGACATGCCTAATACAGTAATATGGGGGCTCGTGGCTGAATTAGTATAGTCTGTTGCCAATGCGGTCCAACGTAGCGGTCCGTCCAAGGCAACGACTAGTCAATTGTTCCACTTTCTTTTCCCATTGGTGAGGATAGTGGGAAAGCTTTAGGCAATTCCCAAACTAATACTATAGATGCATTTTCGCGTCAGGAAACTTTAAAACATAAAGAAACGCGGACGATCATTCCCCAAACGAACACTTCACCAATGTGAATAAACTCATTTGCTTAAGATTCATAATCTTCTGCCCGGTTTCTTTTTAACCACCGGACGTGTGCATACGTTGAGTTAGAGTATGTCCCACAAGCGCGCCTCTCAAGGGTGGTTTGCTGTACTCCTAGTTATTCTGAATGCAAGATATACGACGATGTAGGTCATTTCAGTTTTTCTGTGACGAAACAATGGCGAATGTGTGGGTCAGCAAGGGCGCCACGAAGAGTGGACGAGTGATTCCCGCAGGCCTATGCGTCTGCTACATGGTGCACAGAAAGAACATGAACAATCAGGATACAAGTCGGAGGTCATGAATTGTATCGAAGCAGAACGGCGAAAAGTCTCACGTGTCTAGATCTGGACATCTTTGTGGTCAAAGGATCAATCAGCCGTGGCGGTAAACAAATACTTTAAAACCATTAGGTCAGAGCATGAGTGACCTGTGGCTTCGTGCAGTGTTAGTTGAAGTCATTTTGTTTTGCATTATATATCTTTGGGATAAGCAGCAATGGTTTGCTACACTCCACGGCGCAAGCATTGATAGAGTCCGACTAGACTAGGGCAGTGAGGTCGGTGAGGATTGAGCTTGGCTCAACGCATTCCATGGATCGTGAAAATACCTACCAGAACACAGGCAAAAGACAGTACTCGCACTTTGATATCTGCTTGGCGCCGAGGCGTCGTGGATGCCTCTTCTGGCAATCGCTGGAGTGTCAGTCTCTACCATTATGCAAAGCTCACTGCTCATCTTCGAGTCAATAGATTGATGAGGTAAAAACGAAATTGCTGCCAGAGCGTGACCAGCGTCATCTCAGACTTGCAGCGCTGGAAGTTTCTGGCCAAGACACTTGAGACTGAATGGTAAGTAAAATAATTATCGATTGAAATTCTACGATGCCAAAACGGAAGTTTTGTGTTATTTCCGCTTGCTCCCTTGTTTTTTCAAAAGAAAGACGCTATGCACTCTGTCACCTGAGAGAGCATCATTGGGGCCTGGCGGCGGACAAGGTTTAACTGCTTCTTAGTCCGAAGACACGTTTAGTTCCATCCTGTTGCGAGGAGGTTGTCGACTTTGCTGAGCTGCCTTGCGCACGAGTCACGCCCATCATGATCACACAACCTGAGGTAAATCTCAGGTACACTCCCATCATGTTCAAACATGTCTAGATTGTAACTCTAAGGGCTGGGCACAGAGGTCGATGAATGGGAAGCAGGTGCGTCGATGTCACTCGAGAGTACTGGCATCAATTACCACGGGAAATATAGGTTTTCTAGAAACGATGACCGAGCCTCCCGGTAAATCCCGAAGTTTCGAGACAACCCGTCGCAACACAGAACAGCCCAAGACTAAGCCAAGCACCGAAAAGAGCGTATGATTATATCGAACAGAGTCTGATGTTTTAGTCTCTCAGTTTCTTATGCCAAGTTCCATGTCAACATCACCGTACTAGACTAAGCAGAAACTTCAGTAAATTCAAGATGTCTGGGCCTCTGGCGGTATCAAGACTGTCCTGGTCAGTGGCTCAAGGTCGAACCATATTCGAGCAGAATTTAACAAGCGAAATAATTCGTTATCTTTCCCCAGCTGTACGGTTGGCTCTTCCCAGCCTAAAGCTTTCAAGCAAAGCACAGATATGGTAGAGGATTAATGGCTGCACCACGTCTGTCTGATATCAAGAACAGCGATACGCTAATTATGGGTGGAAGGCGTTGGGAGCCGAGTTAATGAAAAGTCCTTTGAATTATTTCTGTACAGATCACTAAGGCATAGCACATAATCTTGTCTTGTGATTTTGGTACAGGACGTGTAGTAACAATTGTACAAGCCCACATCATCGGCTGTTGCCTTTTTTTTTTCCCCCTACCCCTTTGCAAGGTTTACTAGGGAGAGCATTGCGCCATAACTACTTAGCGAGCGGCATGAACAAATTAAAAAGCCGACACAATGGTGGCCAAACCACAGTGTTGCACAGAAAACCATGATTGGCAAGCAGACGCTAATTTTTGCCCATGAATAATAGGCATTTCACCTGATTATCAATAACTGCTTTCGCCCATACCCTGTCAGGGGAGGACCGAGCATTTGGGAGGCGGCCGAATTGGGTAGTGTCCATCTCATAGGAACATCTTGATATTGTAAAATTATTATGTGCATTTTGTGAAAAAGGTTCCTTTCATGAACGCTCGTATGTGCTAACAAACAGAAAATAACAATGGTTCTCGAATCAATGCAAACCGCTTTCTCCAGTTACAGCCATGTGCTTCTGGCACTTGACGAGGACCTTGACTTGCTCGCTTACCTCCTCCAATCTGCTCAAAACCTTCTTGTTACCGTCGGTAAAGTTGAGAATTACATAAGGAATACCAGTCTCCTCGCAGAACTCTCTGACAAATACCTGCACCTTTCTCAAGTTGTGTCGGGGAACTCGGGGGAACAAATGGTGAACAGCCTGGAACTGCAGGCCGCCGTGGATAAAGTCCAGCCAAGCGGGGCAGTCGACGTCCATGGTGGTGCGTAGTTGACGTTGAGGAAAAGACTCCGTCTCGCCCAGATCCGAAGTTGGCATGCCCCAATGAGACAACGTAATCTGGACATGCAAGGGCATGGTGACGACGTGCGATACCAACACAAAGGCAACGCGGATTGTCCACGTGGGCAGCGTGCGCCAGAGAAGACAATAGCCGAAGAGGAACCAATAACAAGCCATGAAAGTGATTTCGGTAGGTCGGATCCACCATGCCTTACTGCTGCCCAGTGATGAGGATTTCCTCGACAGGACGTGCAACCATGACAGCAGGTAGAGGTTGAAACGCGCGATACCCATGACAGGGTAATATGTGTAGGCCTGGTAGGGCACCATGAAATCCGCTACTGCATCCCAGTAAAAGACGAAGCCATCATAGTATGTCGACTTGATTGACTTGAAAAAGGAAGGGCAGGTTGCGAAGAGAGGGACGTTCTGGATATCCGGGTCGTGTTCGGGGTGGTTGGTCACCAAGTGGTGAACATTGTGGCTACTCTTCCACCAACCCATAGACAAACCGCAACAAAAATCTGCGATGAAGAGACCGACGAGAGTATCCAAGGCGAAGATGTGAGTAATAGCGCCGTCTGCACAATCAAAGTCAGCAGTTGTTGAGCCAATGAATTCGAGCCATGTCATGGGTCGCCATGCGAACTCAAGCATCAGAGAGTGGAAAATCCAATATGAACTTACGTCCCGCATCGTGTGCAGTAAACATGATCTGGTGCCAGAAGAGCCCAAGGAACACTGCCGAGGTCATGTACCATTCGTATCTCAGTGCTACCATGAAGATGGTGAAGATTGTCGTGTACCGGGCCATCTCCTTGCCGTACTCGAGAAAGGGACAGTCGTACAATCCTGCATCGCGCACTTTCTGGTGCAGTTGGCGGTACTTCTGAATGATCTCGGCCTGCACCAGGGGGTTTAGGGATGGATAGACGGAGACATCGCGATCGATTTCTGCCTGCATACACTTCTCCGTATACTCTGAAGCAGTCATGGATATGGCCGCGGATGCATCGGACTTGGCAGTGCCAGCGTCTGTCCTTCCATTGAATCGCCTCTTTGCAATGAGTTGTTGCACCTCTTGTGCATCAATGCTGCTGCACTCGGACGTCAGGGAGCTGTGAGAGGATTGACCCGAGCAGTCATCCTCGGTGGTGTTGGCACCGTCAACATCAGTGTCGGAGTCGCTGACATCCTCTACTAGTGCTTCTTCTTTGGTGTAGATGCCTCCCCGGATGGGAGGAGCCATGTTAATCCAGGGTCCAACATGCTTCCGGCCGATCCGGTACGCTTTCATTGTCTTCAATGTAGCGTCGCTGTGGTACCTGCATTAGATTGGGAATGTCAGCAATTGGCCCGGATCGTTCGGACTTAGGGTTTGTAAGCTGCCCGACAGCCCGCCACGCAGGATGACTGTGCACGCGCCGTCATATTTAGATCTTGACACCGCCAAATGTGGTTATTTCCACAGTTCCCATCCAATTGATTTTACAATGCACGTTGGTTGATTCAATACGACTGCGTTCGTCATGGACGATTGACTTTTTGCAATATTTTTGAGACAAATGAAAAAGCACGGTGGACAACTTACACTTTGATCTCGTCTGTCGAATCGCGACCGCTGCAAAAGAAAAAGAAAGGATCAGCATTTGGTCTGTTCTGCCACCTGCATCGCTTTGTCCATGTAGTCTACCAAGACTTGACTTTGCGTAACAGTCGCGAACGGTTTCGACTGGCTGACAGGAACGATGCGCCCCGAGAGTATTCGAGACCGGTCCGAGGATGACTTTGGGAAATGCTTACACCATGTGCATAATTGCAAGGCGTCCTCCGGGATGTTTGTCCACCCATGAGTCGAGTCGCAAGACGTAGTCCTCGAAGATGACGATGATGCGGCCGTCTGCAATCATTCCCTCGACCTCGCATCGCGATATTGTACGGTCGCGGTCCATCGTGTCGGTGTCGGTACGGGCGACGGGTAGAATTCTTGTGAGATTGTTTGCGACAGATATCTGTCCTTCGGGGCTCGGTTCAAGTGCGTCTCGGAAAGCTGTCTGTCTGCATCAAGAGCAGAATCAGAATCCGAATCAGAACCAGAGCACAGTGACCACACCCTAAGCCAGTGATTGCGACGGACTGGGGGGTGATTCTCGTCGCCTCCGGATTGGTCAATGAGAGAGTACTGGTTCCAAGTCTCGTCAAATGACAAGTACTATCGGCAAACGAGGAAAATAGGCTGCAGTGGTGGTTGAGTGGTGGATAGAAGGAGTGGTTTGCCAGTCAACCTTTTGGTAACAGGGACGGGACAGGCACATGCAGCAGGAGCTTTCGACTATTTTACTACTTTACTATTTTTATTTTTATTTTTCCAGAGGGCGAGAGACTACAAGAACACGAAAGCTGGCACGCGGCCAAGGGATTGGCACAGAGGCGACTTCCTCGGGAACATGCGACAGGAGATACGGCACCTGGCCTTTTGAGCGCAAGCGGTGGATTATCCTAGGCGAAACCCGCACCTGGTGGGTTCTGTTCCATTTCGTGGCTTTTCAATCTGCTGCCAATCTCGCCTGTTTCCTTGGAAGAAGGGACAATCTTGAATATCGGTTCGAGCCTAGGCCTTGCGCCCGCCCATATTCAAAGCTAGACATGCCAACTATGGGACCGAGGGGATTGCGCTGAAGCAGGGGTAGGAACAGATTCCCGAGCTCTTTTGCGAATGCCCTGCGAATGCGCTTACGGGTACCAAACGCAAAATCCTCCCAGACGCTCGGGTTCAATTCGGGTCGGGTTACATCCAACGATCCACGCCTGGTTTTGTCGTATGCGATACGACAAAACAGCCACCATGTCAAGTGCGAATGTGGGGACCATCTTTTACGTTAGAAAGAATGAGGAGCCGTGATAAGCTAGCGACTCATTGATTGCTGGGTACATGGTGAGTAGTTTTCAGGGACCGCGTACTAAGTGAGAGGTCCTGACTAGGTAGTCTACTGTAACTTGCTGAATATCCGCCCCAGTACGAGCACATACCCCATTGAGGTCCCCATCGAGGTCTCCATTCAGGGGTCCTGTACGGGGCGGATCTGGACCCTGAGGACGCGAAACTTGACTAGAACTAATTATTTTCGTCATGGGGTTTGGGGCGCAGGCGGAGCGCCCCCCGAGCTAATCACCATCCCCGCACCTCGGCGTAGGCCCATTTTGGCCGTTGAGAAATGTTGGGATGTCACACTCATTTCCTTCCTGCGATTGACGCTATTTAGTGGTCGTTCGTTTCCTTCTTATATTGCTGCCTTGTGGTTCGGCCCATCTCCCTTTCCCCCGTGTCGCAAGTAACCTCTTGCTGGATACTTCCGCGTGAGATGAGCAAACTTGCCTCCTCGCAGTATCGGACCGGCTAGAGATGCATGTCCACGCTAGCCTCCGCCGCCAAGATCGACAGGAGAAAGAATGACGATCTATTGATGATTGAATCAACATGCGGCTAAGCGGAGTCCGACGGCCAGACTTTTCTCGCATTCATTTATTTCTTTCATCCGCGTCGAGGGCATCTGCTATCGCCATCCAGCGCCGTACTTCTTCTACTCACGTTCGAATGACGACAACCACAGCTGTAGTTTCTCCATGATACTACCCAAGTTCAACGGTCTGTCTCGTAGCACCTCAACAATGGTTAGATCGATTGAATATATCCCGTAACTCTTGTCAACACGGGCACATACGACCATAGCTCTTAGAAAACTCGGCATCCCGTCCGCTCTGCCCTAGATAATCTGAGAAGCGCTGGATTAGTACTCAGATCGGTGACGGCTGGGGAATCCCCGGTGTTGTATGTTCTTCTTTTTCCTCCTTTTTTGAAATATGCTGCAACATCTGAACTATCGTGGAACAGAGAAGAAAATGGTATCATTAAAACTTTAACATACGTCGTAGCACTAGTCGTGAGCTGCGCTAACCGTCAGCGAGTCGTTTCGTCACTGCACAATTTCGACGAAGGAGAATATGTAGTTTATCTGAGCCCTCGCTTGCTAGCAGCGAGTAGCGACGATGCTTCTTTGAGTTTATAATAGAATGAGTCGGGCAAGCCGGCAAAGTTCAAGACATCCTCAATCGATGTGTCCAATTGTTTGATGTCCGCCGAATTTTCATCGCTCACTCGACGAGGCTCGGCATTCTCTGCTTCGGTATGTGAAGTGCGTCCTCGCAGACGGTCATTAGTTCGCTTGAGCTTTTCTTGACCATCAATTGGCGCATTTGGTTCTAGTGCCACCAACTCAGATGGGCGCGGGGTCAAAGGCAGCTGTGTGCCACTGTCGAATGGTTGATCGTAACTTGAAATTGATGTTGTGATATCGCTTTGATTTGTCGATGACAGCGCTGGTGTTACATCATTATGTGTATGAATCTGTAGTTGCCGCTTTGAAGACTGGGACTGATACAAACTGCGATGGTGCTGGTTCTATTGTGAAGGTCTCAGGGGTCAAACCGTACTGAAAATTCAATGAAGCTAGATCCGACAAGTTTTGCTTGTAAAGAGATGTAACATTTTCACATACAGATATACATCAATCGCGTGTCTCACATATCGGGAGACTCAGGGATTGCTGCTTCTTCATTGTCACTTTGTACAGGCTGGAATGAGATGTTTGACAAAGTTATGGGAGCAAGCTGGAGTGTCCGATTAGGAGAAATGTAGTACTGCAGATACTTCCATGGTTACATAACCGACCAGAAACAGTAAACGCTTCCAGTTAAGACATATAACAACCATCGAATGGCAGAAATAGAAGCCCTTCAAAATAAGGAGGCCTACTACAAGTCTCAGATAAAGCCATGAAGCAAGTTGATCATCGTTATGGAATCATGATTTGTGCTTTCCCATTCGAGGCTGCATGAACGGCTGCTGCAACCCCTTTGTCTTTCTCTTCCCAAGGGGTTTTCAGTTAGCATAATTAGGTGGTATTGTGAAGCTCAAAGTACGGCTTACAGGACCTTGCACAGGCCCGGAAAGAATGTCTGTCTGATCGCCGATGCCGACTGCCTATATAAGAGGAACCGTATGTCCTCTCCCTCTCTTGGTTTGTCGTGTCAACCTAGTCAATGGCTTAGTGGTGCGTTGTTATATATTATTTGCTAAATACTTTGAGGTATTAATGCTTCTCTGCAGAATTGCGATCGATTATATACGACTAGTTGTACCGTCTCGTAAACGCTCGGCAGGATGATGTTTGACCATAACTATCGATCTTGTATTGTAGCCCGAATGAGGATTTCTGAGACATACCGACTCTTTTGAAGGAAAATACCCGGGTGGTCCACATCCATCAGGTGGCCATACACGAGCTTGGAAAGTACCTCGCTAGATTTTTTTTCTCGGACATACCATGCAATAAGTATATTATCTTGCTAGACGAGATAATGAATGACTACGCCAATATCATTCCTTTAGCAAAGCTCACACGCCAAATTCCTACTAGTTGTATATTCCTGGAAATCAGATAACGGCCTTATCCACGTCCGTTAGCAAAAACTACATTTGCGCGAATCCCGTTCCTCAACGACAACGACAAACGCTGTGCAACACTGTTTTATAATGGTTGCATCCAAAGAATGGAAGCCAGAGACCTGGTCATCAAACCAAGCTTTCGAATTATGATGAAACCCAGGCTTCTCCGGGATCATGATAGTGGGATTGGGTGGCGGACGGGCTGACAGGAACACCGCTGGGATCGTCGCAAGCCGTGTTTCTGCGTTTCCAGGAGCTTGCGGCGGCGTATTGTCCTGGGACGGTCAAGTGGATCCCGGGACATCAGGATATCGAAGAAAAGGAAGCTGCTGATCAACTTGCCAAGGAAGACGTAATGTTAGAGGCGAAGGAAGACTGCCTGCCCATAGCCGCATGGATACGGCGGCATCTGAGGGTAAAGAGGATGGAATAATTCGCCTAGCGGTGGGAGGCACAAGAAGAAGCCCAGTACAGAGATGAGCATTTATGTAAGGTGGTGTCGAAGAGCTTCGTCTCATTCAAACGACCACACTGCACAGGCTTCTAGCAGCAAGATCTGATCACGGCGACTTCGCAACATATCACGAGCGGCTCCGGCACACGGACTCGATTAACTCCTACAGCTGTGGAGAAAGGAAGACACCAGTGCATAGTTTCCTTTACAGAAAACTACAGAGACACACGTTGCTTCCAAGACATGCGCCAAGAGCGGTTTATACATGATATCTGGTGGAGAAGAGTGCCCAGTGGGCGCGGTGTGTAGAGGCTAGCGGCTTTTTCACGAGGATGTGCCAGAGATGAAGGGCCGTTTGGACTGACGGCCCAAGTTGATGTCTTTACTTAGGTCCCGCAACAACATGGATCGGCACGTGCGCACGCTGGAATGTATGTAGATACTTATACCTCCAAAATCCTGCGATGTATGGCTCTGGGAGCCGTGCTTTGCCCTAACAAGGGACGGTCCGACAGAGAATCGACAGGGGTCTAGCGAAGAATCGATAGAGGTTTAACGAAAAATCAATAAGGGTATAACAGAGAACGCTCACTCTGTTGAACGACCAGCAAACTAGAGATGGACTATACGGGCTACCTTATGGGCTCAGCTTAGTTAAAACTTTCTATCTTGCAGACCTGCTGAGCCGTGTTTGCCGGACACGTGTCTCCGCCATCGTGGGGATAGAACTGGGCCTCGAAGGAACCGAGTTTGAGCCCCACCGTGCCGTCGGCAGTACAGGTCGGTATGCCGCAAGCTCCGCTGTCTTTGATATTCACCGCGACGAGCTCGGCCATGCCTCCCTTGTCGGCACATTCCTTACGGAGGTCATCGAAGGCCTTATCAAACATAACGTCGATCTGATCCTTCAACAGCCAACCAGGCGTTTGGAGGGATACACTGATAACCATGTCGCAGGTCTCATGATTACAGATTCTGTTCTGTAACGCGAATTTGGCACCCATGAGTGCCACGCTCCCGATGCCGTCCATAAAGTATCCGAATCTCTTCCTGCCCTCATCATAGTCGGTGAGGCCGCCGCCGTTAATGCCACACCGAATCTTTTGTAACCTCGTGGCAATTCCCCGTTTCCCCAATCCTGAGTCCCCGCGGAGCAATAGGCTGCCGTAGCTGCTGAGATCGGCGAAGTCATCAGCTGCCGTCTGGACTGTTGCGGCACGTGCCTGTCGCAGTGTAGACGACCGCGACGACAAGGCCACGGGGTTCCCAAGGACCTAGACGACACACATACACACGTTAAATACTGTATCTCGAAACAACATAGTCGGCATAGTATACACACCGTTTGAGGGAAGAAGAAAAAGAAGCCTGTAGTAGCCACCTGAATAATGTTTCTGAGATGCATAATGGCGATCAATCTCGATGATACGTTGCTGGGCTACTTTGGACGCAGCTCGATTACAAGAGCAAGGATAGAACAAGAAGAAGAAGATTGTATTTTTCGAAGTTGATAACACTAGTGGTTGAAGATGGCAGTATCGTTGAAAGTTATAAGCTTTTAAATGGTTAAAGTCTTTCTATTTAAATACCGGGGTAACATCACCGTCCCGTTTGTAGTGTCTCCGGCGCCTGTTTGAAGTCGCATTCATGCTATAGAGTAATCCTTATGAGACGGAGGATCTTACGACTTTTCGTCGTATTTTAAGGAGTTAGCTGAGCAGGCTGAGCCAGGATGCGATTCATCTACCTGTTAAGACTGTTTTAAGCTTCATGATAGTTCGTATAAGGCCTATCTTTAAATGCGGTGGAACCAGGGGGCTTATTGTTATGAGTACTTAGCACACCGTGAGACTATATAACAGAAGGGGCTCGGTCAATAATCGTAAGATCTTTGTGGCTCATAGGTAAAGGTATCCGATTAAAAATAGAATATTCTGCACTCGAGCAGCCGAAATCATACTGACTGTAAGTTTCGTATATTCGTGGTGTATGCAGAAACCGTATGCCGTCTGTCTAACGTCAGATTTTTGACTTGGCGGTTTTCAGCTGGGAGCAACGTCTTCGCAAAGAGTTTGTAAGAATGTGCTAAGATGGCTGTCTAAGCCACAGGCCAAGTCATAATCCTGAAACTCATCCCATAGGGATATCAGAACAACTTCCTATACTTGCGAATCGTTCGTGAAATGGACCTAAGGAGTATATATTAGCGTTGGAGGGACTTCTTCTCACAGAACTTGCCCAAATTTAAAACTCACTCATTCAACCTCGAAAACGGTAGCTTCCTAATATATCACCGCCAACCATCATTCAGCATCGCACCTAGCAGTTTTACCTTCCCGTTATACCAAACCATTATCGCTTATCACAATGAAGCTCTCCACCCTCTTCACCGTGGCCCTCACGTCCGCCCCGGCTCTGGTCCAAGGCGAGTGCTTCGGCGGGGACAAGAAACGACCCGATCACGGGCTCGAGGTCATCGAGTTCATGTACTCGGCCGGCTGCGCGTTGCAGCAATCTGGGAACCTCCAACCTGGCAAGGAGTTCTGGAAGTCGACCAAGACCAGCGACGGCATTTGCGTCAACGTCAACATATGGAACAAGGGCAATGACGGCAAGAGCCTTACAAGCAGCCAGGCCATCGACGCCTGGACCCGGGAGTGGGTCGGCTGCGAGCATGGGGGTAGGACGAAGTATGACGATGGGTTCGAGTATTCGTGAGTCTTTCGGCCCCTGCATTCTTGACTGGATAGGTGTCCTTGTAGCGAAGACATGCTAATTATGGAACGGAATAGATTCTGGTTAAACTGTGAATAAAATCGTGAGGGAATGCCACTAGTAATAACCTGCAAGTAGAGGGAGGGTGTTGACAGGGAGATGAGCAATGGGGAAATTTTGATATGGCTTTACAGTTTTAATGAAAGAAATATCCATCTTCACTTTTAGATTCCCATACCCTCGAGCTTCTCTTCGGCGTTCATATAATTCTTCCGTAAAGAATTATTGACATCGCGGGTGACCCTTATTATAAAATCCTTGTATTTAATTAAGGGTATAAACTTTTAAATAGCCGTTTCAAGTTACCACGTAATCTGCAATTTCATAACTTATATTAGACTTTTATTTCCGGTTAAACAATGCATACAAATCGACCGGTGACAGCAGTCGAATAACGCTATCGCAGCTAGAGTCCCACAATGGAAGGAAAAAAATGAGAGGGGCAATGATGGTACAGCCCCTTTTTGAAGCCACCCGTGAAGACATCGTCGTCTTCTTATATCGCACCACAAGTCACATGTTTGAAAACAGCGCTGTCATGCCAGTTCAATTGAGATTAGGCTATGTTGGTATTGCTTATCTTCATAGAGCCTACAAACATTGACACCTTGGTAAAATACATGAGCTAATTTACCGTATGAGTTTGTCGTTTGGTATGTTCCTCCGACCCCTCTTCTGCTACAGGAATGTTCCGGCCTCCCGCCTGGCCAACGAGCCATCGGGTATCGCCTTCAGTGAACTCAGCTAACCCTTACAGACCATGTTAGTGGAGGGTATGCTGAACACAGTGCCCGACGCCAACAAGGGTGTGACAGAGGAACCACTCGTGTGTGTTTTACCGTGGCATGCACACCCAGACCTCCTAGACGACCCGGATGACGGGGGCGTTGACTATGGTGACCCGTATTTCCGCAAAGCCAAACGATCACTCGCTGTTGAGCACTCAATGAGCACCGGTGGTTTCAAGCCGCGTTGGGCTGTGGACTTTACGTCGCAGACTCGACGGGACGAGCCACAGACCTCGAACGCCGCTAGGAACTAGCGAACATCCTAAGCGTGACGTGGAGAAACATACAGCTATGAAGTGGGCAGATATTGGTCCTGAAGAGGGTAAGCTTGGCCACGATGGACGTGGTGTTAGTATCGATCCACGCTCGGATGAGGGCCTTGCCGGATTTGAGCCCACGCTGTTCACTCTAAAGACGGCCCTGGGGCCGGAACCAACGCGAAAGAAGGTCAATAAACTGCTCCGACGGCTCCTCAGCGAGCGTGCCCAGACGGTTGAAGAGCGCATGTTTAACGTGTAGTCACAGCGGGTCGCAGGCTAGGTAACGCAAGACTGTATTTCGTCGAAGTATCCAAGCGGCAATCAGGGCGACGACCTGATTGCCCTTAACAGCGATAATCACCGTTTTATCATGGTATCCCAGGGATGTGGACCTCAAGATTATGTCCTCAAAGCAACTGCCCAGAAATCGGAGCCTGCGGCTTGGGTCTGTGAGTCAACCACCCCAATCCACCTTCCCAATATCCCATTGGCACTTAATGAGCTCGGAATATCCGGATCCCTCTATCACCTGGAATAACCTACCTCAAAGATTCAGCGTGGGGGGTATTATGGGAAATGCGGTACACCCTATTGCTCTACTGTGGAGTTATATTACTAACTGTGCATTTGTTTATAGCCGAGCACATTCTCGAACTCTAGTCCATCTCTCGGTTTCTCACAGCCATCCTCGATGGTGAGCTGGCAGCAGTCCCATCGATGGGTATGCCGCAGATCTTCTTCGCCAGCATGTCACAGCACGTCGTCTACAGCTTCCTGAACATTTTTGACATTTGGAAAGATGAGGTGTCGCCATACACACCTGCGGACCAGTGCCTTGCATTTTGCGGCTCCACGGCATATACGCAAGGCATGATCGTTGCCGAGTCATACCTCAATGCGCTGAAGAAAAATGTTAGTCCCCCCTCCCCTTTCTTTGCAAATGGAAGGAATTACGCTAAGTTCGATGATTCTTTATTACTAGGCTCATCTCGTGATTCATATAACCTTATTTTATTCCTAAACCTGAGACTGATAGTCCCCCATAGACGTTTGGCTTCGAACGGCCCATTGTGCCCGGGGAGTGGTCCGACTGCTGCCTCAACCCTACATGGAGTAGTGCCGAGAACGCATTTGGGTTTATCCAGGAAGCCATGGCAGTCTTTGACTACTACGAGCACACCGACGTCAAGGCTCGCCACCAGTGGGCTTACGGTTAGGTTCGGACCGTGATAGCGCATTTCGAGGACGCCTACTGGAAACAGTATAATATTAATATCTACGGTCGGATGCAGGGTCTCTGGCGGGACTATATGAGGGCCCACATGGTGAGAGTTAGTACGTTTGCGGAGCTCTGGTGTTCACAGCGTCTAGCTGAGCTGGAAGTCGTATGACGGAACGAGCACCAGGGCGCCCTGCTTGCTGTTGATGCGAGTCGACAGCTCCAGGCCGTCGCAATCTTGGCGCACGTGGTTGCACATAGGAACAGGATCAACCAGAGAAACCAGTTCTCCTTCGACAGCACCATCTTCCAATAGAAACTAGAGGTATATTAGTAGGTTTGTACCATGGTTACTATCTGGTCCGGTAAATTGTTCTTTGGTGGATTTGATAGCAATTAGTAATAAACGCGATTTTAAGTGAAAGTAACTGATAGGGTATCGAAACTAAATTATGCTATTGCAAAAATGTTGTTTTCTGTAGACGTACTATATAAGTGCTAACACTGGAGAGTTTCGGAAATCTTTTGGAGCTTCATATTAACTGAGGCAATTCTTGTGCCGACGCTCGACTAAATACATACGACTACGCGCCGCTTTAGTAGCTTGCCAATCGTATGCATCGCGTAGTACAATTAACATTAAGGATTGAATATGCGACGACCTTTCTTGTGTATCTCATCACATTCTTCCCAAGCGGCCTGTCGAAGTACCTCGGATCGTGCCTCGTAGTCTTCCTTTTCGTCTTGAGGCAACTGATTATAGAGCCTAAGCAGTTCACTTCCTAAAGGCGAGAACTCGTTTCCTTTCTCCTTTACATCTTGTCCAAATACCTGCGGAGCTCGCTGCGGGTACGGAACCAGATCGTTCCGAGATAGTAATGGCCAATGACGTTGACCCTCAGGATCAACCCCATCACGATGAAGCGGCCCCCACGTTCCGTTCTGAGCCTGCGGTCTCGGGTGTGCGGTAGGGAATTGGGCCGAGTGCACAGGTGGTTCCGATCTCCGTGCCATTAGCCTGGCGTATTTCTTTGCCTGGACGACTTTATTGGCATAGATTCTATTATCCCTGACTTATACTGTATAAACATGCTTCAGATCTACACAACATATACTAGGCGGTGAAACTCGTCGCGTAATACTAATAGAAGATAGTAATAATAAACGAAGAGATCAATCACCTAGATATCCTTGGGGAACCCCGACTTTGGACGCCACTATTTCTTACTTTGACCACCAAGAACCGCCATGTTACAATGAAACTGTTTGACCGAGGATCCTCCCTTAACACGCTTAGATCCGGCTTAAATGCCCTTTATATTACTATAACCGCAAATCTCATCGAACTTATTTAGCGTTTCTCGAAAGAATATCCGTTCGATACTAATATTCAAGACGTGAACGGAGATATAGCCCTCACATATACTGTATATTCCTTATATTTAAATATAGCCTTATTATTACTTCTAGTCCGTCTCGGTACCGATATAAATCATTTACGCGCTTTTATAATAAAGGGTGTAAAGAACGGACTAATGTTTATTTTATATATTCAATAAATAGTCGTATATTCTCGGCTTTTAGCCTTTTTCTTTATTATAACAATCAAGCCCGTATATACTTTCTTCCCTCGAACTTTATCAGCATTATTGAAGTAGTAAGTGTTGGCTGTACTATTATAGCAGGAAGGCTAAGCGGATCATGTCGGCCTTTGTCGGAGTTGTTTTCGACCTGATCATTATAAGGCCTGAGGGATGGGACTTAGAGATAGCTTTTCTTTGCCATGCTTCTTCACACTTTTGCACAGTTAGGCTTTTTCTTTTTTGTTTGCAGCAGTACATTCGGAAGACAACGAGAATAGCTCGTTGTCGCGAATTAATACTATTTCGGTTATCGACCTCATCCTTTCCACTCATTACTTATTGATCAGTCTACGAACGAGCCTGCGAGCTCATATTCTCAACCATGATCATCTCCATTCCTTCCGCTGCTATTAACGTCAAAATCCTTACTGCGAATGGCTTAGGGAGGGATATATGGACCTTGGACCGACAAGAAACCACTGCTTTCACCAAATAGTTCTATATAATTACGACGTTGTATTTTGGCGAGGTATTTCTACTGAAGTTTTCCCCAAAAGATTTATCTTCGTATCTTCCCAGGTCCAATTGCTCAACGTCTATTCTCAGTAACAATCACCTTCAGTAGTTTGTTCGGCTTGGCATTCGTCATCACGATGGTTTCTCAATGACAGACAATCAGTTATAATTAGAAAAACTGGAGAGTCGAAGGCACTGGACACTGTACAAATGTCAATGTCATTGCGTGAGCAAATGCTGCAATCAGTATTACTTTGGATATTTAGGTGCTCGCAATTCCACTTGTTAAAATACGGCGTCTCAATCTTCAATGGAAAAGCAAGGCCGGAGTGGCATGCACGTTCTATCTGGGAACCTTTTAAGAACTTTCGCGTCGACCTCCTACTACCTTATTCCTTGCTGACAATTATAGCGTGACTGTTATAAGCATAGTACGCTTAGAGTCTTTAACAGAGTTTCGGAAATCTTCGAACCTAACTTGGGACTACTAGAGAACCTCTCTATGGTCAACCATAGAGATCACGACTGGTATAATATGTGCTTGTATGCCGACTATGGGACTCGATATTACAAAGCTAGTGACTGGTTTTGTCAAAACATCATGCCCTCCAGAACCTAACTCACGGGAACCGGTGAAGCCGTTGGGCAATACCAGGCAGCAAAATCTCAGCACTACTGATTCTAAAGAAAGAAGTCCAAATTATTTAGAGATTACGTCTTTTGATGACACATGACATTGGGCCGATCCGTGGATTGGCCGCTAGTTCGGAAATTCGTAGTCCGGCGCCCGGTTGTCAACATACAAATGAGAAATAATTCTCGTGCTGAGCCAATCGCCTGGAGGGGACACTGGAAAGATGAAGAGCAGTATGTTAAAGGCTAAGACGTTGAATTGGCGAAAAGACACTAATATTGCTATACTACGTCCTATATATGAGATGTAAGAGAAGAGAAGAAAGAGAAAGAACAGTTCATCTTCCTGGTGTCATTATAGTCGAAAATAAAATTCTATCCGTTCTTATTTCATTATATTCGCTGTCTAAAGTCTCCAAGGGTAATGTGGACACAATGTATGCTTCCAGGCCTCGAGATGGGGTATCACTTCCTGAGACCACCACTACATACCCTTCAACTCTTTCACTGTCTATGAGTTATGTTTCGACAAGCTTATCAAATCACCATTTATTGCCATGGCCTTTGATGCGACTCGTCCTGAACAGGGGTCCCCGCCAACTTATTTGGCCTGTCTACTGGTACCTGAGGAAGTATGCTCTGGCGGCTGAACTATCCGCATCAATCGGGCATATTGTACTAGACCATGTCTTGGAATACCTCTTTGGATACTTTCGACCCATTAATCCCGAGTACTATGCTTGGCGCCGACAGTGCTGATATGGTGAAGTTGCCTGCATTAGGGTGGCTTCCTCGACTCACATGGCGAAGGCTTCTACAACCGTTATGCCCAGAATGATGATCCTGATAAGAGTAGATTCATTTCATGTTTACAGAGAGTTCCGCGTTATCACAGCGTCACTTGCATGTTCGTTGCCTTACCTGTATAACGTGTACTTCATCTTCAGGTATGCTTCTCAGCTAAGCATGTCTGATTTAGTTCTTAATCCAAACTGCATTTCCTTGACTTATCTTGAAATTGGCCTGCCAATTGGTCACCAGTTTCGACAATCCTGTACCGTCAGTTTTGGTACCCTCATGTTGACTTCTTGTTACCACAAGTTCGACGAACAACTTGTAACAAAGATACGGCAGCAGGCCAGTCTGCCTTGTACCGGTACAAAAGAGAATGCAAATCTTCATCGCATCGAATGGTGGAATGCCTTACGTGTCAAGGCAGCGCTGAGCAAGAAGCTGAATGTCTCCGTTTATACTTCCAGGCTCTGATTCGGGATGGCCTGGTGGATTTGGAGACATAAAACGTCGCAAAAAAAAGGGAGTATAGAAGCAAACTTCCGTGCTCTGGACCGAAGTGCTGGTTTTGAGGTCTTTCACGACGACAGGACGTGAGAACACCCTGTAGCTCTAGGTTGGGAAGTCAAGTCCTAGACCCTAATTAGCCTCGGTGGAGGGATAAAGATCCTACCGTAGTAAAGTCGCATTGAAAATTGCATTTGAAGCAATTGCTGCACCCTGGCTTCTCCTCATCGCACTAGGAAACGTAGATCGATCAGTACCGCTTTCGGCGAAAACGATTATTCCGAAGCATCGTGAAATTTGCAAGCACGGCTCGATCGAGTTAGTGCAACCATGAATGACGAGAGGCAGCAGTGTCTAAAAAAACAGCCGAGCTTGATCGTCGAGGAACGTAGGTTCTGCAGTGAGTTTAGCCCTTGGAACGTCCACGAGGCGGGGCCTTTGTTATCGATCGATGTTCGTTTCTAGGGTGCTGAACTCTTCAGAGAGCGTCTTACGGTGAAATTAAGGTTGGATAGTTCACGAGAAAAATAGGTTTCCTAAAACCCGAGGCTCTGTTGTTCCTGGTGCAAAAGACTTTCATGAGCTGTTGTTGGAGTTTTTTCTGCCTAAGACAACCTAACCAGTGCCGAGCCCATGACGAAAGTATGCGCCCTGACACCTATTGGCCCTAGTCGATCTGCATCGTTGGATCAAATGGGGCATCCTAGGGTCGTTGTATTGAATCCGAAGAATACGAGCTTCTCGGTCTCATCGCCGAGTTTTCCACTAACATCGCTCAGCAACATAGTTTTACAGGTGAATGTGAATACAAGTTGATAGCTGAACAATGCATCACAGAAGATACGATCTTCCTTGCCACCGATCACATCCATTTCTTAGGGCTGCCTGGGTTATTTTGTAGTTGCATCGTATACGCAAAAGAGGTTGAAGATTCTGCGATGTCTAATTCTTCAAGCCCTTCCTCTTCTTCAGGTCTCGTAATAAATTTAATTGGGGCTTTTTGCGTATTCAGCTTCTTGTTGTGCTGGTAGAAGTGCTTGGTAGTCATCGCATGATATTTTCGTGCCCCTTCATCGAAATTTTGCTCGTTAGAAATGACCTGACCCCGGTGCATACACTTGCAACGGCCGTGAGAATGACGATGATCTTGTGGTTAACTAAGAAATTGACGCCGTGCATGTTCAGCCGAAACTTCTACCATGATGGTTGTGTTGATCTTTTGGTTTTGACCACACGGCACGCGGTGTGCTCCATACTAAAAGCACTGCTCGTGCCGTGCCCGTGCTTTCAGAAACCCCATGGGGCCTCAATGATGTGTAATAAAAACGGGATCTCGTATAATCTCGGTTTCGTCGTAATAATCCTTGTCTTTTCGCTTATCTCTCTTTTTACTTGCTAGATACGTTGAAAAAGGCGTGGTTCCCGACTCAGAATCATGCCTTCTCAGCCGCACACGGACACTTTGGTTTCAGTTCTGAAGTGAATAAAAGACTCGCTGGTCGACACTTTAATACACTCCACGGATTTGACGCCACGAGAATTCGCATAGCCATCGTCGCAATGGATATCTCCATGATTGCTAGTGGGCCATTACTATGGCTCGCTGGGCTTTTCCTGACTACAACGGTCAGTGACATTTTGTACTAATCTCTCCTACTCTTATTCACAAGCTTTGATCGCCTTTGGATGGAAGTCTGATGGTTGAGCAGTTCATCCTCTATTGGATATTTCGACTCTGCTATAATGCATTCTTCCATCCACTCCGCATTTATCCCGGCCCGTGGTATAGAGCGGCAAGTCGTTTGCCCTACACTATCTCTATTTTTCGAGGTGACGCTACGCACAAGGTCAAAGAGCTTCATAACAAATATGGGCAGGTCGTGAGAATAACGCCAGATACATTGTCTTATACTTGCAGTCAGGCATGGACAGGTTAGTAGTCTAACATGTCTGCTACAATCAAACATGCTTACAACAGTTTAACACGTCACATGTATTTTCCAGATATTTACGGGAACAAACAATCCAATCAACGTGGAAACCTTCCAAAAGACCCGCTGTTCTATATTACACCGCCTGAAAGTGTAGACACAATCGTGAGTTGTGATGCATTAACGAAAACGTAGAACACTGACTTAGCTGGATCTAGTCCACTGCCAGCGACACTGACCATCGACGGCTTAGGCGACTCCAAGCCCATGCGTTCTCGGAGAGGGCACTCGTGCTACAAGAGTCGTATTTACAAAAGTACACTGACCAGTTTATATCATGTTTGGAAGTCCAAGCTAATAATCACGACGGCGTGGTTGATCTGGTAAAATGGCTCAATTTCCTTACCACTGACCTGATTGGCGATCTATCATTCGGGGAAACATTCGGTGGATTGGACACAGGGAAGGTCCACCCTTGGCTTGAGACACTTTTTACAACGTTGAAGACCTTCACCTTTATGCGTGAGATTCTCCGTTTGCCCCCTTTCATCATAAAAGCTGCAATGGCATGCATCCCAAAGGAGATGATGGAGCATCGTCAAGGGGCATTAGCGTTTGGTGCTGAGGCGGTTCACCGCAGGCTGGCGCGACAGACGGACAGGCCGGACTTCATGTCTTATATCTTGAAGCACAACGGGGAAGAAGGGAAAGGGTCAGTTGCCAACTGTCCAGTGCACAAGGATTCAATGTGTGCCCTGCTAATATGCTACCAGAATGTCACAAGCTGAGATTGAAATGGCTGCTATAACATTTATTGTTGCTGGAAGCGAAACTAGTCAGTACTCTTGTGCTACCATTTTTGACGTCATGTTTGACGACTCAGCTGTACTGACAATGCTTCAGCCGCAACAATGATCTCGGGCACAATGTATATCCTCCTCCGCAGTCCCGCAGTTCTTTCTGAGCTGACAAACAGAATTCGGTCCGATTTCAAAGACAAATCGGACTTTACATTTGTTAAACTGCAGCAACACGAGTATCTCAATGCTGTCCTGAAGGAAGGTCTCAGGCTGTACCCCCCCGCACCGGATACTCTTTTTCGTACGACGACAAATAAGAGTGCCATTGTAGCCGGAAAGATCGTACCTGCACACACGAAATTGACAATGAATCTCTGGGCTGCCAATAGAGATCCCAACAACTTTTATAGACCACTTGAGCTCATTCCCGAGCGTTGGATGAAGGCCGCGCCGCCGGAGTTCCATAATGATGATAAAGCGGTTTTGAAACCGTTTAGTACCGGGCCTCGAGATTGTATCGGGAAAAAGTGAGATCCTATTCTCAATTGATGCCTATAGTCAAAGCTGACAGTTATGCATAGTCTCGCGTGGGCTGAAATGCGTATCATCCTGGCTCGATTAGTTTGGAACTTCGACTTCCTCGCATTAGAATCTGACAGTAAAAGGTGGATAGAACAACAGAAGATATACAGTCTTTGGGAAAAGCTACCTTTGAATGTCAAGATCTCACGACGGAGTTTTGGTGCTTCAGCCTAGGTAAATACCAGGCAACGATGCACAGATGAAGTCCAAGTACTTAGTAGTTAAAGAGAGACAGGCTGCTGCTTGTCATTAATTGGCTTAGGATCAGATGTAGCTGCCGGTGCTTAATTACGCTCTAGACTGGCTGTGGTAGATCATCAAGGGTGAAGGACAAATCTATCAATAATAGGGGCACAGCAGGACCAGTGTCAGACAATAGTGTTGCAAGGGAGTGCTACGGTGCTAGTATTGACGCGCTGAGCCCTACTCTCTATCATAAATGGAGGTTTACATCCTTTGCATACCTAGTCAACTGTCCAGGTCGCCAGGTTTAACAATCACAGCCGACTGGATGAGACCCGATGCCGCACCATTTCCTAGTCATATAATCCAACCGACACGGCAACGGTTTGACAGCAACAGGAGCTTGCGCAAGTACAAAACAATGCAAAACTATACTTTATTGATTCATAGATGGTGCTTGTAGTGTTTCAACAGCAAACGACCCTTGGTAGATTGTGCTGACTCCCAATAACGCCTCTGACCACTAGTGTGAGTAGACTGTTGAGGGGCCAGGCCATGGCGCTTTCCAACTGCTACCGCAAGCTCGGGCGTCACCGTGGAATTGCGGAGATTGAATCTTGGCAACCCGTCTGTGGTCGCCATCAATGCTCCTTAACTCATATGTTGTGATCAACGAGATGCACAATGCTGCATCGTTTAGGACCTTATCAAGTCAAAGCTACTATCGCAGGTGCAAGTAACTTGGACAATTTCGTATTGAATTGCCCTAAGTTCGGTGGCACAAACACAACGTCTGGTAGCTCCCGCCAATCACAGATCGGGACGTGAGCTGCCTACCATCCAACGGGCACAAGATGAGCTCAAGATTTGTCTCTGAATGGTGGAACAGGATACTTGAAGCGAGCTTCCAACAGAGGAGTCTTGATACAGTAATGGGATGATTGAATGAATTAGAGTTGTCTCTTGTACTCATTCATAACGATAACCTTATTAAATATAATTTGAAAGAATTTAAAGTTAAATCATATTTAATAACAAGTAAAGAAATTTCAATACTACGTGTTCTTTTTTTTTCTTTTCTTTTTTTCTCTATTATAAACCAAATTGTTATAAACTAATTCCCTTATAATGGTTTATGCTTGGTTTTTACTTGTGCTGTTTTAATCTGTGGATATAGCTAGCTCTTACTGCAATTCAGTTCCCACACCTGCACGAACCCGAACCTCTTGCTGTGAGCCCACTTCCATCCAGTTTGGGTATCACAATTGCTTGTTCTGATGAACAAATTACGAGAAAAGAGCAGAGATGCTCGCTTTGATGTCCCCATCGACATACGTCGCGCGTTCTTGCGCCTCGAGTTCCAGTGGCACGGCGGCTTCAAGACCCAGACCAAACCTCACGAGCCTTGTTTGGCCCTCGTCTGCCTCAACCATGTCCTCATTAGGCCACTTCAGGACGCCCGGCGTCGACTGTCCCACGCCCAACTCAAGAATGACGAGGCGTTGTCCTCGTCCGCGCGTGTCCGCCTGGAATTGTTCCCACTGTTGTTCCCCACGACCGAACGGCCGCTCGTTGAACCAATGCCCAGCCCGGACACAGATACTCATCTTACCCCTGCAAAATCGGCACAGCGGGATCTTTTCGGGGGCCGCCAAATGCTGCGTGATCGGATCCAAGAAAGGAATAGCAGCATCCAAAAAGGGGGCGGATGGTGTCGTGGCGTCTGGCCGACAGTTCGCCAGACATTGCAGGACAGCGTAAGTGCCCTGGGGAGTTGACAGGGCGTCCTCATCCCAACCATTTGCGAGGAAGAGTCCGTCTGCATTGGAGGTCCTCACGTGGGTCTTGATGCCTCGATTCCGCAGCCAAGATATTAGGGTCCTGTATACCGAAGAGCGAGGCCACGATTGGATCATGTTTAGATGTGTAAAATAGTAGCTCCATCGGTCTTGTTCCGTAGGCCAGTCTGAGAACCCAAATACACTGTACAGTGTTGTCAATCCGTATTTCTTGAAGCCCGGGAAATGTTTCGAGAAGAGGGCTTGTGATGTATAGTCTAGCCCGTCAGAGGCCGAAAAGCCTGCTCCTGCACTGATGAGGATGGCATCTGCAGACAGCAGCCACTGACGAGCACGCCCTAGAGATTCTGGTTGACCGAGCGGCCTTGGGATCACAGACTGCTCCGAATGGCCAGTGCCTAACAGTTTCTGGTAAATGATAGTATCTGCCTCGGAAAATGTATTGAAAATCACATCAGTGATAGTGGTATTGTGCTCCTCAATCCAACGCAAGGTAGTCTTGACGGCGATCTCAGATGCTTCTGAGGATGGAAAGGCGAACAAGCCCGTCGATATACAGCATATCGCAATGGCCTTTCTCGAATTCGTGGTAACCAGCAAGTCCGCTTCCCGCAACATGGACGTGTAACAGTCTGCAAGCTGGCTCCTCTGCATGTCAGTGGGTGGATCTCCCCTTCGCAGCTGAGGACCAACTGTATGTATGATATATGGCGCCGGCAGGCAGTGACCTCTCGTGGTAACGGCGTGGCCGGGCTGCAGTGTAGCGGAACCTTGTGACATTAGGTCGTAACATTCTTTGCGTAGCGCGGGCCCGGCCCAGAAGTGTATGGTATTGTCAATGCAGCGATGGCTGGGCTGAAAACATCCGAGCATCTGAGAATTGGCAGCATTCGTAATGGCAGTTACACCAGAAAGAGTCGTAATGTCGCCTTGCCAGCAGAACAGGTTGATCTGTCCTTGGTTGAGCGTATCTACGACTCTCTTGGGCTGGAGAGTATCGACTAACGTCAGAGAGCGATGCGCATGAATATGTTCGTAGACGGTGCGAATGCTGTCCAATATGAAAACAGGAAGCTCTGGTTTGACTGGACGCTGACACAGAAGCTGGCGCAGTATCTGCAGCTGGTCCGAGATGGACCAATCATCGATATATGCAAATGCAGGGCTGCATTTTTGACGTTTGTTCGTTGCGCTTTCTTCGCCGAGTAGATGCTGTAGAGCAGTTTGTAATGCTAATGAGACTTCCATATTAGCATGCGGCCTGTTGGCTGAAATTACCTACTCAGGCGTAGCTGTCCCATAAACATTAGATCAACTGTTAGGAGGTTCAGATCCCAATCATGCTTTTTCTATGCGCTCTGTGAGGCGTATTTAAATTGCAATGTTGGATTTATATGTGGGACGTAGAATTATTGTACAAATCGCCGTGTAATTACCAATTGTCTCGGAACCAAATTGCTGCCGGGAGGCTAAGCACTTCGATTTGATGTTTTCAAGGGGCTCAATAAGGGGTAGTGCCACGGAATTAGCTCCTCTTAGTGGCCTTTAGCAGACGGAGTGGGCTGTAGGGTTGCTATCTCGTCGGGCTGGCTAATACGTCACGAAACAACGGCATTATTAATGAAAAGGCTGTATATATTGTCTAACGTTCGAAATGATTGTGGAAACCCACACTATGATGAGTAAGCAGGCTATACGTTACCGTGTCACAAGCTGTTAGGAAAGTGGTCCCCTCTCGCTAAGGTTAGGTGGTTGTATCCGGGTCCGCTGGATTAATATTTAGGTCGGTAACAGCTCGGAAATCCCCGGTGATGTATTGGTTCTTCTTCTTCTTATAATTTGCTGAGAAATACACCTATCCTGTAACAGACAAGAAAGAGGACTGTAGCCTAGTCGGATACCACGGGCCTGTGCATCGTTGTATAGACAGTAGAGGGCGGAGGGCGGGAGGGGCAACTATCGGAACGAGGCGAAGGTGCTGTGCCGAAGAAGTTGCAAACGTAGTAACTACTGGTATTCACAGTGTCTACGAAAAGAATCTACATTGCATTGATCAGCGAAGGTAGGTGGAATTTATAGTCTTAGATGTCTCCTAACTCGGTCTTATAAAGAGAGACTAGGACAGCCGGACGACTAACTTTGCAATTCCGCAACTATTCATTCTAGTTGTAACAGGTGTCGCCCCGATCCTAAAGGAGCGAACTAAACCTGCATGCTTCATGATGAGATTTCTTCACTAATACCTTCTGGGTTGTCGATCCCTATGGATCCATCAGTTGACCAGGTGCGGAACAGCTGCCACTCTCAGCCCGCCGGCTTGTTGGAGTTAACGAGTGGTTCTAGCTAAACCGAAGCGGGTCGGCCTACGGCCACATGGAACAGAACGGCAGTGCATACCAATCAATGTAAGTAATAATGGCGACAGTTGTTAAAGATATCATGTGAAACAAATGCGACAAAACGACTTATTGGTATTTTTACGTTCCACTTATTTCTTTTAAACGCAAGGAATTAGAGCTTACGTTCGCTGTTCAAAGCGTATGACGAAAATAGCATTAGCCCGGGTGGCACAGCCCGTGTGAGCTGGGCCATAGACCCGCAAACAGGGTACGAGAATGGAGCTGGCTTTTTATAGGTCAATCTAACCAAGTCAAGGAGATGATATTCGGGTTCACTGCTCACCTTGTAGATCTGCCGGGAATATATCCACAACAACGAGGAGTGATGTCCGTCTAATATGGAGTAGCTAGTAAGAATAGTATGGAACATCGTATGCCTCGGGAGGACGTACATGACGTCAGTGACGCTGTCAAGCCTCATTGACTCCTGATGGCAAGGAAGACGTGTTGGAGGATTGACGCAGGCATGCGAAAGTCAAACACACAAAATGATATAAGTCAGTGACTATCTTATAATCTTTCATCTTTCACGACATCAACAACAGCAGCATTCCTCCTCATCTCCAGCACCAACCATTCGCATCTCTGCAAAACAATTTACAAATTTCCATAACGCCACAGCCATATACATAATCACCAACTCTCACCAAGTTAGGAATCATATTTAAGAAAGTCTACCTCGACATCACCAATTCCACCATGCAAATCTCCACAGGCCTCGTCACCATCTTCACCCTCATCTCCCTGGGTCGCGCTCTACCATCGGCCGAGGCTTTGGACTATGACGGGATTCTCTCACGCCGCGATACCTACGACCGCAAGGGTTCGGGCATGTGCGGTAGCCTGCAGGTCAAGTTCTGCGACGAGGCGGTGAACAACTACATCATCCGGGACGACACGCCGCGGTACCGGCCCGACGTCTACCAGTCGTGCTCGGGGGGCTGCTCGGCTCTGGGCGCCGAGGGCATGACGGGCGCCGGCTGCCGCGTCTTTGTCGGCGGCGGCCAGGACTGCAAGCGCAGCGGCAACCAGCTCTGGCTCGACTACCAGGACATCCGCAACAACGGGGCGGACAAGTGCGGCAGCAAGCACTGGGGCGACGGGTGCCGGACCACTATCAACTACGTCGCGGAGTGTGGCAAGGTCAAGGAGGACTGCCCGGCGATATGAATTTCTATGTACATGGGAGCATCGGGAAGAAGCGAACGTCAAGATGGGCAACTGGGATGGGTAAAAGGGATTCATGATTACCAAGGGTCGATTCGAACCTTGCAAATGTATTAATTGAATTTAAGAGCTATGGGGTTACGGAGTTCGGAAACTTTTTGTTCGATATTAAATCCGTACCACAGGCACAAGGCTGTATCATTGTAAATTCGAGTTACTGCTAAATTATCTTTTCTCGATGTTTGCTATAATCTAGGTCCTAGCTTATATTTGACACGTTGTCGGCTTTTATTATTTTGCATCCTTTGCCATTAGTGTATCATCTCATACTTGACTCCATATGTCTTTGCAATGAGAATCCCGTACACACTATTATTGCCTCCAAATAATAGGAGTACTAGCAACTGGTCCCGCTTTTCCGAGTCATAAACTTCACCGGTTGGGAGGTTGAGAGCAAGAAAATGCTGTGATAGATTGGCAACGAGGGAGAATTTGACGCGAAGTATACCGAAACCGATAAGATCTTGATATTGTCCCACTGTAGTCGGATTGGCAAGCAGATTCTCTTCACATCAATACTTCCACGTGATATTAATGTACCACTCTCGTAAAAGGCATCACCGTGTACCATTTCGACCTAGCAAAGTGCATGGCTGCAGCCCGTAGTGTGAAGATTGGAAATGATATCTCTTCGAGGCTTCTGCATGATATCCTCGTAGCTTCTTGACCACGAGAGATCGTAAATCAGAGTACTCGACCACATCCAGCCAGCACATGTCATTGACTGGCCTTTGGATAGAATCGACGACGCCCTTGAACGCAATGAACTTATCAGCTATTTTGGTGAGATCAGTCTGTGAATGTTTTCGCGCGAGCTCATGCCAGAATTCGCGGAAACTGTGCTCGCCGATATTTCCTCTTCCTCTATTCGCCGGAGTATGTATTCTAATTAATCGTGGGAAGGTTGGGGGTTTAGATTTACATATCTCGAGTGAGTACAGTTCTTTGTATTGCTATGCTAATTGATATATTTCGAAATATAGGATCCGAGACCTGAGGAGGTGTTCTTGAAAGACCTAGCCTCGATCTCGTTATTTTAGATATGATTATTAAAGACCTAGAAATGCTCCGTAGTATTGTCTAAGTTTATCTCAATACGAGTATGTAGTGATGAAGCCCACCCAAACTGTTGGAAAAGCGATTCGCTTCCATTACTGGATAGCGTTGCAGACATGTTTAAGCAATAATAGGAGTAAACAGGGTGAATTTTCGCTATTCTGCTTCCTAATCGGCAAGGTCGTTCTGCTTAATGCATAAGGCGTCAATTTATATACATGTTATTTTAAGCCCGCGGGCTATAAGTATAGCCTTACGAATGACCCTAAGGTAATTAATAACATCGATTCTGTACTAAATTGCTTTTTTAATCTTTGTTTCAAGTCTTTAATACCCGTGACTTTCCTACCTGTGGTTAAAGGTTATATACAGTCTAGTAAAGTGGGTTTCTTTCGTTAGTATTAACTTTATAAATTCGTTACAAGTAACCGGGTAAGATACTAAGACGTAGATATTTTTACTTAATTATTATAACGTTTATAATGCTCTTTATAAGTATTTACTTAAGAGTAAATAAGGTCAAAATCGCAACCGGAAGGTAGCGGCCTCGCCTAGACTAACGAAGAGTAAGCTAGGTAACAGGTTAGTACGTTCCGTCGAGTTAGACCTAAGGTAGAAGAGCTTACTCTAGTAATTGATAAATGCTAGGTCAATTCTGAAAGGTTCTTCAGACATGGCGCTGACTGCGCGGATAGTAAGTGAACAGGACAGAAGAACCTCCTTCCGGGTTCTCCCGGGACATACTGCTGAGCGTACGAACTTTGTACATACGATGCAGCCACCCTCATATCCCAATTGATCTGGGTTCAACTCAACCTCGAGATCTCGAGGCATGACTTCATGACGTACATGATGCGCGAACGTATGACGGGCAGCCAGGCTTCTCTGAACAGTATATCATGATGAACAGCGCCTTACTCATAGGTGCAGTTAGCGAGACGAGGGTTTCTGCTGTGAGCGGCTTCTTCTTTTCCGCCGGAATGGCACGGGAAAGGTTGAGACGGCTTATCGAGGAAGTCCGACCCACATACAACAGCGAGTCGGTGATCAACTTTGTTAACTCACACCATCTCCCTTACTTGCGCGCTTGTATGGAAGAGACGCTGCGCATTTTCCTACCGTTGTCGAAACACCGCCTCGTCAGTCCCCCGGGTTTATGCTCAAGGGCAGTTAGGTTCCTCGCGGGGTAAGTTCTCAACTCGCACACTTGAAGTCCTCCTAGCAGGCTCTCCTCCTCCTCGGTACTTTAAGTAATGATTACTTCACTATAGACCCCGCTCCGTGTCAACCAGGTGGCGGCCATGCGCAACCCCGATAGCTTCGTTGACCCAGAGAGCTGGTACCCAGAGTGGTGGCTGCCCAAAACGCACCCGCTCTACGGTCCCTGCAAGATGGGAAACCCAGACGCCACTTTTCCTGCTTAGTTTTAAAAGGTTATCTGGACACTATGCCGTGGCACTTGAAAAGCCTAAGCAGGTTGGGGTTTAATTACTCCACGAATGTTTCCCCGGCATATTTGATATTTCTCGTTTGATTTACTTCAACTATGATACTGTCATATTGAGTTGCCAATGATTTGCCAGTTTTCCTTTTCCTTTCCTAGATTCGTTAGGATGACATAAATGCACCCGCTACAAGCAAAGTAGACTCAGCTTAGAAAGCGGAACAGATCCGATTTTGAGCTTCGCAAGAATGGAGAGAGAATGCGGGACTTTCCATAGAATTTCGGGTAACCCGTTCCTCTGAATTTAGTAATAAAGGAGGTTATCCTTAGGCCAACTGTCGTATCAAAGGTTTTGTCTGAAACAACATATATAGCTGTTCACTGAACGACTTCCACGATGGCCCATCCGATCATATGAACCATCTTTGTAGATGTTACGTCATGACCGCCTTGGTTTATCGTCGCGAATTCGATGGATAATCATTGACGGAGAAACTCGAAGAAGCGGCGCTGATATCCTTTCAGCCAAGGTTGATTCTACGATAATTATCATGACCGCCATGATCAACGCCTAGTCGCAGGTCCGATGAAGCAGGCGTGTGATAGACTAACAATCGGTGCGCAAGGACAATTTACGATCTGATGATTTGTCTATGGAGCAGTCTGCCACGGTGTAGGCGTGCCTGGTCGCCTCAAATAGAGCGATGACCTATGTGAGACAATGGATGCATCTGAACGTTATCGGAGTCGGGTTGCTTTTCATCTTGAAAGAATATGTGCTCTAGGATATAGCAATGATACAAGGAGCGCCATTCAGAGGGTTAAGCATGTGCATGCGAATTTAATAGGATTTATACTTTTACACTCAGTAGCCCGACAGAGTGTAGCGATATTGCCTTGCGTGCGCAAAATATTTAAAATGTGGAATGGCTTCTCCATTCATTTCTTTCCGTACAGTTTGGGCGACAAATAGATCTATTCAGCGCTATCGTACGAAAGGAAGAAGGGATTATTCCCATCGTACGCGATCTACAGATAGGGGTTTGGCCTATACGGCTGCAAGCTGCCGACAGCCACGGTGTGGCTGTAGTGGCTTGCCGTCAGTACGCCGGTAACTAGCTAGACTATATGGTCGTGCGAGACCGCGGATAACCATATTCCAACAAAAAAATATATTACGAAATTTTACACGGGTTGCAGCTAGATAATAAAATAACAAGGGCGACTTTAACAGAGTCGTTATACATCCCATCCATTATTAATACTTCCAAAGGTACCTAACGCCGTGGAATAAGTTTCGAGTCTGTGTGGGGTAAATGCAATACAGGCAAGGGGCTTGACATAGTACATAAGAATTGGGACCTGAAGGTAAAAGAACAAAGTTAGGAATGAAAAAAATGAATGTTATTTGTTAAAGGATTTGAAAGCCGGTAAATTCCAAATACAATTGCATTCTGTGACACTGATGGCGCCATTCCTTATATCGGTACTCGGTACCATGATCATGCCATGGATCCTCTCGGGGTTCGGTACCACAATCGACCCATGACACCAATGTATTCTGTTTTCCTTTCCATGATGAATACTTCCAGACGTCGTGAATCCATGCGGGGTTTGTACAGTATAAGCATCTGGGGGTCTACATACTACATCAGAACATGAAGATCATATCATATCATATCAATATCGCCGATGGCCCCGTGCGTTAATCCAACCTCGGGGGAATAAACCGTCCGTGTTGCGAAATCAACTATATTAAAAAACCTTCGAGTAATTGAAGCTTGCCATGTTCGAAAATTGATATTATGTCACAATGTAATCTCTTGTCTCCTCATTCTCTAGTTTTCATATGCCGCACTGCTTTCGGCAACCAGCTTAAATAAAAAGAAGCATTTTAGCCAACGCAATTTGATCTTGTAATGGCCACTATGGCAGCAGAGCCAACGCCATCGACCGAGCCAACGGCCTTTCAAAAGACCAGCCAAGACGCAGCAACAGCGCCGTCACGCACAATACTTGTCGACAGCGAAAAAGGGGAGGAGGGCATCTTGAATGCCCATGAACACAAGGAATCGGAAGCCGACTACGCGACGGGGTTGAAGCTCATTGTGCTCATGACATCGCTCCTCCTGTGCCAGTTCCTAGTTGCACTGGACATGGTAAAAACATCTTACGAGCATCTCAGGATATGATCAAGTGAAGAACCGCTACTGACGGCACGTCCCCCGCGTCCAGAGTATCATCGCAACTGCCATCCCCAAGATCACGGCCGATTTTCACAGTCTGGACCAGGTGGGCTGGTACGGCTCGGGCTTCCTGCTTACGCTTGCCGCTTTCGTTGCGCTATGGGGCAAGGCTTTCAAGCACGCGAACATCAAGAGGGTTTTCTTGTCTGCCGTCCTCGTCTTCGAGCTGGGGAGCTTGATATGTGGTAAGTAAGATAGAAGGCGGTTATTGCTGATTCTCGGAGGCTGAACCGCAAAGAAATAAGCTTAAAAAGGTGGAAAGTCTATGTTAACCTATTGAATTACTATTAATACTTGCCTTACTTAGGCGTCTCCCAGAATAGCACGACGCTGATTGTGGGCCGTGCGATTCAGGGATTCGGAGGAGCCGGTATGACTAGCGGGGTCTACCTCATCGTCTCAGTTTCCGTCGTGCAGCAGCTAGTCCCCGCCCTGCTTGGCCTCCTTAGCGGTATTTTCAGTGTTGCCAGCATTGTCGGACCGCTTCTTGGTGGTGTCTTTACGGATCGGCTGTCATGGCGATGGTGGTAAGTGATGGGTTTCATTGCAAAGGGGAAAGATGAAAACTCTGTATGTCTTTCTATACGCTAACGTTTGACGCACATTAAGCTTCTACATTAACCTCATTGTCGGCGCCCCATCTATTCTCTTCCTCTTGTTCTTCTACAAGCCTCCGGCCCACCATAAGATTGTACCTATTGGATGGAGGGAATTTATTCACACGCTGGACTTACCGGGTGTGGCGCTCGTTCTCGCTGCGCTGACTTACTTCATCCTCGCGCTGGAGTATGGCGGTGCTACTAGGCCGTGGAACTCAGGCACCGTCATCGGCCTGCTCGCAGCCTTCGGGGTCCTAACTATCCTGTTCATCATCCTCGAGTGGTACCAGGGTGACCGAGCACTGCTTGTCGGCCGCCTTATGAAACGGAGAACTATTGCGGCGTGCGCCATCTTTGTTTCCATGTACGTGTTGCCCATAGACAAAGAGCAGCTTGCTCTTATTCATTTCTATATTTATCCCCTCCTGTTTCTACTCTGACTGACCACGGACAATCCAGGATCAACTTCTCCTTCTTTCCCCTTGCATATAATCTCCCAATCTACTTCCAGGCTGTCAATGGAGTTTCTCCGCTGGAAAGCGGCATCCGTTTGCTCCCAACTATTCTTCCCATGAGTAAGTTGATATTTTCCCCACCCCACATGACATGACCGAATGTGCGTGGAGGAGATGAACTGCTAACGCTCATCCCCCTTGCTAGCCCTGTTCAGTTTGGTATCCGCTCCGGGTATTGTCCTGGCCGGTTGGTATCAACCGTGGCTGATGTTTGGCGCCTCCCTCGCCGCCATCGGTGCTGGCCTGATCTACATGTTAGACGTATATTCGACCAATGCTCAGTGGATCGGATTTCAGATCGTTGCAGGTCTTGGAACGGGTCTCTCCATGCAACCTCCTGTCATTATCGCCAATGCCATCACCCCCAAGGAAGACAATAGTATGGCTATGTCAGATGTCTTGTTCTTCCAGTTTATCGGCGGCACCTTCGGTATCGGTATCGCCCAGGCCATCTTAAATAATGGTCTCATCCGCAGCCTCCCGGAGCTCGCCCCTGGTGTGACTACAACGGACGTCCTGAGCGTTGGTGCGTATGACCTGCAGAACATCTTCTCGGGTGAGGACCTTCTCGGTGTGTTGAGGGCTTACATGGCTGGCCTTCATGATGCGTGGATCATGAGCATTGCCGGTGCCGCCGTCGCCGTTTTCTTGCCCTTACTCGGGGATTACGTCAAGCTTCCCAAAACTCCCCCCAAAGGCTGGGATGCCTAGGCGGACTAACATTGGCGTAGGTGAATACCCACTTTGACTCTTACTGTTTGGAGTAGAGTCCTCATTACGGCTTTAATGAAAGGGTGGGCTGGCCTCGATCTATATAAGAGGCGCATAAATAAAGCAGTTGTGCAATCATAGTCCTGACGTTGTCAGTTAATTGACCAATTTAATTGGGGGCGCTATTTATTCTTTCAACAGTAAATCGAGCTGTTATTATCTCTTTTTTTGTCCACTTTCTTTATAGTTTTGTTTTCTCCCGCGTCCAACGCCGCGCCACTGCCAGGTTGCTGTTTAAGAACGTAATATAAACTCACCGATCAACAAAAGAACCGATCTTTTATATTTGTATTAGTATGGCAGTCACTACAAACAAGTCTCCAGCGGGTTGAAATTATGTGACTAGACTTGCTGCTCGCTGTCCGCTATTAGTGTGGGTTACCTAGAAGTGCCCACCCCCCTGAAGTGCCCACCCTGATGAGAAACACAGTATCAATTCAATTAGAAATACAACCACAACTACATAGAAAATCTAGTTATTTTCATAGTCAGAGAGCTCCCTTATCTCTCCAAGTACGGTTTCAGCTTGTGTAAGGTCATCTTGAATACCTATAGCTAGGCGCTCTTGCCGCCTCAACTTATTTAAGGGTAATTGCGCCAAAACGCGATCACGGTGACTAATTATTGTATTTAGATCCTCATTAATATTATTCCCGTTTAGCTTAACCTTCTTCCGTGGTTAGGGAGTAAGGCTATGTACTTCTTCTTCGAGCTTTTTGATTTTTAAAGCCATCACGGTGTTCTCGATAACTAGCTGGTCTATTCGTTTCCCAGCCTTATTACAGATTGACCTCATACTTCTTACAAAACCACCGGCGGCCTCTTCTAATCGATGAGATACCTTTTGTAGATCTTGGCCACTTTAAGGAGTCATCCAAATATGCTCTTCATCGCTGCCTTCTAAAGCTATCTTAAGTATAGCTATTGCCAAAGGAGGTGACCTACGTGGGTGCTTAACCCGGAAGGAATCGATCAATTTGCTTAGGTTGAGTGGGCAAATACTAGTTGTCATAAACCCCGCGTGGATGTTCTTCGATGAGAAGGCCTTTTTAGCTGCTTCATAGTATGCTTTCAAGAAGCGCTGCTTCTGACGGGGAGCGCTAGTATCGTACGACGCCCACTCCTTGGTCAACTCCCTATAATAGGTCTTCAACGGCCCAAAGATGCTACGATCTTCAGGCTAAGCAACGTGTAATGAATGAGGTGGTATTAGAACAACGTAGACGTTGTGTTGTTTCAAGATAAATAACGTAGCCACTGTTAAGTGAGTAGTATGTCCATCCATGACTAATATTCGATGGGTTAATAGTAATCGTAGACGTGTAGCTAGTAGATAACACTCCTTCACCCATCGAATGAACAATTCAGAGTTACTCTAACCACTGACAGAGCTTCCGTAGGCATAAGGAGGTATCTCGCCTTCAAGGAAGTTCTATACGTTCACGTTTGCCCCGGTATATATCACCAACGGGGGTAACCTAATACCGGAGGCTACACAGGCTTCGATAATCGTTACCCACGTGGTCGATAAGCTGTATTAAACGTCGGTCTTATTCGTTAGAGCATCGCCAACTACTTTCTTATGTTGTTTGGCAACGCTATCACCATCTTGTAAGCCATGTTCGTCGACGTTCGTGATATCGACCGGGTTGACGTTATATTAGTTGCAAAGAAACACTATACGTTCGTGGAATTTGCGTAGAGCTTTTAGTATACAAGCCTTCGATCGAGCTGCTTCTAACCCACTACCCATCTTCATCTTAACTGATAGATTCCGCTTTAAAAACGCGGTCGGCCAGTGTTTACCAACCGGATCGAAGTCACCGCCTTCACGGAGGAGGCATTCGGCGAAAGATCGTAGCTCCAACCTACTGGGAGATCGCCTAGCATGGTCTTCTTCAATAACCTATTCAGAAACGTACTTCTCTTGTAAAGGGGAAAGCCGCTGCTGTTTTTGGTGGGAAGTTACCCGATCTGGGATACCTGCTATCCTTCGATTCAACGTTCGGCGACTTACCGCCCAGTTACGTGAAGAGCTCGATCGATTCTTAGTCGATTGGAATTCTGCTTTTACAGCGCTAATACGCTGTTCTCGATTGACATCCATGGTGAATATCACGTTAATAGAGGTTGTTATGGTTAAGGAATGAAACAGTGATTGAAATTACGGATATCCGATGGAGGAGTTCAGGGGTGGGCACTTCAGGGGGGTGGGCACTTCTAGGTAACCCACACTAGTCTTAATTTAGCTGACGGTTAGACAAAGCATCTTTTAGGCATTTCAGCGCCAAATCTGCTGAAACCTCACTACGGTAACAGTAGCAGTCACTAGTTTAAGCAAGCTCCCTGAGCTGGTTAAAAGCTCCAAAGACAAACGAAATGTTGTGTAGGTAATTATTAACCTTGACTAGTTGGGGCTCCGTACATAATTACCTCATTCTCAGTGCCCCGATTTTATCTTGAGCCTTGGCATTTCAAATTGTTGTTTTGTATGCACCTTTACCGACGAATATTCATCACCAATCGAGATAACCCAGCAAATGATTGCCCAGAATATAGCCGAATGTGTATCCCGCGTCCCTTCCTCAATCAAGACGCCATCCTATGGAGCAAATAACTGTAGTTGACTACTTGGACATAACACTGACACCGCCCAAGTGCGCTAGGCTAGCCTAAAAGTTGATCCTTCTTAGGCAGCAGCATCCATTTCAGCAGCTTAATCCGTTGCCAGCCTCTGGCAGGCCGTGACTTCTCGATTGTCTCACCAAGGACTTGAGCATGACTTCCTACAATGGTCAGGAATTGCATTTTGAAGAAAGAAATAGCTTAGGCACGGACACGATCCTGTTTTTGCATGGCGGTGGCTCGTGTGGTCTCGAGTGGGATTTGGTGGCCAACGATGTGTCTCTCGCATCCTACCACCTGATTTTGGTCGACCTCCCGCATCATTCTGGATCGCGTCACTTGGCGCCGTTCTCTCTCCCAGCTGCCGCCGACGCGGTTGTTGACACTATCGCGAAACATGCGCAAGACGGCAAAGCGCACATTGTTGGCCTGTCGCTCGGCGGTTTCGTGGCGCTGGATCTTACAGCCCGGCATCCGGAAGTCGTACTCAGCTGCTTTGTTACAGGCGCCGTGCCCTGGCAGGGCTTATACAGATGGTTCGGAGAGCGACCGAATCTCGTATGGTGGGTCGGCCGCTTGCAGAGCGCTGTACCAGGCCTGGACAGATGGGCGGAGAGAGCGCAAGGCTTGATGATTAGCCCCGCTCTCAGGGCAAAGTTGGAAGAAAATAAGTGCAAAATTCTGTGTCTAGAGGTATTTCACGCGATTACTAACCAGTTTGGTTGGGACACCGTCGAGCGTGTAGCCGATTCCGGCGTCAGGACATGTGCTGTGGCTGGCTCGAAAATGGATCAAGTTGCCGCTGTCAAGAAGATGGGCCTCATGCTCCGTAATGGGGGGAAGAAGAAGGGTATCACCAATATGGCAGTGGAAGTGAAAGAGGCAGTGCATTGGTGGAATATCCAACTTCCAGCTCTCTTTGCGAGTGGTATAAATGCTTGGGTCCGCGAGGAACAATTACCTCGGGAATTCAAATCTTTGTAACCAACTTTTATTATACACTTAGTTTGCAACATGTCGAATTATGGTGTGCACCAGGAAGGATACGCAAGTCTCTAAAAGTTCATATGTAATAAATGATATTAAAGGCATCCCATCAATCTCTCCGGGCCCGAATAATAACAGTACGCTAAGCTCTTCAACCATTCCCGTACTGTCTATATCATGGTACCCCCCCTACCGTGACCGAAAGGGAGTATCAACTTCCTCCCACAATAGGGCCTCTAGACGGTCGAAGGGTTGTTCCTCTTCTTGCGGCGACGGCAGCATAGACAGCATACGAAGAAACAGATGGCGAAGAAAGCGACACATCCGATGACAATTCCAGCAATTGCTCCTCCAACTAATCTTCTACCGCGGTGATACCGTGGCATGAGCACAGCTGCATTCGCAATTGCCCTAGTTGTCACTGGCATATACTTGATCGGTTAGTTAAAATACAGAGGTATATATTCTCAAGACTTACCATGTTGGAAAGTTATCAGGGAAGGTCTGATTGGCTGGTGTATTTTGGGTATTATTACACCGTAGGTATTCTTGCGCAGTGCAGAATCTGAATCGCGGGTATGAGCTTGCTAGATTATGGAATTGTGATTAAAGTATCGAATTGAAACAATGTCCTCTGAAGATATGAAGGTGATTGACTGGCATTAACATTGAGGTCGGCACTTGAAGGTAGCTATAGTCATATATGTAGCAGCTCAAACAGTGAAACCTGTTTGTCGTGAACTTCTCTTGTACAGAATTTCTCGGAAAGTGATATGAGCTACGCCAAGACTTTGACATTAACACTTTTATGTGCTAGCAACTATACAAGTTATCAGGCACTGCAACTAAGAGTAGTTGCTGGCCAAAGCACAGCATGACTTGACCATTGCAATAAGTTCCACTGAATTCGACCCACTCTTCGGGTTTATGTGCCGTGACCGGGCACTGAAGATGCTGGTATTAGCCGCGTTTCCGGCATAGTAGCGCGGACAACGGATAAGTGGCATCTACATAGGTCCGTGTTCATTTTACGGCAGAGCGTGGTGACGACGCCTAGGTTGACGAGTGCGGAAGTTTGGGTGACAGCATTGATTGATCACTGATTTAATTTAAGTCTATTGTGACGTCGTCGCATCACATCCAATTGACAAGGCCCGGGCTCTTAGCTTGATGGACGCGCGCTGTGAAGAGATCGCGGCTTCGCGGTAACTGAGAATTTTAATGATTCCGACAATTAGACTACACTTCACTTTCACGTTGTGTACAACTATGGCCCATGAAATGCGATCTGCCATATTAAACATCTCGAAACGATGTAAGTTAGACTAATAAAAATATCTTCTTATTTTCATGCCAGCATGCAACCATTGTTACAATGCTCAATGGTATTGCAACCATTCGAGCTCATATACCGATTCCTTCGAACGTTACTGATGGAACTCCAAGACAAGTTGCAGAATTGCAAGTTTTAAGCCGAGGACTTTCATATTAGAGCTAATAATAATTGCCTAGAATGAGACTCTCACCTCAAGAATTTCAATGGCTACGGTCTGTTTACTAAAGCACTTTCTCTGTCTGGATGCAGTTTGGGTAGGAAAATACTCCGTTGGTAGTTAAGTCCTTTTGTATCAAATCGTTCACGGGTGTCGTCGAAACTGTCGGGAAACATGGAAGAGCACAGCTCTGGCGCTCTCAGTCCTTATATTGTTATTTTTCTTTTCGCAAATACCTCTGCGGCCAGGATCATCAAAAAAGAAATATCACCATAATAGAGGCCTAGACGATAGTAGCGCACAACAAACGACCATCCCAACGCCCATCCAGCTGATAGAAGCTTTAGGTGCGATGAGCTTATACACTGTGTTCATTAGATTAATGACAGCGGTTGCCGTAATGCTTGTAGATAGGCGGCTGTATAAGCTGCAACGTTTCAGAGTCACGACCTTGTCTCTATGGTCCTGTAGAGGCATCGCAACGTCTCAAATCATTTTAATACTTGCAGGACAAGTCTGCGATATATTTGCGGCCACTCTGAAACATTTTAGCTATCACAACTATCATCTACTCATACAAGCCGGCTGCACTGCACGCTTAACTGCGAACCGATAATGTTATCTCTATAATATTCTAGACTAACCTAGACTAGACTCAAGTTAGACTAAAGCGAACTAAGGTTAGCCAGCAGCTTATGCCGTGCTGGAGTCCACTCTGGAAATCGGCACGGACAACTCGGATGCCTACATACACGCATTTAACAATCGTCATCGAGCTTTGTGAGCAAGTTTGTTAGCGCTAATGATTGTAATTAATTATGCTGCCCAGCATTGCTTTGTCTTCTCTTCTACGATATTGAGTTAATGTTATAAGAACACAGCACCAGCGCTTTAGATCTGATGACTGCACCGTGGTAAACAAATTGTAAGTATCCCGAAATGTGCGAAAGAAGTATTCGACTTGGCAACTACTGTTAAAGCGAGCCTATTGCAAAGACGTCAACTTTATTGCTTAGATTGTATACACCTACGCTTTAATATTCTTGTGGCAATCGACATCTATCTACCACTAAATCAGTGAAACCTTAAATAGTGTTGTACCATAGTGATCTCGAAATCTTCTTGTATAAGTGTGTGACCAGTTTAAAAGTTGTCGTTTATAACTTTTTTGCCTCTTTTAAGAGCTAATTAAATCATGTTAAAGTACTTTCCGCGTCAATAAGAACTAGTTATCGACGAAGAGGCTGCCATGACTTTTCAGTCGTCGTTTCTGGCAATATTCTCGCACATTCGGCTATAAAGGATAGTAATGTCGAGCAATTTACTGCTAATCGTGGCCATTGTTATAACCAGCTAAATCTCATGGAATCCAATTATATCTCGATCTAGCTAATACTTCAGTTCGGCTATGGCAGTGTTTGGCAGACCCAGAAAGATTGTTATCTTGAATGAAGCCTTGGAACAATAAGCCCCTTGGACGGATATTGAAAGTGGCGCACCTGTTGTGCTGAATATGCCAATTAGCTCCGCGGCTGCGTTAGTCTTATCAACAACGTAGATTCAGTGACGATGTCAAGTATTAACTGGATCACTGACATCGGGATTAAGTTGTAATAAACGCAGCATAGTAGGTTTGACATAGTCTCCTATGTAACCTAATAGCCTACAATCGACTCAGGTCTCATTGTTCCGCGACGCAATAGGCTTGAAGATCTCAATATTACCTTCGAACGCTGAATTAAGTGAGTGGAATAATCGAGTAGATAGTACCATGTCTATATCGTCATTCTTTACATAGCTACTTGCATTGTGGCCAGCCTTGACGTATTCCTCGAAAGGAACAAGGAACACAAAATACATCAGAATCTAAAACCACTCTCAAAACGTTAGAGCAGGTCTGAAAAGCTGCCCAACGAAGCGGAATGTGTTCAGGCAAACCCCAATCGCCGCAAAGAGCGTGCTTGAACTTCCCTTTGGATGCATCCACGCCAAATAAAACAAATTCCACATTGGAAATTGTCAATTTCCCGTTGCTATCTGCGTTTGCGAAATCTGTTATCATTATTAAATACAGTGGCGTTGTGCAATGACTTATGGAGAGAAATATAAGTTAATGCTAGGTTGACCAAGTCTACTGGTTTTGTTGCAAAGACTTAGATCGGAAGAAGTGTTTCAATAGGGAGCTTTGTTTTCATCATGTTAGGAGGGCCTTTTGTGAAAAGCTTCGAGTAAGATGTACATTTGCAAGAATAATCTAGGCCCTAGTTAATTTGAGTGAAAGTAAATCTCTTCAAGGTAAGAGTTTGAGTGGTGTGGTATATAAGCCGTGCAATCGCAAAATAATGAATAAAGATGGCATTTGTTAAATCTAAACAAAGCGTTATAAATTAAAAGAGAATACGATGTTAATAATATATAAGAGCCTATGTTTAGAACATTACTTCTTGACTTAAGTAAAATAATAATGATATATGGAAAAGAAATATTTAAATGAAGAATTATAAATAAGTCTTAAATGAAGCTTTGCACGAGGTAAAAAACTCGATCTCTGTGGTTCATATGCACATAAATATATCACAAAACTTTTTTACTTAAGCTCTTGCAGGTTTATTCTGCTTACGAAGTAAAACAGATCGACGAAACTGCGAAATAATAAGTAAATCTTACCGCTTGTTCCTCACTTCAAAATGGCTCTAATAACTATGTTTCCCAATGAAATTCTTTGCTCTATTCAGGAAAAGCTTAGCACTCCCTTGGATTTGATCAACTTTGCGAGTCTCTGTAAAGGATTTCGGCGCAAGTTCTACGGTGTACAATTATTCAAAGGGGACATAGTCATCTACAAACGGCATATAGAAGGCCAAGGCGAGGAGGCGACCATCATAACGCTCCTTTTGCGCGTGGCTATCTACTGCGAGGACCTGGATCTAGTGAATACTGGCATCAACGTGTATGCATCCAACTTCCCTGAAGCGTTTTGGGGCAAATTTGGACCAAAGATGATTGGTCCAATAGATTGTGCAGCCATTGATGGCAGACTGTCAGTCGTTCAGCAATTTGCTGAACTTCCAGCCTTACGGCCTAGGGACCTTTACTTTGATTCTTTTCTTGCGAAATTGCAATTATGGAACTACCCTATGTTGACCGATGAAGACGGCTGGAAAAGTCACCCATTACAAGATGCGTTGTTTAATGCTATCAGATTCGGCAAGAAAGAGGAAGTCGCGTTGTATCTAGCCCAAATCGACGGCGGATTTTGGTTACATCCATATTTTCTCAGAGAGGCAGCCAAGAATGGGATGCCCCGATTGCTGTCTTTACTACTATCCAATGACAAGATAGACCAGACTGGTAAGGCACAAAGATTGTTGGATGCTCTCCCGGGATGTGAAAGACTAGATAGACGAGGTACAGCTTACCAGGTCATTGAAGTACTGGTGGCTGCTGGTGCTCGTTTTGATGGTATGAGACCTCTAGTTACAGTGGTGTTTGGTCCTATCGCCGAAGCATTTACATCCATCAGGACCTCCTGTCCCTCTAATGCAATTGCCATAGCGAGATACCAGCTCGACCATGGAGGTCTAGATGTTGGTGACTTACAAGTGGCTTTGAAGCGTGCGGCAGCATCCGACTGGTGTCTTGAGTTCACCAAGGCGCTTTATCCGGAAGCTCTACCACGAGTCGCCAATCCCGAGGTGCTCAAGTCTTCGTTACTTGACAGCGCAATTGAGGGTTCTTTAGGGGGTCACACCTGTTCTTACTTGTTAATGAATGGCTGTACCCCTACTTTTGCGCAATGGAAATTGGCCTTGCGAGTCTCGAACTTGATTATTATCGATTTCTGGATGGAACACACACCAGAGGCTCATCAGGACCTCAACAAGAGAGATATTCGTTACAACGGCCTAAATGGTATTACGGCTCTGGATTGGGCTTTGATGTCCTTGGAATGGTTGCCGGGGAGAGTTGGAAACGTCAGACAGTTCTGTGCAGTATTGCGACTGGTTTACCATGGTGCAGATGTTAGCAAAGTGCCTGGAATTGCCTGTCGTAACTTCTTCAGGTGCTTGGACGGGCACATGGAATTGAACCTAGAATTACGCAAAGCTGTTGAAGTTATGAATGGTTCGACAGCCCTTGTCATTGACTCGGCCCCCGAGTTATGCACGGGTAGAGGTACAAATGAGGGTTTGCTTAAGCAGATAGCAATACTGTGCAAGCTGCTATCTAATAGCGCTTTCAACCCTCCCTCGTCGACGTTCATCAACTGTGACTACCGCAATTACTGGAGGTATTCTGCTTATTAAGAAAATATCATTCTCACGAGACGCTTCTCAAATGTTACATATATCAGTGCAATACTATTTTACTGTTATTGACTGACATTAGGTCTCTCATCATTCTTGAAAAGAACCATGCTTCTTTTCAGTATCGAATGAGTCCTTGTATTTGATATCAACCTTGCTAGAAAAAGACAGTGGGACGAGAAATAGGAAACGCCGGCATGAGTTAAGGAAGAAAAGAATTTGAAATGTAAAGGATGGGTGACATGCCCTTACCTATCAAATATCGATATTATTTCATATTGGTATTAATACAGAGATATATTTCAGATAATACCGGAGAGCTAGAGCAAGGAAACTGTAAATTCAAATATGAATTGATTCCACTCAGGAGATCTTGTTTTGCTTCTGAATGATCCTGGCTACATGGTATAAATGATCCCAGAAATGGAAAAGCATAGGTGTTTCGCCTTAAGAGCTGCTTAACGAGTCTGAAGCCGCAAAGAGAGAGGGAAATAGTTGAAAAACATCACTTAGAATGCAACTGCTAAACCTGCAAAGGCAACACGTGAATCTGACGTTGGTCGTCTTGTCAATCGCTAGAGCGGCTCATCATGACGACCACAGTATTCAGGCTTAAGCACTTGAAAGAGTTTTTCGGGTCTGTTATAGAGGCAGCAGCTTGAGACTTTCTTGCGCAAGTCCAATAACATCATCCCAGTTGTCATCGTCTTGTTGTGTCCGAGATCACTAGCACGTGGGTGGAATTTCTCTCTTATTTCTTGGCGACCTCGATGTTTGCAATGAACCTCAGTCGAAGCTCACCGTCCTCAATCTCTGTACAGCGGTCGGTCTCTTTCCGCTCATGCTTTATTTAAAATATTTAAATTTGCATCACTTGATAGGGATAATTTCTCGTCGACAATATAATCAACGAAGCATACGCGTATATGATAAGGCGGCAAAACGGCACAATTTTCAAGCACAGCGGCAATAGGTTATAAAAATAACATTTCATGGTTACAAGAGCCATGTTAGTATATCAGACTATACATGGCCCCCAAATCCCCAAATCCCCTTCCAAGACCCCCTTTGCTGACACAAATTCAATACATGTTTCTGGCGCTCAGGCCCATTGGTATCTTCTCGCCTCGAACTGAAACCACCAAATGCGGGTATGTAGTATGTACTCATGAAAGAATTTTTAGTCGTAATGTCATGACTGTCGTGAGGAAAGTGCGAAGTAACCGAATCCGCATTGCGCATCAAAGTAACGGCCCATGGCAAACGATCGCTCCGCTCTTGCACCTTGCCTCCAGCAGCGTTACGAAACGACCAGGCTCTCAAGCATCTTCCTGTCTTTCGCAGATTAAGTATCAAGGTATTTTTGTGATTTTGGAAATGCAATGTGCTAAAATCAGAATTAACGCCGTGTGTGGATGGCCCCCTGCGCGGGTGGATTCTATAGTTGCAATTGAAACGTGTATAATTGCTAGCAGGCGTATCCAGATTGACCAACTGTTGAGTGGTACGAGGTAGGGGTATTAACGCGAACGACGGCCCAACGACCTAAAGTCCACGGTGAAAGGACTTCCGGTGGGCAGACGTATGTCCAGGAGATGAGCACGTTTCCCCTAGAACGTCTCGGATTCCTGGCTGGCGACAGTGCCTACAGTGCCAAAGGTGTCTAATTGTAACGATCAGCACGAGAATAAGATGTGGAGCAAGCACGGATTACTCACCTCTCTTCCTTCTTCGTTCATCTCTAGCATGCGTGTCGCTGATGCCACTTCGGCCACTGCGAATACTATCTCCGTCATCACTTCCTCGTGATCTGTTCAAGCCCCGGCTTGGGGTCATGGCACGTGGGCCGCTGGGCCGACGAGCAGGAGCCCCAAGTGCGCCATTGAGGTTGCGGTTCTCAGGCTTAGGGCTGCCAGAGTGAAAACTGGCGCTGCCGACGGTGCCCGCATGAGTTGCAGTACCGCCATAACCGCTGTCGACGCTCTGGTATGGCAGCGGGCTGTTCTGCTTTTGGATATTACTCAGGCGCGCGTTTCTCGCTGGCGTACCGGCATTGTCCTCGAGGGGTTCCTTAGGAGGTCTGGCAGGCGCTTGCTGCGATGGCGATGTCCAGCCGTATTCGTTTTGTTCATTTTGCTCGTCAAAGCGACCGAGGCTGGTGGCTGAGCGGGCCCAGTCTCCCGAGCGGGGACTCATGGGTGCTTGTAGGTTTGCGTCGTAACCTTGGGCAGACGTCTCGAGGGCAGTCCTGAAGCGCTCGGTTTGACCTGGCCTGGGTTGCGGGTGCTGTAGGTTGACGCTGTTGCGGTGCGCCTTATACTTCGGGTCCTCGGGAGTGGCGTACATGGCAGGGGGGTGCTCCTGGCGGTAGCTCGTCGGAGTGGTGGCCTCGAATTCGTCATTGCCATTTAGGTCTTGCTCAGAGTAGCCTGTGTGCAGCTTGTCTTCACCATACGGATCGCTTGGTGAGTACACTTCGTAATGCTCTAGATCCGAGCCAGATCGGGAAGGGCGATGCCGAAGGAATTCCTCGACTTGATCGCCCTGCTCAGGCTTTCGTGAATTGCGGAACATCTTGCCAACGCTTGAAGTTGTTGTCTCAGACCATCTGGAGATCTTAGGGAAGAACCCAGATGAGGCCTTGGATTTGTGCTTCTTGCTTGCATCCGTGACCGGTGTATTCTCGTAGCTAGCAGAGTGCTCAGCCATGTTAGCCGTTTGTGGCGGTGTCGCAAGAGGAACGGAGTCCGCACGGGCGGGTGGAATTGCAGGTGACATGAGAAATTCTTCATTCTGGTGTCTGGGCGTCACTTGCTGCTCGTTATAGTATTCGTCCTCGTCACCTTCGTCCACAGTACTAATCCTGTGATCTGAAAACTTCCGCTCATAACCCCTGTTTGCGGAAGAACCACGAGTTTGCGGAATGGAAAGGTGGCCAGACTGGCTCCCATGGCTGGCAGTAGAAGTTCCAGCAAGTCCTTCGGGTTCGTAGCCCTTGTCTTGCTCATATTGAACTTCCGGCAAGTTCTCAAAAGAGTGACTGCGTGTGCCCATACCAGATACGGGGCCTTGGCCAGCGGTCTGGTGCTTCAATACATCGACTTCTCCCAGCAGGTGCATGAGCATATCCTCGATTCTCCCGAGGTCTTTGTCCCCCTTACTACTGAGGCCCTTCAGTGCTCGGCGGAAGATGTTGCGCTTCTTGGCATTTTCATCGAAAGTTCCTGATTGTGATCCACCCTGTAGCGACCGAGCTCCGCTGCCAGGGAATGGTCGGGGACCACCAACGTGTCGTTGGACCGTCTTCTCAGTATTGTCCTTAACTTCGCCGATAATCTGATCTTCAGTGTCCGCAAGTAATCTCTTGATATCGTTGAAAGAGGTGCGCATCTCAGCAGCTGATCTCACGAGTGTCACGAGCATTTCGGTATCTCTAGCACTTCTCTGCGCGTCGCGAACCATAAGCTATAAATGTGTCAGTGACATTGTTTGTCGGTCAATCCCAAATTCACAACTTACGTGCTCCATTAGTGCAATAATGTCTTTAGATTGAATATTGTCAATCCCGGCACCTGTTGCGGCATCATAAAGTGGCGAACCCATGCCGTGAGACAAACCACTAATTTGTCTTTGGTGCTTCGGCATCCCGACATAGAACGGGTCCTCTGTATTGCCGCCCATGCCAGGTTGACTTTGAAATGCCACTGCCTTGCCCTGCATGTTAGCCTCGTTGGGTTGCGCGGTCTCGTAGCCCTCGTCACCGCCCATACCGGGGCTTCCAGTGTTGAAGCCCGCTCGGTATTGTTCGCCGCCGTGGAATCCGGCTCCAGTGAGCTGATCAAGACCGGGGAGATTCGCAATGGGGCTTGTGCCCTCGTAGGGATTCGTGACAAGCGTATCCCTCTTACGGTCCATCGATGTACGATGCCACTCCTCGTCTTGGTCTTGACTCGCATGTCTGCTGTGAGAGGCAGCCATGCCTGCAGCAGTAGCTAGTGCACCAGCAGCAACTGCCTCAGTAAGCCCCAGACTATGGCTCGAACCCTTCTGGCCGGCCTTGGGGGTGGTAGTGCGATCAAAATCGAAGGTCTTTTCCTGTGTAGGGGTTCGCTCTTCGTGCCATTCATGGGTCTCGGATCCGCCTAGTGGCCCCTCAACAACAGAGTGCCCGTTCTCAGAATGCTGGTATCCATATCCAATTTCAGGCATTGGGTAGTCCGAGTCCGGTAAGCCGCTGGCTCCCAACTCGTATTGCTCAGACAGGCGGTCGATACTATGACGAGGAGTCGCATCAGACCGAAACCCGTCTGCCTTAGCCCGTTCTTTGAAAGACTTGTTGCGTGCAACTCCTTCACCTTCCCATTGTTGTTCTTCTGAGCTCAAAGCCGCCTGCTGGGCTTTCATCTTGGCGGCCTCGGCAGCTCGGCTCAGCGCAGCGTTGGTGATAGCTTGCTCTGATGTGGTAGGAGAATGTCGGGTTTCAGTCTTGGGGTACTTACGACCATACTGATCTAGTTCGTACTCTTCAAACTCACGGGATGCTTGCGAAAGCGACTGCTTGGACAAAGCAGGCGAGTTGCGCTTTTCAAACTGCTCAACCCGGCTACTAACGGAGTTCTTTGAAGGACTGCCCGCCCCGCTTCCGCGAGACAGATGTTCCTCAGCTCGCGAATCATAGGAGAGCTGAGAATCGCGGTAGTCTGGGCCAGCACTGATTTCAGAGTCCCGAGACAATTGGGAATCGCGGTACTCTTGGCCATTGCTGAGAACCGATGAATCTAGAGCCGAGCCCTCCACAAGAGAAGCAACGTTGGACTCAGCACCGAAAGGCTGGTGGATGAATTGAGGGTTTGCGCCAACGCCACGGACTGCCTGCCCAGAGGTGACCTGGTCAAGTTCGCTGTCATCTGTGTATCTGGTGTCACGGTAGTTGCCAGAGCTTCTAACGCTACTCTCCTCGTCACCAAACTCCCTGCTGCGCATATTGCTGGGAACAGAACTTGGATGCGGAGATTTGCGTGGAGATGAAATTTCGCTGTCTGTTAATCTCGAGTCCCGGCGATGGTAGAGGTCGCTCTCCCCTTCTGTGTATCCAGATACACTCTGAATTGGACTTAGACCACGGCGCTCCTGTTGATAGGGGACGTATCGCAGAGGTGGTGGCACATCCTGTTGGTTGTAGAATGTATTTTCGTACATTGCGGGTTCGCTGAGCCCTTCCTCTTCATATTCGTCGTACTCATCACGATAGGCTGGGTTGTTCGAGCTCAGCTCACTCTCCTCCTCATATTCATAGCCGCCAGTGCTTTTACGGGGCAGATTTTTCAGATCGCCATGAGAAAGATTGGCATGAAGAGCACCCAGCTTCTGCAAGCTATGGTGGTCGGGTGTTTGAGTAGGCGTCAGAGAGTCATGCACGGAGCCGTTGGAGATGACATCCCTGGTGACGTCGCGAATGGGAGTGATCTCGTCGCTAGCGGAGTGAGGCCTGTCGGTATCGGCAGAAAGGATTGAGGTTCTCGTCATTTCGGAAGGATTAATCTCGCTGGAAAGCGGCATCGGAGGCGCAACCTCTTGCTCGTATTCATCGTACTCCTCGCCTGCTCTGCCATGCTCCGGCGTCTTGGCTCTGCGCCGTCTCCGTTGTCGCTTCTCGTCAGCTCTGGATCTGTCGCGATTTGCTGCTGCTATGCCAGCTGCTGCTGCAGCGCCTAACAACGCAACGTCCCCAACATGGTTATCGCGGCGTGGTGTGTTCTCTTCGTGCTCAAGCACAGAGACATGCTCCACACTGCTCTGCGGCGACAAGTCGTTTCTGGCCTCGCGGCCTCTGGATCTAATGGAGTGCTCGGTAGCACCAGATTTCCGTTTGCTGGTGACCGAGAGCTCATCCCTCGAATCTGTGGTGAGACTAGATAGTGATGCTCTATCCCGACTTCGCATGGAACCGCTCCTCGTGTCACGCTGGCTGCGTTCCCTCTTAAGTGACTCCAACTCTGGTAGAATGAGGCGCCTGATAGCATCCTCGACCGTCTCCAGAAGCTTGGGGTTGTTGAGGGAGACCTTCGAGGAGGAGTAGGAGTCGTAAGATCTATGGCTTGGCGTAAGTGCGGATGAGACCATGCTTGAGTCGGCACCAGAGACCAAGGATTCCTTGTGGCCACTCTTGGAGGACCTGCGCCTCGAAGAACTCTTGCCATCGACCTCCATCTCACTGATGCTGCTTGTCCGGCTCTTGGACCTGTGCTTCTTGTCTGGTCGTGTGGCCTTCTCGACTGCCCTCTCGATGATCTTGCGGTCGTGACTCGCACTGCGGTTCTTTCTATTCGCCTTGTCGGCTACGGCAGCGGCAGCGACAGCACCCAGCGTACCGGCCGCCAATGCTTCTGCTGCTGAAGGGTTCTTGCTGTGTCTTTTGGGTGAGTAGGACAAATGGGTGCCGCCAGAGCCATCGAGGAAACTGTCGGTTGGGATGCCAGAAATGTCCGACATGTTCGGGGGGAGGTATGAGGAAGAAAGTTTACTGTCGGCTGCGGGGATGAGGGGACTAGAAGGCTTGCGTTCCCGTCTCCGATAATGTCCGGGCTGAATGTCGACCTCAATGGGGTTCCGCGACACATTGGACTCTTCGGTCGCTGAAGCATAAGAATGCAAGCTCCTGGCGTCTTCGGACATGTCCAGCTCGCTGAGCTGGCTGGGCACCAACGGGTCCTGCTTGTCCCGCTTCGACGCAGAGACCTTTCGCGAGGACTTGGACATCTCGGTGATCTGTATGTGGTCGTTTTTGCCTCGGCCGCCTTTGGATGGAGTGAGCCGGACCCTTACGCTGGGCTTGCGAGTGTTGATGGCGCCGCCGTCGGTGGAGACGGGGCCCTTTCCACCTTCAAAGTACTCGATCAAGAGCGATGTCTGAGAGCGGTTGTGCTTGTGGCCGCGGGTGCGGATGGTGACGGGGGTGCCGTCGTCGGGGATTGAGATGTGTGACTTCTCCTCCTCTTGCCAGTGGGAAAGATCGGTCGCAAGTTCGGTTGGCGTACTCAATGACTCGGTTTCGGTAGGGGCAGGTAGGGGAGGGGCCTTTTTCGAATCGACCCCCATTCTGGTGCCGATTGATTATTGCGGTGTGGCCGCGCCTGCAGGAGAGAGGGATAAAAAAAAAGTGGTTTTGGGTATGTAGGATGGGTTGGGTCTCCCGGGTCTTTAACTGTTGTAGATCCCACAAAGTGCTAGTCTGAGTCCCGGTCCCAGTCCCAGTCTCAGGTCCCGGTCCCAATCGCTCGTGGTGGATTGTTTACTTGGTCCTCGCCTCACGAATACTGGGTCTGGATCGCTCAAACACAGACCGCTCGTTGAGTGATTCGACGAGAGAAGACGAAAGACAAAACGACGCAGCAAAGGCAGGAAGGAACAGCTGAAAACCCACCCTCGCAAGAATCGAGAGGACCAGGTCGCAAGCGCGTCGTGTTCTCGCTCGTCAAGACATTGGGCACTTGTCTCGATAGGATGTCGCCAAAAGTAGAAGACTGGTCAAGTTATTAGATTAGACGTCCCCGTACTGCGACGACATGCGTGGGTCAGCAAGCTGTACTGTACTGCAAGGCTCAGAAGCCGAGACCTAGGAAGAAACGAGCCCCATTCAATCAAACTTGGGTTGGGGGGTTGATCGAACCGGAGACCAAGACATGCGAAAATGGGCTGTGAAACCTACAGTGAATGCAATTGCTCTCGCAAAAAGTCGACAGATTGACTTGGAGAATTTCCCAAAACACAACGCGAAAAAGAACCCGCAGCTTTTGGAAAAGCAAATAAAAGAATCTTGTTTGCTCTTGTCTTGGATTGACAGCAAGAAGTTTGGGGGGGACGGCTTGCTTTGGGCGCAAGTCAGTGAGCGCCAAAGTGCATGAGTGCAGCTCGCCAACCTCTCCGTTTATTTCTTTAGTCCCAGTTTGTCGGGTACTGGTACTAGTCCGCTCGCGTTCCCAGCTCACTTCTCACTCGGTCCTGAGATGCGCCAAGAATCTGCAGCAGAAGAAAATAATAATAATAACAATTGGCAGTTGCTACTGGTGGATCGGTTATGATGTTGTGACAAGACAGCAAAGTCCACGATAGGCGGAATGTGTGATATGAAAGAAACAAAACAGGAGTGGTTACTGGACAGGAAGCTGTGTGCGTGTATCTTGAGGAGCAAATACGTGGGCTCGGCTATGGGGAGGTACGGAGCTCCCGTATCAACCACTTAAATCGCCACAATCGCTCAAGCCTGCAGTTTTCGGGCGAACAGTGAGAAAGCAGAGAGATAGCTGCGTTCGAGATCACTTTTTCGAAGTTCCATGCGAGGTGAGGCGACGCAATGCAAATGACCTTGGACAGGAGGAGGCAACAACGGGCAGCAAGCGAGAACGCTATTCGCAGAACAATTCGACGAACTGCTCCAATGTGCCAGATGAACGATAATAGGCTTGTGAGGCTTGCTTGAGAATGCGGGCAGCTGGGATTTAGGAGTCGATGCGTTGGCCTTGCTAGGGGTTGTGCAACCAATCAAGAAAACAAACGGCCCTGGCAGAAAACCGTGAGCTGCAGGCCAAAGCAGGGAATCCGCCGAAGTCATACAGTAGATGCGCAGCATCTTTCCCCTCTTGAATGATGCTCGACCTGGCAACTAGGGTGCCTTGGGAGGCAGAGTCGAACTCTCGTAAGAACCCTCTATGATCAATCCCCCATATACATATACCGGTACCTCTTCACCAGATCATAAGAAGGATGCTATATATAGTATCAAGGTTGAAACACCATGAACTGAAACCTTATCCATCAGACAGATATAACTGACGTCGCTGGGCCGTTGCAGATAGCGATCTCATCGCAATATCCAATGTGCCTCACCGATCTCACAAAGCGGCTATAAAGAAGATGGCTGGTATATTCCACAGCGCATACTGAAGTGATTTCCCTGCGATTGAGGTGCGGGACACCGTTTGTCCCCGACACTGGGCGGCCCAAGCTCCTTGTTGATGGGACGGCAGTGGGAAGCAAGACCAGTCCACACTGCGGCTCAAGCGTCTCTGGCACGGTGACGGAAAGTGCTCATATGGAGCAGAAGAGCACGATCGACAGGCTGGTCAACTTTCCCACTTCTTATTGAGCCCCGGACGGAAGATCCGCAAATCGAAGCGATTTCAAAGTTGGCAAAGCGCCATCTCGATGGACCAAAGTACAGGCCTTACAGGAATTGGTTTTTAGCGGATCTCTGAGCCTTATCGCCAAAGGTTACGGGTTAACGTTATTGTGTACCAACATCTTGGAAGTGCCTACGGGTCCGTATTCTAGTGTAGGTCAATTGAATCCGTACAATAGGTACGAACTGCTCACGCAGACCTTATTAATGCATGCAAGGCCGCCAATTTGAGGATCATGAATACGTGATAAAAAAAAACCCCCATCACCTCTGGCGACATATCTGAAGAACGCTGTAGTGATCCAGTTCCAAACCCATCACGCGCTCCTGTAAAACTCAACAATCAACTGAAAAAAGCCAAAACGCCACTTTGCATACGTCACTCCGCGAGCGTTGCATATTATCATGCCCGTCCATACTCTATTTTGATGCACTTGGTAGTGCAAAATTCTCGCTTTCAAAGCACTGCTCATGCCGCCTTCAAGGCCCTCTGGCGACGGCTTGTAACATGAGGAAATGCAATGTGGCCTATCATCAACGGGTTCGAGCACGAACGGTGATCCTGTTCCCGCCCTAGACCAGGAGAGCTTCAAGACAAGACAACTCAATCCCCCGTGTAACCTCAGCAGCAACATGGTGTAGTCAAGACCGCCCAAGCGAGCTTCGATGCTCGGTGGCGAGATACCTGCGGTTGCATCTCACAGCCACCCCCCGGGGCGCTATACAGTATCTACGGCAGGTGCGGCCTCTCGGATCGTGCCGCCGGGCTACGCCTCAAAGGGTCGACGTGGGAGAATGGCCCAGACGCCTGGGAAAGCAGCAGCAGCACACAAGGGGACCACCAAGTACGCCACGTCTTGTGCTGCTAATGCATTGTGCGATGATTGTAAAATCTTATTCTTACGCCCTCGGGGACCGAAAATGCTCTGCTGTGGTAAACTGCTATTCACCGTCTCGTCCCGAATTAAGGTATGACCGCTTGCGTTGTGGTACCAAGTATTTCGGCTCTGAGATGATGATGGTTGAGAAAACACAAGTTTCGGCTATCATCCGCTGAAACCCCGTCATGTCACAAGCTGCCTAGCTAACATTCGTATGCTTCCCGGCTTGCCTTCTGAGGCCCTGAGAGGACCCCGCAGGACTTTGAGGCATCCATAACCGCCAATTTCGCAAGGATTATCAGCTCCTCATAAATGACGAACAGAGAAAGTGGCAAAGTAGCTGTTTAATTGAAGTAGAGTTCTGTGTACTATGTATAAAGCACCGCTAGGGTAATGATTTAGATGCGCGGCAAGCCGACACAAAGTCCTAATTCCCTCCCCAGTGCTTGTTCCCAATTGCTCTATCCCCAGACTGGGTATCTAATCATGATTGTAGCAGGCAGGAAGCATGTAAAGCTGACAAAAGCCTTCCGTGATACCCGCACACTGGCTCCAGTGACTGGTAGTTATGCTGTTCATGCCGAATCAAATGTCTCCTCAACTGCCGAATTATATGCCCAGTGTGTGGTAAAACCACCTCCAGTGATCTTCTTCAAAAAGTCGACTCGGATAGAAAGTGACCATGAGTCAATAGTCAATGTCCGCCCGTCGTCACCCTTCACGGTATTGCGATAACCAAACTCGGTGAATACCTTTTCCGCATCGAATACTCTCGCACCACCACGGTCCGATGCTCTTGCAACACGACCAGCTTCTGAATACCCTGGGCCCTTGCCGAGCTCGAGAGACTTTAGGATGCTGTTGAAGGTTGCGTGCAATTGACGACGATCTTTTCTGGACACGCCCTTGGACGACTCGCCAGCAAGTTCCGTCATCTTCTGGACAAGTTGGTGCTGGTTGTATTGCAGGTCGAAGGGGTTGTATGGTTCGGGGATATATCTATCTCCTCCCTTCTGTTTGGCTTCCTGTCTCAATTCCTCTTGGCGGCGGTCGTGCTCCTCTTCAGCCTGCTCGTTGAATATCCTGAGTGCCTCGAAGATGAGAGCTATGTTTGTTCCAGCAGCTATTTGCACATCTGCGTCGCTGCTGTCTAGTTGCTCTGTAAAGGCCTCGAGCGCTTCTTCGGACTGTTGTTCGAGGTCGTCGATATGACTAGCAAGGAATCCCCAGATAGCGAGGGCGGCTGTGACCACCGGGCCGTTATCTCCTGCTGCTATGCTGTGGCCGTCGCTCTCTACTATCTCAACTGCGAGATCCATGAGCTCTTGCGCTGCGAGTTCCGCCCCTCCACCAAAGATAGTAGCGACGGCCATGGTATAGAGTGCCTCGACCTTGACCGACTCCTCATCTGAGCTCTCGGCTGTGGACTTGAGGATCGAGAAGACCTGGTCGTAGATCGACTCTGACTGCGTCGTGAATGTGGTAATCTGAAGGGCCTTGAGAGCACCCACAATCTCATCGGTGTTGCGACCTCCACGAATGCTCTTCAGCATGGCGGGTACCAGTTCATGTAGCTGATTCTCGATTATGGTGTCTGCAAAGTGATGGCGTGCCAAATGTGTGTAGCCAACGAAATACCGCTCTCGTCCTTGGGTACTGCTGCGCTTGCGATCCAAGATCTCATTTATGCAGTCTTTGAGCTTATCGGTCCAGTCGCGGATGGTCTCTTCGCCATCCTCTGAAGCGATGACCGAGTTGGTGAGGCTGTCGTTCAGATCATCGTCGCTCAATTCATCCTCAGAGGCATATCGGCTCGGTGCGCGGGAAGCCTGTCGCGAGCCAGCCGGCGAGCTGCTGGGTGATTGTGTCGTTGAGCCAAAGTTGGAGTCGGGCTTCAAGCGTTGCTTGCGAGAAACGGTCTTGCCGCTCTCCATCAGTATCTTCTTTCGCAAGTCTCTCATGCTGGCGAGCAGTGGGGTTGCGCAGTTAAGCTAGCAGTAGTAGTAGCGACAAGCTTGAGTCTGCCAAGTTGGATGACGTCAATGCCTTGTTGGCGTGGACTGCTTCGAGTGTTAGGTGAGCGGAGTGTTGTAGTTGGAAGTATTCGGGTGTAAGCAACAATCCATGGACGCGTGGTGTGTTTATATCTTATCGTAAGACCAGAAGCATATGTCCGGAAATATGAGTCTCTGCTCCGCGTGCGAAAAGGTCACGGAGATAGATGAGGTGGCGGGTAGCGTCGATAGGTTTGAATTTGGAGAAGCGCACCAGAATTTTCCAGGTTAGAGAAATGCGACGAAGGGGAAATCGCGGAGACGATAAATAAATTTCAAAGCAGAGTCAGAGGTGCCTAGCAATAGCCCCAAGGCCCCCGAGCAATGGTCGCTGTGGATGTCATAGTCGTCACACGCCCTATGATGCAAACATCTCGCGCCACATGAATGCCTAGGTATGTATGCTGGTATGATCTTGGGCCCAGTTTGGCTGTCCGCTTTCTACGCCAAGCAACCGTGGCGGCCCCTCTGTGGAGTTTGCATTTACAGTGGGCGTCTAACCCCGCCATTGTTAGACACTGGCCCTTGTTCAGGACCGCCAAGTGGCTTTGGCTAGAGAGGATCCACGACGGGCAGCATGATGGGCAAGGCAAGATGCGCTACTGTTCGATGCATTGTTCACGTTGCCGACATTTGGCATGAGAACCAACGTTATCGTTCAAGTAAGGCGGTTGGGCAAGACACCAATGGAAACGGCTTTGTGTAGCCGGCTCGCTCCATTTTGAAGCTGTGGGTATGACATGTTCTACTTTCCAGTGAGTCATCAGTTACACTCTGACGTGGACGCCTCCCACGAGCTGGGACTGTTGGACGACTGAGTTCAGCCACCACCGGTATTGCGCATCCGCGATATTGAGTAGCAGGTGAAAAGAGTCGTATTCGCAAGTCTGGACCATATTCATAGTAATAAGTACTCTACATACAACAGGCACAAGTGATCCCCGCAAGGCTTATCGTTGCTTGTTGTTTCGGGTCGCCCTCTTTGTTAGCCACAAAGATGTCGCGAAATTTGGCCAATGGACGGGCTTGCAGTACTGGAGCCAACACAGTCATGTGCACAATATTTCCTGGGGAGGATTGATGGAAGCTGTCAAGGGATTTGTAGCTTTCATATTGGTCATAGCGCTAGTAGCAGGGAGTTCCCTGAGGACGGGTTGGGCAGTCGGCACAAAAAGGCGAAGACAAACACACACGAGAAGACTATGCAAATAAATGGTAGTTGTTTGTTGCAAAATGCTAACCTACTGACTTTGTGGTGCCTGCCTGGTTGCTGTCAAGTGAAGACGGTCTCACGTTACATATAGAGAATCGCCTTACTTGCAACTTAGACTTACACGGCAGCTATCATTGTTATCGTGTAGCGGTCGCGGGGTACAACTAGGCTATCAGGCGGTAACCCCACCATGCTACCCTTGCAAGCTTATCATCATGCACTGGGGCCATGCCAGGCATGAGGATAAGAGCTCCCAACCAACGGCCCAAGGCAAGGTGTGCTGTTGGCCGTATTGCGCAATATGAACGCTTGGTAGTGGGATCGGTCTGATCTGCGAAGTCTACACAGGTCTGGTGTCTGCAGTATATGGCGTCTGGGAACATTAGGGAGGGAGATGTCACCTTTGCACAGGGAGCACATACTTGTATCCGAATATCATCATAACGGACCCCTAAGAACAACCGGCAATAAGCAGTACCTAGATTAAGTAACTTAACCTAGCCTAAGCCGCCTTATCGGCCTGTTCTGCCTGTGCCTTCTGACACCCGTTGCTCCACTTAAGCCGTTCTTGGGGGGCCATGACTGGTCCAGCCAGCAAGCAGCAACTACCCTCCTTCCTAAGGCCCGACACCCATCACCCATCGCCCATCGCCCATCACCTCAGCTTCAACCTCGCGTCGTACGTACCTTCCCCTCCCTCGGGTCCGTTCTATTCTATTCGGTTACTCAGCTGCAACATCCTTCTTCCATTCTCTTCTGCTTGTGGTGTTTTTCTCCCTTGGCCATCTTCGCTACGCATCGAGAGTTGCACATCCAACACCATACAGCTGCGCTGCTATCGCCGTCGTAACCATAGTTGAAGCTTACCACGGGTGAGCTCCGAGTTGGCAGGGCACTACACCGCATTGCACCGTACCGCGCCGCATCAGCTCTGGGACAGCCAAATCTTGCTTCCCAAGCTTCGGTCCAACCGTGGTTGCCACGCGTTTACCGACTCTGGTGCTGCTTGGTTCTAGCCATCGTGGTTTTGCGCCACCGAGCAAACACACGACTTATCTACGGCGGCACGCCGCTTCCCACAGACCACACGCCCTCCCTACAACAGCAAATATGGCGCAGCCGGAGAGCAATCATGGAAAGGCTGAAGCTGACGGTATGTTCATTCAACCAGAAAACCATTCGGCCAACACCTTCATGCAAGCACTTCTGGATATGTCATATGAGTTGAACCCGGAACTACCTTCCACTCGTTCTGACAGACACTCGGCAGTCACCATCACGCTTACTGCCCGCCATGCCCGCTCCGACTTCGTCGTTCCCCAACGAGTAATCCTCCTCACCAAGGTCGCTACCGCTACCCAGGTCGGTCGGGCATCGAAGCAAGAAAGCAAAGGATTCGTGGCAGCTAGAGAGAATGCCTGGTTTGATAGTCCAGTCATGTCTCGACAACATGCAGAACTTTCAGCCGATTTCGATGCAAAGGTATCTTCAAGATTAACAGTCCCCAATCTGCCCCTTTTCTGCTTATAAGATATGAGACTCACTATCGACCAGACTGTCCTCATCCAGGACATTGGATCGCTGCACGGCACCTTCCATCGCACAAAGGATGACACAAACGAAGATAGACTGCCCACTAGAGAGAAGGTTCCTCTGAAGGATGGTGATATTCTTCGCTTTGGAACCGACATTTATCGAGGCCAGTTGACGTTCCCACCTTGCACGGTCCACGTAGGGCTGGCATGGACCGAAGAGCAAGTCCCCCCCCGAGCGCATTACCTCCATTCCTGTCAAGCAGAACTAACGGCCATCTCCAGAACACCGCATCTTGCTGTTTCTAATCGTGCCACTCCCACAAACACATTCTGTGTGCCAGACTTTGATGATGACGACGACGACGATGATACAACCAGTGACGACGACATCATGGAGATAGACAAGCCAATGTCTGCGGAAATAGAGGATGTCACTCCTACTAACATTATCGACCTTACTGTTGGACCATCCAGCATACAGCTCTCCTCCAACATGGCCACAGGACATCTGAATTCCAATATTATTGACTTGACGTCGGAGCCTAGCTCTGAGGACTCCTTGTTTATGACAGAGCAGCCCTTTTCTCAATTTGACGCAGAGGATACCGTCACCATCAATGAGGGTTATGATTATGAGTCTGATGCCTCATCTGACCCTTATATTGGTGGATACACCGACTCCGAGGACGAAATCGCCTCGGGCCGAGCGTCGACGGGAGAGGTGCCAACGTCACCTATTAAGACTTCGCCCATCAGTGATCGTAAGGGCGCAAGCATCAATTCATACTGCCTCAAGTATCCACCTCTTTGTGTCACCGAGTCCGACTCGGAGGTGGAATGGAACGGTAATACCACCACTTCAGTCCATTCTGACGGTGACAGTGTTTCCGATCTCGGTGATGCAGATATCGTTGTCGAGAATAGCTGCAACAAGGATGAGCGAGATGACCAATCTACTGATGCTTCATCAGACCATGACTACAGCACCTCTGACGAGATTGATGAAGAGGACGAAGAAGACTCGGGCAGTGAGCTGTCTCGCGACCTCAACAATGTTCCATATTGGGATGAAGAGCTTTCAAGTTCTTACAGCAAAGAAGAGGATGATGCCGATGGACTGGACACGTTTGGAGCACATCCTATGCCTCTCGCTGATGTCACTTCTACTTCCGGATCCTCTTTACCTGTTCCAACGGTTTCTAGTGTTCTCCCAACCTCAAGTCAGTTCAACGCCATCTCACCTCGCACAATCTGTGGTACCCCTGCGTACACCCGTGGACCAACTGCGCCATTCATCCCCGTGCGGCCCCTGCAATCTATCATATCCAACAGCGTGGCTGGCCATGTCAACCAGCCTTCTCATCTTCCGACGCAGAAAGACCGTCAGCCTAGCCCGTCCGATGCTGTAATGGCCAAAATAATACCCATGCAGCACGCAACATCATCGGCTGCTCAGTCACTCGGTGAGCGAACTGGCAAGTACGAATTCTTCGCTGCTAGAGACCACAATCGTGCATCCGTGATGAGCAATCCTCTCATTCCGAAAATACCATCGCCTCTTAATACCAACACCACACCTATTGTTGTTGCTAAGGAGCCATCTATGACGGACACAAACAAGGTGGCTGGTGCCACTGCTGCATCGACTAACGCAGTGCCCCAAACGGGAAACCTGTCTTTCACTGAACACTTTGAGAACTCTCTCAGCGATAAGAATGATGCCAACGATGCCACGGCCGCCCAAGTCCGATCGCCATGCCCACCATGGAGAGAGCCTCAGTTAGCCAAAGATGCTATGACAGACATCATTCTGGAGTCGCGCTACGGTGTAGACCAACCTCCTTTGGTTAACTCAACATGGACCCATGTTGGTGAAGCCTTCTTGAAGGAACCTGACCATTGCCTTGTTCCTGTGTCTGACGAGCGCACCCGACTCCAGAGCCCCGAACTCGACATGACTAGTGCGGCAACCTTTGCGGAAAGCAAAAAGAAAACTGAGGCCGACGCAAGCCGGAGCCGAAGTCGTCTCGCCGTCAAGTTCCTTCTTCACGAGTCCAAGGAAACTTCACCTACTCCAGCTAGTGGCAGCAACGATTCCCCTCGTCCCCCCAAGCGGTCATATGACGAGGTCTTTGCGGAATCTGAAGAGCAGCACATTGCTGAGGATCCTTTCAACAATGCCGAAACACCAGTCGCAGAAACAGATGCCATTACGACTGGCATGAGTGGAACAGACACTCCTATGCCCGATAATACTGTGCTGGCCGTGGCATCATCGGAGAATATAATTTCGGACACCCCTGAACTTGCACCAACAGACTCCGAAGTAATCATTGCTTTGGCTGAGCAGCTTGATACTAGACCTGCCAAGAGACGCCGTTTAAGCAAATTCGCCAAATATGCCTCTGTGAGCATAGTAAGCGGTTTCACAAGCGCTGCGCTCGTCTTTGCCGGTCTGGCTGCTACAGCGCCGCAAATTGTCTGATGGCTTTTCGCCAACTCATGCATAATAATGGCAAAAGTTCGTCTCTAATATCGTTCTTTCTTTCTCACGACGGTTACATGCGACACATTTGTCAGGAATGTGGCTTCCAGGGATGACCAGGCGTTCGGCTAATTGTTTTGTTTGCTGTCGTTTTTTTAGCCAGCAATGTCAAGGGTGAGACGATTCGGTCGACGTACCAGAAGTCTGTCACTTTCCGCCGACACTGGCAGGGATATTTATGAACATGGCATGTAGTTTATTAGTGACGTACTTGCAACCCCATCCTTCGTTTCGTCAGTCGGCGAACACTAGATAATGAGCAAAAATTATGTTTGCGCTTTCGTACCAACTTGATTGTGTCTGGAGCTTAGTAACACGTTTTGTCACCAAGTGGGTGCTGTACTGGGGTTCTATCAAAGCACTTACTTATTTGGGAAACCCCGGCACCCAACGCAGTCTATATGCAGGGGGCTGACTAAACTATCATGCTGATTGGATTGTGACTGGACACTATGATGCTTTTGCACGTCTGTAGATCACCATGCAAGTGCATAAGTAGAAATGCCTGCGCAGCGGCCGGTGTTAGCTGATATAGATTCGCCCAAGCCTGATCTTAAAAAGAAAGGTTGTTGATTTTATTCCCCTCGACATCTCTCGCGGATATTTTGTCCTTCTACTCAAGTGACTTACGACCCACCAGTTGCCATAGTTAATCTTTTGGTCCTGATGCCTTCCCATGGTTCAACCCTCATCATACCCATCGCTCTGCTATCTTTGGTCCTCGGTTATCTCGTCATCAACGCAATCTACGCGGTAACGCTCCACCCCCTGGCTGATGTCCCGGGACCGCGAGTATGCGCGGCCTCCCGCGCCGTTTACTGGTACCGGTTCATGAACGGCAGAGACGTCAGGTGGCTATACCGTCTCCACCAGCGCTACGGCCCCGTCGTCAGATTCGGCCCCTCCGACGTCAGCTACGCCGCGCCGCAGGCCTGGAGGGATATCTACGGCGTTGGCAAGGGCAGGCCGGACATGTTGAAGCCAGGAGATGCTAATATGAGGCCCGCGAATGGTATGTCTGTGTTTGTCTCCAAAGCGGAAGGATGTCGGGTGTTTGTTGTTGATTCGTTGGTCTTGCGCAGATGTCCCAAGCGTGTTGATTGCGGATACCGAGAATCATGCGCGCATGAGAAAGATGTTTTCGCCGGCATTTTCGGAGAGGGCGTTGAGGAGGCAGCAGGGGCTGTTTAGAAAGTAGTAAGTCGATATATAGTCCTCTGTGGAGTTTCTCTTTTCCGTCGTGGCCTTTTTACCCCGTTGTTTATTTACATTCACCGTTTGATGTAACTCCTTGCCTCAAAAACGCTAGTACTTCCGACTAATACATGTTCTGGACAGCGTCGACACGCTTGTGGCAAAAGTGAATGAGCTTGGAAGCACTGGAGAGCCCGTAGAGATGACCAGCCTGTTCAATTTTGTAACATTCGACATTATGGCCGAGCTCTGCTTCGGCCGTCCTCTGGGGATGCTGGAAAAAAACGAGTTCAATCCTTGGGTGAAGGCCATATTTGGCGCGATTAAGATGCTGCCGATCGCCAATTTTATCCAATACTATCCCGTCCTCGATGCGCTGTTCACACGTTTCCAACCACAGTGGATCACCGACCAGCGGCTTTTCTTCGCGAAGCAAACTGAAGATCGAGTGAATCAGAGATTACAGGAAGGCTCGCAGAAACCCGATATTTGGAACCTCGTCTTGGCAGCGCAGGATACCGACAATGCCCTGTCACTTGAAGAGATGCACTCCAATGCGGATCTCTTCATGATGGCCGGATCGGAGACGACCGGTGAGTAGTGACATGATCCGTTCCAATCGCTACAAACCCAGTGCAGTTGGATTTGCGGTTTCAAACTGGGAAATTCCGTGAAGATCTGACATCGCTCGTGTAGCGACTCTACTAAGTGGAGTTACATACTACCTACTCGTGAATCCAGACAAAATGCAGCTACTATGCCAAGAAGTCCGCACGATCTTCGACAATGCCGAAGAAATCAACCTGGACCGCCTGGCCAGCCTCAAATACCTGAACGCATGCCTCAAAGAAGCACTGCGAGTCTACCCGCCGGTAGCCATCGGCACAGCTCGTATCGTCCCTAATAGCGGAGCGACCGTTCTAGGGCGGTGGCTGCCGGCGGGTACCCGCGTCTCGTGCCACCAGTACTCCATGTACCATTCGCCTTGGAACTTCAAGAACCCGAGCCAGTTCGCCCCGGAGCGCTGGCTTGGAGACCCCGAGTACGCGGACGATGTGCAGGACGCGCACCAGCCGTTTGCCTATGGGCCGCGGAACTGTTTGGGGCAAAATGTCGCCATGCACGAGATGAGGCTTATTCTTGCCTCCTTGGTGTGGAACTACGATCTTGAGCTTTGCGACGGGAACGAAGACTGGACGGATCAGCAGACCTTTGCGTTGTGGATTAAGAAGCCGTTGACGTGTTTAGTTAGGTCTGTGGCTCGATGATGGAGCATAATTCCGTTTCTGTCAGTCTTGTGTCCCGGGAAGCACTTGCACCTTACATTGGTAGAGAATCCATCTCCACTGCCAAGAGAGGTCTCGAGAGTATCAGGTAATTAATCAGCTACAGTAATGGTACTTGTTGTCGGTGACTACTGTGCGTACCCGATATTCCAGGATCCTGTGCTGCGATATCACTCTCGTGCAAGTATTGTACCTGGCACTTTGTGCACAAATGACTCTCCGCTTAAATTCGTTGGCTTGGATTTACTCTTGAAGTCGTTGGAAAATCGTCTCATGCGTGATCAGTTTTGCGTTACATAGCTTAACGAGGAACTAGCTTGAAATTCTTCGTTACTCTGCTCTTTGCCCTCTTTTTTGTTCTATCTGTGTTGGTTGTATATTGAATACTATTTGAAGAAACTCTAAGTCTTTCAATATTCTCGTATGAAGGAACTTTCTTGCTTGTCGCTGTATATAGATGAACGGATATATGTGTCGGTATCTCGCTTTATTGGGCGCTATGCTCTCTCGGCTTCCGAAGATCTGCTTCGACAAGTTGTATCTTAGAAGACTAAGGTATCTTGGCTTTATCGGGCACTCGTAGAGACTACAGCCACGGTCCGTAAGAGCGATAAATATATGACCTGTCTGGATGATAACAGCACTTGAGTCAGAAGCTCTTACGATTTTGTCCAAACAATACAATAAATAAAGTCAGCAGCAACCTTTGACCGTATAGCACAAACACCCAAAAATGAAAGCATATTGTAGTCCCCTCCACTCTTAGATTGACGCTCCACGTATCGACCAGCGTAATATTCCTATGCCCAACCATAGGTTTGATCAAATGAAAATATCTACAATGCAGTATCACGTCTTTTCGTCTGCCTCAATCACTAAAATGATATTCCGGAAACAAAATGTAGAAAAAGTGTTTGCGTCGCTTTTGGAAACTTCACGAGCAGCATCCAGGTGGATATTTCTCAGCTTCGAAGAACGTGCTAGGATCTTTGAAAATCATGCGAAGAGGTTAAGGCCGATTTGGAGCGGCCAAAGGCACATTCTGCCTTCTAGAGAATTCGAACAGCAGCTCCAAAGATAGCGAGGGACGTATTCTCGCTGCTTTCTTCTCTTTTTAAGGCATTATGACCCTCTAAGAATATATACTATCTGAAGGGCCACTTACTACATGGGCTTGGTTCTCATCATGCGCCCAAGATGACCGTTTACGTTATTGGCGTTTTGTTGCGACGATATCTATCATATCTTCGAACGTGATCTGAGCAGGCATGTCTTATATAAATTTTTTTTGGCGATCTGTGTGCAAACAGTATCACGGTGGTTTCGGAAATTAGAGATGAGTCACCTGGTGAAATTCGCATCCGAGGACGCTCACAGCTAGGTGGTTCAGGCTCTTGGTTGATTGCGGGGGGATACGCTCAAAGCCACTGAGTCTCACGATACAGTAAATACCCTTCTAGACTTCTCACTTATGAAAAAACTGCCAGAGATCATCCGGCTGAACTGCATCTGTCAGATCTAGCATGAAGGCAGATAGTTTTGCCGGCAGCCAATGAGAGGAACAGTGAGTCAAATGGAGCTCAGCTAAGCCTGGCCTGATTACTACCCGTGTGTAGGGTTTGGAATGCGCCGAATAGAGGACATCTGCCGAGGCTAATGCCTTGACTTCCCAACCCATGTCGTCCATCCCGCAATCTTGAAACCGTTCCACAAGTCTTTGGGACTCTGGCGAGAACAGGCTACAAAGATATGTGACGGCTAAGGCTGAATTAGCCCTATTTAATGGGGCTAAGCTACGCGACCATATTATTTTAAGTGCCTCGCGATCAAGTGTTTTTGTTCTTTAGCTTTCTTATTTTCATAATAAATAGGGTAAGCAGCCTATGCCTCTTTGATTTAGCATTTCTAAGACATTGCGCATGTCGACGGTGGTTGTATAGCAATAATAAGTGGTCCACTTCAAAACAAGGTGACGGCTTCATTCTCATAAACAAAGGAGTAACGGAACCCCGTATAACGGGAGGCTGTTGCATATCTCGTGGCAGGTGTTTTAAACATCGTACGATGGGAACCCCGACGCAGGATGATGTGATGGAAATGAGGTCGAACATGTCATATTCGAATAGCGTTCTCCATTTTCAGGGTGCCCTGGCTAGGAAGCGCCTATCACGCAAGTGATGGTGTGAAGCGATGCTAATGGCCCGTTTGGTCATCCGTGGGGTTTATTGCTGGTTGCTAGGCCACTCAATCGAGGAAATTTGGAAACGTGCGAGTAAAGTTGCAAAATTTCTAGTGTTTGGATTGATCAGCATTGCTAAATATTGTACATGGTCTGAAGTCAATATAGCGTGACGAGCTGGCCTTGTGTTGCGCCGAGCATACATAATGTTTTAGCGCCCTCATTTCTCTCTGGAAATCAGCTTTATGCGCTTTATGGTTCGCTGGGCAGTGAATCCGAGTTGTCGGGCCGTACCTTGGGAAACTGTGCAAATGTTCGGCACATTGGGTTTTACCGGCTCGGGAAAAGAAAAGACTCTAACTGGTGTGCCTAAGAACGCATGATATGCGACCCTCAATGCTGCGCCGCGTCGTGTCAAGTAATCGGGAGGCTGGGCTGTGCCACCGAGCGGGCCCTTTCTCCGCAGATATGTCATTCAGGTATGAAGCGTGACCTCATTTTTTTGTTACCTTGCAGCCCGACTCATGTGCGTTCCATGTTGTCTGCGCTATCACGAAGGGGTCAAGTGAGCACAGAATCGTGCGGAGGGAGAGACTAGCCAATGATTGATGGCAGCCAAAATTAGATTCCTACAGTATTGCTCCACTTTCAACAACCAACTGCATATAACTAGCAAGCTGTGTGAGAGCAGGCTGTGGTAAACCCTTTGAGGAGAGAAGTGATGAATGAATTAACAGTCCGTGAGGGGGCACAGCCCCAGGCCTTTTAATATTCTAGAAGGCATTCCCCGTTATGTCCATAGCAGCTTGCTTTCTTGGATGCTTGGTTGCTTCTGAGCTTGTCTTGGTCCTGGTGATTGAATCCATCATTCTGTCAATCAGAGGTAGCAGTTGTATCTTTTTTTGACACCAATGGCGCCCAATTGCATTTCGCTCCTAGGAATACTGTTGTTGACATGGACGCATGTCGGAAAGGTTTGTGCGGGATCGATATCCACTTGGTGGTATAATGATGCGCTTTCACCGCAAGTCATCTCGTATGATGAATCTAGCGGGAAGATCTTCTACAGCCTATGCAATAGTAATAGCACTCCCATTTTCCCAGCGAACGAGACGGCCGCTTTCGACCTCGACCCGAATTTCCCACCCATCAATGGCACTAGCGTGGCTGGCACGGGTTACATGTTAAAAGGTGTCTATATTGTGAGCTCGCCGAGTAGACTGGGAGCACTAGAAAAGCTTACTCTGCACACAGGCAGCCGTCCATTACCAAGAGAAGGAAGGCGGTATAGTCCACTCGCTATGGACGTGCGACTCGACAGGCCACTACGTCAAGGGCGACGGCCAGGGATCCTGGAACGTATCCGCGGGCATTGGTGCTCCAATTGTCCACCCTCAAACTGGGCTTGCAGTCATCAACCTTGGTGGCGATGAAGAAATAGGAGGGTTTCGGGTGTACTTCAAGGACACACATGCACGAACAGCGGGTTTGAGGTACACTGTCTCCGGCGGATGGGCGTACGACGGTTTTATATCGCAAGACCAAGGTCTATCGCTTGCTGTCACAGCAGATTTCAGGACTTCAAAGCGTCCAACTGTTATGTCACCATCAATACATACTGGTGATACCCAGACCATCGAGGCTATGATACGCACGTATTCGGATGCATGGGAGATCAGTAAGGATTCATCCTAGATGACCGAGGACGCTGCTAAGTAACATACTCAGACACCTTTCCGTGGCTAATTAATGCCTACCTTGTGTCGAACCAGTCGAAAGTTATGAGACAGCATATCACCAACGATACAGATGACAAATGGAAACTTTATTATATTGATGAGGCGCCAAGCTGGAGCCTAGATGCGTTTGATGGTGATCAAACCAGCCTCGCACTGCTAATGAACTCAGACACAGATCAAAACGTTTACTACATTGGTACTGATGGCGGACTACATGAGCTCACTGGGTATAATACAACATGGAACAAGACGCTCAGAGAACCAGACGCGAATTGGCCGCTGGCTGACGAGCCAAATGCGCCCCTGGCTTTGGCGCACGATAACGCGCACAACCGGACGTGGATATACTATATGAGCAACGGAACCATGACTCAAGTGTGGCGGTCCAATGACAACACCTGGGAGAAGGCAATCGCACTAGCAAAGTTCAACTCAACCTCGGAAGAAGCAGAAGGTCCATCTTCTGCTTCCAGCTCGGGATTATCAAACGAAGCAAAATTCGGGATTGGTGTTGGAGTTGGACTTGGTGTGCCTCTCTTGATCGCTGCCATCGCAGCTTCCATGCATTCCCATGTTAAGCGGTCGAGAGCAGAACGCAATGCAGAACGCGCTGCTGTAGAAGCAGCGCACGCAGACGCGACTAATCCACACGGCGCTGCTATGCCGCTGCATTCATCGGTAATGGCTTCCACAACGGGCGGCAATCCACAATCACCTGCAATGGCTTCCACCATGCGAGGCTCCCCCACTCCCAACCATAGCTCTGCATACTGGGAACGGGGATACTGGGCCAATGGCCAATGGGTGGCTGCTCAGCCTGGAGTCCAGTCGCATGCTAGTCAAGTTTGGGCCAAGCCAGAAGGCGACTGGAGACAGAGTCACGGTTATTACGAAAATGCTCCAGTGGCATTTTCGCCAGACCCGTATGTTCAGCCCATGTTTGAAATGCCAATTGAAGAGCGCACTCATGAGATGTCTGGCGATGGACAAGTGACGGAAATGGCCGCTGCGACCCCTCTAGCGCAGGATAGGAGCGAAGATGAAGCGCACAAGTAGCGGGAAAGACTGGGCGGCGGCAGATTGCTCCCATCAACAGCGAGAATTCATCGTTCTGGCCACAGATAGTAACTTTCATTTTCATGACTGTAGCCATCGTTTTTCCGCGAGGTTTTATAGTTCTTAGTTGTGGTAGGACCACTCAATCAAAAACGACGTTGCCTAAGCTAAATACAGTAACACTAAAGGACGAAAGCAAATATTCTCATAGCTAAGCAGCGAACCCTCCGCACCTTAGGCTCAGTGCGTAATGTCTTCGCGATCTCATCCGTTGCAGTACCCATATTGACTGCATTATTAAGTGTAATATAACCCACTTTATCTAGTCTGAATGATCTGGGCAGCAATGTTATGTCCGAGTGCGAAATCTTTCAGGTAATCCCAGAACAAGATTTGACGGCATGCCATTCTTATCAACTTGAGGTAGTCAACGATATATCTTTTGTACCGGAAATAAAGGTCGATGATACGCTTACGAACATGGGAGACGTGAGCATTCGTCACCCTAACAGATGGGTTGAGGTACTCAAACACAAAGGACTTGAAATAAGTTCTTGCGCATGTTGCTTCTTGATGTCGAAGATCTTAGTGCACTTCAAAGTCAGATGCAGGCGATTGCGCATGAATATAGACGGAATAGGACACCTTTAGTTCCACGATACCACCTATGACGTATTAAATTTATCTTTTGTTGGCCAATTGCTAAACGCCAAGCATTTGCATTGTTGTGATCGCCATTTTGTTTTAGTTCGCCTGCTTGTTGCTCAAACCTTTTCATTCTCGCTTCAAATTGCCGGACTGTTGTATCTTCAGAGGCAGAAGCAGACAGAGATGCCGTGTATGTTGAGTGGTTAGCACTCTGCGGTATATTCTCGGAGTGACGCTGCTGAAGAGCCATAGGGGGGATAGTTGGCATTCTACGCCATCGGTGTTCCCTTCCCCTGCTAATCACAATGGGTCACTTGCGAGTAGTCTAATTCCGGTTTCCGTACAGTACCTAACAGCGACAAGACCCTGATTTGTCCCCATCACAATGGCGGCAGCAACGAAACCAGAAACAGCACATGACGAACAGTGGATGTAGTGTGAACAGGTATTGGGTCAAGACTCGTGTGTTTCCCTTACGATTGAAAATGTACAGTAGAAGAGTTGCAAAGTGATCAAGTCCGAGTGACAAAACCATCGTGTCCGCCAAGATGCATACATTTAATTGACTGTCATTAGTAGGAATGCCTAAAAGATATACAAAATATGTTTCGAGCCCTATTTTTCACTATAGCTCGTAACCCGAGAAGGAATTTCACTCATTCAACTCGAACGAAATCGCGCACAGGTTATTTAGGTATAACAAGTTGATCTAAGAGTGCAAGACAAATTATGTACATAAAGGGACCGAAAGGTCAAGAACGTTACAATGGAGCAACAGTGGGCTTCCTATCGGGTTTAGACGTCGGCACACGGAAGTGTATCACAAGCTACAATGGTACAACGACGTCATCGAAAGTTGTCCTGAGTCGGTCAGATCAAAAGCGTATTCGGGCCAGAGCGGATACAACACCTGCTCTGCACTACAAGCCAGAAACAAATCTTGAACCTATATTGGAACGGGTGATTTAATACCCCCTGAAAGGCAATTCAGCATGCGAGGGTCCACTGTACCTGAAAGACAGTTCCGTATCTGAGGGCCCGCTGTTCCTGAGATATAATTCTGACATCTCAGCTCGGGCCCAACATACAGATCTCTAATACGCAAGCATGGCATCCATTTTCGGCCTTGTCTGCTTGTGACAGGCCATGCTTCCACATGCGTGCTGAACTCCATGCAAGGTCATGCCTGATACCAATCATGCACAACATAAACTCGACCAAGAGGTCACCTTGATGAGGCCATCTCTGCTTTCCCACCCGTTTTACGACCTTTTTTCATTCACCGTATCTCATCACAACTCGACAAGCGCATATAGTGATTTGTCCCTTATCGTCCATTACACCTCTGGTCTAACTCTCTGCTTCTGTTGCTCGCTAGGCTTCGATGAGCTAGTATCTATTTCGTGGTTTTTTTCTATTGCGGCTTATGCTTACTGGAAGTTATATAATAGCCTTCTGGGCAACACCGCATTTTATCTTCTAAGGTACAATTTCGTTTCGGTCGTGCTTAAGTAGTGAGACAGCACTAGTCCGAGCTTGTGAAAGGAGTTTGAATAGGTCTTAATGAAATAGACTCTTACTAGCAATGAACAGAAATACCCACTCTGGTTCGAGATCCCTATTAATCAAGACACACACTATAAACACACGCATATATATTAATCAAATCGTATGTCATAATTCTCGCCCAAGTTAACGTAAACGTAAAAACCCCCAATCTGTTCTTGGTAGACCTAGACATTATCGCCATTAATGGTTCCGAGTCGGGAAGTCAAGATTTGGTATTTGGACCGCGAAGGCGCAGATCACATCGGTGCTTTTTTTCTTTTTCTCGAAAAGTCGTTGTACTTACACTATTATCGCATTCAATTGGTTGAAACCGCTAGCCTTCAAACAAGAACCCGACCACGTTTATGATCTTGCCTTGACGTTCATGGAGCATTCCCATAACGCTTTTCAGTCGAGCGGACTATTAGATTTTCAACATGTCTCATTATTGTTGTCAATAACTCTAATGCCCGACTGATACTCAGTGGTCAAATTTGTAGTCTGGATTCTATGTACGCTTTATGAAGTATGGAACATATCATCTATAGCCACCCCGCCTGTAGCAGCCTTAGAAGTGTATGAAGTTGACAGGATTGTCGAGAGCCATGGCCGGTTGATATCGGCCAAAGAAAGCCGATACAATCATAAAATCCACAACGCCACTTAGATATAACTACAAAGAATATGCTTATTAACTTGTCAACAATTTTCAGGCTACCCCGCCATAATCGTATGCGAGAATACCCTTGTATGTCATTAACCTTGGATCCTGCAAGGTTTTACCATGGTTTATAACGCGATAGCTGACGTCAGACGTGAACTCCGAGTTCCGATCGGCATACTATGTGGCCAACACTTTATATATACCGATAGACTTTTGGTTGAGCCGCTATTTATCCCTATAAGGTAATTGAAGACTAGTTGACTTTCTCAAGCGTATTTATCTCAATCGTAAAACTAAAACTCCCACAATGACTGTCTTCACCGTTCGCGACAAGAAGGACTCACTCCAATCTGATGATTGGGAAGTCGTCCATTCACCATCAAAAAGAAACGGCACTGCGGCACAGACAAGCAATAAATCAATCAGCGCTATGAAAGAGGAAACACGGCAATACACCATTATCACTACGAGTCTGCTCATTCCCGGCGCAGGAACTCCCATCAAGAATGCAGTACTCGTCATTGAGGACAAGCTGATAGCCTGGGTCGGTCGATTATCTGAGCTTCCCAAAAAGTTTAGTGAGACTTCGCATCGCTCCGTATCAGTGCCGTATCTCATGCCTGGACTCTGGGACAGCCATGTTCATTTCGCAGCGATACCTGACGATGCCACTAGTAATGCCGCCATGCTGATAACACATCCAGCCGAGCAAGGCGCCCGGCTGGCCAAGGGATGCTGGCAGTGGCTGCAGTGGGGATACACTTCAGTGCGCGACATGGGTGGGTTCGGATGCGAGGTTGCGCGCGCCATCGATGATGGAAGTATTGTTGGGCCCAACATTTATAGCTCCGGCGGTGGCCTGACCCAGATCGGCGGACACGGCGATTACCACGACTTACCGGCAGGCATGATCATGAAAAACATGAGCGTGGCAAATATTCTGCCAGGCCACTACGGCACTGAGTGCTTTACTGTGGCGGATGGGATAGAAGAATGCCGACGGGCAGTACGACTGAACATCCGCCGTGGTGCGCGATGTATCAAAGTCATAGCGTCCGGCGGAGTCGGGTCGCTCAACGATGATGTATCCTGCGCTCAATACAGCTCAGAAGAATTGAGGTGTATTGTAGAGGAGGCGTCTCGTCAGAATATTGCTGTTGGTGCACATGCACATGCGAAAGCTGGAATAGTGGCGGCGGTCAATGCCGGAGTGACAACCATTGAGCATGGATCCTTTGCGGATCGAGAGACTTTAGAAGTGATCAAGAACAAAGGTGTTGTTCTTATTGCCACAAGAACAATTACCGAGCTGCTCATGTCCACTAGGGGCGAAGGACTTCCCCAACAGATCTGGGAAAAGATTAACTTGGTGGCAACTGCGAACAGAGACAGCTATGCTATGGCTGTCAAAATGGGTCTTAAAATTGCGCTAGGCACAGATCGAACCCCAGGTTTCAGTTCTTCCAAAGAGCTCGAGTATGCTGTCGATGCCGGGATGAGTAATCTAGAGGCTATTGAGGCTGCCACTGCTAACGGGCCACTAACTGTTGGATTAAAAGCTCCAAAATCGGGCCAGCTAAAAGTGGGCTACGAGGCCGACATAATCGGACTCCAGGAGAATCCAGTCGATGATGTCAAGATCTTACAGAATATAGACAATATCAAGTGGGTGTGGAAAGCAGGCTTAGCCTTCAAGGGACCGGGAATCGGGCCATGGGGAGAAGAACTCTAAAAGTGAGAATGTTTATCTACACCAGAGATGGAGAGTGACTAATATACAGGTTCGGGCCAAACGGTAGTAGCGATTTTCCAGATCCTGCAGTACCGTAACGCGGTGGATTCCCAAAGTAGGATGGCAAACATCACGATGGGTTGGTGTATCCGATGCGCCATGGGAGATCTTAGTCACCCTTCATGGTTCGGCACTCTAACGCTCAATATCTTATATTATATTATGTTGGTTGCAACGTTTCGTGGTAATTGCCCGTGACACAAATTTTGTAGAAAGTTTCATAAGGGGTTATACAAGCGCCCGACTTAGCAGGTTGTCACAATCATCGGGTTATTCAATCCTCTCTGTGCACACGCATGTCCCTAGCAAGCAGATGTACAAGGCATGTTGTGTTTCAATGTCCGATGTCGATCCAAGCTTTTTGGTCGCTTCCTCGTGCATATTTCCGTAAGACATTCAAACAAACCATCATGGCGGACTGCTTACCCCAATAGGGTGGCCAGCGCTAGGGAAATCGCATTGGTGGTGGTGATCGCCGCGGGAGAGCTCAATTAAACAATGGTGCAAGCGACAACTCACGTTTGAACTTGGGTCCACCTCAAGCAAACGTCACGGCTAATATACTATCTAGTCAGGATCTTCGTTTCAAGTTTGAAATCTTACGTAGCTTACCATACTAACGGATCACAACACTACTAAGTATTGATCGCATTCGGGGCAACTTTGCAGCTGCTTACGTCGGCGCTAATGATATCCTCGGTCATGTCGGCCACGAACGTCGCTCGGGACCGAGTCCATACAATTATGGTCTGATCGGTGTATAGTCTGGCTCGATTGCCAAAGAATCGTAAAAAGGGTAGGAACACTATACACGGGTTACTTCTCAGGGGGTTATTCCTGCATCTACAAAAGTGGATAAGTTACTGCGAACACACGGGACCGAACTAGATCGATTATTGCCAATATGATGATCCCTGATTTCGACAATAGTCACGAGCAATATCAATGAGAAATCTCAAACTACGGCCTATTATTTCAACTTCTCGTTGATGAATCCGCTTGGAGTAGCGATATTTAGATCGTCAATTTGATGTGAGCGATATCCGTTAACATACAAGAAACAAAAATCCCGAGCCGTAGCCCATTCGAATCCCCACATCGGCGGACATTTCTAAAAATACAATTGTCCGACTTACAATGAGACCGATGTCCGAACAATCAGCTTCGCAGCATATAAACTACCTTGCGATGCACTTTACACACTTCCAGTGATCTTGAGGGCGATCTGGTAAATCTCATTCCTTCTTATTGGCGATTAAGCTCCATTTCCTGGTGTTTTATCAAGTGAAACCCCCCTTCACACATTCCCCCCACAACCGTCCACTGTTGGCCCCAAAGCCTGGCACTAAATCAAACTTTCATAGCGCTAAAAACCATGTCGAAAATCGCAACAGCTATACGTCCGATACGCCAAGTGTCTACTCCCGCTCTGGTAGGCGCTGCTGCAGCTGCTGGAATATGCATCTCGTTATACTCTCAATTGATGAGCACTGCTCATGCTGACTCTGGCGAGCCGACAAAATTCTTCGCGGGGCCGGTATTTTCATCCCTACCTCTAGCAAGCTCCGAATCTGTCAACCACAACACCAAGCTTTTGCGGTTTCGCTTGCCAAACGGCACTGTCAGTGGCCTCCCTACAACATGTAAGACCGGATTACGCAGTATGGCAAATCGCTCACTAATGGCCCACAGCTGCCGTCCTTACACTCTCATGGCCGAAAGGCAGCTGGACGCCAGTCATAAGACCTTATACGCCAATCAACTCACCAGGTAGGCGTCCTGAACACTTTGTGTTACCACTGAGCCGCCCGCTCATTGAAAGCAGATGAACCAGAATCTTTAGAATTACTGGTCAAGCATTACCCCAACGGTAAAGCCAGCACGCATCTTCATTCCCTTGCACCTGGGGATTCACTCTTCTTCATCGCCAAAATTCCCGGCTTCGCCTATAAGCCAAACCAGTTTGCCCATGTCACGTTGATAGCAGGTGGTGCCGGCATCACGCCCATTTACCAACTTGCTTCCAGCATACTGCGGGATACAAACGACAAGACGAAGATTGATCTTGTGTTCGGTGTCAACTCCGATGCAGATGTGCTCATGAAAGATGAGTTTGAAACCTGGGAAAAGGAATTTCCAGGTCGGTTCAAGGCGAACTATATTGTCAGCAGACCCGTAGAGGGTTCGCCATACGCAAAGGGTTATGTGACAAAGGACCTGCTGGGCGTCGTTGCTGAGCCTGTTACGGCGGACTCGAAGGTGTTCGTGTGCGGGCCGCCGGCGATGGAGACAGCGCTGGTAGGGTCTTGGAAACAAAAGGGCATTCTTCAGGAGTTGGGATATAGGAAAGACCAGGTGCACAAGTTTTGATTCAAAACTGATATCCCAGGGGAGAGCACTGTAAGAGATATGTGATAGTGTTTGTCAGTATTATACCACACAAAGAGTTTTCGATCGGCCGCCCAGTGACATATAATGAACAAGGCAGGACTTGTGCCTGATGGCCTTTGAAATCTAGGCTGAGCTGCGTGTAATGAAATCTGTTCTGTGGAGACGAAGGGGCAAAACATAATTGTCATCTCAAAGCTTCTTGCGAACATGACATATTTGATTTTGTTCAATTGGCTACGACGTTGGGAAATGGGTTCTGACTTTTTCGTGCAACGGAAAGGTTGGTGTAGCGGCCTACGACGTTTGTGCCTTCTGGACACAACGGCTATAACCGCGCTGCCAATCACACTAACCTAAGGTCCGCAACAGCCAACCAGCCTACTAGGCGCCGACCAGCTTAGGGGCCTTATAGCTTTGTAATCAGTCTGTGGCTCAAGCATTTCAGATAGCCAACTTACCTGGATATTCGAGGTGGACCGTTGCAAGTACGTTTGATTCCGGTTTTCCTCCCATCTCATTTGACGCGCCGACATGCTGGCTTTGGTGCCAGTCGACCTGATCTTGACATTATCGTAACCCATACGGAGGCATCGCAGTTAAAGTTACATGCACATGGCCCAAGCCATACATGTAGACCACGGAATCTTGACCATGAGCTCCAGCAAATAGCCCATCTAGAAGGAGTAAATCGCCCACAGTAGATGATCAACTCGCGAAGAGCCGCCGAAGTTTCGACCGTATGAAAAGTACATGAGAATGGCGAACAAGCAGACCGTGATGAGAGAAGCGGGTCCCAGGTTTACACAAAGGTCGAAATCTGGTGGGAAACTAAGAACAAAGAATGCCACTGCCCAAGGTTAAGTATCCTGCCGAAACTTTCTACCAGATCGTGTGTATACGTTGCGTACATGTAGCGTGCTGAGCGAACGGTGTTAAACAGAAGATGTGGATCGCGATGAAGAGCATCCAAATGAGGACATTGAGGGGTCCGATTTGCGACCCTGTAAAAGACTATCCAACTATCCAAAATAGCTGCGACCATTATGCAAGACTATATGACCGATCAAGTCGATCCGACCCAGCAGTGGAAATGGCAAGCCAATTTTATTGTAGTTCCATATGGCTGGCCCGTGTATATAACTAGACGACGAAGCCATAAGACATAAAAGCTTGATTAAGCTTGATTAAGGCAATTGGGAATTGATTATAAGGAATAGTGTCGGAAAGATAGATTTAATCTAAGAAATAGGAGAATGTTATGTAAAGTGCACAGCGCAGGGCTTAAATGCTGCTTCTTACTCAGTCACGCAAAGTACGAATCCTCTCTCCCAAAGTGGGCATTTTAGCCAATGTTCAGATATGAATCAATGTTGATTGTACCAGTACATAACAGAAGCTATACACCGTCGTCAAATTTGAGCTCAACATCCTACGTAACCCTTCGATCAAGTAAGAATAAATGCTTCTTGGCAGCTTTCTTCTAGGACTGTCTAGCATCATGAATCGAAACCCGATTACCCCTAAATTGCACCGCTTACGTGGATATATTGTTTCTGGGTAACTGGAAGGAAGAACAGACATGAATAGCTTAAAAAAAACTGTATATAGTACAATCTATGAAGCTGGTGTCTCTTTGGTCTGGATATTACTAGAGGAATTTTAGATATCACAATATAGCACACAGTGACTAACGAAAATCGCTTCCTCGGTATTGCAAGACTACCGAATATAAAATGTCCCCTAGAAGTATATATTTCGTAGGTAAGGTTTGGGAAGGCTACCTATCTGTTCCCAGCGTCGTGATTTGCTATTGTGATTGCATTCAAGCGATCAGACTTTGTGGTTTGAAAAAGATCAAAATAATAGCTCGACTCGCGATAACACCCTCAATGTAAATATTACAATGAACTTTCAACCAGTAGATATCTGCAACCAGATACTACGCCAAAACTGTAAATTGCAATCCCTATTGTGTTTGGCGATGCTTGAACCACGCTGGATTTGTAATCCGCGTTTCAGAAAGTAAGCCCCGCAGCAGTCTTCGGACATCGGACAATTAGACTTGTCCCCCCTTGTGTACATATCATGACACTCAAATACTGCGAAGCACAATTTCTAATATCCAACACCGGGCATAAAAGTTTCGTTTTGGAGGGTGATTTTGAAAAAAACAAACTTCTAAAAAGAAACCACAATATCTCGAATAATCTGGCCCATAATCCTTGTCTCGCACTTATCATCCATCAATCTTAAGTTCAATAAGCTTCCTGTTATGACATCTGAACGCCCAGGGATAGATATGTCGCTTGCAGGCAAAGTAATCCTCATCACCGGCGCATCTAACGGCATCGGTAAAGCCTGCGCGGAAAAAGTTGCGGCTCAGGGTGCTTCCCTTATCATTAACTATAATCACGACGCCGAATCAGCTGAGTCTTTAGTGCGTTCAATTGGGCACAGTCAAGCCATCGCCGTTCAAGCCGACGCAGGCTCTCTCCAGGGAATTACCAAATTAGTCGATGCTGCTATAGCTAGATTCGGCCACATCGACATCGTCATGGCTAACGCGGGCATAACGATTGAACGGACTGTCCAGGACACTACGGAGGATGATTTTGACCGGACTTTTGCACTCAACGTCAAGGGGCCATTGTTTCTGGTACAGGTTAGTCTTGAATACTAACATATAATAAGCAAAATCATCAAGATAATACTCAGCTCACTGATTCATCTATAGAGATCCGTCCCTCATATGCGTCAGGGGTCACGAATCGTCCTCGTATCGAGCTGCCTTACCCACTTCTCCTCTATCGGCCCCAGCTATTTGCTCTACGCTGCTGCAAAAGGTGCCGTCGAGCAGATGACCCGTGCCATGGCCAAGGAGCTGGCGCCAAAGGGCATCAACGTGAACGCCATCGCACCTGGGCCTATCGCTACCGACGTTTTCTTTAGAGATAACTCGGAAGAGACTATTGCAGGCCTATCATCCGCTAGTCCTTTCAATCGCTTGGGTCAGCCGGAAGATATCGCCAACATCTTTAAATTCTTATGCAGTGCAGATAGCGCGTGGGTTGCTGGACAGACTTTACTAGCAAGTGGAGGATTGGTAGTATAAAGTAGTGCTCGCCACCACGGACTTCGTAATCAATTAAACTGTGCAATAGTCGTCTTTATATGGCAATGGATCTAGACTCTGCACTGTTATCCAAGTTCAATGTTTTTAAGTCCATGAGAATCATCAGAACTGCTTATGGAAATACGTCATCTACATTGTGTGCACCGCACTATGCACTCTCGTTCCCAATACCCTTAAGATCGCAAGGATTAGCTGCTTACCTCGACTCTTTAACGTGTTATACTTGAGTGTGAGCGGCAGAATCATACTCGTCCCTCTTCCTTGGGATCTCGTAGAGGTACAGCCAACCAGCCCCCATTGCAAAGACTGCAGCGGTTATTCCAACAGTGACTCCAATATATATCTGCCAGTGAGATAGGGGATCCCCGAGAAGGGTCTGAGATAATCAGCTTAGATATTAAATAGCCGCCAGCCTCCGAGCTGCAGCATGTCATTACAAAGGGAAGCTAGAGGCGTACACCGAGAAATGTTCCTGGGAGAAAGGCCATCGTGATAATGGCCAGGATCTTCATTGCTGAGCTGTCGCGTTTGCTGGCAACGGATATCACTCTCATCACTGAACTGTCTCTTCGTGTTGCATTTGAAATGGCCACATTCCGTTCTTGGTCGATCTGTCCGTGAGGTCAGTGCCGAGAACGGTGTATAGATATGCCGGTCACCAGGGTCCGGCTTACCACTGCCAACTGTGTTCCGGCCATTCCTTGGACAAGATGGACTAGATTTAGGAGTTCCTCATTCTTGCTTGCCAAGTAAGCGATGAACTCTCTGATCTCTCTCGAAGCTACCTGGCCCGCGGCCTGCTGTACAGCTTTCCGGCCTCTGTCCTGATCTCGCTCAACTTCCCTTTCTAATTGGAAAAGGCGGGACTTGGTACCTGCCCGATGGATATCACATAAGCAGATAACTTTTGAGGCGTCCAGCCGTAGGTTTGGAAGGTCCCCTTCTGGAACTCGGACTTTCTGTGTCTGCTCATACGGGGTGTGGCCGGTTCTCCGCTCAATTTCTTTAGCTTCCCAGTAGCATTTGGATATCATGTCCTCGCCTCGCTTTGTTGAAAGTGCTATTGCCAAAGTAGGCAGCAACCGGGGATCTAAAGCTATCGTTATATGGCGCTTCAGATCCCTGACCAATCTTTGGTATTCTTGCTTCTCATGAGACTGAGGATGTGCTTCAAGAACAAGGGCATAAGAAACACCATTGCCGTCATGTGCGACCGCTATCGCGTAATTTGGTACGAGGAAGGCGCGGTGAAGGTAGACTTATTAGTATGAAAGGTGTACTCAGGAGGGAATTTGAATGACATTTACCTTGCCAACCGTCCACTGTAGTAAATCTCGCCAAAATCTGGCGCTTAGAAGATATTACATCTCCAAAAAGGCAAGGAATTCGAAAGGCTTGTAGGATTATTTTGAAACTAGACTCAGATAATGGTAAGTTGTAAAGGTCGTCATCCGTAGGTTTCAATACTCTGTCGAGCTCGACCCATCAGCTCTGTGTGGTAATTCATCCTGGTGGGTAACTTTTCGGGGATACCAAAATGGCGTACATTACTCGAAGCCCTCCGGTAGATAGGTCTCCGTTATCATTTTGAGTCGGTCTTTTCTATAGGCTCTCAGCCATTGCTCAGATTAAGGATTTTAATTAATACCTCTTTCAACCACTGCTCCAGATAGGCTCCATCACGCTGAATTTTGGGGCCCTTTTTAGTCGGCTTTGAGCTGCCCTAACATGAGCTGTTAGTAATGCGCACACAGGACAATATTAACAACATAGCAATAGACGCGTGCCTCGTAGAACCAGAACTCTCGCAGTTCGACAGTATGCTCTTTCGTAAAGTTCAAGTTATGATATTCGCAAGGGATTTCAGAATTCTTTATTTTGGCTTGTCGTGACGATTCCCTACTTTCGGACTTTTGCGTTGGTGTTTGGCGAGTCATTTCACTCTTTATCTCCATAAGATGTCCTTTACATAGAGTATGAAACTAACCCATGAATATAAGCAAAGGCCATACGAAATGAAAATATTTGAAACATTGCTTAGAGCAATGGCGCGATCATAGAGTCTGGACATATGAACTAGCAAAAACCAAGCAGTTAGGCAACATGTGAACCTTTTATCCTGTGGTAAAGGCTGGGTGGGTGGAGACTTCAAGTGCCTCCTAAGGTTGCCACGCTGGAGCCATCTAAAATTATAGGTTCGTAAGTCTTAAGTTTAACGTTACTGGAATGTAATTATGTTATATAACCCCACCTTAGAACGCCGGCACAAGAGAAACAACGGAATTTGCCTAGTCTAGCGTCAAATAAAATTGTTCCCCAAAAGCATGTGACGAAATGATGCCCGGGAATCTCGTAGCTTAGAAGAGAATGACAGATGCCTAGCACAACAGGATTCACATATTACTTGTAAAAGCATCACTGAACCCACCAGTTCAATATAGGATTTCTTGAGTCACAAATTGAGCCCACAAACTCGAAGATTAGGAATGTTAAAACTCGAGGCCTGCTTTTATACATCCTATCCCCAGTGTTAGCATCTATAAAACCTTTCAGTTGATTAGTGCAGAAGCCACCGATGAACGACCTCGATAAATGAACCCCGGTCAGCAGACAGACCTTGTTTGAGTTTCTTTAAGACTTAATAACTCGGCTTCTTCTACGATTGGGCTTCGGATATCCTGCTTTTCTGAGTGGCACAATTTTCTGGTTGTTCTTAAATATACGACTTGAACGTCGCTATCTTTGAATGGCGGGCATTTGGTGTGGAAAACACCTAGCTTGGCTAGATCGATTCAATCAAAACACCCTAATAAACAGTGTGGCGCATTAGTTTGAATTTTACAAAACGGTGAACATTAAGCGCGAAATACCCCGAAGTCCTGAGCCAGAGCCATTGATCAGGCCTACGATTCACAAATTGTGCAAGGGAAAGGGCAAATTAAATTTGCCATGCAGACTTTAAGATCGGCTAGAAAGCAGAATGAGGCAGCTTGATGCAGAATTGTACGAGACATAAAACGAATTAGACGGTCGCTGTTCTATTGGGGTTATGATATCGAGGCCATTCCGATATTGTATCGTTTTTTGCAAGCTTGGAAGCGCAGGAAAAGTGGAAATGGTCAGCGAATGTGTGATGAGTCAGACCCAGGTGATAAGGCAGCTAAGACGTGAAAACACCACTTACGTGGCAGCCTAGGTTAATTCATTCTTAACATACCTCCGCCAGCGGGGGTAGGTTATATCACAGCTCGGATGGCGCTTCACTAGCACGATGGTAAGCCCTACTTGTCTCGTTAGCATACAATATTCGATTGGGGGGGAGGGCTGTTTTTGTCAATAGCTTATGTGATAATCATTTTCCGAACTGTTAAAGAGCGCTCGGAAACCCAAACCACCAACGTTACCAATGATGTAAGTAAAAGCCAGGATTTGGGGCATACTTGGATTCTGTGATACCCTTTTCACCAAATCCCGTCTACTATGGAGCAGAGATTCAGTGCAGATGATTGAAAAAGCAACTGTACTCTCCGCGTGTTCTTATTTCTGTTCAAAAGTATCACCTCTTGCCACTACCAGGGACACGTCTTTCAGTCTACTACGGACGTGCTTCATGCACAATGTTTGACGCACCTGTGCATACAACTCGAAGTCTTCTACCCATTGCAGAATAGGTTACCTCTAGTACTATCGACATAAGCTGGCAAGTGGTAACCATCACGGGTGCCATTACGATGCAGGTTACACAGAACGGTGAACAGTGTTTGTGTGGGATGTTGGTAGGACTGTGGCAAAGGTGCTTAATGAATCAGCTAGTACCGACTCCAACGTCGTATACGATGCTCTAATAACTGAACCTGGGAAGTCACCTCGATTGTTCGCGAGTCGCGAGACGACACTATCACAACGGCGGTCCAAGCCGCTATTCTGGTACTCAGCAGGCGCGGCGCATTTGCCTTTCTCAATAACTACGCGACATATATATCCACCGCCACAGGCGGCCCGGCCAACCTTGATGCCATCTTCGAGCCAATAAACGGTTCAGTCGAGGGCATGACGCAGAACCTAAGTGGTACCGCGCTCATCTCAAAGGATATCTTCACCAATTGTAAAAACAGGGGTATATTAGGCTTCACATCAGGTGACCTGTGTGACCTGAGTCGATTTCTATATCGCCTGGTAAAGCCTGTGCAACGTTATCCTAGAACTCCAGCCACTGATCGGATAAGCGAGAACAGCGGTCTATCATGGTTCGCCCTGTATTGTTCGCAATGCATTGAATACGCGCGTGCTTACAAGCAAGCTTCAGGCAAGGAGATCAGCGGCGGCACCAGCAGAAGCAAATTCACCGCAAGTATTGCAGACGTCAAGGGACCAGCGATGTTTGTTTCGGGATCGAGTCGAAATTTCCGTTAAGTGCTTTTTGTGTCGACTCAGAGAGGTAAACTATGGACACCGCGGGCAAAGTCAAAATCAACGGTGGCATTCACTTTGGTAATTGAATGCTTTCTATCCCCCTCCTTAGCCCCGTCGATGGCATGATCATGTTTTCTGATGAATGAGCGAGCTAATGTGAAATGTTTGAGATACTGATGTAACTCGCATTCACCCTAGGTAAACGCTACCGAGTTGTAAAATATTTTGTTTGCGCTTCAAACCGCAAAGGGTACAGAATATGGGCCAAAGACGGAAGCGAAACAATGATATAAAGAGACAACAAGGTAGCCATCAGCTCACTGGTCACATTAAAGTGGAACTATGAGAATAACCATCATGGCACGTTACACAATACATCCAGAAGCTCTAGGATAGATGCAGTGGTTTAGACGGAGGACCTGCCTTCAAGAATACAAGGGCAAAATGGTGTGATCAAAAAGATTGCAACAACATAAAAATCTGCTCCAGATCAAGTTACAAAGTAGTTCGTCATCCAGCGACTTGACTTCTCGGCCATGCCATCCAATCGCTCCAAGGTGGGCCTAAATACGTAAATATGGTGTCAACTAAAAACCGGCCTCCGTGGCCGAAGATCCAGAAGTCCTGCCCACGATGTAAAAGAACGGCCCAATGTGCCATAACCGATAGTGCTTCTGGTTGCCGAGCCTCAAGCATACGCAGAAATTCCGCCGATACGCGTACAGGCCAGCTAAGGATGACGTGTCGATTCGTCGGCACTGGCAGTGATTCGAACTGATGGAAGACCCATTGCAACGCTATTATTGCATCGTGACATGCTTCGTACGATTGAGGATCAAAACGGTCCTTGGCTGTTACAAGAAGACTCAAGAGTCCGGCACAATCATCATGGGATGATGGAGGAAGCTCACTCACGGCTTCGATGAGGTCGAGGATACTACTCATTGCCGAGTTCCTGATGATATGCCAGCGCTGACCTGTGACGACGCTGATCCCGCGATATAGTCTGACGAACTGCATAAAGCGTTCTAGTACCTCTAACAAGCCCGTGTTGGCGACGACGGTGTCGTGCAGCATATGCATACCGACAAACGACGAGAAAATGAATACGGCAACACAGTTCTGCTCGGTAATCTCAACATTTGAAGTGTTGAAGGTTGCTAAAGACCGAGTTTGGAGTTGTACTGCCAAATACCGATATCGATGTTGTTGGTCAACAGATTGAGCAAGTACACTCTTGTGGAGGGAAGCAAACGCCAGCAGCTCGTCCATGAGAAAAGGCGTGCAAAGGGCAGAAGAAATGATCAACTGCGTCAATGTGTCAGAGTCTTGCTGGGTAGTGATGAAATGCCCATACGGCGGCCTCATCAAATCGGTGGTTGCATGATGGAATAGTGCTAGATGGTGAATGTCGTAGGTCTGCTCAGGGAGATGCAGTGGAGTTAGATCGGGTGCGGTGGCGGTAGTGCTGGTGGTCACTTGCGGCATTCCGCCAGGGCTCGCAGAATGTGAGCTCCTCGAGCTTGACAGGGCATACGAACAGGACCGGTTCAGCGTAGAACACTGCAGACAGACAGGCCACTGCTCGTCGCACTTGACATGGCGCTTTTTGCACTCGGCGCACCCCTTGCGCGACTTGTAGTGGGCACGCCTCTTTTTGATCGGGGGAGAATGCATTGTACCGAACGAGGGAAGCAGATGAGGGCGTGGAGAAAACCTAAGTTTGGACTTCGTATGTATCCCGAGGGTTGTTTCTCATCCCGCCCTCGATCCGCTCCCGTACCAGCGTACTTGATTACAGACCAATTACGTTAGCTGCTTGTCTCTCCAGGTATCCGAATGGGGGCACACCTTGGCGATCGAGACGTGCCGAGAATCGAGAACGCCCGTGTACGCGTATTTGGTGGAGCGCCCTGGGTAGGGGTCCCTGTCTAGAGGTCCCTGTCTAGGGGTCCCTGTGCACATCAACCCCACTTCTGCCCTGTAACCAATTCAGGTTAGACGAGTGCCCGAAGAGTACGCGTATTGGGTGGAGAGAATGGGAATGTACATAACTACCAAGATGGTGCAGACTCATGCACGCCCATAAGATTTTGCGGCTGTGGAAATTGCTAATTCATATATGCACCATCAAAGCCCTAAGGCGGTGCTACCGGGTGAGCTCCTCGGTACCATAAAACAACAAACCTATTGGTACAAGTCTGTGATCAAATACGGCGTATCAGGTGGGGCTTCAATCATCCGCCGACAACTTCATCGTCTTAAACTGTGCGGACACCCACGATTTGCTCAACCGGTTGACTGTGTCGCTTTCCTTTTTGACAGTTGCGTTTATAGACTTTAGAACTCTTTCAGCACCAGAATGGCTGAACTCAAGCCGTACAGAGGCAATTATTACCTATGGCAATATCTTCCTTCCACAGCAGCAGCAGGCTTGTTCGCCGCTCTCTTCATACTCGGAACCGGGTACATCACATGGAGGCTTGTCAAGGCCCGTGCGTATTATTGCGTAGTCTTTGTCATCGGTGGTATCTGTACGTCGTGGAACCAAATAATCCGTTTCTGCCCAATCTTGCAGCTTGGCTAATGCTAGGCTCTCCCAGTTGAGATCGTGGGTTATTGTGCCAGAGCCGCATCCAGAAACCAAACTGACGTGCTCGGACCCTACGTCATCCAGAGCACTCTTCTGCTCGTCGCGCCCGCCCTCTTTGCTGCCTCGATCTATGTCGTCCTCGGGCGTGTCATCCGTGCAGTCCATGCCGAGCGTCTGTCTTTCATTCCCGTCAAGTGGCTTACTACCATATTCGTCTGTGGCGACGTAGCATCGTTCATGGTCCAAGCTAGCGGGGCTGGAATTATGGTCACTGGAGACAGCCCGAAGACAGGGGAAAATATTATCCTCGGTGGTCTGATCATTCAGATCATCATGTTCGGGTTGTTCGCTACTGTAGCGGGTGCCTTTCACATTCGACACCGTTGGTGGCCAACAGGTGCATTCCTGAAGAACCGTTCCAGCTGGACGAATATCATGGTTATGCTATACACGGTCAGTATCTTCATTATGGTACGGTCCATATTCCGTGTCATTGAATACGCTATGGGACAATCAGGCTATCTTCTCAAGCACGAATGGACACTCTACGTCTTCGATGCGACCCTGATGTTTGGAGTTGTGGCGATGTTTTCTTGGAGATTCCCTAGCGGTCTTTCTATCAAGGAACTCCAGGAGGTTGAAGTGGATGGAAGACAGTTTTCGGAACAACCTGAAGAATCACGTGAGCCTGATGGCCTGCAAATGAGCAAGCTAGCGACTTCTTACACTCCATTCAATGAGTCAAAGTAGATCTCTCAATCGGACTTTCGTAGAATACGGCCAACAAGAACTTTACATAGCATGTAGCACAACGGGAATATATAGATGAAGCATGTAGATAAATCAGGTTCGAGGGCACTTGCAGTCATTTGTTGTGCTTGTATTTGGATCCAGTAAGAACGTTCACAAGATATTTCACTTTCAAGATGCGAGTGGATTTGGATAAAGATTATTCAAAAAGCTTACCCGATAAACAAAACTAATTACAAGACTATTGACATCCATTAGAGATGGCAAATAAAGCCATCTCGATTGCGTTGGCATCTTATTTCAGGCCATTCAAGACGTATTGAGACTCAACATTAAAACTCTACGTTATTCTTCTTGTAATAATAGTGATTTTAATTATTCTAAGAAGGTTGATTCGAATACGTTGTGGTCCAAATGAATTATTAGGTTGTCCTTAAGCATGTAAGCCAACTTAAATAACTAAAACCAACCAAACCATTAGCACTACATGAACAACGATGGCTTCTGAACAAATCCAGAGGAACGGTTTAAGACAAATATAACTACATACATCACAACGCCACCAAGGAATAAATGATGTCTAACACAAAACCTGATACAACAGAAATTAAAGAATAATCAACATTAAACATGTCCACCTTGCCTAGCACACTTCACAAGTGCTTTGATGCTCATAACTAACGGAGACCATAGCTATGACGGCTTGCCCAAGTTCGGCCATTTCCATGATCTAAGTTTGATGAAACCCGTTTCCCTTCACCATGGGATAAGCATCGTTTTCTCCTGGAAAGCTGTTCTGATGGTAGACAACCACGGCGTTGAGAACCTCGGAAGGATGATATATGGCGAAGATAATGGCCACGAAAACCATCAGGAGAGCATCCAGAACATATATATATATTTCTGTTTGCAATAGGGAACCGTCATTCCCTTGGGCATATTCAGCCATGCGAAACACTGACCTAATCATGATGAATAGACTTGTACCATAAAGCACCCAGATGAACCTATGCCATGGTGCGCTTATGGCCATAGATTTCTGAGTTGGTCGCCGCATTAATCGAACATGAAAGACCAACGTGACAACCATGAAGAACCCGAAAAACAGTACTTGGATCGCGAGCCCAAGGAGGATAACGTTGTTGCCGAGGCTCTGGGAGGACGGTGTCTTTGCGGTTGCCAACATGCCACCTCCTAAAATCCAGTTTGTTAACCACATATCGTCTCAACTGTTGTCGTATTCTTGAGCAACTAACCTCCGCCTTGTCCGAAAAAGGATAAGATGTCTCCCAAAAGGAAGAACTTTGTAAGCCATCTTGTTCTAATTAACGAATATCGGTCGGCTTCCAGTAGCCTTATCAATCTACCAAGAACCATGTAAATCGAGGCCGCGAAAAAGGTAGGTCCGAGTAGCGTCATAATACTTTGTAGAATGTATGGCATCAGAGTCCAGTTGGGGGTTTGCTTTGCAGACAAAAGTCGAGCGACATATCCACCAGCTTCAACTAATTTGAATATAAATTATTAGCGAAATGCGAGGATGAAGAGCCCGTGGGAGTCATTTGTGTCTTACCTAAACATCCTATCAAGAATGGAATAAAAAACCAAGACCTGCTCTGAATGATTTGTTGTAGGTGGCGACCTGATGCAACAGTAAAGAGGACGGCGAAGATAACCGCTCCTGCGACGGACGGGTTGTAGTGATAATACAAGTAGCCTGCCATAATGACTTTGGTCTCTAGTTGTTCACACAATGGTCGTCAATACCAGTAGCCGTCGAAAGAGGTAAATGATATCGGAAAGAGGACATAGAATTTCCACTCAACTGTCAGGACGAGCCACTAGGTCTCTATATATTCTTGTTCTGCGAGGTATTCATCCTGAGACTTGAAAGCTAAGCATGAGGCTATGGGACGTTGTCCTCGTAAAACCGCTTGATCTGCAAACCGGAACGTATCCATTAGCCCTCAGCATTTCATGCACTGACTTGACAATAACGTATGATTGCCCCTTTTTTGCTGCTACCTCGGGAAAAACGCCCGATATCAGTTACACATCTAACAATAGGCACGACAGTTATGATTTTATGATTGCGAACTTGTCAAAATGAACCTGCCTCAGCCTGGCTCTTTGATATACGACGTATTTGGTGGGGCCAGGAGGCTTCCAAGCGCCCCGCAACTCTGAGCATCGACACCCATGTCGACGGCGTGTAACCTTAGTACTGTGGGCTTTGCTAGCGGACACTACTAAGGTTAGCTTGCAGATTAGAGGGTCCAACACATAATTGGCACGCCGCACATATCGAGAAAAAAATATCGAAGGTAGGATTCCGCTTGGATTTAAAGTCAAAAATCTTAGGGACTCCGTACTAATGTATAAAAACGTCTGTTGGGCTGTTCATGGCACATTTGCGCCAAAGGAAGACTCTCATTACATCCTTCAACACCATTGGACCAGCAAATAGTCGGGTTCTCATTGAATCCTCATTACATTCTTCTAGGTTTTAGTAAAGAGAGATCTCAGGGCTCATGATATCGGTGAGTGCACAGCGCTTAAAATGAGTCGTGCCTGACGTGGGCCAATATACATGGATAGAATTTCAATAACGTGTGCAAGAAAGGAGCATGTTGAGGCCGATAATAGTACATTCGCAATATATAACTTTCATTCTGGAGGCGTGCTGATGTGAACAATCCACCACAATTACCTATTCAGAACACAGATCATGATGGAGCCCAACGAATCTCTTCTTGAGCCCAATTGACCCAATGTCCGTGTTCATCGTCCAGTCGCCTCAAAATGCGGTTCATCAATCGCCATCCCCAACCTTCCAACCACCAATAATTTTCCAAACGTCTCAATAATACACAAAAGAATGCCAAGATACACATGGCCTCATTATTTCCATTTCTTAGTAAATCCAGATACGTGTCTGGAATACTATACAGCCAGATAAAAACACCGCTAAGCTTGTATTCATTATTGTAGTTCCCCTCGTAAAATAACGAAAAGCTGCGTTTCAGATCATTCAGTGACCCCAAGAGAATCGAGAGCGTTGCTTTGTTGCCAATGAACTTAGCGTTCAAGTTCTGCTCGAGCTCCTGGAACGCATGGTTCTCGAATTGACGAGAACTCCAGACATCATGTGCTCGAACACCGGGCTCAAATATACAACTGAAGAAAGATAGCAAGCGCTCTTGCCTGAAACTCAATATGGGGCGGATACCACGGAATATCTGGATCCACTGAGGGAGCACGGAGCTTTCTGTGATAAAGGAGTCGATCGGATGCGTGGGTTGTGCACAGGCGAAAATTGTAGTAACAATCCCAAAGAGAAGCAGGGGTGCAGAATTCTCAGATGTGAGACTCGAGATTCTCGGGAGAGCTGTGTTCAGAGAGGAGTTGTGATGCACGTAGGCTTTTGCCACATACAGTTCTCTTGCATCTGGCTTCATACGTGCCACGTGCAAACTTGCTAGAGATAAAATACCATGAAGAACGTAACTCGTTGCAAAACCCATCCGTGGAACCTCCACGGCCCAGAAAGTCTTGGACAGCAGGCCATCGGAAAATCTTACACAGTTGCATACTGTGAAGTGGTGAAGAAGCTCGAGATCTGTCGATGTGAACCATGATGGAGATTGATTCGAGAAGCCCAAGTTCAGTGCAGGCTCGGTAGCTGCGAGTTCATGCTGCTTTGTCGTCCAGATACCCGCAGACAAGTCACATGTGACTCCGTGCTTTAGGCACTTCTGACATGAAGGCCGTGTTTCATCACACTATGAAAAGAATAATGTTAATTGGTGGCAGGTATGGCAGGATATAAACGTGAAGGCGCCTGACCTTAACCTTCCGCCTTTTACAAGTCCGACATCCGGTTTTAGATTTAGGGGCGCGCCTTCGGTTGTGCTGCGTGGATAATGTCATGTCTGTAGAAGATGATGGGCTGAAAGATATCGCATTGCACATCTATTTAAATGCTGCGACCACTACTCATTTCTATGATCACAGCTTTAGCATTAATAAAAAAAAATACGAGCGGATGGCAAGGGTTGTGCTCACTCGTTTCAGTACCTGAGAAAGGCGCTAGGACACTCCTTGGGGCATCGTTTTGTAGGCTACATAGTCTAGACTCTAGAGAAGCAACCTGGAGCGAATCAGAAGACGAGAAATACGCGTATTCTTATCCATTACGGAACCAACGTACTCCACATGGCACGGATTAAAGTAGTCTGCCAATGGCGACTCTGCTAATCAAAATAGGCAAACGCTAGTTATCTAGAAGGACAACGAAGATACGCTAAGAATTTACAGCTAAGTTGCTTTCGAAACCTCCTATGGGTTAGCGACTCGCTATTAGATAATTGGACGTTATATGGGCGGGAAAACTAAGTACTGTAGAGCTAATTCCGATGCATCGCCCAAGTCACCAGCTCAGGCGTCTTCACAAGCTAAATTACGGTAGTTATTGCTGGTTTGTTCGGTAAAACAGATCGCATTGGCAGCATCGGATTATTTTATCTCACGAACAGGGTACAATGTTTGCAAAACCTACGGTAGCCACCACACTGGCAATCTGGTTGGCTGAATGCTGGTTTGTTTCCCCCACGTCTCTGTCCCCGCTCACATTTGATCATAATCCACTCGAAAGCATCAGGAAAAGGTTATCAACGTTTACCAAGCAAGCGAGAGGAATATGCGCAGGAGGATTAAGTTTTCACACCTCATTACGGTTTTGCTAATATGCGGTCACTCTTGCTATACTTACTTGATTGTAAGAGCACATGACAGTCGATGTGCCAGCTTTAATCGCGTCCGCGAAGGGCCAGAGATATAGTTCATGAAGTGTTCGATCATCAATATCAGAAGAAATGGCGTCGATGACGGTGCCATTCTCCAAGGTTGTTGATGTTCGATGGGTTTCCTGTTCGTTTCCAATCATGTGTTTGGAGCAAGCTTGCACACCAGTAGATTGAACGCCGACGACTGAAGCGTTCATAAATACACCGGCAAGGTAAGGACCCGGACCGAAACCTTCCCAAGCGCGACCACCAAAGGCGCTTCTCCCTAGGGGTCCAGTGGAAGGGCTACATGATAATCAGCGAACCTGGTCGATACTTATAGTAAAGGAACTCACCCCAGAAAGACGTGTGAGCCCTTTGCCCTAAACTCATCCCCAAGTGCTACACCTCGACCAGTACACAAGATTGCGGTCCCACGTAGCTGCCGCAGTGATCCCAGAAGGGAACACAATAGCACCATCCGAGCGTGGAAAACCGGTCGGTTACTCTGAGAAACAGATGCCCGAGAAGTTGAGGCGCGAAATTGCTCCTACAGAGCCGACGCAGGCCAGTCCCGGGGACGAGTAACCACCAGTCACTATGCCAATCTTTTCGGTGATGCTCAGCTGCGCCACGAAGTCGACAGCCTTTTTCAACGCCTCTTCCCATGATGTTCACACTATTCAGCACATTTACGAAATATAGCCTGGCTTGGTACCGACAAATGATTGATTGCTGGGACAATCCGGCCCCTAAGATCAACGGCGGTGCAACTGCCACCATGACTGCAGTGGCCAGAACCTTCCAGAAATGCACCATGACCGTTCGATGATAAGGTACTTTGCGTAAAAGTTTCAAGTGAAAGATGCTGTGGGTTTCAAAATAACAGGTTCATATATAGTTTCTCACCGCTTCAATTGCCATTCATAAACACTTTGTGCTGACAAGCCCGACTGGTAGATCTGTGGGATCTTATGCATTATCCATCTGGGTACACAACCTTCGGAACTTCGAGTATCAGAGCCAGTGGCCACTCCCAGGTGGTGGATTCGACGATGTCATTATCGTTGGCAGCGGCAGTAATTGGGGCGAGGTCATGGAGGCGGCAGCTGCTGCTGGACGGTCTTGTGTGAGCGGTCAAGACCACACAGTTGGTCTGGGTGGATTCATCGGAGCTGGAGGTCATGGACCTTTGTCTAGCCAGTACGGATTGTCGGCCGATAACGTCTATTAGGCCACCGTTGTTACCACATCCGGTGAAATCCTGCTCGCGAACGATCAAGAAAACCAAGACCTCCTGTGGGCCATTCGTGGTGGTGGACCTGGACTGTATGGTGTTGTCACCGAGTAAGTATTCAGGACCCACCCTATACCCGAGACCGTGGTGGCAACGAAGCTGGCTCTATACATGACTGCCAACAGCACCGCATACAACACAAGCTGGATCGGTCTCTCTGCTTTCATGAAGAGTCTGCCCGACTCGATGGATGCCGGATTGACTGGCAGCGCTTATATCTCGGGCGGATCTGCGATTGGTGCTTCGTTCGTGATGACTTATTTTAGATACAATATGACATCTGATAATATCACCTCGTTACTAGAGCCCGTGGTTACAACCATGAAGGCCGTGGACAGCAACAACGACCTTGCCGTCAGCTTGTCTGATCCGATCGTATATTCAAGTTACATGGACTTTTTCTACTACCTGCAAACAACCGCTTCTGGTGCTGGCGCTGCCAGTCTTATCTCGAGCCGCATATTAGGTCGTGCTGATTTGTCTGACCTTTCGAATTCAAAACTGCAAAATCACTTACAGAATATCATGCAAACCAACACTGAGGGAGGTGCGTCACAGATGATTATTGGTCTTCAGTGGGGCATGGGACCTGCGCAGGTGGCGTTTAACATGCGCGGGGCCTTGAATCCTGCATGGAGGACCGGCTATGTTCATACTATCGTCACTGACTATCCCATTGATACGACGCTTGCCCCACAGGACGCGCTGAACGCTGCAGCGGTTTGGACAGAAGAGGTCAAAGAAGCTGACTTTCGAGATTGGGCGCCGACAGCCGGCGCTTATCTCAACGAGGCGAACCCTTTTGCCTCATCGTGGAAGCAAGACTTTTACGGCGAGAACTATGATCGTTTGTTGGAACTTAAGGATAATTACGACACGACTTACAGCCTCTACGTTACTGCTGGTGTTGGCAGCGACAGTTGGGATTACAATCTCACTACTGGAAAATTGTGCTGTAAGGCTTAGTTGTATTGTCTATATTTTAGACCCCAACACGTATGTTATGATACCATCCAATCGCCTATTGCCGTTGTTCTTAATACATTGTATCCTATGATGTGCAAGTTATTTTGAAGCCTTTATGCTCTTACACGGAAAATAAATTGAATGTATGGATGGTGAAGAGATTGCGCCGTTGAGATCACAATGCCGGCTGTTGGTCTCATTATAGCACCCTGTTCAACATCGCCTTTGGTAAAAGGGGACATAATTTCTGTCCATACAGCCTCATCAACATGCGCCAGAGAAAATTTCTATATATCATGTATTGAATGAGTGCAGTCCATCTTTATCTTAAGTTAGTGTGGTTTGAGGTTGGGACTTTTGCATGATCCACTTGTCGCATAGCTTCAACTACACCAGGCTTGTAAATCAAGATTGTGCGGTACAGATGTTCGGGTCGTAAGCTCAGATATCTTCCTCCTCTATATCGTAGGCTAACGGTCGCTGCCCTACTCCAAGCTTGCCGAGATTGGCTGTCTCGTAAATCCAAAGTCCGCCTTTCATCAGCAGCTCATTGGCCCGGAGGCGCCAAGGGGGGATCTTCTCGCGAACTGTTCCATTGCGTTCTGCAGTCCGCAGCATTTCTTCAGTCCTAACTTTCCGTCTATTTTCGTACAAACTGAGCGATTCATGGACTGGTATATCCTTCTCGAGGGCTTTAGAGAGGAGGAATGCGTCTTCAAGAGCCATAGAAACTCCCTGACTTGCGTGCGGTGGCATGGCATGTGCCGCATCTCCTAGGATGAGGCAACGTCCTTTACACCATGGTCTTCCCGTAGGGACTTTGTATACGGGGTAGAATCGAATAGCATCCGTGGACCGTGCAATATCACGTATTAAGTTTGTCCACTCAGCGTCTGCGTCTCCAAAGAGACCCAGCATCATTGTAATGGCATTCTCAACTTCTTCTTTGCTCCGATGTTCCCATCCATCTCGGACGTCGTCAGTCTTTGGGGCCGGTACCTCGCGCGAAAAGAACCAGTAGAGCAAGTCTCCAGCATTCGTAGCCGGGCTTACTGCAAACAGTCCATCGGCTGTTAAAGTTGCGTGAAGGGTGTCGATCGCCGAGGCTGCAGGAGGAAGACTCACGGTTGGCACCATAGAGTACATGTTTGCAATGCCGGAATACTCGGGCAAGCAATCGGGGTCCACATAAAGCCTCCGAATGGCCGAATGAATACCATCACAGCCTAGGAGAAGGTCGCTAGTGTCTTTTGTGCCGTCAGAGAAAGAAACAGTAACACGGTCGTCGTTTTCTTCGACCTTGGTCACGTGTTTACTGTAATGGATCGGAATTTCGGCGGCCGCCACGGCTTCAAGAAGAACATCCATCAAGTCTGTTCTTCTGATCCTCAGATAGCCAAATCCGGTTTTTTCCTTGCTCCATGACACCATGTCCATTTTCCCCACCACTGTACCCTGCAACGAATGCACCACCAAAGCAGATGTCTCTGCACCTCGGGCAGCTACTTTCTGGAAAAGCCCAAGACGATCAAGCAAACGCAGACCATTGGAGGGGATACCGACTGCCCCTCCAAGTGTGGTAGGCTCAGAGCGGATTTCATAGACAACGGGACTTATGTGATTGAATTGTCGAAGCCGAAGTGCCGTCAGCAAACCTGCTGGCCCAGCTCCGATGATAATCGCCTAGTTGGGAACGGTGTCAAAATTTATTAGTAAGTAAGTGATGCCAGTGTTAACTCACCTTTTGGACGCTGCTCATTTTACTACTTCGCTTGGAGTGTCGTTGAATCCTGGCTTAGAAATTCCTTGTTAGGATGCATGTTGAAGCTGGCCAGAAACGGCAGTCTTTATGTAAGATCCAAAATGAGTGGCAGTATATGGTCGGGATATAGGGAAGTATGGTAGGCCGATGCATTTGTTATTAATTACAAGCAATTCGTACTTAGCAGGGGTCAGCAAAATAAATGCCCTAGCCACATGGTGACTTCTGTATTAACACTACAATTCCGACAACCTTTGTTGAATTATGCCTGCAACTATATTAGCGAAGTGACAAGACAGCTGCCATTGGTCGGTTTTGAGTTTGACTAAGCTGACTAGCTAACATGAAAATGCTGCCTCAAGCGCTAAAGGAGGATTCAAACGGGCATTTCGGATTTTAGTGCACAGCGATGGACGATTTGTCGTACTAGTATTAGAGTCTTGGCAAGAATGGAGACAAGCACGGATTGTAGGATAATGTCCGTAAGGCCGTCGTAACAATTATGGTGTATCGGCTTTTCAGATGAAACTTGCCAGGGGTTTTCTCATTCAAGCAGCTCCAGACAATTATCAGTCCTGAGCGAAACTCGTGACAGAGAGATTGCGATTATAGGGGCAGGGATTTGTATTGGTACACCCTATTTGGTGCTATGCATTTTGAGGACATCAACGTATGGCAGTGTCTTTCCTTGGCGGTAGCGCTTGGCCAACGATCAGTTGCTTGCTGCATTTATGGGGCTAACAAGAAGGGTGCAGCAGACAGGATTGCACAGCGAAGATCTTTTTCTCAGCATATTTGCTATTTTCTTGGTAATCTCTGAATATTAGCAATGTTTTTAAAAACCGCACAAGCACATTAAATAACGAAAGTTTCCAATGGTAGCATTTCTCAACACTTGTTGAATAAATTTACCGTAAGTCGAACAGTCTAAAGGTATTGTCCAGACACGTCTGAGTCTTCAAAAGTTTGCTGTGTTGTTCATATCTTTCCGACTTTTACTGAACTTGCTCGTCAGAAGTGTCTGGAAGGGAATGCACCCTTGTTGGCGTGTGTTCATTGGATTCTGTTCGACATATCAAATGGCGCAATCCACGCACGGTAATACTGAACATTCCCTAGCCCGATACCCTTATTCCATCATGACATTGCCACAGGGTCGAATAGGAATTCATGTAGTGCAAAATACTGATCATCTGAGTTATGGTAATTTTGGTATTCACAGCATGTCTAGTACCGCTTTTCCTATTCTTGTCCCCGGGCTACTCTAGACGCTTCAAGGACTTTGCAAGATGGTTTACATTTTCCCCCCTCTTCCTACTTTCAACACTATACGTATTTTTAAATGCCATTATTTATAACTTTCCTCGGCTCACTCAAATGTCTCTAGCTAATTATAATCGTTGGAACTCTGTAAGAGAGCCTGCATTCTGGCGGTTAGATGGCTCTCAAGCATAATGTCGTAATCCTTAGTGGTGACTTGGAGCCAAAATGAGCATATGAATAATGGGACAACGAGCAGCTAGAAGTCCCAAAAACTATGAAGAAGTGTGTTCAATGATTCTCGATAAGTTTATACTTCCTGCCTAGCATATAAATGATCATTGCTACATTACAAGTTTCTCGGCTAGTTGACAATCGCCCACAATTGGTTGTCATCTTTTCAGCTTAGCTTTCTTTTGACTGGAATATATTACGACGGTCCGGCTGGCAGCTTGAGACGGATTGAATCAGAACCTGTCGAGTCCTGGCATGGGTTTAAGTTGCGTTAGAATATAACTAATAAGACTTGCGAATGTTTCAACAATAGATTCAAAAGATTAATGCAAGCCATGTTCATATATATGGAATCTTTCTCGGTGCGCTTTCAAGTCAGAACGTTATTACCTGTACTCGGATATGAAATTTGTGAGCTCCTGTCTCACCCATCTTGATCTTTGAGTCCGAGGAGAGAGTTAAGAGCAGTATTGTCGATAAATAGCAATTGAAGTCTAAGTACGGCAGAATTTATATTGTTCATTATGAAAAGTCTTACATCCCTACTGCATCCCAAATTTCAATCCAACCTCGCTCAAATTCAAGATCAGTATCGCCGTGGACGTGACAGACACCATACTAGATCGCAGCACCAGAGAGGCTGGCGCATGCTCGTGGTACTCTGGCGTATACCTGTTGATATCTGTGCTGGTGGTGATGTCGCTACTATATTTGACCCAAGTGACCAAGCACCCAACCTACATTGACGATCAGAAGGATCTAAGGTCCTCTGAATGAACATTGAAAGGCAATGTCTTATTTTCAGAATAATATTGATGGACAATATGTATCCTCAATTGGGAAATGCTTATACCCGGTTGGTTGTATACGTGCTCATGGTGCTATTACCTTGATCACCCGTCGGCGTTGCTTCACGTGCTTACAGCAAGTGATGTTTGTTCAGATAGCCGTGGTGTGGTTACATCGCGAGATGCGGGGCATGGGCTTCAATCAGCAAATCGTTCCCCTGAACAGAGTTGTCCAATCATCGGCGTCAGCATAACCATCATGCTTCGCACCTGTAACAACATTCGCCTGTCATTCGTTGGGAAGTAGGCCCTTGTTCGAATGGAAATACCACCAACGCATGGGCAGCCATATCTGGGTTGCTTTCGATGCATCTCGAGGTCAGACTTTCGCCTCATTCATGCGAGCGCCACTGCCGCGATGCTACCCCATTTCGGCGCTCCCACCCTGAAGGTGCACAACGGCCATGTGCTGTAGGATCAAGTGAACTTGTGCTCAAAGACATCGTGGAGCAATCACCAGTTCTCATTGCCCACGTGTTAATCCCCTCGGAGCGTGGACTGCATTTTCATGTTTTGCTGGCCTCTCGCCGCTGAGTCTTTAAAAAGGGAATGATTCCAGATCCTGTAACATTTCTTGGACGTTTATATATACACACACTAACAGCCCCATATTCTTGGTGTGGCGAAAGTTTATAAATTTTTCATTTTCACCTATGCTGGGTTGAGATTCTTGCGCATTCTGAGCGGATTTTCCCAACCGGTTTGGAAAAGTTCCGCAACCATTGCGGTGGCTTTGACGAGCGCCGGTGAATTGCAACAAAAACTCCATTCTGCTTATGCCTTAAGAATCAGCTTATTAACGGAAATACTGACGACCTATCAACAATTATACTCAGTATGCGCACATTTGTTTCGGTGGCTAATTTGGCTTTTGCCACTGTTGCATCTGCCATAAATTGTAATGGCAATGCCGCTCTTTGCGACCGGAAATATAGCAACGTCACTTTCGTTGGAGCTCACAACTCGCCATTTGTTGGTGCGCTGCCCACTCAAAACCAACTCAGCGATGTGACTGCACAGTTGAATAAAGGGATTCGGTTTCTCACAGCTCAGACTCATGATAAGGATGGAGCAGTTCAGTTGTGCCATACAGAATGCGGACTGGAAGATGCCGGCACACTTCAATCCTACCTGAGCACGATCAAGACGTGGCTAGATGGCAATACGAATGAAGTTGTCACACTTCTCCTTACCAACGGAGATGCAATAGATCTCAGCAAGTTCTCAGATGCATTCAAAGCTAGCGGATTGGATACCTACACCTACGCGCCGACTGCCGACCTGTCTCTGGCTGATTGGCCTACGTTGGGAGAGATTGTTGCCAGCAAGAAGAGACTAATCGTATTCATGGGTATGTAAGACTTGTCTCATTGAAGGTAATTCAGTTATTAGTATCGTGTACTTATGCCCAAGATAGATTATAACGCCGACATATCAAAGGTCAGCTACATCTTGGACGAATTCAAGTACTACTTTGAGACGCCATTCGATCCCACAGACTCACAACTCCTCGAATGTAATATCGACAGACCCTCAGGAGCGTCCGCTAACGGACGGATGTATCTCGTCAACCACAATCTTAATGCCGAAGTGTTCGGTATATCCATACCCGACATTGGAGCGGCTTCCAAGACGAATTCGGAGTCTTCTATTCTGGCTCATTCCGACATATGTATTGGCAAATACAGCAGAGATCCTAATGTTATTCTCGTAAGTTCGGGCCCGAGATATTACAGGCTATGCTCTTGCTACGAATTGCTAACAGATGATAGCTCGACTACATCAGTCTTGGAAACCCGATCGCAGCACAAAATACTCTGAACGAAATTTGATTACCTGTGGAAGCCAAATAGACTCCTGCTGCGTGTTAGTTAGGCTAAGGTACAATTTATAGTCTACAGTTTTGCGGACGCTAAACACATCGTAAATGTGTTTAAGTCAGGCATTTTGTACTTTCTCTAAATTTACCTGTTACACTCATTCCTCCAAAGGGCACTGCTCTTAGGCCTTAGCTGTATTATTCTGTCCTCAGCCAATACCGGCTGTGGGTGACATCAAGTGCACGTACCGTTCGACCTCGCACCACTGACTCAATTCATCAACAGTATGACTCGCAAGTATAGAAGAAATCGACTATTTAGTCTAATACATTGTTCTATGGAAGTATGAAGTTTAAGACCTACAACTACTAAGGGGACTAGAATAGAGGTTTTCGTGCGCACAATTGGTGACAGCAGTGCGGTGTTGGTAACCCCAACCATTGTAAGTACTGTGCATCAAACGTGAATGATTTCAACGGAGCAAGAACCTTTTCTTTTTCTTTTTCCTCTGCATATATAAGATGCTTCCATACGCGAGGACGGATGTATCCCGCTCCGGGAAAGCACCCCACAGCGGCTTTTCGGCCTGCTCCCATTTATGGTACCGAAACCTAAATCGGCCAGCCATGAGCTCATTGAACGGTAAACAGAAATACAGGCGAATGAGATTGGCTAGAAGTCGTAGAAGCCATCTAAAAGCCTTCTCGCTTCTAATTTTATCTCTTGGAACTCGGCAGCGGGGTTGGTCGGCGGTTAGCAATAGCTTGAAACTATGCCTGCTGGCCAATGAGACCTCGAACAATCTAAGACACACGATCTCCAACCAATTACAATGCGACGCCAATGCCAAGTGACGCCCCATTTAGCGCTGCAGATTCAGTGAAAGCGCTAATTCGGGTGTAAGGCACAATGATGCTGTATAGACTTATAAGCAGGGGAAAGAAGCTGAGAGTCGGTATTGCAGGGTGATGGACATGTTGGATATTGAGACTTTGATTTCCTCTTCAAAATCAGGAACAATCCTGCTGTGCAGTATCTCTTCTTGTTAATCGCAATCTTCAAACCTTTCTTATCTACTGTACGCATCTGGGAAGTTAGGCTGGCCTATCCACTATGCAATTTCCCGCTGTAGTACCCCTGGCGGGGCTTTTTCGTAAGTTACCACACAGCCATCACCACTCAATTGGCCTCGCTCTTCGCACAGCACTGCAGCGACGACAAATAAACGTTTTCTTCGAGAGTACTGACCATTCACCTAAGTGTCATGTTTCGCTACCAGTTCAGGTGCTCAGAGCACGAAGTCTACCACGAACAGTACATTGCCATCACTATTTATTAGTCCATCTGGAGACATCGCATTTGCCCTCAACGTGCCGCACGACTCAACGACGGATCTATTTTTTTCTCTGATGATACCAAAGTCAGTAACATGGGGTGCTATCGGCCTGGGGTCCTCCAAGATGGCGGGGTCCCTTATCTTGATGGCATACTCATCCTCGTCCGGCAAAAACGTTACGCTCTCGCCTCGACTGGCGTCCGGACATTCAGAGCCAGTGTACAGTCCCGACATCAAGATCGAGGCTCTGGAAGGAACTGGTCTCATCGACGACACGAGATATGTCTTCAACGGGCGCTGCTCGAACTGCCGATCCTGGAACGGCGGCAGTGTCGACGTGGTCAGCAAGTCGCAGAGCTTCTTGTATGCAACGGGACCTGATGGCGACATCGATTCGGACGCACTGGATGCGCCGCTCAAGATGCATCTGACATATGGCAATTTCAAATTGGACATGGTCCATGCCACGACGTCCACTGATGCGGCGCCGATCATCCCCATCACGAACACCACTGATCTGGTTGCGACTGTACAGGGACTGTCAAAAACGGGTGTGCGAGATATCGCAGCACAAGCACATGCCGTTATTATGATTTTCTGTTTTGTCGGGCTTTTCCCTTTCGGCATTCTGGTGGTGCGGCTTGGCAATTGGGTAAGATGGCATGCCGTCAATCAAGGCCTGGCAGCAATCGGCGTTATAATTGGATTCGGGCTCGGGGTTCATATTAGCTCTTTTTACAACAGGGTGAGTACCTCTGAATATCCCTCGACGAGCACAGGATTAACGAAGAATAGTCTAAAGGCTTTGGCGACGCTCACCAGGTTATCGGCATTCTGCTCTTTATCCTTGTCCTCGGCCAATTCGTCCTGGGTTTCATGCATCACCGAATTTACAAGAAGACGCAACAGCCGACAAAACTCGCGCCGGTGCATGTGTGGATGGGCAGGGTAATCATACCCGTCGGAGTAATCAACGCATTTCTGTATGTAACAACTGAGTGCAATAGGACTGTCTGGTCTGGGGCTAACATATTTGCAGTGGTTTCCGCTTCGCTCAGAGCCCACAGTACAACTACATTCTGGCTGGACTAGTGATCTTCTTTTTCCCCGTGTTTGCCTTAATACTTATCACGAAGAAGTTTATTCAGAAGCGCAGGAACAAGAACAAGGCTGCATCTGGTGAGGAAGGTGGTGGTTACAACCTGGAGCCATGGCGCGCGCCTGAAGGACAAGCAGGCTTTGGACAGAACGCAACTATCACGGCCGCACCGAATGAGCATGCCGTGCCGATGCCCGCGCAGCCAGACATGGCAACGTTTGCGAATTACCAGAACAATGGGAATAAACGTGATATAGGACCACAGCAGTCGGTCCGGGAATATGTATGAGAGGAATCGAGATGGTTTCCGCTTCATTGAGGTCGTGTATAATGGGATGTATAGGGTAGACATCATTGTGCCTACAGTTCACACGAATTGAATCATGATACACCCACCTTTAATAACGCGCCGTACGTGAACTTCATTTCCGTAATCTACAAACTAGGGTAGCACGACCACAGCAACACACCGCTTCCCCTAAGTCTGATTTAGCCGGACTTCGTCAAGCGATCTCCACACCCAACTCTTGTCTGCTATTGTTCCACCATTTATTAACCATGACTGTGTCTTCCCTTACTCTGATATTTCCGTCATTCTGAGCTTCATCTATCGGGGTAATTTGACATTTGGGAAAAGCTATATCACGGTCGCAACAACACCGGCCACTTGACCTCAAGCATAAAACCGCCACTTTCTCTGTACATTTCACCACAGATGACGGCTTCTCCCATCATAGTCCTAGCTACAAGCAAGTGATCTATTCCACGGGTCTGACTTCCATGGTCTACCTATCATACAACATCATCAAAAAACGACTATGCTTTGTACTTCACGCCGTGAGAAGTGCTCTCGCCAATTCATCAATCGAAACATGTATGACGTGGGCTAACGACTGGTTTATAAGGAAGCACCACGAAATCCTTAGCAATCAACACAAATATCCCATCTTAGATTCACCCAGGGAACGCAAGAGGGTGATCTGTTGACGCTTGCCCCAAGACCGTATGTCCATAGATCTGGATGGTAACTTGCACCAAGATGCTTACGCACGAAAGAGTCTGAAATGTCCACAGGCATCGTGCTGTCCGCCCAGTGAACAGAAGCATCTTTAAGCACACCTGCCGAGTTCTGTGTGAGTTTGAACCTGGTTGTAATGATCAAACCTAGTTGCGAAGAGTATACCTGGCATTCCCAAGTTACTAGCGACGATGCAGGAATGTATCATGAACTTTCCCATTGTCGCTGACACCTGATATTGTGGATGAGGCATATTGTATCACATCTATGAACTTGAGCGCAGAATGGTGAACTGGAATGGAACACGGCTGAAAGATGAGAGGCGGAGGGACCGGAGAAGCGGGACAAATTAGATCGATCGAGGATAGTCAGATCATTGGTGCAGATAGCCAACCGGGCTGCCTACGGATCGGTACAGAGTACCGTGCACAAGATGACAGAATGATTGTAACTGACATAATCATCTTCAAGAGTCTTCTTTCGAGAGGTCCTCCGAATGGCCAAGTGTTTGAGACACCGAAGCAAGGTTTGTGTAAAGGGTATAATCCGTAAGCAGTGTTCGCATACCGGCCTCCACTACTTGAACATTGTTCTGGCAATACCAAATATGGCATCGGGTTTTGACGCACTCGTCATAGCTTGAATGTCTACTGACGGGGCTGTGCCTAGTGATCTTATCAATGTGGCACTGTTTACCTCAGAGGACTTGTTGGAGTTCGGGCCAAGATTGTACGCACGCAGTCCTAGCGCCCAAGCCCTCCTCTAGGTGGCGTGTAGCGCTAATAGCAACGTGCCCGCGTGCTAGCCATGACCGGTGCGCTGGAGAGCGAATCAGCGCGCTGAAGCAGCACTCCAAAGTTGGGGGTGGGGGCCATCCCCGGGGCATTTCCAGACCGTCATTCTTGCTCGTCCAGTCAGCTTACAAGTCACAGCTTCGAAGTGCGCTTGTCATGCAGGCTTTATCGCCGCCATACACCAGTTTGTCGTGGGCGAAAGCCTCAACTGACTCTGTTCCGTGTCGGCTCCGACTAGGAAAAGTTTGCCCGTTCTTTGGCTAGGCATGATTTCTTCTTGGTACAAATTCCGAAATCGGGAAGGCTTGTTGACCAATATTCACCATTCAACATCCTGCATCGTGTGTTTGTTTTACGAGCATCTCCCTGACCATATTAGTCGAGCGCCTTGTCTTAAGACACTTTCATCTCAATAAGCCCTCCATCAATGAGTGGGCCCAGATATGAGCCTATTACCCAGGATGCCGAGGAAACTTTAATTATAAGCGGCTTAGACCCTGGGTCTGTGCCGGGGAGCAATACTGTACTCGAGGAAGGCCACGCAGATGAAGGGCCCAGAACCCTAAGCATTGTCACTTCCAAGGAGGGTGTTGCAGATTTGGAATCAGCCGACGGGACTTTGGACAGCTCAACGGAACAGCGCCTAAAAGTAAATAATTCCAAGAAAGAAAAACAGCAAGTCGCAGCATGGAAGGATCTACCGAAAAAGAAGCAGCTGGTCGTCATCACCATGGCCCGACTTAGCGAGCCACTGGTGCAAACGTCGCTGCAGTCATACATGTTTTACCAACTGAAATGGTTTGATCCGAGCTTGCCAGACTCTGTAATCTCAAGCCAGGCCGGCATACTTTCCGCCAGTTTCACAGCAGCTCAATTCTTTACTGCCATGATCTGGGGAAGAGTGGCCGATTCGCCTTGGGCTGGTCGGAAAACAGTTATTCTCATCGGTCTTTTCGGGACTACGATTTCCTGCGTAGGGTTCGGTCTCTCGAAATCTTTCTATCAGGCACTATTCTTCAGGTGCCTAGGCGGCGCCACGAATGGGAATATCGGTGTCTTGAGGACAATGATCAGCGAGATTGTACGGGAAAAGAAATATCAGTCCAGGGCTTTCCTGCTTCTGCCTATGACTTTTAACATCGGCATCATAATCGGCCCAGTTCTCGGTGGAGTTCTTTCGGACCCTGCTGGTTCTTACCCTAATTTCTTCGGCAACGTTTCCTTCTTCAAGCAATTTCCATATGCACTTCCAAACCTCGTGAGTGCCGGGTTTCTTCTGTGCGCTCTCATGGGAGTTTGGCTGCTTCTCGAAGAAACGCACGATGCCCTCCGCGACAAAGTCGACTATGGGCGGGCAATCGCATCCAAGCTAGGAAGGCTGGTGTCCGGCCGCAGGAAGGCGGTGGGCTATACACCTCTCCATTCCCGCGACTCCAGTATCGAAACGATCGAGATGTCGCCAATCGAGCCGCGCGGGAATAGACATAGCTTGGAGTCAAGGCGCAGATACATCACAAAGTTAGCCTTTCGACGTATCTTTACACGAAATCTCTGCCTTACGTTCTTCGCCCACTTCTTCCTTGCCTTCCACCTCGGCACCTTCAACTCACTTTGGTTCGTCTTTCTCTCAACGCCCGTGTACGATCCTTCAAACAGGAACCCGCCAGGTTTCGAGCCATCGCTCCCCTTCCGGTTCACCGGCGGCCTAGGACTTACTTCGCGCGATGTTGGCTTCGCCATGGCAATGTTAGGCGTAATCGGAATAACCATGCAACTTTTCCTGTATCCACGCCTATCCTCTCGTTTTGGTACAGTGAGAATGTGGCGTATCGTCCTGTTCCTTTTCCCTATTGCATATACGCTTCTGCCGCTCCTCAGCCTTGTCCCGTCCGCCACAGCGCCGCCCGACAAGAAAACGGGGCCATGGATCTGGATCGCCCTTGCCGGTGTGCTGTTCATCCAAGTCACGGCTCGCACTTTTGCTCTGCCAGCACAAACGATTCTAGTCAATAACTGTACTCCGCATCCTAGCGTTTTGGGAACCGTCCACGGTTTAGGTCAGAGTGTCAGCAGTTTTGCGAGAACGGTCGGACCGGTATTATGCGGATGGCTGTATGGTCTAGGTCTGAATAATGGCGTCGTAGGGGCGGTGTTCTGGGGACTCGCCGGGGTTGCAATCTGCGGCCTAGCTGCAAGCTTTTGGGTAAGGGAAGGTGATGGCCATGAGATATGGTTAGAAGGTGACGAGGAAGAGGAGGAGGATAGATAATGACATAGCGTATAATCACAAGCGCAAATATTCATCCAGTCATGAATAGAGTTATAGCCTCGTATAACATGTTAATGTACTGTGCCAAGGGTACCATATGCCGCTGTGGATGGGCTTTCGCTTCGATCTTTGAGAGATTGGGATATCTGAAGCATTTGCGCTCTTTGCCTTGAGGCACATACTCCGTGCCTTCGAGGATGACTGAGTTCGAAATCTTTTGAATTTGAGGCTCATCTTAGCGGCGACGGAATATTCTAAGCATTGACGACATCTTGTAGCCGATGATGAGCGGCCATCCCTCGGAACTTGGGGGTTTCATAAAAAGGACCGTTGAGATGCATCAGCTAGATTGAAAGAGCTGGAGTATACATATATTGCCAATTTAGTTGCAGTTCCTTACACTAAGCCACAATGAGATCATGTCTATATATAAAAGCAGATAAATTATATCTAGATGAATGTAGGTAGTCTCAGCTGCAGCATGCAAGAGCGGCTCACTTGCGGTTTTCAGTGCCTGTAGACCTCGAAGCCCCTAATATGGCTACACGTATCAAATCATAATAGTCTTGTCTTCATTCAGAACGACAATCAGCGTCTATTTTTCAACGCAAAGGGTATTCACTGCATGCACAGAGCCTCCCTCTCTAGCCATGCGCGAGCCATCAGTTCCCCTATGCACATGTCCCAAAATATCAAAGGCGGCGGTTGTCTGAATAAATTGTCCGCCTAGCCAAGCAACTGGAGTCGTCTGATACCAACACCAACCATAAAGCTAACCACAAAGCTAACACTCATCAGTGATATGGGAAAGACTATAGCTCCGTTGCCGGTGTAGGTATGAATGATGTATGTTCGGGTGGAACGGCAACCTCAGATTTGTCCTGGCAATATTCATTATCGCCTAAAAATGAGCCGTGGGATAAATCGCTCTGGTCGCTCGAGTCTAACAGTAGATCATACCAACGGTCAATCCACTCATTTAATTAAGCACCGTCTCCCGGTCAAAACGCTGTTGTAGAGCTAAAGTGAAGAAGTCTTCGGGCCAATGGAAAACGTTTGTCGGTCGCCTCTTGCATCCATTCCTCACCAACGGTATCAATGAATGCCTGTCGAATCTCTTCTGCTTCCGACGTGAATGCCTCATTGTCGGAAACATCGAGGGGCTCATTTTCCAAATCATCGCTTTCAGTGTAGCTCGTGTTGCTATCACTGTCGTCGGACTCATTCGAAGAATCTTCAAGTTGGTGTCGCGTTGGTGATTGGCCGTCCTCCTCACTGACAGATTCATCGTGACAGTGTACCGGGGCCCTCACACCATTCACTAGAACATTTATGTTATCACCTCTGTCATAGGTTTCTTCGATTGCGTGTGCTTCTTCCTGAACTGGTTCATCATGGTCCTCATTGGCTTTGCTAAACTTGGACGCTGGAGCATGCTGCCACAGCCAGCCAGGTAAGACACGGCCGACAAATCGAGGTGCAAATATAGCGTCATTCCAATCCAAGACTCCAGTGATAAATATGTCATCATTAGAAGTAATATCCACCATAATATTCCGGGAAAATAGGTCTGGATGATGTAGGCAGACGACATCGTTTTGCGGCTTGAAAAGTCCAATATCTACCATGTCCTGAACGAGTCGTTGACAAGGATCATAGAAACGTTTGACTAAGTTTCCTAGCGCTGGGTTTCTATTGAGTGCCTGGTGTATACGTCGCTGGTAGATAGCTAGCATTATCTCGTTGACAGTAAGGCCGGGAGGATCATGGCGAAGTCTTGCGAGCGGGAGTCGTTCGTTGTTTGTGTGGCTCCAGTCGATACAGCTATCCTCGTACTCTCTGAGCTCCGTGCCAAATGGTTGGGTAAATACACCTCCTGCGACATTAATACCTGGAAGGTAGATTCCATGGTGAACTTCAAGTCTACCAGCGATGTCGTTGATGTTAGTCTCGATGCGCAGGTGCAGTAGACCTAACTCTCTGGCCAGCTTGAGCTTCTGGGTATGTGATAGACCGTCAACCACCCGCTTCAATGGGTGACCTGGTAGGTGTCCTAAAATGACGAGCCGTATCCCAAGGGGTTATTTCTGCCAGCGTCCCAAGTAATGACCTTGGGAACCTGAAGACTTGGTGCGGATGTGCGGAGATACTGAAGGATGGCAACGGAGCGAGGCAGGTCTTCTTCAAGTTCTGGTATTCGAAGAATGTATCTGTCATACAGTGAATCATGGAAGTCGATGGCGAAAAGCTTAATATTTGCTCCTTCATCCAGGAACTGGACACAGAATGCCCCGTTATTTTGTGGCCAAGATCCAGGCACAAGGTGACGGCCTTGGGCAACCAGTGTTCTCTTAGCCCGTACCAGATTTCATTTGTCGCGATATTACTCTCTTCTCTGACATTATTGCTTGCTTTGTTTCGGATGGCCGGTTGCTCCTCACGAACATCGGATTGTAGAGTATGCTTCGTGACGCAGGGTAACGGGAAAATCATATGATGATGCGCGATACAGGAATCCATATTTGGTGATGTGCGCAATAGCGTGACCGATTACATAGAAAGGTTAACTTTCTGGTAGTAATTGATGATTTCGGGGAGAGATGGTTGGAGGGGTAGCAGTCAGGTTGAGGTGAGTGTGTCGCGTTTGCGGCTTGGCGGTGCTGCTGTAAACAAAAAATAGCCAAGAAACACGCAAACAATAAGAAATGCAGGAATTCGTTGTCAAATAAATGGAGGAGAAATGATTGAGGACGATCTGGTAGAATTTGATGTTAAGGCAGGGGGTCATGAAGTGTATTTCACATACACTTTGTTCTTGCCCATAGGATACATAAGTATGGAAACAATTTAGCGATCAATAGTATTGGTTGGGAGATTATACAATTCTTTGCAATCTTGAAATGTGTCACAACAAATCTTGTTCGTCAAATCAAAGCTTTTATTTGCTCGCTGTGTGCGACGGGAGCAATTCTCAAAACCTACTCACAGCTTGGTGTCGCCTCTTTTCCACCCAATCACTAGCTTTCGTTGGTACTCATCACAATAGCTCTTTAGTCAAACGAGTTAGAGTGTGGTGCCTTTTTACAACCAATGGTAGAATGCTCAGAATCGAAGCCAAGCAAAGCCTCATAAATATGAGTGATACAGTCAATCCCATACTTGTTGTTGATTAGCCGGCTGCTAAGTCTCTTTATGGTGTCAAAGCATCTGATTGATTCCTATTCTTCACTTTCTCCCAATGTGAAACCCATTCCTTCACTTCCGCCTCGTCTTTTTTGAGGATGCTGGGTCTCAAACTGAATTGAATTAGTTTCCTGGCCAAAGGGAAGTGGGGATTGGTCGCATCACGCATCCAATCCTTGCCTACTGCGCATTCAAATACTTCCCGAATCTCTGCACCTTTCTCTGTAAAGGGGTCTGTTTTCTCGATATCGAGAGCCTCGAACTCATGATGTTGGTCGCTGTTATGGTCAGATAATGATGAGCTGTCGATCGGCTCACCCAGCTCGTTGATCTGAAGTTTCTGCCAGAGCCACCTAGGCAGGACACGATTGACAAATCGTGGTGCGAACAGGGTAGTGTCCCAATCCACCACACCTGTAATGGCAAGATCGCCATGAGAATCAAAATCAATCATGATATTTCTCGGTAGCAAATCGACGTGGTGAAGGCAGATGTTATCATGAGACTTGAACACGTTCGCCTGTACCATGCCCTCCATGATATCTTGACAGGGCGATAAGTAGTTTTCTACAATTTCAGGGCGAGATGCCAAATCGCCCTGCGCCTGATATATGTAGTACTTAAATAGTCCCAACATTATCTCACTGACGGAGAGTTTAGCGGGACCCTGCTGGGCACGATCAAGCAATATTTGACCTTCGTCTGTATTTGTGAAATCCAGTGGGGCGCCTGTGGAAGGCCAACCCGGGGGGACGAAGGCTTCGATAAACATGAGGTCGTTTAGATCATTGCTTCCGTGATGGAAGTCTTCCTCGTGAACTCTTATCAAGCCGGCTACGTCATTTACGTTGGTCTCGATGTCAAGATATATTTGAGCCAGTTGTTGCGCAAGCTGCAACCTATTCTTGTGAGTAAGGTCATTCCAAACGTCTTCGAGGCAATTTCCGGGAAGGCGCGACATGATGATATACCCATATTGCAGTGGATTGTCGCGACTTTTATCCCAGTTGATGACGTTTGGGATTTTCAATGTCGTTGAAGCGTTCAGGTAATTCAGAATGGCGACAGTCTGTGGAATTTCTTGCTCATTTGCAGGTATTCGCAGGATGTAGTTCTGATCGATACCATTTTCCTCATCTATCGATAAACCAAACACCTTGTTTGATGAGCCTGCGCCTAAATATCGAATAGACGAGGAGTGTAATTGGGCTGTCGGCCACAAGTACTTGCACAACTCTTCTGCCTTGGGGAACCAGTTATCAACGGATAGATACCATACTCTGTTGCTGTTCCTAGTATTTTTTTCCATGCCTGGGTCACCATCTGTGTTGTCGCGGCTACAGAATTTTAGACTTGCGCAGAGTCGGTGATTGTTCATTAAGCTTGATGCAGCTGCCGGATGCATCTTCTTGTCGCCTGACGAAAACGGTGACCACATATCAATTGATAATGCCGTTTGGAGTTTATTTTGAAGCGAACCTGGGTGCGATCGTGTATTAGTTGTCATACGAAGTCGATGGTTGTTTCTGGGTCAAATGATGTTGATTGAACGGCGGCATATAAGCGAGGTTCTACAGGCTTTTTGTAGTTTAGAAGTCGATCGACAGTCATTCAGATTTCTTATAAATGGTGACGTGGATAAACAATTGTTTGTTCCCGGTAGCGAACAATGGCTTCAGGATGTGATAAGAGTTTTATGGTCTTGATTTGTGCCACATCTTTAATCTTTTATTAAGCACGCCCTCTTCATCACGTTTCGTCTTTTAAGTAAGTGATTTGCTTCTCGAGACCCCACCGGCGGCGAAAATTAGCAAGTCATAACAGGAATATTAGTTATTTCTTACAAATTCAAGTTAGTTCCAGTTAAGGGAACGTTTGGTATGTCCAATTCGCAGGCGAGCAGATTAGTTCAATGAGTTTCAGTCACACAAGCTTAAATACTGGGCCATTCGACGCAGGTCCGTGAAGCACTTTGGACAACCCCTAATACCGATACTTGAAGTGAATGTTCTCCCGATCAGTCATGTCAGCTTCAGCATTCAAGCGACCCAATCGCTCGCTCTCCTCTTCAGAAACACCCTGCTCAAAGATTATATTCGCCCGTCTTTTGTTCTCCCAAATATCTAGATATTTATCAGAAGTGTGCAATAGCTATTTAGGTATGGTATGACTCACAGTAGTATCTCCAACAGCCCATTAACACAAACTCCACGCCGTACAAAATGCCGCATGCTGTGATACCCTTGATGTACTTGGGAGCGTCCGACGCGATGAACATCTGCGCACCCACTGCGTTGCCAACACAGTAAGCAATGAAAAGGATGGTTGCCATGACAGTCTTCTTGGTTCTACCAGCCACATTGGAGGGGAGGAAAGTCCAGATCATCAGGCCAGGCAAAGTTCCTGGGACTTGCAGGATGTACATGCCCCATCTTGTCCAGAGCATTCCATTGGTGGGGAGCAAAGCAAGAGCGAGCATTCCTGAGAAAGCCGGCAGCAGGGAAAACATCATCATAATGACTGTTCAGGTTAGCATCGGATTCCGCAGAGGCAACGGGGAGGAGTATCCATACATCTCAAATTTGGCTTTTTCAATGTGACGTACCCAACTAAGAGGAACCAGCAGATGCTGACAGCATAGTATGGTGTTGATCCTTTCAGAAGAGTATCCAAATCAGAGAAGCCGAACGACTTCCAGATCAGTTTTGAGAAAGTCGTGTTTGCACCATTCGGGAGAGCGTTTACAATGGTGACAAAAAAGAAGAAGTATGTTTGCGGATCACGGAATGTGCTCCAGACCTGCTCCCACTTGAACTTATCATGCTTACTGCGATCTGATCCAGTCTGATTGGCTACAACCCGAGCCACTGCAGCGCGCTTCTCATCCTCTGTGAGCCATCGGACTTCACGTGGTGTTCCTAAGACGAAGTATACGAGGATGGCATCGAAGATGGTGAGGGCACCAAGGAAGAAAGAGATGCCCTTCCATGGGGCCAAGCCACCGGGATGGCTTTGAGCATGGGCCCCAATACCATAGTTGATAAGACCGCTAATTATATTCATACCGGCATTAGAGGTACCCCATATAATCGAACGCAGTGTATGTTCTTGTGAAGTGTACCAACTTCCCGTCAAAAGCATGAATGTAGGCGAGATAGTACACTCCAAAGCTCCTTGCAAGAAGCGCAGTATCATCAGATGGGTCCAGTTCCTGGCGAAAGCGATGCAAAGAACCACGATGCCCCATAGGAACATGACAGCCGCTAGGAATTTTGATGTGTTGCATTTTTGCATCAACCAATTGCCTGGAAACTCGCAGGCCATGTAGGAGAGATAGAAGATAGTGCTTAGCCAGTTGTACTGTTCCCCCACTAGCCCTGTATCCTCACGAATTCCGAAGATTGCCTGAACGCTTAGAGACGTCTTATCCGCTTGTTGTGTTCCGTAACACAGCCACATGACTGGTAGTAGCCAGAGATCAATCTTCCAGAGTAACCTCCTCATATATGCGTCGGAGTACTCATAGACCGCTTCGACGGTATCGATGGCCAAATCGTCATGGGCATTTTGTTTTTCGACAACAAGCTCATCGCCACGGTTCTTGTGATCTTCCTCGGCCACCTCCTTGGCTGGCTGCCTGCGAGCTTCGGTGGATTCCATCTTGTAGGTCTAGTTATGATAAGATTGGCCTGATCGTGTGAAGGTATGGAGAGCCAAATAGATGCCGGTGACAAAAGCTTCAATTGTGCAGCTTACAACTAGACGCCATCCGACTGGTATAAGGATTGTGATTCCCTCAGAGGCCATCTACCTGTCCGGCCGGATCTCATCCGGCACCCATACCTCGGAGCCCCACTAAGGCAGCTGGAGATAAGGATATAGCTCTCTGTAGTTGGACTAAACACCACTAAAAGTTTGCCTAGGCTTAGTGCGACCCCATAGTCGCCGACCAATAATCCATGCTATGATAAGATAAGTAGTCTGACATGATTGTGGCTATTGTAAGACTTCCTACATTTTCTACATGCTGGGAGCCGATATTAGTTTTGAGCTGAATTCCGGTACCAGGCCTAAGGTACGGAGCAAGAGAATTATTATAATAATTGCAAAAGTTCGACATTTATTTGACTAGATGATCACATACCGCACTATAACATGGGGGTACGACCTAAAAAGAGGTTTTCCTGTTTGCCATGGACATGAATTCCATATCCTAGTTATCAGAATCTTGGACGATGGTTTTCCCACCAGAAACAAACTTTCTCAGAGCTTGATAACTTGCCATTATCGTGCTTGGAAACGCCCCTTCTAGAGGTCCCGGCCACCGTAGCCACATAGGATAAACCTGGCAACTAAAATTTGAATAGAAAATTATGAAATTAGCAAATAGATTGCTTTATCAGGCCAACACAAAGGCATGGTAATAAGGCTGTTCCTATTATTGTTACTACTACATCCACTTCAAAACTGTCGCTCATGGCCGTGACATATATGGTTACAAACATCCCATTATATTTCTTGGTTGGGATAAAGCTCCACTGCGATTGAAATTTTACATACCTAGCGAGCATTAAAATATCAGACTCATAAAGGAAACAGTTCTATAGTATATCAAAACGCGGCAGTAGATAAAGCTGAAGTCTAATAAGGGTAGAAGACTTCACATGTACTGAAAAGTAACCAAGTAGGTATTACGAGATCACGTTCAACCTTTAAGTAAGACCCTATCTTATGAAACACAGACATTTCGCCTTGCCTAGTGAGTGAAGTCACGCTGAAAATTAATTATCCGCAAGGTCTTTGAAGACTAGAAAGCATATTAGGTGCATCTAAAATACGACACAACAGTTTAATTAAACATCTATAGTTGTCGTGTATCAGTCTCTAGCATGTCGGCACCTGGCCTCAGGATGCAAACCCCCCCTCAAGATGTTCAATAATTCAGATAGATTCAACACATCACCGCATCTCCAACAGACGTTGTACTGTTGAGGCAATTGATAAACCACAAATTCCTTGGTTTGAATGTGAATCTTCTTTCGATTTCTTCCTCGCTAATATGGGCCGATGTCCGTGCTTAACTGTCGCAGCTTTTGGATCCTATCGTCGGCAAGCCCCGGCTTGCCAAGACATATTGCACCTGTAAAATCGGGGCAAGCTCTTTTACTGGTCTATTCGTGATTAGACCAGTTTCACAACATCCAAACCAAGAGCCCTGTTAGCTCAGCGGTAGAGCGCCTCACTAGTAATGAGGAGGTAACTGGTTCGACTCCAGTACAGGGCAATTATTCTTTTGCGTTTTCGTTAAAGGTGCTTGTTTGTGGTTTGATTATCTTTTGCCTAGCTCAACTTGAAATACTTTATTATGACGTGCAAACAAACGTTCCAGGGTCTGGTCCCTGTCTATATGCCAACACAAGGTTTTGAACGTGGCTGTGCCCCAGGCACTGCAACTCGCTATGTATACTCAACTCATATTATCTAAATAGATCTACGAGCTGCAAACCATGTCGTGTTTTTCATGGGGGCACTGTTGGGCTCTGGTGTTCAATCGCTTTCATTGAGAAATATCTGATTTTTATTCTGTTGAAAATTACCAAGCCAGCAGACTGGCCATGGCTGTGACTACCCAGGGCAGGGCACTCCAGCAGGAGAGAGCAATACCGCTAGATGTGGGGACAGCTGTGGGCTGGGCAGACAGCTCTAACAAGATACCATGTGCTGCCGGTAAAGTGACAGAAATTACACCTCCATCACCAACAGTGACGGTCTCCTCGACTTCTGTTCCAACTTTTGCACCGGTGTCAGTGTCAAAAGTTACGCCCGAAACAGTGACTTCGCTCTTGGCATTAGTTCCTGGGCCAGTCAGTCGGGTCACGCGAACATTGCTAAGAGAAGTCCACGGCGTGGTGATGGTCAGTGTGCTGTTTGGGCGCTCGCCTTCGCTGAAGACTGTGCCGTCCGTGGCATTCAGAGTGGAAGGGTTGCTGAGGCCCTCCGTGCCGTTCCAGACTCCCAGGTCGAGGAACACAAGCTTCTTGAGTGCCTGGTCTTGATTGCTACCACTATAGACTGCAAATCCACTGAGCGAGCTTGAGTTGGCATCAGGTATTCCAGAAACACTGAACGATTCATTGCTCGAGGATGCAACAACCTTTGAGATGAAATAGTGGCCGTACCAATTAGCTCTGATGCCAGGCGGTAAGGTTTCATTCTTCAGAGTGTACTCAATTGGTGTGAAGCTGCTATACTCGCTCTCAGCTCCGAGATGAAAGTAAATCTTCTGGAATCCAATTGAGGCAGCTGTCAATACGTAGTCGACGCCCCAAAGCGCGGCACCGAAAGTGTCGCTAATTCCGCTCTTGCCTGAGCAGCTCACAGAGTTGGTCTCGCCCATGACAAGAGGCGAGCCAGCAGCGTCGGCAGCTGCGACCTGAGGTATGTATTGGGATATGTTCTGCCAGAGCACACTGTGGTTGGAGAGTAAGTCGAGGCGCATACGGTGCCATCGTGCAGTGTCACAAGTCGACTGGGGATATAAGTGCGTGGCATAACTGCCAATGATGTCACGATCAGACTGGTCCTCGACCTTGGTAAGATTCTCAATACTAAAGTCGTCGATTTCGTCCTGCTGGTCTGGGACCCATGGTGGATCTGCAAAAACACCTGCTTGGAACTTTGGCGGGCTCGAATCCGACTTGTACCATTCCGAGTCTGTGATCTGACCTGTCAGGTTTCGGAACTGCTCGATATACGTATTCACTCCCCAGCTTGAATCTCTCCATCCCTTGTGGATAAAGTGATCAATCTCGTTGCCCAACTCAAACAATACAAGCTTATCACCCAATGCCGTATGCACAGCCTCCGCTTGCGCGACTGCATCAGCCCAAGCCGACGCATTATTGTTCAGGTTCAGAGTATAGATCAAGTCGGTACCTTCTGGGAAATAGTCGCCCCAGGTAGGATACCACTCTGCGGTAATATTGAATTGGTTGGCGCTTGGAAGCCCTGGTAAGGCTACCGAATTGTTCCCGGTCGACAATGAGTCGTGTATGTAAGTCTGATCGGCGGTATTGCCGCCAACGCGGATGGGTGGCGCTTTGCCGGTGACACCTTTTATGTGCTCTAATAGTGTTGCAGCAAGGGGGTTGCTGATATAGCTGTCTACCCAGATAGGCTCCAATGAGTAGCCGTAAACATCTCGACCAAGTGCTCGTGTCGATAAGTCAGAAGGTACATTGATGCGAACATCTTCAGCTGTGGCACCATTCAAGGCCACAAGGCCGAGAACAACTGCCGAAGCGAAGGCCATGGTTGTTGATGAGTGTAATTCTTCCACCAAATCTTGTGAATCTGAAATCCATTAGGTGTGCAACTGCGCATACCTCCATCTTTAAATATCTTCTAGGGAATGCTGAGGTTTGTTTATGGCCGGTTATGTCATTTGGTTCCTGGACAGAAATCCTGGCCATGTCCAATGGGCCAAGCGACCGTTTCTCAGCGCTAGGTTAGTTTAATTGCGGGGAGAGGTTGGGGTAACGGGGCAGCAGGAGCCGAGAGCTCTAGCGTTTCCCAGAGCCAACTTACGATGCAGTTTGGGATCGTCAATCGCTCATTATTGAAGGAAAATTGTTTTCAACTCATCGTCTGCTCTCGTTTAAGGCCTAGGAGCCACTTGAGCTAATCGGCTGCCAGCGGAGTGCGGGCATAAGAGCTCACACGCAGTCCGAGTTCATCGGTCACAACACGTCTAGTCTCGATCGGTGACCAATTCGATGTACCGAGTACTCTGCAGGACAACAGGAGTCAAGGAAACGGCGCTCGCCCAACGAAATAAAAGAAAACACTGGGGGTTTGGCGCGCCAATGTTCTCCGGATACGTATGTGGAACCGCTACGTAAAGGTCAGGTACGCAGCTGGAGCGCTTGCCGGTTAAAGGTATCTTTGCATGTGTATTACCCCGAATTTCGGGCCCCTTCTGTCCCAGAACCCCGACCATTCTGTTGCCTGAAGTTTACACATGTTGAATCGATAGATGCTGTGAACCGCACTGAAGCTCGTATTCGATTCCCAAGCTACTGAATCCATCGCAATGATGAGCCTGTCTGCATTATCCGTAAGGCAAGTCATGCTGTTGCAATTGGTTGCCTGGTTGCCTGTTGTAAGGGGCTACCGTGCACATTTTGTGTTTGGCCTGTGAGCGATCTCGCCAATGTACATGCGATCAAAACGTTCCGCCGACATCGAACGGGGGCAGATGGTCTCATCTTGGAGCAATCTCACTTCCGGGACTCTCAGCTTGGATGATTGTTGGTCAGCGGGATTTGACACTCCTCAACTGGAGGCCATTGGCCGCCGTCGATCAACCGGCGGAGCAAACCCATTGTATGGGGTTGCATACACGATTAGGGAGCTATCACAACAGTATGGACATCACTTGACACTCTGAAGATTGCAAGGCCACTACTGTCACGTCAGCTTTCTGCTACCTCTTCCGCTGTTCTCGTTGCTTTCCAATTGCGGACATGCTAAACGACACGCTGAAGTAGAGCGCCATATCATGGCTCGCTTATCGTCCGAGATATGGTGCTCACTGCTCAGTGAGCGCATCACACACGCCTTGACTCACAGAACTGCAGATTAAAATCAAGCTCCGGTATCACGGTTATTTGCAATCGTTTTTGGTCGGCTCATGCAGATAAGTCGAGCACTTTGGCATGGCTTCTACAGGCTTCAAGCGGAGCGCAGAAATGACCGATTCTGGTACCCGAAAAGCATTTCATGTAACTCAAGCAGGAAGAACTGTCACGAGGTTCAGGTACGCTTGATTATGGCTTGCTCAATCCTCTGTCCTCCGGTCAATCTCGGAGTATTGGCGGTGTGCTAGCAATAGGAGCTAAGGTCAACGTGCCTCTTATAACTAGGAAGTCAGCACCCAGAATCTTGCCGTCTCAACAAACCTACCACGGCGGCTATCTGCATGAGGACTCCTTGAAAGCCTCAAATGAAGTCTAAAAGGCAAAGAAGGCACCGAGCCCCGACCCTAGTTAAAGTGTAACGAGTATGAGATGTACCAGAAGCAACATCGCAAATTTGAGCGGACACTCCCCAAACTGCTTGAATTTGCGCATTTGAAAGGTGTTAAGCAACTGATTATGGATTGTTAATCTTTGGCATTCGACCCTCTCATGTCTCTGGAGGACATGGTTGTGGAGATCTCGAAACTTTGCCTCGAGGGTAGCGGCTGGAGCGGCATGAATGGGCCATTCGCCAAACATAAACGGATGTAAGACCACAGCTGTTCGCTTTGAGAATTATTGCGGGCGACTAGATGTTACTTTTTTATCTAAGCAATACACTATCCAGCCATCCGACGACAACTTTGACCTGGAGGAGGAAGCCATGAAGAGACCCTTCGGACCGAAAAGGAAACGCTGCAACAAGCAACAGGTTGACTGGCTAGACCACGTTCACCACTACGACCTTAAGATAGTATTATGGTCTGACCCAAAGGGCCAGGAGACACCGCGTATCGGCCGGGTCATACTCCAAGCGACCTTATGGAAACAAATGAGCGCACTACGCGCCATGGTCCCAAGAGCACCCCTTGTACGACGGAATTGGCGAACTGGCTATTCTTATGGGGATCGAGCGTCCGACGTGAATAGCGCTCACGCTGACTGCATTATTCAATCGTCGGGCGGCATGACAAGAAGTCTCCAGCCGAATGAACCTAGTATAAAGGACATTTGCCCAATGTCACAGTGACTGAGGATAGAAGGTGACGGCACTTGATTAGCGGCCTGGAAGCTTCTGACAGAATTCCAACAAGTAAAGGCTTCTTGGTACATCATCGCTTCGATTTCATGCAACATCGGGGAATGATATTCGTCTCGGATGTTTTTTTGGGTAGTCGTATGCAGCTTTTCGTACGAGTCGGGGTTTCGTCTTGGAAGCTTACGAGGATGGAGGTACGACCACGTGTGTGCAGGGAATGAGCAGAACATTTCCTCCGAGATCTGGATCACGTTGCGACGGAACATTGTGTCTACCTGGGCCATTACTGTCGAAAACACCTGACAAATGAGAGATGGGTGCCCGTGTTATTCTGACCCAATTGAAAGCGGCAGTCGAGATCGATCTGTCAAAGGGCTGACGAATCGGCCGCTGTGTTGAGCCCCACTCCCCTCCGCATCTGAGGGTTCACATGTTTTCAAGGTTGTCGTATTATAAATACCCCGACTTTGTTATTGGTCCCAACCACAAGGTTGCATCAGGAACCATAGTCACCCTTCCCATTGCCTAAATCAGCAGGTGTTCGTTTCACAACATCGTGGTAAGTTTATTGGGCTCGACATGAGACCTTCCGAACAGTCCAAATCCTCCGTGGACAGGACCAGCGCCGGGCAGCGCAGCGCACCATTCGCGTCCACCCTGCGACAACGGCACAAGTCTTGCGTCGCGGTTCCTGATTCCTAAAGGACCATGAAGAACCCTTGCGGCTGCCAGCGATGCTACTGATGCATTCGAGGCACTTAAGCGATCAGGCACTGTTTTTGATCCATTTACGTGGTTGACGAGAAGCAGAGACTAGCTAGCACCCGATGAGACAAGGTAGAGCGAGTGTGGGATACAAAGTTCGCCCCTAGGACAGCGCACTTATATCAGTCACGATATATCACGCTCGGGGATATCTGAGCTAAGAATGCATACTCACAATGCTTCCAAGACATCTCAGCATTTACTAAGCTTGCGGGTTTCAGCTCTTGGCAATTCCACTCGTTAATCCATCATGTTGTCGCTCATTTTTCTCGTCATCTCCGCCCTTGGGGTCGCCCTCGCGGCACCAACGGCCGCTGTCGACACTCTGCCTCGCCCAGCCGAGTCTGCAGCCCTCCCTTCCGGAAGCCCGGTGCCCCCAAAGCAAGATCCGTGGTACGCGCCGACGGACGGGTGGCAAGCGGCCAGTCCCGGCCAGGTGCTGCGCGTACGCGTGGCTCAGGGTCAACTGGGCTTGACCTTGGACGGGCTCGCGGCGGCTTACAACATTCTCTACCGCACGACCGACAGCAACGCGCAGCCTTCTTGGGCTGTCACCACGCTCCTGATCCCGGGAAATGCAAGCACGGAGTCGAGATCTTTGCTCTCGTACCAGATACCATACGACTCGGCAGATCTCGATGCTGGCCCCAGCTATACGCTCTCCCAATTCGCGCCTGCTGGTAAGACGCCCCTGAACTGTGTCTCCGAGATCGAGGGTGCTCTTGCCGCTGGGTATTATGTTACCGTGCCAGACTATGAGGGACCACTCGCTTCGTGTAGGTTTACCCCGTCGTAGTTCTCGTATGGCTGGTTTACTTACAAGCCATAATAATAGTCACCGCGGGAGTCATATCTGGACAAGCCACGCTAGACGCAGTGCGCGCATCCGTCAAGTCGGATCTCGGCCTGCCCGGCATCCCGGAAGCCAAGTATGCTCTATGGGGCTACTCCGGCGGCGCGCTCGCGAGCGAATGGGCAGCCGAGCTCCAGGTCACGTACGCGCCCGAGCTCGGCTTCAGCGGCGCTGCCCTGGGCGGCCTGACGCCGGACACCTTCAGCGTGTTCAACACGGTGACGAGCACGTACAGCGCCGGGCTGATCCCGCCGGGCATCGTGGGTCTGGTGTCGCAGTTCCCGGAGGCCGAGGCCTTTCTGCTCGGCCGGCTCAAGACGGCCGGCAAGTACAACCGGGACAAGTTCCTGTCGGTGCTGAACCTGACGCTGCAGGAGTCGGCGCCGCAGTTCGCCTTCGAGAACATCTACGACTACTTCGTGGGCGGGGAGGCCAACTTCGAGAACCCGCTCGTGGCGGCCGTCCTGGACAGCAACGGCCGGATGGGCCGCCACGGCGTCCCGCGCATGCCGCTCTTCGTCTACAAGGCCATCCGCGACGAGGTCAGCCCCGTCGCCGACACGGACGCCCTGGTTGAGGGGTACTGTGCCGCGGGCGCCACCATCGCGTACGACCGGAACACGCTCACCACGCACAAGGACGAGCAGGACGCCGAGTCGGCCGGCGCGTTCGCCTTCCTGCAGAGCGTGCTGTCGGGGACTTATGTGCCGCCCGAGGGGGGCTGCGTCGTCCGGAACGTGTCGATCGCGAACCCGAACAAGCCCCCGGGCGGTTCGGAGGGTAGTGGCGGCAGTTCTCGGCCGCCGAGCTTCTTGGGCTGAGGTGGTTGACACCGCAGTGCCGACTTTGTGACAATAAGGGCGGAGGAAATAGGTCGATACTATCTTGATCCCCGAAGTTTGCGGGGACATCCATTCCTTTGTAGAAGACAAACAAAGAAAGGTGTCCAATGACCTCGCTGAAAACGAAACCATGTAGTGTATTCATACAATTCATCCATGTAAAAGTCATCGTCGAATGCGTACAAGCCTCGCTGGACACTGCTATTGAAAAGAAATGATACCGTTTAGAAAAGTAACCAAGCTCCAACGAATTGCACGACGGTCATGTTTGTGATTGCTAAAGAGGGGCATCCGGATCCGCGAAAGCAGGGAATCTCAACCCCACGGTGAAAGTCACTGAAGTACAAGGTCTGTTGGGATACGCACTATTAGTGAGTAATGCTGGTTTAAGCGTCTTGTCCAGCAACAGCTTTGGCGTACAGATGAGTGGACATATTCCACTGAAAAATTATTTCCCATAGTATGATTCCTAACCCACACAATGCGTACGGACAAGAATTCAGCCTGATCCTGCATCTCGCCAACGAAGAAAGCTAGATATATCACTTCAGAGGTTGAATTCGACCTGTCAAGTCCTTTGAATGGCAGAGGACTCATCTTTGCGTGGAGAGAATTGGCAGATGCAACAAACGATGGATCAGTTCGCATAGCCCACTGTCACAAGCTAGTCTAGCAGCATATATGAATTATACGGGCATTTGTGTTGTTATTCAGTGGGTTTTACGGCGTCTTACGAAAGCACTCGCATTTTATCGTACTGTGACCACCGGCGGGTCTGGTAGCGCGTTCTTGAGCAAGAAGTCGACCTTGGTAGCAGAGCCGGTATCGTTGGGATCCTGATAGAACCCTACAACCTATCTCTATTGCGGAACCTCATATATCGAGTAGGCCGCTCTTGCTATCCAGATATGGCCATGCATTGCTAAAGAACTGGACCCGTTTCGGGGCGATCAGTTCTTGCAGCGTCCAAGACCGATAAACCCACCAACACGAATATTGGACCGCCGGCGAACCCGCTCCCAGAGTGTCTCGGGTGTCAATATCTCACTCAGACACGCGTAGCATACCATTGTTCCGGAGAAATGGAGTTGATGGCCTCGGACGACTCTGCACTGGACGTCTTATCGATGCAGCACGTGTCGACCCGGACCCCACTCCCAACCATCTTCCAGAGCCTGGAGGCAGCAACTTCTCGGCCCGGGCGAGCATGACGGCAGCCTTCCCACGCCCGAGCGATGCGCACGGTCGCAAGCCCGTAGGGTAGACTCGAGGTTTCCATAGCGACCTGTCCAGGTTCAGTTGTGCGTCAGTGTAGGGCGACGGAGCATGTCAAGATGTGGTATTAGATGGTGAGGCTGGTGGAAATGGGGGGGGGGGGGGGGGGGGGGGGGGGGGGGGCGACTGCCAGGTCGTCCACGCCTCTAGCAAAATTTGATCAAATCAGCAGCACTGCAGGAAGGGGCGTAAATTGATTAGTTACAGCGAAACTTGGAACTCGCACCCAGATCTCAAACGCGGAACTGTAATATTACCATCAACACAATTCTTCATTCCAAAAAGTGTGACAACTAGCATGATTTGCCATATAGTACAAGTTTGAATTGGTCTCTGAAAGAAAATAAAAAATGTATAACTATATGCAAATGGCATTGAAGCGATCAGCCGGTGCAACTCTTGTTGATGCTGGTGACTATCCCCTATCTGAAATCCCGCTTTTCTCATGCTGTCCATGTTCATCAAGCGGTACACGGAATATCAGCACACCCATTGGCGTAGCATTAGAAGATATAGGCCGTCCTCATTTCTGTCCCCATTGACAACCATGCACCCAATTTGTACTGATATACATATAGGCCGCCAGTACTTCCGAGACGCCAAGCAAGCTTTGCTGCTGATGCTGAGGCCGATGGTTTGGTGTGTTTTTGACAAAGGAAAAATATGGATATCGGAAGCAGTCGCAAACCCTTGAAATCGATCTTGCAAGAAAAAGACGAACGCCATAAAAACAAAACCAGAAGCAAGCCTGAACCCCTGTGTCTATGCTTCCATCCGATGCAAGTAAGGGACGGTTAGATTAAACGAGTATGAGACGACCTGAAATGTCATGATTGCGTCGTGAATGTTGCGTGAATGCCAGCAGCGAGCTGGATGCTTTTTGTAGAATGCAGTCCGTCTACAATGTTATCCTCCACTTTCATTTTGTACTCTGGTTGGACATGGAATGCTTCCCCGTCTCGATCCCATCATCATCACCTTCTCCGGTCAATCTCTTCTTGTCGTGTTTCGTGCTGTCGAGTGACAGCTTATCTTGCATAGCTTCTCCCTGAAGCCACATGGCGTTGTGATCTACCAGGGGCCTACCCGGACAGGCGCGCCGTATTGGCCGGAGAGAATCTCGTCGAGGACGGAGGGTTGTTGCTGATCTTGTGGCGAGCCACCAGGACCGCCAACCCAGCCCACATTGTTCGTCATGGCGCTCATGGCACTTGCAAGTCGGCCGCCAGACTGCTGGTTGTGCTTGACCAGAATCTGGTCCCATCCGCCAGAGTGCAGAACAAAACCGCCGGCCTTCTTGGCTGCCTCGTCGATGACCAGGGCCCATGCCCTCGAGATCTCGTCGTAGGCGTTTTCCTTGTGGTGGCGATAGCCCTTGCTCTCCCAGTCCGGGAGCCCGTGGAGGACCTTGGTGACTCCATCCAGGTACTCGAGCGAGATGTTGGCTTGCGGCTCGTTGGGCGGAAGATATTGAGGCGTGAAATCTGCGAGGGCGTCGAGGAGGTTGACCAGCGGTGCCTTGACACGATGGTATGCGTAGTCTGAGCTCGTCTCCCCGTATGGGAATGCAATCTGTAGCTTTTGTTGATACTCTGCCAGAACCTGGAATGCCGATGCTATCGATGGCCTCGGTGCACTCCTCGCCACTTCCTGTCCGATCTCTGGTTGTCGCTCGCATATTTGTTGGAGGACGCTCCGCAACGATGCTGCATCGAGTGTCTCGAGCAGTCTAGGTAGGGGAAGCGGGCGGCCGGCGATATCGTTGGCACGGATCTTCTTCTGTGGCCGGGACAGCTGTCGATTCTGGAAGGCGGGAGAGGAAGACGGGGAGCCAGACATGTCAACGTCGTCGTCGGCCTTTCGTTTCCGGTTGCCAGACATGCTGTTGCTGTTGGTGTTGTTATTGGTGTTGTTATTGGTGTTGTTGTTGTTGTTGTTGTTGTTGTTGTTGTTGTTGTTGGGAAATGGGGACACTGGAAGAAGGGAATATTAGTATTTTTGCTTCAACATGATCAGGTCTTGTGCGTGTTGCTGCAGGATGCAAAGGGCGGCGCGGCATGGCTGGGAAATTGGGCCTCGTCGGGTCCGCAGGCATCAGACGGGGTGGGTGCAGGCTATGGACAGGACAGTCAAGAAGGGAGAAGACAGAGAAGAGGAGAAACAAAAAACATACTAGATCGAGATGGAGATGGTCGGGAGGGGTTGTGCTGGCGAGGGAAGAATGGAGGTTGCGGCGACAGCAAGACGTTCATCGTAGCTCGTATCTCGTATCTCGTGCCCGATGCCGACCGTCGCTGTGAAGACGTGGTGTGGAGTGCAGAGCAGAATGATGCCGCTGGTGATGCTGATGTTGATTGAGATGCCGCCGGGTCGGGCAGGTTTTTGTTTTGTGGTGGGCGGTGGCGGCCTGAGGGAGTCGGCACAGCTGGTGCAATGAATGTCCAAGTTCGTCCGTCTGCTTGACCTTGGTCTAGTTCACCCGTCGGAAGGGAGGTGGTCTTTCGAAAACCAGATTGACTGACGCAGACGCAAGGGAGAAAAGACGAAACAGAAAAAGGTGCGGATGGGAGTGCGGGCGTGAGGGGTTTGAAGAGGTAGTCAAGTGAGTGAGTGAGTGAGTGAGTGAGTTGAGTTGAGTTGAGTGGGTGAGGTTTGTAGATGCCCAAGGATTGAGAGTGCACTCTAATCGGAGAGACTAACCTAGCTCTTGTGCAGGAAGGATTCGAGTTCATTCAAATTCATTCAGACGCAAAGGCAAGTGAAAATGAAAATGAAAATGCCCCCGGGAGTTGGGTCAAGTTAGCCCAACTAGGTACTGTTACATCCCCCATGGTACAGCGCTGTAGCTGAGCTCATTACAGTTGCTTTAGTGCGTTGTGGAGATTTCAATCTGGTTTCAATCTGGCGAGAAAATGCTCTAACCTCACAGTCGTCCTAGACTAACCTAGACTAACCTTGGGTTAAACTGCAGCGTCGGGCCTCGTTCTTTGTTGGACCTTGTCGCTGGTCATGATTTTTGTCCCGTGTGCATTGCAGTAGCCTGCTCATTTTTAGTGCCCAGAAACGTCAGCCGTTTATCGTCCATTATTGGTCTCCTCACCAGATCCTTTTCCTCTACGGACTGCAGTGCTTGGTATTCTTCCCAAGAAAGAGTCTACATGGTACCAAACCAACACTTGTGGACGAATCGCGTGGTCCCAGTCGTGGTCAACCTCCCAAAGTCATCCATCCCACTTATATCCATGCATCCAATCAATCAAGAACAGCTCTGATGCGCAGAATTCGAGGCAATTACCAGCCGCAGCATCATATAGACTCATTACATACACATGTAGCAAATATTGTATCCTCCCGGCCGAGAGTACCCACGTCAAGCCGGACTGCAATGCAATGGCATGGAATAGGACGGCACATCATGATGATGTACCAGTCAGCAGGAATCGTTTGGACTTGCTCTACTCGGAAAGTCCATACGCAAGCAGTGGCCAAACAAACCGTTCCAAGATCCGGTACTGTAAAAATCCAAGGATCATGATTTCTGGATCTCAAGGAAGCACAGATGTGGTGTGACTAGTCGTCCATGCACTCCACATTCCCATCCTGCCAGCATTCATGATTTCCCGACTACCTTGACTTGGCTATGTAAGAGAAAAAAAAAAAAGGAAATGCCAACACATGCAGGCGTCCCAGGAGGCGGCGCTTTTTGGGGAGGGAGGGGGCATCCACACCATGTACTCTGCTTCGAGCTCACCCAGTCAGAGGGCCGGATTGCAAGCTCACCTCGGGGGCCCGGCAAAGAGCATTCTTCAGGAGCCGGGCCTTTGCAAGCAAGCATGTCCCCAGGAGGGGAGGGAGAGGAAACAGAGGGCCGGCCGGGTGCGAATTGAAATGGTGGGGTCTTTGTTGTGGTTGAGGTTCGCTGACCGCCTTTCTACCTTGGATTGAACTTGGGTCTTGTCTATTATAGCTCCGGGTGGTCTAACATTAATCAAATTAACTCTCCCCTCCACCACCCCCGCCCCAGCCCAAACAACAACCTCCCTGCCCAAGATTTGCAGGTAACTTGCATTTGCTTTATCCATGGCATGCATGTCTTCGACTTGTCATAGTGTGTTCATAGCATAGCCTTCAGCACTTGCAGCGCCGGTGAATGTAGCCAATGTTTGAGACTGCGCTCGAGAACGGGGGTGCAGCACCATGATTGCGAAACGTGTCCCGCGGCCTTTGAAGAATCGCCTTCCTCCAAATGCCATCAATGTGCCGCAATTCTCATCCGTGATTCACATCGACTTTTGACGGGCGACATGCAGCTGCCATAAAATGGTACGTATTTTTATTTTATTTTCTATCCCGTGCCCGACCAAACACGTACCTCCTGTCTGCCGCCTTCGGGGAAGGCCTTGGCTACGTAAGTGTTCTGGACATTGGAAAGTCGGACGCTGCGGCCGAAGCGCCAGATCCCCTGATAGCTGCATCTGACTTTGCCATGTGAGGACTTTCGGGCTGCGTGCACGTGACGCATCCCCATCCCGCCTCTGATAAGGCGGCTGACGAGCTAGGTACAGTACAGTATTCAAATTCACTATGATTGTGAGGGAGCGGGCAGCGTCCCAAACCATCGGTGGCAGCAGAGGTTCTTCGGTGGATCCCGCTGACGACAGACCATGTGGGATATCCACAACGGTACCGTCCGCGCCTCTTGCGCGCTAATGTCGTGAGAAATAAGCCGAACTTTAGCATCTACCCCAACCCACTCGTCGGGCAGTCTTTTTCATCGTCGTCAAATGTCAGCGCCAGCACAGCAATCACCCACTTCGAAAGAAAGGAGAACATGATCCCTCGTCGTCAAGTCAGGCGCTTACTTGTTATATCTAATTGAACCAACCAGACTGCCATTGTCCTTCCATCATGGGCATTAGCGTTACCAAGAACAAGAACAAGAACCGTCTTCCTAGAATATCCTCATTCGCCGTCCACATCCGACCTTCCAAACTCTGTTATCAAAAACGGAAATTTTCTTCTAATTTTCCTCGGCCAATGATATCAAGATCTGACATGCTCCAGCCTGCTCACACGAAAGAGAACGCGTGGTGACACCGATCTGATGGACTTGCTGATGACGGGTATCCATGCAGACCGTGTTCGTTGCAAGAGTGTCGAAAACCAGAACACTTTTAATACTCCTCCGTAAATTGCTGGCTTACGAATCCATGCTCTAGTTTCTTGTATGTCCCAAGGTTTCTGTCTGCCTCAACATGCCATCATTATGGACTTCTCGCCACGTGCTCCGACGAACCAGAAAATGGTTGCGGTGGTGATGACCAAGATGAAGGCTTGCCATCCTAGGCCCATCGGGATGCTCCAAGTCCCGTTTGGTAACCGACTCTTCGGAGATGAGGAGGCACTGGACGGCTTTCTTTCATCGTGGTGTTAGTTGAAGGAGTCGAAGGCTGAGCTGCTGTCACAGCAGTAGCTTGGGAACGTGTAACTGACTGGTGTGACTGAAAAGCATGGTTGTCCTCTCGAGCTTGAATAGCCGCGGATAGTAATGTTCTTGCTGCAACTTCTTCCGGTCGCTCAACTGTTATCCATGGTCTAATGTCTGTTTGTGTCTCTTGATTCGCTGTCTGGCGTGAAGAAACTCCACTGCCTGTCGGTGGTGTCGGGCTTGCCTGCCTTGATTGTGTTGGGAGGCGAGGTATAAATGAAGTCTGCAGATTGGCGAATGATGGCGGAGAAAGAGAGAAAGATTGTCGGGCGGAAGAGACTAATTTCTGGGTAAGGAAAGCTGTACCGGGGGCTCGTCCACTGCGAGCATCCTTTGCCAGAGCCAAGCACTCGTTGGCCAGTATCACGGATGCATGCACGCGTCGTGCATACGGTTTCAACTCAAAGATCCGAGTCATGCTGTACTTGATACGATGGCCAGTCTTCAGCTGTCTGAGGTTGTGAAATACCACTGCCGCTGTCTTGATTCTCTCTTCGTTGTCAAGACGCTTGAATGCAGTATGTCTGGCGAGGTGTATTATCGTCACTTGCACGCCAGCTGCGTCATGCACGGAGCCGGATGTGTGAGGTCCCATCTGCTTCATCCAATAGAGTTGCTCATCGAAGGCTCGAGACAACTCGCAGTAATGGGCAATATTAAGTTGACAGAGAATGGCCATCGACTGTACCGTCAAATCGGTCCCCAGAGATACGTTGGCAAGCTTTGCTGCATTGATCGTACTACCTTCTTCACCAGCGTCGACCTGTGCGACCTGCTGCCCAGTGCGGTCTTGGTTGTCTGTCAAGATAAGAGCCGGCTCAGAGGACACCACCGGCTCTAACTTCATGCGCAGCTCTGGTAACGCCTGTTTGATGATTGAACTGGAGGTTGTGGGTATGGACTTGTCTGTGTTGACTGCAGAAGTGGAAGGCAGCTCATACACCATGCCTTGTAAGTCGTTGGCATAAGATGGACCTTGAGAATCTGGAGACTCAAAGCTTGTATCAATCAGCACCTCAGCTGAACGAGAAGGTGTGGCAACTTTTTCTTCAAGTCGTGCTCTTCTTGCTTGCATCTCAGTCTTCTCGTTGGTCTCACAATTGATTTCTCTCTTAACTATGATGTCAGCGTCGCGAGTTCGCGTACTAGCTCTGGCTCGTGCTTCCTGCTCAAGTTCGAGTTCAGCTTGTCGACAAGCCGCAAGGGCTTCCTCTGCAACTTGTCGTGCTTGTGAGGCTTCCTCCTCTTCTTTGGGACGCCCTGCCTCTTCTCTAACATCATGCTGGTCCAAGTCACGAACCATATCACCGAGTGCATCATCTTCTAGGGTTAGTTGATAGCCACACTGGTCTTGATCTTGAAGTAACTCTGTTGGGGCAGACTCAGCCATGAAGGTTGGCAACTGGTTCGCAGGGTGTGCCGTCGGCAGCTCGGTCAGTACGAGCTTGTCGACAACCAGAGTCGTAGGAGTCATAGCTGAGTGCTGTGCGGTAGACGGTTTGCTAACGCAATCCGTCGATTGAGTTGAAACAGGCTTGTCAGTGACAGTTTTATTGTACTCGGAACTACCAGCTAGCGGTAGTAAAGTTGTCAAGTCGATGCTATCATAATCAGTGGGGTTGCCCTGTTCCTCTGTAAAAGGGTACCAAGGTACATCTGACGACTCGAAACGAGGTTTGAGTGCTTTACAGATCTGGCTGAACTCTGCACCTAAGGCAGCGGTATCAACTCGGATTTGTGTGGTGCGAAGGATCTGGCCTGGATGGTCCTGTCTTCGTACCATGAGCCTGCTTCCATTGCTCATTGGGGGAACAAATGCACGAAAGTCCTCTCTGATCACAAAACCATCAGACCAACGAAGTTCCCATATAGCGGCATTCCTGCCCGGATACTGGTAGACGTACATCTTCCCAGAGAAGACCTTTACATTGCCCGAAGACTTGACGGTCCGCGCGGCGCGTATCTTGGCCTCAAAAAATAATGTGGGCTGGGCTGAGTCTAAACTGACAGGTGCAGATTGTGGAGCTGGTCCAGTAGTTGCAGATGCACGTTCCTGTCTTGGGGTTGCAATTAAAGGACTGATGTGAGCCTGTGACTCAATACGGCTCTCATGGGGACGAAGAGGGGCAACTTCATCGCCGTTGGCAATCGCTGACAGAGCGCCGGGATGTGACAAAGTTGTCGAAGTCGTGCAGGCTACTGGAGATACAATGGTGGGAGTAGGTGGAATGTCATTCACGACGGATGCTGCAGGAGATCTGGCAACATGCGAAGTCATTCTCAGGTGGGGAGGCACGAAACCTTGAGTCGAAGCCTTTGCCGCACTTGCTATGCCTCGAGAAGCCGAACGCGCATCTGCGGCGTGTTTTGCGGTAGTACTTTCTGCCGGAGTGGCTTGTAGATGGGGAGTAACTGGCAGACCCGGAGGCGGAATAAGCTGTTCACTATCAAGTCTGTTGACTTGAGTGGTGTCCGCTGTGATCTCATCTTGCAGTGCTGTAGGTGCAAATGACTTTCTTGGGCCGTTGGTGATGGCGCCTCGAGCCTCTCGGTGTCCATCCGGCGTAGCAGATGCTGGCTCCGGAATTGCGTTTGCCAGTGCAGCTTGGATAACCGACCGTTCAGCAGGGCGGAATGAATTCCATTGCTTAGCAGGCTGGTAGTTCGACGTTGAGTTTGTTGTTGAGGCTGCAGCTGGTGTTGGCGACTTTGCTGGAGATGTGTGACTGCCCCACTGCTGGGTTGGGCCATTACTCTCAATTGCGCCCATTGTGATTGCAGGGCCTGACCTATGGTTGTCACTTGTCAGGAAGTCTCGTCGTCGAGGAAGTATGGCCTTCTGTTTACCAGGGTTTCTAACATTCATCAGTTTCTGTCAAGTCAGTGTTTGAGAGGAGACAGCAACTCACATGGGATCATAGCAGGACACATCCTGGCTTCTGCTTTTGTCTTTTATCTCTTGCCAGGAGATAGTCTGGACTCTGTTGACATTCTGGTTTCCAACACGCCTGTCACGGCCAGTACCTGGATGCTCTCTGTTGAGTGCATGAAGACGACCACCAGCAATTGTATCAAGGTTGGATACATTGAGGGCGTCACTGTCTTGAAAGTGGCCGGAAGTGACAGCAACTGATGGTGTGAGCATATGGGAAAGAAAAGATGGACTTCTGTGGGGATACTCACTGTTCCAGCCTCCTGCAAAGGGGTTCGACGGGACTCTAACCTCTTGCTTTTTCTGGTCTGAATGGATGCTTTGGGCGGGAAATTGCAAGCGGCGTGCATCGCGACGTCCATGACGGTCATCCTCCTTCGCAAGTTCCTCCAGACGTTGGTCGCCAAGGTCCATCATCATAGCCTCAATGGCCGCAGCATCCTTATCGGGTTGTGGCGCCATGTTGGCTGTCTGATGCAAATATTACAACTGAAAATCAACAGTAACGATGTAAAATTATGGATGTATTAGCCAGTTTATAGGATGGTGGGCGTTGGGGAAGCACCTCTAGTCTTGCTCTATGCAATGTGCCTTGTTAGCCAAAGGTCAAGTCCTGGTAGGCGGCGGTGATGAGAACATGGGAACGTGAATACTAACCTCTGACTATCCAGTCGCGTGAGACGCAGTTTCGCGTGATGCTATTAACGCTGCTTGTGTATCGGATGGGATCAGATTGTATCAAGGCAAAATTCTAGCGACAAGCACGACCTGAGGTGGATGCTTTGACGCGACTGAACAGGTTGGACAAGACAAGGCTGGAGATTATGAAGCTGTGGTCGTGCAATCAATACGCAGATCTGATGCTAGCAGGAATTGTTTCAACGAGGAATATCGATGCTAACATTCGAAGGCCCAGTCTCTTAGGACGCCGTTACGCTTGATACAGTTGATGCTGCTGTTGGATCGGATGGGATCAGACGGTATCAAGTCAGCGTTCCGACGAAAAGCACGGCCTGAGCTGTATGCTTGACCCAACTGAATGTGTTGTGAAAGATGAAATCAGAGATTGTGAACCTGTGGTCGCGTGATTAATCCGAAAAACTGATGGTAACAAACCAGACTTATTGGCACCTACTAAAGGTGATCTCAACGCGTCGTGGTTGCGTTCTGGGATCCTTGATGTCACAGGTGAATTGTTTGAACAGTAGAAGACTGAGACTGTTTTGTATTTGGGCATGAACAAGAAGAACAAAAAGAACAAGAACGACAACGACGGAAAGTAAGTGTGTTGTGGTTGGGAAAGAACGTGTCTGCTTGGCCGAATAGTCAACCTGAGTTGGTCGACCTACGCGGACATCTACTGTCGTGTAACATACGTTGGGTGACTGGACAGTTGGATAAACTGTCCGAATAAACGTAATACGAGTGAACACCGTGAGTTGTATGGTGGCAGGGATGACCAGGAAGCCTACAATAGATCATTATAGAAACAACATTCGTTCACTTTGCATGCAATGGCCCACTTGTGGTTTCTGATTACTTGCAGTCGTGATACTTCTGGATCTTTGTTTCTCATCTAAGTGCTTACGCGCCGTCTTATCATGGTAAATTTTTTTTTTTTTCAATCTGAACTGACAATACAGGGGAGACGTGTAGCCTCATGCAGTATACATTGCATCACAGATCTCAATGAAGCATTACGAGCTCCGAAGCATATATCTTCTTTCCAGCCCCGAGTTTAGGTGGAGTAAGGAACGCCTATGAGACCTAAGGGGTAATCCATAGTTGACATATCCTCGATAGGGTAGTCACCACTACACAGCCTGTGATAATATATGCCGATCTCTGTCACATCTTGCCATGCATTCATGAGATTCCCTGAGATCCTACTTGACCTCAAGAATTTCGTTTTAAGTTACCGTTATTGACTACTGGGCGACATGATCTCTGAGTCAAGGAAAATGCATAGTTACGAGGGGAAATTATCTACTAAAGAAGTATACCCTCCTGATAACTGGCTCATGATTATGGAAAATATGAATGGTGTATGGACGGGCGTCCCAATTGCATATAAATATCTGTCTCAAGGTTCATGTTGGCCACCTCTGTCAGGCAGTATGCGTCTTTTTTAGGATCCTCAGACCCTTGTTCTGATTTACAATGTGTTCTAGAACTGCAGGCATGAAAGCAGCAAGAAACCGAACAACTGAAGCTAGACCCCCACGCCAAATGTTGCCAGACTTGCCGCTCACTATATCATCGACGATGGACATGGCCACCGCGTCCCGATGCTGCGAACCAGGCTTATGCTCTCCCTGTCGCTGTGCGCTGATGATGCCTTTGACTGATTGGTAGTACGAGTCCTCGGGTAATTGGAGCTCGCCCGCATTGTTGTGAATTGGGGTCTGGACGGCTCCGATCATACCCGTAATTACCTTGACGCCCAGGGGTGCCAGTTCAATCCGCAGAGTATCGGAGAGACGCTCGGCTGCGATCTTGGAGCTGCTATATATACCTGTAATGAACTTGTCAGATCTTATTCGATACACCTAGCATTGGACTTGATGAAAGTTGTAATATCAACTTACCTGCATAGGCAAATGGCATACACGCAGCTGTGGAACAAATGTTGCAAATACTACCCGTGGCTTTGATAAGCAGAGGTGCAAAGGCTTGGGACATTGCCAGTATGCTCCAGACATTGAGGTCGTACAGCTTTTTGGCATCATCGAGGTTGACGTCCAGTAGAGGGATAACAAAGTCGGCACCAGCGTTGTTCACCAGGACGTCCAGAGCTCCGTTCGTTTGCTTGGAGACAATTTTCGCTGCCGTTTGAGCGGATTCGGCGGACGTGGCCTCCAGCTCAATGATCGCGACGTTTTCGAGTTGTGCCAGTACACCGGCTTTGGCTGTGTTACGGAGCGTCGCAAAAACGTAAAACCCCCTGTCGACGAAGGCTTTCGCCAGGGCTTCTCCAAGACCTCCCTCGCTACAGCCAGTGATCAAGGCTGTCTTCCTCTGCATCATGGCTAGCCAGATACGGGCGTTGTTGAGCCAATTGACACGGTGTGCGATGATAAAAAGTATGAGATATTACAGCCAGGGAATTTAAATTGCATGTCGTTCTTCTCGATACCAACTTTTTAGAGGTGCGACCCCTTTAATAATAAATCATTGATGCGCTTGAATAATGTATACAGCCCGGTATCATATAGCCAATCAAACCGTTGACGGGTAAGCTCAGATATACTCCAGAAAGTTTGGCCAATCATATCGTCAAAAGATAAGTAAGCTGGGACATGAATTGTCCCGTGTCAGCCAAGATGAGATGTTCAGGCCACGACTAGCTGTAATGGGTAAAGCTGACCCGGCTCGGCCAAAATCAAGCAACCCATCTCCTCCGATTCCCCAGTGCTCATTTGCACTGAGATGATCTGATGATTTCTACGGATGAATCTTTACTCAAAACACTGCGAAATTGCGGCTCAAATAACCTGGGTTGCGGTATGAAAATAACCCGAGATGCGCGACACCGCCAGCAACAGCCGATTCGAGCCCCAACCCTGGAAGTGGATCTGTCTCGGGAGAGTTGCAATAGCTATCAAGGATGGTTTGTTTGTTGACTGTTGCCGTCCATTACTGACGGTGAAATAGAAATACATGCAGAGTAATCGTGAATGCGGCGGAAAACCCAAGCACTCCCTCAGAATATTACACATAAGTAGCTCGATTATCCATCGCATTAATTTTTTCGTGCCTTGTAGCTCAGATTAGCGCCGTGCTCCAACAATAGCTGTACACCTGCCTCGAAGCCGATGTCCACGGCTGTATGCAGTGGCGTCATACCAGCGTTGTCATAACTGTTGATGAGTGCTGGATTATCGGCACAGTGTTCAAGCATGACTTTTAGCACGCCCTCGCGATTTTCTAGAACAGCGAAGTGCAGAGCACTACGGCGTTGACCGTCATCCCAGTCCATCCGGGCGCCGTGTTCGATCAGAGATGCCACGATACCTTCGAACCCGCTCTTGACAGCATAATACAGAGGTGTCAAACCATCACTGTCCTCCTCGTTACAGTCCATTCCATGCTGCAACAGTACACGAACAATTCGATCGTGGCCTTTCTGCGTCGCAATATGTAGAGGGCTTTGCCAGCTCCTTTCATGCGACGAGCTTGCTTTTACCGAATGCCCTTCCAAGGGATACATAGTCCGTACCGATGCGACAGTTGGGTGGCTGATGAGCCTATCTGATGGGGATGCAGGCTCGGGGCGATGACTCGGCCCGGTCGGCCCGGGCACGCCGCCTTGGACAACATTGGAATTGGCCGGCGGACTCTGCAAACCAGCGGAGAATCTAGCTTCTGCAAAGGTGTTGGGAGTCTGCGAGCTTTCGCTCGAGCCTGATAACGACTGATACGTGGCAGGAATGGCCTTGCCAAGGTAGTGTCCCATTTGCTCACATGCGCGCTCAGAAGTCTGCGGGGTGGGCAAAGAGGTCACATTGAGCTCGGCAAAACTGGCTGTCGTGGCTTTCGAAAGGTTCTCTTTGCTCCAAAAATTGCTTTTGAGCAGCATAGAATTGCCAAACAGAACGAAACGACACCTAGTGGCGCTTGCACGCGCTGTCGCGTTTGGAGCGTTCGCCTCGTGAATGTTGGAACTGTCAGGCAGCGCCACGGGTTCTGACAAGCTGGCGGTCAGCACTGGTGCTGGCACATAAGCGGCGGAACCATCCAAATCAGCTTGACCTTCCTCGACATTGTTCTGTTTCTTGAGCTGCTTAGCCGCTGCCAATGCGGATTTCTGCTGGTCTTTTCTCCCTGTATATGCCAACAGCGATCAATGTCAGCGCTTCAGAGCAAATGACTTTAGTTCAGATACGGCCATTCATCTGGAAGTGTGCAAACGCTTTGTCGGCCCGGCCAGGCTAACATAGCACTGTACTTATGGAGCAATTACTCACAGCGAAACCGACGCTGCGCTAGGCGATTTTGTATGCGACGGCGAGTAACAGGATCATCTCTGTTTGGCTCCATAATTCCGCCGCCTGATTGCGCGGGCTTTGAGCCTTCAAACGAAATGTATTCCAGTGCAGAGTAGGCAGAAGCTTGAGACCTTTTAGAGGTGTAGTGTGCGAAATACAGGATAAGCTACATTTTTCAACAGTCCAGGTAAGCAGTTAACGTTAGCGGATTAGCGGCTGCATGGGTGTACAGTCACATCAACATGCCAGGCAAAACGCGCATGTCCAATCGACTGGCTTGTATCATGACTACCTGCAGGTGTCGTTGCAATCAAAATTCGATACCGGAATACTAATCAATTACGTCGGCGACTCCTCTACAGATTCGGCGAGTTTATGCCCGCGTCTCCGGTACGAATTATTTTTACTATTATTATAACCCATGGCGAAGTCTTCGCTAGGCATGTGTTTGTGTTTCATACTGAACGTAGAAGTTGCACATTTTATTTGTCTGTCATCCATCTATGATAAATGAAGCCTTGGCGAAAAGGCTCTGATCGAATCGGACTTTTGGTAAGCGTGGTCCCAGGATGGCTAAATGACACCTAATTAATGCTAGATTTCGGCATCAATACAACGTGCAGTGCTCAGTTCTTATGAGCTGGTCTATTTAACATAATTCATTCCTAGAGATTGATTGAAGCACTTTGAGATTTGAAAAGAGGAGAAATAGAATTAAATACCAAAGTTTTATGGTGGGTTCGGAGAGCGCGGGCCGAAGCACACCGAATTTCGCAACATGGAGTTCGGATGCCGAGTTCGGATGCCGAGTCCGCGTGCCCCCGCCTGGCAGCTAAACTGGATGCCCCCTAATCTCTACCTGGTATCCCTACAGTATACTCTATATGCTACGATGTTTAAATAAAAGCAACTTGCCAATGGCGGGACCGGTGCTGCCGGTTCGGATGGTCCTGAGACAACAACCATCATGATAATTGACGACACCTCAATTCAGGCGGCCAGTGCGAGCCCTACAATCTCAATCGCACAGGATCGAGCCCCGGCCGCCACTGTACGTCCTAAGTTGCGTGATAGTTGCCATGCTTGCGCTTCTTCCAAGGTCAAATGCCAGAGAGAGAAGCCGACTTGTTGCCGTTGTCGGGAGCGTGGTCTTAAATGTGAATACCTTGCACATAGGCGATCAGGGCGGAGGAAGGGGATCTACAAGAAGAGCGGCACAGCAACTCTGGAGAACGTAACCCCATCTTCCCCAATTGAGCAGAGCTGGCCGACCCTAGACTTCTGGACACATGATGACGCCCAGCTGAGCAACTTGGGCATGAACCATGACTATTATCCATCACCAGATTCGTTTGATCATTCACCCACCAGCTTTGGAATGGGTTTCAATGATCCTGTCACAATTCCTTTAGCATTTCCCTTGGTCAGCCCACCCAGTATAGGACTCACCTCTCCGACCACACCGTCCAGTACTACAGATCAGAGTTCACCCAATACTGGTGGCTTTCCGGATCTAACAGCGGTCTTTTCAGAGCTATGGGAAGACCATTGGTCAACACTGGAAGGCAATCAAATATACCTAGCGGCAAATCAACAACATGATGAGCTTTTACACACCACATCCAACAGCACGTCATGCCTGACACGGGCTTTCGACTTGTTGACACAATTGTCGACAACTACCTCGAGGTCTTGCAGAGCGTGCGACGCGCAGCCTTATGTCTGGGGTGGAAACCGGCCAGTCACGCTCAGCGCTGTCATCGCAGAAAACAGACGAGTGCTCCACGAACTGAGCGAGATCCTACAATGTGAATGCTCACATGACGACGATATATTGACGATCCAAGCCATGATTGTTTCCAAGGTCATGGACTCGTACACATCTGTGTTTCACGCGGATCCAGGCGCCTGCGAGGATGATCTGATCCTACCGTACCCTCTGTCCTGGCGTCAGCCTCCTTTATTTGACGCTTGTCCGAGGTCGCAGCAGCCCTACTCTAAAGCACTGCTTACTGGCGTACGAGAACCGCTACACATAGCAGCGCAATCTGTCCTGGGTGAACTACATCGTGTACAGCGTTTGGTGGCTCAGATGTCAGAGAGATCTAAGAGGATCGCGACAGGGCAAGACGGATCACAAGTATACAATAAATCAAGAGCAGCAGACAAGCCACCACATTTGTCGAGTATCCCATTCGGACCCGTTGAAGCAAATCTGCGGAAAAAGCTAGGCAGTTTATCTTTAGAGAGCATCAACTTGCTACAGCAAAGTGGATCGCCAAAGCGTTGAACAATTACTTAGCGCCAGATTTGAATAAAATTTCAAATTCGATCATGAAATTCAAATGGTAACAGATTTCTACATACGCACTACATTTGGAGAGATTTCCATCAAATTAGAATATTCTTATACAGACGTTGGCCAACGAGAACCTGAGAAAGGAAAATTAGAAGTATTCAATGATCAAATTTGAAAATTTGAAATATCCTTGTTTGTTTTCATGTTAAAAATGAAAGGGCCGAACAGAACCTCCACACCATAAACCCCAGTATACCGTGTCGGTTAATGAACAAAACACTTGTAGGTCCTTGCAACTCATATCCGATGAAGTGTCTGATCTGCAATATCATTACGACTGGCATGTAAGTCATTGCTGGTCGCACATTGTGCTTCGTGGAATGGTTGCAGTGTCCCCACTATCTTTTGTTTGTAAACTTATCCTTCTCATTGACTAGTTCAGCCAAGCTTGTTATTTCATAACCATGATAGGCCTCCGGAAATTTCGGAAGCGTCACATAACCCGGAAATTCACTCTCTTGCGAGTGGGTATGGTTGCCGTCCGATTCGCATTCAAGATGTTACTATGGGGTATGAGGGTTGTCTGATTCGTGTTGAGAGAGCGGTTCGTCGACATCCACTTCAGTTCCACTTCCATTCGGGCTCTCTGCCGTGGAAGGCGTGTCTGGCCTCATACCTTCGTAGTGGTTGACTATGTCGGGTATGTCAGGGTTTAGGAACTGAGCGTCATCGTTATAGATCCAAATCTGAGTTGGATTGTTGAGAATAGTGGCAATGGGTAAGATTTGCCTGTCGCCCATCTGCACCATTAGTTGTAAATTTACGCCGTGGTTGGTGCCCCATCTTTCCAAAACTTGACCGAGGTGGTCTACGTGAAAGTTGCTGTTAATCCCCGCGTGCATTGGTTCACTTTCGGGGCCATCAGGTGAGCTTTGAGGGCCATCAGGTGCGCCAGAACCACCAAGTAAGCTTTCAGGGTCAATTATTGTTCCTTCTAGCCTCAGCTGGTCGAAGATATCCCGCAGGGTCTGCCAGGACGGGAGGTTCATGGCGTTCGCGATGGTCGGCTCTTGATTATGCAAACTATCGTATAGAGCCTGTACTGTCGAATTGTCAGCTACAAGTACGTATATCGTATGTGAAACTGTTATGATGTTGCGATCGGTAGTTTTTCCTGACATAGAATAAATGTAGAAGGAAAAGTCTTACAGCCGCATTGAAGATTTTCTCCACTATTAAAGACAGGCGTCCAACCGTGTTGGAACCGGTGGTTCCTTTGAAATTCCAATTGATGTTGAATTGTCATATCCGGACCTATCCCAGGGCCAGGGCCACCGCCGGGGGTATCACCAAGGCGATCATCAGGGCGACCACCACCATCATCAGGGCCGCCACCGGGACCACCAGGTTCAGATCCCGATCGTGGACCTGACCATTGTGAATCTGAAGGCGGCGTACGTGGAGGCGGAGGGGCATTGAATAAGCGGTCTCTGATCCAGTCTCTGACTTCGTCATCTGTCTCGCCCAAATTATCATCTATTTTCATTTGAGCCTGAGCAAGAAGGGTTTCCAAATCTGGACGGTCGCTCGGCTTGTGGTACATGCACATCTCCAAGGTATCCCGCAGTTCTTTGTCGACCCATGCGTATGCTAAATTGTCCAGTATTTCGACGCAGTAGGTTATAGGCCCGCTGTAACCGGCATCGACAAGAAGTTGATTTATTTTTTTCCTGTCCCCGCCATCTTCGATGATAACTTTTCCTCTCTGCTCTTTCGGTATTTGAGCTTCTGGTGGCTCTGGCGGATATGCTTGGGTAATGAGGCTCCACATAGTCTTGATCGTGTTAGCGACGGGTTCCAGTAAGTCATGCTATCAATGGTGGTTGGGTTTGGTAGAGTCTTTGTTAGATTCTTACCCACGCTATTTGCCAGATATTGGTTTTGCAGCTATAATTACCCGCAACGTCGTCGAGGCCTGCCTCGTCTCCGTTTGGGTCCTCGGGTATCAAACTGGATGTCTTAGTTAGCATCAAGTATCATGACTTGCATTGTGATAAAAACTTGTGCTTGACATTCGGATGTACTCAACAATACTTACTCCCATTCGCTGCAGAATTGTTCCTGTCAAACGTCAGCAAAATGCTTGGGGTTTCCAACCAGCAAGTTCTTACCGGTGCATATATTCCACGTTTGCCCCACGTCCTCCTGCGATGATAGTAGATACTATGTATCAATGTGAGTCCAACTTTCCTGGAAGCCCTCCATACTGTACTCACTTGCGTTTATATGATTTGATGCGATCTGCTGTACCAAAGTCGGCAACCTGACGTCCCTCGATTATTAAATATTCTACGATTTTGGAGCGCCGGGTGTTATTATACCTTGAGTCGTGGGACTAGTTCATGCTCGCCTTTGAGGCGATCTGCCCTAGGTAGTGTACTGACTAGAGATCTGATCGTTTCGCCCTCGCCCCTGTCTAGCGTGGTCTGCCACTGCGCAAGAGCTTCATCGCTAAGTTCGAAATCACCGATGAAAACTGGATTTTTGTGAGTACTAATGATATCGAACGTGAGAAAATAAACAGTACCTACCATTCGACGGTTCGATATCAAAGTGGACAACATTATTTGCTTGATTTCTCAAATCCTGCGTATGCGGCACACTCTCAATCCAATCTCCTTGCTGTGCTAGAAAGTTTAGATGGTCTTGTGTTGTCGGGTCAACAGGGGAAATTCCGTGGCTTTTCAGAGTCCTGCCCATTCCTGGCCGAATGCTGAAAACGTTATCAGGCCTGTTTGGGTGAAAGCGTTTTGGTGGATACTCCATTCCGATGCATGCCCTGACCACTACACATTTGTTAGAAAGGTCAACCGTTACCATGAGACTCCGGCACCACATACAACATAACCAGAATGCCCATAAGACTCGATTTGGAATTTCGACTAGGTCGCCGCCCCCTTCCTTGACAAGTCTATCAATCAGTCCTCCCAAGCTACCATTTTGCATATATTCAAGTAGTATAAAGTCTCTCCGATCGCTGATGCGAGCTTGCTCGTCGTCGGTCTTCAACATATTCTTTCTTCCATCGTACAGGTTTTTGTGTCTCTGCTTATGTAATTTCCAATGATATGCTGATCTCTCGCGTCTGGGACGTGGGCGCAGTGGCCTCCGCCGTGTGCGCGGACCAGGCCTCTCTTCATCAGTCAGTTCATCATGGGAAGAGTCATCCGACGGTAAAGGATCAAGAGCCGGTGCCTGACGTGCAAGGTTCAGGTCCTCGGGCTCCATCATCTGTATACAATGTGCAGAGAACCTTTGCCTCTAAGGGTAGCCCAGTGATTAGCGAGTAGATCATGTAACGACTCAAGGAACCTACTGACTTTAGTAGCTCGTGCTTCAAGCCGCAACTCCTGGGAATCCCAGGATTGGTTAGCAATTTTCACAACGACGTCTCCATCCAGTAGTGCTGATGAGCCAGGCCCACTATAGTTGAAAAGTATGGCTATACCAGCACCTCCCGCGCCAAGAACCCTTCTCGCGACCCATTGTGGATCTCTGGCAGTGAACCACCGGGTACATTTTCTCACGCGATTCTGAAGAGGCCGGTCGGCATGATCGCGTGGAATTCTTGCTCCCAATAAATCGTACGAAAGCCTTGATGGCGCCTCATACATACCAAGCGGGAGCACTTGTTGCACACCATCGAAGACTTCAGGATGCTCCCTTGCAAGCACGTGATAGTGCATATATTCTGCTGGCTGTCGAGGCGCATTAGGATTGGCCACAGAGGATCGGTACAGGCTGAATCCATGATTCAATCTTCTGACGTTCCTTTGATAGTTCGCATAGTCTATTAACACCATATTTATGAGTGGGAGTAGGTCTAGGTTTTGATTAACAGACCATCACCATGTGTGTGCGGAGTATGATTGTGTGGAAGTTTGCAACAGGTGTAACCCAGCGAGTCATTACACAGCGGACAGTGAAGCTATTACAGCAGAACATGTTGTCAAATCTGAAATGCATAGTGGCATTGTGGCATTGTTCATCGTGGTTGACAAAGGATTTCTGCAAGCGGAAGCGCGAACGTCGCAAAAGCGGAACTGGTTAACAATTGATGGGAATTGGGTGTTGCTTCGCAGCCAGCCAGCTCGCCGCGCGCTTTCGCTCCAAATCATACCGTGACTCGGGGGTTCAAACATCACACGTTGAAAGATTATAACGTGATTTGCGGTTTCGCGCGTTGTAAGATCGTAACGCAATTTACGGGGTTTTAAGTCTAAATAGAGAATGCCAACCTGGGGGAGAATTAGCCGGATTGGTTATGTAATGAAAGTCAGCTCTCTTTACACGTCGGGTATGATACTATGCATATGCAATACACGTTCTGCTTTCTGAGCAAGAATCGCCTAGGTTAGTCGCCATGGCCGATCGTGATCCTTGTCAAGTCATATGTTCTATAGCCTAGTCTGGAGATAATTGGGGAATGGTGGAAAAGCAACAAATGTTCCGAGATGAAGTGCTCACATGTACGCACTACAGACACCAGAAGGGGCCACACGAGCGCATGCATGTATCAAGTGGAAGGACAAAGCTAACGAGCTGGCAAAGTCCTGCTCAGGGAATCGCACAGTACATAACTAGAAGTTATTGTTCGCACATATGTGAGATCTCAAAGAATGGAAAGAAATGCCCCGTCTACGGATCCGCACTCATGGTGAGACGACGAGTGGAAATGATGGCCAGAAAGCCTCGCCCTCCTTTTTCGTGCAGTAGAAACAGAAACGCTTGCTGCTTGCCGTCCGAGTCCGGCTGCCAGGTAGCAGGGAAGCGTGCGCCAGGCTGCTCAGGCAAGCCTTATCTCGATGTGCTGCGCGGGTCCGTAGTACATTGATCCCGTACTGGAGACTGTAATGTAATTGCACAGCGGAGTAACCCGAGTCCAGCGGGTTCTCCGTGGTATCCACCGCACTTGGAGCCCATAGCGGCGGGAAGTTCCAAGCCTCGGATTTTATGGAAACCATCTGCTTGATTTCCATGAAACTTTAACTTGCCAAGAATTCAACCACAGCAGGCACATATCAGTCGTCAATCGAGATCAGAACCAGGATTTGGAGTGTCTCCTCGTTTTGGATAGCCTTGGCCGATGATACAAACACTGCCGGCGGCAAAGCAACGTCTCGCTATTGAACGCCATCTTTCCGGGGGCCTGGACCCTGGCACTAACCTTAGACCCTGGCACTGGGTGCCAGGCGCTAAGGCGCAGCTGAGAGCGCATAACAGGGAACACCGACATGGAGTAGGGAAATCTCTGTCAATGGAGTGTGCCTCAATTCAGAAGTCGCTTGAAGTACGGTGTTAGATGCTCCAAACAAGACGATGGATGACCAGCAGTGTACATGTGTAGCACGCACTTTCCGACCGATCGTGGCAATGTGCCAAGAAAGTGACATGAGTTAGCTGTCAGATATCAAGTTCGCAGACAAGATCCGAAAAACGTGAGCTGGACCGCCATCCTAAACCACGTTCCCGACAAGGGTGTTCGTGCAGGGTGCCATGTTGATCCTAACCTTACTGCAGTTGTGGGGATCGCTTAACATGTCCACAACCCCCGGCTGCGAAGGAGTCGGAGGGTAAATGGCCATGAGCTGATGAGCTCCTGATCGACTGCCGGCGAAGGCAATTAACCGGCAGCATCGCATGCGCAGAGTGTTTCTGCTCTTTCGCTCAGACATGCAGTCTCTCCATTACGCTCCTGGATTCTCTTTTATTTACTTTCCACTAGGTTAGATCAAATCCCCAAGCGACGACTGTTTACGAAACGGTATTTTTTCTTTTTGACCATGCGACAGCCGCGCTGGACGTCTGGCTCGGCAAAACGTTCTTAGGCGGTAAACGACAAGAATGGGCATCATGAGGCGACAAGAATCTTCGAGCATAGCTGAAGCGCCGGCTGCGGCCGACTATGCGAGCATCAGGGCGGTTGTGGCATGTGCAATCATTATGAGCATTTTCTCGACAATATTGGTCTGGTTTCGCATATCCATACGACGATCACGTACTCATTTGGCGCTGGAGGATTGGCTTATTATCGCATGTCTCCCCTTCATGTACGCCACGGCGACGACCGCGCTATTGGCCGTATATCAAGGAGGCCTCGGGCACTCTATCCTGGAGCTGGTCCTCATCGACCCGAATATCCTCACAGTATCTTTACAGGCAAGTTTGAAGAATTTCAGCCTACGGAGCTACAGTACTGATTTTTCTGACTATCGTCACAGTGTCTATTGGCGGTGGAAATACTCTATGCCAACTTAATCACGTTAATCAAATTATCAGTTCTTGCGATGTATCGAACCATCTTCCCCACGTTCCTGGTCAACAAAGGCACGTACTGTCTTGGCGCCGTAGTCATACTTTGGTGGCTGGCAGTCATGCTCGTAACATTTCTCCAATGCCAGCCCTTGAGCGGTGTTTGGGATCCTTCGACAATGGCCACCGCGCAATGCATGGACAGACTAGGATTGTTTTTGGGCAATGCCATTCCCAACATAGTCATCGACATATTAATCTTGGCGCTACCTCTTTATGAGGTAGCAATGCTGCAAATGACTATGGTAAAGAAGGGAGGCGTTTTCGCAATATTCCTGCTTGGTGGCGTGTAAGTCTGCCCATGTTTGCTTGCTTACTGTTGCACATTCCTGACGGTGCTCTAGTACTATTGTGGTCAGCGGTCTCCGGCTGCAAAGCGGTCTAAGTCTGCTGGGCGATCCCAGTTCAGATATAACCCGTAAGTGACGAATACAGCGGGCATCTGATAATTTACGTCGACTCTAATACGTCCAGTTATGATTGGTCCTCTCTGGGCTTGGACGGTTGTGGAGCCAGCAATGGGTATAGTGTGTGCCTGCCTTCCGACTGTAGGGGGACAACTTGTCAGCATGGTCGTAACTTATCTCACGACTCCGAAGCCGACACAACGCAACGAATCTGTAAGCAAGAAGGGCAGTTTTAGGACTATCGGCGGTAGCTCGTCGAAGACTGTCCACCGTCCCACATTGTCGAAAGTCAAAGGAGATAAAGGCACAGGTTCCTTCGAGAGGCTGAAAGATGATGCTGGTGAGCCGTCCCCAACGGATCTGTGGCCCCAGGGTTACCAAGTAGAGCGAGACACCACCGTTAGTGGCAGACGATCACCAAGCGAGAAGGGCGACGATATACCATTGACTAGCATAACGGTGAAGCAAGAAATGAGGTGGACAGAAAGCAAAGCGGCACGCCAGTCCATGGTAATTGAGCAGTAACAGTACTTACAACACATAATAACAGTCTAACGCGGAAGGTATCATATTTCAAAGCAAATTTCGAAGGGGTTGATTATAGCGAGTGATTCGACACTTGACGAAAAAGCGTATATTCGGCGCAACAGCTTGCAGAACTTCAGTCTACTTGATGGTTCATGATTTCCAATCAAAATAGATGCGTCTTCGCACCCAAACGCCCAAGCCGAAGGTATTTTTTCGTGCATCTAAGATACGTTGTCGCCTGCATTGCCAAACCAGCATATGGAGAACTGTAGAAAGAATATTTCACCCACTTAGCGGTATTATCAATCCGCAAGAATTCTGCCACGAAGTCCCGGAGAGGTCCCCCTCGTTCTACACGTGAGTTTCTATCCTCTGCGACAGGCAAGGGCCGGACGACGGTGTGCTGGCGCAGGACCTTGACATAGAACTACGACAACACCAGGCGTGCGGCATTACGAACAGCGCAGCTCCGATCTGTGAGTCCGAAAACCATTCGCGGGTCCATGCTTGTGCTGTGGTCAGAGGACGGCGGATGTGTGCGGGGCTCGCCCTGCAGCCCACGGGCTCAAGCTGCGTGTGTCATGGACAATCTAACCGTTGCTGTCATGATTCGTGGTTGCTGGAACTGGGACTGATCATGTTGGACTGAGTACAACTGCTTGCGTACCGCCCATCAATAATGCTGGCCAAAGAGGCTGACATCGCGATATCTTCGTCTGATTCATGACTACGTCGTATGTGCAGTACGACGCTTTTGTTTGATGCAGCCTGAGTGTCGGGTCTTATCATCAGACTAGGCCCGGTCTCGAGGACTCTTGTTGCGATTTCAAGCTCCGATAGGCTGGCTAGCGCTAGAGACTTACCTGTTCAACGACCACTGACTAGAATATTCTACAATATTCTGTGCGGTCTGTCGGGCTGTGACTCGAAGTCGTGGGCTTTGGGCGTTGTAAATGTGGTTCGCAGTGTTGAGCAATCATAGTGGACGTGTACCTGTAGAAAATTCTGTTCATTGTTACAGCAATTGTTTCTCGTGAATGGACACAATGTACTCCGTCAAACCACATGTCTTGCTGGCTGCTGCCTTGATATAGGTCCAGATATCGTTCTCAGTGATTTTGGATAATGCAAGCGTGGCTTTAGGTGTAATATTATCGAAAATGTGGCGGATCAAATCAGCCAGTCCCACTGCCAACGTTGCGTTATGTGTTTTTGAAACACGACGCCGGCATGATGGCGAGAAACTGAGGCTGGGTCATTTTTAGCAGATTGTGCAATTGTTTATGCTGTAATTGACGCCGTGATTGACGCTGTAATTGACGCTCTGAGACAGTCAACTCCATCACTCATCACCTTGTACTGATTTATCTAGGCAATAGCTGTTCCAAGTGGTTAGAGGAGCGTTAGAGGTAGACAATGGTCATCTATGACCGAATCCTTGTAACGGTTAATGAAAAGCACCTGCAGGGTACTAGAAAGCCCTGGTACATACTATTGAACGACTCGGGAATAATTTGTCATAGATTAAAGAGAACAGAAGCAGGAATTTCTGTTCTCGCAGTAATGCTGGAATAAGTACAAATGGAACTGCCACGGCTAACATCGCTTCAATTGCAGATCATCTGTTGTATTACCCGCCCCTGTGCACGAGTATAATTACCATGCAGAATTAGCGAGCGTCTGCTCTGCTGAAATATTCTCTAGGTATTGCTGTAGCAATAACTGGTTTCAAATCGAGCTATCGCCACGGCCTTGCTCGAAATCATCGTACAAAAGGCGCTTGATCTGCAACGAGGACTTTGAACAAAGGTTTCAGCTAAGCAAGATAAAAGTTTGTGGGTAGCCTAAACCACCAATTTATTCGCAGAGTAGACTTCTCGCCTGGTGTATGCTAGGGAGCTGAGCCAACGGCGCACATCCCCTCGGTTCGAATGGAGAAATCGCCCTTAAAGAACTTGTTTGTCCGACGTGACTGCTGATAAGGATGGTGTTACTAAGGCCTTATATATACGCAAGACCGAAGAATAACTCTATATAGGGCGAGAGAAGTCCGCAAGAGCTGATATCCGTTCGATCGCAGACCACGCAGGTTCTCATCGACGAGCAAGCGAATGTTGATGCGATGAACATGGATGGAGAGCTATGAAAGCCACCATGTATCTTCAGCACCTTTACTGGTGGCGTATTCTGCATACTTGGCATTTACGTCGTTTTTCTGCTTTTGAAAGAACTTGAAGAAATCATCAAAAGCCTTCCTTCAGGAAGGCTTGACGCATTTGAAGTACTCCTCCAAAAACACTGTCTGGAGAGCGTACCTAGGATCAACACAGCTGAATCGTGGCACCATTTCACGTAATCTCAGCACCTTTGTGGCCAGATTGAGAAAGCTTTGCTGCAATAACCAAAGTAGACGATGCACCGGTAATTCACCAAGTGGAGGGACCTGACGCTGTTACCATGCTGATAGATAAATGTATTGGTTGACGATTATTGTGTTGTGGATGATGGTTACGAGCATTGGGGTCAGTTGAGCGGGGATCAACAGTTTAATGATACCACATGCAGTAGTCATGAACAAGCTGTTATGTGTAAATTAACTCGAAGTTGTTGTTTTTATGAGTCGTGCTAACCTGAGCCTGCCGTCTCCCCCCCCCCCTACCCCCAAAAAATCTTTTTTATTATTCTTCTTTTTCATAGTAAGCAAAGTCGCATTACACAAGCATATAAGATAGAGCTTATTGGCGTACGAACAAGTATTCATTCGCGAGTTGTAACGACACAGTATTAGTTGTGTGTATTTTCTTGTTACCATTATGCACAATAATAGAATTTCCCCTGTCGATCGAACCAGTACTTTTGAAGCTTATGTATTGGTCGTTCTGGAAACTCTCAGAGCGAAGTGGAGTTACGACAAGCAACTGCCGGTGGGAAGATCCATCGCGTTGCAGGGTGCTGAAATGAGAGCAAAAGGCTGGCGGTGTGAGATGTCTAGATTTTACTGAATCGGTTCACCTTTTTGCTGAAGAGTTACGCGAAAAGCACTCGGTGTATGAGCATGGAAGATATGTGTGTTGAGTGCGAAGCATCAACGACGCCGACCGGCAACATGTCGGACTGAGCACTGCGAGCGCGTCACACAGCAGAGCCGCATCGTACTGGCGCTTTTCAAGCTTTGAGCCGGGTTACCTCGCCGGGCTATTCTTGGATCCGAGGTCTAGGAGATCGACATACGTCTTTCCCATTCCCGGACTTGATGTGGACGTTGAGGACCCTTGGACCCATAAACTCTTGGTGAGAGATTTCAAAATTAAGGCAAACTTAAGATTTCTACTGTAATCTGTACACTACAAAGGCTGTCGACCCACTATTCAGCCCCATCCGCCCTCGCACACGCTCAACCGTCGATTGATTTACCGTCGCGATGATGGAAGACTACAACGTTCAATCGGTATTCAGGCACGCATATGGTCCGTGACAACGTCGTCAATGCGCTCATACCAAGGAAAACGCCCGGATTTCCGAGTTGGGATGTGTTGGAAGCCGTTGCCACTGCCGCTGGTCACGCGGATTATCCGGGGTCTCCAGAGCTCTTTAACCTTACTTAAGTTATGCCTCGATGTGATCCACTATCACGAATGAAAAGGGCTTGGCAATAATTAGAGGGCTGGAGGGTAACCGGCACTGAACCCCGACTACCACAGCCAGACTTTGATGATTGAAGCTACACGGCCGCGGCACAAAAAGGGCCTTACTCAATTGAAAGCGATCAATATGAAACGAACCAAGTAAAGTTCAGATTCCCATCAGCTCGAGACTTCTAGTCAAAGTCATCATTGACGTTACAGCGAGTAATAAGTATGTGTTTTAAGCCTCGCGCTCAAAAGCACCTACTGTAAAAAGCGCGGGTGCATGACGTCGGAGCCAAGATTCGCTGCTGGGCCCCCGAAATGGTAAGCGGGCCGGATACGAGATGATCAACCTGCGTCATGGGTTGCAGGTTACAATGCGGTTTGTGCATTAAACGTTACAGTGGAAACAAGCAATACTATGGAGATTATTACTAACTCGATCGCCTCGTTTGGGGGTGGTTCTCGAGTGAATATAAGAGCTCAGCTCCCTCTGCCATTTGATGTTCGTTCGATATCAAGCATCAGCAAACATTCTTAAACACCAACTCACAAGCAACTCTCATTCCACATCTAATATCCGTCTTCGACCAGCATCAAATCAAAATGAAGTTCTCCGCTGTCATCGCTCTCGCTGCCTCAGCCTCCGCTGCTACTCTTCAGAAGAAGCAGGCTCAGGAGTATCCTATCGGCAACTTCTACGCCGACTGCATTCCTCACAGCACCTTCTGCTCGTAAGTCGATTCACCTGCTACCAAATACGAGACGTATCTAATCAGTTTACCAGATACAACTTCACCGTCACCTCAGACCCCGTGCTGCCCGCCAGCCACTGCGGTGCCTTCTTGCAGGGCCCCGATCAGCTTCCTGAGATCAAGGACGGCTCATGCCCCGACAACGTCGCCTACACATGGTCGTTCACCAAGACCGCTGATGGCGGAGCTGACTTCGCCATCTGGTACGCCTTCAACTCGCGCAGCAACATCACATACTGCCACTCAATCCCTGCCGACGAGATCGTCACCGAGAACAACGGTGCTGTCCAGACCCAGCACTACCGTGGTCCTCAGAACTTCACTGCTTCCATCTTCGACTGCCCTTCCACTAGCGCATAAATGTGCATCGCTTCATAGAAAGGGGGGACGCGTGAGATATAGGGGCTTGATATATCCCGACACCTGAGAGATCACTGTTTAATAAGGCTGTACATAATACTATTCTAGACAAAAATACCCATTGATTGATTACTCTCCGAACTCACATAACTTGGTACAAACATGATTCGCAAACCTCGCCAGGATTGTTTTAACCAACTATCAAAAAACTTCTGTTCCTCTACCTATATAGCACGTTTTCTTCAGATCGCCTTTACGGTTGATGCGTCCAAGCGCTGTGAATATGCTTCGAATTGCAGAGCTCTTTGGCGTAATCACCTAGTCTCCATATAAGACCGTAGTTCTCTCGTAGTTCTCACTGCTCTCGAAACGGTAAGCCCGGTTTCATTGTTCTGTGTATCGAGTTCAGCTTTTAAACCATCTGAGCAACCAGTATTAGAGCAGCTGACAGTCTGCTATGACGCACCATCATACGCCCCGAGGTAGCCTCTGATGAACTTTTCCATAAGTACTCCTTTACTTACATCACCTACTTCTTCAAGCTTTCTCACCACCCGATAGTCGGCCAATTTCACAAGTACGACTCCGCCTTAAGACTCGACTCTTCTTAAGCCTGCCCATGTTGCTGGTCAAATCTCCATCTTTTCTTCCTTTCTTCGGCAGCTTTCACAGCCCAAAATTTGGGGTATTGGGCTGCTGGATAATTATCCTGCATTAACATGTAGGATCGGTAGTACAATGTATCCACTCGCAGACCCCCTAGAAGTCGCGCACATGCTTGACTGGATGCGAAGCATCCTAGACAGCCGAAGTAAGTCAGAGTCTCGACCGTTATGAACACTATCCACCAGCACAGCACAATACTGAGGACAAAACAAAAAAGTTCATCGCGAAGATTGTCTCTGGAACGCGCAGCTGCAGCTCATTGGTTGCAGCGCCATCCTGGCGCACATTGGGGAAGATCTCCGACACCAGCCATGGACCAAAGCTGAGTACTCAAATGTGCAGTCCAAGGCGACGCTATTCCTGTTCCGAATGGACGGGCTTGCGAGAATGATCGGGCGCGTTCTGCGTCAATACATCATGCTGAGGTTGACAATCGAGAAGCTGGAGGGTTTCCGGTTCGTCCAGCGTGAGGTTGACGCCGTGACGGATCTTATGGGGCAGTACTGGGAACTGAGGAGCTTGGCTAGGTAAGTTGACGTTGAGCTATGACGGACTTGCGTTATTAACGTGCTGACTATAGGAGTTTGCGCATCTAGATAGCAACCATGCGCGTCTGGAGTTGGCGGCGCATGAATTCGCTTGGGGGCATGGGGGACTAGGCATTGAGGTAAATTGTTATAAGGAATAAATCACAGCATCAAATAGGGAGGTTTTTTTCTTCTTGTTTTCTTTTTAGCATTAAGCCCATGAACTTAGAAACGCGTGAGATTGGCAATGACTTCGTAAAAACGGACAACATGACAAGCCATCCGACATGATGGATGATTTCTTCAGATCGCACTGTATGTCGATTATCATCGGTGGCCGGCGTGAGTACCATTCCGCGATAGGCCGCACAGGACATCTTGAGACACGAGTGGCCAGCTGTAGTCTTCAAAATTTTATAATCAACCAAGGTTAGCTTGGTGACCTGATTCAGAAATATGAGAAGCCGAACAAGTCTGCTCGGTGAAGCTGACAAATTCTTCTCCCGGTTTCCTTTTGTTTTGATATCAGGATGTTGGCCCAAATCATGGTCAGGCGACTACACATGTAATATGAAGCAGATTGACGAAGTCTGGAATTGGTTGTCTGCCGTCAGGACGCATGTCAAATGAGTCAATCAATGGCCCTGATTGGTGTATTCAATGTGATCAATTGATTTGCCATTATGGATTTGTTCATGTCTCATGTGTCCTTGCCATCGCTAAGCTTCTGATTCACCGAGTAAGCAGTCATCAGTGTTCTGCCGCAAGTCTATTATGGGGACAAAGAACGGACATCGAACTTACCTGTAATTTTTCAACATCATAACGCAACAATTACAAACACTCACCTGCTCGATTTCACGACATGACAAACTTCCTCGTACACTGGGGCCTGACCTGGGGTGTCCTCTTCCGAGTCATTCTGTACCTCGGATATTACTATATTGCGGCAGATGAAATAGAACCGCCTGACGTGGCAGTTGAAGTGGCCGACCATGTCATTTAGGGCATGGCAGAATCTTCGAAGAGACCGAGATGTGACATGAGCACGAAGTACAGTTGACGTTTAGACGAGATGGTAGTTGTGGTACAGATATTTTCATTTCAGCCGTAATTATCATAGACTCTATCTTTCTTTCCCGTGCGAGATGCACCAACCGAACCTCTGCTGTAATCAAACAGGAAGATCCACTTCATTCTACACCTCGTACTCAACACGTTTTTGTATAAGTGGGCGGATCCCCAAAACTCAGCAGGCGGATAAAAATATCATTGTGGTATCAATTGATCAAATGTGTCCAGAAATACAAAGGAAGAACATTGATGTTAAAAGCAACATCATTGTGTGCTTGGCATGTTAAAAGTGTACGCGTCGAGCTCTTTTGTTGGTCTGTAAGGCAGCGGACGTATCCGGCAACGCGCTCCCTGCAGTGAGGTTCGTCGTTTTGTTGCAGCCGTAAAATGAGGTGTCCAATGTCCAGAAGTAGAAGAATGTTTATACACGAAGTAAAGTTGTTGAGAAATTAGTACGCAATGGACTTCTTGCGGCGTCCAAAAACAGACGAAATCCCACTGCTGAGTCTAGGTTCGGGTTGCGCCACAGGCGCCGCAATGGCTGACGGTGGGGGTTCAGAGTCTCGGAGGAAGCTGGCAAGGTCGGATGTTCTACCCATACCGGAAGATGTGGCGTCCCTAGGTTCGTATTTCTTCATCAAAACTCGGCTCCCAGACGAGCTGCTGACCGCGCGATTTGCCGACGGTTGCGGCTGATTACTGAAAGCGGCAACCGAGTTGGGCATATGGGCACTGATAGGAACATGTCCTCTAGCACTACCCATCTGGCTGCTAACTGATCGTGGGTTGGTCGCGCTGGGCCCGTTGTTCTTCGTCGCCGATGACGAACCTGAGCCTGCTGACCTGAAACGGGACATCAGACTTGGTGCGCTGGCCTTCTTCTTCGGTGCCGGCTGTGGTGCCTGAGCGGTGATAAACGGTTGCGGTGGAGCCGCGTTGCTGGGAGGCGCATAATTGTTTAAGAAGTCGATCAAGCTCTCCTCCTTCTTGGGTTTGGGCTTGGGCTGGGGAGTTATGTCAAAATCATCATCATCCTCTCCTTCCTCCTCGTCGCTAGAATCAATGGCGTATGGATCGCGAACTCTGCGTTGTTTTCGCTTCGGCATCATGTCGTCCTCGTCAAATTTGTTTGTGTGGTTGGTTGGCTTCTTGGCCTGGCTTAACAGAGCGCTTTGCGAGTTGATGGACGAGGGAAGCGAAGTCTCCGTCACAGTAGTTGAAGCGCGGCTGTGCCTGACCTCGGGGATAGTGGCGTCAATTGCTTTTCCTCCGCCAGCTCCAGACATTTGCATTTGGTCAGAGTCCATCGTGTTGCGGAAGGGAGCGACATTTCGCGGGATGCGGGGATTGCTGCCAGTGGTTGGAGGGCCCCGTCGGATGAAATCAATCAGATCCGAACTTTCATTGGAAGTGCTCACCGCAGCATCTCGTGCTTGCAGACGAATGCGGTTGAGAGAGCCCTGTCGAGGACGGGTGGTATCCGTGCTGGAAGTTTGGCTGACTGATCCGCTGGCATTTCGGGCGTGCTGCATCGCACCACCGACAGGAGTCGCTCGAGCATTTGAGACATTCCCGCCTGCGGGGCCCGTCGAGCGGATGAAATCTGCAAAGTCAGATACCGATTCACGGGGAATGCGCGCATCTCTAGGCTGACCAGATCCAGCCGCACGGGCGTGGTAGTTTGCCATGGAGACAGGGGGGGCTCGAGGTACAGGGCCCGCCAGCTTGCCGTTCGACTTGTTGCCTTGGTCTGGGGGGTGTGAGTTCAGGCCGGCCGATTTGGTGACAGACAGAGACCGCTTGAGAGAAGAGGACCTAGACCGATCGGCTTGCTTGACATCTTCACTCCTGCGAGATTTATGCTGGACGATCGGGCTGCCGGAGCGGTTGGGCTGTTCCACATTGTTAGCGGATTTTACAAGAAGATGTAACCAAAGCAGTGCATCAACTTACGGCATCGATATTGCGCATATTCTCGGGCGTGAGAGTGTACTGAATTGTTTGGTTGTTCTGCAGCAGCTCTTCGAAGTTTTTGGCTACATCTTGAGGGCGCTGAGAACCACCGTCCTCGGAATTTCGCATGGGTTTATACTTGTTCGAGGTCGATGAAGAAGGGGAGTCACTAAGCTTGGGGCGCGCAAGAGTGGGCGACTCAGGAGAGCCGCGCGTAGTAGCTGGTTGCGTGCGGTCGATTGAAGGTTTCCGTGCGGAGCTCTTCTCTGGGACTGTAGGTAACGGCGACGGATACCGCTGCGGCTGGTGGTATGATTGCTGGTATGATTGTTGCATGGGCGCCTTTTGTGGTACCTCGGGTTTAGTGTCAAGGTCGAGGAAAGACCTGCCTCCAGGGGCTGAGTTGAGAACGGTCACCTTTGTATCGTTGGCTGCCGGTACCGAGGTCGGGGCTTGTCTCAGGTTCTGGGATGGAGTAGATGTGGGTGCGGAGGGCATAGGAGCAACTACGCCAGAGGGAGAGGCGTCGCGGGATGACCTGAAGTCACGGCGTTCTTCTGATGGTGGGACGATAGCGGCATTTCTCTTGGTCGCTTTGATGGATAGCGCGTCAGGGGCAGCGAAGCCCTCCTCGACGATCGGAGGTGTAGATACGCTACCCTCACGGGACATGGAAACAGGTCGAGTAGGCATGTCCGGAACGTCGATAGATCCATTCCTCGACTTGATACTTGGCGTTCGAGGTCCTTGGACGTCAATCACGCGGACGGAACGTACACTGTTGGACCTAACAAGTATCATTGAAGGAGGGCGAGTGGGACGGTCGATGCCAGACTCGGAAGCTGAGGGCGAGCTCCGACCACCATATGATACTCTGGACGACGTCATGATCTCTGGCTCCTCGGTGAACTCGTCGATCTCATCATCTTCCATCGGCGTCGGGATGGTCTGGGGAGCCGCTCCCTGTGCCATAGCCGTTACGCCCGCCACGGCCGCTGCGCCGAGGGCTGCTGCACCGGATACAATCATCGAGATGGGACTTGTATCTTCTGGAGTCTTGCCATCGATGTAATCGCTGGCGTCGGTGTCCAGTGGCGAGACACCATCTTCATTGACCTTTCTGTCGGTGGTCGCTTCTGGAGCCTCACCCGTCTTACTGATGACAACACTTGGCATTCCAGCCACGGTTTCCTCTCCTGTATGTTGCTCTTGATTGAGTTGGTCGCCCTTGGTGGGGATGGGCGAGGTATATGGGGAGCCAGCGGGAGTTGGCAGAGAGCTCGCGCGCCTCCGCGTTGCGTAGATCGGAGTGTGTGGCTGGGACAAGCGCGGCGAAGGGGGAAGAGGCGCTTCTTGGGGAAGCGATGAGAATACCATCAAACTCTTCGGTCTCGGTCTCTGGGCTGTGGCCTCGTCCTCGACCTGGCCGTCGTTCTCCTCGTCGTCGCTGTATGATACGAGACCGGGTACCTCTATCTCTGCGACGTCGTTATTGCTCATGGGTAGGGGTAGATCGGATGGGTTTAATTCGGACTCGAGTTCTTCGTTCGCCCCTTCGGCCTCCTTCACGGCAGATTCTTCGCGGGGAGATGAAAGTGTGTGCAGGGCTTCGGTAACGGCGCTGCCGTGTCTGCTGTGGCCGGCGCTTCGCGGGAAGGGCCTGACGAAATTAGGTTCGGTAGGGGATCGTATCCTCTTCTTCCAAGAGCGCCACAACCTGCCGAGAGTCCTGTCCAATGCGACACGCTCCATGTCGAGTTCTTCCACCACGATTCGTTCAGAGATGTCCCCGGCCGAGCGCGTACCATCCTTCAGCTCTTTCTCGTATCGAATGCGCAAGCGAGCAAATGCAGCCTGGCCGGCAATAACCAGCACCTGTTCGCCCATGTATTCGAGGATGGAAGTCAGAAAGATGGCCACCGCGGGAGAGACAGAGCCGGTTGACAGATCGTCGAGGTCTCCGTTGAGGTGCTCCTGTTCAATGAAGTAGTCTTCGTCCTCCTCTTCCATGTCGCCCAAAGATGAGTACACCATGCATCGCAGTCGTGTTCTCTTCCATACCAGTTCCAAGTCCCAATCGTCGGGGTCATCGGTCGGTGACTGGGCTAGCTCGTCTAGCTCGCCGCCTCCGAGGTATTCTTTCAGCTCTTCGTCCGCCTGGTTGATCGCATCTTTGGCAAGGTGGGGCTTCAGGACTTCGCTGACTGCCGGGCGGAGCGCCGAGAGCTTCGTGGATCGCGCGACGGCGATGATGTTGAATAAGAGCTGATCGATGAAGTTGTTGGCAAGTAGCAGAGCGCCACCCGTGACCAGTGCCGTCTCGCCTGATGGTTCGATTCCTGCCTGGTCATACCATGTTTCCGAGTGGCCATCGTGATCATTGGTGACGATTTGTGAGGCAGCAGATGCAGCTATGAAAGCTGCCTCGGGCGATACAGCGAGCGGAAGCGACATTAAGCTGTGAGCAATGGTAGATGGCCGGTCGCTGGATATACTCTGGGTGCGTGATCGGTCATGTCGAGGGCTGTGGACAGCCCGCGTGTTGGAAGAGCTTGACACCGAAGTATCAATACTCGTGGTGGGCGTCATCGGAGGCATTATAAGTAATATTGGTAGGGCGGGTGCGGATGCGGATCGCAGACCTGCGGGAGGTCTGCGGCCTGCAGCGCTTCGGCTAGAAGACGGGCTGCGTGGTGATGATGATGATGCGAGCAAGGCACTCGATGTCGACGAGGGCAAGGCAGTGGTCCTATCGACTGTTCAGATGGTTACCTCGGACAAGGCGAGAACTCAATTTGAGGTTACGGTGTACTTCCTTCAGATCATGGCAGCGGCAGTTGATAGGAATGAGGAGCAAGATGTATGTATGTATGTATGCATGTATGTATGTGATATACGACGACTTGGGGGGGAGGGAATGATGAACTGGGAGCTGAAACACGTTGAATCACAACTGGGGAATGCCTGGTGAGACGACAGTGTCGCATCGAAGGATTGATACCATGCGACACTTGCGCATTGAGCCGGTGGACCGCCAAATCATATGAACGGTGCAGAAGTTTTGTTTGTGAATCCTCTTGTATGCTGTGTATCACGAGAATGGCCTCAGCTTACAGCCCACAGCTCACAGCCTACCGAGTCGGGGAGATTGCTGACTTGGAAAGCGTGCCTAGCAACATGTGGCAGAAGTCAAAAAGACTGACGGCTTTTTCGATTCTCATCATGGCATCGCGCGACCAAGACACGATACTTCGAGGTAAGATGGAACCAAACCCAATCTAGGACAAGAAGACCTTGGGGAGCCCCAGACCCGAGAATATGGTTCAATTATTCAACAAGTCATGCATGTACAGCTTGGAAAGAAGCATCGTATTATAGATGATCTCCTGCCATGTTCTTCGGGGGGAGCCTATTTCGTGGATGGGAGGATCGAAAGGATCGAGAAGAAAGCAGGGTCCGTTGCAAAAATAAACCAATAAATCGATAATAATAAAAAAGCAACTTGTACTCACCCCTAATGGCTGGCGACGGTTGCACCCCGTACGCAGTGGTGTGTAGTATAAATGTAATGTGTGTATGGTTTTCTTTTAGTTTGCACACATTCCAAGGCTCATGCTGGGCCGTGATACAGGCGAAATGCGATAGGCCACAATGGTGAGATGGCAAATGTAGAGATGAGCGAGTGATGCTCTACCTCCCATTGACTCCGTGAGATGGGAAACTGCTCAGTGTTGGGGGCGAGATGCTTGGTGTAGCACGGTGGTTGACAGTGGGAGGAATGGTTCGTTAGTTAAGGTTGTAGAATGGCTGCACGCTACAAGTACAATCCTAGCGGACCTAATTCCTCTTGGGGGCCTCGAGCTTTGTATGCGGGCGGGTCCTTTGGGTCCTTGTTAGGTCCATGAGGCCCTCTACTGCGTCTATTGCCCAGGTCTTTGGCCCCTGGACATGGGTAATATGCAAGATTGCACATGGCGTTCAATACATGTACGTCAAACATCGGTTGTTCTTTGAATGGATCCGTCATCACATCCTATCCGTCAAGATGGCCGGTACATACATAGTAACCTAACCTAGTACGTACAGTAGTCTGGAGATTGACTCGCCCGTAATCTCGCATCGTACTGTTACTGTAACGCAGCGAATGGCCGTACTTTTACGCATCCGGTTAACCCGCAAAGTACTTTACTTACTTACTGTGTAGAACCCGCTGCATCACACCCTCTTTGCACGACAATCAGGTTCCTTCCTCAGCCGCTGCATCTGCTGCTCTGTCAGAAAGTTGTCTCTGGCTTGGCCTGAAGTCTCCGAAGAGCAGCATGGAGCGGGCTACTGACACCACCATGCAGATTCTTGGGACGACCCTCGACCCTGAGCTGGTCCCTTGGCTGGTGCTTCCTACAAATGGAGCCTGCATGGCTGCTAGGCCCACGCTATTGCCGTCCAGATCCTGGATAGTGCAAAGGCTCACTGTTCGGGAGATTAACAAGGCATGACCAAGGACCGGAAACTGCTTGGAAGGCTCTCGGACCCCTGGAACGGCTGCTGTTCCCGTTTTCTTTGGCGTCCATTGGCCAATGCATAGCATTAGTATGGCAATCATCATGTTGCTAACGCGTGGGACTCTGGCATCCCTCGCCTCACGTTATTAAAGGTGCGGATTACATGTCAGATGTTTTTGTCCCATATCATCATGGGCGAGGAGAGCTTGTGGAGAGCCCTGCACAGAAATGGAGACCGGGGCGAGGTCCACTACAGTGCATACTGTAGTAGTAGCCTAGCAATACCCCTAACTTCGACATGGTTTAGTGTAAAATCACCGAGGCCATTCACAACTTCGCAAGATGCACTGCATTCGTGCCAAATACAATGTTGCAGCAGACAGCGCAGGTGTATCACTTCAAATTCCACGACGGGGTTAAGCCCAATTTGTATTATGCACATCCATGGATAACGTCCAATCCATATCAGCACTGCAGTATACTATATGTTTCCGCTGTTCTTGAAACGGAATATCACGTAATGCCACCGTTAGCTGCTCAGCTTTGTTGAGCCACAGCGCTGGCCCAGGGCTCAACTGCCGTGCTTCCTCAAACACCACCACGTCAGCTTTGCGGAACTGATCTCCATCGTCAGTTTTCATCTTGTGTTTGAATCGTTAATTCGACAGCATCTCCTTTCTTCACTCATCCCCAATTGTCTTGGTCCACAAGCATCTTACCGATTGAAGCATTGCCCATTTGTGAACTTTATCTAACCGTCCAGCAAATAAGGATACCTGCAACCGGACCGTCAAATCTTCCAACTCCCATAAATTTAGATATTACTTCGGATCATTCGATCAAAGCCAGCCCGCAACTGTTGCTAGGAGCGGCATGTATTCTTGCCCTCAAACAGCCCATTGTTCTCGGTTTTGGGTCAAGCTTCCCCATGGCAGGCCGCCATGACCACAGCATAGGCTGCCGCCTCGGCCTGGACCACATAGGATACCCTCTCTCTGAGCAGACACCAACGCGATCCCCGAGTGCAGGCTAGTAACTATAACTTGCCCTCGGCAGTGCACGTGGTCAGTACCTATCTCCACTTGCGATCCGGAGTCCGTGTTGTTGACGATAACTCGCCGTCTTCGAAGTCGCCATCAGAAGAGCCACATGCCACATGGCAGTATAATTACTGGCCCACTTAGTAAGGAGTCACGGCTGCAATCATTCGGACGCTGCATCGAATCAGTTATCGTCGGCTGGTCTATTTCGACTAGCAAACGGACGCCAGTCGGCTAAGCGCTCATTTTTCGAGGATAGGTTCAGTTTATCGAAGCAAATCTTCTGGACAACGAACTGGCTTAGACACGCCTGACTCGTCCGATTCACAGATCCGCAGCGCATGACTAGTTTTGCTCCTACGGTCGAGGACGGCTCTAACCGGTGATGGGACTCTGCTTTAGATTCCGCATATACTCACAATCGACCCGAGATTACGGAGTACAAGCAAAGCTGTTTTGACGACGAAGCGCTTGAGGCGTTTTGCTTTGGATGCGATCTCGGCAACCTGGACTAGCTACTCCGTAGATCTTTGCAGGAGCTGCTAACTTATATTACTGGCTCGTCGCTCAAACTCGCGTTGACAACAACGGCATCATGAACAAAATGACGGAAGGGAAACCCTGTATTAAAAGCCACGAGTGAGAGCAAGAGTCCGCACCGCATCCCGCCAAATGCCACTGGGCAACCTGAGAACCCCACCATGGACGCCATCGAAGCTTTTTCCGCTTTCTAGTCCGAACCCCTGGCATTAGCGTATGCTGATGCATAGCATGCTATTCGCCGATATCTCGTGTTGTTGCTCCTTTCGGCACAGGGGCGATCGTCATCATTCACAACACTCCGTACGGATCACTTGGATCAGAAGCCTTTCTCTTGTTTGCTTTTTGAGAAGCAAGTTGAGAAGATTCACGATGGAATCTGTATGCTTCGGGCCCGCCCTGCCGCTTAGCTTCTTCATCTGAAGATCTTCGCTTGTTCTTGTCGGTCTACTGTCCAGCTTGCCTTTTCACCGAGTCGCGCGCTAGGGTACGGCTTATGCAGCCCAAACGCAGTGTAAGCGTGACAGCTCTTTGGCAAAGCTTTTTCGATGGGCTCAGTGACATGCCTTTAAACCAATCCACCGGGCCACAGTAAATTTTTATAGTATCAGGTGTCGCCAACCTCCACGAAGAGTCCCGTCTGGTAACCGGGCCCCACTTCTAACGTGCAGTACTTATCGGTGAAGCCAGCCCAGTGTTGCATTACGTTTTCTGCAGTTCTGTTCTTCGAGTGAGTGTGCCTATTCTAGTTTCTTTAACAACATGTTCGTCCGCCACATTCGTGCCAAGCAATGCTAGGCACGGAATACGGACGCGCTTTCGGCATGTTTCAAAAGTGCAGCAATGACCAAAGTTCACCGCTTTCATTACGAGAGATCAGTATAGGTTAGGAACATGGAACAAAAGCATCATCTAGGCCGGTATCTGTGTAGTACCCTCACCCACGCTCATGAATGTGCATCAAGTTATTGGGACTAGTGCCTGTTGAACTCCCCCTTAGCACCAATGCCTTCACTATAATACATTTTCCATGCTTACCTCTCAACCGTCACTGCGCTGCTCATCCTGAGATTTATCTACTGCCTGATACTTGACGTTTTCCGAAGGACAGCACTCAGTCTGGAGCTTTCGCAACCATAGCCAACGCATCCATGCAGGCGCCTAATGCGGGAAAAGACAATAGTAAGATTTAATTCTGCATTTAGCCTCCCGAGGTCCGGCTTACTAGGGCTCCATGTGGGCGTTCCAAGGGTACGAAAGGTACGCTGCGACTACCCTAACCTAGTCAGTCAACATTTGTCTTTCCATAGTACTGCTTCACGACTGCTTGGTGGTGTACGGCACGCTCCTAACTCGTAACAGCGCAAGGAGTACAATATGCCCTCGTCCAATGTGCATGCCACACAACATGGTCGCTAAGCATGGCTCTCCGGTGACCATCTACTTGAATGGTTCCTACTACCCCGCAATACCAACCACCCTCTCCGCGCCCAAAAGATGATCTTCTGCTGCCGTTGATACCAACCAACATGGCCAGGTCAAAGCGTCGGATATTATACTGCCCCAAGTCGTGGTCCGCGGACAACCCTCGTGTTCTCTGGCGAGATCCGTTTGCTCGCATGATTGGCTTGCACTGCAAGTTTTGACCAACTGTCAGCCTTGAACAAGTCCAAGCTCAAACTCACACCATACACAGGTATACCGATACAATCAGCGGTTCACGTGTCTCCCCTGTCACGGTGACATTGGTATTGACTGCAGCCGTGTGCATTATCGACGTTTCAGGTTCATTACTCTGATAGCAGGCGGTGGGTTGGCGAGTGCCAACAATAAATTCGTCAGATCCACGCAACTTATGTTCAGTTGTTCTAACGACTGTAAGGTGTTGTAGTTGCAAATTGAATGACAGGGGTATTCTGGATGGAACGACCAAGTAGCCAGCATAGGTTCACCCCTCGGCATTGCTCGCATCAACTTGAACAGTTACCGCCAAAGTTACTGCAAGGCAATCAACTTGTGATGCATGAACAAAGCAGCATAGCCACCGCGATCACCAACAAAAATATTTGCATGACAGCAGCGACACGCTGATATGTGGCAATAAATGACAGCACATCATACGATAACAAAATAACATTGAAACTAGGCGGTGACCGTTAACAAAAGTCAAATTTCAGTTACAGGTACGATTGAGATATGATTTGTGTTCTGTCATCTCAAGAAGGGCAGTGATCGTCTGTTGAATCAGCCACGATGGCGCCATGATGAATTGAGTTTGCTGGGTTGAAGAGACTGCCACCTGGAATCCGGTTCATGGCATCGCCTCACTCCTTGTAGCAGTACCGAGTATGTCATGCTCGAGACATACCTTCGTAGGAAATGTCTGCCCGCCCCGCGCTGAGCCTGATTCATTCTGATCAGCACCCATTCTAAGCTTCCTAGTCTCGGTATCATTTGTGAACTCTGAAAGTTAGTCCAAAAAGTACTATATGGATTATAAACTGTTGCACTGTTCAATACTCACTATGTGTGATAATGAGTGGTACCTTTGTCGAAGGAAGATACCGCAGAAGCAAGATTACAGAAGCAAAACTGCAGAAGCTTGCTCAAGACTATGGCCTATCTGGCTCTGTATTTCAACTAATCGATATCATAACGTAATGATAGTGCAACTGTGACCACGGACCAGGCAGTATCCAGGACTATAGGATGTAGCTTGACGAAGCTGGATGCATCCCCATAGGGAAGGAACACCTGACAAGCCGACCAAGTCTCGACTGTGGCAAACATCTAATCCACCAACCTGGCCAGATTGAGCCCATCCCACAACGGCAACAAGAAGGCCTCCAACCGCGCACTGGCCTTGACCGCATCGTTGAACTCTCGCACCTTCCCCACATCCGAGCGTTGTCCCCTGTACTCCTCGCCCTCCTCCTTCTCCTCCGCCGCCGCCGCCGACCGGTACGGGTTAGCCTCCGAGTCGTCGGCCACCAAGCCCTTCCGCAGCGCGTTGTCCCCGATGATCAGCCCGCCCCTTCTCAGCAGCCTCCTGCTGCCACCCGGCGGCGACAGCTCCAACACCGCCCGCAGGTACGCCGGGTACCCGGACTTCTGGGCGTCGATGAAGACGACGTCGTACGGCTCCGCCGGGTCCAGCGCCGGCAGCGTCTGCAGCCCGTCACCGACGTGCAGCGTGATGTTGGATAGCGAGTTGGCCCGGAAGGCCGCCTTGGACCTCGAGGCGTAGTCCGGGCTGAACTCGAGGCCCGTCACCTTCCCCGTGAGCCCCACGGCGTGCGACCAGACCATGGAGGAGAAGCCTAGGTAGACGCCGATTTCGAGGACTGGTGTTTCGTGTTAGTTGGTGGGGGAATCATGCCATGCGGAGTATGTTTGTGGGTATGGAGCGGGTTTGATGATAATTACCTCGCTGGGCATCCATTAGCCGGGCCAGCCAGACGAGTGCTCGTGCCTGGTAGGTTGAGATCATGAGGTTGCTGTTCGAGTTGTTCTTGACAATCTCGGCGTGGTAGTCCAGAAGCCACTGCGGTAGGTCCAGAGATTGTCTTTCCGAATATGTGGTCACGGCTTCGGCGACAGCGTCGGTGGAATAGAGGTTTGGCTTTGAGTCCTTCATCTTGTTTACTCTCTGGATGTCTTGTGCGTAATCTGTAGTGCGTGGTGGCTTTCTCCGGTGAATTGTCGAAGTTTATAACCGTTTGACCTCGCACCGCACATATGCAAGGGTGAGTAGTGGGTACCGTGAGGGGGCAATTGCCACTCTTGCACGGCAAGGGACCTTCTGTAAGGGGATAATGCACTCTAATAAGGCGAGGGGCTTTTTGCGAGGGGCTCTACTTTTGTACCAACGCAGACAAATATCGAATGGAGAAACACAGGTTCCTCGGTATGACTGGATTGGCCTATATCTAGCATCATCGTGCTTATCTAATTAGTTGACTCGATCTCCGGTCGTCTTCCGCGTATGACGAACCTCGGTACTCCGCTCGGCTCCGGCTTGGAAGTGCAAGCTACCAGTGGGCGGAATGTGGAGTAAGTAGTGTGGAACACTTCGGGTCCACACTGCAGATGACTCTGGCACAATGAGACCTGTAATTATCTTTTGTCAAATCAAGTATCATATCGTCAAGGCCAGGTCGATGGTTTGGCAGACTGCTAGATCCCAACTGACTCAGCATTTATTCATGTCTTGTCATACTAGACTGATTATGCTCGAGATCTTGCCTGTGGGAAATCAATGGGCCACTTGTGCGGTATGCAATCGGTGACTCCCATCCCCAGCAGACTTATACCTCCTCATGAACTAGCGCGACCTGATTCGCATCTTATAGCCTGATTAGCATCTCTAGGTCAAGGTCGTAGAGGCAAGCCTAGGAGGCCAATTATCCTGGCCCTGTTGAATACAGAGTTATAACCCTCCTCGCCATCATTCTTGGCCAGTAAGCGGGCTGCTTACACAAACACGCCAACCACACGACTGCCTCGACCTCGGCGAACTTCTTCCCTGAAACGCCAAACTCCAAAGTACAGTTCTATGCATACGACATACTATGGATGTGACAGGGGGACTCATTCAGACGAAACACAAATATTGTTCACATCAAAAGTTGGGGAAGATATTTGCACGCTGACTGTGATTGATATACCGATTTGTCCTGGTACATTGTTATGTTTTCTTAGCCCGATTTGTCCTAAAGAGGTGGTCTGGTAAGACTGGCCGACCACAGTAGCCCTGACCATCATCTGGCGTTTGTGAATAGTCAATATGGTATGAAATGGCTGTCGTGTAACCGGCGTCTTTTCACATGACCTATAGTAAAGTTTTGTTGGACGGCAGTATGATGAGGTTGCCCCTCACGTATCTTTAGTCGGTTCTCTCCAACGGGGCAATATCAGTCACTATCGAGGCTCAACACGAAAGTTTCAGATAAAGAGCCCATTTCAATGACCATCATACGGGACGTGTCTCAAAAGCAGGAGTCACATGCACGCGACCACCATCGCAGAAGTAAAATAAAACCTCGATTATTTTCATGACTATTCAGACCATCAACGCGCACATCACCAGTCCAAGCTATGGAGAAAGCCCTTCCCAGGTGTCCGTGTCGGAATTAATGAATATTCTACTTACATTATATACCAGAGCTGGACTGGAGTTAGGTAAACAAACAAGCAAACAAAATAATGGTCCTCCACCCTTATACCAGTGAATAGTCAACAAACACAAAAGATTCCCCACTAGCTCCCCTTTCTTTCCATTAATCACCATCACCCTATTCGAAACCCCCGATATCATTCCTTTTACCTTTCTCTTGGATTCCCTTCTCACCACTTCCCAAGACCATCCATTCGAGGAATGCAAGTGTCGAGTACTTCTGGAACCCACCTCGCAGTATAATTACTTGAAACCGCTCCCAAAAAAGACAAAGCCTAGAAAGGAAAAGAAAACCTCTTAGATCAAAACTGCGACGACACCAGCCATGGCCAGGACACCACCGCCAAACGCGGCGTTCCGCGCGGCGCCGGCCGTGGGGAGAACGGCGGGAGGGCTAGTCTTGGACGGTGCAGGGGCCTCGATGGTCGAGGCGCCAGGCTGGGTGGCCGTCGGGGAAGGAGCAGCTGGGTATGAGTTGGAACCGGAAGCCGGCTGGGTTCCCGCGGGAGACGAAGGACCTGCGGCGGGCTGAGTGGCCGATGAGGGAGGGGCAGCAGGATAAGTAGTCGGGACAGCCGGGGGCTGGCTGGCTGCTGGGGAAGAAGGACCTGCGGCGGGCTGGGTGGCCGAGGAGGGAGGGGCGGCAGGATAAGTAGTCGGGACAGCGGAGCCCTGAGACAAACCTGGTGCTGTGGGGGCAGTGTTGGAAGATGCAGGCGGTGCAGGCGGGCTGATGGGAGAGGTGGGAACAGCGGGCTGGGTGGTGCCGGCCGGCGCCGAGGAGGGAGGAGCAGCAGGATAGGTGGCCGACGGTGAAGAAGGACCTGCGGCGGGCTGAGTGGCCGAGGACGGGGGCGGCAAGACTGTCGGCGCTGGGACGGTGCTTCCTGGACTTGTGGCGGGCGCGGTAGTGGGGGCTAGAACAGGAGAGGTGAATATGCTAGTCGAAGGCTTGCCAACACTGCTCGACGATGGCTTCACGGCGCTGCTACTTGGGGGTCCGACAACAGGGTATGTTGTGGGAATGACAATAATCACCGTAGTCGGCCGGACGGAGCTCTGTGTGGTTGGCCGAACAGAAGTCTGGGTGGTGGGCACAACGACCGGATAAGTCGTGGTATAGACGATCGTAGTCGTGCCAGTCGCGGTGCGTCCATGGGAGGTCGGGCATGGTGCAGTTGTCGTGATGACTCTGGTCACAGTGGTAACTCTGCCGGCCGAGGTGGTTGGCGCGTGACTGAAGCTGGACGACTGTGTGCTTGAAGAAGAGGACGAGGAATAAGGCCTCGTCTTATGGTGACTATGGCTCGACGACTGTGATCTTGAAGAAGAAGAGGAAGAAGAAGAAGAAGACGAAGACGTTGGCTTGTGGTAACTATAACTCGACGACTGTGTGCTTGAAGAAGAGGACGAGGAAGACCTCGTCTTGTGGTGACTATGGCTCGACGACGGTGATCTTGAAGAAGACGAAGAAGAAGTTGTCTTGTGGTGGCGATGGCTCGAGGATTGGGAGCTTGATGAAGAAGACGAAGAAGACGAAGACGTTGGCTTGTCGTGAGGATGGCTTCGGGAGTACGAGCTTGAAGAAGTTACACATGGAGTACTGGTCGGCTTGTGGTGACTGCTTGTCCGAGAGCTTGAAGAAGTCACACATGGAGTACTAGTCGGCTTGTAGTGATTGCTTGTCCGAGAGCTTGAAGAAGTCACACATGGAGTACTGGTCGACTGATAGGAGTGACTCTTCGTCGTCGAAGTGGAAGTGGATGTAGTGGTAGAGCCATGCTTTCTCTTTGTGGTAGAGCTGGAAGAGGTGATACAAGGGGTGGAAGTCGGTGCGTAACCGGGAGCAGTGTCGGTTGTGCCGCTTGAATGGTCAGGGTGGTAAGCAGGCTCCGAAGACTCTACGACAGCTGGTAAACTCTCAATGCCAATGGCCGGAAGAGCAAAGGCCAGACCGGCCAGGGATATGAGACCAATGACGGCGTACTTCATTGTCAGTGTTGTATGTCCTGGGTAACGAGTGAAAGAAGCGAGCGAGAAGTCAAGATGATTGAATGATTCTACCAGGAAAACTGAATGGCAAACCTTGGCCCCTAAAGCGAGTGCAGAGACTGGTGGGTGTAGAGTAAAAGAAAGCCCAGTCACATTGGAACTTATGGTCTACATTTATACACTGGACAGAGGTCAGTTTAGTCCGATTCTGTCGATAGACACCCACCCGCGCCGAGATCATACTATTTCCTAGATCTGGTCCGTGTTTAAGAATAGAGATGCTGATCGGAAGGCTAAGTTTGCACGCTTGCTGGTAGCATCCAGCTGAACTTGGCAACTTGTGGATGGCGCATACTGTCAAAAAGGCAGAAGGAAAAAGTGTCGCCATACAACTATATTCCAGCTAACCAGGGAAATAGCCATCTGACATGTAGAAGCATGAGCCATGTATAGACCCATTGCTGCTTACCATGGATCTCTTCAACTCTCTTGGGACTAAAGCGGGCATGCTAACCGCGGCAGCATGAGATCCAGGAACAAGTCGAAGTTTATGTTGCAAGTCCCACCACCGGACACTGACACGGACATGGACATGAGGGGGATATCTGTGCGGTTTCGCTGTTCATATTGATGTATTATTCTGGATTTGCTGAAAAGGCAGGTCGACAAAAATGGCCGACAAAAACAAAGGCAGCCGGAGCAGTATTCTCCGCCCAACGCTGTGTCTCTCCTGAGCTGTGCTTGGTTTTTCCCCCTTAGCCGCAGTAAAGATCCGACTCGCCCATGGTTGGACGTCCACACTAGTCAGTTGCCAACGCCTGTTTTCCAGTTGCTCTTCTGGCACTGTAGCCTTTTTGTTTATGCCCAGGGAAGGCCCAAAACCACCCGAACGCCAATGCAAATGTCTTGATCAAAGACGCCAGGGCCATGCCTCTATTACTTCTTTCCCCCCAACCTTTGGATATTTTTGGGACCGTTCCTTCAAGAATCCTCCTCTGGAATGCCGGACAAGAGACCCACTCTCAGACGATGGCTCTGTGATTCAAGTTAGTTCTGGGCTGGTTGGTGGAGCTATAGAGCCACTTACGAAAGGTAGCTTTGGTATTACGACACTCAGGGTAGCCAGAAAGTTGATGGTAAAGTAAGTCAAATCGTAATGAGTGTAGTGGGTGCTGAGTAAAAAGAGCACAATGGGCACACTAAGGAGAAACTTTTTGGCTGGCGTGTATTGAGCACCGTCGTCGATCTGTTCCCACATGTTGAGGTTGTCGTAGGCGCCGCTATTGAACTCAAATGGTGTGCCACGAACCCAATGGAACATGAGATATGAACCGAACATGTAAGATATATTGGTCAAGGTCCAGGAAGTCTCTTGCGACACACCAGGGACCACGTCGTAGAAGATCTTCAACAACAAGATGAGGACGAAGTGGATAGTCCAAGCACCTGCGAGTCAAGCACGAAAAGGTTAGCTGATGCGTTCTCCATGGGGGATGCTTTCAACGCTCGGGGCCGAACAAGTCTCGGAACGAGGTCCTCCTCGGGCACTGCTAGCCAACATGTTTCCTGCAGCTTGCCATGCTTGAAGGTATATGTATATATATATGTACATGGAGGTGGAGGTGGGCGTGGGCGTACCTTTTGAATTGACCCATTGCGCATTCAAGTTTGGCAATATTGATTGGTCACTCAGCTGCTCGATCGGCTCCTGAGGCTCCTGGTAGATCTGCAGAATACTACTGGACCTGCGCCTCCTGGTCGACTTTGAGTCTGTCATGTTTCCTGCTCTCAGGTATGTTTCGCCTCGCACCGGCTGGTTTGTTCCGGCGTCGTATGAGACGGTGCGAGGGAGGACGATTGGGGAAGACACTTTGGCGGTATTGAGGGGTTTGTCGGGGGGTGCGTTCGTTTGTTTCGTTTTCGTATTTCGAACACGAGAGATGAGGATTCACGAAGTCAAGGAACTGACTACGTGGAGCTCAGCAGCGAGTGGGTGAATCTTTGTCCGCTCTGCACTGCAGGTGGGCGCGACCAAAAAAAAAAAAAAAAGAGGAGGGCCCGGTTGTCGTCCGGAGCTGCGGCCGCAAGACGAGACGAACGCTATGTGGCCTCGGCGGATGGGTGAAGGAATTAACTTTTGGTGTGGTTGAGGCAGTGCTATGGCCGAAGCTCAAGGTCGGTGGTGTCGCAAGCTGGTGGGTGGGAAGTAAAGTACCAATTAATGTAATGGGTGGATGGCCGAAGAGGGAAAAGCCAAATATGTAAAAAGATGAGATTATGTAGTTATGCCGTAGTCATGGTCGTGCTTAGGTAGTCGTATTTGGTATTTGGTGTTTGGTGGTCGTAGTCGTAGTCGTAGTCGTAGTAGTAACCGTAGTAGATCAGGGGGGTCTCTGCCAAGTAACGCGTGAATGCTGTTTTGTATGGTTCGCAAGCGAAGGCAGTGAATGTAATGTCATGTAGTGTGGAGAAGTGTGATGTTTGAGATATCCTCAGGTGTTTCCGTAAAAAAAAGGAAGTTGTAGTATTCGGGTCGTGTGAGCTGATCTGTATGCAATGCATGCATGTATGTATGCATGCAAGTATGTATGTATGTATGTATATGTGTATGTACGTGTGTGTGTGTGTGTGCTCTGTAGAAAACTGGACAAACACGAACACGAATGGGACTTGGCTACCTAGGTATAATACAACTACAGTATGCCAGGAAGGGGGAAGGAAAAGGAGACGATAACTGGGCGGTTTAAGCTGATCAACGTGGTCAAGTCACGCGTGAGGGAAGCCAATCGGGCAGACTGACAATTCACACCGGACAAGATAGAATGAGAATAGCCAGACCTCTTACGTGGACGGTACGACTTGCGAAGGGGAAAAAAAAAAAGTTGGGGGAGATTATCTCCAGAGCCTCTGTCTGGTTGGAGAAATGCGACGCGCGGGACCCGAAAGAGACAGAAAACCACCACTTCCATTCACTATCAGTGGAGACTTGTAGGTACGGATCCCTACTCCAAGTGGTATTTGGTGGGTGGCTTAGCAGCGGTTCAGCACGGTCCAGCGACCTGCTCGGGCCTGTTGGAGGGGCCCTTTGAGAGGGGGCCTTTGGAAGGGGGGCCTTGACCTCCGAAAGGAGATGACACACCCTTGCTCCAATTCCCAATCCCCCCTCCCCTCGAGATCCCCTCCCCAAAGAAGCTTCCAATTTTCAGGGGCTTGAGAAGGCTTCTCTGGCTTCTATGGAGACAGCTGCAGGCCCCAAAGGGCCCTTCTGGACAAACTTGGCTCCCAGCTTGGACTTCAGCTCGGCACGTGTGCAGCCGGTCCCCGTCTTTGCCGTTACGATGCAACTTGGCGACTGCAGTACGGACTACTACTACTGCTACCACGGATCCGTCCTACTTTGTGTGTATTAAGTTGCAAGGTCTGCAAGGTCTGCAAGGGGGCGCAATGAATACTCGTCCAAGTTAATGTCAAACAGAATCATCTCATGTGAGGAACAAGGGAAGAAACCTTTGACGGGCACTAAGTTACCACTATTCCATTCACAGACTGTTTGAATGTGATTGGAATGTGCTGTGGTGTATTGCATTGCATTGCCTGTAATTCCACATAGAGAGATCCCGCATGTCGCTTTCCCTATTTTACTTCCCTTTCTTTTCTTCTTCTTTTGAAGGTGGCATCTAACTTGTATTCTTCAGTTAACTCACGTCGCTGGACAGGATGCGTGGATGCGTGGCTGCGTGGCTGCTCAGAACTGCAGGTGACAGTCCAGGTGAGAGGATGGTCGGTGTTCCACAATGACGCACGGTGACATGAAGTCGTGGCCTGACACCTTTTGCCCGCTGTTTAACCGGCGCAAATCTTAGTTCAGTATCAGACGCGACATGGCAAATAACGCCAGATTAGATATCTCGAGAATGCAAGAGTTCTGCAACATTTTTGGCGTCTTTTAATTTGCAGTAAGAAGTGCCCAGGCGGTCTTTTCATTTTGAAGACATAACGCAGCGCGTTCATGCCAGGGTTGAAGCCAAAATCCGAACTCGGAATTCTTGCGACGCCACCAACCCGCAGCTCACCCTTCAGGCTGAAGCTCAAGCTCAAGCGCAAGCTCACATTGCACGTCCCATCTCGTCGCCCACTATGGTGACTACTCGCTCCGGAGCTGTGCCTGTAGACCCTCATGATAGTGCCGTGGCAATTACGGAAGATGCCACAAAGCAAAGCCCAGAGAGCGCCACCGGCCAGAAAAGATCCCGTGACTATGTCGAGGAACTGAGAGGCTTGACGCCGGATCGCAACAGTGACGGAGAAGATGATCATGCTGCAAAGAGAGCCAGGACGGAGGAGGACAAAGCTCAGCACGACGACCTTGCCAGGGATGCCCAGTCTGATCTGGACGACGGCGAGATAGTGGAAGCGTCCACGCCTGATCGACATGCTCTTCCACCTAATACGATGGCAAAACGGCCAGCTGAGCCGCAGAATGTGGCTCCCATTCCTCCAAAGGATGAAGCAGTCCAAAAATCGACCCAAGACTATTTGGCTCCACAAACCCTACCCGTCCCGCCTGAGGTAGCTGGGTCTACAGAAGTTATGCCTCCTGAGGATCTCCCTGCAGCCACAGAGAGTGATCGGTCCATCGGCGAGCATGCTCAAGCCAAAATTCCACAATCGGCAACAGAGACACAACAGAGCGCAGAGAAAGCAAAGACGAAAAGCGATCCCAACCAAGGCGTGGGCTTGGGACTTAGGACATCATTCGCAAAGGCACCGAAAAAGCAGGCCAAGGGCGATATTTCGAAGCCCGCTCTCGGTGTATTGGAATTTCCTACAGCGAATCGCGATTGGAAGATCGATGCCACCAAGTTTGATCAGATCCTATGCGACCACGAATTGGATCGTGGTGATTGCTTTGAGCCAAAGTTTTGGAAACAGTGGATGCAAAACAATCTTGCACGTGTGCTCCAAGCTCTCCAAGAAGACAATGGCCCCGAATTCGATTCCATTTCGAAGCCCGCTCAGAGGGTCAAAGTAGTCCGCAATGCTATGTTCGCTCTCTTACAACCCGTCGGGGGCGTTCTGTATGGCACCAAAAAGAATATGAATACAGTTCGCTTAGTCGCTCAACCTACTTTTGACGACGGGCTCACCGGCAAGATGATCAACAAGACACTGACCGGGGCAAAGAAGTCAAATTCCACAGCGGCGCATGACCACCAAGATGCCGCAGATGCGAGCGCCGAGCCCGAAGGCGAGAAACAAGACAATGCAGAGGACAAAATAATCAGTTCCAAACAAGAAGCCTCGCAAGAATCAGATGTGGAGCCTGGCGAAGTCAGTTCAGACGAATCACCAGTGCTTAGCCCCGAGGAAATCGAGCACCGGAAGCTATACTTTCCAGGCTCGGAGAACTACCATAGGTTCTGCATACATTGCGTCAGTTCCAAGCATAACTCCAGTAGCTGTCCGCAACCAATCTGTCAGTCTTGTGGAAGCAGAGACCATACGCGTTACGGATGTCACGCAACAGAACGTTGTGGCAAATGTTTTCAGCTGGGACACACTACGGCCACGTGCCAAGAGAAGCTCGCTTTAGCCAAAGGAGAGAGAGAACCTTGTGCTTATTGCAGGCTGGCTCACACCGAAGAGCAATGCGCTGCGATCTGGAAATCTTTCAACCACGCCGAAGTCAAAGTCAAGAAAGTGAAGGCCATACCTTCTTTTTGCTACATTTGTGGTCAGGATGGCCACTATGGTCCAGAATGTGGACTGAACTCTGGCAGAACCGAAATGGACTCTGACTTGAGCATCTGGTCCTCCGCAATTCGGGACATGTACGTCGATCCAAGTAGCGCTGATGCTGCCATTGCGTGGGCTGGACTGAACGCGGCCCCGAGCCAGCCAGGCCAAGATTTTCATATCCGCGGGCAGGCAAAGAAGCAATCGCACGTCTTCTATGTTTCGAGCGACGACTCTGATGACGGCTTCATACACGAGCCGGTGAGGAGGGCCCCGTCTCGCGGCAACATTCAAATCAACACCAATGCGAGTCGCCCCGCCCCGAGGCGTGGAGGTTTCAGCAGCCTCCGCGCCGACGAGAGCCGACGTCGCGAAAACCAACGTGAGTTTACCCCTCCTCCCGCGCCGCCGTTGGAGGACTACTACTCTTATGCGCCGTGGCAGCCGCCTCTGCCCGCTGGACCTCCGCCTGCTCTACCTCCGCCTCGTTTGCCCGACACTTACACGTTTCAAGGTCAACGAGATCAGCCAGCGCTTCCTCGGGCACCACCTGGATCCCTGCCCCCACGACCTGTCAACCAAGGCCCTTCTAGGAACTTCAGCGGTTCTTCGCAGAACGGAGCAAAGAGAGGAGGAGGGCGCGGCAGGCCGCGAAAACGTACTTGATGCACTTGTTCGAAACTCGCTGCGCCACATCTGTCTCGGCTCCGTCGGTGTGGGTTATTCTCTGTCGAGCATCGTTGTTGGAGCAATTGTATCGAGCTGGTTCATGTCATAAGACCACCAAACACAACGATCCCGTGGCGGACAATTCAGTGGAGGCTATTAATACCTGTCTGTCTATTTGGTCAATAAGCAAGTTTTGTTCAAGTATGGTTAGCCCGACTTCCAGTGGGTTGACACATCAAGCTCAGCATAGGATTAGTGACGCCTGTAGCGTTGAATCAGCAAGAATAAACCAGCATGACCAAAAGTTAACATCTTGAATTCCATGCCCTTTGTTCCTGAGCTCAGTGTTGGCCTCTGTCCAAGATTGCTGGGCAGAGCAATCTTACCCGCTCTACCTCGCCAAATCCCTTTTCTTTGTTCGTGCATCCGGTCATGCCCTACTTCATATATCACAGAAATTCAGAAAATAGAGCCCGAAGCGATTATCCTGTCAATTTCTAATTGGTTTCTTATCCCAAATAAAATGCATGTCAAGCATTCACGAAACCTACCACTGAACCCATCCACCCCCCGCGTCGGTTTCAAGGTAGGTTGGAAGAACTGTTCGAGCTGAAACTGAGGAAGATCGTCCCGTAGGCGGAGCAGTCGCGGGCCAGTCTGCGCAAGTCCCGACGATTAAGTCGAGGTGGGAGGCCGACTTTTGTGTCAGGGTTCTAAATCACTGAAGCTTTATGAATTCCTGGGGGTGGCGATTAGCAAGACTATACAACGAGGATGTGGTTACGCGCCCCCGCTCCGAAAAAGAAAGTGGGTCATTATTATAGTGCTGCCGAGAATGGAGAAAGACATGATACATCCCGAGGTTAATCCCAGATTATGAAATGGGGCCGAAAATATGGATCTGGTTGTATCGTCGAGGCCATGAATATGCACTGTTGACATAATACCGAGAGACCGTGGTCGTTTCTTTCATGTCTTGATCTCATCTTGATTTAGTGTAGCAAAATCCGATTCGGTTAGACCATTCTAGATTAGAGCTAAACACATCACAGGCACATAACAAGTTGTCACAGCAAATCACGTCGATTGGAAGTCTTGGGTATCTGTAATCAGCCTTGTCGCATTCAAGCAGGACTACAATAGATAATGAAAGGAGCTCCCGTTCTGTAGTGGTGTGGGCACATCGGACTGGCGCTAGACGCACTCTCCGTAAGAGATATGCCAAGGCATATCCAATCTAGCAGCAATACATTTTTTCGACAGAAGCCGGCATGAAAATGGCCGAGACAATGCTTCATACGTGCAAACCCGCCTCCAAGCCCACTCATACCTGCTTTGACGGTACAGTGCGAGCTTGACAGCCCTCCATCCCACCCTTACAGCTGCAGCGTCAGCAAACCCGGCCGGTAAGGTAGCAGACCGTAGTCGCCGCTGGAAGAGGGGCTTCGTCCCTGGTAGAGCAGCTGCAAGTTGCACGGGTTGACAGTCATGGTCTGGTCCGGGTTGCTGCGAACCAGATCGCCGTGACTAATGTCGTTGGTCCAAGTGGCGCCGCTGTTGGCCTTGCCGGCGAAGGGCGCACTCTCGGTCGCCGCCTGCGCGGTCCATGACCCGCCGAGGCTGGTGGCCGTGAACGAGCGGAAGTATCGGCCGTTGGCCCCGATCGCCTCTACGATCATGAGGTACTTGTTCTGGCCGGAGACGGTGTAGACCTGGACTGCCTCGAACAAGTTATTGGTCGTATCGCTCAAGACTACTGTGGAGGCTGTGCCGAAGTTGCCTGGGAAATTCCCGATAGGCATGCTAGCTCGGTATATCTTGCCGTTGTCTCCTGCGAAGAATAGATACATATTCGTGCTATCGCCAATAAGAGTCTGGTCGATAGCGCCGGTGCTGCTCCCGGAAATGGTTCCCGTAAACAATGACTGCGCTGCGGACCACCCATTCACATTGGTAGGATCACTTGAAGTGCGGTAACTGAACGTAGTCGGACCCCATTGGTAGGCAAGCACCCAGACGCTCTTCGGTGCGAAATAGAAGATGGTGGGCGCGACCGTGCTCGTTGTCATCTGGGTCTGGCTCGCCGAGGCCATATCAGCCCAGTTGGTGAAGGCGCTAAAGCCGAGAGAGCCCCATGTAGACCCGGTGTCATGAAAAGTTGCGTACACGATATGCTTCCCGTTGTACACAATGCTGGTAAAGTCCTTGAGTGATGCCCATCCTGACTTTGGGCTTGCCAACGCTCCGCTTGATGTCCAGCGATAGGTCGATGGGAGAGCGCACGTCTGTGCTGATGCAGTGGCCATCAACGACACTAATAAAGTGGCCGCCGAGATCAGGCCTATGCGGATATTCACAAGCCTCATCGTAAGGATCTTAACAATGGCGAATGGTAAGTAGTGCTGATACAATGGTAGATTGAGAAGTCGAAGTGGAATGGAGAACAAACCAAACCGTGGCAAAGACATACTTTTATACTTCCTAATCTGGTGTCCTGGTCTACGAATTCCATTATGTGCCGGTATATCCTTAGAGGTTCATTACAAGCGTCAAGTAAATTCGTGGAATATCATTCGTGATCCAGGTTCAGTTTCAGCTGTGCGCACCGGACCGAACTACTCCATATCTCTTGGATGGAGCACGGTAGTTTGAAGATAGCAGCGCTAATCAACATAAGGCGAACTCGGAGTGAAGCCAACCCCTTACAGGGTTCTCCGCAGGCCAAAAATGGAAGATCGAGAACCAAAAACTCCGCAAAAAGCAAAGTGTAGCATGGAAGTTTACATCATGACCTGCACCCCGAGCATATAAGGCCCAAAGACTAAGGTTAGTTGTAGAAAGTTTCCCCAGATCCAAGACATTCCACTAAGATGTGTGCAGACACCAGTGTTGACCTGTTGGATGCGCGCCAATCATGTCAGAACGCAGGTGTCCTCCAACCAGGTAAACCCTTTTTAGCCTGAAATACCCTGCGCCTTCTGTCAAAATCCAGCGTTCGGATCTTGGTTGAGACTCCCGGTAACATAGTATTGAGTAAGATCATTGGTAGTACTCAACACGAGTGTAACCATTTGACAATAACTCTATAATATGACAGTATGCGCGCCTATCACAGCTTCGTCGACATTTGCTATCGATGTTGAGGAATATAGCACCACGAGAGAGTGATCGAAGCTCCAGGTTCTGGCGGATGTGCATGCTTGATCTTATTCGATCAAGATCTGTCTGCGAAACAATCCTGTTCCCAGATAGGAGGAATGCATGGTACCCTTCACAAGTCCAACTCTGTAGAACCGCTCCGTTCCCTCACCCGTAGAATTGTTGTTACTCAATCTCTGAAGGGCCAGCCCCACCCAGAGCAGCATTCCATCTTTGACGCGGTCATATATCAGAGCACAATGTATAGTATCTCCGGGGACAAGCTGTAGATTGGGCACATCTGGTATCATGATTGCGCCGTTTTCCAGTTTCCAGATAAAGCCGAGATCGTTGGCTAGGATCTTCGTGGAAAAGGCATGTGCCTCCAGAAGCATCTCTCCAGCTGTCACCTGGCCAAAAGGGTTCATTGGATCGGCCAGACAGGATGCATACAATAGTTTTGCATCTATTCGCGAGCTTGATCTTAGTTCGGGGCCTACCATATCCCATTCGACCGGATTGCGGGTCGATATCCAAGACCAAGAGGGTTTCAACGACTTTCGGTAATTTCCCACAGGATTTGAGAATGCACTAGCCATAGAGCTGTTCGGTTGCGCTGTCGAGCGCGTGGATTGAGGATGTCTTGTTCCAGTCGAGTGGTTCATCGTGTCCGTAGTTGCATGCATTGAGGAGGCAGCCACAAAGATGGACCAATCCGCTTGCCAAGTCATTTGCCATAAAATGCCCGACTCCCAGAGACCAGCAAAGTAGCGGCCTAATCGAGTATTTGAACTTTTGAACCGGGCAGCGATACCAGAGAGGGCCGGAAGCCTGTCAACCTCGTCCGTTAATTGCCTCTTGGAGTAATCCTTGACCAGTTGCTGCCACAGAGCCACCCAGTCGGCACCCTCGGGGTTGCTGACTGAGACATTGAATAATGACCCCCTCAGATGACCGTTCTTCCAGCGCTGATCTGCTTCGACGCTTGAGCACTCACATACAAAATCAGACCTGCATTCCCACAACATTTCGTCCGGTAGAAAATGAAGAGTGCGCGTAGCCAGTAACCGCTCCTGGAGAGTCCAGCCCCGTCGGAGCAGTGGGCAGCCAGCCGGATCAGAAGTCTCTGATACAATGCCTGAATGGGGTAATCGCCTACGGACTAGAGTGTGTGCCTCGGATCCATCAAAGCCTGTCCATTTGACCACTTTTCCACCACCATCCGCTACCGCAGTTTCCCTGCGCAGCCCGAGAAAACCTTCTGTCACAGCAGCAGATGAAGTAACCGAAATAGTCAACGTTGCTGCTTCGTAAATGGAACCCATCTTCGATGACTCTATCCTCCAGTCTGTATTGTTATTATCATCATCATTCTGGATGATGCACAGTGAGTCGATCCACATATATTCAATTCCAATAGATCGTGCTACCGCGACTGCGTCTTGCAAGGTCTTTGGTAAATCATGGTAATCAATCTTGGTCCTTCGTGCATTCATATTTTCTCGCGTTGTTGTGAGGTTTGCTTCCCGTGGTCCCCAACAATAACTCAGGGCGATGTATGGAGGAAGCCGATGTGATCTGTTCTCAAGGATAAGTCTTGACGTGTCAACTAGATATATGTCTAGCGATGACAGGCCGATACCTATATAGAGCAGTCTTTCTGGCTTCACTTGGGCACGGTCAACTGGAGGGAGTCTGGAGCAATATTCATGGTGAGCGGTACATCTTCGCAGTTGTTCCTTAGCGAAGACGGCTGCGGCATCGGCGGTAATGTCCTGTGGGACTTCTCTTCCAACGCCCACAAACGGACTTGGCAACTTCCAGTTTCGGACCGTCAGAAGCTCGAGATCCAAGTTCCTCGACTCTAGACGGAGTGGCAGACCCTTTTCAAAGAGTATGTGCACCCCGTCCGTCTTTTCTAATAATGTTCCTTCAAGACTTTTTGCGAGAAGCTTGCAACCTGGACAGCCCTTCACTGCGCTTAATTGCAATTCCAGGAGTTTAGTCAGCCTGACACACTTCGTAACGTTCTTTTGACCATCGCGTCGAAGCCAATATTGCTCGGCATCCAAATTGAGACATATGTCACAGAACTCCATACTTTTGTCAAGCGTGTTTGTGCCAGTGGACTGCTCTTGCGATAAGCTCGTCGTGTGGTATGTTTCGCTCCAAAAGCTGTCTTTTCGGACCCTCAATCCTTAAGATGTCGCGAAGTATGCCCTATCAGATATTTGGTGAATTTCATCGAAAAGTATTGTATATATGATGGTTGCGACGATCAGCAGAACGTTGCCCAACGTGGCTATGTCGGCGATGTTGAGCTTAAGCAGGCACTCAGCCTCACAAAAATCGGTGAATTCCTGGACCGGTTCACTGCCGCAACCCCTGGTATCAGACTAGACGACGAACGGTGCATGGGGGTTATTATACTTCAAATCAAGCTCATATCGAGTAAATGACCGAGAATTTTGCAGCCAAGTTCGTTCGTTAGCCTCGAGGATACTCGTCTGTCAGTGTCGTGAATCACTACCGGTAGCCAGCGACATAGAACACCGGCACCTAGTCGAGACACGAATCCTGCTAATCTAGGGGGAATAGACGAAGTAGACCAAGACGCACAATGAGGTAAGGTGGCGCATTATTCAACATGCCTTGAGGGGTCCATCACGAGTACATACCTGACGGCACACCAGAGTTCTGTACGCGGAGATGGGACGCAAGTTCGTGGGACGTGCTGGCTGTGCTGGTTGGTCATCAGACTGTGTGGTGTTCGGACAGTCTATCGCGGGAAATATTGAAGTGAACCACTGTACCCACAACGCTAACGAAAGTGTTTTGACCCCAACAAGATCCCAAACCAAACCACCAGGTCCAACTGAGCGGTTCGGCAATAAGTGGTCTCGACCCCACTAGCGCCGCCAGCGGGGAGCACACTATCAAAATTTGGTGACTCTTTCGACCATGGCGATATTTCTTCCTCCTGCACACTTTGTGACTTTTAATCCCGCGCGCAAGCAGGATATATTCTGCAAAGTTGCGAGAGTGTATCAGAAAGAGGCTTCGAGGAGACTAGTTGCTGGCACTTCCGTTGCTACTGACTCAAAGCATGGCCAGCGATTATTTAGGCATGGGTTTGGACGGCGATAGCAAGATTCCGCACCAAGCGAGTGCTGATGCCAATGATACTCACCAGCGCGCAGGCGGCCGCGATGAGCCTGTCCAGTACGATGTTGATCGAATCGAAAAAGTTTACAAGAAACTTGACTTGAGAATCATACCAGGTATATATCATGTTTCAAAGCTGCTTGCGTCATAACGGATTGTTGACAGAGGTATAGCTTTCTGGATCTTGTATTTTCTATGCTCGGCCATCCGATCCAACATTGGTCTTGCTCAGACAATGAACGCCGCGGCAGGCCACGATTTGATGCAAGTGCTGAACTTGACCTCCAAAGATGTCTCCACTGCGTTGGCTCTATTCTATGTCTCTTATGTCATCTTCGATATGCCTTCGAACTTGATCATGAGCAAGCTCGGCCCCCGAGCTTGGATGGCCCGCATTGTGTTCGCTGTTGGCGTCATTGGTATGTGCTTCGCTGCAGTAAAGTCTGCTTGGAGTGTGAAGTAAGTTGGACCATGCCTCCGAGTTGCAAACTCTGTGAAGTGCTTACGCGATCCAATCCAGGTTCCTGCGATTTATTCTTGGTGTTGTTATTGCAGGCATGTGGCCAGGTATGTCATATTACCTGACGCTGTTTTACCCACCATCGCGTACCGGGAAGCGTATTGGACAGTACTACACTGCAGCTCAAGTATCTGCCGCGGTGGTTGGTCTTGTGTCGGCCGGCTTCCAGCTCATGGATGGCGTTGGAGGTTTGGTAGGATTTCAGTGGATGTTCCTGCTATATGGCGCGTGTGCCACAGTACTTGGAGTTATTCTACTCTGGTGGTTGCCTGATCGCCCGCTGCCCCCGGGAGAAACCCGTGTCCGCAAAGGCATCTTCAAATGGCTTCCTAAGCCTCCTGAGGCACTCACCGGGGAGGATGCCATCATTCACTACCAGGATCTCAAGCGTGTATATCATCCTAGACCTTGGACTTTGAAAGACCTTGGCTATGTCCTCATCGACTGGCGGCTTTGGCCATTGACCATGATGTACTTTGGTGTCGTCGGCGTGGGTATTGGCACCCAGCTATATGGCACTGTCATCATTCAGGGTATCGACGCGAGCTTCACCGGCGTTCAGCTAAGCTTGTTGTTTGCGCCCATCTGGATAGTACGTCATCTTCCTTGAAAGGATGTCGCTAGGTACAACAACTGACTCTCTTACAGATGGACCTTATTGCTATTCTCATTGTTACTCCCATTGCCGACCGATTTCACCAGCTACGCCCTTTCTTCTTTTCTGCCGCAGTGTGCATTCAGATTGCAGGGCTTCTCGTAGTCACATTTGCCCCCACGAGCAACCCATGGGCTAGATACGGCGGGCTGCTAATGGTTGGCTTCGGACTTGGCCCTACTGTTCCCACTTGCATGGTATGGACCAACGAGATCTTCCAGCAACGTCATGGTGAAGTCGGAGTTGCGGCTGCTTCAGCTCTCGTCTCCGGCCTAGGCAACCTCGGAAGTATCACGACGACCTACGCTTTGTACACCGGATGGCCCGAAGACGCGGTAAAGGGTCCTCGCCAATACCGTAAAAGTAACCTCACTATGATCGGCATCCTGTGCATCAGCATTGCCAGCAGTCTTGTTATGTTCGCTGCCGTGAGGCTTGTTGGTAACAAACCCAGTCGCAAGATCAACAGCAGCGGCAGCTCGACAAATGACAGTGCTGATGAGTACCAAGACGGTGCTGCTCGTCGAGAGGTCCAGCAGCGCGGGTTCGGACGTATGTGGTGGAGCAAGAGGGCCTAGACTAGGTCCTGACCCTCGCTGCACCAATCAGACAACCCGAGCTTCGATGTTCAACCATTGCCTTAGCACGACTCATTCATTTCTCACCGATGCTATTTCGCGCAGGTAGCCTAACCTACTTTTCGGTTTTATTTATCTTGGCTTTTTCACTTAGCCTCTTGGCATATCATTACTAGTCAAAGCGTTTGGAATGCTTTCATCCGAGGTACGACCTCGACAGCGACAGGGCTTTTACGCCATCGCTGGGAACGGCATTTCTGGAAAATGAAGCGGAAGGGAGCGACAAACGCTGCAGCGCTATCGCCTTTACCCTTCTGCTTCGCACAAAAAAAGATCATGGGAGGATAACAGGGGATGATCTGTACGACTGGAGGATTCGGTGTTTGATTTTCGTTACGTTTGTTTTTCTGCATATGATACCCCATTTGTGTTTGGATACGCTGTCACTCGAGACGAAGCTTGTTCTTCACCAACAAAACTCGCCAGCGAAAGTGCTACTACGCCATCGCTTGGGACGGCGTGTTGCAGCCGAGCTGGGACCGACGACAATGCTTTTGCGCTATCGTTGGAGTCTCGTCTCGTGGGCCGCTTTCACACGTTCTTTAGAGTTTTTGAAGATACATCTGTTGTTATTGTTGTTGGAGGAAGGTGGAAGGAGGTATATAGGGTTCGAAGGAATGGTTATACTGGGTGTTCTATGTGCAGTAGTGCACCAATTGAATGCAAATACCATGCCTCAGCCGTCTAAAACAATTTACTTGACCGCCTCCTAGTGTCACAATATCACCCTTTTCTGCCATAGGTTTACCTCCGATTATTTCGTCACTTAAATGTCATGGAAATAGACCTCACCTTTCAGATATCCTACTAAGATCTTGCCATAATAACGGGCGTCTTGACCTCGAAGGATCATCTCAGAAGAATCGCATAATCTTCTTCCATTTCCACAACAACCCCCATCCCCCGAAAACTGATGATAATCCCGTGAATATAATGATGGGCCCGTAGCTTGTGCCATAACCGAAGCTTCCTACCGTGTTGGTATGACCAGCATTTAGCAACGGTACGCCCACAAGCCCTCCGGCGACATATCCGATTCCCCTCGCTCCATTGAGAAGACCATACACCATTCCCGTGTCAATGGCCTCATTCCTCTGCGCAGCTTCCGAGGCCATCTCATTTAAAGCTCCGCCCCACGTGGCACTATACCCGCCGGCAGCGAAGCCGAAGGTGATGGAAAATAGCACCAGAAGTGCCATGCTGCCAGGCGATGTGAGACCCCAGAGCAGAAACGCAGAGAGCCCCGACACGATGCCAGATATGGCCGTGACAGTTGTCGCAGAGAGCGGAAAGCGCTTGTTGTCGCTGAGATAACCAAAGAATGACGAAGAGGCGATGCCGGGAATGTTGAAGAGAGTCAGGAGTAAGGTCGCTGATGTCTGTGAAAGAAGCGTGACTTCGTGCGCATAAGTGTTCAGATAAGTCTGCGGGAGGCCATAGCCGCAGCTCTGCAGGGTGGTCGCGATGCTGTAGATCCAGAAGGTGCGGTGTCTGAGGAACCGCCACGGGATTCGTCGCGCCCTGGGCGCCTCGGGAGATAGAACAGAGGGATGGGTTGGGATGGTGAGGATGGCGAGGATGCTGCTCCCGGTGACGACTGCAGCCCAGATCCGCAGAGTCGTGCGGAAGCCGTACTGGTCCAATAGCACCCGCATCAGAAACGGACAAGCCGATCCTACGATGTTTTTGCAGGATAGCGTCACCCCGTAGGCCAGAGCTCTGTTGCTTGTGTTGTACCATTCGCCAAGGGATAGCGTTGTCGGGCTAAATATCAACGCCGTACCTAGGGCGGCGAGTACCCCTTGTGTCGCGACCAATTGCCACACATGCGTACTGAATGAGGAGAGCAAAAAACTAGTTGCCGTCAGCAAAGCACCGTAGAAAGCGGCCGTCCTGCGCCAATGCGCCCAGCGCCTCGTGAACAGCGCGAAGAGCAACGGCATCGAGAGATAGGTCACTCCGTTGAGCGTCGTGCCGATGATACCAGTGACCTCGCGGCTGCCTTCCAGTGTCCAGTTGCCTGAGTAGTACTCCTGGAATACGCCGTAGCTCATGGCGAAGCCTGTCTGAGTGAGCATGATGACTTTGTCAAGTGCGCGCTACTTGGCTCGGCCTACCCCACATGGGCAACTGCAGAACCGCAGAGCCGATGAGAACGCTGGTTTTCTTCCATCGCGGTTCCGATGTTCTTGGGGCAGCTTGTTCGAGGCTTGCGCCGTCAAGAATGCCAGCTTCGGCTGTTACCTCTCGCCCCGCGGTGTCATCGCCAGATGTTGTCAGCGGGGTCATGCGGAGTGCTATAGCGTCATCTTCCGCCATTGTCAAAGGCTGCGCTCTCATAACAAAAGTTGAGGCCATATTCAAACGCAGATATTGTAAAGTCAACTCCACAAATGGAGCACCGACATCTTTGCGAAGGGTTTCACAAGATACGTCAACTGGCCGACCTCGGAGTACGTGCAGGGAATCATTGCCTTTCTTGGAACTGGCCTATCTTACTGAGCAACAGCTCGGCCCGTAAGGCACACTCCGTCTCCGACTCAGCACGTTGACGCAAGTTCGGTGTCCGAGCATACGTGGTTTTCTTGGAACACGCGAGCTATGTATCATTATTGCAAAGAATTCAACTCGATTGTTCTTATTGAAAGACTAAGTAACATAACAGATCTGGATACTTCAATACATGGGACTTGTAATAGTCCTTCCCTATTGCCTCTTTGATTCCTTGCTCCGGAGCCTTTCCTTTTCTACCCTAATCTACCTCAATACTTGGCCAAAAAGTCTAGCCAACGGGCATATCCCCATTCCGGCACCTGTGATGAGGCTCATATTCACTCTTAGGCCACGCAACACACCTTCCATTCATGCCCTTTTGTGTGGCAAGTAGTTCTGCACCTCCTGCATACTAATCAGTCGACACTCCGCATATTATGTCTCAATAGGTAGTGTATATATTCGCAGAACCGACGTCCATGCCTCGCAAAATAAGATCACGCAGCCACGCAAATCTATCGTGATCTTAGTTCAAAAAAGGCAACTTGATGCGCTGGGCGAGTTGATATACAAAAGTTCATGTCATGGAACAGATGGACAGTCATCCAGAATTAAAAGGTCATGTGGTCGGCACTGGTAATTTGCTGCTACCGTGGAGCTTTGCCTTCAACAGGACAGAATCTGGTTCTTCCCCGGAACGATGAAGTGCTGCAATTATTTGACAAGGCTTGGTAAGGAAAGGAAGATTTGCTTATATTTACATGAGAAGATGCTCTTTAAATTAAAGTCGAGGATTGTTATAAGCTATGAACAAGTTTTCCACCTTTCGCTAATTATGAACATCGTCAGTTTTGGATAAAATCGGTATGAGCTGGTGATTTCCTTGGTAAGTACGTGTTAGAATTAGTATGTTGTGAGCGGTGGTCTTGGCAGTATCGATAAATAAAATTGTCTATTAAATGTGTGACTAAATACGGGATCAATTACTTGCAGAAACAGGGCAGTTAATTATATATGCAGCCGAACATGCAGTGTTACGTACGAATGTAAACACGAAAATTACACGGAAATATTTGACTGACAATGTGCGCCATAACTGGTTCCCGAATTATAAAAAGACCACAATACAATGAAAGTCATACATACCTTTCGGAAAGGATATTCTAGCTTGCCTGAACATGCCTCCTCCCGGCCAGAAGACACAAGCGGAAACACGTTGCACCGCCTCGTTGGTCGAGGCGTTTCTTTGGCACTTGGCGCTAGTGCTCACCGAAATGCTCTACCAATAAGCAGTGCAGCTGTTAATTGGCGACAGTACATGCAGCATATGGCGAATCCTTCACCCCATCAGTAGAGAGCATAGTTCAAAAGATAACAGTCTCAGGCCCGGGGGGGGGCATTACTTATCGCTCTGGATTTTGATTTGAGCTGTCAGGGCTATGTATCCAGTGAAGCTTGACACACGTTTCCATGTAGTTAGGATCCAAGGCTGTAGTCATCCATTTTCAGGATGAGGCTACACTAGCGGTCCGAAGAAGTCCATCATAAAATCGAGGGATTTTATCTAGGTTGGGCACTTCGACGTAACTAGGATAACGACCACGCGACCTAGCGAGGCTGACGAGTTAGAACTCAGTCTAAAGCAGTTAGTTATTGTAGTCACCGGACGATACTTGTTGGGTCCGAAGCAAGGTACTTCAACGGTCAAATCTCAGTCTTTGATAGTTGTAGGGCACATGAACCAGTTTTAAGTAGCCAATTTCCAATGGATTTTGAACTTGAGATTTAGCGTCGAGGCCAGATTGTGAGACTAGCAGGGATCACCAATTATATGCCTCTCGATGTCTTGTTCGGAGGTGGCGGAAGACGTTTTCGGGACGTGGGTTTGTACAATAATGTGTGAATATGGAAATACTCTACTGGTGGGTCCGTCAACTTCTTCATGTAAGCCTGGAAAAGTCGGTGTAGGCAGAGGCTTATACCACTCGGGTCTGCTTTTGGAAGTAGGTCACTGACTGAATAGCTGCTGAATTACCATTCCAGGCAGCTGGCACCTGCTTCGGAGTGACAATCGTGTGGCTAAGCGTTCTAGTTCCTCCGGCGCCTTCGGCAGCTATGCCAAGCGTTGAGGCCGGGCTCGAACCCCGCAACTTCACTTTAGCAAGAAGAGTTCATCACCGTGCAGTTCTTACAACAAATCAGCACCCACAATCAGACCACTACAATCAATATATTTCAACGGTTTAGTGTCGTTTCAAAGTCTGTCAAGACCCACTGAGATGACCGGCGACAACATCGAAGCCAGATCGGCCAGTTCGCCTAGACTCCCAACTATCAGTCCCCTGTTCTAGTTATACGCGCAGAGACGAAAATTGGAAGGATCACGAACTGCCAACCCATTGAACTTCTGAATATCCAGAACGTCAAAAAGTATCAGGATAAATCTGGCCACTTCCGTGGTGTATCATTCGTTTCTTAGTAATGGATGTGTGCTATGGTATAAGTTCCCCTGCATTGTACTAACTTTTCTCTGCGGGGACTTTTTTTCAGTGAGTAGTCTGGTCAGAATGGCAAATATATGCATATAGCCCTGATGGGCGTCACTACTCTGTAGGGTCATGATACTGATCAAATGTGTGTATATTGATCCTCAGTAGAGTGTTGTTCAGTGGCGTAGTTCCTTAGCTATTCTGAGGGATCCCTGAAGGCTATCTATTAAGGGTGGACTGGGCACCGCAGGCATCTACCTAAGTGGTGGCACCAGGCAACCATTAAGTCCTTCTTGGGTCCATTACTGGTGTGAATTTGGTCTCTATTGTGTTAGCAGTGGAGTTGCCACTAGGTTGCCTATTTAGTTTAATCCTTTGTCGCCTTTGTTTTCAGTCAGTTCATTGTCACTGCCCGCGTGCCCTGTCGATTGTATATCTTCACATCCTATCAGTTAACTAGATTATTCACCTCTATCTAAAGGGCAGTATGACTATTATTGATGATTGTGTATAGTACTACATGAGTAGCCGTTTGTCTGTAGATTAGCAGTGAGGTAAAGGGAGCTATTACCTACACACCACCTGATCGGTCGATGTATAGGAGGTGAATTAAATTCAGGGCGATTTGAAGATATGTTCTTCAATCACTCGTATTATGTGAGTCAGATAAATACGGGGATGGCATTAGCCCGATCTATGTTCATTTTTCTTTCTTTCTTTTTTGGATATACCTAGGAAGCAGATTGGAACCTCGTTACCTTCACAGGGTCACTCAAAAGTTTGCAATCAGATAACAGTGCCTCTGTTGGTGCGGTGAGTAACCAAGGTCTGCATTGTACAGTTTCAAAAACTAGGATCGAGTCGATCCTTCGTTAGAGGAGGGATATTTGTCATCGTAGCAGCTTGGATGGCTTTATTTGGACAAAACGCCAGGACTGTATACATGTAGTGTTTTTACATCAAAAGACCCGGTAAAGATCTTCTACTCACTAGATATCAGTCTTCTTCCTATCAGATGATAGCTGTACCTGATCTATGATTAGTATTCTCTCAAGCCGTGGCAACATTGGTTGCAGGACTAGCGAAAGATGCGAATTGTGAAGAACACTAGAGTCGATATAGAGTACAAGAAGAAGGAACAAGAATTTATATACACCCTCTTTTGTGGTAGTCAATAAGAGTAGGCATCGCCAACGATATTGGTGGTTATTTTAACGTTCATGGATGGTGTTGAGGCTGTCATGATTAAGCTAGCGATATATCTGCAAGACACGCGATAGTTATGGGAAATCACAATCTGGAATCGTGTAATCTTTTTGGCTAGTCCTATGAGTCGTTTTGTGAGGATATACACAACGTACAGGCAGCGATGACTCTGTTACCCTTACACACTGATAAAACTTGAGCCATAGTCTAGTTCATATTCATCCCAGTATAGGAACACTCGCAACAAGGGAGCGATGAAAGCTGTGTAAAGTAGTGTTTGGTACGATTTTCTTTCTTTACCTCTTTCTTTCTTTCGTTTTTCTTTGGTTGGGACTTAAGTGACTGAATCTTGTAAAGGACGAATAACAGTCTGTATGTCGCGTTATCCATCAGGTACTTCGCCGCATGATGGCATTTCAGTTTTAGATTTCGCCACATGTCTCTCCTTAAGCCAGGTAAATTCAGCTTAGAATGGAGTGACTATATACGATTGGTAATTACGAGTACCTTTTGAGATGAAGAACAACACACTTGACATTCGGTTTCAGAGCACGAAATTTATAAAACACCACTTGTAAACACGACAGGAGGATAGATCAGCTGACTTACCGGTGATTTAAGACACCGCTACTTCCCTATTTGCAAAGCAATGCGTTCATCGCGTACCGTTTGGGAAAATGTCAGCCGGCATAATTTGTTGCTGCCGCCTGATATCCTGATCCTAGATTTATGAGTTCAATAATAAGTTGGACCCTCATGGAGGCAGCGCGTTCGAATAGATGGGGACACGCGGAGTCTGATGTTCGCAATTTACTAGTAGGCCGAAGGACCCGCATTTGACGTGTCCGCTGCTCTGCAGGTAGGTAATTGCGCGGGTCGTTGTTTGTATGCCGCAAAACATGGAACGTTCACAGTGCTTGTATTTCCGACAATGTGGTGGGGTTGACCAAAAAGGGACATTGTGGTGATATTTATTCTTGAAAAGATCGTGGAAGCGAATCTTCCACGAACAGCGTCGAATAAACCACTGCAATATTAAGGCAAAGCTGCCACTATTGCACCAACGTCCTCATTTTATGGCCCCCAGATCTAAAATCCATCTCGTGCATGTGAGAAAGGTCCACTGGCCGAGTACAGCAACGATGTGCCTCACATCACCATGTGGGTGGGGACTTGTTCGCCTTATAGTAGGCTCAGCCTGCAGGTTGCATTGCAGGTTGCCGCTTTTTGATCGTCGTGATGTAGGGGCATGCATTTGCAACTGGGAGGAAGGACTTTGCGAACCCACATCATAGGCCTTTGCGACACAATATTGTCATCCGGAAGCATGCATTCTTGGCGCACTCGGCCCGGCGATAGGCTGCCGAAATGTGTATTGTTCTCATCACACGGAATTCGGCATCGCGAAATAGCATATTTCGACCATCGCAGAAGAATCATGAGGCACTGTAGTTGTTGTTGCTTCTACAGTGGTGCGCCCCAAAGCGGGGTCGCTACGCGAGACCTGCTCAAGCATAATCACGGCGTAAATTTCACCGAAAGTATTGAAAAGATGATAGTGACGTAAGACCACCAGTGTCAAGCTGATGAGAGGACTGCAGGACAGTATGTGGATTAAGTGTTTTGGCCCGATTCAGAAGAGAGTGCAGGCGCCAGGATTACTCAGATTTGGGGTCGGGCTTGGTCTAATGAGAATCAAGACTTGCTAGCGATTAGGGCTGATGACTTCCCGGTATGAGCTTCAAAACTACGACTTGCTCAGGTGATATTCAATGCTCAGATCTCTTGAAACTTTTTGTCATTTCTAAGCCCCTTGTTTTTAGTTTAACAACTAGTATTGGCTTCAAACGCAAGAAAATGCGAACAATACAGCTCGACACGACATTGGCGGATTTGTACCGCCATCATGGCATCAAAGGTCCGTTCATTGTGACCATGTATTGCGTTTTTGGCCATCTTGATCTACATCCTAATTTCCCAAGGGAGTTGCTGTTCCCAGAGGATGAGGAACCAGTGCCGTTCTCCGATGATCCCGAAGAGCAGGATCGCCTCAAAAGAGTCATCCTAGGATTGAAACCACTTCGGCGGGCATTCGGCCTAGGAAACATGGAGGTCATTCTACTTGGGCCCAATGCAACTTCTGCTGGCATGAAACGTGCTGTACTGCAACTGGCACCGGCACAGCGCCATAAGCCCAGGTTCTTGGACCTTGAGAAGGGAGATATTCAAGCGCAATTACTCGAAGTATGCCAGGACAAGAAATTGCTGTTCTGGAGGCCACAAGGGTGGATGAAACAACACGATTGTCTGATTGATCCCCAAGAGGGTTATGATATCAATTCTAAGAAGTTCTTGATCACATCAGGAATCAAGACACCCAAGTCTGTGGTGGTCAATTTGCAAGACATGAATCTTGATAGTCCTGAATCTGTACTTAGCACAACAACACTACCATTTGTGCTCAAACTTTGTAGAGCAGGTTGCGGCTTCGGCACTTACATTGTCACTGATGAGGGCCGGCGGCGTACTATGATCGATGCCATGCGAAAGTACCAGCATAAAGGAGTGACAGAAGTTCTGGTCTCAGAGTACATCGATTTGGTCCAGGACCTTGCTGTGCATTTTCTTATCGGAGCCGCGGACAGCGAACGGAATCATGATAATCCTTTGATACTCGGCGTTACTGTCCAAACGTTGAATAAGGAAGGCAAATGGGTTGGCGGACACATTGATTATAGTGCACAAGATGCACTTCAGAACTTGGTGCAACAGACTGTCCGTGAGACGGCGAAACGTATGCCAAGATCATATATTGGCTGGGCTGGGATCGACATTGTAGTAGACCGGGAAGGGAGGCAGTGGGTCGTGGACTTAAATGCCAGGTTCACTGGCTCAATGCCAATTTGCTTCCTGTCACAGCATTTTTGGAAAATGTGCGACCTTCGCATGGCGCAATTTGGTGCGTTCAATTATCGCGGGAATGTCGATGACATCTATGAGCGCCTGAGGCCTTTACTTGACCTAGGCCAAATCATAGTAACAGCTACCGCAGAGATTTACGATGGGGACAATATGGCTGACATTGTTTGGGGAGGCAGAGATGCGGAGGACTTACGCCAGGTGGAGCAATGGATCAAGATGAAGTTGGCAACAGCCTAAAATTGTGATGAATAGTATTGAAACATCGGGTTTATTAGATATAATTGCAAGCCTCCTTTCAACTGTCATTCTTAGGGAATTCTTTCTAGCAGTGAGCGGATCGCGCACTCATATTCAGCACTATGAAAGTGAACATCTCAAATACCAATTTAAGATTTGATCCAGTCAGACAGACCGGCAGCCTTTCTCATTCTGGCTCTCTTGTTCCAGGATCGCTGTACGATGACCTCTTCGTCAAATACTGCAGTAATACTTGGATGTCTAGATACTGCAGTCGCCCAGTTGTGAAAGTTGGGTGCTCCCTCCGCAATGTGTTTGTTCAGACTAGTAGGATAAACTCCATTCCTTGATAATGCCAATGCACGAACGAGGAAAGGTCCTGTGATGACCTGCACAGCAATTCAGCACTTGGAACATAGATCCAGGATAACAGATACCTACCTCCGCCAATGTCAACTTTTCACTAGCGCCAAAGAAAGGCTTTGCATCTGCGAGAAGTGGCTCGACCTCGCTGATTAGACCCTTAACAGCGTCATTAACTATACTTTCGGTGTCGGCTTCAGTATGTGCATCGAACAGCCGGAACAACACTGTGTGGAACTTGCTCCAGTATGCGTCCGTGAAGAAGGTGATCTTGGCGCGGCGCAGCGCACCCTCAATTGTCGTCGGCGGCGGGCACAGGTGTGAAGGATGGATGTCGCACAGGAACTGGCAGACAATCGCGGACTCCACAATTATCTCATCATTGAATATGATCACTGGAACCAACCCACGCGGATTGATGTTTTTTAGGAACTCTGCAGGTCGCGGACCGTCCACATTGATTATTCGTTCCTCAAATGGGAGACCCAGCTCCGTGAGTGCAACCTTTGCGCGATTGGACCCTATCGAGCATGAGCAAGGTTATCCGGAAATAACATGAAAAGCGCTTCCGATTGGGCAAGAATTACATGTACACGTGTCGTTGTTGTAAAGAATGATCTTATCGCTCGTGGACCCCATGTTTACGTCTGTGTAGCCTTCAAAGTAGAAGTTTTGGAAAATAGAATTGTCTATGAGAAGCATTTCAAGGACGCGGCGCCATAATGCCATTTATATGACGTTGTGCACCGCAACTAACGTGATTCAACAATCTGACTCAGTCTGACCTACATGATCCAAGCCCCTGTAGAGGACTGCAGCAGCTGTGGAGTAACGGGTCACAACACCCGCGTGTCATTAGAAATGGGTCGGCTCGGTCGTTGGCTTTGTCGCTGGCTCTTCCATCTGTAGTAGCCGAGACGGCTGTGCCACAACCTCACTGCGTATGGGAACCATTTGCATATGCTCTTAGCAGCAAATACACAAACTATTGGAACAAGGTAGTATTCGCCAACAGCAGGCTGTTCATGATGAAGACCCAACTAGTATGTCAGCCAACAGCCAAGGGAGGAAGCAAAGATGAAATGACGAGCAGGGGTAATAATACCACTGTATGTTGGAGACAAGCAATGTATGATATAAGAAGTGCACATTATTGCAGCCAACGGATCAATGGTGTAATCAGGGTACTGCCGGTCTTTTAAACGATTGAGCACCTCATGAAAAGCCAGAAAGAGCCTGGAAAAAAACCCTCCGGAGCATAGTCATTGATTTGGTCAGTCTTTCAAATCACTCATCATGGTGAATGAATTTCGCGGTAGTCTATCAGACGATAAAATGATAAAATTACCAGTTCCAAGGGATTTGCCGCTTCTCACACAAGAAATGAAGAGTAACTACTCTCCAGAAGCGATCAAAAGAGTAGGGGTTATCGTTACACTTGCTGGAATCAACTTTCTAAATACTATGGGATCCGGTATTCTCATTGCAGCATTGCCAAGAATTGCAAAAGATCTCAACATTCCAGACGGTCTCATACTATGGTAAGTCAAATGTTGGATTAATGCAAAAGACTAATGCCACTATTTGACCACCTCGCTATTGCCCCGGCTACGGATTTGCTCGCGTGGCCTGCTAATATTACTTCCTGTCATCACACACATTTACTGATTACCCCTTATTCTGTCAGGCCTGCCGCTGTATATGCACTTGCCGCTGGTTGCCTACTCCACGTCTTCGGTTCGGTGGCCGACATGATTGGTCCCAAGAAGTTATGGATCACTGGAAGTTTTCTTTTCGCGGTGTTCACTATCGCTGTTGGGTTTGCATCAAGCGGCATACAGATCATCATATTTCGAACCTGTCTAGGTGTGGCGATCGCCATGTGCTTACCGACCACAACAAGTCTCATCACTAATACCTTCATGAGGGGTCCTTGGAGGACGACGGCATTCGCCATGAGCGGAATGGCTCAACCACTGGGTTATGCGCTAGGCTTAGTACTTGGAGGTGTCTTTACTGACACTATAGGGTGGAGATGGTCGTACTATATCATGGCTATGATTAACTTCTGCATCTCTTTGGTGTCTATCTGGTCGCTGCCTAATGTCGAGCATGCGTCAAAGAAAACATGGAAGAAACAATTACGAGAGGATGTCGATTGGGTGGTAAGTTGTTTACATCTCAGACTGCACATTCAATCATTCCGTAATAGGCACCCTTTGCTAAATCTGACTATGTCCAGGGTGTCATTGCCTTAAGCGTCGCCCTTGCATTGTTACTATATGTCCTCGCCATGTTGACGTCGAGTTATCGGAACATCTACGAGTCTTCCAATATATGCCTCCTCACTCTCGCACTTTTGATGCTTTCAACTTTTCCATTCTGGATGTACATACAAAACAAGCGAGGACGACCGGCACTTATACCTAATAGACTATGGCGTGAAGCCGCATTCACAGGCTCGTGCCTTGCAGTCTTCTTCTGCTGGGCCTCGCTTAACGGCATCGAATACTTCACCACACTATAGTATGTCGATAGACAAGTTTATTGCGTGGATCCATGATCGCTGACACATATCGTAATGCACAGCTTCCAGCAAATCCAAGGGCTTCCTGCATTACAGTCGTCAGTTCGATACTTCGCGCAGATCGTGGTTGGCACATCTACAAATGTCGCACTCGTCTATCTCATACCCCGGATTAAGGTGCTGACGCTTACCACGGTGTCTGCATGCATTACACTTGTGTCACCCGCCATCATGGCGACTGCTTCATTGGACGCACCTTATTGGACCGGTGGCCCTTTCTGGGCCTTGCTGCTCTGTCCTGTCAACCCTTGGGGTAAGCTGCCTGTCCAGGACTTGGCACTCTATTGCTAACATATGCACGTTAGTATTGTTCAGCGTATGTAACCTTGTCATATCCGATGCGTTCCCCATGGAGCTACAGTCACTGGCCGGCAGCGTCTTCAATGCAGTTGCTCAATTCGGCAACTCTGTCGGACTGGCAATGACGGCGACTATTGCTGCGTCTGTGACCGAGCATTCAAGTAGCACTGATGCTAAAGTCGCGTTGATGGATGGATTTCGGGCTGCATTTTGGACAATCTTTGCTAGCACAGCCATCGTGCTGATTGTGAGTTCTATTGGCCTGCGACGCGCTGGTATTGCAGGCCAAGCTGAGGAGGATGCACAGGCCGAAATATTGAGAGGCGAGTCCGTTTAGTGTCCGAGGGCTTGCATCACAATTACCGACATGTTCGCGATGCTGGTTCAGGTATGCCATTATCTGAGACTCTGGACAAGAGGCCAAGTCACGTAGGTAACGACGCCCTTTGACTAGATTAGGTTAACCTAGTGGAGTAATGCTGCCTAGAGCTGTGGAAAACGGATCTGGATGTATGGTGGCGGAAGAGACTAGTCTAGAACGTGATTTTATAATTTGTCTACATTCAAGAGAACTGTCTTTATAATAGAAAATATTCTTTTTTTCTAAGCGATGGTTTGTTCAATTTTTCAAGTTAAATTAGGTGGCCGTTTGGCGCATGTGCAGGCTCCCTTTCCATCTGTACCGATATCAAGCTGCACCCACGAAGTCTTCAATTTGCCCTGTCGATCCAAGAGACGTTCGAAGAGTGTGAGGACATTTACACACAGTTTTCGCTTGTAGACAGGCAGGCAGGTCTCGGCCGTGATGGTGATGCCATCAACAAGATGCGAGACTTGTCGCAAAACATGTACGAGACCAAGGACGCCAATACATATGCGCGTGGCTCATGGGGCTATACCGGTATAAGAATATTGTCTTCATACAATGCCAAACCGATAAGCCAAGACTGACATCGGATAGTTCTCCGCACCGTGTATACAGAGGAGTCAGAGAGGTTGGTGCCTCTCGCTATCGATCGACTGAAGCTATGGACGAGCGCATGGTATCTGCATGTGAACCGGTATCCCATGTATGGCGATAGGTGGATTCAGCGGCAAAGGCCCAACGGTATTGTGAATGATGAGCTCGGACGCCGGTTCCGTGTCGAGCTCCTCGAAAACAGGCAGAGACTAGATCTGCCAAATATGAATGACGCGGAGCACGATCATGTGAAAAGACTCTGCGGTGTGTTCGATGAATGGGTGGTCAGTGTTGGTGGCAGCGTTGATGACAGGGTAATGACCCCTCGTCTTTGCGATTGCCTAGTCATGGACGAGGACTCTATGCGGTGCCTGGCAGCACTACCGACGGATACACCACCGCTCCGTACGGCGGAAACGGAAGAAGAAAGAAGAGTAAGTACATTGGACCTTCTTTGGCTCACGGTCTCCGAGCGTCTAGACATGAGATAAACAGATTATGCAGCTAATTTATCTTGATAGGAATGGCGCTCTCGAGGCGATGCTTATTTATGGCTGCTAGACACTCGCGCAGTCCGGAGATTCAACCCAGCTTCCGATGAAAGCAGATTTCGTGGATGGATGAAAGTTGACGCATCAAAACTTGACGAAAGCTGGTTCCAAAAGGTATCTCGAATTGATAGAACAGGCTCCGACGAGTGGGTTCTGGAGTGCCGTGAAATGAAGGAGACATCAGGTGATAAAGCAAATTGGTTTGATGTCGTCTGTTGAATATGGCTGGTGATCAAACAACGATGGGTTGTCCTTATCAACCACATTTGATGCTAGGCAGATTTACAGTTGACAGCTGCCCTTATAGGCTTCACAATCAGTGATTAAGTATTTTCTGGCAGGCAGGAGGTTTCAACATTGGAAAGTTTGCGAGATACTAGCCTAGACGATCCTCGTCTTTCTGAGTATCAAGTTAGGCAAAAGATGTCTGCTCAAGACGTAAAATCTGAAACGATTCATGGCGGAATAGAATTTTATAGTCGCATTGATATGTTTGAAAGCTTCGCGCAACGTTGTATTCAGGATATCGTGCAGGGCCCTCAAAGGCGACGCCATCAGCGATCAAGATAAATGATCGGCCAACAGGTTGCCTGGGGATATTTTCCTGAAACCGAAATCCTGTTAGAATATCTGGGTATGGCACAGCTGGATTTTGGAGACCGGGGTGGGGGCTAGGATCTTCAAAAGTCCTACGTTCCCAATCCTCTCTCACGCTTTTGGAGATTTGATGCAAGTCGCAAAGCGGGCCGATGGTTGTTAAGCACAGCCGACTGTGTCGGTTAATCCCATTGTGAAAACGTCGGCCGGGCCGGCTGGGGGGTCGGTCATGTTGGTTTGCTCAGTTTCAGGCGCCAGAAATTGTGCGAGCCAATTGGATACGCAGCGTCTGTGGTCAAGCCTTGAAACATTCAACGTCCTTTGGCCCTATCAATTTAGACGCCTGAGCCCCTGCCTGGTGGTTGCGAATAAAATGTTGCTCTCCGCGACCCCCTGCGTTCGAGCTGAATTATCACATTAAAAGTAATGCATGCATGGCCAGGGATCCCCAAACGTAGGCCAGGATGGGCCAAGTGCACATGGCACATCACGGCTGTGCTATTCATCACCCAGATTGGCAGCGTAACGCTCACTGCAAATAACATGTCACAAGGCTGCGACGCCTGTTTTCAAGGAATCTGGCCACAAAACGGTTACATGGTTTCATGGTAACCCCCTTTGAAGGCTGCGTGCAAGCCATGCTGTTTGTAAATCTGTCTTCAAACTATTAGGCAACGAAGATTCAAGGAATATAAGAGCAAGCGTTCAAGTACGAAAAAACAGTCGCTCGGTGAAAACAAACATAGAGTCATCTAAGCATACCCACTTAGGCAAATAGACACTGCATATTATATACCTTCATTCTATTTTGTACGACTGGGCATCTTGTTTTAACTTTACGTTCAACGTCATCATGGCCACTCCCCAAGTTTTCCGAACATCTCCAGAAACACCACAGGAAGAGCAGGCTGCCTCGGATGGTGCATCATCAATCGCCAATGAGGAAAAGAACAACTACGTCATTCCGGAGGATCCATTCGACACCGAGTATAGCCGGATTCTGTTTGATGCTTTAGATCAATTACAGTCTAATGGTACCAGTCAGCATATACCAATCCCACAGGTGAGTTCTTGTAGTCGTTCGTAATTCAACTACTTACACTCGTACTGCATAGCTCGTCATTGTTGGCGAACAATCTACAGGAAAATCTGCTTTACTCCAAAGCTTGACAGATATCCCATTCCCTGTTGGTTCGGGATTGTGCACTCGCTTTGCTACACGGATTGTTTCGAAGCGAACCGGGCCAAACACTAGCAACCAGTTCAAAGTCACAATTGTCGAGCCGGAGGTCACGATAAAGGGCCTGAGCTACGCAGAAGACGATGCATACAAGGAGTATGTACGCATTGGGGACAGTCTAACACCTGAAGAGTTTGGATCAATCATGGATGAGGTATATGATCTTGCTGCTGGTTTGTTACGAGAGAAGTGCTAATTAAACTCGACGTGCTGAAGGTGTCTAAAGATTACATGGGTATTAAGCCAGGGAAAGGAGATGACAAGAAGAACTTTGCTACGCAGGTTCTTCGCATCGAGCTGTCTGGACCCGGTCGTTCTCAGTTCAGCATTGTTGATATTCCTGGGATTTTCAGAAGTCACCATAATGTCAATGCCCCCGAGATGGCCGGAATCAAGGAAATGGTGCTACAGTATATGAAAAATGAAGGAAACATCGTCATGTAAGTCCATGTCGAGACAAAGCCACTGAGTCTGTATCTGATTGTTTTAGATGTATCCTGGATGCATCAATTGACCTGACACGGCAAGATCTTCCATCTATCGCATTGAAAAACGTATCCAAAGATCGCATCGTCGGTGTCTTCACAAAGTGTGACAAAGCTGACAACGCTGATGAGGTACGGCAAATATATCCCAAACAGAGGATGACTACGCTGACGAGATAGATATGTTCAATTGTTAGCAGCGGGGAAAGTCATGAGCTATCCACTGGCCACGGCTGGTTTGTTGTGCGTAATCGGTTCAACAATGAAGACAAATCCTTTGATCTTGCTCACGCTGAGGAAGAGCTTTTCTCCAAGCCTCCATGGAACCATATTCCTCATACTCAACGTGGTTCAAATATGCTCAAGAAGTACCTCAGCAATCTGCTCTGCGCTAATATGCGCAACAACTTCCCTGCAATCCAGGCTACCATTCAACAAAATTTGTTTGATGCTAGGTCGGCATTGCAATCACTTGGCAAGCCTCGGCATACACATCATGATCGCGTACAGTATTTAAATGATGTGGTACAAAGGTATGAAACAATTGCAGTCAGTGCCATGGAAAAGCCTGGGCAGGTACGGGAGGAGATGAGGATCCGACAGAAGGTCAAAGACGAAAACGACATATTTTCGAAACTGATGCGCGAGAAAGGTCACAAGTTCCAGTTCGAAGATCCTGAGATGGATGCAGCGGAGACTTTGTACACATCTGGCGATGATCCATTCACTGTGTCAGTTCATACTCCCGAGCGCGGACTTGGTGGAAAGTCAATTCCTACATTCAGCTATCCTGTGACGCCCCCATCCTCCAACGATTCTCCTGTTATTGGCATCAAGCGTCAACCACCCCCGAGGCAACAGTTCAACCAAAAAAGCACTACTTCCAACGCAGCCTGTGCACTATTTGAGGATATCAGACTCCAAATTCGCACTTGCCAGACCACTCAGCTGCCTGGACTTATTAACCCTGATGTGATGCCCACCCTGTTTCAAACGCAGACCGAGAAGTGGCAGGGATATGTAGAACAACACTTGCAAACAGTTTCAACAGCCGTGGGGGATACCTCTTTTATGATACTCAACGATGTTTGCCCGCGCACTTCGAGATCTGTGGTACTACATGATGCCCTCCGCAATTTTTTATCTACGTCATGGGAGGGTGCCCAGGGCGAGACGAAAGTCGAGCTAGACACATTCTGCCATAGGGAGCGTTCCCACATGTTGAGCACCACAGACCCCAGATTCCTTGACGAACTGAAGACATTACAAACTATCCGTCTGATCCAGTCTCTACGGTCTCTCCCGCAAAGCACGAATGTTTCCACGATCTACGACCAGCTTCATTTTTCGATCGAAGATAATATGGTCAGAACAGTACACGATATTCTCAAAGTATATTATCAGGTTCGTATCGCATCTCAACTAACGCCGAGACACGAATTCTAACGCTAGGTACGCACAGATTGCCCTAGAATCATTTATCAGGCATATCACCCACAATATTGTTGAAAGCTTCGTCTCGAGTATACATAGTCCCCTGAAAGCTCTGACTACCAGCTGGGTATCTTCCTTGAAACCAGAAGAGATTGAAATACTGACGCGCGAGGATCAAGACACAATCTCAAAAAGAGAGAAATATGCTGCGATCATTGAGAGGTTCGAGCTGGCTAATGAAATTGTAACAAAAGCGGGCAATGAGACGGCGCATCTCTCGATTTAGTACCATTGGGAGTTCAGTAATAAGAGCAATTCCGCATTGCGTAATGCAATTTGTATAGTCTCAACATTTAAACTATCTTGACTTGCAGGTCTCACCTGTCTCTGCCCTTTTAGTTGTGATGCAGATAGCGTCAGCCCAAAGATGCAATGGTGATTTTCTATTCCCACCATTTATCCTTTTACTCAAATTTGCAGATGAAAGAGACCAAATCTATTATGGTGTTCTTGCTTCAAGTATTAAGTGCTTCTATTTTCATTTCAAGTGAGATCAAGCTGTCACGTTCTTCGAAAAGAAACGCCCCCTCTTCTGGGTCTAGGGGGTAGTGTTACGCCTATACGACAGCTATTTGGGCGCTACGGAAGATGCATAAATATTAATCTGTGTATAACATGAGATATTTTGGCGATCCTCGGGGGTTTTTTTGTTGCTGATTTGTACCTGAGTGTTCCAGAGTTATTAATGCTATATATATAATTGTAGCCGTTGAAACGATTAAAGAATTGCCTTTGGCGGGGTTTGGTCACCGAAGGCTCCGTCATCGGTATCATTTCACCCCTGCGTGTTACCTTCAGGATGTACCCTGCTGCGGTGGTGTTCTTATTCTAAGACTTTTTTTATCGCTCTTTAATTCAACCAACACATTTATCTCAGGGTTTGCGCTTCATTGTATACCGTGGCTCGTCAGACAGGGGTATATCATCTGCGGGAATTTCTGCTTAAACGGGGTTGAGATCATGCAGGTGAGCATGCATGCTGACAATGTAGGGCTTATCGCAGGATTGCAATAGATCCTACGTAAAGATTTCCCTCAGACTTAGCCCATCCTCAATTCTCTCGACTTGATCTTTGCGATCATCAATGGTTGAAATCTGGCGGTATGAGTCAACTTCCGACGACTGAAGATGAAATCCTGGCGACAGGTGTCATCAACTCTGAATTTGAGAAAGCGGTCAAGGCCAAACAGATGCCTCCAGGCTCATTCTACACCATTAAGATATTGAAAGAAATAACTGAAGCCTCACTTCCCTGGACTCAGAAAAAGCTCCAACAAAACCGGCCATTTAATCTGACGGAATACGAGCGCTTGGTCGCGCTTGATAATGGCCATCGCTCCCGTCTGTTATTTTGTCATCGGAAAGACATTCAACCGACAGCAAAGTGTCCCCTGATTGTCCTCATGCACGGCGGGGGGCATTGCGTCGGGAATCCAGAGTCCGAAATACCACTTGCGCGCCGCCTCGCACTGGACCATAATGCTATAGTGGTCCTACCATCTTATCGCCTGGCTCCCGAACATCCATTTCCAGCTTCAGTAGTAGACTGCTGGGCTATAGTCAAGTACCTAGCTGCGGAGTGGCTTCATCCACGAACGCCGCAATCTCCCTTTCTGCCTCCACAATGCGACCTCTCCTACGGGTTCATTGTAGCCGGTAGTAGCGCGGGTGCAAACCTTGCAGCATCAGTCGCTCACTTGGCACGGGATCAAAAGCTGAATCCGCCATTGACCGGACAGATGCTTATGGCGGGGACGTTCATCAGCTATATGCACGTGCCAAAACGATATCAACCATACTACCTGTCTCGTGAACAGAATAGAGATGCCCCGTTGCTCGACCTAGACATGTGTGATATTTTCCAGGATGCGTTCCAACCAGATTATCAGTCGCCGCTATGGGCTCTCTTTGACCAGCATCACCCGCTTGATCAAAACCTCAATGACCCATCTGATCCAGCAGTCAAGCATGGGCACATGGGATTGCCGCCGGCCTACTTTCAAATTTGTGGTTTGGACGTCAGTAGAGATGACAGTCTGATCTACGAGCGAGTTCTCAGGGAGGAGTGTGATGTGACAACTAGAGCTGATTTGTATTCGGGCTACGCCCATACATGGTGGACCATGTTCCCAGAACTAAAGGCATCCCGGAAGCGAGAGGATGATGCTGCGGCAGGAGTCGGATGGCTGTTGGGATTGCAGCAGTCACATAGCCAGTCAAAGTGAAGGTTCTATAACCTGGAAGACTTCATACTTGTGGTAATCATCTTTGGGGATAAAGTTTTCTCTACAGTTTAACGCTATTCCTAACATCAAACACCCCACTAGAGCCCAATATCTAGAGTTTATTTACAACGACTGTCAACCGAAATGGAGGAATTCATATGAGCAACGCTGTACAAAGTGCACGCAAAAACACGGTTGCTCATGCGAATACCTTGTCCGCGATGTTTTGATGGACAAGGAAGCAATGTTTGAAGGCAAGCGGTTGACCTGGGCGAAGTCATTATCAAGCTCACCAAAAACTAGCCGCCGACCCTTGAGGGAGTTACGACGTTAGAATAGGCCGTCAGTAAGCCTCGCCTTACTGCATTAAATGGATGTTGACTTTTTTGGCGTTCACATCACTCCATATTCTTTGTACATAGTACCTTTTGTTCGTTTCATGAGCCTAGTTGGCTGTGCTTTATGACTTCTGCTTCTAGCACCCATGTAAGTCTGTCTACGATCGTCCAGCTAGAGCCTTTTGTTTCTATGTATCCCATATGGTATTCTATCGATCTTTCTTTTGCTATGCCCATGATGAGACGATTTTGGATCGCATCAGAACTTACCTTGAAATTCCAGACTCTGCACGTATATGATGTGACATTCTCCCATGCTGCTACTCGCTATGGTGCATATCTCAGCCGTGTCCTGTTATGGGAAAGGAGCCAATGCTCTAAAAGTTGCCCTCAGGCTATCTAAATTTCTATGAGATTGATGTTTGAAATATTTGGGCTATGCGTTAGTCGAGTATTTGCAAGGCAACAGTTAGTACCACAGAATTTGGGATTTTACTACGTCAAAGCGAAGACATGATCGTGTGATATCTTGCAACATGTTTTTGTTACGATCATACGATACATTGTGAGCCTGAAATGAACTGACAGTATATATCCTTGTTCAGCGGTGCTTTGTTATGCCAGGTGAACCTATAAACCCCAAATGAGTGAAGACTCACACACTCTCGCCGGCTGTCTAGCCTAATGGGAGACAGAAAGTGTCTGCCGAATGAACACCAAATCGGTATTGCCAATGTTGTATCACACCTATCATTTCCCAACATTGTCAGTTGGGGCTTTCGCGTGTAGTCAACACCAAATTTCCAGTCACGCCACGACCGCTAAATCTACATAAGCTTCCGAATGCCCGTGGTTATACTTCACCAAGACAACGTATTTTGTCGGGTCCGCTTCACACCACACTTCATAGTCGGCGGAAGACAACCTAGAGAACATTGTGGTTCAAATGTAATTGCTTGAAGTAGTGGTGTTGATTTGGTAACCTCACACAGTAGAGCTACGATTTAGACTCCTGGCGCAGAGTCATTGCATGACGCACAAAGGCGACGATTTACGATGTTAGGCGCCGGACCGTGATAGAATTTGAAGGCCTCGTGAGGCTGAAACATTATGCGTGCGGACGTTTCTAGAAGTTTACGTGCCAGAGACGAGAAATCGACGAGGAAATGACCGATTCCTTGGACACAAAGACCAAGACCATCATAATTTCGAGGTTTGTTTAAAGCTGCGTTGGCTGGCTTTGCTCAGCTTCGAATGTTCAGGCATAATCTTGATGTCTTGGAATCGACTCGATATAATACACGGCTCTTAGCCACCAGGCTCATATGCTTTGGTGACTTTGATACCTATAAGGTCCAAAAGTCTCAGGCTGTTCAGGTTCCTTGAGGACATGGAGGGAATTCTGAATGGATTGCTTCGTTCTCCGGGGAAATTCTTCCTTCCTCCCACTCATCATCCTATCAATACGACCGGGTACCATCAAGAAAGTGTGGCACGACAGCCTCCATTTCACAAGTATGTCAATCACAGTGCATCAACTCTATTCAAGCTGTCAAGCACTAAACCAAAGACAAGAAATTGACCCATCAGTTGTTGAGATCGAAATTGTTTTTCGTTCCTCTATCAACAGCTATTTCATCCATCATCATTGATACTCCGTTAACATTTCCTCCGAGAACTTCTTGGAACTGGTTACTGGGGAACGAATCAAACATACAACGAAGCTGATCAACCTCATTTGGACCCTCACTGACATATATACTGGGACAGGATTTATGCTTGCATTCGGAAAGATAAAAAATTGATGTATTGTTCGTATTCAATCAACATTGACGCAGAAACAGCCCTGACAAACAGAGCTTAGCTACAAAATCCCAGCGTAGGCATTCGAGCAACCGACACAGCAACGCGGAACAACATGGCACGTCAGTCACAACAAGCACCCGAGCACGACCCAAACGAAGACATTAACTTGACGGATTTCGATGTATCCGACCAGCTATATTGGCCTGGTGATGGCTTTCCTGCTGCCGCCGTCCCATACGACGCTGGGCAAGCGGACTATAACCTCGGCAGCGCCAACCAACAGCACCAACCGCAACGACAGGATCAACAGCCTTTTCCAATGAGCCCTTGGAGCTTTGAGGATGGTCCGTGGCCGATACAATATGTCGACGACACGGAGACAGCGGAGGGATCCTTTAGTAAATTTCTTCAGGATGCTTACGACATCAACGGTGAGCATGGTTTCGGTATAGAGCAATGTCATGCTCCACCGACAGGATTCCCTAATCCTCAGGCGGACATGCTGACACCAGAGTCAATGCCGAGTGTCAAGGCGTACGAGGCTATTGATGAGCAAGACCGCAGTGCTAGAGTCAACGAGGGTATGTCACACCCGGGTCACCGGGCCTCGAAACACCCCACCAGGCACTCACCAACACTGCTGCCTCGAGAGAAGAGTATTGTGCAGTCTGGAGCAGGCCAAGGTGAGTCATCCTGCCTGGTAGAAGCCTTCGCACTTCGCCACCAGGGCCGTACGCACGGTCATAGGGTCATCGGGTCATATGGTGAGGCAACAGTCGAGCTAATATTTAAACAGGCCAGCGTCCCACTGGCTCACAAGGTCCAGCGGCGCGGCAGCAGCAGCAGCAGCAACGACAACGACAAGACGTACGGGAATTTGAACAGCACCGACGGCAGCACAAGGAACTATGGGATTACGCAATTGAAGTTGTTCCTGCAGATCCTGGTAAGTTTTGCTTCTCATCACCCTCCAAGTCCAGCCTGCAAGGAACGCGTCGTGGTGGCGTAGGAGTAGGAGTCATCGTTGGCTGCCTGTGGATTTGCGATTTGCCAGCGATTTGAGCTGTGCAACACAACGCATGCAGCGGCCAACGGCAGGGTCAATGCGCCACAGCCGTGCGGGGACCACAGCTCTAAATTTGGAACGACCACCAACGGATGTGGCATAGTGGACGCCCAATGGTTTGTTCACTTGTTTTATGCAAGGCTATTTTGTGTGGCCGGCGCCTGACAAATCGCGATTTCCCTTGTGGCTCAGCTGGCTCACGGATCTTTCGCACTTCTGCCAGTCTGCCTCTTTTCTTCCCTCCCGCCCATTTTTCCTTCTTCGCCTTTTCGCCTTTTCCTTTTCCGCGTCGCCTTACCCACATGCACCTCAATATCCACATGCACCCATCCCACATGCCACCATGCACATGCACCCACCTCACAGCTGCCTCGCCTCGTTTGCGCCTTATATCTCAGGCCACGTCTTATATTGAGCACTCCCAGCATATAGGCCTAACATTACTGTGATACCTCATAGACGATTCCAGCGTACTCGACCACATCGTCGCCGTCCACGAACAACTGGCCCAGCGATCCTTTGGCGACTACCGCTTCGAAGTTGCCACTTCCACCCACTTCGGCCGCCCTCACCAAGCCCGCGTCCGTCGCTACATCCTGCCGGACCGCCTGCGACGAGACGATCGGGCCCGCATGCAGTTCATGCAGGTCTTCAACAGTAGCCGAAGTCACAACTCCAAGCTCCAAGGCTATGAGTTCAAGATGGTCCAGGTCTTCGAGCCGCGCCAGTTCCACACTCCCAACGACGACTACCAGGCAATAGCCGGCCTCGGTGATGACGACGACCGTGTTGGTGTAGACAGTCTACCCCAGTTCGGCGACAACGACATCACCGACCTCGCAGCATACGCCGGCCCTGCTCCCCCGCCCTTCCCCTCGCCCGAGCCTCACCATGACCTGCATCTCCCACCCCTCCCGCCGGTCCCCGAACAGCCTACCGCCTTGCCTACCCCGAAGGACGATCTCGACATTCACACCACCCAGCGTAGCAAGCCTATCCCCAAGCCTGATCGGCAGGTCCGGAAGAACGCCCGCGGCAAATATGAGTGCACCTGGGATGCATGCGACGAGAAGGACAGGGAGTTCAACAGAAAGTGCGAGTGGAAGTAAGTCCAGCCACCTATACCCTATTCTATACTATTCTATGCTGCTGCTCCATACTATACCAGAGTACACTATACCACACTATTGCACCCCCTGTCTGATCCACTACTGCAAGCCAGTCACTGATTAAACCCCCTCTATAGCAAGCACATGGACAAACATGAGCGACCCTACAAGTGCCAAGTCGAAGGATGTGAGAAGCTCGCCGGTTTCACATACAGCGGCGGTCTGCTGCGTCACGAACGCGAAGTTCACAGCAAGCACGGCGGTCCGAGAAACCCCCTGAACTGCCCCCATGTCACGTGTAAGAGACATAACGGCAAGGGTTTCTCGCGTCTGGAAAACCTCAACGAGCATCTACGACGAGTCCACACCCATCCTGTTCCTGGCGTATCCGGCGACGATACTGCTGAAGATGGCGATAGCGTCGCAGCTTCAGAGTCGGGCCAAGTACTCCCCCAGCAGATCCTGTTCCCCCACCAGCCCCAGCAGACCCAGCCTTCCCCGCAGGTGCTCACAGTCACCCCTCAAAAGCGTCCCCTCGACGTTGACGAGGATACCGATATTCAGTCCGAAGTGAAGCGCTTGCGCCAGTCTGAACAACACCTCAAAGTCCTCAACGAAGAGCTGGCACGTCAGCTTACAGCCCAGCAACAGCAAGCCGAGCAAAATTCTGCAAATCTCAAGCAGGAACTCGAGGCCCAGAAACGTCATATGGCAGTCATGATGGCTGAACTGGCAAACATGCGACAGCAAGTCATGGACTCGGAGCAGCAAACCCAGGCCGAGTCCCTTCTCACCGACGCCTTCACCTAGTAGTCGACGGTATTTTGTTGGCCGTGGCTCTCGATTTTTTGTTTTCCTATTTTCTTCCTTCCTCTCCTGTTCTTGGTTTTGACGAAGATACCCCACTCGCGTTTTTTCTGGTTTCCCCCATTCTCATGGTACGACATGCATAGAGCGGCGTTCTTGGTTCGACATTTTGCGATTGATTTGGCCACGATATTTACACGTGGAATTCGGCATTGGTCCTCCACCGAGTAAGACGGAAGGCCCCGCGGAATCTCGAGGGTGTCTTGGAGTGGAATACATTCAGAAGATGTGGTGATTGGTGTTTGACTATCATGTCTGCCAATGGCATGCGCCTTGACGACCTGATGGAAACGGTCGCTTTGGCCATACTATTGGACCATCTTGCCCGAGTGGCTCGCCTTTGGACCTCTGTCAGGTTTTGTGCATCACATTTTGGAATGTATCGCATTGTACTAGTTCTGAAATTCTTCGTGTCCATAAAGTCATCTAATTAACGACACCTCAAGGTTTCTCAATGTGATGAAATCGTTTTAAGTGGCGTGAATTATTGAAATTGATATGTTATTAATCAATATTTCAATTTACTCTAAAAGGTAAAATAAGATTCGTATCAAGATATGATAAGTACATGAGTGGCGGCATAAAAATGTCATAATGGCGTGGATATATCCCGTCAAGTTATAAAGGCTGGCTTTGTGTTAGACGCTGTACATTCCTTGCACTAGACTAACCGACATCGCTTCCTGTGTGCCTGTTTAAAAGACTCACGACCGTCATTTTCCATCTTCCCTTCTTGTATCCCACAATTTATAAGCATCTATTCGAGCGACTGATTTGGACGACGTATCTTGCTTCGAAGGAACCCCTATAAATCACCGGCGTGACCAGAATCCCAGTGCCCAATTGGCGCAGGATGTAATAACATATTGACCCCGCCCCAAAAGCGCTTCAGACGGCTTGAGAAGTGTCCTTTCGATCCTAAGTTTCTTATCCATTCTCCCTAAGCTAGGACACGTCCGCCGTCCTAGCTGCTTACATCTCTTTTCTTTTCGTCTCTACTCTGCCGGCGTTGACCGATCCCGGCACGGACAGGACCGAGTACAGCGAACTCAACGAGGCATACCTTAACATTTTGGATAAGTCCGGAAGACGTGGAAATAGGACAACATTGCCTGAGCATATTTCCGGGTGTTTGCTGGCCTTTGATGGTGCAGTATTTTCAGCTCTATGTCACCAGTTATGTCAACGTCTTCAATTGAAAACCCCCAGATTGTGCACATTCTACATTTCAGTACTTGTGGGCGGGATGTAAACCGAGCTCGGATTGACCTTTCACCACATTGTCTACTTGACGATAGACCTGAGCGCTGAGCTGCATGCGCTAGTCGACAAACATGATGAGGTGACTGAAGGTGCCGTGAGCGACGCCAACAAAGTTTATGGCTCAACGCAGGTGTGCTTTGTCGATCTGGCTCCGTCCGTTCCCAATGGCTACCGCTGGCGCAAGAATCCGAACGGGAATTTCCATAAACCACATTTGTCAAGAACCAGTACATAGCTATTCCTGAGTACTTTGAAAGATGTTGGCATCGATGGTGCTGTGGATGTGAGCCCATCCTTTCTCCCTTTCTTGCTCTTCACCTCAAATTAATTAATATCTATTACCTCTGGCATTTCAGAAATGATATCAAGTTCCAAACCAGGTGACAGACGCGGTCGAAGCAGCTGAGGTAGCCTCTATGATATCAAATGGACAAATTAGGCTACTCGGCTCGCAAAACTGCTATGAATCGATGTGTACCGAACCAGAACCCTCAATATCATCCTTTGGCAACATCCATCCACAAAGACAAAGGCCCTTCGGGACCGGCAGCAATTTATTACCAGGCCACCAATGATGCTACCTCTAGAGACGAGGAGCAGATGTGGCTGACCTATGGCATCGAATCATCTGCACCTCACTTCCCGGAAACATGCTTAAAAATGGATAATCCATGCCCCAACCAACAGGAGACTCGGAGGTAAAGCCAGGCCCCCTTTGGATTGAGCCTTTGGATCTTGCAAAGGCCGCCTGTTCTTGTAAACCGCCCACTAAACGCTCCCGGCGGCGGTCGAACCATAGAATAAGCGTCACAAGGTAGACCATATATGACGTAGCGAAGAAGCAGAATTTCTTGACTGCTAGAAGATACTGGAAATACCACAAAGTTCTCTTACGTACATACCATGTTCTTGTTGATGACAGTACCACCTCCGAGTGCCCTGCCCTGAGTGGGGTTTACCTTTGGCAGATCTGCGTTGACCTGGGGGGTTGTGGTGTAGTTCCAGTTGAACTCGCCGCGATAGACAGGGTTGGTCGAATTGTACCACATGATATCCTCCCGATTGTTCGCGTGCGTGCCCGCCTCGAGGAGGAGTATATTGGCGGCGGGCAAGTACTCATGAAGCCGGCTTGACGCAACCGAGCCGCCAAGCCCTCCTCCTTCGACGATGTAGTCCCATAGCATATTGGCGCTGGCCTCCAGGTACCGCACATCTCATGTTCAAAGTCAGCGAATCACAGGCGAGTTACATTGATTTCTATTGAGTCAGAACTTGATACGATTTAAACTATCACTGTGTAGGCTGCAGAGACAAGGAGAGCACTTCAAGGCCAAATGCAAATGGGACATGATCGAGAAGAAAATCCCAACAAGCCAAGCAGCGAAGCTTTCGGCTCTGGCACCAAGTAGAAGCATGTAAGAAACCTTCCGCCAAGGTACTCCATACGTATGAGAAATAGTCGTAGTGCATGGCTCTTCCCAATTTGACTAATTGCGCTCCGGCAGCCATAGTATCCTTGGTTCGAACCCGGTCATATCAGAATAGTCCTCCATGGCCAAGCGTTGCCCGTCATCGAGACGGGTCACCACCAACTTCACCGCTTTGTCGGTAGCCAGCTGCTCAGCAAAGTGCTGAGCTTGAAGTACCCTAGTGGCTACCGGTTTCCGGCATCGCCCAGTATTCCGCGGCCCCGCTCCACCACGACCGGGACCCATGCCCAACCGAGTCACCTGTCCGATGAAGTCGGAATTCGTCACGGCACACGGCTCAGTCGACTTCGCGCCATGAGTAAATACATCGATGCGGTAGCTCTTCTCCGTGCAGCCCACTCCGCGAAACAAAATGAACGGCACCTTGCGTGCCTCCACTTCCGATTTCTTCCCCTGATGATTTTCGGATCTGGCTGGGACACTCCCCTTGTCAATGTTGACGCCGGCGGGCAGGCTGAGCGCGCGCCCCCCAGAGGCGTTCATCTTGTAAAAGCCTCGCTCGAGCGCCGACTTTAGCATGTACGCGTCGGGACTGGTCGGGGCTCCGTACATGTAACCCATGGCTCGAGTGTCTTTTGCCATGTCGCCGATCGTGGTGTATATCCAGCGACGAGGGTCATCATACGCCACGTCGGTGCCGTTCGCGATGAATGGCTGGAGAGGATAGTTTGACGTGAGATGGGTGTCCGGGTGTGCGTCCAGGAATACCCCGGCTAAACGATCCATATTGGCATGATACGAGAGAAAGATGGGGTCAAATGCCGTGTACGTATTGTCTGCCATATCTGGTCCAACCCAGCCGTGGTAGTTGTCATGGACCTGTTCGAACAGCCCATCAAAGTCGAGACGGTAAGGGTATAGGCTATCAGGCTGGTCGTCGGAAAAGGTGGGTATGTTCGCCCACGGTATGCCGAACCCCTCCTGAGTGTCCTTTGAAGTAAAGGTCTTTTGTTGCAGAGCCTGGGTGATTTGCTCGTGGTATTTGCTGAACAAGCTAATCTTTCGCTGCCAGTCTGGTGAGGAAGGCCCTTCAACTAAGGTTGGATCCCGGGTCACCCATTGGCCCTTACCGCTTTTTGATTTACCATCCAGGGCGAGCGCATACTTGAGAGGATTTGGCCGTACACTGCCGTCCTTTGGGTGGATGTAAGTTTCCTCCAGGAAAACCCGAGGAATACCAGCATCTGCAGAGGTAGGGTCAGAGGAAGCTATAGAGAACCCGTTCCAATAAGGAATGGGATAATCGATGAGCTTCTCAATATAGAGGAGGAATGCTCGGTGCCAGAGAAACGTGGCTTCCTGGTAATGGAGGCACCATTCCGTGTCTGGGATGAATAGTAAGCGCTATGTTACTTGTTACGCGGTCATTAACTTACGGAGAAGCCCTAACTCTTGCCACTTCGAGCCCAATACGCTCACCTGAAGGACATCGTCGAGTTTAGACTGGTATATCGCAAGCTCTTGCTTGCTCAAACTCATGATGTCCCGTCTCACACCATAAACCTTACTCGCGTCCTGGGGCTTGGGAATGACAACCCTTGGCACTGGGAAATCTGAGCTGTCTTTCGGGAAACCTGCATTTGCCCAATTGCGGAAGGTTTCTAGTGCGGTATCTGGCCAGTAATCTTGTGGATCTCGAGTTATCGGCATAGTCTTTGAACGTAGATGTTGATGGATGCTGACAGCTCTCTTCTTGACGTCTTCAAATTCATCCAAACTCCAAGAGCTCCAATACTTCATGGCACTGATCCAATGAGCTCCTTTCTCTGGGGATTTTTCTTTGCACCAGGAGGGATTTCTTATTAGAGGGAGGATGTCGTCTGTCCAATTGGGGATATGAACATCTTTCGTGATTGGAGACTTAATGACACCATTCGCATCACCCTTCGCAATGGGACGTGCAGTGAAGTAAGGACAACCATGAGCCTCATCTGCATGTTTCTCGACTTTCTCAAGTTGGACAGTACCTTGGCATCGCACTGCAGCGAGCCTGTTGGGCCTGGGAAGAGCTTGCAGAGAGACGGGAGCATGTGTATGCGGCGCGTCAGGTTTGGGTAACAGCTCTGGGTCTATCCCTCCAAGAGCATTGGTCCATTCGTTGAGGAAGGTCTGACCTCGAGCTGGCATAGCTCCAATCGTGCCATCAGGCTTCATCTCCATGAAAGGTGCATCCGGCGAGATCGACTTAGCGTAAGGTAATGTGTAACCAAACTCGTCAAGAGGCAATGGCCGATATATGCGTCTGCGGGTTTCCGCTAGAGTGAGATAATCAGTAAGCGCTTCCACTGAGTTGTTATTCATGCGTTCTTGAATTGCTGAGAAATACTTCTGAATTTTGGTTTGATGGCTTTCGAGAGTGGCCCCGAGCAACGCAATCAGTTGATACTCTGGACTATCAACCACGCCAGCTTGTACCCACGGCGAAAGCTTGACATTGGCTACAAATCGAGCATCTAGATCATAAGAACTCCCATCGAAGGTCGTATCCTGAGGTACGTACTGCATCAGAACTCCACGGCGCCAAGAATAAATCGGATTCCAGAAATCCAACACCATAAGCGCATAGATTGTCGTCTCGGAGAACAGGCCAGTAAACTGATTTGGTGCAGGCGCTGCAGCGAATTCTGGACCGGTGGGCTTGACCTTTTTCTTCAACGTCTGGAACTTATCCATACCGATGGCATCTTCATAAGAAGAATGGAGGATGTTGAATGGGGTTCCGCCTTCATGCTGGAGAACGGTCTTGAAGTAAACATCATTGAAAGATACAGAACCGTTTTCAGTCCGCTTATCTCCACCGAGAGCTTGCCACGGTAACTTGACGTCCCAAGATTGACTCATAGGATCATCGATTTCCTGGAGCAAGCACAGTCCCAACTTCTCTGCCGCCTTGTAGTAATCATCCGCGGAGAATGATACGTTGAGTTTCGCCTTCGGGGGCTGAGACTTTACGTCAGTACATGTGACCGTGGAATAGTCTACAATAAAGTGTGTCGTCAACATACCAACAAACTTGAGAATGTCGCCTGGATCAAAGTCTCCTGGTTGTAGAAATGATTATCCGGTATGACCCAGGATCCCTGCGCGGTGGATGCATTCAACATTGACCTGGGATCGAAGTTCATTAGACCAGTGTTCGTGGTCTTGGCAGATGCGGCCCCGATGTTGATGGTTGTCGTCAGAAATAGATGGGCCACCCAACGAGGGACGTTTAGAGGATTACTAAGTAGTTTAGAACTGGAATCGAAGAAATCCGTCTTTCTCCGAGTCAGAAACCAATTCCTGACTCCGGCTTTGATCGCTGTTTCGAGATCCTCAGGGTTGTGATTCACGGCAGAGAACAAATCTGAACCAGGATCGGTAGTGAGATACGGGAGGTTTTTATAGAGGTTGATCTTGTCCTTCGAGAGACAAGATCGGATATCCACAGGGGCTCCGCCTTGCCAATGAAGCCATGGTCTACATTGAAGTTTAATTAAAAGTTGGGCTTATTGATACTCTTTTAAAGTGAACTTACGCATGTAGCTCTTTCATGACACATGCTCCATTGACATGTCCGTTGAACGGTCCAAGGTATTGACTGGGTCCAAATGCGTCGTATGACTCTCCGAAATGGGTCCATGCTTGCGGTTCAACTTTCCCAGAGACGTGAGGAAAATCGTTCTGCTCCAGGTCAGTATACTGGTGCATGTGTGGATCTCTCGCTCATGGGCAACTGACTTGGTAAAAGCGAAAAGTCAAACCATTCCAGGAAGCTACCTGGAGAAAAGACTTGTCCCGTGATTCTTCAGTCGGGTCACCGCCACCAACGATGCAAAGTGTCCATTCCGTAGTAAATTGGCTGAAAGGGTTCTTATTTGCCAATGTAACTAGTGTCAAGAACCGAGTGTGCGGTTTGAACCAGGTTGCCGCGTCAGGCACTACAGCAATATTGAGAAACCCACCGTCGGCTACTACAAACGTTTGGATGCTGTATTGAGGTGTGTCCTTCAAGTTCGCATCTTGTCTACATTAGCTTTGACCTCGATAGCTTTAGGTCACCGCCTCTTTACTCACTCCACAAGCTCATAACTATAGCATCGAAGGACTGAAGAGAAGAATTCTCCGCAGTCTGTAGCCACTTGCCAAAGAAGTCAGAGAACTTCTTGTCTAGAGCGTTTTGGTCGGCCAAAAAATCGATATCCGGCTCGCCGGTCCGGGTAAATTGCCGCCAATATAGATTAGGTGCCATGATGAGTACAGTCGTGATAACACCATTCGTGTTGCTACCTAGTCTGACCCGAACGGAGGGGAGCATGCCCAATATTTGTAGAGCCGAACTCCAAGTGCCGGTATTGGTATTGGCCACGGTCTATGCATGCCACAGCATCTTGTGCAACACGTTGTGGCCTTGCTGGGCGAACATGACCAGATGACTTGGAGACAAGCTGAAACTAAACCTTCACGAAATGCAGCCTGGTCTAAGTTAGACACGCATGGCGTTTCGAAAACTATAGACCTATTTTTCATCCACCAAGGCATGTTTTCATTGGCGCATTTACGCCTCGACGTCCATGTTATGGACTCGTATACGTAGTGCCATCCATGTCTGTTATTGACTTGCTCCCAGCATTGAGTATTCTTTGGGGGCGCGCTCCCTAGCCCTGGACCTGGCAGAGACTATTTCAGCCAGCAATTTCGGGCCAAATGCAGCAGCACCCCAGAGGCTAACGCAAGAAGCTAACGGTCGGCTACCTCCTTGTACAGTAGACTAGTAGTGCGCCGTGCTGTACATGAGGAGAGCCAGCGGCGAGGCGGCCAGCCCTGTGGCACTCCATTACCCCACTTTACAGCCCGGGAAGTAGCGGGCAACTTCCCGTTTGGAGAGGTCGCGCGGCCCGCCCCTGGTCCCACCAACTAACCCAGACTAGGCGCACAGTTACGGATTATTGTCAGCTGGAAACCTTGGTGGATACCTAGTCAACCCTATTTGGTCGGGGTGCAGGCGTGGCGACGTTGTGCTTCAGCTTTTCAAGCTGAATAACCTCAATAGTCAGCCAAGCCTCGGGGTGCTAGTGTGAAGTAGGGAAGGGCACCGGCAGGACGTCTACTTGGCCCGACCAATTGGGAAGAGGTAAATGGCGCCGATGCTATAGAACTGTCCAAGTTGAGCCCCTGACACGGAATCCCCTGTATGCGTGGGCTCAGCTGATGTGAGACGACGACGTATCTGGGGGTCCACCCAATATAAGCCATTGAAATAAGACACCAAAGGTGATTGGATAATTGGCGCATGCCGACTCCATGGAACTGAACTTTGTGCCTTCGTGCCGCTGGTCGCTAGATGAGCACGAAGTCATCGTAAGAGATATGTGCTGGTTACCTACGGCTGGAAACATGTCTTCACCGGTCATGCGGTACTCCCCAGCCCATCTACGGAGTACCGAACACAGAGATCGCTGCAAATTTGAAGAAATTCCACTTTATACCATGAGATATAAAGGCGCCCTTGCGCATGTCAGAAATATCAACATCAACAAGATCGTCAGCATTAGTATTCATCCCATCGTTCTATCAACTCCCCCGCTAAAGAAAACAAGTCGGACGACAAAATGACAGACAAATTAAAGTCCAGCACTATCAAGTCCTTCACGACTCCCGGGTATCCCGATGTGGATGATAAACTCACCACAGTCCTGAAGGACGGATGGTCTAAGCAAATTTCTGATTGGATGGAGCAAGAGATCAACGCGGGCTCATTCGACGACAAAGGTAAATGGGTCCCTCTTGATGGTCCATGTGACCAGCCAAGAACAAAACTCTCGCAGTTCTTCAACGGCACTATCACCCCTTTCAACGTTGCTCAGAAACCATCTCCTATTTCATGGATTGGGTTCCCACGACTGGTATGTGTATTTTTGTTGCATTAATTCGTCGTTCCGGTTTAACATTATAACGAAATATAGGTCAAAGAGAAAACGTCCTCAGATCTAGCGCGTTGGGAGCAGGCAGATGATCATCGTGATGAACAGGACGAGTACCTTGAGTGGACCGTAAAGAGGGACGAAAATGGCAACATTCTCAATGCCACGTTCGTTTGCGAGGGGCCGGAGGCATGTGTCTTTCTTGCCAGAACTGAGGAAATATAGCTGACCGTGACAATAGTATTGGGCTTTCCTGGCACAGCAGGCCCCCGACAAGGCTTTGGAGCTTTACAAGACGCTTAATCCTCAATTTGCCCATCAAATGAAGCTGAAGGATCTTTTCGATACCAATGGTACTTATGAGCCCTATAACCAATGGAATGGAGTAGTAAGGAGCGATCCATCGAGCGAGGACAACTTGATTGTCAAGAACCCTGGTTGCATCATGCATCTTGCTCAGAAGAATAACACTTTGAGCGCTGAGATTGACATTGCAGCGCAAGGTACTGTGATCCGACAACGAGATGACGGCACAATCATCACAGATCCGGTGGAACTTTGCAAATGTTCCGCGTATGGAAATCCCACCCGCAACTCAGATCCTAAGGTATGTGGTGCTAGCAATGCCTCCTAATGCCAAGGAAATCAGACATTTCTCGATATCTGCACTCACTAACCAACGTCTCAGATCGGATCGAGCATTAACTCCTTGGCCCGTAGCGGTGTTAAGGTGTCCATTGCTGATCCAGTGGCCATCTACATGCAGGCATTCGACACGTCTAGCTTCATGCTCGATGCAGACGGGACTGGCGAGAACCTCCAGCCCATTCCAGACGGCACGTTCACTTGGGTTCGCGGCAATATCAACAAGGCCATGGGTTTGCGTTTGCACGTACAAATTCCGGATGGTGTGCTTGGCACAGGCGATAACGAGGGCCGCCAGCTTCGGGTTGGCGACATCGTCGATACAAGTAACGGCCAGAACATTATCTACGGTGCACAGTTCGCAGATTACATTCAGATGGGTGTCAATGGCATCATAATCCCAGATGACACACCTGCGAAGCCTGTGGACTGCCCTTGCAAATCGAAGAAGCAGAGTAACGGGCTCTCTGTGAAGCTTTTCAGTCTGAGTGCAGTCGCACCCCCCAATGGAGCCAAAGCTTCACGTTTCCACGGGAGGGCTTGATGTGGATGGCGAAGAATCCACACGCACTACTCTTATAATTAGCTAAAGTTGCTCACCCTATCAGTCATATTTGATTGGCATATGTTTCCCATAGTAACCTTGGGTGATATCAGTGGGGTTCATTCACCCAAGCATAGCCGTTGTTTAACACGATGATAATAACGAGTGCTAAGTACACCTACTCTGTTGTTGGCGACGTCATTCGAAAAAGGGCGTTATGTTAGTGAAGAAAGTACGACGTATTATCAGGCTGCATTACTATGAGTACGGCATGGTCACAATAATTGGGAAGTAAAGTTGGGACGCTTTTGTCAAGGCTTTGACATGCTGCGGGTTTCGTATAGCCCTTGCGCGATCGCGCAATGTGGCGGGCTTCAGGCCCTAGAGTGGCGTTGTTGGCATGGGTAGGGATCCTCATGCTCTGGCCTACCCAAGCTTTCAGCCACACATAACCAACCAATTACTTTTCGAGCTCCGCCACTACGTGAACTGCTGACTTGATACTATAACGCATGCGAAACCCTTGATCCAGTCTGGAAACCTTACAAACGCAAAATATACAGTATCAGTAGGAAGTATGAGGGAGTTGACAGATTCGGACTTCGTCTCAGTACCGCTTAGCGAACCGGCGTTCTTCGAAGCTGTGGTCGATCAGCAGGTACTGTCATCTCATCTCCCATATCAATTTCGTACTAACTATTCTTTTGCAGGGAGGACGCAAAATGCGTCATGGACCAATCAATTGGCATAATGTTGGAGATTGGATAAATCTCGTTGTGAGCGGTGATAGTGCGAGTAGGCTTGACTCAACATCTAATTCTGACAGGAACCCCATGAGTTCCCAGAGATGCATAGAGCACCGACTCAGCATCAAATCTCGCTTCGAGTTTTGTATGTCATCTATCTCGCCTGATGATCCTGAAGCTAAATTGAGAAGTCACATACCTCTCGGGTTGCGCTCAGCACAAATAAACGCAAAACGAGAGAGTTGGGAAATATTATCATCACAGTTCGAGCTTCACGATTCAACCGCAGAGGCGTTCCTTGATGTTAATGGTGCCTTCGGATTCTACTCTTACAGATCGACTGACGGCACCCGCTCAATCGAGCGCGTTAGTAAGATCTCCTAGAAAGCGACCACAGACGTTGATTTCGAACTAAATCCACCATAGAGATCATTGTTAAAGTCGCCAATAAGATGACGATCGGATACCAGGCGCTATCCTTGGTGTTCGACTTCTCTAAACTGACAATCAAAGCTTTGATACACGGCGCATTGCCCGCACAGTGGGATTCGTTCATAAACCTCTTATGTGATTCTCTTCACTTGTGCCACCATCCTCTACTACTTCCTACGGTCCTATTCGTGAGTCACCGACTGGAAATTGATCATTATAGAAAACGAATCGATGACTCAATCCTTCAAATGGAGCGAGAGACAGGGTTTGGCGTCGCTGGCATCTTGACAACCGATCAAGACCGAACCTTCGCGCAACAAAGCTTCAGCCTTGAGTCAGCTCTGGTACAGCTTCAATCACAACAGACTGAGCTTGCTACACTTGCCAACGTGTCACGTTTCAGTGATAGGTTCTCGGACTTCTTGTTTAATAGCATCTCCAGGCTGAATCAAACTCTCCGAACATCTGATCATCATCATATTCTAGAGTTGGAGGATGAGATCTTCCATATGCTCGAACTGCCACGCAGCCAGGCAAAAAGTGCGTTGAGTCAGATACAGTCTCTAAAGGAACGCGTGCAAAGCCAAACTAGCCTGGTATGTATCGGCACTACCACTTCATTTGTATCTAACATACAAACCCGTACAGATCTTTAGTTTGATATCGTCCGAAGAAAACAGAACTAGCCGTTTTGTCGCCGAAGAGAGCGCCAAAGTCGCCATCGCGAGTAAAAGAGATAGTATGGCAATGAAAACAGTTGCAGTACTGACCATGATCTTCTTACCGGGCACATTTGTAGCGGTTAGTTCTTCATTGCGAACTTAAATATGGAGAATATTCTAACACGAATAAAAGGCCTTCCTGAGCATGCCATTTTTCGAATGGAATGCTGATACAGGATCATATCCGTCATCTACGCCGTTTCAGTGGATATACTGGGCCATCACTTTGCCCCTAACCATTGCACTAATGGTCGGCTGGCAGGTTTGGTGGAAAATGGAGGACAAATTGTGGAATACGGAGCTAGATGAAGCAAAAAAGGAGGCTCGGTTTAGGCTTTCGGGACGCACATACAGTGAATAGGATATATCATCAGCCGTAGTGTCTAGTAAATCACGTCTTTACAGCTAGTTATTAGCGCGTAGACTTTAGACATTGAGCACTGCCCTGAAATAGGAACGTTAAATGAATTATTACGATTTCCAATCAGACGTTCTCTTTTGATAGCATTGTATTTTAAATTAATGCTCCGTCCTGATATACAAGATATAGACGTGTTCTCGCCGATGAGTGTCGATGTGATCCAAACTGCTTGCAATCACTAATTTAATAACACCCAACCAACAAGTATTTAATTATTTGATCATAATAGCATTTGCGTACTACACTCATCTGCCTACGTTGTGGTCATAATTGCGTGAGTCGCGCTGGTCCGTAATCATGGGGCGCTTGGAAATTTTGTTTCACTACGTTGTGTGACAGTATGAAATGCGGTTATTTGACAATTCTGTCTAAGCGATTATATTCTCTTTATATTTTACTTGTAACATTTGATAGTGGGGCAAATGGCCTGTCTCTGAATACACATTAAAGGTTGTTTGTTCGCCGTCTCCCTCTCTTTCCATTTTCGCAAGACTTGTTGTGTCAGAATGTGAGGTGTTTATAACAGTGCTCACAAATCCGATCAAGAATTTTGTGCAAAAATAATTATAGCCACAGAGGTTATAGTCATTGGCAGTACGATTACCTCTAGACTAGTCTCGACTAGACTAACATGAAAATCAATAGCTCTTGGTTAGTGAGGAAACTCGACTACTTGTTGGGGCAAAGCTACACGACCCCGTATTTTCATTATCTCGCGTTGAAGCCTTTCTTTTTTTCTTTCTTTTCTTCTTTCCTTTTTTTTTTAGGCTATATCATTTTCACAAATACTTAGGGTCAATAGCAAGCAAAGTCTCCGTGCTCTAGTGGCCGTGAAAACTCTGACAAGATATGGTGCAGGTGGCGCTTAGCACGGAGGCTCGTTTGGCAACATTCTTGTGCACAGAGCCACATAACCTGTGATGGCGTTTAACCGCAGGGATATTTTGCTCGAACAAACGTCTGTCACTGAATGAAATGACCAGTCTTACGACCATACACATGTGACTGTACTTCCTCAAATCCGACCAAGAAACAAGCCCGCGCACGATGGGTAACTTCGAACTCAACGTCAAAATCTCGCTTGGTAAAACGAGTAAATCTATCGAATCGGCTCACATTGAGCATGCGCGCTTTGGGAAAAATAGGCTGCAATATCCGCCGTTAAGCCTAGGCCGAGCCCATTCGTTATCTGCATACTTCCTGGTGTGTAAAGAAACAAGCTAACGAAGGCACCGGCCAAGCGTGCACTTTTCTCCAGCCTCCTATATTGCCCGGCCGAAGCCAAGTCCCAAATCCAAGTGCGCCCAATCACAAGATTAGGTTAAGGCTTAACCATCTATAGCTTAGCAAAAATTCGCAGAATCATAAACGACGTGCGCAAGCTTATAACTTTACCAATACAACTCATAAAGCCAGATAATTCACGGAAAGCATTCTATCGGGTCTTATACCTGCTCCGAGTACATCTTCATTAAATTAAGAAATACGATACGATACGAAACGAATCGTGGTTTAAAGGAAAGTCGAAAGCAGATCCAGTCTTTTAATTGGCTAGAAACTATTGCCATGCTTTGTAGCCGGACCACTTGCAAGGGAGAAATGTTACGACATTCCATGGTAAGGCGCTATTAAATGCTAGTGGGGCGGCCGCTACTGGATGTTGACCAAGCACGGCATTTATTCCGCATTCCTACGCAACTTTGTCAGCAGCATTCGAAATCGGTGTTGAGCAGGACGATGAACATTATTAATTCCAAAAAGCTCAAGATGTTTATACAACCCTGTTGCCCATATTTAAGAGATATGTCATGTCTACCGTTTTCTGGTTCGTGGCCACTTCTCATCAACGACAACCTTTCTATCATTGCCCCGTTCCAAGAACCCTTCTCCGCTCAATTATAACCAACAAAATGGCTTCCGCCGATGCTTATACTGCACCTTTCATGCTCACCAAGAGTATGCACCGAGATGTCTATCCGGCAGTTGACCCCAAGATCAACCCCGAATTAGATGGTAGTTCCAAGGTCGTTATGATCTTTGGTGCAACTAGTGGGCTTGGCTACGTAGGTTGACCAGATTTCAGTCCTAGATGCGATGACTGACACTTTACAAGGCTATTGCAAAATCTTGGAGCATTGCCAGAGCTCGAGGCATTGTCCTGGTAGGCCGCAATCGTGGCGATCTCGAAAATGTTAAGAAGGACCTCGCTACAGACTCGGAGGTGTTGGTGATCGCCGCGAATGTGACTTCAGTATCCGAGACAGATGCAGCATTTGAAACAGCTCTTGGGAAATTCGGCCGGGTCGATGTCGTTATCAACGCGTTTGGCGTGATGAAAACTGCTCCGATCGGTGCCCAGGATCCCGGCGCCTGGTGGGAGAATTTCGACACGAATGTTAGAGGTGTCTACAACGTATGCCACTCATACATCAATGCAGCCGGCGGCAAGGGCACTATCGTCAACCTGGTTAGTCTGGCGGCGTCTTTCGTAGCTCCTGCTATGTCTGGCTACAGTGCATCGAAGCTAGCTGTCATTAAGCTCGGCGAGTGCCTCCAGGTGGAGCAACCAGGAATCCGTGTGTTTTCTGTCCATCCCGGTATGGTTGTCGCCGACAGTGGTCGTGGTATGATCATCGAGGCCTTTGCCCCATTCACGAAGGATACGGCAGCCCTGACGGGCGGCTTGACTCTCTTTCTTGCCACTCCCCGAGCCGATTTCTTGAATGGGGGCTACATTCACGCAAACTGGGATGTCCGGGAGTTAGAGCACAACAAAAAGGAAATCGTCGAGAAAAAGCTTGTCGCACTAGGTTTCCTGAATGGTCAGCTTAGAGAAGGTGGTTATCCTTGGACTGGCGTATAGGGAAAGGATTGCGCCTTCAAGCAGTGTAGAGAGCGCAAGGCTTCAGAATCTGACCATTTCTGTTTATCCTAGAAGCCCGCCCGTATGAGAAATATCAAAACCACTACCTGTTGAGATGTTTTAAACGGACCGGATGCGTTGAGGAACATCTATGCTGGAGCAGGACGTTTAATTACTTTGAAGGACCCGGTCGATTCATGTATGCAGCTTGAAGGTGACAGATCAGACTATATCAATGAGTAATCTCGTCTCAAAATTTAAAATTTTCATAGCTGCTAAAATCAAAGGCTTTGGCCTGTTCGAGTTACGAATCTTCAAAGGAATTTGGTACAGAGTTTATAGTTGAAGTGTTGAAGTATTTGACTCCCTCTACGTCAATTTGAACATACCCCCGTTGTCAGAGCTTATCCGGTATCGGATTGCAATAGGTTATATAAGGGCTGGAATCCTCCACATGTGATAGAGAGTAGGGCTGAGCGCGTCAATACTAGCACCCTAGCACTCCCTTGCAACACCAACGTCTGACACTGGTTGAATGTATCTCCATCGTTGAGGAAACATTTCAACTGTATCAGCTCAATGTCACCCAGGTCACTCAGAGAAAGCATCAATGATCTTAGAGAAGTCATTATCGAGCTGGTATATGGCCGCCCGAACGTCGTCCTGGTGATCCGCCGATATGACGATCCCCAAAGTAGTCCCAAATGCGTCCGTCTTGCTTTTCAGATCTCTCAAGGCGTAAAGCACGTCCAGCGAGGCGCCAGCGGCATCGAAATTAGCCTTGTGTACGACCAGCGCATTGAAAGCGCCAAGAAAGTCGGGTTCAATAGTGTCGGGAAAATAGCTAACGATGACCGCTGAATCTTCGCTTGAAATGACCGCCTGCTCTGAGGCATCATAGTTGGCAGCCTCGACCAGACTAACAAGTGCGTTGGCAGAAGCAACAACATCGTTTGCCCCCTCGGCTTTGCCGTCCCAGGCGTTGGAAATGCCGGTCAAGGTGTTGGCGGCGGTATCGATCTCTTGTAGATTTGCAAAGGTCTTATTGCTGTCACGGCGACTGGCGCCAACGACGGCGGCGATGAAAAAAACTAGACCTGCAATTTTGACCATTTTCAAGGTGTTGCTGACTGAATCTGGGAGACAAGCAGATTTCTGATGTTGTTTGTGCGCAGCCTTCAACCATGACATCCAGCAGGGTCAACCTCTATATACCATAAAGTCTTTAGCCTAAAGACACCCAATACGATAAGGCTGAACACATTGCAGACGGAGCCAAGGAATACAATTGCCGGATGCAACATCATTTTCATCGATAGAAAACTGTTCGGCCTTTGTCAACGTATGAGTGATGCTACTTACTCGAACTCTTCATCCCGTGATTGGTACGGTTGAGTCGCCAAGGAAAATGATATCAACAAAGATACTAGAGAAGCGTAGGATAAGCCATTGGATCCTGGTTGACAAATTATGTCCGCCGACGGCACATCATATGAACCCGTATGTCAGTAGGGATGTTGTGCCTGCTCCCATGTTGTCGCAAACCTCAAGAATACGCATGCAGGGATAGCGATAGGCGAGCTGGCCCGCGGCGGGATTCATAAGTCCATTAGCATAGCAACAACATGTATGAGTTGCATTTCTACGTAACTAGTTGGCGAAACTTTTATGGAAATCCTTGATGGATTCTCGGACTTACTAAAGCTACCATGGCGGCCCGTCTCGCCTGTAGCCACGATGTGGTATAAAGCCAATTCATTAGGCACTGCAAACGCCGCTCAAGGGTGAAAATTTCCTTTGAAGGGTATTTGCATGCAGAACTGCCTGAGATAAAAGTATATTATTTGATCACATTCCTCATTTAGTTTGATTCGATTTTCACGGTACCTTGGTGAAGGTTGGATTGCCTCAGGCTCAGGGTACTGGAGGTTCCTGTCCATGGTAACGTGTGCGGATAAGGTGGATCATGCCGGTGCCAAGACGAGGTATAGTAAGAATTTCCACCTAACTAGATAGTAGATCAATAATAACCTACGCACAATGAATATATACCGCAGTTGATATAGGCGTCCGAGGCCTGTCGAACGTGGCATTTAGTGACCTGGCTCTTGCCGTCTTTTTGACCACGTTGCCGAGGGAACACAAAACAACCGCGATCATATCAATTCAAAATGATCGATAGCTGATTGATCCTAGAAATGGGGAATTATGACATCTCTAAAAAAAAAGTATTTACGTTTTGCAGCAAATATCCCTAAAAAGCCGTATCTGGAGTGACCGGGTGGACACACAGCAACGCATCATCCTTATACGCCGGTTGCTCGACAATCAAGGTGGTTGGATTGCTCTGCGCTGGATCGAGTCCATGACAAACCCTCCAGGGCAGCGTTGGCTAGGTGAATAGACCCAAGGGTAATATCGAGCCGTATTAACACTGCTGAATGACAGTTTTGGGGAATTCTGAGTGAGCAGAACAGAGGTGTGGACTTGCTATTCATGGGATGACACCAAAGTGATATTCTCAAGTTTACTAAAGTTAAGTATCGATTTTGCATCGTTTTTCTATCGTCGATACTGGGGCAGATGTTTGCGCTACCTCTATAAGATGAGTATTGTACGGCAGGTACTTTTCGTTGCTAGCATTCTGAGACTCACTGTAAGTATCCGCGACATATCCGGTTGGTTCAGACTTTATCTAGTCATTTATCTCACAGCTATGAGCTTATCAGTTGGCATTTGTCGTCATCAATATTTTTAGTATGTAGCACAAATCCAATACCGACAGTATTAGCAAGCCATCAACTACTCCTGAAACGCAACACAAATTTAAATTATCGGGGCCACCAGTATTAACAGGGGAAAGTAAAAAAGAATTCAGCAGTTTCACAGTAATAATGAATCAAAAATATTCGAAACTTGGCCGTTAGTAGACGTGGCTGGACTAGCCCTATCCAATGCCACCTCTCTCTTATGAGCGACCAGCTCTCTCAACTTCTCGCTGTCCGAGGATACGTGTATTCAGAATCTTCTGCAATTTGTCCCGTCAGTGACCGAAATAGAGGCTCGCCACCAGGTAGTCATTATTCTCCCAAGCCACGACGATAAACTCAACGCCACTGACAACATGTATTCATAAATAGTACTTTCTTATAGCAAACAGCCCAGTGACCGATGCTGCGTGTTGAGACACGTTGTCAGGTTGACCACATCCACGTCTTCGGCAGTGTCTCCTTCACACTCCCTGTTACGTCGACCTTCATGGAAGGAACTTCGTTTTATGGTAGCGTGAGTCTAGTACTGGATTAATCACGGGAGCGACGACTTAATTCTATTGCATATGAAGATAATGGTGGCTCAGCTATTAGTTCCACCCAATTGAAAACGGAAATCGGCTGGTTGCCGTATCTTACGATGTATGGATTGAGTCACTTGCCTATCATAGTGATCAAAAGACAGCTAGTCAAATCGTTCAGAGCCAGGCGAAACAGGTAAGTTTGTCATCCAATGATCCACTACCATTCCTATCTTGCAAACGCGCGGATACGCACCCCACAAAATGATACAAGCCCCTTCTTCCAACGATTCATCAAAAGCTTTTTTCCACACATCCACCCTCTACACCGGAGGCTTGGTAACTGATCGCCTAAGAACTATGGACGTCGGAGAATGCTAAGCTTATTCACCAGAAGTTGATCTGCATCGCCGCGCATCTCTTACCACTCGAGGCAGTTTGCCTCCAGCCATTCATGTGGGGTGTTCGTCAACACGAGGTAGACCGCAAATCTCTTGCGACACCGTCAGCTATGACCTAAACTGAGCTCAAACGGCGAAATCTTAAGATTAAATAAATAAGAAAGCTTTGAAAAGCAGATTACCCAAGATGTATATACGACCGAGATGGTGTGCTGTTTTCGGAAAGAGTCTTTATTCGCCGGCGGATTGGGCATTGGGAGTCGAAGATCCGCACCGGCGTCAAGCTCATAAATTCAGCTTTTATGTAGATGGAATATTCGCAAGTTCTTGGATACTCTCCCGCACGTCTGCTGGATTTGTCGCTTTCCCAAGGCAGGTCCCAGAGAAATTGACGTACCAGAATCCTTCATCTAGCAAAGTAGCAGATCCCTCTTTGCCAGTCTTCAAAGTGATTCCAAAAGCAGATAATGTATTTGAGTTCGCGTCGAGTTGAATGATCGTGGAGGCTTCCGCTAGGCAAGGGTCTGCATTCGCATAAAAAGCAGATACACTGGTAAACTTCCCGCACACGACCTTTCTCGTTTCTATACAAGCCACAATGACTAGCACAAGCAACATGACTGCCAATCCAATCGTGTAGGCTTTATACCATGGACGAGAAATGCATGGAATAATTGTCATAGTATGGCCCCGAGACAGGTAAAATGTACAGACCGCAAATGTCATAGTACTCATTATGAAATAGAATACTGACGTTAAAAAGTCTGTCACGGTATATATGTGTGGATTTGCGCTGAAGGTTGGAATCAATATAAAGCAGACGACGTTAGTGAACCAACAGCTAGTCAGCAGGACGATGTTGAGAACCCGGATGCTCCGGCTTCTCCGGCAGGATAGTTCGTAGTATCGTGGTTTCAAATCGTCTACGCCGTAATGATTTTCTTGTAGGCTGTCAAATGAGCACCGCTTCCCAAGACTCATCAATTGACTGAGGTCTAGATCGACTCTGGCAATTGGCCGTGGTGTGTATGCAAAGCTCCCGGTCAACCATGCTGCTGCAAGCAGCCTAATCAACCCAAAACAGGCCAATGGTGTAAATATACTGTCGACAGCAAAGTATCGATCGCCGAGATAGCCTGGAGTTCCAGGAATATATCGATACATGAATTGGAGTCCTTGCAACGTTGTAATGGTAGTTTTAAGCGCCTCTGTTGAGATTATTTGCAGTCTAGGATGCTCCGGCAAATATGTGCAGTAGATAGAAGCATCTACTATCATCTGCTCCGAACCATCCCAACCTTTGGTAGTCCAGAACAATGCGTTGCTGGCTGCCATATCCAATGGTGTCCAAACTCGAGCTCTGATGCGTCGATCTACAACAGCCATGTATCTCCAAATTATTGTCGTAGGATTATAGAAACATATGCGATCGTGCCATTTTGGTCTCGTAGAGCATACATAAGAAGGTTCTGGAGCCCCTGAAAAGATATGAGCTAAGAGCGGTGCCAGACACAATGTCAGCAGGGTAATCCAGTCATCGAGGGAGATGTTCTGACTTTGATGGTTCAGAGACTGCATAAGGAACGTCATTCTCGATAAGGCGATGACTCCCTCTGTGTACCATATACAATCGAGGAGTATTGAGGAGTGAGATATTAATTGCGACTTTATGCGTGCTTCAGGCGAGTATTAAGAAATGATTCTTCAATGATGTGGCTGTGCGAAGGCGGTGCGATTTCGATGACAATCTACACTAGAGCTTGGATCCATCATGTAAAAGGGCTGTTATGTAGCATTAGGGCCGTGTTTCACGGGCCGGGAGATGGCTGCAGGGTTGGTGGCGAAGTACTCCTTGGCGTCAGGGAGGGGAAATGAAGCGACTGCTGCCTAGATTAGTAGTGAGAATTAAGGGATAAATATGAACTTCTTTATGTAAGACCATTAATGACGATATTTAAGTTCATCAAGCAACTTTAGTATAACCCGTCAATCATACTCAATTGAGGTATGATGAAACTCGGCATTTCTTTGGAAGCGAGGTTAAACATGTCCCACAAGTCACTATGGGAGTACTTCTGAATAAAGTATACCGTACTGTGCAATATCCTCGGCAGCGGCCTACGTTGAAAGGTCTCTCCAGGAAAATGCACGGTAATGATGGACGACTATTAAAAAAAGGCCTGGGTGGCTTTGCTGTATTTGACTCGGATTCTCTTTGAAGCAGTCACATTCGTGGATCTTGCAGCGAAGTTCAATTTTACACCGAAACAGTTCCAGAAGATCACAGCAGCTGTAGTATCCAGAGCTAAAGACTCAGATATGAGAAGCCCAAGCGAAATTCTATCGTCTCTTGGCTATTCTTTTTCTTCAACTCGGGGATGGAGAGACCTTTTCCAATCGAGCTCATTCCTTCCTGGGACTGGCCAGACGTCGATGTCCATTTCTGGCTCCCGAGCCAACCAAGGGAGCCAAGAAGAAGAATGAACGGTTTCTCTGCCACTCTCTCAGACTAATATTCTTCGTTCGCTTTTACACTTAAGGAACCACTTCAAAGAAAAGCTTTGATTCTGGGCTTATATGAATTATATGATAAGTATAATAAATCCCGGAAGTTATTTAAATAATATGAATGTAAGCATTATAAGATTTTAATAAAAGCAAGCGTTATAAGTGGTAAGGAGTACAGAAGGTGCATAGTTCTAACGTTAACTTCTTTACGATTAGCATCGTTTAGCCTAATGCTATTGCAGCCTAGCTTGTCGACCAGTTGGCAACTATATAAAGACTAGCGCAACCCATCTCCTTGCGCTTAATGTTTTGTTTGATCATCCTTCCATTTGTGACCGTCATGGCTATCAATGACTTTGAAACAGTAGACGCCAACATACTCGATATGGCCATGGCTGCACTTGCTTCTGAGCCCGGAGGCCGCGCCGTGGTGCCCTCTTACGAGGCCATCCTTAGTGCCCACCAGTCCATTCATCTTACCCGGGACGCCAAGCGACTCTACTGGACCTTGAGCGGCCCGCTGAGCACTGCCATCTGGGTTATGGAGGAGACTTTCTACCATCCAGACTTTCCCCTGGAGCCCTACTACTGCCCAGCAACGTCAGAGATGGGTGCTGCGAGCTGGTCGCCAGTGTCACAGTCGCCATTGACTGACCCCAAGATCTCCTCGGTCACCGTGCGCGTCGACCACCTTGAAAACTGGGAGGATCAGTGGTACGACGTCCACCGAGAGCATACAGAACCCGATTGGGACCACAATGAGAATGATATGTTCCGTTGGGGGCACCTCCTAGACTACGACCCGGACGAGGACGAGGATGGACCAGAGCATTTGTTGAAGTGCTGTGGAGAGGAGAGGCCGCGAAAGAAAAGTACTTCTCTGTTAGTGGAAGCCAAAGGAGGCTTTGTCACTATTCACGACTACGTCTCGGCGGTTCATCCCTGGTTGATGGGCTTGCGTAATGACATCTTGCAGGCCGCGGGAGATGTTCTGGACTCCGTGCCATTGCCACCAAACACCAAATTGATGGTAAATTATCCTGGGCCGGATAGCTTGGCGGTGGCAGAGGAGAAGCAGTGGTTTCAAGCGCGCAAAAGGACGCTTTCTCACTACTACATAATGGCACGAATGAGTTTAGCAGAGCAGATGAAATGGCGTTCTAGGAACATGTAGTTTTGTGACCTTTAGAAAGGTTATGATATTTGAGGGATAGTGAAAATGAAAATAGTGAATTGACCGATTATATAATGTTTTGTTGATTGTTGAGGTCATGGGAAAATGCTGTATTTTGTCAGGCGATTGTTAAGAAATCTGAATATCGAGGTCGGATGCCATTGTCGCCTACAAAGGGAAAAACCGGGATCCTTTGGTATTCGGCTAGGCTCATCCCCCATGTGCGCCGAAACCGTGGTTGCAAGATATGGTTGTATCGATTAACCGACCTTTGCTAAGACAGTGGCGAGACTGCCACAAACGGCTGCAGGACGGGCGCGAGTACACAGCCATCTCCCAAGTTCACTTTTCCGGCAAGCAGGTCGCAAATAGCTCAATCCAAGCGTTTGCGAAGCATTTGAATAGGGGTGTGCCTTGAAAGGGAGCCCGTTCACCGTGTTGAGACCAAGTCTTAAGTACCGCATTATTGTCTGGTCGCCATAGCTTGGCTATCAGGTTGATTGAGCCAGTGCTTGCCGTACAGTAGCATGTCGGGTTTGCATACGCCGCTCATCTTCTCAAGATAAGAGCACTTACCTTTGTAGCTGCGTGGCAAATGAGATCAGGAAATTGAGGTCCGCTATGAGGAACCTCTTCCTTCAGATACGCTTCATTGATGCTCATAATAGCAAGCACATGAAGGAGGACGGTCCTGCCCTCAATAAACTCAGACCAATTCCTGAGTACAAAACTGTCTACATCAAGCTTTACTCTATCATGTTCTATCATGCTATTCGAACTAGTTAGTGCTATATTTCTCCAGTGAGCTATGATTTGTAGGTCGGCATGCAATAGAGTTTGGAGTAGATGATAAAGCACGGTTGGCTCGTGGAGGTTATCCTTCACGCGGGGTTTAATGGACGACGCATAACCATCCAAACCCTTGGCCTCATCCTGTCGCCCAAGATACGCGGTTAGAAGATGGCTCTCCATCGTCTCGGCAAAGTGTCGGAAGAAGTCTTCTTGTCAAGATTCTCTAGATGCTTTGCCCAGACGTCGATTTGTTGCAGAACCCCATCCCGCATGGAACTTGCTAAAGGGCTGTGCCATGTGTCAAAGACAGCTCGGACCTGCCCTTCTCTGATGCTATCAAAAAGGAGCCCACAAAGATCGAGGTGAATATCCTCGACTAGTAACGGATTAGGGAGAAAACTATTGGGATACCTGATCATCCACGGCATCTTGACCTGACTCTGACCTGGAGCCTTGTTCTGTTGGCGAGGAAGGAAAGTATCCATGTCATAATAATTTCATGAAGCAAAGGTCGACGATAGGAATGAGAGAGGAGCGGACCTTTTCCATTCATCAGTGAATATGTCGATCCAAGGACCCTAAGTCCCGGAAAGTTCGTTCTGTTGGATATGTTGCGAAGCAGACTGGCGGAAAACGCTAGCATTCTGCAATGTCGCGATCAATCAGCCACACAGCAAATTAGCCCTCCATCGTTTTCTCTTGCTTCATTCCGACGTCAGCTCTGAGTGTCGCTGTGATTGAGCTGAAGGGCTGGTTCGCACACCCAAATATAATCCAAAAATGAGGTTCGTGAGAATAACACGGTAGTATCTCAACAAACATATATCCTCGGTGAAGTGCAAGAATGATCGGACTAACTGTCTTCGGAAGTTCTTTTTAAGATTGAATCCTTTTGATTGAGGGCTTAAATGGCCCCCGAACCGACGACCGGTGGTATAACGTTGTAGTTTGGACGCTGACATGTCTAACTTCAATGCTTTTCTGTAAATACTGATTCTAGTTCCACAAGACATGTTTATACTTTGTACAAGATATGAGAAAATAAAGATTAATTTGTCTTCATGGTCAAGTCAATTATAGAGAAAGTGGATGTACCAAGGAAAGAACTAAATATCGGATTATATAGACACATCCTGTATTCGACACAGCTCGGATGAAGTTGACTCAAAAGCCAGAAAGCGCGGATATTATTGTGTTTTAACATATGGAAAGACATGTCCTGTCTATACGGCGCATGGCCTGTTCCCTCTAGAACGTCTTGCTGATTCAAAAGATGCTCACCTCTAGGAGCTTTTCTCAACGATGCCACCCCCAAAATAACAAATGAACTACGGCGCGCAGGCCGGGACGGGTATCATCTCCTAGACTTAATCGACTCCACTGGTAAATGCAACAGGCGCCCCCAATGCTGTGCTAATGGTATAACAAAGAAAAACGCCATGGTGGTGCGATAGCTATTAGTTATGCATTAGCTGTTCCTATTCAGCCAGGCCTTCTCTCAACGCGTCCACATCCACCTGGTCGGGCATGACTTTGCCTGGGTCCCGTTTCTGGCGCGAGGCCAGGTATTCCTGGAACCCAGGTATAGCGCCAGCCTGATTAATACCAGGTGACCGTCCATAGTCCTGGTAGTATTGCCTATCTCTGGATTTGGCAGGTGTGCTTGATCCTACGTCACCGCCTTTCCAGGGCCGCCAACCAACCCAAGAACTGAGCTTCGACGTACTTGTCTGGGAAGAGGATAGTGGGCCGGACACAGACCGTAGACTTCCTACCGATGATGGTGATAATCCGTAACTTTCGCGCAGTATATGACTGCTTCTCTTGGCAGAATCTCGGGATAGCATCGGACTGGCGGTGATAGTACTGCTCGCTGTGAGTGAGGTCGCATTACTGATGTGACGTAGTGTGAGCTGACTGGGCCGCGACTTTAATGTATGAATATCAAGTCCCCCAGACAGCGACATGATTGATTCGTGCGATAATGCCCTCCTTAGACGTCTCGGTGCGTCCGAGTCAGAATCTGTGTCACCCATGAATATCTCCACTTCTTCAGTGACGGTGCCTAGTCCCTTTGAAGAGGTCTCATCGTCTGCAGCGGATTCATCTGTGACAACGCCTAGATCTGGCATGTCTTCCTGGCCTTCTCCCTCTTCCATAATAGTATGAGTATGGCTCGGGGCATCCAACGAGAAGGCCGTTGGAACCAGAAAGCTTCGTGCCGACATGTTGGATGGCTGTTTCCTGTGGCCCCGCCATGTCGGCGACATTGGGTCGACACTAGTGGCTGGCGAGGCTGGCCAGGAGTCTATAGACCCGTGGTCGAACAGCGAGTTGCGAGGATTGGATTGGGGCGAGCTGGGAGCCGATGAAGCTGCAAACTCGGAAGATTGCTCCGACATGATAGAAAAACGATTAGACATTAGTGAGTCTCGCGGTGTACGAGTCGAGATTGGTGGCCGCCAATTGGGGGTCGGAGGTGTCGAAGGATGAGATTGATGTAGTGCCGAGGGGGTAAAGGCACCGGGAGAAAGGACTTGTCGTTTCTTCCTTGGTTTTTTGGTTTCGGGTTTAGGTGTGACATGGTAGTGGTGATGGATATGGAGCTCTTGAGAAACAGCCTGGGTAGGCCTCTCCGGCGGATCTTTCGACTCCAACTCGGCTCTTAGGTTTGGCGTAGAACCAGTGTTTTCGTTCCCGTTCTCGGCAGGCTGGTGGTATTGAAGTTGCTCCCGGAGTGCTTGTATCTCGTCGTTCGAGTTCATGAGCATTTCCCTTAATTCCATAATACCCTGCTGTAGGCTCGTGTTGTCCTGCAGCAAGTCGCGCACAAAGTGCGACACAACATTCGCGCCCTCCTTTCCGTGGTTCATCGTCTTCGCCGCTGCGGCACCCTTGAGTCGCCCAGCCGCTGTATTCAACTCCTTCTCAACTTCGCGCTGCTTCTCCATGCGCCCAACCACCTCGGCATGCCGTTCGCGCTCTTCTCGGCCCTCTCGCTCCATCCTTTCGAGCTCCTCCTGCAAGTCTATTATTCCTCTTTCCGCACGTTGCCATCTTGCCATGGACGACCGCGCCTCTTCGTGTGTTGTTGCAAGTGTGTTTTGTATCTGTTCCTGCTCTTGTTCGAGAAATGCGATCTGACGCTCAAGAGACTCGGCCCTAGCCGTTTCTCCCTCCAAGCGCCGTATTATCTGCTGCGAGGATAACAGCGTCGCTTCGAGGGACTTGATACGGCCTTCCGAGTCGGCCACTGTTGTGTTGAGTGACTCTAGATGATCCAGCAATGTCCTGTTCTCCTCGATCGTCCTGGCGTTCTTGGCCTCCAGGTCCTTGTTGTCCATCTCCAACTGTTCGATCCTAGTCGTGAGCTCCAAGCGATCTCGTTCTGCGTCGGCCATGTACGATTCGTGACGTGCCAGTAGCGCCTGTAGAGCAAACGTTAGGGACTCTGATACACCCATGATGCAAAAAGCGAGTAAGGTTTGCTATGTTCCAGCGTGTTGGGGAATGTGCGTGGGCATAAGCGAGAGGCTTGAGGTGGGAATGCTTAGAGGCTTGGGCACATTCCTGCCATATATGGTAACTAGAGGTGGTCGTGATAAAGATCAACTATGATGGCAGGGATGAAGAGTACACCAGTATAGTATAGAGACACGGGACGGAAAAGCAAAAGGGAAAGCAAAAGCAAAACCACAGCCAGGAACAGAGACTAGGGCGGGCGGAACTTTGGCATTGGTATCATGTTCTGATGTGCTGGCCCCCATGATGACCACAGCCTCCAGAAGCGCCCCAGGGCAAAGCAGCGATCCGCGAGAAACCCCCTTGTACTTGAGACAAACTGCAATGGCAGATGCGCCTTCCAATATTATGCGAACGTATTATGTTGTGGGGTGAAAAGGAAAGGGCAAACGAACCTGTCCCATGCGCGCTGCCGTGTGCACATCCTTCTCGACGCTGTCCAGAATGGAGTTGCTGTGCCTGAGGAAGACACACTCGGCTGAGCCACAGCAGCATTTCAAAGGTAGGCCCTCAGCATCGTCTCGAGCAGGGGCAATGGTCGCCATGAGGGATCCGAGGTCTGCGTCCACACGTACATCTGCAAGTGCAACTGCATCTGCATCCGTTTCGGGGCATGCCTCGAGGGCGGAGGCAGACACAGACACATGGGAACCAGCCATGGCGGGGTGTTGGGTTGATATGCGCAGCTACTCTCGATGGTTTGGACGGGGCCCGATCAGCATCGCGGTAACCGGATGATTATGGGCGCATAATAGAGTTTCGACCTTTCGAACCCGAGTCAAGTGAATTCTTCGTATACGACAGCTGGTTCGATTGTGTCGGTTCGGTGGTTGACTTCTCTCGCGCCCGCTTCATGCGCGACCGAGGGGATCCGGACCCGTTAACCTTTCTCTGCGCGTTGCTGCCGAGCCAAATTCAAAATTCAAATTCAAGCTCCAAATCCAAAATCAATCAAAAAGGGTCCAGAGGTCTCTGGATTAATCCACAGGTGGAGAACCCCAGGCGAATCTCCAGTGGTGGGGTTTCACCTGGCTGGGCTCAGGTTATCCGCTTCCAGTCTCGTTAAGTCATGGTGTTGGCGATTGTCTGAGACAAGATATCGTGTCCCTTGTTGTCTTTTGGACAAAGGGAGCAGAGAAGAGCGCGAGGCGTGCCCAGATATTTGAGTTGACTCGTGGACGGACTTGGCCCTTCGATCTGCACCTGCATCTGCACCCATCCTGTCTGCAGCACCCCCCTCCCCCCAGCCAGCTCCAGAAGCCAGCAAACCACCTTCTTGGCGCGCCACCTCAACTCAACGCCATTTGACGAGTTTTCGTGCAATTTGACAGGACGAGGGCCAGCTGCAAGTCGCTGCTAGGATGTTCCAAGTTCCGACGTTATTGACGATTAGCGACCAGGTTCTTGGGCACCCATGCATTATTATGACGACAAACACTTTAGCTTTCAACTGGTCGATAACTTCAGTGCTTCAGAGCCTATCGTCGCCCTACACCAGCCACCAAACCACTCAACGGCAGTCCCCTTCTCTGATCTCATTTCGCTCGTCATCTGAGACATGATCCTTTTCCTGCTTTTCTTTTCCGACATGTTAAATGGAGTGCATACATGTAAGATCACACCAGACATCCTGCTCACTTCTATTGCCGTACCTGAGACCAATTCAGGTACCCGTTCGCTAATGCAGCAAGACCACCTCCTCACCAAACCCGGCCCCTACTAAGCTGGTGGATACAAGAGCTCCCGCGTAGACGTTCATTACTACAAGTCACTAACCTAACCTAGGTTAGATGCGTCCTGCGCTCACACACCAGAGTCTACAGTGAACACACCATAACGTCCCGTCTTACGCCGCTGAACTCACTTCAAGTAACTCTTCTATACGTAAATACTGGCTCATTTCCTCTGATTCTGGAGCCATTCTATAGGACGCTTGAATAGATAGATCCCTGACAGAGATACATGAGAATGCGTACCAATTAACCCAACCTAGTCATTCTGCCCAGAGGACAATTTCGGAGGGCGGAGAGTAGACACACTTTGGTGCACCCTTGAGCCCTGCACTTGCAGGTGCAAATGTACAAGTTTTCACCCACCCCTCACCAGCTTCGCTCAGGTCATCCAAAAGTTCATCAAGACAGCGAAAATAGACATGGGAAGCATTGCTTGCACACTAATACTCCACCAAAATGTCTTAGTTATCAGGTGTCACATCAACAAGCGAGGCTCAAAGTCGTGGGCAAACCCAAGTTTCTGCTTAATCATCTTTGTCAACAGCGGGTCCGCTTTCCCCGCATGTGTCACCTACTGAATGACCTTACCAGCCACATGGTTCCCGGCCATGAACCTTGTATTGACGACGGGCTCTTCGGTTATTCAGCTATCTTAGTGGGCTGTCTATATGGCAAGTCGCTCGGCTCACAAGAGGACGCAGTTCTCCAGCTGCGATACATGCCGCCGCTCACGCGTCTCATGCGATGCCTCCAGATTCGGCTACGAAGCTGGCAAACACGGATGGAGCGGCTCCTGCTCGAGGTGTACTCGAGGAAACCGACCATGTACGTTTGAGGTAAGAATCACGTTATGCATGTATTTGCCCGGCGACAGCTGCATTCAGATTGCTGCACAGAGACATAACTTAAGAAGCCTAGTGGATTAAAGTAAAAAAGAGGCCTCTGAGAACACAGACAACCTCTAGTCCGTCACCTCCTGAGGTCGGCATCGGAACCGTCGATCCTTCTGATACAAGAATGTCGCAAGATTTACTGACAGAAGCAACGAATGTCCTCCTGACACGATGGGCTTCTCAAATCTTCGAACATGGTTTTGACGCCATCTTTAACCCCTCGATAGGGAGATATGGCTGCCCGTTTGTGTAGGTCTGACAAGTACTGGTCTCGGGAATTCTTCCGTCCTGACAACGATAGTGATAATGCGGAAAGCAATATTGGCATCTCCGTGATAACTCTTTTCAGGACGCTTGATGCTTGCATGGACGAAGAGATGCATCATGAGAGCCCGGGCCATGACTCTGCATCGGTCGTTCAAGGGCACAACAGTAACCGGCCGATCAAGGTATCTCTAGATCTAGCTGTTCATGCTTTTGTGGCCCAGTGGCTTCCCTTAGTCCTGCAAACGAGCCCGGTTGCCCAGAAACAAATTGAAGACCAGATCAGAGAGACCTGGCGCGCTGCCAGAATGGACATGCTGAAGATCATCAATCGCGTATCTTACCGGTCCGTTTTGTCGTTGTATCTCTTCTCTCAAACGCCCATCCCCATTGGGATCGCTGAGGATGAGGTCATGGAAGGGATTAGCAACATGATGTGTCATCAGACTGCTCTGCTTCAAGTTCAACGACTCCGGGAGCGGCAGAAAGGATCTCGATTGCTTGGATCGGAAGTCTTGCCTTTGAAACGCATACCAACGCCCAGTGTCGGTGTTTCCCAGACGTTCCTAGATCTTGAAAGCAGGGTCTACTGGGCCGTGATCATGTGGGATACTTCGAGCTCTTTAACGTCGAACTTCAGAGCTTCTCTGACCTCGGGGTTGAAAGGCGCATGTTCGGAGCCCGCATGGCGTCTAGTTAGAGCATATCTTGTTGGGTCATTCATTCCGAGAACAGACCCTTGGCGTGCCGATGGCTTCGAAGTGACCGACGAAACCGCTTCTCAGACTTTCTCTGCAGCGACCATATGCATTATTTATACGTTCAAAACCATTACATCATTGAAGGAAGCACTCAGAGAAGGAGTGGACGAGGACGATGTTTTCTTTGCGTGGAAAGCCTTTCTTGATGCATTTGAAATATTCAAGACTTCAATTCGCCCCCTTCTGAGCCTGTGTGAGAAGCACCTACAATTTCTGGGCCAGGAGCGACGATTGAGCTGGTACAAACTTAACTTAGTCTACAATCTCGGTATATTGGTTTTGTTCGATGCGCTCGAAGCCGCGCATCGCTCAGATCTCTTGGCTCAGGTGGCAGACGCTGGCCAAGATGCTGAGCATGAGTCTTTGAACATACTCAAATTTGGTCTCGAGAACAAGTACAGAATCAACACGCCTGCGTCAGACTCGAGTACACGTCTGAGACCTACCCGAGGTTCAGCATACCCGATTGGAGTTTCATTGGTGGCTATTGACCCATTTCCGCATCATGTGGTCGACCTGGTGATATTGATGACAAAGGTCATTTTGCGCAACTACCGGGACAATATCTTTGACGGTGGCGTATACTCTAACCTCTCATCAATCTTGCAAGAAACCCTAGCACAACTTCCCCAAAGCTCCAAGTTTGTTCAAGATGCTCAAGAATACTTGCAATTATCATTTGCCGAGCACAATCTATCCCCGTCCCTCGATGAGAATCTTAATGTACATAAAGGATAATTAAGTGGTTGGTCTTTATTGAGTAGTCGAGCGTTAACGAATTGCGCAAACACGAAACTATATCTGAGGTGCATCAAAATCGTGAAATCCTCTCTTGTGAGTAATTACCACCTGGCGTTTCTTACTTGCGACAAAAGTCTTGAGTAAGATGATATATTTTCCCTAGATTTTAGTACGTTTGAAAAAGCTTGAGATTTCCAAATACATATCCAGTAAGTAACCCAGTATTACCTAAATCGTACACACAACTCGTGCACGCATTGATGCGGCATCGTTATTAGATGCATAGCACTCTCGGCTACGCAGAACACTTACATAATCGAATGATTGATTGGCTGGGCTCATACTCTCATAGTCCTTGGTTTATCAGACTCCGAAAAGTTGACCCAAGGCACGTAAACGGTCTATTTTCAGTATCAAAGTTCAAAACTGGAGCATTTAACCCAAAACCCCGAAAGGTCTTCGATGGCGGTTTGAAGTGCAAGACACGCACGTGAGCGAACTTCGCGCCGTCGTCACAAATGAACACCGGCTGCCGCTTGAATTTGCATTGTGCAATGTGCCCTTGGCGATTGGAGACCTCATATGGTCCTGACTGCGGACTACAGGCAAATTATCTTCTATGCTTTACCAAGCGCGCGCTAGTCTATCCGTCTGCCCCGAGAACTGCAACACTCGTTTGTAACACAAGCTGAATCGTAGGTATATCTTTGAGCCTCGTAATCGCGGTTCGGCGCTCATCCGGTCTAAATATTGTCCTCTTTAAACGACGCCAGTGGCCGGATTTCGTCGTTGCAGGAAAATTCACATTGCTGTATAACATTAACTCATTGTGCAAGATTTACTAGATCCCTTCTTCGACTTTTTAGGAGATTTCTCATTTAGTTTATAGTCATGGGCTGACATCTCTTTTGCCTTGCCCCTTTCGCGTGCCTCTAGCAGACCTGGATTTCCTGGCGCCTAGACAAGGAGTCTATCCATGATGAAGAGGTACAGCCTGCACCAGTCGAGCGAGTGGGCCCCGGAACTGCTGGCGTCCGGCGTGTGGCTGCGAGCATAGTCGTGCGCGAAGATGAAGAGGTAGGCGTGGGCCATCTCGTGTGCAAGCGTTCCGATGTACTTGCCCACGGATGGCTGCTCCTCCGCTATGTACAGCCGTATGGTGCTGTCCTCTTGTCGAAACGCCCCGCGCCTTTCCGATCCGGGCCTCGGTCCTTCGACCGAGAGCCTCACAAGGTGGTATCTGTGATTTCGTTCGCCATCGCCCCGCAGCAGGTTGAAGAAGAAGGCTTTGTCGAGCTCGTCTATGATGACCTTGAGCTGCGACTTGACGTCGTCAAATGATTGGGGACGGTCTTGAATAGCGCCCAAAGCAGCTCTAAGTCCCCCCAATCGCTCATCGTACGGGTGAGTTGCTGCTAATGAGTTCCGTTGTACTATCTTTCGAAGCTGGTGCTTCGAATAGGGAGCCGAACGATCGAAAGTTGCTCGGAAATCTGCCGAGCTTGATCTGTATGTCCGCGCCCGCTGCTTGAGCTTTTTAGCCACCTCCTCCGCCTCCGGGCCCTCTGTTGACATCTCCAGCTGGAGTTGGTGAGAACGAGAGTTGGTTCAATTCAAATTCGCCGGGCCACGCATGCGCGGGATTCTAGTCTTGCCTAAAAAAAAAAAGTAACAGAGGAGCTTGTTTGAAAATTTCAAAGAACCCCAGTTTGAAACTTTGGCGTCTTTATTTATAGAGCTGTCGAATTTGATGTGAATCATGGGGAGGATGCTGTATCAGATTCTATGTCGTCGGTCTCAGATCCTGAGTTGTATAAGGGGCCAGTGATTCAGAGTCTTTATGATATGAGAAATTCGCCGCTATCGAATTGATTGACAGTGAAAGGAAGGAAGCATGTCTCCACCATTTGAAAATCGAATTTCGGGGGCAGACTCGTTCTGAAAATCTGGGAGTTGCTGACCCTAACTCAAAGTATAGTGATCGTTACGCACTCTATTCTTCACTCTGAAGACTATCATCCACGAATCATTGAAACTTCCCCCTAATGATTTCACATACAAAATTCCCATCGAAATACGCTTTGTGTTGTAAGATCCACAACATATAAAGCCGCCTCGAGCGCCGAGATTGGTTAACGGACGCTGACCGTGTCATAGTGAACATTTTGTATCATCGCCTTCAACTCGGTATCATGCAGCTCCTTTATATCCAACAACTCATTATCCAGGTGTTCCGAGAAATCACAACCGTACTCGGAGTTGAATGAACCACAGAAACAAAATCCCAGCATCGCAGCGTCTACATCTGCCTCGAGACCTTTGGCCAGTTCCGCCATGCTCTCACGCTGGACCTCTCCCGTATCTTTGATCGTAGTGTTCCAAGGTTTGCCGTCTTTTTCACGGGCATAACGAATTAGCTGGTTCTGTGTAACCCTCGCGGAATGGACATAAACGATCCGATTCGCAGTTTGTTCCCGGTGGCTAATGACGCCCAGGACCGCCCTCGCGACATCTGCCAAGTTTGTCGCACTAAATGGGACGTTCCCGCCGTTGTACAGAGTCGCCGTGTGCTCCGCCACGTTCAAAATGAGACCCATCTTAAGACCCCAATCCAGGAACAGCCCGTTTGCTATCGCAGTCCAGGTGAACCCCGGGTTCGACAGGGCCTTCTGAGCGAGATACCTCTGTGTTGCCGCCTTCGGCGCGCAGACGGGCAACTGCATGGCCAGCGTGTTGGCAGAGTCCATGCCAAACTCTGCCGGGATAAAACGTTTCACGCCTGCGGCGATAGAGGCGTCGATCAAGGAGTTTTGACCACCAATCGCCATTGTGGCGACGCAGGAGACGACAACCTCGACACCATGCATGGCGGGAGCAAGGGACGCGATGGAGCCGAAGTCAACTTCTTTGATGGTCAGGTGCGGATGCGGTGTGAGTTTTGAAGAGCTGCTGTCCATGCGCGAAAGGACGGTGACAGAAAGTCCGGCATTCAGGAGAGCTTGGAGGATAGGGGTACCGAGGTTGCCAGTGGCACCGGCAATGGCAACTCGTATAGACATATTGCTGTAATGCGGTGATATTTACTCTTGAGGAGAGTTGAATTGCTTGTGTCATGAAAGGATAGAGATCAGGGGAACAAACAGTCACTTTATATGTATCTCGACTCGCTATGGACAACATAGGCCTGCCAGTTTACCTGCAGCATACATCCTCGAACTATACAAGCATGATCTTCATTTTTGCCGGCAGAAATTGAAGCATCAATTGGTGCGGATGCAGCGGTACAATGGGACATGATCCAAAATTCGCCAACGGAAGTTTCGTGCCAGCCTGAAGCGTTACCTGCCTCGCAATGTGAACCACTTACTACAAAGCGGCCTAGAAGCGCCAAGAATGCAAGAGCATTATGGCGAGTCTTCATTGGTTGAGTCTCAACCCTTTTTTGGTGGGTTTGTATCCATCCTCGGTTCTCGTGGCCATAGCACTGCGGTTCCGATATTCGGAGCCGATGCACTGCTTCCGTCAAACCCTTGAATCGGATCCGATATGCATCTGCTTGTCAGTCGTATCTCAAGGCCCATCACATTGGAACCATGATAAAATCACATGTTGAAAATGATATCATACACATCAGGGTCAACGCCTCAGCTTAGGCCAAGTTGTTGTTGTTATTGTTGTTGTTGTTGTTGTCTAAATATTGTACTGATTGTGCAGTCCAACGTGGATGGTCGGCGCTCTCCGAAGCAGAAGGATTTACGATTGAGCAACCGGTTACGTATGTACGTGGATATTCTACTTGTCGTAAACACCCTGTTGGAATAAGAACTTTCTAAGACATTCATGGGTTCAGTGACATTACATAATCCTCCCGGCATCCGTAGTCGCCAACTGTAAGCTATCTGTCGCATTGAGCAGAAGCCGCTCTTCATCTCATCTCCACTCATCTTGTTTGCTATGGGCCCTTCTTCGCCAGGTGCTATTGGTTGATCCCCCACTTTCGACATCCGCTTTGCCAAGCAGGAAATTCTTTTCGTGGATATGAATATACGTAAACACCAGAAACTCCAACCAATCATGTGATCCTGAGACCAACTCAGGGTTCGTCACGAACATTCTCACCGAGTCGCTTTAGCTCACTTGGGAGAGCGCCAGACTGAAGCCTCAACTTCAGTTGCGAAATCTGGAGGCACTGTGTTCGATCCACAGAAGCGACATAGCTACAATTTTTAATGTTTTGCTACCGATTACTTTTTGACACTCGAACTATCGCCTGTGTTTATATGTACTGAATGAGTGCGCAAGGTTTCGCTATGGCTAGCTTAGTATAAAGAGCCCACGGCTGGTGTCTGGTCCTGTAGCTTGAACGGTAGCCCCGGCCCCACTGTACCTGATCTTGAGATTCAGTTGGAGAGCAAATGGCCATCGGTCATGGTCGTTTGAAGATTTTGTTGCAAACAGCGATGTTTAATATAGACGTGACGCTCATTGCCACAACAATCAAATCTCCAAGTCGTTCTTGGTCTTATCTAACATTTTACTGTCACTTAGCCGTCCCCAACGTTGAGTATTAGAGATCAATCGCGAACTTGTTAAAGATTTGTTGCGATTCTCAACGCTTTATCCGTGTTTGATGATAACTCAGGATATCGTGAGGAGCGGGACTAGACTTCGCGATTGCTCTTTCGTTCGATGTGCTACTCCATTTCATGTGATTACATAAATGCTTGCATTGTATAGCAACGTAGTTCTTATGTAATTTTTAATACTAGAACCACTAGTAATTCAATCTTGCCTTGTCTTTCCTCTCCTTTTCTTGAATTTCTTTTCTTTGTGTACGCCTGCGCTGTTTTCGCCTGACGGCTTGCATTTCTTGTCGTGGCCAATCGCGCTTTTTCTTTTCGGAGATGTTATGTGTACCTCATTATCGTTTCCTCTGATGAGAGTGTCCAGAGCCACCCTGATCTGCGACAAACGATCATCATGTGCCCAGTCAAGGATATTGGATACTTGCTTTCGAAAATCCATGACCGCTGAAGCACTATGCATGTCGAATTTTTGTACTGTTTGTATGACATATATTACAGCGTTTTCTTTCCACGACACGTAGAGAATCGCTTCAGTGTTGTTAATTGTAATGCCGTACACAAAATCGCTTATAACTGGTTCTGCGTCCATTGATCGAAGCGCATCATTCAGCCTGGCAACAGCATTGAGCGATGCTCCCAGGCCTCCGGCGCACTGATTCAAGGCAACATGAAGTTGTTGCAAACCCCAGCTGGTCTTGCACTCGACGAGTAGGAATGGTAGTCGCAGTCCACAATTTGTGGCGGCGAGGAACTGGAACCCCTCGCCTTTCAACGAACTGTCGTATATGTTTGCGTGAGCTGCTTCCTGGCCCCGAGTGAACGCTTCCCTAGTGATGCTGCTAGAATACCCGTATATTGCATCCGGTCTTGGCTGTACTATTTGTAGTTTATTTGACTTATCATCGGGAACGAGAAGATCGGACATCTGTGCATTTCTCTGGAGTTTCACACATCGATGACGGGACATGCTTAGTTCAGGGAAAATCTTTTCCAGGATATGGCTTTTGAGGGCGTTCTCTCCTACTTCCTCCGGATTGGCAGTCCAGCGCTCAAGTGCGTTAATTGAATCGATAATACGACCTAATGCTTCCACACTTGGCGCGGGATAGGAGTCCCTAGTTCTCACCTGCTCGATATGAGCCGCTATGTGCTGCGGTAATGGATCGCTTGCAATGCGAAAGCGAAATCCATTTCTTTCCAGATTATTTGTACGATACTGCGGTGCCGCCGGCCCACTCGTGACGCTTGCACTGCCTTTCTTGGTCGTCCCCGCCGTGAAAGGTATGCTAGTCATACTTTGTGAAATATGACAAGAAGGATTTACGTCACTTTCAATATTCGTTTCTTCTTCGAATAGAGTATTTAGCCACACATACACAATATCTCGGCTTTTTGTCCTGTCAGAAGTGGCGTCTCTTTTCCTTCCGGAATGCTTCTCAAGAACTTGACTAAGTGACGCAGCCCACAGATGTATGCTGCTCACGGTCTGCAATTTCTGATTGTGCACGTGCTCCTTTTCTTCCTGGCTTCGAATACTCTCAATCTGAGTCTGTCGATCTCGGTGATCAGATCGATGCAAAGCCTTTTGGGTCCCTTTTCGGTTTGTCGGGGGTCTTTTATCAGGTTTGATACGTTGCTCGTTAATGGTCTTGTCTCTAACATGCGGCCTTGTTCCTGCATCTGATCCTAGGCGTGTCATAGTGCTCGGGTGAAGGCCAATTTATGTCAGCTTGTATAATAACTGTCAACTGCAAAGTGCAATGTTTGATTTGAGATTGAAGGCCACTCAGTACTGAAGAAAAGATGGATTAATACTGATGCCTCGTTTCATAGCACAAAGAAATGACCAGATCAGTCACATGTCTCCAAAACATGACAAAGCATAAACAAGACATGAATAACCCATTCACAATGACACAGTCATGTCTTAGGACAAAGATTTACTTCTAATTCGAAAGTCCAATACTACTTAAGGACTTGTGGTGTGAGATAATCGATCAATCGAGGCACATACGTGGACAAGCTATTGTGAAGATATACGTCACCAGTTGTTTAAAGACCACGATCTTTTGCAAGTCTATTTTATTTGCTTTAGAGTAATTGAATATACAATAAGCAACGTTAATGGCTTCCGCATTTTTGAATCAAAATTTCATTTTAGAGCAGCCAATTTGGGTTTTAGGCTAACAAAGTATTCCAAACGAGTTAATCTGGTCTCCGTTCTTTCGAGTCAGCTTTAAAACCGTCCCGCACAGTACAAGCAAATTGACAGTCATATGCACAATAGTACACGTTTACAATTAGGGATCATGCGGCCTCCTCCATCCAAGAGCACTGATATATTAGTTCTTGTCCAATGTCCCAGAACATTCTCTTAGCTAAGACAATTATGTATAAATATGAAGCTACCCTTATGCTATCTTTTACAAACAGATAGGGGGGGAAAAGAACGATTTGTAACCTTAAATCAAACAAATCCTGGGCTTCGGCGGGCTTCCACTTCGTACAGCTTTCGTTAACTTCGCTATAAAATCGACGAAGACCTGAAACATCCGTTTGCTTCAGTGGATCTGACGAACATTTATGGAGAGGCTACGACTTTGTCTCCACTTATTTGTATCATGGCTCGGAACTCTAGCATCTTTGTTATCCCAGTACGAAGAAGTTTCACCGAACTGGTAAGCCCAAATAGACGCTGCAAGGCAATCGGCGTTTGGCCATCAATTCCTTCACCGCCGATCATCGTCTGCAACGTGAGCAAGCCGCAGAGGCGCATGGCGGCCCTAGATGTGATATTTGCCGTGGCTTGAGCCTTGCGAATATTCTGGTCCATGATACTCAGAATGCGGGAACGATCAACAGGGTAGCATTGAGACTGCTCTACCTCATTCATGGAGAAAAATATCTGTTCCAGTATCACCGGAATCAAGGAAATAAAAGTTGCTGTCTCATCAAGCTGGCTGCATCGGTCTGAGGCTAGCTTGTCTATTTTGGTCGACAAATCAGTCACATCGGGGCTGAATATATTCAGGCCAAACTTGATGCTCATGTCGACCTGTGAAGAAAGCCTGGCTGCTTCACGTTCGCACCGATTCATTTTATTACAGTGTTCGTTGAGTAATAACTGCAGCCCTCGGAATATATCGTGCGTTTCGGGAACAATTGCTCGACGGTGAGTTGCATTGAGCTGCAGATGCTTCATGAGAGACTCCAATTCTTTAGCGGATTGGATGTCCCGAATGGATCTTGTGAGAACGACGCACTTTCCGTTGTGGATCGGGAGCTTCAGTCGCCTTTCGATCTCTCTAAGAAGAATGGACACATCCTGTTTTAAAGGATGTTGATATTCCTGCCAGATCAGACGCAGTGACGCGATGTGATCTATACTCCCGGTATACTCGGACGCGAACAGTTGCCTTAGGAGAATATTCACCTCATCTGACATGGTGCAGGAAGTATCAGATGCATAAGAAACTCTGCATGCTTTTGGGTCCACCAAAGTCTCACGAAGATGGTGCCACACAGAAGATTCTATGGCTTCCTTGCTCTGCTTCTTGTTATTGATTTCTCTAAGAGGAGTCAGCAACCGCAATATTGCACTTCCAAAGACACGTACTCTTTGCTTTTGTTGCATATGTCTTGAAGCCAGGAAGGGTGTCTCAATGGCATCCCAAGCTCCGCAAATGCCACGACAAAGTGACAAATGAGTAATAGGCGTGTCCAGTAAGAGCTTGTGCGGTAGCACACAGATGCAGCCGGATGAAATGAGCGAATTAGAGTCATCTGTCCGTTTTTGGCCTTTTTCCGGATTGGCCAGCTACCGATGCCACGGGACTCAAGCTGCTTGAGAATCACGTTTTCAGTCGAGATATCATGTGGTCCTTGCCAGCAGCAAATCACCACCTTCGGTTTCTTCAGATCAAGTATCTGCTCGATCAGCTCGTGACACTGCACGTTCACCTCGCGGCGCTTTTCAGGGGTCCCACTATCAAGCTCATGCATGAATGGGAATGCATCGAGAACAGTGACTGTATGTATGCTTCTTGCACCCATTGAACTGTATCTGATGAGGTCATCCACAGCTTGTAACGTCGGACAATTGCTAATGAAATCCTCAAAAGAAACGTCGTACTCGTGCTTGCCATTTGGTCGCTCAAGCATGACTACAATGTCTGATGATCCACGAGCCAAGCAGCATGCTTTCTCGATCTCTTCCTCACCGCGCCCATGCTTCTGACCGAATCGCTGGATGAGATGATTAATAGAATTCGCATTTATGTCGTCTGAAATACAGTACGGTGGTTTGCAGCGAATATTTTCAATGTGATTGGGCACGGAGATATCGAGGCAGGTCATCTTGAAGTTATTTCGATTCAGATGGTAAGGATCTTCGTTGAGAGTGTTGAGGATAGACTCAGAGCAAGCAAGGTTCAAGAGTTTGTGAGGGGAAAGAGGGGTTCGTAATTTCCTCGGGCATGGCTCAGTGGTTGCGTATCTCTGAAATAGACTCTTGCATTGACGAAATGGCTATTTGTAGAATAGACTTCATGAACTTTGTTCCTGAATGGCCTAACCTAGACTAGTGTGGGCTTTCTGTCAGCGTCACTAAAAGTCGCAAAGTCATAACCAGTACGCCCTATACCATCCGAAACACCCATCATCACTCGATATGATTTAGACGTGCAGAATTCTGACTATATGATGAAATAATCCAAATATGCCCTTTCGTTGTCATTGTGTTGTTTGTTACCACAAAACTTAATTCAGGTCAAAACCATCCACCATCCAAAAAAGGCACTTTAAAATGCCCGACCCGGCACCAAAGGCCACATGACTGCACGAGCCAGTTGTCCTCTCATGTCCTGCATACCCACTAGCGTGGCTGTGATGGGCAACCGCTTTTAGATTTGGTATGCTTGGTGGGGATGATGAATCGGTTATGGTGAACTATTGGCGATCCTATACCCCGACGATCCAGCGTAGTTGTCAAGTCGGGGAAACTTGTGGAACACAGTAGGGTAGACTATGATCAGAACCTGACGAAATGGCTGCTAGTCAGCGAATATATTACGGTGTATCCTAACATCATCATGAAATTCAAGGGATAAGCCAAAACAAAGTCAGGGTGACTAGTAGTCAACTGTAATCACTGTGCTCAATGACACATTGGATGACAACATAAATCGAGTCCAGCTCTTTGTCCATCTTTCGAGACGATCGAGGGTTTGAAGGAACACTTACGAAGGACGAATGAAGCTGTTAGATCAAAGTGATACGCCGAATCAGCCGAGGATTGGAAACAATTGTGCTCGCTTTCTCCCCAAACATGAATCCGTCAATGAATACTTCGCCATTCACCCGATAATAACCTGGATTTTCCGTCTGTGGAGAGAGAATGAGAGGAACGCTACAACCACCAATGAGCCAAATCTCGTCTCCCACTCGGCATTGTTCGCGAGCAAGACCAATATAGCCTCCTTTAGTAATGAAGGGGTCCCAGGACATCAGACGTTTCATCCTTATGAAGGCTTTTTGCCCATTTCCATCACTTGCGCTATTGGGCTTGAGGCCATATTCTGCAAGTCGCCTGCCTAGAATTGAATCGCTACACCAACGACAAAACATATCTGGGATATCAATTGGCGAAGGTACCGGATCCAGGTAGATTCCAAGAAGGCTCAAAGTGCGAGTAAATGTTTCAGCCATGCATTGTCTGTCTTTGTACGGCATCGGTACGCCCGTCGCTGTCATCCAGAAATCAAAATACTGTTGAAATAATCTTGAATTGGTATTGGACAACTCAGAGCGCTGGTCGTGTTGACAAAAATTACCGAAAACCCTAATTTTGTCAAGCTGAACACCAGAAACAATCAATTCATTCCCTTGAAATGACATGGTTGTGGGAAGTGTGTTAGAGGCGTTGAAAAATTGTACGTTGGGGTCTAAGCTGCTGAGACCTAAACAACGTCGGAGACGTCCTGAATGCCAATTCGGTACCCACGAAGGGCCACCAAAAGGACGGGATATCGGATTGTTCAGCGGTCCCGACCATAGGTTGTCGCGCTGAGCAGGTGTGCAGAGACCAAGGAACTCTAAGTTAGTATACAGCTGTACGTGGGATGCAACGAATGTTTTGTATACATCCTCAGGTTCGAGGTCGTATCGGATAGGGTTTCCAGCAACTTCATCTGGGCTACAAAGACCGAGTAACGAATAAATTTGATCGTGAGCCAAGGTTGTTCTAGTAAATCGAAAGTGCTCAAGCAACCAGAGCAACGTCGATGGAGAACTGGCACTAGCGTAGCGTTTTTTCAATTCTCTCAAAGCCAATACTGGCCTAACGGACCCTACATGTGCGACATGAAGGACCTTGAGCTCTTGAGGACGTGCCAGTAACATTCCTATGACCACATCAACCCCATCAAAAAGGTCTTTGATAGGCATGACTTCCGAACCGCAGAGAAAGACAGCATCTTTTGGGACCACTGATTCTTGGAGAACCCATCTCCGATGAAACCAATCACAATTCAAAAGATGCTTAATAGCATCCCATCCTTTTGGATCAAATAGAACCGAGCGATTTGTATCCACGACTGTTAGGTCTGTGATGATTTGGCGGAGGTAGCGGAAGGCATGATGAACGTGGCTGCTGTCTTCGTTGATCCAAATAAGGACGGACCGCGCCTGTGAGTAGATGTTTCGCATGAGAGGGATTTGTGAAGCTTTTTCACCGACATCAATCTGGTTGATGCAAATCATGTCGACCCACAAGAGTAGCTTTGAGCCTTCCTCCCATAGTTGCGGAAGAGCAGCCGAGTCAAGACAGAGGAGCTTGGTGAGCAGTGCCTCAAGATTCGGGGAAATTTGAGCATATTTAACTCCGCAACCTGAGTCGAGGTGTATGCTTCGGTCAAATTTCCTATCCCCCCAGACATGCGAGATGGCAACAAACGGGGGTGCATCACCAATGGTTGCACGTCTAATGCGTCCACGTAGCTGTCCTTGACCACTTACTGAAATGAGATCTAGTAAGCGAATCTCCTTTTCGGGAGTTCTTAGGCAATAATGATTTGAGTCCATTTCGTTATTGTACATCAGAACCTGCCGATTTACCTAGCCCCTCACTTTGTCTTCGTGTTTGATAAGCCTGTACGCCCTCGCACGTGACCATGCTCCATGCAGATCTCTTGATAGGTTGACATGGTATCGGTTGACCGATTTTGGGAGACCCTCAGGACCTCGTCCACAATTGCCAAGTGGTCAGATCATCGGAAACTCCTGCATAGCTGATCACAGTTGAGCAAACCTACAATCTGCTCAACTAGAAAGACTGCTGCTATCTGGGCTTGTATGCATTCTCCCAGCTACACGAAGGGAGCGAGATGCTATGGCCAATACTCGTGGTGAAAACAATGAATTGCACTCTTCTGCATTGCGAATTTACCTAACCTAGTCTAGCAGTAAAATGACTTTACATATGGGGAAAGCAGGCTACTTGTGAGATTATACTTTCGGGGTATATAACTACAAATAATATAACAAACTAGGTTTTTATTAATAGGGTATTCTAGTTGTAAAGAGAATATTATAAATATATACCTTTAAAATATATTAAGTAAAGATATTTATAAGTGTAATTATAAAAGCTTAAGCTTTATTTTTATAAAGTAAGAAATTTAATATTAGTTATACTTATTTATTCTTTTATTAATAATAGTAACTTTAATTAAATTATTTTAAATTATTTGAAGTTAACCCCCGCTTCGTAACTAGCGATGGTGTGGAATGGCTTCTCTATTCATTTCTTTCCGTACAGTTTGGGCGACAAATAGATCTATTCAGCGCTGTCGTACGAAGGAGAAGAGGGGATTCTTCCCCTCGTACGTGGTCTATAGATAGGGGTTCACCCGTACGGCTGCTAGCTGCCGACAGCCACATCGTGGCTGTGGTGGCTTACTGCCAGCACGCCGGTACTACCTATACTACGTAGTCAACCCGTCGTACGAGACCGCGTCTGAGCACCTCACTGAACACACCTATCATCAAGGTTTGATAAACCTTGAAAATGTATATTGCCAGTGGCCGCACAAACCTTGGGTACTCTGAACCCGGTACGTGTGCGAAATGTGCTCGGCGCAAGAGGTGTGGCATTGCACCCATGTCTTTTGTGTCATAATTTCCTATACTGCTCCCAAAATTAGTCCTGCTCCTTTTCTATCACACTTCGAGTATGCAACACACAAACATGCAGATATGGAGCCCCCTAGATGTCATCCGGGAAACATAACCCGCCTGACCTAGCCGGATCACCCAAAGCATTCAGCGGCACAACCCACCCATGAGTGGAACTGCGCTGCTTCCTCATGTGTATCTGCAGCAAGCCTGCCGTCATGCTGCTCCCCGGCAGTGCTCTCCGACCAGATCGCCAATGGGCCGGATTCCAATTAAACCACGCGCCCATAACGTGCCTTTTAAGTCATAGGAAGCTCTTAGCCCTCGATTCGTTGACTTCCTGGATGGCTACCTTGTATGCTCGTGTTCCAATCTTCCACAGTGTCCAACGTGGTCTCAAGATGCCGCTGTACCTCAGATGTTAAGCAAGATCCGAATAGTTACATGACCAGTCATTTTACCTTATAGTCCCTTTCGGTAGCCTTTCTGTTGTAGCCGTTGTCCTGCAGTGGTCAGTCGACAGGTGAAGCATGGGTAATATCGGCAACTGTGTAGTGCGGAAGGAGCTCGATATGGCCTGGGCTGTTTATCGGTACGTTGACGTTAACATGAATCCGGAGGTATGGCAGCTCTTATTCGTCTCACCGGATTATCGATTCAAGAGAGCTTGTCTCATGGTCCAATGTCGTCAGGTCCCAAAAAAACAGTCGGAAGGACTAAGTGCTTCTTCTGAAAGGCCATCTGGCCACGGCTTGGCCAGCCATACTAATACATGACACGACAAACCTTGGACGAGTCCTACCTGAAACCAGCACTGATTTTCAGCGTTGGTAAAGCCGACCGCTACTGAACATGCTAAGCTATGTCCGTTGTGGACCATTGTTAGAAACTCTCAATTCATTGTTAACAAAGCTGCACATGGTAGTAACACGGCTCCCTCTTGACATAAAGAAAACCATAATTGTGAGATTGGCATTTCGAGGAATCGAAAAGATTCAGAGGATAGTATTCATATACTGACCATCAGCATGTGTTCATTGCCGTCTACGTAACTACTAGTTTATTCCGGGGGCCCGAGGGAAAGGATATCCAACCCACCGGTGATCTGGCTCTTGGAGGGGAACTTATCTCTTCTCATCAGCTCTGCTGCCTGTGCCACCACAGGATCCCGACCCATGCTAGCTAAAGCGACCACTGTCTCTCCTTTCGTGTAGTAGGCAACAAAGTTGCTCTCCTCGGGCTTCCCATGCAAGATGAGATCATCATATCCGCCAACAGTGTTACCACAGTATCTCAGCTGTGCACCAAGTGCGGACCAGAAGATGGGCGTGAATCTCTCGGGTTTCAGCGAAGGATTGACGATATGTCTGGCGACAACACGACCGGACTGCTGTGCAACATTCCAATGCTCAATGCGGATATACTTGCCGTCTCCACCAGGTCCGTGGTATGGGAAAGAGGCGATGTCGCCAATGGCGTAGACATCCTTCAAGCCCACTACCGAGAGGTTCTCATCTGTTTTCAACGATCCATCATCCTCCAGACGAACGACGCTGTTCTCCTTTAGGTACTCGGTGGCAGGTGACACGCCGATACCAAGAATAACCAGATCTGCCTCAAGCTTCGTTCCGTCCTTCAACGTGACGAACCCAACCTTGGACGGGTCAGAAGTGGAAGGCTCAGCCTTGTCAACCTGTGCGCTCATGTAAAACTTGACACCCTTGCCTTCAAAGGACTTCTGGAAACCGGCACCGATTTCCTTTCCAAGGATTCTCTCCAGAGGTGCGCCCTCCATACCAACCACTGTTACAGTGTTGTCGCTGGAAGTGGCGTTGGCGACCTCCATACCAATGAAGCTACTACCGATGATGACGATCTTCTTGCCCTTCTCCTCGCCGATGGCAGCTGTGATGGCCTTGGTGTCCTTGACTGTGCGCAGAGGAAAGATGTTGCCGAGCACCTTGAAGCCCTGCAGGGGGAGATTACGAGGTGTGCCACCGGTGGCCAAGACCAGCTTGCTGTACTTGATCTTTCCTGCCCCCTTCGTAGCGACGGACTTGTCGGCGAAATCGACACTCGTGACCTCATCTTTCACCACATCGATTGATGCGCTCTTGTACCAGTTCTCATCCCTCCATTCGATCTTCGACTCGTCCGCAATCAAGGCCTTCGACAGCTTTGTACGATCAAGGGGAAGGTTGCCCTCGTTGGTGATCATGGTGACGTGGCCACCGTAGCCGCTCTCTCGTAGGCCCTGGACCAAACCCATGGCACCGCTACCACCGCCAACCACGACAATTCGATCTCCTTGAGCTTGTCCACTTGCGGACTTGACATTCGGTTGTCGCCTTCCCGCCTTGATGGTGGCCTCGTCGCCTGTGATGTAGACAGCGCCATCTCTCTCGATTGCCTTGAAGACTGGTAGGGCGTCTAGCGCTGGTGCGTCCTCGACATCGCCGGTTCCCGCATTGAAACATGCTGTTGGGGATTCTCAGTGTTAGTGTACTGCGAGCATGTCACGCAAGATGGCTGTGTGAACAGGCGTAAATACTAACCTCCGTGCCATGGGCAAGTAAGACGCCCAGACTTTGTCAGCACACCCTTCATTAGAGGAGCACCATAGTGAGTGCACTTGGGTCCTATGGCTTGGATCTTGCCAGCGGCATTGACGAGCAGGACCTTGGCGCCTTCGATGCCCTCGACCTCAACTTCCCGCTTCTCGCCAGGAGCAAGCGACAATGCGGTGACGTCTTTGAGTTTGTATTCGGACATGCTGCGTATTTGCGAGGCGAAACGAGAATTGGACAGGATTATGCGATTGCTTGACTTGAGAAATAGTTGTGGAAAGACTGGCCGCGACAGGATGGCTTTGGCGGAATGCAGAGGCATGAGATTGGGAGAGGAGGATTGGAGTCCTCGCTAGACTCGCTAGAGTTACATATATTACAAAGATATTGCGGTAATGCTGAGGGGTAAAGGTGCCCTCTCACTGTGGTAGTGGTAGTGGTAGTAGCACACTGACTGGTACAGGAGCAGAGCAGTAGCACGCAATGGAAGAATGCATGAAAACACACTCGTTGTCCCCCAAACCCGTCTGCTCCACGGCGTACGTGGGAGCTGGAAGTGCATCCAGTGCATCAAGTGCATGATAAGCTGCGACTCCCCGACCGTTTTTGGTGGGGAAACGTCCAAACAACAGCCCATCAAGTCACCTCGTGTCGTAATCCATGCAGTCGACTTGTAATCGCGAGCTTCCAACTGGCTGTTTCGGGGGGCCTTCCAGCAGGTGACATCATTACGGGCGGGTGAGTAGCTCCACTGAAGCTTCCCCAAAGGAGCATTGACCAGTGCTTATTCAGCCCCTTCCAGGCTAGAAACAGGGGTGAAGGGTCGACATCGGCTCCGACCCATCCTCGTCAGGAACTTGAAGCCTTACACCACGGATGGCTTTTTCCTTCTTGCTATTCTTTCTTTCCCTCTCTCCTTCTTTCTGTCTTTTTCCTTTTTCTTTCTTGCAGTCTTGCAGCACTGTCTGTTACAAATCAATCACATTTCATGCACTACGCTACGTGCAGCAATTGTTAATCCCGATCAAAGTCAAAGCTTTTTAGTATTCACTTGGCACACGCTAAAGTGTGCAGACAGCATTTGCTTCTTAATAAAATCACATAAATTGCCCTAAAGCACCAATCTTCAATCGCATTTTACGCGGGCCAAAATGGACTCTCTCAGCGTTCGCCAAACGATGAGCACTTCATCGATACCCAATACTTACCAACCATGAGACACGTGGCGTGACGATTGGTGGAATGACCCCTTGGCAGTGTTCGCATCGAGTTTGTTTCTCGGGCCACTCCTGGCGGGTGTATTCGAACAGATAGTAGGAAGTCCTTCGTAACGTTCGCATTTTCCAAATGCGTAACCAGCCAACCGAGACGAATTGCTTGGTATACACTCTTGGTTATCCCACCTACCCCAGCTCATGAGAAAACGAGCCAGGGCAAGCTGAGTTGAGATACTTGTCGAGGCACCGCCCAAACCAAGAAGAAAAAGAAAAAATATAAGATACATTGTCTTCGTCGACTCTGGAGAAGAGCGCGCTGGCAGGTTACCGCAAACTTCAGGACGGGGCACTGGCTGAGGGTTAGAGCGTAGCCGAGGAGTCCGATGAGATAAGACCCGACGCTCCAGATGAAAGAGTATCCCACATTGGACTCAAAAGCGCCACTAATATCGTCGTCTAGAGAATTATGTTCTCCAGAACTCAGGGAGGATGGCGCAGAGAACAGCGACTGTAAGAAATCTGCGAGCAAGACTTTTGCCGCTCGGCGCGGATAGCACTCACAAGGTCTAGCTAACACAGCATGTGATTCGCCAATTCATTGCGGCGTTGGGCAATCCAACTGTCTTATATCTAGCCCCAAGTTATTTTTCTTTCAAAGCCCACAAATCATCACAGCCTTGCGTGCCAGCTGCAATTTGCTCTTCTCAGGCAAACGAGAACAAGTCTGGGCCGGCGCGAGTCATTAATGGACAACCAGTTGCGCCATAACCTGCTGCGGTGATCATGACTCAAGGCCAGATTCCTAGCACATCAGTGAGGCAATCTGGTAAAGTAGAGCAGCGTGCAAGTCATGCTCCCAAGAGCCGGAACATGCCAACCGACCAACATTGACACAATCGAAGGTACAAAGCTTTCCACTGGGTTAGCTGCTCATTTTCCGTGTCAACACCGGATCTCGCCCGTCGCGTCGAATGTGTGTTGTCGTTTTTGTGTTGAGGGCTCTATACAGCAGAGTTTCTGCGAATGCCTGCGGCTCGACAAGTTGTAACGATGATACATGCGTTTCTTAAAAGTGAGGCAACAGTAGCGCAGTTCAATCTGGCAGAAACCCGCCTGATCACTCGGCAGTCCAAGTCGGACACAGCCAGGTAGCCAGACAGCCAGACAAACATCTCTGCCCTTTCTCTCCTAGTGCCTAGCTCTTTTCCAAGCGCCGGTCCGCATTTCGGGGCCCAAAGAATATCCACAGAAACTGCACATCAATCGGACCGGCCAATACGGACATTCGCATATAGATCCACTTAATTTCCGGTATTTCCATTTATAAAGCTTCTCAAATTGACAACGATCAACAGGGACAGCGGAGTAGACGTGAAACATGGAACAAGCATCAATAAGCTTTTAGGTGTCCCCATCTAAAGAGTGGCCCTATGACGATACATGGACTATCAACTGTCAAGCAACATGAGTAAACTTCAATCCGACACAAAACAAGACCCAGTGTTTGGTCCACACCACGTCGCGGCTGTGCAGCAAATCCTAATGCTTTCAAAATGTAGGGCTGATGGGGTTGGAAAGTCTCTCAAGAGCGATCAGGTCCCGGCCAAGATCGTTCGACTGTTTCTCTTGTTTCATCATTCACTCGTTATACCCCGATTTTGATACTGTACTATTATGTATTCGCGCTTTTGGACATGGACTATATGCGTGGCTAGCTCACTCTCTCACGTCTCGGCCGTTGAGATTGATTGGAGTTCCGATTGTAAGTTCTGAGCCGCGTGGCCGCTCAATCTGGAAAAGGAAACAATCACTCATCGCAAACCAGCATCGATCAAAGAGGGCGCATCGACACTTGCGTATGGCCTATTACAATATTATACTGGTAACAATACAGGAGATGTCCCAGGCAATCTACCAGATCCATACTATTGTGAGTTACACCACCACAGGAGTCTTGATTTGTCCGTACTAACTTGCTGTCCAGGGTGGGAAGGTAAGTGTCAAGCACCTCGAGGCGCCGGATGTGTTTCGGGTCTTTGAACATTAATGCAATCCTGTGCATATCTAACCACATAGTGCAGCTGGAGCAGTTTTCGGTACTCTGATCGACTACTGGGCTTTTACAGGGGACGAAACATACGTCGACTTGACGTTCCAAGCATTGCAGCATCAAGTCGGCGATGATGGCGACTTTATGCCAAACAACCAGACCCTTACCGAAGGTAACGACGACCAGGGTTTCTGGGCGCTGTCTGCCATGACAGCAGCAGAGATGGGGTTCAAAAATCCAGATTCGACGGGTGTGCAATGGCTGGCACTAGCACAAGCCGTTTTTAACGAATATTCATGGCGCTGGGATAATGGCACTTGTGGCGGCGGATTACGATGGCAAGTATACACATTTAATAACGGCTGGGACTACAAGAACAGCGTCTCGAATGGGTGCTTCTTCAACATAGCCGCTCGCCTGGCTCGATACACTGGCAATACGACCTACGCCGACTGGGCCGAGACGATATATGACTGGATGGAGAACGTCGGGTTCATAGACGACGATTACAACGTGTACGACGGCGCGTCTGATCTGACTAGCTGTGCCGAGATCGACAAATCTCAGTGGACATATAACGCGGGCATCTTCATGGAAGGGTCTGCTGCCATGTGGAACTACACCAACGGCACATCGGATAAATGGGAAACGCGGACATTGGGACTACTCAATACCACTGCGAACTACTTCTTCAACGAGAGCGTTATGTTTGAGCCGCCCTGCGAGCCGCAGAGCAACTGTAAAACGGATAGTTACTCGTTCAAGGCTTATCTGGTAAGATGGATGGCCAAGACGACGCAGTTCATGTCATCGACATATGACACGGTATACCCGTTGCTACTAGCATCCGCTAAAGCCGCGGCTCTTCAGTGTAGTGGAACCGGAGACGGCACCGCTGGACGTTCGCTGGATGGATACGCATGTGGTCAGCACTGGGTTTGGGGTTCGACCAACGACGGCACGAGCGGTGTGGGCCAGCAGATGTCAGGCCTATCGGCCGTGTTCTACACCCTTGTCCAGGGAGCGCCCGCTCCTTACACGGCCGTGACAGGTGGAAACTCAACGGGCAACAGCGATGGAGGATCTTCAAAGTCGGAAAGCGATGTAAAGGGTGTACGAGATATAACAACAGGGGATAAGGCTGGCGCTGGGATATTGACAGCACTCGTTCTGGGTGGTTTACTGAGCGGAGTAGGATTCATGGTCATGGAGTAGGCCTTTCCATCTATTCTGCCTACGATTGATTTATAACTGGGGTAGTTCTGGCGAAGCTGCTACATAAAGCGCAACAAGGATTTGTTTAAATTCGTTAAGGCACTCTTCTCGTCATGGATTCTATGCTAGATTAACCCTCGGTGCGACCATGACATTGCGTTCGATCGAGTCCAAGACTTCACATGGCGTGCGATTTTCACCGATGATATCGCCAACTCTCCCGGGTTGGCAAACGAGCCCCAAAGATTGTAATTGCGGCACGCGCCCAGCATTTATAAATGCCGGATCAATAGTCCCAGCATTGTGGAATCGACTTGGGAGTATAAATGCGAGACTACGAACTTGCTATGGTCATTGGAGGATATTGGGGAAGACTAGCAGAGGCTGGCCTCGGAACAGAATATACACTTACATTATAGTGAGACTGGGGTTTTCCCTTGCGCAGGGATGACTTGGAGATCAGAAGGTTCGGACAAGTGGAGCATTTGAAAGTTTCCAGATGCTACAACTTATCCCCAATGGGCCTCCACTAATAGTACAATGAAAAATAACGTGGGCGACTGAATGAAGATTTCCTTTCCAATAAAATCAAAGTAGTATATTATGGGATAAGGTGACTGATACGATTAGACTTGTGTGAATTCTTTGTCCATAGCTTGGTCTGTATAAACTCTGGCATGGAGTAAACTTCAGGCCCTCTGAGCTTATGTAGCAAAGTGTTTCTCGGAACATGATTTTGGGGTAATGACCGTTAACTTGGTCAGTGTTATCTGTTGACAGTCTTCTTAACTGGAAGTTCATTGAAATCGCCGGCTGTCCATGCAGATGATAATGAGGGGAGTGAAAAAAGAATATGCCCCATTAAGCGACAATACGTCATCCCTAGCTAAGGGCTTCTGGCGTATTTAATGCTGCAGTTATTCGTACTGATGATCAGTTTTGATTCACATGCCATTGTGGTGATCCCAGTTAGAGTGACGACATCTAACTAACCTGCTATGGTAGTAACTGGAGTATGTTATCAATTTCATGCCCTGCGAAGGAATTCTGTCTATTATAGACAATAACAGCCCATATTACAACATATTTACAACTGGGGATGACACTAGATACAAACCCACCGCCGTAGCACTAAGAAGAACAGCTTTTATTATATTTCTGGCAACAAGGACAACATGTTCCTCGCCAGATAACGATGTGCCCATAACGCCCACCAGGACACATTGCACAAGGTTATTGTAGCTAATTCTGTAGACGGGAGGAACCGTCATATCATACAACTATGCGTTTAACCCATAGTTCTAGGTTTACTTCGGAGAGAAAGATCCTTCTTCTAGACCACCAGAGACACAGTTGGAAAGTAGATAAATAAATTCGTGTGAGAAACGTGGCAGTAGAGCGGATATGGTGACTCTCGCGGCAGCTATTGCAGTTGCTGTAGTACCTACAAAGCAAGTGACAAGAGTTGGCTTCCGTAAGAATTAATGACAGCGTCAAGGGAGTCTGTTATACAGTCTATTCATATCAGAAACGTAGCTCACAAGTAAATTAGTTGTCTGAAGATGCATCAAAGAACAAACGAAAGCTTCTCGTCTGATAACCTACGCTCTCATGCCAGACAAGCCAAAATATGCCTTGTTCAACCACTTGAGCTAGAGTCATAACAGGTCGTGAACGGTTGTCGATAAAACACCGCCAGGCTCGTTCGAGCACATCAAGAAACTTAACTTGTTCTCAGTCCTGCACGTTTAATTCATGTTGATAATGATAATGATAATAGAAGTTGGTAGCAGCTAGTTTAGTGTGCTTTAGATTAATATCATCTCCATGTAGCAGTCAGTGAACACCTTGGATACAAGAACGCGTTTCGCGTTCCGCGTTTCGTTCTTGTTTGGGTGTCTTGTTTTTTTTATCTGCCTAATTCAACTAACCAGCTCGGTTCTCACAAGCACCTACTGCCATACCAGTTCCCCCACTTCACGATAACTCTTTCACAACTCTACAAACATCTTCGTGGACTTGAAAATTAGTCCCTACACCTTTTCGCCCACTCATCACAACGTCTTTTCAACGACTGATAAACACACCTGGTCGCCGACTCATCATCTCAATTTTTCGCCGACTTATCCATACCTTGCAATTGCCCTCCACCAAAGATGTCAGCCCCGAACCCCCAAGGACCCGAGTTCAGACCCTTCCAGAGACTTCCTCGTGAGATTCGTGCAAAGATCTGGGTCGAGGCCATCCCGCGACGACTTATCAGCCCTCGCGTGGCAGGTACGACCTGGGTGCCCTTACCCCCCACCATCGCAAGCGTTTGCAGCGAATCTCGTTTCATCGCACTGAAGTATGGCCAGCCCTACGCCATCGACAAGTACGAGAAGTGCCCAAGCAGCGGCTGGTTCACCCCTTCCCGCGACATCGTCCTGTTCCATGGCGACCGTACCCCAAAGTTCAAGTCCCACCCCGTCTTCGCGGCCAAGCTGTGGCGCGACGTTCATTCTATCGTCGTGCAGGACGCCTGGAGCCAAGGTGCCTCAAGATCAGGTGTCACCCTGGAGCTCGCTATGAAGCTGGCTGCGAGCAGTCCGAAGCTCAAGGAGATCATGATATTCCCTTGGGAGTCGCAGGTGTTTCAAAGACACTGGATCGGCACAGGTAATGGGGTAATGTCTGTTGAGGCCGCTAGGTGGGACAAAGAGGCTTGCGAGGAGCTGTTTGGTGCCGGCTCAGTCAAGATTGTTGATTTGCGGGACCCGAAGGAGGTCAAGGCGGTCAAATTGACATTTGTAAGAAATGACGTGCCTCCTGTGGTGAGGATGATCTCTTGGTCTCACAACAAGTACATTGGCGCCCAACCTGAAGACAGATATTACTGGAACAACCTTGTGGTCAAGTGTCAGGTGGTTTGGCTCAAAGCCTGTTTCGAACAGACCAAAGCCCTACCAGGCAACAAGGACAGCAAAGACAGCAAGGACAGCAAGGACGATGGCGGCAATCGCAGCACGAAGGATGACGATTGCAAGCCTGTCCCGGTCCAAGTTTCCTCTCCTGCCGATATCGACATCAACAACCCCTGGATCCGTGAAACACTCGCGAAGATGCCGTTGCTTCGCCCTGTCGTTCTTCTTGCTCAACAGCCCAAGCCACAGGAAAGGCTGTATTTAATGCAGACGCGATACCGTTCACTTGTTAACGCACGATCTCATCGACCGCAAGGTGCTCCTGCACCCACCCTCACTTTTAATGAGGAGTTCAAGCTTTGGATGAAGACGGAGAGCAAGGTCGCCAAGAAGTAAAGTTGTTCTCACAATAACACTTGGTAGCTTGTGGGAAGCTGGAGACTTAGTTATCGTCTCTCATGGAGTTGGTGTTGCAATGACTATTCAAGAGGACTGGTTGATTTGGTGAGGTTGTGGATGGAATTGGATGGCCGAGGTCGTCCATGAAAGTGTATAGGGCCTCCCACAAGGGAACTTCACGATTTGATTTGGTGTTTTTTAATGAGTGTTTATGGCATCTGAGGACATGAGAGAGAATGGCAGCAGTGGACCTGGAGTCTCGCTGATAATTGTTGTACAAGGGATGTTCTGAAGAGGGTTCATGACATGGAGCAGCACAGGGAAGCATGGCAATAATCGACCAAGAGTCTGAGTGATAGTAGCCATGAATAAAAGGGTTTTTGCTCAATTATCCACGCATTGTGTCCATCTGTGCGTTCTATAGATTTACTATTAGTATAGATCGTAATATAAGGCAACCTACGACTGGTTTTCCTGTTGTTTCATCTTCGTGTTCTGAATCCGAAAGGTCAATAAATGAAACAGTTTAACAAAGAAGAGATGCATTTTTTATAAAGGCACTTGATCACAACATACTAGACACAAGTTGAATAAATTGGTTGAGACACGGCGGACAGGTTACCATATACATCACGACCTTTGGCCGTGGAGGCTTGTAAGAAGCTAAGGTTAATGATTGGGTTCATGAAATGGGATAAAAATGAACACATTTCTTTTTTCATGATTGCTAGCATCAGCAAGATGATTATACAGAGGACGTATGAATTTGAAAACATCTTCTCAATATCGCAAAGTGGGCAGGCTGGGAGTCGTTCTAGCAACACTATCACGTGTTTGTATGATCACTTTCTACTGTCGGCGTAACGTTTTATGCCTCTAAGTTTTAGAAGGACGCGTCAACATGTAACGATCTGCTGCTGACGAATTTCCAGCCAGCCCGTTCCTCACGTTTCAGATTTCGTGCCATGGTCTTTTCTTTCATTTATTTCAGAATTTCTATATCCCTTCGATGATTGAATTAAAGTTTTTGTCAAACTATGGGGTATCCCCATACCTTGAATTCTAATTGTAACGTTAAATACCATCGCCCGAGTATTGCCAGGGGCTTAACGCTAAGGTACAAACTGGTCTGCTTGTTTCCATCAAAGCCTCTTGTTCCATTGACATAGGAACAAGAGTAGTCTGTCAAAGTGATCGGGAGAGTCATATAGAGCGGACAGCTGGGATGTCCATGGACAAGAGTTTCAAATGACAAGCGGAAGGATGTCATTATTCAATGTTAGATTTCCTAACTTATGCGACAGAACTTGTTTTTATTCCTCACTCATCACGCTTGAGCTCGTACATAATGTCAGTACGCACTGTGTACTTGGTGCCAGCCTTTACATCGTCACCGGAATGATACAGTCGTTGATGTTGAAAAATGAGTACACGTCCTGCTTTGGGATCAACGTCTAGCTTGCGCAATTCGTCAGATGACAAGAACGAGGTAGCACCTCCTTCTAGATCCGCATCATCACCCCCTTGAGCTTTCGAATCATTCAGATAGAGATGAAGTGTGAAGTGTGTCCGAATGACCTTGTCGTCGTCCCGACCACTTTCCGTGTAAGCGCCATCACAATGGGGCCGGAAAAACTGTCCTGGTCCGTACTTCAAGAAGCGCAACCTCTTGTTCACCCTATGAAAGTCCCAGTTCATACCAGGCTTCCCGTTAAGTTTCCTCGCCCCAAGAAGATCAATCTCGTTGAAGCGTCCTAGCTTTTGCTGGATTTCAGGGACCTTTTCCATGCGAGCCCACAGCCGGTCCACAATCTCTTGCTGATCCCAAATGATCCTATCGCTGTTGCGGTAAGATGCCTGAAGTACCTCGTAGCCACCGCCAATATTGACTAGAGCCGGCTGCCAGGGATTTCCGTTCTCGACTTTGTCCTCATTGACCACGCTGGACTCGGCCAGCTGGATGAGCTTGGCACATTCTGACGGGCTGAGCACATAATCCAATATTACGGCGTAACCGCCATCAAATTCTGGTAGGACGGTTTTGGCGAAGTCGATTTGCTGATATTCAATAGGTCTCGCATCATGAGGGTCCGACCTGAGATAATCGGCTGGAACTTGTATGTCCCTGGATTGATATACCGTCTTTGTCGGCTCCCAGCCATGCTCAGGCTGCTTTGGGCGAACGGCAGTACGGGTGGATTTCAACGTGACGGAGGGGGATTTGACCTCAGTCAGGAATGCTTGCTTCATTGATGAGTTCATGGTTGAGAAAAAGAAGAATAGAGTAGGAGTCCGGGAAGTACCAATTGACAATTGCCTGGATGTTCTTGCGGTCAGTAATTCAGTTGCCTTTTCAAATAACAGGCGCTGATGGAGGGTGCCTAATGGCATGACCAATAGAGGCTGAGCTCGGCTGTGCGATTGTTTCGCCTCAACTCACTCGACAGGCTCTGTTATGTGACTAAGGTTAGGACTCTGACCTTGGTCAATTGAATGGTACTAATGATTTTCTCGTCATTTTTACCCTAAAATAACGTGTTTCGAAGCCAACATCAAGATGAGAAACGCTCCAATGCATTTTAGTGCTCATTCTTTTAGTTTGGGTGAGTCAGATTGCTGGCGGCGGTAAATTAGGCAGTGAATCCATGCACCAGCAGTAATTAAAGACTGCTAGCAACCATCCGCGAAATTGAGGATTGCTTCTCCTTGGGAATTTTTTTATAGCTAAATATTGTATAGCGAACGCAGAGATTAGGAAAATTGCATGAGATCTGTAGGATAATTGTATTCAAAAGGTTTATTGGTTCAGTAGAATCGGAAGGTATCCGGAGATCGGGAAATCCTGAAGTACCCGCAAAACAGAGGCTGGATACTCGGCCAGGCTCCGGGATTCCCACGAGAATCCGGCTGTACCAAGCGGTATAGTACCATCACCGCTTGTTCATGCTCTGACTTATATCAGGCCTCACAGATCACGCATTGTATGGTCAATGTTTGATGAGGGTTGGGATACTCTTTGAAGTATTGAATCACTTTGGTAAATCGCTAAATGCTGACCCGAATGACCGATTGTACTCCACCAAAACTCGGGCGTGTCTGCAAGTCGTGATAACCCCGCGTCATTGCTGAATTGCCGGCTCTTGTACGTGGCCATTTATATACAGATTAATCGATACAATTTGGAGGAACTTGAAAAAGTATGAGTGCCTATTTTCACTGATTACTTCAAGAATAGACCTTTTGCTCGTGTATCATCCCGAAAACCAATAGAGATGGCAGCCCCACCGCCAGGCATCTACGTGCCTGTGCCGACTTTCTTCCAATCAAAGAAGTCGGCCACTTACAGCTCTATTGCGTCCCCACTAGATATTGAAACACAAGCAGCGCACTCGATATACCTAGCAAAAGCTGGCATCAAGGGCCTTGTGCTGCTTGGTAGTACAGGAGAGGCTATTCACTTGACTAACAAGGAGAGGTTCGACGTATTGTCAGGAGTTAGGCAAGCATTCGAGAAGGAGGGCTTCAAGGATTATCCCATCATCGCTGGAACTGCAACTCAGAACATCGAGGAGACGGTTGAGCAGTTGAAGAGCGCAAAGGAAGCTGGCGCGCAATGGGGTCTGTCTCTGGTACCTGGTTACTTTGCTGGCGCAAGCACACAGGAAGGTATCATCCGATGGTTTACAGCCGTCGCTGATCACAGTCCCATTCCTGTGTTAATGTAAGTGTTTGTCAATCTTTACTTTGCCAAAAACTGGTGTGGATCTGATATTTGATAGCTACCACTACCCTGGCGTCTCGAATAATGTCAAGGTCATCCCATCGACATTTGCTACTCTCGCCAAGCACCCGAATATCGTGGGCTGCAAACTTTCGCACGGCGACATCTCAGTGCATGCACAGATCGCCTCGCATCCATCCATAGATCACTCAAAGTTCGCGACTTTCACCGGTCTCGGCCAGCAACTGCTACCTGTAATCACTGTCGGTGGGGTCGGTGCTATCGATGGCTGCGCAGGTTTCTTCCCCAAGAGTGTGGTCAAATTGTATAACCTGTCGATCAAGAACTCACTCTCTGACGAAGAGCTCAAGGAACGTCGAGCTCTGCAGTGGAAGATCAGCACCGTGGAAGAAATTGTGATCAAGTTTGGTACGGTCGGCATCAAGGAGGCTATCAGCAGATTACGAGGTTTTGGAGACGCTGATGGCACTCGTTTGCCATTGGAAGGGGGTATTCCTGGAGGCGACGCCGAGTGGGCCAAATGGCAGGAGAGTATCGATGTCGTACAGAAGGTGGAGGATAGTATTTGACGGGCATAGCAGAGATAATTTAGTAGCGACTTGGCTTTGAGGGCACAGAAACTCATTCGAGTGCCATCTTGAACCACTGCAGTTAGATATTTGTCTCGAATGACTGATGATCTAAATGACCTGAAACCCACTACGGAAGTGATTTTAGCTCCACATCTTCCATATCGCCTATACTGTTTGCGCGAATCATTCGTAGTTTCCCATCATAGGTAGGAGGCGACAAGCAATGCGATGCGTGGCGAGCAAGATTATACATTATTAATCCGGACTACATGAATGCAATCGCAGGGCGCAAGACCAATGAACAGGGTCGCTTCCGACGGCTATAGTGCAGTTTACCCCGCATTGAGCCAGCAAACCCGGATGAAGAGTAGAAAGAAGAATCTGCAAAATGCACCAGCCCACGTCCGCCCAGAAGTTGACATGACAAGATATCAGTAAAAACTGAGATACCTAGTTCGTGAGCTGCAAACACGCAAATCATGCTTCGAGATGCGAAGTTTGCAGTGTTTGGGTTTTGTTGAGCCGTGTCATACGAGACACTGAGGAAGACTGCCCCACCTCCGTCATCGGGCCACACTCAAAATTCTGAATCAGGTATGGAATTGGGCTAGACTGACTAACACCACCTGACCTTCACGATCGCCAGGTTCCTCACATTCGGGGGCAGCTCAATCCACAAGACTTTGAGTAAGCCAAAACAGAGATTTCGAATTGAACATGGAGAAGTTCACTATCAGAACGCCGTGTTCGTCGGCGAACATCGGCCCCGGATTCGATGTGATCGGTCTAGCTCTGTCGATCTACCTCGAGCTTGAGGTCACCATTGACCGGTCAAAGACATCTTCACAAGAGCCATTGAACTGCCGAATCACGTACGAGGGACAAGGTGAGGACTCTGGGGAAGTTCCTCTGGACCCCTCGGCCAACCTCATTACCCGCGTCGCGCTTTACGTGTTGAGATGCCATGATCAAAGAGCATTCCCCGCCGAGACCCACGTTCACATCAAGAATCCCATCCCTCTCGGCCGTGGGCTTGGTTCTTCCGGAGCAGCTGTTGTAGCTGGCGTGATGCTTGGCAAGGAGGTCGGGGGGCTTGACCTGAGCATGGAACGCCTTTTCGACTTTTGCCTGATGATTGGTATGCCCTTACCCTGCAAGGCCTACGTAGAAAGCGCCACACACCACCCTATCACCCCATTTCCAGGACATACTGACAACGCTCATAGAACGTCACCCTGACAATGTCGGCGCTGCTCTCTTCGGAGGTTTTGTCGGCACGTACCTCAAGCCTCTCGCACCGGAAGATGTCGCGAGAGTTGAGATCCCACTGGCTGAGGTACTACCGGCACCAGCAGGAGGTGAGGACACTGGGAAACGTCCCCCGGAGCCACCGCATGGCATCGGCCACCACATCAAGTTCCCCTGGAGCAAGGAAATAAAGGCCATCGCCATCATTCCTCAGTTCCAAGTACCCACTGCAAAGGCGCGTGAGGTTTTGCCAACACATTATCCTCGCCAGGATGTGGTATGTCTCATTAGACAAAATGATTGTCATTTGATGCTAACATCTCCTCAGACTTTCAATTTGCAACGTATCGCTCTTTTGCCTGTCGCATTGGGCCAGTCACCACCAGACCCGGAGCTGATCTACTTGGCGATGCAGGACAAGTTGCACCAACAATACCGCTCTACGCTGATTCCCGGTCTACAAGATATCGTCGCATCGATGTCTCCTGACACCCAAGCGGGCCTGTTGGGAGTCTGCCTCTCTGGTGCCGGACCAACAATCCTGGCACTAGCCTCGAGCAATTTCGAGCAGATCGCAGATAGGATCATCAGCAGATTCAAGCAGGAGAACATCGAGTGCCAATGGCAACTGCTCGAACCTGCTGAGGGCTGCAAGACCATCAGGCATTCTTGAGCGTTACATTAGGATACCCAGTAGAACGCCTGCATACAGTGTTGCCAGACATGCCCGTGTTCTAATGAAACTCGCTCATTGAGACCCCACAAACCCTTGATGCATGTAGGTCCGACGACATTCTTGTGTTTAACCAGCCGATAGGTACTGCGGATGACCATCCCTAATTGACACACTGCGGCATCGTGCAATCAAGGTGATGATTAACCTGTCGACGCTCCTAATACCGACTTCAAGCCCATGTCGATGTCCTAGAATAAGTGACACTCCAGAATGTAGTGGTGTGATGCAGTAATAAGCAATTGCCCAGGTCTCAATCACCCCATATCAGATCTGAGCATTATCAATTCGAAGCAAAGATTCACGGACTTGCCAGTCAAGTTCCATGTGCTCACAACATGTTTTTTTGCCACCATGCTCTTCAATGCCCCGAAATTAGCCTTCTATGCGTGTAAAGCTGTCAAAAGAGTTTAAACATGTCACGCTTGGCGTTGCATCAGTTCTTGCCATTTTGGTGGCCGAATCCTACCGTACCAGTGAGATACAAGGATATACCGAGTTCTCACCACTCAGTGCATAAATCGAGGTCAAAGACTTGATGAACTTGTATGGTCACCGCCAGATCCAGATGCAATACAACCTTACAATGCGGGTGCCGCATCAACTTGATACTCCGGATCGCGTGATATGCATATGCCTATTCTGACCACATGCCAAAACCGCTCATTTCCCGGCGACACGTCTTGGCGCATCCTCAAGTCGATCGGCGATTACGATGTTCATCACAGCCCACGATGCTGTACGGATCCGTAGTTCAACACAAAAAGGTTATCCGGGACATCCGCCAGCAGAAATTTAAAGGAAGATTATCGCCGCCAAGACAACACCAAATCCCCCGAACAGGGCATTCTGATGATGCTGACATGTGATACCCCTGGCGGTCACATCTCCAATCCCTGTCTGCACGCCAGCTATAGGCCCTGGCCACCCAGGCCGGAAAGGGATAGGCAATTCCAAAAGCCCCGACGATCATAGCCGGATCTGGGCTTTGTGGGCTACGCGAGCTGAGGATCACCCAACCCACGGTTGTCTAAATCTAATCTGGAATTAAACACGAACCCCCAAACCTTCCCAAACTGCCGTCCCTGCCTCGCTTCGCCTACGTATTCGGATCCAAACGTGATTAGAGTCCTTGGGGAGACATAGACGGTGGATGCGACTATGCAGCATGGCGGAACGTGGGGTTGCGGGCCCCAACAAGGAGGAGGGTAAAATGTCAGGGCATGGGGACATGTAAAAGGACGTCAGTGCCCACGATCATACGAGGCCCGTGTTCTCCTTTCGCTATTCCTACGCTCCGAGTAAGAGCATACGGGAACACTAGGAGGCGCGTGTCTGATAAGTCAAGGTCCAGTATGGCTCGCAGTATCGTGACAGCCATGGCGCTGTCGGGCTCCCTTGGGATGGCAGCGGCCGCCTCACAGACATGTAGTCAGGTCGCGAGTCTGTATCCGGACATCCCGGTCGACTTGCCGCTGTCGATTGACTACACCACGGCGCAGACCGAGTACTGGTCAACGTCCTGTGGGGACCTCAAGCCGGACTGCATCCTCACACCGACGTCGACGGAGCAGGTGGCCCAGATTGTTCAGGTCCTTTTGTCCAACAATGACACGTTCGCCGTCAAGTCAGGAGGACACAACCCAAACAATTACTTTGCTAGTGTGGCCGGCGGACCCCTGATCTCGACGAAATTGCTCAATGAGGTCGTGTTGGACAATGTCACGGAAACAGTTAGAGTCGGTCCTGGAAACAGATGGGATGACGTTTCTGGTGCACTGGACGGGACTGGTTATACAGCGGTCGGCGGGAGGATTGGAAACGTTGGGGTTGGAGGCTACCTGCTTGGAGGTAGGTGCCTCAGACTTTTGCCTTGGGAAACAGGTTACTGATTTTCACACATTTAGGCGGACTTAGTTTCATGAGCACAGAATATGGATGGGCTGCGAACAACATCCTGGAGTTCACACTCGTGCTTGCCAACGCCACGGTGCTCACCGTGACGGAGGATACTTATCCCGACATCTTCCTGGCCCTCAAAGGCGGCGGTAACATCTACGGCATTGTGACCTCGTACGTCTTACAGGCCCACCCACAGGGACAAGTATGGGGTGGAAACCTCTGGTTCGACGCCAACGACGAGACGACACCCAAGATCCTCGCGGCCCTGCGAGACTTTACGGAACACTACCCGGACGAGAAGGCGGGCATCATCCTGACGGCGGAGCGCACACTGGGGACGCTGCTCGACATCTGGATCCTGTTCGTGTACTACAACGGGCCGACGCCGCCGGTGGGGGTGTTCGACAACTTCACGGCCATCGCGCACACGCTCGACACGACCAAGACGCAGAGCATAAACGAGCTGCTGAGCGGCAACAACTGGGCCGTGGTCAAGGGCAGCGTCTACACCATCGGCACCGAGACCACGCCGCTGCCGGGCGAGGCCAGCGGGGCCGAGGTGCTGGGCGCATACTACGATACCTGGGTCAACGTCAGCAACACGGCGGCCCTGGTGCCGGGGGTCATTGCTAGCATCGCGTTCCAGCCCATGCCGAAGCGGATTGCGCAGATTGCGAGGCAGAGGGGCGGGGATCTGCTGGACTTGGACGACGACGTCGACCGGATTGTGCTCGAGCTGGACTACAGTTTCTTGTTCAACAGTGACTACCCGAAGATAGATCAGACGATGCAGGACACGTACAACGGACTGAAAGCGGCGAGGGAGCGGTTCCAAGGGCAGGGGAAACTAGACGCGGATGCTTATCTGCCTCTTTTCATGAATGACGGCTTCTATCGACAGGACTATTTTGGTAGACTGAGAGAGGAGAAGAAGGAGCTTGCTGCGAGTGTGAGGGACGAATTAGACCCAGATGGTTTGTGGAAGAAGAGAACGGGTGGGTTCAAGATTCTGAACTAGTCTAACCTATAGGTTAGTCAGTCTCGAACGACTCACCGTTAGACTTGCAGTATGTAGAGTTCAAACCATTGATTAATTAAACTACGGTTAGACTAGAGACAAGCATGCTCTAGACATTTGCGCCACGCCATGTGTCTATAAATTACATCAATCCTGGGGACATCTGGAAGGTTCAAGGTAAGAGTCTATCCAATCAACGTAATGTTATCTAGTCTAGCAGTCTAGGTTAGGTCAACAGTACGCGGTATGTACTGAACTCTGCATGTGCAAGTGAGCAGGAGCTTTAGTGCCGCTTTCCTCAGCTGGGCCTAGTGAGGGGGAAGCCGCCGCTGTTGACTTTTACCCGGCAGCGCCTGGAAGCTTGACAACATTTTGGAGGGGTCAAGGGGGGCCAGGGGCGTCAAAACTGACATCTGGCTGCAACTTAATGAATGTCATGTAGCTACTAGCATAGCATATCCAGTCAATGCAAGAGGAGAGGCGACGATAGGGCCACCTTATCACTTGCTTAGCAGTCGTGGCACAAGCATTGTTTTGCTATTTGTCCTTTTCTCTTTCTACTTCTCTCCATCTCTAGTTTCCTGCACCCGCATGAAACACCGCATACTCATAACATGAATTTCCTCAAGTCGGCGGTGGCGTCGGCCATGGCCCAGGGGCCGCCCTTCCCCTATACGTTCGGTGACCGCGTCGACGTCGACGCCTCCATCTGGACCCTGTACAACGGGACGCGCCGCGAGGACGGCAGCAACTGCAGCATCTTCTCCTTCGAGATTAACCCATCGAGCAAGTCCCGCCTGCCCCTCGCCAAGAACGCCCTCAAGAAGCTGCGCACCATGCGCCACCCGGGTGTCGTCAAGGTCCTCGACACCGTCGAGACCGACACCTACATCTACATCGCCACCGAGCGCGTCGTGCCCCTGCGCTGGCACGTCAAGCGCAAGAGCCTCAGCCAGGAGACCATCAAGTGGGGGCTGTACAGCGTCGCGCGCACAGTCAAGTTCATCAATGACGAGGGCGCCAGCATACACGGAAATCTCAAGGTCGCCAGCATCTACACGTCCGAGAGCGGGGAGTGGAAACTCGGTGGGTTCGAGGTCCTCAGCAACGTCAAGGACGACGATGCCGTCATATACACATTGGGCAGTCTGGTCCCAGACAACGGGCGATACACACCTCCGGAGCTGGCAAGAAACGGCTGGGATGCCATCAAGAGAAGCCCCCACTCGGCTGTTGACGCGTATCTGTTCGGAGTATTGATCTCGGAGGCGTTCAATGGCGACTTCACCGGGCCGGAGCAAGCTGGACAGACAAAGGGCATACCACCCACCATGCACACGAGCTATAAGAGGTTGGTCAACGCGAACCCAAAGGCCAGAGTCACCGTTGGCGCATTCTTGGAACAAGGCAAACGCTCCGGTGGCTTCTTCGACTCGCCATTGATCAAGCTGACGGAAGGAGTGGACAACCTCGGTATGAAGTCTGAAGAGGAGAGAGAGCAGTTTTTGGATGACCTAGATTCATTGTCCGACGATTTTCCCGAAGATTTCTTCAAGATGAAGGTTCTGCCGGAACTGCTGAAATCGGTAGAATTCGGAGGCGGTGGGCCAAAGGCCTTTGGAGTTGTCATGAAGATATCGACCAAGTTGTCAAGCGACGATTTCGATGCGAAAGTCCAACCTGTGGTTATCAGGTTGTTTGGAAATCCTGATAGAGCCATTCGCGTTTGCTTGTTGGACAACTTACCGCTCATGATCGATAGACTGCCGCAGAAGGTAGTCAACGACAAGATCTTTCCCAGTCTCGTAAGTAATCTCTTCTGCATGTTCCTGCTTATTGCTAATCAATCCTCAAGGTAACCGGATTCACAGATTTGGCCCCGGTCGTCAGGGAGCAAACCCTTAAATCCGTGTTGGTCATCATCAGCAAACTCTCGGACAGGGTTGTCAATGGTGAACTGTTGAAGTATTTGGCCAAGACTGCCAACGATGAACAACCAGGCATCAGAACCAATACAACGATCGTCCTAGGCAAAATTGCCAAGAATTTGGGAACGTCGAACAGAAGCAAAGTCCTCATCGCCGCATTCACACGTTCCTTGCGAGATCCTTTCGTGCACGCGCGCCACGCATCTCTCATGGCTCTTGCCGCAACGTCAGATCATTTCACCGACGAGGATTGCGCGGCAAAAGTTATGCCTGCCATATGCCCCTCGCTTATTGATAAGGAGAAGATGATCCGCGATCAGGCGGTGAAAACGCTCGATGTATATATGACCAAGGTCAAGAAAGCGGTTGCAAGCATGCCCGACACAGTCCTGCCGCCTCAAGCTGCCAGTGAGGGCGCTGGTCCCCGCATGAGCACACCTCAAGCAAGCGAAGCATCATCCTGGACGGGATGGGCCATCTCCTCCTTTACCAACAAGCTCTCTACGGCAGCAGGAGAGATCCAACCATCAGCGAGCAACGGCAACACCACGCCCACGGTCACGTCTCCAACGCCCGGGTCAAATCGTCTCGTGCCATCTACGTCTTCGGCATCTACACTCCACCGCCAAGCTCTATCCCCGAGACCATCCACCTCCCTGTCCCGAAACTCCTCGACCTCGAACGCGGAAGCTTACTTCAAGGACCCCGAGCCCGCAGAAGACAACGAGGCCTCCGCATGGGGCGAGATGGGCGACATGGACGACGGGGACGACGGCGCCTGGGGCGACGACAGCAACAACAACACCGCCGACACGACACCGGCGTCCGCATCCGCCTTTTCCAGCGCCTCGAAGCAAGCAGCCCCCAAGAAAGCCGTCTCGTCACCGGCCCCCTTCGACGACGGCTCCGAGCCCGACTTCGCCGGCTGGCTGGCGGCCCAGGCCCAGAAGAAGACAGGCGCTAGCGGCGCGAAATCGCTGCCCAAGGGCCTCGCCAAGGCGAATCATAGTGCAGGGGCGGCCAAGAAGGTGGCCGGCAAGCCCAAGCCCGTCATCGCCAAGAAGAAGATCGATCTGAAGCCCAAGGCCGCGGATGACGATGACGGCTGGGGTGACGGCTGGTAAGGGGGTTCCCCCTCCCCCACTTTCGACGAGCAGCTTTTCTCTGGGTTGTGGGAAAACTTGGTCGGGAACGAAGCATTAGAGCATAGTAGTCGATTTTCTTTTTTTGGCATGGCATGGCAGGGCGTTGGTTTGGAGCACTGGTTTGTTTGGGAAGCTTTGGATTTTAAATACCAGTAGCGCGGAAGTTGACATATAAATGATAGACTTTTAATCATATCTCCAGATTCATATGGACAGCTAGACAGCTTTGGGAAGACCGCTGCTGCTGGACTAAATAATGCTCCTGTTGTTTCTTACACTATTGATCGCATTTCACGTTGGCCATGCAAGTAAGGGACATGACTAGGATCACCAGACTTTGGGTACTGAAACTGTGGTATCTATAACTGCAAGAAAAACGAAACACTGCCAGCATAGGCACGCTCGGGTCATCCCTGTTTCGATGTTCATGAAGCTGGAAAAAAGAACCTTGACGCCCAGGAAAACCACGCCGCTGTGAAAGTTGGCGTCATTCCATACATGATCCTCTTTTCGAGAATGTCCCGTAGTATAGGACAAGCTACGACGTCTGGCATGGCTGATCAGTTATTTGCAGATTCCGAGATGGGCGACCACTCGCCGTCGCTGGAGGCGATGGCCTGGCTCTCTAAACTTGCACTGGTGAGTACTGGGTAGAAAGCTCCGACAGGAGCACTGGGAAAGACAAGCAACGGCGGAATTACCAGCCGCGGCGGCGGGGTTCTGGCATGTGGCTGCGCGGTCGAGTGACTGCGTATGCCGTTGACGAGATCTCTCCGATCTCTGACGTAGCGGCCCTGGGCTTGTCGCAGGTCCGCGAGGTTGAAGTTCTGTGCCTCTTCGTCGCCATCCTATCGGGCCTCAGAGTAGTCGTTGAGCGCAACACAGACTGCTCCCCGGTGGTGACCGTTATACTGGCGGATAACCTGTTGGCTGTGCAACTCCCACAGACGAGCATAGTGGTCACTACAGGCGGTAACCAGGTAGGCCGAGTCGGCAGAGAATGCACAATCCCAAACCCAACGCTGATGGCCCTGCAGAGTAGCTTCGAGGGGGTAGGGTTTGGGTTTCTTGACGGGCACCTCGTTGTTGGGATCGTGGTCGGATGGCGATACTATTGATGGCGTTGGGAAAGCTGTGCCATTGAGGAAACTGTGTATTCCGTTGGTAGGGGCAGCAGACGACGAGCTGCGGGTGGGCAGGGGAACCTGGTCGGCAGGGTCGACGTCGATGACTTCCCAGATCTTGGCAGTATGATCGGCTGAGCATGTAGCAAGCTTCTTGACGTCGGGAGAGAGGAGGATGCGGGTGATGTATTCCTTGTGTGCAGGGAAGTATGTGACAGGCATCAGGTCGGTGTGTTCGTAGCGCTGGATGAGGGCCCAAACAAAGACATTGCCCTGGAGACGGACATGAGCATGTGATGCAACTCGATCGTGAGGCGGGGCCAAGGAAGTAGGCTGGGACTTACTGCATTATTGGCAGCGCAGAGCAAGCTGCCGTCGCTCGCGACGGTGACGCTGCTGACGCTGACGTCCTCCTCGGGAATCAGCTGGTGGCTGCAGTTGTTCTCGGCCAGATCCCAGATTCGCACACTGCCCGAGCGATCGCAGCTTATGATTTCTCCCTGGTTGGGATGGATAACAACATCGTTGACGGGGCTGCCATGGTTATAGCTGCGCTGGATGGTGCCGGAGCGGGTCTCCCAAATCTTGACCGTGCCGTCCTCGGAGGACGTTACCATCCATTTGCCCTCGCAGTGGAATGCGACACCGGTGATGTTGCCGGTGTGGCCCTCGAAGGTCAGCAGGGGGTTCGGGTTGGTGGACTTGATGTCGTAGAGCTTCACGGTATGGTGGCCAGCGGCTGCCAGAAAGCGCTTGTCGGGAGAGATACAGAGGCGGTTGACCTGAGAGTCGGGATGTTGGATGGTGCGAGAGCAGATTCCGGAAAGGGCCTCCCAGAACCTGCAGGAGGGGGAGGGTGGTCAGCTACAACGTGGACTGAGACGACGACGACGACGACGACGTAAAAGGCGGACACAGTCCCACGAGGATTGCAAAGTCAAGGCACGGCATGGCATGGAAGGCATGTAGGGCTGCGTACCTGATCGTGTGATCATATCCGGCTTCACGAGTGGTTAGCGATGAATGGACGCGCCGAAACGACGCCGACTCTTACCTGTGCACAGAATGACAGACATGGTGAGCTACTCAACAGCCCATCTTACGACTCGAATCTGGGAACTTCACGCGTCTTTGTCGCGTCGAGGGTATCAGTATGTCGAGATACTATCAAACTCTCTTGAAGAATTGGCGAGGGGGGGGGTTCTCGTTTTCGGTGAAGTTGCGACAGACGGGAAGCTTGCGCCAGCTCTTACTGAGTGCTGTCACTAACCCGCTAAGCTCCCAGGCTCCTACGTATGTACATACCGATTACTTGCGAATGGAGCCGTATCATTATCGCTAACTTATCGCTATCTCTATCGGTATCGTGCCCCACCGATCAAACTTGGACCCAAATAGACTAGTCTGGTCTAGCATCAAGCCAACACTATTGCGGACCGTACGGGTCAAGTTACATAGCTGCATAGTTACTGTAGACCTGATGAATCATCCCGCAAGTTCGACATTACATTGATTGCCCTTCTTACAACATCTACAGGTGAAAATAAATATAACTAAAAACTGGATGGGATATCGACCGACAGGCGTTGCTTTTCTGTCTTCAGGACTTGTGGTAGCGTGCTGAAACGCTACTACAAATTCCCATGCCACAAAACGTCACTGGTAGAGTCATTGTCGCCGAACAAACATATTCTACAGCAGTGCTCCCGAGGCCCCGTGTCGCATCTCAGCTCGGCTTCTTGCAGGCTACCATGTAACCACAACTTTAGCCGCCTCGTTGCCTCTCGCTATCATTGGCTGCACCTCTGTCAAGTGCCACCATCGAGGACAGGCCCAACGCCAATATGAGCATGGGCAGCCCGTTGAGTTGGTATCCGTCCACCTGCTCTTCTGGAAGACTGAAGACGAAATGCGAATCCTTTCCATCACCACATACTGTCTTATATAATCAAAACCTTACGGTAAACGATTCTGGGCGCTTCCGAGCCCGCTGATTTGCATCACACAGGGTAAATGTCCAGCTTCACAATAAAATCGCCAGTCTACTTAAGAGTCCGCTCAACGATCTTATACTACAGTATTCCAGGACATAGGATGCCCCTTTGATACTGAAGTAGTGAGTGTTGGCTGTACCAATACTACAAGGGAGCCAAGTGGGTCGTACGACCTTCGTCGTGGTTGTCCGGGGTCTGATCAGTATAAGGTCGAAGGGATGGAACTTGTAAATAGTCGAAAAGGGCATGCTTCTTCACACTTTTGATTTCGGTAGCATGGTCAGTTTATGCAGCAGTGCATTCGGAAGACGACGAGAATGGCTCGTCGTCACTAATTAACATTATTTTGGTCATCAAGTTCATTCTTTCCATTCATTCATAAGTGATCAGTCCGCGAGTGAACCAGCGAGTTCGTCGTGAGGCTTATAACCCAAGGGACAAGACAGTGGTCCTGGTTCAATACCCATGTTGGCCACTTTCGGTACGACACAGTATGAACCATGTCACCCACGCGCTGGCTTCAACGAGTTCTGCGCCTATTTTGCCAAGTTTCCAACTTTGACTGCGGCTTCGGTGCTCCAAATCGTTGTCCAGTATTCCTGTCAGACCACCTTACCCCCGAACAAGACTGCGTGAAAACATTTGTTTTGGTTCTGTTGCTCAGGGATATATACGCCCCGAATCTCTGTCATGTGCACCAATAGCTGGCATAGACAGTCGTGGACATCTCTGCCAGCAAGTGATCCACATAATCTCTTTTGCTTTTGCAGTATATGTATTACTTTCCCTTTCTACGTTTCTCGTAAGCCCGAAGCATGTTTAGGCTCACTACTAGTGCTTACTTATTTCTCAGCTCACCACTCGACTGGTGCAACACACTACCTCCTAACCATCGATGCAATAACAAGTACAGTTGGTTTTGATCGTTGAAGTCATCTTCACGACAGAGTCGTGGAGGAAATGCAAATCTTTGTAGAAATGATTCTCTGGTTCTACATCGCGGGTTCCTTTACATACTTCGTAACTAAAATCGCAAGTGCAAACTCCAATTGTTTCACGACGACATCTCATGGCTTCAGGTCACAACAGAGTGCCGCGTGGCCTCCCTCTGAACCTTTCCGGACGAAATATTGAGATGGGCTCAATATGAGCTTGATGTGACGAAACAACGCTGGCCATCTCGTTCAACAGAGATGAGCGAAGTGAGGGCTTAAGTTGGATTTAACCCAACTCTCGGCTTGGCACATGGTACCACGGCAGATAAACTTTCAGACGAGCTTGGATGAACCAAAGAGTAGCATCGGCACACCCCAAAGAGTGCTTGTGTCCCAAACACCTGTACGACAGATCTGATCTCGTCTGATTTTCGCATCAATGAGATCTCGGATACAACATCTGAGATTCTGCTCGATGCTGCAGCTCACAGGGTATAGTCATGTCAACCTGACAATCTACCAAGATCTCGTAAGTCAAATCCTGCTTGCCCGTGTGGTGATAAGTGGTATGAAAACTTCTGTCTGTTGCACTGCTTCCATTCAAACATGTGGTTCCCTCACCTGCATGATTTTTACATCTCGGTCAAATATTGAGACGCTGTCTTCACATAGTCTTCGCTGATGTACAACTTGGCAAGTATACTGCAAAGTTTGTTTTGAGTTGTTACAACACGTGCTTGTGGCTCAGCCCGTTTGTGTAGCATTTTTTTCAACTTTATGTTAAGTTCGCGTTCACCAGGCTTTGCCTACCTATACCCACAATCTACCATTGATCTTCGGGCGGATGACTTCCACATAAATACACTCGGCAACATACTCACAGTTCTATCCATTAGCACAATACTAGACCTGATCGCAGCAGCGTACACACCTAAGATCATGCGATTAGGGAGGTATTCCATCCATCTTTATCAAGGTTTATTAATTGAACTTCGTGCTAAGGAACGAAATGAATCTCCACATGATGCCGTTGACTTGCGTCAAAGTCTTATCGTTATATCCCACCTATGAGAGTTTGACAAGCCTGTTGACCAAGCTGTCATGTTGAAAACCTTCTACATCGTGAGTAAGACGAGCAATATTGATCCTGTAATATCTCGCCGCAACTTCGCACCCCGTGCAATCCATGCGCCCGTCCTGATTCAAGATCATATCACCGCATGACACTATGGAATGCCACGCGGCCGAGATAGTCGTTTGAGTACAACCCTTAAGCTATTAGCTATGCCATAAGCATGCATCGTATACAATTATTGTCAGGTTTTCGATTTTGTCGATCGGAGTGAAGACTCTCCCTCTTTCCGGTCTTTGCAATTTGAAGAAGAGCCGCCAGACGACGGGTCCGGTGATCTGTCCTGGCGAACAATGGTCTGGTTGCCTTCAAAAACCACCTTGATAAACACGCAGCCAGTATGATTGCAGCGTCTGCAGAGATGGACTCTATTTTCGTCATCAGCGAGCGCTAATCACGATACCTTACTGACACGTACTTGCGCGGATGTCCGCAGCAGTGAGGGCAAGTATATACTTTGAGATCGTCTTGGCCGATGCCAATTTCTTCTTCTGGTTCGTACATATCCGTTGTATAATAGCGATAGCCCAGGGAACTAGTTATTCCGTGTTCATAAGCAGCTCTGTAATGCTTTTGCTACTTTGTAGATGACAGCGGGATTTGGTACTAGATGAGCCCTTCAGAGAATACATAGAAAGCGTGTTCCTACTTATCCGTGCCCGAGCTATTAGTTTTGTGTATATGTCCTTATCACAATTGTCAACTCCGTGCTTCAGATTTCCATCATTAAGTAGCCGGGCATAGTTGACTTGCGTTGTCTTACCACTGCTTCAGCGTAACCAGATGGCACCGCCATTTGTCGTCCCCCCCCCCCCCCCCCCCCCCCCCCCCCCAATATACGTCTCCGATAACCGGTCAAGATTCACTGAACTACTTTTCTCATTCGACGGCGGACTTGTGACGAGGAACATCAAGGCACCTTTGGACAAGGTGCCATCCGGCCGGACGAGAAGGGGTGGAAAGGTCCCTGAACTGTGAGACATTGTCAGCAGTGGTTGCACCAGGGCAGTTGTATACAGGCTGATGCTAACGCGGAAATTTCCATGATCGGTCCTTGCATCCTGTTGGTGCTCCAGAGTGCTGCAACTGCTCATGTGGCATGATTGCTGCCGGTCATCATTTGCCTTGCTCTTTTCGTAGGACTCCGCATGCTCAATGCGCGCCGGCCAGACTCGACCAGTATGCGGCCGTATCGATGCTAGTAGACGGTAAAATCTCCGACGTTCTATTACCGTGAATCAACTAGTCTAAGTCCCAATTGGTACGATGCGCCTACCCGCGACCCTTGTCGATCAGTGTCAGCTTTCCTGCAAAATGAACACTGTATTGGTCATCTGATCCAGGTCTCCTTTCAATCAAGTCGTATGGGATTTTCTTTAGCACCCACAACAGGCCCGCTGGTTTATAACTGAGCATCTGCTGCCGAGCATAACCGCCTCAGCTGTTTTCAAATGCACTGTTACATCCTCGACACTATCCTACACATGATTGCTCCGTCACAAGCTGAAGTACAGCCTTTTGATTTCCTAGATATACTCGGCTAGTCACCATAGAAGTACTTGTCTGCCAGATTGAGATTTCCGTTTGGTCGAAGCTTCCATGTGCCTTGATTGATTTGACCAGAGCAGCACCGGCCGGAAGGTTCGTACCCCTTAACTTGATACGCAACAGGATCTCTCCGTAGGACCGCCTGTTTTCGAGTCCCAGCCGCTAGTACGGAATCTCTTGGTCAAGCACAGTCGACAGGTGCTCCCCGGCGGGACATATGATGCCTTCTCACATGATGCCGCGTGAATATGATCAAATTACACGAGACGACCAAAATTCACCTGGGCTACGTACACTTTAATTATACACCCGATCGCGATGGCGCATTATTTTTGTCTATACAATAACCTATCAAAGCAATCTCAGCTTGTTTCATCACGTTTGAGCTGATTGTCAAAGCTGCTGGGTGAAACAACCATTCGGCGAGCTTATATCACCTCGCTTGACTATTCCCCTATTAGTTCATGCCAGAAACAAAGCATTTGGACCGATAATTCCGTGAGTTGTCGTACATCTCGGCTCTTATATATTGGAAATAGCAAACTCACTAAGCCGAATATGATGTGCTCGTACAACATCATACAACACTCAACTTGTAATATTGAAGCGCCACAGGTCACCTAACATCAGGGCTGGTCGTATAATTCGTCGGTCTTGATCATGCTGGCATACAAAACCACCATCGCGACACGCGTAAGATGGACCGACTCACAATGTTTCGAGGAAGTTTCTACGTTTGACGGTAGTTGCATTCGGCAGTTACTTTCCGAAGATGGACGGAAGTGAGGCTATCGTGAGTCTAAATTCGTGACAGGACTATCCAGCCAATCGTTTCATGAGTATGATTTATCTAGGCGTCGCACCATGCGCAGCCACACGGCTTGGCTGACAGGTGATGTCCAAGATTGAAAAAATACGTGTTCGAGGACCACTGGCAATTGCTCTGAGCTTGATCATCCCTGGTTCGCCTGGGATATTGGTAAAATTCATGAGTGCCACAAAATTGATGCACCAAGACCTTTACTTACTAACACTCACTATTCCAATACATCGTGGGCAACGAACTCCTTGCAAAGCAATTTGTCGCAGCCTCCAAGATGCTAGTGTGACGATTGCTAAATCCATTATTCTGATATGGCTCCAAAAAAGGCTGGGAAGACTGGTTCGCTGACTCGGAAACCTTGAACATACGCTATTTCCAACATTGTAGCCACACAGGTACCATCGTCAGATAAGCGCTTTGGTTTCAAAGCTGGCATCCCATCCCGACAACGGCCCAGATGCTTCTCATCTGGAGAAATAAGATGCAAATCCTTCAAGTCCCTTCACTGACCTTGTCGTTTCGTGTCACACCAGTGCCAATACCATCGAAATCATCACAATGGTTGCTGTCATCATTGGGCGCCGCCGACCGAAACGTTATAGTCTAACAAGGGTGTACCCACCTGACTGCTGGGAGACTCCGTCTATTGTAACGTTGCCGGCTGACGCACGACAAAGTTTAACCTTCCGTTGCAGAAGGGGGGTATCTTCGACGCTTCTCGAAACTTTGCGCAGCACGTCATGTTGATCACAGTATATGGGACTATAGCCATCGTTATGTTCGCTGACTGAACTACGATTAATGATTTGTGACCTATTTAGAAGATGTGTAACACAACTCTCATAGAGCACCTTGTTCTATTAAGACCTGATCAAATAAATGTGCTCACTCGATCGATTTTCGCATACTCGGGGATCAGGCCCGCATATGGTATGCTTGGACCACTCTCAGAGTTCTCTATGAAAGATGGCGCTGACCTCCGCCCTCTGCATCGCGCATCGAAAGTCTGCGATATCAACTCTTAAGCTGCGGTATAGGCAAGTCATAGTTAGAACAGGGCCCATCCTGACAAGCACGACAATGCTAAGGCCCAACCTCGTGAGCACAGATCTAATTACAAGACAAAGGGCAATCGCAAATTGGGCACTCATAGCAAAACACTAGATGCTATGATATATTCAAATTGCGGTTTTGTGCCGAAGGTTGCCTCTATTAGATCAGTCTGGTTTCTTTCCCAGCTTGTTGCCTCTATTTCAAATGATCACGTTACGTTGTAGACAGAGCTGCAGACGATGGTGGGCCTTTGTTTGCGACACACAAGCGGTATGGCTTGTCGCACGCAGCGCGAGGAGGGAGAGGTAAAGGGCGTCGTGAATGCCACCTTTCTTGACGGAATTCGCGAAAGTCAAATTGAAGCCATTGAAATAGGCTACCATTATATGACTTGGCAAATGACGACATCTCTCTCTTTCGACTGCCGAGTCATCCGTGTGTGCTCATTCCTATTCAGGCAGCTGTATAAAGTACAGGCTAATGCCGGCATTAGTGGAGTCGTAAAGGTTGATCACTATTGCACCACCGACCCAGCCTCTGACAAGGCTCCGAAGGCCATTTCCACTTCTTGTCGTTCCTCTCAGGTCTTCCCGAACCTTGGCGCGAGTATAGCTTCTCGGCGTGAACACCAATGATGAAGTTGCTTTTTGCGGTCAGCTTGGCGCTATCATGCTGCAATAGTCTCGTTGCCGCATCCCCATATAGTGCGCTTCAGTTATTCCAAACTTAAAGGACTCCACGCTAAACGAATGTCTAGGTGAGCATACTGTTCATGAATATCGCGATACCATCAGTGAGTCCTGCTGCTTCTCGACAGTTGTTGACTCATCTGACTAAATGGTCCAAGGTCTGAGATGGACAAGACACAACCGCGTGCCAAGCTACAGGCGTCTTCCGGTGAGAATCGGATTGACTCAATCCAACCTCGACAAAGCGGAAGATTATCTGCTTGATATCTCCCATCCCAAGTCGCCAAACTATGGTAAAATTTGGACACCTGAGGATGTCATCGCAGCATTTCAGCCTAGCGACACTGCCGTTCAGGCGGTGCGCGATTGGCTGGCTAGCCACGGTATCGTCGATGTGACACATTCCGAGAACAAGGGGTGGCTTGCATTTGATGCACCAGCGTCGCAGGTCGAGGCATTGTTGAAGACTGAGTACTATGAACATGCAGACCAGATCACAGGCGGTGTGGTGCCCGCGTGCGACATCTATTATGTTCCGGCAAAGATCCAGGAACATATTGACTACATTACGCCTGGTACCAAGCTCATGGCACCGGTGAAAAGCGACATTGACCTCAAGGTAAAGAGAGAAGGCCGGAAGGTCAGCCGTGGAGACAGACTTAAGAAAACAGCCAAACAAGAGTTCTCGCAAGAGCTTCTCAATGCTCTTTCGGCCAATGCCAGTGATCTCAGTACATGTGATCAGGCCATCACGCCGGCTTGTGTCGCAGCATTGTACAATATTCCACCTAGCAACGTCACTGCCCCTAATAATTCGTTGGGTGTTTTCGAGGCTGAACTACAGTACTGGGATCAACCAGACCTGGATCAGTTCTTTGCGAACTTCACGCCCTGGATTCCGAATGGCACTCACCCCCTCAACGAGGAAATCGACGGTGGTGTGGCCCAGACCGACAATATATCGCTTGCGGGCGGCGAGTCCATGTTAGATTTATTGCTGGCTTACCCTATTGTCTATCCCCAAACTATCACAGTACTCAACGTGGACGATATCCATTATCAGACATGGGAGAATGATACCTACACTGTGAGCAATCGTGTCTTTCCACGCATACCAGCTCTGACTAATAAATGCTGAAGTGGGGCTTCAACTCATTACTGGACGCCATTGATGGCTCTTATTGCACGTACAGCGCGTACAACGAAACTGGTGATCTGCCCAATTGGGATCCGACATATCCTGATCCTGGGCCCGACGGGTACAATGGTACCCTGCAATGCGGCGTCTTTGACCCGCCAAACGTCATCTCTTTGTCGTATGGCGGCCAGGAAGCAGATGTCCCCATTTCGTACCAAAAGCGTCAGTGCAATGAGTATCTGAAGCTTGGTCTGCAAGGCGTGACGTTTGTTTTCGCCTCTGGTGATTCGGGCGTTAGCAACTACCCCGAGCCCTACGGCTTCGATGGTCCGACGGGCTGTCTGGGTCCAGAATTGAACATTTTCAACCCTACCTGGCCAAACAATTGTCCTTGGCTTACCAACGTTGGTGCCACGAAGGTCTACGCCGGGTTTAGTGTCTTTGATCCGGAGAGTGCTGCTCTTGACATCGGCAAGAAGCTGAACTACTCTTCCGGTGGTGGTTTTAGTAACGTCTACCCGGTCCCTGACTACCAGAAAGCGGCCGTGGATGTCTTTTTCCGAGATCACGAGCCTGGGTATCCATTTTACGAGGAGCTGGTAGCAAATGCTGACAACTACACGTTGCCGAATATCACAGCCCTGGCGGGCGACACGGGTGGTATCTACAACAGGAACGGAAGGGGTATCCCGGATGTCGCTGCCAACGGCGACAACATTGCCGTCTTCGTCGGTGGCGAGTTCGGACTCAGCGGCGGCACAAGTGCGAGCACGCCTATATTTGCAGGCATTGTAGGTCTTCGGCATCTAACATAGTGCCTACGATAATGCTGATGAGACTGCAGATCAATCGGATCAACGATGAGCGGCTAGCGGTAGGCAAGAGCCCGGTTGGCTTCATTAACCCCGTGCTGTACGAGCATCCGGAGGTGTTTAATGATAGTGAGTCTCGCATTGTTCGCGGTCAGGTCCCAACCATTGCTGGTGTTTGCTAATATTGTACGCTTTAGTTACCAATGGTACGAACCCAGGTTGTGGTACTGATGGATTTAGTGCTGTTCCTGGCTGGGATCCAGTGACCGGCCTAGGGACGCCGAACTATCCCAAGTTGCTGGAGCTCTTTTTGTCCCTCCCATAAGCTAAATATTTCAAAGTGAAACCATGATTAGGAAATTCATGTTGCTCGCATAAAGGGAATCTTCAACTTGATTCCATCTCGTCTTTCGTGTCTCTTTGTTACTGTATGATCCATATCCAGATCTGTTTCTAATCTCTTTTCATTACAAGGGCGTAAAATATGTTTCATTACTGTGTCAAGTCCAACTTGAGCCTCAAATTCATCGATCCTGTCGCACAAACCTAGGATGAGGACGGAGTCGCTTTTTCATAGCAAATTCAACCACGCAGAAGATGAACCGGGACATTATCAAAGCGCTGAAGGCGTAGAGAATGGAAAGAGCTTGTTGCAAGTCGATATCCTTAGGTATGCTAATTGCCGGTACGTCGCGACGCATTCTGAAATGGAGGAGAGCGGTCGTAATCCAGAAGAGTGCGAACATGATGATGTGCACGAACAACCTCACAATGACGATTTTTTGACCTGAGTCCACTAATAGTAGTATTCTGGGAATAAATTCTCCAGTCTTGTCATGAGCTGATATTCAAGCCGCGTAACCGATAATTGTCATTGAACACCGATGATCGGTTGCTAATGTTTCCACTACGGATTTAGCCAATTTCGAATGTGGAATTCAAGTCACCTACTGCAACCACCAACATTTAATAGAATGGCACCTACTTCTGAGTTCTATACACCGCCGCAAATGCGCCGCTATTTTGGAGATTAAGAGAATGAGGAAGATGACGGCGAAGGGATGGATGGCAGATATCTCCATGGGTGACAATTTTCGATTTAAGGCTTGAGGACTGCCGTTTTGATGTACAACGCCACTGGCCGAAAGAGGATAATAATCTGCTCCAACAACTATTGTAGCTGTTAGAAGACCTCGAAAATGTCCGATCCGAAAGTTTGCGACCAGCTCGGCTGCCGTTCACATGTGTGCTGAGTGTGTTGATCCTTTGGGCCGTGATACCAAGTTGGATATATATCGTCGACATATCACCCAGTGCGAGCTGAAACAAGACTCCTCGCTTAGTTATATCTCTTGAGTTTCACTTTCAGCAGATGTCCTGCTTCCCTGACCGGCGAAAACTTTAGGTTCGGAGGTTATTAATTGCGGTTGACTGTCTTTGATGGTGCTATGCACCAAGCTAATTTCCTGTGTATTGTGAGTCTAGCTACAATAGATGAACCGTAGTTACGTCTATAATTGGCTGGCCAGCGTCCGCGGCAACTGAGGCACACCTGTTCATCCTAATCCTTTGGGAATTTCCCTAAAACTTAAGATATTTAACTACTCCACATTATAGGAAATTTAGATATTGGAAAATAGATCAGTCTGACAGAAGATTTCTGCACAATATAATAATCAAGCTAACTGTGCGTAATTGAAAGCATGACTAAAGGTATTTACAATCTTTCCGACGTTGCGTATGATATATTAAGCTTAGAAGAACGGAGCTTCGCTGGCAGGTGTCCCAACTTCCGCCCTTGGAGCGCAGCCAAAGGAAGAAGAATCAGTTATGCTACCACCCAGATATATTTGCTGGAGCGGGTATGCACAGAGACTTCTAGTGTATCCACTTGCGCTTACCGCAGTCAACGTTTCAGGGGCTACGCCGTTCTCGACCCATGAGATGAGCTGATCTAGTGCGCCGTCGGGAGATGGGCCTGTTCCCCCAAAGCAGTGGGCTACCCCAGGGGCTTCGTAAACGCGGAAGAAATCTCCTGCTTTAGAGTCGAGTTTTAACACCTTTTCATAATACGCAATTGTTCCGTTTGGTGGAATAGCATCATCTGCGAGTCCGTGCCATGAAATCATCTTGCCACCTTTTCTTCGAAATGCAGAGAGGTCTGGATTTGCAGCTCCAAGTGGCGAGTCGTAGTCTCGTTGTGACTGTCGTAGGTAGTTGAAGAAGTCCTCTTTGGTCATGGTGGATGGGTCCCAGTTTGGATCCTTGACGAGCAAGTATTGCAAATAGCTACTTACCAGTGGGCTCGACGATGCAGCGCACGTGCCGTTCAATATGTATTGCGTAATTATATAGCTGTCCAGTGCGGCATCTTTGTTCAAGCCAAACCAACCGACCCTCCCATTATCATTCTTAGGACCTGTCCATGCGGCTTCGACGATAGTAGCCCCGGGCTCAGTGAACTGTTGAGTAAAATTGTCGCAAGCGAAGCTCTGGCCTACAACGGTATGCGGATCAAACGTGCAAAGCTCCGGCAAGCCAATAATGCCATCTATTACCCCGTCCAACTTGTCGCATGCAGCAATCGCGGCTTCCGTGAAGGCTTTGAATTCACAAGGACTCGGGAAAACGCCTAAGTCATGCATAACCTGCGTAGCCCAATACCCCGCTGGAATGAAATTCTCAAAATTGATAGCCGGGGCCGTGGCCAAGATACCGTCGAAATCCTCAGCATACCTCTGTGCGATCATCAGAGCCTGGCGACCGCCTCCAGAGCACCCAGTAAAATATGAGTACTGTGGTTGAGAGCCGTAATAGCTTGCTGTAACAGCTTTCCCAATAACGGCCATCTCGTGTAACGAGCGAGAGCCGAAATTCTCTAATAAGTATAGGTTGACGTTTCCTGAACTCGTCAATGCCCATGACTCGGGGCTTTGGGCGGCTTCGGCTCCCTGAACATGACCAGCGTCGGTGTCAATAGTAACGTATCCTAAAGACACTGCCTGAGTCGAGTACAACGCACCAAAACTAGCGCTGTACCCTCCTCCTCCAAGTGCTTGGAGTCTCCCATTCCACAATGAGGCAGCGGGCAGCGAGACGTGGACGGTGATGCTATCACCCCAACCCGGATGCGTGTACGTCACGGTGACATTGCAGAAGTTGATTGTGTATGTACCTGCCACATTGCTCCCGGGGGCCAGCGAGAACGTGGTGTAATTAGAGACTGGGCTAGCGCTGATATCGGTAGCATTGGCACCAAATATCTCTGGGAAATTGAAAGAATTCGAGGAACACGGGAATCGATGGCCAAGAGGGGTACTGGATCCTAACGAGGACCAAGCAAGGATCGACGACAATTTGAATAGCCTACGGAGTGCCATAATCAAGAATAGGAGACTGGTGCAAGTTCAAAAACAGGATATGTGTCTGCGGAGAAGTTGAAGAACCCAGAGAGTTATATAAACAATCACGACATATGCACTACTACATATCTGATAAAATCAGATTGCGAGTGAGGAAAACTAGGCCCTTGTGCAGGTTACCAGAGCACGAGAGACACCAATGCCACGGTAGTATAGTATACGCGTACAGATCGCGACCTAATTAGCTGGCGCCTAGCTCAAATGTAAGTGGTAACGGACAGCGGATCGCCGCTGGAGATGAGGAAGGGTGGGGGGCATCAAGTCCTGGGAATATGTAAAGGGACAGGACTTTGCACTGCCAAGCCCGCTATAACCCTTTAGTGCGAGTGTAAACGTGATGACATGGGGTTATATTAGTAGATCTTCAGCCAATAGAACGATGCGCAGTACGCGTTTAGCAGATGATAGAGCTCCCTGTAACCCCATACTGTGGGATTCTACTAGTAGCGTGGAAGAGCAAAGAGGCTCCACGTTTGCCAAGTAAAAAAGGAAATAGGCAGGTTCGGTCGTTTGATATCTGAATGCCCACACTCTATACCTGGAACTAATTTGACATGGAGTGGTGTACACACATATGACCGAGCCTTAGAAATTCCGTTGGCGTTGATGATCTATTGACCAGCGAATACTGCTCAAAAGCACATCGTTTCCCTGTTTTGTTCGATTATTGTACCACGTCACTTCAACAAAATTTTAGGCCCATGGTTGTGCATCGTTATTGCCTATATATGACACCACTGGCTATACCGGGATGAATCAACACCCTCTTATTACCAGCTATCCAGCAAGCTCCTACATGATGGCATATCCAACTATCCCACCCTCGTCATGCTCCTCTGGAGTCATTCCAACGCCTTTTCTGTTCGGGGCGGAGATCATCTCCTTAGCCGCCTCCCCGATCCTCAATTTCACGGGTGTTGCTCCTGAAAAATATTACTATAACCACCCAACTGTTGTGGCAAATCAGGTCAACTTCTGTAACATTACCGTTACATACACGCACCCTGGCCAAAATGACGTTATTAATATTGAGACATGGCTTCCTCTTGACACTTGGAATGGCCGCCTTCAGGCCGTTGGCGGTGGCGGCTGGACACTTGGTCGTTTCCCACTTTCGACTATGGCAATGACAGGTGCAATCGGCCAGGGCTACGTAACTACTACCACGGATGCTGGTATACGGGGCAAAGACGGCCAAGCTGCATATGCGCCAGATGATTGGGTCCTTGTGAGTGAGGGAAATATCAACCTATACAATGTTCAAAACTTTGCCTCCGTGTCCCTCAACGATCAAGTGAGTGACTTATTAAAGCTGGCGTGTCACAATGTGTTTGACTTTCTACTGACCAAAACCTGTAGGCGATCATTGCGAAGGCTTTGATCAAGAGCTTCTATGGCCAGGGTCCCGAGTATTCTTACTGGAGCGGATGCTCACAAGGAGGGAGACAGGGTATGATGCTTGCGCAACGTTACCCCCATGCATACGATGGCATTGCTGCGGCTGCTCCGGCTATCAGCGTTTTAGAGCTCTTCGCCGGTACTCTTTGGGCGCAGGTTACTATGTTGGACCGAGGGGAGTATCCTGCCCCTTGCGAATTTAATTTTATAACCAGTGCTGTTATTTCATTCTGCGATCCCTTGGATGGAATTATAGATGGGCTTATTTCGGACGAATCACTCTGCCAATTTGATCCAATGGCTCTTGTTGGAGAGTCTTTTATATGTCCCGACACAAACAAAACCATCACCCTGAGCGAAACTGCCGCAGTGGTCGCAAAGGCTGCTTGGACTGGTCCGCGATCCCCAATGAATGATTTTATTTGGTATGGGCCTAACGTGGATTCTCGGCTATCTGGAGAAGTCAATGGCCCCGTCGCGACACAAGCTGACCTGGGTTATGCCCAGACAAAATGCCAAAATGAAACGTGCACCGGCGTTCCAGTTGGACTGGGAGATGCGTGGTTCAAATATTTCATGGAGAAAAACTCTACTTGGTCATGGACAAACCTGAATAAAAAGTCATTTGCGAAGCTATACTACGATTCAGTCCAGTACCAGTCGATTCTTGGGTCAAACGATCCCGACTTGTCGGAATTTCATGCTGCCGGTGGCAAGATCATCACATATCATGGCATGGTACGTTTCTTCTATTTTTTTTAATAGCGGATATCAAGTGGTTGATAAAATTCAGGCGGATGGTCTGATTCCCCTAAAGGGTACAGTGGACTATTATAGCAAGGTCCAGGAGCTTGTCCCGCATGTCCAAGACTTTTATCGCCTTTTTGAGGTTCCAGGCCTAGCCCACTGCTCTGGTGGTAATGGCGGACAACCAACGGCTACTTGGGACGCTCTCCTTAGGTGGGTAGAAAACGGCACAGCACCAGATACATTGCCTATCTCGCTTACTGACCCAGATGGAGTGGTACGAAACCGGATCCTCTGTCCCTATCCCCAAAAGTCAGCAATGAAAACCGGCTTCCCGCCTAACTCAACTGCATCAGAAGCCTGGGAGTGTCGGTAGATGGTGTAGCCGGGTGGATTTATATTTTGATGTTAAATGCGTGCAATGCCGTTCTTCGTCTGATTACATGATGGATTTCAAAATTAATTTGAATCAACGAAGAAATCATGGGTAGCAATAGCAACCAACGAAGACAGGCTTCAGCCAACGGTAATTCTCTTAGCTTCAGACATAGTACATAGTCTTCAAATTCAGCTTGGTGTTTTGCAGAGCTTTTTGGCCACTGCTGCACGATCAACGGTACCGGGCGGCTACACTGCTATATCCAGTAGTAAAAAATGACTTTTATAATTACTCGTCTGGTAGACTGCCGATAGAGGTGTCATTTGGTGTATCCTCGACTAATCTGGCAGGTAATACGGAGGATGTCTACCGTCGAAGGTCCCTCCACAAGAGCTTTCTGAATAGATGACATCTAGGATATCCAGGCTATCCACGAGATTCGCATTAGCAATTTCGATACCTTGGTCCTTTTGGGTAGCTCGATGGAGTAACCGCAAACGAGGCACGGAGACAGTGCTCATGGAATTTCTAGTGTCGTGCTATAGGCTCTTCTGAGATGAGCGGTTAGTTACGTAAGGTAACTGAAACCGTCCCGGAATGTCAATCATTGCTGTGTGGGAATCTCTGAAACCATTTCAGTCGATATTGCTTCAGCCGGTCAGCTTAGCTCGCCCAGAATTACAAGAGCTTGCACAACAGCATATACCGCCTGAATTTCAATTGCCACTACAAAACGGTTGTGCCTCCGACACTCACGAACTACGACATTAGAACCTCGTCAAGCTCTATCAACACACTTGATACATATCGCAGTCATCGATCCATCCATACCGATATTGACTATGAATTGGCCAACAATCAGTTTCGGAGCCCAAATCCTCAGGAAAACTTGTTTAAACAAGTAACTAATATGTGTGACGAACGACTAGTTTAGTCAATTTGGACATTTCATTTTGGAAAACAGTCCCGATCCCCGATGAGCTGGCCGCCAATGCTATCTCGCTATCTTTAGAGCCTGATCACCCTCTTCTCGGCACATTCAAACCATATCTATATGTCGCAGACCTAGTAAGCCATCGACAGGCTTCTTATTCTTCTTTTCTCGTGCAAGCTCTACTATACTAGGCATGTGTATGTTTTGGATATGTCCGTTCTTTCTACTATGCTCAAATAAGCTAGTATCATCTCGGAAAATGTACAGTGCTAATGAATACGTGGAAGCGGTATTCGTAGAAGTAGAGAGGCTCTGGGTTGTCGAAAAAGACTTCTGACTCAATACTCAACAAGGTTGGCATCCAGATACTAAGTCTAGCGTATATAGGCTAGGGAATTGATCGCCGTGTGCTAATCTACCGAGCAGAATCGGTGAATATGGGTATCCGGCTGGGTCTATTAGGAGTCGAGAACGAAACAATTACATCAATTCTTGCCGAAGTCCTAGCAGAAATGTTACAATCCCATGCATTACAACCTAGGGAGTCTACAATTGGCAAATGTAAGTGAGTATAGCTCTAATACGATAAGAAAGAATGATGTTTACCATATAAGCTGGTTACAACTTTTTACCGATAGCATAGACTCTCGTATCTAAAGTTTCCACCCACGTTACCGATACCGGGGGGCTTTGGCCACGACAGCCCAAACGGCTCTAGCTCGTCCTCCCCTAGTGACAAGATAACGCGTTATGTGCTCCCGCCGTATATAGGGAACACATTCCCACCTATCTGCGGATTCTGGTGGATCATTCGCGAAGTTCCACTTATTTGTCCTAGGGAAAGAATCTAGAAGAAAATGTGTCTATCGATTTTGCAGAGTTCAAATATCGTGAGTTGTTGGCATGGATAGAGAATTTGCCTTTACCGGCTATTCGTGGCATCAGACGTCCGCATTATGTTATAATATTCCAGTAAGTCAAGTATTACCAGAGCCTGGTCAATTTCTAGACTCGTAGATGCTAATAGCTTTAGTATATGGATTTATGTTGTTATTTTTGATATCTTTCGTCCGTTTGTTAATCGAGAGCAGCTAGAGCTGTTACGACTAAAACATTCTCCGCCATAGACAGCATACCTATGGCGGTATCCTAAGCATTTTTTAACCAGATTAAGCAACTCATCTTCCATTACCGTTCTAATTACAAATTATTTAGCGCACATGATCCCCTAGCAAACTACTCTATCATACGTTACTATATCAGTCCCGCAGGATTATAGAACCACCTTTGGCGAGACTGGTTCCTATTATGCATTTACGGTTACGAAACACTAAGACGTCCTTGAAGTATCGCTAAAACCATCAGCCATGGTCCTTCTTACTATGAGATTGCGTGATCCTAACATAACGAGTAAGGATGCACGGATACTTTTGGGTCAAATCGAAAACCGTGGGCTTGATAGTCTTGAGAATATCATAAGAGATTTTATTCATGGCCAAAAGGACGCCGAGATGAACTAGTATTCATCTCAAATCCGAGGAAGACGTTTTCACGTCGTTTTAAATGTACAAGAGAAGTCAGCGAACGACCCAAAGCGATCTCGTTTAGCTATATGCTTAATCACTTTGTCTTCTTAGTTTGGTGAGGTTGAAATCGCCCCAAGAACTTTACATCAGCTGCCGTCACCGGATCTGCTACCTCTAGAAGCGCATTAGAAGACAGAGAATGAGCAATCTCTCCGGCTTACGCCCGTCATGACATTCATGATTTCTTCACTGTCGGCCAAACCCGCTGTTTTGATGCGGTGGCCAGTAGGGTTAACTAGAGAATCGAGAAATTTCATCTGATTTGAAGCATCAGCTTGCCTCCTTGTGTCAATATCTTGCAAAGGATCCACACACTCACGAATCAAAGGCCTAGGGAAGGTTTAGCGATCCAGGGAAAACATAGAAATGTGGACTGAGGCGTCACTCGGAGGCATCGATATACATCCTTTGCGTAACACCAGTAGGTGCAATCATGTCTACGTGCTTAGTCCGTGCCCGTTGGTGTAGAGACACATTATTTGTGACTAGTCATGTTAATCGCATTCTCTCCTAGTCAAAGCCACATCTTTCAGTGGTACAGCTCCACTCATCGCTGCCGCCAAAGGGGGACGAAGGGGCAACGCAATTGTGGTTACTAGTAATCCCTCAGATATGACTTTCATAACATATACGGGGACTTCTTTTGTACTTAATCGGTCCCAACTCGGAGCGTTTTAATAGAGCACTATTTGAATTCGTGGTACGTGGTTATATTCCTCGTGGTTTTGTGATCAGTAGGTGCTAGCTAGACTGATAGCTTTGGTGATAGTGGTTTAGTTCCACCGGCCTCCTGGCTGCAATCAAGCTGGCAAACTGGAACACACCAGCTGGGGTTACGACGTTCAATCGATGGCAGCTTGGCTATATTCAATGAAGAATAAGGAAATATAAATAAACTCTACAGTAGACTGCATTCTTGACCCTAGCATTAGGCGCGCCTTGGATACGACACTCGTTAAATCGACCACATCAGCCTAGAGAGTTGATCTATAAGCATGGTCTTGTTAGCGGGCCATCCAATGATCATTCACTTTTTTGTTGTTGATTCTGCCACTTTCTGGGGTTGCAAGAGACCTATTCTAGGGCTGCTTCGTATCGACGCCGACGAGAGACTCATCCCTCTGCTAATCTGATCCGCACTATTTCTGAGATAATTGTCAATCACCTGGTGATTACACCCTGAGTGACAGAGTAGCTCGTGCCTTAGTGCCAGGACCTCGTTGCTCAGCTCGTCAAAAGCATTTCGTAATAATTGATTTCCCTCGCGTTCGATTTTTCGTTTCTCCTTCAGGGCTTCCTCTGCTGCTTTGCCTTTGGCACGGCATTTGGCTGCGGCCTTGCGATTGCGCTCTCGTCTAACAAGCTCAGTTATACCTTTGTGATGAAGTTCTTCGTGTAAAGAGTCATGGTGCTTTTCTCGTAGTCAGCGTCGCATACAGGGACGGCCTGGCAGGTGACTATACCTCAACATATTGGGAACTGTTAGGCTTATTGGTGCCCTGGTTTGCCCTTCGTCGTTTCGTTTTGCTGGGTGGGGTGCAGCTGTTGTCCTCAGCGCTTTGAAAACTGACTTGGCTCGTGCTTTTCGTGGAGAAGGATTGTAGGCAGTCTGGATTAACGGAACGGGCCGAGAATATCATCGATTGTAGCTTTTGTTCCAGGGTGGGGAGTATTGGTGCTGTGAATGATATTGATGACGCCGGGTCATGCTGGTACCGATCATCCCAATGAGCGGAGTTGTCGAGGCGGCTGTTGTCGAATGGGGAGAAGTTGTTGATTATACTGGCTGTCATGATCAGTTGGTTGTTTGATAACGAACAAAGAAAAGATGCCTGTCGGAAGGTGGCAGCAAGCTCTTTTATGCACAAAGGCAGATTTGATTGCCCTTGAATTTTGCTAAGTATTCCAATGATCTATGTCTAATTAGATCACCAGTAATGGGCGGGAGCAAAATGCTTGGGGAGTTTAGAGGTGGCGTCCCGAGGGGGGCAACATTGAACAATTGAAGCGCGGAGGGAGCGCCGAGAGCTCTGGTTGGTTGCAACTTCGGACGTTGTTCCAGCACTTTCAGCTAGTCTTCTGATTGGTCGTCAGGGTCACTCGCTCTTTGCTGATACGTAGAACTTGAAGGAGCACTATCCGTCATGGAGAGCGCATTATTTCCCATGCTTGCAAACTATGATGCAAATTTGCTGTTCGCATTTTTATGACAGAGTACTTGGAGTACCAAGTTGATTGTCAGTCAACTCCGCCCAAATCCCCATAGGTGTATCCGCAGATAGCCACATGAGGTCAGTAAGTTGTCTTCACTGGGCATACGAAGGCTGTACAAGATCATCTAAAACCTATAGTAGCACCTGCTCTCGATGACAAGTTTCCATGAAGAAAGATAAAAGTCCGCTGTTGCAACCCCGGGGCCTTGAACTCAATTTCCTGTCCCTCAATCCCCTCTCGGTTGCTCGGCTGAAATAGCTCAACGGTCCGTGCAGAACATACGGGAGACTGGGTAGTTGACATGGCAGCCCATACAAATGATTGGCCCTTCCGGGTCCAGGGCGGCTTCGCGCGCCACGTCATAATCAATGTATGAAATAGTATGGTTATACAGATTCACGAACATATTTGTGTGTGACTTGAATGGCTAAGACATAGTTTTAGAAAGCTGGCCCGGCTCTATCGTCTTCACTCTTTTCTCAAACCTTAAATTGAAGCCATCTACTGGTTAATAAATTCCACATATAAACGTTTTAATTAGTCTTCCTAGGTTTCGCGGCTTTTAGTTATCATTTCTAGGATATCGGCATTGCCCGCTTGTTCCGTACCCCTCATCGCTAGGCGGAACCCTTGAACCACACGCTGTAATAATTCATCCACTCGTAGCATACCTTCTAAGGTTGGTAGATGCTCCCCAAATTGCATAGAATCCTTACAAAGATCTTCCTTCTAACCCTTAGCCTCCTGCTTTTTGAGCAACATTCTTTCTTTCAGCGATAACGGAGGCACCATCTTGGGGGCTTCCAGATTATCCTGAATGGCATTGGTGGCATTTGACGCGCCGTGCGCTTCGTTGATGATCTGTTCCATGCAGCGGGGCGGTAATGGGCGATTCACATCTCTAGTGGCAGCCAATGGGTGTTCGTTTTGGTTGCCGTGTTAAAGCCCATGGTCGTGGATAGAAAGCCTCGCCCGCTCAATCTCTTCCCTATCTTTACGAAAGTTGCAAATGGCCAACTAGCACAAGTCCCCTACATACTAGACATCTTTCAATAGCTGCTCTCCTGCTCGCATAGCTTCCTCATAGGACGTGAGCTGTTCCTTATAATGAACCACCTCGCGCTGTCTAGAGTTGATCTTCTCTTCGAGGGACAGTGAATTGTTTTGCTTATTAGGATGGTAAGTGTCGGTTGGCCAGGTGTCAAGTTTAACGGCGTGGCTCACCTGGGCATTATCGCACCTAACGTGAAAGCTACTGATCACAACTTGTAACAAACCCTTGATACATTCAGTGTCCTCTCATAAAACGTCTCCTAATCATATAAACTCGCTGTAGAATGGGAGCTCTTTTTTGTACTCATTAGCTTCAAACACTACTAATACGATTATCTGTTAAAGCATGAGAGTAACTAAGCCGGCCATTTCCTCCTGATCAACATTAATCAAAGATCCATGCACTGTTGTGGCGGATAGACGATCTGACGATCTAGGCGAGGGGTCAATGCAGTGTCCATATTTGTGACACAGGTCTGGCTTGCCGGACAGTGCTGTGGAGTGTCACCGTGATGAGCGTCACTACTCTGTAGGGTCATGGTACTGATCAAAAGTATGTATTGATCCTCAGTAGAGTGTTGTTCAGTGATGTTGTTCCTCAGCTATTTTGAGGGATCCCTGAAGGCTATCTATCAAGGGTGGACTGTGCACCTCAGGCATCTACCCAACTGGTGGCACCAGGCAACCATTAACCTTAGTTACACCTGCCTAAATATATGGTCGACGCGGTTAGGTCAGTGCAAAACAGGTGGTGCACAGGACAAAAACGCCTAGGAAAACATAGCTAACAATCGCTGTGGCTTCAGTACATTCGTAAATCATTACATATCAATTCTGGACGGACGCTCTCCACTCTGTGACGCTGTAAGGCCGTAGTCCGCATCTATGGTGATTATTGCCAACCTCTCCTCACCTTGACCCTACGCTCTCACTCATTTCGCCCTACCGCTGTGAGTTTCCCTTGCTTTGTAAGGATTTCGCTCCCGTGTTAAATCGCGTTCCTTGAGTACGTGTATCGTGATGACGGCATTGAACACGTAGCGCGTCGAGTTCCACCTCTATGATCATTAATTTTCCTGCCCAACTTCAAATCTCCGCTTCCTTTGTATCCCTTTGCCCTGTGGTTGACGTCTTGATGGATATTATATCAAGTTATTTCAGCATCAAGCGGCTTTGGGCGGAAGTCGTTGTAATGCGAGGTGTCGTATCTATCCCCGGGTACATGTCTATTTTTGCGAACCACTTACCGTTGAGGCGACACCAGCGAAATCCGTGGTGCAGGATTGCGGGGCCTGTCACTAGGTGATAATGTTTTCATGTCATATGTACGGCGCTTTTAGGCCAGGTATCGACGATTCACCCTCAAGCCTAGGTGTTCTACTGAGATGAGTAGCAGTTAACTCTGATAAGAGTCATAAGCTGGAAGTGCTTGAACTTGTCATTGTCGAGGTTGTCCGTACGCCTTTCACCAAAACAGCGCAGACCGTACGTGAAGAGATTAATTTATCGCCCATACACAACACAATGTGAGATAATGCAATGAGATATCATTTCGCGATCATTCATAGGCGATCATTCCTCGGCAGCAAGAAATTTCAAATTAAGATACCCGCATCACATTTCAGCTCCGGTACTCCTATTCCGGAGAGCCTCCTATACATTATAGACAGGCACCTGAGGCGCGTATCCGGTCAACATCTCACCCGTAGGTGAAAACTTCTCCTCCTTGTACCACTTCTCGCAACCCCTCGAGAGCTCGACAACCTCGGTGAAGTCGAAATCCTTCTTCAGCTGCTCGTACACTCCCTGCGAGTACTCGGGCGCAATCCTATAGATCTGCGCCAGGTACTTCTTCTGGATGAGCGGGACGTTGCACAGATTCAAGAACTTGCCCGTGTTGTAGCAGGTGTTGGTCTTCTCCTTAACGCTCATAACGCGGGCCCACAGCTCGCGGGCCTGGTCGTAGTCGTTGTCCTTGCCCTCGTGCCAGTAGTGGCTCTTGCGGCTCATGATGCTGTCGCTGACCTGCATGGGCGCCTCGGCCGTGTCCGGCCGGAATTTGTACGTCTGGCTGTTGGGGTTATACTGCGGGTTACCGGCGTGGTTGGCGTCAGACCGCATGTTGCCGTCGAAGTTGATGCTCGAGTAGCTCTGCGCCATAAACGGGCAGTTGACCGGTATCTGGTGCAGGTTCGTGCTACCCATGCGGTGGTACTGTGCATCGCGGTAGAAGAACATGCGGAACTGCAGCAGCGCGTCGGGCGAGTCGCCGATCCCGGGCACCATGCTACCCGGCGAGAAGGCCGCCTGTTCCACATCCCGGTGGAAGTTCTCCGGGTTCTTGTTCAGCACCAGCCGCCCGAACTCCTGCATCGGGAACCGGTCCCGCGGCCACACTTTGGTCACATCGAATGGGTCGAAACCGAGCGTCTGCGGGCACGCGTCCTGCGGCTGCATCACCTGCACATACGCGGTCCACTCGGGCGTCTCGCCCGCCTCGATCGTGTCCCAGAGGTCACGCTTGGAGTAGTCCGGGTCCTCACCCATGGTGCGGATGGCCTCGTCGTACGCGAACTGCTTCGTGCCGTGCTTGGCCATGAAGTGGTACTTGATGTAGACGAACTCGTTCTGGGCGTTGACCCAGCGGAAGGTGTGGCAGCCGTAGCCGTTGTTGTGGCGCCAGCCCACGGGTGTGCCGTGGTCCGAGAAGAACATGAGGCCCGCGTGGTTGGCCTCGGGCGTGTTGGCCAGCAGGTCGAACAGGGAGTTGTTGTCCAGCAGGAAGTTGCGGTGCGAGCGCCACTGCGAGCGGATCACGTCGGGCCCCTGGATCGGGTCGCGGCAGAAGAAGACGGGGAAATTGAGACCGACGATGTCGTAGTTGCCCTCCTTGGTATAAAACTTGATGGCAAAACCACGAGGGTTACGTGCTTGGTCAGGGTACTCTCTACCCAGAGTTACCGTCGAGAAGCGAGTGAAGACGGGTGTCTTCTCACCGACCTTTTGGAGGAAGTTTGCTTTCTAGAGACGGTGTCAGCATAGCGAATGAGATTTTTGAGAAGATAACGACTTACCGTAAGATCTGAGACGTTCTTGGTCACCTCGAAATAACCGAAAGCACCACTGCCGCAAGGGTGGACCATACCTGAGCTATGTTAGAAGGTTGGTATCAATGAAACACTGGGCTTATATACGCTCTAAGTTCTTGGAACGGTTAAATGTTTGTTGCTTCCTGCTCAATTATTAGATCGCCTACTCATGTTGGTAGGATATAGTCCTAAGCGCAAACTTACTGGAACAAGTAGACATCACTAGCAACCGGAATACCACCAATGGTCTTGCTATGAGAGCTGCGAGAAGGTTAGTGATGCAATTCGAAATCTTGTCAGACTTAAGGAACTCACGCGTCGGGCCAGGGGATACCCTCATTGTTCGTGAAGTAGGGAGCATCATCATTTCTAATGCCCCCTTGAATAACACCCGAGATCTTGGCAGCTACATCGGCGGGTCCTTCGTTCGCACCCATCATATGAGTTGTTCTCGGTAGACGAGTCTCCGAGTGTCCAACACCCATAATGCCCGTGGCGATAGCTTCCAATGGGTGCTGAGTAATGGAATATTGGTTACTGTTGGACGCAAGTGGTCCGGTGCCGCTAGGTGCGAAAGACATGCCGGACACAATTCAGATCATGGGCTTGTAGTAGACTGAAGAAACACCCGACTTGTCTTTTGCTAATAGAATGGGCATTCAGTTATACACAGTTGTAGAGCCTTGGCAGCGAGGAGTCGTACGACTCCAATTTGACAACGAACAGTCGTGACGTTGGCCACACGGCATGAAGTCTATCTCTCACCTACCCTAGGTCTCAAAAAGGCCGGTGAGACTGTACAAGCACGTGAAAGGCGTAAATGAAGTTGAACCCATCGTCAATGGCTGCTTACCGTGACTTGGCGTTGAGTGTAAATTAGAAGGGGCTTTATTGGTCAGAACCATATTTGCAACAAGCTAGTCACGTATCGGTTCCGTCACTATGATTGCGACCATGGAGAGGTAAGGCACGACGTGTTCGAAATGGCCTATACCTGCATATCATACCTGAACAATAAGGCCTACTAACCACTTTTATTAGTATTGAGACGGCGTTACCAACTTTGGAAAGAGTCCCCGCAAATGCCCAGAGACAGGGTTGTTAAGCGGCATTAGTGGCCGGAGAGTTCTCTCCGGTCCACAATTGCCTCTGATAGGCCGAACTTGTAGAGTGTTGATCTGTCTGTATCAAGGGTGTGTCCCTACACGATGTCGACATGTCATACCTTCGTTGTCTAGAGAAAACATTGACCAATCATTCATTACCGAGATCTGGTAAACGCTCCGGCAAAAGTACCCAAATGGAAATTGTAAACTTCCAACGGTTTGAATGGAATTATCTTTACTGTGGAACGTTTACCTAATTAATCATCAGCATCGATCTCCCTTGATGCCCTCTCAGAACTAGGTTTACTGGCAATTCGTTGTATTGTGTGGCTGGGTTTGACAGTAAAGGAGCAGTTAACAACGCTTGTAAGATCTTTTCCCAATCCAGCTCTCTTACATTACGGTGATGCGCGGAAGGGATACCGGGTGGTCATATTTGCAGCTGTAAAGTACCGAAAAGGTGTTTGACCTACATCTAACTTCTTTTCCGAACGGCGACTGCTGATTATTTCACGAGAGCCCATCAAAGCAATGCACTTTCAATCACATTATCTCCTAAATCCATCCATGTACGGTCAGTCGTTAATACGGCAAGATGATAAGCCAGCACTCGATGGATTAATTTTCTCGCTAGATCCCATCCATTAATATGAAGTGGTGTACTGGGCATGCCGCGCTTTAATCGTCAAGCTTAGGTAAAAGAGAAATAAGCTCTCCCCTCTTTGTCTTTCAGAACGTTGTATCCCACGGCAACGCCTTCCTAAAATGACGCTAACTAGTACAATAACATAAGAAAATGTCAGTATGGATTGACCATAAAAAATGAAGCTGATTTCGATTCCTCCCGAGCCCCAGCTACCACGAAAATAGCCTAAGCAGCCATTATTCAAAGTGAGGCAACGCATGGCGTTTATGCCATGCTAGAAAAGTTCCATCTCGATGAGTATTGCCTCTTCACAGACCTCCAAACAATAGCTCACAGCCTACTACTTTGTAGGAACATGCCTTTTCACTCTGAAAGTACACCTTGCACGGTCACTCTGATTCGGAACCTCGGCCATGTGACGGCAATGGCCAATCGTGTACTCGCCACAAAGTCTAAAGCAATGATGCCTGAATAATTGACATTTGAATATATGAAGAACATCATCGGCAATTCAATGCCACGATTCTTTTATTACCACCATCACTCTGAGTGGACACATAATCGACTTGCGCTAGAGCTGCTTGTCTGCACCCTTTGGCCGTCTTGGAGGCCGACAACAAACTTGTCCTTCCAGCCAACCTATCTTGATTTGAAGACATCGAACAACTGTTGGGAACATATTCAAACCGGAGTACCGCAGACTCATGGGTCAAATAGTAATGGACGGGCATGTTTTCCGACGGATTCGAGGTTGGATACTGATTACAACTCATTTGGCAGCGCCAGCATGGTTCCGCAACAACGTGGATCAGCACGTGAGCGGGTCTGACATGTATATACTGTACATACACTGATACCTCCATAACCCTGCGATGTATGGCTCTGGGAGGCGTGATTTGCTCTAATAGTCCCGAAACCCATATCTCCCTCATCTTCTTACCGAACCGATTTTTTGGCGCACTCTAAGTTATACCAGCTTCTTACAGAATACGTACGCAGTATATGACACTGTTAACTTAAAGCCTGGCAAAACCCAATGGAACTGAGACTAGTCAGTTATTATACAGCATGCATCTAGCATATGGGCCCGCCGGTGTTAGTATAACTCACTGCAACCTAGCTTGGATGTTGACTTTATGCTTAAGCTTAGGCATTTTTCTTTGGCGAAGTGTTTACTGTGTAAAATCAACAATGGCGCTATTACGTACTTACTTTCGTAGAGGGAGAGTTTGCCCCGGGGCATTGATGACGGCAGTGTTACTCATTGCACCTGAATGACGTCATAGTGATAGGCTGGAATCTTTCCCCAAACGTCAATTCAGGCCGACCCCATTAGATCTCCAGGTCGTTCTAACGCATATACTCCAATTAGCCAGAGATGATATCGAAGACGCAACAGTTACGACTTCATTTGCTCGTAGCTGGTGCATTTAGAGTGGGTGGCTGACGTGATTATCCATTTCAGTAACTGCTTGTAGTTTCGTTTGCAAACACCTATCATTAGTACACGTATAGCTTGGAGAGTGATGCTTGAAATCGTCATTGGTTTGAAAATGGCACCGCTGATGGAAACTGAATCAACTATAGGTCCTAGAGGTGAGTTCACGATATATACCGACCAGCTTGTAGACAACTATTACTTAAATCTCGCATCTTAATACCCTTTACTTAACATGATACGCTTATTACTTAAATACTAAGAACTTAAGTAGTATGTATTACCGCGCCATTCGTCTAGCTAGTAGCGCTTTGCAAACTCTACAAACACAATCCCAGAGTGTAAGCAGAAGCCTCAAACCCCAGCCACAGTTCCAGCGTATAGCTGTTATCTCCCAACGATTTGCCTCCTCCAAGATAATCGAAGCAATTAAGGAAGACCACCGTCAGCTTGAATATTACCATGACCGTATTCTGAATGGGAAAAACGATGACGAGAAGATCCGCTATCAGAACGCTTTCGTTTGGGAGCTCACCCGCCATTCCATTGGTGAGGAGCTTGTTGTTTACCCGGCCTTAGAGAAACGACTGCCTTATGGTAAAGATATGGCGGATAAGGACCGTGAAGAGCATCAGACTGTGAGTTCACTAAATCGCACACGAAGATTTGGCATGTATGCCTGACATTGATTAGGTCAAGAATCTTCTCTACGAATTTCAGAAGCTTAAGCCTAGTGACTCCAATTTCCAGCCCACCTTGGATAAGTTGATGAAGAACTTGAAGCAGCATATCGAGGAAGAAGAGCATTCCGATCTGGTTGAGCTTGAGGAAGCACTCGATAATACCGAGTCGAGCGAGCTAAGCAGCAAGTTCGAGAGGACCAAGTATTTGACACCAACTCGCAGTCATCCTAACGCACCTAACAAGCCGCCGTTCGAGACCGTTGTTGGCTTGATGTCAGCCCCGCTTGACAGGATTGGCGACCTTTTGAGACGCTGGCCAAATGATGCTTCGCATCAAAGCAAGGGCGATCAGATTGAGGATCCGAACAAAGGTTTCCCGGCTGGTTTCCAGGTCTCAGACTTGACCTCCAACGCTACGGCAAAAGCCAAAGAAGGTGCGGAGACTATCTCCTCAAAGGTAGGAGATATTGCAAACAAGGTACGAGAGATGAGAGACATCTCGAAGAAGGTGGGAAATAAGTCTAGTCCTAAAGTGGGAGATTTTGCGAGCAAAACAGGAGACGCTGTGAAGAATGTCTTTGCTGGTCCCGGCGAAGCTACAACTGGTGCAGGCAAGAAGCAGGGTAAGGATAAGCGAGGTCACCCAGCTGCCGGCGGCCCTCCCATGTGATATGGCGGCACTGCTGTCATATGTCAAGTTATGAAAGCAACGGACTTCTGTGATTACATTCACAGAGGATGTGCAATATTCAAAAGCGCTGGATTGTAACTGAAATTTGTTCGACATATGTCTGGCCATGCAGCTTCTCCAGGCTACTCGAAACCTACAGGAAGCGCAGGTGGTCGTGTCTAAATTTGAATGACATGATGATATCTCACTCGGGCTTCTTTTTGCAGTATACTACCGCGGACACATTCGGTCGCAACCTCGAACTTATTATTCGCAGACCTCCAATATGTCGTTATGTAAAATAAGGGACTGGCACTAGAATCTGCTAAGTACCATGAAGCTATCAAGAGTATATCGAATAATTTAGTATGAGTCAAGTCAGATCAAAGTATATAGTTAGGCTAATGATTGTAAAGAGTGTAAGTGACATTTGTTTAGTTTGCTTGTGCGACATTCAACTGAACGCAGAGACCGGAGGCAGAATATGGTGGTCAGCAGCAGCTGAGACGCACTAAAGCAGATGTCAATTCAATGGAAGGTAAGAGGAATTGAGTGGGACCACAATTATAATACTTAGGTGCAGGTGGTCCAACTGATCAATCTGTGCCGCCACTCCCCAATCACAACTCAACAGCGTGGATCGGCACGTGAGTGGCTCTGAATGTACTCGGTATTCCACAAGCGCGAACTCGCCAATGGAGATATGATTCCGTCTTTCCCACACTGTACGGTGGCTCGTTTCTTTCTCCATAGTCTTCCTTTGGACACTAGCCTATCTTTATTGATACGAAGACGTCCATCACTATAATTGCTGATGTGTTCTGCTGCGAGTGCTTGCAGCTGGGAACCCGCCGACGTAGCTCGTTTGCACGAATCATATACCATCAACACGCGGAAACACTAACTTAGCCCGTCCCTACCATGCATCCTTCATCTCTCAAGAGCAGCGTATCGGTGATGGCGTATCGTGCACAATAAGACACAATTCGAAATAATCCTATCAGTAAAAGGGCTGGACGCTTTCCGTGCCTCATTCAAAAAGGGGCGCGACAACTAGCATACCCTCCACTTCCGAATCACTGAGCAAGCTTCGTCATGATGGTAATTTGGTCTAAATCCGTTGAGGCGTATTGCTACTCTCGATAGAAATACAAAATATAGTCCTAGCAATACTGTCTCAGAGACTCCGGCAAGCTTTCCCATGGACACCTCAGGATCGTGAGAGGGCAAGCTTGATCACAAACGGAAATGTTTTCGTTTACAAAGAGCACAACTGTGACATCAAGCGTTGGACCGATGATGTTCTTTGGAGTCTAAGCCGCATCCTAGGCAAGTTTTGTACTTACCGGCAGCTGGACAAGCCCACTCGAGCATGGAAAGAGGAAGAAGACAAAGTCAAAGGAGGAGAATGATGTTATCAGGGTCACCAGCAACGAGCGATCAAATTTCATTGGGCATGCAAAAGGGGGGAGGGGTCATAGGATCAGCAATGAATTCAATACAGCAGCAAAGATTCAAGATGAGATAATATGCCTCTTCAAAGGCAGGGAAGTCTGTAATAAATGCTTGTTTCGCAGCCTTATTGCACACATTCGAACATTATTTTACAGTGGCAATATGCTCCTATAGTTATTGCCCAATCTGGGAACCCTGAGTTTGATTTACCATTGAATTCTTCCATCGCAGTCTGAATTCCTGGCAGATTTGGGCACAACAACGAACAGTGTATTGAGATCGTCGTCTCAATGACAGCGACTAGCTTCGTCAAGCTTGAGATATTCAATATTTTGCTGTGTCCTTTGTGATTCTGGACCGTGAATATAATCTTTCTAGGGATTGAACACTGATGTGATGAATAGCTGACAACGGGATTTCAACACTCAAAGCGTCTGTCATGTTTGGATGCAAAGCTACAGATGATCGCGTAGTAGTGACGAAAAGTTTGTGCATCGGAAGATCCTGAGGTTGTACTATCTGGGTTAAATAGAGTCAATCTGAATGAGCGCTCTACAATATTGGGTAACAAAGATTTGGGACTAGTTTATTGAACTACATGCATGATGCGACGTTGGGCACGCCCCGGAGAAAAGAATTGGCGCCTTAATGTAGGTACAGCACTAGATGCAATGCAGCCAGTCAAACCTTATTGTCTCCTTGTTATGGTTCACCGTTCCTTTGTTGCACAATAGGCTTTTGGACAACATCAATACCACCAAAAACCGCCACGGCACCCTATTTAAAAATGAGGGGCACTAACTGAGGATGCTGAAGGCTGACGCTCTGAGTGTATTCAAGAATAGCATCAATTAACTTAGCACTACCCTTAAAATGGATCCGAGTTATTTTGGGGTTTAAGGTACTATAATCCGTGTCGTGGACTAAACACGCAAGTTCTTGTAGCGTTACAGTACTACCCGGGGACCTTGTTAATCAATTGCTTAACACTATACAAAGTCTATCTCTATAGACTTGTTCTATGGCCTGGTCTACTCTGCTAGGATAAACCCATCAAGTTTATACTCTTGGCAGTTTATATTACTACCCTTGGTATTAAGCTTGTCACGATAAAGTTAACTTCCATATTGAGTTAGCGTTCATACTGTCATTTTCAATTCTAGCTGATCCAGAGCCGGGTATCCAAGGTCATGAATTATATTCCTCAATTAAGCAAGTAGTTCTCGTGATAGCTAGGAATGTTTTATGGTGAAAAAAATCATGCTCTTGTTGTGGCAGGCACACTTTCAGACTGTTGTTTACATACGTTTCCCCCAATCTTTCGGCTTGGGTTGTACTGATTGGCCGACCTAGGCTCCCTTACCCACACAAGGCTAAGTCCGCTGGTCATGGCTTGTAACTATAACGTAACCCGTTTTGCAGCGATGTGATAAAACAATAGCTATTACGGCAAAGTAATATCACAGAAATTCACGGAATGGATTCTTTATGCTCTAGCAGAAGAACTCAATACTAATAGCATAAAATCTTTTGTAGGGTCCGATAGAGTATCTTATGTATTCCAGCTGCCTATACAATGAATCACTCCGTTGATATGCGGCGTAGCCATTCACGACACGGCTTTAAATACTTCGGCGCCTTGTAAGCAAATTTGCCCTGTCACCGGTGTTAGATAGACATTCAAGTTTGGTTTGTCCCATAACGTAAAAGCCTTCTGGCTATCCAGCCATCCACGACTATCATCTGCAAGCTTTATATCAAAGCTGAAGATGATCCTAGCCAAGATGAGTCGCATCTCCGCATATGCTAAGCTTAACAGTCTAATTAGCAAATATGTCGTTATATGCAATTTGGATCGTTAAAGAGGACCTACTTTTTACCAATACAATTGCGAGGTCCAGTACTAAATGGTTGCATCGCATCCAAATTATCATTGCTGAATTTAGGATCTCCCAAGAATCTCTCAGGGTGAAAGCCATATGGGTCTGTCCAACAGGACGGTTCGTGATTGATAGCCCACTGCCACACTGCAGTCGTCACACCTTCTGGGATGAAGCGGCCCGCCACCCTGGCGCCGCCTCTTGGAACACATCGAGGCATGCCAGTTGCCACTGGGGGGTAGCAACGCAGTGACTCGTTCAGGCACGCAAGCATGTAGTGCAGGCTACTGACAGAGGTTAGGGTGATCTCGCTCTCGTCCTTGAAGGCAGACCTGACTTCCATTTCGAGCTTCTTGAGAACTTCTGGGTGCGTAGCCAAGAGGAATGTAGCACCGCTGAGGAGTGTAGCCGTGGTCTCGGATCCAGCTACAATTAAGACAGCAGCATTACTCGCGAGCTGTGGGACAGTCAACTCCTGGTTTATTGTCAGCACTTATTCCTCATCATGCTTGTCAATATCGATAGATGAAAGTGAATTTACCAATTCGTTCTTCTTTTTAAGTAAGCCTTCAATAAGGTCTGGCCGTTCAGCACCAAGTTCCATCCTCTGCTGGACCTTGGCCAGCGTCAACGCCTGATGCTTGTCACGGCTCTTGAAGACCCCACTCTTCAGGATCCATTGCACCACAAATTTCATATCGACTATTGCAAACGACCGTAGCAAACTACCAACCTTGAACTGGGTGTTAACCATCTTGACCCAAGGGTGATAATTGGCATCTGCAAGGCAACCAAACGAGCTGCCAAATCCCAAGTCTCCGATAATATCGAAAGTCGCCCAGTTATACCATTCCCGTAGATTTACAGGCATTTTACCCCCGGCGGAATTCTCGTGTAACCTCTTGATCAAAAGATCGACGTATGAGCCGATGATGGGCTCTTGTTCACGCATGCTGCGGTCACTAAAGCCGTGCGCCAGTTGCCGCCGGATAAGACCGTGAGCTGCGCGGCTTGGCGTGTTGATGATGGATACCGGTACGTCATCTAGCATACGGTAGAATGCTGGATCTTTGATGAATTCTTCCTGTCCCGCAGATCGATGCCCATAGATGTCCTTCCATGCCTGCGGGTCGGAAAAGGCGAGCTCGTTCGGCCTGATACGCACGACTGGACCATACTTGCGGTGGAGATCCGCGATGTACCTGGGTTGTTGACCACTCATGAGACTAAGGGCGTGCGGGACAGGAGAGACACGGTGAGCTATTGGACCCGGGAACGATCGAAGAGGATGGAATACGAGGTTGTAGATGCTCTTGTAAAGACAATACATGAGGGCCTTCAGAAAAGAAATGTCATTATTGACGCCAGGTATAAGTAGGCTCACTATCAAGGTTGAGGGTGACTTACCAGAAACGCAGCCACGAGAGCAACGTCAGTTATGTGACTGTTTGCTATAGGAGGCGCCATTTCGGGACTATCGAGCAAAGTTGATGTCTGGACAAACTACTATAGTAATTGCAAACATACACTGGTATGCGCAGTGACGAAGGTTGGCATCTTGTCTTTGACTTAAGAGCGATGGCGATGACGGGAGGTTAAATACAGAAAAGTCAAATCAAGCACAGCGAGGAGTATGAGCGGACTTTGCTGATGCCGATAATGTCTAGCATAATATGCATAAATTGAACTTTCGACTTTTGTTTCGGCCTGCTTTGCATCTAGCGCTAGCCGGCAGCAGCCAGTCCCGGAGGTCTTAACCTTAGTACAGTAGGTGTAAGAACTTGTGCTACTCGCTCTATTACCTCCAAGCCCCTAAACCAAATAGGGCTAACACACACGGCTTCGAACGCTGAACACCACCGCAACAATAACAACACGTCTATCTCGCTGAATCGACTCCGCGCCCGACACTCCGAAATTAAGCTGGGTACAATCAACTCCGACATGTTCCTCTGAGCAGAATCGTATTCTCGGGAGTGGTAGCACTTTTAGCGTTTCTCGACTGTCGAGTAATTGATATACCATTGTATCCAGTGTGCGGGTCATCCTTGACGTCGTTTATCAGGTCTATATCACCTGCCTTGATATTGTATAGCTTATTTAGCGTTAGGAATAACTAGGAGCGTGTCTACCGTGTTATATCGTGTTGCGCCAAGCCATTCGAACGACCAGGAACAGGGCTTGTGGCGCCTAGTCGGATCTACATGTGATAATAGTGAATATTTTTCTAATCATCATTGAAAACCTTACAAGTATGAAATAACAATAGAACTACTGATTTAAACAGCATCCAGGAATTTCAAAGAATCGTAGAGGTAGGCGTACAGTGAAAACACGAGTATCTGTAATAATGAAAAGCATGAAGAGTACGTTGCCATGTTTTATGTCAAAAGCCCTGTAGACAAGGATTATTGACAGCAAAAGAAGGAAGTTAGTAGGAGCCTTGAAAACAGTTCCAAGCTACGTCTTTTTAGGAATAGAATGGCTAATCAACCGTTTAGTCTATTCCTCAACAAGAACATTGGCAAACATTTCTCAAGGAGGCTGGAAAATTACCCATGTTTTTGAAGAGTAGCATTGCAATAGGGAGCCAGTCCTTCAATAAGCAGCTCGTGAGAGCCGATGTCATATTGTTTTCAGAACGTGATTTTGTGTTCAATACGATAGAGGGTCTTCGTCAAGATGATTTCGATTTATCCAAATTACTTCTCATAGCACCCAAAGGAACTCAAATCAGATCTCAATTTGAAGAGTAGGTGCCATTAGGGAAGGAACATTGGTAGTAGAATCCGCAGTGCGGAAACGAAACTTCAGGCTCCGGTCCATCATCATTCAAGAGGAGGGCCGCAACACCGTGTCTTGGAACGGTGGCTGTCCAGTTGCGAACAGCGATCCCGACATCAGCGTGGCTCCACATATCGTAAACCCTGTATTGCCTCCCTGCACGTAGTGCCCACGATTCCGTCAGATTGAATGACATATCCTGTGTAGTGTCGAGAGTATTGAGGAGCATAATCACGACACCATAGGTGGAGTTACCAGACCAGAATTGCGCAGGATGGTCAGAATCTGATGTGTAATCGGGGTTCAATCCCCAACGGAAAGGCGAGATAGATTGGCCAACATTAGGATCCTGATTAATCCTGATCAAATCTTTGTTTATCAGAATGTCGACCGTTTGACTACTAACATGCGATAGGTCAGTTCCAATAATAAGTGGTGACTTCAATAAGGCCCAAGCAGTGAAATGAGTCTTTGCTTCGTCGTACGTTAGATTACCAACAGGCGTGCCTGTCCCAGTATTCCCAACTTCCAGGATGTCCATATCATTGTGGCCATAGAAGTCTGAGGCCCACCAACTAAAAGAAGCCTGATTGATAATACTTGTTATTGAGGACCACCAGGGTTTGATGTCACCATTGATTCGCCATGATTGGGAGATTTTGGGTCCCCACACAAAGACCTGTTGCCATCCCCATTCACACAGAGAATACTGGAATGGCGGCCGTCCCGTAGAGGCTGCTACTTGGGCAACTGCGTCTGCCATTAATTGATAGCGTCCGAACAGATTTTGCTGGGTGACGTTGTCAAAGGGAATGTAGCAATTGTCGTACTTGAGATAATCGAAACCCCACTCTTGCCAGGTGATCAGGTCTTGCAACTCGTGCCCATAAGATCCAGGATAACCGGCACAGGTCTGATAGCCGTTATCCGAGTATGCAGAGGCACTGATATTCATTGAGTTGATAGTTACTGTGAAGTTCTTCAAGCCATCCGGCCACTTGTCTGGGTCAGCGACGAGAGATCCATCCGTGCTTCGGGCCTTCAATGTGTAGCAATCGTCTAAGATGATGGAGTTGTACCCGGCATCTACCAAGCCAAGTTTAACCATGGCCTCGGCCTGCTGAAGGACAATATCCTGATTGTAATCGCAACCAAAGGCGTTAAAGGTATCGTAGCCCATTTTTGGAAGTCTTCCAACTCCATTATCCAGAGCTTGTGCTGTTCTAAACAGAAAAGCTAACTTGAAATAGTAAGTTTGCATCGTGGATTTTAGCTGCCGAAAATCGAAATGTGGAAATTTCGACGAGTTTCTCCATGATCTGGCGACAAAATCTTCAGATATACCAGAAAGCGGGCGCTCATGCTCCGCGTATCCCGATTGAGATTTCCGCTAGCTCTACATAACTCATTAACATAACTGGGCCACGCTAAAAATGAAAACTAATATTGACGTGACGCGCCTTTTCTGCTCCACCAACAATTACCGGTCAAATCCTAATCCCATGATTTGTGCCGAGTTCACTACCCAGGCTGGTGTTCCGTGAAGTCAAGGAGTACACGTTATATCTTACAACCATGTTCAATAATCTGTGTTCCACTCGTGTTTGGTCAACTCACCCCGACAAAGTTCTGATAGATACTGATCCGACCCTTGCCCAGAAGACTCCCGTCAATCGATGGACTCGATCAATGAATCGACTTCGCGATCACAGCGTGTGGGAAGAGGTTCAGATAGCAGCGAACTCTGGTCGATTATGGTAACAATGCTAGGCATAGCTCTGTGCATGATGTTGCGGGTTGGGTCGGTTTCCCTTAGCGTGAAGCGCATTTTGTGCTGCCGCAGGGCCGCTGCCTATACAGTTATGCACTGTGATATCGGTAGCTCTCTTTCCCGATAAAGTTATGACTTACAAGTTGGTGGGCGACTTCGCAGCGCATTATTTGCATATCTATGTGTCTCGATTTATTCGTGGTCCCGGGATAGCATCATCCGGTATCAAACATTTATTTCGCTTCACGTTGTGGTCTCACGAATGTCCGGCTCACTAGTTTTTGAATCAAAAGGTGCATCCAAAACTCGAGACAGCGTATTCATTTTTCATCATACTACAATATTTTAGCTTGCGATGGCTTCTTTCATAGAGACTCTCCTGGTTGGCAGTTCGCTTTTCCGGGCTTTAGCCGTTTTCTGCCTTCCCACTTTCATATTTCTTGTCGTTTTCTTTTACCGGAATGATCCAACAAGAGCTTTATATCCTACATTGAATGACCGGGGCCCATTTGAGTTCTCCGACGTGCGCTCGAAGAAGAATTTCGTTCTCAGAGGCCGTCAACTACTCCGTGAGGGCCTCGACAAGTTTGGTGGCAGGCCGTTCAGAATCCTTACTGATCATGGTCCTACCGTAATATTGCCCCCTTCGTATATACAGGAGCTCCGCAACCTCGACAATCTTAGTCACGTTCGGGCTATTGCTCAAGTTTGTTTATTCCTTTACTTTCTACGCTAGGCGCAGACTAATTCTATCCAGATTGTCGATGCCAAGGCTCCAGGTTTTGAGGCATTCTACGAGCTGGCCTACGGGGGGAATATAATTCAGGACGTCGTCAAAGCAAAGATCACACCAGCACTGAGTATGCTTAAAACCTGTATTGCGATGTAGGCATCTTTTATATGCTGACCACCATAATGCCTACAGATTTCGTATCGGCACCGCTCTCTGTTGAGACGTCTATGACTCTCGAGCATTATTTCACCAACAAGAAAGGTAGGTCCAATATGGAAATGATAACCTACCAAGTGAAGCAGGGAGCTAAGCTTTTACGCAGAATGGCATGCTATCCCTTTACATTCGGTTCTCCTCCAGGCTGTAGCCCGCGTATCTTCCCGCCTATTCCTCGGCGACGAGCTCTGTCGCGATCCAGATTGGCTTCGCATCACTACCACATATACCCACCATATAACGAAGGCGGCACTCGAACTAAAGCGTTGGCCGGCGTTCTTACGGCCAGTTGTCATTCGAATTCTCCCGCATGGCCGCGCACTGATCGGTCTGGTCCACGAAGCTGAAAGAGTGATGGGAGACGTACTCCAGAAGCGTCAGGCGCTTAAGGCTGTCGGAGAATCGCCCGAGTATACGGATTCCATCGAGTGGTTCGATCAGGTCGCCAACAGCCGCAGGTATAATCCTGTTCATGTGCAGCTGACCTTATCTTTTGTTGCCATTCACACAACCGCCGATTTGCTTACTCAAGTCATGTTTGACCTTGCCCAGCATCCCGAGTACATTGAGCCTCTGCGGCAAGAAGCTATCAAAGTTCTTGGAGAGCAAGGATGGAGGAAGCAATCCCTGTATAATCTTAAGTTAATGGATAGTGTCTTGAAAGAAGTTCAGAGACTGAGGCCGATCAACGATAGTACGTAAAATCTATCCCTCATACAGGTAACAAACTAACATGCCATGAATTAGCGTCTCTCCAACGACTAGCTTTGAAGGATGTTACGCTTGCGGACGGCATGAAGCTTCCTCGCGGCACTCTGCTAGCCGTTGCCTCAACACGCCACTGGGACCCTAAGGTCTACCATGAGCCCGAAAGGTTTGACGGATATCGTTTTTACAAACTTCGAGAGGAAAAGGGCAGAGAAAATACTTCACAGTTTGTCTCGACCAGCCAGGACCATCTTGGTTTCGGACACGGTGAGCATGCGTGCCCCGGCCGCTTCTTTGCCTCCAACGAGATTAAGATCATATTGTGTCATATTCTCTTGAAGTACGACTGGAGGTTGATCAAAGGTGAAGAGCCAGAGATCATCGTCCATGGTTTCAATTTGATTGCGGATCCCAAGACAAGGCTCGAGATCCGCAGACGAGAGGAAGAAATGATTATTGACAATCTGTAAAGGGATGAACGCTCTGGTGCCTCTAGCCCTAGTAGTGAAGACAACTGTATACATGAAAAGGACTTGGACTACGACCTCGTCGCCCAGCTCAGGCCGGAGGAACCACATAAGAAGCTAAGACGGGCTCATCGGTGATTCAAAGTTTTGTATACTAGTCTAGAGTATTATCCTATCTAAGAAAGAGCTGAAAGGTTATTCCTGACTAATAAACCCGAAGCTCTTAAAGCCATAAGTTTGAGCAAGATGACACTAATCGCCCTTCCAGTTTTTAGAGAGCCTAGTCATCTAATCTCCACCATCAAATCGCCAACAAATGCGGGGCCTTTCTCAAAATTCTTTCATCCATCGTGAGTTGCCGTCAACAAAGATCATCGCGCCATTGTCTTAGGTAAAGGTAGCACAGCCCCTTTCCGATGTAATTAGTGAATCTTAAAAACATTGTGTTCTGATTTGGTTTCCACCACGGTTCATTATCTTCAAATTATCGAATTCCATACCGTGCGCAACATGTTCCATTCCTCGACTGAGTCGAGGACGGCCTTAAGGATGGTGCTCAAGAATTCGCGATGGGCATAATTGTGGAGATGCAGGGCCCCAACAGAAATACACGGGGCATCTGGGCCCTATTCATTGAATTATAACATTGCCTCTAAGTGTTTATGGCGCTTGAGAGCATGATCAAAATCAGAATAGGCCTTGGTATCTTCACGGGCGTACGCATCATAAAGTCCGGCAACACCCCGCGCCGCGGCCGGAAGCTGCTGTTGCCAGGAATTCCAATTCCAGCCAATATCTTCGACTCGACCGGTGGCAAAGTCATGCACCACGATTTTGATTGGCATAGAGGCGATCGTGCGTGGTGTCGTGCCCCCTTCGGCTGTAAACTTGATCTCGCCGTGTTCTCCGTTGATGGTCCAAGTCACATGGGGCTCACCAGGGAATGGTTGACCTCGGCGGAAATTGACGAGCAGTGAAGCACCTTCTTGAATGAATCCATTGCCTTTCAACGTGGCGGTGACAAAAGCAATGTCCGGCACATCTGACTTGACGGTCTCAATGACTGTGCCCGTCTCTGAAGAGACAAGCCCTACCTCGAGCCGCTGCAGCTGACACTGGCTACGGATATCTTGGGCATCCCCAAGAACATGCTGCAGGAATTCCCATACTAAGGAGTGTCAGTATAGCAAGTATGGATTCGTAACAATCGCAAGAAGGAAAACGTACGGTGGCCGAAACCAATCGTGATCGCATTACCTCCCACTTCCAGATTCGTAAAGTATCTTAGAGACTCGGGCATAGTGTCCCGATCACTGGTGCCTCCCCTCGCCCTCACCTCAGAGCTGAGCACCTTTCCTATGCGGCCACATTTCAGAATATCTTGCACTGTATCAATGAAGGGCGCGGTGGGCCCTTGTAAGCCGATCACAGACTTGACCCCCTGCTCTCCAGCCAACTCAGCCAGCTCGCGGACCTGCGAGATGTTTGATGCTAGAGGCCATTCGACGAAGACGGCTTTGCCGGCGGCGATGCTCGGCTTGATCGTCTCATAATGCTTGTCAACGCAGGTGCTGCACACTACGAAGTCGACGTTAGCATCCTGAGCCAAATCATTGGGACTTCCGTAGGCTCGAGTGTCGGCTGGCAGCTGGAATTTCTCAATTGCTGAACGCGCTGACTCGACGCTCGAGTTGCAGAGGGCCACAATTTTGTACTGGGCCTGGCCGCGCGGAGAAATGAGATAGGGCAGGTGAGCGGCGCCAGCCCAGCTGCCAAGGTTAGTGGCAGACAAGCCGATGATTCCGAGCCGGATCGGAGCCATATTTCTAGGGAATGGGAAGAAGAAGAAGAAGAAGAAGAAGAGAAAATTGGCTCAACTCAGAATCGACATAATCTTAACAAACAACTTTATCTGCGGGCGTTTGGTCGATCTAATGTGTAACTGTTCCTCGAAGAGTTCCCTACCCGCATCCCAGACTCGAATTAAACTAATTGACTCGTGAGAGAAAGGACGGAAGAATATGGACCGGGCCGAAATTTGAGTGGTATGCTGGACGTAGGTGATAATGAAACCCACAATCCTCATCCTCATCTTGGTTAATATAGCGCGTCAGTCGATTGCAGTAGCGCCAAAAGCTAACGCAGCAGTACACCAGAGATCAATTGATGTTGCAACTACTACTACTACTACTACCAATGGTGCAATCATAATGTATACCCTGTTGAAAGAGTTTGGAGACGGGGCGTGATGTTTGATTTACAGCTCATTTAGTCGTAGTCCAGCTTCGGGGCGTAGGAATAAGTTTGTCGTCGAGCAAACCATCTATTGCAGAAAATAAAACCAGTCACCTGCTACATCCCCAGGGCTAGTTCCTCGAGGTAACCACAAAAGGCTCGGAGCTGAAAGTCCCCATGAGCTCTGTACAATGTCCTTGGGACTTGCAGTATCCGAATTTCACCAACTCTGTCTGTTTGCACCAGAAGTCGTTCCCCGACATAGAATAAGACAGCAGTCTCTGAATAGGTTTTCAAGTCTCTCTCAGCCTAAAAGCTTTCCACCTTTTCTATAGAAGTAACCTCGCCCGAAATCAAGGACAGCACTATGTCTAGCCTTATCATATACGTGGTCAGGCAGCTTAGGAAACAACAAGAAGCCAAGGCCCGTCAAGCGGATACATAGCATATACCTAACTACGGTTCTGCCTACGGGCTTGTCGCCCTAGGGCGCGATATATCTTAAGCCCCTACTCGTCATTCGTCTCTCTCGCCGTCCCCTCGGTGGCACCATCGCGCTTACAGTCATGTCTACTGTGTTTAATGACAAGAGCGGGCCTGATAATAGTAATTCAAAGACCGGTATTATGTACGTTTTCGTCGCTCTGATTCTTGTTATGTGGTTCTGCTTATTTTTACCAGTTTCCTGGGCAATGCGTGGATACTCGATGACATGGAGCATGAAATAGTGTACGGCATTTGTTTCTGGAGTTTGGTCACGGGAAAGAAGTTGAATAGAAAGAAAAGGTCTCGTGGATATGCTAGTACATACTGGATTTGCAGAGCAAGTTCAGGTGGCACAGGTACGAGTACTGGAGCTTTCGGCAATTTTTTCATGTCAGATGATAGCACTTGTGCGCATATAGCTATGTAATTCGTTATTGCGAGTATCTCTAGGTCTATTGTCGACAGGAATCTTATAGTTATGGCACTTTCAAATCCTTGAAAGCATCTTAGAAGGAGCAAGACTCAATTTGTTAACGTAATTAAACTTAATGCTTATAGTGAAGCCCCGGGACTGCCATTCAAGATAAAGACTCCATTATTCCGTCACTTCACACATAGTTGGCTCCCGACCAAGGTCCTTTTGCGTCCATTTGCATTCCCCTCGCATGGTCCTCCAAGAGTTAGTAGACTCCAATAGCTCATAACAGTCTTGGATCAGCCAAGGCCACTTGGATGCAAAAGCCTCGGTGACCTCCCAGCCTCGTGGGTCCCACGGCTCACCCCAGGCAATTATACCCCCGTAGTTGCTGCCAGCCACTTTCTGAAACCCTCTTAAGTCGCGACAGAGCTCTTTCTTGTCATATGATGACTCGTCATGGAGCAGCAGGTTATCACGAACCTTGGACCACGGTAAGATGTCAATCCACGGGTGATGAGCCACAGTGAGTTGGAACTGGGTCGGCCTCAAGCTTGAGGGCATTGAAGTGTCCGAAGTGAGGCCACCGTTGTTTGGAGCTATGAATGGGGATCGGGAATCTGGCGCCATGAACTCTCGAGTAATACCCAATGCTCTGGCGTTCACCACGAGTGCCCTGGTGCTGTTGAACTGAATAAGGCTGAGTAACATGTCTGCTCGTGGTGAGCAGGATAATCTCTGCTGTACTCTGGCGATAAAATAAAGCATGAACCTTTCGGTGCGCTCATGGTCGGGCTCACAGGCCGTAAACGATTCGAGCGTTAGAGGTTCATTGTATGGCGTCAATTGCATTACGTGACTGGCCGGACTACGTGGGATTGTTTGATGCTGAATGGAAGACTCAATATAGAACGTCCCATTCAAGCCCAGAAGACCCAGCGTATGGCAGGTCTCTTCTGGCGGCTGGCACGTGAGTTTCGTTTTCTCCTTTCTACGCCGACCTGCTCCGCACCGAATGCATTGCCACAGTCAGCAAAACGCCTGTCGGATGGAATGCGGATGGAATAAATGGAGAACTAACGCAACTTCCTCTGATGGATCCTATCCTGCAGCTTTTTTCTGGTTTTCGGATTGCTGATACCCGTCCAATCATCTCCGAGATCCCCGTCGATTTGCTGGGGCATAAGCTGGATTGGGATAGAGCGGATGGCAATTGCCTGGCCTATTGGCTCAGGCGGAGGGTCCCAGTGAGGCAATGGAACTGGCGAAGTCGACATGTCGTGGATTTGCAACCTACTGATGCAAAAACAAAAATCTGGAAGGCGGTGGAGTCTTGGCTTAAAGTAGCCGCTCCAGTTTACATACGTATAAGTAATCCAGATGTGTGGCGAAGCGCGCCAAGACGGTCTTGTCCTAGCTCAGAAGATTGACTTTCAGTCAATAGCGAAAGGTTTCCCCTAGACCAAAGTTTAGCAAAAGTGGATAAAAGCTAATGCAGCTGGCTGCTGACATCCACTTGATATTCCTTCATGAGGTGAAGGTACGCTTCCACAATCTCCTCCGCCATACCAGTCTTGCCCGCCGTCATATACTTCTGCATCTCGTACGAGACTCGACGTTATAGGCTGCGATAACTCCTGCCGGTGGAAACGGAGATACGCAACATGGGCACTAATGCATGACGTTCCTCGTATCTCAACATGGTGGAAATTTCTCGCTCTTCCATTTAGCCCGGAATAGTCAATTGAGTCTCGTACTATAAATGACTTCGGCAGTTTTCTTGCAATGCCAGTCAAATTCGCAGCTCCTTCATCACTCTAGATAAACCTGCACCTTCATAAATCATTCAGAATGACTAGCACTGTGAAAAACGAAGCTGCCTGGATCAAATCCGCCTCCCAATACCCTTTGGTTATCGAGGAGGGTCAGCTGCCCAAAGCAGGTCCGGGAGAGATTGTCATCAAGAATGCTGCAGTATCTATCGTAGGTACCATCACCAAATATCACTTGGAATCATCTTCTGACGTGGAGGTCTATTGCAGAACCCAATTGATTGGAAAATCCAGTATGTTGTCAAGTTCTTCACAAGCCACTATATGCTGTCTCAGGTTCTTACGTGAACTAGAGCCTATGGATTCTATTTCTCTAAGTACCCACACATCTTGGGTACCGATGTGGCTGGTCACGTAGAAATGGTCGGGTCCGGCGTCACTCGCCTCGCGAAAGGCGATCGAGTCATTGCGTAGGTTTCGATCCCTCTATGCACCGTGGCAACCTAACCCACGTTACTTACATTCACCATGACTACAGCCACTGCCATGGCCTACATACGAAGAACCCTGCCAATGGCGGCTTCCAGAACTACACCGTGGCTACGGATGCGCTGATCTCCCCGATCCCTGACTCCCTAAGCTTCGAGCAGGCTGTTGTCCTCCCTCTCGCCCTCTCGACTGCTTGCGCCGGTCTTTATCCAAAGCACTTGCTGAACCTTCCATTGCCGTCTGTCATCAAGCCCGAAAAGACAGGCAAGACAATCTTAATCTGGGGTGGTGCTTCCTCCGTCGGAGCGACTGCCATCCAGCTTGCAACGTTTTCGGGCGTGAGAGTGGTTACCACAGCATCTGCCGCTAATCACAGTTTCGTCAAATCACTTGGTGCTGACGCTGTCTTTGACTACAAGTCGTCCACGGTCATCGAGGACGTTACCCACGCCCTTACCGGGACTGACTTTGCCGGCGTCTACGATGCCGTAAGCATGGATTCTAGTTTCGATGCCGTAGCCTCTATCTTGGACAACCTTGGCCACAAGCAACCCGTGGCCACAGTCCTACCTGGAAACAAGAATATTGAGCGTTACAATGCTGAGTATGGTGAGTTTTCCTAAAGTCTAGATCACCCCATTGAAGAAGACAGCCTAATAATGATTTACAGTGCTTGCCTTTGCCACTATCCAGGAACCTCATCAGTATATCGGCGTATGGATCTGGAAGACCTTCATCTTTCAAGCACTAGCCAACGGATCATTCCAGGCCAAACCTGATCCTCTCGTAGCTGGCCACGGCGTGAGGGATATCCAGAAGGCGCTTGATCTACAGCGAGAGGGTGTTTCCGCCAAGAAGGTCGTGGTCACCTTCTAGAGCGATGCATTATAAATCCATAGCTGTCACTGCAAAGCATTGCCAATAAAAACATTGTTTGCATAGCAAGCCAGTTATTTCAAATTTTATGACCGCCACTACGATGAACAGACGCCTAAAGTTTCTACTATCTAGCTTCTAGCTAGATTGATCTACCATTTCCACTTTGGTCATTTTGGTCATATTCGATTTCGCGCGGGGATATCATCAGCGCAGTCACTATTAGTAGCAGAGCAATGAATCCGATCGTCTCACCATGCATGGAGACATGGCAAGTTCACTTTTGTCATGATGGTGTGTTACCTACCTAGGTTAGAAGTAATTGCCAGCGGCACCAGCCGAAGCATCCACTTTTTGCTTGCGGCGGGCTGGCGAAGTTCAAACGCTCGACTAAGGTAACCTAACCTTAGACTAATGCAAGTTACTGACGCGCTAATTTCATGCAACCTACTGACGAACCCCCCCCCCCCCGTCCCGGTCCTGTGTCATTATAGGTCATGGCACCGTTGTTCTCTGTTTCGAGACTAATGCGAGGCACTGACGTCCTATGTTCTCATACCAGTGTCCAGTTGGAATTCTAGTTCGTGGTGACCCCGTGGGTGGAAACGAGGACGCTTAGAAATCAACGAATTGTACAAGTACAGCAGGCATGCAGGGATCATTGGGAAGAGATATTCGAAAATCTAAGAATATATGACGATGGGGCTAGCGATGGAGCCTCAGTCTGTATGCTGCTGACTGACCGAGAGAGCAATTACGACGTGGGGCGAGGATGCTATAGAATTCTGCCGCAGCTGACTGCCGAAAACAAGTCAAGCATTACGATAGATTTTTGGGCTTAAGAGATCCCGTGCAGTCTGCCGGCTCCTAATTGAGCTTTTACTTTTTACTTATCAACTTGTCCAACGAATGATCCGTCAAAATGAGCTCCCTAGGTACTATTTGGACCTACCCGTCCAACCCCAGAGCGATGAAGGTACAATCTTGATCTACCCCATAATGGCTATACTCATCCATGAATCACGTCCTTTCGCTAATAATCACCTCACCAGATCGAAGCCGCTGCAGCCATGAATGGTCGGACGGTCGAATATGCCCCCAATTTTGTCATGCAAAAGACCAATAAAACGCCCGAGTTCCTTGCCGACTTTCCTCTGGCGCGCGTTCCGACCTTCAAGTCAGCTGGGGGTCTCACACTCTACGAATCAGACGCCATCGCCCTGTATGCCGCTGAGAGTGGCGGGGCATGTGAGCAGCTTCTGGGTACGAGTGTCGATGAGCGCGCCGTCGTTCGTCAATGGATCGGATTTGCCGACCACGAACTGTTCGGACCGCTCACGACCCTGATCCTGTGGCGATATGGAATGGGTCATTTTGATGAAAACGCCGAGAAAATTGCGCTGCAGCACCTGGTTTCCTCGCTCGACGTGGTGGAGAGACAGCTGCAGGGTACGCAGTATATCGCTTCCGAGAAACTAAGTCTGGCAGACCTTTCGATGGCGGCGGCGATGTACTGGGGTTTCGGCCAGGTCGTGGACAGGAAATTGAGGGGCAGATATACCCGGACCACGGAGTGGTACCTCCGAGTGATCCAGGACAAGCGCATTAATTCTGCTTTTGGGGAGGGAGATTTTATTGAGATCAGAAAGGAGCGCCCTTGAGTATCACTTGAGAGGTTAAACAAATATTACAGAGTATTAACTTGTATTCAAAAATAAATGAGAACATCACTTCTCAGCATGTTGAGTGATTCTAGTATATTGCTCAAAGTTACTAGTGCTATAGTATTAAGGACCGGCCGCGAGTTTAGAAATTGAGGAAGTTCCATCGAGCCGTAAACTTCTGGTTACCACCTGATGGGAATTTGCAGCTACGTTTTTCGCTTCTGGGCCCTCGTTACTCATTTAATCTCCGAGTTATGGAGGAAGCTGATAGATTTCACATATATTACTTGCCCATGTCCCCTAGAGGACCGTAAATCCAGTTCCGTTAACTCCGTATAACGGGACAAGAAAGTAGAAAATTTTTCGACTGCTAGTTCGCCTCTAGCCATATATAAATACGTTGTACCATAGTCAGTAAATCCCCCACCACCTTTTTTTCACGATACGCTACATCTGTCTCAACAAGTAATTTCAATCGCGGTTCACTGTCACCTGACCCGTCGATTCTACTATCAAATCCATTGTATTCATTTTGCAGTTTACTTCTCTGTTCATCATGACTATTGTCGTGGGAATCGCTGGTCTCACTGGCAAGTTCGCCCAATGCGTAGCGAAGGAACTCCACGCATATCCCGGGGTGAAACTCAAGGGCTTCTGCCGGAGCCAACAAAAGCTCCCGCAAGCGGCGCTGAAAATGTACGATATTGAAGTCGTCCAGGGTGATTTTGACAACGTGGCAGCTGTCGAGAAATTCGTGCGAGGCACCAATATCGTTGTTTGCTGCTATTTTGGCGAGCCAGACTTGATGATTCGGGGCCAGAAGATCTTGGTGGACGCGTGCTCCAAGTTCGACGTCCCGCGCTTCGTACCTAGCGACTTCGCCGTCGACTATACCAAGATACCTGTTGGCATGCTGTTCCCCAAGGAGTCGGCCAAGATCATCAAGGAGTACCTAGTAGAGAAGGGGGTTGCCGGTGTGCATGTTCTTGTCGGTGCGCTGACAGAGACGTTTTGGAGCGAGTACTTCCAGGTTTTTGACACCAAGACTCAAACAATTAGGTACTGGGAAACGGGTGATGAGAAGTGGGAGCTCACAACCTACGAGACTGCTGCGGCTTATACTGCGGCACTCGTGGTTGATCAGAATGCATCGGGTGTTTTCCGATGTAAGTTTGAATTTGATTCTCCAAGATACTGTGTTCCAGAAAGAAACACGATGCGGTAGGCTAACAAGAGGACAAGTTCGAGGAGATTGCAAGAGCATCTTAGAAATACGGGAACTGTACCAGCGTGTCTACGGATCCAGTCTCCCCCTGCAACGGTTAGGGTCTCTCGACGAACTATATCACACTGTCAACCGGGAGTTCGAAAAAGATCCCAACAATGCTATGGCATGGGCCCCTGGGTAGGCTTCCCTTGATGTTTCTTCGCTATGGTTTTTCCTGCCAGACAATTATTTTCGTCACCGCATGAACTGACGTAATTTCATACCTAGATGCTTCTCCTACTGGTGTATAAACGGCATTGCCTACCTCGGCGAGGACCTCGACAATCACAAGTTCCCCCACATCAAGCCAGTCGATATGGAGAGTTTCTTGAGGGCTCATGAGAAGGAGAGGGTCCCTGTTGCATTTCTGTCACTGGGATTCTAGGTTGCTTGATGTTTTTAAGTGCGCTGCCTGTGGGTTTGAAGTGAGGATACAAGGAAACACTACAATGAGGCTGATAGCTCACTTGGGTCGGTTGTGATGAAAGACTGCCTGATATGGCTTTCTCGTTACGTAAGGTTGTCTACAGCCCAGTTTGCTTGAATTCCGTTGTTTTGTCTTTAGGATTGAGCGTCGCTTTTGGAAATTGCATTCACAGCGACTGGTAGAGAAAGCAATTTTTAAACAATATGCATAATCTTACCGTGCCAACCCCTAGTGTCGTATTAGAAGATAGCTACTGAAACCAGCATGCCTGACGGACGCGAACAGAGATTCTTGCAAATATGGGAGTTCGTCATGTACTAATTTGGTACTGTATTGATTGGGTCTCCGGTTGGTGCGTACTTGCATGTGGCTCATCATCACCCGTAGGGGCGGGGGGGCCGCAGCGATTCTTTGAAAAGGGGTTGGCGTAGGAGATGGGTGCACTAAATAAGGACACGAATAGAACCATCAATCAATCCTAGATACACCTCTGACCTCTTGTTCTCACAAGTAGTACTGGACAAACAAAATAAAGCGGAAAGAAGCGCGTGTTTACACTCCTGCTGCATGCGTATTGTGGGCTTCACGTTGATTGGCTATTGCTGATTGTGCTCCCAATTACAACAAGTGGATAGCTCTTGATGGTGAGTAGGGTGTGTAGTGGTTGTGTCTGATTGGCAGTGATCCAGCAAGACCTAGAACTGCTTAGATGATTTCTTCACTTATTTGTGCTTATCTAGAATGGACCCTTCGGCTCATAAGTTGCGTTATCTTCCGGTACGCCATTGCAGTGTTAGTCAGTCACACAGCGGGGACCAAAGCAGAAACCTGCATCGTGCGGCTGAGGCCTTTATGGAGCACCTTAGGCTTGGGCCGCCTCGTTGCGAATGAGCACCAACGCCCATTCAACCAAAATGTGCTTGACCCGTTTTTACAATTCATGGGAAATATGGGAATCAATGTGACGATCTGCTTTAAGTTTCATTACATCAATACATCAATTAACCTGCACCCATGCCGTACACTTCTATCTTCAGCATGAACTACACGTGGAATCCAACAATATGCACCTTTCTCTTTCGTCTGCCCAAGACGACGAGCAGATGCACTGCATATGCTCTGTTCATACAATCCTTGCCTGTCCACGAAGCCAATCTCGCTGTCAAAAGAGATTTGGTTATGACATTACCGACAGCGAAAGCTACGGGTCTGAAGCCATCACGCACCTGATCATCCGTTACCGCTTGTACAAAAGTGATTGACCGAAATCTAGGCCAAGGCCCTGATATTCTTCGCGTATTCCAAACATAGACTGTTACTAAGCGTTATGGTCTCAAGCTAGGCAATGGTTTGTTGATTATATGGAGAATCAAGACCATGCTCTTTACCGGGGGGCAATTGCAGAATTCCGAGCACACCGACCCATCTTATTTCTGTGTCTGAGAACGGACGATCTCTTCGCCTCTGCGCCACAAAAGACATGAAAAACAGCGACTCTATCAAGTATCTGGCGCACACCCATTGTTGTAAAAGCAATCCATGCCCTTGTTACAACGCGTGATAACTTGGAGGCACTCTCAGAGAACATGACGAAGACCTTTCAGCACGCCATAATAGCTACGCGCCGGGTGCGATATCAGTTTATCTGGTTAGCTCACTTTGCATAACTCAAAACGACAAGGAGACTGGGCAATGGAAGCTTCTCTCATGGTATCTGTCTATTCTGGATGTAATCTGAACTTCGTCGCCGCTGATGCACAGGACGAATCATTCGGCTGTTTCATTGATCGCAGTGAATCCTGCTAGCTCACAGCCATACATTTCAAGAGAACTGTATCTGAATGTCAACCAGGTAGTCACAACTACTTGTCACACGAATGAATTGTGAGGCGGGGGTGGTGCTTTCAAGAGACTCCTCTAGCCCTGAGAAGCCTCTACTTTTGCAAGTAGCAGTTGTTTTGGGAATGGCGAGAACTCCAGGGTAATAAATCAAGCCTCACGGCGGTGACTTGGAATGCAGCACCACTGCGGGTTTCAATTGTACAATGGAGCGAATCAAAAGCAGCCGAACACATGGCTAAACAATGGCCAAGCATTCGTTTACTCGCAAACTGAAGTATCATATCCAAAAGACAAATTGATTGCCATCTACGGTGTAGCCCATCTATTTGCTAGAGCCAATAGTGTTGGATACCTCAACCAAGTTCCACCCTACGACAGCGGTTATGTTGCGGGACTGAGGCGTAATAGCCTGGAATGGCACCTTCTTTGGCACGTGCGTCGGTCTGCGAGGAGACCAAAAATTGAAGCTCTTGCGGCTTTGTCCTGGTCGTGGGAATCTCTTAATGGCGCTGTCAGAAGCAGGTTACTCCTCACTTATTCCTGACTAGTGATGCAAGGAGCTTCGTCATTCGAGATGAGTTCGGAACAATTCGATGTGGTGTCTGCCCCAAAACAAACGGTACTTTTGGAGAAGTCAATGGAGGATACCTCTGTGTCAGATGCACAATCCCAGAACGAATGAAAGCATATTTTAGAGTAAGACAGGCTGATATCAGCAATATACGCTGGGGTGAAGTATACCACAACCATTCTGATGAGCAATTATCGGCATATTTGATGATTCCTATCTGGAACAACATCCAGGGCACTTGCGGAATCATTCTTTCGCACGAAAGATTACGGATAACTATCGGAGGGTTGGCATATATTACGATCGGGTTTCAAGGTCAAATCTCGAGGGTGTCTATTCTATAGGTCGAGAAGTGTATACATGCAATACTGCGAGTGGGCCCATGCAATACCTCCCGCCAAGTCGCTGCGAAACTGTCCACTTATCAGAACTATTTGGCTGAAACGCCCAATGATGACACCTAGTGTAAGATAAATTACATACCCGGAAACTGATTCTACACTTGATGCACACGGTCATTCCAAAATCGCGATTACATCATCTCGAACGCAATGATAGTCGCGTAGGTCTAATCCGGAGAATCTAGTTTGTCTCGTAGTAACATGCGCAAGCAGGCTTAGACTTTAGACCGAATTTGGTCTTGCACAATCCATCCTGTTGCAATTTCATAAGGAAAGATACCGGGAACTACATTAGACTTGCAGCGAGTTTTTGTTAGGAAGAAAGTTTGTGAAAATGAACATAAGGAATGAGTGGAATGATGGACCAAGCCATTTTGTCCATGGCAATATCAAGACTGATTGTTAAGCCCTATTTTCCCGCCAGATCCCACCGGCAATGCAGCATGACGAGTTCCCGTATATGTGGTCCCATCGGAATGGAAGTTCCCCCAATCAGATGTGTACTTTCAGAACCGGCATCAGAGATAAAACTCAGTATCCAGATGAACCATAATTTCTTTGCAAAAAAAGTCGTCTGATTGATGAGATCGATTTAAAAAGAATGATATCCAACACCATTGTTGCACCCAATGACGCGACGCAATCCGGCGTTTTAGCCTCCCAAACTAACACGAAATGTATGTTAATCAAGCAGCTGATATAGCTGCAAGGATTCTGGCATTTGTTTCTCCTATTGCAATAGGAACGGTCACTCGCCCAGTATCTCGATCACCAGGCATGTCTCGAAAGTCTTGAACATGAACTGTCATGACTATAGCACATGCAAGTACGATAAGCCATTGCAAAAGTCTGCCATTGTGGCTTGTTGGATCCTGTAGAAGCATTTTGAGAGGGTCAGCCAAAAAACATGTGATCCCAATTCCGTTCAAGAAATTTTACAGGAGTGGGTCAGCGCTGCCTCTGAACTTATTATACCACAAACACGCAGCTAGCTCCAGTACAGATACTATTAAGCCGCCTATAGAAGCAGACATGCACACCACAAGAGTATAGAGGAAGTACAAGAGCCGGACAGTCTGTTGTTCACTGATTTTGCCTCTCGGTATTGGTCTCCATGACTTGTTGATGGCATCTTCTGCGCAACCTCGTAGTTTATTCTGTAAGTTGGAGACCAAAAAAGCACTCCAAGACCATAACATCATGATTGGGATTGCGTGGAAACCTGTTTTAAAATGTGATGGATGGTGACTGTAGAGCTCTTGGGCCACTGACCCATTTAAGATTGCGAATAGAACCCCAACAGTAGGCAGAGTATACATATCGTTGCAAATAAGGAGCCACATCGTGTACAAGTGATAATGTATGTAGTATTTGAAACCTGGATTGAAAGTCCGAACTGCTGTGTATCGGAGTTCCGGTATAAGGCGCTTTTGGATATGAACTTTGTTTGCTGAAAACATGATGAATCTGATAAAAGTTATAGATTCGAAACATATTGGATTATAGGCTCAGCCAATGCATCGACAATCATCGATAGATTGGTACATGTAAATCGACGCTGCTGAGAATAGAAGGAGTTTTAATAGATAGACGATGTCCGTCTTTTATTATTCTCAATTACTGGACCCCGTTTGACCTTTAGTAAGTAAAAAGAAAATCGCTCACGAATTCCGTAAAAGTGCTCAACTCTCAAAGTAAATAACATACTCTACAATACCGATATAGGATGAATGCGATGGTTTACCTAGTGTACCAATTAAGTAGATACCTAAGGTGCACGGTCCACCGTTAATAGAGCCTTCGGGGATCCCTCAGAATAGTTGAGGGACTACGCCAATCAACAACACTGTACGGAGGATCAATATACACCCTTTGATCAAGATAATATTCTACAGGGTTGTTACGAGCATCAGAATGAGATTGTTAGACCTTTATTCAATGGATGAGAGTGGTTGGGGGCGAGAGGAAAAATGTTTCCACAGAAAGGTCCGAAGGGGATTAGGCATATTGGTTCTAGGGGCAGTCTCTCCGCTCCGTGCTGCTCACCGAAGACTTTCTACCCCATGCATGAAAACTGCTTGTCACCATCCCACTGCGGCCTTTACCTCAAAATCGCGGGGAATAGAAATCATTAGTGATGCCGAAGTACATGTCAGCTTCTCACCACTAGTCTTCAGATAATTTCGTCGCCAATATTAGTATGATGGCCGCACAGCATACATGCTTGCCAGAAGTGCAAGAATATCTGCTATAAAACTACGAGCTCGCTGCCAGTATTTCGTGGAAAGGCTTCGCTAACGGCCACACCGCCCTGAAGCAACCGCATTTTCACATGCAAAATGCCGCTAACGCCAGCAAGCTGGAGACGTAGTATATAGCTCATGAGAATACGATATATAAATATATCCAAGTACACCGATCAAATTGAATATCCTATAAATAGAAGTTCTTTTCTCGACCAAGAGACGTCATAGTTGCAGTAAGGCTGTAGGAGTAAGCCTGCCCTAGCATTGATGCGTTGTGGTGAATTGATATTAGAAAGACTGTCCGACACATGTAGTTCTACGGTTGTGTAATTTGTTGTCGACCGCACAGGCTCACTCGAGACAGCGCATTGACCTAAATTAGGCGACAAAACTTGCCTTACTGAAGCACTTCCTCTCGATTGGACATGGTACTTACCTTGTGACGAAGAATCGCCTTCGGTCATTTGCTTGCGAATCAATGCCATAGTCGCATAACCATTATAAGCACCGCCATATTAAAATAACCCAGCAAAGAAATGTTGCGTGACTAATACTCACAATCAAAGCTGTAATAACTCGCAAAAAGCTCCTACTTAGGCCATGGTGGCCCCCTGAGGTACCGTATTAAATGTGCTACAGTCGTTATTAAGTCCCGTATTCAAATAGAGTCAACGTTCCTTATAACCGAAAGCTCCGTCGGGGATCTATATGGCTGTTGGTATACATAAAGTTGGCAAAATCATAATCAGGCGCCATACCATTACCCTCTGCCTCCATTTCCAAGTAACCCGGAGCATATTGCTCAATGGCCTCCGTCCAGTAATCGACATCTACATCATTATCGAAGTATTCTTGCTTTTCTTGAAGTAGTTCCAGGATTGGCAACTCCATATTGAGACTGCATTGATTTTAGCAATCACGACGCAGAACATTCCACAAAATATAGATAGGGCTTACGCTGCGTTTGCATCATCGTCGCCGCTGGCGTAGTCATATTCATCGATGACACGACTGCCGTACCACCCTAATCCGAAAACATAACAATAAACCATGTAGGTCCAGAGGGGCCACATCCGAGATGAGGTCTTGACTTGACCGTTATTATCGAGATCGCAAAGAAGCAATCTTCCGGTTTCAAGTGACTCTTGATCAGCGAAAAGCATTCCTCTGTCGAAGCTATGGAAGAAGACCGTGCCCTGAAGCGTCATGGCCATGTGATCGAAGTCAGCCGGCTCAACGAAACAGTGAGTATAGTAGTTTTCTGGCGTAATCACGGTATTGTTGGCAGGATTGGGATGCACCAAGACAACTTGATCCTTGCCGAAACTGTGGTCGGTGTCCTCGGCATCCAGGCGATACAACATAATGCACAACTTCGTCCACAGTGCACGATTTCGAGGGTCAAGGGGCTGCTGGACGATGAGATTGACGAATCCGCGTCGGATATGTTGTAGCGGGTCAGCATTCTTTAGCTGGTACGGGTACCAGCAGGCACCATCTGCGCGGTCTGGCGCCCTGCCTTGATACGAGTCCCGGTCCGCCTGGCTCATGGATGCCCATTGGTCCACCAGCTTGCGCCGCTGCTTCGTCTCGAAGTCTTTCTCTGTGATTCTTGAATCACGGGCCATGAAATTTTCCTTTAGCAAGTTAGTAAAGTATTCATCGTGTTCTACCAGGCGTGCTTCGAACCTCGAGAAACAATTGCCAGCCCCTGGTTAATTCGCTGAAGGCACCATTGAGAGGTTCATGATGGCATCGAATGTGAGAAGGGATGCCACCTGGCCAGTAATTAATAGGGTCCGTCATTGGGTATATTTTGCTCGTGAATTGTTGAGTCGTGACCTTTGATTGACGGGGAATTCAAGCTATTTAAAGTACCTGAGATTATACGTACTAGGTTAGTCTAGTCAGGGCTGGCGGCTAAGGTGTGGGATAGCCTGGCAGCGTATGTACTTGCAATCTCTCGGACCCGTTATAATAGTGGAAGCTCCGAAATAGTGTCGGGCTAGAAATCATTCCCCATAATTCTGACCTTGCAGTACCAGGTCTGCCAGGGAACTCACCAAAAGCCCAACTAGTGGTCCATACACAAGTGAGGTCACGGCGACTTGAAGGAAAAAGTGACTCATAGGATCATAGACAAAGACTGATACTCACAGCTGAGCAGATCAGCGACTGCCGATAGCATTGAGCTTGGCCCTTTATCGTATCAACAATCGCATGCATGGATGGACAGCGACTCAAATATGAGCAGCCCTGGAATCATGATTAAGGCAGCATTCTTTAGATGTGAGTGGACGCCTTGTACTTATAGATCCTTGTTTGACCTCTCATCTGATGTGTCCCATGCCAGAGATCTATGTTCGTCGTAGATTCAAGTCAAGACTGAATGACAATAATTTCCAATAACATTAGCGCTAGTATTTGATAACTTTCTACGCCATGCCTCGCCACTGTCCAAGGGGCTACCTTTGCCTCCTACTGCCTCCTACCTATATTACCAAGGGTTCGTCCCAAAGACAAAAGATAAGAGTCTTGAATTCATTCTGGTCGCTAATGAGATTTACTGTGTATGTGCTGGTGCAAGTGCCTCATGATATCAATTTTGGCATTACCCAACTCAGGAGCTGGCGTCACCAAAGCCTCTGCCTCACTTGAGCTGTCCGGGATCACATCTGGATCCACACTGCCGTCAGGATTAGTCGAGGTTTTCTCCCAGCCTGGTAACAGTTCCACATCTGTCAAATTGTTAGCGTCCAATTCTCATAGTTTGTGGCAAGAGTATAGATGATGATAGAGAACAAGGGCGTCGTATAGGTGTTAGAAATGGTGACTTACTCTCAACTACCCAGTTATTGCCGTCTCTAGAGTCCAGGCCGCGCTTGTCTAGAGAGTCCGCACTTGTGAACGTGATCTTGCAAGCAACAGTCTTCCACTTGCTAATCTTCTTGCTGCCGGAAATTGACTTCACTGTCTGACCCAAAATCTGGCAAACACCGTTGTTGCCAGTGGTTGTGCCAATTCTATAGTTGGTGGTGCTCATGAGGTTAATGCCACCAATGATATTCGTGATTTTCCAAGTAGAGGAGCTGTCGACAGATCCAGCGAACTTGCCAATATAACTCTGCCCTGCAACGGTGCTAGTCCCTCCATACATAAGCGTGACAGTGTACTTCCTTTCATTATTGCTTGGCCACGACCCATCATCCCATCTCTTACCAAGTGTGATGTCGTAGACTTGGGGAATCTTCGCGTTGACTTGGCCTTGGTACGTTTGGTACTCGACAGGGACACATGCTGCTTCAGCACCGTTGCCGCCTTCTTCGGACCTATTTCTAGTTAATAAGTACTAGAAATATAGTATTACTCCATAGCTGTTATAACATATGGGCTTCGCTAGTAGCACCGACAAGGCCGAACTTGAATAAGAAAGAATGGGCGGTATCGCAAAACGAGACATGTTGACTTACGCATTGAAAGGAAACTCATCACACGAGATGGAATCGATGTACCCTGCCATCCCTTTGTAGCTTTGCTTATTAACGGCTGCATTATATACACCCGTGGGCCACATGGCGGATTTAGTACTGGCACAAGAAGATGACACAGCGCTGCAGGCATCGGCGCGATTGCCGCCGTTGCCGCCGCTAGGAAGGTACGTCAGTTCCATCCAGTTGGAACCAGCAACGACGGCCTTGCCACTTGGTGTCTGCGTCACACCGCTGTCGAGGTAGTTCCGAACGTTCTCACAGATTCCAATGAAGGTGTACGAGGGAACGGCAGCCTGCGTGTTCTCGTTCAGGTTTGTGAAGCTCTGACTACCTCCCATGAAGTCACAGTTATAAAAAAGTGCCGGTATATCGACTGTGCAGGCTCTCTTGGATGCGGTGCTGTCGTCGTCGCTGCTTGAGTCGCAGCTGAGTTCGTCTTCCTCGGTACCGCAATTGATGAGACCGCTGAAGCAACCGGAGCTGGCGGTGCTGTTCTTGACCAACGAGGTCGTACTGCGCTTGGCATTATCCGAGTCCGAATTCGAGTAGGCGTAACACTTCTCTTCAACCAGGGTGAGTGGTTCATCTGAAGAGTATACATCGTATGCGCCACCCCAGTAGATGAGATCATCAACAAACCTGGTGGCCAAGAATCAGTACACGACAGAAAAGCGGAGACTTTGGCCAACTGGACTTACGAAACATCAGCTGAAATGAACATCTTATAGGTATAGTCAGCCCAGTAACAAAACTCTGCGGACACATCGCCACTGGTGCTTGCACTCGTCGATGCGCTGACTCCCATTTCGATGGTGTTGGTGACACCGGCGGTCACATAGCCTTCCATGAGTGTGCCACCTAGTACAGAGATGCCGAACTTAACTTCAGGCGTGAGAGAAACTAACAAATATTAGTCAGGTAAAGCACAAGAATGTAAGGGTAAAACCATACGGGCCAGGTTCCCAGTAGCTGAGATTGCGGCATCAAGAGAGGCGTCAACCGAGTATGTCTTTTTAGCATCGGCCAGGGCGTTGCCATCGGAGCCAGCCTCGGCATCATCTGCAGCAGCGTCCTCCGTGTTAGGAAAGTAGACGGTCGTCTTATCGAAAGCGAGGGAGACACCCGCATTGATCTCTCCCGAAACGCTGAGAGAGGCATCCATGGAGCCAGTCAAGGCAAACTCCGGACCAATGCTGATTAGACCCTTGATAGAGAGACCCGGAAGACCTACACCACTGATGATGTTCACGACGTCGCTGCTTGTCTGCACAGTCGCTTCTCCACGGAGAGTCATCAGAATCTTAACACAAAGTTAGACTATCCTACGGTGATTGGCGAGACGTTGAGGGTAAACTCACAGCTGCCGCTGGCTCAATGGAGAAGTATGCGTAGGCGCTGATCAACTCTGGGACCGGAAGAATCGAGCCCTCAAAATAATAACCGTATTGGGAATAAAGCCCAATATGAATGTTGGCGTCCAGGTCAAGTGTGGAGGTACCGAGTTTTGGGCAGGTTTTCTGGAAATGAAACAGCTTGAGCGTTTTCTCGTACTCCAAGGGAAGACTACCCTCTTCGTCCTCGACGATGGTAGTCATCTTCTTGAGCCAATTACTAAAAGAACCAAACCATCTCTTGCGGTCTGCAGGTGAGTCGGTGATTTCGTCCCTTGAAAAACCACGTATTGATCAGCTTCTACCACACTTAGAAGTATTTAAGCAACGGGATGGGACTTACCAGTACTCAAGAAGGTTTGTGTAGTCTATACGGAAGTTTACATTGCCTTTATCTTCCTCTGAAGCGGCAGCAAGGTCGTAGTCGGTGACCAACTCAAACTCTTCCTCAGTGGTGTCTCTCTTGGCTGACAGGATCCGTTCAAGGCTGACCACTCGGGCATACGGGCCAGCGCCAATGTGGTCCGGCATCTTGACAATTGTGTTTCGTGCACCACCGTTGAAAATAGATTGGCATCCTGTCTCATTGTTGTATCTAACGAGGGAGCTGCACCGAATGCGGTGTGTTTCCACAACATTCTCGAACGTGTCAGTCGCCGTTTTGAAGATGCTGCGCTTCTTTGTGTTTCCATTGACGTCGCGTTTAGTGATCTCCGTAGAGTCCTCATCCAAAAAGGTCCACTGGTCGACGAGAGACTCATCATAAGCGTCTGTATCGCCAGTGATCATGACAAGGGCAAAAGGGTCCTTGGAATCGTCATTGGTGGCTATAAAATTGGTTAGTAGCATTCAAGTATTGATGATGAACCTGCTTCTTACCATCCTCATTGGAACTCTCCTCGACGTTATAGTAATAGCTAACGTCGTCGTCATCCGGGTATTGGAAGAGGTCCTCTGGGTCAACAGGTAGATCAACGGTTGCGTCTGGCGGATCGCAGCAGAGTTTGACATAGCCATCACTGCAGGTCTTTGTATCTGTATCGTCATCAGGATTCACGATTCCTGGTCGCTGCGTAATCAAGACTTTATCATCTGGACATGTGTCCATGCAGTAGTCACCATCTTTCCACTCGCAGTTCTTGTAAGTATCTAAGAAATGTATTGTCAGCATGATTGAAACCGAGATGACCAGGCAACAGAAGCGCTGTACTTTCAGAAGGACAACAGAATGTCGCTGTGGATCCGAGCGTATACATTCGATAGTCTTCACACTGCTCATCTTCAGGGCTGAGGTCTTTTCGAAATTAGTACAAAACAGTGGAGTTTTAGCGCGGTCACTTACTTGGTCCTTCCCAATAAGATTCGTATTTGTAGGCGTATGGGAGGTCGTCTGAGCAGGACCCCATACAATCCGTCCAGGAGCACAATTCGAGCTCGGTGTTGGTGTTGCAACAAAGAGAACGAGCCCCAACAACGCACTTAGTATCACCAGTACTCTCTGTCCAGCTGTCCTGGATCAGTTCATATTTACCTGTGCCACAAAAAGCAGAGGTGCCGCCAGCGCACATGCCGTCTCCGTAAAGGGTATCATCACCACTCCAGAGGCAGCCTTCCGGCATTGCGCTCGTAGGACAACAAATCATACGATAGTCGCCTTCATCACAAATATCATCGTCTAGGTTCTCAATGACACCGTAAGAACCATCGTGAACATACTCCAAGACGCTGTAGTCCGTCTGGCATTGGCCTTTGCCAGACGCAAAACAGTCCGTAACATAGCAATCAGCACCAGTGTAAGCAGAATAGGCAGTGGCCAATTCTTTTTTCGTGGATGTGGTCTCGCTTCCGCCTGTGAGGAGGGAATCACCGTTGACGTCGTCATCAAGCAGGGCGCTAAGGGCCTGCCAGTCGTAGGTATCCTGGTCCACAGCCCAGATCATGATTCCGCCCAGACAATGGTCGTTGGCAAAGTCAATCTTCTGTTGAAACGTTTGATTCGTATCGAAAGAAACCCACTGGTCCTCGCCATATGTCATATAGTTGACTGCAGCATCCTCGTCCCAAACGAGGAGGCTGTTCGAATCAGCCATCAGCTCCACAATCTCTGAGACATAGTAAGTATCAATGATCCCTCTATCGTTCAATAGGACGGTACTACGCACCCTTGTATGACAGTATACCTGCTGTGGCAGTGCAATCGCCAGCTTGGCCGGCTCCTGCCCAAGCACAACCTGGGGTACTGCATTCGGTGTCGTCCAATGTGAAAGTGCGCCCATAGAATCCCATTCCCAGAACGATTTTAGAGGGGTCTACGTCGTTCCTCCAGAGAAGATCTAAAGCAATCTTGATCTCTGTGAGATTGGTGTGTCCCGCCAGCACTGACTCTGTCCATCTGGATCCACTGGTGAGAGAAGAAAATTACCCGACTCCTACTTGAACTTACTCGTTGTTACCATCCCAGGTACCATGCAAGTCATAGGACATAACATTCACCCAATTGACGCCTGTTTCTGATACCATGGCAGAGATATTGAAGTTTTGAAGATACCAATAACTGGTGGGAATCGTGAAAGTGATGCCGTAAGACGTCCCTTCTTCATCGAATACTGACCTAAGCTCCTTTAGCAGCTTAATGTAGTTCTCCGCATCTTCTTCGCTGCCACCTCGGTCGCTGGCCACTGGATATTCCCAGTCAAGGTCGACACCGTCAAACCCATATTCCATGACTGTATGGAGTACTGACTTGGACCAAGATTTTCTGCCAGCTGCGGTAGACGCCATTCTGGACCAGTAGTCAGCCGTATCTCCATCGTTGAAGGACCACCCTCCTATGGAAAGGAAACATGACAGGCCTGGATTGGTAGTCTTCAGGTCGATGAATTCGCTAATCAACTCAGCTAGATCGTTCTCGTCAGTTTGGTCCCAACTGATCGCCCATTCATCGTCATCGAGTTCGGTGAAAAGGGCAAAGGCGTAGTTGATGTGAGTCAAGCTAGAGGCGGCAATGTTGCTAGGCGTCCAAGAATCACACACGCGACTTGTGGACCAGGATTCGTAGTACCCAATAACCTTTTTCAGCACGTTATTGGAGGAGCAGGATGGCTCGGTGGGGGACTCGCAGTTGCTCTGGCAGCTGTGGTCATCATCGTCGTCAACCACAGTACAGAAGTCGGAAGTTGTTCCACAGAAACCATAGGCAGAACAGCACACCTGTCCATGGTAAGTGAAAGAAATCAAAATAATAACTGCGGTTCATACATTCAAGGGGCAAGTGGTGCCTTTCACCTCTGCATATTTACCGCAAGGAGCAGTTGCAGTGCAGTTGCTCACACAGGTATCCCCACAATATTCAGGTCCATAGCCACATATCTGAGAAAATTGTTAACTACTGGGACACATGAAATCAATAGAACTTAAACTCACACCCTGCGTCTCGCCGTCTTCAAGGCCACAACAAGCGCCGTTGGTACAACCGATGTCTTCGGTGCAGTAATAGGTTTGTGCATAAGCCAGAGAGAGAAATGAAAGTGAAATTAGAAAAAGAGTGACTGTGACACTTGACTGTGCCATTGTCTGACGATACATGATGAAAGAATGTCAGAGCGTGGCTTAAGGACTGACCAACAACCCAATACTGTTTCGCGATAGCTGCGAGAGTTAGGCAGAAGAGTGACAGTGTAAGCTGAGATCACAGGACTCCCTGTACTTAAGAGAACACAGACAACAGATGAATAAAATAATGTTCCAGTCTTGATACCCATGGGGACCAATACAGGAAGTATGATCCGAATCTAGTTTGCTATACGCACAAATTAGGCCATGCACTATGGGACCCTAGGAACAATATCAGACAAAATCGAATCATGTCCACCAAAGGGCCGACAAAAACTCGGCTCAAGTGCATCCTTCCGGAGTATCAAGGGCATTCCCATGCCTGCTCCAGACTAGATGTTGCGGATCAAAACTCGGATTTAATTTTCCGAAGTTGATGACAGCCCAGAAATTCCTATCGTGCTGACGAGGCTTGAGCGGGGTTGAAATGTCACCGACTTCGCGCTATTGAGCAATACCCGCTTTCTAGCCAGAAACTTATGTTGTAGATGGCCAAAGATATGACTATCCGTAACTATAATAGTAAGGTTAGATTCTCTATCCACCGGGCATGTTAGGAACAGGTAATTAGTGGACCATCTGTATATCCGCAGTGGATGCTTGACGGGTTAGCCTTGAAGGACGCGTAACACTTATAAAGACCCTCAATTAGGATTTAGCTGCACCAAATACTTGTGGAGAATATCGGCGCCCAGGGTCTTTTCAAGGCTGAGGCATCTCTGTATGGTGGAGTTACTGACAAGCGGCAGGCATGAGAGTTTGCACGATGTCCTACGCTCTCAGCAATATTTGCAACATGGTAGAAACATGAGAAACTGTTGAAATGTTTCATTTATTACTTGTGAAGATCTCGATTATGTGCTTTTTTCTCTTTTCTTTTCGTAGATTTTGTCGTGTTCTATCACACTTCGGAAAATTTAAACACGATCCCCAGAAAGCCGCAGTACACTAGTTTGACCCACGATGCGGACCCTTTATTTTGGTACATCTTCAACGGTAACTAATTTGGTGGAGCTGATGTAGTGCTTGTTGTGAGCCAAGAACGCTTGTCGCTTTTGCCCCGACCCGGTTCCAGAGGTTTTGGAACAATACTGACAGAACCCCTGCTACACGCTCAGTCAGATAGAGCAGTCTATGCAAGCATTACACCAGTTTAAACGGTCATTCAGTACTGGGTATCCCATGGAAAATAGACCATTCGACGGCTATATTATTGTTACTACGCGAGTTCATGCCCAATATGAACAGTCCCTGTGTGATCGGGTTACGAGAATTGCTAGTTATAGACTTTCTAAAGCTCAATTGTGCCGACCTCGGCTAAAAATATATAATCTAGCATACTCCACAACACACTCCATTAAAAGACCCCAAAATGTCAAGTTCTACGCCATATATGCACGATTAAAATTGGGTAATTCTTCGGAAATACCTGCAGAATCTAGGCTGGTGCCATGCTCCTTGGTCATTCAGACATCCCAGGCAAGAGATAGATAGTCTCATGGGCGTTATCAATCGTCGCCCTGGCATTTCTTCGTTGTGTTATTTCCTCAAAATCGTTCTTTACCTACTAGGCAACAGCCTACGAAGCGCCCGAAAATGCATTGTTCCTCTAGTATACAGTCACTCGTTTGGAGCTGCTTATTGCGGTTCACCATTGCCTCAGATATTCTCAACATCTATACCACTACCTCTCTTGGAAATACCACTGCGTCAGATTCGTGTATCTCGGCCTTAGTTGCTGACATCAGTTGCTACTCCAGCCTCAGCAGAGCGGTAACGAAGACAAACTCATGGGGTACGACTGCCCTAGGGAGACTGTGCACCCAGAATTGTACAGAGTCTCTGCAGCAATATGTCACCGCTGTTGAAAATGTCTGCGGCTCTGATATGTATAACATTTCAGGCACTCTACAAACAGCATCTAGTGCAGGAGAAAGGCTTCTCTGGAGGCAGTCCGTTACTTGTATAACCGACGATTCGTCGGGTGAATACTGTAACACCGAATTCCAGGATGCAGCCAATGGAACTGGATCTTCGAAGATCGGCTGCAGTCAGTGCTATCTTGACTACCTGTACACCATTGCCGACTCCGAGTATGGTAAGGGAATTGTCTCTGAATCCTACTTCGAGGAGAGAGCTGCTGCTTGTTCAGCTACCAGCTACTCTTTCATACATACTGCAACTGCCACGACGACTTCAACGGTGGTTTCGGCGACTTCCAATGCTCGCTGCAATATGACTGACACTGATACAATTGTGTACGAGGTACAAGCTGGCGATAGCTGCATCAGTATTTCAGCGGCCCAGAACGTGTCAACTGGACTTCTCGCTAGCACAAATGCTTTGAACCAGAACTGCACGTACCTGACAATAGGTCAGAACCTATGTCTCCCAGAGTCCTGCGAGGTATATATGGTGCAGCAAAATGACACATGCGACTCTATAGTCGACAGCCTGACCAGGGAGGTCACTGCAACAACTTTCATATCTTGGAACACCAATCTCAATAGTCAGTGCTTAAACATTGCAAGTCTTATGGGGACATATATTTGTATCAGGTTAGTCAGCGCACTGCATGGAACTCTCAAGCGGTCGCTACATAGCTAACGCACCTCAGTCCGCCAGGTACAGCCAGTATTCCATCCTATTTTCCCCTGATGACAGCCACTACAGCGGTGTAAGTCTTTACTCAAAACCTTGCTTGATTACGCGTGATTCTGATTCGAAAAACTAGTGCCGTTCCTACAAACGCTGTGACAACGTCAAACACTGACTGTGGTTACTGGTATACTATTGAGAGTGGCGATGAATGCGAAGACATTGTTGACGCCTATGGCATTTCTTTGGACGACTTTTATTTTCTCAACCCTCAGTTGGGTGGTTCTTGCAGCTCTCTTTGGCTTGGAAATGCCTATGTGAGTAATTAATATCTTGAATTCAATGGGTTTTGCTGACTATATATAAGTGCGTTGAAGCCGTTGGGAGTATCAAAACTTACTCTGGGTATAATTCAACTACCAGCAGCAGAAACTACACCACTCTTGGAAGTACTATAGACACGATCTCGACGAGGACTGTCAATCGTACAACAACGTAAGATATAGATTCTCTATTTGACATCTTGTTCTAGTTACCTGATGATTTGATAGCCATTTCTTTTACTCATGGCCTGCAGTCACCACCACAACCGTGACCTTCAACTCAACCGTCGCATCAATTTTGGCCGACTATAATCTCTGCAGCTCGGTGTTAGCCTACTACGATCTTTCCGAAGATGATGACCTTTCGGATGAAGCCTATGGCAATGATGAATGGATGGATGAGTATGAGCGAGTATGCGTGGTTGACCCGGACGCACTGCCGACTGTAGCCTTCAACACCGCCATCGCCCTCAACACCACCACCTCTGCCACGACGGGGGCGACAGCGACTGCAGGAACTGCCACTTTGACAGAAACTTCTACCAGCACCAGCGCCACGGCGACGGGGCTTAGCATCTCGCTGGATGGAACCTGTGGCTACGATACAAGCTATACCTGTTCTGGATCCAGCTTCGGTGACTGCTGCAGTATTTATGGATATTGGTAAGACTACTTCTTTACAGATGGAATTACTTGACTTTAACTTATATGATCACATAGCGGTTCCGATCTGGACTATTGTTCTACATATTGTGACACTCGTTATGGTAGTTGCAACGAATCCATTGCCACTGCCACTGCCACTGCCACAACGGCATCAGCCGCTGCGTCTTCCATCTCAACCATCTCTCCAGACGGTACTTGCGGCGAGGAAAACGGATACACTTGTGCTGGCTCAGAGTTTGGTGACTGTTGCTCCATATACGGATACTGGTACGGCCATGCCTACCTTGCATATTCATATAGTTGATCTTGGTTCGCTAATCTCTTATCTAGTGGTTCTACCGCCGATTACTGTTCTTCTAACTGCGACTCTTCGTTTGGGACATGTGATGCTTGATTCATAGTTCCCTTTATGGTGGGGATTATAAATAAGGAGTGTGCGGTCATGTCTAATTCGCCACCACGTTTGTTAGGGCGTTAAGGAAGGCTGTTTTGAACTTATAACACCTTGCCCTACTTTTCGGTTTTACTATATTCAACTATATATTTATACACATGTCGATACGATAATATCAGCCAAAAACCCAATGTATTTTCCATTGAACCTCCACTCCTATCAAAATGGATACGTCGCACGGCCAAAGGTAAGAGGAAACGAAGCAGGCTGGCGAAGCTGTACCTAAATGTGATTGCTAGCAGTGTCACCCCTCCTGGGCGCTCTTCCATTGAATTGTGCCTCATGTAGTTTCTTATGATGTTGATTCACCCGATTCACAACTACATATGCAAGATAAATATGGTGAAATCACGGTTACAATGAAAATCACAGCGTACTGGCTGTATCGGGTTTCAGAGATACTCATTAGCCATGAAAGAACTTAAGCAAGGTCTTCAAATGGGCGCCTTATCGACCCAGAATACTATAATCGGATTCTTCGAGCTTTTCTCGAAACAATCTTTCGTTGAGCCGTCTTTTGAGCATAGCGATGATAGTTTGACCTTTGTTCTGAATCACGAGCTTGCGGGGACAAAGCCTAAAACCATCTAGGTTCACATAGCTAAGTGCCTAGTGGAAGTTATGAAGCTTTTATTCTCCTGCATTGGGGCCTCTGATCAAGATTGATTGATCTATTCTGGTTCTCAGCCGACCCATACCACAGCCAACGATTAGTCTATATCTGCCGTAAGTCACTTTTCAACACAATGAGCTTGAATTTTCAGAAGATCATTACCATAATACGTACATATCTCACCAACCATTCCGTTGACTGGCTACAGAAGGTCGATTGTCAATCTTCGGGATCTTAGAAGGCATCTAGTCTATCTATATGAGGGCAATTCGTCAACACTATTCAGCTCCAGAGACATTAGGTTCCTTTTGTCTTTAGTATCATAATTTTAAGCCGACTGATCTGCTCCTAGGATCACACGATGATGCGGGTGCAATACAAACCCAATCCATAATTGTCCATTCTCCCTGGTGGCCGCTGGATGGAATATCCGAGATGTGGCCGTCCGGTATTCAAGAATGGACTAAAGCCTACGACGCCCACTCGTAGATATAGCATGAAGTATTGAAGACAAAAGAGGAAAACAATTAATTATTATTCCTTAATGTTATACAACTCGCAGAAAAATACGTTAGAGCTGGAAAAATGTCGTACCTAGCTCAATTATACAGCAAGAAAGAGATGGGTGTTCAAACCCGTTTCTGGACATTCCTGGATGAGGTGCATTATTTAAAGTAACAGGAGAGCACATCTTATGCGTATTTATACTACACCTTTTCACGGCGGAGTAACAATGCGTTATGGAGCCCTTCGTACAACAAAAGATGTGCAAGTCTCAGGAACGGATCCTGTTTGACTGAGTTGTACCCGAAGGAAAGCACCGGCTATCTCACCTGCTCTACCAAGAGTCTTGTCCTAATTTTGGGACCATTGAGACTCAGCTCTGTCCCTGTGACCGCAACACAAACACGAAATCCTAGGCTTCAGTTGCAAAGGGACCAAAAATAAAAAGGTTAACTGCATCGAATTCACAAAGTAAAAGCAGGTCAAGCAATCAAAAATGCCGGCGTTGCCATTTATTGTTGACGAATCGGAACGTGATCAAAGTAATGAGAGATGGTGGAGGTTCTAAAATAGGAGATCATGATGCATTCATCCAGTCGCTTGAGCATTGGGGTCCTGGAAAACTGACTACCTTCATGAAAAAACGAGTAATAAAGCATTCGATGATAACAAGACGGGCGGACAGAAAAACAGTTTGAATACAAAATATCTTAACGTCAGCAATAATGACTGCTGGCAGGATGCAGGTCGATAATGTCTTGAATTTAACGTAGCGTAACGGTTTAGTTTACATAATCACTGAAAACAAACTAGAATGACGCCTTAGACCCTGCCGAAGCAAGCGAGCTGGTACATTAAAGAAACTGAATGCTTTGCATGAGCTCAAGCTTAGTTCTAGCTGTTGTCTGAACAAGGTGAGGACACTGAATATGTTCTACGTGCACTTTCTCATTGTTACTCTAATTTACCCCCAGAGTTATGGACGAAAAGGGGCAGTGGCCAACAATGGCGTAGACGAAGGCATCCTTCACTTCCTAACCCAAACGGCCTGAGCATTGCACCACCCTTTGAGCCCATCAAGACCGGATTCGACACCAATTCCACTGGTCTTATGACCTCCAAACCCAACCTGTGGACCGACCTCGAAATGAGAGTTCACCCAGACAGTGCCGGCCTCCAGCCTGCGTGTTAGGCGCTCGGCACGCTTTATGTCTTTGCTCCAGACCGAGCCACCTAAGCCCATCAAGGACGCGTTAGCGCGTTGCAAGACGTCCTCCTCGTCAGACCACTTAAGAAGCGGCACAATGGGCCCAAACTGCTCCTCAACAACAAGACGCGAGTCATCAGGGGGGTTGTCAATCACGGTGGGCGGGAGGAAAAAGCCACTACCGGTCTTGGCGGATGATGGCTCGCCGCCATGTGCAACCTTCCATCCCTCTTTAGAGACGTGGCTATACATATCGAGCAGCTTGGCGTATTGCATGCTATTTTGGACAGGCCCAATTGCGGCCTCAGCATCCTCAGCACCTCCACTTTTGAGACCCTTGACGAACTCAACAAAGGCTGCAAGGAAAGCGTCATATATGTCTTCATGGACGTAGATACGCTTGATGCAAAAGCACACTTGACCGGTATGCAGGTAAGCTAGGGTTGCTACCTATTTGCAGGTGGCGGGTCAACTCTGTTGTCAATTTCCTTTTCTCAAGGGACTGTGCTTACCTTGGGTACGGTTGTCGCGAGGTCGGCGTCCGGCAAGATGATAGCAGCATCGTTGCCTCCTAGTTCGAGGGTTACACGCTTTAAAGTGCTGGCACTGGCTTGCATGACCTTCTTTCCAGTGGCCACCGACCCTGTGAAACTGATCTTTGCGACACCCGGGTGGGCTGTGAACATAGGACCTAGATCTTCTTCGCCGCTAAGGACATTGAATACTCCCTTCGGAAATATCTTGGCGCCCAATTCTCCCAGTTTTAAGGCTGTGTAGGGGCTGTATGGCGACGGCTTCCAAATGAATGTATTTCCGACAAGCAGCGCGGAAACAAGCTTAATAATTCCGAGCAGCATTGGGAAGTTCCATGGAACAATGCCAACACCTACTCCGATGGGGACATACCGAAGCACAATGCTCCGCTTCAAGTCACAAATAGGTCAGCGAGCGATAGAAAAAAGATGTGAAATATGACTTGACTTGTCCCGCGATGGTACGCGGTACTTAAGAACATACCTCGTCAGTATCTTCGATAATTTCCTCGGTCAGTCGGAAATTGAGAACCTGACGAATCTGGTGGCTAAGCAGGAACAGCTCGATGCCAACGGCTTGCGGGGGCTTTCCAGCCTCCCTTCCCAGCAGTTGAGAAAACTCCTTCTGATGGGCGTCGATGGCATCCACAAATTTGGTTAGATAAGCAGCACGATCGTCTTGAGATAGATCACGCCACAATGGGAAGGCCGCTTGGGCTGCTGCAACGGCACGGTCGACGTCTTCCTGTGTCGAGACAGGCACTTCGGCAAGCGCCTGTTCAGTACTGGGATCAACCGCCCTACGAGTTCTCACCGTGCCTGTAAGCTCGTTGTCGATCACATTATGGAACGTCTAGCGCGAGGATTAAATAAAGTGTGGCGAGTTGTTCTGGGAACAGGGTAAACGCACCTCGAAGTCAGCGAGCTCGTACTTGGCAGCTGTCGCCATGATGAAGAATTTCTTAGTCAGGAGTGCAATGTGTTTCAATAGCGGTCTGTTTGATTAAGCCACTGCGTGCTCGGAACATTGTAGAGGAAAGGAAACGAAAGACGGAGCTCGGATAATGATCAAATGAGTGGGAAGGAAGGCTTGCAGGCTCCAGTGAATTCCTAACAAGCATGCAATATTGCGACTAAAATCGGGAATCGGTACGGATCGGTATGTTGCGCTAAGGTTGTCATGAGGCGAGGAGTATTAAAGTACAGTGACTTGTAAAGTACGTAGATACCCCACAGGGGACTATGCAGGGCGGCCAGGATCTCTGGCACGATGTAACGTAGCCGCCCCTGACTCTCAAAGCAGCTATTTCGCTTTCTGTCAGGCCGCGTTCATACCTGCATAAAACCACTAAATACTTACTCAGCTGTGCCTTACAGTTGCACATCAAGATTATCTTTTTTATTGTGTCTTGTTCACTTCATGTGCTGTAACCCACGCGGCAGCAGGCTGTCAAGCGAGACCACATCCAATCGATGCTCTGCTGACAAAGATCCTGCAGGATTTTCAGACATGTTGCCCTCTCCCACAGCCAAATAAGCAGTGAGAGTTACAGGCTCCCTATTTTACATTACCACCCCACTATGTCTCTCTCACCCTCCACTATGTCTCTCTCACCCTCCACCCTCAACCAAGCAAAAAGCCTCACACAGGCAGGCATAAACAAGTTCGGCAGTTTTTCCTCTGCTCCTGTTTAAGGACCTCAGAGCCTTTGGGCCAGGATCTCGAAATGTCTTCTCCTCCAATTGAATACCCACCAGAATATGCCAACTATGATGGCGGTCCTCAAGTAGTTCGGATCATGACTGCTGTCATCGTTCTGGCTACTCTCTTCGTTGCGCTCCGACTCGTCATTCGACTGCACCGCCGTGTCGGATTGGCTCTGGATGACTGGCTCTCTGTGGCCTCGCTCATCTTCTTGTGGGCTGAATATGTTGATGGATACTTATGCATCAAGTACGGCGGCGTCGGGCTTCATCTTCCCATCGCCCTGGCGACTAAGCCTGACGCCTTGAAAAATACATTCATTGTCAGCTATGCACCCCCAATTCGCCAACTGGAAGTGGCTGACATAGGATATATTAGTACATGTTTGCCGGCGAACTGCTCTTCTTCACCTGTCTCGCTCTTATCAAGTGGAGCGTCCTGGCCATGTACTACCGCATCTTCCCGACACGCTTCATGAAGTGGGGATACATTGTGCTGGGCTCCATGACTGGCGCCTGGTGGATTGCTGTCATGATCGTCACGGTCTTTCAGTGCTCGCCTGTTCACAAGTACTGGGACCTCGCTACCCCCGGCACGTGTGTGAACGCCGCCGTGTTCTACATCAGTACAAACGGCGTGCCCAACATTGTCATGGACGCGATGATCCTTTGTTTGCCCATATACGAGGTCTACAAACTCCATGTTGCGCGAAAGGTGAAGGTCGCCATTGGCGCCAATTTCCTGATTGGTGCACTTGTAATTATAGCCAGCATTATCAAGTTGAAAGTCATGGTGGATATGTATAAGATGGGTTCCGAAGCAGACGTCACTTGTAGGCGCACCACTACCCTTATTTTCCCCGTCTAGGCTAACCATTTGTTTGGCAGACTATCTGGCGGAACTAATTATCTGGGTCGAAGTTGAGCCTGCTATGGGTATCATCTCAGCCTCTCTTCCCACCCTTCGCCCAATTCTGAGCTTTTTCTTACGCCATGTTGGACTAAGTCAGGACGCATCTGATCGGGCGAATACGCCTGGCAAATCACTCGTCACGTTTGGGCGGGTCAATATGCGGAAGAAGAGAAGCGGCTACACAACGGCGGTCAGCATTGACCAGGATCAAGAGTCGATGGAACGCCTTAGCGGATGGCCCGAGGAACACCTTGGTAAGACGACCGCTACCGTCGGTGTCGGACACGGAGACGTAGAACTCAACCGCATGGAATCCAACCAGCCGCAAACCACCAACGTAAAAACCGAGATGGCATGGACTGAATCTCATGTCAAGGAACAAAGGGACAAGGAAGAAGTCAAGTATAATCGGATGCAGTAGAGCCTAGCTTTCAGGCAACGAACTACGAATTATGTATAAAGGCGATAATGTAAGAAGACGAAATTGTATAAAGACGAAATCGCATAATTGAGGAAATTGTATAATCGAAATATTCTATGAATGGTACACAAAATAAAATGGTATAGTCTATAGCAGCGTGGCAAACGATCACCTTATAATTATATTCGAAATATTCTATGAATGGTACACAAATGAAACGGTATAGTCTATAGCAGCGTGGCAAACGATCACTTTATAATTATGCGGATTAATGTTAATCTCGGCCCATGGCAAGATTCTGTCGTAGGTAGGAGCGCTTTGTTACACGTCTTATTATCCATTGTGCATTCCAAAAGCAAGATTTATTTCGGCGACCGAATCTTTCGCCAACGGAAGGAAAGATCACGATCTGGAAACATGGCGATACTACCCGCATAGCGCCCATCGTTCTGTGCTGGCCTATCTGATTCCGCACCGTCCAAGTGTGTCCATTGAACAAACTCGAGATCGAACTTAGTAACAATTAGAGCCAGTGCCAGCATTATCTCCATTTTACCGAAATGGCGGCCTGGACACACCCAATGCCCGCCGCCTACAATTTCCCAGTCAGCCAGCCAGCCGGGCAAAAAGAAAACAGTGTCCAGACAGCAGAAGAATGGGGCTCACCATAAGGAAAAAAAGACGTCGGCCTCCCGTTCATGGCGAAACGCATCCGAGTAGTCGTGTCCCCGGTCCGTTCATCCCGGGACTCCTCAGTTCGGACGTGACGCCAGGCCCAGAACTCACGGGCAGGGTGCCCTTCAATAGCCCATACCTCCTCGTCCAAATGGGCTATGGTCGAGCACGTCTGCACAATTGCGCCCTTCTCTATCCAGCAGCCTGGTGCGATCTCGAAGGGTCCGTCGCGCACCTCGCGTGTCACGGCGAACGACACGTGCAGCCGCATAGTCTCGGTATAGAGCGACTGGAGAAGCGGAAGGCTCACAACGCGCCGAGCATCCAGCTCGCCCGTCTCGGCATCGATTGATTCCGTGAGAACCTCAGACCGCACTGCATTGAGTAGCTTCGGATCTTGGAGAAGCTCGGCCAAGGCCCAAGCGGTGATGGGCACCGTGTTGCCGTTAAGGCTTGAAACATATGATTGTCAGCCCCCAAGGGTCTTACACATAAAGGATTAATATAGACGGTGTCACGGGGGATTTCCTTCCGAAAGAAAAGGTCATGATAAACGGAAAGAATGAGAGCCATCGCTCACCCAAAAAGAGTTGCTAATGTGTGTCCAGCAGCAGTATGATCTGAAAAGCCTTGCTCGCGAAGCCACCGAGCGCTCTCTCTAGACAGATGCGAGCCGAAGTGCGGCTCCCATAGCGACTCAACGTCTACGCAGCCGGAGTCGAAATTGGCCCAAGCAGCATCGATGTGGCGGCGCACCATCGCGTGGAGGCGGTGTTTGGCACGAGCAGCTCGTGGCTGCAGAAAGCCGGGCGGGCCTGTAAGAAGCCGTCCTGCTACTTCATCATATGCCCAGTAGCATTCGGTGAAGCCGGGGTTGAGGTCGAATAGTCGTGTGCCAAACAACGTCTCGGCTGCGCACTCGGACATGTGCTTTCTCAGCGTGCCCAGCAGGCGCATTGACGCCCACCCCCCATCATGTAAGCCCTCACATTGCCTGTCAAGTCGCTGCGCGAAACGACGTGAAAATTCCATCGCTAGAGCGTCCGAATGCCTCGTATCGGTCAGATAGTCTGTGTAGAGCCGATTGTGGTTGCGCCAATACCGTTTGTCTGCTGCCAAGCCTTCGAATCCGGGCGCCGGCTTCGGTAGTCTACCAGACCTATCCTCCCTGAACTTGGCCATCTCAGCTTTGGTCATGCCCCATTGCTTCCCCATAAGAAGGTAGTGGATGAAGTTGCCATCCAGGATCTCAGGTGATCCGAATAGCCTCTGAACGTTCTGCGGGCTGGCAACGAAGTAGCAGGGCCGAAACCCAACGTAACATTTCACTACCTCGCTGTTAGTAGCTTCAAAGACCTCACTGGATATCCGAGCGTTAGAAGTAGAGGTCCCTGTCAATAGGATACTTGGAGCTCACCTGACCCGTTCCAGGAAAGCTGCCATGTCCGTCATAAAAAGGAACGTGTTAGAGACATAGGGAATGGATTCCGGCAGGTATGATAGACCATTGCTGCTATGCGACGTTTCCCGGCCAAATGCGTAAGACGAGAGCAACACAACACTTAAAACTAAGATAACTGGGATGGAAAAGTATGACGACAATCCGGTCAAAAAGGACGAAAAGCCATTGGTTGCGTCCATATTGATACACCTCTTGTGACACGACCGCCGAGATGTCTAGGACCACAGAAAGAAGGCATGGATAGGCAAGCCGTTGTTGACAATGATAAATTAGATGGGAGACCGTTTGACCCTGAAAAGCCTCGGCAATGCTACTGTGCCATTAATGGAACCAGCCTCATTTAACGTGTAGAGACGGGTACGAGTACAGCTCGAGAAGAATGCGAAAGTATTGGTCTATACCGGTCAAAATCATGCCACCCGTTTTAGCCTACATATCCGGAGTGCTACAGTAGGTGCTGCCCGAGACGATAGCTCCTGCAGCCGAGTTGAATTCAAGAGTGCGAGACCCGTAAGCCCGTACAACCTTGCATGCGTCCTCATATCTTAAATTTAAAAGAACCCTGGCAAGCAGTGGCCACTCATGGGAACGATCACATTGACCTGAGGGGAAGTCCAGGCAGGGCGACGCTGGCTGACCGGGGAGTTCACGGCTTGATCTTCCACCAGCCGAAATTGCGTGGGTAATCGTACCATCCTTGTTAAGGCGCGACACAGCTCTGCGCCGCAGCACCGCAGCACCGCAGCAGCACAGCATGGGCTGTCGCACGCTTGTGAGAAACATCGATCCTATAACTATAGGCCCCACGCGAGTTTTAAAGTTTACGTAGCACACAGCTGACTAGCTGACCTAGCCGACCCTTCCACTATCTTTGTGCTCTCGAGTAATGTTAGTCTAGATGAGTCCCGGCGCCATATATATCGATTCCATCACTCATGCTTGCACGGCCCGCACCGTTGCTCCGACTAAAAAGGTGGGGGAGAGAGGGAGGGGGTGAAGAGGGGGAGGGGGAGTACGATAACGGGGTAACTATACCAACGCGCTCGCCATGGAAGCCATTCACAGATGCAAGGGATATTTTTCGGCAACCAATCATGTACTGTATGAAAGAAAGAAAGAGATATTTTGAGTTTGAAAAAAGTATGAGTACATCGGAACGGCGGCACAGGTCTCTTGCCAACATCACCACGGTCCCCAGTCTTAAAGTGTGCGCAATAGCCGCCAAATCACGTAATTAATCCATGCAGGCGACTTTCATCTGATGATCTTGCATACATATCAAACCACTAAGCAGAGCAGTACGGTACTGGTCTAGACGGACGACATGCATTTGATCCTTGCAACTGTGCTGACATGCACTGACAGGCCAATCTAGCTACGCAGTTTTATTCTTGTCTGAAAATCGTCTCTGCAGGATGCAAGTCTCCATTTTCTCGCAGGCGAGATCCCAATCCGTCGTCCACTCCTTGTAGAAGGGCTGATATCCCAGCAAGCTGCCAGCCCACCTGCCGAGAACAATGCTCATGACACGGGAGACCAGGGAGCGCATAGGCACAAACCAGGGCAACGTGAGGTACGAGTCACCGGCATCGAACATCTAGATCAATGGAGATTCAAGGTCAGCCTTGAGTCAATGTATCAACAACGAGGACATCTTACACTCATAACCTGGATGAGGTCCAACTTTGCTCCATGTATAACCACTTGCTCCTGGTATGCGTACCAATTCTCAAAGAAGACCAGGTCCAGCGCAAAGGCGCTCGATATTTCTTCTGCCGACAGGAGGCAGCGCACCCTACTACAAATCTCGCTGCGGAAAGGGTAGAGGCGATGGTTGACACCGCGCCGCAGAGTAAATTCCGGGTCGCCAGGTCGCAAGATGTGCTCGACCCCCTCGACCTCGACCGCCAGGGCGCCTTCAGACACGCTCACATACTCTTCTTGAAGAGGGTGAAAATGCTCCGGCGGTTTGGACGGCAGATTGCGAAGGCGCGGGTGATCAGGGTAGAAGATGATCTCAAAAGAGAAGGCACGCCGAGCATCGGCGGGTAAGACGCGGGTGAGGATGGCGCCCTCAAAGCTGATGCAACTAGCTTGAGATAACTGATGACTAAATCTGGTTCTAAAGTTGGAAAACTTACGCGGTAATTGTGACTGTACCATCTTGGTTCCGCTGATGGGGTAAAGCGGCTCTCAGCCTCTCAGCAGCCGTCATAATCACCATCGTAGAAAAGAACAGCAGAAATTTACGAGCACACAGAGGAAATCAGAAATAATTTTCATTTGTCCTGGCCGTCGCAATTATGTAACAACATCGTCTGAACGGGGTTTTGCACCTCACGCGTGATGACTGAGACCATTGCCCTTTCAGGCGCTCGCAGGGATTGGTGAGAATTCAGCTGGCGACTTCAAAAACGCACGAGCTGCAGTGGCGTGCTGACCGCGCTGTATATAGTACTAATCTGGGGTCTCCGCGTCTAATGCCTGCCACTGTCCCATGCCGCCCATACCTTCTTGAAACGGAAGTTGAGTAGTGCACATCCGACCAAGCAAATGCTGACCCACGCAAGGGGCATTGACACCCCCTGTCTAGTCTCATAATCTTCACACAAATAAGCGATGCACGATATACTCGGTAGCCAGGGCACCTGCCATGGAAAAACCAGCGGTCCAGAAACCATGGCCGAACCACCACCAGCAGCTGCTTGAGTCTTTCAAATTGACATAAGCAATCATGCATCCGAGGGACAGCACACATCCACCTGGCGCGATAATCAGGTACGGCCACCATCCCATCACCCCCGAGGAGGTGGCACATGCCACGAGCATGGTCACCATGCCGCACAACAAGAAAGATAGTGCGGGCTTTGTGCCACGGTCACCCAGCATGACTGCCAGGCTGCGAAGCCCAAGTCTTTTGTCATCAACCAGGTCCTGGTGAGCGTATATAGTGTCGTATATGGCGGTCCAGAGGACACATGCCAGCGTGAGGTAAATGGCGGGAGGCGAGATGCGGAGCATCGATACGAATGCCGGCGACCAGCTATCTACGTTGGCATGCGAAAGGGTGAGGTAAGGTCCCACTGCAAACGGCTCTAGTCCCATGGCCGCACACCCAATGACGACGCCCCAGGCCAGACAGAAGCCCAGAACGAATTGAGCAAAGTGCGTGTGGCGCTTGGCGTACGGGTAGTACACCGTTGCGAAAGCGTTGGGCAGGACATAGAGAGCGGTCCCCTGCCCCTCGCGGCCGGCGAAGCCAACGTAAAGCACGGCGATACCCAGGAGAGCCTGAGAAACTGCAAAGGTAAAGGCGGCGCGGGCCGAGACGGCGCCGCGGGGGATGGGCCGTTGTCGGGTGCGCGCCACGGCCGCGTCGAGGGGTGCATCGACCAAGTCATTCCAGGCGTGTGCTGCGTTGGAGAAGAACAGGCTCCAGGGCAGCAGAACGGCACATGTGCGTAAAACATGGCCAGGGGGCGAGTCTCGGACAACCGCGGCAAGCAAAGCACCGAACAGGTGTGGGAAGTAGATCAGTGCCAGGCCCGCCGGGGGGCTCAGGCGCGCCAGTTGCACGTAGGGTATCCACGACTCCGGGAGCCTGGATACCCAGCGTCCAGAGTGCCGGCCTCCGTACTGCTGCGCGAGATCGGGTTTGGATCGTGCACCAGAAGCCTTTCCGTTGTGCGGAAGGCGTTTTTGGTTTCTCCCAACTGTCCGGGTCTGTTCTTGCATGCTGATGTGACTATGACAATGCAAACGGGATTTGAACAACAATAAAGTGTATGGATTGTGTCGAAGTACTTTACGATTAGACGATCAGGAGAACAGAGTATCTATGGTGAGATGGAAAACGTAGCCCGAATAAGGACATAAAGTATGTAGCAACCTTACGGTGTTCAGAGTACTTTGCACACCAAGTTGCCCACGAACGTTGCACGAGGTAGCACCAGTGATACTCTACATCGAAGTGGTCCCGAGCACAGATATGGACTATAACATACATGATGCAGCACAACACGTGACTTTACCAGGTCCTTTTCGCCCTCCCCCACGGCGATAGCCGTCTCATCCCGGAATTTCTTTCCGATGCAGTGTATCTAGTCTACAGCCCTAGCTTGAAACCCCCCGGAACCAACCTCTGGAATACCATGTGCGGATCATAACGTGCCTGCACGTCCTTCATCTTGGCCACATTTTCGGAGCCGTAACTCTGCAAGACTGCCTGACTATAGCTAGCGTCATTCGCGAAAATGTACTCCACCTCCAGGCCCCGCTCTACGGCTGCGTCCCAAATAGACTCCTGTATGTCAAGTGTGGCATTGTGCCCCGGGTCATCCTCCGAAGGCAGCCACCAGCCGGAATCCAACACAAACCAGGTTTGGTTGATGGCTGAGAGCCCAAATACATTGCCGCCACGCTCCTGGCCAGCGAGGACTAAGCTCGCCGAAATTGGCTGTAAGCCAATGGCCATGGAGCCCGCAGTGAGGGACTCAATCGGTGCCAGGTTCGCTGCCGAGGTTGTGATGTTATTGATAGCCTCGTACAAACCGGCGTCAGGCAGAAAACTGGTAGCAAACCAGTCGATTCGAGGAATGTCGGGAACATACTGGGCGCTCATCATATCAGTCAATGTTTGAATCTGGGTGGTGTCGCCAGTAGTTGGGATCGAGTAAAATGGTGCAAAGGCGGCCGGGTCCGCTTCAGGCTTGAGGTATACAATATCAAGGACAGCACCATTAGTTGCATTTGTTGTAAAAGCTTGTAGCATGACGTTGGCGTATGGATCTTTGTTCGGTGCAGCTTGGTATTCAGCCATGGCGGCGTACAGAGCTGGCAGCTGATCGAGTGCGTAAAACTTGAAGCCGCCCCATACAAGATGGATTTGATAGGTAGATAGCTTAAAGGAGGTGACTACGCCTGCCCCATAATCTAACTTTCAGTTCAAGTATCTTAAAGTCATGCAAATTCACTGACCAAAGTTGTTTGCTCCACCTTTGAGCGCCCAGTGCAGATCTGGGTGTTGGTCGGCGCTTGCAGTGACCAGCGATCCATTAGCAAGCACCACCTACGGTTTATTCAGTGCGAGATCCAGAACAAGCGGCGATGAGGCTACTAACCTCATGTTCTACCACGTTATCACAACCTAAACCATATAGATCTGAAAGGTACGAGAGACCACCTAAGCTCAGATAGTATTAGCACTCAGCCTATAATCGTTCAAGAATATAGAAACGACTTACTTTGGAGGAGAAACCCGCCTACTCCAACATCGACAACCCTACCACCAACAACAGTAACGTTATAGGGATCAAGAGCAGTGTAAACGGCGTTCCACCTATTACCGGTGCCGACCACTACCGTGCTCGAGGCTGCGTCATATGTAATTCCATTGAGATCAGCCAAATCAATCAGCACGCCGTTGTCGATGTTGGCAGCCCCAGGAGAAGGACTATGGCCACCGGAGCGAATGGCGAACTGGACCTGCTCGCCCACAAGGAGCTCTACAATCTTCTGGACCTCTGCCGCAGAGGCCGGCACGACAATGCATGCGGGATGGGCCGTGGCCGTGGCCGACCTTTGTTACATGGGTCAGAATCAAACTACATTTTGCAGTGGAGGGCTTTGTACTGACCAGTTCTCGCTGACCAGGGTACTGTAGTTTGCGCTGGAGGATAAATGAACTGCCCCTGGCAATATTTTAACCAGATCTTCGCACGCAGTCTCCACATTACTTTGATCAGCGCCTGGATCAGCTGCTGTAGTACCAAGGAGCAATGTAGTCACCGATACAATTAGAAGTAATAGAGACATGACGAGTTGCTTTATTATATTTCCATGATCTTGACCCAGCACGCCGCTCACTGCCTTGTAACTTATATACTTCGACTATACGGTATGCGGCGTCCATTCTGACTTTGCTTGTTACAATTCCTCATCCTCCGGCTGTTGGGGCCATTCTGGGACCAAGTCAGCCTAACAATGTATCTTTAGAAGTCCTTGTGGCTACAGATTATCTGTGAGCGGCATAGGATAGGATCAAAATCCCAGCATTTCGTCAGCATGGTTGACAGCATGGACGCACAATGGCCTGTCATGGCATGTCAGCCATCGAGGCACAATCCTGACAATGGGCGGACGAATCGTGCTGCAAGTCATAGCGGATACGTGGGATTTCTAACATTCATACATGATTAGTCTAGCCGCCGAAATGAGACTGAGCTTGGCGGCTTTCGCGGCTTTCGCGGCTTTCGCGGCTTGGCCCGCATTCAATGTCTTTGGCTATGTTCGCTATGTTCGATATATGCAACTATATGCTGCACCGACAGTGCAGCGGCGTGGTTGTGGCACAGCTTATCTAGGTTGTTCTCATTGGATGAGCGTATGCACCCAATGTGGAGATGGCCCGAGATCATTTCGCTTAAAATGGGAGTGGTCTCGTCAAGGCTGCCAATACGGATCCGTATGCAGTCCGCAGAGAAGTGATGAAAGGTCGGGTAGAGGTATAGTAAGTACCTGTACATGCTTCGGCAAGGTACCGGATTGCCTGCCTTACTGTGTAGGCATTATATGTGGGAAGTGTCCATCCGCCGAACGCGCGAGCTCCGGGGGCCAGGAGCAGTCAGAAGGTTAGCGCGGTCCTCCTGTTTTCAACTTCCCCACGGTTTCCGCTGAAAGTTAGTCTCCATCTTCGGCTTTCATACGTTTGAAGTCAGTTGGTCATGTCGAACACCATCATCATCACTGGAGCCAACGGCTCGCTGGCCGTCCCAGCTGTGGACTACCTTCTTGAGCATTCGCCGAAATCAACTTTGGTGCTCACGGTTCGCGACACCAGCGACGGCGATGCGAATACTAGCAAGCTGCGCAGCGTCGTTGCTAAGCATCCCGGAGCTCTCGTCTCAATCCGGGAGCTCGACCTTAGCCACCTCTCCGCCGTGCACGATTTTGCTCGCGATATTGCGGCAGAGGTTGCCAAGGGGTCCCTCCCCCAGCTCTCTGGCATCGTGGGCACCGCCTATTACTGGAATCTGGTAGGTCCGCTTGAGCTGACCGACGACGGCTACGAGAAGACAATTCAGGTCTCCTATTTGTCGCACTTCGCACTCGTCCTCCGCTTGATTAAGAGCTTCCGGCCTGAGGGTGGAAGAATTGTCCTGTTCACGAGCGACGGCCACGAGCCCGGTAAGAACGGGCTGGAGAAGATACCGCCAGCGATCTCTGCAGACCCGACCCAGCTTGAACTTCTCGTCAAACCCGCCAAAGATGCATCGCCCGACGCCCTTGGCCACGGCTTTCACCGCTACGCTAACTCCAAGCTCGCACTGGTCATGTTCACACATGCGCTCAACCGCCGTTTGCAGCAAGACGCCCAGCTGAAGGACATCACCGTTGTGGTCACAAACCCTGGAAACTTGGCAGACTCGCGCGCTCTGCTTGTCAACACCCCACTCAAGCTGACCATCTTGTCGAAATTTGTACTCCGGCCCTTGCGGCCGCTGCTTAGCCTGAGTAAGTCGGACCTGGCTGCAAAACTCACACATCATGCTTTTTACAGAAATCAAGGGATTGCTAGTTCTGAGGAGCTCCATCCAGCAAAGTCACTTGAGACAGGAAAGTGCTGACTCTTTTCCGGAATAGTGGATCCAACTGCACGAACTGCCGCCGCCGCCGGGATCGACGTTGCCCGCCTGGCTACCAATGAGGCCCATCCTGGCGAGCGTGGTTACTTCACGCTCCTCACGCCAGACCAGGGCTCTAAAGAGAGCCGGGACGAGACGGCACAAGACGCCCTCTGGTCGAAGAGCGTGCAGTGGGTGGGCTTGACAGCGCAAGACACGCCATTGGTCAAGTAAGGCGCTTTTGAGATATCGTGGCCATTGTGCCCTGTTTTAACACCAGCTTCTTGCCAATATTCACAACCGGCTGATGTGTTCAATAACCCGTATGGAAGATGCGCGGACATCTGAGTGGTGAATGTGATGAGATGGAATGTAATATGACGGTTGGCCCTATGAAATTGCTTTACAGCACCCCATATGTTTAGCTGCGCCCTTAAGGAGATACGACAAATAATCTAATGGAAGAAATGCAGGGAAAAAATGATCTTTTCGTACCTTCTCCAAGTAATCAATACGATCTTTGTCTTTATGCTGTGCAGAAAAATTGTTAATTTCGAGTATGCAAGCGGACGTCAATGAATCTCCAATTCTCCAAACAAGAAGGTTTGCTCTGACGGAGCATGCACCTACCGCTAACCTTTGGGCTACGCGGTAGGGGTATAACTGGGAATTCAGTACGACGCTACATCATTTCAAGTACACACTATCCACATTGGCCTATTGGCAGCAAAACCATCTGCGGCACATGCCGTAATCTAATTCTTTAAAACCCGAAGAGAGTCCCAAATCTAGTCTTCCTTTATTAATAATCTCACTTGTAACAATATGGAGCACGTCCAAGCATGGCTGAGCCTGGACACGGCCAAAGCAACCTTGATCGCTGTTATTCTTGTCGTGCTCCCTATAGTGCTTATTGCTACCGCATGGAGGGAAAATAATCGTCTCTTGTCGTTCCCCGGGCCGCCACTCGCTGCATGGACTCGCTTATACTCAGTTGGCATGGTTCTAACTGGCAGGGAACACGAGATATTATTAGATGCGCACAAAAAATACGGTACGAGTTATTGGCCTTAGAAACTTCTTTTCGGGTGTCCTAGCTCATGCATTGGTAGGGCCCATCGTGCGCTGGCAGCCCAACTTGCTGCTCATCAACGACCCGACCATGCTACCTAAGATTTACCACCTGCGTGCGAACAAGACGCCGCACTATAATCACTCACCCAGTGATGTAAAGGGTATGGTTGAGGAAAACGACTGGCAAAAGCATCGGGAAAAGCGTCACCGGATAGATCCCGCAGTAAGTCGCCTGGCAAAATGGCGTGCGCACCAAGATCGAGAGGATTAACCTGATTGGACTACTTCGTAGTTTTCTCCCAAGTCCATTTATGACAACGAAGCTTTAGCAGATGGGTTCATCGCTCAATGGATCAATGCCCTAGGGACCCGATTCGCGGCAACAGACCATATCTTCGATTTCTCAGACTGGGGAAAGTACGTCTTAGTTCCTGTGTGGCCCTTGTCTAACTGGCCAGCTGGACTGATTCTCTAGCTACTTGGTGTTGGACATAGTCACCAAGTTCTTTTTCGGCCAAGAGATAGGCTTCCTCGAACACGGAGACAAGAGCGGCATGTTAGCCGATACCCGTGCCAATGGTCCATCCATCCATGCACTTGCAAGGCTTCCACGGCTCAAGATGTTCTTACTTCGGTCCTTGGGGAGATTTCTGATTCCGACAGCTGGGGATGGTTCTGGCCTAGGAAATGTTCTCAAGGTGAGATTTAAGATGCTTTTGCAACCTTATATCCACTTACATTCAAGTTCTAGCTCAGAGACGATCTTTATGAGGAACGGTTGGCTAAGGGAAACAGTGTATCGCATATTGGGTTAGACATGTAAGTTGGCGACGCCTAGTCACTGGCAAAGATTTGTTGATTTGCTGATATATATGCCGCGGAAGGATTCTCTCCAGCAATATAAATCTTAGCGCTCACGATCACGAGGAGCTAAAAGAAGATGTCTTGTTTGTCATGTAAGCATTGCTCACCTCTTCAAACCAAAACAATCACAAGCTCATGCGCTTTACCTCACCAGTCTCGGCGCCAGCGACACCACTGGTCACGGCATCCGCTGTCTGGTCCGCAACCTGCTTCAAAATCCTGACTGCCTCACTCACCTCCGACAAGAGATCGACGCTACTGTTTTGAAGAACGGCGGCATCGACAACTTAACTTTTACGCATATCAACACTCAGATGCCGTACTTGTCCGCTTGCATCCGCGAGTCGCTGCGCTTCGACCCTCCCATTGTCAGCTTCCTGCCGCGGTGGGTTGACAACCCGGGCGGCGTCGAGCTGTGCGGCCGGCTCGTACCGGCTGGCGTCGAGGTGGCAGGCTCACCGTACGTGGCTAGCCGCAATCGTGAGCTCTTTGGTGAAGATGTGCACTTGTTCCGCCCTGAGCGCTACAGCGATGCTTCGCCTGAATGGGTGGCCAAGGCGGCGCGATACGACTTTACATTTGGGTACGGGCCGCGGCATTGCATTGGCAAGACTCTGAGCCACCTCATCACGGTCAAGGCGATTGTGCAGGTAAGCGCTACTGTTGTCATGATACAGTCTTTGAAACGTATTGTTGTCATCTCTGCTGATACTTGAACTAGCTTTTTCATCACTTCGATGTAACCTTAATCGAGCCTGGTTCCGGGAAGGCGTTTCTGAATTGGAACTATTCAGGCTTGAACGTAAAACTGGCAGCTAGGGTGCCTTGATTTATCCCAGTAAGTAATGATTTTGAAGGCAGTAATTAGGGATCAAGCGCAATCGTTCAAATGTCTTTTTTATGTATGCAGCGAATTCAAAGCCTACCACAAAAAGAAACAATATGAGGGCCAAATGTCTGGTGGCATAGAGCAGGTGACCTTGGATGTGTGGCCATTTTAAAAGAAAAGGTGGTCAGACAATTGACTGGGATATTTCTTGGTCATACGTGTGAGATATGCTCTTGAAATGGAAGATCAGTAGAAACTCGGGGATTGTTGGTGCCGCCCAACAAGGATCGATTTGGGAGCAAACCTTCCTCTATCTGCATATGTTTACAGGACATCCTAGAATTGACTTCATTCTAGCTCATTCTAGCTTGTACAAAGGATCACAGATCTTGGGACGTAGTTAGTATCAGCATTGCTTTGAGGGCAGACTATGCAAGGTCCGTAAATGTATATCGGATCAATGGGTTGATACCAAATTACCCGAAATGAGATATGGCCGCTTCTTCAACGAAAATGTCGGCGAAACGTATTACGGATGTATGACTGTAGAAACAGTGGTACTACCGTTGTTTCGAATAGTAGTTGTCATGATATATATCCGTTGCTATAGGATGCAAACTCATGTTCGGGTGAAAAGCACTCGCTTTCTAATTACATGCTCACTGAAACGTAAAAGAACACCTTTATCAGATAGAGTCATGGGCAGCGACGAGTATTGATGAGAATTAGATATTTCTTTTAGACACAAAGTGCGAAGATTTGTTATCAGCGAGCAATAAGGGTTAAATATCAGTAATAAGGCAGGCAGCGAGTTATACTACGACACCCCCGTTTGTAATCAAATCCGGTCTCGACTCGACTCAATGTCTTTGATATGTTATTCGATACCACGCCACCACCTCAGTCGTTCCCAATCAACGTCAAACTTCAATACTGGGATGTCAAGACAAGTATCCAATATGGCCTTATGGGTGTGTTTAACCTAGTATATCTGCGCTTCTTAGTGCTTGTTCTTCTTAACAATGAGATTTTTGATATTACCACAAAGCCTTCTCAAATGTTGAGTAAGTTCAGGGTTATTATATCGATTTTCAACTGGAACAAATACATTACCGACTTCAACAACCTTCCCAGAGCCTAGTGGTTATTTGTAGTGCGAAGAAGCGCACATGAAGAAGCCTACGCTTCAACAAGGCCAGTGCAGACTGAAATTTCGACAACCTTGATGAACTCTTCAACCTCTTGATTATTCAGGGCCCTCGCTTAAAGCCCACTTGAGCCTATAATCTTCTACAGTTCTTTTTGGAGGCTAGCTTCGTAAATGTGGAGAAGAATACTAAAGATGTACTGACTCGTCTCGCTCTTCAGACCAACGAGTCGAAGCGTCTTCTCCCAGCTGCCGTCCAGCAGACTAAGAACGACGCTTATGGAACATCTTTAAGCTCCACAGTGATTAGAGAAAGCCATAACCATTGCCTGTGTTTCTTTTAACACAAATGATCCTTCCCGATACGGATGACATGATAATCAGAATCGTCGTATCTTAAGTATTTCGATGTGTATTGCGACGTGTCACAATTCTTCCAAGGAGGCTGATGACTCCCCGGACTGGGCTTAGAAAACCACACCACATAGAACTCATGCGGTTCGAGCCGTTACTTTTCCGTTTGGAGCTATAGTAATACAAAGGGTCATCCCTTAATCCAGTGATCAATTTACCTCGGCATCTCAGGTAGTTGAATAACGTGGAACTTAGACCTGAACATCTTGGCGCATCGACAAGTGTCCGAAATACATAAGCATATCGTATTGAGCTAATAGCAACCCTGCAGGTATGGTGATGCGCACATAAGTTTATTTGACATAGGCATCATGGGTACGTACAAAAGGCCCGCGCGAACAGCTGCAAGCCGGTTGGTTACATAGCAAGCTATGATTACAAAGCAATCTTAAAACAGTTAGCTTATAGTAACCATGAGAACTTCCTAACGTTAATAACATATAGAGGTGTTCTGTACAAAGAAAGGGTATTTGTTGATCGACGGTGCTGATCCAGCTTTGAGCAATATTGACCTGGCTCCCCAATATGTCGGTCAATCCATTAAAGCCAATTCGTATTTTATTCACTCGTATGATTCCCATCCCATCGCTGTTTTCGGAATTGTTTCGCTGATTGTCAAGCAGCACCTGGCCCCAACCCGTGGAATGTGAACGCCTTTTTAGTGAACTGGAGTCTATTGAGCGAGCGTGAGCGTTATGCTGTTAGTGATACTAAAATTTCTGGAGTAGGCTATCTTCCTGTTCGAGGGACTTGGACTAAAGTATGAGATCGAGTCCTTCAGTTGGGCCCAAGTGAAGAAAAAGCCTTTCATTGATTTTAATCCCAACGGTCGAGTGCCGGCGATCGAAGACCCTAACACAGACCTAACTCTCTGGGAATCAGGTGCGATTTATCAGTATCCGATCGAGCATTACAACATCAATCATCGTCTTTCCTACGAGACCCTAAAGGAGCGCCATATCAGCAACCAATGGCTACACTTCCAGATGAGCGGGCAGGGCCCTTATTATGGCCAATGCGTCTGGTGCCGGCGCTCATACCCAAAGAAGATCAAGTCGGCGATCGACCGATATGCCAACGAGATCGAACGAGTCATCGGCGTGCTGGAGAGTGTGCTGGCTGCTAAGCCCCCAGATGCGCAGTGGCTCGTCGGCGACAACATGACGTTTGCTGATATGGCCTTCGTGCCTTGGAACGTTCACTTGAGTGAGGTCCTGCAGAAGTCCTGGGATGAGGTATGGGGGTCTCTCCTCATGTCCGCGCTTGGCATGAGCGCATGATCGACCTTCCTTCATGGAAGCGCTCCATGGTGATCCGGGCCCGCCTGACTGGATCCTCAAGGACTGTAGTGGAATAGTGTCCTCAAAGGCATCAAGTTATTTCGCAGACTACGAGAATCAGACTGCTGCCGATAAGTCAGACTCGACGAAGAAACCGTGAGATGATGAATAAACTCAGGTCATTTGGGAGGCGTGGTAGTCTGTATGAGACTCGCACCTCGGCTGACGCTATTCTTATTTCTCGATGAACATTGTAAAATGATCGGGCTTAAGGCATGTTTGTGTAGTGTTCAAAGGCATATTAGAGATTAATCACGTGAGTCGTGGGCGCTTATCACCAACCAAAACAATTTACCGGTATGTCCTGGATGTGAACTGTGCATATATTGATAAAACCCAACTATATCCCGAAAACTCCGTTATTGTTACGAATACATCAGGTCTGATACTATATCTCGGGTCGACAAAGAACAAGACTGGCAATAAGAAAAAGAAAAGATACCACATAGAAAAGCTATGAACATTTAAATCGTAAAGCCAGTAAAACAGTCACCCTTTGTCAAGTATTGAAGTAAGGGTGAGACAGTCTAGTCAAGTTGTGACAACTAGTCTAAGCACCAAGTTGCTTGACCGCAAAGCTGATTCCAAGCTTCTGAGTACCTGAATCAGTAGGATACGAGAGATGCTGCATATTGATGCCAACACCATGGGTAGTGTCACAAACTCCGTCACCCTAGTCATGTGGTTAGTAAGTCAACAAGACTTAGAAAGAAAAGAAAAGAAAAATGGCAGTCACTCACATAGATGCAAACATCCAGAGTCTTGGAAATCCAGTCATCAGGAATGCTCTTCCCTAAAGCTGCCGACAGCCCACTGACGTTCTTGGTTGTGGTGCCGCCGTTGTTGTCGACGTTGCACGCCAACCCAGCTTTGCGCTCGGGGTCTCCAATCAAGAACACCCCCTTGACCGCATTGAAGCTCGTACCGGTGAGGCTCGGAAGTGCGTTGACCGTCGCAGCGGCGCCTTGTGAATAGCCCTGGAGGATGAAGCACTCGTTGGGCGATGACTGGAGCGTAGATGTGATCTTGTTGATGATATCCTGCGTGCCGGCCGCGGAGTTCTGCGAGTAATCGGCAGCATAGACCGTGTTGTAGATCTTGCCCCCAGAGAGCTGGGAGGTGACCTGAGAATTAATTGACGTGAAACCAGCAGACTGGCCTTGAAGCTCGCCCGTACCGCGTGTGTTGATGATGGTGTAGGAAGGGCAGGCGCTTGAGCTGGCTCTGACCTCGAGCGAGGCATCGACCGGCGCTGCGCTTACAGACAAGGCCAACAGCGGAAGAAAAGTTAAGGACGAAGCGTGATGCATGATGGCAGATTTCAAGATTGATGAGGTACAAGGAGAGATTTAGATGTGATTTCAAGATCGGATGCCAGATGTGAGTGAATGAAGAGTAGCGATTCTTGGATAATGAACTGCCATTTATTTCGTCCTTTATATACAGTTGCCTCGTCCAAACATCACGCTATGGTTCCTCGGCTCGGCATTTGTGCTACGATAAGCTTAATTCCATGGAAATAAAGGAGTCTTGAACATGCAAATCTACATCATTGTAGGTCACGATGTGGAGGAGGAGTTTCAGGTCACTGGACCGGGCTCCTATGTGGCTCCAGTCTTGCAAGGCTATATCTATCGGAAAAAGATTGATTCTCCATAAATGAGATTCGGGATACGGCTCTGGACCCAGTGACTAGAGTTTAGGTCCCGAATTTCCAGTCCGGGAGTTTGGACTACGTTACTAGTCTCGTCGTTCGCTGTGCTAAGTGTGAAGTCTATTGGTCGCTAGTTACCTCGGCACTTTATTGGAGGCTGAAAAGAAAGCTTCTAGCGCTGTCAATCAGTGCTATAACGTCTTAGTGTTAGGATAATGGGGGGAATTGCTTGGAACGATTTGGAGGGCAAGTGACCCATTATTCGCGTTGAAAGCCGCATAGAGGAAAGTGTCATTATTAGGCTGTTTCCTGATACTGCGGGGCGCCTTTCACACATGGCGAGCGGGTCCGCAAATCATTGGGCGATGCACAAACTCAAGAGCTTGGCATGGCCTTCGGGGAATAAATGGAAGTTATAGCCAGGGTTTAATGCGTTTATGCGTCGTGGAGACCATGGATTCACGCCATTTATCGCGACGCAATAGAGATGGCCTGTGGTCTTTCGCGACTTTCACCCAAACAGTACGAGATGTGTCTTTCCTGGGGTTACACGGTAATCTATTAGTTTATCCTTCGCGTCATCAAATCATGATATGTAATGGCCTCATTTTTCGTCATGATGGGCTCTCTCCAATTGCCGTCTAAAGTTGCCTTCCATACGTATCGTTTTATGCTATCCCGGAATACTGGAAACTCGAATCAGGCTCATATACGAAGCCCGATATGCGTTTAGGGTTCGAATCACCGCGCCAGAGTACATTGCAGCATTGATCATTGTTTTGTCTCATCTGAAGGTCGAGGAGCAGGATTTGGCTTAATTTTGATATGAAATTCCTTCCTATGTCCACATGAAGATGCGCATCCGCCCCCAAGCCGTGCTTAGAGTACTTTTGACCAAAGTCATCGGGTCGGTATGGCCCGTTAGGCCCTGACGCGGTTAGGCCTTTACGCGAAGATCAGCGGTCCGAATCCGAAGCGGGTTGGTTTTAGTGAAAGAGAGATAATCCGTATGGAACCGAGGTATTACACTTAGCGCAGCCTAGGTCCGGATGTCGAGGACGAAGGCCGACTCAGTACTGATCTCTGCCTAAACGTTGCGATTCGTCTGAATGATATATATCTTCTTGAAGCGTCTATAAATCACATCGATGATATAACGAACTAGTCAGTCCATTAATAATGTTTCGCTTGCCAGAACAGCGAGAAAGCCGGCGATTATCGGTGGCCTTTTCTAGATTTGCTGGTGTATTGTTTATGGCAATTTGATGCACAACTTACGACGAATATGTTTCGTATGCTTCCAAATGTCAACATGCTATAGATAACCATTTTTGTGCTTTTCTCAAAATGCGAAAACACGTATGACGAAACATGATACTGAGAACGCAGAAAATGGGGTGATCTCGTAATCAGTAGCCCCAAATGGAAGAGAGTAGCTCTGACATGGTCACATTGGGTATAACTTGGAGACCATTGAATAAAGATCTCGAGGAGAATTTTTATGTATGATCCCAGAAACAACTACCTACGGACCTGGGTATGTTGAGTCCTTTAAACTTGATTTGATTGTAGTTCTACTCCTTGTGACTCTAGGCTCCGCTTGATGGGCGTCACTACTCTGTAGGGTCATGATACTGATCAAATGTGTGTATATTGATCCTCAGTAAAGTATTGTTCAGTTGGCGTGGTTCCTCAGCTATTCTGAGAGATCCCTGAAGGCTATCTATCAAGGGTGGACCGTGCACCTCAGGCATCTACCTAATTGGTGGCAACCACTACCACTACCATTGTTGTCATGACTGGTCCCCATGTGCCAGCAATCGACTCAATCACTCTGTGAAAACTACTTGGCCTGCTGTGCATAATTTCTGAGAGCTTTAGCTTCCATAACTTAGTCCCAGCCTTGGATGTGGAAGACCGCGCGCCGGGTTCCAATGAATGATAAAAACATAAATACCAGGCGCGTGCCTGGGGTTTCTCCTGTCCTTCTCAGGTCCATATCTCTCGTATGGACTTGAAAATCTTACAATCGGATTTGTGTCCTCTTTCGCTCCAGCCTTTGACTTGACAATCCTGCCGTTGCCTGGTGAGCACTATCCATCTCAAACAAAAGCAATCAATGTACTTACTTTACTGCAGTAAACAACAGTTTCGCATCCTGTGCATCTCATCAATCCTCCTACAGTACCCTGACAAGTTTCACACGCTTTACTCTTGTCATCATCGGTCAATCCTGATCCGAGCTCAAGCGTCTTTGTTAAGCTGCCAGGTATAGCCTGTGCTAATGTCAATCTTCGCGGCAGAAAATGGAGTCCAAAACCCTCTACCTACCTTGACTTTCTCACAATCTTCCTTCTCGATCACGAGCACGTCCTTTCTGCCTGGTCCTTTTTCTAACCTTCGCGCTTTAGGCAGGACGATCGTATTTCCTTTCTTTAAGCCTCTCGCCTTGAGGTCAAAATTTCTGTCCTCCTCAAAAGTCACTGCAAAATCCATTCCACTTTTGTCAGTGACGATCAGCGTCGGTTTGGTGATGGTCATGTTGTTTTTGACCTGTGCCACCATATACCACTCCCTATCTGATTCCACACTGTCTGTTGTTGTGGGTAGTGAGTAGAAGGTTGGGAAGGTTGAGTTGTTTGTGAATGACGGCATTTTAGGTCTAGCTCCAGTTGTGCTCCAGTGGAATCAATAGCAATTTACAATACCAACGGTGCGAGTCGCCAAAGGCCGCGGACGTGCAGAAGTGGTGGGTAATGATGTGATGTCTGAAAGATGGGAATAGAAGATTTGATGGTAAGAATTTATTTACAACCTCAAACTGAGAGATGTGTGTTCTGCCAGCCGTGGTGCTGCTCAGTGCAAGATCGCTGAAACATCAGGGGCCATGCATAGTGGGGTCGGTGGCCGAGCCATCTCATCCTCCTCAGAATTCACTCCGAGACCGCATTGTCGGTCATGTCAATGATGGGTGTCACAATATAACTTCTTCTGAACTCACAATTGAGTGTTATTGAGTAGAGATGTACAATTGAACTCTATTGGATTTCGTGCAAAGCATTTGTTGGTCTACTGCTTTCGACCTAGTTAGACCAGATTTAGGGTCGTTCGACGCTATGCCATTTGGCCAAGGTTAGGTTAGTTGGGTCCGATGTGCTCCGTACCGCGGTTAAACTCCGACTTTCCAGCTCGTCCAGGTAGCAACACGACAGGGCCCTAAGCTTTTGTTTCATCCATCTTGGTGCACTGCCAGTGTCAACACGGAACCGCCATACAGTGATGCCTCCTGCAAAGTCGCCGGAAGAGGTGGAGCCACTGCTTGATGCCGACCTTCAAGAATCAACATCTACAGGCGATGCGACACTTTCCGCGCCTCGGTTGAACCATGACGCGTTGACTGGTTCGGCACAGCACCACAATGACAGCCACGCCACGAACACGGACTGGTTGGGGTTGAGAATCGTGACAGCCATGTTCGCTTTCCTAGTCATGGGAATGATTCAGTCAACGACTGGTGTAAGCAACCCATCTTTGACTGTCGACAGACTTTGGCGTTGACATCTACCTAGGTCATGATCCCGCATGTAAGATACGTGGATTGCTGTCTTCAACATAGCAGCTGATCGTTGGAGTAGTGGGAAAAGCACTACGGCCTTTCAGATACACTTGTTTCCCTGATCTTTCTCCTGACGCCTCTGGGTTACTTTGTTGCAGCTTACTTCAATAGTGTCATACATCTGCAGCTGGGCCAACGGGGCATCGCTGTTATCGGACCAATATGTCAGCTCACCTTCGCAATCGGTCTCTGCACGCACCCACCGTATCCAGTTCTGCTTAGTCTCAGCATTTTCGGGGCGATAGGAACGGGCCTCCTTGATGGCTCTTGGTGTGCATGGGCTGGAGCCATGGAAAATGCCAACACGATCCAAGGATTCCTCCATGGGTCCTACTCTGTCGGCGCGAGCTTTGGACCATTCATTGCCGGAACCATGATTTCCGCTGCCGAAACTCCTTGGTGGCACTTTTACTATGTCTTGGTGAGCCGAACTATCTCACTGTAACTAGAACAATGCTTATCCATCTACATAGTCCGTATTTTGCGTTATTATGCTGGTCTCGTCGGTCTATGCGTTTCGCTTTCAAGATGGTAAAGCATATCGTGCAGAGAAGCATGACGGCACAGAGCAAGACGCTCATGCCCGTAAGCAAGACGACCTGGCAATCTTCAAGCACATTGCGACCTGGATTTGTGCAGCGTACTTCTTGGCATACGTTGGTATTGAGAGTCAGTTGATCTTGCGCCGCCCATACTGGGCAAGCAGTAATCCTTTCCTATTAACGTTAGGTGGTAGGCTCCATTACCGGCTGGATTGTGGTCTACATGATCCGCGCCCGCCACGCATCAGGTTATCTGGCAAGCATCTGCTCCTCCCTCTTCAACATTGGAATGGCAGTCGGGCGACTTTCTTTAGGTATCCTGACTGATAGACTGGGGGTGAGGCTAGCTATCATGATCTACCTGTCCACTGCGGCCATTCTACAAGCCTTGTTTGCGCTCGTCGAGCTACCCGCCGTCTCAGCGGCGATCATTACTATTATCGGCTTTCTGTTGGGGCCGATGTTTCCTTCTGGAGTAGTTATGATCACTCGACTGCTGCCAACACATTTGCATGTCGGCGCGGTCTCATTCGTCGCAGCGTTAGGAGAGGTTGGTGGTGCATTGCTGCCATTTGCATTAGGGGCTATTGCCGACCGTCTGGGTATTGGCGCATTTCAGTACATCATTTTGGCTCAACTCATTGTCACGTTGCTTATCTGGATGTGTTTTCCCCGATTACCGCCAAAGACTGTACTTGTTGACGCCTATGACGAATACGGTTCCTTACAGCGGAGCTAAAGAATAACTTCTTGGCCAATTGCCGGGTCGATTACTGAACAGACCGTGCTCCCCACATGCACAGAACAAATGATTGTCCTTCCAACAAATGACGCAGACCCGCAAATCGCGATAGCAAGCCTGAGCACAACGCGTGCAGCAAAGTAATATGGACCAATACCTACCCGTGCGGTCTTAGCGTCCTCACCTTTGTGCACTGTAAGAGCCTGGATCCCGTTTCACGACCTATAACTGGCAGCGGGCGTCATTGGCATTTAGGATGGTCTTGGTGCCGAGTTCATATCCATTACGCCAACAGCGTTGCTGTCATAGTTCGTTGTGTAAAAGAACAAGACCTCGTACAGATATGGGCGTGGGCCAGCGTGGTAATCATACATGATGTCATGGGTATTCCTACAAAAAAGTACCTTTTTGCCTTCGATGGCCGCAGTACTTCCTTGGCAATCGGTCCCATTAAAGATGTTTGGGTCATTCGATGGAATGAAAGACCATCCATCGCCGAGTTCCGTATGAGTCTGGCCGGCATTACCGGGATTTCAGCCCAGATCATTGGGATTTGGTTGGCCAAGGTTAGGGTTATGCGAATCGATGGGTTATTGAAGCAGCGTGTGGGCGGTCCTAGAAGTCGAGGCAAAGCTGGAGTCGGAGGAAAGAGAGAAGGAAAAAAGAAATAAAATAACGGGTGACTTTCTTCTAATCACAGGTCTGAGCTCTGCTATTATGCTGACCACGGCGGTACGGTGCATTACTGCTATAGGAAAGTCGCAACTCCGGGCTCACGGCATTCTTTCCATTACTGTGTCATTTCATTCATGCTACAATGCTTGAGCAGGCAATGCAGACTTGTCATACGACACATGGTGTAAACGGGTGACTATCATGACTAAAAGCCTAAGCGGTGTGGCATCACATGTCGAGCACGATCACCGTCCTGTTCCATAATTTTGAACCTCTGAGTGGCGGCCCGGAAAGGAAAGGCGACGTTCCTTCAGCCAGAGGGTATAGGCGAGGGCTTAACGACCGTGTCCACACCAACTCGTCCCACAGTAGCTAGATAACACAGGAGACACATGTTCAGATAGGTCCAGACCACCTATATTTCGGGCTTACCAGCCACGTACCTACGATGTACATATAAAATGTGTTACGGCACACATAGCTAAAATAGTTGGAATTTTACCTGGTCACCAACCCCAGAATCACACCACAATCCATTATTTTCAATCACCTCATATAAATCCAGAATAAATTATAAAGTTATACCTTCGTAATAAATTTCCTAGAAGTACCTATCTATAGGTTTTGCTCAGTATTCTTTATAAAACATATTTAACTATTAAAGATATCAGCTTTTCAATTGAAGACTTTTATTAATCCGTTAATATTCTCGGGGAAGTTATTAATTGCGCCAGAATGCCGAGCCTGCAGATGGCAATATATTACACAAGTACATCGAATTCCCATCCTCCGGCAGCATTCCTCCAGCAGCAGCATCCTCCAGCAGCATTCCTCCGGCAGCATTCCTCCAGCAGCATCCTCCAGCAGCATTCCTCCCCCGATGTGAAACTTAAGTTCATGTAAATATAATTGTAACTTAACCACATGATTGAATAATCTACAATAGTATTTATAAGATTACTGGGATGTTTTTAAGTAAACGAAATCGATTCATATATTTCTAAACTTTCTCTTCTAGAGATCTGTGATGATGAACATTATGAGTTCTACTGGGAAACAGAGGTGGTGACTAGACAAAGCTCAGGTCAGTGAACTCCCTGATACTCAACCAGCTAATTAATCATTCTACTGGGAAACAGAGGTGGTGACTAGACAAAGCTCAGGTCAGTGAACTCCCTGATACTCAACCAGCTAATCAATCATTCTACTCCTCATAGCTGCGTCTCATTCTAACGATACAGATAGTTCTCACCATAATAAAACGTGCTTAACCATGATCGAACTATTATAGCCGTGATCTATCACGATGTATAAAACATATATATATAAGCCGAGCGGCGCAGTTCGCCACGTTGATGGCCCAGATCAACCAGAATATCGTGACCGTCAGAGCTTGACCTTTCTTATCCGCCTCTGCTGCGCTTATTCTGACCGCCGGAGCATGATTCCATAGGCCGACTCAATTTGCCAAAAAGGTGGAATGAGACCCAAAACAACATCCCGAAAGAAACGTGACAGATATGGCGAAGCCTGCTGGGAACTGACCAAGAGCTCAGCTTTGTTTCTTAATATTTGTGCCAGAGAAAGATGAAACTATAATTTGTAATCAAGTCAACATATGGAACTTCTGGTAGAGCACAAGATGGTAGATAGCCAGGAATTTGAGAGTATTTACATTCAGTATCTGACAAGTAACACCTCCACCTAATGCCAATCGTTGTTATAGGCAAAGAGAGATCCGACTGCCTTACTTTTTACACTCTGCCTGGATGCCAGGAAATGGCCATTCCCTCACTTCATCCGGGCCTACTCTCTCCAATCATATGCGTCTCTGGATATCGAACGAGCCTAGCTACCTGCCTTACTACCCACGCCCTCCGTAGCCTCCAAAGCTTTCATAAACACCGACCTGAGGTATTCCGTCTCTTCTAATCCAACACTGATTCTCAGGAGATTCGGATTTACTCCAAAGCCTGCAGCCCAGTGCAGCTCCATGTAATGTGCTAGGATAACATATGGTGATGTCAATGTAAAATTTGTTCCCAAGCTTGGTCCTTTGGCCGTCTCAAGGCTGTCATAGAAGACAACTGCTTGTGCCTTCTGCTTGAATGTACATGAGAGCAGCCCACCGTATCCGCCGTGTGGCCGTTTACATGTCTCATAGTACGCCCGTGTTTTATTGTATTTTGGGTAGAAGACATTGTCGACGTTGGGATGAGCTCGCAGCATGTCCACAATAACCTCTGAATTCGCGTTGACTCTGTCAATCCTTGATCTGAAATCGCGGCTGTTTCGTTCCATGAAGATGACATCCTCGGGCCAATACGTATCCTCGAATTCTCGGTGCAATGTTGACTTGAGCGCACTGTAATACCGACTGTTTGGGTTTAAGACCAGACTTCCGCCCATGACATTGCAATCTCCTGAGAAGATCTTCGTAAGGCTACTTACGACAATGTCTGCAAACGGGAGTACATTGATGTTAACAAATGTGCCGACAGTCTCGTCTACCACCACCGCAAAGTCGTAAGTATCTGCCATCTTCCGTATTCTCACCAGATCGGGGCTTTTTAGCAACGGGTTACTGGGAAACTCGCAGAATAGTGCTTGGAACCTCTCCCCAACCTTTAGTCGAAGCTCGAGGTCATCCAAATCTCCGTCAGCTCCATTACCGTAGAATATGCAGCCGGGTCCAAAAATCTGAAGAATCTTCAAAGTATCGGCGTATGGAAAACCGAAGCTGATGCTCTTTCTGGGTGTGCTAGATTTGAGCAGAGTCTGGTGTGCCGTGAAGATTGCGCTCATGCCGCAAGGAAGGAGGTAGATGTCATCCTCCTTAAAATTAGGAACCCAGCGAGTATTCGTGTCCTGAGCTGGAAGATGTCCGGAGGTGATATCATTCTCCTTGAAAAAGCTTTGCGCGATACGTCGTCGAATTGCAGCCTTTGCATTGTCTACCAGGGATACATCCAGGTTCCGGCCGTACCGCTCCTCGAGAAATCGTGAGCTTTCCAAATCTTCGGTCTTCTCATCACCGAAACCATTGTTTCCTTGAGCAGGACTAGTTGCTACACTATTCGTAGTCCCAATAGAAGACAGCCGTTGATAACGCCGCGGCCCACGGAATGGCTTACCCTGTGGTTGGGGATGAGGAGATTGTGGCATCTGCTCGCGAATGAGCAACCCATCCCGAAAGAGGCTATGGCAGAACTCTGCTCGGCGGCTTGATATACCGTCACCGGAGCGCTGCCAATATTGTTTGAGATAAGGATACGCATCCACAGTACATAATACTGCGGAAATCGCCGGCGTAATCTGCTGAGTGGTCTCAGTGGTCCTAGCGAAAGGTTTCAAAATTAGATGGACTAGTTCCAGATCCGCCTGGACGGGCTTGGGTGCCTGCTCGTAGACAAAGTCCAGGCAGCGTTGTGCAATCCTCTTGGTAGGGAACAGCATGACGCGCTGATGAGGGCGTCCGTGGCTGGCCAGAATATCCTCACCAAATGCAACGATGCTTTTGTGGACGAAGAATCTTGGATAACCTGTGCTGAGTTTTCCAACCACCCACTGCTCTCCTTCTTCATAGCCAACAATCGCCTTCCATGTGGGCAATGAGACACTTACGGCCTTATCTATAGTCAGCCACTACGCCTCGATGATAAACACCATTCGACTCACATGGGTAGTGTTTGATGGTATTGAATCGCCCAGCTCAAATTGCGGCATTTTGAGTCTTGAAGCGATGAATACAACCAAGGTATTTAATTCTTGTGATATAGGCTGGCTAGATTCTCTGCACGGCGATGGGACACTCTAAATGTTAACTTTAAGCACTGATAGAAGCAGTGAGAATAGTGAGGAATGGCCTAACCTTTAATTTGTTTCCCAGTATTACTAAGATAGAAGAATGCGCCATTTGGGATTATCAACAATAAGTACATCTAGTGGCCGAAACCGGCGGGAGGTCTGGGACAAGGCTATGACTAGTAGGTAAAAATCTATGTTCGCTGCCAGTCAGTCGGTTCAAGCCATGCAAAATACGTCAGGATCGACCCGCTGCCAAGAATTGTTCTAGCACAACAACAGCAGTAAAGGAAGATGAAATAATGCTCCTCAAGTATTAGTTAACTTGGTCAACTCATAACGCAGTGTAATAACCTGCGGAGAGTTTCGCAAACCAGTTCTCCGCCCTTCATCTCAAAATTGACGAACAGAGAAACGGGTGCATTAATATAGCCATAGCAAGTTTTTCGGCACATGATGGTCATTCGGGATATTTAATGTTGCTCCGTACTGCGTATTATCAATTTGAAGCTGCTTCCGAATTGTCAATTCAAGAACAGGGAAGAAACATATTCGTGACGAGCAATTATGCTTTATCTGTTCGCTTATAAGACCCTTTTACAAATAACCACGACAGGCTGTACTTCGTCTCAATCAGTAGCAACTACCTAGTAACTAGTTTTAGAGCATTTTCAAACGTAGTCAAGCATAAGCGGTGCCGGAATAAAGCTCATTCTCGGTATCTTGTTAGTGCTAGGGTACCCAGCCATACATAGCCCAGAAGACACGTTGAGCACGACACCCAGAATCTATCCTAATACCATGAATGATTTATCATTGACGATTATTCTTTACCAAATATGGTGTAAATCCTATCATCAACGCGTCGCGAGTTTGTCCAAAAATGACCAAATCTTTGCTTTGACCAAGAGGACATCGTCCTCCTCGAGACCGTCCCAGAAATGGTCTCTACCTTCAAGCAGGTAGGTTTCATTATAGAGCCCTTTAGAGTTCAGAAACTCAGAGAAGAAGATCGTCTGCTCACAGGGAACCGCAGTATCCCCTTTTCCATGTGCAAGGACGATAGGCGGGTAACTATCTTTGACGGAGAACTGGGGGAAAAGATAGTGAAGATCAGGACGGGAGGCTGCTTCTTCCATTGACCCGACGCCGAAGGTACGCTTAAGGACTGAACCAGTTAGCATGAGAATAAACCAATTGAGCAGAACATACATTCTCCCTTCCGAAGCAAGTAGTGGTAAAACATGGAGTGAACTTCAGTCCCATCCTTGAAAGGCCGGCCCGTGACCGGCTTCCTGCCACCTTGAAAGTATTGTTCTATCTCAGCAGAATGCTTTTCTATGTCACTGAGTCGTTTATGGCCAATGATAGCGTCCGCTGGATGGGCGGTCGCATACCAATCCCCAACGAAACAATCGCCATACAATGCGACAAGGCCAGCAGGACGGGGGGTGAGGAGGTGGCCAGCTTGGAAGGTAAGATATCCTCCAGCACTCCCTCCGCTCACGAAAATGCTGTTAAGATCGATCGGGGTAAGAGAACGTCGCCTAAGTTCATCATTGAGATGGTTGTGGACACTTCATCTAGATGTCAGCCTCGAGTCTCATGCACCACCCAGCAGGAGCTTTTACTATGTCCACATATCCTTTAGATCATGCATTATATCAGCGATTGAACTCTCCGGCAGCAAACGATAGTCCACCGAACAAATCGTCCAGCCTCGTTCGTTGCAGCCATCCCGTAACCAGGTTGGGAAACCGAGCTTCCGAGAGCCAAGGTAGGTGGCACCAGCGTGATAATAGATGATTAGTGCGCCCGGCTTGTCGTGCTTCTCGGTAGGACTGTAGAGATCAAACTCAATGGGGATAGGATCGGTTTTGTAGGCGATGGTGGCTGTAGGGACAGCTGCAGTATCTGTCGGCACCTAATAAAGGGTAAGATAATTGGCATGGCATCAGTGCGGATCACTTACCGCCATCACGATATACCCAGGTGGACTGAATGATCACAAGGGCAAGTATGAATCGTCTAGTTGTACACCCAATAATGGAATGATTTTTTATAAAAATGAAGTCGTTGATACGATTTGAATTATCAGCGTTCACTATAAATATTCTAACATAGAACACTCCAGGTGACGGGCAGGGTACGTGTGCAACTCTGCGTTTTTATTACTAATGCGGTATTTTGACCATTGCGCAAGCTTTTCAAGAAATAGTCGTACTGCCTTCGACAGCGATGTTATGGCATGAGTAGCGTCTACTAGGCTGAGCATGCGCCGACGCTTATTTACCCAGTGGGTTGACTGCGTGCGCAACTAGAGAGCAATAACCAAGTTCGGCGTTGTGAACGAGAAGAGGAGATCATGCTCTTTATCGAGGATTTGCCAACCCGTCCCACATTTTTAAGCTCTTCCACATAGCGACCTAAAATTTAGGAACTACCTGATTACAAACCAAGCTCATAAATCTGTGCTCCTAACCCGGCACTATCTCGACGTTATTTAAAAAAGCACGTAATGGCATTTCGGGAGCGGATTGTTAATTTGGGGGAGTATGTACATTACAGGAGAGTCTACCCGAAACGTAGTTCCTCATACTCCCGTTGCAGTCCGGGGCCTCTCTCGGGACCATGAAAGGGCGGTAAGAGGCTGCGTTCCTCGGTGGCCTGTCGAAAATACAGTCGGGGAGAATAGTATAGTTCTCGCTGCAGAGGCGCACATGGGAAGGGCACTCCAGAATCAGAACGTGTTTCTCTCACAGAAAGGGGATATAGTAATGCCCGGTTCGGCGTGAAAGAAGGAGATCATGTTTAGGCTTCATGGAAGACAAGTTCCGTTTATCTTGAGCCCGACTCAAGAACACTATACCTTCAAAGATGAGTGTTACGTCTACGGTTTGAAAGGATGGAGAAGCTATGTATTACCCTCATGCTTGGCAAGACTTGGCTCTTCGATAGGGTATATTATGCAATGCTTGTAAAGACTACCGAGAGAGCGAGATGGATCATGGGATGGCGCATCACTTCATGAGGGTGGTTGGCGGGCGCCGAGATGCATAGAAAACTCTTGCGGGCTATGGCTCCAAAAGAGCGATGTGATGATTCCTACTTATAAGTCAAGGTTCTCGTTTGATTTAGGGCTTTGGCTTAGTCTAATCGGTAATCTGTACGGAGTTCTCCGTACTTGGTTCTTGATACGGATCCGTATACGAATTGTTCACCCCCGTTACCGAGTTTGTGGCGCAGAGGACGGCGCCCTAGCGATTGCTTTTGCAAAAGCCACGAGCCTGGCGGCAGTCCACAAAGAGTGGAGCTTCTTTTGGAGGGGGTATGGAGTTCTCTCCCGGGGGAGGGGCGCCCTCCAAGGGCCTTCTCCACATTTTTCAATCTTGGAGATGTTCTGAATCTCCATGGCTGAATGCTCATGCTCATGCTCATGCTCATCTCTCTCCGCAACAACGCCAGGACACATCGTCGCCCCTGCCTGCTTATCTGCTTCTGTTCTTGTAAATCATCAAGTGCCCGCGTAATGGTTGGTTACCGCGCAGTCTGCTCTGCCGTGGAGGTGTGGAGCTAGTTGGCACACAGCTTTGTCCTGTCTCGTCCCGGCTGACCTTCCGAGAGCCACATCAATCTTGGATATACACCGCCCCATCAACCTCCACGTCGTCGCCATGGCCCAGAATCGAGCCCACGCAACCGCCAAGAGGACCCTCACTAGTCCAGAGCATCAGGGTAGGTTTCAGGAAGCGCCGCCCAGGCCCATAACTGACGTTCAACAGAGCAAGACCATGACACACAAGCGCCAACGTCGGGCGACATTTCATAAGTCGTCACATCATCCTCCCATCCTAGGCAGGCATCGAGATGGACAGACAATCGAATCTGCACCTGAAAGCAGTCCCAAACCCCCTCATAAGCCACCGCCGATATCAAGGCCGCCCGCCAGTGACGATGCCATCGGCAACACTGCAGCCGGTAACGTGGAACTGAATAACCCGATAGAATTCTGGGCAAGGGAAGGACTCTGGCCGCCGCGCTTGTTCGAGCCCGACGTGGATCACTTGCTTGCCCGGAAGCGGTCCTTGTCCGCCTTGGGTGGATGTAAGTGATTGAACTCTGCTTCGTCCACAACACCGAGCGACCAGAAGCCACGCGAGGAGAAAAGTGCACAGTATCGAGATCAGCGTTACGAGACATTGCTTGCCACCAAGGGCAGTTTCATGGTCGAGTCTTCTCTAGACATAACCCTTCCAAGCAAGGTGCAGACCCAGTCGTTGCTCGACGAGTCACAACCTCCCCCTCAAGACACACTCTTCCGTGACGACGTCTTTAAACAAACCTACCGGAAAATTCACAATAAAAATGAGGCTCGAATCATCCAAGATGTGTCTCGGCTCATAGTCCCTTCGGCCGAGAGTCTTGCCGCATTTGACGGGGAGCACCTCGAGGTCCTGATAGAAAGTGTCAACGAAGGATGGAACAACTCGATTCCTCTCACCGGGACACGCCCGCAGCCCGACTATTCCGTTGGGTTCCAACGCGATGCATTTACCCAAGAACAGCTTGAGAAGTTATCACCGTTCATCAGCGACTTCATCGCCGGCGATCTATCCTACTTCATGGCTACGTATTACATGTACTTTCCTTTCCTCGCCTGCGAGGTGAAGTGCGGAGCTGCAGCACTGGACGTCGCGGATAGTCAGAACGCCCATAGCATGACCCTTGCGGCACGGGGCATCGTCGAGCTCTTTCGTCTTGTTGGGCGTGAGGATGACGTCAACCGGGAGATTCTTGCCTTCTCCATCTCTCACGACAACCGGTCTGTGCGGATATATGGTCATTACCCAGTGATGAATAGAAAGGAGACCAAGTATTACCGCTACCCTATCCATACGATCGACTTCACGGCACTTAATGGTAAGGTGAAGTGGACTTCCTATCAATTTACGAGGAATGTTTATGATACTTGGATGCCAGCTCACTTTAAGAGAATCTGCTTGGCCATAGACCAACTGCCGTCAAAGGCGGACTTTGATGTCCAGGCGCTTTCTGAGTCGGCCAGCCCCTCCCAGGGTGAAGAGCATCTGGCGCGATCTATGGCCGACGCCGCGTCGCTACTTGTGGATATGGACAATCAGTCCAACAAGGCTGGCCAGATGGACACTCCGGCTACATCATTTTCAAAACCGGGTCCTTCCAAGAGGAGGAAGAGCCCCGCCAAGAAGCCGTCGAAGTAGACAGTACACTATATAGTTATATTATACCCAGCACTAATGATGCCTAGTTCCAATAATCTAGATGTTGTTTTTAAAGCACCATTCTATACTCGCCCTGTCTAGGGGCAATTTGACCGTCATGGTGGCTCCATGGTTAAAAGCCCGACAAAACGCAGGAGGAGAGAAATCGACAAACTGAATAGGGCACCTACCGATGACTAGATCCTCTATACTTTCAAAGGCTACGGTCACAATGATGCATATAAAAATTCGTGATTATGGCGCAAATTTTTTTAAGTGAAGTACCAGCAAAATTTTACTTAGCATGAATACGAGCTCCAGGACGGGCTACAAGGCTAAGCGTTACATCTCAATACCAGCGCCGAGATAGCAAGCAATTCATTCTCCGACCAAGTAGTGGTGTTACGCATTTTACACCATACGATATGGTATAATTGATGTTAAAATCTGTACTCAAAGGTGAAACATTGGAATGAGCGCCTTGTTCCAACTGGTTACGGACCCTTCATAGTTTCAGTTCAAGTCAATAGCGCATCAGGTTGGCAGAATCAGCTGGAAGGGCAGATACGTCACTGCACCAGCTAGAAGAGGATGGATGACACGGTCGAAAAAGCAAGACACACGATTCGGACCGTGAGCTGACGTGCAAGAGTAGCTTCTAAAACATTTTAAGGTGTAATTTCATAAATTGGTCGTGCTAGTACAACATCTATCAAGGATAATTCAATAATCGACATATGCAAATCCCTACTTTGACTTCGGGACATTATGTGTCCATCCTATAATCAGGCGTTGTCTATTAAAATAGCTGTGTACTGCTTCGAACTACTCGTGAAGTTACATATGCTCGCAGGCTCGATGGTCGTCCTTCTGGTCTAGGTAGCCGAAGGGCAGCAAGGGAATATTAGGGTCACAAATCACCGACGGCCACTTCCTTCAAGACACTCTATCCATGATGACAAGAAATCCATGTTGACATAAAAGGTAGTATACGTAAGGCCATGCCGCAGAGATCGAATTCGGATATAGTTTTGAGCCTCCAACCAATTATGGCGGTGTCGAAGATTGGCGGACCAATGATGCTCCCGGGCAAAGTGCCGCCGCCGGATCTGGTAAGTAATTCGCAGACTAATTAACCTGACGCGCATAAAATGATCGCGACCTTGTTTCCCCGCGTCAGCGATGGGCATTTTGCGTATCATTTTACCTCGGTAGCCATCATGTTAGTAGGGCGTCGTTGCTTTGTTTGACAAGTGCCCGCCGTATGCCAAGCGCAGCTCGACGTGTAGAACCTGGTACTTGGGGCATACGCCAAGACTCTTGCAACGGCGGTTGGAGGAGGGAATTTTCCGACCTTCGGAAATTCTTCACTGTGCAACTGGAGTAAGTCTCGTGAACCACGCATACCATGATAATCAAGCCCAGGACCACAGCTCCGTGTGAGTCGAAGAGATGTAAAATGTTTGTAGAAATCAAAAGGCGGAAGCTCTGCTTCCGCCGATATCACGAGTCGAAAGGTCGTTGCTGGCGAAATGTGTGTCATTCTTTCTTTCTAGATCATGACAGTCTCGACTATTTAAGAAGCCAGTAGTAAACGTGATATAATTACATTTGCCTTGGATTTCAAGTCCGCACAATCTTGGCAATCGTGAGTTGGCAACAATGATGTCTCTCCTCTCATTTGCAGCTGTTGCCCTAGTGGCTCTGAGCAGCTTTACAAACGCTGCGCCTATTGAGGGCTCAGATAAACGTGCCATCTCCTCCATCGTCAGTGGCACACCCGTTGGAATGGCCTCTAGCGTCACTGGCGGTGGTACAGCAACTGTCGTCTATCCGACCACCATCGCTCAGCTGAAGGCGTACCTGACATCAGACGACCCGCAGAACATTGTCATCTCAGGTACGTTCAACTTCGTGGGGTCTGAAGGCACCACTTCCTTGACGGCTTGCGATGCATACCCGTGCACTACTTCAGCTGGTGGTCAGGCTCTCCTCAACACGCTCGGCGGGTGTGGGTCCAAGTCGACCTACAGCGTGTCCATCGACACGGCCGGGTACCAGGGCATTAACGTCAAGTCCAACAAGACGCTCGTTGGTAAGAACGGCGCGACGCTCAATGGGAAAGGGTTGCGTTTCGTGGGCGTCTCGAACATCATCATCCAGAACATTGCCATCACAAACCTCAATCCGAAGTACGTCTGGGGCGGCGACGCTATATCTCTGAGTCAGACCAACAATATCTGGATTGATCATGTTACGGTAAGTTTTGCTTCCGGAACCATGGATGAGGTAATGCCGACTAACGTTTCGTCGCATCAGACTTCGAGCCTTGGTCGACAGCATTACAGTTTTGGTACCAGCTATAACAATGCCGTTACGATATCCAACAGCTTCATCAACGGAAAGACGTCATACTCGGCATCATGCGATGGACACAGCTACTGGGGCCTCGAGCTTGTCGGATCCGGTGACCAGATCACATTCTACAGTGAGTTTCCATTTCACGCCAGACACCCCCCTCGGCGTCGCTAAATAGCCCCCTCCCAGAGAACTACGTCTACTACACCTCGGGCCGCAGCCCGGCCCTGTCGGGCAACACGCTCTTCCACGCCGTGAACAACGTCTGGTCGTCCAACACGGGCCACCTGCTCGAGGGCGACAGCAACGGCATGGGCCTGTACGAGGGCAACTACTTCACCAGCGTGCCGACGGTGGTAGCGTCGGGCTCCAGCATCCGCCTCTTCAGCTCCAACTCGGGCGACGTCTCCAAGTGCGCGTCCTACCTGGGTCGGAGCTGCGTCTCGAACAGCCTGTCCAGCTCCGGCGCCTTCAGCTACAGCGACACTAGCTTCCTCTACCTGTTCCAGGGCAAGACGAACATCGTGTCTGCGGCTTCGGCGTCGTCCATTCAGAGTACCGTCCCCAGCTCCGCAGGCAACACATTGTGATGACAAAAAAAAAAAAGGATATGTGAATGATGGTGAACAATCGGTTTGAAGAAAATGTTGTCACAGCTATTCATATCAGATATTTACGTCGTTGGTGGATCTATATCTATATATACAGATACAGTCAGGCTAATTATCGAAATGATATCGCTCGCAATTCTTACAAAATTTCAGTTTGCTACATCGGATAATCTAAAAAGAGGCGTTGTTTTAAAAACAATTCAAATGCAGCCGGTTGGTAGATAGGAGATGCGGGAAGTGTAGGATTCCTAATGATCGATTTGACCTGTCAGAGGAACACATGACACTTGGAGTGGATCCTCTGTCGCCCGACGGATAGGTGAAATTTAAATGAGACTGATCGTGGCAGAGGACGCAGTCAGCCAAAGCTTTTGGGGCGGGTTAAAACTGCAGTGAAATTGAAGCTGAGCCAGTGAGAGCGGTAGGAATGTTGCCACCGAATGATTCCGAGTCATGCGGACGTACAGACCGATAACTGAGATTTTGTAGCACTGGCTCATGGATTGCTTTTGAATACTAATGGGAAGGATGTGGATGGAGAATCAATGAATGAAATCTCAGTAGGACGTAGACGTTAACTCTAAAAGGCGTGAACTAACTCCTTAATTTCGACACTCGGTGATAAAAATTTGGCCATGTGTATTTTGTGCGTGGTTGTTCGGTCTGTAGGAGAGAACAAAAGATCGCAGATTTACCACTCCATCTAACAAAAGCAAGAAGTTGATAAACCAAGACGATTCCAAACCAAACAAATTTCGATTTGACTCAATTTGACTCATTTTGATGCTTAATAGCCTCGCTAGACAGGACGGCGACCACTTGACGTTCCAACGTCTCGGGCTATCACGGACCTAACAATCCATCAGATTCAGACATGGCAAGGTTATGAAGTTGGAATATATTCTCACTACTCTATAAACAATCTTTAGATACCAATCTGATTATTCATCGATCAATGGGCTGATTGTGACTCCAAGAAATTTGCAATGTCTGGTACCAAAATTTTATGCGTGTGGGAAGCCCTGCCATCATTAGCGAAATCAATGTGTAAGGAGAAACAGAAGACTCACAGGTGGCCAGAATTGTACCAAAAATATTCATCAAGATCAAGGCATCCATATTTCCCCGGGTTCGTCGCGGCCTCTAGCTGCGCGTAATCGGGGCAGTATGTCAAGTTGGTGATGCCGTACTGTCCAGGATTGTCCATGACCGCGTTCAAAAAGGTGTTGGCATCATAAACCATGGCCTTGACGGTGTCATGTTCATCAGCAAAATCCTGAGTGTGATTTGCCAAGATGCCATCCCATAGATCGATCTGCTCCTTACTCGGACTAGGTGTCGCCTTTGCCTGGTTCGCTGCTGTCCGGTCTAGGGGCGGCAAGTTGACAAACAAGAAGTTTCTGTACCCGGCGTGGAACAAGGGCGTTACCGATTGATCGAAGACGGCGTTGACCTCTGCCTCCCAGAAGTCGGCGAACGAGATATTAGTAGGCTTTTTGCTTTGGGAGTCGTTGACGTCATTTATACCGATCCAAATCGCAACCAGTGCCTTCTTGCGCTTATCGCCGATCCGCGGACCCAGAACCGGCTCTGCCCAAGTCAGGTACTGTGCCGTCTGGTTGACCAGGGGCGTGGTGTAGTTATGGTGCAGTGGAAGAAACTCTTCGGCGATGTCAGCGCCCGCGAAGGCAAAGTCCCAAAGCTGCACGTCACAATCCGAGGGCAGGTGCTCGCCAGGTTCCACGGCACAGTTGGTCAAGTATTCGACCCAGTTTGGACCGCCCTCGGCTGTACCTGTGAAGTTCTGCACTATGCGGTTGGTGAGTAGCTCGGTTGGCGTAAATGACAGTTCGCCAGGGAGGTAGTTCCCGATAAAGCTGTAGTTAGGGTAGCCATAAGTTCCTTGCACAAAGGTGTACGAATCACCAAAAGCAATCCTAGGTCAAGAGGTTAGTGTCCGTCGTTCAGGAGGACAATGTCGCCAGCCACTCTTTGGCCTGGAACTTACAGATATTCTATATCACCCCAGTTGAAATGGGACTTGTCCTCGTGAGGAATACACCCGGCACTTGCTATTGGTAGACCGAGAGCGATGAGGCTTAGCAATGAGGCTGCAATGGAAGGCGCCATTCTGACTGGTACTTGGCAGTCCGCGATATACTTCACTGCACGAGCCGAGCAGCCTCATCTTTGCTTCTTGAAAGTTGGGGTCACATCTATATAGCGTTCCAGACCAAGGGATACGCACTCATTAGTCCATCTTGAAATCATCGTGCGAAAGTTACCCCGATCGCATAGTAGCCAAGCAGAGATCCATTGGTGGAATATAGGGACTCGCAGACCCGCAACCCCAAATCCCCGCATAAACCCCTGATTGACCCAACCTTTCCCCACGCCATCCGTTTAGCCGGACCTTGCTCGTCATGACGATACAGCACCACGTTCTGGAGAAGAAGATCGTGGGGAGGTTGGACGATGCGTGCCATGGTTGAGCTTCTTAATACATCATCGCCAGCAGTTTAGTTTGGTAATTCAATGCCTTCTGGTTGTGACGCGGTCTGAACCCCTAGACAGGACAGAACCCCAGTTGAGAAGGTAGCGGTGATCCGATGTTGTTGGCGAGCATTCAATTGACCTAGTGTCGTGGCTCCGATGCATCTTACGGTACAATGCTTTAAAAGTAGAGATCCTCATTGTTACTGCTTGGAAACTGCCCGGCTTTTCTCTATTCCCAACGAGCTGCTATAGCATCGGCCATATTGCACACAGCATTATTCGGCGGATTCGCATCTTAAGCTATGATAAGAGCGTCTCGCAGCCTTTTTGCAACCGGCCGGGTCTAGAGTGTGGATCATCTCATGACGTAGGAATAGACGGCTTTTGAGAATATTAATTTTCGCCGGGTTGCCCGTGTGGCACGTCGAGTTTCCATATCTCTCGTGGCGATGAGATGCCAGACTAGAGCGAGTCACACCCTCTGGCAGCAGAAATACTTCAAGCCAGGAGGGACGGACAAATATGTCGAGAGTGCGGGTGCTTCGGCTTGGATAGCAAAAAGTAACACTTCAATCTCCAAAAAATCGAAATCAGGACCTGATAAAAGGCAACAGAAGAATCAAAAGTACATATTGGTTAGTCAAGGCGACGACGTGGTCTCGGTGCTAATTTATTGTTGATGAGAGATGTCACATGTCCAGAGTAAGGTATGGCTGGCTGTAATCACGTGATAATCACTAGCACCAGACTAAGATTAGACTAGTCTAGTCTTAGTTTGGTGTGTGATCTTTTGTCTCATGCAGGCACAAACAAGCTGACGCCGGGGGTTACACCAACACACCTAGATTTTGTTGGTGGATGCATCACTCGGGCATTGAAAGAATCTATCCCTGGTATCCTGCTTTGCGCGTTCTAGCAGCTAGTTCGCAAATGCGAGCGGTAGTGTACCGTTACTGTGTGTGGCGGCGACGACGAATTTGTTTGTAGCGACGCAAAGCCGCCTGCAATGGATTAGATAAGTTAGAGTCTATGCTTAACAATAGGCATGTTAAGCATGATTCTAGAACCTGTCCACTGACTATGTCCACTGTGTCCACTGTGTCCCCGGACCCTCACCTGGGGGAAAATTGGACATGGAAACGCCAAGGCAATCCACTCTCGCCACTCCCCACGATTGCCCAGACGGGCACTACAAGCTGGGCAAAAACACCCAAGCAATCCCAAGAGATTCAAGCAACTGCCGGGGGGAAAAGCTTGGACGGAGGGAACATGTTGAATGGCCACATACATAGAACATGGATCCGGGGGCCTAATACACGGCGACTGAGTTGCATAAACCCGAGCTAGATGGATACACTACAGAGTACTGTACGGCTTGTCGATTGTCGTCATAAATGTCGGAGACATGGGGGGGTTTAGATATGGGCTCTAATCAGGGAATTTGCGCGCTTCAGCTCTGATAGATTGCCCGCCACCTTTCTCCCTTCTCCAATGGAAGCTCGATCTCCCGCGCGTACATCTTACACACACACACACACACGCACAAACACATGCCTTTTCGGAATGGCCACTTCTATCTAGTCTTAGTCCAAAGTTAACTACCTGTTATATGCCCTGCTCCGAGTGAATCTGAATCTGAACCCCAAGCCTGCGAACCTGAACCACGCACCTGACGTTTGAACCTTAATCATTCACCCTCTTTCGGCTGCCCCTTGCGACCTGCATCCTCATCATTCCCTTGCTTCAATCAACAACCACAATCCTGCCCTTTTGACCTTCACATCCACCTTTTGCGATAGTGAGTCAAGCCCGACAATTTATGGTTCGCATCATTTAGGCGTCTTCTCTTCGCCCCCCTCGACGTTCTCGTCTTTGCCTTCGTAACTAGTCGCTCGTTTTTTTTTTTTCAAGTCGTCCACACAAACAAACACAACCATGGCGTCTTTCGTCCAGCGCGCCGCCTCGGCGCTTCTGCTCAGTGCACCTTTGGTGTCTGCAGTCTTGTCCATCGATTCCAACGGTATGCAGCCTTTCAAGTCTCGCCATGGCCACTCTCCATCTCTCTCATCTGAACCGCAGCGTCGCTACTGTTCCCTACTAATGCACTGCGCCCTCTCCAGATGCCATCAAGCAGACTGCGGCGGCACTTGCATACGATTTAATGAGCTACTACAGTGGAAATCAATCAGGGCAAACACCCGGTATCCTGCCCGGCCCCCCTCCCGCAGGCGATTACTATTGGTGGGAAGGTGGTGCGCTTTGGGGAACTATGATCGATTACTGGCATCTGACAGGCGACACCACGTACAACAAGGTTGTCACCGAGGCCATGCTATGGCAGGTCGGCCCCAACGAGGATTACATGCCCCCCAACGTCACTGCATCTCTCGGGAACGACGATCAGGGCTTCTGGGGCATGACTGCTATGCTTGCCGCCGAAGAGAACTTTCCCGACCCGCCTGCGGATCAACCCCAATGGCTCGCGCTGGCACAGGCCGTCTTCAATACTCAAGCTGCTCCAGATCGCCACGACACCACCTGCAATGGCGGTCTGCGATGGCAGATACCTTTCTCCAACAACGGATACAACTATAAGAACAGCATTGCGAACGGCTGTTTCTTCAACCTCGGCGCTCGTCTAGCTCGTTACACCAATAATGAGACCTATGCCAAGTGGGCCGAAGACACCTGGGACTGGGTCACAGGTGTTGGCTTTATGGATGACCAGTACAACATCTACGACGGTGCCCATGTCGAGAAGAACTGTACCGACATCAACAGGGCCCAGTTCTCGTACAACAACGGTGTCTATCTGCTTGGTGCTGCATACATGTACAACTACGTAAGTGTCTGTCGCGTTCCTGCCCCCAGAAACATGCTGACAGAACTCCCTTAGACCGATGGAAGCCAAGTCTGGAAGGACCGACTCGACGGTCTCATCGCTGGAACGCTTCGCGTCTTCTTCCCCAACAACATTGCCTTCGAGATAGCATGCGAAGAGCACATGACCTGTACCACGGACATGTTGAGTTTCAAGGGCTACGTCGCCCGTTGGATGTCAACCATCACTCAAATTGCCCCATACACTGCGGACCAGCTTCTGCCAATCCTGAAAACATCGGCGACTGCAGCAATCAGCCAGTGTACCGGCGGTACAAACCAGAGAGCTTGTGGTTTCCAATGGGCCACGGGTGCCTTTGATGGCAGTGTTGGTGCTGGCCAGACCATGAACGTACTCGGAGCTGTCTCGTCGTTACTTATTGGTCAATCCAAGGTCCCCGTTACCAACACCACCGGAGGCACCAGTGGTGGAAACTACAATGCCGGCCAGGACAGCGACTCATTCACCAACACGCTGACGCCGATAACGACCGGGGACAAGGCTGGTGCCGGTATTCTGACCGTGCTGATCTTGGCATCTGCTGCCGGTACCTTCGGCTGGATGAGCATGGGCATGTAGATGTGCACACCTGATCAATTGGTGAATGAAATACGAGTTAATGTTGTTACTTACATGTACCGAGCGCCTATATTTGCGCATTCGATGTTTTGAGTTTGGGATTTGGGTACCGGCGTCAAGGAAGCGAGGGCACGAATTGCCGTCTGACGACGATAGCAAAATGGACCTGGAATCGGCTGTTTTTTGTGTTAGCTCAGTCAGAGCTTTTAGTATTGATAATATAACACCCATTGATAGAGATCGCACGAAAGGAGATGTTACCACTTGCCTATGCCCAAAATGAACAATGCTGGTTAAATGTGGTCACAGGGAAACTGCATATCTATTATCACTTCATCTTGCGTGTAACACATGTGCAACTCAACCAGCTTAGCTTGCCAAGACTGCAGGTCGGCATCTGCATTTGGATATATGGGGCGCAGGACAAGTGGACGAGATCTCCACATGTTCGGCCCCAGCAGCTCGAGACTACCCATACGAGCATCTGGAAACGATTTCCGGGCAGTGCGTGGAAAGCTGAGCCGACCAGTGACGCCGCATAGAGAACATCCCACGCGTAGATCGAAGCAGATGACCGATTACCCATGAGTGAGAGCAAAGGTGCGCATGAGATCGGTAGACCAGTAGAGCTGGCGGGATGATTAGGCAGTCGAAGGTATTAATGCGAGTTATTATTGTAAGCTGGCTATGACTTACTTCTGGTATCCCTGAATAACCTACACCCGGTACCGATGGACACCGTGCGTCAGTCTCACTAATTAACGTTGAGCTCTGGGAAGGTGCTGAGAGGTGTTATCAAACACTTGGGCATACCCGTGTTCCGCTGCTGTGCCTTGGTAAATTACGTTATGCTGAGTATGGCAACGAACACCACGATTCTTACCATTACAGGAAAGTATTTGTAGTGCAGTCGATTGCTTATGTTATCAAGATTCAAGTGCTGAGCCGAACAGAATTTATCGCGGGAAGAGGAGTCTAGTCGAGAAAATAGGAATACGGAAGGAAGCAGTTTGGCTTAACATGCACGGAAATCAGCCCCTTGTTAATCATCCATGATTCTATCGTTTCCAAAATTGAATCAAGGTAAAATAGCTACACTTACTCTAATCTAACCTTTGAAACTTAACTACTGTTTCTGGTCAGTCCGAAAGGGAAACCTCCAAGAGACGGGAGACTCGTTGAAGAATGGGCACCATCCCCGACTTGGGTATACTTATCTGAGTAGTCACTATGTTCATCGGACATTGGTCACCACAACTTTGCAAATTTAAGTATTCCCGTTCGTCGACATGATGACAACGCGTTACCCCTCTCTGCCGTGTCACCCCAACTGTAAGACGACATGCAGCGACCCCCGAGTCCGGGCAATAACAACATTGTAAACATGACGGAAGACGGAAATCAACATTTCGTAATGCTCTGCCCCGTGCATACTTTAGACCTTGGGTTTCAGGCAAGAATCAGCTACCTAGGCAGCCGGTCAGCCAAATAGTTAGACGCGCGCCCTCCATATTAGAAATTTTTAAGCTCTTCAGAAGCAGCAGTTCTCATTCTACACGTACCACGTTAGTCCATATACATCATACCAGTAGGTTGATCGATGTGGGCACTTATTAGGCCTTCAATTCCTGCCGTTGTAAAACTGAGTTATGGCGCTATCATCTCCCACTGTCGCCGCTGGACCGGATGAGCTGGTTCTTCCGAGCCAGGACCCATGGTATACAGCCTTGCCTGGCTTTGAAGCGTGTAGCCCAGGAACTGTGCTCCGGGTCCGCACCTTGCCGGGAAGTTCTATCCCTTTCGATCATACCTCAAAAGCCTATCACATTTTGTACCGTACTACTGGCTCGCGATACCAGCCCGCCTGGGCAGTGGCGTGAGTGCCTTTAATACCTTTTGTGGATAAGCGTTTTATAAATGGTTAATTAGGTCATTATTTATCCCCGAAAACCCCTATACTCTGCCCTCGAGACATAATGTCTTACTGTCTTGCCAGGCTGCATATAACTCGGCGAATGTCGACTGGAGCCCCTCGTACCGGCTTTTCCAACCTGCACCCGCAAGTTCGCATGGAATTCCCACTGGCCACGACAGGTTCAATAAGATGCTGAGCCGTGGCTGGTACGTTGTCGTGCCCGATTTCGAAGGGCCCCGTGCTGCCTTTGGAGCATCTGTTTTGGCTGGCCATGCCACCCTCGATGGTATTCGCGCTGTGCTTTCGTTGATAAGCAACGACGATGTCTTGCTACCCAACGACGGGAGATTCAAATACGCAATGTGGGGATATAGCGGCGGCTCCCTTGCTTCCGAAAAGGCTGCCGAATTGCAAGTACAATACGCTCCTGAACTTTCGGCAGGCCTAGTAGGTGCGGCACTAGGCGGTTTAGTAAGTAATCTCGGAAATACGTTCAACGTTGTCAATAAGTCCCCTTATACGGGGAACCTTATCCTCGTCTTACTGGGTATTATGAACGAATACCCCGACGCTGATGCCTACATACGTAGCCGTCTTCGAACCGACGGTTCCCACAACGCTACCGGCTTCCTTGAGGGCCTTGACATGCAATCATTACAAGCTTTCCGTGCTTTCGCAAACCAGGATATTTACGCCTATTTCAAGAATGGTCAGGCTGATCTCAAGGAGTCGAAAGTCTTGCGCAGGATTGAAAAGGTTGAATGGATGCTTGGTTTCCACGGTACACCGGAGATTCCGCTCTTTGTTTATAAAGCGATTGGGGACCATATGACGCCTATTGCCGATACGGACGAGCATATTGCTCAGTATAAACGGTTTAACGTATCCATATTGTACGAGCGTAACACGGTTGGCGACCATATTTCCGAGATCGAGAACGGTCAAGAGCGTGCGATAGAGTGGTTGGCTAGTGTTTTTGATGGCACTTACGACGGTCTAGACCAAGGTGTACGGATTCGCGATGTCGCCGTGGACATCTATAAACCTCCTGTTGCCTAATGTCAGAAGCACCCCGATAGTGGGACATCGTTTGCCTGATTCGGCCGATTTATTCATGTGACTATGGGTTGCTTTGCGGCCGATCAAAAGCATACAGGTAGCTTGTTTGTAATGTCGGGCGATTCCCTATAAGCACAGCACTGCCACAGCACCAAATGCGGCATTGAGCATGTCAGCGCGACTGCTAACATCCCAAACATATTGAAACCAGAAGTATTTCTGGCCTCCTCAGTAGGTATATTAATACGTGGTGCAAGCAGAATAAAACGCGAGTTGTCGATATTCAACCAGACGCGACCCCGGATGCTGTATTTGCGCAAATCTACTCATGATGGATCCGTATAATGCCCATTTGAGACGATGCGCCTCAATTCTGGAATTTACCAGCAAGGTCGGAATTTTGGCAAGATCGCGGGGCCGTGCCGAAAACGCGAAAGCCTTGTCCAGGCCGCATGCAAGAGTAATCAAAGTCTCCACCAGCATGGGACGGATATGCAGCCGGTCGCCACGCGTTCTGCATAGGAGTACAGAAACTCCGCAGGATAGTCATGTCGTCGTTTGCAGGATTGGTGTGCAAGACGCATGTGCTGATTAGGCTTTGATTGAAATAACAACGCGTTGGAAATGAACGATTGTCATGTCAGACAATTCCCCGTGCCGGAGTGCGAGCGTTGCCTTTTCCCTGGTCAGAGATTGAGATGAGCAAACATGGGGGCTCACGTTTTCGTCTGAAGTGTATGTGAGTACAAACTTATCCTGCTTGTAGTTTTCTGATAATATAACTTCGAAGAAATCTACGGGGCTCCTGAGTATACCAAAACCTGCCATTAGCTCAAGCAGCAGCCCCGCCTCGACTTGATACTTGAAAGTGCCAGGAAAATATGTGCTCAATCATATCCTGCCTTGATAAGTTGGAATTACAACAGAAGGCGATTCTGTATCACAGCATGATTATCTTATTGCTTCCTGTCCGCGAACGCTTGACTAACTTATAACCATCCCTATGATAGACGATGAGAGGATCGGTAAATTACCGTTCTCGTCTCAATGGTAATGCTAGGCGATGTGCAGTGATTGTGATCGGATTCATGGCCAGCCTCAATATCTTTCCACACCTGACTGCTTTATTCTGCCTGCAGGCTGCCATCTTCGAGAGACTGAGCCTTGTAACAAAGTAAATTAGTACTCGAGCTACCCCAGCCTGTATGGCTTCACGCGTTGCCTACTCCCGCGCTGCAAACACCTATGGGATGCTTGAAACAGATCTGATTATAGCGTACGAACGAACTTGGCATTTATTTTCCGCACTGGCTCAACGGAACGTCAAACAACATCAAACAAAACATTGCGATCCATTAAGTCTCACCAGGCGGCGTGCAAGACCAAAGAGGTTGAACTTGTGGCTAAAACTCAGTGGATACAGGTACACATGAATGTTAAGCATATTTACGGCATGTGTATGTAGACCCATATATGCCGTCTATGTCAATTACCGTATTATTGCGAATAATATTCCTATGATTACCCCAGACATAGCCAGGCGCGCAAGGCAAAGGTACTAATAAGGGTCTATTTATACAAATGCGGTATTTTACTCATCTGAATGGGGGTCCGATACTAAGACCGTTAAGATGGGTTGTGGTGTGGCTGGGAGACGATGTACCTAAAGGTTCGCTCACTACCTAAACGAGTCCGGCATTATGAAAATACTTTTAGCGACCATTTCGAGAGTACCACAATAGTGTGTCATGTATTAAATATGCTCTGAATGCACAGATCTTCAAACAGACCAGCTGTTACCTGTCCTCGCACCAATCTATTTATAGTCAAGGTTTGTCGTTGGAGTATTGTTTGTACCACTATTGTCCCCAGTAAGAAGGCACGTAGAACTTATTAGTACTATCGAAGGGGGTTTTTCGTGATTTTTGAGACGAGTAATAGTGATAGTCGTTGATTGTCTATCACAGTTTTATTACTTCAATAACTAGGGCCTCTTTGGCTTGCAAGTCGCATTCTCTCGTTTTCCAAGAGACTTGTGAGCGGTCTAGTAGGTGCATCTTCACGGCCTGTAAATACCTCCACCATCCGAAGGACTAGACTGCTTTGCAGCAGCTCATCATTCAAGGCTGCTTGTAATTCGCCGAACGTCCTGACCGCGGCTGTGAAAGTGCCCTCTTCGGCACCGAAAAACCCAGGTGTCTGCAGGTATCGCCACGGTGCGACATCATTGTATTTCTGCTCCAATCCGTGGATGCAACTCTCGATAGTGTACCCACTGTTTTTCATCAAGAAGATGAAAACATTGAGGTTGTGACGAATTATAGTTCCAAGCTCTTGCACCATCATCTGCAAGCAGCCGTCTCCGATGGAAAGAACGGTACTCGAGCTCCAGGCAAGACTGCTTTCGGTAGTAGCGTCGAGTTCTCGTTGCGCCAATACGGTACCCTGGGCTACTGGAAGCATGTATCCTATTGACAGCTATATTACAGGAGTAAAGATCGTGACGTTCTTTGGTAACGATATCCGCCGAATGCCGTAGGCTGCAGTGCCAGTCTCTCCAAGGACGATGTCTTCAGGACGGATAAAGCAACTCATGATATCCCACAGCTTGTCTCAGGTGATGAGCGCATCGCGTAGTATAATAGTAAAGACGAAGGTCGTAGACTAGGGATATTGGGATAGATGGAGTATGATCTTGCTTTGGAGAGATCAATCCTCTCTACCATCAAATATAGTGCCAACCGGGTGGGAACGTAACAAATACAGAAATTACCAATCTGGACCTCTGTATCTCTGAAAACAATGGCTGTTTCTGTGTTTGGCGAACTGGTATATTCAAAGGTGTTGGTTGAACTAGAATGCGGCCCGAACCACAGAACCAGTCCGCTTGGTCGAAGAAATTCTTGATCCGGGTGTCAGCAAAACAACCACAATAAATTCCGTGCACATCTTTGCAAGTTTCATCTAATAATCCCTTGCCGAAAGATGTAAACCAGGTTGCTCATCCTGTTACTTGGACGAGTTTGTGTACATCCGCCGTGATACCCATGGCTCGGGCCTTGCTGTCCACCAGGATGACGGGCTATTTTAAAACAATTGCACCAGTCTAAACCCAGTCTCAAAGAAGCTAAGGTTTGTTGCTACTGTGTTGTTATGTCCTAGAGGACTTTGCGCTTTCACGGTGCCCTCGAGTGGTTGATCATGCGAGTCTTTTTTCGGGGCGATAGGCTGTAATTTGGTTTGCCCATCCTTACACAGAAATTGCCGTGTTGCACCCTCCTTTCTTGAATACTACATAAACCTCGAACTCGGGCGGAAGGATTTTCTGGAAATGGAACGTATCAGTCTAGCGACGATGACAGTAATAGACCTCACCGTTTTGGAATGGTGGTAGTTCCGCGGGTTGGACTAGTGATCCAAATTTGACTGGTTCGCAATTTTTTCAATCGATCATATACATACATGAGACAACGTCATATCTAGCCACAAACACGATGTTTATTCTCTCACGTCACAAAGGCATTTGAGTACATTTAAGGAACGTTGTCTTGACCCAAATCTATGTGAACAACACTTCGGATGGGGAATTGATTTCTTACAAAACATTTTGAGAAAAGCAAGTGAAGATTTCTTATTGAGAAAACTGTAGCTTACCACCATAATAGGCTTTCGCACTTACCCCATCTTTGAGACATATAGCCGAACATCTCTCCGGAATACAAGCTTACTTCGAGGCAGGGGATCGGATAGATCGCCTGCAATGCTTTTTTCTAAGTAATCCATTATTATCACGCTTTTTATGGTTTACATCGAGACACTAAAGTACCTGAAGTTGATGTGGAATTCTTCCGTTCTGACCGGTGGGATGTTATCTAAACAAAACCTTGGGAATAGTTGCCTTTGAGCAACGGACCGCGAAGTTGTCCAGGCCAAGAGAAAGCCCTGGTTCAGGCGATGTTATCTGTAAAGTTTTCTCAACGATCTAAGAGGATTTAGGGCCGGGACGATCTGGAATGGGCTGGTCGGTGAGCAAGAACGGCCAAAAGTTCTAACGGACGTAAAGTCGCATTTTTGAGGCTTGATACGATACGACCATTATAGTTTTACTATTTGAATGGTACAGGAATCTTCCCTTCGGTTTTGCCACGCAAGTATTGAAGTTCATGGGGCAGCCACCAATAGTATGTTAAGAAAGATAGGGACTTAGTCAATCTCATTTATTTCACAAGAACTAAGCTAAAGTACGATTGTAGAGCTCAAGAATCCCCTATCTTGATAACAACTTTTCCGACATGTCCTCCCGACAACAAAAGATCAAAAGCATCCTTGGACTCAAGGAACGGAAAGACCCGGTCAATCGTACTGGAGAACCGGACCTGTTTCTCTTGTAGAAACTCATTCATACGCAAGAAATCTGCTTTCGAACCTACAGCGATACCCCTATAGACATCTGTTAGTCTAGTACCCAAAAGTTCGGTTGAGTCCTACTTACTTCAGGGAAGCCCTTTTCGACATCAAACCCAGCAATGCAGCAGGGTTCCAATCGGCCGCCAACCCCTCAAGGAATCCCACGAGCGACACAACGCCGCCTCTTGCGCGTAACATGCTGATGTCTGTGAGGATCGATGCCGGCCCGGTGTTGTTGACCACGATGTCAACACCCTTGCCATCTGTGATGCGGGCTACTTCGGCAGCAACATCGGGAGTGGTTTTGTAGTTGATGCCACGGATCTCGGGGTTTAACCTTTTGATGTTGTCCAGTTTCTGATCGGACGATGACGTGATTATTGGTTGGATTCCCGCGGCGAGACAAATTAGCAGCGCGCACATGCTGACACCTCCGGTACCTGACTCATTTAGTGACAAGCATGCGGAATATGCAGGAGGCATATAATACCTTGTAGAAGTGCACTGCGGGCTACGCCTATGGAGGCCGGCGCATTGAGCGCTGTCCAAGCGGTGAGCGCCGCACAAGAGAGGACGGACCCCTGGGACCCAGCTATGTCAGGGCATGTCATATAACTAAAATCATATGGTGAGGGAACTTACCTCCTCCCATGTAAGATGCTCGGGTAACCTCAACAGCAATTTCTCGTCGAACACAGCGAACTCACGTAACACCCCGGGAACATCTCCACCGAGAGCTTGCATTGACGCATCTTCGGTTCCAGTGAAGTTGGTGGTGTCAAAAATGACGGTAACACGGTCCCCGATGCCAAAAGACTTCACCGCTGACCCGATCTTGACTACCTCGGCCGCGCAATCTGAGGCTGAAATGCCATGTTCCTCAACCTGGACGGGATAGTTGCCGACCAACATGCCGACATCGCGGTAGTTCAACGATACGGCATGGATCTTGATTAGGACCGCGGTCGGGTCCAGATCATCAGGCAGATCTTCAGATGAGAGCTCTATCGTCCTCGGGAAATCGCCCGAGGTTCGTCTGAAGGCTTGATATGTTTTGGGCGCCATGGTCAATCATGGGTTTTGAGAATTCGGAGACAATGCAAAGTTTGGTGTTTTATAAGCACAAATGAGTCTGCGTGTAGTTTCACGTATATATTCATTATATGTCAGTCTGTGCCAGTAAGATTAAGCACGGCACTTTTAGTCCGGATCTTTCGGAAATGGAGCCACGAAACTCTCCAATGTGGCCGATGCGGCTAACGACGCCGGCTTACCAATCGATCCGTATGCGTTGGACTATGCCTCAAATGTCTCCGAAAACATAAAGTTATAGAGTAACGGTTTAGTAACCACTCAACCGTGGACTGAAATTATGTGATAATCCAGCGTGATAAAACATTATTTTAACGAATAAAGTGATCATCGAGGTTTGGGGTCTCTGTTCAAGACCAACTTTTGCCGCCCACTAATGAATGGTAGCTGTCGGCATTCTACCCGATCCTTGGCGAGATTTGTGGTGCGCTCACTCGTTCGAAAAGGCTGGCTGGCCTTTTCAGTCATAATACGCGTTGTGGTCAAGATGCAAAAGCTTCCCGTGACGTAGAGGATACTGATCATGAAGAGGACTAATAGACTATGAAGAAGCCGTTCAACACTATCTTTGACTACCAGAGTTTGGCCATTTTCGTGTTCAGCAGGCGACAACTCTCGCCTAAGTTTTGATTTGTTATGCTAAGAACTGCGGTTATGATATCTCTTCATGTCCTATATGAGAAAGACGAAGAAAAAGGCGTTTATTTAAGGGTCCGAATCTGTTTTTTGTTTCATAGAAGGATAAATTCAAGGTATAAGGAGCTCTTCGTCGACGCAAGAACGCCGGAGAAATGGATACCGGGCCGAAATTGTTGGGACGAGTCAGCAGATCTCAATTATCACTGATGATTCGCGTTTATTATGCAATACCGGCCGAAGACTGCGCAGTAAAATACACCACAATCAGATGAGCCGTGACGACCTCTTGTGCGTGGACAACACTCCTGCTTCGGCGTCTGGTCAAACAAATTCATTGTTTGGAAAAGACTAGCTTTAAATCATTTCGGATAAACTGCTCGGGTTATTGAGTTTGAAGTGATAGAAATGGTACTTCTAGCAGTTACAATAGTAGAGTTGTCTTTTGCAAAACAAGGTAGTGGGTGTGCACAACAGACAATCCAAGAGCACGTGCCATGTGTATCATCTGCTCAAGCTTATAACTAAGTCTAAACAGCAATGGCTAGCGCAGCCCGCCACCCCAGCGCGACCTGTAATCCGTACCGTCTGCGCAGGCAAACTAGTTGTTGATACTCCGTACAAAAAGCCTAGACTGCGGGACCTCGAGGGCTGCCCTTCAGCTTTAGCAATCATAACATAATATCATATTATTGTATCGTGCATACTCAAAATGCATTCAAACCGGCCGGCAGGCAGGGAGTGGTCAGCTTCCAGCTATTGCCCATCGTAATTAAGCCCAACCCACCACGGTGGGTCGACTGAAGCGGTACCTGCTCTGCCTGCTCTGTTGTACCATTGACAATCGCCGCCCACGCGTTGCATGGCCCCTTGTCAACAATCAACGGGGGATATCAATGCGTGCATGAGGATCTTGGTAGGTGACGGAAAAACAGGGTTTCGTATCATGTTGGAATGGTGTGTCCCGCGAAGATCTTTTCTATTGATTGCACCTTCAATTGTCCGTCCACAATACTTGTAACACTGTTTGGGTTTTCTATTTCATTTATCAAAATCCTTATGGCTCCATTGAAGCTTACGGCGCCACTGCCAGCACTACCTAAGGTTAGGCAATACGGGCGCCGCCGAGAAGGCCTCGTCTTTGTCCTTCTCCTGGCTTTTTTCTTCATCTACAAGTCTGCCTTTATAGATGTTGTAGGTAGTTTTCTCAAGGTTCGTGCACTGCCAAGTCATTTCTCACTTTTGGATCGCAAGCCAAGCTCCAGAATTGCTAACCAGGGCACACTAAGATTGCCGGCCATGCACAGACATGCGGGCCCCCTGATGCCGAAGCTCGACATATTGCTCCATTGGCCCAGACCATACCTTCCGGCGATCGTCTGGCCATGATCGTTGAGAGCAATGCCTCGCGGTCGCCCAACTTGATCCCCATCATGCTGCACTTTGCCACCGTCCTGGGACCTGCCTGGTCGGTCGTGCTGTTCACGCTCGAAGAACACTGGGAGGTGCCCAGCTCGCCCGCATTCGCGCGGGCGGTTCAGCGGCGACAGATTGAGGTGCGGTATCTGCCACCCGCCACAGAGCTAATGAACAGCCGTAACGTCTCGACTTTTCTGACCCGGCCGTGGATCTGGGAGCAGGTCGGCTCGGCGCGTCGGGTGCTTATGTTTCAGTCGGACAGCGTCATATGCTCGCGGGCCGCGAACACCGTCGAGGACTTTTTTGAGTATGATTTTATCGGAGCACCGGTGGACGCGAAATATGGAGTGGGTTATAGCGGGGGGTTATCGCTTCGAAACCCAAAGTTTTTCCTAGCCGTCACGAGGGAGGCAGATGTTCAGAGGAGCCCTGAACAGCATGAAGACGAGTGGTTTTATACGGAGGCAAGGCGACGTGCTGACCAGGGTGTTACGCTACCGACTCAACGTGTCGCCGGACAATTTTCTGTCGGGTCGATCTATTATCCAAAGCCATTGAGCTATCACCAGCCAGGACGTTGGCAGCATGACAAGATGAAAGAAATTAGGGACTGGTGTCCTGAAGTGGGTATTCTGACAGAACATCGCGTAGTATGAGTTATACTATTGATGGGTTGGTCTTGTTTAGTTCCTCCGATGCAGCACAACTCCTGGCACATGTCCCAAATTAGGCCTTGGAATATTCCCTTCCACCAAGGATGAACTTGACCAAAACTCTCGTGTGTGTATATCCACTTCCAGCATTTTAGAGTCGCTGGTTATGTATGCACACTGTCGGATTATGCGTGCACACACTAGTTGCACCTGATTACTCTCCTGTACATGCAAAAATCGTGTACTTCAGTAGTAGCCTTGACTCCAGGTTACCTGGTCCTCTTTCCTTGTAAGGGACATTTTGGACACATAACGTTGGGTTCGACTGTGTGGGCTTCAGCCAAGCGTCGAGTGGATAAAGGCTGCTTTGCGTCCCGTGGAACATGAGCGTAGGCTGTTCACAACTGTCATGGACACGCAAATCCTCCACTATTTTGATTATCGATTACTAATTCGCTGTTTCTTGTCTTCCTACGTAGCCCTCGTCCAGGCTGTCCCGTCCATCTCATGCACGGTCTTTGGAGTGTGGTACTGCATATCCGGGGCTTCGTATATCTCTCGCGGTGCATTGTAGACTTCAGCGGCGTATTTCGGGGTAGGGGCCGGGTTGCTATCTAGCTGGTAGGTGGGTTGCGCAAACTGCATCTGTCTCTGCCGCTTCCGTCGCCTGAAAATAAAAATTATTGCAATGACGATAGCGAGCAGTGCAGCGAACGCTCCGACGCCGATGCCTGCTGCTGCACCAGCGGTCAGCCCACCGCCGGATGTGTTCTCTACTGCACTCGCACTCGCACTCGCACTCGCACTCGCACTGGAACTCGATGTATTCGTCACCGCATCTGCTGAGTTCTGAGCACGTGTCAGCTTATTATCCTCGCTCAAAATCGCGATGGAAAATTTGTCTTACCGTGCGAGAACCCGTCGAGGTAACAGAACTACTGGATGTCGAAGTGACGAGGTTACTGGCCTGGAACCGAACCTGAACACTGTACGCGTTCATGCCACCTGCATAGCCGGTGCTTGTTTTTGTTTCCGTTATGCCACTTTCAATCTCAATCACTGTCCAGGCAGTGGTGAGCGCAGTGTCCACGTGAAACACGCAGCCTAACGTCGTCTCCCAGTCGTAATAAACAGAGGTCTGGCATACATATTCGAATTGACTATCTTACGAATTAGAACTATCTCGATTAGATGGTCGTAGATGCTCACGTTGGACAGCATGTATATACTGTCTCCGTGACGGTGTCAATTGCGTTTATGCTGCCACACGCAGACGTGTACCCGAACGGACATGATGGAGCTGGGGAGTAATATTGCGAGGTGAGTCCAGCGTAACCGCTAGGGTAACACGAGGTCGCTGAAAAAGGGCCGTTGAGTAAATAGTAGAAACCAGCAGAGGGAACAACTTTGTAGACCAGGTCGAGTTCGTTGGCACAGGCAGAAGGTAGCGCGGCTGCTGCGGTTAGTGGGCCGAGGTTCTGGCCGACGGCCATTTTTTATTTTGTTTTCCTTTCCTCGCTCGCAGCTAAACCTGCGCGCGAAATGGATGGAAATGCCAAAAAGATCGGAAAGCACAGAAGTAAAGAGGCCTGAACCATGGTGCCGCACCTTATGTAGCGAGAATACCGCTCGTCTGACCACATGGCAATATTTCGCTTGCAGATTGAGGATTTCCTGTGCCACACTCCCGCATCAAGCTACAGGGGTTCTGGGGACTTTGCATGCTATGTACATAGCACACTCCCTGGCAAGGACAGGTACCTAGGCATGCGGGACGCCTAACCGAATTGGCTGCCGACGACTGAAGTCCTATATCACTGTACTCAACAGCTGGTAGCTGTCGATAATATTCAGCAAATACCTGGAGCGAACGGGACACCCGTGAGCCCTGTTACCAATCGGTGCTCTCGGAGCCGACTTTTATGGCCTCAAATTCAGACCTTGACTAACTCACCGGACTGAGCATCAAGTTGATATGTGATTCAAGTCATGGGATTTTTAATCATTTATTATAGTCTTTTGTTCAGATGTTCTTTTTTTCTGGATTTCCGAGTCTAAAACGTCAACGAGAAATATCTATCAGAACTCAGTAGTGGTGAAAAGGAAATGGTGCATGAGCGCAGCTGAACGCCTAGACTAGCGCTGTCAAAAGCGTAGCATGACAACGGACACTCAATTGCAGGGGCCCTGGTTCTCTAGTCACACAGACTTGACATGGCACCGCTGGGCGATTGGCTAAAAGGTCCCCCTGCTGAGGGTCTCTATCATTAATTTATCAAGTCCTGATGCAACAACCCCTGCTCCGTAAGATTCGCCCAGGTTGCTTCATTTCAGCGAGAAGTGCGCTTGGTACGCTTGTAAACTTATGAAAATACACAAACTGAAGGCTTGTCGCTGGTGGGGTCCATTTAAACTGCGACGACGGTGATTCAAACTCTCATATGGATCTGTACATATATATATAAGTAAGGCTCAGGCTTGAGTGTACGACGATATCCCTACGACAATGTCCCCATGGAGCCTCGCCGTTCGACAGCTGAACCTGCATTAGGGCGGCCGCAACGTCCGGGATGCCGCCAATCAAGTAGACAAAGACTGGCACCACCCACTGCACCCGAAACTTAATCTGCGACTATTCGCATGATGCGTCCGAGACTGTCACCAAGAATTCCGAACATCAATCGCAGTCCCCCCTTAACAGTAATGCTGACTGTTTCAAAATGGCGGAGTGAAGCATGAAGGTCAATCCTCCTGAGAACATAATACAATGAGTATGACTGCTGCCTCTTTGTGTTGAACAACCAGATCTGTGCTCGGTTGAGCTTCCGATTTTAGCTCGCTTGGATCATGCATTCAGGGTCGTTTAGGGCTAAGAGCCGCTAATGCACAAACCGTAGAACACGAGCGCTCGGGTCGCACTATAACGATGGTTACAGTCTTCTGTCACAGAGATCAGTAACTTAGCTTTGTTGTATACTAGCCCTCATTAATTGTATATTGCATGACGGTTTCCATGTTTTGTTTAGTTCAATTCCAACCCGGCCAGCAATAATAGATGCACTTTCGTCATGGTGTGTCTTCGGATTCCAATTCACTGAACCGCATACCATGGCTGAGATCGTTTGAATCGCAGGGTCCCGTCAAATACACCAGGTCATAGGCCCTAAACCATGATGACTAAGGTTCACTTGAATATATATAGCCAACGAAGGATATCTGGGTGGCTAGTAGATTATAGCTTGAGAAATGCATGAGCTTTTCAAATGCACCAACCAGCGCCGTTGTACCCTTGTCATCATACAGAAACAAACATTCAGGATACGGGTAACAACCCAATACATGTACGATAGGGCTAAACTCCACATATTAGATGAGTTGCATTTACGCTCCAAACTTTGTAATCCGAGAAGGTCCGAGATCATAATTCAATCCGCACGAATACGGACCAAAATATCTCCAAGTGTAGCAATCCTTATTCAAAGCCGAACAACGCCAATTTTTGTTATCATAGCCGGTCTAAACCGCAATTCTCGCCTAGTTAGAAACATTTAGTCGCAAATACGGGTCGTCGCCAAACGTCTTTCCTTCCCCGCGGCCCATTCTTCCAGCCGAGCTTCTCCATATCTCGTGCTTTGCATCAATCAACAAGTTCCTCCATTGGCCATCAGCGCTCTTAATCTTACATCTTCCTAATCCAATGCTTGGTGTTTGCAAATAGATTGCCTCCCAATGATTCGCGGGGACGTCATAAGCCTCGTGATAGATCCCGATGTGTGGCATTGATTTGACGTTGGCACTCCACCAATTCCAAGCATTCCTATGCATAGGTCCATGAGCGAATTTATGAAGGTCTTCCATCGTTTTAAAGTATCCGATTATGCTGAGATGGTCGTTCTTTAAGCCTGTTCTCGTGCGCCCGTTGATGAGCGAACCACCCAACCACCCATGCTCGCTCGGATGAGCATCGAGGTCTTCAACAAGAGATCTAAACAAATCACCGGTTGCTTTCGCGCCTGGGGCGAGTATACCCAGAGGGTGACTGATTCTGATACCGAGGATGAGCAGAGCAATGCCTTCTCCTGATGGGTTCAGTCCAGAGGAACCGCCTGGTCTAGGGAACATGACGCTCGCTTTATAGGGATTAACCTCTTGTAATTCAAGATTGGTTAGTAGGCCATAAGATACTAGAAGAGCGGGTATGAGGCGCAGCAGTAGAGCGCCAATGGTGATAGACACCACGAATCGGTAGGGGAATATGCAGGCAAGAAGTTGGAATATGAGAGCGCCAAAAACGATCCATGTTGTCGGACGGAAATTTCCAGCCACTGTTGGGTTATCGATTATCAGTACAACCGTTTGTGGTAACTTGAGTAGCCTGAGCATTTTCCCCCACCCTGAAAGATGGATTATTGGGTGTTCGTGGAGTAAACGTAATGTAGTTCTAATGCCGGGTGAGACTTTGCGAAAAGCTTTCCTTTTCTTTACACTTGAGGTGATCAGTGAATGATTGGAATATGATGGTCCGCTACACAACTCGTAAACCCACCCCGCATCTTACGAAGGCAACGCTGTCGCACAGGATCACGTGTTACCTGCATCGTTCCATTCCAGTCGACAGATCCATGGGTTCTAGATAGCGCCAGACGGTAACGGACTGACGCCTCTAAGAGATGCTGAATCATAATAAACAGATAGAGATTTAGAAGCAAAGATTTAATTATGAGGATGGGAGGGTAGTGATCGTCAGACCTCATTTATATGCCTACAATTTGGCAGACACTATAATTACAATCACACAGGGCTTTGTACTCGCAAATAGTCTTGAGAAACAAGAATTTTTCAATCATTTTATGTATGATCTCCTTTCCTGATTTAAACTGAACTAGTGACCGACCACTGCTACTCGGTGTTACTCCATGGCTTTTGCCACTTCAGTCATGTTAGATTATGCGAAAGTATTCTTTTTCTGGATTATTAGATACTTTCCTTAACTATAGTAGCGAGTGCTTTCTCATACTCTTCGACCTCCTTAGCACCTACAAGCGTCAAATCCCTCCTCCGGCCTTCAAAGATAATCGTCGGCACCGAGTCGACCCCGTCGATTCCTGCCATTTTAACCATCTGGCCAATCTCCCTCCTCCCCATATCTCTTTCCTCGACGACAACCCGCCGCGCATCAACTTCTTCCACCCCTGCTTCCTGACAAGCCGCCAACAGGGTCGCGTCGCTGCTGGGGTGCTTCCCTTCTTCGAAATACTGCCTGTACAGCGCTGCCAGGATTCTATTCGCTGTCTCCGGTCCATACTTTTCCCTGGATTTCTGCCCGTCCTCAAACACGACAGGGTTGTCTTCGAACTGTTCTGCCGTACCCTGAAAGATCTGGATCACGCGGTGCGCATCTACGGTGTTGGCCACCTGCCCGTCCCAGTTGAACTTGAAGTTAAGGGCAGTAGCATAAGAGTCCATCACGGTCTCATAAAGTTTGAACTTGGCTGGGTCCGAGTTGTATTTCTCGTGCGTGTACCATTCCCTCTTGACCTCGCCTGTGCAGGCCATAGTTGGGTAGAGCTGGTATGGTGCAAGACGTAGGTGGAAAGTTACGTCTTTCGAGTCAAGTTTGGAAATTGCTTTGTCCAGTCTAACAAAATATGTGTTAGTAGGGACTTTTTGCTCATTGTTCTGGTGTGAGTCAGAGTTCTGCCGCAGTTGTATTGAGTGGGCGTGTAATAATTAAGAGTGAGTGAGCCCAGCGGCGCTGACGTGCTTGGAACTAATTCAAGGAAATTGTGCTATACATAGCAGCTGGAAATTTGCATGGTCAACTTGAAGTTTTGGGTGGCCGATACCTTTTTTTCGATAAGTATGTCCTTTCAGAGAGCAACAAGTCAGTACTCGAAAGGGTTGTCAAGACACGCGATAACATACCACGGACATATCGTGTCAAATGTGAACGTTATTGTTGATTCGTACATCCTAGAAGAGGTGAGTATTTCAAAAGTACCCTTTGGTTGTATGCAAAGTGTTGAATGTACGGTGCGCGTTGAAATGCCTCGAGATGGTGTATACTCCGCAGAGTGAATGACGTCATATATGCTCCTAAGCTCCGGCGAACGGAGTATAGTTCGGACACAGAGACCTGTCACTGATTGGTACTTTGACACAATGCATTCACATTACTTTGCTTTTAACATGCTTATTGAGGAATATAATTGTATAACCAAGTATGTATACTAGTAAAGAATTGAGGTTTGTTGTTATCAAAACATCTTTGCCTCATTCAGGTTGGTGTGTTGAAAGTTGTTTTTCATTCATGTCCATCCTCATAGACACTTTCGACGTATATGGATTTCCAGGCAGTTAGTCTACGGCCAGTACAGCTCTTGGCATGTCTTTGTAGCTTTTTCCTGCCGTAGTTGTAACTCGACCAGCCACAACCGCGCATCTTATAAATACTATCCAAGCTATGTTACTAGCCTTTGCGTTTGCCACTCGCTTCCTTTAGTACATTGCAGTGCTGATTGTTATTGATGAGTTTCATCCACCCCAGGTACTCACCATGACTCCGATTTCCATGCAAATTCCAGAATCAAACTTTTGGGGCTGCTGTCGTCCTAAACTTGGCTATTGATGATGTACTCCAAGATTTCTAGGCAATCATTTTACGCTACGCGCGACAGAGTGTCAAGGTCCAATATGGCAGCGCTCACATCCACGATGGTCTGCAGCGCATGGGAAACGCCGATGCAGTGACCAAACATGTCGGGGTGGAAGTTCTAATCATTTCAATCGTGTAGACCGGCACTCTGTGGTCGGATCTTGTCATCACGTTCGCATTTCAATGAAACTGCGCTAGTCACAATTGCCGGGTAATTCATAGACAATGTACACTTGGAATGTGGCGGAAATGTCAATTTTTAGTCGTCACTGACACTCCCATTTGTACGATCATGGTTCTGGACATTGCTCTTTGCATGACTGCAGGTCTTGAGTGAAGAATTAATAGATCATGTTCCACGGGCAGAAGCGAACTCTTAGACATGCCACATTGGAGCGAATGTTTTCTAACCACTCCTACTTTTCTCCAGACCCCTCAATTAAGATATTAAATAATTTGGAGGTAGATCCTAGAAGGGCAAGGTGTGGCTCAGAGTCACAACTACTTGTCGTTATTCACATTGGCTTACAGGACACGGTCTACCAGGTTCGATAATCTTATAAATTATTCAGTCTATTACATCTGAACTCCCTAGGTGTCCGAAGTAATTCACTTCGTCGTTCTTTCCTCTATGATTCACTCATTAAGTCATGTATTTAAGAGTACAATGGGATATTGTTTTTTGACGACCTTTTACTACCATGGAATACCAACATGTTAACGAATCTATGGGAGAAGAGACTCCATTATCAACTATCATGGCTTCACAAGAGCTACAGCCTCTTGAGTGTTTTGGGCTGGTCCGTCGACAAGAAGAGCTTGACATACACGATCTGGATTTATGGTGCGGGTTGTTGAGTATTGTGTTTAAGAAGACAGAGTGGACAGATTATCTTATCACACCGAGTGATGATACCAATCTACATCTGCACCAATACTCTGTTTCCAAAAAGCATCATGCATACATGTAAGTCGTACTGAGCAGAAGTTCTTCTACATTCAAGCGTTATAAAACTAAGGCTAGCAACATGCGGAGAACACCAACATAGCCTCGTACAATACTGTTCTCATATATATTTCTAGCGAAAGTGATGGAGGCTAATTCATACTACCCGCAGTATTTCTTGGGCTTATCTCACGTATGGCCCCGACCGCACCAGAAAAACCGACATGCGTCTCTTTCAAATGGTCATTGATAACTGGAAGAAAGTCACATCTAAAAAGCTTCGTTGGATTGTTATCCGAGGTATTTCCAACAATGAGGCCAAAGAGTCGATGTACAACGAGTTCTTAAGGCAAGGGGTGGTACTTGAGGGTAATAATTGCGTTGAGGTTAATGCAACGCTGGAACAAAGCCTCTATTGTGGGAACCCCTTTATGAAATGCTTGTTTAAGCTAGCCGATGGACTCCATACGACGGTCAGCAATGTAAGATATTGCCGCTACTATGGATGTTTTACCATGTTTGCTGAACTGTTGGCTTGATACATTGGGGAAAGATAAGAGCAGAAGCTCTTCTCAGGGCTAACTCAATGCTGTATATGGAACATTGTGCTTGGGTGGTAGTTTCTGCCATTGGAAGTCTTGAAGATGAGCAAATGGGTATTGCGACATGTTTTCGGGGTAGCCAACCGGAATTACCTCAGAGAGTACTTCGCATCAATAGACTTCGCGACTAATAAGTCCACCCATGAGTTCGCTTTTGCGTTTGAGAGTTTAGTCATATCATTCTTGTTGAGATATTTCCCAAGGATTGTTTAAACGTATCTCAGGACTTCGCAGTCTTTCACATTTGCCCAATATGTATATTATACATTCAAAGACATGTTTATGGCGTTGATTTGACTCTATTATTGTTCTTTTATATGTCCATAACCCTTCCAATAAACTTTCCATTGAAGAATCGAGACCAGCAAACCGTCCTTGATTATGAGACACAGGATGTAATGTTACTGGCTGTGACATGTATTTAAGTTGTTTGGGTTTCGATCGTTATCTAATAGGGGCTTTTAAAAATCACTGCAATTGCTATGAAAATTTTAAGAAATTATGAATGACTATCCCTAGGCGCCATTGTTGAAAGGGACACCTGCCAGCCTCGGACCTCTGCCACTTGCCTTCTGCGGCATAAATCATATTTTTCATATTTCGTTCATACACTCCTCCCTAATCCTCTTGACACTTCTAGCACTGAACAGAGACAGAGCCAAACAGCACTGATGTGCATTGGTCGCCGTTGATATGGAGGCTCGAGCCCTGGCAGTTCGTGCCGCTCCAGGTATAGGTTGCGCAACCGCTAAGGTCCATAATGTCAGCTTGGCTTGTTTTCCGCTGACGTTATTCGACTTCGGCCTTGTGATTCGGGCTAGATAATTGAATAGTAAAGGGACATACTTCTCCGATACCGAGATGGAGGCCTTAGCACCACTAACGGGTTGGCATCTGTATCCATCCGTGACGGTGAAGCTTTGGGTGCTGCCACCGCAGGAGCTACCGCTGTACATGTTGACATTGGCCACATTGGCTTTGGGAACCACTGCGGGCGAGGCTGACGCCCAAGCGGCCAAGATGCTCAGGATAACAGCGTTCATAGCGTACATGTTTGATGTTGAAGGAAGAAAGATCTAGAAGTTCGCTGGGTGTATGAAGACTCTGCTGATGTGTGAAGATTCCTCGACTGTTCATCTGGGCGTGCGAAATGAGCTTTATATATTTTCTTCAGAGGCGAGTGTATGAAAATTTGACAAGAAGTCTCCACAGAGGCTTGAGATCACTCGGGACCGTAGAGATGGTTGAAATATGGCCACGAAATTTCTATTCGTAATCTTTAATCTGCTTAGTGAAAAGTGTTCTTCCATACCAATGTCTCGGTCCCGAAAAATCTATGCCGTACAACCAGAACCAAAAATACCCAACTCTGATTCGTTCAAAATGGGCAATGCATATGTGACCCTATATTTTGGTGTAAACCCAAAGGCCCGTCCATATATCTAGAAAGAAAACTTTTATCAAAAGTTTTCGTAGTGGTTATATCTAGTTGTACAGGTAACAGATCGAATTTGGTCATTCCATGAATATACCAGGAAGTGCAATTAAGCCTGTATCTATGAAAATAAATCATTGTCTGGTCTCATGCCTCCCAACCTATTAAAACACCTAGGGGTATTGTATTGGCTTGATTTCACAGTTAGCGATCAATATTTCCAGAACAAGGCCGGCACTCCCATTTACTAATATTGAAATTTCACTGTGGACTTTCGTCTGATCTCGTGGTAAAATACACCGAGCTCGTCCAGTATTGATGGGAAGTCATGTATAATCATACAGAAATTCTGCAAGCCACACCATATGCTCACATGTGATGATTCAAGCGACAAAATGGTGATCTTACCGCACCACACATACCCGCACGTCGTACAGGCTGTCTTTGTGTATGCCTACTTTACAATCTTTGGCAGTTTTATCAAGTTAGGATGTGTCCGACATTCCCAAAGCTCGTCGTAAGTTCCAGCGGAAGGATTTTACTCCATGATACTAAAATCAGCCTGAGCAGAATCATATCCGAACCTTACATGAAAAGTCGAAATCTTTTTCTATCGCTCACGTAAGACAGGGTGCCGCAAGAATCCAATCTCACAAACGTAGTGTTGTGCTCCTGCTATTGGTTGCAAATAATCAGCTAACCTAGTACAAAAGCGAAATTATGGATCAGAATCTTTGACTTTCGGCATTTAGCAAAGCACATGAGTGTCTGAAGGACCTTGCCAACGTGACTATGCGCGCAAAAGGAAATTGGCAATTCTCGCACTTGTGCTTACGGTCGTCGGTCATGTTTGATTTCAATTGGAGTACCTGTCATCCCACAGGAACGGGCGGAAAGGTTCTTTCGTTCCCGACACCCGAAGGCACAGCGTGACGGCATTCATGACGGTTGATTACTTCCGTGAGATTTCCGTGAAGCCCAGCCTCGGATACTGACTACTGACACATGCATATGTGTGGTTCTTTCGGTATTTACCGTCTTCGGCCCTCGTCGATCTGACTACTGGAGCCGAGTTTTCGATGTTCAACCTCGCCAATATTTATATCTGCGTGGGGGCGAGAATGTGATTAGCTATTTCGTGTAAAGCGTTGTATCAAATTATAACGCCATATGTTTTGATGTAGATATTTCATTAAAGCTGCGAAATACAACTTACTTGACTTCTTTGTCTGCCACATCCGTAGACTTTTACGTTGCGCCCATAGTCTAGATCTCTATACTCTAACTTAATGACTAGATTAGCCTCAATCTAGAGTCCGACTAATGCTCCCAATAGCTACGTATAGATCGATTAGCAGCGGTCCACGGCTGCATAACCATCGCTGGCGGGGCCCTTCACTAATTCTAGACACTGATGAGATGATGCTAAAAACACGTTTGGTAGGAGAGACAGCCGAATTTCTTGACCGACCTCATCTAACGGCATGTGTAAGCGGCATTGCCCTACGCATTAAACACTGCATTGCGCTGGGATGATCTATAAGGCGATCGGATTCGGATGCGGATCTATGGCGGTGAGGTCAACAGTAAAACACTAAAAGCTGCATAAACTTTACGTATTTATGGCTACTCACTGTGATCCTTTGGTCTTACTCTGCACCGCTATTGGTTAATCATTACTGCATTTCATTTACTATACGGTGCCTGGCGGTTCCTCCTTTGGTATCTGAGTAGTTCAGCGACGGTTGATGAAAGATATCTAGAGGGAGTTGAGATGACCGATCTTAGGTAAATAGTCAAAAAGATTCCAGTAGAGATGTCTCAACGTATATCAAGACAATATCATATACTGTACAGTTCTATCCAGTCAATCGGGCTCGTTAGTTATAATATATCCACCCCTGTCAATGGTAGATGCTCAACAAGATCTTATTTCCATGATTCCCTGCTCGGTCCTGGTTCTGGTCCTCTCACTGCGGCGTCTAAATGCGCATCTTTCAAAAGCGATGCGCTTTTCTTTGCAAAAGGCTTGCAGGCTAGGCCATGCGCTCAACCACTGAAGAGTCATGTACGGCTGCATAACGATTGCCCACCCAGTTGCGTACTGGATCAGACTATGATAAGGAAATCGTCGAGCGCCGCAACAGTTTTTGTCTAAGATAATGTTCTAATTTGTCAAATAGATTTAAAGCGCTACACCGCTTGTTCCAAGCGAAGAATCATTGAATCAGCGTCTCGACCGTACAAATCACCAACCTAACGACGCTTCCCATTTCTAATCAAGTTAACAGATATCAATAGTATTTAGTTCTTGAAGTGACGAAATTGATGTACCCTCCCTTATTTAATGACGATTTGGAGATTTACTTTTGAATCACAGTGTTTTCTTTTAAAAAAATAAAATTTAAAAAAAATGTAAATGCATATCCTTCCAACCTTCCTGCAACCTTACATTCACAGAATAGGCTCTTCTCCTATAGACTTCATAGCAAACACGTTCGCGGCTTTTATCGGTAGGGAATCAGAAATCATTTTAACCTCCGGGACAACAGTCCGAACCGCGTTTATCTGGAAGCAAAACGGCATGCCGGTGAATCTCCTTGTACCATGGACATCCGACATGAACGTGCCATGAGCTCCAGAGGAGCACATCGAGCTCTAGGCATGATGATAGTTTGGCAGACATATTGTGCTTGCTAAAAGTGGTCATATGTTCAGTAAAAAGGTTCTATACTTCAAGGCCGTTGCTACAAGAGCGGCCAAAACAGGAATTGAATATCCCTTACCCTGATGACGTGATGCATTCGGTTCCAGACGGAACCCTTCGTTGACGCGGAGAGCACCGCTGCTTTCTAACTGAAGATTTGCAGCAAAACTTTCCGCCTAAACTGAGCGCCGAATAGCGGTGTAGGAGTCATGCCGAAATTGTTCAAAGAATGTGTCATATACTGGGGCGTTGACGTGGTTGTTCTGCCTCTCCATGATACTCAAAAGTATCCCTGAGGGAGGAGACTTTATGGCGGGTTGCGCCGCCGACAAATCGCTTCTATTACGTTCGCTTTGAGCCTTAATGCAGGTGCTGGACATGCGACATCTGCAATAAGGCAAACTCGCTGGTTGCCTTTCTGCATCGAACGCTGCGTGGTATTTGTGAGTGGCTCGACAAGCTGATCAAGGGCTGATAAGAGAAGAGGATCGAGTTAATTTTGCTTGTGTTTGGTACGTCGTCTACCTACTGATTTGCGAGTCTGCCAAAAAAGCGGTGACCAAGAAATGCAACGAGTCTGGACGCGGACAGGTTGAAACCTCAACCTGGGATAAATGCATTCAAACAACAAGCGGGCCACGAATCTTCCACAACTCTGTGGCGCTGCATTATTGGGCTCGCTATCGCTGTGCTGATGCCCCCACAATCCTGCGAGCGTGTACTTAAACAATTTAGCAGAGTTAGTACCCGGCACAGATGCAAGACTAAAGTAGTGGTTGAACGTTAGGTCAATTTCAAAATAACTTAATTTTATTTTCGGACTGGCGCTGGACTGGCGCTGGACTAATTGATGCTTGCAGAACTAGTCTATGCAATATTCATCAAGCACTCAATCCCAATATAAGCTGACGAAGGCTCGTCTCTTCATGGTTCATCCTGTCTCCGAATTTGACGACTCCTCAGCAGCCCTCATACGCTGTATATATTTGCTATCTGGTCGCAGCACAGCTAGCATCTCCGCACTAACCAGGACTGGTGGTTTTCCTCCACCACTTCTCATTGCCTTGATGTATTGCAGTTGGCGCCCCGCTATCTGCCACACAAATCGTGGAGAGGTATTATTGTGAAATAACTTAAAGGTCAAGCTGGCCTTTAGCAGATTCCATTGCTGAAGCTCGACCGGTATGCAGCTTTGCTGCTCGAAGAGGTTGGCGAGGCGGTCATTGAGCTGGCCCTGTACTCCTGGACGTGGGCTTATCTCAAGCCATTTTGCATACACATACTGGACATTTCGTTGATAACTTGTATCATTCGATTGCGGTCTCATGACCTTTCGCCATTCAACTGCAGTAGCGTGTAGGTCAGCTTGGAGACAGTTTCGAACATTCGCAAGGCACAATATTTCGTCCGACTGTGCGGTAAAGATATGGAACACCCAGTCCTCGAATGTGTCCCAATAAGTTGAGAGATCAGCGTCGTAATTTTGAGCCAAGACTGTTCCGTCTGCTTTCCGTGGGGTCATAGAATCATAGATTGTCTTAAGCCCATCGTGTATTGTAGCCTTTAAGGTTTGTTTCAAATAATCAACAATACACATTGTGCCTTTCTCAAATCCCGGGCTGTTGATTTGAGGCTTGGGGCGGTGACATTTCGCTACTACCTCTTTCAAGTAAAGATACCATTTTTCAGTTGTCAAGTTGGAGCCTTGCTTGGCCTCATCGGCTAGTTCACTGAGGAGCCAACTCAACGAGATGGTCGCCTCATCGCTGACGGAATTTCCCTCGGCGCAAAACCTCTCTTTGTGATTCGTACAAATACCAAGGAACTTCTTCTTGAGGCTGAAGCAAAATGCTGCCTCTATCATGGAGGCAACATAGTCTCTTTCTCCATATTCGTGAATCATCTGCCCAACCGTTCTTTGATCTCGCGCAAAATAACGATCCAACTCAGGTTTCGGTGGCACTACCGAATTTGCAAAGTTGTTGACTATCTCAGGATCCCAACATACCCAAGCTTTATCACCATCGTAATCGCCGCCGGAAAGAATTTTCGCCAACGGCTCGTCGCCCGTGGTTGGGAAGACCACAACATCTCTGAGGTGACGGAGTTCTCTCTTGAACACTGCAGTGACCTTTTGAATATCACTCGGTAAATGGGCAGGACAACGGCTGACCAGGACATTCATTCCATCCAGGTCCATGAACTCATCTGGTCCATCTATAAACTTGGACGAGAAGCAAAGGTGGACTTCTCGTGGTCCCAACACGCGTTCAAAGTCAGCGATCATGAATACATATGCGGACCGGTTAAGCTTAACATTCATTTTTGTCGAAAGGGTGTTGTATTTTTGTTTTTGCAGGTCGAAGATAAGATCTTGGAGAAACTTGAGTTTAAGTGGATTGAAACCTCCATTAATGAGGAAATTCAGAATGTCGTGAGTAATCTCTGGAAGTCCGCCAAGAAATGGGATGCTGCCATCATAGCTGCCATCAACTCGGCGCGGAGCATTCTCATATACCCATTTGCTGAGCTGCTGAGGATGATCTAATGCTGATCCTAGGTCAAGGAGGTCGTTTCTAAGGTGGTCTGATAAGCGTTTGCTGATTGTCTCCAGTAGTAGAGCTTTGTTTACTGCTCTGTCTTCCAGAATTGGAAGAAATTGTGTGTTCAGAGTGGCAGGTCGAGGTTCTACTGCCCAAGTTTTGACCTCAAGAACTCGCTGATCATTGTCGGACCAGTCACAATTCCACTTGCGTTGGCGTTCGTATGTCTCGATCCAGTCCTCTTCATCGGTCGATGTCTTGTCGATAACCCACAGCCCTTTGGCACTGCCAATACGACCTTGAATAACACAAGGAGTGTATGCGATATTCAGCGTGTCACGTATCCTTACCATGTAGCCTTTGGATATCCGGCCAACACCATCATTCATTACCTCTCCCGTGGAAGACATTAAATTATCGACATGATTGCGTATTTGGGTTTCTTGCAGCTCGCCAATTGGGTCGGTCTTGGTTAAGCCTGTCAATCAATTTAGCGTTATCATTGGAGAATACGAAGGCGTACTACTTACCAAGTTGGATACGGGAGAACAGTTTTAGATAGCATTGATCTTGGTTCTGCGTGAATTGCAGATGCCAATTCAGCATTGCTTCCCGACGACACGATACCTTTGACGATGGTGCTTCATTCGAGGAAAGAGAATCTTGTAATTGGCTTGAAGAAAGACCAATCCCTTCTTCTGCGAAGAAATGAATTTTCTGCTGGACCAATGGCTTCGACCCAGGCGCAGGGCTATCTAGAGATTGAGAGGATTGTGGTGGACCGATCCAGAAAGCTGTCCACTTCCGGCCAACCATGGGATGAAGCTTTTGTGTAAGCCAGTGGGCAGTGACTTCCCTCGCATTGGGGGAACTCAGTGAGTTCCATGAGTCAATTGTTGGGAGAGTGATCTCAAGGAACCTATCCGAGCCGAACCGTCTATGGAGTCGACAGCTTTTGCTAAGCTGCAAAGGTCGAAGCCGCAACTTGAAGGTTGGCGTTGCTTTTTCTTCAATAGATACAGAAGCTTTTAGCAAAACCGCGCTATTGCCTGATCGAAAACTTTCCTGATGGCCGACGGACCAAGCACTAGGGTCCGACTCTTGAGGAAGTAACTTGCCCCTAAAAGCGTCATGCGACTGAAGGAATTCCCAAAATGTGTTTTGATCTATCCACTTATCATCATAGGCAATCTTCAAGTCCTTAAGGTCGACTTCACAATGTAAAGCCGCACGAGTGGTTTCCCACAACACTATAAGCGGAGCCTTCTCGAGCCCGACAGGAATACTTGCTGTATGCCCAGTTAGTCCAGTCAAGTTGCAATGACAAAATTGAAACTGGAAAACCTACGCCAAATAAGATCAAGGCGACGTTCAAGAGCTGTCGGCAGCTGATCAAAGGTCAAGTTTTTCTGCGATTCCAAATGCTTATCTGCTCGAAGTGAGGCCAAGCTGGATGATGTCACAACACAAGCTTCTGAATCTGATTTAACATCTTCAGACCCTGTGATCGACGGGCATGTTTTCGCTTCTGTAGCTTGAATTCTTAATAACTCATCGAACATATCCTCCAGAACATCTATGTCAGAGGATGTTGGGGAATATGAATGATTTGTTGGTGCGCGCAAAACAGTACAACTTTGCCCTACGTTTGACGAGGTACCTGAAGGTATGATTCCGGAGTCCGTATGTATTTCCTTTAACTCGTCCGGAGTACTTGGGACGGATGATACCATACTGTTATTTGAGCCGGTTGTGTTCGAGCGAAAGGTTAGATGGGATGCTTCAAATGTAGAGGCGACGCTCACATTATTGTCGGCTGTCTGAGTCATTTGAGAAACGGTTTTGGTAGGCATAGTGACACGATGTTGTTTTTACCACGAAACGATCTGTGGAAAGGCTGAGGGGCGGGCTTAGACTTTTGTGTATTTTTAATTAGGGACTAGACTACTGACTGAGTAATGAGAGGGGGAAAGCCTAACCTAGAACATTCGATCACTGGCAGTTGTGCTGGCTGCGAGATCGAGGATTCCAGGATAATACGAGACAAAGTGAAGTCTGTACTGGGCGAGACTGTTGAATATGCAACACTTCTGATGCCCATCTTCGCTCTGGTCGAATAGGAAAGAAACAAACCTCGGGGAAGGCAGGTCTGTCAGGCTAGAGCAATAAAAGATGCATGCAAGGCGATCACAATTTGATCCGATCAAGAAGAGCGCCAAGCCTCACAACTAATGCGTGTGCGTGTCCAGCTCATCAGATATTTAGCTTGATTGGCTTGTTTTTATATCACAGCAGTCAAGTTGGAGCCAGTCAGCCTCGTCCATGCCACACTAATGCAGGTAGGAGGCCAGCCAGCAGGCTTGCCTTGCATGGATCACAAACACTCGCACAAGGCTCTGAAGTCGCTACTGGACGAAACTATCATTGCAGCATCGCACTTGAGAGGCCCTCCATCGGGAAGAGTGGCGTCCCCTTCTTGCTAATTGTTGTCCTCGGCTGGCGTAAAAGTAGATCTTTCTCTAGAATAGCTCTTAAAACGCACTTAGTCACCGAACAGGCAGTAAATATCATGTTACAGTCCACGCAGAACCAGAAATATGTAGACATATTTTAAGCACAGTCGACTGCCGATTCTTGAACGGCCCTTGACTAACAAGACTCCCTACATCCATGAATTGGAGAGAGGCGCTGTCTGCTGTACCAATCGTTTCAGCCATCGCCGGCTGACTGTCGCTGTTGACCACATCGTCCAGAGTCTGATCGAGGGCGGGCAGTCTGGGCTGGCTTCGACGAGGCTGATGGAATCGAAAAAATGAAACACACATACGGTTATCGTCCAGAACCAGGTAGATTTACCAGTGGAGGCTACATTAAGAAAAAGACTGTTAAAGCAAGTGTTGAAAGGTCGGCAGTCAGCTTGATATAGCGAAGAAGTAGAATCTCTGGGCCTCAAAATACACCACGACTCTGTTGGTCGAATACTTCACGTGTACTTAGGAACCTAGGCACGATAGGTAAGATTCCTAGCCTGGTTAATTCCACCTTGGCTGAGAATACCGCGACGACTTTGCATTTCGTATCTTGTCAACCCGCTTCCTTATGGCTGAGCCCTATCTTCCTCGTCCTCTTTCTCCGGTGCCCACTCCTCATCCTCCAGGCTAAACACGATTTCATCGATATTGGGCACCTTGTGCGCTGCAAGGTGCTGCCCATTCGGAATGTCATTTCCATCCGCCCTCTTCAGCCCATCTTCCCTATTCGTCACAATCTTGGCAACCACATGCCTGTCCGCCAGCCTCTTCCGCGCAATATTCTCGTCCACTTGCACAAACCAGCGGAGATCCATCAGGTCTGCCGCCTGCCTCCAAGAGCCCTCGTCGAGGCAGACGTAGTTGCCCTCAAACACCACAATCCGGTGGCCGGGCTGGATCTCGATGTCATTGTCCACGGGATCCTTTGCCGCATGGTCGAATGACGGTGCGTAGATGGGGACCGTTTTGGACTTATCGAGAGGCACCCGCAATGACTGGACTAGTTTCAAAAACGACTGCTCGTCGAATGTGAATGGGGCGCCCCGTCGGTCGTGGGCCTCCTTGGGGTCCTTGAACGTATCCAGGACAGCCCGCGGCCAGTGGTAGCCGTCCATGGGACAGTATGCAGCAACAGGTCCAGAACCAGGGTACAATTCTGAACATCTTTCGTTCAGACGAGCCGTCACTTTCTTAGCCAGATGTGTCTTGCCTGGGCAGGAATCAGCGACGGTGTAGGCAGACGGTCTGGAGACGAGGGATACCACATACCTGAGCCTGGCATTCCGGCTATCGCAATCACTATACGGGATTAGATCGAATCATTTCTAATCGGCATCATTCAATTTATCTTCCCGAATTTAATATGTGATATTGGACGTTATCGTGGGGCGACTCACTGAGACGATGGTCCTCGGGAGTGCTCTGGTAGCGCTGCCACGCTTGATCAACGAGCCGGCGCACTTGTTCCTCCATTGTGGCTAAAGCTGATTATAACGGTGTAGTATATAAGTATAGATATAATCTTTAGTACAACACAACACAAGATGAGTTTGTACAAAGAGCTATTTCTGAGCATGTGCAAGCGTCTTGAGTTCCCATTCAACCCGTCCAGGTCTCCAAGAACATGCCCGAACCTGCCCCTCAATTGCCCCACCGAGCGCTGATGTCAAGCACGCTTTCAGGGACCACTGAACAGCGGGCCGCGGCGGAGACGGCGACACTCTTTTTTTCTCTCTCTTCTTCCTGTGGCCAATAGAACAAGCTAGCAAGAGCCCGAGGACACCATCGCGAAGATCGAAGATATATCTTGCGTAGCTATATACATATGCACCATACATAGGCATGGAAGATCTCGACTCGGGCTTGCTGGCCATTGGCCTTTCCGACGGCGACGACAGCGCCCCCGAGGCCGCAGAGCCCTCGAAGATCAAAATCCCCGGGACGGCCCGGACTGAGCAATCAGAAGAAGCGTTCCAGGCCGTGCAGCGGGGCTACACGGTCAAAGTTGAAAACGGCGAGGTAGGTGTTGTGACTGCTGCTTGGTTGTTCAAGATTGTGTTGTCCCCGTCGGCATGAGATTCGAATGACTCACTGACAGGGATCGCACGGATAGATATGGAAGGAGATCAGGTTACCCTTAGGACGCAAGGTCGCGAAGCCGGAGGCACAGGCGCTGCTGCACGCCGTGGAGGAGTTGTACTTCTTCAGGCGATATGATGAGGGAGCGGCATTTGTGAAGAAAGTGCTAGACGGTGAGGGTGGTGCCGGTGGGTTGGACAAAGACACGAGTAAGACACTCAGGTATTACCAAGACAAGTGCGAGCAGAAGGCTACGCACAAGTGAAGCAGGACACTACACAAATATGATACCCGTGGGGTGTAGGACGGCAGATGTTGCATGTGTGCGGTAGCATCAGAGGAGAGTTTGACATTATGTGAGAGGTCTCTGCTCTATATCTCTAGTCTCTATCATGTCTTCTAATTCTTCGCGGAATGGTAAAGACGTTCAAAACCAAAATCCACCAAATCTATTAACTTTTGGTGGGTATACCGGAACTCCATACTTTTTATCCCCCAAAAAAAAAACAATTGCCAAGTCTCTAAAACGCCGTCGCCAATGTCAACCATCTATGCAGAGTGCTTGTTGAAAGGATATGCGGAATCTCAAAACCAACTGCGACGCAGTAGAGTTGGAGAGGTCGTGGGTATCGTAAACATCCATCTATGCGAACTGCTTTGCCCGCTCTTCGGCAAATGCCATCCGGCTCATGGCCAAGACGGCCTCGAATCCCTCCTTGCCCTTGGCGGCGTTCTCCCTGAAGCGTGTGACGAGGGTGTCCTCGATGCTGTTCTTGATGCGTTGCCATCCTCCGCAGAGAGCGGTAATCCTCGCGTCTTGTGTGAACTGTGTCTGGTGGGCGTTGAGAGGCTTGTAGACGACGGTTTCTTGGACGTTGATCATGTTGGACAGGGTGATGTTCTGGGAGACCATGGTGACGGTCTTCTCGGCGGGGTTGACGTAGCTTGTCTCGAAGACCTGGCTTGTGTCCATGCCGCCAAAGATGGACTTGAGCCACTCGGGGGCGGCTTGCTTGCAGGTGATCAGTCGCTCAGTGCGAAGGATGCCGGTCGCGGGGTCGACATCGCGGCTGATGGTGTCGACCGCGATGACATGTGCCGACTTGTCGTTCCAAGGACCGTATTTTTGCCAGTTGGCGATGGAAACCTCCTCCCACGAGTAGTTGAAAGTCACAGAGTTGGAAAAGACCTTCATTTTGATCTGTCGCGTCGATGCAGTAGAGTCGAGGGGATGGATGTGTCGATAAACCAAAAAGGTTGTGGTTTGTTTGCTGTGCCGGGGCAAGTCGACAGGACGCAGAGGGGCGGCTTACTACGGCGCAGAGTTTCCTCTCGAGGGGAAGCGTCCGAGGTGCAGATTAATTAACAAGTGACGCTGGGCGGGATCTCTATTGATTATGAGTGAATAACACAAAGACAGAAACAAGGTCGTGACTGTTGATATAATGAATGTAATACGTGGCGTTGATTGCAAGGCAGGGAAGCGACGGGGATGAGCGCTTTAAAGGCAAGACGAAGGAAAAAAAAAAGAGCTTCCTCGCTTCCCGCTGTTCTCCTTTCGCAACTCTCCTCTCCGTTCGGCGTCAACCACGAAAAATTCCTTATCGATTTGAGCCGGGAACGCGCAGAGGCCAACCCGCATTCGCACTAAGCCGCGGTGAACTCTCGGGTCGCCACAGTTCTCGCGCGCTAGCCCTTCCACGGACTAGCCCGGGAGAGGACAGAGAATTCAACGGAAACAACAGGGCTTGGAAGGGGTCATTTGCAGTTCTCTGATTGGCTCGTGGGGTGTCTCCGATCTTTGTCCGCACCCTCCTTCCCATCCAGACTCGGCCATGATTAGCGGCAGCATAGGATGCAGATCTGGAGAAAGAGCGTGCTGATCTGGAGCAAGCAGGCAAGGCAGGCAAGCAGAAGCAGCAGAGGAGAGGAGAAATACTGGAGATTATTATGCATCACATGCACAAGTGGTATTGATCGGCCTTTTACTCCGTACCGATTCATCATCATCAATTCAGGGTCCTATTTCTTACGTACGTTCGTCGTGGTGATTTCATCTTGGTTCGAGGCTGATCAGCTCAAGCCTCAGCGTCAGCCTGTTGTAGGGCACGCTGAGTTGACGTCAAATGTCGACACAATTCCAATCTGAAAAGATGGGCAAGACACTGACAGCCACCAGCCACAAGGGCGACAATCGCGCCGAAGAACCACTGGGCCGCCATATGCCCGAGGCGGGCCGCCGGCTTCACTCTTCCAACAGTTGCCCTGCAGCACGCGACAAATTTTGTACTGCATGTGCACATCGCATACCTCACGTGCATCTTTCCGTCAAAAAGCCTAGCCCACACACATTTGCTTGTTAGTCTAGTCGATTCTGTAGCGTCCGTTGCACCGGCTCCTCCGCGCCCCGCTTCCAGGAAGTCGCCAAGCGCTTCCGGGGCGCATTAGCTCCCATGCGCAATAGTTCAAAACAGATCTCGGTCGCTGCTCGTGTGGTTTGGCCCTGAGCAACATTGATGCGAATGCCTCACGTCAACGGAATTCTTTGAGGTCTCCAATTCCAGACATTACGACATAACGACATGGACTTCCATGGCCTTGACTCTGCTAATTCCGTGACCATGAACGACCAAGTTAGTGTGTCGTAGCTCTCTTACAGTAACGAGCAATGTCATTTCTTCCACCACTATGGAACGCTGCACACGCAGGTGTTAGTGTTGAATGATGAACTCCTACAGTATTGAGGTGAAGTATCTCCCGTGAACGGTGGATGTTGTAGCTGTACTATAATCCATATTATGTTTTCCTTACCATAACAATTGCTTTCCTCCCGGTTTACGTCTTCCGACTATGTGTCGAGGCCGGGCCAGTCGCAGCTGAAACGATCCTTGGTCAACCTTATTGTCCTTACTCGTGCCAATACCCCAGCACGGGGAAGTGTGGATTGAAGCCACATATATCCCTGCCGAAGCGTTAAATCCGCACCGCTACGGTGGAACAGCCACCACTTGTATATCGTGACCATGCTGACCAATCGTTGAAGCCAATGATCAGAGACAAAGGCTGAGATCTTTCCATGTGGAGATTGGCATATTAGCGATAGTTCTCGAGCGGCAACAAAGTGTGTGCACCTATCACAAAAGAACTGGTGTCATGTTTTTAACGGTTAAACTTTTCCCCAAGAACTTTCGCTGGTGCCACGCTGAATTTGATGCTCAACTGATTGGAGGAGGAGGTAAGCACACCATGATTACTACCAGGCGAATAAGCATATGAAAATTCGGGATGTGCTTGGGGCGTTATGGCCAACGCCATTAGTGTCTCAAGACGGGTGTTGTTGCTCTCGTGGTTGTGCTCATTACGGTAGCAGTAGCAAAAAAACCATGATATAGCGGAGGTAAGTGAACTATGCTTGAAGTATTTAGGCATATAAGGATGTGGCATTTGGTGTCGTTTGGGTAGTAAGGTTGCAACCTCTCCTCTATACTGTCGTTCATTAATCAAGATATTATTAGCAGCCTGTCGCCATGTTGAAACGTGTGTTTACTATTCTCGCCAGCACGGTGGCCCTCGCTGCAGCGCAGACAATCGTTGATGGGTTCGACGACATCGTAGTCGGCCCACGCACTATTGGGCAGTCTCTTGATACTTACCGAGGACTGAGGTTCAATGGTGGTTTCTGTAGGCTGCATTCCGGTTTGACCTGAGATGCCGCCCGCTAAACTCCCTTCTAGATGTCCAGAATCCCCAGGATACGAATGGCGCCGTTCGCTTCGGCTTTAACCCACCTTCTGGACCTAACGGCCTTGTTTATTTCACATCTTTGGTCTCGGGTGCCCCCACACCCAACATCAAGGCTCACTACTCCGGCTCGACAACTAGCAACTTCACCTTGGAATCCTTCAAGTGGGGATGCGTAGTCGGTAAGAGCGGTGTTCCCTATAGCATCTCTCGTTGCAACTTGGCGGCTTTTGGCTACATAGCTGGCCGCAGGGTGGCCACCCAGGCGTTCTCGTTCGCCCCGAATGCACGCCTCCTGGTCGCGGACATGATCACAGCTACTCTCAGTGCGGACTTCCAAAATGTCGATACAGTACGGTTCGCTACAGTCTATGCACCTTCAGTGGCGGCTTTGGCTGCTTCAGGTTTTTCTGGAGGAACCTGGTTTGACGACTTGCAATTCACTCTGTACCAGAAAGAACCGGTAAGGAAATCCCACTGAGCCTCTATTGGATTCGGATACTGATGAATTTGTATTTGCTACAGGCTGGCATCCCGATCAGCACCGATAATCGTTGTGGTGAGGAATTCAACACGCGCTGTCCTGACGATCTATGCTGCAGTGTCGCGGGATATTGTGGTCCTTACGGTGGGTTGGACCCTTACTATTGGTGTGCCGCTAGTGAGTGTCAAATCGGGTTTGGAAGATGCGACCCAGCTACTACATAAGCGCGAGCAAAGGTCCGCCTCACCCGGTCATGCAAGTGCTTTGTTTACCACGACGTCCTGACGGCATCCGCGGTTTTACCATATTGCGATCCGCAATGAAGTATAGACAGCCTACTGCCTGGCAAAGGTTGACTCAGTCGCTAGCTCCGACAAGACCAACCTCGAAAGCGAGTATAAACAGCCATTCTGAAGTTCTGAGGATAAAAAGGTTCTCGGTCTTGGGGCTCCCACGTTTGACCCCTTCTTAATTAAAGTTCGATTGTTATCCATTCCACCAGCATGTATAGTATCCGAGAGGGTTTCGTGATAATATCTCGGTGACTTCTTGCATCCTCGTCGATTTCTCTATCGTCAATAGTCATGTATATGTGATCCAAACTCGCTGACGTAGAAAGTACCTATGCATGTTACACATGTACACACCATCGCGCTAGTACCATAAGTGGATACAACCCCTGAATCTGGCGGATGTGCTAACGGGAGCCCGGGCGTCGCAATCTGAAAAATCGACGATGACGAGTTCATGCTGCTGGTCAGCGGCCAGTCACTCATAATCACGTCTCTATATATCACGACTGTGCGAATACTAATGTGAGCATTGCAGCCATTCCTGCGAGCATGGAAATAATTGGTCCTGCTATCTCACTAACTCAAGGTTAACGGCGGCTGGCTGGATTCCTCACCACTACCCCCAAATAATGCTTGGCGCCTTGCAGCGGCTGCTGAGCCAGCGTGTTCCGCTCATCTTTGTCCTCCCGGTCGTTTTGGTCTCGGTCTATTACATATACACACAACAATCCGCATCGCTGTCGCAGGAGAACTGGCACCCTCACGCATTAGACGGCGATGAGCCCGTCCAGAAAGAGAGTCCTCAGTACCATGTGGTCGAGACGCACGAAGACGTGCGATGCAAGACCTTCCCGGATCCCGGGAACCTGCTGGTCGTGGTCAAGACGGGAGCCACAGAGGCCTACGAGAAGCTTCTGCCACAACTCATGACGAGTCTCACGTGCCCGAAGCGGCTGGAGATCTTTTCGGACTTGGAGGAGACGATTGGTACTCATCACCTCCACGATGCACTGAAGGATATCGACGAGGAAATGAAGCTGAACCATCCTGATTTCGAGATCTACCGCCTGCAGCAGGAGTACCAGAGCACGGGGCAGGACATCTCGGAACTCGCGAAGAAGCACAAGGTGGTCTGGAACCTGGACAAGTACAAGTTCATGCACATGGTGCAGAACACTTGGGCCATGCACCCGGATCTCGAATGGTACCTGTTCATCGAGTCCGACACCTATGTCTTCTGGGGCAACCTGAATCTGTGGTTGCAGCGCTTAGACCCGGCCGACAGTCTCTACCTTGGATCCGAAGCGCAGGCGGCCACGCACTGGTTCGCTCACGGCGGCAGCGGGTTCGTGATTTCCGGCGCCCTCCTGAAGAAGTTTGCCGGGGACGACGCGCAGATGGCCAGCCGCAACGACAAGATCCTAGAGAATGCCTGCTGCGGAGATATCGTCCTTGGGCGCGCCCTGAAGAAGTACGTGGGGGTCGAGGTGCAGAACCAGTGGCCGTGGTTCAACGGCGAGACGCCCTGGTCGATACCATACGGCCCAGACCGCTGGTGCCAGCCGGTCATCACCTTCCATCACCTCCAGCCGCGTCAGCGGACCATGATCTGGAACTTTGAGCAGAAGAGGAAGAACCCTGCGGTGAGGCGACGCCCCCTTCCGTATTAAAAACTGCTGTTTGATCTGGTGCTAACAAGGTGTCTCGTAGGAACCGCTCTTGTTTGAAGAGATCTCGGAACTCGCGTTTCCTGCGGGTGGCCTGAAGGATGAGAGGGAGGACTGGGACAACCTGGCAGACAACCTCATCGAGAATCCTGGAGGATCTCCGCATACGCTCGAGAGCTGCAAGCGAGCATGTAGCTACAGGGAGGACTGCTGGCAGTATCTCTGGTCGGATGGGGAGTGCCGCATCAGCACCAACGGGTTCCGCATGGGAGCCAAGAAGCCGTCGACCGGAGGCAGGAGGTGGATGTCCGGTTGGAAGACGCAGAAGATCGAGGCATTCAGGCGGGAAAACACCTGCAAAGAGCCATACTGGAGAGAAGACGGCTACCCGATAAGGAACTCGATCTTCTGAGAAAAGCAAATCAACAAGCAAAGCAAGCTGGAGTAATCACACAAATATTATCTGGGCTATGTTAGCCTGGGCGAATCGGATCTTTTTGGTATCGAGCTCGAATGCCATGGCCTGTGATCCATGTTATCTAGTCATGGTGTGTGATGTGGGGTCCCGGTGACCGATTTGTGATTGAAACATGTTACGAACATCACGACGAGTTACCAAGTCCTGAATTATGCATCGACGTTAGATACCAGACAACTCGAACGCTCCAAGCGAGAAGAGGTGTCCACAGTCTCAAGCAATAAATACGGTGCAGGGACGGGGCTCGCCAAGACTCGCTGAGCTGTGGCAAGCTCTTCCTCTCTAGAAGGCCACACACTTTATGCGCACCGCCCACACGACGGGTAAAGGTACCATGCACTCCGCCCCCACCCCTCCGAGAGACTTGTAGGAACCTGCTTACACGGCCCGGAGAACAGCTGCACACAACCATGTGCGGACCCCGGCACTCGCAGGCATCCTCTGTCACATCGGAGAATTCCAGCAATCTGTTTGGGTGACATCCCGCCACGGGTACATTGTTCTCGTCCTCGGTTCTGGGTAGGGCTGCTTACGTAGCTTGCACCTGGTCGCTAGCGACCGTGCGGTGCAGAGGGGGAATCAGCCGGGCCGGGAGCCGATGCGTGGCGCGCCCTTTTCCCTTTCTTACCTCAGACCGAACAATAAAGACCAGGCCTACACCGACAACCGATGAGATGGGTTTGAATGTACCGGGGGTTTGGTTCGCGAAAAACGCCACACTTCCTTTCTTGGCGCCGTTCAGAGCTCGCGGTGGACGACTAAGAGAGGCCCTGCGACGAAGCTTGCAGAGGCTTTTGGGAACTTTCAGGCACACGGTGACAAGTGCAACTTTGATTGGGCCGGATCGGCTTTTTGCTTAGTGAGGCTGTGGACATTCCCCAGCAGAAACTGAAGCGGAGCAGAAGGGTTTGCCGGGGGTGGGGGAACGTGAATGTTTCTTGACTGTATGACGCTGGCAAGCCTGTGGCCAGATATATTGGAGCATGACGGCGATGTGCCGTTGATAACCTTTGCGAGATTCAGCGCTGCAACTGCGAGCAAGCGTTTTGGGAGAAGTATTTGCCCGGCGAGACTGACCGAGTGTGTATGACACGCAGATCCGGAATGTCATGCTGTCGAGGTTGCATTATCGACAAGCAATGCTGTACCTCTCGAACCATTGACAGCGCCGCGGGCTTAACCCACCACATATTCTGGGTAGGATGCATCGAAGAAGATGCAGAACCGTTGGTAATACGAAGTCATGTGGCTGACAGGATGAGAACGCCTCTCACCTCATACCGTGATGCAACAGACAAAGCACGATTACTGATATTCCGCAGTGCCGCGCGACGGCATCAAGACTGCACGATTCTGGGTTATAAAAGGGGAAGGATCTCTCGACTTGATGTTTGTCTCACTCCCTAATCACAGCAGAACTCGGAAAGAACATCCTTCAGATCTCCTCAACCACAGACAGCCAAGCACTTCTCCCGGCAGATCAAACCCCCAAAAGAAATCCCCAAAGACAATGCAGTTCTCCAGCATCATCTCCCTCTTCGCTGCTGCTGCCGCTAGCGTGCAGGCCCTGCCCAGCGAGAAGCGCCAGGACGCCGCGCGCATCTACGCCAGATTCTACAGCGGCAGCGGCTGTGACGGGACGTGGGTCGAGGACACGGTGTGGCTCCAGGAGCCCGCCGGGACCTGCCTCGACGTCAACATCCCCTTTGGCTACAACAGCACCCTGTTCGCCGACAACCTGGCCACCCGCACCCGTAAGCCTCTCCAGATGAACAGCGCAACCCCTTTTGTGCTCTGATAAGATAAATAAATAAAAACTCCTCGAAAAGGTCCGAGACTAACGCCTTGAGTGTCATAGTGCGTGTCTACAACACTGATAACTGCAACGAGTCTGGCAACTTCTACGATGTCCCCGCTGGCAATGAAAACTGCTATGCCCAGCACATTGAGAGCGTGAAGTTTCTGTAGAGGGTTGCCTCAAGATAAGACAACTTCCGAGGTCAAAAGTTCTTCTGGGGCATGTGGAGATATGAAAGGTATGGGACATTTTGGGCGAGGATTCTTTGCTCTTAGATTCTTCTAGATGGGCGCCAACGCTCTGTTCTTTTCATAGCAGTCACTTAAAAACATCAATTCCCGAGAACACCTGGTATCGTCTCCTTGGCCAATTTCTATATCGGACAAACGCGTATAAGCCCTAAACAATAAATGAGAACAGGGCCATGACTCAGATGATGTGGTTTTCAGGGGGGTTGTGCCGCTTCCATGAGTAGTAATATCCTGGCTAAAGGATTTGGATACAGTGATTGAACCTTGGGCGGTTCCCGAACATACAGGAGTCCGGTTTTTTTTTTGTTGGAAAACCACGGCATTTTGGTCATCTAAACCACTTTGCGAGTGGGACGGTGCTCAACCATGACTGAGCTATGCTAGACTCGGGGTGGAAGGGTTCAAGAAGGATCGCGGAGCTTCGGGCTGTGAACCTCGTGAAAAAAATAAAATTTTGTAGATAGTTTCGTTCACTCATTCAGTAGCATTAAATCACTGAGTACTATTGCTTGTGTGCATCAATATAGTCGACTGCATGGTTATCCAACAGTCTAGTAACTTAGTAGTCGTCGCCACGGCTGATGACCTCCTTTACGGTCGGTCTCAGCAGGATGGTCTACGAATAGTCAGTGTGGCGCCCGAGTGTGTGCATTTGGGGTGTACTTACATGCTCGAACTGAGCAGTGTAGGAACCCTTCTTATCAACCAGAGGAGGGTAGTCCTCGACAACACCAGTCTTGACAAGATGGTTCAACTACCTTATGTTAGCCTGGTGGCAGGGCAGCAAAGGTGGGAGAAACTTACTCCGAGCAGGTATTTCTCCTGTCCGATTCTATCCAGGTATCTTCGGCACCAAGGGAGAGTACCAAAGTTCTTCTTGATGACATTCAAGAGAGGCTTGGCAGAAGCAATGCGCAGACCACTCGTTGGGGCATCTGGATTCAAGGCATAATGAGAGACTTCGCCCTCATCCCAGACCTTTCCGGTTCCAGTGCTGCCGAAAGTCTCGATGGCGAAGACGTCGCCCTCCTCCATCTTGGTGGTGTCGTTGGTCTTGACAATGGGCACGCTCTTGGTGCCGTGGATGCTGTAGGGCAAGATGGTGTGTCCACTCAGGTTTCTGATGGACTTGATAGGGTATGTGGTACCGTTGATCTCGCACTCGTAACTCTCCATGGTCTCCTGGATGAGCCCACCAAGCTCACCCAGACGAACGTCGATGCCGGCCTCCTTGACACCGGTGTTGGTGGCCTCCTTCACGGCCGTCAACAGGTTGTCGTACATGGGGTCGAAGGACATGGTGAAGGCACTGTCAACGATCCTTCCGTTGACGTGCACACCGATGTCGACCTTCATGACGTTGCTCTGCTGCAGGACGGTCTTGTTTCCGGCGTTGGGGCTGTAGTGCGCAGCGATGTGGTCCAGGTTTAAGCCGGTGGGGAAGCCCATGCCGGCCTTGATGGCGTCGCCCTCGGCGAGACCATCGTGGCCGACCAGACGGCGGACGCTGTCCTCGATGCCATTGGCGATCTCCGTCAGGGTCTGGCCAGGCTTGATGTTCTTCTGGGCCCACTGGCGGACCTGTCGATGGGTCTCGGCGGCGTGGCGGTAATCCACGAGGAAGTCAGTGTCGAGGTTGTCGAGGTGGCGCTTCTCCTCGCTCGTGGTCCGGTAGCTGTTCTCGTTCAGATAGGGGACCTCTTCGCCCTTGGGGTAGGTGTTGTTGCGGAACAGCTGCGAGAGGAGGACGCTGGGGGGGTCGGTCTGAGCGGTGGGAGCCTTCTTCTTCTTCCTGGGCTTTCTCTTCTTCTTCTTCTTGGCGGCCCCCTCTCCGCCCGGGCCGTTGGCACCCTCATCGGCATCATCGTCGGACTCGGCATCGGAGTTTTCGGCAAGGTTGCCGCTGGTAGCTGCTTTCACGTCTGGCTTACCGTTGGCGGCGCCGTCGGTCTCAGCCACTAGCAAAGGGATCAGCACCATGCCGACCATGGCTATGGCTGCGCGAGGTCGCTGTTGTTACAACAGAGCAAACGACTTACCACTGAGCTTTTGCAGCTCGTCGGCAGGAGCTTTGGCGGCCATGGTGTTTGAGGCTCGGATATGCTCTATGTTGAATATGGGAGGTGGCCTCGACAACTTTTTGCACTGGCTGTGACGACAATGCGGACGGTTTGACATTTCACCCCACCCAAACTTTTTATGCGCCCTGTCAGACGCGAAAAGGCGCGGGGTATCCGCACCTTCATAGTTCATATTTCATCGTTCATAAGTTAACTTAAGTTATTTCATATTCAATACTTCCATCCATATCTGGCGGCTTGTATCTATCGGGTATATGTCCCAACCGGGGCTGGTCTAACAACGTCCAAGTCCCACAAATAATTCGATGAACAGGTAGCCACGGATACCATAGAAGCCCCCGGAGGCACGGACTCCAGCCTGCTTGTCCAAGAGCTCCTGCCGACTTGAACCATGTCCGTGCTAACGGGTCCATGTCGGTAGTCACTATGGGCTGTTAGCAACGGGTTCAATATCTCTGGCATGATTTTTCCAATAAGACAACATGACGGCCGGGTACTTGAGGACTTGGCCAATGCGAGTACTCGCTATGCCGACCACGTTGCAGCCGAAGAGTACTATGCTAGGAAGAGGCCGGAAACTGTCTCTGTTATATAGTGAAACTCTAGCGTCGACAGGCATTCTCTATTTGAACGTCAAGCTAATTCCATGCTCGCCATGGAATATCTCTTATCCAAACATTTCACATGTCTTGTCCAGTTCTTTTACACAGCACCCATCAGAAGAACCTATCACTTACGAGCCGGAGCTAGTATACAACAGCGCATCCAGAAGTCACTTGAGCCAATTAAGTCGCAGGGGACAGCATAGTTCCCACTTTAGCACGTATGGTACGCTGTATTGCAGAAACAAGACGACCGTCTAATCAGAGACTGCAGTTAGTCCCTGAATCTTCACTGTTGGCCACTAAGCCCTACCAGGCTTGGTCTACCATCCGGCACTTAGCCCTCCAACGTATACAGTCATCGAACGTAAGCTAGGACACGCCGATACGACCAGCCGTTGCGACCAGGACGACCAATACGACTCGCCCCATGTAAGGAAACGGCCACGATATGCGTGTTCAGGTAACAGAGGGTGGTGGTCACAAAATAACAGGACTTGAAGTTGCCTGGCTAGGCCCCATCCAAGAGTGAAAAGTGATATTGGAGGAACACCTGGGCATTGTGGCGCTAGCAAGGCTCGGAGCAGCATGCCCCTGGCAGCCGCCTGGCTGGACAAGGTGAGAAACCAGCTTCAAGAAAGTCGGCACTTAACAATCCGTCAACTTAGTGGACGGTGGCCTATACGAATACGTACAATCAGGAGTACTATGTCCAGCTGCAAAAGACCCATGCGCCCATTCCCATCTCCGTAGTTTCTCACGTCAGCGCAGTTAGCCAGCGCCCGTGCGTCGTATTCTCCTCCATTCTAAGCAACTCAATCATGATGCTGATGGACACGACCAAAACACTCTCTTAGGCGCGCTGCTTTACTTCTCATCTGGTGACGCTCGCCTTAATTATGGCAGAACTTGCACCCACACCCGCAACCCGCAAAAGACAAAGCGCTCCCAAAGGCCGAAATGGGTGCCGAAGGTGCAAGGTGTCACACGTGCGGTGTTCTGAGGATAGACCAAATTGCAGCCGCTGCCTAAGGTTGGACATTCCATGCTTCTATGTGCCCTCCCGCCGCGAGAGGGAGCAGGCACTCGCACTCGCACCTGTTAGAGGCATTCGACCCAAGCCGTCAAACGATGGCGTAAGCCCCGGTAGCATAGACAGCCGCGAAGCTGACTATTACTTCCACCGATTCGTAGCTCATGTGGCCCCTGCCAGGAATATGGAAACTATGGGTAGCTGCCTCGATTTCTGGCTCAGAACCGTTCCCAGGGAGTCAGCCTCGAACGAAGGCGTCCGATACTTCACTATGGCACTTGGTGCGATGGATCTTGCCATGCATCAGCTAAGAGTGAAGAGTCAGCCCAGAAAGTCGGTAGAATATTTGTCTGCAGAGTATAGAGCCGCTCTGAGATACTACAATATAGCTCTACAACGGGTCCGGACGGAACTAGCCGACCAAGAACACCGGATGCAGCTTAGGACTTTTTTGATCTATTGCATGCTGCAAACGCTATTCGAGGGCTTGCAAGGCAATCTGGAGGCCTTTCGGAAGGTTTCCCACATGGGTTTCGAAATTTTGAAGCACCGTATCATGCAAGATGAGCTTCCCATCGCTGCTTCCGTCGATGATCAGGGCATAGAAGAGGCGAAGGTGTATTTGTCCCGAATGGTTGTGGTGATGTGCCTAATGGGCCCCGCTGCCAACCATTTGGAGATGGCGAAGATCAAAATCGTTATCCCTATTCGTGTGTCGATGCCTGATAGGCACGCCTCGGCATCGGAGTCCTGCAGACTCTTCAACGATTTCTACTCCCGTGCTGTGACTTGGATTCTGGACGTTGTCAGCTCGCTGTCCACGGGAGTGTGCACGATGGCGCACTTCTCCGGCGAATTCGTGACTGTCATAGGTCAGCTGCAGGAGTGGGGAACTTGTCTCGAATCCTTGGCTGGCATAGCTACACATCCCACCGATTGTACTCGATTGATAGTTCATCAATTGGATGCGAAATTCGGGGTTGTGTTCTTACAGTGTTTCCTTCATGGTTGCAGCTGGGATTTGTACAGGGAGGACTGCCTTGACATTCTCAAAATAGCGAGACACGCAGTGCAGGCTGTGGTTGAAACTCCGGAGGGGTATGGCTTTGTTCGGCAGGCTCTCCTCAAAGAAAAGCTGAACCCGATACTTACCCGACTTATCGAGAACTGCCAGGACCATGAAGTCCGTCGACAAGGTTTGGACATGATGATCCAAATAAGTGACGTCGCAGATTACCCGATATCACAGGCTTCTTCCTTTCTCATTGCCAACTGCACTCCAGGCGGCGTCGATGGCGAGACTATACAACTAGGCGATACTTATATGGCAGTCGGATACACCTGGGATAGAGAACGCAACCTGTTCAAGGTCAAGCTGGGCCGATCTACAGGGGCCACTGCTGATGTAACAAAGTTTGAGGGGCAGACGGGGCACGCAGTCTAGTCACGAGCATCACAACGATTATAGAATGTTTATAATAACTTAGGCAACCTCGGAAATTAAAGTATATGCGATACAATCAATCTCGCTCCTTCCGCAACCCATTTCTCAGACAGCATACTTCGTCCTCATTTGTTCTTGGACGTTGCGTGGTGAGTCGGACTCCTTGACGTGAGCTATGATGCTGATGTCATCCTCTGAAAGCATGCTGCCATACTGAGTTCGAACTGCAACATGATTGATTGCTGCATCCCCTCGCTACCCATACCACTTTTGTGACTGCTGCCTAAGCATGTAGAGTCCAGAATGTCTTATCACCCGGAAGAGAAAGGATTGACATTGATTAATATAAAAATGGAAAATATTAGGCAAAGGCTTGTGACTCAGCCATTGCAATCAATCCTAAAGCGCGCGGCTATATTTGGAACCATAATGCCAATTGTCTGATTACGTGGGACTACAACCTGATCCTTCCATGATATCACCCTCTATTGATACCGCGCAAGTTCAACCAACCTAATCTTCAATTTCTTCCAGCTTCAAAGCATCCCTTCTATCACCGGGCAGCGGCTAGTTCGGCATGGTATTGTCACCTGACACGTAATGTTGCCAATCTCCTATAGCATTTGCTCAAATGCGGTGTTGGCCTGGTTATCGGTATTCAAATTTACATCGGCCCGGAGCGCCCGTTCCAAAGGCCCGGCGGCCGCCAGGATCACGTCACGCCCGTGTCTGCGCCCTCTCGCCGAACAAGGTCGAAGAAGTCCTGCGTGAAGACGTCCCAGGGCGCTCCCGATCGCCGGCCTGGCTTGCCGGTGATATCCATGTTCCGAGAGCACGGATTTTGGTGGAAGGAGGCTTGAGGAAACAGGAGTACCGTGTTCCAACCAAACAAGCTTCGTTTTTGCTGAAAACACGGTCTTTGTCCGACGAATACCTGGATGTGCTGAATGCGTCACAGAGCATCAGTCAAACTTAGAGGGGGTGGGTGGCTTGATTGGCTTGGAAAATAAAAAAAGCTCAAAGAGTCAAGGGGAACAAAATGTAACGGGCCATGGGAGGCAACGTACTAGGACGTATCGGTAGGCACATTCGTGTATGCTTCTAGACGAAGTACGTACCCAGGTAGTTTAATAAGGTTGGATACTCATGTTTACGGGCGGCAATCGATGATCTAACGTGAGCCCCCCCTGTTGAACATGCGTAAATTGCAAAGGGTCAATTGATCAGGGACCAAAACGTTTTGAACAGGATAAGACCTGGCGCCTGAGTAGAAGCTCTGCAGGTATGCCGAGTCACGCTAAGGCGTTAGGCTCTGGTTACTACGTTCTTGTACCTGGTCTTTACCTGGTCTTATACCGCAATGGGGCAGGTATTTCCCCAGGGGGTAATACTCCGTACACGTTTTCTTATGCATAGCAGCACACTGAGCCAATCACATGGGTCAGTCGGTAGTTAAGGAACAGCAGACCCTCCTCAGCTCAAACCCGCTTTCTTTGTTCTAGCCTAGTTGAAGCACTAAAAGAAAACCTGCCCACTCATACTTATTTTCTTGAACTCCTCTTCCTTACTTACACGCAACCTGTCCTTCCCAGCTCCAGGCGCACCATCGAAGCGCACACCTTCAAGCCCTACCTGACATAATACTGCCGACGGCATTGATCGCGGCCTGCACGAAGATCGCGACCGTGTCTGGGCCTTCGTCGTCTAACGCTGCTATAACAGGCGCAGGACCAGCAGAAGCATCACCTACCCTGATGCTGATGCCGCCAATCATGATGATGATGACGACGACGTTTCATGATCCCGGCTCCTCGCGACGTTGGCCCGCTGCACACGCCGCTCGCTCGAATTTCACAATAGATTGGATCTCCTGGACGACCGGCATGGTGCGGCGCCGGTGCCGTGGCGCAGGAGCAAGGGGGTGGGGTTGCAGCGGGTTTATCCCAGTGATATCTGTACTGTATCTGGGTAGATGACGAGGCGTTGGAGTGTTTTCGGCTGGATGTGGACGAGAGTGGCGAGGAAGCAAGCGAAGATGACGACGATATACTTGTGAAGTGTAGAAGGATTGGGAGCCCCTGAGGCCGGACCCGCGCGAGTGACCTGTGGAACCCCGTGTCGAGGGATCCACTTACCCGGACGTCGGTTGGATGCGGGTCGAGCCGGCAGCGTCCCGGTGGTCGTGTACGAGCTTTTGCGGGATCAGAATAGCTGGTATGGGGGGTATCGCCGGCCTCCGGAGGTCGTGTGCAGGTAAAGACAGAGCAGCACCGCTGAATCATTCGGGGTTTCCAGACTGATGGCCGGGAGGTACAAGACAGGCCGTGGACTATGCTTTGAGAGCCATTCTATGTCTCACTACGGCGTCAAGAGTACCGACCCATGTGCAGTGTGCACGACCGAGCGCGGACGGATTTTGATTCCATGTATCTCTTCCTCCTCTCTCACCTCAAGCCCCTCGGCCAAATCTTTGACAAGATTGGAGAAGCCGCGAAAAATGACCTGGCTTCACACATCCGACCGATCGACTCTATTGACGAATGGTAATGGAGTTCGCGCATGCATGCAACACAATACAACATTGCCACTCTTCCTTCCAATCCCGTCACAGTTTGTATCCTGGGATATTACTAGACGGCTTCATATGTTCGATGGGCAGCACGACTGACAGCCAAATCGCCAGCAGCAATGGCCATGGTCCGAACGCAGTAGCAAATGAAAGCCCAGCAGCGACGAGACCAGATCGGGCGACAAATCAGCGTCGAAGCATGCCACGATCCTCGAATGCTGGAGACTGAGTAAGTTCTCCTATCTCTTGCCTTAAACTCACTTTTCTTGACGGCGGTGGTTTGAGTGTTGCATTGTGCCTGGTCAATATTTTAGGACGTGTTGGCACGGTGGGGATGGCGCGGGGAGCACTCAACTCAATCCAATGTGCGTATCTCAAGTACGAACCTCACTTTTCAACATCAATTCATTATATCGTTATTATCTAATTATTATATTAACAATGTTAATATATACGGTAATTAGACACATTTCTTAAATGATCCAAGGTTTAGTCAACCAGTTCATAACTCCACGGGATCTCTTCATAAAAACCGCCCATGTTCGGATTAGTCATTTGTCGGATGCCTGCGTACGCACTGACCATCTCCACTCCCTCGCCGCGTTCTTCGTTCGTCCCTCTTCAATCTTCATCTCTGCCATCATCGCCATCATCACCGCCATCACCATATCGGGCGTTTCCGTCCTTCTTCCTACCTTGCTGCTCGTGGCTTAAACCGACTAGCACTCGCACCCTTGATCATCTATTGACCGACTCCTACTCAGCGAGCGTGCGCGCAAGCAAACGAGCACCTTCGCTGAAAGGATTGGGATCTTGGGTAAGGAGCCTTCGCCGGCTGCCGGTAGCGAGCCTGGGTCGTGTTTAGGCCATCGACCGAGGTCTTTTGCTTTCAAACACTATAGGGCACTGATTCCTTCGTGCCGCCTTGCTGGTCGTGGCCAACAACAAACCGATCAGCACTCGCACCCTCGATCATCTATTGACCGACTCCTACTCAGCGAGCGTGCGCGCAAGCAAACGAGCACCTTCGCTGAAAGGATTGGGATCTTGGGTAAGGAGCCTTCGCCGGCTGCCGGTAGCGAGCCTGGATCGTGTCTTGTTGTTGGTTTCCTGGCCAGGCCAACGAGAGGAGGAGCCGTCTTAGCATGCCTATCGGCTCACTTGATCGCGAACTAACCGACTGATCCTTAGCCAGGCTATCAGCCAAGTTTGTTTGTTTCAACACGGTAAGCACTCTAACTGGCTTCCCTTTCATGACCGCTCTGTGTTTAGGTTCATGGGTGAGTCGATCATGCCACCCACCAAAGATGATACGTGTCGAGTTGCGGTGATAAACGAGCCTTTCTGCAAGGAGGCGTCAACTGTCGTCCTTGCGTTCAAGTTGGCGGACCACGAAAGCGACAGACAGACACTGCGCATGGGATTCAAGGCATGCTATAAACCGCCGGTTGTTACCTTTAGGTTCAATGTCAAAGTCTTCGGCTATGGCAAGAAGAAAGACAAAACGACGGTCTACTTCGATGTTCCTCGACAGCACATTTCATCACTTGAACAGAGCGACCACGTCGATATCACCACCGTCCCAGAACTCTACCGAGATAACATACCAAAGCTCGTGGGTGGTATCACGCGTGTTCGATTCTTGCTCAAACGCCCCGGCAACCTTATTCAACCCATCGGAGAGCAGTCCCTCAAGCCCGCCTCACAACGCATTCTCGCATCGATGACCTTGTTAGCCGAAGCTCTCGAGTTTGTTCTATTCATGCCGCACACAACCTTATCCAAAGAGCAAATCCAGTGCCTCAAACAAGCCGTCTCATCACCAACCTCTTCCGACGATCAGCAGCAGCAGGAGAAGGAGCATAATTGGTGGCTGAAGGCCTTGTATGGTGGTGCAGGCGGCAAGCTACTCAACACCCACACTACCACCGTCAGTCCAACAGCGATCGACAGTAACGATATAAGCACGGCTTCCGAGTCGGGCGATTCTACCATTGCTACGGATACTCCGCCAGCATACAAGAGGTCAGCGGTGCCCACCGATCATGGTTCTATTGGTGCCGAAACCTACGACTTGGCCACGGCCGCCGACTTAGGCGACGAGATCGCCACGCCTAGTCCACCCCCTTATAAGTCATTGGAGCCTCCGGATGGGGATCCTGCTTCAGCAGCTGAGATGACAGGTGTGTGCATATCTGCCCCCGACAAATTACGCTCGTCCCTCATGTTAACCAGTTTGTTGCCCTCCATCAGGGAAACGACTACGTGACTGTGAAGGCTTGAACGCTAGAATTTCCCGTAGGCGCTTGGGTAGTGAATCACGACCTGCAGATGGTGAACAATCATACTCTGAGGGCATCCTTGGAGCATCAAAGCTCAAAAGGCAACAGGACGTCGACACCTGTTCGCCATACCCTGTAACCCTATTTGTTTCGAAGCTCAACGAAATCCTCAGGAGAACCCAACACTTGGAGGAGGAGAATGGTGTTCTCAAGGCTGAGCTGTCTATTATGCGGAAAAGCCAACACCAAATGAATGCCAAGGTGGAAGAGATGATTGATAGGGATCACAAATATGTGAAAAGAATCCAGGACTTGGAGAATGAGAGTGCTGCTCTCGCAACCCAGATTAACAATCTGAGGCAAAGTCATGACGACATGGGGGAACGCCAAACTGATCTCGAGGATTGTCAAACTGATCTCGAGGAACGTCAAGCCGAACTCCTGGAACGTCAAACCGAACTTGAGGAAGATCAAGCCGAACTCAACGTCCGTCAGGAGAAAACAGAGGAAAAGTGTGATACGATCGATGTTGAGATCATGGATCAAGTACACACCGCGGTGAGGAATAGGCTCATAGGTGCCTTGGAAACAATGTGAACGTGACCGAGCCCCTGAAACGCAGTCCTGTTTCTGTGCCTTGTCCAACTACGAAGTCAACATCACGTTATGTTTGACGATCGTGTGGGATGGTAATATGTATAAGAAGTGCTGTACCCCAAACTTGCCCAGTCACTGCTTACAGAAATGGTCGGCTCGAAGGATTCGCTTGACAGACATGCATTATTCGGAGAGGCTTTTGGCCCTAATGCATATATACCAATGGTATGTCTGCCCACCGATGGTCGGACATGTAGACTTTTATTAGTTCGTGAAAGTATGGTTCAACTAAGGCGCCTTGTTACTTTCGTATCAGGATTTTTGTTGCCTTCTATTTCCTGGCCAGCATGTCTTTGATTGCTTCGCTTAACCGATTTAGCATCTAGTCTGCTCTCCCTGCTATTGCTTCTTCGCCTAGCCGCAAAATGATTTTATTTTATACTTTTGATGATTCTTTTTTAAAATTGCTGCTGCAGGTTGTCATGGAAATTCGGCAAAACCCCACATACGCTACCTTGAACTATGGACTGAAAAGGATGACAATACCTTCGTTATCACTAGCAGCAGTAAGTGAGGCCGCTACAATGAACAGAGACCTGACCCATCGATTCCAATAATGGTCAGACTACTCAATTGATGCAGTTAACAAGACTCGCGAGGAAGCCAAGGTGTTGACTTCTTCATCAGGCACCACTGCAACCATTAGTCAATTCACAGCGCCTGATCTGCAGGATATGTGGTCTGAGGTTCGTCTTTCGGAACATCGCGACTTCGGCTTTATCTATTTAAGACCGTGCTAACCTTAGTGAACGAACTGGGTCAAGTGCACTAAGAGTATGCACATATGATGATCTCATTCGCCAATACCCAAAACCGTCTCCGGTTCCAGTGATGCAGACAGCATGACGATCTCTTTCGTTGTATTTATGAAGCTAACGAAATCAGCGGCCTGATTTCTCCTCACTCATATTTCATGCATCAGAACAAACAGACTTAACCATCATGAAGAGCTCTGCAAATTACCCGCTGCGCAAGTGCGGCATCTACCGCAACCTCCCCGACTTTGATCCATCTATCCAGGGTCTCAACGCCATTATATGTGGTGCAAATGGCATATCTGGATTCGCCACCCTGCGTGCTCTTCTCGATGCCCCCGAGCGATGGGCCTGCATCTATACTCTGTCACGAAGCCCACTATCGAAGGAGCAAATGTCCCTTATTCCGCCTGCATTACATTCTCACATCAAGCATGTCCCAATCGACTTGTCTTCGCCGGGTGAAAAGATTGCAGCGGTCCTGCGGGAAGCCGACGTCCACGCAGACTACGTCTTCTTCTATTCTTATATACAGCCGGCGGACACCGGAGACTCTGGTATGAGCGTCAGTATGGCGGATGCACTTTATGAACTCAACGTTCCTTTGTTCAAAAACTTCCTCCAAGGAATGGAAATCGCTGAGCTTGAGCCCAAACGCGTCGTTTTGCAGACAGGAGGCAAGAATTATGGAGTCCACATTGGTCGCACCCGTACCCCATTTGTCGAATCTGATCCTCAGCCGCGACACCTACAGCCAAACTTCTACTACGCACAGGAGGATCTTCTCTTTCAATACTGTCAGAAGCATCCCGGGACGGGTTGGAATGTTATTCGCCCCGTGGCGATCATCGGTGTAGCCCAACGTGCCCCGCTGAATGCCTTTTACCCTTTCGGCATCTACGCAGCTGTCCAGGCACAAAAGCAAGAGCCATTGTCTTTTGGTGGGGATTTCGAATCGTGGCAATTTGAGCAGTCTCATTCGACCGCTCGGTTGACGGCATATTTGAGCGAATGGGCTGCGCTGGAAGATGAATGCAAAAACCAGGCCTTTAACGCACAGGATGGAGGGATGCTCAACTGGGATCGCTTCTTCGTCGAACTTGCACGCTGGTTCGGTGTAGACAAGGGTGTCCAGAATCCTGATCCTGAGGAGGCGAGATTGCGTATTCAAACTTTTGCGGGAGGCAAAGACGGCCCGTTGGGCTACGGGCCACCGACTGCTCTCAAGACGACCTTCCGATTAGCCGATTGGTTCCAGCAGCCTGAGAACAAAGTTGCATGGGAGCAAATCATGGCAAATTCCAATGGTCATGTCAAAGTCAATGTCTTCGAGGATCCAGCCATGAAAACTATTATTTCCGAATTTGATTACGCTAGACGGGGAAACCTGTCCATGAACAAAGCCCGGAGAATGGGATTCTGTGGGTTTGTTGAGACTTTAGAGAGCTTGCACGAGATGTATAAAGAGACGGGCGACTTCGGGGCGCTTCCTTCAATGAAGGTCGCTGGCGCGAACCCTTTGATTTAATATACACATGTTAATGGATGCTCCAGCTATCCATCTGGAAGCACCCACATAGGTAGCGTTCAGAGTATCAGAGGTTAGCTTGGATCCCCAACCGCAGCACCACACTCCGATCAATAGAGTTAATTTTGATCACTATCCGTGTCACGCGTCCATTACATGTTTTCCAGACGTTCAAATCATATTGATATTAATCGCAGTTATTACCTGCTCTAACATTCATTGGAATGATAACACAACTGTGCAATGTCAGCTTTTTATACCACCATTTGACATCTGTTGTGGGCGGTAATTAGCAAGAAATCATTATCCAATGAAGTCTTTAAGGTCCTCAAGAAGTTACTCTGGCAGCAGACCATGAAGTGAGGTCGTTCTAGACCGTGTGAGTTAAATGACATCCTAGATGTGCGACGTTTTGTTACTTGCAGCACCAAGGGTTCCATAACTAGCTCAGGCTTCATCTCTTCAGCCTTTCGAATGCAGTGATGCGTACCTCCCAAATACGTTCTTTTAGGTATTGCAAGGCACCGACGTCAAGAGGAAAGGAGCACACTATGAACTGATGTTGGTTCCAACGTGAGGGCAAGCTATAAGGGGGTTGAAGGGCGGATTCTAGTCGCACAATAGATTGCATATCAACTAACTACCAAATCGACTATCTTGGCTTTCAACTTTGCGTCTTGAATTATGGATCGCCATCCTGATGTACCTGCCTCACGGCTTGTGATAACAGTGGCCCGGGGGTCCGACCAGACGGGGAGCGTTAAGGACTGCGTCCCCACATGGTTGTGGTAATATTCAATTTAACAGCACCGTTGGTAGTAAAACTTGAAAAAGTATGGTGAAGGCGACTCGGTATCAGCTATAGGCGATATAATAGTGGGTTCAGCTCTATCAGTGACTCGGTAGCAAACGGTTCTACCGATTCTTGCCGAAGATGGACTGTAGCGGCAACCCCGTACAGTGCGCTGACCTCAGGGAATAATTTAATCTTAAGCATCGGGAGTCCTATGCAACTTGCTGACTTTTGCTTGGCAGAGCTGACTTCACTCCACTCAGGTGATCTAGGGCCGTCTCTAACTGGAGCCGTAGCCGCTAATGCAACCTGCTGACGTCCTGCCTGTAAGGCACTCAGTGGAGCAATGCTCAAATGCGACCAACTTCATGCAACCAGCTTACCTACCCAGTTACATCAATAAACATTTAGCACAGCATTGTCATTAGAGTCGCTGGGGAGAAGTGACTTCCATGTTATGGCATGAATTGATAAACATTGGTTGAGCTGCAACTCGATCTAATTATTCGGCGATGTCATGGCTCACTTAGCCCTATGCATGTTTGCATTGATGTGGGTGAGTGATTTGTATGTACTGAAACTGTAGCCCAGTAAAAGTCTCCATACGGTTTATTCGTTCTACTGTGAATACTCACGGTCCTTGGAGACTGGGGTTTTAGAAAAGTAGGTGCCCATTGCCGTAGCGGACGAGAATTGCATGCACTATAACAACTATCTACGTACGGGCTGATCCCGTCTTGTGTTCATAGCGAGCAAGCTACATGCAATCCTTTATAAACATGATTAGAAACTAACGAATACTTGTCCCAACCAAGCAATCAACCGTGGAATTGCTCCTTCACTGCTTTCCTCGCCTAGAATGGTATGGCGGGCTTTGGCACGTAAGGCTCCTCCATATATGCAATATCCTCTGTCGTCAAAGCAACTTTGACAGAACCAACGGCTTGATCAATCCTTTCCTTGGTCTCTAGACCACAAATAGGAATGCCTCCTTTTGCCATGATCCATGCTTGTGCGACTTGGGCCATGGAAACACCATGCTTGGCTGCAATGTCTTCGACGCGTCCAACAATGGCCTTATCCGCACCAATTTCGCTACTGCGAAAGAGCATGTTCAAGAAAGGATCGCTCTGCTCACGAGCGTCCGAGCGATCTGTCCACGAATGTGCCAAGACTCCTGCAGCCAAAGGCGACCACGGGAAGAGGCCCACACCCGTGGCATTACAATATGGATTCATCTCTCGCTCTTCTTCGCGATATAGTAAGTTATACAAGCCTTGCATCGAAATGAACTTGTGCCAGTTGTGCTTCTCAGCGACGTTTTGCAACATCTGAAACTCCCATGCGGCCATCTGATCGACGTGAGTAAGCCTGTCGGTGAGATGAGCAGAAATGCTTACCGAACTAGCGCCAATGTAGCGCACCTTGCCACTCTCGATGACATCGTTCAAAGCCTTCATGATCTCCTCAGGCGGAACATCACGATCCATGCGGTGGATTTGCAGGACATCGATATACGTACCCAACCTCTCCACACTTCGATCAACTGCATCAAGGATATGTTTCCTCGATAGGCCAACGCGATTAACTCGTTCATCATCATTCACCAGCAGTATGGCTGGGTCAATTGGACCTTTGTTTTCGTCGACAAACTGGCAGCATTTTGACATGATGACAAGTTTAGCTCGAGGAATCTTGTATTCCTTGATGGCAGCCCCAAGGATCTCTTCGGCATGGCCGTTGGAATACGTGTCGGCCACGTCCCACGTATTGATGCCCTTGTCGAAAGCATATTTCAGGATCGGAAGTGCTTGCTCCTTATCGAGCAACCACGGCTGCCATTTCTTATCGCCAAAGCTCATACAGCCAAGCACTACCTTGGATACTTTGAGCCCGGAGTTGCCGACTCTACTTCCAATATCAATATCATGAGAAAGGACGGAGGTGGTATCACTAACCGTGTGTATTCCATTTTAGTGGCCATCATTAATTGTTACCTTCTGTAATTAACCAAGAATTTGACTCAATAACTAAATAACATACCAAGTTAGATATCCAGCGGGGATTTGCTCCTAATTTATACGATAACTTAAATAATATCACGGTGTTAAGCCGGTGTTAAGTAAGATCTCTTATGATCGAACTTCGTATTTATATCAAAAGCCGGAGGGATCAGTCTCGTGATACCGTCTTTTGGTTGGACAAAAATACTACAACGGTGGAGACCGAGTTCAAACAAGATTAGATTTGCTACGCACTTCTGGCCATTCTGAATCGTGGTTTCTATTGAAACTGTTCCGATAGCATATTCTCGCATGCAACTTGCTTACTGGCATTAGCCTAGGTTCCCTTTCGTGCTAGACTAGACCATAAAAATATAGTATGGGGTAGACGACACCCTTGGTAACGCTTTGGTAATGGGTTGTGGTAGAAAGCTAAGCTATTGGAGTAACTTCGAGCTTATTACTACTATGTCGTTGTGTGCATGGCTTTATTTAAGGTTTCCGAGATCCGGTAATTTCCGCATTAGCTTCACATTGGACATAGTGCGCCAGTAATTGAATTTGCTTCACTACATAGTACGACTCACAATGCCAAGCCAGGTAAGCCTAACGTCCCGAAGTCGTCGTGTCCACTGGGGGAAAACTGAAAATATTAGATATCAATCCGTCGAGGTCTAGACTTGAGATGAGGTTTGGCATATCGAGCTTCGGGTAGCTGTCTACCCCATGCACGGGAGCTTGATTGTTCCCTGCCGCCGCAGTTGGCCGCGGGTTGTGATGGCAATCACTAAAGTAGATCAGCTCTTTACCAGTAGCGGGTAAAGCCTTATCGCGTGATTGAAATTGGAGGCTCGTTTACTGGTCGATGTGAGGGTCACGAAGCAGCGATACACCAGACGGTGTCGAAATTTGAAAAAAAAAAAAAAAAAAAAAAAAACCCCCCCGAAAGCTCAGACAGAGCTTTTCGGAAATTGGAGCCCTGGATTACCACTCACGTACACTTGTTGTGTTCTTCTGGGAGTCGGTGGACGGCTTTCATCCCAAAACCTCGGCAGCGGGCCTATACTTTGTCAGGCAAATGACCCTCATCATAGTCACAACCCTCCGGGACGCTCTCCGAAGTGGAAATGGTGTATCTGTAGTCGAAGCCTGCGCTCTGATACGAAGTGTTCGCTGGTCCAGCTGTTGGGCGCGCGGACCTGGTGTGGGCTTTATGGTACTTGGCGTCGTCCCCCACGGTCTCAAATACGATTAAGCTCCAGGAGCTGCAAAGTGCTTCGCTTCTAAGGTTAGCCTCTCCCCGCGCCGGAGTCCTCGTGGTTCCCGCTGTGCTGGTTAGCTTCGTGGGTACGTCGGTCCCCATGGGGTGCCTTCGCCCACAGTCGTGTCCAATGACTGTCAACAATGGACAGTACTCATCTGAGACGCGTTCTCACCGATCGTTATTATGATTGTTCAAGGGGCAACTTCGTACTGAGCACTGAATTTCCTGACCACCGACGGCAGCCCTCTTCCCGGCTATGTTCGCCGCAGGGTACGCTGCGCAATCGCGTTCTCGGCCTCTCGCAATTCAGCCGATATCTGTGTTACACAAAAACGTATATATATGAAAATATCGATAGTTAACGATAAACATATAGAGCAATGAGTTTAAAAGATTAGGTTTGTGAGTGTATTAATCGTATACCATTATAGCCACTGATTTCGCATTTTCTAAATTTGTATGAAGATACTGCATTTGAGGTGAGAGCGCTGAATTCATATGTACCTTAAGCACCCTTATAAGGCTTTAGGGCAACCTGGAGGCTACTACGGGTATGTGCGATTTCCCGCGGAACCCGGCCTCATTAACCTTGAAACCCCCACATTGCCACTCCACGAAATAAGTTCATGAACCTTGAAGTCTCTAGTTTTTTTGCTCTCATAACAACGACCAATCAAGTCTGCTACATTCTCACGATATCCTGCTCGCAATGCCTTTATTACACAACCAGAAATCCGTGCTAATCACGGGGTAAGCTCTTTCTTCTGGTTTTCTCGTTCTTACTTCAAAGAATAAAAGCCTAATGTGCGAAGATGTACGCCTGGCGGGATTGGCCATGCACTAGCTCTGGAGTTTCAAAAACAAGGTAAAATCCATTCAAGAGGTATTCTTTGCATCGCATATCTGATGTAGAGTATCTTTGGAAGGCTACTATGTGTTTGCGACAGCGAGGGACCCAGCTGTGATAGCTGATTTGGCCGGTCCATGGTTGAGCGTATTGCAGCTTGACGTGACTGATAGCGGAAGCATCGCGGCATGTCATTCGGAAGTCGAAAGAATCGGAGGCGGTCGATTAGACATACTCGTGAACAATGCGTGAGATATGATCATGAAGCATCCATTAAAAGGGCACGACTGACTACTCGTTAGTGGCCGTACACATACTCACCCAGCTCTTGACATCTCCATCCCAGATGTCCGAGAAACGTTCGAGACAAATGTCATAGGAGTCATGGCGATGGTGGCTGCATTTGGTGGACTCCTGATCAAAGCGGAAGGGCTGATCATCAACATTGCATCGTTGGCAGCGGTCACGCCTTACGTCTTCGGCAGTGTGTTTGGTGCGACGAAGGGTGCCATCATGAGCTATAGTCGGATCTTACGGCAGGAAATGCGGCCCTTCAACGTCAGGGTGATGGTTTTAATGGCAGGGTTTGTCAAGTCCAGCACAAGATCAACCCACCGGACGCTACCCGCAAATTCCTTTTACGATCGCATTCGCAACATGTTCGAGAAAAGGGTCACTTACAGCAAGACTACCTCTACACTAAGCCCAGCAGACTTTGCCGCCGACGTTGTCAGCAAGGCATTAAGGCCGGAATCCCGCTCTATCTTTCGCTCTTGGTTTGGTAGACCTGATTGGTATTGGAGTGGTGGTAAAGCAAGAGAGGTATGGTGGGCCAGGACAATCTTTGGAGAGTGGCTTACCGATATCATCTGTTGGAAAACCTTTCAACTAGAGAGGTTACAAGATATGGTAATTTTGGACCGCAAGCGCTAGCGTCTTTTATCAATATCATTTCTTAAACAGTGAATTCCATGAGTGCTCGCGAAACGTTTCAGAGTTCGCTACCCCAAACGCTTTGCCTGATAATTTCGAGTGAATACAACTTTGCACACATCAATTCCAAAAGATTGGTGTCACTCGAATATCTAACTACTGATAAGTGGGCGGCGACTGATAATCTGCAGGTTCTTCATAATTATGGACCCAAAACGAAATGGATTTAAATTATTGTTTCGTACAATATCTATTCAATCGTTTTGGTGCGCTAGCAAATATTTCGACGTCAATGTTTATCATGTAATACCAGACTGTGAATCCATGACCTCAAGTCTTTAATGATTCCATGCATCAGCTCCTCGTCTACGACGTCAACTTGCCAACTGAAGCTTATCACAAGCCCCTTGCCTTGAACAGTAACTGGATTAACACAAATTGCAGGCCCAATTGCGGTTGCGCTTTGGGAAAACAAAGCTCCTTCGACATTCCATAACTGATCGTTTTCTTGCACACCACTGTCCTCGATCAGTGTATTGTCTACCTTGCCAATATTGCTCAGCTCCCAGGATAGGAGTCGTGGTTTCTTAGACTCCGTTTTGAAGTAAGCCTTCCAGTCAGTGACTAGCTTCGACAGCCCCACAAGATCATTCTTGAGACCGGCATCCAATTTCTTGTTCAGCGTAGTTTTGACTTCCAGGGCGGTAGACCATATGAGAGACTCCAGCCTGGGGCTAACCTTCATGTCAACACGTAGCGAGTTGGCATATTGTCGCATCTCTGTCACAAGACTCTCGCCAAACTTGTGATAACACGAAGTGATCATGTTTCCCACTACCCGGTGGGGGTCTGTCCCGCCATTGCCGTTTGGATTTGAAGTCATGAAGGAGCGCAGTGATATTGGTGTCCCAGCAATAAATGCCTTAGCTTTGGTACGAGGTAGCCTAGTCGCCATAGCTAAGAGCATAAGGGCATGGAGAAGTCCAGTCAACGAAGTTTTATTTCGACGGCAGGTTGCGACAAGACGTTGTAGGATAAAATCATCAACTCGCAGGATATTGATGCGTGTCACGCAGTGATAAGGATATATTGGAGCCCAGTGTGCTTCCCATGGCAAATTTGGTGCCAAGACTGAGGGACGAAGCCCTCTCCATCCCTCCGTAAGGAGGAAGCCAGTTGAGAGTGGAAAGTCAAGCATCTGTTCCACTGATGAAGTCATTGTAAAAAGCTCGGGGATATGAAGAACATGATCCTTGAAATGTGTCCTGACCCAGTTCGATGGTGGCGTGTTCAATCCAAACAGAAGTGTTTCGTGGAATATCCTAGCACCCATACCATCAGAAGCTGCGTGATTTGCAACAAACACGACTTCCAATGAATTGTTTCTAACAGAATGCAGAACAATGACTCTCCACTGGGGCTTGGATTCCAGTTTGACGAAGCGGGTACTATGTTGTGTTTCCAGTGTCTTCAAAAGGACTTGGTCGAGGTCATCATCGTCAGCTGTGTACCATTCTAGGCACTGGCGGAAATGAATCTGGCTGAGCTTCACCCAAACAGGTCGTTTCGTGTCTTCACAGGCAATTCCTACTTGAAGTGATGAATGTTCCAATATCGTAAATGCCAAAGCTTTCTCGAAAATGTCCTTGATGCTGCTTCTCTCACTCCTCGTCATAGTATAACGACAAGTCAAAGCGCATGCGCAGTAGGAACCGGATAGTGTCTGTGTGAGCTGAAAACACTCGCTATGTCGCAAGTTAGCTATTTCTCAATACTGTCAAAAATATCAAAATTCTCATCTTACGATGGTCCAAGTTGTCGTAGCTTCTGGGACTCGATCTTGTCGACCGCGCGTTGGGTGCCAAGCCATCCCATGATGTCTTGACCTTTCTTAAATTATGTCTGAGTACGATGAATCTATGATCTCTAATCGACTGATAGAAACTGGCCATATTGTCAAGCCTTTTAACAGCGCACTGGATGCGACGAAGCACAGGCATACATCATTAGTGATACTCAATCCTCGTCTCCCTCGGGCCCCGTATGGACAATTGTTGGATCCATAAATCAATGTTACGGCATCCATCCACATAGGTTTCAATGCTTGAGACGAGGAATCTTAGATTTAGTGTTAATGCAGTAAAAGATGCCGAATGCGAGCTGTCTAGATATTATCTGATCCGAGACATGGTCAGCTGAAAATTACGCAATATGATTGGTCAGATGCCTTTTGGTTGTACCACTCGTAGGGCTATGTCATTTTCCGGGACATTGATTAAGTGCTGTGGCTGCGTGGATGACGAGTCTAACTTAGACTTTGTTCTGACTAGTTGGTGCACAGAAGGTCCTCACGACTGTGCGAGAGCCGTACAGCAGAGAAAACAAGAAAATAAAATCCGAAAGCCGCGGCAGCGGTCCAAGCGGAGCAATCGCCAAGGCTCGGGTTTGAGACTGGACATAACTTATAGCAACCAATTTCCGAGATCCGAGAAGCTCGCACGTGGACCAGTCGACTTGAAACCGTTGCTCGTAACTAGAACTTGCGGAGTTTCTGGTAAGAACGCGTCGCAATCACATGATTGCATTTGTCCTAATTTATGAATTTGTGTAAGCCTGACTGCCAATTGCTCAGTTCTAGAGCTATCAATGGCATTGTCATCTTTATGGCTCTAGCACTTCCTCTAACAGGAGATGACCAATGATTATGTCCTAGTTACTCTTGACTAGCTGGTTCAAAGCAGCTTTTCTATACTAGGAAGGGAGTTCTCATGGGTTTGCGACAATATACATGGCCAGGACATGATTTCATTCTAGCGGCGAGATCGTTTGCGCCAGTGCTGGCTTACATAGAGATCGTCGCCTTGCCCTCATGGTAGCTCGACCAACCCTGGTATCGTTACTCGCTTTGATATCCCGACTTGGCCATTGGTACTATGTGAGGCGGAGCCATGACATTCAATTACATACAATCAACTTTGGAAGGCCAGATAAACGCATTTAGCAGCTTTGTGGATCCCGAGAATATCGATAATGTAGCAAATATATTCTTCGTCGTATCTTACTAAGATGCTGGCCGTGTGATGAATATCCTCCTACGTTGAGCCAGTGATCAATCCTCCGATACTTTGACACTTGACATCATTTCTTTCACAACTCATGAACACCTTACATCTGGGAAACTTTGTTGATATTTTTACAATATCTCTACTATGATTATAAAATATAGAATTTAATTCGCAACTATGGGGAAGACAGTAAAGCACAGCTTCAAAGACGAAATATAAAAAAGGTATGTATTGGCCGCTTCCAAAAAGGGCAGCCAGGTAATCTCGAACTGTTCTAGTCTAAGGTTAGTGGAGTACTTCTATAAGGCGCCCATGGGAAGTGTCTGGTTCCACGGTCTGTTGCGTAAATAGCGGCTTATCACTAGATCAGCGCAATATGTCATTTATGAAACCAAGGGCGGTTGGCAAGAAATGAATATGCAGTACGGCAATTGTACAGAATTTCGAAGCCATTGGTCAGTGTACCCAGGGCTTCACGAACGAGTTTCCTGCCTCTAACTATAATCTCCGGCATCTTCTTGTAGAAATTTGAGGCAAAATTCTATCGCCTGCATATATACTCTTGGATTTGATGTGATGACGTAGCGTACCTAGTTACTTTTCCGACTAGCTAATTACATGAGGTGAATCCCCCGTACGATAATCTTCATGTCGTCATTACTCACTATTACATCTTAACAAACAAATACAAAAATTACGATTCAGAAGCTTCCGACAAACATCACGTGGAGTGCAGCGGATAACGCAGATACGTTGCGTGGTGCGAAGCACTATGGCTTGCGCCGGTAATAGGACGAACTTTATAACTCAGGAGCTCTAAAAATAATCCGAAGGGAACCATCTGGCAAGTTGTGGCGTGAAAGGAGTGCATTACCAATCAAATTTCACGTTCGTGAAGGAGGCTGAGGTGGAACGGAGGTAAGTAAAAGACCATGGGTTCCCGGTTATTGACGGCCAAGGGTGGGATGTACTTCCCAGGTGTCTCAAAAGCGCCAAGAAGCGGGACTCAACAGACGCTTGGAGGGCTTCTTTGGCCTTGAGAATAGCCTGGGGAGGAGTTAATTATCAATATAGGATGCATCGCGATTGAAATGGATGTTCTGACGTTCACTGTCGTTGGAAAGGTCTGTTCAGCTAATGCGTCAGTCCATCAAAGCTTGGCTTGATTGCCTATTCGGTTTGCAACCGCTGATACACGCCGACGATTGTCTTCCTCGATAATTTCCATAGTTTGTTGTTCTTGGACCCAATTGCCAATGGTATCGACCAGCCTTTCCACTTGGGCGATTGTGTTGCCAGCGTGTAGGCAAACACGAATCCTTTCGGTTCCTACGGGTACTGTGGGAGACATAATAGGCCTTACCATTAACCCGTCCATCTGGCAGTAAGCGGCGAGCTGTCGAGGACGTGTGGTATATATAGGGATGATAGGTGAAGTTCCTGGTCTTTGTTGTATGCGAAGGAAACTTTTAGTGGGCGACAGGCGTGATGAGAGAGCTTCGAGTAAATTGTGCAAACTTTGAATGAGATCTGCGAGGTGTTGTATCCTTAACTTGGTTCGCCCTCTTGCCAAATAGTCGTGAACGACGTCAATACTCACCAGTGATGAGTACGACATTGAAGTGGTGTAAATCAGCGTCCGAGCATAGTTGACCAGATACGACCGCACAGTGTCCGAACACAACACTATGCCTACTGACCTGTTAGCCTTCTCGTGACAAGAGCTCATTCAGCATGAGAGTGCTTGAAAATAGCGCAGCAAAACCAATGCCAAAAACGAGCGGGACCTCTGCGAATGACACTTGTCAAGAATCGTACGTACCTCCACTACACCCAATAGCTTTTCCAAAGCCATGAACTCTCGCCCAAACCTTTTCCTCCAATGCGAGTTCACATACCAGACCACGGCCTCTTTCGCCTAAGACGCCCACGGAGTGCGCTTCGTCCACAATGATGTAGCCGTTCCCGCGAGGTAGATATTGATCCACTTGACGCACAACGTCTTTGAGCTGCGTCACGCATCCATCCATACTATATATGCCCTCAACACATATGAAGATGTTGATGATACCCATTTTCGCCTTTTGTCCTTGGTCACCCAGCGTAACTTTCTGCAGGGTTTCCGCCAGACTGGGGATAGCGAATTGCTCAGATTGATTACCCGACCCATCAACCACAGAACTATGCGAGAATGCCATACAATGACTGGCACGACTTAAGCGCATGCCATCATGCACGCTCGCGTGTATTGCCTCATCGTATAGGACGATATCTCCAGGCTGTGGGACGCAGCTAAGAAGACCAATGTTCGCATCATAGGCTGAGTTGAAAAGCAGTCCTGCAGGTGAACCATGGAATCGTGCTATTTTCTGTTCGATTTCCTCAGCGAAGCTCGAGTTTCCATCCAGTAATCTTGAGCCTCCCGAGCCTAGGATTCCCTTCGAAAGCCCACCACACTCAGCGGCAGCAACTCTGGCTTCAAGACGCGCCAAGATTTCTCTTTGGATGGCAACATCTTGGGAGAGTGATAAGTAATCATTTGACGAGAAGTCAACCTTGTTGGGATCATTGATGGTAAGACGCCGCAATTTGTTGGCGTTTTGGCGCCTCGTCAAGATGGCCTCCAAGGTTGTTTCCAAGTGTTTCATAATTATAGTTGACTACGGTCGTAAGCCTTAAAGAGATACCGAACACACATTCTCTTTACGTGGTCGCGATTTGTGAGTGGCAGCAGTGCCGATTAGCGGGCTACATTATTCGTTCGCGGCACGCCGAGCATGGGCCAGGTTCGGAGTCACGAGGTACCCCTCCGCTCTTGGGACAGCCTCCGTAGAGCCTGCGCGTTTTGAAAATGAAGCATACAGTAGCAGCAGGTACAAGTCTTGTTCATTACGTACGGGTTTCCGGCAAACAAACAGAGTTTGCGCGATTTTATTGCTTTTTGCAGACGAGATTGGCTGTGATAATGCCACGCTATGTATGTCGCGCGTTATGTATGCGACCCAGCGTCGATCGGCTTGTGCAACACGAAATTAGCGCAGCCACGTGAAACTGACTGAAAACTGTATAATGATGATCTAACGTAGTCTTGGCTACTACGAGCAATCAATGCATGTATTAAAGGACGATATAAGTATGAAAGCGTATGATAAGTTGAATAATTTGGAGCCGCTAAGATGAAGTCTTCCAAATGTCCATTGTGAATGGCACCTATCTGTCTCTGTTGAGCGAATTGCACTTGAAGTTGCTTCAGCAGCAGTGGCAGTGCAGCTTCAAACCTTAGTGATGTCAGTAGGGTCGGCTAGAGGTGAGTGGGTCGCCCAAGATCTGTTGGGGTAACCTCAACTTTTTGTCTGGAGGTGCACAATTGGTTTACACAAACCGAAAGCGTTCTGTATTCTTACCTCTTTCTGAATTGAATCCCTTGTATAGTAGAGTGAGTGATGGCGCCAGCTGGGGCTTTACTCTGGCGTTCTCTACGAATATACCAAGTCTACGGCGCCAATACCGAGGTTGGCAAAACCATAATCACAACAGCATTGTGCAATGCTACCAAGAACGTCTTCAAGGACGGCGCGACCAACTATTTGAAGCCAGTCTCTACTGGGCCTGAAAATGAAGCCGATGCACGGTGTAATTTAATTCTATGATATCACTAGACACAGATCCATCTAACTGAGTGACAGAAGATAAGCATTTGACTTCAGTTGCGGTGCAGAAAATACTCACATGTGCGCAGCCACATCTCGAGGTATGCTCCAGAAGTCAATCAAGCGACGTTGCATCAATACGATCTTGCCGTAAGCCCACATGTCGCTGCACTCGGAAAGGTATGCAGTTGCCCAGATCCTCATGGAGCGATGCATGCTAAGAAACAGCTCAGTCCATTCCGTCGGATACAGAACTGCTGAAATCGATTTACGCCCATGCCTCGAAAACGGCAGCCAAAGGCGCAGGATGGCTGTTCATCGAGACCGCCGGAGGAGTTCACTCTCCTGGACCGTCGGGGAAGCCACAAGCAGAGCTGTATAAAGCTTTGCGATGTCCAGTCATCCTAATTGGAGACTCGAAGCTTGGCGGGATCTCTTTGACCATTTCGGCTTACGAGTCGCTCAAAATCCGAGGTTATGATGTTGAAGCCGTTATGCTTTTTCAAGAGGACCAGTATAAGAACTCGGACTACTTGACTGCCTACTTTAGAGAAAACCACGATGTCCCGGTATACGCTGTGCCACACCCACCATCGAGAGCTGATGAACCAGATTTGGATCTCCAAGCGATACACAAGTACTACCGCGAGTTGGGCCAGAGTCCTCTTCTAAAATCTGCCCTCACGCATCTGGAGGCGCAACACCAAACTCGATTATTAAAGCTTGGGTCCATGTCCGCCTTGGCGCACTCCAAAATCTGGTACCCCTTCACCCAGCAAAAACTCACCAATCCTGATACAATTACGGCCATTGACAGCGCCTGTGGTGATCATTTTCAGACCCTCATTCCGACATCGCAGCGTGATCGATCAGAGGACACCCAAACTGCGGCACTGCAGTCCTCATTCGACGGCTCCGCCTCCTGGTGGACACAGGGCCTTGGCCACGCCTCAACACCTCTAACACTTGCGGCTGCGTATGCTGCTGGCCGTTATGGTCATGTCATGTTCGCAGACTGTATCCACGCACCTGCGTTACGGCTTGCAACCGCTCTCCTAGATGGCATGCAGAATCCTCGGCTAACACGTGTCTTCTATTCCGACGACGGTAGCACTGGCGTTGAGGTCGCACTGAAAATGGCACTACGTGCGGCGCGGATGCGATACGGATGGGACATCAGCAGAACGAAGAGACTGGGCGTGATCGGACTGAAAGGTGGCTACCATGGAGACACGATTGGAGCAATGGATTGCGCCAATCCAAATGACTTCAACAAAGAGGTAGAGTGGTATGAGGGGCGAGGTTTGTGGTTCGATACGCCGAACATTTTATGCAAAGGAGGGAAATGGACCATTGACATGCCAGAGGGTATGGGCGAGTCCAAGACGTTCGAGAAACTGACAGACATCTTTGACATTGAAATACGGGAAGCAAGAGGGGACCATGAGCATTATGAGGGGCTCATTGAAAAGTCACTGATATCTCATCTCAAGAAAGGAAGAAAATTCGGCGCAGTACTTATCGAACCAGTCGTCCTTGGTGCAGGTGGTATGATGCTGGTGTAAGTGTTGAGACCACAAAAACGATGTCTGCGGGTGAGACGTTAATATGATTCCAGGGACCCTCTTTTCCAGCGCGCCTTGGTCAATGTCGTACGACGTTCATCTGAGCTCTTTAGCACCCTCAGTCCCAACGACAGCCCAAATCGTGAAACGACCTCTGGTCTGCAGGACTGGACTGGTCTACCTGTCATCTTCGACGAGGTCTTTACAGGACTCTATCGTCTCGGACGCTTCACATCGTCGTCGTTTCTCAAATTGCATGCGGATATCTCAGTGCATGCAAAACTGCTCACCGGTGGTCTCGTGCCTCTGTGTACGACACTAGCTTCAGAAAGTGTGTTTAAAGCATTTGAGAGCGACTCAAAAGCTGATGCGCTCCTCCATGGACACAGCTATACTGCACATCCTGTAGGTTGCCATGTTGCGGTAGAGAGCGTGGCACAGATGGAAAAGATGGAGCGTGAAGGCGATTGGGACTGGGCGAAGAAAGATGGATGGACAAATGGTGTAAATGCTGCGTCAAGCAGTCACCAAGATTTATGGTCGATATGGTCCAAAGAATTCATCAACTGGCTGTCCCATCAACAATCAGTCGAGGGAGCTTGGGCCCTGGGCAGCGTGCTAGCCATTCACATGCGCACGTCTGATGGTGGTGGATATACCAGTACTGTGGCTCAACAGCTTCGAGACCGCCTAAGGCACGATGCCAGTGGCGGCGAAGATGGTCCCTGCAATGTGCACAGTCGAGTTTTGGGCAATGTTATCTACTTCATGGGTAGCCAAACTTCGAAGAAGGCAGTTGTCAGGTCCATAGAAAAGTTGATCCAGGAAGCTCTATGAACATAATGAAGCAATTCTCGCAAACAACAAGCGCAAAATCTCCTCCTAATGCCTTTCGAACTCCACTGTTCAATCTAAAGCATGCATATTGGAAGACTGTTTAGTAGAAAATTTGCTCGTTTTGAGTAGCTAACTTCATATGCCATGCAGAGATATAGACGCTGCTGACGTGTTTGGCAACTCTTGCTTGCTTATAACAACAAGCACTCTGTTGGAGCCAGGGAATTTTACATATTCTTGGCTCCAAAGTATATTGTCAATACAGTCTCCATCAACTTCACCGTTTACGACGTCGGTGTTACCCACTTTGTCAGTGTTAGGGGCACCAGTTTGGCCAAACGATGACAGAAGAAAAAATACAATTTCAGTGTAAATTTACAAAGACCGAAAAGCAAAACGCAGTAGAGATTATAATTTCAAATCATAACGTCGCCAATCACGCTCCGTTCCACGCTGCGCTGTTCAAGTACAAACGTTGGCGGTTGACGGGAGATATCTATCCTAGACATGTAACTAATGCAATCAGTCTAATCATAATCTAAGAATACTTCACGTCTGTAATCACGACATCAATTTGTCTGTGTATACATACATATATATATATATATAGTTGAATCAAGAGGAGCTAAAATGATCATGATTCTATGCCGGTCGTCCTTACTATGGTTCACTATTCGATAATATTTTGTTAGAGAGCTACGAAAGAACTTGGAAGATACACGTAGTGTATTGCATATAGATAGTGGTTTTCGGCATGGAGATGTCCAAGACTAGAGGTTGTAGGATTAGAAAATGGCAGACCTTATGCTGAATTAAGCGCCAAATTAGTCTTAGCGCATAACAACGACTTCGTATTTTTCTGTCCAAAACGGTACACGGTAAAAACAACACTTTGACCGTTTTTAACCCGAATCTTTAAAGCACACTATAATAACTTTTTAATCACTTCTTTTAACACACTTTCCTAGCTGCATCAGCTGCTTATTATGAAAACACAGTACTATGTTATGACCCTGACACTGTTGTTGTGACCTGGGACGGCCCAACGATCCCGAAGACCCGTTCAATTGGCCAGCCCGGAAGAAGCGGCCGACTACCGGCCTAAGTCTCCTTACGACTTTCATTTCTGTTATGAACGGCATTATCATCTCCGTCGCCCATGAATCGATCAATGAAGCCTTTGGCATCTCGGATGCGTCATTTCCTCACTCCTATTGGCCAATTGCATCATGGGGCGTGGGAGGCGCGTTATTCTCGCTCGTTGTGCTCCCTGTCATGGAAGACTTTGGAATCCGTATCGTGTTCTTGATCGCCTGTCCCCATAAAGAGAAGTAAGTTGGCCACCACCATATGGCCCTTTCTGGTGGCCAAAGACAGCGAGGTCCAGTTTCAATTGTCTGCGACGTCGACATTGGCGCTCTTGTCAAGGAACAGTTTAACCACTTCAAAGCGGCCGTTGTATGAAGCATTATTGAGCGGTATACGTTCGTTTTTGTCCGGGATAGTCCAGTCGACACCCTTTTCAAGAAGCAGTTAACGACACGATATTTCCGAATATCAAGGGAATTGTGAACAGCTTTCGCATTGACTTCAAGGATGTGCTCCTCGCAAGAGCTGCTTTTGGATTAAGGATCTTGGAAGTGATAAAAGGCATAATGACGAGACTGTACACAGCCTGATTGATTGATTGATTGATTGTATTTAACGTGGGGACCGTCCCTTACTAGGGCAAACCACGCCTCCCAGAGCCATACATCGCAGGGTTTTGGAGGTATCAGTATCTACATACATTCCAGCCTGCGCACGTGCCAGTCCACGCTATTGCAGGACCTGAGTGAGAACACTCACTCAGTCCGTCAATTCAAACGGCCCTTCATCTCGGGCATGTCCTTGTGAAAAAGTTACTCCTCTCTACAAAACGCGCCCACTGCGCACTCTTCTCCCCCAAATATTGTGTATAAGCCGCCCTTGGCGTGTGCCTCGGGAGCAGTCGGTGTCCTTGCAATTTCCTACAGAAGAAAATATGCTCTGGTGTCTTTCTCTCTCCGCAACTGCAGTGGTTATTGGAGTCCGTATGCCCGAATCGTTCATGATATGCTGCAAAGTCGCCGTGGCCAGATCTTGCCGCCAGGAGCCTGTGCAGCGTAGCCCTTTTGAATGAGACGAGGTTCTTTGACACCGCCGCATATGAATGCACATCTTCATATCTGGCTTCGTCTTGCGCCGCCCACCAGCGGGCAAAATCGTCTTTTCTCTTTCCTTTGAGATGTCGCCGTACCCATGCAACCGTAGGCAGACTGTCTATCCTCGTCTCGAGCATTGCGCCTTCCTTGGCAAGTTTATCAGCAGCTTCGTTTCCTTCGATGTCTTGATGTCCCGGGATCCACTTGACCGTCACCCCAGGACTGTGCCCTGATGCAAGCTCCTGGAAACGTAGAAAGATGGCTTGCGACGATTCCGGTGGTGATCCATTTAGCCCGTCCACCACGGATGTGTTGTCCAGACAGACAAACAGTCGTTTATTCGGCCCGATCGTCCTCGCCGCTGCGAGTCCCTGCAACGCTCCGTGCACTTCGGCGTCGAAGACCTCTGCCCGGTGCAGCCTGCCTCGGTTTCGGTACACTTCTTCGGTGGTACCGCCTTTCCTAATGGTAAACCCCCAGCCTGTGCGCTTGTGTCCCTTTTCCTGTAACTGCGAGCCGTCCGAGTACACGATCAGCTCTTCTTCCTCATTTCTCTCCCGGAGCCATTCTTTGAGCAGCTCAGCTTCTCCATCCTTGCCTCCCCGATGTGGTGGTTTCTTGAAAGATGGCCGGACCAATTCTGGCCTCGGAAATATGGGGACTAGCTGATGGCATCTCTGGAGTCTTGTGGGGTCCTTTCGCGCTTGTAGTGGCAGCCGCCGCACTAGTGGATGCTCTTTGTCGACCCGCCCAAGCCGGAAACCGTGGCGTCGGCGGATGGACTCTGCCAGTATCTCAGCCGGCGGCATCTGCGACTCGAAATGCAGAATATGGCTTGGGTGCGTTCTCCACACAGGCAGAATGGCTCTCATTGCCGTTCGTAGAACGGACTGCATCTGCTGGAGCTGTTTCTTGACACGGCATGACGAAGTCGTGTTATCCTGCCTCGTCCTTTCCCGTCCTGGGTACCAGACCTCAAGGCCGTGCGTGAGGACCGGGATCACACAGGACGTGACGGCTTTCCTTGTCGACGCTACCGGAAGACCTCTGACGGTGTTGCATAGACTGCGGATGTGGTTCGCCACTCGGCTTGCCTTGCCCGTCCAGTGCTTGACATGGTCTCTGAAAGTCAGTTTCCTGTCGAGGAATACTCCAAGCCAGCGCATCGAAGGCTCTGCCCTCTTTCGGGCGGTGCCATGGGTGACGATAGGATTGTTGGTGTCTCTTTTCCTGGAAAAGTGCATAATCTCGGTCTTGGCAGGGTCAAATTCCACGCCATTGTCTTGTCCCCAGTCGATGAGCTCTCTCAGTTGTTCTGTCGCCTCGACGGCCGTTTCTTGGAGTGTCGTCCCGACGTTGAGGATCCCAATGTCGTCTGCATATCCAAATCGCCGCCGTCTTGTACCCAGTTTTCCGCAGATGGGTTCCGTGTAGAGCATGTACAGTATGGGAGACGTTGGTGAGCCTTGTGGCAGACCGCAGTGGAGCGGTTCGACCTCGGTCAGGGTATCCTCAAACCGCACCCTGGCAGAACGCTCTGTCATAAACGACTCTGTCCATCTGATCAGAAAGTGGGGCCAACCCTGCTCCCTCATCCGCACAACCAGTCGACCCACGAGGGCTGCATCGAAGGCACCTTTGACGTCCGCTGTTACTAGTGTGGCAACTAAGCCTTGGTCGAGAGCTTGTTCAATATCATGGACGAGTGCTGCTACTAGATCGGTCGCTGCACGCTTCGGCAAGGCCCCGAAGTGTTGTGGTGCCAAGATGCCGCGTTCAATCACTGTCCATGCTAGCCTTTTGCCGACTAGTCTTTCAAGCCCCTTCCCAAGACATGATAGGAGAGAGATGGGCCGATAGGTCCTGGGGTCAGAGTAGTCCTTCTTCCCTGGCTTGGGGATCATGACCACCTCGGCTACCTTGAATGGCTTCGGGTGGTACCCGACCATCAAGCACCTTTGAAAGAGGTCCGTTACATGCTTCCCAATGATAGGCCAGCATGCCTTGAGTATCTTCACGGTAAGACCATCCACCCCAGGCGAGGTGCTGCTAACCCCGACCGTGCATGCCTCGGCCTCCTCTAGCGATACGTGCTTTTCGAAGGGGATGGGTGTCCGCTGTCGCACTGGAACTGACCAAGGATTGGGAATGTCGTTTTCCCCGTTGTTTCGCTCTAGCGTGGCCCTTCGCAGTGCGTTCGCCTTGTCTAGCTGTGTCTCAAAGATTCTGTTACCGGTTATGATCGGGGGCGCGCTCAGACCTGCTGTCATCTTGTGCCAGGATATGATTTTGAACAGATCACTCGGGCTTTTGGCTCCGTCAATCACACCCCGCCAATACTCCCTCTTAGCCTTCCTCACAACCTGGCGGAAAACTTTCCTTGCGGTTTTCTTGTCCCCTTGACTCGTATTACTTTTTGCTGCGTTTCTGTATTCTTCAACCGCGGTTCTGCATTCATCATTCCACCAAACCGTAGATCGGAATCGTGACGTCCTCCGACCAGCTATTTTGATGCAGCTAGAGATAATCTCACCCAGGGTCTGAGCGTAGCCGTCTAGCTCCTCCCCAGTATAACCTAGCGATGGAAGTTCGTGCAGCCTGTCATGGACCATTTCCACCAGCTCAGGTATGTTGTCAACTGGTACGGTCCATCTACATGGCCTTGTCACCCGTTCCAGATCCCTAGAAATTGGTACCACGACCCGGAGTGTTTCATGGTCCGACGTCGAGTGGAGTGCCTCGCTGACTGCCGCCTCTGCCATTGGAATGTCGGAGAACACCAGGTCCAATACATGGCCATCGTCGTGCGTCGGCACATCGGGCTCGGAGATCAAGTCTAGGCCATGTGCAGACATGATGTTACCCAGCATCTCCCCTCCATGGTAGTTATGGTTACCCGATTCCCAAGAGGCGTCGCCGGCATTAAAGTCGCCCGCAACGACACATCCAGACGGTGGAATCCACTCTTCCAAAATCCTGTCGACTTGCTGCGGGTCTGTGGTTGACCTGTATACGCTAACAAAAGTAATACCTCGCACCTTGACCCACGTCACGTCCCTGGTCTGGTAAGGCCGGAGCTGTTGGGCTTGAAGGTGCTTCCTCACATAGACCAGCGACCTCGGCCGCGTTGTATCACTGTCCCAGTTATCTACCGGGGAAAACACGTTGTAGTTGGGATGCGCCTTGACCATCATTCTCCTGCCTGGTGGGACGCCGATCCACGGCTCCTGCATCAGAATAATGTCCGCCCTCTCTCCTTCGTAGTCGGCCAGGTTAAGAGCTAGTTCAGTCGGATCAATGCTCCTCTGCCCCCCTGCCGCATTCACGCAGTGCACAACAAGGTGTCCGCGTCGTGTCTGTGTCTGATTCCTAGTTGCATTTACGGGCATACGATAATCGTCTCCTCATTGTTGTCCTGTTGGCTCTCGTGAGCCGTGCCTGTTTCATCTTCGACTTGCATCGCATCAGCGCTCTGCCTGTCATCCCTGGCTTCGGTCCTGCCGCTTCCTGGAGCGACAGTACTCTCTTTTGCAGAGCTAAATGCCTGAGACCTCGCACGGTCGCCTGCCTGCCTTATCTCGCGTAATTGCTCCGCGCCTGGTCTGCGAATAATTCCTTTCACCACTTTCGGCCGTGCCGGGCACTTCTCAAAAGTGGCAGCATGCGGGCCGTGACAGTTGACGCATTTGGGGATTGGCTTGCTACAGTTGCCTTCGTGCACTGGTTTGGCACAGGTTCCGCAAATTATCTTTCCACAACGGTAATTTCTGCCATGAAAGGAGAAGCAATCTCCACACTGGGGAACTCGGGGTTCCCGGCGTAGACGGTACGACGTCATGGAGTGTGCAAAGAGCCTGAATGGCCGATTGATTTCCCCCGTAAAGGAGACGAGCCAGTCTGTCTCTGCGTCACCATCAGATGTATGCTTAGACAAGACACACCTCACAGGCCTTACGCCTGTCTGAAGTTCTGCCTCGTTGGCAACAGCCGTTTCGTCGATCTCGACTGTAAGCCCCTCCGCTGTCATGACTTTTCGTGGACAGCCCCGCAGCTTGTAGTGGTGCCACACGACATGTTCTTCAATTTTCTGTGCTTTGAGAATGTCGATAATCTCGCTCTGGAGGGCCAGGAGTTTTGCCTGGGTTGGCTTGTCCCGTGGGTGCAGCGTAAAGCCGGAAGCGCACCGGGTCACCTCGCGGAGTTCCAGATAGTCGAGTCCGAGTCTTCGCACGAGGGTGGACTTGACGCCATATGGTTCGAGTCGGGAGTTATCCATGCGCACAAATATGCGGTTGTCTTCTTGCTCCTTGCGGCGTGGCCGGTCCGTACGGTCCATGCGGTCCATGCCTCTTTCATCAGCTGCTGTATTTCGCTGAGCTCTGTGCGATGGAGCCGAAGTGTTCTTCGAGGCAGCTACTTGGGCGTAGGATGGTTTGACATGTTCTCCTGTCGGCGCTGCAGCATTGGCCTTCCGCCGTGCCGACCTATGTTCTGTAAGCCAATCATCGAGGCGGTTAGCGAAGAAGGAGCAGAACTCCATTGCATCGAGGTAAAGGTCGGTGCCTGCTTTTTGGAGGACTTGATCAATTGCATGCGCACAGTCCTGAAACAGCTTTATCTTTTCTTGCTGGATGCGCAGGTCGCGTTCAAGAACTGCAGCGACCTGATTCTGACAGTTGCCAGGGCTCGTTCTGCGCTCATCATCGTCGGCAGTGTATCTTCTGTCGTTGACTTCAACGGTGATGTCTTCAATCCGTGGTCGCTTAGCTCCGATGATGCTGTTGATCTTGCCAGTACCGCCTCTGGTGTTGAGGGGGGAGGATGGTGTGTAGTCGGTTTCAGTAACCTGTGACGGGCTGCTAGCAATGTCGCTAAGTAGGACTTGGCGGAGCCTGCTCGGGGTAGTGGGGCCGCATGGCTTCCTTGGGGTGCGAGGGAGAGAGGCTCCATCGCTTATAGTCCCCGGGCTGGAAGCGGGTGTGCCAGGCGGCTGGTCTATAGGGGTTGTCATTCAGGTCAAAAAGAATTTTTCGAATGCCAAGAGATATTAAGGGTGTACTCCAGTGGTGCCACTAAACTAGCGTAGTTGCCTTGTCACGCCCTAACAGCGGGGCGCCAAGAAAAATAGTTGTAAAAGTTCGTTGACTGTACACAGCCATGCGACGTATTTATAGGATCGAGCGAAACGGCCCCCTACCTTCTTGTATTATGGTTTACATTAAATTCATCGGGTAAAGGAATGACTGAAAGCAGTATAAGCGTCCCTTATGCGAGGTCGCTCCCCCCTCTGGGATAGTTCCCTCGCCTTTCGTCACGAACTGCGTACTTTCCTTACGCTGCGTGGCCACCGATCCCCATTGATAATCATGCACCTCACCCACTTTTATCACTTTTCGATGCTTCAATCACTTAGCATTCAACTGTTGGCTCCGGATGTATTTCTATGGAATAAACATCCGATAGAAACTGGACAGAAACTGGATCCTTTGGATATAACCATGGTCTATGAATGCTTGCCTAGCCTCTGAAGAAGTGCTCTTCCACGTTCATCCAACTCCATCGCCTTGCGTGCCGTATACAATGGAAATCCTGCCGACAAGAGTCCATAGAGCATGAATCCCTCTTGCGTTACGTATTCCATACTTTGATATATCTTAATACTCAACTCGATACAGAAATTCCGGAGTTCTGCTGTGTTTTCCGGTGTAGTGACATCAAGCTTTTGCAACTCTGGGCATCGTGCTAGTAGGCTTTGGATGTGTGACAAGCAGATAATCTGGAAGGACCATAAATAAATGAAAACATTGGCTCCACTCAAGTCTTGAAACCACAACAAAGTCTTGTGACATTCACTAGCATTCTTGGGTGTTCGTTGCCAGTACAATGGCACTGAGGAGTCTGCACTGAATGAATCGCTCCATGTCTGAAGGTTTGATCTGATTTCCACTAGCTCGGCAAGAGCTTCCTTGGCGGCAACCATAGTCGTGTTGGGAGGCTCGTCTTTCAGTATATCAAACTTTTCCAAAACTCCGGGTATGGTTGCCGCCAGGCTGAGGAGGTTTTGTAACGGTGCAGCATGATGATGCTGAAAGGGCTTTTCAATCCAGTCTTCGTGCACGAGAAACGTTGCCTTGCGGAGGATGAAAGCTTTGAGGATCTGCAGGAAAGTCTAGTAAGTCAAAGAACAATGCGAGGCAGTTGATATTGCTCATGCCCCTGGTACTCACCAACAAGGGTCTGAACCCGATGAACAATGTGTGATGTACGTTGGTACTAAAGAACTCGGGTGATGACGACCGCATCAGCTCACTGACGCCATCTACATGCACGAGCCAACTGTGAGGGTTCGTTGGTGAGAGAACCTATCATGGTTGTCAGAGAACGTTAGTACGCCTTTCAACATAGAAGTGGAGTAATGAACCAGGAGAGCTTTTCAGAGGGGTAGGGAAGGGAGTGAACCAAGGCTCTCTACCTCTAACAGAGTAAGACACATCACTGTCGCAATCTGTTCGCTTTTATAAACCCGTCCAGCCTGTTGGAGATCACGCCGTAGTAGGCGAAGAGTATGCTCGTAGCCGGATGAAATGGGTCGAAACATCTCTTTACCGGTTCTGTAGGCCGTAATGGATAACGCCAAGACGTTGATCGCGGAGTCCAGACATTCTCCGAGGGCGCCAGTTGCGCCACGGGTGAGTTCGGGGAGGGCTGTAGCCCATGAACCACAGACCCGGGGAGAATTTGGGATGGCATTCGCAATGTCATGTTGAAGTTCGCTGTATGGGACGTAGTTGCGAAGGATTAAGAAGATCTTCTCTTGCAAGGTGCCCGATAAAGAAGGGCCGATTGACTGGTTGTACGACAAGGAAGGTAGTTGTTTCGCAAGGCTATCAGCCTGAGTAGTGATGATCTGAGCAGGAGTGAGTGCATATGTTGGCTGCAAAGCGAGAGGAGGCAGAGGACGTGCCGCACATTGCTGGGTCCGTTTCGATGACGGTGGAACATGTGAAATTTTTGGTGCTAGCATAGGAGGAGTCGAGACAAACGGTACAAACAGAATATCGGGATATCCTTCGCAGCGGCGATTGCTCGAAAGGCACTGGGAACATGCCGGATGCTTGCCGTCGCACTACAATAGGCATGCAAGAGTCAATGACAATGTTTCGGTGAAGTGACCCAACGAAATGCTTATTCGGCAAGGACAGAGCAAGTGAAGACTAACACGGAGCTTGCGTCTTCTACAAGTATGACACACATTCTTCTTTCGGACCTTCATCGCGCTTGATCAAGACGTCGAAGAAATAAGTCGTGTATGAGTGTAAATGGAAGCTTTACGAAGGCTCGAAATCTGGCACAGAGAACAACCAGTGGTGTTATTCCGGCTAGTACAGACAAGCGTCGCGATTGATAGCGCTAGTGCGGAGATCCCTCTTGCTTGAAAAATACCCGACTCAAATGCGGTGACGGATGAGGATGAGAGTTCGTGAAGGAGTGGAGTCGGCAATGCATTTCCTGAATTTCCGAGGACATTAATAAGGTAACTTTTGACTGGAGTTCGGGTTTTGCAGCTTCTTTGGGATTAGCGGCATTATGATTATGCTAAGTCGATTGTGGATCACCCCATGGCAAAATGCCCTTAAATTTATTATAGCCTCAGCCAGCAAACTTTGGAAAAAGATTTCTCGACTGAACGATTGATTTGTAAGGGGCCTGAATCAGCAAAGTAGTTATTATTTGAAATCGTGGCCTTAGTAATCAGGTGCTTGTCCTTGATACAAATGGATGGTACTATCCGCAGCATTAATGTCGGCCTTGCTTCTATACTGGTCGCTCTATATTGCTTTGTCACTTGACACCAGAATAACGTCGACTACTTCCTAAATATCCTTGAAAATAATTGCACTTACGCTTGCGGGCTCATAATCACAACCATGTCTACCTCTACGTTTAGAAACAGGGTGACTATCACGCATATCGGAACTGCCACAGCAATCATCGACATTGATGGCATCACCTTTCTGACCGACCCTTTTTTCTCTCCTGCCGGCAGTGAATGGCCCACAGTACACGATAAAGAGCCTCTCAAAGTCCATGTCGACCCTGCTCTAGGCATGAACGAGCTTCCACATATCGATGCCGTCCTTTTGAGTCACGAGAACCATCCTGATAACCTCGATGAGCTCGGCCGCCAGCTACTCGATGGACGTCATGTCGTCACCACATGTGATGGTGCAAAGAATCTTGCCCCCAGACCCAGCGTCCTCGGCTTCAAGGACTGGGAGGAGAGAGACGTCCTCATCGCCGGAAAGCGTTTCCATATTACCGCTACTCCTTGCAAGCACTGGCCCGGTCATGAGTGCGTCGGGTTCATTGTCCGCACGGAAGATTTTGGTGTTGCCCCCGACGGTCTCCCGAATGCCATCTACTTCACCGGCGACACCGTTTATGTCGAAGAGCTCGCTAAGATAGCCGATAAGTATCATATTGCGGTTGCCCTGATGAATCTCGGCAAAGCCACCTTTTACGAAGTCACCAGCGAGGGTCTACCCGGTCAACCAGGCGATGTCCTTCAGATCACTATGGATGGTCGCCAAGCTGCTCGCCTCTTCCAAGATATCAAGGCAGGTGTACTTGTGCCTATGCACTATGAGGCCTGGGACCATTTTAAGCAGCATGAGGAAGAGCTCTCGCAAGAATTTAAAGAGGAGGGTGTTTTGTCAAAGGTTCGCTGGCTTAAACCCGGCAAGCCTGTACAGATAAACTGAGAGACGTCGAGGGAGCACGTAAGGAAGTACATAGTAGGGGAGAGAGAAACTGCGAAGGCCCTCCTTCGGGTGTAAGTAGTTGTCACCAGCTCATGAATAGATTTCACCTGTTGTATTAAATTTCATATCACCGATACAAGGTCAGCACAGAAGCAGAGCCAAAATTGAATACATGTTCCACCGAGTGCAGTATCTGAGCTTTATTGACTACTGGACTGAAGGGAGAAGCTAAGGAGCTTCGATCATTCTACTAGCCGATGGTCGGCATATTAGGATAATCATGCAGCCACACATAGTTCCTACATGACCCCTGACCACGGAAATAATATCGTTCTGGGAAATTATTTGGCGTACGGCGTTGAGGACATCTTTCTTTACGCTTCGGTCAGCTTTGTATCAAATCGGGAATAGACGAGATAATACATCGTGTACAACAAGTGTCATAGCCAGAATTGTCCTAATACATTTACGAGGTCCTCGTGATTTAAAATATGTTCATTGTTGATACGACATCATCATATCCTCCTATTATTGATATAGCGGAAATGGTTAGTTACTTTAAATTTTCTTTCTACACTAATGCGAAACAGTGTGTATTACAAATCTAAATCCGTCTTTGTCATGAAAATGCTGGATTTTCTTCTTTTTCCCATTTGGTTCTTCAGGCGGATTTTGACACTAACCCTTGCTTATCAATGAGTTCGGTCGTGCAGAGAGCTTAAAATGGTTCGGGTTTTGCAACCTTATTAAGTTTAGATCTACAACAAGCTTGATTTGTTATGTCATGCAAATATACCCTAGCCTCATCTCGATATAAAAGAACATATAATGAAAATGTAAAAGGTACTTATATTTGATAGTATTCTTTTACAACTCGAGTCTTGGCAACGAACTCATCTTGCGCATCATCTGTCAACGGTTGAGCCAACCGACAAAGTAGCGATATGGATAACAATCAATTTGTCCACAATCAAGGGGAAAGCCTTCCATGCAAAATCAAATCAAGATCGGGGGAGGAAGAAAACAGGCACTCATCGACTTCTCGGCAAGACATCCCAGCGAATGAGGATTTGGAGATGACCATTGTCCCAAATCTGGCTTTGAGCGACACACTGCCTGGCGCAGTCGCACCTACTAGTGCAGCACCAGAAGGAGGCTGGAGAGCCTGGATGGCTGGTAAATAAACCATTCGCGAAACAGATCGAGCAACGCTGACACCCTTTGCTGCTAGTATTGGCATGTTTTTTTACTATTATGAATACGTGGTTCGTTATACCTTTGATATCCATAGCTGTTTCGTTTAAGCTAACAAAGGTGTAAAGGGGCTTGATCATATCTTTCGGTGTCTTTCAGACCTACTATGTCACGACTTTGCACCGCGCACGCTCTGAAATTGCATGGGTCGGCTCCATAGCCGTCTTTTTGCTCTTTTTCATGGGACTCATCAGCGGTCGTCTGACAGATGCCGGTTATTTTCACATCACAACAATCGTCGGCGCACTTCTCGTCGTGCTTGGGACATTCATGACCTCTCTAGGTCATACATATTGGCAGATCATCCTCGCGCAAGGACTGTGCACCGGCTTGGGGAACGGATTTCTTCTCACCCCGATGATGACCGTTATCGCCACGTACTTTAGGAGAAGACTCGCACTTGTCATGGGGATAGTAGCCTGTGGAAGCGTGACAGGAGGTCTTATCTACCCTAGCATGGCAAGAACGTTGCTGCCAACGATAGGTTTTGGATGGACAATGAGGACGATTGGCTTCGTACAATTGGGTACATTCGCTATTGCTTTGGCGAGTGGTAGGCCGATGCGCTCCCATAAGAAGTCAGGACCGATTGTGGATTGGTCTGTCTTTAAGGAGGTGGCATTTACCTTGTATCTCATTGGTTGTTTCTTGGTAAGTCTCATGCTCCTTACTAGTGTTTTCAAATTTCATTACTCAAGAGGTTTTCTTACAAATTCCAGGCTTACTTGGGTGTCTTCTTCCCGTTCTTTTTCCTGAGTTCGTATGCAAAGGAGATACGAGGGACTTCGTATACGGAATCTTTGAACCTCACGCTCGTTTTGAATGGCATTGGGTTTGTAGCCCGCCTGCTGCCTAGTCTTATTGCCAGGTATTTTGGCACCATGAATGTTTTCATAGCATTCTTGTTCGCATCTGCACTATGCATGTATACCTGGATCCCGGTTCATTCGACCCCTGGGCTATACATCTGGACCACATTTTACAGTTTGTCCGTGGGCGGAGTTCAATCTCTTTCCCTTGCCGTGGTGCCTATTATTAACCCAGATATTTCAAAGATAGGAGCACGGCTAGGGATAATTTCTGCTGCAACAGGAATCGGAGCCCTACTAGGATCACCGGTTTCAGGTGCGATTATTTCCGCAAATGGGGGCTCATACGCTGGTGCCCAAGTTTTCTCAGGGAGTACTTTAATTGCTGGAGGCTTTTTTGTACTTGCCGCACGGGATTTTAAGAGGCGACAGAAACAAGAGGGCTTGTGGATGAAACTATGAATATAGAAGTTATACTTTGTATATTGGACTGTAATATGCGGGAGAGCATGGCGAAATGAGACTAGGGATTTAGCATGATAATAGGAGTGAATTGCTTCATGAGTTGACTTACTAGATAGGACAGTGATTTTGAACAGCACTCCCGTGATGCCCAAGGGCCTGAGTCGTTCAGAATATAACATGACCTTAAATACAACAAAATACCATGCAAGGCCCTGGCCTGATACTGAAACCTTGCACCGCGCAGGCACCAGCAAGCACACAATAGTATCTTCCTAACATATAGTCGGCAGTTCAAGAAAATCAACGATGATCTTGCAATCAAACTCCGGATAGAGGGTTCACCTCCAACAATATAGTTATCAAGCATTGGTTATCTGTAAGTAAGACGGCCTGAGGGTTTATATGCTTCGAGACCTCTTTACAGAATGGCATTCGTGTTTCAGCTAGCGGGACAAGATGGTTTTAATACTCTTGGGCGGATACATGCCACGCCACAAACCCATCAGATCTAACACAAAGCGCTGCGCGAAGTTTAAATGTCAGATAGCGTCTATTACCAGAAAGTGTTACTGACGTATGATAGATCTTATGGTTGCCCTGTTCGTCAAGTTCTGACTCGAGGCATCTTGAATAACGCTCAGAACAAGGAAAGCCCAAGTATATACAAATAGCTAATAACTAGCAATCCTACTCAGTAATTGTGCTCCTACACATCGGCCGATATTCTTGCTACCAAAACACAAGGAGAAGTTCGTGCTCTCCAGCACACTACGCGTCCCCCGGCCCCAGTGTTAAACCAGCGATCCTCGCACACAACCTTTTCGACTATTTTCTCGAAGGCAGGTCTAATTGCGACACGATTAAATGATCGCTATCTTCGGTACAAAAGCTATGAGCGCTTTCCCCCGTCTCCGATAGTATCTGCACTCACCAACCCGGGGACCCATAATAACCGCACGTTCTTTTCGTCAACCCCGCTCGGCCGCGCTTACAGGTGATCCATTGCCGCCCTTGACCCATTAGCTATATTAAGGTACACTACCAAGACTTGCATCGTGCAAGCGTACAACCAGTCCATGGTTGGCATCAGAAAATGGATCCGATCCAAGTTGGATTCTACGGCTCACGGCAAAGGTCGGCGGCAAGGACAGGCTATGCGTGATGACCTGCCTTTCCTCCCCTTATCGCGCCCCCGAGGATTGACGCCCGTGCCGTCATCACAAGATATTGCCAATCGATCGCAATCATTTTACAATTATGGTCTCTTCAGACATTTGCCATATGAGCTGCGACGTCAGATCCTTATTAACGCGTTTGGTGGTCAGACGCTACATTTGGACCTGACCTACGCCCGACCACTGGTGCGAAAGTTAACGTCAATGGACCTTAGTAATGGGATTGAACGGGCGCATTATGGCTTGGGCTCTGAACTGGTTGTCAACATGTCGCGAAGCGAAGGCTGGCAGTGGTTCAGCTGTGTATGCCATCGGCGCTTGGGATACTCGGAGAGCGAGATAGATGAGAGGCATACTGCCAACAAGTTTTACCAGACAATAGAACCATGTGATGACCAGTGCTTAAAGGGTCTGATGTGCGATAATGGGCAATGTGGATCTGCATGCTTTGTGGGCACCATGGGATGGATCTTGGCTTGTCGACAAGCCTACGTCGACGGGATCGAGATTCTTTACAGTACGAACACGTTCCATATCTCCAGCATGGACATAGTATCCAACATACCACGACTTCTGCCTCATTCGCGCCTCAGCAGTATCACCTCTCTCGAGCTTCTGTGGCAGCTCAACAGCTTCCAGTTTAGCAAGGGCGCGATCGAGGACTTCATCGAGCCCTTGTGGAAAGACCCCACGAAACAAGACTCCATGTTGCATACTCTTTGCGCTATGATTCCAGACACATTCCCACACGTCCGGAGGCTCTACATCTCATTCCAGTGCGAACTCGTCCCACCGTCTGACATACGGGATAATGACAACATTTCGAAAGTAGAGTCCATATTTCTAGGTCCCGTGGAGCAGATGCTACGCATACTGGGCCCAGGACGAGGCAAGCAGTTCAACGTGGCAATACAACGAGGTGGCTGGTATACCATGCTTTGGAAATACTATACACTACTAGGAACTAGACTGAGAGCTGAGTCATCAGACGGTCTGATGCGCGGCAAATTCTGGAAATCGCTCTGCCCATCAGGCAACAATGACCAAGACGTTAGAGGCGACTATGGGTATTGGATCTGCGCAGGATGGTGGGATATGGATGCAATCACATATGATCACTGGATTATGAGTAACTGGGGATGCAAATGGGTTGGGCCGACAGACACCTTCTGAGGCAAAAATAAATTCGTCGTGGTAAGCCTACAAGCGGCAGAGGCGTCTGATATTATCCAAACGAGGCTAATACCAATGGCGTCAAAAGAGTTATTCTCACTGGCTGTAAGAAGCAATCAGTTTCATATGAGGTCATACTTGATATATTAATACTAAACTGAGCTAAGCTAGCTGGCGGTTGTGTGCAGAATGCACACGGGGACTCCATTGGCCAAAACGCAAGTTGCGCAATTCAATACATTTCACTATGGTGGAATGTAGACATATTAGACAAACTAGACCCGGATGATTATATTAGAGGATCGAACTTTCACCTAAGAAATTTCATCTAGAAAATCTTGTCCACAAACTCTTTCATATAATTACCCGAGTTTGTGAGTAGTTCTATCTCAACAGCGGATCTTAGCGTATAACTCGGTTGATGAGACTCTAACAGTCGATAAAAAAGATTTTAGGGCCCATACATACAATCGATATTACCTATTAGACTAGCTTATTTTAGAGATAGTCGCTGCTTAAAGAACCCAGATAATAACAGAGCGTCCGTCAAGATGACATGTATTAAAGACAGGATGGAAAATAAAAAATCCTGATGGTGTTCAGTAACCTGAAAAGTTCTCCAACGCCGCGCACAAGCGGACACTCTTCCGGGCGTTCGAATTGTGGTCGGTAGCTTTGCAATGAGCCTCTTGCTACTAACCGCAAGTTAAGAGGCAGATTGTCGTTAGCTCGTAAGGTAGTACTGAAGACCCTTCACTGTTGCGAATACCCTCTGGCAGATGGAGGTGTGTCACATAGGACAAACTTTGCTACTGGTGTGTATCTCGAAGAGCTACATGGCATGTTATGCCTCCATTTCACATGGCCACTACACTTCGCGACCCCAAACGACGGAATCTCAGAAGTTAGTACAGGCGAAATGACACTCAAGATATTGATATTCTTGTGTAGGGGTCAATCACATTGAGCGAAGCCCCGTGTGGTTGATGAAGGCTTTAACGGCCGTCGATGCGATGTGGCTCAGAAACTCAGCAACGACTGACACTGGGTCACACAGCCCTTCCTTCGTAGGCGACGAGTCTGGCTGCCTCGTTATATATCAGTCATTGGCCATCAGAGCGCTCAAGCTTTGAAATGTGCCACACGGCAGCCATTGGCTGCGGTGCATGCCAAAATCCAACCGCGTCGCGACTGTCTCGTCAAAAGTACACCACACTGCATTTTGACACTATTGAGATTGTAAGATTCAACCGGTTTTCTAATCGTCTGCATTATCTTCAAGCTCATAAACTTGGTATCGCTCACTAGAATTGTCTTCCGTGGCAGACAACGGCCTATCAACAACTGTCGGCAAACATTCAGAGGCTTTACGCAATAATATTTGCAAATGCTTGTCGCTGCCTCCGAGTGTCGTGCCCACGATACGAATGATCTCAGATAAGTAATTTCTTGGCCCAACCTCCAGCATTGACGGCTCTGAGAAGATCGGCTTGAGAGATAACACATCGGCCAGAGAACAACCAATGTCGAAGACCTTTTCCAAAATGCCCACTCCGTTTGCCTCCAACGCCTTTAGTGGCACAAGCTTCGATACGAGAATGACTTCGCGGGCGATGGTGATTGGATACCGGAAGGACATGCTCTCCTCATTGCTCAAGCTCGAAAGCATTGTGTTTGACACGCACAATTGCCATATCATAATCTTCAGCCACTCCCGTGAAATGAGCAAGTCCGCCAACTGGCTGTCCGTGCAACCGGATGTGGTGGGCAAGGTATACATGAGAATTCTCTGCATTCTGACCAATAGCTCAGCGGGCAACGTCGGTAACACTACGGAATGATTCCACAGAGCAAAAAAGTCGTTGTCGAAGGGCTCAAACAAAGCAATTAAGGCGAAGAATCCAGGGAGAATTTCTTTCTCGACCTCAGTTCCTTCGTAGGGTAGTGCGATGGTTTTTTCTAGTGTTGGTGCTCTGTGCCGTTGAATAGCATATGCACGTTCTGTAATGAATAACACCCAGAACATCCGACGCGAATAGGTGGATAGGATAGGATCATTCTGGAGCGACGATGCAAAGGTATCCTCTTCATGTAGGTCAAGAAGCTGAAGGAAAGTGATGGCCTCACGAAGATAAAACCAAGCTGAGTTGTCTTTTCCGAGGCAGAACAAGGCCGAGAAAAGGAAGAAGGATGTTTGGACCGTAATCAGCGAAGGTGCTTCAATGTAGTTGCACGAGCACCTGGCCCTGATAGTTTCTTCTATAAGAAAAGACGCACTTGGTGTTTCATGCGTTAGAGCATACGGTGACGGCGATGGCAGAAATGCCGATGGCGTTGATGTTGACAAGGGAGCAAGGAGCCCCGGCGACTGTACCATGACGGCGCAGCAAGCGACTATCATTCCATAGGTCTCCGGGTCCGAACCTAAATCTAGCAACGCGGCCTCTATGTGTTGGCGATTTAGGATCGGGTTGATTGGATATTTGTACTCGAAGAAGGCATCCAAACATAGTGTTGCGAATCTGGTCTCCACGAGCGGCGATCCTTGAAATGGGCTCGAATCTGGAGCAAAGACATGGCGGGTGCTTTGTGAAGAGTCTACCGAGCCAGCAACAGGCGATAAGGCCAATGAATAACCGGGCGCAGCGAAAGACGGTCCCTGCCCCGGTCGGCGAGGTCCTTTCGGGCCGGTTTTCTTATGCACGGCGAGGTAGGTACAATATAGATCTGCATTTGTGCAATTAGTGCAGGGGTGCGCCCCATTGCAGCGGATTTTTCGCGTTCGACAACAATCGCATGCCTGCCTCACCTTTCCCATCGGCATAATTGCATAATGAAAGCAAAGCCCCAAGCGAGGCAATGCTACTTCAGAACTAATTCCGTAGACCAAAGAGACGTGACAGTTTTGCGAATGCTCCACGAGTTAAAATGGCGCGCGCAGAGATGGGAGATACCGAAACGGAACGGAACGGAAATAGTTTGGGGCGTAGATTATGCGGGTGGCCGAACCCAAATAGTGCACCGGCTATCGATTAGCGAACCGTCGTATCTGCGAACGTCATAGCGTTGGCTCATTGCACGCATATGCAGTGGCAGAATTCACCAACATGCATTTGGCTGGTAAATATCTTCAAATCCTCTGACCATCTAATCAAGCTGCTTTTGAGTGCCATGGAACAACCACAAAGCCATAAATTCTAACAAACAGGGGCATTCAGAGCTGCATCTCCAAGATTTCAGTGGAGTCGTTTCTCTGCCAAGATTTCAATCCATTATCCACAATGTAATTGCTGCAGTTCCTTGCCGCTACGTTGTTGTTATAGACACAATGATTTCTTGATAGTTGTCAATACACCGCTTGTATATGATATGCATGTATTCATTAATTACTTATTAACGAAGATCGACTTCGATAGATTAAAAGCCCGTACTATTTACTCTCGGTTACGTAATATAATTAGCAACGTATACACGTCTATGCTTACAGCCTCTTTGGGCTCTTGTTCTGATAAGCTGCTGAAGATTCGCGTTGTTGGTCAGGGCTAACTCCATCGTTCCATGAATATTACAATCATTTTGTTAGCCTGACTCCTCGCTGTTACGATTTCAACGACCGCATTCAGTACTTGGAAGTGGCATTGAGCCTCCTCTAGCTCGGGGTCGATAATGAGTTAGATAACCCTCACGCAACCAATATCGCCGCACGATCTTCCTCCATTCGCTATGCTTTTTCATGGGAGTCAGAGTTTGGCGAAGTTACTTTTCAAGATGTCATAGGGGAGACAGGCAAAGATAAATATGGTTGTCAGAAGATTTTGTTTTGCGTAATGGAGGCTAAGCTTGATGGTCGCTATCACTTCTGCGTGGATAGGTACAGCAACAAAGAGAATTTCTAAGAGGTTTTGACAGCAATCAATTCATGTTCAGCTGGTAGTTAAGGTCAAAAGGTTACGCGCGTGCTGAGCAGATGTTAAGCGGAATAGCGATGTAGGGAGGATGAACGGTTCAAGAGCTCGTCGCTGTTAAATCCACCGAGTTTCTTTGTCATACATAGCCAGCGACTTAGCGATAAACGATCCATAGAACAAATAATCCGTGAAATCATACTTGGATTGCATGCATAATTTCCGTTTAGATTAGGCTAGTTGAACTGATTTGCCGAAAAGCGACTTGAATCTATCAGGTTAGCTGACCGTAACATACGAACCTTGCACCGCCTAAGCTGCCCCGAACGGAATCTTAGAGTCAAGTACAATCAAAATCAATGATGTCCGTACGTCTGATAGATCAACAACTTTGTACTGGCTGTGCCCAACTGGGAGATGAACTTCAATCTCGTCGCTGGTGGCGCAAGTACAAGTTCGTTTGCGGTGGAAATAGTGGGGGTTCATGCAATTTTCGCATAGCATTAGGTAGTAAGTCAACACCTATTACCACACGGAAAAGACGTATCGTTAAGCCTCTTCAGAATTTGATTCACTGAACATTCTTACGTGATTGTCAAAATAGTAACCAGCCCAAACCGGCGTAGCTTATTACTATCCGTGATTGAACTGCAGGATTTATCTCGTGATCACAATAACAGTGCAATTTGTTTTAATTAATTACATCAGGTATGTACAACCCAGAGACTCTACGTAATTGATGACTTACCCTAATCAACTATACAAGATGTGATGGAGAGGGGAAGGAAAGTGACAGAATTGCAGCTAACATCTCTTTCTGATTCCATCGGCCGTACTAAAAGAACAATACCTTGTGTTGTAGTATTTTCTCATCAAGAGACCTGCAGAGACCCTCCGTGTTTAGCTCCTGAGCCGGCTGGGAGTTGCAGGCACGAATTGACACAAGGTAACAGCGGCTTTTCCCGCAATTCAACGTGAATAGCGTGTTTGTTCCCAGATAAAAGGCTATTGGTTCCATCAAGCGGTCTCATGTCAATATCTACAACAGCATCTCATAGACTACATAAGCAAGACACCACCATTCGAGTGAACCACGCTTCCGCTACTGTTCCAATCCTTCATCAGATACACATAAGCCTCAGCGACATCCTGAGGTCGACCCATCTTCCCCGTGGTATGTCCTTGAGCAATGGCTTGCCAAGTTCCTTGTCGAATCTCAGCTGGCATCGGGTTCCAAATTTCCGTCATAGTAGCTCCAGGACTAACAACATTGACCCGAGTTGGCTTCAACTCGAGTGCTAATCCACGAGCCATGCCGGGAATAGCAGCTGCGTAAGCAGCGGGGAGAACCCAATTTCCCTGGGGCCTCTCTCCAACACTTCCTCCCGTCAAGGTGATTGAGGATTCATGTCCCGGTCTTAGGTGCTTGGCGCCGACTTTAGCGACGAGGAGTGGTGCCATGAAGCTTAGGCTACTAGCTTGACGGATGATATTGACGTTCAACCCAGATACAGGGACCATAGCGGGGGTCGTGGCGGCAGTGAAGATAATATGGTCGAGTGGGCCTTCAATACTCTGGAAGAGCTGTTCAAGCTTATCTTCCAAATCATCGGCATCGGACAGATCACAGGTTCGCCCTGTAACCGAGCCGGAAGGACAGAGATTCTTCAGACGCCCAATAGCTGAAGTGACCTTCTCGGGCTGCGACGAAACGATAATGACATGCGCTCCTTCGGATATGGAAGCTTGTGCCACGGCAAAGCCTATGCCACTAGTCCCACCAACGATAAGTACAACCCGTGCCAATAGCTTCTGTTCGTAGGAGCCACCCATGACGAGAGATGCTTAAGTGGATATCGAGCAGTACTAGCAGTAGATGAAGGACCAAATTGGTGTAAAATTGGTAAAGAGAGGAATATGGAGGAGACCGCGCCGTTTTCATGGGAATACAGTCCTTTTTATGCCTCGCCCGAACGCCTTAACATGCATGATCTATGACACACCCCTGCTAAGTCAGATTATTCCTCCACTACCTCAGAAAGGCTAGTTGTACATCATGCTAATTACGCCAGTCTTTTCTTAAATTGGTCGTAATTCGCGCCTAATATCAGAAATCCCAAATATTGTAGACTATGCAGCCCTTTGCCTCTGCACTCCTGCGGTTCAATCACATTTAGGTTGCGCTCCTGCACAATACCATCAACAACGCTACATAATCCACAATGTTGCCCAAACTGGATGCAGGAGACTGCATCTCAAGCACCGCCACCAGTAGCTTCTAGGAACAAGCGTTCCCGTTTCATACAGATAGCCAGGACGACCGTCAGAGCGCCTCCTGCCATTACTAGGACATACGCGTCATTTAAACTGTGAACGATGGCTTGCAGCACAGCAATTCGATCTGCACTGCTGAGACTTTCAAAAAACGAACTTCCAGCTCCCTGAACAGCACCATGAATCACGTCAAGCGGCGTGTCCGGAGCTACCTCCTGTATGCCCTGCACGGCCTTGTTGAGGAACACAGAAGTTGCGATAGAAAGCGCAAGGGTAATGCCCGTCATTTGAGCAAATCCTATGAAAGCGGTGGCTTCGGCTACGCGGCTAGCCGGGACCTTGGCTTGTGCGACCGAAAACGTAGCCTGTGAGTAACTTCCAGCACCGATGCCTATCAGAATTCCATAACCATAAATCTGGCTGGCACTGGAGTCAATGGTGATTGTGTACATGAGGGCAGAGCCTATGACAACGAGGATGCCACCACCCAGGAACCAGGGCATGTAGTAGCCGAACTTGCTCATGATGGCGCCATTCATAATGGTCGCGAAAACCATGAGGAAAACGAATGGAAGGAGGCGAACACCGGCTTGGAGAGCGCTATCGCCTCTGACAAACTGGAAAAAGAGCTATTTCATGGTATTAGCGAGTCGTTTCTTTTGTACCCTTCAGAATGGAACTTACCGGGATGAAGTAGATAGGAATAAAAGCGCACGAGATGGCAGCAGCTGTTTGCGCAAACAAGATGTCCAATTCCCAATTTCGCACCAAGTCGCCGGGAAAGAGACGGCGTTCGGGGGTGGTGAAAATGGAATAGCCTTGCTGCAGACTGAACAAAATCCAAAGAACAATTGCACAGACAAAGCACCCGATAATCTGCCCGCTGTTCCAGGCGTATACAGAACCACCAAAGCTAATAGCCATGACACCGGATACCTGAGCACCAATAATCAGGATGGTGCCGGCATAATCAATGTTGCTCGCTCGCTTCGATACACTAACGCCGGGCATCGGGTCATGGGAGGGCAACAGGAAGAAGTAGGCCGGCGCAGCGAGGGCACCGATGCAGAGATTGATGTAAAAGGCCCATCGCCATGTCGCCGAGCTGTCTGAGAAGGCACCGCCAATAATTGGACCAAGACTGTGAAGCAAATTAGTGTTGTTCGTCACAAGGGAAGGTGGCTAGCTCATCACTTACACAGTGCCACTACCCCAAGTGAACCCTATGAAACCTAGATATAATGGCCTTTCAATTGTCGATGTGCTGACAGATATCAAGTTCATCGCGCCCATGTAGATTCCTGTACCGCCAACACCGCATATAGCTCGACCAACGATGAAGGCGTTCATGGTTGGTGCAGCACCGCAGATGGCAGAGCCAATTTCGAAGAGGAGGACGGCGGCGATAAAGAGCTTCTTGCCATTGAATTGGCCAAAGAGCTTTCCCCTGTGGTTGAGAGTTAGCTCGATGCAAAAAAAATCTCTGATATTAGCGGGACTCACCATAGCAAATTCATGGCTACGCTACCAAGGGCGAAAGACACAGATACCCATGGCAGCTTTTCGATCTCGCCAAAACTTTCAAGGATCTTTGGTTGAACGAGAGCAACGATAGTATTGTCAAGAGCAAAGAGGAAGACAGAAGACAGGATGGCTGCGACGCAGATTCCCCAGACGATACCGCTTAACTTGCGTGGTGATTTGTCGTCGTGTAGAACGGGCATCTCCTCGGTATTTCCAGCATGAGTATGAACTTGATGGTCAGCTTCCTGGTGCTTCTCGTGAGTTAAGGAGGCTTCTTGTGCCTCCACACGATCAGAAGATTGGTTTGACATGCTGGACAGCGAAACGAATACAATGCTGCTGAGGCGTTGCTGCTGTGAGTGTAAATCCTCTCAGACTCATGAACTTTTGACTGAAGCGATCGAGGTAGATATTCTCTCACATTGTCCCTGTTGATTTAAATTCAAACTAGAAACGGGAGCATGGCCAAGGTGTGATCTTCTCAACCACGGGCGGGAACTAAGAGACTCTCTTCATTTCCACCATACCTACTGGCGTGTGGCTTGCATCCCCGGATGAACTTGGATCACGGATTCGTGCCGCGAAGGTGTGGGGTCACATTGGTGCTCGGACTTCGGTGGGTTTCCTTCATGAGGCGTTTGCAAGTTGTGGAAGTACGCAGGTACGTACTTTGCTGTGGCCAAGTATTGGGCCGGCAAAGCATTCGGAGTGGTGTAAGTGTTGAGGCGTCTGCAAAACGTGGGAGACATGTGTTACGGCATAACAATTCGGCCGGTTGGCGTTTTAATTGATCAAGACCTTTAGGTGGCGTTTTCTGCAGCACTTCAATGGTTCTCTCCCCTGTTTCCAATTAGCCCGGTACCGTGGGGCAAAACGCCATCAAACCCCCCCACGCCACCCGCCCATACACCCTGTAAGCCACCTCTCGGCTCGGGTATGCAGTACAATAGTACAAAGAAATTTATGTACCTTGGTACCATGTATGGTAGATACATGGTTACATGCATGTCAGATCTAGTAACTCCATGGGATTGAGAATGAAGGAATAGAAGAATCGGATAACATGAGGCAGTTAATGCTAAATACAAAGATTTTCCCGATACATAATGCTTGAATCATGAAGAACTCCTTATGATACCTGAAATTATGTCCAGTGGAATATGAAACCATTAAGAGAAATGGCTGCTTCGGATTTTCTCAAGAGGATAGTAACCGATATTCCTTATTCATTCAAAGATGTCGTGTCCTACTTTATTTTTGCCACAGCCGTCACGTTGATCCTTAGCTATGCCAAAAGCTGGTATAAGCTTCGCGATTTCAAGGGACCATGGGTAGCATCATTTTCGGAATTCTGGCTTTTCAGGAAAGCCATCACCGGAGAAATGCATCTTCATCTTGCCGATGTCTGCGCCCAATACGGTTCGCGATCCAGTCCAAAATTTGTCTAATGCCAAACATATACTGAAGTTAGAGATAGGCGATAGTTTGGTTCGTGTCGGACCGAATGAATTAGTTACTTCCGACCCGGAAATTGGACGCCATATGTCATCGACGAGGTTAAAGCATCAAAAGGCACAGTGGTATGCGAGCTTGAAAGTGGATCCCTATGTTGATAACATCTTTTCCGAACTTGACCCTGATAAACATGACAAGATACGGGCACAGATATCCTCAGCTGTAAGTGGTTACGTTTTCTGATTGGGTGTGGCAAGTCTCTAATATATCCAAGTTCACCTTGAAAGAAAACCCTCATCTTATGACTAAAATTGACGAGTCTATAAGCTTGTTTGTTGACTTGATAGAGCGCAAGTACATCTCTACCAGTACCGAGACAAAGCCCATGGACTTTGCGCTCGTCTCACAATACTTTAGCTTGGATGTGATCACCTCTATTGTCTTCGGGCATCCCTTTGGATACCTTGCTGAAGACAAGGACATCTATGGTTACGTGGGAACCATCAACCAGATGCTACCGTTTGTCAGTGTCTGTTCAGCCACACCTACGCTTGGCAGGCTCTTCAATATGAAGTGGATCCAAACACTCCTCGGGCCTAGCACGAAAGATAAGGACGGACCTGGAAAACTTATGGCGTACGTATCAAATAATATTGTTGCCAAGCCATGGTACTGATGAAAGACCCCTAGCATGGCACAACAGTATGTTGGTACTCGATTTGGCGCCGAGAAGGAGACCAAGGATGATATGCTTGGGTCTTTCCTATCACACGGAATGGCCAAGCGACAAGCGGAATCAGAAATTCTCACCCAAATGTACGTGTCTCGATTGCATTGATTACTCATGCTGATTATAGCAGCTTGGCGGGCTCAGATACGACATCTACAGCAGTCCGAGCTATCTTCCTCTTTATCATCACAAATCCCAATGTACATGCCAAGCTTTTGGCAGAGATTGATAGTGCCATCCAGGAGAATCAGATTTCAAATCCAATTACTGACGAGCAAGCTAAGAAACTTCAGTATCTGCAAGCTGTCATCAAGGAAGGCTTGCGCATCTGGCCACCTTTCACTGGAATGCTAATGAAGAAGGTCAACCCAGGAGGTGAAATGATCAAAGGACAATTTGTCCCGGGGGGTACAAGCATTGTAAGCCTATTATCTTCATGGAAGTATCTTCTTAGCATCTAATCATCATTTTAGGGTCACTGTGGTTGGGGAATGCAACGCGGGCCTGAGTTTGGACACGACGTGAATGTGTTTAGGCCAGAACGCTGGCTTGAGGCAGACGCGGAGCAAAAGATTCAAATGGAAAAGACAGTCGACATCATCTTCGGGTCGGGCCGATGGGCCTGTCTTGGTAAAATGATTGTCTATGTAGAGCTGAACAAGATCTTCGTCGAGGTTCGTCACTCCGAGAAACCTGTGGAAGATCTGCTTGATTGACACCTTATAGCTATTACGACGTTTCGAATTTGCGGTAGTTGACCCTGATAAGGTATGGAATAGTCGGAACTTTACCTTATTCCTTCAGAACAAGATGTGGCTCCGGATCACAAAGAGGAACAAGTGAGTTCAATATATCACGGAGATATCTTCCTTGATCCTCATATATGTATCCGTAAGATTATATATGTTGAAAATTGATATTGAAGACTTTTGGTTTTGTAAGATGGTGAAACAAATGCAATAGTGTGGACATACATATTTTAAGATTATTCGTTACTTTTAGAGCATCCGCCAATGGCCTGATGTTTAATAATAGGAATGTCAGGTGTAAATCCTAAACTTGATGGTAGAAGATGTAGATTAACGCCCATATATGAAATGAACCGTGCCGGTGTCATTTTGGATAACAGTGCAATGTGATCATTAATAGTCCTAGGTTAGAGACGTTACAGTAACCCAAAGTGCATAAGATATCTGTAAGACTGTAATCATGGACAAAATAAAGACATGCAGCCTTCCGCCTGCTATGAGTTCGCCATAGGAAAGGACACTTAATTATTTTATTTTTAGCTTATAATATATGAGACTTAAATACATCTTTACCCCTGCCAACGCATTCTAGAAAATAGACAATTGGAATATTTGCTATATACCGTCTCTTTCGCTAAATTGTATGCTCCAGCCTTTTCAGGCCGAACCATCTATAGAAAAGCCAGTCCTAATATTAGAAGATCTTAGCAAATACCAGCTGCGGATGCGAATAATACCTACAAATATGGTTCGAGGAAACAAACCATCTAGTAATCTAACGGCTGTGGTAGAATTTCCATGCCAAAACCAAGGAGGTGGGGATTTTTTCAAGATATTCTCAACAACCCCTTTGGCATAGGCGTCTGGTGTCATGGTATCTATCACAGAAATTAAGCGTCGGCAGCATAATTTTTGTTAAGGGGTGTCTCACCAGGGGTGCGATGAATATGAGCTTTGAACGTGTCGGCTATTGGCATAAACACAGAGTCTTACCCCAAGTTAGTTATAAGAGTTTTGAGCTATGACAAAAGTCTCACCTTCAGGAAGGGCCCGGTTGTCATGGACATCGCTTTTCAGGATATTCGTAGCGACCTCTCCAGATATGACATTCATCACGCGTACACTAAGGTTCCCCCGTTAAGATCCTATTGGTTTTATGCCAGCTAGGTACTCACCCGAAGGGCTTCATCTCGACTCTTAATGTGTTGCCATAGTGGTGAAGAGCAGCTTTTGAAGAGTTATATGATGCCCCAAACTGCATTATGCAACGTCAGTAAGGTCAACTGAATTTTTAGAGTAGATGAAATACCACATAAGGAGAGATTCCTCCTATTGAACCAATGTTCACGATGATACCTTTAGCAGAGATGATAGATCTATGGAAATGGTGAACCATGCGCATGGGTCCGAAGACGTTCACTGCGAACATCTTTTCGACAGCACGGACATCTGTATCTGCTGCTGTCATAGTATAACCTTTTAACACGTCAGTCTAGTTCTATGCCAGATCATTGGAGTAATTTGCATACAAATGCCACTGAAAATGTTGAATTAGCGAGGTTTCATGTGCAGAGTCAGTCTGGTAGAGCCGTACGCATTGTTGATCAAGACGTCTAATTTACCATCCGTGATGACTCCCACTCGCTTTACAACCGATTGCACCTGTTCTTCAGACGTGACATCCAAGTTTACGACTCGGATGGATGGGTGCTCAAGGTGTTGACGGTCCTCGTGTTCTAGCAATGTAGCGATAACGGTAAAGTTATTTGCAACGAGTTGTTGAGTCAAGGCATGACCGATCCCCCCTTGCCGCACCTGAAGCCATCACACCATTAGCCACAGCTGATTTCCATCTGATAATTCGATTGTCTTACCCAGTAATCAAGGCAAACTTCGCCGAGGTCATCCTGTTCTTCGAGTTGAACCAAGTTATCAATATTGGAGGACTTGCTATCGATCTACAAACTTCGGTGGGCTCCCATAGATTCAGTTGTTGAATATCATCCGCCACGGTCGGTACAACAATCATGCCGCTGATGGCATCGACATCAGCGAACGAAGCGCCACTTGAAGGTTTACACTCGGGTACAATGATGACAATCAATCCTTCGGCGGTACCCTGCAAGTTCTGTGGGGGATGCCTATGTAATCACCACATCTCTGGTAATTGAGAATTGAGAGATAAGGAGTTTGGTCCTTTTGCACATGCGGACAGGCATATGAGGTTGCAGTGTAGGCCTATCGGGCGTGCTGGGCATAACCTAAGGGTCTATCCTTTCATACTTAAGCGAGGATGAATCATTTGGGTCTCGTTGCACATGCTCATAGCATGTGGCGAAGCAGCTGCAAGCTTACCAGGCGCTGATTGAAGCGGAAGCTATCTTGGCACTTAAGCGAGCTGATAGTCTTGGTATCAGGGTATAATTGCTTACGAAGCACGAGATCGAGCTCCGTGGAGATCTGCAAGATCTTACAGAGCCTCAAGAAGACCGTAATCTTCATATTTCTGATACACCACGTAATACCCCTATACGCATCACGGGCAATAAACCTTGAAATACATGGGTATACGGGGCGGCCCATTAGTATCGAGAGCTCCGGGTCTGCAGCTAATCGTGTCATCCTTTCAATCCTTACAACACAGATGATTGGTTTAAGCTGGTTGTACCTTGTTCACGCATATAAGCGCTTTATGCACGACAAGGAAGCAATTTCAACCTATCAGTTCGTATGTACTTTCTAGAGCCCGCTCCATTCAAATTAAGTCCCTGACTTTCAAGTATGCACAGTCAACGTGGCCCCACCGTCGACAATCAGCCCTACGCCCGTCACGTAGCTGGATTTGTCACTACTCAAGAACATCACCACGTTCGACACATCTTCGGGGCTGGCTATGCGTCCGAGGGGCACAACGCTATCAATGTGGCTTTTGAGGGATTTATCGCCCTCGATGGCCCGATCTATCATGGGTGTGTCCACCCATGAAGGGCATACAGCATTTACCCGAATGCCGTATTTGGCGTTGTCAAGTGCTGAAGAAACTGCATTAGCAACATATACTACTAATTAATAACCTTGAACTGCATGAGCTTACCAGCATTGCGGGTCAGGCCAAGCACGGCATGCTTGGCAACAGTATACTGGGTAATGTAGGCTGTTGCCATAAACGAGTTACAGCTTCCTAAATTGATGATAGATCCTCGTCCAACATCTAGAGGCCCGGTTCGACCCTGGATGACGCGTCGTTCTTGGCCCTGCATTACTCTTGTAGCCGCTTTGACGCATAGGAATGTGCCCTTGACGTTCACGTTGTGGAATCTGTCAAGTTCATCGACAGACGAGCTTGCAATCTCTGCCGGGTTCTGAACGCCTATCTGCAAGACAATCAGTACAAGTAAAAGGAGACTTTCGAATAGTAGGGTGAGGGGAATTGACTTACACCTGCACTATTCACAAGATAGTCAAGCCTCCCGTATCTTTTAGTTGCGGCCGAGACCATGTCATTGACGCTCGTCTCGCTAGATACATCAACGTGAAAGGCGATAGCCTCAAAATCTTGGTGTATTGCAAGCTTTCGGCTTTCGTCGGCAGAAGATTGCGCCGCGTCGACGTCGATGTCAGCCACGATGATAGCTCTGACTCCTTCATATGCATAGGCAAGGGTGCAGTCACGGCCGATGCCACTGCCGCCTCCGGTTACGATAGCTACACCGCCAAGCATGTTGACTAAGGATTGTTGATACCGTTTTTGCAGGGTGTGAGGACCCTGAGACAAATTGGGGATGACATCTAGTGATATATTCCACCTCACCAATCAAGGTGAATAGGTTTAGTCCTCGGGCGGCCCTCCCAGCGCCACCGGGAAATATTGCGCCGAGTTTACTGACGCGTATGGTTCTAGAATGTATAGCCGCAGGCACAAACAAATGCATGTCAGCATTTGGTACATAATCCTTGCAAGGTCTCATTGCACGCGGGGCCAATGTATTGGATTCAATCATTGTCTTGAAATGTATTTCATCCACCGGCTGTCATGGAATCCATCCGGTGCTGCATGGAAGACTACATGATGATTATGCACATTCCGTATGTAAATTTGCATAGAAACTCTCCTTTACGGACTCTCTTGCACGACTGAACTAGGATAAAAGACTGGGTTATGTTTGAACCAATCAATTTCTGGAAATTCGCTAAAGATTTGGAGAAACTTGGGAGGGCCCCAAGAATCATTGTACTTGTACATGCATACCTACCCTGTGTGGGGTCCAACCCGTTTTGTTAGGTCAATCGTTTAAGAGTTAGCTTTTGCACGGAACTTGCCAATAACAACCACGCGCAAGCCTCGTGTTGAAACAGTAATATACTGAGAAATCCGTAGCGACTGTTCTTGCAACTTCAAATTAGGGTTTACAGAGATGTACTGGTAATTTGCATAAGAGTTGACTTCGTCTTACTCATTATGGAACGGCTTCAAATCGTGAAACAAGGTTCGTAAAACAAGCTATAAGTTTGAATGAAGCATGTCCCTCACAAAGCTACCATTAGACAATTGATAATCCGTCACATGTTTCATAACTATTCAAGTAATTGTAGTTCGAAGTTCAGATAAAACAAGTTGAACTGGCAGTTCGTATTCTTATACTCTGAGCTGCATTTATCTATTATCCATGCTCGTACTCGTAAGGAAACAACCCGCCGCTCTCCTGTAAAATATTGGTGAAATCATGATATTTCATAATCAGCATCTGTTACCCACAGAAACTTGAGATCCAGAATGATGAAACTAGAACTCAAGATCAAACTTCTGTTTAGCCCATTTTTCACTAAGTTCCCAGAGCTTCTTAGCCACATCCAAAGAGTTTGCGTGTTTCCCTGGCTGCGTGATCTGGCAGTCCATGAGATAAATAGCCTCCGTTTCTAAGTTATCATCGCTCTTTAGCTTAAGGGGTAAATTGTCGGTGTACATTAGCTAATAACTCACCATTGAGGGCGGGGTCAAAGGCTGCTACCAAAGTAGTTGCAGATCCCTGGTTTGGATTCTTGTTAAGCAAGCCACTTTTAACTATGCGCTGGACTTCTTCTTCATCGTAGTGGCGCCCGATGTTTGTGAGGATGCCTTTGTAACATATCAGCAGGATGGTCTCGTCAAGAAGGGAATACTCTTGACACACCTCCAGGGTTGAGAGCAACAGCAGTGACCCCACGTTGGCGAAGGTGGTGTTTGATGTAAAGGCAGAACAAGATGTTTGCAGCTTTGGACTGGCCATAGGCTGCTTCAGGGATGTAGACTTTATCGCAGTTGATGCCCATCTTTGACATCAACGCAACGTTCGGAAGTTCCTCAGGTGGGAGTTCGTTTGTGGTGAAGTTGATATCCGAAAACCGAATTGGTGAGAAGTTATGCCAGTTACCAGTTAGGTTGACGACTCTGGTGGCTCCCGGTTCATTGTGCTTAGCAGCAACCAGGAGCTTCGGCATGAGCAAATTGGTCAACAGGAAATGGCCTAGGTGATTGACAGCAAATTGGATCTCGTAGCCGTCTTCAGAAAGTGTGCGCTCCTGAACAGACATGACACCAGCATTGTTGATCAGGATATCAAGATGATGGATAACCCCGTTGATTTCGTCGGCTGCTTCTCGTATAGACGTCTGAGAGGAGAGGTCAAGCCGAATGACTTTAGAAACAAGCTCCGGAAATTGTTTATGCAGTTTATTGGCTACAGCCTCAGCTTTGGCCGCGTCTCTGGCTGCCAGGATCAAGAGCTCGGGCTTCTGCGATGCAATAGCAAGAGCTGTCGCCTCGCCCAATCCTCCGGGGCTTACGCCAGTGATGAGAACTTCAAAAATTTAGCAATGCAAAGAGGTTTACAAAAAAAAAAAAACTTACCAGTCTTTCCTGAGATGTTCTTCGAGAGTGCGACAGAAACCTCTGTGGCCGTGGTTTCTTTACCGAAGTCGGGATTTGAAGTAACCGACATGATACCTTCTTGTTCGCTAAACTCGTGTGGGAATTGTAAATATCTATTGAACTAGCAGCACAGGATGAGAAGTAAAAATGCTAGACACGGAGCGAGCTTTTATTGGGTTTAATAGTTGTTATGTATAATAGGAAACATCTGCTTGTTATTGCGTTCTTGGCGTTCTTGAAGCTTTATTCACTTATCGGGGTAATCGCTAATTGATTTAAGGTACTGGTACATGGGGCTAGCTGCTTCTACGTTTAAAACTGTACAGTTGATACATATAAAAGACTACCCATCAGCCAGGTTGCCAGCCTTACGACACAACATAATCAAACTATTTTCTTCATATCTTAGGGAACTTTTGAGCTCCACCCTAGATTCCCGCAACATGACAACCTCTGGTGATATTACCGGCTTTCCAGCTCCTGGACTTCGTGATCCTTTCCGTTATGTTACAGGCCACGACGGAAGCGGCAACTCAATTTTTGTTCAGGTGTGTTTGTATGCTGTGACGATCCTGTTTCCTGACTCTCACACATATTTCTAGACCGACCATGGAGATCACCGAGCTATCATGGTCGAAGGCGCTGCTGCTCAAGCCATTTTTTATAGCACTGGAGAAAATCCAGTGGAGGTCAATGGCAATACTGATATGGAATTTGTAAAAACGAGGGTATGAGTATCAACTGATAAGCTCCAAAACCACCTTCTCACTTGTGTCCAGCCGTCTCTACATATCCCAAACGGATGCGTGGTCCGAATGATTGACTTCGCTCCTGGTGTTGAATCTAACCTTCACCGAGCTTTGTGTATAGGCATCGGTACGGTTTGCGAAGGGGAAATGGAGTTGAGTCTGGACAGTGGGGAGAAGCGCATCATGCACCCAGGGGACGTGTCTGTCAACCGCGGTGCAATGCATCGCTGGCGAAACGTCTCCAAAGATAAGCCAGCACGTATGCTCTATGTGCTGCTTGATGTTAAGCCGATCATTGTGAACGGAAAGGCCCTAGAGTTCGATCTAGGCTACCTTGAGCATGAATATGCTGATTATGAGGGGGCTGAGGACGGAACCGAGAAGGTCAATGAGACGTAGATCTTGGGAGTTTCAATGGACCCGAAACATAGTAGCATGGGGTTGTATGTTAGTAACTTAGTTGGCTATATCATTAAACTTGCTATCAGACCAGGTAATGAATCTATATGCAGCTTATTAAACTGAATGCGCGGGACTTATGAACTGCATTTCTCCCATGCGCCTGCTCTAACAGCCATTTAGATACATCCATGCAACCATCAAAAGTATGGAATGTAGCACTGCATATTATGGCACATCCTAGATCGCACCCCTGGTGTCCAAGCTCTAGATAATCAAGTGGATGTAACGTAAGACCATTGCTTATTCTAGGATGAGGTAAGAATGTAGGGTTATCTTCCAGGGTGTCGAATCCTTCCGCAGCTAGTCAAATAGTATGCATGGTGTGCAGGATAGAATACCGATAGATGTGTGCAAGGCTGGCGCCGGTTAACGGTATGACTGATAAAGAATTGTCTCATAATAAGCGGATGAATGACCTTCTGCCTGAAGGATCTGTGTACCCCCATGGAGTCATGCAGGAGGGATCTTAATGCACCCAAATATGCGCTGGTTCTGTATCTCTGGCCCTTGATGACACCATAGGTCGTTAGCGACCCTGCAGGATACCTATCTGATAACAGGACATTATGTACATGAATATAGACGGGTCTGGATCATCATACACTAGTATAGGACTATTCGCACGCCACGAAAGATGATCTATGCAGGATTATACGGACCATAGAAGCGAGATGATTTTTGTTGGCTCTTCAAAAATACTAACCAACTTGAGGATCGCGTAAAATCGCTAAGCACCTCAACCACATGTACGATAACTAGGTATTACACAACTCATTCCGTAGTAGCGGCCAGACTAGTCAGTAATAACATGGGCATCTAAAGCCGAGACCGATAGACATTCCTGCCTCTCTTGTAGATATAAGATGGAATCGGCTGTCTCATAAAGTTGAGTAGCTCTCGAGAATACCTTGCATGTCTGCAATCAACTGTAACTTTCTCTTCTACGGCCTGACTTTGAAGATTTCTTTGAGGGGAAGTTGATCCCTCTAAAATACCACAAACATGGCCCCACACAGTACCGTAGACTATGAGGCATCTCACCCAAATGGGTACCACAATGGCATCAATGGCACGAATGGCGTCAATGGTGGTTCACCACACGTAACCAATGGAGTTAATGGGCATGCCCATCCCACAGCAGCTCTGTCACCCGAACCTATTGCAATCATTGGAATCGGTATGTTAACTTTTCTGATATTCATCTTTGACCAGAGAATTTCTGATACTGACCTATTGGTTATTAGGATGTCGTCTCCCAGGAGGCTGCGACTCTAGCACGACGCTATGGGACCTCTTAGCGTCTGGGAGGTCCGCCCAAGGTCCAATTCCAAATTCCAGATTCAACGTCGATGGTTTTTACCATCCTAATGTAGATCGTCCTGGTAGTATGAACACCACGGGCGGATACTTCATTGATGAAGACATTCGTGGCTTCGAAAACTCATTTTTTGGAATCAATAACCTAGAGGCCATGTACATGGACCCACAGCAAAGAAAACTTCTGGAGGTTGTCTTTGAATGTCTCGAAAACGCAGGTGTCACATTGGAGCAGGCTTCTGGGGCAAATATTGGCTGCTATGTCGGAAACTTTGTTACCGACTTCATCACTATGCAGCTTAAGGACCCGGAATACGTCCATCGCTATACTGCGACGGGTCTCGGAACGACAATCCTAGCTAATCGAATTAGTCATGCGTTCAACTTAAAGGGTCCCAGGTATGGTCCTCAATACCAAGGGTTTTGAGATGGAGTGCTGATATATCCATATAGTTTCGTTCTTGACACAGCCTGTTCCTCGTCTCTCTACTGCTTACATGTGGCCTGCTCAGCCCTTTGGGCTGGAGAGTGTACTTCTGCACTTGTAGCTGGGGCCAATCTTATTCAGTCTCCAGATCAACATCTGGGTACGATGAAGGCTGGAGTTTTATCCAAAACGTCTACTTGCCATACTTTTGACTCTTCAGCCGATGGATACGGTAGAGCAGAAGGCGTCGGAGTTTTATTAGTTAAAAAACTCAGCGATGCAATCAGAGATGGCGACACAATTCGCTCCGTTATACGTGGAACCGCTATTAACAGGTAAATTGCCACGTCGTATGTGACTGTTCTAGGTGATACTAAATACATAATAGCAATGGAAAAACAAACGGCATAACACTCCCTAGCGCAGATGGCCAGGAAGCTGTGATACGAAAGGCCTACGACCAAGCGGGCCTTGATTACTATGGGACTCAATATGTTGAGTGCCACGGAACAGGTAACAGCCCAGCACCTCATAAAAACACGAAACACAACTTACAACGTATTAGGTACTGCTGTTGGAGACCCTATCGAAGTCGAGGCATTGTCACGAGTTTTCCAGAGGCCGAAAGGCTCACCACTGCTCATTGGCTCAGTAAGTTGAATGAAATTGCAGGCATAATCTTGCGAATAGTATAGTTTACACAAACCACTCATTATTTCATCTACACTTCTTGAATTTGCTAATTTGCTTTATTGTTATTATTAAGGTCAAGACCAACTTGGGCCACAGCGAGGCTGCGAGTGGTATCTCAAGTATTATCAAGGTCACACTTGCTTTGGAGAAGGGTCAAATCCCACCTACGGTCGGTGTAAAACAGATCAACCCAAAAATCAAAACCGATGATTGGAATGTCAAGATCGTTACTGAGACTGCGGAATGGCCGTGGAATAAGCATGACCCGAGAAGGTCTTTCAGAAGAGCGAGTATCAACTCATTCGGTTATGGAGGTGCCAATGCACACTGTATCATAGAGTCAGCCGAGATGCACGTTCCGAGAGGCTACAAGAACTCTTCAGAAGCGATACCGCTAGCCAGGACCACGATGCTGTTGCCGTTCTCGGCAACAAATATTGAGGCGCTTAAGCACAGGGTCACCGATCTGGCCAAAGTTCTGGACAGCCGTGTCATCAGTACTGCTGATGCTGCCTACACTTTGGGAACCAAGCGATCGCATCTTCCAGTCCGTGGTTTTCTGCTTGCCGGCCACACTTTACACAAGGATCTGAGTATTGATAACTTACGATTACCCATCGAAGGCAAGTCGTACTCAAAGTTTCCTTTGGCATTTGTCTTCACTGGTCAGGGTGCTCAATGGGCTCAAATGGGTTTCGAGCTTATGGAAGAGTTTCCCAGTTTTCGAAGGAGCATACAACGGCTAGATTCGGCCCTCCAAACGCTGCCCCATGCACCAACATGGACTCTGCAGGGTGCTATTCTCGAGCCTGCAGAGACAAGCACGATCAATCAAGCTTCGAGAAGTCAACCTGTGTGCACTGCTATACAGATCGCCTTGATCCAACTACTGGCACAATGGGGCATTCACCCTTCCACAGTCTTAGGTCATTCGTCAGGAGAGATAGCCGCTGCCTATGCCGCTGGTCATATATCATCAGAACAGGCGATCGCGTTTGCTTACTATCGCGGATATGTGGTGGCTAAGAGCAAGATGGTTGGAGCGATGATGGCGGCCGGGTTAGGTCAAGCCGAAGCTACGGCCAAGATTGAAGAACTTGGCCTATCTACGAAGATCAGAGTCGCTTGTGTTAATTCACCAAGCAGTACTACCATCAGCGGAGACGTTGATGGCATCAACCTGTTCAAGGAGGCTCTGGATAGCAATGGTACATTTGCGAGGCTCCTGAAGACTGACGGCAAAGCATATCATTCTCATCACATGACAGTGGTTGGCGATGAGTACGAAAACCTTTTGGAATCAGCTATGCTCCACTTGGAAGACGGACCTTTGTTACGGTCCGATGTTCGGTTTATCTCCTCCGTCACTGGCAATGTGTTTCATGACTCGTTTGGTCCAGATTACTGGAGGCGAAACCTTGAGTCGCCTGTCTTGTTCAGCAGCGCAGTTGAGCAGACTATCAAGATCGGGTCATATCATATGGTAGAGATTGGACCTCACTCTGCACTGGAACTTCCCATCAAGCAGATTAGGTCACACTTGAACATTAATGAGAGCAAGGCCCATTATGGTTCTGTTCTATCTCGCGGGAAGAACTCCATCACTACCGTCTTAAATCTCATTGGCGATTTATATCTCCATGGACACGAGATTTCGTTCAAGTCAGTGAACTTTATCGACTCGTCTATCCCGAAACGTAAAGTATCGGGATATCAAGGTACCTTCCTTAACGACCTGCCCAATTACCGGTGGAATTACGACGATGTGGTTTTCAACGAGCCTCGAGCCAGTGTTGAGTGGAGGACCCGCAAGCACAAGAGACATGACCTCCTTGGATCTATGGTTCTGGGCGACGGTGGTCTTATCAAGACATGGCGAAACATCCTGAAATCGAAGGATGTCCCATGGATTGAGGGGCATAAGCTGGATCATACTACAGTTTTTCCTGCTGCGGGATATATAGCCATGGCCATCGAGGCTATATCCCAAATAACGCAAAACACGTCTCCGAGCAAGCCAGGCTTCATAATTCGCGATGTTAAAATCTTGAAGGCATTTCCATTGCCACAGGAGGAAAACAGTCCCGGCACAGAGCTTTTTACTACTCTCCACCCTGTTGAGTCAGAGACCGGGACATGGCATCAATTCACTATTAGTACGTTCGATCTAGGTCAAGCGACTATCCATTCAAGTGGCCTAATTAAGCTCGACGAGGCAACAACATCGATCAAGCGGAGCCTAGGAGTCGACGAGAAACTCATGGAGCCCTCCGCCCCTCGAACCTGGTACAAGAGATTCACCAAAGCCGGACTCAACTACCAAGACAAGTTCCAATGTCTCACAGAGATCCAGTGCCATGGGAAGAGAGAGTTGATGCACACGCACGCCAAGACAGGCTTGCTCCAAGGGGGTGGCGAAGGCCTGACGTCGGAGTCAGACTATGTTATTCACCCTGTCACTATTGATGGACTTCTCCAAGCTGGAATCATTGCCAGCACTGCCGGTCAGGTCAATAAACTCGACGCCAAAGTCCCAGTTCAGATCGAGCAGATCAGGATACACAGCCCGACAGTCCGTAGTGGAGAAACAATGAGTGTCGACGCAATCTCAGTCCCTATGGGGTTTGGAACTATCAAGATCTCAGCTGAGCTCTACAATGACGTCGGCCAAGTTTTCATGCAGATTGATCAGTGCCGTGCGGTTGTCTACAATAGTGGTACGCAGCAAGCTCCTGAAGATGAAAGACACCCTATGCTTCGGGTGCTGTGGAAACCGGATATCACAACCTTTGCGAGTGAAGATCAAATCACCTTCTCGAATTTTATCCAGAAGTTTGCTTCCACTTTTAAAGTGCAGGGTGGGCAGCCAGGCGAGATTGGTATCGCCGCTGCCTTAGATCTAATCTGCCACAAAGATCCCAAGTTGCACGTCCTTAACCTTTGGCCCGAAGCTGATGACTTCCTCACTGAGCTTTTGCGATTGGAAACTCCATTCCGAAGGAGCAAAGGCTACACTAGTGGGTTTATCAATGAAGAGGGAGAGGTATTTTCACAGGTAGCACCCTCTTCTGGAGAGGCAGTGAAACCACTCCCGATCCCCAAGGATCAAGCCTTCAACGTCATAATAATGTCACCGGTAAGTCCTGATGGAGATGGCTTACTTGCGCAACTTCACTAAACTATGCATAGACTAGCAAAAGCTCAACGGCTCCACGCCCTTTCGACAAGGTCGTGTCCTTGCTTGCTGATAAAGGCACTATCCTTTTGAATGGCACTGTTCCTGAGTCTGAACGTTTTGGAGGCCGAAAGTTTACAACACTTCAATCTCAAAATGTAGCTGACCAAAACGTCACATTGGTGCAGCTTCAAGAAGAGTCGAGTAGCACGACTAATGACTCCGAAAGAGACGTTTTCTTGGTGAGTACATACAGCGCATGCCTAGCCTTCAGAGCGCACTTTTCTAACTTATCGTTCTCGATGTAGGTTGAACGCGATCCAGATCATGAGCTGAACACGCAACTTGCTCTTGACGTATCTCGATACACCGGGCGTCCAGTTCACCGCATTTCTCTGGACAAGGTAACTCCAGCGGCCCTTGGACCTCGGGCCACCGTGATAGCCACGGTTGAATTACAAGAAGCCCTCCTCTCCAATATGAGCAGCGAGGAGATGGCCCTCGTCAAAAACCTGACGGATAATGCATCCGTTCTTATTTGGCTCACTGGCGGCGGGCTCTTCGCGGGTGCCAAGCCAGAATTTGCTGTCGTATATGGATTAAGCCGGGCCCTGATGCTTGAGCAGCCATCGTTGCGGTTCTTCACCATCGATGTTGATCCGAAGAATATCGACCTGAAGTCAACAGGCAGGAACGTCGTCAAGGTCTTACAACAAGTTTTGGAAAGTCCAGCCCCAGACTTCGAGTTTATACAAGATTCCGGAGCACTACACATCAGTCGTTTTGTACCAGATGAGACATCGAATCGAACTTTCCGAAGGAAACAAGGTCTCGAGAGCCTTCATGCACCCCTAGCTGAAGTAAAACCGGGCAATTTCATCATTGGAGCTCCTGGTCAACTCGACTCTATTCTCTTTGAGAGTGAGCAACGTGACGAGGGAGATCTCCCATCCGGCCACGTTAAAGTAGATGTCAAGGCCGTCGGATTGACACCTCAGGTGCGTTCACTAGACACAATTTACAGGTTGAATGCTAATATTGGTACAGGATTTGGACGTCTTCACTGGTGACTCTAAAGTGGCTGGAACGTCTAGCTCATCTCAGTTCACTGGCGTTGTTACTGCCATTGGAACAAATGTTACTAGTTTGGCGCCCGGCGATCGCGTTGTGGTCCTGGCCCCGGGGCGTTTCGCAACAACTGAGCAAGTGCCAGACTGGGCGTGTCAAAAGCTTGTAGAAGGTGAAGATCTTACGGTAAGTGAAATTTTGAGCCGGTAGACTGGTTACTAACATGTTTAAGATCGTGTCAAGCATCCCCGTTCCATTTATCACCGCTTTATATGCGATTCACCACCAAGCACATCTAGAAAATGGAGACTCTGTTCTCATCTCTTGCGGCACAGAATTGGCGGGTGTGATTGCAATTCGTATCGCACAGAAGGTCGGTGCTGAAGTCTTCGTTGTTGCTCCTGAAAACTTGAAGGCAGACCTGGTCAGCCTACATGGGCTGTCACCCGACAACGTCTTCGAAACTGGGGACGCTGCCGTTCTTGAGAAGGTACTCCGCAAGACAGACGGCAATGGCGTTGATGCAGTCCTAGATTTCAATTCTCGGCAGCCTTTCCCAGACAGTTTGACTTTATCCGCTGGATTTGGCCGCCTGGTACGAATTGGGCAGAAGGCTAATACGAGCAACTTGTCTGCCACCTCCAATGCAAGTCACAAGAACGTCGCAATCTTCAATCTAGATATAGCATACCTTCTTGGCATTAAGTCTTCCGCAGGAAGAAAAGTCCTCCAAAGGTAGATTCCCCTGGAACTACCGTTGGCCTAATCCTCTCCCCGTTCACTGACATGCGTGCAGGCTATTTGCAGACGCCATCGCCCTATACCGCGAAGATAACTTGCACCTCGATGAGAACTTACAAATCTTCAATGTTGACCGAGTAGCGGACGCGTTCCGTAGTGTTGCATCCAAATCTGCCGGTGGCGTGGTAGTGTCGTTCCAGGTCGAAACATCGGTAGTCAAGACGATCCCCCTCAAGTACACCACCAACCTCAGCCCCGACAAGGTATACATCATGGTCGGTTGTCTTGGTGGCCTCGGTCGAAGCATCAGTAAGTGGATGGTCAAGCGAGGCGCTAGAAAGTTCGTTTTCATGGGCCGCACCGGCACAGATCGAGCCCCGGCCCGACGACTAGTCGATGACTTGAGCCGCTCTGGTGCGAAGGTGACTGTCATTCGTGGCGACGTAGTCAATTACGCAGACGTTGATAAAGCCATCAAGGCTGCGGACGGCCCTATAGGTGGTGTCATTCAGGCTGCAATGGGACTTGATGTGAGTACTCCTTTGCACACCCAGACGTATTTGAAAGATTGCTGACTAGTTTCGCAGGAGGCTCTATTTACGACCATGTCAAGTGAATACTGGCACACAGGTCTGGCACCGAAGCTAACTGGTACTTGGAACCTACACAACGCCCTTCATGGCCAAGAGTCCGAATTAGACTTCTTCTTGATGACGTCCTCAGTCTCTGGCAGCGTCGGCACAGCAACAGAGGGCAACTACTGCAGTGCCAATTACTTCCTTGATGTCTTTGCCCGTTACCGTCGCCATCTTGGTTTGTCTGCTATTTCCGTCGGGTTGGGGATGATCTCCGAGGTCGGCTACCTACACGAGAACCCAGAAATCGAAGCCCTTCTCATCCGGAAAGGTATCCAGGCCATCAACGAAGACGAGATGCTGCAGATAATTGATGTCTCTATCTCATCTAAGTGGACTCCATTGGACGACTATGACTCGTTGGCCCATGCTCACGTCCTCACTGGCTTGGAGCCACTAGGGCTCAAGGAGCTGCGGGCAAAGGGTTTCGAGGGTACCAGTCCCGTCATGGGCGACCCACGTGCATCTCTCCTTTCTGCTGCTATTGATGACCAGGATGACGGATCCAACAACGCTGCCAACAGTGGATTGCCGGCAGAAGTAGCTCAAGCACTGGAATCTGGAGAGTCCCTTGAAAACGCCGTGCTCAAGGCTCTAGGCAAGAAGTTCTCGAACCTTGTTCTTGTGGCCGCGGATAAGTTGGATACTACCAAGCCGATTAACGACATCGGAGTTGATAGTATGCTGGCTGCCGAGTTCCGAGGGTGGTTATTCCAGATTTTCCAAGTGGATGTTCCTTTCTTGACCTTACTCTCGAACACTACCACACTGCTCTCACTTGCAGAACTAGTGACTAAAAGTATAGAGACGGCTTGAACCAAAGATTGATTTTTTGATACTTAGAGTCTACTAACTTAAAATGGCAGTCGGCATTTGACTTAGTCACTGTCTGACGGCTGATCAGATGAGACCAATTGGATAAAGATTACCAGGTTAGCTAGATAGCTTTCTATCATACTTACGGTGCTCTAATAATGCCAGCCCCATACTCAACATTTGACCTGTTTCTTCGAATTCTAAATAAATATCATCGATGATTGCTTCACAGTCCATGACAGTATCTATGTCATAATTCTATCGAAATTTACAAACTTGCAATTCGACGTTGTTCATCAGTACATACATCGTATTTAATATGTTAAGAGTAGCAAGGGTCTTAAGACATTTAAATATCGCATGTATAAATTACATAGCTCGATCACTTGATCTGAGTTGGAAAGTGATAAGATGCCGAAGCTATCTAGGTATAGACTTTGGTCTCAACTTAAGGTATCTTCTGGCTTTGAACCACTAAAGTGACAAGCGACTAAGAGGAAGCTGACTGCTCGTTTTTGAAGCTAATGTTAACAAAATCCTTCATTTTTGTGCTCGATTGATGCCGAGTGGTTCTACATGAGGGCAACAAATTGGGTCACCTTGGCCGAAAAAACGACTGTTCCACCCTATCGTTATAGATATCAAAGAAAAATACATGAGAAGAACCTTCCTCCCAATTTCATTCGGCTTGATGAGAAAGCCACCCGATCCACCGAAACATGTTTCGCGATATTGACCACACGCTAATGTATCAGCTGTGCTACGCTCCCACCTAGCACAACTTATTCGACGGCCATAAAACGGAGAATTTCCGAAGATTGGTATGGCGATGCAAAAGAATGCGACAGAATGTGTTCCTCCGCAGGGCTCGCGAATTCTATGATCACTAGAATATGTATTTCAACGTTGATAGACACGTCACGTATGATGATCAATAGTAGTATATTGATATGGAGTGAGATGAGGACCAGAGCTATTATCTATTCCACTAAAAGCTACCTAGAATGGTTGCCCTAGGTGTGTACCTGAGGCATCCATCAATTATTCCCCTTCTATGGTCGACCCTTGCACTCACGTATGACTAGGGTAATGGCTAGACATTCGCTGTGACACTAGAAAGGAAGTAAGATCCACGGCATATCGTTGCTGGAACGGTACTAGGTTATACCTTATCTACTGCCCATCCAAGTGAGACGATGGCGATGGTCATGATGTTTATAAGCATGACTCCCGTTGTGCAGAGCCGAAAGGGAAACTAATCGTAGGGCTCATGGCCATATTCAAATCATTCTGATTTAATGCAACATGAACAAAACTGTGGTTCTGCCTGAAATTTGTCGCAAGAACTATAAGTTCTGCACAGTAAAAAGAAACGCCAGGAATAGTGTTAAACTATGGAGAGCCTTCTTCCTTCAAGGCAATCAAACGGAACGAGCTCCACTGATACCATTAATAGGTGTATTCAAAAGATATGCGTATATGCCTTCTAGAAATCCTTTTGCATTCTCGGAGAATGACACTCCATCTGTATTCGCATTTGCGATGTTTCCAGGATCTTATAGTCAGCATTAGGTTGTGAGACTCTACGGTTTGCGCGGCGCTCCAGGAGGAATGTTGCACTGCTAAAGGTCAAAGTTAGAAGTTGTCATCATCCAGTATGACGAAAGAGATAATTCTCTTCAATTGACTAATAACGCTCAAGAACCCACTGCCTCCTCTCCTCCGCCTCCATAGGCTCTAGCACGCCAAGCTCGGCGGTCTTGACATCGACATACCTCTGCACGAACTCCCGGCCCAACCAACCGACCAGCTCCGTGTCCTTCTGTAAGATCTGTAACGCCTCTCTCAAGTCCTTGGGTAGCATGGTCGTGATGCCCAACTCCCTCCTCTCGTCCTCGCTCAACTTGGCTGGGTCTCCCTGATAGTCACTCCACCTCAGCTTCTCTTTGGCCACAAACCCGTGCGTGCCGGCAGAAACGACAGCAGCGATCACAAAGTAGGGGTTCGCGAGTCCGTCGACCGTCTTCAGCTCCCAGTGGCTATCTCTGCACTTGCGCAGCGGGGCCTCCTTGTTCTGGGTGCCCCAGGTGACCCAGCGGCCGCCGGCCCAGGCCGAATCGACCATGCGCTCGTAGCTCGTGGGGTTGCTGTATGCGAAGGCGATGAGGGCCGGGAGGTGCCTGAGGATACCGGCGTAGAACGGCTCGTAGACCTCCCTCCTGTCTCCGCCGTGCGAGGCGATGGACATGTGCATGTGGCTTGCGCTTCCGCAGTTCGTCGGGAACGGCTTAGGGTGCAGCGTCATCCTGAACCCGTGCCTGGCTGCTATAGCTTCGACGATCTGTCGGGTGTGTAGGAGAGCCTCGCAGGCCTCCATGGGTGACTTGGCTGGCAACACGATCTCGTACTGGCCTAAGGCGTTCTCGGGATGGAACATTTCAATATCGATTCCTGCATCGGTTAGGGCATCGAGGATCTCGTCGATGGCGGTGTTAAAGCTGCCTTCCCGACCTGTATCGGCGAGGACGCGGGACATGCTCCACGCATGGCCATCGTTGCGTAGAGTGAGATATTTCTCGGGACTGTTGCGGTCGGGATTGCGTTCCACGACAACGAACTCGAGCTCGAAACCCACGAGAAACTCTAAACCATGACTTCTTGCATTTTCTACAGACTTTCTGAGCAGTGTCTTAGGGCAAAGGTTAGACTCCGTGCCATTTTCGTTCCTAGCCTCGCAGAAAACAGACACATGACCTTCAGTTGGGCCAGATACCAAGGAATGTAAGTTGATCTGCAGATCATACACGCCCGAGGATGACACATTCGGGATTATCATATCCGTCTGCAGCAGGCCGAAACAGGCATTGGTTAGGGAGCAGGTCACAGGTTTGCCACGCTTCACTAGGTCCAAAACCCGTCGCAAGGGTATCAGTCGACACCTTGTGCTGGATGTGTAGTCATGCCAGCAAACCCTGAGCCATTTACATTTGCGATCAACCACCAATGATGTAAGCCTCTCGATGAGGAGCGGCGATCGCATTCGTTTGAGGTCCTCTTTGCCCTCCACATGATTTACTACTGCCGTGGATTGGGACAAAGAACTCAGTGGTTTCAGACCGAGATTGTAGAGATCGTTTGAATTGTTGTAAAAGATGTCCTGGACAAGCTGGATGGCTTGACCCTCCTCAAGCTGACCACTGGCTACGTGTCCTCCAATAATCTGATTTGCTAGTCAGAAGATACGGTGCAGAGAGAGCAATAAGAGTCTTACAGTTTTCACTACCGATCGAATTTGCGTCAAAGCAATCAGATACATCTCTGGGTGTGAATGGCCGTCCGTACTCAAGAGGACTTTTGACCAAGGAGTGAGCTCGAGAACTTGCTTTAATATTCCCTCTTGCCCGTCTTGGTTTAAAAAAGGGAAAACCTCCCCAATATCAGCGTAGACATTGGGATACATGGTGGCGAGGTATCCTGCTTCTCTGGTCCATGGATAGCTTGAGTGGAGCAGGACGATAGGTACTTCCGGGTATTGACTTATGAAAGTCTGCATGTGCGACGGAGAAGACTTGGTCAGTATGATGTCTGTATCCCCCAGGCCTGTGTGGAACTGGATCGGTTTCTTGTACTCCGACTTGCTAAGCTTGATATTGCTTGCTGTCATATGAACTAAGGCATGATTGAGCGGCAGCGCATGCTCGGGACGTTTGAACGGATCGCCCCGTTGTTTCTCGTGTATTTCAACCATGGATTGAAAGGCTCGCCTCGCTCTCTCCGAAAGCTTGTCGCTTTTCCAAGGTATATCGAGACCGCCTCTGTAGCAGATGACGGACTTGAACCCGACGACTTCGGGATCTGCGATCGACCGCTTGATCTCATTTTCGAAAACTTTGAGGAATTCCTGCAGGAGTGTATCCGACGACGAGGAGCCCTTGCTCGTGGACAGGACACTCTCAAAGATGCCACTGGCGACCGTCTCGATCCTGACGATGCGCTTGCATTTGCTTTTGACAAACGCATCGTGCCAGGAATACCGTTGAATCTCGTCGGCGCCCCCGAACCCATCATCTAGAAGTAGCGTCTGGATGCCCTCGAGACATGTCCTAGTCCATGCATCCCAGTCCTTAGCACGCTCTTCCGCGACAGCAGATTCAACCGCTGTCCAAGTCCGCTCACATCCTAGCGTTTGTGCAAGGCATTTTGTTGCACGAATATGTGCGAGACTGGTTTTGGAGTGTTCTAGCGCCTTATCGCCTTGCGCTTCCGATGCAATGGACAGTAAAGGCACTTTGTTGCTATGATTTGGCTTGAGAAGGTTGTGACAATGGTTGTCAATCAACGGTGTGCTGGCGATTGCATCATTCAATGCGTTGAAGGCGCCAAACGTCGCCATGGTGGGTGAAGCTGCTCTGATAACCGTCAACAGATTTCTCCAGCCACGACACACGTGCACATGCAGAGTGAACAGCCTGCTGGGGAATAGGGAGGCAGAAATCGAGGACGTAATAAAGGTGAGGTTTGTTTAATGCTGACAGATACCGGGAGGCTTACTTGGAGCGGCCATATGCAAGATCGGGAGCACTGGCCACTAACCTTAGTCCCTGCAAGTCGGCGGTCCACAGCATGCATGTGCTGGTGCCAGGGTGCTCCAGTACACCTCTCATTTTCGAGAGTCAATCCGTGTGAACACGGGGTTTGAGTCGTGCAACAGGGCTCATAGAAATATGGGTAATTGAGACCTATATCGAGGTTCAAGGCTCAGGCCAAGGTGGTTCGCTTGAGAATTCTGATACTACTGCTTCGCGGTGGTATAGAGCCTAGTCTAGTCTAAAGACACAGAACATGAGACTGGCCTTCCCGTTGCCGCTATGGCCCCAGTCCAGCCTGAATAGTTCCACATTGAAATTACCGTTGGCAGATGACTTTACTCGTCGAACGTCATCTTCTTTCCTGCCGCTGCGGGCTGCGTGGTCTCTTCTCGCCGCGGAGGCCTCTGCCCATCCTGCTGGTCCCTTGGCGGCCTGTCTTTTCCGAAACGCTTTTTGTACCGCACCTGATCATCCTCGGCGAATTGGATCTTGAGATCTCTTCCACGTATCCTGTTGACCCACCACTTTCGCATCTTGTACTTCTTTTCGCCAGCGTCTGCGTCCTCGCCGTCCTTTGGCTCTTTGAAGTCGTCCTCGGTCTCGATTTCCTCCTTTATCCGGACAAAACCCTTGACTGCGGATTCGGCTGACTCGACCAGCTTGAACTTGACCCAGCCAAAGCCCTTGCACTTTCCGGAGTCCTCGAAGGTGGCCACCTTGACCCAGTCAATCTCACCGCACTTCTCAAAATGGGCCCATAGGTCATCCTCTGTAGCCTGGAAGGGCAGGTTTCCGACGTAGATCTTCCTGCTGCCGTCGACTTTCTTGGTGTCTTCCGTGTCGGCTTCTGCGGTTTCCGTGTTTTCTTTCTGCGGCCTCCCCTCGAAGCTGGAGGAGCTCTTGATCAAGACATTGCGGCCCTCCAACAGAGTCTCGGTGAGCGACATGGCAGCGACAGCAGCAGCCTCCGTGTCGAAGTCGATGTACGCGAAGCCTCTGTTCTGCGGCTTCTTCTCCTCGCCAGGGAATCGTGGTCGGGCATTCTTGTTTGTCGGCAGGTTCACTCTTGTGATGTTGGCCTCCTGGATGACACCGCCGGACTGCTCGACCAGCCACTTGAAGAGGTCGGCTCTTGTGAGGTAGAAAGGCAGGTTTCCTATCCAGATGCCGTACTCGGAGCGCTTAGACTTCTTATCCTTGGCGTTCTCGGCCTCATCGTCGCTGTTCGGCTTGGCGGGGAGTGGCTTTCCTTTCTTGAGGAGGCGCTTGGCCTTCTTGGAAGGTGGTTCGGGAAGAGAAAGGTCGACCTCGATCTCATCTACTTGTGTCTTGCGCTTCTTGGAGTCAATTTGCGGCGTCGGCTCGGGGGAGCTCGACGGCGTCGGAGACGACATGATTGTGAATCTGTCAAGCCGGTCTCGATCGTCTGTCTGAAAGGTGCCTGCTCTTGATGTCCTGGTCAAGATGTTTGTGGGTACCGTGTTCCGGTGCTCTTCTCGGTATTTCCAATGGAGAATTCAATTGCGGACTCTGCCCGTCGGGAATTTTTTCTGGGGCAGATAAGATAACAAGTGAGATAACAGATAACGCTGATGATAGTGACACTGAAGCTACACCCAACTGAATATGCACCTAGCGGGTATGAGCCCATTTGCGCACCCCCTTATGAATCTGCACAATTATGAATAAACACGAAAAAGAAGCAATATTTACAGTAGATACACGGTCAAGCTGAATTCTTAACACTAAATTAATAGCGAGTACAATCCTAGCGACACCATGATTCTAACCGGCGCTATGGCGCATAATGGGAACATTTCCAGCAGAGGTCATTCAAGGTCTGGTGGACTAGTACTAACCTTAGTCTAGTCACAATCAATCGTCGCCCATGAGAGTACTGTATATTCGCCGAGCTGTGAGAGGCGCTTGGAGGCCAGGCAACTGCTCTTCGGTTTCCATTATAATGAGGTTGGACTCATTGGTTAGAAGTACATATCATGGCTACGAGCTGACGATGCGACATTTCCCAAGCGACAGATCTCAGCGATCAAACGCCATTGGCTTGATTGGTACAGGAAGGGTTGATTTCCAAGCGACCCGCCAGAGAATCAAGTCTGACATGGTGACACAGGCGCCACTCATCCGCTACCTATCCGTGTGAACGCCAGGTTTCCTACACGGTCCTCTTTCAACTGCACGTTCATGCATTTTGCTCCCTCTTCCAATTTGCCGATCGTCAATGGCTGGAACACAGCTCTGTCTTCTGGCCACAGCCCGAATCCGGTTCTGAAGTAGGCGATTGCTGATGATTTCAGGACCGGGCCGTTCCGAGTCAGAAGGACAGTGATTACGAGAATTAGAGCTCCCAGCACTGTCTCAGTCAAAGGTAAAACGATCCATGGCCAGCGGACGTAAATGAATGTTTCCTTGAAATAGGCAGTGCCAGCAATGACCTCTGCATCCCAGTTGTCCCCGGAAGTCGAAGAACGTATCTGCCCATTAATAGCAGAAACTACGTTGTTCAACACATCGAAAGGGTGTTGCCGACTTAAGGCAGTTCCAAACCCAGCGCCAAAGTTGACATTGCCCTGGCCAAGATACGTGGTCTGCAGAACATACTCGCTATTCGACAGCGCTTGACTCAAGTACATTCCCAAATATATTTCAGTCGCAGCTGACACGTTGTAGACTGTTTGGTTGGAAGCTGTTGTGTACGTATTGGTCCGCGCATTCCATTCCCCGGTATGGTAGAATAATTTCTCTGACGAGCTAGAACCTTCTTGGATGCTGGTAGCTGAGAGTTCCGTGTTATTCACAGTTTTCTCGCACCAGGTGAAATTGGCACGATACACATCGATCGGAAGAGTAGTGCTCTTTTCATCCCAGTAATCTGTCATGTTGACAGCTACAAATTCCCATGACCCAGATATCCCAGTCCTTCGGAATACCGAGTTGAATGACGGCCCTGTATCATTCATCTGTATAGCAGTGCTCGGTGACCAATTCGGAAGGCTGTAATTGCAATGCAACTCCGGAAATACTGGCTTCGGTTCGTAGCTACAGCTGGCGTTTATAATATCGGTAATCATTTCCGTGTCCATACAGAGAGCAAGAATTTTGAACTCCGGTACCGTGCATCGGGTGGCGGGTTGAGGACAGCTGAAGTAAGGCTGGAATGGCGTGTTTTTACCTACCGCAGCTGCGTTACTGACAGAGGACTGGAAAGCGAAAGTGTCGACCGATGGTTCAAATGCTGTGCTGGCTATTCATTGTAAGTATTGCAACACGATTTGGCGTGGAGAGAATATCTACCTCCTGAACGCATCGTCCATGGTCTTTCAAAAGCCTTCGAGGTGTAATTTGTAGCAATCCCCATCTGGACAGTTACATTATGAAGTTCAGTTTCCTGGACGGGGAACTCCAAAACTTGCTGAGCGCACGCCTCTATTCCCAACGTGGCTATAGCGACCAGTGCGAGTGCGGCGGCTAGACGCGCTCGTGCACGCAAACATATTTTTGCCAGTAACATGATCGACCCCCAAGGACCACGGCTGGCATCATCAAACGTTTGAATATCGACGAGCTTCCTTTCATTGAGCTCGAAATGACGCCACTTCAACTGACTGGTGCATGCAGCAAGTGACACCAACAAGTTTGCTTTGGCCAGTGTTGTCAGAACGGCAATCACAGTGTTGGGTTGAATCGGAAGGCGCCAATCCGCAAGTGGTGTGTTGTCAATACGAAAAAGCATCACAATCAATGCAACCATGCACCCAATACACAGGACCATTGCAAGTATCTCCCACCACCACCACCACGATACAGGGCCCTCCTGATAACCAGAGTTTCGCGCTTCCTTCCAAGATTGCTTGTGCTGCAGCGGTGTAGAAACATTTTCTTCCTGCTCTTGATCACCGTGAAGGACCGTCTCGTAAACAATGTGATTATGCATAGTAGATGTGGATAAGTCGCTGACAGATATGTTGTTGCGGTCAATCAAAAATTGATTATACCCCTCCCAGTCTGGTCTGTTCCTGACATTATTATTGACATCGAACATTTCGGGAGCTCCAAGAAAACCCGAACGGTAGTCATGTGTATTTTGAACTATTGTGTCATTGTATACTCGGTATGATTGAACATCGTCCGCTTCATGAGGTCTTCGTTGGTATGAGAAGTCATCGGTCGTTAATGCTCCGGATGATGCGTCGTTCATTGTGAAGACTAAATAAATCTGCAAATGCGTCCTCGGAAGCTCGAGCGCGCGCAAGGCTCCTGAGTATTGGGTCATTTATGTGCTTTGGGATCCTGTGCATAGCACATCTAATTTGGCCCCCACTGGCACACTCGGAGCTGAAACTGCAGTGCTACCACACCAAGTAAGCACAGCCTTATTGAGTGCACCAATTCTCAGCTCCTGGATAGCCCATTGACAAAAACTGTGCGGACAGCTCCGCCGGGTAGCCAATGAGGGGATAGATAGATGTATATCTATAAATGGGGAGCCAGGTTAGCAACGCCGCTCTATGCGCGCAACGTCGTGCGTCCCCTGCAAAATTGAAGTTCCCAAGCACTTGTGCATCTTAGGAATACACTAAGATTGTTCTTGTTTGATATAATCTAAGCATTGACCCTTAATGGTACCTGCGACCGCGGCGCACGACTATTGACACAAGACTAGAAGCAAGACGAAGTGTTGCCCTAAGCTGGTATTACGGACGTAGCCGTCACAAATAATTTCTTCTACCCTCCATAAAACGTATAGCTCTTCAGTCCGATAATAATATCAAGTGTGAATAAAAGGTTAATTTCTTATAAATATATTTTTAATTAAACGTAAGTTATTGGAAATAATAGCGTCATTTATTTATTAATTGAAATGAAATATATTAAATAAATATTTATAAGTTATAATTACTTTGCTTCCTATCATAGATCATTACTCTGTTGAAACTCCACACTAAAATTATCTTATCAATCCTTCAAACGTAATTGAACTTTAAGGCCATCTGCATAACCAATGATCCAGTCATTAATGAAAAACTCATCGCCCCTAGTCCCCCCACGGTTCAAAGATGCCCTCATGTTACGAGAGCTTGATTCCTTGACAATCAAATCATACCTGTAGACTATATGAAACAACGCTGCTTGAATTGCATGGTAGGCCACCATTTTCCCTGGGCATGCCCGCGGACCTTTCAGGAAAGGGCTAAAGGCAGCAATCATCCTTGGGTCGATCGGTCGTTCGAGCCACCTCTCGGGGCGGTACTCATGGGGATAAGGGTAGATGCCCGGGTTTCGGTGCAGTGCGTACGTAGACGTCCCCAGCGTCATGCCTGCCGGTACCGTTACTCCGTCCACCACGATAGACCCCGCATTGACTTCTCGTGGTATGCTGCTCGGCTTGGGTGGTGTAAGCCGCATCGTCTCGTCGATGCACGCGCGCAGGTACTTGAGCGACGCCAGTGTGGCGTCTGTGATGTGTTCCGGGTCTGCGGCGCTGGACCTGATCTCCTCTGTCGCTTTTGCTAGCGCGTCTGGATGACTGCCCCAATAGAAAAGGGTAGCGAGTATAGTCAACCGTACGGCATCACTTCCTGCCGCAATAAGTAGCGAGCTATCGGCTCGCAGATCAATCTCGCTGTAGAGATCTGCCTTGATAAGCTTTCCGAATATGTCGCTTGGCTCGTTGCCACCGGCCTTCTCGTCGTCCATTCTATGGGCCCGTTCGTTTACTTGGCTCTCGGCAAGATTTTGATACCTCTGCACGTTTGTTACGTACCGCATGCCCAGACGCGACGGCCACCTCGAGCCTAGGAGCCGGCGGAAAAATTGCAGGGAGCGTGCGAACCCGCTCCAGTACAGGAACAGGCTAGCATCTTGCAAACACATTGGAACCCAACGGAACTTGGCGTACCGGAGCATATCCATTGACCGCCCAAAGGCAATAGTGGTGATGACATCAAACGCATACCAGGCTGCCGCGTTGTTGACGTCGATAAGCCCACCGTTTCTGCCAGCATCCTCCCATACGACCGACGTGAATTTCTGCGCAAGGTCGTTGATAATATGGAAACTTTTCTCCCGAGAAGGCATCATACGATCGAGCACCCTGCGCCGTGCTGCGTGGGACTCGCTGTCTTGTGTCATCTGGATGCTTTGGCCACCTTCGGCCCCACCGTCGAGAAGCCCGTAGAACTCGTCGCCTTTGAACACATTCGCGGATTTCGCATGGATGGTTTGGAGGGCTGAGAGTGTATCGAACGAGAGCTAGATTATGTACATCTGGAATGAGCAAAAACGCAAATCATCTGGTCACATCAAGGTTATATCCTCTGACGAAGAAACTAGGATGTGTACATACCGAGTCGGGTCCGATGCGTACCACGCTTCCTGTTATAACGTGGTCAAAAAAAGAAAAAAAGTAATCGTGAAAGCAAGATTAATACTCGACATAATCGAAGTGCACTAACCGTGCTTCCGGTGAGCTTCGATCTCACATATGTGTCGATTCCCTTGGCGGCATTGCCATATCCTGGGTAGTCCCGATATGCGTTGGAGGAACGGGCCAGGTATTCCGGCGAGAGGGTGGAACCAGAGACGATAAGAAACAAGTCCAAGCAACTGGGCTGTTAGTATTCAAGAAAAGTGTAAAACTGTTAAAGGACCATAGAAGATTGAGACGTACGAAGGCAGCGAATGCTAGAGCGCCACAAATTGCAACTCTAATACTAGCATACCACCATGATTGTTCCAAAATGCCATCCATGATAATTTATGTTTTGTTAGTTTTTTGTTAGATATATAGTTCCAGGTTTCGTGGTCTAATATACAACAATGACTTGACTGTCGAAATACTCCAAAAAGCGTTCAGAGAAAGAGTTTTGGTAATGTGAAAGCCTAAAAGGGTGGCGACTCCCAGAACACGAGTTTCATGATTTTATCGGATTATCGACACTGAGTTGATGCCAGTCCAGTCTGTAACTTGATTTTGCCGATTCTCAAATATGCAGAATATCAATATTGTCCATGCTCAAAGTGCGGGGAACCAGCTCTTGCGTTATCAATTCCCGTCAAGATAAGTCCATAGATGCAGGCCGCCACAATCTGCCGAATGCAACAATTTGCGAGATAAGAGCGGTCTTCCTGCAGTGCTACTCTTATTACTTGAATTATTGGATGAACGGTAGCCTCATTCCAATATTCTTCTCCTAGACATAGCAAGCGCCAGATCTCGTAGTACACGAATGCATGATTACAGCATCCGGCGAACGGATATCCAACATCTTCCACCAAGCCGATTCTGTAGCTTTAAATAACTATTCGGTTACCTATACTAGATTGAATGTAAATTAAGGACTCATCAGTAGCGGAAACTTCGATTGCCAGGCCATGTCTTAAGGCGGAGCTCGTTTCGAGACGCAACGGACCGCCGTGGCCGCATTCTGCGGCATGCAGCCTCCGTATACTGAGCTCATGCATTGTTACATGACACGTCTGCCGCAGTGGTAGCACGCCACTCCACTTGGCACAGTGATAAAACTTACTCTGTTCTGGTGATCAGAGAGCTCTTGCCGTTGAACAACGTTCCCGAGCTTTTTGGGCCACACACCAACCTAATCAGTGCTAATAATTTTACGAAGATCTACTTCACGCCACCGAGAAAGGTCTGCTGATACAACGCAATTCACAGACTCGGCGAGACTCTTTTATAATGGCCCAAGACATGCGCGTAGTTGTCGACGATGGCAAGGTGGAGGTGACTCAGTCACACCTCGGGGAGAAACTTGATATATACAATTCCGAGCTGGAGAGCAACTCGACCGAGGGAATAGTCGAGGTACTGAAATCATGCTCGGGAGAAAGCTTGTATTGAAGACACTTAAAAAGTGTTTTCGTATTTCTCATTACTTCTCCCGAAGTCCAGCTAATCATCCATAGAGATACATATCCTATCTCCCAACCCTTTACTTCGGCTTTACCCTGCAGGCCTGCTGGGAAGCCGTGGGTCTCTCCCTCCAGCTGAATCTACTCAACGGGGGTCCTGCCTCGCTTGTCTATGGCGGCCTACTCACTAGCATTGGGTCCATTCTAATAGCGCTCTCCCTGGCCGAAATGGCCTCAGCCGACCCGGCAGTCGGCGCGCAATATCGATGGTCGGCGGCATTCGCGCCTTTCGCCCCGCGCTTCTGGGGCCTGTTCCAGGGCTGGATCACGGTGTTTGCATGGATGACGAGCACGGCCGCTAGCCTGGCGTACCTGGCGCAGAGCCTGTTGGCCGTTGTCGTCCTGTGGCATCCTGAATTTGAGGTGCAGGCCTGGCAGAACGCCCTGGTGATGTGTGCGTTTTGCATCCCCCCACTCGTGGTTAATCTGTGGTTCAGGCGCATCATCGTTCCCTTGGAGTGGATGGGCGCTGTGGGACACGGTGTCTTCTGGATCGCGAGCATGGCAGTTCTGGGCGCGCTGGCGCCTAGAAGCAGCCATACTGCCGTGTGGACGAACTTGACCACCGGGCTCAGTGGCTGGGACCAGCCGTGGGTCACGTTCGGAATCGGGATCTTGCCTCTCGCTTTCCCGACCACGTCGTTTGATGGTGTAATCCACATGAGTCAAGAGGTCAAGGACGCCAAGCGGAACGTGCCGGCCGCCATGGTGTTGTCCGTCGTGTTGAATTGCGTCATGATGTTTGTTTGGTTGGTTGTGGCGGCGTACTCTCTCGGGAATGTGGATGTTCTAGCAGAAGCGCCGCTGGGCGTGGCCCTCGTCGGCCTGTACATGCAGGCCACTGGATCGAAGGAGGCATCGACATTCTTGATCATTTGCCACACTTTCATTATCTATGTCTCGCTTGCCAACATCTTTGCCTCGTCCGCCAGGCTAACTCGAGCCTTCAGCGTGAACAACGGACTGCCATTTTCGAAACATATTGCTCATGTAAGTTAAATCTCTGAGAATAAGCCAGGAACTCACTGGCAGGTGGCTTCTCGTCTTACTAGTATGATGGTACCCAAATAGCTAACACACAGACCAAAGGTATCCCGTCGCTTCAATCAGCCCTTACCCGCCCTCTTTCTTGTTATCTCGGTGTGTCTCATTCTATGCATTATCTCAATCGGTAGCACCACCGCGTTTAATGCGATGATATCAATTCCCTTGATCGCCTTATACATCTCCTATGGAATTCCTATAGCGTTCCTTCTCGCTTTGAGGATTCGTGGGTGCGCCCCCGACCTCGGCCCGTTCCGTCTTCGTCGGGCTGGTATCTTGGTGAACGGCTTATCGGTCGCCTACATCTTATATGTCTTGATCTTCGCGGCGCTTCCAACGGTCCTACCCGTCACCTCCGCAAATATGAACTATGCCGGGCCCGTCGTGTTAGCTGTTATGTTGGCGGCTGGAGCGGATTGGTGCGTATCTGGTTGGAAACGCTTTAAGTTGCCAGGGGCAATTACCAATTGACGACGCACTAGGATGTGCGGAAAACTGAACTTATTCATGGTCCCCAATATTTGATACAGCGCATCCCTGTTCAGCAGCTAATAGCATTTGCCTATTCCTCTAACAAGACGCGAATAGTCTGTTTGCTGGACATATTTCACATAAATGCAAAGCTATATCGAGACAAGATTTAATCTAATAATTTGCCGCACAAACATACACCTTTGAATCTATGCTAGTGATATTTCAACTACAGGGACTACCTATAACTTCAGGTCGTCTCTTGACCATTTAAACTCACTGATTGATGGTCCGAAAAAGATAGCCTGAACAAAAGAAAGCATCGTCGTTACGGATGAAGTTCGAGCTATATTAGGAGGAATGAGTGAAACCCGCAGTCCCCGGAGCGAGCCAGGTGGCTAGGTAAAGAAAGCATGGCGCTAGTGAACAATGTTTTTTCCATCAAAGGTTAGAGAAAAGAAAAGAAATAGTCATTCTTATGGCTGTTCCGAATATCATGATATCATACGTAAGTGCTCGTTGCTGTTCTTTAAGGGCGACCCGCAGCAATCAATGAAGGTGCTGGCTATTTCAAGACGACGAGCCTATCACGATAGCTGGCGCGAAATCTTAACGCGACAATAACTTGATCAACGCTCAAGACGTCAATCATCTTGCACATATTGTGTATAATTGGCCATTGCTCCGAAGAACGGTGTGATTGAGCTCTGCCTGCTAACAAGTCATAATTGTACAATATAACACTGATTATCTCACATTATTCAAATTGATAAATACACGTATATGTGAAGTTAGATTGTTTTGGCGTAGGTGGCTGTATATGGACTTCTTAGATGAAGCAGCCTTTCATAATCGTTCTTTCGTATAGAAATGATCGAACAATCGATTAGCTACGGATATCAAGAGTCATGAGCTTTAATTGTATGCTCATGGTCATATTTTTTATCTAAGTAAGAGCAGCTGATTTCTGTACACGTAATTAGGAGAATAGTTTATAGCTGCTAAACGTGCATAAATTCCAGTATAAACCAGTGAGACAGATCAGCGCATGACTGGGTGCATGTACCTTTTCAGTGCGCATATGAACACAACTTGTAGAGCGTCGCGGGAAGCGGAGGGTCGGAGTTTATCCGGTATCGGACTGCTATTGGGTATATAAGGGCTGTAATCCTCCATATGCGATAGAGAGTAGGGCTCAGCGCGTCGATACTAGCACCCTAGCACTCCCTTGCAACACCATCGTTTGGTACGGAGATGAGGCTGTGTAAATACTGTTTATCGATGTTTCAACACTGCATCATACGATAGCTAGGTTGGGTCTGACTCATGAAACTTCGAAAACATGCGATCTGAGGACAACCCAGTTCTACTGGCATTAATATATCACACCGGATTTGCTAGTCCTAAAGACGCGCAAACGGTTGGTCGTGGGGAAACGTTGTCTGAACAATTCGCCTTACAGCCCCCAGCTCCTCCGGAAGCTAACCACTCTCTCTTACTGCCGGCTTCCGTCCAATCATAAGATACATAGGCGTAAAGAGCTTCTGCTTTCCCCCAGCAACAAGCGCATCCGCGGCGGTGGCCAATGCGTCCGCCGTTTTCTTTGTGCCCCCGGGCGCAACACCAACTGCCTCCAAGAACCCTGTGAAATGGTGCGCAACGGATCGACCCCAGTGTGTCATGCGTATGCAAGCGAATGCATCGAAAATCGATTGCATGTACTTCATTTCGCCCGCAATCGGCCAATACCACGGCAAGTAGTCTGGACGATCTGCCAGATCCTCATGACAAAGCAGTTCAAAGCCTACAGACTTCATGGCCTCGACACCCTTAGATATGGTCACCATGTTAGAGATTCCGCTTCCCAGCTCTATATCCAAACGAATACGACGATGCTCCACATTTTCGCAGTCGTAGTCATCTGTCATCAGCCATTCATACACACCACAAGTACCACCAGGCCTTAACACCCGAAACATCTCACCGTAGACGACCTCAAGTCTGGGTGCGTGTACGGTAGCCTCAATAGCATACACAGCGTCAAAAGTGTTATCGGGGAAGGGCATCTGCATGAAGTCTCCCTTGACGAACTTCAGCTGGTCCGAAAGCTTCTCCTTGACGGCATAGCGTATTGCACGGTCGATTTGGTAGTCGCTGTTGTTTAAGCCAGTTATGTGTGCACCGGTGAACTTGGAGATCTCGCGAGCCGGGCCGCCAACGCCGCAGCCCACGTCTAGAACTCTCATACCCTCCTTGATGCCAGTATGATAAGCGAGATAATGTTCATGGCGGGCAATTGCGTTGCAAATACGCTCACCCAGAGAGAAGCGGCAGAAATGGAACGACTGCCCCCAACCATACTCGTAAAGATCGGAAGCGAGGTTATAGTAGCTGACAAATGATTAGGTCGCTAGGACGTGAGATGATGGATGTGCATGAAGATGGGTGACGGGAGGGGACGGAAATAAGCGACCTACTGTTTGGTAAGACTGGCATACTCAGCCTTTCTGGACTCTCGGTCGCCCGCAGTCTCCTCATCAGCCCTTTTGTTTTCGAAATGTTTGAAGTACTCGTCAACAGCGACTTTCTTTGCCTCACTATTCTTACTGAACATGGCAGCCACGCCTCCATTAGCCTGCGCTGAGCTTCCGTGTAGCATTTTGTTAAAGTCGGCATCACGTTTGTGATCCTCCATTTCCAGTCCACCCGCTACACCAACCATGGCTGCAAAAATTGGGATATCAAGAGAAAAGAGTTGGCTGATATCTGCGGAAGTTTGGGCAGGAACGATACCTGAGCAAGTCAGGCCTCACAGTGGTATTGTTGAAGTCCAGGTACTGCAGTGCACAAACTTCTTATATAATACTAGGGGTCTTTGCCAGCTGTGAGTATGTCAAAGCGGCCAATGGCCGGATTCAACTGAACCTAGTTGTCGTATTTCGTTTTGAAGTCAAAAGTGCGAACACGAATACGAACAAGAAATCGACGCCTGGGTCTCCACAATGCTTTTATATTGAGATTGATTTAGACAAAAATATGATTTGGAAGACCTTGTTGATCAAGCCCGCAAATAATCGCGTCTACAAGATTTAACACGAATACGGAAACAGTACGTGGATGGAGTTAATCTTGTCCTCCTTGGCTCCGCCATCTCTGCGACAGCTGAAAAGTTGAACAAAGGACATTTGAACCGTTGAATTGGCGTTAGATCCATCTGTGCAATAAAAGCCATCGGTTCGCTGGTTGTAGACGCCAAAAAAGCATATCTGGTCAGCGTGTAGCCGCTAACCTGATTGTCTGTGTCATGGCTCGTGTCAGAAGAGCGCGTGGAAGAACAAGATACTCCCATTTGCTAGATACGCTCCAGGACTCCGGTCCCTCGTTGAAATCGATACTCGTTCATGGCAATGGGCCAAAATGAGGAAATTGCAGCTGGACTCGATTATATCTTATTCTATCCTATTTACTTAATTGGCAAGACTGTCAAACCTGACGAGCTCTGACTCTCTGCATTGGGGCACGAAACCTCGACACTGCCAGCGAGCGACAGAATAAGAAACACCGTAGACGTGAGACTTACTACATCGAGTGCTCATGGTGATACAGGCTCTCGTAATCAGCCGAATAAGTCAGATTTTGAGCAAGCAATCATCAGGGGCATAGGTCGTTGTGAATCCGACAAGCTCAGCCCTTCCCCCTTGGCAGCCTTCAGTGTCCGGCAGGGCCACCATGACATTCACACCTCAACTGCGCTATGGTGGTCAGTCCTACACCTTAGCTGAGCTATTTCAAAATACACGCATAACACTTTTAATTAACTATTGTATTAGAATCGATCTTATATTGTAGCTATACGTCATTATGAATGAATTTCAAATAAACCTAAAGTAAATCTCAAGTTAAAATATATAGTTAGAATCAACTGTGAATTAGTTTACATGTTTATTCATAAATTACACGATCGCATGCATAGTAACATTTAAGCGGTTTGGGCAACGACTACGGATCCCTACAGCTAATCGAAACCTTAGTGGGCCACTTATAGCATAACTCAGCTAACCTAAAGCACAGATCACCATAGCTGGGTTGATGTGTAGTATCCACCCGTCGCTAAAACTTACAAGGGGGCGCTTGTCTGTATGGATCCGTAGTCTCTGTGTACCATAGTATGTAACCTAGTACAGATCCGTACACTACATCCACTGAAGCTTTTGGTATATTACTGATCACCCACCGCCGCGTGCACGCGTTTAAATGTCATACTATACTATGTAATCAGTAACATCCCGGCATCCGCTACATTCGACAGTTCAGTGTACTATGGTAGTGTATGTTACCTCTGATTAGCGGTCGCAAAAAGGCTTTATGCGATGATAGAGAGAAATGGCAACGGTGATTCCGTAAGAAGGCACAGTATCTTGAAATTCAATTGTGTCTGGAGGAGATATCTGGGTCCACAACTGAAAGCGCGCGCAGTCACAGTGGTGTAAGAAGATTGGAAACAGGAAGCGAGAGAAGTTGCCGGAAGAATTCGAGCTTCCAGTAGTATTGGACTTAGCTCGACTGCGTGGCTCTCTGGCCAGACGCTCCGACACCCATTGATTTATTGTGAACTCCACCCTTGGCCTCGTGAAAGATGGAGTTTCGATTACCGAGACGGCAAGCGTTGCTATTGGAGACCATGGATTACTCATTAGGGTGCGCAAAAAGGGTCTCCGTAGAATCAGCGCACCACCGATTGGTTCGCTTTTGGCTTCCCGCTCTTGCAAAGATAACGGCGATTGGCTCAACCATGATAATGGTTATCCACCATAATCCCCACATTGCCAAAAGCCTTTACATAGTTCACGTTAATTTCTTCAAGGCAGAAATTCTAATGCTCGAACTTTATCCACATAATAGTAATATCATGCAGTATTTGTTGAAACCAAAGTCTTATACTGGAAGTTTTGGAGTGGTTCCCACTTTGTTGAGCGCTTGGCAGCACCCGCACAGAGATCTGTCGGAAGTTACATGGACGTCCGTCTAGAACTGTTGTCTCGCTTGGCTGCCAAGGCGTTATTTCCTCAATAGCTTGCGGATCGCAAACAGTCCGTACAAATACACTATAAGCCATCATAGCCGCTGTACGGGAACGCCCCTTATTCTCATGATCGGATTGGGGCCAGTCAACCGCTTCGACGCTACGTAGTTACGGAGCTATGCGACAACACGCATAAGGGCTGAAGAGTCGTCATTTTAGTCGTCGAACGGAAGGGAGAGTGAGCCTCAAAATCATTGTCGCCTCACTGTCATGTGGGTTCAGCACTAGACTAACTCGAGATTGACAAATCTGACATAGCCAAGGCGCGCCAAACCTGGAAACGTTGAATCATGGTCACAAGAACCACAAATGTAGGGGAGTTATGCAGCATGGGTAAAAGGGAGCCGCTTGACATGCGGCTGCAATGACTTGCGCAAATTGCCGCAGCATTTGTAGTATAATATGTGGAAATCGCTTACTTCTGGTTGACTTCGTCCCATGCCGAATTCTGTCAGGCTTCGCTCATTGCAAGGTACAGCCACTTCCGGCGTGGGTGAATATTCGGCTTGGATCTCAGCCAAGATCTCGGTCAGAGATCAATCCATCTCTGCTACGTTCAACATACCATCCACAATGGTACACATCACCAGCGATCAGACGTCTCCACAGTGGGTTAGACTGCCTGCAGGTATTTATCCAGAGGGAGATTATCTGGCCACGAACGTTCGCGAATGACCATGCGCTTCACCAGGCCAAGGTTGGCACTCGAAGATGATGTAAAAAGGAATATCACAATCGTAACATCGATGTGACGGTGTCATCTCCACGGTATGGCATATCCGTTCCGAGAACAAGAAAAGGAAGAGACATTTTTTACTGCACAAGGTTGCCGTTAGTATGTACACTTCATGTACTGACCAAAATATAGGTCTATTACGGCTATTCAATGACCCATTAAGGTTTTCACTACGATGCCGTAGCTCCGCTTGTCAGACACGACACGGATAGACCCTAGAGGGCAGTGATACCGTACCATGGCTCTGAGCTAGTGAGTGTAATTCTAATAATTAGGATTGTATTGTTCCTTGCGGCACACTGGAAGGCGCGCCCGATTTGTGGTGAATTCTGATCCATCGACTTAATCTGTTGGCAGCCCAAACAGCTGTCAGTGAGGACGTCAACATTCTGCCTAAAAGAACAATATTCTGAGAGGGGAAGTATAGACGCAGTCGCCTATGTATGTACGAAGTCGTGTTCTAGCGATTTCTCCAGTCTACAGAACTCTTCTACAGCGAACTATAGGGCACTGCTACGCCGGGATTAATTTAGCGATCTCACAGATCTAGCTTAGAAGTAACCCAAGAGAAAGAACCAAGTCTTGAGTTTAAATTGAGTTGCACCACCTGCATTCCCTCGTTCCTCTGATGCCGTTTAGCGTGGTAGAAAACGTGGGGAACTTTAAGCTAAAGCCGGTTAAATAGAGGTCCTCTTTCTCGCCTCTGGAATGTCCGGGTATTTGGTACAGGATCAAATGACCGCACGTGATTGGTGTGGAATGGGGTGCACATTGAAGGACGAGCCGTATTCGCTTGACATACGACAGTACATAAATATGTAATGCGGTGCTAGTAGTCGAGGGGGAAAGGGAAGAACGGTGAACTAACATCTGACCCAAGCTGAAAAGCCGTGGGCAAGCCCAACTGTCACCAAGATGTTGCTTGCAACTATCGCTGCTGGCATTTTATTTCTTGCCTCTATCTCCTCCGCCAAGCTTTGCCCTCCTACTCCCAAGCCGTGGGGCTTTTTCACTAACAACACCATCTACCAGACCAGTGGCAACGAGAGTATCACTTATCCTCGCTACACTGAGTTGGAAGATGGAACCATCTTTGCCACTGCGTCTCTGACAGGCCATAACCCCAGCTACTTCCCCGTTTTCGAGAGCAGGGATGGCGGTGCTAGCTGGACATACATCTCCAACCTGACAGACCAAGTCAATGGTTGGGGATTTAGCGCGCAGCCAGCTCTGACGGAACTGACGGAGCCGGTAGGCGGCTACAAAGCGGGAACGATTCTCGGTGCCGGTAACAGCTGGAGTGACAAAGGCACGAGAATTGACCTGTACGCTAGCAAGGATAGAGCAAGGACTTGGGAGTTCGTTAGTCATATCGTTGAGGGCGGACGACCAAACACTACTAACGGAGCTACGCCTGTTTGGGAGCCCTATCTCTTGTGAGTATATTGTGATTTGTTATTTCGTTATTCTTACTCTCTTTATGTGTTACTGTCTTCACCTCATTCCTTCTACATCATTGGGATGGGACAAACTGAGCCACGGAATAGAGTGTATAACCACGAGCTTGTTGCTTATTATTCCGATCAAGGCGATCCCTTACATGGTCAGAAGCTTAGCCACCAGACTTCCTCTGACCTAAAGACCTGGGGTCCTGCCATCAACGATGTAGCTTACAACTTGTACGAGGCTCGCCCGGGCATGACGGTAGTAGCATACATCCCGCCTTTGCACAAATGGATTTTAGTGCACGAGCGACCAATCGGCAACTCAAGCTCCTATGGTTCTAATTACCCTGTGTATTACGTGATGGCGGACTCGCCCCTCGAGTTTGGTCAGAACGAGGACATGCCTATTGTGATCAACAATACCACGGTTCCGAATGCCTCACCATACGTCGTCTGGAGTCCCGTTGGCGGCCCAAACGGCACCATCATCGTGTCTGACGCGGACCGTCGTCAGATATACACGAACCATTTCGGAGGTGCCTTAAATCGGTGGGAAGAGCATGCGACGCCCGCAGGTGCTGTGTACAGCCGCGCTATACAAGTTTTCAAGAAATACCCCGATCATTTGCTGATATACGGCGGAGAGACATTCGACGATTTTGATGCAGGCTTACACACACCATTCTCGGCCACTGTGGTCAATCTGAACGACGTCTTAAAAACGAATGCTTGATTCCGCCGTTGATAAACAGCAATGCAGCATCAGAACGTAAAGAAGTAATTCAAAAATACGAAGGCCAGTATTTCATCAAGTAATAATATATTGTTGCCAATTTATCGTGAGATCTCCCGAAGTTGTCATTAGAGGAGTCATTCTAGTTCTCTGTGTCGTGTGCAGTTCAGCATATGAAGAGTTTGAATCAATACCACAATACAAAAACTCCTCCAACTGCACATCACGGCGGTCTACAAGCGCTGTCTTTTTTGGGCACTTCAAAGGGACCTCCGTAAAACTGAAGAGCCCCCAATCAAGAACGAATGTAGCATCGACGGGGAGTCAGCTTCATAGTCCGCATCGTGTGCCACAAGCGACGTTAAGTGTTACCTGACGCAACCTGATGATAGAGACATGAGTACTTCTCACATGCGAAATTGTAGACCAGGTCAGTCAACTCGGCGCATCAAGTCCTTTTTTCTTTTGGGACAGAGCTCCAAATCCACCGGAGTCTTATGGCATGTCCGGATCTAAAGGAGTGCCGGATACTGCGTTGGGTAGATGTTGATTGCTATAATATGCCTCCTTGGGTCGCTGGAAAGGTTGTGAAGTTACCATATCATGTTGTAAATGCCGCGGCCACCACCCCGCAATTGCCATTATAGCAAGCATATGTCCTCATTTTGCAGTGACAGCTAGCCATCACGAAACTGCTCATCCCTGCATTTAGCATGCCTTCGCTGGTCGTGGGCAGCGCCGCAGAATCAGCTGTGTCTTAAACATGTACATCACGGCCGATCACTGCGGCCGATTTTGTAAAGAACATCTCGCCTGGTTGGAATCCTGGAAACACCAAGGATGCCATACCTGACGAGACGTCCTGGGTTCAGCTTCTGCTGGTCAACTCGACTTTGCAAATATTAAATGCCACGATTTCAGTTCGAGTCTATCAGTAACATACGCCGGCCACTTTACTTCTGAAGAACCCAACTATGCTGGTATCCTGGCATGGCTGCAGCGTGTATCGGACGTCGTAGGTATGATAACATCTAATAGCCTCCATGTTATGGTCATAGCTTTATCCATCAGCCGCTAAGGCTAACCGAACTGAAATGCAAGAGAAGTTTTATTGCATATGGTATCGATTTGAGACATAGTTAGCCTAAGCTACTGAGGGTGACATTTGAGGTGCTAAACAAGTTGCAAGCTGACTTTATCAGAGCTACCAACAGTACAGGCCGGTTTGAAGGCAAACTTGACTCTGTATTCAATTACGGCGCAGATCTACAACTGCAAGCATATGAATGGGCTCCACCTAAGCTTGGCTTTAATACCTTCAAAGTTACAGCCACTTCTGCACAGCAAGACCTCGTGATACCAATCACCTAGCGCAGTCGGCCTCAAATTGCTACCTTAAATGGTATCTATACAAACGGAATCTATCTTGGGGACGATTGCACACAATGGCTTGGACCTCCCCCAAAAAGCACGTCTGGTAAGTTGTCTCATCTTTTGTTTGGAACCAAGCGGGCACATAGCTAATACTGCCAGTAGACAGGAGGATGTTTGTTTACTAAGAATACGGTGACGCTGTCTGCCTCGGTGCTCAGTGGCTTCCAAACTGAGAGCGCAGCAGCTGAGATCGCCTTGGAATTTTATCCCCGGGTACCAGTAGCAATGCGACTCTGACGATCACACTTTAATTGTATTAGCACGGCCGCGGATGGCTGGCTGCATCTGCACTTCTGCGCTTTTGAAACAGGGTATTCCTCGGGGATGAACTGGTGCGAGACTCGACTAACTAGGTTATAGACGTTTGAACAAACTGCGCTCACTAATTATTTACCGCACACACGATGTTATAACCCTCAGCAAGCTCAGCTTTGTGATATCAGCTTGGATTATTTCAAACCAGTGTTTAACAGCGTTATATAAATGTACGTCGAAATTATCTTCGTGATAATTGTTGTAATTTAGAATCCTAGAGGTTTATACTTTCTAAACTTTATAAATGGCGCAGAAAGTATACATAATAATAAGTATTGATCGATGTCACGAACAAGGGCAGTTGGTGTGTGCCGCCAGTATCTGGGATGTAGTGTCGTTATTTACAAAATTTACGAGCTTACTGCCAAGTTACGCAACATCAATATATATAAGAGGGCAACGACTGGGTCCATACGTGCTATCAGCTGGCAAACCAAATATCAGCCCCTAACAATCAAGGAACTCATAACACCTCATTTCTCCCAAGGGAAAAGGGTCTAAAAATAACCTTTATTTGAGATGAAAAAACCCCTTCTACCGAGGGATGGCATATACGATGTCAAATGATTGATCGATTGATACAATTCGCTGGACGGCAAATCACATTAAAGAATGCTATATCTTATTCTTTAATATGTAAGAAGAGAAAGCAAGGGGTAGAATAAGTGAGGAACGTCATTCCCTTTCACCTTCAGAACGAGTCTTGACCGACAGTTCGGCTTACCATACCACATACTCATGCCAGGGAAGCAGTAACTTCGGGTGGATGAAGTCGCCTTGCACAAATCTCTATCCGGATCCCGAAACGGTGTATTGGGAGTACCCTTGGGCATTTCCCCAACCCTCAGTCGAGATGGTCTGGTAGTTCAATTGCCCCAGCTTGAGGCCAAACTGCTGCCAGCCGTACACATGGTTGCCAAAGGTGATGGTACCCCCGTTAGGGCGGGGGCTCTGGCGGACTGAGATGTACTGGTCGAATGTTGCAGTACCCACAATCGAAGGCTGATTGTACTGGGTATGTTTGTAGACGTTGTAGTAGGCGCCATCCGTGTAGTAGTTGCCCAAGTAGGTACCTTACCAGACAGTCAGTTATACTGGTTCGGTTGTTGGAGGATATAGAACAAGAAAGAAATTGAGTACATACCTTGTGCGGCACCCTGTCCATTGCTCCACTCCTGGACGTAATACTCAATCAGTGGATTCTGTGACCATCCGTAGAGGGAGACAAGCACGGTTCCTGCAGAAGCACTGGTAGAGCCAGAGAATGTGACAGCTCTATATGGGTTTAAAAACATTAGTTATTTAAAACATGCATACGAGTTGAGATGGAAAGCAAGTCTATGAGCCAAACTTTTCATAGGAGGACAGTCTGTGTCGGCCTGATAAGCGGCCACACAACGGATGTGAGTTTGCATACCTGGTATAAGATCCAGTGCTCCAGCCTTTTCCAACTACGAAATCTTGGGCACCTGAGAATGACACAGAGTATCCATTACCAGTGGGTGAAACATTCACAGTGCCACTAGTCTTGTAGTTCTGGTTGTAGTCCTGGCGGGCAAAGAGGCTGTGCGGCCCAATATCGAAATCTGGCGCGTCGCGGTCAGTGATCTCAGCTGTGATGTTCTCAACAGGTGCAGCGAAAGCGCTGGTCAGAAGAGAGGCAGCGAATGCAAAATGCGTTAGGTTAAGGACCACCATGGCTACTTCGTTGTCAGGCAAATAGATGGGTAGAATCCAAGGTGAAGAAGGAATAGACTTTGCTGTAAGTTTAAAAGAGCATACCAAACAGATTGTAGGTAAAGGTCCTATTTATAATCTTCTGAGGAGACTTTCGACCGGTACGCCTCTCTGTGAAAGAGGTCCGTCGGATACACTAGCCCTAGTCATGTTACCATCGGGGGTCAACGGCAGCAACACCGAGAATAATCAAGAAACTGCCTCTCCAGCTTATTATGGTGTATACAAAGTAAATTCCATCACATCTGGACTTCTCATAGATCTATTTTAAGTGAGGCTTATCTTGATTTCAGCATCGCGTCATGGATCCCGTCTTCTTCGTTGTAACTCAAATTCCTCATATGTGCATCGATGTTGAGTACAAATGCTAAAAATCAAGATTCTCCTATCAAGCGCGTTTCGGCTACGGCTTTGGTCGACCTCAACGGCGAACGTATTGGCTCCCGCCTGGAACTCACGGGATTTATACCGGTAACAAGCGGTTCACTGAAGTCACCTCCGAATCTTGGCATTGGGGCAAACATAGTGTCACTGTCCTAAGTAAGCTGTTTATTGTATGCTCACTCTGTGGAGTCCTCGTGTAACCAGAATGAGAGGCACTAGTGTTGGGTCATGTTAGGAACTATTATTATTTCGCAATCCACTCTACTTCGAGAACGGAAGCTTGACCCCTGTATTATCTGATGACCCACAATCTCCTGTGAGATCACCCAAACATTTAACCGTACCTTGGATCATACCTCAAAGCCCATGAATCGACCGGGTAATAGCATGGATAAATGTGACTACCGTCCCTGATTCGCTGGGTGAAGTAGTATGGAGATATCAACCAAGATCTGAGCCCATTGCTCAATCACCTTGAGTCTTTCACTACAGCAAATTTCGGTTTAGTGGTAGTCAAGTCCGATTTCTGTACCAAGCGCAGGGACCACACGAGTCAGGTGTGTCTGCTAGCCTTGCATTTGGAGCACAGCTTACAGAGGCTGACGCGTCGAGTCTAACCACCCGAACAATATCGAAAGTAAGAGGCTCTTTTGATATGCAGACATGGGGTGCAATGCCCGGTCAAGAAAGCGGGGATAAGCTCCGTGGGGTACATGGCAGCTTATTAGCGCGCCAATAGAATCTTCCACGCGCGCCAGTAAGTTATCCAAGAGACGTGGCCGGCAATGAATTCGGTTACGTGCCGGATGCAGGAAAAAGATGCAAGAAACAACGGTTTTTCAACTCTTTGAGCGGGATACGAGCTGGGGACAAAGAAACTCAAAGTGGAAGAAAGAGGATGAACTGTGATCTGCGTTCAAACAGGGATGAATATCCAGCAGACTGAAAAAGAACAAAAAGTGGAAAATTAGGGAAGGGCAGCCGCTGCCGCTGGATATTTTCTAACCTCCTACCCTCAATCAACTCAATTTCACAAAATCAAAAAGGCAAATGTTAATTCCAAAGCCCTTTTCGAAGTAGTTTTGTAATAAATCTAACAGCTAGATTATTTCTTTTTGAACTTTTCGTTTCTGTTCACCAGTTTAAGTGTCATTAGAAAGCGACAATTCCCAGACAGGTGTTACCATCAATCATTCTTAAGTTCTCTTTTCTATCTTGTCTTCTGCTGCCATTATTGTGCGAAGCAGAGCAAGATTCTACAAGGTCTCTTGAAAGGCACTACTTTTCATCTATCTGTTAACATGAGAGGCTCTCTATCTCTGCTTTTGACGATACAAAAAAAGATACAAGCTAGAGACAGCGACCATCACAATGCTGCTGGAACAAGTAGCCGAGCATGTGAGACACAATTTGATATATGATTTGTGGAATTGCCAAGGATCCATTATCATTCTTGAGCGGGACACCATACTCGTGCCGACATTTCCGAGACTTTGATTTCTCGCGAATCTCATTCCGAGTTAGGCTAAAATGAAGGCATTGCCACGTTGCAACGCAGCTATTGATGCGGCTTTATCTTTCCTCTGCTTTGTAGCTCCGTGATCTTGTCAAGCATCCTTTCCTTATCGAGATGTGCAAGAACCATTCTTCGTGTTTGGTTGGAGGTTTCTATGAGCGCACGGATTGCACTCATTCCCTCTGATCGAAGTAACCCAGTGAAGAAACAGTACCGGATCCTTCCTTCCACCAACCAAGCCAGGATGATTTCCAAGAGACTCATCCTCGCCATTGATTCAGAAACTTTAAGGACCCAGGCCATGTGGAAGCGCCGGATCTTTTTCAGCAGCTTGAGATACCGTCAGTTATACAGTACTTTAGATTGAAAGTCCCAAGTATGACGAGTAGTTGATACTCTAAATACATATCTGCTCTGCTGAGCTCCTTTAAAATCCCTTTTACGTGGGGGTCAACAGCAAAGAAGTTTCCATCGATATGTAAAGGATAAAGATAATACTGGCTGCCACAGACAGCCACAAGTACATACCATATTTGGAAGGTTTGGTAGAGATAGTAACGAAACAACCACTGTTCTGTCAAACACCGATCCGTTCTCACGTATTTATCTGGAGAAATCTTCAATCACTCAAGTAACCATTCAGTATACCACAGTCCAACTTATTGACAAGAGAATATAATACAACTGCATACAGTTCCTATACCAACTAGCCAGGGCTTCGAAATGCTTCAACATTTTAGCTCCGGAATTGTTCTTGGGAGAAGCTGTTTCTTGTTTATTTGTAGCTATAACGTTGAAATGATGGGTCATGCAGGATGGTGCCTGTAACAAAATGGGGAAAGATAGGGACAGATACAAGCATCACATGAATCATTCTTGGTATGAATAATGTGATACATGATTGTTTCAACATGGGATAGCAGGCCCATTTCCACTTTATGCTTGTGAATTTAAGAAGTAGGTGTAAAGATGGAAACGGACCCCGTTCCTGGGGGAGAAACTGCGAGGAAATTTCCATAGTTGCGATTGGTGGAGAAGCTGGAACAAGGCGTGTTTTTGAATGTAAGACGTGATACGGTGGGCCGAGTTCTTATATTACAGCAATGATAATTGAATTTTTGGCGTACTCTTCACAAGACGAAAGCTGCTTCCAATTTGCCGCGACAGGGAATCAGCACCGAGACCGTTGAAAGCCAGGGAAGGCACACGGGCTAAGTGTCTTGTATTCGAATCCAAGACCGAAAATCTGAAAGAAGGATGCATGGGCCAGGAAAAATTGTATTGGGCGCCAATACCGGTGGTAATGAGTACAGTAGTAGGCCAGGTATTGTTCTTGGTATTAAGTTGACAACTACTTAACATATCGTTGTAGGAACCGGATCTGCGCATTGATATTGTCTCGAAAGAAATCCCCCAGGTATATATCAAAGTGGCCGCATTCTTTCAGAAAATGCAACTGCTTCGGCTCCCGAGCCTTGTTGAAGGCATCCATCTGGGACGATGTTGAAATAAGGACGTCGTTACCTGGGATGACAAACAGGAGCGGTGTGGGGGAGATCCTATGGATCATTGCCTGAGCCTCAAAACTGAGCATGTGCAGTTGTGTTTGAGACGTGACATAGTTTTCCCACTGGCTGCCACAATTCCGTTGCTGAATCAAAATGTCGTATGCATCCTTAGTTGGGAACATGGCGTGTGTTTTAGACGGATCAGCAGACTCTCGATCAGACGCAACCAGTGGTACAGTAGAATGACCCAGATCGGAAGTGATCCGTTTTCTGTCCTCCAGTAGCTCTGGAATGCGATGCTTGAATGCTAGAGACCGAGTTTCGCCAGATACGGCAGGCGCTTGAATGATGGCAGCTATGATTCGCTTGTCTATAGCTGCCGCATAGATGACATTGCCGCCCGAGAAGCTACTGCCCCAGTATATTATCCTGTCGCCGTCGACACAGGGCAAGGTGATGGCATAGTTGAATGCGTCGAAGTAGTCGGTTTGCTGCAACGCTGGGTTCGACTCATGTCGAGGTAGACCATCGCTGTCTCCCCAGTTACGGTTATCGTAGAGCAAGACGGCGTATCCTGCCTCATTGAAAGCGGAGGCGAACCGAGGTAGTAAGAAGTGGCGAGTGCCGCCAAGCTGTGTGATATTTAGACAAGTCAACGCTCCGACATACCGTAGCATGACTGCTGAAGAGAAAGAAGCAGAACAGGGACGGGGAAGGGAGAAAACTAACTCCATGGGTCATGATGATGCATGGCGAGATCTCGTGCCTTGGATACAACCATCCGCGAAGAATGGTGCCATCGCAGGCCTTGAATTCAATGTCTTGACGGGACAGAGTCATATTTGCCGGTATGGGTATGAAAAAGAAAGTAACGGCATTATAGTCGAGGCAAACGTCTTATGATTTAATGACTGCAATATTATATATCCATCATGATAGCAAACTCTGGGTGCTTTCATGAGTTGGACGGCTATAAAGGGTTATAGAAACCTCATTGAGCGGTCGACTCCAAGTCAGCTGCCGACGTTCCCCCTGGAAGGATCAATAATCAGTAAAGCCTCGATGACTTCACAATGTGTCATAGCACTCTGCCCCTGTCACCTGAGCCGTGTTGCCCCGGTATGATAATTGCAATCATGTAGGTTGAAATACTTCGTCTGTCCGAGACAACCTGCAACCTCTGCATTCAAGCTGCTCGGGTGTTAAGGGTCTTTCGTATAGAGGCAGACGGCACAAGCCGACGATCTCGAAAGCATCAAAAAATTGTATTTAGGCCGAGGCATATGTGGAGAAGACAAAATGGCCTAGCCAGCCCGTTCGTTCCCAACGCCGCATTGAGGGTCACTCAAAGGCCCAGACGAAGAGCCTTGCATGGCCGAGCTCGGTGAGTTTACTATCAGCATCCGCGACGACAGTGTCACCATTCCGACCGCAAGAGGGGGCGACAAGCTTACAAACACCTCTGGTATCCACAAATAAGTGCATGTAATGGGATGGAAACATCCCGCTCTTACTCAGCCGACTTGCATTAACTTCCCGGGCTCTGGGCGTCATGAGATAAACTTAGGGACTATAAAAAAGCGGAGAAGCCGCGGTTCCACGGCCAATCATCTCCACCCCGCTGAGTTGGTTGCCACCCCCGGAATCCTTGTCGCAACGGTAGGCCGGGGATGCTGAGTTAGGTCAGGAACACTAGGCAAAAGTAACTTTTATAAGTAACGACCTATTCTCTTTCCTCGTCCTCGGGTGAAGCTTCCGAGTCATGCCGACACCAATAATCACTGCCCGTATAGACTTTTCTTTTGTTATTTTCCATAAACAAGACATTGAGTCATAACGCCGGCAGCGGATAAGTCCAACTTCTCTTCCATACTATACGGAAGTTCTGGCGTGATTGATAGATCATCAGATTCCTCGCCATTTCTCACAGCGAAATCAAACAGCGTCATCTAAACACATCAGGTGTAATGGCTACTATGAAAGCGGTTGGTGTATCTGCCTATGGCTCCATCGACAATTTCGAAGCCCGCGAGATTCCTCGACCTGCAAGTCCGACGGGGCGTGATGTTCTTATCAAGTAAGTTATTCGACCCCGTTCTGTTGCTTCATTCCTAACGAGATCGTCAGGGTCAAGGCTTGCTCTGTCAATCCAATCGACACCAAGATCCGGGCTGGCATCTACGACGACGCACCAGGTAAGCCTCCCGCTATGGTGCTACTCAGCCGCTAATTAGGACGAGATTACTACAAGTTTGCCCCCAAAGGCTTCCACATCATTGGATACGATGGTGCTGGGACTGTTCTGGAAGTTGGCCCGGACTGCAAATTCTTCAAGCCCGGCGATGACATTTCGTGGGTTGGAGCGACAACTCGCCAGGGCAGTAATGCAGAGTACCAGCTCGTCAGCGAATTTCACTGCGCTCACAAACCCAAGTCGGTCGACTTTGTCGAAGCAGCGAGCTTTGGCTTGACTTTTGGAACAGCCTATCAGTCCCTGCACCACCGACTTGAGATTAAACCCAATGAGAATGTCGGAATACTGATTGTACGTGTCATTCATCTTCCATCAAGTGCTAGTTATGAATAAGTCTATCATACTTTAGCTGACATGCTATCGCGCAAATTAGATCAATGGTGGCGGCGGAGTAGGCAGTGCTGCTATCCAGCTGGCACGCAACGTCTTGAACCTGCCAGCAGTGGTTGCTACTGCGTCTCGACAAGAAACTATGGATTCTTGTAAGCGAATGGGCGCCACTCATGTAGTCAACCACCGGCATGATCTTGTGGAACAAGTCAAAGCCTTGAACCTAGACGTCCCGATCAAGTATGCCAATGCCTAGTACCTGACTGTCCACCATGTACCATGCTGATTATGCTGACTAGATATGTCTACATCCTGGCAAATACTGAACAATATGTTGATGCCATCGCCAAAATCTGCGCACCCTTCGGCAAGGTTTGCACCATTGTCCAGGCTGACGTCAGTCTCTACGGAACCGAGTTCATGTCCAAGTCAATGACCTTCTCCTGGGACTGGCTCGGCTCTGCGGCGTATCATCGCACCAATGTTGAAGGCTATCACGACATGTTTACAACCTTGTCGCGCCTGATAGATGAGCGAAAGCTTGTCCCCACTCTTGGCAAGCGGTACAAGTTGACTCTTGCAGGTCTAAAGGAAGCCCATCGCCAAATCGAGTCTAAGACCACTGTAGGTAAGATTGGTCTTGGCGTGAACGAGCCGGGTGAGGGTGTTCCCTTTGCTTGAGGTAGTTCATGGCCTTAGCAAGGGACTTAGAGCACGAAACCGACGTCATTACTTAGGATAGATTTGACCTACATCAAATAGATATGCCTTAATTGAACTTTGGTACCACTGTCTGTACAGGAAGTACCACCACTGATTTAATCGTCTTCAGACCAGCTGGAGCAAGCATTAAATGTAAAAGCCACCAACTCTCCTAGTACAGCTAAGGTGAAGAATCAAGTCGATATATCCCACTGATAAGAGTCGGACGTGGTTCCGCGTATTATACGTACAGCCGACCTGTGTGGCAAGTGCACCAGACTACAGGGGGAAGTGAAAACAGGAGAAACGAAAAAGAATACGGGTACGTAGGGCGGGGTATATAGTTTGCCTGAGCAAATCAAGCCAGCTCGGCGTTGCTAAGGGCAGGTCATTTGTCCATGTACTGACATCCAAATGTCCAGAGCAACATTGTGCCTCGAATAAACGTTACACGATTTCCATGCGGGGCCACTAATACCGTGTAAAGTCGCAGTTGAATAGCTATATATATCCAATGCCCATCACTAAAGATTCAAGTACTTAATTCCACACACTTCTCTGATCTGCACGCTCCAATCAGTATACCTTGACCCTCAAGTATTTTACTCTTTTGAAAGACGCTCCAAATCCAATACTTGCAAATTGACATCATGCCTCGGGTTGTCAGTTACATGTCCGGCGCCCAGTGGGACATGGATGGCCCGTCTTCACCGACTCAGAGATTCTTCAAGCAATATGTCGATGCCGTAGACTCCAGAGGCTATGATAGCGGCTCCGGCCTCAAGTTCTACTCAGAGGGCGTGGTCTTTCACAACCAGAACAACGCGGTCTATCGCGGAGGGGATGAGATGTGGGCCTGGATGAAGAAACTGTTTGGCGTGTTCGAACGAATCCATCACGACTGGATCCAATTTCTGGAGATTGAACGCGACGATGGAACAAGCCAAATCTACACTCAGAACATTCGCAATCTGTGGCTTCGCGGAAACAAGGATATGGAGCCAACTGTCAGCATCCCTGTTACCATGATTGCCATCATCGGGAAGAGCAACGACGAGAAGACTCCAGAGGGACTGCATTTCAAGGAGGTCTGGCTGTATTGGGACACTGCTCTGCTTTTACCCTTTCTTCCAAAGGAAGCTGTGGTCTTTAAGACGGAGAATATCTTGCATGCAAACGAGTAATAGAGTAATAGTCAAAATTCAATAGCTCCAATACAATGCTGCTGCTGGTTCGACTGGGACTCGCCCTTGCATTCAAAACAACCATGACTTAAACCATATTGAAAGCGATTTGTAAAAGTACTTAATCATTCATATCGTCACGATCGCGATGTTCAAGTCCTCAAACGGCATCAGAGACTAGATATATTCATTGTTACTCGGTGGTTCTCTCTTCACCAGATGTCCGGCGACAATAGAAAGAAACACTGCAACTAAAAACAAGACCCTGTACAGAGGCGTACAATCCGTCAATGCGTCATTGATCTGATAAATCAGCTTCAGGCATCCCGGATGTACGGAAAGGACTGCACATGGGTAAGCAGTTAGTTGATAAATGGGTCCCTGCTATCATGTCCGCTGCCGAAGTGTGGTGTGTCTGTTACCCATTGCCCACCGTAAAAAGTGGGTCTCTGATCCAGCCTGCCTCGGCTCGCTGGTGGGCCCCGGAATGACCGTACCCGGAATGACCGTAGACACTGCCGAGACCACGTGGAGCGCAGGATTGATTACTATACATCCGGCGTCATGATACTATCCCTTACAGTGCTTAGTCATTATTCGCCTAGCCCTGAGTGCTTGTCTATCCCTCGTTCACTCTGGCTTGAGCCGGTTAGATTACTGAACATGCCGGCTTAACCATTGGCAAATATGCAGACACCTGGTTCACCCACGTACAGCATGGGCTATAATAACGATGGTGCTTTTGGACAGACCTTTACTGGCCATCCATACCACCATTCAAACAAATCTTCACTGCCCGAAGATGGGTCTGCAATACAAAGTATTTTTCAGCAAGCGTGCTTCAGCCACCCGAACTGGGCCAGTCGGTCATGACAACCTGAAGTGGGTTCCCACCTCATCTACCTTGATCTACGGAGCCAAAGACGCTGTATTGGTCGACGCGCAGCCAACCTCGGACGCTTCACATGAGCTTCTGGACTGGGTTGTTGCAAGCGGGCACAACATCACACACGTTTACGTCACTCATGCCCACGGCGACCATTTCTTTGGCAGCGCACTCATCCTGGAACGGTTCCCGGACGCGGTTCTGGTCGCAACTCCCGAAGTTGTGGCCAGGATGGAACTCGAGACTGCGCCAGAGCGTCTGACTGGTCTCTGGGAAAAGTTGTTTCCTAACCAGATTCCCCGGACGCTCAAGATCGCCCAGCCTCTTTCTCGGGACCAGTTTGAACTAGAAGGCGAGAAGCTGGAAGTCCTCAGGACTGGCCACACAGACACGGATGACACGACGACTCTTTGGGTCCCGTCCATCAAGCTCGCTGTGACGGGCGACGCCGTGTACGCAAACACCCACCCGTACCTGGGCGAGTCGGGAACGGCCGCCAAGCGGGGCGAATGGATTGATGCGTTGAACAAGATAGCCGCACTCGGACCTGAGCATGTTGTGGGTGGGCATAGCGATCCAAGCAAGGGGTTCGGGCCTGAAGCAATCCACGAGACAAAGACGTACTTGGAGAACTTTGACAAGATCAGTTCCGACACCGGTACGGCTGAAGAACTTTATGAGCGCATGCTGGAGATTTATCCTGAGCTTCTAAACCCAGGATCTCTCTGGGCAGGTGCTTTTTTGACCAAGCGGCCGTAACTTGGCCATCTTAGGTGATCCAGCGACATACAGGTAGCCAACTAGCCATACGAAGTGGCGGCAGTCACTCATACATGCTTATTCCTTTAAACTCTTGGCCAATTGTTCATTTTCTTGCTCTAACTCTCGATGACCATCTATATTTCAAGGCTTCCAACAAAGTCAAGAATATCGTTTCGCAGACGGTCTGCGTAGCCAAGAACCAAAACTGTAGAAAGGATTAGCCCAGCTTCCTTGCTATTGAGACGCTATTAACTCACCATGCCCCCCTCCTTCATATATGCGGAGTCTTGCCTGAGCTACCAGCTTTTGGATAAGCTCAGCACTCGCCTCGACCGGAACCCCTCCGTCACTTCCGCCGTGAATCAGAAGAAAAGGCTTATCAAAGGTTTGCCCAAAGGTCTGCATCGCCTCGAATAGATCCTCCGACGTGTAGATCTGGAGGCATCGCTCAACAGCAATTGGATCAGCTTCGAAAAATATTCCTTCGAAAAACGCCAATTCTTTCTCTGAGAGCGAACCGGACGTTCCAACTCCAAAGGGGCCATTGAAGCCATTGGAGAGGAAGTTAGGTCTATCCTTTCTCAATGACATCAGCGTCGCATCCCAGACGCTGCGGGGCAAAGCCTTCGGGTTTTTGGGAGAGGCAACAGGATGTGGCAGGCAAGTACTAATCCATATCATGCCCTATCACTTCATCAGTCTACTTGCTTCAACAGCTTGACCTCTTGTCCTACTTACACGACAGTTTTCCTGGATGTAAGTACTATCAGTGTACGCCAAAAGCGCCTCGCCCGTGCCCATGCTGGTGGCGATAAAGACAAAAGGGCCTGGCTGGATTTTCTCCAACAGGCCCGCAACGTCATCCCCGAGCTCCTTGTAGCCAATGCCATTTCCAACGGCATCGCCGGTCCATTGGCTTTTCCCGAAGCCGCGTCTATCAGGGGCGATGACCCGGAATCTGTGCGTCTCGCAAAGACTCAGCAAGATCGAGTCGTACATGCGGGATGAGAGAGGCCACTGGTGGAGGAACACGAGTGTGAGCCCTTGGGCTGCTGGAGACTGTTCGTTTGCATCGAAAGGAGGCGGTCTATTTTCTGGGCCGTAATAGCGATAGAATAAATCTGTTCCATCGATCGAGCTGAGGTGTCGAGGCATGTTGGTTGCGTGATATTTCTGAAGGACAATAACCATCAGAAATGAGAAAACAATAAGTAGGAACAGATGCAGATTAATATTTGAGCTCCTCGTGCTGAAGTTGAAAGTAGGGGTGGTCTGGTCCAGAGAGAGTGTCGCAATACCGCTAGACCACAAAAAGTGGGCACCACATTAACGTGGGCAGTATGCTTGGATATAGGCTCATCTTGACAGAGAGATTATAACTTGAAGGCCGAGGGATCTCCAAGCACTCCCTCTTTTCCTCTTCCGGTAGTGTAAACTGCCGAACAATCAGTCGGCTTTGATTTATAGTCATGATTACTATCCAAGAACCGATCCATACTAGGTTCTCAATCAACCTGTGAGGTGCCGAGGTCCATGGTTCTCCTGTACTCGCGCCTCTAGCCTCTTGCAAGCCTCCCCGGTTGGAAATAGTTCAGCTTCCAGACTGGTCTTGCGGCGACTGATAGGTGGCCGCCTGGGCGCGCCCACCGACTAATCACTACCGAGTACATCCTCCCATTGGTGCGTGCGAGACGCGCTCTGAAGTAGCAATGAGTCACCGAGCTGTGGGTAGAAATGGCCCAAACATTTGTGGAAGATATCCTCCCGCCGGAAGTCATATACAACTCACGTGAAGCTCTTCTTACAGCCATCAATTCCTTGGCGAAGCCTCGAGGGTATGCTTTTACTACCGGCAAGTCTACAAAGACCTCAAGCGGGCGGGTCAAGGTGGTGTACGCATGTGACCGAAACACACAGTCGCCGAGCTTATCTTCCGAATGAGTTCACCGCACCTCGAGCCGAAGGACTAGCTGCAAATTTTCTCTTCTCGCCAAAGATTCGCAGGATGAGAGTGCATAGATCCTGAGCCATCGTCCGAATAAAGAATGGGGTAAGCACAATCACCCACCAAGCGAGCACCTCTCTGCATACCTAGTATATCGACCATTTAAAGAGCAAGATACTGCCACCATCTCTAGCCTTACAATATCTAGAACTACTCCGCAAGATATAAGAACTATCTCCATAATCATTCGGTGACGCTAGCAACCCAACGGGACATATACAATCACGTCGCGGAGACGAGAAGAGACCTACATAAAGGCCAGAGCAGCATCAAGCGCTGGTTGACTAATCAGACAAAGAATGGTTTTAGTGGCAAGTCCGTCTAGACTCAGATAATTAATTGACAGCAATCTTTTTCGCTCGTCCGAATTCTGTGACATACTTACAGTACAACCCTGATGTTTTATTATTAGATTACATATATAATACAAGCAAGCACCACATACCACTGGTTGACATTATTGGAGTCGATTCTTGCCAGCGTTCTTTCTGCATAGAGTTTGCCTTTCTTTGGGCAAATCAGAAAAGGATTACTCGTGGACACTAGAGCACCTTAGATCGCTCTATTAACTTGAGCATCCCGCACTCATTCTGACTGATAGATACCTCATGGCTATGAATGCTGCTATAGTCTGGTTCTCTTCTTCCGTAGCACTGCTTTGCCTATAGACGTAGATTTTGTGTCAAGCATGTATGAAGGAACATGTCGAGTGGTTCAAGATATTACCCAAGGAGGCGGCAGCAGCGATCAAGAAGTGGACCTACCATATGAAAAGGATCAGAATCAGCCAGGGATATTGAGAAGTGACGGAAATCGTGATTCTATCGAGAATCAGAGAGCAAGATAGTGGAACAGAAATAGCTGAACTACCATTTGGGTGGAACAAGTGAGTTCAAATGTTCAAGTACTTTTGGGGTGGACACCTGCTATGTTACCACATTGTCAGCTTAGCACATGTCGCTATATAAAGGTCGAATACTAAACAGCCTGTATTACCAGAAAGCACGTACGGATATACAAGAAGCACCGCGAAATCATTCGCCGCATGCAGGTTTACCGCGGTGAGATGGCAGGCGGCCATCCACAGTTCCCTGCTCAGTCCAAACCTGCACTTGTCAAGCTAGACGGCTCACTGGAGTTCGTCACTGATACCGAACATACTGCCGAGAATGATGCGATTATCGAGCAGTATATTCGAGAACACGTCAGCACTACTTAGCACTCATTAGGGACATGCAAGAAGACTCCCGGTGAGGTGCTAGGTGTGGTAGATTGTTCCCTCACAGTCTCCAGCGTAGAGAGTTTCAAGGTGGAGACTTGAGCATTTCGCTAAGCAATGTTGGTGAAACCACAAACACCACCGCATTGGCAATTGGATAGAGGGCGGCAGATATCTTTATCAAGGAGCTTGGTCTTGAGAAGCATTGCGATACTAGATGTCCTGTCTAGTGCACTAGTAGTCGCACTATTTGCCTGATGATTTATATGCACTACAGGGTCCAATGCCAAAAAAGTTTTATGCCGTGAACAATAGTCCATCATTTGATCAATTTCTTCTGTAATACCTGTGTTTAATGAGCTGTCGAACTAAAGATTGATGGTGATTCCAACGTTTGCCGCCGCATCGGGAGAGCATGTCGAATTAGCCCGATGATTGGCCACGACATTACGAGCAATGTGTTGACGTCGAGCATTGACAATTGTTCAAGTCACGGCATCCACGGAATTAGGGTGTACCCGACGATTGGTAGATCGAGAGCTTAGCAGAACAACGTGGCCACAGTAAAGCCGCTGGCAAACCTATGCAAGAACCTCGAGTTCCTGACCACTTGGCGATTTCGCGGACGGATCACAAACGTCCAGTAGAGACGAGGTCAGACGACATAGTCTGTGTTTGTAAGGGCGGGCACGGTACGGTGGTAATACTTGGTCCGATAGGAGCAAAACATTGTTCCCTGCAGACAGGTACAATTAATTGTGTATTACTCAAAGGCACCCCGGTCTGCCCGGTAGTGGACTGGAACATACTGGTTCTGGGCAAGGGTTTGGAGGTCGAAGGTTGAAGGTGGGTCCGTCTGTGGCGTGCGTGTTGTGGCTTGTGCGGGTCCAAGCGCCCTGGCTCTTTCGCCGGACTGGGACTGGAACTGCAATCGGAACTCGAAGCTTGAACATCATCGTCGCAATTATTCAGATCAATTCACGCCAGAGCCCCGTACGTGACCGCAAACATGGCCGGAAGCTCGTTCGAATCGTTGCCCAGTAAGCCGAACCAGCCACCACAGCCAATGCTGGCGATTGGCAGCTAATCACCACCACAGAGGCAACCCGCGAGGAGATGCGCGAGGCCAAACTCCCCCTCGCATACAGAGACGGCTGCGCCAACCTGTTGATCCCTCTGAACCGATGCCGAACAGAGAGCTACTACCTGCCGTGGAAGTGTGGTGTACGTGTGCCCAGAGGACAAGTCCACCGACCCGATTGACACGAGGGCACCGCCGAGAATTCAGTGAATGCTAACCGCCCCCGAACATATAGGACGAGCGACACAGCTACGAGAAGTGCCAATACGACGAGTTCAAGAAGCGAGTGGCCAAGATGAACGAGCTGAGGGAAGCCAAGGAGGGCGCACGAAGCAACTAGACTGGCATTGGCATGAATGGAGATCGGGCGAGGTCAAGCCCATTGTACATATACCCCCAACAAGATGGGACATTCCGCCACGAAATACAACAAAACACCTATCCGATATCGCCATTGATGTCCACTGCCCCTCTATCTCCTTCAAAACCATCGTAACCTGGGGCCTGCTGCAGATGTGAGATGAGACCTGTCCGGGTCCCGGCCCTCGAGATTATGGCATGCTTGGAAACCACGGGAAACTTCCAGACACTACCTCTTTAACCGATCTACATAGCTAACCAACCGTTTCTTGATAATGACGCCCAACACCCGAGCAGTATCTTCTTCCACGACAATCAGGAACCGGAGTCCCAGTTTACCAAACATCTCCACCGCCATTTCAACTGGCGAGCCCTTGCAGATTGTCAGCGGAGCTTTGTCTACAAAGTCGCTCAGGGGACCTTCGAGCAGATCCACTTCGCTCTGTCCTCCCTCCAGCAGCGAAAGCCCGAATTCCAGCTCTGATTCGGGCAAGTAGCCGTGGCAGGTACCCTTTTCGGTCACGAGCACAAGGCCGGCGTCCATTAGACCTCTTGCCTTGAGCTGCTTCAGCTTGCCTTCTATTGTAGTTCTTGAAATCTTGTACTCGGCGCCCACATGCAGGGTAATCTCCTCCATCGTCCGTCTGGGCGGGATCAGATCTTCCACTGTGCCTCCGTTTTCCCGCACGAGCTGAAGTGCATGTTCCGGGTCCAGAAACGGGTGGCCCAGAACGTGCTGCGCGAGATCGTACACGCTCTCTAATGATATGGCGTCCGCAACCCACTTGGCAGTCAAGATTGCCATCATGAACGGCAGTATGTAATTCACCTCGCCTGTCAGCTCAAACATGATTACCGTCAGACTGACTGTCATCCTGCTTACGCCCGCGAGGAAGGCAGCGCTGCCGACCATGGCAAATATCCCAGGCGAGATCGAATGGAACAGAAACGGGAGCTGCCCGACCAGGCGCCCGAACAGAGCTCCTGCATCCAGCGCTGGAATGATGATGCCAGAGGGCACCTTGCAGCCGAAGGTAATGATGGTCAAAACGAGCTTGATGAGTGTCCCCTCGATGAGCCAGAAGTAGTACATCCCCTTGTGTTCGCTCCATTCCTGAGCGCAGAGCCACGAATCTTCCTGGGGCCTGTTGCAATCCACCAATAGCTTCGACATGACCACGTCACCCGTGTCACGGATCATGCGATTAGGGAACTGCAAAACGGCAGTCACCAATACGACCAGAGTCAATTCCAATACCGGGTGGTTTTTGATGAGACTGTATTTCCGGAAATGCTTGGACCAGAGAAAGTTGGCTTGGCAGAAAACACCACCGAAGATGCCACCAGCTATACCGAGAATGACGAATACGAGATAATGAACCGGCTCATAGTTGGTGCCGTAGTTCGTCTCGAAGAGCACCAGCTTCCCTGTCCCGGTAGGATTCAGCTGCTTGAGAGTGACTGCTGCCACCATCGAACAAAGGAAGGACTTCCAGAGGACTCGGCGTGGGAAGTACGTGCTGATTTCCTGCATCATGTCAATAAAAGCCAAACCACGAAAGACAATCAGAGCTGCTTACTTCGTAGCTGAACAACACACCGCCAATCGGCGCGCCAAACGCGACGCTCAGACCAGCACTGCAGGCCACGGACAGCATTTCTCTGAGCTTCTTGTCATTTGCGCCGTATTTTGGAAACCATTGAGCAACGATGTACCCGACACAGGTCGAGATGTGCACAAACGGCCCTTCCTTGCCAAGACACATACCCGTGGCCACTGCGAACGTCGCCCCGACCGCCTTGACCAGCAGGACCTTCAGGTCCAGGAAATGCGGTATGACGAAGCCCGAGAGGATCGTTTTGATCTCGGGTATGCCCGATCCTGCGGCCATGTACATCATCTTACCGCCTCCGTCGCTCTTTCCTCTGTTCCTCGGTTCTGTCTCGTCGGCCTCGCCGTCTATTTCTTCCTCCTGCTCCACAGCCGGCAGCTTCGCCCTCGTCAACATGGTGACGTTACCAGCCACGAGGCCAAACAGCAACGCGAAAGCGACGTAGACGGCATAACCCCTGGCCCAATCCGCACCGCCCCAGCTCCTCCAGTCCTCGCACGCCTGTCCTCCGCCGTCCCCGTCCGGCCGCCTGACCTCCCTCCCGCAGCACCTGCCCCTCTCCAGCAAGGGGTTCCAGGCACAGTACCCCTCCTTCCAGTCCGCGGCCAGGGCGACCGCGACGTCGACCCCCGCCGCCACCAGGGCCGTCAGGACCCCGATGACGCCCGCGGCGACCCACCCCTGCGCCCCTTCCCACCACCGCGCGAGGCCGCCGCGCAGGCCGCCCGCGCCCCACCGCTCCCGGGCGGACCGCAGCCGCGCCGAGTCCCTGGCCAGCTCGTGCAGCCAGTCGATGGTCGCGTAGTCGTTGTAGGGCAGGCGCTCGCCGCCGCCGGGGGCACATGGGTGCGGGCCGCGTTCCTGCTTGGAGAGTTGTGAGGAGAGGAGGGATTCGAGATCTGCGGTATTGTCGTGGTGGGACGGTGGTGGTGCTGTGGAGGGAGGGGGGTGCGGGGGGAGGAGGAGGGGAGTTGATTCCGTGGGTTCTGGGGTGTTGCTGTCCGGCATTGTGTTGGATGGTCCGGTGAATGTCGAGCACGTCAAGCTTTCTCCCGGTAGAGCTGGATTTTGATACTGGGGGAAGTATGAGTTAACTTTCTAAAAAGGTTGGGAAAAAATTTCTTACTGAAAACAAGTGTTATTTCTTATGTCTGTGTCTACACAACGTATTATACCAGAGCGGCAGAACACCGCTGGTAACTACTATAAAGCGTCCGATCTCAGGGTTTCCACGTTCGCATTCACAAAACCATACTTGCACCTCATCCTATGAAGAAGAACGAACATTGAACCCCAGGAAATCACCGCTATCTACGGAAGCTTATCAGTCCGCCCTCACTCAGATTCCCCACGGTGTTGCTTGTGAGTGAGGGATGTCTGGTCAACGCTTCATGTCAATTAGTCGTTCTTTTAGGGGTGGTTTCTATTGATAAGGCTAACCACGATCCCGCGGCCCGGTACGTCACAGATAAGCGCATACCCACGAGTGATTGGCGCCAAGCTTTTTGGGGATCTTGATGCCCTTCCCTCCATGCAGGCGAGAGCCGGTCGATCGGATATCTGTCTAGACTAGCCTAGAGATCTAGATCCTGCTTACGTAGGGGGAAAACGTTCCCTTGGTATGGGTTTATTTGACTAATAATGTTGGCACGCGGGCCTATTTGTCTAGCTGTGGGGTTTCAGTTGTTTCGCAATGAAGAAAGTGCACAGGAACACGACGGACAGAAGTCATCGATGTACAAGTTCAAACCATTCATGTTAGCTGATCTAGCTATGACAACACTGCTCACTGGGTATAACGTCCAATACAATACTGTTCTCACACGCGAACACTCTTCCGCTTGCCAATCGGCGTTCGTGCTTCAACTCCTCCTGCAACTGAAAATACTCAAAGCCAATCGCGGTACATCTCCTAGAACAAACTCTTGACCTTGGTGCCTTTCTTGAGTCTCTTCATCGCAGCCGCAGCACTCTCCATACCTCTAAGCTGAGAGTTGTACGAGTTCTGAGAGGTACCGACATCTCTCCTAGTCTTCGGCGCTTTCTTCTGGGACGCCAATGGGGCCGTGGAGCCTCCGGCAGGACGGCTCTTCTTAACCCAGCCGGGTGCTTTCGGTGATCTCGCACGCGAGATGTTCTCTTCGTCGTCGTCTCTTGCTGGTGAGTAGCTTTCATCCTTGTCGTCATCTGGATAATGTTCTACGAATTTCGGTTCGTCGCTATCGCTGCTGATCTCGAGAACTTGTGTGCCGGACGGGATTGAAAAGTTATATTGCGACGAGGTGCGATTCGAACGTCTGGTCTTTGATGCCGGGGGGGAGTCTCGAGTCTTGATGGGTGGCGATGCTGGGACCTGGGACTTCTTGGTACCCTCTCGACGAAGAATGGGAGGTGGCGAGATCTTCATGTCGGTACGAGCACGCGGTGGGAGTGATGAAAGACGGTCAAAGTCAGAGCCACAACCCATGTACCGATCGTTGTTGGCTGCACCACCAAACGAGGAAGACTGGGTCTGCGGCTTTGAAGACTGGCTCTTTTTCTTGAAGCTATCACTGATCTTGCTTACGCTTTGTGAGACTTCTTCGTCCTCAGAAAAGTCGTCCAATTTCCGCATGGCCTCTTCGTACTCGGCGTCGTGCTCATTCGACGTCTGTGATTTCTCTGACTTCATACTCGACAGCAGTTGAACCTTCGAGGGGCTCTGTGTATTTCGTTGTGAAGTCGCTGCTGTACACCAGACTGTCCCCAGAGAGGCCAACGAGCAAGGTGTCGATGAAACAGAATCCGTCAAGTCTCGTTTTGACGGGCTATCCTTGACGTAAGCACTATGCTTCTTCGGTGTTTCGAGGTTGCCGTTCTTCTGAGCAGAAGAAGGAACTGGGGTCTCATCCTGGTCTTCGCTATCGCCGACGATCTCCGTGACCTTTCCCAAGACAAGCGAAACTCCGTGGTTTTGTTGATCATCATGCCCAGTAGAATCTTCAGTCGTGGCTCTAAAAGTGAACGGTTGGTCCATATCCAGATTCATGGACATGTCAGGTTGTCGGCCGCTACGAACACTGCTTGCAGACGAGGAAGGAACTTTACGCTTGTGATGAGAAATTCTCGGTGTTCCAGTGATGACATCTGCTTCATGTATTTGCATCGAGGATTCTTCGTATTCAGGGGCAGAATCCGAAAACGTAGGGTCGAAAGTGGTTTGCTCGATTAATGCAGAAATGCCATCAGAGAGCTCTAAAGGCAAAACATCGCCAGCCGACACGTCGATGATACTTGTCGTTCCATCGTGCAATTGACGTGAAGGGCTGCTAACCTGTGAAAGGTCAGATACTGAGTTCTCGGCTGGCGATCTAACTTTTCCCAAATGGCCGACAGTGGAGATGGAGTGTTGTGCAATACCTTCTAGAAATGAGTTCGGGGTCTCGGATGGTTCGCTCGACTTGGTCGTTCTGCGAACCTCTTGAGCGGGGTGAGCTTCGTCCGTGGTCGTATCCATGACCTCGGAGTCATGGTGTGGCAGAATACTATCGTCGAATCCTTCGAATGTGGTATCTTTAGGTTCCATAGTGACGTCCGCATTGACGACACATTCCCTGAGATCCTCGGAAATTTTGGTCTGTTGAAGCTCAGTACGCTCCTCAGGTTCCTGCTCAATCGAAGGGATAGTAGTTTCTCCGGCTGGCTCGCCCAGGGGTATGGCAGGTTGCAAGATTCGAGGGTCCTGGATTGTAGCAAAACTCAATGTTCGGTAACCCTCTCTCATTCTCTTGGTCTCTTCATCTTCTTCTTCCTCGTCATCATCTACCTCTGGAGCCTCAAACTTGTCATAGACGCGTCGTCCTGTATTGTTGTCGTACTCCTTCTCCGGCATTTCCAAATCGCGATCGCGCTTTGCCAGGAGAACCTCGAGACCTGTCGCACCATCATCAATTCTGCAGATGACTCCACTAAGGCTAAGAACTTGTGGCTGCCATTTGGTGGCCTTGGACATGATGAACTGTTTCCAGGTAATGACCATGCCATTTTGTGCCTCACCAGGATGAAGAGGCTTCAGATCGTTAAGATTATCTGGCAAAGACGGCAAATCGTCGATGTCAGCCATGTGGATTGTATCGTTAGCGCCGTTAACCGTATGGTCTTGGACATCATCATAGTTTAACACGATATCCGGTGTATCATCAGTCTGAGCGGCCTGCATTGAGTCATCGTAGTAGCTCTCATCCCAGCCCTGAGACTCGTGTACTCGCTTCTTCCCTTGACTCTGGTCATCTTGGTAGAAGTGCGGTTGGTTCCGCTCAACTTTCTTGCCGCGGCCACCTCGTTTGTTGTTCTTGTGGAACCAGCCGTTTTGCTGTTGTGGGTCCCATCGTTGGACGAAAGGAAAAGGTGGCTCGCTCAGCTCGACTCCTTCCTGGCAGCACTCAACGGCTCGGTAAGTGATTTTCTGTCGCCAAGCGTCCGGGTCTTCGTCGGGAAGCACCGGTGCCCTCTCTTTCTGTTGCTCTGACACATCAGCAGACTTCGTCGTCGCCTCTTCCTCGCTTATTCTAGCATTCTGAAGGGGTCGAACATCTTTCATGAGCTTATTTCGCAGTTTGTCTTCATCATCCTTGGACTTGGGGTTTCGAAGCCCAAGTGCACCAAAAATTAATCGACGATTTGCGCCCAGATCAAGTTTACGTCTCTTCTGCGTTGAAGATGGCGAGTCTGTCTCCTCTGCGACGGCGGTCACAGCGGTGATGTCCTTTGGTGTCTTGTCGGGAATGTCTTGGTCAGACATTTTGGTATTTTTGACGTTCTTCGGTGTGTCTGGTTTGTCTCGTTTCCGCTTATTGCCGACTTGGGATTCACCCAAGTCTAGCTCGCCGCCTGGTCCAACTTCCACTCCACCATTGGAGATAGCATCAAGAAGAGCTTGTCGCTTGGCCTCGAAGAGCTCCTTGTCCATATCTGCTTTACTCTTCTTCATGGTTTCATGGGTTGACTCGTCTGCGGGACTCGCATCTTGATCAACTGAGGGAAGTGTCCCAAGGGCTGCAGCCCGTGCAATATCCTGCTTGGTCTTCTGAGCCAGACGACGCCGCTCATTACGCTTCTTCGTCTGAACACTACCTGTGCCAGGAATTCCTGTGCTTTTAAGGGAAACTGGTGGGGAGTGCGCTTTCGAGACAGCGGCATTGTGCAGGTTCTGCGTTGCAGTTGCGTTAGGTACATGTCGCTTCGTACGAGCGTCTCTCTCTCCACTGTCAGAGCCAGAGCTTGACTCGGAGTCGCTACTATCATCGTCTGAGCTCTCGCCTGAAGACGATGTCTCGTCGTCGGCATCTGAGTCTTCGTTGCTGCTAGAGGTAGTATCAGAGTGGTTGACGCCGACATGGATATGACTGGTTGCCTTTGGTTTGGCGATTGTGGCCTTTCTGACAGACTGCTCCTCGGGAGCACTATCACTGTCGCTGTCGCTGTCGCTGTCGCTGCTGGCTGCGCTACTGCTGGTATCCGAGCCGTCTGCGTCGCCATTGAGGTTGCCATTGACACCGCCATACTCATCCTCACTATCAGATGAAGAGCTATCAGATGCGCCATCGTCATTCGCCTCTTCTTCATTATCGGAGCTCGAGCTGCTCCCGCTGCTTGACGTATCGTCATCGTCCACGGCTTGAGATTCGTCAAATCTGCGCTTGCTGCCCGTCGGAATATGCGATATCGCCTTGCTATCACCACTTGACTTGTTATCTTCGAAGGAGGTGTGAACGCCGTTGGTACCTTTCAGGCCATTGGCGATATCGGCCATGGCTTTGAGAGCGTTGCCAGAGGATATGGATCCAGGAGGTAGACCTTGACGATCAAACCGGCGAATAAAGTTCATGTGACCTTCATCCTCTTCGTCTTCAGACTCTTCGTCATCGTCGTCATCGTCCGGCTGATCGGCCACATCGGGAACATCCATGTTGACGTTGTCATTTACTTCAGGCGGCGAGAGCTGGCCCTGATTCTCGTGCCATCGCTTCAAGAGCTCAGATCCCTTCAAAAAGTCGGATCGCTTCAGAGCCTCAGACTCAGGAAGCTTTGGCTGGAAGGCTTGAAGAAGTGTGAGATAGGATTTCTTGACGTCTCCTTCTTCAGCCGTAAGGACTTCGTGGCAAACTTGAACAGGTGCCATGGGAAAGGCAGTGTGGAGAGCAGCCATCTTGTGGAGGTCATGGAGGTTTTGATTGAGCAAGTCCTTTGAAAGAGTGGCCAGAAGCTGTTCTTCCAAGAGGCCGCCGTTTGCCGAGGTGTTGGCATTGGCAGACATTGGACGTGCCTGTTGCCTAGGTTGGCCCTTCCACGGATCCTGGGGTATTCCTGGCAGCAAGCCCGGAGTCGACTGAGCATCAGTGTCCTCGTCCTCGCCATCCTTTTGTAAGTCCTCGAGCTCCTTCGCCAGGTCGTCCTCATCGTCTTCACTGAGTTCATGTTCCATATCGTCATCTTCGTCCTCATCTGATCCCGAGCTTTCCTGGTCCAAGTCCTGACCTTCCATTTCTAGAGGCACATGGTCGCCCTCATTCTCGTCCTGCGGGTTGGCGTCCAGATCATCAAAGTCGGCAGCGATCCTGATGCTCCTCCTGCGGTCACCCTGCTGCTCTTCGCCATTGGTGAGCAACAACATGGGCTCCTGGAGCTCCTGCGGGTCCTGATAGTCGGGGTCGTCGTGCTCATCCTCATTCACATCCTCCACCTCGTCTTGGAAGCCAATTCGTCTTCGCTTTCGTGGTGGGATGTCGAGAGCGGGTCGCCCGCGGGGTGCTCTGATCAAGGGTCTTCCAAAAGCTATTCCGTCGATCAAGTGCTTCCCGTCGTTAGAAATCTGGAGTCTTCCGCTGACACGTCGTCGGCGCAGGTCATCTGTGAGCAGAGGTCGAATGCTGAGGAAATACAAGTCAGCTCGTGCACGGCTTGAAAGACCTAGGATTCAAAGGGGCTTAATTGAAGCTTACAAGACCTGATCGTCCTCCTTCAGCACGGTCTCGACAAGCTGGAAATGCAAACACTCGAAGCTCGAGCCATCGCTGCCCTTCAGCTCGACGGTGTAGTCGTCAAGTCCCCAGTCGGTGCTCTCCAGCGGGAGGATCTCGTTGACGTGCTCCAGGAGGATCGAGATGGTGGGCTTGTTCTCGAGGGGGACGGGCCATATGACGTTTGTCTCGGGAAGGCCGTTCCGACGCACGACGAGGCGCAGTCGCATGTGTGTGGCCATCACGAAGACATGGGTGGTGGTTTGAGTTCAGTCAGGAAGCTGGTCCCGAGGCGATGTTGGTTGCAACAAACAGGAGTCTTGTTGTGGTATGCTTGCAGCGTTTGGCGGGGGTTATCAAGTAAATCAATGGCAAAAGAATGACAGATTATGAAGCTTCAGTTTGGTACCGCAGATGTGAAGCTTGAAGGATTACACGGGTTTGGTACTGTAGAAATTACATGGTATGGCGACGATAAGATATGAGCTTGAGAATTAGATTTGGTGCAAGGTTAGTCTAGTAGAATCCTATGGAGAACTTAATTAATAAATTAAGTAGGTTAGAGACAAGACGCGGGTGCGCTAATGAATTTCGCGATGGAGGGACGACGCGCTAAAGTTTTTTATGTAGAAAAGGCAACGCAACCTCAAATCAATGTGGGGCGGCATGCATGCATTCTATGTACGTGTACATCTACAGATGTACTCCGTACAGATTTCTGGAAACCTGCCAGACCCAACCGACTCTACTTGGGAGACCGTGAGCAAACACAGTGATTTGTCTATTGGCATAGCTTCGTTTTGCGCATATCCGGTCTCATGAGGTCGGATCAGGCGTCATCTCACATGACACGTCTCGCATCGGCAATTCCACCAAAGAACCTTCACACCAGCTCCCAAGTAGTTTCAAGTCCGCGAGAAGCAGACCCGTACGGTTGTAACAGATACACAATAACAGATGCGGTGCTTGTCTATTTGCCCATTTGGTATGTACGTAGTCGCGCAATCGGCGAAAGCATCATGATGTCCAGAGTAGTGGGTAGAACCACTTCCTCGGACATGTGCAACCTAGTGGCTTTCATGAATGCACAAGTCCGCCCATCTACAGAGTGCTCACAAAGCAGCCCGGGTCTCTGCCCAGTACCGCGATTGAACTGGATCGCGTGGGACACCGCTAAAGAGTACATCACACGTCGCTTGTAGATCCGGGTTATGCTGTAGGTGGTAGTCCGCCCATATCTAACATATGCCCCATCTTCTCGATCTGTCTTACTGTTAGCACTCTTGTCCAAATTGTCCTCTACTCCATCTCCAGCGTGACTTACCTTTGTCTTCAGATACCCCTCCACCTCCTGGCTCCTAAATCCGCCTTTACCCTTCCAACTGAGTGGCACCATGGCCACCCTCTCCTTGACCCTAACCTCCCTATTTGGTCCTTCGACGGCACGGATCTTATCGGGGTTGTTGGTCAGTAACCTGACCTCCTCCTGACCCAGGTCCAACAGCATTGCGGTCGCCAGGCCATAACTTCGCGCGTCTGCCGGATGCTTGAGCAATAGGTTCGCCTCGACGGTATCCGAGCCCATATCTTGCAGGTTGTACGCCTTGAGTTTCTCGCCAAGCCCGATACCGCGGCCCTCTTGGCGCAGGTAGATGATAATGCCGCCGTTGTTGACTTGCGACGGCAGAGCCATGAGTCGCGCGGCCTCGTCCAGCTGCTCGCCGCAGTCGCACCGCGCCGACCATGCCGTCTCGCCCGTGTAGCACTCGGAGTGAATCCTCACCAGCGGCGGCCCGTTTGGCGCCTCTGGCTCGGCTGGGCCGGTGGTAGATCCGACCATGCCGCTCTTCGTCCGCCCTGGGTATAGTCTGCCAGTGTATGCGCCACGAACCATGCGGTCCATCTCCGTCTCGCCTTCCCGCGGCGCGTCGAGGCTCTTACTTCTGATGTTGTTGCCGAACACGATCGCCAGATGCTCCTTGTTGTCTACATTGTTCGTGTAGAGGTGTAGGAACATTTCCGTTCCGTTTACCGTCGGGATCCGTGCTCGTACTATGCATTGCACGTCGGGTAGTGTCTCTAACAGTCTCGGTCGCTTGACTCCAGCGCCTCCAGAGGGCAGTGAAGAGTCCACAGGCACACTACGGGGTTGTTCTGTGGAAGGCGTCGCTGTTCCCGGCGTCGCCGGCGGGGTGAATTGAGGTGACAGTAACGAGGGGAGCGGTGTCTGGTCATCTGAGTGTGTTGAGGAGGCAGTCGAGGACCTTGGGCGTTCGTTCAGCGACCCCAGAGCTGACAGGGAGAGCTTGTCCCTTTGCAATTGCGCGGCGCTGGGTGCTGCTCCTTCATGGTGGCCGAGCGCCCGAGACCGCGGGGAGTAGTGAGACGGCAGGCCTGCGGCCTCCTCGTGCCATTGTGGCTGTCCTTCTTGGCCCTGGTCCATATTTGATGATACTTCTAGGTTCGGCATGCAGCCGCTTTAAGATGTGAAATCTAATTCTGGCTCGCGAATCGCGAAACTCCGGCTTTCGCAACGACTGTAATGGCGCAATTGAATGTGTAGTGCCGGCGGGGTCGGAGGGGCACTTTTGGGGGGGGGGGGGTTTCTGATTCACAAAGGGGGTCGAGAAACGAACGACACGAACGAACCGAGGCTGCTGCTAGATGAGAGAAAACAGAGTCAATTGAGCGTAGGCAAGCAGTTCGAAATACGCATCTAGCTTTGGAGGTGAAGTGAATATGGCAAGAACAGGCAGTCTTGCCGGGGGTATAGATTATCTACAATGCTTATGATTATGATTACTCTAGCCTCGGGGGCTCATTAGTCAGTCGGGCGTCGGTGCGCGCCAATTTCATGTGCCACCATGATCATGACAGGATGGATTGTTTCCAATTCCATGCGACGGCCGACCCTTGCATGCGGTAATGCAATGCGGGGGGGATCTCATTTCCAGGGACTTGGATGCCCAGAACTTTCGCCGAGCTTCTTTCCGCTCTCGTCCACCGTTGACCGAGCACATCAATGCTGCTTTCACAGCAAAGTCATTGACATCCAGAGATAAACACTAACTCTGTTCAAATTGTTGTAAGAACAGAAGCAGCAGAGGCAGCAGAAGCAGTCTAAACATGTTTCTTTCGGACAGGTGCTTGTGCGCCACGAAACAACAAGTTTCAAGAGGCAGGCAGCTGACAAGGGATAAGACGTCATCAAGGCGATATGCCATTGGTAGTTCAACTGAATTGGTGAGGAACGTTGCACAAGGATCACACAAAGTCCTGCGCTTTCGCTGTTCTGTAGCATTTAATTCATTGGTATGAAATACAACGCGCCGTTATACTACCAGTCGTCTCTCTATCATCGGCAACGAACTTCGGGACAGCCCTCCGCAACATGGGGAGCACATCCGACGTCTGCTACCCGGATACCGGCCAATCATTGCACCACTCCGTCCCCCAAGACTATTCCATAAGAAAGCATAACGGAAACGTGCCGTTGTCATGACTGTCGGAAGTTGCGTCCCTTGTGTCAACTGGCTTCAGTTGCCACTAAAGTAATATGCCGGCTTTCGACCATGATGCTTCTTCCGGACTTCCACCACGTCGCTATCTTTCATTCCTTCATGTCGCAACGAGTGAGGCGACATGAAGGGAAGCGGCTTCTCTTGCATCATGAGCTTGCAGTCTTCGTAGCTTCTGCCGACCTTGTTGCTTAACTCGCGACGAACTCGTCTGGTGAAAGCTTGGGGTTTATCGGTGGGCCAAATCTTGCAATCCAACTCCTTGAGTTTATGCCCGACCCAATCTACCACATGTCAGCACAGCTTCCTCGCACACTAACACGATACGAATCAGAGCTGGTGTTGTTTACTATGAAAAACTTAGCTTACACTGGACGTGCATTGTCTAAGCTGGAAGTGACTTCTTCAGCTTCCGCGCCGTCGTCTTGTAGTTCTGGGCGCTCGGAATAGATCAAGTCTTCTTCACAAAATTCATCGGTTAGTCCAAGATATGACTTGTAGGTGTTTCGAAGAACACATCCAAGGACATCTTGACCCTGTCCCACGTATTCTCATCCAGCTCGAATTGAGACGTTCTGCCACCAACTTCGGTGCTATAGTAGGTGGACATGGTACTAACGTTAGCAGGAGTGACATTGAGGTGGATGCTGACGAACTCGAGTAACTGCTGCAAGGGTTCGGGTTTTTTTCTTCTTCTTTTTTTTTCTTGTGCCCAAGCCGCGGCCACTATGATAGACCACTATGCGGCTTTCGTTGTTGTCTTCAGATGTGTCAGTACGGCGGGCCTTTTTAGAGCCTGATATGCTTGACAAAGAGGTGGATCGCTTCCTTCCAGATGCCATGATATGCTGCAGTGGTGTTAACAGTTTGGAAAAGTGAGATGTGTGAGCCGAAGCGAGGTGAATGGTCACTCATCACGATATTTGTGTATATATTTAGACGTGAAAAGAAGATCAGGCGAATTTAGAGAGCCAATATAATGAAATGTTTTGAGTTAAAATGTATCCCTTAATCAAATTTAAAATATTAAAAATCAATTGCTAGTTAGGTCGTGGTTGCTATTCGTTATTACAACAGTCCTTGTGCAGTTGTATGTACATATAAGATTATATCAACTATAACACATTCCCAGGAGCAAGAACATCACAACCACCACTAATTTTTACAAGCATAGACACATCAAGTCCGAAGTACTTATTCGTCAAGAGCCAGAAATAAATGCAGCACGTGATATTTGGAACACAGATCCAACGCCAAGCTATAACAAACTCCCATGTAATCCAGAAGAAAAGAACCGCCCCCCACCCCAGTTTGATGTCGTTTCACCTTTGATAGGATGATTTGTGAATAGAGAAGGACATTCGGATAAATTTTTGGTGTACGGCGTATGATGAACTCGAATGAAGCAATCGAACTATGTGCTGCTGTGTCATATCTTAGTCAAATTATAATTACGGAAACATTGCCGTCCATGCAAGAGATTACCAACAACCGACGATCGGTAGGCACACCCTCCTTGCATGGTTTAATACGATGCAGGAGATTTCTTACACTCGATCAAACATAGCAATTCCATAGCATTCATATCTCATGGCACCATCGCAACATTTAGCGAGATGAGAAACATGCATTGAGGAAGGTCTGGACTGTCAAAGCTTTGCCCATATCCCAGCCTTTAGACGGGTGATTTATATCAAGCAAGGCGAGAGCTGTGTACATGCGGATGGCTCAGAAAACGGTGGAAATCAGCAGCACTGATGGATGGTGCGTGGTCTGTTAATCGAAGCATAATATGAGATTTGATCCCATCTCTCTGATGATGTCCTTCGCAGCAACACAAACAAGATATTGCTCCAGCCACTGTTTTGATAATATCCAACTTGGCAGGAGCCTACGCTAGTTACCTTGATTCGGTCACTCGTTATCACCACATTAATACTTTGTTCTACCTACATCATGCAACTCATTCATTCTTCCGTTACCGTCCTTGCTGCCCTCCTCGCAGTCATCCATGCCATCCTTGCCAAAACATGAACTTATGACGCGACGGCTCTGGCGTCCGACTGCGCCGTAGGCCAAGGGGTGCTGCGATCGTCCGACACGGCGTAGGTTATCCAAGACAACCTGCCCTACATCTCCCGGCTGATCCAGTACAACACCTGCGCGCTGCTACTATGGGCGGACGTCGACGACTTCACCGTCGGGGGCAGCGACTTCCAAATGTCTTCGGCGCCGCCATGGACTCCCTGGTCACGCCAGACGGGTGGATCGGCGGTGAGATGCACACCACCTGCACCAACCTGGAGCGCGACGGCGTGCCGCAGGCTGTGACATGGAATATTGTGAGGTGGAATGGGTCGGCTACCAACCAAATTGAGTAGTTGATATGGTTTTGCCGGTTGATGTTCTACGGGGGCAATAATTGTCATCCATGGATACCAATAATTCACTTGGGAGGTCTATGTTTGCTCTAAATATCCGGGGTCATAGCTATTGCCCTGCCCCTACATTCAAGAATGTGCCATCCTTCCTCATATTGTGCTTCTTGATAATGTTTAGCAGCCACTTTTGCTCACAACTATTCCTCTATATATCAAGCTGCTCTATGAGAGTGGTTGGACATCGCAAGTTTGATAAGTCACAAGTCTTTCTTCATCTCCATTCAAAGCTATACGCTTTTCACCTCGTCGCCGCTCTTGATTCGACTCAAATTGATCATATATGCTTGTGCCCAACCATTAATTCAACAATATCAGGTCTTCGTGGCTCAGTTGGTTAGAGCGTCAGTCTCATACTCTATACGTATGATTCTCTTGGTAACGAGAGGAAACCCCCTATCTGAAGGTCGCCAGTTCGAACCTGGCCGAGGACATATATTTTGTGGTTCATGCCACCAATGGTTTTTATGAAATACCCTCTTTATTTTTTTTCTATTTTTTTTCAAGCCGACGGGGCGGATCCGTCACAGGGTGCACAAGCCCCGATTTCATAGAGAAAGAGTGGAGAACAGTAGAGGATACGACCTGCCGAACTCGCGACGAACGCCAAAAACGCCGGTCTTCCGGTTCCAAAAAAGTGAATTTTTGCCAGTCAATCGATAATTCTAGCAATACACACACGCCAGATACGGCAAAATATTGGAGAAGCAGGTGATCGAAACCTGGACTTCTCGCATTTTTGCGTTGTTAATGCAAAGCGAGCACTCTACCACTGAGTTACATCCCCATAATTGGATGTGAGTAAATGTTTTAACGTGGACTAGATTCAATAGAGATATAGTGGGTCCCGACATCACTAACAAATTACTACTCCATCAGACTAGACTGAGAAGGTTTAGTCATCAACGAAGAGTTTTGCAAATAGCAAGTCAAGTTGATTATCGCGAAACACTGAAATTCTGTCGACGTGGTTTAACCAGTTTCTAGCTCTGTGTATGTTTATCTATAGTCATTGCAGATAACCTTAGGCTGCCGGTATGCCCAGAGCGGCGTAAATCTTCTGTATTTCTGCAGGATCTGCCAGATCAGGAACTTTCTCGTTCTTCGCCAAGGCATTGATCTGCAAGACAGCACCAGTGAGGCGCAAGATCAGGTTGTCCTCGTCCACCGCGACCTTTCCAACACCCTTCGCCTTTCCAGACACTAGTAGTGTGGGGAGGTCAAAGTCCTGAGCTGCGGCTCGACCGATACCGATACCATGGACACCACTTTGCAGGGCCTGGACCATGCCATCGACCGTCTTGAATCCGCCAGTAGTGTAGACCTTCAGCGACGTGACAGACTTGGCGATCTGCTCGGCAAACTCAATGAAGTAGGCTTCTCGCTTGCGCGTGCTGTCCTTCTTGTGCAGGAAGGCGTTGGTCTCGTATGTGCCTCCACTCGTCTCTACGTAGTCAAAGCCAGCCTTTTCGAGGTTTTGGCAAAGGATAACGGCCTCCTCGGGTGTGAAACCTTTGTCCTGGAACTCCACAGAGTTGACTTTGATACCGAGAATGAACTTGTCGCTGACCTTGGACTTGATTGAGGCGGCAATTTCCAGAATGATGCGCATGCGGTTCTCCAAACTTCCACCATACTTGTCAGTCCTCTGGTTGGTCGTGGGACTGAGAAACTGTGCAAGCAAGTATCCGTGAGCACCGTGCAGCTGGATACCATCGAACCCAGCCTTCTCGAGATAGAGAGCGGTGTGCGTGAATCCCTTGATGACCTTCTCGATGTCTTCCTCGGTAGCAGCACGTGGCTTGGCGTAGGTTTTGCCCATGGCAGCGGATACCAGCTGCACATCGCTGGCACTGATGGGGTGCTTCTGTACGTCATCGCTAACCTGGCGTCCAGGATGCGATACCTGGGCGACGATCAGACTGCCATGAGCCTTGGCCGCCGTCGCGATGGCCTTGAAGCCCTCGAATCGCTCGCCCTCGAAAGGAGCGTCGGCGGGGACGATGGTGTTTCCTGGTGCCTCGAGGTGCCCGGGGTCGATCATCACGTTGCCAGTCAAGATTTGACCCCACTTGCCCTCACCCCATTTGCGATAAAGATTCTCGAGTTCCTTGCCAGGAATTCCCCTCTTAGAAAGATCCTCCGCATCGTAGGTAGCCAGCCTCTCGGACATGGCAGCATTAAGAAAACGGTTGATGGCGGAACGTTTCGAGACGGGGAACTCAAGTGGCTCCCCCAGAGGAGCTGGGTCCACAGGGGCTGATTCGTAGCGTGCTGAAGACATGATGTGAGGAAAGTCTATTACTGAAAGATTCTGTTGAGAGTGTGGTTTATCGAACGAGAGGTGATAGATATATGGCAGGTGGAAGTGAGAAGCAGATATATTTATACTCTATGGCATGTGGCGTCCATGGGAAGATCCTGTCGTTTCACGGGTGCACATCCCATATCGAAATGGGAGATGACTCCACTAACGCTGGAGCGGGACAAATTGCAGATTATGGGGCTACAAGCAGACTAGAATACACATAGCACGGTATCATTGCGGTGAAACGCAATGGGGCATTCGAGACGGCAAATGTTGAGGATTGCCCATATTCTGGAATCTGTACCTCATGGAATTGTAGCCGAACGATGGATCGGAGTCCACTTGGTCTGGCATGGACGTATCTCTCCGAAACCCAGGGACAGGGGCTCTACTGTGAGCCGAGGATCAAAAGAATACCATAGTATAAGTCAAGTGCGCAATTTTGCCAGACGACAATTATCAGAATCTTTAAAGCCTAGGTGGGGGTGATTTCTAAGCAGAGTGACGACTTGTGGATACACACCCAGAATGGCCTGAGCCTAGATGAACGATTGGTTAATATCGGTCTCCAATTCATCCGTTCGGTGCCGTCACACCCCACGTTTCACTAAGCATTGTACTTGCACCGACCTGTGCAATGCCGAACCACCACCAGCTATCGATGGAATTGTCGGAATGAGGCGCACTCATGGACAACAATTATACCGTTCGTTTAGGCAACCTAGGCCGGCCTGAGTCAGAACTCACGCAAGGGAGAGCAGCGGTCGTTTCCCATCTGTTCCTACTCGTCCTTGCGGCATGACTCCTACAAGGCGGCGTTCTGGTCAGCCTGGTCGCTTCACACGCACACACACAGAGAGAGAGGGAGGGGGAGAGAGACAGATAGAGGAGAGAAAGAGATAGCTTGGCATTTAGAGGGTGTTAATTTGAGCGTCCTGGTCACACGACGCAATCTATCTTCTTTCAATCGGCCAGGACTGGTCACAAATGGATTCAAATGCCACCCAGCTATCAAAATTGCTGGAAATGCTGACAAGCAGGTCAAGGGTTTACACGAGGAACAGGCCAGCCAACTCACAAGTCTCTAATACGGATTCTATCATCCTGAATAGACCACACCAATTGGACTGGCTCGGTTAAGTTCCGACCATTGTGTCTAGTTCAACCATTCTGAATCAACACCCTATGGCGATCGAGAAGAAATGTGCCTCACCCGAAGTGAACTTGGCCCCTTCGAATATCATCCGAAAGATTGGTCACTCGCTTATACGGTCGGTACCAGCTTGCTTCCCCTTAATTTCTTCTTCAGCCCTCTCCAAAGCACCTGGCTCCAAAGGATCGACACCAAGTCTCATAGCTTCGGCAACTTCTGCTGCTGGTCCAATAAACCATTTTCTTGCGCTGATGACCCATGTACCGCTTGCGCCTATGGCGATTATGCCCACAGCTACAACAGTATAATTCAAAGTCTGATCCGACACTGGATTACTCGTTGGTAAGCAGAATACAACAGTAATTGCCATAATCCAAGCACACGCTGTGGCAGCAATGGGTCGACTTAGAACTCCCAGGTTGAAAGGGCCTTTCATGGAAGTAAACGGTTTATGCCAGATAAGTCCAATCATAATAGGGAGACCGTAGGATATGTAGAGACCAATAGTTGCAATGCTGGTGGCAGCAGAGAAAGCCACACTTGAACCGAGACTGGGGAGCGACAGAATGAAACTAAGGGTTGCAGCCAGCCAGATGGTACGGATCGGACTGCGAAAACGGTTGTCCACTTTGTGGAAGAACGACGGGATTCCACCATCGCGAGCAAAGGCGAACATCATCCGGCTGTTGGACGTCATCGAGAAGAGACCACAATGCCAGACGCAAACCATAATCAGTGTGAATAGTGCGAGCGCACCATCTTCTCCGAAAATGTCAACGAAAATCTTGAGTACCGGTGAGCCGTAGTTTATCTCGCTATTGATGACATCGTCGAAACTCTGGATCGAGAAGAGCAGCGACATCATGACGAAGAACCCAAAAATAGCGCTGAAGCCGACAGAAGAGATGACGCCAATCGGTGCCGCCCACGATGCATTTCTTGTTTCCTCAGACAGGTGAGCTGATGCATCAAACCCGGTCAACGTGTACTGTGATAATAAGGCACCGCACACCATGACATAGGCAGGGCTTGCCCGTTCACTCCAGCCCACTCCTTCCAGGCCAGTACCATCATAAAAGAAGCCAAACACGAAGGACCCAGGCTGATGCCATGGAGCTTTGGCGAGGACAGCGATGCAGAGCGCAGTGACGCCGGCGGAGTGGAGGACAATACTGGTGTTATTGAGGAAGCGTAGGGTGTGCACACCGAAGGAGTTGACCAGACCATGCGATACCAGGACCGCGGCATAGATGCCAACAGTCTTTGCTGGAGTGGACTCGTAGTCGGGGTTCTTGACCGTCACTGCCGTCGCGATCAGCCCTGCAAGGCCAAAAGAGATACCAGTTGTTACAGCGACCTGTCCCAGAAAGTTAAACCAGCCAGTCATCCATGCTGCAAAGGCGGATTGCTTAGGAGGGGCCAATAAAGCTGCCCAATAATAGGGCCCGCCAGCTGTGGGAATTGCTGAAACGATCTCGGCCATCGCAATAGCAACTGTCATTGTGAAGAAAGAGACAATAATCCACCCAACAGACATAACCCCCGGGCCTCCCGTGTTAAGTCCATAGCTAAACAGTGTTGTAATCCCCGTAATGACACTCTTGAAATCATGTCAACATTAGACAAGTCATGTTACCCGTGAAGGAGCAGGAGCTTATTCTTACAATGATCGAGAACGACACGCCAAAATTATGCGTCAAGCCCCAGTCTCGCTTCAACTCTTGTTTGTAACCAAATTGCGCGAGCTTGTTCTCGTCACTGGTGGACGCCACCACCTCAGCGGGAGGAATGTCGTGAGCTGCCATACTGTATCGTCTTACAGGCTTGCCCTCCACGTCGCGTCTTTTACTACCAAGCTGCGCGCTCTACGGGCGCTGACACTGTATCCAACGAGGTCGGCGTAAAACGAAGAAAAGGGCAGTTAATAACCAACCATAGCAGACACGCCATCTCAAGCATGCTGTCGTGGGGGCAGTCAGATATATCTAATCTGGTAGCTTGCCAAAACTTGGAGTAGCCTCATGGGACCCATGCAATCGAAGCTGAACTTGTCAGATATGACTGCTTGTTATCGAAGCTTTCGACATGGTATCCCGTCAGCTGATAGGCTCTGTCGATAAGCTTTACATGGGCGACAGCCACCATTACCCCACACTGGGTAGAAGAGCTTCGCAAACCCAGGAAACTCGCAGATAAGAAGACTTGTGCTTAGCTGTCAGTGGCTTGACAAACCTCGAGAGGTGCGCGTCTGGCCATCGCGGAAACCACTACAAAAGGTTCACGAGCCGGCACCGCCGAGGCGTCCATGGCCCATAATCAGACCACACAATTGCACTCGTGTGCAGCTTTGGCTTGATGATAACTGTCGAGAGTCTGATTGCATCACACATAGTCTTCTCCAGACCGTAATGAAGTTGTCTGCCATACGATCTAGTCTGGAACAGAACGCGGAATGTGAACCGCATTATGCAATGTTGAAGGGTCTGCTTGGCGTTCTGGACCTCGGGACATCAGAGACCCTGCAGCGACCTAATCGGGGAAGCTAACCGTTAACAAAATAGCGGCCGTGGGGATTCATCTCAGATATTGTAGCGAAGATAAGGCATTTAACTTAACCCCCAGACCCCATACTACGGATTGGTTTGCTGTTCCTCTCCGCTGTCGACCTTACGTTATTCATGCTTTTGAAGACCACTCATCTTGAATACTTCTTAGACCAAACCTGAAGACAATCGCGTTTATTTGTTATAGATCCTCAAGCTCGTGATACAATACCATGACGATGGCGTGGGGCATTAAATGCCTAAGTACATACATCCGCTTTGACACGGGAAGATGGTGGGTGGTACGATGAGCAAACCCCTTATTATTAACGTAACTTAGCTACTGACTGAACTTCGCCCCAATACAAGTCCTGGCAGCAATTATAACACAACTCGGTTGTTCGCAATGACGAGCTCAATGGCTTCGATGCGGTGAGTTCGTGGCAAGTGTCATAGTACATCGTGCATCGGTGACCATTGTCCTGTCTAAGGGTCCTGGGGTCCACAAGTCTCGGCAGCGGCTACTTCGCCCAGCATCTTTCGTCATGGGCAGGTCTCGACAATTTCAGTCAAGGTTGTCGAGATGGTCAAGACCATCCATCCATCCAGAAAAGTCAACACCAGAACCACACTAGACTGACGGGTTCACGATCCCACACTGGTCATCAGGCTATATGAAATTGCTCGAGCCGCCAGACTGGCGAGAAGTGCCCATCTTCAGCGAGGCCCCAAGCCACCAAGTGGCGGTTCAGCGCTCCGGCTTATGCAGACATGACTCGTCAGTCTCGGCCCGTAGAACGTCAAACGGTCCACTTGGTTGTCAAATTCAGATGTTTGATATGACGAGAAGCAAACTTGGCGAGAAATTCTCCCCAAGGTGCTTATCTGGCGCATTGGCTACTCTAGGAGTCCGAGAAAGAAAACGGGAGACAACGGATGTGTCGTGCCCAACATACGTTATCTTCCGATTCAAGCCTCCCATGTGGGCTCCACCCTTGCAAATCTTCGACCCCTTTTAGACTGATAAGACAAAATCCTTACTGGCCGCCTCTGAAGCCTGCTCCTTGGCTGTAATCGATGAAGTTGTTCTTATTTTGCTGATCTGTAGTAAAAAGAATTTTATTTTTGATTTTGTTCGCTATAGCTACCTCGCCCTCGTCGACTGGTTTTCACAAATGGAAGCAACATTTCCTCATTTTAGCTCGCTGCCAGCAGAGCTTCGATGCAAAGTATGGAAGTTTGCCTTACCACAGCGTACGGTCAACTTCAGGCTGAAAATGGATATGGATGCATGGAATTGGGCCTCGGAATCAGATTGGTGGGCGCATTACGTTCTGACGGGGGATTACCACTCAGCAGCCGCCACGCAGCCAGCCCTCCTGCTGGTAAACCACGAGGCGCGGTTTGAGTCTCGCAAGGCGTACAAGCAGCTGGCCATCGACAAGGCGGTCCTGCAAAGGTGTCTGGCGGACGACGCAGTCGTCGACGGCAGGCTCGAGCGGATGCGCAACTTGAACAAGACCCCGCGGCTCAACCTGGACCATGATATACTCGAGTGGGCTCACGTAAAGCGGTGGAGTCGCAACAACCCCGTGAAATGCGGAGCGCTCTTCCTTGCCGCCAGCATGTCAGTTCAGCACGTCGTTGTGGAGTACGACCACTATCTCCACACGTCCCTGGTCTCTCTGGCCTTTAGCGTTCTGGACGTCGAGAGTCCGCTAAGGAGCCTCACGATCAAGGTCGCGGACGCCGTCGCGCATAAGCAATACACCTACCGAGTGACCTGCGTTCCCGACCAGGCGCCCATGCTCCGCCGGGGGGATGACGCCGATACTTTTGTGAAGCGCCGGCAAGCGTGCATGCTGCCTTGCTACCGACGCCCGATCCACACGACGGAGAAACTGCAGCCGACGACCCTCGATCGTTCTACCTTGAGCTCGTTCGCACAGCCCTTCGAGCGAGACACGAGGTTGCACACCAACTTCGCCATATTCCGGGTAGCTCCGGGCGACGAGGCGTCAGGCGCCAGGACGCCGGTCCCGTCGCCCGAGGTCATGCGAAGCTGGAGATGGGTCGAGATGGTCGAGGAGCACGACCGCGTCCCCTTCGGCGCGAGCCTCCAGGGTGACGTGGCCCTGTTCATGCACCGGATCTCGCTTTTTGAGCAGTGGAGCTACAACGACGGCCGGCAACCCCGGATCGACATCGTTCCCTTCCACGGCGTTTGTGTGCCCCAGTACGGCCTTCCCTGAAATCGTGACAGGCGGAAATATTCCACTCACGCCTTTTATTCTTATTTTTCTTATGCATGTATATTTTTATCTTGCGACGACGATACGAGATATGCTTACGACCTGGCGTTTGGGCTGGAATACAGAACAGCCCGGGAATAGAGATAGACATTATATACCCCTCTCCAATCCAAATTGCAATGTTTCCTTCAACTGGCGAGCGGGTTTATCTGCCCGCTCGCGTACACCGCAATGCACTGCGTGATGAACGAGACGTCACCCCGGGCCTGAACGAGTCCTGCTGGACTATTCGGACTTTTCTTGCCCGCTGCAGAAGTCATCAAGACCGTCCACTGCACTGAAGACGGCGTGAGATCTCGGATACGGCTCCGCGCGTGAGCTGTATCGCTGTCGGCCGGAGGTGGTCGCGGACGAGTACCAGGATGATATCGGAAAGAGGTAGCAGCATTGCAATGATGCGCGATGGGTAAAATGATGATGGGCGGGAGTATCATACGGGACCCGGACTGGTGCAAGTTATTTTGTTGAAATGTTGGAGCTGCACCTCGCGATTAGAAGGTTGCCTGTTGTGCAGTTCTCGAAGATCATGCTGAGAGAGGTGCTTGATCATGCCAGTCTGCTGAGATTCCTCACTGCCAGTAGTCAAGGTAAGGACTGATGCGATCGACCCAGTCGGTTGTAAAAATTATATTTGACTTTAGTATGTACAAGGTTCATGAGTACAGCTATCCTGCTCTGATTTCCGTCATTACTAACAACGTGGTTCTCACAGCCGACTGTGCCACACCATGTTGAATATCTAACCTTACTCCTTGGATGAGAGTAAGGATGGGTAAGTGAGGTGATATCCCATCCATAGATACAAGAGATCATCGTACATGATGATGCTTTCTTCCCCCCCCCCCCCCCCCCCCCCCCCGGTTATCATGATCAACAGTCATCTCACTGAGATGATTGCGGAACGCCCTCATAGGCTTTCCAGCTTACACGCAGAGCTCGGCCTCCAAGTTGACGGGCTGAGGGCAGCCGTACACGATCTTGTGTGCAGGCGTGCTGTAGCAGTCTGCCTGGCCGGCGGCACAGTCAAAGATCTTGCACCCATCGCCGGGAGTCAGGATGTTGTGCGAGTTGGCGAAGGGGTTGCCCCACTCGGTGCTCAACTCGTCTGAAGAAGTCCCATCGTTAGTTCCCGAGGCTCTACGTCTTTGGGCGGTGGGAAGGGTTCATCAGGGACGGAGATGGTGCAACTTACAGTAAGCGTAGTCTGGGTTCGAGGTGAAAGAGTAGCCGAAGAACAGCGGGCTGTCCAGAGTCTTTGTGGTGGCGACCTTGACGGTCTTTTATGTGGGAGTCAGCTTCATGGCCCTTCCTATATCGAAAGTTCGACGAAAACCTACAGATCCGGCCGTGTGGAAATCCTCGGAGAAGGACTGTCCGGGCGCGACGGTGGTGAGAGGGCCGCTGGCGCTGCCGTCATAGGGGAACGACTGGACGTAGACGTTGGACTGGCAGTTGTTCTTGACGACAGCTTGCTGGGCAGAGACACCGGTGGCAATGAGGGCAGCGCCCATGATTGTGCCGAAGATCTGCATTTTGGAGTGCGAAAAGATATTGGAGATCTTTGAAAAGCGAGTGTTATTTTGAGAGCTGAGGGGTAGCTGTCGAGGAAGTCGTTGGATGAGTGATTAGAATGCAGCTGAAGAGCAGTGAACGACCTCACTTATATACTCATGTTCGCTCACCGAGTGAACGGCACTTCGGCGAAGGAAGTGATGCAACCTCATTGTCATTTGTTGGGGCAATCGTCGCATGCTACGGTACCATCGGACTATACGGAAGAATAATGGATAATAATGGATCAGCTACAGAACAGGGCCATCGCATCGAGACCACGTTGAGAATCAGCAATCCCAAGGGTCATACCATCCGGGTCGGTAATGCTGACAGCCTTGGTTTTACGTCACCTGGTCAGCTCGAATACGAGCGTTGAGGCTCGTATAACTTTACACGAGAGTGGAGCCGTTAACCTTAAACCGTTTTCGTTTGCTATTCCCGTAGTAAAGATGCGGGGAACTGGCACGGGCCGGGATGAGCTGCCGCATTGGAGTCCACCGCCAGGGCTTTGAGTTGTTTGCCCGCGAAGAAATAAACAACGTTGCAATGAGTTAATCGTATGTTGTCATTGGTGGAGTCCCCTGGCTCTGGTCAATCAGACTCAACTTTTCAACTGCCATTGTGGGCCAAGTGCTGCCGAGGAGCCCGCAGATGTCCTTATGCTGTTGGTTTGATGCTGCTTACCCGGTACTGCTTTTCCCAGCTTCAAAAGTTTGTGAACTTCTGCAACGTGTACTGTAAGGGCTACAAAAATGTAGGGTGTGTGTGTGTACGTCGAGTTAACCCAACTACGCACAAACCATTCCCAGTACGACGTCGCCGCCAACAATGGTTGATAAAGTAGATGCCTGCTACTGTACTACACTTCTCTGTTCGCATATTGTAGAATACTCTGAAACACATGTCACGTCGGATCTAGCCGAGAAGACAAGTCTTAGTGTCTGACAAGCCGGAAACAATTGCAATCGCCTCTTCATATCGCAAAAGAGATCCGGCGCACATGGTACGCGAGCCAAAAGCACCTCAGATCTTACGGAGGCGGATTTGCGCCTGTGGCTCAGTCACGAGAACTACTTGTGTTTCCTTTGCAGTCTTCTCCATCCATGTCGAAGTCTTTTCCGAATTTCTGGCAGCGTCCAGATCATTGACATGGCTACTGAAAGGACCGCGGAGGATCCAGGCCAAGGATGAGTTCTTCCAGAGAGGTGCTTCCTCTGCTCCGGATTTCACCATGACAAGACAGAGAAACAGCAATGTCGCGCCACTTATCGCGCTCGGTAAGATGACCCACAGCCACTGCACGGAGAGGCATGCTGCGTAGTGTAGCACGTCACCTGTGGCTGGTCCGGTAGGATTCTCGGTCGAGTCTTGTCTGCGTATGAAAAAGGTTATGGCGTCCGACACGTTAGCGAAGAAATCCTGGATGCGGTCGAAATCTACGGCACCCTCGTTATACAATGTGCGGAGTGCCAAGGGAGACCGTATGGGGTCTGAACTATTAATACTCGCTGTGGGTTCCCAGTAATCAGCTGAATAGTATTCAAAGTTTTCCTTAATCAGATCGGACAAATTGTTCTGCGCGAAACTCCGGTCTATCAAGTAGAAACAGTGCCGTCGTATGAGATCATCCACAGGAATATTGTCGTAAAGTTGAGGATTTTTGTAATATTGAGAATCTTCTGGCTCGTACCACGACGATAACCATCGCTCGGGGCTGGGTGATATCTCCTGGAGCAGGGCCCTCTCCTTTTTGGATACACAGTCTCTGTCAAAAACAGCGGGTCCCGGCAGAACATTTTCGTAGTAAGTTTTTTTCCAACCCTTTGCACTATCATTGACAGGCCAACTCCAAGCATTGGGGGGAGACCTGAGAAGTTCGCGCTCAAACACGCGTCCTGCCTCGATAGTGGCGTTATAAGTCCGCACGCAAGGTTCGAGAGTACATTGGGCAGCACCATAGCCTTTTGGGAAATTACTTCCACCGAGCAGTAGCTGCATTCTTGTGAATCCCAAGTCGTTGTCGAGAGATGTTGTCGTGTTGGAAGATACAGTGATAAACTTGGCGTCACCAGGTTGGGGTTTGACATTCCCCATGAATATGTTTGAAGTAGCGGTCAGCCCCGATGGAAGAATCCATCTATAAAGAGAAAACGTTGACGAGCAGCCTTCTGCTGGTATCTCTGTCTCGCTGTGATTCAAACCAAAGAAACATTTATCTTCAAATGTTATGTCTTCGGAAATGTCTGTGCAGGAGCTGCAATAGGCAGCCGAGCTGTACACAGTGGAGAAAGTACAGTTTCCAGTTGAGCATGACCCAGTGAGCTCGTCGAGGCGTCCAAAGGTTGCCTCGTTTAGGACAAAGCGGAGTTGGTCTTCACTCGCAGTGAAAACAAAATTGTTGGTCCGCGGCAATGTAGCGTTTTCGCTTCGTAGGACAGTATAGCAATCTCGGAGCTGAGCCAATTGCTGAAACGCCGGGTCTATAGCGATGGACAAAGTCGCGATGATCGCCCCGATTGCCGTTAACGGTTGGCGGAACTTCTGATTCCAAAGAATCCCGAGAGATCCCCACATACCACGTCCCGCATCCTCATAACGTACCATATCGTATAGAGAGTGTGGTGATCTGAACCACGACCACTGCAGCTGCCTGAAACCTGACGCCAGTATGAACATGACTGCTGCTCGCAGGATCAAGGCGAATATGGACAAGAGCGCGTTGATGGTGATTTTGAGCGGCCACGCCGGTAAAGGCTTCCCCTCATGCCTCGACAGAGTGAACACGCCCGCGACGAGAGCTATCAACATCAAAATACAAGCGCCAACCTCGGCCCACCATAGTGTTAGGAGTACAGCTACAATTGATGATCGATGTCTGGGGGACTCCAGATTTCCCCGATCCTTGACATCGTTTGCCTGGCCTTTTCCATGAATAAGTCTGGCTGAATCGTCGCCCGTATCTGTCTGCAAGCCATCCACCACGGCTGGATGTGTATTGTCGGACGTGCCCTCGGCTACACCACAATCGGGTGACTGTAATGGTAAGAGCTCCAAGGCGTTTGCATCGAAGTCCGTTACCAACGAGGCCGACGGGCTGCAGCCATCCTCCGAACGACGGTCCGGTGACTGCGGCGAAACCCACGTGCTGGAACTGGCAGCGGAAATCATGTTGAGCGCATTTACGAACCTGACGCTGTGCTTTGGATTCCAATGGTGGAGGGCTGAGGCAAAGATCCAGGCGCAAATTTCGCGACTGCCAGAACTAGGTGCTACGTCATGGTAGGATCGTGGGCGCTTATGTAGAAACCGAGCACGCTGAATTACATGATCTGATCAAGAAAATCCCATGATCTGATCATGGAGCCTTGCGAGCAAATGAAGCAACCGCCCTATCAGCTCACCAGGAGGAAATGATCTGTCAGATTTTAGCGCAAGGCTTCTACACAGTTTGACAAGATCTCGCATATGATTTGAACTTGTCTTGGTATCATGCTGTGTCACACCTGACGCAGAGTTGTGTTCTGGTCGCAGCACGCTAAAGCAAGGGCTGCGAATAACTGCAACCATTGGAAGGTGCGCAGCTGTGCCCCAGTCGCACATGGCTAACCCCCAAACGAACTGGTTTCGACTCTATACTTGGACGAATCAACGGAATCGATTGCTGTCAACTCTGATCCTCGGAAATTAGATGATCTGTGGAGTCGGTGCATTGTATTTAGGTAGGATGCTCGCGGTTTATTCGGTGAATGGTGGTTAGATGGGTGGTAAGACGCGGTTACACCCATAGACTTGGTTAACGTCGTCGTCTTGTTCGGTAATTGATATTTGGTCTCTCCAAGCATGGGAACTGACGATAGCCGGCAAACAACTTTCAAGAAAAAAAATAAAAATAAAAAAATAAAACCTTTCCAACAGCACGTTACGGACGGGGGCTGATTCTGAACTGTATTTTGTAACTACCTTTGATCTACCTAATGTGTGGTATCCGAACGCCATACTGATCATAAAACAAAAAGGAAGCTTTCGTCTGCCTCCATGATTCCTGCTACTCCCTCGCCTGTCAAAACCCTAGGCTTTTCTTCTTCTTTTTATTTTTAAAATTTCTTTTAGTACAAGGACAGCACCGCACCATCAGAAGCTCGGGACGATGGTCACAACATTGGTGTTTTAAAGCACTCTGTTGAGATGATTACCATGCAAGCACTGGTCCTGAATGACCCTTGATCTAACAATACCAACTAATCATGTTCCCCTGAGCAAATCCTGGTAGTAGCTTCAACGAGTTCTGCGAGATCTGCGCGGAGTTCTGGGACTTTGACCGTTTTCTACTTCTCGACCCGGCTCTAGCTGTTTCCATTGTCGATGCTTGAGCGACGTCCTTTTCGGCGTCGATGGAGTATAAGCATGCCTCTCGGTATCGATTGTTCCTGGAGGAGCTTGTGTCCGCTCGGCCCCAACACCTTGCGGTGTCTAGCGCTTCTTGGGGTTGGGTCGGGGCTTGCACTCCTCTCCTTGGATGGGGTGCAGCATGATTTTGTTCGGGTAGTTTTGCTGGTTGCCCTGGTGTCCCTTGCTCCAGTCATAGCCAACAGCATAGGCAAATATGCTGCCGCTCGCATTGAATGTCGTCGCGGTGATGCTGCCTCCAACTGTCGGGTACCCCTTGAGCCTGTGCTTGGCGTCCTTGTCCCAGAAGTGGAAGGTACCGTCGCTGCCAGCGGTGCTGAAGGTCCCGTGCTGAGGGTGGAAGGAGATGTCATTGACGGAGTAGACGTTGGTGACGTTGCCGTTCGGGGGGTCACGGTGGCACTTGAAGGAGAAGTTGCTGGTGGCGTCCTTCTCCTCGACGTATTGAATGGCACAGCGGCCTTCGATGGAGCCAATAGCGAAGCCGGATGCGTCAGCAAAACAGCTGACGACCCTCGTTTGCCACTTAAGCGGGCTCTGCAGGGTCTTGTAGAACTTGAGGGGGTCGGAAAGGTTGATGACGTTGATGTACCTGTCTGCGGTTCCGACAACGAGCAGGTTGTTCTTGACGTCCATGGTGTAGACACGTTCTTGGGCGGTGACGCTGCCAACGGGGTTGGGGGTTCTCGTGTCCCAATACTTGATGGTCTTGTCCCAGGAACCGGTGACGACCATGGGAGTGTTTGAGTTAGGGGAGTCGAAGAATCGGGCGCACTTGATGGGTTGATCGTGGGCGGCGATCTGTTGCTGTTGGGCAGTTGCTACGTCGCAGAGCATGGCTTTCTTGTCCGCGCCTGCTGAAATGAGCATCTTTCCGTCCTGAGGTTTGCGGGTCAGTTGGGCGGTTCAAGACGACAAGATGGCCCCCATAGAAGCGCGTGAGAGGCGACTTGACGTACCTTGGACCAGTCTACACTGAAGACGGGAGCTTCGTGCTCGTACATGTGCTTCCCCTGGCTCTGCCCTTGGGAGTTGATCTCGTATATGCGAACCTTCTTGTCCCAACTCGACACAGCCATGAGGTCTGCGGCGCTGGAGAAGGCGAGGTCTGTGACTGTATCCTCGGGGGGTTGGGCAACCTCGACATCCTTGGACAGGTCGCCTTGTGTGTTGGAGGTGGCCGACGACGCGGCCGCCGAGCTACCGAAGAGGCCTGACATGTTTGCCGGGTTCAACTGGCGAAGGCGATGGTGATGGTGGTGATGCGAGCGGTCGCGCAAGCTTCTGCTATCAGTATCGGGATATCACGAATGCACCGTCTTGGAGCAGCCTAAGGAAGCCCTCGGCTACTGTGTACACAGCGAATACAAAGACCAGGCAGCGGGGGTGCTGAGGTTGTCACGAAAGCTGGCGCAGGCCCACGTCGCGTCTTCTGGGTTCGTCAATTTCGTCTAGGTTTGGACTGCGGATTGGCGGATTTGCGGATGGCAGCCTCTCTGCAGCTGGTTCAAGCTCCAAAAATCCGAAAGTTTTAGTGCCAAAAGCAGGTGAACGTTTAGTTAGTCTAGTCTAGGCTTAAGTTATTAGCAGACAGCAGACTTGGGCAGTTGGAATTGCAGCTGGGAGCTGGTCGCCAACCTAAGTTAAGTGCCAGTGCCTACAGGTCACTAGAGTTTATATGTTAAATCCAACCCCCCCTCCCCACTAAATTACATACTTTGCATGCTGGACCTGAAGCTTCGAGCTGCAAAGCTCTCCTTTTGGCCCCACACTCAAACTCGTACAAAAATTCATTCTCAAAAGCTGCAGAGCTCTTTCCTTCCCTTTCTTTCTCTTCCTCACAACATCCCCCTCGTCCAAAAAATCGCCATCGAAGCTACAAACAGAGGAGAGGAACACGTTTCCTCTCCTCACATTCCTCTTCAGCTTTGGGAGAAAGTCCCCGGACACCTCTGTTCTTCACGGAATAGAGATTTGCGGAAACGCGCCGCCACAAAAGCACAGCGGCTTACGCCCTCCCCATCTGTCTGGTAATAATTCTCTTCCGCCCGCCCCAGGTCGTCGCTACATCTGCATCCCCGCCCGTGCTCTACCCTCCAACTGGCATGTGTCGGATCGTTTCCGTGACGAAGATATGAGTCCTCGGTTTCGGCACTGCTGAGCGGAGCTAGACGCGGAAGGGTTTGTCGGATGACTTCTCTGGCCGTAGGCGGAAGACGTTGCCCGTCTGGGGTTGTGGTATCATATCGTCGAGATCGAAAGTTATGCGATTGCCCTTCACCTCGTCTCGCAAGGGACGACCTGGGTAACTCGATGGGGCTTATTCTTGGTGCGAGGGGGTGTTGTCACTTGACTCTTTTTTGGTCAGACAATTACAACATCCATCTATCTTTTTCTACCTTCTGAGGCTTCATTGGAAGTCTTGTAGATGTTTGTTTTTTTTCCGTCTTGATCTTCTGAGAAGTTGAAAACTATTGCGGGCCTTTCGGAATACACAAAAGTTCAGGTGATGAGACAAAGTATTAGAGTCAAGCACTGAGGCGGACCTACGGGCGAGCTACTGACGACTTACAATGCGTTATGGTATCTGATGAACTTTACATAAATGTTGCTTTTTGACTTCAGCCTCCCCACCATTCCATAGCAGCAAGTGCTGCTTCGGGGACGAGCTTACTTGATCACTCCCTATATAGTTGAACGGTAAAATGAGGAATCATGACACGTGACCAACCGCCATTGTAATATTGAGCACGAGCTGAAAAGTTCTGTTTCGCCGTGACAGGCAACTTGTAAGGTCTCAACCGACATTTCACATAAGGCATAGTTGGTGCAGACGACATTTATCCCGCTCCAAGGCCGGAAGGTCGTGTGCTCGTAGTTCCGCTCAACGGCTGCCCCATTACAAGAATCAAGCACTTGATATCTGCTAGAATTATATGCGTGTTGAGACTATCGATGCTTTAGATATCGATCCATCCCAGTCGCTTGTAGACACGGAGCGTAGAGGAATAAAAATCAAAATCAAAGAACTCCCCCATAACGCCGTTCAACCAAATGGGTATCAACATGCCCGTCTGCCCGTTCTACTCTAAAGTATCAGATCATGAGACTTTGTTCCGCCCATTCATTCCCCCCGTGATTAGATTTCCTCCAAATGCGATATGACGAAAAGAGAAGAAGACGAGAAAAATAAAATTAAAAAAGGGCCCTGATTCCCATTCTCTCTCTACATGAGACCTCCGAGCACGACCTTGCCTACGCCGCTGACCTCCTGCTTAAGCGCGGCCCTGCTCGTGTCCTCGAACTCCTTGACGACGCCCTGCACGATGATCTTGCGGACCTTGGCGTCGACCTTTGTGAAGAGCTCGGCGACAAGGGGCGTGCAGTCGCGCGGGGCCGGGAGCAGCGTCATGAGCTTGGAGTAGCAGTCGATGAGCATGTCGCAGAGCGTGGCGAACGTCTCGAAGAAGTCCGGGTCGAAGGGCAGCGAGGGGGTCAGCAGGTGCGTGTACTCCTCGCCGGGCAGCAGGTCGTTGCCCTCGCCGCCCAGCCCGAACGAGATGACCGACGTCGGCGTCTGCGTCGCGCCCCCGCTGTTGAACACGCTGCTGCCCCCGTGCTCGCTCAGGATCCCCAGGTCCCCCGCGCCGCTCGTCCGCCGGCCCTTGCCTGCCGGGCCGCGGCGGAACATCTGCGGGAGGCGCGCGCGCGAGAGCGACGAGGCGTTGGTCCCGTGCTCGGTGTGTATGGTCTGGAAAGATTCGAATTCTGTGAGGAGCGTGTACAGCGACCGCAGGAACTCGACCGGCGTGGATGAGTTGAGGTCGATGACTGTTGGCAGGGAGAGGCCGAGAAGTAGGTAGTTGGTCGCCCGCCGTGCTAGCCTTCGGGGGTCGAAGTATGGCATCCTCGCCAGATCTGGCTTTTCGAAGAGCATCGTGTTGAACCAGTATACTCGGCCATCGTGACTGTTCGTCCGGACATGCATTAGCAGTTTGAATCTAGAAGAAGCCATCGTGGACGCGTGCACGGCCTGACCAGCAGGCAGATAGGCGGAGGTACGAAGAGGAAAAGGAGTTGTCGTCACGTACGCTTTCCTGAGGTAATCTAGCGTTGATATCCTCTTGTTCGCCATCTCCTGCACATGCTGAAATATGACATTCGACTCCTGGGGCAAGGATGCGACGGGCAGGCCAGTCGGCGGCTGCTGGAAGGGCAACTGTGCAACACCAGTCATGTTGCCATAGCTGCTGGACGTAGCGGGAGCAGTGGACCGGCTCAGCATCCTCGAGAATGAGTCGACGGAGGCGGGGGACAGCACTGCGATCTCGCCTTGATTTTCTGTTTCTTTTTGCCTTTCTTTGTCTCTGGCCAGGTTGGCGGCGGCTGCGATGGCAAAGTCGGGGAGGGCGGGGGGTTTGGTGTCGTCGGTCACGACCTGCTTCTGCTGCTGCTGCCCTGCTGCTCCATTTGCTGGGGCCGAAGAAGAACTCGGACGGCGCTTTCCTTTGGAGGGAGAGGAAATGGACGATCGCCGGTGCTCGGATCTCGAGAACAGGCCGGACTTGTCTCCGCCGGATGAGCTGTTGCTGGGCTCGCCGGAACTGGTGCCAGGTCTCGTTCGCTTTCCTAATTCCTTGTTCGAGTAGAATATGTTGTTGGTGAAGTAGGGAGCCGCGCTCTCCATGGCTGAGCTCGCTATGGACTGTCTCGACTGTGTCTTGTTGCCGCAATTTCTAGGGGGCGGATCCTCGACTGAACCCCTAACCTAACCTTAGTGCATTCCTGGGGGGGCACTATGCCCGCCGGTGCGATTGATTGGCAGTGGGGTGAGGTAGCAGCGGCAGTGGCAGTTCAAGACGCCGCCAGTTGGGTATCGCGATGCACGTTGGAGAGCAAACTTCGTAGCGAAGATGAAAGTCAAGATGGAATTCCGTTATGTACACACACCAAAATGAATGGGGCCATGGTTGCAAAATGTTAAGACATGCTACACACTGTTCATGTTGGAGCGAGACGGACTGTCGTTCAAGACTGGCCAAGATCCAGACCAACCCAACAACGCGGGCGGCACAGAACAAAACATGGTTTACCAGGGAAGCGGCACCAGTCAGACCAGTGTTACCGATTGATGTGGTTGCTTCGGGCAAAAAGGCAGCCAATCATGGATGGCTGTGTGTGCGAGCGAGGAAGTCCGCATCGTACATGTTGTTCCGAGCGCACGCATCCGTAGACTATTTGACCGTGCTCCGAATGCTTCAATGGGCGTTGGAGTTGGGACGGATGTCAAACCGCCGTCTCATGGTACGGGCTGGATCACACACCGTGCCTCCAACTCCAGTGAATATTTATGTGAAGCACTATTGATCCGAACATGATACGTTAAAAAAAACCCCAGAAAAAGAAGAAGAAGAAGAAGAGAGAGAGAGAGAAGAAAAAAAGCAAGAAAGAAAAAAGGTTCATTCATTGCAATCCCTTCATGCGCCGCCAAATTCATCTGAGACATGATCAGGACGAGATGTTGCGGTATGGTAATTTGAGACGAAGCGACCGAACCGTCAACGTTCTCGTAAGATACTGAGTGAGAGGCGATTCAGATGCCTTGTCGAATAAGCTAGGTTGATCGATTGCATTTCATTACCGTAGGACAGATGATTGACATGTCATGTACCTAGATGCATGGACAATATAGCACTTTTATGTTTTTGTTGAAGCTGGACCCTGAATTGATTCGACTGCTGTCCGCTGTGCTGGGACGGATTGCTTAAATTAGCACCCCGCTAACCGCCAAACGAGAACCTAGACTAACTGTAGTTCGTTCCCATCTCCCCCCATTGGAGGAACGCAATAAGTTACCTACAAGTTGGTCTAACCTCAGATGGACGTCAGTCGCGTTCAGACAACCCCACGATTTCCCAGGCGCGTTTCAATCAAACCGACAGACTCATGAGCGACCATTGACCACGACCGCTGCTAGTAGTCCATTATCGCCTGATCCCCTCGTGATGCCGCGGTATATTGACAAGCCTAGCCCAACACCTCTCCGTCCTCAGTCTAACCACCACTTCTAGGGAAATCATCACGATCCAGGCAGGCCAGTGCGGCAACAGCAGTTAGTATCCTCGGCCCCGGAGCCTTGCCCACCACGAGTCGTCTCCCGAGTTAGCCCCGCGGCCAGACCCAAGAACACACACTGACAGCTTTGCAGTTGGTAGCCAGTTCTGGCAGCAGCTATGCCAGGAGCACGGAATCAACCAGGATGGCAACTTGGAAGACTTTGCCACAGAGGGCGGTGATCGCAAGGACGTGTTCTTCTATCAGAGCGACGACACGAGATATATCCCCAGAGCCGTGCTCATCGATCTCGAGCCCCGAGTCCTGAACAGCATCCAGACCGGCCCCTACAAGAACATATACAACCCCGAGAATTTCTTCATAGGGAAGAGCGGCATAGGAGCCGGAAATAACTGGGGTGACGGATATCAGACTGGCGAGTCGGTACACGAGGAGATCATGGACATGATCGACAGGGAAGCCGATGGCAGTGACTCGTTAGAGGTACGGATGCTGTCTACCGTCTCCCATTCTGAATCCGAATCCCAATCTATATCGGACATCTGACTGACCATGGCTAGGGTTTTATGCTCCTTCACTCGATAGCGGGTGGTACTGGATCCGGTCTCGGCTCCTTTCTCCTCGAGAGAATGAACGACAGGTTCCCCAAGAAGATCATTCAGACGTACTCGGTATTCCCCGACACGACCAACGCCGACAACGTTGTCGTACATCCATACAACAGCCTGTTGTCCATGCGAAGGCTTGCCCAGAACGCCGACTCGGTAGTAGTGCTTGACAACGGGGCCTTGTCCTCCATTGCTGCAGATCGTCTACATGTGCAGGAGCCTTCATTCCAGCAAACGAACCAATTGGTCTCGACAGTCATGTCAGCAAGCACAACCACCCTACGATACCCGGGCTACATGCATAACGACCTTGTCAGCATATTGGCATCTCTGATACCGACCCCGCGATGCCACTTCCTGATGACGGCTTACACTCCCTTCACTGGTGACCAGGTTGAACAAGCCAAGACGATTCGGAAGACAACGGTTCTGGATGTGATGAGGAGATTGCTTCAACCGAAGAACCGCATGGTGTCGACAGTGCCGGGCAAGAAGAGCTGCTACATATCCATTCTCAATGTCATCCAGGGCGAGGTCGACCCGACTGATGTCCACAAGAGTCTACTACGAATCAGAGAACGGCGGCTGGCAACCTTCATCCCATGGGGTCCGGCCAGTATCCAGGTTGCCCTGACCAAGAGGAGTCCATACGTGCCCATGAGCCACCGTGTCAGCGGTCTCATGTTGGCAAATCACACAAGCATTGCTACAGTAAGCGACGTCATTCCACACCCGTGAGCACTGGATCTTTGGCTAACACCGCGACACAGCTCTTCAGGCGCATTGTTAAGCTATATGATGGAATGCGTAAGAGAAATGCTTTTATGGAAGGTTACAAAAAGACAGCACCCTTTTCCGAAAACTTGAACGAATTTGATGAGGCCAGACAAGTAGTCACAGACCTTATTTCCGAGTATGAGGCGGCTGAAGATGCTAATTACTTGAACCCGGACGAACCGGCCACCTCTCATGAGACAGACAGGCGGGTTGGTTGATGAATTTGTGGATGCAGGCTGCCCTGCCCAAATGAGAAGGTTTCACGAATCATGTAAAAATGTGGTCAGAGGCTCGGCGTTGATGGTGTCACGGATCTTTAGTTTCATTAGGCTACCCAAGTCAGGTATTCATGCCGTTCAGAATCAAACTTTGCAAAAGTTGCAAACGCTGCAGAAGTAGGTAGAATCATCTCGGAAGTTCTACCGCGATTCACATGCCTTCGACTCGCTCCACCATTACGTCTGCATGGTCTTCCCAACGGTCGATCCCGCCGATGAGTTGACTCAATGCACCGATTTGCTGCATTAAAAGCTGGTCAACCCTGCGGAGCTGCCCCTCATGGTGCTATAGTCGGTACCTGGAAAGGTCGCGCGAGCCCCACCAAATTTGACGTCACGCTGTAAGAGCCGCCTAGAGCCCCTCCATTTACGTCACTATCACCGGATCTAAAGCTCCCATGCAGCTTTAGAGCTTCATACGGTTTTGTCTATTAAAGCTTCAGTACGACCATTGCGAATCTGGTTTTTCTCTCCTCATTCATCGCATCAATTCAATAATAATTATCATCAAGACGCAGACTTTGAAGTCAAACCACGAAATAACCAACACTACCACCTCTCAAAAGTTCGTTATCCAGTAAGTAAATCCACTAGTATAAGTAAGGGATTACAAGAGTATTGGGTGTACAAAAGACTGCTCTCTTGGGTCTTTCATCTCTCGGAACTTTTGCACGAGCGGATAATCCAACAGTGTCGAAAGCTGCAGGAACGTCATGATAGACCTTGATACTCTTTGTATTCCACACTTTACACCATGTATTCTTCGTTTTTAGCTTTAATGCTAACTCCACGCGTAGCATCCCATCACAATGACTCAATCCAAGGCCGACAAGATCTCCGAGGTCCAGTCCAACTTGCCGCTCCCCGAGCAGCCCCCTCAGGCCTCTGACTGGAACTCCGCCGACGCCCGCAACGTCAACGTCGGTTCCGGCGGCCAGTCCTCTGACATCTCCACCGGTGCCGGCTCCACATCCGGTCTCCGTGAGCCCGCCAGCAAGGGCGACGTCGACCTCAGCAATGTCGGCCGCGAGGGCAAGGACAACCTGAGCGGTCCCCCCAAGGATGCGGCTGCCAGATAAAGAAAACGATACCCAACATCATGAAGGAAGGCGCAGTGGCGCAATGATATGTAATGGCGTTTGAATTGGAAATAGGGCGTGCGGATGGGAACATTTTGCATCCATATCCTATGGTTTTGCATTGCGAGGTCACTACAGGATTGTGAGCCGAGCAAATAGTCAGATATGAATTGATGACTTGAACAATACCTGCTGCTCCAACTTTATGCTTCAATCTAGTGATGAATTATTCCTATTACTGAGATGTTCTCGATAAATTTCAGATTGTGAGTAATGTGCTTTGCAGTGCCCATAGCTCAACTTTGCACTGTTCATATGATCTAACGCTGTTGGTTAATTTACAAGACGAGATCTATCACAGGTAGTGTGACGGCCAACGGATGGTTAGGAAAGAGTAGGAGCTAATCTGTATTAGGTTACTTGGATATTCTCGGGCTTTGCTGGTAACAATATACCATTTTAGGTTCGAAACGATCATCCGCCTGCCGAATAAATACAACTCTGTAGTTCATGCCTGTCATTGCGTATAGCCATACGCGATCGAGCGGATACGAAGTTGAAACAATTAGCTACATTCTCATGCACCTTTCTATGCTTTGGCAGGTCAACCACCGAAATCAGATCAAGAGTTACAATAATTTGCTTTAAACGTAGATCCTGGAAAAACTGGATATTCAATGTTGACCTCATCTTAACCCTTGCTTGAACAGCATACCCATAACCATAGTATCAGCCACGTCACTAATAAAACCGCACAACTCAGACCTCATCACGCTCCTGAAGCTCGAATAACCCGGATTTTCGTTCGGCATTATCACCACCAAACGCAACGGAAGGATGGCCAATATTTAGGCATACAACGGCGAGACACATGACCCTGTCAAAGATTTATAAGCGAAGGAACCGGCACAAGCTTGACGGTTTCAAACCAAGAAGAAGAAAACAGCTAGGAGAGGAAATCGAGTAAGGGGGGAAACAAGAGCAATTAAGACAGGAAAGAAGGAACGAAAAGAAAACAAAAGGTCTGCTTACCCGGACTCTAGGCCGATAAACAGTCCCTCATCACGAAACGTCTCACTGAAATAACCGCCCTGCAGCTCGACGATGCGGTACGCACAGCGGACCAGGATCAAGACGACGGACATGAGCAAGAACGCCAGGAAGACCTTGACCCGGGGCGTGATGCGCCCCCGGGCGGCAGCAGACGTGGCCCTCGCGCAGGCGGCGAGGTAGTCGGCGAAGAGGCCGAGGAAGACCACCAGCGTGAAGACCTGGAACACGAGCCCGGCCAGCGAGATGTCCTCCCCCTGCTTGATGTCGTCCTTGGACGTGCCCACGCACGACAGCGCGCCCCCGGTCGCCTGCAGGATCAGCGAGGCGATGTCGCAGGGTATGAAGATCCAGTAGAACAGGCGCGGGCTGAAGCGGGAGATCTGCGGGTCGATGTGGATAATGCTGTTTATTATTTCTTTCGTATCAGTCCGCGTTCGCCTGGGCTTTCCTTGGGCGTTTGGCCCGCATCGAAGCAGGAACACAGGGTTCGGTACGGACTCACACTTGAGATAACAGCACGTATATGGCCGAGCAAAAGAAGACGGGGGCAATGGTGATGCAGACTAGCACAAGTAATTAGACATCAACGTCTTGTCGTCAGAAGATGGAGGTCCGCGGCCGGTGTGCGCACTTATCTGTATGAGAAACCCGGCGAAGTCGAAAGGGTTATCATGGATGATGAGCCTGCCCGCGTAGCCCACGACTTCCAGGATGCAGCCGCTGACCATGCTCGCCACGAACCCCCAGGTGCGCCCCTGGATCCCTTGCAGGGAGTGGGCGGCGATGGCCAGGCCGAAGAAGGCGATGAAGAAGACGTTTGCCGGAACGGACGGCTGGTATTGCAGTATGCTCGATTCCAGCGGGCAGATCTCGAGAGTGCAGTTCGCATCTGGGCCGAAAGTGATGGCGCCGTCTACGGTAGACATGTCGGGGATTTTGAACGAGGACGAAACTTGTGAATCCTGGTGACGTGATGCGCGAGGTCTGCAGCGAAGAGAAAAGTGATTGATAACAGATAAGTCTAGTCGGGAAGTTTTATGTGGCCAGGTTCGACGAATATATTCCCGTCATCTTAAACCACGGACGCGCTCAGCCTCATTGGCATGACTGACTCAAGCCAATCCACGTAGACAAGTCTCTCCACATTTCGATACGATTTATTTTAAGAATGTGCCATAATAGACAAGGATAATGGGCAACTCGGCAAGTCTCGCATGCTCTGTGTAGCATGGAACGCGTGTACGGTGTTGGTATACCTAAAGGACAATCGACTTAGAAGCTGGGCTGTGCAACATCTTGAATTTTTTTTCTTGGGACGCAACAAAACATCAAAAGTCGCCCTAGAATATACTGACGTGCTTCCATGATGATATCGGCCTTCAATGTGCGTTGACTACTGAGCTGCCACGCGTCGATATGGTGAACCCCGAACGACTATTCATCATGCAATATTCGGGTTTCGGTCTTGGCTAGCAACGCTTCGGATCTCGGGCTTCCAGAGACAACAATCTATAATTCTATCCAACGAGATTTGGCGTATCAGAGACAGGCTGCGCCACCCCATTATGCAAAGTCTCCATGTAATTTGTGTTCTCGTGTTGCTGCCTAGTTTCACCTGTCTACCTTTGTTGGTACCCTGGCGCAAATCAAAACACCATAGTCGTAGTATCTAGACTTGGCACTAAAATAGGCTAGTCAAAAGCTTATTTGAAAGACTAACAATCATTTCGGCGTCCGCGCGAATCCGATGTAAGTGGCAGAGCAGAATGCACTGAGGACTATGATGATGTTGATAAAGATGGAAGTCGCTTTGCATATATCTGTGCAAGACTTTAAAACCCTTTCTTCTTCTTTTTTTCCCCCTGGTATTAGTCTGTTCGCTAGAATGACAACACCATCTTCAAAACAAGCACAATCACAATTCGTTACCTCTGCCAAAACTCAACTCCTTGCGCTTTACAGCACTACTGCTAGTCGCCGCTCATGGATATACTCATGGACACATATCGTTTTCAGCAGCTCAAGCCCCGCCTGTCGACGTCGCAGTCAGTTGGGGTGTCTTGTCCGGTCTTGCCGTAGCCAAGGAATTCGAAAGTGCCGAAAAGTCGACAAGCCATTCATATATATATAGATAGAAATATATAATAATGTAAAAGATATGCAAAAACATAGAGCACTGGGAGTTTTCTAGTATCTCTATAAATTACGGGTTTCTTGCGTTTTAAGACTATGCTCACAAAATGCTGTGCCTTTTTTCTAATTTCCGTTATTGGATCAAAAGACACCACATTATATTACTTCAATCGATCACTACTTTTGCCCAGGATGTCAAAGTTCCATGAGGAGACAAGTAGATTCGGCCTGCCACAGCTTTATCAAGACCTTCGTCCAAAAAGAAAGCGCCGCCTCGTAATTAACTTACTTTGCCACGTTGAGAAGATGAAGAAACGAATGCTATTCCCTCCACATATATCTATCTGCCTCTTATACCCCTTTTTCTAGAGAAGCTCTCCGGTTGTCAATGACGTTTGAAAGTCAGCTCGACGCCAGATGAGAGAGTGGGAAAAAGGTTACATGACTCTTACCATACGCAACAGTCTTCAGACTGACAGAATATAGTCGTCGAAGGTCGGAATTGAATGAACGATATGCATTTTAGCGTTCTGTTCCCTGCATCACCATATTACCGTCGCTAGAGCCAGCTACCAGAGCTTGTTGATCAATATATCAGTGACACATACGCCTTGCAGACCTGCAACACACCTTCTACACATTTTATCAAGCCTAAGAGCACTGTAGTAGCTGAAACAACCGTAGCGGTCCAAAATGTGTACCATTGTACATCATTATGTCGATCGTACCACCATTGTGACAAGGTTAGCGGTGTTGCGTCTGCCAGAATAGGACGACGTTATGAGGAGTAGATTGGTTGGCTAGGACCCTATTTCAATAGCGTCATCGTATGCTTGTTTCAAGATTATAAGTCGATCCCTCCAGAAATGAAACAATTCGACCTGCCGACTTTTGGCAGGTAAATTTCCACGTAACGTCAGTGTGGGGCTGATAAGATGCTCACTTTAGAGTCCCTGGAACCATTTTGGTGGTGCCATCTATCGTAGTTTATGCGTATGGGGGGTGGGGGTTACTGTACCCGGACTGGGCAAAGAAGAGCGCAAGTGTACGCAGCTTTTCTTTTCATAAAACCAGATGGGAAAGGGCGAGCTTAATAGTCAATTTTAACTGCGCGAAAATAAGACCATGATCGCGCTTGTTCATATCGACACTTGAGAATAACGCATGGTGGAATATCCACAATCTTGAATCGCCCTCAACTAGCAAGAGGTGCTCAGATAGGTTATCTGTAAAAAGGGATCTCCATTCCCCCTTTTCACAATATCCCACTTGTTGAAAGATCAGAGAAGCCTGGCTTGATCACTGTTGAGGATGGGGGCGCCTGAAAAGTGGTGTTGTGCAAAGTTACGGGCTGATCCTCCTGTCCAATCCGGGCCATATCGATGCCGAACTTGAAACAAATTCCAGCACCAACAACAGCCTGGCTGCTACATCAATCATACTAGCATGAACATCAGCCCCGATGCTCGGAGGCCGTCGAAGTAATCCTTCCTCAATATCTTCGTAGAAACTTGCTTTTGAGCTTGTTCAACGATATAAAGCATGGTTATTTGATCCCAAGTCACTTTCCTTTGCCTATGGGAGGCCATTATCTATGAAAATCATAAGAAAGTTAGTGATCTTAGAATTCCGCTCAGTCATGTCCTGCCGATTGGTGCAGAGAGTAATCGCGTACAAATGAAATGGGAAGTTCTCATATTCTTTAAACGACCAACGACGAAGGTTTCGCAGCCCTCAAAGTCTGAAGCGGATAATCATCATGTTTCCCTACCGCTCTTGCATCGGCAAGTGGGTATCGGCATCCTTTAGCTCCGATGCCACACTAATACACAAATTCATCGGCGAAGTCGGGACGCGACCGATGCGATTGAGTCTATTTGCCGCGACCTCGAGAGGCATTACCTACTGATGTAGCAAGATAAACATGCAGATCTTTACCTGTATCAATGCCGAATCCTTATGGGTTGCGCAGTACTTGGGTCCCACAAATATTTATCTGATTGAGCGACAGCAATGTCGTACCCGTGCCACGGTGCAACACGTGGGTTAAAGGACAATCGGCAAAAGCCGCGATAAGAGAGGACGATTCCAACTTCGTAGAAAAGCCAGGGATGTGCGGAATTGATTTTCTTCTCCACGAATGACGAAGCCTCTCCTGCTCTCTTAATCCTGTCTAGTTATCATCAAGGTAGCCTTGACGAGCACTTGTTCCTATCTAAGTCGAGAACAGTCTTCCTCAGCCAGCGTCTCTTTCCGTATCGCCACTACAAGCTCGAGCATTATCTGCATGTAGACAACCCCTTCAAAATAGGTGCGCCAGGTCGTCGACTATACGCCTTCTCTCCTCCGTTTCGAGATAGTATCCTGGAGAATGTAAAGAAGCCACCTCAATAATGTACCTGTCGTTCTAGAGACGTTCTGGTAAGTCTGTACTCTGATGCTGATTGCGAATGGTTTAGTTATTCTCGTGATGTGGCTGGCAACTAACTGTTCAAAGGTTAGCCGAGAGCCACAACAGCCTTCTAATCATTGACATGCCCATCTTGAGCGCTCGCCGCTTTGAGGGTCTCTTCACGTTCCTTGCCGTTCCAAAATTGCTTCTTCCAAACGCTGGCAATATCACAGCTCACAGTGGCCCGTCCGTCTTATCATCTATGCTGCGGACTAGGATGCCTTGTTTCAGCCAGCAAAGCAATATTAAGTTGCCTGAATCCTTAATCATTGGTAGGTATAATGCAACCCATGCTTTACGTTATCAAGTAGATAAGTGACAAGTCTGTCGAGCCATAAGATGGAAGATTCCCGTCAGATTTTCTCCACACACGATACTGCCACTTCCAAAGCAATCTAATTTCACAATCATTTTGAAGTAAAGCACGACATATTGCCACAATGACGACTACAGTTCAGATCGAAAAGAAACATGATGAAAATAGTGTCACCGCTGTCACAACATTTCTTGAAGGAGTTCACATTCAAAAAAGTGCACCCTACAGCTTTATTGACACTCCCACAAAGCTCTCTGCCGTTCTCGACTCTATCTATGACTTGCCAACCAACCCACCATCTCTTTACATTGACCTGGAAGGGGAAAACCTTTCCAGACATGGCACCATCTCCATTCTTCAACTCTTCATTTCTTCGACAGAACAAACGTACCTAATTGACATACATACTCTTGAAGACATGGCATTCACCACAGGCAATAAGGATGGTTTGACTTTGAAGGATATTCTTGAATCTAGCATGATTCCTAAAGTGTTTTTTGACGTACGTAATGACTCCGACGCATTGTACAGCCACTACAAGATTAGCCTTCAAGGAGTGCAGGATCTGCAGTTGATGGAGTTAGCAACACGGTGTTTTCCTGGGAGATTCATCAACGGCTTGGCTAAGTGTATCGAGCGGGACTTGAGACTCTCCTCGAATGAGAAAATCGCCTGGCAGAACACGAAGGAAAAGGGACTCCATCTCTTCGCTCCGGAGCGTGGCGGCAGCTACAAAGTGTTCAATGAACGTCCAATCTCGGAAGCTATTAAGCTTTACTGTGTGCAAGATGTCAAATTTCTACCTAGGCTATGGTCGCATTACAATAGCTTACTTACAGTTCAGAAGAGGGAGAAGGTGCGCCTGGCTTCCTCTGAAAGGGTTCGAGAGTCCCAATCTTTGGACTATCAGTCTCACGGTCGACAAAAAGCGTTAATTCCCAAAGGTTGGTAGCCTTTTGGGCCACGGATTCAGTCTTACGCCGAACAAATGTCTTGGCATAGGAACATCTGCCTGATGAACGGTTAAAATAATGGATTGATGGTGATGAAACACAGTGCCACCAGTTTTGAAAGGAGGTATGAGGTCTACCAAAAGTGTGTTTAATATTTGACACTTGTTTCGTTGTTAGAGGAGAACTTTTGGCGGCCCTTTTGACTTAGGCAAGAATCTCCCATAGAAGCGGGCTCCTCAGGAGCTCCTGGAATTCAGAGTCAATTCAATATCCTCTGAGCTTTTCATCCTCCAAGTCTAGACGAAAGACCAGTGCGTAGTAAATTTGTCGACAGCTAATTTTCACACAAGCATTGCTTACATTTTGATCACTATGAGATTCTCTGGTATAAATGGCCTGTATTTGGGATCTTTGGAATCAGGATGAGACTCACTTGAAGGAAGGTTGAGTTTTTACTTACAGACCATCGTCTGCCACGGCCACCCATTCTTACAAGTATAGCTCTTGCAAAGAGAGTCTCGGAAATTGAGGCTGGACAATGCAATCGTAATTTACAGATACTGCCAATCATATGTTACAGCATTACGGCTTGAAATTAGAAGTACGCGTGCCGTGGCTATGGACTTACATATTACACGACTGCTGCTTTTGTTATTTGGGCCAATTGATGTATCCCAACACATGCGTCTTGTACGCCCACACTCTTCAATGCATGTTTACTTTGGGCTTTTCTTTTGTTCTTCTTTTTGCTTCTTTGAGCGGGCTACAAACTTTCTTGCGCACAGAGAGTCTCGCAATCTTGTTAGACTGCGGGGTCGTGTAATTCGAAGTAGTCTAGTTTGCAGTTGTAATGCTGTATGTTACTTGTAAGACTCACATGCTATCTTTGGGCGAAACATTCCTGCCGCTCCACATTCGTGTTTTACTGGTTGAATCTTCGAAGATAACATTTGTGAACCAGCTCACTTTCAGTCTTTCGTATTCAAAGTTCAGAATACTACAGCGTTCCCCGATCCATTGTGTAAGCAATAGTTTTCGCTAGGTGCTTGAGGCAAGCGCTTCAAGGTACTTGATTCTTGGTTTAATAACACCATCCACTAAAGCGTGAGAGTTTGCAATATTAAATCGTAATATAATGATACTAGGCTTAATCCCCTCATTTACTTATAACAATGAACACAAGAATGAATTGAACGTGAGGGATCATAGAATAGTAATAGCGAGCATGAGAAAGAGAAGCTTCGTGGGAAGATTCCTACAAATATCGCCAATGGTACTTTAAGTGGTCAAGGATGCACAATAAGGTATCTCTTATAATAAACTTATTCTTGCCAAAGTAAAAGTAGTCGCCGCGTTAGCGCTATGCTGCTGCAACGCTCCCTTAGCATCTCTCAAGGTGCCATTAGCACTGCCTATCTTCCAATTCCACGAAGCTATCTATATTTTCATTGAAGAGCTCTTATCTTATCTGTAGCTAATCACATTACAACATTTATTATTACGAAGGGTTAATCTGATATATCGTAATTATTCTAATCGATATGTAAGTATAAATTCGAGTTGAATTATAAATAATAAGTGTGGAATGGCTTCTCCATTCATTTCTTTCCGTACAGTTTGGGCGACAAATAGATCTATTCAGCGCTATCGTACGAAGGAGAAGAAGGGATTCTTCCCCTCGTACGTGGTCTATAGATAGGGGTTTGGGGTTCACCCGCACGGCTGCTGGCTGCCGACAGCCACGTCGTGGCTGTGGTGGCTTACTGCCAGCACGCCGGTGACTACCTATACTACGTAGTCAACCGTCGTACGAGACCGCGAATAGTATATTCCAACACTAGCTATCTTTTCTTTCGCGGTTCGTACGTTCGTAAACAACTGACAATAATTCCTTCGGTAGTGTGTTTCCCGTAGGGTCGTCCTCTTATCTGTCCTCCGGGCTGTCCTTATCTATCCTCTGGGCCGTCCTCTTGTCTATCTTCCTAGCCGGGTAATGGTGTACGAGTCGGTGCCGGAGTTGCGGCATTCGTACGGGGACCGGGAGTTATAGTACTCGCACAGGGACCGAGAGTTGTAGTACTCGTACGGGGTGATGGTTAAGGTGTTCTGACAGCCTCCTTGTTGTCTAATGGGTAGACGAGCTTTTCGTTTTGGGTGAGACCGCTCGGGAAGTGATACCCTTTTCGTTCGAGTGTCTTAAGCATCGCACGTTTGAATGGTCGTGATGTATACTCGAACTGGTACGTAGTCCATCCCTCGAAGTCTTCCTGGTATGCTCGTACGAGTGATCGGAGCGTTGAGATGCCTTGATATTCGGTAACGAGCTGACCGACATACGTATTCATATGTACTCGGTCGAGGGGTTGTTCGATATCGACCGTACGATCCCAGAATTCGAATGCTGTGCCGGCTCGCCAAGCGTGGACGGAGATATCGCTCCCCTCCGCCATCTCCTCGTGCGAGAGGATATTTTGTTGTCGTGGTACGGTACCGGAGTTGTCGTGAGTAATGGCACGCATGCATAACTCTTTGTTCGTGCGGACGGGAGAGGACATCTTGCAGACATAAGCACCTCCGTACGAAGAAGAATCCGTATACGTCTTCTACTCTTGTCGTAGTCCGAGGTTATCGCCCGTATCGCGCGCACCGGTAGCTACGCGTTCTGCGGGAGATAATGAACCTATTGTCGATGCGTAATGGCACGCACGTGTAGCTCTTTGTTCGTGCGGAAGGGAGAGGACTTCTTGCAGACATTAACACCTTCGCACTAGGAAGAATCTCTACACGTCTTCTACTTGTTCGTTATTCGTGCGGAAGGGAGAGGACATCTTGCAGACATTAACACCTTCAGCACGAAGAAGTCGGGAGTAGGATTAAGCACGACGTTTCGCTACGTACTACCGTACGTACTCAGATAACGCCGTCTCTTCATTCTTGCCAATCTGCGTTCACAGCCAAGTGAACACTGATCAGTGTGGAATGGCTTCTCCATTCATTTCTTTCCGTACAGTTTGGGCGACAAATAGATCTATTCAGCGCTATCGTACGAAGGAGAAGAAGGGATTCTTCCCCTCGTACGTGGTCTATAGATAGGGGTTTGGGGTTCACCCGCACGGCTGCTGGCTGCCGACAGCCACGTCGTGGCTGTGGTGGCTTACTGCCAGCACGCCGGTGACTACCTATACTACGTAGTCAACCGTCGTACGAGACCGCGAATAGTATATTCCAACAATAAGAGTAAATATTCAAACATTTAGTAAATTATCATGGGAAACTTTCGAGACATCTAACCATTTAAGCCACTGGCAAGCTTAATACATTCGGGATGCCGCCATTCTTACGCTAGAAAGGGCATATTACCTAGATCGATGCCCACTCTTTATGGTCTCCGTGTATATAACGAGAACAATATGTAACCTATTACTATATCAGTGAGTTCTGCACAGGATGAACCATATCAGTGCGCACAGTGGACTTCCCATGTCTTCTACTACTGCCAATTTTGTGCATATCTTTCGATCGCGCCTATGACTGAATGTGTTGTCTTTCCGTGTGGTATCGGTACAGTACTTGACGTTACGACATGAATGGTTAAATCAATCGAGGGACGCATTCGGTTTCACGGAAGGCTAGAGATACTTGAATTTTCAAAGAACGGATGCAGGATTCCCTAGTTTTCATATTTACCAGTTCTCTTACCCAGTCTTGTGTTCATCGTAGCTACATTGGTGACTTTATAAATACTCAGTGTTTAAAACATAGATGGCAAAAGATATTCTCAGTGCAGATACAATGGTATATTCTCACTAGATATCAATCTGAAAATTGCTTACTACTGCCATCAGGAAACACAACCCTGTACTTTTGCAATGTAGCAATTTGAGGCATGTCGTTCTCTGTCGTTTGACCTCTTCTGAACCTTTCGACTGCACCCGCATTGATGGCTGAATGCATTCCCGGGTACCGGATTTCTATAGACAGGGATTGGTTTAGAAGTGATATATGACAGCTGCTCCAGGAAACTCACTGTGATCCTCAAATGCTCTCTCGTAAAGCCTATTCGATAGCGCCTTCTCAAGGGTCTTTGTTTCGTGCATCATCTGGATCGTCGTCGCGGCAATACCCACCATAGTCTGTAGCGTGTTATTATACTCATGGCCCATATCTCAACTACGCTTATACTTTATCAGAAGGACGTCGCCTTTAAAAAACAGTCGTTCTGCTGGTGGACCGGATTTGGTGATATCTTTGCAGGCCTAATTGATTGGCAGCTTGGAGAATGTTGTATGATAAAGGCAATATTTTCCCAAGTGGCCGTAGTCTCCAAAGTTCGTGATTATTCTGATAGCTTCCAACAGGTCTCTCTGCATAATCAGGGATAGCCTCTTTGTTCGTTGGTAATATAGAACCATCCTGAACCATGCTATCATCGATGTTTGTATAATTGGCAAGCGCAAGCCACGCAATATAGCCTGCAATATGTGTCCGACCAATTGAGTTAGTATGAGGTATGATGTACGGTTGAGCGAGTCAGACACGCGGCACATCAGATGGTACATTCAGGGATCTTTAACGACAGTGTCGCCTGGAATTCCTTTCATCCAAGACGAGACAAGCCAGGATGGTAAGAAGACAGTCAGCTTCGGCGCTTCATATGGCGTGATTCTCAGCTATCTAACGATTGGCCATGCGAGTAATGTACTGCTTGGTGGTACTAACCAGTAACACCTTAAGTTTACTGCATGTTGTATTTAAAGGGCGGACTAGATTGACTGTTCTGTTCCCTTTCAAGCCCCCCCTCCTTGGATTGTTACTCGAAAGCAAATATCCAGCGCAATATGCCATAGAGTGAGATCATTCGGATAAGAATGTTCTAGACTCCTGGATAGCGGAGCTACGTAGGCAGCTAGCTTATTTTATAGATGCAAGTCGTACCTTTGTCCATATTACGAGCGCGGCGAGTTTTGTTTGCTATATTGGCGCCATAATTCCTTTTGTGGGCGTTACATCGAATTAGGATAAGTTGGATTGTTATATTAGGAGAAGACTAATCTTTATACAATGAAATGTATATTTAATCGATAAATATGCGAAATACATGAATGATTCTACTTGTTTCGCTACCGCCTTTGGATTTTCAGCATCAAAGTGACCTAGTATGTGCCATCTTTCTATATACTATGATCCTACCCACAGGAATGTGAGTACTGCAGTACAGGTATTTGTAAGACGAGAGGCTACCGGAGTTGAGTCAACTTGCGGGTTTGCCAGACTGAGCTCTTCAGTGAGGCATTATTGCAACGCTGCAAATGCTTTTATGAATTTAGCGGCTTCGCCCGCCGTCCAAGGAATACCACGGAATGATCAATAAGCTGTTCATGGAATTTGCCGCAGCAAAGGAGGTACCACCATCCACATCTTCTTAGCATCAGACAGATATGTCTTTGCTACGACAAACCCCTTTTCTAAAATCAGCTCAAACGCTGCCTCCACACGTGACCGCTGGTCAGGAGCCCGGACCTCGAGCGCAACAGCGAGCAGTAGTGGCGGGAACGCAATTGCTTCAAGTCCAACAAAAGGCAACCGAGATTCGACTGCTTCCAGAACTGCGATCGCATGGAGACCGGTATTCGATTGGTCCAGGCACGCCGGCGGCTTGAATCGTGGGCACGGGGCCAGGTAAGACCAGCCAGGATAGGCGAATAAACGGGAGAGCGCGAGAGCACCAGCATGGTAAAAGGCCTGTGCAAGTGCGAAAGACCCAGCTGAATCAGATTCTGGTGATCTGCCTACAAGCGACATTTTACCCAAGATGTCCAACTTGTCAGCAGCGTCCTGGGCGTCGGCAATGATCGTAGTTACTTGGCAAGACAAATCTTTACCAAGAGTATCAAGGACCATTGCAGGGGCAAATTCCTTGGAAAGGTCTAGATTTGAAGAAAACGATCTGGCTTGAGCTGAAAGATTGACGACCCTGTTTGAACATGGCATAGGCATAGACATAAGCGACTAAGTCTGAAAATGGAAACAAGTGAATTTGAGTACGACATACCTGGCATTGCATTTGGACAATAACACCAGAAAGTCGCAGATCTGGTAAAATAGTCTAGTGTGAAGATCTACATCGTTACACTCACGCAGACAAGCAGGGTTGTGGGTAAAAAGGTCCTGAACCTTCCCAATCGGAGGCGCTTCGTCAAGAATAAGCGCCTTGTAGCAGCTGGCCATGCAATAGAACAGCAACAACGGGGCATCGGCGCTTGATACACAAGGAATTTCTGGTAAATTTCTTGCAATCTGATCTGTGATTACTTCCATGATTGTGAAAAACCCGACACCAGTTTCTTCCGTGAGGAGCTGTCGTTTATCAGCAAGCACCTCGAATGGGTGGACCTCTAACAGCTGGAATCTTTAAAAAGGGGATAGCAGAAGGAAAGATTTCTTCGTGTGCTTACTTCGAAAAGACACAAGAGCATCGCAAAGAGGAGAGCCTGCTGCTTGGGGCCGCCCGTATCCACCTTGAGCATGTTGGAAAGCTGCGTACGTAGGCTTTGCCGTAGCTTGAAAACTTGGAAATTGGTCAGGTTTCCGATCAAGTCCCGGCGGGATTTTCGGAATTCTAAAACATTCACAATGGCCGAAACAGCGGTATGAATTGGTCTACCCTCAACTAGAAACGTCTTAAGGGCTCGGTGCGTGAAGCACGCGGTAACGGCGGATGGCTGACCCACGAAGGTGAAGTACGCATCAAGTGATTTCTCCAGTACAGGGTATTGTTCATCTAGAGAAGTGGAATTCGCTACTCTTAGCTGTGTTGTGACCATTACTGGTGGGGGCTTGTAGGGCATGAAGTTCTGAACGGGCCCATGGCTTTCTAGTTCATCACACTGCAACTGGTGAGATATGCAACGGGCGCAGGGACGCTGCCCGTCACACTTTTGAGTTCCAGTCAGCATTTAACGAGCCGGGACTCTACCCATTTACAGTCGGCCGGCGTTACAGCTTAGACGAAGAGACGAGGAAAACTACTCACTTTGATATGAAGCTGTATGCAGGGCCGACAGCGATGACGCAGCAGGCGGCGGTCGTGCGGGCCGCAAGGCCGTCTGGGCATATTGTCAATGATCAGAATTAACTAGATATGCTTGTGTGTTCATCTATCAGGGATTTGTTGACCAAAAGTCCCTGTTAACAGTGCAACTTCAAAGAGGCAATAAGTCAGGGGAGGAAAAGAAAATGATCCTGAATGCGCCCAAACTGGAATGCCGCCTTGTGGGGTAACGGTGGAGGAGGTGGAGCGGGCGTTTTGAAAGTGACTTTTCCCAAATAAGAAGTAATCGAGCGGAAGGCTAGCAACTAGGCAAGGGGCTGAGCCAGATCCACTAATCTGAAAACTACAGGACTTCGGCCAATCCCTTCCTTGTTATATGATGTTCTAGCCGCACCACGGCCATGAGCCGCAAGTGCGGATTGCCCTTACTTCAAAACCCATATGGCCCATCCGAGCAAGTTACAGAGTTGCCATCTCTACCTACCTTGTTTTTGTTTGAGAGCTGCAACACCATGGGCGCCATCTTCTCTCTTCTTCGGGACACCTTGGATATGGTAGGTTTGGTGTTGGTCAGCATTGGCGAGAGCAATGCCATATTTGTTGATGCACTGCAGAGAATCCGGTCTCCGCGTTTGCCAGCAACAAATCCGACAAAGGCCTTCTGGCAAGAGAAGCCACCGTTTCCAGACCTAGTCAATGTACAATCAAAGCAGCTTCCGGCCTTGGCAGATATTGTCATTATCGGGTCCGGCCTGTCTGGTGCAAGCATTGCGCACACCATCTTGCATGAATCCTATGCTATGGGGGTTCCCCGACGGGTGACGATTTTAGAAGGGAGGACAGTTTGTAGCGGTGCCACTGGCAGAAACGGCGGGCACATCAAAGCTTCCCCACATATCGAATACGCGAAACTGAAGAAGAGATTTGGTGCAGAAAGTGCTAAGAAGATGGTATCGTTCATGATGATGCATCTCCCACTGCTCCTCGATTTGATCAAAAGGGAAGGGCACGAGATTTCCGAAGCAAGAGAGGTCTTGGCTGTCGATGCCTTTATGGAACCGAACATGTTACTCAAGGCAAGAGAGATGATAGAGGTATTAAGGGCCGATCTACCAGATCTGGCGGAGCGAATTACAGTATTGGATGCAGAGCTAGCACAAAAGGTAGGACAGCCATCACGGTTTGTGGTGTGGGTGGGATCGCTAATCAATGTTAGGATTACGGTTTTAGTGACCATTGCGTCGGAGCGATTTCGTACCCAGCAGGAGCTATGTGGCCTTACAGGCTGGTCACCTCAATCTACAACTCTCTGCTGTCCACCTTTCCTGGCGAGTTCTCGATCGAGACAGGCACCATGGTCGAAAATATTCAACCTACAAGGAGTACTGAAACGCCTTTTATGTTAGTTACTTCTCGGGGAGAGATACTGGCAGCTCATGTAGTTCATGCATCAGATGCTTTCGCCACCAATCTTGTTCCTGGACTGAAGGAGAAGCTGTTCCCAATACGTGGGCACATGTCAGCTCAACGACCCGGAAAAGCATTCCCACGCCACCATGGTGATATCTCTTGGGCTATCGTGGGGAAGTCAGACTATGAGTATGTCACGCAGAGGCCAGGTCTCCCGAATATGGAGGACGGCATCGGAGGTGAGATCATGATTGGTGGCGGAACCGTCCGTGCTGACGATGGTATCCTTGGCGAGGTAGGGCAATGGGATGATAATAAGACAGTCTACGCCATTGGGGCATACCTAGGCGGCATCCTGCCGTTAGCATTCAACCAGCACTGGTGGGGTGACGATGCTGAAGGCTCAAGAGTCAAGGGATTGTGGACCGGCTGCATGGGATTTACAGCTGACATGTTACCTTTAGTTGGAAAACTATCTCCAAGCCTCACAGGGCGGCCCGTGCTAGCAACGAAGACAGGGAGCAACAGTACGTGTGTCGAGAAGAACATGCCGGAACCTGCGGAGTGGATTTCTGCGGGCTTCAACGGCTCAGGCATGGTACTGTCATGGCTTAGTGGTGTTGCTACAGGTTTGATGATAGTGGGGCGTGAGCACGTCGAATCCAAGGGGGAGCCTGGGCGACCTCAGGGCGCCATGGCGGACTGGTTTCCAAAGGAATTTGCTTGCAGTGCAACGCGGGTTTCCCAGCAAAGTGTATATAAGTTATCAAAGCTGGCATGAGGCTTTTCTCTCGTAGCGGCTCCAGAGAAATTTGGTGATTAGAGCCACTCTTATCGCTTTGACTGCGACATAAGCAACGGTCAATATGTAGCTAAGACTTCGGTCTTATAGATAGCGGTCTGCGCTCGGTATACATCTTCCCACTATCGCTACGATTCAGAATAATGGCTTGTATATTTTGTTTTTATACTAATAGGGTATTTATTGTGTTGCACATTCGTACATATAGTCAAGTTAATGTTCAAGATTGTCTCATCCTCCTTTCTTCCTTTGTTTTGAGGGCTGTGATGCGTTGCTTGTGTATGCATTGCTTGCTTTTCCAATACATGTCACGTGATGCCCTTGTTGATACATCAACAGAGGAGACGGGACCAAGGGGCTGTGGATCCTCTTGATACCTTACGGGGTAATTACTCCGTAAGTTGCCGGGCAATTGGAGCGAGTCAATGGAGATTCGAAGCTTCATGATATCGTCTGGACCCACTCCCGCTCGATTGTTTCCGTTTTGGGAAACACTGCTCATGCCATTCTAGCCGATGTACGCTAACAGTCGACCGCCACAGACCAAATTATTTCCACTTCTCTACTGTTTGCAACTTGTCTCGGCTCACGGACGCTCAGTGTCTACCGCCGGTTTGCGTCACACGCGAGAGCTGGGAACCCCACCCATGGCTTTGAGGCGCGCAAACAGCTTCGTATCCAAATGGTCTCTGCCTTTTCTTTAGTGCATCCCGACATTGCCGACCCATGTTGGGCGCCAATGCAGGGCACCCTGTGCTGGTTGTGTCCCCCGTCAGTTGCGAGGCAAGCCATGCAGATGCTCTAAAGATCTTCATCCGCCACGATAATCAGCGTTACTAGGTTAAGTTACATATTCACCCTGTCATGTCTCCATGATGTCACCGTGGTTAACTAGCTGGAATTGATGCAGATACATGACCTCCTTAATACCCGCAGATATAACTTCAAACTGCCTATAATGAAGACTTGAAATATGAATTTGCAGAGATCATCTCTGTACTTTCCCAGCAGCGGTCAGTGAACTGGTGGCCGTTTCTGCCACGCTATGAGAGTTACGAGATCTGGAAGTTACACACAAAGCACAAGGGGTGGAGCATCGGGCCGTCGATGAATTTCGTGGCATGCCAAAACTTGTCTATAGCATCACAGTATGCCAGATCAACGCGGTGACAATTCCAAGAAAGCTGATGAAAAATACCACAAGATTTCACGTTGCTGGCTAAGGATTGTCCTTCATCATACGCCACTGCAGCCAGCCTGACCGTTTCGTCACAGACGGTCAGCCCTGGGGATTGGTTTACGACACCCCAAAATGTCCGACAGTTGGGCTTGTTCTAGAAAGATGTGGCCATGCTCCCTTGTTATGTAGAAACTTTGGTTGGGTGTATGTACAGTAGAAAAGCATACGCAGCTACAGTAGAATGCATTTTGATCGACATAAGTAATGATCCTTGCGTATTTTGGTTGATATTGGAGGATACACCCCTAGACGGCCAGTGGTAGTTGCGGCATTCTGGGACGTGTATACGAGATATTTGGGGCTAATCAAAGACGACATCATTTTACGGCACGGCCAATCAGCAGCATGGATTTATATTAGCTTCTGTGATCAGGTCTAAGCCGTTGCTACGCCTATCGGTGTATTGAAACATTAGACACGGCACTCGGCATCCTAATGTGTATGGCATTAGGCAGCAGCCTAGATATATCACTACTTCTTCCAGACTCTCAGTCATTCGTCTCGCCTACATTAGTACACCGAACATAGGTATACCAAAATATAGCTCTCAATCAGCTTTCCCAACATGGCGCCTATACAGTATAAACCCATGCTTCACTGTATGATCAAACATAGTCAAAAAGAATCATCAGCGCGTCTCGACGAAAGGTCAGTCACGCTATCAGACAATGTGGCTCCAGCAGTTACACTTGATTCTCAACATGGTTCGCTCACCACACAACTTCTCGCTTTATCCCGGGCTTCCGAAGAAAGACACTATGGAGATTGTCTTGAAATCGTACCGCAGAGCCTCCCATGGGACAGATCATGCTCAGGGGAGAAGTCTGTGGCGGTTTCAAGCACGCAATATGGTATCACAGATTCCGTCATGGCGCCTATCACAGTACACGACGGCCCCATGATCGTGGTCTTGCTAAGTATCGTATTCTCTGCGGTACTTGTGGTAGAGGTCTATGAGTTTTGGCAACGACGTATCAAGAAGGGGCAGTACCTGTAAGTCCTAAGTCAGGATATGTTTCATACGTTACTAATGACCAGCCAGAGTAGCAAGCCGAGATATAAAGACGCCCACGAGAACCGGATAGCAACACTTCATCCAACGTGCTGAGAGGTGTCCTCGGCAATACAAGAATAATGATTTAGACCTAGCGGCTGGATGAGAATGAAACCTGTTGTTAGCCCTCACCATGCTCCTAAAAGTCTTTAAACAAAGTGTGCTCTACCAAGGAACACTAAGATATATCCCAATGCCCATTTTACAAAGCGGTCACCGTAAACTGCATAAACTGCCAACGAGACTGTAAACCGAGTTTTTGCGACTGATCAAGGCATGTGGAATGCATTGTAGTACATAGCACTTCATAAAAATTAAATTAACAAGCTGATTCGGTTGTTGTTGATGTATGCTTTTTACGGGATATTGTATAATATGTGGAGGCTGAGTCCATTTGTTCAGTTGACTCATCTGTCCCCAATAGAAAACTTAGCCGTCATGTTTCTTAGTACAGATATCGCAGAGAGGAATTTAATACAGGTCCACTTGCCATTTACTACCCAGTGGGCTGGCTACGAACGTTTATAGGTGTTAAGAACGGGGCTACATCTGTCATTCGTAAAAAGGACATGTTGCGCTGAGTCGATCGACAAATGAACAAATTCAGGACCAAGCTGAACGCCCCACCGCATGATTACTTCCTAAATAAGCTAGCGCTGTGCTGGCTCCATTTCGTCTCTAAGCACTGCACAAAGCTATTAGTTATGGAGCTCTAGTCAGCTGAAGGTGATTCTTCGAATGGCGAACTCGCCCTAAACATGACAGTATGGTTGTTTTAATGGACTCACCATAACCCACTACAATCGTACAGGTTCACAGACGCTTGGATTTAGTGACTCTGCCGCACGGTTGGCCTACTTAATTAGATGAGGTAGTTACGGAAAGTTCAATGCCAGGGGTCTACACCACACTCGGCGAGCGCTGGCCTTATGACCACAGGATATATAAAGCTAGAATTTCTCTTCTGCCTAATGGTATTATCAATTTGAACTGATCCATTCAAACTCATCCATTTAAACTCACCTTCTCCAACCAAATGCAAGTTCTCAACCGCCTTACGTTGGCATTCATTGCCCTCGCCCCTGTCGCATCAGCTCTCCAAGCGTCCAACTTCAATGTCTCTGCCGAAGTTGCTGAAGCGAGTGGTTGCGGGTCAGAATGCTACAGGATCATGCAGATCGCGAACCAGGCCGACCTGGCCACAGTCAATACAAATTACGGCTTTGATTTTGATTTTTACGCCACGGCGAGCAACTTCTCAGTGTCATCACCGGGTGACCTCTTGAAGCTACAGCCCCTCGATCCCGCATCTCATGATACAACAGACGGAACGACAGCCTATCGATTCCAGTATACGTCTAAAGACCTTGACGATACCATTGTCCCGGTCACAGGCTTTATTGCTTTTCCATGGACCCCCCTCACTCACGATCAGAAGTTCCCTCTCGTCGCATACGCTCACGGAACAATCGGGGTTTACCGAGGTTGCGCGCCATCCGCGGGCCCTGCTCTGTTCGACTACGGTACCTGGGCTCCCATCGTTAGCAGAGGCTATGCTGTCGTTGCAACGGATTACGCTGGGCTTGGAAACAACTACACTACGCATAAGTATTGCAGCTTTCCTGCCCACGTCAACGACCTTTACTATTCTGTCATTGCCGCTCGGAAGGCATTTGGACATATCCTTTCCGAGGAGTGGATGTCTGTGGGCCACTCCCAGGGCGGCGGCGCCGTGTGGAAGTTGGCTGAGAGCAAATTTGTGCAAACCGCTGTCAATGGTGCCGGGCGGTACCTTGGTACCGTCGCTATTAGCCCTGCAACGAGGATCCTCGATATGTACAGGGAATACGCCAGAGAGTTAAGTGCAAATACCTCCAAATTCCGGCCTTATGTTATTGCAGCAGAGTTACCCTCTTTCTCGATTGGATTAAGCCGCGTTCTGCCGAATTACGACTTCGGGATGCTTGGCAAAACCCTTAAGCAGCGTTTGGGCCTCATGGACGAGGCACAGTCCTGCACTAATGCAATGATGGGAATGACGTTAGATCTGAATATCGAGGATCTCATTAATCCTGAAGGTGGCGAAGACGAAAGGATCCAAAAGTGGCAACAAGACACGGCCCCGGGATCCGGGCGATCGCAACAGCCCTTATTGGTCATCCAAGGACTCGGTGATACAGGCATTCTGCCTAGCATTACAAGAAAGACTTGGGAAAGGTCTTGTAGAAACGGTAATGAGGTTCATTTGAGAGAGTATGATGGAGTTGAACACTCGCCCACCCCACCTACGTCGGCCCCAGAGTGGTTGGCGTGGATGGGGGAGATTTTTGCAGGAAAAAATAGTTCTTGTGGTTGCGACCTGACGAAGAGGTCATCAATGGACATGGCCCATGTTAAGTCGCCTCCCGAGTTTGATTATGCGGAACTAGGTATAACTTTCCCAACCAATTGAGGTTGTCGAGATGTCGGTCATATGCGGGGATTAAATTTCAGTGGCGGGTCGCTAACGAGTCTGTCATCGAAGGGCACGAAGTAGAGAAAACTCTGGGAACCAATGCGTTAATAAGATCAAAACATACTTTGTAATAACTTTTACGAAAGGGTTTTGTTATACCAAATTGCGTCATAACTTTGTCCTATCACAAATGATTGACCAACATCATTCACTCCAGCCTTCCAATACTACGTCCATAGAAGAAATAGTTTGTGCCTAGAATTTGTGATGCGGAGTTGACAAGTTCTAGAACTAACAATCTCTCCGAGTTGCTGAACCGTTTCCACAAGATAATCGAATCAGTTGCCTCGTCTTCTGCTACTGGTACTGAAGTGGCCCGCCTAAGTGGAAATTGAGCGACAAATAACAACAATAGTATACATAGATCGAAACTGTAATTATGTTTGGAGATAAATTCTTACTGATTGCAACAATTTGTGATGAAGCAGGAGTGTCAGTTTTATTTTAAATCTTTTAATTAATTATCTCTTCTTCTCTCTTTCATGTTTAGGCGTTGCTTTTCTTTATCTTCTATTCTTCTCTTTATTTCTCTATCAAACCATAGGTAGCATCGTAGGAAGGGGTAGAGTAATTTGCCTTGACTGAAAGGTTTCGTCGGACAATAAGGCCTTTGTCTGTTCGCGCATAATGTGTGTACTCAGTCGTCCACAAAGCATCGTGACGGATGCTCTGAGTTGGTAAATAGTGATGGACCTCATCAGAACGAACCGGAAAAATACTGTAGATCCAGAGAGTGAAAAGTACGGAGTAATGTCGATACAACTTGTTCAAAGGCAATGTATATCATATGAGGGACCCTGCGGCGCTCTCACTCACTGCCAGTGATTGCGCAATAAAAACCTTAGCGTGTTGTCGCTGGCAAATACATTAGATTCTGAAGGTTGCGCATTAGGCTTGTTCGATTTTGTAAAAGCACGTCACAATCGCTTTTGTCCGTGTAATCTAAACGCTTATACCACGCTTTCATACCTGCATCGCGAGCTCGTTTGTAAGCCTGTCGCTGTACAAAAAGAGTCCATTTTCGACGCGCAATTTGATCGCAGTGTATCGTAAATTCCCAAAAGAATTATTTAGTGTCAAAAATAACGCACAAGTCAAGTGAAGGGTAGTGACACCGGGCCGACATGCTAAGATATTTGTGCCAGAAACGGGTGGACAGAACCCAAAGCTTTGGGCACAGGGGATTATCAAGATTCCTTAACCATCCTCAAATATTTAACAAACAAACTAACGAAGACATAGCTCCTAGCGGGGCATCAATCGCCCCAATTCCTTCTATCAGCAATCGTAATATCTTCGCTTTTCAGAGGAAACGAGATAATTGTGTATTCGGTGCCCAAGGTTGTTTCTGTGGTGTCCCGCAGATACTGACCATACCATGAAAGGCGTGATACTTCCCAAACGACTTCTTCTAGTTCATGAACGATACGATTATTACTCTCTCCAGCCGGCAGAAGTGATGAGCATTGACTGTAGGACCAAGAGTATCCATGTGGAACTGGAATAGCGCTAGTGTTAAAAACTATAGGCCTGAACGCAAAGATTCCTGAGTTCTTTACAACTAAGGCTTGGATGTCTACTAAAGATCAACGGCTTGAGGCGTATCCTGAAGCAACAGAAGTCTGAGAGAAACCCAATAGCCGCAATACATCGTCTCAGGTGAGCCTTCCCTCTCAATTTCATTGAGCCATTGGTTTTGGTTGACGGATTAGCAAGCAATTGGCTAATGTTTACCAAATCGAGGTCTTAGGAGAACATAAGAATTAATCCATTAATCAATCAAATAAGTGCCGATAATTTCATTATTCAACACCACGTCATTATCTCAGATGTCCGCCATGCCAATTGAATAATTCCGTTTCATGCATGAGAATCATGGGTTCAGCATGGTGGCATGTAACCCTAGAGACTCCAGGGTTAAGAAACGCCAGACCATATTCTGGATGGGCCATTATGAAGTCTAAATACTTGTCACAATTGTCTCTTGCTGCTTTTGTCTCGCGATATAATATTTTGATCATGTTCGTCTTTATTTGTGACTAATTACTGTAGACGATCAAAGATAACTTTCAATCGACCTCTCTAATGCTCTCCGTGTTCTCTGCCATGATGACGAACAAGATCCCCATAAAACCAGCCAGTGGAAGGGTCCACCAGCCATACTCTATAACTAAGCTCCAGAAGTCAATGTGCGATGTCCCCGTGATGTACAACAACAGCATTATCATGGCACTGGCGCCCGTGGTCAATATGCCGACTTCCTTGGCGACCTCTGCATAGGACTCCGCGTACCCACCCTCGGTTCCGGGAACGACGAGCGGGACCTGGACAACCGGGGGCGTGGTCTGCAGCAACTCGTACCCGCAAAACCAGAGCGTCGCCACGGCGCCGAAGACGAGGGACACAAGGAACAGGTACGACTTGACTTTCTGGGCGAGGGGTGCCCCGTGCAGCGTGGGGAAGAACGAGGGGTCCATGATGGCCTCCTTGGCCGTCGTCGGCTTCTCGCCATGCTTGGTCGTGTGGTTGGTATTTTCCGAGGAGCCGTGGGCCGGGTCGCTGGGCTTGGGCGCCGCGTGCTCGAGCTTGCCCTCCTCGTTCATAGGCATGCTGGGTGCTTATAAATGCTAGCTTATGCGGACAGAGGGGAACAGTTTGTTGGTATTGAGAATCTTGAGCTAGACGGCCAACTTGGACCTCGTTTGAGACTGGTGAGGTGTATTGAATGTCGAATGGCTGGTATAAAAGAATGGGCCCGAGTGGTGTGTTAAAGAACGAAGAAGTCGGCGTTGGCAGTTTGATCACAAAAACACCAAAACATGGCGTACATGACGTAGGTACAATCAACAGAGTAAACTTCATTAGCTCAAGCTCCACCCAGACGTGGAATGACGCGCCAAGATTACCTAGCTTGTTCAGCCACAAGTCTTAGATGTTTACGCGTGCTACGACGGCTGAGGTTAGATTAATATTCGAATCAACTGAGTGATAAATGAAGGCGCATGTTTGTGCAAACTTCTAAAGCGCTTGTTGATTGAGTCTAGCAGTATGCATTGTAAAGAGTGGTTGTCAAATACTTGACACGAAGCATTACCAAATCATCCCGCGTCATGATTGGCGAAATTCCAACTATATTCATTCCAAAAGTACGCTAAACTGCTAGGTCCGCCACCTGAGTGCCTACTTGTAGTTTTGCATAACACAGCTTGTGTACAACATGCCGCGATATGATGAGGCCACTGTCTGTAACGTTTCGTCTATCATTTGCTCAGTCTCGCATGGAGATTCTCCCTAGCATCGGTGGCAAATTTCTGAACATCCACCTTTCCAATAGTGGACAACCTGCTGTTGATCTCCTCCTCAATTTTCTTGAAGTCCTTGCCGACACCCTCCGCTCTCCATTCGTAGCAGTCTCCGACGAATCTGCTGCTCTGTACTAGCCAATGGGATCTGTCTCGGCGCGCTTCGTCGAAAGTTGCAAATACTGCTTCAAGATCACTGGACTTCTGAACCTGCTCATCGGCGAGGAGTTCGGCCATGACCAAACTATCCTCAATACAGAATCCCGCACCTGAGCCATGGTGAGGAGAGGTAGCGTGTGCTGCATCGCCGGTAACACAGACGCGACCCTTGTAGAAAGTAGGTATAGGGTTGGCACCAGTATCGAAGATGGCCCAGACATCAAGGTCCTCATTCGTGAGTTTGAGCAGACTGATCACATTGTGCCCAAACCCCTCGAAGTCGCGGAGAGCGTCCTCCCGCTTGGCTGGTCTCGTGAGGTGCTCATAGTCGGGCCAGTCATCCGTAGTAGTGCGGAAAGCCACGATGTTAAGCTGTTTCCCACCGTTGACGGGGAAGGTCAGGACGTGGCCATCGGGTCCCATCTAAAATCGATCGTTAGTACTGTATGCTGGAATGAACATCAACTGCATCTTTTCACTTACAAACATGTACGAATTCTTCGCCCTCTCTTCGCCAATTGCGTCGACAGCAACGTCCATGGGTACGAGACCTCGGTATGCGTACTTATGGGTGTACGAGGGGTGAACGGAAGGATGGTCGGCACCAACAACCGTCTGCCGGACTCTCGACTTGATACCGTCGCACCCAATCACAGCATCCGCTGTCGCCGTTGACCCATCTTTGAAATGCATGACCAGCTTGCCATCCTCGCGCTCCCTGACCTCGAGCAACCGCTTGCCAAACTGTGCCTTTTCCTTGGGCAAATGTTGCACTAGCTGATCGAGATAGTGCGCGCGATGAACGCCATTCTGGCCCAATTCCGTCTCTATGGTGAACGCGACATCCTTATCGTTGCCCTCAGTTCCGTCGACGTAGTCGAACCATGTCTTCTGCTTGGACTCCCAGCCATTGCGCGTGCAGACCGCTTGAAAGGCCTCATACACGCCTGGGTGCAAAGCCTTCATGGCATGCACAGCGTTGGGGCCAAAAGATACGCCGGCGCCGATCTCGCCAAAGTGTGCCGCCGACTCGTACAACATGATGGGGATTTGACGATGGTGCAGCGCGATAGCTAGAGTGAGTCCGGCAATACCGCCGCCGATGATGGCGATTTGAAAGTCCTTGTTGGCAGACATTTTGAATTTTTTTTTAGTTTGTAAGATGGTGAGAGGTAGAATGACTTTGGCTGAGTTGATTTGATCTTGTTTGGTCTGGTATAATCATCGGATAGTTGGAGATGTCGTTCTTACTTGTACTTATGTGTGTAGTGTAGCCGGGGCTCGGCCGGGTCGGTTATCACGAGCCAAGTCCCCTCAATGCACAGGTAAGCCCTGACGCTCAATAAGTCCGTTCCGTGTCCATGCTCTCAAAGGATTGTGATGTATATGCATGTATGACGTATTCGCGTGATCTTTAGCGGATACTAAGTCTGTCTTTGCAGTTTGTCTACGGCAATAGTGAGGCAGTTTCTAGCGCCATGGTGGGGGAGTCGTCGCTATGACGGGCCGTCGGCAGTTCTTGGGGTTGTGGAGATCAAGTCAAGATGTGCCACGCAACTCGTCCTACAATTCAACGATTGTCAAGGTCAAGCATGCTCGGATTTAGATGTTTAGCAGTATGATCCGCAGAAATAATCTTCTTGAACAATGATGGTGTCTCGCACGTAGCGATCACTCGAAAATGGAAATCTAAGTGGATCACCGGAATTTCCGATGGACAGGCAGACAGGCGAGATAGCGTGCCTGGAGATGCGAAGCGCGAGTGCTGTCAATGTCAATGCAGCCAATGCTAACAACACAAACACAGACCCCCGTAAATGTCAGCTTCGAATAATTCCGGGAGTCTCCACTTTACCTAAATCCGATCCGAAAATCAGAATCTGGCACCATGGCGAAGCCGCGAGCAGTTGAAACAAGCTTTTTGGTCCCAATCATGACAGGGTTTTAATCTTGTGCTTGGGAATGCTCTGCTATTTTAGGAAGGGGATCATGCACCCAGCTTTAGGTACATGCTCGACGTTCGGTCCTAGGGCTGATAACTGTGTACTGTAATCCCGTTCCTTGCTAGTCGCTTCACATCTCCCCAGCTCACTTGACATGTTATCCACTTGATATTGGATCTCATCCTTCCGTTTCATTTCATCACACACAAAATCTTCATCTAATCTGCCGGTGGGTCATGATTGAGACTGGTATTATCTGAGCATGACAAACACAGCACTGTTTCATGGAAATTCCAGGAAGATAAAATTGTCCAAATAGTTTCAAATGTTCAAGGACAAAGCCATTTATCCGGTAAGTCTCCCACAATCCTATACACCCTGTGGAGACGCTGACCTGGCAGAGCACCCTTACGTTATCCCCCGCGCTGCCACAGGCGTTTTAGACAAGCACCGAGATCAAGCATCTTGGTAGATTGAACCTAGTCCGGCGTGATGTGATAATTTGCAACGCTCAAACGCGCAGTGTCAATTCCCAGCGCTGCCCCTGGGGTCTTCATCGTCAAGTTGACTCTGCTACTGCCGGCCTTATCGGACAATGAAACACTTGCCAGCAATGTCATTATCGAAAGGAAGTAGGCGAGGCCCCTGTTGACATTGACTGTCTGAGAATATTATCTCGGCGCATATCAGCATTGGCAACTCTGGTGTTTGAAAATATGGAAAGCTGTATATTTGATTCTATACAAAGCGCTAGGACACCCATTTTAGAGCCATTTATTTTCTTTGTATGCACAAAAGGTATATATGACAAGATCCTACTGATTCACGCTGATTAGCTCCATACTGAACACTCGTGCAGATGACAATTCGATGCTCAGTCTACTTACCCCGACCATCACTTGTGCAAAGTTCTGAAAAGATGTGCTTCTGATTATATTTGTGCCGGCTGTCGGAATGGTGGCCGCATCGTAAGTCTGTGTCACCACACAGGAATTTTTGACACCAGCCGAATCACCGTCGTCGGAGGTGAAGTGCGGTTAAGCTTGCCTGCTGTTGAGATCATATTAACTGATATAGGTGTTGCCCAGGCTTATTTGATGATGCATTTGCACCATGATGAAGCTTGAATGGGTTCCGTTATCAGTGACCCCATTAAGCAATTTAATATCATATTGGTAGGATACACCACCATATCTTCCGGGAAACGCCCCGGTCTCATCAATCGTAACGTGGTTCTTTTTCTCACTTTTTCTTTCTTTTTGGAAAAAAAAAAAGGATAAAGATAAAGAAAAAGAAGTAAAGAGTGAAAAAGCGATTGGGTATGTGTACAGTCCCGCATGACGAAATACTCCAGCCTTCCGCAGCTGAGATTACAGTGTAATAGGACTACATTGATTGTATTTGGGACCAGACTCAGGCTAGCATATATCCCGGAACCGGAAAATAATTATAGTTTTATCATCAGAAAAAGTTCATTCCAAAATTCATTTTTCGTTAGCTTTTTACCCAAATTTGCTTTCTAAACACCTGAAAAAAGCCCAGGCGCTGATATACCCCAATAAAATTATTTTCACGTCGGGTCAGGATTAGATCCTCGAAATAGGTTTCATCGGTCATCATCGAACCGCGCCGGAGTACCTTCTTACGAAACCGTTCGCAGATGTGGAGTATTTCTTTCCAAAGATCTATGTTGGTATCGAGATGCATTGCTACACATGTAACCTCATTCTGATCATGATTTCGAGCCCAAGCACTGGCTTGTTCAATATCCATTCGCTGTTCACGAAACCACATCCTAGTAGTATTCCTACGCGAACGCCGTGTGGCATAGCGTGCATAGTAAGCCCTTATGCGCCGAGAGTTGGTATGGGTTTTCGGCAGGCTCCAATACTGATCTGCCTATTTGTACGGCATATGTCCATGTATTCTGACTAAGGATGATTCTTTTGAGGGTGGCGGGGTAGTAAGTTGGCCATTGACGAAAGCCCAAGACCAGCACACTGCTTGCCACTAGAATTATTGACTATAATAGGGAATTGTCATTTGATGATGTTTTCATGCTTCTGCAGCACGCCCCAAATAAATATTATGGTGACCTCCTTGTGGTCTTAGACAGTCTAAAGAGCTACGACTGCCTACAAGATAGGAATGATTCATCCCACAGCCAAAGGCTGTCGCAATATACCATCATCATTTAGGGGTGCACACTGTCTTGAATTTGAACTGAATGAAATTTATAGCTCTTTGGAAGTGGGATATTCAGTGATGCACGAACAGTAGCCAGGCAAATGCGACCAATTGGTTGCCACTGTACGGGTATCAGCATTGCGTATAACGGTCATGCTCAAGCTGCGGCAGTCCGGTACAAGGGTACTCCGGCGTTCAACGAGAATCATCAGCTCTAGCGCAGCGTATATTTCGCTTGCCTCTTTGATGGAAACTCGAAACGGCGAAACCGGACAGGTTGCGTATGTTGTCAAGGCATTGGCTGTTGCGATCTCTGCCAGTGAATTGGGTAAAAAGTTTCGATTTTAACTCAGAACTCAAGAGGGTTATATTCCCTAACATGATTTGATTTGCTTAAATGCCCCTGCCAGCGAATATTACTAGCCATAAATTTGTTAATGAAATGCCGTGGATGGGCCATGCTACACGAGAGCCTTTACCCTACAGCGCAGCCTCGGCCAAGTTCGACTCAAAATTGGCATCGATAAATGGTACATTGGCATCTAAGTTTGTGTTAGACCAGTCTTGAAAAACTTCTGAAGCTAAATGAGTGACTTACCGCCCCAGTTCTTATCAGCAAGAGCTTCCTGGGCCACTGTAGGCAGCGAATCCCATGCGATCAGGGGTTGTTGGCCACCTGTCGTGCTGGTGAAACCTAGGGAGTGGTCAAGAATTGCGTAGGCGGTGTAGTACTTGATCAAAGGCCCATAACCGCTGAGATCAGGATCCGTAGACGTAACATAGTCGCCATGATACGAGGCCGCGACACCAAGAAGTGTGGCATCGGCGGTGTCGTCGGATAGCCATACGACAATTCCTTCCCAGTCGTATCTATGGCCAACGCCTACTAGAGACTCCAACCATGACGGCTCATCCTTGGGAAAGTACCAGCTGTACAGTATGGCGAACGCTTCATTGTAGGACTCAGCGCGCGCATATATTTGTCCTGTGCTGGAGTCGCAGTCGCTGGATGGGGATCCGGACGGCGCAAGCCCAGCGCTGTATTCCTTCGTCAGCAGGGCGGTGGGCTTAATATCTCGGGGCGTATTCACCTAGTATTACCCTCGTCGTCGACAGCAGGGAACGGAACACAGCCATCAACAACGTAGAGGTACGGTTGCCACTTCAACATAAGCTTCCCAACAGTGGTGTCTGGGACTGTCTCAGCAAAATTAACGACCGCATCATGGTCGATGTCTGCCCTAGGTTTCACTCGACGAGGTCCTGCAAGGGCTGCACTGACAAGTGCTAGCAAGGTGAGCTTAGCGAGCATCTTTGGTTCTCCGTGAGCAGGACTGCGCTGTGATGAGCACTTAGCCGCCTGAGCCGGACTGCCTCACGTAAGTCAGTGTGTGCCTGCACTCATGTTATATAACATTGTCAATAGTGCGTGCGATTCACCCGTCATGACAGTGGTCACCACCGTTAAGGGCCGCGTGAAAACGAGCCATTGTTCCTGAATAACCACGTGGGCATCACTATTCGCTAATATGTGGGTGCGTCGTCAGCCTCCGGCGGTGGATCCCCCTCAATAGACCTATGCTGATTGGGAACAGCAATATTTTAGTAATGAATTGCGTATAGCTGAACTGCCGCCGGCAGTGCTGCCAACGCCTCACATAAACAGGGTACTAAATGTTGGGGAAATCCCAAGAGCATGGACAGTCCAGGGCTGCCGAAATTAGGGAACCGAAATGGGCCGTGGATGTAACCGAAAGTTCGACGCACCCTGGTTCGGCTCCGCATTATCGTCGTCATCACTGACCGGGATCAGTGACTAAAAAAATGCATTCTACCCATCTTTCCAGGAATCACTGGCCAGCGCGCCATAGTATGCAAATATTACTGGTGGTTTTGCGATATATACTATTGTCCTGGTCGTGAGTGGGCACGGTTTGTCCAAAAGTTTGCTCGATTGGATGTGGGCTGAGAGCTCATTGGTAGGTGTGTTTGCACGTGTTCGGAAAGTCAATGTATTCTCAATCGGATTTGGGGGAGTCTCGTGGTTAACGACACCAATGAAAATTTTGAAATTAGCATGCGGTTTGTCCCCAGCAAATAAATACTTTCAGGTACACAGCTAGAAGTCACGCCCAAGCACTTATTTCCAGCTCTTACATTAGAACTAGACCATTCTGCTCACCACAAACACTTGTTGCACAAGATTTCTACACATCCGAAAGTATGTTATAGGATGAACTCAGTGATCTAAAGATTGGCCAACACTTATTCCAAAGTTCCAATATATTACCGGTATTTGTGTCGTCAGACTGATTTCACCGCAATAAGTCACTTTACAGTCTGATACAGCCCAATGTCTTCTCCTACACTTGAACGCGCAATTTACAGGTTTCATAATCACAATCAGCCGTAATCAATGCCAAAGTTCCAGCACATCATCTCATCGATATTCACTGGCTGGAATGCCTGGTGATACCCTCGGTTTACTACTGGCTGTTGTGTAACTCATCACTCTACCAATACCCATCGTCATTCGACTCCAGATGTGGTGGCACCAGAAGTTTGGGCTCATGGTGATGTTTGGGGTTGGCGCCGTGTAAGTACAACTCCTTTCCAAAAAAGAAAAACCGGTGAATGTGTGAGCCAAAATATATCAAGACTCGTTAGGACAATAATTACGTCCATTGTGCGACTATTCGTGATCATCAAGCAGCCGAGCGATGCTGATGTGTCTTGAGGATCCGGACTTACCGTGTTTTGGCTGTAAGCGTACTTGATGAAATGCGTCTCCGGGAGTCACTGAATTTGACAGGATTATTGAAGCATCCCTAATGGTTATATGCGCATGTATTTCGAGTCTACGAAAGTTTCTACATCACATTGAACCGAAGCTTGTCGGAGAACGTGTTTCAACCAACGATACACTAACGAAGAAGGAAAGTGAACTTAAGACATTCAAGTAGTCCAACCAGAAGAAAAGGAAATACAGAGAAGGTCGATGGTACAGTTAATGGACTTTAGCCAATGCATGATGTCGATAACACAAGCTCGCCTTATCATAATTCCGAAGCGGACAATGATAGCATTGGAAATGGAGAGGGGGATAGCCAAAAGAGTATCTTACAGAACAAATCAGCAACGCTCAAAATTGCGGTTAGACACTAGGTTTCAGTAATATGTGCGAATCATTAAACACTCGAAATTATTTTTGCTGCGGCGAGACAAAGCACTGATTGCCGGGTAACCATAATTTTCCGCATAGTTTGCTACACCATCGTTCTGGCCTAACATAAAAGCGGTTCAATACTTCTTGAGAATAATGAAGGCGACCTATAATTCTACTGTTCTTTTTCAGAGTATCAAGCAGCCCAGATAATTGAGGTGCATAATATGGTTTATACCGGCTTTCCTCTCCAATCCTATATGTATGGCGTTGAACACGATTCTAACAAGAATGCATGCGTATAGAACTCCGTAGTGAACGACTTCTTCGTTGCCTCCTAGCTTCTACTTTGTTTTGGTGTAATCATAGTTCTGCTGGCCCTCTGCACGTTGGGAACCGCGCACCCGAGATTTCCCATTAGGTTATGCTGTCTATTTTGCCGATCACCCATAACATGATCAATATTTTCCGCCCAATATATCCCATAGAGCTGATGCTCTTATTAATCCTATACCTCGTCATCAATTGTGAGGGTCCCTATCAGGGCTTATCCGGTATCCGATTGTGGCTGGGTATATAAGGGTTACAATCCTCTCTATATAATATTAGTACCCTAGCACTCCCTTGCAACATTGACGTCTGACAGTTCCTGTGAAGAGAATGTTGTGTGTTAATGGCTACTGTAACTCTTGAAACTCTGCCTGGATGAAGGGTTCACCTGATATCGCTCAACTGCTATGGTCGTTACACTTGATAATTCGCCTTTCCTCTACTGTTTGATGCGTTCTACACTCGAAAACGTCTCACCAATACCTTAATCAGCTGTGACTATTGTAATAGTCAACATCACACCTTTATCGGCAACTCGGGAATCGTTAATTTCAACCTCAATAAGCATGTGGAGTGAATATTAATCAAGCAATGTCGCTACAAGTAAGCTTAAGTACTCTCAGCATCATTGTCACAATTTTCGTTGAAGAATAAAAAATAAATATACTCCAATACACGATTTTTCAACGCGGCGGTGTTTGATTTGCCACAATGCAAACACCAGCAATATTGAACTCTCGCAAATAGAATGAGCATTGGGTAATATTAGGTCGATGCTTGATACTGTTTTTCCTTAGCTCATTCGGTGTCGCATATTGCAAACAGTGCTATGCAATATATCATTACTATCGCACCTAGTTTCACACCAAAGAAGCTCAATGCAGTTGGGATTCTTCTAAGTGGGCGTCCTCGTTGTATCTCGAACGGATGTGACTAAGTAGAGTTAACTTTATTTCAACTTCAGAATGCCAGAATGCCCAATGCTCAATGTCAGCCCGGGGCGCGTCGCCCACACGACGTCGGGATGCGCGACGTATAGCCATGGCGGATTCTCCTGCAACCTGCGTAAACAACTTCCATACGCTTCGGCACGCTCCTCGGCTTTGATCTTATGTCGTGCGTCTTCAAATAGACGCTGGAGCTCGTCATCATGGTAGCCCATCCACCAGGTATTACGCGAATTACTCGAGATCTTGTCGTCGAGCACGCGGAAAGTGCTGTTGGGTGTGGAATCAAAGAGTGCTAGGTCGCCGATTTGCTTGCGCAGGCCGATCTGTCGCGCGTACTCGGGCCGGTTTGTCTCAACCTCAACCTCAACGTCGAAGCCGACGGTCTCGAGAGCCGACTTTACGAATTTCGAGATGCGCTGTGCATGCTCGGGCATGTACGTCGGCGTACGTAGCTTCAGGGCCGGCTTAACTTCAAGCTTGAGCCCTTCGAGTAGTCCACGTGCCCGGACTGGATCGTAAGGAATCGGCTGCAGCGCTGCAGCAACGAAGCCGTGGTGCTGGGGACTTACGATAGTGACCGAGGGTGTTGCTAGCCCCTCGTAGACTTCCTTCACAAGTGCGTCATTATCCAGGGCAAGATTGGCGGCAAGACGGACCTCGGGTGAATGGAATACCCCTCTGGGGCAATTGAGGTAATACATCACTGACAGCGTACTGCCAACCCTGCCCCAGCGCAGGCTGGAATCGAAGGTGAGGAGGTCAAGGTTCTCAACGCGCTCGAGGTTCAGCGCCGCATCCACTTCTCCGTCCCGTAATAGCTGAAGCCTTTTGGCAGCATTGGACTCCTGAGTGACGGTAATGATGTGTGGCTCATTCTCTTGGTTTGGGCGCAGAAGATGTAAGGTCGCCTTCCCGACGCCGCCGTTTCGCTCAAAATCGGCGACCCGGTAGGGGCCTGTGCCGAGCACGGGCTTGCCATCGACTGCGATACGCGATGGCCAGAAGTCGCACAATATGTCTAATATATCTGCAAAGGGCTCTGGGTTCTCGAATCTGACCGTGCGATCACTTTCAGCCCGGACGGTGGTCCGCGCGAAATAACGACTGTAGCTCCAGGGCATACCAAAGTAGTCGTGCGAGTTGAGGAACCCGAGGATGTAAGTCACCACCTCCTGGGCGGTGCAGGGCAAGCCATCGTGGAAGTGGGCATCATCACGGATATGAAAGCGCCAGGTGAGGCCGTTAGGTGAGTGCTCCCAGCTTGCGAACAGACCGGGTTTCACACGGCCGTGCGGCTGCCACCATAGGAGAGGCTCGAAAACGAGACTCTTGAGGGCAACTACACTATTATCGTCGGTGACTTGTGTGGGTAGGCGGAAGTCGACGTTTTCCAATACGATCTGAACACTTTCCGGCGTCATGATTTGCGTATATGAGAGATTTACCTCTATAAAGTGATGCTTGACATCACACGATCAGGAGTCTCTCCAATTTAGTGAAACTTATCAAAGGGAAATATAGTCCCTATCACATCATACGTGGCTAACAACGATAGTGGGTGCACAGCATAAAGCCATTTAATGTTCGCGCAAGATGCAACGGCGATTCTGTAAATAACATGGGCTTTTTTGCAGCAGCTGCTAGTCTAGCTATCTCCAACATCTCTGAAGCTTGGCTCAATTGAGTGTTTTTCCAGGTGCGGGCTTTGACCGACGGGGCCTGTGCTGGGTCGTGAAAGTAGCTGCAATTCAATGGTCGGATTGAATTGCGTGATTACCATCCGGACTTTATCGCATACGAGACGTTGTTCTTCTCCGCTACAATCTCCATACTATGATAGAAGATTGGCCCTGCTAGTATTTCTGTATAAGCTAGAGTTGATGGTGTGGAAGTTAGTGGCTCTCTACACAGCGTTCGACGGGCACCAACATGGCTTATACTGCTGTGGAGGCCACTAACAAAGACCGATCGGCGCACATTTGTGGATTGAAGTCACGACATAAGGCAGGGGCAATCGCGACATGAGACATGGTCGATTACGACATCGCCATCCTTTTCCTGCACCAGCAACAATTTTGGTTTGTTTCTCCTACCTTGCTACTAATTCCGAATAGCCGTCCTAGGATCTAGTCTAGTGGATAAGGTGCCCGACGCGAACCAGGTATGTGCGTATATTAGTTTTCATGATGCTAGCATGGGGATTAGCCACTCCTTTGACAACATTCCGGACGTATACGCCAAGTAATGCATACCGACAACGCGGATAAGGGCAGGCACAGACCCTTGATCATCGGATCCCGCCCGGCAGGCAGCCCAGAGCCCCTGTGCTGTTGGGCAAGGATGCCCAGATAGAATTATGTACATCGTGGCAAGAGTGGATTTATAAATATCGGCAGGAATTGTTGAGCTCCATTGTTCGAGCACATATATAGTGATCGGAAAGACATTGCATGGTAGCCTGCAGTCTGACCGCAGACAACTGGGGCACGCGCTTAAGTATAGGGCGCATTACAAGGTCTTTTGCGCCAATTCCACTGCTTACCAGGTCTTTGTCTTTAGACCACGCACAATGGCTGCTGCCACAGAAGTCAATCTGATGTCCTCAGATGCATCTGGCCTTCATTCTGCCCGAAACAACGATGTTATTTCCAAGACAGTGGGGTTCACGAGTGTCGCGGATACACCCTCCGAGCATAACGGAAAGAAGACCACCTCCTTGTGGCGCAAAATTGTAAGCTTCGTTTGGGATTCCGTAGAGGGGGATCCAGAGTACCGACGATACGTCCAAAGGTTGGATCTTTTTTTCTTGTAAGCAGCATTATTTCAAATGAGCCCAGTATACAACAGACTTTAAATTTTCGGTCTTATAATACGGAGTAGCGTTGGCTAACATGCCAACTCTTTTTATAGCCCAACCGTTTGTCTCGGCTACTTTATCAAATATCTCGATCAAACCAACTACAGTGAGTCGCAGGTCTCAAAAAGAAAGGAATCGAGACTTGAATCATGAAGAAATGCATCACTGATCAATTTATTCGTCAGGCAATGCCTTTGTCAGTGGAATGCAGACAGACCTGGCTCTGTACGGTAATGAGCGGAACTGGCTGAACACATGGTTTAGCTTAGGCGTCATGATTGGTAGTGTGCCCGCACAGATGTCTCAACTCAGATTTGTCCGATCTTCCATCTTACTGCCTAGCTGCGAAGTCATCTGGTCGGCTTTGGTCATCGGTATGGGCTTCTCCAAGAACATCGAGACGGTAAGCCCTCCGGCCTACGTTACCTATACTGGCGGCATATTCCTTATCCACCAACGATTCATTCTTATACCCTCGATTAGATGTACGCGCTACGCTTCTTTATCGGCCTGTTTGAAGCCTGTGCGTTTCCTGGCTACATCGCCATGCTTGGCGGCTGGTATGGTCCCAAAGAACTGACGAAGCGCGTCGCCATACTGCTCCAAATCGAGTCTATCGCTTCCATGTTCAGCAGTTATCTCCAGGCCGGACTTTACACCAGCATGAACGGACACGCAGGTATTGCTGGCTGGCGGTGGCTGTTTATTATGGACGGTGTCATCTCAGTGCCTATCGCCGTCTGGGGCTTCTTTGGTCTGCCGGACCTCCCCCACAACACAAAGGCTTTCTACTGGTCCCCGGAAGTGAGCTTTGGTATATTATTGTGTGATGAATCATTTGTACACTGACATATCTTGTATAGCACGTACGGTACGGCATAGAGAGAATCGAAAAACTCGGACAGAAGGCCCAGACCAAGCTGACCTCAAAGGAATTAAAGCGCATTTTTCTGGGTTGGGAGCTTTGGGTTTTTGTTGTGCCCTACACGTGAGTGAAAGCTTCAAAGCCCCATGACTTAACAAAAACCATAACCATACTAATTTGGGCATACTTAGTATGGTTGCCGCATGCCATTCAGCGACCAGCTACTTTAATCTCTGGCTAAAAGCAGCTGGATACAGCGTTGTGGAGATCAACGTTATGCCCACGGGTGGCAGTGCCTTGAACATCGTGGTTACAATATTTTGGGGTATGATCGCAGATAGATTTGGCCATCATTACTGGTTGATCACCAGCGTGCAATTATTAATGATGTTCTCCAATGTTCTTCTTTCCATCTGGACGATCCCCAAAGCGGCTCTCATGTTTGCTTTTTATCTCTCATATGCTGGCTCGGCGGCTACTCCAGTACTGATTGTGAGTTGTCACTGGACCCATCAGCCAAGATATAACTCTACAACCACTGCTAACGAAAAAAAAAAAAAAACAGGCCTGGGGCAATAAGCTTAATGCAGGCGATCCTAATTTGCGACAACTCCTAGTTGCCGTTGCAAACGTCGTATCTTACGCGTGGGTGCTGTGGGTGCCACTTGTCTTGTTCCCTACTCAGGATGCACCAAAGTACAAGTACGGATACCAGATTTTGATATTGTTTGGTGGCCTTGCCATCATCAGTGTGTCATTGATGTGGTACATGTATAGACGACGAGAGCAAGTTCAATTCCTCTAAATATGAGAACATGACTCAAACATTTCAAACTAACTATAGTGAAAACAGTAAGCAGAAAGCTCGCGATGGCGTCCAAAATAACGTTGAAACAACTCCAGAAAGACCTGCCGAGATCTGATTGGGCCACAATCTTACATACCTGCCGAGTATAGTCAAGATTTGAAAAGTCGTCATCTGCCAGGAATTATGCATACTCAATTATATAGATGGTCACCTTAGCCGTATAGCATTGTCAAGAACCTCGTGTTATAAAACTTACCATCAGACACTTTCCTATCGTAACGAAGCCGGCTACCAAGCGGAAGATTAGAAGGATAAATGGATCAGACTATTTGTGATGTTTAAGTCAGAGTGAACATGCATGAGGATGCGGGTATGTAGCCCAGCCCAAGCTGTGAAGGATTAGTATCTTGGTGATATAATTCATCTGATGTTTGTTCATCCCGTCTGCTCAGACCTGCGAGCTATGAATAGCCCGTTCCACTTTCGGTCCATAGTTGAGGAATACAAATCATTGATTTATGGACTTGAATTTTTTTCACTAGCATGAGGAGTTACGGATTGGAGTCTCGTATTTCCTATGACCATGCCTAACACTTGGCATATGCACCATAGGGCAGATGAGGAGTATGTCCAAGAAAGTGGAGCCTTGAAAACCAAACAAGATCCTGCTTATCTGTAGACCACAGATTGGAGGGTTTGAAGACCGCCACTGAAGCGGCTAATTGGCTTCGGCCCATATTGATCATCACGCCATCGACAATGCATGCCACCGATAAAATACCACTTATGTGAATGCGCCAGAGAACAATTTCCAATTGACTTCCTTTTTAAGGACACAGATCATATTATGGCATGATATACCCCATAGACTATAATTATGAATCTTATCAAGCGTTTGCAGACCGAGGCTACTAGTTTTGGCTTCGAGCCTCTGCTGATCCTGCCCAGCGGTCGGTCTATCCAGCTGGCCTATGGTTACATCCCATTGCTCGTGAGCTTCACACATGAAGACAAGGCGGCTAAGGGTCTACGAAAGCGCAAGCCGGATGAGAAGCCTAAGCCGCCCGTTTACTTCTCAGCGCTGGAGCTTGTGCGTGATGAGAGAATTCTGCTTTTGACTGGCGCCGCAGGAAGCGGCAAGACAAGTTTCGCGAAGCACCTCAGCTATTGCCTAGCTAATGGCAGCTTGGAGGCTCAGCCATTGGTTCGTAACGAGCTTGGTATGGTCTACGATGAGAGTTGGGAGGCCGCCGGGAGAGTTTTATCTAGCTACTTCACCGTGGACAATCTGGAAACTCTACGGGGTTTGCGTGAGACCACCCTGCCCGAGCTCGTGGAGTCGTGGTCGGAGGGCGTTCGGCAGGGGGCTAGGGCTGGAACCAGCTTACTGATTATCCTCGACACAGTGGAGAAAGCGGAGAGTCGAGAAGGTCGAGAACTCCTCGCAAGCATAGTTGCCTTCGTTGAAAAATCAGGCAGCGCCCGACTCCTGGTGCTCGGTGAGACGGAAGCGCTGAAGAACTGGGTTCTTCCGCCCGCCATAGCCCGCCACGAGCTGCTGCCGCTACTAGTTATACAGAGGCAGCATGCACTGGATTCAATTGCTAATTGGACAGAACCCGCAACCACAACAGAGAAAGGATATATCAAGAAAGAGACGTGTGTGATACCGCAAGGTACTGGGGCAGGCGCAGCAGCGGCACTCCCTGCTATTTTCGCGCTTGCGCTCCATGCCAGCCACTCTGGCTCCAAGGCCGAGGACACGCTAGATGCATGGCTTGCGGTCGTGTGCCCCAGTTCAGATTTGGCCAGCAGGTTATCAGTTGATGCGTTCGATCGCGTTGTCGCTACCGTCAACAAGCAACAGACTCGACCACATCTACACCGTGACGTGTATCCTTCGTCGAGCCGAAGTATGCCGTGGCTAGCTTCTACAGGCGCTGTCCAGCAGCTGTTAGCAGCTCGCCATCTAGCAAATCTCGTTCCTGATGCCGCAGTCGAATTGTTTCATCTTGCGTCTTCGCTAGTAGAGCCCACGATACAGAGCGTTTTGGTGCGCCTAGAAGCATCTGGGGAGAAGCAGCGACGACATGCCCTCATCCAGGGTCTTTTAGATGGCCCTAGTATCAACGCACAGCGTGGCACGTTAGTTATATCAGACTTAGTCGATAAGGAGTCCGAGCTTGGAAAACGTATCATGGGCCATGTACTTGACATTGTTAACCAGGGTACTTTGTCGACTAGCGAACGCCAGCGCGCCGGCTGCATCCTGTCACGGCTGGGTGATCCGCGGGACTTGACGGCTCTCACCATAGTTCCTTTCGGAACTTTCATCTTTGGATCCCGTACTCATCCGAACTCGCAGCCAGTGGAGCCTTTGAGTTTGAGGAACAGCTTCCGTATCGGCATTTACCCCGTGGTGAACCGTGAGTACGCGCTGTTCATTAAGGAGACGCGCCGTGCGTGGCTCAGCCCCGATGGTTTCACTCCCGAGTACCGAAACGCGCCTGCTACTGATCTCACCTGGTTCGACGCTCGAGCGTACTGTGTATGGCTGACAAAACGGTGGCATGCAGACGGTAGTATTGACCGGGCCGAGGAAGTACGGCTTCCGACAGAACCAGAGTGGGAGCGCGCAGCCCGTGGCAACCAGAATTGCACCGGCGAGGATTGCGAACTCGTTTACCCTTGGGGTACAAAGTGGCTGGACGATGGCGCCAACAGCGATGAAAGTGGACTGAATAGACAGTGTGCCGTAGGGCTTTTCCCGACTGGGCGCTCACCGTACGGCTGCTACGATATGGCGGGTCAGGTGTGGGAATGGTGCTCAACACTCTGGGGCGAAGATATGGCGACACCATCCTTCAAATATCCTTATCGGGATGACGATGGCCGTGAGGCACTTTGCGACGACGTACCGGGACATATACGCCGAGTTTTGCGTGGTGGCTGCTTCTCGAGTGCGAGGGCGAAGGTGTGTTGTACCTACCGGGGCAGCCTGGAGCCAGCGGGTTTCTGGCGTGGGAACGGATTCCGAATCGTTGTCGCACCCGTTGCTGGCCCAATGGAGTCACGCTGAAAAGCGAAAGAAGGACGTATATATACTGACGCCGCCAAACTACGAAATCGAGCGGTTACGCCTGAGTTCGGTGGGATAATTATTGCCAATATCATTGGTAAGCAGCAAATTCAGGACCAAGTCAACTTTATGGACGCAAATATCGTTTACTATGTTGAACATTTAGACTAAGTTACAAGAAAATTCAAAATCTCAGTTTTAGCACTCGCTTGGAAAAACTTGGCCTATTAAAGTTTATCTCCACGGTCGAAACTAAGCTTTTGATAACATGACATAAGTCATTATTAAATAATTATATATTGTAATATATTCTTTCATCAAATTGCCTTGTTCAAGGTATTATGACATTCACTGTACCGTTGAACTTTTAACTGGAATTGCCAGGATCCATAGTAGAGCAGCATAGGCTTGCAACATTTCAGCCATCCGTCACAATACTGTCGGGTAGCATATGCTATAATAATTGTATGTTAACCTCGCTCGCAACCATCCGAAACGAAGAATGTGTTTTGTGTTTGAAATATCTCAGCAGCAAGTAGAATAACCTCAAAACACATTTAACGCTCATGAACGAAGTTATGACCCCACTTCTCGTACTGACCTTAGTACCATTAAGTAACTTCGACGCTAAGTCGTTCAGCCGCACAACCTCAGCCGCAAAAGGCGCTTTTCCTGAACTCATCGAGTCTCTTCGGTGGACTACACGCTTTAGTATCTTTAGTCTCTACCCAAGGTACTGTATACACGTTCATGCACAGATGCGGTACTGAGCAATTCGCGGTAGCACACTGCTCGAGTCCCACCGCACATATCCCCCATCGACTGGAGGTAGAGATGTTAGGCTTATCATATTAGTTGGCACAGAGTAGAATTCACCTCTGCAGTGACTGAAGCAGACGTTCAATATGAATCTACTGGCCCAGAATCCATGTGCCCTCATCGCCGCCGGTCTCGAGGCTCTATCATTGTACCGACTGCCACCGTTCCGCTACATCCCGCTTGAACCGGATCAGATCCGTCTGCTCCGGATTCAACCAGGAATTTCATCATCTCCCGTACACTGCATGACATACAATATCGATCAAAAAGCGGCAACTACTAAATATCTGGCATTGTCTTATTGCTGGGGTTCTCCGACACGCTTTTCAAGAACTATCGTACTGAACAACTGCCGTCTATCTATTCAACCAAATCTCTACCAGGCGTTGGTGGCTCTTCGACGCCGAGATGAAGTTGTGGAGCTTTGGGCAGACGCCATATGTATTAATCAGAGTAATATTGACGAAAGGAATTCACAAGTGGCGCAGATGGACCAGATATACATATCTGCATCATCCGTCATAATATGGCTTGGCGAGGCTGGAGACGAGAGTGACTATGTGATGAGAAGCATAGCGAATCGCGACCTTGAAGCTTTTATCACACCAAGATTCATGTTTGCTATCATAAGAATATTAAAGAGACCTTGGTTCACGCGAACTTGGATTGTCCAGGAGTTTGTCCTGAATCCAAAACAGCCGCTCTTGGTTTGTGGCTCTGCGCCCGAGGTCACCATCAACCAGTTCTTGGAGGCATACTATGCAGGCTATCCTATGGGTAAGTTTTGGAATCAGGCTAGTTGATCGCTACTGAACAGCTAAATCTCTATCTAGCTGCGAATGAACGATTCCCACCTATTGCAGGTATAGGAACTCCTTCCAAGTCGGAACAAGCCCGAAGTTGGTCCCTACTGCACCACTCTCTACTCACCATGCTTATGTCCATCCGAAATGGTATTCAGAGGCATTCCCCTCGAGGTTACTATAGCCTAGACCACGCGCTCTTCGCCACACGATCCTTTTGTGCTACAGACCCGCGCGACAAGATCTTTGGTCTGCTCGCACTAACTGACGTCGAAACACGACAGAAGATCCAACCCAATTACGATAAGACAGTGGAAGATGTTTTCCAAGATGTCACAAGGTATTTCTTAATAAATGAGGCTTCAACTTCCATCTATTGGATTGCGCCATTTGGTGCGGGTAAGACGAGAAACAAGACCAGGGATGCTTCCGTACCATCCTGGGTCCCGGACTTCAGTGACGCTTCGATGCAAGCAAACCCTATACCATATGGAGACCCTGAAGGCTACGCTGTTGTCCGTACTCACAGCAAAGAGCTCGTACGGGTCACTGAATGCGGGAAGAAGCTCCATGTGCGGGGCGTCAAACTTGGCTTCGTAGCTAGTACCATCAAAGCGCCAATCTTCATGCATAACATACCATTTTACCGATCAAATAGATCACGGTTCGCTGGAATAATATCCTGGATTATAGCCCTCTTCAAATTTGGAAATCTCATGGCGTCTATGGCAAGATTTATTGTGGCGATCGAGACTAGCGTGCAGAGCACTGAAGCACAGCATATGGAACTGCGGCCCGAGCCCTTATGGGAAACCCTTTTAGCCCCCATGTCCTCCACCGAGAAGTTCAATGACAAGAATGACTGTTCACAGAAGTTCGACAAGATGCTAGCCGCGGCACGCAACTTTTCTGAGTCGAGAGTAGGATGGCCTTGGTGGATAACATGGTCGCGCACGGCACCTCTTATCGCCGCAGTCGCCGCTGCAAAGCCCGTATCCGAACAAATGATGCTCGCATTCTCATCTGGGCGATGTTTCTTGTCTGGACGTGAACGCTGGTATGGGATCGGTGACGGGGAAATGCAAGGCGGGGACGAATTGGTGTTGCTATTTCCGCCAGCGAACGTACCCTTTGTGGTAAGAAAGAAGGATAAGGAGGCGTATGAGATGGTGGGCTTGGCGCACATCCCAAGCGTGTTCCGAAAAGAATCGATCGCGAAAGACGCGAGTCAATGGGAAGAATTTGTCATTATGTGAGAAAGTTGGCGTGAACGTTCCTGTTTGTTACGAAATTCCAAATTGAAATTCACTTAAAATCCGTGACTTCTCCTAAGTATTTTTCAAAAAGAATGTCGCGGTTGCAATAGAGAACGAAGACTTAGTTGGCTATATACCCTATGTATTGTGAAAATAAGAAAGCTAGATAACAAAAGACTTTGATCGCGAAACACGTACTACTACAAGTAAACGGCACTTTAATCAATGAAAAAGCATGAAAAGCTTACTTTTACGCCGGTGCATATATTATAGAAAAAGTGAAATTAACATGATGAGCAGATGGAGTTATAATTTGAAGATGTTTTTGTCAGATTATGGTACCTTGGTTTAGAATTACTGAGTGGATTCAATGTTCTCGGCAGAAATATTCTACTCTTCCTGGAAGGGATATGACCAAGCGACTACATCTCATTCTCTCCCTCTCTGGATCATGTGCAGGGCCAAGCTGATAGTTTTGTCCGCTATTTTTGGTGAGTGCTGCACGGAAGCCTTCACAGTGCTCAATCAAATGTGCAAGTTATGTTACGATATGACGCTGATGCGTTGCATACAGCAGGCTTGGCAGAGGTTGTTGGCCGAGCTGACCCGTGTCATATGGACAGCACCAGGGTCACCACTCGCTCATCAGGCAATATCACGAGCAGAGACGTGATGCTCTTAAATAATACTCAATTGTAACATGGTGGCTGTTCATTTGCCACGGGAGCTTCAGATTGTTCGCGAGAGCGCGCGTGCTGGAAAGATTGAAAGCCGAGTAGGAAGAGGTGGTTCTTTTGGGCAGGCAGGAAAGTATCCGATAGTCCAGGCTACCGTGAGCGTCCGAACAGATCACAAAAGCGATCGGACTTATTTCGGCATGCAATCAGATCAGTCCAATGTGCGATAACATGTATTTGATGGACTTAACCTGATCGTGGAAGCCCGAGGCCCGGATGCGGATCTCCTTACAAGTTTTCTCGTCAGCGCCGCTCGTAGGCGCGATAAAACTCATCTGATGGGCATAAAAAGCAGCCTCAAGGTTTGCGGTGAGATCAGACATGGCATGAGCCAGTAATGACGTATGGTGCAGGGTTGCGACCATTTGTAGCAGGATAGAGGTTGTCGTAGACGTCTTGTAGGTCCCTATATGAACGGCAGGGAGACTGACGAACTGTCCCGGTGATGCAGCCATAGGCAGGATGGATTCCTCGGGCGCACCTCCGAATATGAATGAAGAGATTTTCGTTTATATCCGCAATACGATGCCAACAGGATATGACGAGGAAGACGGAAGCCGTGTCGATAGTGACGCCCTCCGCCACGTCCAGATATAAGGTGCCAGGCAAATGAACTTTCTGAATAATATCCACATTACCTTAGTGAGGCGAAAAGTCTGATCCACATGGAAGTGTTTCTGGGTCGGAAGGGCGGCAGGCGGGGCGGCAGCATGCGTGGGAAGAGTGGTGGCATGTCGTAGGAGATCTAGGTTGAGCTTCGTCAATGTCTCAACGAAAGTGATGTGATCTTATATAATGTTAGCCTCGCTGGGGGGTTGTAGAAAGCCGTAGACAAGCAGGCTATCCGGACCGAAGTCGTGGTGAATCGGATCGGTACGGAACGAACAGTCAATCCACGGCGGGTCTCCTGGTAATGGCGTAGAATTTGGAGTTGTCGATGTTGTGATCAACTCCGCCACCGTGTCGGCGACGGTTGACTGTTGCGTAGGCGAACTGTTGTAGTGTCGATGTGGTTGTTTATTGTTATTATCTGGGACGATTTACGGGCGCGCTTGTTGGAAGACGGGACAGTCGCAACATCATGGTCCATTTCGGACGCCGTCCTCAATCCCGTAGCAGCTACAGTTGCTAGGCGCATGCCCCGCACATATGTCCCAAAAACGCAGGAGGCATTGGCCTTGATGCAACGGGTGCACTTCTGCTCTTGATCGGTGCGGCCAGGGCAAGCGAGCTTATGCGCATGACAACGAGCGCATGCGTGGCGAAATGGCAGCAGGTGGAGAGTTGTTGGCATGTTTACCCTTGAGAATCAGAAGGACAAGATCAACAACCAAGGGTCGCTTCCCTTAGAGTTTGATGATAAAGACCCGCCCAGAGTAAGAACGAGGCACAAACCACTGCTAGAAATACGTCAGCTCCTATTGCCCAAAGTCAGGTATCTACTATAATTTAGTGCCGCTTGAGGCACGGAGTGCTGCACCGTTTGTTGTTCGCGGCCGGTTGTTCGGGCTTAAACTTCCATGTAGATTGGTTGAGCGAACGATGACTAGGCTATTGGAGGTGGGCCCTCCTATGCACTGTTATGCTTGTTTTGGTTAGCTAAAGTCGGAAATGAACTGAAGGTGTCTGATTCTCCAGCATTATAAGGATTATAGGTAAAGTACTTACCAATATGCCCGAGTTAGAAGTATCCGATATAAGCAGATATGTCCGAAAGACTGCCCACATCCTTGACCAACCTGCACACCAATTGATCTGGCAAAAATGTCATTCCTAAAAACGCTCGTATCGCAAATCGTTTGCTATTCATTAATTCCTCCCCGCATCCCTTCACGTTGAACTCGACTAAGTAACCGTCGCCGCCGCCTGTTTGTGCCCGCCACATCTTGCAAACCATGCCAAGACAGGCATTTCGTAAAAAGCATACCCAGCATCATCATCAACCATTTAATATGCGTGTCAAACCAGACGCCCCCAAGCCTCCGTCCAAGAAGGAGTATAGTTGGCATTTCTGGGCCATCTCCCTCCTGGCATCGGTCGAGAGCACAGTGGCATCGACTGCACTTCCCTCCATCTCTGGCACCCTCCACGCTGGAGGGAATTATGTATGGTTTGTCAATACGTACTTTCTGACCAGGTGAGGGGGACCTCACCCCCTTTCATACGGATCGTCTGTAGGTACTGCCCGTACTAAACCACGAGAACCGCAGTACGGCATTTCTACCTTTGTTCGGTCAGATGGCCGATATCTTTGGTCGACGCTGGTTGACAATTTGCACAGTGGCCACATTCGCTCTAGGCAGCAGCATCTGTGGTGGCGCGAGTACGACAGCTATCCTACTTTGCGGTCGAGCCGTGCAGGGCGTCGGTGGCGGTGGTATTAACCTCATGATCGAGATGATCGTTTGCGACCTAGTTCCGCTCCGTGACCGTGGTCGATTCATGGGCGTCATCTTTGCCATCTTTACTATCGGCACTTCCCTCAGCCCTTTCATCGGCGGCGCCATCATTGAGAACACCACCTGGAGATGCGTCTTCTACATCAATTTGCCTATCTCGGGGGTATCTCTTTCTCTCCTAGGCACGTTTGTGCACGCCAACTACCAGCACGGTCCTTCCACCCTCGACCGCCTCCGTCGCATCGACTACACAGGCAACCTCATACTCGTTGGCTCTGTCACGGCCGCTCTCATTGCTTGCGATCTACTTTTGATCTGCATGGCAGGTCCTAATTCCGTTGATCCTTGGCTTTTCTGGGATGGTCGGGTTCTACCTCTATGAGACATCACCATGGTGCTCACAGCCCATGGTACCGAAGCACCTCTTCAACAACCGGACGTCGGCGGCCGCCCTCTTCCTTACCCTCATCCACGCGCTGTTCTCCTTCTGGATCATATATTTTTGACCCGTCTACTTCCAGGCTGTACTGCGTGAAGGTACTACCAGATCTGGCGTTCTCTTACTGCCTACTGTGGTTGCCATTATGCCAGGCGGCTTGATAAGCGGCTTCGTCTTGTCCAAGTTTGGCCGATATCGCCCTCTTCATCTTGCCGGATTCGCCATGATGACTTTGGGCATAGGATTGTTCATCATGCTCGACTAGTACAGCCACCTCGCTCTCTACGTTGTCTTCCAGATCATTGCTGGCGTAGGCCCTGGGCTCGCGCTGACGACGCTTTTGCCAGCCACACAAGCCGCCCTGTCCGAAAAGTATACTGCCTCATCCACGGCTGTGTGGTCTCTTGTTAGAAGCTTCGGGACAGTCTGGGGTGTGTCAGTCCCGGCAGCAGTCTTCAACAGGCGGGCTGACACTCTGGCTTATCGAGTCACGGATCCCGCCATCAGAGCTATGATCGCCAATGGGCAGGCGTTCTCGCATGCTTCCAGCGAGCTCCCGAACACTTTTAGCAACACCACTAGGGACCAAGTCGTTGAAGTGTACAACGAAAGTCTTCACACGGTGTGGATCGTCGCAGTCATCATTACGGGGGTCTCGATCTTCGTCGTATTTGCAGAGAAAGAGATCGAGTTGAGAGATAACTTAGACACCGATTACGGTTTTCAAGACTCAGCGAAGCCTACTTCGTCCCAAGAGAACAATTCCTAAGATACAAATAATCAGTCACAGGATACTCAAGAGATTACATAGACTAGGAGATGTTCAAAACTATTGTTCAGGCTCTTTGCTCGGTCTTTAATCACATGCTACACAATAGCCCCCTACACACTATTAGTTTTGATAAACGGTTGGAGCTAAGTTGTTGAGAGGATCATACACTGAAGAAAAACGAACCAGCCATAACGAAAGTTATGTTACTTAGAAGTTCCTTTACATATTGAATGAGTAGATAGGTGAATCGAATGTGATTTAAATCATTTCCTCACTGTTTTCATATCACTTCATGTCTGCATTTGAGCATGACTTCGCAAGATCTGCAACACAATGCTGGGGTAGTCCGAGAACGATCTTAGACTCATTCGAGTTCACACTGCAGATATTATTATCAATAACGCAGCACAACGTACTGAGCGATGCCGGGACTATAAATATACTAGGAATGAAGACCCACCATGCATCTGGGAGGGCTGGATCAATTTGACTGATGTGTCGACGGTTGCCCACGGCATCGTGGTCGCTATTGCGGCCATGGACGCTGATCAAAGTATGGGCTACATTCTTGATTCTGGCGATAGGCTTTCAATTAATCAAGATATTCGAGCGCGGTCCTTCGTATTATAAGTATATTCTAGTTTTAACTTGTCATTAATTGAGTTAGTTATCTACTGGTCGATTTAAGCTAAGACGGCATTTTATTTCAGGTGTATCCTAGACTAGATGTGTTAAAACTAGTATAACCTAGTCAATTACCCGCGGTGATACCATAAATTCTACCAGTAAATATCTACCAGCACCGTCCAACTCCTAACGTCACCGAAATTCTAGAGCGGGGTTCTCAGGCACTAAGCAACAGAGTTTAAAGACAGCATCGTTGGCGTGGAGGTTTTGGCCAGTAGCGCCCATTAGTGAGAGATTATTAGGCACTTAACCAAGTGCCTCCTCACCGTCGAGCCTATCGTCCTGCTTAAGGTTATTTCCACTCCTATCTGGATGTACTAAATGTCATACAAAAAGAATTTAAAGCGATTTGATCATTAGACAAGTTTCCAATCATGTCTGGCATTCTGAAGGGCAGCCTTTCTTCCAAGGCACACATTCTTACTTCAGACGTCTCGTCGCCTATAATAACTTATGTCATTACATTGTAAACTACTATCATATTGAAAGTCAAGAATCTGCCCTCGTGTATTGGCTCGTTACCAATACGCAGACAGCTCCATCAACTCTTCATAAACAGGCTACTAGCGCGACGAAGCATCTATGGCTGAAGAGGAAGACTGCTATTACCTCGTCTATCATGGGGCCATCGCTAAAGGTGATCCAGATATTTCAGGCATCGGTGTCATCGTAGCGTTTGTGTCAAGCGCTTACGTTACCTTTTTCACGGTCTTAGCAGCATATATTGGTGGGCTTATTGACGATGAACTCCTTAACGATGTTGATCGCAGAATTTTACGCATCCGCCCATTCATCAAAGGGAAAAATAAGACGCGCATTCAGAACTGCATCCGCCATGTCATCCTCGTCCTTAGTGACCAGCAGATCGTCACAGGTATAGCGATCATGGCTGCGGGATTTTACGGGTTGCAGAGTAAGGAAATTTCTGTCTACCATTACCAGATTGTTCTATACTTGGCATGGATGTCTAGCAGCGTACACCTATCTGCAATCACGTTATTGCACTCCTTTATAAGCCAACACAGAGGGCTTCTTCTCTGGAGGGTTTCCGGGATGGTCGTACTTATGGTTATGCTGGTTATCGGCCTGGTCCCAACAATCAGCAACGACTGGGGCATCATCTGGTGGAAAGGTATGCTAGAGGGCAGGACAGGATGGGCCATTCCTGCATATTGCTTCTGGGGCAATACGTGGGGAGACGGAATAGGACCGGACGCGCCAATAGGATTCGTGATTCTGATAAGCGGTTACCTCTGGAAATTCGGCGAACTGTCCAAGGCAACATGCCGCGCATGTCGTGTGTACATCCAAGATCCAGTGGAGAGATGGTTAATGGCAGCCATTACATGCCCAGCCATGAAAGTCTGGCATGGTAGGAACTCTCGATTATGGCTCTGGATCTTTCGCATCGTCCTTGCGTCAATACTTCCAGTTCTAGCCGCGGTTGAGGTTGCTTCTTCATTTGTCGCATCTCTCTGGCTGTCTTTCACCAGCCTTGTATATGGCTCTATACAAATCTTCGTCCCTCGATCACAGATGCTCCCGCTAACTGGGCCAAGCGAAAATAACTGGGGATTTGGTCAGCTGGTACCTCTGATCTTACTTCTACAGCCATTGGGAGTTATCTTTGAACATGTTTGGTCTGAGGAAGAGAATGGCTTACATATCGGACATTCACGCGAGAGTACAAACAGCACCTCTAGCCATTCTAGAGCAATTCCGGCGCTTGCAAACATTGGAGGCTCCAAGCCAAACCTTCTGGAACTCTTGGTCACAAAACAAACAGGTGACGACCCGGGGTCCAACAGACGCTTTCTAGAGGTCTGGGATTTGCTTTACTCTAGTAAGCTATTTGCAGCCATGGTATATCTGGTACACCTTGCCATAGCGATTATCTGCGCTATGGTCTTCTATGTCAACGTCTCCAATACTGGCACTATGCGCTCCGATAATTGGCAATTAATCTTGTTGTCGATAGCGGCTCTCCTAGCTTTCAGCTTCATAACAACTACCGTTTTGGCTCGGTTCAGTATTACGGGAGCCCCCCCGACAGGGAACTTCCGATCGTCCATGCTGATGAACCATGCCTCAAACATCCCCCAAGAACGTTTTGGACATCAACCAAAGTCTGTCAGGCCAGAGGTGGGACCATGATTACATATACATGGTTGATTCAGTCACGAGTCTACGATATCGGGTCCGCCGGCATCGTTGGTCTGAAAGAAGGGCTGGCAGTTTTAACAAAGAACCACACCTTTCAGTGCTTCATCGAATCAGCTTACAGAACCATTGCTAGTTCAGTACCCAAATTTGTATAGGACAGAGTGATACAAAAATAATCTCCACACTCCTAGGGAAAAGCGTTTTAAATGCCGCCCTACTCTCTTCAACCTATTGAGTTGGTGGTCAACTCTAATTTGCAATTTCATAGCACCTAACCGAGCTATTGAATTGGCTGTCTTTGTCTATAAATATCCCATTTCCTCATTGATCCACAATTGGGATAAATAACTACACGCGTGGTTGAGATGCGAATGACTGCTTCACTTGTGCGCTAGTGCATAACGGCGCGCATTCGTTCGTTGACTGCTGACACGAAAGCTGCATCGAAGAATCACGATTAATGCTTTCAAGGCGGTACTTGAACATGAAGTTATAAATTTAAGCCCCGTTTTCATCAACTTGACGGGCAGGCTTTGCAGTCATCCGATTGTTCGCGAGGTGTGCAAGTTCAAGCACTTTGTTGATTTCTTTGTTCAAGTCAACAGCGACCATAGGAAGACAAAGACCCATTTTGGATTGATATGAGCAAAGGCAGTCTTGGTACGTATGAGACAGCTAGTGCTCCTCTCCCCTTAGAAACTACGAAGGAAATTTTATAGCAGATGTGTTATAACATGCTGGCTATCGGTTTCTACCTATAGCTTCCTATCCAGTCGCTCTCACGTAAACTGATATTTGTAGACCGGTGGAAATTCCTGCGGATCGATTATATGAAGACAGAAAGATTCAAGGTCTTTGCCATTTATCCATTTGTTAAAAGGTTTTTGTCATCGGTGTTGAGAATGTTATAACAAACAAGTATTATATGGCTATAGTTATTGATAGGTCCTTGGCACCCATAAATTATTACAAACAGGGCTAATGTTATTCCCGGTTTGAAGGTCAATGGTATGAACGTTCTTGTTATAGATGCTATTACTAGGCGTGGGATAAATATTGATTGCCGCTTAAAGAGGACCATTGGTTTTAGAATACACTTTATATAGATATAGGGGTCGATTTATGTCTGATCGTAGCTTTACTTATGGTACTCGAGAAGAGATTTAGCGCACAAGATCTACTCTGCTGCTTATGACGTAATCGCTAGTTTCAAGCGGGTGATGCTTAAATTGGAACGTGGTTTCAGAGCAGGAGCTCAAGGGATTCGCAAAGCGGCCCGTAACCATGTTACCGGCGAGGTTATTGCTAAGGCCATGGACGCTCCAAATGCTCTTCCTGAAATTTTATTTGAGGATGTTTCTGTTCGTGATACCGAAACTCGATTCCCTAAAGGTAGAATTATGGGAAAGGTTTCAGTCAAGTCAAAAATCGCTACATGAGACCCCCGGGTGTCTCATCAATCCTCTTGAATCAATGTGATATTACTGACAACCATCAATGTGTCCTATCGGTAAGCTGTGGATTTTCAGCGGTTTGGTGGCTTGTCTCGGTGTTTGAGTTGACGCTAAGCATTCATAGTTTAAAACGTCGATCCCAAGGCCCCGTAACGGCAAACAGGTGGCGCTTGTGGCTTCCATTGACAGCTACGCAATATCGTTTAGTGAGACAACGCAGATCGCATAAGCAAAATCCGTTGAGCGCCTATCAGCATGCACTCTAGTATTCTGAGAATTAGACCGTGTCCGGCCCGTTTCACTTCGAGGTGCTCCCATTGCGAATGAAGTTCCGCAAGAACAAGATTTTCAAAAGGCGAAATATCCGAAAAGATTTGTCGTAAAAAGGATAAGTCCTGACGATTTGCATGGCGAAGAATGATTGATAGCACAATCTTCGTTGCTTCAGTTGTTTGGACACCGGTATGCGTGTAAGAAAGGATGATATCCTCACCCGTGTTGTCTCACGGGAAGAGTGACATGTTCCAGGTGTCGACGAATTAGATCCACATTGGCTGAGAACTAATGAAACAGAACAGATATACCGACCGTCAGTTGCCCATTGATAAGTGAGATTGCTGCCCTACTCAGGAGCGAAATGCTTGACAACCTGCAAGACACCATGAACTCTCGGTTTGGCTCTAACAAGATGAAGGCTGAATCCTCTAGCGATGGCGACGATTGCCTACTGCTCAATTCTAGCAGTGATTCGGAGTCTTTTAGAAGCTTGACAAATGACGACGGCAGCTCTTACATGGAACACTTGTCCAATTCTGCCGATTGGCAACATGGGACATCGGTTACTACGAGCAATGCATGTGCCATGCTTCTGTTTCTTGTGCAGGGCCTTGGACACTGGGGGGTCTGTTCTCTAAAGGCACTTTCCCATGGCTTCACACATTGGCTTGGGACGCTACGACCTCCTGCTGTTGTGCTCAAGGGTGTGGAAGGCTCAGGACGTCGGGATGGAAGCCAACCCATTCACTACCTTGACGGTATTCGGGGAATTGCCTGCTTCATTGTCTTTAACTTCCATTTTCTCTACCCATACACACTCACTATCTTCAAGGGCTTCGGTGCTCCCACCTCAGACGGCTACCATCATTATGTGCACCAACTTCCTTACGTCAGCCTACTTTATCGTGGTCGCGCCATGGTAATGCTGTTTTTCGCCCTTTCCGGCTATGTTCTTAGCTATAGATGCCTATCACAAATGAGGAAACAGGCCTGGGAAGACTCACAAAAATCTCTTTCCTCACTCACGTTAAGACGATTTACCAGGCTCTATGTCCCACCAACAATAAGCATGTCCATTGTGATGGTGGCAACCTTTTACGGTGCTTTTGAGCCAGGTCGTCGCTTCCAGAGTAGTGATTGGAGAACTGGGTATCAGGAACATCATCCTGTTCAGAAAGCGACTTTTTCCGCTCAATTTCAAGATTTTGCCCGTATGTGGTGGGATTGGATCAATCTGTGGAATTGGAACTCTTACTACAGCAATTACGACCCCCACACGTGGACGATACCCCTGGAGCTCCGCAGCTCCATGGTGCTTTTCATTCTGCTAGTTGCTCGGACGAAATTGCGCTTCCTCTATGGTTTCTCGCTCATGTTAGTGTCGGCAGTCTATTGTCTGATGTCTGTGCGGTGGGACGTTGCAATCTTCCTGGGAGGCGCTCTCGTCGCTGAATTGCATATTGCTTCACCCACCAAAAGGCCGAATCTCCCGTCACGTTCATCCGGTATAATCACGCCATCTGCCCCAGCGAGCCACAAGCGCACCCCATCAACTGTTGGCCCACGTCTGGGCCTGCTGATAAGCCTTTACATGCTGGCCTATCCTGATGAGGCTGGCGAAAAGACCCCAGGCTATGAGGTACTGGCATCGTGGACCCCATCCATCTACCGCGACAACCGGATCTTCTGGAATGTGGTTGCGTGCGTCATCCTGATGTGGTGTGTCGGACGTGATAGACTGCAGTCGAGGTTCTTTGAGACAGATATTGCTCAGTACCTCGGCAAAGTGTCATACGCTTTTTACCTAACCCACGGCCCGTTGTTGCACTCCATTGGCTTCACTATACAGCCTATGATATGGGAACTCTTTGGGCACGAATCACTATACCAGTGGGTGTTCGGTCTCTTTATAGGCTGGCTCATCATGCTCACCCTGTCGCTTATGGTCGCTCATATTTTCTGGCGGTGCGTTGATATGCCTCTGGTTACTTTAACGAAAAGAATTGAGAAGGCTATATCGGTCTCTTCGTGACTTTGTCTTCACGGATTTTCTTGAGAGCATTTGCGCGACGTGCATCAGTGCTCTAGAGTTTAATCATATCATAGAGCTATAAATGACGATCGATATATGAGGTAACTTGGATGATAAGTAGCGAGGTTATAATCGACCGTCAACCAGGGAGCTTTCCCTAGCTTTCATTAATTCCCATAATTCCGGTGTTTGACAGTGGTGAAACAGCCAGATAGTTCCTTGCTCATGTAGTTAGCTCACGCCCCAACAAGACACAAGTAGGCTACGCTTGCTAGGAATGCTGCCATTTCCGGCCCCCGATGCCCGCTTGAACTTATGTAAGGACCCCAAGTAGTATGACAACTAATTCATCAATAATACACATGATACTGAAGATGCTGTCCGCGTCTTGGAACCGCTAGGTATAAATGCTTCCAAGAGTCCGCCCAGACAGTAGAAACACATGATGAACGTGACTATGGGGCTTGTCGTCTTGGATAGTGGAAGCTGTCGTTTCCGAACCCAAGTGCCGGGAAACATCCCTCGGGCATGGCAGTTCGTTCTACAGTTCAAAAAGCGTGGGACTATGCTAGCCGGTTAGTTGAGTTTCGCACTCGCGTGCGGCAACCTATGCGGATTCAGTAGCCTCGATTCCATGTTGGAGAATTTGCGGGGAAGTGCCTAAGGTTAGACTACCCTCAGCTACGGATTCCGTACTGAGAACTTCACGTACTGTGTGGTTTAGGTGGGGTCTACACAAGGTCCAGCCACCATTTTGGCAGCACGGGTTCACTGGTCCTTGAAGCTCACGTTGAGGTATTGCACCCGGTATGATGGAATGACTGTCATGATGATTTCGTGCCAGTGTTGTGCGGCTGAATTCACGGTGTCGATCGTCCAATGGGAGGCATTGCAATCCTCATTTTCGTGTTCAATGGGAAACTCACCACCCTTTCCCCCCATGCCCCTTGACCACCGTCGATGCTCCAGTTTGTACTGTACATATCGGCGCCATGCTCAATGCAATATGCAGGGATCATGAACGTCGCAATTTGGTGCGGAGAAGTTTTAGTGCACATAGAAGAAGCTTGGTACGTGGAGAAGCCTGCTCGATGAGTGGAGAAAGGACACATCAGGAAGTAGAGCCGAAGAGGTTTCAAATGGCCCATGGGGTGGTGCACCGAATTGCAAGTCACCTCGCCAGCACTTCACTGAATAAAGCAATCACGAAGATTGTGTATTTGCAGAACAAGTTACCATCGTGAGTATAGGTGGACCACCATTACTGATGGAGTCGCACCGCATATGCCGTGATGCTAGAATGGAAACAACAACAATGCAGTATGAGAGTTGCCTCATGGATGATGCAGGATTTCATATGGCTAGCGGCAGTCTTTGCCAACAAACCGATAGTTCGTTATTCACTAGGCAAGCGCTGCAAGATCGAGGACTAGACTCGGCTGCAACGTGGGTGTAAAGAGCAGATCTGACCTGCCAAATGTTGTCCGTTTCCTATCCGTCTATCCCTCCAAAGTCCGAGGTAGAGAAGGCTTCGATCAATTGCCGCCGTAGCAAGCGAAGACGGCAGTTGTGATCTGCTAGCATCTGGAATCTTTCCACGCTGCATCGCCGGACCAATAAAAATGTCGGTCTCTGCATATCCTCGACAAAATGATGGAACCTATCCTTCACCAGGTTTTGACATCAACTTCATCGTTTCCCTAAACATCCTCATCAACCTTGGCGTCGTCTCTATCTAGTCATCATGGATGAAAACTTGGACGAAAATGCCGTGCGCGAGCTAGAGGAAGTCCTTCATACCAAGATCTACCCCGGCACGGAGATCATGAAAGATGTCGGGACGCATCACTTCGTCAAAGCTGGTCAGGGCAGCGCCAGCGTGCTTGTGCCGCAACCAAGCGATGACCCTCACGACCCTCTCAACTGGAGCGTCAAATGGAAAGTTATTGCCATGTTCACCGCCACAATGCTTTCAATCGGTTTGAACCTCGGCCCGTTGGCAAATGCGCCCATGTTTGGTACTCTATTTGGATAATGCGACCCAGAGGTTACTCGTGTACTAATGCTAGTATAGAGGAGTATATGGTTGAATGGAACTGCAGTCTTGCGGATGCCATCCAATTCACTGGTATGCCATATTTCGTCTCCATTCTGCAGCTTTAGACTGATCATGACCAGGCGTGGCTATTCTCGTCCTCGGCTTCTCCAATTTCATCTGGATTCCGATATCCGTTTGCTTCGGACGACGTCCAGTGTTGATTTTCAGCTCTCTGCTATGTGCGATCTCATCAATCTGGAGAGCCCGCGCGACCAGTTACAACTCCTTCATGGGCGCATCAGTTCTGAACGGAATCGGTGCAGGTCCTTGTGAGACAATTCAACCTCAGATTATTGCCGATATCATGTTTCTGCACGATCGTGGCAAGTACAACACCTTGTATTTTAGCATGTATTTCGGATCGCTTATGGTCGGTCCGATCATTGCTGGTGCGATGGCGTCAAATGTCGGATGGCGCAATTTCTGGTGGCTCAACACGGCACTGCTTATCTTATGCGTCATACTCGCCGTTTTCTGCTTTCCTGAGACCCGGTACTACAGGACTTATAAGTCGGAGGAAGCAGTGGTCTCAAGCGATAAGGCTCTGACAACGATGGAAGAGAAGAAGGACCCTGGCATTCCCGGCACTAACATTGAGGACGGAGATTTGGCCCCCGTAATGACTCATGTCGATCCATGGCTGGGACGCGGTAAACCTAGCAAGTTGCAGTTCAAACTGTTCCAGGCCTACGAAGGCAGCATCTTTCGAGAGCTCTGGGTTCCGTGGTACCTGCACTTGTTCCCCATTGTCGAGTTCGCTTCGTTCGTCGTCTCCTGGAGTGCGAGCGGATATCTCGTTGTCAACCTATCGCAATCACAAGCGTTCGCAGCTCCTCCGTATAATTACTCATCTCAGACCATCGGGCTCTTTAACCTAGCGGTGCTGGCCGGCGCCATCATCGGCTTGTTCACCAATGGACCGTGGTGCGACTGGGTCGCCGACTACTTCACAAAAAGGAACCATGGAATCCGGGAGCCGGAGATGAGATTACCAGCCATGATCCCTTACATTCTGATCATGATTGTCGGAAGCGTAGTCACAGCTGTTGGCTACGACAACCACTGGCCTTGGCAAGTCATTGTCATTGTCGGATGGGGTTGCTTGGGTATACAAGTCGCAGCACTCCCTGCTATTGCTTCAACATATGCGATCGACAGCTACAAGCCAGTCACCGGTTCGCTATTCGTTGCTATCACTGTAAACAAAAATCTGTGGGGGTATGGTGTTGGGTGAGTGTCGCTTTCAACAAGTTCAATATTATCAGTCGAAGCTAACTCTGCATAGCAAATTCTTAACGCCGTGGGTGGAAGAATCAGGCTTCAAGGTGCCCATCCTTGTAAACATGGCTTTGGCAGTTGTCTTCTGTTCGTTTGGCATTGTCTTTTGGATTTGGGGAAAGAAGTTCAGAGGCATGACCAAAGATTCATTCGTCCATCGGTTGTAGAAATACGGCTCACGGGTTTTGGGATGGTGGATCAAATTGAGTTTTTCGTGGCCTGACATAGTTCGATGCTCCTAAAGGTCTCATCTCTGTTCAAGTAAAACAATGCTAACTAACCGGAATATATTTATCAGGCTATCACCCTCCAAATTTGACTCCTATCACCCCCAAGCTTCATCACAATTACTCATCGACGTCCTTTTCCTTTCCTTTCCTTTGCCTTTTCATTTTACTGCCTTCTTTGAGAGCAGACGAGTCTTTAGACTTCTTGGCTGTCGCTTCACGGGAAGAGCTGGTATCCCTGCAGAACAGCGAGAGCTTCTTGATGTGCTTTCTCAGCTTCCTCGATTCGCATTGCCATGTCCCCGGCTGGCTCTAAAGTATTGCTATCTGAGGATTGTGGGTAAGAAGCTACTGCCAATCTGCGAGACATTTTCGATCGGTGTTGGAAGTAAATGCAATTCTCTGGTTTGTAAGCCTGGCAAGCGAAACATTGGGAACAGATTTGTCTTGCAATTGGTGGAGAGAGTAGTTGCTCGAAGCGTTATGCTTCCATGAGCGGGGTATCTGATAGTAGTGAACTTTGAGATAGCAAACACGACTGCAAAGAACGAGGTTCTACAGGTCCTGGATTGTGGACGTAAATGTACGACCTACGATCGCAGCTCGAGAGAAGTCTTATCTTCCAAGTTAAGCAGCCAGGCAGTGAGGTCCTGCTCCCCATTTGGGTTGTAAGCCTGACTTGCAGACTTTGAACGCCGATCTGGGTTCGTTCTTCTGCTTATACTTGAATGGCATCAGGTACCTGCTAACTCCAGAGGAAAGAGCCTGTCCACACTATGAAACCACAGGAGGTGGGAGCTCGATGGTATCAAGCCATGCCAAGATTCTTCATTACTCTGGCGGCTGCGTCCAGCCCACCATCCAGATACGCGGCACCAGCCACGGCCTCCATAGTCGCAGCTTTCGTGTTAGTACCTACATATCCGTGCTGTGAAAGGTTGATGTTTATACAACTAGTAAGTCCAATGCTATCGCATTGGTTTGCAAGGTTTCTGTTTTCCACAATTGGCTCAATGATGGCGTTCATTTCAACTTGAACTCCAGTTAGTCATATTGTTAAACCTAAAGCTCATTGGCTTACCACGCGATAAACCCTTCTCGTACAGACCACGGATCAGCTCAAGCTTTTGCACTGCGTCGCCGAGCATTGCCAAACGTTTGTTCCCTTCGAAAATTGTACGAAACCTCACGGAGGATGCTCCATTGCCCGCAGCCTGAAGAGCCTCCCAAAGAATATCCGGGTCATTGAAATCGTACCCAATGACTTTCTGCGCGATTTCAAGCTTGCTATCCTTGTCCGTAGTGACTTTGTGACCAGTCTGCTGTGAGCCATCCCTCAGTAAAGATAAACTTCTTGAGTAGGCGATATGATTATTAAAGGACGAAGCATGAAGAGCTTGCCAGGATGATACGCAATGTATGGGGACGCGTGTGTTGGACTTGACCCAGAACGGGCGCGGCGTTCGCGCAGGCGGTTGGACGCAGACCGAATGAGCTAAGCTTCTGGACGAAATACGCCGCCTAGTCTGGAGATTCACCATCATCGCTACTGCCAAACCACAATCAAGTGATACGTGTCTCTATATTCCGCGGCCAAGTCTAGCAGGTGGCTGATATTGTTTCCAGTGCAGTTGCGTTGGGAATGACGTTGACGTTCAACAATAAGAGCTGGCGTCTGGGAGGCGTGATTGGCGACAATCCCCAGCAGAGAAAGGGCATGGCTTTGGTTTATTGGTGCTGAATGCACTAAATCCCAAATGCTTTGGATTAATTGTAGTCGAGTTGCCCCGCTGCTCCTCAGCCCAGGCAGCATGCCAACTTTGCCAAGGACGGAATATTGAGTTGATGAACAGCTTTCGCATTGTCACTTTGAGAACAGAAAACTGCTGAACTATCATTACATTCAAGATGCCAATGTTTGTTCTGGACCCACGATGCTCTACATGATCTGGATTCCACTTTGTTGGTTGTTTCCTGCGATTCGCGGCCGGGACATCAGCGCTAGCAATAGTTGACCGTGTCAGCATTCCGAAAACCGCAGGTTTGCCCGATTAAACACAGCAAGTTGTCTTTCGGCTTGGTTCTTCCAAACAGACTCTTTTTCAATTTCTAATTCTCAATGTGTCTATTATTCCGGTCCTTTCATCCTAGCCTAACAATTAATCTATCGAATAATAGCCAGGCACCATGAAACGCTTACTATTGTTGGGTGGTATGACCCCGACCGCAACAGTGCTATACTACGACACCATCAATCGCATAGTGCGTTCCAAGCTGGGGGCCCGAAATAACGCATCGCTCTTCATGTACAGTGCCAACCTGGAGGATATGGTTCAGTTTGCAGGTGCAGGCGACTGGGATGCTTTTGCAAAAGTTTACACTGATGCAATAACGCCGCTGATCGGACATGTTGATGGGGTCGTGATCTGCGCCATCCTAGCCCACAGAGTCTCAAGTCAGCTCGCGCGTTCCCTGTCATCAACAAACGTTCCATTGCTCCACATCGCCGATTATGTGGCCAAGCATCTCAAATCTGAATACCCGCATATCCGTACCCTTGGTCTGTTGGGCCCTCAGATCACGATGCAGGAAGTGGACGACCCCGATTTCTTCATAGGCCGCCTGCAAAGGCTGGAACATGAATTCGAGGTTCTGGTGCCAGAAACGCCAGCGGATCGGGAGGAAGTGAATTTCGGGATGATGAATGAAGTCACCAAAGGCGCAGCTGCAGTGACGCCGCAGACCAAGGCAATGTTCATCAGGCATGCTCGGAAGCTCCTCGAACGGGGCGCTCAAGCGATCATTTTAGGAAGCACAGATCTGGGGTTTGTGGTGCATAAGGAGGACCTCGGCGAAGGCGTTCTTGTCATTGAGCCGGCTTCGGTGCATGCCCAGGAGGTCGCAAAATGGGCATTACAGGATTGATCAAGTGCGTTATACCGATGCTAGTGGATCTGTATCACTCGCACACTTAGGGGAAAAACCATAGTGAAATGATGAACAAGGTTCCAAATTTGCTGAACTTGCTGAATTCTCTTTTCTTGTGTAAATCGATGCAACGTGATAGTGTCTAATCTCACTGATCGTCAAATTGCATGAAAAGAACATGATGCCGTCGATGAAAGAGTGGACGATGGTTCAAGTAATCTCACCATCATTGTTGTTGCTATCGTAGGATTTCCCCACTTACTTTTACTGGTTACACGCATGTTAAATGTTCAACGTCGGGATGCTTACGTAGCACTACAAAGTATTATCATCTGATTAAACCTTCGGAGTTGGAAGCGGATTTATCAATAGTAATCTCCGCAGGTACTGATTTGTTTGGTCAGCAATGCGGCTGACATAGTAGGGTTTAAATGCATTTCGTCCCGATCCAAATGTGTAACGAACATGATATGATCCAGAAGCCGGCCCTATGATAGGGCGGGTGCAAATGCTTGAGCACCTAAGTGCTACGTGATTTATAACACAAGACACCGATATTTCAGGGTGCATTACTAATTCGAACGAGATTCCGGACCCATTTTCTTTGTCTTGCATCAAGTCAAATGCGTGAGTCTTGGAAAGTTCAAGTTTGGTTTGTAGCTTAAATACCGGCCGTACATCAGGCTAATTGTTATTCTTCCAACGTAGATCAACATATTTCCAATTCGTTCACGATGCCGTCGTACGTCATAACTGGGGTCTCCAAGGGACTGGGAGTGAGTTCAATGCGTGATGATATGATTCTTCTCTAACTGACTATCACAGTTTGAGCTCCTTCGTCAGGTTTCCAGCGATGCTAAGAATACTGTCATCGGACTCGTACGAGACAAGCCTGCAACTGAGAAGAAGGTATTCAAGGAGCTCAGCGGCCGGTCTAATATCCACATCTTGCAAGGCGACTTGGAAGACTTGAGTTCACTACAGGTGAGAAATATAGTCTCGTATTCTTCTCAGCCATGATTTTCACCACAATCAGGGATTATGCTGACCTTTCTCAGAAAGCTGCCGGCGATACCGCCACCATCACTGGTGGAAGCTTGGACTATCTGATCGCCAATGGAGGCTATGTACCTCAATGGGATGCGTACGACCCAATTGGGACTCTGTAAGTCGACCTCTTCTCTCTAGGCAGCGCGAACAACTGACACTTCATAACATGTAGAGGCAAAAATCCCAAAAGGATTGAAGAAGAGCTGACGAAGCTTTACAACACTAATATTGTTGGAAATATCAATCTTTACAATATGTTCATGCCACATATCATGAATGGTAACGTTAAAAAGGTCGTGGCTATCTCAAGTGGCCTGTCTGACTTGCGTTCCGTGAACGGACTCGAAATTGAAGGGTCGGCTTTGTATGCGATTGTTAAGGCAGGGTTGAATATCCTAACCGCAAAGTTCTCAGCGCAATATAAGAAAGACGGTGTCCTCTTCTTGAGCATATGCCCAGGAATGGTAGATGTGGGCCACTATGACAATGGTATGAGACCTTGTCCACATTTTTTGTAACGAGTCCTAATATTTCTCTGTAGCAACCTCCAAGCAGTTGGAGGTGATGAAGGGAATGGAAGCGAAATTCAAGGCTGCGATACCCACTTTCACGGGCGCATCTACACCCGAGGTGGCCATAAGAAATGTAATTGAAATTTGGGAGAAATCCAGCATCGAGAATGGGGACGGTGGTACCTTTTTATCGTCCCGTGGAACTAAGTACGGGTATTGAGTGACGTTCGTCGTCATGCTTGCCTGATTTTGGACTTGAAACTAAATTGATAACGGCCTGCCTTCTCAGTATCCCAGATCAATACTACCATAGTGAATATACTGCTTCTATATCATATCATAAAGCCATGTGTCTTTGGTAGTGTTCATACGCGATTAATGGATTGCCTTCCTGCACAGAGCTTGTCTAAGACCGCCACTTTCGTAAATATCAGCTACGGGAGATGACGAAAAACACTATCAAGACCTAATTATGGCAAAGAGAGAGTGACGTCCTAGTGGGTCGCCATCATGAAGTGTGATCTTAGCGCGTTTTGGAAAGACCGGTGTTCCTAGTTGCAGGTCGTCCAGAGCGGAACAGATTTGAGTCACAGGTATCAGTTATGTGCATATGTATAGTTTATAGAGGTTAGTAGTTATCATACGCTATGATATTTGGATGTTGCTACCTCGCAGTTTTCCCATTTGCATGATTCATAGCTAATTAGATTGACTAATTCATACCTCATCCTGGCAATAGCGACGATAAGTTCATCCGTCGTCTAACTATCAAAGTAGTAGTTTATATGCATGATTGAGTGCTTTACAATTACTCAAACACTTGATAGCTTGCACCTTATTGTGTGGAGGACAGTCATTGACTCCTAGTGTGCATAATATGGACCATGACTTGGATTGTGCATTTACACTGTCTATGTTTGACTTTGTTGTGTTGAACTCAGCTAGAGTGTTGAATCGAGCTATTCGTCTTGACAATGGGCAAGGTTGGCTGGATGATTAAATGTAAGGAGGGCTTACGAATTTCTAGATACGAAAACAACAACCATGTCGAGTTAATAGCCATTGAGCAAGCGCTTGTGGTAGCAAACCGGCAGACAACGGCGGGAGAAAATGCAGTGAAAGTCTTTACGGATAGCCAAAGAGCTCTGATATGGATTCAGGGAGGTACCGCCCATACAGTTTTGACAGAGACGGTCAAGAGCATTTACAAGCTCACAGATGAGCTGACCGGAAAGGGCTGTGCGGTTGAGCTGCATTGGGTGAAAGAACATAATGGCAACCTTGGTAATGTTAAGGCGGATCAACTGGCAGCTGCGGTTCGTGTCAATTTCGACCGTGTTATAAAGACCACCAATGAGGTGACGGTGTGGCAGTTGCCAGAGATCCTTGAGGGCGATGCTCTCGTAGAAGACGGAATGTGGAATGCACACTGGAATGACGATCAGGTTGGAGTTGGTAAGTTCTATATTTCTTATGTCATCAAGAATCCGGGGAAGTGCAAGCTTCGTTGCCCGAGCTTTGCTCTGGTGTCCGTGCTTTTGCTCTTGCTGCTCTGCTGCTTTGCTTGGCAGCTTGGATTTGCCACACGATGGAAGCCGAAAGCCTTCAAGTGGCCGACACGCCATACCCCGCTCTGTGCCGTCGGGCTGGCCAATCACGCGCCACTCCCAGAGACCGACAATTCACTCTGGACGAATCGGACTTGTCGGATTAACTGTCGAAAACTGAGTTGCAGGCCGGTCGGTGGGCATGAGAGTGAGTGAGACTGCTCCTCCATAGGATAGCGAAAGCACCAGCACCAGCACCAGCACCAGCACCAGCCAGCCAGCACAAGCGGTGGTTTTGAATGCAAGCGCAAAGTGTGGTGGTCGTACGACATCATTTGTACGGGGAAACTCTCACATATGTTGGCGAACTGTAACATCGCATTTCCCCTCTCTTGTCCCGTCTCTCCATCATACGATTTCGCTTCCCTTGGTTAACAGTCTGGTCATGTCAGAAGCATAACCTGATTGTCTTCGAACGCGCCCCGACGAGTCCGCATCTGCCCCGTCAACCCATCACCCCTCCGCCAACCTCGAGCAGCCACACCGAACTCATTAATATCAAGCTTTACGACCTGTACATATATACGTCAAACCTCCCTTCCGCCATTGTGCCGACTCCAAGCCCAACGCCTACTTCCGAGAGGCTGCCGCATACCCACGCCTCCAAGCCAAACACCAGCAGTCAAGATGGTGCTCACCCACACGACCAACCACAGCTACTCCCACGACTTCCCGACCGTCACTCTCGCCTTCTTTCTCCGCTACTACTCCCCGCAGCTCAACCCTTTCTCGAGCCATGTTCTCTCCACCGACACCATTTCCTCCCATGTCGACCATGACACGGGTCGACTCTTTACCACACGATTACACGTCAAGAGATCTCGCATGCCACCAGCTGTGATCAAACTCCTGCCCACGAGCATTACCGGAGGCGGCGGCGACAAGTCCGCCTACGTACTCGAGGACAGCGTCGTCGATATCAAGGAGGGGTGGATGAAGACGCAAAGTCGAAACCTCAACTTCACCGGCGTTCTCAGCGTCACGGAGGAGCAGCATTACTCCATCACCCCGCCCCAGCAGCCTGGCCTTGCAGATTACTCGCCTCTCCCAACCTCTGTACCTCGAACGCTCGTACCCAACACATATGTGACGACCACGTTCTCTTATCGCTCGACTCTGGGTAATCGCAAGGCTGTTCAGGAGACGGAAACCGACGAGAACGGCCCCAAGCGATTTGGTGGCTGGATCTCGGGCTGGGGTGCCAAGCGCATACAGGGCAGCATCGAATCCATCGCTTCCAACAAGACCGACGACCAGCTTGTCAAGTCCCGTGACGGAATGAAGCTAGTATTGGAGCGTCTCAGGTCGAATGGCGTCATGGCTACCCTGAGAGAATTGCGACGAAGCCAGGGCAAAGCAGTCTTTGATGGTTGAAGCTCAATGTCTGAAAATTAGAGGCTGCAATGGTTGCATAAAGGTTGCCACGCTGCACCACTCGCTCGAGACATTACCCCGTCATCAAGTCAAGCTCGTGCCACGAACGAGAACCAACTGCCGTCGCTGTCGATGATACCGCACACGCGCAGAAAACCGAGGAACCAAGTCACGTCTATACAGGTCACCGATCCGTGGCATGTCGTTGTATTCTATGTCTACTATATGTTATTTTCACCAAAGCAAGGCGTTGGGGTTTGGAAAGTTGTAGTTGTACGAAGGAAAAGGAAGCATTGATGCCATATTTTGGCTTGAAGGAAGCTAGGGAGCAGGGTTGTATGACACGTGGATGCACATTAAGAAGTCTCCTCTCATGTATTGATACCGGAAAATGTACATCGCGACACATTATGGCGTGGAATCCTGTATATTACAACTGCTACAAGGAATCAAACGAACAAGTTCAAGTCGCAATAGCCTGCCTACGACCGTGCTACTATTCCTGAGTCCTTGATGAGTGTCTCTTGGGGGTGGCATTAGCTGCTACCACAAAACGTCTGCACCGACATGGCAATGAATGGAGAATATAGTCCACAGTGTAAGCGTCACTCTCCACAACGTTATTGAAAAGCATACATGTTCGTCAGGAGTGCTATAATAAGGGGCAGGGAAGTAACCTAGGGGTGGCGCCTAGGTTTAGCCACCGTATGGCACCCTTAAGGCGGCGGTCGAGCTTGACCGGCAGGCTCCAGGCCGCAGGCGGGCGTTGTCCCACCAAAGTTTGGGGGAAACACCAACTCTGGAACACCAACGCCAACGCCAACAAACGACGCCAACGGCAATGGTAACGGTCCAAACACGACCACCGTTAATCTCAATTTTACTGCATCAGCGCTTGATCAAACCTCCAGACGCTGGAATTGTGATTCGACATATAGACAGAAACATCTCTGAAGTCGACCACATCCCATGGCATCAATGGCGACATCTACTGCTGCTCATCATGTAAGCCATTCTCATGCTGGCCAAGCCCATATTCACGAAGAACCGAACTAGACTAAGCTCTACAGGCAAGCGACACAGAATCCACCGGACCAGAGTCTCCACAGTCAGATACTGACATGAACTGGAACGACGCGGTCAACGAAGATGGTGGACAAGACCACACTGAAGCAACCTTTGCTCATATCGATCCTTCAACGGGACTCACTACCGAGGAGAAAGAGAAGTGGAAGTAAGTACCCCAACAATGCATCGCCCGTGTTTAGGCCGCATGCGTCGACATGATTCTAAAAGCTGACTACGCAAATACCAGACGTTCCGGCCACAAACCCGGTAATTACATCTGTCCAGAATGCGGCAAGGGCCTTTCGAGGATAGACTCTCTCACCAGACATCGCAGATCCAGACACCGTGTTGGAAGGCAGTACTTCTGTCGGCACCCGGGGTGCCGAAGACAGACCTGGGGCTTCGGACGCTTTGACAACTATCGGCGTCACATGGAAAGCTCCCACGCCATCACTATCGAGCCCAACGATATGGAGGAAAGACAGCGTGCTGTTCGTGAAGCGCCAATCAACGAGTCACTCAAGTCGCCCCGCGTCGTCAAATTGAGTGTAGCTGCTCAGTCGAGCAAGGCTGAAAAGCGAGGGAGCTACATTTGCATCCCCGTACCTATACAGCAGCAGCAGCGGCGGCGGCAAGAACAGCACGGAGTCGACTCATCCAGAGCATTTCAAAAACCGGCAGCTGTACCTCAACACCACACTACCAATGCTCCTCCGAGTTCCGCCTTCTTTGGGTCATTACGGCCAGTTGTCGAAGATGTAGAATCGCTCGACAAGGACGAACTCATCAGGAGGCTACGAACGAAAACAAGGGAGTGCGATGAGCTGCAACAGCGCAATCGGGTGCTGACGCTGGAGCGAGATGAGTATCTGGAAGCACTGAAGATATCTGAAGGGCTTCGAGGAGTCTGATTGCTGCCGTACTACGCGAGGCGATGCTGGGGATGCAATTGGATTACTGCTGTGAAACACAGAATGTTGCTTTGCGCATGTCCACTTGATCTCAGCTTATACCCTCCCGGTCAAATATCACTCGCAAACCTGTGCTGTCATTATGTGTCAAAGGCAGGATCGTGTAATGGCCATTTTTGTCATCCGCTGCGTCGTTTCGTATAGTGTACCTTCAGAACCAAACGGAACGTTGAAGCTGCGAGTATATGAGAACTCTAACAACACTTCACCAAGACAATATCGCCTTCACGTGCTTGGCGACTAGAGACACCCAGCTACTCTCAAGAGGAGATGGCATACATCACCCCAGCTCTCGTTGCGCTCCATCTTGTCATCATGCCACGGCCCCGGAATGAAACAGATATGAGCCGGGCCCCACACACTCGTCGTGACGACTGACAGAAGATGAATAGCCAGTACCATATCCCCGTATGACCACATTCAACATCAACTGGCTTCATTTGCTCCTATTTGGTGTCCACTCGCCACCGTACACTGGGCCTTCTTCGGTTGTCGCTCGTGAGGTCAGAACAAAAGCTTCGTACGACAGCTCCCGACCAAGCCCTGGATGAACGATCTAGGCTTTGCCGACCTGTCTACATGCGAAGAACTTGGTGAGGGAGCACAACACAAGTGATGCAGATCGTGGGCATTAATCAAAACACCCGAGTACTTCATGACTGAGCGAACCACACACTTGATGCCAGGCTTGACCACACTCACGACGACCACCCACGGCAGACATTTTCCAGCTATTATGTATTCTCATTGTTACAGTGACTGACAGCCGCACAAGTAACCACCAACTGAAGGATGCCGATCAGTCTTGGAAGAGCAAGGACAATCTGCTATAATTTCCTGGTCATGGATTGCTGTTGACAGGCGTGGAAAATCCTATTGCAGAGGCTAGGCTATACCTTGTCATCTGCAACTGAGTCTCCCACATATCCAATACTAGAAGAGCAGCTTTCCAGACTGCCCACTTTCAGGCGACGAGGTACTCCACAAGATTGGTCATGGATACAAAGATCCCCACACCTGTCATCTCATCATAAAGTTCCCAGCCTTCCATGGTCGAGTGGTCAATGTCCTTTGCTCTCGGGAACCGGTTACGTTTCCGCGTGCCCAGTAAGAATAACTCAGGGCAGAAATGGCAAGCTCCGCTTATCCATCTATTCCTTACAACCCCCGCACGGGTCGCTGGGTGAACGCATCACGGTTCGAGACCCGCACTTCTGGCACAAACGTTGAATGAGGCCCACTTGCAATCAACGGCTACCCACCTTTTCCATGTTCCTGCAGAAATGTCGGTAATGAAGAATGAATCTCCCGACTGCTGGAACAAGACATGATTGAGCGAAGAAGCGGTGCAAGAGGTGCCCCGCTGAGGTATGCCCCCCCGCAGAAATATGTGGTGGAAGCACAAGGCACTTCTTGCAACTCCGCATGCGATGGCAAGACAGTGTAGATCTTTCGTATGTGCGAAATGGATCCGTTTCGGCCTGGTGGGCGCGGGAATAGTTCTCCATACGCCGTGGGACTAGAGATGCGCGTCGGTGGATTGGCGCACCGAGAAGGACTAGCAGGTCGTTTCGACGAGTCTTGAGTCCGACCTTGATGGATTAACAAGTGCTTTGCGTCGTCACCTAGGGTTCATGCTCACGAGCGGTGCTGGAACGAGCAAACGTCCAGATGGACAGTTGTAGGCTGCTACGACACAGTGTATCCTTTGAGTTCTGTCTTGCAACTGGACCGCTACGTCAAGCACCCCTGTGATCCCGCAGCCGGGTTCGCAACGAGGCCCGGGAGGCCAAAACTATGTATACAGGGCATTTTCTGGTTCAAATCGACGATCTCATTAAGCGACAGCCACGAGAGCCGGCGACCACCCGCCAAGACCCCTGAGCCGCCATCAGATTGGTTTAAAAACACATCAAGGTCACATCGAAGCCACATTTTCTGTCTCAGGCGTCCGACACGCAATTGTATAGACCCTGGACCCCAGATCCTGGTCGGCCCTAGACCTGACAGAGCACTAAACAATAAGTTGGCACTACTACAACTACATAGGCGCCGCCCTTGCCCGGGTTTTTTTGTTGCAATAAGTGGCGTGCGTAGTCGAAGAAGCAAAGAATGAGGCTCTGCTGGGAGCTTGACTGAGTGGAGGATAGCTCCGGGAAACACCTTGAATCTCGCATTCTACGACCATGGCAGAAGTCGACCCGAACGCACGATATGTGCCGCTAGAAGGACTGTCTATGGCGATCGTGGTGGTGTCCTCGATCTGCCTCGTCTTTTCGGTCGCGGCTGTGGCGCTACGGACGTACGCACGACTGCAGGACAGGCTCTATGGCATTGATGACAGCCTGGTTGCGTTTGGGACGGTATGAGGCACCCAGCACTCTTGTCAAGCTGCTCCTGCTCACCTTGTCCTCAATCAACTAATCTAACGTGAACAGGTTGCCTACGTCGCAGACGTTGGTCTTGCCATCTACGGCGCACACATCGGAATCGGCACCATGAACTCGAAGCACAATGCCTGGATGAGCATGGAGGGGTCAAAGGTCCTCACGATCTGGATTCTCATATACGTGGTCAGCCTCGCTACGATCAAGTCGTCGATCTGCGTGACAATGTTGCGGATCGGAAACACGAAGTCGTCAATCAGAATCGCTGTATGGGTACTGCTCGCAATTACCTGGGCTAGCTTCTCCGTCACGTTCGTCGGTGTTCTCCTGTTCTGCCGCCCCATTGCGGCCAACTGGGACACGTCTCTCATTCTTGAAGGGAAGGGCACTTGCGCATCGATGGACGTTATGATTGCTCTGAGTCAGACCGCTACCGCAAGCACAATTGTCACAGATGCGGCTTGTGTTGCCTTGCCGGCTATCATGCTGTGGGACATGCAGATGGCGCGCAGAGCAAAGATTGGTGTCTTTCTGCTACTGAGCTTCGCAAGTTTAGCGAGTATCACGACGATTTGCAGGGCGCCGTACATCAGCCATTATGCTAATCCATTGGACAACCTGTTGTGTAAGTCTTTCCCGTTGTGGCTTCTTCTTCTTCCTCTTCTTCCTCCTGCGGAACAGAAACCTTTCGCGCCTCGCTAGGTTTTCAATGACTAATAAGTTCTGGATAGTCTGGGTCGGTCATATCGTGCTTTTTTCCAATATCGAAACGGCGATTGGTTGTGTCGCGTCTTCGGTCCCCACGATCCGACTCTTCTACGTCCGCAGTAGAACACCCGACCCGTCGAGCGCCAAATCGCCCACTCCGGTCAATGGTTCAAAGTCCCTGGTCACATACGGCAGTGAGCCGCTCCAGAAGAAGGCCCCGTCTAAGCAACGTGGCCTGTTCCGGAACCCCACGGATCAGGGCCTCAGCTTCGCCACGGTCCATGCGAAAGGCGATTGGAAGAGGTTGCAGGACGGTGATAGCGACAAGGGAAACCTTCTGGAAGAGAACCCCGTGCCAAAACGGGGCGGCATCAGGGCTGATTATACGTACTCGGTTGAACTGAGTCCAGGCCCGAAACATCGGGAGAGGAGGTTTGGTGACGACAGTGAACCTTAGCGATATGTACACATATTTTTAAAAGCGAATCAGTTAAGAGCTTAATGTCCTGATCATGAGAGTACTGGAAGCCCGTTACCTACCGAATGTGACTGCTCAGTTCAGTATTCGATGGGCCTTCCACTGTCAATATAAAATTTGGTACGAAGTTTAGACCAAAGTAGAACTCACGGTAGTGTAGTGGTTTCTTCACATGTAAATATCACAGGTATGCTTAGACTCTTTGTGCATCTCACCCTGTCGAAGGAGCATTTTTAAGTGCTGCGGTTCAATTTGGGATCAATCTTTGTCTCTACTGCCTTGTCTCGCCAGTTTCTGGCATTACGGGCTATTTTATTGCTGTTTCGATACTTCCAGGAGAATCCGGCCGACAACAAGCTCCAAGGCCTCTGCAGTCTTAGCTACAGCGGCCGTCTTAGTTGGTGCCCTTGGCACCTTGTCCAAATCCTGATCTCCCAGCTCGGCCGGGACATGGTAACTCTGGTAGGCCTTGCGGTACTCCTCTGCATCTGGATCTGCGAGGACTTGCTTGACCAGTCTCGCATTCAACTCGTCGAACTAAATTGCATATGTTAGAATATGACTCTCGCGAGGATCAGGGGGACGCTCTCTTGCTGGATACTTACCTCCTTAGTCCAGTCCTCATTTCCTCCGGTCTGCTTCTTGGCAATCTCTTCGCTAGCTTGGAGCAGATCTTGGATCTAGACAGGGATTTCAGCAACAGTTCTATTTGCAATTAGGGATATGGGACGCACCTGGGTCTCAGTGAACTCAATTCCTTGAGCTTGCATGGCGTCAATATAGGTACTTCGATACTCCTGTTTCGTTAGGTTCGAAGCAACTTGATCCACGAAATACTGAGAGTCCACTATCTCTCGCTGTTCGTTGTCGAAGAAGTCCATCTTGGTCTCTCGTTCCTTCTTGAACTTCTTAGCATCGCCCTGAACAAAGAGTGTCAGTATCAGTAGATTTTCGGCACAGGTTCCTAACGCATGTTTACTCACGACGTAGTAGAATTTGAACAGAGTCGTCCAACCCAGGCCCATCGCATCTTTGACCCCGGCATTTCCAGCCCCGCCGACATCTATCCACCTCCACGACTTCTCCTTCGCCATGGACCCGAACTGCCTCTTCACGGCATCATACGTGGTGTATGCATACCAGAAACAGCTGTGGCCGTAAAACTCGTACGCGCCACCAACAAGGGTGGTAGCCGCGAGGATCTCAGCAATCTGCAGGACGGTCGGCCTCCTGTCGACGTCCTCGCCGGACCCGCCCCCGAAGACCAGAGACGCCAGGGGCAGCGGCAGGTCGTCGCTACCCTTGCTGCCGCCCTCGGGCGTCTCGGCAGGCCCGAACGTGACCCAGTCGAGGTCGACCTCGTTGCCGCGCTCGGCGTAGACGCGGGCCCGGTCCCGCGTCGTCTCCTCCTCCACGATGAACTGCACGTACTCGTGCTTCCACTCCGAGTTCAGGTTCTTGACGCGCGAGAAGGACACCACCCGGCAGTTGGCGTACTTCTCCTTGCCTGTGCGCAGGATGTCCGCCCACTCCTGGGTCTTCTTCACGGCCCGCTTCTCCGAGAAGAGGTACTCGATTGAGGTTTTGCCCATGATTGGTTATGCCGAGGGGGGAGACCAGATACGTTGCGAGGTGCGATGTTGTGTTGTATTGTGAATTGGAAGCATGTGCAGGGACCTCTGCCGTCCTTTTGTAGTGAGAGTTGAGAACAAGGAGATGGTCAGAGCTGATACCAGAGCGGCCGTGTCATTCATAGCATTCCACTAATGCTCAACGGAGGATCAGAACTGACTGGGTCTACTCGGTCATCGCCGAACTCTTTTACTCATTATGGAGGCTAGATGTAAGCTGAACTTCTGAGCAGAAACAACGTTGTCTCAACTAATGCTCGACGGGGGACTAGCATTGACTGGGGGCAAAGGATTCTAAACTCATGTCAACCTATTCTCACACATGGCGACCAATGGAAGCCTTGGATCTAACCCGTGTATCCTTGAGGCACGCGCTCTCATCGCGAGTAGCATATCGCCCTGCTGCAAAGGGCATGTCTTGCGGTGGCGTGTACCAGCACATATCAATGCAGGTTTCAGCTGAGTAAAAACCCGAGGTCACCATCTTGGACGTACTATATTGATAGACTCATAACGATGAAGCTGAAAGCTATACTAGTGTCTGCAGTTTGGCACTATCTTGTCTTGATGTGACTCAGCGATTGGACCACTTGCGGGAAGCGGTGGTTTCAGCTTGCGTATGCAGCACACTATTCCAAAAGACAAATCGAACTTTGCACATCGCATTGGGAGTTCTGGCTAACTTCAACCGGTAAACCCTTGCCCGCTAGCTGCAGATGACTGCTAGATTTCACCAAAAGAGAACACCTCAGATCTCAAAAGAGACGAATCGAGCTTTGCCAGCCGTCCTAAGAGTTCTGGCCGGTGGCTCTAACTATAATCAGCGTGCCTTACCCCGCTAAGCTTCGAAGGACTACTATAGTATGGGCGGGCTGGACCGCCCTGCCCCGCTCCCCGCAAACCTCTCTAACAACATGTAGCCTAGTGAGCGTTCAGTGGCCAGCTGAAACGGCCAGCGCTATGTGATCGCTAAAACGTCCAGCAAATCGCAAAGTTCCGGGGCCAAGCCACTTCCGCCTGTGCTCCATCTTTACTCGACTTAACTATACCGAGCTGGGCAGCGTGGCTGTCACATTGCAAAATCACTGACTGTGCAACATTCGCTAACGGCTCAGCCCCCGTCTGCCATTACATGCCCTAAACCTTCTCGATCGCCGACCATACTACGGGGTAGCTGAGACAGATCGAGCGAGTCAGTGGATTGCAGACTGTGATATGTAGTCGCAACCTTGTCAATCCCATAATTTCCGCGAAAGACAGATCTACGTACGTAGTACCTTGGTGCAGCATAGTACCATATCACAAGTTAGTGCCGGCGTTGAGCAGCCCACTCGGTATTGGGGTTCCTGGTTCTCAGCTACGTTCTGGAACCCCGATTAGACTCCCAGCCAGTCTGGGAAGCTGTGCTCATGGGAATGTGCAGATTAGCGACCCCGCAGACATGCCTCAATAGTGAGCCTGTCGGTTCAGCTCAGTAGAGAATATCGATGAGGAGCAGAGACTTTGCGTTCTAGCTAAGGGGAAAGCCACAGAAATCGTCGTATCTGACGGATGAGGTATCATGCACGATATTTCGAGAGCGTGTTCAATTCTCTATGTCGGCTGGTGTATAAAGTCCTCTCAGACCGGCCGCCTCCAAGATACCTCAGGATATCTATCATCCATCCAAACCTGAGAGCAGATACCAGCAACTCATTCCCACTCTTTCTCACATCCTAAACCTGGCTCAACTACCACCGAACTGGTGCGGAACGCCCTCTGAACCAGACGGTACAATGTCTTCTGCAGGCCCATCGACCAAAGAGGTACTCCTCGACGCAGTCGAGGAGACACTTGGAAGCTCTGCGCTGGAGACTATCCAGCCGACTGAAGTCGAGAAGACCTCCGGTCCCAAAGTGCGCAGCGCCCCAGTCTGTATCACTCAGAACCCGCTCCCGCGGAACCTGGAGGGCGGCCCGAGCGAAATCGTCGTCGGGCTCAGGGGCCAGGTCCCACGCTGGGTGCCAGGCTCCGTCGTCAGGTGGGCGGCCTGGCGCGCCGGCTTCGACAGTCAGGAGGACGCCGACTACGCGGCGTCGCAGCTGGCGATCGCCGCCGAGGCCTGGAACAGCGCGGACGTCGGTGTCACGTTCGAGTGGGTGCCCCTGGCAAAGGACGCCACCTTCGTCCTGTGCCACGGCGGCGCCAAGGGCGGTGTTCTGGCCTCGGCCTTCTTCCCGAATGACAATGATCTGAACTATATGTTTACATACAGCGCTGCGTTTGAGGATGACGAGTGGAAGAACAACCGTAAGTGAAAACTCCTCTTGGTGCTTCGTTTGTTCTGCCTTGGCCCCGCTTGTTGGGAAGACTCGAGTCGCTGATGCATTATCACTGCAGTCTGGAAAGTCCTGACCCACGAGCTCGGACATGTCCTCGGTCTGCGACACGAGTTCGCAATCGGGGACGTGCCCTCGCGCATGGCCGCCGAGGGCAGCAGTGCAGTTCGCATCGGGGAGCCGGACGAGCACTCCGTCATGAACTACCGCGACGAGGCCCCAGAGATCCAGCAGTCTGATATTGACTCGACGAAGTTGTTCTACAGCCTCAGGAAGGACTCCAACGGCAAGCCACCTATGATCGGTATGACGAGGGTTGTGAGCTACACGCCGCTTTGATGGACTATTAGAGCGTGGGAGTGCACTGTGATCAGCTCTTAAAAGTAGTATCGAAATCATTTTTGGAGCTTAGCTGAATTGATTGTTATTTAATCTTTGATCCATTGCTAGCTAACCTCGACGCCATGGCGTCCTGGGTGATGCATACTGTGCCGTACACTCTGCGACTCTACGATCCCTATGATCAACATGGCACTCGCTCAATTGTAAAGATTTCCGTGACCTGTATGGCTCTTGTGTACCCAGAAGGAGAGTGCTTTTTCAGGCGCTCTGCATTGAACAACTCTAATTCAAAGTTCTATCAAGCAGACAGCCCTGACGATTTCTATGGACATTTCTTACTAGAGTTCATCTGGAACAAAGCAAGCCATACAGGAGCGGAGGCCACATTGTCTCATCCGAGGACTACCCAGAGCTCTGCACATTCTGTCAAGTCAACTTTGTTGTGGCAGATTGCTAACTGCAAGTAATGCACCATTGGGCTTCGCCGTCGAACCCAGTGAAAAGATGGAAGCCCGTTCACCTTAAAATGACCCTCGGACTGCCAGTCTGGGCGACCGAAGCTGTCGGGATCAACTTCAACGGACTAGTGGAACTGCTCTCACTTCCGCGTCAGCTGCGCGCCCAGAATGCCTACACTTCCAAGAACGTCATCATCGTTGACAGCCTCCTGGTAGCGATACCCCCGATCGAGCGCAACTTTAGTGACGGGGCGGACCTTGATTGGGCAAGGGTTGCGGCGGCAAATTACAGTCTCGCAGTCCAGTGGAGACCTACTCCCAAGAAACAGGATTGGCTGAATAACTTTCTCAAGAATAGCCTTACGATCGCGGCGGGCTTCATTCCAGGTATTGGACCTCTCGCGGCGATTGCGTTCCCAGTTGCTTGGACGGCCATTTCGGATTCGGACAGCTCCGTGGACACAACGCGCAACATAATGCCCGGGTACTGCGGTCTCTGCGGATGAGAGCGACTGGAAGAAGCTAGTAGGCGATGTAAGGGACGTGGCCAAAACTGTTACATCCAGGCTGCCTAGTGTACCCGGACTTGGGTTGGGCGGTATTGCTAGCCAGAAAAACGACACGACAGATGGCCCGACAATCAATGAAGCGCCTGTCGATGATTTTGAATGGAGCGAGGATTGTTTGACAGCTCTCTTCAACGGTGACATTGTAATCAAGGGTAAGGCTTGAAGTACCTTGGGAGGCTTTCTACAACGTGACTTTTTGTGTAGTTTGACAGAACAAACGGTGTCACACAACGTGTGATGAGGAGATGATCGACATATATTGGACATGGCTCAATGAGAGCGCCACAAGTATCAGCACTTTCGAAGAAAAAACGCTGCGATTCTGCAGGAGCTATAACCGAGATTGTAAAACAAAATAATCTACTTTGATTTTTTTACCCTCTGGGAATGGAAATATGTACATCGTGTTTTTCTTCGTAGAATAAGCTTAACACATTATACATTCGTGGTAGCGTAAACCGACTACGTTAGCATTATCATATTGACAACATCTAGTGGAAGAGTTATTTTTGTGTTGGTATAAATGAAGGGCTGTTAGATTTAATGATGTAACTTACCGTGTCTTGTATGTCGAAATATCAACATTACCTTGCACGAACAAGGCAAAATGGCATTGTGGTGGCCTGCCTGGAGGATGTTATGGCAAAACTCGGTTATAAACAAGCTTGTCAGTCCTTGATATGCCTTTCAATAATGGTTCCCGGAGTCTCATGGACAAAGAAAACACACTAACTGGGGTTGCACACAAATAAATCGCGGCAAGCAATCGCCGAGATTCTCTGACGATTTGACCAATCCAAGATCTTACCGAGAGTCGGTGTTGGAGCTTACATCTGTAAGCATATCTCTGTGGTACATGAGTTGCCCACCCGCTTTGACCGCCACCCGGTCAGCTCATTTCGCGGGAGACCACCAACGAAGCCGATTTCCGTCTTCTTTTCCGATAATACCTAGAATTATCTCTTCAAGGTTACTTCTGTGCACGAAGAGAGTCCATACTGACTGGTCGCCATGCAATGCAAAATAATTATCGTAGGCGCTGGAATTGCCGGCCTCTCCGCTGCCATAGCTTTGCGAAAGAGCTGCCATATTGTTGAGATATACGAGAGATCTTCATTCAAGAACGAGCTTGGAGCCGCCATAACAATTGGTCCTAATGCTGGCCGACTGCTCAAGCTATGGGGTGTCGACCCAGCGGCGGCCCGCTTCGTCACATCAGACGCCATCCGTTTCTGGTCTTACGACAAACTCGAAGAGCAGTCTTTCGTTGATGAAACCCATGCGGAAGAGCGATTTGGAGCTCCTCTATGGTATGCGCATAGAGTGGATCTGCATGACGCTTTGAGAGCCATCGCAACTCAGCAAGATGGCCTAGGTACGCCAGTCGTCATCCACCTCGGCAAGCCTGTTGTCAAATATGTATGAAAAAGCATAGTATCCATTTGCGATAACCAGAACTGACTTCCCTAAGCACCCAGAAGATGCGTCTGTGACCCTTGCAGATGGCGAGGTTGTCACTGGAGATGCCGTGATTGCAGCTGATGGCGTGCATTCAGGTGCCGTAGAAGCTGTACTCGGACATCCGAACCGCGTGATGCCAGCTAACTCGCTTAACTTCATCTACCGATTCTTGCTAACACGGAGTGATATAAAGCCTCAGTCCCCGGCCAGCTTCTTTCTTCGAGATGGGTTTGAAAAAAGCTGTACGGTCTTTTCAGATGGACTGAAGAGACGCCTTGTCTATTATCCTTGCCGCAAGTGAGTTTCAATTTTCTTCCATTCCTGAGAAATACTAACAGTTATGCTAGTGCTGAGGTGATGAACTTCGGAGCTTTATGTTACGACAATAATCTTGATCCAGACGCCAGCCAGGAAGGTTCGTCAATATATATGGAAAGAGCGTTTCGATAACCCACTATTAAAGAATGTCATTTTTCAGAGTTGCTAACGGTTCCGATGTAGATTGGCATGCTCCAGTTGATAAATCGACTATGTTCAAACATTTCGAGGGATATCATCCGACTCTTCTTGGAACCATGAAGTAAGTAGTTGGGGGTTGGGATTTAATTCTTGGCATTATTTCGTACATTCCACAACGTAGCTGACACCTCGTGACATTACAGTGAATGTACTGACTTGAAAGGTTGGCCTCTGCTGTATCGCGCACCCGTCACGAAGTGGCATAGAGGCAATTTGACCCTCACCGGTGATGCAGCCCATCCAATGTTGCCCTGTAGGTCAACCTCATCTGTTATGTCAAATAGACTCGAAAAATCTATTTTAACACTAGTTGCAATATAAAGTACAAGGTCAAGCTGGGTGCCAGGCTATGGAAGATGCAATGGCACTCGGTCTTGCATTCCATGGAGTGCGGAGATCATCACAGATTCCAGAGCGGCTGAAGACCTACGAATCCATTAGGCGAAATCGAGCATCTTTGATACAAGTCCTCAGTGATAGAGGAACCGAACAAGGGATTCCGGACGATGTATTGAAGTATCTTGAAGGGCAACCAGTTCCAAGTAAGTCCATATTGTTCGGCACTGGAGGTTTTCAAAGATTTTCAGCTCGAACAGATATCTGTCAGTGCTAACTTGAGCCAGAAAATGCAATCGAGAAACTTCAACTAGTCTACGGGCATGATGTTGTGGAGCATTCAGCGAGTCACATGAAAGCTATCGATAATGAATGGTCGTTGCCACAGTGGTTGATTGATGCTCGGACAAGCCAATGAATGCTCATCATACTCAAGTGCCTAGATGGTACAAGGCCGAGGTTCTGCTCATCGGCAGGCAATTGGGAGACCGCGATGACCCATTCATAGTGCTAACATCCCAGAATAGGCAAGTTGAAATGCCTGGCGAATGGAGATTGAAATTATACTAGTTGCTATCTAAACACAGATGCAGTGTAAAGTCGTTTTTAACTTGGCACTTTTCCACGATATTTACCGATCAAATTGTAGTAGAAACTGCGTCGGCGCTCATTTGGTAGGTCCAGATCTAGTTGAGTATAATTGGGATCAAGTCAAGTCAGCTAGCGCCTGAATGACAGTCACGTCAGTTACTAGACTTTGTGTCGACATGGGTTCCCTTCGATATCTTTCGCATAGAGGACTGGTAGGAACTTTTGTGCAAGAACGCGGTGTGCTAGAATGATCAGACTTGACACCATGAACGACAGAAGCGGCGGTCTTTTGGTGCAGAAAAGAAGTAAAACATTATGGTCAGATGGTCGTTGCTTGCCTGGAGCCGCAGCGCAGTCTGTATGAGTCATATAGGGCAGGTCAGGTACCACCTTTGACGTCAAAATTGTGTTGTGGTATGTTGGAAATCTAACAGACCGAGAGCAACTGAACCAAGGCCAAGCGATCGGTATTTCACCCGGGAGAAAACTGATCATGAGGGGTCAAGGCCTCTAGAATTGAACTATGCTCAAACTAGCTGGCCAGCTTCGCATAACTGACATTAAAGGCTCCGGCATGCACTATAGCCCCTCGACAAAGTCCTTCAAGTCTAACCCCTGTCTGTCCCACTGGGTCTGTAGTTGCGGCCTGATCGCGAAAATCAAAGGAGTCGCAAGACCAAGATAGTAGGTCTCATACGAAACATATCTCGTCCGACCACGCCCGGCACTAGTCAAGATATTTGGATGTTCTGCCCGGCTCAGTGATCCATTGAACAGAGTATTCGACCGCCACGCGTTCATTAGGTATCTCTTGCTCGGATCGTCATCAAGCACAGTAAGGACTTCATCACTAGTAGTGTTCGCACCAGGAAGTAGTCCCGTCGTCGTGAAAACCATCTCCATTCCAACATAGTCATCCTCCGGGGTCTGCACATTGGGCGGAATCTGGACGTCGATCGTAAAGGTGTTCCAGCGGTGATAATTCTCAAAGTCTATCAAGGTATCATAAACTTTTTGTGGAGGCGCATTTATGAATAGCTCCGTGCAGATCATGAAGACTCGCTCTTTCGTGCCGTAGGTTGGAGTAGGAAGAGTTGTAATATTATCACTGGGGCACTGCAGCGACGCCCAATCAATGTCTTTGGAGCTGCTTTCCGATGTCAAGCAATGCACCGCGCCGAGCACTGAACATGATAAAAGCAATCTGAAATACATCCTGGATACAACAGAAGAAAGATTTTGCGACAAACTGTTAGGTGTGTAGGTCTGGCCGTTGTTTATTCTAGGGATTTCACGCCAGCGAAGAGGCCAAGTATTTGAGTCTAACAAAGCAGACTACTCCGCTCAAAGAGCGCCAATATGTTCCGCAACGACATCGAACGAGCATAAACAATGCCGAGTCACTGGTTGTAACTTTCGTTAGAGCTGAACTCCTCAAGAGGTCTAGGTTAGTGGCGTGCAGACGGCTGAGAAAAAAAGAAAGAGAGAAAAGATCTGCAATGCACCGTCCAACCACAAGCGAGCCCCACCATTCTCCACGGCTGACAGAGTCTACAATTATGTAAGAATCAGACGAACAGCGGAAATAAATGCAATAAAAGTTTATGGAACTATTTTTATTAAATATTATTGTATTTGGTGTTGGACCTGACTAAACATAGATGTAGCAGTACTGACCACCAACGCTGCTGACGTGGTTGGAGATAGGACTCGCGGCTCCAAGGATGCCCAAGTTGATCGTGTCGTCAATTGTCGCGTTGTCGCTAGGAGGAAGATTCAGCATGGTCCTGGTGCCACCGATTTGGAATGCACGGTCGACCGGCTTCTGGTTCTGCCAGATCCACCACATCCTGTCGATGTTTCCGTGGTGAAGCCAGAAGAGAGGCTCGTTGGGGCTGTTGTAGAACTGCAACGTCTTAGTAGTGACCATCAATCAAGTACAAGGCTCAAAGGTACTTACGTCACCGCTGGGGTCACCTGCGACGGCGAAATGGCCGTACTGGTGGAGACCATAGTACCCGACAGTGTCGTTACCGGTAAATTGCAGACGGTCTTGGAAAGCTGCAATGTTGGTCTGGTAAGCCGGGTTGCTCAGCAGATCGACGGTATGGTCGTCTGTTGCCCACTTGTTGGCCAAAGGTACAGAGATATCGTGTCTGATGCAGCGAGGGCCGTAGCTAAGCGCGACGCCAGCCTCTACAGTGGGCCAGGTAGGAGCTGACGCTGAGATGTTTGCCAGGACCCCGGCGTAGGGACCGGTTTCTACACAACCACCTAAGTTGCCAGTCAGTCTTCGCCGACACATGCAGAATCAATGAGACACTTACCTCCAACACCAGGCGCAATTGGAAGGAGGCCACTGGGAAGTCCTTGCGTGGCATTGTGGGCTTCATAGACACCATTGCCACCTTGAGAGTACGCGCTACCGTCCAAGCTTGAAGTCATGTTAGTATGTTCAATCTCAACCAGCCATGGCGTAACTCAGCTGGTAGATAATGGTTGACTTACTAGGGAGAGTTGATAGGGTCAAGCGCAGATTTTCCCCAGTTCCAGTACGGCAGGTATCCATTATAACCACACTCGTTTCGCAACGTTTGCTCAAAGGTCCAGATGTAGTATCTGTGCCAAGACAAGAATGCACCACATGCATGGATACTCCAGGTCTGGTTGATATGGGTGGCTACGAAGTCATCGTAGCGTGACCGCACACCAGGAGCGAGTTCTGCCGGTGTCTGGCCAGGCTTGGCCATCAAGCATTTGACAGCCTTGGTATAGCTGAGCTTCTCATCATTAGACAGGGTTGAGTACTCGCGACGAATGGAGATTTTGTCAATCGAGCATGTCTGTGGGACGTTCTTGGTTGCCAGCTGCTTCTTCAGCGAGCCGTCAGCCACCGACACGCCGAGCTTGATCAAGCTTTGTGCCGCAAGGAGGTCAGAGCCGAAGGTGGACGCAGGGGTATACGTCGAGGCCAACGGCAATGTAACCAGCAGGAGGGAGAACAAGGAAGTATGCATCTTGACAAGCGACCGTTGGGCGTGGAACTTAGGTCAGGAGTGTGGCTGCGGAAGCTAGACGAGGATTCACCTGTCAGAGGAACGAACATACTTACTATATATGCAGTGTGTCGCCCTTGCACTCATCGCCTCGATGGTCCGAGTTTCTTTGCTTGCATATGGGTTGGAAATGAGTCCCCACACTTCAGGCAAATATGTCTTGATAGCTATCCGAACCACCGGGTATGGCTTCTGTCGCATGCCGTTTGCCGTCCTATGTAATAGCTTAGTAAATGTCCGAGAAGGGGGACTATCTAGTCTAGAAGCTCAGCTTCCGAGACCATTGTCGATCAAGAGCGACTAACGACATATTTCAGTTGCGCGCACACCCAAAACAGTATAATTAACCAATGCTGGCTCAATTCGGACCATGAGAGAGACGACGAGAACGCCACCACGGGGCACTCTCTACACCAGCACCAGCACGTGGGATACTCTTACAAAATCCCCGAAATGCGTATGCATCTCGCTAAAGTAGGTGGCGCATTTCCTGCAAGTTGAAGGGGCACGTAGGATTCAGGCCTGAGGAACTATCTGCTGGACCCTAGAACGTGATGCTCGCTTAGAGTTATTTACTAGGGGCCCCGGAAGACTTCCTATTGCACCACCTGAACGACCAAGCTTTGGACGAACGAACATTGGTGGAGAGAGTTGAAGGGGACTAGCTTAGGCGCACCCACTTGACCGTTTACAGGCCTATAATCCGATCGATCTGGGATCTTAGTGTGGGTAACCGGCGTCCCGGGTCGGGCCATTGTACCACTACGGGTTGTACCACTAATATATTTTAAGTCTAGAACCCCTCAAACGGTCGTTTTGCTCATGTCCTAGGTCGAGGGATAAGTTAATCCGGACTCTGTAAACATCAGATGGAACTGCGTAGGAAACCCCCGAACGAACGCCAAGACTCGGCTATTTTCTTTGCGCTGCGCCATTGAACGCCTCTGGCTTTGACGAGTTTCGGCAGATCCCCTCGATCATGCACGCACTTCTAGACGAGAAGGAACTCTCACTCAAGTCCGCCTCAACAGACAATTCTTGAGGTGTCTTCATGCATCTGAACTGTTATGACATTTTTTGATGCGGGGGCGAAATGCTCGTCATCTATGATTGTCCTCACATGCGTTAACAAATCGCTCATCGCTTGCTTTTCCGAATCTCATGCTTGACAAGGATGTCGCCATCGAATCATGCCATATCCTATGCAAACTGGGGTTCTAGCTCAGCCATAATATCCCTATTTCCGAACTGCACATTGGATGGAAGAACCCAGACGATGCAGACTATTGGTACTATGTACCCAGTCTGCTAGGGTGAGTTTCGCAGCTATTCTTCCTTCAGACTAAGTCCTTCCCTCGAGTGGCTCTTCCACCGATATTGCGACCATTTTGACAATATTCCTAGCAGGAACGAGTATCACAAATGATAAGTCATGAGAGGCTAGATCTTGAGCAGTTGTACTAATTTCATAAACAAAACCAGAGAACAGCTAATGGCGTAGCGTACCTGAGACTGTCCTAATTGCGGTGTTACATGTGCATTGCACTGTTCACTCACTGCGTCGTGGACGACCAGAAAATGAAACAAAGTGAGGCCATCTGCCCAACTGCTGCCTCCTTGAGGGGAAGTTCACATTGGATCCTCACGAATTCGGCCACCGGTAAAGTATCCCGTGACCCGAACTATCTGCGATCTCTGGCAGACTTGAGATCAATTGAGCAAGGGCTGCACTATTCTGTCATCTGTATCATCTCGCGTTAGAAACCCCTGCAAAAATCGCATGCCCTGGCAATCGCAGTGAGCTTTTTATGAACAATGCATTCCCACAAATGTTGCTGATCGGCAGTTCTTCTCCAGTTCGCACTTTTGCTTGTCGAAAGTCTAGTTCGTCCCAATGGCTGGCTCTGTTGATCAATTGTCGATCAGATCCGACGGTGGGCAAAATGCGGTGGATACTAACGCGCCCTCCATCCTGGGTATCTCGAGCACTTTGATGGCCTTGTCTTTCATTGTCGTGGCCGCAAGATGCTATGTCAGATTGGTGATGCTCAAGTCGTTCAGCATAGATGATGCAGTCATGCTTGTCGCACTCGTAAGTTAGCTCGTTGAAGAACTTGATCTACGAAAATAAGGTACCAGTAGTTGCTGACATATACAGGTTATGGCCATCCTGTCGATGGTCTGCTTTATTCAGATGGTTCATTACGGTGCTGGTAGACTCGAAGGTGACATTCCGGCTGATTGGTGGTCTGGCTTGAACTTTTGGTCGTACATTATTGGACCATTCTCAACAACCGGTATCAGCTCTGTCAAGATTTCCGTGGCCTTCTTCCTTCGACGATTCATGCAGGTGAAATGGGCGTCGCGTCTCATCACGGGGATGGGCATTTTCTGCCTCGTGTTCTTGATATACTCTATCATCACGTTCATGGTGGCCTGTGTTCCGTTGTCCACGTTCTGGGATCCTCAACCAGGAGCGAAGTGCTGGAGTGGCGATGCATTGTCACTCATTGGTACTATCAATGGCGGTAAGTTTTGTCACCTTCAGTATGTCACATGTTCATAACTAACAGGCACAGTTGTCAATGTCACACAAGATTTGTTTTTCGTCATTGTCCCGATTCCTGTAGTTCTAAGGCTTCAAGTCAATCGCAGGACCAAGGGAACATTGATTGCAATCCTCAGTCTTGGGTTATTGTAAGTCTTTTTTGGTACAGCTTTGCAGGCTAGACGACAAACTAAACAATGTTTCAGCGCTTGCGTTGCGTCTGTCGTAAGAATGGTGTACGCCTACCACCGGTCAGATCCTGGGTATACAAGGACCTTCAATTTCATCGTCTGGTTCAAGTAAGCAATAGAAACTTGGATAATCTATATGATACTGACTCACTCTATAGCATCGAACTGCACGCTGGAATTCTTGCGGCGTCTTTGCCAACCCTCCGACCGTATGTATCAATATTTCCCTATTTTTGGTTCACCACGGCAACGCCGCTAGAATGCCTGCTAACTATTTGCGAACCTGCAGTCTGTTCGCAACGATCCTGAAGAACACGTCACGGCTTCGAACATACGGTTACAAGTCTGGAACCCGTTATGGCACTCAATCTGCGCACATACGGTCGGGATACCAAAAGCAGGATGACGTACCGATCCATCTGCGAGAGGTTAACGAGCAAGGTAACTACAAGGCCACGATCGCTACTTCGAGGGCCAAAAGCCTTGAAGATGATGGCAGCGAGGATGGAATCCTTCCTATCATGAACGGGATAAACAAGCGAACTGAGATTACCATCCAGGCAGCTTGAGTTTTGTAGCACACTTGGCGCATGTATTATTTTGGATACCCCAGGAAACACGGATTTCTTTGAATGACAAAAGGTTCGGATGAAAAGTTCAGGAACGCTGCTTTTTAACATTGATTGTAAAAACACCCTTTGACGTCGCGCTTTCAAATTGTGCTTGGCATACTGTGAACGTGGTATACATTCATCGCACCGTCTCTCATCAACAGAAGCAGCCTATGAGCTTTTTTGGTTAGAATTAGAAAGGAGGAGGACTCAACATAACTCTACGTTAGCTGTTACTTCAACCCTGCCGTATCTGGAGGCCCTTGTCTTGCATTACGTAGTTGACGAGTATCTCATGGATTATTTTCTAATCAAGGGCTCAGCACCTTCGCCTCACAGGAAGACAAAAAGAAGAAATGAAACAATAAGAGAAATTGTGTACCAATAAAGCAGAAATCAATCAATTTTCCCATCTTGCGTCACTCCAGCTTGAGATAGACCATGCTTCGGGATTTCATGAAGCATTGGCTTTCACCGACCTCGCTCAAGGTTTCGACGATATATTCTGAAAACGCGGTCTCTTATCTTAAAGTAGAGAAAATCAGTCACCGTGATTTGTGCAAGTGGCTTGCTAGAAATTTGCCTTACATCTCAATTGAAATGGTTGAAGTCTATAGGTCAGACTAATAGGAGTGCGTCACAGTCTCTAAGATATGACATAGGAAGATGAGTTCGACCGTTGACATAGTGTGTATTTTGTGCCACGTTTTAGAATCCCAACCCGAACGTTGGAAAATTTTCCCAAGACTTTCTCACTGCAGCTATGACGCTGGTTTCTTGCGATTGTTCATTATAGGCATGACTCCTGCGACTGCCGCTCGCAGTGTTAGGGTTTCTAGTGTGCCATTCGAAATGTAAGCCTCAGAGCAGCACTAGCGCTACGAGCCAAAGACTTATCAGAAATACCAGAGTATTCCATATCCTTCCATTATTGCCCACATGTGAGATAGCATCGCTCACTCGGCGCCCAGTAGCCCAAGCCCCAGAATCTGGACTTCCCGCTCCTCCTCCGAAGTTGTCGTTTAGAGGTCGACATTCCAAAATGCCGGCAGCACGTCCTTTTCTGTAACCTTCAATGAATTTACTATCAGATTCTGAGGGATCAGATCTCAGATCGGAGGAATGACATCCGTCATCGTACCCTTCGCGATATCCATCCTGATAGATATCACCTTTAATCCCATCGCCTGCGCTGCCACCTCCGACTGGGACTGGATTTGGAAAAGGAACCCAGCTTGGCCCACCGACTGTTCCGCCACCGTTGCCCTGGCTATTCAATAGTTCTGACCCTGTGCTTGGAGTGCTCAATGGAGAATTAACGTCAATGGTACTAGCTGAGGCTCTCTCCGTTGTCGTTGCGGTAGGTGTTGGGCTTCGAAGCGTCTCTGCTGTGGGTACTAGCACAGATGATGTGCTTTTGGGAAGGAGTATGTCGCCAGCCGTTGATGCAGTGATACCCAGGGTTGTGGATGGGAGATCTGCCTGCGCAGTAGTAAGTGCCGCCATTGTCGCCAAATAGGCTCCATCTCTTGGGGAAAGTTTCATGGTATTGTGTATACTGTGCGGCTGACAGTTCGTGGTGTAGTGGTGGATCGCTATATTGCACTCCGTCAATAGCAGCGAAGTGATCTTTTCATGTAAGAAACAGACCTAGAGGCCACCAAACTAATGTATTTTCAATGTACACTTACTCATCAAACATTGCTGCAGGCCTTGTGTGCACACGTGTGAAGGTTTTGATATCACCCAGTCGTTGAGGTGGGGGGATTCGCTTTGTTCAACAAACTCTAACCTACGCATTTACGAAGGAGCAGTCCCACCACCTGAATATATGAGGCCAACAAAAGGACATTCTTCTTCTCTCCAGAAATTATATCCCAATATTGCTTTTTAGAGCGAAACTTTCGAACACTTTGTGGTATTCTCGATTAGTGGGTGGTTTTGGACTATATGGCTCGAAGAATACTGATTCAGATTTCCCCGGATTGGGCCATGATCTGGCTGGTGATCTACTCTTAAAGTTTGAATCTGCACGAAGGTTTTCCTCTCATTCTAACCGCCCATTTGCACGTTGCCAGGTCCTTATTGGCCTGAATTAATCTCCTCGTTTCTCCATACAGAAAGTTTCACATTGTCGCAAAGAATCTCGATGCTCAACCAGAATGAATATTGACATCGGCGATTTTCTATATCACAACTTTTGGATCAAACGATCTATCATCACGACGACCACAGTATTATCACTTGCTGAATGGATTTAATCCACTAAGGATACTCGGCTCCTGGTGCCCGGCCACACCTTCATCTTCAGGATCGAAATCCATATTCCCTGGCTTACCCTTCAAGCCAGTCTCTTTGACCGTATTTTCAACGCCTCCCATATCTTGAGGCTGACCTTTCATATACCCCCTGGTATGGGTGGCACCACCGCGCTGGGTACCTGCCTTGGTCTTGTATTGTGACGCATCAATCTCAGGTGCAGTTGTGGTGCCATGATCTCGGGCAGCCAGGTGATGGGTTTCATGTACAGGATTAATGGTGTGCACCACCTCACGCTGGAAGGTCTCCTTATTGATGACCGGTTGGACAGTCTCATGAATGTGGCTAGTAGAGAAATACGTTAGCGATGATGTGGGGCACGGCAACATCGGTCATCAAGACTTACTGGTGGATGTGCTCGCCCTGCTTCGTCTGGGCTTGCTCCTTTGTGTACTTGGTAGCCTCGACTTCTCGCTCGTCATGGAATTTGCCGCTTTCTTGTTGATGTTTCCTAGCAGCCGTATCATCCCTGTTGTCAAATTCCTTGTGCTTCGTCTGGTTCTGCTTGAAAGAGTGCTTGTCCGGAAGAACTTCTCTCTCCTTGATTGGCTGTACGGTGCGATGGTAGTGATCTTGGTGAACCTCCTTGTCGACTGCCGTGGTAATCTCCTCATGTTGAGAGGGCTTCACCGTCTCATGCTCAACCGTGCGAGCTTCCTCTCTGTCAACAGTTGTGTCGTTCTGGTCAGCTTGGGACATGAACGCTCTCAGAGACTCTGTCGCCTTCCCAATAGTGTTAGAGGGCAGATTTGAGGCCATGGTAGCAGATGTCAGGATGTCGTGCTAGGGGTAATGTTTACAACCGACTCGCGCGTAAGACGCAGTTCAGGTGAATAGTAGATTATTCACAACCGCAATCTGACGGTGGTGTCTTTATGTCTTTATCTCTTGTGAACATTGTACATATACCGAACATGCAGTAGCTGAAAGCAAATCCGAAGCTTGATACATTACCTACTTTGTAGCCTTAGTAAACCATGCTTATGATGCGATGCCATCATCTTGCAGATCCTACTTCCGGATGCTCAGCATGCTTGCTACTATGCCAATGACGAACATGGCTCAATGGTACGAAGATGCGGTATTCGCGACCTTTGTCCTTACTCTTCGGCTGCTATACTAAAATGGGTACGTTGTTATAATCATTGCCCACGGCAATGTGAACACTATCATGTGAAGAACGTCGGCTAAAATTTTGTTGAGCATTGGGGTCCAGATCCTGACGGCCTATTAAAGAGTTTAGGAAGTGCTGCACATCCGCCGACGAACCCCTCAAGCGCTGAAGGGCCTACTCGATCTGGTCGATCTTGTTCTCACAAGATGCGGGGATGTGGGTGCACGAAGGTTACCATTGGCCTTAGGTAAAACTGTATCTAAGTTTCGAGGTTATTCAAGAGTGTGTTTGCAGATACTGTAAAGCCTAGTCGGACTTTGTTGAATCTTATTCAAGTGATGTTGGTTCACATTTGCAGCCTTACTAAGAATAGGGAAAGCTTATTTCCCCAGCTCGGTTTCCCGGGTTAAGACGCGGAAAACGGGCCGCAGCGCGTCATAGACAAGTTTCGATGCCAACTGCTATCGGGTCCGCATTATTATTACTGTTCAGAACAGTTAGAACTCAATCTCTGACGACAACCAGATGTCATGTAAATGTCGTCGCAACGTTTGCACTTTTCATGGCTGTGCAACTATCGGAACGCGGCACAGGGCAGCGCAGGATCGTGAGTAGTGCGATGATGTTTCCATGGCTGAAAAGTTAGTCACTAACATTACGTGGGCTGTGTATATATTAGCCTTCTTCTGGGCCTCGTCAATCCCAAGCTTTCTTGTACAGTACTGACCTAGACTTCGAAGGCCGTGTTCATGATTGCAGCTGACGCAACACATCTCGGAAGTCGGCTAATACAGTGGTCATCTGTACGCACGATCATGTCGGACAAGACAACACATGGATCACAATCCCTGGAGCTCTATTGCAATGATTAAGTCATATTGACCTTGGGATGTGCACTCATTGGCTATTCATGAAGCCTAGCTCTTAGCTCTTGAAAGCCAAGTCTTGGCGCGGCTCATCGACAGATCGAGGTACTCTGATACTCAACGGTGATGCCATACCGCGGCTTGGGAGCTGGCTCACGACCGGCTAGCAGCACCACGCTACTTTATCAGAGGCAAGTTTTGGTGATCGAATGATTCAGTGCACCACTTGGGTATATGTTACTTGTTCCAGTCGAGTTTTTCAAGCTAATTTTTCCAATCCGAATACTCTAATAGTTTCAACTTTTGCGACTTCGATTGTACAATCATCACAATTAGGCCAGTTTGAGATAGAACCAGCTGTTGATAGAAAATTCAAAATGGTAAGTTCTTGGAATAATACGATGGATCCTGCGCTCATCAAGTTAAGATTCTACCAAAGACGTTCTCGGAACTTGCGTCACGCCAATATAGCGGCGGTTATGGTTATTATGGCAGCCCTCGCAGAAGACTATATAGCGGAGCGATCGCTGGGATAGTCGTAGGATGCGTTGTCTTCTTTCTTATCCTCTTTGTTCTGTGTTGCATGTTCACAAGGCGAAGGCGTAACAGAACAAGACAAGCCCAGGGGTATACCAATACTAGCAACACGAGTGGAGGAAGGTTCACATTATTCGGAGGTGGGAAACATAGTACTTCGCAGCAGCCGATGATGCAGACAGGCAATTATCCACAGGGGCAAGGTGGCTATGGTGGCTACGGTTATGGACAGCAAGCGCCCGGGGTCAATCCACCACAAGCCGTGTACCGTTAATCGCAAAGACTACGGTGATCCTCCTTGTATTTTTCTTTGTAGGATTCTGGTGTACATATACACATGTCAAGGCAGTGTTTCTTTTTCCAGAACGACGAACAGGTTTGTTGATAATCACCATAGAATGAATGAGTCACTTGGTAACAATCTATATAGGCGGCCCGATGTTATCTCCTCAAAGCCCGGACTGGGCTTTTGTAGGGTACTGCAGGATGCTTTGAGGGACATTAACATATCAAAAACTCTTGATAACCATTGTGGCAAGCTACACCCTTTTTAATTCAACTTCAATAAGTTTATAAGTTGCCATAAAACGTCCCGTTCGTCTGCTTTCATTTCGGGTCGGTTGTTATAAAGTCCTTAAGAGCTGAATATGCAAGGGCAGGCGTTTCCGATGTATGATGTAGACTTCGAAACGAATCAATAGAATCTAAAGGATTGTTAAGAATTCAACGAAGCCGGGGAGGTATGTTTTAGTTTATCCAATATATATATAATATATATTTTTACTCAAAATTGCTTCAAAATGTGGCAGGACAGTGTCCGAATAGTTCACCTTTAGACTAGTCTAGTCAGAATAAGACAATATTCACCACATGTGACCCTCTTATTAAACCCTTTATATTCACAGGTACCACCAGCGTGACTTGATATTCCTACAATTTCCAATTATATAATAAACCTTACAAGCGCCATTCCCTTTTAAAAGCCTAGTTTAGGCTTTGCGGAGATATCATCAATAGTATCCTAATATCCAAGGTACAAGTCAACCTCTAGCTTGCATAATGCCTCTATTGTGATTGCATCGTGTTTTTAGACAGTGGTGGACTCAAGCCTATGCCATTATGTCAAGTAATTGCGATGGCTCATAGCTTATAAAAAGCTCCCCATTAACAACATATCAATGTGAAACAAGGGCAAAGAATTGGTAGTAGCAATGCCTTTGTTCAGCTTCAACGTGATGAATTGCCTCCGGGAGTATATAAGCCCGATGCCCCTCTGCTCGTGTTATGTTTTCAAGTGCACTCATCAGAATCAGCATTCGGCCAGAGAACATTTCCAAACTTATTACCAACCGTACTCAATACTGTCAAGATCCAATCATCCCAAAAATGGAACAAAGTCCAGCCCCAACTGACTCGCTGCCGCAGAACCCGCATTTCCACTCAGACTATTTTGGCATTGAGGCGGTTGAAGCGAATTCTCGCTTAGCGGAAATTGTTTCTACTGGCGAGCTAGGACGCGCCCCGACACCAATGCCAGATCAAGGTGCAGACCCCGTACTCGAACAAGTTGCCCGTCCTGTGGCTGGGATGAATCATCTTCAGATTTCACGGACCCGTGGTGTCATGGTGCGCAGCATGCAATACGCGCTGAATCATTTGCAAAATGAACTTGACGACCCGACCTTGGTACATACACCAGACCCCAACCATTTCGACCATTTTTGGGACAAGGACGCGTACTTCTATAAAGCTGGCCTCCTGAGGAACGAAATCTACATCAACGCTGACGGCGGCAAGGGCGTAAAATTTCATCCTCACTTCGAGCAGTTCCGCGACCGAAGCACATGTGTTTGGGCTGTGAAGTATTCAAGTAGTTGGCATGATGAAGATCAAGGTCCAGATGTTAATAGCCATTGGTGCCTCATTGTAGCCAACTTTGTAAACAGGCAGTCCACCATTATCAGTCCAGAGCAGTCCTGCCCATGGATGGAAGAGGATGGGGATGTCACGTTTTTTGCTTCAGATCGTTGCTTTGACCGCTCACTGTTTGACGTACAGATCTTTGACCCGCTCTGGGACACCGAAGCCGATCGTGACTTTCGTCGTATGAAGCTGGTGCACTACTTTAACCAGATCCTTGAACTTGCCGGTGTTGCAGCCAGGCCTACACAGTTCGTGGAACATATGCCAGCCTATGAACAGGTCCAATACAAGTGGCAGACGGGCTATCAAGTGTACGTCATAGCAAGGGAATACATGCGTCGCTTGAATGTCCTTCACACTTTTCGTCATATCGGTGCTGGTTTAGAAGATATCAATGTCTGGATAAAGGTAATGTGGGGCGACTATTTTGGACTTATGGGTATAGACGCCGCCCGAGAGTCGATGATGGCCGGGTGTGCCGTGCGGGCTATTCAGAAATCGAAATTCCGGGCCAGACTGGCGATCGAACTCCCTGGCGATCTGACCTATACAGACCCAAGAGACCTTGACCCCACAAAATCCGAAGATGCCTTCGCCCCAGGAGCTAACACGCGTGAACAGGAAGACGAGGAGGAATTCCAGACGAGTTGGCTGTGGTCTCCCAGGCCATGGTTGCTGGGGAGAGGACTTTGAAATCCTCATATCCCTAGGTAGCCAACATGACCGTCCTGTCGGGTATCATAGGACCAGGTACGTGTTGATTGTAGGTACATTGCAAAATTTGTATTCCATTTAGTAGGTTTCAGTACTCGATACGGACTCTTTCGAAAAGTTCCCTGTTCCGTTGCCAAATCGTCTGTGACCGAGTAATGCTGATGTTGATTAGCTGTGTCAAATACCTGTACGCATTGAAAAAGCCTCAATCACGTGCGAACATTTGAAATAAGGCAGAAAATTGAGCGCACGGCAATCCATATAAGAAACTATTAAAAGCTATTGTCATGACGAGAAACGCGCCAACGTGAAACTCGAACCTGTGACAATGGTAACAAGGAACACGCGTACACAGTGTTGCAATGGTGTGAAGAACTGCCGATCTTGGCGTCGCTTAGCTCATGAATGTTCCCGTTCCCCGCATTAGACAGTTCGCCTTGGCGCCCTGTAACCATCATAACGTTGAATGTCGCGAGGTATGTTTAATAAAGAGCAACTGAAGTCTGGATAGATATCAGTTGACCCGGGATGAATCTTATTGATTGATCGCAATGAATGTCGAGTTTCACATAATACAGTAAAATGTATGACACGCCGAAACCACAGGCTCGAGACATGCAGCTTGTCGCGTTGCATTCGCTGTATGTATTGCATGTGTGATCTGCACGCGAACTGCACGTGAAGGCACATCTACACAGTAACCTTAGTCTGCTCGGTACCTCCCGTGGTAAAAGCAAAGCATGGAGCACAACTTCGTCATGGCCAAAGTTGAACTCATTTTCTCAACTTTTACTCCGCAAGCCAACAACCATATGTAATACTTGGGATAATGAGCATGTCACGCCTACTTGTCAGCTATCGGGTTTTGCAGGTCTTTGACGTCTCTATCGCCCGGCCCAATCTTATTTTACCTACCCTTGCTGAAGAATGGCTAATGCACTAAGCTTTCTTTGAGACCCGTACTCCCATAATCAACAGCTCAAGGATCCTTGCTGACCTACGCCGTAATGACCCAATCAACCTATCAAGTCTGTTGTGCACGCTGAACAGCTTCCAAAATAGGTAGGTCGCTGGTATCTTTTACTGCTATCCGCACGCTAATGAATCATGGGGGAAACTACAATTTGGCTGGAAAAAGAATCTGTTGCGCTGCACTCCGCAATCTATGCCGCTCCGAGACCCTGCGAGGATCGGATCTGGATTCCTTGCTATTCGTCAATTGACTCTGTTTGTCTGAGATAGTGGGAAGTTCGTATCGCAATTAATGTGACGGTGGCTAGCAGATTGGGCATACATCCCCGGGCTGCTATGGTTGAATCCCTGTTACTCCGTCTGCCTGGATGCTTATCAATTGGTCCTGGAACGATTTCCACGTTGCATCGGCGTCGTATATCATGCTGCCCAGCCATGCCTTGCATCTAGTATCTCTTACCGCATGCTCTTGCTAAGCTAATGTACCCACTGCTTGACGTTACTCACATTGCCCACTTCTCCGAATACCTTCCTCCGCCTCAGCTTCTCTCCCATCACGTGGACATAGGTCGGCAAAGATGCGTTGGTCGACTATCACATCTGGGTTGCTCTCAATTGCGGCAGTAGCAGGAGCGCGGGACTTTCAACATGTTGGCAGACAAGCCCCTCGCACAGCTCCGGCTGGCGACAATTTCATGTCACACTATCTCGCGACCCGGCAGACAACCGAGCCAAAGTTCTTGAATGATAACACGACGAGTATGGGCCTCCGCTTGCCGTAAATGTAGCACTACTGACCAGGTTTGCAGGTTTCGCAGTCAACGGCACTGGAATTCCAGACGTCGACTTCGACGTTGGAGAATCCTATGCCGGCCTTCTCTCGATCACTGATGATCTGTCAGCAGCTGAAAAGCTGTACTTTTGGTTCTTCCCATCAACAAACAAAGCCGCCGACAAAGAGATCTTACTTTGGCTCAACGGAGGGGTGAGTTCACCGGAGAAGTAGCCATTGAAACAATGTTGACTGTGCTACAGCCTGGTTGCTCGTCGCTAGAGGGCCTCATCCAAGAGAACGGTCCCTTTCTGTGGCAGTATGGCACATACAAGCCGGTCCCCAATCCATGGAGCTGGCATCGACTGACAAACATTGTCTACATTGAGCAGCCAGTTGGCACTGGTTTCTCGCAGGGCAACGTCACGGCAACAAGCGAGGAGGACGTCGCTGAGCAGTTCATGGGCTTCTGGAAGAACTTCATTGAGCTATTCTCGATGCAAGGATACAAGGTCTACATCGCCGGCGAATCTTATGCAGGCAGATACTGCCCGTACATTGGTTCTGCCATGCTGGACGCCAACGACACTACCTATTACGACGTGTCGGGCCTCATGATCTATGACCCGACACTCATGGATGATATCGTGCAGACCAGTCACACTGTCGTTCCTTTTGTCGACTATCATACCAACTTGATGCCGTTCAACAACTCATACAACGACTACCTTCATGAGCAGCACGAGTCTTGCGGTTTCGCAAACTTCTCGGCTACTTATCTGCAATACCCGCCCCCTGGCCCCCAGCCAAGCACAGACGGACTTTCAGATGAGTGTGCGAATCTCTGGGGTTCTGTATACACCGAAATGTTCTCAATTAATCCTTGTTTTGATGTGTACCAAGTCGCCACGACCTGCCCTTTGCTATGGGACGTACTTGGCTTTCCCGGGTCTCTCTTTTATATCCCAGAGGGCTCGTTGGTCTATTTCAATCGCACCGACGTTCAGAAAGCCATCAACGCACCCCTTGGTGCATGGGACGAGTGCGCATCTGGAGATGTGTTTGTGGATGGCGACAGCTCTGTGCCATCTGGTTACGCAGCTCTGCCCAACGTCATCGACAAGACGCAGAACGTCATCATCGGCCACGGTATCCTTGATATGATCTTGCTCGCCAACGGCACGCTTCTATCCATCCAGAACATGACGTTCGGTGGTAAGCTCGGCTTCGAGAACGCGCCTACCGAGCCGTTCTACGTGCCGTACCATGCCCTGAGCACCGCCGACACCATCGGATCTGAGGAAGACCAAACGGCCCTGGCGACTTTGGCTGCTGCCGGTGTCCTGGGCAAGGCGCATACGGAACGTGGTTTGACGTACGTATCTATCGACATCTCGGGTCACATGGTGCCCCAATACGCACCCAGCGCCGCTTACCGGCAACTGGAGTTCCTGCTCGGACGTGTCAGCAGTCTCAGCGACACCACACCCTTCGAGACGGACGCCGATGCGCCGCAGTCTGCGGGCCCCCTGGGCAACGGTACGGGCCCGTCGACGGTCTATGACATCACGGAAACAAGCGATGCGTCCTCTGCATCGAACTCTACTGTCGCAACCCCATCCGGCGCTGGGGCTGCGGAAGCTAGCCTTTTGAACATCGCCATGACATTCATTGCCATTGGGTCGATCTTCTTGTTCTAAGTCTAGTCACGGGGAGCCAATCAAGGATATCAGGTAGCTAATAAAAATTCTAATATACAAATCATATTTATAACATGGCCTGAAATCGACCGTGGATTTGTTCATACAAGAACTTATTCATATACAAAGACTTCAATGGCATGGTTCCCATTATCTTCTGTTTCGATTTCGTTCATTACAATTACTATTCCAGATATCCCTTCCGAAACCGTTGATACTCATACATAAGCTCTGGGGAAACCCGCCCCCCCCCCCCCCCCCCCAACTCCGCCTTTATCCTAGTCGAGACCAATCTTACCCTCGACCAGGAATCATAACCACCATCTGAACGCAGTAGCCCAGACGCATGGCGATCCAGAACATCCGCCTCTGGTCGGACACCCCCCCCCCCCGGGCCTCCTCCACCTCCAATCCGACGGGGACTGCGAGCAGCAACCCCCCGGCACGGCCGACACACAGCCCAGTCCGCCAGCGATCCCCAAGCATTCCCAACGCGCAGCCCGCCGCGCGGCCATCAAACCCCGAGCAGCGCCCTCAGCTCATCGTAGTAGAGCCAGTACGCGCCGCCGATCAGGGCGAAGGCGAACAGCCACTGCACCAGCATCATGCGGGCCGTGGTCGACGACGAGTCCGTGGCGTCCTCGTACCAGTCCTTGGTCTTGTCGTCGAAGTCGCCCAGGCTGACCTTCTCCTCGGGGATCTCGCTCCGCAGCGAGGAGGCGCCGGGCTTCGTCTTGGTTGATGTTCGTTGGCTCATTTTGTGGCTGGTGAGAGGTGGTTTGGGTGTGATGGTGAGGTTTGCTGGGTGGAAATAGGAGATACTGTGAGGTGGCTGCGAGGCGGCCCTGAGATTTTGGTCTGCTCTGGTTTTCAGGTCACGGGATTACGTGAGGTGAAGATATATGAGTTTCGGTGTTTGCTGTTCGGTCTCTGCTCCAGTAGCGAGTTTGCTTGTGTAAGTCGCCGTGGTCTGTGGTCAGTGGGGACTTGACAGTTCTCAAGATGTGTGAATGCAAAGTCACAACAAGGAGAAATGTAAATTTATAAAAAGAGGTTCACCTATCTTTGAATTTTTGTATTCTGCCGAACTCAGCAACGAGCGACCTTCTTTATCCAGTCGGTGATTGGCCTTTCCGCGATAATGGGATGATCTGGGCGTCTGACTGAGCAGACATCGCATGATGCGCCCCACAGCATTTAATTCGTCTCTAGTCTGAATTTCATCCCTTGGCCCAGCAGTTGGCTCGAGTTGAGTAAGGGACCATGCTAAGGAAAACAGTCAACTCCCCCTTTCTTGGTTTGCTTTTTGTTTGTTATCTCTTCTCTTCCTTTGTCGGTGGTTTAGTTGCTCATAAACACCATCTACATTATTTGTTACTTACAAATCACTGATAGGTCCCTCAGCAGGCTAGGTCCCAACGGTCGTTGCAATACATACATAACTCTCTTGCCACGTATGTATCTTGATTGCGGTGTGTTTTTTTTGCATGGGCCGGTCTTGTTTTGTTTTACTATGCACTTGCGCCAATCCAATGGTCTAACCTTTGCCTACAAGTGAGTCAGATGTCGGCTTAAACTCAAATATAGAGCTGTACACCATGTATACTTTTACAGAGCGAGTTATTGCGCTGTGTACCCGGCTGGCTTGGGTGTAAGCCATGCGACTAACGTCTGGTCGGCCGTAGATTTTGAGCTGCCTGCAAAAGCGCACATAAATAGCCATGTTTTCCAGGCATTTGTCTAATTCTGGTTAGGCTTTGACTCGCTCTATATTTACATAGTAACCTTAGTCTAGTGTGCTGTGTAGCTTCGATATATACAATGATTCATCACGGTACAGTATTATACAAAGCTCTCCGACGCGGTATGAGTTTCGGTCTGTTCACGCCGTTGCATGACAACTACCAATGGCATGGCCTGTTTTGCCTGGCCAAAAAAGTCGCTCGCTACTTCTTTCCCGGCCTCCCATTCGCAGCGTGTTCGGCATCCTGTGCTTTCAGCTCTTCCTCGACGATGAGTGCCCGGATATCTCTCGCAACCAGGTATTCTTGCGCGCCGTCCATGATCTTCTGCAGCATCTCACCACCGCCAAGTACGTCTGGCAGGTTATGCACGTCAATGCCGGCCCTGTGCTCGGTGCAGCGGTCCTGCTGGTAGTTGTAGGTCCTGATTTTGTCACCCCTGGTGATCTTCTCCTTGCTGAGCACACTATTCCTCAGCGTCGATGCCCTCTCTTCGCGCTCTTCCCTCCTCTGCATGGCGACCCGGGACCTCAGCAGCTGCCAGGCCTTGTCGCGATTTTGGTGCTGCGACCGCGAATCCTGCATCGATACGACGGTACCGGTAGGTATATGAGTCAGGCGAATGGCGGACTCGGTCTTGTTGACGTGCTGTCCTCCGGCACCACTCGCCCTCATCTTCTCGGCCCGGACCTCCTTGGGGTCGATGTAAAAGTCGGAGCTGGGATCATTGAAATCGGCCTCGGCCTCGTTGCCGGCCTCGGGGAAACTGGGCAGTACCCAGACGGCGACGGCGCTCGTATGCGTCCGCCCCTTGGTCTCGGTGACCGGTACCCGCTGCACGCGGTGCATGCCCGCCTCTCCGCGGAAGGTGTTGTAGGAGCCGGGGTTGAGGATCTCGAGGACGGCTTCGCTGAGGGGCGTTTCGGACCCGGCTCCTCCCAGGGACTCGGCGCCGTCTGCGGTGTCGTACTTGACGACGTTGGCTCGCAGCCCGACGCGTGCGCAGTAGTTCTTGTACATCTTGAACAAGGCGTCGGCGAAGTAGCGGCCCTCTTGTCCTCCCGGGCCGGGTCGTATCTCAAGCAGGCATGGCAAGTCGGCAAAGGGGTCGCGCGGCGTCAGGGAAGCCGACAAGGCGGTCGTCAGGCTGGCCAGTGATTCGTGCGTCGAGTCCAGCTCATCCTGCGCCAGTTCTCGCAGCTCCTTGTCCGAGTCGGGGGACGACAGGAGCGTGGTGAGCTCGTTGAGAGACGACCGTGCGGCTTCCCATTCCGAGAGGGCGGTGGCTACTCGGCTCAGGTCGCCTAGCCTCTTGGCTGCTTTCGGGTCGAAGTCGTGCGCCAGAACGCCTTGTAGGTCTCTGTGCTCTGCGGCGATGTTGCGGGCGCGTTGGAGGAGCGCGGGCGGGAGGGTCGTCGCAGCATCAGTGGTGGCAAATCTCAAGAATTGGCGCTGCAGTGGACTGTTCAAGGGTCCTGTCCTTGCAATTGCAGGCCTTGCCAGAGCGAAAGCGCATCGCTGACATACCCATTGTGCTGTGCGCATGGTCGGAGTACGGTGGTGCTTTGCATCTTGTGCTGGAGAGCTCCAGCTGCTCATGCGTCCCCAGAGAGAGAAGGGACAAAAAAAATCTAACTCGGGTTGGGGAATGACGCGCAGCGAACAGGGGGTAGCTTAGTGAGCTGACCTAGAAGGCCTCCCTCAGCAGACGCTAAAGCCACAATTTAGTGGTGTGTCAATCGTCCCAGAGCCCCCCCGAGAGCCCCCCAGTTTAAGTTTACAGTCAGTGCAGCGAATCTCCATATCCGTCGCGGTGGTCCGGTCTTGATCGCATATAATACTGTTGACCTTAGTTTAATAACCTAGTGAAAGAAAGCAGGTTAGTGCAGTGTTCATATATCTAATTCGCACTTTACTTTACCCTAGCTGTCTCGCCTTGTTCTGTCGAGGTTGGGTGTTCGTTCACCATGTCCTGCAGCCTCAATGGCCAAGGTATGCGCGGTTCCAGGCTGTCGCATACGTACTCGCCGCGTGCAGCAGAACATGACTCGGCATATCGAGGCGAGGGTTTCTTGCCTGACACTTTCCCCCTGCTCCCAGTACGCCAAAATGCATTTCCGTGTTTTACATAGATATATAGACAACATTTGACATCATGGCGGATGGAACCGACGTTAGACGACACCAGGCCAGACCCAGCCTCAGTGAAACAATATCAACCACTCTGTCTACTCCATCTCTCCTCATCGACCATGGCAGCGGTGCCACAGATGGTGACGATGGGGACGATACCGACTTGAGCTCCGTCGATGACACGAGCTTCGTGTCGTCCACGAGATCACTCAACTCCAGTGAATACCAGACCATCGAGGAGCACGGGAGGACATACCACCGCTTCCATGCCAGCAAGATGTACGACTTCCCCAACGACGCAGAGGAGCAGGAGCGCATGGACCTGCAGCACGAGCTATACCTGCACTCGGCCCACCAGAGACTCTACCTGGCGCCCATCCCGGAGGACCCGCCCCGCGTCCTGGACGTGTGCACGGGGACGGGCATCTGGGCGGTGCAGTTCGCGCAGCAGAACCCGCACTCGCACGTGATCGGCACCGACCTCAGCCCCATCCAGCCGCGCTGGGTGCCGCCCAACTGCTCCTTCGAGATCGACGACGCCGAGGACGAGTGGACCTTTGACCGGCCCTTTGACTTCGTCCACGCCCGCGGCATCTGGCCCGTCTTCGCCGACCCCACCGCCTTCATCCGCCAGGCCTACGCGAACCTGAAGCCGGGCGGCTGGCTCGAGATCCAGGATTTTGTGTTTCCTATTCGCTTCTTCGACGAAGACGCCCTCTCAGGCAGTGCCCTGCAGCGCTGGGGCCGCCTGATGCTGGAGGCGTCGCGGGCTGCGGGGCGTCCTTATACGAACAGCCAGCACCACAAGCAGTGGCTTGAGGACGCCGGCTTTGAGGATGTTCAGGTCTTCACTTCGTACTGGCTGAGTAGTCCGTGGGCCAAGGGCGCGCACTACAAGCTTACTGCCGAGTTCATGAAGGAGAACGCGAAGCGGGGCTTGGTCGGCATGAGTCTACGGCCTCTGGGCTCTCTCGGCTTGGCCGTCGACGAGATCCAGGATCTTGCCATGGCCGCGATCGCCGAGTTTGGAGACGTGAGGATTAAGGGGTACGCCCCTGTCACTTTCACATTTGGGAGGAGGCCGGACAACTAGCAAACATAAAAGGACTGCGAAACTCATAGTTAATTATTAATAGACTGCCCCGCAAATGGAAAGTCAGATAACCTCGAAAGCTGGCTTGCTTGTCACGCGCTTTGAGTATACTTCACTGATAACCTATTTACATCTCGTGGGAACTAGCCCTTGTTGACCGTCGAAAGGCGCAAGTCCAGTGACCTCCACCTCGCACGTTCACGTGTGGTGGTTTGTTGTTTGCGTTGGCTCAGCAGAGTTGCTAGCAAGCACCGTGCCGTTGAACATCGCGCTGTAACGCAGCCTGATACGTTCTCCTGGTAAAAGAGAACTGATTAGGCGGCAGTAAGGACTAGGGCTCGTCAACATGGTCTTGACAACAATCCCGGGAGGCGGATCTGACGTCAGCCGTTTAAGCGTCCCCAGGACCATGAACGCTTGCCCAAGCATTCCCGCCACGTCTATGGCCGAGATCCCATCGATTATACATAAGATCTCGGTTCCTGCAGGTACGTGCGTCACCAGGGCCTGGTACACCTCACAAAGCGGGGCCAAATCATGCCTCGAGAGTGTTCCTACCATGCTCTGGTCGTTCAGAAGTGTCAGGTCGATGCTGCCCCCAGTCTTTGCCTGCAGTACGGACAATAGTCTTGTGATCAGCCACCGAATCAGACCCTTTGGTCCTCTCATGGGATCCGTGGTCATTTGGTGCTGACCGCAGGGGAAAAAGATCACAATGCTATTGGGTCGTGTATTGTAGTGGTTTGCTATGATCTTGGCAGAGATGGCTGAAAATGGCGATAGCCCAGACGATGTAATGTCACTGGGTGTGTCAGGCTCGATAAATATCATGCTCGACAATTCACCCGAATACCAATCCCAGAACCGCTGTGTTTCGAATATCAGCTCTTCCATTGTTTTAACTGATGTTCTCAGCTGTGATACTTCATTCAGCGTTTCATTGAAATAATTGCTCATTTCCATAATATCCACATCTAGAATGGCGAGAAGTTGTTCATTGGATATGGGCGTGTTCGCAAGAATTTGTCGCGGTTGTGTGCCGGTTCTTTCCCGTTCCAGCTGATTGTCCTGGACTTGTTGGCCCATTTGTTGAGGTTGTTGACCAATGACATCCTGAGTGCCATTCAACTGCCCATTATAGGAGCTTGGCCACATGGGGGATTGGCTCACTCGATGGTATGGTACGCCATGGACATTCATATCACTGACTAAACGCCCACTGTAGCGGCGCCCCGGCGCAATGAAGTACGGTGTTGGAATTGGTGGATTAAGGACATTCTGCGCACCACTTTGGTACGAGCTGGTAGTTCCTTCAGGTTGGATTTCTTGGGCCCCTTGCTGGTCGGACAGTCGTTGGTGCGACATGTCGGGGGAACTGGTTGTGAAATAGAGTACCTCAAAATTATGTTACTGCTGCTTTATATGTGTTCAAGCTTGGGCATTCGGACGCTTTGGCATGTCAAGGCGTGGTATGTGGTGCGTCTCAGTAATGTCCCTGAATTTATACATTCTTAAACCGAGATTATTCACAGCAAAGTCGTAAGGAAGTCTTTAACTTGGTTATACCCCATCAGAAATCCCCCGTTCAATCACTACTCGACTTTTACATTCTAGACCTAGAGATGCGCGTCACTAATACACTTCTTTTTGAGTTCTGTCGAGCCGCGATGATGATAGTTTTGTCGACCATGTTAATCAAGTTCTGGGCAAGGGGACAAGCCCCGTCTACCATACCGGTATTGCACCAAGATCACTTCACTACAGTGCAGGCAGCGACACAGAAGTGTGACAAGTACATGATCGGAACACAACGTATCACTTATTCTAATCAAGCAAATTCCAATGAGCGGCCAGACCGCACAAAGTAGCTCCCAAGCATAGCTTCACGTCACAATCTACAATCTTTCCCTCGCGCCGTCACACTAGGATCTTCCGCCCTAACATGCGCTTCATCCACGATTCCGTTGAGTACTCCGGGCTTTCTTCGGGGATGTAACCATACTACAAGCCAATTTAACATGACTCGGCAGAGGGGGTTTCTCGGTCAACAAGGAATGAGTTTTGCTCACAACGCTTTCATTCAGAGGGTCCAACATATCCATACGAAGCAGCAGCAGCAGCGATAGTAGCCTATTATGCCACCCAATTTGTTCACTGTCCTCGCTATGACTTCACAGTATGGCGATGAACGCGCAGTAACTCGTGGGCAATCTACACGTTTCTCCATTAAAAACACCCACGGAGGGTTTGTCAGTCAGGCGCAGTCCGAATCACGTTACATACTGATTTACCCCAATGTGCTGTACTATCTATCGTTGTACTAATGCCGCTGTGGTGCGATCTGCCAGCATTGTACAACGCCTTTGTTTCATTCATTTTGAATGGACGCGCTGCTGTGTAACGCCGGAATCCATCCTTTAGCTGGGCAAAACATAGGGCACGGGCAAAACCCGTTGGTAGCCATGAATGTTCCATTCAATCATTGTTCTGGACTATTCACATGCTATCAAGATATTGCATCTTTGCCTCTGGCGATAATGTTGGACCCTGTTGAACGATACGAAAATGGGTCTCATCGGAGATGGATTTATGTGTCCTTGGCGATTCTCTGGCCTATCAATATACTCAAGTAGTTTATAACACAATCAAGCTATGCTCTTTCCTTGCGTCATTTTGATTTTAGCACGTTAAGTACTCTAGTTCAACCCGCCTCCATCGTCTACAAAATATTCATCCAAAGGCCGGCGTGTTACACACCAAGAACTAAGAATTGTTAGCCTGCATTGACAAGCTGAATTGTGTCTTCTTCCAGCTCTGAAATTTGTTCTCTCAGACAGTCTTTGTCATTCTCCGACTCAATGAGTAGGCCCTCGAGTCTCTCGATTCGATCGTTCGCCATTGACACTTCATGGCGGAGCCCTACGATGATTCTGTGCGCAGCGAATCAACCTTCCACGTCCTTCTCTGTAATGATGATATACACTCTGTCTGTCGGTAGTTTTACTATCGTAACATAAGTCTCGTCATACAAATTAATGAGATACCTAGTTAGTATTGAAGAACATGCATCTGATGTCAGCAGCCGTGTAGTTGGACATATTGAGCGATACAAATCAATTCCTACACAAGTTGTGGTTCGGTATGGCTACAATCCTGACAAGAGATTTGTATTAGAAATATTGATGCTGGTGATTATATTGGTCGATGATGCTATTTCAATTCAGAAGCGGCCGTTATGTAATTAACAAAATGGCTGTCCTCTTCCGCCCTATGTTCATTTTGCGCACGTTGTAATAACGCACCATGTGATATATGTGTGCCTTACTAAGTTTCGAAACAAAGCCTCATGATACCTAGATAGCTCATAAAGATAAATCCATCATAATAATCATCTCAAAGATTATATTTCAAGTTATAGAACACTTTACTGACCCAGCAGTTCTAACCACTACACATCATAGCCCACAAGCATACCTAGTGTCCCAAGTGATCCTGGAATTTTCTAAGGTGTACTCGAATCATGTAGCCTTCTTTCAGTACATAACCTGCATATTTTGGTGGAGTATAATATATTTAACGGTTTAGATCGACCTACGTAGCTAGGTTTCATCCTATCTACTTTCTTTGACTCAAACACTCTTTGGGTCTATATGACGAGGCTATCATGGTCTCTAGTAAAGTTTATTGAGAGTCAAGTATCAAACATGCGATATATTGTTTTGCAAAGCTTTTGGTTAACTAAACAGTGTTATCGAATTTAAAAAGAAATATCATAAGTCCACGAATATATTCATTTTGGATTTCAAGTATTATTTAGCCAACTTAAAATAACAAGGTATAGCGAGATTATAAGTTAATAGAGCTAAGAACTTGCTACTATTAAACTTATGTATAGGTCGTCTAAGTGTATTACAAGCTTATGCGAAATCAATTATTGAGATATTATCGACCTAGGGTCTTCATTAGACGTGATGCTCCAGCGGGAAAATCATCGTGTGTACATGTAGAGTCCGATACGTACCACTGGCGAGTTAGTAGACCGGACTTTTAAGTACATTATAGAAACTCGTATAAGAAATAATCACAACTGGACTTCGCTGATCATAATTTGGTATCTTGATCACTGCGTTCCGGGCCAAGTAGTGGATTGCAATGATCACTCCAAATTAATTAGTCTATCATCAGTACTCCTAAGTCTCAATATAGCCCGCATTTCACAAAGTCCCTAGAGCCAATTCATTGCCAAGGGCTAAGCAATGCTTTTAAGGTTCGAAGAGGGCATGCTAGGATTCGGATGTCGATAGCGGGAGCGAGACCGAAACCGACTACTTGATGTTGCTGCTCCACAATAAGCAAAGGTACGGTGGGCTAGCTTGAAGGCTTCTTGCTGCGGATGGTCACGAAATTATAAAAAGGGTGAAATAGTACCGTAAAGATCTCCAACTACTCCGTAAAACCAGCCCTAAATGAATGCAACGCTATGGCGAGATCCGGATGGACAGAACTCGCAGGCGTCGAGTCCGTGCGACTGTCTAATTTCCCACTCCGTACCCAACTTGTCATCTTCTCGAAAACTTTGGTTTGTTAGCTATCGCAGATTTATCTCTCGACTTTCAGTCTTGGATAATGAGTACCATTTCCACCAAATTCAACAACATCTCGCCGCGTGATATTTATTTACAGCAGATGTATCAACCGAATCGAGGACCTGCCAGGAACATCGAAACTATCCGCCATTGCTGCCAGTACCTGATGTCCGGACAAGCCTTTCCCTAGGTTGATCTTGTGAACGCAATGTTCTGCCATCGGACCAGGAAAAATGACATCTGGGTCGAATTGGCATGGGACGACATTGTACGTTCAATGATTAAATGACGCAAAAACAGAACTGACCCCCTCAACAGCAACTTGAAGACTTGAAATGTAGATCATGGACGTCACGTCTAACATATATCTGCATCTTTATATCGACGCTTTTCTCGATCGTGGGTTCAATCACCGACGTATTCGCCACCTTCAATTTCGTCATATTCAACAAAATCCCATCCTCGACGTACTTGACGACATATATATCCTATGGTGGTCTGAAAGCTATCTACACGATCCTCCAGGTGGCATTACTGGCAAACGTGGGATACGAAGGTTGGCGGACTTGGAGATTGGTAAAACGTGGGCGCATTGCCGAGTGCTACCTGGACGAACCGACTGCGAGGTTGACAAGTTTGAGGTTTGGCAAAGGCCAAGGCTGGACTCGATTTCTGTTATTTGTAGAGCTTTCGGGCTCAAAGAGAGGATTTGACTATATTGCCCTCTTCACTTACTTCTGTTTCCAGTGTAAGTTTATCTCACCTGAATCCACTCGCCTGGGGGGGACGATCGACTGATAACGAGCAGCGGCGGTGTCCCTTATTCTGTTCTCCAGCCCGAGGCAGCTTATCAACGCCAGCACGCTTTACGAGTTCTATATGTCACAGTCCACTACCGAGACAATTGTACCCGACGAAAGTCCCATATTCAATTTCAACAGAATGATAGCGGTGCTTGCCAAGCATGATGTCTTGCAAGCGGCAAACTATTGCGCAATGCTGTACACTTTGGCGCTGTGGGTTATCTCTATTATCTCGTTAATGGTTGCCAGCATGTTGTTCCTCTGCATTGTGTGGTGCTATATCCCACGTGAGGATCAAGGTCTAAGCCAGTACTGTAGACGGAAAGTCAACCAAAGGCTGCATGAGATCGTCGGCAGTAGGTCTATGCTTGTCGAACTTGAGGAAAAGCTAGAGTGACCTTTACCGGTCGCCCAAGTTCGCCTAAATTCGTAAGAGAGATGCCCCCACCAACGTTTATATCGGGCATATAGTTGGTTGTTGTTTGATGGTCACAAATTGGTGAAGGCAATGCACGCCACCGCAGACGTATCCTCAGTTAAGCTACGGGAAGTGACATATAGCTAACGTGTCTTCTCGTTGTTTACCTAATATATCCTGGACCTTCCCGCTCAATCACACCATTAAGTCCCAATCAAGAATAGCTTATCACTTCTATCATGTTGGATACCCCAATTTGGTCATGAAATTTCTTTTTCATTACTGCTAGCAACATTTCTGACTCTCTTGGACTTTCTACCTAGAAGCACTACATTACAAATTCTTCCATGGTCCACTAGCTAGTCTAGAAGAGTCGACCAGATCACGACACTTCCCTTGCCCCCCAAAACAATATGGGCTCCAGAGGCGGGATTTCCAATGAGAAAATGTCGTGTTGGCCTAGAATAACAAGTTCGGGACATTAGCCGAGGACGTTGTCGTGTCGTATGTGCGCACAATGCGCACTTGCACTGCTACGTGTCATATCCCCATCAAAGCTACTTGCTCGCCGACACGTGGGTATTCTCCTATGCGATCAGTGAGCCATTGATTTATCTTGAAGTTGTATTGCTTATTTCGGTAGATAATGGAACGAACACGAAATCATTATTTGTCAGTTCTTTTCTGGAAGTCTGGCATTCCGACATGAAATCGTTTGAGATCCCAGACAATTTGAAGTCTCTTCAAAATCCTAGTATGTCCTCTATTTAACGGCCAACCCAAGCCAACCTAGAAAGCCTTTGTAGTACTTGTATCACAGTATTCTAGGAATGCAGACATTGTCAACAGTGATGCCCCCATGAAGGAGGGAATATCTAAGCACCTGAGGGCATAGAAGTAGGTAGTCATAAAGCCCCATCCATGGCTACATTTATACACTTAAATTTCGATTGTGACTGTCTCTAGATTGCGTCTGGTCTGCTTTTATGGTCATCGACTTCTTTGCTATGTGTCAGGAGTTCCAAAGAAGCCTGAGCTAATTAACGCAGAGATAACGCATGAGGAGGTTGAAGTAGTAGTATCACTGCAATTAAACCAGTCAGGCTTACATTGATAATTATATACGTAGTGACCTTTAAGTCATATTGGCGAAGCCAGCATCACCATGAAGATTGAGAAAGCTTTGGGTTGTCCACTCCCCTTTGCTTTGTATTCCATCAGTAGCCATTAAGAAGCATTTGGTTTATTAGGTTCTGTTTGTCGCCGTATGCTGATAGGCTCAGTCTTCAGTTAGAGCTAGACTAAAGGAAACGTCACGTATTCCATCGACCTATACCAACCTCTGGAAATTTGTAAGATTAAGAGTAGAGGCACTAGGTAACTGTTAACTGTAGACCACTGGAAATCGAAGACGCCTAACATTGCGTCCTGTTATGATAATCTACGCATGTACTTCCTCATGAGACACTCCAGCTTCTTTGCTGTTCCAGAGGTCCTGGTGTTTGTTTTTAAGTGTATACAGAAAACACTTACTATCTATGTAAAGCTGAGGCTCTTGTGAACCCTCACCGGCAACTCGATACCTTCAGCAAATTGGTGAGAGTCAACGATCCGATGAGCGCATCACCAATTTGAATTAGTCCGGTAGTTTACAGGAATTACAAGAATTCAACCAACATATTATGCACATCTATACAACATTGAATGGAACCACATGTGGTACTATGGCCTACGTTACTGTGATGAACGGCCATCTGCCGACCCAAGTACCAGCGTTCCCTGTCTGCACAACTACGCTGTTTTCTTTTCCCATAGATTCATGTCAGACAGATAAGATACATAAAATAAAGACCCAAATAGTAAACTATCTTGCACATCCTTTCGTTGAACAGACGGTATTCTCGTGGATATAATGAATCTGACCTGCCTCCACGCGGAGCAAATTATTGGTTTGCGTTCCGGGATCCTTCGGAATGGCATTGTCTAGGAATGGAAAGTTATGGAAGATATCCACAGCACCAAGCTCCTCATCGATGGTGTATCGACGGTTCGTAACATTGAACGGTGGCGGGAAGTTGAGTTTGCAGCTGCTACTGATGTACGAGCCACCCTCGAGCCTCGCGCATTGCGTACTGAACGGGGGCTCAACGTTCGAATCTCCCCATGCATCAATGTAGGCGTCGCCAGCGGCCTTAATGACTTCTCGCGTATTCCGTTTACCCTCAGGAATAACGTCCCAGATCTCGCGCTTGTTGTAAGTCAACGAACCGCTCGCATTGAAGAGCCAGTCGCCGTCATCACAAACGACTGATTCGATCTTGGTAACCTTGTCTTCAGTAAAGGCCAGGCGTGTACCGATGACGTATGCATGCTTTGCGGTTGCCACTACCTCCGTGTAGGAAGCGCATTGGGTCGTGTCGAAGATACTGCGGTTGAAGGCAATAGTGATTCCTTGGGATAGGACACCTTTTGAAATATCCATCAACACGTCGTTCTCTTGGTAGGGGACGCTGCTTTCTGCTAAAGCGGGAAAAGTTGGCTTCCCGGCAGTCAGCGCTGCAAGGTATCCCGAAGTGGCCTCCTGAAGCATTGCTCGCGTGCAGGCTGCAGAAACGTGCAGGGCGCAGCCCATACACCCAAGTAAAAGCAGGTAAAACATGGCTCTTACTTTGGATCTCTCGGGTTGCTAATCACAAGAAGACACAGTTGTCACTTTACATGGCTTCTTTCTTTTGTTTTTATTTCTCTGGTAAGACGACTCACCCGGGACTACTGAATGCCGACCTCGTCTTGCCTGAAGTCTCCGGCTTGAAATGTGCTGTCGGTTACGGAGTTACGATTCTAACTGGCAGAAGTTTAGCCGGCATATTATACAATATGCGGCAGATGCACCGCGAATCATGGATCAAATGCTGGTATCATCTATCTTCTCCCGCTATCTCAAGCACAGCGATAATGTGCAAAGCAAGCATTTAGTGGAATTAGATTTTCTCAAAAGATGCAAACGCCATGCGTATCGGCAGAAAGTGTAAGCGCGAAACACCCAGCTTCATTTGTCTGTTACTACGTATGGGTGCTTAATTTCCTTTCCTACATATTCTGCATCCGTGTACCTATTTTTTCTCCTCCTAGAACTCCGTTTGGCGTCGACCGACTTAGTATCGTTAGACGGTATGAAGGGCTCTCGCGTGGAGTCTGTTTTAAATCCTCCACTACGATTGAGGAGACAACAGAAATCTTGGACCCGTTCATACTATCATTGGGTACCACGTTGCGTTTGTCATTTGCAGTTAGTGAACTCGATGCTGGCATGACCATGTGGCATTGTCTTTGTTCCTCAATAAGTCGAGCCAAAGTTCCCGCTCTTTCATTGAAATTCACGTTAGTTTCTCCCTCACCATTCGGATTGTTTTCATCGTCCGTGCTTGTTTCACACAGCATATAGCTTTTGTACAGCCTGTCTATGAGATGGATTTGCGGCCATGGGTCTGCACCCGCCTGCAAAACCTGGCTTGCTACTTCGAGGACCTCTTCTTTGTCTATTTCATGTTTCTCTTACATTAAAATCCAAATAAGTACACCATGGTGTGTCAGTTTTATCGATTTCAAAAGGCTCATTACGGTCGCAACCAAGGCTCAGAAGATGGCTGAGAATGTCCACAGACAGCAATTGATCGCAGTCCATATCAGTGCAACTCTGCACTGAACTCCAAGCCTTTAACAGTATAATATAAAATTGGAGTACAATAACATGGTTTTCGATTGTGTTTCACTAATATGAGAAGGTCTGGGTGTTTCCTCATAAGCAGCGTCTGCCTCAATAGCAAGCGTTAAAGCTATTAAACTTCGATAGCATGGATGTCAATCGTGTAATCTGTTTGCCCGTAGCCCGTTTAGAAGACGAAGCGGCGATACATTCAACCGGACTATTATATCTAACAAAGGCTTGTGATCAAAAATAGACCACGATCGTTGGCGTGATGTTTTTCGGATGTTATTGCCCATGCTAGACCATCCTCGAGCCACAATCTGGCTTGTACCCCATGTGGACGGTGAAGATGAAGTGCATACCAGGTGATATGAAAATCATAAAACGATAATGCAACCGTTGCATACGTTTGGATAACTCAACCCTGCGAGCACCCATGCATGCTCATTGGCAAGGAACTCGAAGACGGTACAATGTAGAAAGAAATCTCACCATCAACGTATTTATCATGAACGTTATCGTCGTCTCTGTCATCGTTTCATTAGCCTCTGCATGAATGAGTTCTTGACAATTACGTCTTGCACATATGTGGTTATTTTGGTGCGTGTAAGGTCTTGTAGTCGTAGTATTGGGCATCCACCAAAGCCTGCAACACAACTTGGAATAGGTCAACTAGAACCGATAACTTGATGTGTGGATTTTGCACAAAGGTGTTGACGAAAGTGGTGACGATCGATTAATCGCCTTCAAACTCATCCAGACCGTCAATAGAGACACAAGCCTTCGTCCTGAACAGACCTTGACGATGGCACTGAAGGCGTTTTCTGTTTCCGCAAGCGATGTTAGAGTTGTGCTTCCTGTATCGAGAATGTTCTCCACATTGAAGAACTTCTGGAACAACCTGTGTTTGTTCTGAAAGAATCTGGTGAATGAGAGCTCTCGCTAGTCCTACTTGTGACTTCTACTCGGTCGTGCTGGTATTGGAGAAGAAGCTAATGCGCAGGTACGAACAGTCACCCGCGCAATCGGTGGGTAATTTATCAGCTAGCCCATGCACGAATATGTATTTCATCAATGTTGATTTACTGCTTCCTGCATTGCCAGACAACCAGAGCCACACTGAGGTCTTTGAGCAAGGTCATCACATCGTAATATACCATGGGGAGAGTTGAGGGCTCACTTAAAATTTGTATTTATGAGGACTTTTGATATGTTCTCTCCTGTCGTCTATCCGGCGGAACCACAATTTTGCCAGTGTTTGCTTTTTGCGGCTGCGTCCAAGGTCGACTCAGCTACCTTGACAGAATTGGCTGTCGCCCCTTTGGAGCTTCCACAAGGGCTTTTAAGCGCGACGGTTTAAGGGATCCCAACCATGTCTTCGTATGGCATTTGGAGTAGGGGGTTAATACCACTGGACGGCGGTAATATAAGGTCAACCTTCCCTATAAAGTGGGAAAGCTCACTTTGAAGAATGCCAAATTTTCCCTTGCCGTGTATTACTCAACGAGCTATTTGACATAAGGATGTAGCCTGTTACCGACTTTGTACCTGAATCTCTAGGTGCTTGAAGTTTGCGTTGAATGATTTCATACGAGAATAATTCAGTGTTTGAGAACGAGTCGCCTAAAGTTGTAGGTCATTTTCAAGGGCTTCAGATAGTCCATATCGCTGACGGATCTTGGAGGCGTCAGCCATAAGCTCATAAATACCGAAAATGATTTGAAATATGAGTTCTTGGTTATTGATGTAGTTTGATCTAGCCTCCTGTCGTAATTCGCGCATATAAGTAACCGGATCTTGTCTGCCCATGTGGAGGAGAAGTGTCTTTTCGATTTAGAGCTTCGTATTAAGCATCTCGTAGTCACGACCCAGCTGCTTTGTAGACCCGATGATGTCAAAATATCAATCGCATCTTTGAAGCCCCCTATGGTGCCTATGATGCCAATTGCTCCCAAGACAAGCCCCGCCGCTTCTGCCATATCGGCGGCTCGTCAAATTGCGCTAGCTTGTCTTCGTGAAAGTAGACCGTAAGTACCTAAAGTAATGCTTGAGCGGATGAGCTGATGATGATTTCTGTGACAGGAATGGAATGCGCATGCGCACAAAGGCAGAGGTCATCGTCATAGATGCTGTAGTGAGGCTGGGACATTCTTCAAGCTGGGTTGTGGTTAGTTCGTGCCTCGCACTGTGAGGATACGATGTGACTGGCAATTGCCATTTCGGTGAAGGCTTCAAGATCAACGGGCCAGGGTTCGACCTCAATATCCATGAAAAAAAAACACAAACAGTACATTCTTCCAGTTACAAGGCATCACAAAATATTAAAACAAGCCTGCGAAGCCTAAGAGCCAATAAGATCTTAGCAGGCTAATCCCAGAGGCCGAGTATCATATAGCAGACAATCCTAGGAAATAATGCTTCGAGTTGAATACGCGATGGATCAAACCTAACCACCACCACTTCTCAATGTCATGATGATTCAACCCTTTTCGTCATTAAAATTATCGATATTATAAGTCTTCTACGCTAAAATTTGTATGATCTACTCCCACGCTACAGACTATCGATTTTGAGTGAAAAAGAAATACACTCCATAAATTGCGAGGACAACACGATAGAGCAAACTCGAACGATACGAACGTGAAGCCAATACTATTATTATCATTAAGAAGATCAACACTTGCCTCTACTCCACATGTTGACATTCTTGACTGTCAGGCCTTTCTGATCACCACTACCCCATGTGGGCAGCCATGCATCCCGTGCATTCCAAAATTGATGCATGGCTTTCTCTGAGGTATCGACCCATGGCTTCTGGCCGTAACCATCACTAGTCAAAAAGGTCAGCTGACGGTTAGAAGAGCGACACTGATTCGAACTTACGCAAAGTAGCCCCCAGTAGTGCCTACTGCCACGTTCAAGATGAGATAAAACGACTGGTCAAACGGAGCATTCAGTGTCTTTGAGCTTGAGCTAGCCCAGGGGTTCGTCTAGTATCCCATCAGTAAGTGTCCTGTGTACAGACGTGAAAATTATAACATACAGGGATGGAGGCATTGACAGTGGTCGACCCAAAGTAGCCTCGGTCATACAAGCTACCCCACGAGGAGCCGAATGGCATGTATAGTGATTGCTAGTTTTTTTTTACCATCAGCAAAGGAACTCAAATCATGCACAGAGCGACGCGACTTACCACAAGGCGATTGTCTACATATGTGTAGATGTAGCTATCACTCCACTCAACACCATAGATGTGGAAATCATCAGAGTAGTCACCGCGCTTCATGTTGCGAGAAGCACTGGTGCGCCAGTATGCGTCCAACGACGTTTCTGGGCCCCAATGAAGTGTTCCGGCGACTTCATTACGGCCACCGTTGTAGTTGCGGTCATTGCCTCTGGACTCCATGATGTCGATCTCACCACTGCGTGGCCAGTCCCCATAGACACTGTCCTCGGGCATCATCCTGCAAAATAGAGTCAGCGCTCGTTAACTCAATGAAAAGATGTGAATATACTCACCAGATCGCAGGCCAGATCCAATCACCTCGAGGAAGCTTGGCAGTGACCTCGACCTTGCCATAGCGAATGCTATGCTTTCCCTTGGTATTGATGCGTGCACTTCTGACCGGGTTGATGATTGTACCTTTGGTCGAGTTGCTTACTCTTGCACAATCACCATCATCAGTGCTTGTGCATACTCCAGACGTAGTGAGGTTGAGTGTATATCCATCCAACAGCTGAGCCTCTGTGATGTCGGTCACCTGGGTTGTGAGCGTAGGCACGAGATGCAAGCCACTGGCATCGGCATAGACATTTTTGGTGTCATCGGTGGTCCAGTCAAAGGAGTGCGCACCGAAGCCGCCGACTTGTTGTTCGTATGACCAGTTTTCGGTGCTCACACCGTTGGAGAAATCGTCAGAGAATACCAAACAATAGTCTGGGTTGTCTACGGAAATCCAGCCTGTGTATACGATATATGCCGCGATACCAAGACCAAGGACCGTCCCGGCTAAGAAAATGATCCTGTCCCATATCTTTCGAGGATCACGGCGCTCAAGCCATGGCTTCTCATACGGCCCCACTAGACGGGCTGACTTGAACTTGCGCTGTTTTCGTGGTCTGCTACCAAGCTCTAAAGACAAACTGTGAGTGGTGAGGGGTGCAGGCAAAGACTGAGATATACATACGAGAGAACCGTGATGTTGAAACGGAATGAACGGATAGTGGTCTTCCAACAGAAGAACGGTTGTCAGGGGTATCAAAGGGATTTTGGAGGAAGTCATGGTGTATCGACCCTCTCACAGAGTGTGATTTTTCCATAGTTGGATGGGGTTCGTAACCCACAAAAATGCTGTGAATAATGACTGATATCAACTCGATATAAGAAAGCGTCTGAAGTATATATTGGAATGGTTGCTGCGATACTGCAGTTATGGTGTTTGAACAATGGAAAGGCGGATTACCACTCGGCAATCATATGAAGAAATTGACTACACGATATATCCTAACTTCTTGCCTCATTGAAGTTCTGATACCAAGATAGCAATCGCGCTGGTCCTCAGCTGAAAAGATGGTCTAGGCACAAGAGTCTGGTCTAGACATCACTCTTGATCTTTGCTTGCCTGTGCCTTGCCGCTAACAACGGGGACGACACTTCTGGTCTTTTGGTGGCTTGTGAATGCATGGCTGAAAAGAGGTAGTAATGTCCAAGAAAGGAATAACAAGCGAAGAGATCTGACTATTGAAAATGGCAGGGCCAAGCCTCGCGATTCATGGTCCAGTGAGGGCGAAAACACATCTCGAGAACGGACCGACCGCGAGGCCGGGATCATATCATGCTAGCATTCCCCTAGCCAGATTTAACAATGGTTTTGTGTGACCCCTGTCACAGATCCGATTCTGGATGTGTTTGTCCCATTAGATAACAGGCTTCACCTTCGGCAAGCCGAGAAGATCCTCGCGCGGATTAGTTCTGGGCTCTCGATGAACTCCACCAAGTCCAGAGTTCTTGTCCACCTACCAACACTTCTCCAGGCCCACAAGCAAACTTGGCCAATACTTTCAATGCAATGTACTTGTACATGATATGGTGGTCAAGGCTTGTCATACAGCCATGGGATAGGTTGCAATGTCTTCATGGTAGGAGAGAAGGTTTGCGTTTCCACTAAAGCTCTGATTACAGCTGACATTACTAGTACATAGAGCGAAGCTGTGCTAGTCGCATCAACTTGACCATACATAGTATAGGGTTTGGCGTGCCCCACCGCCGCTTTGCTTTAGTCGATATGGTGATTGTAGCTAGAGTCATGATCTTCATGGCTTCGTGGGCACAAGTGTAGAGTGCCATGCTGCCAATGTTTATCATTAATGAATTATGCATGAAATAACAAAGTCAGGCTGAGTCAAACTTCAATAGCATGATAACCTAGTGGCCAAATGCCAGGTCATAGATGCATCGGTTAAGAATGTGCGTATCTGCTGGCATTGTGTCATCAGGGCGGATCCGTGCATACATAGTAGAGAGACATTGTTACGCAAGCCACATGCTAGGAGAATTATGCCGTGAGAGCGAACAAGGCATTGTTTTCAACCCAACGTGGAGAGGGCCGAGCTGAAAACTCGCTCAATGTGGCATAAGCAAGAGATAAGACCCTTGCAGGCTGAATGTGACCCCCACCGCCGTGCAGATGATTTATACTATGTACATGCAAGGGCCACAGCGAAACCCACTTTGTTGTTGATCTCATAGGCTAGGCTTCGCGCTCCGTCAATCAGCCAAATGTCCCTAGACTGGGGACTACGAAATAGAGTACTCCGTAGCGCAAGCAGAGTAGCGCCAAGGGATGGCTCGAGATAACCCGCAATGTGTCCAAGCTGGAAAACTCTATCTACTGACAGGTTGATAACAGTACGGGGCCAGGGGAAGATCAAGAGCCGAAACTAGCGCTTGTGGATCGTTGCCCTAGAAGTAACCTAACCTAGTTGGTGGCGCCCCGTGGCTGTCACGAAAGGGCAAAGGTGGCAGCTGGGAGGAAGAGTTAAGCGGGTCTTGGAGAAAATAGTCGAAATTACCCCTGAAAAAAAAAAAAAAAAAACCTAGGCGCTGAGATCAAGACGTTTTTGCTCCTCGCCCTGTGGAAACCTAGCCCTGAAATTTCCCTTATCAAAGCCAAAGTGCAGCGCCCGTGGCTAACCTAGCCTAGTCTTGACTGGTCTAAGGTTAGTGCAGGCTTTACACGAACCTCATTAGAACGCTTCACCTTCTTTTGTGTTTGCCTTTCTTGTCGGGGCACGTAAATGTAAGCCACCCACCTCATAATTTCATTTGTTCTCATTAGCCCTATCAAAACATATTGTGGTGCTATTGTGGTGCTATCCCTGTGATACCAGAGCGCGCGCGATTCTGCAGGTTGCCGAGTAGCGCGATTCGTCCAATACCGCTGAGAAATGGCGCAACCGCAACGTCGCTATGGGAAAATTTAATGAGACGCTCGCAAATTGCCTGTTCATCCGGGTAGACTCGTGAATTCACGCTTAGACTTATTGGCGTGGCTCTTTCGATGATTACTGGTCTTCTGCTGGGCGCGTACGGATTCGTATATGATATAGTTAATTTTCGATACAGTGACCAGTAAGTAAGCACTCCGCTCCGCGCCAGCCACCCCCCGTCTTTCATGCATACTATGTACAGTACTGACAGCAAGTAGAGCTCCACATGGTCCCTGTTGTCATGTTGAGCTCCGACGTGGACCTTGTCCAATCAGAACTTTCTGGGCTCGCATCACAATCGCTTGGGTCGATTACCGAGGCCTCTGGCAGACTAACTGCCGGATTGTTACCAACAACCTACAAATCTGCATTGGTCTTGTTTCGAACTTTTGAGACTTTACCACTTTCGCTCAGGACTTTCTTCAAGCTGAAGCGTAGCTCTTGATGATCAGGCAAGGCCTGGCTAACTTCATCTGGGTTCCTCGATCGACCCTCAGTGGTCTTGGCAGCCTAGGACCGTGACTTAAAGCAGTCTTAAATTTCAGCTTCATGTATGATTGTGGATCAATATTGGGTTCCAGCAAAACCCAGTCGGTGTTGTCACCCTGGCTAACATCAACAGCATGCCACGAGCATCGTCCCAAGCTCCCGGGACCGAACCCTCAAGGGTCTCGAGTGCTGCTGAAAATCGACTTCAACGTGAGAACGAAGATTAGTGGACGCGTTCCTGTAATCTATCAAGCGCTCTCGGGGCCGCCTTTGATCCAGACTCTCGGTATCACTATCTACCCCGACAAACGCCAGGACAGGATGGCTAGGGCATTTTCAATCAAGTCTCGACCATGTTCTACTGTTCATTCTCAGTGTAGAGCCGCCATTTTCAGCTCGCTAGAAGGTCTGGTCTATTCCCGGAATGGCGAGGCCTGAACAGTGGTCGACCTGAGACTGCGGTTATTGTATTTTCCCGAGTGATTAAATACGTTCATAACTCTGATTGCCATACTTTGTTTGATGACTGGATCTTTGCCAAGAAAGACAGGAGTTGACAACTACTTCCTTCTAATACTCTACTACCCTCCCTGTTACAACATTTCTCTATTCTATCCACTGTTGTCTTGCTGTCTTTACCTTGCCTCCGTTGGGTAGGCCATATCATCAAAGATGACGCTCCAACCGGAACACTCCCGTACTGGGAGCAAACATTCGTCCACTGACAGCTCTGGAATACAACGTCCTCAGATGGCTTTTGTCAAGAGACAATCACAATATGAAGTACCGAAAGCTATATTACAAGGGCAAGGTCGGATGGACAGTACTAGTAAAGCGACCATGGTACGTTCACATTTACAATTCACCGGGTATTCCTTGGGAAATGGCGATGCTGACTCTCAACCATCACAGATGACTCAATACCTTCATCGCCGTCTTCGAGACCAAGGCTGGCTCGAGTCGGATCCGAGTGCTGAACTCAAGACGGTCCCCGGCATTGTTATGCAAGTAGACCCCGACCAAATTGACCTTACGCAAAGGTATATCAAGGAACCGGCATCTCTTGATGACGTTGTCATGACATTCGCGTCCAAGATGAACGTGGTTACCTTGGTCACACTATCATCCGACATCACAAGCTACATATTCGCGCAAATCAACAAAGAAGACACAGAACTCGAACTCACCCCTCACAATATCACCGTGCCGGTGATCGATTGTCTTGCGGATCTTGCGAGAGACGACCTCGGACTTACACGGAGAGACTTCTGTGTCCTAGTTCGCCGGGAGAGGTTAGTCTTGGCCTGGAGTAGCCAAAGTGACCAGCTTCTGGTTCATGCTGCTGATGTGGAGAGTAAGCTTATGGGCTCTGTAAGTGCACCAGAGCTAATTATTTCCCTATAACGAGTATTTATGAATTATATAGATATGGGGTGCTGCCCTTCCCGAAACGCCTGGCAGGCTACCATTCGAGTACAAGTCATATGGAACCACGCCGAACCATGGTCGGCCTCGCAGTATTATGTCTCATGCGGACTCGGCCATTGACGAGAAGAAAGATCAAATCATCATCGACAACATCGATCTTGGTGCCGAAGACGAAGAAAATATGGAAGCCCCAAAGCGGCCATACCTCCTGACCCAATCCGTCATGATCGGTCTCGCCATGGCGCTTTTGATTGTGATAGAGGCATTCCCGATTCGGTTGATGGTTATCTCAGCCAGAGCGCTTGGCTCAGTGGCCTACAAGAACATAGCATTGGCTGTTACTATCCCGATCTTCTCATGGTAAGATACACAATGGCTCTGCTACTTCATTCATTGCTTAACCGTCAAATAACAGGTTCACGCTCTTCTTCGCCGTCGTTGTTATCGGCATGGTGTTCCAACTGCTTGGCCCCGTCACCGATATCAAGCAAGGCAACAGCCATTTCTATTCCAGCCGCGCACCTGATAAGAAACGACACCCGAATATTGAATGGCCGCACATCACCATCCAAATGCCCGTGTACAAGGAAGGTCTCAAAGGTGTCATCATTCCGACGCTACAGAGTGTTCTGGCCGCTATCAGACACTATGAGAATCTTGGTGGTTCTGCAAGTGTTTTCGTCTGTGAGGACGGAATGCAGGCGCTCAAGCCAGAAGTCTCTGATATGCGAAAGCAGTTCTACGCTGCCAACGGTATTGGTTGGTGTGCTAGGCCAGCTCATGGCAATGACGGGTTCGTTCGTGCCGGCAAGTTCAAGAAGGCTAGTAACATGAACTACTGTCTTGCGTTCAGCTCGCACGTGGAAGACGAAATGTTGCGTTTGATCAAGCAGAAGGCCGAGATGGAGCACCGAGACCCCGAGACATTCACCATCCAGCAAGAGGAAGACCTGTACAACCAAGCACTGGAAAACATGCTTGAAAAGGATGGTGGCAAAACCTGGGCTGATGGCAACATCAGAATGGGTGAAATCATTCTTATCATCGATTGCGACACTCGTGTTGTAAGTATACACTCCACCTCATGATTCGATATCGCAACTAACCATCTCGAAGCCTGTTGATTGCCTGTCACTTGGTGCCATGGAAATGGAAGAAAGTCCGGAAGTTGCCATCATTCAGCACGCCAGTGGCATCATGCAAGTGATCCATACCGTGTTCGAAAATGCAATTACTTACTTCACCAACCTTGTCTACACACTCATCAGCTTCTCAGTGGGCTCCGGTGATTGTGCTCCTTTCGTCGGCCATAACGCATTCCTGCGATGGAAAGCGGTACAATCCGTGTCTTTCATGGAGAACGACGAGCTAAAGTTTTGGTCTGAAAACCATGTGTCCGAAGATTTCGATATGTCGCTGCGGTTGCAGACTGCCGGTTTCATCGTGCGTCTTGCCACATATGACCACGGAGAGTTTAAAGAAGGTGTCTCTCTCACTGCCTTTGACGAATTGTTGCGATGGGAGAAATATGCTTATGGTTGCTCGGAATTGGTAAGTCCAGTCAGAATCCGTGGCCAAGAATAAGCCACTAACACGCGAACGTTAGGTCTTCAATCCAGTCTACACATGGATTTGGAAGGGTCCCTTCACTGAGCTCTTCATTCGCTTCCTCTTCTCCAACATGAAGATTTCCGCAAAGATGACCATTCTTGGTTACATCGGTACCTATTATGCTATCGCAGCTGCCCTTCCTCTGTGTCTGGTCAACTACTTCGCTTTCGGCTGGGTCGGCGGCGAGCATCTCGACCACTCCTACCTGCCCAGTTTTGACATCCTGTGTGGTACTCTCTTCATTTTCATGGTTGCCAGTCCCATCTGCTTCGCATGGTTCCGCCATCGCATCGGCCAGAAGATGTTCCTCTGGGCCGTATTGGAGTCATTCATGTGGATGCCTTTCTTCTGTAAGTCTTAGTGCTATTTTCTGCATTCGTGCTCTACAGCGCTGACCTGAAACAGTGATCTTCTTTGGTGGTCTGTCATGGCACGTCTCATATTCGCTCCTGGCGCACTTGTTCAATCTACCGATCGAGTGGAGTTCCACGGCCAAGGAACTCGAGAGCACTGGATTCTTTGTTGGTATCGATTCCGTGCTCAAGCAGTTCAAGTGGGTTTTGTTGTTCATGTTCATCCTGACTGGAGGCATGATCTATTTGGCCGTTGGCGCTCCTCAAGGATGGGAGATCAACAATTGGCCTACCGTTCTTCCACTGGCACTGCAAATTATTGGCCATGTTGGCTTGCCGGTGTTTACGATTGTGTTCTAGAGCAGTCCTTTTAAAACGCCGTCACGTTAGGACTCAAGTTGGGGGATGTGGCTACTCTACACAGCTTTCGCATAATCACGTGGTTGTGCCATATTCACACCACAACCCACTTAATTTTAGACGATTAATAGCAATATAATGTTTCATGGAACCGGACAAACCCATCCTTTCCGAACCCGGCTATGAGTAACGGGAGAGTCACGAGTTCGCATTGAAGGCGCTTTGGTTGGTCAAGAGTATCCATCACTCTCCGCACTAGCCGCTATTTGCATCTCATATCGATCCTCCTTGATAGTATGATGAATGGATGCCCCAACCTAGGTAAGTTTGTAAATCATGTGTGTAGCTCATTTCGTTATACGCCGAAGACTTAAGCCTTTCATCAGTGATGAGAGCGACCCGACGGACTGGAACCGAGATGGTCTGCAGGGGTTGGGCGGTTAGATATTGGGTGTGATTGGATAGAGTACTATCTGTGCAGGAACTCCCACGTATCCTCTTGATGTCGCACAAGATAGTTTTTTCCACATTTGAAGCTGGCTGGCTTCTTTTGTTCTTAAAACAAATTTTGAATTTGCCTCGACAACCTAAGACGACACACATCATGGTCCACCCAATTCAGCCCCAAAATGAACAATACGACGAACACCCTCGACTGGAAGAACCAGGCGTTCCACATGCAAAAGTATCTCGGAACTCGGATGGTCAGTTTAGTTATGATACCAACAATATGAGCCATCCGTTCTCGATGGCACAGTTTCCAATTCTCCCGTCGCAGTTATTAAATTCCTACAATCTGGTTAGGCCGCCGCCCCAGCTTTTCGCGGAACAGAAGCCTGTGGCTGCCAAGAATGTGTCAAACTTCATCACACCTACCGTCCCGTCGCAGATGCTACCACCACGCGATCCGGACTTTGCGAAGATAGCAAATGACTTGATTAACAAGGCATTGGACCGAAAGCCCGGCGGCAGCTCGGTAGTGGAGCCTGACTCTGTTCTGGACGAGTCTGGTAGGCTGTATCACGGCTATAAGGAAGGCAAATATCTCTTGCCGAACGATGCGGCATGTACACGTGTCCTCGTTGGAGTTGCTCCTGAATAATCTAATATTAAGTGACAGGCTGAACAAGACCGACTGGATTTACAGCACGCAATCTTTCGGATAATGTTCAACGGCTGGCTTGCTCTAGCTCCCTTCAGCAGCCCACCGAAGTTCGTGTTGGACATCGGGACTGGCACGGGTATATGGGCCGCGGAATTCGGTAAGCCGCCTTTCACTCGTGATCTCTTGCGTTTCAGCTGGCAGTCGTTCGGAGATCGTTGACCCTCGCGATAGCCCAGCAAAACCCATTCTCGTACGTGGTCGGCACCGACCTGAGCGCGATCCAGCCCGTGTCCTCGCTTCGGAATTTGATCTTTGCAAAAGACGACGCTGAGGAGCCTTGGTATTTCCCCCACCCGGATCCTGACCACAGCCAGTGCCATGGGCATTGTGAACACTGGGTGAAATTTGACTATGTGCATCTGAGGATGATGCTGACCTGCTTCGACGACACGCGCACCGTCATGAAGCACGCGTTCCAGAACCTGAATCCCGGCGGCTGGATAGAGTTCCAAGATACCGCCATGGAATTCTTTCAGGCTAATCAATCCTATTCTGGTGAGTTGGCGGTCGATCGAAAATGCGTAGAGGCCTGAAGTCTTAATACGTGGGTAGGTGACGCAATTATGCGGTGTGCTGAAGGCCTCAATCGAGGGCTCGCGGCGATTGGGCGTGACGGGAAAAAAGCCTGGTATTACGAACGGTGGCTCAAAGAGATTGGATGTAAGTGTGTTTTTATGACACCAAAAGCGGTACCTGCGCCTCTTTTGGCCAAGATTGAACAACTTGCTAACATTTGGTTCAAGTCGTCGATGTCGTGCATAGGCAATGCTGGATTCCCATTACACCATGGGCGGCCGATCCGAAATTCAAGAAAATGGGTGCATTCAACCAGTCCAATTTGTACGATGGTGTCCGTGGTATCAGTTGGAAACTGCTAAGGGCAGCAGGCATGCCTGCGGAGCAAATAGAAAAGATTGTAAATGAGGTGAGGCGTGAATTGAGAGACAAAGCCAACCACGGATATGGGATTTGGTAAGCCAGTCGACACTAGCATCATATTCATGAGCTGATAATTTTTTAGTCACGTTGTATACGGACGCAAACCACTTTTGTGAAAGACCGACCACTAGAAATAGCCGGCTCCGTGACGTCCTCAGAAAGTACGACCTCCGGCAGCCCGGCACTAGAACCAAGCACACTTGCAGAGACTTAAGCAGTTGTAGAAACACCGTGAATAGTCAGGTAGCTAGTGCCGTATAGGCCCGATTCTGCTGTAGCAATTTTTAAGCCGTATTACACCAGAGTCCTTCTTGTAGATCCTTCTTTCCCGGCAGTTCACTTCACAATGTTACAACATACCCAGCGAAGCAGCAAATTCAACAGGCTCTTGATGCAGAAGGATCTTCTCAAGAGTGCAATTCTTAAATTCGGCAAATTCACCATGGAACACCGGATTCCAGTACCGGTAGTCAGACCTCGCAATCTCAGGAGGATGCAATGCAGCCAGCACATTTCAACTCTGCTGCGGGAATATTGCACAGAAAATGCGGTGCCTCTCCAGTTGCAGCCGGCCGAACCGTACCAAGTTTCTAAACAGCCAACTAACAAATATGCTGGGAATCTGTCATTCATAACTCAGCCCTCACTCGGATACGAAGCGCAACCATGGCCGTACAGCGCAGGTGGGCCGAACAACATGCCACATCCACATTCTCTCAAAACTGCCAACGCTATGATCAACATGTCATTGACACATACTCCAGGTAGCAATTCGGTCGTCGAGCGGGATTTGGTTCCTTGGGGAGTCGGGTAGATTGCATCACGGCTACGAACAGGGGGAATATTTTCCCCCTAAGGATGTATGTAGTAAGTGCAAGGCTCTGACTAGGCCGGAAATTTGGATCTAAGCTAAAATGTATTCTAGGCAAACAAAATCGGCTGGATGTCCAACACCAGATCCTTAGGTGGTGTTCGAAAAATGACTTGCTATTACTCCCATGAAGACTGCCCCTCGTTATGGCCTAGAGATTAGGTGCGGTATCGGACTGTGGGCCAACGATTTCGGTAAGGATCCCCTCGCGTCGAGTCAATGTCCAGGCGATCTCTGCACGTGCCGACGACACTGACGAAGAACATCGCCCAAAATGGATCGAACCTGTCGTCCTGTCGTCCTAGGTTATAAAAACCGATCTCAGCGCCATCCGGCCGTAGGCGCAGGTGTCCAACTGTGCCTTCATCAAGAATGATGCAGAGGGGAAGTGATATTTCCCGGAGCCGAGTTCCGACCACGAGGATTGCCAGGGCGAGTGCGAACATTTCATCTCCTTCGATTGCGTCCACACCCGTATGATACTTACGTGCTTGGGGGATACCAGGAACGTGATGAGGAACGCATATGCCAACATGAGTTCTGCTGAGTGGGCAGAGTTTCAGGACACAAGCCTGCAGGTATGGCAAGGAAACCCAAGTTTCAAAGTGAGGTTTGACTTCTACGAATTATCCAACAGCTTGATTGAACTTAAGGTACTCGGAAGTGCTGTTTTGACATGATGGGGTCAAGCTCGTATTCAGGGTACCGTGATGAAAAGTCGTGATGTCGCCAGGCCAGAGAATACATCAACGCAGAAGTCAAGAATGGACACTATCATGCCTATACCTACACGTAGATTGACAGCCTCGGCTTTCCAGCGCACGCTGATATCTCCAAATATCTGGGTTGTTTGCGGACGGAGAGCCGTCCCCAACGAGTTTCCGGTTTGTGCGGCGCCTCAACCCAAGGAGTCTGGACGTGCACAATTTGAAAAACTCCTGCTCAACTTGATATGAACAGATTTATAGGCTGTGTAATAGAATATGATCCAGAGCCCCAAACTTTGGAACAATGCAAGGGAGCAAATCCACAATGTTCGTCCAACGATCCACCATGCTGTTTATGAATGCTAATGAATAGGTTTAACATATTAACCATACCAGCTCGCAATGGTATCGCCTCAGAAACATGCAAGGAACGCGTGCTATCAGGCGATGCACCTGAACATCTGGGCCGGTCTTTTAAGGTTTTCAGACTCTATGGCCATCCGATCTAGGGCAGCGGGCACCGTCCGTTTCAGGAAGGAGATGGTCTAAAAATGGCAGCCAATTTGGGAGAGACCCCACAAGTTACGCCACTATATGAAGATGCCAGCTTAGCGTCTGCTATAGCACAACGCTTCGGCTGCTGCCGGAATCCGTTGACCACATGCCTTACTGGATTTCACTGATGTGGGTTTGACCTCATCGACGCGGTCGCCTAAAATAGGTGTTGTGTAGCGATTATATTAACTTTTATCTGCTGAGTGATCATGAATTATACACAGGAACTGGGGGTTAAAGTATATTTAAGAAAGGCCCCACATCAATATCCCCGGCCTGCTCGACTTGACAGCACTCCCTATTTCTGGAAGACCGCAACGTAGGCAGACTCCATCATGCTATCGGCGCCCATCCAGGTGTCCGTGCTGGGATATCCGGGCCAGGCTCCGCCGATAGCCACGTTGAGAATGAAGTACAAGGGGCTGTGGCAGATGGCAGCCCACTGGGACTCGACGCCGACCATGGAGCCTGTAATCTGGTTGAACTGCCTGCCGTCGACGAACCAGGTGATGGTCTCGGACTGCCAGTCGCCGGAGGTGCGGTCGAACTCGATCCACCACGTGTGCCAGTCGTAGTCGGCAAAGGTGACGCTCTTCTGGAACCCGCTCTTCGTGCCCGTGGGAATTCCATCGCAGGCGCTGCCGCAGTGCGAGGTCCCGTAGGCCACCAGGTTGCCGTTGAGCTCCTCCATGATATCGAGCTCGCCGCACTCCGGCCACCCGGTTCCTTTGCGGCCGGAGTCACCGAGGAGCCAAAAGGCAGGCCAGACGCCCTGCTTGTGGGGAGGGACGTTGGATCCAAACCGCAACAGGGACTCGGCGCGGGTCTTCTTGCCGGCGACCGGAGTGAAGGTGTATTTGCTTTCAACACGTCCGGATGTCCACTCGATGCCGTTGACGTTGTACTCAGGGATCAGCTGGAGGGTGGCAGAGCCGCTGAGCTGGACGTTCTCGACGTTCTTCATCCAGGTCTCCTTCTCGCCATTGTAGCCATAGAAGCCCTCAGCAATTGTCCATTTAGAGCTGTCAGGGAAAGTATTGGTCTTGCCGTCGAAGGTATCAGTCCAAACGGTGCTCCAGCCACTAGGAACAGGAGGAGCCCAGGCCAAAGCCCGACCGGCCAGCAACAAAGGCGCCAAAGAGCGAATGGCAGATTGGGTATGCATGATGCTGAAGTGATGTCCGAGTGATCCGGGACTATACTGCAAACGAGGGTATGACAAGCAAGGAGGGAGAACAAGATGTTGATCTCTAGCTGATCAATTCCATTCTCGGGAACGTGCCAAGTTTATATAGGGAGGTCGATCTGCTATCTCCGGGACGCCCTTCAGAGTATGCTTACTAGGAAGGTTTGCTGAAGAATTGCCCTATTAAGAGGGTCATCTCGTGTTGCGGCGCACTTGTGGGGTCGCTCAGGGGTCAAGGCCTTCTGGCGCATCCTTCGCTCAAATAGTCTAGTGGGTCAGTATCGCAACCGAGGCATTCTATAGTGAATAACAATCGCGCAGACAGCAGAGAGATAGCAGAACAGAAAGTCGGATGGTCCAAGAATTCATTCATTTTAGCTGTCCCGAGTCTGGTGTAGAAAGCCTTAGCGCGCTTGAGATATCTGTGGAGGCTAAGTATAACCACAAGGACTTCGTTTCGTGCCGTCCATAGAACATAATACCCTCTGCAGAGGCCTCTAGACACCAACTTGAACATGGCAATGTTATTGACTCTATTGTAAACATTCATAGCTTTTATTGACGGGGTGTCCTCTCGGCGCCACCTGCGACACTAACATAAGCGATCAAGACAGTGGCAGAGACTTGTGCTCGAACATGGACAGTTTGATTGTGTGAAAAAGACATTGAGCATCATGCCATATCGTTTGAAGGATTCTCTGTCAGGGGGGATATCCAATTTAATGGGACGAATGTTGTCCGAAACGGGCCCAAATTGTCGGCTACAAGACAACACTATGCTGCGGCCACAAGTCCATGATTCCAAGGTCCGGTGGGTGGGGAAGTAGCGATCTCATATCCAGCAATAATACACCTTGAAAGATTCTTATCCAACAGCATCTCATTCATGGTTATAAGAAACACAAAGGGAAAATATCGTGTACAAATGTCACAACTAGAATATTATTTTGGTACGAGATAATAAAATTTACCTGGTCACAAAATTGACAGTATTATCAAGCTCAACCCGCATACATACAGCCCGCGTGGTCATGTCCTCAAACCCATGTAATACGAGCCATACCGAGGCGGCCTCTCCTTTGTCTCAAACTCCAAGCAGAGTCTTCAGGTTGACCACACTAACGCTGACCTGATTCGTCGAGCTCGGCGGCAGCGCCCCGGCCCCAATGAGTATCAAGCCCGCATCATCGCTCTTCTGCAGAGCCAGACCGCGACTATACGCACCAGGCTGCGGCGTCGCATACTCGACCCACGAGCTGGGGTCTCCCAGCTTACGGTTCGTAAAGCTGTGACACGTTAGCTATTATGCCCGCTTTGTTGGTCTCCCCAAGTCACCGTTGACCATACGAGAAGATAAGAAGACCAGAAACAAAGAGAAGGGGACGAAAAGGAAAAACCCACACATTCCCTGAACTCCCTACACTCAGCACAATAGTCCCATTGGCCCCTCCGACACTAGACCAGACTACAGAAGGGCTACTAGTGCCATAATTGCCCGCCGTACTCTTGAGCGTATAGCTGGGCGCGCCGAGCACGGCGAGCGGGTCGGCGGCCAGGCGGTAGTGGACGCGGCAGCCGTCGGTGCCGCACTGCTCGTAGGCGAAGATGTAGCTGCCGCCGGGCAGCTTGGCCACGGCCGGCATGCCGGGGCGCGCCGCGTAGTTGGACGCGTCATGCACGTCGTCCGTGGTGGCCGACCACGACACCAGGTCCGTGGTCGTCTGGTGCACAAGCTTCTGGCCGTAGGCCGTGTCGCGCTGGTCTGAGTAGTAGCACACGAGCTGGTTGTTGTAGACCCTGTTTTGCGGCGCAGAGTTGTCAGCGGCGTATTTCGTGGTCGAGGCTCTGGCTTACGAGGACACACCCGAGCAGAGGAAATAGCAAGATATAAAAATTGGAGGACTCACATCAACAGCGGTTCCCAAACAGGCGTTAACCCATTGTTTGGCCTGGCCTCTCCGCCCGTAGCCACGGAGCTGACGAACTTCCAGGTGGCACCGCCGTCCGTGCTCGCGTAGACGTCGATCTTGGTCTTGCTGAGATCCGTGGGGATGCTGTTGCCGGCGGCGAGGATGGTGCCCTTTGCGAACTTGCCGACGGCCTGGGGCAGCTCGTAGAGGGAGGGCTGGTAGCGCAGGCCCCAGCCGTTGACCGTGTCCTGCACCTTTCCGATCTGGGTCCAGGAAGCCCCGTTGTCCGTCGAGCGGTATACAGGGAAGTAGACGAGGGGCGGCTCGGGCGAGTAGTTCTCCCAGGTCGAGAGGAGGTAGCCCGAGCTTAGGGGGAGGGCGCGGGCGTAAAGGACGCGGGGGTCGGTCCAGCCTGCGTTGGAGGGCGGCGAGAAGATGACTTTATTGGACACTACTGTCACTGCTCGGTTGTCGATCGTCGGCGTCGGACTGGCGCACACAATAGTAGAGAGGAGGCTGCCAATGAGACCAGCAGCCCAAGTTGAAACCTTCATTCTTGCTGTTTAGGCCTACAAGACCTGAGTAGAGTGGTCAATCCAAGGAACACTGGCCAAAAAAGTATCGTGACAATACCGATCCATCTGGTCATTTATACCCCAAACTTTCTACCCCAGGTTCTGCGACGGTTATACAGGCTCCGATTTCCCCGACGTGGTATTGTGGTCACCTCGCTACTCCGCATTTTGAACGGGTAGATGCGAACTAGGCACATAGCCGTCGACGTGGTATTGGCGCGCATCACAATGCTTTGAAGCCTCGTTTTGTATGGTACCGGTGGGTTTCCACAAGCTTGGGGAAGACTTCCAGAAACAGCACATTTCAACATCACGTGTCAACAGAGTTGCGCCGCATGGAGAAATAAAGTTGGCAATAAACTTGTATTGAGCCAATCATCTACCTGAAGATGGGGCCTTCCCCTGATTTTCCCTCGTATTGACTTTCTCCGCCGTGACTATTGGCGGAGTGCCAACACGAATTCTCTCGCGCTGCCTGAAAGAGCAAGCACCCACAAGGCTCATAAGTGTGATGCTTCTCCCCAGCCCAGCTGCAAGCAACCAATGGACTAAAAGCGCATAAAAACAAGCATGACCCCTAGTGGTCCGAGCGAGAGAGTGACGTGAAGTATAAACAGCCATGTTCTCAAGACCATGTGTTGTGGCACACGCTGACTTGAGCAATGGTGCAAAAGCCCTACTGCGCAAAACATGTCCGATTTCCATCGGACAACCACCAATCGTCTCTATCCCCTTACCGAATGTAAACCGGGCCACTGATGCGACCAAAACAACTCGTGGTATTGCCATGGAAAAATAAAATAAGAATGTCAAAAACCCTGATGCCAACCAATGCCACTGGAGCAGAAATCAAATGCTGACTTCCAAATAATCAATTGTCCCTTCTGTTCTCCTATACCAGTGCAAATGTTTCATCGAAGAAATCGGACCAGGAGAGGATCTACCACTCCATAACATTGACCGTAGAAAGACAGAAATTGGAAGCATGCGATCGTAATTACGTAAGTGTTGGTACCAGTGAACCTCTATGCGACGACGCCACCCTTTCGCTTCTCAGCGCTTGTGAGCACCAGCCTGGGAGCCTTGCGCTGGCCGTCAGGAGACTCGACCTTGCGCTGAGCTCCATGCTTGAAAACATTGGCGAAGCTACCGGGCTCACTGCCGCAGGCGCTTGACAGGCTCTCGACGCTTTTGCGGGACTTGGAGCGGGAGCTCGGGCGATCAGAACCGATAGCACCCCAAGCACCACTGATCGAGGTCCGAGAACTAGCCAGGCTTGGCTCAGCATCACCGTCGAGACTTCCAGAGCCACTACGTCCAGAGTCGGACTCATTGTCAGTGAGAGGGGTTCCAGCCTCTTCAGCGCTCTCAGAGACGGGGCTCATGCTGCCAGAGCTACTGCTAGTGCCCTTGCGTCTCTCCAGGCCAGCTCGAACCAGGTTATGAACAGCAGATCGTCGAGTGCGAGCAGCAAAGTTCTTGCTGCCCTCGATCTTGGCAGTTGGCTTTGCCCGCAACTCATCGATCGACGGGGGGCCACGTGGCTGTCGAACAGGGTGCTCTCCGGCACGAGCCTGACCAGGTCCGTAACCGTTGGCCAAAGGCGACAGCGGGAACGCGACACCAGACTTGAGACCAGCGTTGACGTTGGCCTCCTCAGTAGACAGGGACAAGCCCTTCTGGTTTGCGACCGAGCCCATCTTCTTATGACCACGACGGAAAGCGTTAGCAGAGGGCGGGGGGAGAGGAGTGGGCTCCACAGTGAGCTCCGTCTTCTTGGGAGGCGAGTTGCTGCGGAAGAAGGGCCTCTCGTTGGGCTCCATGGGAGGAGGCGAAACCTCAACACGGGGTGTAGTGCCAGTGGCCTGCTGGAAAGTCATGTTCTGCGGGGTAGCTGGCTGGTCGAGGTAAGCGTTGTTGTACTGAGCCTGGCCCTGGTCAACGTAGTACTCCTGCTTGCCAGTGGTAGGGTTGTAGTAGGCGTATACGTTCTGCTGGGGCTGCTGCATCTGAGCAATGGACTGCTGAAGGTTTTGAAGTTGCTGTTGCTGCTGGTACAGAGTCTGGAGAGCCATCTGCTGCTGGAGAGAGGCCTGACCGTTCATACTCAGACCTTGGAACTGCTGGGCAGCAGCCTGAATGTTGAGGAGTTGCTGCTGTAGACGTTGCTGCTGTTGAGCCAGGTGCATATTAGCAGCAACCAGCTGAGCATAAAACGATGGGTCCAGCTGCTCCTGAACCTGCTCATCAAACTGCAGCTCGGGAGGAGCCAGGATCTGGTCCGCAGTGTATTGCTGTGCATAGCCCATAGGAGTGTAAGCCTGCTGCTGCTGCTGCTGCTGCTGGGTAGCAAGCCGAGGCAGCGAAGTCTTGGGACCAGCATACGCATTCTCCTGAGCACCGTACATGGCCGAGGCATTGCCGTTTCTGGCGGGCACCTGCTGAGGCGCCTGCATGGTTGAAGTAGCGGAGGCAGGGAAAGAGGAGGTTGTAGCCGACTTGGGAGCGGTTCGAAGTCCAGCAAGGAGGTGGGATCGGCTCGTGCGAGGAGTAGGAGCTCCGTTGTCGACGGTGGAAGTCTTAGTGGCGTCAAAGGACAAAGGCTTGATGTTCTGACCACCACGGCGCGAGGCCAAGCCTCCGGAAGGCAGACCCAAGCTGGGCTGCGAAGTAAAGCTGTTGTGAGACATTTGAGCAAAATCGCCGGCGTGCATTACTCAAAAAGGGGGTTTGTTGTTTTTTTTGGTGATGATCTATCGAAGATTTCCGTCTGAAGCTGGAGCTCCAAGACAGGCAGTGATGTGCTGAATGAGGTCGATGTGAAACGAACTCGGAAAGAGTGAATGATAGCCGCTTGCCGAATGAGCTGGGCGATCGATGCAAGTATTACAATCGTGTAGATGGAAGTATGCGATTAAGGCAGTTTCGGTGATGATAACGGTTTTGAGGTAGATGAAGATCCAGCCGAACAAATTGCTCTTCTCTCGGAAGGTGACTGATCGGGATGCTGTCGTAACGTGTCAAACGAGACGTGATGCTCAAATCAGACAAGATCTGGCAGTCTCCAAGATCGCAGACCGAGGGCTGTTGATGATGAAAAAAGCTGTGGACAAGAAACCGAAGACTATAGCTCTATCTCTGGCGATGCAGCGTTGGGATAAAGCGGCCGTCGTGATGCGAGTATTAAAAGTTGGTCAAGAAGGACTGCGAGAGTCTTGTCTTGTTATGAAAGAGTGATTGGGATGATACACCGAATTGACGATAAGAAGGCGCGAGACTGGAAACTGTTGTTGACGCAACGACCTGAAGAGAGGCGACGATCAACAGAGACAAAGTGCGAAGGTGCAGATTGTGTTCCAGACAACGTCAACTTAAATCTAGAGAGCAGAGAAAGAGTCAGCAAAAGCTCAAAGCAAGCCTTCAACAAGAGCGTTGACGGGGCGTTAAACGGTGCAGTAAGGTTTAGTTCAGTACTTCCAAGCACCGCATCTTCCGAAGACCGACTTCGCAGCATGCCTAAATCCACGGCCAAGCTGCGCCGTGCAGATGCAAGTCAAGTCAAGTCGAGAAGTCCCTTTGTCCTTCCGAATGGCAGGAAAACAACAAGCAAGCACACACCAGCTAGCTAGTGGGAGCGGGAACAAGGGGGAGAGGAGATTTGGGACGAAAAGTGCCAATCTCGACAAGTAGATAAACAACGTACCTTTTGGAATCTATCCTTTGTTCGCAGATGCGAGAGCTCTTGGTTCAAAAACTGCCAGGAACCCGGGGGGCAGCTTATGGTTGCGAGATAGCGTTCAGATTATTGTGGTGTATATCCGTATATGCAGAGAATAGAAAGCGATGGATGGAGCTGTCGTCGAGCTCGAATTGATTGTACAGTAATTAAAAACAGTCAAAGTCAATTATCAATCAGATGATAAATAGCAGTTGACCGAGGTTGAGATGGTATCCAGATGCCCTTGCTGTGTCTTTTTTTCTTGTTCCCTTTGAATTTATTTTACTTGGTTGGTTTCGTTTTTGTAATTTTTTGTGTGTATGCTGAGTGTCTTCCCGGTGACGCGACTTTTCTGGTTGGCGTGGAATTTAAATTCAGACGACGGGGGACAAGAAATCCCACGACGAAAACAATAGAAATTGTTGGTGACAGCGCGCGATGGAGAGCAATTGAGGGGAGAGAGACTAGCGAAAAACCCGAAGGCAGGATAAAGGATAGTGGTAGCTAGAGAAGGAGGGAAAAAAAGAAGAAAGAGAAGATGGACAAAAAGGTTTGTGATCCAAGGGAGGAGAGGAGAGAGAGAGGAAGAGACGGGAGAGGCTAGCATAGAAGGAAGCGGGTTCTATTGAAGAAAACTCCAACTGTCAGTTTTAGTGAGCCAAGTCGCCTGGTATGTAGTTACGGGGATTGGGATTCGTACCATAAGATACCAAGCATACCCTAGCCTGGCCTGCTACTGGACGGTGCACAAGTCTGGACGGAGCCAAAAAGTAGTCGCCCTCTCGCGTGCTGCCAAAAGACAGCATTGCGGTACGCCATCTACCTAACGCACTATGTAGCACAAATCTGCAAGGGCTTCTCTGCTGCATGTACATCTCTGCATATCCTGTAAGTCTGGAGTCTAACTTGGGGAGTAACTAGTCGTAGGTGGTCCACCACTGAATGAGTTCGGGCGATCCATCCATGCCATCCCAGCCCTGCCCTGGCCTGCCCTAGCGTATTGTCATTGTTTTCCAACAGACAGTCTTTGACCTCTTGACCAATCTATGTAGACGACAGCCGGCCCTGAGCACTTCAACTTGGCCTTGTGAGGTTTTACGCTTGTGGAGCAAGTTACTAACGGTACCAAGTGTCAACTTGCCCTCGGTTCGAGCTCCCCACTCAGAAGCCCTTCCATGTTCCCTACATAGTGTACCATACTACGCACATAGTTAGTATGCACATACTAAAACTCGCGCATCCTTCACACACACCAACTGCAGTGCAAAGATTGACTCAAGCCCGGCCGACCAGCACAACGTGCAGCGAACCACCAAAACCTCGCCAACCAATGGTATGAGACAGAAGCACTACAACCGTCATTCGAGGGGTATGCCGCCTTAGCGGTGAAGGTCACCAAGAGAGGGGTTCGTTCGCTCAGTGAACGCATGCAATAGCGCTTGATTGGTTGCCACGCCATTGCTGGCTTTGTACTTTATGCTGTACTATGTAGGTCCTTTGGGCAGCCTGGCTTGCTTGGCTTCGATGGAAAGATGGTGGGTGTGATAGTGACGCTGCAAGGTGGATGAATCGGGTCAGATGCGATTTCGTCTTTGCGTCTCTGCGCCACGAGCTGACCAACCAGGACTCGTCATTTCAGGGGTAACTCGGCAAGGGGGTCGCATACTGGACAGGGTCACAGGAGCATTCGGACATGGGCCTCAAGGGCACTCCAGGGCAATCTATCTCCAGCCTCCATCAACATTCCCCCCATCTACCGATATCTTGCGTTCTACATTTCGAAATACAATCACAGCCCTATGTGTATATATTGTATCACAATGCTTGGATCTGATCTGGGAAATCAGTTGACGTACGTATCTAAAACCTGAGTCGGTTAGGTTTCCATGGCAGGAGACCCTGAACGCCGATTCCACAACGAACAAAACTCTGTTCTCTGTCTACACGCAGCTCCATGTGCATATTCCAACGCCTTTATTACGGATTGCTTGCTCGCTCGTGTTCCCGGGGCTCCCAGATGAGCTTTAACCGCATCAGGGCTAGCTCGATGCCTCTCGCTTCAGCCTCTGGCGCCAATCGTCTGCATGACATTCGACATTCACCATATGAGTCAAGCTCCTGGAAAGCTCACGTGTGTGGTTCTAATGTTTGTCATCATCAACATGAATAGGTGGTTCGTAGGGCATGTATCAAATGAATTGCTTCTTGACACCCTGAATCCATAGGAGAACTGAAATGCCATATGCTAGCCTGTATATTTCGGGCACGTATAGTGCGACAAAAGGCGTGACGTCTGCTAGTATCCGTTCGCATGCTATTCTCGTCTTTCTGGCCTGTTGCCTCGTCTCAGACTTCAGCGTGAGACCTGTCAACATGTTATTTATACGGATATGAACATAACAGGCAATTGGGAACATGTCATGTTCGAGGTACCGAACTGCACAATTGGCGAGATATATCCTCCCTATGGCAGGACATTCGAGCCGTCATTGGAATGGGCCACACAAGGAAATTTTAACATTTTACAGATCAATGCAAATCTGACTGCACAATCGCAATGTGACATCCCGCATTTCTCCTTTGGAAGACCCAGCCCCGATGATCTACTCCATCCCCAACCGTGTTACCAACCTTGCCGGTACTCTATTCCAGATGGACGGGACTGTGGGCTTGCCCAGGGGCATCAAAGCAGACAGGGTGTCGCATAATCGTCCAAACAACCGTTTTGCGGGAGATGTCCAGCGCTGGAGGCTGGTCGTTTCTATCCTCGGTACCTTCGGCATGAAGCGAGACCCTGTCTCTGCCTATCTTCATAGTACGGTGACTTATTTCATGTGTGCCTGACTACATATGAACCGGACACGTGGGTCAACAAGAAAAATGGCTGTGCTACGCAACCTATCGTGAACGCATGTTACTAGCTTGACAGAAATAGATGAAAAGATCGTCGAATCCGCGCTGCTTTGTGTACACAATGAGACCCACGGCGAGGGGCAAAGTTCCAGAACCCCGCCAGCTCGCTTCATTCCGAATGAAAACCCCGTCGAGGAGGTGCCATCGAGGCATTCATGCATTCTGCGCCAGAAGGCCCTGTGAGATCAGCTCCCAGCACCGCATCTCAGAATGACCAAGGCAATAAGTCGCTAACAATTGGCACAGCTTCTTTCAGATGAAAGCATCAGCCAAGGACATTCCCGCCTATGTAGCAAAGAGAGATGACCGTTCTTGGAAAGGTGGCACAGCACTCCTGCGTCGCGTCGACCGAACTTAGAAGAACCTGAGACAGGGGTGGAGCCCCTAACAGAAGCAGGGTCTGTGCCCCAGTGGGCGCCCGTTTCCAGCGCCCGCATCGGGTCGAGTCCAGGTTGTCCAGGTTTGAGAGGGTAACATTTGGCAGCTCATCATCAAAGCTCTTCTATCTGAATCACGACAAGCTGATCTAATGCAATCAATACTCTTGAAATTGTCCGGGGGCAGATGGCTATCCTGCTCGCATCTCTCCCCTTGCAGTAGAAACTTGCTCAAGGTATTATTCTGCCGTTTGAGCTCTCCATGTTCACAGACGCAATACGAGCAAGCACATGATGCGCTAGGCTCAGTGCATTCCAGGATTCTACTTGTCTACCGACAAAAACCATCTGGTCGGAAATTTCCTTCAAATTGGCGTCTCCCGCTTGTCTAGACTACCGAATTTTTGTCACTAGCGGACCGCCTGTGACGTTCTGGCTCCCAACTCATTCTTCAAACCGTCTCGATAAGCGCAAAGAAGCACTTTTTCATGTCGTCGCGCTTAAGACGCAGCCTCAAGTTTCAACCAACGGTCCCGCGCTTAATTGGATCTTGAGAACACGGTGAACACCAACTCGCGAGTCAGACCCTGTTGTTGACCAGCAAGACTGGCTTGGTCTATCTATAACCTGTTCATGACGTCCTTTTTCCATCCCGCGGCCGATCAGTAGTCGTTCTAGTTCACGATCATCGCACGCCTTCATCCTTCTCAATTTTCAGCAAATTGCATTGCTGCCCCTCTTGGGAAAAGCTGTTTGGTTAACCTTGCAACCTTCCGAGTCCAGTGGGAAATGCACGCTGCAGGGTGGGTGTATCCACCCTGCTCTACATCTGCACAAGGGTTCGGCCCCATGTCGAATGCAGAGTTGCCCACCTTGCCACCAGGCGGCGCTTAACTGCTCATTGAACCATCAAGCCACGAGCCTTGAATGCAGCCGCTGTTGTTGTATGCGGCCTCGATGCTGTGCGACGTGGCTCCAATGCACATGCTGTTGTCAAACCACCCAGACATCCGGGCAATGTATGAATTGTAATAAGCTTGTTAGTTGATGAGCCAATTGTACATTAGGTCAGCATCAGCTCGAGAAACCTTGACGGACGATCCTCTGCATGATGGATGATAAACACTCGAATTTTGCGCCAAACTGTCCAACATGAGAGACTTGCAGTAGTTATTTCTAGACCACCGTACCTCGCAGGCCGCTGTGGTATGTTCCAAGCCAAATAGAACAGAGCCTCATCGTCACATCATGCAAACATGGTTATTACTGCGGTCTGCATGTTGACTAGGAGTGTACGGACAGGCTGGAAATGGTCCCTGCACAACCAGCTGAGTACAAAAATACGCTAGAAGGCACCACAATATACAGATCTGCTGCAGTGGCGCATGCAAAAGTGCACGAAGGCTACAATTGATTCTTAGTGGTATTCGCTGATGTAATAGGCAACAACCTCGAAAATTATTAGACACTGTACACAGGCCAATCAGGCAGCTAGCAGTATGACATGGAATAAGCTAGTCCATCACCACTGGATCAATAAACGCACAAAGTCGCCGAACCCTGTGGTTTTTGTATTAACAACTTGCTGCTGGTACATCTTAAAAGATCTTGGCAACCTGTAGGGTGAGATACAGCGAGTGCGCCATGCCTATATAAAATTTTCGGCCGGAACTTCGTTGCTTGTGATAGATGATGGATTTCCGCTGCTACTCGCTGCGATGGAGTTTCGCTTATTCTCGTCCAAAGACGAAGCAAGTGCCGAGCCTTACGCAAGCACGGTAGCGGACATACTGAATGTTTCCTGTTTACTCGCGAGCTTTCATACGCAAGGAAGGCAGTTAGCACTCTCATGAGAAGTACAAATGCCGCGTGACGCCAAGCTCAAGCCCTACAAGTACACGGCATCATCAACATGATGCATTAAAGCCCTGTGACAGCTTCGAGCATGTCAACAGGTCTCCGAGGCCAGTGTATCCAATACCACTATCAGTTAGGCTGACTTCAGTCAACCTCGTAAGGCAGACACTCGGCACGAATGTTCTTGCTAATCACAACCTCTAGGCTTTGTAATGTGAGCACTTCAAAAGAAATGTTCGAGGATTCCCAGAGAGTCGGCATTTGCCAGAGAACGTTCTTTGCTTATCTCTAAAGTCTAATTTTTACCGTATAGCTGGCTTTCTTCTCGATTGTCCATCATGATGTGGAGACTATTCACCCTCTTAAACTTCATTGATAGCCTTCATAAAGTAGACTACAAGTAATCAATCCTTTCTGAGGCTTTGCAGACTCGCCCAGAATCAAAGAGCCTGTTGATCGAGCTGAAGATTCTCCAAAAGGTTCTGCTCCTGGCCCAAAATTTGACTAAGCTTGCAACAACAGATCCTTCTGTACATCACCAAGACCTGCAACTCGACTCAATAATATGTCCCTTACTCCCTCAGTCGACTTGTCTGATGTTATCTGTACTAGAATTTTTGATAAACGGCGCTCTGATCACCGTCACCATCATCCTGCTGTCCCGAGATCCTGTCTGCGTGCCCAATCCAAGAGCGCTTCGTACAGACGACTGATTCTTGGCTTTACTCAGTCAGATGTTCATGCAAATCATTTCCGTGTATAACCACTGTAATAGGCCGTGCGAGACTACGCGCCGGTTATACGGGTGCAGCTGTTCTAGTATTGCTTACATTGAGCATCCTGACCTGCGGACAGTCAGTTGCACTATACGCAATCAGTTGGTAGGGTGTAGCGCTCCTCGGCTATCTGAGCGGCTTCTTGGCTGCCACACATAACACAAAATTAAAGCCAAGTTAGTTAAAGAACAAGGAATATGATTCAACTTAGATCTAACTTAGTCATGGTATTCAAAACCGTTTCACATTCACATTAACAACAGTACAGCATCGCGCGAATTTCTGTTAGGGACAGCAAGCACAAAGTGAGGGAGTGGCACCTGGTATTACCCGGTATAACTAAGAGTGAGACACTAAAGAATAAATATTAAACCCCATCCGGAAGGTCTCCAATACGCGTTTAAACACAAGCAAGTCCGCACCTAAACAAGACGCACCCACGGCGACTTCATTTCGGAGAATCGCATGGGGTGGTCTAGACCAAGTGCGGTTTAGAAGAAAAGAATACATAAGTCCGATGAACGAGTGATTCGGTCTCGATATGCATGAGTGGATACCATCGCACCAACCATAACCTTTTGTCACAGATGTAGACACCGCCGATGCTGAGATGCTACGCATCTAGTATCGCGGGGGGTGGGGAGGCTGAGACGGCTGAGGGCCCTGCGGGGGAGCGCTGTGGAAGAATATCAGTTCTCGACGTCGCCAGGCGATGTTTACCAAAGCGGATACTCACGGGTGAGAAGGCTCGGGTCCCGGAGGAGATGGGCCGGGGTTAGGACCGGGACCAGGCTGGGGGCCCTGTGGAGGCGATGGCGGGCCGGAGGGCTCGGGTCCGTGGGGATCGCTTCTGTAGGACATCTCAATTTCTCGTCGCACAAACAAGTATTTTTGCTACCTGATCAAAAAAGACGGACGCAGTGTCACTTACGGGTGAGGGTCGTGGTGGTGGTGGTGGTGGTGGTCACCGTGGTCGCCGTGACTGGGGTCGGATGGCTTAGGCTAATGAGGAGGACATTCAGCTTTGTTTTGATCTGAGTGATGACGGTTTGTAGAAGTTACTCACACCGTGGGGACCATCCTCCCTCTTCGTGGGTGGGTGAGGAGGCTGTGATGGCTGAGGGCCGGGCGCGGGACCCTGAGGAGGAGCACTTCAAAATATGATGATTAGCATTTGGGAATATCCTCAAATTTCCTGAGGCGTCAACTCACGGCTGCGATGGCTGAGGCGGCGGGGACGGGCTAGTTGGTTGAGGCTGAGGTGGGTTTGGCTGAGGCTGAGGTGGGTTTGGCTGAGGCTGAGGTGGGTTTGGCTGAGGTTGAGGCGGGCTTGGCTGAGGGTGAGGCGGGCTTGGCTGAGGGTGAGGCGGGCTTGGTTCAGGGTCGTGCGGGTGGTGAGGAGGCTGATAATAAAGTCAGTGATTTTTTATGCCGATGGAAGTTCTGTTCCGACGAATAACAAACTTACGTCGCTGGGCTTTGGGTCATGCGGGTGGTGGGGAGGGTCGCTTGGCTTGGGACCGGGGCCAGGCTCGGGCTTGGGCTATATCAATATTTAGTGCTGCTTAGATAAAAATCAAGTGCCGTGTCTCGAGTCGAGACATATGATGGATGGGGTCACTCACGTCGTGGGGCTTTCCATCACGACGGGTAGGCGGCTGAGGCGAAGGAGCGCCGGGACCACCAGAGCCAGGCTGAGGGGATGGACCTCCGGGGCCAGGCTGCGATATCCGGTGTCAGTGACTACTTTTTGTAGTGGTTGGTAGTATCATAAGAGTCACATGAGTTACTACCAGAGCATACGAGATGATTTATGCAACTTGCGCGATGAAGAGTGTTGAAAAGGAGAGCTTAGGGTTACTTACCTGAGGAGAAGGGCCTCCCGGGCCGGGCTGAGGGGAAGGCCCAGTCGGAGGGAACGGTGGTTGCGAGGGGAAAGGTGGCTGCGGCCCACCCGGAAACGGGAAAGGAGCAGGAGAGCTAGCACCAAAGGTCTCAGCACGCGTCATAGCCGGGAGTGTGCTACAGCAGCCGCATTGTGAATGGCACCTACGGGAACGGGCCACTTGGTGGGAATGGCTCAGATGGGTAGCCAGGAGCGGGACCGCCAGGTTGAGGCTCAGGTCCAGGGCCACTGGGACCTCCAGGTCCGGTTGGGCTCTGAGCGACCGGAGCGGCGGCAACAAGTGCCGTGAGAGCGAGAGTGAGGAGAGTGAGTCTCATTCTGTCGGTAGAGCGAGTGATTTTGAAAGAGTGTGTTTGTATTATAAATGCGAATTGCCTTGTGTGTTGAAGGTGAAGGAAAACAAAATGACTGTCGAGTTCTCGTCGTCAGTTTATATACAGTCATGCGGCCATGGAGCATACGCCAATTCCTCCAAGATCCATTGAGGAGACCATGATGCCATTCACGCGAATAAGTTAAAGCTACGTTAGGCAGGAGGTGCTGTTCGTGTTGTTGGCCAATATTGACTGTTTGCGGTGCCATCATCGCTGTCAACGGTGAGGCTACCTTTGTCAACTTGCCGTATCGGGAATGATCATGACTCCGAGGATTAATCTTACAAAGCTTCTCAATTTCCCGAGCCATCTAAAGGACTAGTATAACCTTGTTGTCGACCAATTAAAGCGCCTGGCAGTCAGCCGATGGTAACTTCCCAACTCGTTCGCGTTCCTGAATTGGATATGTAAGCCGAACTATATGTGCCTTATTATATATAATAGGATTGATCATGTACATTGCTACTACAAGTAGAATCCTTGAATGCAAGCCAACTTGTTTGATGGACATTATAGTTCTGAAGAGTCGGAGACGCTTTCACATAGACGATCCTAGTCTAGGCTATCAATGTGAGTGCCGCTTTCTGGTCATCGGCGCGCTCGTAGCTCGTGGAGCCCAGATGCCAAGACTGTATAGTGAGCGAATTGCCAACCTCAACTAGTCTAGACCAAGCTAACGATACACAAATTTACAAAGTCGCATAAACTCGAGAATTCAGTGGCCTATCTACGCTAACTCGTCTTATCCTGAATCGCACTCCCAGAAAGACATATCGAATCTAGTAACTTTTGGGAATCAAATATAGCTTCGTGAACTTTGGTATGCTCTACTTGCACAAGCTTCGTGAACTTAAGGTCGCTTATTGACTTCTGTAGCACTCAACAGCATCCAAAATCTGACCAAAGCTGGTAACTGCCCAGAAAGACTTAAGCCGCAAGGAAATAGTGGATCACCTTACCATCTGAGATTATTATAACGTAAAAGTATCCGCTCAGTCCTATGCAATTGATAATAAAGGGCGGGACACGCTATATAATGAGTCCTATACATTGTGCCATTGCCCGTCCGATGTCGAATGGGTTGTGCGGGTATTATTGTATGCCCGGAAGTCGATTTAACATCTTCCATCGAGTCTCTGATTCGCTGAAGCCATTCCAGAACCCTGGTTTGCGCTCGGATAGATCCGACTGAATTGAGTGAGCTGACGCGTACTTGGCGGGGATTTGGACACTGTTAGGGAAGGCGTCAGGAACAAGCAATAAAACCACGGGCGAACTGTCGAATTCTAGCTTCAGAGCATACTTTTGGGTTAATGTAGTGCCTTGCCTTCTGTAACCAGATTTTAGTCATTCAGCTGAATTGTCGCGTGACAGATTCAGACCAAAAATACTGTTTAGTTGAGCCGGCGAGGCCGGAAGCTTCTGCCGTCGAATCAATTGGCGCTATGAGAATTGTGACTTGCTGTACCGCAAAACCAGATGATTTTGATTTGTTGAGACATCGTGTTGGAGTTTTTCCACAGCTAAAAGAAATCAGGGAATGTCACTTGCATGTTGACACACCAACAAACACTACAGCACGATGTCGCGGTCTATATCAGCTCCGATGCAGTACTACACCCAACGCGACTGCCTGGATGTTCTTTGAGTAAAATCACCTAGACTAGAAAGCAGAAGATCGAGCCTTAAGAGCATCGTCGTGTATCTCAAAATGTCCAGATGCGCCGTCTTGTTTCATTCTAGGACCAGTTACCAATCCCTGAGAAAACAATGTCCTATGTGAGCCGCGTTATGTTTTATGACCTCGTTGGGAGTCTAATTTCGTTTGTCAATATTTCAGTTCAGACTCGGACTGTGAATATTTGCCTCGCCTTATTATACATATTAATGAAACCATAGTCTCTGATATCATGTACATACTATATTACTATATTGCCGGTGAAGGCACAAACCAAAATAAAGCAAAAGTCACCTGGATGAAATATCATTGTGAGAACAGCAAGGTGACTCCAGCGAAGAGTGATGTTCTCGTGATCAGATGAAGTTTAAACATCGTACAACTTAACGCAAATGAAGTGTGAAGTCACGTCGGGGCACGGCTATTAAAGACGTAATTGGATTGTATCAAAGGCACCGTCCAATACCTTTGCGATGGTATATGTGCCATTCCTTCATGACAACGTTAGCGCTGATCCATTGTATTTAACACAAGGTATTAGGTGACATTGTTTTTGATTCTCTTTTAATGACACTTGGGCTTGGCCAGGCCAGTATTCCGCCTAAAACACATTCTACCAGCACATATCCATCCATTGGGTCGTACTCCAGCTTGGGTCTCAACAGGCCGTGTCAGTAAATTGGCTGCTGCCCACATGAATGATGAAAACAGGTCCAGTACGTACAGAGGTCAACGGGGCTAATGACTCCGTGGCTAACAGGCTGATCGACTGAAGCGATTTATCTGTATGCTCGCTAGAGTCTATCCTCTCCAAAATCGATCTAGACGCTTGATGGCCGTTGATGTTTGTGCGCTTGCTCCTTGTCTTGGTGAGGAGCAAGCATAGCTGAGGTCAAATCAACTCTGGGCCGGTTCTTGAATGGAAGCAGAGCCAAAGAAGCGCCAGCCAACCATGTGAGTACAATGTAGGGTTACAGATGAAAGATCAGTAGAAGCAGTTACTGCAGATCCCCGCTGCGCAAAAGATTAGGCGTGCGGGAAAGCATGGCCGGTTCGTTTGTGTTCGGTGGGGATACGAATTTCGTCTAATACTAACATGGCGTGACTCAACTCGATTGGATTCCAAACCCGATCAAGCAACTACAATAGATTATCATTCTTGTTGAGTTGGATATCAAATGTACAGGTAGGATTACCACCCATGAATTTGGCCTATGTTGTAACAGCCTGTTAGATAAGCAATATTTCCATAACGAGAGCCTGCGTTATAGCTATGATATTCTCTAAGCAATCTATGGCGGATAAGAAGCAGCCAAACCAGACATTTAGAGGCACAAACTTGTGGTCACATACCACGCGGATCAACATTGCATCCCAACCACAAAGAGAAATAATAGTAGCCTCTGAAGATGCCTGTATGACGAATTTAGATAGCAGACCCAGTTTCCACGGCCTGATATTATCTAATAGTCATCCTAGTATTACCAATGATCTCGCTATTTTTCCATTACAGAAGGTATAAAAGTGGCAGAGAAGTTGCCACTATAATGTATACGATCATTTGGCATGCGGTCGAGCAGATTATCAGTTGCTAAACTAAGCTCAGTTTAGATATGAGCTTCTGCTGCAAGGAAATCTTTGAGTAGTAGGCCAATCCATTCGGAATATTGCCTCAAGTAGAAATACCTTTACGTCCAGACTAGCTGCACCGAAGAGTTGTCACGTATCAACGAACTTCAGTGATCGCCAAGGTCCGAATGCTGCATAAACGTATAATGCAAATGGCGACTATTGGGTGGTCTGAACAATCTGAATAATAATATTTCACTAATGAAGAACTTTCTATAATTGAGAAGATTCAGATATTCAATTCGTACGTACGACTAAATCCCACTCCTTCAGAAGACCACGAGCAACATTCCTTTTTGAGATGATAGGCCTCCACTTACTAGATATACCTGGAACTTTGGAAGATTTTGCAGCCGCTATAGCACAGCCTAGGCAGCAATGCAGTGATCTGACAACTGCAAAGCCAGGCGCAAGGCTTAGTGCAACATTAGCTTTTTTGTACGGCTCCAATACCCTGGTGCTATAAATTGAACCATCCTGTGGCCATGAAGGACTCCATCCCTTCAGAATATCAGCGAAGCGCCAGGCGTGGACATCGCCGGAACAGTCCGAAACCAGATCATGAGCTCCATCCTCGCCGTGGTGAGTACAGCTAGGGAAAGAGCTGTTGGACAGATTCCACAAAACTGCGGATGGGTCAATATTTCGAAGGTAGACTTTGCTTCGAACAAGGGTCAGTGGTCTGTACAAGACATCTGTGGTCCTGATTATGGGCGTGGCAATGGTGGCCTCGTCTTCGTCCACATCAAACGGATGTATATCTGATCAGCTGATTCCGGTCAACACATACTTCTTGCAGCTATTCTCTTACCTTTTTGATCGGGTAGTTCATCTTCTTCATTGTAAACTCTAGTCTCTTCTGCGAGAACAACGCTAAAATCGCCCGTGATACCACCGAGCTGATATCCAGAAATGAGGCTAAATAGCATCGCTCTATTTTTGTTTCAGCTTCGAGCTCCGTCCACCCGGCTACCATGACCATCGATCCGTATTGAACAGCCGATGTGCATGATGCCCCAGACATATGACCTGTTGTGGTCACGTCGAACTTGATGCTACTCCATGGAAAACCAAGACACACAACGCTAGCTATAGCGAACTATGTATCCCATAGGATCAATACTCCAGAGATCAGCTGATAGAAGAGCTTTGCAACTCTCCATTTCAGGTCCTTTGGGTTGACCATGCCCGAGACATCCAGAACGCCAAATCCTTCTGCAATGACGTGTCCAATCAGTGTAAATAGGTCGGTCAGGGCCATTTCAGTCAGGAATCCAGGCCGAAATGCTCCATAGCTGACTGAATTTCCGAGTCTGGACATCCGGAATTCAAGCAGCTCGCGGATGTTATCGAGAATTGTGATAACTCCAGGGAATAGCTGCAGTACCTTCATGATTTTATCGTAATCTTCTGAAGTAAATCCTAAACTTAGGGTTTCAGAGTAATCTACAATGTCGATGTGCTCCGGAATTTCTGGAGGTTTGAATGTCACAATATCTCTCTGATTTGTTTTGCCGAACTTTCTTCGAAGCAAGTCTGGCTATCTTGACAGCACCATATTCACGCTAAATGTTCCCTCGTCTTGCTGTAGAGCTGCGCGGAAACCCCGATACTTGAGGCAGGCTTTTCCCGGAGAATCATTCCAGAGATGTATTGGCTTGAGTGGGAGGTCTAGCATCCATTGCGCGGTTGACTGTATGCTTAAAAATTCGTCGGGGTGGAGAATCCCTTGACTCTAGACGCCTGGTTCTGTAGGTTTTGCGAGAAATGATATATCGTAGTGTTCGGCGCGTGGTGGGGACATAGTGGCCTCTAACCTCGTGAGCTTCGACGTTTAAGAGTATCTTTTTTTTGTCTCATCACCCGTAGATACTTGGATAAAAGGTTCAAGTCCATACTCGTGCGTTGGACTGGCTGGGTCACATTTCTCTTCCACGAAGATAGTTAGGCTCGAAAGACTTTTGGGCATGAGATTGCGATGAGTTTCTTTCCAGGTATGGAGACCTCGATGGACCCTTGAAAATGAAAATGTCTGCTTCTACGACGTGGCGACATGTACCAGACTCCAAAAGTTCATCTGAAAATTCGGGGAGCCCAAGTCCACGGTTGCCAACATTCTGCGCGATGCTCTCTACAATCTTTTCTATCACGGGCCTGACCCGTGTCCGTCGAATGTCATATGGATTTTGAGGGCCATGACGATGATCTGGACAATGTTTGTCATCATTGTCGACGGCCATGTTGCACAAGCATTGCAAGATGAGCGGAAGGTCGTGGAAAGCCATGGCGGCTGCCACGGTTCTTACAATGTAGCAGTACTTTTCAGAAGCTGCCATCATCTGCCCTACACAGTTGACAATATGAGCGCGTAAGCCACCGGCTTTCTAACTGGGTGGTGCTGTAGTCAGAACGTCCGCTCGGAGCTCAAGGCCCAAATTGTTTGGAAAGGCCTTATTCTTCAATAGTTTCACACAGTATGTAAATTCTGTTTCATCTATACCACTTCTATCAATCCATCGAAGTAGCTGTGTTCCGACCTGTACAGTAGAGTTGCCATGAACGGTTAGGTCGGCAAGATCTCTAGTGAGGTCCATCCCTTTTGTGATTAGATTCATGGCTTTTTATGGTAATTGATGGCGTGATGCTTTGATGGAAGCAGCGAGTAGCTACTAATTCAAGGATACAACTAATGACAGTAATTAGAAGGCTTAGTAAGCCTTACCTCCAGCAAGAAACACAAGATTATCCCGTTGCAGAGCACCATTGGATAAGGCAGATAATTTATAACCCAAGCGACTACGCGGGGCAGTTTAGGAGTGCGCAAGAGGCAAATGTAGGCAACGAAAAGGCAGAATGTAGAGTGTGCAAGGAACCTAGAAACTGCCCAATGGGGCCCTACCATTGGCCCAGCACATGAACGGGGCGTAGTAGAGACGATGATATCGGCTTGTGGCAAAACAACATGTTACTCCAGTGCAACGCAATATTCTCCCATTGATTAATCCACACCGACCCCCCGTTCAATGGTACCTAACTGTAGGTATGTGCCCTAACGTCGAAGGTACACACGCTGCCTTGATTGACTCCACGCCTCATCCAGCCTTATCAGATCGCATTCTTAATACGACTTAGCAAGCATTTGAGATGCTGAGCTTAATGTTGTATTCTAGGCCTTACTCCGACTCTATATCCAAGCTTAATGTAAAGAAAATAACCTTCATCGTAGACTTATGATTTCAATAAGTGAGCATTGAAATAGTGAGTGTTGGCTGTACTATTATAATGGAAGGGCTAAGCAGATCGTTTCGGCTTTTGTCGGAGTTGTTCTCAGCTTGATCAATATAAGGCTTGAAAGATAGGCCTTCCAGACAGTTTTCTTTCTCGTGCTTTTACACTTTTGTCGCAGTTAGTCGTTGGTTTTGGAGCGATGCCTTTAAGACAACGAGAATGGCTCGTTGGCACCAGTTAATGATATTTTGGTTGTCAAACTCATCCATTTCACACATTATCTACTAATCAGTTCACGAAAGAGCCTGCGAGCGCATCGTGAGGCCCATAACCAAGGGACAAGACAGTGGCCCTGGTTCAGCATAAACTCTAAGTTTTGTAAAGGTGATAAAAGAGAACCGTATGATGTTTAAGTCTGATAAAGGATTAAACCATTCATGATAAGTAATTGATAGCTTTCTTCTTACTATTATTTAGATTTTAAAGTAATATTTTATTCATTAAGAACGGGCATTTGAAGTTGGCGTTTTATAAGACGTTAGAATTTTAGCTTGAAGACTTAAATACAGGATTAGACGAGTTAATGTTTTGCACAGCTTACTCAAGTGATCTTAAACAGTTTAGGCTTACTGAAGGGGTAAGGGTTATGCGTGTACTTAGATGACTAGAGCGCCAGGAAACCAGATATTCAGACTAATAGAGTAGTATCACTATGATAAAAATACATCTCAATTAATCATCGTCGTTGTCTTGATCCAGTGATTGGTTACGTTAGTTGCACCGTACACGTAATGCGGCATACCTGTTTAAGTTTGTTGAATAAGCATATGACATATATATCAAAACGTATAGTGTATAACAACCCTACCAAGGTCTGAATCTGTTGTTTTCCCACTCTTAGAAAAGCAATATTCCTAGGGGATAGGATGAGAGATGAAAACGTTCGGAGATACGTATTAAGGCAATATATCAATCGCCCTTCCACACTTTACAACTACTTCCTTATAATGTGACCATGACAAGTCTTGCAACAGCAGCTAATTTTCATTTTACATCACACTCACCACCCAAAAGTTCCTGCTTCTAAACCATCATGATCGAAATTCACCAAAATGGAAACTGTGCTAATTTTGCGATACATTTAAACGCATGATTTTTTAAAGAAGTGTTTATTACATCAGCGCACAAAGACATACGTAACTACAACCCACAATCACGCTGCTACTTGCCGTTGTTTTAACAAACAAAATATTAGCCTTTACGAGAACAGTCTTAAAACATGCAAGTCATTTTCTGTGGGATCGTAAGGTTTGTTTGCCCCTATAAGATTGACAAAGCAGAATATTGCTGTGAGACACAGAGGCCATGTATCGCAAACAATGCGCGTCCTTCCTGTCGTTAAGGCTGCGTTCAAGTTGCTCAATAGCTTCTCAGGTTGGACGCATATGTGGATTGGTCTGGAATTCACACATACGTGAGACTACCAGAAGCTTGGCAGTGAGCCATTATTTTTGTAGGCAAATCATATTCACTATAATTCAAGTGTTTGATGAAAGGAAGGCATAAAGAATGTATGAAAACCTGCAATTAAGTCAAACAAAGTCGCAAACTCAGACACAATTCTGGTAGTGTTGATTACTGGCGAGAACGAGCGATGTGTCTGCCTCAGAATAATCGATACCAGTAGAACTAATGAAGGACTATCATAATAAGGCGAAACGAGCGTGTGCCTTGAGAGCAAATTCCAACTTATTACTCGCTGCACAGACTTGCAACACAGCCGAGTGAAGACAACTGGTTAAAAGGCTTATGCCTGAATGACGACCGCAGGCAGCCGGTGGAAGCCACCGCAGCAAGCGACATTCTTCTGAAGCTCGGCCATCTTCTTCTGGTCAGCAGTCGGATCCTGGGATGGACCCTCGAGCGCCCAGGTCAGGTGATCGTTGGTGTAGTTGGGCACGTAGTCCTGGGGCAGGACACCCAAGCGCTTTCCATACTTGGTGACCTTCTGCCAGTCGCGGTCCACGTTCTGGAGGTCCTTGGAGAAGTAGGCGTAGGAGCGCTCAAAGATCTTATAGTTAACGGTCGTGTTCATGACCGGCTTGATGTCGATGTACTGCTTATACGCCTCCCCAGGCGACGCCAAAACGAAGTCCGTTGCCTTTTTGACTGCGCGGAGGAACTTGCGAACCTTCTCGGGGTTCTCGGCAAGAAAGCGATCGTTGGCTGTGGCAGTCAGTCGTGACTCAGTACTTCGCTGGTGTGCCAGGATACTCTTACCAATGTACAGGATGCTGCAGAAGCAGCAGCAACCGAGTTCGGCCAGCTCATCGATTCTGAGCATTTGCACGTCGTCGCGAGGACGGCCCTGGCCAGTAAGCCACTCCTCCAACTCCACCATCTGAACATTCTCAAGGCCGATACCAGCATCAATTGTACCCTCGATGATGGCCTTGCTGACATTCATACCACAGCGGACTGCAGTGTAGTCGTCAGGGGTCATTCCGTAGTGTGAAGTCAATTCGTCAATCTGGATCTTGCCGAATTCACCGACATAACCAATGCGTTTGCCCTTGAGAGTGTGGAAGTCAGGAGTGATCCCGCTTGACTTGAGATACACGACTCCAGTGAACGGTTCGTCAAGCAGGGAGCCGATCGAGGTAACAGGGAAGCCTCTGGCTTTGGCCTATTGTCGTAAGCCATGAGGTCGGAACATCTGATGATAAGACTTACAGCCAAGGTGTGAATCATGGCCTTGAAACCCATGTCGACCTTGCCGCTGCCGATGATCTCGGTGACATCGCTGGGATCATTGGGCTCAAGGATGGCGACTTTGATGTCTTCTTCAGCGAAGAACCCCAGCTTCTGAGCCAGGTAAAGGGGGGCGTGGTATGGCGTGGCGTGCCTGTTTTATATCTACTTAGCGTCGTTCGCTTATGGGGGTGAGAAAGGGAACAACTGGTCCGACTACTAAGAAGTGAGTCGCCAAGGAAATACTATTTACCAATTAGTGAGAAATGTGATCTTGTCTGTGGACATTTTGATAGATCAAGCAAAAGCTAAAGGTGTTAGAGTTTCTCCTTGATTGCAGAGGGAAGGGGAGCATGATTCTTGCGCTAGCATTATCTAGATCAAGTTCAGACGGTATAATCTCAGATCTGCTCCATACTAACTCCAGCATGTCACTCCTGTGCGTGCACGAGTCTTGCAGACTTGAACAAGGAGTGACAGTGATGAAGCTTTCTGGAGCAGAACACCCGCCATGCTTTAGACAGTTACCTTGATACGTAGAATTCCATTGCGCCAGAGTCTTGCGTTGCCATTTCGTACCTGTGGCGAAGACTGTTCTTGCTTTGAGAAAAGATTCGGTGATGATGAACAATACAAGGTCAAGACCGTGGCTTACTCAAGTCGGGAGGATTGGCCATGTTATAGTCCAGAACTGTCCGACTCTTTACCCCTCCCCGGATACGGACTGCCCCTCTTCTGTGGTACAAAAGATTAAATTTAGGCGGTTGATCTGCGTGGGTAGTATTCGCGTAGGATCGTATCGTCCACGTAGTGTGCAGCACTAAAGCAGCACTAGAGCCGCTTAATCACTCAATATTGATCAATCATTTCTTTTTCAACTCAAAATGTATGCCTGTTGAGTGCTAGCCTGGAGAGTAAACTCCAGAAGACAAAATTTCACGCAATCAGGCATTACCTTTGATCTCAACGACTACAGTCCGGCGGTCAACTCGGTATCCAGGACTTTCGGTCTTTTGTCTGCTATCGGCCCGTACCACCGGAGCGACTCCCGGCGACGATCATGTCTAACTTTAAGCAAACATCAGTCCCCGCGGGCGTGCATGAGCGCTTTTAAGCGGCATACCAACCGTATTCGGTCTTCTCATCGGACGACATCATAAGACAATGACGTATGGTACGTTGCGGACTAATGAAGTACCGATGTTCCATCTTCTTGATATTTCTGCAAATGAACCACTTGTTCATCCCACATATTCCTAGTAGCTTGGTCGCCATAAGATGCCGCAGTAAATTCGCCTCTAACACTGCGATACCAATCAAATAAATGCCATGGGTCGCCGGGATTTTGAAAGACGTTTCCGATTATCATCAACTAGAGGGCTGAAAGCTTAGCTTGGGGCAGCACTATTGCGAGCGCCACTGAGGGTTAGAAAGATGGGCGGCCACGAAATATCTCAGGTTCAACGTGTTGAGATCATTTGTCGAATCCGGTTCGAGCCTCAATGGAGGCCTATCGCGTCTAAGATTCTCTACTATGGAATGGCTCAGTCACTGCCACTTCCTTGGCTCATCTTGACCTAGTACTCGCGGCATCCGGGTCAAGAGCCATCGCATGTCGGCGATGACAAGTCTTGCATGGAGTCAATTGTTCGTGGCTATGCCATGACGCTTCGAACCCGGTCAAACCTAGCGTGTCCGGTCGCTGATCAGCTAGCAGAGGGAGAAGCGCACTACTCCTGCTGGATGATTCATCCGTTGGATACATCAACATCCGGGTGGTGGCAGCGAGTCATCCCTGATGGTTTGTTGGCATCGCTGAGGTATTTGCCATTGAAAAAAAAATTCTGCCTCACTCGGCTCGCCACCGGCATGATCTCGGTGAAGAGGAGAGCCGTGCTTTCTCGGCACATTCCGACTTTGCAGGGTGCCTGTCCTATCTCAGTGAGCTGTGCCGGTGTACCAGGCAGCATCTCATCCTCTGAATGCAAAGTTCTGGGACATCTAAAGATAGGTTCAACCTCCTTGAAGGAAATATCTCTGTCTGGTCTAGAGGTGCTGGTCCAGCACCCAGCATTTTCGGACTTGCCCGACGTTTCACAAATGATGATTCCATGTCTTTTACCGATTCGGCAATTGAAAGGATCGGGCCCCTGAATTTTACCTATTTGTGTCTGCCTTCCAGTAGCTGGTGGTGATTCCGACTAGGTTTGAGATCCTTCCCGCGGCGCCACCGGTCTCGTGCTGCGTGTAACTTGAGACGGCGCAATGGAAATGGCCGTGTTCAAGCCAAAATTCACATAATTACACTTACACTCTCAGGAAGGAGGAGAATCAGCTCCCAATAACTTGCTGAGCGCTTATTAAGCGCAGTACCAAACGTTCAGCAAGGGGTTTTGGCCGCCATTTGCGTATGGGCCTAAGGGGGCTGATGGCGTTCATGCAGGGCAACAAATCAAAGAGAACTGATTACGCCGTGGGCTTGCAGCTCCTTGCATGACAGCGACGTATAGGTATTTTTGGCCATAAGGCATGACCATGAAAATAGCAAATGTTGGATCGGTTACCTGGTATCGGGGTGTTTTGGATGTTCGAGTCTGGCATCCTATTGTCCTTGAACTGGGTTAATTGGTCTATCTTACAACTCTAGGAGAAACAGCATTTCTTCAACTTAGGCTCAAGCCAGTTAGAAATTTACAAGCATGCATCCCTCAGGCAGTCTTTACAACTAACCATTTCTGACGCGGAACTAGGAAGTCACAGGGAGAATTATTATAGTTAAGATAACAAGCAGTAGGAGAAAAACATATATCTATGCAATTACTTCCGACCAAGCATGTATGCCATCATTTCGTTAGTATAGACAAGTGAAATGACTATATAGCTCTTCTCGTAAAGTGTACATGATTGAGAGTCTGGCGTAAAGGAATTGATCGTTAATGCGTAATCCAACAAAAGAAATGTGAAGCTCGTACGAATGCGTAATCGCAACCTCGTTCCGATGTTCGCCCAATGATGATCGGCCCTGTCGTCTTTTCATCTAGTCTTTCCACCGAGAATGCACCACAATCGCAAATGTCTTGCTGCCCAAACCTCGACTAGATTTAGGCTGACCATAAACTCCATGTTTCAAGAATGCTGCAGAATGAAAAGTATGCAAGACTTGGATGCTGGAACCCCGTTCCCTGTCACTACACCTGCTGATGCGATTCGTCGACACTAATAACGCAGAAGCTTGGGCACTCTGCATCATCTTCTCTCCTCAGGCCGCACACTGTTACCATAGAAACCACCTTCACCCTCAGAAGCCATACAAGCGAGACAGACCCCTCCTCCATAGACGCGGGTGTGCCGTTTCCAGCCTGCTCCCGTGTCATCCAAGACAGAGATGATTTCGCCTTTTACGTCAATGTTATGAACGTGGAAGGACTCATGCGGTGCCAATGGTAGAGTTGGACTCGACGAAGGGAGGGAGCTAGGCGAAAAGGCAGTGACACTTCCATCTTCCTCCAACCATGACACTGGTTGAGGTGGTCCGAGTGGTAAGATTCTTGTATAAGACCTCCGGCGCGGTGTAGCAGGCAGCTCGATGGGCTGAGCCGAGGCTGAGGAAGACGAGGAGGAGGAGGAGGAAAACGAGTAGTCCGGATTAGGTTGGCTGAAGAAACTGCTGTCAAGATCGCCTGTCATGGACAACGCCACGCTACTCCGCCGCCCCTCGAAGGAGGGCCTATTCATAGCCACCAAAGGACGTGTTAATGGCGGCGGGGGAAGTGGTCGTGCTCTCAGAAAGTGCTTCAAAGCCAGATCGGACTTGACGACATCAGCACCACCCCTATGTGCCCCATCCAGATCGTCCACGCCCCATAGTGATTCTTTCCTCTGATAGAGCGGTTCAAGCCCAGTATCGGCTTCGATTCGATCAAGCGGCGGCCGCTCGTTGGCTGACATGCCTATCCAAACACTGTTGCTGACCCCACGTGACTTTTCCCAAATTCCCTCGCCAAGGTAGTGTGAAGGGTTGACGCCCTCGTCTACCAGGTCCGTTACCAGTCTCGTCGAGTGTTTGTTTCTCTTGTCTTCTCTGATAAGTCGAAGTGCAACAACAAGAGAAACAACGGCGGCAGCAATGCTGATATGGATCAGGAGTTGCAGTGGGTACCGGGGTGCTAGGGATCCCAGGGTAAAAATGACATTACTCCGAGAATGGTCTAAAGCAGGATGGATGGCGGGCATGGTTGCTGTTTATGGAAATCTCACGGCAGCCGTAGTCTGCTCCCGTCTGGGGTAGGCCCGGTAGGGCATGCAGTAATGTGGCTTGCGCTGACAGAGTAAGGGCCGGACGGTGGGCCGGCGTCGATCGTAGGTGGAATTTCGAAACTAAAACCAACGAAATCCAACAGCAACACCAACTTGGTCGCACATTGATTGTAGGGACCCTGCAATTTTTGTATGAGCGATAATATTGACCTACTAACGAACTCATGCATAGCGCACCTAGGAAACAAAATCAGAGACCGATCAGATATTTGCTTACCGAGTAGACCTGCGCGTGACCTCACTTACAGAGGACCTTGGCAAGGGAGACAAGTGATCTTGCGGTTCTGCTGGTACTGTACAAGTCGTGTCACCACGAAGGCTTATATATCCAGAGCCACTTAAAGCCCCAGCCGCATGCGATGAAGATAATAGAAAGGCGCGATTACCGATAGGTTGCCATAAGGGTGGGCTTGCGGTCGTGTTCTACTACAGTAGATCCTTCCACGGTTTAGGCTTGAGAAAGGAAATGGGACGAGGTCATGTAGGGTATTAATGATGCGAGACTCGTACAACTGAGAAACATTATGAACTATGGCATTACCAGATCGGACGAGGGAGTCCTGGATAATATGGAATAAGAGGAGGAGAGTCTCGAGGGGGTGTAAATCTAAGTGGATGTGTCGTTATGGAGATGAGACCTTTCCCTTCCAGGCCCGCTATTGCTTCAGTCAGCCTCAAATCAAATCCACACGACATGTACAACGATACTTGCGCCTAGCGTTTTGCCCTTTTGTGTATTCTCCGGCCATTTCATTGGATGGTGTACTATTGCAGATGCGGAGGACGAAACAAACAGGAAAGACAGTGATGATTGGGGGCCGCCACAATCTGTGTGGAACCTGAATCGGAGGGAACCAACATTGGAGGAAAGAAAGCAATACTTGCCACAACTGGGTCTGGGGACTCATTTCCTTGAAGAAGTTTATTTCGAAAACTGAATCGTGCACTGCGGAAACAGAGACAGTCGTCGTAACTCAGCAGCGGCGAGGAACCCGCTGTAGCTTTCCGAGCCTGTAGGTTTCAGCGGGCCTTGTTTGATGTTTCGACAGACGATGTCAGCACTAACGAACCCACTGCCAAAATCCTTAACACACTAGCACTGGGCGGTTCGGGGCAAAATAAAGGTCTTCGAAGTGCTAAAGTTGCTTCTAGAGCAGCCAATTGCTACTTTCGTTTACTGAACCTGGCCGAAGTTTGTCAGATCTGTGGCCATTCAAGTCCAATGTCGTCAATACTATGTGAGAGGGTACGCAGCATACTGGCCCACGTTCAGCCGTAAGCCCTCATAAGCGACCAGGTAGTGGGCAGAACCCAAAAGGACCACAGCGCCTGAGTGTCAGGAGTTTCCTGGTCATGTCGCATTATTGTGTCGCAAAAACACCTGCACAAGAGTGGTAGCATACTAAACGAGCAGACGTTGGGGCCGAAAGACCGGCATTGCTGACAAGGATAAAAAGTCCGAGCAGGAGGATTTGTAAAGGGTCTCAGGGTTTGGCCGACAAACGGCTTTTCCAAGAGCTCGATTGTGTAACAGGGTTTGGCTTGGGTGATCATCCCACTCCGTATAGGCAGCGGAGATGGACCTAGCTGAATACTGTACTCCGCACATATGTACATTGCATAGCCACAGTATCTAGGTTAGTTTGGCAAAGCTCTGAAGCGAGACAGAGGCAGCTGAACTCGCGCTGCACGTCCATTTGGTGTGCCTACCTTGAGGTATGTACGGGCGTGACGTTGATCAAAGCAAGCGAGCGGCTACTATTCGGAACCACGCTTGTTGAGTGGGCGTCAATCGCAGGCCGCATTCTGACAGTTCGCAGTACCGCATGTGAACGCCCACCAATCTATGTTGCAGGTGGTTACTTAGGGAGCCTCCATCTCCACCGTCCACTGACGGCCCCGTGATCAGCTAAACGCCGTGACCATGTAACAATTGGGGTTAAAGTCTTCCTGGTACAAGCACTTCGAAGACTTAGCATAATTTTAGGGATGTGGTTTGGCGCCAATCATGGACGGAATTCTGCATAGTATTTGGAAGGTCTTTTGTCCCTAGACTAGACTAGTCTAAGGTTAGATGATGCTGGTTCATCTTTGGATCATACTTTGAATCAATGCCCACTCTGCCACGATAAAGCAACTACAGGCGGGGTTTCGTATGTAGTACGGAGTAAGTAAGTTAGTGGACCGCTGGCGGACAAGGCACAGAAGCTTAAAAGTTTGTCATCCATACATACAGCAGGTCAATGCTGGGGCCGTTGATATTTCAGGCGTCACGGCATGCATATCGCCTGCAGCTGCAGCACACACAACCTGCATGGTTATCAAGATTCGAAATACCGATTGCCCAGGTCTTCAAGCCATGTGCTGTTGAGCTGCATCCGAACTGCATCCTGTTGGTGTGACCTCAATGCAGCCCCCCTGTATGACATGACATATCCTAGACACAGATAAAGGCACCAGAACAACAACAAGAACAACAGCATTGCTAAGACCGGCCCAATTTCTGGGTGGTACTGGGAGACCGCTTCGTTCCTGAATTGGCAGAATGTTGATGACGAATCGCGTGGCTGTACATACCTGAGTGGCTATTGTACGTAGCTGAGATTTCTCCGCAAGGCCTTATCCTAATTTACAAAGTCCCGAAAGCCCAAAGAAAAATGAGAAAAGTACGGATAGATACTCCATGAAGCTCTTGGCATGGTGTATTTCAGGCTTGACGTCCAAAGGTCAGTCCCTCGAATGTCCGTAGTAGCGGGGGCCTTGCAGGGGCAAGGCCTCCAATCGCCCCCAGGACCTGCGTACGTCGTCAGCTGAAAATCCCCTGCACTTCGGATTTCGACAACTTTATTCGCTCTTGGCTGGTTGCGACTGGTTATTCTTCCCAGAAACGCCGTCGCGCCCCCCGTCACAGTCAACTGGGTTTCAGCGATGGTCGTCTGCTTTGCATGTTTAGATAGATGGTATGGCTTCAAAGTCTCTTAAAGTCTGATCAATCGAAGGCAACGTTAGCCGTGGCAAGATGTGTTATGCGGTAGTATCTTACCCATGTGCGCGTAACTCTTCGCCCCTCGCAGCTCGTATCTCTCAGCGTGGCGATCAAGTATCATTGCTTTGCTCATAGAACGTTTTGTGCGTTCAGTATCGATGGTGCTTGCTTCACTGTATCATTCTAACCTAGGTTAGATATTGGAATGTGCTTGGTAACTTCTAGCCTGCTTGTCTGATTACATGGCGCACAAAAGCGGAGGATGCTCACGGTATCGCGCGGGATAGCAGTCAATAAGTTACTTAGACAGCCAGACAAATTGAGTCGACTTTCCTGATCTGGTCTCTATCTGTATCTTCATTTTACGGCTTCGAGCAGATCCAGAAGACCGGTAACGAATCACAGCTCGTTACAGCCTTATTTCTGGACAGCACTGGAGATCTTGCCGTGATTGATCAGGCTGGCTGCGTGATCCAAGAAACAGCCGTCGATTGCTGCAAAATATCCTGGACGGACCCCGAGACCCCCTCCACATATACCCCACACCGCTACTGGCTTGTTAGTTTTGCCCAATTCGTGTACGGATTACGGATAGTTATAGATTGCAGCTTGAGATATCGTGCCAACGACTCGTATCTTTCATGGGAAAGTGATCCCCCATATGCTTGATTGGGCGTTCTCTGCATTGGAGGCAAGCTTGCAAGTAGCCGATGTTCTGGTGTTCAGCCACTCTACTTTCACCAAAGGCCCCGGACGCACATCATTCTCGAATTACAGAGCATCTGCTTCACCGCTCGATGAAGTCTGACTCAACCCTCATTTCAAGTCTGCCGTCCATAGTACCGCCCCAAAGTCCGCAGGCTACACATCTGTATCCACCACACTGGACGCGATCCACATGTCTACAACGCGATGAGGACATACTCGTGTTAAGTTTCGGCGGCAATCTCTTGGCATGCTGACGCAGTTGGGTCCAAAGTTCACCGCCAGTGCCGACACTTACGGACGCATGCAGGAATGATAGAGCTCTATGCATTTCTCTCTGGCGAATCATTTTAACGCCGCTGCTTAACGTATAGCTTTGTCATATTTGCAATGCCCATTCGGAGCTCCATTTGTCGTCAACCTGCAATTCTCATGCACGCCGGCGGCAAAAGTGCGACACAAATTCATCAACCAAAACAGCGCTTACTCCCCCAATCCCACCCAACCCCAGTTTCCGTCTTACCCGCGCTATCATGGTTGGTAAAAGTGTCACTACCGGAGTGGGTGGCATCCTTTGCAGCCTTGCGTCGTAGTGTTCGGAATCGACTCACATGACGCACTGGCGCCAATTTGGCCGCTCGGAATTCTGTCCAAAAGATCCTCAGCCCTATGGCAACTTTGGTATTTTTGGCCGAGCGGGACGTAGATCAGCTGCATAAGGTTCCCGATCTTTTCAGCTGCGCCGTCGTATACACTTCCTCTGCAGCCGATTGGACGCCTTCCCCTGAACTGTCCACGTTGTCACATGCAAAGCCCATTGCTCAGGAAATGCACAAGCGCAGCAGCTCTTCCAAACAAAGCCGGAATGAGTCCTGCATCACAGTCAAAGCAGACAGTCTGGCTTTGATTATGAATGATATCATGATTCCAACCAGCAGGAATTATATCCTGGCTACGATCCTTGATGATGATCATTAACCCTTGTCGTTGATCATTCGGGGTTGCATGCCAACGACATGATCCTACAAGGCTGCAGCTGACAGGATTTGCTCCCTGATCATAGGCCGGATTACGAGTCCTCGCACCTCGAACCATTCGCCAGGAGGGTATATATTTGCCTCAGTCATCAAAACTTGTCAGGCTCGACTTTCATCATTCTCACAATAAGTACTTTTGGCATTTTCTCCCCAACCTCCTCGGTGCTCGTGATGACGCAGACCCAGTCGGCGACCATCTCACTGGAAACACTTCCGGTTGTCAAGCCTTGATCCAGGGGGCTAGATTCCATGCCAGACTTGTATCTCCTCTCAAGTGGACCAGCAAAGAAGCTTCTTACGAGATTGTACTAAGCTGCCGCGCCCGTATAGCCGGCTCCGACTCTCGATAGGTGTGAGCTTTCGGTCTTTCTATGGCCTAGAACACAATACTTGCACCAGTATACTTGAGGTGCATTTCGTCAAACCCTGGTGACATATACTCATGCCAAGGCGCCTTAGTAAGGATTGAGCCGTGATGACCACCTTAAGTAAGTCGCAGCCGGTACCGGTCGAGACACCAACTGCAGATTTGGCTATTTTACATTGGCATCGTGATGAAGACTAACTGGTTTTCGTAATAAACGCTCATCCCATTTGAATCATATGGATCGGAACGCAAGGAGCAGCCCGGTCAGATGTGGCTGCACGATTGTCGAAATTGCGACGTCCTCTCCATCTGACTCAGTTCAGTGATTGATATCGCATGTCATCTCCGAGCTGATCATCCTGACTATGGCTATACCTGATTACACATCAGAGTCTTCAGACTCAGCGATAATTGGAGGTCTGACATGGAGTCATCTCGATGTTCAGGCCGTTAAATCCGCCGCCGAGCATGTGATGAATGCTTTACACAATTCCTGTTCACTTTACGCAACATTCACCCTTTTGGGATTACCCGACGCCCACCGTGGCGTACAGATCAGTTGATAGCAAAGTGCTGCGGGTACCCGCTGCCGTGTGCCCAGAGTCAGCCAGACATCGCTCTAGCCAAGCTGACACTGCATCTTATATCGTAGGTTTTTAGTCTCAAACCCGGAACTCAAGCCATATCTTTTATCTTTTTCATGGGTTTTCTTTCAACCGGGACGGTTAGATTATCCGCGCTCGGATACCTGTTCTTGATTTTGTGTATCACCGTGCATATCCGCTGCTACTAAGACCAGCGCATCTCTCATCGATTGGTAAGCTCGCATAATGAAACTGCTTCCGGATTAGTCAGAGTCTAGATTAAGAAGACTGGAAAGTGCGGCTCTGTGAGGTAAGACCGGGACCGGAAGCTGGGAGATTTGGGGGGAATCCTAACGAGTGGTTGTTCCGCTCGCTCCTTGTGATGTGAAATCCTGATCAAGGACCTTGATGATATTATCTCACCATGCAGGTCAAGTGAGATTGGGCATGAGTACACCGATGAACGGGTAAGTTCTTTGAAGGGACTTCGAGTACAGAAACTGGGAGTATATCGGTGTCTCTGGGTATTTCGGTAGGCAGTGTGAGATAATGGTGCCGAATGCACCACTCGCTTGCTCGCTGATCACAGGGGGAAATTGGGACAACTTCGGACGCTAGAGCCGTTTCCCATGTTCCACGGCCTGGAGCGGTACTGCCCAATGTATATTGGTTTCTTGTCCGGGTCTATGCTATCGAAAACTGCTCATCGTAGTGTGGCAAGCAGAGGCAAATTCGCGTCCTTTGTTCTCTCTCATGTCCCCATTGCACGTGGGGTATGAGTGCTAGAAAACTAAATTCTAGATTCTCACGAGCGCTCTCACAATTGCGAAATCTTGGCAAAAGGAGTGAGTTTCGATATCGAGTGCTCGGGTAGCATGCGCACCGACAAGAACAAAGAACCAGACAATCAACAAAGAATGATGATAAATCAGCTCGGTCATATCAGAGTCATGTGACAATACCGTATTGACTCGTTGTCAAGCTTGCCTGATGCTCTGAGTATCGTCTTCGAGTACTTTTTGCCTCCCAGAAGCTATTGCTCACGTGTGATAATCAACTAACCCTGCCTGCCCAACATGAACAATTGCTTTCACAAAATGCATACATTAAATTCCTCGTGACGGGAACTGTTGTATTGGTAACTTCAAAAATGGGTGCACTCATCAAAGATTCAGCGCGGCACCTGATCATGTCGGACAATAGTGTATATGAGGCCACGTAGTGAGTCAGTTTTGAGTGGAACCGTCCACACTACTTTCATATTTCAAAATCGGTGACCATTCTTAAGACTTCTCAAGTAACCCCATCGGGATTTCAAGGTCTTGTTCCCCCGAGCAGAGCGAACGATTCTGCACCCGCCCGAAGCCTCAAAGCCAACGCCGGACGCGCCTTCGGATCCCCCTATCGACATGGCAGCCGGCTCCTCATAATCGCGGCGGAGCTTGCGGTGCTCCTGCTCTGGCTCGTGCCGCTGCTCGTCATAGTCTCGCGGCCCCGGGGCCAGTTCACGGTCCTCGATAGCGTGCAGAGGGCGGCCCCGGAGAGCGCGGAGGAGGACCGCGCCCGGGTCGCCTTCTTCATAATCTTCTACTGCGCGCTGCTCGTCGTGGTGACGAGTTCTGTCCCGTTCGCGCTGACGGCTATCTACTATTTTTCGGACGAGAAGAATGGGAAGGTCGCGGGGAGATGGCTTGATAAGGTTGTCGCTGGTAAGACCTCGGAAAAGGCGTGGTATTAAAGTTATTTCAGTATGACCATGCACAAGGTGGTAGCGCGAAGGGCTTGCTACTATGCCGTTAGTGTTGGTGGTTCCGGTGTAGTTGAAGAGGGGATTATGAGTGGGTGGACTCTAGACTCTAATCATATTTGAATGTCACGCTGTTTGAATCAAAATCTACTCAAGTGAATCCGATAACATTGTCAAAAGTCTAAAACGGAATGTTTGTTTGTCTACATGATATGTGGATGTTTCTGGTGAAACGATTCTCCTGTCGAAACAATAGCTAGTCGGATGCTAGCATGACTGAATTAGCAGCGGCTCGTAATATAACGTAGCTTTTAGCACCTGCAATTGTTTCCCATACACTGTGATATTCTCCGTCGATGACTTTGAGCCCCAACATCATCTCGCGTCCAAGCCTTCCAGCCACGAGGCAATCCACGCAACGCCTTGCAGCCCGTAGCTCGTTCCAAGCGAGCTGAAACACACAGCAACTAACGCAAGCCGCCGTCACATCGCGTGCTGGTTTATCCCTCAACCGGCTTTCAGTGTCAGCTGGCCATGGGCTACCGAAATATGCATGAATGCTGCGGCCCGGGGCACACGTGCTCGTAGTTCGAGAGCAAAAAGGTCACGATCTTCCCAAGCGACGGGCGATCAGCTTCCAAGGCGCGCATAGGCGTGGTTCTAGTGACAGAAGCGCGCGTGACCCGTCACGCATGAATAGTCATATTCGCATTGTGCGCCATCTCCATTGAACGAGGAGTTTGGCGCGTGGCGCATTCTAGAAAGCTGAAGCAGCTCGTAGGGCAAGCGCGCGCACGCCCAATGCCTTCCTTCAGCAACTGGCGGTCTGGATCTCGATTAACGTGGCGTTGTCAAATACCAGCGAGACGTTGTAAAGGGTGTAAGGGAAATATCAACGCTATTTATCTCTATCTGGCGATAGCAAGTTGAGTCTATAATGCGCCTCCGCATGGGTCCTAATGATTCAGAAACCAACTCTCTGGACAAATGTTTCCAGAGCCCATTATTTCACGCCGCGCAAAGTTGCGCAGAACCAAAGAAACCGTAACGCCTTCTCTATGCAGATATGAGCCGGCCGATACCGTCACCCTATTTATATCCAGTTGGCCAGTGAACACTCAATTAAGCCCGGTGCTTGTCGAGCTACTTGCTGAGCTTTCTACCAGTTGAAACCTCGCCGCTCTTTGTGCTCTTGACGCCCTTGACGCTCTTTGAGCTCTCCGCCTGTTGAACACTCGACGGCACAAAAGGTCCAAACCAAAGCTTCTAGCAGGCTCACTCTAATCCAACCGATCGTCGTCCTTGTCGTCCTCGCTGTCCCATTCGGCCTCGACTTCTCCTGTCTCCGCCTTGCGTTTCGCATCCTCTACCATTTCGCGGTAGGTACTCCAGGAGAGCATGAGGAATGCGGCAATGATTGCGCCGCAACCAACTATTGCCACCTTGCTCATGCCCTCGCCCGTCCTCATCCAGTCCACAATTGCGACAATGAATATCGTCAGAAGGGCGGCAACGGAGCTCAGAACAGGGCTAGTCAGGCTGATGAGAACGAGGAAAGATCCTGCGAACGTGGCGTTCATGATCACGCTGTAGAACAAGTACCACGCAGCCTTGCCCGTGGGAAGCTCAAATGTCTCAATGTCCAACCAGTGTAAGAGAGGCAGGGGAAGCCAGAGCACGGTCAACGTGAATGTTCCGATGCAGCTGCCAAAAGTGTTGGCGAAAATCATTCCCCTCGTAGCGCTGATGTTCTCCGGCGGACAGGCCCATCTCTTGTACAGTACCTCATAAAGCCCGTAGAGGATGCTACCGCCACCAATGATCAGATTGCCAAGGAGCCGCAAGCTCGCAGCAGGACCCTCACCGGCTGCATCATCTTCCTTGCTGTCTCCATATGCGACGGCCATAACGCCAGCGATAGCGATAAGGACCGCAAGGCTCTTGTCGAGCCGGAATTTCTCCTTCAGAAGCGGCACACTAAAGACGTAGGCGAAGAAGGCAGAACAGTTGTAAATGGCAGTCAAGTCACTCGGGCTCGTCATGTCGACCGCCACGTACCAGCTAAGCCCGGCGACAGTCAGGGAGGTGGTGATGAATGCGGTGGTCCTAACCAGATAAGGCCAAGGACTCGTGGTCGAGATATGTCTGGGGACGTCGAGCGTTTGGCTCCGGACCATCTGTGCCGTGCTCTTGACCAGGTATACGTGCCGCCTCCAGAAGGTTGGCCACGGCGTGTTCCAGTTCTGCACTCGCAGGAAGAGCAGCTGCGCAGGCCAGAGCAGGGACCAGGACCCGTGTGTCAGGTAGAGCATGCAGTAGGCCTTGTTCCATCCGAGATCTTGCTGCACGATGGTTCCCAGCTCGGTCTGTACGACGAAGGACACCAGAGACACGAGGAGGAATACCGCAGCCAGCATGTACTTCTTCTTTGCTGCCATCTGCGCCTGCATGTCGGGGGAGCGGGATCGCATGGTGGAGCGCCTCGAGAAGTTGGGACGATGAGCTGGGGGTGTGTCGGGCAAGGGTGAAGGCGTCCGAGAATGGTTGTAGCGTGCGCGGCCTCGCTCCTCGTCTATCTGAGAGAGCAGAGGCTGCCCGGAGCGGTGCGGCCGGGGCTCCATGTCGTCTGCGTCGCTGTCGTATATGTCGAAGCTCGAAGGATGCCTGATCTTGGGGCTGCTGAGGGCGGGGGACCTGTCGTCGTAGGCAAAGGACAGGCGTTTATCGTAGGCTGGAGTGCGGCCACCGACGGTATCGGTCCCGCTACCGATATAGTCCTCGAGGTCGTCGGACTCGGCTGAAAGCGTAGAGAATGCGGGTGACGGCTCGGATCTGGCAATACGGGAGATATGAGAAGGCAAGCTGGGCGGCGGTACCCTAGATAAGCGGATGTTGTTTGAAGGCATAGTAAGTAAAAGAGAGACTAGAATTTAAGACAGCGAATGACAGAAACTGCAACACAAGACAGACGCCTCGCCGAACTGCAAGCCACAAGTGGAAGGAATGGGTATGTACTGGATGCAGTAGACTAGATTAGATTTACACGTGGAGGTTGCGATATGCAAGTTGGCGAGTCCGTCTGCCTCCTATCCAGTGATTCCCTATCGCTAAGGGGCGCTAAAGGGGTCCCCTGACGGGGTCTGACGGGGGGGTTCTGACGGGGTACCAGCACCGCAGATTGGGGCCAACCCCAAGATGACGCGCAAGGACAAGATGGCCCTTGGCAGGGCATGGCGGCGCACCCTGCGACCCGGTTTACAGTATCTTATCGCGCTTGGCTCGCTAAAGTCGGCTCTGTCGGCCGGCACAGTCAGAGCCGAAGTCGATATCGAAGTCGAAATCGATGTCCGACACCGAAATTCAATTCTTGAACGGAAAAGAGCGAACAATTACGCACCGTACGACACTCGCCTGCTTTATTTCGTTTCGTCCCCTGCCTCGAAAGCATTCTGCAATGGTCGCTGTTGACTTTGTATTTGCATGCTTACACGTTGGAAGTAGCATTTTGATGCTGACTAGACTAGCCTAACCTTAGTTTGCACTAACCTTAGTCGGTCTGGACTCTGCTCCTGTACGTGCTGGCCGAAACCCAGTGATAAATGCCTGGATTTAGACCATCCGCCTGACTAAGGTTAGGTAGGCCGGCTTCGTCTATAGGCCCAGAGCCAGTAACTTCATAAAGGCTGCTCTTCATCCTGCGCTCCGCTAAGACCATCAATATTGCGAGAACACCCTACCGGACGATTCATCATCACTTGTTGGCTATCGGTGATTACTCGTCTTATCTGAGACACCAGGTCTGCTCTCACAGGGAAGTGAGTGCATCGCCAATTTTGTTGTTCATCTAAATCCGTCACCATTCTTGAGCTGAAGCCACGCGAGAGTCGAACCTATGAATTCAAGCTTTGAATTTCTATCGTAAATGCCCGTTTGACACGGAAAAAGGAGGCTGTGATGCGCTGGTTTTACTCTCAGGCATTTCTTCACATGTCCAAGGTTGGTGCGGTCCCGCCATAGACGACCTATTGAACGCTTATAATCCTTATTTTGCGAATGAGCTTATTGTAATCTCAAGTAAACATGACGATTCGTTTCAACTAGAGTCCCGTTTAAACCGACAACGCCGGGCGACGTCAGGACAGGTCGAACATGCCACCGACTTCCAGGGTCGAAATGTTGAGATCAAATCAGCCTTCTGCCAATGCACCGCCATTACCAATTCTCTTGCGACCAGCATAAGCGGTATAGAACGTATTTACGAACAAGGCCTCAAAATGCCAGTGGTAGTCCGTTACCGATGTGCCAGTGCCTTCGCGACAATATTAGGCTTTCCCATTAGTAGGTAATAATACTAGCTTAGGGATGTAGGATACTATCATCGCACTACAAACAGCACAGTGGGCTCAGAAGAGGGACAGGCTGGAACTGTGCCAGAAGCTACGTTCGTCTATCGCCGGCTATCATAAGAATGTCTAGTCAGCCGTGAATACCGGTATAGCTGGGCTTACCTTGGGTGTGAGGCTTTGCGAGATGTTTACTTGCCGCTGACGCGAACGCGAACTCGTGAATATTAGGAGCCCAGCTTCAACACCTTGACACTGGGAGATGATCACCCGGGATTGAACCAACGTCGTCGACAAGATACCCGCTAGATGTTCGCCCCGACATGCATCTGCGCTATCTACCTCTAATGTCTGCCCATATGGCACTCGTCCTGGTCACTCAAGCAGAGGAAGAATCGGTAGGTGGCTCGCTTTGACTGGAAAAGATATTTGCCCGGCGATAGACATGAAACGGCATATTGTTGGGAGATATTACTACGCGCTGCAAAAGTTGAAGTGACTTCTGGGCTGGCAAGCATTGGGAAGACTTTGGCTTCAACAGCTGAATTGAAGTGACATGGAGCTTCCGAGATCCGGAGGCCGAGCTGAAGTTCCTCATTCTGACGAAATGTAGCAAATCCCATCCAACAACGCATATTCACAGAGGTACGCCAACATGCTCACTCGGCTTTTGGCCAGTAATTACCATCGGAAATCCTGTCGTAAGCAAGGACTTCACACGCCAGATCTCCGATGTGATCATCACCTGGAGTTAGCAACATAACCAATCGATTGCTGAGGTATTGACTGCCCGACCATTTTATCGATTAACATCCGTTGGGACAAAACTTCATGATGATTGCTGCGATTATGGCCGCTAGCAGGGCAACAGTAATATATATACTGATATTTGTGTGCCTACGTTAGATGGGACGCCTTTACCGGCAATATGGGCTTTTGCTAAATCGCTATACCGTGAACGTGGATCATGTTCCATTCCTATACCCAGGGCTGAACCAAGAGTTGAGAGCCTTTGTGAAAAGTCTTCGCGAGATGTAAATGTATAAATGCTGCTAATGGTGTCCATGTTGCCGACTGGTCGAATGACTATTGTACGACTTGGACAACTTAGAAGAAGACCTGCACCGCATTCGGCAATAAGACTGTTATCTGCGACGTTAAAACCCTGGCCCCATCGACTCTTGTGATCCGGCGCTGGGATGCCCCTCATTTGGGGGTTGAAGCGGGGTCGAGCGACGTCAAGCACCCTTGACGTCGATGTCGCGATTGTCCATTGCCCCCATCATATACTCCGTACTGTACAGGCTTATCGCCGAACAATTGCTCATTCCGACCAATTTGCTCGTTCTACCAGATGGAGAGTATATAGTATATAAAGGCGCCATCTTCTCCCTCCCGTGCCCAGCTTTTCGTACCACACTTCTACAAACTAATCCAGCCCGCTGCCGTCTAAGTGAACCTTAGTCTAGTCTGTTCAATAAGTAGAGCAGGCACCTTCCTGTATATACCACTTATACAACTAAGCCCCCCTTCCGACCAACCCCCCGAACACAAAACCACTCAAGATGCCTCTCCTCCCAACCTCGACCGGCCAGCCCCGCGTCATCCTGGGCCTGATGACCTTTGGCCCGTCGACGAAGGATGGCGCCCGCATCACGGACATATCTGTGTACAACTCGGTGCTGGACAAGTTCCAGGCGCGGGGCTACAACGAGGTGGACACGGCACGGGTCTACGTCGGCGGCGAGCAGGAGGCCTTCACCAGGGAGGCAAGGTGGAAGGAGCGTGGCCTCACCCTGGCGACCAAGGTCAAGTACCCGAGCGCGGACGGGGACCACGTCGAGGAGAAGGTCATCGAGAGCGTCGAGAAGTCGCTCAAGGAGCTGGGCACGGACTGCATCGATGTGAGCCCATCATTTTCCCCTCCTATTTCTTTCCTGCACCCCCGTCGCTACGATCTGTTTGCGATATCATGCCCGAAAGACAAAAGACTGACACGTGATCCCCCTTCCTGCAGATCCTCTACATCCACGCGGCGGACCGCGCCACCCCCTTCGAGCAGACGCTCTCGGCGCTCGACAAGCTGCACAAGGCGGGCAAGTTCGTGCGCCTGGGTCTGTCCAACTACACGTCGTTCGAGGTGGCCGAGGCGGTGCTGCTGGCGCGGCAGCACGGCTGGGTGCGCCCGACCATCTACCAGGCCATGTACAACATGATCACGCGGGGGATCGACGCGGAGCTGGTGCCGGCGTGCCGGCGGTACGGGCTCGAGATCGTCGTCTACAACCCGATCGCGGGCGGCCTGTTCTCGGGCAAGATCAAGAGCGCCGACATTGACCCGTCGCGCATCGAAGGCCGCTTCGGCGGCGACAACCCTACGGGCGCCAACTACAGGGCCCGCTACTTCAAGGACAGCACGTTCCGGGCCCTCCGCACCATCGAGGAGGCCGTCTCCAAGCACGACGGCCTGAGCCTCATCGAGACCGCCCTCAGGTGGACGGTGCACCACTCGGCGCTGAAGGTCAAGGACGGCAACGACGGTGTCATCATCGGCATCTCGAGCCTCGAGCAGCTGGATGGCAACCTGGACAACTTGGAGAAGGGACCCCTGCCGGACGATGTCGTCGAAGCTATCGATAGGGCTTGGCTGATCACCAAGGCCGAGGCGCCGAATTACTGGCACAAGGACCTGGTGTACAAGTATGATACCGTGCAGGCTCTCTTCTCGCCGAAGAAATAAACGCAGAGCCAGTATATAACATGTAAGGCGTAAATGAAGTATACTAGAGAGGCGGGGATATGCAGCAGAGTGTTCTATGCATAATAGAGTGAAGTCGTGCCCGAAGATGTAAATTGTGCCAACTCCCCACATGGCGAGCTGTGTGTATTTCCCAAGTTCTATACTGGCGGCCTGCGCTTTACAACCAAACATGAACCAACCAACCTATGTCAACGTACTACGAGGGATATCATATACGTAGCAAAATATCAGCACATAAAATACACACCCCACCCCGACGGGCTTATCAGGCCTCAGGACTAGCCCCCTTACTCATCAGATAGTGTATAATCTCGTTCCTGCCCGCCTCCGTAGCCCACGCAAGCGGTGTTCTGCCCGGCCCATCCTGCGCATCTATGAACGAGCCGGCTTCGATTAGCGAGGCCATGATGCTCAGATCTTTTCCAATGGCTGCGATGTGTATCGGCAGTGCACCATTGTACCCCGGTGATGGCACCGACACATCTGCCCCGTGGCTTAGCAGGTAGGCAATCAGGGCGCCGTTCGATTTCGCCGTCGCTTGGCACAACGGAGTCTCGCCTTTCGATATCAGGTTGACGTCTGCGCCTGCATCTACAAGCATCTCCACGATCTCCTGCCGCCCTTGCGATACGGCGTAATGTAATGGTGTCTGGCTTGTCTTGTCCTTCTTGTCGACGAACGCGCCCCTCTTGCACAACAACCTCGTCAAGGGTGCGTGGCCCTGAAGCACTGCGCTATAGAGTGGCGTCCATCCGTTGTTGTCTGCTATCTCTAGATCGGAGCCGTAGTCGAGGAGCTGCGTGGCTTGTTCCAGATGCTGCCACATGACGGCTTCGTATAATGGCGTGCGCCCTCGCTGGTTCCTGGTGTCCAGATCTGCCCCGAATGCCAGGAGCGTCCGTATCGTCTCCATGTTCCCCATTTCCGCAGACACCTGTTTCATGGCGGCGTAGTGCAATGCTGTATTTTGTTCCCTGTCCATGGCGTTGACCGCTGCTCCGTACTCCAACATGAGTGCGACCAGCCCGTCGCCCATCTCGCCTTTGACTGCCCTGATCAGGGGCGTGCAGCGATCCTCGTTAACTGCGTGCATACTCGCACCGGTGAGTACCAGAGCCATGACGATCAGTATCAAGTCCCTGGATGCTATCTCGTCTTCGCATCGAAGCGCTGCTTCCACTTGGTTCAGTGCACAATGGATAGGTGCTAATTTTGAGTTTTTGGATGGCAGATTTGGATCGCCCTTCTCCGAGAGGGCTTTGCACACCATACTGTAGTCACCCTTGTTGATACCTTCGTGGAGCCTTTTGGCTACTTTGGATTCCAACCGGAAGGTCCTTGACGGTCTTGGTTTGACATTTGCCATTTGTTGTTGGATATGTGACCGGCTTAACTGTTTGGTCAGCGAGATGGCGACTTGCGGCTTGAGCTGCTGTGATACAAATGCCATTTTTTCGGTTGATGAAGATGGCAACAAGTGCTGCACCTGGATCTGGGCGTCTGCAAGAATGCCGCTGGTAATAGTAGTCAGTAAACCACCGGGTCAAATGCATCGCCAGGTCGTGAGAGCCGAGCGGGCTCATTCCCAAAGTTCACATACCTCTTCAGACAATCCATTATAATACTAATTGATGACCGATTCTTCCTCAGTGTACTCCTCGCGTCGTAGAGCGAGTCTTGAAGAATCGGTACTAGTTTCGTATGCACTAGTGAATCTTGCTCGGCAGAGTATCGTCGTAACCTCTGAAGTTCAACATCGACTTCACTCAGTGTAGCAATGATAGGTCGTACTAACACCTCAAAACAACTGCGAAGTTCGGCCCTGTTATGGTAATCTGCAACGCCGTCGCGCTGCGCTCCCGGCCTGACGAAGAACTCGAGTCTTTCCATGACGTCTTTGGTGCAAAAGCATTCAGCAGCCATGAATGAAAAGATCGAGCGGCTTATGCCAACGATGGCAGCTAGCTCGTCGAGGGTTTCAGCTGTCCGACTACATGCGGTGGCCGCGCCACTGGTCAAAGTGAGGAGTGAGACTGATGCAGCCATAGCGTCCTTAACGAACGTTCCAGATAGTAGTAAGCAAGGTTTCCTGCAGCATCTGCTCACTACAAGGGGACCGAGGGATCCGATCGAGGCAAGTCAACGTGAGGGACAGAGGCTCCATGTTTTATCAAGATGTCTTGTCCCGAGTTTTTGGATGAGACCCCAACGCTAATACCTGTTAGCATCTCTCAGCCGGTGCAAAGAGTAGCCGGGTGATACTAGTATGAACACGGCACCTGCTTAGGACGCCGGAAATTCCGTATAGGTATTGTCTAGACAAAACTACTATGAAAAACCTTACCTCTCTTTGCCTAGAGCGGACGGCTTCCAGAACCGAATGGTACGATGAAGGGAAATTTCAGGAGGCCCGTGGTTATTTCTAGCGTTTGAACTAAGACAACGTGGCGGCCACGAGGATGGCGGGGAGAGAACCCGAGACTAAGATAGATGCCGGTAGCACGAAGGAAAAGAGCTTTCGTTGGTTTGAATGGTCAGCTAAAGCCGCAAGAGAGGGTAGGGTCGTCAGCTTGGTTGCAAGCTATTGCAGTATTAAGTAGTTGGCAATCATGAAAAGCAATGTCGTGAACGAATAGATAGTTGTCTATGGCTGGCAGTACTAGCGCCATGTGGACTTCCGCAGGTAATTATGGCGATGGTTGAAGGCCAACGATGGGTACTAGGGGCTTCGTGAAAGAAAAATTTGAAACGTGGTGGTTGTCATGAATAGAGTTCATTTTGTGCATGAGCTGAAATCATGCTCTTTACCCTCTGGCCATGTCTCGCAGTGTGGCATTGGGGAAAGCCTATCCGAGTGTTGCTTGGAGTGGGGCAGGACTGGGAAGATGGGCTCCAGGTCTGCTTGGTGATCTCCCGTGCCACAATAGACAAGTGGAGGTAATTCCTGATCGAAGGTTCGGTAGCAAAAAGAATCATCAAAATGGTCCATGCTAGAATCTGCAATCACCCCAGAGGCTGAAACCTGGAGGTGGTAGGTTCAAAGAGGCACGTGCTCAGAAAACGTGAGGGCCACGTTCTTTGCTAGTCTGTCCCGGCGATCAGGATCAGTCCACGTAAGGTTCGCGAGAGATACAAAGTGCTTGGCTAAGCCCCCGTGCATACATATATCAAGTAGTTAGCCCCAGACAAGAGCGCCCATGTTTTCTGTATCAGTCTCTGCCAACAATATTCTGCCCAAGGATCGAGACAGTTATTGTAAGTCGCTCTGCAAAAATGCCACCCACCGACTTATAAACATACGATGTCTCAGCTTTTTCGGGCAGGTTCAATTCGACCAGGTGAGAGATACTGGGAAGTCTATGGCTGCTGGACGCAAAGTGACCTGAGTCTTTTGGGTCTAATGGTGGTATGTGTGTCGAGATTAGGACACGGACAGGATGGATAATTGTTGCTAGAGGTTAAATAGTATTCCTTGCTATCGTGGTTGCCGCTTAACACAGGCAGGTGCGTGCCGTGCTAGGTACACTGGAGTGCCAGCAGCCGCCGACTTAAAACTAACATTTACAATTGGTTGTCTACACGATTTATCCTGTACAGTACCAGAGTACATGTAGCATAATAAGGTTCAGTTCACCGTTCGAATTTCAATATTTGAAGTTTTCCTTAAAAGGTTAAAAGGCCTATTTTGGCTCCCGCACAGTAATTCAGTTTTACACACTATGTCTCCTAGTAGTAGGCTTATTAACAGCTGTCCTTACCATGAATTTGTTATAACCCCTTAATATCGACTCCAATATCTTATTCGCCTCCAAGGCTGTTGCCTCCTCTGACTCCCATCTAGTCAATGTACTAATAGAAGTAAGCGTAAAAGGATGACTAACTCCTATAATACGTTGCCTAAGACTTATACATTCTGCCATTAATCTCAAAGGCTTATTACCTTTACCTAGATCTTTCCATGTAGAAGCAAGGTTATTCATACTACGTAGTGTATCTGGATGATCCGCTCCGAGCTTCATCTTGCTCATCTCCATCACTTGCACCTCTAGCTCCTCTGCAGCGCCCCATCGACCTTGATTCCAGTACGTCGATGCCAGGTTGGTCATACTACGTAGCGTGTCTGGATGGTCCGCTCTGACCTTCGTCTTGTGAGTCTCCATGACTTGCACCCCTAGCTCCTCTGCAGCGTCCCATCGACCTTGATCCCGGTACGTCGACGCCAGGTTGGCCATACTACTTAGCGTGTCTGGATGATCCGCTCCGAGCTTCGTCTTGCGAGTCTCCATCACTTGCACCCCTAGCTCCTCCGCAGCGTCCCATCGGCCTTGATCCTGGTACGTCGACGCCAGGTTGGCCATACTACGTAACGTGACTGGATGGTCCGCTCCGAGCTTCGTCTTGCTCATCTCCATCACTTGCACCTCTAGCTTCTCCGCGGCATTCCATCGGCCCCGGAATTTCAAAACCAAACCAACTAATGCCATGGCATCTAATGTGTCTTCGTGTCCAATACCCCACAACCTTTTTCTTTCTTTCATCGCCTGAAACGCCATCTCCTCCGCTTCAATGCCATTCCCTATTCTCCATGAGTACCACGCTGCTTTATAAAGTACTGAAGCCCAGTCATCCAAGTCTCTTTCAGGCTTGTGTGATGCGGCCATTTTCACGTGCGGGAAGAGTAGCTGACACGTCAGCCAGTTCTCATACTCTCCATTAGGGAGCTCTTTATTCAGGTTTCGAAGAAACTGTTGCTGGAATCTTTCGTGGTGCCCATTTTCCCTGAGCCATTTCCGTGTCGCGAGCTGTACGAGATTGTGCATTGTAAAGCTCGTTGGGTCCTCACCCAGGTAAATGAACGAGTAGTCTCGTAACGTAACGATGTCGTCCTCAAAGACTTCAGCCAAACTCGATCGTGATGTGATGTCGTCATCATTACTTTCATTTTGGTTGTTACTTTTGCCATCACTTCCGTCATCACTCTGCTCCCTGCATTCTGGGATAGTACGGAGCAGACTCTCGTGTATGCCTTGCCGGTCGAAGAAGCTCATAAGCGAGAGCAAGTCCGCTGCGGAAGGTCTTGTCTGGCGGATATGGTTAAACGATATCTGCCATGTATCGATGATAGAATTCTTGGCTTCCGGGTCTCGCTGGAGTTCTCCTCCCTCCCGATTTAAGAGACTTTCCTTCTTACGATCATTGGTTTGAAACAGTTTCAAATATTGTCGCACTGAGCAACGCGATGCGCGATGAGAGATATAAGACGTTGCTTGAACAATGGCCAATGGCATAAACTCAAGCGCTGTTGCGAGCTCGTCAAAGCTACCATCATCTTCTTGTGGTGATAACTTCTTGCGAATTAGCGCCACCGCGTCTTCTTTCGCCATGGGTCCGACGGCGATGATGGCGCTGCCTTCTACTAACTTTCGTGCCACGTCACTACTCCTGGAAGTGATGAGGACAAACCCATTGGTACAATGCGGGAGGTAAGATTTCAATGGTCGCGAAGCTCTATCGTTAATAGCATTTGCTTGCCTATTTTGCCCAGTGCTGGGAGTGTCGAGAAGGAAGCTGGCGTCATCAACATTATCCAGTATGAGGATCCACTTCCTCTTCCTAGCATGTAGCCAGTCGTGCACGAGCTGAAATATGTCGGCATTTTTGTCTTTTCGCCCAGAGATTTCCACGCAGTTGGCGATATCCCGAAAGCTCTGTTCGTATCGAGCCGCGTTGCTTGCGTGCACCCAGAACACCCACGTGTCAGGGGATCGATCTTGGGTTCGGTATGCATATTCGATGGCGATTTGGGATTTTCTTTCAGTTGTTAGTTGTAAGTAATCGCAATGGGAATTTGCTTACCCAACGCCCCCTAAACCGACCAGCGCAGTCCAGGAATCTGGTTTAGTATGTCTTTGGCAGATTTGATCGAGGATGGCACCTCGCTCGACGAAGTCTGCATCGCGGCTAAAGGGTATCATAGCCAACGGACGAGGTGATGTCTCCACGTTGCTTGAGCAGACTCCTGCACCATTAGTAACAATATCGAAATGTGCCAAACTTGTTAATATTTACCTTGCGTATAGTTTTCTAGTTGAAGCGGCAATTCCGTCCCGACCTTCCCTTTCTTGTCAATCTCCTCTTGTAAGCGGCGGAAGGCATTCTCCCTCTCGCCGTAGTTGAATGGCATATACACATCAAAGATACCGAGGACACAATAGGCCATGTCTTCCGGGAGTTTTGTTTGACGTTTTGTCAGCCATGACATCCGCTCAACCACGCTTACATCTGACAGACGGCGCCCGCGGAGCACCTCGACCGAAATGCCCGTTATCTGTCGAATCTCTGCCTCGAGTGACTGCTTATCTCCCAGGCGGTGCCATCCGGATGAAAAGAACTCGATAGACATGGGTGCGACAAGTTCTTGGAGCGTCCAGCCCCGAGTGAACCATCGGCTTTTCCGTAGACCTGATCCACTGTTGTTGACATCAGACAAGTAGACATAACATCTCGTGGCAGATTTATACCATTGGAACATGGAGTTGATAGCCGTAGAGAGTTCTGTGATGTCCGATTTGTCAATACAGCAAGTATCCACCCAGAAGTACTCCAGACCATGGAGAGCAGCTTGGCGGCCGCAATACTGAATCTTTTGATTTCCCACCTTGTGATGGCCAGCGCCGTTTGTGATATCAGCAAATGTGACTTCATCCTCGTCCGCACCCCAGGTATGAGAAAGAATAGCGTATGGGGGAATATCGTCGGTGATTTCCGCCGTGAGCTTTAGCGTGCCGTCCGGCCGGCGCTGTAAGAGTCGCATAGTGGAGTAGATCGGGATAACTGCTACGGCGTAGTGTGGATTGAATCGCCGTGATATAAAGACCGAATCAACATTCTACACGAGGTAGTCGGTGGAACAAAACGCAGTAGACCGAGACAGCCTCGCCAACATGTAATTAATTGTACGAGCATTAATCGACGTAGAAATGCGGGGTAAATACTGCATGGCCAGCCGAAGCATAGCCTCACCATGGCCCTCACGAGATTGGCGTATGCAATTCAGTCAATGCCGTACGGCGGGAAGCCGAAAAATCACTACACTGTAGCCAACACCAAAGTGGCAGAGATTGGGGGATCAGTGGCCATGGCACAAGGCCGAGTATTCTGACCACGCAATGGACGGGGGTATTGGTAGCATTAGGTTATGAGGTGCCGTTCGCATTTGCTCGAAATCATAGCGACGCGAGAGCAACAAACAAGCTAACCTAGCAATGCACTTCCACCATGTAAAGCAGTATCTAATCTAGCTTAACCTTAGGTTAACTTGGTTATTATCCGGCGTTCAACAACGCAGTGGCAGCATACATAGTAACCTAACCTTAGTGAATTTGTAGTCCAGATCAACCCCGGCTGGACTAGTTCACAAAAGTTGGAGCATGGTCCGAGCTTCAGCCATCTACGCGGTTTCGCGTCGCTCGCTGCCCGCCGCCTCCTCTCGAAATGAATTGAGACGCGTCTTGCACATCCTGGGCGTCGAGATCAAGAGCAATATTGCGACAAGCTTGCGTGCAAGGATTATTGCGACAGTACCAGTTATACTGCTAGCATTGTGTCCATGAGTATCTAGCCAAATTTATCTCTGAAGGCCTTCAGGAACCAGGTCAGATGCTGCCTCATGCACCAAGGTCACGCCTACTAAGCTTGTCGTCGCCCTCGGGGCAGAACACCACATCACGTCGCGCGTTGCGTCGTATCACATCATAAACTTCAAACTTCAAACTTCACAGGCTCCACGTTGTCTGCGGCAGTCATCTGTCACAATGGTCAAGGCTGCGCCTGCACCAGTTGCTGCTCCGCCTACCGGCCCAGGCATTTACAGTGCCACTTACAGTGGTGTCAGTATCCATTGTCATCACTGAACAGTCCTTCCCTCTGACTCAATCCCTTTCCAGATCCCCGTTTACGAATTCCAGTTCGGCCAAGACCTCAAAGAACATGTTATGAGAAGACGGCAGGACGACTGGATCAATGCCACCCACATCCTCAAAGCAGCAGGCTACGATAAGCCGGCAAGAACACGCATCCTCGAGCGGGAGGTTCAGAAGGACGACCACGAAAAGATTCAGGGCGGCTACGGCAAATACCAAGGCACCTGGATCCCTTTGGAGGCTGGCGCACAGCTTGCCCACAAGAACAACGTCTATGAGCGTCTACAGCCCATCTTCACATTCACCCCGGGCGACCAGAGTCCACCGCCCGCACCCCGACATGCCAGCAAACCGAAAGCCCCGAGGGCGAAGCCAGCAGTTCCCAAATGGGCCCCGGCCCCGGCCCCGGCCCCTCCCCCTCCTCAGCAAGAATACGAAACCGCCAGCCAGGTCAACGAAGATGATACCCCTGACAACCTCACTGTCGCCTCGGCGTCATACATGGCCGAAGATGACCGCCCGGACATGTCCCACTACACCGGCCACCGCAAGCGGAAGAGGGACGAACAGATCCAGGATCTGACCGAGCAGCAGCACGCCATATACGGCGACGAACTGCTCGACTACTTCTTGCTCTCCCGCCAGGAAGGTCCCACGGTGCGACCAGAGCCGCCTCCCAACTTCCAGCCAGATTACTTCATCGACACGGACAGGAATACCTCCCTCCACTGGGCAAGCGCTATGGGTGACGTCGACGTCATGAAGCAGCTCAAACGCTTCGGGGCCAGCCTCAGCTGTCAGAACATCCGAGGCGAGACGCCGCTGATGCGGTCCGTCTGCTTCACCAACAGCTACGAGAAACAATCCTTCCCATCGGTCCTGAAAGAGCTCTTCGATACAATCGATGCCCGAGACGAGTCCGGCCATACCGTACTACACCATGCCGTCATGCTGAGAACCGGTCGAATTGTCAGCCACACCTGTTCGCGGTACTACCTTGACAACATCCTGAACAGACTCCAAGAGACACAGGACCCCAACTTTGTTCAACTCTTCATCGACACGCAAGATCTCGGGGGCAATACAGCGTTGCATCTCGCCGCTCAATCTAATGCCAGGAAATGTATTCGTGCTCTTCTAGGGCGGGGCGCTGCTACGAACATCCCCAATATGGAGGGCATCCGAGCCGAGGAGCTTATCCAGCAGCTGAATGCGATCAAGGAACCCAAGGAACGTGCACCTCAGCGATCCTCTAGTCCGTTTGCCCCTGATAGCAGGCGGCATGTTTCCTTCCGTGACGCTCTGACCGAGAACGTCACCAAGCTAGCCAAAACCTATCATTCTGCAGCTGCGAACACCGTTCAGAACAAGATCACCCCTTTAGTCCTGGAGAAGTTCGACGACCTGGCAGCATCCTACGACGAAGAGTGGAAGGAGAAGAACGATGCCGAGGTCGAAGCAAGACGCATACTTGGCAAGACACAGAACGAGCTCGCCGCCGTAGGACAAGAGATTGCTGCCTTGGAGGCACGACTAGAGCCAGACGAGAACGCAGCCAAGGCAGTGGGCGACTCCACAATGGCTCAGCACCAGGTTCTCGATCTGCTAGCAGCCCAAAGTCGATATCTCGTCCATGCCAATATCAAGCAGCAGCTTGCCCTCCTCAACGGGAGCACCGCTGCCCCAGACGACGACAACCCGGAAATCCGCATGCAGCTGGCGAACGAGCTACGCGAGGCGATTGGTGAGCAGAGGAAGATCGAGAGGGAATATGTCGACGCCCTGGGCCTGAGCGGTACAGGGGAGAGCATCGACAAGTACCGTCGACTTCTCAAGCAATGTTTGGATAGGCCCGATGCTGAGAATCTCGATGCTAACTTGGATGAACTGATCGAGATGATGGAAGAACAGCGGAGTCCCGTCGACGACGCGCCTGTCAGTGCCCTGCCTGATGGTGAGCGGATGATGATCTGTTAGGGCCACGAAAGATATATGCGGTTTGAGTGTAAGAATTGAAGGGGTGCCTGTTCTGGTTCGGCGTTAAAGGTTTGTTGTGGACTCTTCCGACGCAGAGATGCCGTGTCGTCTGCTGCTCGTTATTGTGGCAGGCCTAAGGTCCCAGGCGTTATATAGGCCTCTGTAGGCTTTTGCGTGATGAGCATTATTTATTCATTCTTCTGCCTCATAGTCAGTTCCAATTTGATGTGCAAAGCCGACTCTACGCCGATGGATTACATGGCACCCATGGATTGTCCAAAGGTGTACCTTCTTTTGTGCTGCAGTGGTCCGTTCCATTATACTTTCTATTTATGTTCACAAAATGAACCCGCTCCGGGAGATTCCGAATTTAACAACCCTCGAGACACTAGAATCGTGGAATCCGCGAGGCAGGGAACTGGCATCGCGTACTTGACGAGATGTACATAGCCTGCCATGTCAGAGACCAATACGAGGGAAGCCTATGGCCTTATGGCCACCCTTACGGCATTGAAACAGAAGAACAAATGCAGACAGAAACCCAGCCCTGCTCCACTATATAGTATTTACAATCTGGTACACTCCCGTGATTATCCCTTAAGTACGACATCCTTTGCTGACTACGCTGTATCGCATGAGCTGGTTCCATCATCATTGGGGAGAGCACACTCAGAAGAAGCAGCAGAGCTTGCGACTCTTGCGCTTCTTCTGGACGGCGACTTGTGCTTCTTGGACCATCTTCCTTGCCGCCACTTGTTTTTGAAGGAACTCCTCATGTAGCTGCAAAACCATGCGCCTTCCAAGAAAGGGAGTAAGTATGTCCACAGTAGATCTTGTGTCTCTATCATTAGGCGAGACTGCGAGATCCGCACCATGGCTGATGAGCAAACTCGAGAGCTCGTACAGAGTTCTCTTTTCCAAGACCAAGTGTCCACCTCTAACAGCATCCAAGAATGTACACCAGACAGAGTTGTAAGTCTTCTCTATAGCGGGCCTGTACAATTCGACTACGTATCGCTCGTTAGGGTCGGCACCGGCGTTGAGGAGAAGACTTATACAACGCATGGACATCACGTTGCTCAGGTTGTCCTTAGTAAGATGTAGCGCAAAGAATAACGCGGGGTTATCATCGTCATCATCGTCGTCGTCGTCGTCATCATTGTCATTGTCATCAACATCTTCCGAAATGGGTGTGACCAGTAGCGGTGCAAACTTAAGCTTTGATTCGAGGTAAGAACAACAGCCAATCCCGGCAGCCATCCCTAGAAAATATCGAGACCGAGGCTTCAAACGGAGTACGCTGCGGGCAGTATTCTCTGTTTCCTCCGCTGCAACGAGCAGCTTTTCTAACTCAGTTTCAGAGTCGGAAGTGTCCAGATAAATGGCGGCGAACAGGAACATATGGCGCCAATCGAATTGTGTGTTGCGAAAAGTTTGCCGAACCTCGTTACGGGTGTACTTGGAAGGGATTGTCTGATTTGAAATCAAGATGGCTTTACATGCAGTCAGTGAAGGGCTCTCGTCGCTAAGATGCTGTGTAAACAAGTTCTGAATGTTCTGGTAGTCACGTAGGAAGTCACGAACAGTGCGATGGAGAAAGTCCACCTCACCAGTCCAGATGCTGACGATACCGGACAGACCATCCGAGTCGTGTAGCTCAAGAAGACCTCGCGTTCGCCCGTCAAGCCTTCGTTTCAGTTGATCTTGCCGACGATCATCTTCTTCATCCGACATTGATCTGACATTACCCTCTAACGTTAGTACCGGATTGTCCTCCAGGTCATCCATGAAAGAATAGAACGACGCGGGCAGGGGGTGCTTAGCTGTCACAGCAAGGAAGAAGTATCGAGCCATTTGTTTGTGGTACATTGGATCTACGAGCTTGATCAGCACCTTGAAGAACTCTTCTAGGTCTGGCGGGAAACCATCAAGCCGGCGTCGTAGCGTGTTTAGCGAGTCGTGGTGGGTGAGGCCTTTAAGCAATTCGCGCATAACCAAATAGACCCAGAGGAATACTCCTTGAGCTCTGTCGACAACTAATTGAATAAAATCAGAGTACGCAATATTCTGCGTGGCTAGCACTTTGAACTGAGGATGTTTTGTGAAGTGGGTTGTAACATAGCGTTCAATATCACCTCGGGTCAGTTCCTCCAGTTTTAGACGACCAGCGTCGTTTCTGAATTCATCGTCGAATTCTGTCCATGGACGACTGGAGAGGCAAACCTTGACGTTTGGAGAATGTTTTAAGTGTCGGAGAGTGTTTAGTAAGTCGCGATGTGTTCGCCTGCCTTCTTCGAACTCATCCAGACCATCGATGAACAAGCAGAACTTTCTATCCATGTCGCAAGTGACTATCGCGGTATACATGGATAACAATTCATCGAGTTCCCAGGCCTTGTCATCTTGCTCGAAGCGTGATGGGGCAATGACGGCACTACGTGCTACAGTGATGAGATCCTGAGACTGTCGTAGCATCTCAAAGACAATCGAGCGTAGCAAACCTTCTTGTGACTTTTGTAGAGTCGAGCCTGCGTTCCAGAAGTAGAAGTTCGCTGTGACCAATGGTTTATTTTGTGCCCAGGCGCGCAGACACTTTTTAGTCTTTTCGTTGTTGTAGAGGAACTTCATTAAGGTCGATTTGCCGGATCCTGGTTTTCCGGAAATCCAATAAATCCCATTACTTGCTTCGAGCCACTCCTTAAACCTTACCGTTGAGCCGCGGTAGTCCAATGGTGGGTTATCATGCAGGATCCACTCGAAGGTTTCCGAGTAGGCAACTTCAATATTGCGATATCGAGTTGTGCGACTGCTAAAATGCAAAGATTGCAGAAAAGCCTGGTTTGCATTCGTTACCTCAACAAACCCGGCGAGTTGTTTTGTAGCGCTTAATAGCTGGCGTGAGTTTTGTATGCCTGATATGACTTCCTCCGTCAGAAGGTCTGCCTTATCAAGAAGGATGGCTTGACGCAATTGCTCGAAGTTTTGGCGGTTGGCCGAGGTAGAAGCTTCCACCGCCCTCATCACATTGCTTTCCAGAGTTTTCACGTCTCCCTTTTGACTAATATCAAGTTGAGAGTTGGTAATCTCAAGGGCCGAAATCATATTTGCGAGTGCGCCGATTTCATTGCGGGTCTCATGTACTTCTCGACTGGCTACTTTGAGCACTGCTTATAACGCTGGAATAGCTCTGCACATACCTGATAGACATTTGAACATGTCTAGCAATCTGTCTTTGGAGAATTTCGACTTTCTCCGTCAGGTCTTTGATATCGCTTTTGCCCCATACCTCCCCTAGGGCAGCTCTGAAGCTTTTCCACTTCGAGTGACGTCGCCCGGTTTTCATTTTCTCAAGAGCTCCCAAGAGTCGTGCTGTAATTCTTCTACTCTCTTTAACTAATTCCTGCAATTCCATGTTATCGGCATGAGAAGCTTCTAGACGTTTATCATGGTACTCAATGTCTTTCGTGATGGTTCCGATAAACGTGACATTGCCGCTCGCGCCGGTTTCCGCCTTGTATATCTCACGCGCTTCCGTCAATAAAGTCCAGGTGAAATCGACCACTGCAATGACATTGCACGCGACATTTAGTGCAGCGAGTGCTGCTGTCACTTCGGCCATTTTCAATTTTCATGGGCGATCAGAAAAACACGAATGACTTGAGAGACGAGAACGATAACATAACGCCGCGAAATGCTCAGCCTTACACATTGCACATGACAGCTCCATTAAGCCAGGCCGCCAAGCGTGGCTGAGTGGGCGGTTACGCAGCCAATAGGGAATTGGCGCCCACGAGATTAGGTCAAGACTGAAAGAAATGACAAGAAAAGAGGGTTCTTCGTGGCCCATCATCAACAGCCATGTAGATGAGTATCTGCGGATTGAAGCCGTATCTAATGGAACAGCACGAGCAATCAATTCGATTTTCCGTCCAAGTTACGATCATAGCTTCTCATGGCTCTGGCTGTTTTGCAACAAGTGCTCCCACTCGATCGTGATAGCTACCGTGATTTAATCGTTGCTTTGATCATCACCATCGTGAACGTAAAGTTCTCTGCTCGAGAACGGTAGGGAAGTAGTGCCATTGAAAGCGATTCGCTCTAGGGATCCCTGGCTTCGTCTACGTCAGAAACATATTCTCCAGAACGGATTCTGTAGTACCGATCTTGCTCAAGATGGCCGATTTTGGGATATAGGCAAAGTAGCCGACGAAGTCCACCTGACGCTGCTTGAAGATTGCGCAGGTCTTCCATCAGCGTCGGGAACAATACGGGCGGTTCGTCCGGCCCAAGGCGAACACATGAGAGATACATGTCCGCAAGCATAAAATCGAGAGACAGGTGAGGATGTACTGACAATAAAGGCACGCTCAAGGACTCCTCCCCGAGTAGGTGGTGGATCACGGATCCTGTAGACGCGGTTGCTGTACCATCTTCGGCAGTCTTGACAAGAACGCCATCCCGCTCCACTACCCAATTGGTGATGTCGCTTCGTCTGAGGAAATCAACGGCCATATTCCAGCTTTCCTTGTCTGCTGCATCTCCACTCTCAAATACTTTCAGTGAGCTCCAGTTACTGTGTGGTTTCACCTGTGTAAGTTCGGCGAACAGATGACTATATGCCGTGTTGCGCTCCATCCATAAGTCAGCCATGTCTATATTTTTCATAGCTTTCTGGTCCTGTAGGATCTCGTTGGAAGGCCGGGGTGTGAGCTGGACAAATAGCCTATCAAGCCTTGGCAAGTTTGAAAGTAGCGCATGTACGTGCGATGCAAGGGGAAAGACAGCGATATAGTTGAAGTCCACGATGCTTGGAGGAAGCAGGGCTTGATTGTTAGGATATTCCCCGGTTCCCAAGAGAGCGCTGAGCATCGAGGGCGGCTGTCGTAGGAAGAACTCGTATGTTTGGTAAGCACGAATTGAAGAGCCTTCGTTGAGCAATATTGAAGTCCATGGGCGGATCGTGAATAGAGGACTGGCAGGTGGTGCCGGAGGTGGACAGTATCGACGGCGCCCAGCCTTTGGCAGTGCAATTGACGCTCTATCCATAGCGAGCTTCAGATCTACATGTTGACGATTTGCCGTCTCTTCTGTGGTTGAGGAGATGGCGCCCACATCGCTTTTGATAATGGGATGTGACTGTGACGGGCCCGGTTCGTCAAAGCCCGGGCTCTTCGAGGCGTGTTCCTTTTTATCGTGAGTTGACTTTGCCAATGATAAGATATGGTACGGAACATCGAATGACCATGCGTCAGTAAGAAACAACATTCGATTCATGAGAGCTGCAAGCGTGGCAGGTGGCGCAATAATTGTAAATCGCAGAGGGTCAATCACGGAGAAGAGCTGATCCCAGAGCCACTCCAGGTCGCCTGATTGTATCTGATGATGAAGTTGGCTGTCGTCCACGTCATCGGCAGTAAAATCTACCATCATAGTGAACGTGGTAACGTAGTGATCCAGGTCATTGTCTAGCATGAATTGAAGCATGGAAATTGGGCGAAGATTGAAGAGTTTGAGCGAAGTCATGTGAGGACGCCAGATGACGTTGCGAAACAGGCGAGGCAGGAGCATCGCACGCCAGCGTTTGCTGACACATGACGATGACTTCAGATCTGCCGTGAACGACAAGTGAGAGCCATGGTCTACAGTGTTGGGCTCCTGGTCTTGATTCCTCCGAAGAATGCCTTTATGAGGTTGTTCGTGCAGCGTAAGTTCTGAGGGCGCTGGACCATCTAGGTAGTCGAAGACCTGAGCAAGAATCTCGGGAGGAAGATCTGATATGTCAACGGAGCTCGCCATTGTGAGGAGAACTTGATGAACTCCACAGGCAATCTCGGAGCGGATACTAGAGGCAACTGTGACCTTTGACGCAAGCTGAACGTACAGAACTACACTGAGGATGATTTCGACGAGTTTGGATGATGGGTACTGTACATACGGAGTAACTTAACCTAAGTGGTCGTAGGATTAAGGTGACGTTGTTTGTTGCCTGTGCTCAGATTGGCAGTTAGGTTGGACTAGTCTAGCAGCAGATAGCGGGGTGTGCAAGTTCGGTGCACGTCTACGCCGCCAACTTTGTACTGAAAAGACGGGTCTGATTGTAATCGTTCCTGCAAATCTGGCGCCTATCTACACAGTGCTGCAGACATTGGATTTGGACCCGAATATATCACTAATAGAACTAACATCTGGAGATGTTGTTCGTTCAGGGCCCCTATGCGGGCATTGCCACCGATAGAACGACTGCATTCTGGCTCAGCACCACCTAAATTGGTCGCGACACTGGAAAGCAAACCATGTCTCTTGAAGACAAGCCCACGCCAGCTAGGAGCCTTCAGTCGCCATTAAAAAGCTTGTTCGTGCAGAGAGACCTGCTTGAAATTGGTATGAGCAAATCACCAGGGCTAGATAATTCTTTGTATGTCGCGCAGACTGGTTTGTCAGCACAATTTGGGCGATGGTCTTGTCGTAAAGGGGCCTTGAGGTACTAAGACAAATAGCTATATATGAGCAGTGAAACGGCCAATTCAGTATGGTGCAACAGAGACACGACACTGTTTGGTCAGTAGATCCATAACCCTATTCAAAAATTAGCTGCAGCTTCCCTCCTCATACCCACCCATAAAGAAAAGGACACACCGAAGAGATGAACATGCTCAAGGAGAAGATCAGCCTTATAAAAACCCACCGACTATAGAAAATTTGAGATCTGGTTGGCTAAGCAGTTCGCAATCAGCAAACATAGCGTTGGAGATATCCTCACTGGCATATGTCCAGCCCCTGCACCTGATATGGAAAGAAAGGGATAAAAGATTCAACGTCATCAGGCGTGGGGGTCATATTTTCATAATTACGACTGGGTATGATTCCTAAGCCATCGCGGCTGCCTACTATGATGAGCAAGTCGTGACTCAATTGTGGGAATATCAAAGTGTGTAATTGAGCAAGTGGGATCACAAGCCTTGAACTAACTAGTGCAGAACTCTATGTGAACAGGCTTCATACCGTGATGTATTGAGGAAAAAGAAGAAGAATATTGAAGCGTTACATAAGAGAGGATCACGGGCACCGCATACGCCTCAACATTAACGTTGTGAGAGCACACCGTAATCGAGCTGTAAGAACAGCGTTCAAGAAATGAGCTGAAGAATTCCGGAAAATGAACTATGATAAGAAGATGCTAGTCGTCTAGTTATGTTTTATTGTCATTATTCAGCTATACAACAACAGTGAAACGATAAATTACTTCTCTATGTTTTCAATTTTCGCAACGTAGTATCTGAAGTCTCTCACCGTAACCACTGGTATAAGAGTGTACTCAACCATTTTAGTTTCTTTCTTGAAGATAAGGAACTATTAGTGACCATCGCCGAGAAAAAGAGATTTCGTTCAACCATAGGCTGCTTGTATGAGAAGAGACGCATGGTTTGTAATAGGTTTGGCTAGCACTGGTGTCGAACTGGGCAGCCATTCAACCATCTCACCTGCTTCAAGCACCTGTAAATCTTACTCTAATTTCAGAGTTCGCAGATAATACTGGAACTCCAAAATTCCCGTACAATTACCAATGGAATAGTGTTCTTGAATGCATGTGGTGGCGAATATTCAGCATTTCGGTGAAGCTCCAAGCCGCCATGCTGGCATTTGACCTCTGCTAATTCTTGCTGTTGGAACAGGAACAACATCCTCATATCACGATGTTGGGCAGGTAATTTCGAGTGAACGAGCATCGTCCCGTTCCTACTTCCGAAATAGTGTATCGTTCCAGATAGTGAAAAGAGACCAACCACGCAACTCCACTACTGTTGACATTCTTGGGCAGTCTCTCCTGGCGATCTAACAGAACGAAGCACTCTCGCAACTCATTTGAGTAATATCAAAAATCATTCAGTATACGAGGACACGTCGCTTTCAAGCGAACAATACCAATCCGCGTTCGATACTCATGCGCTGTGCCAGATGGCAACCGCAATACTGCCTGCTCCACACATATATGCGATAATGACCTCGATATACGATGTAAGCCGGAAAGATTGATACAGAGCGTAGAGTGATTGGCAGAGAAGCGTACATCAGACTATGGGTGGGATAATCCATTGGTGGGACTGCACATTCTCATTTGAGCACTGAGCACTGAGCACTGAAACAAGGACATCAGTGAGCGCTGGCCCGTGGGCAGATCGCCCGCGGGTTCCTGGCATTCAGCACAGCCCCAGCCCCGCAGCCAAGAACCTGAAAGCTGGAATTCAGGGCACGTCCTCGATGCCCCAATCAGCTTCAGAACATTAAGCTGACCTTAATCTCCCTCAGGCACATGTTCACTTTCTCAATCTGACTCTATTGCCATTTACAAGTATCAATACACAATGCCCGAAAAGTCCAAGCCCCCTCCTAATGAGTCTGTCACATACAGCTCCGGTTCTCCCGACGGACCGCCAGATCTAAGGATACTGCACTACAATGATGTTTACCACGTGGATTCGTCCTCAGCTGAGCCCGTTGGCGGTGTCGCCAGGTTCATGACCTTGGTCAAACACTATCGTGATGATCCTAAATGGACAGGTCAATCAGATCTGGTTACCCTGTTTTCTGGCGATGCTTACAATCCAAGTTTGGAAAGTTCAATAACCAAGGGTACGTTCGCAACAGTCGCTACATGCCCGAGGCGGTGGGCTCCGCCAAGTCTATTGGGCTCTTTGATACCAACGTCGCTACAACTCCAAGCTTCTGGACTCTGGACAATCAACCACTAACGGGCGACACAGGTTCTCACATGGTACCTCTGCTCAATAATATTGGTACCGATGCAGCCGCACTTGGAGTATGTTTTAAGTCGCGTTATTCTATCATACATGTACTGACCACGTGCAGAATCATGACCTTGACTTTGGTGTCCGCCAATTTAAGCATTTGGCAGGAAAGTGCAAATTCCCCTGGCTGATCGCCAATGTCCTGGATCCTGCGTTGGGAAAGGACGTACCGATTGGTAACGCAAAAAGAACGCACATGATCACATCTTCCAATGGTATCAAGATTGGTCTTATTGGACTTGGCGAGCGTGAATGGCTTGCAACCATTAATAGTCTTCCGCCAAACCTGATATATAGATCTGCGAGCGAAACAGCGAAGGAACTTGTCCCCAAGCTAAGAGAGGAAGGCGCCGAAATCATCATCGCGGTCACTCACATGCGTGAACCGAATGACAATAAGCTTGCTGAGCAAACCGATGGAATCATCGACATTATCCTGGGCGGCCACGACCACTATTACAACCACAGTTTCATCAAGGGTACTCATGTCTTACGGTCAGGGTACGTGATGTTAAAGTTGATAGATCAACACCATGACTGACGATAATGGACAGAACCGACTTCAAGCAGCTCTCATACATTGAAGCCAGACGCCAGAAGCACGACTTAAAGAAATGGGATTTTGACATTATTCGGCGGGATATTACGTCTGCGATCCCTCAACATGAAGAGACTGTCAAGGTGGTCGACGATTTGACTGCCAGTCTCAAGTCGAAACTTCAGAAATCAATTGGGTTCACAATTGCCCCGTTGGATGCTCGCTTCAGGACAGTGCGGACCAAGGAAAGCAATCTTGCCAATTGGGTATGCGATATCATGCGCCACCATTACTACGGTGATTGTTGTATCATGGCTTCTGGAACAGTCAGAGGTGACCAGATCTATCCACCTGGCCCAATCTTACTGAAGGATATCATGAACTGTTTCCCTTTTGAGGACCCTGTCGTCGTGATCAATGTCACTGGCCAAGCCATATGGGATGCTCTTGAGAACGGAGTATCGCAATACCCTGCACTTGAGGGACGATTCCCCCAAGTTTCAAACATCAAGTTTACGTTCGACGGCAGGAAACCGACTGGGTCCAGAATATTGAAGGCCACAATTGGGGACGAAACCATTGATATGGAGAGAAAATATCGTCTGGTCACCCGTGGGTACATGGGTAGAGGCAAGGACGGCTTCGAATCGCTCTTGATAGAGTCGGAAGGTGGCAAGGCTGAAGAAGTTGTGTCGGAAGAGAACGGCATTCTGATCTCCATGATGTTGCGACAGTACTTCATATCTCTGCGCGTCATGGGCCAGTGGAAAAACTGGGGCAATGCCATGAACAGGCATTGGAAAGAGGTTTCCAAAAAGGTCAGCACAAACCATCCGACCATCCAACCTACGCCACATGCGACCCCCACCACTCCTTCGGCAACCAAGGGCCACGATTGGGACAGCTGGAGTCCTCAGAACATTCGATCTCGTCGCGCAAGCGTGATGCGTCGGGAAGCAGAGACCGATAGTGAGGATGACGAAGACGTTGCTGCTGAAGAGGACGTAGAGAAATTGGACAAAGAGTTACAGATTATGCGGAGGGTATTTAGCAAGTGGGCACGTCGCGCTGGTGTGGAGTGTCAAGCAGGCGACGCACTGCTCGAAGGCGAGTTTGAAGTCGACTGGACGCAGGCGATCTCGCCCAAGATCGAGGGTCGTATCACTCAAGTTGGAGGCGAGCCTCCAAAGTAACCCACTACACGACCTGAAAGAAAAAAGCTTTGGCTGATGCAAAATAGACTAGCAAGAGTAGATGAGCGAATGAATAAGATCATTTCATATCAAGCTAACAACTTGTCGCACAGATGAAGACCGCTCTCGCTCTGAATTGCCTGAAGGGCTCATTCAATCATATATCAACACTCATGATCATACATCGTCTCCATATGAGCACTTTCTTAGACTTGGCTCCCTTGCTGTCTCGGTACGGGTCTGTCCAATTCGATCTCTTGACTGGAAGGTTCTTTCCCGGCACCTCCATGCTGTGCCGGTGTTTTCCGCTTCCGGAAACAAATGTAGACGCCCACGAGGACCAGAATCAGTATTCCAACCAAGGTCGACCCGACCCCGATCCCAGCTGCTGCGCTGGTACCAAGCCCGCCGGTCGGATCCCCGGAGAGTGCCATCTCTGTTGGCATTGATGCGGTCGAGGTTTGGTGCTCATTACTCACCGTCAAAGTAGTGCCGACGTCCTGTGCAGCCACGGCTGTGGATGACATCAAGCGGTCCGAGGGTCCTTTGATACTGATTTCCGACGTGGAGCTTGGAGAGGACGAATAAAAGCTCGCGGACCAAGTCGGCTCGCTTGGGTCAGTGAGAAGGCCTGTACTTGGAGCGACCACCGTGGGCGATGTGATCTCCGCGATATAGAGACTCGTGAATGGGTTCGTTCTCCGATGTACGTATTGTTGGCCAGACGACTGCGGAACACTCCTCACTGCAAAACCTGGCGACACAGCCGATGTAATTACGCTTCTGTCTCGTGGGTCTCTATCAATAACTACAATAATGCACAAGGCGCCCTCGACCTGGCACGGCTGCCAAACAGTCCAACCTGTGTTAGAATCTTTAACGATTCGCAATCAGTTTGGGAGGTCTTCTCTAGAAAACTGGAATGGAAGACGTACTCGTTACGATTGTGGTGGAGTTAACGAGCCCGTCTAGCCAATGCATCACCAAAACAACATCGACGACGCCTCTCTGGTCCTGCCAGACAATCGGGACGACAGACCCTGATGTGACATGATTCCGAAAGTCCGATGCGTACAGAAGCCTGATGGCCTGGACATGCCAGCTCAACAGGGCCAGAGCACAAGTCCATACTGAAAATCTAACAAGTGGCCAGGCAGCCATCTTAATTCGAGAACAAAAAGAAAAAGGTGGCTTCTCACAGACAATTTCGCCAAGCACGATCCAGCATAACAGTCAACGCGGGGGCCGTCGGTCCCAACTCTTGTATGTACAAGGTGGGTAGGACATGCCATGCACCTATCTGCTGCAAACATGGTAGGCCCGTTTTGCTGGTACGACCCACGCCGTGAAAGAGACTTGAGGCAGAAATGTGGTACCTGTGCGACCATGGCATGTGGCCAGCCTGTTTGAGCATCGTTGCATGTTGTTTCAAGCGGCCAATTGGGAATTTCGCATACGCCGTCTCAGCCCGCGCGCGGAGTGTATCTTTAGTCATACAAGGTCTCGGGTTGCGTCGCGTCACAATCCCAGCTCGAACGTTTTCGATGACGCTGTCCAGTGACGCGTCACAACAGAGTCCAGTGCCACCAAATATACCAGTAAAAGGTAGGTATGGGAAAGTCAGTCCCTTGAAGCAGTTTGGTGTGATGCCCACCGAGGGTGACTACCTGCTGCAGTCGGACGACTTGTACAACATCCACTGGCTCGAGGGTAGGTTTTGCGCCCGAATGGCCGATCACACGATTATGTATTGCCTGCGCAAGGCAGCAACGGCTAGCAGCTGTTATGTATCCTTATGCACGTGGAATATGTTTGCTATCCATGAGGATCGCCGCAACATTCATCCCTCCATTGGGGAACATGGGTTCTTTGAAATGCATATCACACCACTATCAGTGGCTCATAGCTGCTCAGGAAAGCAGCCTTTAGTAACAAATCGCCCAGATATGGCTCTGCAAATGAGAATGATTCAAAGCTCATCCTGATGGTTAAGCCGGTGATCAAGATATTACTTGCCAGGGCAAAGTAACGTAGACCCGCAGCAAAAGAAAAAAGAAGAAGTTGATGCTCATTTAATTGACATGCTCACTAGTTGATCATATTAGTCTAATTGGACGCAAATGAAAGCAACAAAAACACCATGGGCAGATACCGCCAAGAAAAAAGGAGTCGGGGGTTCCCAAAAGCAGGAGTGAATCAATGTCAAACAAAACTTTTGCGGATATCTCTTTACCACATTTCCTATCATAACGTGTCGTCAAATCTGTGCTGTTCTCTCAAAAGCCAGTGGATGGGTAGCTCTATAGCTTCTCGCCGTTGCTGTGATCCTCTACTTCGCAGAAGGCTTTGAAAGTGATAAACTCATCATCTTCACCACCCTCAGACTCCAACACCAGTTCGGCAGTAGCACCAACGAAATAAACCCACCCCTCCTTGATCTCCTTGACTGTAGGACCGACAGAGATCTTGCCTTTTCCGTTGGTACAAATAACAATGCTCGGACCGTCAATGGGGTCGAAAGTAGCTTTGGAGCCACCGCCATGGAGGACAGTTCGCACGACGCTGAACTCATCGATAGGAGGGTCGTAAAGAGTAGTTTGTGAGCTGGAACTGTAAGCTGTGCGGTTGAGCACTGCGTAAGGATAGTCCTTGGGTTCCATCTTTTGCTCCTCAATGGGTGCATAGTCATAGGTTAACAGGTCGACCAGGGTCTGAACATCCTTGAACTTGGGGGTGAAACCGGCGCGGATGACGTTGTCGCTTGCGGCCATGCACTCGATGATATCGCCAGAAACATAGGCATGGATGTCATCTGCCTTGAGGAACATGGCCTCACCAGGCTTCATCGTGACGTAGTTGAGGAAGAACAAGACGAAGAGACCGATGTCGCCAGGAAACTGCTTGTTCAAACGAGTGACGAGCTCAGAGAGTGTTGTGCCGCTTGTAGCCTCGACACCACCATCGGCGAACTCGGCACCCTTGGCTTCGGCATCAGCGACCAGTTTGTTTGCGGCAGATGCAACATCATCTGAGGATGACTTCATGAGAGCGCCGAACGTTGATTGAAGTGCCCGCTTGTTTTGAGTGGTCGACTCTGACGAATCGTCTGTCTCTTGGCCACGAACAGTTGCTATGAAAGATTTGGCTGCATCCTCTCCAACTAGCTCCCTCAAGGCAGGGACCGCTGACAAGAAGTGTGCAATCTCACCCAGAGGACGGAAGCCACAGAGGCCCTCGAAATCAGTGACGGCGATGGTCATTTCGGGTTTGTGGTTGTCATCAGGGTAGTTCTTGGGGTCCTTGGCGTGGAGCTGCTCGGCCACCTTCTTGTTTGGATGGGCTTGAATGGACAATGCCTTGTTGATGGAGAGAACCTTGAACAGGAATGGCAGCTTGGCTCCGTACTTGGCCTTGACAGAGGGAGAAATCAATCCGGAGTTGACATCAATCATGTCAATAAGTGTTCGGCCAGTCTCGAGGTCCTTGGAAGGGTTGGAAGGATGGGTGCCCATCCATAGCTGTCCAGCATGTAAGCATTGCATCAATGACAGCTACGAACCGAGATCAGAAATGATGGATGCGCAACATACTTCGGCGTAGGGCTTGTCTGATTGTATGCTAAAGCCATCAGAAGGAGTAGCAGCGGCATACTTGGCTGCCGCTGAATCTGAACCGATCTTGCCCCATTCGTAAGAATTGACACCGCACTGGAGGCGGAACAAAGGAACTTGCACCATGCTGATCAGTTTGGAGGAAGGACTGAGGATATGTCTGTAAGTAGAAACCAGGGTAGGAACCACGGTTTTATGTGAATCCAGAAGGCTTCCAACCAAGTGTATTCTATGCCACGTCGTTGGCTGTTCGGTGATGGTTGCTGAGATTGGGGTGATGGTTAATAGCCCCGCCAAAAAAAGACAACCCCGCCATGAAAGTTCACGTTGCGACGTTGTGACGCCTCCCCTGAACGACCTCGCCTCAAACCCCTCCAAGCATCAAAAACACCCCGCCAGCCTGCCTCGCCTGCCAGCCCGCCAACAAAAGCTCTGGCCATCTCGTATCAATCTGCCGCCGCCCATCTTGCAAACCACCGCCTTCCATTTCGGCGCACAGCTTCGGTTCTCAACGCGACTCGGAGCCGTCGTACAACTTGGGGCTGGGGATCGCATGCACGCGATCACCTTGAGGCTGCTGCACGCTCCAACTGAGCAGGTTTATGAATGACTTATTATCCAAAAGGTCCACTCGACACATCTCCATCTCACGGTCCATGGCCCCGACTCAAGTCACCTTTCTTGCTACGGAGTACTCCACCGCTTGATCTGATCTGATCATAGCGCGACAATAGCTTCTCTCCTCGCTTTGCTCGCAATCCCAATCGGAATGCGCGACTTTGCATTGCAACCATCGCTGCATCTATCTATCTATCTATCTACCTGAGTTGCTGCTCATCGTCAAAGGTACTTGAGATTCAAACGTTATATCTGCCATTATACTCGACAACCATTTCTTCTCTGTATAGATTTATTGCTCAGATCTATTTGTGCCCTCTGCCATTGACACAGAATATCTTACTCTCTCAACATAACTTGTGGCTGGAAGCATTATTAACATGAAGCCGAACAGTTCTTCCAAGGCCAGATTGCTCAAACAGCTTACCGAACTCAACAGTGAACTGGGGCCGCATTGGAGTAGCACCCCCAGGTCGCGAAGCGCTAGCGACCCACGCGCGACGCCTGACGTGCCCAAGACTTCTCCCAAGCCCCCTTCTCCGCCTCCAAAGAAGCGAAAGCACCAGGACACTGCGGCCCCCGTCGTGTGCACCGTCGGTAGGGACACTGATCCAGTAAGTTCGATGTCTTCACTCGGCCCGGGACCCCCCTATCTAATGTCGTCTGTCTTAGGTAAGAGCCGACAGGCCTCCAAGCGCTGCGCCGCCAAGCAAGGCCGCCAGCATGTCTCAAAGGAACAGAGGGCAGCGCAGTGCAAATCGCAACAGCGAGGGCGGAGAGGAGTATTTTTTGTGGCAGTCCATCCAGTCGTCAATCTCGTCCTTGGTCCCAAGCATCAACGAGAGCAGCCAGAATGTCCAGGATATAGCAGATCAGGACAAGCAAATGGTCTCAAAGCAGGCTGCTGGAGATTTTGACAAAAGGGATCTTAAAGGTATGTCCTGCCCGAACCTCGACATCGAGGCATCATGTGCTAACAGAGCAGGTAACCGTTCTGATCTGAAAGCCGCCTATGAGAAAATAGACTCGTTGTTTAGGGCAGGCGTCAAAGTCAACGAGAAGACAAGCGCACAACTCAAGGAAGTAATCGAGAAACTCCATGTGCTGAGTGCGCTTCAAAAGGCCAAGGAAGAGTCGCAGGAACCGTCACTATCGCGCTCCGCCACGCAGCGAGCCAAGGAATCCGCTGCCGCATCATCCTCAGTGTACGACTTCGATGGTTCTGGGGATTCGCCGGTACCGTCCCCAAACCCCAGCGTGGCACGCCGTATGGGTGGGAGCACTGGCAGCAAAGGCGACCGGGGGTCTGTTCCACCAAGCGTGGACCGCTCAACACCAGTAGCAAAGGCCGGGAGCGCCGAGCCTCAGGGGCCTGGCGCTGCCCTCGCTCGATCAAAGGTCATCTTTTCAAAAGGGGAGGAGGTCGCATTCAAGCCCAAGCCACAAAATAGCGAGCCTACCGACTGGATCCTGGGTGTTGTGCAAGATGTAAGAGGTGAGGGTAAGTCCCGCCGCTACAGGGTCTTAGATGCCGACGTGGATGACACTGGGAAGCAAAAGGAGTTTCGCAGTAGTGCCAGCAGCATGATTGGCATTCCGAAAGAAGGCACCGTGTTGCCGGGGTTGGATCCGGGCAAAACAGTGCTGGCACTGTATCCTAACACGACCACGCTGTACAAAGCCGAAGTACATGGAATGGCGGACGACGGCAAAGTGAACTTGAAATTCGAAGGCGAGGAGAGTAGCAATACGGTGCAAGCCGTGGCAAGACGCTACGTCGTGGAGTATCGCGCGTGACTCTGAGACTACACGTCAAGAGCCATTGCCGCAAGGTATGTTCAGGCTATAGTGCATCGAATGTTGATTTGGCTGGGAAGGATTGATGGGTCGGGAATCTGGTTTTCATTCTTGGGAGCGACAGGCGTTCGGGATACTTGGGCTACATAGCATTGAGACTGGCATCATATAACAGCGCGAGGCGTTCAATTTTTTAGCTCGGCAACATTGATGACTACCATAGTCTTGGATCTTATTCCGCTAGCTAACGCGCACATGGGAATTGGATTGGACTAGACCGCATGGTCGAGCGCTTGAAGCTCATTATTGCCAATCCTCTCAGTATTTCCAATCTTATGTGTTTTTATTTCCGTTGGCAATTGTAGTACCCATTCAAAACACATGAGCCGACGTCGATGGGACCTTTTGTGCCAGAGCCAGTCACATTAGGCCAGCGCCACCTCACGAAACAGCGATGTTTTATCGGACCACGAATAACTTGAGAAAACCCGAACACAAGCTCTTTTTCATGGCATTAAAATTTCCTCCACCGCAAACCGTGCAGGGTCTACTTCCACGTAGTATGCAGTGCAGAAGCCTATTCTCTTATACTTTCCAGCACCGGATCTCTCAAGTATCAGCAGATACCAGGTTCGATCCTCACGTATCCCGATTAGTGCCCAGCAGGCCCGCGCTGTCTGGCGATTCACGTCTAATACGCAACCGCCAAGGCACGTAGACTTATCTTCGATGGAGTCGAGTTCTGCAAATGTCAAGTGCCCCACGTCGAGGCCTTCGTTCGGGCGATAGAACATCTGGGCAATGGAGCCGCGGATTTTGAGAGTTCCCTCGAAATTTACCTGCGTAAGACCGTTCTCCCTGTTGCCGGCTACCTCAATTTCTATTATCTCGAAATCGGCCAGGCTATTAGAACGAAGTGCCCAGAAGTCGAGCCGCCCGTCTAGAGCCGCCCAGCTCCAGCTGGGCGCGCGCTTGTGTTGCGCCTCGCTCAGCGCGCTACACTCGTCAGCGGATGAATACCCCCATACCTTTCTGCCTTCCACATGATTATAATGCGCGCCCCAGAGAAGACCTCGAGCCAGATCCTCTTTCCAGAGGCCCCCGAGGTACGTCGCCCCCGGGATCCGCGACTGGAACATTGAGGCCGCACCCGCCAATGCGGGCAGCTTGTCGGAAGCCACCGTCAGATGGCGCATGGTGTATTCCTCCAACAGCAGATACCAGTCTCGCCAGGCGTATTCGGAGCGGGTGAGCAGGCGGTGCCGGGCCTCCTGAAAGATCCCCACCGCGTTCCCGGAAAGCCGTGGATGAAACGCCGTTTCGTCTTCGTAGGTGCAGCAGGTGGCGCATTCCCAGTACATCTGTTCCTTTCCGAAATGGAGGACGGTGGGCGCCAGAAGTCGTTCCTGCATACACCAGCCCCGGGTGTTGAGGGCCCGATTTGCGAAGTTGTCGAAGAAGACAGGAAACACTTTCTGGATACAGTATTGACTGTTCAGTGCAGCTAGTGGGGCGCGTTTCTTCCCGAGGAACCCGGTGGTACTCGATGCTGCATCCAAAGCGGACACAACAACAGCAGCCCCGGCGTAGATGGAAGCCATCTTGGCAGCCTCCCTGAACCAATCCTCGGTCGAGTCCTGGATAATGCAGAGCGCGTCTATCCAGATGTAGCGTATTTGCAGAGCCCGTGCGACCTCAATGGCATCTCGGAAGTTCTTTGGGAGCTCCTCGATGTTTATCGCCTCGCACCGTTCTGCGACATTGGACTCGATTGTTCTAGAGGGGATCGCGCCACCCCAGCAATGACTGAGCGCAATATACGGCACCTTTTCTCCTTGAGACTCATATAACCGGTGACCGCTCGTCTCAGGTCCTCCAATGTCGATCACTCTTGTTGGCAGGCCGGTGCCCCCCGTTTCCTTCTGACATGCTTGGTGATTCTCGGCACAGTTCTGAGTCCAGCGCTCTACCTTCCGCGCTATATCCCCGGAGGAGATGTACGTTGGCGTTACCAGTGCTTGTTCGTAAACAACCAGCTCGTGAGACTCGATAACACTATTCGGCACTATCTCCCGTCGACAAACCTTGAAGGTATGTGAGGGGCTGGCACCGATCTGGGTGGCACCCCAGGGCATATCCTGTAAGCTGTTGCGAAAGCCAGCCCGGAACTGGCCTTTCTTGCTTCCGGACGCGATATAGCGGTTGCTCCACCACGGATATAGTCCGAGCCAGCCCCGACACAGTTCGCGATCGAGCCCAATGGCCAGGTCCTCGTAGAGCACCTCGCACATTTCGCACTCTTGCGAGCTCTTGAGGAGATCATCCAGGGTTTCATGGTGGCGGAACCCAACACCCCAACCAAAACGAGACTGTTGGTCTTGGGGCACCCACGGCAGCGGAAGACTGGGTGGTTCAGCGAAATTGAAGCCGAAAAGATCGCTGGTGAACTTATGGCAAATCCCGCAGAGCGCACCGTTGAATTCCATTGTTTTTTCGGTCATAGCTAGGACACATTACGACCTTTCAAGCGTGAGGTTTAGCAATCATAAATATCAGGCTCTGGCGAGTGAGTGATCAATGGTGTATAATCCCGCAGTCTTGGCTACTTAGGTGGGGGGAGCACTTAGCCCCCAACTTCGGGGGCCAAAACGAGGGCGATTTCTTGAACAACATTGAAGGGGAAACCAATCCAAGAAAGAAACATTGCCACATTTATGAGGTAAAAGACACTGGGAATAGTGCCATCTGTGGAGGGACTTCTTGCAACTAAGTCAATTCGGCGGAACGAACGCCAGAACACCAATAACTATAGCCAATCGCAGAAGTTCACGGTTTTCAAGACAGGCTGCACAGCCTGCGCGATGCTGCAGATAATTGTTGTCACAGACTGGACTCTCCAGTAACATCCTGCGGGTACGAGAAGGTCTGACCAATCGTTTGCTGGCACTTTATTGACTGACCACCCTTTGATATCCGAATCAGTCACGATCAATGGTGCCAAGATGGGGGGTTTTTTTGGGGAGGAAGCCCTGGATTTGAAAGGCGATAAAATCTTCTCACTCCTACTCATTTTCTGCTAAATTTTAGTCAGTCTTTCTCGCACTTGGAATAATGTATGCACTGTTCGTTAAAGCACTGTCAAGCGATGCTTCGCCAGCACGGGACAGTGTGCTCCCTTCTATCTGTTATCTACAATACAATAGGTTTCAAAGCCTCCCAGCTTATACAGTTGGACAATACCGATCTGTATTCAGACCTCGCGATTGTAGAAGCAGAGAGCACTGGGAAGACGACCGCCTTATGCGATCCTAACGGTAATTTTCTAAGTTATTACAACAAGTGTGTTAATTGCGTGCAAGGTAATGGCAATAGTGGCACGTCGGAAGATTATCCTAATCCCAAGCTTGGGCAACATCTCGACTACTGCGGTATTCGAAGCATATCTCTTACCGTGACGGTGCAGGCTACTGTGAGCGGTAGGGCGACTGCCTTAACTACTCTGACCACGGTTGTAACCGATCTTCCAAATGCTTAGAATGTGACAACGTCAAACAGTGCGACAACGTGGAATAGTACGCCCCTGAGTTATGTATCTTTTGTTGCGACCACTTCTAGCGGTTTGTCTCCGGCAGCTGTATCGTCGCCATCATCCGAGGACCCTGCAACGTCAACGTTGTCTGCAGTGACACCAGCTCAATCTTCCGGTTCAACAACATTAGTGCCCCAGGAAAGCGAATCGCACGGGAAAGCTTGGATAGCAGGACCTATCGTGGGATCAATAGGCGGCGTAGCAGTATTATTTATCGCTGGTCTCCTTCTGAGAAAGCGACGCCAGAGAACAAAATCTAGAACAGTGTCAGGCGATGCTTTCGACAAGCCTCAATTACATTCAGATCACATTCCCAGACTACAAGTAGCAGAGCTCGAAGTGAATAAAAAGCAAGATCCTATCGAGATGCCAGCTGAAGTTGTCCCTATTGAATTTACGGTGCCGCCATATGAGATGGGGGATGAAAATCAAAGACTGAACCAATACCTTACAGCCGGCGATGTGCCTGAACAGCCATGAATCAGTCTGAAGCAGCATTACACAAAATCTACCCCTGCCGATACTCAATGGGCCGTTACAAAACTAGGAGCGGTGGACATCCGGTATACAGAGTGTGGCAAATGAAAGGGGAACAATCTATTTTCTTATTCCAACCTTTTCCTCCACCAAATCAGTGCCATAGCGGTACGACCCCATCAAGGCGTTATGTACTCGGGCACGTAGGATATGAGGCTATTTTTGAGCGTAATACATACCTAGAATCCAGAGGCATTCTAGCCTATCGCGCTTTGACTCATTTACTGGCTGTCTTACAACCCTCCAACCCTCGAGCGTATGTGTGAACAGCTGAGATGGCCAAAGCAAGGTATACTGGGACTCCGACTCCTATCGTGGGTTTGAATCTCTGCAGCACTCTGTGCAGTGAGTATTACCTTTTTTTCATCCGCTATTGTAAAACACACAACGTAAGTCTGACTTGTTAACACGTGCTAGTTAATCCTAACTGGCTGATAAACGACCTCGGAAAGAACACAAGAATTATGCGCCAGTGTCCTTTTCCACACGAACTACATCTTCGGATTCCTTGAGATCCGCGCATCACCCGATTCAATTCTGCAAATCTAATCGGGTTTATATTTGTATCTATAGTACTCCGATTCCATCAGCCCCTCGACCACACCTATTAAGCTTACTTCTACTTCAGCCTTGATTATATCAAGCGCGTCGGTGTTCACTACATCAAGTTCTGTCCTAATCCCTCCACCGACTAAGATCAGGGTCTTAATGGCTCAGGCATGGCCTGTCGGTCCCATCGTAGGGTCGGTGGTGGGAATATCCGTGTGGTTGCTAATAGCCTTCCTGTTATCACGGCGGCGCAAAAGGAACACGATAGTAGTGAAAGATGAGGTTACGAATAAGCATCAAGGGGTAGGTGCAAACAAACCAACGAATAAAAGCGCAGCTACCCTCTGATTTCGTACTTCGACATGAAATGGGTGTAGAGTTGATAGTCTACAAGATGCTGATATAGTCTATCGTGGTTCATACGGCTCTGGGCGAACTGACTGGGATGAATTCAGTTGTGTCGGATCAAATGACTGGCAGAAGCAAATTGTAATCATGGGTACAGTACGCTGGGCCGAACTAACAAGGACCGTCATGATGAGGCATGTCTCTGAAGTGTTCGTGCATTAAAGTACAAATTTACCGCTATAGTGGATGACTATTAGAAATAAGCAGTTCTGGCCGAACAACACAAGGACACAATGCTGAATAATGAGAAACGATAGAGCCATGTTTCTTGTGACGAAATGATGTTCACGGTCTTGATGGTTATCGCGACAGGTCCGTTGCCAATTGAGTTTAGACAAACATCAAAACATGACAGTGAAGAATAGAAAGTGGCAACGTCTAGCCTTGTCAATCTAAACATTATTAGATGGGCCATGCGAAAAATATCAAAGTGGGCCTATCAAACGGTGATGAAATCTAGCTTAAAGCACTATAGGGTTGCAGTGATCGCTATTTGAGGATAGCTCCTCTGGGGCGGTTCCTGATAGGTCGGTTGTCGAAATGGAATAAGTGCTTCATAGCCTGCCCCAGCCTCGATATTTTACATTGACTCGAATACAAATTGATGCTTCTTCAGCTCTTTAGACCTACCATGTCATACCTATTCTCGCATCTGACCGCACGACCAGAGAAGCGTGAGGTTGTAGTCCCATCTGTCTGCTACGCCACTTGTAGTAAAGCATCAAAAACTTCTAAGCCAACGGTTTGGGCCGACATGATGTAGCTCCTGGTGAAATGGCGACGATAAGTCCCATTACTGCGAGCATGACCATTGGTAGGAGTGAGTTAGATTCACACGACCCAGCACATCGGCGAGAGTCGGCCTGAGAAATTTTGTAAATATGCATATATACGATACCAGTAGAATCATTACTCGTTATGGCGTGTTGGCCAATGCTTGATCGGAAATGACCGTGTTTGATGTCCAGATCCGCACCAGAAAATCTTGAATGGACAACTCCCAAAAATGCACACTTCTCTGATCCAGATGAAGTTCCTCTTTACCCATAGGGGGTATATGCTAAGTACTACGATTCTGTGCAGCCGACTCGCAATGTTTCAGAATTTCCTCCCAAGCTACAGCTTGATCCAACTTGCTCATCTCTTTCAGCTTGGCGATGACTTCTTCGATCGCCGCTTTCGTGACATTGGATCCTGGCTCGCAGATTCGCCTGCTCATCTCTGCAGTCTTTTGATACCAAGCCAATGCTTCCGCGTCATTGCCGCACCTGTTATGGAGAAACGCGATATCTGCCATTGCACCCAATGTTGTCTCATCTTCGAGTAGTCCGGATCTAGGCCCGGATGTGACCCCGGATGGAGGCAACCGGATGACATCGTGAAGATACTGAAGAGCATTCTCGACAACAGCCCGATCAGATTTTCCTGCAGCATGAGAAAACTCGTTTTCTATCACGTGTAGCTGACCGAGGCGGAATCGTGATATGCGAGCTTGCTGTGATTCGGTGCCCCAGATTTCCTCACTCGACACCAACAGATCTTTGCCAATCTTGGCCGCTTTCTTCAAGTCCAGAGACTTCAAGGTTGCTGTGTACAAGGCTTTCTGACTTTTAAATGCTAGAATGGATCGTTTCCCCCAGAGTTCGTCGCAAACATCTCTTATACAAACTATACTGCGAGTCGCAACATCCATGTAGTGACCGTCTTTTTGCAGTTCGCGGCATAGGACAGCAATAGGATGCTCAAAACAGAATACCCTAGTGGCTTCTTGGTTAAAGAAGCGGAGGATGATACCACGAATCTTGGACCATTCCTTGCTTTTGATGGCGCTCGTTTCGATGAGCAGCTCACACAAGAAATCTAAAGGTTGCTTCAACATGGCTGCTGCCGCAAGCACACCAACGTGCCTGAGCATGCTAAAGACAGCCTCGTTCGTAGCTATCGCCTGTGCCTGAATTGCAGCCGCGCTCTCTCTTGAGCTGGCTCTGGCAATCTTCGTCGGATCATTGGCCGAGTCGAGGCTTTTGATGCCTCTAAGAATACCAAACCAAAGGTCGCTGGATTCCTTAGACGAATCCAAGTTAAAAAAGCAGTCGTTGCGACCACCTTTTGTCTCGTCTTCCGCTAGTTTATGATAGTAGTGTCTCAAACTCTGTAAGATCCTCTCAGTTCTGATTACTTTCTCGTTCGAGGATATAGGGCGTGTTGGATAAACGGGCTGGATGGACTTGAACCACCGCAGTGTCCTATCGTACTCCTGCTTGTTTATATGGCCTGCCTTGAGGCGCTCACCAAGCTCTTTCACACTATTCCCGCACTTCTGCATGAGGACATCCTTATCACTGGTTTTCAGATACTTGGATATGCTCCACTGCCGAAAGCGCTGATTGTACATGCGCTTGCTATTTTCAACGTTGGTGAGTGTCTCAGGATCACGTGTATTGAACGACGCCGGGAATAGAGCAGAGGAGAAACATGCAGTCATGGATTTCACACTCACCTGGCATGAAAACGGTACTTATTTCTCATAATCTCGTCCATATCCTGCCACTTCATCGTCTTGTATAGATTAATTATAGTGGCTTTGTGGAGATCCCATTCCTCGGCTGAGGGACCTGTTTTCGCTGCATCGCAACGTTGGCTCCGTCCATGAGCAGTGACAGCGTGCCTCGTGTCGGCGGACATGGTTGTGATAGGTGGGTAGCATTACAGAGACCCGAACAATATGGGTGGGTGTAATCCCAGACTCGCTACCAACCTTGCAGCGCCCTGCAAGATCGCGGTGCTGCTCTGCCTTCTCATCCTGATTCCTCTCAGCTCGGGGCCGTCCCTCGTTACGGCGGCTGGGAGCAGCAGTCCAGACTCTCCCCCACGTGATCTGAGACGGCCAGATCCAGACTAGCCGCGGCGTCTACACCTGTACAGTGTGGATCGGGGGCGCCGACTATATGTGCCCGCTGCGACATTGTGCTGAAAATGCCTTTGGATCGCCATGAGTGTGATGTTCAAGATAAAGTGGTAAAAAACAGAACGCGGGCATTTAGCTTGGAGGATATCTCAAAACTAAAGTCTTATGATTCCTGGGACTCGTGTGCACCTTGGTCCCCTTTGAACACCGACCCGCCGGATGATCCTCTCTGCCAGGCATGGCGCAAGACGGCCACACCCTGAAATAGCTTAGCTGCTTGCAAAGTGACAAAATTCCCTTGCAGATTTAGCCGGAGACTCGACAAAGAGAGTTCACACTAAACCAACCTAACCTAGATTGCTTTGGTCGAGCCCCAGCTTCGAGTTCGTTATTATTATCGTCGAGGTTAAAGTATGTAGCATTTGCTTCAGCAGACCCGTTTTATAATATAAGAGTATTTTGTGTTAGTACTTGGCTAACGTTAGCCGCTCAACCATACTCCTTAGTCGTTTCCGCACTCACTAACCTTAGTGAGATCTTGGCGTGGTTTACTAGCATTCACCACTACAGAGTACATGCCTATCATAGGATCAAAAGCAGAGACGAAGCATCAACTGGCTCTACCCTGTTCAATACAGCGTAAGTTCAATTCGAATTGAAATCCCAGATACAGCCATGTGCCGCTGGTTGGTAAACGCAGAAATGTGCTTTACTCGGGACTATTTGCAGCAACTGGTACTTGACCCTAACGACGGTCCCAATTGAAGATTTATACTGCGCGAATGTCAGCATACGATTATATCGCGTAATTTCATGAATGGTTGCGTGTGTTTTCGGGCTAATATATAGCTATGTATTTTCGTGCTTCTGAGCGCTCCAGAGCAGTTGGTCACATTGCGGCTGAGCTGTATTTGTGCCTGAAATTCGAGGTTAGGTGGCGGCCTCGCTTCTGAAGCAGGTATACATAGATATTTGAACTGCCACGCCGTCTAAGACTTTTGAGGGCCGATTTATCGATGCTACTTTCCGTTTTGAAGACAATCACAGGCCACGATCTCTCTCGTCTACACTCCATTGGATCCCACACGGTCCGAGATCCGCATTCTCACACTTCATCCAGACTGCTTTAGCGCAGGCATAAAACGCTCGTTACGCGTGGTCGCTTTGGAAGACCTAGCAGATCATGAAGCTCTATCCTATGTATGGGGAGATCCAAGTGACACGTTACCAGTCGTTGTAAATGGTATTGGGGTACGTGTGACAACAAATCTGGAGGCCGCACTGCGACATCTTAGGCTGCTTTGGAAGGCGCGCAATTTGTGGGTCGATTCGATATGCATCAGCCAACAAGACCTCGCTGCGAAGAGTGCTCAAATACCTTTGATGGGGAACATTTTCAAAATGCGACGTTCACTGTTGCCTGGCTAGGGTGTGGCGACAAGGATATCGAGCTCGCCATAAGCTGGGTGAGATGATACGTCTCGAAGCGTCGTGCGAGGTCTTCTATGCGCTGGCTAGCAGTCGATAATAAAGCCTTGTTATCACGAAGAGCGCAGCACGACAAAGACCAAAACCTCATGCATGCATACCACGGGTGTCTCAAACTCCTCTAAGACGTGTATCGGGGCCGTATGTAGATATACCAAGAATTCGTGGTTCATAAGAAACCACCAAATTGTCTTTATGGGTTTTCAATGCTCTCGCTTTCCACTTTCTTCAAGTGTATATACTTGTATCGTAGAAACCCAACACCAACTACTTTGCGCGACATCATCAGTTCAATCGAGCTGACCGGCTATCTTTTTGCATTCTACGCACGAATAATGAGGGATCAGATTCTGTTGATCACCACTCGGGTCAACGGTCTCCCATTCTTAGCAGAAGAGTATCCTGAGTAGTCCAAGGCGCGTGAGTTATACAGTCTGCTGCTAAACACGCTTGGCCGAGAAGCTCAGGACCCTCGAGACAAGATATACACACTCGACGAACTGATACTGGCTAATAATGCACTACCACTCCCAGACTATACAAAGCCCGTGCAGCTCGTGGTGCTCGAAACACTGGCTTATGTTGTAAATCATGAGAGGGCTGTGTGGTTCTGAATATGGTTCGATCTGGAGACCGACAACCTTAGTCGCTACGATCATCCCTCGTGGGCCCCGGATATCCTCAAACATCGAATTCCTCGCAGACCCATAATGTTGTCTACAGATTTCAAGGTCGGCGATGGCGATACTATTAGAATATATGCTGATCTAACGACGCTGAATCTTTGGGCATTTCAAGCAGGACGATGTAAAGTCTTAGGGCAAATTCAACCAGGAACTCCTATTGAGGCGCAGGTGTCGAGACTTCTAGCTTCTGCTGGACCCGGAAGCCTTGAGTACAATATTCCAATTGGGCAATTGGAGCCACGAATGAGGCATGCTTTTGGTGCTGTACGGCCAAACGATCGTAAAATCACCGATTGATCTCATGGAACAAATCCAGAAGATTGGGGATCATCGGCAGCTAGTTCTTGAAGACAACGACGAACCGGTTCACGGACTTATCAGGCTGATGCAGGAAAGCGCAAATGAGATCGGCAGTAAGGCTTTTGTCGTGACAAGTAGTGGCTGCGTCGGACTCGCTCCACCACAGACGGAAGATGGTGACATTATTGTGATCTCGGCGATGTTGCGCAGCTCAATTGTCCTGCGAAAAGAGAAAGCCGAGAGTGGTATCGCTCGTTGGCGCTTTTACCGCATGGTAGGACGCGTGGACATTGACGCGATGACTGAGGGTGAATTTGCAGATTGAAAGGAGTATCTCTTCAATAATAGAGAGTGGTCAAGCCGAGTACCTGGTCCACTGAGACCTAACCAGATTAGCAACAAACGAATCTATAAAGTTACAAGGCAAACTATTAAGTCCGCCTTGTCATGCCCTGCTCGGAGCTGCCAAGCAACTAATTTCTACTATAACCGACGATTCGCGAGTTTCATTTCGGCGTTTGCAGAACTGCCGAAATGCAAAAAGAACCTCAAACGTTCTTTATGAAGAGCAGTCTCTCCAAGTAGCTCATATATCAAAGACTACCGCGTTTTGCACGTTCTAATTTGGTGCTAACACTCCTCATCCACACGCAGTAGTCACTGAGATGACGTCATACCCACCGAAGACGCCTGAGAACGGTACGTGCAAGAATGTCAGCTTCAAGTGCGAGCAGATTCATCAGCTCACCAACATGAACGAAAGGTGCAAGTTTCATTTCCAAACTCCATAGCAGTCCGTATGCCTTTCTTGAAAATGGGAGACATGTCGGACACAAGATCCTCATCACCGGTGGAACGAGAGGTATTGGTCGGTGCATGGCCATAGCCTTCGCACGAGCTGGCGCCGCCGCAATCGCCGTGGCAGATATCTCCGAAGACTTCGATAAACTAGCCCACGAAATGATAGGAGCGGCACAGGAGAGCGGCTACAAGCCTCCTCAGATCATCCTGCACAAGCTCGACGTGGCAGATGAGGACAGCGTGCGCAAATGCGCAGCTCTGATTCGGGAAGAGTTCGAGGGTAGACTCGACGTTTTGATCAACAACGCCGGTTTCATGACACCCGCGTTGACCGTGCCAGAGTCTGACGCCACGACATGGTGGCGCACCATGGAGGTGAACCTTAAGGGACCGTATCTAATGAGCAAGTACTTCGTGTCTCTGCTGCTGGAGGCGAGGGGCGGGCCGCAGACAATTATCAGTATCAATAGCGTCGCTGCTCACAATCTTCGTCCCATGGCCAGCGCATACGGGACGAGCAAATTTGCGATGCTGAAACTAACAGAATTTCTGCTTGTCGAAGCGGCTGAGAAGGGACTGGTGGCTTACTGTGTGCATCCTGGTGCCGTCCTGACCGAGCTCGCAGAGAAAGGTATGCCTGCTGAGACATTGGCTGGACTGACGGATAGCCCCGAGCTGGCCGCATCGACGGCTGCGTGGCTGTCAAGTGAGAGGAGAGATTGGCTTTCTGGCAGATATCTGAGTGCGACCTGGGATATGGAGGAAGTGCTGTCCCGACAAGACGAGATTGTGCAAGGCGACAAACTCAAAGTCAGGCTTGTGACCTGAACGGCGAAGATGTGGTCAAGAATGGAACTCTATTATAGTTGTATTCTCTCGCTTTCTATCATGTTCTAAGGGTATCACTGTCTTTTCATGGCTCGCCCACGCCCCACCGATCATCTATGCCTTGGTCTCGATGTCCGGGAAGACGTCCTTCAAGAAGTTCTTGGAGTACCTCTGACACTGCGCATAAGCCGTCTCGAAACCCTGCTGGCCGCCGTAGTATGGGTCTTGCACGATCTCGGCCTTGCCCGAGCCCGAGTACTCGCCGAAGAGCATGATCTTGCCCTTTGACTTGTCTGACTTCCTCATGCGCTTCAGATCGGACAGGTTCGATCGGTCCATGGCAAAGATGTAGTCGAAGTCGTCGAAATCGGACGGTCGCACCTTGCGCGCGGCGTGCACGTAGTCGGTGATGCCGTTCTTCTCGAGCGTGGCCATGGTCCGGTCGTCCGGGTCGTCGCCTGCGTGGTAGGCTCCTGTGAGAGGCCTATAATCAGTACTGAATAGGAATCACGACTTGGCAAGCGCATTTGTGAGCGTACCTGTGCCGCAGGAGTCAATGGTCTCCAGTCTCTCCATGTATGGTGAGTCCTTGACGAGAGATCGGAAGACACCCTCTGCCATTGTAGAGCGGCAGATATTGCCTAGGCATACGAACAGTACGCTGACTTTCTCGGGCATCTCGGCGGCGTGTGAGAATAGAGGCGGGCTATAGTCAACTTCTTGGAAACAATTTGTGCTGTAGCGACGGTGGAGGGTCCCTCTCTGATCTCACTGTTCGCAAAAAGTCTAGGGTCTGCCCCGCCAAAAGCCAGGCACTGAACGCTGGGCCAAGTGACAGCCCTGCTGGAGATAGGCGGAGATAATCACTCTAACCTTGCTGAGAAGTGCCCGTGGCGTGAACTCTTTGAGCGTCGCTATTGAACGGAATACTTCCTAAAGCAAGAATAACTAAGCTCACGGGCGCGCTTGATGCCAAATTTATCATATTATATCAATCGATAACAGTGAGACAGGGAAACAAGTGATTAAATGAGACGAGCTTCGAAAACATTTCAATTGGGTATAACAGCTTCTCCGAACTTCCACCGTGAACCGTGATCATGACCGTGTATGATACCGTCTTGATTGGCGATACAGCTTCTCCCATGCCCCCTGTCATGCTCTCTGTATCCTCCATTGCCTCCTGATATTTATTCCACAACTGGGCCAGTCGGGTTCTGGGGGTGCGTCGAAGGAACACCCGAAGCCTTCTCTCTCAGGTTGCTCCCCACAGGCATGACGCCATGCTTGACTCCCAACCGCTGGTCCTCCTCTTGCATCTTGTGTAGGCCCTCCTGCTGCATCTTCTCGTTCCTCGTCACGGCGCCAACGGCAGCCTGGGCGGAGCCTGTAGCTGTGTGGATCGCGCCCTGGAGGTCGCCCTTGAGCTTCTGGCCCAACGAAGCGTCGGGGCGTGCGGATGGGTCGGATGACTGGACGATGTCGCCCGACGTGTTGACGTTGGCCGTGGTGCCGTCGCGCAGGACCTCAGCGCTGTTGGGCTTGCCGAAGAGAGTGGATTTGTCCGGCATTTTGTGTTTGGTAGGATGGTTTCTATGGGTGTGTATAGGGGGATCGAACAGTTGCGTGTCTACTGCGTGTAATTAGACGTATGAAGAAGGAAGTCAAGAAGAAATTTCTCTCTTCTGTAGTGTAATGTCATGAACGTTGGGTATTCCAGTAGTCGTCATATGCTGGAGCAAGCACATGTGACGTCATCCGATGCCCATCCTATTGCCGCGACCCGTTCCATGTCAACCACGGAGTAGTGGTTGGAAGGTGTGTCACACTGAAGCCTGTTTGGTCCTTAGTAACCCATGACTGCTACATTCAGCATAGTTTTTGCACGTCCGTGAGATTCAATCATTGTATTATTAGGCCCACTGGGCCTACTCGTGGATAGATGGATGCCCTTGAGCTATTGTGCCATGCCATACACCGTCGCAAGCAGCGCTAATGCGCAAGCCAACGGTAAAGTCACAGCAACGTCGAGCTCCCTTCTCGAGAAATCTTTGCATTATCTGCGCTCAGATGTCTTATTCCAGAAGTCACTCCATTCTGTAGATTCCCACTTTCTCATCAGCACAAACCGTGGTGAAGCGAACTATGTTATTGGTTGCGCGTGGGGGTTAGGCGGGTACCGTTTGCCTGGAACACACCCGACGACACGATGTAACGGCACATGCGGGCCGATGCGCAAAGGGCTATAGTGCTACAGAAACGGCAGGTCAACCACACCGGGGCAGCCGCACAAAGTGTATTCACAAGCTTTTATTCTACGAACTTGGCGAAGAGGTGACCCAAGCGCTCAAATAGAGATCACTATAGACCACGCCAAGCGCCTCTCCCTGGATCGGATGGGCGGACCGCACAAACGAATCAATCGCATCAATCCGCTCTTCCACGCCCGGGTCACTGCAAACTAGGATGACATTCGACTGTGGTCTTAAGAAAACCGTTATCTTATGAGTTCTCGTGGCGCCGTAGGCTGACCAATACAGTCAGCGCAGAGAACGATAGCTCGCGCCTCTCAGCAGGATCCTGGGAGCCTCAATGCACCTCGCTTCACCGAATTCCGCACCCAAGCGTCCCGATTGGCTACATCGCTACCCAGGACCACCATGCTGGGTAGTTATCCTTGTTCCGAGCCCTACTGAAATCAGGAGGCAGTTCGTAAAGAACCATGATGCTATGACTAACCGAACTTTTTGACCGCTTCAATTCCAGATTCATGATGTGTTGCTGTGCATTGGAGTCCTCAATCAACTGAGCGAGGAAGATGTATAAAGAGACAAAGCTCACCAAGGTAGGGGATATGAAGAAGGGCAGCATCATCATCTCATTACACGTCAATCAATTTCGAATTTGATCAGCACCTTCGCCATGGTCTTCTCGCGCCTCGCTTCTCTTGTTGCCATCGCCGGCATTGTCCAGGCCTGCGAGCAATGTGTGCACCCAGGCAACTTCACAGGAACTGGTCAGTCGAGTCCACTATATCTTTCCGTGCTCAACAACTGACATACGAACAGTGGCATGGTACAACAACTTCACCAACATCTGCCTTGGCTCAGTGCCAACCATCGCTGCCGCCACTCCTCACCACTTCTGGGATCCTCGCGATGAGGCACCCTGCGGCATGAAGATCACCGTGATAAACCCTTGTATGCCAGCCTGCCCCCCCCGTTTATCTTCTGAGGTCAATAAACTAACTTCATCTCAGACACGGGCCAGCAGGTCGTTGCCACCATTGCCGGCCAGGATACCACTCTGGCTGGTGACAACCTACTCCTGAACACTGCCGGCCTGGCTGCTCTCGCACCTGATGCCAATCCTAATCACGTTCCCGGATACGTAAACTGGACCTTCAACGGCTAGATTAAATACAAAAGAGTTCCCGTACAAAAGTTAAACCAAAATAGTTAATATTATATCTGTCATTTGATAAATGATGTGAAGGGGATTTGAGGTTACGAACAGAACCATCCTTACATGATAGTGCAACTCATGTGTTCGCATTCTCGTATTGGGTACTAACCTAATGTACTCTCTCTTCTCCACTGCTTAATTTTGCAGATTATGCTCTGAGTCAGAGATCCTTACTATCGTACAAATTGGTTCTTTTGCATGGTCATTATCGCCTTGGATCATGACCCGGGGCTCGCAAAGAGACAGATACCGAGACGCATAATAACGGTATACCAGGAAGTAGGAACGTGAAGTATCTCCAAAATAATTGCCATTAAAAGATGAAGCGGAAAACAATAGTGGTTCTCAGTAGTCATTAGAGAGCAGTCAACAAACTTAGGTTCTGATAATCAATCTTGCCTTCGCCCTTCGGGAAACACCCCGGGTTAGCTACTCGGCGACCTGATCGAATGGTCTAGGTTAGCTACTTGCTTTCGTTTGCTTCTCACCTGGTTTCCACGCTGATGGGAACCTGAACATAATATTTGGAAACATTCAATGCTGAATTGATATTCGGAAAACCCTTACTCTTTAACAGTAAACCTTTTTTATTATTACTTCTCTTTCTTGTTTTTGCAGGCAGATGGTTCAATGCCAACTTTTGTGGTGTGGCCTTTTTTTTTCCCCCCCTTTCTTTTTTCTTTTCTTCGTGTCAAGCCGTCTATTGTAGGCAGGACCTCATTCAGAAGACCTTTAGACACTACAAGCAGGTAATTAAGGTTTTCAAATAGCATGTTTACTATATTGTGCGCACCTGCGTAGCGAGCATGGCTTTCTAACGGTTTCCAACACGAGCTTTGCTGACACGTTATGTGAAAGAAGAGACGAAATTCATAGGAATGGTGGGAGCACATGAGATAAGGTATATTCATGAAGAGCTATGTAGATCTATCAAGGCTAGACATCATCCGATGGTAAGTTGTACATACTTTGAGCCGCGTCCTCATAAGAGGGTACATCACATACACCAAACTTCTCAGCGCCAGATCACATTTCGGTCAACAAAGGTAGCAGTTGGCGAACTATATGAACAACAGCACCCGCTCACATGTGGGAGGAATTAAAGTAGGATTCGAATCTCGGCCGAATTTAATCAAATCTCAGGATCTACCTCAAACATGTTTTTGAATCAGTGGCACCTGTGCCAATATCTTCTGCCCCTATGGCACTTATCACCTCATCATCGGAGTGAGTACCAAACACATTCCCACCACGATGTATCCAATCAACCTGACATCGCTAAACCTGGTCGAAGCCTCGCTCGTAGTGTTCCCGCTTGTGTTTCCAGTAGTTCCGCTATTTGTCGTGCCACTGTTCGCCGTAGTACCACCGGAAGTACTGCTGGAACCACTACTGGAGCCACTGCTCGAGCCTCCACCAGAGCTGCTACCAGACGATGTAGTCGAGCCACTGCCCGTAGTCGTTCCATCCGATCCAGTTCCGCTAGCCGCACCATTGGTCTGCGTAGGGGTGACCAGCTTGGCCTGACCGCTGAAGTCGCACGCCGCATTCGACTTGCCTTGGTTGACATAGTACTGGTTCATGGCGTAGGCCAGTTGCTGTGTGGAGTTGCACATGACAAAGTCACCGTACTTGCCAGCTGTCGCGTCTGCCGTGATTCCCGCACAAGCTGTGGGATCAATACCACAGACTGTGCCGAAGAGGGAACCGACATCTTTGGCCGCGACCTTCTCTGAGGGGACGCATGATAGAGAAGCTACCATAGACTCGCATGTGTTCTTGTTGGGCGTTGGTGGTAGTGCCTCCGCGGCTGCCCAACCGCCTTTGCCAGTGACCGCAGGACAATCGCGCGGCGTATTGGCGGCTGCTACTGAGGTAGAATTCATCTTAGTTGTCGTCTGTACATTCCCTACGGCTTTGACTTGGTCTACCAAAGCCGTGAAGTCCTTGCTGAGAGTTACATCACTACCGCTGACTTTCACAAGACCTGAATAACTGGTTAGTGCTCAAGCCATTAATGTTGCAGATTTGGTTCTCTGGTAGCTCACCGAAATCGTTCTGCTCCTCAAAATACTCATACGCAATGCCTCCACTCCATACTTGGTTCATCTCAGAGCTATACAAGGCCTCCGTCTCTTGCCAGATTCGAGAGGCACCGCCTCCAGGGTTGTTACAGCCGTACTCGGAGAAGAAGGCCGGTACGGAGTAGTTCTGGAAGGCTGTGGTTCGCTCCTCGTAACCGCTGGATTTGAAGGTACTCTGGCCGCACCATTCGTAGATGTTGTAACCCCAGAAGTCAACAGCCGCAGCCTGGTCTCCACAGTTGAAGTAATCTGCCAGGTTGTCGCGAGTATCGGCATCATCATTCGTGGCGTAGCCAACTCCCATCCAGTGATCGTACTTTTGCGACGCGATGTAGGCTTTGCTGTCTCGAACGGCGGCCTTGACGAAGGCTGACGCCGGTGTGTTAGTGTTGTTGTTGGTGACCTCATTACCCGCGAAGAAACCCAGTGTGTTCGGAAACTTGGCCAAGCTGTCTATAACGCTTGTGTACCGGGTGTAGAGATCCGTGGTCCATTGCGGCTCATCACGGTTGATGGACATTCCCGGCTCACTGAGATCAGCAATTACGTATATGCCAGCGGCATCAAGCGCGTTCATGCATTGCGTGTGGTCCGCCGTGCTGTCGATGGCATAAACCCGCACGGTATTGGTTCCTAATTGCTGAAGATATGGAATGTCGCGATTGCACCCGTCGAAATCGGCCAACGGGTCAGTGAAGGTCTTGCCATCTTCGACCGCTCCGCCAACTCCCACTCCTTGTTGATAGGCGACGCCTTTAATGAAGAATTGCGCACCAGTCGCTGTATTAAAGAAATATTTGCCCTAAGTTTTTGCATGTCAGTCAGTCTAGCGAATTATATGCCAACAGGGAGGCAGAATTATTGCTTACCTTGGCCACAATGGGGTCTACAGCCTGTGCAGTACTGAGAATGAGTGCAGCTGCAGCGCCGTTGGCCCAACGAGGAATCATGACGATCTAAAATTATATGCAAAAATGAGAGAAAGCAATAAAATTGACAGAAAGTTCTAATACAGTAGGGAGAATGTGATTCAGTACAGGAGGCGAGAACATCAGAGGGCCGGCTCGTAGTAACCAATGCTCCAGGCAATGCACCAAAAATGAGTGTTAGCAAGGCGCGATGAGAACCAGAAGTCAATATCCAACCATTGCCCCTTGTGTTGCTGCTTGGCGAATAATTAAGGTAGTGGATGATCTCCAGAAACAACTTGGGAAAAGCTTTTCAATAGTTCCATGACGGACAGAAGGGTCCACATACACGTCAAACATGCAATAGCCCTGCGCCTCCATCGATGTGATACTAAACCTGGACATGAAATCATTTGATACTTCGGATCGCTGCCGTTGAGATCAGCTGAAACATCTCACGTTGCGGACCAACCGTCTAAAGGCATCTTCGCGCTAAAGGAGTGTCCCCACCCACTGGGGACTGCGCTGAGACTACCAAGGTTTAGCTTAACCCAAGTACCTACATCGTATGTCGGTTCTGCTGGAGCGCCTAGACCAACTAATTGCACTGCGACAACAGCAAAGGAATTCCCAACCCAAAATACTCATATAAGTTAGTGCTGTATCGTGTCATCTTTCGACAACGTGTTTCGCATTGGACGCACATTGCAGACGTCCAGTTTGGTCGCATTCATCCTTTGCTTGGCCCGCCTGCGCAAGCTGAACAACACGCTGCCAACCGAAGAGACGCGATGAAACGGTAAATCATGGTTATCGTTGTCAAGAATAGGGGTGTCCTTTGTGAATTTCTTGCACTCGAAGCTTTCGCGTCATTGGGGTCCACGGCGTGTGTTCTGAGCTGCTCTTATGCATCCTCTATACTTCCCACCGGGGTCTTGAGCAATTGGTTCCCTCTAATGACGAAAAAGTTTGACAATGAGGACGAGAACATCTTCGCTGCCGTATAGCAAGATTGTTCCATGGATAGATGCGTTGAAGTGACTGCAGAACTCAATATGTTCGTGGTAGCCTGACAGCAAGTCTTTGATTAGATATTTGCCCATCCGCAAAACCACAAGGAGCAAATATTTCTGTCAATTAGGTTAGCTAAGTAACTTTGAGCAGAACATACAAGAACTACAGGTATTGTTCATATTCGGTGTGGTTGTCAAGAACTTACGTGGCATCGAATGCATAGGAGCGACGATCCACGTTCTCATCTGGAACAGATTGCAACACATTCTCGCAGATTTGGAGGTTCGCTTTGCGTAATGGTGACAAGATGGGAAGCCGCACTTCTGAGGCTACTTCTGTAACCTAGTGGCTCTGAGCGCGGTTGGAAAAAGGAGCTTGACCGTCTGTCAAGCTGTGGACCCTTGATCTGAATAGCCTCCTTCAAGGTATACTGATGCCGAAATACACCAATCGTTGAAAGGCCCGACAACACATTAATGCTGCCCATTGGACCATACGTGTGGGACGGAGAGAAAGAACAAAAAAACAAAAAAAAACCATATCACATCTTGTCGGGCGCCTTTGTTGACGTTCCAAAATGTTCCAAATGTCCCGTCTCGTCTCCATGGGCTGTCACAGTCTAGCGCCTCCACTTATCCCCCTCGAAGGAGATCAAGCCGGCGGCCTGCTGCCAGCTGCAAACAGGCAAGGAATTGCGACAAAAACCATGGCATCGACTTGACCAATGTGAGGAAGTGGACGGACCAGTCCGCTTCCAATGGTGTTCTGATCGTGTTCTGCTGGTGGAGAGATGATAAATCAGACTGTGACGGTAGAACTTTAGACTCAAGCTGACAAGACTCCGTTGCCTTCAGAGTAGACTGAGATTAGACGCGACATACAGTACCACCCACTCACTCCAGTGCGATGCCCCACTATTGAGTCGCACTCTTAGCTGCGGTGTACGCGACAAGGTGACAACTAGTGCACCATCACGACAGAAATCTTGGGGGCAGCAACATCAGCCACATTTGTCAAAATGTCGAGGAAAGCACCAAAAGGCGAATGGATCGAGACGGTAAGTTAGCGCCTCTCGTTCGAATGTTTTATGCTGATTGAAATGCCAAGGACACCGGCAACAAGGTCAACCGTAAGGCCACCCTCATCGGGACACAGCACATCATGCTTGGCGGCAAGACCGTCATCATGCCCGATGCCATGATCCGTGGTGATCTCGCCCGCACAGCTACGCCTGGAACTGGTAATGCACCCGGTAGCAACACCTCCGTATTCATTGGGCGCTACTGCTTTTTGAGCAAAGGGTGCTGTCTGCGCCCACCAGGACGCATCTACAAGGGGTAAGCAAGCCCCTGACATGATCTTGCCATGCTCTATTCTGACTATTGCGTGCAGCGCTTTCACATTCATGCCACTCCGGCTCGGCGATCACGTCTACATCGGAGAGGGCACTGTCGTTCAAGCAGCCACGGTGGGCAGTCACGTGCACATCGGCAGCGACGTTGCGGTCGGCGAGTTCGCCATCATCAAGGATTATGTCCGGATACTGGATGGAACCATCATCCCGGCCAACATGGTCATCCCCAGCTTCAGTATAGTTGCGGGCCAGCCAGCTCGCATTGTAGGCGAAGTGCCTGAGGGTGGACATGAAGCCTTTGAGTTGAGGGATTTGTACAAGACGGTCAAAACTACTGCAACGCCTGCTATTACTTGAGTCATACTGCAGAACAACTGTTCGGTTTCTTTTGAAGCATGGCGTTAGGAGTTTGAAGCATGGATGTTCGAAAAAAGACGCGCTTTGCTCACAAGCATGTAGACCCAGGCTTGAACTATGGACGAGTGTAGACTTCGAAAACAAACAATGTCTTTCAAGTCTGTGGTCCTGATGAGAAATTTGTTTCTTTGTTGTGGACAAAGTAGAGCGAGAGACAAAGCAATAACGAATGGCATTGCTCAGTAACGAGATAAGAGCGAGCCAGTTTTTATACCAGCCAGAAGGTCTCTGAATAAAAGAAATCATAAGCACCATACCTCGCAACTCAATCGTATTCTAACTTGCAAGAGCTAATTCATCTCCGTTTAGATAAAACTACCGCAGTCCTTTCGTGTTGGTAGTGGCCATGTGCGAAACGTACCATCTCAAATGGCTTTGTCCGGAGTGCTATGGGGAGAATAAAACACAGGTGGTGAAGGAGCCCTGCTCAGATTCGTGCAAGGACGACCAACCAAAATCGTGTCTAGACGATGGAGAAATACGTATTCGTAAGTATCTAGGCGAGTTGTGTGACAAATGTAAGGACGAACTTGCCGATCTGTCAATGAAGCCTCTCATCCCGAGTTCCGCCTTGGGCGACGATTGGCACATACATGAGTAATAATTGTAATGGAAAGTAACATATGGTGATCAATGGTATTTATATTGGTCGAGTGTGGTATTACGGCCAACAGACAGAGTTATTCACAGTTACACTGGAGGCTACCTAACGGGGTTGCCCTAGGGAGGTACTTCAGGCATCCGTTAAATAGAATCTTGTAAAAATCACATATTGTTACATTAGGACTGTGCATTTGCTTACTCTAGAGTGTCCGATCATGGTGTCTAACTTCCTGCCGGGGCTATTAGCGTGACGACAACTTTAAGGCTCTTGTTTTCATAAACTGACACTCTATCGACATCCATCGGCGCAGACTACCTCCCCAACAAAACCGCCACAACCCAATTTATCGTAGAGAGAAAAGTCTATTACGCTCTTGAAGTTGAGAAAAGTGAGAAATCTGGGGGCACTGATCTCTACCCCAAAGTGTTGATAGCTTGGATCCACACGTTATTGCCAACATTTGCTACAGTTCAGCTGTGGATTTGACCAATCTTTGAATGGTAGTATAGACAAGAGCAAACAGAACTATACAATCCTAGATCAAAGCATTTTCAGTATTTCAGGTCGGATTTGAAGGCAAGAAAACCCCGAAATGTAATGATATAGCCCACTTCTCCAGCCCACGACAATCATTCGCCACTATGTTTCGATATATTTATGGTTATATAGCTCTTTCGCTTGCCAATCCTGCAATATAGAGAGTATTAATGTAGTATGCGGATATTCAGCTCCAAAAACCCGATTACGCGCCTGTATATACTGAGTAATCAATTCGATAGCCTCAGTAGTCCGGTTTTGATGTTCCCAAACGATACTCAAGTTGACCATACTGCTTAACGTAAGAGTATGATTCGGCCCGAGATTCGCTTTACTCGTTTCCATCACTTGTATGCACAATTGCTCGGCCTTCTCCCATCTTCCTTGGCGTAAAAGCGTCGACGCTAAGTAGTTTATGCTGTTTAACGTATGAGGATGATCCGCCCCGAGCTTAGTTCTACTCGTTTCAATCACTTGTGTAAATAATTGCTCGGCCTCCTCCAACCGTTGCTGGTTCATAAGCGTTAGTGCCAAGCAATGCATACTGATTAACGTACGAGGATGATCCCCCCCGAGCTTCGTTTTATTCGTTTCTATCACTTGTATAAACAATTGCTCGGCCTCCTCCCACTGTTGTTGGTCTTTAATTTTTAATGCCAAGTCGTGCATACTGCCTAGCGTATGAGGATGATCCGCCCCGAGTGTTCTTTTGCCAGTCATTACTGCCAATACAAATAACTGTTCGGCCTGCTCTAACCGATGTTCATCTAGATAAACTCGACCTAGCATGGACATGACAGCATCATGCTTTTCTGTCCCTATACCTTTGTCGAAGTCTTCAGGAATATCTGGAATATGTATTGTTTGATGTCGACGGAACTCCGGTCGCCGTTCATCCTCCATAGCCTGACGGCACGCGGCGGTCATGAAAGCCACGTACGACCATGAGCATTGCCGACTTTGGTCACTCCGTAGCGTCCTCAACTGGACCAGGCCGTGCATAGTCACGCCAGGCCAGTCACCATCCACTCGCTGTAGTAAGCTGTAGCGGACTAATACATCACGATTCTGACGATACAGAAAGCTGTCCCAAATTCCATCATGAACTGTCAGAAGTTCTTGTAGCCTAGCAGGTATTCCCGCAATTAGTTCATCAGAGAGGTAACGAGAACCAAGAGCTGCAAGACGGAACAATTCCTCCTTGATGATAGTACCTTTGAAGCGCGCAAGGAAACTTAGAAATATCCGGGTCTGCAAATATGGGTACTCATCCGTGATCTTTTGGAGAGTCTTGTCCCAAACTGTCCACACCGTCTTCTCTGTAGGTAGCAACCCTCGAAGACTATTCATTTGGAGAAGCTCATTGCGGTGCATGGTGAAGTCGGACAAATACTGTACCACGGCCTGTCTTGGGTAGGGATCGTTACTGATGTAAGCTCCAGCGAGGTCGATAGCGAGTGGTAAGTATCCAAGGATTCGTACTAATTCTTCGCAATTCTCTCGAATGTTACTAGGTGCTGAGTCTATACTCCATGGGAGGTGTTGAAGAAGAAGCGCCGTCGCTTCTAGCGGCGACATAGTACCAATAGCGATGCCTTCGCAGCCCGCTGTAACGAGCTTAGGACTTTGGTCGTCCTAGCTCGTGATGATTATACTTCCTTGTTCTCCCTTTGGTATTACCTGTTTGATTCCCCAACTGAAATCATCAGCATTGTCGACAATAACCAGCCATTCACTTTCTGCCCGTGTTCGGTCGCGAAGCCATCTGAGCACACTCTGCACGGCCCATGTGTTCAAAAGCATTGGACCTTCCTCTTCAGTCTGGTCTTGGGAAAGATCAAGCTCTACAGCACATCTCTTGAAACTAGAACGTGCCGCCTCTTCATCAGTTGAATCCATCCATAGAATAGGGTTGTATCGACTCTGATGGGACTCGGCGTATTTGAGTGCTAGCTGAGACTTTCCACTACCGCCTAGCCCGTAAATAGCAACAGCAAATGGGACACTGGCGTTTTTGTGCGGTATTCGTATTTTCTCCTCAAGTTCCTGCGATAGCACGTCTCGCTCAGTGTAAGTAACCACAGTTTCGAGAGGGACGGCATAATGATATGTCGCCTATCTAACTGCATTAGCAGCGCCGGTGCACGCTTATTCATGCATCATAGTTCAGCTCACATTTTGTTGATCATTTAGAACTGGTCTGGCATGCTTGTCCCACCTAGTCAAGTCTCCAAGAAGTCTCTTGAAGCCAGTCTCTTCTTCGGACCCAAATTTTACCATATTCGAATGGTTCGCATGAATACTAATTGCTGCATAACCTTCAAGTGTCTAAGAGTCCTTGCATACCAAATTCCCCACAACCGGCAAGGAAAGTTCTTCAAAAAAGCATGTGACCTCCATGCGCCTACTATTCTCACGAAGCTCTCGAACCATCGACCAGAACCTAGACTGGATAGACTCGAGCAACTGATCGTCCGTTTCCAGAATCTCTAGAAGTGACTTGTTCACAGACTTCACGAGCCCGAGAGCAGAAGCGGGAATTTTGCTCCAATCAGCCATCCATGATCCTTTATGGGGCGTTCCCATGAATGCGATCCCGATAACAGAATCAAAGACCCTGCGGAGATGTACTTCAGGGTTGTTTCGAGATTGTAAGATGGCCTCCTTACAAACAAGACCACCCAAACTATGAGCAACGAAGATAATTCGTCGCCGAGATGCGTCCGGTGACGATCTTTCGTTTGTAAGGTCGTTAAGGAGGTTCGCGGCATGGTCGACGAGCCGATTGGATGATGCAACCGTCTTCTGGACAATATATGCATCGTAGCCAAATGTAAGCAACCGAGCTTCTGGGAGCTTTGCTGGTAGGAAGTCAGGTGGCCATGCTATTGCTCGTCCAGGAGCAGTCCACGTGGTATCTCGGTTGCCGGTTATACCATGGACAAAACAGATGTCGATCTTAGCATCGGGACAATCATGCCACACTTTGATACCATCCGGGAATGGTAGGACTTGTCCGGAAGTTGAAAGAGACGGACTGGCTGAAATGGGTCGGAACGAAGATAAACAGTGGTCGTTAGCTGGCTGCTCTTTGTTGTCTTGTATTGTATCCGATGTTGCCTGTGATTCCGCCCTTTTCCCCCTCAACGCCGCTTTGAGTTTCTCATTTGAGACGGAACGACGCGGGGTTTTGTAGAGAATATAATGCTGTAGCACGAACCGTTACGCTTATTGTTGTGGAGTGGAGAGGGAAAGTGGGTCATGAAGAAGGCATCTGTTATACTTTGTACTATGGTACAGTAGGGAGGGTAAGAGACCACCACGGAGCAGGCACCGGGTCGAAAGCAGGGGTGTTTTTCCGACACGTTATGGCACCCAAAGGTTCGTACCTCTTCTATGTAATAAAGAACCTGCCCCACTGTACTTTTTACACAGTAAGGCCTGATACCATACTAGAAGCCTAATCATTGTTTATCGGATGAAATATCGCCGAAATCCGAGCTACATCCCAAAGTAGATCTTCTCTTATGGTGTTGTTCGTAGTTGCTTAATATCAGAGTGGCTATGCAGTCCTGCCCCAATATCGAAATTTCCCAAACCTATGGCTTCTGGAAGGACAATGGCCTCAAACCGGAGCCACGCTCAGCCTGCCATGAAACAAGGCGAAAAATAAGATTACAGACGACAAGATAGTGAAAAGTGTCGGCCGGCACCGCAGGTCATCCCTGACCAAACCAACGTCTTCACGAAACGACTATGTATAACACCCTCGAACAGTTTGGAACGACCCAAGGCCATCACTCTGCTTATGTTACCAGCTTTGCTTGCCAAACTTACTTTAAACCTCCTTTATGCGTCAACGACATACTGTCCCTTTTTCTACAAAGAACTCGACGCCATTAACTCAGTATATAACCTTACGCGTTTCTGAGTACACCAACCTAGACTAGTACGAGATGCACACTGATGCCGAAATCTTCCAGATTTTCATCAAGGAGCCGCCGGCATGCTGCGGTAGATAATATGTGCCTATATGTTCTTTAGTGATAGCTAATGCGTCGTTGCACCACCAGAAGATGTCTTACAGTTATGCAGTGATATTGGAGTAATCTAACCTGGTCTAGTGTGTAATTTACCTCCCCTCTTACCCGCCTAGCTTCGACCAGTCGAAGAGTCATTTCGGAAAGCTCAAGACATATATCAGAGAAGTCTAGGACGATCGTATCTATTTGATCAAGCAGGACACCGCACGGTTTCTGGAAGAACGTGTGCCCGTCGTGAGTAGTTAAAGGGCAGGAGCTATTCAACTTAGATCTTAGACTTTAGCGGCGCACGGGGTCCAGAAGTAGAAGCCCAACAACCTTTTTGACAAATTACCTACCGGTAGATTAGTTGAGTAAAGTACGCCGTAGAATAACCGATGCAATTGGTACACGACTAGAAGACTTCTAGCCCAAGTTAAATTGTAAAAGAAAAGGCTATTTGCACTTTTGAAGTTGCAGAAGTACGGCATCGCGAAGGTTTAGGGACGAGCCGTTGAACCTTTCGGTAGGGACTAACCTAGGTCAGAGCATTTGCGTGGCGGCATCCTATCTGATTGGAACTGTAGCTTTCGAGTCGGTCTACGAACAAGAGATATTAAAACGCGATCCCATGAGATATAGAGAGGATGGATGCTTTGATAGATGATAGACTGTTGATCAGCAAGACAAGTATGCACCCAGCAATTGCCGGTCATTAACCCTGGTAACCATACTGTCAAGCTTCACCAAAATGAGGGACCACAGCACAGACTACCTACAAAATCAAAAGAGGCAGTTAGGCTCAGAGGGTGGCACCTCCACTGAAATTAGTACCTACATAGTGCTCACCAATATTGCTGTGCAGATCGTGCGCGTGTTGGCGCGCTAGGACATGAGAGGCGGGAGGCCCAAGCCCAAGCACAAGCCCAAGCAGCTGTGATCTGTGCATTTTGTGTGTCTCTCGCGTACCTGACGCTAAAATCCTTTTATCTCATTCGGATCTTCAATTTGAAAAGAGATGCCCTAAATGCAATTCTCAGCATCTCAACCGTAACGGCACCACTAGCGGAGTAGTAGTGCTGTAATGCGAGTACACGAGAGTTCCGATTGCCTCTCAGCGTTAGTTGGCAACCTCCAAAGTCGAGAGAACGAAGGTCAAAATCTTGACAGAGCGTATTGGTCACAGGCAGACAGGGTCACCATCTTTCATGCTCAAGCCCACTAAAAAAAAAAAGCACCCCATCTTCTTAAGCATGCATTATCGTTGCATCACTAGAGTGGCGACGGCAAATGCCCCTGCGTCCAAACCGCGCTGGGCATAATCTTGATGGAACGAATCAGCTTCTAGCGAGGCCGATGACCCCGGTATCCATTCAGCTTATTACCCTTGCAACTCTAGGCACGTCTCTTACCCCACGACAAACTCGACTGATCATCTCAATTCTATTGACCTTTAGCTTTCAAAGCTGTACACATGAGACATTAGGAAGCCGACAAGTCAATTGTCGACGGTGGAGTATGGTGAAAGCAAGCTAGGGGGCATGCACCGTTCTGTGAAGGTAATTACTTTTGCAACGGCAGTCTTGGAGCTTGATGCCCTGATGTTCTTTGTTATTCGTTCTTCGGATAGTCTCCCGATAGCCACGCTCCACGTGGGGTTAAGTGCAATGAAGCGATTCGTGCTACGTCGAGACTACCGCACGCTCAGATGCGGCGGTGTTTTGTCTTGCGAGCTTGCACGTCCTGAAAGATACTGGTCTTAGGATCTGCGAAGAAAATGGCTTCACGCCGTCAGTTTCCAATCTCTTACTGCCCTTCCCGTTTTCCATCGGCCGCGCTGTTCAGCTCTGTCGTATTAGGATTGTGTTGGTCAGAGCTAGAGAATTGGGAACCTGCAGGAAGCTACCCATGTGGACTGCGACCATGTAAAGTTCCCCGACAAGGTGCCCCGGCAGCTCTTTCAACGTCCTTCACCCCCATCTACACGTCTTGGGTTTCGATCGAAATGGGCAAGATCCTCTTGGGATCCCCAGTGGATTGAGTTTGGTCGAACGTCAGGGGCAGGGGCTCCTTTGCTTGTTTGGAATTAAAGCTTGATTTAGAGGTATCGGTCCTTGGGTCTTATATCCTTTGCCTCCCTTCCCCATCGTTTCAAATTTTGCCCATGAAAGAGTACCTTCTTGATCATTCCTTCTACAATCATATTACTTAATCCTCTTCGACTAATATTGTCTTTTCTTCGTCGTCCGTCTTTCATTCCAATATACCCACGACAACCAACAACAGCAAATCAGCCAAAATGCAGTTCAAGAACCTTGCCTTCTCTCTCTTCGCGGCCGCCGTCGCCGCCGACGATGTCAACAGCCTCGTTGCTCAGATTCCCTCTTGCGCACTGACCTGCCTGGTCACCTCGGCCACTCAGGTCAACTGCGGTATCACCGACTACAAGTGCCAATGCGAGAACGCAACTGAGCTCCAGGCTGTTGCCACTCCTTGTGTCTCATCTGCTTGCTCCGTCGCTGACCAAGCCAGTACGTCATCTCCCTGTCTCTCTGTCTCTACCTTTCCCTTCACAATCAGTTCCCACAGTGCAAGGCGTTCAACGATAATCATCACATGTATTTCATTACATAGTGCTCGTGGTGTACCCTTGAATCGTAAGCATGTAAGATATAAGCTGACAAAGAACACTCACAGCCGCCCTGAAGATCTCTGGTGAGATCTGCGTTTCCCTTGGCTATACCGCCGTTACTTCTGCCGTCAACTCGGCTGTTACCAGCGCCACAGGTGCCGCCGGTTCTGCTCTCTCGTCCGCCACGTCTGCTATCGGCTCTGCTGCCAGCTCCGCCACTGCCACCGGCACTTCCTCTTCCGCCACCTCTTCTGCCTCGACCGCCGCTGCTGCTGGTCGCGTGGAAATGGGTGTGCTGGCCGGTGTCGCCGCTGTTGTGGCTTTTGCGTTGTAAATCGCTCACGGTGTATGATTAGAGATACGCGATGGAAGTCGTGGGGATGATATGATACCAATTTGCTAAAGCGGGAGATTTGGGCGCACGTTTACGTTCCCCGTATATGTTGTACCACAACGGTCAATCAGGTCAGGAAAAGAAGAGAAATACAAGAAAAAACGGCATAAAGACATAGGTTATGATGTGTACCATTGTGTTCAACGTATCTATTCTATGAGCTCTATACGCGAAATACCAAATTCTACGACTCACAAAGTCTATCATGTCGTCCCTTACATCGTGCCAGCTCGTTATCGAAGTCGTTTCCATCCATATTTGACAACCCGCCCTACTCGTACATGTCATCTCGTCCCAATGCATCGATGCATTTGTTGCATAGCTCAGCCGAGACTAAATCTACCCAGAGCTCCGTTTTCGCCGGCATCGAACTGTCCGGCCAGGTTATCCACGGCCGCGAAATGCTGGGCAAACTCGTAGCCCCTCAAGCGCTCGTTCTCGACCCTTCTCCAGTCCCATCCGGCCTGCGCATCATGCTCCTTGGCCTCCTCGTCCGTGTTGCCCGTGACCGGCTCGGCGGGCGTGACCATGCCACTACTCTGTGTACTCACCCAACCGTCGGGCCTCGCGGGCAGCAACCCGCTAGCCTCAATGACGACGGCCGGGTGCACCGTGAGCCTGCCCATCTTCCATACGTACTTGGAGACGGCCGTGGCAAAGATCTTCTTCTCCCACTCCTGGGGCTCGTCGCTCGTGCCGCCGTGACTCGAGCCGCCATCGTCCCAGCTCTTGGGCTTCACGGTCCCCGCCTCCACGAAGTGCGTCACCAGGTACAGCCACTTGCGGTCCCAGCTGAGGACGCGGGTCCAGAGCTCGTACTGCTGGTACGGCTTCAGCTCCCGCTTGAAGCTACAGTGCACGGCGCCGAGGCTGACGCCGAACCTTCCCTTGGCGGGGCGGGAGGGATCCGAAGGGTCCAGCACGAGCCTGGTCTGCTCGTTGTTCCCCAGGGCCCGGATGCCCCGCGCGAACAGGTGCGAGGCCAGGTGCGAGCGCGACACGTCGAGATCCGCGAAGTAGGTGCTGTTGGACTTGTGGATGTTGTAGTCGACCTCGAGCAGGGAGACGTGCGTCGTGGAGATCACCGGGTGGAAGAGCACCTCGGGCCCATGGGCGTGGAAGGGGCGGACGAAGAGGTGCTGGATCATGGTGTTGAAGATGCGGACCTGTTTTTTTGTGGTCGCGTTGTCAGCTGCGTGTTCGTAACGTAATCAATCTTGATGAGCATTGCATGGCAGCGAAAAGGAGCATACGGGCGGGTGGGAAGCGACGGATGGGCGGGAAACGTACAGTCCATGCTAGAGGTAGACTCTTCCAGTTGTATACCACCATGAACAAGGCAAAGATCCTGCTCTTGTTGCCCGGGCCGGTGAAGAACTGCCTCGCGAGCCCAATGCCATTTGCGCGGCCTTGGTAAGCGGCATAAGCGAGGGCTGCGATGGAGAGAGGCAACAGGACGGGCTTTGCGATGCTGGAGATAGGCTTCGCATAGGCGGCGCTGGAAACCATGTTCAGGTATTGCTATGTCGCTTTCCCAGACGACTGCGGCGGTGATGTCTTGCTGCTTCTGCTGTTGTCGTGAACTTGAGGCTTGCGTGTCGCCCACTGGGTTGCGACTCGAGATCGAAGAGCGCCGAAGATGAGGATGGCAATCGCAATGATCCACAGCGGGAGCGATCGCAGATGGCAAAGGAAGGTAGTAGTACACTTGGCAAGGACACCGTGACCTGCCGACAGGGACATCCGGGGAGATCCCTCCCAAAAATGAGCGAAGAAATCTAGTATAAAGGGAAGGTCAACCGGCTCCGGTGCGACAGTAAGCATTCCATCAGAATCGACGGGAAATTCGTGATTTCCAACGGGGGTCGGTTTCCCTTATTGAATCCGCCATGTGGTCTCGAGCCGAGGTTTGACTTTATCGGGTCTAGCAACTGCTGTAGGTTAGGTTAGTCTACTGTAAGATTACGGAGTACTTTAACTTAGTCTTGAATAGATCTCTGGTAACTAGACTTTACTCCGGTACACTGGGAATACTGGGATGGCCACTCCCGCTAAACTTCGGCATTGCACCGTCACGTGCAGGCAATGGGTATCCCTGTTTGAGTCTGTCAAACTCTATTCCGGCGATATGATCTCTTGATGCTGCCTATATGAGAAGTCCAATGCTCAAACCTGGCATCGGATTACCTACATATGCAAACCCTTCGATGGACGACTGCAAATCTACCAAACTAACCGTCACACCATTTTCAGCCCCCGGCAGAGAGTTCGCTTGGAACGTGGTATCTTGATCGTCAGACTCATTCAAGTGGGTGTTGTCCCATGGATCAATTGCGCGTTGCTTGACAGCCAACAACAATCACCAACACCATATCTAGAAAGGCCCTCTTCCCAGTGCGATGGTCCTCATGCATTCACTCCAGACCAAGCTCTCTAAGTCGCTTCGTCTATAAGTTATTGCATATTCTACTGGCGCTGTTGGCTCTTTTACGGCTTTCAACTGGCTTGAACCCGGCCCCCGAGCCGGCCCCCAGAGAAGTGGCACGATCAGTGATGGATGATAGAAGTCAACGCGTTTGGGGGCACATACATTCTTTTGTCATTGGTCCCAATCATAATACCCCATCAGGTCCCTCCGCAAAATGACGGATACTGGGCCAAATTATTTTTCGTGGGGCAGGTTGGCCCCTACCTAAGGATACAAATACAAAATGTATGGCGCAACAGCTTTAAGCAACGCGAACAATAGATCATCATATGCGTGTATATAAAGTATACAATATCACAGCTCGGTCTCGATCAAAAGAATCTCATCTGTAGTGAGCTTGTCCTCGCGCCGCTATCTTAACGTGTAAGGCTGTAACGGTCACCACTCTCCATTTCTTGAATTTTCTTGTCTCAGAAACCAACCGTGATGGTATCAACGCTTCTTGCAGCCTTGGCTGAGATCGCTAGGCCCATATCAATTACTTTCCTCCTGGCAGCAGCGGTAATGTCATTGTGTTCCCTTTCCCGGTGACCTCATCTGCTAAGAAACGTCAGTTATGTACCTACTTGTTGTTCTGGGTCATCTACACATTATGGTTCCATCCCCTGGCTAAATATCCAGGGCCGCGTCTTGCAGCCATCACCCAAGTAGGCGTGATCCATCGTGACTCATCCTACCTCGCTTTGTTGACGCTCGATAGTTCTGGTATGCGCGTAATTTTACAAGCGGAAACTGGGTTCCCATCATGCAAGATGTGCATAAGAAATATGGTAAGCAAGCGCCATCCGCTCTGTTTACCCCCACCATGTTGATCTCATATCGACTAGGGGATATCGTCCGCATCGCTCCCAATGATCTGGTCTTTGTCACACCACAGTCATTCCGAGATATATACTCGCAGCCCACCAAAGGTCGAATGTTGTTCAATAAGAGCCCATACTTGTACAGTGGTATCGGCGAGCCTGGGCTGTCCTTCATCATCGACCCGAAGAAGCACGCCGAGCAGCGGAAACACCTTGCACCAGGATTCAGTACCAGAGCATTGAGGGATCAGGAGTACCTCATTCATGAATATACTGACCGTTTCATCGAGCTTCTCACGCAACGCAGCAAAGAAAACGACAATGGTATCAACATGGTGGAGGCCATGGGCTGGCTTACTTTCGATATCGCAGGTCAGTAATTACCTTTTTCTTGCGTATTATCAGCCCAGCAGCTCTTGACCCTTGATTTTTTTAGGAGAACTAGCATTCGGCGAATCGTTCGACGCCGTCGAAAAGGGGAAGACACATTTCTGGGCATCTGTGATCATGCAAGCCAACTACTTCCAGATCCTACCCGCCCTTCTGAAGCGCCTGCCAGTCATCTATCTCGCCTTGCCCTTGATACTCCTGGACCGGAGGGCCGCCATGTTCAGGCAGCACACGAAACTCACCCTGGAGAAGACGCGCAAACGTGTAGCCATGGGAGACACTAACCGGCACGACTTCTTCTCTCACGTCCTCAAGAGCGACAAGATGTCCGAGGCGCAGCTCGCCGCGAACGCCAGTGTCCTTATCATAGCGGGTGCGGAGACGACTGCTACTACAATGAGTGGCGCGCTCTGCTTCCTGGCTCAGAACCCGGCGTGTCTACAGCGGTTGAAAGATGAGGTGCGAGGCGCCTTTGGGAATCGGGAAGAGATCACGGGCGATTCCACAGCGCACCTGCCCTACTTGAATGCTGCCATCGAGGAGTCGCTGCGCTACTGTCCGCCTGCCGCTTTCGGTCTTCCGCGTGACTCGCCAGGTGAGTATGTCGACGGCGAGTATATCCCAAAGGGTACCATCGTCTCGACTGATATGTTTCTCATGTCGCGCGACCCGCGCAGCTTCGACGACCCCGATGTGTTTCTGCCCGACCGCTGGATTGACAAGAAGAATCCCATGACGGAGACTCTGAGAGGATTCGCCTTCACCGTCGGACCGAGAGCTTGTTTGGGTATCACGCTGGCATACCTCGAGATGCGAATAGTGATGGCCAAGTTAGTATACACGTTTGACTGGGAGCTTATGAACCCCGATGTCGATCTCATTAGCCAGGGGAAGCTTTATCTGCTTTGGGCTAGGCCGGAGCTCATGGTCAGGTTTCATGAGAGGAGTATTTGATTGAGTTAGGGAAGTCATTCGCCATGTCTAGGTCCGATCGAGTCATCGAATACCTATATTGTGGAATTTAATTTTATGTTCCCCCTTAAATCCCTCAAATACTGTGATGGCCACTTACATATCCGTCGTGATATTGAAGTTGGTACCTAAATAAGCAAAGTTCGTTCGTTTTAGAGATTGATCATATTTCTGGCCAAAACATTTTGCCGTGATACAGTAGCTGCGGTGGTCCAATTACAATATAATATATGTATTCCATTCTAAGTCGATCTCGTCATATTCTTTTATCAATGATACACTTAATGGCTAAGGTTCATTTGAATTACGACTTATGAAGCACTTGAAAACTGCCTCTTAGCAGCTTTGTTTTTCGCCAATTCGTAAAACATAACCCATAAGTACAGGTATATGTACTCAGAATCAAAATCCCCGCGCACGAACGCACTCCAAGTTAATGTTGACTTCTGGGCAAGGCCCAGCCAAGCTGAGAGCAAGTACAATGCTGAATCGAGCAGGATTACCCTCAGAGAGCAGTTTCCTTTAATGAAGCGTGAACGTAGAACTTTCCGCAGCCAGCGCGCGCGAAGTGTGCAGCCTTGGTTTTCTTCTCCGCTATATATTGCTTTCAGCCTCTTTTTCGCTTACCCGGATCTCGTAGCTACGTACCGGCTTTGAGAGGAGTCTACAGGCTGTGCACCCCCTTCACCATCTAGGATGGAGTCATGGGCAGTGGAATAGATCCACTGATTCCACCCATCTGGTCATATGCTCCGCAATATGCTTGGGATCCAGAAGGGTGGCAGAACTACGTCCAAAGCCCTTGATCACATCGACAGTCGTTTTACATGGAATAATAAACGATGTGATTTGCGACCAGCATTGTACGGCGAAAGTGCTGCGTGGTAATTCCGCTGAATGGATTAATGATGGAAAACGTCAACCAGAAACATAGCCGACACATTCCAAAGTTCTCAGCAGTCTTCAATGTTGTCACGATCGAGGGCTAGTTAAAGTGACAAGCGCGGCTTCTTTGAGTTCATGATAAAGCCATCAGTACTTATGAGGTGATGCACTTTATCAGCTAGATCTGCCCAAAAATCCTAGGCTATCCGATTGGCTTACACGTACTTTGTCGTGCATCGAGATTGCTCTCGCTTATGGATCTTACCATGAATCTTACGCCAGAGCTGCATCAGGCAGCCGCTTACTCGCTTTATGGGTGCCTGGATATGCCAGCTTGTCAGATTCACAGTTTATGGCGGGCCTGACGTCAATTCGTATGAACAGCGTAGGATTCATGGCTTTCTGGGGTTAATCGCAGAGAGCGCCGCTCAAGAGAGCAAGGATATTGAACTTCAGTATTACCCTACACTTTCGCAACTCTCCTCTGTGCAAAAATCTTTTCACCGGTTGTGACGTCCTTTCGGAGCGCCTACCATGTCCTCACCGATCGTGTCCTTTGCGCCGTTCATTGGCATGGCCGGGATAGCATCGGCGATGATCTTCGGAAGCATGGGAGCGGCATATGGTATGGCCAAATCCGGCACCGCCATCGCCAACGTCGGTGTATATAGACCGGACCTCATCATGAAGGTTCGGCAAATCCTTGAACCCACCCTCCACCTCTAGAGATCAAACATATTTCGACAGCACACAGCTGCAGTGGAGCTCTGTATCAATATGCTGAAATTCGTTGTTCCGTCTAGTCATTGATCCCCATCATCATGTCAGGGATCCTCGCGGTATACTCCCTCGTCATCGCCGTGCTCATTGGACAAGACATGTTTCCACCCACCCAACAGGTATACAGTCTGTTTAGCGGCATAATACACCTCACAAGTGGTCTGTCGGTCGGCCTAACCTCGCTAGCGGCCGGCTACTGCATCGGCGTAGTAGGAGACAACGGTGTGCGAAGCTTTATGGAGCAGGACAAGGTGTTTGTCGGCATGGTGTTGATCTTGATCTTCGGTGAGGTGTTGGGCTTATATGGGTAAGTCGTTATATCTCCATAGGCACCGCAGACAAGCAAAGTTGATATATTCGTTATAGGCTCATCGTTGCGTTGTTGATGAAAACGAATGCAAGACCCTGAAGAGCACAAGGCATTAAAAGTGTGAGATGGATAATGTGGAGGGTTATGACCGGAGATGCTATTGAGGACAGGGTCGCGAGATTGCTAGCTCATAAATCGGCGTACAGCCGAGCTTGCATGCTTCGTTCGATATCGTCAAAAACGTTTTCCAGCTCGACCAAGACTACCGGCCTCACGTGTTGCACGACTTCCGGCGAAATTGTTTCATGATACGTTGTTATATTAGAGAGAAACGCTAGTATTTCTTCCCCACCCCCAGCCAATACTTTACCAATGCTTGAAGGTGTTCTACAACGCAATTGCGAACATTGGTGGACCTGGGGCCTGTGACACAAATAGCGGCCCGAAATATGTTCACGATGCGAGATTGGGATCTTGTTTGTCTTGTTTCGCAGTTGCACTTCACGATCGGTTCGAATCGCTAGGAAAGATCAAGCCGCGCATCCGGCGTCGTATCGGGCTTGCAAAGATCATACCGAGACTATACCTAGACCATCGGGCAAAAAGAAATTTCTATTCTACAGAAAGTTGATGTAGTAATCTTTTCCAACGTTACTGAATCTTGATCCGACGATCTTTCGCTACATAACCACTCGCTAATTGCTAGTGTGATGTCGACGCTAGGCGGACACGGGTGTTATTCCGAATATACGGGTAGTGCATACATAAGTCATGATCCAATTGCGATGGGGAGGGTAGAATACTAAGCCTTACATGATCCATACGATATCTTCACATCTCCAAGGCTATAGCTGAAGGATTCGCCGCGCATCACTAGATCGCGGGATAGCGGGCTCCGCGAGCCGTAGCAGGAAAGGCGTTTAAGACACTGCATTAAAAGGATTTAATCCTTGGTCTCCAAGATGCTTGCTCCTTTTCAAGTGGTTCGATTATAACATTTTGCTTGCATTTCAGTTTATACCGATGTTGTGACAACAATAAAGTGATGTTGTCATCCCCAAAACGGGTATAGCGAGTGAGGCTATCGAGAATAAGACACAAGGAGCCAGGAGAAACACCAGCATGGGCCTTAGAACTTTGGGACTTGATGATGGTAGCGAGTTGGTGCCTTGCGAGAAATTTATATAAAGAAGGGATATTCCCTCCTTTGCATTGTTTTTCTAACACGCAAATTACTCAGAACTAAATTGAGCCCCCTCACTCTTACAGCTTTTCACGTTCCCTGTGATCGAGATACGGCGGCGCAAACCCAAAACCACACAACAACTCAACGCTTCAGACGTTGGTAAATAAGTCAAGAAAATGCAGTTCTCTGTTGTACTTGCCACGCTCTCAGCCATTTTGGCCACGGCCGCCCCAACAGTCGACGGCAACAAAGTCGTCCTCATCTATGAGCGTGGCGCACCCGAGGTCGAGGCTCTCGCTGCGCGCAGCTACTGCTATCCATGCGGCTTGTCAACCTGTTGCGTCCAGGATTGCAAGGACGCACACACATGCTAGACGACCTACTCGCTATGGAGCCTCCAAGCCCACGGTTTGATAAGTGAAAGCGAGTGTAACAGGTGTGAAGCCCGGGTCAACGTGTGGGCTTGAAGATCGAGGAACTAGGCTGGTTTAGGATGGAACATGGGAGAAAGGCTGGATAGTACCTCAGATGGATCTCATTTGAGATACCCAAAAGTTCGAATCGACGTCACGATAGCAATCCTTGTGCTCAATAAAGACCTATAGGATCGCATCAATAAACCCTTGGCCCATCTCGCAGTCGTGTCAGATAAAAGCGTTGAGTCTGGCTTTCAGTGCCAAGTATTTTTTAGCTTGCAACACTTACTCCGGCTGGAAGAGAAAAGCATAAAACTTGTACCTCGCAATTTTTGTGGCGGTGCGTGATTGGTAGTTTTCAAACATTATTCGTTACACGGCTATGGTGAGTAAGACAAGCTCTCTATAGAATTGAGTGATACAAGATACTAACCTATGGAAGCACATGTAGAAAGAAAGTGCAATTTGTGAGTTGCGCGTGGCAGAGCTCGGTGTGTATCTGCTCAAAACTGAAAATACAAAACGAACATCGATCAGTCGTCAAGGGTGCGATGAGAACGAGCGGCTTAGTGAGCACCGTCATACTGCCAAGAAGAAGTAATAAATGTGATATGTCCTCATAAGTTAGCCAACGCAGTGTATTACCGCCATTAAGGCGTACAGTAGATGACGTTGTGTTCTGATCAACATTACACCTCACAAACGATGCTGATCCCAAACTTGAAGACCAAACCCTCTCCCACATCAATCAAACAGGGATGGAAATCCCATTCATGTCCCGTTGATCATGCCAAACAAAATAAATGGTCAATCAACGCATGTATAAACTCTTGAATCTGCACCAGGCGAGTGGTTGCAAATAACAACCGGCCCCTCCAGATTGCAAAATACGAGAGATAAGATGTTCAATATACAAAAATATCATAGTAAAGCATTTCAATTGGGGCATGGCGAATGTAATGGAGTTTTTCCCTTGATACCGACGATGAGTTCAAGGCCCTTACAATGCCTTACGTGGCATAACTAACTACAGTCTCATGTTGGTGGTAGCTGTATTCGTGTCAACGATGTTCTATTTAACTATCGTTAGGAACAGGAATGGGGAAAGTTACAGGGTCAAAGTTAGCGGCGTTGGCACTAAATCACGACATGCAGTGGGATGCGAACTGCCTTGGGAAAACGAAACGTTGGTGATTTTTTACTACATATTATTTGAACTCCTCGAATCCTTTGCAAACGGCAAGATGATGCAAGGCGCAAGATCACTGTCGGAAATCAGTTGTACGTTCAGAGAACATGGCTGGCCTTGGTTCGCCTCTCATTCTGCTCTGCTCGGCAAAATCAATTTTGGGACGAGATAAGTATCTGCGCTGAACATGACATCGCACGATGACATGGCCGTTCTGCCACAGATCGCTCTTGCTTAAACCGTCAATCCAAAAGCACAATATTCCCCCATCATCCCTTTCGCAAGAAGGGTTGGCAACTTGAAACTATGGAAGTCACGGAATCCAATTAATCTACGCCCTTTGTCTTCCCAAACTCATCGGCCCCCATGAGCAATCCCAACAACACGACTGTCAAAACAACCATCGCTCGTATTCCAAAGACCAAGAATAGCCAACATGTCATGTCTGTATGGCGTACTATTCTATATCTTGCTACTTCTTGTCGGAGCCGATGCATCATATATAACTCCCACTTTTGGTCCGAACTCCTCCCAGCTTCCAGTCCATACATCTACACCCAGCGACTCTATAAACGACACCCCTTCGGTTACGTCAAACACCGGTGCGTTCACCCAATTATCTGCGTGAAAATAGGCTAATAGTCCTCTAGAGAACCATATAACACTGATCCAGAATCAAAATGGCTGTCTGGAAGACCCGTTGCACCCTGACTTCACATTTAGTCTATTAGACCCTAATGACGGTATCCCATTCATCAACGCCAGTGGCAGTATACATAAAGCGACCAAGATTGTGGATCCTATACCTCACTTTCGTTTCGAAAAGCCTGCAGAGTCATCTACAGATAACTACGATCTCAAGCTAAGCAATTCATATGTCGCAATTAATCTCGATGGAGAGGTTGTCCTTACCACGTCGAGATCTAGGGGCTGGTTTTGGGCAGACGGTTGTGGATGCTTTATTATTACCTCCGTTTTCAAGTACACTTGTGAGGGAGGAATTCTCTTGGATGCTCCAGATATTGTTTCTTCTACACTGGTCATACAACACGGTGCCCTCGTTGTAAAGCGACACTCGCCACATTACAACTCAACAACGCCTGGTAACACATCGAGCAATTCGATAGACTCTGTGGCGAACGATACGATAGCCCACACATCAAGGAGGAAGAGCCTGCCTCACTACAGCTTGGTCCTACTGCCGTCCTTAGTCTACCGCCTGGAAGTAGCAGATTTGGGAATCTACACAGACCAGCATTATCCAGACGATCAAACGCATTTCACACGCAAAGATACAAAACCATCTCAGTCAAACGAATCTAGGTTCGAAGGCGGCATCAACGTTGTTACTGGCTCTAATTTCGGAGCATGTCATAGATCTTACAACGATTGCCTCGATACCTGCCGCCGCAATTTTATGTCGTGTAAAATGCAATATGGCAACTGCATGCGAAATGAATGTCGCAAAAAGTATTGTCGTGGCCTTCAACGATGGGGTTGTCTCAATCTTGCCTCACTTTACGAATGGACAGCAATGGGTACAGATGCCAAAAAGGCGGTCTTGTCCTCAACCCATAAAAACTGTGAATGCAGATCTGTAGAGCCTCAAGCTCTTCGTGCCAACGCATCCACGTCAGTGTTCCACTACCAAGACAATCATGAAAGTTATGGAGATTTCATACAACCTGGTAACAGCAGGGACGTCAAGAAGCTGTTTGATCAACTGGCTGAACTACTCAACCTAGTCACTAAGATACTTGATGAAAAGTATGCGGGCTTAGGTTCACAGTCAACTATCAAAATGAATAGCGAGACGGTCGACGAAGCGATTGACGACTCATCTCACTCGATGGTCTTCATCGGAGGGTACATCATGACTGCATGGCTCTGCCTTGCGATTCGTGAATACTTTTATCGCACCTGTAATCAGCATCTTTTCTTTCCAGAAATCAAGACACAACGTGCCTCCATCATCACTAGACAGAAGGACCCATTAGTACTTGAGAAACGTCGACAGGCCAAGAAATATCGACGTCGTCCGTATCGCAGATGATAGTCCATGACTACCATACCACTAGGGAGAAGCAGTTTAGTCATAGGAGTGAGGGATATTTTGTACTTAGTTTGCAATTATTGCGGTGCACCCATGCGTCTTGGTTGAGTAGTGCTACCGGCTAACACAATTACTGATAGAACCACAATGGCATCTGTCTCAAGCTCCGCAAAGACAATCGTGACAAAGCGGCATCTTCGATGCAAGCGAATAGTGAACAAAGCGTTGAACTCAGTGTGCTTATCCTTTCTAATAAGAAAATGTAGCGCAATGTGGATTCCAAGGACAAAGCTTACAATTTCACAACCAGCTGGTGCGTGTGTTGTGATCCCAGTCTGCTACTCTCTGCCATTCACACCACGAAAATATATTCACTGGACTCTTTTCATTTACCAACCATGGCAGGTCAACTCCCGGGGTTCTGGAACCACCCATATCCATTCGAAAATGCAGCAGTTTCTCCAGCGCTGAACATACCGAGTATCACTCGAAGACAGGGCGATGAACTTGAAACGCTTTTCAGGGAATTGAGTCATCTTTTAGCACATCCCACCAGGCCTTTTTATTCCGTACACTTAGCCGTCAACTTAATGAATGCCAATCAACAGGCGATTCCTGGTCGAGTGTGGGCATATACCTTTCCAGTAGCGATCGTAACATCACCAAAAACCCTAAGGGCTCAAGCCACTGGTCTACTCCGTGACGATCTTGATTGCATTTGGACACCGATGACAGCTACGCCCAACCGTGTTTCTGGAGCCGTCTTGGCCCGGTACCGATATTTGATAATCATCCATAGACACAAAGGAGGTTCTATCAATACGGATATTTACACCATGAGTGTTTATGATCGAGAGGTACGTGATGCAGATTGGAGCTGAAACTTCAATGACTATGTTTTGAAATTCTTACTGCTAACAGACTCACCCTGGCAGTTCCAAGATACGCGATGGCACGATCCAGGTGTCGGCACCCCTGCTGAGGTCCTCGCTCGTCAAAACGCTGTGACGACTTGGTGGAACAACTCAACATACCAGTTCGCGGGATGTCCTGGACTTGGGCCACCGACCACCTTTCACAGGGGCTATGTAAACTTCCAAACTTGTCTGGATCTTGCGCGCCGGCAGTCTCCACTCCAGCACGTCGGTTGGACGCTGTATAATGTGATGGCCTGGGCCATCGAGCTGACGATACGAGCTCACGTACCTGTGCTGCAGACGGTATTCCCGGATTCTGTGCTATTAGCGACCGGCTTCAACAACCTGACACGGCTCCACTCTGAGCTGTTCATCACTTTATACCACAACAGAGCCGCCGGGTTTAATAACAGTGCTAACTTCAACTCTCCGGTGGCCGTGTTGGCAAATTATGGCAGAAACATCAAGAATTTCACTTATAGTGTCCTTCTTCAGCACCGCATTCAGGGATTACCACCCGGAGCGATGCCATCTCAGGGCGCTTTTACTCTCTTATGGATGACAGCAGTGTCGCCGCTTGTTTAAGCATGTTCGCACTTCGTTTAAACTTGGGCTCCGCTGGGGTTTTCAATGCAGAAGTTTACAACAGTAAGAATGCATGTCAAGGCGTCGAGTAAGCGCGAATTGACCTGGGTAATATATTTCACCTGCTGAGTTTCATTTATTCTATATCGCATCCAGGTCATTCTCCATCCACACATCTCTTACGGGAGAAAAAGAAGACATTGTTGCATCTACATAGTGGCTCCAGGTAGCGTTTTGAGCCCTACCAAACAACGTCAGTACTCTAAAACGTATTAGATTGAAGCGTCAAAGAAAACTTACACTGAGTGTCTCCAATATCATATTTGGACGCCTGGGCCTTTGTACAAGCAATGGCTTGCGCATCACTCTGTCTCTTGAGTGCAGCACAGTTATCGCCAGCGCACTTTGTATCCATAGCCTTCTGGAGAGCGTCATCTGAAATGGAAATGTCAATTACTGATTCTCCAAGAAAACATATTAAGTTCATAAAAACAACGCGGCCTCACCTTTCCAGCCAAAGAGGTAGTCTCCATGGATACCATGGCCAGTGTTATCACCCATGCTCAAGTAGAAGGGCTGAGTGCCATCAGTGGGCCAGTCTGCCTTGTTGTTATACTGTCGAGTGTCAAAGATGCCCTCGTACATGACTTGCGGAATTTTGACGGGATGGGTGGACGGGCAGGCACCACCTGATTCGAAAGTGCCGGATGCAGGATAGGCAACGTGGCTTCGGTGATCAGGACTATCCGTATTCTTTCCATCCCAGCATGATGGGAAGGTTACTGTCATGCGCCAGCCGCCGTTGCAAGCCTGCTGGGGGAAGCCAGGTGTGTCGGACCCTGTGCAAGGGGCACCACCAAAGGGGTTCTGTTGCATGTTGGCCTCACAGCGCCAGCAGAGGCCTTTCGGAACTTTGCCGGCGACGCGGTTCATGGGGTCTCCGACGAGCATGCGGAAGCCCTAAACATGAGATCAGCTACGTATTTCCAAGCCGAAATTCAGATGGCTTACCTTGGGGAAAGCAGTAACCTTGGCACTGGCCTGGTATCCTCGGATGTAGTAGATGGTCATGCCGGCTTTGACACCGAGACCGAGATTGACGACCTGCGGGACCCGCTTGAAAGTCCCGTTGCGGGCCTTGAAATACACGTTTGCGGTCCAGTAATTGGAGAAGTCCTCAGAATAAGTGCAGCTCGTGCAGGTCGCAGCCGTGGGCGGGTCGAGCTGCGCGGGGGTCATGCTTGCGTTGAACGAGTTGCCTCCCACAATTTGATGCATATGAGCCGAGGGAACATTGCCGGGCTCGACTAGAGGGTCAATTTGGTCGATAGTGAGCTGGGAGCAGCCGAACCGCATCAGCTCCTGTGCTGCGACGAGTTGGAATAGAAGGGGTAGCAGGAGCAACATGATAACTCGAGATCTGAAAATGAATATGGATGAGCAAGAGGAAAGATTCCAAAGCTTCCTTCTCGAAGTCTTGCACGATGATCTTGATATAGTCCGAGGATGGATTTGCAAGTCTGGTATCTCTCTGCCGATACCAGACCTTCCCGGATAAAGTCGACCGGCTTGTCACAAGACCCAGTGGCAATTGGCGCAGGACGAAACAAGTAACTGCCGCTTATTGAGCTCAATATATTTCCCCAATGCGGAAACGCTCTACAGTGCTTGACTGGATTACCTTCGATAACGAAGATATACTCGACCGGCATTTGTTATGGGCGCTCCTTGTGGTCGGCTTCCGCAAAACCTCGATTAGGACTTGGCGGCAGCCTCACGTACAACCAACGACAAGGGCCTGATACCTTCACTATCTGGGTGACGCCAGAAGTGCCCGAGATATTAATGAGCACTCATTTCCCCAGAAGTCCGGCCTTGATAGCAAGTGCCCGTGCTCTTCTTGTGCTTAAATACACACAAACTAATCTCGCGGTCGACTTTCATCTCGATCTTCGAAAGTGAGACCGACATATAATAATTGCCTAGTGTTCGCGGCTTTTGCTTTGATCTTGGTTTCTCCATTGTATCGTGATCGCAACACCTTGCAGATTGTGACAGACAATCGTCAGCATTGGGCTTCATTCTAAAGTCTGCAAATCGGCAGCCCTGCTTGGAATTGTTCTAAGTGATTTCAATTGAACTCCGTTTTACCTACTACGACCAGTCGAATGAGCCTACATACAAAAGATCGGTGTTGGACTGATTTACCACTGGGATCAGTCCTATCAGTATGAACTGTCATGCTGCTGATAAACTCTAAATTCTTTCAAGACCGCTAGCCTCAGTTGTAACTACATTCTGGTTGTAATGAAATATTTTGCTTTTCGCTCTTCTTCGCAATGGCTTCTTTTTCTTGTGTACGAAATTTGAATAATCAGAATTTTCACTACAACTTGATTTCACACCGGCCATGACATGTCCAGAATTGAAGTGCAATTAGAGCCTTGAATCCGTAGATAATTTATAATCTTCTTAGATTATTAGTCACAACATGCACCTCTGGACGACTTCCTGGGAGAATTCTAGATTTTGTAGTGTTTCAGTCACATTTACGGGACCTTCGGCCATCCTAACTGCCGAGGCCCTTCTTTTTCTTCACCCTTTCACCCCATCTGGATTTAATCATCACCATCGACCGATTACAGGTTTAAAGGCCACTTTATTTAAGCAAGGCAAAGGCAGTATTATTTATATCTATAGCATGGAGATAGACAAACCGGTGGCAGTGGTAAGCGCACGGAACCATGGACTTTGTCGCTGTTGCATCTGCCATGGATTAAGGCATAATTCGCAAACGTATTACGTCGAACTGCCACATACCGAAACATCAACTTCGAACACATGTAATTGATTGATTATATTATGGATGTGCTATAGCATGTTTTATTGCGACTTCGTGGGTATGTGGGTGGCTCGGTGTACATTCATGCTACATAAAGCTTATCATAACCAGCTCGTAGATTAGGGTATATTGGAGTCAAGCTGTGCTAGCTGTGCTTTGATATCGGAACAACATCGCTTTACTTACTAGCAGCACATCATGTGTCCAAATCGACTATAGATTTACGGAGCGAAGCACGTAGTACAGATAAGTCTTGAGGTTGATCGATAGCGATTTGAATCTCTCAATTCCAGCCCTGACATTCATTTTTATTGAAGGACTATCTCGAATAGCAGGCCGATGAAATCATGTCAGTGAAGACGTTTGGGAAAGACAAGAAAGCTGAAGTGGTGGGTGCTTTACGGCATCTTGAACATCAAGGTTTGGCAGCTTGTTTCGCTCAGAATCAAATCAGTTGTGATCATTGTATCACTACCTTCAACGTGTAGTTGGTCGGGGGATCTATCATATCCAGCGTAGAGTGCTTTTCCTTGTGTGCTCGAGCAACCATGGTTTTACAGATATAAACAGTTCGTACCAAAGACACCCAGCTGAGATCCGCCGATGCTGCCCCAAATATATCGAATATCTTTACCCAAAACTCCATTTAACTGAGACCTTAGCAAAAACCACCGGATTGTGGGCCCGGAAGGTATATTCGTCGTGCTGGGTTATCACTGACGTCAACCGCATAAAAGCGACGCGAGCAAACAGAGGGGCACATGATCCACGTCCCTATATATAAGAAGTAACGTAATGCAGCGAAATAAAAGTATACGCGAAGAAGCCCAAGGTGACAGCATGAGCAAGCCGACTTGGTCGGTATCATCTTGTACCATGACACAGAGAGATGCCAAAATGGCGACACAGGCGCCATTATAGGATAGCCACGTGGTAGATCATGGCTGATAGCCCAATAGCCACTACTGTAATCGGCCGGTTGGTGCTTCCTCTGGGGTCCTTGCAGAGAAACTGATCTGGATATGGAACTCTGCATGACTCCATGGACTTGATTCAACTACCTAGGTTAGATGACAAAAAACGGAGGCGACGTTTGTACGACTTCCAGGCTCTAGCTGAGTGACCAGGAGCGAAATGCAGGATGGAGCTAATCATCAACTTCAACGAGGATACGGGACATTTGTTGTTCCCAATGCAAACAGGTAGGGTGCCATTAATACCTTTCATTTACAATTAGGTCCACAGGATCAACTTCTGTATTTTCTGAGCAATATGGAATGTCCCATAATCTCGAGTAGCACTTGTTAGAAGTGAGGTGTGGATGTTCTTGATATAAACCTATTCTTGAAGAATGATTCGGCCGTTTGACTCGCCGCCACTATGAACCGCGATCAACACAAGGCGATATGTAGCGGCAAGAATTCATACAGAGTCTGGTCAGTATTCGACTTGGTCGGACTGTTTATATTCAACTTTGCAACAATTTGGGGCCAGGTTATATTGGCCTGATAAGAGTTGGGCGCAATGATATAACAAGGCACGTTCGACAACAACATAACTATCCAGGCGCAAGTAGTAACTGATTTGACCATAACCGTCGGGCGGTACCCAGTTCTTGGGAAACCATCTCGTCAAAAGAAAGAATGACTAAAAGGCTCCGTCGCTCCTGGTGTTCTAGGCCAGAAATGGCAGCTCAATACCTTCACTAGGAGACCTCCGAACCTCGGGCGGGAGGGGGGGGGAGAGATCGGGGAAGTGGGGCGAGTTTTCAGAAGGCGGCACGCCTCCGATAAATGGCTACCAGCAGCCGTAGCACAATAGGATGCGTCATTGAGCCGATATGAAACATACTATAAGGATATACGTACCTCACAGTCCTTATTGAATGATTGTTTTTTCTTCATGACTATTCCGGCTGACGGTGCTCTGCTGACGATACAGTCTTTGTGAATATCCACCTACACACTTAAACGTACCCCGCGATACTGCTTAGACCTCGGCGCGGCTTAAAATTAATCGACTATGCCGCTCACGACACCATCCGTATTCCCTCCCCAATCGGTGGAACTGCAGAAGTTCCCAAGCCGCAGGAGTGTAGTTCACAACACGAAGGGAATCGTATCTTGCACGCAACCCCTGGCTGCAAAATGCGGTCTCGAAGTATTGAATGCAGGTGGTAACTGTGCTGTAAGTGAAATCAGCGGGGTAATATGCAGATAGAGTTGTAAATGCTGACTGCAGTTGTAGGACGCGGCCGTTGCAGTTGGTATGCATCAACGAAACCAGAATAGACTGGAAAAGAGATGAAGACTGACTCTAAGCAGCTGCCGGACTGAATATCACGGAGCCCGGTTCGACAGGTATCGGTGGTGACATGTTCTGTCTGTTCTACGATGCCAAGACAAAGCAGATCTCGGCGATGAACGGCTCCGGGCGCGCAGGAAAGAACTGCAGCCTAGAAACCATCCGCAGCTCGCTGGGTATCAAGGATGGCGAGTCGGGCAGCATCCCCATGACGAGCGTACACTCCGTCACCGTGCCCGGCGCACCTGCGGGATGGGTCGACACGGTTGAGCGCTTCGGCAGCGGCAAGGTGACCATGGATCAAATCCTAGGGCCGGCTATTGAGCTGGGCGAGACGGGATTCCCTGTTTCGGAGTTGATTGGTCACTATGTGCGTCCCTTACTTCCATTCCCGGGCCGAGTTGAAACTTGACTGATCATATCGTAGTGGAACGCGGCGGAGCAGACCATCCGTAATGCATCGCCAAACTTTGGCGAGATGCTGAAGAAGGACCCGGCGGCTCCTGATGGTGTGCGCGCGCCGAGACCGGGTGAGATCATGAAGAACCCAACTCTAGCGAAGACCTTCAGGACTCTCGCGACTGAAGGCAAGAAGGGCTTCTACACGGGCCGTATTGCGGAGGAGTTCGTCAAGGTGGTAAAGGATCTCGGTGGCCATCTAGAGCTCGGAGATTTGGCACACCACCTGGAGCTTGGCAGCGAGCCTGTCGACGCGATCTCACTTAAGTTCCAGGGCCAAGGCATAGGCAAAATCCTCAAAAGCTCCATCCAGGGCGACGTGGCCGAGAAAGATATCGGCATCGAGCTGTGGGAACACCCGCCTAACGGGCAGGGCATCGTGGCGCTGATGGCGCTGGGCATCATCCAGGAGCTGGAGCTCGCGGGCAAGATCCCGACGTTCAAGCCCGAGGACTTCAACACGGCGCCGTACCTGCACGCCATTGTCGAGGCCCTGCGCATCGCCTTCGCCGACGCCAGCTGGTGGGTCACGGACCCGAACGTCGAGAAGGTGCCCACGGCTGCCATGATCTCCAAGGAGTACCTCGCCGAGCGCGCCAAGCTATTCAGCTCGGACGAGGCAAGCCCGATCGTGCATCACGGCAGCCCGGCGTTGCAGAGCAGCGACACGGTGTACTTCGCCGTCTCGGACGCCGAGGGGAATGCTATCTCGTTCATCAACTCTAACTATGGTGGTTTCGGGACGTGCATCATTCCCAGGGGCTGCGGTTTCACGCTGCAGAACCGTGGGGCCAACTTCAGTCTGCAGGCGGATCACCCGAATGCTCTTGCGCCGAGGAAGAGACCTTACCATACAATCATCCCGGCTGCGGTTACGAACCTGCACGATGGGTCGCTGCATAGTGTATATGGCGTCATGGGTGGGTTCATGCAGCCCCAAGGTCACGTCCAAGTCCTGCTTGGCCAGATCGTGGGCGGATTGAACCCGCAACAGGCGCTCGACGCGCCGCGTATCTGTATCGGTGCGGGTATGCCAGAACATGGTAAGGTATTTGACCCTACGGTAAGTGTCGAAGAAGGGATGCCTGTGGAGACCGTAGAAGGCTTGAGGAAGTTGGGCCACACGGTCAAGGTTGTCACTGGACAAGGACGAGGATTGTTCGGCAGAGGCCAGATCATCCGATGGAGCGTTGATGCTGTTGAGAACCAAGGTGTTTGGTCGGCTGGCAGTGATCCTAGAGGCGATGGTGGCGCATACCCTCAATAGAATGTGGGACAACGGACCAAGACGACGTTACAGCTGTTCGATTTAGGAGTATGAATTATGAAGTCCTATTATCATATACAAGGCGCATTGGTATTGCGAATCATCGAGCTCGCCAGCAGTGCCGCTAGTTCTAATGTACACACCTGAAATTCTAGCTCATCGTACACACTGTATTTGATTCTTCTCTTACTCCTTGTTCTCGCCAGCTTCCGCCTCAGCAAGAACGCCCTTCTCTTCTAGCATCTTGGCCAGCGAGCCGTCTTGGTGCATCGAAACAATGATGTCGCAACCGCCGACGAACTCCTTCTCGACGTAGAGCTGGGGAATGGTGGGCCAGTCAGAGAACTCCTTGATTCCTGCGCAATGCCATGTCAGTCAGCCGCTTCACAAACAATCTTTCCGTACCACCGGGGGCGAGAGATTTCTCCATACCGGATCTCAGCTCCTGGTCCTCCAGCACGTTGAAAGCTGCGAACTTGTTGGGATCTACACCCTGCAAGCCGAGGATCTGAATGCTCGCTCTCGAGAAACCGCACTGAGGCAGCTCTGGTGTTCCCTTCATGAACAGCACGACCGGCGCAGCGCCGACTGCCTTCTCGATCGCTTGTTTCGTCTCGGCAGACAACCACCGGTTTTGGAAAGTCGTGATGAAGGGCGCAGGCCGCATGGCCTGTCGGGCCATAGGCCTGGCTGCTTGGCGGAAGCCCTGTTGTGTTTGTATTAGTACTGATGTGCGCATGGGACGGGGAAGGTTCGAGTACTGGCATACAGATGAGAAAAGTGACCGCGACAGCATGGTGAAGTGGTTTGTGGGTGGTCGTGTTCTTCCCCGGGACTGATAAATGCACGATGCGGCGCGATGCGATGCAATGCGATGCAATGCGAATGTAATGAAATATAAATCACGTCTTTGTTGGTTGGTTGCTGAGAAATTCCATCATGACGCAAGTCTAGAACTAGTTTAGCAGATCCGTGGCGCAAATGCGCGCTAAACATTACTCGCGCCACAGGCATCTCTGACCAGCCAATAACTAAGCGTCATCTTGGACCCCTAAATCCCTTCCCTCCCCCATGTCATCCATCAATTCACAAGCTGCGCGATTGTCGCCTCGATTCACGCATGCCTCACAGCCCAAAGGTCTGCTGTGAATCTTTCGCTGGCCAGCTTCTATTTTTGTGTTTGGGACGTCGCTAAGAGTCGAAATGTACACAAGAGTGACTCCTTGATGCATCCATGAGAGGATGACTAAAGTCATTTCCAGAACGTCCGATTGGAATTAACTTACCCTACATGACGGGAGCCCCGCTTCATTTTGTCACTTGCAACCAGCCTTGAGTCACATGAAGGTTCAGACTCGGACTCAAACTCCAAAGCTGGATATCACAAACCAGAAAGGCTGTCCTCTATCCTATTCTCGATTCACGACACCAGCCAATATGTCGCACGCTCTACCCTCACATCGTAGCAACGGTAATTGCCAGTCGACGCAGAGTCAAATTGCCGATCTGACGGACTCCTTGCGTGACTCCAAAGTTCACCTGCTGCTGGCCGCTTCGGGGTCCGTCGCTACCATCAAACTGCCCCTGATCGTCAAGGCCCTTTCCGTTCACCCCAATCTCAGCATCCGCGTCTTGCTCACGCCGTCTGCTCGCCGCTTCCTAGCTGGACAGGCGGCGGAGCAGCCCACTGTATCTAGTCTCCACGACTTCCCCAGTGTGGATGCAGTATATTTTGATGAAGATGAGTGGAAGGAGCCATGGAAAAGGGGCAACAGCATTTTGCATATTGAGCTGCGGCGTTGGGCAGACATGCTTGTCATCGCACCACTGAGTGCGAATACTATGGCCAAGATTGTGGGCGGTATGGCTGACGGCATCATCACAAGCGTGGTTCGTGCTTGGGACGCTAGGGGAGAGCTCGACTCTGATGTAGGTCGTGACCCGGTCGGCGCTGCTGCAAACCCAGAACAAGAAACTACCGAAGGTAGTCATAGGAGGGTCAAGCGCATCATCGTAGCACCAGGTAAGCTGTCTTCACCGAGAATACGCACCATCACGTGCACTTTTCGTTCATGCTGATTCTGTAAAGCGATGAACACAGCGATGTGGCGGCATCCCATAACTGCAAAACAGATCAAAACACTGAGTGACGAATGGGGTGTAGGAAAGGATGGGCAAGGTAACGGCTGGTTTGAGGTCTTGTCAGTACAGCAGAAAACACTTGCATGTGGTGATATCGGTGATGGAGCTATGATGGAGTGGACAGAGATAGTAAAAGTCATCGAGGACAGGCTGAATTTGACGGAATCCTGATGATTTGCCAGAAGAAATGTGCATTGCCATAGGCTTGTGAGTACCAGCTGAGTACCATTTCTTTTTCCAATCTCCTGTTTACAGTCTGCCGCCGTATTGCATGAACCTTTCGAAGGGCAACCTAGTCAAAGGACAGGTTCTTCAAGCCACCAGCCGTCCCCTTGTGCAGGCTACTGAGCTTTGCGATTATCGCCCGTCCTTGTTGTCCATGTTCGTGTCGCTGTCCCATCCAGAGTACTGGTCCCATTCTGCATCCTTGCCTGCAATCATGCGGTTCATCACTACGGTGTAGAGAGTCAGCTGAGCATCATACATCATGAAAAGTTATGAGAACCTACTGTTGGCGATCATCTTGATGTCCATGTCCTGGTAGGGCTCATTAGCAGCAGCAGCAGCAGCAGGGCTCTTGCTAGTGAAGGCGTTAATGGCCATGGCGGTCTTGCCTTCGATGATAGGATCAATGGGGGTCTGGCGATATCTGCTGAACCTGATGTGCAGGTGGATGTGCAGGTCGCGACCCTGCAACATGTACGTCGTAAACCTGGGGATGATGCCGCTGATGAGCTCCTTGGACCACTCGGTTGTCTTGCCGGCCTCTTTTTAAGGCGACTTGGTCGCCGTCGTCGGCAAAGAGCCGTTGATCCTCGACGAATTGGAAGCCGCAAGATGGGAGAACCGAATTAAGCGACTTGATTCTCTTTTTGACAAGCTTTGAAGGGGTTTGCTAGGTTGCCATTATGCCTGGTTGTTAATTGTTATAACGAAGATAGCCCGGGCAGATGTGTTCCCAGAGAAGTTACACATTGTATTAGACCTCAGGCAAAAGCTGCTGCTGCATTGGAGCTTTCCGGTAGTGGGGGCAAGTTTCTAGGCTACAAGATTGGTTGCCCTGCAACCTTACGGGCCTTGCGTCAGAATCAATAGTGGCAGATTGTTCGTAAGGGAGTTCAATTGGTGTAGTTTGTAACATACAAAACTAAGAACAATTGCGGCGGCACCGACTGTTGCTCTGCGTACTTTGGAGCGATGGTTGGAGCTGCCTCGAGAGGACCGAGGTTGAATCCCATTTAATAATCCTTCTGGCCATAACCTTTTTGCGCTTTTCCTTCCATCGCACAAGATACCATACATATTATTCATAAATTGTATTTCCTTCATTGCCCTTCCTCTTAATGGATATAACGTCCAATGCCTATTATATATTAGTCACAAACGTGCTGCCACCAAAATTTAGTCAATGGATATCTCAACCTCTCAGGGTCAACAGATGCAATTTCTTGCAAATGTAGTCGTGTGATGTTCGCACATAAACGAGTCAACCTAGATAAACCGCCATGCAAGATTGAAATCTTAATGGAGCCATCATGGCCAAGACTATAATATAACTATTGCCATTTGAGCGTTCGAAATCGCGGCCAGTTGTCATCGTTTCATCTGTGGTCAGGCCCACCAGCCCCCTTGCCAAAGCCATAACACAATTGGCAAAAATGAGTAAATGGCATTGTTGCGAAATGTCGACCATATGCACTCAATTTCTTGTTTATCATCAATCGCGAAGCCATATACATAAGGGGCACTATACGATTACGTTTCCAAGGAGCGCTCGCAAAAGATAGTTAGATGTTCACGAATACATTCCCCATCCACGTCCTCAAGCGCCCTATTAAGTAAAAGGTATTACTGTGTAGCTGATTTCACCCTTCTTCTTCTTCTTCTTCTTCTTCTTCTTCTTCTTCTTCTTCTTCTTCTTCTTCTTCTTCTTCTTCTTCTTCTTCTTCTTCTTCTTCTTCTTCTCATCATGTCAACGACATCAAATCATGATACAATAATCACCAATGCTGAGCCAACACCGCCCGAACTCGAGGGGCTAGAAGAGCTTGGAAGAGGCCTGGAGGCCGCACATCAGTACTCGATGCAGGTAGCTCTACCAATGCAAAACTGACTTAGCAGATGAAAGCTTCGCAATTGTGATGAACAGGTTTCCCATAACGCGCTCTGAATCCTGCTAGTGCTGGAGAGGAAAGCATTCAGACTTGGACTCTGCGGTTGTCGTGTACAAGGAGAGAATCTCCTCTTAGAAAATGGTGTTTTGATGTTTAGTTACGGCAGTTGGCAATTCAGTGACTAGTATGACATCTGTAACACGATTGACTCTAGTCTCAAGGCGAGTTTGGCCTCAAGTTTCTAAGTGACAGCCTAATCATTAAGCGCCTGACATGGAACAATAGCCATACCCTTAACACTTATTTGAAGTCGCAGAAATGTTCCGTGGCTTCGACTAAAATACTAGTCGTAACCAAGAAAAAAAGAAAAAAGTCATTACAGAGATTCAGAGTTTCCGGATAACAGCGGAAAACATTCCTCCTCACGTACCGATGAATATAATTGAGGATCGCGAGGTATCTCATGAAACTTGTGACGAAGTGAACAGACTACTGTGGATCGTCATATACTGCGAGACAAGTGGTCTCAGTCGTGGATTTAGTCAGAAGAGGACTTTCTACGCAAGAGTTATTATGGACTACGAGCAATGATCGTTATCACGATCGGTCACGTGGAGAAGAACATCCCTTGAACAAAGAAAGCTCGAGGTGTGACGCCAGTGTAGAAGGAGACGAAGTGACTACCATCGAAGGCTTGAGCCACCACCAGTCTAACTACATCGTTGAATCCATCGATTTTTGGTTCTTTCCATGCCACACAACTGGCTGGCAGCCTCAAACTCTGTGGTCATCGAACATGGCAACTTATTGTTTCACAGTCGTCTGTGCATCCTTGGACGAAGGAGTTTGCTGGATATTGCGGAAGATAGGGTGATACCACTCCGGGACTCGACGCGTCTTGGGGTCCTGAGAGAGCCGCAATTGCTCCAAAAAATATTATCTTCCACCGCAGTCGTCTAGTTCTGGATGTTTACAGAATCTCATGATGTCATGTCATAACCATAACGCTTCATGAAGGCGGGATTGGAACGTTCCACCGCACTCAAATTACCAGAATGTACAAAGATTGATCCCAGATGCCCTCAACAGTGGTACGATTCTAGCACGTTTTCTAAACATGTCCCATCAACCATATTGCTGGTGTAGTACCTTGGTTTAGCCCACGTGGTTCTACTGGAGACGTGGTTCAAATTGATGATCTTTTCCGCGTAAATTTCAACGTTCACTCGTATATCCTACAATCTCGCACTGGGACAAGGTTGAGCCTGGTTGCTGATCCAGTGCAGGATTCGATTTTGCTCGTTGACTGGACATATTGCTTCCACAATTTCGATCTCACATTGATCTAGCTTGGTGGAGCTTGCGGCAGATTGATATGACGAGTTCAATGATTTTATCCCTGACGGTGGGTATACTATGTAAGTTTCAGTGCTGGCTACACCCGTACATACAGTAGTACTGTTGATAAATATGTGGACAACGTTTATCCACCCGTTGACCAGCGGGAATGGAGTTTTTGTGTCTGGGCATAAACGTGTTCGGACATTGCGCAGATCTCGTGCTAGGGCTGGATAACAGACGACCCCGCTAAGCCCTCAGTTCTGGGGGCGGAGTTGTGACGAACACGCCAATCATCTAGCGCCCATTCGCCCTGTGGATGCAGGCACAAGTCGCTGATATCCACCAATTCATGGTATGCCTGCCATGTCAGTTCTTTGAAAGCTTTGGGCTATGCCGTATTTACTGCAGATCGCCACTGTCAAGTGGAGTGAAGGTGTAATCTTGAGTTTCAAGCCCCTTGGGTATCCCCAACTCTCATGACGCGCTTTTCCTCTTTTCGTTACAGCTGACAGGATTGAGGTATTTTGTAGGCGGGTACACACATTCCTGGCAGAAGCAAGCCTCCAGTGCTCGATGAATGTACTTTTGAGCTCGGAAGGGAATGGAAAACGTTGCCGCATGCGCAATTAGATAGTACAATGTCCATGGTAGCCAACCCTGTGCGATGGGATGATTTATGCGTGATGGAATTGCCCTTCCCAGCCTTTCGGTTAGCCAAGTGCCAACGGCCCGGGCTTCTATCGGGATTAGGTATAGTGTCCCGGAGACTTCGGCCGCGTCGCCCAAGGGTCAGAATGCGCTTGAGAGAATGTGTCCACTATGTCCACGAGGTGATGGGACCACAAGGAACCAGGGTGGATGGCGATGGGGTCAACGGACAAGAGTACGATCGCACAACTGCAGCGGCGTCGGCCTCTTCAAAGAATGATTTCCAGGGAAAGCTGCAACACTTCGACATGATGACCAAGGAATATCAAATGATCTACGAGATTGCCGCCACAAAAGAACTGCCGTATCCAAAGATTGCAAGCAGAGTCAAAGCTCAACATTGCTAGGGTTCTGATGCTACATTCTAACCAAGACTAGAACTTCTGATGTTACTCTCAATGGCGAACGCAAGCACTCGCTGGCTTGGCCTCGATTTCCCCTCTTCGACCCCTTAAAGTCAAATTCGGCTCAGACCCCTGGCTAGACCAAAGCTAGAACCCACATAACAAATCGCTATACCCGAACTGGGAATACTATAATCTCAGACCAGGAACTGGGGTCGCAGTCGTACATCTCAATGTGGCATCCTTGTTGTTTTTACCCTGACATTGTCTGCGGGGCCTGACTGAGAAACTTCACATTGGTCTTACGTCGGCTTGCTGCCGCGGCTGCAAGGCGGTGGTCACCCCCTTGCATACAAAACGCACGAACTGTCATATCGGCATTTTGCAGGTTTTCCAGATACCAAATGTTGCAGGGGAGTATGCAGGGGAGTATGCAAGGGAGTATCCAGCGGTAGATATATTGGGCATTTCCCCAACGCGCGCGATGCATTTATACTACCGGGACAGCGGGCTTGATTGCACGCCAACGAAAGATCTGCTGTGACTTTGCAGGTCTGTGAGTTCGAGATGGCCAATGTTACCGCAAACCGTGGGCCTCAGCTCATGGCCATCGACTACACATTCGTGATCCTCGCTTTCATCACCATTGTGTTAAGATTCGGTGTTCGTGTATTCCTTGTGAGATCCTTCGGCCTTGACGACTGGCTTATGGGACTCGCTGCTGTAGGTCAAACATCCCACTACGTCACAGATAACACCAACTGACTAATCTGAAGATCACTTTCACTCTATACTGCTCGTTCTCGATCACAGGTGTACATTATGGAACTGGCCAACATGAGGCCGAACTACCCGCAGAAAACGTTTCGACAGCACGCATGGTAAGGCGGTTCTACAACAGCCAACATCAATCACGGCTAACGCTTGATAGTTCTGGTGGATTTGTTATCTCATGTATGCCATGACCATGATCTTGTCGAAAGTCTCCATTGGGTGTCTTCTACTCCGCGTCGCTGCCAGGAGACTGCATACCTGGATTATTTACGGTGCCATGGCTATTACCGTTGTCACCTGTTTGGTGTTTTTCTTTGTTACCATATTTCAATGCGCGCCGATATCATTCTTTTGGAACAAGAATCAGGATGGAACCTGTGTTAGCATGGACGTCATCATTGGGCTGGCATATCTGTACAGTGTCTGCAGTGTGTTCACGGACTTTACATTCGCTCTGCTGCCCGCGTGGATCATCTCCGGCCTTCAATTGAACATGAGGACCAAGCTTGCCCTCATTCCTCTGATGGCAATGGGTTGTGTGTAAGTCATGAAGCGCCTTTGTCTCATTCAATATTATCATCCCTTGTCGCAAATCATGCTGACCATCTTCACAGTGCCAGTGCAGCTGTCGTTGTTCGATTCGCCTACCTCCCCCGCTTCCGAGATCCCGATTTTCTCTGGGCCACAACGGACATTGCCATCTGGTCCACCGTCGAAGAAGGCTTGGCTATCGCCGCAGGTAGTCTGGCCACCTTGCGTCCGCTACTGAAGCTCGTAGGCTATAAGCTTGGCCTTACGAGTGGCCGCCCTTCGCATATGGGAGCATCTAGCTACGGAAAGATGGGAAGCATGGCAGACAAACTTACCAGCCGACGACGAGGTAGCCAGAGCGCAGGAGGAGTTCTCACCCTGAAGTCTGTACGTGGAGATGACGATACCCCCGAATCATCTGGCAAACCTCCCGCGTCTTATGACGTCCGCGTGCTAGGCCGATCGAAAAAGGAGTCCGCGGATACGATTAGCTTATCGAATGTGATCGCCCACAGCAAGACGTATGAGGTGACAGAAGAGTATATTGGTCACCCGTCTACGCCAGAGGATCAACCCTGGCCCGAAAAAGGGAGACCAGGGAGCACTGAAAGCACGAGACGATTGAGATCGGAATTTTCTGCAGATCCGATATACGGGCAACGTACAAGCCCGGTATAGGCACAAGGTAATGAGTACCAAGTCTAACGTAATAATATATAAAATCAATCAATATATAAGACCAAATAATAATGAGAAACTCTCTCTGATAACTTGAAAGTACGTGACGTGGTATACTCAAGGACACCCTAGCTTACTGCCCTTGTATCGTACTAGACACTTTAGGACAGTTAGCGCACTGAGGATTAAGTGATGCACCATTTCTTGTATCGATGCGTCGTCTTCATTGTCAAGGTGCCGTGACGCCATGTGGTGCCCAAACCACCTTGCATCATGATTCATAATGGCGCTCACAGTTGCCGCCGTCAGTTCTTGTATTGTAGGACGGTTGAATTCTTCGGGGGCTTGGAAGGACAGCACCACCGCCCTGGGTTCGGGATCGACGTTTTTGTCGGTGGTGTGTCCTCGGCCAACGGATGCTATTTTTCCCATTTCCTGGATAAATGTTAATTCCTAATTCTATACCAGGCATGCAAAATTTCGAATTCTATTGCGACTTACCGTTCCTATTCTCGCAATGAATTGCTTGGTAACCGAATGCCAGGTGGCTTCGGTGTGTTAAAGTTAGTCAATATTAGTATCTTCTTTGTTATTGGACTTACTCTGGGGTTGCTCGTCTTGAGACTAAACCAAGATCGATCATCTTCATGATCGGTACTAAGCTATGCTCTATATCCGAGGTGTCCGGTCCAAAGCTACCAAACATCACTTAAACATTTTTTCAGTCATGCCCACCCCTTTGCCTTTTTTTCTTTATTCAAATTGGAAGCATAGTCATAGGGAGAAAGTCTTACTATTTGCAGAATAGATGTCCGGGTTGCTCAATACATAAGGTGGACAGTACGGAAGTGGATCCTCAAAGCGGTTGTTTTCAGGACGTGTGCATCAGGCCATGACAATGCACAGGTCATTCGAATGTCTAGAAATCCTGCATCAGCGTATCAGAAAACATGTGCAGGCGTGAAACGGTTTACAACACATCAGTATTCTCCACATCATCCGATTCGGCAAACTTGACCTGCGCCGGGAGGCACTGGACAATAAAGTCGACAGCATACCATTCTCAAGGTATTCCTCTACGATTCCCAGAAATCGGTCTTTGTTGGCCATTTTTGACGATGTTTCGAGGCTCTCATTGTCATAATCTTTTGTCTGCGAAGGGCTTAGAACGAAGCAAAATAACAAAGCATGGCGTGCAATAACAGACTGAAGCTGCAACTTGATGGACCGTCGATCCATGGCTATCTCGTCAATCTCCATAAGCCCTGCCCATGACAACTTAGTGTTATTGCCATTTAGTGGTCCACCTTATCCCAAGCAGAGTGAATATGGTTTGCTGTGCTTCGAATGTGCCACAGTGCAGATAATATACATTTGAATCATGTATACTTTACAATCCTTTGTACACCAAGTCTCCCCGCAATAGCTTTAATGAAACCATACGTGCTAAGATGGCACTTGCAGTGCGTCGCTGTTGCTCCTGGCTAACTAAGCACCATACCAGCTTGTTGATCCGAAAAGCATGTTGACATGGAACCAACCGTGCAAGTAATTCATGTTTAGATACCCGCCGTTCCAATTGTGCAATATGTTGGACCAGTCTCACCCCCCAAAGTCCTGCTGCTTGTTCTGTACGGAAATAGTGATGGCCAAACAACGCATGATGCCACTATTGGCATAGCAGCGCTCAGCAAGAGGTCTATTGAGTACATGTAACGACATGATCTTAGATTTGTTGTTGTTAGACATTGGTCAGCTCTATCTGTTCTTGGACGTTTGACAGGATGTGAGCATGATCGCCGGCATTGATGCCTGCATTGACTATGCGCTTCGATGCATGTGGCCTGATTATTGCATAGACGACTCTAAATACTGCGCCTTATTTTGATACGGCGAAGGAGACAATGATTCTTCGAAAATACTCGCGGCCATGTCATTCGGGAGAGTTTGACAAATATGCCCCCGACTTATGAACAACCACTAAATGGTGTGTATATTTGACTTACACCAGCTTCGATTTACTGGCGGAGCCAAAAGATTACGCCAATGCGGGCTTTCCTTGACACTATGATAGCACCCTTTGGTAAGAGTATAATTTCATAGCTTCTGGAGCACATTTCAGATGAAGCTCAAATCACATTTAAACCTGACTGGCAAGATTTGTTCGTTGAGCTGTGTCTGAGGACTCACCGCCTCTTCAAGGTTCTGCTATGTTTTGTCCGGGACTGCACACCGGCACTGCCTGTCCATGTGCTCAAGTTTGCAACACAAGCGAATGCATTACCGTACCGGTTAGGAATAGCTTGCTAACGCGGTAATGGCAAGGTATGTATACTGATAGTGAAAGCTCTGACTGCCCTTGGTACCTCGCTGCCTGTAGCATGGCGGCTGGTACTTCTATTTGAACCGGAGGATGAAAAACGAAAGGAACTACGAAATTTGGTGTATTCGTGTAATTGTTCTGCAGAGCATATCGAGACAAAGCCTTTATGGAACGGCGGTTGGACTCTGCGTCAAGATGAGAGCTTCTCTTGTGATCGACCAATCAGCTTTTCTTTTTGCAGTACTCTTGCAGTGTTTGAATGAGATTGTTCTCAATGCTGGTCTGATGACTTTTAGTTTCCTTGTTGCATGGATGCACTACGACACGGGATCTGATGCGCGCTAATTGTAAGTGTAAAGTCATCTGGAGTTCGTTATCCTACCTAGCACTGTACGGCCTTGCTGTCGGTACTATACTGTCTTTGGACTGGTGTATGGACAGCTAATAAGGTCGTCAGACTATGCGAAGTTAGTCATAACTCCCAGCTCTTAATAAGTTGCGCGGTTTTCTGGTGGGGCACCCGGGTTGCAGCGAGCCCACAGCTCCAATTCCATTGTTCCGGAAGAGGTACATGAGAACAGCAGTCCATGTGTGTCTTGTAAGCAACGCTGGAGGTTCCCCCACTAGACTAGGTTAGTGAATTGGCGTGATGTCCAACAAAGATATCTTTCTCGCTTGCCAAAACATGAGAGTGTGTATGTAGGCACCAGGAAAGATAGAATACGCTGAACTTTAGGTTACCTACACTCGGTAGAATCGTACTAACTTAGTTTGGTCTCAAGCCTGAGTCGGTCCACATAGTCTACTTAAGCGTTTGCAGTCTTAAGCGTTGTCCCAAAATATCTACAACGCAATGATTACCCATTGGCCGTGCAGGTATAGCAGAATTGTCTAACCTTGCGTATTATTCCTGCAATGTACCAGACCATTCCCTCGTTGGTGCGTTTGTTGCATTTGTTCAGGCTAAAGGAGTGACTGTAAATAAGAAACATGTGGACTATATGAACCATGAACATGCTATATAAGAAATATTGCAGTGAAGGCTATATCACGAATTGGTATGCCAATGTTCGCTCTCTGGCTTTGTTCTACTACCTACTCTGCCTTCGCGAAAAAGCGTCCGTCTACCACCCATGTTAAGCATTGCAAACCTAGACTAGCTCCCATCGCTCCCGCGTGAAGAGGTTGTTGGCATAGGGAGTTAAGGTCTAAATTAGTGCGCCGAGGTTTTACAAGCGATCTCTAGACCTGATCAGTGCCACAGGTAGATACATGGCGTATTATAGGTGCCCGTTCACATGCTGTCTCATGATAATCAGTTCTACGATCCATGAGCGAGACCATCGTATATATTTAGAAAGGGTAGCTACTTCGTACTGATTCGTGGCTTCTAAATGTGTTGTAGAGTCGTAAAGCTGAATGGCGTGCTACACGCGTTCAGTTGCGCATCCCTGCGAGATCGTCACTTTTAGCCGCGTACGGCACCGAGCCAACAGCGGACCCAGCCCACCGAATCTTTCCAAGAGCAAATAGCGGTAAAATGCTGTGCAATTTACCCAGATTGCAACGGCCATAACAGATGCTGTATTCGATACTACTTAGGATCTGAAGTCCAAAAGTTGTGTTATGTCTGCCACCGCATCGTCCAATGGTGGGCGTTCTCCGTCTGGGTCAAGCCCAAGCAAGCATGGTGGCGTATTTGAGAGCTCGGCACATCATGAACTTGAAATTTCTGGTGAACAAAGACCCCTCTTGGGCCCTCAAAAATCTACCACGACACAAGACAGGGACGATCTGAGGGATGAAGGAGAAGCAGAACAAGGAATGATACGGCAACAGCAAAAGGCAGAGCCGCCAGTAACATGGATGTCTCTACCGAACAAAGGCCAATTGGCCATGATCGTCTTTGCGCGACTTGCAGAGCCCCTAGCAGCAAGATCTTTGAGCTCATATCTCTTCTACCAACTGCGATGGTTTGATGCATCGTTGCCCGACTCAGCTATCGCTAACCAAGCTGGACTTCTGACTGCGGCTTTCTCTGCGGCGCAATGCGTGACAGCAATGTTTTGGGGTCATGCCGCTGATAATCCGCTGTTTGGCAGGAAACGGGTCCTACTCATCGGTTTGCTCGGCACTTGTATTTCGGCATTGGGTATGGGATTCGCAAGATCGTACGCGACAGCGATCTTCTTTCGATGCGTGCAGGGCGCATTGAATGGAAACATTGGAGTTCTGCGAACTATGGTGTCGGAGATCATCGTGGACAAAAGATATCAATCGCGAGCATTCTTACTGTTGCCTATGTGTTTCAATGTCGGCGTCATCATTGGCCCCCTCATTGGCGGTCTCCTTGCGGACCCGGTGATATCTTTACCAAGTGTATTTGGTCCAGGCTCAGTATTCGGCGGACACGATGGAGTGGGTTGGATGCGAGACTATCCGTATGCGCTGCCAAACCTAGTGTGTGCTCTTCTGCTGAGCATAGCTGTCGTGGGTGTGATTTTGGGACTCGATGAAACCCATCCAATGCTGCGACACAAACATGATCGCGGCCGAGAACTGGGGAGCCTGCTTGCTCGCAGCATCTTTCGAAGGCGCTCCGCAAAGGGCCCAGACAACCATCCGTATACAGCTCTTGCGGATGATGCGAGGAACGATGGCCACGAGGATGAACATCCTTCATCCCTGGTCGATGTTGAAGACGACGTCGAAGAGACACGGCGGCAGCCCAAGCCGACCGAGAACGAAAAAGCTCCTCTCCGCCAACTATGCAACAGAAATGTGATCCTAACGCTACTTCAGCACCACGTGCAAACCCTTCACGTATCCTCCTTCAACATCCTTCTCTTCACTATGTTGCCAACACCACGATCATCAAACGAGAATGCCCACCTACCATTCCTGTTCTCAGGCGGACTAGGTCTGTCGACGCGTGAGCTAGGCTTCGCCAACACCATCATCGGGTGTGTTGGTATTCCGCTGCAAATCCTGCTCTTCCCGTACTTGAGCGCGAAGCTGGGTATGCGCAACTCGTATCGACTCTTCTTGCCTTTCAGCGCAATAGCATACTTCGCGCTGCCGTATTTGGTTGTGTTGCCTGACAAAGCTGCAATCCTCTGGCCCTTTTTGGCATCAGATCTGATCTCACATGTCCTTGCTCGGGTATTTGTTGGTCCTGCGACGATCATATTGGTGAACGAATGCGCTCCACACCCGACGCTCTTGGGCACTGTGCATGGTGTGGCCCAGAGTGCTAGTAGTGCGGCGCGGATGCTGGGGCCTACAATTGCCGGATTGTTGCTGGGTTGGGGATTGAAGAATAATTGTGTGGGCTTACCATTTTGGGTCATCACTGCGCTAGCACTGGTGAACTGGGTCTTGGTGCTATGGGTCAAGGAAGTGCGGGTGTCAAGGTGAGTGAATGGGCGAGCCACTCTCTGTTGAGTCCTAACTACGAGACTTCTGATTTCTGCCCCCATCGATTGACTGTGCTCTGATGGAGGTGGGTACAGCTAAGGTTAGTTGTTAGCCTAGATCGCGTTCGGGTATTGGAATCAGAAGCGGTAGATGTTTAAAACCTGCATAGAGTGGAGAACATATTGAGAAAGAGATAGAGGAAGAAAGAAAACCAGCATTTTCTCTTCCGAGATCAAGGAAGGATATGTACGGAGTACTGAAGAAAGAATCATACCTAGGCACTACTATGTAAACGGAGTATGCTGTGCAACTCGTCTATCCAATCACCCACAATTGTTCGCGTCCGTTCTTGAGACTTCTCCACATCGCCTATTTCAGAAACTGTCATTGGATCATTCGTGACCTTTGAGAGGTATAGCTTCTTGCTCTCAAAACACTAAGCATTCAAGAATTTTTCCAATATATGTCGTCGAAGCTACTTGGGCAACCCCTCAGCACTCCCGGTCCAATGCACAGATTGTCGTTCCATGATTACCGGGCTGAGAATACTGCTATGGCCGTACGAAGAGAACAGGTGATCTCTTTGAAGATGCATAGCCTAGTTGTCCTGGCTAAGTGCATACTGCTAGGGTCAAGTGTCTGACATTTACCGCTTTTTTCAGTCTCCATGCGTTCGAGGCCATGGGCTTTTATTGTTTTTGGCAAGGGGGCCAAACAGGGCCAGACGCCTGCTGGCGTGCCGGTGGACGGTTATCGGTAATGAAGCTCCAGCGCTATCGTAACATCGTTAAATGTTACGTCACAAAATGTTAAGCGCTTCTCCTGTTGCGCCGAAGTTTGCAAATCGTAAGGTCAAGAAAGGTCGTGCAACAGGTTGGCATGCAGCACTGGCTAGTTGCATGTGTTGCATGCTGTCGCTGTGCACATCCGTTATCGGTTTTTCTGTGGAACTTGGCAGAATCCTCGATATGAAATGGTTTTAAAGCTCTTGTTCCCCAGAAATCGCAACATTTGGCTTCGGAATCGCGTCAACGCTAAAATACTCACAACAACAGCGAGCTCACTATTCTTCTTCCAGCTGTAAGAATCAATGTCTCTCGCGCAACATGTCACTGCGATTGAAGGCGTCGACCGAGAAGATCCACCACAGCAGATTGAGACTGACGAGGAGCTCTTTAGCGAGCCGCGTTGGCGCCGTCTGAGCTTCGATGCTTTCGCGCCGATCGAGCATTCGGCTATTCCAGACCCTGACCTCGTCCCGCACGTAGCGGCTTATAAGATCTCACCGGCGAGACGTGTTGGTAAGTGATTTTTGCCACACTCTCATCTCACATCTCTGTTTGCTAACTGTAAACCACAGCTCAGATATCATTCGCCGTTGTTGTCTGCTGTCTCGCATCTGGTATTGTCTTTGGCTTTGCGTCTCTCAAGCCAGTCCTCATTGCTGAAGGTGTATACCGGGACCTTTGCCCTATAACCATTCCAGAAGATGGCGAAGATCCATCCGAGGTTCCTTGTACAGAGCAAGATCTGCGATTGAATCTTTTTTTCATTGCTGCGTCCATTACCTGTAACGTCTCATCATTGTTTGCTGGATCGGTCCTGGATCGATTTGGTAGACGTGTTTGCTATGTCGCCTCTTCCATTTTCATCGCAGTCGGCTGCTTGCTCATGGGATATGCGTTCGCAATCCCTGAGTTTGACGGCTACCTAGTTGGTAATATCTTTTTGGGACTGGGTGGCACATTTCTCTTCGTCCCCAGTTTCCAACTTGCCAATGCTTTCCCCAAACACAGTGGACTAGTTGTCGCCGTGATCACCGGTGCTTTCGATGCTTCAGCAGCTGTGTTTTTATTCTATCGCTTGGCTTGGGAAGCTACCGAGCATCGTTTTGAGCCCGCCCATTTTTTTTTCCTCTTCCTGATTGTGCCTGTGGTTGTCCTGGTAGGAGAATTCGCATTGATGCCGAAAGGTGCCTATCACACAACACCAGAGTTGGAACATAAACTCGAAAAGGTGCAGGATCCTATGCGGGACGTGCATGATTCAGATCAAGATTTGAGCGATGGAGAACTCACCCGCGTCCGAAGTCATCGTGCCGACCATCGTCAAGCGAAGTTGGATCGTCTGGAGCGTCTTGTTGGAGACGAGGACCACAGGGAAGAGAGAGCCCAGCTCGAGGAAGAGCGGCATGTGGCTAGTGGCATCTGGGGTGTGCTTCACGGCTTGCCTGCACATAAGCAGATGCTCACTCCATGGTTCATCCTAATTCTTCTTCTGACTGTCCTTCAGATGCTGAGGATGAATTACTTCATCGCTACTATCCGTTCCCAGTATCGTTTCATGCTGGGCACTGAGGAGTACGCCGAGGCTATTAACGACTTCTTTGATATTGCACTACCGGTTGGTGGCATCATTGCGACACCTTTCATTGGCGCATTGCTAAACAACATGAGCGTCGCTACAGTGCTTGCGGTCTTGACGGGATATATTGCAGTCATTGGCGTTCTCAACTGCCTCCCGTTCGTTTGGGCGGGCTATGCCACCGTCATTGCCTTTGTCTTGTTCCGGCCGCTTTACTACTCGGCCATTTCGTAGGTGCCTCCTTAGGAACATTGCCAGACCCATTATGCTGACAAATTTCTAGGGATTATGCGACCAAGGTCTTTGGATTCGCAACTTTTGGCCGCGTGTACGGAATGATCACCTGTCTTAGCGGGCTGGTGAATTTCAGTCAGTCCGGTTTAGACGCTCTGACACATGGGCCTCTTAAAGGTGATCCCACTCCCATCAACGCTGCAATGGCCGTTGGAGGAACAGCAATCGGCATTGCACTCACCGGCTACGTCTATATCAAGGCCAGAAACTTTGAAGTCGAAGTTCGTCAAGAGGATGCGCGCCAGGAGAATGCACGCCAGGAACGCATGGCTTTGATTCGGGAGGACACTGCCGAATATGGAACTTTGAGCTGAGCAGAAACGGTGCCTAGCGGTCAGCCGCTTTGCTCTTCACTTTGTCAACTCGGGACTGGAACCTGGTGTTCTGATTGTTCCACGATGTAAGGATATTATGAACGAGACTTAATGATGCTAAGATGAGACGTTACATAACGACGTTCATGCAGACTAATGCCACAGACCATATCACTTTTTTGTCTCCCTGCGCATCCTGAGTCTTAACTAAATTGTGAATATGAGCATCATGTCCAGCCATTAGACACCGCCCCTCGCATGAAAACTCAGCGGTATCAGAGCGTACACGCTTAGAATCGATTCGAGTGAGCATTGTCAAGCCTTGTCATTGCTCAGAGTCCACTCCTTTTGCACTCTGATTTCTTGAGAAGCCCGTCTAAACCCCGAATGAGATCTCGTAATTCGCGCTTTAGCTGACATATCCTCAACGCTGGCATCTGACAAACGTGACGTCACAGTGTTTACCGAGATTGGCAGACTTGCCTTCGGAGAATGTTTTGACATCACTGATATCTTCGTCTCGATGCTGACAGGGTGTGGTCGATCGAGTCCAAGCTCCAGGTCCGCAAGTCCGTAGATACCGGTGTCTTTAGTAGAGAGGTCTGCGCTCCGTGGGGACGCAAATTCCTTGCCTCTTGAGCTATAGTCGTATCTCTGATACCCAGTGGTGACTCGTCGAGTGGTACCGAGAGTTGGGAAGTACCTGCCGACCAACGCCTTCAAGGTAGGGATTGACGCACAAATAATACCGGAGGCAAGCTCTGCGTGGGACCAGCAGAGGACATCGATCCCACCATAAGTGAAGTCGACTGGTCTGTGTAGGAAGATGACGCGGAAAGTGGATATAAAGCATGTGCTGAAGAAACGTACTGTTAGTCTCCCAGAGATGAGTAATACGTCACACAAATAGCTTACAAGAATCCAAGACCAAACACCACAAAGAGCACCATCTTTTGGGGTCTGCGTAAGCTCAACCTCCAGACAACAGGTATGGGAAGTATAAGTATGACCACATCAGTGACAATGTTCCCAATCGACGCCATATAGAATTGAGCATCCGGACCGATAGGATTGCAGACACCAGTGACTGAGGGGTCCCAGAGCGCCGCGATTGGTATGCATGTAAACGCCGAGACTAGGATCTGCGCAGCGCACCAGATGACGACAAGCGACATGATGACCGTGTAAATGAGCTTGAGGCGGGGGACATTCCTAACGATCCTATAATACTGGAAGAAAAACACTGGGTTACAATCAGTCGCTGAGCAATTTGGGACTGATAGAGCATAAGTGTCGCTTCGCAACGAAGTGAAAGCCCGAAACTGCTCCAAAGATATACATCAATTGAAAACATACTCAACTTTATGAACAGGCCGACGATATTATAGATCAGAAGGCCAACCCATTCCATCTAGAAAAATGCGTCAGAGTCGGCAGCGCGAATGTCGCAAATCAATTTGTACCTTTGAGTACCGAGTGAGGGCACCAGGCACCTCCATCACATCCCAGAGATGTGTACCAACTCCATCACGAACTTGAATACCTTCTGACACTGCTTGGCCTACAAGAAGGATCTAGTGAACAGGGAGTCAGGAACCCGCTGAGTTGAGTTGACATGCACCATTCACTACTAACATTGGAAAAGATCGCCAAATAATCATCAACCCACAACTCATTGATGACTACCTTGCGAGTATATGTCCTTAGACAGACGCATAGTGTTGCTAGCGTCGTGCAAACCACGATGACCACAACGGCTTTCCATCCTTGGCGGCTGTGGTCCAGAAGCGTAATGTCCCCAAAGTCGGGAAGACCAGATATGTCAGCCATAGCAAGGCCTTAGATATGCCGTTTGTAGCTCCAAGAAACTGCAGCGAGAAAGCGGAACGAGACCCATCAGAACTCGGCAGTTTGGCAAGCGAACCAAGCCTGAGTTATACCTAATCAATGATGGAAATTCTTATGATACATGGTGAACTCGGCTAGTTCCAGCGCAGTAAGCGCAGTCAATATCGGCACTGGACCCGAGCGTAATCCTTGTGCATCGCTAATTGGTTGATGGTAAACCAGGTTATGGCTTCATCAGGGGGTTATGCATCACTAAACTTGCAGTTACCTGCAGCACGCCGACCATCACATTTGGAAACCCCGGCAGGGTTGATATATGCTGGCAAGGATATGACATGCAGCTTCCTCGCACCAACGCTCCCTTGGCTTCTTGGTTGGGGAAAAAAGAAACCATCACACGCTTGTGAGATCAAAATTCAAGAAAAACGCATTAGCCGCAATCGTGGATGCTTACATCTCAGCATACGCAATGGAATTCTGATTGACGCTCGACCATATAAAAGCTGCACAGCTCAATTCGTGCCACTTCGCGAGACTGGGTTACTGCAGTTAGGAAATCTTCCTATATTTCAAACGGAGGTCTGAGCGCGACACATCGCCAAGCGATGGTGTGAATCTCGGTTCATCGGCTTCTTGATTTGCGGTGTTGATAATAAATACCGTAGTTGCTATGCCGAGCTACATACCATGCACAATAATCTTGTAATTGAGGAATAACTCATCTGTATCAAGGGCTTGGTAAGGCCCATGTTCCTCATGTCATGTGTTCAGGACAGTATTGCTCGTAGCCTGTGCGACAAAGTCGCTTGTACACTAAGGCCAATGCGGTGTACGGATCCGTAAATCCCACAATATCAACCTTGGTGGCGTGCGCTTGTCTCATTTGCTGTAAACTAATGTTCCGCGTGTACCCTCAGCACTATTTCCGATCCAGGTCTCTGCTAACTATAGGTTAGAATCTAGCTCAGACCATGCCCAACGAGCTTCTGAACAGTGCACCGCCACGAAAACCATGAACACAGTGTTTGACTGTCGTCGTTCCTCTCTTGTTCGTTTTTAGAAAGTCAAGTATAAGTTATCGGCCGCTGTTCGATCATCGATCATAAATCAACCCCGTAGATGCCGACCACGATTGATACTCGCCGAGTTCGCTTCGGTTGCATTTGGGGGGGGGGGTGCATGAGCACAGATGGAGGGCACCCGGCCCTCGAGTAACATACAGTATCCACGGACTTCAGAGATCCGTGCTCACATGGGTTTTTGTTTTGGATAGTATCGTCTCATCGCGACGTCGAAGCTTGTGATTGTTGCATAAAACAAAGCACACTCACTTATGGTCGGCCTTAGAGTCGGCTCCGAGCAGACCACACGGATATAATTGCAGTGCTTCGCTATAATGTAATTCAGGATTACCGCTCCCAGTGCCCACACACCGGCGGCTTTTCAGTAGAGAACTCCGGCCAAGACTGCCATGCTTTATCACGAAATATCGGCCAAGGATGTGTAGGTCAGGTCATCACATCGCATTGCTATTTTCGGTATCGCCATTTCGGTATCTAGTGCAATCCTCCCTGGTGGTCTTTTATGTTCGCAAATATCTTCACATGAAGCAGAAATGCATCATGAGTAAATCGCCACTAGTTACTTGGTTTAAAATTTGTTTGTTGTATCGCGACGTCTTACCGTCATAGCTCCCGGTTGATTTCATGAAGAATATGAACTTGCAAGAACTCGAGATAAGAGATGGCTCTCGTAAATATGTACACTAAACGAGAAGTAGATATGCACTCTCTTCGATACGAACGGCATCTTCGACGATTCTCCTACTATCTTGCGTCGTTTCTTCAACCATCCACTTCCGCGTTAAAGGCGTTCCGTAGCTTAGAAGTCGCTTGAATCCGATCTAGTTCAGGTCCTTCTTAGCCCAGCCAATACGAGCCGTGTTGCCGGAATTCTCGAAGACAACAAAGGCTGACTTCAAGGCGATATCGCCAAAGATGACCTCGCCAATGCCGGTGTTGCCCTGGATGCCACCAAAGCAAGTTTTACTCCCAGTTGTCAAAGGGGCGTAGTTGATGTAATCACCCGGAATAGTGATATCAGCACCACCAACAGTGAAGGTGAAGTCGGGCAGAGTCGCACTGCAGGAGAATACATAGCCACCTTGAGCATTATTGTAGGTTGCACCAGTAACCTTGGCGTAGTCTAGTCACATCAAGCGTCAGCCTCTCTCTCTTCAGCATTTTGGGGGAGGTCCAGACAGCACAAGACAACGCCCCCTAACAGACTATTTAAAAACTTATATTTGGTAGATTCTTCGACTTACATGCTTTAGCCACAGCGGCAGGGAGAAGAGCCAGCGTTGTGCCAGTGTCAGCGATACCGGTGATACTTCCACCCGATGCACCACTGCCGACACTGTAAGAAGTTGCCGTAAATGTCCAGAAACCCTCGCGGGAGTTGACAGTGGCGTATGCGATCTCACCGGTGTACAGAGAGTTGTCGATCTTGCCGAAGTTGTAAGTACCGGGAGCAGAGTGCCTCAAATCGACGGTCCAGAGAGGTTGGTCTAAACTAGACTTGATGTTGTCGAAGAAGGTCTTCTGAGCGCTTGGACGAACAGAGTTGATGGAGCTAAAAGCAAGACCCAGAAGGCCATCAAGGTTCGTCTCCTCACTAAACTCAGTAGAAACCTTGGTAGCAGCTTCGACAGCTTGAGACGCGAAAGTGACACCGCCCACAGTCACCTTGTCGTTATACACGGTGCCGGACGACGAACTCCCATCACCATACGAAATGGTCCAAGAGTAACCAGACTTGAGCTTGGCAGTGCTACTCTTGCCCGGAGCATACGTCGTGTGGCCACGGGACTCAGAAGCAGGGGTCGAGGTACTGAAAACCCACAGGTCAGAGGAACCAGAGTCAAAGTCGAGGTTCAAAGTTTGTGCTGGTGTACCAATCTGAACAGGAGTCAACCAAGCCTCATCCTGGTCTTCAGGCGTTGTTGTGGCACTGCCAGACACACGCTTGACCTTTCTTGATGCCCGGTAGTCCTTGACAGTCTTAACAAGCTCCGGTGGAGGTGTCTTGCCGTACTTGAGGAACGCTTTGTACATCGCTGTTGGACCATGGGCAGCGTGGTTCGGATTGGGGTATGTGTCAACGGTGAATGAACCGTTGGTGGCCTCAGGCTGAAAGGGCATGGCAGCGGCAAGACCGGCAAGGCACAGGAGCGCACATTGCGAGGCAAACATCTCGGCGTCGGAATTACGAAGGACTCAGACTTTTGTAGTACTGAAAGATGTTTGTAGATCTTAGGATATTGGCTAGGAGTGTCTCATGGGATGGCTTGAAATTTCAATGCTCCAGTACTTGGGTATTGGGGGCAGCCAAGGAATTTATCTCCATTGGAAACTTGCGTAATCTCAAGCATTGGACCCGTTCATCAGCACGTGAGAAGTTACGACTCTGTCTACTAGATGTCGCTTCCCGAATAAGTCTGTCATCCCCGTTGATAGTGCATGTACAACTTCAAGCCGAGCGCTACGATGTCTACTTCGTACACCAGCTTTGACAAGGTGAATGAACGGTGGGCCCACAAAGTCATGGGGCTACCGTTGCTCATGGATACTATTACACAGACATCTATATCACTTTATTTGCCAGATTTGCTGTAAATCGCGAGTTGCTGTCCAGAAAAAGAAGTAGCGACAGCCTCGGGGCCAGCTTTCCAGCCTGTTAGTCGGAATGACCGCAATTGAATGACACCACATGTAAGTTCCACTCTATCTACGCATGCGACAACATGTTACCAAACATCTTGATGACCCGACAAAACGATATGAGCACGTCGACGAAACAGGAATAAGTTCTGAGATGCAAAATTCTGGCGAACTCAAACAAGCTTTTTGCACAAGGCGCTAAGAAGTCGGGATGTTCCTCAAAGGGTTATATCTTCGTAGTCCATAAGTAGCCATGACCCCTGCGGATGGGAGCTGCTGGAACAGATCACAGCGATCAGTGAAGTTCGCAATCAGCATAGCGGGTGACAGCATGCTTAGGCACCGACATTTATGACGGACTGTTTTAGAAGGTAGAGCCCCGCAAGGTTGAGATACTACTTGCCTTTCCAAGATTCCATCATGATCAGATACTTTGACGAAATCAACATTTTGGCAGGTCGTTACTGACGCTCTTCGGCATAAACTGATCTGGAAGACTCGCGGTCTCCCGACATGTCGGATAGCCAAGTGCCAAGTGGCTGGGCATAACTTCTCCAGATCTTGGCTCCTTGGCTTTCCAACGAGGCTCTCAGCACAGTGACGATCGTTCCATGAATAACATTCAAACTCCTCCGACGGCCCAGGACACCATCATCGACAAGCAAGAAAAAGCATTCGTCTACACGCTTGAAATATTTACCCTTTCCATTGCATTTCTTAACTTCGGCCGTTTGTCCAGGTGAGGAAGCTCTTCCAATGCCGTAGGGGCGCATATCCTGCTTAGCGTCCCCTCCTAAACCCGCTGGAGAGCCGGAGTCCATCCTTCTCACACTGTGACGGCTAAGGTTAAAGCTGAGGTTTGAGAGCTAGCCTTGTTAGGCCCCACCACGTGGGGCACGGTCTTCTACGTGTTTCGCGATTAAGTCTTTTTGTTCTTTAGTTTTCTTATTTTCATAATCCATAGAGTATACAGCAGCCAAGTCTTCGTTCCTGATTGCAACCGTGACATCCCCACTGAGTATAGATAGCTTCGTAGAAGACTCCACGAAGCTTCTCTTCTTAGTACCCGCTATTACTATTCTACGGTTCCCTCACATTCGATTCGATTCTCGTGTCAGTTTTATTTCAGGCGGCATGAATTTACAAAATGCACCACCGGCTACCCCAAATCTTAGCACTCTACTCTAGTTGGGCCGTATCTTTTGTGGACATGACGAATCCGCGCAGCGGCTAGTATATATCTGAAAGGTCCTTTAATGCTATCCACCGTGAGGCACCTGTACTTTTGCGCCATTAGTGGTTCTGCTTCCAAATTCCCTGGTAGCGCTTTCTTAAAGCTTGTTTAATGTATTGTTCTCATGAGACTCGGAGAGCAGGTCACCTATGGAACAGAATCGTATCATGTGGGATGACGTGTGATTGTTATCGTCGCACAGAAACCATATGCATCGCACGAAGAGAATAACAGAGTACGTAGTTATGGGAACGGGAAGTTTGATGCCTAGTCCTTGAGTGCCTCGGGCAACGCTTCAATTTTCCAGTCGAATACTTTTTGTAGCAATGATGTCGGAGCGGAATGAATGCCAAAAGTTACTCAGCCTGACCTGCAGGGCTCGCAGATTGAAATACGACGAAGCGAAACCGGTCTGCGCGCCCTGCACGAAATCGTAGCGAGATTGTACATACCCGGCACAGTTGATTTTTCGCGATTTAGATTTTTTTCCACTTAGGAAGCGGAGGCGAGAGCGATTTCCACGGTTCTCAAATACCCAAGAGGATCTGATAAATAGAGTCGACCCGATCTTGGGCGAAATACCAGCAGAGCGTAGGTCACCGTTGAACGGATGTCAGTATTACTCCATGGTCACTAAACAAGCATGCGCAGTTACATTCGTTTAAGTTGACAACTCATAATGGCACGAAGACCCAAACATTTTAGTTGGCATCGACTATTCCCAAGAATCAATTCGACAAGAATCGAATCGCGCAGACGTGTCGACTATTACCCAACAGGTTCGGAAAGCAACACTCCATCGCAAGCCGACGAGGGTATTCGCAACTCGGATATTGCTTACGACCACGAATCCCAGCCAATGCAAGCGAAGAAATTTCACAACCACGTTCATTTCGCTCTGAGATACAGGATGCCTTCAATCATAACGTGATCGCTGTTCATCTGGTGAATCATTTCAAACATGGGCCAGTTCAGTGGTAAGTAGGAAGGGAGCACCTGCCATGGTCGCTGCCAATTATGACTCAGGATGGATCTGTTCGATACTACGGCTTACTTCGCCTCGAAAGTTCCTGTCATGGCAGTCATGAAACCGTCGCTAAAACCTGCCGCATGCGCCCTTGCTGCCAAAAGTCTGGCTCGTTATCACGGCACCAGTAGAGCTATGGAACGCTTCTCCCGAATTGCTTCTCGCTGTGTTGTTGCGTTTCGAATTGAACAAGAACGGCGGCATCACTTAATTCAGTACTATCAGCAGGCACTTGTTTTATTGGAAACTTTCGTCATGTCCGGCGACTTTCATGGCAGCTTGGCTAAACAGGAAGCCATATTTGCAACAGTAGCGATTTTGTGCACATACGAACTCATGAATGCACCCGGCACGGCTTGGAAGGCGCACCTGAGTATTCTGCCCCTTTTTAGTGAAGGGTCTGATTCCAGGTGGGTGCCCCCAAGGATCGCGATTCCTAGTGCCACTATTGACGGACCTGTGTTTTGGAGTCTTGCCAGGCAGGTTTGTTTTGTGCCTGTAAGACTTCAAAAACGACTTTTGAAAATAAGCAACTAAAATTATGCAGGCATGAGTGAAATTTCAACGCGCCTCCATCCTGCAAACCTTCGATTATGGCAAAGATTTTGGCTAAGCATGAACGAAAATGGAGTGCTATCACCTCTTGACGTTCAAACGTCTCTGACTTTTCAAACAAGGGCGCAATTTGAGGAGGATACGAAGAGCAATGAATTAACCTGGTTTCTTGGTAGGATTGCAAATCATCTTATACGGGGAGATGTTGCTGGATTCGAATTTCCACCCATTCCAGAACAATGACAGTCCACTCATCGGGCATTCCTAAGATTATCTTCTTGGCATACGGAAAGCGATTATGAATGAGCTGGACGATTGGTTGAATAATATACCATCAACTTTTGTCGTGTCAGCAACAACGCATGCTGAACGGTGACTCTCAAATTGTGGCACTGGAATCGTTTGAGCAGGTCTGGTATTATTTACCACTCTTTGCAGCCACGATGCAAAGCTACCACCAGGCCAGAATATTGTTGTTGGTCTATAAGCCACACGAGTCGACTGCCTTGAAATCAACAGTGCAATCTCGATTGAGGGCCTATCGCAATGCACTTAGTGAGTGTGAGTGGCATGCAAGAGAAATATGCGGCATTAGTTTGGCAGACCCAACAGATGCATTCCGCATCAATTTGGTACAAGCTCTATGCGTTGCGAGTCAGGTATTGCAAGGGGAGAGCGAGCGGAGTATTGTGCTCAAGCTATGGGCTGGCATTGAAGATGATCTCGGGTGGTCAACCAAGTATCATAAAACCAAGTTGATAGATGACTGGGCCAAGCAGGATACTAACAACCAAGCCGATCGTGAAATAATATACGGGCATTAAAACTCAAGTAGCGGTGCTGCTCCCCTGTTTGACTAGTCCAGCAAACCTTCGACGATTAATGTGTCGTAAAATAAAATTCGACTTCAAAAATATATGCTTATCTGTGATATGGGTATTCATTCCCGCTATTACGGTGCCGTTAGCCTTAAGATCGCGTCGGCAATTTTCTTCAACATGATCAGAGGTAGTCAAACAGTGAAGACGGGGGCCCCTTGCCACTAATGATATGACGATAGGAGCAAGACTACACGCAGTATTAATAGCAGTAGTACGTGGTGGGAAGTCAAAAATGTGGATTCCGACATCTTGCATGATCTTTCAGTAGGAAGTAATGTCAACTTAAGTATCGAGCATCTACACCGCTTGTATGCTTAACAATGACTTCTAGGAGTATGGTGTTACTCATCTTCGAGTATATACCTAGTCAATCCATCACTTTGATCTATCGACTGTTTCCTCCCCTCTTAGTTCTGGGCATTAGTCATGACTACATCTGTGGTTTTTAGAAGGCTCGGCGGGATAGTCGCCATAGTCACAGGCTCTTCTTCAGGCCTCGACCGAGCGATCGCCTTTGGCTCACGCTAAAGAAGGTGCGTCTTTTGTATGCGCGAACTCGAAGTCCCAAGCTCGCGAAGAGGTGGAACTCGAGTGTATTTTCAACAACGCTAATTTAATCAGACAAAATGGACATGATACCATCTGCATCAGATCCGACATGACATCTGCAGCTGATGTAGCGGCACCGATACAAAATGCAGTAACACAATGACTAAATTTAAATTGATTGGCTTAATCTTGCAAAAGGAGTCAAGTGTGGACTTGTTATACATTTAGATCTAACCCGGACTTACGCATGGTCAATAAATTCGATAGCATAACACCAATGAGGCAGCACTCAAGGGGACATAAAACGGAGGGCATCATACCGGTCTCTGACATATTAGCATAAATCAGCAACAGGCTATGTATTACTGATTGAAGTAAACACCTTAAAAGCGGAACCCGATTGTGTGCCAACCATCCATTTATGGATCTGAAAAGCGAGGTGGTTGCCTCGACATATCACTTTGTGCAGCCAAAGGTGTCTGATCAATAGTATTACCCAGTTTATTCTTTGCGGGGGTCCTTTACGCTGCTGTTTGGTTCGTTTTGACCTTTGAGATGATGAATTTACTGGCATCAGGTCCATTGGTTTGGATGTAGCTCAGATGTACTTGAAGATTGTTCCCACTGTCACAAAATGTGTCGTCAGTATTGCAGAACGATGCGATGCGACTGGTCACGGCACCACAGGCGGCAACATCTTGTCTCGGGAAGCGCTAAAAAACCAAATCAGTCATGTACACAAGTTATTAGTCCCAAGAGTAGATTTACACCTGCGTTGGTAGCTGTGCCGGCATTGAAAGTTTGGTCGGGGGTATAGCTTGGATCGCCCATGAGCACGACGGCTGCCACTGGACAATATGTTAGCAATTCGTCAGAAACTTCTATTAGTGTTTGATTAAGGAAGATATGCCTTTGTCTGAGGCTACGGGATCAGTGGCAGCGAAGCCAGCCTCGCTAGTTCCACAAAGCACATCCATTGTTACCTGAGCGCCCTGATTCCCGTCAATATGACTCTCCGCAACGACATCAATGGAGGCAACTGACTTGGGAATATCCCATCAACACCATCTTTGCTCCTGGGCAGTTTGTGGTAAAATTTCGGACGAGCTGTGTCATGGCTGCAACTCCTTGTGCCTCTGATGATTGATAGTTTTGCAGGGTTGCCGGGTAATCGACTGATGTGATTGTAGAACCTGGGATTTGGCTTGCGACATCGTCTGCCACACCTCCAATTATGCCGGTACCTGGTGCTTCTGTTGATGCGCGTGCGACGATCATGCCAATGCCGGATCCAGTTGGGCATTGCTGCGCATGGCCCATTGCATAGATGGATGATAAGCAGAAGATTATGCTAGACTTCATATTGCAATGTGATACAATAGTTTAACTGATTATGTTGACTAACTGTCGACGTATGTGTTGTCGTCCGAAGGCCCATGACTTGACTTTATACTCTTGTTCCAGTTGAGTAGTGATTATCACTTATGCCTTAGTAGGCATTGCTTGCGGGACCTAGGTAAAGCAAGGTATGTTTTGCTCCACATATGCGCACCATTGCAGAGATACTGCAAAAGTGCTTGAAAAGTTCAGATGACTATGCGGTTTTCCGATTTGATTGGCTAGGAATCCGGCCTTTTGGACTCATCGAGGGCCCATGGCGAAGCTTGGCTGAGGCGTAGCAGTTTTGACACACTATAAGTGGCAGATTTATAGGACAACTCAGGAATCATTAGGAAAGTTCAGACTTGAGACGATGAATCTGAGTGTGTTTCATTTACGACCGATGCTCGATTGGGAAATGTTTGCTGAAACCAAAACTCGGTGTGTGCCGAATGAACTAACTGAGGGCTGGAACAGTGGAGCTCCTTGCTTGAGATGAATCACAAGCTTGTTATTCATCATATAGTCTTGAGGTTTCTCGATAGATGATACCACACATATTGCCACGAGCGACCATTCGACCTGCCGTGTGTGCGCGCTACTAGGAACATGACACTTGGGTAGGCTCAAAAGGATACTCTCAATTACTTATCTATGAGTCCCCACGGGAATCTGGAGAATGTCATGGATGTACGTGTTGAAACATTGTAAGTCAATCACGTAGACTAGACTAAATAAAAAATGAAGGTCACATCAATAGAAAGCATACTTAGATCTAGACTGTTATGAGATTTAATATATCGAATAATGTATTACTCATGTCATGTAAGAGGATTATTCCAAACCGACAAGCAGCCTTCATGATTGTTCCCGGCTAATGCAAACTATGACCTTGTTGTGAATGTCTACTATGCTGAGCAACACAGCTGACAGATCCCACCTATGCCGCGCAAGTGATCGACAATCTACCGAGCCCGACAGCTCCAGCAGTTCAACTGTCAAAAAAACTGAAAGGAGTAAGAAACTAAAAAGTTCAGAATCATGATGCACACTTTTGCTAACCTATTATCTTTACCAAGTCGTTGATACCCGAAGTCAAACAATGTGCAGTGATTTGCCTTGGAAAGGCAATCAATGCTTGTACCAATCTGCCATTTCTTCCATGTTTTTCCGGTGCCGATGAATCTGACGATGGAATCTATGTGTGCTCCCGGAAAGAGCTCGGAGCCCCTATCCGATGATGGTGAATCAAAAAACAAATCTCGCTTTTCCATATTTTAGCAACTGCCGATAAACATAACATGAATGGCTTTTGGGGGAACACAAGATGAAAGTACATCGGTTGAAATAGAGCGCCAATAGGATGAGGATTCGTTTGTGAGCAGCTTAAACGCACCACGCTGGAAGGCATCTGGTTGGCTTCTCGAACAAGACACCGAAGAGAACAAAGAGATAAGCAGGTACGAGCTGTAGTAACGGTCAAGAAAACCAAAGCCGCTGCCCCGGAACCAGGGTCGACTTGACAGCTATATGGACAGGGGTCGGGAAGGTGATAAAGATCGGAAGCGCCTCCGTATGTAGAAGCGTCTCGGAACGAACGCCCAAACGGTTGACGTTCCGTGTCTGCATTGCTGCAAGTACGACCTCTGATAACACGAGAAACCCACCAAACTTGACGTGGGGACTTTTCCACGACGACAAAGCTGTTGCAGCCTCAAGACCGACTTTGAAATGACCTATAACGGCCTTTGTGGCTTGAAGCTGAAAAAAAAAACAAGATGGACATGGTTTGATGTAAATTGCAACACAGATGCCGCCAAGGCGAGTGGCCGAGCGCCGTTGATGCTTGTGAAGCACAGATTGATTAAATACCAATGCAAGCCAGATGGGTGACAGAAAAATTCCCCGGGACGACGTAAAAGCAAAAAGAGAAAAGACTCATTACACCATAACAATTAAGAGGCGGCTTAGTCTCTTCTGACAAGCAAAAGGACACAACCATCTCCAGGGCCGGACCCCGCCCAGGTTCGGTGGCACAGCATAGACCTGCGAGTCACGGCTTCAGCCGTGGCTCGAAGTTTGCAGCCAACCATGCGGAGTCGAGATATTCTGGCATTACGCGCCGCGTAGATTACCCGCAGAGCGACGGTGGCCAGCCGCCTGGACCTGTGACGTAACACAGCCGCCTCCAGCGCCAACCGCTGTTGTAGCTCCCTCGATGCCACCAGGCTGTACAGTAGCTCCAGCAGCAGCAGTGTTTGTTGCAGATATGGAGTAACCATGGGCCGATGCATGAGACTGTGTTTCCGGAATGTAAATCTGGCCATTCGAGAGAACGGATCCGGCACCAGTACTTCCACTAGTACGCAAATCCCGCCGGTTGTCAAGTCTGTCGCTGTAGATATAGCTATCAGACTCATGAGCACTGCGGTAGGAAGGGTGTTCTGTATTGTCTACTCCATCGCCAGCAGCACCCGCAGCACCGGCTGTAGATTGGTATGTGCCTGCATCGGGGTGGGCTGATCTTGCAGACACATTGGATGGGAGAGTTGCCGAGCCATACGTGTCAAAAGTTGAGTTTAGGCCGGTGTATCCCACATCCGATGAATGGCAGGCTGAGGACTTGCTGCTGCTGGGGTATTGACCTGGTAGATCATCGGTTCGGTAAGTGGATGTGCTTGGTAAAGTGCGATTAATCGTGGAAAGGCGGTTAGGGGTAGGAAGAGAAGCTGCCATACCAGATAAGGAGAGCGTTGGAAGATCATGGCTCACAGCGGGGCGGTGAACAAGATTACCATAGGAGTAATTCGAGGCTTCTGGGTCGACATATACGGATGTCCTCCCAGCGGAACCGTATCGGTATGATGGAACCATATTCACAGGATCTTGGCTCAATGGTGAATAGGATGAGTAATTAAGGCCGTAATCAACTGAGTCTTCTCCATATGCACTAGAGCCCCAACCCGAGACGTTTGAGTAATAGCCTCTGCCGCTAGTATAAGGGTATGTGCTCTGACGGCAATTCATGATGTCGCTGCCGGACATATCGGCATTATACTGCGCCACCGAGTGATGTGGAGACACGGCCCCGCGAGCATGATAGGTTCGAGCGGCCTCGACATTGTATCCATAATCCGATGGACCGTCACGGAAAGGGGTTTCGGTTGACGACACCTGTAGTATGAGATGTCAGCATAAAGAAAGAAGGATCTTCTATTCCCAGGCCAGCAGCATACCCGCAAGAAGAGACATGGTTCGTGACCTGCATTCTTACAGTTGGAACACGGGCCACCGTTTCCAGGGTCACCACTGCATCGAATCTTTCGCTTGCGACATCGACCGCACTTCAGCTTTAGTTAGCTCACCAGAATGTAGAAGAACAAGCCAGCTTTCGGTGGTACAAACTTACGGCCACGGCTATCCGCTTACGAGGCTGGGAGGACTCGTCAGGTTCACGCTCCGTCATCGTTGAAGCGCGGATGTCCTGATGAGACGGAAGATGGAAACGACGATCAGAGTAGAGAGGGTAGGGCGGGCAGACACGGCTATATCGTCCTCCTCGCTCACTTATAGAATAGATGGCTGGAGTTACCATCGTAATTTCGCCACGCCTAGAAGCCGCGTAAAGATTCTAAAAGTGAGAACAAAATTTCCGAACGCCGCGCTATGCTGTATAGGCGTCGGGTTATAGGGGGTCCTGTCCTCTGCTGCAATCGCTGGGTCAGAGATTAATGATGACAGAGAGATAATGGGTGCTTCGGACGAGAGATGCAGGAGCTGGGTGTTTGACAGGCTGGCTCTCGGCTTGCAGCCCCAGACTTCAGCTTGATGAGCTCGAGCTTCACCAGGTCTCTGTTGTTGTCAAACTCGGATGTTTCAGCGAATCCACCAAACCTAGAGAATGTGCAGATAGGAAAGAGAAATCCTAGAACATTGTAGGAGGAGGAGGAGAAAATCGAAGCTGCAGGTTCCATACTTGTATACCCCCGTGTCACAATTGCGATACAGACCATAACTGTCGCGGGATGGTGTTTGCAGCAGGACGAAGGCTGTTGCCAAGGACTATTATTTGGCTAGGTTGGGATGCTTTCATCTTCCACTTGGGTGATGCACAACATATGTCAGGTATCTGCAAAAATCATAGTACCTTTCAATCGTGTCAGTCCACGGTAACACAGACGGTAGCCTGCATGTCCTCACAGAAGAGGAGGGGGCGGCCATGTGTAGAGGTCCTAGGGTATCTATTACGATCTCAAGCCAAGCTCTGCAGCCCACAAGGCTCGCACGCACGAGTGCTTGGTGCACTTGTCAGGGGTATGCATATCCTGCAAGCGATCTTCAAGAAGTATTGAGGCTGGTAAAACTCAATCTCGATTGGATCTTGAGATTCAGCAGATGCTCCCGGTGGGAAGCTACGTCTCAGTCCAATGACCCTGCCAAGAAGCCACTATATGGTGACATTCCAGCCCATGGATATTCACGACCTACAAGCATGAGCTTCTCGTCAAGGTCCCATATGGAGATGATATGTTAATTCTTGCGAGTGTTTGATTTAGTTGGACTGGCTGGACGCTGTGCCATCATAGAAGTGCCTGGTTTGTGATGAGATGGCGTCATCGCACAAGAGTGAGCGACACTTAGCAGTCCCTCCGCAGTGTCACCTTGAGTTGTTTTCACATTTGATTGCGCTGCGCTGGAATTGCCACGTTTTGGCATGCTTCCTAATCACCAGATAGGATAATGATCACGTCTAGAATAAGCCAGAGAACTATCAATCGCCAACGAGGATTAGAATTTCGGCGAAAGCAAACACGATCATGTAACTTTTGTCAACGGTCCTCGTGCCACTAGACCCGCGCAGGTGTTTTCGAGTGAAACATGATGTACGCATTGAGGCCGACCTCAGCCCCGGCGAAACCCAATGCGAGGAGACACAAAGCTAGGATGGACCAAATACCTGCGCGACAGCAGTGCCCATCATCTGTAGCACATTGTTGTGCAACATGAGCCGAGCTACAATTATCAAGATTGCCAAATCTCAAGGGCTCTGGTTCAATTGAAGTCAAGGGTACATCAGCCAAATCGTATCATGGAGCGGAGAATAATTGGGGACATCCAAACGGATAGAGACGATAAGAAATGATGTCGAACGTTTAGCGAAGTTGATAGATGACAGCAATCGTCTTGGCGCAGAAACGCTGCATGCAAAACAAGGTTGTGAATTGGAAACGAAATCTTCACCTATTTGCCGCAGAAAGCCTGGCGCATGTCACAAGAGGCAAATACAGCAAACTTGAACATGATTTGGCGTGCGTCAACGCCAACTTCATGTTTGCATCATGCTAGAACTACAGAGCGTTCGAGAGCTCTCTACTAGCACAACGCAAACGAGTAATTTGATCTGCAAATTGTACGGCTCGTCGGTCGCACAATGCCACTCATGCAGGTGAGCACTTCTCACACCCACATTCAGGGAATGTGCAGGTCTAACCGTAGGCGAACATGCTAGCCATACCAAGTAACAGCACTTGTCGTCACTGTAGACTGATACTGAGACATTGTCAATTTGTCACTCGATTTTGATCAGTAAAGGAAGAGTCGACGTTTGGTGCCAAATATAGTTCGTCAGGTGGAAGAAGATGTAGTTCTATCGGATGGCCCCGTATTTATTAAAGTAGGCACCTATGTACAAAGTCCACCTCTGGGGCCCCATGGCGAGTGAAGTATCATTTTGACGAGGGATATAAAATGCCGGACATATGTGTCGAAACATGGGAGAAATATCTGGGATTGTTAGAGGTCGGAAACGGGAACAAGTCATCCGATTCGCCGGCCCCAAATCACAAAACCTGGGTTTGCGAGTGCGCGGAAGCCGTACATCTTGCAGCAGAAACTCTCCACTTGTTTCTATCACTACTAACAGCTGCATTCAACCTTGGCTGAAGGCGAGCCTAGCCCCCTAGGCTTAGTACACCGGCAAGGTGCCTACTGACTGAAATGTGTAAGGTTAGAAGATCGAGGCTATGCCACATGCATGGATCGACTGCTTGCCCGAGCAGTTGAACCACACTGATCATAGCCCGTCGACCGCGCGTGAGTCTCTACCATTCCAGCCTCAAGCACGCACATACAATTGTGCCCGTGCTGGCATGCCTCCGCCCGCCAGCGAATTTGTGAAGCGTCCATTTTAGCTATAACAAGGACACGACTCAAATACGTGGGGGCCCATGGCTTGGTTGGATCCCCAGATGGAAAGTCAAAGTGGGGACCATTCAGCGGCGAAGAGGATGGGCTGCAGCCATCAATGCATGTCTTGACTATACATCCATATGACCCGCACATGCTGTGTCGAGTTGGATCGCTTCAAAGCACTATACATGATATAGTTAGAAACGCAAGACCGCCATGATAGAGCCATGATTTGCGGCAATAGCGAAACTATAGTACGGGAATTTTCTCTCGGTCTTCTCGGGAATGGGCATCCGCTAACAGTCTGCATCGCAAGGTGCCTGCAGCTTTCCGATCAAGGTTATACAACCACAAAATTGATTGGTTGATAAAATCTCTCAACTACTGAGACATGGGGGCCATTGGACATCAGTGCGAAACCGTGGTACTAAATTGAGAAGCGATCTCAGCCCAATCAACTGGCGATAGTTGTCTATCAATGTTAGAACAATTGGAGTGAATGTGGAGACGCAGAGAATGAACACATAAGTTGTACGGGAACGGATGAGGATGGTTTCCGAGAGAAGCAGGAGCATGGTTCTGATGGAGTCCTTGTTTGGTATTGCACAGTCGATTGCTCGTTCGCAAAGGGCTCCGGCATTGCGAGTTGCTCAATGATACACTGAGATTTGCCCAAGCCAGCCGAATGTTGTGCCGATTGCTGTACGTTAATAATGTCAAGCTAGCAGTGATCTGCCACTTGGTGCTCCTCTTCTTGAACTAAACAGCTTAGCAGGAGTATCAGTCTTTTTTTCCTTTTTCTTATTGTGTGTTTTTTGGGGGGTGTCCCCCCCTCCGGTGACACTGAAGGCGAGAAGAAAAATATTGTGCTTTCGAGGCGAGTGAAGTCTTAGCTTAGACAGATAGCCCCAATACCAACACACGCATGATGTCATGATTAATACGTGCTCAGGACAGCTCTTACAGCGTCGTTCAACTTCTGAATGCTGAGGCTTTTCTAGTGGTTTGTATTTGGTACCGCGCAAAGCCATGTCTTGTCTCGTCACCTGCCCATTAGCAGTACCCCATTGCGTGACCATCAGACATATGCAGAGACACGTTACTGCCCCAGGGAATGAATTGTGTTCCCAGAATAGTATAGATGTTGTAGGTTGGGAAATTTGCGGGCTTAGTGGGACAAGGCCTTGCAGTGTATTTATATTCGGAAGTGGTCAAGGTATAAGATCACTTTTCATCCGGCCCCATTCCTCGGTAACAAGGATATATAAATCATCCTAGCTATCCCCTGGGTCCGCCTCCCACTCGATATGATAGGCTTGACCATTAGCTTTTGTATATTGTAAATTTCGTTCATAGCATTATCCACGTCATCGGCACAACCACCTATTCCGTTGGTTAATTCGGGTGGTTGCCATAACAGTCTACCACAAGACTTCCTTTATCCGGACCAAGACCAAGCTTATTGACGAATCAAGCAACGCGACGTTCAAGATGACAACTGAGCGCCACTCGGCGGCCATCAAAAGTTTCCGGCGGGATAACTGCAGTCAGCCACCGGACCGCATTGACGAGTCAAGCTTCATCCGTGAACCATAGGAGAATTGTGCATACAAGGTGTAGACACAATGAGCCACCGCTACTGAGAATAGAGACGGGGGCGCGGTCGAGCCACCGGCGAAACTCGTCTCAAATTGCTGCCAAGACCCCTCTGAACTGCTGCCCGCGGGCGGCCGAAGCCACAGGTCCCTTGCCGAGCTTGTCGATCAGGTTCCCGTGTTCGAAGCTTCTACGTGGCTTCCATTGTTTCAAGATGTAGGCATGCACCAGCTAAAGACAGTCCCATAATAAATAGAATCGCTGCATAATATCTCCAGGCAAGCGCAACAAGTCAACGCGTGAACTCGGCCATGACTTTTTACTGTACCTAGTATACCTGTACGTACCCAGACTAACTACATCCGAAACCACGCTAATATTGTAGCATCTGTTAAGCTTTGTTTTGCTTGGCAGCGAGTTCGGCTCAGTTAGTTAGTCATGGGCTTTTGTGCCTGCGTCGCGCTAGATTTCGGGCGACTATGTTAACCACTGGAAGAGATTTTAAGGCCAAGGAGAAGCATGAACCAGCCATCTAGAAAGAATTGATAGCCCGTCTGTGGTCGTCATGTGATAAGAGACACCACGAGAACTGCCTGCTTCGTGCTTCGTAACTTGAATGCTTCAGAGGGCAGGCTGCGCCTCGTGCCATTCTCGTGTGGCTCCCCCCACACGCGAACTGCCTCGATCGGCCCACGGCATCTGGCTCAATCAGATCAACTCTGCATTAAATGTCGTCCAAGTGCTCAAGTGACTCTACCTACATAACCGTAGTAGATTCGGGGCCACTCAATCATGCCAATTTATGGGTGCAAACCGATTCAACCATTTGTTCGAAGTACCCAGATCAAACCTGAACAATGGTACTCGAGTCTCTCTCATTGAGAGATGATGCTTGGCTTCAGATCAAGGTCTGTAAGGTAGTTACTCCGTACATCTGGCTAATTCCCGGCTGTCGCGGGTGCTAAATCCGCATTCAGCCTGTGACGGACGTCTGCCGATCACTTCAACTGCAGTGCTAATTAGTGCAGAAAAAAACCTGTACATCATCCAGAAGTAGGTTTGTTGTGATTATAGCTACATGACGGTTCTCTGCCAGTGTGGCGCCCTTCTTGACGAGTAACCATGATGTACGTCACCAGATGGTGAATGTCTGGGATTATGCATACCAATTGTACAAGCCTGTAAAAGTTGGGGAAACGGGGCGAGCCGGCAGAACCCCTGTGCTCGGCGGTCCAGTGCTCCACGATCTAGTTATAGAGCCTCAGCTCTTGGCCCCAAACCCTGAGTCTTAGTTCGACTACGTTTGTTCGCTGCGAATCCAGAGCCTTTCATTACTTTCTAGAATCAACGTTGGGCACGCGGGGGATTCCAAAGGAATGAATTGGTAATTCCTTCTCCTCATCTTCGTTCATCATAATCTCACCGCGGACCCTCAATCACGTTTACATGAGTCGAGGAAACTGTGCACAGTCCAATAGGCGGCTCTCACATCGGTCAAATGAAGTAATGGAAACTTCGTGTGAGGCGTGACGATCCACAAAATAGGCACTATGCGCCCACTTCAGAGTTGTACGAACTTAAGTGTCGTCGCGGCCACCGCCAAAAGGCCATGCAAAATGGGGTTTCTACTGGGTTCATTGCCAACCGAAAGATAACGTTTTGAGATTCTATAGGAGCGACGTAAATGGAGAGGTTTTGGTATTGTAAAGCCGGGTGTGCTCGGAAGGCTTGACCTGACCGTTGGGGGCCTTCGCTCCGGCTATCTCGACGTCATGCAAGGTCGTGCTTGTTTAGAATGTAATCTACTCGGGCTCGTCGTCTTCCAGATCGTCTTCGGTCAAGCCGGACGCGTGTGAGATGACCCACCTAGGGCAAAGATCCAACTCCCGTTGTTCGGCGTTCTCCTCATATGCTAATGTGCATTTAACTGTGCATCGATCCCATCCCATCTTTCCCCGGTTTCTCATTTCCGTTCAGGTTTGGACCCCCATCTTCTCCCACCCTCATCGACATCCGCATCATTATCGGATAGCCAGTTCAACATGGCCGACCACAATGCCACCATCAATGATTCGACGGACGACAAGTCCACGGGCTCTAGTCTGAATGGATCCAAGGGACGAGAGAAGTTGGCCATCCCTACCCGGGGCTCTGCCGGCGAGCAACAAATCGGCGAGATCAGCGAGATCGAGGCGCAAGGAGCGGCGCATTTTAACCGTCTTGGTTGGAGACGTCTGACAGTCGTCCTTATTGTCGAGGCCATTGCTCTCGGAAGTTTGAGTATTCCTGGCGCATTCGCTAAACTGGGTATGGTTGCTGGCGTCATCTGCACAATCGGCTTGGGATTTATCGCAATCTACACGAGTTACATCGTTGGTCAAGTGAAGATCAAGTTCCCCGAGGTCAAACACTATGCCGATGCCGGTAAACTGATGGCGGGTCGGTTTGGATACGAGGTTGTCGGTGCCATGTTCGCACTTCAACTAATCTTCCTCACCGGATCACACACTTTAACTGGCACCATCGCATTTCAGAACATCACCGATAACGCAACCTGCTCTATCGTGTTCGGTGTTGTGTCGGCCATTATTCTGCTGCTCCTGGCGATTCCTCCGTCTTTCGCTGAGGTCGCTATTCTGGGTTACATCGATTTCGTCTCCATCATTGTGGCAATTTTCGTTACCATTATCGCCACCGGTGTTGTGAGCTCCGACAATGGGGGACTCTCTCAGGTTGACTGGTCTGCATGGCCCAGGGAAGGGCTGACGTTCTCGGAAGCTTTCGTCGCCATCACCAACATCGTTTTTGCATACAGTTTCGCAGTCTGCCAATTCTCGTTCATGGATGAGATGCACACACCTAAGGACTACGTCAAATCCATCTGGACGCTCGGCTTGATTGAGATCTTCATCTATACAGTCACTGGTGCGTTGATCTACGCATTTGTTGGCGCTGATGTCCAGTCTCCTGCCCTCCTGTCGGCTGGATCTCTCATGTCGAAGGTTGCTTTCGGACTCGCACTGCCAGTTATCTTCATCTCTGGTTCAATCAACACGACTTGTGTTGCGCGTTATATCCACGGTCGTGTCTACAAGAACTCTCCTATTCGGTTCATCAACACCAAGATGGGATGGATTACATGGTTGGCCTTGATCACCATCATCACCATCATTGCCTGGGTCATCGCCGAATCAATTCCCTTCTTCGACGATCTCCTGTCAATCTCATCAGCATTGTTTATCTCCGGTTTCACCTTTTACTTCCCTGCTATCCTCTGGTTCCAGCACATCCGTGAAGGTCCCATTTTTGCCAAAGAGAACTTGATCAAGACTACCGCCAATGCCCTTTGCTTGGTCATCGGCCTTGTCACGTTAGTCGGCGGTACATACTCTGCTATCGTCGATATCGTAAGTAGCTTACACGACTCCCATCCGTTGAGCCAATTGGACTAACACAAAATGACAGATGAACCAGTACAACCATGGAACTGTTCGTGGGGCATTCACTTGCTCTCCCTTGTAGACTGTTAAACTTTCAGACAGATACACATTGCCTCTATGGATGACAGGTGCTCAAAATTGGCGACCTGGTAGACAGGCATCTTGCTATAGGGACTAGTGATTTATCAGCTATGGTGATAGCATCATGCTGCATATTTAAAAGCAATCTGGGAAGTTAGTGGGGCTTTCTAAGACCAGCATAAGCTTGAAAGCTTATGCCATGGCTATGTGCACCCGCTTACGGTCACCTGAACGACAAGCGCAATGCTTTGCTGCCATGTTCTTTGGCATGGCGTGTTAGTCAGGCCATGTGCACAGATCCCAGGTATATGTCCAAGAAGCAATGTACTCTGGTATGAGGATTGACTGCAGGCTGGTCAAGCGATCATGTATATGGAATGACGTAAATTGAAAATAACGATTAATGATATCACCTGAAAGTCTCGACTGGAATGAGCTATGTTTGTGATGGGATAAATATGTCGTCTGATGATGTGGACATTTGTACTAAGTCGTAAGTACGCCTTCCAAACTTTGTACAATGAGAAGAACTCCACCTAATTCTAGTATCCCCCAGTCTTGATACCAAGTATTTTTAAGTCAGTCATTTGAAGTAGATGTTTCCAAAGACTCCTTAGAGAACCAGCTTTTGATTTGCATCAAACTACTAAACAAATAAGAATGTAAACTCTCAACTTGCATATCGCGATATCGTGAAATCATGTCGAGTACAAATCTCCTCAGTATCACGAGCAAATGTAAAATGGAATATCAACAAGCGCCTGGTAACCATGTTGTGACGACTTTCGACATCTCGTTACGAAAATCGGAATACCGTTTTGAATAGAAACTGCAGTTTTTCAAACTATTCTCCAAGCCATGCAACTTGGCACACATCTGTCAGTCCTGTATAAGCGCTGTGCGGGATATTATGTCCTGTTCTTGGACTTCACCAATTTCCCATTCGGGAACTTGGTCATGTGGTGTTCCCGAAGTGGTAAACATAAGATCTGGCATCGCGTGCACTTGCTTGATATTGCTATGCTTTGACCTCGTATAAATGCCGGCAAGCCAAATGCTTTTAGCATCAAATGTCACATCGGCGGTGGCCAAACCAGCCGGATATGCAACCGTCACCGCAAGCCAAAGGACTAGAGCAGCATAGCCCAGTGTACGCCGAACTCCACGTCTATTCTCTAATGAGACGCGCTTCTGACTTTCCCCATGTCGCAAACTATTACGGCAAGTCTGTTAGGCAAAACTACCTGAGCGAGGTCGTGGCTAAGACTCCCTTGCTTGGTGGTCGCGTTTAGGCGCCAAAGCCTTCATGGCCATTGGCCAGACTTACGCCACTCCCAAATGAATCAAGTGTTATGCCGCATGAGCATTACATCTACTTGCATTAGAGGGATGCAATGCGTCAGTTTGGTTGAGCGAAAACGCTCTGGCAGATACAACTATCGTTTTCAAGGTTCGAGTCAGAAGGGTCGGCCGGGGCGAGGATGTGAAAACCCGTCGTAGTAATGAACACTTCTAAGCACTTCTGGCTGCTGGCGGAAGAGAAGCCGTGGTGCTCTGGGTCTAACCTCAAACATGTATAGCGATTTTAGAGTGATTAAGGAGTTGTACTGCCATAATTTAGAATGTATGAGTACTTAGCCATATCGTGATGTCTTTACGACTCCTCGACCATTGATCAAATGCAATCTCGTAACAATATTAGTAACTCAAATGGTTTCAGTTTTTAGAAACAAAACTCCTGAGCCAGCCCATTGGGACAATTATTCCAATGCTTGATTGGACGGACGTTCTTGATGAGCAGGTATGAATCAAGTGATCCAGTAGTTGCGATTACAGGCGATGTTTAAAAACATCCGAGCGGATCGCCGCTAAAATGGATATCATACGTCGTGAACGGACTTGAAACAAAACGTTTCGTGGGGTTGTGAGAATCCTTTCCCCATGCGTGGGAGCCGGGATGTTATCGAAAGAGGCTTTTTGCAAGCCATTGTCTATACATACTAGATATGTTTAGGCCAGCTGCTACCAAGCCTCACTCGATAGCTCATCATGTAGTTAAGGTTAGTGAGCTGGCAAACACTTCGTGGATTGATTGCCACATGCCACACTGTAAACAGAGGATCCCGTCGTACACTTAGACCTCATGGATTTTCCAATTCAGGTTACAGTAGTATCATTGAGATTTTTCTCCCTTATTGATAACAGAGGTATATCTCGTTTCAGACAAGTTCATTCGCAACCGAGAGTTGTGCGTATGTGATAATCTACTCCATGTCCGAATTGAGCAACTAGCTCAACGCAAAGGATCAAACTGGCGACCCTTCGCATCCGAAGCGTGGCATGTAATTTGAGGATCCTGGAAGGATTCGCCGAGCTTTCGCTACGATAGCGGGGCTATAGCGCATCTCGCTTGAACTTCGCTGTGTGGAACATGGATCATGTACCGTACAATTAGACTAACCAAAAGACGTACGAACGAAGCATGCCTCCGTTTTACTTCATGATTCACAATTGAGCACCGAACGGAAATGATAGCGCGCTCGCATGCTGTGCTACGGGGAACCTCTTGGTCAATGTGTGATGGAACAAGCAAAGTCACCTCGCCCATCTCCTGCATCGTCCACACAGGAGTGCAAAAGGGCGGATCTGAAACTATTCATTTACTCACTACACATTCAACACTCCCAAACTCTTGAGGTTCTGTTTTAATGTCCCGCGCCGCATAGCGACCCCTAGTATTGATCGGTATGATGAAAAGACAAGCTTTTCTGTACACTTCATCCCAGCACAGATGCCCCAGCTATCCATCTATCGTCTGAACCAGCAAATATCCTGGGTGGAGGACGCCCAGTGACGAGTAGGAAAGGGTCCCAGTACTCTGGATGATACATACGGTAGGTGCACAATTCGCCTGATATGTTGATCACGTCCGTGTCGCCCTTCCTCGATTGTCATCTGAGGCCCACTCCAGTGTAGACTGTATGCAGGCTGGTGGATGCATTGTTTCAGGCACGGGCTCAAGCCTTGAGATCACGAACACGTTCGGCTCATCGTTCAGGCTGTGACCATTCCGGCCCGAAGGCAAAGGCAACACTACAAGCACACTAAACGTGGCCGTGTCATACCATCACTGGATCCAAGCGAAGATTGCTGACTTGTTGATGTCGGGATTACAAGCTTTCAACGGCTTTCTGTTGAATGTTCCGTGAGAACCATGGGAAATCGGCTAATCAGCCAGTCAAAGCGAGGTCAGCGCTATGGTTGCTAATGCACGTTCTAAGAATCATGCTTCCGCCTTTGCACTAGGTTAGTCTGGGCCGTACCAAAGAGAAGTAAGGAAGCGGATGAGTCGGCCCATCCTCAAATCAACATCGCAGATACTTTCAAGGATGGGCACATTAGCCGCGCCCCTCGCGGGACTTTTCTTGGTGTTTGATTGAGTGGCTGGCATCACACTTCAGAGACGATGACATGGATGTGTCTGAATCGGCCACCGTAGATCGAAAATAGAATATGCTTTGCCAGGTCTACAGTTTGCTCGTCTACTGTAGTACTCAGTGACCATTATTCTTGACTAACTCTTAGTCCCTTTGCTTACGCTATGAAGACCACGATGCCTTCGAAAGCGGTGTTTGGACCTGAACCGAGTAAGATCAGCTTCTATCAATAGCATGGGTATGTGCGGAGCACTTCCTTTGGGATAAGGACGAGGCTTGCGAACGTTTTGCCGCTCCCGTGTGGAGAACTTCGTCTTCCGGCTTCAGTCGTTTACTAAGCAGAAGGGCATTTGGGTGTGATCGTAAATGCTGCACAACGTCAATAGTGCCTAGGAAAGGTGGAACAAGAAAAAGCAAGGAACGATACCCGGCAGCATGCCCTGAGATAGAATACTACTTACCAAAACGGGCACATTCCTTTTGGACGGCCATGCAAAGAAAAGTCGAGGCTCTCAAGGATATTTGCTGCTGCAGAACATTGACCCTTGGCTCCCACGACATCTCCAGACCCCGGACTTGCATCTGAGCTAGGTTAGGCCAAAAGTTCATCTCAATATCCTTGTAAGCCCTGCCGCACATGCCCTGTACTTTGCCAAGTGGAGGATGCGCAGTCAAGGGTCGAGTTTGTTTCCGTGTGGCACAAGCTCAGCGATATCCTCTCTTTCACGCTTTTTCAAATCAGGCATAGGCACGCTCGTGGGCCCAAAATGGGCTTTTTTGTTGGAAGTATACTGCTTTTTTCTCATGTACCTGCAACCTAGTGCAATGTTGTTCCCTGTCGAATTTCAGTTCCAGTGCCTTGAAGTGAGTCCTAGACACCGCAGCCAGATGAGCCTCTCTATTCCTCACGATGTGATTATAAACAAGGCATGCTCCCCGATCTTATTGGCATTAATTCTCAGCGACAAGTCGAAATATTCAATCAAGCCTTGCAAGGTAATCAAACCATTCCATTCTATTTTCAATATCTTGATTCTAGTGCCATTCGATACTACGGAGCATTTCCGTCTTCGAGTCGCTTAGCAAAGGACCTCATCTCCACCAACCACTTCGTTTCTATTCTAAGCGCCCGTGGCCACGCACCAGGTCGTTGGCCAATTTTAGGGACATTACGCCTACCGTGCTTTGACAGTCCGACTGGCGCCTCCGCATTTGTTATATTATATATTTTTTGGCCCTTCTCCATTTCGATGTTGGTTTGAGATCTACACTGCATATAATTACCACGTAAACCAAGATACATCATGTTGCCACAAAGTCTCCTGGTACTCGTCTCGGCTCTTGCCATCACCTCTGCTGGTCTAGTTAGAAAGAGATGCGAGTCAGCCAACGCTTCATCGACAGTGTTAGCCACGGCTTCCTCTTCTCCTACGCCATTGGCTTCCGCAACGCTTCCTCAGACCGGAGGTAAGTAAACAACAGTGGCTTGGAGAGAGATTATACTAATATGAAGTCAGGCGCAACCGAACTACCCACTGTTAACGGCACACTCAAAGCCATTGTCGTCGGGCATGGCATCCAGAATTACACGTGTACTGCTGCAGGCGCCAACGCCACCTCAGCCGGTGCCCTGGCCGTTCTCTACGACATCACAGGTCTGTACTCGTCGATGACAGACGAACAACGGACACAACTGCCCGTCAGCGTCCTGCGTGACACCGAACTGCCTCTCAACCTTGCTGGCGACGCCGACGACCAATATGCTGCGAATGTGTCGAACCCGTGGAAGGCCGACGCCGACATCACCGTTGGAGGCATCAATACACCCCTGAAGGTCCTGGGTCACCACTACTTCGATGCCGCCTCCACGCCGACCTTTGATCTCTACAACGCCGCCAGCCTCTTCTTCAAGGGCGGCAAGCTTTATGGTGCGAAGGCTCCTGCCTCTGCCGACCCCGGTCTACTCAACACCGGCGCGGTCGACTGGCTCCTGCTTGGTAACAAGGGTGCGTCGGTTGGCTTGGCTGATGTATACCGGGTTGTCACTGCCGGTGGAAACGCCCTCGCATGTGACAAGGCTGGCCAGACCTTCAGTGTGCCTTATGCTGCGCAGTATTGGTACTACGCCTAGATAATGCACTAGGTGGCAAGACGAATATTTATAATGATTGCATGTCAGGGCGTTTTTGGGAGACCTTGTTTTCGATATTGCATTAGTGGCGACTAGAAAATTGGATTTGTTTCCAGTTGGAATGTTCTCGAGTTACTAGATATAACTAGCTTTTACTCGGGCCATATATGGCCTCGTGGCCTAGAGATACCCCTAGTTGGTCATACGCAGGCTATTTCATGCCCTATGGCAAGTCGTGGGATTTGAGGATACGGTCGTTTGATAAGATCACTAGATTTGGTCTAACAACATCAGTCTATTTAATTGAATTTCAAGCAGTGGACGAGTCCTGAGCAACACAATACCAGTTGTTAAAACGGATTTGCACGTAATTACTTTGAATCTTGATAGCATTTGTGTTCGCTTGTCGCCATGCAGCACTAAATACTAAATCGGTTGCGAGGATCGACCTCATCATTGTTATGAAACCCCTGGTGCGAATACATTATATACAAATCATGCAACCACGGCATAGGTATGGGAGTGCATGCTTAGAGTTCGTGGGTTATTTGATCACTCTGATCGTGTTGAGGTGGGCATTGGTTTGGATAGATCAACAGTTAACTTTTATGCTTTTAAAATCCAAGTCCTCATGAAAACAAATACGTTAGGACTATGATACTTGCTAATCTCTATGAGACTAATATGGACGCACCTATCCAAGGGTGGCATTTGCTGTCCTGCTACATCGCAACTCTAATATCTCCAGTACCTGGGTTTGAGAAGTATGTATCGCTGTGGGGGGTCTCCAAAGGGGCAAATTTAAACTTTTCCCTTTCTAATAGTAGTTATAGAGCGTGGTATCAATATCCATTTCATCGTCTATCCAAGCCGCCAGCCAAGTCAGCTTCCAGTCCACCCATCTGGTTCTGGTATTCTTGTGGCCGGGGGTCTTCACTGGTCCATTGTTGCTGCTGTCCTTGAGGCAAAGGCACCTGCCCAGCCTGAGGCTGTTGTCCGATACCTTGTTGCCCACCCGCTGCAGGTGCTGTCCTGACCTGCTGTCGGAAGCGGTATACTTCGTCCAGGATCATCTTGCGCATGTCTCCGACATCTTCGACAACCTCGAATTCAAAGTTAAATGTGGTGGGACAGTCAGGTTCGTCCGTTTCATCGTGCCAAATCTTTAGGTATGGGTGTTGAAGGGCTTCCTCCACAGAGATACGTGATGACGGATCAAACGCGAGCATGCGATCGAGTAAGTCGAGAGCGTCGGGGTTCGCATTGGGAAACAGTTGTTGGAAAGGCTTCTTGGCCATGTACGGCAGGTTGCGCACGTATTCCTGGGCTCGAGAGGATCCGATTCGCGCAAGAGTCTCCTCATTGGGCGTGCCCAGAATGTGCAGGATCTGGTTCAACTGATCGACGTAGTCCCGACCCTTGAAGAAAGGACGACCACCAAGAAGCTCAGCAAGAATGCAGCCAACAGACCAGACATCGACTTAACAGTCGAACTGCATTAGCATACAGGATCATGTACTTTGCCGAAAGACAAGACTTTTGGAAGGGGGCGATGAATCACATACTAGCTTTCGTGTAGCTTTGGAAGCTCAACATGATTTCAGGTGCACGGTACCATCTAGTGGCTACGTATTCAGTCATATAGCCAGCGTTTTCTTCGGGGTCGACAGAGAAACCTCTTGCCAGACCGAAATCGCAAATCTTCAACTCGCAATCTGCGTTGACTAGCAGGTTGCCAGGCTTGAGATCACGGTGTAGCACGTTGGCTGAGTGAATGTATTTGAGACCACACAGGATTTGGTATATGAACGATTGGAAATGGGCATCGGTCAGGGGCTGGCCAGAGCGGATGATGGCAGCAAGATCGCATTCCATAAGTTCTGCATTTTGAAAGAGAAAGAGTTAGTCCAATGCCTTCTGCGACGCCACTATGGAGGAGATTATCGATTGCTCACCTTCATATAAGTACGTCTCATTGAAGTTGTCTGGTCGAGGAATGTCCATATCATACAAACACGTGATCTAACGGCCCATCAGGGTCTGGAGTCAGCGTTGTTCTTTTTCCTTGTCAAAGCCATTATAGTATTCGGTGTTGGCACTGTCATCCATGATCGTGGGGTTCGCCCTCATCCGCAAAAGAAATTGGCGGGGTTGCTCACATTGCGATGGCCTCGGAAGTGCTGTAGCAACTTGATCTCACGCAAAGCGCGCTTAGCGAGGATCTTCTTACTAAATACATTGGTAACCTTCTTGATGGCAACACCTTCATTCGTCTGATTATTAACTGCTGCGCTATACGAAAAGAATGAAATGTCAGCAATCCTGGTGATGACTTCTCTCATCTTCGCGTGGAGGGGTAAGTCGCCAGATAGCGCTGTCTCCAATTGTAGCGCACGTACCAAACAATACCATAAGCCCCTTGGCCCAATTCCTTGGTGACTGTGTACCGCTCGTCCACGATAAAGTCTTGATTGAAGACCTTGAAGACCTTACGTCCTTGTAGGTCGGCCATGATGTCCGGTATCTTCAACTAGAATACGATTTTGTTTGTTGTAACAAGGATACTCTCAGTGTCGGACCCGGTCGAAGGATCAGATGCTGGAGAGAGAGTCACTGCTAGTCACAAACCGGGCTAAGACAATTCAGAATGCCAGAAGCTTGTGAGCAGTGGGCCCCAATCGACAAAGGACTTTGTTGGCTGCGACAATAGTGAGGCGGGGAACTGCTTGAAAACGGGAGGCTCCGAAACCCAGAACAAGGAACAAGGCTCAAGCGATCTTTCGTATTCGAGAGTGTCCGTAACAAACAAGTGGTGAGGTATACCACAAAGGTGTGGGTTTGCTGAAGGGGATCGATGACCGGTTGCAAAGCTATGAAAAGAGAACGAGACAACTGGGGTTCTTATTCCGGAAAGTTAATGGTCAGACGGTTTCCAAGAGCTGACAACGTAGGAATGATTCGAGTTATGTATGTATAATTAGCCAAGGCTGAGCGTTAGATCGAAGTAGTTGTTGCAATTATGGCTTGAGTTCGAGGATGACAATGCAGTTCACGTCTCTGGGGTTGGCTCAGCCGGGATGACACATGTACTTGTATGTGTCCAAGATGCGCTGCTTTGCGGAACTCCTGGGGGCTCGCTTGAACACAGTCTACACTGCTCGTGCTCACGAAACTGACCATTTCAACCATTATTACATCTGCTTTCGTACTGCACAACGAGTATTCGAACCAATCGCGCAAGAGTAAGACCAACGAGATCCAGCAATGGGAGCTCCAAATCCCCACAACGTAGTGAAATTTGCTGCCGTTGGCCAGTTTTCGAGACCCCTGCTTCAATTGCCCACAGAAGATCCAGCGCCAGATCTCATCCCTCGCAGGGTCTAACCGCTGGCACAAGTCTGGAATAGGTCTTAATTGGTCCTAAGCTTGCTGTAACCGCGCAACTTCATCATCGTTCTTAGATGATAGATGAGAATTTTCGGGAAATGAGGAGCAATGTTCATGGAGTAAACCTGAGTACCCGGTAGTCTGCCTGTTCCTACTTGCGAGCCAGCTATGCTAGTGCTCGCTCAGCGAACGTCTAGTACACGAGCAATGTTCAATGTAATTACCAAGCAAACCATGTTCGATGTATCGTCTGTGAAGCGTACAGTATTGTTTTCCTTGGGGGCGGAGTTGAGGCTGAGCCACCCCTAAATGCGGCCGCCAAAAATATCTCCCGGGTCACTAGCGACGGCATTCGGCGGGAAGGTGGAACCATGACTATTTTCGCAAAGTCCTTGATTGTACGCTTTGTACCAAGCAGTGGCAGCGACAATGCATCGAACTCCGGAACTTGTAGTCTTGGGAAGGGCTCTGAATCAAAAGGGATTCAAATAGATAGATTGGATAACGAGTCCCCTGATCCATTGATCAAACAGTATGCGTCACTTGCATTGCTCCAAAGTTTTAAGGATATGGCTACGATGTCACCATTGCGAGAGTTTTGCACAAGAAAACAAATGGCATAGCTCATGCGTAAACTCTTAAATGGAAGTAAATCCTCAAGCTTTATGTATGGCCCTTAATATTATCAATTCCCCGGGCCTTACTGGTACTAAATGTTGGTTATTGTGGTGCAACTTGCTTTTGGTTATAACAGGAAACAAATTACAAGTTTAATAGTTATATATGCCCCAATAACCAACTCGGTCTTGATGACGCTACGTCTTTACATTGCCCTCTTGATGTTCATGTAGCTACTGTCTAGCTCGAACAACGAACCATCAACAATGCATATGTGAGGCATTGGTGACATTGCAGTAGCTACGACTCTCCACAGGAACACTGTTGAATATATTCGCATTCCGATCACTTGAGGAAATAACTCACCAGGCGAATGATCAAACGTACAAGGGAAAAACATTCTAGTATTTCACCAGCACGATAGGTGGTCGTTGTAAAAAGGAAATGACCGAACACAACAGCGCGTCCGAACTCTTCAAAACATGTAAAATTGCTGCCATTGCAGACGTCAATACTCACCGTCCTTGTTGAGTCGTTCTCAACATTTTCGTCTTAGACAAGTTACAGCATCTCATAACACTCTGTGTCTTCGCATAATTGTTTCCACCACAAGAATAGACTCATGGTCTGGATCAGAATCGAGACAGATGTGGCGAGAGCGTCTCCAGTGATCGATGCTACGCCGTGTGATTACAGGAAGACAACCCGTAATTTGTCATATGCAAACAAGAGGACTTCGGATCTCCGACGGTATCCCTAAGGCTTCCGTATTGGTTGAGAAACAATTGTAAACAGAAACGTGGGCTAGGTGACTGAATCAGGCAAGCGGCATCAAGAGGACAGGCTTTGGTACAGGAAGTAAAGATTATGGTTAACCTTCGAATAGTGGCACTAACGAATCTATAGTCATGAATCGTACGTGGTTGTTCTCTTCGGGGGGTTACTTTATACCATTCACTATGAACAATAACAACAATAACAGCTGCATGTAACGGACAGCTTGATAGAGCACCAGCGATGTTTGGTCACCACAACAGCCCTAAACAATTACGCGGTCAAAATTAAACCACAATCCATATTATTGGCAATACCCATGCTCACTATATATCACGTGCCATGCAGTACTTCAAAGACCTCCATATCTACTTTTTCCATCGTAAGTATAAATGCATCACAGGTCAGGGCCTTCAAGCTACACATCATTCTCCCAATTCGTACGATATGACAAGGTGATGTATTCCAATTGGGGTTCCCTCTAAGCCTGCACCGACCTTTTGAATACCAAACCTCAAAAATTGATCGTGTTGTAAAATTATTGACCTCAGATTATCATATGATGTCATATCCTCTTTGCATTCCCCTACATTGCCTTGCAAATATGATGCCGTGTGGCTTACTGAGAGCAGAGAGGGTCGAAACTCGATGTGTACATGTCAGGTCTAACATACAGCTGAATGCTCTAGGTTTGACCAACATATGGATAATATTTCGTAGTACCGCCGTTGCACATGAGACGAAACACGGAATGAAAAGTGGCCATTTTCGATACATCTGAGACCTAGGCATACATTGTGCTCATGAATCAAGACTAGCAACCATCTAGGAGGAGCGAACGGTCTGGCTGATTTGAGTCAATACCTCAGTACAGAAGCAATTAATACTATACCGCACTTCCAGCCATGACAAATACATCTGGATTCCTATACCATCCAGAGTCTTATACGGCCCAGTGTCTTACTGTAGCGGGCTTGAGCTGAAGCGCCGGTCACAGACTACGAGGACCTTGGCTGACAATCATGAGCACTCCAAAATTTCTATCCTCATCGCGGCTGGCCCGAAAACCAAAGCGGCTGCTGAAGGGAACGCCGAACAAGGATTCCGTAACATACTGGATGATTTAAAATGCCGAAAATTGTCTTTGTACCGAACACCTGGAACACCTGACAATGTTTGATTCATTGCAAACCAAACCAAAGGGCTGATAGTGTGGGTTTTGAGTCATGTACCCATATCTTGACTTAACTGTGCGGCGCCGGTCGTTGTATCCAACGTCAATGGCTACTCAGCCTGGTCGAGCGGAAGTGAGACAGGACCAAGTTCAACAGCCCAACCTTCCATATGGCAATGGGTGTACGGTTGCTCCTGACTAGGGATCACTCGGATGTAATCCTCCAATAATTGGAATATGATGTTTATGACAGAGATCTTGTTGTCGATCAAAGGAAAAATGGGTGCAATTTTGGTGTATGATGTAATCCGAGGATGCTCAGCTCAGCCGGACCAAATGGCCGGACCAAATGGCCCGAGTGATGTACATCATTGCGAGATCCCCCCATGTTCGAGTCTTTATTTCGCCTCACAATCGAAAGATCAGTATACCAGCCAGATCTTGACTTTGAACACAAATATGCTACTGAAAGACCAGCCAGCCTCTAACGAGATGAAGTCATACCCCAAAGCTGATTACGTGCGCCGTGATGCTTAAAGTATTCGTTATAAACAATGACGTGTCGTACGCATGTTCGGATTTCAACATTGCTCTCTACAGGAAGGGTTGTCTGGGCGGTTGGTCATGGTCATGGTCATGCAATCAATCAAGCGATCGAGATGCTGTACCCCAGCCAGTGACCAGAACATGGGATCATTGACATGCGGTGGTGATGGATTCTACATCTGATGGGTGCGAGAATCCTCAGCCACAATTGAATGCAGGTACGGAGTTCCTGCCCTGTCGCACTACAAAATAGTAGTTGGAAAAATCCAATTGTAGAAGCAGAGGATTCCCACGGGAACCGGTTATGAATCGTGATCCCATGCACTGTCGATCAAGCATAGCTTGCAGCGCGATGATTTGGTCGATTTGTTGCCAAGGCTACGTCGGATGGATTCCCGACTGACACGCGACGGGCCAGGCAGCCCAGGGGCCTGAGGTCTGGCATTGATTGCCAATCAGCCAATTACTTTTGTCCATGATTGGAAAACCGGCACTCCCCCATAAACCTGTTGGAGCAATATGAATCTAGGCATCTTCCTTCCGCAAAACTCAGGATCCATCAGCATTAAGACATCGGTTGGTCACTTGTTCTCTCTGGCAGTGTTGATGATATCATTACAGTTCCTACCGCCTGATGGGCTCCCCATGAGCGACATTGGAAGAGCTAGGTGCAATCCCGTCCAAGCTAACTGAGAGAAGGCGCAGCATTTTCAGATGTGATTAGGAGACAAGGTGAAATTGGTAGGACTCCTCCATGTTTTGCGGCGAACAACATTACTTTGACAGTTAGGCTTCGTGACATTCCGCCCTCACACTTGAGGTTTGCATCAAATTGAAGACGTTGACAGCCGCGGGTGGGCACTTGCTTCGTAAATCTCAATCTGCCCCTCGCACTTGAAACTTGTGGGCATTCCGACAGTTCGGGTCCAGACCGTTCTAGTGGCTTGACCCTTGCAATTAGTGACATCAATTCGGATTACAACCATGTTTCGGTTAGCCACATGGCCTTTGCGTGCTCTGTGGCTTATTTCGATCTCTGATCAAAATGGCTCCCAGTTTGGCAGAGCAACGTCATAATCTGACACGGTATTGAACCACGAACACGAATGGGAAGGGAATATATCATCCCATGGCTTATGACAGGCAACTAGTACAACTTGCAAAAGGTGGGTGGGGGAAAATGGACGTTGTTCTCCGCGATCCTCATGTAACAGATAACCTTGCATTGCCGGGAAAGCTACCTGGATCAAGCTGGATGTAGCAGTGGCATGTTGCGTATGCACATTGATGCAGTAAAGCTCACTATTGATAAACCATAAATGCGTCCCAACGTCCTAAAGAAGATTTTGGGCACACCATCAGCCCAGAAAAGCCACTGATATCCGATTCAAGTCAAGATTATTTTCGCCTTCCTTACGAATTCTGCTACCCATCCCAGACCTCCACGAAAAAACGTCCGGGCTGGCTTGTATGATTGCCCGCTAACATCCACAACTGAGGAGTTCATCTATGGAGTACATTACTAGTGGCCCCAGCACATCGCACGTCTGACGACCGCAGCTCCATACATCAGACTCAAAGAAACGACCATATACATGCAGAAAAAAGAAACGAAAAAAGGGTTTCATCATTTGCGACCTCCTTGATACCGTCAGACTTGTGCGCAACGTCTCAAGAGTCCAATCTCTCCCCTGGCCCACAAACACTATTGCGGATATTGCCAATAAACCCCCGAGACCACTTCGTCTAGAAGCGAATTATCGTGAAATTGGTAATTGCAAAGACGCAATTTCCCTTTACCACTACGCCACAACATTTGGTTGGACAGACCCCTTATCGATTTAGAGCAGCCAGTGTTCAGCTTGGATCATACCCGAGGCATTTACATTTCAGGAACAGCTCACCCCAAACTATTACTCTCGCTGCAACCTGCCGCACCTCTCTCTCCTTGCAGTCTATACTCTGCACTACTTAATAATTCAGCTACACCCACACAGCTAAACCTGTGAGGCTCCTCGGATATTTCTGCTCTCACCATCCAAATAGCTATCAGATAACGCCTTGGTGCGCTTTGGAATCAGCATCAAATCCACTCGGACATTACTAGCAGTAATACTACTCGGACGTTTTCTTTTTCCAGACAGTCCAGACTCTGTGGTCCATCGCGTTGGGTTCATCTCAAATCTTCAGTGTAACGATCTTGGTTTATTCTGTAGCTTCTCCGTTCTCCGTTCTCCGTTGAAATACAGAACTACAATACAACAGACAAAGCTCACGTTTTCCTACGGCATTCGGCAACCCGGTCAAGGATAAACCGGCTCGCATTGAGTTTCTACATACAGCGACATATAGACCGGACCAATCTAGACCAGCTTCCGCCCAGGCTCAAGCTTAGGACATCCCCGACCTTCAACAGCTTCCCCTCTTGGATCGTCTTGATTCAAGAAAGTCAAGGCTACAAGCGCAGTTCTTGAACAAGGTTGCGCCACCATTAACCAATCCGCTTCTGTGGCTGTATCAATTTGAGTTGTCGCTACGAATCACTAGTCCTCGAGCTGCATGCTCGTTGATTTGCTTGATTGCTGCCCGAGATAAGACTTAAAAGGGCGCCTCTAGCCTGCTATTGTTTCCAGCGGACGTCCAGCAGCGCATCGCACAACGAAAACCCCCATTGTTTGCTTTCACGAACTACCTGATCTCTCAACTCTTATGTATTTGTGGCGATAGATTCACCTACAAATCTACGTCACTATTACCGCTGGATCGAACGGCACAATTATCATCGGCAATCAACGTGGAGATAGCAATTGAGATCGACAGGGCAGTCAACCCGCAACTCTAGCTGAACCCACTTTATACTCCGATACAGCAACCATTTATAGAAGTGATCGATCAACAACCCACAACCATTCTATCCTACAAAAAGCTACTCACCTGTTTTACACCGACCCTTCCTCCCGTCTCACAGACGACCGAAATAGTTATTGCACGACTTTGAGGTCAAATACAATCAATATCCGATGCGCTCGCCATTAGCCATACCACGTAGACAACCACTGGAATACATGCATATACAAATGGACACCACAATGGCAGCACAAATGATGGAATACGAATCTCACAGCAGCCGCGGCGACTTCGCCATGCAGAGATACCTACTTCTTCAGGGACAGCACGAAGAGCTGCGACAGCACATGCACGAGCTATGCCCCACGTACTCACATGCCTCATCAACAGCGGTGACCTCGCCTTCGCTGTCCCCTACACGATCGGTGACTCTCAGCCCTTTATCAAGCAAGCATACGTCACCATCTCGCAACCACCGCCGATCTTCGGGACACTCACACCGATCAGGCAGTCGCACGTTTCCCGGCGCTCTGGAGCCAGTGCTTGACGAAGAGATCGTGGGTGTGATGGCGGCGGATGAACAGAAGCTCTGCGATGTCAATGAGGGTATCAAGCGAGCTTTGACAGAGCTCCTCAACAGCGAGGCTGTGCGAAAGGATCGCAACATGAGGACATGGGTACAGACCAGGCTGATGGATACGGAGAGAGAATTGCGGACTGGCAGACGCAGGAGAAGCAATGGAAGCACCGACTAGAAGGTCGACTTGAACTAGCCGCAGGCGTCTTTTGAGAAACAGATGCTTCTTCTTCGGCTCAAAGAGAAACACGCCTGCTTCACCTTAGCATTGATTATAGCATTGGCGTCATGGGATTGCATATGTGCTCAACGCACTGGCTGTTGGGGTTGTATACGGCGCAACTGGATTTTGTTTTAGATACCACTCTATACCGTGATGTGCGATGGTGGTGTTTGGGAGGATTCTTTCACTGTCGCCGTGAGCAAGGCATGGAAAAGCAGGCGCCTTGGGAGTAAGCATATACGGTCCATGGCCTAGGCATGGATGAAGTCACATCCACAATTGAATAATTTTCGGCTGTACCACGTTTTCAGACAATGATTTTCAAGTGCATCATGCGAACTGACAGACGTTCGCATCTTGGCTAACCTAAGCTCGTTCAATCCTGTCGTTCCTCGCGCTTTTGTAGTAGCATTCTGCCGAACATCCATACTGATATTTTCCCATTGTCTTATGCAGCTCAGGCAACTTCTCCGGGTCGGGACCCTAAAACGTGTGAACCATGTCTTCACTAGCAGTGAAGCTAGGTAAGTGGTATCACAGGAAGAATAATTCAAGGCGAACTGATCCACGCTGCTTTGTTTTGCCCGAGGACAATAACAACAAAAGCGTTGACGGGTAAACTTTGACCACGACGTCGATCGCTAAAAATACTTCGTACTAAAGTATCTTCGTGACTCGTTTTCGCATGACCCTCATTGATGACGACTGATGCAGTTGTGGTGCTCCATTTTATCAAGTCATCCGGTGCTTTTCTCCGGGGGTAATGGATTTCCCCATGCAGCTCAAGTGAGTGTGCTAACTCGACGCCTCTAAGCTTGCTCTAGTGGGCGGCACTATTTATTGGTGGTGCTCTCAGCAGTTTATATCCACTATTCGTGGATGCCGCATTCTCTTACAGCGCTTGACAAGGCTGAACCCCCACCCCCAACGTAGACCTGCAAAGAGCTTCAACTGCCGGAAGAAAGCTATCGTATGGGGCGTCACTCTTCAAACTTTTGAGGTCAGCCTTCTCACTCGACCTTCGTCAAGGTTCAAAGTTCGCAACGAGCATTGCATCAGTTGTCTGCCATTAAACCTATCATCTTATGACTGACGCATGCGGATGACATGGATTCGATTTAAACTGCAGCAGTCGAGTACAGCACTTCAAGCCAGCGACCCGCCATGTCGGTCCTTCTAGAGACCAGCCTAGGCGACATCGTGATCGACCTGTTGGTTGACTACGCGCCCAAGGAGTGCGAAAAGTAAGCATCTCGAAGGCCCATGACTTTCCTGTCCCCCAAGACAAGACATCTTGCTGAACTGAACATTGTCTATTCTAGCTTCCTCAAACTTTGCAAGGCCAAATACTACAACTTCTCTCCCGTCCACTCCGTTCAACCCAACTTCTCCTTTCAGACTGGTGACCCTCTGGGTCCCAACTCCAAAGAATCCGATGGTGGCTCGTCGATATGGGGGTTGCTCTCAGGCTCGTCCAAGAGGACATTTCCTGCGACCTTCAACCCGAAGCTGAAGCATCTCGAGCGCGGAACAGTCTCTATGGCCACAGCACCACATCCTTCCGACCCCGACGTGAGACTAGCAGCCAGCCAGTTCATAGTCACCTTGGGGGACAACACGGACTATCTAGATGGCCGCGCATCTATATTCGGCAAGGTAGTCGAGGGATTCGATGCGCTCGAGAAGATCAACGGCGCCATAACCGACAAGGATGGCCAGCCACTAGTCGACATACGGATCAAACACACGGTAGTCCTCGACGACCCATACTCCGATCCCGCAGGCTTAAGGGAGCCGAGTTCCAGCCCACCGCCGAGCAAAGCGCAACTTGCCACCGTACGAATAGCCGACGACGCCGACCTGAATGAAGAGGTCGACGAGGAGGCAGCCGCCAAGAAGCGGCGCGAGGCCGAGGCGCGCGCCCAGGCACTGACACTCGAGATGATGGGCGATCTGCCGTTCGCCGAAGTCAAACCTCCCGAAAATGTCCTGTTCGTGTGCAAGCTCAACCCGGTGACCCGCGACGAGGATCTCGAACTCATATTCTCCCGTTTCGGCAAGATTCTAAGTTGCGAGGTGATTCGTGACAAGAAGACGGGCGACTCCCTGCAATATGCCTTCATCGAGTTTGAGGAAAAAGCCTCCTCCGAGGCCGCCTACTTCAAGATGCAAGGTGTACTGATTGACGACCGGAGGATACATGTCGACTTTTCTCAGAGTGTGAGCAAGCTCAGCGACGTATGGCGAAGCAGCGAGAATGCCAAGAGATCGCGTACATCTGGCGGCGGTGGGTGGGGTGGTGTTGAAGGCCTGGAGAAGTGGCGCAAATACAGGGTGGACAGGGGAGAGAATGAGGATCGCAATGGCAAGTACGGCATGGTCTACGACAAAGATGATGTGCGCCGCCGCCGGGAGGGACGAAGCGATGCAAAAAATGCTCCTGAGGATGACGCCGAAGACAGTAGGCCACAGGATACTGGTCGTCCCGAGAGAGGTCAAGACAGGAGACGGGGCGGCGACAGACGTGACTGGAACAAGGAGGCCAGGACGCGAAGTCGCAGTCGAAGCCCTAGAAGAGACACTTATCGCGACAATCAGGATCGCTGGGGTAGGGATGATGACAAAAGAAGGGACGATCGGCCTAGAGCTCGACACGCCGATCGCGATAGGCGGGATCGTGACCGAGATGGAGGCAGAGGTAGAGGTTACGGCGATTCGCAGAGAAGATGAAAAGTGCACAATCCGGTCACAATCAATATACGACATGCTCTACAGAGCTATACTCGTATAAATATAAGTATTCTCAATCGGATTACACGGCCCTAACTGAAACTGTTTTTTTCGTCTTGGCGACCCTCCAGACGTTCCGCCGACCTGCCAGAGCAACAGTCCCAAAGGGTAGCTCTGGTCAACAGCTGGATCATCACAAAGATTGCGTGTTTGGGCCCTGAAAACACATGTACTTCAAATCGTTGTTCTGTGCGGTCCCAGCTCCTGGAACGCTTAAACCTGATAATCCAGATTGAAAGGGGTTGTGGCCGGATCCTAGGGATCAAGAGAACCTAGTTCTCCCGGCATATGCTGAAAGAACTGCCTCGATGAACCCCGACGAACAATGAAATTTGGTAGCGCAGAGTCTGACACGGGAGGAAAAGCCCACCTTGGTGGGTTCTGGGGACCAGTAAGGCTAAATGATGGTAGACCTATAAAGGGGTATTTAGACTTAGATTTCTTTACCTCAACCTCCCAAGATACGAGTGTCGCATTGAGACCTGCGCACTGGCATTCGAAAATTATAATCATCCAGACGTTACTAGTGTCAAACCTTACTTGCTACGAGGAGACAATACTACCAATGCGATGCCGTTAGTCTAGGACTTGACCGTGAGCCTCTTTCCATGGATACTTAAGGCTAACCTTAGCGACGAAAGACATGTGTTCCGGATCACGGCGGCCAGCGCATGTTCGGCTTTCAGCCTGTTGAGAAGTAATACCGTGTCGTGGGAGAATGGGTATACGCAGCTCGTTTACTACTTGACAACTGCAGAATACCCGGAGATTTCTTCATTGAAAACTGCCAAACAACAGCAGTAGAAGACGCAAGACCTATATGACCGTCGGAATAACTGGCCAACAGTTTGCCCAAGAAGCTGACTTATTGTAGCCTTGACAATATTTCGATTGCCAGCTTCCTTTAGAGGTCACAGTGTGATGCTGTCGATACCCCACATACCAATACGACATACCCATTGCTCAGGGAAACGCCGACATTGGCATTAAGCTGTTGACTGGACACTGAATTGAGCTTCAAAGCAAACATGGCCTGGGCTTGTGGTATAATCTTGACAATCATGCTATTAGGCAGTTGCGATCTCACAGATCCTGATAGGTACTTGGTCGTTGTAGAACGGGCCTGTCTGCGATTGCCTCTGTGGCAGATCGAACTCAATTTCCCGAACCTTGAACCCCCTTTGCTCGCATACGCGTAAAAAAGCTTCATAAGTCTTACGATTTCTCTCCGTCGCAGCTATCAGGATCTTGACAGCTGGGTACAAATCAAACAACTCGCCAATGACACCGACCAGTGACGGTATGACACTCTCATCGTAGGTGACATCTGCTCCAAGGACGACATCAATCGGCTTGCCACCATTCCAAGCTGCTTCTTCCGTGCCTACCAGAGCATATCCCCATTTCAGATCCATGGCGGTGATGATGCCGGAACCTTGAAGGCCATTGACGAAGAAGTTCTCTGGAAGGTTGGCGACAACATCATCCGAGCCATCAGAGGCAATCACTTGACGAGGAGACAGATATTTGGCACACAGTATCGAGATGTAACCAGTTCCTGCACCCAGTTCCAGGACACCTTTGCCTTTTATCAGGGTGGGGTTCCTGGAGAGATACTGTCCCAGATGAAGTGCAGCTTCCCATGTTCTGAGTCCGGTGGTGCCAGAGGCAGAAATCAGGCTGCGCGACTCAAGGAGCGTGATGTCCGGTGAGGCGTGAGACTCTACTTGGTCCACTCCACTGAGCAGAGACAAGTAGTAGGTGACATAGGACTTCTGCTGAGCAGCGTCGGCCTCAGATGGAAGTGGAGATGCAAGGAATTCAGAGAAACGCCCCATCAAGTCGTCCGACACTCCCTGGAAAATGGAGTCAGGCGAGATGCAAGAGGAGGAAATAAAGAAGGAAAGAAGGAAAGAAGAAAAGAAGGCCAAACAACAGAGATGCAGAACCTGGCGGGTTCAGGCGCATATCATGTCTGCTTGTCCGGCGTATGAGTGAGTGAGAGGCTTACATACATGCTGTTCCCAATCTTCAATGCTGTTCTCGATCCTTGACACGAGCTCCTTGAGGACTCGGAGCTGATAGCGCGGAGGTGGAGGATATGGGACAGCCCCATCGGCAAAGATGCTGTCATAGATTGTGGATTGAATGAGTTCCTCTCGAAGCAGACTCGACTCGGGAAAGTCAAGCTCACGTTCGAGTTGAAGGTACTGGCGACAGAAGCGAGCAACGCTGTCGGGTTCAAGCGTCTTCGCAGTTGCCATTATGGGCGGACGCTGTTTGGTGCAGAGATTGGAGAATAACGGATAAACATTGATTGCCTACCTGGACGACCTTGAATAGTCTTTCAACTCATCATGCATCGCCAATCACGCTTCCGCTGCTATTGAAGCGGAGTATTGTGACAACCCTATTCTGAACTGTGCTTTGCATTGACGCGGATTGGCTGATGCACAAATCAAGTTACGCACAGCAGAGACCTCCAGTCGGGTTGCTCCAGCTAACTTTTAAGTCTAGACTAGTCTCTTCAAAGGTGGACTGTGCTTTTTGTCCATTGGCCCACGCCCATGGGTGTGGCTGCCCCTCCACCAAAAGCTGTTGCCGCTTGTAGGAAACCCGAAAACTCCATCAAAATTATTCCCACGACCTGCCACTTGCAACCACCTTTTACTAACCCGACAACACAGCACAGCATCTTCAATTCGACAACGGTCTCTCACAACTAATCGACAAAGAACTGGGTGATTGATCGTCAAGATGGCTGACTCCGACTCCCCCGTCACCCTGCGAACTCGCAAGTTCATCCGCAACCCTCTTTTGGGTCGCAAGCAGATGGTCGTGTGAGTTTTTATTTTAATTTTTAGGAGGGGTTTTTCCCCCGAGGGCAACAGAAAGAAGAAGATTTTTTTTTTCCAATTTCTCCAGCCAAGCGCACTCCAGCGAAGCGACAGGAACCCCAGCCTATGCACCAAACGATTGTACTCCGCCCTGTGCGCATCATCACCCATCGTCTTGTCTTGGGCTTTCGAGCGTCGAGCAACGACGAGCGATTGATGCACAGCTTCATTCAACGCCCCGTTATTTTCCAAGCGACAGACGGTGCGCAGTGCGTTGTGGCGAATGGCAAATACTGTCGCAAGAGGTGGAAGACTGGTGGTCGGGGCGTCTGCTGCACATGTTCTGGTCGAGTGAAATTCTGTTTTACTGACATTTTTCGCTCTTCAATAGTGACATTCTGCACCCTGGCCGCGCCAACATCTCAAAGGACCAGCTCCGTGAGAAGATCTCCGCCCTGTACAAGGCTCAGAAGGAACAGATCTCTGTCTTCGGTCTCCGCACTCAGTTCGGTGGTGGCAAGACCACTGGCTTCGCACTCGTCTACGATTCTCCCGAGGCCATGAAGAAGTTTGAGCCCCTCTATAGACTTGTCAGAGTTGGTCTCGGCACCAAGCCCGAGCGCGCTTCGAGACAGCAACGTATGCTATCTTTCCACCTCTGGTCTCTTCCCTGGACTGCCCCTTCTGACCTGATTCTCTCCCTCCACAGGCAAGCAGCGCAAGAACCGACAAAAGACCCTGCGTGGTACGGCCAAGGTCAAGGGCGCCAAGGCCAAGAAGGAGAAATAAACGGATCGCTTTTTTTCGAACAAGGAAAAGGTGTTTGGTCATTTCGCGGACTGGGTTTGGCTCTCGGCATTGTATTTGGCTGGCATCTGTGCATTACATGGTGGTGGTTCCAAGCAACGGGCATGGACGTGAACACCACTCGGTCCGTACATACACTGGTCTCCGGTTTTCTCAATTTGCAGCTGGTAGACTCGGTTTCACATGAGGCGTTTCGGAATGAATTCGATGATTTCCTGCCATTTCTCGATAGCATATATGCCAGAAATGTATGTTCCCATGGTCAACTCGCTTGAGCTTTCCAAACTCCTGATACATGGATACGTGCCAGGACGTGGAGATGGGTTGTTGATTGACTCGTCATATGCGTCCATGGTTTTGCGCTTCCGGCAACAAGTCGATGAGAGTAAGGCATAATATTATCTTTCGTGCGTTCTGTAAGCCTTCATGTCACCCAAAAAGGCATTTCTCTCTGCTTCCACAGGCATTCATCTAAGGATATCCTCAACGACAGGTTCATCTTGTTATTCGCTACCGCAGCTATTCAAAACCGAGGTCGCACTTCTTCTGAATACTGAAAACGTGTTGGTTATCTCAAGAACGTACTCGTGTCTTATCCAAGGATTGTTACATTCCTCTCGACAGCTGCTCACCTTTTCTCCAGAGAGTCCTACATATCTATGCCTAATGTATTATGAACAACGGCGTGTCTTGTTTCGAATGATAGGAATACCACAGCTACAAACCGCCCATCCCGCAGCAGCAACAAAGGCTCGTGTTAGACGTTGTCAGCCACAATGACAGGTTCTACAGCGAATGCTTGGGCGAAGCTATTAGAAAATCTCAAGGAAACCAGCTGGGTTTGTTGGCTATCTTGTAAATGGCAAATGGCCAGCGGTGAGTCAAGGCAAATACCTCAAGAACACACACAACTGAGAAGCTAGTAGACAAACAAGTCCCCAGTTGTTATGACTCCTAGACTCCAGAACCCATCGGCTAAGACTCAATACTGTTCGATATGTATGACCATTTGCTCCTGGGATTTTTATGCTTGAGCGTCGGCCGCGAAGCAAGTTCATACCATTCAATCATCATTTCACTAGCTCTGATTCGCTGCAATGCGCCGTGGAGCTTATGCAGGGAGAAAGCTTGGCGGTGGAACACTGGCCTCCTGGCCACCCATTTTGAGGCCTTAGGTTCGAGCTGGCACCTTATCACCTACACACCTCCTAAAAGATGGGATCTTATACCCAACAACTTCTAGCTGTGTGACCAAAAACGCTTCTTGGGGCCAGGCTTATGTGCTAGTGCATGCATCGTAGGCATAAAATTGTAAGCATGCCGGGCGGAGGTGATTGGATCTGGACCACCGAAATTGCTTTGACGAGTCACGGCACTGCTTGCCGAATTCCATCATTGATATGCTTTCCCGGCGAAACTTGCGAAGATATAGGCAAGCCATGGAAACTCTGATGGCCAACTCTGGAGCCTTCGTTCTCGACACTTCTTTTCGGTTTGCCCTCTTGAGGCCTCTGCGTTCTTTGCTTGTTTTACAGCCGTGACTCCCACTGGTTTGGGCCTATATCTTTGTCAGTCATCGCCATTTCTTACATTCTTGTCCATAATTGGTACCCAGGCTGGTCCTTTCCATCTGAGATCGATAGACCCTGGGAAAGCAGAGGCGCGGGACCTTACACGAATCGCGCCAAGAGGAAACCTGTGCGACATCTGCAAAAATGAGGTCCATGGTGACATATCTCATCATACTCGGTGCAGCCCTGGTACATGCGAGTCCCTTCACAGCCATGTCACCCAGCCCGAGCAAAGATACATTGTCTCTTCAGGCCATACCGACATTCCGAGGAACTGGCCTCCACCACCCGACACCAGTGGCGTCACTCACAAGACCGACGGGATCCGGCTGCCAGAGGAACACGACGACAAAATACACGCTCCCCGTCCCAAAGGTGACGCCTCCCCCAGCAGCCGGCGGCGTCTTCTTCGAGCCTGAAAGCGAAACAGCGGTCGCAGAAGTGGGTGCAAAATTCAGGCAGACGACTTATTACACATGCGTGACTTGGCCGTCTACAGTGCATTGCGGCTGGCATGAGCCCATCTTGGATGCCAGTATGAACGCAGCGTGGAGTGGGTATGGTAGCAGAAAAGCCGCCGCCTGGGGTACGATGGCTGCCATTGCGGCGTTAGCGGTCGTAATGGGGACATGATTCACGTGCGGCTGCACAAGGAATGCGGTAGCTGGGCTGCCATGTCGACCAACATGAAGTTCTGAATACTATGATAGGATATTGGAAGGGGCCGTTGTAACGATGGTAGATACTTTGAGAGTAAAGGCGCCCTGGCATTGGGTCAGCACTTGGAGGAGAAAGTAACTAGCCCTGCTCCATACATGAAAGTACATCATGTATAGTTCAAGTTGAGAGAATATTGTTTGATACTTTTCTAGCCAATACACAAGTATACACGGCACTGGTGATGCTGATCATGGCATCTGCTGTGAAGATGCCACCCGTAATACTTACGCCGGGTACCCAGAATGGGGTACTCTGCGCATTCCCCCCCCCCCCCCCCCCCCCCAAGCACTTTCTCGAATCCAGCAGCATTCAAGGCATTTCCGGACTCGGTCTTCTTGCGTAGAACATACCCTTGCGGGTCCGTGGCGAGGCTATTGCTTTCTTTACCCCGATGATCTGGCGCGGATATGTACCACATCGGCAGCAGTGTCATGGCGGGCATCAGAATCAGTGGTCAACTGACCACCCGGCACGGCTGAGCGGCTGGTCCGTCCATTATCTTCCAAAAGCCATGCCGGAAAGTCGTTCATGTTTTCGAAAAAAGCGTCAAGATTTATCGAGGAGGATCTTCTGGTTGAGAGAGATGCTCAATCTCGTGTGATCCCCCTCTAATTAAACGAATTAATATCTATAAATGTGTGGTTCCGGCATATTTGTAGTTGCTAAATTTCTTGTAACCTTGTTCGCAACGTTGGGAAAACCTAGATCCTCGCAATGCTCTCATTCATAACATGTTAGTGGTACTCTCTGCCCTCCTTGGATATTGCGTGTGTTCTCAGACGGCGTAGGAGACTGCGTAGGTTTACCGCTAGGGGGGAGGGGGGAGGCCGGGGGCGGAATTTAAATGATAACGGGTCTGGGGTTTCGACGAATGGCTAGACTAGGTATGCAAAGTACTTGTAGGCCTGGATACGGCGCTGAAGTTGTAGCAATAGTTGAGAAACTGCAAGGGGAGTATACGGATCCGTATAACTACGTCCTCGATGCAATGCATCGGAGATAAGACGACCTTCGGTCTCGTGACGGTAGTTGGGGGTGCCTTACCCCTGGATCCCTCTTCGCGCATCCTTAGCGTCGTGGTTCGGTTTAGATGTTATGCTGACCGCTCCGGGTGGGCCATGGGGGGCCTTTTAAATGGGAACATTGAGGCCTAATTGTATGGAGATTTGAGCTCGTAATGATTCGAGAACTCGGATGCTACATGTGTCGCATCTTGGCCCTTGGTATTCGCATTTTTCAGGTGTCAACTCGTCAGACTCTCTAGAGGCAGTCTCGTAGCCGTGTGGACTTTTCGAGGAATGGAAATATTGGCGTGTTCAGCGTTGTCTGAATGGATCAGCAATATCCCGAATGATTCAAGACAGGGGGAGGGGGCGCAATCACAAACCGCTCTGCGCCAATGTGAGGCCAGCCTGTGCGCTAAGACGTAGAAGCTCTTAGGGCGTTTCGGGGGGACGTGCTCGCTAGAGTTGCAGCAGGGCCAAGAGGCTTGCAGCAGAACCAGGGCAGACAGGGAGTGGTCAGGGGCGCTAAACTCGCTACGTGCAAGCTGCAAGGTCCCTGATGCGACGATCTTTATTCCGCATACCAAAATGTTCCGGGTTGACAGAAGTTTCTCTGCGACACTCGGCTACGGCTGCGGGAGATTAAAATACAGTTTGATTCGAGGAGCTTTTCGGATCATGTCTTGTCACCCTTAGGTGTGCTTACCACACGCTTTGTACTTATCATTGAGACTGGGTTCGGCAGTAGTCGACATGGCACTTGTGCTGTAGCATGAAGCACGCATGACCGAAACCAAACAAAGTGACTGCGTCGTGTCCACGAGAAGGGCGAACGCGACCGTAAATGTAACATGACGGTCGGGTCTCTCTTTGCACATGGTACCTGAATGACCACACTAACCGACACTACGATACATGCTGGGCTGGCAAGTCAGTCGGTAGCGCTATCTTCAGGTACCTGTTCCCTGCGTAGCCCACCAACTAAAAGTCAGCCAACGGCTGCAATCTGCTCCAATCTGCTCCAATCTCTCCTGTCGCTGCATTTGGTTCCCGCCCGATATCCAAATCAAAATCATTGGAACATTACAGCAAGTCAACAAACTTGAACCCGCTTGAGCCCACTACTTTTTATACACCCTGTCGTTGTCAACTTGAACCCGGGGCTTTGGAATCCCTTTTTTTCCTTTTTCACCAACCGCCAACTGGCCCTACAACAACACGCATTCAGTTCTCGGTACCAACTCCGCCATTCCCGGTTTCGACGACGAGACCGTCCATTCTTTCTAACCAGGCTGTGCTGTGCTGTGCTGTCCAAGGAGTGGTACAATTGAGCGCCGACCGTCCTTGCTTCCTCTTCCGCCGACAAGGAGAAACATCGTATCCCAACAACCAACTTCGACCATCACCACGAATCACGGCAACGCGCCGAACTAGGTCAACCCGCCAAGATGGGTGGTCAATTCAGCAAAATGATGGGCAAGATCTTCGGATCAAAGGAGATGCGACTTCTCATGTTGGGACTTGACGCCGCCGGAAAGACGACTATTCTCTACAAGCTCAAGCTCGGTCAGGGCGTGACTACCATTCCCACGGTCGGGTTCAACGTCGAGACGGTTACATACAAGAATGTCAAGTTCAATGTTTGGGATGTCGGTGGCCAGGACAAGATCAGACCTCTTTGGAGACATTACTTCAGCGGTAAGTCAAGTTATGTAACTGCTGCTTGCTTTTCAAGCGCGCGGATGCCATGCCACGCCACGCGACATGCAACAGGGACGTACGGCGGGGAACTTCTGATGCCTCGTCAAGCAGGTCTCACACTCTACTGCTGAAGAGAGAGTGGGACCGCACATGGCACATCCGAGCATATCCCCGCCGGCCTCGGCACGCGACCTGCCCCTATAGCCCATGGATATTAGTACAGCGATAGCAGTGTCGCGGAAACAACCGCTGACAGCTCTCTCTCACGCAGGCACACAGGGTCTCATCTTCGTCATCGACTCCTCGGATAAGGCAAGGATGGAAGAGGCTCGGCAAGAACTCCACCGCATCATCAACGACCGAGAAATGAAGGACAGCTTACTACTGGTGTTCGCGAACAAGCAGGATATCAGAGACGGTAAGTCGAACCCTCCTCCGTTTGTCGTGTTTCCAAGTTGCGCGCCCATACTGATTACCCTTCAACAGCCATGACGCCAGAAGAAGTACAGAAGGCTCTCGAACTCGGCAAGCTCAAGGACAAGATCTGGAACGTCATGCCATCCTGCGCCACCACCGGAGATGGCCTCATCGAGGGGCTGGCCTGGCTCTCCAACAACGTCAAGGCCTCCCCTGCGCCGGCCAAGAAATAGGATACCCTGGTTGCCTGAGACGCAAACCCGGAGAAGAGTATCGCCGAGTACGAGCTGGGCTCATCTCAACAAATCTTCCAACGAATTCAACCTAATAATATCCGAAAGGACAACCGATGATAACACAAAGAGGGGAAGTTATTGGCTCCAGACCCCAAGGAGAAGGAGAAAACCTCGTTGATACCCAAGATATTGATCGCTGAGCACAACAAGTTGGATTATGTGCTGATGCTGATGGCGGACGATGGATGACCTTATATACTGCTCTTTACATCTTTCCTTGCCATTGTACTTGTCATGAGGTTGCACCCGGTCCCTGTCATCTACCTTGTGCTATATTCTCCGAGGTGGCACGACTGACAGATTCGCCAGGGAGCTTAGCGAGCGACAGGATAGGAGGCGGACTGAGTTGTACTATAATGTTTGTAATACGGGCTGTTGGTGCAGGCCCCCTTTTGTTATGCACTATGGACGAGATGAATGGGACGCAAGTGGCTCGACTTTTGACGTTCTTTTTGTTGATACTTCGCAGAACTCAAGTTCATGCAGCATCGTCGAAATCGCATATCTGGGTTACATCTGTCAATTCCCCGCCCGTTTATCAGGTTATCTCAAACCATGACTACTCCTACATGTTGCCATTTATGACTCTTTCTGTCCTGCCTTCTGTGCAGGCAGCATGAGCCGCACGCCTGACCCTGACCCTGACCCTGATCCAAGACGCCAGGGACTTGGCGTTTTTACTGAGGTACAATCCATACCCTGCATCTCAGAGTTCGATGATTAAAGGCGTGGAATCAAGGCCAGCAAATCCTAAGTATTCTCGCTAGGCTGTCCTACGTCAGTATCCAGGCGTACTACCAGTGCAATTACTGACGATAGTTCAGTACTGAAGACAGTCAGGACAAAGCATGGGTATTGGACGATGCCAGAGACCATGTTCGGCAGAGTGCAATGGTATCTTTCACTGGTAGCAAGCTGGGTCCGCCATGATTAAACCAACTGTTTCATCAGTCTATCCAGTTCGGTCCTTAGATCTTGCAGCCACTTCGAGTACTGGTGCATTGTGTCTACGGTCAGCAAGTATGTCTCTTCTGAGAGCCACCCACAGCACTCGGTGTAAGAACTCACCCAGTACCATCAGCCATTGACACAAATGTTGTGAGGGAGGACATGTTCTAGTGCCAGACACTTACCCAGTAAGCTATATAGACAGACTTTGGTTGTTCTTATTCCGACCCCGACCTTCACCCCGACCCTTTGTAGCCTCGGCTAGGCTGTTGCCTAGCCTGAATTTTGGACGTGCTAGAACTGCGTAAATATGTCCCCGATCATCCTTTTGACGTAAGACAGGTCGGGCTGTGTGATACGAGCTGTCCTCGGGGCAGAACAGGAAGGCCGTTCACAAGGGCCGTGTACGCTTCTCCCCACATGGACTTCACCTGGTGCCTGCCATATGCCACGTTGTGCACCGACGCTATGTCGACAGGACTGTTCGGAACAACGCGATTGGTAAGCAAATACTATGATATGCGAATCAAACATCCGAGTGTGCTGACTTCACACTATATATTATTTTTCTACAGCTTCTTCGAAGAGGCCCCAGAGCTTCGACGTGGTGGAGGCATGTTAATAAGTAGGTCCTTACGCGCCAGTTGCAAGGCTTGAGGAGCAGCTCGCTTGATATCGTTCTTGAACTCTAGAAGTCTCATTTCCTGTTTACCTAATTTATCGTAGAGAGCCGGGTTCTGCTTTTGAGAGGTTTGAGATTGAATACAGCGCTGCGCATCAATCGTGGCAATGTGGTTATCTGAGATCTCAGATTGAATCTCCTGTCGCAGCTCTAACTTCGTTCAGGCGAGACATTCGTTCCGGACCTCGCTCTCAAACTGCGCTCTCAATACCGCCTAGGCATTAATGAGTGAGGCATTCCCCGCGGACATCCCGTTCAACCTGAGCTGTCAATTCAGCCGTGGCTTGGGCCATGCACTCATCTCGTATCTCTTTTGTAAGTTAGATCTTGATCCCCTCCCTGACTCTGGTAAGACATTCTTCTCGAACCTCCAGCTCAACCTGGCCTCCCAAGTCGTCCCTGAGAACGGTGAATCAGGGTCACTCATCACATCCTTGCTCTCAAGCCACTGCGGAGAGAAGATGCCAGTCTTCAGCTTTGAGATGTTTGTGGGAAACCCGTCCATGACCTTTCTCCGAAACGAAACCCCTAGGGCTGAGGATATTGCCAGATCAAGTCACAATATCTTTTTAGCAGAGTGGAAACCTTATCTGAAACGACCAACCATTTATGGCCGTGTTGAAAGCTGCTCCATGACTCGTACAGTATGAATCGCTTCAGGCTTGGCCGAAGAGGGTATTTATCGACCAGCTTCAATTCTTTTCCTGGCAGCATCCTGATTTAGTGACCTAGATCTCTTGATCACTTCTGAATATATGGCTGCGAAGGTGAATCAGCCATAAAAGTCCAGGGTCACAAGCCAGTCACTGCCAAGTAGTCAGCGTGAAATACCAGGTTCTGGTGTTGGCTTTGGTAACTGCAAGCTCTTGCTATTTCTCCTAATTCATTATCACGATCAGAGAATAACCTGACATAGCTGTCATGAGGGAACTGTTAAGGCAAGTGCAATCTTTGTAGCTACTTTCGATAACATGAATTGCCTCGTTCATCGTCTAGGAGAATGGTGAAGAACTAGATACAGTTTCTGGGATTACCTTCCTACATCACTCTGTCAATTAATCATGCCAATGATAGAACATAAAATGTCACCTCTACCTCTTCTCAAGCCCCACCCACCAAATTTGCTTGCTTTTCAACCTAATCAAGCAGTCATAACACAACTGATGAGGATCACACATGAGGCCTATAACTTAATCCCACCATAACATAACGTTATCTAGACCGATATACCAGCATGAAGAGTGAGGTGAATAGACAGGTGTGCCTTCACGAGGTGTGGTAAATATGAGCGACTTGTATAAATATAAGTGTTTTACAGTAAACCTCTTCCAGAAGCCAGCATTTCATCCCACGGTAATCAGTGCATGATAGTATAAATAACTACGTGCTACAAAGCCATCTCCTTTTGAGCCTTGCCGTATATAAATGACTACGAGGGATGTTATAGAGAGCCCACCATTACTACAATAGGCACATGACCGCGGACCAACTTCAAAGTTGCAACACCATTCAAGCCTCCTTGACCCTCTTCACCGGCCTCACGAGACTATCGTCCGGTAGCCCGCTTCGTTTCGTACCTGGTAATGACGATGTTCTGATATCATTGTCGTCCTGGCTAACTCTGCGCATTGGGTATGACGTCTTGATTCCCTCGAAGCAGTTGTTACTCACTTTGTCGCCGGTAGTGAAGAAAGGGTGGTGTAGTGCTTGTTGAGCGGTAAGTCGCTTCTCAGGATCGTATTCAAGCAGCCCAGAAAGTAGCTTATAGCCTTCCGCCCCCAAGGAAGCCAGACCACCATTGGAGCTCGGCGAAGATGTGGTGGATTGACCGTTGATCGTTGCGTAGTACCATTTCTCCAGATGTGACGTTGATGCTGATGAATTATTATGGTGTCGTGAACCAGGAGGCTGCAGCATCGGTGGTTGTAAAGTATTCAAAGCTGTATATTCTGGCATGCTTGTGAGGAACGGCCAGCGTTCCTTGGTTGGCAAGCCCATAATATCGACGATCTTCTGCATTTGATTCCGCTGAAATGGGACCGTCTTCTTCGAGTCCATCTTGGCCTCCTCTCCTTTGAATATTGGCCGCAGCGACAGCAGTTCGGCCATGATGCACCCGACGGCCCACATGTCGATGGCAGGTGTGTATTGCCGGCTTCCCAGCAGGAGTTCTGGCGCGCGGTACCATATGGTGACGACGACCTTGTCGCCGCTGAAAAGATTATGTAAAGGCTTATAAAATAGTCTTGCAAGACCGAGATCACCAATCTTGACTTGACCTGCGGACGTGACCATGATATTGGCCGGTTTCAAGTCGCGATGCAACACCCAGTTGTTGTGGAGATACTGGCAGCCGTTGAGCAATTGAAACATGATACTCTTGACTGTTGCCGGCGGTATGGAATGTCTTGGGTTCTGCGTATGGTGATGTATGATCTGAAGTAAGTCGTGTTCGGCATATTCGAACACCATGAAGATGCACTTGTCCTCGAGGATGATTTCCACAAGACGAATAACATTTGTGTTATCCAGTTCCGAGCAGAGAGCCATTTCGCGAATCGCCGACTGAGAGATTCCCGTGTACTGGATCTGTTCTCCCTCTTTGTCAGGTTTGAATTTCTTGATCGCAAACTCGCCGGGCTGGCCCTGGCGACCGACGGCTTTGTACACTCGTCCATAAGTACCACTGCTGATGAAACCAATGACTTTGTACTTGTCCACAACCCTAACTTTGGATTGATATGGTTCACTTCCTCGATCTGCGGGATCTACGGATGAATGTCAGCTTAACGGCTCCCCTGAGTATAAGTGAAATGAAGAAATGCTGACGGTGACGTGGAGGTGCGCGTAGAGAGACGATAGGCTCGCAAGGGTAGACCCGTCGAGGAGCGATTGGCCAGTCTCGATAAAAAGTAAGAGGATACGATATAAACAAGTCATCTTCCATCGTGGCGAAAGAAAGTTCTCCAACAGCACCAAATCGACAGATACAGCACATGTGAAGGAGCAAGGAGGCGGTGGACAAAGTGGAAGGTGAGAGCTGAGACGACCTGGGACCATGAGGTACAGGCTACTTGGCCCCCAACACGAATCTCAATACAGGGAAAGGGCGAGAGCATGTACCTTCAAAAGCAGACTGAACACTCCTCTTCAGGCCTTGGTTCCTTCCCGAGACAGAGCCGGGACCAGAAGCTCCCGTTGGCGGGTTTGTGAGGCTCATCCTGACCAGCGGCAGGCGGGTCCGGAAGGTGAGCCGGAAGGCAAGCCGGCAGATACGCGGAGAGGGGAAAATTAAACAATTACAACCAGCCGGGCTCACCACCGCCTCATCAGAGGTGGTGCTTGAGAAACCAAACTTGATGAGAAGCCGGTAGCCAAAGACTTGCGATATTGCAAGTCTGAACTTGCTCTGTCAATGATTGCGATACGACAGATCCTGGTCGATATCCGAAAGGTTACGAGTCAGTGGGGACTTGAATGTACCTCTTCGGCGACGTGGAACTGACGAGTACTGAGAGCTACAATGAGGGGCGCGCCTCAGGAGATTAGGTGACGTATAACGAACGCCTGGGACGAGAAATCATACAGGCAAAACAGAGTATGCGTTAGCCAAAGTAAAGGCAGCTATGCACCACAAACGGACATGAGTTTGGTAGAGAGTATGAGAACAGAGGTTCAGGTGGTCCAAAGCCAAAGTGTGGCTAGTGGATGACATGTGGCGTGACGCCAGTCGTTTAGGGGGCAACTCGACTCCCGTTCAGTGGATTCATGAGAATGCGGTCAATTCATATTGACAGACGCGTTCAGATCGAACACCGCATCGTGAAGTTAATTGAAACTCAGTCCGAGTCTTGTGTAAATTTTTTTTTCCCCCTCTCGATTGTGAATGCTGCAAACTCCTTGCAAAAGATAATGCTTCTACCCTGCCATCTGCTGGCTGCCAGTGGCTGCTCTATCGCGGACCCAACTTCTCCAGCACTCTTGTGCCTTCTTCCTCCCACTCCTGCTTGGTGATCCACATGCTCTCCTTGTCGGCCATGATATTCGCCAACACTGCGCCTCCCAAGAAAACCATGTGCCTGCGCCTGGGAGGATCCTCTATCCTGACCTTGAACTTGTTGAGGCGCTCGGGGTTACCACCCAGCACGCGTGTCAGCCAGAGCTGCTTCAGCTCCTTCTCCAATCTGCTTGGCAACCCGGGGTACATGCTGCTTCCACCAGAGAGAACAATTGCCTTGAACAGTGAAGATCGCACATCGACATCGGCGGCCTGAATGGTGTTGAAGAGGAACTCGGCAATGCCAGGCTGTTCGCAGTCGACCAGGTGAGGCTGGAAAAGACACTCTGGCGCCTCGAAACGCTCACTTCCTACACGAATGACACGTCCGTCGGGCAGGGTGTAGCTCTCGACCAAGACGGTGGTATCTTCACTGAGACGCTTGTCCAGCTCCAGGTCGTAGGATACGTAGCAGAGCTTCTCCTTGATCTGTCGGACAGTTTCGAAGTCGGCGGTTCGGTTGAGGGCATAGCCACGTCGCAAGAGCAAAGCGATGAGGTTGCGCGTGACATCTCGCCCGGCAACGTCCAGTCGCCGTGTCAGGTGGTTCAGCACCACGGACTCGTAGACGGGAACAATATGTGTGACACCATCTCCAGAGTCGACAACCACTCCGGAACTCAGACCTAGAGTGAGAACACATTCGATTAGCTTGCTCCTCGTGGCCCAGCGCCGTTTCAAGTTCTGCCCGTGTTCTGTTGTTTCCCCTTCGTGGCGGCAGCAAAGACGTTGGCGGTTTGGTGCCACATACCTTGAGCGTAGAGGGCCAGGACAGCCTGGATGGCGACGTATACACCGCCAAAAGCATAGCGCTCAAACATGACCTCGCACATCTGCTCCCTGTTCTTGAGTGGGTTCATGGGAGGCTCGGTGAGGAGAATCTTGCGCCCTCTCGGATCGACCTGCATCTTCTCGAAGAAGGTGTAGTCCCAGAGGTGCTGCATGTCGTCCCACTTCTTGACGATACCGTTCTCCATGGGGTAGCTGATCTGGAGCATGGTTCTGGCGTCGGCAGCATCCTGACCGCACATGATATCCTTTATTACTACGTCATTGTCGACACCCTTCTCTTCGGATCGCAGGATGGGTCGGCCGACGATGGAGGGGAACTGGAACTCGGGGAAGTTCTGGGCGGCGTATCCGACTTTGAGGAAACCTGTTCCGCCATCGAGAACTGGGAGATATCTTGATTAGAGCTGCGCGACAGCGGCAGAGGACAAGAGTCAGGAGTCAGGAGGCAGCGTGGCAGGGCCATACCAATGGGAGCTTCCGACATGATGACAGACAGACAGCCCGTAGAGCAGAGATGGACCGAGAAGCGGTAAGAAGTGTGTTGGATGTTTGCCGAGTGACTCTAGAGGGAGGAATGCCGGCCTCTTTGCAATGTTGGCTATGGACCAGGCAGCTCGAATTGGGCCACTTGATTGCTGGGGGGTTTGAACTAGCAGCAACAGCAGCAGTAACGGCAGCAGTGGTAGCAGTTGTTGGAATGAGCTGGCGGGGTCGGCGATTGGAGTTCGGATCGCTGCTTGATTGGGCTTTGGCCGCAGGCTTCTAAGGTTAGGACCGTCACTATTAGTTGTAACACCGCTGAATGGTTTGGTTGCACAGCCACATTTTGGTTGTTCGCTTCTGTGCTTGTGCCCCGCCATCAACCGCCTTCAGTGGAATTATAGCGCTGTCTGTTGATTTGGTCAGGCTGCTCAACTGTATCGGAACTGTCATTGCTTCACAAGGACGACATCTGTATGACAAAAGCATCTGCGTCCTAATAACTACTACCTGTCCCATCGGGGCCCATCGGGTAAGGATTGATACACCTGCAGGCTTTGTGTTCCATCCTTACCATGTCGAGGTGACAACTGACTCTGGAACCTGGTGAGCCTGATTGAGGGGGCCAAGATGACCGACCTCGTCAACTCAATTGGTATCCCAAGTTATCTTCGGAGAAGTCGCTGTTGTCTGCACAACTGCTCAATCTGTATTACGCCCGCCGTAACTCCGTCAACTACATTCAAAACCTTTCCAGCAAACTCCTCACCCATCTCCTCAGCGGCACCCCTACGGATCTGACTCTCCATGCCCGCCATTCCCGCACAGCCCATGACCACCGTCGTGACCTTGCCCTTCCGCAGGAGTCTTCCAGTAGCCTCTCTGATCTTCTGGTTCACCACATCTGGACTAACACCATGATGGAAATCCGACGCGTTCAACCCTGTAGATTCAACACCGGCGAACTTTGCATTCGAGTCTGTTTCACCAGCTCCTAGGAAATGTTGAACCCCATCGCTGAGGTGCTTCTCCCAGAATTTCCCTGTCGTGACCACGCCCCATTTCTCGTCGGGCTTGAGAAGCGGCAAGGCAGTCAGGATGCTGGCTTCGAAGATGCCCGTAGCGACTCCGGACGTGCCAGTCAGCTGCTGGAGTTCTCCTACGAGCGGATGGACGCTGAAACATGCGATCAGGATGCCCTCAAACTTCCCTGATTCAATGTAGCGCCACGCATCAGCTTTCACGGCCTCGACGCTGGAGGCTATGTCCTCTCCATTGTTGATGCTGGCCGGCGCATTCGAAGGTGCTGTGTAGAAATGTAAATCGGTATTCTATTGTGGGTTTAGTACGTCTTTATTAGTATACAGGCAGACCCGTACCTCTGGTAGATATATAGCCTTGACCACTTTCTTCACTCCATCAGTCATAGACTGGGAGGAGTTGGGGTTCAGCACAAGAATCTTGGTCATTTTGGGGACAAAATTTCACAAAAGAGATGAGTAAATTTGGAAGAAGAAAACCAACGAAATAATCACTCCCTCTTGGGTATCGAGAAATGGGACGCAGAGTATTTCGTTACGATCATATTGACAACGAGAGTATTAGTGTGGTGAAAGTGGAGGATGTGGAGGATGTGGAGGCGGAGGTCAAATGACCCCAACAAGTGGTGGCAACCTCCCACACTCATGTTCACGCGATACTCTTATGTAATAAGTTAAAACCAACATGCCATGCAATTATCCACACTAAATATACAGAGGGACATGTGGTTGCAAGATCCTTCTGATATTCGCCAAGCATGGAATATTTCAACCTTTGAGCTGATGGGTCGAATAATAATCTGTTTTGACAACCCGACCTGTCACATTGATGATCTGTTTTGATGTGTTAATCGCCGGTTTCAATTATTGGAAAGAAAACAAACCCATCACAGCATTTGTTCCCTTTATAACACCGAGTGGTAAAACAGCTATTAAACTGTAACAGCTTCGACCGGTATATGACACTTAGTCGCACACAAATCTACTTGGGGAAGAGAAGGATTGAGTACTCTTGGCAACGTTATTACCAATAACGTCATTTTATGGCGTACCTACGTTACACTTAGTTTTTTTTTCTTTTCATCACGAGTACCGGAGCCTATGCGAATAACATATGAGCGCTGCAAGGGAGGCACGTTAGAAGTAAGGAAGCCCAATTTGCGTACCTATACTGCCATCTCGCAGGAGATAGGCGTCCATGGTCAGTAGCATAGTTGATATAATTATACGACCTATACGCGAGGGTGATGATTTGGCAATTTATATGCATCTATGTGGTTTGGTAAGGCGCTTGAATACGATGACTGGCGATGTAGCCCTTTTCGACAATAATGGCCTGGGAATAGTCGGGTAACTCGTATCGTTCGGTTGAACTTTCGAGAAAGATAGTAAAACAAAATCGGGGTGTTAATTAGTTGCTAAGACTTAGTTTAGTCCCGAGAAACCCATATTTCCTTGCTGAGAATACCACTTGCTGTCTCTCGTCTTTGTTGAGGGCAATCTCGCGATGTATAGGCAACACTGAGAGCCATATTAAGCTTTATATATTACCTATTTCGGAAATATTACAAGGATACTGCTAGACAAGGATAGATCGTCTGTTCCCAACTCTAAGCAGGACTTCGGAAGCTATTTACTAAAGAATCTTGAGAAAATATGAGATACACGAGTTTGTCATTTGCCGCGCTGGCCGGGAGATTTACTGCCATGATGACCAACAGGCACGCAGTCTCTTTCTACATTGTCCTCACCTTGTATCTGGTTGGTTTCAAAAGAAACGACCGATCTCCTTTTCACAGATCCCTCGAGTCTTACAAGACTGGTCACCCGACTGAGGGAGATGGTAGCAGCCAAAGCAGCTCTACAAATGGTAGTGCTACCAATACGCTGTGGTGTGTGGTTCCGGGTAGTTCCCACAACGTCATCTCCGCTACTGTTGAGTTGGATGATATAGAGATCAATTTCTCCGAATCTATCTGTACCGAGGCCACTGGTTTGACAAATTTCTCACGGATAGTTTCATAGTCATTGGGTGGAACGTAAGACAGCTTTAGACCCTGCCAATCTCTAGTAGAATATATGCTACTCGATATCCCGCAACTGACGCTTTCGTGTTGCAGCAAGCCATCGAGGCTGCTCATATTCTGCTCAAGAACCTGGAGTGAGATCGGCCATGAGTATGTGCAGGGTACCGCTACAAACGATATCGGATTGCACAGAACTCCAGTTTGCATATCAGAAAAGAAGAGAAACGAGCAGTCGGGAGTCAACAGCGCCCTCCTCCCCGGTTTCGGTTGGCGGAGAACAAGATGAGGGTGAGAAAGTAGGCGAAGGTGATGCGAGAACGTTGCAAGGAGGAGCATTACTAATATGGTCCATATTTTCGCTGTGCCAGTTTTCACGTTGGCCTGGGTCTCATCTCTATGAGAACTGGGGCGGGACGAGACGGCATGTAGCTGCAAATACACCAAGGGAGTACTCACAACTTGAGGGCACCCTACAGGTCGAATGTTCCCGGTGACGGCATTTCTGGGAATAGTTCTTCATGTCGCTAGAGACAGCGCTGACCACTAGATCAGATTTCTGTTGTATTGAAGTATCGTATGCATCTAGGAAATTCATCTGTTGATTGGATATAGGTAAAGTATCAAGGTTCTAATCTACGCATCGATCAATCAAGACGGCGAGTTCGTCCCCAGACTTCGTCTGCATCCTTCTTACCATTGGTCTCTGGCACTCTCCACGTGATGAACAGGCCTGAGCAGACGGCTAGGGCTGTGAATATGAAGTAGACCCAGCCAGCGCCGCCCAGACGTTCGTTCAAAGCAGCGTTGACGATGGGAAAGAACTGTGCTACAAGGAATGTTGCAATATAGCTGGCGCCCAAGCCCCAACTCTGCGTTGCACCGACGGCTTTTTGACCAACGAGCTCGCTCGCCATCATGAACGGTACTGGGCCCAGGCCGACCGCAAAGAATGCGACAAAGGTCAACACAGCGATGGCACTGAGGATCTTGACACCGAACATAATCGATAAAGCCAGGCAGAGGGCGCTCGTGCCCTGACCTACAGTAGACAGCAACAAGCATGCCTTGCGTCCCAGCTTATCCGGCAGAGGTGAGCATGCGATAGTAACAACAAGGTTCATAGCCGAGATGATAAGCGTGAGCAGTGCGGAGCTGATAGGCAGGAGATCGGCGAGGAGGGACACAGAGTACATGATAATCGAGTTGATACCACATAGTTGTTGTGCAAACATCGTCCCGACGACAGCAATGATGGCAGGTCTTGTCTCAGGGTCGCGAACGACCTGGATAAAGCCAAGATGTTCACTGTCCTTGCCACCGTCCTTACCGGCGTTGGCGCCTGACCGGGAGGCTTGGATTTCGGCGTCGGCATCGTCTTCCAGTAGACCCTCTTCCTCAGGATTCTCCGCACCGGGGCTCCACGCAGCTACCTCTTCCTCAACGTCGTAGTCCTTACCGCGGATACGCTGAAGAATACGTCTGGCACGGGAAGCACTCTTGTTCGCTGCCAGCCAAGCGGGACTCTCGGGCACAAGGAAGAGACCAAAGCCGTGAGCACCGCCAATGATAGCGCCAGTGCCCAAGATCCATCGCCATGCCGAACCATAACTCAGGAAATATCCTAGAGTCTGGGCTGTGAGAATGCCGACGTTGATGCTGATCTGAGTCATAAAACCAAAGAATCCACGCTCCTTGGGCGGTGCGATCTCACTGATGTAGAGTGGCACAATGACGGTTGCGGCACCAGCTCCGGCACCGGACAGTATTCTACCGATAGCCAAGATCGAAATGGCGCTGGCTACAGCTTCGATAACAGAGCCAATGGCAAAGAAAACGCTTGTGATGCGCATCGCCAAAAGCCGCCCATAGGAAGAAGAGACGGGGCCAGCGCCGAGAGCTCCAATCAATCCGCCGACGGTGAAAGCGCTCGATACAATAGCGAATTGGACATTATCCATAGGTATACAGTCGAGGAGGTCTGAAGTAGGATGGACATGGTTCGATCGGGCAAATGCGGTGGTCACAGTTCGAGCCCATATGGACTTCTTCTGACAAGTAATGACATCTTGTGGTGCGTTCAGCTCGCCCTGTACACGGCAGAGTCAGCCAGATGTCGAGTTTCGACTGGCAGATGTGGGCAAAAGGAGAATTACCAGGTGAAAGCCGAATTGCAATGGCCCCAAGGTGCTGATAGCAATTAAGAGGATGAGATACGGCGAGACGTCTCGCGTGAATTGGCTTAGTCTAGAAGCCATCTTGGCATGCCCGACAAGAGTGCTTGATTGCGTTATACCCGTTGCTGTTCGCGCAGATAAAGAAGCAACTAGGTTAGTCTAGTCTGACCTAGGTACAAAGAATACGCTGTGAATTCAAGATAGAAGCATGATGTATGCTCGAGGAAGCCCAATGGTTATGATTTGGTGGGGTTGGATTCGTACTGGCGCAGCAGTATCGTCGTGTGCGCTGGATTATTGCCAGGGTAGGTGAGATTGGGGGGGGGGGATGTTGAGCTGATTATGTTATCCTGTCCTGTACGTACCGAGTGTTGCAGTCCGCTAACGTTACAAAGTAATATGTACATAAGTCGCAGGTGCTGCCAAGTCGGATGTACCCGAGACTCAACTGGGTACTGTGAACTTTGTTATTACATATCAGCTGCCCCGCCTTCTGGAACAGAGAATACCTACCTAACGGAAAAAATACATAGATATGCAGTGATCGGAGAGTTGATCATGTTTGATAGAGAGTGTCTCGTATATGCGCATATGGGGTTCGGTGCCTACTTGAATTGCTTACCACTCAATCCAGATGGACTGGTCATGGCCAGTGGAGTGAAATGGGCATCGCAAGGATATGTGATGAGCGCTGAGCTCGACATCGAGCATAATCTAAGCCACACAGCAGAGGAAATGAAGGGTACGGTATTTCACTAGATATTTAGAAAGAGTGGTTTTATATCTCGAAATTGTAGAAGACGTGCGGGTATCCCATGCTCGAAAGACCTTTTCCTCATCAGCCGTCTACACGCTTCACTCGGCTGTCTCGCTAGCAGGTCTACTTCCCTTCCATACTTCAGCTCGCTTCGACTCGTCCTCTAGTTCCTCCTCCTCATCCATACCAAACTTGGTCATGGCAAAGTCTGGCAATCGCTTTTGTTCCTTTCTCGAAGCACCGTTTCGGAGTTTCCATCTGCGCAACTTCTCCAGCTCATCGGTCGACCTCTGCTTCTCGGCCCTGGCGTCAAGCATGGTTCCTTCGATGCTGAGATAGCCGTAGTCTCCACTCACGCCAACCTCGAAATTCTTGATCTGAAATCGTACTGATCCCTTGACCCGCTGATTATCATCGTCTACCCAGTAGCCAGTGGTGTGTAATTGCGCCGTAGCATCTTGCCCGTCATCCTCGGCAGGTTCAGGAGTCGGCAACTTGGCTTCCTCGGAAATCCCTTTCGACCTCGAACTGCCGAGAAGGCTCACCCAGCGCCAGCCATTAGGAAGTCGTCCAGCCTCAATGGACGCATTGAACATACCCCAGCACACCACACCCAAATGTCCCTCGGTCTGCATGTTGACCGACCCTTCCATCCACGCGCCCCTTGACGGCTTGAAGAGATCAAGCTTGGCTGTCAACCAGCCAAAGCTCACGGCATATTCGTCTATTGATTCGAGCACAGCTTCGTCCGAGTTCTCGCTCTTTTCGGTCAATGAGCCCTTGCCCGGTGCCTCGCCAATCTGGACATTATGGTAGCCCAGAAGTACGCCCTCGAATGCTGGCACGTAGTGATTCAACAAAGGCTTGAGATGTTGATCGGCGTAGCCATCGAGCGGGTCGATCATGCCAAGCGGATATAAAGGCAAGTATTGCGACACTTGCTGTGTGAAGAACGGGTATGGCTGTTCGGGCAGTTTGCCGAACGGCTGGTGGGAATGCTTCGCTGAGGAGTTGTCAATCTCCATGGTATCGGCGTCAGCGTCAGCGTCGTCTTGAGTCGCGGGTTTAGCACTGGTCGCTTCCTTGTCTTTGCGGCGCTTCTCCTTCTTTTCCTTCTTCTGCTTCCTTGTCTCCTCGGCGTTGGCTTCTGGCGCAGCTAGCGACTCTGCCACTGCGTCGGTTGCTCCGTCCACCTCTTGGGACTCGTCTTGATCTTGGTGCTTCTTCTTGTCTTTCCTCTTCATCTTCTTCTCGGAAGCAGCCTCGGCGTCGGCTACTTCCAATGCTGCCTCGTCGGCAGCACCGTTGGTCGCCGTCATGTCGGTCATAGCGACATCCGCATTGGTCTCATCTGCCTCGGCGCCCAGCGATTGTCGCTTCTTCTTGCGCTTCTCGCTTCGGCGAGCCTTCCCACTCTTCTCGGTGGCATCGGCAGAGGTGGGCTCATCCGGAGCGACGTCTGTGGTTTCTGCAGCAGAGCCATCCAGAGGTGCCTCGCTCTTGGATCGCTTGTGCCGGGGTTCTTCTTCGGCCTGGGCCTCAGTGTCTCGGTGTCGCTTCTTAGACTTGTGCTCGTCCTTGTCCCGCTTGGACTTCTTGTCCTTTTTGTCCGACGCCATGACGCCCGATTGATTATGCGGCACAGTTAATGCTTTGGACTGAGTTGAGTTGAGTTGACTCGAGTTGAATTGAAAATGGGCTGTCCGCAAAAGACTCGAATTCGAATGCTGCTGATTTGGTGATCAGCGCCCTCTTCCAAAAATTTGGCAAAAGTTCAGCCGAAATCCCAAGTTTAAGAAAAAATTTAGTGGGGTGCTTTCAGTAGCTCAAATGCCCCCACACCCACTGATTGAGCTCTGCCAATGGCGGCACTCCAGCTCCGCTACCAATGGCTAACTTTTCTAGGCACCTTGATGTCTAAGTTACTCACTGCGCAAGCAGGCAATGTACCAGAGGTATGATCTCCGATCAGTACTGGCACATACGCAGTTAGAAGTGCGTAACATGTGCCGCTGCTATTACGGTCTTGTTATGCAGAGCGAATTTGGTTCGCATCTTCTGCTCGAAATGGCTAACAGGTGAATTTTAGTTCCCGGGCTTCCTCGCAGACGTGGGGCCATTGTATGTTTGCGTACTATAGCATCTCCATTGGTGTTCGTTCGACCAGACTACCTCCGTGCCGAAAAGTCCCTACAGGCTTTGGCATAGTTCCTAGGATGTTTGATCTACAGCCGAATCATCTTGACCGACATTCCGCACTTCCATGCTTGGTCTAGAAACCCTCGCCTCTGACAGCCCTTCCAACTACAGCGCTCAATGGTTCCAGGTCGTCTGGCTTTACACCAAGACTCTCGTTGTCCGTCTTTGTATACAGGGTCTTTCCGTCCGACCAGATTCTTCTCAGGGTGTACAGCGTAGCTGAAGGATTACCCTCGGCCCAGAGCTTTTGTTCCGTTTGCTTCAGCCCGTCCTTTGACGTATACTTGACGTCGAACTTGGAGCCTGTTTGCTTCTCGAACTCGGCCAGAACCTCCTTCGCTGTCACCACGAATGACTGAACCTTCAGGGCCTTGTTCTGGGCCGTTTGTGGGTTTGCAAGTGCAGCGACCACAAACTTTCCAACACTACATGTTTCTTGTCAGCAAGCTCTCATCCGTTTGACTCGCGGTGTTGAGATCAAACAACTCACTCTGGCATCGTCGTGAACCCGATCCTATCGTCGCCATCTCCGACCAGCACAGCTTCCTTGTTCTTGGCATCGTAACCGCCAGCCGACTCAAAACCAGGCTTGTAATCAAGGAACATGTCTGCATAGGGACCAGTCACAACATACGTAACTTTGACCCTCTTGATGTGTTCCCTGATGAACGCGCGTACTCTGAGCTTGTTCTGGTGCGGCTTCTCATCTTTGCTCGTCTCATCATATTCGATATCCGTGCCGTACTCACTGGGGAAGAACCACTGCACACTTCTGCTCTCCTCAGCAAGTCTCAGCAACTTGATCTGTTCTAGCAGTCCGCCTCGGCCGAGAGCGGAGATAACGGTGTCGACGTCCTTGTAAGCATTGCGCACATCGTCGGTATTATTGATGTCACCAGTAATGATCTTTAACCCTTTCGACTTCCATGATAACAATAGCGGCTCTTTTGCTGGATTTGATACTGTCGCTGGCGATGTGAGGATGGAGACCTGCGAGAGACTGCTGATAGACTTGGAGGTAAGAATCGCATTTGTGATGTATCTGCCAATAACGCCCGTGGCGCCGATGATAAGCAGCTTAGATGGGACTGTGGCGGCCATGATGATACAAGAGGAAACCCAACTCTAGCCTTTTCGTAAAATTTTGTTGACCTCGAGCTATCGAATTTTTCAAGCTGATTGAGACTGAATACTTGACCTCCTTGCGAGTGCGAGAGACATCTGCGAGCATCTCATGGCTCAATGTCCGGTCGGCTGCGGGGCATCCGGCCCAATGTAAATGTCGCGATGCGGGGTAACTCTTACTCGAAATGGGTCTCAAGGGCGTGCAATACTTGTGACAGATTAGAAGGGCACATCAAAATGTGCGTTGCCCATATTTGGCGTGTGAGACTCTGGGATCATGTGCAAAATTCAGCAGTTGTGATGACAAATGATGCCAATGTAGTGCTACCATGGCAGAGCAATGACCATAATCGCAACCGATTGAGATTCAATACCACCACCGCCTCGTCTGATATAGTTCAGACCATGGGGCGAAAGAATCCATCCTCTCCTGCAAAATTAATGCAATTTGTGCTCACCGTATTTGCATATTCCATTCAAGAGAGGAGTCTCCTCAGTCGCCTTCTCAGTCCGCACCATGTTCTTACCAATTCCCAAAACTGTGTATCGGCTTGTTCTTGGCAAACTATTCCTCGGCCCGACCGGACTAATATGGTTACAATGCATTATACCTTGCTTGCTACTTGACTGAGTGATGCAAGATCACGCGGTACCCTGTTATGATAATATTGGAAGCGGTAAAGCTTGAATGCAAGACGTTTTGCCAAGAATGCTTGATTTCGCCCGTTGACTAGACAGTTCCCGACTTTTTATAGTACAACGTCCGCGATAATCTCTTATACACATGCCTCCAAGCTTGCCGTTCTTTTCCTTTACTCCCCATCCTCGAAAACATTTGTCATTAGACCAGGACAGAGTTCATTTGGTTTATCAGTGCTCGCTGCATAGCATATGCTTCGACAAGGCACGACCCTCTTGGAAACGCAGCACTCGAGGGGGTCAAGATTATGACTAAGCAGCGAATGTATAAGTGCCGTTCTCACCAGAATCATGCGGAACGATAAGCCTTCCTTGCCTTGTTGACTTCAAACATAGTGATTGATTTGACTGCCGATACCTGGGTTGCAACTAGGTTCAAGCAGGACTTGCCTGCCCTCAAAGCTTGCTGTGTACGATATCGAAGAGCGATATAATCTCAACAGCCACCACAATTGGAAATAAATGGCCCATCGTGAATACTGAGCGGCCTGGCTATGACTAGGCGACAATGGCGCATGTTACGGCGAGAGCACGTCAAGTGAACTCCATCTCCGCCGGGTTCGTAATTCAATATTTGACTGACAGCCATGGTAGATTTGTGCTAGCAACATATGAGAAGAGTCGAAGTAGGTAAATTGTAAGTTCTATGTTATCGAAGCTGGAATTGAGCCGACTTGGCCGTTGGTTTTAATGTCTAATGATGTATACGCACAAGATTATACCAGCAATCCGCGGAAGCCATCGACCACTTTGGGCCCCAGCAGAGCTTCTGGCGTTACCAAGTACCGGGCACAGTCCTTTTGATCATGGCCCAGACGAGCCAAGAATGTTCCATTCCCAGTACGTTATTCCACCTATCGTTGTTACCATTAATAGACTAGGTTAGTCGGCCCTAGGTTTTGTCACGCGCCGCTAGCTGTCTGGAGAAGCCAATCCGCTACCGAAAACGTTTGTTCTTTCCAGTCGTCTTTATCTTTCAACTTATCATATCAAACAGCATGGGCGGCGGTAGCAAGAAAACCGACACGCACACATTTAACAGATTGCTGTCGCTGACACTCATATCTGGAATGAAATAAGTAATTGACTAGAGCTGCCACACTGCCTCTTATACGCACTAGCATCTGTCGACATCTGTTGACAACACACGAGAGCGCAAGGCGCAAAACATCGATTTTAGATTTGATCCGAACTCAGCTTCTACATTGATCAACGAATCGGAGAGCTATTTCAGCTGTGAGCTATTCACTATAACGAGTGCATAAATATTGGAGACTTGGCATACCAAAGTAACATCGAATGGTGCGCTACGCGATTTAGCCATTGTGCCCTTGCCAACCTACCCACCACTGTCACGACTGTATCTAGGGTTAGAATATCTGCGTTTGCGAGCAAAGAGGTCGAATAGAAAACCTGCTCTCAATGACCAAATTCTTCTCGTATCATTGGCTACGTTCACAACTAATGATCGACCTTATCGCAAGCGACGATCGGTTATACGACGGAGCCGACATCACCTGATGCTGTCTTTAAGCGAGCTCAAGATCCGGAAATTCCTTCTCGTTCTATCAGATCTCTTTTGTGGTAGAATGTCAGTTCAATATATGGTCTAATGAGAGCTAGAAATTAGTACCACGGGTACATATCTCGAGTAGCCTTTTTGGTCTTACGACGACGCCCCAAATAGGAAGGTGCATTGCCGTCAATTGACGGCGAATTAGCAAATGTTTGCAGTAGTGCGATGATGAGAAATGGCCAAGCGGGGTTTGCAGTGCGATGGCGAGGATGGGTTGCAACCGTCTTGTAGAAATCATGTCGATGGCCTTTTATCCAGGGTTGCAAGGCCGTGATTTGTTGGCTCCGTCTTCGAAAGAGGGGCTGATTGCGTGACACCCTGTCAGCCACCTGCGATTGTAATGTATGTTTCGGGAAGGCGAAGCATAGCTGAGCACCTAGAAACCTCGGAACTAGGAATTTGTGGGTTCGAATAGATAAATCATCTGTATAAAGTTCAGCCCAAGTCGCCAAGCTTCCGCCAAGTTGTTGCCAAGTTTGTCATCTATCGACTATTCAGTTGAATTTTACGATCAGTAGCCGCGGCAAAAGGTACAATGGCCCTGCGACGATCTTCCACCGACGACTCCGTTGGGGTGGAAGACCACTCGACGAAGCGAGTTGCGGACGACAAGACTGGTCATGAGGACACCGTTCGCGATGTTGAAGATGCAGTGCAAAACCTCACGGAGAAGCTTGGTGATAACCAGAATGGCCTGGCCCCCATGGATGACATTCACTACGTCGTTGACAAAATCGATACCTTGACTGTCGATGAGTGTAAAGCCATCATTCAAAAGTTGCTCAAGGATCATGAGTACGATTATAACTTCTCCTCCAGCCAGCGAGTGAAGCTCGCCGCCCTGGCCGAAGGACCTCTCGAGGGGCAGAGCATCGAAGAATGGGAGTTGGAACTTAAGACGGAGACGGCGGTGAACAAGTTCTACTCACCATACCCTGAGGTCCGCGCCGTCACTACACCTACGGACGACGTCAACATGCCCGCCGAAACCATTCGCGCTCACCTTCTTGGCTACATTTGGGCTGTCATTGCCCAATTCACCAACTCGTTGTTCAATTCGCGTTACCCTACGATCACTCTGACATCTGCCGTTGTACAAATTCTGCTCTACCCCTGTGGAAAACTTCTTGCAGCCGTCTTGCCAGACTGGGGCTTCAATATTGGTGGTAAAAGGGTTTCACTTAATCCCGGGCCTTGGTCGTACAAAGAGCAAATGCTTTCCACCATCATCGTCGACGTCGGACTTACCTCCGCCTACTGCTTCTGGAACATCCAGACCCAGACCGTCTACTACCATGACCAATGGCTCACCCCCGGTTACGGTATCCTGCTTTTGCTATCTACTCAGCTCATGGGTCTGGGATTCTCAGGACTGCTCCGCCGCTTCGTTGTTTACCCCGCGGAAGCTTTGTGGCCGCACATATTGCCAACCTTGGCACTGAACAGGGCGTTGTTAGTGCCCGAATCCAAGGAAACAGTGCACGGTTGGACGATCTCGCGGTACAAGTTCTTCTTCTTCGTATTTGGTGGCAGTTTCGTTTACTTCTGGCTTCCGGACTTCATCTTCCCCGCCCTAAGTTACTTTGCCTGGATGACGTGGATCGCACCCAACAACTTCAACGTAAACATGATCACTGGTTCCCAAATGGGTCTTGGTTTCAACCCCATTTCGACTTTTGATTGGAATGTGATATCGGCTTACTCGTATCCCCTCGCGTATCCCTTCTTTTCTTTCTTTCAACAGTTCTTGGGCGCAATCTTGGGCGGCTTGATTATCATCGCACTCTACTGGAGTAATGTTAACTGGTCATCTTACCTTCCCATCAACTCATCCGGCATCTTCGATAACACCGGCAACTCGTACAACATTAGCCAAGTCATCATTCCCGGTACTGGAACCCTCGTCGAAGAAGCCTACCAGAACTATTCTCCCGCATTCTACAGTGCTGGCAACCTGCTCCTTTACGGTGCATTCTTCGCCTTCTATCCATTCACCATGCTATTTATCTTGCTTGATTCTTGGCGACCCCTTCTCAAAGCTTACAGGTCGATGACACAGGCTGCTTTCTCGTCTATTAAGAAGATCTTCATCGGCCTGAAAAATGCGACGTCATCACTCGCCAAGGGTCAGGTGCGCGAGGCGGGTCGGCACCTGGCCGACATCATGAATGATGAGACGTCAATCTATGACGGGTTCGACGATCCCTTCACACAGCTTATGCGCAGTTATCCCGAAGTTCCCGATTGGTGGTTCTTGATGATCGCCCTTGTCGCCTTTATATTCGCGATAGTTATCGTGACTAACTGGCCTCAGCTCGATACACCTGTTTGGACGGTCTTCTTCGTGATAGCCCTCAACCTGGTGTTCCTTATTCCCATGTCATATCTCTACGCAATCTCAGGTACGACCGAGGGGTTGAACGTAGTTACGGAGCTGATCATTGGCTACGCTTTACCTGGACGCCCAGAGGCGCTCATGTTCGTCAAGGCATTCGGATATAACATCAATGGCCAAGCGGATAACTACATATCCGACCAGAAAATGGGTTTCTATTCCAAGTTGCCCCCTCGGGCAATGTATCGTGGTCAAGTGACGAGTGCGGTCATCACGGCCATCGTTGCCTACGGAGTGGTGCAATGGGCTGACAACGATGTTCCTGGAATCTGTACTCCAGACCAGCCCTCCCGCTTCAATTGTGCGAACGGCTCCAAGGTTTACTTTTCATCCTCTGTCGTCTGGGTAAGACATATCTCCCTTCTAAACACACTTTCTAACAAAGCACTGACACTGTCATAATAGGGTGCCATCGGCCCAGGGAGAATTTTCTCCCAGATTTATCCAGCTATGAAGTACTGTTTCCTGCTAGGTTTCCTCCTTGCTCTCGTTTGGTGGAGCGTTAAGCGATTCGGATCATCCATCCGCCAGGCCACGAAATCCGTCTTGCCCGCCGCAGTCTTCAAGCCGATCAACGCCGCCATCTTCACACCAATCTCTTCGCTCAAGCATGTCCATCCTTCTCTCCTATTTAACGGAATGCTGCAGTGGGCGCCGTTGAACCTCACCTATTGGACTGGCGGCTTTTATGTCTCCTTTGCCTTTATGTACTACCTCAGAAGGTACAAGACGGCGTGGTGGGAGAAATACAACTACGTACTCTCAGCCGCACTTACCGGTGGCGTGGCTTTCTCCGGCCTCATCATCTTTTTCGCTGTTCAATATCATCCCCAAACGATTGACTGGTGGGGTAATAATGTACTCGGGGCAACACTTGACGGAGGAGCTGGTCAGGTGGCTTTGATTCCTGACCTGCCTGAAAAGGGATATTTCGGTCCCGACACATGGTCCTAGTGCAGGGGAACAATGAGTGAACACCTGCACGACAGGACTCTATTGACTCATTTCAAGGACAGGGCACGACCCCAACTTTTGTAGCTTTCGGCACAGAATAGAAGCGCGCTTGAGAGGCTAGTTTCGGGACTTCCCAGGGAACTACTCACTGCCGAGGTGGGCTTATGCCTAGATATAGTTCGTCATACAACAATCAAATTAACAAATAAAATTTGAATCTATAGCTTCCCACAACTCACCCAAACAATAACTAGTATCTAGCCATTCAGAAAAGATCATGCTCACAACCAAGCAGCACGGGCTTCAAATCTAGATTGAGAGGTGCCAATGCCGACTTGAGCAAAATCCGGCTGTAGTGAGTCGAAACGATTGACCAATTCATCGGAAACTATCGCACCAGCACTCAACACCCTTGGAGATCCGCTTTGTTCTGTAGTCATGTCTTTACCCTTTGGAGTATCCAGCACCTTATCCACTATCCACCTTATGATGACCTCACCATGTTTGTAGGTCAATGACAAGCCGTGGGTTGTGTCGATGTTACTCAATGCCGCTGCATGTACAGCCAAATCTTGCACGACTTGACTTCTGGGCAAGCGTGCCACTTTCGAAGCACCGATAAATTTCTCCTACTTGAGAAGCTCCATAGCCAGAATAACAGCTGCGCGCAGACCGTGAAACACCAGAAGATGTGAAGTATCGCAAGAAACTATGTAGTTCAACTCTCTCCTTTAAAATTCTAATACATCGCTCAGCAGAATTTTTGTTGCCCCCAGAAGATCTTGAGATAGATTTGAGTTTTCTTTGCGAAGCAGTGACAGACGAGTAATTTGTTGGCCTCAAAGCTCAGTCGGATACTGCAGCATCTCAGAACCTCTTCTGTAGACATATTGCTGCAGGCCAGTTCCAGTTATTGTGATGTATTTACAAGTTGTTCAAGAAATGGTGGTAGCCGTGCAAAATCTCGAGTGCACTCTTATTGAGTGACTGAGCCATGCTTCCATACTTCCTCTTCGGTGTGTGTCCCAAGTGCCAATTTCAAAACCCTTTCTCTTGGTGAAGAGTTCAAAACGGAAAATGCTGAAAATACGTACTGTGGTGGATTTTGCTTTCCGCCTTGAAGTCTGATACACCGAGTGTGTTTGTTATACTCTTGGGTGCGTCGCCATCGAGCAAGAGTTGTTCCTGAATAAGGTCGAGCGGCGCGTGAGCTTTGCAAAACCTTTGCGACAGCCGAGGAGGTCGACCCAAGTATGCCACAAGATGCGTCTCTGAAGCATATAAATTTGAAAAGGTGAGTCTTCTGGACTGTGACAGAAAGAGTGGTGTGGTAAGTGAAGACGCCTGATGCCGACCCAAAGTAACAACTGCGTTGCATACCTCACCACTCGCGCAATATGTGGCATAAGATTTCATCGCTTCCTCATGTTGGCCAGAAGATAGTGATTCCCGGTGAGATGCTATATAAACAGCCCGTCTATCGCGTTGCATTCTCGACAAAACAGCAGACATGTTTATACGACATTATGCATGCTTGCCATTAGGCCGGCGCGAGTAGTATTTCAATTGAGGACAGGATGATCAGAGGCAGCAAGTATCTCAGCTGAAGTTCCAACAACAGATGCTATCATGCCGATTATACACCACCTGATGTCTATGTAGACTGCGAAGCGCAATCCTCCGGTGATATGGACGAATCATTGCGCAAAGGGCAACGAGAGTTTTTCTAAAGTCTTTCGCATAGTTTCTGAATCGGAACTGGCTCCTGATAATGAAGAAAAAACCCGTGATGATGCCATAGTTGCTCGAGTCAGATCTGTATGAAAAGTTCAAGACATTTGCCTCCACCAGCTCGGTTCTGGAAATATCGCCCCATGAAACTCTCGACCAGACACTTCTGCTTCAAAAATTGCAGAACTTCATAACCAGGAGTTACGTGATAGTCCGTTTGAAAAAAGTAATGATATTGTGGAATCTTGAGCGGAGTAGATGTATTTTGTTTGACGTCTTCCGCAAGGATATGTGAGCATGAAGTGCACCAAGGAATCCCTTATGAATCTGAAAATTGTGCCTAGGGTAGTCATGTAAGTCCATATCTAGTAAGTCCACGTCTAGTGTGTTCGAGATTTCCTTCGCCCTAATGGAATTGACTGTTTCACTCCTTGGGAGGTCCGTAAGTGTTCTGAAGTGCGGTAGACCTACGAGCCTCTGCAACATCATTGAATGTACGTGAAGCAGGTGCCGACTGTAATGTCATCATAATGAAGATGTTTAATAGTGCGATGCCTTTGTGGCAATCAAAGATAATCATACATCCAAACATCGGAGCACTTTAAGGCACATACTTGTGATATAGAGTCCGATGAAAAGTCGCACTGATTTGAGCACCCTCGTCGAATGAGCCTTGTGCATGATTGTTTAAGATCACATCGAAGCTTGGAGCGTCTACAAAGCCCACAAGCTTGTAAGCGACTTTTTTTTCTTTCTTTTCGATATTGGGTGACGGGTGCAGGTCCACCTGAGTTGGGTCAAGCTTTCGACGTTGGAGCGGGTGCTTTCATGATGCGCTTCAAGCATGACGTGCTGCCGTTTTCGATGTTTTCCTAAGAGTGCAATGAACTGGTATGCGAAGACCATGCTTTATCAATCCTGTCAGTAACGACGACCAATGCGACGATTATGGAGTACGTCGCAGCAGCCTGTCTTTCTTTCCTGGTGAGTTTGGATTGGCTAGATACCTCATTGAGCCCGAGGCAGTTAACCACATACAGCAACCAGCCCATATCCAAGCCCGCGGATTGGACCGAAGATCATTAAGCCGAGGGGACATGATCGACAAGTCGGAAACCACTGTCATACGTGAAGGACATCTCTCTACAGTTCGGGGGGCCATGACGCTCTTTTGGTGCAATATAAAAGCAAGTAAAGCCATCAAAATCCGTCCCAACACTTGGGCAGAGCTCTCTGCGCATCAATTACCATGAGTGATTGATAATCATATCATTGAATTTAGCTAACAGAACAGTATGACTACGAACCCGCGAATATTGTATCCCTTCAAAACAAAGTGGAAATGTTAAAATCCGCAGTGGGCTTGAGGCACGAAAAAGATTTGGTCAATGAACAGACCGAAATCGACCGTTTTTAGATCCTCATTTGAATCGTTTCTGAGAACTCAAAATCAAATATAGTGTAAGTGTCTTGTGCCAAATATGTTTGGGCGCTAGGAAATTTATGGTGTGCTGTCTGGAACGCCATAACTCCAGTCGGAGGAACCATCGCGATGATGGTTATCGGTCGACTGATGGCTGGTGTGGGTGCTTCAACGGGCATAGCAGTAGGTACTCCTATATTTAGTCAGCGTTCCCATGAGTTGTTGATGTGGAGCAAGCTCACTGGGCCTGTCATGACAGACATGTATGGCCCAAGAGCACGGGGCAAAGCTTAGCTATCTCTGCCATCTTTCCTTCGCTGGGTCCTACATTAGGCCCTATACTTGGTGGTATTATTGCACAATTGAGTGAGTGGACTCGGATCTTCTCCCATCATGAGTGCAGCCGCATTTGCCATCACCATCATAGGCCTCATACTCATTAAGGAGTCTTAAACTCCTATTCTTCAGCTTCGAAGATCTAAAGATTTTACTACAGCACATGCGACACCATGAATATATGCCCGTATTAGGACAGTAACCTCATGGGCCATTTCGAGTTGAAATCTTTTGGAAACTGAACATGATGTCGAGATATGACAAGATTTTGATACTCTGGCAGACCCCCTTCCTTACTTAAAAGTTGTGAGTGTCATTAATACCTGCGACACCAAAAGTGGCACAACAGGTCAGATGGAGAAGATTACCCAGTATCATAAAACAGTACCAATCACGTGCACAAGATCATGTCGTGAAATGAAGTGTTTGTGAAAACGTGTCATGAATATCATTTAATCATTCTAATCTATCATATCCACCGTCTAGGGGGAGTTCTATTCCTGAAATATTGTCTATAACCAATCCAATATCGTTTCGTGCATCTACAATGCCAGCGATTCAGAGCCGGTCAAGTAGTCAATGTTGTAAACAGGACAAGTGGTGAGAGCGGGCTGAGCACCGAGTTGGTGAGGGCAGATGGGCTGGTTGCCCAGGGAAAGGTCTGGGTACTGGCAGACTTCATCGTAACCGTACGTGCAGGACGAGGTGGCGATGTTGTATAGAGCAAAGTTCTTGCCAATCCAAGTATCAGCGCCACAGCTGCTGACAAAGTTCATGGAGTTGGCTGCGCTGAAGGCAAGGCGGCCCTCGGTCTCATTGATAAGATCGGCACACTCGGACATGTCAACGTCCTCATAGGTGGCAGGGATTCCGCCGCCGGCGGTAGGATCGGTCGATGCACTCTCGCCAACGTTGAGGTAGTTCCATGCATCGTATGAGATGTCATGAGCACCACCCGACTGATCAATCTTCAAAAGGTTAACGGACCGGCCGTTAGCGCTAACCTTGACGCAGATGCTATCGCAACTGGGGAAAGAAGGCCAGTATGCGACGCGGTTGGTGTTGATCTTGCAACCAAGAACACCGATAGATGAAGAGAACTTGTCATGGGGAGTGATGGAAACGCCATTGTCGCGACGAGCGATGGCAGCTCCGGAGACGGAGACCACAGCGGTGGCAAGGACTGTGAGGGTGTTGGCGAGCATTTTGATGCTGTGATAGTTTCTTTGGAAAAAGAGACCGGTAGAGAGTGTTTTGATAAGGTGTTGTCTGAACTGGTGGCTCGAATCTACGAGTAGTATATACTGGTCAACCGCTGGGGTCTGGAACTGAAGTGTAGGTGTGTAAAAAGGGAAATGATTGTGCGTGAGATCTACTCAAACTGATCTGTGTATGTCAAGGAGTGACTTGGTGATAACAAAAGAAAGGTTTGAATTATGTTGGAAAGCTATATCCTTTTATACAACTCGGCCACACATAGAAGAGACCCGTACGGCGCGGGCGACAATGGGGCATAGGGCACAAAGGGCACGGCACGTAACTCATGATCAGGGCGGAGGCCCTTGTGGAGAGCGTTCAACAATGAACCGGTCTCCGCTCACGTTTGACAGAGCCGGTTCTCGTTATGCTTCCGATTGGAGGACCGATTCAGGGGAAAATCCACTCCCACGCGCAACCTGGTGGACCTGACAGCGGCTAGCCATGTGAAAGACGCTGGTTCCTGAACTCTATCGCCGGTCTTGACGTCTATGGTGGGGCGTACCTGACAAGCAGCCGACGAGCCGAGCGTAAAATTTCATCGGCTCTAAGCTCCACACCTCAAACGCCTGACTCGATCAGCCAATAAGAATGCTGCATCGCTACGAAATTCCCAGATGAGGATATGGAGACGCAAGACGCACTATAAGTTTGTCGATTTGTTAGTGTCGGTCCGGGCATTTGTCGACGCACATGAAAGCGCTATTAATCCTGAACCACATCCCGAATGTCTAGGCCCCGGGCTTGAAGAAAAAGTCAGTTATACCCACTTCCGCGTTGCGGACGCTGTTGACCGCACTTGGTGGATCAGATTTTCCCAGAAAATGTGGTGCAGCTCTGACTCTCCCATAGGACCGACCAAGCTGTGATTCAACTCGTTGCGCGATTTCTGTGCTCCCGAAGAGCGGCCACAACGCCGCAGCATAGTAACTAGAACGTCATTACAACCACTAGAATGCCATTCAAGGATTCTAGAATCTCGCTCAAGGATTCTAGAATCCCGTCGCATCCAAGGCCCGTGGCACTAAGTTGGAACTGAATATAAAATTTCGATTGAGGTTGCCACTTGAAAGGATCGACTTCAATGCGATTGACAGTCCTGGAAGTGTGGTATGCGGCATTTATCGCAGCGACTTTGTTCCGAGCTGATGTAGATCTGTGATGTTTTCTCGCCTGTATGCTCACCACGCTGTGGTAGACTTTACCTCAGTCCGCATCTGAGATTTGATGCCATGGAGCACTGCTGTTTCGCTTGTTGAATGTGGATAAGCAAACTTTGATTGAACATACCGTGATACATTCAAGAGATGGCCGAGAAGGACAACGAACGTGAACGTTCAAGTCCCAACGGCCGGAAAGACGCGCTCATATATAGCCTGGCCCCCGGTGGCCCCGGTGGCCCTGATGCCCTGGTGGACCAGCACACCATGCAAACCAGCTCATCCACTGTAGATCCACGCTGGACGGTCCGTGGTACGACTTGAGTGGATTCAAAATATGACCGACAAGTCTAGGAAGTCGTTGGGCTTGTATGGGCTGAGACAGGAGTGGATGTGAGGAAGACTTGTGCTGAAGATGACTCAGTGGGCTCGGTGTCACAACGCAGTTGTACTATAGTCAGTGCCAGCAACGATCCTTGAGATAAAGCTACGGAAGACATTACTGGGCTAGTCTCCAGCCAGGAGATGCCTGTTACGTGTCTGATAGTGGACCACATCTCATTTAGGAGATGGACAACGCCACCCAAGGTAAAAAGAGTGATGACAACTGGCTAAAATGACGAGCTATAATAACTTGTGCATCATTCTTACGAGACCTATACACACAGCCTTCGTGACCGACCCCACAAGCCTGGGCTACTAAAGGTCTGAGGCTGCATGAGTCGTGGTCATCAATACTGTATATTCTGACACAGTCTCTTTGCTCAAGTCGAAGTCTAAGGCTATTTGAAACGAGGAAACAGACGTCACGCCATTTTCTACATAGCTTGCATTCATGTGACATGAGTATTGGCATGATGGACGATTGCCGCACTTGTATTTAAAGACTTCAAACGCAATTACATGAAGTGCCTCCTAGCATGGCCTCCGAAATGTGAACGTGGTTTCCAGTGCGAGTGCGCCTGTTAGCTCCATTTTGGGACATTGAGGTCAGAAGCTTTGCCTGCTCTAAACAATAACGTGGCAAACTGCTTTTGTTTGTTTCATGTACTGCACGGCAAGAGATATATCAATGTTCACTTGAACAAATAGCAGAATATCTGTTCGTTAAGTTGCAACGGTCTACTTTCAGCGGCCCATCTCAAACCCCAGTGTTTGTAAGATCGCTGGTAAAGACAAAACAGGGAAACCACATAAAAATGTACGCGAATAACGCTTCTGCCGTGAAATGATTACCCAGCGTAATGATAGGCAGAGTTGCATCGCCGTCTGGACGCTTCGAAAGCACAAAGCCATACAGCAGCAGCCGGAGACAGGGGAGTATCGGCGATTGTCACCCAACTTCATTAATATAGCAAGTCCGCAATGCCACGGCGGAAAGCTCGCCTTTCTTGAAACGCCCTGCTCGTCAAACGGCGTCGACAGCAAGATGTTTTTCTTCCCTAATGAGATATGGATCTCTGGAAGATCCTCCTTGTCCCCAGGAGCCGGTGCGGCATTGCCATCTACACCGGCTTCCCACCATTGATCACCTCCAGTCCACTGAAGATATCGCCCTCGCCCAATTTGATATAGACCTCCCACAACATCTTCTCCTATCACCGCAGTAGAAAGTATGATACATGACAAGTCTTGAAAGTCCCAGCGTGGCAGATACCTCCAGCCCTTGGTTCGAAACGCCTCGAGGAGCATTGTCACAAGCAGCATACCGCAAGTTACGAATATCAAATGCATATAGGTAGCATCACCGAGTCGGACGGCCTGAACAGTCAGCCGCGCATCTGGCTTGAAGAAGTCGCCGGCGCCATCATCTGGAACAAAGAATTGGCTATGTGGTCTGGTCAGTACCGTTTTGAGACAATTCGGAGGGGTATTAGCAGCTAGGGATGATATGGCCGGGTGCCTGTTATCGCGCCGAAACAATCGAGATGATCGATGGGATGCTTACCTGCTACCAACGAACAAGAGAAGTTCGTCGACCATGGCAGTCACGGAGTCTTCAGTGGCCTTGAGGGACTCTTCGTTTGATGACAATGTAGAATTGCTGGGCTTGCCTGTCATGGCTGCAATGTTCGCAACAAAGGCGTCACCCACAATCGATGTATAAAGGGTGGTTGTTATCATAGCAAGGCTATTGATTTGATCGGTCACCGTCATGGCAATGCCAAGGGTTGGATCGAATGGCGGTTCTGCTGCGTCTCTCGCAGTCACCAGCGAAGGAAAAACGGTCACATGTTTAGCGATGGCGCCAACTGTGACATTGAAATTGGCTGTCTCAAAATGGACCTCGCACTGCGTGCCATTGAGGACTCTGTAGTTGCTCCCGGCCGTTATAAGGATCATGTGTTGACTGCTATAGTATTTTGCGGCCATGACAGCAAGGCTCCTGTCATTGTTGTTGCTAACAACCGAAAAGAAGTCGACCTTGTCCGGTGGAGCAGTCGGAAACTCACCCTTTGCGTAGTAGACAGAGGGGATGCCATTCCCCGACTTGCCCTTTTGGACGAGCTCAATGTGCCATTCAGACGTGGCGTTGTAAATGCATGGGACTTACTAAGGTAACCTGATTCAAGATAGTTGTAGGACAGAAGCCTGGAGTTGTTGCGCATCTGGAAAAGATTGTCGTCAACTATACCAGCCGGGGAACCTACCCCGTAAGATCGGCCGACGTACGAATATTGGCCGTTGTCATGCTTGGAGTGGATCTGGCTGACTTTTGAAGAGGCTGAGGCTGCTCGGCTCAGGAGTGTGCTGTGTATGGTACTTGCCGGACAGTCGCTCCAGATTCCCTTTCCGTTGGTCACCGTAGAGCACGCCGCATCTGCCTTGTGGTTGTTATTCGTGGACCAAGTTCCCATCGTTCTTTTGGTATACTGTGGAACTCTCAGAATCCTAGACGCCATCAAGGTGGTATTGGTCGTGACCGGAGTCAATGCGCCGATCCACAGAAAATTTGGCACCGTGAACAATAGCATTGAGATGATAGACGCGGTGTACATTGTTATGGGTAAGCCTGATGCCGCTTGTCTGCTTGTGATCGCTCCAATGCGCTTTAGTGTATTCAAGCTGAGAGACTGCTGCAGAAGATGGATACGAGTTGCCACATTTATAAGCTTAGTGGCGGTGTAGACATTGATAGAAGCCAGAAATGCGGAAGTGATTGACACAATAATTTGCGCTGTCGCTCGATTGTCCAATGGAATGAGAAGCGGGCTCGCCGTCCATCTCTTATCCGCGACTGCTGCAGCGACTAGGAAAGCACTGGCAACCATGGGAAGGATACTCGTTAGAATTGTCGACGTCCTCTCTGATGCCCCCGCTCTCTGTGAAAACACCAGATCAGATCTGTGTGTCACATCGGTGGTAGCACCATGCTCCATCATAGGTTGAATAGTTCTGACCGTCCCCGACCGTGTTGATGAGGTAGACCCCACAGGATTGCATGCCAATTTATCTTGGCAATGTATTATTTCCTCTCTTGCCAAAGAATCATACGGTGGTAATCCTCCTAGGCCTGGTGTCCAGTTTGGGTTCGTCATCGCCATATTTTGATTAGAGTTCAGACTACGAAAAATAAGTCCCAGTAAGCGCTTTAGGGTACCTCGCAACTCGTTTGAAGTCGCAGCGAACGCTTCAGTAGTGTTTATACAGCTTGACAGCGTCGAGAGCATCGACAGCGGCGAATGAGGAGGAGGAGGAGGAGGAGGAGGAGGAGGAGGAGGGGAGAAAAGGCTTGAGGAAACAATTGACTTACACAAGTCTCACTGGCTGCTACGTGCGGACACGTCGCGGCAAAAATATATATGTGATCGGGTGGGACTCTTGGAAAATGTCATAGGGGTAACAGCCCGAAACGCTAACAACGCTGCGAAACATTGTGGCTTGTTTTCGCACATTACCAAATCGTCGCGGCTATCCTACGGGCTCATCCAGGGGTGTCCAAGGGTATCTAATCATAAGCGATCACATTGTGTTTCATACATTTTCCGAGTATCATATCAGTAGCCGTGCGTGGCGTTTGCATGAGGAGAAGATAGGGTCCTCCGGACGATGTTACAAGAACTGGCGGGAACGCGAACTGTCAAGACCGACATCACTCCTCACGTGCTCGAGGGGTGCGCGAGAAATCGCTAGAAGTTTTTTCGACGATTGGAATCTCAGCTTGTTTGCCGGAAAATTTGCTGAAAATCCTGTGCAACATGTTTGATTCCATTGTTCAATTTCATCAGAGAAGAGAGGTAGAAATGTATTCAGCCGCACCTACCACTTGCTCATTAACATGAGTGATTTGTATCTTTTTCCTGATCAAGTAATGGCAACAGTGGTTGGCAGCTTATAGCAGAGCAGATGTACACAGAAACAGTTTAGCCCTCGGCCCCTGATTTATCGGATCGGCGATTTTAAACAGATGAACCCCTCTCCAGGGTCCCAACGGTCCCGACAACCCTTTGCCCAAAGCAACCTGATCGGCAAATGGAGCGATGCTGTCGACAGTTGTATGCTGAACATCGCACTCTGGATTCAAACACGGCTACTCACTTTGACTGTTCAACCAGGTGAGTGCGCCCACCATCAGAGACCCAGGGCCCAGCCAGCGAAGTCCTGAAATTTCAGAGTGTACGAGACGGGCCACACTCGCCACATGTTTCGTGATTCGGTATGCAGGGCAATCACTAAAGAAAATCCCGAATCTTCCGCGAATCCACGCAATCAGCGCTCCGAACGTTCGAATCCTTATGGATTCGGTGCATCTTTGAAAATATAAGCTCTGATACAATGGCTTAGATGACACCCTAAACTTGAACTATAATAGAATTCACGTCAAATTCGACTGACGAACTTTTGTGCACCATGAATGAAGCCGACAGACCACCCGCTAGTCACCGATATGGGTGAGAACCACATGTGTGCAAAAAGCAGAATTGATTGCGATCCAAACTAGACGAGATTTGCTTTGGCGAATGGGATGTTTTCAACTGCATGATCAGATCTGAGCACAACCTCTTGAATTATTGGCTGTCCGATATGAATGCATTCTTTCACAACCATCAGATCCCAGCTCGCAATGAGGGTACAAAACTCTGCGATCATTTATTGGGACTGCACTGTCACAATCTCACTGATGCTCGATGTCCGTACCACTAAGAGGACAACAACGGAGTCTCTCAGGAACAGTTAGGTATATAAGACAGGGAGGACTGTGTTCTCGGCCCCGAGCATTTGTTGCGGCCCCGGCAGGTATTTTCCCACGCATTTCGGTGCCGACAGGTTTAGATGGTTCTGTTACTCTAATGGAGGCGTCGTTAGCGCCGCTGCTTGAGCTTAATAATGGGTTCATACGCAAGCTTGCCCGGAAGCGGCTTGGTGTGGCGATGGAGTACAGTATGTAAGGCATGGGCTCTCGTTCTAAAGATGTCAGCTTCTGCGCGACACCCTCGCACCAGCAGCTGCATCTGAACCGCCCAGCCATTGATATTTGCCTTAGTGTTCACTCTTTCTCATAATTTTCCGATAATATCAATGATTGTCTTGAATGTTCCCGCGGAACTGGTCTAGGCACTGTCCCGTGGCTGACCCATCAAGTGTCACCGCCATCATTGTTGGCATTACTGTTCTAGCTCTTCACGCTGTGAGGTGGCTAATTGACGATATTCAGTAGCTTAAAAATGTACCAGAATAGTATAACGATTGAGAGATGGCTTAGCCATTATAAGCACCGCAATGACTTCTTTGCAAGATGTCAAAGATCATGATCGGATGATTCTTGGTGGTAATATTGCCGAAAACACTAAAACGACCATACACCAATGTCAAAAGGCCCGCGACTTTTTCGAAGCGCTATAGAGCACTGGACGCGACAATCAAAGGATGGAAAGCTAGGCTGGCAAAATGGAGCCACTCTCGGTTTCTGCAAAGAGTACCAATCAAGTCCGCAAAGCTACTTTTATTGTCAGCATCAGTGTATAGTAAATGGTTAAAATGAAAGCCGTTGGATTAAATATATTACCATTTAATAACATATTAAATATTTTATACATCTTTCTTAGTGCTTTAAGTAGCTATGACAGATATAACAGCCCGTCAAGTATAATCTATCAGTCATCATAATCTTACTCGAATCCATGTTTTCCAAACTCCTGCTCTGTCCAATCCCATAACCGACGAGCCATTTCCTCATCATATAGCACGTTATCGCTATATTCCCTGAACTTGTGGTTGTAAAACCCGCCGCTTTTAACGCTTTCTCGATCTGCCGTGCTTGCCCACAGTTGGCCGCGTGCCCCTTGGTGGACGTCCATCAAGACCACGAACCCGATGAGACTAATCAGTCCACCGATCCAAGGTCTTCTTTTTTTAAGGTCATCAAGCAGACCAGTGTTGACAACTCCAGGGTGGATTGCGACGAATTTGATTTTTGGAAAGCGCTGGCTCAATGTGCGGGTGTGGTAGTAGTCGGCAAGCTTGGAATGTCCATAGCGCGCCAGGCTAGATATGTCCTCCAGGGTTGTCTCGCAACGAGAGAGCAAAATCTTTTCCCGCGGTGCCTGTTTAAATAGCTCGGAGCTCAAATTGACGACGCGGGCATCTGACCCTGGCAAATCAGCAGTCCTACTAATTATCGGCAGCAACAGCTTGGTGAACAACGCAGGACCCATGTAGTTTGAACCGAACTGGACCTCGTATCCATCTGATGTGAGCCCCGGTGGAGAAGCCATCAGACCTGCATTGTTGATCAAGATATCCAGACGATCCGACTGGCGGACAAAAGTGTCTGCAGCTTTCTTCACGGATGCGAAAGATCCCAGATCAAGCTCAAGAAACTTGATCTTGCCTTTGGCCTGAGGAGCAACTTGGCAGATTTCTTCAATTGCGATATTGCCACGTTTCTCAGTTCTGGCTGTGAGATATATGACAGCCGGGTTGTGTCTCGCGAGCTGAAGCACGCTTTCTTTGCCAAGACCGCTACTGCCGCCAGTAACGATGATCACCTTTCCAGAAAGGTCTGGAATATCATTCGCCGAAAAGGTCATGATCAAGCTATGTAAGAGAAGATACGAGAGACAATAGCTGTAGATGTCGTTGTTTTGGAAGTGAAATACGAATGGCTGAACAGCGGTGGTAACACCAAAGGACAAAGTAATATTTCAGTATGTCATCACGAATCCTCTCACATTGTGAGGCATTTTATATATGTTATAAAGTGGTATTGAGATAACGTTGGTAATCAATGGAACTATTGAGAAAGCGGTTTGTTGCTGCAATGGTACATATTCGAGTTTGGTGTAATTAGTAATCGTTAGTCGGCGGTGCCATGACTCGTGACTGGGACCCACCTCTGGTTTGTTTGTGATAAGTAATCATCTATTCGTTCTTTTTAGACCTCGGAACTTGTTAGTGCTGTTTCTAAAATTTAGCCGGCCTATGCAAATGCTGCGCATTGCTACAAATCACTTTTCATGCCCTCGCTTATAGTGCCTGACTAGCTTGTGCAAAGAGGACTGCGCTAACCTTGGAGATGTCCACAGGCGTTACCATGTTCTTTCGAAGACATCGCAGATGTAATCTCGCTTTCAAAGTTGTGATCACTTGAATTGTATCTCTCTATTATGATGCCACCGAAGGCGGGGAATGCATTAATCAATGGGAAAAAGAATGTTTCCCAAGGAGTGCAAACCTTAAATCTATACTAACCCTAAGTATTGTGGTTTATTTTTAATTTTTAGAGATTCTGTCTACAATTGGTTATCCTTGAACATAGGCAACAGTGATAAATGCCCCGTTAAAATAATCTCATCAGTGGGCAGCCTAGTTTCTATTTGCCAACCCTTGTTCCAAGTACCGCCAGTCTCTCTCCTCTGGCCTTTTCCCCTGGCATTTTCTTCCGACTCTTTCTTCTGGCTCTTTTTTTTTCCCTTGGCTTGCGCTGCGTTCTGGGCTACGTCTTGTCTTTGTGCTTCGTGCAGGGCGCACGATGATACGAAGGCATGCATTCTTCGGCTTGACTCGGATCAATTGGCGTTTGCTCTTTGTCATCGCCTTGCTGGTTTGTAGGAGTGGTAGAATTGAACGAGGGTGCTGGAACAAGATGTAGATTCCCGTAGCTACGGGAATGAGGGTGCGGGAAAGCCCATAGCTATACACTTCAGAAGTATAGGCGGGCTACATATGGAATATGTATCACTGGAAGAAAAGGCATAGACTTTACCATAAATATTCCACGATGTATCACTTAAAGCCCATAGATTTGATGATGTATCTGATCTCATTTCAATCAACGTAACACGTCCCACTATAGATTGCAAGTGATGCAATAGACCACGATCTACGTTCGACCGTGCTCTGCACTTCGAGACCTTGAGATTCAGTGTTGGCGACGACGTGTACGGTTTTGGCGCGAGCGAGACCGGCTCCTCCTCGAGGAATAGACAGCCCTGCGTGGTGGACCTCTAGAATGTGTCTTAGATCGATACCTATCACGAGAAACTGGTCGAGATCTCTTATCGCGGTTGCGCCTGCTATATCTCCTTTCATCACGACTGCGAGAACGAGAGCGAGAACCTCGGTTTCTCTCCTCATAGTGACGTTGTGACGCACGGTATGTATCACGGTCACTGTGGTGGTCCCTATCACGACGCCGGTCTGAGTCGTGTGGTCTGCGGTCGTCGTATCCATAAGCCCTCCTGCTGTGACGATCTGCAGAAGCGCACGAGTCATTGCTGCGCCCTGGGCCGTTGTCGCGGCTTCGATATCTGGATCGGCCAGCGTGTGCCCTGCTTGGTATGTATGAATCTGCTTGTTGTGGAAATCCCCGGCGTGCCCCCCCCCCCCCCCTCCCTCTTTCCCTCCCTTGTGAAGTTTTGGGCGTCTTGAACGTTGGGCCCGACCACCAATCGCCCGTCCCATGATAATTGCTGTGCACCGACTTCCCTTTTTGACGAATGGATTGTTATGCCTGTTCGGCGGTGAATAATCATGAGCATCCTCTGCGGGGCACGTGTAAGCCGACGAAGAAGATGAACTTGCCATTGGCACCCCCAAACGACTGGGGCCCACGGGACGGGATGGCACAGCCTGTCTAGCAGGAGCACTGCTTTCGGAATGTGGCGAGGGCCTGTGCGACAGCACCATGCCCTCCAAATGCGGCAATGATCCGGGATGCTCCCTCCGATTATGTGTCGGGCCGCGACGCTGGGATTGGAGCTCTTGGGGATCATCCTCGTGACGAGGCTCTACGCGGTGACAAGGTCTCATACTCGGGACTGTTACCTGTGGCATGGGCGGTGTTGTTGCCGATGCGGTGGCAGTCGTGAAACGCGCTCGCGGCTTGACGGTTTTCCAAGGGGCGCCAGCAGAAGGCGTTGCATGCGGTGTCGGCTTGCCAGCCTCGGGGGGTGTAGACTATTGGTAAGTGCAGGAACACAAACTGAGCTAGTAATTATTCAACGCAGGGTTTACCATTTCCTTTTAAGAAAGAAAGATCACACACAATTTAGTTATTATGGATATTATAACTATTATGATGAGTTCAAGTCACATTTAATTGTAGATATTAAACAATCACGAATGAATGTCTAAGAGACGTATGCTTGCTAGCAACCCATACATAAGATGGAGATTTGAATATCATGGGCACTATAATAAATTTGTGTCTCGTCTGATTCTAGATATCAGATAGTCACGAACAGATGCAGAAGAAATGTGTATTTGCTAGCAAAGTACCCCTAATATGGAGGTTAGGACGTCTGCAGCCATGCTGGCAACGCTGGGACGGGGAGAGCGCGTGCTTTGAATGCCATGTGGCCTACTTCTCCAGTTGATTTGCGAAACTCTTGGCCCACAAGATGCTCTCGATGTAGCTCTTCGAGTCGAATGTGCCGTTTCCTTACAGCGATCTCTGCCCAGGCGGATCAGGAGCTCCTAGCCTTCCCCCTTGAGTTTTGGACCCGGTTCGTTGGCCCAATCCAGGATCATCTGGCGTTTGACCTCCTTCTTAAGAGTCCTGTCGGTTTGGACATGGTTCAAGGCTTCCTTGGCGTCCTTTGTGAGCTAGATGTACAGCTCCCTCGACAGCTTTCTGAATTCTTCAAACTCCTCCATGGTGCGTTTTTTCAATTTAACTAGTCGCCGACCCAGGTATGTTCGATAAAGCTTTCCGTCACAACCAAGAACAGTCAGTTTTCCATGTGGGGAGTGTTAACAGACAATCGTCGAGTGCATCTGTACAGGGGTCAGCCCCCTAGTCGCGGGCTGGGAGGGATCTTTTCGCGTAGCAGGCTCTGAGTTGTCCACCTATACTTAAAATTTGAAACTGAATTGACCTTTAAACCTAGTGCTGGCGTGGGGATTGAAAGAGCCATCCATTACTTCCTACTGCCCTGGTCGGCATTTGGAGGCGGGAAGCAAACGAACAAGCTTGTCTAAACAAGAGTCCTCATTCGATTCATATTATCGAAGAACAAGACTGGCCGTACGCGACAAACACGATTACGGTCATTATGGATCCATTCGCAACCAGTTGTGCACCCTCGATTGCCAATTGTCCAGATAGCATTACACGTCCTGGCGACAAGGTATTCATAATCGTCACAGCTTTTCTAACTGGTGCCTACCTTACAACGCATTAAAAGCCAGTTTAATACATAATATTATCCCCCCTCCCTTTTTAACTCCCTTTCTCAACCCCTGTCTCGACACATATTTTAACCGAGCAGGCATCGCGTTGTGTACTATTACATTGATTGATCGTGTTTATCTCCCGGAAATAAGTTGCATTAGCTTAGAATTCCTCCTTCCCATAAAAACTGCGGCTTCTATGATTATTTGGTATGTGGAACGAGATTAGGAGATGATGGAAGGAACTAAAGCTTTTACACTCTCCTAATAATTCAGAGCTCGTAAGCTTAATGCTTCGTCATAGATGAGTAGACGCTGTGGGTGTAAGTAATGCCTTGTTACGTATGCACTAGCTGCAAAACCACACATATACTGGTCATTCCCGGATGAGGGCAGCACCAGTCGCTAATACGTTAAGCTATGACATCCCGTTACCGGCTTCCTGAATCTTCTTAATTCGAAAAGGTTGTGCCATTCGTAATAGTCGTCCCATTCACAGCGAGAACTCCAGCAGTGGCGGCATCCACATCCTGTGTACCTGATCCGCCGCAAACACCAATAGCAGCAAAGAATGTCCCGTTGATGTAGATTGGTATAGCGCCCTTGACGAACATCAATCCCCCATTAGCAGTCTCAAGGCCGTAATCTTCCGATCCGGGCTGGACGAGAGGATTCAAATCCTCGGTGGTAAAGGCACCGTTGAAAAGGCTGACACTGCGAGTCTTTTTGATACAGGTGTCAACGCTCTCAATCCAGGCATTGTCCATGCGTAGTAGTGAGATGACAAAGCCGGACGGATCCGTGATGACAATCGATGACGGAGTGCTGTAGTATGACCTTGGTTAGTGGTTCTCGGATGATGGAGAGCGGAAAGACTGTACCCATTTTCGGATGCGAACGCTGCCGCCGCATTGATGGCCTGCTGGGCTTGCTGTGCATTGAGAACAAATCGTTCGTTCGGTGGTTTCATGGTCTTGTACCAATCAACTGGCGCAAGGGCGGCAAGCGCTCCATCGATGAGCACCCCGAAAGCAAGTGTGGCTGCCAAATTTAGCTTCATGTTTGAAGAAAGAAATTTCGTTAATGTTGGTTTGCTTCACTTTTTGCGACTTTGGCGATATGGGAATATCATGCATGTTGCACCGGAGAAGCACTTATTATAGGTGATGGAGCTGCTTACTTACATACGATGATAAAGTTAGATGAATCTATATTGCTGCTGACATGAGCAACATGAAATGATAATGTAAGCCGTTGGTATTGGCAATTACTCAGCCTTTAAAGGTTAATAGTCACTTGCTTGCTTAATCAAATCGTCTCTCGCTCATTTTACGTAGGGTCATAGCGGTAAACTTAAAAAGCGGGGTCCGGCAGTATTTCTTTTGCATTAAGGTCGTATTTTAATCTCGCTCTCGCTAATGACCCTCTTTTCTCTGAGCAAGCTAAGACTTCTAGCTCCAATTCTCACTTTTTTTTCCCCAGCCTTATTCTTAAAACTGTGAATTTGAGTGTTTTTTACCGCGGTATTAGGGCAAATAGTCTCTATACTCGAAGACACCCGGTCATTAATTCGTGTCAAATTGTTACCATAAAAGAAACACGCCACAATCCTTCTTCCAGGACTGAAATACTCGTGAATACTCCTGAGCATATGCCCTAGTAGAATTGAACACCAGTATACAGCAGATCAACACTGATATCATAGATATATGTTTGAATGCCGCTCGATAATGCCTGCCGCGGGTCTGATTCTCTCGTTCATAACAGTTCCTGGTAATTAGAGACTTCGGCCCACGAATGCCATAGAGAGCTATTCGCATCGAGGCTGTCGGCTCGTGTAGTCAGTGGCTCGGCGCTTTCGCTTCGCTGCCTGGTTCCATGGCTTTTAGGTATGAAGATACACGGACGACAAACAATGCGTACTTATTGCTTCGACGACGACTGCGTTTCTTTGAGGCACACATCCAGCGATATTCCACGAACACAGCTTAACATCTTTGTCTCGTCACGACGTGACATCTTCAGCATTGGTATCTTTTCTCCAACCAAATCCCAGCTTATAGAGTATTTAACGACGCCCCCAGACGACTTTGCTCGATTGCTGTAATATGGATTAGAGCAAGAATTGTTGTCTCAGGGGGCGTCACAAACGCGTCATGCCAGCACATCAACCAACATCCCCGGCTTATCCTGCAAGAACATGATTTGGCTGCCACTGACAGTATCGTGACTCGATTCCCGAAGCATTGTAATTCCGTTAGGTCGAATGTAACCCATTTTTGCCCACGACGGGGCAGTCGCTTCTTGTTCCTTTCCATCGCTGACGATGAAGTGAATCTCAAAATACATTGGATTAAAGTCGGGAAACCGCCCCTTCCTTGCTTGCTCATCGCAGTCCATCGACCACTCGAAGAAGTCTCCGTAGAAAGGACGTAGATTATAAGCCTCTAGATCGAGGCCCTGAAATCTCATCTCTAACTATTCCTATTATTAAATATTTAATAAACTTTAGTAAAGTTAATTCTTTCGTACGACTAGTCATTAAAAAGACAAGGGGTATAGTTTATTAGAAAGCTATGAGTAAGGTTTAGCAACCTTTTTAAGTTTAATTTATATAATATGTATATTGAATAAAAGCGTTTTATTTGATTATTCTAAATAAATCTTTAAAATAATCGTATAATATATATATTAATAAAATTTTTATAATAATTACGATAAAATTACTAAGTAATAAGCTTTTAAGTGTAATAATTATATTTAAAGATTTATTTTTTAAAAGAAAAAGAGAAAACGTTTTTATCATTAATTATAAAGCGAGTGTTTTATATTAATTACGTATAAACGTATTTCAACGTTATTTAAGCGTTAAGTCAATAATTTAATTAAGTCGTTATAATATCATTATAACGTTAATCGTATTAATACGATTCTTTAATATATGATTTAATAAAAAGTTAAGTTAATACGTTTATATAGAAAGAGTAGAATTAAAGTTCGTCATTTAGAAAGTAGCCTTTAAAAAGCTCATATAAATAATATAAAAAGTAAATTTCGTAAGAATAAAGCTTTTATTGAACCAGGACCACTGTCTTGTCCCTTGGGTTATAAGCCTCACGACGAACTCGCTGGTTCACTCGCGGACTGATCACTTATGAATGAATGGAAAGAATGAACTTGATGACCAAAATAACGTTAATTAGTGACGACGAGCCATTCTCGTCGTCTTCCGAATGCACTGCTGCATAAACTGACCATGCTACCGAAGTCAAAAGTGTGAAGAAGCATGCCCGTTCGACTATTTACAAGTTCCATCCCTTCGACCTTATACTGATCAGACCCTGGACAACCAGGAAGAAGGTCGTACGACCCACTTGGCTCCCTTGTAGTATTGGTACAGCCAACACTCACTACTTCATTATATATAATAATATAAATAACGGTCGTATATGAAACGGCGGCGTAATATATTATTAACGAAAAACTTATACACTGAATTAAAACATTAACGAGCTTTTGAATCGGGTCCGAGTCAAAATAGCCATCGTAGCTCCCTGCGATATTCCCTGCTTGCCTGTCACGAGAAGATAAAGGAAGAATGAGCTTTGTATTGCGGCCGTAACGTCTTGACGAGCTTGGTTTGTCGTGCGGGTACTTCAGGATTATGGTAGGTTTTGGGCAGTCTTGGCCCTCAATACGGTATTAAAGGTTTACCATAACTTGCAAACCACCTAATTATCATCGTCCACGTCCTCGTCCTCATCGTCAGATGGCAGGCCTTGCTCCCGCCTCTTCCGTCGCCGGATAAGCTCGGACCTAGTCGGCCGCTTTACTAGAGGCTCTGGACGCACGTATGGCTCGCCAAAATCAGCCGAATACTTTTCAAGCGTATTTTCTATAATGCCCGATCCAGCGCCTCGCATTCTGTGCATTTCCTTAGCAGCTTGTTGAAGTCCTTGCTTGACTAGCACCTTAATAGGGGGATAATCCAGCTCGTCTTCCTCATCCCGTTTCCGTTCTTTGCGATCAAACCAAACGAAAAGGAACGTTGTCTTGTCGCCCGCCCATTTTTCCTCATCCTCCTCCACATCCGTATAGTGCGCAGGCTCTATAATAACTAAGGAGTGTGCGTAGTTTTCTTGGTTTCGATCGGCCCTACAAATGTTCCACCGCCAAATATGGAACTCACTATCCCCCCTTCTTGAACACCACTCGCCTGATTTCGCGCTGCTATCTCGGATTGCTGGTGCGCAATGCAGGCCGAAACCAACTCTTCACGGCTAGAGCCAGGGCGCACCGCCAACCCGAAGACATCTAATCGGTCGCGGAAAGGAACTTCGTTGCTATGGCGCTTTATGTGCGTTTTAGATTCGAGTAGCTCTGCTACGCGAGAAGTGGTTTCGTCGCGGTGTATCTCTACATCTCGACTACTATCTGTGGTATGACACGGCAAATAGACTTGAAAACTGCCAAAAGGTACTCTGCGGGTACCGAACCTTTCTTCAGGCTGATCCGGGAAGCCGCGACTGTATTGGTGCCATGCGACCACGCAGGGCGTGCCGTCGTGGGCATTAATCCTCTCTGTCGCAATGTGAGAGCGGTAACCCGGCCGCTTCATGCGCGGATTATTTGCGCCCATCGCACCGTTCTTGTAGTACTCATCGAGCGCCTCCTTGAACTGTGCGAACGAGGTGAATGGGGGTGGAAGAGGCTCTACGCTACCTAGCGGCATATTTTGGAACATGATGAAGATTGTAGTTCCTTACAAGTATGCATTACGCCGTATACCCGTTGCGGATTTAAATTCAGTGACAGAAAACCAGCGCTAAGGATTGACCAGGGGTATGCGGATTTTCAAAGGATGGGTATACGGATTTACTAGGAAACTAATGTTCCCGTTATCGTAATAAGCTATAATTTTGATAAATGGGTAATCCAATTACTGTAATTTAAATCACTTGTCAAATTCCGGATTAGACTTGTAATTATAGAGGAATTTTAATAAGAAGAGTCAAGGTAAAAATGTAAATATTTCGCGTTAGAAACGTATAGGCTAGTAAACTAACTAGGCTGTGGAATGGCTTCTCCATTCAATTCTTTCCGTACAGTTTGGGCGACAAATAGATCTATTCAGCGCTATCGTACGAAGGAGAAGAAGGGATTCTTCCCCTCGTACGTGGTTTATAGATAGGGGTTTAGGGTTCACCCGTACGGCTGCTGGCTGCCGACAGCCACATCGTGGCTGTGGTGGCTTACTGCTAGCACGCCGGTGACTACCTATACTACGTAGTCAACCGTCGTACAAGACCGCGAATAATATATTCTAACATAGGCCGTAATAATATTATAACTTATAATTTATTAATTAATTGAAAAACTATAACTTTAATAATATTATATATTAAATTAAGACTATTATCTTATCTTTTTAATTATAAGCCTTGTAGTAAAACTCGTTAATTTACTTATAAATTAATTACTTAAATTATGGAATGGCTTCTCCATTTAATTCTTTCCGTATAGTATGGGCGACAAATAGATCTATTCAGCGCTTTCGTACTATACGGAAAGAATTGAATGGAGAAACCATTCCACACTGATCAGTGTTCACTTGGCTGTGAACGCAGATTGGCAAGAATGAAGAGACGGCGTTATCTAAGTACGTACGGTAATACGTAGCGAAACGTCGTGCTTAATCCTACTCCCGACTTCTTCGTGCTAAAGGTGTTAATGTTTATAAGATGTCCTCTCCCTTCCGCACGAATAACGAACGAGTAGAAGACGTGTAAAGATTCTTCGTAGTACGAAGGTGTTAATGTTTATAAGAAGTCCTCTCCCTTCCACACGAACAAAGAGTTATACGTGCGAGCCATTACGCATCGACAATAGGTTCATTATCTCCCGCAGAACGCGTAATTACTAGTGCGCGCGACACGGGCGATAACCTCGGATTATGACAAGAGTAGAAGACGTATACGGATTCTTCTTCGTACGGAGGTGCTTATGTCTATAAGATGTCCTCTCCCGTCCGTATAAACAAAGAGTGATGTATGCGTGCCATTACTCACGACAACTCCGGTACCGTACCACGATAACAAAATATCCTCTCGCACGAGGAGATGGCGGAGGGGAGCGATATCTCCGTCCACGCTTGGTAAACCGGCATAGCATTCGAATTCTAGGATCGTACGGTCGATATCGAACAACCCCTCGACCGAGTACATATGAATACGTATGTTGGTTAGCTCGTTACCGAATATCAAGGCATCTTAACGCTCCGATTACTCGTACGAGCATACTAGGAAGACTTCGAGGGATGGACTACGTACCAGTTCGAATATACATCACGACCATTTAAACGTGCGATACTTAAGACACTCGAACGAAAAGGGTATCACTTCCCGAGCGGTCTCACCCAAAACGAAAAGCTCGTCTACCCATTAAACAACAAGGAGGCTGTCAAAACACCTTAACCATCACCCCGTACGAGTATTACAACTCTCGGTCCTTATACGAGTACTATAACTCCCGGTCCCCGTACGAATGCCGCAACTCCGGCACCGACTCGTATACCATTACCCGGCTAGGAAGATAGACAAGAGGACGGCCTAGAAGATAGATAAGGACAGCCCGGAGGACAGATAAGAGGACGACCCTACGGGAAACACACTACCGAAGGAATTATTATCAGTTATTTACGAACGTACGAACCGCGAAAGAAAAGATAGCTAGTGTTAGAATATACTATTCGCGGTCTCGTACGACGGTTGACTACGTAGTATAGGAAGTCACCGGCGTGCTGGCAGTAAGCCACCACAGCCACAATGTGGCTATCGGCAGCCAGTAGCCGTACGGGTGAACCCCAAACCCCTATCTATAGACCACGTACGAGGGGAAGAATCCCTTCTTCTCCTTCGTACGACAGCGCTAAATAGATCTATTTGTCGCCCACACTATATGGAAAGAATTGAATGGAGAAGCCATTCCACAATAACCTAATATTAATTGCCAAAACAGCAAACGAACTTTTACTCTGCGCGACTTCTATAGTTGTGCCCATGGGGTAGACAATTCCTTCCTTAGAAGCTGAGTACAGAGCATCGCTCCGAAATTCAGAACAACGAGGATTTACCTTGACCGCCGTCTTGGGCCGCCTGGTGTACTTGTTCGGAGAAGGACGTGCGTTTTGGTGCAGTCCCGTTATTCGCAACGCTACAACTACGTCGGCGGCGAAACATTGACTGAGAAGCTCTATGTTAATGAGTCCGTTTTCCCAACCCTTGAGAGGAAATGTGCGTAGTAACCACGGCATTCTGATCTGGCCACAATGCAAAACCTCTATGCATGATTTCTTCGCCCAGGCAGGTTCGTGGGAACAGGGCTAGAAGAGGATCCACGATCTCAGGTCTGAAAACTTCTTGCTCAGGCTCTAGATCAACCAGGCTATCATAGTCACCAAGCTTGTCAGTATCTTCGTTCCAGTCTGTATCATTATCCAGTACACCAAAAACGCCGGGTCGAAGACAACTCCTCTGGACAACACGCCATATCTCGATTCCTCTCCTAAAGATGACAACCAAGCCCTCGTAGAATTTGATGGTAGTCTCGGTCTTCGTGCCAAAAAGGAATTCCACAATTCGCTATACAACATCATTTGCCATTTTCAACGTATCTGTTTCACTAAACTCCACTGCTTGGGCAAGTTGATAGCGAACGAGGGCCTCGCGGCGGGAGTCTTGCCTATTAAGATGTACGAGCAGTTGGGCTGTTTCCACCAGGTCCAGGGCATAATGTGGCCTGAAGATGCGTGACATAAGAGCATCTGCGATAGCAGCCTCGACAACCGCCATCTGCATGAATTGAGGTTGTTCCACGCTAAGCAATACTAAGAAGTTCTTTAGCACGATAGACCCTAAATTCTGCCCTGAAAGATCCCTAAGGGCCATGGCCTAAACAAGGTTAGAAATGTTTGACAGTATTGAACAAAACTTACCAGATTTTCTTGGCCCAGAATAAGGAAATCTCGTACAAACTTATAGCAATCATTCGCGAAAGCCTTTAAATAATCTTGTCTATAAGATGTTAGTCGTTAATGAGTATGGTCAGGATAAAATAGTACAATTAATTAGGATACATGTCGGTAAAGCCGATATCATTGGTGAAAGCGATGAGCTTTCTCTTAGCAGCCTCGAGCTTTCTCCGTTATAGTTCCAGGTTCAGGCTTTTTATGTTAATCTCGGTTTTCAATTTGATAATCTAATCTCTCGATTTTTTGAGTTCTTGAACGCACGGCGTGTACTTGGACTCCGCCTCATCTAAACGCCGCTATAACCGCTATGCTTCGCTACTAACTTTTTTGATACTCGCCGATAGGGTCTCGATCTGTTGTTAATATGCTTGGTTCTCACGCGAACCTTCTTTCCAAGTATAACCTTAGTTGGCGAAATTGCTAATCAGAATCTCTTTCTCGACGATGAACTATTACATCATGCTTTCCTTCTCAGCGGCATGGAAGAAATCATTTCGGTGTTTAAAGTTTCGAGACGTACGATCGTTACGTTTCTAGCCAGCACTTCCTTGGTCTTGAGATCAAGCTAAGCCTTTAGTTAACCGATGGTTTCTTATTACCTTTCCAACTTTTGGAGTTCCGAGTCATCTTTCTCTATCTCTCAGTAGAGGCGCCCTATCAGTCTAAGCTTCTCGAGAATTTTCGATTATGTCTTCGGAGCTTTAGCAACGTTAGGAGCAACCCGTGTCGCTTTCTTTTTATCGGCCATGTTAAATTATTATAGGCAACTTCGAGGTGCGATACGAAACAAGCGGGGTAAGGCTGCTAAGCTATTCGATAAGTCTTGTGTTCGCGGCTATATTTGTATACATATTTATGCACTAGCGAATGCCATAATATTTGGCTCGTAACTCGAGGCGTTAATCATATGCAAGGCGTCCGCTCGCCTATGCCGGAAAGCAACAAATTGATAGAAGAGCCAACGGGGGGTCGCCACGTCAGGCCACCTCGGCGGCAAATGAAAATGGTTGGGTGGCATACAGAAAGAGGAGGGGTTTATAAGATAACGCAGCCTGCATGTAACAAGGCTGGTTGGGCAACCCGGACGCGAACCCGAAATTGAATGGGACGGCCCGAGCCGAAGAGCTCGCTACGTCTGGTCATTAAAAGGACCATAAGTTAAGTGCCACAGGTATCGCAAGAGGGTAATCGGCTGCAACAACAGTCTACATATTTAGTGATAGTCTTAGCGGAAGTTCGACAATTGCATACAAAGTTCCCGAGATAACCAAATGATATTAGGTGAGCAGCCGGGTGGGCTGGCACTATGCATATCTCTGCTACAGACTCAATTTACCAGTGCCTGTACTAAGGTGGATACGATAGCTTGCTACGAGGCCGGCGGCTTTGTCTATGCGTCGCCGTTGGCCACGTGGGTGAATACACCCTTGGTGCTGATTTAAGAAGCTAGCAAGCTTCCTCCACCGACCGTCTTCATCATCCAGTCCCCATCGCATATCTGGTCTGCTGCATCCAACGTTCCAAGAGAGATGAGGATTGAGATGAACCGGGACATGCTCCCTAAAGGCGCATAAGTGGTGGTGGACGATGTGCTTGCCACGGGGAGGACTCTTTGTACGGTGCTACAGCTGTTGGTTAAAGTTGGCATGGATGCTAGTGATATTAGCTTTATAACTATGGCCGAGTTCCCTGTTTAAAGTGGCCGCGACCTGTTGCGTCAACGTGCCTTTCGTGGAGTCAAGCCTCAAAGCCTTTTACTTTTTGGTGGCGCTTAGGAGAGGACGGGAAGTTTCTGAAGCCTTGTATTTATAACCAGAATGCCTTGTGATATGTGATTTGGGTCACCTGGAACTTTTCCCTGTCGTTTATCTTAGTGGACATGTATATTTCCCTCTGAGAGTAAGAACTTGGGGCAAGGGTAACATTACAAGATGATATCTTCAGAGTCCTTATAAATCATGTTCTAAGCGACATAGCTTTTACTTGCCAGTTATAGAGAAGATTGAACAAAGTTACTTATGTCTTATATCCAGTTCTAGTCCGCGTCACAGCATCATTCGACGAGCTTGTGCTGTCCGATGTAGCCTCCAATGCCCTTAATCGAGCTATAAACGTCAAGATGTCCAACCTCTACTTCAGTTGTCCCAATATTACTGAGTCTAACTAACCTTCTGCCTTATTAAGTAGAATATTACTAACAGAGCATATGATGTCTATTTGTAGTATATCGTTGTCATTCTTGGCTTGCCACGATATAGCTACGAACTCATTTGCCCAGGTCATGTCTGCTAACCCTTAGCTATCCGGAGGACCGTATTGAGTCGTTTCCCCTAAGGTGCCCATTGCCTGGGCAATTCCAACCAGCTTAGTTGTCAGCAGACTTGTTCTCTCTTTCCTCGTACAGGGTATGCCCTGTGTAGTTTCCATCATCATCATGATAAATGTGCACGGTCTGAGACTTGTTTTGTGTGGCTTGAGCATCGGTGGCAAGCAGAACCGTAGCATGTGGAAGTGGATCAGAATGACTAGTGTGGGACGGATTCTTGCAATAAGTGTTATTGGCTGTACGAAATATATATAATTGGGTGTAAAATCTCTTACTTTAACATAGCCTGGGTGAAATGAGTAAGGTCAGGCTCTTAGGTGGCTCTCTCCACCAAATTAAGGGTCCTGTTTCTTAGCGCTAGGTTCTTAATTCGTTGCGTTAAGCGAACCAAGCTTCTTGGGATGGGAGACATGTTGTTTTTGCTGACACTATATTGGACGATAGGAAACAATAAATGTACTATGCGGATGGGTGCTTCTTAATGAAACAAAACAAGGCAGGATTATATCTGGAATGAGGGAATGAAACCATATTTATATTCTTCGACTGTAAACGTACTGCCTTGTTCCTGGAATGTATAGAGAGTTGGTTGGACGTGAGTTATCCAACTGAGTACTAATCCTTTCTCAGCAGCCGCTCTCAGGCCCCAGCCTGCATCACAAGCCCAAGTTGGGGCCAGACAACGAACGACCCACAGGCTTTTAACCGCCGCAATTTGATAGCATTTGACAGCTACGGTCATTTCCACGTGACTATTCCAAACAATCTGGATGTATCACTTCCAAGATAACCAATGGGGCAGTACGTAATACTGCGGCTGTGATATGCGTACTGTTGCCGAGCGTCTTCCCATTGGGCTCCGATGTAGCTGTGTGCGTCCTGTTCGGGACACTGGAGTGGTCTTCGACAGCGCCAATTCTCTGTGGCATAACCCCTGGTATGTAATGCCTTACTTTGTCGAGACTTCAGCTTACTGAACATGAGAGCTTGCTTGCAGTCTAAATGTCGTATCTCTTCTGCAGCCGTGCCGAACTTTGGGGTATGCATTGGGGCATGCCTGACTTGGCCGAGGATGGAGTTGTGACTGTACTATGGTATGATAGGCAATTAAGCGCATTGGGGCATGTACCGCAGCAATTGCAGGGGTGCTGTGGCTCGTGGCTCTGCTGCCAAAACATATGTACCTGGCTTGTGCAGTGACGTGGAGTTGTGCGGTTTTTTCGGCCTAGGACCACAGTATTTCGTACTCGTTATTGTGAAGTACGCGGTATCCCTGCATTCTGCACAGCTCAACGAATGAGGCCGCCTTGGACTTGCACCGCGTACGGGGTGCAAAGGCCGGTTTCGTTGGCCAAAACGGATGCGATTGGTGCAGTGCACGTGCTTAAAATCCTGAACAGCACTTGGTATAAATACTAACCCTTTTTGATCTGAGTGGAGATTTGCCGCAAGCGGCTTCACGACTTGCGATTAACATGGTATATCTCAGGCTCCCAAATACGCCTTTCACCAGAAGTAGACCCGGATCATTTTCTCTTTTTCGTTTCTCCAAGTCTAACGCAAGCCGTTTTTACATGTCTCAAACGCTAGCACAGACATATTATTGTAATATTGACGCCGAGCCATTACACCGTTATCAACCTGGCGGTTACCATCCTCTTGCACTAGGCGATGTTTTGAAGGATGGCCGATATAAAATTGTTCATAAGTTAGGCTGGGGTGGTTATTCCACTACATGGGCCGCAAAAGACCAAGAGTATCTTCCCACATATCATGAAAAATAAAGCCTCTTTCCTAACTCTCGCGTAGGGAAGACGAATATGTTGCTATTAAGGTTTCAGTCTCAGAGACGTGGCGTAGCCGAGAGCTTAGTGTCCTACAGGCTATATCTGTTCTTCCAGGACGCCATTTCGAGAGTTCCCGATTGAATCGGATGATAGACTATTTTACTCTTGTCGGTCCCAATGGAACCCACGACTGTCTTGTGCTGGAACTTTTAGGTCCCAGCGTGGCAGATGTCGTTGAATCATACTATCGGGATGACAGACTCCCAGCCAAGCTCGCGAAATCCTTTGCAAATCAGGCTTTACAAGGGCTTAATGTCCTCACGTGCCACGGCATTGGTCATGGCGGTAAAGCTACAAGCAACGGACACTTCTGTGTTGCGCTAACCCTACTCTTAGATCTCCACACCCGAAACTTAGCCATTATAGTGCCCGGTCTGAAATCTTCGGATGAAAGAAGCTTCTTCGATAGGCTTGGAAAGCCTGAAATTAGTCTGGTGAGCAGACGGGATGGCAAGTCATTGGCGGGCAATGTCCCATCCCATATTGTTCGGCCTGCTCAATTCCGAAAGAGAGACATCCTGCAGTCGTCTCCATCAATCAAAATCATCGATTTTGGAGAGGCATTCCTCACAACTAACGTCCCGAGCACACTACACACCCCGTTGCCTGTGCGCGCTCCAGAAGTCGTCTTCGGGGACCCCTTGGATCATCGAGTGGATTTCTGGAGCGCTGCCTGCCTGGTATAGCATCCAACGGGAATTCTACGACAGGGACGACGCTAATGAAGATAGATTTTTGAACTCGTCACTGGCCAGCCTCCATTCGATGTCACGATGCTAACCCCGCCGCTCCTTGTTCAACAAATGATGGAATTCGCCACTGATAGCCTACCGTCACGGTGGCAGATGAAATGGCAAGCAATGCAAGGGAATTTGCTCTGTGATGATCACAGCTATACTCTTCAGGAATGGTTGGAAGAGGTTTATTTCGATAACAATAAGCAAGCCGAATTCACGAGGGAGGATATTGCGAAGGTGGGCAAGCTAATCGGACGGATGCTGAAGTTTGAACCATCTTTTAGGGCCACGGCAAGCGATGCTCTTTCTGATACTTGGTTTGAACGAGGATAAGTTGGTATGAACATCAGTCTCTGAGAAAATGCACTCGACGCCCACTTGGAATGGAGTTTCTCCCTTCGGAGTCTGCTTGTCTTCGTAAAGGTCGAATAGTCCAACCCTATCGCCTTGCATTATCACTTGAGACGCGTTTGCCCTTCGACCAAGGACTGAACTGCATTGAACGCCCGGCCGCCAAACGCCGCGACATGAAGTGCTTACCGTTTAGCAACAGCGACCGAGCTACGCGGTCCTTTTACCTTATAGAAATTATTCGATATGACAAGAAGATTGTGTTGGACAGGGGGAACTATCAAGTCTCTGAGCCTACTGCGAACTCGCCGACCGAGCTGCTCAGCATAGTAGAGATCAGGGCTTGGCAATACAAGTACAAGCGTGCCATCGGTTACAGGCCGGAGATTTGCGAATGTGACTGGTCCAGCAGCGCATCTATTGTTTCTTGTGTTCCCCTCGATTTTTTGGGATGACCTTCTCCGTGACCTCACTTTCCCTTATGGCTTCTGTATCCGCCTTTGGAATGTCTAGAAGTCTTTAGCAGAGATCAATAGCGCCGAGGGATCTGGCCATAGTCTTGAAGTGTTTGGATGATCTCGCCGAGGTTGGTAGGGTCGGGTAGGGTCTCGCCATCAAAATACTCGTAGACATCGTCGAAAATGCTGTTGTCCGGAGGATGCTGGCTATAACTCCTATCGTACGTGTCGGTGCTCTTCGTACTAAGCTCGTATGTTGGTGACCAGCTTGACATTTCTAGAGATTTTAGCTTGCGCTTTCGGCCGCTGAAACTAGACTGAGTTGAACTCATGACGCGGCCGCGAAACTTTAGCCGCTACGCGTTACTTTTGACTTGATGAGGACAACTTACACCTCTCAGATTATACAGATCTGGGCCGTCTCATTTGCAAACTACACCAGTCGTGCCGGCGTTAGTCGTGGTCGTCCAGGCTCTTCTATATCGAACGATCGAGGGCGGCTACACCTGCGCTGTATGTCTTCTTCTACTAATGCCAGCGGAATGGCCCGTTCTAGAAAAAGCTTCGGTAGATTGGAAAAGAACTCCGGAGGTGGTAAGCCGAGTCTATGCTTCTTAAGTTCGGAGGGCGGTATTCATTGGATTGACGGATGTATCAAATCTAGCGATCATCGACGCTTGCGCTAGCTATAGCGGCTAAATGCCAGTATAAAGAGGAGAAAGAAGGCTTCTGCCCGAATAAACGCGGTGATAAATGTCAATATTCACTAATCGGGTGGCATCAAGAGTTGGCCGTAATCGAGGTTAGGAGGGAGTAGGTATGCGAGACGGTGCAATTAACCAAACCTCCGGGGGGCCCGCCTCACATCGGAATTAGTGGCCCCATCAATTATGCATTATCCTAAAATCTCCCAAGCGACTGAGAAACGTAGGGTCATCAAAACCATAGACGGAAATACTTTCTTTCAGCTGTTAGCGGCTCGTGAGAAGACAGAACTCTCGCTAGACACCATCATTTCGAATCGCTCAGAGAATTTTGCCTTGGCATGGATTCAGAGATTTGAAATAGAATCCGACCAGCGCTTTCCCTCGTTACAAGCATCCGCTAAAAGTCGCATTGAACCTTAGCCGGGCCTGCCTTTTGCCCTAACCGAGGTGGTATCCCCAGGCCACTAAGGTTCTGCGGGGTTAGAGGCAAACATTTTATCTATTACGTAAAACTCACAGCCGGGTTTGCCTGTCTCAGATGCAGATTCGCGGGCTAGCAAGAATGATTCCGCAATAGCCACGAGCTACATGATCCAGTCTGGATAAATAGTCGGATTCCTTATTCAGCTCTTCCCACCGGTTTCTCCTGATTCCAGGATCGTCAGACGATTTGTAGTAGGGTTCCTTAGCCGCTAAAATATCGCCTGACTTTCGTTCTTGCACTAGAATGACCGAAGCTGACGTTCCTTTCCCACTATGACCTTGGAAAACATAGACCTTTTCATTCTCACCATACCGTACCTTGGAGGTTATCGTTTCTGGGGCACTACTAAGTAGGGGGAAATATCTGGGCATTGCGAGCGCGGCGTCCTCGCTGAATTTTAGAGCTTTTTTGCGGTAGGTCCGTACCTCACGAGGTGTGAGCTTTGGGCGCCAGGCCAGAAACACGGTACCACCAAGATTGAAGACAGCGGATTCAGTGATCTCTCTGTCTTCATGTTGTGTAAGGAGGTCGTCGTCGCCATCCCCAACGAAATGTAGACTCCTAGATAAGACAGTTACGCGCGGTTTGCATGACAGCGGATGTATATCGATTCGGAAGTGCCGTTTGCTCACGCCCTTTGTATTGTCCTCCGCTAATTGAACATCGGCGGCATTGTTGTCGGGCGCTGAGCCCAACACCCAGCCGTCAGAGGAATACATGTCTTTGCCGAACTCGAGGCCGAGTATAGGCCCTTGAGGTCTCTTTGAAAGTCCACCCAGCCAGGTCGCGTTTGGTTCTGCATCTTTTGCTCGGAGGAGTGAACTCATATGCGGCATTGTTCGAGAGGGTTAGGATCCAGAGAATGGCCTTCCTGCCTGAGGCATTCAGGTGGGACTGGGCGAATGGACCCAACCACTGTTCGCACTGAACTTTGGGACATCAATTCGATCTACGTACACGAATAATAACACCACCATTATAGCCTCTACCGACGAGTTAATCTATATAGGCACATTCGCTAGAAAGCGTCAAGATCCGAAAGTGAATAATTACTCTTTTAATACCATTTTGGACACTTTGGAGATTTTCTCAACTCTGAACAATCCTTGTAGGCAACGTTTCTTATTCGTCCATAACTTACGAAGATCTTGTCTTTCCGACATTCTCACTTGACTAAGCTGCATTTAACAAGAGCTGCCGCGACGGGAATACCACGAACCTACGTGTTCGGACTGTTGTGGAAGCCTTACGCCTAGGACTTTCAGCGTGTCATTTGTATTCCGAGACCGATATTGAAACCACTAGACTAATTAAGCAGCCAAACATAACTCTAGATTATGGGCCGACTCGAAGTGATATGGACGTCATCGCTATAACTATCAGGGGCAGACTCCGGATGATTGTCCATGGAGATATCCATTCGAAGTATTTCACGTGGAAGGCAATTATACGGTAACATTCCCTGCTTTATCAACAACAGAGGGACAGTTTGGGGTAGCTTTGCGGAGATGTAATTCTTATCTGTTCATCTGGGGAGGATACTCGATGGAAAATTCATCCCTCAGTTCGACATCAGCATTAAGTTGCAATTAAACAACGGGTGACGTTGTTTCCGTTGCACTGAGTTTCATTGGTTCAAGCCTGCTACTAGATACAAAGTGGCCGCTATAAATACTTAACTCAACGAATATATGGAACAGCACGCCTAGACTAAATATTACGACATTCGGTACTAGCTTCTCCGTCGATCTGGAGGATTTCACCAATCCGAACTACTTCGAAAACAATAATAACGGCGTTAATACTAGTGTTTTCGATATGCCTCTGGAAGAGATCTACCAAACGCTGAATTCCATTGCTACTCCAGAAAATGCTTTCTTTGACGCATTTTTCGGCAACCTTGTGACTTCTAGATGCGCGATACCAATATCATCTATTGGAGATGCTCTTTAAAAAGATACCGTCAGGGATGCTATCATGTTTTAGTATGGTATTATGGCTGCTCAATCATTAGATCATTATGTGCGTGTTAATGAGCCCAGTGTTACAGATCTCGAGGCTGAACTGATTTATTTCACACCTTTGGAATTTCTCAATGCTTCGATGTTTGAGCCGTAAACTTTCGATGCAACTGTCACGGATGTGTACGGTAGCCTTTGTCTTGTTCAAGATGAAAAAGCCACCCGCATACTTCAGGGTCTACTGGCCTTGACTCTCGTCTTGTTTGGTACAGGCTGGATCTTGGGCTATAGGAAGCCAGTATTGCCTAGGTATCCTACTTACGTGGCAAGTGTGCTGGCCTTGCTAGCGGGAGGCAATCTACTTGACCATATACACAGAGGTGAAGCTGAAGAGTGGGAGACAATAGGTGACTTACAATTAAGTTTCGGCAAGGACTGTCAGTTTTGGATGGGTATAGGCCCTCCAAGCCTGTTGCCATCGGCTGAAAAGAAAAGATTTGGACTCTGGTTTACAAGATATGTCGATCTAGGTACAACCCATAATTAGATAGATCCAGTGAAAAATGCCGATCAACGCCTATACATTCGTCTTCGAAAGTATACGTAAGAAGAGACTTTACTCGTTAAAAATGCTCCATTAATGACCAGTGCCAACTTACTTCCAACGGGGTTACAAAAGCAGCCCACGCCAAAATTTGCTTTGGGACGAATGCGAATAGTATGCCAGTAACCACCATGTAGGCGATGATGAAGACGAGACTTACACCGAGTAAACTTGGCCATGACCGCGAGGGCAGCAGCTCGACACGCTTGCTTCAGTAGCTCCCTGCTGTATAAAGTCCTTGCCGAAGAATGCCAGAAAGACACATCTTCGGACAAAGAGCGATGTGACACCTTGTACCGGACCGTGTGATTGCGTCATTATATCGAGAAAAGGGTGTTTCTTGTCGAGCTAGTGATCGTTGCTGCCCGGGCACCCGCAGCGGTGTTTAGGTTTCCACACCATCCCTCCAAGCCTGGGTTTTGTCCAGCGGCCCGCTCCTACACGGTTTCGCAATGTTCATGATCTTCTCGATCTAATCGAGGTACGACTCGAAAGAACCACCATTATACTTATACATGCCATGTTTCCGTGCCTGTAACAGAGCCGTACGTGCAATCTCCCTATCTGGAGACCGCTACTTCAAGTGCAGAATATAATCGTTGCGAAACCCCAAACGGTAGGCTAGGGAAGCAAAGCCGCACAGGATGCTATCGTCGGCTCTTTCTGGTCCGACATGGACCACGCGCCATTCCTCTGAGCTACCATTTGCAGGGTTCATGTGATCTAGCTCTTTTCTTTGGCTCTACGGCATTCCTAGATGTGGCAAGACCATCCTCACGTCCACTGTGATTGATGCTTACATTGATCACTGAGGTAATGACTGTCTAGGTAACTAGGAAATCCCTTCTAATATATATCCATTCATTCCCTCATTGATGTTGGCTGCATCACCATTCCAAAGGTGATCCCCTTTGTCCTTGGATTCCATGGATCACAGTGATCCAACGCCTTGGATCATTGCCAAGACTATGATCCAAGTCACGTGACCTGAGATCGCCTTCTACCAGCGTCTGTTGCCCAGCTGTCGGCCTTGTCTCGTCCTGGTTGGCTGAGATGCCCCGCCTTCTTACGTCGGCCATGTTCGTAACAGCTCGGTGTACAATCACGTTATAACTATTTTATAAATAAATAATAATTTAATTACATATAATTTAATATATATTCGAATTTAAGTTATTCCGTTTCCTTCCGCGGTACCTTTTAATACGTTATAAAGTTTGCATATGGCCTAAAGAATCTTTGGAGCCAATAAAATCCCTATATCGCCTTTCGTGTTTTACCGTGCCGTCTAACACGTATGGCGGGGATCTAGGTAAGCTACGTTATCTGCTTGTTAACCCCGGTCTACAAAGCCACATGGGCCGACCCTCAAAATATATCGAGAAAGTTCTATTTCCCATTTCTGTTCTTTTCCCTTCTCCACATTGTACTGCTACCTCCATCCGGCCGTTCGACAGCCCACACAGACTCTTGCACCAGAAGCGAGCATAAAGCCTCAAGGATGACGTCCCCGCAGCCTAAGCGATCCGGACAACCTCCTCTCCGGTCCTGGTCCCAGCTCCAATATAATAAGGTGCACGTCACTTTCTCTCCAGTGGCTCAACGCCTCTTCTGGCAGTACGAAGGCAGCTTCCCTAACGCCATCTCCGTCATGAAGGTGTCCGGCAACGCAAAGGAGCTCGAGCCCCTATTTCAACCCAGTGGGACTTCTGCTGCCGAAGGAGACGGCGGTAACGGTAGTGATGGCGCCGGGACAGGCACGTGGCACGCCGTTGCGCACGAGCCCGTGACCCAGCCCCCCGTCTCCTCGCTCCGCGCCGCGATCGAGGACCTGGACCAATGGGAGTCGGACTGGCTGTTCTGGCACCAGGACCACGAGAGCGCCGAGTTCGTCACGTACGGCGACCTCAGCGACGAGGACCGGCCGTTTGCCGAGTACGCCGACGAAGACGGTAACTGGGAGGCTGATTCGGACACCGAGTTCAAGATTCGGTGCTGCGGGGAGGACCGGCCACTGCGCAGGAGGGGGCTCGAGCTCGAGGTAAAGCCGGGCGACGGCGGGGCGTTTATCTCGTTGCGGGATTATATACAAGGTGAGGATTGCGCCCCCCCCTATCTTATCTCGACTTCTTAGTATGTATGCAACACTAACGCTCGAGAGGAAAGCCGTGCACCCATGGCTCATGAGCTTGCGGGATGACATTGTCCGAGCCAAGTCCGTCGCCCGCACGGGAGGCTTTCCGTCTAGGACGCGGTACATGGTGACCCAGGGACCTCGCCATGTCATCGAGGAGAGGGGCATGTGGATGGATCGCCACGGTGCTGGCCGGGCTCAACCCCCGATGCCCATTAGTGCCGGTCTCTTGGCGGCTATACAGGCGCACCGCGAGTGGAGGAACCGTGGCTTCACCGTGCCGCAGGCTGGCAACCCGCCGTAACACTTGACACGAAGCTACCACTTGCCTCTTCGACCATAATCGATTAAAATGCCTTCCGAGATCGCATTTAATTTTATACATTAATGTAGTCTATATACGAAGGTTGTATACTGGTCAACGCACGTATGAGCCGAGAATTGAAGTGTTGACTAACAGGGCAAATACATTATCTGCCTGTCTTGAGGTGCCATATATAACATTATGAAACTTCAACTTGTCGCTGTCGCCTAGCAGCACCGGCCAGCAAACCAACCATAGCTTGCCCCTAACCTCTACACGCGAATCTGCATCCGAGCCCTATCAACCATCTTAATTCACCCGGTTAAGATCCGACCTACAGGTATAGTAGTTATTATTAAGGACGCCGCCCTGTTTGCTATCGACGCCGCTACAATTGCAGCCATCGGTCAAGGTTAACAAGTAGTGCTTACACAGATTGAAATCATAATCGAAGGTGCACCCATCCTTGATCTGTAACGAGTTGGTGATAGTAACGGATCCTACCCCGCCATTATAGGAGAAAGCAGAATCAAACGAGAACTTGTAGCCCGGACCAAAGTCGTCGTCCTTGATGAGATTGCAAAAGGTGGTGGCGGCGTGCTGCATCCGCACGTTCTCGGTGGTCTCGCCGCTGTTATAGCAGCTTACAGAATTAGTCCCGGGATCACCATCTACGTAAGGCGATGGGGCTAGAACCGGCACTACAATCGCGGTAGAGGCGGCCGCGGCTGTGGTGGAAGTCGAGGACGTCGTGACGATAGGGCATGTCGTCTTGTACTCGGAGGCTTTCTCTTCGTCGCTTGGCGCCGGATCACCGCCGTCATCGCCGCCGTATAACCATGGTTGCTGAATACACGTGCTGTCCATGTCAAAGAAGAGAAAGTCGCACATACTGACCTAGGGTGTATCTTTTTCGCCAAAGACGACTTCCACTGCCCGCACAGGGTAGCTTCCACTAGTAGGTTCAGCTGCGTCTGGGCCGATGGAGGCTGGTAGTGCTGGGAATGTACCCGTGGGCGACGTGTAGCTAACTTGCCCGTTCGGGCCTGTGTAGGAGACGGCAGGCCAGAAAGTTGTGGTTGTGGGTTCGGGCCAGTAGCTAAGGTCGGCGCGCTTGTTGTTGCCTGATCCTCTTGTAATGGTCTTGTCGGCGAAAATCAAGTCTGTTATGGTCAGCGGTAGCGCTGTGATGGTCGTCGTCCACGTATCACTGCTAACGGTGAGGATGGGATAGTTAATGACCCTGGTGGCGCCCGTCCAGGGTAGGAGCCTGATATTGCAAGGTGGCGAGCAGGTAAGCTGGGGCGGATCCATTTCCTAGATTGCTGGGTCGATCTAGATGGCTTCATCGAAATCGGTCGGGCCGTTACTGCCAACATCCAGGATGCTGATCTGCGACCAATCCGGGTGCGAATCCACATTTAGGTTATCTTTGGCTAAGATACCCTTACAAGTATGCATTGCGCCGCATACCCTTTACGGATTTAAATTCAGTGATAGAAAACTAGCGCTAAGGATTGACTAGGGGTATACGGATTTTCAAAGGATAAGTATGCGGATTTACTAGGAAACCAATGTTCCTGTTGTCGTAATAGGCTATAATTTTAATGAATAGGTAATCTAATTATTATAATCTTAAATCAGTTGTCAAATTCCGGATTGGACTTATAACTATAGAGATATTCTAATAAGAAAAGTTAAGGTAAAAATGTAAATGTTCTTCGCTAGAAATGTATAGGCTAGCAAACTAACTAGGCCGGAATAATACTATAACCCACAATTTATTAATTAATTGAAAAATATAGTAATATAAATAACTATAAATGTCTATAATATATAAAGAGCACTCCGTACACTAAGGCGACGAGCGTGTAAATTACTAAACTTAAGAAGTAATAATTACGTGACTAGGTTAATAAGTATTGAAGTAATGAGTGTTAGCTATACCAATATTACAAGGGAGCCAAGTGGGTCGTACGACCTTCTTCCTGGTTGTCCAGGGTCTGATCAGTATAAGGTCGAAGGGATGGAACTTGTAAATAGTTAAACGGGCATGCTTTTTCACACTTTTGACTTCGGTAGCATGGTCAGTTTATGTAGCAGTGCATTCGGAAGACGACGAGAATGGCTCGTCGTCACTAATTAACGTTATTTTGGTCATTAAGTTCATTCTTTCCATTCATTTATAAGTGATCAGTCCGCGAGTGAACCAACGAGTTCGTCGTAAGGCTTATAACCCAAGGGACAAGACAGTGGTCCTGGTTCAGTATATACCTACTTTTTATATACTAACATTCTCTTTTATACTCTTAGGCTCTTCCTTTTAGTGTATTATACTCGATCTTTATTATAATAATCCTTTATATTAATTATAAAAACTATTATATAATGCTTCTTTATCTTTAAAATGGAATTATTCTTTATATTACTAGATTATAAGTTACTTATATATAAGCGTTATTAGTATTCGGTTATTTAAAGCCGTATTAAAGCCTACTTTTAATAACATAATATTTAATTTAATAACGTATTAAAAGCTATTACTTAAGTTATATAACTATGAGAGTATAAGCGCGGTTAGCGCTAAGCTATAAGAGTTAATAACACTAGTGTAAAACAACAAGCTTATAACGTCACGAACTGTAAAGTTAATATAGGCTTGTAATATGTCTTGTCTTAAAAGTTATTCTAGGTACAGGTTAAAGAGAGCTGTTTATATACCTGTTATATCCTATAACGGGGCTATAAGTATTATAACAAGTGCCCCTCTAATATAAAATTTGTCATCCCTGATAATTTATCATTCTAAGCGAAAACATGATGTAATACCTAGGTTATAGCCAAACTGGTTTATTTAGAAGAGACGCTCTAGCTATGAGTTATAATAACGAGCTTATTATCCATTATTATTTCTAACGTTTTCACTCCTTATCCTCCTCGTTACTGGCTACGTCGATAACCTTGCTCGTAGTATCCTTGTTAACTTCGTCGATTAAGTCCTCAAATTCTACGTAAAGGTCTTCGCCGTTAAGAGGTCTATTACCGGTAACGGTAACTAAACTGTTAACCTTAACGGCGGGATTAACGGTAAAGTAGTCTTTATCGTCGGTGTCCTTAAATTCGGAGAGGCTATCGCTAGGATCCGGTTTGCGAGGTATAGACTTTACGGATTTACGAGGTGTAATAATTATAGTGTTATTCTTAATAGCCTTCTTGTCTTTCTCCACTTAGTACTCGTTTATAAAGCCGTTAAAGTAAAAGACCGTTTCTTTTAGTTGTTTACGAGTTTCATTTTTATCTTTACCCTATTTAACTATTTCCTCTTATAGCTAAAGAATCTCTTTAGTAAATGTCTTATAAGAAATCTTTACAGAATTAATAGCCTTAATAATGGTATTAGTAAATTTCTCGACTTCCTTAGTATACCACTCTTTGGAATCCTTATAGGCTTTAGCGAGTTTTCGATAAGTAGCCTTAAGTTTCTTATACGCTATGGCGAGCTTTTTAACATCGGTGTTATTAAAAGTGACTTTGTCTCCGTTAGCCTTACGAACTTGTTTATTCTTTAAAGCTTACTTGTTTAATCTATTTGCTAACACTGCTAGCTAATCCTAGATGTTAATAATTGCTATATTTGTTCTAGTATTCGAGTCTAGGCCTATCGTAAGTGTTATAAAGTTAGTTTTACTAAGCGTAGTGAGAAAACCGGTAATAAAACCGTTAAAGCGGTTTTTAAGGTTATAATATATAATTATAAGAACGCTCGCTTTAGCTAGCATTAAATGGTTATAAGGTGCTCTTATTAACTTAACGGTACTAGCTTTACTAAGGCGATCTTTAACACTTCGAATAAGACTATTCGAAGCTATTATTCTTAACTTTACGCGTTTTTCGTAAAACTTATTAATTTAATAATAAGTTTCTTATAATAGGACGGTATTATTACTAATTTAAGTGCGAGCTTTCTCTTTAATAACGTTAAGTATAACCTCGTTTACATTAACTAGTTAGTTATAAGTTAGTTTATTACCTTGTTTATCGTAGTTAATATTATCCCTAGCGTGTACTTCGAGAATTATAACCTTTTCGTTGTTAGGTATAATAGTGTTAACGGTTATCTTACGGCGTAACAAAAAGGCTCTTATTACTCCGGTTTTATTACCTTTAATAATCCATTATTAGACTACGCCTTTATTATTAAGGGAGGCATTCTTAGCTTCCTTTTAGTTTATGTAATCTTATATAATAAATCGGTTATTGTTAACAAAATAGTTAGTAACTCTGACTTTTCTAAAGGTAAAACTGATTATTTTATCCTTTGCGTTTTATACTAGCTAGGACTCGTTTAGCTCTGTTATATATATATATTTATCGAAGTTAATATCAAGTTAGTAATAACTAATATATACGGCGTTATTAGTAACCAGTGTTATAAGTTACGACTTCTTCTTCGTCTTAGTTTTCTTAGTAACGGCTTTATTTATATTAATAACGGCCTTATTAACCTTAATGGGTACTAGTTCCTTTACGAACGGATTATTATTAATGGCTATAAGTTGCTAAGCCTTAACTACCGGGGCGGCACTATTAACGAGGGCGTTAATATTAACGTTATTATTAGCCTTTACGATAAAGGGACTAGCCGGTTTGGCTTTAACTGCTTTCTTCGTCTTAAGTATAATCTTCTTAGCCGCTTTAACGGCTTTTACGGTAGCTTTCTTATAGGCCTCGTTAGCTTTATACGCCGCCATTTATACTAGTGTTTTACGCTTTTTACGAGACGAAATAAGTACCGCATTTAATTTATCGTCCTTAGGCTAGCGAACTAGGCTATTACGTCGTTTTACTATGTTAAATGTTCGATCTAACGAAAGGCTTATTAAGTTCGACGGTGGACGTTAAGTTAGAAAAATATAGAAATGTCCGCTTATGTTAACGATTAAGATGTTAAGACTAACGGTAAACTTATTAAAGCCTTAAATACGTGTCGTGGTATGTTTAAAGAGTTTACGAATGTAACGACCTAGCCTAGGTGCCAGCCTAGCGCTTAAGCAGCGCACGGAGTACGTCCGTGCGTAGTCAGTGTAAAACCCCCGCTTCGTGACTAGCGATGGAGACATGTTACCTACCGGCTCCTTAAGAATAAGTCTCTGAATATAACTACTACCCGAAGGAGCTTATCACCTGGTAACTCTACTGTAATTGTTATAACGAAAAGAAGAAAAAATAATAAAAGGGATGGTTAATAATAACTGTTAAAGCTAAGGAAACATTTATTTATACTAAATTAAATAAGCTTAATTTTAAGCCTTATTTTTTAATATAACATATTCGTAATGCTTAACGTTTCCCTTATTAATTCTTATATCTCTTAAATATATATATAAATACATAATAAACAATGAAAATAGTAATCGTTATAACGTGTTTATAATAAATATAATAAATGTAATGATTATTAAGTAAACATAAGGAAATTATAGGCGTTTTCGATTAGGATATTACCCCCCCCCCCATATAATTACGATGTTATACCGAGCAATATCATTAATAAAGCTCTTTCTCTCGCCTAGTTATATACCGACGTTTCGCATTTTTGTATTTAATCCCCCAGTTTACAGGGTTTCGAGCGAAATACTCGGTAATTAGGGTTAGAGTTAGGGTTAGGGTTAGGGTTAGGGTTAGGGTTAGGGTTAGGGTTAGGGTTAGGGTTAGGGTTAGGGTTAGGGTTAGGGTTAGGGTTAGGGTTAGGGTTAGGGTTAGGGTTAGGGTTAGGGTTAGGGTTAGGGTTAGGGTTAGGGTTAGGGTTAGGGTTAGGGTTAGGGTTAGGGTT